AATCTCCAGAGCTATAGTGGAGATAACCTCGCTAACTGCATTCCCGGTAGGAAGGTACAAGATGGTCAAAGCTCGGGACTATCGGGCGCTTTTTTCTCCTTCATCTCTTCTAACGTACTCCGTAGATGGTGCTATTCAAATTGAACAACTCAGTGAACAGTAATCGTCATCAACCTCGGAAGCTTGACCCGTACAGCACCGTCTGTGCTTCCAGACTACTGCCCGTTCTGTCATGCGATTATTGTAATATATTTCCCACCCGAGGTATTATTTCTGATTATTGAGCGTTGCCACGCACACACTATTGGGCCACAGACTTGAGAATTACCGGTTCTTTCCCTCTCGGCCTTGGCCTGTCTTTTTGTCTGGCCCTTGGCCGACTCATGTTCGGTCAGTATCGGAATCCCGTGTCGAAACCCGCGTCGAAACCCGTTTCGGGCTACGCGGCACGCGGGAACTCGGCACGTCGTCAGTTTCAGGCTCTTTGGTCCAGACATTGTATTCTGCATTTTAGTTATCGTAAACGCTGTAGCACATAGAACTTTTATTGCTATGTAATTGCTAACGCTAATTGACCATTGTTGGTATCTGGTTTTTATTACAGGAAAAAGCAATCTATTGACTGGTCTATTTGCCCTATTTTGCCGACACACCGGGTAAATTGTCCTGGGTTTGATTGTTTGATCATATTATAGCCGTCTTACCATATGATCAATGCGCGGAATTGTCGAACTATTATCTTTAGGCGCCACGAAGTGATAGCGGAAAAATCAATTGGCGTTATCTTAGCCTTACTCACGGAATTCGGCTCATTGACTTGTGCACCTAATTGTACGGAGTACACATTGTACAATATTGCAGGGATTTTGTGCCTTTCAAGATCTTTGTGCCCTTTATCCTGTTGAGATCGTGTGCTTTCTTCCCCTTTCTCTTGGCTGCATGTACACCCCTGTGTCGATCAGGTCTAAGTAATCGCGTAGGGACACGCCCCAATACGCACAGTTCGCTGCAAAAAAAAGAGAACGAACATCAACCTCCGGTCTTACCTAGAGCAGCTGTTCTTAGCCTCAGGGGTTGCCCTTTTGGTGGAAATAACTGCAAATCCCGTTCTCTGAAAGGTCGGCGTTTGGCGAAGATTCCAATCTATCTAGGGTATGATATACCTACATAGGTAGATCGTAGCTCATGTAAAGCCCGAAATGAGCAATCGTTCCATGCCTTCCTTCAAGATAGCAATGATGACATCGTCTGTCCTACGATACCCAAACAAGCAAAGAATAAACACGCTGTCCCAACTACTGAACTTAAATCTCAAACACGTCGACGCGACTCGATCGTATAATAATAATAAATGAGAGACCAAACAAACCGACACCCCAAAGACCAGCTGTTTAGTCTCCCCATTTAGGTCATGATCGACAGGAGAACAAACAAACCCCCACACTTCCTCGACGCGAACCATCCCAACTGGCAGGTAGTGGCATTACACTGGGGATGCTGCGCAGGGAGTTGTTTGTGCTTGTTGTTGGTGCTCCATAAATAGTTGCACATCACTATTTACTAGGCGGATTGACGCGCTCAAAACCGGTCTTGAGGATGGTTGGATCTCTCTACAGTTATAAAAATAACAAGAGCCATATGCTATTATTTTGGATGCTTTTACCCCCTTTCTGTGACGCAAGTACAATGTTGCACCCATATGTTATGCACGTACATAGCTACTACTTACTCTCTTTGGTATAGTACCGGGCTACTGTACATTATAATAGCATGGTGTATTGTCCTGTGCTCTGTATCATATGTTATGAGGTAGGTAGCCCGAATTACCCTGTGCGTAAAAGCGGTTGGACTTCCAATCCACACGCACCCTATCCGCGTCGAAGTAAATGTACGGAGTACTAACTGATCATATAACTATTGCTTTTCCGCTTGGCTGTTTTATGTTGGTGAAATCTAAAACAAGGTGCGGGCTGCATACGGTTTCGGTGATTCCTCTGAAGCCAATTTTACAGGATTCAAGTTCGGGCTACTGGTCACTGCCACTCGGACAAAGGTGATCGGCGGTGTTCACGATCCTCGATTCATCCCAGTTTCTCCAACAATAGAGGACATCATGATGCGAGTGTGACGATTTGGATGTAGAGAATGTCGCTCTTATTGTTTTGTTACTATTGTTAGAAGGGAATATGAGACTGCCTGGCAGGCTACGAGATACCTATCCCGTAGTATGCACCTTATTGCCAGTGCGTCTGCAGAGCTGCATAGCCACCATTACAAATCTCCGGATTTCCAGTGCCGGTGCCAACTGTAAATCTTGGGGGTGGGGGTCAATAATTGCATCCCGGGACAGATATTGTCTCGATTGAATTGTGTTCCAGACCTACAGGTACCCGTACAATATTGTATAGATACTTGAGTCCTGCCAGCCAGTCAAGTCAGGCCTAGGATACCTTGTCCGGGCATGCCAAGAAAGGCAGGGATAAATTCGCAGGGGGATACAACATGTACAAAGGATCGCCATGCTGCCTACTGTGCAGCGGAAATACTGTCTATAGATAGCAATTGTCGTTGTGAGTGGATGGATGATGCAGTATTTCTGGCACATATGCGGGAATAAACTTCATGATCGACGATAGACAAGCAAGCCAAGATCCAGCAAGAAAACACCAAAAGAGAGGGGGGTTTCAATAATGCACAAGTTTCAGCACTGCATTCTACTAGGTTTTCTTGGCGAGGCAATACGGGCACTGGGCATTGCCAAATTATGAGATACTGATGTTGGAAAGGGAATGATGATCGACTTCATCTATGTTCTCATCGCGGGTCTTGACTGTTAGTCGGAAAGGATGACATACATCGTGAATCAGATTTACCCCATAAGGAAAATTCCATAAATCACATGAGTGTTCGGATAGCAAAAGGCCATACTATAGTACAACGTTGTAAGGGAGAATCGGCAGGTCTCAAAAATCAAAGCGCGCAAATCATCCCTGTTTCCTCCGGACAATCACTCTTGGCGCCCAGTGTCTTCCTCAATAGCCCAACCCGACGCTATTGGAAGGTGGATTCTTGGCATCGGGACATGTGTGCGACGGTAAAGTCATTGCATGATGTAAAGTATCGTTTATAGTCGCGAGAAAATGCTAACGCCCTCCCTTGATCTGCTGATCGCCCTCATTTTGGTACCTGTCCACCGATGCCAAGACGTGACGTCCATCCCTTCCTGATTATCGTCTTGGCGAGCATTTGATCTCTAGCCAGCCCCCCTTTTTTTTGCCATCGAATCGGCGTGAGATCATTATGCATTCGGTCTTCGGTGATCGGGGGGCGGGGTGGAGAGGAGAGGGAAGCAGCAGGCGCAAGGGTTTTTGGTGTAATGCTTGTTGTGCTTGCATCTTGGCGGGGGCAGTGTGCGTGCTTTTGCTCTAAATGACTAGTTAACACACTTTGCAACTAACTGCATGTAATCTAGGGGTGTGCATATTCTCAGAGGTGTTTCCTGTGAGGGAACTATGCTGCTGTCAGGGGTGCGTTTAGATTCATCGATGTTGACGCCAATGTGTCTGTAAGCATCCATGGATGCTTTTGCTGACTTTGACGGTGAGAAATTTCCTGTGGCCAAGACGGCTGGTGTTTGCCCAGTCACCTGGCTCTTTGTTGCAAATTCGGTAGATATTGCACTTCCGAGGAATCTTGGCTCCGTAGGATGATGCAAAACGGAGAGGTTCCGTCCAGCTGATATCAGCGTTGAGCGTGGGTGTACCTGCTGGTTACACTGTACCTTTGTTGGTATCTTGAGTATCAGACGCTTCTAGATAGCCATCCAGGCCGGGTGAGTTTAGAGTTGAAAATATAGATCTTGCCGCGTCGTCGTTTTCATTGGTCCAGGATTCATGCTTAGGGTAAATGTAATAATGCAATATCACATCATAGGCCTGCGTTGAATCGATGGATGAACAATAGAGCTATATTGAAACCAAGGTTGGATGTGCAACCGTCGTATGATCAAAGATGCCTAGGTATCCAGAAAGCATAGAAACTACCATGCTCGAGGCAAAGCACAAAGCTAGATATGATAAGTGTATATAATTGACCTGTTGGCTCGGGTATTGGTTTTCGAAGATGCAGAATATACCTGCAACTCATGCAATGGGTCCATGGGTATTCATCCTAGGTAGATGACTTGAAGCGAGTATCATGAGAGCCGCAGGTGTTGGATATATATCATGTCGTTTCCACTTCACACCAATACCAACAAAGAGAGCCTTCTACTGGACGTTTATCGACAAAGTCGTTAGTGGATTTAGTGAACATCGCCATGTGAAAATATATATGGCATTTATTTTGCCAATATTGTTAGAGATGCTAGAGCTATTGACGGGTTGAACAGTGGCATAGCTCAATGTCTCGCGACATATAAAGCCCGTTCCAATGTTATTAAGGTACAAGCTGGGAAGTATCACATTGTGCCTAAAAGGTATTGAAGCAGCCAGGCCATATTGAGGGTATGGCGCTGCCACAATACCAGGCCCTGATTAGCCGCTATATACTCACGATAGAAGCGTAATGAAAAGGCTACAATAATGTGAACATAGACATAGAAAAGAGCGGTAAAAATATATGAAGGAAGTGCATAGAATGGTGATGATCAAGTCATATTGAGGTGTGTCGTCAGACCGTCTAAAAAATGTATCATTGCTGGTATTGCTATCATTGCCATCACGAGCCCAGACTCAGGCATCTATATCTCTCCCGCATTCTCCCGATCGCATAGAAATGCAGCAAGGAGATAGAGTGAAGTCAGATAATCGGAATGAGAAAAGAGCGCAGTCGGTGCTGAGGACAAATGACGAAATACCTACCCCCTTGAGTTGAGCTGTTGCTCTGAGCGACGCGGGCCATGCAGTTTCGCATGACCCTGCATACACGTGGAAACACGAAACTGCAAGGAACATGTTTAAGAATCATCACTGTTCCAGGCGATACCAACACGACCCCAATCAGAAGGTGATCTTCGACCCAACAGTGCATGGAACCAATGATCCGGGCATATGTTTCTCAATGGCAAATTTTGCTCGCCAGCCCGAACAGTGACCGGGCATCAGCACGGCAGGATCGAGTCGTTTGAGGTCGGCTACCGTCTTTTCAATCTGATCTGCCTCGCTCTGGGCGAGATGGAACCCGCCAACCACTGCATGAACAGGTAATTTCCCACCTGTCAAATCCAATGCGTGTTTTGTGGTGTTGACTACACCAGCGTGGCTGCATCCTGTGAAAATCACGAGTCCTTTGCCTAGAGCATGTCAGTACGATCAGACATGAGAGGGCCTTCAAAGCTACTTTACCTTTGAGATTGCAGATGAGGGAACGTTCATCTTGAATCAGCTCGTCGGAGTACCATTCATTTTCCTTTGGATCATATCGCACTGCATACTTGAGGCCTGTTTCGTATGGCGTCACTCGTGGAATTTCTCCAGAGACAAGAAAAAAGTCATCAAGTACAGTATGTGGCTTGCTTTGTTTATCAACTACTGCGCCCGCGCCTGTCATCTCCTCGAATTCAGGGTCGGCCTCAAGTGAGATTATGCGCTCAGGTAGAGCAATGCCTCGGTAGGCTGGTCGGTCTGGGTGCAAGTCTACGACGAGGTCCTCAGAGCGGCCTTCAGCTTGCTTGGCGTCTTTTATCATGCGAATTGCTCGTAGAAGACCACCTATATATGTGTCAGAAACTAGAAACGTACGACCATGTTATCTCTTTCATGAGCACGAACCTGAGTGATCTCGATGCCAGTGTGATAGCTGGATCACTTCGACAGATGAGATATCTGACCGCAGCCGTTTTACGTTTCTCTCCCAGGCCTTCTCTTCAGGACCAGCATCGAAGAGAATAGCATGTTTCTCGTCACCTTTGGTGGCTGTCTGTATGAGGCGGGCTTAACATAAGCCTACATTGAGATTTCAGAATCGAAATCACCTTACCACAAGAATAGACAGCCCATGCGCTGCACAGCACACGTCTTCTAGCCAGAGTTCCCCACAGGCTTCTCCCCGATCTGTCACCTTATGGAGCGAACCCATAGCAATGGTTCCCAGGTTTCCTGAGATCTGCACTGTGTCTGGGGCCGGGGGAGATAGCGGGTCCAATTCATTGTCAATAATGACAATAGCCTCAAGAGTGTCGACTTCTTTTAGGTGCATGATGGGGAGTTCAGAGTCTTCACTATATTGACAACACTCAGGTCAGCCCTGGGCTTTATATACTTGCCAGCTCGCATATTACGGATGCTGACGACAACACAGCCTAGTTGCTAGTCAACGTCAAAAGCATATAAGAAAGAAATACCCAATAAAAGGATCATAAGAAGGATCGAGTGGATTCATTGTTGGTATTGCTCGTATACAATATATTGATGGTGGTCCCGGAGTGTAAGAGTGGAAAATGGCAGAGAGTCCTCTTTTCCTTTTTCTCCACAAAATAATGCGGGGGTCAATCACATTCAGCTCTTCTACCCCCTGAGAGGATTACGATTTTAGTTGATCTTCTCCAACTTTTCACATTGTACGCGGAGTACAATATTGTACAATCTTTGATAACCTTCGCAATGCGTCTTTCCCTCGATCGCCTTATTCTTGTCCTCGTCATCCTCGTTTCCCCCGCTACAGCGATTGGCGCATCATGCTTCAAAGTCGTCTCCGCACTTGTCGGCCGACCCGGCCATCTCTTCGATAAATTCCAGAGTGAAATTTGCTCCGCTGGATGTCAACCGACTGTTCCTCACTGGGATCTCTGGACGCGCAATAACACTTTCGTCCCCGCTGTGCGCAGTTTGATGCACCGCATGAACGTCCCCCACAAGGAAGAGGCACTATTGAAGATGGGCGACGATGTCGCACTTACTATCAAGGAACGCTGTGGACCAATGCTAGGTGGTGGGATACATATTTGCTCAGATGAAAAGACCTTGGCTGAGTTCGGAAACTGCTTCAAGCGCAATTTTCTCAAGGCTTCGATCAAGCATCTCCCAACTTTGATCCCAATGGCTTCTAACGAAGCTTGCAAGGAACAACTCACATTCTTAGAAGGCGATGAGCTGTGGGAAGAGATAATTCCTCAAAACATGAGAGATTATGCTAAGGTGTGCGATACATTGGGGCCATTCGATCATGACGAGTTGTGAATAATGTTCAAAAAACACCCAATTGTACATAAGATAATCTATGACTCTAACTATATTTGTTGACAATATACATATCGCTATATAAAACAGAATTGCAATATATAACTCGGGGTATCTTAAACACGCAGTTAAGACGTTCTCCGGCTCCGACTCCGCACCACCGACCTGCGGATGACGATAAGTCCGAACAACTCCTACAGTATTTGACTTCCTTTATCTTCTCACCCAGACTCAATTTTGCTGTACAACGCGATGCGGTGATCTGAGATCCCGCCATTCTTATCTACACATGGCGCACGCGATGCATTTGCGCTCCCTGCGGCCGGTCATCCGTCCCCTCTTGCGCCCCCAACTCCGATGCGGTTATTCGAGCCAATTCCAACCCCTCGTGCCGCCATCACCAAGTTCCCTAGGCAAACCCACAGCAGCAAAGACCTACAAACGCACCCGAAAATGGTTACGTCGGATATTTTATTTGTCATTTGCAACGGGCGTCGCCTACGGCGTCGATCGCCAGTTCTACGCATCATCGCTGACCCGAACGGCGCGGACTTTCTCCCTCGGCCTCCTCGTCGCCATTGATTACAAAATTAACTTTCGCCCCCATCCACCACTGGCCAGTTCCATTGCTGCCGTACACGCCCGCAATGCAGAACGGTTGTCTGATCTGTTAAGGCACAATGGTGGGCTTTATCTAAAGATGGGCCAAGCCATCGCTATGCAGTCTGCGATCTTGCCACCGGAGTTCCAGCATATGTTCTCGCGTATGTTCGACGATGCGCCCCAGAATGATTGGAAAGATGTTGAGAAAGTCATTCGCGAGGACTTTGGAAAGTCGCCCGAGGAGGTTTTTGGAGTCTCATTTACGGGCGAGCCTGATAAAGGTGTGATGGAACGCAGAGCTCGAGCCAGCGCTAGTGTAGCCCAGGTCCATTGGGCGCGCCTGCAGGATGGCAGGGAGGTTGCGATAAAGATCCAAAAGCGGGAGATTGTACAGCAGTTAGCCTGGGATCTCTGGGCCTTCAAGTGAGTTGATGGTTCACCGTGAGACTGACCTTTGACTAATTTTTTGGAAATCAATAGGGTTGTGACATTTATATACAGCAAGGTTTTCGATATTCCTTTCTACAGTCTTGTTCCCTACATCAGCGAGCGGCTATCACTTGAAACAGACTTTGAGAATGAAGCAGACAACTCGGAAAACATGGCAAAACTAGTGGCCGGAGAACCCCGCCTGCGCGACCGTGTGTATATTCCTCGGGTATACCGTGAGTTGAGTTCAAAGCGTGTCATGACAGCCGAATGGGTAGAAGGCGTGCGGCTCTGGGACAAGGAGGCTATCACGCGGCCCTGGCGCGGGGGCTGGCGCCAGGGAAGCCCAGGCTGTCAAGGAACACCCTTGGATCAACCGGGGACGCCTACGCACCGGAAGACACGGGCAGGAAATCTTAAGCCCGAGCGTGACTACTGGCGGGGTCGCAACAACCGCAATGGGCTGGGCTTGTCCCTGAAGGAAGTGATGACGACCATGGTGGACTTGTTCTCAGCTCAGATGTTCCTGTGGGGATATGTGCATTGCGATCCGCACCCGGGCAACATCTTCATCCGCCGCAAGCCGTCCGGACAACCTGAATTGGTATTGATCGATCACGGCTTGTACATCCATATGGAGCCTGGATTCCGGCACCAATACGCCCGATTCTGGAAGGCCCTCCTTACATTCGACAATCGCACGCTGGGCGAGATTGTCAAAGGCTGGGGCGTGAAAAATCCCGATGTCTTCGCCTCAGCGACTTTGATGCGCCCATACAGTGGTGGTGATATGTCGACTCGGCGGGGCATCCAAGGGCTAAGCCAATCGCAGCGTGCAGAGCGGTCCTACGAGATGCAGCAGGCGGCGCGCAAGGCGATCCGGGACATACTAGGCGATGAAACCAAGTGGCCGCAGGAGCTGATTTTCATCGGCCGCAACCTGCGCATTGTCCAAGGCAACAACCAGTTCTTGGGCTCCCCTGTGAATCGTGTCAAAATAACAGGAATATGGGCTTCGCGCGCGCTAATCGAGTCTCCGGATCTCCCGCTGGTCGAGAAGATCCGCAATCTGGGCCGCCATCTTGCCTTCCGTATGGTTCTGTTTACTACTGATATTTGGTTCTATTTCACCAAGGTGCGCCAGTTTTTGCATTTGGGCGGTGGCATGGAAGATGATATCGAGGCGCAGATGCAGGTGATGGCGAAGGATATGGGAGTTGAGCTTAATCATGAAATCTTCGAGGGATAGATGATATCGATACAAGTGATGGGTTGCTTATACCTTATTTAGACCGAAGGGAAATCTTCCCAATAATGACACTCTCCCTATGACTGGCATATATTTTCGGCAGACACGTCTCTGGTAATCATACCATAGGAGCGAAATGTTAAGATAAACTCGAGTCCCCCGCATTTAGGATCAGTTACCTAGGTAAGTACATATGCAGATGCAAACCTGTGCTAGCTTGAGAAACTTCGGGTGCAAAGCCCCCTGCCATCGTCCATTTTTCGCATGATTTACCGCACCAGATATTCGTATACTCCACAATGAGCCCCGAAGAGCCACCGATTATAGATTTTGCTTGTGAGATGCCTGCTCTATTACTTCCCGCCAATGCAAGTATCTGACCAACATAGCATGGTATGGCACCAATATCGCCGCCAAAGAGCAGCTTGTCCATCAGATCCGCCGAGCGTGCGAGCAATTCGGCTTCTTCCAGCTCATCAACCACGCCATTCCAGCAGACTTACAAAATGCGGTTCTCCAACACGCAAGTGAATTCTTCAACCTCCCATTGGAGACCAAAGAGAAATACAATCAAAGTAGAAGCTGCATAGCAGATGCTCAGTAGAACACAGCTAACTATATCAAACACTTAGACACCGGCGGCTTCAACCGAGGATACGAAGGGCTCCGCGCTCAGAACTTCGAAAAACGAACAAAAGGCGACCTAAAAGAGGGGTTCTACCTAGGAAAAAACCTACCACCCGACGATCCATACGTAGTCAAGAGACGTTTCGGCCAAGGACCGAACAAGTACCCCCAAGAAGTCGCGGATCCAAAAGAATTCCAGAGAGTCATGGACGAGTACCACGATACCATGACTGAGCTCGCAAGAGCAGTCATGGAAATCCTGGCGCGCACGCTGGAATTGCCTGACGATGCCTTTGGCGATTTTTGCGATCATCCGGTCTCCATTGTCCGATTGCTGCGCTATCCGCCGCTGGAAGCCGATGCGTCCGATCTTGAGCGAGGTAAGCTGTTCCAGGCTAAAGTCACAGCTTCAGCTTCAAATAGCTGATCTTGGTATTGTCGAGCTAGGAATTGGCGCGCACACGGATTTCGGCGCCATTACTATCCTCCTACAAGACGATACAGGCGGACTCCAAGTATGGAACAACGGTTCGGCTGAATGGGTGGATGTTACTCCCGTGCCTGGGGCTTATGTTGTGAACCTGGGCAATATGATGATGCGCTGGACGAATGATAAGTACCTGTCGAATCTACATCGGGTCATTAACAGGGGTGGCAAGGTCAGGTTTAGCGTTCCGTTTTTCTTCTCCGGGAACCCTGATTTTACCATTCGATGTCTGCCGACCTGTGAAGATCTGATAGAGGGGGCTAAATATCCCCCTGTTACGGTACATGAGTGGATGACGGGGAGGTACACGGATACTTATGGCTCGTCGGAGGATAAGGGTATTGGGGAAATGCGCAGGGAGCTGTATACCGTGAGCTAATGAGGAAACGAGAGGAGGTTGGCATGGGTTGGTGACAATGAATTGGGGATTGTAACTTCATAACGAGAAACACTCAAAGAGCTTTGATGAATTAAATTCCGATTTATATTGTACAAACAGATTTACAAAAGAACAAACCGCAAACTCTCAAATAGCCATGCAGGCAAAAGTGACAAGGGTATCATATTCGAACGCCATAAAAAACATCAATCACAAATGCATTGGCGTCCACTCCTGTCCCGGGTATGCAGTGGGGGACATAACTATTTCCTCGCTGGAATCGTCAGCCGTTATAGCAAGTTCTACAGGCTCAGGTGAATCATTGACAACTCTCGCCGTGTCCTCGCTACGATGAGGATGGGATGATGACATGGAGACCCTCGAAACGGCACGGTTTTCAGCAGCCGGGGAGGCCGAGTCCGACACCACCGGTTTTCGGGATCGGACGCTGAGCTGGGAACTGAGGGTTTGTTCGGTCTTGCTCGGTAGCGCGCCAGATTGCTGCGATGGGGTCGGAACCGGGGATGGATCCCCGTGTAGCTCGTGTCGGAGGTGTTCTTCGAGCATTCGGTCCTTGTGTTCTTCTTGCTCCTCTTGTTCTTGGTTCTCGTTCAATGGACCGAGACTTGGATCTGTGTTGTCGTCTGGCTGGAGTTTTAGGGTTTGCTGTTCTTCCTCTAATCGACGTGCCTGATGATCTTGCAATTCTTCTAGCGGTGACAGTGGTTGTGTCAATCGAGTTTGATGAAGTGACATGGGAGAGGGGGACCGAGATTTCCCAGTGAGAGGCTGGCTGAGTGCTCTATTGTGATAAGAGCCTAAAGGAGTCTCAGTCTCACTTACAGCCCCAGACTGGAGGTGTGAATAAAACCGACCCGTCAACATGGAATTATTTGATGAACTGGGCGGGAGCGATACACCAGCTCGTTGAGGAGTTTCACGAGCCGTAGGCCTAGCGTCGCTTGGTGGCGGCGCAGTAATTTCTGGAGGATCGATTGGTAAAGGCTTTTGTTCGAACGGATTGTTGAGGACCGGCGGTTGATCCTGCACAGCAAGAGTGTGACTCGGGGGTACCGGTAAATCTTTGTTCTGCAGCGGCTCCGAGGTAGTTCTCGTGTGCAGGTTGCGTTCCGGAGTTTGAGAGGCTTGCCGGCCAAATATTCCCTGGCTATGTCAGAAGGAAAGGGAAAAAGGTGTAGGGGATTGACATACGCTGATTCTACTAAGCGCACGCTTTCGTTGGCTTTCAGGCGGTGCATGAGGTCCCTTCAGCTGAATACCAGACAGGAGGTCTCCCACCGAGGCTCGTCGTCGCCTCCCAAAATTCTTGAGTTTCCCAAATGTAGACTCCTCGTTTTCAGCGACAGACCCCGACCGCGAGAATTGCGATAGGCCGCTGGCGGGAGTGACTGGGCGAGTTCCCTTGATATTGGCGCTTTGTTTACCAAAACTGCCAAAGCTCCCAAAGCTCAGCATACTGCTCCTAGTTCCCGGGGAGTATCTGACTTCGTTTCGCAAGGGGCTATGCACTCCTGGGACTGATGGAGGTAAGCCGCTGATTGATTTCCTCTTGGTTTCGAGGATCTCAGCAGAGGACGTGGATTCCGACGGGTAGAAAGGAACCAAAGGTCGTTCATCCTCGGTGGTAGATGGGTTATAATCAACACTCGGAGTAAATTGGCCGTTCACAGGGCATTCGACCTTTTGCTGGGATTCAAACTCGGGCTCAATCTCGGTCTGTGATGGCTGCAAGGGAGAGGGAGGATCCCTGTCAAATGCATCGCCTTCTGAGGTGCGTCTTCCGGTTTCTTCATCAGGACCGAGCGTTGAGACCGAGGGCTGACGTATATGATGCCCACCAGGTGTAAGTCCGTCATCAATACCGTTTGAGGGTGGCGAGGGTGGCTTGGTACTTTCGTCAAGCACTGGACGGATTGATGGGACAATGATCTCTGGGGTACTTGTACTTGGGGGATCCATCTGGCTGCCCAAACCCAAACTAGAGACATCAAAGGGCTCAATCGGAATTATTGGCAGCCCCTTATCGGCTACCGACGCTTTTCTCGCTGGCATATCACTGACAGAACGCATCCCGGTCATTTTGGTCTCCGGCAATCGCGGCGGTTCCACAGGTCGCTTATTCTCACCGTTCATTCGGCCAGGGGTCAGAACCATGGGCGTGCTTACCGACCGGTGTGGTTGAGGCTCCGTGGGTGAAAGGCCAAGCGCAGCAATCATCTCCTGTTCCAAACCTTCCGCAAACTCAGACCTGTCAGAATTTCCAGTCTTAGGCCGGACACCGTTGGTAGCTGACAAGTGTGTCGGTTGTACAGCCGTTTCGCCAACGAAGTTGTGCGACATTGAGTTATCCCCCGATTTGGCCACCCTAACACGTTTGCGGGAAATATTCTCATCCTGTGAACCTTCTAGAGAGGAATTGATACCTATTGGACCAGAATTGGGAGCAGGGCCTCCAGTTCTCCCGGATTTGAATATAGGCAGACTGCCGAATGAGACAGAGTTTCGCGAAGTAGAGTTATCAGACACATCACCCGACCCTGAAGGGAAAGGGAACTGAAAGCTGCGTCGAGAAGCACTCGGGGTTGATTGACCCTACAAAATTACCAACATCAGAACAGGAACGAATAGTGCCGGGGGCGTTAGATTGCAGCAAGAGGGTAGCAGCATCAATCGTATCGCATTCTAGAGCTCAATGCCATAAAGTGCTCGGAGTTACATCATTGGTATCAAAAGTCAAGGAATGCAGAATTATAAGTGAGCAATTAAGCGACGGTCTCCACCGTGCGAACCCAAATGAATAACCCGCTCAGATTGAAAAAAAAAGAACGAAGAAAAATCAGGTATCTACCTTGTCGGACCCTCCACTAGGGCGGAATTTGCTTCTGCCTTTGGCAAACAAACCCTTCGCTGCTCCGCTTGCCTTGCCACTAAATGCTCCTGCAGTGTGAAGGAACTCCTTTCCTTTGTCTCCAACATTCTGCCGGTTCATCACAGACCCAATGTGGCCTGACGGGCGTCGGACGTGACTGGCGCTAGTTGGAGTACCATCATTCGAGGAGCCGAGATTGGAAAGAGAAGGCAATTTAGGGAACCTGCTTCTGGAAGGAGATGATTGTGGCATGATAGGGGAAAGGGTCTTGCTCTGCGCAACCACATCAGTGTGCTCAGAGTGTTCATGAACCATGAACTGAAGCCATTGATTCAATCCAGTATCAAGAGTGGCGAACTGGTCGCGAGTGTGTTCGAAAGATTTGATGCGCTGGTTGATAGATGTAATACCAATGATGTCACGGAAGCCCAATAGTTGAGATTCATTAAGAGATTCATTTTTGACAATTGAAGGGACCTGGGGTTGCTGAGTCGGCGTAGTACCTGGTCCCAAAATTTGCTCCGGTGGCGAGATATTTTCAGGCACAGGCGGGATGATGGAAAGTCGAGGCCTTTCAACGCGTTCGGTTTCGGAAACTTCATTATCAGATGCAGGCAGGTCGCGAGGCACAGGCACATTCGGTTCCACTGGGGCAACCTCTTCGGCAATTGGTTGAGGCTCTTGCATGGCCAGTGATGTGCCTAGAGGAGGGGGCGATGAATAACTGCCAGGAACTTGAGGTTCGGGTTCTTCAGCATCAGAGGATTCCCAAGAAAATCTTCGTTCTAACTTGGCCTTCTTTGGCTGGTTAACAGCGGTCGATGAAGAGTTAGCTTGGCTGGTTGCGTATGGATCTTGAGGTGCTAGAGGATGTGGGTTCGTCCAGTCTGGATGATCGTCAGAGACCAGACCCTTGGAAGTTTGCGTCGGAGTTAGCCCTGGTTGACCCTCCCAATATTTCTCAAACTGGTTCGGAATCGACTGAGCAGGGCCCTGCGACTGAGGGTCCTTGCTCTGGTCCGGATCCTCTGAGGGAGTGGCTTCTCGGCTCAGTGATTGGATGATCTCTTCCCTTAAGCGGTCGTTATCAGCATTCTGCGGCGACTCCTCCGCCCCCATAATCGTGGGTATGTCGCCATGAAAGCTGTCAGGATCAGATGCGCTTCCAATTTTGAGAGGGGCGGGCAAATAATCGCCATTATTTGGATATCGGGTTTGATAAATCCCCGAGTTGGCTTGGGGAAGACCTAGATCCGATATTTCTGCTCGGTCTGCCGTTGGTGTTTCTTGGTCTGTGACTTGGGGTCGCCTTGAAGGACTATTGTCTGAACTGGGAAGGCTGAGGTCCCGCCGGTGTCCAGGAGTGAACACAGGTCCGGCGTTTGTATTTTCCTTGGGGGGACTATTTTCATTTGGCTCCTCGAGGATAGTGGGTGTTCGATCATCATTGATATTGCGACTGCCTATGATAGGGCTGATCGCTGAAGTGCCATCACTGTCCGACCGCTCAACACTGGTGGTGGTAGATTGTGGAGTTTCTGGGACATCAAAGGCCTGATTGACAACTGATCGATACCCCGAAGAGGTATTGTGCTGCAAGGCAGGCTCGTGGGATTCCATATTCGTATTTGCTGGCTGACTGGGGTCTGCACCCCCAAAAAATCAGTACCGAAGGCAGAGATCCGCTTGACTTCCGGCAGACCGACTGAGGCCGCTTGCTGATTTATTTGAGGCGGGGCTTCAGAGCCGTTTGGCGTTGGATCATTGCCATCAGTGATGGGAGACTGAGCCGCTTTCTCCTCCCGCATTCGTTTGTACAGATCAGCTGGGCGTACAAAGGGTAGTGTCTTCTGGTCTCCTCCACTAGGTTTCCTGGCAACCGAAGCCGACTCATCAGTTCCAAATGGGAGCCCAGACAATCGTCTCGAAAGCAACTCGGACGAACTACCATTGTTCTGGGTAGCGTAAGGAGCCCGAGGTACAGCAGGAGGCGCTTCCTCCTCCTCCTCTTCGTCTTCCTCCTCATCACCCCAGTCACCACCATCATAAGAGTATTGCCTAGCTTCTACCCAGCGTTTTGTTTTGGAGCGATTGACGTTCGGTTGGAATGAGATCGGGGTTCCGCTACTACCACTGCCTGGGGAAAGTGGACTGCGAGCATTTGGCGGGGAAGGGCTAAAGCTTGTCTCAGTATTTGTGTGACTGTATATGCGAACTGTATCTGAATCAATATCTTACATTTTCTGGGCTCCCTGCCCATGCGATTGGTTAGGGTTCATCGAAGGACAATGTCAAGGGATTGAGGCAAGCTCGATTATTCGTATCGAATGCCTGGTGATTCCCCGATGAGTTTAAATCGCAAAAATGCGAAGGTCAAGTAAGAAAGAGGGATAACACAGTCCCTGTGCTCCTCGTGTCGAACAACAAGAGTAAGGTCGAAAGTGGCGATTTGGCCCGCGGTTGGGCAAAGTGTCGATCAAAGTATTAGTGTACAAGGATGACGTGTTATCCACAAGAGAAAGACAACACGTAAATCAATTAAGTCATGTACAATATAGCTATGTAGTTATAGCTACTTTTTACAGAGTAAAAGAATAAGAGAAACAACAAAATAAACTTGTTGCCTTGCCCCTGATAACCATGATTCGCCTTCTAAATTTGGTTGTGGCGGTGCGATTACGTAACTAGCACGTGAATTGACGTTTCCGATTCAGTGTCAAGAGCAACAGGGTCTAAGTTAAGTTGTTGCGTAGGAAAGTGGATTTGCCTCTTCATCTCAACTGATTTCTGGGGTTATATTCTATTCTATTTGTTCTTTGTTTTGAGACATCCTTGCTGTGGGTGGACCTGTGACCCCGGACAACTTCTTTCAGCCCCTTATCGATTACAGATCGATCAATCATAGGGTTTCGAGACCGAATCCGGGCCCTCTCTTGTGTCGCAAATTGACCCGCTCTTCATATTGCATCCCAAAGACCATAAAGGATTCACCAACCGAACCGCCCTCCATACTACTTCCATACTCCTTCCGGATCACACAATGACCGGCCCATCAATTCAAGACCGAACTAGCGAGTTCAGCGCTATTCTGGGCCAGGCCCAGAAGCGCATGGGCACGTCGAAAGTTGGTACACAGCGCCAGGCATTGTTGACGGACGCTCAGAGGCGACAAGCCAATGCATCGCCCCAGGGTGCTGGGCAGGAGGCGAAGGCAGCAAGATCGGAGTTCGCCCGGAGGGCACGCGATATTGGAAGGGGCATTACGGGGACAATGGCAAAGTTGCAGCGATTGGCCGAACGTGAGTGTGGCCGTATTGTCTGAGATGATATCCTTCTAATTGCGAAATAGTGGCAAAGCGAAAAACCCTCTTCGATGACCGACCCGTCGAAATCTCCGAATTGACATATGTGATTAAGCAAGATCTTGCCGCATTAAATCAAAGCATCGCCTCGTTGCAGGCACTTACCCAAGCGCAACACCCCAAGTCGAACCGCTCAAAGACGGATCAGGAAGGAGAACACAACGACAATGTAAGTGAGACTTCCGAACAGGTACCCGGGGCATGTACTGATGCTCTATCGCAGGTTGTTGTTATGCTGCAGGGTAAGCTGGCCGATGTAGGCGCTAGCTTCAAAGAAGTGCTTGAGGTCCGCACCAAGAACATTCAAGCATCCCGTTCACGAACCGAAAACTTCGTTTCTTCGGTATCCTCGAAGTCTCACAACGCCCTCGATGCCCAGCGCTCAGATTCTCCTTTGTATAATACTTCGGGACGACGGACACCCCAGCCCGGATACCAAGGAAACTCCTCTGATCTATTGACACTCGAGCCGTCAAACCCTTCACCCTTAGGGCGCCCTTCGTTCCAATCAGACCAACAGTTGATGGTAATGGAAGAAGGAGAGTCGAGTAACACCTACGTTCAAGCTCGAGGCGAGGCCATCGAGGCCATCGAGCGAACCATTAGTGAATTGGGTGGCATTTTTGGCCAGCTAGCGCAGATGGTTAGCGAACAGTCAGAAATGATCCAGCGAATCGATGCCAACACGGAGGATGTCGTGGACAATGTCCAAGGCGCTCAGCGTGAACTCATGAAATATTGGACCCGCGTCTCCGGCAATCGCTGGCTCATCGCCAAGATGTTCGGGATTCTGATGGTATGTATGATCGCTCTCCTATTTGGTTGTTTTACTAAACATCGTTCTTAGATCTTCTTCCTTCTCTGGGTCTTGATTTCGTGATAGACACGACACCAACCCTTCTTCTTCCATACTGTATAATAATACCTGGCCGGTGGGCTTTTGACAGATCATGGCCCTTCTGCATGTCCACACTCGCCGAGCATTTACATTTCTCTTTGCTCTCTGGCTAGACACTGGGATGTTTGAACCACCACGCTCTTTAGCTTCCTTTTCATCTTTCTTTGTTGACTGGGACTGTGTCCCGAAGAGTTACCTGAGTAAATACACCTCATGTACTAATTGAATTGAACCCATTTATGGACAGCCATAAAAAGCTCTAGAAGAAAAAATCGCCGTGAATTGAACTACCCGAGTCCTTCATCTTCAACATAGCTTAGTCTATGTGCGATCAAAATGCGTCATGGCATTCCACAACTCTGATTCCGCCCATCCTAAAGATGGTTGATTATCAAACAATTCCCACACAAGACTGTCATCCCACCCTTCGACAGTCCGCAGAGCATTCGGGCTTTTCCCAGTAGGCTCCGTACTCCGAAGACTGACCATAGCTTGATCCGCAGCACGCCCAAACACACCTGCGTACGATCCACCCTGACCAGGCTTGTCAGTTGGGCCAACATCAGAAAGCGCGGCTATCGATTGTTCAGGCTGACGGTGGTCGGGGTTACCCTTTATGAGGGGTGCACACAGATCCAGAAATTTGGAGAAAAGCTTGTACAACTTTCCGATGGAGGCATTCGCTTCAGCAAACTGGTGCAGTTCGTCGGTAATGTTTTTGATCATGGTGAAATCTCTCTCGTTTGATGTTGCAATCACATTGCAGAAGAGCACGAAGAAGGGCGCTAGAGGGAATAGCAGCATTGTCCTATTTCGGCTTGTTAGTGCGCGCCATCTTGATATGAAACCATATCATATATCATACCAAGTGAGAAAGTAGGGATACGAGTTGATGGAGTTGAGATGGCTTGAGAACGCCTCCTGCAATGCGCGGAGAGTAGTCAGGGCTTCGCGGGCTGTGTATAGGCAATCTTCGCAGACCAGGCGGGACTTCAGCACGGATGAGCGTGCTTGGATAATTGTCGTCAGAACGGAATAGTAGTTGAAGTCCATTGATAGCCATTCGCGTCGCAGGTGGCTCCACAATTGTGGGAAGTCTTCTTCTTGGCGACGACGGAACTATAGGTTTCAATCAGTGGCAGTTTTGGTGGTTTTGGTGGCTATTTGCTTTGGTTTTACCATCTGCATTTTAGAATGGATTGCGTGTGCCCGAGTCACTAGATCTGATAGTATCCTGGCCTTGTCTGTGTCTCCTATAGTTTTGGTGTCGAGCAAAATATTCAGTAGCGAGTTTTTCAGTTCCGCATACTCGAGTATGCCTGTTATCATAGCAGAGGTTGGCAAATCAGGGTCGATATGAATCAGCTGCGTCGGGGCAACTTTCAGATCTGGCAAGGAAGGCGGCCTAAGTAGTAGCAAGCTGAGTGTTTTGTCAAAGTAGTAACAAGTGTACACACAAGCATGTATACTTTCTTCAATCTCACTTCGGGGTTGGACGTCCGTAATGTTGTGATAATTCAGGGAAACAATCACCCTCGAAGCTAGCGCGGTGAACATCCAACAGCGTGACATGTTTCCTAAATATTGCATCAAGCGTGTCTGCCATACATACATCAGTGAGATTTTTGTAATGAGATATCACGCTGAAGAGACAAACCGCAGACATAAGTGATTGAAGCAAAAGAAGACTTGGGGCAGCTGCCAATGGAACCTGATTCAGCAATTCTGTAGCAGCAGCTTCATATCTTTTCTTAAGCTTCCGAAAATGGATCTTCAAAGGCTCGCTCGGGATCAAAGGGGCCAATTTTGATATGCATCCCATAGCTTTTACCCAGACAATGATTCGGTAGTGCTGGAGCACTTGCTCGCATTCATTGCCCTCGATAATAGCAAGCCCCATTTGTTCCAAAGCCCTATCAGAGATGTGATCAGGCCAGGAGAACGTTCCCTGTGAGTTTGTTCTCTTGTCAGGTCCTGATAAAGTCAGCATGATGATCCATCTGCCCCAGAATTCCTATTCTACGTACCAGGAAGCATCATGTAGAGCAATTCCGGTGTGAGATTTGGAGGCTCGAGGTTGTCATCAACATCAATATCGTCCATGGCGGCAGTCTCTTCCCAATGTAAAGTTGGGTTAGACAGCTGGTTGATGAACTTTCGGGCTGATTCAAGCGCAGTCCGCCGATCTTTTGATAGTGCCAGGTTGCACTGTAGCTCATGTTCAATGTACTCCCGTGCTTCACTGGCATGATGCGTTGAGCCAGGAGAATGCACTTGGTGAACATTCTGCTGAGCCACAGTCTGAGACTTATGGCGCTTGCTGGTTGACTGCTGTGGCAATTTTATGTCTTGCGAGTCATATTCTCTATGACGCTTTTTTTTGTCGTTGTGCACCTCAGTAGTGATTGGGAAGTCAGTTGATGGCGAAGAAAAAGTACTATTGGTAATATGACGGTTGGCTGTATAGTCTAATGGCTCGTGACTGTTTGACTCTTCGAGTCTTGCCAACCGTTGAGTTAATGCTTCCAATCTGAATTAATCAGTTGCTGGTTGCGAGCCTCGCTTAGCCAAGATTCATTGCACATACCGAGAAACTCGGGGTCTATGCACGCGTGCCTGACGATTACGAAGACATTTTGTGCCTGCATCGGTGCAGTTCATGCAAGGATCCTGGCGATCGCATTTCACCTGTCGATGGTTTCAGATGAGCACAGGTATTGAAGAGAGCGAATTGCCAGTTGATAACTCTACCTTTCGAGTGTGACAGAGGTCGCACTGCGAAATCAATTAGTTGGACTATGTATATGTACGTTTAAGGGGAAGAGAAAAGGAGAAGGACTTGATAGTCGCTGTATCGCACCTTCCTGATGCTTCTCAACTCACAGCGGACATTTCGGAATTTTACGATGTTTCGGAATCCGAGGATTGTTTATGGCATGTCACCGTATTGCACTAGGGAAAGAGTTGCCTCTCGAATGAGTAACTTCGAGTCTTGGGGTCGCAAGTTCGGCACCCGAAATGCCGCGATCCGAGCGTTTAGCCCAGAGATCGGCTAGGACCTTCGATATACACATTTTTGAATCCATTCTCATTCTGTCATCTTCTCATTTTATAATGTGAGGTGAGATTGTTTATAATCATTCGTCATAGCAATCATAACAAGATTCACACTCCAACTTCACAACAGACCCATGCAGAATATGCACCTCTGTATCTTGAACAGTATGCGGAATAGCACCTCGTCTATCCATTTCATGGCATGCTGCTTGAAACCATACATGGTTCAGCTCTGGTTCATGATTTGTGTTCTTGCCATGATCGCTGACAGATGCCATATAGTCGTTCAGATCTTTTCGCATACTCAGCAAGAATTCCTTGCGATGGGACCATGTTGAATCATGAACGACCTTCCGTTTACTATGATCATCCTTCGCGACAGAAACAAAGAAGCTGACAATTCTTTCCATGGTCGAAGTGGTAAGAAGAAGACTGATCCAACTTTCCGCAGAAGAATGGGGAATTTCCGGGCCCATTAAGCGCTGAACCGTTGAAAAAAGTAGATGCATGCAGTGGTGAGTGGAGAGAAAGATTTGGGTGTCTGTAAAAGGTGCCTTTTGAAGAATTGTTTGCTGCCTTTCGATGGACGAGGCCATATCACGTCCGTGACCTGAGTGATGAGATTCATGGGCCGAAAAGGCGCAAGACTCAAGGAAGAATACTGCATAGGCTCTGGATCTGAATTAGAAAGATGTTACGCAACATATTTGGTGGAAAATTACATCGGATATAGAAGCTTGGCCTGGAGTGATACCACAGCTTTGCTGTACACAACTTCTTTCTCCGTCTTGGAAGACGACCACAGAGGATGGGCAATTGGATCCGTTTCCAGGTGATGCTCAACCACATGATCAGCCAGGTGATAGGATAGCCGAATACAAGTCTTCCAACAGCGCGTCAAGTCACCGAGATATCCCAGAGAATATCCTGCATTATCTTGGTCCATGTCTGAGTTGTATTCAGGCGGCGGAGGAGGAAATAACTCAGAGATAAATGCGATATCATCTCCTGGCGATAAAACGCCATCAATAGAGTGCCCCTCATGATGCATCTGTTTACGAAGTTGAATATATGCCCACGCTATGGCAAAGTCCAGCTTGGTGACTCGGTCGTGCAGTGATCGACAGGAGATAGCCAAAGATCCAATGTCTTTCAAATCACAGGATGCCAATATCGCAACAAAAACATGGGAAGGGAGTTTCTTCCATACTGATTCCTTTGGTCCAGCGGAGACCGAGTTCCGTTTGCCTCTCCGGAGGACTGTTCTCACTCGATCGAGAAAATGTGTCATGGTTCAAGTAAAGATTGAAGTATTAATATATGTATATCCCTTTTGGCATGAAAGAATGAGTATCAATGCAGAACAAAATCATTTGCGAATGTCTGACAGTGTGACCGTATAGGTGTAGTCATGGGACCAAATAGACTTCGGTGGCATTGGAACAAATACATATAGGAATCTTCAACCGATCAAAGGAATTTTCACAGTTTCAGCCTGGAATCAAGCAATTGCAGTGGAGAAGACCAAGCCAATCGAAGTACACAATTTGGAACAACCGAGATTGAAATGATGTCGCTTGTGGAGATGCTAGTAAATTAACTAACTTAGTTTTACGCCTTGGAGCCTGGTAATCCAGGCAGAAGATCGGTCTCATTCGGCGCCGACGTTTACCTCCCGGATAACAACGATCAGTATCACACTCCTATTTCCTCTTTAATTAATTCACCATTGAAAGGATATTCGTACCTTATATGGTGAGTCAAGTTCGTTTGAGGGTTATGCCACAGTGATGGACGGCCTCAATAATCCCTCAGATGGCGCGAGGGCAACATACTTGCCACCAAAACAATCCGCATCATTTTCGTGTGTCGTCTGTCACAATCGGAAGGTCAAATGCGATAGGCAGGAACCATGTTCAAATTGTGCAAAAGCAAAAGTGGAGTGTGTCTACCGTCCTCCCCCACCACGTCGTCGCAAAAGGGGCCCTGAGATAAATGGGAGTGTGTCACAAGAACGCGGAAAAACTGCTAGACGCAATGCGGAAGCTGTCGGAAATGCTTCTGCCATTCAGAGACTTCCAGATGGGGAAGGGTACGGGGCTGATCCAAAGAAAAGTGGATCTGGGAGGATGATCATGAAAGATGGCAATTCTATCTACCTCGACAAGTGAGTCTAGTGCCGAAACCGACCTACTATCAGTTTCTGACTCGCACATCAGCAATCTATGGACGAGTGTCAGCAATGAGGTAAGTACTTGTCAAGAGTCTGAATGTTGCGATTTTGACCGTTTTTGCTAGCTTCCAAATGCAGCAGACGTATTGGGAGATATATCGGATACAGGCACCGATGATTATGCCCAGGACGTGAACGATGAGTACACAATACTCTCGACCTCTATGACAAAGAACATTCTCACAGAATTCCACCCGAGTCCCCTCCATATCTTCAAATTGTGGCAAACATTTCTCGAGAATGTGAACCCATTGACCAAGATTATACATGCGCCAACTATCCAGCAACAAATTTTAGAAGCCACGAGTGACCTGCGAACAGTAAGCAAAGAACTTGAGGCATTGATGTTCGCGATTTACTGTATTGCATTGGTCTCTATGCAACCGGTGGAGGCCGAAAAGTCATTCGGAGAAAGCAAGAGAGCCCTCTTAGCAAAATACAGAAAAGGAGCCCAGCTCGCTTTCAAGAACGCGTCGCTTCTTCGCACATCGAGCCTAACGGTGCTTCAGGCGTTCATGCTCTATTTGGTGTGTCCCCCATATACAGCAGGCTAAGTTTCCTCTTGGCTCCCTCCAGCCTGCATTCGATCTCTGTTCTAATAGTGGTTTGATAGTTGTGTATGCGTGCATTTTGCGATACGCATACAATCTGGACGCTATGTGGAATAGCAACACGTATTGCGCAGCGAATTGGACTCCATCGTGATGGCTCCACTCATGGATTCTCAGTCTTCGAGACAGAAATGCGTCGCCGCGTTTGGTTCCAGCTCATGATAATAGATGCCACCTCCGCCCAATTCTGTGGTGTCGCATCAACTCCCCTTCCAGCTACAATCGATGTGCGACCACCCATGAATGCAAACGATAGCGATCTCGACCCTCGAATGACTGAACCAGCCTGCGAGAAGCAAGGCCCGACAGAAATGATATTTGTTCTGGCTCGTAGCGGATTTGGAGAATGGCTACATCGTTTGTCAAATGAAATAGTTGGTTCTAATACTGGGCCGTGGGCATATCTATCATCTTCGCTGAGGGCCCTGGAAGACAAAGACAAAGCGATTGATGAGCTCGAGGATCTTATGGAAAAAAGCTTCCTTTGCCACTGCGACAAATCAATCCCGCTACATATGGCAACCAGAATGATGGTGCGTTCAGCTATACACTATACCCGACTGATGGCGCACCACCCACGCCAATACCAGGATCCCAACAATAGTGTTTCCACGACAGAGAAAGATATCATATTTGAGCATTCATTCAAAATGACGGAATATGCCGACTACGCCCAAAACAACCCAGTGGTCCGGAAGTTTTCGTGGCACACTGTCAATCATATGCCGTGGGACGCCATTATTTTCATGCTTTCGGAGTTACGGCACCGGACTGACTTTAGCGAAAAGAGCCAGGTCTGGAAACTGATTGGAAGCGTGTATTCCCAGCATGTACGCGAAATGGGCAACAAAGCTTCCACGCCTCTTCATGTCGCTATACAAAGTTTAATGGTCAAGGCCTGGCGGGCATACATTGCAGAGTGTAACCTCAAAAATCACGCACCGGTACCTTGTCCTACGATTGTTGGGCCTTTGCTCACTACTCTACCGGGGTTTTCCGACTCGCAACCCCCCAAGAAAACTATTGAAGCCGTCGAGCCTGGCGATGGGTCACATGCGCAGTCCGACCAAGAGATGGGGAGTTTCAATTTCATCCTTAATGACAGCCCGATGGATTGGAATGAATGGGATAATCTACTGAGTCAATTCCAGGGATCTTTGGCAGATGACGCAACTTATCAGACCTGACGCGGGGACAGCCTCTCATCTCGAGGGGGGAGGCTTTTACAAATCGAGCTTCAACACAATGTTTCAAAGCTCACTGAGTATTTACAAGCAACACGATTCTGACTCAGTGTCGAGAGATCACGAGAACAGATCGTCCTCGTGTTCATGTACATAAGCCAAGGCCAGTGCCCAGGTGGTGCTCGCGCCGATCGGCAACCGACCGGCAACCGACCCTCCGATCCCGCATGAACGTTTGGGCCTCGCGACTAAGAAAAAGAATTCGGAGTCGGCGACTAGCCAGCCGAGCTGTGACGATTGAGAGTTCTCAGATTGCTTCTCACTACTTGTTTTCCATCAAAAAGTCAGGATATTCGCCGCATGGAAAATATTATTTAAAGGCGATCTCGCTCAGGCCAATTTGTATCTAATAAACCCATTTCATACCTGCAATCGCATTACCACTCTCTTCCTTTTATCTACCCCCTGTGGATATGAAACCTCATACAGATGTCCTCATTGTCGGAGCGGGACCGACTGGCCTCGTTCTTGCGCTGTGGCTTCACCGTCAAGGTGTCAACGTTCACATTTTTGATCAAGCAGACGCCCCCGCAAAGAACTCACGCGCAATTGTCGTCCACGCACGCATAATAGAGCTGTACCGACAGCTTGGGTTATCCGAAGAACTGGTAGCCCTTGGTTACAAGCTGCCAGGGACGAACCTCTGGGTCCATGGGCAACATAAAGCGCATATCTCGCTACTGGACTTCGGACGTGAACTGACTCCGTACCCCTTCATGTTGAATGTTCCTCAAGACGACCACGAGAAAATGTTAGAAACGCATCTCAATGACATCGGAATTCATGTGCAGCGAGGAACCAAGTTGCAAGGCTTTGTGGATCACGGTTCGAGCATCACTGCTACACTGTTTCACGAGACCGATGGAATCTCAACTACCCATGAAGCATCGTATATCGTCGGCTGTGACGGTGCACATTCGGAAGTTCGCCATACCATTGGTGCAAAGTACGAGGGAGAAACATACAAACCACTGTTCTACATCGCCGACGTCGAAGCCCAAGACAATAAGCTTTCTAACGGAGAAGGGAATCTTCTCTTCACAAATGACATTTTTAACTTGATGATTCCATACAGCAAAAAGGGTCATGCACGATTAATTGGAATTATCACTCCAAATAATGACCAGAGCCCGACCCTGGAATCGCCAGATCATGACCACCAGGTCACCTTCGAAGACGTCCGACCCCAAATAACGGAGACAACGCATATCGACATCAAAAATGTCAACTGGTTTTCTACATACCGCAGCCACCACCGTGTTGCGGATAAATTCCGCAAAAATCGGGCTTTTCTCGTTGGGGACGCAGCCCACATCCACAGTCCAGTTGGCGGCCAGGGCATGAATACCGGCATTATGGACTCTATCAACTTAGCATGGAAGTTAACAACTGTCCTAAAGCGCACTGACATGAGTGAAGAGGCAAAAGATCAACTGTTGGATTCCTACGAGTCCGAACGACGCTCTTTCGCATTGACAATTGTTAAATCAACCGATGCCGGCTTTACCACCTTGACTTCGCAAGGAATTCTCGGCCATATACTCCGAAAATGGCTAATCCCGTATCTTGTCCCGCTAGTTGTGAGGTTTGAGTTCGCTCGCAAGCGGATCTTTCGTGGTGCGTCCCAACTCATATGCAATTACCGGGGTAGCGCTCTCTGCCAAACCGATGAAGGAATGGTGCAGTCGGGCGACCGGCTCCCGTGGGTTCGTATAGATCAACAGGACAATTTTTCCACTCTTCAAGACCTGTGCTGGCAGCTACATGTATATGGGGAGCCTGGACCTCAACTTGATCAGTGGGCCCGGAAGAAGGATGTCAAATTGTTTATTTTCCATTGGAATGATCAGTACGCCGAAGCCGGCTTGATCAAGGATGCTGTCTATCTGTTACGACCCGATCACTATATTGCAGGCATCTTCGAGGGCTCGTCTATTGAGTCGAGGCTGGACGAATACTTTCTCACTCGAGGATTGTACTAGATTTATCAATACTCAAGACTCTCTCCACTTATACTAATTTCGAACGAGTACCCTTCCTGCAGAACACGTGGTAATCCCATTTTCCCGTTTAATATGCGGCAATATGCAGTCGGCTCTATACTAATTGTATACTTCAACGCATGCGCCAAGACTAGAATATGATTGGTGGCTTGGCAGAAATTGAAGCTCAAAAAATGGATTTGATTGGTGTGCCTGTGGAGGTTTAGCTCTATAGGACCCACGTGTGCTTTGCAGGAACATTCGTTTTATTTTGTCTTTCTTTTATACTCTCCGCAATATGATTCGCTAAAGTTGCCTGCATATCAGGAGAAATCGGTATCATCCGATTATTCCAAGGTTGCCCGCTCCACTCATCCCACTTAAGCTTGCTGGCGTGCTCGCTAAGCACTCGAACTGACCAGGTTGTTTCATCAGGAAACATATTGCTTGCACATGTGGCCGCAATGATGGGTTTTTATTTGCCATGCCATTTAGGACTAGCTCTATACACCGTTGTACATTCCTAACTTGGAATGTCGTTTGATAATTTCGGATAAGCCCCGACAGGGATATAAAAGCCTCGCAATGGCCATAGTGATCATCGTACTCACTTCCATCATACCCTTTAACTCCTTTCAAATCTTGGAGAGATGAAAACAAACGCTCTCATTTCCTTGCTTGGTTTGTCCGGTAGCGCCCTAGGCGCTGCGGTGGCTAAGGGAAGCCAAGAGCCCTTCGGATACAAATCCGGCTCGAAGGAATCTATTGCCAACATGAAGGATAAGATCGAGAACGTTGTGTGGATCCTACTGGAGAACCGTGGATTTGACAATATCCTCGGTGGTGTCAAGAAGGATGGCTTGGACAATGTTGTCAACAACGGTCCCTTTTGGAACCCCCAAAGCGTCAATGATACCAACAGCAAGAAGTGGTACAGCCAGTACAAAGACTACGACTCGGTCCTCCATGATCCTGACCACTCTGTCACTGGTGTTAACTTTGAGCTCTATGGAACTTACAACCCCGACAACGAGGCTATCGCTAATGGTACCTTGAAGCCCAACCTGGAGGGCTTTGTCAACCGCCAGATGGACGCCTACCCCAGTATCTCAGCCCAGCGGGCCACTGATGAGGTTATGGGCTACTACTCGGAAGATGAAATTCCAACTCTCGTCGATTTGGTTGATGAATTCACCACCTTCAACTACTGGCACTCTTGTGTCCCTGGTGTAAGTATCACCCAGCTTTGGAAGATGGCGTAGCATGAAAGATCAAACTAACAACCAACCAGCCTACCAACCCCAATCGCCTCTGTGCAGTCTCCGGTACTGCCGATGGCCACGGCAAGAACGATGAGAGCTTTGATGTCTCCGGCGTGGACACCAGCAGCATCTTCCAAGTTGCCTCAGAGAAGGGCATCTCGTGGCTCAACTACGACGGCACCAACGGCGATTTCCTGCCTGACTCCATGTTCTTCAACTGGACAGCTCAAAACGCCAAGAGCAATGTCGTGCCACTTGAAAACTTCTACCAAGACGCCTACCTGGGTCTTCTGCCGCAGCTGTCTTACATCAACCCATCTTGCTGCGGTCTGAACACAAACTCGATGCACCCCTCCGGCAACGTTTCCTTCGGCCAGGTCCTCCTGAAGCAGATCTACGATGCCGTCCGCACCGGTCCGCAGTGGGACAAGACCCTCCTTCTTATCACCTTTGATGAAACTGGCGGTTTCTTCGACCACGTTGCGCCCCCGCTTGCCGTCCGCCCCGACGACAAGACCTACACTGAGACCGCTGTTGATGGCAGCGAGTATACACTCAACTTTGATCGTCTGGGTGGCCGTATGCCCACCTGGTTGGTTTCTCCCTATGCTCCTCAGGGCCATGTTGAAAACTATGGCACCGATCCTGTCACTGGCAAATCCTCTTCCTACAGCGCTACCTCGGTGCTCAAGACGCTCGGCTACTTGTGGGATCTGGAAGATATGAGCCCTCGTGTGAAGCACTCTCCTGCCTTTGATCATCTCATTGGCCCCAAGGCTCGCTCTTCGGCCCCCACCACCCTCAAAAATCCTTCCCCTTTCCCTGATGCTATCTAAGAGATTGTGCCAGATGCTCGCACACATGAAAAAAATCGGACGTTGATTAGATGAACGTACGTGATATGAGAGGATGAATGTCTTTAATTATTTGTTGTATTTAATATATATTCTTTTCGAGACGTGGAATCTATTTACGATAGGGCTTTACATTGGAGCGGTTTACTCTTCTTTGACTTTTGCAACCATCTCTAACCACCTTACTCACATTAAACTGATCATATGTTCAAAAATTGTGACGAACATTCTATTGGATCCAAGCAAGAATATCAGACGTCTACTTGACGGACCGGACAGTGCTATCTCCAGTCGGATCCGGAATCGGATCCGACCTATCATCTCACCTCAGCGCCCGCAGGCGTATACTAAATTGTGTGGACAAATTGATCAACTAGTGACAAAAACCAGGCCAGGTAATGGGCTAATTTGACGGGGAATACGAGGCAACATGATTTCTATCTATAAAAGACTGAGACACCCACAAACATCTTTTAATATGTATCAACGCAAACCATCAATCTAATCAAACACGAGCACACCAAACACCCCTTTGCAACAAATCACCTCACACCATGGCCCAAGGAAACATTGCAATCATCGGTGCTGGCCTCTCCGGCCTCACTTTGGCACTTGCACTTGACAAGCAGTCGATCCCATGCACTATATACGAGTCCCGCTCTGCCTCGCTCGACATCGGCGGCGCAATCATGCTTTCCCCCAACGCCCTGCGTATTCTAGATGCAGTGGGAATCTATGAACAGATAAAGCCCCACGCGTTCCATTTCAAAGACCTCCATTTCCGCACGACTGTTCCCCTCGACTCATACGAATTCGGGAACCAGGAGAGATATGGATACGACGGGGTCCGTATCTTTCGTTACGAACTAATCAAGGCCCTACTGGCCACGACCAAAGAACGAGGAATACAAATTCAATACGGCAAAAAGTTCGTTAAGGTCCTCTCTGAAACCGAAACCGAAGTCTTCTGGGAGTTTGACGACGGCACGACTGGACAAGCAGCATGTTTGATTGGGGCGGACGGTATTCACTCCAGTGTGCGCAAGTATCTGTATCCAGATCTGGAACCCATATTCACCAATACCGTTGGCGTCAATGCCGCTGTACCCACTGCCCAACTGAATCTCCCGGACTCGTTCGACAACCCCGTGACATTCATGAACCCCAAACATGGCGCTTTTGTCATGGCACCACAGCTAGCCGACGGCTCTGAAGCCTTCATCGGCAAGCAAAAGCGTGTATCGGAACTGGACCGTGAGGGCTGGGCAGCGTTGCTCAACGACAAGCAGTGGTGTATTGAGTTCCTCCGCCAAGGAGCCGAAGACTTCCCCAAAGTTGTGCAGAACGCAGTCTCGAATATCGAGTTGGACAGAATTAGCCTCTGGCCTTTCTATGTCGTTCCCAAGTTGGATACCTGGACTTCAAAACACTCCCGTGTCGTCATTCTCGGTGATGCCGCGCATGCTATTCCGCCTACTGCTGGCCAGGGCGTTAACCAAGCATTCGAGGATGTCTACACATTTGCTGTAATCTGCGCCCGCTGTAAGCCCCAGGAGCTTGAGCGCGGTCTGAAGATCTGGCAGCATGGTCGACAGGGACGAGTCGATCGGATCTTGGAGCTTAATGCTCAAATCGATGCTCGCCGGATGCCTAAAGATCCTGGCTCGGTCCCAACGGAAATTCAAAGTCGTGAATTCGATCTGGAGTGGCTATACAGCCCTAACTTTGACGAGATGGCGGAAAATTGGCTCGAGCAAGCTATTGAGGCTTGATGTTGACGGGTTGTATAGTTGTATTGTTCCTGATCATATATGTTGCTGCTTAGCAATTAGGCTTTTAACCAGAAAGAAATTTAATATATGAAATTAGAATTTTCTGTTCAATGGAGTTCTAAACCGAAAAGAAAGTCGCAGGCATAACTATAGCTGCCATTGACACCTAAGGCATAAAGGCTAAACTACATTGGGTGTCGATCTGGAGATTCTCGAATTCCTCCGCGGCAATTGATAATCAACCTTCTCTCTCCCAACCACAGCCTTGATACAAACAACTCAACATGGCCTCTCCTATGAGATTGGCAAGTGGGCTTCTAACCCGAGCCACCCGGACCATTGCCATTGAATCCGCCCCGACACAACGCCTCCTCCGAAGCAACACTGCATCGCAATGCCGAGCCTACACCCAAGCACAGCGCCCACGATGCCAACAAAGTATGCCTAGCATGATTACTGCAAAGAACAATTTCTCAACTTCTGCGTTCCGCGAGAAAGGCAAGACAATGGGCCAGCTGCGCCAGCGTCACACGAACGGTCCATTTTCGTGGAAGGCCGCGCTGCTCTTCGTGTTGACCAGTGCTGGTATGATGCTCTACTTCCGCGTTGAGAAAGCCCGTCTGGAACGGAAGCGCATGACGGAGATGAGCAAGGGTGTTGGAAGGCCGAAGGTTGGCGGTCCGTTTGTGTTGAAGGACCTTGACGGGAAGGAGTTTACCGCAGAGGATTTGAAGGGCAAATACAGCTTCGTAAGTATTTCTGACAAAGGAAGAATTGGCCGGAGGCATCATCGGGATATTAGCTGACACCATTCCGCTCATTTCCAGGTCTACTTTGGCTTCACTCACTGCCCCGATATTTGCCCTGATGAGCTCGACAAGATGGCTGAGATCATTGAGAAGGTCAAGGCATCTACCAAGGATGAGAGCCTCTTCCTGCCCGTATTTATCACCTGCGACCCTGTTCGCGATACACCAGACGTCCTGCGCGATTATCTGAAGGAATTCCACCCCGGCATTGTCGGCTTGACCGGCACATACGAGCAGGTCAAGAATGTTTGCAAGCAATACCGTGTCTACTTCAGTACGCCTAAGGATGTGAATCCCGGCGAGGATTACCTCGTCGACCACAGCATCTACTTCTACCTCATGGGTAAGTGAACCACCGAGAATATGTGCTTGGTGGCAGAATGCTGACGATTCACCATAGATCCTGATAACGACTTCGTTGAGTGTATCGGTCGCCAGGATACCCCTGAATCTGCGTCGAAGGTGATTTTGGAGCACATCAATGACTGGAAGAGGGAAGGAAGGCCGCTGAAGGTCGAGTAAGCGGTTTGGTGTGATGTGTATGTATGGAAATTGTACAATATAGCTACTTGAATATCTGAATACCCTACTCATACCGGAACTGTGGTCCCCCAAAAGGCATATAATCGCACAGCTGAAACATTGATGCCAAGCTTGTTCGAAAGATGTTCGCAAATGTGAGGAATCAGCAAACCGATCTCCTTGTCACAACGTACAATGTAGCATCTATGGATAGCACTCAGCTCTGCTCACATTCCACAAGCAGGAAACCACTAATTCGAGGGTGCGCTTCCTCCCGAGGGCCATCATCCTCCAAGTCTCAATTACCCTTCAAGGGTCTCCCTTCAGCATCCCTATCGGCATTGGCCCTCCACTCCATACCCCCATCAACAAACTCCTCCCTCTTCCAAATTTCCGCCTTCTCTTTACAAGCCTCCAGCACCTCCTCGCCAGCTCTCCATGCCGCCGCCCGATGTCCCGAACTAACAGCAATAGCAATTGAAGCCTCTCCAATAGGCACAACCCCCAATCGATGCGCAATGCTCACACCTTTAAGGTTATGTGTCTTGACGGCAACCTCCGCGATACCCGCTAGGGTTTTCAGCGCAAGCGGCGGGTATGTCGTGTAGCTTAGTTGGGAGACGGGGCGGCCTTCGAATGTGTCGCGAGTAGTACCGAGAAAGAGCGTGTTTGCGCCTGCTGCGGGGGAGGAGGTCTGTGATAGATAGGTGTTTGGGTCGAGTACATCGTAGGTTAGCGTTACGTGGATGTTTTGGTCTGCATCGTGGTGTGTGCGTGGATAGGTTTTTGGGTCCAGGTGGGCTGGAACGGGCTCATTGGTCGTCATCGTGTTGGCATCTGTGTGGAAACTTCTTTGGAAGAGTCAAGAGTCAAGATGGAATTGCAGTGGGATTCTTATCGGCTGCGGGGATCGGTGGATAAGAGCGTCCCGAGCTGCGGAAACCACCGAAGGACTTCAAGAGAAGGATATGAGACTCGGTTTCAATATCGTTTAGTTATTAAGGAATTGAGACTACACTCATAATGGTCATTTCATTTATTCGGAAATAAAGATCTAGGTACATTGGGGAACATTGACTACCCCGACTTACAAAATTAGGACCACAGCTTCGTACGGCCGAAGAGTCCACTTATCACCAGAGAAGCGCGGGAGAGCTTCATCAGTGCCTTCGTAGGAGTTGAGCAAAACCTGCTTGGCAGTATTGACACCATTGGCCGCCGCATCCCAATCTAGTGTCTTCTCTGTCCAGTGAGACAAAACCAGGATCTTCTGGTCATCGTACTGGCGAGTGTACGCGAAGAATTCCTGGCTCGGTTTGTCCAGAAGAGTGAAATCACCATAGACAAATGTGTCAAGGTACTGCTTGCGTAGCTTCAGCACAGTGGCCCAATAATGGTATGTCGAGTGGGGATCCTTGACTGCAGCCTCAGCGTTGACAGTGGTATAGTTTGTGTTCACGGACATCCAGGGCTTGACGCCAGGTCCAGTGAATCCAGCATTTTCTGCAGCTGACCACTGGACCGGGGTACGGCCATTGTCGCGGGACTTCTTCTGGTACTCCACCAATGCAATTGCTTGAGCCTCTTTGTCATCTTTCGGCAGACTACGGAAGAGTCAGCTTTTCCATGTACAAGGAGAACAGTAGACATACCTTTTCCAATGATTCACGGCGCCAAGATCTTTGTATTCTTCGATGCCCCACGATTTTGGCACATTTCTCATTCCAATCTCTTGACCTTGGTACACAAATGGAGTACCAGCTTGCAAAGCCAGAGCGGTGGCCAACATCTTGGATGCATCCAGTCCATGCTCCTCACTAGCCTTGGCATAACGATCTATAGACCGTGGATTGTCGTGGTTTTCCAAGTAGAGAGCGTTCCAGCCATCATTGGCGTACATGAAAGTCTGCCAGCGCTCAAAGAAGTTCTTGAGGTCGGTGAGTTGCAAGCTGCCAGGGTCAAACTGGCCGTACTTGCCATAGTCCATATTGACATGCTCAAAGTTGAAGATCATATTGAGCTCGTTGCGCTCAAACTGTACGGCACGAAGTACCTCCTTCTCATCCTTGACGAAAGGCATCTCACCTACACTAAAGGCATCATAATCCTTGAGAATCTCTCCTAACTCTTGCAAATACTCGTGCAAACGCGGTCCATTGGCGTAATACATGTGTCCCCACTGCCAGGGTCTATTTGGATTTGTGATGGGTGCGTCGGGGTAGCTCTGGTCCTTGCTAATGAGGTTGATCACATCCATGCGGAATCCGTCACATCCCTTGTCAAGCCAAAATCGCATGATATCGTGCACTGCCTTTCGGACAGGCGGATTTTCCCAGTTAAGATCAGGCTGCTCTACCGCATAGAGGTGAAGATAGTACTCCTGTGTGTGCTCGTCCCACTCCCAAACGCTTCCTGTAAAATCTCAAATTAGATGGCTACCAGGACTCACAAATATAAGCATTCACGTACCTTGGAAACGGCAGAACCAGTTATTGGGAGGTTGGCGATTGCCATTTTCATCATACTTCGCAGGCTTCCAGATATACCAATCACGGTATGGATTATCCTTGGAGCTCCGTGACTGCTTGAACCATTCATGCTGATCACTAGTATGGTTGACGACCAGATCCATCAAGAACTTCATGCCCCGTTCGTGGCACCCAGCGATCAACTTGTCGACATCTGCAACTGTGCCGTACTCATCGGCGATATCGTAGTAGTCGGAAATATCGTATCCCATGTCTACCTGGGGCGATTTGAATGCCGGGCACAACCAGACAATATCTATTGCCAGATCTTTGATATAGTCAAGCTTAGAAATGATGCCGGAAATGTCACCAATGCCATCGTCATTCGAGTCCTTGAAAGAAGCTGGCCAGATTTGATACACAGAGCTCTCTTTCCACCAGGCGCGGTGGTTGGAATTCCTGGGGCCAGCCATGACGAGAGAAGAGTAAAAAGAATAGAGTGAAATGTAGTATATCAGAAAGTCGTAAACTTGATTAGGGCGATTGGTTGTTTATATAGGAAATCGAGAAAAGACATGTAGATAGCTTCAAAAATGGAGATTTAATTCAGTGGGGCGGGCATGTTCTCAGTGCTATAGGGTTTACTAAGAAACAGGAACGCAGGATTACAATTTACAACCCAGGGTACATCTGGCTCTCATGTGATGGCCTAATAGGACTTATGGCTGGGTACAAATGAACGCACCCTAGTAGACCGCGGCAGACTAGTCGTCTATATGTGGCCAGTAGATCTGTGATGACTAAATGGGTTTTATCTAGGGTAACCACCATCTAGGTCTAAATTGCTGAAGCCTAGGCGCTGAAAGGGGATTTCCGGGCATCTCAGAGACGCCCTTGTCTTCGTATACGAAAGCGATTCTATTTAAGAAGCAAAAGATCGATCCCAGGGGTGGTATTATCGCTGTATATGATAACGACAAACCCAGCTAAGCTGTAAAGATGCAATTCTCTTAGCGTAAGAATGTTATCAATGTTTTGTTATTTATTAGTGATCTATATGTTATAGATGTAGGCATCCATGGATAGGGCGGTCAAACAATGATGCTGGTGATATCGGCGGTGGCGCCTTATCGTCTTATCGGCTTGTCGTGGGTTTGTCGCGGGTTTGTTGCGAACTTGGTTTGTCACAACCTCGTACTACTGACTTCCAAGTCAATACACCATGGTGCATCCTTATTCGAATGATAGCAGATATCCACCTGGAAGGGGTCATCGACCCTTCCCTACTCGCGACGATCGGGATGGTCGTATGTATGACGATCGATCCGGCTCGCACTCACCTGGCGGTACAACTGGCGGTACAAGCTCCTCCCCGCACGGTAACGGCGTCTGAGCTATACACACCTTAGCAACATGACCAAATTTATATCTGGCGTTGAACTGTGGCTAATTTGATCTTGATTCAATTGGGGAATAAAGATCGTTCTCGCTCCCCTCCTCGAAGACCAGCAATAGACCGCAGACACGAACGCTCCAGGGACCCGGAATCTGCTGCGGGTTACCGAGGCCAAGGTCGAGATGACTATCGTCGTCGAAATTCTCGCTCGCCTGATCGCCGGGGAAGACAAACGTACAGAGACCGTGATCACGAAGGTTATCGAAGTGGCAGCCATAGTCGCAGCCGCAGTCCTCGGCGAGGCCAGTCCAATATTGGATTTGAGAGCCGTGAAGTCATGATGGAAGGATTCCCTGTGGATATGACAGAAGACGATGTGAGTGATGAGCACTCAATGGGCCCAGGGCCGGTTTCTTCACATGGGGTCGAGGACAAGGGCTGACAACGATTTGTCTGGCTGAACCACAGATTGCAGCTGAACTCAGAGTTGCGTATCGTGTTGACGGCCTGGAAGACGTTCGGGTGATTCGTGATCGACAGACCAGTATGTGATATCAACAAAAATGCCGCGATGCCTTCACTTCTGACCTAATATTGCGTTTGATAGAACTGTCAAGGCAGTTAGGGTTCCTTCGATTTCCCAATATCGAGCAATCACGAGAGTTCGTGGAAAAAAACCATCCAAACATTTACTTTTATGGCCCTAGTGCTGGCCCAAATGACCGAAGCACCAAAGTACGCATTGCTTACAGCCGCGAGAGGGAAGATAGAGCTCGTCAAAAGGGAGAGGGCGATTGGACTTGTCGGATGGTAAGTACATTTGGCATCTTCAAGATTTGAATTGGGTGTTGGAAGATTTAACCTGAGCGGTGCTTACCTGTTTAGTGTGCTATCTCCAATTATGCCACACGTATCAAATGCTTCAAATGCAATGCCCCACGTCCTGGTGCGAACCATCAATCCTCTCAACTACAACTCCTCTCCTACATACTCTAACTGCCCGCATAGAAATGACTGCTACTGGACCACCTGGAGTTCCGGCTCCCAAAGTCGTAAATTTTGGTGATAATGATGCTGCTGCCGAGAATCAACCCTCTCAGTTTCTGTTGTTCCGTGGCTTGGACCATTCAGTCACGGAGGAGCTTCTTGCTAGGGGCGTTGCCAAGCTTTACCGGCCATCTGGAAACAGTGATAACGCTCCCACCAACAATTCAAAGAAGGGATCAAAGGTAGCCTCGACGACTGGCGATAGTAACCTTGGAGCACGAGAAGGTTCAATCCGCCGTGTCCTCCTCGTGCGGGATCGCAGAACCAATGAAAGTTGGGGTTATGGCTTCGCAGAATTCGCGGTTGTTATGGTATGCCCATTTATTCCTCGTCATGCATTGGTTTTACCCTATCTCACGCTCAAATTCAGGACGCGCAAGCGGCCATGACCCGCCTCAAATCTTTCGAAAAGTTCACCATCTCGTCAAAGCCTGTCATGGTCAGCTACATTCATGCCGGAGTGTTTATCCCGGTCATGAACCCGTCAATTAGCACCAACCGTTTCACATTCAGCCCTTTGAGCAATCCATCATTGAAGCTGATGTACTGGGATGACGAAGCGTTTGTGACAGAGCTCACCCTGTCAACAGAGGTGAATGATGCCTCGCAGGAGCAGCTCAACCAAGACAGCCAAGCTAAGGGGGCGAAGGACTCGGAAAAAGTGAAAAAGAGAAAAGCCGATGCTACCGCTGGCGCAAACGCCAAGAAGCTTGCAATGCCATCCCAACTGCAATTCTGGAGTGACCGTCATGCCGAGCTTCACGGTATCTCAAACGCGGGAGATGGGAATCCTCCAGAGACTGCCGAACCGGTCCAGTCATATGCCGACTACAACCGAGTTTGCTGCTGGCTATGCATGCGTTCGCTGAGAGATCCGGCAAAACTCAAATTGCACGAGCGTGCTAGCGAACTTCACCAAGCCAACCTGCAGAACAAAGAACTGACGGATTACGCCATGTACAAACTCGTTAAACATGGCCTCATTAAAGCACCTGAAGATTACCAGCAACTGCCTGTTGCCGAATACCGAGACCGTGCAATGGAGCGCCGCCGGGCGTTTGGCCGTGGCACCACCTTTGGCCCTCAAAAGTCCGTGGCACCGAAGGAGGATAACGAGCCACCTGTTCAGACGAAGACGACTTCCAAGGGTGCCTCACTTCTCAGCAAAATGGGCTGGTCCGAAGGCACTGGCTTGGGTGCGCAAGGGACCGGTGTGGTTCAACCAATTGCCACAGAAGTCTATGCCCAGGGTGTGGGTCTGGGTGCCCAAGGAGGTAAGCTAGGTGATGCAACTGAAGAGGCGAGTCGAAACACACGTGGTCGTTACGATGAATTTCTGGAGAAAAACAAGGATTCTGCCCGTCAGCGCTACAAAGATATGTACGGGGCTTGATTTTCTCCCGGTGCGGCTTTTGGCCGATTGACTATAAATCAACTGTGTCCGTGATATCCGAGTTTCAGACTCTTCTGCCGCGCTTTATCGCTTACTGATTGTATGGGGACTGATCAAAATATCCGTTTCTGGTGCCTTATGGTTCACCCTTGTCCATGCTGCTTTTCCAAATGAAGTCTTCTCTGGTGCTCAGATCAGCCATGTCTATGGTGATAGCTTGTACGATAATTATAATTGAATTAAATATCTTCCAATCTGACTGCCATGTTCCTTTCAATTGTGGTTGGCGATAAGTAAATGTCTAATGTACAAGCTGGTATCAAATCATGAGTAGAGTGTATGCAATATATTAACATGGAAGAAAACACTGATGATGCTCGAACAACTCAGTTATCTTTGGTATCTTGGTCCGTCTTGGCCTGCTGGAACGCCCTCTTCATCTTCTCCTTCTCCAACTGCTTCTCGAACTTATCACCGAGTACTTTAGTCACCCATTCCGTCACTTCCTGCTCAAGCTCCTCGTCACTCTTCACAGGTGTGTCACTACCGCCCTGCAATCCTGCCCGGACGAATATCCGCATATCCTCAAGCGAATTGATATTCAAAGCGTACCCAGCCGCCCCGCCAGCCATCAGACCAAAGGAGATCACATTAAGAGTGGCCAAGTTCAAAGCTTCGAAGGCGTCCATTGCAGAATTTGAGTGAGGCTGGTGGTACAAAGAGCTGGTATAGAAAGGCGGAATGCAGGCGATGCGTTTCTTGTGGAAGGCGCGCCGTGTAACAAGCACAGACAGCGCAAAAAAGGTCATTCCTCCGAAAAGCAGTTTGAGGTTCGTGTTTGATTCGAGAGGTGGTCGTGGAGTCTGATAGGGTAGAGGTGGCAGAGGTTCTTTGGCAGGAGGTTGGGATTGCTCGGGTGCCGGCTTTTCTTGTGTTGTTTTACTTGCATCAGATGCTGGGCTTGAGCCCCAGCCAAATAATGATACCATTGTTTTATGTGAGGCGTGTGAGGAGGGGATGACTGGTTTGTAATGCGAAGATGGAGCCGAATGGCTCGAGACTGACCAATTCCGAGGTGTTGAGGAGACAAAAATCGAACAAAAAAGAGGAAGAAGTAGGAAATCTATCGGCGGAGTCTGAAAAAAGCAGACCCAGTATACGCGGGGTATTCGTGCTGTTCTGGGTTCGAGGATGAACGAGGGCAAATCCGTGCGGAGACGGAGAACGGACGAGCAGATCCCTTGCACGTGACCCGATTTTCCATGAGCTCATCAGCTTGGCTTCTGCGTTCAACACAACATCAATCTTATGGATTTCAGGTCTAGGCTATGCATAGGCGGGCCTTATACACTGCAGTGGGGATCTGCGCAATTTTCTTTTGAGGTGACTTGCGCCGTCTCAATGGATGGCTCGATGGAGGCCAACTGATTATAAGATCAGTCAATCAATTGACTCCAGTGCCTTCGTATACTTCATTGAATATTGAACGCGGTATAACCATAGCCATGGTGTATGGTGGGAAGCCGAGCACAGGATGCCGGAACTGCCGGCAGCGACATATCAAGGTATTTATCGTTATCTCATGTCCCCTCATGCCCCAATTTGACAGTGCCAAATAATAATTCCCACCAAGTGTGATGAAACACGCCCACACTGTCGAGCATGTACGAGAACGAAACGCTCTTGTCCGGGCTACCCAGACCCATTTGACGTGATGCTGCGTGACTGCACACCGTCCTTCAGAAAACCTGCCGGGGCCCAGAAATCCCTTACAGCAGGCAATCGGTCAAGCTCTAGCAAAAGTTCACCCAATGTCCCGACTATGGAAAATTCAGACCGAGTAGTGTCAACAGCAGTCTTTGCTGCAAACTCGCAAACCAGAAAAGCTCCTTGGCCTCCACCGTTCGGCCCAGCTGATCTGTATCAGCCGATGGAAGATACGGTGGTCCCTATCTTTTTCAATTCTTTCCTTTATCTCCCAAAAGATCAACTCATGCGAAATGGCTTCATGGACATACTGCCTGCAAACTTCTCGAACACTAAACCTGGATCCCATCTCCATGTCAGCACTCTGGCCGTTGCTTTCTTCTCTGTGGCAGCGTGGACCGGCCAAGGGTCTTTGCTCCGTGCATCCGAGCGGTATTTCACCCAAGCATTATCAAAAATCCGCGAAGCTTTGCAAAAGAATGAAGAAAGTGACTTAGACTTCGTTTTGTTGTCCACACTCCTACTGTCTATGTACGAGGTGAGCACAATGGCTCTACCAATTATAAACCGTTATTAAAATTAACGAGCTTTCTCTAGGAATTTGTTGCCATGAAACATGAACAGCACCCCTTGAGAGCTCATCTCAGGGGAGCAATAGCCCTTATAAACAATAGAAAAACAAAGCGTCTCGAAACGCCGTCATCAAAGACGATTGATCATGCTGTGCAGACTCAAATAGTTTGTCTCGAAACACCCAATCTCGAAGAAGCCTCACTGACAACACTTTTGCAGATTAAAACCACTAGGGGATTGAACAGTCCCATGGTGCCGACCCCTAAAGTCTGGCCCCTGTCAGAGCCACCAGCTCAGCCTAGCCCCCGGCCGCTATTAGCGACAGCTGCCTCGGAAATTGTCAATCTTCGCCATTCATGGGAACGGATGATAGCGCAACCACCGGATTATGCCCTCGCTACATCCATTTTGGCGAAAGCCACCGAAATCGATACCAATCTGGCAACATGGTCCTACCTCCTTCCACCACATTGGGCCCCCATCGCAGCAAGCATAATTCCACAATCCGTCCGCGATGCCGGGATGTACAAGAACAGGTGCGAATGCTACACGGACATGTGGATCGCAACTACCTGGAACATGTACCGGGACTGCCGCATCCTGGTTCAAATAATTATCCTAGGTTGTCTTCGTAGGGTGCCTTTCCAAGATCCGGATGGACTCAGAGCGACATTGGCAATGACGACCGCGCATTGCCTCGCGGAGGATATCTGCGCCAGTGTTCCATTTTGTCTTGGCGACCAAGTCGAATCAGTTCGCATGAAAACAGGCCTCGTTGAGTATCCATTCGCCGAGACACGACCGGTCACTTGGAATCATATGCAAATTGCTCCGCTCATGGGTGCATGGTTTCTCGCGCCGTATTTGAGGAACCTTGCATCCTCGGATATGGGGCTGCCACCAGAGCAAAAGGCCTGGGTACAAAGCCAGATCGAGCGCATTTTGGTCATATACTTCCAGCGGTGACGTATTAAGTGCTAACGATTTTGTTTCATGTAATGTCTGGAACAAATTGGCTCTATGCCATTTTACATCATTAACTGAGCGATTTAGATGAGAATAATAGACGAATTTAGATGAAGCTTAAAATCATCTACAACACCATTGTCTATAAATGATTTAGTGACTGTTATTTCCATGATATCTCAAATGAAGATGAGTAGCCTAGCTATGAGGCAGAATGGGGTAACAGTCGTTGATGGCCCCCAAATTAGTGGAGCAGAAAAGAAGCTGTGAGTTGTCCAATAATAACTCATGGCCCACGATCAATATAGCTTGAGCCTCAGAGTCTTCAATGTTGACTCATGAGGTTCTTATTTCATGATACTGTTTCGCATTCCATCTATCCTTTTCACTTGATGGGTATCATTGCATGCAAGTTCAACCTATTCATTCCACCCATCCCCAGTCATGTCTTTGGATATCGCTAGTGCTGAGTATTTGGATGAATATCAATCCGTAAACAAACATGCAAAAATGTTGCAAGAATGGGATGTGCAGCTTGTGCTTCTAGGCTTAGCTACGACACTGATTGGTCTTGTTCCAGTAAGTTCATTATCTCAATCAACGTACCATCACGCGAAGAAGGCAAAGGACGACCAATTAACTGTTCAAAGGCTGTATATGCTGGTGGCAATGTTGCTGCTACATCCATCGCAACCTCAACACCCAGAGCAGAGCGATGGCCATTTTCGAGACAAAATTTTCGAGGGTTTACAATCTTTGTCCTTCATCGACTGCTGAAGATTCTCCTTCTTTCCTTACTCCCCGCGCGAGGCTCCAGTGTTATGAAATGCTTCCTCGTCAGTGTGATATGTGATTTGGCGCTTTCGACTCTCAAAGTGGCAAATGTGCACGCCATTATCAACAAGCACCCGCAAGTCCCACTACACCGACGTGTTCTCAATCAGTCAACATGGTTCGACATCTTCCCGGCTGCGTTGCTGTATAGCACTGCGTCGAATCTAAGCCTTTACCTCACCATGTATGCTATTCGTACACTGGGCTTCTTGGATCATGATTTCTCTGATGTGTCCCGCAACACAGCACTTTACATTGTATTTGCGACGGCTACAGTCACCTACTTTGGAGCTATGCTTCCCGCATATGCGATCTTTATCCGGGTTGCTGCCTCTATGGAGCCTTTGCAAGACAATGCCAATAGGCAGGAACTTGGATATCTGGATATCAAGAGCGCTTGGCAAAGCTTGCATGAATTTGCTTTCCGTCAGTTCATTGAGTTGTTTGGAGGGATCTTTGTAATTGAATAGGTAGCCAGGCATGTTGGGGCACTTTTCTCTCTCCTGTTCTTTCCTGAGCACAGGTACGACGAGGTGGGTCTATTTTTCATCAAATATGCTGGGTAATCGGAAGGACTTTGCGGTGAATTGGATGGATCAATAGAAGAGCTTGAATCAAGACCACAAAGTTAACAGTATAGCGAAATACACCGACATTTCACTTGAAGGCTAGACACGTCCGAGGATCCTTAATGATGCCTACGGGTGAGATTTCTAATAGGGTGGGTGACTCCTGAAAAATAATTATCGAATTCAAATGATTATGGTCAAAATATGGGCTGTCTAGAACAAATCTGAGATAACGAACCAAGAATGTATAGCAAAATATGTAATAACACCAGAAATGCAAGAGTGCTAAAGTAACAAAATGGTAAAAACCGAAAACATAACAAGTCAATCACATACGTTCACAAATTAGAGCGCTTCCAAACAGTCGTTATATGCTTAAATATCAAAAGCAATGCAGGTCATCAAAACATATCAAAGATGCAGATATATAAAAAGCATCAAGGGTGGATTATTTCATAGTGCCAGTGGTAATGAGCATGTCAGTCCGGCCAGGCCTTGAGAAACGGTCGATGCCAAGGTGCTCCTTGCCATCACGGCCGACGTAAATACCAAAGCCATAGAGAGGTAGCTGGCGCTCTGAAGGCGGGGCAACGATAAGGCGGGTGACGAGGTCGGTTTTACTCCTCGGCTCGCGGAGGATCTTGTCAGACAACAGAGGTGATTGGTAGATATAACTCATCAAATCGGCAAGGGTCGTAATATCATGTGGGAGGTAACGGCGACGACCGGGCCAGATCGCGAGGAAGGAAACCGCATACAACGCACAGAAGGCGATCAGGGCGTAGAATGCAGGCATCAACGCGGAAATGCGGATATCGTCATGGGAAGGGTACCAAAGGGCAATGAAAACACCGCCAGCGAGGATGGGGATGGCGAGAGAGACAAGGCTCATGAGAGAGATGCATGCAACCTTGTAGTGTCGGTTGATGAGAGCCTGGATGGTGACCTGGACGGGTAACAGGGATGGGTAGGCGAGGAGGATGCTTTGTTCAGCCGATGCACCACTAGCAGCGGAGAGCTCGACGAATGGCTGTAGGGATCGGAAGTAGACATCGATAGGTTGCCAGACAAGGAAGAGCACGTTGCCAATCAAAGCGGGAACAAAGCTGTATAGGAAGTTGGAGGACGAGAATGCACTTGTCGATGGAAGGGTCGGAAGCTTGGGAGGGAAGCCGCCCTTGATGCCATTGTGGATGAAACTGACAGCGACAAATGCAATAAGCAGAGCGAAGACAATGGCAACCCAGACGCATACTGAGATTTTGCGAAGGAACCATGGAGTCCAGCGGTAACGGATGGATGTCGAGTACAGGTGGTTATGCGACGGATCGTTGGCCAATTCACCTTGGTTCTCGATGTCAAAGTTCACATTGGCAAGTCCGTGGGGCTGCTTCTTGCCAGTCTGGTGAAGTGATGGCGTACGGACCGGCGCGTCGATCTCACCAACCCCATAAAAGACTTCTGCCTTACTGGACAATTTCCAGTATCCGAGCCGAAGGATGCGAGGGTCGAGAGATTCCTTTACTGATGGAACTGTTTCGGAGTGCTCAAAGTCATGTAGGATGTTTGATCGTTGGATGATTGAGATCAAATCTGCCAGGCTGACTGGATCCCACATCAGACCAGACCGGCCCTTGAGGAAACGCAGAAGCAGCAAACCCAGACCAATTGTCAGGACACCGTATAAAGCCACTAGCGTCCAGCCAACAGACTCAACGGCGGCCCACTTCCAGACCCCCTCCCCGTCAATGACAAAGTATTTTGCTTGGAAGAGGCAACTGATAAGGGGGATGGCGAAGAAGTTGGAGAGCCAGATTGCGAAGAGAGAGAAGCCGAACAAAGGCTCACCGTTCCGGAAATGCGACAGGTCAGGCAAGACAAAGTTCCTGGAGATAATTGGCAAGCCTTGCATAACTAGGCCTTTCTGACGCTCGGCTGACATCATGGCGAAAGGTGCTATGCGATATACAGCAGCCTGGATAACAAACAGCCAAATTATGATAAGCGCAGCGAGGATCTGAGGCAAGAATTGCAAAACGAAATAGCTTGCTCCATCCTGACCCCCGTAGTCCCAAATGCCCTCATCACGATGGGACCAGACATTGCAGAAGACAATTCCGGCGATCATGAGAAGACAGCAAAATATCGTCAAGGCCAAAGCCCAGGGCCGCAGGGCCAGAGGGAGGTAATTCAGGGGGGGATACAACAAGCTCTGTTCTGGGGCGTCAACGGCCATAAACGACTCGGGGTTCACGGAGACTGGTCGTTGGGGCAAAGCCTGCGGTGAAGGAGACGTGTACGACGGTCTCACTGGAGTCGTGTCATGGCGAATTGGAGTTCGAGTGCGAGTAAAATAGCCGAGTCCCTCATCCCAGACCATTCGGTCAGTGGAATAGTCACCGGTAGTGGTGGTGGAAAGGGAATCGTGTCTTGAAACACCCCCAGACCTGTCTTGGGTGAGCTGGTCGATTGCAAACCGGACGTATGGAGAGTCGTCCAGGCCTGGGGTAGGGGCTGGTCCCGCATAGTCGCTGGGGACTCGGCGAGCGGTCTCATCGGATCCTGTGCCGTCTGACTGGGGACTGATGTGAGCTACTCTTTCTTCGCCAAAGCGAACGGTGCTGGGTGTTGGTGGGCGAGGAGACCCAAGATCCTCTGGCATAGGATGTTCTTCTTCTGGCATGGTAGGCGATGATGCGTTAGAAGATGGATGAGAGTCTGCAGTCCTGAATCGCATGACTGTTACTCGACTCTCTGGACTTGAGGAAGCAGCTCGGTCTGAGAATGAATAGTAGTCGTCTGAAGCAGCAACAGATTGTCGTGATTCTGTCCGGGCAAGTTGAGGCTTGCTTGCTATATAGGAGTCAGTTGACATTGAGTGAATGGATTGGAAAGCTAGGAGATTCCTGCCATTTTAAATTGACAATGGGGCGGGGGATTGTTATATGCACGTACAGCTAACGTTGCGCAGGCTGAAGTTTCTCGACGGGCTCGTCATACTGGCTCTGGAATGTGGATATTGATCCCACGCGATATGAGAATCAATCTAGAAGCATTCCTCGATCTGGCGTTTAAGATGCAAAGGGATTTTTGAGGACTAAGAATCGCTGCCCAGTGAGCTTTTTGTCTGGCTGTCAGAGTACTGGGCGACGATTCCCAGCCACCCCAGCCACCAGAGCAAGGTCTGCAACCAAGAAGCCAATAGGGATAAATGAAACATGGGGGTTATCAACTTAGACACTATTAATTCGATAGATTCCAAAAAAATAGAGATCCAATTAAAATTCGAGGATCAATTGATTATGTTAAGTCCCAAGGTTTGTCTTGCGGCCCGAATGTCCATCCACGGATGGCCCAAAGCTTGGCTTGTTCCTAATGTCTATCATCATCACTATTCTACATATCCAGTGACTATCATCTAATTGAGAGATAACAAATATCGAAATCTGCTTCGTTTTGTCGGTCGGTATCCTCAGAATTACTCTCCGAAAACTTGACTATAACTTGCAAGCAAATTCCACATCAAGGTCTCGGATCAATAATTGCCAACAATTGCTCTCCTATATTTCTTACTATCAACAGTTTACAAGCAGGGTATTTTCATTCAATTTTGCTTTCATTCAATTGTTAATTCTCCTTGTTTGATGATGCAGTGTGGTGTTACAATTACCTCGTCTCCCTTGCTGGCGTGGCTGGGCACAGTAGTACTTGGCAGACAGCAAAACGTAGCAGGAAAATATAAGGCTGTATCTAGGGCTACTTGAAACAGTGATCCGCTGTATGTTCAGCACTTATGGGCAGTCATGATCTACTTTGAATTCTCATTCCTGAAACATGTTCCAATTTGACTAGCCACAGCGTACACTACTACATTCGAAAACGAAGCGGCACATCGCGCTATCGTCGAACTCCTATTGTTTGTTTTCATACGCCTTCCTACCAATATAATGAGACTCGATTGACGGAACGTCTGTTGGTTTGAATCAACCCTGCCTGTTGTCGGTGATCATTCGAACAAACAAGACTGATGATCACACCACAATTGTTATGATGACTCTGCATCCTTCGCCTCTTTTGAACATTCATAAGTCCTTACAACGTTGATGCCTTCTCTCAGAGATTGATCGCAAAATCTTGATGCCCTAGAGCTATCAGCCATCTTCTTGCATTCGGTATGTAAGTTCATCTATTATCATGTGTTCAATGTTATCTTCCAACATTTCAAGGTGCGGTGGCTGTCACATGTCGCCCATTATGTGGAATAACTCTGTCCGGTTCATGTTAGTACAACCGGTAGGCTAATTGTATGATCTGTATTTAGGAAGAGGAACTCAGACTTGCGGAAATTTCCAGCACCGCCGATTCCAAATCTGACATAGCGCCCTTGCAGGCTGGACGATGATGTGCCGTTGTAGGCTTCACCATTCCTACTCCTATCCCATTGCTGGAGCAGAGTAACTCTGTCTAAGGTATCTAACGACAGTTGGCGCTCTTCTTCCGCACGTCTCTGTCGTTTTGGCCATTTGAATAAACCCCACAGACAGCGCATGTTTTGTCTTGCAACCGGTATTCCTGTTTTCTTCAGTGCGCAGGATGAGTTTGATCGAATATCTGAAATATGGGTTGACTCTTTAAACATCACACGTCGGGTTTTGTAGGAACAGATAGGCAAGGGGCACTGGATTTCCCCAGTACCAGATCGAGTTTGAGTGATCGCTGACTTATCTGAGGATGTGGAACTCCAGCCTCAGTGTCGCATTTTCTCATAAACGATCATAATTGCTTCGCGCAGTGGGTTACACAGGCATTGCGAGACATTGGAGTGTAGCTGTAGGATACGTAGTCTTGGCTGCGTTTACTCGGGAAGTAACGCTGCAGAGACAACATCTAAGCAAGACTGCAGACTTCATACACGGCGAAATGTATCGCTATGAAACGTTCTGTAAACTTCGGCTGAATGGTTGCCTTACCAATTTATTACGCGCTTCCACAGTCAAAGCTTCTCATTCCATGTGAAAGCAAATACTGTACTCATTTACACCATGTGTAACAGCAACCCCACATGACTTGTGCTTCTTCCACTGTACAGTATGGTGCTCCTAAAGTAGAGCAAAGTAGTGGTGCACCCGGGAGATAAACGGCTGCTCTATGACGCGCTAGTGATGGAATGACCATAAAGGTGTTGGCTAGTGCGGTAGTACCGCATAATTAAACCCCTAAGATAAGGTAGCAAAGGAGCCTAAGTAGTGCAGTGCCTGTGTAGCTAAGTTCTTAGAAAAGCGGTTTTCCCCTCAAGGAACAAGCAGGAGTCGACCACCAGATAAGGCTAATAGACCTTATCTGGTCTCTAGCAAATGACTTCTTATTTGTAAATCAGGTTAACGCAAGATCTTGGGAGTGGAGACGGCCTGTTTCATCTTAAAAATGTGGGACTGTGGGCCTTGATAGTCATACTCAGAGCCCAGACTTCTGACCCAAACGTTCTCTGAGGCCTAAATTCGCGACCGAAGTGCTGTGCCGTGTTGGCGTCTAGAAATTAATACCGGAAAGTTGGTTGTTAAAATTGCGAAGTAAGTCCCAAGGGTCACAAAGGATTGCTTTTTCATATGAGCTAACCATCAGAAACATCAATATCGTTTCACCATCATGTAGATGTGGTTCCTGAAACCAAGTATCTGGTCCTTTGGGAACCTCAGTCCGGCGATAAGGAATGAGCTTCGAAGTGATCGGTAAAAATAGCCCCCGCAGAACGACAGCAGACGGCTGCAAATGCCAAATTCATAGTAAGCAAAGATGGCGAATGACACTAGAATTGAAATGCCAGCGAAATCAGCACCATCAGGTCCCAAAGCATTGCGACGGGTGCCCGCGATTTCTCCGGCGCCCGGGCTTGGCGACACGGGGGGCCATGAAAGTTATCCCGAAAGCGTGACGCCTCAACCGGGTACAGCGAATGGGAGCACGACTCAGCTGCGAGCGAGTAACCCCGGCTTCCACAGAGGGGGGATCCGTGCAGGATATTTAGCCACTTCAAATATAGACGTTGAAAGCTTTGAAAGAGTTGAAAATGGGAATGTATATAGCAGATAGTAAATTGAATACACATGGAGGATTGAATGAAGTTACACTCACCATACAGTCATTACAACCTTGACAGTTATAGGGGAATCATCTGACTTGTGATGCCTGAGGTTCACAGCCTCTTTTTCTCCTCATCCACGGTTCTTATCCCACGCTCTTTCATTTCTCAATGGCTTAATGGGTCATTTAGACATTCCTTTGGACCTTCTTGGCTTTTTCCCCTCATTTGTTCTTCTTTCCTACACTAATACAACTACTTAGGTTTAAGGCTTCTTTTCTATTCCTTTGTTGCTTCTTCCCCACATGCCAATGCGTTAAATCCCATCTTGAAGTCTTGGTAGTCGCGTGTTTAGAATTATCGCTCATTTGTTCTTATCTTCCTTTTTGACTGGATCAAGGGCTTCTTCTTGGGCAGTGTCGCCCACCCCTCACCATGTTGTTCAAGCCTGCGACACCCCTCACCATCTTGCTACTAATCGCCTTCGCGCTATTACTACTTTCATGTCTCTCGACCCCAATCATTAAAGGGATTCCCTTAGCAACATTCCAGGATGTCGATTATGGCGTCTTTGGTTATTGTAAAGGCAACACCTGCACCAATATCCATGTGGGATACACCAGCAGTCAGTTTTTTCCTTTTAATTTCTGCCTAGAATTCCATAGCTAACTTCCATGCAGATGACATCAGTAGTACCGGCGACGGTGACGATTTCAATCTGCCATCCAGTACTCGAAAGTCGCTCTCCTCGATCCTCATCATCCACCCCGTCGCTGCCTTTTTGACCCTCATCTGTCTCTGCCTAGCCGCCGCCGCCCACTTCCACGCCCCCTCCCACTCGCCGCGCTTCCTCTTGGCTCTCCTGATCTTGCTGCTGCCAACACTACTGGTCACACTCTTGGCCTTCTTGGTCGATATCTTGCTCTTTGTGCCGCATCTAGGATGGGGTGGTTGGATTGTCCTGGCGGCGACCATCATCCTCGTCTCTTGCGGGGTGGTCACCTGCGCAATGCGCCGAACCCTTGTGAGCCGTAAGGCAAGAAAGCGCCGGATCGCGGAAAACGCCGAGATGAGCGGAGAGAATTACTACAACCGACAGAATGCCCAGCAATTCGTTGCGCCGGTTTCGGTTCCTGCTGAGCCCAAGGAGCCTTTTGTGTCCGACTCCCTCACCTCCGAGTCCGGTCCGACATTCGCAACATTCCCAGCGGAAAGGCACGACAGTGACGATGACCGCACACCTCTCAATTCACGGACACCATTGAGTGACATCCCCGCACCCCCGGACCGTCGTGGTACCCCCTACCACGCTCAGCAAGATGAGTTGGGCAACATGCAGTCCCAGAGCGCGGGTCCATACGGTGGTAGTTCTATGTCGCGTAATCCCTCCGACCCGCGGCTTCGTCCTCAGTATTCGAATGGCAGTATGGGTTCTCGAAGGGGCGGAGCGCCGCCCGGCTTCAATGGACGCGGGCGAGGTGGATACCCACCCCGGGGTGGACGTGGAGGACCCTACATGGGACCTCCTCGCGGGCCTTCCCCTGGCGCACGAGGTGGCTACGCAGGGCCCATGGCAGGCCGTGGAGGCCGCAGCGGAATGCCACCAGGTCGAGGGCCACCTGTCGGGTATGGGCCTGGTCCCGCCGGGCCTCCCAGCAGCTTCGATGCATACGGCCAGCCTGTATCGCCTCCCCAAGATGACCCTTACGGGTATGGATCATCCCCAGGCCCGATGCGCCAGCCCTCTCCGGGGCCTATTGGTATGGCCGTGTCACCAGAGACAGTGGGCCAGGCGATTGAAATGACGCCGCAAGCCCGGCCCCAATATGGCACACAAGAGCCTATGAGTAGCGTACCACATGCGCTATCCACTGATAACTACAATGCTTCCCTTGAAAGTCCAACAAGCATGTATAGCCGCCCTGAGTATGTAAACCATGGTGCAAAAAAGTTATTTTGTCTAGAAGCTCCGCTAACCCATCTTTACTTAGGTCATATGTTCCCCCTCGCGCAGGCTGGGGTGCCAACGACCGTCGTACATTATCTCCACGGCCGCCCGGCTCATCTCCTCAATCTGGTAACCTGGGCACGAATTACTACGAAGATGTGGATCCCCGGTTTGCTCGTCAGCCATCACCCCACAACGATTCTGCAATCCCCACATCTTTAACCCCCGGAGGCGCTCACTGTATGTCATCACAACAGACCAACTGTTGATTGAGACTTTTGCTAACCTGACTCTCCAGATTAATGAAATTTTTTTTTGCTTGGTGGTGTCATATCGCGCTTGACATGATTATACCGCCCCTTCGACACTCTGCGATACCCTATTTTTCACTTCTCTGGTTAAATTTGGATGACCTGTTTTTTTTCTTGATATCATGACAGTGTGTGTCATTTTACCGGATGGAGTTATGGGGACTTTCCAACTATTCCTTCTCATCTATGCTCGTTTGTCTTATCAAAACGACAATGTCAACGTTCTTCTTGCCCCCAAGATATCAAGAAGGATATTAATTGCTCAGTCGTACTCTGCCTGCACTTCGGTGTATAGCGGCAGGTGGGTACAATGTACATAGACCGTTTTTCTTAAGTCCTATGGATTTTATCCAAGGCCAAAAGCACTCGATGGTGCTTCTGCTTTGATACTGCTCTATCTTTCTTTTACTTTCTCTTTCACTGGATGAACTGGATTTTATCCCAAGATCTACATATATTTTCTCGTTTCCGATTACATTGCTATCATTTCCTTCTCCGAGTATATAACGCGTTAGAATACTAATTGAAGCAATTCACCCCCAAAACACAGCCACGTGATACGTATGACGTCGATCGTGTAATTCCCGTTTGGCGAAATCAAACCAGGAATTTGCCGATCATGACGACCAAGTCACTAGACTCGTCAAAAAAGCTTGGTTCTTCTTGCGCCACTAAAATTCATTTACGGATTCCCCGCTCCTGATGTTTCATGTCTGCATGATGTATGCACATGGGATCTCGACCTTTTCTCTATCTCAGGCCATCCTGTTCGTGGTCTAGCAAAACCTCATAGATGAACGACCCTGGTCTTGACGATGCTATCGCCGACGAGGCGGGAGCTTTAGATCATACTTCCAGTCACAAAAAGGAAAATCCCGACCAAGATGAAAAATCTTCCGGACCCCAGTATCCGCAAGCTGCTCGGTGGTGGCTTGCAAACACCGCGTACCCATTGATGGCTGTATGAGGTCTTCCAGTTTCCTACATTGTGACTTTTTTAGCTGACTCGAGTCCAGGGCACCTTTGGGCCAATGGCTAGCGCGTTTAATATCTGTTCTCTCTCACAGCCATGGCGAATGGACCTCACCAGCAGTGGCGGGATAGACGTATCGGACCCCAAATGGTATGCAGGTATAGAATCCCTCCTATCGAGGTTCATCTTTGTTGATGTCGGATATGTGTTACAGGGTCACTTCGATAAATGCAGTCTCGTTGGTCTTCGCTCTAATAGCCAATCTGGCCCTCTCGCTCAACATGGCGCGACGCATTCGCTTCGAGATTGCCCAGCCCATCATTATTATCGGGTGGTATGTCTCGTCGGCGCTATTGATTAGCATCCTCATCCCATTCGGCGTGATGATGTACAAGCCCGAGAACAACGGCCGCATATACGCCCAGAGCTACTACTACGGCGCCTTTGCCGCAGGAATCTACTTTATCATTTCATCCTTCATGGTCGTAACGGGGTACGGCGCCTGGCGGGGCCACTACAGCCGCAAGTACAATTTGACAACCAGCCAGCGGACGTTGATGCTGCAGACGATCATTTTCTGCTTCTACCTTCTTGGCGGTGCAGCTGTCTTCGCCAGAATAGAGCACTGGCGTTTTCTAGACGCTCTCTACTGGGCAGACTACACGCTACTCACTATTGGAGTTGGTAACTTTGCGCCAACCACACATCTCGGCCGTGGACTTCTCTTCCCATATGCGGTTGGAGGAATCATTATCTTGGGTCTCATCATCTCCTCAATGCGAACTCTCATGCTCGAAAAGGGTCGCCAGAAGATCGGCGATATTTTAACAAATCACACGCACGACTTCCTCACCAAACAAGCTTTTTCCGATCGTTCTCGTCTACACGGAATTGTACCGTCCCTCGACGCAAACAACGCCGAAGCAGAAGGAAGGAGTGAGCGAGAACAGCGCAAAATGGAATTCATTGCCATGCGCCAGGTGCGAAAGCTAGCAACAGTCCAACACAAGTGGATATCTCTTCTTGTGTCGTTCACGCTTTGGATGACGATGTGGCTTATCGGCGGTGTGGTCTTCTGGCGCTCCGAATCGCACGCGCAATGGTCATATTTCCAGGCTCTGTACTTTGCATACACGACTCTCCTGACTATCGGATACGGTGATCTATACCCGATCAGCAGTTTGGGGAAGTCGTTCTTTGTGTTCTGGTCTCTCCTTGCTGTTCCAACCATCACGATTCTCATATCGAGTATCGGTGACACGCTAATCCGATTGGTTCGAGATGTTACTCTTTTCATCGGCGAGATCACGATCTTGCCAGGCGATCAATCCTTCGTCGACCGGATCAAGGATTTATCGAAGATTTCTTGGGTCGGGTGGTGGCTGGACGAGACAACGGGCGAGAATAAAGAAAAGAACCGACGTGGGTCTGGGAGCGACTACGGCCGCACGCCTCTCGAGGCCGAGGAGCAGAAGAAGGAAAAGCAAGCCCAGGAGCGCGGCGATGTCGCGGCGGAAAACATCCATCACTATCACTATCTGATCTTTCGCGAGTTGCGCAAAATGATGGAACACGCTTCCAGCAACCCTTCCAAGGAGTTCGATTATTTGGAGTGGGAGTACTTTCTTGATTTGATCGGTGGCGCGAACAGGCTTAACGGAGATGGAGATGCGGAGAAGTCTCAGACTCGCGATTGGAACTGGCTTGATAAGAAAAATCCTTTGCTTGGACACAAGACTGAAGTTGAATGGTTGCTTGGGGCTTTAACAGACGCCCTTGGCCGGGAGTTAAAAAGGGCAAGTCAGGTTCACTCTTCGGCTGAAAGCTCAGATGGGTCAAAGGAGATCGATGAAAAGTGATTTAGCGATTTAAATTGTTCACCCACTGATTAGGCGTGGAGCTGTTAATAGAAACTTATGTATATTTGAAAGCACTGTCATCAAAGTGATTATCTATATCCTGAGCTCTGGAGGGTATACCTAGGTAGGCCATCCTGAGCTAGTGACAAGTCCTAAGTTAGCCCTGGAGTGGCGGCAAACTCACCCAACTTGTTGGGAAAAGATGAAAAGAATCCATTAAGAGAGGAAACAGAGTTGAGAGTAGGTTATTCTATATATACTGTGTTTTATTTACTTCTTGTATGACTCGACATACCCTCTCTAACATAAACAACATAGACAACATCTGTATAGTATATATTTTGCCTCTTTCTTCTCTGTTTTATATATATCTGTCTTGTCTCTTGCTCCGGTGTTCTCTTATGACGACAAAGCCTTATCCCGCATACTGCATGCACAGTACTACAACCAAATGCCACTGCCAATATGCTTTCGCAAGCCTACCAATTTTATACAAGAGTCTAACGACGTCAGATCCGAGAAAGTCCGAGACTGGTCTATATCACTATAGAAACCGTACTTCGAGAACCTGGTTATGTATGAATGCGCAAGGCGGAAGAGGCACGAAAGGCCGAGGTAGACTGTTGTCACAAGAATGATTTGTAGTACCCAGGCGGCAACCGTTCACAACAGCCAGTAAGCTCATAGATCAGATCCCGATGATCTCTGACGCCACCTACACCAAAGACGTTACTGTTCAACCGGGACCAACAGCTACAGCGACACGAAAGCATACGATGATCATCCAGGAGCGTTGCCGCGCCCCGCGAAGTACTGCCGAAACGAAGCGATAAACAAAATTCCCAATGCGGTGGATCAATCGATAGAAAGACTAAGGCCTACTTGAAAGATACATGTACATATAGGCAATTAAGTATTATCACCGGTAAAGAAATAAATGACATAGGAGACATAATAAGCACAACGAAAAACTGGGGATAGGGGAATTCGACGCCAGTAGACACACACAGAGACAAAGATAGAGTTTGAAACGACGAAAAAACAGGAAAGGAAAGGAAAGGAAATCCATCAAGCTAAAAAGGACAGAAGAGACAGACGCTGCATATACAAAGCCCAGCGCGAACCCCGAGTTCTAAGAATACAAAACGGGGACGTATGAGCCGAAACATTTCTTTTAAAGGATACTCCTGCTAGCCTGGCTGCGACTCGCCTGGCTACGACTAGCCAAGCTAGCGCGGCTAGGACTCGTGCGGCTGGGCTCGTCTTCTTCGAGGACATCACTGAGACGCGTGGGGTGGCGATGGCGAGGGGTCATGGACTCCCATCCCGTGCCCGGGCCCCATCCTGCGCCGCTGTAGTCTGCCGCCGAGGTGGGCGGGTACGGGGCTTGCGTGGGGGCGGAGGAAGCTGCGGAGGTGGAGATGAAAGACCCTTCGGGCATGTACTCGCCGGCAGCGGGGTCGTGGGCGTACTCTTCACTTCCTTCGGATGAGGGGCCTGGCGGGTAGTTGAAGTGCTGCTGCGGGTCGTGGGGGTAGTGGCCGTATTCTTCATCGCCGGCTTCGCTGCTGCCGACGTAGGAGCGCTCGTCGGGCTCGGAGGTTGGGGGGTATTGGTCTGCGGTGTTTTCGTGCTCGTAGAGGGGGGCCGAGTAGGGGAGTTTGGAGGCCGGGGGGTCTGTCTTTTTGGGCTCGATGAAGGGGTCGGAACCGGTGGGTGACATTGGCGTGCCGTCGTGGTAGTACTGGCCACTTGCACTTGAGTCTACAGACTTGCCGTAGGCATCTGTGCCTGTGGCCGGGCCGCTGGGGTAGGAGCCCTCGCGAGTCTGTGGGCGAGTTGAGTTGTGGCGGCTTGGGAGACCAGAGACCATTGGGACGACCTGGACGCCGCCGACAAGCGTGGGCTCTCCATTACGGAGGGAGTTGGTTCGGTCTCTTTCTTCCTGCTCACGGCGACCAAGCTCTTCCCAAGCACGACGTGCTTCTTCCTTGGAGATTTGAAGTTCGCGGCGCATTTCTTTGAGAAGTTCCTCGGCCTTCAGTTTATCCTTCTCGGCCTCTTGGGCGGCAGCGAAAGCATCGGCCCGGCCTTGTCTCTCTGCTTTGAGCTGACGTTCGAGATCCGCCTGTGTTTCCTTTGATCGTTCCTGTTCGGCGCGAGTGTCAAAGAACCAACGCTGGAACTTGCGCTCCGAGGAGGCTCGCAAGCGCTGCAGTTCAACAACAGCATGGAACAAATTTGCACCCGCGGCGGACAAGTCTGTGATCTGTCGGGCCAATTGTTGGCTGATCGGATCCCGCTCGAGGTCGTCATTGTTTTGTTCAAGCTTGCGCATCCAATAGCTGGTGAGACCTTCCCAATGAGAAGATAGCGTCTCCCATCGCTCGAACGCATGCGGGAATCCAACGCGTTTGGGTTGCTGAAGGGTTTGTTGGGAGCTGGGTTGACCTGCTGGTGGGGCCTGGGCGGTAGGTTTGGTGAAGCCGCCAGCTCCAGTCTGAGCTCCAAGGGCCGCGGCACTCTGTGAGCGACCGTGTTGGGGTTGTTGACCTGATGCTGGTGCCGGGCGTAACTGGCTAGTCACTGGTGCTGCAGCAGTTGTGGGCGGTGCAGTCTGGTATTCAGCGGCTCGGCCATTCGAGGCATCAACTGCCGCTCGATAACCGGGCGCTGGGCCTGAAGAGACGGGTGCGGCTTCGGGCTGCTGCCCTTCCGGCCCCCTTGATGGTCTGGGCACTCGACTTCTTTGCTGGGAGACATTCTCGCCGGCAACGCCAGCGGGGTGTTGTTGAGCTTTGGCCTGGGCCTGGGCCTCAGCGTGAGCCTGTTGTTCCTGTTGCCGTTCCAAATCTTCCTGTTCCCGCTCTCGGGCATCGTGTTCGGCTTTGCGGCGAGCCTCGCGGTCCCGACGCTGCCTCATTATATCTGTAGGTGTCCTCATACCACTCGGGGGCTGTGACGAGCCTGAAATGGGGTTTGGGGGCACACGAGCTCCGCCGTTTTGAACGCGGCCATTGCTCACAGGCCCAGCGGGGCCAGCAACACCTACCATGTCTGACATGGACGCATTCACCTCGTCCCAGTCCGTAGAAAGCTGTAACGGTCCGCGTATGGCGTCCTCAAGGGCGTATAAGATTGCCGACGCGGTGCGTGACGAAACTCCGGTAGTCCTCTGGGGCCAATATGAAGTAGTGAGAAGCTGGTACGGGTCGTCGATGGTCGACCCGTTATCGTCAGTGTGTACTTCGGAAAGGGCCGGACGTAGAGCTGCAATGCCACTGGGTGGAGGGTGTTGCACAGGGACCGGGGTAGTATGCGCCGGCTGGGGTCGATTAGGTCGTGAGCTCGGAGCACCTAAGGATACAGCTCGACGGTGAAGTGACTGGCGAGCTTCTGGCTGGCGGCGAACACGTCGTAATGTACGCTGGGAGTCAGCGGCGCTGGGAGGTCGAAAGGGAGGTTCTACCGAAGTAGAGGAAGAAGGTCGCTGAACAGTCGGCTGGCGTTGCCGTGCAAAGGTCGTAAACGTTGATGGGTCGTAAGAATCGTGGGCTTCGTCAGACAGTCTTTGGGTATGTCGAGACACCTCTAAGAAGGGTCGATAGAATTGTGGGTTAAAAGACAATGCTAGTGTTGTAGCACCGCGGCGATAGGTCTCAAAGATCGCGATCGTAGGTACGGTGGATCGCGCCGACTTAGATGGTTTACAGCCCGGAAGGCTATAGGAATTGATTCTCAATCCACGTAATAACGCAATTGGGCAACAAAAACCAAAAGAACAGAGGTTCGAAATCAGGAGTTGTGACAGAGCGAGAAAGGATGGTAGCGTGAGGTGGCTGGTTAATTAAGATGGCTGGGGGTCGCCGCAGCTCAAGCTGCAGCGCGCCAGACGTGTCTCGGGGATCATGAAGTTGTCCACGACAAAGTGCAGACTCATTCACAAGAAAAGAAAATATCGGATTTGCAGAAGGTGAAAGATAAAAGCTGAGGATTCCTCGGGGCGTTCCGTCAACAATGTGGCAAGAATGGGGAAATGGTTGAGGCTGCCCTAATTGACCCCAATTTCCAAGGTTGTCTTTTCGATCTGCAAAGCATCCAATGTACAGTTAGTTTGCCTACTTAGAAGGTAGTCAATTCCAAATCGATTGTCAATAATACTGTTATTACACACATAATATGCAATCAATAATTAATACCGCCAAAAAAAATCCGGTCGCACAGACATGAATTGCTGAAATCTGAAAATAGCAGCCCAATTATGATAATCTGCATACAGCAAAGGGAATTGTCCAAAGACCCCGAAACTACGAGAATAGAGAGAAGAGAGGAGACAGCAAAAGTGGACTCGAGAAATTAAATGGCATTGTCCCACGGTTGGGTTAGAAGCTAAGTATAGTAGCAAGTACTAATAATGGTATAGTCGCATAGTAGTAGTACTAGTAGAGATACGGAGTCGTATGTGGTGAAATATATCGTGGTGCGTTGGCAATACGTGGCAGCCAATATATATAGCTTCAACTAGGCATATTTCATCAGTATATGTCTACCCAAACACTACATACGTACATACATATGCAATGTATAACTCACTGATATCTTGTATATGTGTACATTGTACTGTTTTCTAAAGATTGGATCAGGTCCCATTCGATCCAGTGGTTCAGTTGGCGAGATCAGCTTGGAGCGAACTACTTTTTTTTCTCCACTAATTGTTTTCATACTGAAACACATTCATTCTGTTGATACATGCTATCTTATATTTGTACAGCTATACTTTTATCAGTACAGAGCCTTGAAAATACAAGAAGTCAGCCAACCCTACAATATCTATGCAATATAGTATGAGTTCGTTGGGCTCTACCTCCCCCGCAATGACATCAACAATCCATGGGTGGAAACTAACTCCGCAGAGATATGACAAAGCAAGCGAGCTCCAATGCCCAGGGTCAATTGACACCGGACTTTACATCCACACGTAACTAGGTAATGAACAACTACTAGTTAATCATATGTATGCATCAAACTAGTTCTACCCCTCGCAACTCACCAATTCCATCCAAGCCAGGAGTGAAGCTCACCAAGCTCAGTTCACCGGGACTACAAGGCCACAACAAACAAAGCAAATGCATTAATTGTATAGCAACAGCAATGAGAACATGCAGACTATAAATTGAATCCCCCTTAGTTAACCTTAGTTAACCAAAAAAAAGGGTCTGGACCAGACCAACCCAAAGATTCAAACGCAAGGGCCATCAATCGGAAAATTTGATAGCTCGAGCGGTCCCGGAAACAATAAGCCCTGCGGATGCACGAATGCGAAACCCGCAGCCTCGAGAAGCTCCAGTATTGAGGCAGGTTTCACCTATGCCTTGCAGCATCTGAGATCTGGAGCTTGGGTGTTTTCTTTTGCTTTTTTTTTTCTCTTCGAGTGTTTCAGTTCCTTGTCCAAGGACCTGGGATTATTGGACCAATCACGGAATGGTGTTTCGAAAGACACTTCCGGGGATGGGTTCCCTTCGGAAAGGATCTAATTAAAGTGTCCCTATCCATGGGAATTGGATCGTGTTGATCATTGGTCGTTCATTTCAATTTCAATTTCAATTTGATATTTGGATAGGGCTCTTAAGGAGTCTTGAATCGAGGCTGTTAGGTCATCACTCACTCCTCGCATTTGAATTCGGAATCCCCTCGATTTTGTCGGCTATTGTAAACAGATTATAGAAGTTAATTGTGTGGAGTGATGTTGCACCCCCAATGCTAGTATCTCACGGTGAAGAGATCTGTAGTCCAAATCTACATAAAACGTTGTATCCGCCGTGATCCCACGGCGAAAGAATGTGACCGAGAGGATGGGAGGCGAGGGTTTCTGCAGAGACTGCATCCGCGGGGAGTTACCCGCACTAAGATCACAAACAGTGCATAAGCCAGCCGATGAAGAGCTATTGAAACTGCAGATCAGGTGTACTACTGGGGGGCGCATCAATACTTATATGGTCGAAGGCTGCACTGCGGCTGTCCGTATGCATAGCGGGATGCATGCAAGTCAGACTTTTCGATGGAATGTGGGGTTTATTGATTTGGTAATTAGGCAGATGTCTCGAGTTTGTTTGTTTACTTTACTCCGTAGTTGAGTGACCTGTGAATTACTATGTGTTTGTTTGAAAGCCATCGTAAAATTCCATGCAAGAGTTACAGGAACACCTGTATACTCCGTATAGAGCGTGAGATAGCGCGACACCTAGAATACACATTGACCCTCAACGTTATAGGGCTAGGTCAAAATGAGTGGCCGGATCACAAAATCACCCCAAAAGAGTTCATCGATGAACCAATAGTAGCAGATCCTCCACAAAGTTTCAGATGCACAACATTTGTGATTTATCAACTGTCAGGACACTTGAGCTCCTTGGGTCATTGAAGGGTCTAGGTCCATAGCGCAGAAAGTTAGGAAGGCCATCCGGTCAGACTAATAGCACAGACTCACTACTCCGTATACACTCATTATATCCTCGTCCAAGAGAACAAAGTCACTGAGGATTATCTTACATCATTTGAAGACCAGGCAGAATTATCTAAATCATCCTGGAACCAGGGACAGATCCTACCTAAACCCCTATCACCACATCACTGTGGAACAAGACTAGACTTTATGTCCCTAGAAGAAGAAAGACCCCTAAAAAAGATCTAGCCACAACTCAAAAGGTGAAGAAACTATTTTTTTGCAGTGACGTAGGTGCTGGGAGAACAATTTCCGAGATGAAACGTTGTAAACTTATGAGGCTCGAATTTGATGGTTGCTAGGAATGGATAGGTGTGGAATGTGGGAGACGACGTTGGCGGCGCTGAAAATAATAATGAAAATAATTAAATCATAATTCTCATGTCAGAAGAACATAAGTACAAAATGTACAGATCATTGATCGACAGCATTAGTGGCTGATCCGGATACTCCGTCGCTTGTATGGGAGTATATATCTCACATTTTCAACTTCCAGCCTCTTTCTGCACGGGTTTTACTTTTTTCGCACTTTTTTTTTACCTTTTTTTACTATTACTCTTTCTGTCAGCCATCTTCAGGAAAAATCAAACAAAAAGCAATAAAAACCTTGAATCAAAAGTGGGTAGGACAAATAACCAGTAGTGCCCGTATCACCTTCTGCTAGAGCTTGCACATGGGAACACAAATACAAAAAAAAGAACACATAACATATAATATGTACACAATAAATACAAAAGAACAAATACTTCGGATGATTCTCCAAGCATTAGGTACAGACGGATCAAGTTCCGCGCCCTTGCTCAACCCAATCGAAAGGTCCTTGCTGTAACCCCATCCCTACCTAGGTACCAAAGGGGACCATGTAAGGTCGGATAGGTCATGATCGTCTGTGCTTTTCGGTCTTTTTGTTTACATTGTGCATTGGCATGCATCTGTCTTTCTCCCCGGCTAGCCACCGGGTCATTGTATCATCCAAGGTTATTTTTGGTATAAACATATCCCCTTCACCCTGGCATCCACCCTAGTCATTTCATTCTTCATTCCTTCTTCTCGTCCTGGTGGCTCCTCTCCTCTCCTCTCTTCATCTGATTACACTATTGGGTCACTGGTGGTCCTGCGTTACGCTCGTGTCTACTTACTCCTTCATTGTATACTCGAGATCATAGTCAATGGCTCACGGAGGTTTATACTGTCCAGGCGAGTTGGACGTGTTGAACACAGATCGAAATAGATCAGAAACCACTATCTGTTACCCATCACCATCACCAGCAAAGCGAATTTCATCTTACTATCCAAAGTCCGGCCCAAAGGTTCTTGAAGACTCAAATCTCGATCCTTTCTATCTCGAGTCATCGTTGGCCGCCACGCCGCATTGGAATTCATACAACTCAGAAATGCGCGATGATCATTTTGACGACAACAGCGAATACTATACATTGTCCTTGACCCACAAGGACGTCCACAACACTTTACCATACGGCCCAAATCGATCCACACTTGCTCAAGTGGAGCTGGAGAACAGTCTACGATTCCATCGATACACTCCCTCGACGGAGGATCGGAGTCCTCTGCACAGCAGTCAGGACTCCTTCAGCTCCGTGCAAACAGATAGCACTACACCGGACTTGACACCAAGCAGCTCCTTTTCTTCTTCGTACTCTGATTGCCCTGACATCGTCCTCGGGGCGACACAGCAGCTGTATAAGCACGCCCAGGGCACTCAACACGAACCCAGACGTCGCTTCTACCTTCCAGCCTCAACACCTCCCACATACTCTCTTCCTCCCCCTCCTCCGCCAGTGGCGCCATTGGCTGCGGCAGATACTCGTCCTACTACTCCTTCTGTTGCTCACTCCAACGATTCCACCACAACCATCACCATGGGTTACGAAGACGTAACAGGATCCTGTTCTTCTCGCTCTCGCCGCAGGAAGCAACCTCCTCCTCTCAACCTCTCGCGCGGTACAAGCGCGCACAGCCACGGCCGCAAGCAATCCAGCCCTGGCACTCGTCCCCCACTTGATCCCTCAATGATCTCCCCACCATGCTTGATCAACCCTGTCACCAAAGAGCCTCACATGACCCACTTCGATCAAGCTCTCTTCATCCCTGCCAACGATTGTCCCAGTCCTGTTCCCAGTCCTGTCGCCAGCTCCCCACCTATCTCTCGCCAGTGGACAGCAACATCCATGGAACGGCCCTCAACCTCCACCTTCGACGCGCACTGCGAGCAGTCTGTCTGGGAGTCCGACTCAGAGTCAGAGTCAGTTGGCCGCAAGTCCATGTCTCGCAAGCCCATCGACACACTGCGCAAGGTGCGCAGCCGTGCAAAGCTCCGTGGCGCCAAGTCCCAGCCCAGACTGCACCACGCTATGCTGGAAGACCATGTCATGGAGCAATTCCCCTGCATGCCCGATGATATCCTCGGAGAGCCCATCCCGGAGGCCTACCGTCCCAGCATGGATCGACCCAGTCTCAGCCGCCCAAGCACCAGCAGAGACGGCTCACGTACACACAACGGCTTGCAAACATTGCGCCTTGTTGCTCCTTCCACCACCTCTCTCGCCCGCCCTGCCGGTTCCCGGAAGAACAGCAGCCTCAACAGCTCAGACGTCGATCGTTCCGCAGCCGCAGCGTGGCAAGCACAATATCGTCGTCGCCAGCGCTCCGACACCCCAGAATACCCCAGCTCCTCGTCCGACACCGAAGGCAAGGAAAAGCTGACCTCCCTCTGCCACGAGAAGCACTCGCAAGCCACCATCCAGGATGGCTTCCGCGAGCAGCGCCCCCTCTTCCAGCGCTTCATGAACTCTCTGCGTTCACTGAACTGCCAAAAGTCCCACAAGTCCCACAAGAAGACAAATGTTACCACCATCTAAATGCATCGCACAGCTCGGCGTTCCGGTTCTTTGAGTCCAAGGATGGACAATTGTTACAACATTCCAGCTTTTCAACGATCACTCAAAACGATTTCTTTCCCAATGTCCCTTTTCCGTTTCACACATGTGTTCTCAATGATTACGAGCACTTCCACTCTCTACGCAACTTTCGCACCTAAATCGCGCACAATGAACTTAATGAATCTCCAGACCCGATGTGGCTGGACACCGACGCGCTACAAGACGTTCTCTGCATGCGCTCCCGCGCTACGAAACGATCATGATCCCTGGTCCTAGTGGCCATGACTATCCGACTCACGACTCGATACCCTCGAGCATCCTATCTTTAATTTTCCTTACTTTTTCCTGTCTGTTTCATTGCTTTGGTCTTGGATTCTTCCGCATGTTGTACTATCATCGTCTTGTCAGAAGCTACGCTACACTTGGCGGTCTTCGCTTTTCCATGTTTGATTGATTTGTGTCCTGCTTAGCTGCGACATCTTTTTTTCTGATATCTGTGTGATCTATTTACTGTAATTCCCAAAATAGAGGGACACGGCGCTTGGTTGGTCTGTGGCCTAAGACCCAAAATTGCATTGCTGCATTCTTGCATTCATTACAAAACTTGTTCTCGCTCGCTGCAACTATGGATAGACAAAACCAAAAGTAGAAACCACATTTTACCTTAAGCATGAATGATCGCCCGCTACTATGTTGTCCAGGAGATAGGTCCTTCGTGGAATGTTGCGTGGCTTTGCGCCGCATGGCTAGTCAGGTATCCTGGATACTACTGCGACATCTTTTGACTATGACTTGTGTAATCGAAGTACAACGTAACATGATGGCTTGGGCCTTACACCATTGAGCCCTTAAAGCCCTGCACAGGGATTCAATTTCATGAAAGCCTCGACCCTTTTCTTAACACAGGAACACAGGGCGAAAGGAAAGGAGCCACCAAAACCTTCCCTTCGTGCACCAAACCTACCCTCCTAGATCGAAAGACAGAGCTTTGGTCGCTGAGCCAAGCTTGAAGGAAACAGTGTCCCGAACAGAATCAACCGACCATGTCAATTGACAATAGTTACTCCGTAGTTGATTCGATCTTTCCATTCACGATCGCCTGCAGCGATCATCCATGCAGCTGTCTCGGGCTACCCGAATCCGACAGGGGTCGATTCCTGGGTGCTGGGTCGCTAGCAGATACATTAGTGTGCAACTACCTATCGACTTTGGGACTACGTACGATCTTGTATTCGTGTCTTCCCCACAAGTGCTGCATCGGGGATTCCGGGTAGAGGTCCGCTGGGATGGATGTGTCATTGGGCCGCGGGCTGACGATGACGTTTGGGTTAGGGCTTCCGACACCACGGACTCCTCTCGTGACTTCTCATATTTCGACTTGAAAGTCAACAGCTGTAGATTTAATTCACATTCGAAGTCAGTCTGGTCATGCTCGATATTAGTACAAACATTCTCGAAAGAGTCATCTAAATCCACTGCCTAGAAGTGCCTAACAAGTGGAGACAAGACTCATCCCTTGCAGGGGGCCTTCAACCGCCAAGAACGTCCTTTGACAGGTCAACGAAACGACTTTTTTTTTCATCTTTGCCACTCGATCGATGATACAAGCTTAATCGCATCTCCCCTTTCTCATTTGTCCGTAAAACCCCAAAGCAAAAGCCAAAGCACGCTCCCCTCAATCTGATATCTGATATCTCAATTCCATTTTCTCGGACACAAGGCAACCGGACGAGGACGAACTCCCATTGCCACTTTGACAGGTAACGCTAGACAGGGGTCTTGTTCGTCCAAACTACACAATTCATCCCCATTCCCTCTGCCGGGACTCAGCTTCCGCTGTGACTTCACATGCAAGGTCTTCCGCTCCACCGGACGTAGGGCATCCCTGAGACCCACCATCTCTTCTAGTTTCAGGTCTATTGGAGTTTGTATCCGATGGCGTAGGGAGGTCGATATGGTATTTGGTGTCTAGGCCTGTTCTTGAAGAATAAGAAAAAAGCTCTTTTTGTTGATGGCCCTGCCAGCTGGCTACGTAGCAATTGTGACATATGATCTATCTGATTTGCCTCGTGTTTGACAGCACCAGTCATGTTATTCACTGTTCAGTCTAAGCAGAGTATAACTAGTTAATCCAATCGCACTCTACATTGTAGAGCACTGGTTTTATCGCTGTCGATGTCTCGCGACTGCAGCAATGGAAGATTGGAATACTAAAGCCAAACCGCAATGCCATAGCAACAACCGTTCCTACAGTATGTTGCAGAAGCCCCAGCGTCAGCGTGTCTCAGAGAAAGACACGGCCGTTTTCTCAAACGATCGAGAACAGACCGTCCGGACCGGGTCTGCCCATCCCGCTGCATCTACCTTGCAGCCGCAGCGGAAACAGTGTTCCAGGTGTCTGGGTGAATAGCAGCCAGCGAGAGAAATCCCGCAGCGCGGAACGAGAGTGACGGCAGGCCCGAGAAACAGACCCGCCCGTCTCTGCAGAAACAGATTCTGCAAGGAAACCTTTTCCACCGGGTTCTGCGACTGACAGGGCCTGATTGTGTAGATCTTCAGAGCACACACAGACCGACGTCGTATCCATGACAAATAAAGACATCGAGCCGTGTGAAATGTAGAGTGTAGCTCTGCCCAAATCCGAAACAGCTTCAACTCTGCTCTTGCTCCACAGCCTGGCCCTCGCCCGCGCCCTTGTTCTCGGCCTCCTTCATCTCCAACGCCTCCATATTCTCCTCCCACCGCGGCACACCAACCCTCTCCTCCCACCTAGCGAGAATAACGTCCCCCTTCCGAGCAAGCTGCGTCTCCGCTTTCTCTTCCCCTCCCTGCCCACCAGGAACAACCTCCGTAGCCGTAGCACCCTCCCCACCAGAAAAGACAGCTTGCACATCCAGCTCCTTCAGGGCAGCCTGGTACAGCGAGCGAATCTGCTCTCTCTTCTGACGACGTAGTTCCGCGACCTCGGCCGTGTTCTCTGTAGACGGGGCCGCAGCGCCCGCCCGCCCAGCGGCCTTCTTCACGACGCCAGGTCCACTCCGTTCCTCGAACCCACGTAGCAATCCCTCCATAATACCGAGGATTGTACCGGCGCGCATACCCATCTGCGCGCCGACGGGGAACCCCGCGTCGAAGCCCTCTTGGACGTGTAGGCCCTTCGAGGTTGCGGTGCCGTCGCGGTATCCAGCTGTGACATGTTGACGGCGGAGAGACGGGAGGTCGGATGGCTCGGCGCCTGATGGCTCTGTGGCGCGTGGTGCTTGGAGCTCTCTTTCGCTGCGTGGTGGGGAGGACCCGAAGATGTCATCGAGGGAGTTGTCTGGGTTTGCGTCGGAGTGGGCGGATGTCATTGTTGTTGCTGGGGAGGAGGGAGCGGATTGTGGAGATTCAGAATCAGTCCGGGTTATCATTGCTAGAAGGAATTGGCTTCTAGAGTTGTGAGTTGATGCTGGTCGTTGCTGTTCGGTGCTGTTTGGTGCGGGAAAAAAAAGTCGATAAGGGCCGGTGGATCACCCCGCCGAGCCTATCGAGGACTGAAGTATACAAATTTGTGAACTTGATTCGATATTGACTGTATTTATAATCATATCTAATTGCTCAAAACACTCGATTCATCTGTTATATGGGCTGTGAAACATGGAAATAACGGATTGGTCATGGCTTCCGTTCTCCCCGGGGCCCAAGTTGGCCCCCAAAGTACGAAAGTACTCAGGCAGGCAGCTGCCTTGACTGTCCTCCTTTGTTCATTGCGCACTGCTTCCAATCGAGTATATCTACACATCCACAATGCCAGGGCGATCCTTCCGTATTCTAGGCTACACCACGTTGGCGACCGGCATCACCAGCTACAGCGTTCACCGCGGCCTTAGCCACCTGGAAAGGAAATACCCAGCCCTTCCCCATTCAACGGGCAGCCAGGCGCTACAAACTCCGCAAGATCCTCTCACCCAGCACTGCGCATACACCGACATCTACGCAGCGACAATCCCACTTTCAGCCCTTCAAGCCCGAATCCCAAGCACCGAAACCCCAACGAAGATCGAGCTCGAAAACGCCTGGGCCAGATCTGTATTCAACAGCAAGGTCCTACGAGCAGAGGGCCTGCTGATTGGTATTTTTACTCATTTCAACCTGACGCCATGCGATACAGGCGACTCCGAGTATGGGTTCTCGCCTGACAAGACCGGAGCCCCGCGTGTGCTGCTCAACGGCGGACTACTTGTTCAGCGGGTTCCGGGTGCTGATTCGGACAGCAATGGACTACTTGTTTCGATGAAGTTACCTGACGAGCCACGGGTGTTCTTTGAAAAGATCGCGAGATGGGGATATCCCTGGCGGTTGATGACTTGTGTGCGGCACGAGATGAGTGTGTCTGAACCGTTTGAAATTGAAGGAAGGAAGTTTGTTGATGTGCGATTTGCTACCGCTCATGATTATGAAGTTGTTGATGCAGAGGGGGGTTGGAACAGCAGAAGGTTATCCCCAATTGGGTCTTGAGATTGCATCGCGGATATGCGAGATACGTGCTCGATTCTACAGTCAAAGAGGTCAAGGGCGATCTTAAACATGCTTGTAATTAGTAGAATATTTGGATGCCCGAGGTTGAGATTCCTGGGCTCTTATCGTACATTATCTTCACTCTGGAGTTTTGCTTCACCTTCCAATCTAACAAATTGGCTTTTGAATCGTCCCGGGGGTCCTTGGAATCTGCGATCGCAAGCCCGCAAACAAGATTGAATTGCGGAACAGCCAGCGCGTATTGGACCGTCCTTCAGACTCCACCTCAACCCAGAAGGTAGCTTCTCAAGGAAGCTTCGGGAAGTACGCAACTGAGAGGGGTAAAGCAGAGACTTTGTGCTCACTGGCGCTCTTCCAATTCCTCTAATTGGCAGAGACGATACCGTTGACATGGGCGAAACATCTATTCTGACTCTGGCCCGTGATCAAACACACCGACCACAGGTTCGGATGTGACATCTGTAAGTAGAATTCTCCAGAAGATGCTGGACATGCATTCATCCCCTGGGATGAATGGACGGCCAATGGAGATGAAATCATATACTTCACACAGAGCCTCCTAATAAAGGGTCCTGCAGCTAAATCCTGTTCGCTGCACGAAGCAGATTTCCGAAGGAACGATTTTCATAAGGGTGCCGTCAAAGAGAAACCAAGGCTCTCTCTCCGGTCATCTTGTACACGAGCGTACCTAAGAAAAGTAAGTCAGCATAACCAACACGAAACCAATGCGTGGTCGAAAACATACTCCAAGAAAAGCCGGAACATGTAAACGTCAATATCATCATTCCTAATCGTCCTAGCAGCCCAAGCTTGGCCGTCTTCACCAATAGACCTCGCAATCCGCTGACCCGCAGGGTCCTGCTCGAAGAAGCGCACCAACTCCGGAATTTCATTCCCATCCTTATTAATCGGCACATAGTGGACCCACGGAACGAGTACGTCCTCATGCCATTCCCGGAAGAATGTGAGCTTGAACGGGACGCTCTTGCTGCGCATGAAAGCGTAGAATCGTCCGCTGTAAGCATGACCATCCATATCGAGCAGATACCGATATTTCCAGGCTTCTTCTGGTGGATCTGGTTCTACGACGTCGTCGAAGAACTCTTCCTCGTCCATGCAGTCTTCGTCGCAATCAATGATTTCAACGAAATGCGTATTGAAGAATCCCTCTATCTGGGATCTATTGGCCTGCTGGACCTCCCAGCCTTCGGTGCGACCTGGGATACAAGCTGAGCCGCTTTTGGGCTGGAGCAAATACTGGGGGGATCGGGGATGGGTCAAATTGCCGATAATGCGCTGACGCTGGAAATTTTCCCATGTGCCACCACGACTATGTCCGCCAGTTGTTTTGCCACGCCAGTAGAGTTGGCGCCTCTTGTTCTCCCACTCGACTGAAGTGTTTTCGTCGTAGTGCGCGATGCCTTCGTAGTAGTATGGCGAAGGGACCGCGATGTCCTGGAATGAGGACGGGTGGGACATGGAGAAGACGGGCGTAAGTTCGTTTGTTAGCTTGAAAGCGTTTGGGCGTTCGAAAACACCGAGGCGGTGTCGTAGTGACGGGCTGTTACACATGTCACTGGCGGCAGTGTGGTTGAAGACGAACCCCAAAGGCTCTATGGCGTACGCACTGGAGTTATCTGGTGCGTTGCCATCGAGAGACTTGGCGGGTGTGTCTGGTGGACATGACAGTCGGGAGTAAAGCCAGGTCTCCTGGCGCTCAATGTTGTTGAATCTGCTCGTGAAGACTTCCTCTGGTGGAAGAGGGTCATGCGAATCGCCCTTGGAGAAAATGTTTGACAACGTCGAGTTCTGGTTTAACCGAGCTTGAGTTTCATAGCCCCTGGTGATCAGCATGTGAAGTTCTTCATGTGGAATGACCACTCGCGGCTCGTCGTGTACGTTGAATTCCAATAGCATGTCTGGCAGCCATTGAGAAAACTTTTCAAGAATCCTGAGCGTGGCATCTTTCTGGAATTCTCCCTGGCCATTGCCCAAATGCATAGCCCTGCCGTCTCGAATAGCAACACCCATAACGTGGTTGTCGAATCCGAGATCCTCTCTTACGCGCGAACGAATCGTGCGGGGTTCAAGCCCCCAGAAGGGCTGTAAAGTGTGATAGATAGTGTCGAATTCATCAATCAAGACAGTGTTTCGTGCCGTCGCAAAGGCGTACCATTCGTCAAAGTGCGGAGGTGGTGGCATATTATACCGTCGTTGGTATTCAGCCACGGCTCCGGCCAACGAGGTAGATTGGTGTTCCAAGGTTTCGTTGAACGCTTTCGTGGCATCATAGACAAGGCGAGCAACTGGATGCTCGCATGAGCGTTTGTCGAGGGGACCATGCTGCCCATTGGAGGCGAGAAGCCAAAGAAACAGAATGGCCGCTGTCGTCAGCCCTGCGAAGGTAAACGTGCGCTTGGTTTTCTGCTGTTGCGCTCCTTGAAGGAGCTGATATTGGTTTTCTCTCCATGTTCCCGTGCGAATGGCGTCAGCCGCAGCCACGGCGCTGGAATGCAGCGACTGGATCCACGAAAGTAACCCAGACCGGAGGTGCATCTCGGGTAACGAAGTACTATCGCGGGATGTCGATGGGTATGCGCAACATCTCCTTGCAGCAGCCTCACACGAGAAAGCAATGGAGTGAATAGGAATTGGAAAAGAGAAATCACTGCGACCGCGTCGCGTGGGCCATGGGCCCATTGGGGGCCATTTTGAGACTGGGGTCCAGTGGAACCTATTGGGATCGACAAGGCTGTGTCTTAGAGGCTTGGCGAGGTTCTTTGGCGTTATCGAGATGGCGGCTCTATTGAGCTTGGCAGTGGTTATTTTGTGCAATTTTGTACTCTGGAAATAGTGTGTCGTCCGTTGTCAAATAGCTCAGTTTGTGTAGAGAACATGTGCTTAGAGATTGTCGCTTGAGGAGGTTCTCTCCACTTGGGGCTTGGCTTAAACCATTGAGATCGCCAGTTTTCACTGGTGATTGGATTGTCCACAATCCTTTGCCCCGTTAATTAATACATATATTAATCCTATTTAAGACTATTTATACTATTTTCGTAATTACTGCATGTGAATTATCCAGATCCAAGGATCCATAGATCCATAGATCTATGCCTCCGCTGCTCAAACGCAATCTTTGCCATGGTCAATGACAGTCCACCCCAAAAAGCCATTATAGAGGTAACACACATCCCAACCACTGGTGATAGTTCCCAGGAAAGCGTCGTTCCCACCAGAGCAATCAGCAGTTTTAAACATGCAAATATCCTGTTGATCCGTAGGCTCGGGGCTCTTCCATGAGATGCTTTTGAGGTTTGTCGCGTTGAAAGAGACGGTATCCAATGCTTCGCAAGCACGCGGGCTGGCTCCGTAGCGGTGGAAGATGGAGTAGTTGAGGTTAGATTGGCTAGGGTCGCAAGTTGGAGGTGCAACACTGAGGAAGCGGAGGTCCCACTATGAAACATTAGCGGTTTGACCAAAAAAAAGACCAAATATTGGGCACGGCGCACGCTTCTGTAGGCAAGAACTGCGCGACTTTGGACACTGGGCAACGCAGTGACCGAAGAAAAGACGCCAAAAAGCGTCAAGCACACGGCAAGCAACTGCATAGTGGAGTAATGAGTAGCAACAAGCTACTAGGTGTATAATCGACGAAAGTCAAGATTGAGACCCAAGGATCGAACGGATGCTTATTTGCTCAAAAGAAAAGCAGTTCAACCTCCTTAAAAACAGCAGAATTGCTTCTTTATGTACCGCAGCGTATCCTGATCCGACTATTTTAATACAAAACCACAACTGCAGGAAGCGGAGCCCAGCAGCTCCAATCACATTCATCGACCAGTCGAGACTCCATAGACTCGAAGAATTCATTTGCCTGCAGCTGAAAAAAAACCAGCTAGGCCAAGGAAAGTAGAGGGGTCTCGCATAAGAGTTTCTTGGCATCGGGAAAAAAAAGCAAGTCCTGAGCAAATCATTGGGTGAGCGCGATCGTTGTCGAGACCCTGGTTCCTGACGGGTCCTATCGGATAATGTGCGGCGCGGCTCGTCCGGGCTCTGATCTTTTGGCCAGAGAAGGTGAATAAGCTCTCGCGATGATTATTGGATGGTGGGAAGATGGTGGTCTCGCCGATTCAGGAACATGGCGAATAGGCGCTAGCCTGGCTCAGGGACTACAGTAGGTCTTACATGCAGGTAGTGCAAACACGAGATCGCCTCTTTTTCTGTCATGTCACATGGAATTGATGATGACCGTGGGACTGGACTTTGAGCTTCCTTTTCGTTCGTATGCTCAGGCTTGCGCATTTCACGTTCATCCTTGCGGACGTTTGGAGGCTTGCGAGATGGCCTCAGAGATGACTGTGATATTGTTTTTCCATGGATCTAGCCCGATACACTCAACGAGTCTTTTAAGGTTTTTGGGTGCTGGATGGATACATGCTTTCTCTTTATTTTTCATCGGAGTCTTCAAGGCCCATGAGCAATCCATGGACAGCCATCTTTAGGGTTGCAAGCGTCAGCTTTCGACAGTATCTTTGGTATTCATGTGTGGGAGGCATTCATGTGTGGGAGATACAGAAGCCTCGGGCATATGATTGGCGAGCGATAACATTCGATGAGTTACGGAGAGCTCTGTTCATGGCCTGCCTTCTAATCCCAGTTATGATGCTGGTCAATGTATTCAATAACTTCCTTACAGGCACGCCCACTGCGCAACTATCAGAGACTCACCAACTGCAGAGAAATGGTAGGAGTGCTCGCATTGTCAACTCCTAAGAGACTCAAATAGGATGTTCCAGCGTCGCCCCCCTTCAAGCGCCCGACACTGCCGGGTCAACTGATGGGGAAGAGGGAATGGAAAAGTGTATGTACACCCAGTTCCTGGAGTCATTGCTCCCTGCTCTCCCACGAGAGGCGCACACCAGGAGATCGAGCAGGGAGGGAGGTGAAGAAAGAAGAAAAGAAAGCAGAGAAAGAGGAATCATAGGGGTATAAACAGTGCAAGAGAGGCCAGGTGCCATTACCATTTTTTGGACAAATAGGACAAGAACAATGGAAATTCAATGGCGCGTCAATAACGCGTGGACAATAGAACAACAATAGACCAATAATCTCTGATGTATCATGTGTTCAAATTAATCGTACAGAAATTCAGTGTATTTTGAAATGCAGATAAGATGTCTAGTCATTTTTTCAATCTATAGAATAACCCATATTTAGAGGTATACAGGAGGATTATAACACCGTTGCGACAGTCAAATCATGACAGAAAGGAATCACTTCTGCTCGGGACCAGGAGTCAACCGCCACGCGCGCAGCGGCAAAGCCTGCAGTTTCTTTGCGGCCGGATTGATAAACATTACAAAGGTGACCGTACCAATCAGCACGCAGAGCATGTTGGTCATATAGTATCCGTCACGTTCGATCTGGCACGTACCGCCGCCGTTGATACAGCGGTTCTTCTCTGGCTCGAGGGCGCAGGAGAATGCAGTAGTGATGAGGGCATCCTTGAGAGAGCCGGCAGGGGGAGCGACTGTTGGGGGAAGACAGGTTGCGACTGTGAAGAAGTCGACGAGTTTGAGGACGAAGATGCGGGGGAATGTTCCGCCCAGGTTGCTGACACTGGGGTTGGTTATTAGCAATTTGATATAATCAGGACAACTGCGACAGGAGACTTACGTTGCAAGGAGAGTCATGTAGGTTCCGCCGATGGCTGGATCGGCAATTCGGGCGTGGAAGGCCGAGATGGCAACGAACATAACAGTGTTCATGAAGGTCGATAGAACGTGCTCGCCAATGACAGTGAGCATATACCATGTTGGCACTTCTGCGGCACTGGGGTAGATGACGACAGTCAACTGAGCGAGCACAGCGGCTGCCAGTCGGCCGATGAAGGCCCAGCCCCAGAGACGCATGGCGCCGTAGTTGGTGGACCATTGACCGGCATAGTAGCCCAACATAATCTCAAAGGGGAAGTCGATCAACACAACCAGAGCCATGTTGTCTTGACCAAAGCCCTTGTCCAGGAGCTTGAGGCTGGTGACTCCATCATTGGCCTGGAAGCCGATCTTGGCAATCAGGTGGATGATAATGATGGTCTGGATGTTCTTCAACTTCAGAACGCTCCACATACTCTTATACACATCCATGATGCTGTCGCGATCCTTGGTGCGGTCCTCCTTCTTCAGCAAGGCCAACCCGCAAGTCACGATCAGATACGCCCAGCCCCAGAAGCTGAGGTAGGTGCCGAGGGACAGCAGACCGCCCTCGCCAGAACTAGCACGGAACCATCTGTTCGCGAAATCCTTTGAGTTGAAGGCCAGGAATACGGTATAAGACAAGAAATGGCCGGCAGTCAATCCAACTGTTTGGGCAGTCGAGGCATAGGAGATGTTGGGTGGGGACATCAATGTGATAGCCCATCCGTCCACTGCAATATCCTGAGTGGCACAGAACAGCACCAGCATGAACCACCAATAGGTAAATTTCCATACACCGGCGCCACCATTGGCACCAGCCTGGACCATCATGTCTTCAATGTGGCCACCCAGATAGATCATAGCCAACCCAGCAATCACTTGTACTGGGGTGATCCAACTCTTCCGGCGCCCGAATCGCGTACTCCATACAGCATCGACAATGGGGCTCCAAAACAGCTTGAGCGAGTATGGGTATGAGGCGAGAGAGAAGATTCCAATTTGGCCGTATGAGAGGTACGGCTTGAGCAAGAAGGGCACAGAGCCGGTGGCCAGGCCCATGGGAATCCCCTGGAGGAAGTATAGTAGGACCAGAAGGAGGAAATTGCGGCGATCGCTGGCTGGCAGGTCGTTAAAGGTTGTATTTGTTTGAATTGGGGTCTGCGGGGTGAAGGGAGGCTCGTTATCGAGGGAGAAACTTGGCCTCGACATGAGTTGGGCGGTTCTATCGGCTGAAGATTCGGCGGAGGGAGTGTCCCTCCTGCGCATTTCAATGTTGTTGTTCATCTTGCCATTCGCATGTCCGTTTGACCCGGTTGCAACTTTCAGGTTCGGTTTGGAGCGACGCTTAGTGATGTTCGCGTTCTTGCGTGTCATTGGAGAGTAATTTGGGTGTAGAGTGAATTTTCCGAGGTCTTCAACTTCGTCCTGGTCGGAATAGAGACGGAAATTGGGTATTATGATATTGTAAGGCGTAAGGGATGGAAAGAGGGCGGATCGGCTTCAAATGGAACCGGAGTTGGGTTTGGGATGCTTAGATACCCGAAGAACACGTTGGTTGGTTGCACTGATAGTTGTGAAGGAGTGACGAATGCATGAAGAGGAATATATGAAAAGAAAGAAGCCTCAATGCATGTGGACTTTGGTGGGGGATCTCCGAACCGCAGGATGACAAAAGTTGATTTGAGGCAAGCTGGCCTCTTGGCTTTTCCCCAGTGGATTCTTGTAAATCCGGGGCATCTCAGGGTCTGTAAATATCAATTTTTGCACTCAAAGACAAATGGCTTTGATTCTACTCAAATCGATTTGAGGTATACTAGGATTTACTTGAAGTCTGGCAATCTGCATGTTACAAATTTGCAGATGAACTCATCCAAATGAGGTCACTAACTAAAACTATATCACAGTGGGACTTAATGCCCATTTGAGCCTAAAGTCGGTTAGGTATCTCACGCGTAATTTCCCATGAACCAAGCCCTTTTAGTTCGATCTCCCCATTCTCTCTACAAGCACTGGCGATGGCATAGTTGCAGGAAAATTAACAATTCCCGAAGCTAAGCTTTCCCCCAAGTTGTTGATACAGTCACGTGCCGCAAACAAACAAACATCCGCAGATGGCGATCGCTCGAACATCAACTCAACAGGACATGAATACAATGCAACGCGCCGCATCACCAGATCCAGAGGAGGAGGAACTAGACACGGAGATAACCTCAATCCGCGCAGAAAGTCAGTAGTCCCAACCCCCCAAATTCCAAGTTTCAACCTAACAACTCAAAGTCCGCAATCTCCAAAATCGCAAGCGCATCCTCACGTCAAGCCTCCTAACAACAGACCCAATCCAAAAGCTTCTCCGCAAACCAACACCACAGACCGTCACAGCACTAAACGACGACCTAGCAACACTTTCCCCACTAGTTCACGCAGCCGGCGCACACACCAAATCTAACCACCACCGCATCGCCTTCGGCGCAACCGCCTTCCCATTCAAAGACCCCTCCCCAACAAGCAACACGCCCACCAACCTGCTAGGCGTCCGCATCGACGTCTGCGCACGCAATGGCCGTTTCACAAAACCATACTATGTCCTTCTCCGACAGGATCGAGACCGCGGCCCCTCGGGGAAAAGACTAAGCGTCCACCGACACACCGTCCCGGCATTTATCTCCATCGCCAAGCTGGAAGGCGCGTACCTGCCGCGAGCTAGTGGGCGCGGACGCGGACAAGAGGATAGCGCGTCTGATGGGGACGACGCGGTAGCGGTGTCGAAGCCTTGGAAGAGCGGAAAGGGCGTGCGGAAGCAGGATCTGCAGGGCTTTGTGCGAGAGCTGCGGCGGGAGCTCGTGGCGTGGCATATGCGTGTTGACGCGGTTGATTTCCTGCGCGAGAAGCTGGGGCTTGTTGATGCTGAGGGTCGGGCGCAGCCGTTTGATGTATCGCCGGATCGAGAGACAGGGATTATTTCCCTTGCGCCGGATGCGCTGGAGGCGAGGTATATAAGGCTTGAGTGGGCTGATGGGCGGGTTGGGCGGTTTAAGCTGTCTAATGCTGGGATTGTGGAGCGGGCTGTTGTTATTGGTGATCAGGGTCGTGAGAAGAAGACGGAGGATGCTATGACTGGTGGTGGGGGGAGGGTTGAGACTGTTTTGGAGAGGTTGAGGGTGGATGGACTGTTTGCTTCACCTTCTGGACTATGAGTTTTTGTACTGATTGAGTTTATGTTTAAGCGCGCGAGATACCCCATTGTGAACTTTTCAGCAAGTTGTTTCAGTTAAGTACAGCTAATGAGTACTTTGAGAATGTCTATTCAAATGGTTTCCGCCAAGCTATGCAAAAATGAGACCAAAAAGCCGCCGCAATGCGTGTATATAAGGTGACCCGGGGTTGATCAAGCTCAGACTTCAAAATGATTACAAGAAGGATAGGTAGAGGTCATGACAAGGATGGAAGAGGCGGTTTGTCCTCGCAAGTAGCCAAATATCTCAACTCTGGCGGGAAAGAAAAGAGAGAGAGAGCGAAAACAGAAACATTAATTATTAGCAATAGAGATGAGAGGATGCAACGGTATAACAGGTAGATGTCGTGATATCGTGGGCTCTGCAATCAGAGTGACGCGCAATCCTGGCCGGTATGAATCGTATCCGGGGTGTTCGACGATTCGAGGGGCGAGGATTCCTGAACAGCGGTGGGGGTGTCCGGTGTGGTGCTTGTGAATGAGACAGGGGGTAAGGGGCCATATAATTGGCCATGTCGCACTTCGAGGTGCCGACGTAAGATAGCTTCTTCCAGGTACCAGCGTTTGCGCAAACTTGTCTTTTTAGTGTCCAAGGATTTTGCGAGCAACATCTCTTCTTGTCGTTGCTCGCTCTGTAAGGTAGCAATGTTTTGGGTGTGACGGTTACACATGTCATTTAGTTCCTTTTCCATACGCGCCGTGGCTTCCTGAAGCTTGAGCTCTTGACGGTCACGAAGAACCTTGATGCGGGCCTCATGGAGTTGATCCATGGATTCGTGGTTGTGGTATTGCTGCTCCAGTTGCTCCATGTGTTGCCGAGTGAATACGCGGGCTGGTGCAGTCGAGTCGGATTCAGAGAATGAATCTGACGAGCGTTCGGCTTTTGACGACCCTCCTGCGGGAGATAGCGGTGGGCTTGCATTGCGGAAGTATCCCTCCATATGCTTGATGCGAGTGCGTGAGTTCATCTTGGCACGGTCGAACTCGCGTTGTTGTTCGATTTCTACCGCAAGTTGTCGCTCTTCGAGTCGAACTATTGCTTCGATATTCTGTACAAACGTCTGTTAGTATATGATTGTAGAGAAGGGATAAAACCCCCTAATTGATAACGAACCATTTCGCGTTTCTCATCCTCCTGGCGCTGATTGTCAGCTCGCCGCTCAGAAACAGCGGTCTGGTGCCGGCGCCGAAGTATAGCAAAGGCCGCATCCTGGAAAGCGAGATGCCGATTCTTTTCCATTCTATGGCGTTCACTCATCTCACTGAGCTCGGGATCATCCAAGCTCCTTTGCAGAGACTCTTTGCTGTATAGCGGAATTTCAAGCCTAGGGAGCGGAGTCTTCGTGCTCTGGTCTGGTATAACTTGGCCAGGGTCATTAGGCTCTGGTTTGGGTTCCAAGAAGACACGCTCCACGCCTTTGTCGCCTCTGGATATTGTAATCTGCGTCTCGGGAGGCAGGAGAGTTGAAGAGGGGCGTTTCTTGCGAAAGTGAATTTTCCCAATCGCAGACTTCAAGCTGCGCCGTCGTTTCTCTTTTTTATCGGCGGAAGCAACACTCAACATCGAATGCCGATTTGACTTGGCCTCAAATGATTCATTATGATACCCATATCCAGCAAGAGCTGTCCTTCCCTCACTGGAACAGAACGAGGTGGGACGAGTGGAAAGCGTAGCAAGCGATCGGGTACTGCCGGGCTTGAAGCGATCTGAGGCAATTGCGACATCTGAGAAGGAAGAGACGACCTGGTCTATCGCGGAGGGAGAGGGCGATGCTGGCTCGTAGGACGGAGTAACGGAGCCACAGACTGAATTCCGATCGGTTGACGAAGCAGAAGAAAGCACTGGCGAGGAAAAACCGACAATTCCTGAGGCGATGGAGGCAGCTAGTGGCGCAGATGCCTCGATCTCCGGAGCTTTGAGTCCTAGTTGTTGCGCCTCGATGGCCAGCTGTTGCGCCTGCGCTTCTTCGGATTCTGATGTGGAGAGAAGGAGGACATCTTGGCGATATTGGGCCTCATCAAAGATGGGCCCCGTGAATGAATCCATATGAAATTGTGACGCCTAACCAGCGGGCGCACATATGGAGTAAGGTATGTGAAGAGTGGTCCCGTCCACTATATGGACGAGAAAGACGCGGTCTATGACGGCATGCGCTTAGGGGGATGAGGGGTGAAGCTCTGTAAGGACAGGAGAGAGGTCAAAGCCAAGAAATTCGTGTTCTTTATAGTAATAAAGGGGACTTCAGAAAGGAAAGAAGATAGTTGAACTCCTATTTTTTATTTATTTTTTTATTTAATGAAATCAAGTCGTTGACCCACGGGTGACCCTGACGCAATCCCTGGCTGTTTATCCGTTGTCGAAAACTGGAGTCATTGTGAAACCGCCTAAAATGTGGATTGCCATTGTATACGTATGGACGTAGATGATATGGTGTAAGGATTAACTATAGAATCATGGGTTATAGGTTATAGTTTATATCGTACTTTAATATATCTCGGAAAATTATCGGATTGCGTAATTCATGCTTACCTTTTAATGCTGCAACGTGCCTATCTTCTTTTTAACTATATGCGTACCCCTGTTGAACATCCATAAACCTCGAAGATTGCCCGATAAGGAAAGTAGGGTTAGGGCTAGTGAAACAACCTCGGTCCGTTCCGGAGAGCCAAATATACCCGTTTTGTACTCAAATGGATCAGGTCAGGAACAAAGACATGGAACATGAGTTGTTTAGTTAACATGGTTCAAACAAAGACTTAAATACATCTGTTAATTATCATTCAACATGTCAACTGCCAATTGGTAGGCCCGCTCTTTAGCTTCGTATTGCGGGGTTCCACCCAGAGAGTGCTTATCCCACCCATGGGAGCATTTCTCCATGCGCTGGCTGACTACATGCCATCCCTCCAAATCCTTGATCTTTTGAGCCAATTCCTCCGCTTCAAGCGCGAGAGAATCGCCATCAGCGGTGATCATAAGAATACGTTGGGGGAATCGATTTGCCTCGGCAAAGAGCGGCGAGATACGAGGGTCCCGCCTATCAAAGGCCGCAGGGATATAGCAGCGGTTGAACATACGTCCAACAAACAAAGGGATCACCCGGCCTCCAGCAACTGGGGCGTGTTTCAAGCCAGGATCCGAACTTAGATCGGTCACGGGGTAGAAAACCAACAAGGAACGGAAAGTGTTGCGGGGGAAGAGGCTTGAGGACGCTGCTAGTGCGAGGTTGCCTCCAGCGCTGAACCCGGAGAGGGATACATGGGTCTGGTCAAACTCATCGGGGCGCGATAGTACATATTTGATGGCATCTTCGATGTCGTTCAATGCAGCAGGGAAAGGGTGTTCGGGGGCCAGTCGGTAGGGGACGTCCAGAACAGTATACTTTGAATCACGACTGACACGTCGACAAAATTCATCATCACCACCGTGGAGAGGCAGCAGAAATCCACTCCCGTGAAAGTTAATGAGCACAGGTGATGGGCCCGAGCTAGAAGGATGATACAGATGAACCTTGATCGTTCGGCCGGCATCTCTTGACTTTATATGACGCACTTCATCTGGAGTTGCAGAGACATTGGCAGCTAGGCCAACTATGAATCGCAAAATGACTGCGAAGCATTTATCGAACATATAAGTGAGAAACGACATGCTTGAGTGGATGTTAAAACTAAGTCTGAGCCGAGGTATCGAGTTAAGAATGCCATGCCACTAAATGCCGATCTCCACCTGTTCTATCTTGACCAATGCAATGTAGGCCATAATTAGTATCATCTACCGATCATCATGCTCAGTACAATACAATTTCATGTTTTTAGTACTAATCAGTTTGCGGCGAGTAATGCGACCAAGAGGCAAAAGAATGCCTGCAATTTCAGGCACCCATACAGTCTACAGTGTAACTATGTAATGAGAATTGAGTAAGAGATTGACTTGAATAACCCATTATGTATATCAATACTTAATATCTGACATGGTTCTCCAAATACTTTACCTCCAGTCAGTTTGGTGCCATGAATCAATCATACGAGTTTCTTAGTGCGTCGGCATATCTCATTTCTGGTGGTGATTCACATTTTCTTATCAATAAGCACGCAATGACCCCTATTGAGCAACTTCCACGCAGAGCCTCACTGTCTTCCACGCACCTTCTCTACCAATCAGAATGACTGCCCGCTGTCGTCACGCTGCTCAATGCTCATCTCCATCTCGCATCGTCATCGTCATCGCCTCTATCATATGCCCCGGGAAGGTATCTACAACTAAGAAAAAACTAAGCAGAGATTTAGACCTTCAAGTCTTGGATATCATCAAATGAAAAGGTATCTTGCCTGAGCCGAACGACTATCACTAATTCATCTGGTTTTAAACCTCATTGTCTGTCAATACACCAGTCTACAAGATGGCCCCAAAGGCCGACGCCGTTGACACGAGCTATACGGTCTTCATCCGTTTGCCATTTCCCAGAGGCGAATTTGAGGATCCACCTCCTGTAAGCTCTCTCAAAGGAAGCTTTCTTTGACATTAACTAACGAAGAGCAGGTGGAATGGAATGCTTCTAAAGATCAGGCACTCTGGGATATTCTCTCACGGCCCTCAAAAGGAGACATAGACTGTACGAATATACTTCAGATCCATGATTCACATTCTGACTTCGCTGACTTCGCCACAGGGAAAGCCCTGTGACTATCCTCTCCCCAGGGAACTTATAGACATGAAGACTGCTAACATTATTGATTTAGGGCAGATAACTTTGAAGTTACGTTACAATTTCTACTTCAACAAGCTGCATGGCTGTATGATCGCCAGTTATCTCAGGTTCGGGCCCAGATGCGTAAGGTCGGTACGACACAGTCGAATTCTCCTTCTCCGGCTCCAGGGTCTGTATCCGGGAGTGGGGCGTTGGGTGGAATTCCACCAAGAGAAACGCCAGGGCCAGGTATATCTTCCCTCTGAACTTACTTTTGGTATACTCCTAGGTTGACAAGGACTAGGTCATCGGGCTCAATCACGGCAGGTATCCCAACAAAAGGATATCCCTCAACGAGGTATGGACCGATGTCTTGTTCATTCTGTTCCATCTCATCATTCGTGCTGCCAATGAAATGTTTATCTAACCATGATCGCAGCTTTCGAACCACGGCGTACTAGTGCTACATCAACCACCTTTACTAACCAAGCCCGTGGATCTCAACCCCCTTCACGTACTGAGACGCCGACAGCCGACACTGAATCACGATGGGGCACATTTGGTCGTCAACCGTCGGCTGTCAGACGAGAGCCACCACCAGTGGCATCTTTGCCCCGATCTCTCCCACTCGAAGAGGAGCCTCTGTCTTCGAGCACGTCGGAAGAAACAGATTCCGACAATGATGACCCAAGAGGTGCTCCTCGGTTCAGACGATTTGGAAAATTCTCCACCCTTCGCTCAGGTCTCCGCGATGACGAAGACGATGATGACGATACCCCGGCGTTCTTACCAATTGTCCGAGAATCAGGACATTCCCATCGGGAACGGCCAGCCCAAGAGCTCAGTGCTACCCTCCGACTAGATGCCGAGCGAGCAGCTGCCCAGCGACGTCGGGGACCGGATCAGCGCTCTGGTCATAGGGTACCCGTGGCTTCAGAGTCTTCCACTAGCTCGATGAGCTCTGTCGGCCCTGTTGGTCTGCCTCGAAGTGAAACCGGACGAACAGATCATAGGGCACCGATTTCAGGCCCTCAGCGAGCACTTGGGACCCGTCAAAATTCGCGCCGGTCTAACACTTCCGGCCGTGAGGCCAGTGATGGTACCCCTAGTATGGGGAGCAGCTTCAGTGACCTCGACGGTATGTCCCCCAGTCCCGTGGATAATGCATTTGTTCTGATCGATTCCCAAGATGCAAGCGTTACGCAATCAGCCCTGGAAGAGGCTCTTTTGAGCAACATGCAACATGGTGGTATGGCAAGTCGCATGAGTACGATCAGCCAAGCACTCCGCAGTCGTTATCTGCAGTAATTAGATAGCCCTATCTCACATAACAGAGGACCTCAAATTGCATATCATGACTTTGTACAAAGGAGGTTAGTTCTATGATGTAGCCGTCTGCCACCCCGCATACACGTGACGCAGCAAGTGGCGCCTCGATTTCGGTGATGTGTATCTATCGCTTGCATGTACAGTATTCATCAATTATCAAAGCCCTGAAAGAGATCAAGATTCACACTTCATTGACCTTTGACGGTTTCAATCTATCTTCGGTCAAACGGGAGCGCTAGCGCCAAATCAGGCAGTTCGGCCTCAACGTCCTTCACGCCGAAATCCCTGCTCAACATCTAAATTTGAATGAACTGCAAGTTCGTTGAGAAATTCTGTGCGACTAGCATCATTGAAATTTGAAAATCCTGACCGAGTGTGGAAGTAGGAGCTCATTGAGCGGCATCAAAGAACTACCCCACCAAAGACGCAGGGCGCAAAGCGGCATCCTCGGCATCTTATCACTTCAAGCCAAATTGTTCTTAAAGCTTCCCATTTCTCGCAGTCACTTCCAAATTTTTTGTACAAAATCTTCAGAACAACCATTCAAAACAATGGCAACCCCATTAGTCGCGGAAATGGAACCGGCGGCAGCCGAATCTGTCTACTTCAACGAGTACCCACCACCAAAGGCTCTGCCGAAACATGAAGCGCTTGCTCGCGCATTCATTGATCTCCACGTGGAGGCCAACCGCCGTGTAGTACTTGTCACATCTGGCGGCACAACAGTACCACTAGAAGCGCAAACAGTGCGGTTTATCGACAACTTCTCCGCCGGAACTCGTGGCGCCACATCCGCCGAGTACTTCCTCGAGCAAGGCTACGCCGTGATCTTCCTCCACCGGCAATACAGTCTGCTCCCGTACTCCCGGCACTATAGCCACTCAACGAACTGTTTCCTGGACTTCATGGACGAGGCGCCGCCCTCGGCCGATGGATCCAATCCAGGCGATGGACCTATCATGGTCCGCGACGAGTATCAGGACCAGATGCGCAGCGTGCTACGGAAATACCGCTACGCGAAACAGAACAACCGCCTTCTCTTGTTGCCGTTCACCACTGTTTCCGAGTACATGTTCGAGCTCCGCTCTATGGCTAAGATCATGCGGCCTATCGGCCCTAATGCGCTCTTCTACCTTGCTGCCGCCGTGAGTGATTTCTTCATTCCGCGCAGTAGAATGGCGGAGCATAAGATTCAGTCATCCGAACTGCCGGCACACATGCAGGGCAGCGCAGTCGGGTCAAATGAGATCTACACGGGCGAGAACGAGGAAGAGCCCTCGAACCGCAAGAAGCTCGTTGTGAACCTCGACCCTGTTCCTAAGTTCCTGCATCGCTTGGTAGATGGCTGGGCGCCTGAGGGGAGCATGGTTGTCTCGTTCAAGCTGGAGACGGATCCTTCGCTGCTTGTTTACAAGGCGCGCACTGCGCTACAGCGCTACTCGCACCACTTGGTTATTGGCAATTTGCTATCGACGCGCAAGTGGGAGGTCGTCTTTATTACACCTGAGGAGCCACAAGAGCGCTGGATTCGGGTTCCCAAGTCCAGGCGCAGTAAGAGTATCTCTGGTGTTGAAGATCAAGTTGGGTTAGCTGAGGCGAAGAAGGGCAACTCGGTGCCACTTGAGCAGTCTGAGGCTGAACAGATTGCGGATGCCAATCGGGATGGAATTGAGATTGAAAGCATTATCATTCCAGAGTTGGTTAAGCTGCATACTAAGATGATTGAGAAAAAGATTCAACCGAAGCAGTGAAATTGGTCCCCCAAAAGGCGTTTATATAAATTAAAGAGTGATTATATCTTTTGGCATATTTCTAATTATTGTATATAGAATCAACAGCATATCGATATCCTACGTGTCATGATGTTCATTTTGCACTGCCCGATTCTGGGTGGATACCCATAACAATTTTAGAATGAGCATCCAAGGAATCTGCAATGACGCCTATATTGTAAAATGAACAAGGGATTGAAAGATAACATGCTCGAGTCAAGGGGGAATTATTTAAGAACTTAGAAATTCCAGATGCTCCAGACCTCCTAGGCTCCCAGGGATTATCTACTACGTACTACACAAAAGTACGCGTCTTCCGTTGTGTCAGCGGCAGACCACGGCGTCGATCATCTTGTTAGCGCCAACCTTTCCCCAGTTCTTTGCTCTTCAGCTCCTGGGAGAGGGGGTAATATCTGGAATCAATTCTGGAAAGATGACCGATTGATCAGTTGAGCAAATTCATCATGGTCTCTCGTCGCAGGTTCAGTCGCCGCTTAATTGCTGTTGCAACCGCCGTTGCGATCTTCTTCTTCTACCACATCTTCTCCCTATCCGATAACAATAATCGCGCATGGCGACCGCATTTCACAACCACCGAAACCACCCCAGACCTCGACGAGAATGGCGAACCAGCTCCCTTCTGTCCGCCATTGCCCGGCATTGAGGATGTGCTCGTGGTCATGAAGACAGGAGTGACAGAATCCCGCGAAAAAGTCCCCGTCCACTTCCAAACAACCCTGCGCTGCATCCCCCACTATGTGATCTATTCCGACTTCGAGGAGGAAATCGAAGGCGTCAAAATCCACGATGTCCTCCGCAACATGGACAGCACCGCGAAGAAAAACCCGGACTTCGAATTCTACAACCGCGTCGTCAAGTACGGCCGCAAGGGCCTCGAACAACAGGATTTCGCCGACGAGGCCAACTCCGCCATCGGGAAACCAAACAACCCGGGCTGGAAACTCGACAAATGGAAGTTCCTTCCAATGGCCCAGGAAGCGCTCCACTACAAACCCAACGCCAAGTGGTTCATCTTCATCGAAGCAGACACCTACGTCTCCTGGCCGACGGTGCTCGCCTGGCTGGCCCGCTTCGATCACACGAAGCCGCACTATCTGGGCACGGAGACCCAGATTGCAGATGTCATCTTCGCGCACGGCGGTTCCGGCTTCATGCTTTCGAACCCTGCTCTGCAGCGCGCATCGGACGAGTACTCTTCCCGCGAGCTCGAGCTGAACGCGTACACGGACGGCCACTGGGCCGGCGACTGTGTGCTAGGCAAGGTTCTCGCCGATGCCGGCGTAAACCTACACTTTACATGGCCGATCCTGCAGAACTCTAATATCGGCGAGCTGGACGAGTTCACCGTCGACTTCTATCGCCATCCGTGGTGCTTCATAGCCGTCGCAATGCACCATCTCTCCCCAACCGACATCGAGAACCTCTGGAAGTTTGAACAAAAGCGCTGGCGTGATGTAAGTATCTGATCCTGATCTTCCTCCATTTGTATCTCCCTCCAATCACCGCCTACACATCACTAACGTCCATCTCCCATAGAAAAACAAACGTATCCTCCTCCACGGCGACTTCTTCCGCGAATTCATCTACCAAGAAATCGCAACCCAACCCACCCGTCTCAACTGGAACAACCTAGCAGCCGACGACCAACCCTTCGCTCATTCCTTCGAAGACTGCCGCGAGATCTGCGAGGCGCAGAAAACCTGCGTGCAATTCTCTTTCCACGACAATACCTGCTTCACGAGCTCCAACCCTCGTCTCGGCAACGCCGTTCCCGGCGGCGACGCCACCTCTGGCTGGATCACTGCTCGGATTCGGGATCTGATTGAGAAGAAGGGATTGTGTCCCAACCCCGAGTTTGGGGATTAGGTCGTAGTATAGCTTGATCTGATCGTTTTGTTATGTTGGAGGCTATTTGCTTATTGTTTTTAATTTTTTTTTGTGAATCTATAGTTTTGCATTGAGGGCGACGCTTGTGATCGTTGGGCAGGGCCGGATTTAGTATTTGGGGTCAGCAATTTGGGCTCTGGTTGAGAGCTTCGTCTCTCATTGTGTATTACCATGTTCTGTTGGGCTCTTTGGTTGATGATGATTTGGATAGACATGCTGTATGGCGTTTGTACTCGGTTGGTCTCTATTATATACTTGCTTGATCAGTCAATACAGCCCTAGACTCGTGGACGAATCTTCATTTTGCTTATGTGAACCCACGAGTATCATTTGCTCAGCACTCAACGGCCGTTTTAAATTGGAAGTACATATGTACCTATGCTATTTTCGATGTTAATGAAGTGAGGAAACGGAAATTACCTCGGTAATAACCGTCTCTTCACCAAGAACAAATGATTGACGAATGGCATCCATGAAAATACTAAATTCATCGACACATCCAGTACCAATGTATCGCACACCATCAAGACCAGGGTACGTGCAGAGAATTCCAGCAGGAGCAGGTTTGAAGAATTCGCCCACCTTTCTGAAAAAAACATCTGCATCGTCGGTGTCAAAGTAGCGAGATTGAACATTATCGTTGGAAACAAGTTTGAAACGGACGAGAGAGTGATTTTTCTCGACCTGAATGGACAAGGCATGAATGGCTGCCTGTGCAGTATCCTGACCATTCAGGTCGCGCTTGGCACGCCTGTTTTCAATATTGTCAGACATGAATGGACTTCCAAGAACCCGCGTATAATCAGCAGAGGTAGGTGTCTTGAAATTTTCCTGGTCGTAGGCGATTTGAGATTGGTTTCTTGACATAGGTGTAGGTGTGTTGGGCAAGTTAGACTCATCATCCTTGTCATGGTATTTTCTTTTGCTGCTGTTGTCCAAGCGCCTGAAGCCCTCATCAAGCATTTGAGTATTGAAGATTATTTTCTCCTTGTCGGTGCGCCAGATTTTGATAGCACAAGCTTTTTCTTCCCAATTTTCCTTAGTCACATTCCAAGCAAACAGATACATTCCATAAATTCCTTTGCAGAGCTTTGCAATCTTTGCTCGAGTTGAACTGAGCATAACCAGTTCTTCTGTGCCGTTCTCCAAATGCAACACCAAGACGCTGTAACGGGAGGTCCTGCGGCCTGCGCCTTTAACAGTAATCTGGAAAACTGACAATCTGTACTCATCCGCATCCTCGTCATAGATCTTGAAGTTATCCCAGGTGGTTGGGGCACGCTTTTTGAAGGCACAAGGATGCTCTGTACTGTTAGGGTGGGTGGTGTGCCATTGCTCAAGATTTTCAAAAAGCTTAGTAGGGAGAGAAAACCCTTTTGGGCCCATGGTGCGCTCGACAACGAGAGTCGGGGGTGCTCTAGGGCTGCCTGGAAGATTCAGAGTGTTTTGATTTGCCGCGTACCGCTCAAACGCTGGGGTTGTTGCAGGTGATGTTGACAACGGCTTCTGTTTGACGGGTTGGACCTGCTCCTCAATGATGAAGACACCATCAGAGGGTTGGAAACTGATTCGGGGTGCTGGAGAATCGTTAAAGTGGGTATGAGTTGTGATTAGCTGCGATGGCGACGCAGGGTCCAATGAATCCTGTAGCATCGCATCATCCATTTGGGTCAACTCCGAGAAAGTAGGAGTAGTGGGAGTCGCAGGCTGAGGGATAGTTCGTTCCTGTACGTCCAGCTCTTGCTCCTCTGCAGGAGCCTCACCCATATCATGATCAGCTGGTGACACATGCGACTCATCAATGGCATTCGGAGAGCCAGCGTTTAAGGCTTCTGGCTGATTGGAAACGTGAACCACATTGTCCTCCATGATGTGAACCGAGTGCAGAATAAGACGGGAGATGGGTACGTAAATTTTGAGCAGAAAACGCAACACGAAATCGAAAACTCGAAGAAGAGGAAGCAAAGCACAAGTAAATGAGATTCACTTGAGGTGAAGATAAAACGGCAATGAGCGTGGCAGAACGAGAGTTACCGTGTTTCAACAAGGATAGAGACGTGAGAACGAGCAAAGATGATCGGAATGATAGGAAAAGTGCAAATAGGAACAGATCTAGCAAAATTGGAAGACAAGTAACGTGGGGCGACGAGGATGAATATGCAAAGGTAAGAAGAAGAAGGAGAAGAAGAAAGAGAAGGAGAAGAAGCAAGAGGCAAGAACTAAGCAAGCTAAAACGACGACGACACAAGCGTTGCGTGATAAAAAGAACTCCAGGATACGATGCGATGACCTCGGCGAGAGTACAGATAGACTCAATCCTCGACCAGAGATGAAACCTTGAAACCAATGCGCAGTATAACATGCAAAACAACTCGCTGAATATAAAACAAGTAAAAATCTATATGGAGAACACCTGTGAACATATTTACGAATTGAAAGATGGAATATCAAGCTTTTTGCTAGTACGTTCTTCAGAGGTAACATGCCCGAAACAAATTCACCATGCAAAGGCGAAGAAAATATTATCGCTTCACAAAATAAGAGATAGACGTACAGCCGATGGACAAGTGCCCAACGGAATAGCCACATTGAAAATTCACAGATGGCCGGTGGGAAATTCAGCAGTCTGTGAAAAGGGAATGACGGCAAAATGGATGGTTCATATATTGCTTTCAAGGGGTATCAAGTCTCGATGTAGAGGAGAAAGGGGAGAGTCACAATGAGGCGGCGGGGTGTCATAGATCACTAGACGACCTGCTGTGTTGACCGAGGACGTTGTTTTGAACGAGGTTTCTCACCGCCTGCGGTGCCACCACCTCGTCAACGCTGTTCCTGCGGCCCCAGTTTTGTGGTTGGCGTTGGATGAAGGCTCCGACGGCGCCTAGGTAACCTTCATGGCGCAGGAAATATGCTTGCTTCTCGCCCTTGGACCAGAAGCGGATGGCGTATGAGAGAGTGTTCATTGTTTGTCGATGGCCTCGGATGAATGAACCTCCGAAGTAGATGTGCTTGACTCCGTGCTTTTCTGACTGCAGATAGGCAATCTGGCCAATATTATTACTAATCCACGTTAGCTCAGACTCGATCTACGGTAATAAAAGAAAATATCCAACATACCTGATGGCATACAGTAGACTTCGACTCATGTCTTCTGCGTTGGCTTTAGCTCCACTCCTGGGCTCGTTGGGGTCACCGTGGATCAATCCCTCGCCGTCTTCAGCCCCTTGCTCGGCGTCGTTTTTTAGTCGTAGCACCTTGCCGAAAGTACTCGCAATAGCTGTACTTTTCAGACCAATTTTTCCATAATCCATGCCGTAGATATCTCCCACAAGCATATCCACCGCACTGTTATCTCCGCGGTCGGCCATTGCCAGCATGTCGTCGAAGGTCCGCGAGCCGGTCAACAATGACATGATACCCCAGAATGTTCCACCCCCGAGGTGGGTTCCTCCGACACGCTCAAATTGCCTTGGGCCAGATACTTTAATCATTGAAACACCTGAGCCGATATTGACAAGAAGGTACGGGTAGACATCGGGTCGGGCCTCGGCATATTGCATCGGCTCAGCGTCGGCATCGCTGTATGTGAAGACTTCGTTGGGAATCTCGGTGATGAAGAAATCCAAACCTGGTTGACAGCATGTTAGAGCCATTCCCTCAGCAAATGCTTGACTGCCACTTACCAATAATCAGACATTCCATCTCTTCCTCGCGCAGTATATTGACATCCAACTCTTCCTTCAGCCTGTCGTAGTACTTATAGGCACCTCCACCAGTAGCGACCACGCATAGTTCATCCCGTTTTGAGCCATTGCGCTTCTGGTGATCCTCTTTGAGCTGGCGAATGAAGTTGATGCAAAGGTCAATGCGGTGGGTTTCGAAATTGAGGAAATTAAGCCGGCCGCCGTTATCCGCCGAGTTCAGCTCCCGGGTAAAGTAAACAAGCTTCGCAAGTGTTCCGCCGATCTGTAAGCCCCCATGCACCGTCAGCCATGCCCTGGTTTGGTGGTGTGATGGAATGTTTCTTCAGGGCCCTTGGATTGCGGGGGAATCGGTCGCAGTGCGGGGCACAAGAGATTCTTCTCGTGCTCAGGAGCAACTCACATCAACAGCCACATGGCTCACAACGCCTGTATGGTGCGGAAGTCGAATATCCTTATTCTCATAATGCACACCCTCTGCCTCGACGGGACTCCTGGATCGTGGTTCGTCATCGACAATGAACGCGCCTTTAACGTTGATTTTGACAGCTCCGGGGTTGGTGATAGCTTCCTCCAAACGATTGGGGCGTTTGCGTCGAGAATTGGGATCTACCTCTTTACGATCGGAGGGAGTCATTGTGAGTGTTGTGGGAGTTGAAGAGGTCCCTTAGGAGAGTGAACGAGAGGTACCCGTTCCCACGCTTACTGCGTATATCTCCTTCTACCCGAAACGGACGCGGGTTCCACTTCAATACCGAGCCGAGGACCTCAACTTCCCGAGGCTTTTGCACTTGACGGTATTTTCTTCTATGAATTATCTTCAGAACTCTTGTTCGGAGTTGTTGGGAGAGTGAACTTTTCCTAAGGCTCAAACATCTCTTGGCATTCTTCCGTTTTCATGAAACACCTGCTGCACACTTACCAAAACCGATTGCAATGAAGAATAAGTGCAACAAGAATGAATATATTTCCACTTCTAGCCGATTAGAGTGAATATATTGTTTTGTGTACATACATCTGGTTAAATGTGGAATTAGAAGGTTTCTTTAAGAGACATGGTATGAAATGGCACGTGACAGGTCGCTTTCTTTGTATAGATTCATTTGCCTCGTGCATCTTATGTTGGGATTGAACTTTGCTCTACCTAGGTACTCTACGGCCATGTTTGGTAGCACAAGAGTCTCAAACGCCATATGCAGCCAGGTATCCCTTCTGTCACTTCTCTTACATCTCCCATATTTTGACCTAGAGCAGATGCAATTGGAAAACAATTGAATCGCATAACCAAAAATCTTGGTTAAAAAGGCAGATATCCAAAACTAGGTTGTCGACTATGATTATATACCCAAAACATGAATATAAGCCTTGGAGCATTGAACACGTTGAAGGCGAAGATGTATAGACAATGCACGTTATACTATGTACTGAAAAAAGAGTCGTAGCTTCCAATTTGGGAAGTCATGGGTACTTCTTCCCTCATATAAAACCAGTGGTCAATCGAGTTCTGGTTCAACAACTTGATCAAAGTGGCAGTTGCCTTTTTTGACAGCCCAACGCGTGTCTCGGTGCGCCTTTCACTTCGCTATTCAACCCGACTGCTCTCTCTTCTTCCTTTTCGCTTTTCCCTGGTGCTTTTGACTTGTCTTAACCACGTCACTTTAATCTTTTCGATCTTTTCCTTGATCACTATGGATCCCTATAAGTATGAGCATACATCTGCTGCTTCGGCTGCAGATGCCGGCTCTGATGCTGGCGTTGATGCGAGTGGCTCCGTTCACGATTCCCACGTGGCACCCGTGCAGCAAGGCGTGTCTGCAGGTGTGCTTTCTGGCATCGGCCCCAACGCTGAAGAAGCTGGCCAGGTTGCTCGTGACAAGGGTTGGACTGACCCCGTTCCCTTCAATTACTCGGACTTCAACAGCAAGGAGCGCGGTGACTGGGCTGGTGTGGCTGCTCGCTATGAATGGAAGGATGAATATGGTGATGTCGGTCCTGCTATTCCTGAGTTGGAGGATCAGCTCTTCCGAAGCGAAGAAATTCCCCGTGCTGGTATCAAGCTTGACGAGTAAGTGACAAGATGGTAGATATGATTGCACTGACTTGATAACTAACACTTCTTCCTGAGCAGCTTGAATAATTACAAGGTTAATGTGGAAAGCCCAAACGAAATCCACGCTGTTACCGAGGTGAGTTTTTGAGAGCATGGATATTCAATCTTTCAATCTAACTTTCACAGTGGAAGGACTTTGGTTTGCACCCGATCATGCTCGAAAACATTCGCCTCTGCCAGTATGATCGCCCCACTGCTGTCCAGTCTTATGCTATTCCGGCTGTTTTGAAAAATCAAGATTTGATCGCGGTGGCTCAGACTGGTAAGTTCGGGGTCTTTGATATCGATGAAGTTCAGATACTAATTCACATAGGCTCGGGGAAAACTGGTGCTTTCCTCATCCCCATTCTTTCCAAGCTGATGGGAAAGGCGAGAAAGCTGGCCGCACCGCGTCCCAGTGCTCTCCACGGATTTTATCCTGCTAGCGATGCCATTCGAGCGGAACCTTTGGTTTTGATTGTCTGCCCCACTCGTGAATTGGCCTACCAAATCTTTGATGAGGCTCGTCGCCTCTGTTATCGCTCAATGCTTCGCCCATGTGTTGCTTACGGAGGTGCTCCTGCACGTATACAGCGCGAGGAGCTCCAAAAAGGATGTGACATTCTCATTGCTACTCCTGGTCGTCTCCTTGATTTCATGCAACAGACTCACGTTCTTTCCCTTCATCGTGTTCGGTAAGCTTACTCACAGCTCAACATGCATATATATGTGCGTCCTGGATACTAACCACCAACCAGTTACACTGTCATCGACGAAGCTGACGAAATGCTGGACTCTGACTGGGAGAAAGAGTTTAAGAAAATCATGTCGGGTGGAGGTTAGTAAACCCAAGCATTTGCTACAATCATCGATTGATTTGCCTCTTTGCCTCCGTATTAAGAATATTTGGAGACTATCTTGCTGACTTGTTCCAAGATCTCAACGAGGACGATGATCACCGATACATGATGTTTTCGGCCACCTTTAACAAGGAATTCCGCAAGCTTGCTAAGGATTATCTTGCTGATGACCACGTGCGTCTCCGCGTTGGAAGGGCCGGCAGCTCCCACCGCAATGTCGTGCAAGAGGTATGTAGACCACCAGAAGTGTTTACAATGTTGAAACATTTCGATCAGTGCTGACAACGAAATGAAAACTATAGGTAATTTGGGTTGATCAGAACCAGAAAATGAAGGCCCTTTATGATCTTCTGATCAGCATGCCTCCTGTTCGCACTTTGATCTTTGTGAACAGCAAGGATCAGGTCGACTTCGTCGATGACTATCTTTACAACTCGGGAATGCCAACTACTTCTATCCATAGTGGACGGACTCAGCTTGAGCGTGAGGATTCTATGTAAGTATCATTTTTCTATTTCAGCTTTTGGCAATGTTTTACTAATTCATCTGACAGGCGATCTTTCCGATCCGCCAAGTGTCCCATCATGGTTGCCACTGGTGTGACTGCCCGTGGTGTGGATGTGATTAACGTCCTGCATGTTGTAAACTATGATCTTCCCAGTGCCATGCATGGAGGAATTACTGAGTACGTTCACCGCATTGGTAAGTAATGTTTTCAAGCTTTACACTTGCTGTTGATCGTTGGCTGATATTCTTTGCTTCAATCCACAGGTCGTACTGCTCGCATTGGCAACGAAGGCATTGCTACTTCCTTCTACAATGAGCGCAACGAAGATCTTGCCGACGACCTTGTAAAGATCTTGGTGGAATGCAAGCAGGTGGTCCCCGACTTCCTGGAGCAGTACCGCCCCGATAGCGAAGAAATCGACTTTGACGACAATTCAGAGGACGAATTCTTTGATACCGGTGCAGACGAAGCCGATCCTTGTGCCAAATCCGACGCTGGGTCTGACGCTTGTTCCAATGCTATTGAAGGGGACGAGAATCGAGCTGCTCATGATTTCGAAACCGATGGTCTCACCGAAGAAGAATCCGTTGCCAAGTCCAGCCACCAACAGCAAGGGTGGATTGGGCCAGTCTCAATGGGCTCCTAGTGCCAAGCAAGCGGAGGATGATTCCTTCTGGAATGCTACATCCACAAAGTCGGACAACAACTGGTAGATCTGTTTTCAGTATGCCTTCAAGTTGTCAGCCATGCTGCAAGGAAAACCTACGAAAACGAATATGGAACAACAAGAAGGACTCAGAGGAGGAGAGCGGGGACACTTTTACGGGGGAAGATCCCGAGCTATATGGCTCAAACAAGGTTGACGGCTTGGTTTTTCGACACTGGTTTTGCCGTAATTTCTGAACGCCTTTGGACCCAAGAAGAGCAAATGCGGACGAGGGCTTATTTTTGAACACGAAGATGATTTCTCTTGCATTTTTTCTAGGATCTAGTGGGTTTCTCTACCGGGCCTTTGGGAACGGTGAATGTGAAGGGAGCTAGCTGGCTGAGAAATGTGCCATCGATAACAATATCTTTAACTGACTTAGTACTTCCTATTTTCTGTATCCCTTATGCGCACTCGAGTTTAAGTCTCTTGAAAATGGCAAATTTGCTGTGCTCCTGCCCTGGGAGTAGACTCGCTCCTGGTTCTTCCAAGAATTAACAGAGAGAGGTTGATCAATCCTACTTCGACAATACTTAACTGACTAACGAACATTCTTTAATTTCAAATTGACTCTTCATTATGCATCGGCTATTTATGGGGTCTTTTGCTATCGCTCTTTATCTGCTCCCTACCACAGCTCTCTACCACAACAACGAGCACGACCACTGGAATGAACTGCGAGGCCTCACAATCAACGGCTCGAAGGGACTCAACACATCGCAAAACCAAAATTCAAGACTCCCTTTAGTCATTGACACTTTCCAGAACCCAACTCACAATGATCTCGGATTCTGGCATGGCTCAGGCGAGAACCTCTCAGTGCAACATGAACCAGGCTTCATTCGTCTTTTTCCAACAGATCCCGACCAAAATTTCCACACACAGTTCGATAACCATCTCTGCTATAGTCTAGTTCCATGGTACAACGAGTTTCTCCATGTTGTCTTTGAGGGTACCGATCAATTCAGCGTCTCTTTGAACCAGCACAATGACGAATGCAACCCACGCCGCAGCCCCTTCCCTAGCGTGGCCGATTCCGTTCAAGCAGATCGATACGTCATGCATCCCCGCTCTGAAGCATCTGGCGGGGATGAAGATGGGGATGATGATGAGGACTGGGATGAGGATTGGGACAACGAGGTTGACATGGACACGGATAGAAAGAGCAAGAAACATCGAAACATCGGCAATCCCAGAAACAGCCGGCTCAAGTACTCTAATGAGACTGTTGAAATCCCACCAGGACGCCGTGAGCTCTATATCCCGCTTACCCACTTTGAGATTGATTTCAATCGCGTGGTGTCTGTTTCCTTCAACGGTTTCTATACCCAGGAACCTATCACACTGCATTGTGTCGAAATCGTGCCATCGGTTCCACCGCCATCTCCCGAGAATGGCCATTTTCACTTGCCGGGAAAGCTTCCAAGCGGACGATTAGTTCTTCGTTGCTCTCGACCAAACTCATTTGCATTCGGAATCGATGATGGCCAGCCACAGTTTTCTCAACAGATCATGCGTATCCTGGATGAGGAGAATGTGCGGGTTACTTTCTTTGTGGTTGGGGCAGGACTAAGGGATCCATCGAGCAATTTCTCGACGTTCTATAAGGAGATGTTGAAAAAGGGCCACCAGGTTGCGCTCCATTCAAACACCCATCCAAAGTGAGTCTACCATAGCAATTGTGTTTCACTTGTTCATGACTATGCTGACTATGGCCAAGGATGGAAGCGCTGCAAACTATCCGTGAGATTGACGACGAAATCATACAGACTGTGCAAGTGTTCAAAGAACAGCTGGGCATTGGATGTAAGTCAGCCCCCTCCCCCCAAGAACGGGAGAAATACTTCTGACACGGTGCTTGTCTGCAGCTTCGTACTTCCGCCCTCCATTTGGGACGGTAGCTGCCCGTCTGCGCCAGCAGCTAGCACGCCATATTCCAAACCCGTACATCGTGAACTGGAGTGTGGATGTCGAAGATTGGCTATGGGCAAACACTTCCACCCCAGAGAAGCAGCTCGAAGCTTTCTATCGCGATGTTAGCAAGGGTGGGAACCTTGCTGTTATGCATTACCTACACCCGACTACCATCGGATACCTGCCACAGCTCATTCAACATGTCAAGGGTGCGGGATACGAGATCATGCGCATTGATCAGTGTTTGGAGGATGTGTCTGCTCCACCACTGTGAGTATTTGGGATCGTGAATTTGTTCAAAACTCATACCAGGAGCTTTCCTGTATATATATCCTTAGAGTAAAATCTCTGTCCTAATTGGTGCGTTGTCGCCATCCGACCAATGGTCTACTCCGATACTGTCCAATCGGAATTATCAGCTTTATCTATAAGATAATAACGTGCTTTTCTGTAGTCATCGTAGTGACGTCTCTTTTAACGTAAAATGTAATCAAAGTTTGCTTTAGTAATTGGAAAATCGATGTAATGAGGCTCCAAACGTGGGATAGATGCAACTATAGCGCGAAATCCCATTAATTAAGGCTACCTCACATGTTGGAGATGACAATGCAGTGCCAGCTGAAAAATCTCCTGACGGCACACCTGGGAATATGAAGATTTTGGCTAATTTCCAATCAAGTTGGGCCTCATACGCATGAATGGTATTTCGTATTGCCTCTGAAAAAATTCCTTCTTCTAGACTCTAGGGAAAACTTAGAACGTACATGTGCCATCATCTTGTTGGCGACCACTGCTTTACTACCACTATGCCTATTTCAAAATTCTTCCTTGTTTCTCCCCTGATTACTTTTGAAACCTTCAGAGACTCATTTCATCAATAGCGGAAGCGCACGAATGATTTGTCTATATTACGGATGCCTTTTTGCTAGCTCAGAGAGTAAGTACCCTGAGACGTAACAGCCAGAAGATACTTCCTACTCCTTAAGAAAGCAATGCAGTGTCTGTAATTGCTTTTTACTGATCTTCCTGGCATTTTTTGCGCGAGAAGCAAGTGATCTCAACTTTACTATCTTACGGCAAGCATATCCATTTTCCGAATTCTAATGGGCCAAATTGGCTGGTTGGTTTTTTTAAATTATTGTACTTATCAGTCGACAACTGATGAAAATTCTTTGTATGACGTTGGTCGACGCTACTACTCTGGTTGGAACGAAGTAATCGTATCAGCTCATTGCTAAAAGAAAGCGATGAGATCTAATGCTCTTTTAAGAAATCGTTTCCAAAAGCCTTGCTAGTTCTAATAACACTATACTTTAATCTGCACTAGTGATACAAATCAACGCTGTAACACTAGTGATGCAAATCAACGCTGTAATCAGAGCTACTGCTCAAGACAAACGGGATTTCGCGTTCTCGGCAGTCAAGATATTAGAGCCTCTTTAACACTCAGTATATCCTATCCGTGCAGTAGAGTGTATTTCTGCATCTCTAAAGGAGGGCTCGGGTGCAGTAGCATTTTTAGTATACTATCACTATTAGTAACATGAAGTCATTATAAGGAAGCGTTCACCATGGTATATAGGATAAGGAAACGAGTTGGGCGATGAATTTTAGGAGCTCATAGTGAGCCTATATAGTCGCGCAATTCTGTCTTTAGATTATTTGGTATTATTCGGTCTTTAAATTCCAATGACAAGTCGAATAGGAGAATTCTAGTAACCAAACACATAGTTGATATCTTCCAAATGGCTGGCGATGCCCTACACGCTCGATTGGTTGAACGAGGACAATGCTCGCTGGAAAATCAACATGCTGTTGCTATTTGCCCACCAACATGGGATGAAACACCGTGACATGGCGCGGAAACCTTGGAAGCAATCCATATGAATTATCTAATCGACCAGATTATTCGTTGTCCTACGTACGGATCGGAGTCTAACACGGCTCTAAATGTGGTTGTTATCGAAACAAAGCAAGTTTCTACTACTTTCATAGACCAACAAAAACGCGAATTTGCCCTACTGCTGGAGGAGAGATATGAAGAGGCTGAGAAAATAGACACCACTGTGGCTAAAGAGCAGTCTTGGTTTGGCCAAAAAGCGATGATATATATATTGTGAACTATGGACAAATTCGTCAAACTACACATATTCAAATATATTGTGGAGAATTTATGAAATGTAAACATCAGTTTTGCTTATACCATATAAATCTATAAAGCCACATGTCATAGACAGCAGCTATTGAAACAAAATCTTTCCCTCATCACTTTAGTTTGGAAACAAATGGGAGAGACATCCAGGACATTAAGGGCTGATGGAATCACGTGTATATAGATAACCGCTGAATCAGCCACCACGTGCGGATTGCGCGTTTGCGTTTACAAGGTACAACAAGCTGCCCAGGTGTCACTTCCCCAGTAACAGCAATTCAACGGGCTCAATTTATTTTCACGCCATGTCCCGATGCTAGTTCTGTCTGTGCTCGATGACGTCCCCTCCATTGTTAGATCATTTCCCTCCTCCGAATCCCGTTGACATCCACCCGAACGACGCACCCGGGCCTAAGTCTCCTGAACTCGAGCGGTCCCTCCCCGATCCCGACCGACTAGCTCCGGAGGATGCTTACTTTGCGCCGGCTCTCTCACGGGTCCGCTCGGCACCTGCTAATTATGAAGATAGCCTGCGGTCCCTGAATGGCGACAATGCATCTCACATTGGTTCCGCTGCGGCGTTGCGCAAGAAGTTGGGCGGTGCTCCGAGACGTCGGAAACGAAAGGGCGCTTGGAAAAAGTTGCTTTGGGTAAAGCAATCTTGTATGTTTCTTTGCGCTTGCTAGGGGCCCCAGTCATAGACTGCGCAATACTGACGTTCGCTTATAGATCCGGACAATTACACTGATACGGAAACGTTTCTGGACCATCTCCAGCGCAATCCTCGAGTACGGCCGTATGATTTCTGGCCTCTCGTGGCTGATTCAACTGTGATCGTGCAACATGTATGCTCGGTGGTCATTTTTGTTTGCTGCTTTGTTGGGATTGTCCAAGACCGAGTGAGCCCTGTCTCCATTGTGTGTTGGGGAAGCGTCGGTACGGCTGTGGGCTGGATTCTCTGGGATAATTGGATTTGGAAAGAGCACGAAGAAAACTCGAAAGGCGGCGATCGAATCCCCGGAGGCGACGACGGCTCCAGCTCGACTTCATTTGCCAGCGCCGCAGATGCACCTGTAAACGACTTACAACCAGACGACACAAAGACCAGCGCTATTCATGGGCTTGGATTATCGATGTCTGGTAATGAATCCAAAGAAAGATTGTCTCGTCACAGCGCAGACTTCAGCGAAAGCATAGACACAATAACGCATTCAACGGAACAACACGCTACGCTGGCTGTGCCAACCAGGTCCATTCTCGGCAGTACCGATGCACCAGTGTTGCAGGATACCCACAGAACATCCATGCTATCACCACGCAATCGGCAGCGACTGACCACGGTCAAATCAGCTTTCCTCATCTACTTTTCCCTCTTGGGTCTCAGTCCCATCTTGAAGTCTCTCACCAAATCAACCGCAAGCGACTCCATCTGGGCTATGAGCTGCTGGCTTATAATCATGAATATATTTTCCTTCGACTATGGAAGTGGAGAAGGCGCAGGCGCCACTACCAAGTTTCCTGCTTCTCTGTCCACGAATGCAGCCGTGATGGCATCTACCGTGCTTGCATCTCGACTGCCATCTACGACCCACGTCTTCAGTCTCATGCTATTTTCGATGGAAGTATTTGGGCTGTTCCCCATATTTCGGCGGCAATTACGGCAAAAGTCGTGGACCGGTCATGTGGTCTTGACATTGACCCTCGTGATCGTTGCTGGTGGCGCTGTAGGGGTCACACTAAGTGGCGGATGGGCAGCTGCCATCATCGGGTCTGTCTTGGGAAGTATTCTGACTGCTTTGGTTATGGGCGGATGCAGCTGGTGGCTCATCAGTTTGCAGAAGTACAAGAACGTAGTCATTGGTCCCTGGGATCCAGCCAGGCCGATTATTCGGCGCCATTGGACGTAAGAATGTCCATTGACTGTTCGAAGTTTTATGAATTGTGGCGCCATTGTAATATAGACCCAGGCGTTTGTTTGACCTTGTTGCTTATACCCCTAGATCAGCCTACTTATTTCTGGGCGTCCCCAGATTTGATTCTACAAACTTTCCTCCTTGATTAAATTAGATCGTCCTGCCATGTTTAGGTCCCATGCCCCTGTCCCAACCAATTGGGCCACAGCGTGACCAATGTTTTAGAGTGATAGGGACAGGGAGCCTTGGATGGTATTTCCGGGGCTCGGCCCTATACTATTTGGGTTTCAACAGAACATCCAGTGACGCAGGGAGGAATGCAGCCTACGGGGGGAATGCACGGTAAGTTTGGCATGCCGGCATCGAGATCTAACGCTTGCCTCCCGCCCGCTAATCACGCAGAGACTAACCCTCCTACAAAGTCAAAACAATTGGAATTTAGATCTTGCAATAAGATGATTTTGGCTCTATCTAATCGTCCAGCTATCAAATCGAAGTTGAATAGTTTGCACATTCCGCGGCCCTTATTAGCACTTGATTCCCTTTCTTCAGCAGTCTCCCGGCCATATTAATCCCGCGGCATTCTCCGAATGAAGGGATGGTTTGCATGCCCCGCAAGAGCCTGAGCCGCAGAATCGGGCGCTTGTCTACCAGGATGGAGGCGACGATCATTCACGAGAACATGTTTTGGTATCCATGCGTTCCGCAACACTATATACGCGACTGTTCCCCGATTCTTTTATTTCTTTCCTTCCCTGATCCTCGTTTTATTTTGCTCGCGGCTAGTAGCTGCTTTTTACCACATATTGAAGGTGGTGGTCTTTGTTCTTTTGTTTATTATATTCGATCCTCTTGTAATTGAGCTATCTAGATCTCTCCCTTTGCCAGTCACCAGAATTCACCATGTTTAAACACCTTGCACTTGGCCTGTTGGCCGCTCAGTCTGTGGCAGCCACCCGCTTTGCCATGTATATTGACGAGTAAGGACGATCATTTGCAATTGATACACTTCAGGACTCCTGGCTGACGCTATCCCAAGATACCATACTGCCGCACTCCCGAGCCAAGACCAAACTCAAGGCATTGACACTGCCATCATGGCATTTGCGCCCTCGAAACTGTTTAACTCGGATTCCCCGCCATCATTCACGCCATTCGAGTCTCCTGACACCATGCGCAAGCGTTTCAGTCCTGAAACTAAGCTCATGATTGCCATTGGAGGCTGGGGTGATACCTCCGGCTTCTCGGAGGGAGCCAAGGACGATGCTTCTCGCGCGCGCTATGCGAAGAATGTCGCCGCTATGCTTGATTCCAACGGATTTGATGGTGTTGGTAAGACAAACTGTGACTTGAATTGGATCGCATCAGAATAATAACAATTGAATATAGACATTGATTGGGAATACCCCGGTGGTAACGGTCAAGACTACAGAGATGTACCGAACTCGGAGAAGGTTGACGAGATCGAAACCTACCCCAAGTTCCTCGAAGCTGTCCGCGAGGCCATCGGAAACAAGACTCTGTCCATCGCTGTGCCTGGTCGCAAGCAGGACTTCATTGCCTTCACCAAGGAGCAGGGCCCCAAGATTTTCAAATCTGTAGATATGGTTAACGTCATGAGCTACGACCTGACCAACCGCCGTGACAATGTTACCAATCACCATACCTCCGTCCAGGGATCCCTGGACACCATCAACGAGTACCTCGATATCGGCGCTCCTCCTGAGAAGTTAAACCTTGGCTTCGCTTTCTATGCTAAATGGTTCACCACCGATCCTGATTCCGACTGTGACGAGAACCCTCTCGGCTGCAAGCTTGTCAAGCTTGAGAATGATGATGGAACTGATAATGGTAAATCTGGCGCTTTGACTTTCGAGGCCAGCAATGTTGCGGAAGCCCCTAAGGATCTGAAGACCACCACAAATGGAAAGTGTGGTTTCGCTGAAGCCTCCAAGTGCCCCGATGGCCAATGCTGCAGCGCTTATGGTAACTGGTCAGTGTTAAGTTTCATATCCCCAACTAACACTTGTGTTTCAAACTGACATTACTTAATAGTGGCACTGGTGACGACTTCTGCCAAGCTGGCTGTCTTTCTGACTACGGCACCTGCAAGGGTGTCTCGATCATCGACTCGTGGCGCAAGGCCGAGAAGGATGGCAAGACAGATGAAGAGGCTGGCGGCCAGTACTACTTCGACAAGGAGAACAACATCTTCTGGACATGGGATACCCCGGCCCTGATTGCCCGCAAGTTCAAGGACATTGTCGAAGCGAAGAAGCTCGGCGGTATCATGGCCTGGAGCTTGGGCGAGGATACCTATAAGTTCGAACACCTGAATGCTATGCAGCAGGGTATCAAGTCTGAGTCTACTAAGGCCAAGGCAACCTAGTTCGCAATTAAGCTTACTCGTTCTGACATAAATTGCCAGAGCCATGGCCTGGAAGCTATGAGATGAAATTGGATATAGTAAATGGATCATACCATGCTATTTCTAAATCGATATTTAATTTTCTACCTTTCTAGCTGTTCATGATTCAGGATTATTACCTCTTTTGCTTTCCCATTCTCACCCGGCAGGATCCCACTCAAAACCTTGAACGAATCATCGCCCAATTATATGTAGAATGTATAAAACACACTCAAAGGGGCACAAAACAACTAGCGATCTATCTAGCCCATAGATATAGGTTCAAGGATGAAGCTGAGTATGGTTTATTGTTACTCAAGACTCAAGCGTGAAGGCGACCGTGAGGCTGGAAAGACTAGGCTTGGGGGTTCAATCAAATAGTCATTTCTTGTTGTTGTCCTTATTTATGTACTAGTCCATCGCTTCATCCAAGTCTCAATATAACGCTGGATCAAACCCACACTAACTGGATCATCCACCAGCGCCAAAGAGGGGCAGTCTTGGATGGTGAGGCCAGTATCGAAAGAAAGACCAGCCTCGTTTTGCTGTTCTTGCTCCGGAGCCAAAGCACCTGCTGGTTGCTGGCCATGATTTGCGTATTTAGATTGCCAGAAATCAATGAGTTTGATACTGGGGTTCTTCTCCGGGTCTTGCTCACTGCTTGCCAGTCTTCGAAGCCATTCCTGTGGGGATACGACCTCGAAGTCGGGCAGTGCAGACCCATTCTTCAAAGCAGGGAGTAGGTCCCTCTTCCAGCTGAACACCTTAGGATTCACCAAATGATATACCAAATTAGCATCAGAAGAGGCAGACGCAGTATTCATAGCAATATCCGAGATTGCCAGGCCACATTGATCAACGGGCAACCAGCTGGGGGTTTCGCTCAACTCCGGCAATGCGCCCGTTGTCAGCGCACTGCGGAACATGAGTGCTATAGCTTCGGTCTCATTCCACTGTGCACCGACAGTATCACCACCCAACTGGCCGATTCTCAGTACTCGGGCCTGCATGCCAGTCTGGCGCATGGCGTTGCGGGTGATATGCTCAGTGACCAATTTTGACCTGCCATATCCCATCTTCTGTGCGTGGTTCAAATCCTCGATCATGGTCTCGGGAATCGAAGCTGGTTTGGGGGTGTTGCTTGCGGCACTCACACTAGAGCAGAAGAAGAATCGTGCGGGGAGAGGCAGAGAAGAGCGTAGACAGAGATTAATGAGATTGTATGTTCCGCGGATATGCTGTTGTTCGAAGGATCGCACGCCCAAGTTGAAGTTGACAGCCCAGGCGCTGTGGATCACGCATGTCAATGATGACAGCAAGTGCCGGAGGATGTGATCGTTGAGTCCGAGGTTAGATTGTGACAAGTCGCTGGGAACGGCGTGAAGTTTTGCAGCTTCTTCGTCGGTGAGAACGATTTTGCGATCAGCCAGCGATTTATAAAGACGGGCTCCTGCTGCTGCTTGACCTGGTGCGCGCACAAGTGCCCATACCTCGGATACCGTTGGTCGCTTCAATAATTCTGCCACAATGAAGGCTCCGAGGTTACCTGTCGCACCAGTGACCATTATCACTTCGGTTTGCGGTTGTTGAGTAATAGCTGGGAAGTGTTGGGTGAAGTGTGAATACTTTTCGATCAATTCATGCATGATGGCCAGCTCATCTTCCTTTTCAAACTCCTGGCCGGTTCTCATCTGATATAGATGCTTAGCCAACGCTCTGATAGTGCCTTTCTCGAACACGATGTTTTGAGATAGCCGATTCCCTTGTTCGCCAATATCAATATCGCGTACAATGTACCTCCAGATCTGCGTGGTCTGCAGACTGTCGACACCAGCGGAGAAGATGTCAGTCTCGGCTCCAGGAAGTGGCACGCCCAAGTCTTCGCTGAATCTTGAAAGGAGCCAGGTTTCCAGTTCGGGCACGCTCAGTGCAAGCGTGCCTCGTTTCTGGTCGCTTCCTTCAAACTTGGCATACGCTTGTTTGATATCTTCTTCAAATTGTTGGTATACTTGAGCCCGGATACATGTGCCTTTGTCGGTTTTGGCGTATACAACATCAGCGCCTTTGATCACGACCAATTCTTTTGGAATGCGAGAAAACGTTTCAGCACGAGCATTTGCAGCTTCAACAGCTGGCCAGATAGCTTCCAGAAATTCATCATCGCTCAAATGCTCCACCTTGCCGGGAGCGCGGAAGATCAAAGCTCCAGGAACAGTTCGTTGGAACCCAAACACGACACAATCGCTCACAATAGGCTCTTCTCTGACGCGGCCCTCAATCGGTACAGGAAGAACCTTTTCACCGTTGACCAGCGTGATTCGATCGTCCAATCTGCTCAAATACTTATAGTAGTTACTCTTCTCAGGGTCAGGATGCCTGGTAAACAAATCGGCCGTTCTGAAACTGTTCTCGGGGTTCTTTGCGCTGTATGGTGGTTTCGAGTTTGAAGGGCCCTTGCTTGGCAGACCATCTAAGGCAACGCATTCGAAGACACCAGGAGAGATCTCGTCCATCAAAGTGAGGTCGGCAACAGGGCGATGAAGTCTCATGTACTGCCACTCATTATCTCCAGGAGACCGGAAAGAAGTCATAATTTGACCTGTTTCCGTAGCCCCGTAGTTGCCGACCAAATTTACTCCTTGCGCAACAAGACGGTCGCCAAGATCATCGGGGCAGCTGGAGCCACCATAAAGCACGAGCTTCGGGCTTGCCAGTGCTTGGATTCCTTCCTGTCTCTCGGCCAGTAATTTGATGACGTATGGCACGGCGCTGATTTGCTGTGGCTTGGCCACCTGAAGGGCGTCGAAAAGGTTCTGATATGTGACAGGCAGGGAGTGGTTTCCGAGATACGCAGGTGCTCTGGTAAAGAACGCCCGCCCAAGCTCCATCAGGGCATGTGAATGGAATAGTGGGCTGATTGTGAAAAGACGCAGACCAAAGCTCTTGCGGAAATTGGCCAGAGTTTGAAGATTAGATAGGAAAATCGGCTTTGGGAAACCGGTACTACCAGATGAATGCAAGATCCAGGCAACTTTCTTGCCTTCTCGTGATGGATCAACGTTTGGTCGCTGGTAGCGAGGGAAACTGGCAGGGCGATTAAACCAGTTCTCTCTCTGTAGCTGAGAGAAGCTACTACAACTAGGACGCTGGGCACAAATTTCTGTGACGACTTGCTGATGTTGCTTTGTGTTGATGATTTGATTGCAGTTTGCCATGTCCATAAGTCGTGCATATGCTGGTGCTGTGAGACGCGTGGACAAGAAAAGCACAGCGTAGCCGAGGCGATTTAACGCAAACATAGTCACTACAGCCTCGAAGCTGGACCCGACAAGGGTAGCAATGACAGGTGCTTTCTCGAGACTCGGGTCCTAGTTAAATTCATTAGTTATATTTGATGCAGAAAGATGTAGAATTCTTACAGCGGGAGCAAGACCCTGTTGCATGTAATAGCGGACAGCAACATCGGTATATCGATCAAGATCCCCGGCTGTATGCTCCTCGAAGTCGGCTGCCGCACGAATTGGATAGCATACCAAGGGATGATTTCCCTCATCTGGCTGAGCAGCATGTGATTTTAATAGGCCATCAATGGTCGCGAATTGTTCAAAATCGGGCCACTGGGAATGGAGTGTACCGTTGAGAAGGCGAGTCGCAATATCTTTGGTCTGAAGTGGCTTCACGCCCCCTTCAGTAGCTGTTAGAGTGACTGTAGCCATTTTTGCAGTTTTCGAATCCACCATTGTGTTCGTTCACGATAGCTTTATATGGCAAAATCCCCACGTCGGGTTAATAATCCCACGGGTGCTTTTCCGGGTTTCCGGTTTGTTGCCCCGGAAAACGCTTTACCCCGGGTTTTGATCTTCAGAACATTTTCAGTTGTTGTTGACTTGGTCATAAAGCTGTGTATTAGTTGCATGTGTAATTAGCAAATAATCTGCTCCACAAGGCCGCCAACCGACCACAGATCCTGAATAATTAATGGTGATGTTGCTCTCGGGTATCCGAAATTAACTGCGGATAAGTAAACCGAGCAGAACAGGATGCAAAATTTGCGCATACATAGCGAATCTTATGGGATAATTGATGAATTGACACCTAGTTTAACATAAAAACTTCATGAAAATAATATGGGATGTCATAGCCAGCCTGTGACTTGAGAAGAAATCATCTTCGGTGTATTCAAAAGAGCATTCACTCACGCTGGTCGTAAATCCAAGCTACCCGGTACTTATTTGAAGGGATCTGGATAGACCTTTCATCTCGCTCGACTTTCAATCGAGATCTGAGAGATAGCGAGTCATGCTGTTGGTTTCCGCAAGATGCCCCATCCGTGATAAATGCCCCTTTGATTGTTGCAGTTCGTCTAGTACCTCGCTCGCCGCCTCTGCCACCAACGCTTCTCATCTTCCAGAAATTGCTCACGCCGTAGGTTAATCCAAGCACGGAGTTGTCGCTCTGGTCCAAAAAGCCGCACTCGCTCTCTTCCTCGGTGCGGAAATCGTTCCCGGATACATCGCATCACGGCGAGTTCGAGCATCCTCAACACGAGATAAATGAGCGGAACGAGAACAAACAAGGTCAGGACCACACATTCAGGTCCATATTTATCGATGGTAAACATCATATTCGCCACCTGCGTGGTAAGGTCATCGGGGCTCGTTGATTTTACATCATATTTCAAAGGGTTTGATTCATCGAGGTAGCAGCGTGTGGCGTTCACTGACTTGCCGAAGAAAGATCCATATTGACGCCCTTCTAAGTGGAAAGGCGGTGTTGGGGCATGGTGGGGGAGACTGAGTTGATTGTCGTGCGTACAATGCTCTTGGACATGAAATGGAAATTGTGGCTGTGTGACGTATGCATGTGACTTGGAACTTGAGGGTGCGTCTCCAATTCCGGTGGTATATTCTGTATGGTCAAGACTGGACCGTGAAGGTGAGTTCGTAGGAACTATAGTCTGAATGGGTGATGCGGATGTAAAACTAGAGCAGACAAGCAGAAGATAAGGGAGATAGGCCTTCATCTTTAAGTCTGTGTGAATAAGACAACCGAAGACCAAAAAAGCAGTGGATGATTAGTTTTGACCTACTTCATATTGAATCTCGTTGGAAATGGGAATCCTGGACTTTTAAAGGCAAAAAAAGGTACTGAAGGACATGTGGTAAATTATGCATTGTGATTGGTCAATCGTAGAGGAGCAGAGCGTTGCCATGCTATGGAGCATAAAGAGCCTGCACACTGTAAAAAGGCAAACCCCTAAGACAACGTAATTTATATACATGATGAATGCCATTGCTCACTCCTTACGCACTTCCCTTCAACACAATATCTTTTATCAATCCAGTAAACCCCTCTCCAATACGAGCCAAAGGCGCCTCAATAGCAATGGGAGCCCACACAAACGACTCACCATTCACGCCAATCTTGGCTAAGAACTCCATGGTCCGGAATTTAAAATAGGAACCTGACACTCTCAGCAAGGTGGTATTTCCGCCTCCTATCAAACTGATATCCGTCCAAACATTGAGTGGCAATGTATAGTTCAAAGAGTACGGGTTTCCACCGCTTATTAGTGTGACATTCGAGATTGTTCCGTTGCCGTTCACTAAAGTAGAGTCCGGTCCAGAGAACAGTGTTCCTGGTATACCAGAGGTCGGCTTGATCTTGAATGAAAGTGTATAGTCACGCCCTTTACTCCCTAGGGGTGTTTCGAGGTAGCATCCGTTGGAGAGGTGCAAGGCTGAGTCGGAGATCGTGCATCCATTCAACTTCCCGTCATACCCATTTCCAGAAATGTCAGTGACAGTGTCTGAGCTTTCATTGAACGTATAGTGCAGGATGGTATCAGACGTGCTGGGAATCCGGCGATCGAGGTTTTGAGCCGGTACCGCGGCTTGTAGCTGATCAAAGACAGAAGCATATTCCGCCTCAGTGATATCTCCGCCCCATTGTTTATCAGCCAGAGCCGGAAGAGCGTTCCGCCACGAGTAGTAGGTCTGGAGGACGGTCGTGGAGTTAGGGCCGTAGTCATTCCACAGCGCGGCAGCATGTCCCAGTATGCGAGGATTATCTCTCGCAGGGTTGTCCCCGGCCTTCGAGCTATCAAACATTGCAGGTGAAAATGGTGCGCCGTAGGGATCTTGGAATATCTTGCTCAGCGCGAGCTCCTGTGGGAAGGAGCCCGACCATCCACTGACGAGATACATGTAGTCGTCGGAGTTGAGCACGTTATATCCATTCTCGATGTAATCATAATACGGCTCGTCCGCGCTTACATCCCAGTGTTGGTAGGTGACAGATTTGGAGATATTGGCGCCATTTTTCGGGGTGAATGTACCCCAAATACGCATCTTTTGGCGGCCTGACGACTCTTGCTGGATGAAGGTGTTCATCTCATTCACGAATCGCGTGTAGTCTGAGACCAGGCTGCTGTCGTACTCATCTGCGCCGATGTGCACAGTCTTACTATGGAACCACGGTAAAAATGTGCGCCAGATAGTCTTCATGGTTGGGATAGTCTCCGGGTGGCTGATGTTCAGCATGCTCAAATCATCCAGTCCCAGTTCGGGTTTCCACTGAACGATGACCAGTGCATGCCCCGGGGCTTCAATCTCGGGAATGATGGTCACGCCACGTTGAGCGCATTGTGTCTGGACATTGTCGAATTGCTCGCGGGTATAAGACTCATTTGCACGACGGTTCAGGCCTGCGACGGCCGAATCGTCAGACCAGAGCCGGAACGCTGCGTATAGCTCCATCGAGCGCTCTGTGGAGTAGCGATCAACATTGTTGTAAAGATTGTCGCTTAGGTGGACGTGGAAAGTATTCTGTTTGAAGAATGAGAGGTACGAGCACATCTCGATCAAAAACTCTGGCGGATGGTATTTTCGGCCAGCATCAAGCTAGGCGAGAGTTAGAGGCGGGCTGATGAACGAGTGAAACGTGGTGTCGGCTTACCATAACGCCGCGGGTACCCCATCCAGGCGCATCTACGCCAGAACCTTTTGCTATACTTGAGTCTCCGGAAATACCAGCTTGAATAATGGATCGTGTCGCCCACCAAGATCCCAGTGGACTAGCTCCAGATATCACTACGCCTTGATCGTCAACTGTCAAGGCATAAGCTTCTGAAGTAAATCGGCCAGCAGCATCCTGAAACCCGGTTTCATTTTTCAAAGTTATAAAAATCGTATCTTGTTTCCGCTTTGTACCTTGTGCTAATGTCACGTTCAGCCCCAGGGCCGAATTGAGGTCTCCCCTAAAGGTTTCCGCAAACTGCAGCAGCGTCGGGGGAATCAAAGTTTGCCCATTGTTGTCCACAGAGTCCGCATATCGCGAGTCCACGACAACGCAAGAGAGTTTCGAAAGATCGTAATCGCCTCCTGTTTTAGTAAAAGGGGTGGTGGGGACTGTCAAGAGGCGGGCAGCATGGCCTAGATAACAAACATCAATTATTTGCGCAGCAAAGTCCGATATTTCAGTGTCATACCACCTAAGAAAGTAGATGCACTAGTTGTGTAGAAGAGCAAGCGAGCTAGTTTCATAGTTACAGGCAGAAACGGATGATAATTCCCGGCATTGATTTGATGTCAACAAATCTTGCCTTCCAAAGTTTAAGTAGAGCGACATCCAGCGTGCGGAGAAGTCCCCCATGTAACCTAGCAATCTTCTAGAGTCACATCACTGCAAGGAGACGTTGCGGTACATCCCGCAGAGAGGGGGAGATATGCAGTCGATAGCAGTGACGATCGCAGGGGTCGTCCAACCAGCGCCCGGTTAATTAGCCGGAGTTCAAGCTTCAAGTTAGGCGGGGAGATTTGGGAGCTGAAATGGAAACAACGTAGCAGAGAGATACTAATGTTGCAGTGATAGATGGTGTCACGGACACAAATGCGTTTATGAGGTCTGAGGTGCCGAGGGAGATGAAGCTTCAATGAATGAACCCGGCTAAGGTCATAGAACTACACTACGTCATCGATGCAGGTCGCGGCTGTAAATAAACATGCCGAATATTAGGATTATCTGTCACTGTACATGTCTGAATACTAAATATGCACTCTTTTTTAAACACGACACAGACGACCATTCTGGTCCGGAAGGCCATCAATGCTTTTCACTGTCCAATCTTCACTACCAACACCAGTGGGTGCATAGAATAGAGAAGTAGGATCATACCGCTTCTTGAGCTGGTATAAACGCTTGTAATTCGAGCCATAGAACGACTGCTGGAACTGAGGCTCTTGGATATCGGACTCCGACATGTATGCACCGGCGTCGGGGCAAACCGCGCGCCACTTGCCAAGGATGTCATTGGTGAAATGATCCATCTTGGCTTTGATGGCTGTGTTAGAAGTCGTATTTGTCCAGCTTGTTGATGTGATGGCGTGCATTAGAGTCTGGCGGAAAGCTGGATTGGCCGAGTTCGGGGTGAAGCCTGCCGGCAGCTCAGCTTTCATATTGAATGCGAGCAAGGGGAAACCAGCAGTGACGGTGGAACGAAGAGCATTGAAAGTATTATTGAAAGACTCTGTGGTTTCCCAGTTGGAGCGTGGGAACAGACGACTGCCTGTCATCATGGTCGATGAGGCAACAGTCTCGAGGGGAAATCCTGACATCCATGCATCATAGAAATTATCATAGTAGGTTGAGTTGGGTTGGAATTGAATTCCCAGTGAGTGTAGCTCATTGTACCATGGCTCCACGAGAGCGTTGTATTCGCTCAGTGTGTGGTTGACAGCAAAGAAGGGGTTCATCAGGAAAGTGAAGGCATTTGGACCTGTCGACATGACCCAGAAGTAGGCATATGTGCCGGCGTCGGCATGGGCCGGGAAGCGATTCAAGTACGATCGCACACCAGCCCAGAAGGCCTCAACGGAGACATTCTTGCCAGTGGAAAAGTTGAATGTCGTTACCGTCACGCCCACCTTAGGGTAGACACGAGAGATAATAGAAGTGACAATGCCGTAGGTTCCTGATATAATATGTTAGATGATGTACTCAATTCACGGAAGAGGGCGCAACTACCTCCACCGCCGCCTCGCAATGCCCAAAATAAGTCGGGGTGACTTTCCTTGGACACTGTGACGAAACGTCCATTACTGAGAACGACTTCAAGCGCCAGGACCTGATCCGCGGCCAGTCCCAACAAGCTAGACGTGGGTGAATGCCCTCCACCCAGCACGTAGCCCCCTGCGACACCCACGGTCTATATTGGTCAGCAACTGCAATGATGTGCTACTTTGATGATGGACTCATACCTTGCCTTCACCACCAACTGCAGTGAACCCAAATTTTTCGGCATATTCATATACTTCATGGGCCTGGACTCCGGCACCCAATTTGACAGCTGGGCCCAGATAGCCCGAGCCGTGGTAGTTCTCAAGGTATTCCATGTCCTTGAGATTGTGAGTCCAGATTCCCAAAGCACCTGCACCACTTGATTTGCCGTTAAACTACGACTGTCAGCTTGTCCGAGCTGCTCTGTGCTTTTTATGGCTGCACTTACATCATGTCCGGTATTCTTAACAACTAGGCGAATGCCTTCATTGCGAGCAAAGTTGACGGCGAGTTGAATTTGAGCAACATTTGACACCTAAGATAATGTTAGCATCGCCTGGCCCGTGAGATTAAGGAATTAGATTATCCATATGCTAACTCACATTCACGGAATAAGTACTGTATCCGCCAATGGTGCAGCTTGACGACGCATTCGCGGTGGGGAGACAAGACCTGCCCTCGAACAAAGGCCACATGACCGAAGCTGGGTCGGCGGCACTTAAGCATAAAATCAATATACCATATTCATAGCTTTGGCTTATGATTTCACTCACTGAATATTAGAATCAGTCCACTGCGCAGTAAGTTTCTCGCACTCGTTGCTATCATATTGAGGCCATGACGAATAACAAGATGCAGCGAGCGGCACATTTTTGATCAGCGCTCCGTCTAGAAGGTTATTCAAGGTTGACCAGGTAGAATGGGAAGGCCATTGGCGATCACCAGGAAAAGTTTTGCAAGTTCCCGAAGAGCGTGTGGTGTTTGGCGTATCGTCGCCAAACCCAACCAACGCTGCCTGATTTCGGTTGAGCTTCGCGATTGCATGATCGGTCAACTGAGTCGTCTCCCATTCAAATAGTGGTGCACCAGCTGAAGAGTTGACTGGGACTTTCTGTGAGGCACCAGCTTCTCCGGCTGTTGCCAGCAAAGCACTGAGCAAAATGCCCTTCAATAACGAGCCAGGGGCCATAGTGAAGTGTAAGATTGAGGGAATTAGAGATCGACAAGAGGATTTCCCGGAAAGGGGGAGATGAAGGCTTATAAAGTAGCCCCAAATCTCGGATAATAATGCATTGTCTAGTGCGAGTGGTCTGCCACGAGGTTGACAGTGACTTTTGTTTGGAGAAAAGGGAACTGCCCCCCACCACAATTCGGAAGTTGACCCCCCAAGCCCTGATCGCACTCCACACCCATGCCTGTCTTCCAATGAGACACGTTATAATGTGCTCGAAACGGATGGGGTTGATTCTCCGGCCGGATCACTCATTTGCTCGACTGACGCCACACTTAATCTGCGACGCCCGGTCATGTTTTCGCATGCTCATCGTGGTCCGGGACAAATTCCCTTTGTGATAGTTTCTTCCGACCGAGGTACGTGTTCGCATTGCTTGACTTTTCCAAGTTTCATTTATTCGGTCACTAGGATAAAACCTTTACCTATAAACTACGCCCAGTCTAGGATGTCGACCCCACAAGTTCTAAGGAGTAGTCGAGACTTTTCTCTGCAGTGGGTGTACCTAAGTTGACGGAAATACCACTTCGTTATGCAGTGAAGACAGGTTTTTATAAACAAAAAAGAATCGACCATAAGACTATCATCTAATTCACAACGTTGCTTTCGAGAACATAGAGTCTGGTCTGACCGACTCCATTCTCCAACGGGGTCCACAATGCTCCACCCCGGGAAATCCGTTCGGCTTTTTGGGCAACCCATTCATATAAGGGACTCGGGGAATGTCTCAAATTCAAAGTTCGTACCCAAACCTGAGGACAAATGGAACAGCAAAATCTTTTGCGCTTAAGACCATAATCCAAACTCTTCACAAATGGATCATCGCCTCCAAAGCTGATATCACATCCGATGAATTCCTACAAAGTGAATAAGGTTAGGTTCATGGAGCTTGGCCTTGTGCAGATTCGACGATTGATTGGCGGATACCAGCCATTCAACCATGGTTGACTCCTGGCACAAGTGCATACAATCTTTTGCTTGGTCGAGAATTCAGAGAGCCGCCGTTCTTTCCCCAAGGATGAACTTCGACGATGTCTGAAATATATCAACAGCTGAGTTGTCCAATACCCGAGAGGCAACTGCCTTATCGTTGCCATCATACCTGAGGACCCTGGGGTGTCTGGTATTTGGCAGCAACCTAGTATGAACCAGACAATTGACCCATTGTTCAAAGAATGGTCAGGTGGGAAAAGCACCCGGCATTGAGACTAGGTTTGAAGCCGACAGGAACATCCGAGGCATCACATCCCAGTCATTTGATATCAATGGGTGGGTGGAGTCGATCTCACACCCCGTTCATCATTGGTGGTCCCCCTTGTTATACGCCAATGGCCGTAGGACTGACCTGGAAACCCACGCCGTAACTCTGATTTATTGAGTGACTGGCCCAATAACTTAGAGGAAAACGTTCCTGATCCCCAATTCAAGGCTGAAACCAAGAAGTGGGCTGTCTTGCAGATCCTAACTATCTGTGGCGGTCACGATTCCAGCCCTGTATTATAAGATCGCAGCCTTGGCCTGCCTGGGGATCACTGTCAAGCTTTTTGTTTCAACTTGTCACAGCATACAATAGTGATTGACGACCATCATCAAAAGACTGCGCTTGGTATCGTGGTCGCGTTCCCTATTCTTGGCGGCATTGCAGTTCTGCTTCGGCTCTGGAGCCGATGGTTTTCACGATCTACACTCACAAGCGGTATGAGACAATTGTCTTTACTCCAATGATGTGCATATTATTGGGCATCAATCTCGGGCTATGTTTGCTAATATTGCTACTCATAGATGACTGCTTAATTGTTGTGGGCTCTGTGAGCCATTTGCTAGTGTTTAATCAAGGGCGTGTATTGATGTGACTTCCGCAGACCCTTGCCATCTCCCAATCTGTTACCTCATGGTACTGTAAGTACTTCAACTTAGAGACTTAGCAAAGCCAACCACTTACCAAACCCAATTAGATAGTATAGTTTGAGAGGGGGCCTGGTTGTTATGAGTATGATTTACGATAGATAACCACATAGCAATTTGTTGATAAATACAAATTATTTGATGCATTGATATAGAAGAACGATATTATGATGAGGTTTTTTCTTATCAATTCCAACAGCTTGATCTGTTCGATATACACTCGGCTGGTTTAGGGTGGCTTTTCAACCATGGCAACACTTGACGGCGTACCAAAGTACTAATATATGATTGACATTGACTACGAAGTCTCCAAATGTATAATAATGTGTGAGTAGTAAATAGGCTACTTGGGCAGACCAGGTACACCAAGGATGCAATCGCGTACCGATATGCGTGAGGGGTTTGTGTTTCCCCTCCTCTGGGGACTTCCTATAAAGACACCCAACCCGGAGCCAACCCACTGGCTTGCTCATATTCCCAACTCCAAGGCTAAATTTGATTTGTCACTTCCGACATGGCGACCCAATACCAGCTACCCTTCAAGGTATGACCTCTGCGCCCTCTGCGGGGTGTTCGGCGAGATGTCCGAAGCGGTTTGATCAAGCAACGTCAAAATCCGGCCTTTATTAGCACAGCGCTAATGCATTCATTCAGCTAGCCGATCCTAGCCTTCTGCATTTTGACTCCTTCGTCGGTGACAAATGGGTGGGCGCAAAGAGCGGCAAGCGCTTCGAAGTACTCGGTAAGATGGATTACAAGCTGCAAACATCACTTCAGACTCTACATCGGTCATTTCCAAAGCGGGTTATGGCTAATCAATATTGCATGTCCTAGACCCCGGTACCGACAAGGCGTGGGCGAGCTGTCCCGCTAACTCGGCAGAAGATGTATCTGAAGCCGTTGAAACCGCCCATGCAACATTCGAGCAGTACCGCAAGGTCCTCCCGCGCCAGAGAGCCAAGTGGCTGCTCAAATGGCATGACCTCACACTAGCAGCTCGAGACGATCTCGCCCAGATTGTGACACACGAGACTGGAAAGCCTTTGGCAGAGGCTTACGGCGAGATAGATTACTCCCTGGGATTCCTGTGGTTTTTCTCCGGGGAATGTGAACGAATCCAAGGCACTGTCTCACAAGCCGCCGCTCCAAATCGCCGCTTGTTTACTGTTAAAGCGCCAATTGGAGTGGCCGCAGCCCTGACTCCTTGGAACTTCCCTGTCGCGTGAGTGCCACCAAATCTTTGCCTTGATCTAGAAGGTCGTTACTGATTTGGCTTAACAGTATGGTTTTACGAAAGGCGGGAGCCGCTTTGGCAGCGGGGTGCACTATGGTCGTGAAACCCAGTCCTGAGACACCTATCTCTGCACTCGCTTTGGCGGAGCTGGCGTTGCGAGCTGGTTTCCCCCCGGGCTGCGTCAATATCTTGACCACAGATCTTGACAATACTCCAATCCTGAGCGAGACACTTATCAAGCACCCGCTCATCAAAAAGGTCTCGTTTACTGGTTCAACACGGGTAGGAAAGCTGGTGGCGTCGCACTGCGCTCAAGGTTTGAAGAAGCTGACTCTGGAGCTGGGCGGCAATTGTCCTTTCATCGTTTTCGACGATGCCAATCTCGACCAAGCACTTGAACAGCTGATGGCTCTCAAATGGCGCCATGCTGGCCAGGCGTGTATCACCGCCAACCGGATTTATGTACAGGCTGGGGTTTTCGATCGCTTTGCTGCTCTTTTGAAGGAGCGCACGGCTACTCTAGTCGTCGGCCACGGTTCCGCCTCTGATACTACGATGGGCCCTCTGACAACACCTCGAAGCATTGACAAGGCCATTGCTCAGATTGAGGATGCTCGTCGTCTCGGTGCCGATGTTCTCTTAGGTGGTAACCCGGTTACGTCAAAGCCAGGCTACTTCTTCGAGCCTACCATTCTTTCGGGCATGACAGAGGATATGCTCATCTCACAGGAAGAATCGTTCGCCCCTATTGCTGCATTGTACCGATTTGAGACAGAAGAACAAGCTGTTAAGCTTGCCAATGACACTAGTATGGGTCTGGCTAGTTATGCGTTCACAAAAAACATCGATCGCATGTGGCGCCTCTTTGAGAACCTGGAGGCTGGAATGATCGGAATGAACACGGGTTGGTAATGCATAACAAGAAGTCTAATCAGTGAGCTAACATGTTTTGATAGGCAACCAATCAGCTGCCGAGTCACCTTTCGGGGGTATCAAGGAGTCTGGATATGGAAAAGAGAGTGGAAAGGACGTGGCTGTTAATGAGTATTTGATCACCAAAACGGGAACTTTGACGCTTGAAGGACACTATTGAATCGATACATGGATGAATACTGATGTGCATCTGCTTGTCCCTTCGAGGTTCCTTGTCTTTACATATCTTCTCGATCGGCCGTATTGCGCCCTATTCCATAAGTTGTACGGAGTAGTGAATTTGAATTCTGTTTGACATCTATTTACTTATAGTATTGGTTCGCCTACCGGGCTCGGCAGGGGAACTTTGTTTTGTTGCATATTATGCCCAACTACAACGTATAGAGAATAATGCGTGTCCAATTAGCATGACTATCGAATCACACTTCCCCAGTGATGTTCTATGCTTAGTCGGGATCTAGTTCTCCCCGCCGTCCGATGATCACTCACTCCTCTTTAAATTCCAACACAAAATTGCTTGACCTTTGTTTGTGCTTGAACCCTTTCTCATCTTCGTAATATTTTGCTTAGCATCGAAGAGATTGAGAAAGTACCGTCGACAGTGGACCAGTGGACGGACAATCGGGTATTTTATGAATTGGGCAGTACTGGGTATATGGAGCTGCCGCTTATGATGTTGCGGTCGAAATATCCTCTTGATTGGTGTATTGCGTACCAGAATGACCCAAGGGCAAACACACCTTACAAGATTGAATACAAACTGCAATCACTAGAACAGTGGATTTTCATTCGACAAAAATAAGTTGTAGAATCTTGGCACATCCCATTGGTTAACTCAGAATAGCATCTGACGGGTTACTTTGAGCTTCTGGTGATATTGGCTAGCTTCTGTATTTCAAATACTCCATTGGGTAATTTACCTCATTTTGGCCTTAAATTGATTGTGCGTGATCGAAACAAAACGGTATTTTAAAACACCAGCAGTAAATCATTAACCCGAGTTTACCACATGGGGTAATTCTTTCATTTTCTTAAGGAATAGCACATCCAGTCAATGCGACCAAAAAAATAAATAAGGACAAATATCAGTATTTGTATTACATGTCGAAGTTTGGGGGTTTTGTGAGGATCAACGTTGAGCATGGCTGATAGTGCACGGACGATTTTTCCGTGATCAATTGATGGCGGATATATGTACTCTTGCTCCTCCTCACCCACCAGGCGACTAGCTCGGAATCTCTGCAGATAAAGGTGGCAGATACTCCATTTGAGACTAAGACGTGATAGGGCCTTCAGCCGGATTTCGTCCTGCTCTATCTTTGAGAGCATCGACGTTTTCTGATTCTAGCGACATCCCATCCGGGAGACTTGTAAACCAGACAATTTCCTCCTCTCCAAATACCCTGTTCTTCTCAACATGGACGACTTTGATTCACTCCGCAACCTCATCCAGTCTCACCCGCTCATTGACAACCATGCCCACAATCTGTTGAACCAAGAATCGGCCGCTGATTACGAAACTTATCCACTCGAGGCTATTACGTCCGAAGCTCACGGTCGGGCCTTGAAAAATGCTCGCACCACCCTGCCCCTGCTCCGAGCCACCAACCAGCTTGCTGAGCTTTATGGCAGTCCTTGCGCTGACTGGAATGAAGTCCAGTCAGCCCATGATAGGTGGGTCCGCGAAGACTACGAGGGCCTTGTCCGACGGTCTCTGGAAGGCACGCACGCTTTGCTACTAGATGATCTTCTTGGCGATGATGAAGACATTGAATCCTCTAGCTGGCACGATCGCTTTACCATCTCGGCAACCAAGCGGATTGTGCGCATTGAATCCGTAGCCGAGTCGCAAATTCTTCAGATAGCCAGCAGCGAGCGCAAACCCGACGAATCCGTGTGGAACAATTTCCGCCAGCGGTTCCTCAATGCTCTCTCCGAGGCAATGGACGACCCGAACGTCGTGGGTTTCAAGTCGGTTGTTTGTTATCGCACGGGATTGGATGTTGATCCATATTCCTCCGATGATTCCACTTTGGGTGGCTCGCTGGTGCGCACCCTCGACTCTGGTACCGTAAGATCCGGGTTCCGGGTCGAGGATAAGCCTTTGTGTGATTGGCTAGTCCAACAGACTCTGAAGGCTATCTCATTCAAAAAGAAAGCTGGTGTCGTCAAGCCTCTACAGCTTCACACTGGCTTAGGTGATAACGATATCAGCCTTTTGCGATCTAACCCCGCATATCTACAGCCCTTGATAGCGCAGTACTCCGACGCAGACATTGTTCTCCTTCATTCTGCGTACCCTTACACGCGCGAAGCGGGATACTTAACCTCCGTGTATCCGAATGTCTACCTTGATCTGGGCGAAGTCTTCCCCATGGTCAGTCGAGAGGCCCAGGAGAAAATCCTGAGGGAAAGCCTGGAGCTCACACCCATCAGTCGTCTGCTTTGGAGTACCGATGGTCACTTCCACCCGGAGACATTCTGGCTGGCCAATCGTCAATTCCGCCAGGCTCTTGAAAAAGTCAGTCACAAGCCCGTTTCCTAACCTTTCATTTTTAGTATGCTTACTCTTTGTATCTCTCAGGTCTTTGTGGAATATGTCCAATATGGCGACTTCACCATCTCCCAAGCCATGAAGGCAGCTGCCGATATTCTCTTCTACAATTCTAACCGTCTTTACGGACTTGGGTTGACTCCGGAATACACACCGATCACTGTAGACGGAGAACCCTCTTTGGTAAACTAAATGATGTCGCAAGATACAAGCTACGGAAACAATGTCTGTTCGGGCGGGTTCAGCGTGGGACGCGTGGGGCTTCCAGAATTGAGATTTGGAATATCGAGTCTCGCAGGGCATTCTAAAGCCTCGGCTTGTTAAACCCCACTTGAACGCGGGCAGAGGCTATCCGTTTGCTGTCCCATGTCCGAAGAACAATGCCAGCTGTGGCCTGGAACGATCTTACCAACACTAGAACTCTGTTGCTATCAAATAAGTCAAGGTTTTTGGAAACGAAAATATGTATACGCGAGAATGCTGTGCATTGTTCTCTCTTAAATGTGGCCTTAAATTTTTCGCGCTGCATTGCCCTCGGGTCGGGTCATGGCATACATGTTGAAGGGGGTGAAACGGCATTTTCAATGGGGGGATCACGTATGGCAGTTGCCCGATCATCAATCTAGCAAGCATCATTATTCTTATCTTTAGCAGAGCTGCGAGTTATCCATTATTTTGACCAATGCATCTTGATTCCATCGTATTTCATTGATCCTCTTGTTCCTCGTTCATAGCGAGTTGCTTGCTGAGAAGAACGACAGCGTTTGCGCCGTTGTGTAAGACCATCGGGTCAGTTGTCGGGTGGAGTGAGGTATTCGGTCTGAGGTATTGGATTGGCCTGCGCTGCAGCCAGGGATCCACTGTCAGGTTCGATTCGGCTCCCTCACATGTATATACTATATACTGTCAAAGCAAGAATACGCACAGATACACCATACTTAAGCCTAGCTAAGTAGGTGTGCACCTTTTTGGCCTAGCGATCACGAAACAGGCGTCTTTTCTATGCGACATGTACATATGTTTGTAGGTGAATGAGCTTGTAAAGATGACGTATTCCCCAGTGACTTCCAAGGCTAATGTCCTGAAGCTTTCCATCGACTCACCTCTAACCTCTTACCACAATTTCACATCGTGCTTTCCCTGTTCATAGTCGTGACTACCATCATCATCCAAGAAATTATGTCAACCCCAAATTCGAGAGAGGTGGCTTTTGCGGGGCCCAACACTCCGCCATCCATTCCTCTACCTCTTCCTGAAAAAGCAATCGACGTCGCCAGTACAAGCATCAATGAAATGCCATTACTTCAATTTTCTTTTGAACCTGTTGCCAAATCAGACTTCTGGATACCCGACAACGTTGAGACAATCATAGCTACTACCCTCTCCCAAGCCAGGAACAAGATCTCACGCGTGCAGAAGGCTGCTGACAAGTCCAAACAAACCAAATACCTCCTCATCTCCGAAACCAGCGAGGACATCATCGAGAAGCTGCTCGAGAAGGTGAGAGGTGCAAAAGCTACAAGGGCCAAAAACTGCATCCTATATCGCGTTATGCCCAGTCGTGATCATGGAACCCTCGTCGGCACTTTCAATGTACATTTTCCTTTTGCTATTCAGACAGCCAATATACCGATTTCACGCCAATGGTGGGTGGCAACCGCAGATTCTCTCTTCATGGGATTCTATTGTGGCAGACAAGCGGATTACAGCTTCACCCCGGTTGCCAACCCTCCACGCACCGACACAACTCCTCCCTTGGCGCCTACAGACTGGCCGTCTTTTGTGGTAGAAGTCGGTCATTCCGAGTCGTTCCAGCAACTCCGTGGCGACGCGAACTGGTGGTGGCGGAATTCCTCTCGCCAGACGAAGCTAATACTACTATTCAATGTCTGCAAGACACCAAGTCATTTCGTCGAAGTCGAACTATGGCAAGAAGCTCTACACAGTTATGTTGGTTACGAGACACGATCCACACAAAGGTTTCGAACAGAGCTCGGCTTAGTACCAGTTCTCGAACGAAAACAAAACACCACAGTGGTCAGCCCACACGGCAACCACACCTCCATTGAAATTGATACTGGCCTACTTCTGCGGCACACAGCAAATTTCGCTCCTAATGTTATTCTCACGCAAGAAATGTTGAGTGAGATTTGTGCACAGTATTCATGATAGCTCTCCCCAGCTCTCTCTTCGCTCTCCCCAGCGTGCTCCTCGGTCAACAGTACTTCCTACTCAACCTAACTTACACACTATGCCTCCGTCGGCTTTACAGTTGACCCTTGGCTGTTATGCCCGATATCAGTCTCAAATGCTCATATCCACCGCCATGCGTCGAGGATTGACGAATGAAAACCATTCAATGTTGGGCTGTCTCTACCGTAATCACTAGCTTATTGTGTTATTATATTATAGGCAAAAAGCAACCATGGAATTAAAATTTTATTTATTCCATTAGACTCGCGAAATAACATGAATAAAAAGTAAGTTGATCAAATTCATTTCATACCTTGATCAGCTTAGCAGACTTCTCTGAAATCCATCCCAAATCGTGTATATATCGCGAGATTAGCAAGCGATCCAGCGCCACCTAAAGTATGTACGTGAATTCATTCGCCAAAAGAACACCCCAGAATCAAAACCACGCGTACCACCTAAGCGTCTGAACCGATGCGCACCACGCAATTTTGAGTATCATGCAAGAAGTGAAACACAAGAACAAAAAAGGATAAAATAAATAAACCAGGCAGCCAACCCCGGCCATCTGGACCGGGGATGGATATTGACATATGTGATATATCAAAGTGGAAGAAAAAGAAGAAAAAGAAGAGAAAGAAAACTAGGAAATCATCACGTCTATTGTCTGAAATGATAGTATTGATAATGTTGTTATAACAGAATCAATCCCAATCATTTGATCAGTCAACAGCGGTTTGATATCATAAGGTATAAGGGTGATGCAAAACACCAAAGAAAAAACAGAAAAGGAAGAGAAAATCTCACAGCAGAATTAGGGACTGCAGCGGCTGAGATGGTAAAAGGGGTAAAGTTGTAAGATGAAGAGAAGAATGATTCGGAAATGATGCAACGCTTAAACATGCGATTTGGCAACCAATGGATGGAGAAGCGTTGAGGAAGCAACGAGGAATAGAACACAGGAACAGATTCGTAAGCTAGCTCAAAATGGCCAAGAATCAAGGTAGGTCATGACACCATCCTCCGTTCTTGCTCCAAGCCGTCTCGTTCCCATTCGTTCAGTAGCCGTGTGACTTCCCTGAAAGACACAGGTTTGGTGAGGAACAGGTCCACACCAGAAGCCAGGGCATCGGACTCATCGCGCGAGCTACTCAGTCCTGTCAGGGCAATGATAATGGCTGGCTTGCGACCATCCGAATCCTTTTCCAGTGAACGGATTGCACGGGTGGCCTCAAAGCCATTCATGACAGGCATCGACATATCCATAAAAATGATATCATAGCCGCTTTCCAGGCGTTCAACTGCCTCAACAGCGAGCTTTCCATTCTCGGCACCATGCAGCTCAACAAGTTGACGCTTTTTTAGAAAAGTCATCATCAGATTGAGGTTGATTCGATTGTCATCGACCACAAGCACGCGAGCCAGTCGCGTGGCGGGGACTGCCCCCTCGGAGAGTGGTGCTGGCAACGGAGCTTCTGCAACTTCCTCCGGCAATGCATTTATTATCGATGGCGCTTGGGTTGATGATAACTGCATTGACACAGAGCGAGTTCCGGGCCAGTCCAGCTCGGGAGCACTCATGACATCTGCGTCCGATCTCATAGGTGACGCGAGTGCGGATGGTAGCGAAGATGTTCGGATAGGCAGGCTCATGGCCTGCTTGGCCAAGGCGGGCGTTGGAGATCTCGACAGCCCATTTGTCAAACACTTCATCACGCTTCGAGCCAGTTTGTGTGGCCCACAGGGACGTCGAATGATGTTGACAGAGGATGCGAGAGGTAACCAATCAGATCGTGCCCCGCTGTAATCCACCGATTTGTGGCACAGGACAAGAAGAGCAGGCAATGTAGCTGAAGGTTCAGTGGCGATGAACTTTGGTATGTCGGTTTCGTCCATGAGCACAATATCGATATGTGCTTCAGATGCCCACGGTACGATCTCAATGCCATACCAATGTGTAAGGTATTGAGCAATTTCAGACCAGTTGGAATGCTCCGTCACGTCGGCCGGATCAACGTTCCAAATGGCGGCCTGTCTACCAGGGTATCCTTCACGGAGTAGAAGAGTTTGCGTCAGAATTTCTCGTTGTTGGATGAGTTGTCCAGACGGCTCAATAGCCGGGCTTTCCTTGCCGACAGGACGTTCAAGGGGGAGAGACACAGTTACGACAGTGCCTTCACCAGGGCGACTGCGAATTCGAATGCTTCCACTCAAAGCCTTGACCAGGCTTCGAACAATGGACAATCCTAGTCCCGTGCCCACAGCCAGCGAGTCCTCTTGGGCAAAAGGCGTGTAAAGCTTGCCGCGCAAAAACTCTTCTGATATGCCCTTTCCGGTGTCGGTCACTGTTAATGTGACCAAGTCTTCAAGGCCTTGTCGACGGGATCGTCCTTCGGATTTACTGGACGCTGTCAAGGATAGAGTGACCCGGCCGGACTCTGTGTATTTCATTGCATTACCAAACAGATTCATGATGATACGTCGCAAAGCACCCGGCTGAGTACGATAGACCCAATCGCGGAAGGACACGTCAATGACAACTTCAACATTAGATCGCTTGGTCTGCAGCTTTGGATGATGTGGCATCAACACAGGCAGATCAGCTGAGGCAGTAGAGCTCTGGCCATATGCATGTCCAAGGCAGATTCCTTCGATCACCTCTTCGGCGAGGATAGCAACATCTGTAGCCACGTACGTATCCAAGTGGTATGCCAACTTTTCTGATCCTTTGAAATCGAGCGGAGATTCTTTCCTGCGTTTCATTGACCGCCATGTTCGCTCTAGGGAAACCACTTTGCTAAAGTCAAGGACTTGGTTCATTGTATCCAACAAAGTTCGCCCACAAGCATTAACGGTCTCGAGTAGTGAATCCTGGAATTCATTGAGATGGGTGCTATTCAAGAACTCGGCTGCGGCCAAAATTCCATGAAGAGGGCTACGAAGTTCATGTCTAAACAGTGGGATTGATTAGCACATACGGCCGACTATATCCATGGGCGGGATTCCCTCAAATGTATGCTTAAGGGGAACTTACGAAATACTTCCAATGAAATCGCCCTTCTGGCGATCCGCGATGAGAGATTCAACACGGCTGTATTCAGCCATAATAGAAGATGAGAATCCGAGCACGGAACTAAGCTCAACCGACGAACTAAACACCTTCGTTTCAACAGTACTCCAACAGAAACATCCTGCGAACCATTGGGAGCCAACAGCATTCCACAGAGGCACAAACATAATTTGGGTGGCATTGGGGAAATAGTGGTTGAGTGTTGAGTTCTCCGCGGCTTTCCGTCGTTTGCGCAAGGGTTTCGAAGCTCTGGTTTGAGCAGTATAACTAGGTGGTGACCGACTGGTGGTGCTAGTACCAGGGAGGAATTGGTCATGGGGGTGCTGGTCGTCATCATCCGACGTCGAAATGAGCCCATCGCGGTGGAACGACCAAAGCTTTCCTTTCGGATAACGTCGCAATAGTGTTTGTAGAAAAGCTCGGTCCAAATTGGCCGCGGCGCATGTGGCCATCGACCCTGCTTGTGGGGCGAACGGTTCATCGTTTGTAGACGCAGATAAAACAGGAGCGGGTCCACCAGTGTCCGAAGCATCACTCCCGGTATCAACATCCATTAACGGACTACTGTTGGCTTCGAGGAAAATGACGCCGCTGTCGCCACTCAGGTCAAGACTCTCGCGAAGCAGGTTGGCGGCTCTGCGGAAACACCATGAATTACCCTGTGAATCATCGGGTGGGAGGCGATTCCGACTGCTGCTTGTCAGCCACTCTGGCAGAGAGCTCTCTACGCCCGAGCCTCCCGATTCCAACTTCGACCCGCTTTCCAATTTGGAGTCACTCCCCAGTTTTGAATCACTTCCCAGCTTGCAATCACTGTCCAATTTTGAATCGGCATCCAATCTCAACTCGGACGTAACCGAGCCAAAAGATCGCGCATCATTGCTGAGTGATCGTTTATTGGAGGGGCTGTGTGACGGTGCTTGTGAGGCCTGTTCTGCACTATTCTCCCGAGAGCCGCCCATGGCACTGAGTCGATTGTAGGAGGATGGCGGTGTCTCCGATGTTGGACCGACACTGTCGGTGCGTGACGGATCAATGCTGTCCACAAAACTGGAACTTCCTTCGACGAAATAACTCAAGCCCCGGGATAGTCGGGCAGCCCGACGCCCTTCGGAAGCGTGTCTGCAAATCTTCATGTAGTCCATGGCCAACATTGACAGAGATCGCAATGTATCCTTCTCCGCCGTAGTCAATCCATCCCGGGGCTTTTTGTCCATCACAAAGAGACAGCCTAGGTTGATATTTTTCTCGGTTGTCAAGGGAGTTCCGGCGTAGAAGCGAAAGCTGGGGTCGTTTTCAACAAAGGAGAGATGTTTGTAGCGTTCGTTTTCGGACATGTCGTTCACGACGAGGAATTGGTGTTCTGTAGAATTGGGGTCGTTGGGAGGTAGGGCAACAGTGTCCTGTTTAATGGCGTCAAAATCGATCATCATGGTAATGCACATAGCGGTCGGGTGTGGTGATGGCTTTGGTTTAGCCAGCTCGTCGCGTGAGCAAACTTACCTTGCAAACGCTCCATGACTTGCGAGTATCAGATGTTCCCAACCAAATATGGTCATCGTCTTCTTCGTGAACGGACGGGTCGGTTAAACTGATAGTTCGCGTAGCTTCGGCGATGATGTGTTGTTTATCGCGGTCCAACACAGCGAGAAATGCCCGCTCAACGTTTAGGCGCAGTGCTGCGAGTTGGGCAAACGATGTCAATGTACTGTTCGTGGTCCCTAGAGTCAAACTGTCTGAAGTAACCGAGACAGCTGGTCTCGAGGTGGCAGTGCTGTTTGTGCGACCTGAACCTACGGAGATAGGAGGGGTTATTGAATCACTCGGAACCGAAGACAGTGAGTACTCTTCGCCGGCAGGGAACCAAGAAGGAACCACGCTGTCTTGGGGAGCCGGCTGGTAGTAACGGTACAATTCTCTGGCATGGCGATCCGCGTTGTGCTGAGCCTGTTGTGGTGTTTTAGGAGCCTCCATGGTTTTCCACAAGCTTGGGTGATGTGAGAATGCAGTGTTGCATCCTCAGGCTCCAAAGTTCGAACCTGACAACGTATGCAGAACAGCGACGACCCAGGCAGAGAGTCAATATTTGGGGATGTCGAGGAGAAACGGAGTGGTCAAAAAAGTTATAAAAAAAGGTGCCAAAACGATGAGCGTGGATTAATCAGTCATGGATGGGGCCAAGATGGGTGAAACAGTCAAGTGGGATCTCCAATTGTAGACACTGACCCCCACCGTAGCCAAGTCAGGTGAAGCGCACATGCTATACAGAAGCGAGAAACAGACAGCGAGAAAATTCGGCAGTAGGCGTGGCCAGGGATCTCATCTGTCAAGGTGGGGACGGGTACTGGTGAGGGGACCAGTGAGGGGAGAAAGCCTCCATAGAATTTGATTAGTGGGAACGGGCGCTTGGTGGTCGTACCCAGGGCTTGCTCCACCGCTTCATCAGCTCTCCCACTCATAAAATTGCTCGAAATACCAGGATCGGCACACTGCCACGATATAGAGTGCGCGAATACTGCCTTGACCAATGTGACCAACAGGCTAAATGGAGTCGATGGAGTGGGAGGCTCCAAGGGGCGTCCACTGGGAGAGATGTGCACGACGGATGTGGATGTATGTGGAGGGGAAAAAGGTTTCAGTGGCTGTGTGGTGGTCCGGTGGCGGTCTCGCGCTGCAGATCATTGGCTGATGGCCTCAGGCCACATTGTTGGCCATTTAAGTCAGGCACAAACAACTAAACAAGTGGACCAATTATAATTCACCATTCTTCTCCTAGTAATAGTTGCCACTTGTGTACATGTCTTCTCCCTTGTCCTTTCACTTCGAAGCATACATGTGTACTCCGTAGAGTATTGTAAATTCCCAAATATGACATTCCACACATCGATGATGATCGAAATGCCCCAAACCCGACGTCATTTCTGTCAGGGGCTGACACTAGCGCTGCAAGCCCCTAGACGAACGCCCATGACGCCGGTGGCTAAAGATCGAGGGATATGGTCCAAGTGTGCATAACTGTACCGATGGTTCGACTGGTGCATCGAAATAAGGACGAGCTTGTGAGTGATTGGCTCCGCTTCTCGTGATACGTAGCTATACATATTAAACGTCATATTCGTAAGCTGGCTGAACACTTCCAAAATCATACGTCGTCAGATTGGCACATCATATCCCATATTGATGGAGAGTTTATACTACCTCAACTGGTGTTGTGCAAAAATCCCGGGAAGGCACTTTCATTAAGTATTTTCCTTCGAGGAAACTTATTGGACAATATTTGAGATGTTCTTTTCTAATTTTGAATGAAGCTAATGGTCCTCAAAATCTCATCTCTCTAGGAATTATGACCAGTGATTGCGCCCCAAATATACGCCGCCCACGACCCAAGTGTCAACACTATCAGAGCTCCAAAAGAGATTATAGAGATAATACGAGTGCGACGATATTCGGTCACCAAACTGCGCTCGCGAATCCGCTCGATGATTTCCGCCCCCGACGTCAACCGCTTCTGTCGAGTCCATTGCAACAACGCTAGGTTGTCGGTGAAAAATGAGCCGATCAGGATAGCTGTACCGACAACTGCCGCGCCAGCTGCAAGGACCAAATATACCTGCACTACCCGGCGGTAAGAATTGTCATCTGCGTCTTGCAGAGCTCCAGTGATGATTCGGATGATAATGCTCATTCTGCGAATGACTGTCAGCTTCTGTTTCAATGCATCTCGCAACATTTTGGGATGGTGTCAATCTTACGCATTGTTCATGGTGACCTTCAATGCGTACGCAGAGCCAAAGACCGATTGGTGCCAGAGCGTAGTGCGAATGCTGTCGATGACAGAGGTCGGTCCGAGAGACACTGCGATGGCGTAGATGCCGAACGCAGCTCCTGTTCCAGCTTGCGACGTTGCAAAGTTGATGAGGACCATACTGAGCAGCATGCCGATACCACAGACGCACACTAAAATATCAGTCTATGTCGAGCTTCTAAGCGGTCTCGCCAGTGAAACTCACAGACAGATGCTCGGTTTCCGAGGACATCGATGAACACGCCCAAACAGGGTACGAGGAAGAAGCCTGCATACTGTGACAAAGAGCTATACCATCCAGCCTTGATGGAGTCGACATTGAACCGTTTCTCTGCCAGCTCGGTGGCGTTCTGGGAAAAGACCGTTGCCGCACTAGTTTGGAAAACAGAGAAAGCCATGACGGCCCAGAACATCCAAGGAATCTCGAACATTTTTTGAAGTTCGAACTTCCTGTTTTTCTCTGTCAATTGCTCTTTGGTCGCTGTGTCGCGCCGTCCCTTAAAGTGTTTGTTGCAATATTTATTGAAGAACCAGAATGCTGCACTTGCGAAATTGGTGAAAAGGTTCATGAACACCGAGGTCCAAAAAACCCACGCAAAGTTTCCCGTTTTCTATTTTCCCGTTAGTACTGCACTCTTGGTCTCGACTGAATAAAGAGAGCAAGATACCTTCGCAATGATATTAGCAGTTGATTTGCCAACAAATCCACCAATCTTGCCGATGGCAAGTTCAAAGCCTAAAGTGGACGCGAATCCATTGCTAGGAGGGAACCACGACGAGAACATCTTATACTGGGCGATCTGTGTTGCGATATCTCCCAACGCGAGAATAATGCGACCTCCGATCATGAAATTGAAAGACCGCACAGTCGTAGCGGCCGCGACGAGGATTGATCCGATGGTATAAACGACGTTTCCGTATACGATCATTTCTATTGACAACACTTGGTTAGAAAGCGGATTTTCTGCCTCAAAACGCTGCAACAATTGGCAACATACCTGCGCCGCCAACGCGGTCGGTAATTACACCACTTATCAAAAGCAGAACCGTTGCCATGAAATTTTCGCTTGCTTCCAAAAGCGAGAACTGAGTATTGTCGATATGCATTTGCTGTCAATGGATCATGAGCAAATTTTCCAAATTGGCATGTCCTTCGCTTGCAGAATTTACCTTTTTGATGGTGCTTTTCATGGCACCCGTAACGCCAGAACTCCAGTGCGAGCCAAAACTGATACATGAGATCAGAAGGACGGCGCATAGCTTCGCCACGAGTGGAGGCGCTTTCTTTCCATCATTAGAGTCGGTATCAGATCCTCCAGAAGTCTGAATGTCGCGGACAGTCTCCGAGACCACGTCCACGGACTTCGAAACCGAAGTATTGACTGGCATGGTAACAGTTTGATACCAACGATGGTATAAACTTTTCAGGTTAAGATTTGGAGAGTGTTGAAAACTTGGAGGGTAAGCTCCAGAAAGTATAAAGAACCCGGCATTTGCTATTTATACGAGATTGATCTCGGAGATTGATAAATCTAAGCACGCGAGCGGAACCACGGGAGACAAGTCCTTGGGTGAGCTGATCTCAAGAATCGGAACTCTTGGCCGAATCCAAAAAACGTAATACCAGTAATGAGTGACAGGGAATAACGTTTTCTGAGGGCTTGGCATAGCGGAGGTTCCATCAGATAAGAGATGAACATCGGCCATTTGTCCCAATGAAGTTGACAACCTACTGCTCGTTGCAGTCTAGCGCTATAAATTTACCTCGACTCGGCGCATCGTCGGTGAATTTAGCTCATTACAGTCTACTCAACGATCAGACAAGGTGGCCAAGGCCCCCACGTGTGGAATTCTTTGAATATTTATCGGTTTGGCTCCGAACCGTAGCAAGCTTCACCATGTGGTTTTTTTTTTTTTTCGCAGGACCCGGTTTCTCTCCTTCGGGAGAAAAAACCCCTTTGGGTTCGGGTTCTTCAAACAGACTGTAGCTCTGCAATGCAGATTGATAATGGTTTCGGGCTCTCCGCTGGCCCCGCTCGGTCGTTTTGTCTTCTTTGGAATGTCGGAAATAGGTTCCATCTTCATGGATCCAAATTATACATAGCTACACGACAAGAAGCTTGCACAACGAATGGATACTAATTGAAATTTTCATTGTTGACATGTTTCTCGTTAATTTATATACAGACGCTGAATCTCGCCACTTATACTATACGCTAACGGTCTTTTAAACAGTCTCGCTATATACCACCGCCAGATTTGGCAACCAAAGAAATATCTAAGACAATCCCAACCGTTCAATTCCGGTCGTCCCAATGTATACGTATGCAGCACAACGGAAAAAAAGATTTCTCTAAATCAAAGCCGCTCCATTAACTGTTTTCGAACAGTCCACATTCGAGCTCGTTTGCCGTAAATATACATGGGGATCGACATGAGCATGAAAAATAGTTGGATACCGCCAATAGTCAGGAACACAGAGCGTGAACCTTTGGCATCAAGCCAATCCACAATAAACAACGAGAAAACAAGGCCGTGGAGCACATCTGGAGCGCGAAATATGGTTAGATTGGGTAAAAAAAAACACAAGTGGAGTTCCAACATACTCTTGCTAAAATTCAGCGTAACCAGCGCTTCGCCGGCGTATTGGCGATAGCTATCCACACAAAAAGTGATAGCCGTCGTGCTGCCCAAACAGCAGCCGAATGAGATCATTCCAAAGAAGATAGTAGGCACGATCCAAGAGTCTCCGATCTCAGCACTCCAACCAAAAGCCATCAAACCTATGACCGTGGATAAGGCGATGGGAATTGCCATCACGAGACGGAATTCAGGCTCGTAGATACCGCCGTTGCGCTTGGTCATGTACTTAGCAATAATATCCGATACTTTGCCCGCCACCGCAGTCCCAAGAAGACCACCAACAAACGGTGATATGTAAACCAGACCAGTTTGCAGAGCTGTGAAGTTGTAGTGTTCTTTACTTTCGAAAATGTGCGCAACTGACTCCGAAAGCACGATCAGCCAGCCGACCGATAAAGCGTATACCACTGTTGACCAGAGCACAGAAGGATAGGCGAATAAAACAAAGGGTCGCACGGCAACTCGGTACCAACGGTCCTGTGCAATTCGTCCATTCCATACGCCAAGTAGTTGCGAGTATGGGATCTTCGGGCGCTCGCGAAGTCGGTTTGTGTATTGAAGTGTTGCCGTCATCGGTGTTCCAGAAGGCTCTAGAGAATCCGTTCTCGCGGGCGAGACAGCCACTGGCCGAGACGCTTCCAAGTCATCCGGGTGTGCACCAGGGACAAAGGCGTGAGATGGTGGTTGAAGATAATCATTACTTTCTTCGTTGGCTGGGATAGGAGGCTGAGTATTGATATGGTCGGCATGGGTGTTTCCTGCCTCTGAAGCAACATTTGACTTTTCGGTGTTCAATTCCTGAGAAAAGTCTTCTGGCTGGTCATCCGCGAATCCAACATGTGCATGCTTTGATCGTTTCGGTGTGAGAGTCTGATCTAGATGGTCTTGTTCGGTAGGCTCATCTGGAACTTGAATGTGCGGATGCCGCCCACGGAAGCCGTGGGAAACAAAGTCAGAAACACTGCGGCCTGGACGTGGTCGTTTATGTCTGTGTACACGAGGTCGAGGAGTACGATCCCAAAATGTTTCAGGAACAAAGAAAAAGAGCAAGACCAGGCACGCGCCCACGACTATTGCAACAATCCAGAACACCCAGCGCCAGCTCAAACCTTGTATGATTGCGGCACTCACTAGAGGGATAAGGTTCTTGCCGCCGAGTAAGAGGAGTGTGTAGATTCCCACCCGGTAGGCTCTTTCGTGTAAGAAATAGATCTCTGCGATGGTGGCAGAGGGAAGGCACTCAACTGGGCTCACGGCAAATCCTTGGAAAATGCGAGCGACAACGAGACTTGGGTAGTTTGGCGATAAAGCACACCATACTGCCGAGATAACAAACAGAGTGGCTCCTAGGAGATAAACTGGTCGTTTTCCGTATAGAATCGCCGTGGGTGACATGACAACAGATCCCAGACCCAAGCCCAGCATATAGAATCCAGTAGTGAAAGCAACTTGCTGTGTGCTGACATGATATGTATTTGCGACATCAGTAAACCCGGCTGCCAAAATGGGTGTCATGCCACCTCCCATCAAGCAATAGAAGCCTAGCGACAACAACGCGGCATCTCTCTGCCAGACAGGCCAATTTAATGGATCATTGACAGAGTCGTCTGGTTGAGGATCAAGCACAAATTGACCATCTGCTGTTCTCTTTTGGATTGGCATACGGGTTCGAGAATTAGATCTGGAGGGGCGATAAGACGAGGAAATAGACGATGTCGAGGTCCGATGGGGTTGATGTCTCATTCCCAAGGGCTCATTTCGATTCGAAGATAGAAGAAGTATCGTTCCTAAACCATGGCAGTCATATCAGTCCCGTTTCAACTTTTATTTGCCTCTCAAATTCTTCAACTCACCAGGTACTTCATCAGTGTGTTTATCGCTCAATATACCTAGCGTCGCTTTTGCGCGATAAGTTTGATCCTCGCTGGAGTCGGACTTTTCTTTGGGCTTTCCCCCAAAGATCCGCCTCCAACGCGGGGCAGCTGACTGCGGGGAGACATGATCTGCCTCAGTATCTCCTCCCATTGTCGTATTATGATCTTCCTCTGGGGATGCCATTTTCCGCACGGGTATTGGCGATGTAGAGTTCGGTTTGTGCCGATTGCGAAACAGGTTTTCTAAGCAATACATAGTTAGTCAAAAGGCTTTCCCATCTGTTGATACAACTGAAAACGATTTTCGGGAGTCACCCAGGACACAAAGGGCCAGAGTATAATGTGCCACTGGCATGGGGAAACACTCACAGCTATCTTAGATAGCCAACAGGGAACCCCGGAATCCGAATGTCAACGTCCGGAATCCGGCCGTAAGCCCAAAATTGTCAGTTGTATGTAGCGATCTCTGTGGAAAGTAGAAAAGCAGCAAGCCTTGTCCCCAAATAGTGAGGCAAGTATGTGTCGCTAGGTCTTAAAAAAGCGATCAACGCTTCTGGATCAACCTAAGCGGCAGTAAATGAGCACCTTTCAAAGGCATAGCTTGATTAAGCAAAGACCCAATTGTGGAGATATTGGGGTGGCAAGAAATATATAGCTTCAAGGATCATTCAAGAAGGGGTATCCCGTGTATAAAAAAGCAACATGTATAAAAGAAAAGGATGATGTGATCGACGATCCCATGTGGCAGCGGGGGGGCGGTCAATCATCTTGTACCCGCTGAGTACCGCGGCGGTCGCATAATCATCAAGGGTAATTTAAGTAACTCGGATGTATTTCACTGATATAATTTTGATTTAATACATACAACATCTGTACTAGTCTGGAAGCATAATGCATGGTCCTCGTAAAGCCGATAAGCACACCGTTTCCGGGCAAATGCTATTCTTCCAAAACACGATGTGCACCCCATGAGCCGATCACCAGCCTACATTTGTACGTTAAGTGGACCCCGAGGCCATGCACTTTATATGCGAGATAACGCGGTCGAGGGAAATTAATATCCATTTCCCTCCGTACTCCGTACAGGCCTTGAAAATATACTCCGATACCTAATGTCAATCATCGGTGAAGCTTGAATTCACCCAAATTTTTCCAGATCGCCGAATGCACGCGGCCATTCCTGGGGAAATACCAAGCCACCCAAACCCGGAGCACATATAGCGCTTGTCGCGAGAGTTTCGTATCATTTGTTTCAGCCATAGATAAAATGGAATTTGAGGAATTTCGGCGTCTTTGCTCAGATGATGTCCGAAACATATCTCAGGTGACTTATGAGGGGGCGCTGACTGCCGTCATTGTGCAGATCTAATTGCGGGGGGGAGGAGCTCAGCTCAGGCAATAGGGTTCGTATACTGTTGAATGTCAATGTTTTCAATTGTGCTCAAGCTGCTCATGTGGTCATAATTCGAAATATCGTCGGTGATCTACAACCTTATACGAATTTGATGCTCGGTGGAAGAGGGATTAAGCTAGTATCCCCAGGAAGTAATACGCCACTTATGCCGTAGCCAAGAATAGGGGCTTGGATTGACAGACTAGTTTTTGAGACTGTTAACGCTGGTGCTTCGATATCCACGATTGCCCGTGGTTCCAAGCCTGTTCTTTATAATTGCAAATCGTTCAAAACGAAAATAACTCGTGTTGCGCGATAGCATCCCGAGGTCGTCTTTGTAGTTCTAGTCTATGTACAATGTTGTTATTATTGCGTCGTCAACGTCCTTGGATGTTGAATTATAGCTCTTTGCATACCCCAATCACTTTCGTTGGATGGTTGAAGCTCTCTCGGACCAATCAAGATCGTATTTGAGGTGTTCCTGGTAGTATCATCATGCCATCCAGATATCTCCGCGGACTCGTAGGCAGCTAGGGAGCCCAGATCGAACCACCCATGAGATCGATCTGGTGCCTTGCAGAAAAGATGCAGATGGTTTTAATCTCGCTGCAATGTATACTTGAAGCAATTCTCAGCCGAGCTCGAATGCCAAGGGTTTGTGTAAAGTTGGCCATTCTAGAGAGATCCTGACCACCCTATAAGTTGGAATGAGCACAATACCCGATATTTAGTACTTCAGCACTTGGCTGATGATATGCACGCATTTTATTCCAAGTACTCAGTACTCTGTACATAGATCATTACAAGAATTCGATAAATTCAGAAAAACTAAGGCCCCTCATTGCATCGACAAAAAAGCAAGTATCACTGGATGCAAGAGAATTAATAATACCGACGAATCTTCCACCGTACCTATGAAAAAAAAGCCTGCCAGTCAATTACCTCCCAAATGTATATTTATTCAAATGGAAACCAACAAAATGCGGAGATCCAAGTCCGTTGCGTCAAGGGGTGAATCAAATTGAGGCGATTACCATTGCCGTGCGCGGAAACTCGGTCACGTGTGTGCCCCCTTGAGGGCAATTATTCTTTGCTTCGCTTTTCGAGATTATTCGTTTGGTATACTTCATCTTAATAACTCTTTTTCTTTCTTATTCACATTCATTCCGTTGTTTTTCCATCGTCTTGGTATCCATCCAAATCCTCTCTCACGCGACTTGGTGTCGTGGCATTCAAAGAATTCTCCAACCATCGATAACAGATCTCCCTTTATATTTTCCCTGTGAAAGATCACCGATCATACCTCCAACCCACACGAATTTAATCCTGATTCACTCCTTCCGCGGGAGCAACCGCTCATAATGAAAATCACCAATTCGTCATTTCTTCTCTTCCTCCTTCCCGCCATTTCGGCCGCGCTCACCGACGCAACATACAATGACAACATAAACTCTCGAGTCTCGCGTGAGACCGTTGGCAGCAATGCTCGTCTCGTCGACTCGGATATAGTCGCATCAAATGTCGCCAAGGGGGCGCCGGACGTCCCAGTGGATGGCAAAGATGGAAGACCACACGCCGGTCCGTGGGTGGAAACCAACGCAGACCGCGATCGCAAAACCACGAAGGGTGGCGATGATGTCGAGATCGGTTCGACAAAATACGACTCCAAGATCCCTTCGTCGCAGCATCTAAGCACTGAAGAGGGGAAGGTGATCCCGCATTCGAACGGCGGCGTCATGGACGATCCGCACCGGGCGGGCCCGAAAGAGGGTACACGGGGAACTGAAGGTGGTGTGTCGGAGAAAGGAAAGGAGAGCCAGTTCACATCCGAAAAAGTCCCTGGAGGGCCCAAGGAGGCACCTCCGTTGCCGCATAGCGAGGCAAAGAAGCTATCTGACAGCGACGACCCAACAATTGGAGGTGCCAGCCGGTCTGCAGATGGCTCGGGATCTCTTGGTATGCTCGAGGTAAGTTTTGCCTGATATTTGGCTTGGGCGCAGAGCCGCGTTGAACAACAAAAATTAATGTGCATACAGAAACCTGCCGATCTTCCCGAGAAGCCACACGATATCCCTCATCCCAAACCTCCAACAATTTACAAGGATGATCCCCTGAGCGTCGATCACAGCTCGGGTTCTCCAGCGTCATCATCGTCCTCGTTGGGTCACCACGACCATGATGACGAGATTCCGGATGCCGGAAGCTCGCTACATTCCCTTGTTTTCTCTTTCACCATGATTCTCGTTTCGGAGATTGGCGACAAGACTTTCCTCGTAGCTGCACTGATGGCTATGAGACATCCCCGCTTGGTAGTGTTTAGCGCAGCATTCAGTGCTTTGATTGGCATGACTGTTCTCTCCGCAGTTCTGGGCCACGCCGTTCCAACCCTTATCCCCAAAACCTTCACAAAATTCATGGCCGCTATCTTATTCTTGGTTTTCGGCGCAAAGATGCTCAAGGAAGGTCGTGAAATGTCTCCTGATGAGGGAGTGGGCGAAGAAATGCGAGAGGTCGAGGCAGAGCTGGAGGAGAAGGAGCACCAGCAGCTGCGCATGGGCCGCCGTCGTTCTTCGGTCACTCCTCACAACCTGGAAGCAGGTCGTGCTGGAGGCCGTCCCAAAACTCGCGGTTCCGGAAATCGCCTTCCTTCTCCCCCAGAGAGCATCTCCTCCTCCTCTTCTCGCGGTTCCTCCCCTCATCCCCGCCAACGGCTTAATGATGCCTTCTCTGGGCTGAGCAATCTCTTCTCTCTCCTCCTCAGTCCCGCCTGGGTGCAGACATTCGTCATGACCTTCCTCGGTGAATGGGGTGACCGTAGCCAGATCGCCACCATTGCCATGGCCGCCGGCCAGGACTACTGGTGGGTGACTGTCGGTGCGAGTGCCGGTCACGGAATCTGCACCGCAGCCGCCGTGATCGGTGGACGGGCCATCGCTGGTCGGGTCAGCATGCGTGTTGGTATGTATCTTCCACTTGAACCGTTATCCAGAGCCACCACTAATGATAATTACTTTAGTGACTCTCGGCGGTGCCGTGGCATTCCTTGTGTTTGGCGTCATCTACTTCATTGAGGCTATCTTTTAGAGCGCTGCATTTTCGCGGTTGTACGTGTTCACGCGAATTACAATTTTTGGCGGTTGGTTTGTTAAAAAAGGTCGAATGCATCTTGTGACATAGCTTTGTTCTAATGGTTTAATCTCGTGTCTGGCCCACGCAATGGCCAGGTTCTCAATGTCATTTTTCTTGTCCGTGAGACAATCCGCATGAACAAAATGGCACTCGCTGGTGCATTGAAATATTGTATACAGATCGTCGTAGTTCTGATCAACACTTAAATGCAAATCAGAAGCGGCTGTCTTGAGAACAGCTAGCTACCTTGACTTTGTGTGCTTGCATAGTGCGGTAAAGGTGTATGAGTACGCATGTTAGTCAAAGTATTGGAGTGTTGAATCAATAGAAGCCCAGGGATGGCGAAATGTTAATGTTGTTCCTTAAACCTCTTGCAAGTGCCGTAAATCGAGTAACTACCGTTAGTAATAGGGCTGAGGGCTGAGGGCTTAGGGTTTATGCCTGAAGCATCAATATTTCTGTAAGACCCTTGTTCGGATTTTCTATATTCCGGATACCGGCGCGTGCAGCCCCGAAAACCCTCATTCTTCCCTCTCCCCAACCTCCTCCTTCATAAAACTGCATTATTTTTCGCATCCAGTTTATCAGTAAGTCATCCAGATTTTGCCTAATGTTCTTTCGCCTTGTATGTTTAGTTGTTTGATCGAATCCTCAACAAGTTGAAGTACAGCAGAGCCCACAACAACGCGTTGAAGCAGAAGGAGCACGCACGTGCATTACGTTGTCACCGCCCTCGAGTCTTACCGCCTCACCATGGCGGGCATCATCGGATCGCGCATGACTCGAAGCCAGAGCCGTGAGGCTAGCAACAAACCAAGCAAAGGGCGCAATGCCGCAGGACAATCTGGGCGAAAACGTAAGCAATCTCCCCCGGCCTTCGAGACGAACAATTTTAGCCTCGGCACTTCTGGTTGGTCATGTCAATCGTATAGTGGAACTGGAAGACTATAAACCACCACTGTGAACTATACCCGCATAGTCCCACATTCTCCACTTGCGATTGGTTGAGCCATTTGCTTCCTTGTGTCCCTTTGCCGTCTTAATCTCAAGAAATGTTTGCTCCACATATGAATTATTGGGCCATCCTGACTTCATTCAGGGCTGAGTAACCTAGCCGAAGAGCCATCGACTCCCGGCTTTGCTGCGTCCAACCAGATGGTGCCGGAGTCACCTGAAATCCATGAAGGCCACACAAATGTCTCTGGCACCACACTGGGCCACAATGATGTGGAACCCATTGACTCGCAGGTTGGCATGAAGATTACGAACCACCTGTTCTTCATCCAAGAACAAGCAAGCTTGGTCATGAACCTCTTGGTTCCTCAGGAGCTGAACCCAGATCTCATTGCAGCTGAGGCCAAACGATTTGAGAACCTTACTCACCCCAACGCTAAACGGCTGAAGCGATCCTTCGAAGGAATGAATGATGAGGTGAACGATTCGCCTCTTTCTCTTAATGGCAAGACATTCTTGAACATCCCACAAGTCCGCCGTCTGCTTTCTCCCACTCAATTTGAAACATCCATCCCCAATTTGCACATGACAAATTGTGCGCTCTTGGCTCTCAACATTTTCTTTTCAAAAGGTGGGACCTGTCCCGAGCCACAAGTTATTCAAGAGCTAGATGCCGGTTTCCCCGTGTGTTTTATGAACGATGTTGCAGAAGATTCCAAGTCTAGGGCCATTGGCTCGAGCAACACTCAAGATTCGACCTTCAACCTTGCCCTGAGTATCAGAACGCATTTCTTCATCATGGAACTGCAAAGGCGTCAGCAGGAGCCTGACTTCAACCCGTTCTCTATCTTGAGGCAAATATTCTGCATGGATCTTATCCCTAGTGAAGACAGCTTTCAAGAGAGTCCTGGCTCCTTCCGGGGCTTTAACTTGCCGGGGGTATTCCAGGATGAGGACTGCCATCTTCCTGTAAACCTTCCCGATAAGTTTCAGATCGCTGTCAGTGACAGATTCAATGAGCTTCATGAAGAAATATCTGAATGGGAGGATGATTGTGATGTGGTTGGCTTGAAGAAGGCATACAGGTGGCGCTCAGTTGAACGCGATCTTGCACGTTGGATCCATACGCGCAGCCGAGAGATCAAGGAAGACATCCGGCGCTTATCAGAGATACAAGCGCAGCAGTCCCCTGCGCGTCGCTTCACTCCAGCCCTATTAGGAACCCCTAATCGACGTGAAGCCTCAACTGTGCCTCTAAGCGCTGAACCTCCTCGACAGGTTCCTCCTATTCAAAACGCCCAGTCTCCTCAAAAGGAACGCCCGGTAAATGAAGCGATTGAAAACAATTCTCCTCCGCCGGCGAATTCACCTCAAAAGGCATCAGGGCCGGTTGTTGCCGAGCCAGTTCCCAAGGATCCAGCCCGACGCAAGTCCAAGAGGTACTACATGTTCACCCTCCAATCTTTACTCCCGATTACTAATTTCTTTCATCAATAGCAATTACCGAGATGCTTCTTCATTCGCAGCTCTTAAGAGACGCATGGATATCAGTCGTCAGCAATCTTTTTCTAACGTCGCCTCGCACCCGCCTAATAGGTCTGTGACTACAAACATAGAAGATCAAAGTATGGATGCCGGACCCTCTACTGGTCACATCACCTCAGAGCCTCGCGAAATTCATGAATCTCCCGACCCAAGCTACACAGATCTTGCAGACGACTTCACATACGTCAACAACGACGAGGAATTGGATCTCGGCCAGGATCATGAAGGTGGTGTCCTGGCATCAACCAGCCCCTCGGCCTCCGCCAGAATCAATCGAGTCAGCCACAATCCCAACTTGTACTTCGATTCGCCGAATAATCAACGCTCACGGCAAGCTGCCGAGAGAAGCTCTCATGCTAATGACAGATCCAAAGCTCATCGCCGCTTATTCATTGAGAAGCAAAAGAATGCTGGAAAGGTGTCCCCGATCAGCTATGCCGATACCCAGAGCGCGGAAAGAAGACGTGATGTGCCTCCGCATGCAAAATCCAACAAGCGACAGAATCCCTTCAATGATTCGAGCGATGACTCAGATGATACCTCGAGTGATTTTGAACAAGATACCCGCGATACTGGCCGGAGGCCTGAAAAGCGACAACGCTTCCAAGGAGGTGCCAGGGGTGAAAGTGTAGGAAACCAACTTCAGTTGAGCCTCAATGACGCCAGGCAAACAAGCCAGGGCCTACCAAATTCTACACATATGCCTCGTGTGAAAGGCCGAGAGGACAGTGAAGAAGATATCACCGATGGAGAGACTATCGCCGATCAAACGTCGCCCGCTCGCCGGCTGCCATTCCAGACCCCTTCTACAGGAGCCGATGATAGCCACTGGGCGAAGGTCAAGGCCCGAGCCACGGATCCCAGCCTTAATAAACGGAAGCCCACCTCCCGGTGGTCAGAGAAAGAAGACGAGCGCCTCCTCAAGCTCATGGGACTTTACGGCACGTCTTATGCTCTTGTCAAGAAGGCAGACAGTACATTTCCTGCGAGTGGTGGTGGGCCTCTTCTCGAGGATCGCAGCCAGGTCCAGTGTAAAGACCGGGCTCGTAACCTTAAAAAGAAGTTCGAGAGGTAAGACAGCAAATTCCATTTCCCTCGATGTGTAATCTTGCTAATTTATGTTTGCAGAGAGGGCCAGGCAGTCCCAAAGTGTTTGGCCTCTATCAAGGTCTAATCTCGCGATTCCATTTCATACAACATTGCTGACTGTTCAACTTGCTGTTCTCCTTGCTAGCGTTCTATTGGCGTTGGTCGGAATACCCAGGGATGACATGGTGTGCTACTCTGAAGTTTTTGCTTCGTAATTCGCCTTTTCTTTTCTTGTATAAATTTTTACCTTGTACAAAGCTCTTCTACGAAGAATCCATGTCAATAAAGGCACTATCGTTATGTTTAATTTGATTGCTTCTTTGTACATTGCGTCTAGAAAGTCTAGCGACAATCTAATTTTCCATCTTGAATTCCTCTCCTTATTAAACTTTTGTCAAATTTTGTGTTCTTTGGCGTTGTTCCAGGCTCCCTTTCAATCGCGCATACGCAGCTAAACATCATCTAATCAGTTTGTAGCGTGATACTTTTAGTATAGGCTAAATTACCTCGCGACTATCGACAACATCAATTCGACTGTCATTCTGATCGAGAACACTGACAACCCCTTGAAGGTAGACTGGAAAATGAGACTCGCCACGAGCGACATTATCAACGCACCTAGGATGCGCCTGACGTGGCATGAGGCAGGAACGGCCCGCCAGTCAGGAAATAGACCTTCAGCCTTGTCGTTAAAATGGGTTCAGGATTTCCAATCTCTTGAGCCGAAGTCAAGCACCTTACCTTTAGTGACTAAAAAGCGCATGAGCTATACTCGGCCAATCGTTTGCTTCTGTTGACAACATCGTATGGAAACTAATCACCATTGAATGTGTACAGGGAACACTGGCATCGACCTGGGCTATCGCATGTCCATAAAACCACTCAATCAAATGTCTGGCACGATGGCGAAGGAGATTCTGAACAGCGAAGACAAGGTCACTGCCATCGCATTGTACCCCGGTCATCCCGCCACTCCGTGGTGAGCTAGGGGTGGACTAGATGCGAGCATAATCTGTAGAATTTGTGCATGGCTAGGCAAGAAGCACGAGTTGTACATCTCGTAGAATAATTGAAACTGTGTTTCTAGCAGCTATAGTTGTTCTAGTATCCTTAGATTCCCACCAAGCAGATACTAACTAGCATAAATGCTTTGCGATATGTCTCTCTGCCAGAAGGAATGGTAGAATACAAGAGAAGCATAGTGGAGCAACTTGTTCGTCTCACTGATGTCTGCCTTTGGACTATACACGACGCTATCAGCGTTATTCGAGCTATGGGGAGTCACACTACATAATTTTTCATAGGTCCACCGTTTACAAAAGAAAGACCAATTTGGTTGTATCTTTGATGATGCCTTTGGCAAAATCTTGAGATTTCCGAAAAGGATATCGAAGTCCATCGGGCAGTAATAACAAAAGCTGGTCTAAAGTAGTTTGTCCACGCAAAATAAAAGTAAAAAAAGGAGTGTAGAGAATTCCTATCCCAAGGCAGGCAGAAAACGCATCCCAAATCCGGCCAGCGGACTCAGCATAAAGAACAAGAGATTATCTCCAATATAAAGGCCACTCGGTTTACACGCGAGCGAGCTGTATCTGTACAAGTAACATAGAGTACAGGAAGTCAAAACGACAGTACAGTTGCAACCTAAGTCACCGAGGTATCACTACTTCAAGTCTTTACAGAAGCAAGCCCATGCCTGCAACGGCAGCACCGATTAAGGATGATCCAGCACGAAATGTGCCGGCTGCGTTACTTGTGGGGGTGGGGGTGGCGGATGAAGTAACAGCGGCAGAAGCGGAGCCTGCAGTCTTGGATGAGGCGACACTGGCGCTCTTAGAGTTGATGGCTGAGGCGGCGGTGACAATTCCGGTTTGTACACCAGTCGTTGAGGGTGCGACAATGATTCCACCAGCCGCGGTGGCAGCAGTTGGTGCAGCAGTGGTGGAGGCATTGTCGGAATCGGAACCGGAATCAGAGGCGCCGACATTTTCAGTCGCTTGAATGACATTGAACGTATCTTGGCCGCCACCTATAGAAAAGGAAACACCCGGGTTAGTCATGTTCTGATTTCCGGTGGGTTTTTTTTTTGACTTGGAGATGGGGCCCTAAAGAACTTACAGGTTTCTGCGGGGTATCCCAAGCAGACCGTGTCGCATTTGTCGTCGTCAATCTTGGCAGATTCCGAAGGCAGCTTGTCGCCGCAATAGCACATGTTGCCGCGGCTGAGAGCAGCGACCGTATGTCCTTGCGCGGAGCATTTATTCCGGCAGTATCCTGGTGACTGGTAGGTGTAGGGACCTTGGTTCTTCATATTTCCTACGTCGGAGTAGCAGCCCATTCTAGCGGTCGAACTAGACGAGTAGACAGGAAGCACGAGGGCAAGAACCGATAGAATGTAGGTGGGATGCATGGTGGGCGGGATAAAATATTCGATCAACGAAGAGATGAGAGAATGATTGATAAGAGAGCGGTAGATTTGAAACAATCCAAGGAAAAGGTCTGCAAAGAGAGATTGGTGATGATAAATGAGAGGCGAGATGATAGGTGAAAAAAAGGGTCCATCAAGCTTCTTTAAAGCACCTAGTTATTCATTCCCAGGAACACCAGGAACACCCGTCGGGCTCCATTTTTTTGATTATTATTCGGTGGAGTGACTAGGGGTTGATGACATCGCAGCCCCATTGATCGAACGAGTCGAGCAAGTGATCATCCTGAAACACTAACCGACATGTTCTATTGAACTTGAACTGGGGCCTCACGGCGTTAATTGGCTTGCGAGCTGACGATCGCCCGATCGGCATCCCCAGGTGTGGCGCCTTGATTCCATGTTGAGAGGCCAATGACGGCGGATGGAGCCTTACAAGTCAAACGAAGTGAAACCGAAGAAGAGTTCGCGGGTTTCTAGTCGTGCCGCTTAACTTGTTCGAGTATAGAATGGTCTTAGTGTGTTGCATTTGTGCCTAAGGAATCTGACATTGCTCGCCATTGCTGGTCATCGCTTACCCCCTTGTTCCTCCTTTCCAGTTTGACCTTATCCCACATACTGCAAATTACCTTCGAGAATTAGTTCCACTGTACTCCGTAGATTCATGACCATCTCGTATTCTAAGACTTGAAGCGAAGGTTAACGTATGAAATTTAGAATTCAGCTACGAGATAGACTCTATTTGGTTCCACGGTTGAGCCGAGGCTTCCGAGTTCAGTGCCTTATTTGTCAGGTTCACCTGCATCTAAATTGTTCTTCGTTGAAACAAATCCCATCCCACTTTTCCCCCTTTTTCACATCTTTTTGTACCCGGGCTCTCTGGTAAGATGCGTAAATGGACTTAAGTCAAGAATCTCAAATTTGGCCCAGGAGATACAAATTCGCGCAGGTGGGGGGCAGACATGTGTCATGATTGGATTGCCTAGATGGTAAGTATAATTGCGATGTTCTTTACCCTGGACTTTTCAAAGGTCACTGGGATGGATTTTTCACAATATTGCATAGGTAACAAACATGCTCCTCTTAGGCCAGTTGGTGATCTATCGCCCTGTAGCGTTGCCTAACCGAGTATGCGTGTCGTCTATCATCAAATCATAGGTACAAGTTCCAAATCCATGTTCTGATCTACTTTGTAACAGATAGCTCTTCATACAGGTAATTAGCTAGCTTGTGTGCATTTGGCCCATTTCAAGATCAATGGAACTACGACTGCGTGCGAAATATAGCGCCGATAAGTAAACACATTCTACTCCGTAGTTCTCGTGTTGAAACCATCAGTAAAGAGATAGGGCCCAGTTATTTCAAGCTCGCTTGGATTAAAAAGGTCTTCTGATTCCCATCTGGTTTTCTCAAAAGGGTAAACAAAGTACATCGACCGCAAAAGGATCAATTTTGCATTACTTCTATTAGGACGGTGGGGGAGTATGTCCAAGGTGATCGCCCATATGGACTGAAAGAAACAAGTAACACAAATCATACCGGCAATAAAGAAAATCTCACAGCTGGCTTGTTCCGAGAAAGGCATTGACATCGTTATCTGCGATGCATCAAACAGCACATATCACTGCTGGGACGACACGGAAGGTAATGGGAGAAGATTACCCACGCTATGGACCCCACAGATTAGAGGGACCCATGTTTCGGGTTTCATCCCTAATTTTTTAAGGAGATGTCAGGTAATGCATAATTACAGCCTTTGTACAATTTAGGTCGTAGATTGTGAATATACTTCCAGAGTAGGATATTCTACGCAGTGTCTTGCATTTAATCAAATAGCAATGAAGAAAATGTATAGAACTAGGAATAACACAGTGTCAAAAACGAGTTTTCAAATCGCAAAAGGTTCTTGATTGTATTTCAACGTCTTCTTATCTCAGAATTGACAGCAATGCTTGGATCTTTACATGCAATTGCTACTGTGGGCCCCGTGAGCTCTTTTACTTCGATTACAGCATAATTACTGTAGGATGTTGCAGAGTTATCGGAGACTTCGTTTCAATATTTGATTTCGTTGCTCTGTCAGGTACCATATAGACTATTCCAAATCAGGAAAACGCCGAGGGGTAAGTAGATTAAACATTTGAAGGCGTTTGGGCGTTTATTCTTACCTTTCCATAGTCTTATAAACTTATCTTCTCATGAAATACAACCCGCTGTTAATTCAACTCCTCAAACAGATCTGTCAACCCCAACAGTGATCGGCCAATGCTACATGATTCCCCCAACTCGGCAAAGCGGCAGCCCTGATTGGGCAATTCGCCAACGGTAAGGGCCGCCAGCCGAGCTGAGGGGGAGATAAGATACCCTTGACGTGCTCTTCATAAGCTATGGTGAATCCCCTCAGGTCATTATACGAGATTTTGGATAATTCCATCTTGGACCCTTCAAATTATCTCACCATGAAAACCCTCGCTCTTCTCGGCCTGGCCGCCGCGCCCTCGCTTGCCCTAAATATCCCCACACAGCAGCTTCTCTCCCCCGGCAACTTAGTGGGCGGCTATTATAACCCGCTAGTATCCAAACCTTCGGTGCAGGAAGCATGTCCCCAGCCACCAAAGGTGAGCACACCTAAAGACGGCTTGCACTCGTCGCAAATTTTCCTCTCCGACGAGGCATTCCGTGCACGCCAGGCAGAGCGACTCTCTCGTGCGGTTCAAATCCCAACAACAGTGGGTGACTTCGCTACGGACCCGTACGATGAGGCATTCGAGCCGGTTGTCAAGTTCCAGGAGCTTCTCGAGGAGTTGTTCCCTCTAGTGTAAGAACCTCTTAGCTTCAAGCAGTGCCCACTTTTCATCAACCAAAAGAAATACTAAATAAGCAACACAGACACAAGCATGCCACGGTTGAGCACATCAATCGCCTTGGTCTAGTCTTCACCTTTGAGGGTGTTGATACCACACGCAAGCCGCTCCTCTTCATGGCGCATCAGGATGTTGTCCCAATTGACGACCCGTCTGACTGGACGCACCCGCCATTCGCGGGTGTCTTTGACGGCGAGTGGATCTGGGGCCGTGGCTCAAGCGACTGCAAAAATGTTCTCATCGGACTGATGTCCGTGGTTGAGGACCTACTGTCGCAGGACTGGAAGCCACAGCGCACAGTCTTGTTCGCATTCGGATTCGACGAGGAATCGCATGGTTTCCTCGGCGCTGGCGCAATATCAGCAGCACTGGAGAAGAAGTATGGTAAGGATTCCTTCGAGTTTATTCTCGATGAGGGTGGCATGGGACTGCAAAGCCTTGGCGGAGAATCCGATTCCAACAGCGAGGTCTTGTATGCTCTCCCGGCTGTTGGTGAAAAGGGTAGTCTTGACCTGATCATTGATATCGCTGTTCCCGGTGGCCACAGTTCCATCCCACCAGCGCACACTGGTATTGGCATCATGGCTGAAATCATTTATAACCTCGAGCATAAGGAGCTATTCCCCGCCTGGCTGGATACCAACCACCCAGCACACGGCATGCTGCAGTGCCAGGCACGGTATTCACCTGACCACGTTGAAGCCTGGTTATCCGACAAGTTGGCAGCAAATGATCCCGCCGCTCTTGGCGAGGCCGTGGCTAGTTCTCGCGGTCCCGCTGTCCGTTACACCATGCAGACCTCACAGGCTGCAGACCTGATCCACGGTGGTGTCAAGGTAAATGCTCTCCCGGAGAAGATCTCGGCTGTCATGAACTACCGTGTGGCGCTGCATCAGACACCTGATGAGCTGCGTGAGCGTGCTGTGCGAATCATCAGCCCTATTGCAGAACAGCACAATCTTACCCTGCGGGTTGCCTTCCCCGGCGTGGACTCTGCCACGGAGGGAGATGTGAGCGATCGCACTCTTACCCTGCACCCTCTCAGTGAACCCCTCTCTCCTGCACCAATCTCATCCACAGACCCGCTTACCTCGAAGGTGTGGGCTCATTTCGCTGGTGTTGCACGCAGTGTATTCGAGTCTCACTCGAACCCTATTGCCAAGTCAGATTCCAGAACTAAGCCAACCGTTGTTGTCACTGGCGATGTCATGACTGGCAACACGGACACTCGGTTCTACTGGTCCCTCTCGGAGAACATTTACCGTTGGAGTCCGTCGCGTGCTGGTGGAACGCTGAACATCCACACTGTGGACGAACGGATTCATCTGGATGTGCATTTGGAGGGCATGATGCTCTATTACGGTTTGTTTTTCCTTCGTTTTCTCTTGTTTTCCAGTTAAACTTAACTGACCTGTGCGTTCAGATCTGATTCGGTCTTTCGATAATTGGGATGAGAGGTCTGAGTAGAAATGGGTCTCACGTCTCATTGCGAGGTATCTTGACTTGCATATATACAATGGTTCCAAAAACCAAATTGAACGTTCAAGACTTGCCTACCACAAAAGGACCCAGCTGATGCTACCACTGGACAGAGGAAGGGCCTTCTGGTCCTCATGACCTACTAACGCCCCTACCTAGGTAGTTCCTGTCATTGTTCATAAAGATATACCATCGAACATATGAATATTCAGTGCCAAGTGTGGTAACTAGCCACACACCTTATTTAAACTAAAAGTGCATCCTATTTGATCCAATGCCTATTAGGTAACCTAAGCATGGGATGGGAACAAATTGCTGTTTTAGTGTAGAGCGACAAATTTCTGCATTGCTGAGAGAACCAACAACTACTCAGAATAATTCTCGCGCGGGTAGCTCAACAAAACTCACAAAGCCCAGACCAAATGAAAGGACTATGGATGGGTATAGACAAAAGAAGACATGATCAATCCTTGAGTCAACAAAGCGGAGGTATCCAGTGCGTCTTCCAGTAACTCTGGCTATACCTATACCAGATTCGAAGTTCTAAACGAGGGTCTTTTGGAAGGTACAAAGGAAAAGAAGAAAAATGAATGAACAAGAAACGAAGGGATTCGCTAGCGGATAAGCAGCGGCGCGAATGATCCGCCAATGACAGGGCGAGCAACGAAAGTGTTTTGAGGGTAACTTAGAACCATTAGTAAGAGATAAGAATTGAGGCCCATGAGTAGCTAGACTTACTTTCCTGACACGGTGTCGTATAAATCTGTGAGAGGTCGGTTGGTTGGGGTCTCGTTAATCCAAGTAGCAAGGTCTTTGATGAACATTGTTCGGGTGTCACCCGAAGTAATGGCTGCGGTGAAGCATTCCCAGTCGCCTATCTGATTGTCAGAAATCATGAGATCACAAGATACTAAAGCAAGATTCCTTACCCTTGGTGTAAGTATGGCGAGTGTCCAGAGGCACACCGTACTTGTTAGCGACAGTGGGGTAGAAGTCGCTTTGCATTTGATAGACAGACTGCGGAACTAGATCCAAGCCCAGCTGAGCATCGGCAAACAGGTTGTAGAGTAGACCTATGAATTTGTAAGCAATGTGGAATTCTAGCTCAGAGAGTTGAACTTACCATGGCTAGTGGAATCACCGTACGACAAAGTCGTTCGAGGCGGGCTAGCATCCTTGGCAATAGCCAGTTCCTGCCATTGTGTGATATAGTCATGAGCAATACTTGAATAGTTAGCAGCATCGTCGCTGTGGCCGGTTTGGTTGGCAATGACAGCCATGGCCTGAATACCAATCATGCCCTTGAGCGCTAGGTTGGTTTGGTTGCTAATTGTGCCGATTAATTTTGAACAGAGACTTGAAGAGAGAGGGTCGCTTACGCCAATGAACCGGCAAAGTCATCGGTAGAAATTTGGTTGGCAGGGTAGAGGGAATCTTCAACCAAATAGCTGGTCCACTGCTTGAGAAGATCATAGTGGAGGTTCAAATAATCGGTGTCGCCGGCCTTCTGCGCGTAGGCTAGAGTCATGATGAGCATATCTCCGCACTCTTCTAGGGGCATTTTCTCGTCACTGCCATCGGAGTGGCCCGTAGCATTGGGGTAAGATGAGCCCATATCGTGCATAGAATAGTCATGGGGATATTTTTTAGCTTCTTGGTTCTCGAACAGTGGATCAAGAACCAGTCTGAGCAAAGCAGGGTTGGTGTATAAGAAAATTGGGTAGGCTGGGAAGATAACATCGACGGTGTTCATGTTTCCATCGGAAGAGATTTCCTTCAGGAACAGATACATCTTGTCCTCCGTTCCACAAAGCTGGGTAGCGCCGAACGCCTGCCGAACCGAGAGCGACGTAATAGTGAGATAGTCCTGGCCAGCGGTGGCAATCGAGTCTTCAGCCACTCTATTATCAAAGGAAGTTGTAAGCTCGCTAGATTGGCTATAGTCCTTGTGGAAGAACGAGAGCGCATCCAATTCGGTATCGAAGTAACTCTTCCACAATGATGGTACCGGGGAGTAAGCAGAGGCGCCTTCAAATTGAATAGCCTCATCTTGTGTCAGACCGAGCGAAAACAGGGTGCTCACGGGCGATGAGCTGACCGAACCCAGATCAGATGAGAACCCGAAAACGGGCCAGGTTGAAGAGATCGCTCGGAAGTTGGTATCGCCATTGTTGGTGAGTTTTCCATTCGTGGCAAATTCTCCACGAACAACAGTATCGGCACCGGACTGGTGGGTCATGCTGTCAGAGTCGTCGGTGGCCCAGTACCAGTTACCCCATTCGCCCTGTTCATTGTTCTGGGAGAATGCCAGCTGAGTCTGTCGGTAAACTTTATGGTATGCAACACCGTCAATTGTATCATAATCCCATTCTGCAATTGTATTTCGGTCACCCGATACCCACTCTATCATAATATTAGCCACTGCGTGTAAGAACTGAATTGAATGTAACCAACCTGCAGAGATATCCGCATATACTTGAACATCATGCTCCTGGCCATCAAGAGAAGAGACCTCGACATTAAGATATGAGAAGACAAGTGACTGGCGCTTGAAATCGTCAGGTGTGATAGGCGACAAGAAAGTAATGTTCATCTCCAGCTTGTTCTCCACGTTCATAGTGAAGATGCTCTTAGTCGAAGTATACTCGTAAGCGGTCTGATTGACCGTCTTAGACCCGGGCAAGCCCATCCAAGTATAAACATTGCCGTCAACACGGATCATGCCAGTCCACCCAGTAACTTGGTTTCTGTTTACGAGACATTAACAAAACGGTTCTGATTTGACATCAAACAACAATATAGAGCAACGCACTGCCAGAAAACAGGCCATTGACCAGCCAAGTAGCCACCATTCCCACCATCACTTCCTGCATCAAGCCATGTGCTGAGATACGGCGACCTGACAGCGAGCGGTATAGCAGGAGGTCGAGCAGGCGTAAAGGTGGACTGGGCTCCAATAGAGGTCACCAAGGAGGCGACCAGCAGACCGAGGCGATACAGCTGCATGATGACAGTGTTAGGCCGGGGGGGGAGGGTTGGGAAATTTCAAGAAGTCAATGCAGGAGCAAAACCGTCCTATTATTTATTTTCAACAAAAGGAGATTAGCTATTCGGAACCTGGCTGCTCGGAACTATATTGGCACAGCTGAAGACAGGGATCGGCGTTGTGTTTACAGGACAGGAATGCCGGGACATACTTATAGTCGAGCTCAATCTACCAAGAGAGGGGGTGGAGGGCCAAAAGTGCTCCATGGACCCGCATGCCAGAATGTGCTTTGCTTTCTACGGGGGATACTTTAAGCGGCTTAGCATGAAGCCAGGTAGCAGCAGACATGCATGTCTGGATGGATTTCAGGTGTGCTACTCGGCTGACCTCCGTCAGAGCCCAGATGGATTCAACAAATTTCATTCTAAGAGGGGCAACAAAGTGATAAAATGATGTTAGGGGGGTCAAGACAGGGGCTCGAGTGGAAAGGCATTAGAAATGGCGGAGACGGGGATTTACCTGATATGGATCATATCCAAAGTTAAAAGTGGGCATAAAGTCGCGGTCTAGCAAATCTCGGGAGAAACGGCATACTCTCAGGTCGCATGGAAGACAAGCAGCGGTCTATGCGGATCGACGAAATGAGTGGCGCCAGTGTACGAGAGCATCGGAGCAATCTGACTCTTTTGGTTCGGTGCGCGCCTTGCAGATGACGGACCACACAAATGCATGGCGCAAATAAAAGTGTGGAGAAAGTAAGAATTGTGGAAAAAGGTAACAACTATGGGCTGCAGAAGAAAAAGAACCGGTGGTTTGAAAATAATCGCCAATAGGTCCATCAGGGCAAATAGGGCCTTGATTCAGGAGAAGTGCCAAGCGTGTGCCCTTCGTGATTATATCATGCGGACATTTCGGTAGTCGGCTTTAGGTGATCTAATGCATAAATGATATCAGGCCTCTGATATTCAGTGACCGACAATTTGCGGGGAAATGGCGATCAGCAGAGCATCATCGTGGTATTCAAAAGTGAAGAAGAATAAAAGCATGTACTTCTAAGAATCACAGTATCTGTAATAAGGGCGATTGCGGGAACCTGCAGTAAATTAGAGGATTGCCCATGATATTTATCAAGGTCTCAAATCAAAGAGACTCCCCTTGCAGGGGATTTAGTTTCTACGCGTCAGCTTTTTGGTGGGCCCTGTCTGACAGCCCGATCGGAGATCAAGAAGAAAATAAACCTTCAATTAAACCCCATCAGTCCCAGACACGCCTGTGATGCATGCATCATATGTTGATTGCATGGAGTCGCGTGCGCCACGTAGATGAGTACAACTGAGTGTAAATATGTGTGGTTGGTCGTTCTAGACCCACTACACTTCCTTGAGCCCTCCTTGCTGATATGTCGACTCTCTTGGGTTCAATGTAGGCTTTTTACCACATGTAATTTCAATAGACTTCAGTAAAAAGGCAGGGAATGAATAATTGCAGTATATTCTTTCGGTGTCCGTTTGTCCGAAGCGTATTATTCTCGCTATACTATCTCCGAGTCCACCCCTCACGGTGAGATGCATCAAATCGTAGTATGTGCTTCATAGGTTACACCATAGATTCAATAAAGTGCGCTCGGGTCTTCGGTTGTTTCTACAAGGTGGAATCGCATATTACTAGTGACTGGATATGGATGAATGGGATTTCCAGGGGGTCCTTCCGGCCCATTAAAGTATCCACATGTGCATTTATGCGCATTGTTTTAATCATCTAAGCATAGAAGGCAGAAGACTAAGTCCAGGGTTCTTTATTGGGCATGTAAACTTACCCCTGGAGATACTAAGCTTCTATATTACCGACGATCAGCCTTGGAAGTAGTGACCCCCCAAATCCAAGCACTTATGCTCGCACATGATCGAAAGAAAGTCAAGCCTTTATATGTCCCCTCAATCCACATGATAACTCCCCAATCTCACCCGGGCGTCCCTTCCAATTAAATATGTACAAATGAAAGCTCGTGACGAGAAATGGAATAAAGTCCTTGGGAAGCAAGCTGTATGTACCAGCTGACCTAAACATCATGAGCAGAAGTAAACGACGTATTGTCGTTAAAAGGAGCAACGAAAGCAATCAATTTTAGATAGGCACCTGAAATCAGGGATCTACATCAACGTGGCCCACATCAATGAAGACCTGGGACATGGTTCCCTGATGGTCGATCCGGCAGGTAAAAAGAGGATCAAAAATCTAGTAATCTTCATCTCTGGGTGTCTTTTTTTCATCAAGAATTGGATATATTCCTGACTCCAGCGCCTGGAGGATCGATGGATCCTTGTGCTTCTGTCTTTGGCGACGCAGAAACTGTTTTTACCCCATGTGGGAGGCAGAATTGTCGAGTATTCATTTACTCGATCCGTGAAATCTGGTTGATACGAAATATTAGTGCCGATCATGCTTATATAGACACAGAAAGTAATCAAAATACCTTTGCGGGTCATTTCGTTCTTCGAGCGGATGAATCGCAAGTCCCCGAGATAGTAACAAGCTCGAATATATCCGGAAGAACAGAATCTATGAGAGCAAATGTTAGTAGTGATCTTGAAATACTAGTTCTGTCAACCTACAGTTCCGTTGCCGGTAGATTGCTGCCAACACCATATCTTTAGTCTAGGTTGAGAGGACACCAGTTACAATTGACGGGAAAGCCCAAGTTGATTTTTTCAGAGCCCCAAATATGTTGGTGTTGTTATTTTCCACAGCTGCAGCCCGCAGGAAGGTGTGATCCTCATAGTCTGTACAATAAACAGCGCCCAGCTTTTCGTCTTTCCAGCGGAGAGAAAGTTCTTGCGCGTCGGATTCAACATCGACTATAAGATGGAGTCTCTTTGGTGAAGTTTCAATTTCCTCCTCCGGGCCCGACAATCGAACCCCAGTAACATATCCACTGGGATTGTGAATATCCAGCCCTAGAATTCCTATGTGGAACTCTTGCTCGGCGATTTGCAATAGGTCGCCCATGAAAACTGTGCTGTTTCTGGGGGCGCACAGAATACAAGCCCCGATTGCAGAGACAAAATTTTGATAGCTTTGTGCAGAAAAACTCTTGGCCAAACTTGCGAGCACCCACTAGGCCAGTTTATTGATCTCGGGTGCCCAGTAGTCAGTCAACCCTATATAGTATGCAATAACCGGATTGTCTGGGGGATTTCTTTCCAGAGCTCGCGGAAGGGTATAGTTATCGTCGCGAAGTACTATCGTATGTTTGCCATCCACTTCAATCTCAGTAAGAGGATAGTAATGAGCTTGGCTATAAAGAGGCCAGTGGCAGTTGATTAATGGCAGAGCCGAAGGACGTTGCCATCTTTCTAGTGGTGCAACAATATAGTCACCATTGAGCGCGACGTCGCTGGCAATTCTATAGAGATTTTGGAAACTTGATTGAAGTTATGGACTTGACAAAGGTTCTTTGCCAACAACGGAAGATTACAGACGTTATATGTCAAGTCATCTATGGGCATCTCAAACACGTGTGGTCGCGACGACTCCGAAGCATGGACACCGGCCAGGATATCTTTGTTAGGAGGGCCTTGAAAGACTTGCCTTATGTTTCCTTCTCCCGGGTGCCGAGGGGCGACTCCGGACAGGTGGTTGACATATCTCTTCTTTTCCTATCTTCCTTATCCCGTTGTTTGCTCCTGGAGGATTTGGCCATTGCAAGCGGTCGGGAATGATACAATGATAATGATCAGAGTACAAAGAGCATCTGGGCGATTGTTTATTAAGTTAAGATTGGTCTGTTTACTTAATACCCTCGAACAATGCCTTCCAAGGTTGACTTATTGCGCTTCCCTCCTGTCATGGAATACTGCATTTGACGACGCAGGGTAACAAGGGCGAAAACAGAAAGTCAACACAACCACTTGTAATTAGTACGGGCGCTAAATGTCACAACCCGGAGAATTGGCACTCAATTTGTTTCCAAATTACCTGATGCCATGGTAGGGATGTCCATTCGCTAATTCGTATAGCATCAGCCCCCTATCCAGCATGCAAATCGCCTCAGCCTCAGCCACAATCTCACCATTATTTTCTTCACGCCCAACGACCACAAAAGACAACCAACCACTGAGAAATCCGATGTCTAATATTGACAAATTGTTTAGTCCAACCACACGGATCACGGACAAACTCGAGGACGTGCTACCAGCATCATTTAGAGATGATAATTTGTTATTTCATGCCCCACTCGACGACATCTCGAAATTCTTAGAGTTGGATCTTTCAGTCCAGCGCCTCAATGACATCCAAGAATATCTTTGGCTAGCAGGGCGGCCGATGCCGCCCAGGCCATTGAACTACCAGATATCGGTATCTCGACAAATAATTCTGGATGAAAAAGTCGACATGCACTTAATCTGGGGGCCAGGAAGACGCATCCACATCAAACCACTACCGCAGTACCTCCTCGATTCTCGATTTTGGTCTACGCAATTACTATGTAATGAGAATATCTCCGGGTGTTACTGCTGCCATAGTGAAAACAATGGATCTCTCAACACATCATTCACGCACCAACTCAACCAAACAAACACTGAATCTGAGACCAACACCAAAACCAACACTAAAACCAACACCAACATCCCCTGCCCATGCTCAACCCTCAGCCAATCAGCCCTAGGCTTCCTAAACTCCTACATAGCGCTGATCCAATACCCAAGCGATTTCCTCATCGCGAAACAGCACAGCCTCCTCCCCGACACCCTAACATGGCCCCAGTGGTCGGCGTTAGTCCAAAACTTGCTGAAAAACGACGTAATCTGTCTCGACAAGATAAATCCGCGCTATAGATATGGCGAGCTGCGCCTCTCACGTCTAAACAAAATATACTTCTGTGTCCGGGGCAGTTTCATCCGTGGATACAGACCAAAGTACCAGACTTTCCAGGAGCTGTTCCACGCGTACTTGACGCCCATCACAGCTATGACGGTGTATATTGCGCTCGTCTTGACGGCTATGCAGGTTGGGCTTGGAACGGAGAGGTTGCAAAGTAGTCAGGCTTTTCAGAATGCTTCGTATGGGTTCACGGTGTTTTCTATTCTGGGGCCTTTGTTACTTGTTTTTGTTGTTGTTGGGATTGCCGGTGTGCAGTTGGGTGCGAATGCTCTGGCTACTATTGTTTTCAGGAGGGAGAGGTATGGTTTCTTCAAGAAGAGGTTGAGGCGAGGTTGAAGGATGTTCGGGGACGAATTTTGCTTTAACATGTATTTATGATTTCGGACAAGAGTCTCGTCTGATATTTGTGTTGTTTTAGCTAGAGTATGTTATTAGCGAACGTAGTAAGATGTGATTGGGATGATCTAAGAACGCAGTCCTACATAGAACCGATGCAGCCACTTTCCCCGCAGCTATTGCAAGTAGAACCAAGACCAAAACCTCAGTAGGATGAAACATGCATATACAACTAAAGCTATCAACAAGTACATAAAATCATAACATTAGAAGGAACGGAAGTACCAAGCCCTAGCCCAGCACAGACAGGATCCACAAGCAAGAAACCAGCAGAAGCCAGCCCGCCATATCATATACGCACTCATCACGCACTACGCGCCAACTCAATACAGAACTCCCCCCAGTCCTGACCGCCATTCAAAGACAAGATCTCCTCCGCAATAGCCTCTTCCAGCCGCTCGCCGTATCTCCGGCGATAGTTCGTCTTCACTAGGGCCAGATGTCTAGGTTCCCAGTGAAGCCGGACAAGCCGCGAGATCAGTAGCTCGGAGCGCTCGCGACCACTGCGCGATTCGCGCAGAGCCTGGTGGAGGAGCAGGGCGTCGCGCATGGGACGGTTGATTGCGCCGTTGATGATGTGGGCGAGGGTTTCACCCTGAATAGGAACTGTTAGAAGACGAAAACAAAAAAACGAAAAGAACAGAAAGAAATAAGAGGAAGAGAGGGAAACATACCACCAAGTTCTGCGACTTCTGAATCATAGACCGGGCGAAGTTGTTCCGGTAGTTATCCTCATACGCGCTCATCACCTCTCGCAAATGGTTATCAGACCGCAAAACTATAATCTCAATCATGGCAGTCTCGCCGCCCTCGCGCACAAGTGCGCGATGCAAATCCTGCACGTCCTGACGAACGAGTCTGGTATCCAGCGGCTCGCGATCATCCTGGCGATGGCCCTCCAGCGCGAGCAAGATGGCCATACGAAATTTATCGGCTCTCAGCTCAGCACGCATGCATTTCTCAAGACTATTGTCGTAGCGGGTATCGCGGAAGGAGTTTTTGATTTCATGGATTGCAGCGTTCGAGCGACCCATCAGGGACTCGATGAGGAGTTCGCGGCGGGATGTGCCCGCTTGGTAGTAGCAGTTTGCCCAGTAGGCTTCTGATTCCCAGCGGCCGAGGGCGGTGGCGTAGCAGACTTTGGCGAAGGAGGAGCTGCCGAGTTTGAGGCGGAGGTGTTTAGCGATATTTATGCCTTTTCCCTGCATGCGGACGCGGGACTTGTATTCCTGGCGGAGTAGGATCATTTCGTCGCTTGAGAGGCGGGGGAGGATTTGGATGAGAGTTTTGTTGTCTATGTTGCGGGTGTGGTTTAGGGCTGCTTGCATTGCTGCTGCGTCGGCGGCGGCATCGTAGAAGGAGACGCGTTTGCGGCCGCTTGTTGGGGAGATGACGACCATTGAGTCGGCTGCAATGGATGAGGATGAGTCGTGGCGGGTGTGCGTGTGGTTGTGAGCCGTCAGTCTGCGTTTGTCGTCGCGGTCGGAACCTCGCTCTTTATCTTTGCTGCTGCGGGGGCGGTCTTTTTCGTTCACGGAGGAGTGCGAGCGGTGCTTTCTGCGACGGCCGGATTCTGAGTTTGAGGAACCTCCATCGAGGGGTTCGAAGTCGGAAATGTCGTCGTCACGGATGGATGGGACCACAATCTGCGTTGGCATCGGCGAGATTGACTGGTATGTACCGTGGTATGGCTCGAGGAGCGGACTAGCCGGGGGTGTCCGGCATGGCTTGCACTAGCTCCGCCCACTGCCAGGGTGTTGGATGACGACACAGAGAGGCTGTGAGGGCGGGCTTCAGACCGACTTCCACCAGGCGCGATCTCCACAACCTGCGGCCCAAGGCTGTACATATACGGGTCCTTATGCTGCGGCTGAGGCGGGGGCTGGTGTTGAGGCTGCGATTGCGGTTGCTGCGACCTGGAGACATGGTCCGGCGCCGAAGTATACCTCACATTAGGGTCGACCTGTGCGTACTGAAATGTGCCAAGGTCGGCGTACACAGACGAAGTCGGCGGGTACTTGTTATCACTCGCCGAAGCGGTGGGATAATGCGACGGCGCATAGCCAGGACCAGAGCCATACGGAACCGACGGCGCACCGGTAGCCGAATAGTGCGGAGTCGGGAAGACAGGCGCAGACACCCCAGAACCAGTATACCCCGAAGCAGGTGGGAAAGCACCAGGCATAGAAGCGGTATCGGCGCGCGAAGAAGGCGGCACGAAACCCGGGCGCTCGCACTCAGGAACAGAAGCCCAGTCTATATCAGCACTGGGGTAAGGCTTCGGCCGCGCATGCTGGGCAGGCTTTTGGGTGGACTGCCCATACTTGAACATCCCCGGTCGCGCATAGCTAGGGTGAGCACCCGGCGCATCACCATACGCTAACTCGTCATCAATTGAGTCATCGGAGTCGTCCACGCGACTTCCACGATCCGGCGAGCGTCTGCGAGGCGGCCGCGTCGCAGCAGGAGCCGCAGGATACTCGCGGCGGGGGATGCGCTCGTCATCGGAATGGTCGTAGCGGTCGTCGCGGCGTTTGTATCTGTCGGCATGATCGCGACGCTTGTCCTCGTCTGAGCCGGGGCGGGTCACGTCGTAGCGAATGTCTCTGGGCTCTCTGGGCTCTCGGGAGATGACGCTGTGCGGCTCTGGTGCATCGCGGCGGTAGTCGTTGCGAGACTTGTATTGGCGGTCAAATTCAGCTTGTTCGTCTGGAGTGTAGCGTGGGGTTTCGACACGGGAGCGGGAGGGTGAGGGGGAGGGCACTCGGCTGTCGCGCGACCGGGAGCGTTCGCGGCTGCGACCAGGGGATTTGGAACGGGTGCGCGACCGTGGGTCGTTTACTTGGAGCGACATTGTTTGGGTTCAATTGTGGACCTCCGGTGTCTGTTTGTTTTGTTCGGATATAGAATCTGTCTGGAGTACAATGTAGGTACTATTTCTGTTTGGCCTGAGTCGCACAAAAAGCTTTTGTGCGTTGAATCCCTCGTCTAGGCCATTCACTGTTTGTCTCTAGAAAATAAAAAGAGAAGAGGAAAAAGGAATTAAAAAGGCGTTCTCGTATTCTATTTCAACACCAAAATATATAAGCTAGCACCTGCTTCTTCAGCGGCCCCCAAAAGGTATTCATGCCTTCTATTGGTTCAATGTACTGCTGAGCTGAAGATCGTCCTTCAGCCGCAGGCACTTGGAGCCAATGCGCGTGAGATTGCAACTTAAGCCGAACCAAGATACTTTTGGCGATTATTTACTTGTCTACAATGTAATGTGCTAGATTAAAAAGTGCAGAGACTACATTGTATGATCGAATTACTGTGCAGAAATTAAGAGACGCACTAGTACAAGTTCCGGGTCTCGAAACGTTTGGTCAAATGACAGCTGAAACAGAAGGTATGACATAAAAGAAGCCTAACAAGATGCGAGGCCGCGAAGAATGGGGGTATGAGCGGGAAGAGAAAACTGTGAAAGAACAAAGGCCGTTTACCGTGTGCGACGGCCATCACCAGGTCCCTTGCGACCACCATAGATCTGCTTCTGGGACGGAATTGGTTGTCCATTGCGATTGAGGCGGTTAGTTCTCCAGCGCTCATACCAGATCACGCGGCTGGCCTCCCGCAGCTCAGAGCGCCAGTCGGAGAAAACGGAGTCCTTCAAGCGTACAAAGTCACAATGCTCGGCATCATATGGGTCTGCGAAGCCCCAGGGGAACCGCCGACCGACTGGTTTGTCGCCAGCGGCGAGGGAATGCGGGTCGGGAGACAGGATCGAGAATGGAACGTGCTGGTTGGCGGCTTGGGAGGCGTTGGATCCGCGGGTGCCTTGGCTCAGCTGCGATGGCGATGCGGGGATGGTTGCCTCCGCGGTCTCGGTTTCTTTGGCTTCACCGGCCTCTGTGGTCTCGCTCGACTCCTTTTCGGGCGCTGAGATTTCGTCTTCATCCCCGCTTTCCGATGAGGTGTACTCCTCCTGGTCTTCCAAGGTCAGGATTTCGAGGGGGTCAATGTTGGCCTGCTTCAAACTGTTCCAAACCGCCTTGCGGAGATACTGCATATGGGCGGAAGTGATGGTATCCGCCTTGCTGATAACCGGCACCACGGTAGTCTTGCCCAGGACCGTGCGCAAGACCTGCAAATCCAGATTATCGTCCAGGATTCCAGTGATAGGAGAATCAGAAGCCTTGGATGCACCATTGGTGGCACGCTCGGCTGCGGCCATATTCTCATCGAGACGAACGGGGTCCAGCAGTAAGAAAGTGCAGTGGATATGGGTATCGCGGGCACCGGGAGAACGGATCACCTTCATCTCCTCGGCAAGCGTCTCCTCAAACTTGCTCTCCAAGAAGCCTGTCACGCCACGCAGTTGGAGATCTGCGATATTGCGCTCAAGACCCACCGAGTCCCAAAGGGTAAGTCCGACACGCTCTCCATCGAACTCGGTTTCCAAGTATTGCGCCGTGAATCCTTCCCAGGCGGAGGTTTGGCGCTCCAGCTCTTCGACCTCCTCGGGGGTGCGCGAGGGGTGCTTATGGGCGGGCATAGTCAGAGCACTGCGGAGAAAGTTAAGGAACGAGGTTTTGCCCGAGTTACGGGCGCCAATGACAAGCACACTACAGTCTATTAGCGATGTTTTTAAGAAGTAAACATTATCTCTCGCGACTTACTTGTAGGAGGTAGGATCCTTGCGACGGCGCACACGGCGCGGGCTGTTGACGGTGCTGTTAGCACTGCTGGCGTAGCTGTAACGACCACGATGGGTCATGCTCTCTGTGCGCGCATAAGGATCAATCACATTGGTAATTGAACCAGCCATGGTGGGCGTAGTGGCAAGACCAGATTGAGGGCGGGGGACGGGGTCGATCTTATCGCGTTCTTCGCCTCCAAAGGTTTCCAGTTGGGGAGCGGGGGAAAGATCAGGCAAGCGGGGAGGAACTTTAGGGGCGTAAGACTCGCGCTGACGACGCAGTTCATCCTCCATGGCTTGAGTCTTTGTCATCTTCTTGCGAGAACCAGAGGATTTGCGTTCTCCCAGGGGCTCGGTGGATTTAGAACGACGAAGGAATCCAAGAGAGGTGCGGCGGTCTATCGCATCAGGCAGGCGCGTAGTGGTTGGGTCCGCCATCTTCTTCGTTTTTTTTGGTTTGTCTGTTCTTTTTTTTTTGCTTACATTAGGTCACGCTTTTCTTAATTAAATGGAATCCCGTGTTTCATGTTGATTGCGTTTTAGTTCTGGAGCTCTACTCTGTCGATCTATTCAAATCGACATTGTATGGTATCCAAAACCCCATATATGCCAGGGTCAGGGGTATAGAAATCAGAACTTACCAATGAAATACGAGAAAAGGTATTATCGAGAAATCCAATTGTTACAATTGAATGTTCAGGTATTGGAGCAATTCGAAACCCGAGACAAAAGATCCAATACAATTCGATATTCGATTTCAAACGAATGTATTTGTAGCAAGTGAGTAAGCGAGGGTGGAAAGATATCAAAAATATCAAAAGCTCCCAACCAGTGGGTATTTTGTCGTGTTGAATTGAAATTGGGACTAAGAAACAAAGTTCCCTCTTTTTTTGTTTGGTTTTGATTTTTAGTGAAATTGCGAAATTGACCTGCTCACAGCGTCCAGCAACAGCGGCGCTTGGAGAAAGAAAGGAGAGAGGTGGAGGAAAGAAGAAATAGAGAGATTATGTTTTTTTTTAATTAACTGTACTACCAGGGGAAGTTCGGGGGTTTCGTATCCAAGCAATGGCGATCATAGAAAAAACAAAAGTCCCCCTCAAATTGTTCATATTTATTTATCTCTTTTGAGGAAATTCAGGGGTAAAAACAGTCAATTCCGGTCGAGAGCCCAGAGCCGGGCGTTGTCTCCACAAGGAGCTTGGTGCTGTCGGCTGTATGGATTATGAGCGCCGGTTCGTCCCACGCCAATGGGCAGCTAGGGCCAGACGGGAAGTGCCTTGGTCGATGAATGTTACTTGCCAGCTGAATCGGGAGAAAGAGATGTATCAAGAATGGATAGAGGAGAAAGTCAGTATTCAAGTCTGATATTATCGGAAACTTGACATGTTTGAACACATGGTTTGATGCACGTTGTTTTTCATCTCGTGGCCTCCTGGATCTGGTACGTGCATAGCGCCAGGGGCCGTTTTTTGAAGGTCTCCACTTGCTGTTTGAGTTAATCTGAGAGAGGTTTGTCTTTTTTCCGCAATCTTATTGGAGAAGACTCAAATATGAGACCACTGATGCTTGAATATCTTGGAGAAAGAGATATCAAAGCATGAAGAGACAAAGTAGAATATGGACAAGTACACACACGTATGTAGAGGTTATTGTGCTTTGAACCATGGATGGATGATGTTTGTTTGACCTGTTTGCATCCCGACTCAAAGTCCTTGTTCGTTTTGTTTGTCTTGTTTGAGTGCAACTTTACGAGTAGTACATGATCTCCAAGGCTAATTTCAATATTGTAACACCTGGAATAAGCTTAAGCATCCGCGACAGGCAAAACAGAGGTCAGCCATATCCCACAACCTTGGAAACACCCAATAGGATTACTCAAAGGATGAGCCGAGCACCGAGAGGCTACAAGGCAATTTTGCCAACCGAATGCACCTAACGCGTCTGATCACACTAGTGTAAGCTGTTTGATTACCATATCCAAAATAAGCCCCAATAGCCATGTCTGCCAAGTTCTGAAACATGATAAATTTAAGCGTGGGAGATCTCATAATGCGAAAGAAGCATATCATATCCCGGAGACGCGTGGGGCTAACCAAACGGTGAATGGGACGCGATGAACTATTGATTTCTCATGGGATTTGGGCTCTCTGATCTGCACCTGTCATTGTTCTCTCCAACATACAGTATTGGACTTGCTAGACACAATTTATCAAAACACTATACATTATTCTATCGATTATGTTCATTATCTCCTTAAGAAATTGTACAATCCCTGCTTCGCACGTGCCAGGACCGCAGTGGATACATTGTAGTGGGGCGGATTGCCTCTGCAGGAACTACCGGAAAGAGGAACAGTAAAGAAAAGCTAACGGGAAGAATTTGGCGAGACCTTGTTTGTATGGTCCCCGAACTGCTATAATAATAATAATTTTTCCGAGTTTATCTGATTCAATTTCAATCTAGATTAACGAAGTACATGGGATTCCAGGCCCATTATCAAACTCTCCGTATATACCTAGGTATTCTGTAGTCCCGAAAACAAACATATACATATCCCCATCTTTAATTACGCAGTCGAATTCCCAGACCAAATCCTAAACGGAAGCACAATGCACGGCTTAGACGGACACACCAACTTTCGTTCCAAGCCTTTGAACTTCGGACCATTAGGACCGCCAACATACTTCGCCTCACCGAAGATCTCCGGCTCACCAGGCGGCTGGTCGTCTCCCCATTTCCCATTGAAATTCAACCATGCCACTGGGTCTCCGGGATCAACAGCTTCAAACCCTGCTGTTTGGGAGTCGTACGTGTAGAAGTAAGCGTTGAGAGTGGGGTCCCATAGAACACCACGATCTGTGTAGTCCATCAAGAATCCTGCGGGAAGGTTCACACCCGGGATTGTGTGGTCGTGTTGGCTTGTGTCTGTCAGTCTTCATATTCAATATTTGAAGCTTGGATTAATTACCCTGATGTTGCATAGTTGGCGTGAGTGCCATTCCCGGAGAAAGAGTATGGCCGCTTGCCTTTCTTTTCGAGGGCGTGATATGTGAATGCCTGGCCACTGGCGTGTTGGCTGTACCAGACGGCTGTCGGTTGGCCCTTTGTGAAGCGAATCATGTTGTGTTCCCTGTGGAATTTAATTAAAAGGTCTTTACCAGATTTTCATGCACTAACCAGTCGCCAATGTGATCGCCAAACTCCATTCCGAATACCTTATCGCCCTTATTGTATCTGGGAATGGTCAGCGAGAATACAACGCCAGGATACCGCGGAGAACCCACGCATAGAAATAAAAGTAAAAGGCATCGACCGTCCCGTTTCCACGATCTGCGACAATAATCGCACATCCTCTGCCGTTTCCTATCCGCCCATCTTTGTCTGGAATTATTCCTCGGAGCCAGGTTGGTTGCGGCTTGGCATCGATACCGTTCGGAGAAGTGAGATAAACACTGGTATTGCCTAGATTGTTCAATGTGTCGAGATTGTTGAGGGTCAAGGGAGATTGAACGCCCTTAATCGATGTCCAGTTGACATATGGCACGGTGTGGTCGAGCTGTTGCTGGATATCGCTTGGCATGTATGTTTCCTGGCTATGGAGCCAGACTAGGGGTGCTGTTGGGTCGAGATTAAGATCCTGGGACCGGAAATATTGTTGCAGTGGAGCTTACCATAATCTAACACATATTGCGGGACACTTGGTGTAGCACTGTGAGTGATCGAACCATATACAGGTTGGATTGAAATTAGGGCAACGAGTGCCATTGACATAAGGTGGCACATATTGTGTGGTGAGGGTACTTGCGATCAAAGATATCTCGGCAGAACTCTTATAGTTCCTATGTAGAGATTTCTGTCTATTTACCGAGGCTTTAGCTAAATATGTACTGACAATCAGCATGACACTGTCACCGGGTCGAAGTCCAAAGAATTATTGCTAGAGATGCAGAGTATATACCAGGGCAAAGATCAGTTGAACAAAAGCAGCTCGAGCAATCAGAATCCACAATCATCGCATTTGTTTGAGAAGTCCTCGTAATTTGCTTGATACCACGGATGTCCAGTGATGAGTGGTCTCCTCGGCTGGGATCATGCCAGTATTCTGAGCAGCAGATCACAGTAGCGCCACTTGATATCTTAAAATTGGACAAAAAGGCGCGACCGACGATTTTATTTTGAGGTGGGTAGCAATTTTGTAGCAGGGTGAGATTTCTGTGCCTGTTTACCTGCTTTACCCTCCGGGGTGAGGTATGCAACCCGCGAGGAATGTGAACACTAGCTCGGGCCTACGGACACGCAAACACATGGACACCACAACATATTTGAGCTGTGGCTCGTCATCAGGAGGGTGCAGACTAAAAACCAACACTGCATGGCTGAAGATCAGCACTCTATATTGCTGTTTACCACTGAGTGACAAGGTCACCTGCCAGCAGAGCCCTCATGACGATGATTCATGTTGGGGAAATTGTTTACCTTGCCAGCAATTTTGCGATGGTATTTTTAGGGTCAAATGTATTTTCTTTGGTACTGCGATCAGAATGTCCATATCTTGCCATCCATGTTGTGTCAAGTCTCCGAGAGACGTTCGTTTTGGGCATTTATTCTAGGCGTCCAAAATGGGTCCATGCGCTGACCGAGCGAAAGAAGACCCTTGTATCTACTATCTATCTATAGCCGAAACGGGTTATGACATGCCATTTTCCTATTAAGCCAGCCACTATAGTGCCAATTACCTGGCTAGAAGGGCTTTTATCTCAAAATTCTCTGCTCTTTGCGGCGGAACCGGCGTTTTTTAGATCTATAGATCAAAGGACAGCGTAAAGTCAAAATACTTTCGTCTTCCGACCAGGACCTGCGCATCTCGCTAAAACAAACAGCAGACAAGCAAAAAAGTATATCACTCCACAAAAAATGATAAGGGCGGAGTAGTTCTCCTTACCTCCTGGCGGAACCTGGGCCCTCAAAAGCCCACCTCCAATTGGAATTGCCAAAAGTGTGCCTAAACTGACCAAAAAATATGTTGTCCCGTAGCGCTTTCCAAAATCCTCTGTTTTAGAGATTTGTGCCACACAGACGGGAGGCAAACTGATGGCAGATCCACTCCAGAACCCAAATAACACAGTATATGCCAATATTGCTGCCGAGTTCGATCGAGCAGGCAGCCAGAGAACAAGTGTAATCACACAACAAACAAACGTGCAGATTATCATCATATTGAATCGCCCCAAGCGATCCGCGAAGTAACCCGAGAAAGTCCTCCCAAAGATTGATGCTGCACTCAGTATTGATGCAAGCTGGTATGCAAGTGAGGTTTTCATTCCATGCGATTGGGCATAGGATGGTAAATAAGTCAACGGAATCAACAATGCAAAATCAACCAGAAGAACAGCAGCCGACAACAACGCAAATTGTCGTTCTCGCAGAGCGCCGATATCAATGGTGCCTTTTTTCATCGGATCTCGAGGTAGCCTGGTTCTCAAGAGAAGGGTGCCCACCCCACAAAACCCAGCGCTGATAAATCCAATGATTCGAATAGCCCATGCGAACCCCACGGTCCCAGTCAGGCTTGAGACTATGAGTGGAAAAATGATACCGCCAGCGCCACCGGCGGTTGCAGCTACTCCTGTGGCTAATGCGCGGCGTCGAAGGAACCAATGCGCTATACAGGCAACGCTAGGGGTGAAGACCATAGATGCAGAGATACCACCAAGAACACTGAATCCAAGCATGAAATGGTAGTACTCTAGACAAGGAAGAAGAAGGAAACATATTAGATCGATCAAGCTTGAAAGAAATAGCAGTCACATACCTTCAGCAACGCTGAATATCATCACCGAAGCCACAAGCCCTACACATCCTGGGACTAACACAGGTGCGATCCCGTGTGCATCAAATATAGGTCCTTTGAGTGTCAGTATCATCGAAAGCAAGAAAAAATCTGGGGCTGAGAAGCACTAGGAGACTCACCTATCTGCACACTTCCGAAGTATATGAAGAAGGCATACAAGCTGAAGATCCACCCGATAGAAAATGTCGAGAAATCTTTCAATTGATGCTCGGCCAAATACGTTTGAAACACGCCAATTGTATTTAGAAGTCCAAATGATGGAACCATCAGACACCAGGACCCCAGAACAACGCTCCATGCGCGCCAGCCTCCGTCTGGAAAAGATTGATCGTCGTTTTTCTCATTGTCAGTTGGTGTTGTGCCCTCGAGGCCACCAGTTTCTGCTGGGATTGGCTCAGAATCCCTACTTTTATCAACAGCCATGATTAAACTGTCGAGTCTATAGGAAACCTGTTGCGAAAATTGGAAAGTCGTTCGCACCCCCTGCAGTCCCCATCATCACACGCTAATCCCTTTTGGGAGGCCGATCGAACGATACATATGTAAGTTATGCAGATTATTGCAGCAGCTGTAGATTTATTGATTTATCGTCGTTCAGTTTCTCTTTTCTAGAATGTCTCATCAATGAGACCATATAATTATTCCAGTTTTGTGAAGCAATTTATACAGTATTTCGAACTAACCGATTTGGTCAGCGGGTGGCTCCTGCTAGCCCCACCTCCCGTCACACCGAAATGTCTTCGTTGACAACCAAATCACTTACACTAGTACTGCAACCAACCATGGCTCCCAACTTAGCCAAATCTACGCTCGAGTTTATTCATGGTATGATAAGCAGTGGTGAATTAACGACCGCCCAAATAGCTGAAGCTGCTGGCTGCAGCCAACGCGCGATCACTAGGATCCGCTCTAATATGCGGCTTTTCGGTAGCATCAAAGCTCCTTCCATCAAAGATGGACGGCCACGAAGCATCACGCCAATTGAGCCGAAAGCACTGTGTGACCGTCTACTTGAAAAGCCGGGTTTACACCTTTATGAAATGGAAAAATTCTTGCTGGATGTATTCGACGTATCCATACCCACGTCCACGACCAGCGATGCTTTGCATCGCAAAGGACGGTCAAAGAAGACAGCAAGGCAAAAGGCAAAAGAGCGAAACGCGGATTTCCGTGGTGATTACTGTCATTTAATCTCTGAGTTTTGCTCGTACCACTTGGTCTATGTGGATGAGTTAGGGTGTGATAAGCGGATAGGGTTCAGAAGAACAGGGTGGTCTCCTCTTGGCACGATTCCTGTCCAAGTATCGAATTTCATCGCGATCACCGGTATCAGATTCTTCCTGCGTATGTGTAGGATGGAGTAATACTCTCCCGTGTTTTCCAAGGCTCAACGGATGCCTTATTCTTTGAAGATTTTATTGAGGAACTTCTACAACACTGCGGAATTACTCCGAGCCAAAGTCAGTTCTCATCATGGATAACGCATTTTTTCATCGTTCCGGGAGGATGGAGCACATGTGCCGTGAGAGGGGGGTTAGGCTGGTATATCTACCACCGTGTTCGCCAGACAAGAGTTTTTTGCTGAACTGAAAGCGTTCATTCGGCGGCATTAGCAGTCTTACAATGAAAATCCCGGTCAAGGAGTTTATAACTTCCTTGAAAGGCGTGTTGGTAAGGTGGGAGCAAAGAAGCAAGGCGTAAGAGGGCACTTCTGGAACGCAGGTCTTGATATTGAAGAGCTATAGGATGTCATATGGCTAGACTGAAGAGATGTGTAGCCAACTAGACCGCGCCGAAAAGTTATGTCTATGTCTGGAGCCTAATTGCCGTAGAGCACGTCTTTCGACTTACTCTGTGTCCTCCTGAGGGGCGGGGCGGGTCAAGCGCTCCTCCTCGCTCTCATCCTGAGGGACACGGCGGGTCAAGCGCTCCTCCTCGCTCTCATCCTGAGGGACACGGCGGGTCAAGCGCTCCTCTTCCTCGCTCCCATCATCCTGAGGGACACGGCGGGTCAAGCGCTCCTCCTCGCTCTCCTCCTGAGGGACACGGCGGGTCAAGCGCTCCTCTTGCTCGCTCTCCTCCTGAGGGACACGGCGGGTCAAGCGCTCCTCTTGCTCGCTCTCATCCTGAGGGACACGGCGGGTCAAGCGCTCCTCCTCGCTCTCATCCTGAGGGACACGGCGGGTCAAGCGCTCCTCTTCCTCGCTCCCATCATCCTGAGGGACACGGCGGGTCAAGCGCTCCTCTTGCTCGCTCTCCTCCTGAGGGACACGGCGGGTCAAGCGCTCCTCTTCCTCGCTCCCATCATCCTGCGGGACACGGCGGGTCAAGCGCTCCTCCTCGTTTTCCTCCTGGGGGGAACGGCGGGTGATACCACGATGGTTTCCTTGAGAAGGATCAAGACGGCCTTCCTGGACGCTTTCGACTTTGCCAATCTCAGATGTGCCAAGGCCCTGCTCCAAAATGGCCAGTCAGTTATCGTGAAGCAAGTATTACATCTTGGAGAAGCGTACAGTGATTGGCCTCGCCAACGCCATGGAGGCGAGCACGACCATAGTGGTGACAGACAGTTTCATAGTGGGCAAATATCTTGGGTGGAGCTTTGAGTTCTCAAGCAAAGAAAAATCAGAGAATTGGGATGGTGTACGACAGTGTTAGTGTTGGGGTAGATGTGATATTTATGTATTCCCCCAAAAGAGGTGGAGCTAAGAAGCACCCTCTTTGCAGACAGCTGAGGGGCCCAGATATGACGCCAGAATTCTAAAGCAGTCATCGAGTTCGGCAGTATCATTGTGTACAAGTCGATCATGATCGACCTCTGCAGATCAAAATGCGAGAGGAATGCAAGGTGTGTAACAAGTTGCCTGCATATTTCAGCGGCACGTTCTAAGAAAGAACAACTGCTCCATCTAGAAAAAAGGAAATAGATCAGACCCTTATCTTGCAAGAGTGACATTAGGAGGTACTGCGCTACACAGTTTGGCCTATCCTAATTGGGTTAGCGTATATCTAGCGGGCAAGGGGTGTTGGGTCTCCCGTGCCTATGTAATACATTTCCGTGAAGGAATTCAATAAGATGATCCGCGTCGCGTTCAGCTTTGTTTTCGTGTTTTTAATCGTGCTCTGAGCGAGTACCGTATCCATCCAGAAGGGGTGTAATGGCGTTGCCCGTTGGATTGGGGTCTACCTCGAAGCACTTCGTAAGATCACATTGAGAGCGGTCATTGACAGATACCACCAACTTGGTATCGTCTGATTTCACCCGTCGATTACGGGCTACCTTTCGGCGTAAAACATCATCAGCCTTCTCTCTTAATTGTTCCCAGTAAGTACTAGGTGGCAAAGCTAGGTCTTGTTCCATGTCCTTTATCGCAACCCGGTTGTTCAAATTTACCCTCCACTCGATCTGGTAATGAGTACACGTTAGTGGTTGTCCATCAGGTGATCTACCCCTATCCCGTTTAACCACTGACGTAAATCCCAGTTGGTTAGACTGTTTCATGCAGGGGAGATGGACATTCATACACTATGTCCTCGGGGTCGGGCGAAGAGCAAATTACAGATGGCGTGCATCCATAGCCAAGATAACAGGGGGTGGGGGCATACAAAAGGGTCCGTTCCCACGAATATGGTATTCCAGGGTGGAGGATATCGTCATCGTCAAACACAGTCATTGTCATCCTCTCAAGGTAGATCATGCTACTGAGGAGCCTAGTTGTGGTATCATCGCATTTTAGCTTGAATAAAGGGGTGCTACGACGCGTAAAGGAGGAATGTGTGGCTGATAGGCTTAGTATAGTGGTTGTCAGGTTCATGAATGTTCAGTGAGCCAGCTAGGTACTATAGACCATAGTCCGTGCTGCCTGGTTCTAAGTAAGCGCCCTGATCCCCACTGGTCGCTGGAGTGGTACGAGAACAGTGACAGCTTGCCAGATCCGCCTGGTACATTTTCACTCTTTCGGTTTTCGGTTTGGGCAGTTTGCATTTCTATGGAACCTTCTACAGTAGCACCCCATACACTTACGAGACTGTGTAATGTAACTTATCCCTGTAAAATACTGTACTTGCAAATTGTGGGAATATCACTATTCCAGGTGATTACTAAATTTAGGCCAGTGGATCTTGGCATTAGGGTTAGAGAAACTATTAAAGAGTATAGGTGATGACACCGATTTCCGGAAGTACTGTATCAACATACGTATATACAGTTGTAGTGGGGGTATGGAGACACCCGAGGCAATTACACGACCAACAGCGTGATCAATCTTTCTGCCTCCATTCAACCTCGTTGTTTGAAAATACTCGTATCCAAGGGGATTCGATCTCCCAGCCAAGTGGCGCGTTGAGTATGGTTGCGCTCATCCTCCGACTCCACCGTATTGGGATGAAGCAGAGCACTCAACGGGCCACGATTGATAACCAGCCAGGGAATAAAGGCACCGAACTGTGCGGGTGTGAAGAGGTTCACCTCGAACATGGCCACAGGATGAGGGCCAATAGGTCGGTCCCAGAAACGGTAGATCCTCAGCTCGGGAACTGTCGCGAGTAAGCAATGTATCAAGACAAACGAAAGCCCGTAGAGATGACCAGCCGAGGTCCCTAGGTCGAGGGAAGTGTGCTTACATTCTCGTCTGATTCGTTCCCATAGCTCTTTGGCGTATGTGACTTGAGCGGGGTTGTTCTGATTGAGATATTAGGACATGCTGATTTTGGTGGGGGCAGTCGCGTGGCATACTTGGAAATAATAGATGTGGACGTCGAAGCCTCCGTCTCGGCCTTTCGAGAGAGGGTCGGGGAACTCTTCGTAGGCTTTGCTCAGAACTCCATGCTGGGGGTTCTTCAATGATTTGCCATCCTCGTTTTTCTCTCTGGAGAGGGTTAGTATGGCTTATATTGTGTGAGTTTTATGTAGGAACACTAACTCGGTCAATGGCTCCAAGTTCTCATATCCCTCTAGTGGGGATGGGTAAGTGTAGGCAGATGGGTCTGACATGTTGGCTATGAAGTTTGAAGGAAGTAGTCAAAACCGGAAATATATGCAATTATATATATATGCAATGTCGGAGGTGTATAGAGTTTTCCAGCGAAGGGAAATTGGAGCGAGTCTTATCAATCAGTCGAGGTGTCCACGGGTCTCATGCATACCTAGGTAGGATTCCTCAGCATTAGCCAATAGTTAACAATGGCGTCAATAAATGTCGTTGTATCATCATCACACCGGCGGAGTTCCGCACTATGACAAACCTGCGGAACGCCCCGGGGCTCCGAGTTGGAAATTTGAGATTCGAATGTCAAATCAAATATTACACAATTTAATATATTTCAACGTTGTCTATGTAGGTGCTTGGATGAAAAAAAAAATATCCTTGATAAAAATAGCAAAAATAGCGAGAAATAATGATTTTACTAGATATATATACGCACCGTGGTATCTTAGAAACAACCTTCGAACGCCAAATATCAGACCACTAGGACTACCAGGCAGCCCGAATATCAATGTGCCCATCATCATCCACAAATTTGCCGCGATCCCATTCGCGCCCCTCGCCTTTCTTCGACCATTGTACATTTTCTGGGTTACCTTCACCATCCAATCCAGTGAAAGCAGTATTGTTCTTCCATTGATCAATCGTTGCTTCATTGATTCCGGCTGCACGCAACCTCTCCTCACCTTTCTGTTTCCAGCGCGTGCGATCACGAAGTGACTCGAGCGCCATGTCCCAGTCATCGTCTTTCGTCATGAGCCCGGCGACATGACGACGAGAAGATTGCTGATCCATGGAGTGCAGATTGTCCTCCTCCAGGTGGACGTCGGTAGTCGGATCGTAGCCAGGCGCAAAGTGAGCATCTATGTTGCTCATGCTGGGTTTGTAGGCGCCTCGCCCGCGGGAGCGGAGAGGTGCCTCCTTCTGTCGGGGAGGAAGAGGCCCGACAATGTCTTCGAGGGGATCTGATTCATCGCCAGCCTCAGTCAAGAGTGTTGAAGGAGGCGACGCTTGGTGATGTCGGGAGGTAGTTCCAGGGCGAGGACGACGTGACGAATGGGATGATGGATCAACATGCTTCGATGACCGAGATTTGCGGATTTCTGGTGAATGAGAACGAGAGCGTGTATAGTGGTCAGATCGGCGGTCGTGTCGTCGATGGCGGTGACGGCCAGCACTGCGGTCCCTACTTCGGTCCCTACGCGGCGAACGGCTGCGGGACCTTGACTTCGAGTACGACCGGTCATGTCGCTGCCTGGTATGTTCCTTATCTCTTTCGCGCCGATCTTTTCTGGATGACTCGTGTTCACGGCGTTCACGTCTGTGCCCATCACGGTTTCTGTGTTTCTCTTCAACCCCGTCATGGCCCTCATCTCTTCTTCGATGGCGCCTTGATCGGTCTCGTTCAGCCGAAGGAGAACGACTTAGATGCCTTCTCCGATGCGAGCGATGGCTGTCCTCATGATCATCTCTTCGATGTTCCTTTGACGCTCGCGGCCCACTTCGATCACTAGATCGTCGGGATGTAAGGTTTGATGATGTTGAAGGCGAAGCACCTGAAGCCTGCGATTTCAATTGACGTATGCGCTCTCGAGCTTCTCTTTCCTCTTTGAGCTTGAGAGCCGTGTTATGGCTATCTGTCACTTTGATGAGGTTGCGTAAAAAGCGGGTGTTAGGTTTGGGGACATTGCTTGTCGGTCTGTAAGTGAATGCTTGTGAGCCTCGTGACAAGCAAACCGCAGAGTGTAAGGGCAGACAAACTTTGAAGGCATCAAAGCACTGAGGCCTTGAGATGAGTATTTTATGGAACTTTCCTTGGCCTCCTTGGCAAGGATCTGCGCAACATAGTCGTCGTCCATGATGCAATTAAGTCGCAGATTGCGGGGTTTCTCAGTGATTGAATAAGCGACCAAGGAGGGCAAGGCAAACAAATGAATAGTTATGGTATATCATAGAGCCATTGCATAAGAAGAACCAAGGCCCTGGGAGCAATTTCAGACGAAACAAGGACCGAAGGACAAAGAGGCGAAGACCAAAGCGCCCTACCAGAAAAGTTGACTCACCGCCTTGTGAGGTTATCGCGATAGTTCCCGCATCTCTTTGTTTTGAACTCGAGCTTCACTTAAATTGAGCAATTCTCGTCGCTTCGAAAACAGGGAATATAGTCTGCAAAGTTCAAGCAGCCTCAAAATGGCGAGTACATCAGATGAAGCTTTAGCAGCACTTCAGCAGCTGGAGCAGAATGGCGATTTGAAGAAGCGACTCGCGATCATTCGCATCAGCGAGCCAATTTCCACCGAGGTGCGAGGCTCATATTCGTCCCCCTCAAAAAGAACCTCAGATGTTTCTGTTTCAAACCTGGACAACCCGACTCCTGCCTCTCTGGAGGCAGACCTCGCGCATTATAAGGTCCGTAGTGCCAAAATACCCCGCCAGAGAATTATACACTCATGTTTTGCATAGGAACTATTCTCCAAGTTGCGATTCTCTTATCTGGAGCAAGTCACGAAAGAAAAGTTCCTGCGCTCGATTGTCGGCGACCCGCCCGTGATTGTCGGACACAATGAGAACATAGAATTGGAGGCACAAATGGCTGAGGTGAAAGCCGGGCTCAAAGCACGAAAGGAGGAAGCGCGGGTGATGATTGAAGAAATGGAGCAAATGGGCCGTGATTTGGCAAGCCGTGAGTGTCGGCTCGGTGCCTATGACACGTGCACATACTGACTGAGTCGTCTTATCTCAACAGGATACAAGAACGTCGAACTTCAAGCAACACAACTCTCCACATTGCCCGCCTCAATTGAGAATCTCGAGTCCACTATCGCCGGTCTTCGCGCTAAACAGGTCGCCAACATGGACCCTTCCGATCCTCACAATATTTCTTCGTCGCAAAACCTTCCCCTTCCGGCGACCTTGACACTGTTGACAGAACGTGAGGCGGAACTAGCAGCGCTGAATCGTCAGTTGGCTGCTGTGAAGAACACGCTGCCTCGGAAAACTCGAGAGGCGGAGGCAATGGAGAGGGAGCGCAGTGTACTCGAGCGACGTAGGTCGGAGGCCATTGCGCAAGCTCAAGAAGCACAACGAAAGAAACAACAGGGCGAAAGTGATGGGTTAGAGGAAATGGGTCGGTGGTACCGGGGCGCTGAGGAGATACTTAAAGAATTGGTGGGAACCGAGGTATGATAACATGCAGGCCAAGTTCAGGCTTGACTACGACGACACGAGGAATGAACGACTGGGTTTCTTCTAGGTGGGGACGAGAGAATTGGCGTTTTAGGATCTACTGTACATATATGGGTCCGGGGATATTACTAGTGCAGATTACGAGAGATTCAAAATGAATTTGAGATCATTAGATTCGGGTTCCAAATTGAAGCCTTTTAGCTGTTTTTGATTCATTGTATTGCATGATCGTACAACATGAGACGCTGTGATGCAGTCATTTTGAACCTCCGAAGGCTGGAGGTGCCCCAAGCGAAACCCGACCGTACTCCATTTTTTAGAAACGAGGAATAATTTATTCCTCATCCTCCTCCTCCTCGGCATCACCACCCTCGGCGGCGGCAGCGGCCTTCTTGCGGCGCACACGACCGGGACGGCCGCCACCGAAGGGAGAGGTGAGGGAGAAGTCAATGTGCTTCTGGGAGTCAAGACGGACCATGAACGAGGGAACGTTGACGATCTGCTTTCCGACGCGGATGTGACGCTGGCGAATGAGGACACGGGCGTGGTGGATGGACTTGGCGAGACCGAGCTTGTAGACACAGGTCTGGAGACGACGCTCAAGGAAATCCTCGACCTTGAGGGCAAGGACGTAATCGAGCTTCATGCGGGACTCATCGAGCACACCGATGCGGACGAGACGGCGAATGAGGGCATTTCCTTCGAACAGACGCTTGGGGTCCTTCTCGTCGAGAGTGAGGAGCTCACTGTGCGGAGAGAAAAATTAGCGCAATGTCCCTCAACTTTGCAGAGACCCGATAACTCGGTGCCTCGCAGATCCACATAGTTTTTCTGAACATACCGAGCAGCACGACGGATCTTGGAGAGGGTGAGCTGAACACGCCACACCTCACGCTTGTTGCGCAGACCGAACTCTCCGACAACCTTGAGTTCAGAGTCACTAGAAGAAATTGATTAGAGATATGAACACGACATGAACAGAAGCACGCTTCTGATCAGTGGCCGGAGAGTACTAACAGGCGAGCGGACTCGAAGGCTATGATAGAAGTTAGCTTCAAATCTCTAAGGACAAGAATTCATCAAAATTGACTTACGGCGACGAGGGACCTTGTAGGTCTTGGAGGAGACGCGACTGCAAAACGATTAGAATGCGGATATAGCATCAATTATCGATATAACTCACGGGGCCATGGCTGCGGGTTAGGTTGGGCGGAGGATGTCGTCGAAGAGAGAACACACAAAAGCAAGAAGGAAGAGGGTAAGTTGAGTCGCAAGTTCCAGTTAACGAAAATAGTGGGGCATTTCAAAAACTATTAACCAATCAAAAAATTATTACACAGGCTTGCTAGAGGGCTTCAACCCTAGATGACTCAGCACATCCACAACCCGGCAACACTTGGAAGATTATCCTCCAGCGTATTGAACGCCTTGTCGACAAATCAACCCCCAGCAACCAACACAACACCGCCGTCATGCCTCACTCGTACGGTCTGCGCGCCGGCACTCGGGTACGTTTATATCACCTTTGCGACATACGATTTTTTTGATATTGGGAGGGATCTTTGGATCGACACGAAACTTTTGGAGGATTTATCGGAATGGTTGCTAACGAGACGACAGTATGCCTTCAGCCGTGGCTTCAAGGAGAGCGGAATGATCCGTCTCTCTACTTACATGAAGACCTACCGGTACGATCAAATCCCTCGAATCTCGAACAAATTATAAGAATTGAACTCTGACGGAAATTTTCTATAGTGTTGGTGACATTGTCGACCTCAAGGTTAACGGTGCCGTCCAGAAGGGGTCAGTACATCTCCGAACACTCTATCCAGCGCATTCGCCCCGACCGTCAACCGCGATCATACAACATGGGCATTGCGAACTCCGAAGGAAAAATCAGAATTCTAACAGTTGAACAGTATGCCCCACAAGGTCTACCACGGTAAGACCGGTGTCGTCTACAACGTCACCAAGTCCTCCGTCGGTGTCATCCTCTACAAGAAGGTCGACAACCGCTACCTCGAGAAGCGCATCAGCGTCCGCATTGAGCACGTCCAGCACTCCCGCTCCCGCGAGGACTTCATCAAGCGTGTCAAGGAGAACGCCCTCAAGAAGCGTGAGGCCAAGGAGAAGGGTATCCACGTTCACCTGAAGCGCCAGGCCGTTGGTCCCCGTGAGGCCCACATGGTCAAGCAGGCTGGCAACAAGCCCGAGACCGTCGTTCCCATCGCCTACGACACCCACATTTAAAGGGATCGCTTTGGAATTGGAACGGTGTGTTCGGTTGTTAGGTGTTTACTGGGTTTTCACTCCATTTTTGCCTAAAGACTAAAATGGACTTTGATGAGACGAAGCGCAAAGGGTTTCGGATGCCCTGGCACATCTCTCGCCTGTGCATAGATTCCCCTGAATGAAACAAAATCAAAAAATTTCCGAGTTTATGTCTAAAATGTTTTTCTGGATCTGCAACTTGATCCAGATTTGCCCTTAGTCCTAGACTTGTAGTGATGTTCATTTTTGCTCTTGCGTTTGATCGGCAGCCATATAGATACTGATACCTTGATGATCCCGACATTCGATTACGATCTTAATATTCAATCCGCTGCTCTACCTACATTGTACAACATCGTACGTATGCCCATTCGTGCGCACTGGGCCTAGACTTCTCTACTTCCGCCAATTCCGAATGAAAGTATATGTATATGTTTCGTGCACCTGACAACTATATGTATAACTAGATATTCTTCAAGTCTGGGATTACCGGCTACATCACTACCTCACTAAAAGAACATCGAATATTAATTGCTTTGATTACTAGAGAATCTATTCAAACATGATCGCCTGTAAATCCAAAGAAAGTTGCCCCCTTAGAAATGTGGCCTCCCCCTGGGGAACGGAGCGGAGAACGAGCCCGCAAGAAAAAAATATTACTCCGGACAAGCCTTCAACTTCAACTACATTACTTCCAGTGTACACTATTTGACCACTACCATTCGAACTACTATGATTTAGTCGGACCCTACTTTTCATATTTTCATTCTAATCATCTTCGACAACCGTCAGCCTTCCTGACGGTCCCTACCTCCGTCCCCGATGACCTTGTCAACTACCCCAGCTCCCAGCTCTGCGCAGGCGCATATGGGAAGCGCATCATCACTCAATAAAGATTCAATCCCGCAATCACGAGAAATGGGCGATGTCATCCCAAACCGGACACCACCGGCTCGTGAAGAAAAGCCCGATGCAAAGCCATTCACACACTTTATTGCTGGAGGGTACGTCGCTCAGAAAGAACCCCCAATGCGTCATATAATAAAATCCGAACATAATTCATAATTGAAGGATATAGGTTAGGAGGCATGACTGCTGCAACTCTTACTTCGCCGCTCGATGTCTTGAAGACGCGCCTACAATCCGATTTCTATCAGGCACAACTCCAGGCCCTGCGCGCTGCCAAACCCGCGCCCAAACCGTCATCTATAACCTTGGTATCCTGGACCCGGACGGCGGGCATGCATTTCAGTGAAACCTTCCAGATCCTCCGCTCTATACACGTCCACGAAGGATGGCGTGCACTGTTCAAGGGACTGGGACCGAACCTGATAGGCGTGGTACCAGCACGCGCTATCAACTTCTACGTATATGGAAACGGAAAACGCATACTGAGCGAATACTTCAACTATCGGACTGCCGAGCAGACTCCTATGGGCATCCACCTCGCGGCAGCCGCGATTGCCGGCATCGCCACGGGCACCGCGACCAACCCGATCTGGCTGGTCAAAACACGGCTGCAACTGGATAAGTCCAATGCGGAACATGGGAAGAGTCGCCAGTATCGGAACAGTTTCGACTGTGTGAAACAGACTGTGCGCCATGAAGGCATCAAGGGTCTCTACCGTGGCCTATCCGCTTCCTACCTTGGTGTGACAGAATCCTCGCTGCAGTGGGTGATGTACGAGCAAATGAAAATGTACCTCGCCCGCCGTGATTCCCTGAAGAAATCAGATCCTGGATATGACTACACCTCGTGGGACTCTGCAGAGCTGTGGGGTGGTCGTATCAGTGCTGCTGGTTTGGCCAAGCTGATCGCTGCTGCGATCACTTACCCCCATGAGGTCGTGCGGACACGGTTACGTCAGGCACCGACCGTCTCAGTGGGAAATGGCAAGGTTGAAATGAAGTACACTGGCTTGGCTCAGTGCTTCAAGACCGTTTGGAAAGAGGAGGGTATGGTGGCCATGTACGGTGGCTTGACACCGCACTTGCTTCGTGTCGTGCCCTCCGCTGCGATTATGTTCGGAATGTAAGTTGCCTCAATGTTCCTTCAGCTGAAGACATGATATACTGATTATTTACAAGGTACGAGGTCATTTTGCGAATGTTTGGCACGACATCATAACATGCCTTCGACCTTCATCAATCACCTAGTCACACGACTCTCAACTCTTGCCCCTGTACAACATTTAGTTTATTTCGCGCCTTTCTCTCCGCTCTCCGCCTCTCAGGGTGACTTGGGAGAATTTTTCTTTTGGGTGTTTCCTTTACTCTGCATATACAGGGAAACAGCCACCTGTACGGAGTATGTCTAGGGCGCACACGATTTGAGTTCACATTTGATTTCTAGACAGACGTCTCTACTCCTACATGGCTCCACTTTGACAGAAGACGGATATCCCTCTGGTAGTTGATCATCCGTCTCCTTCACTGTTGTTTTCGCTACTCTGCCACTCATGTACTATATAATTTCTTTGCCTTCAAGGCGTGGCAGAGCAAAAAAGAAAGGAGCAGGTAGATTTATTACTTACATGACATAGAGCTACCAATGCAAGACTTTACTTGGTTTATTAAGCCCATTACATGATCCCCCGCAATAGTCGAATTGCGGTCAATGCTTATGTCCCTGCACTGCCTATCCAGAGGGTCCTCATTTCATTGTTATACGTAGACATTCACATTCCATAAAGACCTGGCATCGGCACATAGACCAAATCAGGTATCTTTCTACGACTGACCCCTGCTAGGCACCTGTGCGGACAGTTCTATACCCACGCACCGACCATGACCTGTTTGTTTCCCTGTTTTCATTATTCTACCCCCTAAAAAAACCCCAAACCATCGCTATGAATGTGCAAGCGAACTAGCTAGTCCGAAGACTCCTTGAGACCACCAGCCAATACTTGACAGCAGTGGATAGACTTCTCGTATTACTGTCAGACCCCTGCTTTCAGCAGTGATTGGATTGCCACTAGCCAATTCCGAGCGGTGGACTATCTCTTGTATCCGTTTAGTTCGGTGCCTTGCTCTAGCTTGGCCGATTTATGTCCTTGAACTTGCGGTAAGCACTCTGCGCCCGGTATCTCGGACATGAACGCCCTGTGGCATTCATGTACTTGACTGCTGATCGCTAAATGGATGCTCTGACTGGACTGGTGATTAATTTATATTTTTGGGGGTCTTTAATTCCCTACAGGAGCGCCTTTGGTCAGGATGTATGGAAATGGGGATCTGTGCCCGGTTGTCGTAATCTCACTGCGCACCTAAAGCAGAAAGGTTCTAGAAGGGAGTTTGGACACAGAATCTGACGGAGAATTGATTCAAGATATCCACACAAACCACCCCCTTTGTGTTTCAGACTCTGTTCGCATGACTGCCAGGTGGATAGAATGAGGTTCCTCTTGCAGGTCGATCAGTCTAGATCGTCATTGTTGCTTGTCCCGGCTTCGTGGCTTAGAGTCTTTCACTATATCGTGCATATTTGTCTGAATTTCTGAATTAAATTGACACGGGTCCTTTTACACGGGGACAAGACACCTGACACTTGAGAACGAGTGGTTTAGTAATCACAATGATATGCTGTTGAAGTCGAAAAGAGGCCTGCGCCACCTAGGGTCCATTGATGTGACTTGTCGAATCTGAGGCCACGCGGAAAAAGCAAAGAATGTCCCTCCATTTTTCTTCCCCTACTTTGCTGCCCGGGTAAATCCTCCGCCCGCTATTTGAAGAATGAGTCGCACGATCTGCAACGTAGAATTCAATCAAATTATTGAATTAACATTATGGCTTTAGGATCCACTGTGGCTAGTAACCCTAGTATTATTTGACTTCTTACGGTAAGAGTGTAAGTGATGTATGCAAGGTAATTCCTTGTGCTCCAGGGGAGATCCCAACTCTGCCACGAAATAATCCCTACTCTAAGATGTCCCTACTCTAAGATGACCTCGTTGCTGGGAGATGACGGTACTAGTGAACCACCCGGGTTACAATTTCAAGATTGCTAATTAATTCTTGCGGTGTAAGTCCAAGAGTGCGAATTCTTCATTTTAATTTGTTATTTTTCTTATTTTATGAAACAGGCGCGGATGTCTAGAGGCTTGGAATATACTTTTTGGTCATAGGCTGCATAAGAGGGTGTGATGAAATTGATGCGATGTGTATACCCCTTCACCGCATCTTCTTCAGAATCTTTGAGGCATCTGTGCGGTGCCATGTGATGGGATTCAGAGTGTGATTGCGAGCGGTGAAGACGAGGAGAATTTGAAATGTGGATTTTGAGCAGCTATCTGGGCCAGCTCAGCTGCCATTGTCCTCAGCATACGGAGTACTGAAACCCATACTATGTTATACTGCAAAAAAGCTTCCCGAGTCATGGGAATCTAGACCCGGGTAGCGCTGGTGAGCACAGCCACAGTTCATGGATCTCTAGAGCTTGGTAGTTAATAACTATGACGATACTCAGCGTAGAAGGGGCTGGTGCGTAGGGTCCACTTGGTCCAGGGTGGGAAATAGCACATAAAACAAAATCATCCATTTGTTTCATCGTCTCGTCAGCTTTTGCCTCGTCAGGTAAGTTGAATTCCATTACTCGATAGGGCATCCACTTCCAATCGGGCGCATAATTCCCCTAATGTTTCGCGTCTGACAGGTGTTCAGTCTGCACTTAAGTGGGGAGACATCGTAAACCGCAGCGTGATGGGGAATGATCGGCAGGGGCAATACTACTGGTCTTATACAGTAGAAGTACGTTTTCATCGTCAACTATGATCTACAATTGAGGATCTGTTTATCTGTATTGACAGAGCCACAGCGGGGCCACTACACAGATGACCGTTGCCCGATGTACTTCCCGAGGTCCCCATAATCTTCTATCGCTCCAAAAAAAACAAGAGAAGAAGCCTTGCAAGGCGAAACAACCCTACTCTAGCGCCTTTGGTCAGCAGTATATTTGGAGGTTTTATTTTTTCTCAAATATTGCTTCGACTAAACATAATAAATTCATACCTGGGTCTGGCACCTGGCGATTCCATTGTAGATCATCCTCCATGGTTTTTCACCCAGCATCGTCACCGCCATGCTTTGCCTCACTTGCCAGACCCTAATCCTAAACCCGGGCTTCTCTTCGTAGGCAACAAGATGTTCATGACCTACAATAGATTTGACTTATATTCATACTCTATCCTCTCCCCAGATGCCATTCTTCCCACACATTCCAGAATCATAACGTCTATCATTTTCTCAAGTGACTACTACTCACACTTCTGATACGGTCTCTTTACATTGCCATCGAGTAGCCTCCCTGGCTACCAGCCCAATCAATTCACTCCCCTCAAGGCCGTGCACACCGCTGCTTCGACGCCAATTAATTTGGAAAGTGCCAAAATGAGCAGCAAAAAGTAAGCCGGCTGGTCAATACCTACCGTCAATACCCGATTCCCGCATCCCCAGATAACACCCCAATTTTCAATTTTCAATTTTCAATTTCCAATCAAGTTATCATTGACGTTATTCAATCAACAATACAATTTTTCATCTTGCCGTCTTATCTGCTAACCTTAAATCCTTCTCTTTCTTCAGATCCTCGTCGTCTGTCAACCTCGGGGTCAAAACCCCCAGCAGCACCGGAAAAAGCACTAGTTTCGGCCACAAAAATGCGGCTCCAAATTCGTCGATGAGCACCAGCTCCAAGCCGAGTAAGGGAAGCTCCTATATGCTTGAGGCATGGAGGAACTCAGACAAGTCCTCGGACCCGTGGACCTCGGCCAAAGTCACTTATCGCTGATGCCCCTCTTATTGGTGTTGGTGACAATTCGGTTGTGACATGGGGCGTTGTACAAGGCCTCTGGGGGAGTTTGATGGCAACCGAGATCGGAGCTTGATTTCACCATTGGGTTTGGCGAAGAATGATTACCGGATTTTTATGTAGGGCACACTGTATTAAACGGTTAGGGATGGGTGGGGCCGGCTGCGCTAATCGATTTCCCCGTCTTGTTTTTTTATCTTTTGCTTTTGTTTTTCTTTTCATTTTGTATACATGTTAGGAAGGTTTGCGGGTATTACAAGGCATAGAACAATAAGATTTGGACTCGCGTTATCTTCGTTGGGCTCCTAGTAAACAAGGACCCTCGCGCAATACAATATACTGTATCCTTCCTTTCAAATTGTTGCACCGGGTCAATAGTACAAATGTAAAAATTCTAATTGAAAGTGTTGTAGTGTTGTCAATCTTACAGTACCCTAATCCTTATTTGGCTAAAACGTAAATAATTCTGTCCCAACATAATACGACAACGCAGAGTTTCCATGGGGCAAAAGTTCGAACCATGGCACATTATCGGCAGAGCCGCTACTCCGTACAACTGACCCGCCCGCTTAAACTAAACCTTCGAATCCACTTTGTTGGCATCACGGTTATGATGTTTATCTCTCCTTTTTTTCTTTCCTGATTTGCTGATCTCATTTCATTTCATTTTATAGTTCGTCAGCATATTTGCCTTATATTTATACCTTTTTTTTTCAAAACATATAAACCCCAAAAATTTATTTCTCATTTTCTTGATCCGGTTCTACGCTTGGATCCATATCAGAAGACCAACACATCCGGTTCCCTAAATCTAACCCACCTCTACGTGTCCATAACATGACAAGCCTTGGCCCTGGGAATAAACAGTGGAAGAGAGCAATCAATTCTCGGTGAGAGAATCAAGCACAAACCCTTGGTGGCGAGTATCACCAGCAGTCAACCGAGATCATGGGATCCCTAGGCAATAAGACGAAAGTACACTCGACTCTGGATGTCCGCCACGACCTACATAGGAAGAGATAATTGGCTTAGGAATCAGGGTACTTTGGGCTTTGTTTGCGATTAAAAGGCCCGAGTTTACAAAGCCTGTGTGTTTATCATCCCTGTAACACTCCCTGGTAGCGCCAATTAGTTGTCAATCACCAGCCTATGTGCCTGTCAGTTTTCTTCCAATCTCGGGTTCCAAGGCTAGTTCAAGGGTGGTGTCGGAGTCACCCACCCAGTACTTGCGATATTGCAGCTCTCTACTCTTTTAGTTCTTTCGGCAAGGACCTAAAGACCGTCGGTATTGACTCGATGCGGAAATTCCGCAATAATACGGCGGCTCTGTTCCCGGAAGGGCGGTTCCTAGCGGCTCTTCTGGTATTGCTCTAGGCCGTGCGCTGTTGCATGGGATTGCGTTCTTCGGACTCGGCAGGGACCACGTATGGTTTCTGTCAAAATTAATCTCCTGCGGATTATCATAAACTTGGTGGATCACTTTCTCCTGACCAAACAAATATTTCTGAAAATCATAACCGTATAATTAGAGACCTCTGCTTCAACATTCAGGTACGCAATAGCGCTCAGGGTTCTTTTTAGCCCGTGTTTGATTTACTATGTAGTGCCTTGATATTCTTATTTGGTCTGGCGCAGAAATAAAATACCTTAATTACTATTACGGACCCTGGTACTCCGTAGTTTGGTTGGCTGGATTGGGGTACATAGGGAATGAAAGTGTGAAAATGAACCACCATACAAATCTATATATTATCACGTTCAGGCTGAATAGAACCCTGAGTGCTACATATACCCCTGCGTACTTGTAGTGTAAACCTTTTTCACTTAGGCAGGAGATGACTGTGAGCGAGACGCGAGACCGAGCGGGGTCTTTAACACTCTGGGGTTTTGTGTCAGACCCAAACGCCCACCATTGCTGGCCAGAAAGAAGTTGATTATTTCTTTCTGAAACACACTTTAGCTCATAGTTTAGTTATCACTTGCATTTACGAGTCTCGGGGTTAACAACTAGCGTCATTTTTGTTATTCGGCGCGCCCCTCCACTACGGTTCCTTGGCCATATTGAAAAAGTGGGCACGTCGGTATTGTTCAACAAATGAACGCCCAATCGATCCCAGCTTCCTACGAATTAAATCATCCAGTGATCTACACTCATCGAACCTACACGTGATTGAGGCTGCAAAGATGTAATGACTGTATTAATTGTAATGACGAGGTTTCGAAAGTGACACTGCCTCGTTTCCCCGCAACTATTCCAAGTATCAAATCCGCAACCGTTACCTGTCTCTCGGCCTGATGCTATATGGAAGCGAATGTTTGTTTGTTTTATAGCTTCAGCGAGTGAGAAATAAGTTCCCAGAAGATAGGGTTTCGTGACTCTCAATCTCATCGAATGCCCCAATAATGCAGTATGAAAACTATCCTTGGTTATCTTGAGGATTTATTGCCACGTTCCTACCTCGCCTGAAGCAACTAATTCGCTTCTCTTCTATTTGCTCTGTGCTGTAAAGTGAAAACAAGTCTTGTCGTGTTTTACTAGTTTCTTTTTTTTCCAAGAACTGCACTTCAAATGCATAAACTGTGCCGCATCGGAGGCTTTTCCTACCTGAGTGATTTATTTAATATTTTTTGGATTTCTATTTTATTTTCTTTTAACTCTTAAGGATGGATTTCCGTTTACTAAGGAATAAGTTGGTCGCCCGGGTTTTGAGGCTTAGACGCTAATGACCAACGACCTTTTTGCACCATAAAAAGCCCGGCTTTTCCTCTGGTCAATGATATTTCTGTTTATGCGACTGGCTCTCTTTGGTCTATCATTGATTGCTTGACAAGTCTATGGCTATGGGCTCCATTTGCGACTTTGAAGAAGTCGATCGAATGGCAAAGTCCCATCGGACTATGACGCAGTCGTCTTACAGAGCATTCCCCATGCCTCCCGGCTCCTTCACCTCCTCCGAGGGCCCTTTCGGTGGCCAAGATGTCCATGTAGGTGATGATTTGTAGATCAAAGATTCGAGGTACCGGGCTAACTACTCATAGCGTTATTTACATGATTATCCTGGCTCTTATTCCTCCGCCGATGCGACAAGTTTAACGAGCTGGGACCATGTCACCCAACAAGACTCGGGATTGTTAGACCCAGAGCCTGTTCAATCTACCGTCCCTATTGGACGGGACGATAGCTGTTTGCACGACATCGAACTGAGATTTGAATTCCAGGACGACGATATTCCCCAAAACCTGGATCTGCATCTTGGAGGGGAGAACGATACTACCCAGCCTCTACCAAATTTCGCTGGTCACCAGCCAAGCGTTGATCGCACCTTGCTGGGAATAACAAACTCGACACCTTTATCTTTGCAGCCGTCGTATCATGACCACATGAACCAAGTATGGGATATATTTATAAGTCTCATGTCTAACCAACCATGTAACTATAACGAAGTTACTAAGGGGGTGGAGAGCCTCGAAGCTCTTAAGACATATTTCAATTCGAAAAGAGGGCAACCGGCGATTTCATCGAATGTGTCCGAGGAGAGAGAGAGAGACAGAGACAGAGACAGAGAGACATACCAGTGCTTGCTATGTGATATTCAGAAGAAGAAAAAAGTAGTCATCCATTCTTTCGGGTCACTCAAGAGACACTTGGGTACAATGCATGAGATTTATGACTCTCAGTTCTGTTGTTCGGTTCTGAGTTGCTCCAAAACATTTTACCGACGAGATAGAATGCGTGAGCACATGACTTTCGCACACAAGCAGGTGGATCTCAAAGCTGCCGATGTGGAGGCTACTCGAGTGAAAGTTCCTTCTCCGGTTTTCTGTCCGCTTTGCCCTGAGAATATCGAATCCTGGGACTTATTATTTAAGCACCTCAAGCGTCACTGCCTGGTGGGTTCTGGGTCTGTTGGTGGCTCTGACGAAGGCGATCGACCCCGTCGCGGTGTTAACGATAACGGTGATGGTAATGATGGAAACGCGAATGGCCCTTCCTCTGGCAGACCGAACAATGCCTGGGGAGCACCTAGTCATCACCAGGGAGAAATTACTCCCATCGAGGAATTTTCAATGGACGACTTGTTCAACCCCCCCTTTGATCCCAGTTTCCATTTTGCCGGGGGTCTAAACCGGCAGCCCAGTCATGCGCCGCCCCCACATAATCCAGGATTGTCACAACTCGATCAGTTGAAGCGCAAGCGTCAGAACAAGGAAAAAAGCCAAGTGACCAGCAACCTTCTACTTCAAGGAAATGCAAGCGGTGCAACCATGATTTGGGCAAATGTGGACACTGCAGCCACTTCACGGAGTCTGTTCGTGCCTGCCACAGGTGTACTGACCAGCCCGGTGTTGCTATTCAAGAAAGCTCTTCTTCCGGAATGCCAATACAGACTCGGCAAGATCCATCATCATCCACTCTAGTTACACTGGATCCGTCTTACCTTGGCCCGAGTGCACAGGGAGGAGATTTCGAGTTGTTCCAACCTATGCCAACCCAACAGCTTTATTATCCTGATGGGGCTATGCAATACACCGGGCTTCAAACACAGCGACGTTCATTTGATAGTGCGACAGACACGTTCATTGACGAGCTCTCCCCGGCACATTCATTCGTCAACGTTGCAATAGTCGTCGAAGACCACAGGCCTCTCTATGATATCCAAAACAAGGCCCAGCAGTCACCCGTCTTTAACTGCGACCTGAAGTTGCTCAGCAAGATTGGTTTGGGTCCAATTATCGAGCCGTTCTCCCCCAAAAGACAAATCGAGCAATCGAAGAAACGAGCTTCACTTGCTCTTGCTCCTGGGACGAACATAGACTTTGTTTTAAGAGACGCTCCACCTTCATCCACGCCCCGAATCCCTAGTCCTGTGTCTCAATGCAAATGTTCTTGCGTTACAATGCCTGTCGTAAGGTATAACGCCCAGGCACGCGCCCGGCTCTCACCCCTCGAGCTCGTCGAGATGACATTCAAGATGTCTCCGATAACTCGCGAGTCCGGCCATCCCCTCCGCACTCGAGTGCAGGTAGTTGTCAAGCTTCTCAGGCTCCGCTCATCTGTATCCACATCACGCAAAAAGAAGACGCAGAGGAATCTGTACATCACATCCGAACCCAATTCAGAAGCTGACGCGGAGCCTGATACCGACTCCGACCATGACCCTTCTACATCACCCTCCGGTGATGAACTTGCTCAAGTCATATCATGGACCGAGGTTGTTGAAGATTGGTCCTTTGAGTTTGATCTCAAGGGAGCTTTGTTAAAGCTGGCCCGGTGGACAAGCAACGAAAATGCCGATACGTGCTCAAAACTATTCCTTTCCGACCCTGGCTACATACTAGACTTGATCTCGATGTATATCATGTACAGGTTCAAATTATGTTGGATGCTGGGTCGCACTGGGCTCAATCTGTTTATGAGTATCTAATGCCACCTTGTGTTACGATCTTATGTACCCCTATGGCCTTAAACCGAATTTCTTTCACATGCTGTTCTTTCTATTTTCCGATAAAGATGTTTCCACGCATGGTCCCATGCATGTACAAGTCTGTATAATGCGCAATTGGGCATCTGGCCTTTGAGACATTATATTTGTTTATTTGCGTACGGGAGGCCTGCTGTTTACATTGCTTTTTACGAATCACAAGAATGAACGCAAGATGACAATACGAGTTATGCACTTATTGCTCTGATTATCTCATCCTTGGATTTGAACTCCTCTCAAAAGTCTAGGCATTTATTGTGCATCACAGCCATGAAAAGGATCTAATAGGAGTAGGCTGCGCCTGCTTCTATGAGACTTCACAATGTACATTTGATTTTGGAGCAATATTCCATCTAAGCACGATTTCACATTGTAAGCACGTTATGTTTACAACGTTCTCTGGCATACACACCACATTCCGAGATCATTGCATATCTACATCGCTATTATCGCACCTCCTATAGCTCAGCTTAGATATTATCAATAATGACGGCTATGTGACGGCTAAGTGACGCGTAACTGACGTGAGATAGCGAGACAGTAAATCTATAGAATACATGACTATATGGCTCTGTCGGTCGTTCACAGTGCTCCAAATATCCTGTGACGTGATTAGTTACCCTATGGCCATATATCGCCATATAAAAGTTATGAACACAGAAATAAAAAGCAAAGAACTCCATAATTGCATTGCATCCTAGTACACCGCACGAATAAGGGGAGGAAAAAGCTCAAAAAAGAAACCTAAACCAGATCGAACCTTGTGACTGACCCCCCTAGTGCCAAAGAAAGCAACCATAAAAACCAGCAAAAAAAAGACCCTCATAACTTCCCTGTTCTTTGTATGACGAAAAAAAAGAATCGAGTCCAGACTTTGAAATGCGCAGGCCAATCCCTATGTTTGCAATTGCCAAAAACGGCTAAGTGACGGCTAATTGAAGATTCGATAGAACCCGAGGACGGGCCTATCTAGTCCTGGCGACTGCGCTTGGCTCCATGGGGGTTCCAGGAACCCTCACCGGAGCCGGAGCCACCCCCCTGATTGGGGTTGTGGAAACCCCCTTGACCCTGGTTCTGGCCGGGGTTGAAGGGCTGGGCTGGGCCACCTTGGAAGGGAGGTTGTCCTGAAGACGATGTTAGAAGCGACAAGCAAGCTATTTATATCGATAGCACTTACCCTGCATCATGTTTCCGCCCATGTTCGCTCCCATTGCTCCCATTGCTCCCATGCCACCCATCATCGGGTTCATTCCGGCCATTGGGTTCATAGCAGCCATCGGGTTCATTCCACCCATCGGGTTCATGCCAGGGTTCATACCGGGCATACCCATCATGTTTCCGCCACGGCCACCGCGCATAGCAGCAGCACCGCGCATGCCACCGCCCATCATGTTTCCGCCACGGTTGTTGTTAAATCCGTAGTTAGGCATGCCGCCCATTTGACCTTGGAAATTGTTTGGGGCACCACCACCCGGGAATCCACCCATCTGGTTAAAGCCGCCGCGGTTGTAGTTCATGTTACCACCCATGCCACGGTTGTTGTAGCCGCCTCGGCCACCGCGGAATCCACCGCCGCCGTGGTTGTTCATGTTGTAGCCACCGCCGCCACCGCCGCCATATCCGCCACCACCGCCGCCGGGGCCATGGCCGCCGCGACCGCCATCGCGGCGCATTGGGGCATCCTTTGGCAGAGTCTTGAATGGGTTGGGCTGAGGGCTAGTGTAAACTGCGATATGCTTGCGACCGGGCACATTGTTGGCTTCAATGCAGTTCTTGGTAGCAGTTGATGCCTGAGGGGTAGTAAATTCGACGAAGGCTTGACTATTCGATTTCAGAATATTAGTAACGAATCGATATCGAATTTGTCAACACGAAAGACGGAGCGTCCTTACCCTTTGCTCTTGCCATTGACCTTGTGCTCGCTGAAGGTCACTTCCTTGAGTTGCGGTTCGACTCCGGCCTGGTTTGTCCATGCACGGATATCATCCTCAGTTTCCCACCAGGCAAGCTCCGAAACTAGCAATGCAGTGGTCGCATCCGGGTCGGCCTGCTCGTCGATTCCCTTGCGCTTAGTGCCTTGGGTGGCTGGTCCGGTAGGAAGAGGATTGGACTGAGCTTGCTGCTGGGAAGCGTTGGCCTGGGCAGGCTGAGGCTGAGAGGGAGCCGCGCTTTCCTGCTGAGTAGGGGTGGGGTTTGCCGAAGCATTGTTGGATGCGGGCAAGTTCTCAGGAGCGTCTAGAACAAGCTCCGAGTCTTCCTGCGCACCAGGCTCATTGGCACTGTAAGTGCCCTCACCATAGATGTCAATATCGAAATTATCGTCCTCGGTAGCCATTGCGTACTAAATTAGTATTCAATGCAACGGATTGGAGCCAGAAAGTATTCGATTTGCCTGAGTATCTGATGTTCGATAGTACAGGCCCTAGATCTTCTCTCTTGGTTCCTCTCCGCTTCTGAGCAAGTCAAGGAAAGCGCACGTCTACAAACACATGTCACCAATTAGCATTGAGAAAAAGAAACATCATAAATCACCACGGATGAAGGGCAAGTGGAGGGGGTAGCGCGATTCTCGAAGTAACTCCATACAGTCCGCTTGACTTGATCCTCAACAGAAAAGCGGACGGAGACGAATTGGCCAAGACCCCCGAAGGAGCACAGGAGGAAGAACAAACATGAAGAGCAAAGCGAGGCCTGATAATACGTACAAATCCGAAGCGGATAACGCGCTTCCGGTGGAAACAAGACTTGCGCCAGCTGGAGACGCACCGCAAACTGAAGAGATAGCTTCTGTGAAATAGCGGATACAGAACAGGGGGTATGGGAAAGAAGAAATCGCCAACTAGCAGCGAGAGACACAGATGGGAAGAAGAGATGAGATAAAAGCGAAAGGAAACAAAAGGGAATGGAACATCAATAAGCTCCCGGGAAAATGCACACGTGTAGTTGCCCTTTTCAACCGGCGTAACGTTGGGATCGTAACGGTATTAAAAAGCGCGTGAGAGACCTTTCTTCAATGGCAACGGCGCGTAGTAGAAACAGCCGGAAGCTTGCCCAGGAGGAGTCTCGACGATGCGATGTCAGCGCGGAACCCAACGGAATATCAATAATTCCGACACCCCAGAAGGCCATTTGGCCCGACCGATCGGGGAAACCACCTGTTCTTCTTGTCCCCTGTGTTGTCTCGAGACTTTCTCCTTTTTTCGACAATTTTCGCCAATTTTCGTCACGGACTTTTATTCACTGCAAACATGTCTGAGACCTTCCAAGAGCTTGCTGATATCCCCAAGGACTTTGTCCGTGAGGGCACTCAATTCGTCCGCCGCTGCACTAAGCGTATGTCGATCGGCATCCATCTCATGAAGTTCTCACATACTGACCATTCGTGACAGCCGATAAGCGCGAGTTTATCAAGATTAGCCAGGCTGTTGGTATGGGATTCCTGGTTATGGTATGTGTCTTGACGGCGATTTTAGGATCGAATATGGAGCCGGTATAACTGACATCCCAACTAGGGAGCCATTGGCTATTTCGTTAAGCTGAGTATGTTCTCCAAGATACGGACAATCTTCCGCAGTCAACACTCAGTCTTCTTGCTGAGCTAACGTGCTTGTCGCAGTTCATATCCCTGTCAACCAAGTGCTGGTCGGTGGCGCATAAAGGAGAGATGCTTCGGAGCTTTCCCAAACCCCCTCGGGGAGGCCCATGATGGAGGAGAGAGACGGGAAAGGAAGGAAAGGATCACGGACAAAAAACGTCTCACGCCCGCGCAACACGCAACACGTTACTGGTCTCGTCTGCTCTCGCGATTAGCATGAGTCGCCCGCGGCAACGACCCAACCCCCACCGACTGTTAGACTTGGCCCCCCTGTTGTGCTGGGTATCGCAAAACACTTGTCTTTACGCTTTGATATTATGTGGCGACCGCTGCCACTTGGCGCTTTATTTTTGGAGATGCGATGGGAGACCGTGATGATCGCTATCCATGAGATACCACCGTTTACGCATTCTGTACCAATAGGGGTCCTTGTTTTTTACCTAATTGACGCCCTGCAACCATTTACAACCCAATTCGCTCTGGTTCCGTAAAATCTAGCTGGAAAACTGCCTGGAAAAAAGCGTTGTTTGCACTCGTATGATCATTATGCCCTAACTATTCCGTAGAAGGAATGTGAATTGGAAAAGAATCAACCATGTACGCATTAATCTTCGTTCAAGATGTAGTAAATGAAAAGTAAGAAGATGTATGCTTTTGTTGAAACGCGAAGAACTGAAGATACCACCATTCGTTGCCATTAATTTACCATATCGTGTCCTCTGCCTCCTCGTCAATCACCCACCGGCGGACAGGCCGACTGCGTAGCGGACGGCGTGGGTGACCATACGGAGCGTTTGCGCGGTAGTCGTTGAATGCGGGGATGGGACGCAGCTTCTCATCATAGCTCCAACTCAAAGGTGGGTCGCCTTCGTCTTTGGCAGCACCGTCGTTCCATGAATGCACGGTGCAGGTTCCAGTAGACAAGCCCCAGCCATTCCAGGCAGTTGCTGTACAATTGATTAGCAATATCTTAGGGACAAGCCCGGATGAACCATACCTGCCAATACTGGCGCATTTGGGTGCCAACTTGCATCCCGGACACAGGTCCTCCATAGCATCTCACCACTCATTTCATATGCCGATGCATAGGTATCTGGCTCACGCGGCCGGGAGTACATTGTCGCTTGCCCAACGTCAATCGTGTCAGCAAGCGTGGCATCCATATTGTAGACATAAATCTTGCCGTCCTCGCTACCGCTATACACATAGCGCGAGTTTGTGCTCCCCGGCGGCGAGAAGTGGCAACGTATCAATGTCTTAAGAACACGGTGACCTCGGAATGTAACAACAGAGCAGTCGTTCTTGGCACTTCGTCGATATTCTTCTGGGTATGGCTCAAACCGGTAGTCAAAGGCAGTGGTGTACTCAAGAGGGTCCAGGTTTTCTACGTCGGCGGATGTCATCATCTTGCGCAAATCCCAAAGCTTCATTGTCTGGTCTTTGCTGTTAGACAAGACGTATCGACCGTCACCTTTGCTGTCAACGTAGGTCAGTCCCTCGGTGTGACCCATGAAGGCACCGGCTTCGCGCCCATCGCCCATTGATCGTCGATCCCACACTCGTATCGTGGTGTCATCAGATCCGGAGTACAAGATATGCGGTGATGAGGTATCACCGTAGCAAACAGCATTGACGTGATGCTGATGTCGATCTCGAAGATTTAGGACCCGTTGTTTTGTTTCTATGTCATAGACGATCACCGAGTTTTCTGATGTGCCCGCAACAACCTCACGTCCATCTCCAGAGAATCGAAGAGACCAAACCTGATTTCAAATAGCGATATTAGCCACCAAGACGTTGTGAATTGATGCATATGTAGTTAAATACCCCAAAGTGTGAGCTTCCCAAGCTTCGGTGTCGTATTTGGCCCGGTGGAGTAGACAAGTCCAGAACAGTAGGGTCTGAATCATCTTCTGGGTCCGTGGTAGCCATATATACCTGGCTTCGTATTGAACTGTACACAAGGAACCGGTTGTCGGGGCTCAAAGTCGCATCAGTAATGGTCCATTGACCGAAGGGATAATCGACGGTCTTGTAATATTTCCAATCATAAGGATTCGATGTGTCATACATCCGAACCTTGAAGTCTTGTGCACAGCAAAAGAAAAAATTGCCATCGTCCGAGAATTGGCCAGAATAACTTCGCGAGTCATAATGAATGATCCTATCGGCAACGGAGGCCGGTATAAAGCCCTGAGTACGCAATGAATCGGTGTTTAGACATGATTTGAGATTACCAACTATACTTCCACACAGATCTGACTTACCTGTAACATGGATTGATCTGCTCGTTTCTGCGCTCCCTGGGTGTCAATCCCTAATTCTCGCCACATCAAGTTTGAGGCCCAACCCTTCTTGCGCTGTTTAAGTCGATCAATATAAGATTGATTAGTTCCAAAGTGACCGTCGTTCATCAATGTCTTGCCTTTCGGATTAGGGACTGGAGGTAGTTCAGCGACTGCTCCGGGTTGTCTTGCTCGCAGCCGGTTCCGATAACTTGGAAGGAAATCCTCATCACTCTCATCCTCGTCATTGTCCTCTTGTTCGGCCGCTAGCCTTTCTTGTTCCTCTTCCTGTGCAGTTGGCCAACCATTGGCATGGAGGATTTGTTGTAATCCGCTGGAAGCAAGTATTTCGAACAACTGGGTGGCCGAAACTATAATTTTCGAGTTGTCAGCGATCCTTATAGCGCCCTAGAAGTATGAACAGTAAAGCATACGGCGGATGGGTCCGCCGTCCGGACCAGGGGGTTGCTCGCTCATGTCAAAGTCGTCGGATGTGAACTCAATCGCGATATTCCCGATATTGAAATGCGTAGGATCCACTATAAAGAATTTATTAGCTATCTGGCAATCATGAAGTTTGGCATTGCATAATCCGCGCGCTGGCCTTACCATCCGTGTACCCCATACCTATCGCTGCATCCTCAATCGGCAAGTCACCCTCCGATCCGTCGTCGCCTTCGGACTCTTGTGCGGGGTGGTAGTCGGTATCTAGCTCGTCTTCTTCCAGCCATTCATGGGCAGGGTGCCAGATTCCTTCAGACTCTCCTGCAGATTCCTCTCCGTTATTTGGCATCCTCGAGCTCATCGTGTAACTAGGTAGTTCTGTCGCGCGTTGACAGATGAGGATGGTGCTTATCGATAGTCGATAACTGAGTCCCACCGCTGATTTCGGTTATGTCATCTCTTAACTCCGCTGGGTGGCTTAACTCCGAGGTTGGGACACACTCGAATCGATAGTGACTACTATTGAAATATGGCTTCTTTTTTTTGGCAAGATCTCCCATTTATGGGGCATATAGTTACAGTAGCTGTTTGTTAGATCTCTTCCAATATACGTTCTAGTGAGACCTTTTGCAGCCATAAGATGCCATTCATTCACAATGATACATTGGATCAGTTCGTCTCCAGATCTACTGTCAACCCTTGCTTTTTGTGGCTCTTGAACCCATTATCAAGCCTGCCGGGTCATGATATTCATTCAGTGTTAGCAAGTTTCCAAAAAAAGCCCTACTTCTCTCGTAGCCCTAATTCCAGCACCTAGTCCTTAAAAAGAACAAAGCCACACAAAGATCGAATGCAGGTAAATATCGTGGCTGCGTAGAATGCACCTGTAATTCTGCACATGCATGTTATGCAGTAATCACACCGATGGCACTCCGACTTTCTCGTGTTCGGTGGTGGTAAGAAAAAGCTTGTGTTTGAGATCAGATGGCCCTTGCAGACCTGAAGCTCTCTAGAAAGTGCCTCAATTAAGCTCAAGCACCAGCTATGGCTGATCTCTTAAGACTTGCATAAGAAAGTAGAATGACTGATGCTCGCCTCAAGTAGCTCTATCTACATCTACAGGTGCCTTACTACGATCTAGTCATGCATTTCGAATTTAAATATATGATGATCATCATAGATTCACTCCTGATGCCTTCGTATATACTGGAAGCTTGAAAAACTCCAAGACAAAAATATAAGAAGCAAAAGAAGGATAATATTGTAGACGGGCGTTAAGAAGATAAGCTAAAAGGGCGGACTAACAATTTCCCCGAGCCCCACTGATAGAGATGCTTCTCCAACTTCAGAACTCGGGCGTCTTGTATGCTCTGCTCAAGTACAGAGAATTAGCGTAAGACAAGTTGTCTGGTTGAATATCTGGCTCTCATTTTTATTTTGAGCATCCAAAACACACACCCTCACTTCCTCATTCTCTTCACACCCGTACCAATCCAACCCCACCACGATGCAGTCCGTCCCGGAACCACGACAACAGTCGTTCGAGGAGATCTATGGACCCCCGGAGAACTTCCTTGAGATCGAAGTGAGTGACTGAATTTCCAACTCCTAGAAATTGACATCCAAATCAATCCTCAGCCTCAGTTGTGTCGAGTCTCGTGCCCAGATCCCTCAAAACCAAACCCCACACCTCCCCACTCAAATCCAGTCATTACTTTAGTTTCGTTATCTGCACCAAATGAACACTCCAGACTAACAGGTCCAAAAAAAAGGTCCGCAACCCCCAAACCCATGGCACTTCCCGGAACATGTACACGTCGTACGAGATCGTGTGTAGAACCAACATCCCCGCCTTCAAATTGAAACATTCCGTCGTGCGCCGCCGGTACTCTGATTTCGAGTACTTCCGCGATATCCTAGAGCGCGAAAGCACGCGCGTCACAATACCCCCACTGCCGGGCAAGGTATTCACCAACCGTTTCAGTGACGATGTCATCGAGCACCGCCGTGAGGGCCTCCAACGATTCCTCCAGATCGTCGCCGGACACCCCCTCCTCCAGACCGGGAGTAAAGTTCTGGCAAGCTACATACAGGGTGGGTTTATTATATCATCCTATGTCGATATTTGTTGAGAGTGTACTAATCCAATCTTGTAGATCCGAACTGGGACCGCAACGCGTGGTAGACGACTGTCGGCTTGGTATTCCTATTCAGCGTACTTCATTCTCTGTCTCTTTTTCTGTCTACTTTCTTCCATCTCCCTTACTCTCTTACATATTCTTTCCTCGGCAGACATCTATTGCGATTGAAGATTTACTTGCGGCTGTAAGCTATGAGATGCTCATTGTCTGTTTTTTCACTTATGCTTTTTGATATCCGAATTTATTGATCTTCTTCTCCTTCAGATGCAAGCATCAGCAGCATAGGGTACAAGTCATCAAATTTAAAATACCGATTATGAATGAAACGTTGACAATGCGAATAATAACTTTTGTTTGGAAAAGTAAAGCAAAAACCGTCGTGTACTGCGGGATATAGAGTAATGATGGCAAAAAAATGACCAGAAGGATCTCATAAAAAGAGAGATGTCTTCATGAAACACCGAAAGAAATAAAGAAGAAATGCAGAAATTTCAGAAAGCCGCAAAAAGAAACATGAAACCAAAAAATATACCAAAAGATTTTCGAAGATCGTAACATGCGTCGGCAGTGTAGCATGAAAGGCAACTATTGCCCTCGGTTTAGGCCAATTCATCCCAAATCATAGGAGCAAGCGTATTGTCCTCCCACGCTGTCTCGACCGCCGAGGAAGCACTCGCACCAGAGCCTTCATCCAAAGAGAAAGAAAGCCCACCAGCAGCAGGAAGAGAAATTGAATGTTCCGTAAACCCCTGAGGTGGGGGCAAGAGCGAAGGGTCAATTTGAGCGAGATTAGACTGCGAAGAAGTGGCAGTGTGACCTCGCCTCGAGTGGCGGGATGTAGCCGGAGTCGGGGTCGTATAACCTTTACCCGGAGACTGTTCGCTAACAATGGCAGCTTGGGGGCGAGGCGTTGATGCACCGGCTGCGGGATCCTGGGTTTGAGTCTGAGTTTGGTTGGTTAGGGCTTTGCCGCTCACAGACCCGCCGTCACGGTAGGCGTGGGGGAATTTCGTTCTGAACCTGTCGCGTAGGTCAGTTGCTTTGCGGTGGCTGAGGCTTAACCGTGGGTCTTGTTGAATAAGTGTCCATTGGAAGCCGTGGACGGCGTAGCCTTTGAGGAGGGCTTCATCCTCAGCTGTTGTGAAGGGGCGCCGCGAGCGGCGTTTGGACTTCGTAACGTGGGGCTCTGGGATGCCGAGAGACTCAAAGGTTGATCGGGATTGGGTCGATAAAGCAGACGTGCTATTTTCTGAAGAGGGCGACATAGGTTGGAAATTGATACTCCCAAGTTCCAAATCCGGGGTGGATGCAAGAGTACTGGGGGTTGAGGGGAGGCGGGAGATCAGAGCTGGGCTTCCAGAGCCAGAAGTTGAGTCTGAGCCTCCGGAGTTGCCGCGTACAAGCTGAGGTATGTGCATTTTTCCGGGCGTTTCCTCGCGGCCTTCGACTTTGGCTTTGAGTAAGGCGTTAGCGAGGGTGTCGTGTAATTTTCTGGCAGCTTCATTGGGATCGGAGGCGCTGTCATGGCAATTAGCAAAACCTACTCATGTTCTGAATGGAGATCCTGTTGATTCATACCGATATGCCCAAGGACACAACACTCGGAACCTGATATAATGAAATTTAGTATAAGATAATTATTGGTCATAGGGCCATAGTGAAGTCATACCTGTCTTTCAGATTAGATGCGGTCCTTTGATTAAAATCCAGCTCTGGTTGAGCAAGAATAGCAGTCCAATTTCCAATCCCACATTTGACCACACCTCGGAGTAAAGTAGTGGTTTCTTCGTCCGACCATCTTCTCAAGTTTTTACGGGATCGACCTCGAGTTTTAGGCGACATGGGTGCATCTTCTTTGGGAGCGATAGCCATAGTCTCGTGATATTTGGGTGAAATTGGCTCACGGGCTGCTAGAGCAATCTTATCAGACTCCACAGATTCAGTACTTTCAACATTGTGGTCATCATCATTATGTTCATCGTCTTCCGCATTGAGTGATGTAGTCAACATTTCTTCAATTCGGGCATCTCGTCTCTCCGCAGGCTGACCATCTGCTGTTATTCCATGGGACGAAGACAATGCTCCCGAATCGAGATCCGCGTCCCCTCCAGAAGGTTTAGTCAGAAGTTGGGAGATATTAGACCCAGCCTCGATGGGCGGGAGCAGAGCAGCATTTGGCGGGGGCTCATTCAATCCATTGAGAATTGCAAACGGACCAAACGGGGGAGGGCGCTGCTCCTTCTGGGCTTGTGGAATAGGCAGTTGTAGATGCTCGCCGAATGAATCAGCCTGTTGATCTAGGCGTCGACGCTTGCGGGTCCCTTGGAGGGCATCATCGTCGAACGAGGAGGAAAACGGGAATTTTTCTAATGCACGAAGATTCACAAAAGCAGGAAGAATAGGCCTCGGCAGTCGTTCCACGTTCGATTGCGAGTCCGTGGAATGTTCGGTTTTCTTGGTGCGGGCCGCGTTGAGAAACTCCGTCACTGTTGGCAGACCATCCTTTGCGGTTGCTGAAGCCTTGCGACCATTGTTGTTTGTCTTAGAAATATTTTTTGATTCTCGTGCACCGCTGGCATTGGGTTCAAGAGGCGATGGGACGCTTAGGGTTCGTGAGGATACTGGATCTCGTAGAGGGGCGATACGAAGAGAAAGTTGGGGGAGTTCGCGGAGTAGTGATTCGTCAATAGGCCGTAAAGCGTTGCTAGATTCCATTTCCAATCAACTCTCACAGATTTGATACCATCCTGCACCTTATTGCACCCATAATGGATTTGCAGACAGATGAAGCTTTTGATAAGACGACGATAACGGTAGACTACGGGCGGTGACAAGCGCCAGTAAAGTCAGAGTATACGTCAGCTGCACTTCTGTTGATCTCCTGTCTCTTTTCCTCTTGGATCTACAATATATTTGATTCTCGCTCATTAACTTGATCGTATTCTATCATATACATCACTTTTCAATATTAGTTGACATCTGTTGTGATAACCAACAAAAGGTAAGCTGCCTTCATCTCCGCGGAGGTACCCCAGATACAAAATACATGAAGCTACCGCAAGCTTCGTACCTATGGAGACCGCTCAAAGCGCCTTGCAGTTATAATGCATAACAATCAAATAATTAGACACAAAGAATAACATTGAGAGCTGCAGAAACCCAAAATGCCCACTATCTTCCCAACATGGCCGCATATCCTTTTCGGCATCCTCGAGCCTATTTCGCTGTAGGGACCCCCATGTCCCCAACCTTTTTCCCGCTCACGAGACTAACCCAACCAACTTCTCACGCAGGGCTCTGGGAAGTGCTTTCCCTCTATATGATCTCCAAGGCTTTATCGCCGGCCAAACCCCAACCATCGCGGCGCCGGACACCCTACACCCGAGTAGCGTCGCTCTAGCCTACCAAATCGGGAATCTTTATTCGCTCCTATTCCTAGTTGGAGTCGGTGTATGCCATGCCACCACCGAGCCCAAAGTGCTGCGCAACTACCTGGTTGGGCTGGCCATCGCAGATGTAGGCCATGTGTATGCCACGTACTTGGCGATGGGTTGGGACACGTTTGTGGACGTTGGAGCATGGAACGCTCTGACCTGGGGTAACATTGGAGTGACTGCATTCCTGTTCGTTAATAGGATCGCTTATCTTTGGGGATTTTTCGGATATGCGAAGGCGCCTAAGGCGGCTGCAAAACAGGAGTGAGGTGTGACCCGCTGTGTTGATTGGCCCGGCCGAGTCTATTCCTGTCTTTTACCTATTGTGTAGAAAAAAGCAATTTTCGTTCCCGGTCAGGGGACTTCTATTTGTGTGCATGGGACCGCATATTTGGAATACTGACTTGGGTGCCGGTATTGTCTGGGGCGGCTCTTCGGATGCACTAGGTTTTATCTGATTCGTAGGTTCTATCCTGGTGCATAGAAATATTGCATGGATTCTGGCTTGGAGATATATTGCGATCTGGAATATTGGCCTATGACGAGAGGCGTGCCCAACTACGTTTTTTGAGATCCGACGACCTTCTTTATGCAAGTGTAATCAATAGTTCCCTGAATGTCACCGAAAAGAGATAAGTTCATATTAGAATGCAACGCCTGGCACCCTGGTGCTGCCCGATACTAGCATGGGTATAAAGGTAGAAATACAAATCATGAAACGGAGCATTTCAAGTCATCAGCAGTGTAGATCGCCCACCCCCTAGTAAGACTGCCAAGAAAACACACAACCAATGCATTAGCTGCTGACAAGGGGAAAACAAAGGTTTCAAGGGCCTTCAACACACGGCTTATGCGAGACGGTCTCGCCATCTGCAGCCACATCAAGCCAAGCACACTCCTACACAGGTTCCTTGTTTTTCCCCTCAAAATGCTGAGCAGCTTAAGCAGGCTGCTGACCTGGTAAATCGTTCAAATACTGAATGACTGGCTGAAGCGCTTTGTTGCCGTTCTGCTCATAATCACGAATGTGAGGGGTCAGAAATGGGATTCCAGGGAATTGTTTGTAAAACTGGAGGTAGTTGTGGTAGTTCCCAACCGGGTCTATGAGAGAAACAACTTCGGCCGGAATCAAAGCTTCAAGGGTGGTTGGAGCTCCAGGGCTGCTTCCCACGTTGTTGGGCATTTTTGAAATAGTGTAGTCGCGAAGGCCGTTGAGAATAGCCATAAGAGAATGGTAATTTTTGCGCCTTTTCAGCAGAGACTGGTCACAGTTAGAACAGTGTGCAATGACACCACTTCGGCAGAGTTTATCAGCGGATTTAACTGTGGGAAACAAGACATACCTGTGCACATTCTTGTAGAGTTGGAATCAACTCTGGGAGGGCACAGCAGCACTCCCAGACAGAAATGGTCAGAGCCTGCCAATGAAGCTGTAATTTCACAGCCGTTTCATCTATTAGCAGTGATTGTGTCGTTATCTCGGCGAAACGGTGCTCGTCTAGGTAACTTATATTGTCGGCCAACTCCGTTGGTGACGAAGCCGTCAGACAATCTTCCAAGAAAGGGATCGATGTATCAAATGGTGCCATCCAGTTCATTGCAGCAGCGTGATGATACTGTCGGCGAAATCGAATACCCAAAACACTTAGTGTTTTGAGCATATTAGCAAGACTTCCAACCTGCTTTTTGAATAGACTCTGGATAGGACCTGCGGCAAATTCAAATCCGGTGGGTTTGGGTTGAGGTATATCACGATAGCCGCCAGGTCGCACAGCCAAAAGACTATGATACAGCGCCCGGTGAGCAAATGGACTCCGCAATCGCAGATGCTAAAGAAGTCAGCTTGCATTCGGTGGAATCGTTCTTGCCTTGTGATTAGGAACTTAGGGCGCATACCGTTTCTACATCTGCGTACAGGGAGATATCCCCCGGATAGGCTTGTAGATGGTTTATGATAATGATGTAAAGAGCGGTATGTTGTTGTAGGAACCACTGGACGGAGATAGCGTTGTATCCAAGAGCAGCACGTACAAGCTCTTCAAAGGCAATTTGCCTAAAGTGGAAATGGCTCTCGGTCTCAATCGCCATAGCGATTGCCAGCGGATCTAGAGTAAGACTAGATTGATGCGGGAACCAACTCCAGGGAATAGCCTGGAAACGAGGGATACTGGATCGGCGGAGAATTTCCTCCACCCTCTGTATATGGGAGAGATTACCAAGATTCTGATACTCATGAGCCTCGGACAGTGCAACCAAAAATGTGTCGATGGTGTCGGGATTGCGAGCGCAAAGAGAAGTCCTCGGGAAGTTTTCGTCGTGAAAGAGTCCGAATCGAATCACACGGCTAACTTGTTCGATTTCGAACGCCCAGAATACAGTTGTCGCTTCATCTTCCCACCAACGATATGTCGGGAAGAAAGCTGGAATCTCATGGCTGGATTGGAAGATTGGCTTGTAAGAAATCCCCGAGTCCAGCGGCATGGCGATTCTGGATTGAGTTGACATGCTCGGGTTTTCAGATGGGTTTTGCTCACTCCCAGGGGTAAGTAATCGCTTTTTGGGAGGTGGTTCAATGGGCGATTCTTTTGGGCTGATCGATTGCATTTATGCGGTCACCACAGACCAAACAGTCAGGAACTCAAGGCCAGCACATTGAGTAAAGTACACGTTAACGCTCATGTAACACGGCGCTTGAATAGAGTAAATCTCGGACAGGGATGAGTAGTGTATGATAGACGCGATATGGAAGCAAAGAAGAAGTAGGCAGGCGAGAAGTAATCGGGGAAATTAATGAAAACAATACACAAGTAATAAACAAGCGGATTTCTCGGAAAAGTGAGGGTGATTGGTTTCAAACATCAGATGAGGGCAGATGATTTCTTTTATCCTTGCTGTTACTGTTCCGCCACGTTCGACACATCACGAGAGTAGAAACGGGCAAGGAAATTGACTAGGCACATTAACAACACAGAGCGCTAATCCCAGCTTCAGGCTGTTGGGATACCCGACGGGAAGAGCCTTCGGGAAAAGGGGGTAATGATTGACAATTGAGCAACATGGGATACTCCATTCCAGACCCAGATCGGGGAGAAAGTTGGTGGACTCCACAGTAAAAGAATGAGATCTGCGATTAGTAGTACTTAGTCTGCTGGTTACCGAGAGATTCTGATTTCGTTCTATGTTCTATGCCGAACTCCCGATGCCCGTTGGGCTGCAGCATTAGAAAGTAGACCAGTTGACAATATGACAAGTGTGGAGTATATTTAGTTGCCACATGAATCGGTTGAGAAGCGGTCAACCTTCTACAATATTGTACATCATATTTGATTCTTCCAGAATCAATATAGAAAGTTTAATTAGTCGGTCAGGGGGGGGGGGGTTAATAAAACTGTATTCAAATATTCGAGGAAGAAAACAGAAAGAAAACACGAAGATGTACGATATTGTTTGAGAAAGTGGACGGACCTCCACCTAGCTCTTGTTCAGCATCCAAATGACAACATAGGATTGGCCCAGACCCAATCTTCAATGACTTCATACATCTATTATTGTATACGAATTTACGCACACACACATACCTACATACACACACACAAAAAAAGACGCAAATCATAGTGGCCATAAAATTTCCACTAAATATAGTGGAGCCCGGTGATCAACAAAGAAATTGAAGGAACACTTCGTGGGGTGTTAGGGGGTGGAGTCTACGGATCAAGGGAATATATATTCATTTGTTTCCCTTCGACCGTTGATGTATGGATTTTATGGAAGCCCGCAATTGGTTTACCCGACAATCTCAAATTCCGACTACAATAGCACGGCGTAAGTTGTATGTCATTCGGACAATATCGATCGGAGAGAATCATACCTAACTACAGAAAGTATTTGCAATTCGTACATGGGTATACACCGCTGAATTCTAGGCAACTTTCTAGACTTTGAGGCAAGGCTCATCAGGCGCCAATATGGGGTTTGTGGCCTAATGTAATTACCATTTTACTATATATCCATGGATATGGTATCATGATTATATCATGCTTAAGTAGATCTCAAAGGTAGTACGACGTTGAAAGAGATATTCCCAGATTATTTATTGTTTCGCTCTCGCTCCACCAATAAGAGATATCTGAATCCTTTAAAAAGCAAACACCATCTTAGCTTGATCCCTTATCTTTTTTTGAAAATTATCATTTACACCGCTAGAATATCCATTGGGCAAACATCCTTCATTGACACATGCTTAAAATGTTCTGCTTGAACCCTCCTTTTCGTTAAATGCCGGTGGCGCAGGTTTCAATATCCACCAGCACAGATTTCAAGTCTGTCTATATACGACGGTTACAAATACTAATTCTTGATGGCCAAGTTATTCAACCCAATCATCTCCAAAATCAAAACATACGTCATTTGAACCACGTGAAATCTCCCAAGTCATTCTTTAGGTTACAGGACCCAGTTCCTTGGGACTGGGTAAACGGATCTCGGTAGATCCACGCGGTTCCTGAGTTTGTGTGGGGATTCGAACACCAATATCTATAGAATCTTAAGAACTGAAGATGATTGATGAAGTGGATGAGCTCTAAGTTTCGGTGTTTGATATCGTTACAAATTATCTTCCATGTTTGATCAGTTGATCTATATGTGGACTAGTAACTCGCTGAATGACCGCGCTTGGTTACAAAAAATGTTCTAGGCCGGGCATTTTTCAATAAAAAAGGAAACAAATAAATAATAATTGAAAGCTACCTAGGCAATGAATCTACCGACATTATTGGTACATATCTACCGGATATCTATTCCGGCAAGATTTTGGATCGCCAGTATCTAATATTACATGGAGCGCAGTCGATCGGAGGATCCGTTGTGCAGTTCAAAACTATGCACTTTGAGAATGATCAATCACTTGATTCTCAAGGGTATTGCAGAACAATGGTTTCACTCTATACAAGACGACCCGGGACATTCTCGCTCGCTCCAAGTGTTCCAAGATTGATCTCCCTTATCACAAAATATATTTTAGAGAACCCCTTGCCAACTGAGCTTTTACCTTGCCTTCGAACCCCCTACCGCTACCCTTGCAAAGAAGGCTCGCTTATCCCCGCGTTGCAGCAAGTGATGGGTCACGAATCTCGCACTATGTTGTCATGCATATTCCAATTGGGGTTGCGAACGTGCGACGGCCCAGCCCTCAGGTCGAGTTGGGATCTATCAAATTTATTCTAATCGCCACCCTTCGCCTTCGACCGCTTATATTACAATATGATGATATACTTGGTAGGATGATATACTGTAATTTACTTGTCTAAACTGATACTTCATTTTATTGGTTTAAAAAACAAAAATCAATGCCAAAATCAACCCACGCCATAACATAATCCTTTAAGGAGAGGGGTGAGTATCTAAAGCGGACTAGTCCCACGCGCATACTTCAGGAAACCATTTCCTAGCTGCTCCATAGAGAAGCCGATTTTGACCTTGCTATCTTGAACTTGCTATCTTGATGGTGTGAACACTTATTTCAAACTCATACGCCGATCAGATACGATCGAGGCGGCTCTTTCTGCAACTAGAGCGTAATATTGCGGATGAGAGGAGTCTTGAGAGGAGTCTTGAAAGACTGTTCTCTCCACAATCAGAACAAATGAGTGTGACATTAAGATTTCTACGCGCCTACATATCCAATACAGGAGTCTGAATCTCTATCACAACTCCTTCAAGCTTTCAAAGGGTCCATGTTAAACAAAGCGGAGGCTGAGAACTCCGGGTCTAATATGTGAGAACCTGATACGAGAGTATTTTCCAATAATTTGCATGTATTTAAGTTTTCTTCCTTCTCCGTGCCAATTGAAGTTTTCACTCCTACGCAAGTGCTCACCGTAAATGATTATTTTCCATTCTCCTTTCTCTTTGCTCTGATCCTCATCTCCCTGTTGAATTTTCGAAGGAGGAAGCGAACTTTTCCTCGATCAGGCAGACGGTGCCGAGTCTTGTGTTAGATCGGTGGGTCATCTGAGTTGCGTCCAGCGGAGTTGAAGATTCACCGTTCCCTCGGATTAGAACCCAAATCGGGATCTTTCTGATACATCGCGCAAACTATGTAGTACTTACGCCATACCTATAACCATCGGAGACTTACGATCACACCTCAAAGCATGTGCAATCCGATACCGGGGGTCTAGAAGTTGCCTAGAGCCAAACGCAAGAGTAAACAACGTCGGCCCGCGACATTTCGACTGCAGGCGCCGTCTCGTAAAATGCTGATCTCCACCACCGCTTCCACAGAAGATGATTGTCTCCTATTACTTTTGGTGAGGGTTTGTATACAATGTATTCCGGAATGAAAATTAAATATTAACGTTTGAGCGGGATATTTAGAACGGAGGAACCGTGCTTAGCTCTGGTCGATCGCCATTTACGGGCTTGCGGGCGGAAACCTTGTCAACTCCTTGTTCTCCGATGCGCGCATGGATGTATGTATGCTTCAATGACCCGCTTAGAAGGTAGTGTAGCACTGGATCGGCCCAGGCGAGCCGGTGCGTTGTTAATGTGGATCTAATTAACGGGTCTCGCCGGAGATGAGAAGGCGATATAGTATCTTGATTGGGATCGTGCATGTCCACGTAGCTTGTACTTCTAGCGTTGGAGGGTCTCAGTTTTGAGCTAGGTCCACTTGTCACCCGCATAAAAGTCCCTGGTACGCAGTAGTCTGCAGAATTTTTAGGTCTAGTGGGTGTTGCCAAAATGTTCGAAGTTGGAGGTGTGAGGTTTGTGGGCGATTATTACCTCGTGGATCAGCACAAGCTACGGTTCCCAGGATCTTCGTGGATTTTTGGTGTCGACAGTGATTAGTGATAGCGAAACAGATGGCAAGGTTCAAGGGATCAAAAGCTAATATCCACGTTGAGGAGGGTTCGAAGATTTGGGGACAATTAAATGAATACGGTCATTAAGTAGTTTGAAAAGAGGTAACGTCAAATGGTATCATATCACTCGGAAACGAGGCAATTAGCCCGTCCCTGCTTTGTTTGCTATGGTTCAGAATCTACGAGAGCATTGAAATCCAAGCCCATAAAGCAACAACGCCGTTTCCCAGCCACTGTTTTTTGTGTTGTTTTTACCGACCGGCTATCTCACCAATGTCAAAGAACATTTAGTTGGCGATAGCGTGGGCACGGCGGCGGTCACGCTCCTCAGAGATGGAGAGCTTGACACCCTTACCCTTGGGGAGGGAAACCCAAGGCTTCTCCTGTCCAATGACGAAGACGTTGGACTCACGGGTAGCGAAGACGTTGTCAATGGCGTCTGCGAATGCAATTAGCACAAATCTACACCGAGAAGTAAAGATTGAAATTGAGACATACCCTTGACGTGGACGATGTTGAAACCACCGTCGTGGCGCTCACGGTGAGTGACAACACCAACACGACCCATGTTACGACCACCGGTAGCCATGATGACAGCACCGGTATCGAACTTGACGAAGTCAACGATCTTGCCAGTGGCGAGCTCGACCTTGACGGTGTCGTTGACCTTGATGGCAGGGTCGGGGTAACGGATGCTGAAGAGCACAAGTTAGCATAACCATGTTCTTATGAATGGGTTCTTACTGTTTCCAAACAGATGGAACAGATGGAACAGATGGAACAGAAGTTCCAAGTTCATTGTCCTCCGCCGATCAACCAAAGCCTGGTCCAACGACTGAATGACACGGAACTTGTGGAGTGTGGAACTCACGTTCGCGCATCGTGCGTAACCAAGAATGGGATCCCGCCCTTGCCGAGCTGAACACGCTTGACCTTGCAGAGCTTGAACTCAGCCTCCTCGGCCTGGATGCGGTGGACGGTGAAACGGCCCTTGGTGTCGTAAACCAGACGGAAGTGCTCGCCGGTCTTCTCGAGGGAGATGACGTCCATGAATCCAGCGGGGAAGGTGCTGTCGGTGCGGACCTTGCCATCAACCTTGACCAGACGCTGCATGAGGATAGCCTTGACCTCACGACCGTTCAGGGCGTACTTGAGACGGTTGCGGATGAAGACGATCAAAGGCAGACAGTCGCGCAGCTTGTGAGGACCGGGGGATGCCTTGGGAGCGTAGGTTCCGGACATCTTGTCCAGGAGCCAGTGCGAGGGCGCGCTAAGGCGCTTCTGGTGCTTTCCGCTGTAAAACCATTGTAGTTAGTTATGGTGTTTCAATGTCGAATTTTTCTTCGATCACGCTCGCAGCAGCCAGCTGTCTGAACTCGCTGTGTGGGAGGTTGATGAAGCCATTGTGCTGCATAAATGATCGAGAGGGCGATGGTTTGACACTTACGGGCCACGCATTTTGACTGATTTGGTCGACGGTTGGTGAGTTGGTCGAGTATCGCAATGAAAGAGAAGAGTTGAGAGTGTGAATGGATAATGAGGATCTGTGTGTCACATGACCTCTTACTAATTAGCCCTAATGGGTCCCATCGCTTATTCAGGCCTTACACTTCAGGCATGAGAGCCAAAGGACCCACCTATTGCCCTTTTAGGAAATCGAATTAATGAGCCTATTTGATCTGTACGAAATTTGTATCTATTGATATACGCTCATAATTACACTTTTCGTATCTAAATGTATCCCTTGATAACAGCGACCTCGGCGTTCAGGATGGATGATCCAGCAGCTCCGATCACAGTGTTGTGTGAGAGAGCAGCGAATCTGATATCAAAGTGACCACCAGGGGCACCCTCACGAACTCGACCAACACTCACGGTATATCCACCAGAGATATCGCGGTCAAGACGAGGCTGGGGGCGGTCGGGCTCATCGAACACCTTGATCGCAGGCTCAGGTGCGGAGGGAGCACCCAACTTCTGTGCCTCTGACTTGTACTCGCGCAGAGCCTCAACGACTTGCTCGGCGGAGGGGGTCTGGCGGTTCTTGAAACGCAGGGAGACGAATGCCATGTGGCCATCGGTGACACCGACGCGGGTGCAAGTGGCACCGATGCGAAGGCCAGATTGCTCATCGAAACCGGTAGCGCTGGCGTTCAACGAACCCAGAATCTTTTGGGCCTCGTTCTCGAGCTTGTCCTCCTCGCCGCTAATGTAGGGGATGACGTTATCGAGAATGTCCATAGTAGGGACACCGGGGTAGCCAGCTCCGGAGACGGCTTGTTCGGTGAAGACCTCGACTTCCTCAACGGGACCAAACTTGGCCTGCAGAGCGGCGAAGGGGATGACAATTCCGATAACAGCACAGTTAGAGTTGCAGACCAAGAAGCCCTTCTTGAGGCCGAACTTCTCCCGCTGGTGGGGAATCAGATCCAGATGTTGGGGGTTGACAGTGGGAACGACCAATGGTACAATGGGGTCCTTGCGGAAGTTTTTCGCATTGGAGAAGACAGGGATCTCGGCCTTAATAAACGCCATTTCTGTAAAAAACGACTCAGCAAGTAATTAGGTGGTTTCGGATCTCATATCACTTACCGGTCTCGCCCGCAATGTCGCTGTTCAATCCAGAGAAGACAAGGTCACAGTCAGAGAACTGCTCGGCTGTGCAGTCACGCAGAACCAAGTTGCTGAGCTTCTCTGACATGGGAGTAGACTGCTTCCAGTTCACAGCATCCTTGTACTTCTTGTTAGAGGAGCGCGCAGAAGCACCCACAGCATGGAGCTCAAGGAAGGGGTGGTCTGCCAGCAGCAGGATGAAGCGCTGGCCCACCGAGCCGGTGGCACCAAGAACACCTGTGAATTGTTAGAATTGAACAGTAAACATAAACTTTTCAAGAACATACCGCACTTCTTCTTATCGAATGAAGGAGCCATATTGTGTGGTTCTTATATGAAACCGGGTATCAAATCTTTTTGAAGGTTAGCGATTGGACAATACCACCGCTTGTAAGCAAATCAATACGAGATGTGCAAGAATTGACAATGTAATGTCGGATTGGGCCATATATCATCAGAGCCCTGGATGAGTCAAAGCGTTTTCAGAGCCCCGCATGCAGACATAGGAGGCTCTGCTGGCTTCAATGCTTTGCCGACCTCTTGTGTAATGGTACCAATCTATTCTTGCAATCAAACAACAATATGAAATGACAATTGCACTTACCGCTTCACTGGTGACGAAGATAAAGGCTTCTGGTATTTCATTGCGACAGCGATATCGCCGGCCCCGCGCTGAGTAAGCATTATCCGGACAAAATCATGCAGCTCCCCGATTGGTCGAACCCTGAACTTTAATGAGTTTGGCTTGTTTGCACTCACAACATTATCACTACGGTGCAGTTAACTATAACTAGTTAAATCGACGCCTCGTCCATTGCATAGCAGGATTTATGCTTTAAAATGTTCACTAAGAGTTGAGAGGTTTGGCGTTTTAGGAAATCATAATATATTCCAGCCACAGGGCCAAATATGCATATGTAAGTCTGAGATTCCAATCAAGAAGAGCCGAAACGCAGCAAAAGAACAGATTACCTAGACCTGCAGCAGTCTCTCTTGATCTGCTTGTTAATCACTCTTTGAATCACATTCTTCACATCTTCAAGCTGGAGTCCCAAAACATCATTCGCCAGCTTCTCCTCCTTGGCATAATTGGCATGGAGAGCAGGGATGCTGCCAAAAACAGTGGCACGAACCAAAGTAAAGATGCCAGTGAAGTCCCCAGCGGTAAGTTTGCGCGTGGCTTCAGCGATTTGATCCGCAGTGGTTGTCTTATTGATTGTCCACTTGGCCCCCGACTGTTCCTCCAAAGCAGCGAGAATATCGTTCTGGGTGGTCTCAATTGAGGCGACAAAAATGTACTGATTCACGGCGACCTGAGGTTTCTTCAAAACATAGGCAACCGCATTACCCAAGTCCTTTTTGTTCGTCAAGGTGAAACTCTTGTTGCCGTCATCCCAAATAGTCGCTGTATGGTTGGCAATGTTGAACTCCAAGAACCCATTTTCAAGACCCTATATAACACATAACCACTCATTAGACACTCCAATTGCGGGCATAAACTCCTGATAAGTTACTTACCCAATCAAATAAGCCAGAGGTGGCAATAGCAGTCCAAGTCAAACCTTCCGCCTCCTTACTTCTGAGATACTCGATAAGGTCCTTCTTTTGAGCAAAAAGAGGAATTAACTGCAAGACGGCTTCATTCTGGCTGTTGATCGAAAATTCAGAAGGAAGAAAACGTTTGACGCCTGCACGGACAGCAGCATCAACGAATTTCTTCTGCTCATCAAATGCAGTAGCACCCACCACCGAGACAACAGCATCTTGGCCCTTAAAGGCGGCCTCTAGACCTTCATCCGAGATTTCGGTTTTGATGACAGTCACGCCAGATGGGAAAGTAGCTTCGCTCTCCTTGCGAGCGATGACAGTGATGCTGAATTGAGCGGAGTCAATGAGGCCATTGAGAATTATACTTCCAATGCTGCCGCTGGCCTAAGAAGTTTCGAGAAGGTCAGTTTATGTTACCTTTGTTTTGTGGTAGAACGGGAGATACATACCCCAACAATAGCAATGTTCTTCAATGGGGATGTCATTGTGGTTTGTTGAATTGCGATTGAAGTACTGGTAGAGATTTTCTTGCTTTTCAAAGTTGGAAAACATCACCCATAGGAGATCAAATGCGATCCTTATATAGCCGAGCTTTATGCGTGATGTCAGGCAACATGGCTCTATAGTTCCTTGTTGTTTTTGTCATACTCGGTGAAGTATGCTTAGCAAGACGGACCTTCTGTCCGCTGCTCCACTTCGACCAAAAAAAGAAATTAGCCGGCGACCTTAATGGATATCAAATCAATATTTTAAACAATGTGCTCTGTCAAGTTAAACATGACCAGCCTTATGCTTAGAAATGCGGACTTGGCCGCCGCCGCTCCGCTCTAGCCAATCAAAAGTCACAACACCCCGTTTTCCACCGATATCCTGCTTACTGTCTTCTAATTCACTCCTTTGTTATAGAGTGCAGTACCCCAATGTCGTCGAAATTGATGATTAACTCCTCCAGTGCCACAGTGCGCTCTTGTATCGAATGCCGCCGTCGTAAGATCAAATGTGACAGATCCCTGCCTTGCTCGTACTGCGTCAAAGTCAAGATCCAATGCAGCTATCCTCAACCAAAAGATCAGAAAAGCGACAATAACCCGACTGGAGAGGATCTTATTAACCGCATTGCGAAGGTTGAGCAGAGACTAGAATCAGTTGATCAAAGTCTTTCTCAAATCCGACAACTTTTGCAGACTCAAGCTTCTTCATCTGCCGGTAAAAGCTATGAAGGGGAAGTAAATCGACATCAGCAAAAATATGGAAACACTGAATATGGTATAAGTCACGGATATACTCCGTGCAAAATGCTTGCGGATCCTACACTCGAATCTCTTCGTCCTCCACCGGTCCTAATTATCTCTCTATGGCAAAAGTACCTAGATAACGTGGATCCAATCCTAAAGATATTGCATGCCCCGAGCACCCAGAGACAGATATTGAGTATTTATCGAAGTCGAGAGGCACTTTCCTTGTCTATCGAGTGTTTGATGTTCGCAATATATCATGCCGCTGTTATGACTATGACGGCGGACGATTGTCAAATTGAATTTAAAGAGAACAAGAGCGAGATTTTGAAGAGGTACCTATTTGTGATAGATCTGACTATACATAACTTACTGATACCTCAAGATACCGCACTGGGTTTGGAAAATGTTTCGAGAAAGCCCTAGCAGAGTCATCAGACGTGACTCTCCTGCAAGCTCTTATCATATACCTTGTAAGCAAGCTCAAAAGAAACCCTGCTCACTATTAACGATTTTCTAGAGTTGTAGTGGAAATGACGACCAAGCACCGGACTTGAAGAAACTCATCGGGACAGCCATTGGAATTGCCTTCAAGATCGGCCTACATCGCGATGGGTCCGACATGGGACTACCGCCGTTCCAGATCGAAATGCGGCGTCGACTCTGGTGGCAAATCTACATCCTGGACACTTCCTTTGCAGAGGAACATGGTACAGACCCGCGAATCTTGGAGTCCTGGTTTGACACAAGGCCCTCGTTAAATGTGAACGATGCAAGTCTGGACCCCGATATGCAAGAATCACCTCATAGTACATCCGAAAAGACAGAGATGCTTTTCGTTTCTACAAAAATCAAAGCCAGCCAATTCGCCCGCCAGACTATCTTTTCCGACCAGTTTTGTTCAGAAAACAATGATCCCATTTTGTCGCCTTCAGAAAAGTGCACCGCCGTCGATCGATTCAGAGCAAACATAGAACATGAGCTATCTGACTGTGATCAGAAAATCGCTCTAGTCTATTTCACCACATCATATAATTGTCTCACTCTTTCAAAGCTCAAGCTGAATATAAGCAAGCCACGAGTGAGACAAGACCGAGCTTTCCTCATGCATGAGGACTTTCGAAAAATCTGTACGGAAATCCTCCAGCAGGCTGGAATCCTACGAAGACATGAAAAAGGCAGACAGTGGCTTTGGACTTTCCAAACCAGCCTGGAATGGGAGGCTCTGACATATCTTCTCATCAACCTCTCCCTAGTCCCCAAAGGAGAAGGGCTGGGTTCGGCCTGGAAAGCAGTCGACGAAATCTATAATTGTTGGCGAGCTGATAAACATTTCCATGGTCACCACTGGGATAACGTTGAGGATCTTCGCTCGAAGGCTTTGACAGCTCGGGAGCTGATACGAGTGAATCCGGCTCAATGGACACCCCCAGATGAGGGAAGACTTGCAGACCCGCAGCCATTTACGCAGACATTGGCAACACCAAAACGCCACGGAGAAGCAAACCAACGCTCCTCCGGTGATGAAGGGCGAGCTCCTAAACGCCGCTCTGAACTTCCGATAACGCAACTTGGTTATCAAGAGCAGCTCTCTCGGATGTGGACTTTGGGAAATACTGCTGTGGCAACCCCTGCTGCTGACTGGTCATCTCATACAATAGTTTCCAGTGAAACGATGGATACTCCAAGCTCAGGGACTGGTTGTCAATGGAGTGCAACGCTCTTCGAGCGTTACTTCCAGGTTTTGGGCTCTGAGCACATGTCTCTATAATAGTATCTGGTCACATATATCTGTTTTCACAAGTCACCTGAAAGGTTCCTTCTAGTATGAGTGTTATAATGCTAAATTCAATTAATGTCCTGGGCCCTTTCCATCATCATCGTGGTCAAAGATCTTGCCGGGATTCAGCAGCCACTTGGGATCCAATGAACGCTTAACACCGCGCATGACATTGACTGTTTCTGGCCCAACCTCCTTTTTCAAGGATCCCTTTTTGCCTAGTCCGACGCCATGCTCACCCTGTTAAATGTTAGTGGATAGCCTATGATTTCAACGGTAGATCACATACGGTACAAGAACCCTCCATATCCAATCCGCGATCGACCATGTCATAAACTACCTTTTCGACACGGGCTCTCTCGGCCGGATCGTTCCGGTCATACATGATGCTCGCGTGGAAGTTACCATCGCCGATGTGACCAAGGATACTGGCGAATAAGCCCAGGTCGACGAGCTCCTTTTTGGAGATTTCTGCAGTCTGGAATTAGAAAGCACACGAAAGTGAGAGTTCAGATACCATACCAATGATATCAGGCAGCCTAGAAATAGGCACTGCCACATCTGTTGACCACACCTCTGAGCCCTCCTTCCGTAACGCCATCATACTCCACAGCGATTGCTTTCGCGCAGACCACAAATCGTGAGCCTCCTTCTCATCACGGGCAAACTCAAACGACTCCGCCTTGTTAGCCTGAGCAAGCTTCGTCGTCAGATTAATACTATCTGCGACCCCAGCCTTCGTTCCAGAGAATTTGAAGAAAAGCGTAGGCGAAACTTTCCAAGCGCGACCGGTCCCACCAGCCCGATTAATCACATCCATCTGGACGTCATCCATAATCTCCATACACTGCACAGGAACACCCTTTCGAATCAACTGCATAGCAGTGGAAGCGGCATCCCGAATAGACGGGAAAGCAACAACCCCAACACGAGTCTGTTCCGGCAACGGCGCCAGCTTCAACGTGGCTTCAGTAACAATGCCCAGCGTCCCTTCAGACCCAACAAACAGCCCGGTAAGGTTATACCCAGCAGAAGTCTTGCGCGGGCGTCTACGCGTCTTGATAATGCGCCCATCAGCAAGGACCACAGTCAAGTTAATAACCCAGTCCTTCATCGTCCCGTAACGAACAGCGTTCGTGCCACTGCAATTTGTGCCAACCATACCACCAATCATAGCAGACGGACCGGGGTCGACGGGGAAGAAAAGACCCGTTTCTTTAATCTGCTCGTTAAGTTCCATCCACTGGATCGACGGCTGCACAACGACGTCCATGTCATCAGGGTGGATATCGAGGACTTTGTTCATGAATGCGAAGTCAATTGTTAGGCCGCCGTGCGGCGCGGAGAAGTTCGCTTCGAGACTTGAGCCGCCTGAGTAGGGAATCATGGGCATACGGTACTTGTTGCAGATCTTGGCGATTTCAGAGACTTCTTCTGTTGACTTTGGGTAGGCGATTGCTTGCGGGAGTCGTTCGGCGTTCAGACTGGACCATTCTGAGTAGCCGTGAATCTGAAGTTCGTCTTCTTCGGTGGTGACGGAGTCTTCGCCGAGGAGAACTTTTAGTTCGGTGAGGGCCTGTTGGGTGTTAATCTTGGTTGAATTCAAGGATGCAGCTCTAGTAATTGGGGATTTTACCTGTGCGAATTCCTTGGTTGAGGCATATTGGGGCGTTTGTGGTCCCTGTGTTGTCTGGTTGTACGAAGCGTAGCCGTAGCCTAACCCCGCAGTAAATGCGGAGACGAGGAGAGCCTTAGAAGGGGTCCAGAAGGGTGACGGGGGAGCATTAGAGGAAGAATTGCTCTGCTCTTTCGTCTTCTCGCGCGCATTGGAGCTGTTTAATCTAGCACCTCGGGCTACTATAGTGTGACGAGGTGGGATCCGGGGCCGACAAGGGACGCAAGGACCGGATACAGCCCGAGAGGCCCTGAGAACAGGTCGCATCGCGAATAGAATATGCCGAACTGAGATGGTTACAAGGGAATTTTAGTGCATAGCTTGAGATTCAGATAAATGCGGACAAATGCAGAGAGTGTCGGGGAAACAATTTGCCCTTGTCGACATTGCGGACCTGCATGATGTGACCGGTCTTTTGTAGGAGCTAGCAATCTCGGACTTCGGCCGAGAGAATCATCTTCGTCTTTATAATTCCGCTCTTCTTTAGTTACTTCGGCATCAGATCGGATCACTGGATGTGCGGAAAAAACCCCGACGTGGGGGGTGTACGCGGGGGTAGAAAAGTGGCTGAGAGCGAAGGGGGTACTCGCCAACAACATGAACAAAAGCCGAGGTTTGGAAAATATCTTGTTTCGGTTTGTTTTAGTCTTTCTCAATAATTTATCGCAATAGGTTTTAAAGATCATATGAACCTATATACTCGAAATCAAGTAACAAGTCCGATGTTCAATATGTTAAGATCTCATTGGTGTAGAGTCCAAATTTGGTTGATGGGGCAACCAGCGGAGAACCTTCACGTCGCAACACAATACGATATGATGATCACGGACTAACAGATCAGGAATACCAGGTAAAGATACTTGCAATATATGCACCATTTGGAATAATGGAGCAACTCGCTCAGTTGGTGCATGAAGTGGAACGTCTGGTCACCGCGCCCTACGTGCCCTCGCTACATGTAAGTGGTCGCAATCAGCATCGAAGTATACTCGCTAACGAGTATAGTAGGGGCTATACAATCTATTACAGCAAGGCTCTGCTTCATCGATTGATTCCTGGGCATCTTGCAAGCCATGTCAGGTCGGCTTGTTGACCAATGTTTTGGTCGAAGCCTTATCGCGATCGCGGGTCGCTCTGCCTTTAATCGCAACGTTTGGTATGAAATCGGTCAGATTTTCCCTTGCTATGCCGTTGATCTAATTCAGTATAGCTGCTTCATCAAATTTTCGCGATGCACTTCTCGAGCGCCATCCAGTTATCTTGGATGCTTTTCTTGAAAAAGCTATGAACGGTGATGAACCCGAGGTGTGTTCCGGCCCACAGGCTCAACATTAATTTCCGGTTGATGAGCCTCAGCTGATTGTATTAGTATTATTCGGCATGCATTGCCTTCTTCACGTCACCCCTGCCAGACACTTTTGTTGCGCCTGCTCGAATCGCCCCGTTCGTTGCGAAGCTGGTGAGCATGATGGCAGCCAACCCATGCGTTGAGACCGTAGCACCACTCCACGCACTCATCAATGGACTCAAAGGCTCGCCAGGAATTCTAGATGATATCCCGTCTGAAATCATGTCAAATCTCCAGCTGGAGTTCACAAAAACACTGCGCAACCTCGACGACCATATGGGGAACCTACTGTGTCTTGCCACTTTTGCCCAGATCGCGACAGGACGGACCACAACACCACAATATCAACACGGATCAGAAGGCCAATGGCTTCTCAATATCAAACATTTCTTTGGGGCTAAACGAGGTCTCAAGACACTCGATCTAGTCGTTTTGCGGGTGATTCTGGCTTGCTCTTCGAGTTGTAACTTAGGGCCACAAGACGCTACTGAGAGTATCCGGCTCGCAATTACTATCGCTGATGCAATCGAGCCTGAGCAGAAACAGGCATGGATTGCAAGTAACTCGGCCAAGATTTCTAAACTGCGTGAGAAGGCTGTCAAGGATGGTTTATATGGCGGGATCCAAACGATGGTTTGTCTGACTCTTTTTCACACTCGGCGGACATTCGCTAATTACTGCCTTTTAGGCCATTGTATTTTTGCATGTACTTCTCCCGGTGCAGTCGCTATCATCCCAGCTACGAGACTTTGGGCTCAAAATTCTTCTGTCGAAGAACAGCCAAGGAACATTGGAGTTACTATCGCCGGAACTCATCGCACGTCTTGGAAAGTCGCTAGCTGTGAGTTTGAGATTCGTTTTCTTGATGTCATTTCTAAAATTAGTAGGACACCGGAGAATCTGCTACCCGCGAGCTCACGACCTTTACATTTGCCGCGCTGAATGGCAGCCAATGGCAGAGTAGAGAAACAGTGTCAACGATACGCTTGGCGCATTTGATCTTGACTGGCCTCCAGAAAGTGGAACCTGAGACAGTGCGCTTCAGTATCAAAAACTCAATAAGCGCTCTCAGTCAAATTGTTGGAGAAACAATAGAGCACTTTCCCCGACAACCGTGTGAAAGTCAGTGCAGTCAGTCAATCGTGTGCACTTCGCAGCTATGCAGAATGCAGAACCAGCTATTTTTGTCACTGTTGAACCTTTACAGTACGAACTCGCCAGCGCAGACCGGGGTTGACATTATAATGAGGTCATTCATGAGACGCGTAGAGCAGTCTTTGCCCAATACACAGTGCGCATTCTCAACAGGAAGCCCAAGCAATTTCCAACGCTCTGTTACCTTACGCCATCACAGTGAATTCTCTTCTACAACCATCAACCGGGATTGGCGCGCTGGTTTTACAGATGTCTTTATGCAGAATGCCAAGACTACTCATGATAGCATGATGAGAAAGATTGAAGATACCTGCTTTGATTTGGAGCGGCGCTGTGAAGATGTGGAAGGGCCCTTACGAGTTGTCGAACAAGACCGCGACAAATATGCTGAGGAAAATGAAGAACTCAAAACACGAAATGAAGAATTAATCGAGCAACTGAGACAGAAAACCGACGAATTGGAAGACACACGAAGAAAATCATCCGAACATCTAACTGAGTTTGGTCATGAGCACGCACGCCTCGAGCAACTTCTTCAAGATCAATACACGTACCGTGATGAGCTGACAGGATCTATTGAGTCTGTACGAGCGGAGCTTCAAGAGCTGAAAAAAAGCTCTGAAATCGACATTTTTGCCGAGAAAGAGAGGGCTCGCTCCAAAGAGTTAGAGATGATGGCTACTCTTACTGGAAAAGAAGATCAAATCGAGGATCTCCAAGGGGAAATCCGTGACATGCAAATGCAGAACGAGCAGAAGTCTCGGACCCTTGCTCAAGTTTTGAAGGATAATGACACTTCCCGACAAGCTTTGAACTCCCTAGAGCTGGAGCTTGCGGTTGCTGCGCAAAGCTTGGAGCAGTCTAGACTTCTCAATGCTCAGAAAGAAGACGAGATTAGCCGCCTCCTGGCTCAGGAAGTTGGCCTGCGGAAGGAACTGGAGACATTACAAACAGCGGTAAGTTCCATCATCGACCAGTGGAATCAAGGCGTACTGATTGGATTTAGACGAAGCAGTGGAATGCGGAGATTGATAGGCTTGGTTCTGCCCTACAGCAATCTGAGGAGAATCTACAAAGTGAAGCCGAAAGGCTGAACAATGAAGCTTCGCTAGCTACGGCCGAGGTATGTCTTTGCTCACCTTTTTGTTCATAATTGGAAAGAATCAATCTAAAAGAAATTATAGATTGCAAAAATGAATGCAGAAAACCAACGATTGCAAGCTGCTATGCAGGCCGCCACCATTGTTGCTTCTAAAGATGCCCAATCCAAAGACAAACGCATCCATCACTTGGAAAGAAAGGTAATAACTATCCTCGATTCTTTTATATCTCGGCACTAATTTTTCATATAGGTGCAAGCCCTACGAGACGAACGTGCCGACAAGGCTCGAGAGTTCTCAGAAGCCCAGCAACACATCGGCCGACTCATGGGCGTCATGGGCTTCGCAGCAAATGCCCCAGAATCTACCTCTCCCCAATACCAACGGACCAAATCCACAAACCACACACCAGTAGCTAGAGTTCGCCAACCAATCAGTGACGATGAAGAAGAGACACAAACACAATCATCCCAATACATGCCCATGGGCCCCACCCCGAAGCGCCCAAGAGGGAACCGCAAGTCAGCCGTACCCCACACAAGTACTTCCCCTGCTGCAATCTCGAAGACAAGAAGTCCACCGGCTGGGCCTCGGTCTGTGCGAAAACCATTGGCAGAGGCTGATCTCAACAGTCCTGCTAAGATACCGTCAAGCAATGGATCAAAACATAGTCAGGTTGATATGGTGCCGGGAACCCAGGCACGGGAGAGCTTTGAGGATAATCATCTTCGAGATCTGGGTCTTGACATGGATCTTGAATTTTCGAAAGACTTTCTCTTTTCCAGTACTGCTTTCACGGGGTCGAATGAACAGGCTGGGCTGCAATAGTTGCGCAGTTGGTTTTGCGCGGCTTTTCGTCTGCCTCCAGGTACTCCACGTGGATTAAATTATTGTTGTTTTACCATGCCATTTTTCATTCTTTGTATGAATTCATTCATGTTCCAGGGGACTTTATAAGTGTGTTTTTTCTTCTGTGGTAATATGTATCTTATGACGATATAGCTAGCATGTTATATCGTGCCAATCCAACTTACTGGTGTTTCTTCCACTGCTACTACTGCTGTAGCTTGTGTTTTCATCCTAGGGATAGACCTCTTTAAAGGCTGCAATTCCCTTTATGTTACTTGCTTGAAGCAACGATCTACCTTCTGATCACTTTCGTGGGTTCTGCCTTTCTCGAAGACTAGAAGACCTGCTTCGACTCTGCCTATACTATTTCCTCTGGCTATCCCGTACTCGACCCATTTTTACTGTCGTATTGCTTTCACTTCCCTACTGTTTTGAATGTTGTACTATTTCTACTATTCATACCCATTGGATGAGTTCATTCGGACGATTGTCCAAGCTAGTCTCTCTTAGCAAGATCCTAAGATTCATGGCTCCTGGTCAATCTCTCTCGGATAGTGACCACAATTCGCGGTTACTAGCTGTTTTCTCTCAAAATTCCATACTGTTTGAGGTTTCTAGGTATGTTGAAACAGCTTACTTTCGCTTTCTCGAATGATAGCTGTCATCAATGGCTCCCACTAGCTCTTAGGCGTTACTGGAACTAATAACTTTCTACGTAAATTAGCTGCTTCCAGCAATTATCTTGAAAGCTTTCTACATCCCCATCTTTTGTGTAGTAATTTGACCAGCTTGTTTGTCGTATGACTGATTGCACCAGCTATGTTGCTATCTGATGTTGTGCAGTCTTTGTCCTTATGCATTTATCTATCTTCAAGTCTTGAGAATTTTCTCACTCTTCTCTCAATCATCGGGTGCTTCTTATGCCAATACTCCTGCCGTAAGTGCTGCAGAAGCCGTTGCCCTACCTTGAAATTCACAGTTCTATTATCTTTCTCTTCATCTTTAAGTCTTCTTTACTTGATTCTTTACAGAGTGCTTTACTCTTTCTTCAATAAAAGGCATGTGGGACGGTGCCTTCCTACCCTCCACCTGGGCAAGGGTACCTAGGTACTTCTAACTCCTTCTTGCTCTTCCATGCTTCTTCTTATCTTCTCTACTTTGACAATATCAATTTACAACTCTCCCTGGACTTCTGCATAACTCACAATGTCTCGCAGTACTGCTGCTCACCAAGCCTGGAGGGACCCACACCTCCCCCAGCTATCACCTTGGACCTCGTGGAAATCATGGGATACTCTGGCTGTCGATCTGCTGAATATACCAAAAGAAGTAAATACTCATGATGTCTATGATGGTTTTGGCAAAGAGGGCAACATCATGCATATCGATCTTTGGGAGAATTTAAAGGGGGAACCGGACTCCAAAGGTCGCATTCGATTTAGGTCGGCATTTTCTTCTGACCCCATGCTTTGCATGAAACCTACGACTGACTGTCAACAGACCACCACCCGAGAAAGCTTTCTGGGCCAATGGCCCCTATCGCATCAGACTCCGGAGCGGGGGTTACTATGACCTCTTCCTTAAACTCAGCGACTCTCACCCTCATACTATTCCGAGCCCAGTGCGACCAGCGGTACAGTTGCCAATTGAAATTGTGAGTGAAGTTCAAAGACTTTTATTTATGGTTGCTAACAATCATGAATCAGGAACTCAACACGACTCAAGTTGACATCGGCGTCCTCTTGAATGAGTCCACTGTTCATTTCATGCAAAGCTTTCCCGGCTCTTCCCACCCAAGATTTGTTGTAAATGTCAAACTAAAGTGCTTGTTCATTTATTTAAAGGTGGGAATCCGGGGATCGGACAAATCTGAGTTAATTCAGCAGGACTATCGCATCAAGATCACATTTCTTCAATTATCCGAGGTTTTTGAACAGGCCGATCAGAAGCAAACCTCTCTCTTCATTATCCTTGATTCAGCCGTCATCTGTCACCGGAAAGTGAACAACATTCAATTTACCTTTACCGAGCCCCGAAGCTGGAGAGAAGAAGATGCCTGGTATCGCCAGACTTCGGTGGCCCATAACCCGAGTTTCCTGAGGAATGTTCCCACAAATCTGAAGAAGTCAGGCCAAGTGATTGACCTTGGTTGGTATTTTGTCCATGATCCATATTGTTATATGAGCTAACTCTTGCTACCATCTAGGGCGATGGAACGTCTTCAAGATCACATTAGCACCTGAGCCGACCACAGATCCCAAATTATATACGAACTACACCCGCCCTCTCATACGAATGCGGGAAATCTTCAAGGACTACAACATTACTGTCAAAATTGGAAGCCACTTTACCGAGAGCCCACATCGACCAGTTCCGGTGTGGCAATGGATTGACTTCTCTGAGTCTGGTTCCCAAAGGAATTCTGCGCTGTTGCAAGACTTGGGGAACGAGACCTACGAGCATCTTCCTTTCGAGGTTCGATACCAACTAGAAGTTTGCTTATCCCAAGGATACCTCTCTGAATACACCATGACTCGTGATTTTATCCGAGAATTGAAAGCCCGGGGCGACGTTCAGGGAAGAAGACTGCTAGAATTTGTGGCTACAGAGAAAAGAAAGTACCTTGACCCCATGAGAATATTTGACTTCCAGTTTCTTAAAGGTGTCACCGACTCGAAAATTCCCGGCTATTGCTGTTACATGCACACAGCACGAGTAACACCGACAACAATTTACTACAATACCCCAAGTGTAGACATCTCAAATCGTGTTGTACGTGGATGGTCGAGCAACCATAGTGCTGGTAGATTCCTACGTGTTCGATTCACCGATGAGAAGACAGAAGGCCGTATCAATTCTTCCATTGGCAATTCTAATGATGAGGTTTACACCCGTGTTAAAAGGACACTGGCAAACGGCATCACCATTGGAAGTCGTCACTACGAATTCCTTGCATTCGGAAACTCACAGTTCCGTGAGCACGGCGCATATTTCTTCTCTTCGGATGCCGGTGTCTCAGCAGCGACCATCCGAGCTTGGATGGGTCAATTCAACCACATTCGAAACGTCGCAAAATATGCCGCAAGGCTCGGTCAGAGCTTTTCGACTACTCGTGCATTCACTTCATCTTCGGTCCAGGCTGTGGTACGCAATGATATTGGGCGCAACGGTTTCACATTCTCAGATGGCGTTGGAAAGATATCCAAGTTCCTTGCTCAGTTGATCACTGAAGAGCACAAGATTAGGACTTCCACTGGAGATCCCCCCTCGGCATATCAGTTTCGCCTCGGCGGATCAAAAGGCATACTCGTCGTATCCCCAGATCCTCTGCCGAAGGAGGTACACATCCGTCCCAGTCAATACAAGTTCGAGGCAAAGCATCAAGGACTTGAGATAATCCGTTGGTCTCAGTTTTCTCTTGCAACATTGAATCGCCAATTGATTCTTGTGCTTACTGCTCTGGGTATCCCGGACCATGTCTTCCATGCTAAACAAAATGCTATGTTGAACAGCTTTTATGAGGCCATGTCCAGCGATGCTAAGGTGACAGAGCTACTTCAGAAATACATCGACCCAAGCCAGACAACTCCCATCCTTGCGAAAATGATCAACGATGGCTTCCGCAGGGCCAATGAGCCGTTCATGAATACCATGCTCGGTCTTTGGAAAGCATGGCATCTGAAGCATCTCAAAGAGAAAGCCAAGATTGTCATAGATGGAGGTGCCAACCTGCTTGGCTGCATTGACGAAACAGCTACTCTGAAAGGCTATTTCAAAAACACTATTCCTGCAAATGGATCATACGAGGAGAAAATGGCTGCTTTGCCTGAGATATTTGTTCAGGTCTGCCGCCCAGAAGAAGATGGTAGATACGAAATCATCAAAGGCGTCTGTATTCTGGCTCGAAACCCCTCACTTCACCCAGGTGACATACGTGTGGTGAGAGCAGTGGACCGACCCGAGCTGCGGGATCTCCGAGACGTCGTCGTTCTTCCTCAAACTGGCGATCAGGACGTTGCGAGCATGTGCTCTGGTGGTGATCTAGATGGTGACGACTACCTCGTCATTTGGGACCCCGACCTGATTCCCACTGATTGGTTCACTGAGTCCATGGACTACAAGTCAAACAAAGCTCCAGACCTCAATCACGATGTGACAGTTGATGAAGTCACATCTTTCTTCGTCACCTACATGAAGAATGACTGTCTTCCAAAAATTGCACATGCCCATATGGCTTGGGCTGACAGGCTTACAGACGGTGTGCGATCAGAAAAGTGCATCCGCCTGGCGAAACTTCATTCTGATGCCGTTGATTACAACAAAACTGGCGGGCACGCAGTCATGCGCCGCGATTTGACTCCAACGCTATGGCCTCATTTCATGGAGAAGCGATTCAAGAGAAAGGAATGTATCTACCGTTCTCGCAGAATTCTCGGTCAGCTGTATGATAATGTCATCGCCCCCGACTTCGTTCCCAACCTTGCCATGCCTTTCGACTCGCGAATCTTGAACGGCTCGTTAGCTGCTGCTAGTGAATTATACATGAACTTTGCCAGAGCTCTCAAGGTAGAATGGGACATGAATATGCGACAAGTCATGGCTCAGTACGAGATCAGCACCGAGTTTGAGGTGTGGTCAACGTTTGTTCTCCGTCATGGCTTTGTTCTCAAAGACTTCAAGATGCAGGAGGACCTAGGAAAGATTGTCGGTAACATGCGGCGCGGATTCCGTCAAGCCTGCTATGATAAAGCTGGTGCGGACCACATTGCTTCCTTGGTCGTTGCCATGTACCGCGTTACCGAAGAGCAAATGACCGCCGCCATCGAGGCTCAGAAAGAAGAGAAGCGTCTTCGAGAAGATCTTTCAATTGTTGACATCCCTTCCACCGAGCTCCCATTCATTACCTTCCCTTGGATTTTCCCGGAAGTTTTGGGTGAAATTGCCATGGGCAAGCGACAAGCCTCGGGGGCCGGAACGTCTGGTGTTCATGATCCCAGTTCCACTGAAAAAAAGCCGATATTTGACTGGACCCAGGTTCAGAAAATTGTTGGGGGCATGCAAGACAATGTCACTACCAAGCTGATAGTAGACCAGGTGTCTGACTCGACAATGTTGAACGAGGAAATCGGCAGCGGACATCGCCACAAGTCTAGTGAAGACCGAGACTCAGGTGTGTGGCTGGATGAGGATGACAATGAAGACGATGAAGATGGAGGTGTTCGACTGACCAGCAATGACAAAGACGAAGACTTTTCATTTGAGCCGGTTGAGCCAGTTGGGCCAGTTGCAGATGAGAAAATGGAAATCAAAGAAAAAATTGCCGGAGATGATGAACTCGATATTGTGGAGAAGGAAGGTGATGTGAAGCCTTCAGCTCTTGACACTCTGATTAGCATGATAAATACCTGATCAAGCGGAGATTGAAGAACATGTGTTTTCGTTATGGGGTTATGCGGATGGGGTGAAATTGAGGTTGCAGGGAACGGGACTTGATTGTTTTTTATGATAGAAAAAGCTTCTAGTGATTGAATGGGTGGGTGGGTGTGTAAATTTCTTCTCCATTCGTGAACAGTACAGACAACCTGAAAGATTTATCCAAAACAATGCGCCAGTGTATCTTTGCTGTGTAGGGGTATATCCAAGTCTACACGCTCAACTCCGCAAAAGCCTCCAGGCTTTTTGAAAATCTAAAACCACCACCAAAATTACCAATCCAGATCCTCATCGCCCTTCCGCTCCAATAACTCCACGACTGGCCCCAGCACAGCCTGCGAATGCCTCCAATTAGAGGCATCTCGCGTCCGCGAGTAGAAGATCGAACAATCCATACTATCACAGCTAACCTCATCACAGGCCGTGACACCCATGCAAGAACGACAAACAGCCTCCAAATCCACAACCCGCTTCTCCGCGCGTTGCAACCGCGAAACAACATCCAGCAAAGCAATATGCGGTTGCTGCAGGCACTCCCCGCAAACAGGAACAGTAGTATCAGACAATTTAGCCCGACACACAACACACGACGACGAGCGCATATAGGACTCCAGAGTTTTCTTAGTCACAAACCCCAAAGCAGATCCCGTATTCGGTCGCGCAAGCGCTGAAGCATCAACCCGCCGAATGCGCTGCACTTTCGGCATTTCATCGTACCACTGCCGCACATTTGCACCAACAAGATTGAAAATCCGTTCCAGCGGCGGAATCAAGTTCTTCGTGATATAGTACTCGGCGTCGAGCTCGAGCTGCGCATCATGCAGGAGAGTCTGCGGCGCGACGCAGCGATCAATGAGTCTTGACCCAGGCGCGCCCGTGACAACGACATACGGCACACGCTCGCCGGTTTGTGGCTCTGAGCGGGGATCTTCCAGCATGCGCTTTGTACTGATCATCGCGCCGGCGGGGAGTTGGCCGCGCTCGGAATATGTGCCTAGGCGAACTTCTTTGGCGAAGCAGAAATCCTGGATGGAGACGCGGCCTTGCATTATTTTTGCGCATTGGCGCTGGAAGTAGGATTTGACATTGCTTAGGTCTGCGGTGCGGAAGAGGATTTTGAGGGCTTTTTCTTCGATTTTTTGTTCTGCGGGGGTGCCGTCGCGTCGGACGGTCTCGATGCCCTTTGCGTCAAATTCGGGCTCTTTTTGGTTACGGTGTTCGTATTTGAAGCCTACATAGCGTTTCTTTGCTAGGAGGACGCAGGGGTGATAGACTTTTTCGAATTTGAGTTTTATTGGTCGTGGGTTCATGTCTGTGACTGCTTGGGCGATTTCTTCGCCTATGTCGAAGGCTTGGTCGCGGGTGCGGCCTTTCAGGTAGACGAATAGACTGTCGGTGTCGCCGTAAACTACCTCGGCGCCCCATCGTTCGATTGAGTGGATGAATGCGATGGCTTTTTCAAGGGTTTCTCGCCCGGTCTGCACGATGCTGTCGGCGATCTCTGAGCAGGGCATTCGACCAGAGAATGAGGCGGATGCATAACCATATGTGACGTTTGCGATTAGCTTGAGGGCTAATTGTCGGTTGTTAAGAAGGCGCTGTAAGACCTTGTCGTCTTTGTCGACTTTCATGCCACTTTTAACCATCACACGAGTCTCGAGGATCTCTGAGAGCATTTTGGCTAGCAAGGACTGGCGGGCTTCTTTCTTGGCGTACATCATACCATTTGGTGCGATGTTGACCTTGCCTTTGAGTAACTCAAGTAGTCTGGGCTCTCGCTTGTAGTCCATGAACCCCATTTTATCTCGACCACGCCAGTGCATTGCTCTACCCAAAAATGTAGAGTAGCAGTAATTATACGCGATCATGACACTCGGATACAGTGACTGGAAATCAAGCACCAAAAGTGGGCTGGTATAGAAGTCACTTTGCGGCTCCATGACCAAGGGCAAACACTCCAATGCATTCTGCTGCCCCACCTGCTTTTTACTCGGTGACACAAGCAGGAAGTTCTCAGGCTTAGCAATTCGGAACATCAAGGATTCAACTTTGAATTGGGATCCTCGAGATATCACAGAAGCAAAATCGATGCCTAGCAATCTTGCTTGCTCGCTTGTTCTTGGCGCTAATTCATTGGCCTCAAGGATCTCGAGGTTCAGTTGCACCCGGGAGGTGAAATACTCTACCACTTTGAGCATATTGCGAGGTTTGCCGCTTTGATACCACTTCGTCAGGTCTCGAGGCGAATAGTGGGGAATCCGACGATGCAGAACATGAAACACAACATTTTCCATAGTGTACTGCAACAAGTTGAGCTCGCCTTTCATAGCGCGCCATATATTGAACATGTGTCGACCGGTGATGCGAACAGACGATGAGTGATCATACCCCCACCGATCTGCCTCCTTGCCAAATCTTCCATGTGATTGAGACTTGGTCCTAGAAAATTCCTCGCAAATATCAAAATCGTACTTCTTACGAGCTCGTTCAATCACATATCCCCAAGAAGCACTGTGAACCTCGTAACCTGTGATGATGTCGGGGTCATGATACCGGACCAAGTCGACTAGTCGGTTAATGAGATCCAGTTCTGTGGGCTCGTGCTCGACATCAATTGTCAAAGCTTTGGATATCTTGGCTTCCGGTCTCTCACCTTCGCCGTGGTAGACCATCCCAACATGGACCCCAGGAAGATGGCTGTTGACCTCAACGTCGTCATCTTCAGTCTGAATGCACCAGAATAAACAAGTAATCTCATCCTCTTCGGGGTTGGGGAAGAGAGCGCCGCGGGTATTCACGTGTAGCTCCAAGCTCATTGTACTCATATGTTGAGCCTGGTGTTCCACACTTGTGGACACTCCCTTCTGTGAATATTTGAAGCCTTGGGCATTCTTCTGTGTTGGACCTTCAATCTGGGAGAGTAAGTCTGCTTTCATCTGAGCGAGCCGAGTTTTTGTTTGCTCCTTTTGCTTCAACTTTTGCGCAGCTTCAATCTCTTCAAACCACTGTATGACCTCTGAGCGGGTTGGTGGAACAGGTGCAAACTCCCAGACCTTAGCTGTACAGCTCTCTCGGAGATGTCGGTCTGCCTTCTCTTGTTGATCTCGGTCAAGCGTTGTCGGTGACTGCTCGCCAAACATTGCAGGCGCGTCTGCGGTTGGTTCAAAATCAGGCAGATAATGGATGGTGTTGCTTTCCAGTCTAAATTCTCTGCCGCCATATTCTCTTGGTCTTTCGGGAACATCCGCCTCGTCGCTGTAATATGCTTTTTGGTATACGACCGAAGGGCGTCCAAACTCAGTTATCGTTGAGGCAACTTCGTTGGAACTTGGGCCAGTGGATCTAAAACAACACAGTGATGTGTTTGGTGCAATTTCGAATGATTGATGAATGTTTTTAATGGTCTCAGACAGATGGGGATCGAGTGCTATAGGCCCTCTCACGGTTGCAGAGGAATGTAGCTCCAAAGAACTTCCAGTTCCACTAGCATTACCTGAAATTTCAGTGGCAGATCCAGATGTGAAGGAGCTCGAGGGAGGCTGAAATGACTCAGTTCCTTTCTTCGAATGATGTCCATCATCTTGGCTGTACCGCACTATAGTCAAAGGATCATTTGGGTCCTTAACTACCGGAAATTTCAGCCCACTGGTATAACTGTGCGCCTTTGGACGGACCGTTCTCTGTGACGAAGAAGACTTCGGCTCTGATGACGGGGCACCCGCATGCGAGTCCGAATTGCTTTCAAATGAGACACTTTTTCGTTTTTCGTCTGGTTGACACTTCCTCACGTTCGGCCATTCTGAATTTCCACCAGTCAAATCGTCATTGGTTGAATGTTTAGGTCTTTTGGTTGGCGGATTGCTCTCATCCAATGTTTCGAAGTTTAACCTCTTGGGAGCAACGTTCCAGCTATGGCTCTGGTCTCTGTGGGGATGATCTGGCTGCACTGCCGGCTCCAGGGGTGCAGCTAAATCTGAAAGCGGCACATCGTCAAAGACCCCATCATAAAAGCTTTCACCCAGCGGGTCCCTTTGCTCTCAGGATGTTGTTCGTTTTCTTCTTCCAAGGATCTATCTCCTTGGTCCGAATCCGAGTTGTACTGTCCATCGGCTTGAGATGACATGGCGAGTCCCTCATCAACCGAAATCTCTGGAGCGTTTTGCTGGGCTGATTCTTCGAGACGAATGCTATTAAATGTCAAAGTGCCAATCTTGTTCGGAAAGAAATCTTCGACGCTATCCAACGCAGTTTTGACACTCTCTGCCAAGTCCTTGGTATCCAGAAAAATTTCAAATGATGTTTCTTTGTTGTCATCATTTCGCTTTTCGTTGGCAGCCAGCTGAGCTTCCATATCACGGAATTCTTCCTCGTGTACCCATCCACCCTTGGACTGATTTCTTGGATCCGCTGACATTGAGACCAACTCTTCCGGTCCGAATGGAGAGCTTCCGGGATCGACAATCCCCAGTCTCTTTTTTCGCCTACGAGTCTCATCCTGCCATAATCCAGCCATGCTCGGAACCAGCCGCTCGTTCACCGCAACTGGTCTCAAAAGCTCCGTGAAGTCATGATGCAAAGGTCGTTCTTTAATATCAGCACGGTTCAAGATATCTTGCACACATACATCAGCCTCCAGCGGACAATGGCTTTGTTTTTGTAAAGCAGGATGATCTAGTATGTCCTCAGACCGAATTGAACGGTCATGCCAACGATGGTCGAGATCGCCAAGCTCGAGGTACTCAGGTACCGGTCCTCTAAACTTGACTTTACTGCAACTCATGATTGCACATCCGTACAAGTTGTAATCGCACATCCATTGCGGGATGTATTGTACATGCGCCTCGTAAGGTTGGAGAGGACGTTTCATCACAGCTCCTTGGTGCAAAAGATCAACCAAACGGTTAGTGTGAGAGGGGTTTAGGAGGTAAATCTTGAAAAAGAACCGCCATCCTACGTGGTATCCGTAGAATGGGACTCCTTTCACCAAGGTGATATGCGCCACATAGGCTATCTTCCTATCATACGCATTTTGGCGAAAACTGACCGCCAAAGCGTGATCAATGGAGAGATGAAGAGTTCGAATCGCTGCGTTTACTACGGTTTATATTAGATCAAACATCAACGAAATGAGGATTATATCATGCAAACCTTCTTCCGGTACCAAGGACCCATTGTATTCGATATAGAGGTATGGAAAGGCGCCGTGAACATGGACACACACCCTTTGTCCGGTCTCGGTGGCTCCAAAAACCCGAATCACAGGCACCTTAGGCTTGAAATCTTTCTCCGATGCTCCATCACGAAAAGGCAGCGGAGGATCTAACTCCGACGCGTGCGCCTGGTAATGATCGATACAGTTGAGGCGCACCCGAAATGACTCCATTGCTCTGGTATGTGGCAATCATAAACCACAGCGACATTGCGAAGGACAGGTGATTGTTGCATATCAACCGGCAAGTGAAGGAAAAAACGCAACTTGAAGTATGCCCTTGACTCCGAACGCGTAATGGTTATCGGTTATCGATAAGAGTGACCGGGTACCTGCATAGGTATGTATCTGTATCACATGATCTTGATAACACATTGTCACGTGCCGTGTATCAATTCTCCACCTGCCAAGCTTGGTATCGCAACTTCACTTCCATCTTTCGCCTGACATCCCGAGCTGCAGAGGGCTTAAACTCTTTCTTTTTTATTATATTTTTTTATTATATTGCGTTTGATCGCCCTCGTCTTTGCATCTATCGAAATTTTCTCTGCCAGATCTGCCAACCATGTCTTCACGAAAACCCGCGGATGTTGCAGCGAAAGAGCGCAACGAGTACATTCCCGCTTTCATCTCGAAAAAGCCATTCTACGTCGATGATGATGTGAACAACGACTATCTGGAGCATCAACGTCTCCAGAAAGCCCAACCCGATCAGTCGAAATGGTACGATCGAGGAAAGCGTGCGGGCCCAGCAGCCACCAAATATCGCAAAGGCGCGTGCGAGAATTGCGGTGCGATGACACACAAGACAAAAGAGTGTCTTAGTCGGCCCCGAAAGCAGGGCGCCAAATGGACCGGCAAAGATATCCAAGCAGACGAACTCGTACAGAAAGTTGATATGGGCTGGGACGCCAAAAGAGATCGATGGAATGGCTACGATGCCAGTGAATACCGCCAGGTTGTCGATGAATATGAAGAAATGGAGAAGATCAAGAAAATGGCGAAGGAGGATTCAGATCTCAAGAAGCTCGGTGAAGAGGGCGATGACGGCCCCGATTCGGATATCCGCTACGCTGAAGAATCCGACATGGGACGCCAGCAAAGTACCGCCACCCGCAATCTCCGTATCCGTGAAGACACCGCGAAGTACTTGCTCAACCTTGATCTCGATTCGGCCAAATACGACCCCAAGACACGCCGAATGGTGGACATGGGCGCACAGGATGACCAAGCGTCTGCGCTTGTCGCAGAGGAAAACTTTGTCCGCGCTTCAGGAGACGCCGCTGAGTTTGAAAAAGCGCAGCAATATGCTTGGGAATCACAAGAAAAGGGCCACACTCAACTGCACATCCAGGCCAACCCTACGTCCGGAGAGGTACTCAGGAGGAAGGAGAAGGAAGACAGTGAGAGTAAGCGTCAAGCTCATCGCAAGGCTCTCATGGAGAAATACGGCGGTGATGAGCACTCACAAGCAACTGCGCTGCGAGAAACCATGGTTGTTGAAAACGAACGATTCGTGGAATATGACGAGAGTGGTGCCATCAAGGGTGCGCCTAAGAATGCAACCAAATCCAAGTACCCCGAGGATGTGATGGTCAATAATCACTCTTCAGTTTTCGGCAGCTGGTGGTACCAATTCAAGTGGGGATACGCATGTTGCTATTCCACTGTGAAGAACAGCTACTGCACCGGGGAAGATGGAAAGAAAGCGTTTGAGGAAGAGGGCAACATGTTGCTGATGGAAGAAGACGACGAGAAGGAGACCGAGAACACTGACATTGCGGATCCCTCCCATGGGTCTGAACCAGTCAACAGCCGGGAGGAGAAAAATGAAACTACAAATGGGAAAAAGCGAACTCTGGAGGAACTGCAGACAGGTGTCACAGAGGAGGAGTATGAATCATACAAGCGAAGCCGCTTGGCTGCTGATGATCCCATGGCGAACTTCATCGGAAAAGATTGATAATTGCTCTCCAAAAATTTGCATTGGCGTTCGGATGTACAACATAATACCCTCTTCAATTGTTCCTTAAACAGTGGACATAATGCATCAACTAGTGTTCTAATTCTAATTTTTCATGCCAATGGGTCGAAAGCTATACTACAAATTTGCTTCTACTTCTATCGTTGAAACCTTTATATTAATGTTAAATTGGTGTGAGCGTATAGATTCGTACGGATATAATACTAAGCTACATTTGTTTCACTTATGTACGGAGTAAGAGTCTAGTAAAAAAATACATCAATTTGATTGAGAATTTGAATTGCAATGTATCTTTAGTACATAACTACGACACACATAGTTAATTAGTTGAAATTACTAAGTTTAAACACATCGTTATGGGGTGTTTTGTGCTCACGTGATCGAGGATCGACACCTAATGTTCGAGGCCACAAGGCACCAATCCCGTGACACATCTCGCTTAAGGCTAGGGCTACCCACACACATTCACATCCCGTAAGTTCTATTAGTGACGACGAAGAACACCGATCACCAGCCCCTTGAACGGAATCGCCAGGTACGTTCGCATGCTCTTGCCTGCAACAGTGCTCATTGTATTTATCGATTTACTAACTTCCTTTTCCCACAGTTCCTAATTCACCATGAGTACGTCCGAGTCGAAACCGCGCACTGCGGACCATTACAACTTCGAATTTGTCCAAACTGACAACCAATACAGCTAAGGGTACCTCGAGCTTCGGAAAGCGCCACAACAAGACGCACACTCTGTGCCGTCGCTGTGGTTAGTACTTCACCTATTTTTCACGATCCCACCCATCCGATCCGCAATCGCAAATTTGCAAATTTCAATATCGAAACACTGAATTGGCGATTACGGAGAGGACCACTACATAAATGAGCAAGGACAAGAGCTAATCGACGAATTTGCGACTATATAGGCAAGCGGTCTTTCCACATCCAGAAGTCCACCTGTGCCAACTGTGGCTACCCTGCCGCCAAGACCCGCAAGTGTACGCAAATACCCCTCCCGATGGCACTGGTGTCTTGAAAAATGGTCCTAAATCTAGATCATGAGCACCGATTTGAGAACCCCCGCTTACATGGATTTTTTCTACGAACAGTCAACTGGGGTGAGAAGGCCAAGCGCCGCAAGACCACCGGCACTGGCCGCATGCGCTCTCTGCGTGATGTCCACCGCCGCTTCCTGAACGGCTTCCAGACCGGTACCCCCAAGGGTGCCCGTGGCCCCGAGACCAACTAGATTCCCTTTTTCGTCCGCTCGGCGTCGCGTTTTCGTTCTCGGAGAGGCTGGAAATGAATGAGGGGAGGGATCCTGGCATGACATGAATTAGCATTACGGGATAGCATTACTCGAAATGCAATGGCAGTTCCGGAATCTTTTCGCTTTCCCATGGAGTTGGTGTGCAACTGTCGATTTTGCTGGTTCTCTTTGCCACGCCAAGATGACAAAGTAGAAATTGCGAAACGGTGGAAAAAGTTTCGTTGAAGGGCTCTTTTCTATGGAGAAGAGCTGGATAAAAATCCTGGGAAAGCGTGCATGAATTTCCTTTTTCTTCTTTTATGGCTGGCGAATATCCCCATGTCATTGCAGATACAATGTGAAGACTCTTCCTAAAATTTCACCGCTTGTTCTACTAAGTACGGGATTTCCTGGGTCTCGAAGATTGCAGCCATTGATTTGACATCCTTCAATGGCCTTGCTGGTAGATTTGTGGCTTTTGCTACTTCTAACCCATAGTATACAGCCTCGTCTCATGATTCCCCGCGACCAAAAACTGTGACACCACCATCCCGCTGGATATAGTACAATGCCTCGCGCTCCTCCAAGCCGTTGTCTTCACTCGTGTTCAACACACCTCCGCGGCTGATTCTGAGTACCCCACTCACATCCTTCGCGGCCCCAGTCTCCAGGGTGCGGAGCTGCATAACCGACCGAGCCCGATGCGCCAGCCCAATAGCAAGTGCCGCATGTTCAGTCTCTATTGGCGTAGCCAACTGCCCACCTGACGTAGATGCATTATGTATCAACGGAGCATCCGTAGCCAGTGTCAAAATCGTAGCATGTGCGTGCTGTTGGACAAGTTAGCTTGGGAACTCAACGACCTATCGATATGGTAAAGTTTTACCTGCTGCAACCCTGTAATCCACTCCGCCATCTCTGTGGCTCCAATGCCCATACTCGGGCCCGTCGCTGCAAGAAGCAGGTCAGGCTGATCTATAATAAGGATGAGCTCGTCGCCCTCCTCCATCGAGGCTTTTTGCTGTTCAATCACTGAAGAAATGTCATTCTCCAAAGCATCGAGCGAGGCTAGTCCGCGACCAGAGAAATGGAGCTTCTTTGCAATGCCAGGCTCTGCCCGAACCTGCGTCGTGTTTCCCCCAACGGCAGGTGCCGGTGCTGTTGGCGGTGGTGCCCTTCCAGGCACAGTACCGGGTGCAGACCGCATTGGTAGATTTGTCCGGGGACTGCTTGCCAATGCAGCTGGTGTTCTGGTGGGAGTGGCTGTGGCTGTGGCTGTGGCTGTCGACTGGGGTGCATAAAACAATTCAGATAGTCCATCTATGAATGCAAATCGTTGTTTGTCTGCTAGGCGTGCAAGATCAAGGCCCTGGGTGAGTTGTTAGTTTTTTGATCAGTGTATGCATCGATTTAGGATTGATATAGAAGATGGAATACAAATGGAAAGGCATATGTTCAAGGTTTAAATGTCATACAATCTGTAAATAGTACTTACCAGTCGTTTTGCCTCTGTTCTCCAGAATTCATAACTCCGCATGAAGCTTACCAGTACCACTTTCTTCTTGATGCCATTTTGCAGCTCGTCTCTGCCGAAAGTTGCATGAGAGCCTGATTGAGAGCTCAGCGCAGCATGCAGGAACCTCAACACCAACCAGTTTGAGGTTGCTCCAAGGATTGAAGAGACTAGCGTCAAAGATGAATCGGGTAGAGTTGATACATATGGAGCGAGGAGGGGCGGTAGTGGGGGTTGAGAAGGCATGAACGCGCCTCAAATACAATGACGATGAGCTGCTTTGATAGCTTGAGTCTGGTTTTACTCCTCTGTTTCTGTATTATTCTTCGCTTCTTATTTAATTGTGCGTTGCTGATCGAATAAGGCGTAGATATGTCGAGGGAAAAAATTGTTTGCGGCTCATGCATCCCGCCAATGCCAAGACATAGCATATCGAAAATGAAGTATGGTTAGGGTCTATTTTTCTGAAATTATTTTTCTATTTTGCTCGGCCTAGTAGCAAATATAAGATTAGATTTTCCTAGGTATCTTTGGTATCTATAGATTTTGAATCTGGTCGCTTTAAGAAGAAAATGTGACATTATGCCATCAATATATATAGCGCTTTCACATGCTGAATTGTTCAACATCAACATCGACCATGAATAGTTGTCTTCAATGATCGAATTAAGTAAACAGAAGACCGCAATATTCTCACTGATATTATATCCCCCCAAATTAGCCCACATTCACAAATTATATCCCAACCACCTGGACAATCCAGGAGTTTCTGCCTAAGGCGCCGATAAAAAGTTTTGCACCGCCTGTCCGCTTTTTTCCCCACTTCATGGAGGGGAGCAACGGCTGCATCTTGTCCATCACATCGCAAGAGGCGAAGTAGATCAATGATTGCTTTAGCGCCGATCGTAAGTTTATCCTTTCTCCTGCGCAAAACTGTCGAGTCATGTTCTTGTATACCGCGGCAAAACCCCGCTTTTGCGGTATACAAACCCGTCGTCTTTTCGCAAACTTACATATTATCTATGAGACTGACTGCATATGCAGATGACTACCGTTGTATGGTATGATCAGAGCGCATTGCATACACCATACGAGATATCCAACTTGTCTCGATAAAGATGGCCAGCACCCGTGATTCCCATTCATTTGCTGTATGTATCGATTTGCTGACATGTAACTTGAAGTAGTCAGAGATTTGACTGATGATTTGTACAGTGCGACGAATGCCGCTTGCGCAAGTCAAGAGTATGTGGCTCTTTGTGTCGAATTCTTACAGGCCATGGTTTAACCCGACAATTATAGTGCTCAAAAGAACGACCAATCTGTCTGCAATGCCGACAGTTGAATAAAGAATGCTTGTACAGCCCCAAAGTCAGCAGGAGCCCTTTGACTCGACAGTGAGTGCCTGTGATGGGAGAACTGTGTATTCTAAACTTATACTGACAAGTTCAGACACTTGACCTATGTTGAAGATCGCCTACATTCGTTTGAGACAGCCTTGGGAAGACTATTTCCAGGTGGGGATCTAGATGCTACCCTTAGGTCTCTTCTGCAAAACCCGGAGGCAAGGGCCCCTTCATCCAAATCTTCTTCAAGGCACTCCACGCCGGCTAAACACGAGGCCGAACCGGCCGAACCAGCACCTGAAGCTCTCCCCCAGCAAGCCGATGGGTTTGACTGGGCTGAAAAAGAAATCACACTCGGTGATTTGACCGACGGAATGGCTGCATTGTCCATCAAGCCCGAAGGAGCAGGTTATTTTGGTCTGTCTATCCAATAACATCATGTTTTCGATTGACCAAGACTAACACATGCTGTAGGAGCCTCTTCAAGTGTCGTGCCGCTACGAGCACTATTTGATCATGGGTTTGACTTGAATATGCCTGTTCGTTCCATAAGGTCAGGGGGCGTCCCTCTTAAGGCACAGCTGCTGGAAAGTGCGCCGTCCGGGCTGATCGAGCAAGCTTTCATCGATGCCTTCTTTCTCAATTACCACACCAGTTATCCCTTTGTCCACGAACCTACGTTCCGGGCACAATTCAATGATCCTTCTATTCGCCCACATGGTACGGCCTGGCATATTCTTCTAAACACGATACTGGCCCTTGGAGCCTGGAGCATCGGAGATGACAGCTCGGATCTTGATATTACATTCTATCAAGAAGCCAGAGGATACTTGCAACAAGCCTCTGTATTCGAGACTGGAAATTTGACATTGGTACAGGGATTGTTGTTACTGAGCAACTATGCACAGAAACGAAACAAGCCCAATACCGGGTGGAACTATCTTGGTCTGGCCGTTCGAATGGCCATGAGCTTAGGTCTTCACAAGGAGTTCCCCGGCTGGAAGATCAGTCTTTTACAAAGAGAAATGCGCCGAAGATTGTGGTGGGGAGTCTTTATATTCGACAGTGGCGCAGCCAAAACCTTTGGAAGACCAATTCTTCTCCCGGAGGATAGTGTGATGGATGCGAAACAAGTTCGAAATATCCACGAAGACGAATTGACCCCAACCACCACAGCTCTTCCCGATGAGTCACTTGGTCCAACCATTTACTCTGGTTTAATTGCCCAAGCTCGTTTCCACCTCCTCACCAATAGCGTCTACCAGCGCCTCATCTCAAGCCCAAGCCTCACACCCGAAGACACGTTGAACCTGCAAAAGCCCATCGAAGAATGGTACAATGGTCTTCCATCATACTTTAAAAACCCGACGCAGCCCCTATCTGTACAGCCAGTTAACCCAGACCCCGACTCGCTTGCGCTTGTCCGCAACCGCCTGCTATGGCGAAACTGGAATCTTACTATTCTGATTTACAGACCCATCCTACTCCGCTGGGCCGCTAGACGTTGGGCCCCACTTAGCGGCTTGTCGAGCGGCCCAGGCACCCCGGATGCAGGATGCGAGGATCCGTGCGAGACTGAGTGCCGATTGCGATGTCTCCAGAATGCCCGCTTGACTATCTCCTCTATCTCAGAGTATATGGAAAACTACATTTGCACCAGAATTGGTGCATGGTATATGCTGTAAGTTCACATTTTACCCAGCCGTTTCTGCTATCGTTTACTTCCATCCCGAAACAAATTTGACTCGAAATAGTTACTTTCTCTTCCAAGCCGGTCTCATCCCCATCGTCTTCCTCATGACAGACCCCTCAAACCCAGAAGCCGCAAGCTGGCTCCAGGACATTGAAACCACCAAAGCTCTCCTCACTCACCCTTCTCTCGGCACCAACCGCTTCGCAACCCGCTGCTACGAAGTTATCAACCGACTCCTCGGCCCACCTAGCCACTCAGTCCAACAGGGCATTCCAACTGAAGGGCTACAGCACGAAACCCAGCAACAGCACATGCCCCAGCACATGCCCCAGCAGTCACAGAACATGATGCCGTTTCCCGAACAGCTATTCGGTGATCCCGGGTTCGGCGGAAGTCTATTCCCAGTCGAACAACAGATGCAGATGAACCCCGGAGGCATGGACTTTTCCGAATGGGTGAATTTCCCGTCCGCAGAATGAACTGCCTTGTCCAATTGATTGATTGATGTTATTTTGGTTTGTATTTTGCATTGTAGGATTGCCATGTGGAAAATTGGGTTTAATTTGAACTATCATTGGAAATAGTCATAGGTATAGGCATCAGCGAATGCGCTTTCATCATATAAGTCTGTACGTATCGTCTTCTCTCTGGAATTATTGGATAATTAGTGTCCCTTGGATATCAAGTCTCGACATGTTCCGCGTGTTGATCAGCAGGCTTCATAAATCCATCATCTTCTTCGATAGGAGTGCCGCGCAGTTCAGCTTCGATGTGCTTGATGCGTTTCTTTTCTTCGTGTGCGGCTGTATCGCCGAAGATGAGGTCCATATCTTCGAGTGTCTGTACGGCGTGATTAGCAACTTAACAAGGAAGGATCGCATACTAAAAAATCGAAAGGATGGTGTTTTACCTTTCCTCGGGTTTCAGGAATACAGAAGAAAGTGAACCCCAGGGCGAGGAGACAGAATGCAGCGAAGAAGATGTAGGTGCCCCAAGTGATGGACTCGAGCATGTCCGGCGTGACAAGGCCAATAATGCTACAGGAAAGAGGAATGTCAGACCGGCACTTCGAATTGAGCCACTGCAGACTTCACTCACAAATTGCACATCCATGTAGCGGAGGTCGTAATGGAAATTGCCTTGGACCTGATAGATAGATTGAAGATCTCAGAAGGAAGAACCCAACCAATAGGGGCTGGTAGTAACAGAGAACGTTAGTGGTGCCGATTGAATAAAAGCCAGTACAATGGTGCCTCCAATCTTACCAAACGAATAAGAGAAATTGATGTCGTAGATGTAAATGAATGCAATGCCAGCCCACCCTGCCGACTTATTATCCACCAGACCAGATCCATATCCACCCAAGATTCCACCAACAATGGCCAACGAGATGCAGGTTCCCGTAGCACCGGCCATGAGCAGCGGCCGCCGACCAACTTTGTCGATGAAAAAGAGCGCCGGAAGGGTACTCAGGCAGTTGACTATGCCATAGACACCAGTGGCAAGCAGGGAAGTGGTGTTGCCATCCAACCCTAACTGGGCGAATATCGTAGGTGCATAGTAGATCATGGCTGTTCGGGTTAGATGCTGCTATTGAGACGGTTGTTGGGGACGTACCATTGCAACCCATGAACTGCTGGAAGAACATCACGATGCACCCAATAGCCAGCCGTTTAAAGCGGGCCCACGTTGTCACAAACGACATGTACTTTGAAGAGTATTAGTAAACCTCGAAAACGAAGTGATGTGAGCACAAACCTGGGCCATGTGTAACTTGTATCCTGATAGGTTGGGGAAGTTCTCTCTAGCGAAAGTATTCTCCAGCATGATAGAGGCCTTGATCTCGAGGTATTCGTTGACCAGCATAGGGCTGTCACGAGGCTGTCGGCGTAGCTTTGACAGAGCTGTTAGTGATTCATCGTCTCGTTCCTTCATTAAAAGCCAGCGTGGCGAGTCCGGGAAGAAAAGCATTCCGACGCCTAGAATAAGCGCTGGAAGAATCTGAAGAGCGAGAGGAAATCGCCACGATGCTTCTGATTGTCCATTGCAGCCGCCAATAGGAACGTCGTGGTACGGATCGAAGGTAGGCTTAGCAACAGTGCCACCTGAGTATGGGATATCGGGAGCGCAGCGGGTTCCACCAATATAGTTCGTTCCATAATCGATCCAATAACTGAAAAGGATACCAAGAGTGACAGATACTAATACCAAATGAGCGTGTGCCATATACCCGAGCTCGAAGTCAACTTACATTGCTGTAGAACCACAAGTCCACCACGAATATCCGGGATCGAAACCTCAGAGATGTACAAAGGCACAACCATTGTCAGCTGTCCAACCGCCAAACCAGCAATAGCCCGACCAGCAAACAACATCGGGATATTCATCGCCGCGCATTGGATAGCAGAGCCAATAGTGAAAACCACCACGGCGACATTAATCGACCTCTTCCGCCCAATTCGATCGGCAATAGGTCCATTGATCAAGGATCCAAGCCAGGCAGCCAACAATAGCGTTGACACAAACCAGCCCTTGAACCCGCTGTCGGCGAAAACACGCGGATACCGAGCCCCGAAGGACTCCATTGTAATGACACCGCTTATGACGCCTTGGTCATAGCCAAATAACAGACCGCCCAGCGTTGAGAACTGCTTCGGTGTCAGCTATAGAGCTATAGATCTCACCACGCACTGTGTGAACAAACCGATGCAACGCCGCATAGATAGGGATTCTGTAAAACAAGGGAAAATCCACTCTTGCTCGTCGGAACATCCATAGTAGCCATGATGCCTGGATCGTCAGTCCTGAGCTGATTGCAACAATGTCCTCCAATGGATACTTTATATGCTCGCTCACGGTTAGAGAATTGGCGCATATACCTGATTAGGACACTGGTACCCCTTCTTCTCTGCCGTTTAGGAATACAGTACTCCGAGCTGTCTATAGACGAGTGAAGCTGCCAGGACCACAGTACTCCGCGAGCTGGATCCTTATGGTCTTATAAGCAGTTCAAGGCGGAGCGCTCTCCTCCGAGCCAATGCGAAATAGGGGAGCTTAAACAAGTCTGGGGGGAAGATCTTTCCCCGATATTCAAGTGGGCCGACTCGGGTTGATAATGCGGGGAAACTCTCCCGGGCCGGAGACGTGGGGGTTAGACCGAGAGCTGTGCAGTGTTTGCATCCCATAGACATACTTATAGATGTTGATAATTAGTTTTGATGTGTGTTGGTATCATATTGATTACCGAGAGAACACCGCCAAGGTGACTCGGCCCCAGAGTAGGCCGAGGCCGACGGACACATCCGAGTAACAAAAAAAACGGCGAATTTGTGGAACTTTGAAAACCCATCGGGGATGTTCCGAAGTATCGCGCGACCTCCGTTCACTGTTCCTCGCTTGTATAGATTCACACCATTCACGGATGCTGGAAACGGCGGATCGCGAGATAAGCAACTCATCCTGAGCGAATCCTTGGATATAATCACTTGAGTAAGGAATTATAAGCATCTTCCCTGCACACGTATCATGCATGGAAATTTGCGCATAATTGCGCAAATATGTAAGCGAGATTGCGCAAATATGTAAGCGAGATTGCGCAAATATGTAAGCGAGATTGCGCAAATATGTAAGCGAGATTGCTCTTAGTGATCTGTTTAGTTAGGTGTTTATCAAACTAAAGCACGCATCAGCTGATGCCAAATTACCCAATCCCACAAGCATATAAACCACCCCTGGCTATGCGATATCTTAAACAACCAAAAACAGACAATTAGCCACAAAGCCAATATCTCTAAACCAGCCTCCAAGATGCACCATCCCCTCCGCGTCGGCGTCCTCCTCGTGGGAACCGCTCAACTCCTCGACCTTGCAGCCGTCGACCTCCTATACATGACAACACCCGAGTACCTCAACGAATGCTCACTCCCAAAGCCCCTACTAGACATGGGCCGGCCCTGTGAAATCCACTACATAGGACACGGCGGCGCAGATACGCTAGTCGAGACAACAGCGCGAATGTCCATCCGACTAACAGACTCACTCGTCGACTCCGCCGTCGCACCGGGCAAGCTCGACGTCGTGGTGATACCTGGGCCATCGCCCAAAGCCGGGCCCCCAGAAGACGCATACCTTGATTTTGTGCGCAGCCATAATGCAGCGGGGACTACGATTCTGAGTATTTGCACCGGCGCTTTCGTGATTGGGTACGCAGGGATAGGAAAGGGGCGGAGGGTTACGGCGCCGAGGCTGCTGGTTCCTGAGATGAAGAGGTTGTTCCCGGAGGCGGAGTGGGATGATTCGGTGCGTGTGGCTAGAGATGGGAATTTATGGACTAGTGGTATGTTTTGTGGCTACTGTTCTTCGAGGGTTGAAAGAGTATTGCTAATCTGTGCAGGTGGGATCACGAACGGTCACGATCTTGTTGCTGGGTATCTTCGTGAGAACTACCCTGCTGCGCTTGTGAATACGATCCTCGCCACTGCGGATATCCCTCCTCGTCCGGCGGCTTATGGTAGTACTACGACGAGTGACTTTGCTTATGTGCTGTGGCAGGTTGTTAGGGCTGTTCCGAATATGTTATTCCGACTGGTTCGGGGCAAATGATTTGTTGCGGAGAATCAACTCATTTGGTCCGAAGGCTCGGAGGGGGCATTTACCAGGTCTGTCCACGACGTTTGTGGGCTACTAAAACTAGGGATTTGAGAAGAACTGCTCAAGTGGGGCCACTGACAGATGTAAAGTGCGAAATTTGAATAATTTAACCATACAAACCAGAATAATTGTTCACTTCTTTTCTAAGGCTTCATAAATGGGAGATAGGTAAATGTTGAAAACACAAAACCTTATGCGATTTCCGAGATTCCAAAGCTCTGGCCCACTAAAGGCCCAGTTCAGATCGGGTTGATCAATTTCCAGTTCCAACTGTACAAAATTACATTTGTAGTCTGCCAGAGGTCATGTCATATGTATACTGAAGGTAACACAAGCACCCCAAAACGGCGCAAGGTGGGTACGTCATCCCGAGGCTCAAAAAACCAAGGAGTAATTTTAATCTTCAGCTACGTAATTGTACATATCTATATCTCCAAAAAGCATGTAAAAAGGAAAGAACAGTCTCGATTCAGTTCTCGTCCTACACGAAGACCACTACTCAGCCACAAAAAAAATGGCGATCAAACTCTCGATCCTCGTATTCGTTGCCTCGCCGCTCGACTACGCTCGCTACAGGCACACAGCGCTATACATCGAGTATGACGATCCGGAGAATGCGCAAACGCAAAGCACAGACCAAAGCGCAGCATCCATAAAATCCTCCCTGTCAGAGGTCGTGGGATCAACAGGTTTCTACAGTTACTCGGAGCGCCTAAACTGGGCGATACCGGTGTCTTCGGCCAGTGAGCATTAACTAACCTGGGTCGCCGTACGGTACATGCTAATTACATACGTGTATGTAGACGTGGCACGCATAGTCCCCGTCTCGACTTTCGATGCTGCGCCTGCTACCGTGCGGGAGACTATAGCCAGTATCCCGATACCGGAGGATGGGTCGTGGGGAGATGATTGGAATAGTCAGGATTGGGTGGCTGATGTATTAGGGAAGTTTGTGAAGATGGGGGTTTTGGATGGAGGCGTGCGGGAGCGCGCGGTGGATGGGATGGTTAGTGCAGTGTGTGAGGCTGGGGATGAAGAGGTTTTGGCATAGTTTGAGGTTCCAAGATGATTATGGGTTTGTACGATAAGTTCGGGGGTTAAGTCATCCTGTATATTGAGCGATATTTCTACATACTACGAGGGAATGCATGGGTGGAAGTGAAAGATAAATTTTTTGGGGTTTAGAGTCCTAGGAAAAAACAGAAAGAAAAAAAACCCCCCAAGGCCGGATAGAAGCAATTTGGGCGATAACGCTCGTACCATGCAACGCGTTGCACCACGCTAAAGGACAATGGAGAGAGAGAGAGAGAGAGAGAGAGAGAGAGGTAGAAGGAATGAAGAGAAAACAGTCGTGGTCATACGAAGAAAGGCGCTATCAAATATTCAACGAGAGAGATGCCGAATCCCATTCTCGGGCAAAATGTATGAACAGGCGATCGAACCAGGGATAATTATAGAAGCGTGAGGAAAACCCATGGCTCTTTTTTGCGGCTCCCGCATTATCTTCCATGCGGTGCCCAATGAATTGGCTCGAAGTCCGAGTTTTGGAAATGAGCTTGGTTGTACGGAGAGCTGAGAAGTCAGTAACTGGATGTGATTCATGATGCGAGTGAAACTCACTTTTTGAAAGGTGTCGTGACTGGCAGGGAACGACTCAGATTCGGTTTCATTACGAGGGGGTTCAACCGGATCTGCGGGCCGTCCGATGATCGACTGGGCAGTGAAGTCATGGGTGGCGGGGCCGAGGACAGTGGAGCGGGAGGGATACTAGAGGGAACGGGGATTGGTGGCATAGGGACGTGGCTTTGCATAGGTGATTGGTACATGTCTTGTTGCGGAGACATGCGGAAGGGACTGGCCGGCGTGGGCGAGACGGACGGCATGGGTGACATAGGAGCACCCATTCCAAAGGCAGAATCTTGCATCAGATTGGGGATGGCCATTAGACTTGAGTTCATGTCGAAGCCCAAGGTAGCGTTGTCCCAGCTGGTGTAGTCGGAGCTCAATCCATACTGGAGGTTGACGATAGGTGCCATATTCAAAGTGGAGTCAGCTCGGTACAGGAGATCATAGTGTCCTCTATATCAGGTTAGACTTGGTGTGACAAAATTGGTATTGGGAATACACACGGCCGATACAGAAGGCGCATTGTTGCCCCATTAGGACAATGGGTGGACAGTTGGTGCGGTGTAACAACGTCCCCCACACTTCGGTCGAGGTATAGAATTTCGACTCCAAATCCAGACCCTTCAATGACACTGTGGATCAGCGCCTGGAGACCCACTTCGTCAATTTCGGTCTTCACGGGGTCTATTCGGGTGCTGCAGTACTGATCCACGGGTATGTCAAGGAGGAATGCCTGGTACCGTAACGGGTCGAGCTTCATCCAAGCACTGGTCAATAACTTGACAAAGTGTCAGTTTATATCCATCAAAAGAGGCAACGCTTGCCAATAAAAACAGAGAAAAGAAAAGCACAACGACAGAAGATAGCTCATCAAAATTACTTACTCGGAAGTGAGTGATGACAGCATCGGAGCTGTAGCCCTCATTAAAAGCCTCAACGAGGAACGTTTCATCTTGAACACCGTTCTGGATCGCGGTGTGAATCCGATTCAAGATATCTTCCGTAGATTCAACAAAGAGCTCGTAGATATCTTGCACGATCCCGACTTGTTCCAGTAATCCATTAAGATTTTTGAATCTTTTGATTTCAGACTCGATACGGATGGGGTCTCTCAGGGCAAAAAGAGTTTCGAAATACCCAAAAGCCACCGCTACGCCGAGTTAGTATGTCACCCATAACATGTTGCATAATAACCATACCTCTCCAACCACAATCCCCATCACCCCTCATGATACGACATTCGGGATGGGAGTTAGCAAGCGCCTGTAAGCAAGTCAGATGCGAGACACGATTTGGTGACACAGACTTCGCCACAAAAGCTTACATTTGTCTTTGCTGCGAGAGTCGGGTCTGCATTAGAATAATCCAGAGCGATATTGTGGCTGGGCTGTTTTGTTGAGACAGGGGGACCCTGTCACGATGTTAGATGCTACAGGAAGGAGAGGGTGGGTAACTGCTACCTCTGTTTCTGGCCGGTAGGTGTTGGAGAGCTTTTGGAAGCGCTCCATTTCGTCGGCTGAAAGGGCATTCATGTTGATGGAGGAGGTTTGGGGGAATGCAGAGAGATAAAGGGGAGGTAGAATGGATGGAGAAAGAGCGTCCGGGTAGAAATTGGCGAAATCCTGCTTTACCGGGAACGGATGATGAGAACCAAAGTGATTCCAAGTAGGTTCTGATAAGGACATTGCATACGGCGAAGGATGACTTTATCGGAAGCGGTTTGAGTCCACGCAGTATTATATCAATTTCTGATAAATGTTAGAAAGTTCGAGGAATTTGGGGAAGCATATATAATGTAGAGAGAAAAGAGAATAAAAAAAAGACATACAGTTGGAACTGATATTTCCCGGGGACCTCAAAACAAAAGGCAGCACACTCCTTGTGCAACACTGAGAATCCCGGTACAATGGGTCTGCTTCTACTGACACAGTTCTCAGCATGGATGACGATCAAGACGCGAAGCATGCATAAAAATCAAAAGCCAGGCTCGCATAAACATGCCGGACCAATGGGTAATGCAAAGGAGAAACGGGGCAGAAGTTAGGCAAAAGTGATATCCAAAGGTGTGGTACTACAACAGGTAGAAAAGACACATTGATTGGGTTAGGATGAAAAGAAATGTGACGAAAGAGCTCGGTATAGGACAATCACATTATGAGAGATGAGCAATGAGAAATGATGTCAGGGGCAATTTGACTGTCATTTGAGTTCATTGATCTCATTAACCTTCTCATTCTAGAAAATGGAAGATTTTCCAATATGTAAATCCTCAGGGGGGTGAAGGGGGGGGGGAAGGTAGTGCACGAACCATCCGTGGGGCAGGGATTCAGATGACCTTTAGAGACGGATATAGATCCTAGGATGGATGTTTATGGATAAGAAAGTTGCGGCAAGGAGGGGCCAGAAGCCCTTAGAGGGACATGTGTATGACACACAATGACAACAAAAAGAATGCGATCGGAGGGAAATTAAGTACCTTTTTGCCCATGAGAAAATCAAGGAGTGGAGAGAATGGGATGTTGAAAGAGGTAAGAGTTAAGTTGTTGAGAGGTAAGAAAAGAGAGAAGATCGGGCGTTGGCGGATAAGAAGTTATGTGATGATTTTGTAGGGAAAGGAAAAGGGAAAATTGAAACCTTGGAAACCTTTCCCCTCATTAAGAGAGAGAGAGAGAGTGAGGGAGAGAGAGAAACAATCAAATCACCTAAAAAAATCCCGGAAAAACAGAATAGGAATAATATAATAATACAATAATACAATAATAATAAAAAAGAGAAAAAGAGAGGAAAAAAAAAACAAGAGAAAAGAAAAAGTAACGATGCACCGTGCCCAATTTCCATACAGATGTCTGAAGATGCTGATCGGGGCTCGTGTAAACGCTGTTAAACAATATATTATCAACCGTACCTATAGAAGATAAAAGGTAACTTTGTCCTTATATATGGAGTAATAGCCTATAACTATAAAATATATAACTATAAATGTACGTATATAATACTAATCCCTTATAGTGTCTAGGTGAGCCTATCTGATATCACATAAGTACCTACGCTTAAACCCCCCGATATCCCGAAGTACTACTATACTATACTATATACTATACACTAGTTATATTATTCTCTCCATTTACGGAGTCAAAAAAACACAAAATATCAATACGGGTAAATGGTTGGAAAAGCGGGGTTCTCCAGGGCTGAAATATTGTTTGATCCCGATATGATTCGTGGCTAAGAAGAGCCGAATCGAGAAATCGTGGCGCTATTGTCGCCGCGATGGTGGCATTAGCCATTATTACCACGTACAATATTCTTGTGTGTTGAACCTCTTTCTTACTTTTCTTTCTCTTTATTATCACTATCTAGGTATATGTTGTTATGGTTATTGGAACCTTCCTGGTTCTCTACACCAATGTAGAGTTACCCTGTAGTTATATACTTATAGATGGCTTACAATGTGATAATTCAATCACCCGACCCTAGTGCTCGGATATCCATTCTCTCTTGGTGATTTGCGCTAAAACACTCTCTTTACCAAATCTGCTGGCAATTTCAAGGAAATCGAGATCTGTGCGGCTTAAGGCGTCCACGATGCTCGAAGGAAGCAAAGGAAGAAAAGCTCCGTACCTGCGCGTCAAATCGTCGTCGGCGCAAATAACTTGTTCACATGCTTTTTTTTCTTCTTTGTCTTTTTTCTTCCTTTCCTTTCTTTTTATTTACCCTCTTTCACAAAGTACTACTGGGATACTGGGACTGGGATTGGGATACTAGGATACTACTTCTTAAGTAGGATCCCAACCTTGGGATCGGAGGGGGCTTCCGTTCTCCGTCGAGGCCCGTCGGATTGTAATCCGGCCTGTTGGGTTAGGAGACTTATCATTTGAGTGGCTTGCAACAAGTTTCAACTTTTAGAAAGAACATTAATTCTGTGGGATATACCTGACGTGAGACTATAATCTCTGCCGCCTACTCCACCTGCACATGTAACTATAGGTACATATGTAGGCACCTAGATATATATAAGTTTAATACTACCATACTTTGAGGAAAAACATTGTGAAAAAGTTCATCTTATCATGATTTTAGCGCTGTCAGACCAACTTTAAATAGCGGGTCGAAACATGAAATTGTAGCCTTCAAACAATCGGTGTGAGATCCCAGCGGCTCAATTAATCCCAGGTACAGAACACGTGCCACCTAGGCGCTTAATATTCTTTACTCTACCATTGTGACGGCTTTTGTTTGACAGGCTTGCGAGCACGCTCATCTCGGAACCCTGGCTGGAACATCGAGCCAGTAGGCTCGTCGGCGCGCAACCCCTCACTGTTCAATGTTGTTTGCCAGAGAGTGCGCAGCGCAGAGCTCCACTCTTCCACAGCCCGCAGCCGCTCCACGTCACTCGCACTCTCCACCGTAACTGTGCCATTATCCTGGTCGATCTTGGCATTGAGCTTTTTATCGAGGATCAAAAAGCTAAGGATATCCAGCACTTCGGGGACCGAAATTTTGATATGCTTGGAGATAAATTGGAGCGAGAACCGAGTGTAGGGGGCAATCAGTTTGAGGACGGCCTTGGTGCGCATATTGCGGCTAACCTCGTCGATGTTTTCCGCGATGAAAGGATCGGCCAACACGTCGGGATGTTTGCTCAGTACATCCTCGTATGCATGTATGTCGTCACGCTGGAAGGCGTCGACTAGATCGGTCATGGCCGAGATTCGTGGGTCGTTCTTGTATGGTTTGGTTTCTTGGGAATCGAACGGGTTAATGTCGGACTTCATGAGCATGGTCGTTAGGACCAGGTACTTGAGTACCTGGATTCGTTGCATGGAACCCGCCTCGTCGTAGTTTCGGAATGATTCGAAGAAATCACTTTGTGCCTCCTTCCAGTTCTCCTCGCTCATGTGCATCTTGCCCCCACATTCACGGATGATGCCCATGATCTTGGGATGTGGCACTGCCGACCGCACTTTGAGAGCCCGTTGATACAGGGCCTTGAGTCGTTTGTTGTTCTTCGTTTCGGCGAACATTTGGATCTCCAGGGCATAGAGCTCGAGTAGGTATGTTCCCTTGCTGGTGTCGTCCGATCCATCATCGTGCCGGCACGCCTGGTGCAGTTCGCGCACCTTCTTGCCCAGCTGTGTGTATTGCTTGCGCTCAAGCCATAAGCGAGCCAATTTGATGTTTGTCTTCAGCCAAAGGCGTTCATTGTTTGTGTTTTGGAAGGATTCGAGGGTCATAGAGTAGAACTCCTCCATGCATTGGTACGTCTTTGCATCATCCGATTCTTTCTCGATGAAATCGAGCATGTTATTGATTGACTTCTCGGAATAGTTTCGTGTAACGGCGGATTTAACATATGTGAGCAACTCGCGGTAGTGTTCAACGGCCTAATAGAGAGATGGAGAGTCAGTACGGCAACCAAAGCATGTTGGGATATGAACTCACATCGTCGTATCGTCCAAGCTTGAACTCTAGCTTGATAGCTTGCTTCAAACCCTTGAAACCCCTGTTTTTCAGTCAGCACTGGTCATCGCGACCAGCTTAGAAGCCATACCAGTCGCCTTTATCTTGTTCCATGGGCGCTATGCCTAGAAACTCATCGATCGCCTCCTCTGGGTTGTCGACCTTGATCTGCTTCGCATTGTAGTATTTGTTTTCGATTCCGATGTCACCGGATTCGTCGTCATCTGCATCCTCGTATTCAAAGTCGTAACTGCGATGTCAACAGTCAGCTTGGTCTGGCGGAGCGGAGGAAGGGCCCATACTCCTCATCCCCGGAGTCCTGCATAAAATCATCGTCATCAGACATATTGAACAAGCGCTGTGCAAAAAGAAAATCTCAAGCAAATAGAAAAGTAGGCGAAGTAGTGTGGAAGGAGAGGTCGCGAAGTCGGGTGGGGTTTGGAGAAGCTTGGTGAGATGATGAGCTTCCGCCTCGCGACTCTGGACTTTGGTCACTTTTATCCTAATTTCTCAGGCACTTTATTTGGCTGAATTGACTACAATATTATTCAACTAGGTAATGGTTGTCTATGTCTATGAAGGCTTCTATTCAAAATTATAGATTGTCAGTTGTCCATTGAAAGTTAATATCAATGATTTGAATGTATTTCAAGCATATTGTTTGAGGTGCTACACCCATTGATGAACTTCCTGGGAGCTTGTTAAGACATTAATGGACTTTGATTCAATCCAACAATGCAGACGACATTCAAGCTCGAATCTTAGCGAGATAGATCAAGCCACCTGCAGAAAGGAAATGAGAGATCCACATCATCTTTCCAAGCTCTGTTACCTGTCAGGGGCTCGGTATGCTTTCTCCCCTTAAGCAAGATTCCAATCTACGATCTTCGATATTTTGATTGTAGAGAACATCCCAAAGCAACACATAAATTTCCACATGTATGTAATATATTGTATAGTTATATGGAAAAAGCAAGTACAAAAGGTATACAACGTACATGTAGGTCGGTATCTAAAAGCCCCAATGCTCCCCGTAAGCCTAGGAGCGGGGAAGTATAAAACAGTATAAAATCAGACCTATAACAGGGAGCGATAGCAAGCAGAAACAAGCGCCAGTAAAGCTACAAGTCAATAGTCCAAGAAACGGCAGAGAGAAAAGCCGAGAAAAACCTTGAGAAGGGGGGAGACGCTATTCGCCGATCCTTCGATGTCATCGACTCGGCCAGTCCTGGAATCTTCCCCCGACAACAACCTCATATTAACCCCTAATTCTCTATATAAAAACCCTCAACTTTGCGCAATGCAGCTATGCGGCAGACAGAAGTTAGTCCAGCGCAAGATGGTGCTGCTGTTAGTTTCCAATTCGGATTCCCCATTGACGACCGGTCTAACACTTCAACAGAGGCGACGGAGCCTGTGGCAAGACATCAGCGCTGAACGTGTTTACACGGGGGTGCGCGCAACCCCCTCGCATCCAAAACCTGAGCTAATGAATCTAGATTTTTCCCGACTGTCTAGTAAGAAAAGTACAAAAATACGAATGAAAATCCAGCTTATTGACTGATTCCGCGCGAAGTGAACCAACGGTGTTCGGTATGCGCCCTATCTCCCCGTCAATCTACGTCTACGCTTAACTAACAGGTTCCAGAAAACTATGTCCACGGTATATTATTTCCCACTCTCCACCCACACTAGGACACCACTCATGCGACCCAGATATCTTCGTCGATAACATACACGTCGAGCTTTCGCTATGGGACACGGCCGGTCAGGAGGAATTCGATCGCCTGCGCGCATTATCGTATGAGGATACTCATGTGCTCATGCTCTGCTTTAGTGTAAGCGGATGATTCCTCCGACGAGAGCGCGCACTAACAACACTGATAGGTGGACAGCCCAGACTCGTTCGAGAACGTGTCGTCGAAATGGATCGCGGAGATTAATGAGAATTGTCCCGGTGTACGGGTTGTCCTGACGGCCCTCAAGTGCGATCTGCGCAAAGATGAGGATATGAATGATAATCCCAATGCTATTAGCTTTGACCAGGGTCTGGCGAAGGCGAAGGAAATTGGCGCAGTGAAGTACTTGGGTGGGTGTGCTTGGTTGTGCTCAATTGAATGTGACTAACTTATTGGTAGAATGCTCTGCGGTCCAAAATCGCGGTATTAGGGAGAGCTTCTATGAAGCTGCTAAAGTTGCTCTTGATGTCAAGCCGGCTGGGAGCGCGTCCTCTGGCTCGTCGTGTATCATTCAATGAGCGCTGTGATCCTAGCTTCGTGTCTGGCATTCAGGCCTAGTCATTTTGCCCTTTCTTCCTCGTCGAAAGGGCTGTATGCCATATTTGAGGGGATGCCTGGCCTCATCTTCCCCCTATCGTGCTTTTTGTTTCCACTCATATTTATACTCGATTTGTTTGATTCCCCCATGCATTGGTGTTTTGAGTTTGTTTTCGACCATCTTTCTTTCGGCCAGAGTGGGCTATATTATCATCTCAGGCTCGACCATGGCTCGAAAATCGACCTGTGTTGATTGCATTCGCATAGCTCCGGATCTCTATTCCGAGCATCCCAGCGAGGTTGGTCTTTTGATGTCTTACGCTTAAATAAAAATATAATTTTCTTAGGTTCTATTCGTCGTTCCTGTTCTATGTGAAGTCTTGCCTGGACCTTTCTTTACCGTTTTGAGATTAAATTGAGATGGAACACGTGTAACTTTCACCAAGTACGCGTGGAGATACCGTGGACAAAGCCATTCTTATGCTGATAATAATCCCTTGCTCGTCCTCATTGGGAACAACCAAGGGTATGGCTTTGCGTCAGTCGATGATCGGCTGATGTAGACTGATTCACAATGCAACCACCTAGATATATTTTGATTACATTGATTACAGCATGCAGGTCCCCATTTGGATGTTCGCATCGCATGTTATGATATAGACCATCCATGGATGCAGCCGAATCAACACCGTGCTTGGGTCAGCTATAGTACATGAAATATGCATCCTATAGACGAGCTTGACATAGCATCAAATAACACAATTGCAAAGTAGACATCTTGCCATACAGGCATAATCTAAAGCATACAAGCCTATAATACAACCCAACTAATAAGATGGATAAGACGGATAAGACGGCAAAATATCCTCCTCGCGAACCCGATAGACCTCATCAATCTTCTCTCCCGCCTTCTCTCCACAAGCAAAATCAGCATTAACCCGCGCCACAAAGCGCTCCACAAACCCCTCAGCAACATCATCAACGCGCGCCTCAACCCCAACCCCCTTCAAACTCGTAACTTCCTTCCCCTCAAGCCCACAAGCAACAATTTGCTTAAAGAACCACATCGGCTCATCCGTAACATTCAAACCAATCCCAAAGCTGCTGATATTGCGCCTCAGATGCACCCCAACAGCAGTAATCTTCTTCGGCCCCTCCCCAACCCACACCCCGGGATCCTCCGTCGTAAATCCCTTGACCCCATACCCGGCCAATAGATCAATGACGCTGTTTTCCAAAACGCGGATATGGCATCGCGGCGTGAGCCCCAGTCTTTTCAGATCGAGAATCGTATATGCAACCATCTGACCCGGGCCATGGTAGGTAGTTTGGCCGCCACGCAGGGTCGGGTGGTACTCCGCTTTGTTGGATGTGAACAGGGAGCGGATTGGCTCGAGGGGTGGGGGCAGAGAGAGGGTTGTTGGTGAGGGTGGGGTGTTTGATGGCGGCAGGTCGCGGCGGCCGGTTGTGTAGACGGGGTTCGGGCTGAACGTTATGATTGTTGGGTCTGGGGGCGGTGGTGGCGTTAGAGAAATGGTGCTCGTTTTGCTGGGTGATTGAGAGGAGATTGAGCCTGGGGAGGCGAGCTTTTTATAGGTGAGGAGGCGGGTTGTGAGGGCTTGTTGAAGGTCGGAGACTCGGGCGAAGGGCGTTGTGTATGGGAGGTGGAGGTGAGCGAGTCTCATTTTGGAGGTTTGGAGGTTTGGAGAGATGGTAAATGGTTTGTGAAATTGTGTCTCTTATTGCATTTTGCGGCTGTGGATGGTGAGTTGTGTTTTCCACGGAGTTGGTCGGTTGCGGAGAAGCTGCGAGCTCCTGGCTCCGATAAGGTTTGATAAGTAGCGGCCTGCAATGCTGCGATTCCATTCCAGATGCTACAACCTACGTTTGTAAAAGTCCAAAGGGCTGCTGCGAATGCTATGTTTAAGTTGTTCGGTTAGTTTCGCTCTGAATACTTCATGCTTGACCATGTAACTCTTAGCTTTCGATATCCGGGATAATCAATGAAGGCCAAAACTAATTTACAAGCATGGCAAGTCTTAGACAAATTGGACTAGTAGTATTCAATCGTACATGAGCAAAGGCCATTTCCGGAAAGTATAGACAGATCACCGCTTCCGAAACGCGTTTGGGACGATATCTGGCGCGAGGATATCAATGAACGATTGTTGTAAAGCCATTCTCTACACCCTAAATGCAGAGCATGCCAACGTATGAAACTAAGAAGAGGCCACGCCATTGACCAGCCCAGCATCCTGCTGCTCAGCAGGAAGCAGAACCCAGTCACGGACACCACCCTTCCAATCAGCAATACGGCCTTCAGTAACCCTCACAATAACGACACGCACATCAGTATCAAGCGAGACACTAGGTCGCCTTTGATTGGGATCCTGTTGCTGCTGCTGACCGAAGAGATTGATCTCTTCTTCCTCGAAGGTATTATTTTCCAAATGACGAGCCTTGCACCACGACTCCTCCTCCGAGCCAGACTCCAAGAACTTCGCCTCACCACAAATAGTAGTCGAGATGCTCGAGAGCGCACTGGTGTTCAAATTGAGCAGCAGACTTGCAAGCGACGAGCGGGTAGCGGCGGGAGGAGGGGATCCTTCGCGATCACCGTGTGCTGTGGCCCGGGTAGGCGGGCGATGTGATACCCAGTCGTGGACCAACAGGGAGACTCGCGGGTTGGACAAGAGGTGGTTTGTTTTTCGCGATGCGGGGTTCGTGGTCATGATGATGGTTGGGGGGGGGTCGAACGGGGTCGAGGGGAGATAGGTGTAGGACATCAAGGAGATATGGGGTGTTTTGTCATCACATGTTGCCAAATGCAGCTGGAAGAGAAGATTAGTTTCCAAGAGTGGTTCGGTTGCTTATCTGGCTGCACTTACGAAGCGGGAGTTTTTGAGACATGAGATGACCTCCGACGGCAGGGAGGTTGCGACATGAGGATGCGTGGTGGTCGCAGATGCCTCGTAGGACAGTGGGGGGTTCAGTGATTCAGTCATTTTCACAATTGCAAAACAGTGAAGCTGAAGAAGAGGGACGATCGAGATCTGCCGATATTCGGGAGGGGCGGTGTCCAATGACTTTAGGCAGATCATTGCACAACGTCATCCATTTTATTTCGTTTCATGATTTGCCTACCTACCTAGGTACATCTTCGGTAAATTTTTTACTCTGGTCCAAGGCTCAACATGTATCTAGATCAATCTAGACTTCACTTGTTACCTCTACCGCTATTGTAGTTGTCATTCAGTGTAAGCGCCTATACACGGCAAACCCTGGAGGGATGTGCAGCACAGAGACAAGTCAAATAGGATTTCGTCATAATTGCGACAAGATGGATTTGATGATCGTGTGCTACATTATAATATATACTATTGAGGGTATGATAATCGAGTATTTGCGGTATCATATACAAACAAAAAGCAAACAGTTGAATTAGATGAATCACCCTTTATTGAATAGAGGCGATGAACGGAGTAATGGTAGACACAGTGTTACGATAAAGTACGGTATTTGATCCAATCACAATAGCTGTGCCTTGAACCGATACCTGTATATTGTATACAGTACATCTCAGCCATGTCATCATTATCCACATTTTAGTGGTAACTTGGCTGTATATTAGACAAATGGTACCAGCATGGTTCGTCACCAGTACCCACAGCTCTGGGGATAGCTCCTTCCCCGCACATTGAGCTCAAGGGCAGTGCATCTCTTTTGTTCACCACCTGTGGGCAAATCAACTCTTCACTCATAGTCAGCGGATTAATTCTACTCCCTCTTTCTCTCTTACTAGTCCAACTTGTTGTCACTGGTACATTCCCTTACTCTCCGACCCAATCGGTATATCCATCCCCCGGATCGTCGTGTGCCCCTTCAATCGCCTCTTTTTCTGCGTACAATCCCTGTTCTTACCTCTCCACTCTACTTTCCCCTTCTCTTCCCCTCTTCACTCTGTAACAATTTTTTCTCCTTTCCCATACCTTTCCCACTTCTATCTTCCTATCTTCCTAGCTCCCTCTACCTTGGACCCTAGTGAACCATATTTTTGTACCTTATTGTTCCTTCCATAATGCTGGGTCCACGCGCAATCCGCACAGCCAGGTCAGCGACCTCGTTGCTACGACCGTTTAGTTCATCGGCCATGGCCTACCGTTCCCCCTCCATTCGAGACGTCACACCTCAGTCGACTGAGGAGTTCCTCAGACGACAGAAGGAATTCCGCGAGAACCTGGAACAGGCTCGTGTGAGAAAAGAACAGCAAGAGAGTCAGTCTGTCAATGCTTCTGCCTCTTCTTCTTCTTCTTCTACCCCTTCCCGTGAGTACGCTCCCACTGCTCCACAAGTGAGCAATGCGAGCAGTCATGATTATATCCACACTTTCGATGCTGCTACGCCACTTGATCACAAGGCACTGGACTCACTTTCGATGCACCGATATATAGGGGAAGATCATCAACATGAAGCTGCCTCCAAAAGGGGCTCTTTTTCGTCGCTTATCTACGGCACCAAGGAGGGCCAGCACTTTGACAAAGATATGGAACGCTCCTTCTCGCAGGTTCTGGCTCGCGGCAAATACGTCCACTCCATCGTTATGCACGACGTCAAGCCTGACAAGGTCGACGAATATGTAGAATTGGTCGGCCAGTGGTACCCTCGTATGGCGGGCACCGAGGAGAACCGTGTCAACTTGGTCGGTAGCTGGCGCACGCAAGTGGGCGACAATGATACCTTTAGTAAATATCGATCGAAGCTTTTGGATACATTGTGTGTAGGCTGACCATTTCTGCTCGAACAGTCCACATCTGGGAATACCAACGTTACGAAGGCTACCACGCCTCCCTTCACAACATCTCGGAGCACCCAGAGTTCCGCGAGTTTGACCGCAAACTCAAGAGCTTGATCAAGAGCAAGAAGACCTCACTCATGCAAGAATTCTCGTTCTGGCCCACCACCCCGCCCCGCCGTCTCGGTGGTCTATTTGAGCTCCGATCGTACACACTGCACCCAGGTAACCTCCTGGAGTGGGAGACCCACTGGCGCCGTGGTCTGACAGCCCGTCGTGAAGTGATGGAGGGCGTGGGTGCTTGGTTCGTGCAGATTGGCGACCTGAACACAGTGCACCATCTTTGGCAGTTTGCCAACTTGGAGGAGCGCAAGATTCGTCGTGAGGAGTCATGGGGTGTTGAGGGTTGGGCCGAGACTGTCCACAAGACTGTTCCCTTGATCCAGAGCATGCAAAGCCGGATTCTCGTTCCTATGCCATGGAGCCCTGTTGGCTAAATTGAAACCCATTGAAGCGTCTGTTCATTTGAATGTTTACCAGGTTCTCTCGGTTGAACCATAGCGAGATGGATTTCATCATTGCTCTCTATTACCTGTCGTTTTCCCGTTGAGTATGAGTGGAGGATACCAGGCCCTCTGTATCATATCCTGTATTGTGTACCTGAGCATGCAGCATCAAATCCAGCATACGTCGAATTCTTTGTGTACAGTGTAGCCTGGGATAACCCCGCTCCATAAAAGGACGATCTCAACACCGTTGAGGCATTTCATTGGCAACGCTTGGACAGCAGTATACACGCTGCACGTGTTGCCGAGCGGTCCCCTCTCTGGAAAGGAGTACAAAGAACTATCTCTAAACTGGAAGTGTACTACTTACATCATAGCCATCCTGCAACTGTTAACTTCAAGCTCACCAGATCTAATCTATCCCACTCCGACTTCCGGCAGAAAATTAAATAAATAACCAAAGATCGAGACCAAGTGGCCTCTTCAGCTTCGCCGATCTTCAAGTTCCCCAGCGGGACCCAGTTTTCCGCCGCGTTTTTTTCTCTCTATTTTCCATTTCCCATTTCTGGAACGTCAACTCCAACAATCGCGCTCTAACTCCCGTGTTTGGCGCAACACGAAATCCGAACCTCTCAATATCCAATATATGCGCGCGCAGAACGAAACCGCACAATAGACGACCGCGCATTCGCAGACGCGCAATAACACAGCGATGGTGTACATCCGGCAACATCACCTCGCGAATCTCAAGAACTACAAATATGCGGGCGTCGACCACTCGCCGATCAGTCGGTTTGTCCTCAAGCCGTTCTATAGCAATTTCGTGATCAAATGTTTCCCAATGGGCATGGCGTGAGTATACCGCTTCCTGCTGTACTTTCGCAGACAGCACCACGAGTTGGTTTCTGTTTTGCCATAAATATGCGCAATATAACTGACTTGGATTCTTTTTGCGCGTTCAAGACCAAATGCCGTAAGTTTTCCTGTGCGACAAGTTGGAGTATGGCAGAATCTAATCTTTCCTGTTGGTAGATCACTCTCACCGGATTCATGTTCGTGGTGATCAATTTCATCACTGTTATGTGGTACAACCCGAATCTGGATACCGATTGTCCGCCCTGGGTCTATGCCAGTTGCGCCATTGGCTTGTTCCTGTACCAGACTTTTGATGCCGTAGATGGCATGCAAGCGTATGTTTACACTCCCAGGCTGGTGGGCTTTGCTGATTTGGTACAGACGGAGGACGAGACAGAGCGGACCTCTTGGCGAACTCTTTGATCACAGTGAGTTGCGAGCTGACATGAAAGAACGGACCGGATAGCTGACCTCTACAGGCGTCGACGCATGTAACACCGGACTCGGCGTATTGGTCTTCGCATCGGCAATGAACCTCGGTCAAGGTTGGATGACCTTCATCGCTCTATTTGGATGTATGAGGATCCCCATCCCCCACACATAACGTTCTAACAAGCGCAGCAACAATGACCTTCTACGTGCAAACCTGGGATGAGTACTACACACAAATTCTGACACTCGGGGTTATCTCCGGACCCGTCGAGGGCATTCTGGCACTTTGCACCGTCTACGCATTCACAGCCTACATTGGCGGCGGCAGCTTCTGGCACCAATCGATGCTCTCTACAGTCGGCGTGCCGAAGCCTAATTTCGTCCCAAGCCAAATATACAACATGCCCTTCACGCAGTGGTACCTGGTGTACGGCGCGTTCGTGCTATTCTTCGCCACAGGCTCGAGCATCATGCACGTTATGCAGGTGCGCCGCGAGCGAGGCCAGGACCCCTTCGTGCCGCTTTACGGCTTGCTTCCTCTGATTGCGATTTGGACTCTCATCCCCGCCTACCTGTACCTGCAGCCGGCAATTTTGGAGAACTATACCATTCCCTTCGGACTGTTTGTGAGTCTGGTGAATGCCTACTCGGTCGGTCGCATTATCATTGGACACCTCACTCAGACGAGTTTCCCCTACCACAATGTTCTGCTGTACCCGCTCGCTTTGGGTGTTCTCGATAGCGCGGGTGCGCTGGTTGGATTGTGGTCTGCGCCTGTGCTTGGGTACGGTGTTGGACAGGTGGCGTTCGTCTTTGTGTGCTTGGGTCTGGCGGTTGGAGTGTACGGTAGCTTTGTGGTATGTATCCTTTCTCTTGTTTTGCTGGTGCCCGATCATTGCTAATGCTCCCCAGTTCGATATTATCACCACGATATGTGACTACCTCGACATCTGGTGTCTCAGCATCAAGTATCCCTTCGCCGAGGAAACCGAGCGCAAGAATGGCGTGCTGAAGAAGACCAAATAGAGGGTTATCGGGACAACCCGAAATCTTGGAGAGCTGGTGGAAAGAAGCTCAACCTTCACCCTCCACAAGCGGAAAAGCTCTGTTGAGCTAGGCGGAGTCGAGTATCGACAGATACCGAAGAGCAGGCATCAAATGATACCTGACTAATGACGTTTTCGGTAGTACATAATTTTTCGAGCAAGTTAGCTCTAAACTGGCGATTTAGCGGTAGAATATAAGGGTTGTAATTGCAAATTTTCTCGATCCTTCTACAAGAAATGTAGATTGTTGTATTAAAAGTCATGAGACTGCTTGCCTCCATTGGATATACAAATGGCGCTAGTCCAAAGTAGGCAGTTAAGTGGACCAGATGCTTTGGTCTCTGATTGGCTGGAACGTCGTGCCCTAAGCGAGAGAGAGGGCACAAACGGGTCAGCACCGCTGGCAGTCACAAATCCCTTCAAACTTTTCGAACGACTTCATTCGCATCACACAAGGCCATCGCCATCAGCGCCATTAATCAACTATCTCGCTGATCGACTTTCACTCGTCAAGATGGTGAGCCCAATTTTTCGCCCTGATTTTTCGCCCGGCCCTATTCGATTCGATGCAGACCGGGGCCGAGACGAATTATCGACAAATGCTTCAACATCGATGCTAACATGCTGTCCTACTAGGTTCTCGCTGTCGATCTTCTCAACCCCACCCCTCAGGCTGAGGCCCGCAAGCACAAGCTCAAGGTATGACCGACCTCCGCCGCAAAAAATCCCCGATCGACCTGGATCTACGACTGGACCTGGACGTCCCGATACTCGCCATCGGGCGAAAAGGAACAGACGGATTCAGATGGACAAAAAGAATACTGGACTCCGAATTGATGGCTGATTCTCGAATTCGCGTACAGACTCTTGTGCCCCAGCCCCGCTCCTTCTTCATGGACGTCAAGTGCCCCGGTTGCTTCACCATCACCACCGTCTTCTCCCACGCCCAGACCGTCGTCATCTGCGCCGGCTGCTCTACCGTTCTGTGCCAGCCTACTGGTGGTAAGGCTCGTCTGACCGAGGGCTGCTCTTTCCGCCGCAAGTAAACGAGAAACGAATGAAAAACTTTTTTTTCTTGTTATGTTCCGGTTGAAACGTCAAAGAGAGAATTAGCATGGAGAAATTAGGATGAAAATACCAAAACCCGGGGTTGACCTCTTCTTATTATTTTTTTGATCGTCTCGGCTTCGGTTTTCGTTTAGGGGAGAGGCTTCCCATGGCCCTTTTCTAGCATTTGCCGCTAGATGCGGTTCTCTTCCTAACGGGCTTCAAAATGTCACATACCAACCCTTTTCTTTCAATATCACCCTTCCCCTGCCGAATATGGACATTTCTCTTAACTGTTGCTTCGACTGGTGTCGGGATGCGATTTGTGGATGATCTGGTTTCACGACTATATCTGTTCGCATTTCCATGAAGAAGAATTTGAATGTGGCTTTTTGACCCTTCCTATTTTCTCTTGCTTGTTCTTTCCTTTGCATTTCACGGTGACGATCAGTATCTCAGCGTTGAATTTTTGTTTTCTTGCGCATTGATGACAGATAGAAGATGGAATGACCCGACCCTGTCAACGACCCCAAAAGCATTCAAAAAAAGCAAGCATTCTGCTAGGGAGTTCCGGATATCTGGCACAAAAAAAGGCACCCTGCTTGACTTTGTGCTATGTTTTTGTTTGATTATCTGGCTTTCAAATGTTTCTGCGACTATTGTACAATCGGTTCTCTCAATATATGAGTTGTACCTCGTACTTTGTCAGAGTAGCGTAGTATTATGGCCCTCGAGGCACGCACCTGGGCACTAGACACCCACCTCCGTCGTATCATGAGTACATGCCCATCAACCCGGAACATCCGGCTCAAATAAAGTCAATACCATGCGCCATGCCGTTCTCATACTTCCCCGCTATCACACCCTAAGGAGCCATTGAGCGTTAGTAGTCCCCCTACCGCAGTCCCCTGTTATTCTGTGGCACAGACCGAGCGATGCCCCAAACCCAGGCCTGCGGAGATGCGCCACCCGAGCATTCTCCACTTAGCGCTACGAAAGCTCTGATGTTCTTGTTTGGGCATTACTTGATGTCATGTATGCTTCAATGTAGCAGGGGTCAGATTGGAGCTAGTTAACATTGATTATTTCTGAAATATCGAAACATGTTTCTTTTAGCTAATTAGATACTACAGTGCCTAAGTCTAGTTTCTACTGCTCATCTAGGTATTAAACAGCTCTACAAGAATAACTTCTCTATTAGTAAGGCAACCCACTATGATATTGTACATCCAACTCCCACAAGAAATCAATGAAAGAACCCATAATAGCTAAGAAGAAAAACAGAATAATTGCGGATTTTGGTGTATGTACAAAAAATTGGTTTTTTTCGGAACGAAAGACTAGTCACTGAATCCAGCAAACAAATAAAAGAACCTGGAGACCTAGCCAAAGTCAAGAGAATCCTTAAGTAAGTAAAATGTAATGTATCCAAAATATCATCAATTAAGCCAAATCAGCCGCCCGAGCCTTAACCTCCGCCCCGAAGTCTGCGGGGTTGGAGGGGTCGCCACCAGTCATCAAAGCCATCTTACCAGAGGTATCATTGATGAGCAGGGAAGCGAAGTTGTTGCGGCCTCGGGCTTCATTGACAACGCCGACAGCGGCACTGTCGCCGGCAGCAAACTTGGCGGCGTCGACCTTCTTCAACTGGTTGTGGGTGTTGCGGACGAAGTCATAGACGAAGAAGATTGTGGGGTTGGTGTTGGGAGGCTGGCACTCGGGGTGTGCTTCAAAGGCGCTGTTCTTGGTTAGTAAAACGCATGGATGCTTCTCGATGTGGATATAGTAGGCTGAGAGATATATTGGGGAGTTACGTACTCAAGAAGCGCCTGCATCTTGCTGCTGAGGTCTTGGAGGTTAATGTCACCCATTATGTGTGTTCGAAGTGGAGCAAATTGTAGAAGAAAGTTGCGAAAGGAATAGTAGGAAGGTTGAAGTAAATGGTTTGTGATGGTTATACTTGATCCGGGTTCTCGGAAATTTCCTATCGTGGACTCCGCCCTCGTTATCTTATCGGATTGAAGAGGGGGACTTAAAACCACCAGTCTTTTCAACTAGCGTGCAATGCATATAACCCGCCTCAATTCCTTCTCCCTCCCAATCGTTAAAGCAACCCAAGTCCGCACCCTCCGCACAGTAACAATGGCACCCAATCCAACCGCCCGGCAGCCCCTCAAACTGCTCATGCTACACGGCTATACACAATCCGGCTCCCTGTTCCACGCCAAAAGCCGCGCCCTCACAAAACACATCCAGAAGGCCTTCCCCCTGCACGAAGTCACAGCAATCTACCCAACAGGCCCTCTCCGCCTACGCCCCTCCGAAATCCCAGGCTACGAGCCCTCATCCGAGGGCCAGCCCGACACCGACGAAATCGAAGCTTACGGCTGGTGGCGGCGCTCGAACACCGCCAATCCCCCCCCTTTACACCGGGATCGAGGAGGGCTTTGCAGCTGTTGCGGAGACCTTGAAGAAAGACGGCCCCTTCGACGGCGTGATCGGGTTTTCGCAGGGCGCTGCCATGGCAGGCATGGTGGCTGCGCTGCTGGAAGGGCGAAAGGAGACATTCGAGCACTTTGCTACCGTGAGCGAAGACGGCGCGAGCGGGATGGCTATTCCTGCGCCATTTGGCGATGCGGACTTCCAGCACCCGCCGCTTAAATTTGCGCTTTGTTATTCTGGGTTCCGCGCACCAGGAGCGCGGTATAGGGCTTTCTACGAGCCCGCTATTGCGACGCCTGTGTTGCATGTGCTTGGGTCTTTGGATGCTGTTGTTGAGGAGTCGAGGAGTCGGGCGTTGATTGAGGCTTGTAGTGGAGAGCCGGAGAAGGATGGCTCTGTTGTTTGGCATCCTGGTGGTCATTTTTTGCCTAGTCAGCGGCCTTATTTGGATGCTGCTGTTAGGTTTATACGGGAGCAGATGGAGCGTGGGGAGGGGAAGGGAAAGAAGGCTGACGAGGTGGATGTTAATGATATGGATATGCCGTTTTGAGCTTGTATAGATAGAGCTGGATCTACCTGGTTAGATTAGAGTCTAGATCATAGATGCATACCCCCTTTCAACTGACGGGTTCACGATTGCTACTGTTGAGATATTGAAATGTGGAAATGGCATATAAGGTTCAATGCTGTGACATTGGATCTACCGGCGAATTATTTTACACGCGGTGGCATCCGCGCCCAAGTCCATACACACTCGTCCAATTAATGCGCCTTGCCCATGTCACTGCGGGTTGGCTGGATGCGGGCCATCATCTCTTCCTTGGTAATGAGATGATCAATCCGCTCAAGCAGGCCAAGCAGGTTCTTCATGTCACTGCTCCACTCGTTCAGAACGTCGTCCGCGTCCCGGGGTTTGGCAAAGTTGACCAACCGCGCGGGACGGTCAATCTTAGCGTAGATGGTCTTCAAGGTGACCAAGTCGCTGATGTACTTCTCGGTTTCCTCCTCGGTCAGATCCAAGAGCTGGGTCAGACGGCTCATCTCGATGCGAGTATAGTATTTGGCCACTACACGGACATTGTGCTCAATGACCCGCTTGCGCAGATCTTGCCACCTTGTGTTGGCCTCGTTGTCAGTGGACTGCTTTGCCTCGGCGTCGAAGACGTCGGTGTTACACAAGTGAGGACCAAATTGTTCAGCGACCATGGGCCAGCGCATCAGCTCGGGGATGGTGAACAGCTTCAGCAGGCGAGCTTCCTCGGGGACTTGTGACAGCCGGGTGTCTTGCTTGATGCGGTGCAGAAGGTCGGATTGTTCATTATCATAGGGGGCCAGCACAACATAGTACACAATTCGGGCGAGTGACTGTGGGATGTTAGTGGTGGTACTTTAGAATGGCAAGGGTTACATACTGCACGCAGTTGTTCTGGGTTCTTCTCAACAGCTTCTGTGTCCAAAACCTCCCGGTAATTCTTGCAAACCTCGAGGTATTTGCTGTCATGGTTTGCCAAGATGATCTGTTGCTCAAAGTAACGGAGCTTGAGATCTGTGACATCGTCATCCACCTCCATAGGCGCCTCATCGGGCGCACGAGTCTTCTCCCGCTCTTCGGCCTCCTGTTTGAGCTTCTCAATCTGCTCGGCGGACTTCTTTGGCTTGCGGTTGAAGTACCGCTTGTTGATCTTACGGCTGAGAATCTGGGCCTGGGTCCAGTCTCCGCGCTCGATGCACAAAGAGACCTGCTCCAGGATGAATTCTGTCTTTTCGCGTCTCGTCATTGAACCAAAAGTCTCCACCTGAAGCTCACACAGGATGTCTGCTGCTGAGTTGAGATCACCTTGGGTCTTCTTGATATTCGAAAGGATACGGGTAACGCGGGCTCGCTCTACTTCAACAAAGATCTTTGCAAATTATCAGCACCAGTATATTTGATGAAAGGGCGCTTGCTTACCTTTCCCTCGGTCACTGTGCGCAGGGTCTCAATCACAGACATCTTGACTTCCAGGTTCGGTGTATCATCGAGGAATGTCATCACCGTCTGCACCATCTTCGTTGTGGCCTGCTTGAGCTGGGCATGTTTCTTGGAGAGGAGCAACACTTGGTCGTTTAGAAGGCTCCAGTCGCCGGAGTTCTTGCTAATTGTGACAATGGCAATAAGGAGTCGCGAGGTAGTGGCAAGATCGGATGCCTAGATGCGAAAGAGGTTAATTTGGGCATCAGTGATGAAGATGGCGTTCGTCATACCTGTCTGGATTGTTTCTCCAGACCCAACAGCTTATCAACGGCGCCTTGGACATCGGTCTGTCAGGCTAGTTAGCATTCATTTTTCCATATGCTCATTGCTGAACTTACCTTTGCGAGGCTTTCAGCCTCGGGGATGAGCTTGTCGGCATCCTTGGTGAAGTCCTTCTCGGGCTTCAGCAGGCCGGCGGACATGATGACGAATGCGGTCGATTTAAGAAGTGTATGGTGTTGTGGAAATTGGGATTTTAGAGACACACGATTGTTTTGTATGACAATGCGAGTTGCTGAATGGTAGACGGATAGCTGTTGGTAGGTGACGCCCTTAGCTGACAGTGCTCCTGACCGCCAAATATTCTGCCCTGCCTCTGCGCCAAGGCTCTTCTAACCTTCCAGGGCTACTCCATATTAAGGACTAGTTAGGACTTCATCAAAACATCTTTTTTATCTTCCACTTATACGCTTTTCTCGTCAATTATATATCAATAAGGATAATCACAGATTTCTCTCGTATCCTTCTCACAATCAAGTCTGCACTGCATTTCTGCCCGATATATCAGGCTCCAATCTGTATCCTGTGCCCCAGCAGCTCAAGTGAGTGAAGAACATGTGCCCTCAAAGAAAGCCAATCCAGTTTAGAGGTTCGAACTCTGTATTTTCCATTGGGGGAAAAATACTTCTATATGTGTAGATGTTAATTGGCTTCTCTATACATATCTCACTGCCGCTGAAGGTATATAGAATATATATCTTCAGACTATACTCATACTGAACGTTGTCACATAAATAATTCTATATACATATATGCATGCTTACGTACATTTAACTACGTAAGTATATATACTATCATTGTACCAAATACAAACAGTTGAAGTCAAATGGCGAGTCTCCGATTCCCCGGAATCGGCGTGAAATAAGTGGAGCCCTAGCACGCAATCGTAGTATAGAATATTTTTTTGATGAACACACTGAATATAATATGAGTCAGTGGAATTGCAAAAAACCTCAATTACATCTTTAGCAGATTCATCTGACTGACACTCGTTACCTTCGACTTCATCCTCAGACTTCCTCTCTGAAGCGAAGTTGTCCCCCACTTCAATATCCTTATCAGCGGTTATCACCAATCGTGACAGCCCTTTTACTCACATTCAATATTCGCCGCTTTCTCCGCGGAGCTCGGCTGTTACAATCCATTGGCTCTAATCATTAAGTATAGAGGAATCATTCTGTTGCTTATAACGCCTGAGACCCTCCGGACCTCTCTGCGCCTTTCCAAAAAGCATCTTCTATACTCACTTGCGGGGCTCTACTTTATCCCCACCATCGTCAAAATGAAGGACGCAACAAGCGATCCTAATTCCCCCGCGCCTTTGATGGCAGCATGGAACACCGAGTCTCAAGTCCACCTCATTGTTGGATCCAACCCTCTCGCCGCCGCACGATGTGCCAAGAGTCTCGAAGTCGGCGCAAAGCCAATCATTCTTGCGCCGGAGACTGCTGACATGCATTTCACCCTTTCCGAGCACATCGCGAATGGCTCTGCCCAGTGGATTCGTCATGAGTTCCAGGATATGGACTTGACAACACTGGGTAGAGAGGAAGTAGACCGTGTGGTGGATTTGGTCTTTGTCACCTTGGGGGCCAGCAACCCGTTGAGTATGTACTTCTTATACAATCTTCAAGATACCCTTGCTCATATTCTTTAGGTACACATATCTCACAGCGCTGCAAGAGACTCAGAATCCCGGTTAATGTCTCAGACGCCCCCGAACTCTGCTCCTTCACTCTTCTCTCCACCTACTCCGACGGACCTCTTCACATTGGCATTACAACCTCTGGCCGAGGATGCAAGCTTGCTTCAAGATTGCGTCGGGAGATTGCTGCCTTCCTTCCGCAAAACCTGGGAACTGCTATCGATAGACTCGGTGCTGTGCGGAGGCGGCTATGGGAAGAAGACAATGCGGCTGGCCTAAGCGAGGCCACATTCGACGGAGAGGACGACGACACAACTGGTCAAAAACACACCTTCAACAACCTCGTCACAGAAGGCGATGTCGCTGCCGCAAAGACGAGGAGGGTGCGTTGGTTGTCCCAGATCTGCGAATACTGGCCCCTCCGAAAACTTGTCTCCATCACCGATGCAGACATGGACACTATTCTCAAGGCCTACACAGCAGGCAACGAGCATACAAATGGAGCCAACAGTGTCGACACACCCTCAAAGAAGGGAAAAATTGTCCTCGCAGGCTCCGGCCCCGGCCACCCAGACCTTCTCACCCGCGCAACCTACCACGCAATCCACAACGCCGACCTCATCCTCGCAGACAAACTCGTCCCCGCCCCAGTCCTCGACCTCATCCCCCGCCGCACAGAAGTCCACATTGCGCGGAAATTCCCCGGCAACGCAGACCAAGCCCAGGAAGAATTCCTGCAAATGGGCCTAGCAGCTCTAAAACAAGGTCGCCAAGTCCTCCGTCTGAAGCAAGGCGACCCGTACCTCTACGGACGTGGTGCGGAAGAGTTCGAGTTCTTCAGAAACGAGGGCTACTCGCCGGTGGTGCTGCCCGGTATCACCAGCGCCATGAGTGCATCGCTCTTCGCCGATATCCCGGCCACCCACCGCGGCGTCTCAGACCAGGTCCTGGTGTGCACCGGAACCGGCAGGAAGGGCGCTGCTCCCAACCCGCCCACCTATGTCCCGACACAGACGGTTGTCTTCCTCATGGCTCTTCACAGACTTTCCGCTCTCGTGGACTCTCTTACCAGTTTCCCCGAGGGAGGCGAGCAATCACGTGCCCTCTGGCCTAAGGAGACGCCCTGTGCGATTGTTGAGCGGGCTTCGTGTCCAGACCAGCGTGTTATCCGGTCAACGCTGGAGCATGTCTGCCTTGCTTTTGAAGAGGCTGGTTCGCGACCACCGGGTCTTCTCGTTGTTGGAGCTAGCTGTCACGTCTTGCATAATCCTCAGGGCCAACGATGGGCGATTGAGGAAGGATTCCATGGATTGGATGAGTTGCGGAGTGAGGTTGAGGTGGTCGCTGACTCGGTTGAGGAGAAGGCGTGATTTGTATTTTTGGTCTTTGAGCGATGAACGGCAGGTTGCATGGCAGTGTATATAGATAGCATTCAGATACCCCTAGAAACGAGATATGCATGATCATTGAGAAATTTTCCGAAGAGTAGTTCGTAATGTTATGTCAGAATTAAGTGAATTAACACACATTAAAAGTACTGTTCGTGGTTGTGCTGTGTGGAAATTATGTAGAAAAGCAGGGTGTGGCTTGTGACATTTGATGGACCCGGGGCCAGCCTTGTTGATCACTCCACGCCGCATCTTCAATTCTTACAACCAACAACGATGTCATCCAGAGGCCAAAAACCAGTCTATTTCTCCAATGGAGAGTTCCTGGAGACGTAAATATCCCCTTGATCTCATCATCAAGCCCCAAACCCGCTAACAGACGATCACAGCCCCCCAATGACCGTGCGGCTCACCCGCTTCGTCGAGAGCGTCTACTACTTCTTCGGCCTGTACTTCAGCAGCCTCTTCGCGGTACGTTGTCTAACATGTGCTATATATGTGTCCTACCCATACCTTACCTCTCCCTCTCCCTCTTTCTCGCTTCACCCTCTTCGCACTCTCTTCGCTCAGTCCTCGCATTGGATCAATCTGACAAGCCGGCAGCTCGACTCGTACGCCGCCGCGGAAAGGTCTTCATTCAACATCAACAACTCGACGAACAGATATACTACTCGTTCTCGTTGGGGAACCTCGTCTTCTAGCGGAGGTGGCGGTGGTGGAGGCGGCGGCGGCGGCGGCGGCGGCAGTGGTCCGGGAACTGGTCCCCGGCGTCTGGGGCGTGTTGATGATGTTCGCGGGCCGGAGTGTGGGAGCTGTCGATAGATCGGAAGTGGAGAACCTGCAGTTTAATAGATTCTGGACGGAGAAACGGGCTAAAGGCCGTAAAAAGCCGTTCCTATGAACTCTTGGGTTATGGAACAGGCGCTTACTCGTCATATGTGATGCATCCTGAAATGCAGTTTTATATCTGACGTATGCTTGCTTTGTATACTTCACATCCGTATGCTCTACTATACTCTACTACCACCAATGCTTTCTATGTTATATTTCTGATAAACCCAACGCCAAAAACCAGAAGCAACCCAAGACACTAGTCTCAGCGCCACAACACCGCCTCTACCCATCGTGCAACTTGTCAACAGCCCGTCATTATGATAGCCCCACGTGACAGACCCCTCTCGCCAATTTGAGGGGAAATTCAGAAGAAAACCCTCAGCAAACACAGGTATTCTGGAAAAGGCACTAAACATGAGCGCAATCCCAGGCAACGACGCCGAATGGGCGGCTAAGCTAGCGTGCATGAAAGAGGACCTACCAAAGCAGAACCTCTCCCAGCCTCCAATGCCGCTGGCCGTGAACGGAACAATAGACCACACTCTCCTGTCGACTCCAATCGAGGAATCCCAGATCGACAAGCTATGCGCGGAAGCCTGCGAGTATGACTTTGGCGCCGTCTGCGTGCGTCTGCAATATGTTGCTCGTGCAGTAAGCCAGCTCAAGGGCACGAAGACGGCTGTTGCGTGTGTCGTTGCCTTCCCCGAAGGAACACATGAGACGAGTGAGAAAGTGCGCGAGGCGAAGGAGGCTGTTGAGCAGGGTGCCACGGAGCTGGATATGGTCATTCGGTACAATCTTTTGAAGGAGGGGCGGTATACGGAGATTTACCAAGTACGGCGCCAATTGAGACATATATACTACAAATTGCAAGGGTGTACTGACATGAGTAGGATATCATTGCAGTGCGCAAAGCTGCGCCGCCGCCGATTGTCTTGAAAGCCATTGTTGAATCGTCCGTTCTGGACAAAGACCAGTTGCTCGACGCGACAATCCTTGTCTGCATGGCCGGTGCGGATTACATCAAGACGAGTACTGGATGGAATGGCGGTGCTTCCGTTGAACATGTTAAGCTTATGAGGTCTGCGGCGGAGCTGTGCGGACGGGGTACTAAGATTAAAGCGAGTGGAGGCTTGAAGACTGCTGATGATGCGGTGAGAATGTTGAAGGCCGGTGCGCATCGGATTGGGACTAGTAGTGGTGTTCAGATTATGAAGAAAATCGATGAGGGTGAGAGTTTGAAACAGGGTGCTGGTCATGCTACTGCTTGAGTGTGGGGGTTGTGGAGTTAATTTGTGGGGATGGGATATCGATGTCGGCTTGTTTTAAGCGAAATCATGAACTCAGTGGGCATTAATTCTGATGAATGATCATTTGCTTGAGATCGTGCCTAACTGTATGCACCTGTATAGACCTGTGATTGGAATACACACGAGTACGGGGATGCACACAAGGATAATAAAGGGTTGATCCTTCGAATCTTAATGCGAATCTCAATGACCATTCATTGTTATAGAATGACGCCCTTGGCGACAAAGAAAGGACTTGTTCGTGAAACAATTATATAAATCCTTGCGCTGCGCATCCCCGGAGCCCTGCATTGCCCCTTTGGGGTTGCCTCGCGAACGCCCTGGCCCGCCATATTGAGACCCCTCAACGATAAATTTACCCCGTGTATAACGTGGACGTGCCCTTGTTGCCTGGGACAAAAGACTATCGAAAAAAATCAGAGTTGGAAATAGGAATTGAATCTATCCTCGCTGCGAGGCTTGGAGATTTAGATGTCAATAGATGTCAGATTAAACTTCAATTTAGGTAGAGGGAAATTAAACTGCAATCCACAATAGAATGCAAATCTTATTATCTGAAAAGCCCAAAAGGATATATGCGTAGTACGTGATACTAATCCAACCCTGCGCCGATCCTCGCAACCATGCCAAAAAGACTTTTATTCATCACTCTGATCATCTGAGTCACTGGTCACAGCACCATCGACGTCCATCTTTTGCACGACCGCATCCCCACTGCGTCCATTTTTCTCGGCAGCAAGCCAAGCTTCCCGTTTCTTCCTCTCGTGCTCCTGCTTCCTTGCTTTGCGCAGGACCTTAGCTTTCTGAGCCGCCTCCTGCTTCTCATGGAGCTCATTGATGTAATCCTGCAGGTTGGCGAGGTCCGAGCGCAATTGCACGACCTCATCATCTGCATTGTGACGAGCTGTCTCATTGACTGCGACTTTCTTTTTGAGCACGGATACCACGTTTTCTAACTCGGCGACCTGCGACTCGTGAGCCCTGTCTTCGACAGGTTCCTTGGGAGCACTGCCCGAGACGCGGACTTCTGTGCCGGGCTGGTGGAATGCAGCTAGCTCTGCTAGACCGTCGTCGATCATGAAGTCGGGGAATGAGGCGTGGGTTAGTGCTTGGGAGAATTGAGTGGGTTTGCGAGTCTTTGAGTCGGAAGCGATGATCTGCGTATGGAACATGTACTCGGCTGGAACCGCGCCGGGAGCGTGGAGAGGAGCTGACAGTCCATTGTCGTGGCGCGGCTTGACCACAGTGTGGGCCTTTCTCTTCAAGTCTGATGATGGGTGGGGGATGCCACCTGGAGGCAGCATGAACAGATTGGTGATTGGATGCGTGTAGTCGGCAACCGCAGAGATATACTTGCGGCGGGCAACATTCCAAGAAAGAACCTTGCCGTTCGCGTGGCCTGAGAGTAAGGTGGTGCCATCGTATGTAAGGGAGATTGTATTCACCGATCCTGATTCGGCGGACGGAGGGAGCCACCTGTCCTCGGTGGAGACCTGTACTGGGGTCGATTGTACTGAGGGGTCATGTAGAGGATTTTGCGAGGAGTTGCCACGGTAGAAATCCACAGATTGTACACTGCCATCTTCATATCCAACGTAGAAAGCTCTGTCGACCGGATCTAGAGCCACAGATGTTGCGGAGAAAGGAAGGAGGAACGTTCTCAGGGAACGCCCAGTGTGGTAGTCCCATGCAATGGCGGTATTATCTTTCGCAGTTGATACCACAATATTATTCCGGCCATTGCTGTGTCCGACAGCAAGGGAGGTAATAGCTGCGCGGTGATTTGAAAATGTTCGAATAGGCGAGTTCGTGGGTTGACGAGTCGCGCTAAAAGCGGGTTTCGAGAAAGAGAGGATGCCGGACAAGGACCAGACATGTACACTAGCATCCGAGGAGCCAGACAGAATGAAGTTGGAGGTGGGGTCGACAACGATTGAGGTCACAGGTTGCAGATGCGAGGCCGTCGTGGCAACCTGACGTCCTGTGGATGTCTTGGAAAAGCTGTCAGACACATGGTCGCAAATTTTATAGAATTTGATCAACATACCTCCCAGAGGATTAATCGGCCACCCTCAGTACCCAAAACTAAGACATCTCCATACTTGCCGCCTGCAACAGCAATGCTGCGTATCCGTTCGGGAAATGGTACGATTCCCTCTTGGTTTCCTTTCTCTCTGCTGTACACGTGCAACACAGCCTTGTCTGCTTGGGCTGTGAAAATATGCGAGGGGCTGACGGCCAAACAATTGGTTGTGGTAGAGCTCTTCTTGAAGGTCGATCGCAGTATCGAAGAAGGGAGCAATTCATGAACGCAGATCCCTACATCTCGGAGCGAGGCTGTCGGAGATTTGCTGGAGGCCAGCGTCGACGCCACAAATGATTCGGAAAGCATGAGGAATGGAATAAGACTGTCTTGCGAAGTGGTGGTCAAGTCCATTCCCGAGCTTTTTTTTTCTTAATCTTGATAAGGTGTTTGCATTGTTTGTCTGCAATTAACTACAGGATTGTACACGGGCTCAGTGTGATCTATCGTCTTCATCTGGAGGCTTTGGCTTTTGGCTAATGCAGCCATAAAAGATTTCTCCGAAATTTCTATATGGATACTAGATGTTTCAGCATTCTTCAATCGGTTGTGCTATATTTTACGTGACAATATAGATAATTTGCAAGTTGTACCTACTATGCATGAATTTTGCAAATTCTGGAAACAGGTTAGCCGCTATAGAGTCATGATTCAATGAGAACCCTTAATGAAGGTAAACGAGTCGAGCAAAGACGGATAAAACGACATATAGAAGGGCCTAGAGGGCATACCTTAATATGACATGTCGTCAAATTTTCTACACAGACGGGATCTACCATTTTTTAGTCAGCGACTAGGAGAGCCCTTGAAATCAGCAGTATGAGGTATCAACTTGTACGTATTGTCGGAGGATATTCTGAATCTCAGCTTCCAAGGTCATTTGGATCAAATTCGCTGTCCTGGCGACAATGCACGCCATGTTCAAGCATTTATATCCAAACCTCCACTAATTATGCTAATATGACAATAACAGTCGGTATGAACCAGTTGTATGCAAGGGATGGCGCGAGAAGGGGTGGATTGCTGTTGCGACGAGAAACAACATCCAATGAAGACCCGCTTTAATACACCCTCAGGTCGATCCTGTTGTCCTTTCCAAGGGCCTGATTCGTCGGGGATCCCCCTCTCCTCTCATGTGTCCAATCTGTCTCATTCTTAGTGCCCACCCGGCTTAGCTATGACGAGATGAGATGCCGGATGGGGGTCTCTCCACGTTGACGGGCTCCTGCAGGACTACAAATCGAGATCTGGAGCCAATTGTCGCCTGGCGTTGTCCTGGTTTCTCATCTTCTTTGGAATGCAAGGACGACGCGACCTCATTCTCACTATTATTACTCTGGCCCGTGCCTAGGACAACCGGAGAAGAGTTCGTGCCAGACGACGGACCCTCTTTTCGCCTGAAGGGGGAATCCTGCTGAACATTTTCGGGGTTCTTCATGGCAGGGTTTTGTTCCTGTCAAGGGATGTCCATTTGAGCCTGACCTTACCCACCTTGAATTACCGGACTAGCGCCACTCTCGCTGTATAAGGACATATCGAGCCCCTACATGGACCTTCGTCCATTTGTTTTGACTTCAACAATAAACATCTGAATTTCAATCTCATCTAGGTCACTCTTGTGCAACCCATTTTGCTTTTTCATACACTTCCGACTAGCATTGCTTCTTTTCAGCCGCGTGCCCCCGTCCAATATGGACTGTGGTGTCACAGATATGCCGAGCCATGCTCATTTCCCGCCCCGTATTCAAACACATCTAAGGAATCAGGGCTCAAACTCGTCTCCTCTCAGCCCAGATGCAGTTTCCTTCGCCGAACCCATACCGTCACCCCGCCGCTGGTCACCTACGTACCAACCGCGCCGTCGAAGCAGGCAAGTGCCTTCATTATCCTTTGTTCCGTCACCAGTCATGCCTCGGATAGAGTCGCACGATTTCTCGGCTTCAATGTCCCGGAGGACATTAGATCGGAACCCGGCTTGTATGTCGCCTTTTCGCTCTGTTCGCAGAATGAAAGAGCCCTTTCAATTAATGCTTCCCACATCACCTGCGTCCATTGACGGGGCTCCATCAAACTTCCCTGAAAAGTCAGGGCGATTCCCAAGACCGCCGGCCGGTCGATCGTTGCGAACCTGGCGTTCGGACCAAAACCTCACTTGCGATATTGGAGGACTTGGCCTTCTACCTAGTCCCCCGATATCAGAATCACGTCCGGCCAGCATAGGTCCGGAGATTTCCTACTTCGATAGCAAATCCTCAGACGAGTCAGACGACTCGAAAGAGGAATTTAAGGACGAGGCAGATGAGGCTGAAACGACAGAGATTGCAAATGAAGTGGAGGAAGTGGACTCTACCGACACGGCCAGCGAGGACGACATCACCCCGACCATCACGACTATCGAGATTGACGAGAAGATCAAATATAAGGCCTATCGTCCACCAGATTTGAAGAGTCAACCACGCACGGATGTGATGAATGTGCATGAGGCTCACTCGGAATTCGTCCGACGATGCGAATCTATCTGTGAATCTATCAATGAACCGGATTCGCCGGCCCAACACTCTGAGAAATCACCAGCCTCTATCACATCCCCCAAATCTCTCCAAAGCGAGAAGGGGTTTCCCCCAGGAAGTTCACCCAGGCCTCAACGGCCTAGAACGGGGACAGTTTCAAGTGAAGCCAGCTGGGTTCCTAGTAATTTCTCATACTGTGAGAGATGGCTCCAAGGTGTACCTGTCGACAAGGTGAATGACGAAGATACACCAGCGAAGGAACTTAACAACCGAAGGAAATTTCAGATTGTGGAAAATGATCCCCCAATGCCAAAACTTGATATTATTCCTGGAGCGAAGGCCCTCGAAGCGCCTGTTGTAAGTCTTCAAGTCCCCACGTTCGTAACATTGTGCTAACGGAATCCAGCGCTTCGTCGTTGTCCCCACCAAGACAAAACCAAAGCTTGTTGACATTGCGCGACAGTCCTCACCGTCCATTCCATTGCCACCGCCTCCATCTCTTCTTCCTCAGACAGTACCAACAACGCCAGACCAGCGACAAGAGGAAGTCTCGGCATTTAGTCCTGACACGCCGCTCGATATGTCTGACAGTGGTTACGGTACTCGTGACTCTGGTTACTCGTTCGATAGCTATGATGACATCAAAGCTGATGACGACGACGACGCATACACAGATCCTGGTTCATTGACCTCGTCCGACAGCGTTGGTTCAACGGTAGTATGTGAAAGACCGGAATCCGCGCAGGAAGACCGCGAAACATTCCCACAACTTGAAATCCGCTCTGGTAGCGTGAGCCCTAAAGCGCCATCACCATCACCACCGACACCCCATTCACCAGGCCGAAGTTCCAATAAGTCCGACAAAGCAAATGAAAAACCGGGACTATGGCATCATGATTGGAGCATGGACGATCATGAATGGACTGTCAACGAGCTAGAACACTCAGTCAAGGACTTCCCTCGCAACATGCTCCGGCTCACATCCCCAGTCATCTTATTCCTCCGCAAAAGCGACGAGGAGCCTTTCATTAAACCCTTTCGCACTATCTTCCCTGATGTATCAGAGAACCTTCTCGACTGTCTCTGCGCTGCTATACTCGCCCGAAACTACCTCCTCTCTCTATCAACGCTGCACCGCAGCAAACAAAACAAAAGCTCCATCTCACGCAATGACTATGCCATTGATTCTGTCCCCACCAAAGCATACAGCACACTGGGTATCCAAATCCCATCCGTCACACCGGGCAGGCCAAAGGACCGTGTTCTTGGCTCTCGCAGCAAGGATCTTGGAACACACCTCGAGCGAATCGTGGACAATCTCCTCTTCGCCATCTGTGGACGTTCCGACCCTACTCTGAAAGCAGCTGTTGAAGTCCTTGCACAGGTCCTCGAAACCAATGCTTAGCATTGACATTCCTTGCATCATATTTCCTTACCTCTCTTCACTCCTTGATTATCTCCTTCTCTGAATTTTCATGAAATCTCCCTCGATCTTTACTTGTTTACTACTCGCTCTCACATGTCTCCTTCTATCTCACCGAACTTCCACTCTCCTTGACAACTGTTTCCTTCTGACTATCCTGCCATATCCTTATATCTCCGGTCATATTGCCGATTTTCGCCTCCATTGATAACTTTCTTTAGTCCTTTTTTTGTGTTATACTTCATACCCTTGCATTGCGATTCGGTGCTGGATTTGGGAACTTGTGCGTTACGAATTTTGTATAATTAGTTCATTAAATAGCATAGCAACCATAATAATAATGGCACTGTCACACGATCTTTTCTCTATATTTCCAAAATTTCCTATCGTTCATAGACATTCGTGGATCGATAATCTGAGGAGTTTCCCGCTCCGAAAATTACATAATCATACTTTTCCGCCCGGCCAACCTTGTTGAACAAACTCCAAGTGACTTCCTCTACAATTCACCCACTCACACACTATGGCAGCTCCAACAAGAAGCCTACGACGCCTGTCGTCATTCAGAAACACCATTTCCCCTGCCTCAACGGCGATTGCTCCCCGTCGAACCTATGCCACAACCGACTCCTCATCCGCCACCAACACCCCAACCACACGGCGGAAAGCAACAACCTTCCGGGATAAGTTGAACGCAGGACCATCGTTCTCAGATTTTGTTTCTGGGGATGCAGAGCCCCCACTCGACCCCTCTGAAGCCTACGCCCTCAAGACTGCCCTCGCCGGCCCCGCTGGCCGCAAGAAGGAAATCACTCGCCTACCTGAGTGGCTAAAGACTCCCATCCCAGACTCCAAGAACTACCAGCGCCTAAAGAAGGATCTGCGAGGCCTCAATCTGCACACAGTTTGCGAGGAAGCCCGATGCCCCAACATTTCCGACTGTTGGGGCGGCAGCGACAAGTCCTCCGCCACCGCAACGATCATGTTGATGGGCGATACCTGTACCCGAGGATGCCGCTTCTGCAGTGTCAAAACCTCCCGCACACCGCCCCCACTCGATCCTCACGAACCAGAGAACACCGCAGAGGCCATCTCCCGCTGGGGCTTGGGGTACGTGGTTATGACGAGTGTGGACCGTGATGACTTGGCAGACGGCGGCGCGCGCCACTTCGCTGAAACCGTTATCAAAATTAAACAAAAGAAGCCTAGTATGTTAGTCGAGTGTTTGACTGGTGATTTCCGTGGTGATACGGAGATGGCGGCTTTGGTCGCGCGATCTGGACTGGATGTCTATGCGCACAATGTTGAGACTGTCGAGGAGCTTACGCCATTCGTTCGTGATCGTCGTGCTACATTCCAGCAGTCGATCCGTGTACTTGACGCTGCTAAGAAGGCTGTGCCTGATCTTATCACGAAGACCTCGCTTATGCTGGGTCTCGGTGAAACAGATGAGCAGCTTTGGGATGCGCTCCGTCAGCTTCGCGCTGTTGATGTCGATGTTGTCACTTTCGGACAGTACATGCGTCCTACTAAGCGCCACATGGCTGTTCACGAATACGTCACCCCTGACCGTTTCGAGCTGTGGCGCCAGCGTGCCCTTGACATGGGATTCCTGTACTGTGCTTCTGGGCCTCTCGTCCGAAGCAGTTACAAGGCGGGCGAAGCTTTCATCGAGAATGTTCTCAAGAAGCGCCGCTCCGGATCTGGCGCCGCTGGGGAGACTGTCGAGAAGACCACTGCTAAGGAAGCTACCCAATGAGGTCTTCGTTTGAACAAAATTCGGCGTGTTTAAATATCCATCTACCTCTGCCGTCCTGCTTTTTTCACCTTCGTGCTCATATCTTTTGTTGGAGTTATCTTGCATCTTTTAGGTTGTTGGTTTTGGGGTTCATATAGGGGTCGTTGGTTTCGTCAGTTCAACATTTCAACAGGAATTATGCTTTGTATCACCATTGGGGAAGTCTTGTGGCCAACTCCGTCTGTTCTTAATTTCAAGCTGCACAAGAAATCAACTCGGTGCAGCGTCACATATCGCAATATCATAGACTATAGACCAACTTTACCCCATTAAATCTACGTCTCAACATTAGCCCATGTCTGCAGCATGCACGGAGTCAAATTCCGTCAGAAAGTTTAAAATCGCTCGACTAAATCTGCTTTCGTATATCACGGGAAAAGAAACCCATCCGTTGACTCGCCTTCAGCGGGCCAATATCACCACTATACAGAATTCCAAGTTCCATGCTGCGTCCTACGTAATGCAACTCCTACCTATCTCCATCGCTGTGTGAGGGAAGACAACTCCCGAATCTCAAGCAACTCTCTAACCAAGCCAGCTTGGTGTCGTGGACTAGGGCATTCACCAAGCCTATATTCTCTACAGAATGGCACTTCGTCCATGTCTACTCAGCTCATTGGGAGGTCAACTCCGCGATGTCGTCGTTGTCCAATCCAAGCAGGTAAAGGACATCGACCAGACTCTCGCCGTTGATGCGGGTCGGCGCCTCCAGCTGGACCTTGGACTTGGCGCGCCAGGCAACGCCGAGGCCGGCAGCGTGCAGCATGAGTAGGTCGTTAGCGCCATCGCCAATGGCGATTGTTTGCGAGATGGGAATGTTGCGCTCGGCTGCAATGGACTTGAGGAGTGTGCGCTTCTGCGCAGCGTCGATGATGGGGTACGAGGACACGAGCTTGCCGGTTAGGGTTTGGCTGGCCTCGTCGATTTCGAGCTAATAGAGTTAGATTGATCGGATGAAGATACAGGGTCTAGGCTTACGTGGTTGGCAACGGCAATGTCGATGCCCAGCTGTTCAGCTAGCCACTCGGCGAGAGGCTGGAAACCACCGCTGACCACGGCAAGGGTGTAGCCCAGAGTCTTCAATGCTCGGCAGAGCTCACGGGCACCCTTGGCGATTTTCAGCACGGACTTCAGCTTCTCAAAGACGTCTGCGGGAACACCGCTCAGCAAGCCGACGCGCTCCTTCAAGGACGCAGAGAAGTCCAGTTCGCCGTTCATGGCGCGCTCGGTGATTTCCTGTTAAGGTCAGTAGCTGGGATAAATGTGAGCCTTGACAATTACATACGGAAACCTGCTTCTCAACACCAATGAATTTGGCAATCTCATCAATGCACTCGTTGTCAATCAAAGTGCTGTCCATATCGAACACAGCCAGGCGCTTGTGCCGGCGGAACACGCTCTCCTTCTGCAAGACAACCTCAACGTTCCACTCGCGCTCAAAGCGCCAGATACTCTCGTGCTTCCGCAGATCCGGGAACGAGAGATAATCCGGGTTTGGCGGGGGAGAGAAAGTGACTTCCACGACGCGGGGGTGCTCCTCGCGATCCAGGCAGCGGTGGGAGGTGTTCATGCGCTGGTAGGGCGTAGGCAAAGTTTCCAAAATCTGAAGGAAGTTCGTCAGGCACATCTGCGAGACGTACGGTCCGTAAAGGTGATCCAGCGGCTCAGGCTCTGGCGCGGGTGGCTCGCGGGGGAACTTGTCCATATCTTCTGTCGGAGCTGAACCCTCGGGCACGGTTGGTGCTGGGAGGGAACCACCGGCTGCAGGACGGGGCGTCGCATCGGGGTGGAAGTGGGGGTGGATCGGATTGGCGGATTTGTAGTAGATTGTCGCGACGATTTGCGCCGTGCCGCTTGGGAGGGGGTTCTCGTGGTGGTTGAAGATGTTGTGGATAATTCCGCTGTCAGTGACGCGCTCGGGATCCGGCTTGATTGGGTTTGCGTTCAGCACTAGGTTTTCGTCCACTTGGTTGGCTAGAACCTCGCTGATGTTTGGGTTGATCTGGTTGATTGGAGCCATTGGCTTGTATTGTTGGTGGTCTTGCAGGAATGAGCTGCTGCGCATTTGGCCGAGAGATGGCCGCGTGGGACGGCTGGAATCTACCATGGTGGACTATGGAAATGATCTGGTAGAGTGCTATTTGTGAGTTTAAGTTATGTTGAAGCAAGAAGATCAACATTCGAAAAACCACCGGGATCGGCACAACACGTGATTCAATACACCCCACGTTGTCTCTGACCAATCGGGGCTTGGTTTGTTAGCCCTAAAAACATCTACAACATAAACTATAAGACTGGTTTTTTTTCCCAAATTCCAGTCAATGATGCGCATGTGTACGTAGGTATGTGCTCATTTTTAAAGCCTCGGCCTGAAATGCTCGTTTCTTGTATGCTTCCACTTTTTCTTCTGCGGTGTCTTTCTTTTGTCTTCCTATAGTTATCCAGTCCTGCCAAATCAAAACCTCAAATTGCCATCTCCCCACTGTTTCATCCATATGTTTACTTGGTCTCTTTTTATAAGAATAGCTTGATTAGACTGCCGCCGCCGCCGAACCTGTAATATCTGCCGAAAATGTTTGTACTCTGAAACGGGTCGCACTGGAACTGGATCAGATGTTTTCGGTGGCCCTGAGCTCTACGATGTGGACTGTGTCCTCATAATGGGTGATGCCATAGTAAAGTGCTGAGAAATTTGCTCCATTGAGTTATATTATGGATAGATAGCTGTAGCATCTAGAGGCATGCGGCGGGCGTCCCACATCGCAAGATTGCAGATAAATAGCCAATGATGCACTACGAGCTGAAAATAAACGTCCAAACTCCATGTTTCTTCATGGAGCCAAAAATATACAAATGGGAGCTTCACAGCCAAGTAAGCCGCCTTGGCTTTTCGGTCGAATCTTGGTAATATCTCGATTCCAATGCTGCATGTACAGCTTTCAATGCCGCTTTGCTCAGCATGGCTGTGATTGCAGAAGTAGTTAAGAGAAACGGGTTGTTTGTAGACCAAAGTGGTAGCCTATCCGAAAGCGGAAACCCCTCGTTATTTCTATCGAGGATCTAATGGCTCGGGTGCCGACCTTCTGATGTTGATTTGAAGCTCCTCTGTGGCTAAGGATGATGGTCTTACTTAAACTATTACAGCCTCGGATTAGACTTATCTACATCAAAGGGCCTTCAAATAAATCGCGAAGGCACATGAAGTCGAATTTGTGGGCATCTGTGGTGTACCAAAAGTGGGTGATGTGGATGAAAAACCCCGAGCTGGATGATTATCAGGTGCCATTGGTGCACCGGAGCGGGATGAAGAGAACGAAGACACTTGAGATTCACGAGGTGAGACTCCCCTGATTTCTGTGGTTACATGGTACGGTGATACTTCGTAGATTGAGTAGCTTCATGCTCACCTGATCAGCCAAGTCAGCTCCAACCAATCAGGCCATAAGAAAAGAACAAAAAGTGAGGTTAACATGAAGATTCAGAACACCTCTCCAGCCCACTAGCTCAGTGGTATAGGCCGGTGAAATGCCCTACGCGGTTGTGGACCGGGAGCTTGCGTGTCCGAGCCAAGGCGAGTGCTGTCTGAAAACAGGATTTTTTACAGCCTGGTCCAGCCTGAACAAGCCCCCCTCCTTACGGCCAGTGAAGGGACTGAGAGCCGATTCAGCATCGCTAACACTCGTAAATTAGATATCCTGGCTATTAGTAGATGAAGACGCGTTGGCACTATTTTGTGTGGTACGAACGGGAGGTACCGGACCAATATTGTGTAACTATTCCTCGCTACCTAGATAGACATCTACTGTTAGCAGTATCATAGAAAAACCCCATTGATACCTAGGTAGGTATATATGTACATGACATCTCTCCGGATTTCCCCACATCTTAGGCCCACAATGTAGAATATACGTGTAGACAATGCTTGGTAAATACATCAGAAAGTAAATCAATAAGCTTTACTTATATCAATCTTGTAATTGGGATGTGGGTCGGGCCTATCCCATTGTTCTGTAGACTAATTATCTAAGGAATCATGTGCCGAAGGAGGACTTCTATTCTACCCGAAATCAAGCCTAGCTCAACAAAATTGCAAAGTCTCTCATATCGATATCTTCATTTCTTGATATTTTGATTTAGCTTTTCAACAAATGTTGTTACTAATTGTCGGTCCTTACCCAGTTGTCTCTACAATAGATACATTGTTGATGAGACTGAAGTTGTATAAAAAGAATAAGAAAGCCGAAGGCCCCAACACAGTTTCTATTGAAGTTTGATTTTCTGGTCTACGCTGTAATGGTGCTGAGCCTTGAATTGCAAATTAATTGACAGCCCAATGAAAGGGGAGGTGTTGGAATTGTACGAGTTTGTAGCGAAGGGGTTTCGATGGAAAGTTTGGAAAGCACCACTCACATACACATTCATTTGGTTGTAGCAAAAGAAAATTGTACTTGACTCTTCCAAAGTTTCTTGTCCCTGCTTTGCTCACAACGATATTGAGTCATTCTTTTCTGATGATTTTGAAATCCATCCAAAAATAGTAAGTTCTGTCTCAAGTAAGCTCCGACTCTGGATTATGTGACTGACTCTTGTCGATACTCAGTATGGTCAATATTGTTGGGACAAATGATGCTGATGCTACTGTACCCGAAGATTATGTGAAACCTCCCGAAGACCAGAGCGGCCTGGGCCCAAATCCAATCGTGAGTGTGCTGTGTCAGTATGACTAAGTGGCATACCAACAAGAAATAGGGACCCTGCCGTGAGCTTTGCAAGATGTGTGGTCGACACGACCACAACACAAATAACTGTCCATTCCATCAATTTTTTGTGACCCTTGGAACTGAATCGGGATCGAGGGAGTCCTGCTGCGACCGCTGCAAGACGTGCGATCAACACGACCACGACACGACCAACTGTCCGTTACATCAAAATTTTCTCCCATCTGGGACTGAGTCGGTATCTATCCAACCTGTACTTATAAACTCCTCGGTATGAATAGATCTACACATGTGGTAGAGAGAGAGGATGATATTAATTATAATACAGAATGTCGTTGACGATGTGACACAAGCTCAGGACCCTGCATTCACCAATAACTTTCTTCCTATGACTCTTACCAATGCCCCTATTGAAGTGGATAGCGCCGATAATAAATGCGAATTACTTACCGCTGCCAAGGAACAGCTCAATCAGCAACAACGGATCGAGAAGTTTGAGGGGTCTTTACAGAGCCAGGGTATGCAGTCCAATGCTTGTCCTCCGGTGGGGGGAGCCACCGTAATTGACATTTTGTTCGCTGCTGGCCAGCAATAACTGTACCAGCAAGAACAGATCCACGAACTGCATACTCAACAACAGCAGTTCCAACAGCAGCAGACCCAACAGCAGCAGACCCAACAACGGGAGACTCAACGAAAACAAATCCAACAACAGCAGATCCAACGACAACAGAGTCAACTGCAGCAGATTGTTCAAAAGCAGCAGCCCCAAAATCAACCAATGCAACAATTACCGATGCAACAAGTGCTGATACAGCAGCAGCAAATGCAGCGACGGCAGATGCAACAGCAGCTGGCCCAAGAACGGCAGATCAAACAACGGCAGATTCAACAAGAGCAGATCCAACAAATCCAGACCCAACAACAACAGATCAAACAAAAGCAGATCCAACAATATCAGATCCAACAATATCAGATCCAGCAACAGGAATTTCAGCAACAGGAATTTCAGCAGCAGCAATTTCAAATCCTTCAGATCCTACAACTCCAGGAGCTTGAGCACCTTAGAGAATCTCAAGAGCGTCAAGGCTTACAGAGCCACGCTGTTGCTGCTTCCCAGCAGAAACTATATCAGCAAGAGCAACTTGAGCAGCAGTGGATTCACCAACGGTGGGTTCAGCAGCAGCAGATTAAGCAACTCCAGGAGATCCAGGATTTTGAGAAGCATTTACAGAGCCAGGGTATCCAGCCCCAAGCCTCCGCTCCTGTCGGTAATATCACCGAGAACTATGTGTCAGACGCTGGTCAACAGCAGCAAAATAACCTAGGGGACCCAAGTATTTGAGGGGTTACAGCAGAGCCAAGGTCTCAAACCATCAGGGCAAGCTCATCAACAAGTAGATGAGCAGGAGCAACGGATACGGCGGATAGACATACAGATGAAGGTAGTTGAGGCGCAGCATCGGCGGGAACAGCACCAACAGGAACAGTACCGGCAGCAACAGCAGCAAAAACAGGAACAGTAGCGCCGGCAGAGGGTACAGAAGTCTTTAGTGGAGACTAAAGTGATTGACGATGGCCATGGATCTCCACCGAGTTAGATCACTGATGAATAGCGATCTGCTGCTTGTCAGAAATCTGTAGAGTTCGGAAATCGGCTTGATTATCCTCATGAATATTGATGAGTATTCTCTTGCTTTCGTCCAATCTTGTCCCTAACGAGCCTTTCGGCCTTATAGACAATATTTTTAGTCATGTTAACACTTTTATTTTAAAAGAAATACCACTCAAGCAAAAGTCTCAGGTGAGCATATAGTTATGATCCACATGAATTCTTCGGATATTTAGGCTTTTGGGTCTAAACAAATTATAAGCTTGAAGATTCTACTTCACTCTTTTTGTGGTGGGGTTGTAGGCTTTACGTCCCCACTCGAAGACATAGGGTGCAAGTATTTACGCGCCGGGAATAGTGAATGAATGAATCAAGAAAATCTGGGCGGATATCTCTTTTTTAGATCTACGCCTGCTCAGTACCAAAGATGCTTGGTGGATTGACTCGATCATCGTCGGTCAACACTACAGCGGCATGTTGTCGACATTATGTCCAAATTGATTGATCCAAGCGGTTTGATGATAGTTCAGTGAGTCCATGTACTCTGCTCCGCAATAACCACCGGCTAAATCTACGAAGATGGTGTGCCACTACGCAGCAAAAGATTTATTCGGAGTAACACTAGTGCAATGGGGTCCAGATGTTCATCTACTTACATAGACTTGGAAGCTAACCCTAGAGCTACGCACCCAGGTAGATCCTTCGGTCAATATGAATGCACTGAGTCACCACAGTGGTACTACGTTGTAGGGTGATATTACCAACTCAGTAGACCTCTATACATGAGTATATATTTTAGCTCTTTTCCTATATAAAATAGTGAGAACTTTGGGCTTCCTTTCTTCTAGGAGCTTATCTCGAGAAACAATACCGTAGAAAGTGAGTTTATTGAGGAAGAAGAAATTTTAGAAGGATTCGAGTCGATTTTTGTGATAGAGGATTTGCCTCTACAATAACAAAAAGCCATCACATTCATGCTGAAGAGTCACTCAAAAGTTCCAGTACCATTGTCACAGTCCTTCACGGTTCGTTGTTGTGTTCCATCATTCTTTCATCATTCTATGGGCAATGGCTGTACTCCAGATAAATATAAAGTGAAACTAAGCTCTGCAGATCTCTTCCATTTGTGAATATGATTCGGCCGGCACGTGCGCCTAGTACAAAGCAAGTTAGCGCCATCAGCCGCCAATAACTGTGATTGGATTGCTGTCCCACACTACTTATGCTTACATATGGAATTAAGTTGTATACTACCTTACCTTGTTGCATTCCAAGCACATGATAAATTAGACCATTCATGATGAAGCGTGCATTACGGAGTAAGAAGAAGCATTACACTCTAGAATGAAGCCTATTATACCAGCAGGATAGCACAGAGTACAATGATGATGTTTGTGCTCGGCCGGTCCACTTAATATCATATCAACCAATCATATATCCATTTGTAATGTGCCGCTAAACCCGGTCGTAGCTTATACATAGATTGAGATCATAAGTGATGAGATCTCCACAGATAGTATTACAATTTTCAGCATAAAGCAACTCATCCATATCCACCATGTCCTAAATCAGAGAACAGATTATTTCATATCATGTACAGTAGTTGACCAGATCACCAGATCGGGGTATGACGATTTACACCGAAGCTTGGAAACAAGTTAACATTATCAGGGAAAACCCGGAAACCCAAATGACTGTTTGTCAGCAAACGATTACCAATATATGTCCGGGGAAACGTTGAAATGAGCGCAATCGCTAAGCCCTTGGAATGTTCTACCGAAAATCTTCTTAAGTCCGACCGACCGAATTTCGGGATCTTGCTTACTCACGTGATTTAGCGCGGATTGCGCCATAATTCTGCCGAAAAATCGTCACAAAGGCGGTGGTTAGAACTGACGTGATTGGGACCTTGTACCTCCCCGCCAGTTTAATATAGAGAGTGACAATGCCGTAAATGGACTAGCGCTACGAGACGCGCTATGATTGATCAGTAGGAATCTATGTGGGGCGTGAAGTATGAGCACGCAAGAGCCCTGTCTTGTTATATTCTCCCCATGATTTCAAGGCTATAATTCTCGCAATTTGATCCTTTCTACTCTGCACTTTCACCTTATTTTATCTTGAATCATCCACTAGAACATTCAATTCACTCGTCTTCTCCGCGTCTTATCAACTTGCCTCTTTGCCCTCTTTTGCTTGTTTGCATATACTCAACACAATGCCTGCGAAGGACTCTTACCCCTCCGAGATGGAGGTCATCGACCACCGTGATGCCATGACTGAGTCTGGCTATGTTAGTGCTGGTTCTGGTGCTAGCGAGGAATATGTCCCCGAAATCGTCTTCACCAAACCTCACCTTCAATTCTTGAACCGCCAGCTGCAGTTCCTCGAGCCTCAAGGTTCGTATTGATATCACAATGGCCCCTCTTCCAGTAGAGCCTTGTAGCTGACTCATTATTACAGAAATCTTGAGATGGTGTGTTACTTCACTGCCTCATCTCTACCAGACCACTGCCTTTGGTCTCACTGGACTTGCCACACTTGATATGCTATCCAAGCTTGAGGTGCCTCGCCCTCAGATGGTCGACCTCATCTTCCTTGATACTCTCTACCACTTCGATGAGACCAAGTCCCTGGTTGACCGTGTCCGCCGCAAGTACCCTAACAACAACGTGCACATCTTCAAACCTGCCGGCGTTGACACGACTGCCGAGTTTGAACAGAAGTATGGCACAAAGCTTTGGGAGATTGACGACCAGCTTTATGACTGGGTTGCCAAGGTTGAGCCCGCCCAGCGTGCCTACCGTGAGATGAACGTACACGCCGTCCTTACCGGTCGTCGCCGCAGCCAGGGTGGCAAGCGTGGCGACCTCGACATCATCGAAGTCGACGAGGCTGGCCTCATCAAGATCAACCCCATGGCCAACTGGTCCTTCAACCAGGTCAAGGAATACGTCAAGAACAATGATGTCCCTTACAACGAACTTCTCGACCGTGGATACAAGAGCGTTGGTGACTGGCACTCAACCCAGCCTGTCGCTGAGGGCGAGGATGAGCGATCTGGTCGCTGGAAGGGTCAGCAGAAGACCGAGTGCGGTATCCACAACAATCGCTCCAAGTACTCCTTGTACTTGATGGAACTAGAGCGTAAGCAGCAGGAGGAGGCTCAGGCCCTCTCGCAGGCTCTGAACACCCAGTGCGCCCCTGTCGCTTAAGTGACCTCATTCTGTCTTGCCTCCTTTATCCTAGCATACCCCTCGGCGTTTCCTGCGTGATACCTTTCGTTCCTGATATGCCATTGAGCGACTTATCTTTGCATTTTCTTTTTACTTTTACACGGCGGTTCAAACCCCTTCAAAAGACGGTGTAGAAAATACTCGTCGCTTTTACCCCTCCCCGCCCTCTAAGGGTTTCTGTACATAGGGAGCTGGGTCTTCTCTTACCCATATTGGGGTTTTGAGACACGATAATGACAAATTACACATGATCAGATGATAAGCATCAATCTATTACATCTTTTACAATTTGAATTTTCCACTTTTCATACATGTAATTTGGTAGAATCGTCGTTGATTTTCTGTGGTGCCGATTCTGTTCGTCATGAGTCGGATCACGTGGATTAAACAAGCCCTAGAGATCAAAATCCTTCGACCATGAGAGCGAGGTGGAAATCAGGCACCAGTCGTCTTCCATCAAATGTTTGAATTTTATTTTGTTTGATCATCAGGCACCATGGTATCGACTAGACCTCTTCTGGTACACTCGGTAACTGTTTCGCTTAAACTTCAATCAAATTCGGGGGCCAATTCTGCAGAGCGTTGGCAAACTTATCCAAAGTAATAATTCATGAGCTAAATACGTATCACAAATAGCTTGAGTGGATTGAGTTGACCATCAGCATGAGTGGTATGGACGCTATTCAATAAAATTGCAGCCCAGCAAGTGTATCCCATTGACTATAACGCAGGGTTTTGTAACACGCATGCATTTACTTCTGCTAAGCAATTACCTGTTCCTAGATTTTCCTATGTGCTAATTTTGGGTAATTTCCCTTATCTCCTAGTTGCATAAACCGGAGACAGACAACAAATCATCTCCTCACTCTCCCCGCGAGCTTCTATCTCAAGCCAATGAATGACCTTGAGTCTTTCCTGGATCAGAACACTATACATTGTCATAATGCCATTAACTTGGCTCTCGAGAATACAATGATATTTGCCCGAGCAAGACCCCTGCATTTAAGTATGGCCATAGACTAGGCCATGTAACGTCAGGTCTCGTAAAATTAATCTCTTCGTTTTCGAAGATCCCGTTTACCGCTGTGGAGATTCAATAACCATCAAACACCGAGATTGAGTGCCGAAATCGGACCTCTATTCTACGTCTAGTTTCAGCGGTTATAAAAACCAAACTCGGTGTCAAAGCGGAACATTATTAGCGTTAAACCGAGGTTGCTTCAAGACCCACGAGAAACGATTTTAAATCGCAACCGGACTCGAGAGGAGGTTTTTTCGGACCATCAATCGATCAGAACGGATTGAACTGGTGTAATTTAAGTATTACTTCTGAGACAACACCTCTATCACTTCCAATTTATAAACTCTGCATACATTAGAATCAAAGTCAGAGTATACCTAGGCAGATGCTGAGCCTTTTGAAAAATAACACAAAAACTCTTAGCGAACGTTAATTTGTGGTTGTTAAGACTTTGTCTATTAACCATTTGCTTTTTAACTCGTCTGTTAGTCTCATCTATGCAGCGGATCTACAGTAACAATCCCCACTTGCCATTAGATGCTCAATAAAGAGACGAAAACTGACACAGGTAATGACTTTTTCCTCACTAGATCAAAAATTCACAGAGTAGTTTGATGGTTACTTTGAAGAGTTTTGATGATAATATAAAGCCTCTGTGGTCCAGGTGGCGTCCCACCATATACAAAGTACGGTGCATACGGCCCTAGTCCATATTGAGCGATGACCCCTCAAGCCAGTTCAGCTGAGGCTCAACTCAAGTTTTTGTGTGAATTGTTTTGAACTGTAACAAAGTGCTGAACCCAACCGTCAAATTGAGGCCTTTTGGTATAATGTCTGGAAATCAACCCTCTGAGCGTCTCACTCACTGGTTGGAACAATTAGATCACTCTCAGCTCTTAGATCCGGCCAGTGACAGCGTTGACGCAACTTCTATTGACACAAACTCTATTCGCAAAGAGCGACCCCAAAATTTTGACAAAGAAAGAAATGGGCCAAGTCCATCGAACGATAGTGCGCATCAAGATTACTGGTCATACGATGAGATTCCACAAGAAATCCCTCTACCAGACTCCCATGCCTCATCTTCCGTAACTGAAACACCAATTATGGACCAGAATGCATTGTCAGATTCACTAGAGGATATTTTGAGAAATATAGATCCAGTGAAATCACCTTCCACTTCTCTGTCTGATTACGTTTCTCTGTCAGATTACAATTCGCATTCAGAAGTCTCAACTGAAGAAATGCCCAGTCATCGTGTGGGGAGTTCTGCACGAAGACAGACGCCAGAACCGAGGCACAGAGCTCGACAACCATATGGCCAGACACTTGAAAATGCAAAAGTCTTGGAACATATCAGACTTGGGAATGTTTGCAAAAGGTCTCGTCACAATAAGACTCACCTTGTTTATTACGATTATTTCAACGGCCTCATATCGAGCGCAACGGAGATTTATAATGCCAAACAAATTGCATATTTGAGCAAACCGCCACAAAATGTACAGCAGCGACTTCTTGTCGTGGAAGATCTATCCAAAAGGACCATACTTGCTTTAGGGCAAACCTTCTGTATCAACCCAGAATTCTTCGAAGAGCATTTGATAAATTCTGGATATGCTGGTGGGGAATACGACATGTTACCAGCCAAAATGTGGCCGACAGCATCACTAAAGAAGTCGTATATCTCAACGAAGTGGATTCGACCTGTCTCACGGCTGCCTATGTATTCTTGGAATTATACGATGCAGGATCTTGCTACAAATAGCTTGCCAGGTACAGAAAATCGAGAAGAGAATATCGACAAAGACGAAACTCCGAAGGGTCACATCAAGCATATCACGCCTAACGGAGTAGTCACTACACGAGCTTATACAAACATTTTCCGGTCGGAATGGCATCTATGGGATAGTTCCCAAAGAGCAGGGAATGTGAGGAGGGATTGTGGATTAGAAGAGAGGATTACTGTCTGGAAAGGAACGCTTCCAGGCCGAGCTTGTGAATTTGGTAAGTTCTTGGACGTTGTTAAGCGAACCGTCAACGACCAGGACTGATAGGCCACGCAGTCATTGTCCTCGTCGATCCTTTGCCAATGGTAGAAGAGAAGCATCCAGGACCTATCGCTCAAGATTATCAAGAGCACAGATTCAAAGCAGATGATTATTCGGAATTCTCCGAGGTGAATACCGATTCGGCTGAAAGGGGCATCGCCCGCAGGGTCTATGACCTACGGTACCCGACTAGAGCAAATGAGCCCTTGCTCATGAAATGGGGCAGGGCAATCAAGAAACGGATGAAGAGAAGGATGAGACGCGACTCGGATTGGATCACTGTTTCGAGTATGCCCGAAGAAGTATCATTGCACAAAGTCATCATCACGCAAATTGCTCCTCGTCACACAATCGACATCGATTTAGACCAAGCTTTTCAATCACAAGAATTAACGATGTCTTTTGATAGAGAGATAAACTCGACCAAATCAACTCTTGATGGGGTTTGTGATAAACTCGAGCGAGATGGTAGACCATTTAATTTGAGCAGGTCACTCTTTCACATCATCAGACAAGACACATTGACACTGCTGAAACAATTGAGCCACAGTCTTGAGGAAGTCGAAATTGGGCTTCTTGATGACAGTAAAATGGAGGACCAATTATCGGTGTGGATCCAAGCAATTGGCTGTGCACAGCGCGAAATTTCCGAGTTGCAGGCTTCTGTGGAGCCTTTCATTGTGTTTTGCATTTCGCTTGATCTTCCTCTCAACACAGGTGAAGAGAATGCAGTCTTCCGCTCAGAATTGATGTGCGATCTTCAGAAGTTTTCGGAAAATATTACGCAGATGTCCGACCGGCTTCAGCGGACGTCGATTTTACTGACTTCTAATATGGGCCTATTAGATAGCCGACGCTCCATCAGTGAGGCTCAAGCTGTGAGCAGGTTGACCGAGCTGGCATTTGTGTTTGTTCCCTTATCATTTGCAACCTCGGTCTTCGGCATGCAAGTCAAGCCACTTGCCGATCCAGTGCCTCTCCGCAGCTTTTTCATAGTTGCCATTGTGGTCACAACATTTGCCTATCTCATGCGAGCGACCATGCGCAGCCAGTGGCTTGGTTATCTCAAAACGGTAATAAGACATGATGTACGAAGATATGCAAAAAGTCATAGTCTTCCCGTCCCGACCCAGTCAATTCCAACCCTCCTCACAGTTCAATGGATTGGAAGCTGGCTTGGTGTTGGTATCAAAGCAGCTATAGAGTCAATAAGAAGTACCGCGGTAGCAGTCTGGAGCCTCTGCAAGGAGGTTTGGGAAGTCTTTGGCTTTGTTATTCTCTTCATCTTGCTGAACGGATCAATTTCTGGGTTACTGATTGCTATACTTTGGGCACAACGTCTGGATCCTAGCACCCGGTACGCTGTAAGCATTGCTATTATTATGATCGTCATCGTGGGCGTGGGAATTCCATTTTGGTACTGGTCTGATCCAGACTTCCGGCATGCGTTGCCAAATTGGATTCATGATAAAATGCGTTTCTATCAACCTTCTTCTAATTTGAGGATGGTACTCACCTCAAGTCTCATTGTCGTGTTGATGATGATTCCATTAATACTAATATGGATGCGCCCGCTAGCCAATGATATCAAATCAGGGCTTACGGCGGGGATTCTGATGTCTGCGATCTCTATCATGTGCTTGCTCATTTGCTGGTGGTTTAAGGTAGATTTCCCTCTTGCGGTCTCAGCGCGGATGTCCCGATCTTGATACCCATGTCAAGGACGTCAGTGACTTCCTGCTCTGACATTGCTCAGATTTATAAGAACAAGTCACCATATACTTCTACATAAAGTGTTGATAATGGGCTTCGAGATAGGCTCCACTCTTGGTACTTTAGACCTAATAATCAATTGTTTGAGTCTAGAACATTGGCCACTTTTTTGCAGACGATTGTAAGAAGACTGCATCATTATTAAAATTGTTTAGGAAAATCACAAAGGGTTGTAAGAAAGCATGAGAATATGACAATGAAGGCACATTCAAGAATATCGCTATAGTGGGAAATCATATACCTTCAGGGCTAGTCTATGTGCTGACTGTGCATATTTGCACCCTCGGGGCTGTGCCATACATTTAATGAGATTTTTGTCCCATTTGAGGGGCATTCTTCTATCGATTTTTCTTCTTTTGTCCAGCAATAGCCCAATACCCCAAATTAGCCCAACACCTTCGCGGCGACTGTTTGTCCTGTTATACAGAGTTGTAGAAATGGCCGGGTTTTCTCGTGTGTTTATTTTTTTTCTTATTATAGTTGTGATTCCGATTGGTGCTGACTCCAGGCTCGCCAACACAGGGAGAGTCCCAACTTTCGTGGCAAAAATAAATTACCAACATTTTCTGATGATGATTCTCTTAATTCCAATAGTCATGTTGTGTATGAGCTGCCAATCGATGTCCTGTGTGTAGATTTCCTCACTAATATTCATCTAGCTGTCTTGCTCGCGGGTTGCACTTCAAATGGCATGAGCGATGTCTACCTAATATCCCTGCGATATAATGTACCAAACCCTCTGATAACTAAGGGACCAGGTCAAGTTAATACACTTATATCACACGCTATCTACAATGTGTCTCAGTCGGGAAATGGAACAACCTTTGAAGTGCGCGCAGGTTACCGGGGGCTTTGCGTGGGGCAAAGCAACGAAGATCGCATCTGCTCTAGCAGTGCCAAAGTGCTTGCAAATATAATTGGAGCGCAGCGCAGAATCATCGTTAATGGAAATAACAGTGTAGAGACTACACCAGACCCGCTTAACTTGATCATGGTTGCGGAGGAGTTTAGGCAAAGGATAGTATTTGATGGGTTGCTGTAAGTCCGACACACTCCCACTTGTTGTATCAGTTGACATACTTATATATCGGGTCCCCAGATTTGTTGTGCTTCTATTATGCTTCATTTCATTCATAGCATTTTCAACCTTTCCAGGATGGCATGAAGAAATAGACGCAGATGGCGAGGAAAAGGAGGTCAGACCGTTCCCTGGGGGTTTCATCTCGCGCTTTTCTTTGATTGTGTCATCAAGCGCGGTTTGGTTTGCATTTGTCTCAGTGTTTTGGCAGCATATTAATAGTAGTTCTACTGCGACGATGGCCGAAGTCCTCAATTATGGCGCCGTCTCAGGTCATGTTGGGACCACCGCGATGGCACTGGGGTGGATTTCGGTAGGCGCAATTATCGTTGTGAGCCTTGCGGTCTGGCTCATGATCCTCAGCATTAAGATCCTTCAACGTCTGACCGAAGACGAAAGCAGTCATTGTGGAGATAGTTCATCGGAAGGGAGTTCGTAACTATTTTGGAATATCATCACTTGGTTCCTTATTGTGATTTTCTCTCTGATTCTTATAAACATCGCTTGTGGTAAAGACCGCCAGTTCGTCGCAAGAGCCCACCAACACATGAATTGGGTCTAAGTGAAAGGTTTTCCCTGTCAGCTCGAAGCTTCAATGATTGCAAAACTCTCAATCTTCCAAGTCTCGAACCGAAGAACGGGGTGTATTCCGATAAAAACCAGTAGGCAAAACAAGAGACGGCTAGTCTATTGTCGAGCTGTCATAATCGAACCAGGAAGAAACAAATCAATTAATATCAGGCTCACACTCCTGACTGTGAAACTTACAGTCTGCAGCCGCACATTGCTTCTCGCAATACCCCACCTGCAAACACCGATTACATGGAAACAGCGACTTGTCCGACGGTGGAGAAAAGTTGCAGTGTTCATAGCGAATCCCAAAATTCTGAACACCATCATCTGGACACTTAAACATAGCCATGGCCTATTTTAAGCCTCTACTCCACGAAATCCAGCACTTCTTGGTAATTTGATCTCCTCAGTGGTAGAGACGCCAACATTACACTTCTCAAGTCTGATACCAAGTGCTTGGCACCTAGCAGAAACAGTCCGCGCAAGGGGCTCGTCGGTAGTGCTCCACGTAAACGGTGCGAAGGGCTTTATATTGCTGCCCATCTGACGAATAGAGCCTGGCTCGTTGAAGTAGTTGACAAATGCTTCTAGGGGCAATGAGACAATCATCTCGGCTTGCTGAGCTGGTGAGAGACGGGAGAACTCATATTGGCCCTCGCTCTCGTAGTGCCTGTTGCATTGGTTTGCGAACAAAATGGCTTCTCCTGGGACTGCGCGGAGAGCCTTTGCGCCGAAGTGGCAGTGGTTGCGTTTACCGAAATTATCCTTTTCAGGGCTCTGCAGGTTGTTGAAGCACTTTAATTTCGTGGCAGTGACGCTCTCCATTTTTGAGGTATTGGAGGAGCTCTAATATCGATGGATTGTATTGCTTGCCGACCACCTGGGCACTTCGTTTTTTTTTAAATCTTTTTCTGACTCCCTTGACTTTGGTATATTCAAGGAGATTTGATGCTTTGCCAACTTAGAATCAAAGTTTGCGTTACCCCCATGCATAATAGACGACCCCCTAAGGGGCCTCAGTGGCTTTTGGCATGACGAAGTTGTATTTTTATATTGTTTCTAGGTATAATATAGTAAACTGCTATGCGAGTCAAAGATGTAGAGGTTACCACATATACTATCACTCAAGTGCCGCAACTATTCTTTCCAAAGCCATGCTCAGTAGCTCATGACCCTGCGTAACAACAATTCGAAACCATCCTTTCTGCTCGGACCCAAAGAGAAAGCCAGTAGCCAGAAACACCTTCTTTTGCAAAAGTCGCTGCATAACTGTTTTCTCAATGTCCTCGCAGTCCTCCTCGGGATGGAGCTCGTGATACCTTTTGCCCAGGTCCATCCAGACGAAGAAAGCAGCATTGCATCCTGTTGCATATTCAATTCCGTGCTGTTTGAGATAATTCGTCGTGTATGCATGTGCCTCAGAAAGCTTCTGTTGGTTTTGTTGAATGTACCGGTTGGTAAAATCAGTATCCTCAAGCAAGAGAGATGTCAAGTGATCCGTGATCCCAGAGGCCTGAGAATACAGAGCGGTACCCTGCAGTGCCATGTGGACGTTTCGGTTGGCTTGAGAAATAATAACTCCGATTCTCATTCCATTTGCACCAAAGTCTTTGCTCATACCCCACAGAGCGTGGACTAGACCAGGGTCGATGATCCCGGTTGGGTCAATTGATAAGGCGGATTCAAACTTGACAGGTGGAGGATGCGTATCGACAGAATTTTCGAAAGTAGAAAGGGCATAGATTTCGTCACTGATCAGATGGATTTGGTATTTCTGGCAAAGCTGCATCATCTTAATGAGCACTGCTCTGGGATAGCAGCGTCCGAGTGGGTTGTGAGGATGGCAAAGCATCAGAGCTTTGACTTTCTTGCCAGTTCGCTGCTGGAACTCCAAAATTGCTTCTTCATACTTATCAACACCCTCGAGGCTGAGAGGGTCATGCTCGTCAAAGCTGACGGGAACGACGGGGCTCCCTGAACGAAGTGATATATCGGGTATGAACATCCCATAGTATGGTCTGCCGAGGAGAATCCCTTCCCCGGGGTCTGCGAATGCCCATGCAACATGTTCAACCGCAGGTGAGACGCCGTTGGTAATCATCAAATGGCTTGGGTCTAGCGGTGTGAAGGGCTTCAGGTGATTATTCAAAAATGAAGCGATGGCTTTCTTCAACCTGGAAGAGCCAGATCCGCCCTCGTTGTATGTGAGATATTTAGCGGGGAGTTCGAGCCTCTGGTTGAGAAACTTCAATAGCTCATCGTGCATCAATGTATTTTCTGCCACGCCCACATTGACGTATCCCTTAGGGTTCTTTGATGGGCACCACACATCGCTAATGACATCAAAAAAGGGATTATCTGATCCTGAATCGACCACAGCTTGTGCCCGGCAAGATAGAACTGACTGGGTCATCTTGGCGATGGTTCGAAGAGTTTTCACTTGGACTGCAAGCCAATAAGTTAAGACGGGTAGACAGAAAAGTTTGCGAAAAAGATGTAGTAGAGTATCCAATTGCTTTCCCTTTGAGTTCCTGCAAGTTCGGTTATGATCGGCCACACAAATGAGCACTCGGAACATCAGCTTGGGGCATCAGATGTGGAGACCTCTTTATCTATCCACTTCCGGAAGAGCTGACATAAGAGGTATAAATTTGCCCAGGTGGTGAGATTTGAGAAGCTCAATGTTACATTATAGTAGTCATGCTACAAGGAAAATAGAGGGGTTGTTTTTATTTGCTCATTGAAACCCAACTTTATCTTCCTGTTGGGTAGTTTGGGCTGATGCCAAGAATCGTGAAGATTCCCCGCGCGCCACACACCGATCTCCAACATTGTTATAGATTAAATCGTTGCTTATTTTATCAAACTAGATCTTGTGGGTACTATGCTCATGAAAATTTTTCAGCCGAGCATCTGCTCCTGCTTAGCGCCCTCAACAGGAGTGAGATAACTAGGACGATCCTTAACATAGAACTCGACGTCAATCTTCCCTCCGAGGTTAGCCTCGCCGCCATCCAAGCTTCCAGCCTTGACACATGTCATATCAGGCATGATCTCCAGCTCGGTATAGAGACTTGAACCGCAGGTCGGGCAGAAGAAGTGCTTGTTGATCTTGCCGCTGGCACCGGTTGCATCGTACGAGGTGGGAGTGCCTGTATGGAGAAAGTGATCAGAGATATGGGTATAGTTAGGGGGGCTTCAACGTTAGAGATGGTTTACCCTTGGTCACTTTGACGCTAGTACGGGGAACGACGGCATTGGAAGTGAATGCGCCGCCAGTCCACTATTTGGTGTTAGGGCTTGTATGTATTTTCGTGTACAGACTTCCTGGGTATAGAATCAGTCACCTTCTGGCAGTCAATGCAATGGCACAAAGCAGACGTATACTTGTCAGCTGGAAAATTGTTAGCGCGAGTTGACTCAGGTTAGGTTTCAACGCATACATGCCTTCAACAGTGTAAGTGACACCGCCGCACATGCAGCTTCCGGTGAGAGTCATGGTGTGTATGTGTGTATTAAGCTTCAAAAGATAATACCTTGGTGGAATCAAAGTACAAAAGCGGGGATGCAAGCTGTCAGCTTTTATAGTTTCGAAACGGCTCGGTGTTCGATATTTGGTGTTCCCCACCCTTTCATTCACCGAACACCGAGAATTATTTCATTTTGATTCTGCCGGGGACTTGGTACGGGAGACAATCCTATTGTTGTGAGTATATATGTAGCTGGAGAGTACTTAGTCGCAAATCTAATTACGAGGACTATCTCTGTGCATATACCTATAGGTACATATCCTGTGATGCTACGGAACACGTCGAGGATTGGAATAGGCAGGATAATAAGATTGGCATCATTCCTAGAAATAAAAACCTGCTTTATATACATCACAAAGTCAAAGCAGTAAAAGCACAAAACACCAGGTTTCTAGAACCAACAAAATGTCACGATAGAATCAAGGAGATAGGAAATAAATGGAAGTAAAGTTGACAAGACAGGCAGCACTGGTATATCAGTTCAAGGTCCACGTGAAAAGGGTCATTGGAAGACAGAAGACGAAAGGAAAGGGGGAAGAGAAGGAACGACAATAATCGGGGTATAGAGAGGATACAGACTAGAATCTTGATCGAACTAGAAAGGGACGGTCAAAAGCCTCCAGGGCAAATGGAGTTACAGGGTTAGGGTGACAAGAATTGAGAGTATTTGTCCACTGGACAGTCTCTTGAACAAGTGCCAGTGCTTTACAAGGTGGAGACAGTTTCTCAAATAGATTGAATCAAGCCAAACTGTCTCAAATTTTTGGCTTTTTGTTCGCACTTTCCCCTCCAGATCCCCCTTCAGGACTCTTTCTTTTCTTGTCTTGTTCGTCCTCTCGAGAAAAGCTGGGACCGCTTTGCACTGCCGGCGTCGGGAAAGTGAGAGGACTGGGCAGCATGTTGGAGTCTGGGCCTGAGCGACCAAAGCCCCATTCCGGGAAAAAGCTGGAAGGTGATGGGAGGAGGGCATCGGATACAAAACGGCTTGGCAGGGCTGATATAGGTGTTTCAATGTTATTTGAGTTGTTCACATTGCCAGGATTGCCGCTGTTGCTGCCGTAAGAGTCGTTTCGCGTTGTGGGAACAGGGGGCGGTGGTCGCGCGAAGGGATTTGGCGGTCCCTGGGCTCCCGCGCTCAATATTGCACCCGCTGAGGGTGATGGAGGGGGTAAGACCACGCCCGAACCCCCATTTTCAGCACTTGTTTTCGCAGGCGTGGAGGATTTGTTGCCAGAAGAGTCACGCGATGACTCGGCAGTGGCGCTTCCGCCGCCATCGGAGTGTTCACTGGGAATCTGCACCTTCAATTGCGGTCGTTTTGATGGTAATGGCCCACTGCTGGTTCGAGACGGTTTAGATTCCGACCCCGAGCGGGGAGCCTCCGTGGCAGCTCTGACAGGAATTGATCTTGAATTAGAGAAACCTTGCGGCAGTGGTTCGACTTTGAGGGAATGGGTGTTCCGTGGAGGCTCATACGTAGGCGCCCCCGCGCCAAAGTGGCGGGCAAGCACGGATCCTCGATCATCAATAGGCGTGAAAATGCTGCGTGATTTAGAAAGAGATTTTATCTGAGGCGGGGATTGGCTATGCTCCGGTTTCAAGCCGGAAGGCTCCTCTTGAGTATGCTCAGAAACGGGTCGGTCTTGGTGGCCATCGGGCGCAAATCCTGGTGGAAGAGACCCTCTGCCATGCTCCTGCATATATACCTGTTGCACTTGAGAAGGCATTCCTACGGGATGGCCATGCTGTTGGAAATGTTGCTGGGCTTGGTGCTGAGATGGCATCTGTTGGGGTAGAGCGTGTGTGTGCATTGGAGGCGTTCCTTGGTGTGGCCTTGGTTGGTGTCCATAGTGTGCGAACTGACCGGGTTGAGGCTGCTGATTCATTGCGTGGACATTCGGGTTGTACATAGACGGGTTGGGCATGTACCCAAAGTTCCCATTTTGAGAACCAGGGGGTGGCGGCGGCGGAGGTGTACCATGTTGCTGAGGACCTAGGTTGGAGCTGACTCGGCGGATGTGATTTCTTGAAGAGGGACGCGATGTGACTTGGGGTTGTGGGGTGCCATGTCGCGTGAGGGTCATTCCATGATGGATGGGAGGAGACGCGGAAGGTGCATGGTTTATATGCTGAAATGCGGGTGTATTTTGAAGGTGGGCGGGAATAGCGGGATGACTCTGGGTTTGCTGGACTGCTTGGATTTCATCGGGACCTGGTGACATCTCATCATCGTCTTCATCATCGTCTCGTTTGCCGGCAAAATCTTCAGGTCCTTTGTGCTCGTGGGGAGGACCAAACTAAAGAGCCAGAATTAGCATTCAGTATACAAGTAAAAAGCCATGGCTGCCTTTGGAGAACGTCCCCAAAATGCCACAAAATAGGCGCCGAAAATGTGAATATAAATACAATGGTTGACTCACATATTGATAGCGCCCGAGAGCATCATGCATATCGCATGATGAGTACTCGTACAGTTTCTTGTTCTGGCCGAAGATGATGACCGCTACGTCCACGGAGCATAGAACAGCGAGTTCATGCGCCTTCTTGAACAAACCACCCTTTCGCTTCAAAAACGTGCTATAAACGAAGCTCTAGTCAGCCACGGCCATAATTATGAGCCGGAAGGTCAACTTACACTGAGCGGTTACGGTCATCTTTGATGGCCTTGATCTCAATCTTTCTCCGACCCATGGTGGGCAGCGAGCGCAACGAATGCGCGCCAATAGAAAGTTTGAGACCAAATTAAACAGCGGATTGCGCTGCGATTTACAGAAAGTTCTGCGCGGCGCTTCCCTCGGTCGCTCCAAATGTAAGATCGACGCGATGGCGGAATGTAGACGCGCGGAAGCGGGGAGAAGAGTTTTCGATAAGTGCCTTGCAACAAGTTCGAGAAGTTTGATGCAACAATATTCACCCACAAAAAGCTCTTGAAACCAAAGGTCTAGTTCCTTTGAACGTGATGAAACCCGGTCTATACTCAAGCGGGGGGAGGGGAACAACGCGACAAAAGAACAAATAAGACCCCTCGGAGTTCAAGGTTGATCGAACCCGAGGAGGTTGAAAGGGTTGAGAACAAGGGAAACAATACAAAGACAAAAAAGGTGAACCGGAAGATGTAAAGGATGTTGCTAAATTTAGGATCGAGGGAGAGGATTTGCAGGGTGGCCGTTGGTCGAGGCTGACTCATCACTTTCATCGCTCCATAAAATTTTAAGCGCCAGATGACCCGTTTAGGAAAGGGTCTAACACATAACTCCATGCTGTAGGGTCTTTTGTTCTATATATAGATCTATGTATCACATACGGAATACTTAAAGCACATTGGCACTTTGGTGTCTGCAGTGGCTTGTCACAGTGGAGTCTATACCCTATTCACCATTGGCATGTATGCTCACCAGCCACGGGTTGGAAAGGCTCGGATCATAATCGGCACTCTCACTTGGATAGTGTTAAGAAGTCAACTTAATCCATCCATATACAACCATATGTGCATTGCACTTACAATGCAACTACTTGTGAATGCTTTCGCCGCGCTTCTTATGATATCTCTAGTAATAAATGATATTCTGGAGGTCCATGGGAATGTATTTTGTTTTGTGTCCTAAGATGAAGGCTGACTTCCAATGTTGGTGGGTGTTGGTTGGTGTCTCAAAAAGGTTACCCCTTGTAGAAGTCTCGTTATGTACGCTATGGATGCAAGTACTCCGCATGCCTAGGCATTATCGAGTTTCTGTTTACAATTGCATACATAAACGTCGAAATCGAAGCAAAAATTAGATAAGTTGCAGGCAAAAGCCCACATACTTACGTAGATAGCTAACTATTTAATTATTTACATAGGTAGCTGTAACTATGTGATCGCGACACCCATAGACTCAACAATATATTATATGTCTGTGGTATGACAGGTACAGTTAATCAGGGAACTCCGTATATATATAAATTGAGATTTCGATACCTAGGTATTATCGTTCACAGGTAGACATATTTGTCATGTAGCTACAATATAACTACCCAAGTATCACTCATATGTATAACTAGTTGATCATTCCAAATAGGAGGCCTGGAGGCCTTGGAGCCTGATACATCAAGTCCCCGTGATATCGTCAGCCCTACCTAAATTGTCACTTACAGTATACAAGGCTTCCCCTGAAAGAGCCAAGCGCGAGATTTGAATCTGGAATTAATCTCACATCAGTTTCAGGAATTGAGCAGAAGTAACTACTTGAACCCTATTACCGTACTGAGTTGTACTTGACAATCGTTTAGACTGATTGGTTCTAGTGCGGCACAACCGTTTGACCAGTCGTCGCGATCGTCGGACAATTGGCTGAAAACTCGCAAATAATATCACTAGTTAGACAAGTTAGACACGTTAAACACGTTTGACACGTCGGACTTCAGATAAGTCAGGCAGCGAAATATATAAGTCACTACGATACCTACCATGCTTAGGTACAATCTCTATATGTAAATATAGTTGGATCCGAACCAGAGATGTAAGATGATGATCGCCATCATCATTCATATTCACATCCCACTTTGAACTTCACCGAAGTACCAATTCCACTTCTGCGAGATTCTCTTCCTTTTTAATCTTGTCCGAAAATAGTCGTGAATCTCTCTTTGTGTGGAGGCTTCTAACTGGGTTAAGACTGAGTCGAGATTTGAGTCGAGAGCGGATAAGGTTAGTTTTTTTACCCCTGAGCTTCGTGAATCGCTTCGTGTTTTTTCTTCCCAACCATTCACTTCTTCATTTTCCTCGTTGTTTTTGTCTTTCTTTTCGTTCTTTATAAGTTCTGGGGCATATTGTCAAGGTGGTTATCACTAAACCATCTACCCTTAGTGCCTAGAAGCACAGACAACTTCCATTCATCAGGGATCCTCGTCTTTTTTTATTTTTTTACAACTGAGCCTGTTTCGAGGCTGCAGGACACCCCGGACACGCTTGGGCGGTTTATCTATCCACTCGTTCTAATTATCTGTTGGTTTGCCATGTTCAATTTTGTTTTTGGTTTATTTCGAAACCTCAATTAATTTACTTTTGGCCAACAGAAGAAAGAAGAAAAAAAGCGGACCCTCGATCTCCCCCACAAGTCGGATTCCTTACGCGCAAAGTCAATTCACAGCGGTCGCATTTCCGTCAAAATGTCCTTCTTTTCGCGAGTCTTTCGTAAAGAGGCCGCGACAAAGAAACAGCCAAAGCCTACCACCGCCGTAGACACCATTCCCACGAAGCCCAAATGGACCGATGCCTGGCAGCGGACAGAGGTCGCGCCGGAGGAAGTTCAAGAGCTGGTGCGAGGCTGTGTGCATGAACTAAAGGCCCGAGGTAGGTTTTGAATTTCCATTCCGACTGAGGAATGCTGGCGCATATTCTCCGGATCGCTAATCATTCGCCCGTGTAGCTCTTGACACTCCATTCCTACTCCTACCGTTCCGCCCGAGCTCAGATCCGAGTGCTGCCCGCACGTTTATTCGCAATTATTTCAATCAGTCGTTCGACAAGGGCTCGCCCGTGAACGGAGATGCCTTATCGCAGGAGCTTCGGCTCACTGAGCCGATGGTGAGGGATGATCCCATGGATAACAGATCGCGTACTAACGCTATTCCTTTATTTAGGTCCTTTGTGGAGTGATGAAATGGTGCTGGAGCAGACTTCCCGGTGGTGTGGTCACCTGGGAGGCATATGAAACCTTTAAGATGGGAGAAAATGGTGCGCGATATTCAATGAAATGCGGGGAAAACACGCGCTGATCAAATGTTAGATTCGGATATGGCCCGCGATGCTTTCTCGACCTTCATTCCTATCGGTGGCGACTCCGAGGCCCGAACGAACATTATTATCGACTTTTTCGATCTTTTGGCTGCCATTGCGGCCCATGGAAAGTCCAATGGATTGGGTGGACGCAAACTTTCTCGTTATGCTGGATGGTGGGCCTTCGAGCACGTCGATACCGGCGGTGGCTTTGAGGCCGCCTACAAGAACTGGGCTGTGTATGGGCTTCTATCACTCTGGTCCCAGACAATGTTCTAATGGTCAATTTCTAGTGCCGCCGATGCCACGAGTCACTTGTTCTTCGCCTATCTCCGTTCATTGTCTCCCGATATCCCTCGCGGTGTGAGCGCCATCTCGACACTGCCAATTTCCCTACAATCCCTCGTTGAAGCAACCGAGTACCCTCCCGAGACCCCCACTTTACTTCAGGTTACGACTACAAAGGTGGTTATGATTGTGGAGAATGTTTCGCCGACGCCATTTTCGCTCCTGCGACGCGCCAAGAACTTCGAATACCGCGACGATGACTGGCATCTGCAGGAGTTTGCCAACTACGATGATCCCATCACCGCATTGACTGATGAGTGTCTACGCGTTCTCAAATGTATATCCTCCGCAAATGAAGTCAGCGTCTCCAGCACGAAGCAATCCACTAGTTTGCGGGACGCATCCTGGTCTCGCTTCGAAGATATTGGTTTCGGTGGCTCAATTGAATCCGACGAGGAGGAGAAGAAGGAAGCAACCCCGCCTCCAGTCTCGAGAAAGAGCGACTCTGCAGGGGGATTGAGCAACGTGCCCAAGTCTGGAACTGGTGATCTCGGTCGCCCTACTACCCCCTCATGGGCGGACTTTATGTCTTCTGGCTTTGCGGATGAAAATATCAAGACCCATGTGAGCCCTTTGCTGTTGCCTCCTGACAAGGTTCTGCCTCCAATTGCAACCGCGCGTGGACAGAGCTCCCAGTCCCACAAGCGCTCTTTGAATGACGAGCCCGCTCTCGAGCCAGCCGAGTTGGCTAGCATCAACACCCTTGATATGGACGACTCATTCTGGTGGGTGTGGATCAGCAGCCTGTCTGGCGATGAGCCCTCCTCTCGCAAGGCTGTGTTTGGCCGATGCGCGCTTTTGGAGACAGTCATTCGTGACACTAAATGGCTGGTCCTTGAAGAGCAGGTGAAGGGAGCTGCCCCAGAGCCCGAGGCTGGTGCGCAGATTGTTGAGAAGAAGCGATTCTTCAGCTTTGGTAGCCGCAGGGGTAAGCTTAGCCGCAGCAAGTCAACCGCTAAGAAGGTCTCTTCTATCGAAGAGTCGTACAACAGGGCCAACAACCAGGCTCCTCAGAGCAAGACTAGCATCGGTCCTGATCAGCACAAGCGAATTCAAGCAGCCGCAGCCGCTCTCCAGCAGAAGCACCGCGAGCAAGAAGCAGAGGCGAAGGAGAGCCGCAACGATTCCAAGACCGATCGTTACTCGAAGACAAACTCTGTAATGACCCTTCAACCTGCTATCGTCAACGAGGCCTCCCAAGCTATGAAGTGGACTAAGAACTACGACAAAGGTGCCTTCCGGGCAGCTTATCTCAAAAATAACCGGGCTGGCACTGGTGCCGCCGAAGAAGAGCTCGACAATGACCTCTCCCCCCAGGTGACCGAAGAAAAACCTCGCACGCCCGTGGCGCCTCCAGCCCCTACAGAGCACGCTCCCGCTCCTCCCCCCAAAGAAGCAGCTGCAGCAGCTGCCACTCCTCTTCCTCCGTCTCCCAAGCAGCCAGCAAAGAAGGCAGTCAAGGTAAACACTCCTGAAGAGGAGAAGACTACCACACAGCCTGCCGTTGTTGAGCAGCCTCTTGAGCCTCGCGAGTCAGTCGATGAGACCAAGAAGACGAAGAAGAAGACTTCCAACTCTGCTGCTTTCAAGAGCATGTTCGGTACCAAGAAGAAGCCTGAACAACAGCAACCCCCGATGAAGAACATTGGTGCTAAGGAAACCTCAAGTGTGGCAGCTGCCCGCGCAGCTCTCGAGGCTAGACAAAAGGCCGCCCAGGAGTCCACGCCTGTGAAGAAGAAGCCCCTTCCCAAGGAAGCCGCTGTTGCCATCGAGCCTGCGACTGCTGAGTCCGAGAAGCCCTCGACACCCAAGCAGCCCGAACAGCGCGCAAAGCCCACAACTGAGCGCCCAACCCAGCCTTTCGCCGCTATTTCAGAGAACGGCGCGCCCCCAAAGACCAGACGCGCGCTCGAGTACGACGCCTTGTCGCGCGTTGACACCAACGAGCGCAACGCTGCCGACCAGGAATTCTCAAAATTCGACCAGGGCCCTCTAGTCGAGCAGCCGGCTTTCGTCCCTCAGGAATCTCCCGTGGACGATCAGCCAGCTCAGAAGACTGAGCTTCCCCAGACCCCTACCAATGGTAACGGCGTTCGACCTGAGAGTGCTACCTCGCCTGAATCAACCGGCGCCCAACACGACCGATGGAAGGCTATCCGCGAAGCCGCGGCCCTTCGGGCTGCTGCTGTCTACGAGGCCGGACCTGAGCAGGAGAATGAGCATGAGCAGGAGACCGAGCAGGAGACCGAGACTACCACCCGGACTAGCCAGTCCGAGCGCACTGATGAGGGAGATACCAGCGGAGAAGAGAGTAAGTCATCCTCCATATTTACTATAACAAGCCCTAACCAAACCCCCAGCCATTGAGTCTCGCGTCGCTCGCATCAAGGCCCGCGTCGCCGAACTGACCGGCAACATGGAAGACGGACAGAAGCCTTAGCCCGCCTTGCCCCAGCTTTAATTTCACCGATCACCCTGGCTTTCTTTTCGCTTTCGATGATCCAAGATTTACTTTTTGTTAAGCATATACCCTTCTACCGACCACCACCGGTCGTGTCTGCTTGTTGAACGCGGTCTGCAAGGCCGAGGTCTATCCGGAGCATGGACAGACCGACGAATACTGCGAAACGATTAATGGATTCTGTCTGGTTGACAATCGATTTCTTTTAATTTTCTCGTCACTGTGTTGACATTTCTCCAGTCGTGACTGGTCAGATATCTTTTGTTTGATTTTTTGTCTACCCATCTATTGGATGTGGGTGATATGTTGTTTTTGGTCTATCACTTGCTCTATTCCCCTTTTGCTACTGCTACTGCTATCGATTTGGTCGCTCCAATATGAATCGCTTCCTGCCTAATCCAACCATGAAAGTAGTCTACCTGAGAACTACACTAGGAAAGGAAAAGTAAATGGAGTCATGGTCAATATTCGCCTCTAGGCTATAGTAGCATAATTCTTAAAATAATGAAAATTACAATCCCAAAGCCTCCAAGATAGCCTTACCAACACCCGTCGCAGACGCAGGGTTCTGGCCAGTAATAAGCACCGACCCAGTACCAGCCGTCTTAGAAACAACAACCTTCTCCCCCCAAGCCTGATCGGCCTTAACGTACTTCCCGCCCGAGACGCGGCTAAGCTCCGTCTCCAGCATGAATGGCATAGCCGACGAAAGCTGCACAGCATCTTCCTCCTCATTCGAGAATCCCGTCACCGTAGCTCCGGAGATAAGGGGGACGCCGGAGGGCGCGGTAGCATTGAGCAGGACACAGGGTCCGTGGCAGACGGCCGCGACGGGCTTGTTGGCGGCCGCGAATGTCTGGATCAGAGCCAGGGAGACCGGGTCCGTGGTTAGGTCGAACATGGCTGTATACATTGCATGTAAGTGAGATGCTCAGGTTAGGGCTATGGGCTAGGGCAACGTACGTCCGTGGCCGCCGACGTAAAAGATGGCGTCGAATTCGGCTGCGCGGGGCAGGATATCCGATAGCTTGTGGGTGTTTGTCCATAGGGCCTTTTGCTCCTTGAGGAAGGTCTGCGAGGTGGCGTCTTCCTCGAACATCTTCACGGAGGCTGGATCGAGGGGTGCTTCGCCGCCTTTGGGCGAGGCGATGGTTAGGGAGACCTTGTTGTGGAGGACTTCATAGGGGTGGGCGAATTCGGGCTTTTGAGGTAGTTAGTACTGGGATTGAAGAGTCGTCTGTTAGTTTGGGTAGGCGTACCAGGTACCAGCCCGAGGGGTGGCCGGTGTCACCGAGCTTGTCGTGGGAGGTGAGAACGACGAGAACCTTGGGTGTCATTTTGGCGAGTTTGGGTATTTAGAAAATGGTTTAAATAGCAGGGTTATGCTACGATATATAATATCTTATGGCATAGAGGGGCGTTGGGCTGAGATTTATACGTTGCCCCTCCGTTTGCGGTGTGTCCGAGGCGATCATATATCACTATCTCGTCACTACCCCACCACGGGTTGATGTTAAGTGTAAACCAATAGGAGCTCTCAATTCAGAGACATCACGTTCTTCAGAAGCTACAATAATATAGGGTTTGCACAGCTTCGACCCACATATGGCATGATGTCATCCCGATGGCTACAAAAGTCTCCGATCATAAACACTAGAATCACAATATTGTACATAGTACACGGTAAGAAGTAAATCTGTAATGTAATTAGTTATATCAATGTACCTATCTAAATATATAATATGTGCAAGTACCGAGAAGAAGAAGAAAAAAAAATCTCAAAATTGCTTTTGGGACAAATCACAAGCTCACACTGTCCTATCCTTCGCATTGTACAACAAGAAATCCTGTACAGTCACGGGCTCGTGAGCAAAACAATGGCTATCATCGCAACGGTTCGTAATATGCAGTTCCAGCGGGCAACTGTTCAAAGTATGTACCGCAGCCGGCGGGTGGCCTCGGCCGCCACGAGGGCGCTGATTGCCCCGATAAAGAGGCAGATGGCAATGGCGTTGGGTCTATCCTTGTCTAGGTTCATCCATTGCGTGTCCGAACTACTCTTGTCTGACGGCTCGGCGCCGGGTTCAAGGATGCTGAAGACGATCCAGCTGATGAATGTGCCGACAAATTGCGGGAGGGTTGTATAAACATTAAGAACGCCTAGGTAGATGCCAGCTAATTCGCCTGTTGATGGGATGTTGGAGGATGGATCTTCTTCGTCGGTGTCGCTGTCGAACGAGTCGTGGTGGTTCAGTCGGAGGACATCTAGCTCTGTGTCTGCGGCATTGTTGCGCAGGCTAGCTGATGTTATCATTGTTACACCGGATCGTGAGGCCGGTACCACGGGGGAGTATCCGCCTGTTGTCAATTTGTTAATTTCTACGCCCATGAAGGCGAATGGGGCCCAGCCGCTGATTGCCCAGGGAATACCGCAGGCCGCTACGAGGAAGGTCGCAAAGGCTCGGGAGTGTGCAAGGGGTGCGAAGATCATGGTTGCGGCAAACATGATCTGAGAGATCAACCAGGCTGTCTGGAGATCGGGACGGATGGCGGTGACAGCCTTGAGGACGGCTGCCACGCCCGGCGGGGGACGTGGGGTGAATCGTGTTCGCTTGGTATCCGGTGGTTGGATACAGAATGGCAGGAGGACAGAGCTGAGGAATGTGATAGAAGAGAAGACCGTCAATGACAGACTTCCCACCCGGCCCACTTCGCCGAGCATGTCTGTCGCTTTGGCCATGTCGTCCTTGGGTACTTCATAGCGGAAGTAGGTCTCACCGACCCAGGTCGTGCTGTAGAAGAGAAAGGGGAACCAACCTATTCTAATCAGAGGAAAACATCACCAATAGATGGAGATCTTACATACCAATCCAAGCCCAAAATTGGGCCCAGCAAATAGCTTGAATCCGAGGCGGCAGCTCGAATGTAGTTTTGAACAGCTGTGAAAGAACTTGGATCGCACCAGCACTTCCATCATCCCTATGTCCACGATCGATTAGCTCAATGATTTCCTATATTCTTCAGGGCCAACCAACCTTGCTGAGATAAGAACACGCTCTTTCACCGAGTATGAGGTGACTGCCACCGCACACACTAATGAAAATGCAGCAATCACAGTCATCTGTTTAAACTGCGTGTCTCCGATGATTGTTCCAAAGATACTGACAGTATCAATAGCACCGACCACATAAGCAAAAAGCTGGCCGATGGCGCACATTCTGCCAGCTATGATATAAATTAGAGTGTTTTTAGACTGAAACATATGGGGAAGAACCATACCCCATGCGGAACCGGCTTGCTGGGAGGAAATGGGTAGTGTATCCACAATCAGACTGCGACAGCATGCTTGAACTGAAACATTGTAAGTAAAAAAAGACATAAAGGTTAGTTAACTTATTACTTACCAACGTTGATAGAGAAATCAACGGCATAGATACTCAGAACTGCCAATGCAATTGTGCCATTCTTAGCCTAGAGATAATTGGCATTAGCTTCTTGTTACTGAGAAACTAGAAGTTAGTCATCTAAGAAGTGTACCTTTTCCGGATCCTTAACGAATAATGCGACAATTTCCGCCGTCCAGCCCAAGACAAGCAGACAGAAAGCAACAATGAAAGACCCAAAAATCATAAAGGGTCTCCGACGACCCCATTTCGACCGTGACCGATCAGCAATAACACCAATAAGAGGCTGGATAATCAGCCCAGATAGTGGACCAGCAATCCACACCAGCGAAGTCTTGGATTTCGTTAACCCAAGCTGAAGAAGATATGGTGTGCAATCTACCCAAGATAAAAAGTCAGCAATGCTATTCTCTTTTGCGCATCGAATCTGGCCATTCTTACAGGTCATCTCAGTACCCCATGTAAACCTAAGAGCCAAAAGTCAGCCACAGAAACAACCCCCAAGCCCCAAGACCCAAAGTCCAAAGTCCCCCGCGGAGAAATACGCACTGCAATCCCACCAAACTAAACGTCAACAGCGCCATACGAGTCGACTCATTGCGACCCTTGATAGAAGGCGTCCCTGCCCACCTCGCAGCCTGAGGCATGATGCAAGCTCGCAATCATGCGCTTGTTATTTCCTCCGCCAAGCCAAAATCAGGTTGCCAGTGTTGTGTATCTCGTCGCGCTTCAGAATGCGACAGCAGCGTGGCTCGATTCGGGACGGGTTCCGGGGGTTGGGAAAGCGGCCGGGAAGTGTTAAAGGATCGAGGAATGAGTCGCGTGCTCGTCGGAAAGTGCTGGGGAGCTCGCGGGGGCCGAATTGGTTCGGGGCCGGGTTTGTGGCGCGCGTTGGGGCGAAATATTGACAGGGCTGGCGATTGTCGTTTTTGGTTTCCTTTGCGGAATTGTATATTCGGAATTCGAGGGAATTGACTGTCGGAGTCCAGGATCTGAGCTCTGGAGGACAAGAGGTGCTTCAAGGAGAGAAAATCCACATGAGCGCCTCCATGCGGGCCCCCGGCCTTATCGATTTATTTTAGACCCGCAAGCCCTTTGTCTGCCGATCCGGCTATTCTCAACACAAACAGCCAGGGTCTTTACATATATTTCCAGGGCTGCTTTTAATGTTTATTATTTTGCGGGCTTATTATCCTATCTACATTCATATTTCCGTTTGCAGCTCATCTTAACCCTTTCACGGCGACACTCATCCGCGATTGGCGTGACATAATCAAGGCCCTGGATACCAATAATAGAAACAAAGGGGATAGACACGGGATGAACGTGGGACGACATAGGGGCTTTTATATCGTCGCTTAAAAACCGTACGATACTAGAAATATTTGTTGATCAAATTTTTGATTTTGTCAAACAGCGTGAAAAAAAATTGTAAAAAAATCCAGCGAACAACTCCTCCGTAGAGGACCATATTCACCGTGCATAGAAACGAGATAAAAGCGTAAGTTATCTTTCATTGCGTCGCATCAAATCCTAAGTTCGAGTGCTCAAAGACAAACCTAAGTATCACAACATGACGCAATTTCTGCCTGGCCAGCTGACCAACAGAATTCAGAAAAACAGAGATTTTGATTCCTTCATGTCCTAATCCGCTTCCCATAATCGTCGTAAACAGCTATATCCCGAAGATTTACAGCCGGTTGGGGGCCGAGGTCGTGACAGGCCACTGGTAACCGGCCGCATCGCTGAACTTGTAGCCGTATGAGGCAGTGAAATCATCGAGGACAGCGGGTCCACGGGAGCCTAATGATATAATTAGTTATAGTCCAAACTGGTGAATTACTGCGGATAGACTCACCGTAGGGGTATTCCATGGGGATGATCTCCTTGTTGTCATCGAGGTAGTGCAGGAGGGGAGTGAAGATGCGCCAGCTGGCATCCAGCTCGTCGTCACGGACGAAGTTGGAGTGGTCGCCCTTGAAGGCGTCCAGGATCAGGGACTCGTAAGCTTCGGGGATCTTGAGGTCAGAGAAGCGGCGGCGGTAGGTCAAGTCCAGCTCGGTAACCACCGTCTGCATGGACAAACCGGGGAGCTTGGAGTTCATCTTGATGTAGACGGACTCGTTGGGCTGGACACGGATGACAAGCTCGTTGCGGGGAATGTCCTTGAAGATACCGGAGGTGACGTCCTTGAACTGGATGCGGACCTCGGTCTTCTGCTCGTTCAGGGCCTTACCGGCCTTAAGGATGAAGGGCACGCCGTCCCAACGCTCGTTCTTAATGTATGCCACCAGCGCGCAGAAAGTCGGGCAGCGAGACTCCTTGGGAACGGTGTCGTCCTCCAAGTAACCGGGCTTGCTGGCATCGAGGGAGCGGCCGTACTGACCGATGATGACGTTCTTGGGCTCGATGGCGTCCATGGCGCGGAGAACACGGACCTTCTCGTCACGGATGTCCTCGGAAGAGAAGGAGATGGGGCGCTCCATAGCGAGCAATGTGAGGACCTGCAGAAGGTCTTCAATGTGTCAGTTTTTCCGCGATTGGATCAGCATTGGAATTAACGTACGGTTCTGCATGACATCACGGATAATACCGAACTCATCGAAGTAACCACCACGGCCCTCAGTGCCGAACGGCTCCTTGAATGTAATCTGTTACCGGTATCAGTACCCATTTATAAAAAGTTCTTGTTCCACACATACCTGAACGTTGTCGATGTGGTGACGGTTCCATGTAGCGTTGAAGAACTCGTTGCCGAATCGCAGGATCAAAATGTTCTTAACCATCTCTTTGCCGAGGTAGTGATCGATACGGAAAATCTCTTCCTCCTTCCAGTTGGGTTCCAGGGCCCTCTGGAGGTCGCGCGAGCTCTGGAGGTCCTTACCGAAGGGCTTCTCAACCTATTGCAGACAATCGCATTAGTATGAGCTTATCTTGAATCATAATCTCCACCCACAATAATACGCGCGAGGCCGCTCTTGGGGTAGCAGTTGCGCTTCAGCTGCTCAGAGACAGTAGTGAAAACACTGGGAGGCAGAGCCATGTAAAAGACACGGTTCTGCTCCTTTCCTTGGCGGCCCTTCTCGATCCCCTCGAGGTGCTTGTTCAGGTTGATAAAAGAGTCATCCTGGTCGTATTGACCGGAAACGTAGGTGCACATCTTGCAGAATTGGTCTAATTGCTCCTCAATCTCCTTTGTGGGAACCTTGATGTACGAGCGAACGCGCTTAAGATATTCCTCGTGATCCATCTTCGTCCGCGCATATCCGACGATCTGAATATCCTTGGGGAGGAACTTGTTGCGGAACTACAGGGCATTGTCAGTTTTTTGAAGCTGAATTGGTAACTGGAATTGACACATACGAGGCCAAAGAGTGCTGGGAACTGCCGAATAGTTAGTACGAGTCATATAATCCGGAAAGGTGGGGCACGAACGGTCTTCTTCTTCGCCAGATCTCCAGAGGCACCTAGTACCACAATGATGGTATCATCCTTAAGTTCGATGGAGCTGAATGCGATATCCATTGTTAGTGATTCGTTCGAGGAAGAATTTGCGTTGGACGCGGTAATTGAGGGGTTGGGCGGGGGAGCTCTTTGAGCCGCAAAAAGCCTGCACAAGAGTCCAGTGGAAACTGATGATGATTTGGATGAATGCAGTATCCTTCCAGAGGGCAATCTTGGGGACAAAAGGTTGAGGTTTGAGGATGAGGTAGCCCTTCGGAGGTGGGCTTCATATGATGTAATCAGAGCATGAGGGGGAAATTTTGGAAGACGTACCCAGCGCCCTGGCGCTCATCGGTCTGGTTAATGACATTAGACATCTTGCAGCGCTATACAAAATGAAGAAGGGGAAATTGGGAAGGAAGAGAGAGAAATGTTGAGAAACACTGTAACAGGATCCGGCGGAGTACTTTTTAACGGGAGTCGCTCTCACAGCTTTGACTAGTGGGGCTGTGAGGTATGGGTATTTTATGTGTTTTATGATTATTCCAGGGTATTACTGACTTTTATTTTTTCTGTCTTAATTATGACGATGTTCTATTACTGATTTGCTTTTTCCCCCTACTCTCTTTATCTACTCTTTTTGGTCTTATTATTGTTTTAATTCTTGGATGAACCATTTCATCTCGGCCCTGAACCTGTTTGTCCTCGTGGCAATTGCCGGTCTGCCGACTTTCTTATATTAGACCTTTTTCCTAACCTCGATCTTAGTGATCACCCTTTTATCATTGACCTCAGTTCAATTACTGGGCCCCTCTTGGGATCTAGGACCTTAACCGTTTTAACCTACCCCGCGCAGGTTACTATCGCTGCTTTCTCTTGGGCTGAGCCTAGTAATTCGGAGTCATTACTATGTACGACTCCAAACAACACGTCGCTTATTGTTAGTTCAATGTAATTTTCGACTCTTCTAGGTGTTAGAAAGAGACATGGGATGTAGGTCATCTGATAAGAGGGATTCGTCTCACTTATAGGCGCGGACCACATTGCCCCAAACAGCCTGAATTCAACCGATGGTGGAGCGGGCACCACTATACGTATGAGATGTATCAAGTATCATTGTTCCTAACTACAATATTGTACAATGTTCTCATACTTTTATATATACAGCTTTGCGGTCAGCTGTACAGTCTGTACATGTGTTAAGAGTGGAGTCTTCTGCAAAGTAGTTGAGATAGCAAGCCACCTGAAGGTTGAAGAAGACCGAAGAGATGTGACATCTCCACTGAGTTTATTGCTAAAAATGGTGTAAAAAAAGTGGTGTCGCTTCTCTGCGGAAGACGTACCGAAGCCCGCTTTTACAGAATACAATACCAAATTTATACAAAATTATACAAGAAACCAAGCACGCAACTCGATAAGAGCTCGACCGGTGACCGAAATCGTGGGGAGGGATCGGCACATTTGTCATCTTCATACCAGACGGATTCTATTTTCCCGTGAGAACATTCTTAAGTCCGGTGGTAGGTATTGTCCCGATCTACGGAAGGGGTCCGAATCCGGAGCATATTAACCGTTGAGTGCTACCATAGCTCTCACATACAACTACACTCTCCCTGCCTCGGTATTAAGGTACCTCTGGTGGTTCGAGACTCGTACGAGTCCGCTTGAAAATTGCTCCGAGTATTTCAAGATTACCGGTCTCAGGTGTAATCAGTGATCCCGACAGCCAGGATGGTGGGGCAGGATTGAGGAACTTCTAGATTTCCCAATAAGTAGTCTCGGTCTGAAGTATACCGGAGAACTACTCCGTACACTGTACCCGGATCATGTCATGTCTTTCAGGTCATTGCAAAATTTCATTGAGAGTTACTTTTATAGTGATGTCTAGTGAGTTTGCAAAGATGGAACATTTACAACTCAGACTTTAGAGAAAAGAAAGCCGACCAAAGGCCGACGATAACCTTTGCACGTTGCTTTTTCTAAAATGGAACACCTGTCGTCATGGCCGAGGATCCTACGTTTGTCAGCCCTGAGAGGTCTGGATATTCCTACGGACGACTGTACCCCGAAAGATGTGGATCACGTGTTTTGTGGTACAAGGACAATTTCAGCTACACCATTTTCTCCTAGCGACTCAGTAGTAAACCATGGAAGTTGGATAAAATAGTATTTATACTGTTTGTTCAGTCGATTTACATCCAGTCTTTCATTACTTTAATTATAACTATAAGCTTCTTAAATGACGTCACACAACATGTCTGCCTTGGCGCCTTAGTGTTGATGCCTACGTGATATGGCTTCAAGGCAGGTGGAAACCTGACATCTTTAAAATACATAACGTTCTAATTACAACCTGAATTGATCAAAAGCTTTCTCACTACTGTCCTAAACATTCCATTCCAATTTCCCCTGAAAGAGTTGCATATATGTAGACAGATTCATAAGGTTGTTACTAGCACTACATATGTACTTGATGAGTTCACTGCCAACGAAGACTAATCCCGCAGGCATCGTCGCTAAGTTAAAGTACGATGAGTGGTCCTGGCTATAGACACTGACACGCTCTGAACTTCGATGATAATTATGCGCCGGCTGCTCGCGGCGAGACCATCAGGTTATTCCTGTCAATAGTGGTGAAGAAGCGCATGGTTCTGGAACAGATAGACTCCACTGCCGCTTATCTCAATGTCCCCATCAACCAGTGGATCATTATCATGCGTCAATCGACTGGTTTTGAGAAGCCAGGGCTGGTCTGCTTGCTATCATAGGCTCTCTACAGTCTATAACAGAGCGACTGCTTATAGTACGACACTATCGTTGAGGCATTGCGAAACATAGGTTTCAGACAACTTCTCGACGGGCCATGTATTCTAATTCATTAGGATTGCAATTTGTGGCTACTGCTTTACGTCGATGATACCATTGTTGCAGGCTCTGATGAAGATATCAAAGGACTCCAAGATAATGTATCATTCGCATACAAAGATTTTAGCAAGCCAGTCCGTTTTCTTGGGGGTTACCCTATCTCATGGAGATTAGAGGATCTTCCTAAGCTAAGACACGTATAACGAGGAGATACTTGCCTAGGCAGGTCTGAGTAATGCTTCTCCTAATGATGTAAAGAATGACGAGCCCACCGTCGAAAGGGGCGATGCTACTCGCTTTATATAAAATTAGATAGCTCACTAGTAAGAGCAGACCTAACATCGCTGTGTCTGTTAATAAATTGCAAGGCAGAACTAATACTTCGAGATAAGAGGATCTCTAATTCAAATAGAGGGCCAAGCTTACTGTGATACGAGCGGCTAAGAGCATTAGCTTTTACTCTTTAGTTTTTGTCTTATAAGTGAAATCTGTCTGGCTACATTACTTAACGAGCATACTCTGAATTCTTTACCATAAGATTGAAATGAAAAGATAGGATTGAAAAGACAAGATTTGCTTTTGTCTGTTCGTTGTGCGCTACTATGGGACCATGAAGTGTATAACAATACTATATCGGTAGTTACGAAGAGTTAAAAATCCAAGCCGCAAGAATGAGCTATCTATGATAAATTCTTTGTACATACTGTATCAACAATTCATGGAGATAAGAAATGACGTGGCTTAGGACGAAGTAGAAATCCACAGCCATATCATAGCTATTTGCTTTGTCGTGTTAAATTTAAAAAAATATTAAAAAAAAGAAAAATTAAAGAAACCACGAAAGGTACCATTGTTATATAACTCCCGTAGAAAAGGTATATAGAAACCAAAGGTGGGATTTTCAAACACCCTTTTTTGTAAAGGTGCGCTACAGAACATGTACGTTGTAGGTATATTGAACAGGGTGAAAGAACAAACCAAAGCACTGTAGTGATTAGCTCACAGCATTATGTGCAAGTTATCGGTGTATTCTTAGCGTACGAGAGTAGGTGCCCATTGAATTATTCCAAATAGAATAAACTAATTATTCTCCTCTTTAGAAACTCGCAGATTTTATAGACTACGAGAGGTTTGATCCCTTTTAAATTTGGAGAGCTATCAATTTCCTATATAATGCAATTACATTAACATTGATCTGACGTAACTTGGTGAAGTAAATCTGTATATAAGATATCACGTTTATAGAGATATCTAGAACCAAATAACAACATATGTACAGATTTTATATGTCTTCACGACCTTTTTTAACTATACTCCCCTGGGCTTTGTACTTTTTATATAATTAGAACAAAAATTAGCTAGTTAATGATGGTAATAAAAATTTGTATTGATTCTGATTGTGGGTTACAATGTTATTGCGCTTATGTACCTGTAGTTTTAGAACGTCGAGTTTGTACTACAAACAGGAGTTGTCGCCGCATGGATCATATTACTGAAACTAAGTACTTTTTGTATGCGCCTCCCATACTTAAAATACCTCGAGCAATATTTCAGGGTTGAGCCCTAGCACTTGGGTCCACCACACCACGTGACCCACTAATCCACGTGATCCGGGTCGATTCCAGTGTGGATTTGTGTGCTCGCCTATTGAATTTTGAATTATCGCCAACCTCGCCGACATACGACAACCGCGGGTCACCTTCGACACTCTTTCCTTGCCCGATCACAGAGAAACGCCGACACAATGCCTTCGGAACAAGGACACCGCCGTGAGTGAATCCCCTGATCACGAATTTGCATATCGATCGTCGATTCGGCGGTCTCGAAATCGCAAAGCCGTACTCGATCAAGGCACCTTGTGTGCGACCAGGGAATGAATGAACTACATGCTAACTGATTTTTTCCTATTCTAGTCTACGTCAAGTAAGTTATCACCGCAAATCAATATACGTTCGAGATACCGGTTCGAAATGAAGGATCGATTTGGAGGACTCAGCCATCGCCACTCGAACAATATACGATGAGAACAGAGGATTAACGCGAATTTCTTTCACAGGGGACGTCACCTCAGCTACCAGCGTAGCAAGCACGCCCTTACCCCCAACACCAGGTATCTACACCCTGCGCACACAAAATGAAATTGGACGGAATCTGATATGTGGAATCTAGCTTGGTCAAGATTGAGGGTGTTGATGACACCAAGTCCGCCAACTTCTACCTTGGCAAGAAGGTCGCTTTCGTTTACCGTGCTAAGCGTGAGGTCCGCGGCTCCAACATCCGGGTGATCTGGGGCAAGGTCACTCGGCCACACGGTACGTGAAAGGAACAGGACCCAAGGGCATCTCGGAGAGCCATGGGAACCGCAGCCCGAATCTTGAACATCGGAACTAATTTATTTCAGGCAACTCCGGTGTTGTGCGCGCCAAGTTCCGCAACAACCTCCCCCCCAAGTCTCTCGGTGCCACCGTCCGCGTTATGCTCTACCCCTCCAACATCTAAACGGCTTCTCTGTGTTGTTTTTTAGTGGGCGATTCCCTTCTTCGCGCAGACGGTCGGTCAGGCAAGGAAAAGTCGACGGAACGAGCCGATGTTGGTTTGAAGTGATGGAGTTGGCGGGTTGATAACGTTCTATTCGTGGGAGAAGGAAGGGCCATAGAGCCCTACGAATCAAAAAATTTTACCCTTTCATTGCTGTGTTGGCCTCGAGGCACCGGGAACGAGCACCGTCTCGATATTTCTCCTTGTTCTAACAATTCGCGAGCATGATGTGTCTGGTCGCGCAGCGTCACTTTCTCCCACTTTGTATCTGACGCTCATGCGCACCAAATTCCATACCATTTCAAAATCCAGCACCGGTCAATCGATCCGCTTCTTCATGTCAGTCCTTCGTCTGTTGATTAGGAAGAATTGCATCTATTGCTCTGGCTCCTCTATACCACGGCATTTTGTTCTTCACGATATTCCCATTGCAACTTAGGCAATCTAGGCTTTTAATTGTAGTTCTGGCTCTGGCACCCATAGACCCTTCTGGTGACCAGGTTCCCCAGGTTGTGTGCGATGTGGACCCGCATCCCCATACTGACCTTGCACTAGTTAGTGTCAACTATCAACTCAACTTCGGACGCAGCACCGGGTTCTTGACTTGGGTTCTTGACTTTTTTCCCTTCACTCTGCAGAACAATGCCATCTGATATTAATTTTCCTATTCATTTGCCGGTCTAGACCATCAAGAATCCTTCCGTCTTCTGATAAGCGAAGCCGCCAAATATATATTTCCACATAAATTAGATCTGAACTCCACTCCAGCCGAAGTAAAGTATGGTTTCATCCTCATAACTCATTAACAAAAACCTCGGAAGCAAACCTGCAAATGGTATTCTGGAACCCAACTCCAACACATTCAATCATAAAGCTTATAATATTTCTTTGTGCACCGATTGCCTGTGAGCCTTGAGATTTTCCCGTCGACTGGAAGCATGTTCACACAAGGGGAAGGGACATTTGAATCCCCGTGGGTTGATATGCTGAGTCTGGATGTGCCGTACCAACACCCCTTTACGAGAGAACATACGATCATAAGTACAGTCCTTATATTCGCATTTGTAGGTACCGTAGTCTTTGCTTTGCCTGGGCAAACGTGTTTAAATATGTGTTTGGAAGAGGAAGGATAGACCAAGTGTAGGAGGATACTAACTGTTTTTTGACTGCACGACGACGAGATCGGCAGGGAAGTTTCGACTGGCTAGGCTCATTGGTGGCCTCACTAGTGCAGTGGCTTTCTTCGATAGGGACGGAAGAGGGCGTCATATTAAACCAAGGACCGCAGAGCCTGTCATCATAATGGCTTGTTGGGGTGAGCGCAGCGCCGTTCTCTTGAATTGACGAAGAGCTTGGGGTATTTTCGTCGAAAGGCCTCTTGATAGTGGTTTGGTTTGGGTAGACCGAGGACGGGACAGGCGAAGATGTCACATCAGCCCAAGGACTGGGACATTGTGGATCGTAATCATTTGTGGAAGAGAGTGTGGCGCAAGTCACGGTTGGAGTAGGAGGTTGGTTTCTCTCATTGAGATATCCGTTGACAGTATGTGGGTCTAGATAAGTGGAAGAGACAGAGGAAAGGGCAGGAGATGATATGGGCTCAAAGGTAACCGGCGTTGGAGCAGGATGTGACCGATAGCCGTATAAATAAGGCCCAGCGACCAGCGACACATTTGACGGAGCGACTAGCAGATCGGGAGAGGGAGACATGGGAAAAGCCTCGGGCCGTTTGAGAAAGCTAGTGCTCCAGTCCTCCAGCTCTGGATCAGACCACGAGTACAGGGTTTGAGGAATGTTCGAATTGCTGTTGCTGCGTGTGTGCCACCACATGATGAGAGTAAGCGTCGACCTGAATGTATAGTCTCAGGGTTCAACGGTTGGGGATGAACCAGAATCGTACAAAAAGTAAAGTTATGCAAATAAATTATCATTCAGACCGATGAAGGGCACTCAGAGGTATTTATGGATATGAGAGGAAGAGGTAGAGAAAAAAATGTCGAAAATAGGTGGAACACGAACTCGACGAGGCAGTTGCCTTGAGACTTCCTCCCAGTCCCATTTTAGTAACAGCACTGGTGATTAAAGAGCCAGAATTTTGGTCTCCACATCACATTTTCCATTCAGCACGTCTGTTTATAGTACAAAAGTACGATTTCAATACCAGCCGGTATCACCCACCACACAGGGCTTTGTGCTGATAATTAGCCCCCTGGTTTTAGTGATACTTGGTTGCAGAAAGACTCGTACTCACGGTTCCTTTAATTTTCTGTCTCATCAACCGGAGAAAGAGGAAACAGGAGGTTCCACATTATTGTACATTGCAAGAGCTAGGGATATGCTACCAGTCAAAGCAGCTACCAGTCCGGCGTTGGCACCTAAAGGATTCCGCGCACTGAGTGATCGACAAAAGGATAGATGGCAGGTTGTCGAGAATTTCTGACAGTCTCATTACAGAGCATTTAAATGTAAGTTCAAGCGTTTCAAGATTGTAATACATGTTGTGTGTCATCAGAATAGAAGCCATCGAACTTTCCGAAATTCCCATCCCATGGACCTGGGAGACTAGTTCCCGCCTTACGTACCGACAGCCTGGGTTATCCATGGATCCACAGATATCAATCAATCGTGCTTTTATCAATTGGAATGTGAACTTCAACTACTCTATACCATGTATACAAATCGCATGTATACAAATTTCATTCCCATAGCCCCCGGTATGGGATTTTGTCCCCGCTCAATCCCACAGGCGTCTGCCGCCACGTCACTTCAGGGGAATCGAACAGATCACCAACCCGTGGGGTCGCAAGGCCCACTGGGAAGTACTACGAGGGTTTCCTAGTGCGTTGATAGTGTGCATTTTCCGCACCTCGTCAAATATCTTACCACTATCTTTTACTGTTTTCCCTTTTTCGACTTTCGTTTTTTTTCTTCATTTTCAATTGAATTTCAATTGATTTTTCGGTAGTGATCTGGTGTCTGAGCCAATAGAATAATAACAGCGAAAAAAAGCCTCAGTTGTGCGGTGGCTTTTCCTCAAATGACGGGTATCTTGGGGTTACATTGTGTCGGACGGCATGCATCTAGTGCCTTAGGGGGCCAATGATTATAATCCAGGTGTATACTACTCCGTAATCAAATGCCGACTCCAGGTGGCACCAAGTCTACAGAAAATAATAAATGTTTTTATCAGCCCAACCTAGAGTGTCTAGTATTGTCATCAAGAATGTTGTATCAACAACGCGGGATTAAAGAAAGACGCGAAAACACCCTCCCCCAGCTAAGATGTCTTAGAACTGATGGTCTTCAGCGTTTAAAAGCAAGATCTACGGCCATGACTCGTGGGTATGTGACGTGTTGTGCGTGAACTTGGGCGTAATATGCAAGTCAAAATTAGTCCCTTCAGCCGCACTCAGGCAGTCCGAGCATTCCATGATCTCAGATCCTTATTTTTATTATTTACCACTCTCGAATGGAGCTCCCATAGAATAAGTTATCCAGGTAGAGTTAAATTGTTCCTAGAAAAAACCTCCAAAAAAACCTCCCATTAAGCCTTGCTTTGGGCTCCGCCGAATAATTTAAAAACTCGTTCTCTATGAATCTGTAGACATGTGCTCTATTGCATCATTTATTTGGCATATCACTTCCTGCACGCAGAATACTTAGACGAATTTAATGTAATACTTAGATTTTCTACACGGCATTTGTTTGCCGGAAAGGGCCCTTGCTTGCGTGCATTGAATATAATATAATATTATATTGTGGCTTGGCCCCGATCTTTTCTGCTTTGGAGGGAAAGGGGGGCTATATAAGGCCCATTATTGATGCCACTTCTAGTGATGAAAGAGAGCCTATGTTCTGAGGCTGAGCGGATCGCTGTCAATCACAAAATTTGGAGACAGGATACCAATAGGATAAGCCCTGTGAACATATTACTAGATCTAATGCAATGATGCGACCTTAAAATGTGGCCGTACACCACATATTCTTCTCTTAGCATCTTTTTGTAAACAGAGATGATTGGCGGGACCCCGCGTAGTATGGGGTCTCAGTTGGGACAAAAGTACGAAAGATACACCAGCAAAAGTTTTGGAAATCTTTGATCCCAATTTCGGATCCAAATGGTTGAGTAGTTGCTAGATGTTTAATTTTAATTTGCTTAAATTAGTTTCGATACGATACAATATTGTATGCGGGTGCGTATTTGAGGTTGAATTTGAATTAAACTCGCGGTCCCGGGAAACTGGGACACCGGGAGAGCCATTGTGTTGGAACCAATCCCCAGTGATTCTATAGATATAGTTGTACTAACATAAAGGTCAAGCAAAATCAACAAAAGCTGAGAAAGATTGAGGTATCTCCCATTTATATTGAGGTAAAAAGGTTATTTATTACGATAAATTATTAAAAGTACAATTCGACATTTGACACCTATAATCCAAGTTCCTACCTGAACCCACCCCCTCAAGGTAGATGACATCCGATACTGCACTACTGCACTATCAGCGAATTTTGTCACGAAAATGGAGTCACAAAGATGGAGAACTTTCATTGAGAACTTCATGTTACGCAAGGAGCTTATGTTACTTTGTGGAAAGAAAACATGGCTGTCAAAAAAATAAGATGAAACCCTCTGTGGTTATTGCCTCAGGACCATTGACCACATTAGTTTGTGACACGTCACCACCATGGTGGTAACACTATGTTTCGGGCCGCCGAGGATTTTTGTTTTAGTCTTCCTCTGCCACATCCTCGTCCTCCTTTCTCTCCCCCTTACTTCTACTCCCGTAGCCCTTTTTCGCCAAATTATGTATCTCATCAAGTCTAGTCACATTGAAGTATTATCACTATGTATCAACGCAAGTGACTAGCAAAGCGCAGAGTTGCTATGGGCCAGAGTTTGACCAAGCCTGACAGAGCATTCCAAAGTTTTGTTCCAAGGTTGGGGCCATTTATGGCGTAGGCCGAAATATTCAGAAATAGAAGCAATTCAACATAAACCTCATGGTTCGCAAGATAAAGCAGTCTAGGGAGCAAGCAACCTTCCACAACATGTAGGAGCAACAAAACTGAAGTAACATAAAACAAAGCAAAGTCAAATATTGTAGCCTTCAGTTCAGCTCATGCTCAAGTCTTTACCTCCTCCGTCGTAGCATAACGACTCCATCTCCGAATGATAGGCCCATATCGATAAAACACGTACGGTACAGGGACCATGATCGCGCTAATGCACCCAAGAATGGTGAGGGTCCAATGAACACCCATATTTTTGTAAAATGGGATACCAACAACGGTCATGACACCAGCAGCAAGGTACCGCGAAACAGTCATGAAACCCAGTGCAGACGCCGCGTAAATATCGTACGCGTCGATAACATACATGTATGAGCTAATGAAAATGCAGATAGATCCGAAGCCGAAAAAACCTGATGCCACGATGGGTGACCAGATTGAGACCGAAGCCTGTTGATAAATTAGCCTTAATCTAAGCGAATTAATGTGGTGAGGGGTGAGTGAACGTACATAGTCAGTCCAGCCCATCCAAAATAGACTAATAGGAATCATTGGTGCTCCAAACATGGCAAACCAGAGTCGAATTTCGGGTTTTGTGTGGACGTTATCCAAGGCGCGGGGATCAGAGGCTGGATCAGTGCCATTGATTTCCTGTGCAGCAGCCGTGAAGTCCTTTTTGGTCCAGCGGTAAACTGGAAGCACCAGGAGTCCTGCGAGTAAGATGCCAACATACATCGCCACCCAGACGATATTGGTGAGACCTTGAGACAGGCCATGCACATCAGTAAAGATATAAGTGTAGCCGTCGAAGAATGTGAATAACACAATGTAGAGAACAGTCATGTAGAGCGATATGAGCAGGATGATAGGTTCATGGAATGGGATGAGGAATTGTCGCTTCATCGCGCCACCAATTCGACTAGAAAGTGAAACTTTCTCCATTTCCATTGCTGAACGGAAACGAGAGTCGCCCGTTTGCTGACGCAATTGCTTTCCCTTCCATTTCAACAGCAGCGGCGAGTATGTCTCCGGCTGGAAGAGAAGAACAAGAACGAAGATGGCGCCGGAGGCAATGAGAATTATCCAAGCCGTCCACTGCCATCCCAAGACGCCTGTTTGACCAATGAACGATGCAATCACAGGTGCCAATATGGGGCCACCAAATGACAATATGGCGTACATAGGGAACGTGATGGTCTTTTCGAGTGGATTCCACAGATCTGCAATGGTACCCCCTGCGCATGTCAACGGTGGACAGCCAAATATACCTGCTAGAAAGCGGAAGGCAAGTTGGGCACCGATGTTCGGGGCGAGGGCCGAGCCCATGATGAAAATCATAAACAAGGTAAGAGATCCAGCATACACAACATTGCGGCCAAGAATTTCGGACAGTGGTCCACTAACAAGTGAGCCGACTGCAAAACCGAGGAGATAAACGCCTGTTCAACTATTAGCTTTATACGAGAATGGCAGGCAGAGGAGATGTTATAATACCAGTCACCAATGTACCAACAACCTCACTGACGTGGTACGCTTCTGTGATCTGGAGTAAGACTCCCGACTCGATTGCCGACGCAGAGCCAACAACAAAAGCTAATGCGGTAACGAGTAGCGTGGCGACCATTCGACGGGCGTAGCTAAAGTTCCTAGGATTGAGGGGATCATTCTCATCTTCCCAGCCAACAATGAACAGGTGGGAATCTGGACCAGAAGTATCGATCTGCTTCTGGATCTCGATGCCGGCGAGGGAATTGCCCAGAGCCGTTTTCTCAGAATACTGCGTGAGATTTCGCGAAAGCGTATCCACAACTGACTCGGTCCCATCCTGGCTAAATCGGCCCGATTCCGGTATGACTGCTTCGCGGGCAGCAGAACTATTCACGGAAGAAGCCGTACCGTGCTCGGGGCCATTATCAAGTTGCCTGTGAACGGCATGACCCAATCGTCGAAATTGCAGATAGGACTGCATTTTTCAATATCAAAATTAGACTGAACTTTTCAGACCCTATATTGTGTTCTCACCGGTCAAGTAGTTATCGCGCTGTCTCCAGGATCAGGAGCCCACGCGATGATTTGACGTGTTTAGCTAAATTTCTGGAATCTGAAGAGGAAAATATGGGAAAAGGAGAAACCTCAGAAATTTTATATGCGTTCATGTATAACTGACCCATAGCTGATAAATCGAAGTTACTGGGATTGCTGATAAATCGGGTAAATTTCGGCACAAGCTAAAACCCGAGCTCATGTTGAGCCTTTGTGATAAATAAAAATAGGACATCTAGAGCAAAATGTGAGATGAGAGGGAACAATAACTTGCTGTTCTATCACGCCATCTAATCATTTACGGCGAACAGTATAGTTCAGCCAGAGTCGGGCCAAGTAAGCCGACCTTCACTTTATCTCAACGTTCGGTCTATATCTCCTTATAAGTGGATCCTCGGCCGAGATAGCGATTTGCAGATCGCAGAGTTGTCCGAGAGGGTTACTCATCGGTATGTTGAAAGCTCTTGTTCAGGTTACGATGTATGATTGGTAGCTAGAAACAGGGATGAAATTCATGTTCAACAAACACACTGAACACAGCGGCAAAGTCAATATAGCAATAGAAATTAACCAAAACAAACATTCAACATCAAAACAGAATCCGGTATCCGCGATCGCTTGCGCATTGTAAAGTCCAAAACAAATTAAAGCAAATATGTGTAGTTCAAACAATTCCAATCTCTATCAATTCGTCACCATGCATGTCGGAAAATTGTTGGCGTTGACATCCTGGTAGCATGACAATATCCCTACAAATCTTGTTCAAAAGGCCCGGGCCTTCCTTACGAGCGCGCTCAAGATCCTTTTCAAGTTCGTCACAAAGTCTGCGATCGGATTCGTTGATTAGCTCAGTACAGTCCATAGAGTCAATCTCATATGGTGCAGTTGCAATGGTGTGTTGAGCGGTGCGTAGTCTATACAACAGGCGAAGAATCGGAGCAAACTAGTGATGTGAACGTGAGAATCTTTTTATTGAGAAGAGGATAGGTGTATCAGGGGAATAACTACCTCAGTAGCTTGTTTAGACATCTTGTGGTTCATTTAGATCTGTTCAGAGGTCAGTAGGCGGTCTTGTGCTTCTAGTGAGTCTTGTGAGGACTGAGCACGAACTGGTGACTGTTCAAGTAGAAATTTGGTCGGAGATATATTGTTGAATGTAAGTACTATAAGGAGATGGGGTAGATAGGAGGAGAGTAAAGTGAGTCAGAAATTGATCGAGGGACATGATCTCCAAGCTAATGTCCCAAGGCTCTGAAGCCGCCACCTAAAATGGGCACGGCTTTGTTAGTCTCGTACAGAACCTAGGGACTGCTCTGGATATATACTTTTGTTAATCCACGGGAAGGGTCAGCAGAAGTATATAGAAAACTATATAGGAACCCCAGTTACTTGTTTCCCATGATGGAATCCGGGGTAACTGCCGATAATTAAAGTATTGGCGCAGACAGTACTTGTTCAAGCATTCAACTCTGTTATAGAGAAGGCTAAAGAAGCCGGAACAAACTTGGAAATGACAAATATGTCGAAAAGGTCGAAGAAACATCCTGCTCACAATCAATCAAAAGTAAACATGTACTATCCATCCAATAAACATACCAAAGTTTCAAGAATAATGCGGAAAGAGTATCATGTAAAAGCCACAGATCTTAAAGCACACATATCCGAGTCAACAGATCACCATGAGAATCAAGGAACCGCACACGATGGCCTGGTGGCAGCATGACAATTTCGATTCAATGCGTGTAGAGGGTTTTTGGACAGGTCGCTGTTGATGTTAGAGAACAAGGTCCCACAACGGGATAATCCCGATGTAGGGCGGCGTTCGGTGACATGGAACAGCCCTGGAGGAAACCTAACCATTTCTGACCTTGGAACGATCCCGCGTCCTGATTCATGCTTATATGCAGGTCAGTTGTACGTCCATCCATCCATCAATGGATCTACAAATATATGTAAGCTTTCCATGGCTCTGTAGGCAACTAAGTAAATCGGTCACTGGAAGACTAGTACCTAGGTAGTCGCTTTGCCGTCTGATATAGTTAAGCATGGTCCCGTCCCTTTGGAACAACCTTGGGCCTCGATAGACTCTTGCTAATCTAACAAGGCTGCAGATCTGTGGCTCGTAGAAGTATATGAAAAAAACCAATCATTAATCTGGAAGGGACTTGTTGGTTATTTATGTACAAGTTGATCCATAGATTTGGTAGGCTTTCAAACATCAACCCATTTATGAAATTTCAGGCAAGTCTAAGAAATAAGCTGAAAGGGTGACAAATGCCAAAAAAAAGTCTCAATGTGTATCGTCATTCGTATGAGAGCGAAATCGTAGAGACCCGGGATAAGCCCGAGCTGGGGTATTTGAGGTTGAAGAGTAGAGAGGTCACTCCATTAGGTACAATATACATTAACTTGTAAACAAGGTATGTGCGACTCAACGCGAAGAGGAATATTTATAAGAATGTTAAACCTCAACCTCGGGCTTTGACTCAGTCTTGCGCTCAGCGTCAATCCGTTCTTGGCGGGCACGCTCTTGCTCAGCAAGGCCTGTCTTTTGGACAGTGTGGTGGGTTGTAAGCTCGCGGCGGCGGATAAACAAAGAGAGAATAAGGCCGACGCCTGCGACGGCAGTGTAGAAAATCCACATGCGGTTGAGAGCATGCGTGTAGGCACCCAGGACAACTTCGCGCTGAGAGGCGTTGAGACTGTTGATGAGAGACTTGGAGGAACCGGCGAATGATGCGGAAATGGTGGCGGCTGTTTCAGCGCCAACGGAGGCAATGAGTTTGTCGGACTGTTGGCCCATGATGTTTTGGAAGATGACAGTTCCGAGAACGACAGACATCGAAGTGGAAAGTTGACGAACGAAGCCGAATGTAGCTGTTGCGGTGGCCATGTCGGCGGGACGGATGTTGGCCTGGAATGCGACAAGAGGCGCCTGGAAGTTGGGGCCAATACCGATACCGGCGATGAGCTGATAGATGATGATGCGGGGCCATGAAGCGTAGGCCTTGAGATCGATGAAAAGACCAAATCCTAGGAGGATGAAGAACATACCACCGATGATCAACTCGCGGAAGCGACCGGTCTTTTTCATGGTGATGCCAGTGAAAACAGAAGCAATTGAAAGAGACAATACCATAGGCAAGACGTAAACACCACTCAGAATCGGGTTCGCTTGCAGGACTGTTTGGAAGTAAAGCGGCAGGTAGTAGGTACCAGCGATGAAAACAAAGCCATGACAGAAGCACACCATGAGAATGAGGATGTTGTACCACTCATTGAACAGCCGCGAGGGAATTATGGGGAATTTAGCAAACCTCCATTCATAGACCATCGCCAAGGTCCAGGTGAGCACGCCGAAAACAATTAGACAAATCACAGTGGCCGAAGCCCACGGGTAGTTTACACCTCCGAACTCCAGACCAAAGAGGAACATCAGAGTTCCACCGATAATCAAAAATGTTCCTGCCCAGTCAATGCTGCGCAGACCGGCCAGCAATGGAGTCTTTGGTGACTCAATGTGCAGGAACAAGATAAGAATAACAAGCGAGACACCTCCAATAGGAAGGTTGAGGTAGAAGCACCAGCGCCAAGTCACGTTTGTAGTGAAGGCACCACCAACAATAGGGCCAAGAGCTCCCGCGATGGCCCAGGTTGCACCGAAAAGACCGTAGTACATTGGACGATCTCTCATGCTGAACAGATCGGAGACACTGATGTTGGCCAGAATGATAATGCCACCACCACCAACACCTTGAATCGCTCGGCCTGCCAGAATCATGGCCATGTTCTTCGCGAGGGCGCAAATCAAACTGCCAACCAGGAAAGCAACATTGGCGAGCACGATAATGCGCTTTCGGCCCCAGATGTCGCTAATCTTTCCCCATAACGGAATACAGGCGGCGTTTGCCAGAAGATACGACGAGGCGATCCATGAAAAACCACTCTCGGATGCACCGAATTGAGCCGCGATGGTGGGGAGAGCAGTGGAGATAATAGTCTGCAAGATCGACGTTAGAAAAGAGAACAAAAGTGTGTGCCGAAGAAAGGGGCAAAGAAAAGTAAACATACCATGTCCAGAGCAGCCAAGAATAACGCCAACTAAAATCAGACATCACCAAATTAGCTTCTGCACCTCATTTTTTTGCATTTCCCCGCGCGCTTTGCCCAATAGGAGGCCTTTTCGGAGATTTCTTACACATAAAGCCGCCATGACAGCTATAATCTTCTTTTTTCCCATTTTTGCTGCTTGCGACGGTGTCCGATCTAGAGGCGCACCTCCGGAAGTCTTTTCCTCTACACTGTCCGCATCGTTGTCGGGTTGAGTGGCCACCGGGGCTTGGGTTGGTTCTTCCGAGGGCGCATCGACAGTGGGTTTTTCCGCATTGGTCTGGTCAAAAACAGTATCGGCGCTTGAAGCATCTTGATGCTGGCGGTCGTTCGCCATTGTGCAAAGGGGGTTGAAAGAAAGGGAGAAAAAGTGTAGAAGAAAAAAATCGGGGTTAAGATCCGCTCCGTCGTCCCCGCTTAGCGTTGTGTCAATGTGCGATCTATTCGTAATTTTCAAAAGAAACAAAAGAGTTTTGGGATGAGAAATATTAATTTCGCATAGTGAGGATGCTTATAGAAGCAAGAAAACCGGACAACGTATTTTCGGAATTTGAGAAGTATCGGAACGTCGATGTTTGCCGAGTAAAATTAGAGATGATCTGGTGGATCCTCGGTGTCGGTCGTTACGAAGCGCCGACTCCGAAGTTTGTATATAAGACCTCGTATGACTCACTTCGAAGTAGTAGGTCGAGTATAATCTAGACCGAACTTGAGAGTCCGTTGTTTTTATTATCGTTGTGTATAGCTCATATTTATCTGCTAGGTCACATGTAAAGCACTTAGTCTTGAACTTAAAAGAGAGACAAGACACAAAGTTATGAGGGCGAAGAGCCTTAGCGGAGTGGTAGCTTAAGGAAGCTACTCCACATGCTAGTTAGGTGAAATCTAGAATTAGGTCCATATATCTGAATCATTTTATCATAATTTTAATTAGCCACGTTTGGATCGCTATAGATTGCTAGAATAGGGAGAATTAGAAAGCGAAGATGTTCTGCACATCCTTATTAGCTAGGTCAAAATTTCGTCTAACAAATATGCCTATAGATACCTCATGTCTCTTAGTATAATTTTATTTATCCATCTGACTCTCGTTTGTTGGATGAATTCGTATAATGCGTTTTCTGCACTAATCTGTGCATATACTAAAATGCTATTGATGATGTGTAATCATTCAGAAGGCGCACGTATGCTCTTATCAAGGGCTACAAGGATGTCTAATCATTAATCGGCGCTGCATGACTCTGCGCTTTATTTGAGTTAGTCAGCCGTGCAAGAGCTGAGAAACAAATTTCCGGGCCAGGATATCTTAGTGGAAACGTTCCTGCCGGGCCGTGAACTAACCGTGAGCATTCTAGGAACGGGTGAAGATAGCCGGTAATTGGGGTTCGAGAATCGATCTGGAAGAAATCAACTGACTCCACCAACGGAGATGACCACTACAGCGAGTTGGAATATGCCAGCAGACGGAGCAAATCCAGTAAAGCAAACCTGCTCGTCTGTCAAGATCACGATTTGACCCATCCGCAAATCCAAGCCGCCTGTATCGTGTCTCTAGATGCGTGGAAGCTCTTCGGCTGTCGGGATGCCGGTCGTGTTGACATTCGCTTTGACTCGAACGAATCGGACGCTGTTCCAAACATTTTGGAGGTGAGTATCATGACACCTTTCCTTTTCGTGTTCATTCTTTTTGCACTAGGCTCATATCTTCGTTGCGCAGGTGAACCCGATTTCCGGCTTGCTTCCGGTCCATTCGCCACTGCCGGGTAGCGCCGAGAGCAATGGTATCTCGTACGCAGAGCTGTTGGAAGCCATTATTGAAATTGCCCTCCGACGCTACGCTCCAACGGTTTTTGTCAACGGGAACTCATGAATGACGGTTGCAGGGTTCAATCAAACGCTGCTACACCTCAAGTAGAGATGATCGCAGCTCAGTGGCCTGACGCCTGAGAGCATGGGTCTAGGCTTATTGAGGCAGAGCCAGAGGCAATTTCACCGTATAATCGATGTGGTTAAACGTCAACTTTGACAATGACTGTCATCATATACAGTGTTGGATATAATATGTTGCTTGGTGGTGCCCACAGATTCTATATGTTTTATGTCAAAGAAAGAATACGCATAGATACACCGTACTTAGCTTAGCTAAGAAGGTGTGTACCTTTTTGGCCAAGCGGTCACGAAACAGGCGTTGTTTCTATCCGACAATCTATAGCATTGATACTGATCCCGCGACCTAGTATGTAAGACTAAGTAACCAGGCGTCTCTCAGGCCGGCAGATGCCACAGCATAGCATTGACTGGGGATTAGCGTTACCTAGCCAAGTGATTCTTAATTGATGGAGGTGTAACAACCTGTTATATAGAATCCTTGCATTCGTAACTGGTGAAAGCTACTTAAGTTAGTCTATCTATGTCATCTCAAAATGGCAATGTGTAGAACCACCTGTTTCAAACCAAACTATTATTTACTTGGAAATAGGACCTTCTATTGAAACTCAAACATGCTAACTAGGTATCCTAGGTATCCTAGGTATCAAATTTCAGGATTATCTTTTTCATTGCCTAGATACGATGTCATAAAGGTTGTCGGAAACAATCCGTGGATGCCAATCCAATGAACACAAACCGTGGACTATGACCAGTTTAAGTATGCATGTTTGAAAGATGAAGAAAGAACGGGAAAAACACTTCAAATATTTCCTTCGTCCTTGTTTGCATAATTCCATACTCGCTCTCGTGTTTGTCTAGGTTGAAACAACAAATTCCAGTCCCGAAGAGTCTTCTCAATACTGTTCTGGAGATGGCTTAAACTGGGTAAGACCCAGATAGATTCGAACGTTAAACTGCCAAGTGGAGTCATGGCTTGATAACACCTCTACCAATATGCAACGAGAATTTCTTTTCCCCTGGCAATTCTATGACAAAAGCAGAAGGGAGATAGGGTATAATATGGAGACTAGTCCCATGAAAGAACACAATGAAGCATAAACATGCAGGCAAAAAAAAAGCAGGCAAAAATCCGGGAACATACTATTCCTGTAGCAGAAGTATTTCTGCAGCCAAAGTGATGTCAGCCAATAATCCAGTATCAACACTCGTTCGCATCAAAACTTACCCGTCAAGGCCTCCTCAAAGCTGAGGGTAATATAACCATCCCGGTCTTCGTCATACCGCTTGAAAACATCCGTCATACGCTTCAGACTAATACAAGCCTGAACGTATAAATCGAAGCTCATACCCCCGCGACCAGGATCTTTAGCCGCCGCAGCCATCTGCCTCGCCTTGCCCTCAAAGACACCATATATAACCCCAATGAACTTCGGACTGAGCCTATACCCGAACGCAACAAGCGATTTCTCAAACTCGGCCATGTTAATCCGCCCGCTGCGATCCTCGTCAAAGCGGTCGAACAGCTCTCTCCACGCAGCGAGATACCGCCACAACGAACAAAACTCGTCGAAGTTGATGGTCCCGGTTCCGTCGCGGTCGAACATTCGGATCATCAATCTGACGGTTCGTGGGTGGAAGGAGGTAAAGTCGCCGTTTACAAGGGCGGATCCGAGCTCCATCTCCGTGAGGGCGCCGGAGTGGGAGGAGTTCGCGGCGCGGAACAGGGGAAACAGTTGTTGCGGATCATTGCTGGGCGCTGTGAGGGGTGGAACGGGTGATTGGGGAGGGCGCGAAGAGGGCGCAGGCCGATTGCGCTGGACGGGTGGTGGGCCGAAGCCGTAATTTTGAGGCGGCGGTGAAGGGTGTAGAGAATGGGGGCGCGGTTGAGTCTGGTTATAGCTTTGGGGGTGGCTTTGGCTTGGGAGAGGCGGGTTCGATGACGGACGTCCGCTGTATGAGTGTGTTTGGTCGAAGCGCGGCGGCGGGGTAGCGTATGCGCCCTGCGGGGGAGCGCTGGATACAGGCACGCGAGGAGGAACACCACTGTGGCCTGCCTGCGGTGGTGGGCGGGAAGGAAGTGGTTTTTGGGACATGCTTTGGCTGTGCCCTGAGGAATGGCTAGACTGGCTCTGGAAACCACTTGATACACCTGATACACTCATCGAGCCTATCATTTGCGCAACCTACTAGGCCGTTAGCAAGGGGAAGATGGAATGGGACGCGACGATTAAAGTACTTGTTCGGGCTCGGCATGACTGTCGTATTCTCGTGTTAGCAGCTGTAGGCTTCCATGTAACTTGCGACCGGTTAGGGACTTACGCCGGCAGCGCATCGGGGTTGTAGGATTTGTTGTAAGCCATTGTCGGAGGTGACCCAGTAGAGGGGAAGGGGCGAGAGAAACACGTCAGCCTCCAGGCAAAGACAAAGTGAAATGTTCAAACAATCCGAATATAACGGGAATGTCGAGAAGAAAAAGGAGGTGAGAATTGCAGATTGCTTAAAGCGGAGCCGTGGGGCGGTTTACAAAGGCACTTTAGCGCGCCAAGTGAGATTATCGAGGGGAATGTCAATGTCTAAATTCTGAAAATGGTGTAACCTATTCTATTTGCATTCTTATTCATTTGAACATTCGAAATATTCAAGCAAAAGTCCCTAATCCTTGTTGATATGACTTTGGCGCCCATGTTGACACTTCAGCCCTACCTTCCATATATCTTGCAGGCGTCAGGCCCTAAAAATAAATTGGGGCCAATTTTGACTTGGAACCATTCAAGCGTTATGTCAGACCCCGCTTCTCGTATTCGTATGTCTAATTCTCTTGAGCCCAACATTTGCCAGTCTCTTAACATATTGACAAGAAAATAAATTGCGAGTGATTAAAGCTGAGAAGGATTGAAAAGCACAAAAGTATTTTTGAATAATAATGCATCCATAACAAGAAGGGTATCTCAACGAGACAACAACGCTTTTTTTCACGAGCATGCATCCAGCGCAAGAAAATCACTTTTGTTTAAACACCCTGGTAAACACCACGGGCGATGAGAGAGACCTCAGGTGCCTCGTCCTCGAGCACAGCAATGATCTCCGTCCAAGCCTTCTCCTGGAGCTCTTCTGCATCTGGGCCAGTAGTCAAAGCGGTGGACTCACTGCAAAATGATTAGCAAAGGCACGATAAAACACAGCGGAAGGTTGTCTTACTCCAAGTACCCATCACTGCGCCAGCACTTGCCCTGAGATTCGATACCCTGGAAGGTTGCGCTGACAAGAGAACGGCTTCCCTGTTCGGCAGTTCGGGCAAAAAGCTTGTACATGATCCACACGATACACTTCTCATACCAGCTGTTGTACTGACGGCCCAAACCCGAAGCGCAGAGACCAGGACTTATGGTGTTAACAATAAGGGGGTGGGTACCGTCTTCGTTGCGCGACACGTTGGCGATCCTCTTCATCACAAATTCAAGTAGCAGCTTCGAGATGCCATACTGCTTGGGGCCCTTGAAGTTGACGGGGTCATTCAGGTGTGGCAATAGAAGGTCGTCAGTTTGTAGGCTCTCGGCCTTGACTCGCACGAATTGCTGACTTGAGACAACGCTCAAGTGGACGGGGTTAGCGGCGGAGGCGCTTTTTCTCAACTTGGGAAGCAACAGTAAAGCCAGCATCGAGGTGGACAGCGTGTTGACCTGTAAGGTCTCTTCCCAGCCCTCGGATGATTGATTATATGCACGGTTCCATATACCAGCGTTGAGAAGAGCGACGTCAAGTCGGTCAACCTCCTTGTAGATGCGATCAGCGAAGAGCTTGACACTACTGAAGCTGTCCATTTCAAGCTGCCACACTTTGATGACATTGCGTCGGTTGGTAGCTTTCTCAAGCTCAAGCTTAGCTTTGTTGCCTCGCTCAATGCTGCGAGATCCGATGATGAGAGATTCGGCTCCAAGGTTGAGAATTTTGACGGCAGCTTCGAATCCGAGACCCGAGGTAGCACCTGTCAGGAGGACAATCTTGCCCGCGAAGGAAACGCCTTGTGGGTCAGTAGGGGGGTGTACTGCATCTTGAGCAGCCTAAACAGACCAGCCATAATGATGGAATCGTTTGAGCCACAAATCGAAAATAACTTGAGAAGTGTAAGTATGAAGAACGCGTCCAAGGACTTGGATGTTTGGAGCAGTGATAACGCGAGACGGATAAGCGATAAGCGATAAGCGATAAGACCGATGAGTGAGTGACAATCGATAAGGATTGAAGAGGGGCATCGCAGCACCTGGGCAGTCAGTAATAGTCCCAACATCATTTGTATGAAAACAACCCACGTCACTGATTTAGGAGGTAGAAAGTATCCATGTAGTTGCAGCGAGATTTGGCCAAAGAATATATTTGGTGCAGAGGATTGACAGAGAGGACTCTATTATAGGTAACTGAATGGCATTGCACCCTGAACACATTGGAAAAGAACGCCGGCCTGTTTGTTTGTATATCTACTCTGTCGAGGAGTATATCTAATATAAAGCACTTTTCCGCCCTATTTACCTTTTGGTATCCTGATTCAACCTCCACGATTCCAAAAGTCAAATCGTGTTGTTTTATCATTCATTTTGGAAGAAAAAGAAAACGTATATTGTCTGAGTATTTTGCTGAGCCATTACATCACTTTTATTAGCAGAACTAAACTGCCTGGTTGGGATTAGATTGTTAATATCATTTATCTGTCCTCAGTGGTTATATTGCTTGAAGAACCCATTGTAATTGGTATCTAGGCGCCCTTGTAGAGTGCTACACAATGCAGGATAGGCGAGTACTTTCGTAGTCAGCCTGAAAATGAAGCTCCAAGACCTAGATAAGAGAGAGACATGTAGAATTGCGACCAAGATGATCTAATTCAACATCACAGATCATGGATATAGTACAAACACGAAGTATTCACCAAATTTGTGTGGTGTGTGTGAAACGAAGTCAATACTGCGGCTAAAAAGGGCCGAAAGAACCGGGAAGAGTTCGCATAGCCGCTACTTAGGCCATTTGTAACACAGTCTGTGATTTGTCCGTAAGAGACATGTAGTTTAATGGAAGATTTGTTCAAGCCTTGTATTTAATCAATTTTCGCAATATGTCTCATCGATGCAGGCAATGGCGGGATAGCATAGAGCAAACACTGCAAACAGCCGCGACCGCTATGTTCATTTCTTGTCTATCACTTCAACGAATGTATACAATTGCGATTTACCATTATATAGAGAAAGATCCAATCACTAGAAAACGATCTACACTTGACATTTGGTTCTCCGACATTGACATTGCGGTTTCGCAGACCGAACAGCATCTGGCCTTCGCGGGGCAATTATTAATCCACAACTTTTCAGGAATTCGGCCTGACCTTGGCAAACTTGCGGCGGATAATTTCGTTAAGGAATCGACATAGTCATACAAGAAATGACAGCCGCTGAACAAGGACATCTAGTCCATCCGGAAGGCCGGACGTGGAAGACTCACTTTCCCGAAGGTGATCTCTGGGTATTCGGTTATGGGTGAGTCAACTCATTGTTTGCTGTCATATCAAAGTCGCTAGAATATCGCATGCTAATGTTCTCACAGGAGTTTAATTTGGAAGCCGCCGCCACACTTTGGTACGTGAATCGGCGAAGATATTTGGTGTCAGCTCTAGAACGAATCTTGTACTGGCCTATAATGAAAACAATGACTGACTTGGTCGTGTAGACCAACGTATCCCAGGCTATATCAATGGCTATGTACGACGGTTCTGGCAGGTATGTCTTCCTCTGTTCCTTCGGGGAGAATCCGATACGTCCACCATCAGAATGACAAGACTGACTAACATATTCGATTCGCATAGGCTAGGTACGTATGCGGCTGAAATGGGTAAAATTTGCGAAAACAGCAATTTGCTGACGTCTGAAAAAGTTCCGACCACCGCGGGACCCGCGACCAACCCGGACGCGTAGTGACCGTCATTGAAAGAAGCTTTTGGGAGACATTGAATGACCCAGTAATTCACGCTGTTCCCTCTTCACGTGCTTCCATACTAATCTTCTTAACAGACCGCCGAGTTAGAATCTGAATCAGCGTCTACTGGCAAAGTCTGGGGCGCGGCATATCACATCCCAGCCTCACATGCCGAAGAAGTTCACGACTATCTGGACGAACGGGAAATTAACGGTTACACTGCACATTACACGCCGTTCCACCCGACCATCAATTTTGGGGATACCAAAGCGGGCGAAAACCAAGAATCATCGCCGATAATTTGCATGGTCTACATTGGCCAGCCGTCTAACTCGCAGTTTTTGCGGGAGGCATCATCTCGCGATCCGCAGGAAGTCGCGCAGGTCATCAGTTCCAGTCAGGGTGCTAGCGGAAAGAACACTGAATATTTGTTCATGCTCGAGAAGGCGCTTGAGGGAATCGGACTTGGGACTGCGGATGTTCATGTTACTGATTTGGTGAAGAGGGTTAAGGCTATTGAGGCTGTGGGTCTTGGAGAGGCCGAGGAGAAGGAGGCCGAGCTGCATGTTACCAAATCTCTGGAGGATGCGGCCGAGGATCCTGCTCACGTGAATGGTCGAACAACGATCGAATGAGAAAAGATATGTCGGACTCTGTTGACGGCCGTGCTGTCATCTTGTTGACCTCTGCAGGCCATTGTATTCCCTCGGCTAGATCAGAAACACTGAAAATGCGATACTAGGCATGTGACAGACGATTTCAGCCTCGTTAATCTCATAGTGGAAGGCGTTTAGCATCAAAGCCTTCTCTATATCAATCCAGATTATGTTCAATCTCGTAGAGAAGTCCGCTCTTGCTCTGTGTTCTGCTGTAGGTAGAGATTCGTCGTTAAACACAATTTTGGGGCTGCGAACAATATGAACCAGACATGGATCATTCTGTGAAACAAGAAAAGAAGAACTGCAAAAGAACTTTGTGGACAGGGCCGAATGCAACCATAGAAATGCCCAAAATTTGCATCCCATTACCAAACACGAGTCAACAAAATCCATATTCCCTTCGTAACTTGTTGAATATAGATGAAATGAAAGAAGAACTCTGCTGCTTGAAAGCTAGCACCCGTTGTTCCCAGGCACCGTTGACCGTATCCCACCCCGTTATCTGTCATCACTTCTTTGAGGAGAATTTCGAAAGGAAAATAAAGCACACAGGAAGGCATTATGCAGATGTTTTATCATCTAATGGGTGTGATGTCCATCTTGAGGAGCCTGTTCGCTGTTCTGGCCACGCCAGCCTTCGAATATCAATAAATATGCCTGCCAGTGGGGAAATTAAGACTTCAAAACTTACCTCCGCCACCACCGTATCCGGTGTTAGCGCCACCGCCTATGTGAGCATTAGTATAATTGACTGAGTGCCAGAACGTGCAAAAAAATAAATAAACTCACCATAGCCACCCCCATAACCACCCGTCCCGCTGTAGCTGGCGGGACCACCGGGGCCGTTGCCGTAACCGCCCCGGTTGTATCCACCGCCATATCCGCCACCATTATTGTAGCCACCTGCAGCATAACCACCACCCGCGTATCCGCTTGTGGGTTGTGAATTGTATCCACCTCGGCCCTGGAAGCCTCCCTCGGGACGTTGGGGGCGGTCAAACGCCTTGTCAACACGAATGACACGTCCGTCGAATCTAAAACATGCATGCATGAGACCACAGTGTTCAAGTTTAAGCGCATATAACACTAAACCCAAATCCTTACTCTTGATTGTTCATGGCATTCATGGCAGCATCCGCTTCAGCATCTGTAGCAAATCGAACAAAGCCAAAGCCACGGCTGCGCAAAGTCGCGCGGTCCTTCACCACAATCTATAATGATGAGGTTAATGGAAGTTCAACGCATTCGATCGCTGGGTAAATTCAAACTGACGGCTTCCTGGATCTCACCAAATTGTTCAAACCCCTGACGCAGGGCATCATCCGAGGTGTGCCAAGAAAGACCGCTAATTAACATTGCCGTCAGTCGGGCTTTGTTAAATATAAATCGCTCCCTAGAAGGGAAGTACATACTGGACAAATAGCTTGGACATTGTGTGGCGGTTCTGATGAAAGATAAGAAACACGTAATGTTCGAACCACCTTAGCTCAATAAAAGCAAGGGGGGGGATGAAAGAGGGAGATGATTTATGAAAGGAGGGAAGGATAAAATCAGAATCCGTCCGGGTTGTGAAATGACCAGGAGATCCTAGTGGTTAAGAGGCGAGTCAGCATTCAGTCCCGTGTAACAATCACACTGCGTTAGGGCTTCCACATCACTGGGAATTTTCCACTGGTCAGATACCAACAACATGCCCACAAGGCGCAATATAATGCTTACTGTGTCTTTGTCTAGAAACTAAGCTAAAGTCACAAAGAGCGCGGACTACGCCCAAAGGGTACAAAGTGGGGGTAAAGCTGCAAAGAGACAAACCTGCCAAAGCACATGAGTCTAAACCTTGAATTGATTGATGTGCGGGTCGCATTGGGCTAAAATTCAGTTGCAATGAGCCAGAATGTGTCCGAGCTTTCGTTACAATGAAGAATTGGCAGCACTAAGGAGAACGGCTGATGTACACTTCGTCTGCCCCTCATGCTGTGGCTCGAACTTTGGCCATGTTGCACTGGGTTTTCATCAGGCTAAATTAACACCCTTGATCTTTGGTTGAATTCTGCTGCACGGTGCAAATTTCTTTTCGACATTTATGGCCGACAAAGTCCATAAACTGTGATTTGACACAGGGAGCCATCGTGGGCTGAGCGGGATCTCCATGCGTGTGGACTAAGAGAATTTGGTAGATTAATTATTTTCCCCCGTACCTCGCAGTTCTGTCCATTATTGGTCGTTATGTGTGCTTATGCATGTTGATACTTTCCCTATTCAGCCGGGAAATGATGGCCAAAGGCGGCTGAAGGTCTGGCCATTCATTTATGCAGACTCCAGATATGCAATTGTATTGGTCTAGCCGCCCTGTCAGCTTTGGCTGTTAATCTCAATCCGAGTGGCTTTACTGTATGTGTGGATGCATGTGGGTAGAGGGGCAGTGCCGCGTAGGCCCACATGCGGCCTGGGCCGTGTACTGGAGGAATACCGGGAGATAGCGACGATCGGCACATGAGTCGGTATAAAATGCCAACATGTGTCGACTAAAGAGTTAGTTTGAAGTAAGATATAATATGGATAGAGATGATCTCCAGGAACACTCTCTGAGAATAACTGAATATCAAACTTGTTCTTTTCCAAGTCTGTGCTGGGTTCATTGGTCATTTTGGTGCTATATTTATTGGAAGAGGAAGATACCAATGACAGGCAATGTGTAGAAAATAATGATTTAGAATCAGAGATCCATTATGTATGTATACTGTGAATTGATGAGTTATCCAAAGAATAAAATGAGTTGGTTGCGCTTTCTCTGGCGGTGACCATCAATCCGATAATTAACCTCGACCTTATCCTTTACTTCACATTCAATCACAACAACTCTCTCTCTGTATGTTCACTATCGATTGCACATAAATTCTTCTCAATATGGATGAAAGCAACGGTTCAATCCATCGATGGTTGGCATGCTTGGAGGGCCCCCCACAAAGTTACCACGATAGAGGTATGTCACTTTAGCAACTATGCCTAAGTGAATAATTTCCTACTAACTAGGGCTCAGATGAGAAGCAGAACCAACATACAAACGGAGGAATCGCGCAAAATTTTTCGCACATGCAATTAGAAGGATCGAATTTGAAAGGGCTAGGACATCCATCCTTCAGAAAAAGGAATGCGGATCAGGTTGACAAAACCAACACATCAACTCCTGAAGAAGTTCTACAAAAGAGACCCCGAAAAAACTATGAGTTGAGATGCAGACACAAGACTCGGGAAGATCACTACGAGTACAAGGGTCCCTCGTCGGTGGTTGGATCTCAATCGCAGGTTGCCAAAACCAAGGCTAAGAAGTCCCGAAGAAGGCACACCGTGAATGATGATTTCCATGCCATTGATGTCACTAAAAACAGATTAACGGTAAGTCAACTCCCAATTCCGGCTTGATTGTGCTCATCTTAAATTAGTTGCGCAACAACACGAATTTGGGTATCTTCAGCAAGGGCAAGACCTCTTCAACAACCCACCCCCGAGCCAGTCCGCCAATCTCTCGTACGAACGCTGGGCCAAGCAAGAAGCCCCATAAGCAGAAGCTGAGTACTGATCTGCCTTTCTCCGAGATGATGTTCACGTCAAACGTCTCGTTAGGAAAAAAGAACATCGGGCCGGATTTCATATTTTCGCCTACCGGGAATACTTTGTTTGAGGCTCAAGGAAAAGATCGTAATGAAACATGCCCACCTCTCGAACACTATTTACCTAATCTTTCAAAGGCTGAAGTGCCTCATGTCAACATACCTCTTGCAGCGGGACAACGAGAAGCCTTTCACCTGCCACCACGTTCACTTCATGATCTCGAACTTCCTTCCCAACACACATCAAAGGTCGATGTCTTCAACTTAAACAAGCCTCTGGATAAAAGGCAGCCCGAGGAGCCTTACTCATCACACCCTCTGTTGAAAGATCCCGAACATTCTCTACGTAACTCACCAAGAGTCGGCATGTTGATCAACACCATACAACAGGAGATTTCTCACTCGCCGTTACCTTCGAGGCGTGATCGGTCCTCCTCCCTTCATCTTCCTCAGAAGAAGAGAAAGGTCTCGGAAGACTCTCCATCCATCATTCCATACACTTGGACTGAAACCGAGGATGACAACACAGAAAGAGAACATGCTCTCGAACGACACCTGCTCGCTTCGATGCATGTTGGGATGGCCCCTGAAGGCATATCCAACGAGATTTCTCATTTTGTTTTCACCGGAAAGTATTGGAATCTTTCAGAGTTGTGGACACTTCTGGAAGAAAGAAAGGTGGTATGGTCGAACGAGGCCAGCGGGCAACAAGCTGCACTGGGCAAACAAACCACGTCTCATATCATTGCGCAAAATTCCTCTGCTCTTTTCGATGTTGATGATATTCATGATGAGGTTGCCAACCAGAGCGAACAACCGGAGATCGCAGTTGAAACAGGCTACAACACGTACAACAGTGTATCAGTCCAAGATTCAGTTCCGCGCAATAGCAAAGGATTTACACACCAAGGTCTGGAAAAGGATGAATCGCTGATGCTATCAGAAAAAGTCCTCGAGACATACGGCGGGAATAATGAATCAACATGCCGTCAGGATGACCAACAGCACTTGACTGTCACTAGGAAATGCGCAGACGAGCAATTACTTACTGCCTTTGCATCGGAATTCTCGCGTTCATCCCTGGATGACATCGATCTACATGGACTTAGTCGAGTTGAGGATGATGATATGTTCTATGAAACACTGGATGCTGTCTACCACGCTATAGTGCGCTCTGAAGTTGCTGCAGAGGTTGCATCAAACCTGCAGGAGCTACTGACATCCCCTGACCATAACAACCCATTTCGCCTACAAGGGCTGCCCCATTCAACTCCATTTGCAAGCCCTCAAAAAAGCCTTCCGGAAAAAGGGACACGCGAACCAACTTTGTCGGTACCGGTCCCGGAACACATCAACCAAAAGTTGGCGTCTGAAACGGTACCACCTGAGCCTTCCAATACTCACGAAGTATTCACGTGTCATGACGATGAAAGTTTCTACGGCCCGAGTACACATTTACCTTGGTTAGCTGCCAACGAGCCTCAATCGCACAGCTCGATGACAAACCAAATCGGGCAGATATCTGGCTTTTGGCGGCAGAACAAGCTTTATTGATTTGAACAGCGGAAGATTTACATACGGCATGATGGGATCCAAATGCAATACCATATTTCAAAGAAAAGCACAGGCATGGATGAACATTCATAGCTATGTAGAGGCGTATTTCTATCGATGGATATATAGCCATGGGGTCCCAACCGTGTAACCTTGAGTGACTCCTATGATCCGGTAGGTTCATATTCACCAGCAAGACTAATAATTGAGACTTGGTTAATAGCCTATTTTAGCCCCCGATAATAACGTGAAGCCATCAGTCTCGTACAAAAGCTTGGGGGTGATAATATTTATAATAAAAAAGCTCCAGCGGACGTACCTTAAGGCAAACAAGAGTATCATAACTATCTGAGATCCTGTGGCAGACATCCTACAAAACAAAGCTTTCCCGTCAAGACAGTAAAACTTCTCTGCTGGGGGCCCAACTTCAACAACCGTGTCCGACAACGCTGCCCACGTTCGCAATCAATATCTTAACAGATTGGTTGCACAGGGTAAAGAGGATGTTCTAGTCATGCATTAGTATGGAGGCATTCCAGGCACAGACTCAGTGAAGGCTTGGCCCCCAAGGTCTTCATTAAGGGAAAGTGGGACGGCGTCGTCGCTCCGACACGTCCACATTTTTCATTCCCGCCAGCCGATCTGTCCATCTTTTCCTTCCGTTGGCGCCGCATCGATCATGATATTCTATATAAATTGGAAGATGGATCTTTGGGTGTATTGTGCTGGAGTGATGTTGTCGTGATCTGAGAGTACTGGCAGGGGACTTGCAGATACATGCTGCCTGGAAAGTATGGCAAAACTCTGATACAGTCTTTGGATATCTTTCTTGGTGTTATCTAGTCTGTCCCTCATCGTGTTTTCAATCGTGATTGAACAGTAGCTAGCAATGTATTCAGATCGTTGTGGCAGATGAACTTCAGGCATAGCTATTAGGTTCTTTTGGGATCATGTAGCCATTTGAGCCATCGCCATTTAGAAATTGGATGTAGTGTGCACCGAGATTGGTGAGGATCGATTAATTCATTGGGTATAAAACAGTCTAAAATGAAAGGGAGATCAAACGCATTTTCTGATAGGCCAAGTCCAATGCTTGTCTGTTCAAGATATGAACCTGTCCGCCTATACAAGTCGCCATGGAACAGAATGGATCAAAAGATATGTATCTTTATTCTGCGCCAGACGAGGTCCCCAAAGACTGTGAACGCTTTTGATTTGGCTCGCGATATTGTTCGAACGTTTCAGCGGTATTGCTAATGCCGCAAAAACAAGCCAGGTCGGGGTTGAAGAGGGAGTTGAACAGTGAGCCGGAGGTTGTGCGGGAAACGATGATATGACCGGCCCAGCAGTTGGGAGACAACGGTGTGTATGGGATCTAGGTGCATGGAGTATATTCGCAGTATGGAGCGATCATAGAGTTGCTGCTGCCTCAATGACACCCGCTGCCTTGAATGCGGCCGGGTTCCGTATCACCACCTCGACCGGGTACTTCCACTGCATGAATCGCGTCCAACCTAGAAATCCAGCAATTAGAAAACGATAGCACATACGGCAAGTTGCGTTGCCGGTCGACTCTACCTACTCCAATACGCGCATCGTCGTCCTAAGAGTTTCCCGATGAAGGGAACCAGGACCATACTGAGCAGGAGCTCCAGCTGTTGAATGCTCTCCCGCCATTCTGCCTCAGCATCAGAGGAGTATTCGGATAATGTGTCCAGGTCGGAATCAGTTGTAGACTCAGAAGGAAGGGAGGCGATCTCGTCGTCGGACTCGGAGTATGAGTTCTGCCTGGAGGGAACCATGTACGCGGACATCGAGAAGGAAGGATTCGAACTGTCTGGTGATGGGACAGACATGGTGAAAATAGATCAAAATGTGTAGAGCTCGATAGGAAGTAGCAATGGCCTGCCTGGTGCTGTAGTTAATCAAGAAGTTCACTGCCCAGGTGCCGCCCGGCAGCCACCGATCAACAAATGATCATGTAATGGGTCACGTGGGTCATGCCGTAACAGCCAATCAATTCATGATATAATCTCCAAATCTACATCTACTACTCCGTATATACATATCAGGTTCAGACAACTTTACTCAATTTCTACTATTCATGCAGCTAAAATCATCTCCATGTGATGCCTCCATCCTCAAGAAAAAGAAGAAGAAGAAGAGCAGCAAGCCCAAGGAAAACTCCAAGCACTTCAAAGCCAAGCTTGCTGAGGCCGGTGTTGCCGAGGAGGATGGCAAGGAAAGCCACGAGGAAGTGCCAGAGGGCGACCCCGGGCCCGGTGCTGGTATCTGGGCTCACAGCGCCACTCAGATCATCACTTCTCTCTCATTCAGAAAAACAATCCCGACATGATTCCTGGCAGCGGCAAGTCTTACAAGATTCCAGCTCCCCAGTGCTTGCGTGAGGGTATTCGTAGAGCCATTTTCGCCAACATTGCCGAAATCTGCACACACATGAATCGGAGATTTGTTTCCGTCACCCAGCTTACCGCTATGTGATCGCTAACTAATATTTTCATTAGCGAAGAGCACTGCAGGTCCTTCTCGTTCGCTGAGTTGGATAATAGTGGTAGTGTCGACGGCTCACGTCGGCTGATAATCAAGGGTCGACTCTAGCAGAATGGTATCGAGAACATTCTCAGGAGATATATTGCGGAATACATTCAATGCAAAGTAAAAAATCCCCAGATTCCTTTTTGAAATTGATATCGCTGACGCAGATCGCAATATAGACTTGCAAAAGCTGCCACACCCTCCTCGACAAGGGAGGAAATCGTCTCTACTTCATCACTTGCAATGTATGTAAATCTCGTCGTTTTGTAGCCGCCACCAAGACCAGCTTCCGCTCCCAGATCGGCCGCAGAAAAGTTGTGAGTTAGATTGGTAGAACTCTTCTGGCAGTTTGCGGAGGATGTTCTTCTCATCCCTTCTTCATGGCGTGTCACTTACTAGGTCTGTTTCCGCAATCAAAACACCCCTCTTGCATTCTTTTCCACTGCAAGTGATTCGAGACGAGAACCGATACGAAGGATGAAAAGTAACGTCATTTCAAATGGGCTGATTTGATTACTGACTGGAAATTTCCTTCATAATTCACAAATTGGTATAACATCGGGGCGCTTTTGGCATCTGCCCTAATGCATCGCATAGATATACAACAAAAAAACCTTGCTCGGTAGGAGAGTAGGTGCCAAAACCTATACAATGACTGAACTTCGACGGTTCCGGGACGAACCAGTATATCACAATCAGCCACTGGCCGTGCTCATCTTCATTTGTGCAGCAAAAGCATTGAGGTTCCTTGTCTGGAAGTAGATTACTCCCGGACCTTTAAACCGGCAAGCGACACCTTCGCCGGAACCGAATGCAGATATGATACCACCAGAGGCAACACGCATAATTGTATACGTGCAGTTCCATGCCACAAGATGGCCGTTGTCAACGATGTATACTTCATCTACGGCAAGCTAAATGAGAATATCAGTCAAGTGCAAGTATAGAGTCGAGCAGAAGGTAATCTCACTTCTTTCCTGATGATTGCGCCGAAACTCTGCATCCAAAGCAGTCCAACGCCGGTGATTTCGTAAACGAAGAGACCTTCTCCGGAAAAGAAAGCGTTCATGAGTCCTTGAGACTTGTATTCGTGGTGTACACCGCTTGTGTGGGCTAAGAAGGAATCTCTGCCGACTTGCCATCTTTTGGCTTTGCCGTTGTCTTCCTCTTGGATACGGAGGACAATGATATCTCCTAGCATAGGGGGTGCAAGCAACACCTCGCCCGGGCCGGTGAAAGTCGACATAGTCATGCTTCTTAGATGACTAAAAATCAGCTTCTTGAAGGAGAACTTAAATTTTCCCATCAGGGTGATGGTTGGGGACATTGAGACCATTGCACCTGCGGGAATAGATTTAGAACCATCCTGATAGCAGGGAGTAACCATCTCTTTTGTAGGACATGGTGGGATGGGAAGAGAGCTGACCTGGTCTCACGGTCATTGGACATCCCATTGCCAATTGAAGAGTCAGAAGTGAGTTTGTGTCCCGGTGGCTGAGTCTGTAACTGCCTCCATTGAAAGTCCCAACGTCATCCCGGGTTATTGATTGGGCTCCAACGAATTCGCCATACGCCGGCGCACCCCCGGGAATTCTGGTCATTCTTGCCGACTCCGAGGGAGGGGAGGGAGGGGTTGGTGATGAGGCAGAAGGCTGTCCAAGTGCCGCATTATGGTTGTACGCACCAATACTGTGCTGCTGGACAGCTTTCTGGTCAATAGGTGGAGTAGGCGTTGAGTGTGGGGGCGCAAATTGCCCACCCGAATAAACAGGTTGGTTTCGTCGCGGATTCTCTGCAAATGGATTCACTGAAGGTTGTGGTGGTGAATAGCCACCATCCGAAGGAGGCGTCTGTCTGGGAGGTGGTGGGTAGCCAAAGTTCGGAGCTCCGCCACCTGAAGATTCTCGGGAGAATGTCTGAAGGGGAAATGCTGGCGATGGTATTAGTATTAGCAGTAGATTTGGGTATACTTCTGAGAGATTTACATGTTGCATGTGCTGGGGCTATCTCAATTGGTCAGTGGGCTGGGCTTCCCCGTATAGCAATGGGATGGATCTTACCAGACATTGGAGAAGACCAATTTTGTTGTTGTGACATGATCGAGATTGATTCACACTCGAAGATTTCTTTTTCCAGTGTAGAGCTGTTGGATCTCTAAATTGGCTTTCTAGCTGTCGTCGTCTGTCAGGCTTACAGGCCAGGCCTTTGCGAAGGATGCGGAGAAACAAAAAGAGAGGTGGGTTGTAATGCGAAATCAATAAAAAACTTCTGGGTTCTCAAATTTAGCAAGCCAATTGCTGTATTGAGAGAATTTTAGTAAACAATTAACACATTAAGAAAAGCTGTCCAGGGGAGGGGGCATCCTGTGGCGGACCATTCTTTTTAAAAGCACAGCTTCAACTCCGCACCAGGAGCTCCAAAACTAAAATTAGACTAATAAGCCATAGGAAGTGATCACTCATGTGAAAAGACCTCGCAAAGCACGTAGAGTGGCACTACTCGCCAGTCACACATGACTACTGCATGCTCATCCCAGCTGGGCGCTTAGGATGTTCCCCTGCGCGATCTGATAGGTTGACCCCACAGACCACCACATTGAGTTAGCGATGTCTATTGGCTATTTGATTAATGAGTACGTGCTATGAAGAGGCCAAGAATAAACACAGAACTTAACTTTACAAGTTCTCTCCAATGAGTTGAAATAATATATGACTCAGGATAGACCCACGACCACCGAAACCCTTAAATTAGCCCTGGAGATGTTATTGCGGGAGGTTAACAATTTGAGCTCAGACTTGGCGATACTATAGCACTACGATTCGACTACCGAACTATGGTAGTTAAGGTGCGGTAATTTCTGGTCTCTTTTTTTTTTTGGTGGTAAACAATGGTCATTGTAAACATTGATGGTCATCATATGGCACCACCTGAAATCATTGTTAACTGTCTGAATGTAGAATTGTGGCTTCGATGTAGCCATAGTATACAGGGCAAAAGAGAGTTCACTGGAATATTAAAGTACAATTTATAAATATTTGCAGGTATCCAGGTACAACTAACAGTATCAAGTGACCCCACGGATTGGTGGTACCTTACCAAAGGAAGCTCCATGAGCCTCTAGCATCTTCACTGCTATCCTGTCGTTGGATTCGTGTGATCTAGTCAAAGCCGAGTAGCCTTGCAAATCCTTAGCATTTATAAAAGCGCCAGCCCGCGAAAGAATCCGGACTGCGACGTCGGACCGGTATTTGACGGCTAATAAATATGCCATGTACACAAGGACAGGCTCCTGCTTGCCTAGTTCTGCCCATGTAGCCAGGAGAAGAAAAAGAAGTCCGTAGTTATTGCTCCGGAAAGCCCATTCCAAAGCCAGACCTTCTCCATATCTGGACATCACTGAGCAGAGGTTGGACCCTGTGTGGAGGTCTGTTAGCCAGTACAGTAGAGTGTCGATTCCTTTTTGGGTGTCGCCCTCATGCTGACCAACCACAATTGGTTGAGGCAGAATGTTGTGATGCTCCGATGTCATTTTCATCATGTCTTCCCGTTCAAAGGCTTCAAGGTCTTCAAATTTAGAAATATGACGCAACGCCCATCCAAGCTCTCCAGTAAATGAGGGCCACCATTTCGCACGCAAAACCGAGGCCATCCAACCATCGGGGCGTTGAACTCCCGATGATTTGTGGACTAATCTGACCCTTGGGTTAGAGGAAATCAACCAATTTATTTCGCCAAGTGCCATTGGGCGATTTCTCGTGATTCCGTGCAGGATGGTTCAAAGGCAAAGATGTCCAAAGGCATATACGGATCGCTGGAATTCAGCTGAATCTGTCCTTGCACAAAGCCAACGTAGGATACTGAACGGTTCTGGAAGCTCGGCTGATCGGTCGTGACAATTCGAGAAGTGTTTTGTTATGTCTTCGGTATCTGCCGCAAGTTCTGGTAAAAGCCCTTGGTAATGTAAGGTTGGGACAATGCATAGTAATGCATCCTCGCGCCAACCTAAATTGCTTCGCTCAAAGCAATCTACCAACTGCTCAATACGACTGTTTTTGGCAATCCAATCGTTGCAGCTTTCCTTGACGAGATCGACCTTGCCGCCGAGCCCTTTGGAGAGGATGCCTCGCCACTTGGTAGAGATTTGTTGAAGAAAATGGATATAGATATCTTGAGCGGCCATTTCTGTCAGACCACCCTCCAGCTTGACTGCAAGTATATCCCCTTCCTTGGTATTATTCTGGGAACAGGTCCCGAACAGGTCAGATGAAAAATTCATCAGGTCGGAGGATATCATGGTTGCCTTCCTCAGGCGAAAAATTCACTTGTGGAATAATAGATCCATTGTCTCCGTGCCTGCATCTTCTGTATTAAGTCCAACTAGACGATAAAACGGAGTAACTGTCGTTTCACCACGGGCTTTGTTCATAGACCAAACCCACAGCCCTAGAATCGCTTCAAGTGTGTTGGCATTTATCTTCCATTTCAACGTATTCTCGCTTCGACGTATCGTCATGGGGTATTGCACGATTTTGTAATTGTCGTCTATTGCAGAGGATGTTTTGGAAGCAATAAAGATCTGAAAAGTGAATTCCACATCGAAATGAAGAAACCATTCGGTAGATGTCAGACCCATTGTCGTTTCAATGGCCTTTGCAAGGTTCTGAGCCGCTCGTCGAATAGGCATATCGTCCCAAGAGACCATCAAGTCCCGATTTCGATTTGATGTGACTTCTGCTAGTCGCGCTCGCGTATGAATGAATCTTTCTCCTAATTTTGAGCTCGGATCGTATATGGCTGTGTATAAACACATGGCTATTGGTTGGACCATGGTCAATGAATCGATATTTTCGAGACGAAATGCAAAGCAGTCCAGCTCTTGGTTGGTCGATGACAAAAGCTTCTGTTCTTCCAGGAATTCGTTTTCGTTTGGTGCCATCCGCTCGGCTCGAAGGCATGTTCTGATCACAGCCATCAAAAGGGTTGATCCCATCTGAGCCAGGATCACAGAAGCATGAAGCCCTCTTATTCCAACGAATTGAAAAATAAAATCTGTCATTGTTGATGCTAAGGTGCAATAGATCACTTAGTATTTCTTGTCCAACCTATGGTCTCTGACTGACTTTATATAAGAGATATCGGTGGTCATAGATGAGTCACGGCCTTCCTTGGGAATTAAGAATGCCTTGTAAACCTGATCATCTATATTCTGCTTGCCAGGCTGTAACCAATATATCTTGCTTGGCTTCGTTGGGTGCAGATAATACTCCTTCGATGACCGCTCCATGATGAAAGCACAAGAGAACATTCCAATGAGACGAAGTGTTGTCCCAACAATGTATAAAGGAAAAGCATATGAGGGCACACATTTACTGTTTTTCTTGAAATGGCTGGGGTAGACGAACACTGTCAATGAGGCATACACAACAGTACCTATGCCGAAGCTGTCAGTGGATCTTCAACCTCAAATACAGGGCCATAAAAGCGGCTCACCTCCTTGAAGCATGCACCCAATTATTGCAGCACAGTAGAACCAGAATTGACCCCTCCTCTTGATACCTTTATTCAAAGACAAATTTGGAATGTCAAGCTCAGGTAATTCAGAGGGGGAAACCTTGCTGCTGCAGGTCCAAGCCCCTTCAGCGAGAGCCTACTTTAAAGTACCCATCTTTGTTGCCTTCTCTCCAGTTTTCTCGTCTTGCTGCTCCCAAAATACCAGCTTTATGATCCTAGGCCTTCCAGAAACCCATGTAATCCCACCATCGTTGAAAAGCTCAGCGGTGAAAGCCGAGACGCACGGAAGGAGTTCACTTTCAGCCTCGGCCGGGGCCTCTTGGGCTCGTCCATTGAATGCCCCTAGATATGAGCTACCGCAGATCCTGATCATTGATACAACTGCAGTCATTACTCCCAATGGTGAAAGTGCGAATATGAGATTATCGAGCGAGCTGATCGACTCAGAGAGAAATTGCTTCGTAAGTCTTTCACCAAACAAGGTAATCAATGGTGCCTTAGCTCTGGAAGTAGCATATATTACTGATCATTGAGCTGCATATATAATATACCAGGTCGGTAGCAAGATTGTTTGTGAAGTCATCCCAGTTATCAGCAGCATTCACAAAGGAAACAAACAAAAAGATCAAAACAAAGCTAGAAAGCATCATAGATCAATAGGTCATTAAACATTCATACGTAGGTAGTAAATTAGCAACCCAATACCAAATTCTCTCAAATGAACGTCCAAATTGCACCCTCTTAAGGAAAACACTCCTCCAAGCCCGTCATCCGCCATCATAGCCGATCCCAACTCGATATGGACAGAGTTTCTCACACTCGTTAAACCCCTGCATGGCAAAGATAGCATAAGAGCTAAGAATATCTTAAGCATGGGTCAAAAATTTTTTGAAAACCACTCAAACGGTAGGTGCATGTATATAGGGGCTGCCCTTAATTAGAGTATTGTCACTACGCTAGTTGCGGCCCGCATCACGCTATACCACAGTTCTAGAAGGGACTTCTTCTTAGCATCAGCGCGTAACCATATCCTTGCTGTGGATTGGATGGATGTCGTCTTCTTGTCAACCAATATTTAGTTGCACCGTCCAGTTCAGGTAGTCAAGAGACAAACATGTTGAAAATTACCATGTGATGTGCTGTCGTGCGATAACTACGTGGGTTTCAAACCCACGGAGATCGCAACTTTTACGCAAAAAATAGAAAGCAACTTTACCCCGGTGTTTTGAACTATCAGTTCTTTTCTCTGATATTCGATTTTCAAATCAGGAATTCTACGCAGGTCAGAAACGCGAGAATTGTGGCTGTCAGTTCTGGCGGACCACTTTAGCGCGGTGAACTTGCTTGCAGTTGTTGATTATACGGGTAAAAATAAGAATCCACTGTCCTAACGTTTGGCTAATATTGTCAAATCTCCAGCTGGTCGCGCTTGGCCGGGCGGCCGAGTTGGCGCAAATAGGCCTGGCAGCCCGGATGTTTCAAGGCTTACACCGAATGTCGAAGCCTGATCAACGGCTTTTCTGCTCAAAGCAAGAGGAGCACCATCGGGAATTCTGGTCGGTATATGTCCTTGATAGTTGATCTCCTATGGTCGATCTTGACGCGTAGTCTATTTTTCTATAGGAACGGGTCTTCAAATTGGACACGGGGCCGAGATAAGTATGTACATAGACCCCGTGTCAAAATAATGACACCAAAGCAATACTAGCAATTGGACATTTGGTGCCAATAATTGCTGCTGATGGAGCTAGATCAATCAATTTGAAGCAAACGACAAAGCCCCAACGCCGTATCAATGAGTGCGAATACGAAACAACAAATTTGCGAGCGAATGGAGATGCTATGAGATTAAAAGATGCTGTTCACAATATTGGAACCCACAGTGGCACCGGCGCCGAAGATTGCTATTATCAGTTAGAATGCAAGTAACATGGGAGCGCTGGAAACAGAAGTCCAACATACCGGCATTGCCAAGTTTCTTTCCAAACTTCTTGCCTCCCTCTTCAAATTTGTTTTGCTTCGGCTCTGCCGGGTTCGCAGGTTGTCCACTCTGGCTGACATCGAGAGGCATGTTTCCATAGTTTTTAGCCGAAGGCGGTTGTCCATAACTTGGAACTGGGGGCGATTGCGAAGGAACCTCCTCGACATAGTTTGATGGGAACAGACCCTCCATTCCGGTTGTCATGTTGCGACCATACCACCCTGATTATCTTTGGTCAACTGGTTTTCTCTCCTAGATGGAGGGGGGATCATACACTCTTTTCTTTCTTTCTTGATGATTTGAATTTGTTGGTTCTCCTGGAAAGAAAGGCCGTCGTCTTCCTCTTCCCTCGGTTTGTAGTCCCACAAAGCCCTTGCCATTCCAATGACTTGGGGATAAGCCGGCGGGGCTGGTGGGGTCGGGCTTGTTGCGTATTGGTTGTGTTGCGCGGCTTTCTCGTTCACCGACATATGGGACATTTGATATGCAGGGGGCGTATTCACTGGAGCATATGGGCCGGGAGGATGCCGTGCTTGTACTGCATATGGTCCCGGGGGATGCTGTGCTTGTACTGGAGCTTGGTAGACAGGCTCAGGCTGTGGCAGCTGTCGGTGCGCTTCAGAAGCATGTGTGTCGGCGATGGCTTTGAGCGGCCGTAGGATGGTATCCATCTGAGCGGGAGTAATCAAACCGACCGAGTCGAGGAATTCCAGTTCCTGGTGGTATTTCGTTAGTACCTGACGTGCATTTTAGGAACCGGGATCCAAGGAGATATACCGTCTGGATCGCTCGGAGCGACCGAGTTCTCATGGCGAGCTCTAAGTTGCTGGGGGCCGCCATGGTAAATGAGGCAAGAGATTGATGCAACTGGTGGTGTGGATTGAAAGAAATCTGGTTGTTTTCACCAGAGGACAAGGTGTAAAAGTGGAGTAAGGAGAGGGCGGAGATAGGACTTTGCCAAGTCAGGTCTTATTAACTATGTAGCCTAAGGCCAAGATGTTAGATTACGCCAACCGAGTTTTACTATAACATCTAGAAGGGATATACCAATTGGAAAACAAAAATTATCCCCCTACTTAGATCAGTTGAATGAAACCTCTTTTTGCACTCGACCTTTGTTTGTTTCCTTGTTGCGTTGGGGACATGGATATCTGGGGACTCGCCAAGGCCTATGGAGAATTACCCCAGTAGCAATTCAAAACACCTCAACATCTTCACTTATTTAGATGGCAATGTCGTATCCCTGAGCTTTACAGGTTAAAAAGGCTTCAATTCAATGGATTTATTAAAAAACTACATCTTGTCTAAGATCCTTTTACCAGAAGGGGGATTTACGTATGATTATTAAAGCGATCAGGTAGATTAGCGCTATCTAACTAGGTACCCTATAACTGATATTGTTTGCTGAACACCAAATCATTATGAAACAACCTTCGAAGTATTGATTATTGGTCAAGCTTTGTTCCTATGTCGAATAGTAAGTCATCTAAGCTCATAGTAACCAAAGATCATCTCACTATACAAACATTGTATGGTCACCACAAGTTCTCGTACATTGAACTATATACATTTATCCAGTTGGTGGAAATATCCTTCAAATTATTTATAACGATTATCTAACACGCTAGAGTAGATATCAATGGTGTATACCCGTTCCTTCAAAACCTGGTATTAAATTATAGATAAAGACAAAATCTAGATATACCTAAGTACGTATGTAGTTCGTTGTCCATTGGGCTAAAACAACATGATAATGCGTAAGCTAGTTCTTTTACTGGGGCCCCAGTACTGGGTCCGGGTTGGGCTCTGGGTCGAAGGGTTTGCGGAAGTCTAGTCTCAGTAGCTTCGTCAGCTGTAAATAAAGCAGTGACTTTTCTGGCCGAATTCATATGACTGGGGCACTGGAAAAGAAGGCCAGTGTGTCCGCAGGTGATGTGTTTTCGAATTCCACTATACCTTGTGCAATTTCAAGCCATTTTACTTAACTAGCGGCACAGCAAGTAGCGTATCGTATAAGAATGTGAATAGATTAGCGTATAATTCGCTTTGTTATCCATCGTTTCTACTGTACATTCTCTAGTATAGACGGATAACTTCGTTCTTAGCGAGAAAATTGGTGGATGCGGCCATCTGACAACACTTTCTCCACTAGAATAGAGTCCAAAAATCACTTTGTTACAAATCCGGTATAATATAGGTCAGCCGGCAGCCTTGACCTCGACCGATGATATCACTGTTATATAAATGTATCACTTAATAAAATTAGACAACCTTTTAAGTCTTCCCACAGAGTTGAACTTGTGAACTGTGATGCTGAGCTGAAAGTCCTAAAGAAGAAAGAAAGGGTTCGATCACGAACCTATTGTAGATCTTTCCTTTTTAGGATGTATATCTTCTATCCACCGCAATTCAATAGCACGTTCTTCTCCGTGGCGGAGTACGGTATTTGTAGAGGCCGACGGGCGATTCGTTAGAAGGCTAGCTTTGTACTCGCGTTCTCCATTGTGGATAGCTCCGCATCTACGTAGAGATGGTACTTTCCTACATACGCTGTAGCTGGAAAATAAGCGGATTACAGGATTTTCGCTTAATTTCCGAGAGTGAACGCCATTACTGAGAGAATAGAGGTTATAAGCTATAGCAGGCAAAACTGCTTTATAAAAGATACCTAGGTATAGATTTAAATACCTTACAGGCGTGCTTGAAGTGCACCCTTCAGTATCTACTAATATATTTAAAGGAGCTTTTTTTTTCTTTTGGGATTTGAATTTCGCGCAAGATGCAGAAAATGTCGATCTCTCTTCCACAAGCGTCACGGTAGCGAGCTGAAACTTCTGCGGACCATCGGCGCTAAGGATAAGAATTTAGGTACGTCATAGCTCGCAAATCATATATAACTTCAGTCAGAAGACATTATCGTGGAACAAAAATATCTTTCATCTCACCCTGCCTAATCCACGTCTTGGCGGTTGCCATCTGCGAAAGCAACCCACGTTGAAAGTTGTGCTGAAGTACACCCTGACAATATGAAATATCGCCGAGACCCAGAAAGGGCCAATTGGGGCCAAGATGCATTCGTTGGCGATGGCATGGGAAAGTGGGCGATTCTTTGTTTGAATGACAATTTATTATATTGGTGCTATGGTGATGATGGAAATCCTCGGGAATTTACTATTCGAAAGGATCTTCGATGGGGGAGGTATCGAGGGCTTATCGACACTTGGTCCCGCGAATTCAGTATTTATGAGGCCGATGAGTCTTTTGATGAGGTAAGAGGCGAAAGATTTGCGTCTGGATATTGAGCTGACCAAATTAGGCGTCCTCTAAACTAGGCTCTGGTAACGTCTGGGCGTTCTCTACCAGCGACTTCCACGAATATGGGTCCTTTGTCCAAGAGAATTGCTTATCGCGTGCTCGTTGGCCTTGAAAATCTACCAGGGGATTGCGCGGGAACCAAATACGACGAAATGCGTCACTTTAAGTGATAGTTTGATGGTTTTCTGCCTTGGTTGCATTTGGTCTATTCTCCATCTATGTGATTGGTCGATTGGGTTTGGAAATGAGAACTGGCAATCTATATCAACCATCTCCCCCGGTCCTTCCTCTTCTCTTCTTTTTTCTTCGTGTTTAGTTTCCTCGGTTGAATGCACTCCTGGGTTTTGGTGTGACTTAATGTACCTTGCCCTGCTTTTAGTAACTATTGATGTGTAATACAAGACCAAGCGGCTCACACTTCAACCCTACCGATTAGTCGTGAGTCCCAATGACCACTACAGCATGTCGGAGGTGACAGAAAGCACTCTGTTTTCGAGGCCCAATATCCTCAATACACCAATCAAGGAAACTCTAAAAGCCGTGTTTGGGGTCTTGTTCATACCACATCCAATCCCGTGTAATGAATGCTTTCAATCCTGAGAAGCACTCCTCGATAGGATTAAAGTCGGGCGAGTAAGATGTTAGATGCACTAGCTTTACTCCTGCTCCAGCACATATTTCCTCGATACGATCGGAATGATGGAAAGAGGCGTTGTCCATCACTAGAACAGAATTCGGCCCAAGGTATCTTCCACTATGCCGAAGAAGCTGATCAATGAAGTCCTCGAAGATAGTCTAAACTGTGCAATAAATTTTAACCTTTATATGTATCTGTGTATATATAGTGCCCCAGTTAATATATTATGGTCAAAAGCAAGAAACGATTGATCAACATCGCTGTCAGATTTAATGAAGGCCTAATAAGCACAGTGCTTTGATTAAGATGATGGTGAAAACATTAGCCAAAAGAGCACATCGGACTTTATGTATAGGTCTAAATGGACGAGAAAACTAAGCCTAGTTCAACACGAGTGCGATGTCTATGTCTAACCAGAAAATATAATTTTGTGAACGAAAAGAGCACGGCAATGGGCAGACTAAGCCTATCCTGGTCCCCGATCATGCACTCAGCCTCACCATCGTGGGGCTGGTGTAGTTATATAGACTCAATGTGACTCAATTGTCAGGAGAGTATCGCAAAAAATCATTGACTGACCCCTATTGCTTGTTTCGGACATTTCATTTATTACATGCCTATGATATCAGTGATTAATTGGGGCTGGAAATGTGCACGCAAGGCCGTATGACATCAACTTGTGGGTCGAACAACATCATTGTCTTGACAATCTCAATTTTTGGCCTGCATTTATGATCGATGAAAGAGGAAGTTGAGTGTAGATGGTATTGAGATAGCTATAAAATATCTGATATGTTTTTCATTCGTTCTGTAGAGCCATATAAATGGAAGAGCGTAGTTGGAGGTGGCCGAGGCTGTAGCAATCGATATGGTGGGGGGACTTGCCGATGAGCATAGCGAAGCACTCACATTCTAAATTTGGGCCATTGAGCATTGCCGCGAAAACTGAAAGTCAGCAATGAAGAGTCACACGAACTTTGCGAATTAATTGTCACTCAAATCGAACATGCAAAGAAGAAATGAGCCACAAACGGGAATGTTGTCCTTTGATTTGTAAAGGCACTAATCCCAAAGGGGACTAGTGCGGGCTCCCCTCCCTCGCGAAGCTTCTGTGTCAGTCATAAAACTAAATTGCGTCTCTCTCTTTTATCCTCACACGATCAACGACATCTTCTTCCCCTACAATCGCACTTCTTCCATACCTCAACCCTTCAAACCAACCAAAAACCAACCTTTCAAAATGTCTGATGATTGGGAAAGCACCACCAAGATTGGCAGCAAGTACCGCGGAGCCGGCGCCACCCCCCGCGAGACTGTTGTCAAGGGCAAGAGTGCCCTGAACGCTGCCCAGCGTTCTGGTGGTGTCATCACTGAGAAGAAGTACACCACTGGTAACATTGTGAGTCCAAATCCGCAGAGTCAAACAAAGTAGAACCATATTAGGACCCATACTAACTACCCACACAGGGCGCCAAGGCAGGAGCCCCCGAAGGCCAGCACTTGACCAAGGTCGACCGCAGCGATGACATCGTCAAGCCTAAGACCGTCGGCATGGCCGTCGCTGACGCTATCAAGAGGCGCCGCACCGAGGAGGGCTACAAGATGACCCAGAAGGATCTCGCCACCAAGTGCAACACCACCGTGACCGTTATCCAGGACTTCGAGCGCGGTACCGCCGCCCCCGACCAGAAGGTTCTTGGATTCATGGAGCGTGCACTCAACATCAAGCTCCGTGGATCAGACATTGGTGCTGAGAGGTTCCCTAAGAAGAAATAAGCGAACGTGGGTGAGCCGCTGGCCCCTCTATTGGGAACGAGGCCGCGGCATATCTCAAGTTTTCTGCATCTTTGTTTTTTTTGCGCTCTATGACTGTCATGTTTCATCCTCATTTTCATGAGGCGTCACTTTTTTCGATTTTTTATACGAGTTTCTTTTCTGCTGGTCGGATTAGCGCTGGCCTTGCATGAAACGGATTTAGAGAAAAATAATACGAAAAAAAACTTGTATGAATGAACTACCTCCCATTTTCATCATGATGGACATAGATTCTCCACTACTCGGTTCTTGTAGTTGAAGGTCGAGTGTTAAGTTGATCATAGAGCATTTTCCGAATCTCGCACTCATGCGCTTAGTGAACCCGGACGCCACCTGGGCAGAAACTCTCTGCCCTAATTACATATACAGACCGAAGCCACATCCTTTGCAAAGCGCATAATATAAAAGCAAGTAGTGGCCTTTGCAGGTATGATACAGATGTCGGATTTAAGGTACAATCCAGACCTTCCAGTGTAATTGAAGATTTGCAAAGCTTTGAATTTGTCTATTTACCTGATTTTAATCTCTCCTGCTGAAGGCCACCGGCCCAGCAAATAGGACAGACATAAGAGCTCAAAATCTGAACCATGTCATCTTTTTATTAAACAAAGACAATAACACAAGGTACCAACTCCGATTGATCATGGAATCAATGAAATGAGAAAATCGTGCAACGGAACACTCCGTATGCGGGACTCGGAAATCCTTCCCGAGTCTTTTCGCCTCGTAAAAACATTCACCAAATCGTCTCCTTACTTGCGCGCCTGCTCACGCAGGTGCTCCCGCTCAACCTCGTACAAGAAATCGAAGTATGACTTGTCGAAGTGGTGAACACGGACATATCCGTCCTCACCACCTGAGGCGTATGCGGTGCCTGCAGGGTGGACGTCGATGGTGTTCAGAGGACCGAAGTGACCCTTCACTCTGCCGACTTCTTCGCCGACAATGGAGTGCCAGAAACGAGCCTCGAACTTTCCTTGGCGAGCGGAGGTTGTGGTGACATCCATGGCGGCCTGACCACCACCGAGGATCACGAAGTTCTTCTTTGGTGTGATGCTTGCGGTGTTGAGGGGAGTATCGGTGACGTAGGTTTTGAGGATGGCGAGGTTGCGGGAGGAGACGAGCTATATATTATTAGCGGGTGCGGGGAATTGTTAGGGTATAGTGCTTACCTTGGCGGACTTGTCCTTGGAAGCAGTGATAAAGCTGAGTCTATCAGGGGACATTTGAAGATCGGTAATTGCGGAGTCGAATTCGTGGATCTGGATGTTCTCGACGATTTCTCCGGTCTAAGATCGATGTTAGTATTTGGGCCGTAATCCGGATAAAACAGCCGGAATAGCTGCAAAAAAAACCGTACCTTAGGATCGTACTGGGTGACACTGCCGTCTTCGTGTCCAGCAAGGATGTACTTGGCGAGGTAACTCCATTGGGCAACGGTTGCCTTGCTATCTTCACAGGTAATGGTGAGGGTAGGCTCGGCGGCCTGCTCGTTGAGGTTTTCGCCGTAGTTGATATCGAGGACCGCGATTGTGCCGAGGAAACCCATACGCTTTTCCGTAACTGCCAAAAGTCTGCTTCCATCGGGGGAGAATGCCACGCGCTTAACAGCTGTGGGGAAATCCCACACCTTCACACACTCGCCGGTCTTGACGTTCCATAGGCGCACGGTGTTGTCGGCAGAACCGGTGGCAAGGAGAACGGTGTTGGGGCTGACATCGACTGTCCAGACAGCACCCTGGTGGCCGCTGTATGTTCCGAGACGCTCGCCGTTGGCGGACCACCACGCGCACACAATCTTATCCTTGGAGGTGGAGAAAAGGAGATCGCCATCGCTGTTGAACTTGATCTGGGTCAAAGACCGCTCCTGTTATATAGATGCCCGCGGTCAGTCTCTGTGGATCCGGCAAGAATTTGAGGGGATCAACGCACATGGCCGGAAAGCAAAATAGGACGCATATTGAATTATGATGCGACAGGGAAGCCGTAATAGAGAGGGGAAAATTCTGAGAGGCTCGGCTCAGAGGGGGTAAGGCGGAGTGGCTATTGGGGGGGTCAACCTCGTCAACCTCACTTTCTTTGACTAGTGAATTTCATCGCACACTCGGCCCTCAATGCCAAGACCATATCGGAGACTTGGTTTCTCCGACATGTACCTTTCGATATCTTCACGTGACTGGCTGCCCTAAGCGCTAATCTATTTTTGGTCAAATTTTGGAGGCATCCATTGTCCTCATACAAAATTACATTCTAATATATTGCACTTTCATGCTCCATACTGTATTCATTTAATCCTTGTTCTGAAATAATTTTGGCCTAACGCAACCAACTGGAACCTCAGTAAAACCTCAACCGTCTAGTCTATAAGAGGGGCCCGGGCTCAGCATCACAAAACTCATAGGCTCTCCGCCTATTGCAAACCTCTCTAGATAATTGTGAATGTAGCCTGGGTTGAATCAAGTAATATATTTCCACTTCTCAATAAAAAGGGACATCTATAAATACACTACAATGGCCTGTAGTTGACTGAGAAGTCAACAGACATGACATCTATATATGACACAACAAATACTTAGGTATATAAGAGAAGAGCACAGAAAGCCCAGAGCTTCATGGGACACTATGCATTAGTTGCACTACACTCTGTCTAGGATTCTTGTGAGACTGTTAGATACCGTTATATTACCCATTTCTTTCTATGCGCTTTCCGTACAACATACACTTCTATACCTTTTTCTACCGGTATTGTTTCAGATCTTTCATGGCACTGTTGGGAAGATAGCAAGTGAGTACTCCCTACTATTGGTCTAGTGTAATAATACCTTCAATGCTGTTCTCCAGGCTTTCTAGACACTATGGGGCACCAATCTCGCCTCAGGCTCCTATGCTGACTGTTCAACCCTATACGATTACATGATCAAAATATTGAAAGCCTTAGGCAGAAATATTGGAAACAAGGGGCTCCGAAAACTCCCCGGCTCTCCGCACAAGGCTTAATTACAAGACAAAGGAATAGGTGAATGTGAGGGGAATAATCGGAAGTGGTAGTTGGCTTTTCAATCCATTCCGTTAATTCTCTTGAAGCAGGAGTGCATGTGAAATTGCAGCCTAATTGAGAAAACTTCAGCGGCGATAACAGTCTCCGAGGGTTCGCCCTCCCGAACAAGCAATAATTCATGCCACTCGTCCCCGCTGCCCTACCCCGCTGTGCTTTTTATCTCCAAGTGCATGCGGGCCCTTCTCTCCGACTTATTTCTTTCTCACGTTTCCTTTCCTATAATTATTCCTTCACTCCAAGATTCAGAGGGCATCATTCACGGTCAATTGAGCCAGTCAATTTTCCTTACAGCCCCGCCACCTCATCTCGAGCGTTCTCTGTGTCAGCAATGGCTGCCGCCAAGATTGATGGCACTGCCATCGCGAAGAGCATTCGCCAGGGGTTGAAGACCGAGATCGAGCAGATCCAAGTGACAAACCCCAGATTCAAGCCAAACTTGGTTATCTTCCAAGGTAAGCATTACCCCTCCTGGGACAATGAGTTTAGGAGGACAGCAAACTGATTTTATCACTTCATCTAGTCGGCAGCCGATCGGATTCCAGTTGGTCTATCTACAACCAAGTTTGAAAGGTCGTTCGAACTAATGTTGCCTAGGTACCTATGTTCGCATGAAGTTGAAGGCTGCTCAGGAGGTATGATCTCGGTGTGATTTTTTTTTCTTGCGTAAGCCAGTCTCTGACAAAATATACCAGGCCAACATTATCTGCACTTTGATCAATGTGCCTGAATCCAGCACCGAGCTGGAGCTCATCCAAGAGATCACCAGAGCCAACAATGACCCCGCGATCCACGGTATCCTCGTCCAATTGCCTCTTCCGAGCCACATGTCCGAGCATGCTGTTACATCAACCGTTGCAGACGAGAAGGATGTTGATGGATTTGGCGCAATCAACATCGGCGAGCTGGCCAAGCGCGGCGGCCGCCCATTGTTTACTCCTTGCACTCCCCTGGCCGTCATGGAGCTGCTTCAGGCAAGCGGCGTGAACCCCGCAGGCAAGGAGGCTGTGGTCCTGGGACGCAGCGACATTGTCGGCAGCCCGGTCAGCTATTTGCTGAAGAATGCTGATGCTACTGTCACCGTCTGCCACTCCAAGACACCTGATATCGCCCGTCTCGTGAAGAGCGCTGACATTGTCGTGGCAGCCATTGGCCAGACCGAGATGGTGAAGGGTGAGTGGCTGAAGCCCGGTGCTGTGGTTATTGATGTTGGTATCAACTACAAGCCTGATGCGACTAAGAAGTCTGGTGAGCGCCTGGTTGGTGACGTGGACTTTGAGTCTGCTTCCCAGATCGCCTCGCAGATCACCCCCGTCCCCGGTGGTGTTGGCCCTATGACGGTGGCCATGTTGCTGAAGAACGTGGTTCACGCCGCCAAGGGCTACTTTGAGAAGCAGAGGGACCGCCATGTCACCCCTCTGCCCATTCGTCTCCAAAATCCCGTGCCTTCCGACATTGCCATTTCGCGAGCTCAGTACCCCAAGCCCATTACTCAAGTTGCCTCCGAGGTAGGCATCGCTCCCCACGAGTTGGAGCCCTATGGTCACACCAAGGCCAAGATCAGCCTGAGCGTATTGGACAGACTTGCTCATCGTCGCAACGGAAGATACATTTTGGTTTGCGGTATCACTCCTACTCCCCTTGGAGAGGGCAAGTCTACTACTACACTGGGTCTTACCCAAGCCCTCGGTGCCCACCTCAACCGCATCTCTTTCGCCAACGTCCGCCAGCCCAGCCAAGGCCCTACGTTCGGCATTAAGGGTGGCGCCGCTGGTGGAGGCTATAGTCAGGTCATTCCTATGGATGAGTTCAACCTGCACTTGACAGGTGACATTCACGCCATCACTGCCGCGAACAACCTTCTTGCTGCCGCCATCGAGACTCGCATGTTCCACGAGTCTACCCAAAAGAATGGTCCTCTCTACAAGCGTCTCGTCCCCGCTAACAAGGGCAAGCGCGAGTTCAAGCCTATCATGTTCCGTCGCTTGAAGAAGCTTGGCATTGAGAAGACCAACCCCGACGATCTTACCGAGGAAGAAATTGCTCGATTCGCTCGTCTTGACATCGACCCGGAGACCATCACCTGGCGTCGCGTTCTCGATGTCAACGACCGTCACCTACGCGGTATCACGGTCGGCCTAGCACCCACCGAGAAGGGTCTGTCCCGTGAGACTGGCTTCGACATTTCTGTTGCCAGTGAGTGTATGGCCATCCTTGCCCTGAGCAACAACTTGGACGATATGCGTGAGCGACTGGGCCGCATGGTGGTCGCTACTTCCAGAAGCGGCGACCCCGTTACTTGCGACGACATTGGTGCTGGTGGTGCTCTTGCTGCCTTGATGAAGGATGCCATCAAGCCCAACTTGATGCAGAGCTTGGAGGGTACTCCTGTCATGGTGCACGCTGGTCCCTTCGCCAACATCAGTATTGGCGCCAGCTCTGCCATCGCTGACAAGCTTGCTCTGAAGCTTGCCGGTACCGAGCCCGATGAGGACCACGAAGCCAAGACTGGATTTGTGGTTACCGAAGCTGGCTTTGATTTCACCATGGGCGGTGAGCGCTTCTTCAACATTAAGTGCCGCTCCTCGGGTCTAGTCCCGGACACCGTTGTTATTGTGGCTACTGTCCGTGCACTCAAGGTTCACGGAGGCGGCCCCGAGATCAGCCCTGGTGCTCCTCTTCCCGAGGTTTACCGTACCGAGAACGTGGATGTCCTGCGCAAGGGTTGTGTCAACCTTCGCAAGCACATTTCCAACGCTAAGCAGTACGGCGTTCCAGTGGTTGTCGCGATCAACAGGTTCGAGACTGACACCGAGGCCGAAATCGCTGTCATCAAGGAGGAGGCTATCGCTGCTGGTGCTGAGGATGCCGTTCCTGCCAACCACTGGGCTGAGGGTGGAGCCGGTGCCGTTGATCTGGCCAAGGCCGTCATGACCTCTAGCTCCAAGGATAAAGATTTCAAGCTTCTTTACAACCTGGATGGAACTATCCAGGAGCGCATCGAGCGCATTGGCCAAGCCATGTACGGTGCCGAGAAGGTCGAGTTTAGCGAATTGGCGCAGAAGAAGGTCGACACCTACACCAAGCAAGGGTTCTCGAACCTGCCGATCTGTATCGCCAAGACTCAGTACTCGCTCAGTCATGACGCCGCCCTTAAGGGTGCCCCCACTGGATTTACTGTGCCAATTCGGGACGTCAGACTGGCGGTTGGTGCTGGATATCTGTAAGTTCTTCTTTTCACCCTGTATTAGCTTATTAAATTTTTTTCAATGGTCACGCTAACAAAAAAAAAACTATAGCTACGCCCTCGCTGCCGACATCCAGACCATCCCCGGATTGCCTACTGCCCCTGGCTACCTCAATGTCGACATTGACACTGAGACTGGCGATATTGATGGATTATTCTAAAGTATGATTAGGGAGATTTATTTCTTTGGGACTTGTAAATATGAATGATTTTACTAGATCATTCTTCAACACATAGTTAATGGCGTCTAATCGGAGCGGGTCTTTAGACGGGGATTTTCAACACCAGAAGCGCACAATCCGGGGGTCAATTGGAGATTAATTTCTTTCATTTTGACACATTCGATTATCATCAGAAACATAAATTCGCATACACTATCGTACAATTCGGTAGGAGCTTTCCCGGGGTCAAATAAGGAGGGTCGGTGAAGGCCGCGGAGTTCTGCTCCGAGCTCCGGAGACTGTTCTACCACAAAGTATAGACCCGCCGATGGAGCTTTCTGAAATTTGAACCTGAGATAGGATTAGATCGATGAGTCAGGAGACCTGATCAAACTGATATAAAGAAAAAACCAATTCCAGAATTCGTTCCTGAAAGACTTTGGAAAGCTCTTCAAAACAACAAAACCACTTGGGAAATCCCCAATATCACGTTCTTCCGGCTTCGGCGCTTCTTTTTGCGGAGCAACGGTTAATCAAGGAACCTCCATAAGGTCTCTCTCCATTGCACCGGACAAGGCTTTTTCCTTCTCTCTTACTCTTTTCCAAAGCTGCAAGCCGGTAATTATCCTATCCCTATTTGCCTTCCCTTAACTACCCGTTTTGCCCCGGTGCCCCGGTCCCTTTACCCCCACGATATCCACGAAATCCCGGAAATCGCACTGCTCTTCGTTTCTCCGGGACCAGACTTCCGACTCCACACTATCCTTTCTGCCGAACTTCATTCCCTCGGTTGTAACCCGCGGCGATTGAGTGGCCGACTTGCGCTCAGCCAAACAGAAAGGGCGAAACTGGTGCTGACTTCCCTCTGAAAAGGATCCCACGATGAACGCCCTCCGATCAGGTTCCGCATTCGCTCGTCGGTCTCTCGCGACCCCTCCCGCCCCTCTCTCTTCTACTCGTCTTCTTTCTTCCTCTTTCACCTCTTCCTCTACCAGATCTATCTCTTCTGCCTCCCTCTCTCAGAGCACTAATCGAGTTGCTGCATCTTCCCGCTGGTCCGGATCGATTCCTTCGTTGTACTCCTCTCAAATCCGCACCATGGCGTCCGAAACTAAGATCAAGGTCAAGAGCCCTTTGGTGGAACTGGATGGTGATGAGGTATGGGTCTCCTTTTATAGTTCAAACTTTCAATCGGGCGGTTTCACAAGCTAGCATTTCCTTGTGTTCGGCTGGCGCATTATCGTCACGAAAACGCGGGGAAACACGGGGAATACACTATGAAATTCATGTGTCAACCCGATAATGACGACGTGGAACGCTTGTTTGACTCATCTTGAACATGTGCTGACCCGAATCGTCTTCCGCGCATCTAGATGACCCGTATTATCTGGCAAGAAATCAGGGAAAAGGTAAGCTAATATCCCACCTCGGCTGAGGCCAGACCTGCATGATCATCGCTGTTGCAGCAACCTGCATGCAGTTGACGTATCATATCTGCCGGTGCAATTCTAGTCTCGATACTAATCTGCCCGCTTACAGTTGATTCTGCCTTATCTCGACATCGACTTGAAGTACTACGATCTCGGCATTGAGTACCGTGACCAGACCGATGACCAGGTCACCGTTGATGCCGCCGAGGCTATCAAGAAGTATGGTGTTGGTGTCAAGTGTGCCACCATCACCCCCGATGAGGCCCGTGTTGAGGAGTTCAAGCTGAAGAAGAGTAAGCTCGGCGGAAGTCCGTTTTGTGTAACATGCTAACCCAACCCTAGTGTGGCTCTCTCCCAACGGCACTATCCGTAACATCCTGTGAGTCTACTTGATCTGATATACCTAGCGTTCAATGCTAACGACCTATCCAGTGGCGGCACCGTGTTCCGTGAGCCCATTGTCATTCCCCGCATTCCCCGCCTGGTCCCTGGCTGGACCAAGCCCATCGTTATTGGCCGTCACGCTTTCGGTGACCAGTACCGTGCTCAGGACCGCGTCATCCCCGGCCCCGGTAAGCTCGAGCTGGTCTACACCCCTGCCGGTGGTGAGCCCGAGCGCATCCAGGTTTACGACTTCCAGGGTGGCGGTGTCACCCAGTGCCAGTACAACACCGATGAGTCTATTGCTGGCTTCGCCCACTCCTCCTTCCAGATGGCCCTCATGAAGGGTCTCCCCTTGTACATGAGCACCAAGAACACTATCCTCAAGAAGTACGATGGCCGCTTCAAGGACATCTTCGAGGAGATCTTCCAGAAGCACTACAAGAAGGACTTCGATGCCAAGAAGATCTGGTACGAGCACCGTCTCATTGACGACATGGTCGCCCAGATGATCAAATCCGAGGGTGGCTTCGTCATGGCCCTGAAGAGTGAGTGCTAATCATATTCTATCCCACTTTATTCTATATCTAACATCAACCCTAGACTACGACGGTGACGTTCAGTCCGACATCGTCGCCCAGGGCTTCGGTTCCCTCGGTTTGATGACCTCCACCCTGGCCACCCCTACCGGTGAGGCATTCGAGTCCGAGGCCGCCCACGGCACCGTGACCCGTCACTACCGTGAGCACCAGAAGGGCAACGAGACTTCCACCAACCCCATTGCCTCCATCTTCGCCTGGACCCGTGGTCTCATTCAGCGCGGCAAGCTCGACAACACCCCCGAGGTTGTTTCCTTCGCCGAGGAGCTCGAGCGCGCCTGTATTGACGTCGTCAACGAGGAGGCTATCATGACTAAGGATCTTGCTCTCGCCTGTGGCCGCAAGGAGCGCGAGGCTTGGGTTACTACCGGAGAGTACATGGCTGCCGTTGAGCGGAGGCTGAAGGCCAACCTTAAGGCACGCCTGTAGATTGTTTCCATTTGACGCAAAATTTCATGAGATATTCCCGCTTTAAACTCCCTATGGGAAAGCCATTGGTCTAGCTTTGATTGGTTATATGTATAGTTGCCTGCAATTGATTTGCTATTCTGTACAACCTTCTCCTACTAGTAGTATACCTGTAAGCAAAGGACACCACACATGTCCTTTTAACCTTTTTAAGGTTTCTTTGCATGTTTCCCGGGGTGTCACGGTAACCCCTTCAAGGCGCTCGGAAAATCCGAACATGCATCAGTCACCTCACGTTATTCAGATTGTATTAGGACAACAAACCTCTTCACCCACGGTACCTCTCTGCCATGCGCAATCGCAGTGGGTATTTACTCTTCCCTGACTGATAACAGGGGATGCAGCCACTCAGACGGCGTGAATCCGAACAACAGTCAGCAGTCTGGAAGCGTGACCGTCGCCACAACTGGCGCAAAATCAAGAAATCGAACTCTCCTGACTCAGGCAGACTCTAATCAGATAATGATATCGTTTCCTCGGAGTCAGGGCTATCGGTCAGTCCGAAACCCTAAGCCCAGAAGCATCCAAACAAGCCCCATACCAATCGAACCAAAAGTAGAGTTGTGAAGAATTCTCGATTTGGATGGAGTTTAATTCATCCCAAATGATTTGGCGGGTGATTTCTCCTGCTAAGTCATCCAACGGGGAGAAGATCCGTACCCAAGGAATTTCGTACGAGAAAGAGCGAACCTATTGATTTGGCTCGGAATTCCCATAACTCTATTTGAGCAGCCAATCATATGAAACGAACCTGCTTCGGCCGGCCACTCCCCGATCTCCTCCAAATGTCTTTGACGCAATCGGTCATCGCTAATTGCCTATTCCGGCCTCTATTTGGTGGCACCAACAATCATCTTTTCATAGACTTTGGATTTTGAAACTGTGATTTTAACTTGTGGAAATTCTTGCACACTAGACTTCTGCAGAATTTGAGATCCATCTCAGGTCGCATCTTATGGTCACCCTCTACAATTGTTACTCGATTCATATATATATACTTTTCCTCTCTGATATTCAATATATCGACTTCAAACTTTGACTTGATTCATTGTTCACAGAGTCATGCTGATAGTGTTGGGCATCACCGCATTCTACCCGATGCATTGACACAAGTCCATCTTCTACTTCTTTTGTACCATTTTTTTTATCTTTGGGATTTGTTCTGTTGCTCGATCGAATGTATGTTTTGATTATCACGACGATTTTCACGGGTCTGTCGACTTTGATAGTTGCCCTCCGACTATACACTCGATTTCACCTGATCAAGTCTCCCGGTGTGGATGATTTGCTCATAGTGATAGCATTGGTATGTGTTAGGAATACTGTACTGGAATGTCCAATGGGATAGCAGTCATCTGAAGTTATCACCATGAACCAAGTGCCTAATGCTAACGGTTATTCTAGCTTTCTGACCTCATATTCTACGCCTTCGTGCTCGTTGGTAAGTGACCAATCCAACAATTTAAATGTACATCTCGGCCTAATGCTCTTACCTATAGAACGGAATTATGGCCTCGGTGTTCCCAGATCCCAATTGGCCCCAGAGACCATCGAGGGTCAACTACATGTAAGATATATAACCACTCACCAACGGAGACAAGCCCTAACATATAATCTCCATAGTACCTCTGGCTTTCAGTTCCATTCTACAACCTCGCTCTCATTTTCGCCAAACTCTCCGCCCTAACCCTCTTCGTTCGCCTCTTCCGCCCGCGTCCTTTCTTACTCACCTGCTACATCTCGATGGGACTCCTCGTCATTGCAGGATTATGGATGACTTTGAGTGGTTTCATCTTCTGTGTTCCCGTTCATGACTTCTGGAACGTATTGGAAGAGACTCGCAGTCGGCATTGCCTACCTGAAGGTCCTGTCTGGTTCACCAATGCAGGGATCCAGATTGCTACAGACCTGATAATCTTGGTTTTGCCCATGCCGCTTTTGTGGAAGCTGCAGATGCCCAGGAGACAAAAGTGGGGGATTATGCTTGTCTTTAGCCTTGGCATCTTGTGAGTAGAGGTCATCTACCGTGATACTTTGAGCAGAACTAATGCTTTTTTAGTGTGATTGCTACCAGCTCTGTCCGGTTATATCAATTGAGCATTATGATCACCGCGCGTGACTTTACTAGTAAGTCTAGTCCTCACTTCGGTCTTTCTTTACACATCCGAACCAACCCTAATATCCACCAGAAACCAACTCCAAAGCCGGCGTCTGGTCTTCACTTGAAGCGAACATCTCCATAATCTGCGTCTGCCTACCACCACTCCACCCACTCCTCTCTCGTGTCTTCTCATTGTGTTTCCTCCCTCAACCTCTCCACTCCTCACCAGCCTCAAGGCTCCATACCAACACAACGCAATTAACGGAGCGCAAACCCTCCATCTATGACCACTACGGCAGCAATCATAGCCCCGACGGGGGTGTTTGGTACAATGAGCTCTTCACACCTGGGCCAGCTAGTTACTCTGCTAGCATTGCCAAAGTGAACACAAATGAGGAAGACCTCACCTGCAGTAATGAAGACGGTATCCGGGTCGTGAGGGAGTTGAGGATGCAGTCTGATTCTGTTTGCCCTACTCCGGCGCTTCGGGACCCTTCTCCCCATGCTCGCGATTATGATCTGGAGAAAGGTGAGGGTTCCTCGAACAGTATTGCTGGTAATGGGAACACTCGCTCGAACCCGAGTATTGAGTGGGATTTGGGCGATTTCCAGTTTCCGGATTATAAGGAGAGGATGAATGCTCCTATTTGAGACAAGAGATCTCGCTTGTATATATTGAAAATTATGATCATAACATGTAATTAGCTGCCATAACGAGAACAACGAGAACAAGCATTTTACCAAGACCTGTCTTCCTTCCCGTTTTGTGCTGGCTCTTTGCCTTTGGTTGTTTGTGGCTACTAAACCACAGGCAGTTTTTAGGGCCATCGTGACAGCCGACCTCTTATTGTGAAGAATTGGGCAAGAACTTTTATTCACTGTACAATCAACTAGAGCACCAAAAGCCATTCAAAACACCACCCGAGTCCAACATGCCTTGTATCTGGTACCATTAATATTTACATCAGGATGCCTGGGCTAACAGCACCCAGCTCCTTCATTCGCACATTTTTTTCATTCAAGGTCGTACGCAACATTTTGATGTACTCAATAGCACGTTCCATCACGCAAACTTTTGTCTGGTCCGCAGAAGGTGCCTTCTCCCTTTTCTCCCTGCTAGGAATGGTCTTGGGCACTGCAGATGTTATTTTGTTCTTCTCTTGGGTAAAATTTGAAGGGAGAAGAGCCTCCAGATCTTTGAGCGCAGAGTTGAGCCGCTGTCTGCGATTTTGCTCGGCAAGCCTTTGATAAGTGCGTCTTTTGCGCAGACTTTCCTCGTCAGATTTACTCGAGCGTCTAGCCCGGCCTGCTGTGTCTTGTTTATGCTTGGAACCTGGTCCCGAGCTAGGATTATACCCAGGTAGGGGAGGTGTATCTGAAAGAGTGTTAGAGCCTTCTTTCTGTCAGAAGTTGTTAGTTGTCGACTCACCATTGCAATTGCTGGTACTTGGCAAAATAGAATTGAACTTTGGTCGCAAATGGGATGTGCTTATACTTTTTAGTCTTTGTCGCTTCTGGATTGAGGAGGTTTTGCGGCCAGTCGCCGTAGCTGCAGTGGATGTGATTGGGGGCGACACAGTATTTGGCTTTACTGGTAGTTGGAGAATTGGTGCTGTGGGAAACGAAGGGCTGCTCGGAAAAGAAACAGGTGGGCTTGTTGCCGCTCCTGCATTGGCAGCTCCGTCGTTGTTGAACTCGACGGGGCCGATATTTCGTGAAGTAGTCGGATCTTCTTGTGGCATAGAAATGTACTCGGCCCACTCCAGTTCTTCTTGGTTGCCATATTGCGAGATAGGACTATGTGCCTCAGTTGATGGCAAACTGGGCGTGGGCGTTATTGGGATTTGATGAAACCAAGAATTAACAGGGCCACCGAAATTGGATAAATGGTCATCCTTTACGTCAAATTGTATATTAGCCAACACGGTGTGAGAACGATCCTGGGCATTCCAGTGTTAATGATGCGGTGAACAAAGTCAAGAAGTGGATCTAGTGTTTTCTAATATACCTTGAAATCGTTCATAGAATTCCACGACTTAATGTATTCATAGTCCCCGTCCATCCACTCAAAGTCCATCCAATCCTTTCCTTGTTGCTTCTCCTGGTTTGTAGAAGGGCTCGTAGGTAGGCCAGTGACATGATTCGCGCTAGCCGCTAGCACATTCGGGAGAATCGGGGCTACAGGTGCAAGTAATGGTCCATGTTGCCCTTGGGTCTCTGATATTGCCGAAGTCTGCGAGGATTGCACGGATTGCAGCAAGTCGGCAAATTCGTTATCGTCAATAGGCAACACTAGCCCCACGGTATGCCGATCATCCCCACTGGAGTCCGACATACAAAGCAACTGATTTGGCATTTTTCAAGGCTGAGATGTTGACCCAATCAAAGGAGCTCAGAGTGTTCGATCGAAGTATGAGGGTGCATTAGAGAGTCTTGAACATTAAATATTGGCGCAAGAATTAGATGGGGTTGAGAATATTGATATCTGCAGTTGACTGGAAAGGCAGAGAGAAGGAGGTGAACCAAAGTTTTTCATTGAAACGATGCGACTGGCAGATACAGTCTTTTAAATGCTATGGATCTCTCTCCGTAGCCCTCATCGGAGTCTAGGTCTCGGCGGCACCCCGCAGACGTAAATTGTATTGAGAGACATACATATGTACATGGATGTGTTAAACGTACCTGACCCACACCTTGAGAAGTAATTTCACGCTCACATGCTTTGTCTTCAAATAGTGCAGGTCATTGTATCTCAGGATTTAGAAGCACCATCTTCTCGAAGCATTCTGAATTGATCAATTTAGGCTCAAAATTGTCTGCAGCGCACAAAATAACCTTAACAAAAATAAGCGAATCGCAGCATCAGGTAATAGTGACAAGCCGGCAATCAAACTTTCGATAAACGCCGGGAATATGCAAACCCAGCTTCTAGAGCCTTAGTCGTCGATCGAATGCGCCTGTGTAGTGTCTGAACGTGCCGCAGTTTTCCCGTCGGGTCCTAATGCTAATTTATTTCGCTTCAGCACACTAACAATGCTCATTGGCAGAAAAAGTAAAAAGAATCGCCCCATATGTTAAGCCTTTAGGAGCCAGTTCCCCGTCTCGGCCCCCATAGTGAGTTCTTTTGTTTTAGTGCCTGGTAAACTTTTTAATTGTGGATCAGTACTTTAAGTGCAACAATCACGAGCTGGGTTAGATGAAGCTAATGGCCAATCAAGCTAGGCATGAAAATAAATGTAACCTCTTCCAATGTGGGCATGCATAGTGGTCGCGTGAGCTTCGTTGGGAGATTCAAATGCACGATCTTCTGCATTCGGGATTCCCGAACAAAACCTCACCACGAGAAAATGTGTACTGTTGCAAATGGTTAAACCATGTAATGTTTCTATGTTCCCTTTTAAACTAAGAAAGGGGGTGAGCCAAACGCTTGCACAACCAAAATTATTGAGACAGTACCTAGAATCTCTGTCCCCGCATTGCCAAACTGCCAATGGGGTTGTCCACAGTGTACTCCGTACAACGGTAGTTAGTTATGACACCCGATGGTGTGGGTACGGGTGAGAAAGCCTCGAGCCGTGCCGATTTGGGTGGAAATGACCCAAAATACCTAACCGAGGAGAGTGGCCAACGCGCCTCCGCGGGTTCTCCGGTAACTAAGCTATGACTGAGTAATATATTTGACTCAAAAAAGAACGAACACAAAGCGTAGGTAAATAGACATTTTACCGCCGATTTTCGCAGAATCTTTTAGAGTTTTCTCGGCTTCCCGATTACCTAGCAAAGCCATAAATCCCCGTTTGTCATTATATATTAGCTAGTCCGACGTGAAATAACCCGTGTTGTCTCCGGCTTTTAACCTGATGCAGTTAGCAAGATACAACCCAAATACACTATATGAAACACGTATACGGGTATCCACATATCTTGGGAACCACCTATTTATGCTACAATGTGATTTGACTCATGTTGTATCAGGTCCTTCAATTCGAGTACGGTCAAGTGAGTCAGACTTAACCTGTATAACTCAAGGGTTTTTGGAAGCATCGTATCTTGAAGAATGTGAAAGCTAACCTTGAGTTCGACCCTTCACCACTGTACTCCCAAGATCCAATACCTAAATCAAAAGGCCTTCTGTGCTCCAATCGTCAGTGTTTTGAATCCTTTTGTTAACCCTCTTGTAAATAATAGGAAGGTGGTTCTGTTACGGCTCCACAGCGACGAAAATGAGTCGAAAGTTCTATGATCTGTCGGCTGTGTGTCCTAACGCCACTTTCTATTCAATTTAGGCTATTGAATTAAAGATTTGCCATCGGCAAAGTCTTCTTCTGCATAGCCTGCTCAATTGCCTTGGCCACAGCGACACAGTTCTCTTCACCGAATCTTCCTCCGACAACCTGTATTCCAACTGGCATGCCCTCTACCAGTTCGATGTTATCTATTCCCTTATTAGTATTTTCCCAACATAGGAATATATGTACTTGCACTGCTCCTTGTTGAATCTATCACCATCATTCCGCGGAACATGGCTCAGCCACTCCTGATCAGGGACATCTTTCTCTCTTGAAGCTGTGGTAATAGGAATTGCTAGAGCAGCGTAACCCAGGAAATTCCAAATACTAGTGTAACCCACATAAGCACTGGATTTTACCCATGTCCACGGCTTGTATCCTACCCAGGGAGTACTGGGCATGATCAGAGCGTCGATCTTTGAGGACAGCCATTTGTCAAGATATGCAGATTCAAATGTGTATTTGTCTGCATTGAGCTGCATGGCATGTTAGATGGGCACCGCTTTTAGGTTTTATCAGTCTCTTACCTGATGCGTTTCACTAGTCGTCAAAGTATCCTCCGGCTTTCCAACCAGCATACCTTCAATCAGTGGTTCGCCTGTCATTTCTGTCTTCTTGCGACAACCCTCACCCCCATCGGAGAAGATAGCCTTTGCCCAGAGGTCGTATGCGTAACTATGAGAAGAGGCATCCCATTCAAACACTGAAGATTGCAATTAACAACTCGCCAAATAGTAAACTTAAAGATAATCACGTACCCTCGTGTCCCGATTCTTTCAACGCTTCAATGACTTCCCTCATAGCTCTAGCGATCGGAGGCTGCACCTTCACAACACCGTCATCAATCACAAAGCCGATCCTTAGACACTTGGCTCCAGGAGAGGCCAAATTCGTCCTCCACGGTACAGGAGCAACGTGCTGATCGATCTCCCACGGCCGTGCATCCGGCAAAACCTCCATGTATCTCTCAATCGTCTCAAGGCTACAAGCCATTGGTCCAGCAACAGAGCGAACGATATCCTGCCCAGGACTAACCAAAATAAACGTCAACATCTCATCTCAAATAAGAACTCAGTATAAGATTGTTGTACTCACTTCCCACGCTCATAAGGATGCCTTCCAGGGCTAGGCGACAACCCATAAAGCCCGCAGAGTGACGCCGGGATACGGATCGATCCACCAAGATCCGTCCCTATTCCAAGAATACTTCCACGGGCAGCAACAAGCGACCCTTCGCCGCCGGAACTACCCCCAGAAATCAGCCCGCGATTAAACGGATTTACGCACTGTCCGAAGACGTGGTTGTATGAGTCTGACATCATCATCGATTGCGGTAGATTGGTCTTCACATAGAGTACAGCGCCGAGCCGGCGCAGCGTTCGAGCCACGGATTTGTCTGCTGTTGCAGGTTTGTTTGTGAGGCCGACCCAGCCTACGATGGGTGTTAGTTGGATATCTAAAGGATCGCTTATAATCTCAGTGTCGATGTGGGAGTGGGGTGAATGTACCGATCGAAGTGTCTACTCCTTTCACGGAAAATAGATCTTTGATGGAAACGGGTAGTCCATGCAAAGGGCCGATTGTTTTTCCTGTTGTTGCGAAATATTTATCTAGTTCCTGGGCGACAGCAAAGGCTTCTTCGAAGAAAACCTCCGTGCAGCATGTTGTTAGTTGGTGGGCAAGTGCGGCGCGTTTGGCAAAAGCCCGCGTTAGCTCTAGTGATGAAAGAGCTCCGGAGGAAAGTTTCTGAAGCAGAACTCGGATGTCTGTCTCTTCTGTAAGAGCAAGTTCTCGTTGACTGAGGAGTTTGCGCAGAATTGGCAGCGCGTTTGGCTCGGATTCAATTGACGGGATCGGATCTAAGCGCCATTCGAACGGGATAAGGGAGTGCTGGTCGGCCCTTTTTTGGGCACAACGGTCTAGGTACGTGGTGTCTGCTGAAGTAGTAGTCATGGTGTTTTCTGTGCATCAACTATTATCTGGGTTATCTGGTTATTCTCGAGAAATACGCAATATCTTATATACAATCGTAGTATAGATAACAAGGGTGATCCCTTACCCGAATAGGAAGGCTATCTTATTGACGCTAACCCCCGCTTCTATACGATCTCCTCCACCTTTTCTCACACTGCGCCTCTGCATCCGGATAACGAGGGAACTCACACGACCGGCAGTTCCTCCAATACCCTCGGATAATCTCACATTGCTTTGTTGTCGAGGCTTGCATTCCTGATAGATATGCGGGGGTAGCTAGATGCACATAGAATCTGGATGTAGCAGGGATCTTCGCTATAGCCTCGCAGACCCGATCCACCATCGAAGAGATAACGATTGAATGATACATCGACGTTGAAGAATCGAGATCCTCCAGCCCACCCGCGCGACTAAATGCCATGATAGCCCCGGCACCTCTATAAACCGTAGCAGCGAGGTTGCGCTCACTCAAGTCTCCCGCATTGAGCTGCAATATTTGAGCCATAGCCTGTGAGCTAAGATTTAAAGTATGGATACCGTCGTGATTGCGGTGCTTCGCAAGATACACCAAAAACTCAAATGTATCAGCCGGGCACCCGACAGAGTCAAAGAATTCAGCGTCCAGTGTTTCCCGATGCCAATCATCAAATATTAACGAGCTCTCTCTAACCAGAGCACCGGTCACATCGAACCAAACAAGGTAAGCAAGGACATTTGCCAGACCGGAGATCTCGCCGCAGAGATCATCGAGCGCACCCTTATGCTGGCAGTGGAGGTCCAGCAGCGAACGCGCACCTTGTAGATGACAATGCCAGTTCCCAAACGACCCGCAACACACTTCGAACATGGCGAACGTGGCTATCCCAAAAAGCGCAATCGGGTGCGCGGACTCAATGACTTGGCTGAGATTCGTTAGGGCGATGAGATGCGACTGGATAGATTCTTTGTTCCCTGCATCTTCTATGCGTGAACGTGCAAAGCTGAGAGTGCGTGATATTAGCTGGACTCCTTCTTCGGGTATGTCTCGGCTGCTGGAAGTGATTTGTTGGTAGAAAGCGCCTAGGAGGTCAATGAAGCCATATAGATTGATGGATGCTGGTTTGGTTACGATCTCGGTGGTCGGTATTTGTACATTGCTTGTTTGTGATGAGTTTTCCCTTGGCTCTGGTGATGGGTTTAATGCCTTTGCCTTCTTGTCTTTGACCCATACGACCCTTTGTGGATATTGGCATGCTTCTCCTCCCTGAAGGCAGGATTGACACCGGGGGCGGTTCAGATCGCACTTGATACCTCGGACTTTGCAGCGGTGGCAGTCTCGATCATGACGAATGCCACGAGGCTTTTTGATTCGTGTCATAATGGTCAAATTCTGAAGCATGAAGCTGCTTACTTGGCTGGGAGGGCTATCAACTATACCGGAGATAAGCCGTGCGGGGGTTGCCGACGGGCTGGCAATTCGGCTACACGGCAGGTCTGAGAGTCAATCTTACGGGACAGATCTGTTTATAAAGCAGAAAAAACGATAAAAACGCAAGTGGTGGGTGTGTCTACCGATAGGGATGACGTGTGCTGACTTGGATTTTGGATGTTGCCATGGGGAGGACAGACAAGGAATATTCCACAAATGACTACCCCTGATGCCTGGAATACCATAGAAAGTCAGTTGTGGGAAAATGTCGTCCCGTACTTAAAACTTAGGTGGTAATACTGGAACAGTGACGAGAAACTAACGAGTTCAATTCTGTGGCTTCGAGGAAACAAAAGGAGGAAGCACATATCAAGCCAGCCAGTTTTATCGTGAGAAAGGGCAAATGAGAGATAGGCTCATCAATGAACCGGGGCCCAATAAACACTGTGGTGTAGAGAGACATGAAAAGGGAAGACGAAGAAGCGAAATGAGAAAGCAAAAGCCACAACATAAAAGCTACCTATTTTGGGAACACGCGGTATCCGGACAATCACAAAACCAGCAACAGAAGAATGAAAAGAAAAACGGAACTCCATAGAAAAGGATTGACAATGGAAAGCAAAATCCAAAATCTGAGGGGGCTTGGGGATAGCAAGAACACACTGCTGGAAGAAAGAGAGAAGCGGAATAAACATGAAAGCAAAGATATCCATGTACCAGTGAAAACAAAACAAACAAAAGCACGGGTACAAGAAACATTGTGCTACGGGCCAATATTCTCATGTGCGGAGTCTCCCACTTCCACTTTCAACTCAGTGCTTGGACATGCCCGGTTTCCAATTTGGGTTTCGCATCTTGTTGTAATATGGTTGTTTGCCACGATCGGATTGCTTTCTTCCCCGCTTCATACGCTCACGGCGATCGCGTCTCTTGGTCGCTGAATTTGGCTGTTCTGGCTTTGGCTTGGGCATCAACAATGAGAGTGTGGATCGTGGAGATTTGGATGTCTTGTTCAGTTGTGCACGCCGGCGACGCAGCTGGACCTTGCGTCTGTGCTTTGAAAGCACAGAGATTGAAGGGCCCTTGATATCTTTGGAGACTTTTGAGATCGAGACAATGGAGCGACAACTTGCTGTACTTGTGACACTGATTGTTGCACACAAACTGCTTCCACGAGTGAGCCGTCGTGCTTGAATTCTGTTCATCCGGAGGATGGCCACCGCGGCTGTAAGAGATCGAGTGGAGGCAACGCTCTCGCTTCGTAATGAGCTAACACGCTGGGGCTTTTCAGGCGATTCCACACCGTGAGCATGCGAGGTATTCCATCTGTGAATGTTTTCTGAGGGAGACAAGGAGAGACCTGGGCTACCAGCACCGAAAGTGCCCAAGTCTCTGGCTGCACCAGCAAGATCAGCTGCAACGGGTTGTGCATCCATTCTCTCCGGACCGAAGACATGGGGCGGCGAAGCATTCTCCATACTCATTTGTCGACCTGGAGAAGACGAATCGCCTGCAGATTTGGATCCTGTAGAGTTGGATTGCATTGTTTGCATGTCAACCAGACACATACCCACGAAAGGCGCTTGAAGGACTGCATTGAATGGTGGGTGTCCCAACATGGAAAATGGATAGCCTATGGCAATTGACGCAATTAATTCAGGGAGAGAAGCATGAGATGACTGCTCAGGTGGTGGTGAGCCGGGTGGTGCAGGACAAGGTTTGGCATTACCAGCCACTGAGGCTTCACGCTCTGGCATGCTTTGGTCTAAGGAATCAACGCTGTGAGAACAGTTTCGACAGACAAATTCGTACTCTTTGTTTCGCGGAATATAAGTCATTGAGACTGGATACTGTCCCAGTGAGAAACCCGGACCCCAGTTGCCAAATTCCAACCAGCCGGGCAACTCGTCAAGTGGGATAAGTGGCGTCCACATTCCACCGGGCCAAAGGATACAAAATCTTGGTGGTGGTTTGGGGAGGCCTGGAGGGGCCGATACCATGGTCGGGTACTGGGAAGCAAACTGCATGTTGAAGGTGCTCAATATAGAAATGAGTGTGGAAAAAGAAGGTTGAGCGTAAGCTGAAGTAGTCAATATCTAAAAGACCGTGTTGAAAGGACTGATTGTCAGATGAAAGAATGGATGGGGATGGAAGAAAGACAAGATGAGGATTGGGGCATCTTGTTCATGAAAGGTGTAGTTCTGAGGCAGGAACAGTATGCGGAAGGAGTATGCGGAAGGAGCATGCGGACCTGATGCATACACAGTCGAAGAACAACGGTCCATGGATGCTAAGTTTGGATATTAAAAGGAAAAGATCAGATAATGCGTATTGCTACGTGAGCTTTCTATAAATCCTTGCTATATATCTCACACACATGAAAAGTTTTCAACTTTGGATGGCTTTAATGATGAAGATTGATCTTATACTACACTACCTTATCGGGTCCTTATCGGGTCCTTATCGGGTCCTTATCGCAGTTTATCGTCCATGAACGTGGAGCGGCTCGGATTCAAATAACTTCCGAGTCTACCTACGTAACTGGATGGATTGCACTCCTCTCCCAACCACACTCTCACCTGAATACTAAAAATTCAAATCAATCAGAAACAAAGTCATCATGACATCCCTCACTGACCCAACCAATGCCACGCGCGCAACCCCAAACATCCCTTTCGAAAAGGCCTCTCTTCACATCGGCAGCTCAACCTTCATAACAGCCCCTTCCCCTAAAGTCTGGGCCGCCCTAACCGACACTTCAACCTGGCCAAGCTGGAATCCCTTCGTCCCTCACGTAACCATCCGCTCCCAGCCAACGCAGCCTACACAAACTTCACCTCCAGCACCAGAACCAGCATCCCAGTCTAATGCAACCCAAAGCACGCAATCCCTATCCCCGCTCTTGCAAAAGGGAACGAGATTGATCTTCCATGTCCGCATGGACCCAACCTCCACATCCCCGAAACCTCAAGCTTCAACGGATGTCAATATCATTGTAACCGAGTACAGCGCTCCCAGCCCTGAAACAGGCGCCGTCGGTCGCATCGTTTGGACAGCGGACTATGATGCACCAGGAACAATGTCACCGTCTCTGTTGACTGCGGAGAGGGTTCATGAAGTTACGGATGTGGAGGGCGGCACGGAGGTGCGGAATTGGGAGGCGCAGGCTGGGTGGCTTGTTTATGTGGTCAAGTGGATGTATGGGGTGCGGCTGCAGGCAAACTTTGAGCTATGGGTAAACGGTTTGAAGCAATTTGTTGAGGCAGGTGCAGGTAGTTCTTGAGTAATTTGCTCGAACGTTAACTTGATGTATATGTAAGTTGTATCCGGTGTTTGATTTGCTGTACTCGTCACTCGCAACCCGAACACGCGCCTACTCTGAATAATGACCGATCGATTCAACATTAGGAATTCTTTGATATTATGTGAATCTATGATTATTCCTCCAGCTTACTATATCTTCATATCATACAAACCCCAAACTCCATCTAAACAGGGTATATCAACAATGCAAAGCGAAAATGCAAAACAACCAAAAAGACCCAAAAGACCAAAAGTCTAATATCAAACCGATGCAAGCGTCACCCAATCTGCCGCCGGAATCCGCATAGCTGGGTCCTTTACAACAGCAGGCTTGACGATGCGCTCAACAAACCCATTCCTCGGCACCCGACTCCCATTCATCCCAGAGCGCGTGAAATCAATAATCTGATGCCCAGCCCTCGCCATCTCAAGCCTCAACCGATGATTCATATTCGAATACAGCAGCAAATCCCCCGTGGCAGCAGCAAGCAGCGTCGCCGCAAGCGAAAACACGTCCGACGCAGGCGTCGGCGCCATCTCAGTACAGGTAAGCGAAGCCAGCATCTCCGGCGCCGTGAACGGCGGGGTAAACGAGGACATGGACGCGCGCGTTGTATCGAGCGGCTCGTTCTCGTCTTGCGGGATTTCGACCGTCGCGGAGAAATCCACGAACAGCGGCTCGTACGGGAATTCGCCGTCGTCCTCGGTTGCGCGGAGAAGGATGTTCTGTGGCTTGATATCGCCGTGGACAACACCGGCGGTGTTGTGCAGCCAGTCCAAGCCGCTGATCAGCTTGCGCGCGAGAGCTTGGTAGGATACTGGGCCTTGGACGGGGTCGAACATTGTTGGTGTTGCGGGTTTGCGGTTGCGCGCGATATCCGATTGCTCCTCGATGTAGGTTGACAATGAGAGAGGGATTGCTGTTAGTACCAGGGCGCAGAGCTCGGCGTGGAAGCCGTGGTAGGGGACAATGTGGTGCTCGTGGCCTGGGGTGTAGGTGAGGCGGGTGAGAGTGATGGCTTCGGCTTTGAGTACTGGGCGCGCATCGCGGCGCAATGGTGCTTTCACAGCGAATACCTGCGCGACCGTGACTGGCGAGCTTGGGGGTGTTCCCAGGGCGGTTTTGGCGGGTGCTGAGCGTGCTTTGTATACTATGCTCCAGACACCACGGCCGAACTCGACGGATCGGTCATTGCTGTCGCGACAGATTTCGAGGTCGTCGGTAAATGATAGTATACAGGGATTTTCTTTGGAGGGTCTTTGGTCTGTGTTTGTGTTTTGTAATAGACTAACTGGTCCACTTTTCTTGGCGATTGGAGTCACAGGTGGTGTAAGACTCGGCGGAAAAGTAGTTTTGCCATCCGTTTGAAGCGACAATTGAAGATTGGCCATGGTGCAATAGCTGCAATAGCTAAAGAGCAGTAGTAGCTGAAATTGCAGAGAAGGAAATTTGTGACGAGCGCAGTCGGCAGAACGGCCCAGACAAGGGTCCAGTGAAATAGATGTGATATCAACGCCACCAAAAGATAGCTGAAATTAACCCACGGTTCAATAGGTGGCAATCGAAATTTGCCCACGCATTTGAGAGCGAGGAAGAAAAAGACAAATAACGCAACACCTCAGATTCTTTTTTAAAAAAAAGGAAAAGAAAAAAGCAAAGAAAAGGAAAACAACCGGTCTTGAACAAAAGGGAAATGAGGCCGGACCAACATAAGATCGACAGTGACAATCAAATACTACGGTGTCAATGAAATTAAAGCGGAAATTGACTTCGGTTCGCGCTGATTTCTCTCCACGAACCGTTTAATTTCGAGTTTACAATAACTCTGGAGACCTATGATTTGGTATGAGAGAGAGTAATCATAGTAATCATAATAATTACTTACTAGGCAACTAAATATTTATTTAGATACAGTTGTAAACTACTATCTAACTAGTTAAATATGTAAGTAAGAACTACTCCGTACATAGTTACAGGTATAGATTAACAATTGATTACCCGGCGGCTATGCAGCTATCCCGATCCGGGGGCCGCATGCATCTCAACGGTTATTGATTTGTTTGTTATCATATTTACCTAGGGTATAAGTGATAGGATAGTATGTACATGTATAACATCTATAATTATACCTACACATATTAAAAATACACAAGTCAAGTTTGAAGAGATAATTACCTCATATATAATTTTGTATTGAACAATGTCCAATCCTTCAACCTCGTGCTCGAACCCGGTTGCATGAGTAATTCTAATCTTTTTGATTGGTACATATGTACTTGGGACCATGCTTATTATAGATATATCTAAGTACTTACGTATGACCAGGTGTAATTAACCACGGCTATAACCTTGGAACTCGATGCCAAAGAATTTGTTACTGCATCTCCCTCAGAGTGTGATAGAAAGTCGAATCTATTGGCACTCTAATGAACTCGTCTCTGAGACTACATACTTGAAGGAAAAAAAAGACGGTCAAAGCTGTCGGGTTATGATAGTAAGCTATAATATAGTACAAAGAGGTATGTGCAAAAAGGGTATCCCAACGCTACCGCAAAAGGGTTAAAGATCCATAACCAGATCAAATATATGTACTTGACCCATCTATTGTGATTAATCATTATTATCTCAGTCATTTATCTCACCTGTACAGTGAATGACTTCAAAACTTTCTCCGCAGTAGGTGCGGTTCTACTTCCACTCCGAGTTGGGCCGTAGTCAGTGCCCCGCCTAAGAGTCGATTGAATGCCTGAGCAGAGAGCTTGGACCCAACTTTTTCGTATTCAACAACCATCTCCCCGATGGTTGCCATAGAAAGGATGCGTAGTCGAACCTCGCTCAGGTCATAATCTAGATTGTCCTGGTAACTGGTCACTGGGTCTAACGCGGGATCGCCCAACGGCATCGGTCCGCTACCAGGCTTGATCCGTTTGTTGGCGAAAGTAGCCAGACTGGGAATGGCTCGGACAAGCTCATTTGTGGATAGTTTCGAGAAAGCGAATTCTGCGATCTCACTGACTGTCATCAGAGTTCGACCATTGGTGGTGTTAATCAAAGCCAGGAATCGATCGAGCGCTTCGCGGTGTGTTGATTTCGGCTGTTGAAAGATCTTTTGCAGCGCGAGAGGTGCTTCTTGTGCTTCGAAGTATATGAGCCCCATCGGTCGGTCGGCTGGCCAGATTTCGTCAGGATGGATGACTAGCGGTTCAAATGGTCGGCGGTCCCAAACCAGCTGGGAATCATCGAAGTTGTTGGATATGAAAGCTATGCGGCTGTCGTCAATGGTCGATTCATAGAATCTGGATTCTGAGAAATGTGTTTTAGACACCTCGGCAGCATATTGGGACTGAAGAGTGCCAATTTGATCATCCAGTATTTTCAGGTTCTCGGGAGTCTCGTTGGGATCCGCAGCCGCCCGTGCAAGCTTGCGAGTCTCTTCGTCAATATTCAATCTCATGTCGGTCAGCTTTTGGCGCGAATACGCCATTGTGTTATTTCTTGCAAGTTTGGTGACAGCGAGACTTTTTTGTCGCAGAAGATCTCTTAATTTGGGGTCTGTGACCCCAGTCCGGCTCTTGAATCCTGTTGCATCTCCAGCCTCAATGGTACTGAGCAGTTCTTTGTGCAAAGGCAAAAGCATTCGGGCCGTATATGGGGATTCTTTTCTACCCCGGGCCTTGATATCTGGAATGCATTCCAGAGGTGGAGGCTCTCGATTGGGCGGAGTGATAATTTTCTGTGCGGCAGCTCTTTCAGCCACCCGTTTTCTGTTATCCAAAAGAGCATCCCACCCACGCGAGGCATGCCAATGTTCAAATTCGTTCGAGCTTGCAATTTCGATGGCGTGCAAGGCCAAGGTTTCCGTGAGCGAGCCAATTCGTCTGCGGTCCGCAGTGGTCCTTGGCAGCACACCCGTAATATCTTTGAAGGGGGCCAAGGCAAGGACTCGGACGCTCCCATACATGTTCAATCCATTTTGGTGCAAGCAGTCTTCTAGAAACTTAAGCCACCAACGGCTTGGGGTGTAATGGTCCTTGGGGGAAAAGGCCGCAGGTGGATTGGCTAGGATGAGCAATGTGTTGTTTTTTGGAAGAACACCTGGCTTGTTCGGTACGATGGGACTTTGCTCTGGAAAATGGGTTGGAATGAATTCTGCCCAATCAGCCTTCCCATATATAGGTTCCTTGAGGAGTTTGTAACAAGGCTTGCTTTGGACGAGCGGTTTGAGAAAGCGATGATAGGTGATTTCTGGTTCAACAAGAACATGACGACGAGGTTGAAGAAATTCATTGATTTTTGAAGACCATATGCCTGAGGTAGGCCAAAGGTCGAGGATGTCTAACGGGGGATTTCGGCGAATGTAAGGTGCAACGCGCTGGAGAATGTGGTCTACAAGATTCAAAAGAGTATCAGTATTGTATGTTTTGAAGAGAAAGGCCTTGACTTACCCCATAACTCTTCGTTGACAAGGTCCGCTCGAGGACCAGACTTGCCGCGTCGAGTGTTGAAGACTTCTTTTAATTGCTTCGTTATTGGGAAGCGCTGTGAACTTGACCGCACCGATCGGAGTGGCATGGTCTAAGTTTGACTCACACCAGAGAATCAGTCGTGTTATTCATGTAGTAAAATAAGAATATAACATGTTAAATCATAATAGGCTGTTATGTTGCTCGGACATTCTTATTTTTTTTAGCCGCCGCCCCAGAGCGGAGAGAGACAGAGCTTCCGGTTCCCACCATCCCACTTGTTATTCCCCTCATCAACTTCAACGTCGCCTAAATGCGTCTCTCCCTTAGACAATTACCCCTGGTCTTCGTGTCCGGGTTTGGGGATCTTGATCTTCTCTCAGGCGTTATGCTATTTGATGCTTGATGATCTTCAGTTAACTTCACTTTGCTATGGCTTCCAACACGATACTCCCGACGGGAGGCACTGCTCCTCAGAGCGTCGAAAGTATCACACGGATAGCACAAAATTATGAATACAGCTCTTCAGTCCCATTGCGCTATTGGATGAGGACCGCCGCAACTCTTCTACGGGAGGTTGGTACCCTGCTGCCTGTACCTGAATCATGACCATCTCAGAACCGCTGACTTTTGTTTTACCATTTTAGGCCCACATCTACGAACGAGAAGGACATGACGAACAAGCTTACTTCCTCTTGTTTCGGCACGCTCAGTTGGTCCTCGTGAATCTTTCCAAGCATCCTGATATCAAACGGAACGAACAAGATCGCAAGGCCTTGGTAGCAGCCGAGAAGGAGGTTGAAAAAAACCTTAGCAAGCTGGAGGTTTTGAAGCCGAGGATCAACAAGCGATTCGAGCGCTACACCCAACTCATGCGAGAGCGCGATACCCGCAAACAACCTGTACCAGCCAAAATTGTTGCCGAACCACGAGATCGAATCCCCGATCCCGCTCTTGCGGGCGTAGCAGAGCCTTTGGAAGCGGCGGAGAATCGAGATCTCGCCGTGCGACTAGCTCAATCGGAGTTCAGTCGGCGAGCAACTGCGCGAAGTTCCAAGGTCGATTCTGGGTCTTCGGTTGACGAGCTGGAAAGTCGTCGTGCGGCCGGTGTATGGGGTGACTGGGATACCCAGTTGAAATCGGATACTCGACCAGGCGACCAAGATTTGAGTCAACGCATTCAGAATATCAGGTCAAATATCGACAACCCGTATGGCCACCGTGCTAAGAATTCCGAGGGTCCTACGGCGGTATACAAGTACCCAAGCGTGCCTCGTCAAAGTTCTCTGGAGCCCAACGTGTCTCGTGCTCAAATTGCCATTCTTGACAAGAATGCGGAACGCCATGCACCGCCGATATTACCTCCAAAGGAGCGCATGGAACCTAGCAGAGCATCGATCATCGGCGATATTGCACCTCTACGACCGGCAAAAGTGTCACCAAGCCCAGCGCTCCCCAACAAAGTACGCCCATCCGACGAAATTGTTCCCAGCAAATCAATTCTTGATCCTTCGAGCTATACCTTCAGGCCTTCCGCGTACCTCGAAAACGGCACTCCTCTGCGTTCTGTGTTTCTACCTGGGGATCTCCGATCTCGTTTCTTGTCCTTGGCAGCTTCCAACACCCGTGCCAACCTAGAGACCTGTGGTATTCTTTGCGGTACTCTCGTTTCTAACGCACTTTTTATCTCCAAACTCGTTATCCCAGAGCAGACATCAACCTCTGATACTTGCGAAACAGTAAACGAGTCCGCTCTGTTCGACTACTGCGACTCCGAGGATCTGATGACCCTTGGCTGGATTCACACGCACCCATCGCAGACCTGTTTCATGAGTTCGCGTGATCTGCATACACACTGCGGATACCAAGTCATGCTCCCTGAAAGCATCGCCATTGTATGCGCACCGAGCAAAACTCCGGACTGGGGTGTGTTCCGATTGACGGATCCCCCGGGGCTCAAGTCTGTCTTGAACTGCAATCAAACCGGTTTATTCCATCCCCATGCCGAAGAAAATATCTACACGGGGGCCTTGCGGCCAGGACATGTTTACGAACACAGTGATCTAGAGTTTGAGACAGTAGACCTACGGCCAGATGCCGCGAGGCATTAATACCTTGATGTGTGGATCTCGATTCGAAGCTGATTACGATACCATGTCTGCATTTATTCGATCTATTAATAGAAGGCCATGGAGTTACCCAGGTACATTAACAATTGCATCAACTTTACAATATGACTCCAAATCTCAATCAACCCATCGGTGAAACATCTTGTAAACATCCATGGACGTCCACAGGCAACTTGGCAGATTACGTTTAAATATACCTAGCACATTTAGACTTGAGCTCTATGCTAATAAAATGTTTAAAATCATGGATCATCTCATCTATCTACGTATTTAAATTCAAATGTGGACCATTTTATACACAAAAAAAAGAATTACACAGGATTGGCATCATGCAATACTGTACAGACTACTATGTATGACTTGGATTGGCGCTTCAACATTTCCCCACATGATAAGCGATGCGATAGCGGTTCTCAACCTCAACTCCGCAAGTCTTCTCTCTTTCTTCTCTACAATTCAGGCTTTGGCCCAACTTCCTTTGCTCAGAATTGATTCGTATTATCTGCATGTCGTCCGCGTCACAAAGAAATTCTCCCAATCCCCCCGACACCTCATCCTCCACGCCCACCCAAAATACATCCTACCAATCCGCCGCCTCCTACTTTTCCTACCCAGTCAGCCACGTCGTCTCGGGCCTCTACAGACGTATAACAGACCCGGACATAACAAAAGATATGCCCTCCGTCATGCCATGGTCGAGATCCTCCTCTTCGACTGAAGTCTTCACGCCCCGCCGAACAGCATCCCCCTTCCAACCACCACCACTTACACCCCTCACTCTCGAAATTCCAAGAGGCGCAGACCTCCTTCAACAACAACTCCTCACCCGTGCTTTGGCCGAGGAAATCCGCCTCCTCGTCCCACCCCGTCTCCAACTCGCTGAAACATGGCGTTTAGCATACAGTCTCGACCGCGACGGCGCCTCCCTGTCAACACTTTACGAGAATTGCGCCCAATTTTCCCATCGTAGCCCGCGGGCGGGCTACGTCCTCGTTATTCACGACGCTTCCCCCTCAAGGTCTGTATTTGGTGCCTACATGACCGATGCCCCGCACCCCGATTCCCAATTCTTCGGGACGGGCGAGTGCTTCCTCTGGCGATCAAGCGTGCTCCCGCCTCCCGCAAGCTTTCCCTTTGCGCTACCAGGCGACGGGCCCCAGTCCGAAGAAGCTCTTGAACGCGCCGGTCTCCCGCCTCCGCCTTCTGCCGATACAACCACCGCTGCTCGCTGGAGCACCTTGCGCAATGATACGGCAAAATCGAAACCCAGTGTCGAATCACCCTCTCACAACCTCAATATGAATATCAAAACCAATCTTGCGGCTGCTAGTGGTGGTGTTCTGTCCCCGCCGTCTCCGTCATCCATTCACACCCCTTCGCGGAGTGGTGCGAGCACGCCTGAACGAATTCGTTTCAAGGCTTTCCCATATAGCGGTGTTAATGATTACATGATGTTCTGTGAAACTGGGTTTTTGAGTTTAGGAGGCGGGTGAGTACTTCTGTGTCTTGCGAAATGATGTTGTAAGCTAATGTTTTGATAGTGACGGTCATTACGGATTGTGGGTTGATAATGGCCTCGAAAAGGGAGTCAGTGCATCTTGCCAAACATTTGGCAATGAGCCTCTCTCTGATGAAGGCATCAAGTTCGATATTCTTGGGGTCGAGGTGTGGTATGTCGGTTCGTGAAACAGACGCATGTGTGCAGCCTGACACATTACACTGGATGTATAAAGGGTCTGCATCAGGGCGTATATAACCATTGAAAGGGGAGAAATTTGCTCCTAAATAATCAAATAATCAGACTGTGAACTATAAATGAGGCGTTGAGGGGCAAAGTTCGTTGCATAGCGTGTTCGAATGCCGCCATTCACGTCTTTGACTTGCCCTCAACAAGTTTTTCTCCCAAAGTTCAAGATGAGCTGGGCTCACGGGTTTTCTCGTAAATCATCTGTTTGCATGGATCGTACTAGGGATGAACTTTTCGTACATCTACACTTGAATAATCACAATGATAACATTTGCAGGGTGTGTTTGATAATCATTGGCAGGCTCAACGTTCTCATCAAGCAAAAGATGATAACGATGCCTACATATGTAGCTATTTGATACCACCAAAGGTCCTACACGAACTTGAATGGTGCTCGACTTTCCAAAACGGGATGCCTTCTGTTCCATTGGCAGGTGATGGATGATAACCCGCTCCGAATTTGTTAATATTTTGACAAAATTTCCTCGTTTCACTATCCCCCAAACGTCAATCCTTCGGTCCTTTTCTCGAAAAGTCAATTGACCTGCTACTCCAATAGACCAGTCCTTTTTCTTGCCTTAAGAGGAAAGGAAATGTGCAGAGGCAAGAGGTTAAATGGCAGAGATAAAGGAAGACGTGAAAGGAGATAGCGAGGTAGATCATGTAGAAAACAAGAAAGTAACCTCAGACCACAAAGAACATGTAAAAATATCCCGCGGTCTGACAGATGATCTTCTAAACATACTTCAAAAGACATTTGCCAAAGCTTTGACAATTATCATTTTCTCAAGTAGGCGAAAACAAAGGTTCGGTTGAATCTCTTATATCACCTTCTTCATACATCGTATATATTCGATTTTGAGACTTTTGAAGCACGACTAAACAGCTGCCTTCCCCTACTATACGTACAACTGGTGCATATAGTCTGGTTCTTATCAACTTCGTTCGACTTGAAACAAATCATGGGCACTTTTCAAAAAGTCCTCGATATCCTCTAAGAATTCCTTTGGCCGCTCCAAGCTGGCAAAGTGTCCACCCTGCGAGTATGCATTAGTGATAAGGTTTGGAGAAGTTGCGTTGGCGATATTACTACTCACAGCTGAATGGGCCTTGAAGAATATGAGATTTGGATACATCTCCTCGGCCCAGGTTTTCGGTAACACAGCAAGGTCATGAGCAAATAAAGAATACCCAAGTGGCTTCTCTTTTGATATCGGATGCGCTTTACCTCGAAGATAGCTTTTGACAAGCTCTGCATGATACAGGCTGCGGGGGAATGTACCCGTAAACCAATAGAAGCTGACCATAGCTAGAACAGTATCGAGTGGCAATGGTTCTCGCTGGTCTACCCATTCAAGGAGCTTCTCACCTATCCTGGCTGACAATTAGCTAAGGCTCAGAATGGTTCAGTCAGAGATCTGGATAAATTACCATGCCAACAATGCAAGCGGACTAGATGATATGGCCAATCCGACTGTGGATTGGCGCGTGCCATGCACAAGTGCGTATGCTAGACCCGTTTGTCTCCACGCCTCGGTTCGTTCAAATATTCCCAACTCTCCAGGAGTCAACTTGGAAGAAGGTGGCTTTTCGCCCGGGTTTAGTGCAAGCATATTGACTACATGTTTAATTAATCAGCCATCAGAACCCGTTTTAACTATCGCAAACAGGGATTCATCATACCGTGAAATGCTTTGCATTCCTTGTAATCGACGGACATGACTCGGGCAAGCATGCTACCAAGATCGCCTCCTTGAGCAACGTATCCTTTTCCAAATCCAAGCTCAATCATCAACTGATTGATGATGCGTGCTGATTGTGCTATTGTCATCTCAATGTTCCGAGTGGATCCACCAGATAGTCCATAGTCCGGCAAAGAGGGTACAATGATATGATATGGTAGAGTCTCAGGTGTATACTTCTCGGCAAGTAGCTGCATCATCGGCAGAAATTCCATGAAAGATGCCGGAAAGCCATGTAGAAAAACCACAGGAATGGCATCCTCCTTGGTGGAAAAGAGGGCAGCGAAGTGGATAGTGACCAGCCCAGCTTCCACGTCATCCACGGCAACCTTGAAGCTAGGAAACTTGTTGAGATAATCCTCGTGCTCCCGCCAGTTGAAACTATGAAGCCAAGTTTCTTTCGCCTCGGTCAGCCACTTGTGGGATACTCCGAATTGCGGATCATTCTGTGTATTCCACCATGTTTCTGGTCCAATCTCAGAGAGACTGAGCAGCTCTCGGAATTTGAACAGCTCGCTCTCAGAGACGTGCAGTTTGAAAGGCTTTAGTTTGCCTGCGATCTTTCTAGGAGGGATGCCGAAAGGACTGGACATTGTGGCGGTCGATCAAAGATGTAGGAAACAAAACAGGGGTTTCTGTACACTGTGTGCTGTAGTTAGCTGAAGAAATGCTAGGTTTATATAGACATTTCAAGTGAACTACCTAAGCCGTAATTTATTGATCAGATACTCTTCGTCCGACAGCCCTCGGGAGTTTAAATAATCGGATCTATAGCCCCGGGAATCGAAGTACGGCGGGTGGGTGTGATTGGAGCATCCAGACCCACATAAATTGGGCCCCCACCGATCGGCAGCTCTTCGTCCGATCCCCAGATTCATCTTCTCCGAAATTCCGGTCGAAAACATATCCACTTCACAACATCCAATGTCCCCAACTACTGTTCTTGAAAAAAATGGACATCAGATTCAGTGATTCTCCAGATGAGCCGGAGTCAAAACGCAGAAAAGTGCGAAAGGGAACCCGCAGTTGCTGGGAGTGCAGGCGGCGGAAAGAAAAGTGTACATTCCAGTCATCCACCGATGCAATCTGCATTCGCTGTCAGCGTCGTGGCGTAAAGTGTGTTGGTCAAGAGTTTCCGGAGGTTGAGCCTCTCGTCGAGCAGACGTGGAAAAGACGTGCCAATGACTTAGATCCACTTGGTCCAGTTATACCGGACAGAGAAGAGAGTGAAAATGTCCCAGGTCTTTTGACTCCAACTTCAATGTCTCTTGAACCTTCGCGTATCCTGTCTACATCTAGTCCTTCCGCAGTAAGTGGTTCATTTTGAACAAATGTGGCTTGGATACACTGCTCACTCCTCAACCAGGGAAAAGAGACAATCGGGTTTGGAATTCTTCGCAGTGGGTCACATAGTATAAATGATCCATCGTTTAATTCAGGCAGATTCGAGAAACTGTCTCAGGCTCTCTATCATTTATTACCTTCTCCGGATGACACGGCGAGAATACTCCAAATATGTGGCAACATGTCCACCTCTTTCTTCCGGATGCTCACTGTTCCATACGATGGACTCAGCCGTGGAAAGCCTATGTCTACAAGACTTTTCTTTCATAGGCCTGGGCCGACTACCCATCCTGTCTTGATAGCGAGATACATGCTTTATGTCGCGACCTTCTTGCAGCACATTCCAGGATCCCCTCACCAAGGAATCCCAGAGCTTTCGGAACCACCTCACGAGATAATGGATCGGCTAGCCGACAGTGCTATCGCCCTCGTTATCTCCAACGATGATCTCGTCGCTTGTATCGAAGGATTGGAGTGTATGATTATACAGAGCTGGTACCAGGTTAATGGCGGCAATTTGAGAAAAGCTTTGATTGCTGTCCGCAGAGCTATGACAGTTGCACAATTAATGGGACTCCATCGTGCTGAGAGCCACATTCAGTGCAAGCTTCTTGACCCGCATACGGAAGCTCATCCACAGTTTCTATGGTTCCGATGCCTATCCCTCGAACGCCACCTTTGCTTGATGCTAGGACTGCCACACGGAACTCTTGGCGATAGCATGGCTTCAGAAGCGGCTCTAAAAACGGAAACACCGATGGGATACCTTGAGCGAATACATTGTGTTATCTCATTCCGTATTCTCGAACGCAACCACTCGGCCCTCATCCCACACGATTACTCATTGACTAGGGAGATCGATGGAGATTTGCAGAAAGCAGCGACGGAGTTACCGTGCAAATGGTGGCTCACTGCGGACTTGGTTTCGGTCAAAGACCAACCAGAGGCAATGTTTTGGGAGATGCGACGACTGTTTCATCAGCTTTATCATTACAATTTGCTGATTCAAATTCACTTACCATACATGATTTGCTCGCCGACTGGTCAAAATTACGATTACTCACGCATAACCTGCGTGAACGCAGCTCGAGAAATTCTTTCGCGTTTTCTCGCGTTCCGTAACTTCAACATATTTGCTTTCTCCTGTCGTACGTTCGACTTCTTTTGCCTGATGGGGGCGATGACACTATTGCTAGCGCACATCGACGGCCATCGACGTGTTATAGCTACCAGCACCGATCCCCCGGGACAACACATGACAACATCAGAAAGCTTGCTTGCGCATCAACGGCCCGGCGACCGTGCGCTAGTGGAGCAAATTCAGGAAAGCTTCGAGTACGCCAGTCGAACGGAGACAGACAAATTGAGTACAAATATTGCGGACTTGCTGCGGCAGTTGATGAATATTGAGGCTGAGGCAGCAGCTAAAAGTTTGGCGCTACCCGCAAAGACATATCCCCATATTTCTTCAGGAATTGACGAGAATAAAGGCCATGCTGTTCATCTCCAAATACCATATTTGGGAACTATTCAAATCACACACAATGGGAGCATTTCTAAGTTACCCAATTCTCAGACAAGTATAGGAAATCCGAACCAAAGCAGAGTTCAAGCGGCTCTTGGATCTACTTCCGATGTCGCACGAGAGCAAGGTTCTAAATTCAACGATTCTCATAGAACTTCTCATGGCAAAAACGCGTCAGGAGATACTTTCCATGTGGGGCCCTCAGTTGGATCCGCTGCTGATGTTAATCGTCACGTTGCAGCGCCCGCTGTATCACAGTGCTCCAGTGCTATGGATGAACCTCTCTTGGGGGGATATGAAGATCCCCTTTTTGCTGTCGGAACTGATGACTGGGCATTCCAAGGGGTGGACATGGCTTTCTTTGATAACTTGATGAGATGGAGTGGCGATGATAGCAATGAGTAGCTGAGTAACATTCTCGGCTCATTCTTTGAACACTCTCCGGATCCTGTTCCGTTTCCACGCCCAAACTCGATACCGAACATATGAATTTTCCTCCATGGTACAAATCTCAAAGTTGTTCCAGTCTCTCGATCTCCTCAACAGCAGTACCTTCAAAGCAGGAGATGTCCGCAAACAGCCTGCCCGATAACCGTAAAGGCCGATATGTTGAAGCTGATCTGTTGAAGTCCAAGGCTACTATTCCTGAATTTACCAGTGGCACTTTGCCATGGAACCACAGCCCGCGAAAAGTACAAATGTGTCTCCCTCAGTGTCGAGCACAACCTTCACAATATTTGAATTTGCAGCATCCCTGGGATTGTTGATCGGCACCGCGAGCGTGACCATGTCCGTGGTATGCATCGAGAGCTCGTGCGCGATCTGAGCCATACGACCTGAGCCATACGACCTGAGCCATACGACCCGAGCGATGAGCTCGGAGGCTCAACTAAGGGTTCATCTCCTTGAAAATTGATGATGATCTTGTTGTCGTCACTCTCCAGGAGATCTACCGCTTCTGCCAATGGCTCGGTCCCACTTTAGATGGTCTTCTCGAGTTGAAACACTTTGGGCCTCTGCTGCCTTTGCTGCGCTTGGGTTTCAGTGGCCACAATGACCCCGGTCCCTCCTGATCGCTGAGATCTGTCCACAAGGTGGTCGATCATAGATGTTTCGTGCGTTTAGACCAGCAGTTTTGCGGGAAGACGTGTGGACGCAAATCGTGAAGGGTTGATCACGATGCAAGACAATATATTATTGAGTAGAATGTATCGATTGAGAAAGGCTCGGGGCCACTCCAGGTTAGGATCTCCCTGCGAGAAACTCTCGTGCAAGGCCAATACAAGTGCGTCATGCTGTATATTTCGTGCAGGTTTGAGTGTAATCAGCGTATAGACGATTTCACGCCCTGTTTGTGTATAAAGTAATAACAAACGGCTGCATAGATAACCCCGCCCTCACGTTCCACAAGCCTGCTATGGTGGATACGTTCTTCATATTTGATTTGAAAGCAATCGTCTATAAAAGACATAAAGATAACAGTCTTCTACTGAGTTCCAAGATTCACCTTCAACATTATCGGACGTCATGATACGCCAAATGTCTACCCAACTCACCGGTACCCTAAAGAAGATTAAAGATACAGGCGTTATCACAATTGGCCACCGCGAATCATCTTGCCCTTTTTCCTACTATGATGAAAATCAAGGGGTGATAGGCTACTCTAATGACCTGCAACTCAAGGTAGTCGAAACATTGAAAAAGGAGCTCGCCGTACCCGATCTGCGAGTTCGTTACGTCACGGTTTGCCCTAAGAATCGCTTTCCGTGGCTGAACAACAGCACGATCGATGTGGAATGCGGCTCGACTACAAACAACATGGATCATCAGCGTCTAGCCGATTTCTCTGTGGCCTTCTTCAAAGCCCAAACGCGCTTATTGGTCCGACGCGGTAGTGGTATCAATGACTTTAGTGATCTTCAAGACAAGGCTGTAGTGACAACAGCCGGTACTACTTCCGAGCGGCTGCTTAAGGCCATGAATACCGAAAAAAGAATGAATATGAATATTCTGTTGGAACATGACCACGGTCAGGCCTATCAGCTGCTCCGAACAGACCGCGCCGTCGCCTTGATGTTAGATGACATACTGTTGGAAGGCCTCAAAGCTAGTTCACCGCGTCAAAAAGACTTGCATATAGTTGGCACGCCGCAATCGAGCGAAATGTACGGTTTCATGCTGCGTAAAGCAGATGCGGTCTTCAAGAAATTGGTCGACCGAGCCATCACAGACGCATTTGCTTCTGGCGAGATTAACAAAATCTATGCGAAGTGGTTTCAGAACTCAGTACCACCGTTGAACTGCAGCTTAGATATTGTCATGAGCGACCAGGTTAAGCAACTGATCTATAAACCAACTGATTTTCCTGCGGAGTAGCTATTCCGCTGGCCTTGATTATCAAACTCTGCGCTGTTACGATTTAGAAGGGAAGCTGGAGGGGCATATTGGGGGTGAATGATACAATCCGCTGGGCTCAGATGAACGATGGGATGATGTGTCAGGACCATTTTACTGTGCGCTGGCATGTGAACTAGACAGATGTCGTTTAGTTCACATGTATCTAATAAGGGCCTGACCTTCGCATGGAAGGTCAACGATTAGTATCACTACATCATCGTGCTACATACTGTACCCTCTATTTCGAGTCTACCTTTAGTATTGAGACCCACTAGGTACCGGTCTCACAGAGTCTATACCTGCTATCGTGACCTTTATGCGAACCCCCTATGACGCGCAGTTAACTGGTCACAGTTATGTTAGATAGAGTCGGGAGATACTTCTCTCACCGTCTTACGGACTTCTAACTCTTACGGTCTTAGGTAGCACAGCGGTGACATATACTTTTCAAAACACTGTACACTCAGCTCTACTTTTAAGGCTGCTTGTTGATCTCTGGATGGATAATGCACGTTCTAGTTGGCTCCGTGATCACTCTTCCCTAAAACTCTTTGTCCAGTCATTTCTTCTAATTCATGCTTCGAAAAGGATGAATCAGCGAACCGCATCAGGTCAATCTCTGAATCCCTTTGACTTCAGTGCTAGCCGCTCGTAGATCCAATGGCTCACCCAAGTCGAGTTATCTATGTACTGTTTCCATATATCAATATTGATATCATAGCTTCGCAAGCTTATTGTGCTATTTCATTTGTGGTACTTTCCTAGACTCAAAGTAGACATGTGAATTATATCTGAGGCATTAAACATGACGACGGTCATGTTTCTAAAGAGAGACCGTGGTCCGTTCTTTTCATGCTTGCTTCATGTAAGCCTCTCAAATTCTCTGACTATTTTCGTGTCAAGTCAGCACAGAACGAAACCTGCAAATAAAATGAATTATCTACTGTGATAATGTTGGGGCATTCCTCACTCCCTTTGTTGAGGCAAAAAGAGAGTAATCATGCCTAGTTGATCCCCACGTTCAGCAGCCTTTGACTCCAGCTCCAAGCATGTGACTCCAGAGGTTGACAATTTGCCAGAACTGGAATCATGGCCATTTTTCCGAAGTTACCTGCTAGAGTTAAAGGAATACTTGGATATCCGAATTACATATTCTGTAGTGAGTCATCTACACACGTAGCCCTCTCCAGGACCAGTCAAGTTCGTCGGACACCCTTTTAGGCAAGCGAACTTGACTAGTGTGAGTCAAGAAAATATTATGTATGGTTTACACATATATAGCCTTCAATCTACCACTTGCAACATTCTCTCTTGAATTAGTTTTCTCTACAACTTCTTTTCATCATGGAGAAACATGACTTACTTTTCATCGCCGATGCAACAGGGTCTATGAGCTGCTATCTACGCTCGCTGGCCACATCCCTCCCGGAAATCATCTCCATTTCTGCCCTTACAGGATGTTTTTCTCGAATCGGAGTCCTGGCATATCGTGACTACGGTGGCGAAATTCTTCTTGAATGGTCGGGCTGGTTGGAGCAAAATCAACAAGCGGCTGTGCAAGAGAAACAGCCAGATCTGGTCTGCTTTGCTAAAAGACTTCAAGCCGACGGAGGAGGCGACTACCCCGAAGCTGTGAAGACAGCTCTCGCAAAGGCCTGCCAGATCATGCGCGAAGATGCAGAGACATTGATCTTTTTATATACCGATGCGCCCCCTCATCCAAATTCCGGTAACCTCTTCGGTACAGATAACGCCTCGAGGGAAAAAGCTGCGCTGTTTGAACGGGGCTCTTACTCCAGATACGGCTTCTCTTGTATTGATTGGATTTCAGCAACCAATAACTTCCGAAATGGGCCGAAAAAGGCACAGGTATTCGCTATTCTCGATCGCAATATGATACCGGGTGATGCTGCCTGGTACGGCTATCTGGCAACCCGGACTGGCGGAACCTGCGTTCACATTAAGAGCTTTCATTCAGACATTATATCCAAAGTGACCGTTGATCTACTTTTGGCATGGATGGAAGTAGAAAAGCCTCTTGCTGCCACTACTAAAGAGGATTCTGTTGATCTTCCTGCGGAATTGACCCGCTACATCTCAATCGATGGCATCGACAACATCAAAAATGAAAAAGACCCCAACGCAGAGTTATTTTTCTCATACACTCTATCAACAAAGGCGCCCTGCGAGGAGAATATCACAAAGTGCAAGCTGACGGCGGAGGTAATAAAGGAGCATGTTCCCAAGAAGACTACTCCTGTCAAGGATTTTGCAGGGCGCTGGAAGACAGATGATCAGTACAAGGAGCTTGTTTTCAAGCATTTGATGAAGATAATTGAAGACCACGTCGAAGCAATGACCCTCAATCCTGTGTTTGGAACTATGTGGCGAGCCATTTGCAGCGATAGAGAATATGCTCGCCGCGATGAGATCGTCCTCGCCTTCAACCACAGCTTGGACAACATGGATAAAGCAAACGAGCGTGAAAAGATGAAATCGTGGCTCGAGGAATCTTACGACTTTGCCGGAGAGATTGCTTCCATTATTGACAGTGTCTCTGACGCAGAAAGGTACCCTTGCGTCTTTCTAGACCCAACTCTGAGCTTCTCTCATGCAGAATCTGGCACAGAATGTGGAAAGGATCATTTTGTTTCCGAGCTGACCCGAGCTGACCTTTTGGAGATTGGTCGAAGCTGCAACCCAGCTACTCTAAAGCGCCTGGGAAGCATTCTAACGCAACTCACCATCGTAGAGAGGGAGAGCGATATGCCCAAGCATATCTCTCATACCACCACAAAGGATTTGGCCAAAATCCCTTTAGCATTGGCATCAGAAAAATACAAAAGGCAATTCTGGAAGGTCCTCTTCCACCTAATCAAGCCTGGAACGAAGCTATCTGCGCGACCCGCCGCTTTGGTTGCTGCTCTCAGTCTTCGTATGGGAGTAAAACCACTTTCAGAAGCAGCCGAGCAAGAAATGATTGGTTTTAAAGATAAGTGGAACGATTTGTCAACGCCCGAGACATGGAGCATGGGATGTTTGACACTTCTCATTGACGCCGATGAAGCGCACTGGAAGCAACAAACTCGGAAGCAAAGTGGAGAACAATTCAGGCTGTTGAGCTCTTCTGATAGAACATTGTTTGAGCGCCTTGTTTCCTTCAAGCTCCTTGAGCTAAATCTCAACACTCCGCTAGCAGCCCACGTTGCATGGACTCCGCAAAAATCAAGCGCATCAGTCGGCCCATTGGTGACCTGTCGAAGCTGTCAATATCCTCGATCAGTCACCATAATGGGAAAGGATGGAAATTGTGGTCTCTGTCTTGTTCCAACGTATGTCAATGAAAACGTCAAGGAAGTCCGACTGACTACAGGGGTTTCGAAAGACGTCTCTGCCGCCTCCAAAGCCACTTGGGTTGAGTGTTCCTCTCGAACTTGTAGGGCCCAATATATCGTTTACAACGTTACTGCACTGAACGTTCCTCCAAAATGTCATTTCTGTCGAAGTGGAGACGAAGGTCCTGCACCTACCGTCAAGTGCAATAGGTGCTTGAATCGCATGATTTGGCCTCAAGAATACAGAGACTTGTCAGTTCTCGAGTCAGAGTTTGTTTGTCCACCCTGCACATCAGGATGTGGTCCAACCACAGAAGTTGAAGTGACAGCAAACGCACTTGCGGGGGAGAACACTTTTTCCTGGCTGGTCCAGGATGCGAGCAGCTCCCACGAAATGCTGTTCCAGAACAAATCTGTCTACCAAGCCATTTCTAACATCGGCGTTGAACACTTCGTTTCCAAAATCACGCTCTTCCCAGTTGCCGAAGCTGAATTGGTTCTGAAAGGAAAATCTATCCATAACACAACCGATCTGATCTCAAGACTTCGAAGAATAGTCGCAAATCGCCAGACCAGCAAGACAGACTGCTCGCTTTGCTTCTCGTCATTCCCGCACGGTACATTAGCTGAGGCCTGCGGCCGCCATGGCTGTCTCCAGCGCATCTGCACTTCGTGCTTGTCAGGATGGTATGGACTCAATTCGGCGGGTAGTGTAATCAACACTGCTGCACTAGGATGTCCCTTCTGTCGTCGGTACCCAGCCTCTCGTACGCTGGCGAAATATGGATTGGGGATCCATGCAGTTAAGGATCTAGCTCATGCTGTCCGTGATAAGGGCATGTTGATCTATGCATGGTGTCGAGAATGTCATACTGCTAAGGTATTGATGGAGCGGAGCTGTGCGCGTGGAGCGCCTCCAGATCTGAAAGATTGGGTCTGTGATGGGTGTGTTGAGGAGCAGGAGGCCCAGGAGATGCGGAGGCTTGAAATTTTGAGGGTGCTAGCGGAGCAAGAGCTAGAAGATGCCAGGATGGCTGGAGTGGGGTTAGAGGAGGCGGTGCGGAGGCGGGCGCTTGCAGAGTTGGAAGGTGAGCAGCGCAAATTCAAGAGCATCAAACCATGTCCCAAGTGTGGAACCATGACTATGAAGACCTTTGGCTGTGGCCATATGAAGTGCTCTGTGGTACGCTGTGGTGTTGATTGGTGCTATTTCTGTGGGGGTGCGTTTGATGATGATCGAATTTACGGGCATATGAACGAAGTCCATGGTGGGATGTTTGGTGGTGAAATTGAGGAGTTTGATGATGAGGACGATCAGATGGAAGAAGATGACTGATCGTTTTTTGCATTTTTCGAGGTTCACTTACGAAGAGGATGGATATAATCTTTTCGGTCGGGCCTGATCTATCTTGCTATACAAAGTTATTTCTTCTACGCATCTGAATTCTGTGGTACAGATTCCGTTATTTTTCATTCAAGGCTTGTTCTTCAACATCTATCTCTCACTATAGGCTGACAATTTGCTTACCAGGGGCTCTGCAATGTCCTCTATGCATAACTATGGTTTAACGGTGTCTACTGAAGTCACCTTGCCCTGACTTATTTAGTGCTGGCGATGTGCAAGTTCCACAACTTCATTCTACGAAAAATTACAACGTAGGAATCATCTACATGACTCATTTCATTTTAGGGGCCGAGTTGACATGCTAGGTATACGAGGTCTAAGCCAAGCGCCAAGCTGTACGAGAAAACCGCCCCACAGTAATAACTAGGCAGCCGAAAGCCTAATATCCGAAAGAACAAGCTCGTGTAGGCGGAACTTGAACTACTAAGTGAGGCTAAAAGGGAAATAGTAACACACTGCTCCTCGGGTGTTATCTAAATATCTCTGCTTGGATTTGCATACAGTAGAACTAGAAATCGGTGCCACCACCCTACACTATTCAATTAAGATACGCTAGTCTGCTCTGAGAAACATACGAAGAACCCCTGTCATTACACGAAGTATTGTATTGTTTGAAAAACCAGCATTACCAAACTTGTTCATACTCAGCCTCGCGTGGTCTTCTTAGGGGGCCGGCCATCCATCTGGTCAGCTCCTCGCAGTGAGGTTGAATTGGCGTTTTCCTATTGCCCTTCCTCTGTCTCGCCAGATATTCCACGCACCGCTGAATATATACTGTCTTCTAAATTGAGTGGCCACTACCTTTCGTCATGAGTGACCCCCTCTCGATCGCAGCTGGCATCGCTGGATTCCTCTCGCTTGGGATCCAGGTGACGCAAACCTTAGTGGATTTCTATTCGGTCTACAGAAGCCAAGACACTGATATTGCAAAAATTACTCAAAATATGGAGAACCTTCAAAGCATCTTTCGATCCCTAGAGACTGCGATCCACCAACGTCAATCTCAGACTAACGCAGAAGAGCTACTTCAAGAAGTCGATAAGGCTACACAGAGATGCCACGAGATCATTCGAGAGCTCCAGTCTGAGTGCCAGAAACTCCAAACCGACCAGAAACTCCAAACCGAATCGAGTACGAGCTTAAAGGTCCGTTTTCAAGCTGCTGGACGCCGCGGACGCCGCGTCACTTATCCGTTCCGAAAAAGCACAATACAGAAAATCGAAGAAGATGTTGGCGCGATACGCGAAAACTTGCTATTCGCACTCAGCGTACTACAATTCAAAAGTCACAATCAGATTGAAGATGATGTATTGGCAGTTCGATCTCTTCTCGAGCGGACTAATTCAAGCCAAATTTCTTTCGTTATTCGTACGTGGCTTCAGGCACCCGATGCATCAAGTAATCACAACGCTATGTATGCAAAGCACCACCCAAGAACTGGACAATGGTTTATCAACAGTCATCAATTCGCAAACTGGCAAGTAGAGCGAAGTTCATTTCTCTGGCTTAACGGGTTCGCAGGTTGCGCAAGTCGGTCCTCTGTTCAGCTATAATACAACATACATTTCGTGAGACGAGGCACAGGAGCGAAGTTGGAATCGCATTTTGCTACTTCGCTTTTAGTGATGAATCAAAGCGAGATGCTCACGGGATGTTACGTGCGTTATTGCTACAATTATCGATGCAGTTACAAGACGGCGAAAGAGAACTAGAGCAACTCCGCATACTGTCCCAGTCAGCTACACCTTCTAAGGAAGTACTGCTTCAAACTCTTCAAAGATCTCTAAGAAGATTTCAAGACAGTTATATTATCCTCGATGCATTAGACGAGTGCCCCCGAGATGATGGCAGAGAAGATGTTTTAAGAGTGATACAAGTGATACGGGACTGGTGCTTGCCTAGTGTTCATCTCTTAGTAACCAGTCGGGACCAACTTGACATTCGACGATCACTAAACCCTCCCTATGACTGTGATCTATCAATGAAAAACTCGGGAACTGACCAAGATATTTTTGATTTCGTCTCTTATCAGCTGAAAAATGACACTAAGCTCCAGAGGTGGAAAGAGCGACATAGCGAGATCCAAAAGAAGTTAACGCAGGACGTGCAGGGAATGTGAGTATTGTGTTATAGTTATCTTATTTAATGTTTCTAATAGCAATTATCTAAAGGTTCAGATATGTGGAATGTCAGCTTAACTCTTTTCGACGAGCACGAAACCGAAACCAACTTGACAAATATTTACACACCTTGCCTCGTGATTTAGATGAAACCTATGAGCGCATGCTTTGTGACATCGACGAATCATATATTGAGGACGTACGACGTATATTAAATGTACTTTGTCTTTCTATCCGACCCTTGACTGTTGATGAGTTAGTCGACGCTCACGCGGTAGAACTCGGCGAATCACCGTATTTCGATCGTGAGGGCCGATGCTATGAGCAAGATGATCTTGTTGATATATGTCTTGGACTCATCGAGATCGTGGAAACTGACGATGACAATGACCATGGAATAATAACCTCGACAGTTCGCATCGCTCATTTTTCCATCCAAGAGTATCTTCAATCAGACCGTATCCGCCAGCAGAAAGCGAAAATATTCGCCATTGATAGTGGAGCTGCAAATGCAGAAATGGCCCAAATCTGCCTCGTATATCTTTTGAACCCGACGCTATCAGATGGCGTTCTGGATGATGTAAAACTTCGACACTTCCCACTAGCTCATTTCGCTGCTCTACATTGGTATCACTATTATCAAGTATCAGAAGAAAGGTTGAAAGCTGAAAAAATGGTATCAAGGATTTTTCAGAACGAGAACAATTCCTTCGTGACCTGGGTCAGGTTACATGAGATTGACCATCCATATTCATGGAACATGGATCTCAATGTTGAAAGAAGCGTGGACAACATAGCATCGCCTGTATATTACGCATCCTTTTTGGGACTAGAGATCACCTTGAGGGGTATTCTCGGGATTTATGGGGAGTCTACTGGTTTATCAGACATAGTTAATTCCCAGGGTGGATACTATGGCAATCCACTTCAAGCAGCATCATATGGAGGTCACAGCCAGGTAGTCCAAATACTGCTGGATGAAGGTGCCGACGTGAACGCCCAAGGTGGACTCTTTGGCAATGCACTTCAAGCAGCATCATCTAAGGGCGACAGCCAGGTGGTCCAAATGCTACTAGATCGAGGCGCCGATGTGAACGCCCAGGGTGGAGAGTATGGCAATGCACTTCAAGCAGCATCATTAAAGGTCGACAGCCAGGTGGTCCAAATGCTACTAGATCGAGGCGCCGATGTGAACGCCCAAGGTGGACTCTTTGGCAATGCACTTCAAGCAGCATCATCTAGGGGTCACAGCCAGGTAGTCCAAATACTGCTGGATGAAGGTGCCGACGCGAACGCCCAAGGTGGACTCTTTGGCAATGCACTTCAAGCAGCATCATTTAAGGGCGACTGCCAGGTGGTCCAAATATTGCTAGATCAAGGCGCCGATTTGAACGCCCAGGGTGGAAAGTGTGGCAATGCACTTCAAGCATCATCATTTAAGGGCAACAGCCAGGTGGTCCAGATGCTGCTAGATCAAGGCGCCGTTTTGAACGCCCAAGGTGGACTCTTTGGCAATGCACTTCAAGCAGCATCATCTAGGGGTCACAGCCAGGTAGTCCAAATGCTGCTAGATCAAGGTGCCGACGTGAACGCCCAAGGTGGAAACTATGGCAACGCACTTCACGCAGCATCTATTGGGGGCTACAGCCAGGTAGTCCAAATGCTGCTGGATCGAGGTGCCGATGTGAACGCCCAAGGTGGACTCTTTGGCAATGCACTTCAAGCAGCATCATCTAGGGGTGACAGCCAGGTGGTCCAAATGCTGCTGGATGAAGGTGCCGTTTTGAACGCCCAAGGTGGACTCTTTGGCAATGCACTTCAAGCAGCATCAAGTGGGGGCCACAACCAGGTAGTCCAAATGCTGCTAGATCAAGGTGCCGACGTGAACGCCCAAGGTGGAAACTATGGCAACGCACTTCACGCAGCATCTATTGGGGGCTACAGCCAGGTAGTCCAAATGCTGCTGGATCGAGGTGCCGATGTGAACGCACAATATGGGTTATGTGGCAATGCACTTCAAGCAGCATCAAGTGGGGCAGCATCAAGTGGGGGCCACAACCAGGTGGTCCAAATGCTGCTAAATCAAAGTGCCAATGTAGACGCCTAGGGCGGACTCTACGGTAATGCACCTTAAGTTGATATTGTTGGCACAGATTTAATTATGTTAGTGTGGAGCACTTAGAATGTGGGTGGGCAGTGCGTTCCACCATCCGCTCTGCCCGCTTAATACCTTTACAGTTACCTTTTTTAATGTACTAGACCTGAAGACCCTTTCCCCACGTGAGATAATCCATAAACTAGAATACAAGTGTATTTGATACAAACTTCAACAGTGTTTGTCATTGTGTGCCTGAAACTTGAGTCCAATATTGAACTGGGTAGCTCCCTACGATGTGTATTTTTAAGCTACCTATCTAAGAAACTCCCAGACAAAGTGCCTCAGAGTGGCTGAGAGATTCGTATAGAGTAAGTGATGTTGAGCCTCCTTCAGACATCAAAGCTTCAGACATCAAAGCTTCAGACATCAAAGCTGGCCAATCATCTAACTGGGCTGCTTCACTGGATTTGGATCGGACTTTTCCACCCTGAAGGTGCCAAATTGGCATGATGTAACTTTGTCCCGAGCTCAGGCCCTTTGCTAGAGAAGACCACCCTCCAAGTCACCAGTAAGCAAGCTCTTCTCGAACTAGAATCAAATTCAAGATATTGGCCGAAGAAAAACAACCCACCAGCTGGCCGTCATAAGGGCCACCTTCGAGATAGAACGTGGCAGAGGTTGGACCAGAGAGGCCAAAGACATTCAGGGCAACCTCATCAAAAACAAGCACGATAGCCGACTTAATGAGCCGGTACAACAAGGATGTGAGCGACGAGGAACCCGCTTCCCCTGAAATATCTGCTCATTTGTGGCTGTTGATGAGACCAACCCTTTGGAGACAAGCGCAAAGGCTCCTTCTGTCGAACATAGTTTTGTATCAATGCCAGGTCAGAACAATGGAGCTAATCCTTTTGGCAGGCAACGCTCTTCCTAGCACCCATGGGCAGCCTATTTAGTCAACCGCCTGTCTCTACATTTGCTGCGTTTGGCCCACCAAGTACCCCTGCGTTTGATTTACCGGGTGCGTCTACATTTGGCAGCCCGGGTACCAGGGGACTAGGCGCAATTGTTTCAATGCCACTGGCAACACAAACACCTAGCTCGGCCATGTTCGGCAGCTCAAGTACTAACTCAGGATCCGCATCCCTAGCCAGTTGCGGCTTATTCGGTAGCTCGAGTGAGACGGCGAGGCCCGCGTGCGCGCCCAGTGCTGGTGGTCTCGGCGTAATTGGTTCGGTGCCACCACCAAAGCAATCATCCAGCTCCGTCCTACTCGATCGGCCATGTGCGAATACAGTGCCAGCTCCCTCGGCTGGTGGCAGTCTATTCGGCGGCCAAAGTGCCAAGACAGGGCCAGCGGTCCCATCTGGTTCCAGCAAGTTCGGGAGCTCGAGTGCGAATTCAGAGTCAGCATCCTCATCCACCTCCAGCCGCTTCAGTGGATTGAGTTCGAGGGCCCTGCCAACCTCCTCGCCCAGCGAACACTATGTCGAGGAGCATTGGACGTTGGTCCTCATCAGTCTTCGAATTTTTAAATGGACTCTGGAACTTGGGTGAACGTCTTCTCCAGGCACTATCACTGGACGCAGACAGTATCTTTGCTAAGCTGGATGCATGATTCAAGGAGATTTATGGAACGTTCGATACTCTCTGGAACCGACCTAACATCGTGAAGATCCTGGCTACATGTCTTGCTGGGAATCTTTTGGAACAGAAATCCTCTGACTCTAGGGACGTTTGGGAGCTGGTAGGGGACAAGGCGGATCTTTGGGTGGGAAGCGCCATCAAAAGTCTGGGACAAATAGGTCAGGATAATGTGAGGAAGATGAAAGAGGTGTCGGTTTCTCTGTGTATCCACAAGACATAAGCCGGTTGCATTAGCCCCACAGACAGGCAGTGTCCCCTACCAATAGATACCTAGTACATCTTGTTCAAGTGTTCTGAGACCATACGAAGTAGAAAGGGAGTGGGTTCAATAAGCAAAAAAGAGAGATGGAACTATGATTGGTTCTCTACTCTGTAGATCTGTGACTATAAAGAGTATATGAGTTCGGTCTAAAGAATCTTAATAGAAATAGGTGGATTTCGGCCAGTAGAGTCGGGCACTAATACGATACAGGCCAGCGACGGTCAGCAACTGGCATTAGTGTCAACCAAACTGGGTTCTTCGGCCAATAGATAGCGGGAGGTCTGGACTTAAGGCTAAACCTAGCCAACTGGGTGCTCGGTTGGCATAGCTTGGGAGACCCACTGTCATCGTACGTATCAGCGGTCTTTGACAGAAACACAAATAGAGGCGATGACGCATGATAAGCAGGTTGCACGATTACACACTTTCTCCACTTGATGAACATTTCATTTGAAATCAGTGATAATGTGCTAATTTGGCAGCACTGAGGAAAGCTAATTATAAAAGCTCCTTTAAGGAGGACGGTACGAATATGTCAGTTGGCAGCTCCGAATACGTAGCGGCCAAAAAGGAAGGATTTTTCTACCGATCGAGTGATTTACATTGACTCTGTAATGCAAACATGGCTTTGTCCCTTGCTGGCAAAGTTTTCGTTATCACTGGGAGTGCTTCCGGAATGGGCTTGGCCACAGCAACTACATTGCTATCCCATGGCGCATTCTTGGGACTGTGTGATATGAACCAGGATGGTCTGTCGAAGCTCGTCCATGAGCTTGATGAGGAACAACAGGGCAGGGTGATTCCGCATGTAGTCGATATCACGAATCGTTCAGCTGTTGCATCATTTCTGCAGTTAACGAAAGGGAAATTTGGCAAGGTTGATGGACTTGCGAATTTTGCTGGGACCGCCGGTCACAAACTGGGACATCAAGAGATTTGGGAGATTGATGAGAAGGAGTACGACTTCATCATGGACGTTAATGTGAAAGGTGTTTTCAACCTCCTCAGCGAGGCACTCAAACCAGGGTTTTTGCAAGAGCCAGGAAGCATCGTCCACGCAGCCAGCATGTTCTCCGAGAGGGGTTTCCCAAAGGGCTCGGTTTATAGTACCAGCAAACATGCGGGGGTTGGCATGGTCAAGAGTGCTGCGATCGAAGCTGGAAAACGGGGGATCCGAGTCAATATTGTGATGCCGTAAGTTCTAAATGATGTGAATCTGCACAAGTGAAACTGATTTGGTTTGACTAGTGGCCCCATTGATACTCCCATGCTTCGCGCAAATGAGGAAAGTGGTGCCGAAGGCACAGCTCCAGCGGTGCCGCTAGAGCGACTGGGCGAGCCATGCGAGGTTGCAAATGTCGTCGCGTTTCTTTTGAGCAACGAGGCTGGATTTGTCACGGGGGCGACTTGGTCCGTCGATGGAGGAGCGAATGCTTGAAAGTCGTTGTGTGTTTACGATGGGTACTTCTCCAGACTTATTTACTGTCGATCGAACTGAGTCAAGAAGTTTTACTCTGGACCAGTGAGTTTCGCTTTACTCGATAAAATACATTATACAACACATTGTTGAGTCCATTTCCTATCAACACAAAACTCCCTCCACACTCGGCTGCATCGTCATTTATCCCTAGTCGACATTGGCATTGGCAGTAGAAGAGACATATAAAACTGTCAAGTAATTCATTAATGCCGATCGATAGACGAATTATTTTATGGGTTTATCACGCCGGATGACGATGGGAATTATATTTGGTCCATTTTTCGCCAATCAAGTTATGACCCGGATACTCGGGAAGAATTCTGTTGTCTACATACTAAAAATCGTTACACTATAGCAGCACGGCTTCAAAACGCTGATAGAAGGCCAAGATGTCTGCTATCACCGTGAGAATGGTCCCAAGGGGCCATATGCTGCGGACGTTCACACTGCACCTAAGGAGGAATGGGGAACTGGCAGCGATGAGCTAGTCAATACTTTCCTTTTTGCTTCATGTGACAGAAGTGCACCGAACCTTTTTGGTGTCATTGACAACAAGCTCTTTGATTCATGTGCATATCTCCCAAATACTTCAAGAATGACACCGAGATATCCATCGGATATGCTCTTCAGGTCTAACTCCACTCATTGCGCTGAACATAGACGCTATCAAGGGGGGTGGTCATATCAGCCTTCTATAAGAAACTGGAATTTGGTTTTGGAATATTCATTTGTGATTTATCTAAACTACCTGGCTAGCTTAGCGAAACGAAATCTCAAGGTTCAATCAAATTGCCAATCTTCAGTAAGACATTGACACCAAAGAAAGGCAGACTTGAATAGACTGAAGAACACATTCGTGAGTTTGGGGGGAAACGAAGCTTCTATCACCCCAAAATATCACCAAGTTCCAGCGGCATCAGAAGAGCAAGCCCCGAAAATATCACAACGAATTATTGGAAAAGCACAAAACATCAGGGGGTATGGGTAATGGTACAAAAAAAGTATAGGGATCATGGGGTCGGTGAGGGAAGTACGTAACAGTAAGGAGACCAAAGCCAGAAGACTAGTAAGGCGAGTTGACAACATCATCCCTGGCAAGACGGCTGCTCCATCCGCTTCTAGCACGGTTTGGCGTAGCGGGGCCCGCGATGCTTTCACGGGTGGGCTTCTGGAAGGTACGCTTGGCAACCATGTTGACCTCGTTGGGCAAGGCAACAATGACATTCTTATCGGACCCAAAGCGGAAGTTGTCAGCCATGACGTTCTCACCATAACGCTTGATGGTGTAAGGATCTCTGCGGTTCGCGATAACCTTCTTCATGCTCCAGGTGATGATGAAGGGCCCGGTGGCGGTGACGATGCTAGTCTCGGTTGAGTCAACACCGGTGTTGAATCGAGCTTGGGTGAATGAGATAGGCTGCTTGGTCTCGTGCTGGAACTGTGCGACGTGGGCGGGCTGGAGACCAAGGCGGCGAGGTTGAGGCTTCGAATCCTTCGCGAAAGCACGCTCGAACCCAAGCTTTCCTTCATTCTTGCCCTCCTTCTGCAGGGAGTCGATAAGCAGCAAATAGGTACGGCAGGTTGCCAATACCCAGCGTCCATCAGCAGACACATCAAGACCGATGATCTGTTCACCTAGGGCAGGAATATGGGTCTTGGCATTGATGCCCAGACGGTCGAACATGCGGATGTCACCCTTGTTTGAGGCGACAGCGATATAACCCTTCTCAGTGGTGGCCACAGCGGAAAAGTCATTTTTGCTGGCATACTGCTTCAGATCGGAATCGACGAGCTTGTTACCCGAAAGACGAGGATCGATGCGGTAGAGGGCATTCTTGGATACACCCACGAACGGCTGTGCAGAGGTCATTTGGGCGAATTTCTAAGAGATCGGTTAGTTTACTATGATAGAAAGAAACAAGAACTGCTGGACAACTCACGTTTTCAGGAGCAAATGTCTCCACGCCAATATCGTCATGAACCTTCCACTCATCGACAATCTTGCCGTACTCCAGATCCATCTTGAACAAAGAGTTGGGATCATCGCCATTTTGAAGAATCATGTTCTGGTCCTCCGCATGGAGCATAACCTTCTTGGGACTAAAGAGGGTGCCCTTGGGAGTCTGAACCTTTGAAATAGTTGTGGAGAACTCCAGATTGTTGTTAGCAGTATGCTTGAAAACACCAATCTTGGAGCCGCGAACAACGAAGGATCGATCGTGCTTATAGCCAACTGCGAGTTGGGAGTTGACGTTTCCATCAGCATCACGAGTCACGACATCTTCCTCCTCTTCGTCGCTATCATAGTGTTCACTCCGCTGTGCGTCATCCTGGTCGCCGTCGTATTCCTCTTCGACATCTTCCTCTTCAGCTTCTTCCTCTGGCTGATCATCGGCATCTTCCATTGTGAGATCCTGGAAGGCATCGAGCACGTAGTCTCGCTCATTCTCTTTGACCTTGGTCCACTTCATTTCATTCAGTTGTTCCCAAAGCGCCTGCATCAGACCCTCCTGGAATCGTTCTTCCGTGGGTTGATCCCTGAAGCGCAGAAGCCATGAGTAGGCCGTCCCATCTTCTCCATAAGCGTTAAAGATGAAGGACAGGTATTCAAAATTGAAAACTGGGTTGATATCAGCCACCACAGCCTGTCCTAACCACTCCTTATCCTCCCCAGAAATCTGGAGCCAATACTGCCAAGTGCCAACTTCTGACACAGTTGCAATGACATCAGAATCCTGCTGCACAAAGGTTCCAGTAGTGAAGTCAAAGAGGTGCAACTCTGCACGCTCCTTCGCGAGGACCTCCTTGGCCTCGGGGTGGGCTGCAGATGGGGGGGCCTGGGTTGGTGCATCCTCAGCGGTCCCAGTCCGGATTTGCCCTTTGTGTTGGGCATATTCCACGTCTCGTGCCATGGCAGCGGCGGATTCTTCTGCAGACACGGAATTCCCACGTGGTTTGGTAGTTGGGGATGAGAGTGGGCTTGCAGATGGGATGGGCTTTTCTTGGTTGTAGGAGAATTCTTCCAATTCTGCCTCGGTAGCTTTCTGGGCACTCCGGCGGTGCTTGCGTTCGTACTGACACTGGAGGGCGGCAAGTTCGAAAGTGGCGACTTTGTCTGAAGGGACCGAAGGGTCGCAAATGAATTCATATAAGTCACCAGGGTCACCGCTCAAATCATCCCAAGCTAAGATCTTGGCTCCTCCGTCGCGAAGCTCAGAACGGAAGTGAAGGGTTTGATCTAGGAGGAAGACCTTTTCGTCTTTGTCTAGGCTATCACCATTGCCTTGTTCACCGTCGTCGTCTCCAAGTTCTTCCTCGCCTTCTTCGTAAGCTCTTTGGATCACAAGCTGGTACTGAAAGTCCTGGCCGGTGCGTCGAATAGTCGCAGCAGCGTCCTTGAAAATAAGCTCTGAGTAACCCTTGGGCGACTGCGGTCTGACCAGATACAGCTCGCCTTGGGGGATTTCGATGATGGATTCTTTCGAAGCGTCACCGAACAAGAATTTGCTCACTGTAAAAATGATGATAAGTCAGTTGACTGCCTTCAAAATTATCCCAAAATTATGGAGGGGTTTGGCGGGGCATGAAAGCGCGTTACTTACCGTTGCGGAGCATAAACATGGTTGCGAGGGGCAGCTGCCAAAACAAAAAAATGTGAAAGGAGAGGAAAGCAATAGGGAGAATTAGGAAGTTACTCTAAAGAAGAGCAAAAGACTGTAAGACCACGTAAGACGTAGGCAATATCTTCTGCCTACGTTGTATGAGAGAAGAAAAGCCAGATACCAAACACAAGATTGCAATTACCGTGAAATTCGCCTCCGTCATAGATTGTGGCTGCAGCTTGTGGCGGAATTGTTATGTAAGCTTTATCTCTGCTGACGCTTGCCCTAAATAGGCAATATGGTTCTATACCAACTCCACAGAAGAAAAAAACCTTCACTATCCACCCACTAAGCCTTTAAAAGGCAAAAAATTAGTTTCGCTGGGAATCGAACCCAGAACCTTTCCGGAACACTCGCTTTTGAAGCAATTGTTAACGGAAAATCATAACCGCTAGACCACGAAACTATTTGATGGAAAATCAGGTGATTTGTGGCATCTTGAACGGCTAGCAGTACTAGACTCGAAGACCCGAGGGGCAATTAGTTATAGATGTGGACTCGGTTAATTGAGCTACCTTGGATTTCATAATTGTTCTTGTCTCTGACATAGTGAATTGCCTCATTGTGAAAGAATGTGGATTTAAACAAACAGATCAATATCTAAGGAAGGTCTGATGTTATGAAGTATGAGATACGCTGGTCAGACGCCTAAATATACAGTTATATGTGGGTATAACCTCATTCAATTGGGATGTGACTTTATTTAATCAATCGCCAATATGACATATGGGAACGTTAGGGCTGTTCTATATGTTTTGGACAATACACGTATATAGGTACCATTTTTCGGGTATCTTGACTCGAATTGGATATATATTTACAGGACATGGATAGGAACATCAAACATGAACGCTATGGTACTTCAGTAAAGCCTTAAAACCACATTCCAATAAATTTAGAGGGGATTGATTACGCTCAATTGCTGTTTCCGCAATTGAATTACAGTCCATCAAATCGTTTTCGTTTGGGAAGGCAAGTAAGTGACTTCACATCTATAACCCCCCCCTCGCCTTTCCAAGATCATCTTTCCAATATTTTTCCTTCACCCCTGCTTTTAGGTTGAACGATGTGAGCGATTCACTTGGTATCGATAAGACATAAATTATGTATGAATATATGTACAATTATCTCGGTAGCTTTGGATAGCCCTGGAGACTTAATCCCTTCCTTCCTCTTCTTCCTCTGCGGCGTTGATCTCTTCGAGTTGTTTCAACTGTTCTGCTTCAATCTGCTCATCATTGGCATCTTCATCTTCATCTTGAGCAACCTCCTCAATGCTCTCCCCGCCTTCAGACTTCTTCCCTTTTAATGCACCGCCCTTCCGGGGTGGGATAACCTGCATGAAAGCCTTACCCCAGTCCCGAACCTCCAACCATCGAAGCATAATTTCAACAACATGATTGGTGGCCAGTACCGGTCGATGTGCCATTTCAATGTACTGACCGATGGGAAGTTTCGCAGTTTTGATGCCCTTTGAAACCGCATTCTTGTAGCAAACTGCTTTGTGTCGGTTCTTATCCACCAGAGCTCCAACAATATACGTGCTGTAGGGCTTCAACTCGGTCAAAGTATTCTCACTATCACTGCTGAGATATACAATTTCGCCATCCTCGGGCTTCGCATCGGGTTGATCAGCGAACGGCCCGACTAGCTTGCCGCCCTTCGGACCTGACATGTCTTCCTTGGCCACGCCAGAGGCATGCACGAAGTCTTCTTGCATAATGCGAATATGTTTCCAGTTCTTGTGGTGCCATAGAACATTGTCAAATCGCTCTTTCAACTTCTTGTCGAATGACGAGAACGTGATGTGTCCGTGGTAGGGTGAACGGCTGTTGTCCGAGTATGCTCGAGTAAGTTGACCGGCCAAAGAGATCCGCTCTCTTTCTTCCATCAATTCATCGTAGCTGCAGTCCATCACAAGTGTCAAGGGTATAAGTGTGGTTCGGCGGTGCTTGACTTTTGTTGATCGCATTGTCTCCCGTAGCTTGTCGACAGCCTCCTTGCCACCAGTTTCTCTTGCTTCCTCGAACATTTTCCTGCGACGCTCTTTCTTCTCAGCGAGCTTCTCCTTCTTCTGGGATTTCATGAACGCGCGTTTTTCCTGAAACCGTTCTGCCTTGCGGATTTTCTTCAATTGGTTTTTGGACATCACTGGCGGAGCTTCCTCTCCATCGACAGGAGGTATAGATTCATTATTGGTTATTTTTTCTTCATGAACCGTGAATTCCGAGAGATCTTGAGGTTCGTTCGCAAACTGAGCGCTCGTAGACTCCGTTTCGTTGCCGGCTACATCACCAGCTCCTGTCATGGCGGGACCGAGGGTTTCATGGAGGTTCTGGTCGTCGTGGCCCAGTTTAGGTAATTTCCGAGGCCTTTCTTGCTCATCCATGGCGTTATAGTAGAATTGGCCAAAAAAAGGAAGGTGGGCTGTCAATTAACTGTAGATCGGAGATTGAAAAAGCGGAAACCCACCAACCAATCATATCTGCCTCAGCCCTCATTACTGTGCGATTTCACGTGACCCGTCCATATCCAACTTCTCCAATCGTCACAGCGACTCCTCGCTATCCCTCCAAGCCCTCACCCGCTCAACCCGCCACAATGCCTCAGGATATGCCCCCAACGGGGGGCTACGCTCAAGTCCAGTACAAGGTATGTGGTCCATCTCTCATCCTGGGATCTCAATGGTCCAGCGCGCCCAGCACACAAGTACCTAGGCTAATGGATTCGCTTCTCACTCGTTATAGCGGAACCTCCCTGCCCGTGGCTTCAAGCCCGCCTACTACATGATTGGCATGCACGTCATCATGGCATACGGTTTCTACAAGTACTTCCACGGTGCCCGTGAGCAGCGGTACGTCTCGCCCAGCCGGCTCCTTTCTTCGCTCCGAGTATCCCGAGAGGACTGCAATTGGAACGTGGACGAATGCAAAGTCGAACACGAATAGAAAGGAACTGAACGAACATCAGTGACTAATTTGGTTCAATAGTGAGCTCGCCCGTGAGAAGATGTGGTCCCGTCACCACCTCACTCCTCTCCTACAGGCTGAGGAGGACCGTGATCAGGTCCGTCGGCATTATGCCGACAAGGCGCGCGAGAAGGAGCTTCTCGGCACCGATATCAAGGTCTACAATTCCGACCGGTATGTCTGGCTCATCGCTGCTGGTGGATGTTATATCCTTTGCAGTATTTATACTTATTGTTCCAATCTCAGCTTCGTCCGCCCTACTTTCGCCTATACCCCCTCCAACGCCACTCAATAAACATCTTGACAATGTCACTATGATATCGAGCAATCTTGTGCCTCTCTTCCCGCTTTCTCTTTTGAATTTTGTATGATGCTGGTGTTTTGGGATGCCTGATTGTGACCCCTTGCCTCAATGGTAGATGGACTGAACTGGGCCTTTCTGATCGTTATGAGGAGAGCTGGAAGCATTGTGGTGGCTGTTGAGGGCGAACCGTCTCGAAGACAATTCGAGTAAAACTAACTGTAGATATTACTTGCCCAGTGAAAGGTTTAGTTCAGTCTTTTACAACATGTCTGTTTCTTTATTCATCAGAATTTACAATTTTCCAGTAAACTAGACTATTTTGTGTACAAAATTCTGGAAAAAAAAGTTATATTCTAGGTACTCATCTATTAAAATGTTAGGGCAAGGTTAGCCGTCTTGTATCCACGATCAAAAAGTGACCAGGAAGAGATTCTAAGAATGAAGTTTTGAGAAAAAAAAGATTTATAATAAATGCCAGTAACAACAAAATATACCAAATGATAAAGTGTTACTGAAGTATGTCGCCAGACTTTCTGGATGGAAGGTAGAACCAGTACGGATCGATGAAGATGTGAAGAAGGATATATTTCTTTTTTTCTATAACATTATCTCACAAAGCGCCACCGCTCGCTAACGATGGGGTAGTTGTTAATCTGCAATGAAGGTACAAACGGCAAAAAAAAAAAGGGAGAAAAGATGCAATGGACCAGTGGACTGACTGCCATTGGCGATGAAGCCCAATGGTATAAAGGAATTGAGATTTCGGCATGTGGTGAAGGAAACCCAACAGTGACATGAGTGAGTTCCCAACCAATCTAAAGATAAGAAAGCTTTCCAGCTTAACCGAATAAATCAGCAACTCCGCCAAGATCGGGACCATCGTTGATGTCAACGCCGCGGCTTTGCTGTTGAGAGTCCATCTCATTGGTCATATACCTCTCCTGCAATGCCGAGCGCGCTTTGCGGCGGTCCTCTCGAGATCCCAGAATTTTTCCTTGTTCAGCAATGCTGATGCCCCGTAATGATTCCAGAAGCTCAAGAACCAATGCCCGGTGCTGTCGTGGGGAAGTCGATCGATGGAGAGAGTTTTCTGTTTGAGCGACTTTCTCTTCAGTGATTCCTGGCAAACTCAAGAAGATACTGCGGGGCGTATGGCTACAGGTGCCGTAGAGAATCCATATTGATGCAATTAGCTGAGCGAAGTCTTTTTGCATATCGACAAAGTATGATTCATGCACAGATGTAATGCATGCTTTGAGGACATCGGAGCAGATGAATTCGCGGATAGTGCTAATGGTGGGGGTGTCTTCAACGGTAGAACTAGGTGCGAAGTCCTGCAGGATTGACCGGATGACTCGTGTAATAATGCTGCAACAACGCGTATCACGCATGCGAAGAGCATGCGTACAGAAGAGCATGACGGGTTCAAAGATCGCCGGGGAAGATAAGACGAAATGGCGGATAGAGTCGGAGAGCTCCGGGACCGGTTGGGCTGCACTGGGGTCTGATTCGTTTCCATCTGGGTCTTCCAATTGGGTCTTCGTTAGTGTCGGGTGTCTCCAAGGCTGGGGTGGTTGATGAATTCGGGAATCTTTACCGCCTCTCTGCGGATCGAATAGACTGGCTACCATGATCACAGCAGTATAAGTCAACTGCCGAAGGACACTTTCAGACTTCATCTCAGTAGTGAGATCTCCGTCCGAACTTCCATCCCTACGTTGTTCAATGAATTCCCATTCCGTGGTGATCTTGCGGTCAATGTTGGTGAACAGAGTGGAAAGCATAGGTGGCAAAAATTGAGCGCGGAATTGTACGGGGCAGTCGTCGATCAAACAGCGGGAGATGTTGAGGAGAACTGAAAACTGATGAGATGAGAGATGGGCTGAGTCAACGAACAATGCTTCGGACAGGGGCCCCGGAAGTTCCGCAAACCCATAGAAGTGCTCTCGCATCCGGCTCATGCTAAATAACATTGAATAGCATGCTTCGCGGACAGCCCTGACTTTTCCTCGAACAGATGATGCAAACCCTTCGAGTGTGGACTTTGAAGATGTGATTCTGGCATAGAACTCGTCACGGCTGCCGGTTGAGATACCGGCCTGCCAAAACCGATCTGTCAAAATTCGTTCGACCACTGGTTGCATGCCGTCAACCATATTCCAATTGACGGGGTTATGGAAGGCATGGGCGTGGCTAAAAGTGGACCATTAGCTTAATTGTGTGAATCCATATTAGTATCGACAATTACCTGACAAGCTGGAGCAAAGTTGGAAGAATCAAAGGGATAAGCTCATGCCACATCTCACAAGAAATTAAATAGGCCGGGGAGTTCTTTTTGAGTCGATCAGTGGAAACAGCCAACATGGTCTTGGTGCCACGCAAAGGCAACAGCTACATTACTACGTGTTAGACTAGTACCAGCAAGGTCTCAAAATAAAATTTCGTACCTGGAATTTTCTGGTCATCTCTTCTTGGACAAGCTTTCCTTCGTTATCCAACTCGATGACCGACCAGTCTGGTAACTTCTGTGCTTGTTTGGCCTGCATGTACGGGCCGACGTTTTCCAAACCAAGCATGTTACAGAATCCCGCGAAAGAAGAGCTGGTATGACGGAATTGTTCATCATTCCACGCAGCTCTAATAGGTTCAAGGAACGATGCGAGTCGGTTTTGTCGTAAATATGGATCGACCTTGTTTGCGCGTTGCCTATATTAAGTCAGTATAGAGAATCGATTTTCGAACAACAGGAAGCGAAGGCAGTTTACATGATGATGAGCAATATGGAAGTCAACTCCATCTGCAGCTTGTCATCCACGCGGTTCGCCATGGTAATTTCTTTGATTTTCGGCTCAAGGAGGTCATAGAAAGTCTGTCAAAAATTGGTTGTTAGAATTTATCAGACGATATAGACAGTGCAGACATACAAAGAAATAGTCTGCATAACGCATAGCCAAGCGACGAAGCTCATGGCTTGCGAGACCATGAAGTTCTTTAACTGCCTCAGAGTACATTGGATATTCGGGATGATCTGGCAGTCGCGTCATAAGAATGTGCTCCAGGACTTTGAGTGCGAATCCAGGGTGGTTGTCCAAAGCCTTTGAGGAAATGTCGACGGCCAATTTGATGATTCTCTGCTTCAGAACCGGGTCCTATTACGAAGAAGTGAGTGATGAGACTTTGCAGATATGTGGCATCATGTCATACCTCATAAGTTCTTGTCATTAACTTTGAGCCCCAGTTCTCAATGGCTTCCTCTAATTCAATTCGATTCGACTCCTGCGTCATAAGTTAGTGACTGCGTCACTAGGTGGCAGGTGCATGTTCTTACATCATGCTGAGGTGCTTTTCCATGTGCGGACACCCATTTATTGTAGCCCTTGATGACGGCTTCTACAACTGCAAATTGAGAATCTGCTCGCATGAGAGGAATGGAGGATTTGTTGAACGTTGCCACTGCAAGGAGAAGCTTTAGTTTGTGTACAAATTATTGAAAGAACGATATAATACTCACTGCTGAATCGTGGACCGCCGCTATACAAATTATCAAGATTGCTGTCCACCCGGGCAAGAATCTCGCGGACTGCCTCCTGAGGTCGCTTCAATGTAATGGTTTCAATAATTGAAGAGCAATATCTGCGGTAATTACCGACAAAGGCGTGTCGTTCAGGGGCTGTATCGATATCCTCGATCAAGAACTGCACCGTGGGATCATCGGAATTGGTTGGGAGAGATTCCCAGCGCAGAAGTCGCTCGATGCAAATATTAAGGAACTGTGGCGTTTGCTCGATCACAAAGTCCATCCTGTTGATTCTCGAGATTTGTAGCAACTTGGACCATAAATGCAGGCAGGGTATGGAGACAGTCAGACTTCGGTGCTGCATGATATTGACCATGAACTGGAAAAATGGGGGCAGGTTCAGACGATTCATAGTATCACGCAAGAACCTCTCATCGTCCAGGCATCCAGCAATATATGATACCATTTCGGAAACCTTTCTAGAGACCAAATATCTGGGATCATCAATGTCGTCTGGGCCCACGATTGACCACTCGTAAAGCCTCTGTAAGACGAGGAGAAATTCGGGATCGAAGATCAGACAAACGAGACCGTGGGATTCTTCGCAGCCGATAGTGTTTCTGCCATAGAGCGCATGAAGCGCTTCAATTGCAGCAAGAAGAACCTGGTCATCTTGACAAGGCAGAGCTCTGAAAATACTGGAAACAACCTGGGAAGCAATGACTGCCGGGTAGACAGACCAAGACAGGGCGGATCTTAATGTTGCCAGGGCTTTTACGGCTGCATCTCGAGCCTGCTCAGAGCTAGAGACGTTCTGAACGCAGTCTTCGAGAAACGCGCAGATTCGAACCAGCCAGCCCTCCTGCCCGCAGCGCAAAGCGGCAGTTGTATTTTTCTCCGAAGAGGTGATTTGTTCAAGGATGGTCGCAGGAGTAAAGATCTCAATGAGCGACCGATTGAGCTCGCCTCCCCGCAAAGACGAGATAACATCTTCGCGGAAGAAAATATCTTCGGAGAGGGTCTCAAGAACAGCAAGTACCAGTTCTTTGTGCACAAGGGATGCACCCCAGAATCGAACTAGTGTAGCGTCCATGTCCATCCAATCTAATCCCCAGCTCTTTTTCGCGGCCTCGGCCCACAGTTGAGGGATTTTGTTGCGGTAATATGACGGATCTTCGGGTCGAACATTTTCGGCGAGTTGTAAAACCATCGATCGAATGTTTGTGGCGTCTTCGGGGGTAGAGAATGTCAATTTTCGTAGGACGTGATCCAGTAGAGTCAGGCCGAAGTATCGCACCACAGGCTCATGCTCTGTACGAGAAGCGAGTAGAAAGCCATTTCGTGCAGCGCCTTCGGTTTCCTTCAGCTCTTCGACAAACCGAGAGGCATTTTGTCGAATCTCGTTTGATGATGCAGGGTTATGAATGACCTGCAGGGCGTGGATGATATCGGCCATTCCGCCTTCCGACAAATCCTCCGCGGCCATTTTGGTAATGTACTTGCTGTAGGAATATGTAAGCGATAGGTGTGTCCACGGGGTTGCGTTCGAATGAGTGTCAGAGTACGAGATCGTTACTCATAATCAGGTAATGATCGATGGCCGTTGGACCTGTTCCGTTTCTTGGCTTAGCAGTCGGACACCGCAACGGCCATCTGCACGCGCCAGTCGCTCTTTCCGGGAGAAGGGACAGGAGGCCCGAGATTCCGATTCGGAACTGAAGCTGTGACTTAGTACTTGTGATATGGCAGTGAGGTTGAGGTGAAGCGGAAAAGAAGGTCTGCAGAAACAATTGGAGACTTGTCGGGCTGAGATTTTTCCCCGGAGAGAGAGAGAGAGAGATCAACAAGGGCACACACACCGCTCAACTTGATGCTTGATGCTCCACGCGATTTTTATTCTTCGGACCTTTGGAAGAATTCACAATGAAGCTCTTAGTATACTGACTTAAAGAGAATTACAATCGCAATATTATTATCATTTTCTTTTGTTCTTTGTTTCGTTATATGTCTTGGTGTCATCATAGCTGCCTATAATATGCCCCTCACCATTGTTTATCTTATCTCGCAGCTTAGCCCTGGCCCCGGGGAAGGATCTGGGTATAGTTACGATAGTCAACTACTTGGGATTGACCTGTCACAAGTACATAGCAATTTGACTTCCAAGTGATTATTAAGAAAATATGGAAATATGGAAAAGACGAAAAACGATGAGAAAGATAAAAAAATAGGTCAAATCTTGTCAAAACATCACATCATGAGACATTGACCTTTTTGGCATTGTTCCAAATAAGACACATCTTCACCAGCTGGATTAGCAATCTCCCCGGGTTTGCGCTTCAGTCCCTCAATCTTGATATCCTGTTCTCCTTCTCCATGCCACCATCGTAGATGTTGCAATTTCACCCCTTGAATGTCTTGGTTATCAATGTCCCATTTGCCGCCACTGACTGTGACAACAAGGTTGGACTCGGGGAAATGGAAGTCTGGGAGGTATATCTCGGTGGGGGCAGTCGCCATAGTAGGTCCTTTAGACGTCAACGAGAGTGTGAACGTGCAATTTTTGAGATCAAAAAGATGACTATCCAATTTGCCGCTCACGTAAGTTGGGCTAGGACGAAGATATGCTTCTGCGGCGCGATAACCCTGCTTTTGTCGCACAGATGAAGATAGATGAGAACGGTCACTGGAGATAGATGGAGTTGTTAAAGCACCCTTGAGATTGCAAGGCCCAATATCTGGCTCTTCTCCGCTACTTTGACTTTCAGAGTAGGCCGGAGAATGGGGATTGGCGGACCGAGACCGAGCAGTATTTCCAGCAGGCAATTCCAGATCGTCGCGGGAGTATATAGACAAATCCTCTCCATTCCACTGGTCGCCCCATTCGTGGTCATTCTGAGTGACGTATACCCAGAGAGTATAGCCATTAGACGTGCTGCCTTCTAGCGCGAAATGATTTGCGTCCATAGCACTAGTTTGGCTAGTATAGTCACCGGTCTTGTATGCGTACTTGTCATCCATGTCATAGGGAATTCCAATCTCCGTGAAAACCACAGGATGAGAGCCCATATAACTCCGGCTTTCTTCGCGGAGGAATTTAAGCTGGTCACGCAGACAGTTTCGAATGGCCGACTCGCCAATTTTTAGAGCAAATGCTGGGGTGAGGTATTTGCCCCGGAGCACACCGATGACATCTACATTGTAGAGTCTATTCCAATGCTTCGTGAGGAGGGTAAGTCCGTCATAGAAATGAACTGCGTGGACCATGTTTGGATCATCATCAGCAGTACCTTTGACGTCCGGTGGTATTTCCATAACAGGCGGCTGACAAAACATTATTGCATCTGGCCAAATGCCTCGAATGGCATTCTTATATGTCCGATAATGATCCAAGAAATAGGAATTGGTGAATTTTTCATAGTCCAATGGCTCGCCAGTCTGAGGATTCTTTGAGAAGTAGTCTTTTTGTAGGAGGGTGTCTGTAGAAGGGTCCCAGACCCCATGTTGGGCCCAAATGCATTCCCCGAGCTTCCAACCAGGGTCTCGTTGCCAGCCATACTTGCTGTCGTCATATCCAGCTGGCAGCCAAGCTATGTCACCTGCAGGGTCCACAAGATCGGTGCCGGTTTTGTAAGGTCCAAAGTTGCCAAATGCCCATGTTGTCTGTTCGCATGCCCTCCCTGAACCAGTGAGCATGGCCTGGAACGCTGTAGGAGAAGTTCCAAGTTGGAGCTGTTGCTCTGGCGGAACAACAGATATATCTTGCACACCAATAATTCCCCGATGAGGTTCATTCATGCTTTCCCACCCAATTATCACCTCACCCTCAAGATCACCTGCATCGTGGATTTTTTGCGCCAAATGGGCACATGCACCAATGAAGTGATTTTGCAGATAATTTTGAATGTTCACCCCATCGATCACAGCTTTGGGGGCAAAGTCTCGTCCAGCCCAGAACAGGGTGAACATAGTTTGGCAGACTAATCTAGTGTAATTCGTGCTCCAAATCATCTTGGGAAATTCTGCAGGGATATCATAGGTGTTTTGCACCAAGGCGCCCTCCGTAGCTTTGAACTTCTTAGGGTTGAGTCCCGCTGCATAGAGTGTCCACATAGGTGCTCCAGAGCCTCCCGAGAAACGTGACCACACATCTTGATGCGGATCCATGAAAATGTAGAAGTTATATTGTTTGGCAATTCGGAGGACTTCTATAGTGAATGCAATCCACTCCTCGTCGTAGATTCCAGGTCCGGCATGCTCGATGGCTTCCCAGGTAAATATGTACCTGATGGTATTGTAACCCCATTTCCGGAGTCGTCTGAAGTGAATGTGAGCATCTTCCAAGGGAAAAGGCCGCCCAACAAATGAGACATTATCCGCATCGAAGAACTTTTCGGCAATGTATGAGGGCGTGTCAGGTGTTTTTGGATATTTCGCATCAGCGGCAACATTGATCCCCCTTAGTGTAATCTCTCTGTTATTGGGGTCTCGGAAAGTCTGGCCCTCGACACGAAGGCGCAAAGGGGCCATCTTTGCCTGAGGGATAGCAGTATTCAAATGCAGCCGTGATATCAGCCAGTTCGGTCAGGCGTCGACACGGCTTCTCGAATACTGGACGTAATGAAATAGCTCCGGATGTCTTGAAGGTCACAACTGCGGAGAGAACGGCTGGGGGCTTAACTCCGTTCAGATGACCAATGCACGTGATTCCTTGGATAACAAGTATCACCTTGCCCTGCAGATTTATTCAAATGCCCTTTGATGTAGATACCGTCTGTTCCGAGGTTGTAATAGTTTGAGACAAGACAATCATGTAGCCACAGAGGAGCTTAGAACGTTGGAAGAAGGAACCTTCCAACCGGACTATCGATAGCAATAACGATAAGCTGTGACGTATCGGATAGCCGACCGCTCTGCTCCACAACCAACCAGTTTCTCCCCGCTACTTCTGCAATCACAGTCATGTCGAGCAAAGCGGCCTTGAAAGCTGTACGCGCAGCATTGGAATCGAAAGATTACCAAGATGTGACCGAAAAAGCCAAGGCGCTTATCAAACAAGACCCCCGGAACTACCACGCGTGAGTTTCGTGTTCATTCTCCCATGGACATGCTAACTGTTTTTTTCTTTTAGCCACGTCTTTTTAGGTCTTGCAAGCGATAAATTGAACAAAGATGATGACTCAGAGACTGCATATCTGGCCGCGACTCACATCAAGGCCGACGATAGAGCTGCTTGGCAGGGATTGATCTCATTATATGATAAACAAGGTGGCAGGAAACTTGATTCCTATCACAATGTGGTTATTCAGCTTGGAAAAATATTTGCCAAAAGGTAGGCCATTATCCAGAATGCCTGCGTGTTCGAGACATAGTGCTGACGGCTTCTAGTGACGAGAAAGAGCGCTGTCAGGATCTGGTCAACAAATATGCGAAACTGGCAAAGAGTCATGGATCCAAACTCCAACGCAAATCTTCGTTGATGCTGCAATTGCCGAGCTCACCGTTGTACGATTTCCTTGAAGGGCGACTGCCTCATCCGTCGCACACATACTTGCGGTTGATTGAATTGGCCGAGAGCGACGAAAAAGAGTTTATCAATCGTGAGATTGGGGAGCGGAGAACACGTCTCGGTGCGCGCATTGAGAATGTCACTCAGGAGGTCAAACGTGAAGCCTCTGAAAGGAGCGGGCTGGATCTGCTTTATCGAGGAATAATCGATTGGACCAACGACGATGCGGTACGACGTCAATACGAAGAGAAGCTTTTCCAACGCGCATATGAAGACCTGTGTGTTTCTCCAGCAGACCAAAAGGCAAAAAAGAAAGACGTCGTCTTCAAAGCAGCCCAGGATATGGTGATCATTAAACATCCGTTTGAGCCTGCATGGAAGGTCTTTTTGACGTGGCAAGATGTTCAAAATTTCGTTGAATATGACGTGGGACACCTGCGCGAATATATCGAGTTTTTCCCAGAGTCAGGAGTCTCAAAGGTTCTGAAAGGCTACCTATCTAGTGAATTGTCACCTTTCCCCAGTGAAGACGAAGACTCAGACGACCAAGAGGGCAAAGAAGGCGTGATCTCTCATTCTGAAAATGAGTCCGGAGATAACATCACGAAGCTTGACAAGCAAACAGCCGCTCAGGAACGTCTCATACTCATGGTTGAAGGACTGGAATCTGCCGGAAACTCAATAATTGCCCACCGTATCATGGCAGATCTTTACCTTCAGTTAGAAGAGTATGAGAGTGTGGTCAATGTTACACGCAAAGGACTATCGAATGTCAAGGATTTGGCTAAAATCTGTGGAGTCAGAATTCAAAACACGGCTGATGCTATGAATATTGCGCTTGCCAATGCCTTGATTCACCACCAATCACCCCGGCATCACCCAGAAGCAAAGGAGATTTTTGAAAACATCCTGGAAAGGCATCCAACGTCGTGCAGCTGCTTACTCGGCATCGGCCTGATTTTGAAAGAAGATCAGGACTATGCTCAAGCCGTTGACTTCCTGCGTCGTGCCCTCGAACGTGATACTTCCAATCTTGTCATTCGCGGTGAGCTTGCCTGGTGTGAGGCATTGAAGGGCGACCTCCAAATTGGATTGGACGGTCTTCAAGGCGTACTTAAAGACCTGAAAGAAGTTCAGCCAGACAACAGACAGTTTCAATCCGAGATTCTATATCGCATCGGTTACAGCCAATGGGAGCTTGATCCGTCCCCAGCTGCACGAAAAGACCGCACCCGTGCATATAGCAGCCTATTTGCGTCCATCCAGGCGAACATGAATTTCGCGCCTGCATACACTATCCTTGGTATCTACTTCGCTGATTATAAAAAGGACAAGACGCGAGCCCGCCGATGCTTCCACAAGGCATTCGAACTTTCTACTTCAGAGATTGAGGCCGCTGAGCGTCTCGCCAGGGGCTTTGCTGACTCCAAAGAGTGGGACCTCGTCGAAGCAGTTGCGCAGCGAGTCGTTGAATCCGGCAAAGCCAAACCTTCCCCTGGATCAAAGCGCCGAGGTTTTAGCTGGCCATTTGCTGCATTAGGAACTGTCCAAATCAACAAGCAACAATACAGCAAAAGTATTGTTTCATTCCAAGCAGCGCTCCGACTCTCACCAAATGACTACCATTCTTGGGTTGGCCTCGCTGAAAGCTATCATCACTCTGGTCGTTACATCGCTGCCACCAAGGCATTTGAGCATGCCAAAACACTAGAGTCTGGACTATCGGAGAGGGAGAAGGAAAATGTGTGGTTCTCACGATACATGCTGGCAAACGTCAGGCGAGAGCTTGGCGAATATGATGATGCAATCGCCAGCTACGACAATGTTTTGAGCTCCCGGCCCGACGACATAGGCGTGTCAATCGCGCTCCTTCAGACCTTGACCGAGAGCTCGGCGAAGAGTCTCGGCTTAGGTCTTTTCAATGATGCCGCCGAATTGGCATGCCGAGCTTTAGTGTTGGCGAAATCGTTGGCCCAGATCCAGAGTGACATTTTCAATCTGTGGAAGGCTGTGGGCGACGCCTGTTCTTACTTTTCACACATGAAAAGTAAACTAGTAAAACTATCTGCTTCCGACTGCAAGACTCTCTTGGCGGTTGATCTTGATCCTATGGCTTTTGATTTGATGACCGAGATCGATGGTGTTGGAAAGGAGTGGCTCGAGACCAGCAACGATGAACAGTCCGCCCCTTCTGAATTGCACATTTATACAGCCATTCTCGCATACAAACGTGCACTTCACGTCTCGGTCCAAGATTCCCACGCCCAGGCGGTTGCCTGGTACAACCTTGGTTGGGCTGAGTACCTCGCATATCGTGACTTGCACTCAGAGTCCACCAAGAAGGGCAAGAAGTCCCGCAAATTCCTGAAGGCAGCCATGCAGTGCTTCAAGCGAGCAATTGAACTGGAAGCCGGCAATGCTGATTTCTGGAACTCATTGGGTGTGGTCACTACTAGCATGAGTCCTAAGGTCGCGCAACATGCGTTCGTGAGAAGTTTACATTTGAATGATCGCAACGCGTCCGTCTGGACCAACCTTGGAGCGCTCTACCTCATTCACAACGATATTCAGCTCGCCAATGACTCCTTCACACGAGCACAGTCAATTGATCCAGACTTTGCACAGGCTTGGGTAGGCCAAGGTTTACTTGCACTTCTTGTTGGAGAAACAAAGGAGGCCAGAGGCATCTTTGAGCACGCTTTCGACATTTCAAACTCTTCTGAGATTATCCCTAAGCGCCAGTACGCACTCACCCTCTTTGATCATCTTCTCACCGAGCCTTTGGCGTCAAATGAAGTGTCCAAACTCATTCAACCGTTCTTTGCCCTCCACCAACTCTGCATCCAAGACCCATCAGACCTACCGTTTGTTCATATCTCCGCCCTATTGGCAGAAAGAATGGGCGAGAGCGCAGATGCTGAATTGAGCCTGCAGGCTGTCTGCGCAGGAATGGAAACCGAGTTCGAAGAAACGGAGTCACCTGCATCCCTTTCGAAATATGCACAGGCAAATGCCGATATGGCTCGAGTTTTGCTCGCTCGCCATGTATATGAAGAAGCTGCAGAGAAGGCTGAGCTTGCGCTCACACTCTCTGGAGAGGAAGATGCGGAGAAGTTCGATCCTGAGGCTTGTCGGAAGCTTCGTCTATCAGCACACCTGACCGCTGGTCTCGCATTCTATTATACAAAGTCATGGGACCAAGCTATTGATATGTTCCGCGATGCCCTAGAAGAAGCAAATCATGACCCAGATGTAGTCTGTCTCCTTGCCCAGGTCTTGTGGGCCAAGGGTGGCGAGGAAGACCGGTCAGTCGCTCGCGAGCAACTCTTCAGTTGTCTCGAGAAGGACCCATATCACGTTGGGGCTACTACCCTCCTGGGTGCCATCGCGATCTTGGATGGGGATCGGGGTGCAATTGAGGCCGTGGAGGCAGATCTCAACAGCATGATCATACGCGACGATATTGATAACAACGAGCGAGCCAAACTGATCAAACTTCAGACGACCATTTCAGCCTTGGGCTTCAACGCCCACGCGAATGTTCCCGAGGATACCAGACGGATTGGTGAAGCCTCTGCTGCGATTATGATCTCGCCTGGACTGCCCGCGGGGTGGATAGAGCTGTCCACGGCATCACAAAATTCCTCCGCAGCAGAAATGACCGTGAAGCGCGCGTGTGAGGGCGTGCCACCCCACGGTAACCTCGAGGCTGCAGGTCTCAGTCAGGCATATGCGCACAGCGGTAAGATCAGTGATTCTCTTCGGGCTATCATGATCGCGCCCGGGCAATGCTATGGCTGGGAGGAACTAGATCATCATTTGTCTACCCTGTCTGCATAAAAGCGTCATCGAAGCCCTCCGCCCATCAATGCTTGAATTCAGGTAATTTCTTTTAGGAACTTGGCTGCACAGTTAGTTCCAGCAAATGTTCATGAGACAAGACAATGTAGAGTAAAAAGCAACTTCCATACCTTCTTTTTAAAATTGCACATTAAGAAAGCCACGCTTTCCATCACGTTTGTTTGGCTTCACTCGTACCCTATTACTCCCCGTCCAGACTTGCGGTTTTCTCCAGCAAACGAGCCTTTCTACCTTGCCGCCATGGTGTATCCCAAGCTTCTATCTTTCCCCCAAGCACTGTAACACTACTAGGTGAAAGAAGCACCATACCCCTCGCAACAGTGGGATTGCAAAGCAAAAGCTTCGCGCCAATCGCAAGTTTTTCCAGATTGATTCCCTCAATACGTTGCAACTCAACGCCCACGGTAACAGTACCTGCTGCATCTTGAAGAATCAAACGATGTGGCCCATATCCACTGCTCCCAGAAGCATTCGCAGCAGGGCCGCTGTTCGCATGACCATTCTCTGTGGCTTCGGAATCCTCGCCAACAGCGATTGTGCGAACAATTTCACGTCCTCGAATAGCTTCGCCGCGCTCAACGCGTTCAATAGCTTCGATTTGGCTCCACAGACTTGTTCCGATATCTTCAATGTCTAGCACTTGGACTGGGATTGAGCCTTGTAATCGGCGTTCTTGGACGTTTGGGTCGTATGTATCGACCGGTAGAACGCATGATCTGTGTTTGGAAAGCGATTCTTTGATATCGGAGGCGAGGAGACGGAAAATTGCTGTCTTTGCAAGAGCGGAGGGAGGAATGTTGCGCTGTGCTGTGCCGGAGGATGATAGGAAATTGTTGAGCCAGGTTGGAGCTACCGAAAGAGATTTGGTGCTCAAGATTTGAGCTGCAATTTGATCAGGGCTAGTCATCTTGTTTGACTTGCTCGCAAGCTCACATTGTTGAAGATCAAAGCAAAGCAAAATGTCGGGGAAACCGTCAACGCGAAAGCAAGAGCACAGACCACCGCTTATAGCCGTTGATTTGGCCCCGAGTCTCTCACCTCCGACACCTCTGACACATCCCCTAGAGCACTCCGCAATGTCGACTTTATCTTCTCCACGCCCCTCCATTGCTTCATCTCGAGCTCACTCCCCGACTCCAGCTTCATCCCGCCCATCACTCGATGCTTTGAACACTAACGTCAGCGGGGGCTCAGCGCCGCATCTACCCCGTCCACCGCACGAGCGCTTTCCCCCTCATTACCACTACGACGAAATCGCAGCGCCCTTCGAGACTACTACAACCTTAAGCCCCCCGGGGCGGACCAGTCTTCCCCCAGAGATGCTTCGCGCTCCCGCAGCGTGCCACGGAACACAGATGCAGGAGAGATCTCCAATCCATCTGCTTTAGCATCAGGGACAGAGCTCGACAGTGCAGACTTCGACCCGCACCGCTATGTCGAGCATCTTCTTTCAACATCATCTTTATCTACTGTGCTCAAGGCGGAAAATACGTTGGTCGGAGATATTCGCACTCTTGACGGAGAAAGGAAAGCGCTTGTCTACGATAACTACTCTAAGCTGATCCGTGCCGTGGAAACAATTGGCAAAATGCGACGCAGCATGGATGAGCGTGGTGCTCCATTGACCATGACGAAAACACTGGGCCCGGCGATTGCTTTTGTTGCTGAGACCGCTGGTGGACTCATTAAAGAAGGCGAGGAGCAACGGCAGCGCATGAAAGAGGCAAAAAGGAATGCCGGGGCTTCGACCCAGAACAACGAGAAAGACACTGTTCGGTGGGTTCTTGCTGCGCCGCAGAGACTTGAGAAGCTTGTGGCGGATGGAAAAAGAGAGGATGCGGAGAAGGACTGGAGCGAAATCCAGAAGCTGCTTGACGCTTGGGTTGACGTCAAGGGAGTTACTGATATTCGTGATGCCTGCGGAAAAATCATGAATCGCGCGGGTCACAATGATTGAATAGCTCTGCATCTGCCCTCGGTCACAAAATATACGGCTACGGCTCCTCTACTTGGCCTCTTGACAGGACCAGCTACCAAGGTCATTGGATGAGCCAACTCATTCAAGAAACCTAAACGGTCCCTTGCCTTTCCAAGACATGGTCACCCCACGCTTGCCCCCAGCTGGCTTCATTGAAGCTGGCGCCCTCTCGGATCCCGGGAACGCACCAAGCCACCGGCCTGTTCTCGCATGTCAGAGCTCACTGCTACCGGTGGCTGCTGCTCAGAGCTCCAATGTTTATCAAATGCCATAGATAATCGCCCTGTTCAGAGATACCCATTCCAGCAAAAATACAAATCATGAAACTCGTGCTCGTAATTCACAAAACAGCCCAACTGATCATCTAATTCACTTCCCCTCAAGCACATCCCGACTCGAAAACATGCTCGCCTTCAAACCATAATCATTCTTCGAGGAAATTTCAAGATAAGTGTATGCATCGCACTTATAGTAAATAGGTCGAGTACCCTTCTCCACAAGCCCAATATCAACCAGTTTCTTCACCACACGCTTAACATCCTCAGTATCCTCAAAATCAGCCGTGTAAACGCAGATCAAACGCGCTTTTCCGGAGCCATCATCCGGGGCGACTTTGGCTACATCTCCAAGCTCACCCCTCTCCATCGCTTTGACGACCGCATCCCAGTACGCATCAACCTGGTCAGGTGTCGGGAACAACATCCACTTACCATGCGTGACACCCGTCTCGCGTGCCAAGGCAAGGATGTTCTTCTCGAGTTCTCGTCGAAGTGGATTGAGTTTGCGGGTTAGAGCAGATGTAGTCTTCGCGCCTGATTTATCGTGTGCCTCGCGCAGCACGGTACTTTCGTTCTCATATTCCTGAAGGAGCTCTCGGCCCTTTCTTAGTAAGGTGGGGATATCTCCATCTTCGGTAGACGGGACCTTGGGATTGTGCATCCATATCCAAGGCCTTGTAAACGTAAGTTGTGTAGTTGATGGTGGCAGACGAGAGAGAAATTGAGCCACAGGCTCTTTCTCACCGCGACGGTCGTGGGGCAGGGTTGTTGGTGAAGCGGATGCATCTCTCATGGACACATCAGACGATGATTTTCTAGCAGGCGGAGCCCGTAGATTGTGTTGTTTTGTTGATAGAAGATTGTGATGGCACTCTCCCCAGAATGGCTCCGGATCATATGCTGCCGCCTGTGCCTCCAGTCTGTGTGTTTCATCTTCATCGCCTAGGCGGATGTCAGCTGATGTTCATGCTCGCTGATTGATAGTGGAGGTTTACCGTAGAAACTTGATTCGTCAGAGAGAATTTCATCGGCCATTACAGTTGGTGCCATTGCTCTAGAATTGGGGAAATTTGGCGGGGTTTGAGTAACTGAGGATAGAAAGAAAGAAAGTCAGCGTGTTGCCTAATAAACAATCCGCGTTCTATTTTGGCCACCTCTAGTCTTCCTTTTCTTGATGTCTTTTTATTCTATAAAAAGAGTCTACAATATTGTACAAATGGGTCAATTAAAAAAATAACCTGTAGTATTTTTACTTCAATTTTGTTCATCAGTGCTAGCATTCAACTGCGAGAGTACCTCAAGACCGATAAAATAGCTACATATGTATGGATGCTGTCCCCCAGGCACCAGGTTTCCGGTTGTTTCAATCCAGGAGCACAACCGAGCAGGCTCCATGGAGAAAAAAAGATAAATGGCAAATGGCTTCTCGATATACCAGTGAAGATCGTTACAGGCCAGCAATGGCGGCGGAGCATCCTGGTTATATATGTGCTCTTTAGATCATCATCAAGAAAGCATCGTACCAGGTTGGTAGGGTCCAAAAAAGATATATGCAGGCATTGATGCTTACGACAACTAACCCTCAAATCCAACATACGCGTTTGATAGCTTCTGACGAACCCACTGCTTCTTTGTTAGCTGTCCAATAGGGCCTAGCTACTTAGGTAAAAAGGTTTGTATTCAGTTACTCACCTCACCTGCTTTGAAAGGCTGTTTACATGCTGGTTTGTCAACCGTAATGAAATTTGGCAGAACAGAAACCGTTGCATTGTAGTCAATCCCGAAGAAGAAGGGAATGGAGTAGCGCTCCTGGCCTGTCAAGTTTGTGACGCGATGAATGGTCGACTTGAATGTCTTATTCGTCCTAAAAAAGTTAATACATAGTATTTCTGCTAGCAAATGTATTGCTCTTACCATATTGATAGACAATCTGCGATATTGACAACTAAAGTCCCTGGCAATGGCGGCGCAAGTATCCACTCGCCGCTATGGTTTAAAACTTGCAAACCCGGCACGTTGCCTTGGGAGAGAATGGTAAAGCATTCAAAATCCTAGGTATTCATCCAGATGTCAGTATTGGAACTCTATTCTTGTTTCCCCGAGAGCCTACCGTATGGGCCCCGAGTCCCTCACGTATCTCCTCTTTAACCGGCTGTGGTGGATAATGCATCATTCTTGACGTGACTCCTGGATCACAAACCATAGAGTCAAAATGCTTCTCTGGCATATCCAAAGCTAGGGCAATAAGTCTCATCATTTTTCGACATAGCTCTAGTATCATTGTGCAATATCGAATATAGGTATCGACGAAATTTGGAAGTGTATCTTGATCAGGCCATTGATTACCTCCGTATAGTTCATATGGATCAAGGGGAAGTGGGTCATCCTTCGATTTCTGAAGATCCATTGCGGTCTCATATCCAATATCGAATGCCTCAGAGAGAGCACTGGCGGCATCTTCCTGCGATATAGGGTCATCGTCCGTCCCTGTGGATCTCTCCCCACCTAGAGGACTGTAGCCACGGAATTTCTAGTAATGTATTAGTCAATTACTTTGAAAATTCGGGAATGCCTTTTATTATATACTTACCGGTGAGTGACCAATATAGAGTCTCATCTTTTGCTCTTCGGGGAGGGCGAAAAACCGCTCTGCTGCGCTGTGGATGTCTTTAATCACATCCTCTGCAATCCCATGGTTCTAAATAATATATAAGTATTAACAGAAACACTCTGGAGTATGACAACGGCATTTTACTTTGATGTAGAAGAAACCAACATGGGTGCAGACGTCACGGATCGACTGAGCAAGTTTCTGTCGATCTTCAAAATGAGGACTGTTCAAATTGGAGAGGTCGATAATTGGGATATGGTCACACTCTGCGAGCTGTGAGCCCTCGGCCTGTTGAGTCATGATGGCTTCGATGATGTTCCAGGTAGAAGGTAGAAATAATTAAAAGGGATGTCTAGAAGCCGTTTCATACTTCGCGGGGTAAATCCGCCGTTATCATCCACCAACCATGACACGATGATTGCTGCAGGAACCACTCTGTGTTGCTACAATACACATATTGATACAATGCGCAAATCTCGAACATCTCTTGGAAAAGGCTCTTCATACATTCTATGTGCCGCTAAATTTAGGAATGCTCGTACGTGCATGCTTTTTGTAACTTTCTCCACCCACTGAAAACATAGCCGTCAATTTCTGGGAAGTGAAAGAAATATTCATAGATGCCATGAAAGTCTAAGCAGGAGATTCGGTTTCCTCGGTTGGATGCTTGGTATCCAGCCAACGCCATGAAGCAATGGCTTGAACAAGGCAGACAGCAGCTATCCCGCATCAGTAAATTGAACGATATATCGCAGACTCGTCGAATGACTTACCTAATGCCACAGTCATATAGAAAAAGCCGATGGTTTCAAACAGCGAGCCGGTCAACAAGGGTCCAAACATCATTCCGATGCTGAACCCCACTTCCGTAATGGAAAATACTCGCAAATTGCTTATGTTGGCGTCAAACAGAATCGGGTCTTTGGCTTCCATGTCCTTAACCACATCTAAGGGGAAGAGAAAGCGACATTAGCAAGAGATTTAAATGAACCAAAGTCAACACAAACTCACAGGCCATCTGCACTGCTCCAACACCGCGCACCAGAGAATAAACACTCCCCAAAGCAATCAGAGTGCAAGTAAATATAACCTTTCCAGCTGCGTCACCTCCTGCCCACGGGAAATGCGAATCTCCTGGTATCCCCATAAGTAGGACCAGAGGGGTAAGTCCAATCCAACCTAAGGTGGCCGGGCCCCGTAGGCCGAGTCGATCACGAAGCCATCCAGCTGGTCCACTGAAAAAGATATTGGGAACCTGTAGGCAGAAAAACATCATGCTGATAAAAAAGCTTTTCCAGCCAAACGTATCACGCAGGTGGACAGGAAGGGTGTTATTGATGCCCGACCCAAGAGCAGCGACCACTACCACATTTGCCAAAGCAATCAACACTCGAGGCTCAGAAAGCATGACCTTGTAAAACTTCATCTTTTGGTCGCCCTTGTTCTCTGCTTCATAGTCCTTTTGCTTGATGGTGGACGGTGCGTCAGATAGCAGAGTAGTGGACTCCCCGGGTGCTGCTTCGTTGTTGGGAATCGGAGTGCTAGAGGATTTTATCCCATTGTCCGAGGCATGCATCGAGGACTCAGACCGAGGTTCGATCATGATCACACGAGCGATGATATCCAGAGCCAGTACAACCAAGGGCAGCGACCACGCGGTCCAATAACCAAAAAGTTCCAGCAATGTACCGCTGACTGTTGGTCCTCCGAGGATTCCTGCAGTGACGAATGACATTGCCATTCCCATCGATGCTCCTAAGTTTTCTTTGTCCACGTTATTAGCCAACAAAGCAAATCCGACTACCCAAGTGCCAGCACCTGCGGCGCCTTGCAGAACGCGACCAAGAAATAGAACCCAGACTGGAAGTTATGGTTAGCTTGAGTGAGACTCGTCCAGTAAGAGAAAAGTGGATCATACCAGAAGAGGCGAGAGCGATCATCAACGTTCCCACCAAGCATCCTGCCAGAGAGATCAATAGCGGCTTCTTCTGGCTTGTGGTCTTCTCGGCAAGGTAGCCGATGGCTGGAGCTGCAATCAGACCAACGAATCCATGAATCGTGAGCAATGCCGTGGTATATCTCTGTGTTTGCGATGGGTCGATATGCAGTCGTTCTTCAAGCATATAACTCAAAATGGGGGTGAGAAACCCATAGAGAAATGTCTCTAAATCGATAAGTCTATTAGATCCCAATACCCTATAGTGAAACAAGGCCACACGCACCTGCGAATAAAGCAACTGTGATCGAGGAAACGATCAGAAACCGGGATGACCGCCAGGAATAGCCCCAGGGCTTTTTGAACTCCATTGCTAAGTTGTGACAAAGTGTCAAGAAGAAGAGAGAAAAGTGGGGGGTAAAGACAAGATAAGTATTCTAGATTCTCACCGGCAGGATCACATCATCAATACAATCTACAAAGCTACCTAAATGTAAGTGAGAGAATTAGATCCCTAAGATAAATCGTTTTGTTTATTTTCTTTTTCGTATTTCTTTGGCCGACAAGCTTAGCTTTGATTCTAGTGCCGGGGGCAGGCAAACACCCAATGTAGATCGCCCTCGGGTCTAAGCCGGCGTGATCGACGCCCCAATGCACCCCAATGCACACCAATGTGCTCATTTGCAAGGGAGAAGACAAAAAAAACAGCCTATGTGTCACATTTTGAGTTCAAACCATTCCCGACAAGCGGGCCCTGCGAGGTGCAAATCCTGAAAAGTGCAGTCTTACGGTGTTCAGGATACGAACTTCTTTACTTTCCATATGCAGTGACTAGAAAGAGAAAATTCGGGCTGCCCGCAAACCTGCGAGGCAAATAAATGTCTTGAATATTTTCGTAACTTTCGTGACCATAGATATAGCCCGCCGGCGACCGTCGGATCTCTAATTAGTATGACTGAGGTATAAAACTAGACCCGTATTCGCGCTATAACAATGGCATTGCCATAGTTACATGATTCTATCTTGACTCACAGATAGAAAAAACATCCAAGTGGAGTTATGCAATGCAAATGCAGTGAAACAGTAGTTCGAGTGATAAGCCAATCGAGTTGTATAGTCCCAATCATGATCCAGGATGCACAAGCGGCTCATTGTAAGAGGAATGAGGATTTTGTTGCATGTGATTACTACTGGCTTGCATGCAATCCATGGATGTAACCCAATACTCCTTCAGACAATATTATTCATCGTGGTTTCAGACAACTCAATAGTTGAAATAAGCTGTGACTCCTTGGCGTGGGATTAGCAGAGCCAGTGCCAGTGCCAGTTCCAATGCATGTATACTGCTCAATGAGCTGCAGCATTTGGTGAATTCTCACGGTTCATAGCCACTTTTATGTAAAAGTAAACCACCAAAATGTTCGTTCAGATGAACTTGTATGTATCACTTGTATGTATTCATTTTTTTTTCCCATACTTCACTGGATTCTCACCGCCCCACTCTATGATTTTTCGGCTTTGAGATCGAGGGTTGCAAGACTACAATTGTATCTGGGGAGGTAGAATCTTTGAACCTGAACTTGATCAAAATGGCAAGCATTCAAAATCCTCAATCGGCAACCACAGTCTATCTAGACCAGCCACCGAGCTGCCTCGAATTTTGTCCGGAGGCTCCAGATTACTTCATTGTGGGAACCTACCTTCTATCAGAAATCAAAGCCGAGGATGGGGAAATCCAGCAACGTAAAACCGGCAGTCTGCAATTATGGAAACTAGACCCGGTCAGCAAAGCACTGTAAGTTGATAAATTTTTATCGTGGCCTGTTCACATATTAACAACGTTTAGATCCCAAATACAAAAGATTGCTGTACCATACGCAGTATTTGATTTGCATTTTCACCCAACACAAAAGAACATATTTGCAATTGCGAGCAGCGTGGGATCAGTCGCCCTCTTCCAATTATCTATTGACTCCACCGGAGATGCATCAACTACAGACCCAAACATGACCGAGCTATGGACAAAACAAGTCCACGAAGACTCATCAATTCCAGCCCTCTTCCTCGCCTGGGCACCACAGAATTGGTTCCCACGGTCCCCGGCAGACGGCTTTGCAGTCACGTTCTCTGATAGCCGAACTGCTGTCTTCGGGACACAAGGCGATCTCCGCAAAGAAGAGAGCGTAGTAGAATGGGGTACCTATGAAGCCAAACAGATGATTGAAGTCTGGTTTGTTGCTTTGGCCTCAATGGCAGGCTCAAGCCCAGCTGCCGGTCAAAAGCCCATTGAGTCCCCATTCATGTTCACCGGTAATGATTTTGGCTCGCTGCACACCCGCCGATTCGACAATACTGCTGAGCTGGATGATCCAGATGAGAGCATCTCGCCGATGCTTCTTGAGCATGATGATCGTGCGCGCCATCATACTGCTGGCGTGACCGCTATCTTGCCACTTCCTGTTCCCTTGGTGGACGATGCTCCTATTCTACTGACAGGGAGCTATGACGAGGGTCTGCGCGTGTATCATGCTTCGCGCAGGGGTGAAGTCCTCGCTGAAGAGAGTTTGGAAGGTGGTGTGTGGCGATTGCAGCTGTTGGATACGACAAAGATCACAGATTCTGAGGACTGCTTCTTGGTTCTGGCTAGCTGTATGCATGCGGGGACAAGAGTTGTTCGTGTTAAATGCAAGCAACAGGATGGATCTTCTGAATGGGAGATCGAGGTTCTGGCGAAGTTTACGGAGCATGAGAGCATGAACTATGCCAGTGGTGTTTGGAATGGTGCAAAGGCGAGCGAAAAAGCGGATCAGTCGTCCGAGCTCTTGGTCGTCTCAAGTAGTTTCTATGATCGAAGGCTTTGTGTTTGGATCGCAACTGTATAGTCAAAAGAAGCACCATTGCACTGCAGCTCCCACACCTTCAAAATCTAGTTTTCAACATCATAGAAGTCAGGGTCTAGGCTCTCTACATTTTCTACATCAGTACCAGGAGTGAACGCCGATATTAAACTCTTGACATGATTGTGGTCATGAACACGCTAGACAAATAACATGCATAAGCGACAGGTATACAAGTACATCCGCGCCCGAAAGAAAAAGATGGTTCATATCCGAAGGTGTGTCGTTTCCATTGAGCGCATAATTTAAACAATGGTCTCCAGCTCGCGGGCGTATCCCAATGCATTCTCAATAACAGTACCGCTGGCCATCAAGATATCCTTCTCGGACCCCGACTCGGGCTCGGGGAAGAATATCCGGCCATCACGGAGGATCCAGCCGCGCTGTTTAGCAAACTCAATAACTGCGCCCTCGGACTCGAGGAAAAGAAGATTCTTGGCGTTGGAAATGGGAAGAGACGGGTATGCTTTCTCCGAGCAGTCTGCGATTTCGCTACGGATGGTACCGATGAGAACCTACAATCATAAATCAGTACACTTTTCTCCAAATCATTCCACCAGACTGCGACTAATGCAACTTACGTTTGAGAACAGACCAAAGTCTTCGGATGGCACACGCTCGGACTTTGTCTCTCTCCACACCTTGTCGTAGCTTCCTTCCATCAAGTTGCGCTCCAGCTCAACGGGGTACTTGATGTATGCATCGTCCTCAACACGACCACCCTTCAAGCTTGCCTCTTCCACCAGTCCCTCTAGCACTGTGTGGAAGTTGGCACTGTCGCCCATGCTCAAAAGCAGAAGCAAGTACAACCCTGTGATCTTGCTGCGTTGGCTTGTGCTGAAGTCAACTTCTGACGAACTCTGTCCTGGCAAACCGGCATGTCTTTCAAGGTCGTAGAATGGCTGCAGTTGCTGATAGTATCGTGTGAACAACTGCGCGTCGGTCTGGCGAATTGAGGCGAGGGCTCCGAGCTCAAGGACTTGACGGGCGAGGACGACAAGCTGGGGAGATGTGGATGGGGTGGGAATCAATGCATTCTGCATAAGAAGGGCTCGCTTGGCACGGCTGAGGAGGTCATTGGCGGCGTCCAGTTGCTTGCGCTCAAGAGCACCGTGGAGCTCTGACACAAGGGACTGTAGATCGGACATGGCGTTTATGTTGTGGATTCAGAACAATACTGGAGAAAGATTAAGAAAGCCTAGCCGTAGCTTAACGGGAGCAATGACTTGAACGGCGAGGGAGATAAGAAGTGCGGGTTTTGCTTGATGGTTGTTGGCGCTATGCCGATGCCCATGACGGCGGAGCTGTCGTGGGCGGTCAGAGCTACGTCACGTGTGTATGTTTTTTGGCGGTTTATAAGCTGGGCGGTCTGATATTGCCCATCACTACAAGTAACTACGCGGTGCAGTTGTCAATCTCCGAAGGTTCAATTCAATTTTGCTATAAAAATAAAACTACGCTTGGTTTTTTGACAAGGCCAGCTTGACAAGTGTACGAAATAAAGGCGTACCTAGCCCTGTTACAGGGTCCCAACCTTCAGTGGCATTCCAGCTAGCATTCGGGACTAGAGCAGTGGAAACCCCCCAGAAGACCCCTTACAGCCGGTTGAACCACCATGGACAATATCTGTGAGCCCTGATTGCCCGCTATTATAAAGCCATGGGTTGAGGAATCCCATCCGCGGCTTACCCTGGGCAAGGCGAGCAGCGTTCAGCCGTGAAACAACCGCCGCGAAAACCGGAGCTGAAGCACTACTCACTGTCAGTCTGCTACTCTCTCGGTGTGATTGTGAAAGACAAACCTTGTGCCGGCCACCGAGATCCACATGCCATGGTCTCGGATAATGAAGTTGGTCGCTTGGGCTGATACGTCGGGGGATCCCCTTCCATTGGGATTGTAAAGTCCTGTCCATTGACTACCTAGACGCTCGAGATAATTTTTCACCGCTTGCTCTTGGTATGAGGGACGAGGGAAGATCTCTGAAAATCCTCCCCCGGAAAAATAAACCGCTGTTTCAGGATTGATATTGTGCGTGCCTCCCACAGAGGTAACAAATGGACATGAAGAAGGGTAGGTGGGGAGGAACCTGGTTCGATTGGTTCCGTCGTTCATCAAGCAAGAACCTCCTGTGCCAGAATCCCCACTACTGAAAAGTATAGATACACCTCGCGCGCCAAGTTGGGCGAATAAGCTGCAGGTTGCGTTCACATAAGATGCCGGAAGACTTTGTTCATCCTCGCCATATGAGTTCGATAGCACTGCCGGCAGCTCATCATCGGGCAGATTCAAAAGGTAATGGAGCTGTTCAAGGTAGGGCTCATTCGACGAGCTCGAGGGGTCTGGATGGTCTATCTCAGCAACCGCAGGACCGCGTCCGCCAGTGGTATAGAATGTTGCTAGCACTTCATCTGCCAGCGAGATAGAGTACTGTACGTCCAAATTGGCTTCAATGCTGTCAAAGAAAGAATTTTGCTTATTCTGACCGCCATTGATTGAGACAACGCTGAAATTGGAGTTCGTATTATTTGGTGCATAGCTTTGCAGGAATTCCTCGAAGTCTTCGTAATGAGCATATTGATCCAAAAACCCAGATATGCCCAATCGATTGCGCCATTCCGGTCTGGTTGATGTGTTGTCAATTCCATACAATTCTCTGAGGCAACGTGGTGTAGTAGCTCGATCACATTCAACGGCCAGTTGCTCGGGGTTAGCTGGCGTGGCTTGCGTGATCATACTTTTCTGCAGACCGAAATTGCCGAATCGAGTTGTAGGCTGGATCAATTGAATGTATGGATGCAAGTCTTTGGGCACAGAATACTCAAGGGTCCTGACAGCGGTGCTTTGCTGGTAGCGATAATGAAAATAGAAAAACTTCGTTTTCAGAAGCTCCTCGGCCTGAGAAATTGGCATCATGAATGAGATCCAATTGCCATCTGATTTGATAGCATTGGCTGGGACTTTGGCAGATCTCAACCATGCGATAATCTTGTTGGAAACAGCAGGGGACGGGCGCAGTAACTCGTTCACTTCATCCCGCTTCATGTGTTGGCCGTAGTTGGGATGACCTGGAGTGGAAAGCTCTATAACCTTCTGCTCAAAGTCTGCGGCATTGTTCTGCGTAATTGCTAGACGAAATTTCATGAGCTTCGCAGGCTGTGGTCTACTTCCTCTCGTCCAGCCATCTGGCACATTTTCCAGCTGCTCAACACGTTGATGACTTGAATCAATACATGATCCGATCTGAGCATAACATATCACAAGGCCCAAAGCCTGGATAAGTAGAGATTGGAGTTTCATCTTGTTACTCGACAATCAAAGTGAAGATGAAAGGTTGAAATCAAAATGGAGCTTTGAATGGCTGTATGTTTCTTCCCAAATACCATGTGAACGTTAGCGCATCTCGTTTTGGGGCGAACGAACTTATCCGATTTAGCTTGATGAAGGGAAGCCCATGTCCCTAATACAACGTTGCACACCAAAGCAATAGTCACCGATACCTGCCGTTTACCGAGCTTTGCTGCTCAACCTGTGCAAGCTCAAGTACTTCAATATTTCAATTGTTGCTGGTGAGTCCAACAGGCGCAACTACAACCAACCAATAGGTATTATTACTTCATAGTTGCTGTGAAGGCAAGTGTTTTAAACTCTTCTTTGTAGAAATAGAAGCCGAGGCTGCATTCACCTCTTACACAATATAATTTCTGATATAAATGATCTTATGGGAGTAAACTATTGCCACCTTACTCGACTTGTACCACTAAACATCGGTTTCCTGTCTCGATTCTAGCAATGTCTCATGATCGGCCTGTAATGCCTGAAAGGCTAGGTTGTGCTACCAAGTACTAGTTAACTAATTTTATCCCTTGTGTACCTGGAAAGGTGTCTTTCTGCCCCTAATAATGACCAGCAAAAGTATTTGGTTCAAAGTGGATTTCGTATGTAGCTGGAGTGGCCACTTATAATAAGGCTTTACTGGTAACAGAACAATTCTCTCCCACTTTTGAATCTCAAAACTGCTATTGACTATAATATTATAAATGGACGGAAAAGAAAGACTTTGGAATGATATTTACAGAGTAGCCAGACTTTATAGTCTATAGTATTTATAGAATGTCAATACCAAAATATTGAATTCGGATCCACACGGATCAATTGAGAACCCGCGAAATGCGGGATGATCGACGTCACGATGAATGGAGGATCATTTGAGATCACTTTTCGATCATTTGGAATTCACTTTAAATATTGTGGAATATTTAGTCCGAGGAATTTGTCATATCTCGTTCCTTAGTTGCTTATCCAACTACCTAATGGGATACTGTGCAGTTTTAATTGGAATCTCGAATGTGGGGAAAGCTCAACTTTTTCTCGACCCTCTTTTTTTCTTCTCTTTTTGTTTGATCAAACATCTCAGTAACTCAGTAACAAGAATTTGTTGCAACCAAAAAACCCGGGGAATCCGAATAAATTGAAATCCTAAAGTTGCGGGGTTACATACGTCATTGCTAGATATATATCGGGACTGGACGCCCTTCCCCCCCCCCCCCCCCCCCCAAACCTTCGCCTCACATCCCAATCACACCATGGCCGAGACTCAATCACCACGTCGAATGTCGGCGAATAATCAGGTTGTCTCCAAAGCGGAGATACCCTTGAATGAACGATTTTTTCGTTACTTCCAGCATGAGATCACCTGTACGTTTCAATAGTGACTATCAGGGTACGTGAAGGGCGTTGTGCTAAAGTCATCCGAATTTAGCTTTGCAAGAAAGAATGGACCACCTTGCAGATACATCTCTCGTGGGAGGTGAACGGGCCGATGCAACAGATCACTGCCTTGCCGGCATCGTGCGGTTATCAAATGAAGTCAAGGATGCGGCGAGCTATATTCCCACATATGATCAGAGGGTCTATGCAGAGGTACACAGTGCTCAAAGCTTGCATTTGTTGACCGAGACTGACAGTTGTTCAGGCAATCAAAGCTTTGCAGGATCGATTGAGTGAAATCCGTACAGCATTCGAACCCAGATCAAAATTCAGCTTCAAGAACAAGAAGAACGCATCAGCTATCTCCCTGTCTGATGCTGCGTCATTGGCCGTAAAGGGCCGGCTCAATGTTTCTGGGTATCGCTCTCCGGGTTCCTCGTCCGTTGATTCGTCCGCGAACCACACGCCCAATTACCCTTCCACGCCACTGAATGAGCCAGACAAGCAGCAGCAAGAGAGACCGGAGCTTACGCCGACTTCATGTCCTGGCGTCTCAACTGCTGACTTTGCCACACATCCCCACTCGAATAAGTTCGCGGCTACTGGCATATCGTCTGTCTCTGTCGACGACCACTATGCCTTGCACATAATGCTTCCGGCTTCTGGCTCAACCTCTACAGTCCCAGCGTCGATCACCTCTCTGGATCACTGCATTGTTGACATGTCCATCCCTACCGCCAACGGAAAGCCGTATGCTAGTCTGACTGCCAAGGGAATAAAAGAGAGCTTATTGGTCTGCGGTCAGGTCAATGGCCCTGCACACGTTACTGACGTTGAACAAAGCGTCATGGTGGTCTCGTGTCGTCAGTTCCGCATGCACAACTGCAAAGACGTTGATGTCTATCTCAGTTGTTCCAGCAACCCCATCATTGAGGACTGTTCCAACGTTCGCTTCGGTCGGATCCCCAAGGCCTACGTCAGTACCTCTCTTGTCATCGAGCCACTTTATTTAACCCATACTCACTTCTTGTTCATAGGCATTGAACCACGATCGACCTGACCATGAAGACCGTTGGAGTCAGGTTGAAGACTTCAAATGGATTAAGCCTGAGCCAAGTCCAAATTGGAGTCTACTTGATCCTAACGATGCGGTCCCAGAAGAGGTTTGGGCAGAGATTGTTCCTGGCGGGCCGGGATGGTCTCTTGAGGACATTTTACGTGCCATTAAGGTGGTGAAAGATTAAATTCCCCAGCTCAGCAGATCGAGGTCCTTGGATTCACTTGGAATTTCTCCAGTGGTCACATAGCCATTGCATCTGCAATTGAGTTTTATAATTCTTGTGACCGCCATGCGGTTGCCAGCGTTTGCGTTGACATTAGGGACTTGTACTGCTTAGGGATATGGTCAAGAGGTTGATTTGGGGGATTGGTATGCACTACGTCGGCTATGTACAGCTACGGAAAAAGAAATTTTAATCAAAAGGACATTAAACAATATCAAAATTTCATCACTAGTATATGGGACGTCTTCGCCGACTCTATATCCACAATCCTTGAAGCTCAGAATTTCAACTTGAATACCAACACCTGAGTGTCAAGGTTGTAGCCAGACGCATCCTTGTAGTCCAATTTGCCAAAATCCAGGTGCCCTAGAGGATCGTTAACTTTGCACTCCCTATTAAGAAAATAATTTTTTCTTACCATCCTGGGTCATGAAGTCGTTATCACTGAAACTGAACAAGAAGTACTCCCCGTCAGCTCCTCGATGAGCGCCGCCAGAAGAAGGATTCGCAGGAACAACAGCAAGACTCTCCCACTTCTCGTTCAAAAGGAACTCATCCGATGGACCACCATTGTGAAGGCGGAACTTACCCAGCTCTGAGTTGACATTGTAATCCACGAACGAACAGTACTCCGCTGGAACGATACCGGGGAACAATACGCCCTCAGAGGAAGCAATAGCTCCATGAGCGTCATCGTAATTTTTCTTCCCCTTCAAATCAGTAGCGGGAATTTTACCCTTCAAAGAGAAGACATCTGCATGCCGATACACAGACCTCGTGTTCTTCTGTCCACGACCAAACCCAGAGTCACGAGCAAGAACCAAAAAATCCCCAGAGGGTAACTGGTGAATCTCCGACTGACTAGCAACCCCATGCGCCTTCTTCGCATCTTTCTCCGTGTAATCCCAATACTTGGGCAACATGACAACATACTCATGAACCAACACCGGCTTTTCCGCAACCGAGATATCATAAGCAAGCAACCTCACCGGCGACCGAGAAACTTTCTCCGGTCCACCCTCCTGATTCAACGAGCTCTGCACAAGCACATACAGCATCTTCCCATCCGCCGAGACAGTCACACCCTCAAAACCCTGGTTATTATTCCGCCCAGACTCAGTGTAGATTGGAACCGGCTTAGCTTGCGGGTTATACAGCGGCGGCGAGTTGGAGTTAAAGCTCAGTGTCCCGTTACGCCGCGGCAGGTATGCCTCCGGCGGCTGGATGGCATGCACCATGCGGCCCTCGGCATTAAACTTGTAAATATACGGCCCGTACTCATCGGAAACCCAGAAGCCGCCATCGCGCGTGTCTAGCGCCAGGCCTTCGGAGTCCACAGAGACCCGCTTGCCGCCCGGCCCTGGTCCGCCGTATCCATTGCCCGGATAGGTTGCCAGAGGGAGTGGGGGAAGCCGGGATAGGAGGCGTGGCCGGAGACGTCGGCGTCCAGGGCTGTTAGTGGGTGGCCGTCTGGGCCGGTGAGCAGGATTGTGTCGAGGTATTTAAGGTTCACATTTGGGTTGGAGGGGTTCTTGGGTGTTGCGTTCGGTGCTAGCTTCAAGTTTATGGCGAACTTGTGGATGCGGGACTGGAAATTGAGAGTGCCGTTTGTATTCCTGGGTACGTTAGGGAGGGCCTAGTCGTGCACATCTGGGGTTAATTTTACCAGCCTCGATCCGGGGTCGCGTAGACAGTTCCCGAGTAACTATACTGACTGGTCTTGCGCCAGGCGGATTGGTCAAAGGCGATTGAGCTGCCTATTCCTCCAATCGTGTCGCCATATTTGTCGGTGGCATTCGAGGGAACGAAACCGTACCCAGCGAGACCGGTGTACTTGTAGGTTTTACCGCCGCAAGTCGTCTGGTTGACGACGTGCTCGGCAGCATTTGCTGTTACGGTCAAAACAGCGATGGCAAAAGTCAGCTTCATGGTAGCAAAGGTGACTGAAATTGTTGAACAGGCATATTGAATGGTTGGTAGTGTCTTTTTATATTTGGATGCTTCATAGGTCGTGGCCCGATCTTGGAACCCCTCAGGCATGTAGAGTTTGAGGTACGGTATGCAGCAAGCGTGCGGGCGATGCCGTTCGTCATTTGCTGGCGGATGAACAGGGATCAACATCAAATGCTCGGCAGTCGTCCATTGCTTTGATGTCAAGCCACGATTATCATTACCGCGATCGGTATGCAGAGCCTAGATGCTATCTGATCTGGAAGTGCGGAGGCTCGCTTACCGCGCGTGGCTAAGCTTTGTACTCGCTTGAATGTCCGAATTAAATCAGTCCTATTACTCTCTATCTGATAGATCAGTTCCGCCTATTCTTTTACTTAGACATTCCAAGTCGTGGGCAGTTTCGGGTAGTTCTTCGCGTGGTAACCCAGGTCTTGATAGACCGTCGCGTCCCCTGCATAAGTTTCAGGTTAATTAAAATCAACAGAAATTATCAGCATGAATACATACCTTGTAGAGCATCGATTCGATGCTCATTTTCATCTTCCAGTTTCTCCAACTCCTGGCCAGGCTCTTCCTCGTGAGGCAATTTCTCTCCCTGGGCAGTCGCAGCTTTGCCAAGGTCATTCTGCCCCTCGCCGATCATGAGGAATTGGGCATTCGGATAGTCCAAAAATTCGGGTTGCAGGGGCACCCATCGGAGGTCTCCGAACTTCTCGAGTACTCTGACAAGATAAGGTCAGCTCTATGCCCCATACATTCTTGATTCAAGTTCACTTACGATGCAGGGTACTCAGGGTTCTTTGGTAATCGACCACTCGGGGGACCAAGAAATTTGGGATTCTTGGATTGGACAATCCAGCTCCCGCGTTCTCGAAGACCAAAGTCTTCTTGAATAGTCCCCAATTCGGCAGGGATGGTCAGGATGTAGGCAAGAAGAGCGTTCCGCGGCGTGTGGGTGATTGCGTAGACACCTTCCGCGTATGGCCGGGCCTCTTCGGTGTGACGTTCACCCTTTGTGACAGTCTGGTATGTTTTACCAGCAATGAAATTTTCCTGTAAAGATTGCATGGATTGCCCGGCCTTTTCCACGAACCCCATATCTCGCTCTCTGCCTGAGGTTGGGAATTTCTTCTTCGGCAGCATCATCAAACGACATTGAGTGCCTTTATCAACAGGGCCTTGGCCATGATTAAATTCAGCCCCGAGGGCCGTAGGACTGAGAACAAAAAAGCTTCGAGCTACGTCCGCAATGCTGTGAGGATCCTCCACGTTGACCCGTGGGCGGAAAAAAAAGTAGATGAAGCCTTTCTCAAGAATGTTGGAAGATACCACGTTCTCCCTCTCTTCAGACTTGCGAAGACCTGCTTCAATACTTGGCGCTTGCTTTGGGGGTTGGTCGCTTGGTGCATGCTCTTCAAGCGGCTCTTCAGCTTTGATATGTTCTTCAGGCTTCGGCGTTGAAGGGCCGTCTACCGAAGTACTTATCGGTTCCGCTTTCGGTGCCTCTGGCTTTATATCCTGTGGTTTGACATCTTCTTTTTTCTCCTTTTTAGGCTGTGGGGCCTCTTTAGGCGGGACTTTTCGCTTTGTGCCTGTGCCAGGCTTCCCACTCGGTTCGGCAGTACTTGAGATAGCTTCCTTGGCCTTTTGGGCGGCATTGCGTGAGGACATTCGTGTCGCCATTTTGAATCAAAGGATGTTATAACGTAGATGGTAGAGATCCAGATAGTTGAATGGTTGGGGAGTGTGTTCGAGCTTTGGAGCTTCTGCGCCTGCAGTGATATACATGTGACGTCATGCGTAGAGCCCATCGGGGGGTTCGGATCCAGAAAATCCATGTAGGACCCAGAGGTTCAATTTCGGAATATTTTAGTCAATATCCATTTCATCGGCCATAGGCGAGTTATCAAGGGTATTGACGCCGCTAAAATCCGTCGATTGTGTCTCAGAACTTGAACTTTCGTTCCCCTTGGCTTCGCGAAAGGTATCAAACAACTCTCCAGAGTAGGATTGCTCCTGTGACGGTATGTTGCATCTTCTCCTTTTAGTGGACTGAGAACAAGCTTGATGCCTCTCTGAGAATACGTTTCGTTCAAAGGGCGGGGAGCAATGTTGTCCAAGAGCTGCGGTATCAGCCGACTTTCTCTTTAGTCCTTTCTTTCGTACTATAGAAACTGAGTCAAGTTTTTGCCCATCCGCTTGGTACTTCAGGTCTTTTATATAGTCCGACAAATCGCGCTGCCATCGTTCGAATCGATCTGGAAGGCGTAATACATCCAGACTTGGCGTGTAGGACTCGGGTTCGTCTTCGGGCTCCTCAACGGCATATGGCTTGATGATACGTTTCTCATCGTTGTTATCACGCGATTCAAGGTCGTGTATAGGTGTTGAAGGTCCAGAATCATTCACGCTCTGCTCGCTTTCCTCTGTTGGGGATCGTGCGGTAGCACCAAACGGGGCAAATCCGCCAAAGTTTCCAGATGAGACACTTGGATTGCTTTTATGGATAAAGGGATGTGTATCGGTCATTGGAAGGTCTTCCATTTTGGTATATCATGTCTTGACAGTGATCAACAAATTCAGTAGATCAAGTCGCAATTTATATAGCTGGAATAGACCAGGCTAAAGCAATTTTCAAAGAAAAGATATAAAGGATAGCAATGAAAGTGCAAAATTGGGAGGGTGGATATATTGCAACAGTGAAGAGAAAAAGTTGTATAGTTATAGAAGTTGTAAGAAGGGTTTGGTCATAGCATCATTTATCATTTCCAGATGCTTCTAACGCGGGGAGTAGTGGTGAGTTATATGGAGAACACTGTTGCTCTCCACCCATCTAAATTATAAGGAGAATGAATAGAAGCAATATAATCATTATCATTGAGATAGAAATATTTTAAGAAATAGACCCTGATCTAAATATAAAAAAGGTCGCAAAGGTCGAGAAGCTCTACTCCCCCCTGATGGCTCACCGCCCGGAAGCATGATTGGCCGTCATTCGCTTGCACAATAGAGTCCACGTTTAGTTTACCTTCACCAAGCCATCCAGTGTTTACCTCGACTTATTACTGTACTCTTTCTTTTCTGGCAGTGGATGCGGTGGTCGCCTCTGCCTTCTTTTGATCTCTAGTGTGCGGAGCTTGCTGCTTTACAGTGCGGCTCCGGCCAAATCTTCAAGATGCAGTCTTCCCCAAACATGCTCACCAAGGTACGCCCCTCGTCAATGGCGCGCCCGTCAATGTTTCACAATCCAATTGGAGATCCTAATGGTCATTTCTTGATTAGTTTGAGTCCAAATCATCCAGAGCCAAAGGAATCGCATTCCATCCAAAACGGTCAGTTACCTGAGGGGACACATAGCCAAAGCACCCGAACTGACCTCCCAATAGGCCATGGATTCTTGTCTCCCTCCACTCCTCTACTATCCAGTTGTGGGACTACCGCATGGGAACCCTTATTGATCGATTCGAAGAACACGATGGACCGGTCCGTGGTGTTGATTTCCACCCAACCCAGCCCCTGTTTGTGTCCGGAGGCGACGATTACAAGATCAAGGTTTGGAACTACCAGACACGGAGATGTCTATTCACATTGAACGGCCATTTGGACTATGTCCGGACGGTTTTCTTCCACCCGGAGCTACCTTGGATCCTGTCTGCGTCTGATGACCAGACCATTAGAATCTGGAACTGGCAAAACCGGTCACTAAGTAAGTGCCATTGAAGCCTTTTGGAATAAAATTGACTAACAATTCGGTTCCCTTTAGTCTGCACCATGACCGGTCACAACCATTATGTTATGTGCGCCCAGTTCCATCCCACCGAGGACCTCATCGCTTCAGCCTCGTTGGATCAGTCGGTTCGCATTTGGGACATCTCCGGCTTGCGAAAGAAGCACTCGGCCCCGACCTCGATTTCGTTCGAAGACCAAATGGCACGAGCCAACCAGAACCAAGCCGATATGTTTGGTAACACCGACGCAGTTGTCAAGTTTGTGCTGGAGGGACATGACCGTGGGGTCAACTGGGTGTCGTTCCACCCCACACTGCCTTTGCTCGTTTCGGCCGGTGACGATCGACTGGTCAAGCTTTGGCGAATGAGTGATACCAAGGCGTGGGAGGTCGACACCTGTCGCGGTCATTTCCAGAATGCCTCTGCGGCTTTGTTCCACCCGCACCAGGACCTCATCCTCTCCGTTGGTGAAGATAAGACGATTCGCGCGTGGGATCTAAACAAGCGGACCTCCGTGCAGTCCTTCAAGCGCGACCTCGATCGATTCTGGGTCATCGCTGCCCACCCTGAGATGAACCTGTTTGCCGCGGGCCATGACACTGGTGTTATGGTCTTCAAGCTTGAGCGTGAGCGCCCTGCTTCCGCCATCTACCAAAACCAGCTGTTCTACATCACAAAGGAGAAGCACGTAAAGTCATACGACTTCGCAAAGAATGTCGAGTCGCCGCCGATGCTTTCACTGCGCAAACTCGGATCTCCATGGGTCCCTCCCCGTACCCTCTCCTACAACCCCGCCGAGCGTGCTATTTTGGTCACCACACCCGCCGATAACGGAACTTACGAATTGATTCACCTCCCCAGAGATGCCACTGGAGCTATCGAGCCCACGGACGTCAAGCGTGGTCAAGCTACATCGGCCGTGTTTGTTGCCCGCAACCGCTTTGCTGTGTTCAACCCCTCCAGCCAGCAGGTCGATATCAAGGATCTAAGCAACTCCACCACCAAGACCATCAAGCCCCCAGCTGGCACCACCGATATCTACTTTGGTGGCACCGGATGCTTGCTCTTTATCACCCCTACACACGTCGCTCTCTTCGATATCCAACAAAAGAAGCAGCTTGCAGACCTCGCCGTCAGTGGAGTGAAGTACGTGGTTTGGTCTAACGATGGACTTTATTGCGCTTTGCTGAGCAAGCACAATGTAACGATTGTCACCAAGTCTCTCGAGCAAGTCAGCACCCTGCACGAGACCATTCGCATCAAGAGTGCTACCTGGGATGACGCCGGTGTGTTGCTCTATTCTACCCTCAATCACGTCAAGTATTCTCTTCTCAACGGAGACAACGGTATCATCCGCACTCTTGACCAGACTGTATATCTGGTGCGCGTCAAGGGACGTAGTGTTTACGCTCTTGACCGCAATGCTCAGCCCCGTGTCTTGGAGATTGACCCCACCGAGTACCGCTTCAAGCTTGCTTTGGTCAAGCGGAACTATGATGAGATGCTTCAGATCATCAAGACCTCTAGCTTGGTTGGCCAGAGCATTATCTCGTATCTACAGAAGAAGGGCTACCCCGAGATTGCTCTGCAATTCGTCCAAGACCCCCAGACTCGCTTCGACCTTGCCCTTGAGTGTGGTAACCTTGAGGTCGCCAACGAAATGGCACGGGATTTGGACCGTCCCAACTTCTGGAGCAGACTTGGAACCGAGGCGTTGGCTCATGGTAACCACCAGACCGTCGAAATGACCTACCAAAAGCAGCGCAACTTCGACAAGCTCTCTTTCCTTTACCTCGCTACTGGTGACCAGGAGAAGCTTTCACGTATGGCTAAGATTGCCGAGCACCGTGGTGATTTCACCTCTCGTTTCCAGAACGCTATCTACCGCGGCGATGTAGAGGACCGCATCCAAATGTTCAAGGAAGTCGACTTGTACCCTCTTGCTTATCTCACTGCCAAGTCACATGGCTTGGTTGAAGAGGCCGAGTCCATTCTGGAGGCCTGCGGTCTCACTGAAGATCAGATTGGCTTGCCCGCACTCGAGCAACCCCTGAAGGTTCCTCATCCAATTGTGCCCACTTTCAAGTCTAACTGGCCGGTCAAGGCTGCTGGTCATTCATCTTTCGAGAAGGCTCTCCTTGGAGAGGTTGGTGCCGCAGATGAAGATGCCGGTGCTGATGGGTTTGATATCGAGGAAGAGGAGCAAGAAGCTACTCTCGCTCGAGAGACCTTGGATGATGATGAAGAGGAAGTATCTGGATGGGACATGGGAGACGACGTCAATGTCGAGGAAGATGTTGACTTTGTCAATGTGGAAAGCGTTGAAGCTGGCGCGAGCAGTGCCGAGGCCGACCTGTGGGCTCGCAACTCCCCGTTGGCTGCGGATCACGTTGCCGCTGGCTCTTTCGACACTGCCATGCAGCTGCTGAACCGTCAAGTGGGCGCCGTTCACTTCGCCCCTCTGAAGCCTCGATTCTTGGAAGTCTACAAGGCATCCAAGACATATCTCCCCGCGAGCGCTGGCCTACCGCCCTTGGTCAACTATGTGCGCAGAACTGTCGACGAGACCGACTCTCGGAAGATGCTCCCCATCATTCCCCGGGACCTAGAGACTATTGCCAGCGTCGACTTGCAGGAAGGTTACAGCGCTATGCGCTCCAATAAGTTGGAGGAAGGCGTGGAGACTTTCAAGCGAATTTTGCACACTATTCTCGTCAACACTGTCTCATCCGAGGCAGATGTGGAGCAGGCAAAGAAGATCATCTCCACTGCTCGGGAATACATTCTCGCCATGTCGATGGAGCTTGCGCGCCGTACTCTTCCCACTGACACTCCCGAAAACCTCAAGCGCAGCCTTGAACTGTCTGCCTACTTCACCATTCCCAAGCTCGAGGTCGCTCATCGTCAACTTGCATTGATGGCTGCCATGAAGTTCGCCTTTGCCAACAAGAACTACGGCTCTGCCCTGAGCTTTGCCAACCGGATGCTGGCCAACGGAGGCTCAGCCAAGCTTCTGGAGCAGGTAGGAATAACTCAATGCCCACTTATCATTCTTATCTCAATACTAACTATGAACAATAGGCCAAGAAGATTAAAGCTCAGTGCGAACGTAACCCGCAAGACCAGATCGACATTGACTTCGACCCCTTCGCCGAGTTCGACATCTGTGCTGCTTCCCACACCCCGATCTACAACGGTTCCCCCAGTGTGTTAGATCCCTTCACCGGTGCCAAGTACCACCCCCAGTACAAGGGTAGTGTCGACCGGATATCGGATGTCACTGAGATTGGTGCGCCGGCCAGTGGTCTGCGTCTGTTCGTCCCCAGTCAATTTTAATTGCAGTATGACGAATCTCAACGGTCTTCTACCTTTTTTCTATTCTTCCTGATATGAAGTTACAAAATGGGTTCATTTTCATCTGCACAGGGTGAAGTTGTGTTTTGGCGGCGCTTTTCATTTTTTCGGCCGGGAGAAAGACAAAACTTCCTGCACATGCCTGTCTAGATGTCTTTTTGTATCCAAGATTATAATTGCTTAGCGATCTAGTTTGTATGCGAACATGTTTGTCCAAAAGATTCCAATGTAGGTTTCAATGTAGGTTCTACCTGATAATATATATTCCTATAGACGAATGCTTGAACGATTCATGCTCAGCTTCCCCAGAGCCACAGGGTCGATGGTAATTAAATTGAAGTCTATTATTGATTCGCCAGACTATGCATATCTAATGTACAAGGGAGATTTTCAACCCAGAAGAGCAGAGAGGAGAACGCTCCAACAAATCTAAATCACAATATTCGAAGTCCAACTCAATCACACCGGCCATCCTTCCACCCAATCCGCCACCTCTCCTCCCAAAACCGACAGTCGAACTCCTTCTTGCCTAATTTGCGATTAACCTCATTATGCGCTTCGCACATCCACCATCCAAACTCCTTCCGACTCCCCAGCTTCGGCTGATTGCGTCCACTGGGATGCGCCATCCAAGTCTGGAAATCATCCGCACACACCCAGCACGGATAGAGCTTCCCGAAGAATTTCAAGAACCCTTGCATATTGGATTGGTGTTCTGTGCTTGCTTTTTCGGGGTATGTGGCTGCCATTGAGTGGAGCAGTGTCCATGTTGAGCGGCCAAGTTCTTCGACATCTGGCGGGCAGTCGGAGGGCGTTTCGTTTGGTGGGGGTGTTGTGGCGGCGGCAGCGGCGAGTGCTGCTGTCGACGTTGTCATGTTACTTGTGCTGGGGGTTGAGGCGGAACCTGAGTTTTTGAGGTCCGCTTGTTTTGTCAATGCCTTCCATGACGCGACGGAGGTACAGGTGCGGCAGCTGGAAGTGGATACGACATGTTAGTTTGATCTTTATGCCAAAAACAGAAATTCAAAGGAATTGTTTGGCACTTACGGCTTTCCATCCTTGTCTAAAACTACTCCTTTGGGCAATGGGGCCTTCCGGTCATCGTCTCGGGGTTGCTTGGAGGAGCCGGCCGAGGCTGTAGACTTCTGGTTGAAGATGTTCCCAGTGCCTTTATATTGGCTATCAATCGGCTCGTGTGGGGCCTCGGCCATTGCGACAATAATGTACGTTTGCAAAAGGCGTGGAACTAATATTTGGCGGTCTTAAAAGTGCCTCGCATTTGATTTCTAATAGATTGCGGAGAACAGCGGAGTCATGGCAAGGCGAAGTGCCAGGTGTTCAGATCAAAGTACCTTGGAGTCTCCTTTTTTGCATCAAAAGGTCTTATAGTCTAGTGGTTAGGACAGTGGTTTTTGAGGGTATCCTTCTATTCTAAATTACCATTAGCCCCGGTTCGAACCCGGGTAAGACCTTCATTTTTTTTTAAACCTTTGACTATCTCTACATTCAAAGAATGATGCGTTTTTGCGATCTAATCAATTAAATGGCGTATTAGTTACGAAGTGCAGGAAAAACTAAGGTCATAGGTAATACTAAAACTGTCTTTGACTAACTTTTTAGCCACCTTACCTTTAATTGCACGCTCACTTTTATATATATACGGAGTAGAATAGACTTTGTACCTAAAATACCCTAGGTAGCCTAATTGTCACTAGCCCCTTGGTGAACGAAAGGACATTGGGTATATGCGAATTATAATAGGAAGAGGTCAACTGCTCCATAAGTGGTACTCCTAAGCTAGTTATACCCAGGAGGCACTAGATGCATATTTTGCCGGCATATATATAACGAAATTAAGATAACAACGTCCTTAAAATATAAGTTATAGGCTCCATGTCTCTACATACCTATATGCAGCCTTATAACAGCATGTATACACTTATAAGAAGCAAATATTGTGTATAAGTGAAATGCTATAGCGCCAAACAATTCACCCGTGGATCTCGATCCCGCTTTGTCATCCGTTTTCAAGCTCGCGGCTTCGCCCAAACACGCGCAACTTCGCATCTAGCTCTAATTGACATTCACATTTCTTTTCATTTTCTCTCAATCTCCCTCCTTTTACCTCTAATAATAATTCGCGCTGTCTCGTTTTATATACTGAGCTACATATACGATTTGACTCACCTTCAATTCTATCTACAAGCGACCTAGAGCAGCATAAACATGCCGCCGAAGTATAGAATGTCCGACTCCGACTCAGACGCCGACAGAGAAACTGCCAGTGGTCCCTCTGACCAGACTCTCGAAAAGGGTCTCCGCGACGGAGTTGCTGCAATCTTCAAGTCGGGCAATATGGAGGAATTGACTGTGAAACGCGTGCGACTTGCGGTGGAAAACAAACTAGGTCTCACAGCGGGGTACTTCAAGTCTACAGGTGATTGGAAAGTGCGGAGTGAGGAGATCATCAAAGACGAGGTTGTAAGTATTGTTCTACGTTGCCAACAGGGGTTCACTTGGTGAGAGGCACTGATTGTGATCATGATGCAGGAAACACAAGATAAGGCAGCGCATGAACCAGAGCCCGAACCTGCACCGCAGCCGAAGCCGGCTACCCTAGCTAAACGACCAAAGCCCGAAGGCGCACCTAAGCCTAGGAAACGCCAGAAGACGAAGACACCAGTATCAGACGAAGGTGAAGACGATCCCTCAGTCGCGTCCGGTGATGAGAGTGATGAGGTGGCAGAACCCAAGAAACGATCAAAAGTACCCGTGAAGAAGGCATTCGTACAGAAGTCCAAGTATACTGCCCCAAAATCCACCAAAAAAGACGAATCGGACGAATCGGAAACTTCTGATGTTGCTGCAAACACCTTGGATGTCCCCAAGGCGACCACAAAAGACGATTCCGAAAGCGAGATGTCAGTGGTACTCGACGAAGAGCCAAAGCCCAAAGCCCCGCGCAAGCGACAGAAGAGTACAGATGGTCCTGCTTCCAAAACGAAGAAAGCACCGAAGGCCAAGGGTGAAGATATCAGCCCGGACCAGGCTGAAATTAAAAGGCTGCAAGGATGGCTCATCAAGTGCGGGATCCGCAAGCTATGGGGTAAAGAGCTTGCTCCATATGACACCCCTAAAGCAAAGATTAAGCATCTGAAGGGAATGCTTGAAGATGCTGGAATGAAGGGCAGGCCATCTCAAGAAAGGGCTAACCAAATTCGCGAAGAACGGGAGTTAAAAGCCGACCTGGAGCAGATCAAAGAGGGAGAGAAAAACTGGGGTGTGCAGAGCGACGAGGAGGGTGGTGATGACGAGAAGCCTCGGCGTAGAGTTAATCGGGGGCACCAGTCGCTTGCATTCCTGGACAGCGACGATGGTGAGGAAACCGATTAAGACCGCACGTTTGTAAAGAATCAGCTTCGGCCGGGCAGCTGGGCTGTTTGAGGGCCGGAAGCCGAGTTAGATCGCTTTGAATCATTTGTATTTCATACATCGTAAGGTCGAGATATATGATCAATAATACACCCCATTATCGTGCAGCTTTGGGTCCGCTCATGCGCTGAGCAGTTAAACTGAAAATGGCGACGGAAGAGATGAAAAGAACGAGATTATAGAACTTGAGACTGTTAGCGAGATACAAATGCTCATATACTCGAACGGTAACCTACAGCTTTCCTTGAGTACTCGTTCTCCTCGGCCTCTGTTCTAGCCTCGACAAAGAGACGTCGCAAATTAGGGAGGTTTGCCTGCAGACTTGTTAGTGGCCATGTTTGCAATCCGAGTAAAAAGCCTCTCACCATAGTAAAATATTCTCAATGTTAAATCTGGGGTAAATCGGAGAGATTGCCAAAATAACCTTGAAAAGGAGAGAAGGTGAGATGACAGTACTCCGTAGAGGCGGGAGAGTCCAGAAGCCGCCATTTGTGGACAACTTTTGATCGTCCACCCTTCACCTACCCCCATTCTTCTCCTTGAAATCCCCCCACCACTCGGTTGTTCCATCTCTTTGTCGGTAACTGCGGACAGACTGAACAATCTTGACACATATTCCATTCCGACGACCGAGGAGCTTGAAATTCCCCGCAGTCCAACGTTACTCGATTAATCCCCCTCCCATCCCCGAATCTCTAGGCGGAGGCACGACTTAGTCGTTGCTGAAGCTTATACATACTCGCCATGGCGATGAACAAAATCCGCGGCGCCTTTGCGGTGCCTAGGAAAGGAGAGACATTCGAATTGCGAGCTGGACTTGTGTACGCGGCCCTCTCCACAATGCGATTGCCACATCGTTACAAATGAGGTATGATGCTAACAATTTCCGCAGTTCCCAGTATGCCTATGAACGGTATGTACAGCAGCAAAGCGATGAATCTCGGCCGACCGAAGGAGGAGGACGTGGTGGCTAACCATGTAACAGGAAGGAATCCATCCAAAAGACAATTATGGCCATGACCCTGGGGAAGGATGTCTCGGCCCTTTTCCCCGATGTGCTCAAGAACATTGCTACAGCCGATCTTGAGCAAAAGAAATTGGTTTACCTTTATCTCATGTGGGTATCGCGGTTGTTTCAGCGTGGCTACGTACGCTAATATGTGGAATCTCACATTTAGGAACTACGCCAAATCGCACCCTGATCTATGTATTCTCGCCGTGAACACATTCGTACAAGACTCGGAAGACCCCAACCCGCTGATCCGTGCGCTCGCAATCCGAACAATGGGCTGTATTCGGGTGGAGAAGATGGTGGACTACATGGAAGAACCGCTACGCAAGACTCTTCGGGACGAATCACCATATGTTCGCAAGACAGCTGCGATTTGTGTCGCCAAGCTGTTCGATCTGAATCCCGCGATGGCCCTCGAGAATGGATTCTTAGAGACGCTCCAGGAGATGATCGGTGATCCCAACCCGATGGTGGTCGCGAATGCAGTGACCGCACTTTCGGAGATTAACCACACTGCACCGGAGACACACGCGCTGAAAATTAATAACAACACCCTACGGAAGATGCTGATGGCACTGAACGAGTGCACAGAGTGGGGCCGCGTTACTATTCTCTCAACTTTGGCCGAATACAAAACGACCGACGTGAAGGAATCGGAACATATCTGCGAACGAGTTGCGCCTCAATTTCAACATGTTAACTCGGGTGTTGTTCTTGCAGCGGTCAAGGCTGTATTCTTACATATGAAGAACGTCAACTCTGAATTGGCAAAGACTTACTTGAAGAAAATGGCCCCGCCATTGGGTATGCCTCCCGGTTGCTCTTACTGCGCATCTTTCGCTAATTTTAGTTAGTCACATTGGTTTCGTCGGCTCCCGAGGTGCAATATGTGGCATTGAGAAATATCGACCTCCTGCTGCAGAAGCAGCCCGACATTCTCCAGAAGGAACTTCGTGTTTTCTTTTGCAAATACAACGATCCGCCATATGTCAAGTTCCAGAAGCTTGAGATCATGGTACGGATTGCGAACGATCGTAATGTGGACCAGCTCCTGGCTGAATTGAAAGAATACGCCCTTGAAGTCGATATGGACTTTGTCCGGCGCGCCGTCAAGGCCATCGGCCAGGTTGCTATCAAGATTGAGAGCGCAAGTGAACGGTGCGTCAACACATTGTTGGATCTGATCAACACCAAGGTAAACTACGTCGTTCAGGAAGCAATCGTGGTCATCAAGGACATTTTCCGAAAGTACCCTGGATACGAGGGTATTATCCCGACTTTGTGCCAGTGCATTGATGAGTTAGATGAGCCTAATGCTCGGGCGGCACTCATCTGGATTGTTGGAGAGTATGCCGAGAAGATCAGCAATGCGGGTGATATCCTGGGTGGATTCGTGGATGGATTTAACGAAGAATTCTCCTCGGTTCGTTTTTATCTTCTGATGGGTGCATCGTCCATGGCTAACATTTATTTCCAGACGCAATTGCAAATCCTCACTTCTGTGGTCAAGCTCTTCCTCAAGCGTCCTGAAAAGGCCCAGGGCCTTGTACAACGGGTCCTCCAGGCCGCGACAGCCGAGAACGACAACCCTGATGTTCGTGACCGAGCGTATATCTACTGGCGTCTTTTGTCCAACACCAGTGATTCAAATGCGACAAAGAGCATTGTGCTCTCCGATAAGCCTCCTATCGTTACCACCATCCACTCACTACCTCCGGCGCTCCTCGATCAACTCCTCACTGAATTGTCTACTCTCTCTTCTGTCTACCACAAACCCCCAGAGCAGTTTGTTGGCCACGGCCGATTCGGCGCCGATGCCGTCCAACGTGCTGCCATCGAGTATGTATTCACCTTGTATTCACCACACAGTTTGCTAATCATTCACAGGGAACAACTTCAAAATGCGCTCGAGAACCCATTAGCTGCCGGAGCCGCCGCAGCCGCCGGTGGCTCCGCACCGCCGGCGCAGGCGCAAAACAACGTCGAGAACTTGCTGGACATCGATTTCGACGGTGGTGCGCCTGCCTCGGCACAAAACGAGCCGGCTAGCGGCATGTCGGGCCTTGAGGGATTGGCCGGTACCCCTGTCCGGGTCGCATCGCCTGCGGTTGGCACTCCATCCGGTCAAGCCAACAACAACCTGGATGACCTGTTGGGCGTGTTTGGAGATTCTGCATCCGCGCAGCCCTCGTCGAGCGGTGCCAGCAACGGTGGCGCCGATATCATGAACGGTTTCTCTGGTCTTGATCTCTCAGGGAATGCACCTGCGCGAGATAATCAGGCCAAGAAATCTAACGATGACATCATGTCGCTCTTCTAGAGCCATTGATGGTATAGTGTTGTCTAGCCGATTCTATTGGTGTTATATGCAGGTGTTTCGCAAGCCGAGAATTCGAACAGAGCGAGATAGATTTCTATTATGTGTTTAATTCTGACTGCATCTCTCCCTAATCGCACTTCAAAAGGCTTGTATATTTTCCTCAAATATCAATTTTCTTGCTTTAGGCTTCGAACACTAAAGGCCTTAGTTCAAAGCTTGGCTATCTGGGGACCTTGCTGGCCCAGAACTATACTCAATCTCAACATAAAATCCAACATGAATCTACTGTATACTCCGTACTGTTGAAGTCGGTCTAAAAAACCACACAATCACGTAAAATGAGGTGATCAATTAGAGTTGCCTTAATTTTCGCCCAATGCAAGCCACCGGCTCCACTAAGAAAGAAAAATTCAACGAACTTCGGAAATCGTGCCGATATGTACAATAGTGTACAATTTAATTTCTATCATACTAGTCAACGAATGAAACAAGCCTCAATTGCCATAGGTACATACCTAGGCATTACCTAGGTAGAGTGTGTAGGTAGTATATATGTCCTAATCTATACACCTTAAAAAGCCCTAAGTTCCCCTAATCAAGGTGTCCAACCCGCCTGGTAGTGTCCGGGTTCCCCCAATCATTGATAACACAGGTCGACGACCCATTTAAGTCCATATCTCCGACATGTAAATGGATCCCGTGGGGGTGCTTACCAATTCAACAGGACACCGAAGTTTCCAGTGAAAACCCAAGTGGGACTGTAGGCTAGTCCCGCCTGGAACGGATATAAATGGGGCAGACGTCCCCCAAAGATAAGGGTTCAACTACACTGAAAACTTCCTGACAAAACACAATATGGCTACCGACTACAAGTTCGAAGGATGGATGGGTCTTGACCCTAGCTCTGGTGAGGGTAACATGGTCTGGCAAGAATTCCAGCCCAAGAACTGGGAAGAGACCGATGTCGATATCAAGATCTCGCACTGCGGTATCTGTGGCTCGGATCTGCACACTCTGCGCAGCGGCTGGGTGAGTTCCTTCAATACCCCCGAAAATCAAAGGATGGGATACATGGAAGCAATTACTAACATTCGCCACAGCGCCCAACCACTTACCCTTGCTGTGTTGGCCACGAAATTGTAGGCACAGCCGTGCGTGTGGGCTCCCAAGTCCCCGACATCAAAATCGGCGATCGTGTCGGTGTCGGTGCCCAGAGTGATTCCTGCCGTAACCGCTTCGGCGACTGCCAGGAGTGCGCTGCCGGGAAGGAGAACTACTGCTGCAAGAAAGTTATCGGCACCTATAACAGCGTCCACTATGATGGTGGCAACTCCTATGGCGGATACGCGAAGTATAACCGTGTGCCCGGTCACTTTGCTATCAAGATCCCTGATGCTATCCCCTCTGCGGATGCTGCGCCTATGCTGTGTGGTGGTGCTACTCTCTATAGCCCCCTCAAGCACAACAACTGTGGTCCCGGCAAGCGGGTTGGTATCATTGGTGTTGGTGGACTTGGACACTTTGGTCTCCTATTCGCTAAGGCAATGGGTGCTGATAAGGTCGTTGCTATCTCGCGCAAGCTCGGCAAGAAGGAGGATTCGCTGAAGATGGGTGCGGATCTTTACATTGCCACTGACGATGAGCCGAACTGGGCCTCCGATAATGCGAGGTCTTTGGATCTGATTGTCTCCACAGTCTCTTCTACCAAGGTGAGTTCCAAAAGCTGGTTGGGGCTTTAAAGTAAGACGTTCCGAGGACTAACTACGTTTTATAGATGCCCTTCAATGATTACTTGGGTCTGCTGAAGACCGGTGGTTCTTTCGTTCAGGTCGGTCTTCCCGAGGACGGCGGTCTGTTTGCTCCTGTCCGCAGCTTGATGCGCCAAATCAGTCTCCAGAGCTCTCTTGTTGGCAGCCCTGACGAAATCCGGGAGATGTTCCAGCTGGTTGCTGAGAAGGGCATCCACCCCTGGATTGAGGAAATCCCGATGAAGGACGCCAACAAGGCAATCGTCGATATGGAGGATGGCAAGGCGCGCTACCGCTACGTGCTGGTCAACGAGGAATAGAGGATAGATTTAAAATAGAGATGAGTTACGAAGTCAATGGAAGATTCGATGCGGAATGTGCAAACGAAATGTTTTAAGATTACTGAAAGACAATGTATTACAAGGAAAGCCTGATTCTTGGAATGAATGCTTTTGAAAACAACTTTTATTAATGCAACTGTCAAAAGTCAGATAAAATCCAAGCAATAATAGACTCTATGTATTACTATTAGCGAATATAGATAGGATAGATCCAACAAATTATAGAAAAGACAAAAGAAATCTCGAAGTGACCAAGCAGCCGCTCTTATTCAACTTCCGGCCCTGTCAAAGAACAGAAGAGGAAAAACCAAGCGGGGCATGGGTCAACTTTCACACAAAAGCTCAAGATACCGTGAGGGTCTCTCTGATCCACACCACAAAGATCAGAAGAGGTCAGGATCTGAGAAGCGATCAACACCTGGGGGTGGATCAGCTCAAAGCTGCTCAACTAATTTAGAAGAGAGCCATGAGGCCAACAACACCGGCGAGGAAGCCGAAGGCGGGTTGGACGTTGGAGGCACCACCGGTGAAGGTACCGGGGGTGGAGGAGGAACCGGGCTGCTCAGGGGTAGCGGGGGTGGAAGACTCCTCGGGAGTGGAAGGCTGGGCAGGCTGGGTCTCCTGAGGGGTAGCGGGCTGAGTCTCGGCAGGCTTGGTAGCAGCGGGCTGGGAGGCAGCGGGCTGGACAGCAGCGGGTTGGGAGGCAGCGGGCTGGGAAGCAGCGGGCTGGGCGACAGCGGGCTGGGAGACAGCGGGTTGGGCGACAGCAGGCTGGGAGACAGCAGGCTGGACAGCAGCGGGCTGGGAGGCAGCGGGCTGGGAAGCAGCGGGCTGGGAAGCAGCGGGCTGGGAAGCAGCAGGCTTGGAGGCAGCGGGCTCAGACTGGGCAGGCACAGCGGGCTGAGTGGCAGAAGGCTGGGCAGGCACAACGGGCTTGGAGGAGGCAGGCTTCTGGGGAGGGATCACGACAGTGCCGGTGGCCTGGGCGGGGGCGCTGGTTGCGGGCTGAGTAGCGTTGTGGAAGGTCACAGGCTTCTCGTTTTCGCAGTGAGTGCAGACGGTGGTCTTGGTGATGGTGATGGTGTTGGTGTTGGTGACAGGGATGGTGTAGGTCTTAGAGCCAGAGGTGACAGTAGACGAGGTGACTGGAAGCTTTGTTAGTAGGTGCGGCTTGGTGATTGCATGGTTCAATGGAACTTACCAGGGCAGGTGGTGGTCACAATGGTAAGGGTCTTGGTGGTTCCCGGGTGGGTGGGGGTGTGCTCCGGCTTGGTGGAGGTGGTGCACGGGGTGGTGGAGTGAGGCTTGGTGTGGGTAGACTCCGGCTTGGTGTGGGTGGACTCCGGCTTGGTGTGGGTGGACTCCGGCTTGGTGTGGGTGTGCTCCGGGGTGGTGTGGGTGTGAGTCGGGGTGGAGTGAGTCTGCACCGGGGTGGTAGAGGTGGTGCAGGGGGTAGTCCAGGACTCGGCGGGCTTGGTCCAGGAGTCGGTAGGACGGGTCCAGGACTCGTGGGTCGAGACGTGACCGGCGGGCTTGGACCAGCTCTCACCCCAACCCTCGGCCTGGTGGGGAGCAACGGCAGCAGAGCTCTGAGCGGCGGGCCGGACGAAGTCCTCACCACGAGCCTGCATAACACCGGCGAAGGCCGGGCTGGCGGCAAGAGCCAAAAGAGCAACGGAGTTGATCATTTCGAGAGATAAAAGTCTTTTCTTAATGTACTTGGAAAGATAACGAGTGAAGAGATGATGAAAAGAAAGTTTGAAATCGGGCAGAGATGAACGATCTTATATGCTCTTTTCGACAGTACAGTTCCCAAGTGAGAACAGACATGGGTGCCACGGTCGTGTCCAGGACAAAAAAGTCAGACCTGATCCACAATGTCACCATCTAAGGCTGAATGCAGGAACCATGATAGCTCAAGCAGAGATGACAAAGGTACATGAGCAAGGCCATTGGATGAAAATTTTGAGCAATGATACATCCATCCGATCGACTTTGATGCAAACGTGACAGCTTATAGTATCATTGCAGTAAAGCAGTGCACACGATCTCCACAGGAGTAACCTAATCCGGAACTATAAGGAGGATCTTGAGGGTTATTGGTGCTTTTTCATTCATGTACGGATCTGTACAGAGTTAAGTCAATGTGGATTTGATCGGAAGTGCTTTCCAATTCGATCGAGGGCATCACCAGCTGTTGATGAGAGCTCCGTGCATTTTGATCTTGTTTTGCAGCGAAGGGACACATGCGTGAAATGATTAGGGCAACATAATAACTATGACAGCCAACTAAAGAAAGTCCAGACTTGGATTTGGACGAGAGCATAGCTGGGTTTCGAGTGGCCCGAGCGAGCATTATTTTGAATAGACTTCTGTGATTGGAGATAGAAAACCTGGAGATGATTTCCCGCATATTGCGAATGCCAAACGCATCAATTACAGGCAGCCAAAAGCCTCGGGAGCGAATAAGAGAGTTCCTTGTGTCCTGTGGAATGTGAGCATGGCACAGGCAGAGCATGGGCGCGTTCCATCGACAGGCCAAAGAATGTACGGGGGAACTCGAAGCGTCGTCTCAACGGGATTTTCCCGAAACTCTCGCGATCTGAAGCTGTTGGCCAAATGTCACCCAATATATCACCGTTAGCTGTTATCAATGACGGGGACATTTCGGAGATTGCTCCAGTTTGGTAGAGTCCCTCCTAAGATGGAGCCGCAAAATAACAATGGGGTTCAATTGAAAATTCTGCTTAGATATCCGGATTCAGAGTTGTACCCTCGCCAATCAGAGGAAATATGCTGAAATACTTGGGGTTGTACCGTCGCTGTACACTTCGTATGTGTCCAATAGCACAAGAGGTCTAGATGTCATCCACGGATCCTGGCAGCTGAGAGGTACCACATCAGGATTGCAGGTAACTTGGCTGCAAGCGGCAAGAAGGAGGGAAAAGTTCTACTGCCCTTTTGCACTTGTTTGGTGAGGAACAATATTGAGTCAAGTTATCCGTTTCCGTCGATAGATGTATATTTCCAATTTGGGTAGTTAGGGCTTAGGGTAAGCACGTGCACGGGTCTCACGCGTCGCGCGTCGCGCCTTCCCGTTTAGGTTCAATTAAGAGCGATTGTTTGCCAACACCAAATTCGCCCAAGATGCCGCACTCTTTATCGCCTGATCTTGCGCAAAATGATGATGAGATGCCGGATGCGCCATCAGTCGAAACCTCGACTGAGAACAATGTTAAGCTGGAGGACATGTTCAACGACGATGAGGACGATGAGGAATTCCCTACTTCCGGGGATGTGAAGATGGATTCTCCAGCCGTAAAGCCAGAAGAGTGAGCACCAAAATCTAGAGGATGAATAACCACAACACTGACTTAAATCTTGCAACAGGCCTGTCCCTACACCATCTGGGGTTGACGACGAAGTCATGCTTGCCTTTTATCAACGACTTTTTCCCTTTCGATACCTATTCCAGTGGCTGAATCATGGAATTGTGCCGACGAAAGACTTCGGAAACCGCGAATTTGCCCTTACGCTACAAAATGACGCCTATCTCAGATACCAATCATACCCCACCGCAGACATGTGAGACTACTCAACTCTTGGATTGCTGGCCCTGATTAAGCTGACGCAAATATGGATAGGTTCCGGAAGGATATTCTGAGAATGAACCCCTCTCGTTTCGAAATTGGACCCGTCTACAGCACCAACCCGCGCGATCGCAAAACGCTCCGAGGTGGTCAAATGAAGCCTGTCTCCAAGGAACTGGTGTTCGATATCGATTTGACTGATTATGACGACATCCGTACTTGCTGTGTCAAGGCGAATATCTGCCCTAAGTGTTGGTCGTTTGCGACAATGGCTATCAAGGTCATTGATACCGCTCTACGGGAAGACTTTGGGTTTGAGCACATTCTCTGGGTTTACTCCGGCCGACGTGGTGTTCACGCTTGGGTGTGTGATCCGCGGGCACGTATTATGCCGGATGATCGACGAAAAGCCCTTGCCGGCTATCTCGAACTCATTCGAGGAGGGTCACAGAGTGGCAAGAAAGTCAATATAAAACGACCACTGCACCCCCACATTGTCCGCAGTCTCGAGATCCTGAAGAACGATTTCGCTAGAACGACTCTTGGCGATCAAGACACATTTGAAAGCGATGAGCAGGCGGAACGCTTGCTTTCTTTACTGCCCGATAAGGGTCTGAATGATTCCCTGCGAAGAAAGTGGGACTCTTCTCCAGGTCGCGCCAGCACCAGCAAATGGGCTGACATCGACTCACTCGCCAAGAGCGGTAAAAGCACTACTCTGAAGACATCTACTCTTCGGGATGCGAAGCAGGATATTGTTTTGGAATACACATACCCTCGCCTGGATGCCGAGGTCAGCAAAAAGATGATTCACTTGTTGAAGAGTCCCTTCGTTATTCACCCAGGAACTGGCCGTATTTGTGTTCCTATTGATCCTCGCAATGCCGAAAACTTCGACCCTCTATCCGTCCCGACAGCGATGCAGCTGCTTACGGAGATTGACGAATACGATGCGAAGCACCCTGCTGGCACAGCGGAGGCTGATGTCCCGGATGTGGAAGGCAGTGCAGCAAACGGCTCTGATGTTAAGGGTAGTCGCAAGTTGCAAGATTATGAAAAGACTAGCCTGAAGCCCTACATCGACTTCTTCCGCTCCTTCATCGCAGGCCTCATGAAGGAGGAACGTGCGGGCAAGCGTGAGCGGGATGAGAGTGGGCCAGCTGTCAAGGCGGATCCCATGGAATTCTAGCTGTCACATGTTCATGTTGCAATGCAGTGCCTCATGGGATTATGACTTTATGCTCTGTTGGTTACCTCTATTTATCTCACTCGAGACTTACAACCGTGATTATACAGTCTTCATGGTGTTTGGCGTTTATTGTGTATTGAACTGAATTAATTGTTCGTAATTAGCTTGACGTTGATGCATTTATTACCTTTTTCCACTGCAACCCATCGACCAACTGAACATTGAATGTACCTACTGCTGTTAGCCACATATGAGATGAACTTACGTATATAGGTGCATATGCAAGTTTGTGTCTCGAAGCATGGAGCAGGCTGGGGACTAGGTACTGATGAACATATATATGTATACCGCGAGATAGAGGTATATATTGGGTCATTCTTTTTTGCAGTCTTTTGAACCGGCTCCGGGTGCGGCTGAGGCTTTTGCTGGCGACTTGTTTGATCGTGGGGCCTCTTTGGTCTTTTTCTGGCCATGACGAATAAAGCGTTTATCCCATTGAGCACCTCTGTGGAAACAGGGGGATATTATCAACCCTATCCTTCGGTGCGTGCACGTCCAGAGAATCGGCACCCATCGTTATTATGCTGTAACATTCCTCTCTCTATTTTCCTGATTGTTTTTAGTAATTTGAGTTTAGTTGTATAGCGAGGGTGATGTCCAATTTATATTCGAACTGAGAGACTAGACTTTCTAAGATAGTTCAAATATACTTGCAGTAAGAGATTACAAAAGAGAATCACTCCATGGTATTCTAAAACAAATCTTTTACTTCATTTCGTTCGCTAGAGTTCAACTCTGGTTTCATTTGCTCGCATAAATAATTAATAGCCGTCTTACCATACTAGTTCCTGGACCACGAATCAAATTATGGTAAGACGGCTACCTAGTTACGTTCCAGCTGAAGGACTTGCAAAAAAAAAGCAAGATAAAAAAAGAGGTCGTGCCCGGGATCGAACCGGGATTGCCAGAATCAGAATCTGGAGTGATGACCATTACACTACACAACCCGAGGTGTTGATTTTGGGAAAATAAAATGTTATATGAACCTAAACTCAATTTTAGTAAATTAAATTTGTGGGTTTTGAAGAGATAAGTCCCTAAGGTAGCTTATTATTATAGATATATACATATTTATAGGTTCTATATGCTATATGTATGTAGTTATCAATAATAGGTTGCCTGCTTTATCAAAGGTAATTAATAAATATAAATCAATACATAGGGAGAAAAAGGAACGAGGTCATGCCAGGGAACACTTAGCTTGTTAGACGAAACCACATATGTAGAAATTCTAGAAAAAAAAAGCTCAGGAATCTAGAATCTCGATCCGGTATATACATACATATATAACCTATGGCATAGAGATCACTAGCTATAGTAGGCGATCCCTTCGTGTAATGGAATTAGGGCTCTGGACTTAATTTCCACAAAGGGCATATTCTTTATGGCGCATGTACTAAAAAGACCACTTATGATAACCTGTTCGACTTGTGATAACGGTTATCACACCAGGGTTTCCACTATATACTGCCTAGAGCCTCCACTGGCCCGGTATCCAAGATATTCCCTTGTATGGATTATTCATTATCCATTACGTTTTGGCCCGGATGGCCTAGATTTTGCATATTAGCTCACTACGTTCGCAATTATAATTTACCTCAAATATGAGGTGTTATAACATACACAATAGAAATTTCTAAAGTTCTGAGGTTCATATTATTAATCTAGTTCATACGCGGGCTATATAGTCTGAGGCACATGGTAAATGTGAGATATTCAATAGTTATATCTTGACAACCATGCTCTTGGTTCATTTCATTTCTTTATCGATGGAAACATATAGGCATCTTTGGTAGTAGTATATGCTGGTTTTGATTTCAATAAAAACTTGTATCATCATGATACCGAAACTTATGTAGGTAAAACCGAAAAATGTACATTTATGTACATATATATCTCAGTCACTATTTTACCTAACCTAATCATCCCTCCCTAAGTGGCTTGATATCATATAAAAGGCACCCGTATGTGAAAGCAAGGTTATATGAACTACTTCTCTTGACACACTACTGAGGTAAGATGTAATCTATCGCAATCACTATGTGTTACAGATCATGTAGCTCGTTCACATGCGTAGCCTGTATATGAAATAAGTCATGACTTATCAATAACGTCAAGTTACCAGGGTGTTACTACACATACAATAAGAAGAATGCAATCTGTATAACGCGATATAAGCACTACCTAGTAACTATAAGGCTTTTCTTTATTCCCTTTAGTTATATCAGGGTCAGTTTAGGGATCAGGGAGGCTTAGTGACTTAGGGTGTTAATATATCTAGGAATACTATGGGTTTATAATACATAGATATATCTTCTAAGTATAAGAATAAGCCCTTTTAAAGTATGAAAGATTTTGTGGCTTGTAAGTATACTTGTAATCGTGTTATATAGAGACTTGGTATTTTTCTACAATCGTGTATGGAGTAATCCTAATGTTTTGAGGTTATTGATGATAATAATATGATGAGCTTTAAAACCTAAATCTCCATCAATTGGTCTTATAGTCTAGTGGTTAGGACAGTGGTTTTTGAGGATACCCTTCTAAAATTACCATTAGCCCCGGTTCGAACCCGGGTAAGACCTTTTTTTTTTGGCTCTTAGGTAAGATTATCACACATCCATGGATCGTATTCTATATCGGTAATTTAGACATACCCGGTCCATGCGACCCGACCCCTTTGAGTGGATTGGGTCGCCACAGTGTATAGTAATCTATTCGGTAAGCGAGCTGCATAGCCCAGAACACATAGTAAAATCGATAAATTATAGCTTGATATCTCAATAACAGTGGTCTATAACTACTCCTCCTTTGAAAAATACTACTTTGAAGTCATTCTTAGATACTCGAGAGTCTTTTAAGTGTTTTCATAACCTAGAGTTATATAGATATATATGCCTAGTTGAGTCAACTTGCTCCTACATTATATTGACGCTTGATTCATAACACACTTAATTCGGGCCCACTCACATCCTCAGGTTGTGTAGTGTAATGGTCATCACTCCAGATTCTGATTCTGGCAATCCCGGTTCGATCCCGGGCACGACCTCTCTTTTTTTTGCGACTTTTTGCAAGTCCTTTAGTGTGCTCCTTATAATTGATAGCTATAGTCGTTAAGCAGTAACCCTATTGTATTCATAACAATAACGAGCTAGTTTTTGTTATAAGATCCGGAACGTAAGAAGTAATATTTAGGTTTAGAAGCAGGAGGCTAGTTAAGGACAAAGGGACAGGTTGTTATAGAATGAGATAATGTCATCGGTAGTTGAAAACCATTACAAGAATGAAACATAATGAATACCACTGTCTATGTACGTCGTTGTCTTTAAATGAACACATTTATCCGTCCGGGAACCACCCGTGGACCCAGTCAAGGTCATCCGAGAATAAGATCGCCATCGGCAGAAGGGTTTTAAGAGAAAGAAACGTAGCTGTCTGTCGCAGCCGTTTTCTTTCATATGAGCCCGTCTAGTCATAGGGCGTGGAGCAATAACAAGTCATCAACACTCTCTAACACTATGCATAATTAACGTCGACGTTGACAGTTGGAATCAGAAGAAAGGCGCTCAGTAACCAATAGAAGCCGTTGAGAGGAAAAAATGACATCTATAGATACTGCCAGACTACTACAGTAGAAGCTACATATAGTAGAAGTGGTGTTCATTCTTAGAAACTGGAGTGCTAGTTAAGGATGTAAAGAGGCGTATGTATGTATGGTGTTGAATACTCCACTTTTCGCTAGATTTTGAGTCAAAATGCACTTTGTTTTGCCCTCAACACCGCAGGTTGTGTAGTGTAATGGTCATCACTCCAGATTCTGATTCTGGCAATCCCGGTTCGATCCCGGGCACGACCTCTCTTTTTCTTTGGATTTTTTTATTAAACTCACTCACTCTATGAGCAAACATACACACAATACAAGCAAAAAACCCTTTTACAATTTAGTTTGCGAGGTTCGACAGGCCAAGTATGTGGAAATGCATGGAAACGTGTGTTGAAATGATCTTAGCCTCGAAAGCCTTAGTTCCAAACATGCATATATACATAGTATTGACTGTTCGTACAAGATGAGTGCGGAGGTAGATGAAGAGAGGGAAGGGAAGAGAGGATCTAATAAGTGACAGTTTATGTCTATACTATAGGTAAATATCTATGTATACAAGTTCATTTTGCATGTATTCCTGTGAAATAGTTTGAAGCTCATTAGACCTGTAAAATGAATAGTATGTAGAACTCGAAAAGGTAGGCGCAACAAAGCAGGCCACGGACAAGGAAGACGGAGACGAATTCCAAGCTAGGCCATGCTTCTCATTATCAAAAGGTAATCCCAGTGAGATTAAATAGGAAGGGAAACCATATCTGAGTTGTAAATTATTTAAGCACCGATGAAGTTCTTGACAGCTACAATAGAAGAAAGTCGTTAGCGATCAAGTTGCAGGAACATGGTATAGCATGGGGAACATACTTTCCAACCAATGAAGGTACTCCTTCTGCTCCTTGACGGAGATGTAGTCAGGAACCATGTTAGCGAACTCGGCATTAAGGCCGCGGTCCTCGAGGTAGCGGTCCCAGAGGCCCTGGAGGTCCTCGTCGAGGTTCTCGAAGGGAGGACCAGCGTAGAGGCTCTGGCGAGCCCAGTCCTTCTCGGCAGTCTGGGCCTGAGCAAGCTCGGCCTTGGCGAAGTGGGAGACCTCTTCGATCTGGAAGACACCGTCCTGAACGACGGTCTGGATGAGAAGAGCACCGTTGTTGGGCTTCTCAACAGTGACGTTCACGCGGGCAGGGAAGCTGGGCTCGGGCTGCTCGAATTCCTCAGCGCCATTCTCCTGGCTGCGCTGGTTATCATTCTGGTAGTCCAGGTCATCAGTCAGGCTGGAGTCATCGAACTCCTCCTGCTCACTGATGTTCTGGATGTCGGCGACGGTAAAACTGACACGGATGCTAGAAGATCAAACGTGTTAGCCTCAATCATCGAAAATGAACGGAAAAGGATGGGAATTCAGGTGTGAGATGGGCCTTACGTCTCGTTGCCAAACTTCTTGGAGAGGATGACCTCCTGGTCACCCTGAACATCCTTCACCTGCCACTCGCCATGCTTAATGATCTCGTCGATAATTTCCTGTTGCTCATTGAACTCGGGAATATCTGATGTCTTCTCGTGCTTCAGCTCATCCTCGAGCTTGGCGAGAAGGTCGATGTCGCCTGTTAAAAAAAGAAGTTCAGCAATAAGACCACATGCACCGTCCGCAATCCCATGCATTGGAATATCGCGGAGCATTTGGAATTCAATAGATTTATCTCACCTTCAGCTGCGGGAGCCTTGAGGATGCTAGAGGTTGAGAAAGCAGCGTAGGATGGCTTAATGGCCTGCTTCCAGGGTTGGCAGACAGCAGGCTTGGGGAACGCTGGGCGCAGAGCCGATGTGACAATGGAGCGCGAGAAAGTGCGCGGGATCGAGCGGGAGATAGTGCGAAGAGACAACATTATGATGGTAGATGATTCAAATTGGAGGATTGAAGATGGAAGCTTGCGAAAAAGTATCAATGAGCTAACTTGATGATGTTACCGGTGCCAAGACTTTTTTTTTGTTTTTGGCCGATTCTCCGGCCGCAAGATTTACTTCGACATTATTACATACATATGTATTTATGTATATGTAGATACTCATTGCTTTAATTTAGTTATTGAATGAGTTCTAAGTACATATAAATAATGACATAAAAGAGTATCTAAGAATATATCAGCTTGCGGTGACAATTGGTGGCCTAATAAGGTCTGCCATATACCTATTGGGGCGGAACTACTCCGTAAAACCAGACTACTACCTAAAGCACAAGAAATAGTATTGATGAAATGGTATATTGGAAGATATTCGGCTGTACAGAATCTAAAAAAGAATCGATGTACCCACAGTGCGCCAACCCAGTCTTTTTTGGACACCAGACAAAATAAAAGGATAAAAAAAAGATAAAATAATCGTGATCATGACAAGCTCTTGGGAGGGAAGGTAGATGTGAGTTTCTCTCCAGCCTTTGTGAAACGAATGAACTTGATGGAGCTGAGACCAGACCAATGTCCATTCCAGGTCTTCATTCCGGTCAATGCAAATTGATCGCTTAGGTCTGGCATCCAAAGTCCGGTTGTGAATTCTCGGTCTTCGGTCTGCACCCGCTCTTTGAGAGCCTCTTCCCGTTTGCTTGGGGGACGTCCCTTGCGTCGCTCGGACTGGAGCTGTTTGATTTCCTCGGTGTCACGGTCAATGTACCTAACGAATGTAAGTGTTGGATTGGATGAGTTGGTGGGCTGGTGGAACGTACTGAGCGACAAACTCGGTCATTTGTTCAGTTGAGAGGGCTTCCGTATGTTCTTGGATAGCTTCATATATGTATTCAATTCGATCCACTACTCAAGTCAGTTCGCTTGTCTTCGGTCAAAATGCGACATGTGTCTCACTGTATGGTTGTCTTGCCCGGTTCACAGTGTGGTTGTGGCGGGACAATCGATCGTCGCGGGCGCCAGCCTTGCGCAGTCGGTGAGCATCACGGCTGTTTTCGTGCATAATATTAAGACCATCTCCGCGTTTTTTGGAGATGTGCTTAGACACCTTTCCAAGAGAGACTTTAGGCATGGCTGCGTGATATTGATATTCTCACAAAATAATCTCGGTGATAATTTTCTTGGATGCAACGGCAAAATTAGGCGGTGACCCCGAAATCACCGCCTTCCCCACTTGAGGAAAGCGCGTCTGCGCGTCGAGAAGGGGACATTCCGGGGTTATTTACTCCCTCGAATGTTGAATTGGCCTTAAAATTGGACTTACATTGGACTCTTTATTCTTCGGCCTTTTGGTTGTGCAAATATCAATTTATGTTATTGCTTATTGCCTGAATACGAGGACCCGCCTGTGCCTCGAAGGGTGTCCACCATGGGCATTAAAGGTACGTTTCGCTAGGGGGAGACAAATTACTCTGTTGACATGTCAAAATAGGACTTCACGGGCTTCTCAAGTCCATACAGAAACCATGTCATATTAAGAAGTTCAGTGGACAAACCCTCGGTGTGGACGCATATGGATGGCTGCACCGCGGTACAGTCGCTTGTTCCGTGGATCTGGTACTGGACAATCCAACAAGGAAGTATGTTTGCACAGGTATCCTCCCATGAAATGATCACTCACCCCCTTATTCAATCACAGACATATCGAGTTCGTCCTCAATCGAGTCCGGATGCTTTTGTTCTTTGGAGTAAAACCCTACCTTGTCTTTGATGGCGACAATCTTCCCAGCAAGTCAGGCACCGAGCAGGATCGCTACCGCCGACGCCAAGAAAGCAAGGCACTTGGTCTTGAATTACAACGAAAGGGACGAATGCCAGAAGCATACCAGGAATTCCAAAAAGCCGTCGACGTTACACCCTACATGGCCCGGCAGTTGATTGAGGAACTGAAGCAAATGAATGTACAATATGTGGTTGCGCCATATGAAGCAGATGCACAACTTGTGTACCTAGAACAGGAAGGTGACATCGATGGAATCATATCAGAGGATTCTGATTTACTTGTGTTTGGAGCAAAGCGGCTGCTTTCGAAATTGGACCAACATGGGGAATGCATTGAGATTAATCGGGCCGAATTCAGTGCCTGCCGCGAGGTTAGCTTGGTCGGTTGGAGTGATCCAGACTTCAGGACTATGTGCATTTTGAGCGGTTGTGATTACTTGGCGAATATTCCTAAACTGGGCTTGAAGACTGCTTACCGGGTCGTTCGCAAGCACAGGAGCGTGGAAAAAGCTCTGCGTATGCTTCAATTTGAAGGCAACTTTCGTGTTCCGGCCGACTACCTTGCCAACTTCAAGCAAGCAGAGTTGACATTCCTTTACCAGCGGGTCTTCTGCGCCAAAGCCCAAAAGCTGGTGACCTTAACACCACCGGAAGAAGGTGTGGACCTCGAGGAGTTGCCCTTTATTGGTGGCGATTACGAGCCAGAGATTGCTGCTGGTGTTTCTCGGGGCGATCTGGATCCTTCCACCAAGGAACCCATCGTATTGAAACCATTGGCTGCTAGCAAATGGTCTCATGGTATCAACCGCCGCCAGACATTGGGCTCATCGTCTGAGCTGAAACCGCGCAAACCTATCAGCTCATTTTTCACCCCGAAGAGAACCCCGTTGGCCGAACTGGACCCCAACAGTTTGACTCCATCTCCGAGTCAGCAGCGACTCCTTGAGCGCAATGCGAACAACTCTTGGCAAGCCAATGCCGCACCATTCCGTTCCAACTCAGTTCGATCGACGCCTCTTCGGGCATTTTCTGACCAAGGTCTCAGCCCTATGATCAGAAGTGTAGAGCGCTCATCCTTCCTGACCCAAAGTACAAGGCCATCAACTTTGCAGCCAACAAAGAGGCAAAGGCTCTGCTCCGAGACCGAAGGGGATTCTCTACCTGCTTGTTCCCCTGCTCGCAGCCGATTTTTTGCCCTCACTTCCAATCAAGCTAGCCCCAGCGGACAGAAACTGTTCAGGTCTAAACGTTCCCGACAATCAGTGATCGGCGTCTTCTCTGACGAAGATGCAGAAGATATCATGTCCAGTATTCCTGATCCTAGTCTCATACCTGGGCCTACTGAGTCTAGACCTGAAAGCAATCTGGAGGTGGCAGACAAGTCTGGCGAAGTTGGAACTCTCTCCAAATCTAACAACAAGGAAAGTCCGACCGAAGACAACGTCGAGACACCCCGGGATATCACTGAGGCTGCTTCAACAAACTCTCCGGGCTTTGATCGGGCTTTGGAATATCATGTTGACCGACAAAACTCAGAGGTTCTTTCTAAATTCACTTTTCGGTCAGAACCAAAGGCCGAGTTAGCTAGTGCTCCATCGATAGTCCAGATTCCTGTGGTTCAGCCTCGGAGACTTGCAACTCCTTCCACGCCAAAGAGCCCAGCGGCCATCGCTCGGAGCAGCGCTATTCAGCGACGCCTGACGCCGCTCCAGCGTATGGGACACACTGCTCTCAGCCGGTCCCGCAGTCTTAATTTTCCGGCCAAACTCAGGGTCACTCAGCCTGCAGAAACTCAGCCTGCAGAGCGTTCCCCCATGACAAGAGGGTCCTCTCTCGCAGGAACCCAAGGCAGCGAAGATCTGATGGTTCCAGACAGCGACGAGGAAGAGGAGCCTGACACCGGCGTGTCAGCGACTCCATTGGACCTCAAACGGTTCTCGTTCACAGCAAACTAAGATGCATATCTATTGGTTATGGAGCATTGGGACAGGAAAACTGGGGTATGGGATCTGGGGTAAAGCATTGGACCACTGTTGGTTCCACTTTGGCGTGCAACCTGTAATATTTTTTTTCTTCTTGGGATTACTATTGTTTAAAATAGCGTTGGGTAGTTTTTGAAACTTCAGCTTGGAAAGCCTGAACCCCTGAAATTTCCTACCCTATACTCCGTACTCCGTATTCCGTATTGTGCCCAAATACGTAGCAACGGACGGCCCAATATCAAGTGGCTGGTTGAATCGCGTGGCGCCTAAAAGTGGGCCTAACTTTATCAAGATCTGCACTAGTACATATCGGGATTAGATCAGTCTGGATTTGTCCCGTGCCTAGCAGAATTACCTGCAACGGTAGGCGGTCAAATGTGGTTACCGGGGAAGCGGAATAGTAAACAAGAGCCCAGCCTCCTAGATTCCTATACTCTTGCCTCACACCCCAGCCTCCAGAAAGCAGATTGTCAATTTGAAGTGGAATTTTGTGCTAGCTACGATCCCTCCTTTCCCCCCTTCCATTCTTTCTACACATTCCTCTCTTTCATATACTTCCCACCTACTACGGGCGTCAAGTCATATCTCTGACCCAAAATCCACTCTAGGTGCGAGCCGGATTCTAGAATCTCAATCAGTTTGGGCATTCTTCAAACAACTCTCAGCATCGAATAATATCCTGAACGATTTAATTCAACCTCTCATCTCGTCACCCGCATTCTTCACCACATTCCCACCATCTGATACCGATTGCTTGTCAATTCGATCTCACGACAAGACAACGAGTGCGCCACTGGGCGTACAATTGCTCTGAGATTGCATTTGATCGCAGTCACTCCTTCTCGGAGAACGAGAAGCGAGTCAACAAGCGAGTGAAGGAAGTCAACATCCAACAAAATGGCTTCTCCCTTTGCGCAAAAATGGGCCCGTAAGTGACGATGTTGCTGATAGACAAGCAAAACAAGGAATTTCAAATAGCTAACTTTCATTGAAGGGTTCATTCCGATGATCGGGTACCACCATGTGTTGATGATTATTATTGCCGTCGCTATCATCCTATTATGTGAGTGTCTATCCTGTTCATTGATCTTTCTTGGAATGCCACTAACAAATACAAGCACTCCTGTTGGCTGGATGTTCATCGTCATCCCCACAAATGCCTAACATCTTCCTTATCTCTCTATACTACGAAAAGTACAATCCCATCAAGGATCTCGCACAAGTCGACCCAGGCGTTGTCACTGCCCTTTCAAATATCGTTGGTGGCGCAGAGCTGGAAGTCCGCGTAGGATACTTCGGTATCTGTGTTCAACCTGACCGTGGTTCCTTTATCTGCAATGCAAACGCGACGGCATTGGCTGAGATTGTCACTGTGGATCAAGATCCTCTCAACCTGATTTGGGTTGCATCGACGTTTAAAGACGCTGTGGTGTTTCCGTATCTCCTGTGAGTATATGTCTCTTGATAATTGAAACCCACTAACATATGTACAGTATTGTTGCCGTCATTCTCGCATTCTTCTGTTTCATTCTTCTGGCAACGTTTCCCGGCTGGCACGAGGAGATGGATGACACAGGCTCCGAGCGTGAAGTCAAGCCTTTCCCCTCGCGTCCTGTCTCCCAAGCTGCATTGGCCCTCATCTTTGTTTCGTCTGTTTTCGTTCTTGTATCTGTATTATGGCAGCACACGGCATCTGTCGCCGCCAGTACGATAGCCCAAGACATGGGCAATGGAAGTGTCAAGAGTGGCGTGGGTTCTTCCGCCATGGTGCTTGGTTGGTTCGGCTTTGTTCTACTAGTCATTGTGACTGTTGGACTGCTGGTCATGATTTTGAGTATCAGTTTGATCCGCAAACTCACTGATGACGAATAATCGAACATTTTCAACCGTTTCATTTCAACGCCAAAGCAAGAAAAAAACAACTTGCTCTTTCCTTTTCTTTGTTTTTTAACGACCTGCACCTACCTCTTTACCTGCGACATACACCACCCTTATAACGGGACGACACAAATGGGAAATGAATAATATCTACGAGCACACGACACAAGCTCGCAACTCACGGAATGGATGGAAACGGAACACGCGAACTTGGAACATATGATTCCTTGAGGGAATTTTGGGATTTGGTCAATTTGGGATAATTCACGAACATATTAGAGGCCAACGATCCTCGCTTGCTTTCTTCCTTGGGATTTGATGCATATGCTCTCATTACATCTCTTGGGAAACATCATGTCTGGCTATTTTGCTGCTCTGTTGGTATAAGCTATTCTTCTTTTTTTGACATAAAACACAATGATACTATGTCCCATTGTGTACAGACTTTCTACACTGGTGTTGGTTTTGTTTTTTTGAGTGGCTTTATGTTTTATGTTCCAATATCCGGCGTTTGCTTCTCCTGCCTTGTATAAAGTCACCATGGTTTATGGTTCATTGGATTTTACTAAGTTGTATTCACCCTCCTCTTTTTCATGCACACTTGCAAACCGTAACTAGTTTATAGAAAAAATGGCAGAAAATGAGAAACTGTACATTCGTAGCTGAGTTGCTCCTAGATTGATCCATTGTTTTGCAGTACATAAAATGACGATCTGGATTGCAATCTATTGAAATTGGTCTATACTAATGTCTAGATAATTATAGTAGTCTTTATAAATGTAGTGACATATCTCTTTTCGATAACATTAATTGAACTTGTGCTGATCATAATCTTCAATATCTCCAGTATTCTCAACTCTGAGACCTGTCTTCTTCAGATCACCAAATGTAACCAGTGGACAAAGTAGACACCATATGTAGTTCATGAAACACAGATCCCCTCGCCAGCCATACGCGCAGCCCAACCGACGACCCATGCGTTTCGCAGCCCAGAACGGAATTTCGCACTACAACCTTGGAATCAGCGCAGTAAGCCCTATCTATATGCTTCGTTTTTCTCAGATCATTCCATCATTTCCATTGATTCCTTCATCTCTATTAATTCCTTCATCCATACGCATATTACTGACTATACTGTAGCTCCATAAAAATCATAATAATGAAAGGAGCACGCCTCACAAATGGAAGCAGAGACAAAAGATAACTAGATATATTGCTGGGAATGATTGACTTGACTTAGTTTCCACGAACGATTACATGCGCCCATGTGTACCTATTGGAAGCACTGAAACTGAATGCATAATCTGATCGGAGTCGGCTACCGATGCTGACCAGTGAATATAAACACAATGTAAATATGCGTACAATGGGCCAATATCAATGATACAGTTAAAAATAGATCATCCCTCTGCGGTATTCTGCTCGTGAACCGCATATAAGAATGAAAAAGCTCCATGCGCCAAATCTTGATGCAAGCCGAACCCCGGGATAGAAAAAAAAACTCGAAAAAATACAGCAGCATTGCCCACCAGTCCGTGGAACAACCTTTTGGGGGTATTTGCGGGTTTGGAACGTTAAACGCAGCTTGCAGATCAATATTCCATCGAGTAGCCCCCTCTTGCCGCACCTCCACCACCGTGGCTGTCGTGTGGCCCATCATATGAATTGCCGTGATCATCCAGTGACTTGTACTGGTAGTAGTCACCTCGGCCTCGGCCTCCTCTGCCACGACCGCGAGAGTTGTTGCCCCGTCCACGGCCAGCACCTCGGCCACGGGCACGGTGAGCTCCTCTTCCTCGTTGGTTATCATCATACGGCTGGAAGCGGCTCTCACCTCCTCCCCGATAGGAAGTGTGGTGGTTGCCACGGTCATGATGTGAACTTTCATACCCAGTGGTTTGGTTGGGCGCCCAGTTGACATTGTCATCTTGATCATGTTGCAATCGTCTCTTCTGTCCCCTGTTCAAAGTGCGTTCTCCAGCGCGCAAATCTCCTGTGTCTTCAACACGCAGCACAACCTTTTCCCCGATCACCGTTTCAAAGGTAAGGGCCTTGTCAGCCGGAATAGGATGCCAGTTCTGAATCTTTCCTGCATCAATCAGACGAGCACCTTTGCGGACGGCCAATACTACAATGGGCAGCGGGTTCTCCGTGTGGAATGGCTCGGTTGCTGGGATAGGCGCCACGCGGGCCGCCCAAATCTTGTTGTCCAGGTTTCCAGTTCCAGTAACCTTCCAGGTTAGCTTCTTGCCCATACCTCCAATCTTGTCCAGAATAGAGCGGGAAGCTGGGCGTGGAGTGATGAGAATACTGTTAGCCATGTACTTCAGATCATTTGATTCAGCAAGCCCGGGGGGCAGAAGTGGTCCCAGTAAATTCTGTGTCATGCTGTTCGACACCTCCTGGGTAACCAAGTAACCTGTGTAGAAGACGATACGCTTGATTTGCAACCGCCCATTTCGACTCTTGCTCGCATTCAGGGCAGGGTTACGCAATGCAAGATTATGGGCATTCACCATGCGCTGAACCTCAGCAGTCTCCGTTACGGGGTCAAGGTATGTGGAGCCCTCATTTACCTGAATGACTTCTGCAAGAAGAGGCGGCCGTGTGGTAGGAGCAGTTCCCATCTGAAGCTTTCTGTTGAGATCCTCGAAGAAGTCCCGGAAGCCTTTCACACTGGTAGTAGTTTAGTACCCAATAACCCGGACATATGTGAATTCTTTCCTCATGAGACTCACTGCTTCACACGGTCCTCGTACACGCGAATTTCTTCGGCCTGTTCGTAAGTGAGAACCAAATCTTCAAGGAAGCTTTGCTTAAAGTTCATTGTAGTTGCGAATCGTTGGCCATTCGGCCCAACTTCTGGTTTGAGACCAATGAGGTCAAATTCAAGCTTTTGGCTTGCGATCATACGCTTGATGATGTCCGAAAAGGCAGCTTCACTGCGACCAGTCAAAAGAACCGTCAGGGCATCTTTCTGCTCCATGCTCATCCTAACCAAACGAAGCTTTGAGAGAGTCAGTTGATTAACTTCAAGGTGCAAGATATATCTGAGGCCCCACAATTTGTTCATTCCACCAGCCTTCCCACGCAAGAGGCTCTTCTACCTCCAGACCCTTTCCTGTCGAACGGAGAATATTGGGGTCGTGCCACCACCCTCCAGTTGCGAAGCTTTCATTCGTTTGAAGGAAGCCGACTGAGGATCCATGCCATATTTGTGGGTTTGGCAAGGGGCTAAGAAATACTGAAAAGCGCCAGTGTTAGTCTCAAAAATTAGAGTCATTCGAAACCTGTAGATTCTCACAGGTGTTGTCGAAATCGTAGACGTGAATTGCGCGAATGTGGGGAATAGCTAAGATTTGCAATTGTCAGAAGAGTTCGAGTGATTATATGGGGCAACTCAGGTCTCACCAGGGAGCTCCTTGTTTATGATAGACCAGCGACGCAGAGAAGTGATGGTGCGCGGCGGCCGATTAGAGGCGTGCATACCGCTTCCTGTGTTGTAAGACATATTGGAACCAGATCCTAAGCGCGCGAGTTTTTCTGAAATGACAGCTTTGGCAGATCGCATGCTATCAGTACAATTTGAAAACACCACTTAGCACATATTAGAAGGGAAGAAGCGCAAAAGAAGAAAGCGCGGTGACGTTGGCCGCAGAAAAAGATGCGCTCGGGGAAGTTTTGCCGCCCGCCTAGAACGTGACTCTGGAATCAACCCCCCTTCTTCTGTGGTATTTTGTATGCCTGTATGGATGATGTCGATTTGCGACAGAAAATCCTCCAGCGTACCCTTCAGGAGGTAGCTGATGAGGAAAAACAAGCAGTCGCTAATCCTTGTGTTATTTGCCTTGACACTATCACCGAGCCATGTGTGGCACAGCCATGTCATCATGCCAACTTCGACTTCCTCTGCCTTGTTAGCTGGCTAGAGCAACAGCAGAAATGCCCTCTATGTGAGACTGACTGCACATTTTGAAGACTTTCGTTTTACTGACGGCACAACAGGCAAAGTCGACCTGACAGCCGTTCAATACGAACTCAAAGCCCCGCAAGGTCCAAAGCTATACAAGCTCCTACCCCCGAGCGCAACACCTCCCGCAGTTCCATCTGTAATTCGGTCACAGAGAGGCTCTCGAAATGGCCCACGAGGAGCAAGACGTCCGCCAGGCCCGCCGCAACCACCGCCAGACGATCCACTCCAGCGCCGGCGCGACGTCTATCGCAACCAAACATACTCTATGAGAGTCGGATCCAATCGCCTGTCTCAATATCGAGAACTGACACCAGAGCTTTTCAATCGCGATGAGGAGCTTGTCTCGCGTGCTCGGAAGTGGATTCGCCGTGAACTACGAGTCTTTGCTTTCTTGAATCCAGAGATGGAGGAAGAGCAGCGCATACCCCAGCAGGTCTCCCGACCTGGGACCCAACGGCTGGAGAACCGCAGGGCAAATAATGCCGAGTTCCTTCTTGAATATGTGATTGCTATCTTGCGGACAGTGGATCTCAAAGGCAGTGCAGGACAAGCGGAGGAGCTCTTGCGCGATTTCATCGGACGAGAGAATGCCTGTCTTTTCCTCCACGAGTTACAGGCATGGCTGAGAAGTCCATACAATTCTTTGGTAGACTGGGATCGTCATGTTCAGTACCCGAATGGTCTGCAGAGCACATCCGATAGAGAACCTAGAGATGCACATCGTTCGGATCGTAGACCGAACCCTACACAAAACCGCGGCAGGGGGCAGGCATCCCGACGACCTTCTTATAGGCCCCGATCTGATGATCCAGAGGGTCGCTCTCAGCGGCTGCAGCAGGCTCAGCAACGATATCATCCATATTGAAGCCACATACTTTTTGACCACTTGCTATATATCCCCCATCAGTGACTCCTAGGTAAATATCAGATAGAGATAGATCGACAAACAACACAATTAGATTCTTTAGAATTCTGACACGCTATGAATAATCCCCCAATAAATGCTTGCTCCTTATGCTAAAATCCAATGCAGTCATGACATCGTAAAAGACAAAAAGGGTTGCCTCGTACTTATCTCCGACGAAAGCGTCCCCCTCTGCCCCGAGAAGAACCACCTCCCCTGTTGATACTCAATGACCGATAATTCGCATGGGTCAGAGGGTTTACCTTCCGAGCAGGAGGCTTCTTCTCTGTAGCCTCTGCAGTCTTGGGGGGTTTACCCAGAGGTGCTTGCTCCTTTGGTTTTGCAGCAGACGCAGCAGACAATGAAACGGCTTCCTTGATCCTCTCCGAGAAGCTTTTCGGTTTGGCAGCAGGCTTAGAATTGCCCCCGAACTCAGGATCATCATCCGAGTCCCCATCGAATTCTGCCTCGGTATCAAGTTCGGGATCCGACATGGTGTGGGCGTCTTCCGCACGCTCAATATCACTCGGAACATCGTCCCATCCATCATCGGCAGCTGGTGCGTGTTGCGTCTCTGGAACTGCAGCGAGCTCATCATCGCTTCCCGAGTCTTCCACATCGGGTGTGGTTGCTTTTGGCTTAGGTTGATGGAAAACCGGCCTCATAATCACTTTTCGAGTCGTCCGCTTTTGGCCCTTCTTCTTGTACTTGCGGTTCACATCTGGGTTTTGACTATCCTCGACTTGGATTTTGGAGGCTTCTTCTGCTTCCGCCTCTTCCTCCATCTCACGCATCACATCCCAGTCGTCATCCATACGATCCTCTTCCATATCCCGCAGGCCTTGAACCAAATGTGATAATCCTTTGCTAGCGAATTGTTGCGGTTTGCGTGAAACCATGGGACTGAGTCCGGAGCCACCAGGCCTTGCACTGGGTGGAGGGTAACGACCGGAATTGGAGCGACGTAGAAAAGATGGCGTCCCCGACTGAGCCATCGGCGGGGAGATCTGAGGCCCACCCTGGGTCTCGTGCTTTTGTGCCTCCTCGTTATCTTCTGCTTCAACCATGGCCGCATATCGCATTGTTGTAGGTGTCGCGAATAGATTTGCAAGATAGAACTGCTTCGTCTCGGATGCGGGCGTTCGTGCAAGCCTAGGGGTTTCCTGTCCTGGCTCTTCTTCTGGGATCTCGGGAATGGATTCCACAGGCCTCCTCTTGGAGGGAGTTCGGAACGCCGCAGCTAGGTTGTTGGTTTGTCTCTTCGCAGCAGGTGTGTCGCGACTTCCCCCGGATTCAGAAAGCATGTCGAACAATCCTAAAGTCTTCCCATCGCGCTGCGGAGTTGGTCCAATCGCAGCCTTCAAAGGCGATGGTGCAGGTTGTGCTTGTTTGTGCGTAGTAGGGCTGAAGAGCCTGCGAAGGGTTGATGGCGAGTCGTACGGATCGACTTGTGCGGGATGGTTCCTAGTGCGATTGTTGGAAGGAGTCGCAAAAAGGCCCTTAGAAGATTTGCGCGGTGTGGATTGTTGATATGCGTCTTGACCTGGGGGTGATGCATGCTTCCGCTTTTTGGTGTGACTGTCGGATGTCTCATGTGCGCGGTTTTCACGTCGGCTCAGAGATGACTCGAGAGCCTTAAGGCGACCATATTCTTTGTATTTCGCGGCTAAATTGTTTCCAGTGAGAGTACCAGTTAGTTTTTGTGACTTGTAAATGAGCACCGTCCCGTAATTCCAGGACTCGACCTACCGATTTCCGCGTTTTGTTTGATATCATCACGTCCAGCCTTCTTGCCACCATTAGATGAAGCGAACGCTTTCTCCCAAACTTTCAACTCGGCGCGAACATTAACAGCCTGAGCAGCAACCTCCACACTAGAGGCGAGAGCATCCATTATCGCATGTTCATGGGAGAAGCGTGTGGAAATTTGATCCGCGCGACGCGACTTAATTAACGCGACGTCACGCGTCATATGATTGGACGATGGGTAGCCCTAGATGTTCCCCGTAACCCGTCTACGGAATAACTAGATATTCATATTCAAATGAAGTCTGAGGTTTCTTATAATGTTCTATCTACCTTCGAACTCGAAATGCGAGCAGAGTAAGAAGTATGCAAAGAAAATTCAGTTGCTAATAATATCCAAAGCACCTGGGCAAATATTCAAGACCCCCCTTCCCCTTCCAGTTGGGCAGCGCGAAATACCTCACCTAAGGCACGATCAGTCCTCATGTATGTTCCTTTGGTAAACCAAAAGGCAATTGCAATCAGCAACATCGCCCCAAATACTGCGATAGCCCAATTCATTGTCGCAACAGTTGGAGATGGTGACCCAGGAAAGAGAAAAAAGACTGTTGTAACACAGCAGTAAATCAATCCGACCCAGTTGATAACGGGGCGCAATCTCCCAAGAGAAAATGTCCCCCTTGGAACATCAGACATTCCAAAAATCACAACTGCAAATATCGGCAGTGCATATGATATAGTCAAGGCAATCGTGGAGACACTGACCACAGCTTCAACAGCCGCCTCTGTAAAGAAGTATAAAACACCCACCAAGGAAATTATAGCACCTTGGGCCCAAAGAGCCCGAGCGGGAACTTTCCAGTAGGCATCAACATGCGTCAAATAGTGGCTGAACGGAAGGCCTCCATCACGTGCAAATCCCCATGTCAACCGAGACGCAGTTGTTGTAATGCTGACACCTTGACCTAGTCCGTTGAATATGAAAATGCTAAAAAGCGCAACCGTCCCTTGGGGCCCGACAGTTTGTCTGACAAGTTCTAAGAAAGGAAGTCCAGACGCGGGGTTCAACACCATCTTCAAGTTTTGAATACAAAAAAGACAAACCACCATAAACAAACCACCGGAGACTGCACCGGAGATGATTGACATCCAAAGAACTCGCGGGCCATTTCTCTGTGGCGATGGTAACTCTTCGATCAAGTGAATCACCGCATCAAAAGCAGTCAGGCCATAGGCAGATTGCACAAGGCCTATAAACCAAACGACACCATCACTCCATGCAGTGTCGTTGATCCAATGCCCGAAAACAAAAGAGGGTGGTTGAAAGAATAGATCGGCCTTCACACCTACAGCGATAAGGATGGCGAGAGAGAAAAGAACGAACTCTCCTCCAAACCAAGCACCAACAAAATTGTTGAACCACCGAAGAATCCAATCTTTGCGACATGCAATGACGTTTGAAAAAGTCATTAAGATGGTGATGGCGAGATAAATAACGAATTTTAACCACCCTGGGCTGGTTTCAGTCCAGCTCTCTTGCGAGACTGTCCTCACCCCCAAGATGATCTCCGTCATGAAAGCATTTTGGGATGCGGAGAGTGTCCACCAGCCGAAGACGTTGATCCAGGCACAGGAGTATGAAACGAATCGACCAAGTGAGGATTTCCAGAGACGGGAAACCCAGTAGGCCTGTCCCAATGCTGTTGGCATGCTACTGCATAGCTCTCCCAGGGAAAGAGCGACACAAAGATTGCAGAGGGTGACAAGTAGAAGGCCGTAGAGGATGGTGATAGGTCCTCCGTTCGTCAGCCCATTGGAGAGATCGACTGCAAAAGTAGCCCATGTTCCGAGGACACTAAATGAGAGCGCAAGCATGCTCCATGGACTGAACTTTCGGGAAAGACTTTGGACATGGCCAATTGTTCCGAGGCCTTCAGCGTCCTGGGTAACCATATCGCTTGAACCACCCTTTTCCATACTTGGAGACTTGGGTTCATCCATTGCGAAGGTGTAGATATAAAAAGTGGTTGGAAGTAAACAGACCAAATCAGAATTTAAGGATGACCCATTTCGTTGACTTTGGGGGAGTATTTGTAGATTGAGCTACTCTGGATTTTGCATGGCTCAAAAGTCGATATCTCGAGTCCTCGCCTAGCTAGATAGAAATGTGGAACCTGGGATAACCATGAATATGGTTGTGATCGGGAGATAATTTCATATTACGTTATTTTGGACAACAAAATTGCCTGATTTGGCCAAAAGTTCGACCAAAAAGGGTTGAGCGCAAAGGAAACTTTGGTGGCTCGAATCTTATCACCCACGCGGAGGCACTAAGTCAAATTGGGCAACTAAATGGACCATAAATAACCGAAAAGAACTTCACTTCTGCGACTATAAATTTGATGCATGTTATCTCTCTTGAAATCCAACATATTTTCTATCAACCACCAACTCGGGTTTGAGAATGACCGCCATACCACCTAAACACAGCTTGACCTCCTGGTGGCGAACTCAATTGCACCAACTTGATGACTACATTTCATCCGAGCTTGTGCCAACAGAGTCCGACGTTGTCATTGTTGGAGCCGGAATATCTGGCGCATCAGTTGCTCATCACCTCCTCAAACAGCATCAAGACCCCTCGAAAATTACCATACTTGAGGCTCGTCAAGCATGCTCTGGTGCAACGGGTCGAAATGGCAAGTCATTATCGCGTTTTTCAGAACTATCGATTCTAACAAAACATTCTAGGTGGTCACCTGAAACCAGATCCGTACAGCTTCACTAGTGAGCTTGCTGCAGAGTATGGCCCGGAAGCTGCGGAAGAGGTTGCGAAGTTTGAGCGCTCCCATGTTGATGAAATTACCAATCTGGTAAAAAGTGAGAAAATTGACTGTGACTTTGTGGTGACAAAAGCCATCGATGTTCAACTAAACGCCAAAGAATGCAAAAAGGTCAAGACAAGATTTGATTCGTTGCCTGGTCTTGGGATAAAGTCCGCTGAAACCGTGAGCTTCACCGATAAAGGCGAAGCAGAAAAGGTAGGCCTTCAATACTCTTATGTTTTTGATACAAATAACTGATTCGGGCTTCCAGCGATCTCATGTCAAAGGCGCACAAGGCTGCTTTAGCTATGTGGCAGGCCATATGTGGCCGTACAAATTAGTGTTACACATTTTGGGTCGTTGTGTGGAACAAGGCATCAAATTATACACTAACACCGCTGTGCAATCTGTCTCATCGGAAAAGGACGCTTCAGGCCGATGGACTGTTGATACAACTCGGGGTGCTATCACAACGAAACATGTCATCTTTGCCACCAATGCATACACCTCCGGAGTCCTTCCTATGTACACGAACAAGATTGTTCCGGTGCGAGGTGTTTGCTGCAGAATTGTTCCAACCCGCCCAGTCAAAAGGCTTCTTGAAACATACACTCTCAGGTGGTCATGGAGCGAGTTTGACTATCTTATTCCCCGTGAAGATGGCAGCATTATTGTCGGCGGTGCTTGGAGTAAATACCACCAGAACACAAACGATTGGTATAACAATGTCAACGACAATGGAATAATCGAATCTACCAGAGAGTACTTTGACGGCTACATGCAACGGAACTTTCATGGCTGGGAGAATAGCGGCGCATATGTAGATCAAATCTGGACTGGAAGTGAGTCAACACCACCTTTTACTTATCTAATTTTTAAAAGCATGATGCTGACTTGAAATCCGACCAGTCATGGGCTATTCAACCGATTCTCTGCCTCATATTGGACAGGTACCAGGCAAGCAAGGTCAGTTCATAATGGCCGGGTTCACCGGACACGGAATGCCGCAGGCATGGCTTTCCGGTAAGGGTATAGCTGCGATGGTCTCGGAAGGAATTCCGTTCGCACAATCTGGGATCCCAAGAATCTTTGAGACCACCCAAGCTCGTCTTGAGAGTAACAGAAACGATATCTTCGATATCATGGGGGAGATCAGCAAGCCAGTTGCACGGTTGTAGTTATCGCGGCTCTCAGTTTGGTCATTGTGTTAGCTAAGGAAAAATAAATTTGTGCTTATCTTCAACCACACCCTGTTTAGAGTGCAATAGTAGATTATCTTGAGGACCCAGTTTATCAATTAGGACATGATTAGCCTAATACGGCATTTTCCAAGGCCTCACCGGTGATAAGACCGAGGGGAAGATCCCCCGCAATTATAGTTTCCTGCCGGCTCCTCGGTTATTCCTGGACACGGTATTCAAATTCAACGGCTTTTCACTTTTAATCCTGATTGAACTATGACGCGATGAAAATTTTCAAGATATGCCCAACAAACGTGAGCGAACTGTCCACGGCTCATGTTGGCCATGCAAACACCGCCGTGTGAAGTGTGATCTCGAGAAGCCCGTATGCCAAAGATGTCTCTCGTCCGGGGCAAAGTGTTCTTATGACAAGCTTCTGATAAGATGGAAAAAGCCCCGACCTAATAAGGAAACCACAATTATACATCAGTCACCAGATTTAAGCCTCAATACGTACCTCAAAGACACAACTCTGGGGGCTGGTGATGTGAAGGCCATCGAGTATTTTAAAGTTGCTTTATGGCCTCTTTTCACCACGGCCGTTAATCCTTGCCCACCCCCAATTTCTTCAGCCATGAAATGCCAACCGCTGCTTCTGGCATTGTGTGAGCTAGCTGACGCGCACCGCATACCCCAAGACGGAATTTGGGGTGTCAAGGAAAATGTGCAGTTCGTCAAACGCATGAGCTGCTTGGCATCTGTCAGAGAAGAGCTTTCGCGCAACAATTTTGATCAGAGTTCTCTTTCTCCTCTCTTGGTCGCCGTGTTTCTCCTTTATTTTTTAGACGGCTTCATTGAATGCGGACATCAATCCGCCTCAACGGCCAGTCACCACGTTGGAATTCGAGCAATAGTCAATCATCTCGGTGGTTTCATGACGCTGATAAAAATGGGCCAGAAGGATATCAATATGCTTTTGTCGGAATTTGCATCAACAGACTTGACAAGGGCACTATTAGACGACAGACCTCCTTGCTTTCCAGCTGAAATTTGGACGCAGATAGAGCATGGGACAGTGTGGTGGGAACAAGAAACCTATAATGGCACTACACTAGCATCGGTGTTCAAAATAATTGCGGAGATGGCTTTCTATCGCCATCAAGTCAAAGAAGATGGTCTTGGACCCGCATCGATCGAAGTGATACAAGATTTTGAACAATCTCTACAACCGTCATTCTTGCTTCTCAATTTTAACCACGTCAACTTTCCGGATAATTACACAACACATGGATCCATGCTCGAGTTGAGAATGCAATCCGATTCATTCACGCGCGCCTTCCAACATAGTGCTCTAATCTACCTCTACCGAGCGATTGGTGGTCTTCCACCGCGGCATTGCCTGGTGCAACAGCATGTTCAATCATGCATGGAATGCATTAAGAGTATATCGCCCATCTCAAAAGCACATAACTGTATAGTATTTCCTTTGTATGTCATGGGCGCCCATACTTTTCTGAAAGAGCAACAAGAGTTTGTCTTGGAGCGACTTTGTCTCATACACCGATGTCTGCGCTTCAATTCTGTACTCTTGGTCCGTATAGCGTTAGAAGATCTTTGGACCTCACCTCGACATAATGGAGATTGGTGGGATATGTTCAAATCTTTGGGCGAGGATGTACTAGTGATCTAGTGCTTATTTATCCACATTCAAAATCCAAATGGTCATTGAGGTGGATAAGCCTGTACAGCTGCCGTTAGGTTCAGGTTCACTCACTTTGGTTTAGCATGACCTGCAAGCCTGCTCAACAATGCTGGTCTATTCTCACTTTGGCAAGTAAATGGCCAGTCTGAACATTGACATGAGCTAGATTCTTTCCAGTAAACCAGAATCTCTCATCTCCGGGTGCCGTTCTGTTTGGCCTCGATATTATCCTCATTTGGAAATTTCCAAGACCATACACGCCGACCCCTCATTTACTAAATTAGTATAGGCATAGCAAGTTTTATTCCATTTATTCGAGTAAAGATACATTCCATATAGCTGCGAATCACCTTCTCGGAGGCGTGCGATAATTATATGTAAATACCACACCCCCAGCCGTGAAGGTCTATATACAGCAGCTTTTCAATAATTTTATTTTCTTTCAAAGTACAGAGTGATCATATACCTTAGCCCAAAAACATCTCCAACGGCACCTACCACCCCTCACCTCCACCATGTCAGACCTGCGATACACCAACTACCCTGGCACTGAAGCCAATTCAAAGGACTTCCATTATTCCCAAGCTGTCAAAATCGGTAACACCATCAAAACCTCCGGCCAAGGTGGCTGGGATATTCACGGAAAAATCACCCCCGACATTCATGCGCAAGTTTCAACTGCCTTTCAAAACGTCGAAAATGCTCTAAAGTCAGTCGACAGTCGATTGTCATGGCAAAATGTGTACGCCGTCCGCAGTTACCATACCAATGTCACCGAAACATTTGATATCGTGACCTCGAACTTCAAGCACACCCTCCCTAATCACCGGCCTATTTGGACTTGTGTAGAGATTGCGAAACTGGGGATTGAAGGCATGGTTATTGAAATCGAGGTCGAGGCATTCTATCCGTTCTAGGAAATCTGCCTCTTACATATCAACTATGTTTTAGAGTAGGAGACAAGAAGAGACACACTTGAACAGAAGCCGGTAAAAAATCGTAAATATAGAGAGCATATAGAAACAAGGCATAAATGCGAGACTCAAAAGTATCGTCAGATTTTCTAGACGGAATGTACTCAAACTTCCATTGCGGTTTGTATAAAGGTACAACTCAACGCTTCAAACCTTGATCGACTTTAACAGCGTGAAAATATACTTGTTCAAAGTACTAGCGAGGCTCGGCTACACCGGATTTATGGACTTCCCAATTGAAATTGAAAGATCCTCCGCCTAGAGCTGCCTATCAAGCTGACATATTGTAGACTCGTAAGCTTACTCGCTGCTTACCCCTTAAATACAAGTGCGGGGTTATTTATGATGGTTCTCCTTTTTTTTTTGTTTCAATTGTAGATTGACAGCTTAGTTTCAAGTTGTTCCACTGGAACTATAAATTTTTTCACCATGTCATACGGGGGTTCATTTTTTGACGGCGAGTTTGACGCACTTGTCAAAGAGGAATTGGAAAAATGGAAGATTCCGGGTTTGAGCATCTCAATCATTCAAAGCTCACACATTTACGCTAAGGTCGACCCTAAACTTGAACTTGATAGTTTAATACTTACTCAAGATAGGCATATGGAATGGCAGAATTGCCGAACAACACCAGAGATCACCCAGCACGAGAGATGACAACCGACGCCTTGTTCGCAACATGCAGCACAACCAAGGCGTTTACAAGTGCTGCAACCTCAATAGCGATTCAGGATAGCCAATCTACCGAGTCCCCCATTCACTGGAGCACACCGTTGGCCTCACTGATGCCAGAAGATTTTGTTCTTGATGACGGCTATGCCACCAAGAATATAACTCTAGAAGATGCTCTTTCGCATCGCACCGGAATGCCAGAACACAATTGGACCTTGGCACTTTTCTCAAAGAAGGACCACACACCGGGCTCGATGGTTCGCGCCATGCGACATATGCCTCTGGCAACACCACTGCGCACCAAATATCATTACAGCAATCATATGTACATTGCCGTTTCACACGCACTGGAGCAGCATACTGGGGGCTCACTGGGAACCTTCATGAAGAAGCGCATCTGGGAGCCTCTCGATATGACTGAGACATACTTCGGAATAGCCGAGGCTAGGAAAGATCCATCAAGTAAGGCAAAACTTGTTCCGGGATATGACTGGTATCCAGGAAAGGAGGGCGGAAGTTTCATTCCAAGGCCATATCAGGACTGGCCAGCCAACAGCGGGGCCGGGACTATAATAAGTAACGTTCTCGATTACGCTCGATGGGTGAGGGAGCTCATCGAGAGGGAAGGCCCTTTAAAAGGACACGAAACTGTGATAGATCCGCGAACAATCTCCTTTGAAAATGACGATCTTAGCTTTCCTGCCCCGTTTCATTTATACGCGTTGGGGTGGATGGTGGACAGCTACCGAGGCCAGTACCTTTATAGCCACGGCGGTGGTTGGCCCGGGTACGCATCCTGGGTGGCGTTTGTTCCTAGCAAAAGCTTTGGATGTGTTGTCATGGGAAATTCTTCTTCGGCGCGATATGCTGCATTCAAATTGGTCACATATCTGCTTGATAAACATCTTGATCTACCCGTTGATCCCGCTTATCAAGAGCAGATTGCAGCTTGTTCGCCGAGGCACGCCAGGGAGTGGCATGAACGGCTCGAAAATGAAAACCCGAATATATCAAAACAACGCTTGTTCCCTCAGTTGTCTGATCCACCACTTCCGCACTCCCTACCCCTGTCGAAGTATGCTGGAATATACAAACATCCGACGCAAACGAAACTGACTCTCATCATTGACTCGGAGTCTTTGACTGCTGATTTGCGCGATCGAATCATTCCATGTGAACTTTGTCTCGACCATATAAGTGGGGAATACTTTGTTGGCAGATTTCATAGTGAAGGACACAACTTGACGCCACCTTTCCTGGTTGAATTCCACTTGGACTGTGCGGGCGTGACAAAGATTGGTCTCGATTTGGAGCCTGAGATGAAAGGGGAAAAGATCTGGTTTGAGCGCTGCGAATCCTAGCTCTACGAAGTGGAACATCTCTATTTGATGCTATCTATTCTGAGAAATTGCATATAACACGTAAGCGTACACCTTTAATGATAAACGATCAGCCTTGCAAATGTCAGTAATTTCCGTCTATTGTTCTTTCAGGCACCGCATATCCTTGGTTGGCCCAGCCCTGCAAGCCTGCCAAGCGAAGTGATATTTGGTCTTCGTGGCTTGGCTGAGCGCCGGTCTTACCACGTCGCAAACGTGACTCCGACGTCTCCAGTAGAGGCAGGTCCTCATCAATTTTGGCGGCATCGAATTCGTAGGTGCGGTATTCCGCATTGCGCCAGCCGGTTGCTATAATATTGAAGTCAGTCGACCGAAATTACGTCTTCAAGTGCCATATATACCTTCATATTGACAACAGTTCTCCCAATCTTCGGTCAAAAAATGCATGAGCCCCCCATGCGCGACAACCACAATTTCTTTCTCGGGCCTTGCTTTCAACCAAAGCCTTGCTGCGCGAGCTCGAGCCGAGACTGCCTCTCTTCCGGGATCGTATCGACCAGTCTATTAATGTGTCAGTTAGTCGAGTCGATTGGTTATTATTGAAGGCCGTCTCCTTGCCTTTCGGTTCCAATTGTCGGGGACAAGGTCGAAATCTAGTGATACACTGCTATGTTCAAATTCTTTGCGCAGGCTTGCAACGTTGCTGCCAATGTCACATGGGAAGTCGCTGGTTTCTTGAAGATCCGCGTTCAAAATCAACTTCAGGTCCTTTTTTTTCTCAAATACAGGAGCGAATCCCTCCAAGGCTGTTCGAATTGTTCGCCGCAGTGGTGATGCAACGACCAATTCAACTGTAGAATGGTAAGGGAAATCCTCGCGTAGAGTTTTACATTGCGTCTTTCCTTTTTCGGTAATTTGAGGGTCGGTGATATTCCAGTTTTCTCGTCCCAAATTATGGACACCCTAGATGGGGTGAGCAGTGTGTCGGAAAGCTTCAAGATCAATTCGTAAGCGTACCTCGACGTGCCGAACGAGATGAATCTTGGGTGGCATTTTAAGACTTGGGGATGTGAGGATTGAAGAAATGACGAATGGGAGAGAATACCACGCGGCTTTATGTGTTCTATTCGGCTCTAGAGCCGACTTCTGGAACCTGCTTGTTGTGGATCAGGCCTTTAGTTATGACTCCACCCAAGCGCATAAATATCGATTGCTCTCGAAAAGTCGTGATAATATTTTCCCAGCGTTGTGACGGTGTTGATTCAGTATGTACGAGGCAGTTGACCTTTTGAGCCTCGAGAATCCTCAATTGCATTTCATTCTTAGATTTATTGATGGTTTTATAGATTTATGCAGATCATGACATCAAGTTTTGATCCAAAAACTACGAACCCCACGCTAAATCTCCCCGTCTTGGCTTCCTCTTTTGGCCAAGATCAAACCTTTGAAAAATACAATATACACACATGTATCAATCGAGTTGACAATTGCAAATAACCATCTTCAGATTGTCTAAATGATTGCGTGAGTTGACTCCTCAAACTGCGCTGATATCCTTTGTCTTAGGTCAAATTCGCGATTTTGATTGTGACGATAAATCCGATGAGGACATCCTTCATTGGAAGCTGACCCGATCATATATTTATTCAAAGAGAAGAGACTGAAGAGTGTATCAAAATAGAAAATTTACGCTAAAAGATATAGTTTTATTAAATTCGGATCTTCCACGCTGGAAAACTATTTAGGAGGGCCGTATCAATTTAAGCAAGTTGCTCCAACGCCGATCACCAACTGGTCAGCCCCCGTGCTCGATCAAACCCACCCCTCAACTGCGACTCGGGATGTACAACCTTCCCCTGCAGAACAGTATACTTGACAATTCCCTCACAATGCTCCGGCCTGACACGCGCCAGCCAGATCATCTGCTGGTCTTTCTTGCGATATATCAATACGTTCGCGGAGAATTTGTGCCCGCCGACATGCGACACGAAGAAGATGCCCACTCCGCCAGGTCGCGAGTCATCTGAGTCTCGGTCCAGCCCCAGCGGGCGAAGATGTCGTTCAAGTTCGCGTTTGATCAGTGGGGCCGTGATACCGCAGCGCGCGTCTCGCCTTCGGTGTGAGCACAACAAAATCACGTAGTCCAGTTCGCAAGGTCGAGCGCTCATCGACCCTTCGGAAGAGACGGTGACGTTTTCGCTTTGCTGGTTGGTGGGGTGGTCGATGTGTTGGGTGATTAGGTTTGGTACGTCTTTTTGCGTAACGGAGTCAATATACGTGAAGGATGGTAGAATGAGCACCGTGGTTGCTTTAGTGAGGCCTTTCTCTGCGATTGAATCGCCGGGAGGGTTGATGTTTGATGCTGAGACCATGATGCGCTGTAGCAAGGTCAGTAGTGATCAAAACTTGGATTTGAGGAAACATACACCGAGCTCTGATTTCGCTGAATCAAATGCTTCCATCAAACTTCCTGACTCTTTTTCGACCTTTTCCTTCCAATCTGATTGTCCCGTTGCCACGAGAACATGGGAGTGAAATTCCTTAATATGGCCATACAAGGGCCTTAGATTTTCGACTTTGACCTTTGACGGAAATTGTATTGTGCAGTCGGCGCAATCGTTTGAGCAGTCGGGGCCATCTTCTTTAGGGTTCACCTTGGGTATGAAGTACTCATTGACGCCTGTGCGGCCCAAGGAAAGTAAAGAGCGCAGCATGGTTGATGAAAGAATGAAAGTTCTTGCAAGCTAATTCAGTCGGGTGTTGCCTGACTGATATAGTCCAAATTAACTCCGAGATGGGCACTAACTCGGGGAATGAAAACCCCGAGCTCCGATCTGACAGCTTTATCTCCAGATTCTCGGAGATTCTCAGTGGGCATTTGGACCCTATTTTATTTTTGGGTATCTAGCTTATTTTAATTTGATCTGAAAGGCTTTTGAGTTCTGTGGCGGCTCAACACTTTTATCGCAGTTGCCTACAAAATGGTCAGTCAGTGACCTAGTGCTAAAGAAAACCCCAGAGTGGTCGACTTAATCCTTGAGAGACATCATCGGACTTTCATGCAAACAATCCTTGGAACGAAGTGTGAGTGTTTTACCTCGATCGGCAATACTAATTCGTGCTCGTCCGGTACAAGTTGGCATTGAGATACACCTCCGATGGGGTTTTACGGCCACGTCCATGAGCATTCAGCATGTACAGAAATCTGCATTCGGTGTGCCGCTGCAGTGAAGCATATGGCGATTGTAGTTTGATCGAGAAGACAAGTCATCTAAAGTCATCTAAAAGCAGGCGAAATCTCGGTGCATTTAATTCATAGAAGTTTGGCGATACTCTTGAATATAACATTACTATGAGATTTCTGTACACTTTCTACAGGTCCTAATTTTCAAATTGTCTCTGAAGGATATTGTTAGTTTCCCTCCAAGGTTTCAATCGTGACCATATACTTACTAACTATAGCCTGACTTGCTTTCATTAAAGCTGTTTCCAGAAGTTTAGGCTCCATGTACATTTGCGATTGGAAGTCAGCTATTCTAAAGGTACAATAGAAAACATCATATATACTCATTCTCTATGTTAAGAACAACGAAGAGAATGATAGGTAAACGAAGTTGAAGAGAGCTACTTAACTAGTTAGAAGACCAAAAGGCTGGCAACATTGATGCTTCAGATCTGGCTCAATAACTGACCATATACCCATAATCTTTAGAAATTACAGCACCGCTCATCAAAGAGACCGCCATTTGCACCTGGGTTTGGCCAGCATGGATAATTGAGTAAGAGAATTGAAACACGGCATAGGGGGCGGTTTTATTGTGGATCTTGGCGAACATCTCATAATTCGGAAACCAACTTTGTCCGAGATGGCTAGAATGCCCACAATGCCAAGTAATGCAATTATCCATTCCGGAGGCTTGAATATCGTCTCTCAAACCTAGATTTTTGTTAATGGAATTTATACAAGAATAGAGGACGCGATGCATATTTCCAGTGGAGTCTACTTGAACCCTTAAGCGGGGCTCTCGAAATGGGCCTAACGGAAGCTTCGGGACTGCCCCTGAAACCATGAAGATTTCAATCTGACTCTTTAAAAGACAAGAGTAAATGTAAAATCAAAGCAACACACTGATGGTCTATGATACAAAAAACATCCTCTTTGAATGGGAACTTGATCAGCAAGAAACAAAGAAGAAGAAATACATCGGTCAGACTTTCCGGATTGGGCAATGCAGAGCGGGACCACGTAAGCCGAACGCTAAACCCATTTTCCCCCCAAAACCTCCCTCATCTCGGACGTAAGATCTCAAGTATAACTCATCCCGAGCATGTCGCTAGAGATAAATATGGATGCTAATACCCAACCTGACCGGGTACGCAAGCGTCGCCGCCGCACAATGGCGTGCACACAATGTCGTAATCGCAAATTGAGATGTGATCGCGAATATCCCACATGCAGTCGCTGTCTGAAAAGCAGAACTCCGAGCAAATGCACATATGAGGATGGCTTCTTATGGCAACAACCCACTACTGTGGCCACGACTGCATTTGCGTCCGACCGAGGGCCCACTGCACCTGTGCAAGCTGATCGCACCCCCGTTGAAACTCCCCCGGATTCGGGGATGGCAACGGTATCAACTCGGTCGGAGCTATTCCCAACCAGTGGACCTACTCCGAGTCACCCCATGCATCACAGTCACCACGGTCTTTCGGGTCATGCTCTTGCGCCACCTTTCAGAGGTCGCCCACCTGGTAAAGAGCGACGCGACTGCTTTTTGGAGACTGTTCTCGGTGCTCCCAAGGCGGCCGTCAATCAGGAACCTTATGTGAACTCGGGCTTGCTGCAGCGCCTGAAGCGCCCTGCGCCGGAGTCCGACATGCAATCCTCATCGCGGGTCGATGAGGATCACCTCTATGAGGAAGAAGAATTCTTATCGCCGTCGCATCAGCTTGATCTCTCTCCTTGTATGATGATGAGAGGCCGTGAAACGAAGACTCGTTTCAGCGGGTCGGGAATCTTCGCGAACCTCCTAGCGCAGGTCTGTCTACACTCTGCTCTTCTGATTGTCGACAATTGACATTATTTAAATAATGACTGACTCGAAAAGTTCCCGGATATTAAATCTTTTGCGGAAGAGATCAAGATGTCAAATCCGATTATATCGCAGCTTCGACCTGATCTCGAAAAGGTGAAGCGTGGCCTCTGGAAACGCAAGCCGCTCAATACACCCTTCCCTGATCCAACGACAGCGTCACTGGTTGAGATGCTACCTTCACGCGGGGTAGTAGATGAGCTAATCAGCTTGTATCTAACTTACATCGAGTCAACCCACCGAATTCTCCATGTTCCATCTTTCTTACGTGAGGTTGACGAGTTCTGGGCTATGTTAGATAGTCCCGGCTCTCTCTCTGCGGGCTTCGCAGTTCAATTGCTGTTGGTTCTTGCCTGCGCATGGAATCTTGCGGACTTTACTAGTCTCCAGTCAAAGAATGTTTCCGAGCTCAAGTGTTACACGGCGATTGAATGGGTGCTCCACGCCGAGAGATGGATTGAGAATTTGCACAACAAGCGTCCGGAGATCAACTCGATGAGACTCTCCATTCTCTTGATATTGGCACGGAACAGTCACGGAATGAAACGTAGTCAAGCCTGGTTCGCAACGGGTACTCTTGTGAAGCAGGCGATGATGGCAGGATATCACCGTGACCCGAGCAGATATTCGCGGATCTCTATATTCAACAAAGAGATGAGGCGGCGAATTTGGAACACAATAGTTGAATTGGACCTCCAGATTGCCCTCGATCGGGGTATGCCACCCTCGGTGCAGAGTTTTGATTTTGATGCATCTCCAGCGTTGAACATCCATGATGATGAGCTCAACGAAAATACTACCGAAGTTCCCGAAAGTCGGCCACCGGGCGAAGTCACAGACACCTCTTTCCAATCCATCTTGAGCCAATCACTACCGCTTCGTCTTCAAGCTTGCTCCCTAATGCACTCTCCGCGGATTAATTGTCGATACGAGGATATACAGCGCCTGGACTGGGAACTCAACCGATACCTTGCTCGGATTCCTTCTTGGGTGACCACAGAACCTCACAACATTGTAACCCAGCATAAAGTCATTCTGTGGAAGTCCTTGATTGAAAGCAAACTCGCACAGTCCCTGCTATCAATTCACACCCCTTTTGCCATCGAAGCACGACGAGAAGCCCTCTTTGCCCCTTCGGCGCGATCTCGCATGGACGCTGCAATCCGGATATTGTCAACCCAGCGACGGATGCACGAAACCTCACGGTCCCTCTCGCTGTGCACGCTTGGGGAATGGACTATACATGCTTATATCTCCATTTGCCAGTTGCTGCACTCGACACAATCTGACAACAGTACATCTTCTGTGTCCCAGCTTGATCCAAGAATACAAACTGATCTCTTATTAGGTGCCCCATTTTATCCCACGTCATCAACCTCCCTTGTCCATAATCTACCCGGTTTCCCAGAATCTCTCCTCTCGCTTGTAGAAACGGCCCTGATCTCACTTGAAGAACGATCCTTGTTAGTGACAAAGGGAGCAAAGGACTACTTCTTCCTTTCAACAATTGTTGCTCTAGTCAAAGCCCGAATTTGGCCAGCGCAAGCAATCGTATACAAGCAGCAGGTGGTCGAACGGATCCTAGCATTTGCACAGGCTCTGTTCTCCCGGCACACTGGCTGCGAGCATCTTGGTCCGCACGGGATGGGCAACTTCAAAAACAATCAGGTGGCTGCATTCACAGCAACCCCAACGATGGTACCTGTTATGCCGACAGAGTTTGATCCCAATGGAATGTTACCGCCGCCGCACCTAGGCGTCACTGTGAGTCCCTTTCTGGCCCCTGTTTCTTTGATCTCTGTATTGACCATCCATTGTCTTGAAGCCGCCTGGCGAATTTGACCCTTTCTTGGAGATATTCGATTGGGAGGATCTGACAGGCATGACACTCCCCTGTTGAGACTTCGTCCCGCTATGTACAATACATGCAGGATTTCTTCTTTTCACTATCAACATTATACCATCATACCATCAACGATCATCCGGGGTCATCAATGCCCATTATCTTTATTCATCTTATGTCTACAATATATATAATCTTCTAGTTGTTCTAGTTTATTCTGTCAACATTCGACATGGCGATGTCATATTCCGTTGCGTAAGTGTGATTGTTGTTGATCACAGTTGCTTGGGTTCACCATGAGATCATGATCGGAGATATCAGGATTGACGTGATGCAAGGGGGAAAAACAAGGCGACATCTTAGCGCAGAGCCTTATTTGCACCCTTACTCATAATTGCCGAGCATTATGACATATGATAGTTTTGGTTCACTATGTTCTCTAGTTCGGGCTATGCATACATTATTTTAAGCCTTGTCGGCTTGCACCTGGATATTAGCGCGGAGTCATGTTGTGTTAACCGTCGATCATGCTAGCCGTTGTGGGGGCCAATTCTAATGAATGACTAAACTCGGATATTGCTTGAAGGCTCCGAGGTCCAAGTTGAGAATTGATGTTGAATAGGTTGTTGGCTGATTTTCCTTGGGCTACATTATAACTACAAAAGTACTTTGATTTAACCCCACAAAGTAATGACAGAAATAACAAGCAAAGATAAGCAATTTAATCAAATTGCAGTCCAGACAACTCACCCGATGAAATCTACCAATCACAATGTCTAACTAGTGGATCGTGCCTGTGCCAGACCTTGGTGCGGGTCTTGTACCTGGAAGTACCTGATAGCCAGGTAAATAACGTTAAGGATCTAGGTACCTATAAGTACCAGTCTAACAAAATATCGCAGCCTAGAAGTCCCCTAAAACGCTTGGCTTTGATTTTAGTATTCATGGACCCTCGACTTCAAGAGGCTCCTAGGCTGCGTCTTTAGTTCAATTTTTTTCCTTTTCCCTTGCTGAGATTGTATGATTACCACGTGCGCCTCCCTCACTTGAATTGTCTTTCATTCTTCTCTCTCAGACTAAATTCTCCGCTTCCTCTCCACATACTATATTTCCCCTATTTGCTACATTGACTGGCCATTTTCAATGCAAAAGAGCATAGATATGTGCAATTCAGTTCAATAACAATCACCATTTCCCCGGCAAACTAAGCCGACTTCCAAATTCATCTGAGCATCAATCGTCAAACTTCGGAGCGGATACAAAAACCTGTATTACTATAAACTCGTCTCATGATGCACCTCATACATCTACTATCATTGCTATTCGCAACCACAGCGCCATTGGCAGGGGCAGTTCCAGCACAATCATGGGGCCACACAGTAACGCAAGTATATGATACCACCAACCGAGTACCTCTCCCCAACGAAGGCCATCTACAAGTCCACGACCCCAACATCATCCTCTCCAATGACCACTACTACCTCTTCAAAGGCGGGATTAACATCCCAATCTTCAAATCCACCAACATGTCCGGGCCCTGGGAAAAGATCGGCACTGTCCTAGACGGCGACAGCATCATTGACAAAGGCAATCGGTCCCGCCCGTGGGCCCCAACGATCATTGAAAAAAACGGTACCTTCTACTGCTACTACACGCTGAGCCGGCCCGGATCTCGCAACAGTGCAATCGGTGTCGCAACAACAACGGCGCTGGGCAGCACGTGGACGGACCACGGCCTCCTCATTAATACGGGGAGCGGGCCTGGCTCCGATGTGTATCCTTACACTATTACCAACGCCATTGATGCGTCGTTTATCTTTGACCAGGGCTCCGGACAGGCGTATCTGAATTACGGCAGTTTCTGGCATAATATCTGGCAGGTGCCGCTTTCTGATGATTTGCTTTCTGTGAAGGATGCAGCGAAGCCGGATGCTGTGCAGTTGACTTTTGTGCCGCATGAGACGGTCCGTCCGGAGGAGGGGTCTTGGATGAGTTATCATGATGACTATTACTATGCTTGGTTTAGTCATGGGAAATGTTGCAAATTTGAGAGCGGGTTCCCGAAGCGTGGTGCGGAGTATAGTATTCGTGTTGGGAGATCGAAGGATGTTCGTGGTCCTTTTGCGGATAAAAAGGGTGATTTGTTGCTTGATGGTGGGGGGACGATAGTTTATGCGTCTAATCATGGGGCTGTTTATGCTCCTGGTGGAATCGGAGTTTTGCCTGGGAATGATTCAACGCCTGATATTCTTTATTATCATTATTTGAACACTTCGATTGGGTTCCTGGATACAGTAAGTCCATCTCCTGAGGGTCTCTTTTGTGACTCAACTGATTGGGTTTACAGCAAGCTCAACTGGGCTGGAACTACCTGGAATATAAGGATGGGTGGCCAGTACCCCTCGAAGGCGAAGATGCTGCCGCTGCCAGCGCCGCTCCTACCAATGCTCTTCCTAGATGGAGCTCCCTGACAATTGTCCTTGGTAAGTTCAGAATTATCTCAATGTCCTTTCATTGTCATGCACTAATTGATTCGACAGGTTTATGGTTGTACATCTGGTCATAACGACGGCCGCACTCCGCATTCGACGCCGGTTTCTTTACTTCTTTTATCCATATTCCTCAATGACTGTACATAGATATCATGGTGGTGGCGTTTTGCTGGTCTTTGGGTATTACAAATGTCATTTAGCGATCATGGAACATCGTTCTTGGCCCTCAAACTATTAGATCAGCTACCGAATTTATAATTCTCGCAGTATAACCTTGAAATCACATCTTTCATGGATCCCATCCACCGTCAACACTGACAATCTGACCCGTCGTATATGATGCAGCATCACTGAGCAGGAACACAACCGTCTGCGCAACCTCCTCGGCCCTGCCGATGCGCGGGATAGCAGTGGGTGGAGCACTAATCTGACCCTGGATCTCCTTGGCCATGTCAAGCAGGGGCGTTTGAATGGACCCACTAAGAAGATGCGATCAGTGAATCATTCATCAATGCGATATCCTCCAACCGGTAAGATAAATATACTCACGGTGCAACCGCATTAACCCTAATATCGGGTCCAACTTCTTTCGCAACCGACTTCGTCAGGCCAACAACAGCATGCTTGGTTGTGGAATAAGCAGCATGCAGGGCAAACCCTCTAATGCCCTGAATACTCGACGCATTGACAATACTTCCTTTACCTCCCGGGGCCGTCTCCGAGATAGCCTTTAATTGCGCGCGCAGGCAATACATCAATCCAGTCACATTGACCCGCATCAGCATGTCCCACTCGGCATCATCCTGATCAACAAATTTGCCTATTCCGTGTTGCTTGCCGATTGTGCCGGCCATATTTGCGGCGCCATCGAGTCGGCCAAAGTGCGACACCGTCGAGGCGATCCATTCTTTTACAGCGGACACGTTACTAATGTCTAGAGCGGTTGTGATGATTGTTGAGGCTGTGGAGGAGCGGGAATCAGCCTCGATTGTCTGGCGCGCTGTGTCGAGGACTGCTTGGCTCAAATCGGCGAGTGAGAGCAGGGCGCCCTGGGCGTGGAGTTGGCGGGCGACGGCTAGGCCGATGCCGCCTAGGCCGGTTACAGCGTAGACTTTGCCTTTGACGGAATCCATTTGCGCAACTTGGGGAGGTTTTTGGATTTTTTAGAGACAGTTGAGAGAGAAAGAAAACTCGGCGCAAGTTGTCGCTTTCAAGTACATGTGGGGTGTCAATACCCCAAAGTGGTGGAAGAACGTGGGGTCGGAGCTCCTCCGTGTCCAATCTATAGGCCGGCTATATTGGTGTTGCATTGTATAATCGGCTAAATTGTAATTTCCGTCTCGCTGTCAATAAGAAAGCTGATATTTACCCCGCGAGACTCCACTCATTGATAATGGGAAAAGTTATACCCAGCACTATGAACGATATCATATTGAGGGCAGGGGGTTATTCAGGGTTCAGTCCGGAATCATGCAAAGCTTGCAATATACCTATTCCTAGTTCATTTCGTTCCTTGCAGCTCGAGTGGTGGTGCAAGGCTTTTCTCCAGGAAATACAAGCTCGAAGGGAGTCAAGATGCTAGATTTTTCAAGACAACAGCCGCTCTACTTCTGTGAGCGTAAACAAATTTATCAAAATCTATGGTCAACCACGTGTTGAGACCAGTCATCTTAAGGTGGATCTGCAATGCTTTCTTCTCGAGGTTCGGGCCGTCTTTAAGAAATGCAGGACGGCGACCAAATAATATTAGGAATGTTCGGCTTGGCATATTCTAGAATGACTGAATATGTATCCAAGGCTCTTGGCCTTAATTAAGCAATTCAGTCACCTATCCACTTAACAATATATCCACACCATCCTCCGACACATCAACTCTGTAATCACAAATGGGTATCTCAAAATGCAACAAAAACAAGAACAGTCACGCTATGCACCGCTCAGACAAACATTCCCGACAAAAGCAAACCCCCAACCACCAAGGAAACCAACGAGCATCCCATCGACGGCCCCTTCCGCACCGCCCCAGATTTATACTCCGTACTGCTCCCATGCATAACGCCCGCAGCATTCAGGCAGTACATGACCCTCTTCGTCTCCGCCGAAGAAGACGAGCGACAGACCGCAGTACAAGGATCTGGGTCCTCATAAATCCACACGCCATTCGAACAACAGGACTGCAAAACAGCCTCCATATCACGATCTGGGTTCTTCTCCTGGTACAGCGGTACTTGGTTGTAATAGTTGATATTCGCAGGCAAGGAAGACATCGTGTCGCGCGAGTGGTAGCAGTGTACGGGCTGGGAGAAACTCGTTCCATTGGAGTTTGCCATTGTGGGAGGTTTTCTATGCGATTGGCACTTTCCGGATCGATCCGAGATGCGACGCGATTTTTAGCGATCGTTTGGCTGGGGACGGATAGTCAATCGCGGGGGATGGAGAGTGCGATATTGCAAGTTCGGGTATTATGTGCTTTGGGTGTCGAGCAGGGAAGGGATTGTCAAGATTTTGTTTCAACAAAATCGTAAAGTGGTCCCGCGCGGCTCAGGAACGCCTTTTAACTCACTCCTGAATGATCATCTGTGGGGGAAGTGCCAAGGCGCTATGTTGGGGATATTGGTAACCAAGTGGAGTCCAAATACAATATTGTACCCAATTCTGCAGCTGATGGGGCTTCAGGATCCCGAATACGATGAATCCATTCGTTAATCAATGTTTTTGGCGAATTAGTGGTTTGAATTGAGGTCATTGGTGTTAGGGTGAGACAGAAAAGGGCAATTGCTTATAATGCCGCATTCTCCTTACTTCTCTATTTAATGTGATCTATGCAATATGTGTTTCATATCCTTTGCAACCCTTGAATGTATTTACAGCCGGGCTGCTTCATTGGCTTTTCGCCACATTTTCTTTCGGCGTTCATGGCCATCATTGAAATGCTCAAGCCACTTTTGCTCAAACCGAGGTAGGCGTCGTCCTGGGGTGCCGTCGCGAGGTTCCCCGGCCAGAAGACGGAGCCCTTCAAAGTAGGCTTCAAATTCAGGGTTGAGCACGGTGAATGCGGGCCCGTCGGTCTTTTCTGCAATTCGATTGGTTTCCCACTTTTCTTGCTCTGCAACAGAAGGCAAGGTCGCTCTGCCAGCCAAAACGCGGGCAGCGGCAACCGCTTGCCATTCGAAGACCTTGAATGTCAGGCCAGCGCCAACCTGTGAAAAAATTGTCAGCCCATTGACATTCAAAAACCATGCGATTGCGTAGTATAAACTTACAGCGCCCACGAAGGTCAGTGTGGGATCATGTCGGTAGAAAACATGCTGGTACAGATCTGGCACGCGATTGTTCCGCGTAGCAACTTGGGGCAAGAAAGGCAATGTCCAACTGAAGCCAGTTCCAAAAATCAGATGATCAACGCCGGATTCAAAAGTGCCATCTTCAAAATGCACTGTCCTCTCGCCTTGGTCACTACTCGTGATGTGCGAGATAGGCGTGCGACGCTGGATTTTTGGGTGCTGGAATGCCAAATCGCCAAAGTATGCATTGTAACGACCACGCACAACAGCAATCACTGGTGTTTGGGCGCTGTCGACCAAGTTCACCGCAGTATCTGCCGCAGAGACAGACGCGCCAACAGTGATGACTTTCTACAGTTTGTCAGCGGTCCGTTGTGAAGGAAATAATTAAAGGGAGCAATCACCTTTCCTCGATACTTCTCTGGCCCCCGGTAGTGCTTTGTGTGCTGCACACTACCAGGATACCTGTCCGCAAATTCTTTCAATCCCGGAATCGCAGGAATCCACGGCACTGCGTAATGACCCGTAGCGACGACAACCGCATCGAACTCCTCAGACCACCAATAATCAGACTTGACACCATCGGCAACTTCCGTCCGTCTCAATGTAAGCACCCATTTCTGGCTACTGGGGTCTTTAATAGCGCGCTCCACAGTAGTATTGTACTGAACAAGATCCTGGTAACCGTTGCGGTTAAACAGATCTTCGACATACTTCCGGATCACCGTGTGGTGGCGGAAAGGTGTATCCTCGCCATGGCGCTCAATCGACCATTGCGATCGCACTGGAGGGATAGCCTCTTGAGAAAACGACATGGCGCCTGCGTCCACGTTCGTCTCTAGGGCCGGATACACGGGTGAATCCATGAACCGGTCCTGAGAGCCTACGGGTGTTCGGCAGGGCAGATGCTCGGGAATTTGAAGGGGTGCATCTGCTGTTCGTGCGGATAGCGCATCGAAATCAAATTCCCGAGGTGGCTCATCCTCTCTTGATACCCTGTTGATTGTTAGATTGATCAAGGATCTCATTGAAATGTAACATACCAACACCCGCCAGCATGCTCTTGTCTGTCAAAGACACGAATAACATCAAATGATTTCTCCTGTGCTAGCGCATCAACTGTAATGGCGCCTCCAGGGCCAGCCCCGATAACAGCAACGCTCTTAATATGCGACATGGTATAATGATAAGAAAATGTGGTGTTCAAGACTGGGTATAGAGTCACGCTTTAACCTCACTGTCTCGGCCGACTCAAAAATGGGATGTTATCTGGGTAAAGTTAGGTTTCTGTCACGCCATCGGGCTTGCTTTTGTCGCAAATTTAGGAAGCGCCAAATTGCATGTACGTTTTGCTTCTGTAACATCTCATATATGCGATGAAACAGCCGAGGTTGAACTCACAGTATAACAAAAAAAGCTCATTGAAGATAACCGTTTTTACTCTACGGAGTAAACTAAAGCCAAATTCTAAATGCCGAAGCTTCAGCGAAACTTTCCATTTTTATCCCGACCACTCGGCGTGCCTGCCGTTGATTTGATTGGCTCTCGGCAGTCAAATTTTACTGTCACGTGCCTCATTTCTAGTACGAAAATATTTTGTACTGCTATGAAGATTGCATATCTGCATTATCAGAGGTCTGAAATTCAGAATATGAGTGAAAATTGGCTGCAATAAACGGTGAGACTCATAGTTGTTTTGCAAATTGTTTCATTGCGAGATTGTAAACAAACTGTGGTGTGTCGATTTCGAGTTCCGAATAATCGAAATAAGATAGATGCAAATTGTACGTAACAAATGATTATACAAGCAATCAAGACCAAAATAGACCAAGACGCACCAAACTAATTAACCTAAGTAAACACATCAGTAGCATAGCGTTCCTTGGTGCGCAAGTTATCAAAGAACTGCTCAGCAGCCTGATCCTCATCAAGTTCAGCCCCAGCCGGCGTCTCGCCCTTCTCCTTAAGCTCACGATGTTTGGCACGGCGCTTCTCAAGGTACATCTCTTTACAAGCGTGGCGAATACCAGCGCCAACACCCGTACTTCCGCAAACATAGATATTGGCACCCTCTTCAAACAGCTTCACCAGCTCTTCGCGGTCCTCAAGCATAGCGTCCTGCACATGCTGGCCCTTGCCTTCGCCGGGACGGCTATACGCCCAGCGAACATCGACGGCACCGAGCGCCGCCCACTCCGCCAGCTCGGCAGCGTGGATATCATCCTGGCCCTTGGTCCGGCATCCGATGTATAGAATTGCCTTGGCTGGCTTGACGACCTCTTGGGATTGCAACTCGTCGGAATCGGGGGAGCTGCGACGGCCGCGGATCTTCTCCGCACGATCCATCACGAAGCCACGGAAGGGCGCGAGACCACTGCCTGCGCAGGCCATGATCATGGGCGTTTCCAGGTCCATGGGCGGCTTGAAGCCTGAGTGGGAGGGGCGGACGGTGATATGCGCGCGTTCGCCGGCTTGCAGTTCGGAGAGGTAGTTCGATGCCACGCCGAGGTACTGCTCGATTTCGGCGTCGTCGTCTGCGTGGGCCAGGGCCGGCGCACTGAGCACGCTGAAGGTGATGGAGCATTCGGATGGGTCGACTAGAGGCGATGAGGAGATAGAGTACTGGCGCACGCGCATTGGGGGGAGCATGGCGAGGAAGTCGCCGATGGCAAGCTTGATGGCCGGGTAGCGGGTGAGGAGGTCGAGCGGGCTGACGCGCTTCTTGACGATTTCTTCGGTGAAGCGGCTCGGGCTGGAGGCGAGGTAGCGCAGTTCGGCCTGGACTTCGGCATCGTTGATGGCTGCATCGGCTAGAACGTTCAGATCGCGCTTTGATGCTGGCTGGGAGAGCTCAATGTAGGTGGATAGCAGCTCAAAGGCGGAGATGGGGGTGTCGATGGGGATGGAGGGCGAGGAGGTTGAGCCTGGTGGCTTCTGGACACGGAGCACGGCGTCCCAAGGGAGGTCAAATCGGCGGATGGCGCGACGGACGACTGAGCTTGGGTTTACAGGTAGTACGGCGAGGTAGTCACCACACTGGTAGGTCATGTCTGATGGCAGCTTGAATTTGACCACTCGCTTGGCCGGGGCGCCCGGCGGTGTCAAGAGCTGGTTCTCGATGACGAATCCTTCTTCCAGCTGGAGGCCTAGGGTGGATGCACGCATGCCAGAACTGACTTCAACTTGCAATGATGACTTTGACTTGGCGGCCTGCTCGGGACCAGCCCCGCCAAATTGGGCCATCACAGCCGGCCAGAATGAGGTCTCGCCCCAGCCATCGAAATCAGTGAACATGTCAGAGTTTGCTGCATCAGCAAGGCCAATATCGCAAAGCTTCTTTGCTCCATTCTTCTCGGCCAGATCATCGATGGCTTTGGGGACACGGTAAAAGGTGGACGACCAATCATGGTGACCACAGCCGAAGGTGGCATAGTTGACACCTTCCAGCTCGCCACCCTTCAACTCACTGAGCCACTCGAAGAAGTGGGCGGCGTTATCGGGGGGCTGGCCTTCGTACGAAGCCGAAATAAATACCACAGGGCCGTGCTTCGGCAGATTCTGCATTGTTGAATCCAAGGACCCAATCTCAGCTGCGTAACCGTATCCAGTGGCATCATCAGCTAGTCTGCGAGCGAAGGCCTCACAAGTTCCAGTATTGCTGCCATAGAACACGTGCATTGGCTTCAGCTTTCCATCCGCGGGAGGTGCCACCTTGGGCTTCCGGTCCCGGCTGCCGGCGCCAGTCTCTTTAGGCGTACCAGCGGAGCCACTGAGAGAAGTGCTGAGCTGAGTAGGGTCGAGGCCATCTCTGAGTGACGCCTTCATGTGGAAGTCCTTAGGTTTAATGGTAAGGGTCTGCTTAATGCGCAGGTCGTAGGTAGGGTTATCCATCTGGAAGTTGAAGTTCTGCAGCAGAATCGCAACCACGAGAAGAGCCTCTTGCCAAGCAAAGGGCCGTCCAATACAGCCTCGCATTCCATTTCCGAAGGGCTTCCAAGCGTTTTTGGGCAGCTTCTCGAAGTTTTCATCAAGCATCCGCTCGGGCTTGAACTCGTCGGCATCGGGGCCGTAGACCTTGGGGTCGCGGTGCATCTTGGTGAGCAAAATTGCAACAGTTTCATCCTTGTGGAGGACATATTTGCCACCTCCCAGTGTCACCGGTTCCTCCTTGTTCTTCTCGGGGTGGGGGTGCAGAGCGATCATTGGAGCTGTTGGCTTCAGACGCAAAGTCTCGCGCATCACAGCGGTGATGTACGGAAGCTTCGACATATCCTCGACGACAATCTTGCGCTTGCCGATCACGCGGTCTACTTCCTCTTGGGCCTTCTTATACGCGTTCGGGCTCTTGAGCAGATAGTAAAACAGGAATGACAACATGCCGGAAGTCGTCTCGTGCCCTGTCAAATCTCAGGTTAGCTCTGCAGCTAGCAGGTCTTCGCGATGGTTACTTACCAGCAATCAAGAATGTGATCATGTTGTCCACAATTGAGTCATCTGTCATGCCCTTGCCGGTCTGAGGGTCGCGACCCAGGATCAGGGCATTGAGAAGATCCTTCTTTTCAACGGGGTTTTCTTTCCGCGAATCGACCAATTCGCGCGCCAGGTTGCGAAGATACTCGATATCACTCCAATACTTTGAATTCTCTGTTGTAGGCAGACTGTTGAGCAAAGCAGGCTTCAAAGCACGGCTGCCAGATCCAGCCAATAATCCAACCATACTCTCAACAAATGGGTGCATCTCATCATGGTAGAATGAGTTGAAACGGGTTCCCATCGCACAGAGCGCGATAGTATCCAGTGTCAAGCGAGTGAAGTCGTCTGTCACCGTGATAGGGGTAGTAGGGCCCTGACGCGCCCACTTCATGACAAGCTGAGTAGCGATATCATACATTTCTGGCTGTTGTCAGCTATGGCCATTTTCCATCTGTTCCCCTCCTCTGCAAGGAAGAGCAAGTCACCTACCGTCAAACATGCCGCGAATCATCAACGGACCAAACGCAGGAACAAGGACGCGGTGCGCAATAGCCCAGTTCTCTTCGCCGGGATAGTTCGCTGTAAAGAGACCGTCGTGTACGCCGTTCCGAATCTCATTCAGACCGGCCGAAACCATTTTACTGAATCGCTCCTCATTGCAGACTTCGTCCACCAACTCGTGTGAGCTGATGATTACTCGGGGTCTGCCGAATGTGGTCAATCGGAAAATAGGGCCTAAACAGATCAAAGTAGTCAGCTCATCAATCCAACCCAATCACATCCTTTGCTTGAGGTGTTCATCTGTACCGTAGTTATCGGCTAGTAGCTCAAAGCTGTTTACTGGAACCTCGGGCTCAATGTCGTAGATGTTTCCCAGGAACGGGACGCCTCTGGGGCCCGGAATGGGGACCTGGTTGGATGAGGTCATGACGAGTAATTGTGGTCTTTCAATTAAATGGATATGATTCCGGATCAGGTTTGGATATTAAGGTGTAAATCAACCAAGATCACAGAAGAACTCAAGTCAAGTAGAAAAATAGAAATTCAGAGGTTTTCAGCGGGGTTGAAACTCGTACTACCAAATCCGGTTGACGTCGCAGCGGGGGTTCGAAGTAAGATCGGAGATCGGAGATGTTAGTCTGTATAGTTGATCGTCGAGTGAGGATGTCGGGGGAAATTTGAGGTTTTGAGATGTGGATGGGAATATCCCTATGTCCCTACGTATTTTCTTATAAAAAGAAAAAAAGTGTAATCGTAATCTCACCGACTTATTGAACCTCGGTATATTCAATCAGTTATATAAACAATTAAGGTCTTCATTTAATATGCACAGCCTGAACTGTTTCAACATTTCTCTGGAATACAAGTTCCACTACGGGCTCGGCATCCCTTGAAATCCAATCATGATAGCTGTGTATAAATCGGTGGTCACGCCGAGACTCTCCCTAAGTTTTTTTTTCCTGCCGCCTTAACGGGATTGACAACTGGATTCCGACCGACGCTATGATCTCCCTATAAAACGGAGTTTCTGCACAAATGAATGCACAAGCTGCCTACGTATGTGGGGGATCAGGAATTCCGTTTGACACCGTCTCGCGGGAATATCCTCATCGGGGAAGGAGCGGGGCAGGAGTGGACCCGACCTCCGACTGTTATGCGCGCGTCTTGCAAAGTATTTGCCGGTCTTGAATGAATATCATTGTACTCCGTACAAGATACAATATTGTACAATTCGCCAGGTCAATGAAAAAAGTATGCGACCTGCAGAACTTGGCGTCATAAGTTGTGATGGCTTGCTATTCGAAAGGTGGGTGTTTACCTTTGACATGACAATGCCAAGCTAATCGAATAATTTTCCACAAAAAGGCAATTGGAATGAAAACCCCGTTTTATATGGCAAGATATGTACATGTATATATGATTGAGTAGAGCGCAACTCATCAACAGGGGACTTGAAAGCCAACGAAGGGAAATTTTGATCCAAAAAAACCAAAAGTGGGATATCAACAGAAAGAGGGCGGAAAAAGTGGCTCTGTGTGCGAGGATTCGAGAAATCGAGAGACAAAGAAACAGAGATGAACAGATAAGAAGCCGGGGCGAAAGGAAAAGGTTCATTATTCCGACTTGGAGTGATCATGGCGACAATCTGAAACCCCGGCTCTACGCGAAAAGGGAAATTGAAGTTGTTCCTTCTTGATTAGAGGCAAGATGGATTGGTGAATGTTTTGACAACCATGCTAGTTGCTGACTTGTCGGTAGCCACCGTTCCTGAACTCGCTTCCCTTCCATTCACTCTGCTTCCAGTCGTTCTGGGAGTTCTGCATCTCGGTGCGGTTCTCGGCGTACTGGTTGTTGTCCAGTGCGTTTTCGAGACGGCCCTTGCGACGCTGGCGCAGGCAGAAGATCAGGAAGGCTGCGATTCCGAGCACGCCGGCTCCGGCCGCACCACAGTACACACCGATGTGGGCTCCCTGGCCAAGGTCGTCCCACTTCTCTGAGAGAGACTTGGCTGGAGCTTTGTTCAGTTCGGTCAGTACGGTCGAGTTTCCGCTGTGAAGTTTTGTTAGCTACGATCTTGCGAGGCGGTTCGGTCTCACTTACTCCGCCACTTTGATGCTGTCAAAGGAACCCGTGTGATCCGAGTAGGTATACTCCTTGCCAGAGTGGAAATCCTTGACACGGAGCGCTCCAAGTGTCATCGTGAAGGGGGCTTTATCCCAGTCGACCAAACCACCTGCCCACTCAATGGTACCTTGAGCGGCACTCTTCTGACCAGCGGGCCAGAGACTGAACTTGACACGGCAGGGGGTTTGTGGGTAGTTCTTTCCGCCCAGTGTACCCTTGTCGTCATACAAGAGTTCGCGGACCATATTACCATCAATCCACCACTGAAGTCTCTCCTGGTCCCAGTAGGTGGTGTAGTTGTGAAACTCGGTATCTGCGTTTGGCACGTAGTGGGTGCCGCCACGGTCGAAGGTGGTATCATTGCCCTTGCCAAAGAAGTTGGACTGTACTTCGCTAGTGTTGTATCCGACCCACTCCCAATCGACCTCATCGAGGTCGTCGGATTCCAAGACGACACTGCTCACCAAACCACCTCCCTTGGCCATCTTTACGTGAGATTCCACGACACCGAAGAAGATATAGAAGTTGGAACTCAGGAGGGTGGACTGGCCTTCTCCAGTGAGGGAAAATTGGGCTCCGGTATCATCGTACTTGTAGGTTCCGGTGGTCATGTTCCAAATCGTCTCGTCCAAGGTCGTGTTGAAGTTCCAGGTGTGCTCGGTGCCGAGGGCGGGATCCGCGGGACATGTAGTGTTCAATGGGTCACACGTTGTTGACGTCTGGGCATAGGCATAGCTAGCCAAACCCGCGAACAGGGCGACGCGAGAGAAAAACATGATCTATAAACGATTGATTTCTCAATTCGGGGGCTCTACTACTGGACAGTCCCAAGTTATTAAAAGGAGTGGACTCGAGGCTACTCGAGATTCAGTAAAGAATGTATGTGCAAATGCACTAATGAGTGGAAGGGTCTGCCAGCAGTGAGATCTGAAGATGAGAAAGGGAAACGGGGGGAAACACCCAATTTAGGCCCAGGTGGGTTCGTGACATGTTAGGCTAGTAGTGTTTTGGGTCAAGCTGATTTTTTTTGTTGTGGTACCTTTAGCCACAGAAAGCAAAGGAGGCAGTTAGTGTAAGGGGAAACTTGCAGAAATTATGGTCGAGTTAAACAACTAACCAGTCTGGGTTGGAACATATCCACCAATATCCGCTTCCGTGCATCCCGCTAACCGTAAGTGGGAGTTTCAGGGGTCTCGTGCCTGATACTAAGCTACTTTGGGTATAATTGAAAAATAACAAAGTTACCTTGAAGACCCTGATTGGTCCCTTTTCCTCAGATAACGAATTATGTACTTTGGAAGGTTGCCTGTCCCCCTAGGTGTATATGCTTGTATGAATATCGTGCTCTGACTCAACTCTAGCCCTTCTACGGAGTACTTTGTCTATATATATAAGTTGTATTTTACAATGACTTGGCAGCATCAAACTTAGTGGCTTAGCTTCGTTCTGGACCATTCGTGGGAAATGGTTTTGCAATGAAGATCAAACCCCAAATTGATATCGCCACGGGTGAGTTGTGCTCATGTACATTTGCATATCCCTTGAACAATAAAATCAATCTATTTTCAGTTCTCGTTCCTCTCGTTCCTCCTGTTTCTCACAATCTGAAATTTACGAATGCTCCGCATAATACAGCCAATAACAAAACCATATTCAAAGGCCAAGCCTACCTCCCAGGTCCACGAGTGGAGTTGTCTAGCCTAGGAATTTCTGTTTCTTGCATTTTCGGTGTGGGCCTTTCCCCTGTCTCTGTGTCCATCAATTTTTTTAGTATCATGCGAATGATGCTAAATCCTTCGAGCTTACCTCCCATTCGCCGATACGAGTCAAATGACGGCTGCGGCGTTCCTACCGATAAATTTCGCTCTATCGAGGCTGAGACCAATCAAGGAAATTTTGGCTGTTCTGATCGATCAAACGCCACTCGTTGGCGGTGACACACAGCCAAGTCCATAGCCAAGTCTAACTAGACTAGATCGAAGTACGAGGTACTCCATAACCACCTGGCCGTTCTCAGGTACCCGTCAGTAACCTACGTATGTGGGACTTGTTATCTGTCGATAGCCACATGTACCTTGCAGCGGTGCAAATAATAACTCAGTTGAGTTGTTCTTACCTACAGATTGAGATCCCAACTCAGGGGTCAATCGCGTCCGCAGAATATTATCTTCCAAACAAAGTGCCACAAAAAAGCAAAATCCAAGGAAATTCATTTGATATAGTTTTATCGAATCGTAAAATATCACGGTCGTACAATATTGTATGTCACATCTCATCAATAATCCTGGCTCGGTCCATCCGGCCCACCTTTATCCCCCGAGCTCAGAGATAAAAATAGCAAACACCTGCGCCAAATCGATGGTATTCACCCAATAGTCAATTACTCCGTACGGAGTACGGAGTGCAAGGTTCATAAACTCATGTTCCCATTTATGTCATCGTGGTGCTACTTCGTAGACCTTTGGTGGTGAGCGCACACTGGACATCCTACTGGTACCGTAGCTCATATGAGTGGTAGTAGTAGGATGGCTACGGCGACGTTTGCGATGGTGTGTAGAGCGCTCGCGCTCGCGCACAATAGGAGGATTGTAGTCGTCGGACTCGCTGCCACCGCAACACACCCACGCTCCGGGTAGCTTGAAGAACCACCATAGCAATTGCAGAAAAAGGGTTCCTGCGATCGAGCCGATGACGATACCTGCAATGGTACCACCGTCAATTGTGCTTGGACAACTGTCGCCTCCACTCGACTGCCGGGGTAGTATATAATTTGTTGGGGCCTGAGTAATCATTATCGTTAGCATTGGAAGATTCTCGGTCCATGGTTCTTTAGTTCGGCCCGTGAGATGAGCCACGGAATGGAACTCGCATATCATCATGCAATATTGTGGATTAGCACGTACCATAGCAGTCTTTACAATTGGTCTGTGTTATTGATTTCTCGGAGAATTTCAATGCTCAATGGTTGGCAATGGCATAGAGAACGGCGGGGCTGTTTAAATTCCGACTCTAACTAATGCATGACAAACGTGCGTATGCGTGTAGATGAGTAGGACGAAAACATAAACAGGTGGGAAAGGGAAAAATTAAAAAAAAAAAAAACATCCCGAGAGCCTCACATCATATATGTAGAGAACAAGAAACTGACCCGAACTTCGTCACATCCCCGCTTCTGATGTAAGTCGGACATCGCGGGCGCTTAGCGGCCTAGAAGAGGAGTGATCTTCCTTTGTTTTTCACTGCGCAAACTCGAAATTTTGGCAACCAACACTTGCCGGAGGCTACAATTGGCCGCTCTTTGATGTTGGTCCTCAGATTTGTTGGTCAGCTTCTCACAATTGTGTTTGCGGTCCTGAGCTATAAGTGCCTAGCCATGAAAAGTCTTGTTTCATTTGGCATTCATCTGGCATGTGAAAGTGCAAGGGTTCTCTCAGGTCTTATGCTACGGAGTTGCCGAAAGACGGGCTCAGGGTTAAATCATTCACTATTGTAGGGTATTCAAATGCTACTTGCGCAACAATTGTCTGTTACTCAGTCTCATCCAGAGAATCTAGCGTGCTCCGTCAGAACACATCAGATGTTTCAATCCTTGTTCAACTGCACATGTCCCGGGGAAGGCGGAACCTCTCCAGTTTCCCACGCCTTCGCATCAGCCCCTAGCTCAAAATGGATTGTGCCGCCCTTCGTCATCACATCGTCATGCTCAACCCAATTCTTCTCCCACTTTTTACCATTAATCTTCACGCTTTGTACGTAATATCCGTCTTCTAGACCATTTGCAGTGATCCGGAGTGTTTTGTTTCCATTGATTGTCATGTTGAGATCCGGGAACCACGGAGATGAGAGAAGATACACGGGCTGCGTGACGATCGGGTAAATACCGAGCATCTGCCACAACAGCCAAGAATTCATGGCACCGGCATCGCTGTTTCCAGGAATTCCGTAGGCTGCATCCTTGAAGCTGTTTGGAGAATGGGGCGTTTAGCAATTATCCCGAATACAAGTAAGCAGGTAGACTTACTACTGAGTGGCTAATCTCCGTGATTGATCCACGCTCTTAGCTTGCTTGTTGATGTAATTGTATAGATATGGCGTTGCGAAATCGGGCTCATTACTAGGTTACAGGCAATTAGAGTTTTGTAACGTTGAGGACATCATAGGTACAAACCCGATATTCATCAACGTGGTGATACCTGCGCCGTTTGCGCCGAGATCTTGAACGGACATGTTGGCTTTGAACTAGATGCTGTTAGTAACTAGCTTACAATGTTGGAAGTGCGGCTTACCATCACGTCAAGTCGAGACTCGAATTTTTTCGCGCCCCCCATGAACTCAATCAGAGTCTTCACATCATGGGGGATAACAAAGGAGTATTCTAGTAACGTCAACATCAGCACCACCTCTTTCAGCTCCTTCTCATAGCTGATCAAGAATTATACTAACCCCATGGAGTGCCCTCATAAGTGTAATCTTTCCACTCACACCCATAACAATAGAGCGGGTCATAGCCACTGTTATTGAATGAACCATTCGAAAAGCGAGGTGCCAGGAATCCATCAAAGCCCAAACTCTTCACATCCGTATTCCAGATATTCTGCCACCCCGCAGACCGGTTGAGATACTTTTCCTGATCACTGGGCATCTCTCCAGCAGCAACCTGGCTGACTGCAAAATCATTGAGGCTGTATTCGACTGTGCGCGAGATACAGCGAGTATTCCGATCTTGCGATACGAATCCAAGCTCTTTCCAGTCGTCTAGCGCACCACGGCCTTCCTTCGTGCTTGCTGAAAAGTCGGTTGGGTCAAAGGTGTTGTATGGTGTAACTTCTGCGTCTCTTTTCATCGCTGCATAGCCTTCTGTCCAATTGATTCCGCCTCGCAGACCTTTGACGTACGCATCTGCCAGTACATTGTCTGCATCGGAACCACCTTGAACTAATCCGTTCCAGTTTCCGGAACGCCCATCGGGCATATACCCTGAGTGCCTGCGAGATTCCATCATTAGTCTGAGTCAATCTGGCGGTTTGTTTGTTTACTTACTTCCAGATGTCGATCAGACCTCGAATCATAGACTCATAATACTCGGGCTGGAAGATATGGTAAAAGCTGACTGTGCAGCGGAAGATGTCCCCTGTTGCCATGTCAGTACCCGACCTCACTTCGGATGTCAAATCACTCACACATGGTATAAAAGTCATCCCAATAAGGCTCCCCCGAGTCCCAGAGTGGGTTCTCGCCCGTTCGATCCGAAGGCATGAGATGGATAAAGTACAATGAGCTGTACAACAGTCTGACATGCGTCATGTTGGCTGAACTACCCAATGGGACTTTGACCTTGTTGAATACATCTTCATTCCATTCTTTCACTGCAGCGGCTACTGCATCATTAAGCTTCCATGATGGAATCTCTTTTTGAACATAGGAGCGTGCCCGGTCAACGGAGATAGTGGAAATACCGACGCGCGAGGTAACGTGTGAAGCAGGTCCATCATTCCAACTAAATAGCAACCCGACTCGGTTGTTCATTAAGCCTGAGGTCACTTTGCTAGAAGTATTTGTGAACATTGGCTCACTCATCCCGCCATTGGCTAGACCTTGGGACCGTGGCATCGGGTCTGTATTCACCCCGGAAAACGTCTGTGAATGATCAGGGGAATTGGCGAATTCTCCATAAAAGTAAATCGTGAAAGGTGCTCCTTGTTTTAAGGTTAGATTCTGCTGTCAATGAAGGTATCAAGGACTTGCCATTATTCCAACCACCAGCATACGTTCCGTATCCACTGTAGGCTTTGCCATTGGCCTCGATCTGTATCTCGCCTCCGGCAAATGACTGGCAATTAGAATCCCCGGGAGAGCCAGGTAGATACTATTGCTTATGGTCAGTCCGCTTTTTGAAGTAAACCGTTTCTCCAAATCTACTTACGTGAGACACATCGATCAGCACATGCTTCTCCCCCTCGGGGAATGAATACTCCATAATCCCTGCATGGCGCGATGCTGACAATTCCACGGTAATTCCGTTCTCCAAATGAGTTTTGAAATAGCCAACTCTGGCAGTATCGTTGCCAACCTATAAAAACGTCAAAAAGCCAAATCGAATCATACACCCCATTCATGGTTTAAATACCCTTGGTTGACTATAAGTCAAATTATCAAGTACGTTGACAGGCAACTCAACAGAGGTCAATGGCATTTGAGAGACAATCCCATACTTGGGCGACCCTCCAGTGCCACTCTCATGCATCATACTGATACCAGTGACATTTCCATCGGGCGTCCACCCACCATTGAGAGTGGCGGTGGTCCAGTTTGCGGCAGTCGTGTCAAGTCCAACTTTGGCTACGCCGAATGGTAGCGCACCACCAACAAAAATATCACCTCCGCCGAAGGCAGTGCCTGCCTCGGGGCCTTCGGAACCTATAAATGGATTCACATACTGGGAGAGGTCTACCTGGGTGGCGATGGAGGGGCCGATGTATAGAAGTAAGGGGCCCCAGATAGCCAGACGTATAGGTGGTAACAGCATCATGTGAGTGGGCGCAGTGTAAAGTTGAAAGCATCAAAGTAAGAGTATACTGTGTCGTGATGATAAGCACAAGAGTGGGATGATACACCTCCTTTGCTTTTATACATTCCTGTAGATGGTTGACCAGTGTAACCCTCGCTTGGGCCTTGATTGCAGCGTCAAGTCGACCACGGTCCAAAGAGACCCCATGCAGTGCCCTTGCTTTGAACAATCGAAATACAAGAAGAATTGATTTGTTACATGATGGACTGATCGGCTTCCAACCTTCCACTTATAAAACTAGCGCCACAGTTCTCGGGTCTTTAATAGCCGAATAGACTCTTTATAGCCACGCATATGCCGTGCAATGTAGCGTTTCTCCAATCTCTTGCCGATCAAATATGTCATTGCGCGCATCGACCCTGTAGCAAAGGAAATCATATACCTATTCGGCACATCGATGCGGGGTATACCGACATCGCAGGGACCTGAGATGTCTTCCTATTAGAAATGCGCGTTTCTAGATTTAATGGCCTTTAATCTTCAATGCCATCGCATATATTATACAAACATCTTCAACATAAATTAGCAATCATTCCTGCAACAGTCCCAGCATTGGGGTTCGTCATTCCTCCGTCTATAACACTTATTTATATAGCTCATTCAACGCTACTTGATCTTATGTTCAATGGAAAGATACCATTCAAGGTCTCGTTTCTAAAGTGCACAAGCATCATATGATGTAAAGGAAACAATATCCAAAAATTCCCAGACTCCCAACCCATGATATCATCGTAAACGGCAAACAAACAGCCATATCCAACCAGACGAAAGGTTGAACATGAGAAACAACAGCAAAGCGTACAACAGATCATTAACGACCGGTAATATAATCCCGGTTCTCGATCGTTACACTCTTGGTCATGTGGTTAACTTTATAAACACCGACAAGTCGGGCAGCAAGCTCGAACTAGAGGAGATGTTAGTAATGCTAATTAAGAACAGCAAACATATGCACGCACCATGTTGTTTCGCAACGAAATGACAATGAATTGAGCATTCTTCGTCCGTTCCTTGATGTATGAGGCGACAATAGAAACCTTCAGGAATAAGTAGTTAGCACACAGAATTATGGCAATTGCGAAAGAAGAACTCACATTTCGGAAGTCCAGGGCGGCATCAATCTCGTCCATGACATAGAGCGGAGTGGGCTTGTAGTGGTGCAGAGCAAAGACGAGCGCCAAACTGGACAAAGTCTTCTCTCCACCAGACAAGTTGCCAATGTTCTTCCAGCTCTTCTTGGGAGGCATGACTGAGAACAAAATACCTTCGGAGAAGGGATCCAAAGAATCGACCAACTCTAACTCAGCGTTACCACCCATGGTGATCATCTGATACATCTCCTTGAGGCGCAAAGAGATGATTCCAAATCCTTCCATGAATCCATTTAAACGAGAAGATCGAAGTCCATCCAAGCGAGCCTTAGCTCCATCCCGTGACGTCAACGCGGTGGTCAAATCTGCTGAGCGGGATTCATGCTCGGCGGCTCGGCGACGATATTCTTCAATGACCGATAGATCGACTGAAGCATTCTGGACCTTCTCTTCCAGGGTAACAATGACGGCTTTCAGAGACTCCTTATTCATGGCCTCCAGCTCGTCCTTGGTATACATCTGGAGTTCAGCAGGCTCTTGCTCTTCACCAATGTCACTGATGTTCTGAACTGTCAACTTGGAGAGCTTCTCCTCCCAGTAGCGACTGCGCTTCTGGTTTTCGGCCAATGCCTTTTGGTTCTCTTCCAGCTTGTTACGCATCTCGATCTCGGTGGCTCGAGTTTCGTTAAGCTCGGTCACCTTTGCGTCAAGCTCGCCCTTCAGAGTTGTGAGCTCATCCTTTTGAGTCTCCAATGCCTATGGATAGTCAGTCACTGCGAGAGCCTCGTCAAACATAAAATCACATACCTCTTGGGCTTCCTCGGCCTTCTGTCTCCAGTCGGAGGATTCGTTGGCCTGGTTGGAAACATCCTCCTCGAGCTTCTCCAACTCATCATTGATTTGGCCAATCTCTTGCTCCGAGACATCGCGTGCTTTGGTGTGCTTCTTGATGAGCTTTTCATTCTTGGCCTGCTGGCCCTCGGCGTTGGATATCTCCTCGGCAAGCATGCCAATCTGCTCCTTCAAGCCATCAACCTTGGCCTTTTGACCACGGAGTCGAACACCACCAACTTCCATGATCTTGCTCTGCAGTGCTTGAATCTCTTCCTCGATGCCGCTCTTCTCATCGTTGAGCTTCTCAATTTCTCTTTGGGCCTTGTTGATTTGCTTCTCGAGGGCAGCAATTTGACCTTCGTCGGAGTCTGATGGTTTGTGCTGTGCGCTCAGTTCCTTGACACGACGCTGCGCATCAACAAGACTGCGTTTGGTGCTGTCAATTTCGATCAAGATTTTCTGGATCTTAGTCTCGACGCGAGGGATTTCCTCTGATCTTTCCTTCATCTGAGCCTCCACATTGCGCTGCTTCTCTTGAAACGCCTGGAATTTTCTTTCCAGATCCTCAAGGTCTGATTCCAAGCGAGATACTTGTTCCTTTGTGGTATCTGCGACTTGCTTTGACGACATACCGCCTCGAGCAACACGAGTACCACCACCACTCATGGTTCCTGAGACGTCAATCAACTGACCGTCTTGGGTGACCACTCGCCAACGCCGGGCACCGTAGGCGATACGGTTGGCTTGCTCCAGGTCCTTTGCAACCAATGTGTTTTGCATCACACTGTAGAAAGCCGGTGCAAACTTAGGATCCTTCGGCTTGACGAGATCGAACAGACGAGGAACGCTCTCAGGGGTATAGATGGTAGACATATCGCGGCGAGGAAGGCGATCAAGAAGAATGAAGTTGGCTCGGCCAAGATTGTTCTTGCGCAGATAGTCGATACACTGCTGACCAACCTCCACGGTTTCGACAACCATATTATCGAGAGCAGGACAGGCTGTAGAAATTGCGACATCGTACTCCTCATCAATCGTACCGAGGTTACCAAGTCGGCCATGGAAACCGTCAATACGGCCCGACTCTTTGAGCCGCATCAGGCCAGTCAAAACACTTCCACGATTCTGGGTGCTGGCCAAGCTAACTCTAGCTTCGTCTGCCTTTTGCCGGGCACTTGAGACATGCGAGCGAACTTCGGGCTCACGGCCAACATACTTCTTGAGGTCATGTTTGAGCTTTTCCACCTCAAATTCCAATTTCTCCTTCTGGGCTTGTCGCTCTTCAAGGTCTTGTTGCTTTGACTGTAAACTCTCTTCGATCGTGACGATTTTTCCTTGTGCCTCCTCGAGAAGAACAGCGCCAGCGTTTCCACGCTCACGTAAAATATCGAGTTCACTCTGGGCAACGGCAACAGCAGACTGTTTTTCGTTGATCTTTGCGTTCCAGGGCTCAAGAGACTTTTGCTTAGTAGCAATCTGATCTGAAAGTCCCTGGGTTTTTCCTTTGAGGCCCTCACGGATCGAGTTCAGTTCCTTTTCTTCTGTTACCATCTCATTCTCAAGCTGAGTAGTCTCGTCAGTCTTCTTCTCGATGTCAGAAGTGAACTTCTCAACCAGGCTCTGACATTCTGAAGCAGCGAGACGGCTGGTCTGCATGGCTTTCTCCAGCTTTTTCCGTTTGCCCAGTAAAAACTTCTTCTTCTCCTCGAACTTAACAGACTCTTTGTCATATTTCGCCATTTCCTTGAGCAGAGTCTGGGTGTCCTTCTCCATAGACTCGTAATGACGGACGCCCTTTTTGTAGGCCTTCTCGAGCTCTTTGATGCCAGATTCATTTCCTTCGTGTTTCTCGAGTTCCATGTTCAGAAGCTCTTGCATTTGGAGAATCGCCTCTTCCGTGACGCGGACATTGTCGGCACACTCGTCGATGTAGATTTGATAGAGTGCGGACTGTTTCTGGGCCAATTCGTTTTCCTCGCGAATATAGGCGAGAGCCTTGTCCTTTTTATCTACCAAGGCGGACTTCTCCTTCTCCACGTGCTGGACACGGTTGTTCTTCTCCACGCATACGTCATTCAGGGTTTCGAGCTCGGTGGCTGCTTCATCGATGGGGGTCTTGTACTTCGAGGTTCCGATAATGTCTTCCAAATATTCAAGTAGGCCTTCGTCGTGTTCGTTGGCGGCCTTGGGCTTCATTTGAGCGATCGACTCAACTTCACCCTGCAAGATCAGGAAACGCTTGTGATCGAGGTCGATTCCTCGGTCCCGAAGAAAAGTTGTCACGGCGGTAAAGTTGGTTTCCTTCTTGTTCATGTAATACTTGCTGGTGTTGTTCTTGAACGCTCGTCGGGAAACAATCAGTTGGGAATCTGGGACCACTTCATGGCCACCTTCAGGCAAATCAATAACCTGAGAAAAATGCACCTCCACTTCACAAAATGCAAGATTGGGATACTGGGCGGAATTGTGAATCAGTGCGGAAATTTTTCCCTGTCGCATCTTGCTGGCACGGAAGCCAAACACAAACAAGAGCGAGTCAATGACGTTGGACTTTCCGGAGCCGTTGGGTCCGACAACAGATGAAAATGAGGCGTGGAATGGACCAACAATCTGCTGTCCCGCGTAACTTTTGAAGTTTGTCAGAATAAGGTTCTCAATGATCATTCGGGGCTTGGGGCCCTCGGGCTCTTCGGGTGCTTGGGGGGCCTGGGTTCTGGACTTCGCCACAATATCCATGGGTCTCTCAAGGACTGTTGAGTTCGGGTTGATGATAGAAATCTGGGATTTGGGTTCTTCCAGTTGCTTCGACGGAGACTGGCTCTGGTTGACGGCGGATTCGGTGATATCAGACAAAGGCGGCACGCTGGCTCGTTGTGTGCGCACATGAGGCTCTGGTGATTGGGAAGGCTCTGGAGTTGGAAGTGAGCCGTTTGTTGGTTTGGGTGTGATTGAGCCACGACTCTTGCGGGGGTGAGCCATACTTTTTCTTTTCAAAGCCGCTTTGCTAGAAGGCGATTCAGGATCGGCCTCCATTGAAGCAATACTAAGTCCTTCGTCATTCTCATCATCCTCGTCATTTTCGTCGACATCCATCTCATCCGCGTCCATTGCATCGGTGTTGGCATCGGCATCTGTATCCATCGCATCGGAATCATCCGTTGATGCTTCTTGGGGTTTGCCGGTTGCGCGGACAGTAGACGGTGTCACGGGCTCCAGAGTCATTCTCTTGCCCGAGGCTCTTTTTGCTTTCTTGGGAACTGGTGTGTAATCCTCTTGCTCCTCCTCGTCGTCGTCATCGTCGTGTGCATCTTGTGTTGGTGTGACATTTCCGAGGTCCTCCGATTCAGATGTATCTTCAACGACATAGCTCCGGCGGGGAGCAGACCGGCGCGATGGCCGGCCCTTTGCGACAGAAGCCATGATGTGCAGATCAGTTAGGTGTCTGCAGCATGGAGGGGCGATGGGGGATAAATGGATTGTTTTGCCAATTGAAAGTGGGTTGTTTACCTCGTGCCCAAACAAGTAAGGTGGCCGCCGTTCTGCCATAACAATCAGTTCACCGCCCTGTACCACTGTAAGTTACCGTACGGTAATTACTCCTCCGCGGAGCTTCAAGTGCAGTTCATCAAAATTACTCTATTGTAGACACCATCAGCTTCATTTCTGACCACCATGGCTCCTTGGGAGAATTTTGACCAAGTCTTCTCTTTCAATAAGAAATACGCATATGAACCAAAGGTCTTTGACCAGATTCTCGCCAATCGGCGCTCACTCGATAAGCTCTTCGCCGATCGACTGTTAGAGCTCTTTGGCATCCAAGGAGGTACAGTGAACCATATATGAGGGATTGTAACTGCATGCTAAATCAACGGTTTTCTGCAGTGACCAAGGTCTATCCTCCAAAGACGAATGCAGACCTCCGAGCACTTTTCAACCACATTGTCCCATCTGAACTTGATATCCATCACAAACAATCCTTGATCTATTACATCCTCAAGGACTGTCGCACTGCTCCAGAAGCTTCAGCTCAATTTGCGCAACAATGTTATCTTCCGGAAAAGTACCGTCTTTTCATTGATGGACTTTGGAATCTGGATCGACTTGATTTCAGGGTGAGTTGTCGAGGGCTCTGATGGCAACCATCTGCTAACAAGTATGTGAAAATCCAGCGCGCAGTCGAATTTTTAGCAGATCCCTCTCTTATTCCTACATTCCCGGACGAGATCCTCCATGTCTTAACCCTCACCAAACTCCCAAAGCACGATGATAGTCTTGCAATCGCATACTATCTCACCGCGGCACCTCCTCTTGCAACTGTCAAGGTTCGCAGGGCTTTCTTTGAAACTCTCACCCGCGCCAACGTCACCGAAGCATTCTACTTTACGCGCAAGTATGACGAAGATCTTCGTCGGGACTTTTTCGAGCAATTGGTGGAGTTTGTGCACAAGGCTAGCCCTGGCCAAAACAGAAGTAGGCGCGCAATGGAGCTTGTTGGTCTTCCACTTGATGAAGACGAAGAACAGTGGTTTGAGTCTGTTTTGCTACACGGCAATGCCAGTACCCTGCCTGGATCCAAAGATACCGTGATGATGCGACGCCTAGCAACTGGCCGACTTGGGGAAATTACACCAGAGCTCGAATCACTGGGTGGCAAGAAGGTTGACGGTTTGAACTGGGATGACCTCCGGGCGAGCATACGACACAACTAGATGATATACCCAACCAGCAATACAACACTGGTATGATTGATTAGTTTAAAAATTGCAATGGAAATGGAGGTTCATGGTTGCTCTTATGAAAAACTCTATCAAATACTCCTATCCCAATATCCATGGCATGGATGCTATATATGCTTAAGTACCTAGGCAGTGTTGCAGACTAAGATCGCCGCTTCGTGTGGGGATATATATCATGAAGTTACAGCCTGTAGGGCAATTTATTTGAAGCAACATTATATATAGTTTGACAATGCTAAGCACAAAGTGAGAAATAGGTAAAATGATCGCTTTGATCAGACTTACGCCAAAAACTCTTCCTTCTTTCACATTTAATGAAAGGGCAGTTAATTAACTATGTAAATAATAGTCGGAATAGTAAAGCGGCCGTGACGATAAGATACGGTCTGATTGCCGCGAAAATGTCCCAACAGCGCTGACCACATCCCTTTTCCCGCATAACGACAACGAGCTTTCTTGTTGTAAACTCATATATATACCCTAGAGTCATTCTTGAAAGGGCACATAATTGTGATTGAACGTGTTTGTCGCGTTTGCAGTGCCGGGGCCCTAGTCATCGGTTCGGTCTTTTGCCTCCAGACAACTAAATCGCAAAGATGGTGGTATGCACCTTCTTCCAGCAAGGTCGCTGTAAATTCGGAGGTATGAACTTGTTTTAGGACAAAAAAAAAAAAGGGAATCACTAAAACATTTCTAGCGGGTTGCAAGTTTGAACATCCTGGTCGAGGAACAGGTGCATCGGGGAATCGATTCGGTGCTTTAGCCGGAGGGTTTGGAGGTGAGTCTTCAACTTTGTTATGAAAAGAACAGAAACACTCAGTGCACATTTGCTGTTCTTCCTCCCTTTTCTTCACTTATTGTTCCTTTGTTCTTCAATATCCACGCTTGTCTCTTCAATTGTCTTGTCTCTTTTCCATATTCAATCTTCTACCTCTATCTGTTTTCTTCAATCCCATACTGCTTTGAGTCTCAAGATGTGATATCTTCCAGGATTGTCTGAAATCATTGGAGTTCCTCAGCCTTTCAAACCGTTTATCCCCAGTCCTCTTGCAAAGTCTGACAGATGGTCAACAACAGGTGCAAATCAAACCTCAAGCAACCAAAGTCAACGACCAGCCAAGTAAGACATATCCCCGGCTTCAAGCCAACCACGAACTAACCTGAACACAGCTTTGGAGTGACTGCAGAAAACATCAGAGATGACCTGATTGTGGCAAAAAATCGTCCGCAATGGATCTTCTCTGCATACGCACCCTCAAAGGAAGTCCCGCGTCTCCTGTTCGGTGGTCCGCACCGCGAACGAAGCGCAGAAGAAATGCGACTGCGCCACTATGAATTGGCTGCCGCCGGTAATCTCAACGAGGCGGTGCAAGAAGCTTCGATGCTCTGGGAGGAGTGTGTGAAGCAGACAGATGCCGCCTACAATGACCCGCATGCCGCTGCCAAATATGTCATCGACGGTCAAAACGAGCATCCCAATATATTCGACATTATTGAGGGCAGAACGGATGCTATTTCTAACCAAGGCCCAACGCCCTTCGGTCAACCATCTGCACCTGCTCAGCCTTCTCCATTTGGCCAGCCAAACATGAACGCTGCATCCAATGCGGGCCCTGCACCTGGAGGTTTCGGCGCTCCTTCCTCAACATTTGGCCAGACCACAGCAATTGGCCAACCTTCTGGATTTGGCAAGGCTTCAGCACCAGCACAAGCAACTGCGTTTGGCCAACCATCTGGATTTGGGCAACCATCCTCCTTGGGTGGCACCGGCTTTGGTCAACCCTCCACCCTAGGCGCGCAAAATTCCCTTAACAACGCACCATTTGGCCAGTCAGCTGCGAGTGCGAACCCATTCGGTAAGCCTTCAGGACTAGGAGGAGCTTCTCCATTCGGTGCGCCATCTGCTGCCTCTCCTTTCGCCCAAATTTCCCAGAACCAACCTGCACCAACCGGACCATCGCCGTTTGGTCAGAATCCTGCACAGACTGCCCCCTCACCATTTGGAAAGAACCCCGCGCAACAACCAGCATTCGGCACGCCATCCGCTCCTGGTGGGTTCGGACAGCCATCACAAGTCCAACCCCCTCAGCCCTCACCATTCCAACCCGCCAACAGCAATCCATTCGGGGCCCCTACTCAACAGCCTCCAGCTCCATCTCCTTTCGGGGCCCCTTCACAGCAATCAACCGCTCCCTCACCATTTGGACAGCCTCAGCCTCCTGTGACTCAAGGCGTACTGGTACAAACTGCCAACGCTGGACCAAATGCATTCATGAAGACCGATGTTCCCAACGAGCTCAACCCACTCCCGCAACTACAGGGCGAAACCCGTCATGATCCTCAAACCAAGAGACTGACAACTTGGAAAGGTCGCCCCGTCAACTATATCAATGAACACCCATGCTATCTCCACCCACAAGACAACAAAACCTTTGTCAGAATCAATTTCCCCAATGGCCCTCCTGAACCAGCCAGCCTCAGAGACTCTCAGGGCAAGCTGGAGGAATACACCCCGGAAGTGGTCGAAGCGTATCAATTCTTCCTCCAGAATGGCCACTTTAAGGATGGCAAAATACCCGCAGTACCTCCCCAGCGAGAGTGGATCAGTTTTGACTTTTAACACATCAATTGATATCGCAGAAAAAAGCATATCTGTTCGTCTCCTACCTCCAATGACCTGTGCCTCATGATTCGACAAGATGGTGCATATTGTTTTCATCACAGCCACGAAAGGCAAATCGCGCAGCGACTGCAAAACACGCACGGTATATTCATGGATGGAAGTTAAAACATGTTCGAGTTTGTGTCGCAAGCAATTAGTCTACTTCGAATCAAATTACGATTGAAGCCAACTTAGCATCTACGAAGTTCTTTTGTTTCAAGATGTTTCCATTTTTTATTTTGTTTTCAGGTAAAACGGGATCTCCCACAGCCTCATACAAGTCCAGTGGGTCAGGGCTAGCTCCAAAGTAGCAGATTGTACTGCAAATCCACCAACCGATGATCCCTCCCTGAGTCAAGCCCGACCTAGCGCATTTATGCGGCAATGGTGACCTCAACCTCAACACCGGCCTCGATGTTGATGATGATCTGCTTGACGGTCTCGGTGGGGGCGAGGAGGCTGAAAGGTAGACTGTTAGTCGTTGTACCTTCAACGGCGACAATGCCGCATTTTTCGAATGCGGGAAAAACTCACTCAATGAGACGCTTGTGGATGCGCATCTCGAACTTGTCCCAGGTCTTGGAACCCTCACCGTTGGGGGTCTTACGGGTGGAGATCTGGAGGGTCTTGGTGGGCAGACGGACGGGACCCTTGACCTGGAGGGACTTGGAGCGAGCACGGTCGATCAGCTCCTGGCAGACCTTCTCGAGGGAGGCAACCTTGCGGGAGGTGAGGGTGATGCGGATCTTGTGGACCTTCTGTATAGCGGAAAAGAGGTGATTAGTACTCCATTGGGGTCGACGAGGTCTATGTACACTCTGAGCTGCAGCGACGGCAGTGTGCGACAGTGACCATTGGAGTCAGGGACAACGTACAGGGCCCTCGCCGAAATCCTTCTCGGGCTTCTGGAAAGACATCTTGAATTGATATGAACTGGGTCGGGTTAGTGAGGGAGGATTTCAAAGACCAAAGAGGGAGAGCGCACAATTTAAAAGGCTAATGCCGTCAAGACCTGAACTACTAGGCTCGGTAAAGTGATGATGGCTGGTCGAAGTTATTGTGGATCGAGAATTGGATATCCAAAAAGTTCAGTGCGAAAGTCTTGGCGCTTCGGTTATCGTGCGCTAAACCACTTTTGGTGCCCTTCTAAAGTATGCTTAGTAAGCACCTTCTTTTGGGCCATGAGCCTGCCAAGTTATGACATTCAAAGATGATAATGAGGTGACAAATGTTAGCGTGTTCTTTCTTTTGTTTTATTGCCCCCATCTTCTTGTATCCTGTTACATCAATCACAGTCATTTCCAGTGTCATCTGCTCAAATGGCGGAGTTCCCGCCACTTGCTCCAGTGCCATCCCCCGCAGTGCGGAGGACAATCCCATCAAATGACTGGGAGAATTGTTTAGATGCATGGATGACTCTACTGGGAATCCGGCTGAATGCATCTGATCAGCAGTTTAAAGTTGCCGCCACTGAAGACATATCGATTCCCCTATTCTTGGGGTCATACTATCAATATACGGCCGCAGGGGACTCTAGTCTGCAAAGCGGACCTAAAGCTCGACAGCTTCGGAAGCTCTGCTTTTTGGTCACAAGGCGATTTTTGCTTGATTTATCCAATCCACCAGATGATGTTCTAGAATGGAGACTTCTCGGCAATTTATGTTGCTGCCATCCGTCCAGTGCGGTTTTGAAGACGTCATTATTAAAGGCCTGGGAGCTGCACCATGCCAAAATCACTTCCAGTATCGGCAAAGCGAAAGCTAGCGTGATAAAGAATCTCTCTTCGGCGAATGCTTCCTCAAACCCCGAGATCATTTCTGACATTCGTCGTTTGACCATCCTAGCTTCTGTCCTGCCAGCATGTGGCCAAGAGCTCATGGCGGGCTCCGATTTCTTGGACACGATAGCAGAAGCTTATCAGTCAAAGGGTGTTAGGGAGGAGTTTCGCAAGATCCTCGTTGCTAATGCTTACGTTGGGTTGATTTCCTTATTGAAGGAGCCAGTCAATTTGTCCTCATTGTTGGACCAATTGTTCAGTCTCAAAGCCGCCGCCCGAGTTGGGGCACCGAAGATCAAGAAAGAACCAACATTGCTCTCTGATCTAGTCTGTAGCTCAGACCTGCTTATTCGATTGGAGAAGTATCTCTTCAGTCACCCCCAGAAACGGGGGCAAGATCTTCTCGCCAGCTTGCGTGCCTACCAAGTGGAATCGAAGTCGCTACACCATCGATATCAGAGGCGCAAGAGAGTAGACAAGGGTAAAGATGTTTCTTCAGATCCTGTCATCTCTGGAGAAGTCCATGCACATAAGATGTCACTCGTCACACAGGTGCAGGACCTGTTCCCTGATCTTGGGTCGGGATTCATTGTACGGCTTCTGGACTTCTACAACGAAAACCCTGAAACTATTGTCGCCCAACTGCTTGATGATTCGCTCCCTCTGGAGCTTCAGTCTCTAGATCGAACAGAGCAACTGCCTCCCCAGGCAGGACCTCATCGTGTCCATATGTCACCTCAACCAACACCACCCGCAATGCCATCACCCCAACCCGAATACCTTCCGACCCGAAAGAACGTCTTTGACAATGACGTAGACATAGCCGAACTCAGCCGCTCAGGCGATGCCCAAGGAAAATTGCACTTTGGCCGTGTCGATGCAGACCAAACAGCCGACACAGTTCTGTCAGACCGCAGTCAACACGCCGCAAACAAAGCAGCAATCCTCTCTGCCTTGGCAACATTCGATTCCGACGATGATGAGCGGGACGACACCTACGATGCAACCGACGTGGGCGGCGCCATTGACGGACCCACAGGTGCAGACGGCGAAGCCGATGCAGACCAGCGCAACCGCCGCGCAGTCGACATCGACGCAACGCTCTTCCGAACATACAAGTCTAACCCTGGTCTCTTCGCCCGTGACTCGGCGACCCGCCGCTCGCAGCCTCGCCAGTCATTGAAGCGCGAGACTGAGATGACCGACGAGGCTATTGAGGGATGGGCTGTTATGCTTGCGCGTGACTCAAAGCGCCTTGCTAAACTTGAAGGCCAGCTGGCTATGGACGCCGGTGGGCCTGGCGGTGGAGCATTGAACCAGCCTGAATTGCGCTCTACTTCTTACAGGAGACCGCAGCCTCGTGAGGATGGCGACGAGGGCTCTGACGAGGGTGAATCATCTGGCCATCCTGGCTCAAGGGGTGGCAGAGGGGGCGGTGGACGTGGTGCAGGAGGGGGACGCGGGGGTGGACGAGGCCGTGGACGCGGTCGTGGTGGTGGTGGCGGCGGTGCCGGCCCTCAGTCTGCATCTGGAGGTCAGGGACAGGCGGATAGTGCTGCTTCGCGACAGAGAAAGGAGGAGAACAAGGGGAGTCGCGCAAATCATAATCGTCGGCAGCAACATGCGAAGAAGATGGCGCGCGGTGGATTGCCTGGTTAAGACCGCGAAGAGATCTACATGGTACATGGGCCTAAGTCATATTTGCCAATCTGGTGCATTGCCACGAATGTAATGTAAATAAAAGATACTTGTTAGAGTTTCATGTAAAGAGCGATTAAGCACTGGAATAAGAAGCATTCAGTTGATTCATTAATACGCTCGAGGATGGAATGCGGCATAGGTGTTCATAACGTTCTATTGGGTCACTCGTTTCGTTCTCGCTCACATGGCCAGCAAGGAACAGACACTTCACATATCAGTGGTGATGATCGGAAAAGACACCTTCTTCAACAATGGACTTGCGACACTCCTCCATGAGGCGGACCTGCTTCGCCACTTCACCCAGTCGGCTAATGACTTCTTTGTTTCCATCGTAGAAAGTGAAGATCGCATAGGGAATACCAGTTTCGCGGCAGAATTCCAGAACAAATTTCTGCGTACGACGTAGGTTGTGGCGCGGTATGCGGGGGTAGAGATGGTGGATGGCCTGGAACTGCAAGCCGCCGTGGAAGAAATCAAGCCACGTTGGGCAGTCGACATCCATGGTAGTTCGAAGCATTTTCTGAGGGAAAGATTCGCCAACACCCAGGTTGGCCGTTGACATAGCGAAGTGGGACAAAGTGATTTGAACATGGAGAGGCGAAGGGACAATGTTTGAGATGAGGAGGAACACAATCCGGCTGCTAGCATCGGGAAGCGTCTTGTACAGTATACCGTAGCCATACCATGTCCAAAAGAAGACCTGTCCGACAAGCTCTAAGTAGAGATGCCACCAAGCAGGACCTCTTCGAGGAGCTTGGCCCTTGAGTAGATACTCCCAGCTTAGGGCGGTAAGGTTGAAGCGCGCGAGCATCATAATAGGATAGTAAGAATAGTTCTGAAATTTTAGGAAGAATCGAGCCGGGGCGTCGTAAGCCATGATTCTGTCGTAGTAGGTGCTTTTGAGGCTCGTAAGGAAACGATGAGAGATAGCGAAGAATGGGATATGCTCAATATCAGGATCATGTTCAGGCTCATTGGTGACGATGTGATGCACATTGTGGCTTCGCTTCCACCAGCCAAGACTCAAGCCACCAATAAAGTCCGCGATGACGATTCCAATAACACTGTCCACGTGGAAGTTGTGTGTAATTCCCATGTGGCCAGCATCATGGGCGGTGAAAACAAGCTGATGCCAGACACAACCGAGGAAAAATGCAGAAGTCGCCCACCACCCCATGCAGAGGAACATGTAGGACAGGCCTGCAAAAAGCGTGTATCGACAGCATTCAATAAAATAACAAAAGTAGTTGCAGTCGAAAAGACCCTCGGCCTTGATACGGTTGTGTAGTTCACGGTATTTTTGTTTGATCTCCTCCTGCTTCGCGGTATCCAAAGAAGGGTATTTGGCAATATCAAAATCAATCTCCTCTTGAGTCCTGGCATCTAAGAAGGCAGGCTTGAGTTGAGAGTGAGAGTCCTTGGTCATAATAGGATGGTTGGAGTTGATTGGTCTCCTTTGCCGAACAGTACGTTTTGAGTCGACGGGATCAAATGTCGGCGAGGGTGGGATTGATCCCTCCTGACTCGAACCATCGGAGCTTTCTTGAGCCGTGGAATCCTCATCGCTCAAGCACGTGTCTTCTGTATAGAGCCGGAATTTGCCGCCTTGTATCGGGGGGAGGAAGTTGGTCCATGTTCCTTCAATTCGTCCGATCTGGTACGCAGGCATGCGCTCGCGAGCTTCTTGAGAATGTAATCTGGACGAAGTGAATTCTCATTAGATTGATACAAGGCTGTGCTGCTTGCAATTTCAAAACATACGCGTTGATCTCATCTGTCGCATCCCTGCCCACCATGTGTTTGATAGGCTTGTCCCCTCCGGGATGGTACTTGATCCAGGCGTCCACCTTCAGGACACGATCCTCATAGATCATGACATGTTTCCCTTCTGCAATGAGTCCTTCAATATATCGTCGAGACAAGAGCGTGTCCTTCCGGGATGGTCGGTATGCGGGTTTCTCCATCGTAAGGTGTGGTGAAAGTGTGTCAGATTGAGGAACGAGAGTGACAATTCACAGAGACATTGCCGAGTCAAGCGATTCCAAGAGACAGAATGCGGATCGAAAAAAGAATAGAAACAAGAAGCAAGAAACAAGATAGAATCTAAATTCCACCGGAAGCAAGGCAGAAACAGAAACGTGCAAGGGGCGGAGGTGGATAACAGCGGGGACCGATCGGCCGCGGTCAATCACATTCACTACTTTTTACTTTGTGCATGTCACCTTTCACATTACTGGAGTTTCATATCTTATGGCATGATGGCTGTGAGTCTTATGATTGATTATATATCCGAGATTATATTGTTCTAACTATTTTTAGGAATCAATTTCTTCCTTAACTCAAACATGGCTGCAGTGGGACCAAGTCAGTGAATTCCATAATCTGGTGGCCTGATTCCACTGACTCGGATATAGGACCCTACTACTAGGGCGGAAATAGAGCAGTTGAGGGACTTTAATGCCACGGATGAGCTGGAAAGCCGACTGCGTAACCGTTGGTGGTCTTTCCCCACGCTTTGGTCCGTCCCCGTCTGATCTTTACATACCCGTAGGCATCGAGTTCGGAACAGCCGGTCTTCGAGGCCGCATGGCAGCAGGTTTCTCTTGCATGAACTCTTTGACTGTCATACAGGCATCCCAGGGGCTTGCCAAGTTTATTCGAGACAAGCGTTCTGAGATTGCCTCGAGCGGTGTTGTCATTGGACACGATGCGCGCCATAATTCCGCGAGATTCGCCGCACTTGCTGCCAATGCCTTCATTGCGCAACGTATTCCTGTCTGGTTCTTTGAAGAGGAAGGACCAACACCAATGGTGCCATTTGGTGTGAACCACTTCCAAGCCGCGGCAGGTATTATGGTGACAGCAAGCCATGTAAGTTCATTCCAAAGGTTAGCCCCGTAGCTAGATATACTAACCAAGGAGTCCCAAGAATCCACCTCAGGATAACGGTATGTAGTTCAACCCGAGGAACACGAATTCTCGCTGATCGTTTCGCAGGTTACAAAGTGTAAGAAGGCTAGAAGCGCTACGTACGAAAATTACTGACACAATATTGTTTGACAGTTACTCGAGCAACGGCGCTCAGATAAACCGACCTGAGGACGGGGAGATCGCACAATCCATTAAAGAGAACCTTGAACCTTGGCCTGCCGCATGGGCAGAACTCAAACCGAGCGAATACTTGTGCGCTGATTCATACCGGAAGCTTCTCCCTCATTATAGCAAGCAAGTCGAAGAATTCATGGTACGCCCTTTAAGTGCAATTGAGGGGCCAATCTAACGAACATAAGAAAACTACCGTGTCAGACTGGCAGCCCCCGAGATCATTTGTTTACACCCCACTACACGGCGTGGGAGGCTTGGTGCTCCCGACTCTCTGTCACTCACTCGGAATCAATAACTTTGTATCTGTCACCGCTCAGGAGAAGCCGGATCCTGATTTCCCAACCGTGAAGTTTCCAAACCCAGAGGAAAGCGGAGCATTGGATCTTGCTATTCAGACCGCCGATCAACAAGGAAGTACTCTGATTATTGCAAATGATCCTGATGCCGACCGCTTTGCAGTAGCAGAGAAAGTGGAGTATGCAATCTTATGCCTTTCGCAGCTTTGCAGCGGCTAATTTTTTCTACAGTGGCACTTGGTATACCTTGACTGGAAACCATGTGGGCGTTCTTTTGGCGTCCCATATTTTGGATTCCTTTGACACAAGCAAAGACTGGTCTCATATCGCGGTGCTGACTACAACTGTATCGAGCGGCATGCTTGCAAAGATGGCAGCTGCAAAGGGAATAAATTTCTCTGAGACCCTAACGGGATTCAAGTGGATGGCTAATGTTGCTCGGGATTTGGAGAAAGCAGGAAAGACCGTCGTCTTCTCTTACGAGGAGGCACTAGGCTACATGTTTCCATCTGTGTGTTATGACAAAGATGGAATTACAGCAGCTACAGTGTTTCTCGCGGCGGAGGCAAAGTGGAGAGCCCAGGGGCTAACTGCATATGCTAAACTCCAAAACCTCTTTGCTGAATTTGGACACCACGAGACACTGAACAATTACTTCCGATCTCCTGATCCTAAACTTACCTCGAAATTGTTCCAGGGCATCAGAGGCAGCTCGTGCCTCACAAAAATGAAGTTTGGCCCATTCAAGATTTTGAGATGGAGGGATTTAACAGAGGGTTACGACTCCAGCACATCTGATAATAAGCCGGACTTGCCTGAAGATCCGACGAGCCAGATGCTTACGCTGTGGCTTGACGGCGGAGTTCGGTTTACATTCCGAGGTTCGGGGACAGAGCCCAAGGTCAAGTGTATGTTTTCCACTATGTTATTGCAGTGAAACGTTTACTGACAGCTCAAATAGTCTATATCGAGAGTTGTGGAAATTCTCGCGACGATGCCGTCAAGGCTGTTTGTGATACGTTCCTGACTATTCGGGAAGAATGGGTCCAGAGATTCACGCCTTCGATGACATATAGCAAACAGCTCCCTACATCGTCTGGTCATGTTCTGAATGTGGAATGATAGCAGGGCATTTGATTTGGTAGGAAAGGAAGCCTGCGAGATGTCTGGTTTTGTTTCAAGTAGCTGGTTTACTCACCTCTGAGCTTTCCAATTGAAAAAAAAGAGACAATGTGTCTTTTCGGAATTATGGAAAGAGGCATAAAGCAAACAAAAGATCATGCATGATAGCGAATTGTAAGCATTCGAGAAAGACGAGACATTTACTGGTTTTGAATGCCTTCGAATTCCCAATTAGGCAGGACCCACTCTGAATCATCAAACTGCATTGCATAGAGACGGGTGACAAGATTCAAAATTGGAATTGCTGCACTTCTCCCAAAAGCCACATTCTCATTTCCCGAAGTGCATCGGTGTCATTGCTCGGCAAAGAAACTTCAATTTTCTCATCATGCCAGCCATGAGTCCGCTTAACTAGGCTCAGATCATGACCCTGAGCCCGAGAGGAGTCAAAATCGATGATGACGGGACTATCGCCCTGAAACATGATATTGCAGGGATTTATGTCATTATGTATGATTCCCAAGCCATGAAGATGTTTCAATCCCAGTTCAATCCCCTTCAACCAACCATCGACCTTGCTTAGATCGGCCTGAGTTCTCTGGTAGGCGAATTCTAACTTGTTGCGTCGAGCAGGGTTTACTTTGTCCATGAGTGTTTGGTCGTACTTGGTGAAGTAGATGCCTCTAATCGAGCCGTCGTTGACAACGGCACAACCGTGGTATTGGGCAATATTCGGGTGAGGGTTCTTCTTTAAAATCTCACAGGTCTTCACTTCTGCTATCCAGGTCTCCCGGATGAGATCTGGATAATTGGGACTGTAAGGGGATAGGCTTGGCTTCTTTAGATACAGCGTCGACAAATGCTCCGGCAGACCTTCTGCCTTTGTGAATGTGTCTTTGAATTCAGGGAAGACGAGGGCGCCTTGGATCTTATTGGTACTGAACATATCGCCGAACTGGATTTCTTCCTTTGAGAGATATCGCTTTCGTGAAAATGCCCGATAGATAGAGCCAGCCATTTCGTAGACTATGGTGGTCTTCTCGAATGCGAAGTCATCTTCGGGACCTCCAAAATCCTCGGAGTATTCGAGAATGTACATTTCCGATGTGAAAAATATGCGTCAGTCTAAGAAGATGGTCAGCAGAAATGGCAAACCCAGCTTTCATAGCCAACTGCTAAGAGCTGCAATGATCACGAGATAAAGCGGGTTCCCACCTAGTCGTGATTGAAAGTATCGTTTTCACGGGTTGTTTGCACCTCGTCAGCCAGGACTTGTGCGAGGCAAATCAAGGATGACCCCAAGAGTCAGCAGGACATCCAGATCGGGACCCCGTTTCCCAAAAATGTTGAGTATATCACCCTTCCTAGGCCACAATGCCGGTCTCTCATTGTCCACAAAAACTCTACAAGCTCAAGATGTATCGTCGATACGAACGTCACCCAACCCAAAAGAAATGCAAGACTCGCGCTCAGCTACATTATCAGGATGAAGTGTGCCAGAGGAGTCACTGTCACTCCCATCATCGTCCGTGTCACGTCCATCAAGCCACGCCATCCTCAAGCCACAACCCAAATCCAACAGACGAAAGCGAGAGAGAGGATCTCCAGCCTTATACACATGGGAATCGGCAGTCTTTAATGCAGAAAGAGCAATCTCATTGTCCCTTTGGTACTCACTTTTGCAGTCTAGACACTGGTCCCCGAATGTGAGAGAATAGCGACCAGTGTTGCAAAGACATTGTTGAGACTAAATACACACCTTAGGAACAAAACCAAGAAGAGGACCCCAGAATGTGTTCATCATTATGAGAATTGCCCTTGTTTTCGACTCAAGACTCCATGTATCTATGCTCAGTTCGAACCAGAATTCAGTAACTGGAGTGAAGGTGATACTTATGTCGACCATTCCAACCATTACCATATCAATAATCAATCGGTCCCCGAGGAATACACTATGTATTGCCAACAATCTCACAAATACCATCCTCGCCAACGTACTGTATCAGCAGAACCTAGTTCTTTTGTTCATGCTACGATGCACAAACCACACACAAGCAGGCACAAGGGCCACATCAAATCCGTGAGATTTAGTGAGGAAAACGACTCTATTCATTATCCCACCACGCATGACCCGCACTGCCCTGTACATAACAATCAACACTCTGATGGTCGACCTCATGGCGTTTATGGAAACGTCTTGCCAAGTACCGCTCGGGGTTCGAGGACTTATAAGTGGGAGTGGGGTCCCCCACTGCCACCTCGAGGGGGAGGATGGGTTCTGCAGGGAATTGAGTCGAAGACAGCCACTTTCAAGAAATTGCCGTCTAGAACATTTGGGAACACATTGTAAAGAAAATGAAGTGTCATGTTTGGACTATGCTGGTGTGAAAAATAGCTATAGTTAAACGGAATCCAGCTGATTAGTATACCTCAAGTGAGAAGTCCATCTCAGCTGACTGTAGGTATTGTTCTAGCGTGGCTTCCGGGTGTTGATTTTTGCTTAAACCTTTTCTGATATCCTAATTGATCACTTGCGCCGCTCGAGTCGGGCCGAGCCATTAGTCAACGGGTCCATGGTCCGGGCCTAAATCGAGTTTCTCTTCGCTGCCGGTCTACTCGTATGGCATCGGGCTCGTCCTTTCCTACCATGAGACATATCATCATGAAGATCTTACAGCAATTGGTTTTCAAGGGTTAGTCGAGTGCAACAAGGTGGGTTTGATTCATGTTCAAGCGGCTGGCCTTAATTTCATAAGACTTTGTCGTAAAGCCAATCTTTAATGAAGAAATAATGATATTTGTGTCTCATCTAAGGAGAGACACCTTTGACTAGTCCAGCTAATATCGAGTGTCCGGCCAAAGTGACTAGAAAGAATATAGAGAGAACCGATTCCATGATTGCGAGTCACTGTTACAATTCCTCTTCTAATTGGGCACCAGAAGATCGCCTTCCGGGGCTGTGTTCGATCTCTACACTGCTTGTTACCACGTGGTTGTATCTTCCGTGGGAGAGGCTGAGTGACCTCATGCTTGTGCCTCGCAGTGGACCCTTGCGCTTCCCCGAAGAAGACGCCGTTTTGGACAATTTCAAAAGGGAGATGCCCGTAAAATTGAGCAGAAATCTACAGATCATTGAGAGGATACTTGTCCAGTTGCTAGTGTTCAGCCCTTGGTAGTAGACGATAGAGGCGGAGAGGGTACACGTTGTAAGATCAACATAATACATCGCGGTTACTCTGTAGAAAGCTAAGTACAAAAACCGTGTAGAGTAAAGTTGGACGGAAGACTCACAGTGATGTAGGAAATTAGAATATTGCTTCATTCCGGTACTTCACCTGCGTCAATGTGGTGATTATCAAAATTAATACGAAGACATAGGTCTGGCATGAGGGAACTGGTTGTGACCACCAGTAGTGAGCTTTACTGCGATCTCAAACGCTGTGAACGACATCACAGGCACGGATCCGACTGAAGAGCATATCGAAATATATACCAATGGGTTGGCTCGCTCCTGTACATGTGCGACTTTCCAGACGATATAATTGGCAAGTATTGTAACACAAAGACAATAGAGAAGAAAAATTAGAGATATGTCAGAAAGTCATGAATATGACAGCGGAAGGATTGCGAACAAGGTTCATCGCCAGTTGCAGGATCTCATCAATGGTCTTGATATCCTTGTCGCCCGGCACATGGAGCACTAGCAATACTGAGCCAAGATACAAGCAGCGCATCCGAGTTTCCCAAGGAAAATTACCTTTTCCTTGAGAAACAATGAGCCCATTGAGGCGCTACTGTTGTTCAGCGTGGCAGAGTATCATTAGTTCGTCCGACTCACCCAATGAGTATACTCAAACCTCCAAATGAGGTGACCAGCACGGCTGAAGCGAATACGTAGGCAGCAGTGTTTATCAAGTCCCCAGAGACCACTACAACTGCGATCTGTCAGCCTCTAGCGATCTCCGTCGAGTCCGATAGCCATACGCAGGATCGCTTCACACCAGCATAAGCTGATAAGCTTGGCGGCCAACGGCCAAAAATTTTGTTCGAACAATTTTATTATCAAATTTCGCTTTCAAGTAATTTTTGAATCTAGCTGGAATTGCCAAGGTGCTTCTTCAAGAAAGGAAGAACTTGGTCGAGGGCAGGTTTAACCGCCTCGGGCTTATCGTAGAGCATATAGTGTGAAACTCCAGGTACAACTATGATATGCTTCTCCTTAGTGCCTGCCCGGCCATGAATCTCCTGGGCATCGCGGTAGGCGCCAAAGCCCCCTGGTTTGTCACCAACGACAACCATGAGAGGTCTAGTCATGAGTACCTCCGCGTGATTGAAGGCGTCCCACGCGAGAGCAGCACTATTGAAGGAGTAGAGGCCACTAGTACATCCGTTGGGCTGCTGACCGCGCTGCGTCTTGTAGTATTCAGTGGCCTCAAGGACGTCGATATCCGTAGTTGATTTCTTGGCCTCCTCGACACTTGACGGGAGGAGATTGACAACAAGACGATCACCACCCTGGGCCTCGAGGGTACGTTGCTTTGCCATTTTCTCCAGTGAATCGACGGGATCGAAGTTACCGAAAGCTTCGCGGGAGAGGCGGCCGAAATTCACCGGCGTGATGCCGACGCAACACTTGAAGCGGTAATCAGTCATAGCCGCATTTATCGCATAGCCACCACCGCCGCAAATACCGAGCACACCAATGTGATCGGCATCAACATAGGAGAGTGTCTGTATATAGTCGACGACGAAACGGAAATCAGAAACGCGGAATTCGGGGTTCTCCATGAAGCGCGGCTGGCCGCCTGAGGCTCCTTGGAATGACGCATCAAATGTAACAACCACAAAGCCTGCCTCGGCAATAGCTTTTCCGTAGATGTTGCCTGAAGTCTGCTCTTTGCAGGAACCGATAGGGTGAGCAGACACGACGGCAGGATACTTTTTGTCAGCGTCGAAGTTGGGTGGAAACAGTATATTGGCGGCAGTTTCCCATGCAATGTTTGGGATGTTGACAGTTTTGATTGTAGACATTATGAGAATTTCTTTTGTTTTTTTCTTTCTTTTGAAACGTTTCGACAATGCGAGTGGCCGCGGGCTTTATATACATTTTGCAGCGCGGTAAAGAAGATGACGTCAAGACACCAAAGCCGAAGGGCAACGGATAACCCGATGGATTTCGGGCAAAAAGATTGGGTATTGTATAGAGCTATAATTAGCACCATCTAATTCTTTCATGTCGGAAATATCGCATATATAGGTCATTTTCAAGATAGGGATGATATAATGTCATTGCGCACTGTAGGTTCAGAGAGAGAAAGTTAACTCATAGAATATATACGCACATCATTTTGGAACAAAGATTGCCTTATGAAAATAATTGTATAGCATTATGAATCATACTCCTCAATTTTTATTGAGTTTACCTTGGTGCCTGCAGGCGGCCAGTAATTGGCATCTGCCCAGGGGTGATAACATTGAATACCACATCCATCAGCTATTAGCAAAATAGCTAAAATAATACCCATAATCTAATTCCTTGTTCTAAATATCATCCAACAAGGGTGCTGTTTCTCTCTCCACATCCCGAGCTGCATTAAAGCCCCGTTTCCAGGCGATAAAACAAAGAAGCGCCTGCTCAAGAGCGAAAATGAGATGATCCACGGCTGCCCATGCCACCAACTCGTAAATTTTCATGATGGGTGAGGTGTAGTATGAAGGTATACTCGACTTCGGCCACCGAATGCGTAGGAGCCACGATATACCTAGCGAAGCGAAAGCAAAAGATTGAACTGCAAGAAACGGATACTCATACAGTGAGAAGATTTGTTCAATGTCTCGCGGACTTGAAAAGTAAATGAAACAACGAGAAAAATGGTCACGATTGGGTTGATTAAAAGAAGGTGGAGGCCGCCGAAAATGGCGATAGGCCATTTTCGTAAGGACCATTGTCTTCAGGGCCACTATTGATGGCAGCAAATAACTCTGGAATAACAGAAATAAACAGGAAAGCGGTAAATATTGCCTGGGCGATGCATTTATGAACGACGCTGCTAGCAGGAAGATATTTAAATGCAAAGACGAATCTGCAAAAGTTAATTAGCACCCCAGCGATTGCGGCGGACGGATGAAGTCGTTCGTACATGACTAGATATAGGACAAAAGAGATGGTCATTTGAATCAAATTGCGCCAGTCACTAGCGTTTACAGGGTCATGAACAAAAAATCACTGTCAGTATTGTTCATTACCAAGAGGAACACTATCGTGAACTGTTCCGCAGCGGCTATCAAATTGAACAGCACGTAGTAGACCGAGATGCCGGAGCTATCCTTCTTCAACCGAAGACATTGAAGCTGGGGATAGAAGGATAAGATCGTCGCAATAGAAAGGATGCTAAAAAAATAGTTGATTAGACGAGTGGCTACTACTGGCCATTGGGGATTGTGTACATGCTAAGCCAATGTGGGAATGCCATGGTCGTTGATTGCAAGTTTCCCAGTTCTTGAGCTTACTGCCTGCAAAATGGAAGGTTTGAAAGTAATCCCTGTACACCGAGGACGTATCTCGTCCTGCAAAAAGCGAGGGGTGATATTCTGTGAGAATTGCTTTCAACCCCTGGTCCAGAGGCTGGTTTTGTTTACGAGTCTTGGCAAGGCTGGCGACCCCGAAAGCCAAGAATGATAGCGAGGCTGCACATCTCGTCCCCTGGCGGTAACAAAAGTGTTCATTTGGTTCCAAAATTGGTCGAAAGATCAAATTTGTATAGTATCTGCTTTCATATCTATATATTTTGCTTCAACTCATACCAAAAGCCTAGATCTAAACGTCCGGAGCGCCATTGGACTTCTTTGACCCGTACACATATGTACTGCTGTGGTTCGAGGGAGTCTCGCTAGCTTTCCCTTGTACTTGAATCTCCTCAAATACTGACTCAATGAGACAGCCAGCCGCATCGTGCGTCGCGTCCCATTGGGCCAATTCAGAATTAGGAATTTTCCTAAGTTGGTTGCTCTGAACACCGCCATCCAAGTTGAGAAGTTCCTGTCGCAGCTTATAGCCCCTCCACTTGGGGATCAGGAAGGCCCAAAACCAGTAATAGGTGCCACATGCAAGCAGACTAATAAAGTTCAGTTCAGTACCAAAAGAATGGTAGCACCTTAGAAGCGAACAATGAATTGGGTTGACTCACATTGCGATTCCCGTCACTGCGGATGTTGCATACCAAAAGCTGACATCACCAGCGTACTGGCCACCTTTGGGTGGATACCAGGGCATGACAAGTAGGTATAGCTGGATCAAAATGTTGAATAGAATCACGACATTCCAGGCCTTAAATTCGGGCTCCGGGAGATTCGCCTCCTTTCGGCGCCAGCGAACAATATAAATACCCAGAGCCATTGCAAGGTTGAATGCAGCAGTAGGGATGATGTTCAAGTCATTAACTATTTGGATATTAGCCTTTGAAGTATTCCAGGTCGGCCTCCATATAGCGGAGAGAAGATAAGGAAGGAAACCCACCAAAAGTGAACGCGTCTCCGGATGGAATCGCTAAGATCATCAGCGCCGTTAAAGACCAAATGACGGCGTAGGGACCCAAAGGTGTGCCGAAGGGCTTGGTAGAGACCCAGAAAGGCGTCCAAGGCAGAACTCCCTGTCGGCCACATTCTCTGATTCGCCGGGAAAGACCGATGATCACGGCTATCATGTTACCGAACGAAGCCAACGCAATGAGAAAGTTGAGACCGCGAACTGCACCGTTGTCACCGAAGACTTTCTCGAAAAATAGACCAGCGGTCGTGAGGTCAGAGCTTTCTATCTCGTCCTTCGGAACTAAAAAGCCAAAGGCGATTAGCGTGGTGATTCTAGTACGGGCAGCACTATTAAAAACTTACTGGCAGCAAAGAAAGCAACATTTGCGAACATGTATAAAACATAAACTGTCGTAAGAGCGGTGGTGGCGTAGATCTTCAATGACCTGACGGGATTCTATGGACACCAATGTCGGTATCAGCCATAGTCCAGCATGATGCTCAGTTTATCATACCTTGACCTCATTGGCCACGTTGAAGGCATTATTATAACCACCATAGGAAAATATGATACGGTACAACGCAGTGGTGAAGCCGTATGCGGAAGCTGTGGAGCTGCCTGACCACACATCTTGGAAATTGGCCTTGGGATTCTCAACCTTGGTATTGCCGCCCAAAACAACAAAGCCAGTCACTATAACGAATAGAAGTGTCCCAATTTTTACAAGACCAACAGCATTGGAGAACCAGTAAGCATATTTTGTGTTGAAAACCAAAGCTGGATCTTGTCAGTTTCCAATTTCAAATCGATATATGAAGAGGACGTACTCAAGGTAGCAAGACTGTAACAAGCTAGAGCAGTGCCTTTGATTTGCCAGTTGGTTCCCGTGTGTCCCGATATGGCGATGAGATATTTGGCCATGACTGACATAAATTCTTTATTAATGCTTGGAACCATATCACATGCGGAATTCACTAACCGGTAGCATTGGCACTTCCAAACGAGAGAATAACACTCTGGACCGCAAATGTGGTTGGGAACAGCCACTTCGGACTGGGAAAAGCTTGTTCGAGGAAAACCACTTCCGAGCCTGATCGACTGGGAAAATATGCAGTATATTCAAGATACACGGCCCCCGAAGTGAGACAAATCTGGAATGAAGCAGAGAATATCAGTCAATGCTACCCTCCAATCATGGGAAAGACATACAAGGTAACCCAGGGTCCAATAAATGAGGCTGACGCCAACCGATCCAGTACCGGAGAGAATAGATGATGCTTTGCTCATTTAGTTGTCAATCCTTTTAGAGACACACTGTAGCTTGCTTACGTGTGGAGTAGATTCCAGCGCCGATCATCATTGTGATGTTCAGTAATGTAATCGTAGCGGGGCCGACAGAGTATCCCAAGGGCGAATCGCTCTCGATGGGAGCGCCAGAGGCATCTTGGTATGTGGGCGGCGCATCGTTTCCTCCTTTTTCGCTGATATACTGTCCGCGAGAAGTTGACGAATAGACCGTATGGCCTTCGACCACAGTGCTGGATACAGCAGGGCGATCACTAAAAGGTCGCCGCCATACCATCTTGATCAACTGCTAAGGTTTTGAAAGATTGATAAATGCGAAAGTGTTTCGCAGAACAGTGCAAAGTTGCGCCTTGCAGACCGGTATAATACTTCACATGCTAAGAGAAGAGACGGAATTTGCGCAGGACGAGCAATCTATATATCATGAAACCACCTCGATTGTTCCCCTCATGTCGGATGTTTTATCCATTCTAACCCCCATCATTCCAGCTGGTGTGTCAAAAACAAATCGGTTGCAACTAAGTGGAGTAAAGAAATGTCAACATTGGAGAGGCGGATGATATCATCGAAGCAGGAAGTCAACAAATTCTAGTCTACTACAAGTGGGGACAAGACTGCGCAATCATGGGTGAGGGCTAAAATTATTGATACCTAGGTACTTGAGAAAAATTCATTTTCCATTACACCCGGTGGCTATACATTCAAAGCAATAGTACTCAGTGAAATTATGTGGTGGCCCTTCTCAATGCAAGGTCTGCCGGTTTAATGGTTTGCATGGTGAGACGAATTCACCTCACAAATGCCCGAAGCAGTGCAGCCTAGGTTATGGCCCTGGTGAAAGTGGATTTGGCACGCAATAGCTCCTTGAATGGCGGAAAACATAAATGAAGCTTAGCGGGAGTTACTTGAAATACCGTAGATTCGCCAAACTGACAGGGATGTGACTATGTCATTTCGATGAACGATGGTGTGTTGTTGGTAATTGCGCGTGTCCATTCTGCTATTCATTATCACGCCATACCGGACCCGAATTAGTGAGATCTCAACAAAGACTGCTATATCTATCTGGAGGCACTTCACTAAAACAAAAACATGGGATGGTGCATTATAACACAGTTGCCGAGTAAGCTAACGATGGTCATATGCCTCAGCCCTGAAGGTATTCTGCCATAAATATATCAATGCTTCCAGGCCGAACCTGCCAGTTCAATGTTCTCGCTATCAGATTCACATAGCACTCAAGAGGAATAACGCATATCGGAAATTCCGAATGTTCGAATGAAGCAGTGATAATGATCTTAATCCATGATTCAAGATCTCTGGGTCTGCGAATTATTGAGTTTAGATGCAGGACCCTCAGACCTTTAGTTAAGCCAGTAAAGACCTTTTTGCGCCAATTAAGCCTTCTAGTCCATTCTTGTATAATATTCCGAGGTATTGAGGTTGGGTTATTCGATTATCATTTTGTGTGGAGTGATTGGATCATCTTATAAAATTATCCGAAAATTGCCAATGGCAGGGTGGCCCAGCCCACGGTCACTGTTGTGAGATAGGCTCATATGATCTCCTGTAAGGAAGTTGTTACTGGTCTAAGGGCCTGTGAATCTCTTCCCGGATCGTTTCCAGTCTCTCCATTTCTATGGGCGCGTTCCTAGCACTATAAACCCTAAAAACAGAAACAGCAAGTGCAAAGACGACGAGGAAAGCGTCGCCTACCAATGGGCTCACACTAAATGGGGCACAACGTTTTGTTAGGAGGTCATTACTGCTGCCCTAAAAGCGAGCCCTTTACCGTTACAAATTGCCACTGGGTTGGCAAAGTGCCGATAACACTTGCAATTCAGAAGAGATCACTCTAGCTACGGATAAAATTGGAGGCACATACTGTGGATGTAGCTGTAAGCTCACATTCTAATCTTAGGCACCGAGGGGTGACCCTGAACTCATCAATTTTATAGGGGTTCGAAAGAAGACAATTTGCTGCTCTCCTAATCTAACAGCCCTGGAAACCTTGAATTGCGATGCCGATCTGTGCAGTAAATCTGACGAGGGTTGCGACGAGGAAGATGGCTTTGTAGGTGAAGGTTATGGGTATTATACCCTGCTTAACAAGCGCTCCTATGAACTCTCCAATGGGAAATGAATGTGGAGCTATGGAATCGCCTTATGTCATTGAGTCAAGAGCGCTAAATTATCCGGCAACGCGAGGGAATGTTAGATAGCGATTGATGCGATCGCGGGCTGGAGGCTATTCAAGGCCGGGAAAGACGCGTTTTCTAGACCGTACCAACCAGGACTCAAGGTATCTAAAGAGGATAGATCGTCCAATTTGGGTCTCGCTGGAGGATTCAAGTGCATCAACTCTCTTACATTCCGAAATGGGGTCGAACCAGCTGACCAGACTTCATAGCATGTTGTAAGATGTTTGTTCATCCACTGCTGTTCAATTCCCCAAGTATGCCGATCTTTTAACAAAGGGCTCTCACGCGGAGCATATGATGGAGATGAGCACCACTACTCTGTCGCATGCTCCTTGTTTTGAAGCATTGGCTGACCAGACGATCCAGCTGAATATAATCCCGAAGTTCCTGGTAACGACTTTGACGGGGATTTTGCCAAACGGGAATCTGATGAAAGCCGCAAAGCTAGATCTAGCGAGTTACAGACCAACTACCTCAGATCGTCGCTAGCCTTGAAGTACTCGAAAACCTTCATGCAAACGATAGTTATGCGCTGGGTCCACAGTTCTTTCTCGGCCCACGGTATAACATTTGCCTCTTTGTGGATGATTTCTGTCTAGACTCGCTTGAGCATTTTGAGAACTCCCCTAGGGGTCTTATTGTGAAGATTTTGTCCAAGCCGTGGGGCAATTTGACCCCCAAGGAAAGGAAATGCAAGATACATCCGGAGTGGCATGATGGTGAGACAGACGACGAACTCGAAATGATCGGATGGATGTACACCCTTATGGATTCTTACGTGTGGTAGTACGATATTCTGGCAGAACAATCCTCGAACTAGGAGGCGTTCTATTTACGGCCACCTATGATGTTTGACGGGTGCAGCATAGTGAACGTGGAAGAAGAACGACTCGCTTCATTACGCCAGAAGTTTTAGAAATATATCATTGCTGCCTGATACCGTCTTTCTTATTGTTGTCTCTAATATGTAAATGCTTAATTCGACAAATGAAGTCCTTTTCCCCTGCTGGATTTTGTGGTAAGGATTAGCTTGGGATGTGATGAGATCACGTATCAGGTGACTCAGTTTGACAAGACTGCTTAAACCCTATCGAGACTGTTTGTCTTCCTTTCTTTTCACTATCAGCGAGCCAGTGCGCATCCTCAGTCTGCATCTTTTTTCCTGGGTTTCCATTAAGTTATGACACCCCCTGCTTATCTCCAGGCGCTTGCACAGAGAGGAAAACAGAATGTTAGAAATACAATGAATTCCTAAATTAAGGATCTCTCTTGGAACTTATATGGCGCTTTCTTATTTAGCCTCTTCCTGAATGATGCAGACTGCAAGATGAACCCTGGAAAGCAAATAAGTAGTATTTGCTTCCTAGAAGGAGCGCGTAGAAAAACAAAGCTCATGAGCAATTTTTGATTTTTGATTGAAGCCAGATCAGTACCCGACTCAGTCTTGATCCTAATGCTCTCAAAACTATCCGTCGGACTCAAAGGAGGAATGCTAACCTATCTACTTGGGAGTTCTTTTCTTCCAACGATGTTAATTGTTAAGTCACAGTCATTAGGCTTAGTCGCTAGGACTGAATAGTAATGCGCATAGGCTGCGCAGCTGTTCTGTTTCTGCCTCATCCCCTTACCTCTGTGTAGTTAAGTCACATCTCAAAATCCCGTACGACTGTTGGCAACTCTCCTCTTCAGTCCTAGTACCAGGGCTAGCGTGTGCCTAGAATGAGAAAGGTGAGAAACGACATGTTCCAATTGGGTGTGCCTCTGCTAAGGTCCACATAAATGGCTAAGGTTGGGGGCTGAGGCCGGGGGTGGAGGTTGAGGCTCAGCCGAAGTTCGCTCCTTGTTTGGTAGGCTCATGACTCAACATACCCCTCAATTCCTAGCACGCATTTCTCAAGCTTTTCGGAGAGATACTGAGAAGATATGGAGGATAGTTCATTTGTCCCTCACTCTCGCCAAGCGAGAAGAGCTCATAGCACATTGCTCTTGACCTCTCGTAGCAAGGCAATCCCGCTGTAATATGAAGGTGACTCGTTTTGATCCTGACTCTAGCTCCTGTGCAATTGCTGTTACCTATTCCGCGAACTGGGCCTCGAAATTTAAAGACTGACTAAAGTTCAGTGTGAACCAGGGTTACCCATCATTCTCAGTGGCTGCCCCCAAAAAACATGGTGGCTCATTAGGTGATTTATGGGCAACAAATAGATATTCATTCATTCGATCTTGTTGCTCGTGAAACTTTATAATGGGTTATACACAGCTTTGTATCAACAGAAGTCCTTCTTTGATGGGTACAACACGTTGCTCCTTCACATGGTCCTACTTCGTCTCTTGTGTTGTATAATTCTCATATGTCATGGCACTCTCGCTCGGAGAATCCATTTCTATGCCCACAGGTCGATCTCTTTCACAAAAAGTTTAGCACGAATTCCAAATTAAATGGAAGCTTTGCTGGAAATGGCATGCTTACCGGGAGCCAATCACTGGATATCTGTTCCCATTTTCTTCCATGATCGCTCTTAAATACCTGGATCTAACCTTTTGCATATATATGTGTTGTTCTGAGGTCGGAGACCATAGATAATTCGCCTGAGGGGCGACAAAGGCGCCGAATAGAGCCGCTGCAAGTGATACTGATGCAAGAGAGCACACAAGCACGATAACAATGATGGCAGAGTTGCTCAGACCCATCACACATCAATTTTCAATCAAGGGTGTGTGAAAGCAGAGGATTTCGGTTACTGGAAGGAATTTCCAACAGTTTAAGAAGAACGTCAAAGAACTGCATAGGCAGCAATCATTGATGAACAAGATATCTAAAGCCCCACTTTATAACTGCATAGTTAGTACAGAGTTTTGTCAGCGGAGCTAAGATCGCCTAATGGCAATCTGTGTGCGTATCATAGTAACCGATCATGCAAAATTCTAGCGATAGTAACTATATCCAGTTAGGAAATCCAAGTTGCTATAATTATCCCATACTGTACTGTGAGTGGACGAATGATGCTAGCTCCCGATGTATACGTGTGCCTATCCTAGTCTAAACTGTGGTCTCGAACTAAGCCTTCGATTTGAATGTTGTGGGTCTTTCGGATTAGTCTCGCATTCCTCGTATTCGGCTTATGTTCAGCGAGCTAAAAAGAGCTAAACGAGAGCCTCCGCTATCTTGCGTATAAAGAAGAATCTATTTTGGCACTAGCAGCCATAGCTGGATGAAATTTCGCCCAAGAATCTCTAGTATTATTGAATGCTTTGTTTAGTCTTAACATTTCGTTGCGCTTTAGCTAAAATTGCAAATAACACTTAAAGCTCGCATATCTTCATTCATTCATTTCTTCATTTCTTCTTCAATCTCTTTCAATTGAATTCTGGTTCTATATCCACATTCCGGAGACAGTGCTTTCTCGATATCGAAAATGTCTTCCGACTTCATTCTTTACAATTACACTCCGTCATTAGCGGCTGCAGTTGTCTTCGTTGTCCTATTTCTTATTGCGACCTTTGGCCATGCCTTTCTCGCCTTTCGACACAATCTCAAATTCTTGATTGCATTCATCGTTGGTGGTTTCTTCGAGGTCGTTGGCTACGTCGCACGAGCAGTGAACGCAAACCAAGCACCAAGTTATTCGACGATACCGTACGCCCTGCAGAGCCTTTTCATTCTCCTGGGACCATCACTGTTTGCGGCATCTATATATATGATTCTTGGTCGTATCATCCGTTTAGTTGAAGGCGACTCAAATTCTCTAATCCGCGCATCACGATTAACAAAGATATTTGTTTGTGGCGATGTGATATCCTTCCTTATCCAAAGTGGCGGTAAGAAATTATTTCAGCGCCTTAGCTCTCTTCATATACTAAAAATTGTTCCTAGGTGGTGGCCTCATGTCTAGCGCTAAATCCGCTAGTAGCCTGAAGCTCGGCGAGGATGTCATTATTGTCGGCTTAATCGTTCAAATCATCTTCTTCGGTTTCTTCGTCATCGTCTCGATTATATTTCATACGAGAATGAGGGATCGTCCTACCTCGGCATCTATGCGTTGTGGGGTCAACTGGCAACAATATATGTGTGTCCTATACTTTGCCAGCGTCTTGATCATGATTCGTTGTCTTTATCGAGTGATTGAGTATATCCAAGGCTCAGCTGGCGTTCTGCAAAGCCACGAGTACTACGCCTATATATTCGATACAACACTCATGTTTCTGGTTATGTTGATATTTTTGGTCATGCACCCCAGCAAAATTTTAGCAACGGGGCTCAAGAGGTTGGATGACACGGAACTAATTTACAGGCCTGTGTAAGCAGGTGAGATACTTTTAAATTTGTGTTCTATAAAGCTTGAGATTTCGCATTGATATCAATATCTTCTATTTGACGCTCGACCTAAATGGGCAAATTTGCCGCGTGTGAGGGTAAATTCCACACCGTCAGACTTTGAAATTTTATACCCACTCATCGCAAGTACCTTGAGAGTGCACAATCTGTGTCTTGGAACTTTGTATATTTGACATGGAGGGTTGCATCTGGACATGACGACGGGACCGTGGAGATCTGGAAGTCCAATGATGGACGCTGCTTCAGAGTCCTTAGATATGGCAAGGAGGCATTGCGGTGCAACTCACTCTCATTCTTTCTTGATGGAGCCCTTGTGTCTGGCCCAGATGAAGAGACAATCAGCATCTAGGGTTCGAAAGGTGACGAGTATCTCCAAAAACTGGAAGCTCATGATAAAGTAAAATCCGTTGTTCTCTCTCCCGACGAAATAATCATCGCGTCAGGCTTGTCGAATGGAGAGATTCAGATCTGATAATCAACGAATGATCTCTGCCTTACTAGCTTCAGGGCTCATGATCGTGCAGTCTACCTATTTTTCATGTCATTCTGCGGCATGAATGCATTGGCGGGCTGTTATGGCGGCATTATCTAACTATGACAGACAGATAGCGTCCTACTGAGACTCGTTTATTCCCACCATCCTTTGCCTCTTGACGGACTGATCTTCTCCTGCGATGGCAAACGGCAAATATCGCTCGACAAATGCGACTTCATTGTTTGGGATACTAGCAGTCGCGAATGCCTCCAACGGGTCGAAAGCAGAGAGTACAGCGTTGTGAAAGGTATCAAAACTGCTTGGTCCTGGCCTCAGACATCACTGTCCCATTGACCTTTATAGATTGTGGGTTGCCTCTGAAAGACAGAGGGCTCTCTGGTTGCCTGCAAAATATCGTCCAAAGTACCGTTCGTTCATGGAAAGTTGATACGGCTGATGAAGGAAACCAACTCATCGCGTTGTGCAAGTCGGGTCAAACATCGATCTTTGTATTGTCGGACTCTCCCATCCCTATTCCATCTCTTTCTCTTTCTTCATTCAGTTCCAGCCTAAAATTCCTTTCTTCTTTCAATATCAGCACTATCCTAAGGTCGCTTAGTGTCATGGAGCAACTCTTCATCCAGCCGCGTAACAGGAAAGTTATCATTAAAAGGGGCGGTCAGAACATCCTCATATGTCAATTAAGCCTCGATCTCCTAAGAAAAATGATGTTATAGATAGAAGTTAGGGAGGGGCACTGTCATTCTCAAAATCGGCTTCATCCGAACACACTCAGTCACTCTTTTCTGGCCCCACCGCCAAGTCCTAAGCGTGGATCAATCGTTGAGCTGATTACATCAAAGTGGTGGAACCCGCCCATTGAAACGGAGAGGCTGAAAACGATCCGGGAAGAGACTCACAGGCCCTTAGACCAGTAACAACTTCCTAACAGGATATCATATGAGACCATCTCACAACAGAAAGCTTTTCCTTCTCGGCCACACTTCCCGGTCCCAGACTCGCCTGGGATACCACCCCAGCTGGAAGACGACACTTGGACTTCACCGGCATGACATTGCCTATTACAGTCACCGTGGGCTAGACCATTCCACCATTGTCAATTATTTAGGCCGCTAGCCTTGGGGCAACAAACAGGCTTCCCACAAGTGCCCTGCTTGGTGTTGAAATATATCTCGGAGACCAATCTCGCACTCACTTACATCTTTTCCTTTACAGCCTGCCTTGTCATAGCCAAGCATGGTCGGCGGGGAGCAACTGGCTGCCTGAGGGTTGTCTAGATCAACACTTTCATCGAACTTGTAACACCCAACACCAAGGTAAGTCTCTATAGCTTCGACCAATGGTTGTTGCTCATCTGTTTGAACCAAGCTGACCGACCTACCTAAATTATCCTTTCTTGTGAGTGCTTTGTGGGCAGCCCAGTTGTAATCATCTAATATACGTTAGTGCACAGCTTTTAAAAAGCCCATTTTTGGCAAATGTTTATATACCTATGTCCGAGGCCCAAGTAAGAGAGCCAGAGAAGCCAATACTTTTCGCACAATCAATCTTTTGCTTGAAAGTGTGCTTATCGTCGTACGCGATCCACTGGTTAGTACCCCACGTGAAGTACTTGACGGCTGCTTTATTGCCATGGATGACCTTAATATTGGAATTGATCGACAGGATTTGTTGAATCTCATATAAGCTCCATAGAAATCCTATTTAAAAAGACACTGCATAGACTGAAGAAAGAAGAGAAAAGAAGTAAAAGTGAACGAACGAAAACAGAGAGAATGACAAATAAAGATAAAAGAGCATAAAAAACAAAGAAGAAAAAAACGAGAAACAAAACTGTAAACTATATCAAGTCAACGATATCTAGCGATATAGCTTTTCATCGCTAAAAGCTTTCGCTCAATGGCCGCGCTATCAGTATCTAAGTGGTAGATCAAACCATCTTGATAGTCATTAAGCTCTTCGTTTTCTCGTCGAAGTTGATAGAACCTCACATACTTACCAATGCCCACTATTCCAGATGTAGTCGCAAAGATTCGCGAACGATCCTCGCGTTGAGATAGCATATAATTCAAGAGCTGACCTTTTGCATGAGCCCAGGAACTAGGTGGAGGATGACCAGTTGCTGACTCCGAGGGCCTTTTGTTCTCGACCATGATCGCCTTAAACATTGGACGACGACCTAGGGTGCTCACACAGATGCCTTAGTCTTTGATTGGGATTTGATATAAGCTTCCCGTTCAATTCCGTAGTTTTCTGAGCTTGGGAAATAATATGCGAGGAGGTTCGTCCAGAGATGATCGACATCAGCCTCTAAACTTCCAGGTACAATTTTCGCTATGTAGGAAGCTATTATCGGCTTTTGCTGGTGCTGCGCTCTTATATCAGTGTCATGAACTCGCACGTTAAAGCTCTTATAGACTTACAGCCATTTCGCCAATTGCTGCTGCTGAGTAGTGTGGGTGCGTATGTGTATGTATGTGTGTGTTTAGGGATTGAGAGGCCGTAGAGAAATGGATACCGAGTAGTTGGCAGTCGTTGGCTTGATCAAGTGTTGTATGTCCCGGGATTGGTGTATGAGGGTATTTAGATGTAGGAAGGTAAAGAATATTTATCACTTGGTGACATGAATGAAGTGGAATTTTATGCAGAGAGAGATAAGAGCTATGGATTTAAAGCTCCACGAACAATTTGAACTTCCATAAGGAGAGGAGATGCTTAGTAGGGTAAATAAAGTGTCAGAGATCTTAGAATTGGTGTACGGATGTACGTAGATGCAGGATAATAAGAGATGTTTGTGATTTAGTGGCATGAAAGAAGGGAAATAATGTACAGAGAGAGACAAAAAATATGGGTATAAGCTCCCCGAACAATCAGAGCGTCCACAAGGAGAGGAGATGCTTAGTAGCATAAATAACGTGTTAGAGATCTCTGGATTAAGATGTTAATAAGTAGAACGGATAGCAACCGTGAGCGAAATGCGATATGGCTATATTCATGCAACAAATAGGTCTGCTTTAACAATTCACTTGTGTTAAGTTGGAGGAAGACGATAAAATGATAGGGGTATGAGCCATGAACAACGAAGCTAGATCGTGAGAAACCTAGCTATGGTCGACAAACAGGCCGATATCAGTGGCTAGGGAAACCATAATACCAATTGAAAGTGTGGCAAGGAAGACGAAGATGGCGTAGATACATGGATGAAAGAGTAGAGCGAAGTTAAATGTGGAATATGGAGGATAGAGGATGTACGCTAGGAAGCTGTATTCTTTAAAAAATTCGGGTTCAGTTCCTGCTTTACTTAGATATAGCATCTACAAAGACGTACATAACTAGTTACATTGCACCAAATTAATTGAACTTTGGTTGATTTATTCAGTAATTGAAGTAGAAAGAATATGTTAAATCTACTCTCTGAAGCTAGGAAAGACAAAATCTATGTTGATGTTATGAAGATTTCTATAGTATATATATTCTAGTGTCAGTAGCTCAACGGGATACCAATTAGTTGGTTAAGAACAACTTGTATATCTCTGAATCTCTAAAAGAAGTGTAAGGAAAAGAGAAAAACTTTATAAACCTAATCTTGGTATAGGCGGAATAGATGATAGAAGGCTAGGGGACAGGAACATAAATTGCCGAAAATATAAGTCTGAATAGTAGAGTAGGGAAATCAAAAACTTCTTATTATGGAAGACTGGAAAGTCGCACCGAATACGAAGGAACTTGCTGTATTTACTCTGTAAATTCCCACTATTGATTCCGTAGAAAGGTTGTTGAATGTTTTTGTTGGTATCTGATACTTCTACTTCACAGCTATCTTATTACTCGCTGACTGCATTGTGTAAAACCCTTATTTTTCTTTTCATCTGGTGATTAATTAGAGAAGATAGTTAGTATAGATAAGGGTATGAGGATGAGTAGGAGGGGAATAGGATCATTGATATAGAGACAACCGAGCTCAAGCCTATAGAAACCATAAAAGAATAATAATGGGTGTGGTGGCAGAAGTGCTCCGTACCAGGATTGCATTGGGAATTTTCCCTGCGAGAATAAGAATAAAATTCGCGATTTGGGGTAGTGATTCTAGGAAGTCCTAGAAGCAAAACTAATAGAGATCAAAAGCGAAGAGAGCGAAAGCAATAATAATTGATAACAGAGGTGAGATCATTCTCTAATTGAGATAAATATTATGGTCCTGAACGCGAGGAACCTACCCCAAACCTTACCATCCTGCAATGCTACAATTGAGTCAGTAAATTGCGCTTGTGAATTGGAACAGCACACATCAATATTTTACTTACATCAAACTCACCAGCAAAGGCTTGTATCTCTCCATCTGGGTTAAGTAGTACTAATTCGCAAGTTGTATTCGGCTTACCAATCACGCTATGGCATATTCCATATTTTGGGTCAAAAATTGGACGTATGGCCTGGATGCCCCCTTCTCCAGCAAAGACTTCGAAGCCTGTCAACGGCTGGCCGCGAAGATCAATCTTGATCTGCTTTTGAGGGATTTGATAGCCAAGTTCAATGCTTGGTGAACTTCCCCCGTAGACAGGTTTGAAACCGGTGATAAATGTATGTTCATCTTCAGCAAGAACGGAGACAGCAATTTCCACAATCTCACTAGAGATGGTGATCATCTGAGGTGGTGATAGATTATGCACTCCACGACACCACTTGCAGATGTCACTGCCAAATGAAGATGAAGTAGGGTCTTCCTCGCCGTAAGGTCTATCGCATTGGATTTTTCCAGCTGCTCTGTCCCAGATTAGGCCATCAAATCGAGTATTGTTCTCAGGCGATGTCGATATTGGAGCTCCAACCATCATACACCTATCTTTAATCCATTCATTATGAAGCCACTGTAGCCTTCGGAAACGTAGTATCTTGGTGAGACGCTTCACTTTGCTAGTGCAGCGGTACATTAATCTCCAATCTTGACGACCTTCTTCCAAAAGATAGTTGAGATATCCTCGTTCTCGATGAATCAGAAAACGTGTTTTCCAAAATTCCTGATATTCAAATATGTGAACCATAGACTTCGACGCAAGTCTCAAGCTGAGGTATTCAGGCGTTGAAAGAAGATAGGCAATTTCGAAGCGAATTTCGAGTGGAAGAAGACTGAAACAGTCATTTACTTGGGTCTCATCCTTCAGGTTATGTTCAAACTCCATGTTTGCTGCCTTTGGGAAGGTCCTTGCCTCAGCCCGGAACCCGATATATCGAAAGCATCTCGAGCTAGGAATCCCAATTGGTCGGATTACATAATCTAAAGAATCCCATTGATTAGTCTCTAATTGTTCGTGGGTGCGGAAGTCTGACAAGAGGAGTGAAATATTGACTTACAGGCAAGATACCGTGGCCAAGGTGCTTCTTCGACTACATTTGCCAGTTTATCGAGAGGCACAATTCCGCTGTTGAAATGCTGTATCAACAATTTCCAGCAGCCTTCATGAAACACGCAAAAATTGGAAACGCTGCCATTCCAATCTCTGAGCCATTCGTGTTTTTCTTTATCATCACAATATTCTTCGATGAGGTCTCGAACTGGCGTTGAGTTGATCTTTAGTGATCTATTACGATATAATCGTCAGGCTGCAACTGGGTAGAACTTACTGTCTCGTTCGTCTTCAGGCTCAATAGCAGTTCCACAAGACGCACATGGAGGATCACGCTCGTAATAACAATACACACGTTTTTTCCTCATGATTAAGATGAATTAATTTTGCTCGCTTCAAATTGTGCTTACTGGGGGCGATACAGAATGTAAAGTGTAGGGAACGTCCAAAGCTTCTGCCAGTGAGCTGTGTTATAGTGTGTCGATCATGATTGCATCATTGAAATTGGATCATACATCTATACAAACCTTGATGAGCATTCCAATTCTTCCCAGGTTGCCTGTCAAAGTCACATGAACAAGAATGTATAACCATTGCCTTGTTGGACGTAGCCGGTCTCGTACAATGGCTTCTGACTTACGGCTTTTGATATAATAGATATTTCACATTTTGCCCCAAGCTACTATAAATTCCTACGGATCCATTGAATGAAGGCAGTCCTCACACTCATGGGAGAACAGAGATGCAAAAGAGTCACACTGGGGGAAAGGGTGGCGGGATTCTCGGCCTATCTGCTCCGGATCAATAGGAATATTGGCTCGCTAGAATGGAGATGTAGATGTATAGAAGCGTAGCAAAACGAATACAGAGATAAGAAGTAGATACCTTTTCATCCACATATTTTAATATTCTACTTATGGCCTATGAGACCGTGTTCTGGCTTCCATACAACAACTATCCGATATGGTGTAGTGGCTAACATCGTCGTCTCTCACACGACAGCCGGGGGTTCGATTCCCCCTATCGGAGTTCCTTTTTTGCATAATCTAGGAAGTGTGAATGGGTGGAGCAATATGGAGTATTGTGTGGAAATCTTTTTTTGGCGATGGATTTCGGTCACGTGCCTTGGGACACCTGATCATGTATTCACGTGATCAGTTTCACGAAAGAGTCGAAGGGATTGCTACATGGGGGCTCCTGGATGAGCAGGTCGGGGCGCACAACTTCTGGAACGGTTTCTTGAAGAATGGGAAAAGCTATGGGTTTCCATCTGAATGGGCTAAATTGACATTTGAGCAATTGTATTTTCTGATTACACCCCCTGTCAATAAGTCCTTACCCACTCCTATAATCACCTGCTAAAAGTGCCGATTTTAGGCCTGATTTTCTCCATGGATTCTTATAGTACTAATTCTTTAGATTGACTTTCATAATATTTCTATGCCAGATTAACATATTGTCTCTTTTCGAATGATCTGCCCAGGTGGTTCATATAGCTGTTCGTTGGTAACTGATTAAGTAAATATAATTTCCAGAAAATCTCGGTTATATATATCATGGTGCTATAATTCACTGATGGTAGAGCAAGTTTATACTAATATATTTTTGGATATAAATTGAATATACCTAGGCATCTTACCTTATATTTAAATTTAAAAATTAAATATCGGAAGCAAAATATGTTGACCTTATGAAAACATATCTTTTTACTATTCTCGTCTGATAAAATACATAAATGTGCCTGAGAGGAGTCAAACTAGTGTGTATATTACAATATATGGTCTGGTGTGCAGATCCGCGCGGCCATTGAAAGAAGTGTCAAGTTTCACGAAGAGAGAAACAATGAATCATCGTGGCTATCGACCAGGATTTGAAGTCATCGGCGGGTCAGCTTAATCAGTTCGTCTATGGATTTACATCTAGATCGACCAGATCGTATAAATCCATCTTCCCCATCCTCATTTGCCATTTTCAAATTCTTCCTATACCTGGAAGCAAAAGTAACAATACTCTCCGGTTCAACTGTAGCTGCATATTATGCCCAGAATGCCGTCCGAAGTTACACTTGGAGCCTCTAGAGGACTTGGAGTGAGTCTCGTTCCTAAAGACCGACCGCATGAAGACTAACAACATCATTCACCCACAACAAAGGAAGTTTCTTCGCCAGATATTTATCAATTTGAATAATACTGTCATCAGGCTTGTTCGTAGCAAGTCAGTAACCGAGGAGAAAGTAAAGGAGGAATTGCCGGAACGTACCAACATTGACATCATGGAGGCCGATATCACTGATTTTGCTGCTCGAAAGGTGAGAAACCTCAAAGATGCACAGGAACAGTCTATTGACGCAATCATATAGACCGCGGTGGCTGAGACTGCAAGTATCACAGGCGGGAGACTGAATTATCTGATCTCTAACGCGGGTTTCGTGTCCCACCTCGATACCTACGATCCGGTCGGTTTTTTGTAAGTTCAAGCGCTTGTTTCAAGGTTGCAATAAAAAGTGGTGTAGACATAAAAATACATATATAACAAGTAGTGCCTTCCTCAATTGCAACCACCATCTGATGTAGACCTTTACAAAGCACAACAACATTTTTTATCTTTCGTTCACATCCTTCAACACCTTCTTCTTCATTCCTCTACCCTTGATTGTTCCTACCTCTCATCTTACAACCATATCTCTTTGATATTTGCGAGGTATATCTCGAGTACTCTATCGTATTCAATGGATTCTACCCCGCAGGAGCATACCAATGATTTGTGTTCTACTATATTCTCACTATTCACTAGGCAAGAGTTTACACATAAGCTCTAATAAAGTTATAGAAGGATTGAAAAGGTTGATGAATCTTGGCATGGTGACCTAAATTTGGGCTTCCCGGGATTTCCACGGGAGGTGGAGTACGAAATAGGTTGAGCGGGTTTTCTCGGTGGTGAATTACGTTACCTTATATTATATTCCGATCATATTTGGAGTACGATCGCCAACCCGGTTAAAACAACGAATCGAAGGCTCGGCTTGACTACCGTGCTTCATTCTTCCGAGCATGGGCCGATGATTCCCAACACATGTGGCTTGGCTAGTCTTGGGCTTGAAAGCATTGGCCGGTATTGAGTCTTTGCCAAGCTTCAAGTTATTAATTTTAGTCATTGATTGAGGCTTTTTCATTTCATGAGGCTTTTTTAGGCTGGCCAATTATGGAGAATGATGTCGATGGCGTAGAAGGATGGCTGTGAGAAACTGGGGTTTTAGTATCAAGAGCATCATGTAGAATCTACTCTCAAAGGTCAAAATAGACCTCATGTACGACAATGATCTTATATACATCCCTCCTATAACTTTATTGCCACCTGGGTCATTCTGGAACTATGCTGGAACAATACAATTGGAACTCAATCGTGTTGTTCAATTCAGTGAGGAATGACGATCCCCGGTATTACCCCAATTATCCCTTCTCCAACTCTTCATCCACTTCTTCCACCGCCGATACAGATAGCTCTACGATATATTCGCATCTTCACTAAAACACACTAGTGGCGACAAGGCCTGCCAAATGACCCTAATTGTTTTTACCAAGGTGCCTGAAATCCGGCTTCGGAACCCTAGAACCGAAGATGCGTATCATACATTATACACAGTAGACTTGGCTGATCTATATAAACCCGCTCTATCACGCCGAGTGCAATTCTTGTAACCCTAACTTGCCATACTATATAATACTCTCTCTTTTTCAGAGAACACAATAGCAAGCAAGATGGGCTTCACTCTTCAGACCCTCGCTATCTCAGCCTTGGCTGCTACCACCTATGCCTCTCCTTTGATCCACTCCCGGGCAACCAACACATCCTATACCAATCCCAATGGCTTGAAATTTGACCATATCAACGGATCTCTCCCCAATGTCACCCTTCTCGCCACAGGTGCGTGCCAATTCCAAAAGAAACCCTGAATACAGCCTAACGAAATGAAACCAGGTGGAACTATCGCCGGCACCAGCGATGACAAGACCGCAACCGCAGGCTATGAGTCCGGCGCATTGGGAATTAAGAAGCTTCTGGCCGGGATTCCAGACATCTTCAACGTCGCCAACATCGCCGCCGTCCAAGAGGGCAACGTGAACAGCGGAGATGTCTCTTCCACCCTCCTCCTCAACCTCACCCACACACTGCAAACCAAAGTCTGCGACGACCCCACAATGTCCGGCGCAGTAATAACCCACGGCACCGACACCCTCGAAGAATCCGCCTTCTTCATCGACGCAACTGTAAACTGCGGCAAGCCCATCGTCTTCGTTGGCTCCATGCGTCCTTCAACCGCCATCTCGGCCGACGGCCCCATGAACCTCCTTCAGGGAGTGACAGTGGCCACAGACGAGGACTCCAAGGACCGTGGTGCACTAGTTGTGCTGAACGACCGCATTGTCTCTGCTTTCTTCGCTACAAAGACCAATGCCAACACCATGGATACTTTCAAGGCTTATGAGCAGGGAAGTCTGGGCTTCATTGTATCGAACAAGCCGTACTTCTATTACCCTGCCGTGCAGGCTAATGCTAAGCACACTGTTGACGTGTCCGGCATCGATGCTGTTCCTCGCGTGGATATCCTGTACGCGTATGAGGATATGCAGACCGATTCGCTTTACAGCGCTGTTGAGAACGGTGCCAAGGGTATTGTTGTAAGTTTCTAATCTATATTTGATAAGTGATTCAGTTGTGAGTGGCGCAGTGCTAATGCGGATATAGGTCGCTGGTGAAGGTGCTGGTGGCATCTCCACCGACTTCGCAGACGCTATCAACGATATTGTTGAGAAGCACAACATTCCCGTTGTTCTGTCGCACCGCACTGTCAACGGCGAAGTGCCTACCGCTGATATCACTGGCAAGAACTCCGAAACCCAGATTGCGAGTGGCATGTATAACCCGCAGCAGTCGCGCATTCTGCTTGGTTTGCTGTTGGCAGAGGAGAAGGGCCTAAAGGAGATCCGCGAGGTGTTCTTGAAGGCTACTGTTGCTTAGATTGCCATTGTGTTAGGAGATCAAGGAAACATGGGCATAGAGATATAGAGATGTAGACCATTAATATATTGCCTATGTTCAGCTGAGAAATATCAGTACACTGTCGCGAAGACAAAATCTATTTCTCGACCTTTCAAGCGTTCATGCACTCAGCGGAAAAGCGTGAGGAAGCACCTGCGTGTTTAAAGCGAAGAGCGATTCTATTATTCGTAGATTACAAGAATCATGACTGTAGCAGCATGTTGATTTAACATAGGAAGATGAGTACATGCATGGAATGCTACATGTAGATTGCTAGACGAGCTAGCTCAGAACTGGTAAAAGTAGTACATGGGAGGGTTAAAGAGGATATCGAATCAAACAGATCAAGTCTAGAAGTGGATAGGCTTGGAGTAGGTGGCCATGGCGGCCTCCTTGAAAGCCTCGGAGAGAGTGGGGTGAGCGTGGCAGGTACGGGCAACATCCTCGCTGGAGGCACCGTACTCAATGGCAAGGGTGGCCTCAGCGATCATCTCACCGGCACCGGGTCCGATGATGTGGACACCGAGAATGCGGTCGGTCTCAGCATCGGCAATGAACTTGACAACACCCTCAGTGTCAAGGTTGGTCTTGGCACGGGAGTTGGCGCTGAAGGGGAAAGAGCCGACGTTGTACTTGACGCCGGAGGCCTTGACCTCGGCCTCATTCTGGCCAACCCAAGCAACCTCAGGGTGGGTGTACATAACGCTGGGGATGGCGGCGTAGTTGACGTGGCCGTAACCAGTCTTAATGTACTCAATGGCGGCGACGGCCTCCTCCTCGGCCTTGTGGGCCAGCATGGGACCGAAAGTGCAGTCACCGATGACACGGACGTGGGGAACCTTGGTGCGGTACTCCTGATCGATAACGAGACGACCACGGTCGTCCTTTTCGATTCCGACGCTCTCGAGGTTCAAGCCCTCGGTGTAGGGCTTGCGGCCAATGGCGACAAGGACAACATCGGCATCGATGGTCTCCTCCTTACCACCCTTGGCGGACTCAATGTTCAGGCCGACGGTAGCACCGCTGACATCACCTGAAACAACCTTGGTGCCGGTCTTGAACTTAATGCCCTGCTTACCCAGGATCTTCTGGGCCTGCTTGGCGATCTCGGCATCCATGCCGGGGCCACCGATCTGGCCAAGGTACTCAACGACAGTGACCTCAGCACCGAGACGGGACCAGACGGAAGCCTACTAAAATGTTAGAACATCCCCATGGGTTGGAAAGAGGGCACAAGAAACGTACCATCTCGAGACCAATGATACCACCACCAATGACAACCATCTTCTTGGGGACCTCCTCGAGTGCAAGGGCGCCGGTGCTGGTGATGATGCGCTTCTCATCAACGGTGAGACCGGGGAAGTGAGTGGCTTCGGAGCCAGTGGCGATAATGATGTTCTTAGCGCGCAGGGTCTGCTCACCACCGTCGTTGAGAGCGACCTTAATGGTGTTGGCATCGACGAAAGAACCGGCACCCTTGACGTAGTCAACGCCGTTCTTCTTAAGAAGGAACTCAACACCCTTGGTCAGGCCCTCAACGGACGTGTCCTTGGCCTTCAACATTTGGGTCAGGTTGAGCTTGACATCGCCGACCTCGATACCGCGCTTCTTGGTGTCGTGCAGGATCTGGTGGTAAAGGTGGGAGTTGTTGAGGAGGGACTTGGAGGGAATGCAGCCGACGTTCAGGCAGGTACCACCGAGGGTTCCGCGCTTCTCGATACATGCGGTCTGGCAAGGTATTCAGTTAGCATATCGCGATGGCGGGACGGACCCAATTGGAGATCGGAAAGCCCAGGGTTGAAGTTTTCGCACCTTGAGACCTTCCTGGCCAGCCTTGATGGCAGCAACGTAACCGGCGACACCGCCACCGATGATAACAAGGTCATGGTCACCTGTCGGGAAGGCGGAGATTAGCAATCGCATTCGGGAAGCATGGAAAATCTCTCCGGGCATGCCGCAACAGCCGGAGAGACAAGAACTCACCTGATTCAGAGGCGTAGCCACGCTTTGAGCCAATGAAGATCATTGAGGGAGCGAAGTTGGCCCTGGGGGCAGCATGACGGAGAGCAGCCCGCGGTGTAGCCCGGGGCAAGACAGAGCGGAACATTGTGAAAAAGAGAAGAAGCAACGATAATTAAAAAAAGGCGGTCAGACAAAATCCTCCAATTCCAACTATATTGGAGGTGTGGTGGGTAGAGACGTGGATTCGAGTATAAGAAGGAACTGACCTTTTGCAGTATTTTGAGCTTTGCCCGTCAAATCCTTAGTAAGCGACTCGGGTTGAGTCGGTTGACCGGTTGGTACGGAGTTCTCAGGCAGAGAGGTCTAGCGGCCATCGGGAAATTTGTCTGGTTGGCCACCGGGATTCAACGCCTTCGAGTATGCTTGGGGTGTACTCTGTACGGAGCAGCGTATTATGAACCAACTTGTTACATAGACAGCGTTACTTATTCATATCTGGACTTCATCCATAGATGTATGTTATTGGAGGTTTCGCGATACTACAGCCTTGTTAAGTTCCACTGGCTCAGGTTCAACATCAAGAGGACAACATTGATATTGGCTAATTTTCTGCTTACCCCAACGAGTCCGTGAGACTTAAGCCTCTATGGCCGCTATGGCTCACCCTACGCCATCAGCCACTTTACCGGGAACGATGCCGCCCAAGGGCTTTGGCCTCAATATCTGAATTTCTGAAACCATTCGTCACAAACAAAAGCTAAAAGTCACGCATAGCAAAAGATGTCAACAAGTTGTGGAACATAGAGTACTAGAACATTGCACTTTTTCAAATGAACCAACAGCCACGGAAATCTCGAATAAATTTCTCTATAACACAACATATCCTTTCCCGTTCGCACAGGACTATTCCGGGGAGACCCAAGTGCTCTTACAAAGAGTTAGCGGCGATTCCCCCATAATCTGCATACCCGCGGGCCTTGGATCGGGAAGTGTTCTCGGGGGGCTCCGCGGCGGTTACAAGCGGACACTGTCGCATCCAGGTCTAGACTCAAATAAGTGGTGTATCCTCGCTTGAAATATAACCCGTCTGTGTAAACAGTCCCCCTCGTGGCAGTTTGACGGTTTAGGGACTCGTCTTAAACCTTGTGCAGTTCTGGTTGGGCGTTGGGGCAGAAGTCTTGGCCGGGCCCACCAACGTTGACATCACAGTGCTTTGCTTGCGCTGAACAATATAGTCGGCATGTCGGACATTTATTGACCGATATATGCACGGTTATAAAGGACCGATATACAATGCGACCCTTCTTAAGTCTGACGCTAAGTGATAGCAAGATAAACCATCACCGTGCTCAGCCTGGCTTGTGGAGTCCCGTGTCGGGCTCCGTTCGCCGTCTTACTGACTCGCTGCCTGGAAGTCAAGTATAAATTCCGTATAGTCCTCGATAGAAGAAATAAACAGAACGAATATTTCCAACAAATCATCAGGTATCACTGCCCAAATCCCAAACTATCAAAATGACCACCCTCGCATCCACGATCAGCGAAGGATTTCGAGCCCGGCGATCCATCCGTGCCCTAACAAACGAAACTAAAATATCCGATGCTCGCATCGAAGAACTTGTTTCAGATGTGACTTTGCATACACCGAGTCCATTCAATGTTCAATCCGGCCGACTTGTCGTGCTCCTGAAAGAAGAACACCAGAGACTCTGGGATATTGCCTATGAGGCCGCAAGTGCGAGCGTGCCCCAGGGCGTATTTGAAAAGATGTACAAGCCTCGTATCGCTGCATTCAGAGCAGGCTATGGGACAGTGAGCAGTTCCTTTTTTGTTTTAGAATTCAAGACTGAGACCTGGGCAAACTTACTGACTATCCACAAGGTGTTGTTCTATGAGGATCCTGTCCCGTTCAAAGCGTTAGAAGAAAAATGGCCAATGCTTACCCAGAAGTTCCCTGAATGTATGTCTCATTTTGACGTTAGAAGTACATCTATGAATATTAACACCAAACAGGGTCGCAACACTCGAGTGGAATGCATCAATTTGCGTGTAAGTGTACCAGGTGAAGCGCAGTTGTAGCATTTGGGCTTACATTGATTACAGTATGGACATTGCTTGAAGCTGAGGGTCTTGGGTGCAGTCTACAACACTACAATCCGCTGATAGACTCGCCTGTCTCCGAGCAGTGGGGCATTCCTCAAGAATGGAGATTACAAGCTCAGCTAGTCTTCGGGAAGCCCGCTGGCCCACCTATGGAGAAGACATTTGAGCCTCTGGAACAAAGGGTCTTCATTCACGGAAAGTAGGAATACGGGCTTGTGGAGCATAGAACTAGACATAAAAGCCGAATGGGCCTAGGTAGAAGGAAGCTAGTGCATTTTTCCCGACGTGTAAGCTAAAATTTTGACAAGAAGTTGAAAGCCATATCCCGAATGTATCCTCTAAATCTGGACTTCGCAGATGCTAGTTCTGTACGCAAGATAGCTTTTCCTCCTCTTTTTGATTCCTTTTCTTTCGCCACTCAATACCTTTAGTTGCAACAGCCAACAGGCAAGGAGAAGCAGCAATTGAAATCAATGCAAGCGTGGTATAGGCCCAGCCTTCTCCCATAGCCAAGGCCATAGGGCTGATTGCTGCGGATGCCGCTGCACCGAGCTCACAACGAAACAAATTGTTGGCTGCCGTCGCTGACGCCGATTTACCTGGCCAAAGATCAACCAGTAAGACATTCAGCACCTGCGAGGTACCAATGATAGACCATCCAATCACAAATAGAAGGATTACAGGTGCAGATAGATGGACCTCCCGCCCCAGTACCCAGCCGTATATCAGCATCGCCAAGGTACTGATGTAGTAAAGTGGCAAGCCAACTTCCAGTCTGGCACGTTCGATATTGAAGTTTCGTATATCTGCACGAGCATGTTTCACAACAGCAAGACCTGCACGGTTCGCATGCCGACGATAGTTCCAGTCGACGATTCTGCCAGTCGTGAAGGCTGATAGAACGCCGCCAGCGCCGATGGGGAGATACATCAGCGCGCCTTGGATATCATTGAATTTGTAAATCTTGTGGAAAGAAGTCGACGCCCCAGTCATGACAGCATAGAAACCAGCGAACAGCAAACCTGTGGGAATCAGAATAACCGACGTCTCGAAATCCAAGACAACCTTCATAGTCGGGACGGGCGAGGGGAACCTGAGTGAGTAATTCTTCCGCACCTCTGCTTCTTTATCCGGATCAGACGCAAGACCCTTCTTTTTGCGTATGCGGTGCCGAATCTTATCCGCAACAGAGTTATTCAATGGAGGTGGTGGGATCGAGCCATCACCTACAACTTTGCGGCAGGTTTCTGGTAGGAAAAGCGCGAGAATGAGAAAGAACACACCGCCGAAGATTAGGAGAAACCAGAAGATCCAGTGCCAGTTGGTATACTGACTGAGGAGACCACCGATTATTGGGGATAGCGAAGGACCAAGCATGCTTCCGATCGACGCGAAAGCGATGTACGAGCCTCTCTCGGCTGACGTGATCATATCTGCCACTAGACCATTTGCAAGCGCAACTGTTCCACTGCTGCCGGCGCTTTGGACACAACGGAGAACGAGTAGGGCTGCAAAACTGTTTTGGAGAGCTAGCCCTAGGTTGGCTGCGAGGTAAATTGTGAAGCAAATAATATAGGCGGGTCTGCGACCTGCGGTATCGGAGAAGCCTGCTATGAGCATGGGTGCGACACCCTGCATGATCTAGACGGAAAGAATGGTCAGCGGTTGGTTTTCGTGTGAATAGTTGCAAGACTTACTAGGTATGTTGTGACGGTCAAGTTGACCTGAGAGGTGGAGATGTGCAGCTCATCCGCGATGGTGGTCAAGACTGGAAGGTAGATACTCGACGATAAGGGTGAGAAGAAACTGGCCAAAGATCCCATCGCCACGATATACCGTTTGGTATTCACTGAGAACTGAGAATATGCCTCCTGTTGATCTGCATGCTGGCTTGGTGAGTCTGGGGATTTGGTTTGATCAGCCTCGGTTGTTGCCATGTTGCCTTTGTTTGTTGCCATGGCTGGATATGGCATTCGGAGATTTTCAACCCATATGGTAAAATCTTTGAAAAGCAGGTGAAGTAAAACGGTCGTTTTGTTCCTGAATAGTTCGGATCCCGCTTCCGGGATGTAAACCAATCAGAGTTCACAGATGCCCCGACACCAATCCCGGCAGCGGCACTCTTCAAAGCTTCAGCTTCTTTCGCTTCTCATATTCATGCATAAGTATGTATGCATATTGCAAATTTCAGCTAACATTCAAGGTACAGAGTGCCCATGTGACCGATCATTAGTCAGTAGGGACGATCACACTCTAAATGGGTAATTAGATGTGTACATATGTATGATCTTTTACTTTCTTTGGATACATCAGGTAGATGGTATAGACATAGGATATAACAAGAGACACAAGCGAAGGAAGAGACCATTCCTTTCAAGTCCGACAATTTCAGTCTATGCATTTGTGTCTTGGTATAACATCAGTGATTTGAAGTCTTATGACCCTTGGAAAATGCTAGACTATTCCTTTTGTATGATATATCCAAGAACCTCAAAATGGCCCAGAGACGACATCATACCCTGGCCAATTGTGGAGAATAATTCCCCGCGTCGGCTAAACTCCGATCTTCAGGTTCTCGGTCACTTGAGCAGAGTCCAGACCCAGGAAGCTTAGAAGAGAACGAGAGAGCATAATTGAATAAATCAGATATCGAATGTAATTGTACACCGTAGACGTAGAGTTATATAGCTTATCAAATGTCAAAAGTCTGGAATCTGGGGATTTCAACTTCTCCGTGTTTTCTCCCCGTTCTCCACAAATCCCTTTTACCCGAGTGCCCCTTGAACGTTCACTTTCCCACTAACCCGCCTAGGGAGGTGCAAGCCAAAACCAGCCACTGATGGCATTGCCGACAATCATCATGGTTCCCCGTGTGGGCCGAGTCAAACCCGTAACAAAGCAGAGAAATAGCCAATAAACATTCCTATCCCCACGACTCCAGAAAATCGTGCCGCAACCTCGACCCCTTCGGATTGCCGAGTTCAGCGTCCGGGTAAAAGCCCCCAAACCTGGCCCCGCCGTGACATACTCCCCAGTACTACCATAACTGGCCGTGTCGGATTCTGGCCCTGCTTTGTCGCGCTGGTGGGGTAATTTTCGACACTGGTGACCACGCGAACCAGTCTTATGTCCCGCGGAATGTAACCGCATTAGATCTGTCGCTCCTTGCTTTTCCTGGTGTGCTTCTCGGCCGATCCTCGTGGGGAATTTACCGTATCATACGGTTTAGACTGACTCGGACTCTCGCCGAGGCGGTATAAAAGGCTTGGGTCGCTGATATGAAGTCGGCGCGACTTTGCGTTTTATTTCTGTCTTCTTTAACGATACCCCGCAGGTCGGCTTGGATCTGTTGATCTCCTTTTGCTTTTCTTCTCACTGTAGTAGACGGTGACCTTTTTCTTTTCAACCGAATCTCTCATGCGACAAGTCCACAATATTTATTGACCCGTACCTTCAAACACACTCAAGATGAGCGACAAAATTCCGTCGTGGAATGTCGTCCACAAGCTGGAGAAGCGCTCGCTTCTCGTCGGGATCAACTGCGTCGCTGCGCTTTCCATCTTGTTCTTCGGTTACGATCAAGGAATGATGTCCGGTGTCAATAACGCAAAGGACTATATCGATCTTATGGGATTTGGATATACTAAAATGGTGGACGGCGAAGCGACACCAGTGGTTACGAATTCACTACTACAAGGTGGAATCGTGTCGGTATATTACCTCGGAACCCTGGTCGGTGGTTTATTTGGTGGATGGCTAGGAGATCGCATGGGAAGAATCAAGACTATTGGTGTCGGAGCTGCTTGGGCTATCGTGGGTGCGGCTTTGCAATGCTCGGCCATGAACCATAATTGGATGATCTGCGGTAAGGGGATGATGGCTGATGGCTTTGTACAATGAGCATCACTGACATGTGCAGCGCGTATGGTTAATGGTGTTGGAACCGGCATTTTGAACGCCATCGTTCCCGTCTGGGCCACCGAAACAGCGGAGCACACTTCGCGCGGTCAGTTCATTGCAATCGAGTTCACCCTGAACATCTTCGGTGTTGTCTTGGCCTATTGGCTCGAGTTGTACGTACCATTCTCTCACTATGCGATAACATCTAACACTCGACAGTGGCCTGTCTTTCATTGACAACGGAGAGTCTGCCTTCCGCTGGAGATTCCCTATCGCATTTCAAATTGTCTTCTTGCTCGCCCTTTTTGCGGCTGTCTGGTTCTTCCCCGAATCTCCTCGATGGCTCGTCAAGGTTGGTCGCGAGGACGAGGCTCGGTATATCCTGCAACGTCTGCGTGGATCTAGCGGAGAAGACCTCATCCGCGCCGAGGCTGAGTTCCAAGATATTCTGAGCATCGCCGAGTTGGAAAAGACGGTCGATCACGCGGATTCCTACTGGTCAATGCTTATTGGTTACAAATCTGGAGATCTCCATATTGGCCGCCGTGTGCAGCTAGTGATCTGGCTACAAATCATGCAAGAATGGGTTGGTATCGCAGGTGTTACGGTTTACGCCCCGACTATCTTCAGTATTGCTGGCTTTGACTCGACGAAGAGTCAGTGGATCAGTGGACTCAATAATGTCTTCTATATGGTATGTTTCCGCTTCTCACAAAAAGCAGGAACAGGGCTAATCTACGTCTTTAGTTTGCCACACTAGTGTGTGTCTTTACCATAGACCGCCTCGGTCGACGATGGACTCTATACTGGGGCTCGGTCGTCCAGGGAATTGCCATGTTCCTGGCGGGTGGATTCTCCCGACTGGCCATTGATGCCAAGGCTGCCGACAACATGGGCAAGGCATCATCCTATGGTGCTGCGGCTGCTTCAATGATCTTCATTTTCACCTCAACTTTTGGAGCCACGTGGTTGACAGTCCCATGGGTATACCCAGCCGAGATTTTCCCGTTGGCCGTTCGTGCCCGCGGAAACGCCTTCGGTGTTGTTGGATGGAGTATCGGAAACGGATGGCTGGTAAGTGAATACCATAATATTTTACCAGAATATTATACCAGAATTGTACTAATATACCGCTTTATAGACCCTTCTGTGCCCCGTCATGTTTAGTGCCATCAACGAAAAAACCCTTTACGTGTTCGCCGCTAGCAATGTAATCACTATCCCCATGGTGTGGGCGCTATACCCAGAGAGCAACCAGCGTACGCTTGAAGACATGGATTTGCTCTTCGCGGCAAAGACACCATGGGTTTGGGACGCTGAAAAGACATTTGCGCGCCTGAAGGCCGAGAACCCGGGTATGGTCCAGGCCCTTGGTCGCAAGGGCAGCGTGGTGGATCCAGAGACTGGAAAGCACCTTTCTATTGGTGCTGCTGCGGCTGTTGCGGCCTCTAAGGCTGGCGACGATGCTACAGGCGCGGAGCATGTTGATCATGCTTAGACGATCACTCTTAGACTTGCTAGAGTCGATTATGTGAATTATGGACGATTTATGTGTTAATATCCGTACAACCAAACATCTTCGGTTTCTATGTTTCGTGCAGGAGGGGCGGGGCCATAGGACTTCACAACAACATCAAGACCGAATTTGTCGTTAAAACTTTTAATACTGTGAGAGCATCAAGAAGTGCTTAGAATTGTCACAACCACTGAGTATATCTCATGCACCATATCTTGTCATGTGTTCCGTTGGATGTTGTAGACGATCAAGTTCATACTCGGGAGATGTTCTGATTGGTCACTTTGAGAGCAACAACCATCGACCGTTGTCAGCACCGAACTTCCGCAGGACCCTTTATCTTTTCAACTTGGACTCTCTCTATCTTTTCATAAACATTTCATGCAACACAAACAAGCATATTTCAAACCAAAGATACAATCACGCCGTAAGCCCAGGTCTCCTAAGACGCGTCGCATCACGTCGCACCCATCCAGATGATCTCAACTAATCAAGAACACAGCCAACAGCAGCCAAGGACAACCCCATACTCCAAAATCTAAGCGGGACCTTACATCCCCAAGTCCAAGGGCAAAACAAAGCAACCCCGACAAATTTGCACAAGTGGAAGCATGGCGCTCACTACAAAGCCGATGGCCACGGGCCCACCCGCAGCATCAACAAGCCCAACCCCAGAAAAAGCCCTGAAACCCTTAACCATAAATGAAGGAGAAGACAAGTCTCTCCAGCCCACCATCCAAATTAAAAAATATCTCCACCGCATATCTCTGCACCCTACACTAACACCCTACCGCCGGCGCGTTTATCGCACCTTGTTATCCGTCCCGCCAGGCCGCTGGACTACGTATTCGGCTATGGCGGCGTATCTGGGCTCCAGTGCGCGAGCGGTTGGCAATGCGATGCGCAGCAATCCATTTGCGCCGGAGGTGCCATGTCATCGGGTGCTTGCAGCGGATGGGTCCCTGGGTGGGTATAAGGGGGAGTGGAAGGTTGATGGACATAAGGCTGGTGGAGGGTTCTGCGAGGAGAAGATGTTGAGGCTTGAGGAGGAAGGTGTTACTTTTCTTGATGGAAAGGTTAGGGGTATTTGTTTTAAGGAGTTTGTGGATTTTGGGGTGAAGTGATTTGTGCTTCAATGATTTATGTTGATTTATTCTGGGTGTTTGCTGTGTATTCCAAGGTTTCGATAGGATGAATCATGCAATTATGAATGGATCTTGGAAACTTATGTACTTTGAATGTTTGGTCAATGTAAATTTGCACGGACACCTTTGTGATGTGTGAAATATATCATGGCAATTGGGCATCGAGTGTGACTCAAGTGTGACAATGAGACCTCGGGAGATTTCTAGCTGAATGCCCATAGAAAACCTCGACGACGATCGAGCAGACAAGCCACCTTCAACACCACATTTATACCCGGAAAGTCATCAAGTTTGAGTGATGAATATAATTCGACATTATGCGTAACTCAAGGGGAAGCCCTGACATAGGCTTATCGTAGAATACCTTACATGCTCCTATAGCAGTTCGGCTCCTATTGAATATATTAGATCATAAGTCCTTGTTCGCGAAATTTCAGTACATACGACCATAGGGTGTGGAAAACAGGGCTTCCCGTCCGCTCAGCCGTACTTAAGCCACATATTCAACGCAGTCAATAGTCAATGCGCCCTTAGTGCTTAAGCGGCACTCTAGGGTGAGTGTGGGTGATATGGGTGAGAAGTCTCGAGACTGGGGTGAGAGAGGTGAGAGCGGGGTGACAATTCTCACCCTTAGGGTGACAGGGGCTGATTCACTCTGAATCTATGCCCGTCAAAGACATAAATACAAGCCGCGAGGCCGTTCTCTTGCTCTGCCATGATCTTATTTACATTTCGTTGCCATTTAAACTATGTTCTCCGAAAAGAATCTCTAGAAAGCACTCTAGGAGCGTATCGCACGTGCCGTATCACGTGGATTCACACGTAAATATCAAAACGAGAAGGAAGAAGAGGATAACACTATCTGCTACCGTGAGCTAGCGCCTACTACGCTCGGCAAATACGGCTATGCAGTTGGCCATTAGGCTCTGTAAGGTTAACTCGTATTTTACCGATCTTAATCTCTGATTAGTAGCAGATAGAGGCTTTCCCGTAACGAGTCTATAGATTCGAATTTTCCTAACTCGCCTTTCCTAACTCCCTAACTTTTGAAACTTTTCGTAGAGTTTTGAATGGATTCTCCTGTGGCGATTGAGGTGAGGCAGTGTCCTCCTCAGCCATAGCGGGTCCTTGCATCGTTCGGGCTTTGGATAAAAAGGGAGTCTAGAGACCCCTACGGAAGTCTCATATTAAATTCTTATACTCGATGGTCACATGGATTTGACTCAAGAAATGCTTCATCTAGCCTGACAGATTTCTTGGCTATCCCAGAAATCAACGCACTCTCGTTCAAATTCAAAATTCTATATCTCTAGGGCTGTCTTCTTGCTTCTACCTAGTCTTTATATACCACTGGCAGCCATTGACCTTGCGGTACCAAGTCTGGCTCCGTGGCGATAACTTTGGCGTCCCTCTCGATCTCAATGCCTGCGTTCTGTCAGTATTTAAAAGGTTTCAACTCAAAAAAATCAGCTTCAATATACCTTTGATCTTCCATCCATCAAATTCGCCGATAACCTCATCATCCTCTTCGACATGACCCCCATTGTCTCGCTTGGAGTTGGTCTGACCTGACGTGGATCCAGTAAACTGAACGTTACATTCGACCCAGACTGCAATATTACCATACACTGATCAAACTGTTAGCCGATATCGTTTGAGATCTCGAGCACGTTGTTGGGCTTACCGGCATTTTGCTTGTAGTCGGACAAGCAGATCCCGTTACGTCCATCAATCCTGTACCGGGTATCCTGATTAAAGGTATTGACTGCACACGCGACCTGGGTAGCATCGGTGCCTTTGACATTTGCTCCATCGGAGTATGAAGACAATGATTGTAAGCCCCAGGCTGCACCATCTGTGGGACCAGAGGGATCTGCGAGGGAAAGAGTGAAGTTGCGTTTATGAAGGTAGCCCCCATGGCCGCTTTCATAATCCTGATTGAAGCGTTAGAAGAGCAAGAAGTAGGGGAGAGAGCAAAGAGTTCGTTAATTCGAGATTCAGGCTTTGGAAAGAACTCACGGCCTTTGAGATGCCATAGGCTTGAGGTATATATGAATCGTAATGTGCCAGGCCTTGCCAGTCAGCGGTCAAATCCAGCCACTCGGCATTGGAGCCCACCCCTCCACTCCCCCAAAGTTGCCAATTGGCATCCCCGGTTGCGTTGACATTAGCATTTATACCAGACAGAAGTTCTGGTTTTGATGATCTAATTAGCGAATCGGAATTTCAAACGGGTAAAGCTCGAAATTACTCACTATGGCAGTTCCCTTGGAGCGTTTGTTGGTATACTGGCACGCACTTCACACCCTGCGACGTTGGATTTACCGGTAACTTTGGGAAGAAGTTCCCCCCTTCTTCCGAAGAGGCAATTGGAAATTCATCACAGCTCACGATCTTTGTTGTGGATGGCAAGTTGAGAGCACCAGCAATCACTTGGTTCTCAGTGCTGCAGTATCCGCCGTTTCCTTGCGCGTTCTTCAATGCGGGGCATGCAACATTACGACGGCTAGTTTGTCGTGATGTGTCGGGATCCCATGTGAGTGTGATTCCTGTGCTGGCACTTGTACCACGATTTTGGAAGAAGCCATTAACGTTGGTACAGATTCCGGGAACGATCCTCGAGTTCCCATAGCCGTCATTGACTTGTCGATCGGGGAAGAACAGGCAGTTGTCTAGATAGAAGATTCGAGTGTTAACGGGTCCTGGTTGTCGTTTGTTTGCTCAATCGAGGCTTGCTTCATGGGATACGTGACTTACAGCGCAACTCAGGCAGGATCCAAGAACATGCTGGCAAATTTTTTGGGTTGCTACTCCCTGGGGTGGCACAGTCATTCGCGGGACAAGTGAGAGCGCTTGATGAGCTGAAGTTGGGGTCATCATCGTCAACATCCATCATGTCGACATCACTGTCATCATCGCGTTTGCGGAGAGATTTGCCTGTTCCATTCACGAATTGGGGTGCGGATCCCCAAAGCAAGTCGCGATTGGTGTCGAATCCTATCTTGCGACCCACGCCCTGGATTCTAGATGGCTCGGTCACCACATCGACTCCTTCGAATATAGGAGATTCATGCAAGGATAGACTTCTTTTGGTCGATATACTTGTTGAAGATGAACCAACATCCCCATTCGAGTAAAGAGTGATTAACTTTGGACTTCTGAACAGTGTCCGGGCTGTCATATACCATTCATAGAATGGAATTGTGGCATGACCACCATATCCAAGATTATACAGGAGATACACGCCATAGTTGTATGTATAAGTAGCACTCACGGTGGAGGAGTCGCCCGAGACGGATGCCCCCGAATCAGCGTGGAATCTCAGTGTAGTATTCACAAAGCCAACCATTTGGGCATCGACCAGGGTAACGCCTCCGATGAGAGATGAGCCACCAATGGTGATGCCAATGTTAGCCTCGGGTGTAACCATGACATCTAAATCGGCGCTAGCCTGAACTGACGCCTGGAATGACGGCTCAAGTCCAGATGCCACGGGCTCAGGGTCACCAACGAGATCGTTGATCTTGCTGTAATCAGTGCTGTCATCGCCTTCAGGCCAATAAACTTCTGACTTCTCAAAGGTATACTTGGCACCAACGGACATCTTGCCGCTCAGTTGTACAACACCACTGATTTGTCCATAGATGTCAAGGGTGGGCCCAACGGCTGCTATACCCTTGATTGCCAGGCCAGGGTAGGAAAGGGTTGGAATGAGCTGCTTTCGCTCGGACTTATAGTCCATACGAGCGGTGCCTTCAACTGTTAAGCCCATATACACACTCGGCTGCATGCCAAAGTATGCATATGTGCCATCCAGAGACGGAGGGACCAGAGTACCGGAGAGGTAGTAGGCGTATGTGCTGTCCATACCGATTTCAGAATCCAGGTAGACGTTCAATTGGGCGTTCGCCTTTGGGCATCCCGTGGAGGCGCTGAAGAGGAGAAGACTGCTCTTCCAAAATTGGGACAGATACCCAACGCTGCTGCTCTCAACGGTGTTCATCTTGTTTAGCCAGTTCTTGAAGCTACCAAACCACCTTTTTTGGAGCTTGTGAGGTTCTCGGTCACCGGCGCGCTCAAATGTAGTATTGGAGGTCATGATGTCCGCTTGTCGCTTGCGAAGAGCCTCATGCGAGGTTTTGGCCCAATTAACCTTACCGCGCCACTCACGGTAGGATATGTGCTCGTCGCGGACCGAAGTAGTAGAGCGCTTCTTCCGGCGAGTGGCAGGAGTATCTGTAACGTCTTCCCAATAATCAAGCAGGTTGGTGTAATCCACACGCATGTTGATAGCACCTGAGTCACGTTTGATTGCTTGAAAATTGTAGTCAATTTTGATCTTGTAGACAGGATTCTCATTCTCTTCCGCAATCCGCTTGACCAAATGATGCCGAGGAAGGTCGTATGAGCTATGGGCTCGCTGTATTGAAACGAGACGAGCAAATGGGCCTTCGCCAACGTGTTCTGGCAGATGGATTATCGTGTCTTCAGCACCGTCGAAGAATAAATTGTCGCATTTCAACGAGCCAGTGGGCAGTTTGCAAAAGATATGATGCGTTTCCTCGACATGATCGAAATTGGTATCCAAGCGGGTGCGGTTCGTGGTGAACAAGGAGCGTTTGGTTTTGGGAACTTCCTCGCTCCGACGAGCGAATTCATATGTCGAGGCAAATGAACTGTCAATCGAGCCTGCAGGGCCATCTAGCATCACAAATCCATATGGATCATCCCCATCATCGTCGCCGGGAGAGCTCTGTTTGTTGTTGTTGCCGTAGTTGTCGACGTAAGCCCATTCCACGTCGTCCCCAGTGTCTTCGTAGTAGTTATCCCAGAGATACTTGGGGTCAACCGGCCATTTCTCACTGTTTGCCTGCGGTGGGTCGCAGCAGTATGGCCAATTGGGATTTTCCCCAGCAGGAGGGGTGTAAGCAGTACAATCATCATCCGATTGCAAGCCACCGCCGTAATATGGCTCGCTAGGATCAAGCGCGGTGGTATACTGCACTTTGGTGGAGTCACAGGCAGAGGGATAGCAGAGATATTCCGATGTATGAGGTAGCGTCTCGAATGGCCAAGAGCAATTAGACGGCACATCATCACTTGGACAACAGTATGCCTGAGCGTAGAGAATCTCTAGATCGTCATCATCGTCCGAGGAGCATAAACTGCCATCTCCATCGTCAAAACGGGTGGTCATATAGGTGCTACCACTGGGGCAACTCGGCTTGTCCTGAGTGGATGCAAGCTTCTGGCATGAAGTCCACTTGCATTGATTGATTGACTCGGCGCCATCGCAGCACAAGGCGCGGTCTCCTTGGTAACATGGTTCCTCACCCGAGGCGTCAACGTATGAATCGACGTTAAGCTGGAACTGATCGCTTCCGCACTTGCCACTGCAGCCAACTTCACTGCGTACCGGGGCGCCGGTCCATTCGCAATTCTTCGGCATGGCATCTGTGGGACAGCAAATATGACGGTAGAATCCGCTATCACAAGTGTCGGTAATGTAGTATCCGAGCTTTTGTTGAGGGGCGTGTGCAGTGGCAACGGAGGAGAAACCAGTGGGACACACATAATCCGGATCGTTCTTATGGGAGCCTGAACCATCGGTACAGAATTGAGTGACATAGCAATTTTGCCCGGTGTATGCAGCTATTTGACTCGTCAACTCCTTCTTTTGGCTGGTCGAGAGATCACCTCCCTCCATAAGTGAGCCAGACAGCGCATCCTCGCCCAGGAGCGCTCCCAGAGCCCTGTGCATTCCATCATCCTGATCGAGAGCCCATATCATGACACCAGAGATGCACTTTCCTGTCAGGTATCTCAGTTTGTCCTGCCACGACTGCGCATCATCGTAGGATATCCATTGATTGCCGTTGTAAACATTATACTTGACCGTTGAAACTGGGTCATAGTAAGTTTGGACGTCACTGGAGCTGTTGCTGGACTCAATCTCTGAAGCCTTTCGTAAGTATTGTGAACAAAAGAGACGAAGCAGATGGGTAAATTCACCTGAATAATACAGAATGCCAGCAGCTTGTGAGCATGGTCCAGCACCTCCAACTTCAGAAAATTTGCAGTCCGCTGTATGGCAGTCTTTGTCGACCATCGTAAAGCTTCGACCGTAGAATCCCATTCCCATAACCACTTTCTTTGGATCAATGTTGTTACGCCACAACAAGTCCATCCCTACATCGATCTCCGTGAGGTTGGTATGGCCTCGCAGATAGGACCCTGTATACTTGTTATCCTGGTCCCACATGCCGTGCAGATCGTAACTCATCATGTTGAAGAACGAGATGTACTTTTGCATCGATGCGAGGCTGAAATTTTGCATGTACCAGTAGCTGGATGGAAGAGTGCAGGTGATCTCCCAGCCGGGATTCACAGCATCGAAAGCCTCTCTCATTTCAGCGAGCAATACAACGAAGTTGTCCGTATCGTCAGCAGTGCCACCGCGATCTGTTGCTGCTGGATATTCCCAGTCTGTGGAGTCCCCCATGTAAGAACACTGAACACAGAGAAAAAGGCAATTGCAGTGGGAAGCTCACCTATTTCAACACCGTCCAGACCATACTTTTGCAAGTACGACATGAGAGAGCTAATGAAAGTTTGCCGATTCACATATGAACTTGCCATTGTTGAGAAATAAGTTGACGAAGGTGGATCGTTAAAATTCCAGCCCCCAATGGCGACGTTGACTCTCAACCCAGCATAAGTTGTTTTGAGCCGAGTCACTCGGGTCACAATGTCACCGTACTCATCAATCATTTTCCAATCGTCTCCAAATTGGACAAATGCCAAGTTGATGTGAGTAAGAGCACCGGCAGGGATACTCTCCGGTTGTAGAGTGCCACATGGTCGGCTAAATTGAAACAGCTCGTAATAGGCAACCACTCTTTCAAGTGAGCTGCTATTGCTAGAGCTCGTACATGATGGCTCACTAATATGGTAGAAGGAAGCGAATTAGTAACTGATTTTGTTAACGGCATTGGACATATATCCATGAATATATTTTTGAAATATTTGAACAGACAACTCACTCCACCAATTCGCAGCCGTTCTGGCAACCAGCACCGCAGAAGTCACTTGTTGAGCCACAGAAGCCAAATTCGCTACAGCAAACACCAAGAGGGCAACTGGTGACATTTCCGTATTTGCCACACTCGGCCTTTGCATTACAGTTGTTTAGACAGCCATCGCCGCAATGGTCATCGTCAAAGCCGCAGCTATGAAATAATATCAGTATGGTTGGCCATTATGTGATTGAAAGCTGGGTGTAGGTGTATTATCTTACCTTCCAAATTGACTGCAGCATCCTTCCAAGCAGGGGTTTAGTTCCGAACAAGTGGCACCTTGCTGCGCTTTCGCAAAAAGAATGATTGAGGAAATCAATAACAAAAGAGTGTGTGACCTGAGGAACCTCATCATGCCAAAATCCGTCTCGTGAGAGCTGTAGGACTCGGCGAAGTTCGATATCTCAGCTACTTGTAGAATTGATGAGAGGATCGACACATCACCTTCGTGGACCAAAGGACTATGAAGACGATTTATGTCACACGAACGGATTTCTTTTATCTAGCTTTGCGCTTTCGCAACTCGAGTCCGGTGCATCCTCGGTTGCAGTTGGGGCACGGTACGAGCGCTAGTGACTAGCTTCCAATTGATCTTATAACAACCACTACCTATAACAGGAACTCGGAGAACATCCTAGCGTGTTTCAAAGATTTAGTCTGGTACCTAGTTTGGGCACTGTACGAGCGCTAGTGACTAGCTTCCACTTGGTCTTATAAAAATCACTACCTATAAAAGGAACTCGGAGAACATTCTAGCGTGTTTCAAAGATTTAGTTCAGTACCTAGGTATGACAACAGAAAATCAGGGGCCAGATTCGATATTCAAGATAAGGAGTTGATATATGAGTGGATTTTACACACATTCCTTAGTGCAAACGCATACACTGAGCTAAACTAGTTGTATTTGAGGCTATGGTACTCCACCGAGGCAAAAGTCGCTACCCGGAACTTTCTCCATTATTCTCGTAGGGGGGACCCAGGGGCGCACCCCATTCATAGGATTGGCCAATGTGAGCATTGGCCCAACACGAAAATTCGTTCAGCATGGCATCGGAAACATTGGCAATGTCCGATGCATCCTCTAGCGGCTCGCGAGAGTAACGGATTGCCCGTCCACACTGGTCGAACCACAGCACAAGAACAGTTCCTGCGTCGGAGCCTTCGGAAGCAAGGGTCGTAGCATCAACGATATGGATGCGTCCTGCGACTAGTCGCATGTGGTAGTCTGAATAAAATTCCGACCACGGATTTTCATCCTCCTCCGGATCGTAGCCGCTTTCTTCCGCAGCCTGAGGGTCAAGGCTTGCGGCCTCGATTCCATCTAGTAGGGCCTCTTGGACATACTCTTCGTATTCTTCGGTAGGGCAAGTACAGTCGAGCAGCTGTGGCAGACGAAGAAAAATCTTCTCCCAGTTGGAATTGAAGTTATACAAGGATGAATCGTTGCAAATTGCAGGCCGACCGAACTTGCCTTCAATGTGACGTTGAACCTCAGCCCAAGAGTCCTCGGAGAAAGGCTCATAGCAGGTTCGGAGCCAATACGTTCCGTCCACCAACTGGCGCTCAAAGCTCGGTTGGCGAACGCGGTTCAATAGCTCTTGACTGTGGGATGGAAGTCCCTGTACAGACCTACCCTTTAGTCTTCGCTGCTGCTCCCGATATGGCTATTCCGATGGGTTAGCTTTCCCAATGGAGTCACAGCGGGCCAAAATCAAAATACCTGACGGCCACGGACTCCGAGTGTCACGTATTTAGCGAGAATTTCTTCACGTTGGGCATCGATAGATAGCGACGAGTCTTCCTGCCATTGCTCCTTGGATGTTGTTAGAGGATGCCTATACCTTAGAGCGCTGACCATATGGATTTACCAGGAGGAACAAATCAGCCTGCCAGGCTCGGAACGCAGACATATTGCAAAATAGCCTCACCACGGATGATAGTGGGACAGAATGCGAGTGAAACGAGAGATTTTCGGTACTTAAGATCGGATAATTTCTTGGCAGAGGCTTGAGTCGGGGGCCAAGCGATGCCGGGTGGAGAATGTCTCAGAGCACCCGCTTACCCGTGGGGCATCTGCAACCGAGGAGATCCAGCTCAAAAGTAGGAGACTCCAATGGACCACCGGGAAAACAGCCGAGAGAAGAAAAAATTGAGGACAAGAAAGGGAGTGTCCAATCACGACTTAGTTTCAGGGATCAGTTTTTGCATGTTTTGCATGCATTCCTGCAGGTACCCCTCTTGTAGCTTGCTCTTCTCCTTACATGTACTTTTCTCAACCCTTCAATACAACTTTCAAAGTACAGATCGAAGTATCGATTATCTGATCAATGTAATCCTTCAGCATATCGCTGAAGAATGAGCCGCTAGCTCCGAGTACTTGTGCAAATAAAGGTCTGTCTCGCGCTAGTGGCGTGGACCCCTACACTTGTGACCGCAGCATTTCTAGCGTGTTACAGTACGGACTAAGATTGATTTCATGGACTATTTCGTATTATACTCGTACTCCGACGCTCGTTCAACCCAAGGAACTTTGCAGTAGGAAAGATTACAAAAAAGCCAGCTATTAATGTCTTGCCTTGCTTGTCTGTATTTATTTTCAACGCGACCATTGTCCGATCAACCCTAATTCCATCCATTTGATTCTGCTCGGGAAGATGGCTGTCCATGCCAGATCGATCTCGGCTCTGGGATCGGTGGCGGTTGCTTTACTTCTGGCCGTCGACACTACTGCGCTCCAGTTGTTCAACGCGACTCCATCCGGCATTCCCTCAGCTTGCGGTGATGCCTTGGTGACAAACATCACGTGCGATCAGCTCTATTCAGTCTCCGCTGTCTCGAACCAACAGTTCATTGGGAGCAAAACGCTTGAAGCGATTTGTGTATCAAATTGTAGAGACTCACTCTATGACTACCACGACCAGGTGGAGAGTGCCTGTGGAACCGAAGTATATGATTTTGCCGGCGTCAACCAAACTGTACAAAACTTTTTGGATCCCCTCACTTGGGCTTTCAATGTTTCCTGTCTCACAAATGGCGATGAATACTGTTATTCAGACATCACCAACCGCAATACCAGCATTGAGCCTTGCTCTGATTGCTTCCTACAATACGAGGCTGCCATGCTAGGCTCCGCGTATGGCAGGCAACGTGTTGATCCAGCATCTTTCTCTTCTCTTCTTTCTTCCTGCAGTGTGCCACCCTCGAGCTATCCCTACTCTACACTAACAAGCACCAGTAGTCCAACATCTTTATCTGCTACCAGCTCGCCTACCACAACTTGCACTGGGACCACTTATACTGTGAAACAGGGTGACAGCTGTGACACCATCGCGGCAGCTCATGACGTTGCTACGGGAAAATTCATCACGGAGAATCATTTCGATGCAAATTGTACCGCTATGAGCGTGGGAGACGATGTCTGCATCGGGACAAGCTGTTCATTATACCAAGTCCAGCCGGGCGATACCTGCAGCTCCATTCTTGCCAACTATACCTTCTACATGAATCAGCTTTTATCTTGGAACCCGTAAGTATAGCCCCGCACGCTTCAAATTGGGTTAAATTTGAACGTTACTGCGTTTCAAGTCTCTCATTTCGTGTGCTTACTTAACATACTAAACACTTTTACAGAACGATTCATACCAACTGCGACAATCTCGATACTATGGTGGGAGATCAAATCTGCGTTGGGTAAGTCAATAGGAGCACTGAATGGGAAAGGACGTGGTCAGCTGACCCTCATAGACCTCCTGGTGAAGAAGACTGGAACGTTACCACAACTAATTTCACCACCGTTTGGAACGTGTAAGTCAAACTATCTGCTCCATTTTTAGACTGTATCTGATAGCCTGGTAGTACGTTTGTTCTCCCAACAACCGCTTTCACAACCCTCCCTGCCCAGACCGGAGCCCCAAACTATACCACAAGTTGGTTTGTGACCACCAGCACGATCTCAAACTACACCCAGACAGCTACTGCCTTATCTTCATCTGTTGTCAGCTCCTACAATGATCTTACAACATACTGTCCAATCTCCTTCAATGATGCCATGTCAGGTTGGGATATAACCTCTTTGCCAGACGATTGCTACGCCGGCCTTTTGAAATACTGCGAGCCCTCATTAAATGCGACAATGCCCGCTAGTACCAAGTTCCCTAATACATGCTCACCCGCTTACTACCAGGCGACTGCTTCCAGCACAACAGCCACTTCGACTAAATCCTCTCCACCTACTCAGTCTGGTATTGCAAATAATTGTGAGTTCCATGGCTTTCACTTGCCCCTTGTATAACTGGACTTTTATTCTTCTCTTTTCCCTCTTTCCCTTCAGTTCTCTCCCAAATAAAATGCTGAATTTTCTTCCAGGTGATGCCCTGTATGTGGTCAAAACAAATGATACCTGCGCAAGCATTGTGAAGGTTTACGGGAACTTTACCTTGACCCAGTTTTACACCTGGAATCCAGCCGTCGGTACATCCTGCAAATACCTCGATGCTGGTAAGTGAAAGTTCTTCAATGTCATCTTCCTAGAAAGGACCCCTCATTTACACTCGCATAGGGGATGCCGTCTGTGTCGGAGTTCCAAGTACAAGTGCTACGCCAACATCAAGCGGCGCGACCAGCACCGCAACCAGCACCAAACCCTCACCTGTTATGCCTAGCACCGCTGCCGACTGCACCAAATATTATTACGTTGTTGAAAACGACAGCTGTGAATCCATCGAGACAGCCCACGATATCACAGCCGCCGAGGTACTTTGGCTAAAAATAAGCCCAATAATAGGACACCGTCAGCTGACAAGGTAATAGTTCTCTAAATGGAATCCTTACGTGTCAAATGGGACCGACTGCCAACATCTCTGGCTGGATACCTACGTCTGTGTTGATGCTCCAGATTCGAGCAGCAGTACAGCAACAACCTCCATCGCAAACACTGCGACCCAGACTGTGACAAGTACCAGCACCATTCCCTCACCTGTCATGCCGAGCACAGTCGCCGACTGCACCAAGTATCATTACGTTGTCACGGACGACACCTGTGAATCTATCGAAGGAGCCAACGATATTACAGCTGCTCAGGTACGTTACCACGAGGAAGCGGAGTTACAGGAAAGCTGACCCAAAAAGTTCTCCACTTGGAATCCCTATGTTGCGGATGGCACCGACTGCCAGAATCTCTGGCTAGATACTTATGTGTGTGTCGATGCTCCGGATCAGAGCAGTGCAACCACGGCCTCGGTCACGACTACGACCCATACTGCTTCAAGCACCACGCCCTCCCCTCTCATCCCGAGCACCGACGCAGATTGTGCCAAGTTCCACTACGTGGTTGCTGACGAGGACTGTGAGTCCATTGAATCCGAGTATAGCATCACTGCGGCTCAGGTGAGTTTCTTTACTTTTCATCCTTTGAAAAAAGGTATGAGAACTGACTGCGTAAGTTTAACACGTGGAATCCCTATGTTGGAAGCGACTGTGCGGGTCTTTGGCTCAACTATTATGTTTGCGTGGGCGTTTAAAAGGGTATTACTACCGCCCGTGTCATTAGGACCTCGGGAGTTGATATTCGTGATTTTTGGCATCTCTGGTTGTCCGCTTAATATCCTTAGATTTCCTACATATTGTGATTGCGTTGTCGACAACCTTGAAACTTTGAGTCTTAAACTTTTCCGTAGTCCGAACAGTCCCACCGAACAATCAATTACGGTCAAAAACAGAGCGATGGACCAGGGCTATTTTATTCGCTCCCCTCTCTAGCTTTGCAATATTCATGCATCCCACTTGCGAAGTCTTTCTCTACATCTATTTCAATACCCCTGGGTATCTTCTTCGCTTCGAAGGTATCAGATAAGCCAGAGTTCAATCAGTTTGTGAAATTCTTGAATGCAGGGGTCGTAGGGACAGTGCTTTGGATGCTTCTAGTTGTAGTCAAGTGCATATGCCAAGATTCCGAGTGTTTCAAGGAGAACAGTGCTATCCAATGATATTCCTGCCGTTGTAAAACTTAGAGAGGTCAGTGCAGTGGTCGCGCGACTTGGGTGATTTCTCACCCAGATTCTCACCCTGTCTATAGCGCACTCACCCTTGTCACCCCCGGTCGCGCGACCGTAAAGCGGCGCTCGCCTATTTCTCACCCGGGCGACACCCACCGAACTATTGACCGCGTTTAAGCCACACGCCGGTGAGTTAGTAGTTGGGTGGGTGACCACCAGCGAATCCTCACTGTTGTATGTTTTTTTACTTTTTGGGAAGATGTCTAGCACTGTGGTGCAGAGTTGTAGAGCGCCTTCAGTGGTCACCTTTGGATAACGGTGTTGTGAAGTGGTTTCGCTAGTCACATTTTCGAGCCGCTCGATTTTATCATATAGATCTAGCCCGGCGGTGTTTCCCCAGGCATTTCGGTCCCTCAGAGTAGTGGACTTGCTCCGAGTTGAAGGTGTCTTTCATAGCCGAGAGAGGCTGTTTCGGGCCAATCCCAAAGAGGTTGAAGTTGGTGTCGTGCCATTCAAGTTAGTGAACAGTATAGTTACTTGTATCAATCTAGGGAGCTCTTCTCCTCTCTCTTTCCTTACTTTCCCTATCTTTAGTATTTCGTTAAATAGGACTATATCTTTTTGATTTAACTTACCGTATTATATAATACTAAAGAGTATTCTTCACTTACTTTCTTAACTATTAGCTATATAAACGCGTATATCCGTACCGCATTCTTAGCACTAGTTAACTACTAATTACGATCGAACCCGAACCCGAACCCGAACCGAATCACCATATTAGCCGAACTAATTATTAGGACCCTAGTACTAAGAAGGTCTAATTATACATGTCTCGCAGTCTATATGAGACTGCGAGGTAGAGGTACTTAGGAGTAGATGAGACTAGGATATGGGACCAGAATAATTTTAGTCCCATGGGAGTTGGTAAGGTCTACTCCTTCTTCCTTCCCTATGTTTAGAATTCTCGTTCAAATGCACTCTTTTCATCATTAAGAGTTGGCTCGTAATAACAGGTACCATAGGAGCTTTAGTTACTACTTACTTCTGGGAGCAATCGAAAGCGTGCCTGGCAGTCAGTAGACCTTAGGATCATTTTCGACCCCCGGACCCATGGCATGGCTCCTAGGCATGCTCTTACTCGCTTCTAGGAGCCAAATCAAAAGTAGGAAGGCACAGTTACTATGTAATAGAGCGAGCTCAAGAAGGGAACACCTCTGAGAGAACGATTATCAAAACATGAGCTATATCTGGAGTTCCACGCCTCCCCACGCTGTAGTCCAGTCACTAGGAAGCGAGACAATGAAACGAGGAAGGATACACTAGTTAAAATGAAACTCCCACGCAGGCAGCATATCCAAGACACAGTGATGCGCAACTGGTTCCAACGCTCGGATTCAATGTGTAGAAGTCGCTCAGTATGATGTCATATTGATCGGCAATGGCTTGGCAACCATCGCCAGACACCACAGTATGCCATTTGTTGCAGTTAGAAGCCTCATTCGGCATGACCTCTGCTGGCGGAGTGGCGATTGTGCTGATGGTGGAGGTAGACGTTGATGTTGTCGAGGTTGTGGAAGTCGGAACTGCGGTGGAGTTCCTTTCAACACATATTTGTTTGAATCCATCGCTGGAGAGTGCGTTCCAGACACCTGTATCACAATCACTACCTATCCAAGGATTAAGCGAGGTGACGGTTGTGACAGAGACATTGAAAAGAGATGAAAATATCGTGCAGTTGAAAGCACCTAGGGCGAGTAAGCCAGCAACCTTGATCTGATTTTCTTTTTTTTTGACAGTATATGTCGTCTGGAAACCTACTCTTATCGGCAGCGCGGAGCTGGATATAGCAATTGCAATCAGATGGCTGAACACTGGTTGATGGAATTAGACTGCTATTTGCGGCAAAGCAATAGTCGTATGGCAGATCTTGGGAAGCTAGGAAGGCGTTAGCGCTGTTTGAAGCGACAGCAGGACTAGGGGTAAGACTTGCTAGTTGTTTCCCCAGAAACACTGCAGTAACTATACCCAGGCGTGAAGGTACAGTCACTGGCCGATAAGCTGGGATTCCAGTCAAGAAGATCATCGACGGTGACCTTTGCGATGCTGGCCAAGATATCGCATTGATTTAGGGTTGTCGCATTCGCGGTAGTCGAACTGAAAGCGTTGTTATAAATCTCGCACTCTCCGATAGTACCAGGTGCAGTGGGCTCGAGAGTAGCCGTGGCAGCAGGGGTCGGGGTGTATGTTGTCGAGGCAGGCTTCGTGAAAGTGTATGCTGCAGTGGAGGTGACATATCCGTATAACTAGCGATATTTCCTACTGCTTCAACACAGTATGACGTGTCCAGCCATAGGTTTGTGCAGTTTGAATCTACCTGTGGATTGAGGAAATAGAAGTCACTCAAAGAAATGGCATACTTGAGTGAGACCGTCGAACAGTCCTCTCCAGATAGAACCTAGCGAAGTATTAGGGCAATTGAAAGTAGTCCAGGCTGACTGTCATCACACACCTCATGCCATTCCGCACAATTAGTGTTGGATAGAGATTGGGCATCAATAGGCACTGCTACAGCAGTGGTTGCACTGGAGCCCTCGCTCAAAATAGCTGTACCGGTAGGCGAGCTGCGTTCAAATCAGTACTGAGATATCAAGAGCACGCCGAATTTGGGCAGACTCCCTTACCTGGCTTAAAGAAACCAGCCTCTCCAGGATGCCAAATTTGAACATCCTGTGTTAATATTCGGTTTTCAGGCCAATAATTGAGCAAATGTTATGTTGAGATCGCTTACTAGCGAGCATATTAGCTTTTGACAAATGCGTACCAATCAATCAATGAATCAATCAATCAATCAAAGTTCAATTAACCTGTTGCAGTCTAACTAGTCGCGTATGACTATGCAGGCGCTTCCTCCAGCGGAGGCAAGAACTCGTAGCCAAACGCCAGAGCTAGGGTATTTTCCAAAGAGGAAACACATGCTGATTTGAAAAGAGTGCGGAAATCAGTCCATTTCCTTCCTACCAGCCTATAGAACAAATCCTATCCTAATATGTATGGAATCCTAAAATGATCGTCATAGGGTGCACCGTCTATCTTCCATCCTCTATCACTCCCTCACATCGCCATCCCCCTCCTCCCCTTGCCTCCGTTTCATTTCGTGTTATGTTATTTACTGACCATTTTATCAGTGTAGTATGTTTGTCGACTGTTACCGGGCCTCTCGACACCCGGTTTCGTATACTTCGTTGTGATTTAGTGTAAGAAGATTACTAGGTCAGGGGTGACCAGCCTGTTAATCCGAATACGTTAGTACAGAACCTACATTTACTCATTCAGACACGAGTCATGTAGTTGTCCTAGCTTGTGCAGCTAAGCGTCTAGGGAGAGCTTGGCGGATCAACAGTCATAAAAGAGGAAAAGGCAAAAAAGTGGTCGAGTCAGTGAAATACATGGAAGACGAAGAAAATGGAAAAATCATCCCGAACACACTAAGTATGGTTTATATTGAGATATCGTAATCTTGACCGTACATCCACCGCATTCCACATTGAATCCATGTAGTCAAAGGCGCCTATCTAGAATCTAGAACATGAAATCAAAAGCCCAAAAGCCGAAGCAAGGATAAAGCGAGGAAGTGAACTTCTATACAGGACCGATCCATTACCGGACTGCGGTCTAAACCACCAAAAAGAAAACAACAAAAAATATGAGAAACAAAGATAAGAAGCAAATAATGTGAAGTCGTAATATCGTCAAGGAGTTACTGTCGGCAAAATATGCCGCAAGACAATCATGAGATGTGCTTCGCGGATCGCTTGCAAGAGCCCCGCTTGGGCACATCCATGTGGTGGTATGAGCGCAGGTGCTCGACAAGGTGATCCTGTCGCGGGAAGCCATTCTTCCCCTTGCGTGAGCAGTGCTCAACAGGGCAGTTCCGGAAAACGGGGTAGTGGACGCTAGACTGGTGGCGTTTCAAGTCGGCAAAACGAGTGAATGACTTTCCGCAGTTATCGCACCCGAAGGGCTTAGGCCTGAAGGACTTGTTAGCTTAGTTCATTGGTATTTGTGTTTGCTGGTGATACTTACTTTAATGAAGATGTAGGCGCTGGCGAGTCGGATCCTGAGTCGTATGCGCTGGTGGGGTATGGGGGCAGGGAGATCTCCTCGGCGGGGAAGTTGAAATTGCTATTGTAGCTACTGCTGTAGCTGCTTCCGCAGCTGCTAGGTGGTGCGCTTGGTGGAATCATGCGCTGGGGGAAGATTGGGTATTCCTGCGGCGAGGTGTAGGTGTATGGAGAGCTGGTGAGGCCGTATACCTCTGGGTTGGCCTCTGGCATGGGGAATGGACTGGTTGTTTCTAGGTCGTACAGAGAGTCGTAGACAGGCTGGCTACCGTAGAAGAAAAAATCCATTCCTCCTGGTGAGGAAGAGTAGGACGAATAGCAGTCTGAATAGCCGAATTGAGACTGCATATCGATCGAGGTAGATGAGAGGGAACGGTGGGATGTCCCTGTAGGAATTGGAATCGCAGTCTTATACAAGAGAAAGAGACCAAGTTAGTTGTTTATTCTAGAGCGGGACTAATGCAATGTTAATGTTACGTACCATCGTGAGAGAATCCTTCATGTAATTATTGAAATCTTAAGTTCGGATTGGGGGCCGAATAATGATCAACAGGATTCATTAAGTGTAAATAAATTCTAAAAACGTACCCTGGGGTGCCTTTTATGTTTCTCACCGTGAAACTCAAGCATGACCGGAAGCCCGACAAAGGTGTTGGCCGACACGGGACAACCCATCTATTGCGGGCCCTTGTGAATGGCTGTGAGCTGCATTTCTAGAAGCCTTCTCGAAGGAGAGTGGTCCAAAACACACAGCCTCCCCGCCTCCTCGCATTTGCGGGAATTTGTATGCAAGCGGATCCTCGAGTAGTGCTTACGGGGAAGATTCCACGGCCCTTCTAGCGTCTTTTTTTTGTGTATCCTGGTTTATTTGGAGGATTATGATTGGAGGTGGATTCTGATGATAACCTCAGAGGAGCCAATACTTGCTCTCGATAAGCACAAGCGGTCAAAATACGTACAATCTTTGTACAAACAGAGTTCCCCTCAGACGATCTCCTCCTGATTGGTGACTAGTGTTTTCTGTGTGTTTTCTAGCGTCGTTCTAGTCTTTCCAGTGCTTCTGCCAAGGACCTTGTGACGGAATCTTTTCCAAGATTTGTTTGCTTTCGTCATAGTTTGCTTAGGACAAACATAAAACACAGATATGAAACGAAATGTGATATGAATGATTCCAGGTGACATCGAGGTGAGGTCGAGGTCGAAGTCCAATTTGACTTCGAGTCCGAGTACACCTACTCGCTTGTATAGTTGCACAAATGTATAATAACTACATGTATGTAATGCCCAGACTTTCTAACAAACCCAACAAAAACCCACGTTGACGTATCCCAAATCGGCACAATCATGCCGAGTCAGAGACTAATCAGCCTTGCGAACCTGAAAATCTGAAATCTTTCCAGTCTGGGGTCGTAGATCGACCGATGATGTATAGCCCGGTCGCGCACAGCCCCTTACTATAGTACTAGTGTCATTTATCCCAGTCCTTCTAGAATGGAAAAATCCCGCACACTTAGTGCTTCTACTGCATATTAGTGTTTGCCAAGCGGCTGAAAGAGACTTCGTTTCTGTACCTAGTTCGTAGTGCGTCGTACTTGCTCTTGGTACTGAATTTGCTGTGACGTTGTCCACACAAGTGAGGCGATTCGTCACATGCCTTGTCCTGAATCGCTGTAGGTTCCTCTTTTTGTGTTCTATTATATTAACTTGAATACTTGGTATGCTTCATTTCCGCGGGGACTTGCTTCCGCGCTGCTGGGCAACCTTACACATGATACTTAGAATTAGTATTTCGGATGTGAATCGCTTGCAGCCGTGCCGTCTCTAAGTGCATAATTAAAATATAATTAAAATAAAAAAAATGGGTTTTCTCTTCGTTCCCACTTGCATGCGTCCCAATGAAGACATAGGTACTACCCATGCGTGGTACATCCTATATACATGATACGTGGCTAGATGTATAGATCGACAACCCCGGATTCAATCTGTACCCGGGTAAAGTACTTACTTCCAGGGCTTAGCCCAGGTACCTGCAAGGCAGAAGGACGCATAAGCGTGCGATTTACTTTACTTGGTTGACTTGGCCACTGGAGCTCGTATTACTTGAAAACCATAGTCAAACTCGACATGCATCATTGTATTGTTTAATCGAAAACAACCGTGCGTGGAAAAAACAACAACATAAAACTCCCGTGTCACCGAGGCCCATTCATTGCACTCATTGCCCGAAGCCCTTGCAAAAACAGCAAATGAAGATAAACAAGCCCACCGGGACCCCATGACAGTTTTCAAAGTTCCCTCCCGCATAGCCTCAAACATCCAGCCCAGTCTATCGAGTCATAGCGTCGGGCCACAAATATTCCAAACAAAGGACCAGGGTAAAAAAAAACAGAAAGTTAACTGTGCTTGGAGACACCGTATGGGTTCCTCATGGAAAAGGGACGGATTATAATTCGTCCTCAAGGTATTTGTACACGAACTTGAAATCAGCCTTTCGCCGATTCATCCTGTTCATAGTTCGTAAGCGGTGAGTTCGTCAATCTGACGCTGGGCTGGCCGGAAACTGAAAACTGACCATGTGCTCTCGTAGTCAAAGAAGCGATAGGTGCCTTGTTCGAACTCCTCGGTGATGTTCTTGGGCTCCTCGTGACGCTGGAACCAGGTTTGGTACTGCTTGTGGAAGCGCCAGCTTTGGTTCCGGAGTGCTTTGGCTGCGAGGTACTGCTGGTAGGTTCCTTGACGGTAGTAGAAGAGGTAAAAGAGGGTGTCCGTGTCAATTCTGCCGGTATCGTACAACCGAGGGTCATCAAATATTGAAAGGGGTTCCTGTGGGTAGTAGAGCGGGGTGCTGTAGGGGTTCTGCGGCTTGTAGTGACGCGGCTTTTCAGCATCACTGGCTTCCGGGCATGTTGTCAACGATGTAGCGAGAAGACGCTGAACAGACGGCGATGGGTTCGCCGAAGCACGCGTCTTCGTCACCTCGAATGATTGGAGCAGATCTTGCAGACCTGGGGGCAGGTGATATACAGACTCATCACCTTCAATACTTTCCGTCTCTGTTTTGCCATTTGTTGATGCCTCCACCTTCGCTGATGCTGGTGCTGGTGCTGGGGATGAGCTTGCACCACCAGGGATCTTGGATCGCCCAATTCCACTGAGATCTTCTGAAAAGGCGGTCGCAGTGGGTGGTATTATTGACTTAGGGACGGGCTGTGCTGGCGCTACGCTAGGCGAAGCAGTGGAAGACTTGGTGGTGGGCATCGCCACGGAGAGAGCCGGGCTGAGCCCGGGTGGTGGGGGAAGAGGAAGAATGCCAACACCACTCTTGTCGCTTGCTGCAGCTGCAGCCGCGGCGGAGGCATACTTGAGAGTCTCCCCGGGGGGACGGGTTGGTAGTGGAGCGGGCTTCATGCCCGGGGTGGCACTGGAGGAGGCTGCAGGGTGGAGGGTAGCAAGAACAGGAAGCGGTGATTTCATCTGTGTGGATGGTCTTCGAGGAGCAGGCGCCTCCGGTTTGGCCTTTGGTTTAGGTTCTGGCTCTTCATCTTGCACGGATTGGGCATCTTGCGACGATACACGATCACCCTCACCGCCCATGCCGAATACCGCCTCAACCTCCTCTCCGATATTCAAATCGTCATAGAGCGTCTCATCTTCACCGGAGTAGTCGGGGGTGCCCCCTTCCTCGACGTAGTACTTGATACTTTCCTTCAGATCTTGAACAGCGGTCACATCGAGATTGCCGTTTTGTAACGAACGATTGAGAAACTCCAGCTTGTTCACGTGCCACTTATGTCGTTCCGTAGTGTGGGAGATATCGCCCATTCGATCCGCCTTCTTCGTATCCTTTTTCCCCTTCTTCATTTGTGCGTGAAGTGTTTCCTCTTCCGCCTCCAAGGCCTCGATCTTCAATTGAAGCTCATCAACCATATTGGACAGGAACTCGGAGCACTCCACTCTTTCCTTCTCCTTGGGATCGAGTCGCGAAGCTGCCGATAGACCTTCTTTTGAGTAGGCTTTCGTCTTCATCTCCTTTTCAACAGCCTTGAATTGTTCCATGCACTGCCGAGGCGGTTAGCTTGCTGTCCTTTGCACGACTCATCGACCAAAAGGCCCAGTGTCGTAGTCGCAAACCCACCACTTCAATGGCTTTTCGCTGCTCAATAAGCGGGGCTTTGTCCTTAACCTCATTTCCAGCAGCCCATGATTTGATCTGATCGCGGAACCTTTGGAGCTTCTTGATCTCGCGCTTGAGATGGTCTTCGAGCTTATCCCGTTGCGTGGGATTTGTGGCTTGGCGGATCTTCTCATAGATGCCCTCGAAGGCCTGAATCCCTTCAGCTACCTTTTTGAAGGTTTTATCGATCTCTTGTTGTGTTTTCCTTGCTGCCATTCTGAATCCGTCGACATGGACTGAGCCGTCCACTGGCGTTCGGTATGGATGCGGTCGTGGAGTTTTGATGCGCTTTCGACCTAAATGGTCAGAAATACACAATCGAAGGAGGTGAGGTTGAGAGAATTGTGGAGAATGCTTGGTTTGACACAAGGATAGAGAGACTCGGAAGCCCGTGGATTGCCTCTCCGCGTTGAGTGGAAAGCTCTGGATGCTCTAATAGGTAGGCGGTGGTTGCGGGCGGAGTCCACTATGATGACCGGAGGGGCGGATTTCTAGTCTTCGATTTGTTTTCGATCTATTAAACACCCCAAATCAATTTGTTATTGCTAGTGGAATTTGCCAAATTCATTCACAATACATGTCAGCCACAAATTTGAAGAGATTTGAGAGCATCGATCAATCTAAGCTTTGTATACACCAGAAACGGCCAGTGCGTTCTCTGCTTTACTGAAGTTACTGCCTCTACGACACTTAAACTTGCCACAGTTTCGCATATCAATATGAAAGGTCAGAAATATCGGCGTAACATATATCAAACATTGCTAATGTCACCCAGTCGTCATACAGAGAGTTAAATCGGCTTCCGTCAGCGTCGATTCGGAATTGATCTCGTCCATTGGCAAAGGATTACTTGTGTTTGCCGGTGTTGGTAAAGACGATAATGAAAAGGAGGCGGAGACTCTTGTCAACAAAGTACTAAAGGCGAAGTTCTGGCCTGATGAGAACGGAGTACAAGTAAGACAAGCGCCTCATGTGCGTGGCAGCAACGATTAACCCTTGTCGCAGTGGAAAAAGAACGTGAAGGAGATTGAGGGAGAAATCCTATGTGGTATGATATCAAATCTCATTCCATCTATGTGGTTGAACAATGCTGATTGCAGAAATTTGTCTAGTTTCTCAATTCACCCTCTACGGAAAGATGAACAAAGGCAATAAACCAAGCTTTCACGAAGCAGCCAGCCCCGAGACAGCGCGCAAGGTATATGACCATTTCTTTACAAAGATGAGCGATGGCTATGAACCGGATCGGGTCAAGAATGGTGTCTTCCAAGCAATGATGGAAGTTGAACTAAAAAATGATGGGCCGGTGGGTGTAGACTACTGCAGCGAAGACGCGGCGGTACATTTTGCCTTCCTGTTCCCATTCCTCGCCGCACATGAATCTTTACTGACTGATTGAATCACAGGTTACCATTGAAATCAGCACCAATCTTCCCAAAAAGGAACCCAAGGAGAACAACGCGGACAGAAACCCAAATGAACATGAATTGAAAGGATCATATGAATTCCAAATACCGGCGGAGTTACTGCAATGAACAAAAAGAAAAGCGAACAAGACAAAAGGAGACAAAAGGAAGACAAAAGGAAGACAAAATAAATATAGAATAATGTTTTGTACATAATAGACAGCAGATACCCCCAAAAGCAATGCTAATTGGACCTATGTATAGAATTGTCACAACTGTAGGTCGGGGCGGCTATGGAAGCTTCCTGAACCACTTCGCGCTGGTTCTTCCCCCACAACGCGCCGTACTTCTTCTTTCTCTTCCTCTCTCTCTCTCTTTATCTTCAAATCTTTCGTATCTCTTTTCTTCTCCACATTTAGCTTTTCTGTCTTTTCTGACTCCGCAGCCATGGCGACAACTCGTAAGTCCAATGCGGGGTCCACCGATCTGCCCGCGGGTTGCAGGAATTGCATTGACGTCGAAGACATTCCGAGTCGCTAATCATTGTTAGGCTCCCGTGTATTCTTTGACATCAAAATCGGCGAAAACAATGCTGGTCGGGTCGCATTCGAATTGGTAAGTCTCTTAATTTTCATGGCTTGGTCCTAGCTTCTAACATTTGGCCGTAACAGTTCAATGATGGTATGACCTGGTTTTCTCGATTTTTGACCACGACTGACATGAACACCAGTTGTTCCCAAGACTGCCGACAACTTCCGGGCTCTGTGTACTGGAGAGAAGGGCATTGGCACCCAGGGCAAGGAATTGACTTACAAAGGCATGCTTAGCATACCCCGCTCCCATAACCTTGACCATCACTAACCGTGCTGGTCCGCTTCAGGTTCAATCTTCCACCGCGTGATCAAGCAGTTCATGATCCAGGGTGGTGACTTCACTGCGTTCAACGGTACTGGCGGCGAGTCCATTTACGGTGAAAAGTTCCCCGACGAGAACTTCGACCTCAAGCATGATCGCCCCTTCCTGCTCTCCATGGCCAACTCCGGCCCCGGCACCAATGGCAGCCAGTTCTTCGTTACCACCGTTCCTACTCCTCACCTCGACGGCAAGCACGTGGTTTTCGGTGAAGTGATCAACGGAAAGAACATCATTCGCAACATCGAGAACATGAAGACTTCCAACGACAAGCCTGTCGAAGATGTGACCGTGGTGGATTGCGGCGAGCTCTTCGGCGACGACTACGAGAACGCTACCAAGCGCATCCCGGATGCGACAGGCGACCCATATGAGGAGTACACTGAGGACCACCAGGGCGAGGAACTCACCGCTCCTCTTTGCTTCAAGATCGCTTCCGAGCTGAAGGGCTACGGTAACGCTGCTTTCAAGAGCGGCGATCTTAACCTCGGTCTCGATAAGTACCAGAAGGGTCTCCGGTACCTTAACGAACACTCTGAGCCCGGCGAGAACGATCCTAAGGGGCTCGGCGAGCAGATGAAGGCTCTCCGCTTTACCTTGCACTCCAACTCCTCTTTGCTTGCCAACAAGCTTCAGAAATACCTCCAGGCTCAGAACTGGGCCACATATGCGCTTCAGGTTGCTGACGCTGCCAAGGCCAAGGATGCAGACAAGGCCAAAGCACACTACCGCCGTGCCCTTGCCCACGAAGGTCTGAAGGAGGAGGATGCTGCGCTGAAGGATCTGGTGGAGGCTAAGAAGCTCGCCCCTGGTGATGCTGGTATTGAAAACGAGATTGAGAAGATCAAGAAGATCGTCAAGCAGCGTGAGGCCAAGGACAAGTTGGCTGCTCAGAAGTTCTTCTCTTGAACTTCTCAACAATGATTTGTTCTTTTCTTCTGTTCCTCATGATTTCACGACGTGGTTTCCCTGTCACCAAAGACCTATGATGTATCATATAACATCAAATCACATTGCTTTGCTTTGCTCTCCCGTTATTTAGCTTGTTATGAATTAGTATATTCTACATGTAGTGTGCTATGAAGTTACCTAACATAGAAAGACTCGAAATTTTATAATGCAAGGTCTATGGAGGCTGGAAAAAAGTCTTCCTGGACACAATTTTGGAAGTATCCATAAAAATGTGTATGAATTGTCCCTAGAGTTTAGAAACGGCATTTCAGGGTGGAGCCATACATGATATATAGAACCAGATATCACATTGAACCTTGGAAGTGTTAAACCGGATAGTATATAATGAACCTACAGCTGCAATAGCTACGATAGGTGGGCTCCATCATCAGCCCGTTCCATCAGATGGATATAACCGGGTCGTCGAACTGCGGCCACCGCCTTCGCGGTGTCCGGGTTCCCTGGCCTAATTACAACCCGGGCCTAATTACAAATTTTTCATTTCCACATTCTTCAACAATTCACTACACCTCCAATTCTTTATATTATGGATTCAGATTCAGAAGATCGCATTACCAATGCCTTATTAGCATACCATGCTAGTAGCAAAAAAAACGTTTCAGCCATCGCTAAGCAATTCAACATTTCGCACGGCGTCTTAAGAGGCCGCATTAACGGTCGCCAGCCTCGAAACAAGCGCACCGCGCCCAATAAAGCACTACACACAGAGCAAGAAAAGGCCTTAGTTCTATGGATCGATACCTTAGATCAGGCCTATTCTCCACCATCTACAGCCCAGATTCAGTGTGCTGCACTACAAATTATTAGACGTCACGACCCCGCCCGCACGCTCGGAAAAAACTGGGCTTACGATTTTATTGCTCGTCTACCACCACGCTTTGAGTATCTTACCCAAAAACCAATAGAGAAAGCACGGTTTCAGGCCGCAGATCCTGGCTATGTTGTCACTTGGTACGATCGTCTAAATATTACGCTTAAAAACTACAACATTAGCCCGAGAAACCTATACAATTTCGACGAAACCGGGTTTCGAATTGGCGAAGGGAAGGCTCAAAAGGTTGTTTCAGCCCGGGGCAATTCATATAATAGTACCGGTGGTCAAGCCGAATCGCTTACCGGTATTGAATGTGTCTCAGCTACGGGTTGGGTTATGCCGCCATGGTTTTTAGTGAAGGGACAATTCCATATGGAAAGTTGGTTTATCGACACCAATTTACCAGACAACTACACAATTTGTCCAACCCCAAATGGCTGGACTGATGAAATCATTAGTTTTGCATGGCTCCAGGTGTTCGATGAATTTACATCATTGCGTATCAAAAAGGGGGAATATCGTCTTCTTTTAATGGATAATCATAGTTCACATTTGACCTATGATTTCATTGAATTTTGTTGGACCAAACGCATTATTCCTTACTGCTTTATTCCACATACAACACATGGTTGCCAACCTCTCGATGATACACCTTTCTCGGTCTTAAAGCATTACTATAAACAATACAACAACGAGACTGCCTTTTGGGGTGGTGATGCGAAACACAAAGCCAATTTCTTCGCGGGTATTCATGATGTGCGCACACGATCATTAACCGAGCGGACAATTCGACACGGGTTCCGAGAAACTGGAATTTGGCCTGTCAATTCAGACAAAGGCCTTGAAAAATTGAAGTTGGTAGATAATGATCTCCCTGAAATGCCCGGGTTTATAGTTCATGATATTGCCGGAACTACACCCCCACCACTATCAAGTTCACTACCAAATTCACCACCTACAACTGTCCAAAAGCTACGAAAAGCCAGCAATAAGGTTGTGAAGCATATACAGAATGATGCTACAATTTCCCCGAAGGTGCGGGATAGTCTTGCTCGCATTTTAGCAGGTGGACTCGCTCTTGCCGAAGTTGGTGCTCAATTTGCGGAGGACAATGTTCGCATTTTACGACGAAAAAAACAGTCTAATACTGCTAAAACAAAGCGCAGACTTCCTTAACTAGGCCCCCGCCTAGTTAAGGACTGTAAAAAACACATATCTGACCGCGCCGACCGAGAAAGGCTGCAGATGTTCAACCGATCTAAGAAATCATGGCGGGATGCAGCTATTTTAAAAGCAATTGAGGACGGCGACATTGAAAATTCAGGAGAAATTGAGGATGGTACTAGTGCAGAAAAGGCCCAGGATTGGATAGATGATCTTTATTGTGTTGATACAGAAGGCGATGCTATTTAAATTCAATGAATTCATGGTTGGAAATGAAAAATTTGTAATTAGGCCCGGGTTGTAATTAGGCCAGGGAACCCGGACACCGCGAAGGCGGTGGCCGCAGTTCGACGACCCGATTACTAGGTTGCGGCTAACTGGATATATATGCTATAATACCGTTTCATAAAGGAAATCTTTAATACAACCTGGCTCCGGTCTTTTCAGACAGCATGTATTGTTTTGTAGGATGGGATGAAGATGTACTACCTCATAGTTGCTGATTTTGTACTAGTTTGCCTGGAGAACTTCCAAGGTTTACAAATGTTATTCCAGGATCTACTTAGACTGAATCCGACTCCCTTTTCTACACCCCACCTGCAATTTGAACAACACCACTATGGCGACTCCCAAACCCAACTTGGAATTAGCAATCCTAATCATCGGCGCTGGTACATGGGGATGCTCAACAGCCCTTCACTTAGCCCGCCGGGGATACACCAATGTCAAGGTGCTAGATCCATATCCAGTCCCGTCGCCTATTGCTGCGGGGAATGATATCAATAAGATCATGGAGCACAAGGAATTGAAACGTAAGAATTGATATCCTTACGTAATGATCGTTTGCTATGTGAAGGTGAAAAAAGCTAACCCAGATCAGCATCAAATCACGATGCTCAAAGCATCGCTTTTGCTACATGCACTAGAGCCGCATTGAAAGGCTGGACCACCGATGCAATTTTCCAGCCCTACTTCCATGAAACTGGCTTCGTAGTCGCAGGACATACTCCTGAGCTTATAGAACATATCAAAACGGACGAAATTGACCACTACGAAGGCGATTTTGAAGCTTTGGAAACATCCGAGGATTTCCGTCAAACAATGCCACCGGGTGTCTTGACCGGTGATTTTCCAGGCTGGAAAGGCTGGATCAGCCGATCCGGGGCTGGATGGATTCACGCTCGCAAGGCCATGGTTTCTGCTTACAAAGAAGCGCAGCGCCTCGGTGTGGTCTTTGTGACAGGTTCGTCGCAGGGAAATGTTGAAAGCTTGGTGTATAGAGATGGCGACGTTGTTGGTGCTCGGACCGAAGACGGCCTAACTCATTATGCCCATCATACCATTCTCGCTGCAGGTGCTGGCAGTGATCGCTTGCTGGATTTTAAAAAGCAGTTGCGTCCAACTGCCTGGACGTTGAGCCATATCCAGTTGACTCCCGAGGAGGCCCAAATGTATCGAAATCTCCCCGTTTTGTTCAATATCGCGAAAGGCTTCTTTATGGAGCCGGACGAGGAGAAGAACGAGCTTAAGATCTGCGATGAGCATCCGGGATACTGCAATTTCATTGCAGATCCTGCTCATCAGTGCGAGAAGAGAAGTGTTCCATTTGCCAAGAAACAAATTCCCCTCGAGGCCGAAAAACGAGCCCGAGATTTCTTGCGCGACACTATGCCGCATCTCGCTGATCGACCTTTCTCGTTTGCTCGTATCTGCTGGGATGCAGATACGGTGGATCGCGCGTTCCTAATTGACCGACACCCCGAACATGCTTCTCTAGTTGTTGCCGTTGGGGGATCAGGTAACGGGGCTATGCAAATGCCTGCGATCGGCGCGTTTATCGCAGATACACTGGAGGGAAGGTTACAGAAAGAGCTGAAGGAGGTCGTCAGATGGCGACCTGAGATTGCAGTCGACCGAGACTGGTGGTCTACGCAGAATCGGTTTGGGGGACCTAACATATTGATGGATTTTCAAGATGTGAAGGATAATGAATGGACTCATATTGCATAGGGAAGGGATGGCATTCATGAAAGAAATTCATATCGTTAAATACTCAGGGCAAACAAACTAACGCCCGGTAGAAATTTTGAGCTTACTTGCTCACAAAAGCACAGGAACCCATCTCTTTCATGACAACGTCAGCCTCGGGCCGAATATCAAAATCGAAAATGTCCATCGGCACCGAAAGAGTCGTACAGGCATTTGGGATATCCACAATGCCTGCAATATGTCCTTGTACCGGCGCACAGCTGAGAAGTAGATAGATCTGATAATCGCTGTATCCATAGCGCCGTAGATACTCAATGACCCGGAGACACGTCTGTCTATAAGCAACAGTGGCATCCAGGAAATGTTGCTTGCCATTCTCATCGACTGAGAACCCTTCGAACGTCAGGTATCGTCCGGGACCAAACTGTGGCTCTACGGGTCCTGCATGGAAGATCGGGGACTTCATGTCCAGCTTCGCCATGCCATTCTTGATGACTGAGAACTTGAGTGTGATCACGCCAGCCATTTCGATCGCCCCACAGAAAGAGATTTCGCCGTCTCCCTGTGAGAAGTGCAGGTCTCCGACGGAGAATTTGGCTCCAGGGACATGAACAGGGAGGTAGACCTTTGATCCCCGTGAAAGGTTCTTGATATCGCAATTACCACCGTGCTCGGGGCGACCCTAATGAATAGATCAATATGGGGCTTGCTGTGGAACGTCATGACTTCTTACTGGAATAGTTCGGGCGCCCTCATTGGCGATCTTGATTTGTACATCCTCCGTAGCAGTTCCGCCATGAGAATTCTTAGGATTCGGCGGCTGAGCGACAATTCGATCAGCAACGGTATTAGTGGCGATGAGCTCACCCTCACGACGGTTCCATTCAGCCAGAACCTCCGCGGATGGAGCACACCCGAGAATGCCAGGATGGATCAGTCCAGCAAAGCGAACATGTGGGATGTGTCGGGATGAGCAGAAGATTCCCTCGAAGTCCCAAATTGCCTTGGCTCTTTGGAGTCGATTAGTACGTGTGGGGGATATGGATAGTACCACAGAGCACATACGCTTCGGGATAAAGCTGATCTAGAAAGCCGCCTCCATTTTCCTTGTGGAAAATACCAGTGAATCCCCACGGCTGCTCCTCGAATGGCTGAACATCCTGTATCTCGACGACCAAGACATCGCCGGGCTCTGCAGTCTCAATGTCGAATGGACCGGAGAGATAATGGATCTGGGTTAAATCTACATTTTTGATATCGTCGGCTGAGTCATTGTTCCCAATCTGTCCTCCTGTCCAATCAAGGCACTCGATCTTAACGACTTCATTGTTCGCGATCTTGCCGATGGCCGGGACTGGAAATTGTCAGTATGCGGTCGTACACATTATTATAACATGACATGCCTTCCGGATGCCATCTATTCTATCCAAAAATGAGCAATGAGCGACGACGAAGGGAAGATAGAGACATACATGTAAGCCGGGCTGTTCGCGGGCAGGTTTATTAAGGTCGACCTTTAGAGCAGTGCGAATCCCCTTGAGACCCATATTTATGTTGGTTGGGCTAATTGATTGAGGTAACTGCGGTGGTTGACACGACTAGTATTCAAGATAGTTGGTAAGAATATCAAAGCTAGAACATGGGCGCCCTTGATGTACCTATCTATATCTTGGACCCCCTCACGATAACGCCCTACCCCGCAGACGGGGTCCATTGAGGTGCCGGCATCATTGACAGTTACATAAAGATCTGGCTTATCATCGCTTTATCTCGCATATTGCCGGTGATAAGCTCCAATTTTCCCGATTGCTAAAACATAAACAGCTCATTTGTGTAATGTTACCCCAAAATACATTGGTATGTAAAACTTGCATTCCAGGTACTCCAACGCCCTAAGATGCACCATATTTCTGAAATCTAGACTAGGGCAAAGCGTGATGTAGCTTTTGCCTCACGGATATCAATGCGACGTAGGCTCAACTGAACTTCTTCCCAGGGGAGCCAGAGTCGCGAGCGTGAGGCTCATCGGCATCTACATTGAGCTTGTCGAGGTTATCAAGAGACAATTTTAGGAAGTCATGCTTGTTCTTCCAAGTCACCTGGCTTTCCGCAAAGTTTTCGCTTTCAGCGGGAGTGGGAGGCGGGTCAGTGATCTTAGTGACAAGGTATGCTGTGGATGCTTGCGCAACACCATACATCAGCACACCAATATAGGGAATCCGCAGGACAGCCGTGAAGGCGAAGGCAAAACCAAAGAGAACACCTTCTCTGTCTCGGAACCATCGACGCTTTTGCTCGGGTGTGAATTTCACACGCGAGAAGTACGGTTCAAGCTGAAAGAAATTAGAGATGTCTCATTGATTGGAGAAAAGTAAAACTTACAAGTTCGCGCATCAAACTTCGTGAAGAAAAGTAGGTGTGAAGGAAGGTCACGATGTACGTCTTCGGAAGAACCAGCCCTGCGCCAAAAATGGCAGCGGCGGGAACAGAGCCGACGTGGTTTCGGAAGGTGTAGAAACTTGCCGCAGGCATAACAAATCGACCAACAATCACAACCATGGAAAGGAGGTAGAGTCCAAGCATCATTCCAATCTTTTTTGCGTAGCGATGGAAGAATGCCATGAGTGCTTCGGGAATTGGGCGAGAAACACTAGAACCCCCTTTGTCTGAGTACAGGGTAAGCTGAGGATAGTACATCGCCCGTAAATTATCGGGGTTCTCAGATTTGTGCTTTTGGATGTATGTGGTATCTACCCATTGAATGGATTGCATGAAGCTAGTAATATGGTCAGCGTGAGCCGTAAGTAAAGTCGGAGCAGAGAGAGAATCGAACATTTCATCCAAAGTGGGAGTAACGTATCTCATCAATGTCATAAGCAAAAATGGCACTTGAAGGACCGACTTGGACATAAATTCCAAGCCACTGAGAAGTTTGTCGTCCCAGACGGCGTTTTCCAGATTGACCACCCATGACATTAGCCAGATGGAGAACTTAACGCTGATGATCTTAAATCAATGTTAGAAGGGAACCCAACAAGCAAGAACAGTATGTGAATTACCGGAATCTGAATGATCAACTGGATAACGATGCCGACGGCTATAGCAAGAGCTGCTTGGCGGAAATGATCATACTTGAAGAGTTCCGGGTTGGTCAATGCGCGAACAGCTGTGGAAAGTTTTAGTTAGCAAATGTATAAAAGTCTAGACCCCTCAAGGATTCATTCCAAAGTCAGTTGCAGAGGGTGGCTTGGAGATCCAATATGTACAAGCAGCTCCTTGATCAAAGTCTTGGCAGCTATATACCGTACGTTGTACATTGTACAGACGCTTGACTGGTTTTGTAGGCAGGAATTCAGCCCATTTCAGGAATCCTTGGATGGCTGCAAAGCACCAATGAATGTGCGGGGAGACATACTTCCTACCACTGTGAGCTGGAAGCCGCGGATCACGGCGTTTGGCTCAAAGTTCGACATCGTGGATATCCTCCAGGACCGTATAAGATACGGCTTGTAGATTCCACACTTGCTAAGAAAGAGAGGTGAAGCTGAGGGTCTAGCAACAATGCATTCTTGAAGGTGAAACAGAAATAACTGTGGATGCCTGGCCCATTCAGAGCTGCGTCATGGTCACCTGATTGCTGTAAGGCCTGAGGCCTTAGTGCATGTCCCCGCCCAAACACAGCGGCAGATAAGCCGCCTCCTGCATCGCACAGCCTAGTTGCATTATACTTGTACAAACATGTCACTTTAATATCCATACTCTCCTTTATCACATATTGATCGCATTTATGAACCATGCCCGAGTCTCCAAGTGAGCTGGGTCAGATACAGTCCATCCGTCGCTCTGTCACTCTTCCCACCAAGTTAAATCCGCTCGCGCAACGTCGCTCGAGTGTCCCGAACACGCCAGAGCATGTGATTTTCTATCATCCGTCTGCCAAAATTGTCCATTTTGCCCCGAGAGCTCTCGCCCCTATTCCATCTAGTTCTGCGCCGTCTGACTTCGACTATCCCGTCGACACCATCGAAACACTCCCCTGGCGCTCCGCTACTGAACGAACGGTCGCAACAGCACCACTACGGCTGGAGAAGGTCCAAGGCTCAACGGCCTTCCTCAAATGTGGAAATGTCGTTCATGCGATCTTGAAGAACTCCCAGTGTTGGTGTGTTGACGGGGTTTCAAAGTTTGTTTTGCGCATCCGACCTCTCACATATTATCGCATCGAAATACCACATGAATCAGAAGACGATCGGGGCTTGGTACAAGATTTCAAGATCGCGTTGCCAACCGTACTTCGCTATGAAGTCACGCCATGTCCTTTTAAACGCGCTTTTAGCGTCGAGCTCCCGTCGGACGCGATGGCTCCGCGACGCAAAAAGGCCTGGCAGCCCAAAGATCGACGAGAAAGTATTCCGGTAGTTCTGGAGTCTCCGTTGGAAAGCTCTTCACTCTTTTCAACTAGATCGGAATGTATCGACTCTGCAAGCACCGGTGATGACACTGACGGAAACTTGACCGATGATAGTTGTTTCACGTCGCACAAAACCAACGGCAACATTTTGGAAACAAGCCCTAATAACCGTGAATCAACCTCTGCCGAACTTCCGAGACCCTCCTCATCTCATGGTTTCCCTAGCCGCTTGGTAAGCGAAACACCACAGCCTGTTAGCAGTCTGCTTGCAAAGTTTCAGGCTACACTGGCTCCGGAAGACGATTGCCACTCTGGGCTTGAGCACAGGCCAGAGGATATCACCCGAATGGAATCTGTGCCCCCGGTAGATCTTAAGGCAAAATCTGTCGTAAAGAACGACATGCCTGAGCCGCAATCCGAGGGTGAAACACAAACCCTTCTTGAATTGGAAATCACAGTAAAAGCTGAATCTACAGCTGAATTGGATCCAAAGATTGAGAATAAGCTTGAGCTCGGAGTTGCATCATCAGCCGGGCCCACAAGTGAGGCCGATTTGCAAGTCGAGAGTGCAATTCCAGTCCAGGCTGAAAGAGCGTTGGAAGTTGAAGGCTTAGACGATGCCGAGCCCAGCATTACAATTGAATCCCAGGAAGCCCGTGAAGCGAAGGTTGGCAGTGATGACCATATTCATTTCGCCACCGAACAAAATTTTGAAGTCGATGATGATGCCTCTTTTTCGTCCAGTCCCGAGTCATTCCACTCTGTTGAGCCTCAGTCTCCTGACTCAGTCTCAACCTATCCTACTTCTGTGGGAGGTCATGATTTACCAGAGCCAACAGATATGTTCAACCTTCCGAGCGCAAAAGAATTAATTTCTGGAATGGAATCAACCCCAAACAGCTGGTGCAACAGCCCGCAGCTCCCAATTTCTGACAGTAGCGCTCAAACTGCCGATGTTTCAACCAATATCGTGGTGCCTGCTGATAGATCAGCTAGCCATCTCAGCCCAGATGCTCTGCCCAGGCGATTTCCAGACACGCTTTCGAACGATTCCCTGTCAATGGCTCTTACCAGCCAGGCATGCCAATCCAGTCCGAATACGGATGCATTCCAAGAAATTAAAATGGTTACTCGACCTGCTGTCAAGGCTTCAGCATTAAACACTGATTTCAACCACATGAGCACCGAGTTCCGGCGCCGGGCTAAAGCCACAAGGGAACGTGAAGTCTCTCCCATGCCTCATTCTTCGGCATTGTATCAGCCCTCCCCCAACGACGATGCCAAATCATTCATTTCCAAGGCCATCATGCTAGTTTTAATTCCGCCGGCCTATCTTTTCGTCGTTCTCCTTCACATTGCAGCGCGCGTCGTCATCAATCCCCCCACTACCCAATCGAGTATTCGCTCGACGCCAAAGGCTTCGAACTCCAATCCCAAGCAAATCAGCGAGGGTCCTGCAACCGAGGACGATTTCAGCTTTCCCCTGGAGCCTCAAACCTCCTCAGAGTACGAGGATGCCGAAATCTTCAAGAAGCTTGACCCTTGGGATCTGGACTAAACGTGAACTTTTTCCCCCGTTATTCTCTCGGTTTTCCCTTCTTCTTCTTCTTCTTCTTCTTGTCAATTTTCTTCTCATACACCCTATTTAATCCTTCTCTTACCCTTGGTGTTCTTTTGTTCACATACACCCTCACACACACACACATCATCTTAATGTTTTTTTTCTTGTCATGAATATTTAGCACCGATTTGCACGACTCATGGGTGCCCAGACATACTGGCACGGTTTGTATTTTACGGGATCCCTCTTTTGAATTCTAGCGTGACATGTGTCATTGGAGGGAACAGGGGTCATATCAGAACTGAATAGCTAATTAATGATACAAACATGCTTCATCTCCATCAACACTCTTGTCTTTGTGAGATTCAACACAGTTTTGCGTATGTTGTTGTGCCATTCTCAAACATGACGAAGGTATATATCTTACGAAAAGAACATCCACTTGCAGCTAGATTTGTTAATTTCTTTTCCATGAGACAAGACATATGGACAAGAACAGTGCTTGTGTAGAACAAGTGCAAGGGAATATGTACACTTGACAAAAGCTCACATTGGAAATTGAGAGCACAAATAAAACAGAACCACCCTCGAACGCCAGCTAATGCATAAGGAAACGAAGCCATCAACACATCACATGTTAGGTCCGAGCAACGTGAGCAAAAGTCGATAAAATCATGTGGTAAACAGGTTAGAGAGCACCTCTAAGCCTTTGTCGCCTTAGCAGCTCCGCCCTTGGTCTTCGCTTTGCGGCCTCGGCGATCTCGCTTCTTCAATCCGGTCATTCCTGCCTTGCAGACCTCCGCATAGCGAATATAAAAGGCCTCAAGCTCGTCCGGATTAACGACCGTCGAGAGCTTGATCTTGGTGGACTTGTCCTTTGTAATTTTGCCGTCCTTGCTTGCGGACTTGGGGTTCGGTGCATTGGTGTTTCCATCCGTGGCCCGAATAAGGATAGATGGTTGTGAGTTTGTGGATGTGGCACCGGGAACATCGATCAGAGGCTTTTGGGTGAGAATTACTGAGCCACGGGCTTTTTGAGAGGTCTTGGAGAGTAGATCGGTGAGAGATGAGAAGAACTAAAGGTGGCCGATGTTAGTGATATAGCTTAGGATTCGGTGATCTGGTCGCATGTGCGGAGGCATAGCGGTCAGGAAACACCCGTGGACAGGAATCAATATTTACCTCATCTTGTCCCAAATGGGGCGCCATATTTGAAATCGCTTGTGTAAGGCGCGCGACAATTGACCGACTTGGAAGCTGGAGCAGTGATCAATATGCAATTGACAGCTGGGGACAACTGCTCTCGGTGGGGGAGAAACTCCGCTGTGGGCGCTTGTCCGCCTTTGTTTTGGTGTGGCAGAAAAGTGAAAAAAGTTCCATACCGCCCGGGGTTCCTGATATCGAAGACGAACATCTGAACTCTTTGAGAGCAGAGAATATATTCAAAACAAGCAATATGCCGCGCCCACGGCACAATACAACTGCTTTGCCTCGGAATCTCCGATCTGAGCTCGGAATCCGCGATACGTACGGTGAAAAGAAGCGACGCCTCAACGGACCTGCTTCGCGCAAAGAACGCCGCCAAAATGAACGAACGCAGAAGAAATCACGACATGCAGCCCCGCCGAATAAGAAAGTCTTCCAGAGGCCTCACCATCAGGCTCGGGCTGACAGCAATGAGGGGCTCGGGGACGGCAATGTCGACCTAGACTCGGACGATATGGATGTGGATGAAATGCCTAGCCCTCCACGGAAGAAGTCGAAATCTACAAAGGAGACTGCCGAAAAGCCAAAATCCATTTTGAAAAAGGCACCAGCTCCTCAAGAGTCTGAGTCCGAGTCCGAGCCTGAGTCCGACATAGACCTGAATGAGAGTGAGGACGAGGACGAGGACGAGGAAGAGGAAGATGACGACGAATCAGATGAAGATATCTACGAAGATGAATCTGAAGAATATAAGCCCTCTGAGAATCTGGTCTCAGGATCGGTTAAATCTAAACTGGCGCAAGATGACGCCGAAATCGCCGCGTTGGAGAAGAAGCTTGGCCTCAAAAAGGGAAGCAAACTACCCAAAGCCTTCGAAGATGATGGTCTGGATGACCTGTTGGGTGACCTGGGTGGTGGTGACGATGGCTCAGAAGACGAAAGCCGGAAAAGAAAGCGTGAAGCTGACGACTGGCTTCAAGCCAAGAGACTCAAGGCTAAAACGCGCCAAGCACAAACATCTCAACAAGAGGACAGTGAATTGGATAGCGAGGAGGATGGTGATTTTGACAAAGAGATTTTTGGGAGCGATGATGAGGACGAGGCCGCCGACGGAAGTGACTTCGAAGGGTTCGATGAGGAAGCAAACAAGGGACCAAAGCAAAAGGAAAATCCTTACATTGCCCCTGTTACGAAACCTGAACCCACAGCCCAAAAATATATTCCACCTTCATTAAGAGCGCGCTCTGATCCTGACAGTGAAAATCTCACTCGACTCAAGCGCCAGGCCCAGGGTCAGCTGAACAAACTGTCTGAAGCGAATATGCTCTCAATTGTTGCGGAGTTCGAAAAGCTGTACCGTGACTATCCACGTCAACACGTTACATCTACTCTGATTAACTTGTTAATGGCCCTTATTTGCGAGAGAGCCGCTCTGAACGACACATTTCTCATCTTGCACGCCGGTTTCATCTCAGCATTGTACAAGCTCCTGGGAATGGATTTCGGTGCGGAGATTGTGCAAACAGTAGTCGAAACTTTGGATGCCGAAGGAGACGAACGTGGCAAATTTCAAGGAAAGGAGACTCTGAACCTGGTCTCTCTTCTCTCCCAACTTTACAACTTCCATGTTATTGGTTCGACATTGATGTTTGATTATGTCCGCCTGTTCGTACAGAACATCACAGAAGCGAACACAGAATTGCTTCTTAAGGTCATCCGAAGTAAGTCATATAGGTCACGATACCAAACACACAGAATTGTTCTAACATACGTACAGACTCTGGCCCACAACTTCGAATGGATGACCCGTCAGCGTTGAAGGATATTGTATTACTCATTCAGCCCTCCGTGGCAAAGGTCGGGGAGGACTCCCTCTCCGTTCGAACCAAGTTCATGATCGATTTGATCACAGACTTGAAGAACAACCGCTCCAAGTCTGCGGCCGCAGCTGGAGCGGGTATCACCACTGAACATATTACCAAGATGCGTAAAATCCTTGGTTCTCTGAACAATTCTCGAGTCATTCGTGCATCCGAGCCCATCAACATCTCTCGCGACGATATCCACAACTCTACAAAGAAGGGCAAGTGGTGGTTGGTCGGCGCAAGCTGGAAGGAAGATCCTCTAGTAGCCGCCCAGCGGGAAATGGAAGATGCGCCGACAAACCAAGTCCAAGATGATGAAAGCGACGGCGAACCTGACTTCGGCGAACTGGCCAAGGCCCACCGCATGAACACAGATATCCGTCGGTCGATCTTCGTTGCCATCATGTCTGCCAATGACTTCCAGGATGCGCATGTCAGACTGATGAAGTTGCGCCTGAAGCGTGCCCAGGAATTCGAGATTCCTCGTGTTCTCCTGCACTGTGCTATGGAGGAGCAGGCCCACAACCCATACTACACGCTCATTGCTCGCCGCATTTGCGGTGATATGGGACGACGCATCAAGATGTCGTTCATGTTTGCTCTCTGGAACGTCTTCAAGAAGATGGGCGAGCGAGGAGATATGGATGACGATGAGGACGATAGCTTCGATCCTGATGATCTGGAGAATGGAGTCAGCATGAAGGCTGTGGTTAACCTGGCCAAGATGTACAGCTATCTGATTGCGGACGGCAGCCTGACACTGAGCATTCTGAAGAACCTCAACTTCGCATACCTGCAGCCAAAGACCAAGACATTCGTGGAGGTTCTGATAATCACCATCATCCAACAGTCACAAAAGTCCAAGAAGAAGAAGAAATCTAAAAGTTCCAAGACTGCGGAGCCCGAGAGGAACGAAGAGGCGTTGATGCAAATCTTTTTGCGTGTCAAGGAGACACCCCAGATCGGCAAGGGTCTCATCTACTTTGTGCGAAAGGTCGTCGCAAAGAGTGATATTGTTGCTGACGAGGACCAAAAACTCGTTCGGTGGGGATGCAATGTGGCGGTGGATGCCCTCAAGGCTGTGGCGGACTAGCAATGTTTATCTAGTAATGCATATAGAATATACCCAAGTTGTTATGCTACTCATTGGTTTGAGGTTTCATCAATTCTAACCTCACGAGGTCTCGCATAAATTCGCAATACAGATGATGGACGATCTTAATGTTACATGAACGAAGGCTACCGGGAGCCGAGCCATCAGTGTTGTATTTGAAAGAAAGGGTATCATGATTTATGCTTCGAATATCCATGCATGGTTAGTAGTATACAGCAAAAGGGCAGTCATTAGAGCTTCAATCATTCATGCATTCATGCATTCATGCAAAAATCATATCATGAGTCGGCATGTGTTTTGATCAAATCCCATTCCATAGCCACAAGCCAACGCTCTTTTGTTGTCTCCGTGGATCCATCGATTTCTAACGAAGCGCTGGACAAAGAGGCATTGGGGCTCTGATTTTGTGCGCTGATTTGTTTCCAGTAATCTCCAAGTTCTAAATTCCAGGTAAGCCCTGGGAGAATCCCAATAAGATATCCTTCTTGTAAAGGGAATGCCTGGGCTGTTTCGGCATGGGAGGAACTCGGGTATATGTCGGGCTTTGAACGCGGAGGTCCCATAATCATAATGTTGAGAGTGTCCATAGGTGTTTTCTCTTGCGCCTGTTGTCCAGCAACATGCTCGGCTTGGAGGAAGGCTAATGGGCCACAGCTACGTAGACCGGAGTGACTGACACGGATGACACGCGCAGCCACCATATATTTTCCCAACTCTTCAGATGCGTGTATTGTCTGTGAGCCCACAGGCCGGGCCAGTGAAGGGTTCAAAAATTGCTCACGTTTTGTTCCCATTTCCAAAACCCAGCTGCGCACCTCGGTGGCCATTCCACCGGGCATGTAATTGGATACACCGGCAGAGTTTCGACCACGACGACTGAGTGTGCGCGACGAGGGAGAAAATGGTGCCGGTATATTCTCTGTATCTGGGTTGGGCGAGGGCGAGCGCGGCAAAACAAATACTGGCTTGCGCCTCTCTGGTGGTGATATAGTTTGTGTGTTTGGTTTGAATTTAGGCGCAGACTGAATGCTGGGGGGTTTCATTGTTGATGAAAGCATGAACCGAGGACGACTGCGGAACGGTGTTTTCATCTCGCCTGGTGTCAACACAAGTGGTGCAAATGGACGTGCAATTGGTGCTGGTGTTCTCTGTGTGGCCATTTCCCAGGCTGTGGTATTTTGTCTGTCCAAGTCAGGCGACTCGATGGAATTAGCCAGTGGATTCGCCGTTGGAGGTGGCGATGATGATATTGCATCGGCTTGTGTTAGCTTCGTCGAAGCCGAGGGTGTGCTTCTCTCCGTGCGACGCCGTTTATTCCCATTTCTGCTAGGAGCAAAGAGGGCGTCGAAGTCAGCGTCAAGGACTCCCGGGGTCTCGGTCTCGGTCTCGTCCGGAGGAGTGCTGTCGATAGCATCATCTCGTATTTCATTCATGCCTCTGGCACCGACACCCCTATTTCTTATCACCTCCACATCATCGGAATCATCGATTACGTCGCGTCGATAGCGCGAGCGAGCGGCCACTTGAGATGCAGGTGGGGTATATGCAACCTGACGCGTCGCAGACGGTTCATCATCATCAATCACGTCGTTGTCATCATTTGCGCTCTGTGTTGCGCTTTGGGACAATAGAAATCGAGGTGTGGGGGCGAATTGAGGGCCGGCATTGCGGCGCGTGGATGGGTTGCGGCGGGAGAGACGGAATGGTGATGGTGTCTGTGACCCGAATTATTAGATTAAGAGATCAATCGTACAGAATCGAACTGTACCGCTGGAAAAGGCATTTATCTGAACCGATCAGAAGCCGAGAACATAGCGATGAATGAGATGTTGGATCTGCAAGGTCTTCTCAGGTCGGGGATCGGGCAGAATCGAGCAAATGAGGTTGAGCCTCAACTAACTACGTTGACGGAATCTACTCAGCCAAAACAAAAAGATGACAATGATCAAAATGATAATTAATATACTCCATTTCAAGGATTATTGACATCATCAAAATGAATATCTTAGTCAAATTCCAAGAGTTGGGAATGCGTATCCGTACATCGACATGGTCTATATCATCCCATAAGTATACAATTTTCATCTGGTTCTTTGGAGGAACTGCGTTTGGATTTCAAGCGATTGTTTCAAGTAAATCCCAGCTTTGCATGATTTGGAAAATGAGAAAAGGCTTGATTTCGATATCATTGGCGATTATAGCAGTCAAAGAGTCGAGGGCAATGCTTGGTGCGACCAAACAATGCTCCTTGGGATTCGATGTGCAAGGTCAAGGCTGCCAATGCTTCTAAGTGCTTAAATATATTAAGTAAGAGTACCGACATAAATTATAATTGGTCCAGTCAGAGACCGTTCGACTCTGTATTGTTGACCCAGCTCACTATGCTCGTCCATCACATCCATCCGCTTGGACGAAGTGTTCATCAAGAGCTTATAGATTAAGCTCATCAGTCATGTCTAGGTATAAGTAAAATGTTGCGCAATTGTGTTTCGAATTGTCGAACAATATTGGCCAGAAGACAGATCGGCAGAAGTTGATTGTTATAGACCCATCGTAGCGGGCCGTTCAAAGCGGGCCGAAGCACTGTTTCAGCGGCCGATGGCTGCACCAGTAGATTCTCATTGGAGACTGTCTGGAGCTAACTTAGACCAACTTCACCACCATGCGATGCCAATGGCATACCCCACCTCGCTAGCCCTAGACACTAAACTCATTGAAGGCCGTCAACGGTTAGTCTTCGGACATTTGCCGAAGCTGTCAGCATTTAATAGCATTGTTAAATCCGACTTTGACTCCTAAAATGATTGTCTTCTGTCATTAAGTACAATCTGGCGTTTGGGCCCAATATTTCTGCCACTGCAATCTCCGTTAAAGGTTACGGCGCGAAAACATGGATGAATACGACTACATCATCATCGGTGCAGGCATCAGTGGTCTTGTCTTGGCAAATAGACTCAGTGAAGATGAATCCGTGAACGTCCTGCTCATTGAAGCAGGTGCCAATCGCATGGGCGATCCTCGCATTGACACTCCTGGCCTTTTAGGCACGCTCTATGGCAATCCGGACTTTGACTGGGATTACATGAGTGTTCCTCAGGTACTTTGCAACCCACGGCGTTTGCAATTTATCTATCCTAATTAAGTATAGGTAAATGCGAAGAACCGCCAAATTGGCCAGCCCCGTGGCCGTGTCGTCGGTGGCTGCTCCGCCATGAACTTTGCAGTGGCCGTCTATCCCACCACTTCGAATTTTGACTCTTGGAAAGAGCTAGGTAATGAAGGTTGGGGCGCGAAGGATATGGCCCCTTACCTTCGGAAATTCCACTCCTACTCTCCACCAAGCGAAGCTACCGCAGAACTCCTTGATACGACTCGGTACATGAGTGTTGAAAAGCAGGGCTGTGACGGCCCTGTTCCATTGTCTCTTCCGGATGTGTATGGCCCGTTTAATAAAGCGTGGAACGAGACATTTGCGCAACTAGGCTGGGAAACAGACGCCGACCCCATTGAGGGGCAAAAACTAGGAGCTTTCACTTCTCCATTGACCGTGGATGCAAACACGGGAAAAAGAGGGTATGCGGCGGCATACTATACCCCCGAAGTTGCAGCCCGGCCCAATCTGCGGCTACTCACAGAGACAATGGTTGAGAAGATTGATCTCACTCAAGAGGAGGGAGAGTTGGTCGCAAAAGGCGTCCAAGTCAAGACCCAGGACAGTTCATACCAAATCATCGCAAAGAAAGAGGTGATCCTTTGTGCGGGCAGTTTGAACTCTCCCCAGCTGCTTGAACTTTCTGGCATTGGAGGCGCAGATCTTCTGCACAGCCACGGCATCCCAGTTCTTATTGATAACCCAGCAGTGGGCGAGAACCTGCAAGATCACGCCCTCACCACTATCAACTTCGAGGTTGCTGATGGTCAGATCTCGGGTGATATCTTGCGCGATCCCAACGTTGTGCAAGCGGTCATGAAAATCTACGAGGAGACAAACGGTGGGCCACTGGCAGGCATGCCTATCAGCATGGCCTATCTCCCCTTCGTAGATGGCAATGGCACCGTACCCAGGGAAGAGATTGAAAGGCTTCTGACCACATACCTCGACAACGAGGACATTCCAGCCAACCTACAAGTGCAATATACCCAGCTCCGCAACATGCTCCTCCAGCCTGAAGACGCCTCTGCGCACTTCCTTTTCCTCCCCGCACAGCTCCATATGCATCCAGGCAAGACAACACTCACCGATGTTTTGGCCAAAACACTCCCAGAAAACTATATCTCGATCATGATGTTGCACAACCACCCCTTCTCACGGGGCTCCGTCCATATCTTCTCCGGAAAGAGTGAGGATAAACCAACCTACGACCCCAATTTCCTGTCGCACCCGCTTGATCTAGAGATCATGGCCAGGCAGATGCAGTTCGCAGAACGAATTGTTGAGACAGGGCCATTTTCGACGCTCCTAAAGCCAGGGAAACGCATGCCTGAGCATGCAACAGGTCTCAGTGACCTAAATCACACAAAGGACATTGTGAAAGACAGGCTCTATACTTGCTTCCACCCCGCGGGATCGTGCGCCATGTTGCCGAAGAATATCGGCGGAGTAGTTGACTCTAAGCTAAAGGTTTACGGCACGAGAAATTTGAGGGTGGTAGATGCTAGTATTTTCCCTCTTGAACCGAGTGGAAATATTCAGGCTGCTGTTTATGCAGTTGCAGAACGAGCGGCTGATATGATCAGAGGTGGAAATTAGCTACAATTAACTTTTAGCTCATGGGTTGTTGATACGCTTTTAACCGGAAGTGGCAATATATTCATAAGAATAAGTCATAGCTCCAAGACTACTTTTAGATTATTCTTTTATATTTTGATTTAACTCACACAACCATGTAGCTTTTATGCGAGCTTAGAGCTGCGGGGAGTGGCATCCCTACGCGAGCGATAAATTTAGTTTCAAGCTTCAAATAAGGGGATGAAATGCTTCAGGGGTCATGGTAATCATATTGTTTTGACCGATCATCATATGGCCGTAAATGTACAAAAAGTATGTATCCCAAACTTTAAGAGGAAGAATGGCGCAAAGTATCTATAAAGAAAAGAAACAACGCTTACATTTGTGAGAAGTATTCATCGAAGTTATCCGCCGCAACCTTGGTACAATCGAAGCCGTAGATCTCCCGCTGGACATCGGCATCAGCCCACTTATCAGGGACAGGGCCCTTGCCAGCGCGGAGGGCAGCAAATTGCTTGTCACGCTCTTCCTTGGCAGCACCCTCGCCCAAATGCAGAGCGCGACCAGAAGCGGTAGCCATCTCCACCAAAGCCTCAGCGCGGCTCTTGCGGACCTTCTCGTAGACACGAAGAGCCTTGTTGATAGACTCGGGAGTTGTGTCGGGGAGCTTGGAGAGAACAACGCCTAGAACAGCACCGTCCTCAATAGCCTGGGCAGCACCCTGGGCTAGATGAGGCAGGGTCGGGTGGCATGCATCGCCAACAAGGGCGACGGAATCGTGAACCCAAGTTGGAAGAGGTTCGTGTACACGCAGCTTCCACTCGCAGACCTCGCCTTCGGGGACGTAGTTCAGCATACGCTGGACCATGGGGCAGAAATCGGAGAAAACGCCCATCATCGCGGGCTTCGAGCCTTTCGTGGTGTAGGTGGCGTTGGTGGCGGCTGCGAAGTTGGTGTCGGGCTGGGTGGTGGAGAGGTTGTAGATGGTGTTATTGGAAACGGCATACGCGATAATGTGACGCTTTGCGCCAATCCAGCGAGTGACGCGGTTGCTGTTGATAAGCGCAAGGAGCTCAGGGTCGTCCTTGATCTGATCCTTGTGAATCATGATACGGTAGGCTGCTTGCTGTGTGTCCTTGACGCCAACGTCGACGCCCAGACGCTTCAGCATCTCTACACGGGTCACACTCTTAATGCCATCGGCTGCAAGAAGTACATCACACTCCACCTTGTAAGGCGCAGATCCCTCGGCTCGGGGGTTAGCTGTGAAGGATGGCCGGGGGCCAAAGGAGTCCACGTTGTCGGCATTGATTCCGAAGTGGAATTTAATTGAGGAGTGCTTCTTGCAGCCTTCATACAAGCCGTTGGCAAGGGATGCACGGTGGCCAACCATGTGCTTATATCCGTATGTTGCTTCAATGTAACGCAGATCAACGTACGCATGCTCAGAGTCCGTTGCGCCATCTGAAAACTGCGATTAGACAACCATGAATCATCATATCTTTGAGCGTAACCCACCTCTCACTGATGTATCTTCAATGTTAACGGCCTCGGCTTCAATGCCTTTCCAGACACCAAGTCCATCGAGAACACGAGCCATGTTGGGCGCGAGTTGAATACCAGCACCGACAAAGCCAAGATCGCTGGCATTTTCATAAACATCAATATTCTTAAATCCCTGCTGGGCCAGAGCAAGGGCGGAAGTCAAACCGCCCATACCAGCGCCCAGAATGGCGATTTGCAAATCTTGGGGTGCTTTCGTCATTGTGTCGAAGTTGTGCGGAGTAGATATAGGGGAAGTTCAAAATGTCAAAGAAAAAGAAAATCAAAAGGAGCTCGGCCACAGACCTTTATTATAATCAACCATTGCCCGAGGGATGTTGCCGACCAGATTTGGTGTCGTAAACTGCTGGACCTCTATGGTCACGGCGGAGTAAATCTTTCCCGCTTCTCCCACATTCTCCCCACACGTCGGTCTTAAGCGGCTTGGAGGAGCTCGGCCAGGTTGGAGACTTCATCATTTTCTGCTTGGACTTTATCCGCTCGCAAATAACATCTCGGTAATCAGTAGAGCGGCTGAAATCATCTCAAGCTTCTCTATGGAGTACATTGTACTGCATATCGCATTGTCTAGCACATTTTGGCCAATCAGCATCACGGGATTGAATCCGGCTTCCTTAGTTCTTGACATTTGCCGCGACTCTCTCTCTCTCTCTTACATACACTTAAATATGGATTATAGACTCCATATGAACTACGAACAATTATTGATGCGACTATCAATTTGGATTTGAGTGGCAAGGCGCGTCCGTCACCCCGCCAATCTCCAGCTTCCCCACAGTTCCAACTCCGGATTTGCCCCAGTGAAACACGGACCTACGGAGGAACCTATGTAGAAGGTTGAAAACTACTTCGTCGGGCCTAACATCGCTTTCGCTATAGTAGCTATTCAGGTAGGACTTGGGAAAGGAAGATATTCTTTATATACCAAGAGAGGCCAATAGCGAATATTGAGAAGAGGATAGATCATTGATGATTCGATATCCGTCGATATCCGAGGAGCTAAAACTTTACGGTTTCCTACTTCTGTTCAAAAAATTTTAACCCATAGTCCTGAATGTCTTACATTGTTCATATCGCAATTTCACTCACGAAGATCAACTGCACTACATGATCCAACCAATCAGGAGACCATCTAAATTTATGCGTTTAGTTACATTAGAGAACCATTGAGTGTCTTTATCGATCATATTGCCCAGTACTGCAATCACTGAAAATCCATCATCGCAATACAATCACCCTGGGGTTGCCCACCCCCCAAATTAATGCCATAAGGAAATCTAACTAATAATTTGCCTGAAAATATCTGATAATCTCCCCCCCTCTCTCTCTTCAAAAAGCCAGAGTTCGCCTTTTCACTCTATCTTTCTCTATGAGCCACGCGTAAATCAATGGCGAGGCTCAAAGAGGTAATCTCGATCAACGGAAACAAGCTTCGCCACGATATCCTGTCTCCAAACTTTGACGAGACTGATAACATAGGCAGTCAAGGAGCCGCTTTTTTCCACAATGGGAAAAGATACATGGAATCGAGTTTGATGGTGCATGGCATGTGGCGTGATTGTGAAAGTTCCCGATTGTATGCGTTCAATAATAAGATCCATCAATTCCTTATCTGTGTTATGCTGGTCATTGTTGCGAATTCTGACTGACATCCATTGCAGGTCTTTGACAGAGCTATGGTCCTCAAAAATGGGAACGCCGTTCTCCATGAATATGGTTCGGGTGGAAGCCCGAGACTTGTAGAAAACCATTTCAGTATTTATATTGCGCTAGGCTCTCAGCTTGGATGTTCAAGGAAGAAAATTCAAGTTTCCTGTGATATTGCTAGAGTTGTGATGTAGGACTGTGACTTCTATGCTATTGAGTGGATGCATAGGATTTTGGCTTCCAGGCTGATTAAGTACTAGCCTGTCAGATCAAGTCATGGGTCTTTCAAATAAAGCGTTGTATATATCATAAGGATATCTCATTGATGCATGGTTACAATGAATTCTTTGAGTCTTTGGGGCTCAACGCCTCGAAAGTCAAATTGACGACACCTAACAAAGGATTAATAGCTCATGACTTGAATCAATCTCAGTGCAATGAGCCAAAGATCACCTAAGTGGCCGATTTCATGCAAAGATCTTCTCTCAGCAAGGCGATTAAATGGAAATATTTATCTTGAGTTCCGTGCCGGTACATTCGCTGCTTTAGCCTCTCTGTTTCAGTGAATGGGAAGCAAAAGAAAAGAAAACCCCGATGCCACCAAGAAATTCCAAGAACTATGCTTTGAACCTCATCGATAAAGGCAAGGGTGTACTATGATAATAATATGATCAACTAGAGTTGTTACAAACTGGCAGTGATGCCCTAAAATAGGACAATGTGCTTTTTCTGGAATGCCGCAGACTTATGACAGGACTAGAACCAAAAGAAATTCTGTCCTTGATGACTTTGCTCTTTGTATCTACATAGCACAATAGCATAAATATAAAAGCAACATCCTGCACAAACATGACTGTCGCGCTTTATGTGAGTTCCGTGAGCCTACCTTCATTATTGTGTGTGAACAAGCCCCGGCTAGTCGCTGCTCTTTAACATGGATATATATAGTTTGATCATCGTTTTAAGTACATGACCCAGCGATCTTTTGCAAGCCATTGGTAGGACAAAGCCTTCATATACGGGGATTCTTTCCGCAAGACCACACCGACTTTCTTTCCTTCCTCTGGCTTTTTCGTAAACCCAATCTAAGCATAACCTTCAAGTTAAACGATGAGGCTTCTTTGCTCAATATCAGCTTATACAATGTGATATCGCGATAAGCGTGTGACAGCATGAATCTACGTCAATACCATATTTCGATGAAGATTAGACGAAGGATCCCACGAGAAATCCTTGAAAAGGATCTGTACCCCAATATATTGATAAAGAAGATGGTGCAGAGAATGAAGGGAGAGTCGTAATTTGATCCAGATTGTAATTGATAGTAAGAAACACGTTCTCATCTGAAAGCCAGTTTGTCTTTACTAGAGACCTCCTGCATTACAGCGATTGACTTTTGAACAGCGGGTCACTTACGGTGTTTATCCGTTTATTCGAGTTTTGAACTCAGTAAACAAGTCCTAATAGCCACTATACATAGCTTATCACCTAACGCCGGAGCCAACTACCAAAAAAAGAATAGTGGATAATGCGAAGCGCTATGACGCGGCTTTGTCGTCGCTGCAGCCCTAAATGCGTGGCATATGAACCTTGCAACCTGCAGTCAAATTTGCGATCTGATAAATTTTCTCCAAGCCGCATATCCTTCAAAACTTCACTCCTGGTACAGGAACTCGTCCAAAATGCGACCTGTGTCGCTCCTCCCGGCGTTCCTGAGCCTATCGAGCGCCCTCGTCACTGCTCCACTCCCGATCAACAGTACAGCGCCGATCAAAAATGCAAACCACATTTTCAATGCCATCCAAGACTCCATGCGCCAATGGGGCTCTTCCCTCCACCACAACGGTGTGTCATTCTTCCTCGCCCGCGTTCCCGCTGGCACCGAGTTCTACCACGGAACTTCCGAGGCCAACCCAATAAACGGCACCCAATGGTTGGCTTTCGAGCCTGAACATGCTATGGTCTTCGCACGTCCACACCGTGGACCTCCACCCCCGCACGATGATGATACCGAGGAACACGGCCATGGGGAGCTGCGCAAGCGCGAGCATGGCGAGAACGAGAAATTTCCCGGCCCACCACACGGTCCGCCGACGGAGGCCTCGGAGGATGCTACTGGGTACTTACACACTTATGCTGCTGCTAAGGATCTTCGTCTTCTGTATCTTGATGGTATGTCTGCTGCGAAGACAGCAAAGGGTACACTTGATTCGCAGGATATTGTTTTGTTCAACGGGTCCATTGAGGATCCCCCCGTGGCGGTCGCCAAGAGACTGAGCGGGCTAGATTTGCTTGTGAGCTCGCCGAGAATGAATGGGAAGGTCGCATTGATGGTGTGCTCCGCATGGAGGCTGGCTTCGAAATCATTCTCTGTCAGTTCGAGCGCGATCTGACTCCTGTTCGGATCACGCAAGTTAAACAGGATACCATGCGGGGTGGACCTCATGATGGACCTGGACCCAAGGATGACCGTAAGCATGGTAGGAAGGGTGGATCTGGACCTAAAGATAACCGCAAGCATGGCGAGCATGGTGATTCCCGCAAGCAGGATGGGGGAAAACACCATGATGGCCGTGGTCCTCATGAGGACGACAAGAAGCACCGCGAAAGTCAAGGTCCGCGTGAGACTGCCCTTGAAGAGCTTCTTAGGTCCCGCAATGATAAAATGCGTTACGACGCTCGCCACCCTCGCCTGGGTATCAATGGCGAGTACCGTGATGGCCATGGTCCACACAGCCAAGATGATGGCAAACCGCACGGCCCTGGTGGCCCAGGTGGCCCAGGCGGACCGGGACATGGACCTGACTCATCAAGATGGATGCGGGCTGTGACTGCTCGCTACAACGGCATCGGTGGCAACAGAGTATCTCTCAACTTCGATCACTTCGTGACAGCCTTCTCGCACGACGGTGACCTCTTCCAAGATGGCACACGTCACCCTCGCCTAGCGAACCTTTCTGACGAGCAGCTCGCCGCTATTCGCGATGAAGTGACTGACATGATCAAGTTCTACCACCCAGCCGAAGTCTGCGAGGATTGGCAAGCGATTTCCGATATGATCATTACCCGGTACAGCAATGAGCTGTCGTATCTTGCTTCCGGCAAGGTTGAGTCAATGGAGCGCCTGCAAGACGAGATCGAGCGTTTGATGTCTCCGTTCATTGATTTCGGCAACCGCGATTCTGATGTTGAGATTGAGCGCTGCACGACGCAGTTCTTGCCGGCGCAGGCTTTGGAGGGTGGCACGCTTGCCGCTGGCGCTGTTTACGGGGTTGCGCAGAAGATTTGCTCGAGCTTGGTTGAGGCTCAGGGTCTGGGCGGTTTGAAATCTGCGGTGCAGGTTATTCGCGATCTTGTGGTTTACCTTGATTGGACTACGTGGAAGCAGTGCAAGGGCTGTGAGGCGAATGAGATTTGTGTGGTACCTATTTGGCCTATGGGAACTGTCGAGGATTATGAGAACCCGAAGTGTAGGGATGCTTCTGATCCTTACCCACAGGGTGGGGAGAGCTACTGGGGTGGTATGCACCCTTAAGTGGGTCATCAGGTTACAAGATTGATGCTTTGATTTTATTAGTTCTTCTTTTTGCCGGGAAGGGGTTTTGTTTGGACATAATAATCGATTTTATTTAACACTTATCGAGCATTTATCAAAGGTGGAGGGTATATACAGTATACAGCAGAGAATCATATTCTCGAGAATTGTACAAGGGAGACCATTGTGTTCGTCGATATGCATGCGATATTATAAACAAAAACGAGGTCATGGTCCCTCGGCCAAAAGGGAATGGGCAATGGTGGATGGTAGAAGAAAAAGTTGGATCCTATCAAGGTTACTGGGAGAGAGCGGCGTCAACGGTGCTGACGACGGTGCCCACGGCCATGCCGAGGCTGCCGAGACCAAAAGTAGAGAGGAGGCTCTGGAAAGCGGAGTCGACCTTGATAAGCAGGACGGAGGCCTGGTTCTCGGCCTGGACGGCAATGAAGCTAGCGCCGGGGATCTGGGGCATCTGGGACTGGAGGCCGGAGACGGAGGGGGCCATTGCAACGACGTTGCCGATAGGACCCTCGACGGTGGAGAGGTCGAGACCGCCAACAAGACCGAGGAGAGTAGGCTCGAGCTGGACAATCATGTTCTTACCGCCAGCGAGGCCGTTCAAGTCAGTGATGGTGAGGACGTTGGAGAGAGGGCCATCACGCTTGATGTTGCCGGCAAGAGACTCCACGGAGCTCAGGGCAGAGGAGAGAGGATCCTCGCGCTTGATGTTGCCAGTGAGAGACTCAACTGAGCCGAGAGCGGAAGAGACAATGTCCTGGCGCTTGATGTTTCCAGTCACGGACTCAAGGCCGCCAACAATAGAGCCAAGAAGGCTGCCAACCTCGCCGAGACCAAGGCTGTCGAGGAGATCGACAACGCTCTGGGTCAGCTCGATCAGGGCAGCGTTACCATTCTCTAGAATTGCGGTGACCTGGGTGAGACCGGAGCCATTGCTGCTGTCCAACTGGTCCACAGACTGAGCAGTCTGAATGACCTGGCCAATGGGCTGCTCGAGAACGCTGAGAGGCAGCTTGCTGACGAGGCTCTGGAGCTCGGACTCAGCCACCATCTTGACGTTGGAGGTTCCGGCCTGGTTGAGCACGTTCAGGACTTGGCCAGCGCCGAAGCTCTTGGTCATGCTGGTGACAGCACTGGTGGGGATTGCCCCGACAGAGGAAGAGGAAGAAGCTGCAGCCCCAGAGCAGGTGGGGATCAGGGAGGCAATAGGCAGGGGAAAGCCTGAAGGGATGGTGCCGGAGGGCAGGCAGGCGGGGATGCCAGAGGGCAGCGAGCCAGTTACTCCGGACAAGACGTTAGTGGGCAGGGCCACAGCAGTCGAGGCCAGGAGGGCGGCGGAAAAGGCGAATGACTTCATCTTGTCTAAGGAGTGACTTCAGTTAAAAACTGGTAATAATGAATGGACGGTATTCACCGAAAGTAAGGAATGACTTGGTAAGGAATGACAAGAAGAAGTATCTTGAAGATCACATATCACGGACGGGCGTCTCCTATAAATACAACCGTTGTCGAGGGATCAGCCTGGACCCGTACCTAGACCTCAGTCTCCTGAGCCCAAACTAGCAGGAGATATCACAAATTAGTCCAGCAGGGCCCTGCTTCGACTAGCCTCCGAAAGAAATAAGCTTCTTCCTGAGTGGCTGACCATGCCGCCGCCACATTGCAATTGGGTCCGGCAAAGAAGTTTTAGCTCCGCTTTAAGCTTCGTGAGAAGCCAATCCTCATCAGCCATTCCGCAGATCAGTCAAAAGCCGGGGTTCAATTTCCACTCCCCAAGCCGAGATAACGGTCCAAGCCAAGACAACGACGTTGACTGCAATGCACCAGCCCACAGAATGGAGAATTTCGCTTGTTAGAACGCCAGGCGTCATACAGAGAAAGTGTTTTACCACATGGTTCCCAGTATTCAAAGTTGCGATATAGCTTCCAGGGGCTTGATTCCAAGATCTTAGGGGCTTCATACTTCCCGTAGGCAACAAAGGTGAGGGATCGACACGACGGGAAACAACCTTACCCCTTTAAAGTGCCAATGAGCACGAGTCTCCTGAGCTGAGACCGCTCAAAATTTACAACTCATTGGCCCGAAATGACGGTTTCCAACTGAACTCCACACCGCAAAAACAGACACTGTCGATTGCAATTTCTGACATTCGGTTTTGCGCATTTACAACTAGAATATGAGGACCTGTGGGATTGACGCCGAAAATGACCGCTTGTGAGGCCAGAAACGGCTGCCTTTCCACTCGTAACTTTGGACGTCCAGCCGCCCCTTGACCGCCCACTGTCCTGTAACACCACTAACTATTCTGCACCCGCCTAGCACTTTTAGTCATCCTCCGGTCCTGATGTTGACGCTCGACTTACATAGTTGTTCCCCTCGTTTCTACTGGCGACCAAAACGACGCCAAAAATGGCTCCCCTTTAGCTAAATCTAACTCCCCTCCCTTTTCGCCTAGTCCATTCAAGCGCCTATAAGATGCTTCGCCTTCCCTCCTTCCGGTGTCCTTATACCTCCTATTCTCTTATCCTCGTTACCTACGCCTTAAGCTGACCTTAGCGTTATCGTTTCTTATAATATAAATTTTCTACCTTAGTCTTTATATCTGGCCTCCTTTATAGCACTTACGCCTATATATGGCTTCCTCTAAACTTGTAAAATATAGGGGGTTCTAGGTTTTACAGAATAGGGCCTGTCAACTAGGTAAGATGAAGATGTCTCAGGAACAGATGAATGGTATGAATAGTACAGAGACTGATTCTTGGGGAACTCCCAGGTTCCCCAAAGTGGGCTATTTAACATGAACAGGAGCGGGACAGAGTGGCGGTCAATTTACGCTGTATGATCGACAGTGATACGCTGGCAATAATCTGACTCAATGACAGGACTCTGAAGGTTCAGGATTCACTCCGTTACATAGACTAATACTTCGGTCTAGATCTATTTGGCGCACTACCTAGCATCGTTCCTCGATACCCTCGAAAGGCCTCAATCCCGTAGTAACGCCTATTAGGCAACGGTACGGTTGAGAGACAGATCGTTAATATTAGGAGTCTACAGGAAATCAGAGAAGTATGTTCCGATTCTATCTAAAATAGATGTGACCAGTTAGCTATGCGTAACTAATTCACTTAGGTGCGAAGCGTTTTATATAGTGTAACTTTTTCTCGAACTCCGGCGGGACTATCAGCACTTTCCCTCTTTACTCCTAGTACCGGGGCTAACGTATCATAATATGGAAATGAAGAAACTAAGGTTGTAAAATATCGCATTCACCATGGTGTTTTGGGGTGTCCCACTCGCTTGTGAAATACGTTATCTGAAAAGTTAACAGAGATTAGTCTACGAAGGTGTACAGCCCTCTTTTGTTAGAAAAACCATTTCTGCTGAATACCCGTAATTAATGTATCGTCAACCCAACACAGGCTCAACTGTCTCCCTCCCATGTGATAGGTCAAACCCCCCTCCTCTTCATCGCTGCCTTAAAGCTCTTCACAAACTCCGGAATATGTTCTGGATTCAACATACGCGCATGAATCCCCGGACACTCATGGAACTCAACATCAGTCCTGCCAAATTCCCTCCACGCGCCCAACTTATTCTCCACCCAGTCGCGGCGATCCAGGGCCGCATACCCCGGCGGATCCGCAATGAACACATCGAGATGGTCCACGCTCCCCACTGGCTCATAGTTCTCGCCATGCATTCGGAAGTTCTCACCAATATCGCTGATCTTGCCTAGGATCTCGGTCGAGAGCGCCAGTGCATGCGCACGGTCCTGGTTCCCAATAGCCAGGACATAGCTGAGGGTTTCATCTCGGGATAGAGGCTTCCCCTCTTTCTCACGGGAAAGAAAATAAGCTTTCGCAGAGTCCATGAGCTCGTCGCCGATGAGTTCTAGGAAGAACGAGATGTGCAGGACAACGTCCTGCCAGTTCTGGCCGGACACGTATTTCCGGATATGTGGTGGGTAGTCGATGGATGCGAGGAAGCGGACCTCCTGCCCCTGGGACTCGAGCAGCTTACCAACTTCGAAGGCGAGTGTTGAGCCGAGCGAGTACCCTGCTATGGCGTAGGGCCCGTGGGGCTGGACCTTGCGGATGTGCGAGCTGTATGTTTCGACTGTGGATTGCATGGTGGGAAAGAGCGGCTCGTTGGCGTTGTATCCGCGGGTGCGGATGGCGTAGACTGGGCGGTTGGGGAATTGGGCGGCTAGAGCGATGAAGACAAGGATGTCGCCACTGCCGGGGTGGATGAGGAAAAGGGGGGTTTGCGTGCCGTGGACTTGAAGGGGAACGATGGGGTTATAGACTGGGGGTAGAGCGTAGAGGTTGTCGACTGCAGAGGCGATTTCACCCACTGTTGGTCTGGTGGTTGGTTAGTATACAAACACTCATACTAATGTGGAAAGAGTAGATAAGGTTACTGTGTCATGAGGACGGACATGGGAATGTCCACGGCAATCCTGGTCTTGAGTGATATCAGGTCAAATGAGGAGATACCCAGCTCGAAGACTGACGAGTCGGCACTGATATTCTCCATAGGGATCTGTAGTATCTCGCTCAAGACGGCCTGAATCTTACGCTCTGTCTCTGTAGAGCACTGCTTCCAGGTTGACTGCCGATACTCGTTGAGCGCAGCCAACTGGCGCTCTTCTATGGCGGCGTAGACGCCACTGACAAACGCAGTGCGGACTTTCGTGCGCGAGACCTTGCCCAGCAACGACTTCTCCAGCATCTCTGCCGGCAGCGGGATAATATGGCCTGGCTTTTGCGCCGTGACAAGCGCAACGACCTTGGCGACTGCGGCGTCGGTCTCGAACCGCACGGCGGCCTCGTCCTCGCCGAACGTGGGGACATATACAACAGCTACACCCTCTGTCGGGGAACCAGGGTAGCGATACGGAAAGACGACAGTGCACGAGGGCGTCACGCCGGGGATTCCCTCCTCTTCAATGGCCGTCTCGATCTCGGCCGCGCTCCAGTTGACCCCATTGATAATGATGATGTCCTTGATCCGACCGGCGAGGTTGAGGCTGCCCGATTCGTCTAGCCAGGCCAGATCCCCTGTAATGAACCATCCATCCTCCGTGAAGGCCTGTGCAGTCGCGACCGGGTCATTGTAGTATCCGGTGAAGACGACGGGGCCCTTGAGCTGTAGCTCGCCGCTCTCTCCGCACGCCGCATGCTGATTGTTCTTGCCTATCACCCGCATCTGCGCACCGGGGATGCAAGTCCCCAGCCTCGCAAACTCCAGGCCCCGCTTGACGTCTGCAGATGGGAATCCACCAGTGTAGTGGATCACCCCTGCACATGTCTCCGTCATGCCGAATCCAGGGCTGATGACCTCCAGATTGCTGGGGATACGGCATCTCTGCTGGAGCTGGCGAGTTAGGGCCTCGCACGTCGCGACAACATTGGCTTCCCCGCCAGAATTGATTCTTCTCAGCGCAGACAAATCCGCCGTTACCTTGGGATTTGCTGCAAGAGCATCACGTAACTTGGCGAGGAAGAAGTTAGGCGCGAATGTCGATGTGACGAGGTGAGTCTCGAGCAGCTCAATGAACAGGAGGGGATTATGTGATAGTTTGCTTGCAGGGACATGCACCTGTTCGCTCCCCAGGCTGACCGCAAGCAAGTGCACCTCCGTCATGCTTGCGACATGGTCCAAACCAACCCAATTCAGAAACACATCGCCCGGTCGACTCCCATAATGAGACGCCTTCCCCCGCAGCGCGGCCAGAATCTGCCCATGGCGGAGCGGGACTGCCTTTACGTTCCCCGTGCTACCGGATGTCAGCATCAACAAGGCCGTCTGCTCGGGGTTCTTGAGCGGGCCGGGCAAGTTCATGGCAGGGTTTGTTGTCCTTCTGTCACCCAGCGACTCAACAGAGTGTAGATCAAGCCCTTCCACATCGCGGAACTCCGACAGCAGTCGCTCGCTGGTTAGAATTATGGGCTTGTCCAGCAAAGCCTGGAGATGCAGGATGTGTTTCTTGCGCTTGCCTTCGTCGTAGACGAACGGGGTGGACATGCATGGGATGAGACCGGCCAGGGTCACAGCCCAGAACCATAGGACGGCTTCACACTGGGTGTCAAAGTGCAGGAGCACAATGGACGAGCCCGAGGCTGAGGCTGAGGCTGAGGCCGAGAAATCACGGAGGAGGTGAGCTTTCTCCGTCGTGTCTTGCTGGAAATCAGCGTACAAGGTGTACATGGGTTGCGAAGAAGACGTTTCGTAGAATGTCAGGCCACTTTGGCAGCGGGATGCATTCTCAAGAAGCTGGCTGATATTCTTGACGGCAAGGACCGTGTCGTTTTGACCAGTGCATGTCATGGCTGAGCTGTTGTAGTTCAAGGCACGAGGATTGTGTGGACTGGGTTAAGTATGCAACAGGAAGGATGCCTAATTTTGGGCAACAAAATTTGGGACTGAACGACTTTATTAATAGATTGGTCATAGTTCACATGCTGTGTTCACCAGCTGCAGCTGCCTCGCGTCCCCAACCTCCTTGAGCCAACGATTTTTCGGTGAGGTTTCACCTACCCTCCTTCGTATCTTTTACTTTGAGTTACATCTTTCCTACCCTCTCCAACCGAATCCTAAGCCGCTAGGTATCGTGAAGCATACCCGAAGACCGGTATTCCCTTCTGCCCAGTCCAATGCCCGTGGACAAAGAACATTTACTGGTCTCATCAGCACCACAAGCTGCCCGCTCACGCCTACCCCCATTACCCCGCTATACGCCGGACTTGATCACATCAAGACGCGAAGAAACGATTCAGCAAGAGAGATATGAGGTCGTCGTTGTTGGAGTACGTACAGCACACACATATCGAGGCCTACCCCTGTTGCTGGCGTAGCTAGCTGACTGACTGACTCTATTTTAATCTAACCAGGCTGGCCCTGCAGGCATCCTACTCACCTGTCTCCTAGCCCGGTACGGACTAAGGGACGAGAATTCATTGCTATGCATCGACCTGAAGAGCGGGACCCTTGGGTCGGGACACGCGGATGCGCTGCAGCCGCGGACATTGGAGGTATTGAAGTCGATGGGTCTGGCGGATGCGATTATCAATGAGGTGAGTTGGCTTAAAACTCTAAGCTAACCGTAGATTATGGTATGGTGTGGTATGGTATTGTCAAACTAACGGGAAAACAGGGGTTTCAGTGCTGGGAACGCAGTGCGTGGGATCCCTCGCCCGGGAACGAGGAAAAGATCGAACAGGGCTATGTTAAACCGGTATTGGATTCCACCGCTGGGTACCGGTACCCGTTTGTGTTGTTGATGCACCAGGGAAGGACGGAGCAAATGCTTGAGGCGGACTTGCTGCGGTATTCAAAACACGGGGTTCAGAGGGAGACAAAACTGATCGATGTGGGCATTGACGAGCACGGTGATAAGGAATTTCCGGTTAAATGTGTGATTGAGACGGCAGACGATGAGCAGGGCGGAACTCAGACCCGTACTGTGCGGTGCAAACACGTCGTCGGTGCGGATGGGGCCCACTCCACCGTGCGGCGATGTATGCAGCTCGATCTAGTCGGGGACTCGCTAGGGTATATGTGGGGTGTTGTCGACCTTGTCTTGGACACGGATTTCCCTGATATCCGGAGATTCTCTTCAGTGCGCTCGGCGGGGGGTTCGGTTCTTGTTATACCGCGGGAGCAGATACCTGCAACAGGGGAGTATCTGAGCCGACTTTACATCCAGATCCCTGGGGAGGTGGCCTTAGATATGAGCGTGGAGGAAGCCAGAGCGAAGCGCAGTGAGATCACGTTGGAAAGCTTGCTTGAGACTGCTGGCCGGGTCTTCAGGCCGTTTAGTATAAAGCAGAAACAGGGCACCGCGGTAGAGTGGTGGGCTATTTATCACATCGGGCAGAGGATGACCAAGGATTTTATCGTTAGGGATTCAACTGGTCTCCCTCGCGTTTTTCTGGTGGGAGATGGTGAGCATCCCTAATGTCCATTTTCTGCAAATAAAGAGAGAAAAGGGCGAAAGCTGACAGGATACATAGCTTGTCATACGCACAGCCCCAAGGCCGGACAGGGCATGAACGTCTCTATGATGGACTCGTACAACCTGGCCTGGAAGCTCGCATACTCCATCCACGGTTTAACACCGACGCCTCTCTTAGAGACGTACGAAACCGAGCGGCGGGCAGTTGCGCGGCAGCTTCTCGACGCTGATAAGGTTTTCAGCACGGCGATTTCGCAGCCAATTGCAAGCACACAGGAATCTGGCGATGTTCAAGGGTCGCTTTCCAAGCAACTGGATGGGATACTCAGCGCTCTAGCGGGATTCATCAGCGGATGTGGCATTCAGTACCCGGAAAATGCGCTCGTCGAGCTCCCTGCTATTCATGGTACCGATACTGATCCTCTGTGCGGCATTCTCCACCCAGGAACCAGAGTTGCAAACGTGAAGCTGAAGAGATACGTCGATGGGGCGCCGCGGGATCTACAAGATAGTCGGTCAAGCCCATTCCCATACCCACACCTTCATCCAGATAAAGTCAACGACACATTGAAGCTAACACTTCCAGCACAGGCTTCCCCAGCACCGGTCGCTTCCGTATCTTAGTTCTAACCTCGACCGACTTCCTGGCCCCCCTCGGCATTTCATCCAGCACCCTGAATACAATCGGAGGGACACTTATTCCCTCTTTTCCGCCTTCACTTATAGAACAGGTCATCCTCTATCCCGGCCTCTGCGTCTGCCGACATTTCCGCTGGGAAGATCTCCCGAGAACTGTGAAGGTGTACTCAGAGATGCGATTATTCGACGGCTCCGGCTCGGATCTGGCTCAGGGTGAAGATGCATACACTCGCTTCGGTGTCGCTCCGGACAGGGGGGCTATGGCGGTGGTGCGACCTGATGGGTATGTTGGGATCGTGGCAGAATTGGGGGATGTGGCGAGAGTAGAGTCCTACCTGGCGCGGTTTGTGAAAAGGTAGGCGTGGGTTTGTTCAGAGGGTTCAGATGAGCAGAGCAAGAACAGTGGCAAGTTTGACATTTCATGGGCCTATCAATGACTGCAGTAAAGTCCCGTGCTTTGCTCTATACGCTCGTTGACATGAGCATGCCATTGGCAAAACTTTCTAATGAAGGCCGTCGTTATAGAGAAGCTGTCGTGGAATCTGGCTCGTTGGATAGCTTCCGTCTTTTTACTTTTGGCTCGTTCTCAGTCGTAGGAAACCTAGAATTAGTCCCTGGACAGCATTCCCTTACTAGGAAGCACTTTATGGGTAACAAGGTCCTGGGGAAGTTGAGTTAGGGGGCCAACATGCTGAGCAGTGGGCCCTCATTATGCACCAAACAATACAAACATGCCTACTTATCGCAGCTGCATAAGTAATACATTTTTCTCCGGATTTTTGGGGTATTCAAATTAGCGTCTAAGCTGTACGTGAAGCTGTACATGAACCATCTTCTTATAAGCTTGAAATCTAATTCGCAGGATATAAGATATGTTGAATTCCACCGAGTTTCTACATCCTGGAGAAGCATAATCCCCTTCCCTGAAGGTTGAAGTCTGATAAATGAATCTCGGCGCTGAGGACTGGCGCGGATGTATACAGCAAGTGCTCATATTCTTTTCAAAGTATGCGAGATATCCCGGTTTTTTGTATTCGCCCTTGCGAGAGTGACTTGTTGCTCAGTTCATTTGGTCTCTATGGTCTCATTCTGAGAGACTGCTTTGAGACGGTCAAGTAGCTGGTTCAAACTCAATTAGTTCACATGCGCAAGACAGGGGATGCGGATGATGTTGATATCCCGTGCATGAGATAAAGATTGTTGTAACAAAGATTGCTGTAGTGTATCAACCAGTCTTGTTATTCGACGCAACATTAGTGGTCAATCCAAATATCCGGTTCTCAATTTCATGCTGAGTAACCGTCTGTATGACAGTTGTACTCAGATTCACACCGAAGTGTGTTCCACGAAGGGGTTTGAAAACGAGTAGCACCTCGCGGTAGACCCAGTCAGCATCAATAAAATAGCCAGTAATGGCCATTAATGCCTGCCCAAATGGAGATGTCCAACAATCCAATCCAATTGAGATCCTTGCATGCTCCGGTAGCATTTTGAGTATATTATTTTGCCGCTCTTTGACACGAAGAGATAGCCGACGTTGAATTGTAGTAGTGTATGGTATATCCGAAGGGCTTGGGGCTAATTGTGATTGCGAAATCAAGAGACGAAAGGATTGGGTTTCGACAAGTCGGAATGGGAGTCGGTTGATAGTAATGAATTGTAGGAGTTGATCGTTCCAGTCCTCTTGCGAGAAAGATGCTTCCGCTTTGGTATAACCCTATATTGATATTGATCTCAGTAAGTAGTATGAAAGAAGGATAGGACTATATTTACCGATTGAATAAATCCTCCTAGAAGGCTTTAGCAAGATCTCGAAATCTCAACGGCATGGGGTTGGTTTGAATACTATGACCATTTAAAAGTATTACAGACTGTAATACAATTCTGATACCTAAGACTGTCTTGTACTAACCGAATTTATCGCTATATAGGCTTGGGGCCGCTAAGAATCTAGACACTGGAATGGCCTGCTAAGGTTTGTAGTCTGTGCCGTTAGACATACATTCCGTTAATAGTGCCTTACCTACTAAACTCCTTGGAAAACTTTTAGTTAGATTCCTCTACTAATTCTATATATATATAGTTAAACTATGCTATATCTGCCATAGCGAGAGCGTATGTAACTGCTACGATATTTTTAATCTAATTAATAGCAGTTAGTAAGTAATATATACTCAATATTTTATAACTCGTCTCTCTTCTATCAAGAGCTAAAGATCCTAATCGCTAGATGTCATCCTCCTCGACTACGGTAGGACCTTAGATTGTTCGGGCTTTAAATAAACATGTTGTCTAAAGGCCTATACGGAACTCTCTCGTTAGACCTTTATACTCGATAGTTAAATAAAAATTTATTAAACTAGATACCCCCTCACCGCAGAAATGGCAGTGGGGCTGATTATGTCCGACGTTGCATCGGATAAAAGCCGCGCGAAGCTTATTCAAACTTTCAATAGTCACAGACATTAAATGGATTAGGCATCGACACGCGAGATGAATATTCCAAGTAAGATGAATTCATTCTCTGTACAGTTCTACAAGGATCTATAATACATCGCATGATATGGTTCAGGATAGCCCTGGTTCACTCATGTTTCTGCAATTTCATAAATTGGGGAAAGTCCAGTGATGAAAAGGTTCGCAGGGAGCATTTGCATTGGCGGCTTATTGAGTAGTGAGCATCATTTCAGTGTGCCTATTTCTTAGCAGCGAAGAATCTTGGCTGCTGCAGCCTCGGCAACCACCATGATGGTAGCCTGGATGTTACCAGTGGGGAGGTCAGGGTGGATACTGCCATCAACAATGAACTAGAAGATTTGTAATTAGTATTTACTTTCGAACAGCATGTTCGGAAAGACTTACCAGGTTGTCCACTCCGTAAACCTTGGTGTTGGTGTCAACAACGGAAGTACCGTTGTCGCGGCCATCATCGGTACCCATTTTGGCAGTGCTGGTGTAGTGCATACCAGGGCTCTGAGACTTGAGGATAGCCGAGACATTAGGGTAGGTCTCAAGCTCGAACCCAGTAGATGGAGCAGTGATCTGGCTGACCATCCTCTGGATGAAAGAGCGGGCAACCTTGCGGTCAGAAGCGGTCTGGAGGTAGGGCGACTGCTCAATGATAGTCTTTCCAGTGGAGTCGAGGCCAAGGACACCGGACGAGGTAAGACCGTGTGTCAGGTAGGTGCTGATGGTGACGACGCCCTCAGCGGTGGGTGCACAGGAACCCTGGAAGTACTGGGTGTGGCCGTCGACTTCCTGGGAATCGAAGAAGATCATGCGGTGCTTACCCTGGGTCAGGACACCGCTGTGCTTGCGGTACAGAGAGATGTCAGCGGTGTCTGTTCCGTCGAGAACACCGTCGTAGTCGACCAGACCGAACGAGGTGTTGGTGTTGAAGACGATGGAGAAAATGGGGTGGTCCTTGAGGCCGACGCCGACGGGAAGATCGATCCAGTCAGCCTGGGGAGGAACAGTAACACCGCTCTTCTTAGCGATTTCAATCTGAGCCTTGTGGCCGATGCCAGAGTTCCACAGGACACGGGGAGTAGAAAGGGCACCGGCGGCCAGCACCACGCGACCCTGGTTAGCAAGGGTAATGATCTCGGAGTTGCCAGCGGCGTTTTGAATCTCGACGCCGGTGACCTCGCTACCGGACCGGATCAGGCGGATGACCTTTGTGCCAAGCGCGAGCTGGAAGTTGTGGCGCTTGACAGCGTCGGGGAGGTAGGTGCGGACGGGACCGGCGCGCATCTGGTCCTTGAGGTTCCAAGCAGGGTGGCTGTAGACATGGTGCTTCTCGTTGGGCTGGGCGATCATATCAACGGACTTCCAGCCAAGACCGCCAAGGAACCTAGATAGCACGTTGTAGAGAGCCTGGTCGTAGCGCTTGCCATCGGCGGAAGGCTGAATGGTTCCGGGGTTGCGCTTGTAGAGTCTGTCAGCAGCAGGCTCGACATTTTTCCACTTCCAACCCTTGGGCCACTTGTCGTTGAAGTCGCGGGCAGGTGGGTGGACGAAGACCATGTAGTTAACGGTCACACCACCGCCGAGGACACAGGCAGCATATCCCTCGGTGTCGGAGCAAATGTACTGGTTCCACACATCGAGGTTACCAATGTCGGCGGATAGTCCGGGGAGATCGATGGGAGTCAAAGAGTGGTTCCACTCAAGAGTCTCATTGGCGCCGGTGGCAACGGTAGGGCCGACACCTCGCTCGAGGAGCAGAACTCTCTTTCCTGCCTCAGCGAATTTCTCAGCGCTGATGATACCGGCGGGACCACCACCGACGACGATGTAGTCATAAGTGTTGTTCTGGAAAACAGAAGCCGAAGCAAGTCCGCTAAAAACGGACAGCGCAGCTGCTAAAGGACCTGCCTGGAAGATTCTCATGATGGTGATAAAGGTATGAGATCTTAATGTAGGATGCCGATCAACAAATCTCTTCAGGAAAGGGGTCACCCGACCTTTTTAACTGTTTCATGACGTCTAGGCCGTACATCCGTCGAGTGGAAACTCATCTGCCAATTGTTCCACACTCGGCACGGGACATGCATGGCATAACGTGGTTCGGCAGGGAATTCATTTCGTCAAATTACAACCGATTAGGTATAGCGCCATCAGATAAGAAGAGCAGAGTTTTTCCTGTTCCTGACTAGTCTCAATTGATCAACAGTTGCGGTAGACATTTCTGCATCTCAGGTCACTCCATCTATTCTTTCATCCATTTGAATTGTTCATAATAATATTCTATACATTTACTGTCATACAAAAACAGCTTTTGAAACTACTACGGGCAGGTTAGTACTGAACGCAAAACGGATAAATTGCCAATGTTTTGAAGGTCTCGGCGTACCCAACCAAATATGCCTCCACCTGAAAAATCGGGGCAATGGTCCGAAAGTCTCGACCAGAACGGCTTTAGTCTCACCTTATTCTCCGGCAAAGCGCTTTCCCACAGTCCCTGATGCCACTGACGTAGCGCCAATCAACCTAAACCTTACCACGTTTCTAGAATTTCATCTATCTCACGGATGAGGCGCCCAGGATCGTATCAGATTCTCTGTCTCGCTCAGCCACAATCCATATTCTGCTCCTGGGCAGTGAACTGAAACCTTGGAAATATTTGCCCAGGGTGGATATCAAACACTTATTACCAAGCATGAAATAAGCAGAACGACACCCGAGGATCCACCTCAGGTAATCATGCATAATCGCATTGTCATTTCAGATCTCTGGAAGCAGAAAAGCGAGTGAGTGCACAGTAAGGGTGCTCGGCATCCTCGGCAATCATCAGAGTGTTACAAATCCTTTCAGCCTCAAATTGAGGATCATTCTTTACTTTCAAAAGCGATGAATTCCGCTTCTGCACTGGTCGGGATTATTCCGCTGTGTGACATTTGACCCACATGCTAAAAGTCTAACATGAGCAGCATACGATGACCCGCTTGGGGTTTTAAAGTGGCTCAAACACTAGCTCATGACTCTCGGGCGTCACGACGAAATTGTCTCTTTGGAAGCCCATGTCCCATGGCCGGACTTCTGTCGAGATGCGATACTTAGACACGACCTCAAAGAGAACAGTTTTCATGGGCAGGCTCGCGAAGTGTTGACCAAGCCATATCCGTACACCCGCGCCATATCCCACGAGGCTGTATCGACAGTCAGTCTTTGAGACTCTGGCATACCGGTTGGGTTAAAAGTCGTATCCCTCAACTTTGCGCCCGCCATCGATGGATAGAGACCAGATCGGCGAATGGATGTTGGTACATTTGAAATCCGTCGTCACATCCGTGTTAGCAGGCACGAGAAAGCCCCCACCCTCAACAGGCTTAGAGTTCACTGGTCTGCCGCCTCGGAATCACGGAGATAGATTCTGTGCAGAAAACTCCAGCCACCTATCTGAGCTGCTATCTGCAGATCATGATCACTTATCCATGGCGTTTTTCGCTGCCCACAAGACATATTCTCTCCCTCTGGAGGGTCTCAAAACAGAGAAGGAAATATTCCAATCCCTGGTAGACCAGCATCCCCAGGATCAAGACGCTGCAGTTTTCCTAGATATGTGGGAGAAACCTTCTTCGAAAGTTAATGCGCTAGGTGTAGGTAGAGGATGCATTGGGATTATAGGATGGCAGCACATATTTGCCGAGACAAGATACGGGCTGGCTAAACTGCTGGATAAACGCAACGTTGCTACATGAGAATTTAATGATCTTACCAGCTAAATGATGTCAATATACCTACTAACTTTCAACCAAATTCTAAAATTATCCAATTGCGTCTCAAAAATCAAAGGAAAAACGAGATCATTGTTGTGACACAATGAACTTCCATCCGCTCAAGGGCAGATGGAGGAATTGAATCTATTGATTGAGGGTTTGACTGGGCGATCATTCATTCGAAATACTTTCCATGGCTTTCTATACCAAGATATCGAGCAACTTCAATCAGACCTGAGCCTCCAACTCCGACCCAATGATCGACAAACCCCTCTTCTCTGGCTCGTGCAACATCTTTACTATCCCAAGCTTCTTCCAAGTCTCTCTCGAGATAGATTGTCTGAAATCCACATTTTTTGGCGGCATACAAGTCCTCAAGATGGGCTGCAACAAAACAACATTGGGAATTCATGAGACCAAATCTGCCCGCAGCACCATTATAGGCCTCTGGTGACGGCTTGTAAGCACCGAGATGCTCTGCGCTGGTGATGTGCTTAAAGGGTAAAGAATTGTGCTCTTTTAGGTCTTCAAGAAGCGTTACATTTCCATTGGATAATGTAGAGGTCAAAAATTTAGTGTTTAACAAAGAAAGACCTGGCACGCTGTCAGAGTATGAGTCCAGTCGATGCCAAGCGAGTGTCAAATTGTTGAGATCGTCCTCGTTGAATAAACCTCGGAGAAGCCGTTTGGTGAGAATACTTTCCAACGAAATGCGGTTGTGCTCATCCACTGAGACGAAGGGCTTAGATGTATCGTAGTTGTTTCCGAAGTTCATATAGGAGCCATGCCACTCCTCAGAAATTTCTTGCCAGCTCGAAAGGGACATATCAGAGATACGTGCTCGCATATCGGTACTCAGATCTCGAGCTTGATTTTGCAGAGCTTGTTGTGCTTTGGCATTCAGTTCCTTGGCGATGCAATGTCTCCATTCCACAATTGTTCCCAAAACATCGAAAAATATGATTGAAGGGAAACCATCCTGTGACATGTTTGTTGATGTTTCTTTGGGAGATACCAAAGAGTGAGTTTTTTGTGTAAACTGTAGAATATACCTGAAAGTGTACCAAATTCCTCGTTAGTGATAGCAACACCATGGCCCCAAAAGAGGACTTAGAGGAAAAACAGATGACTTACTGTCGGGAACTGGTGTAACCGTTGAAATGATGCTATCAGGGTGAGATTAGGTCTTTTTGAACGTCGACCCTTCACCTCAACCTCGGGATTTGCTTGCTTATGGTCGCATGTGATTGGCAATTGCAAAACCTCAACAAGGGCTTCGGGTGTTGCGGGTTAAGAAATTTACATATATGTAAGGCGCTAAAGCTATTCAATTTCAAATAAGTTGGATCGAGTAATTGGACCTTTGCGTCAGAGTTAATGGATCGCAAATCGAAGACAAAAGTCGTTCCAAGGCTTGCATTTCGCTCTATAGATTTTTGCTTATTCGTTCCTTCGAAGCACATGCAAACATCATCAATTGTGTGACATGTGGTTGCCTTTAGTAAGCAGAAATGGCAGATATCACGGACAGAATTTAATAGATGCAAGACACAGGAGTCAGTTGCAGGTATCGAGAGACCATCCCTAGTCAGGGTCCTAGGTCCTATGTGCTGTGCTGTATGTTTCTTACTTGAGATAAGCTTGAACATAAAGCAATATGGAGGATTACAGTACACATTATCTTCCAAAAGAGGTTAATTGGATTGACCTTAAATCTTCTGTACTCTGGCAACTTATCTTCAAGCAACTTGATAGTTGTCGTTAGCTACCAAGTATAGAACAGGAAGTATGATGTGCATTGGTCGCAAGGGAAACAAGCATAGTGGGGCTGCACCCGTTGTGCGGAGATTCCAACCTCCCAGCCTCCAACATCCAACCACGATATTGTACAATGTCGACCACATCCCGCTTGGTGCCAGCGTCTTCACGGACACTTCTTCTTACTTTAGACGCGTTCGGTACGCTCTTCCATCCGCGCCTCCCCGTCCCTGAACAGTATGCCGCGACCGCCCACCAATTCGGACTATCACCCACCGCCATCACCCCGAACAAACTCAAAACTGCGTTCAAGGACACATTTCGCGAGCAATCGCGTCGATATCCAAATTACGGCCGCGCAGACGTTCTTCGGGGGCAATATGGGGGTCCGAGGCAGTGGTGGGAGGAAGTCATCCGGGGTAGTTTCACCCGTGTTTTAGCTGCAGATAACCCAACGCCGCTTGGAGAACCGCAGCAGTACGAAGGACAAATGCACAATAATATTGACCTCCCGGCTGGTGTGGTGGAAGCTTTACTCGACCGGTTTGCGAACTCGGATGGATATGCGTTTTATGACGATGTGGTGCCTTTCTTCCAGCGAATGCGAAAGCTCAAAGCCGCTGGAAAGTGGTCATATGATCGTATTATTGTTGGTGTTGTCTCCAACTCTGATGATCGTGTTCCGGCGGTGCTGAGATCATTGGGACTGGAGGTCGGTGATGTGCGCGCGGACCAGGATCGATCGAGTATGGAGCTCCCCGGTTTCGAGCATCGCGCAGGCACAGACAAGGCCCACGAGAAAAGCTTCGTGGAGCTTTCGGATCAAAATCTCAACATTGATATTGATATGGTAATTACGAGCTATGAAGCTGGCGAAGAGAAACCTCATCGCTTGATGTTTGACGTGGCCAAGCGACAGGCTTTACTAGTTTCCCGTCCCTGGATAACTAGATCGACCAAATTCTCCGCTATACATGTTGGAGATGATCTCCAAAAGGATTGTCGTGCCGCAAGAGCTGCTGGCTGGCAGACTTATTTTATGCCTCGAGATCAGTTCGTGTATTACGAGGACGACGTGAAGGAAATAGGTGGTCTCCTCGATCTGATGGACAAGCTTGAGCTTGCGCCATGAAACTCCTGCCTTCAAACAACAAGTGAACGCGCTCGACAGAACCCAACACTCAATGGTACGGATCAAACTACCGCTCTACCACCTTGTTACCATCGAGGACAGATGATCACATGCCCCGAAGTTGCACAATGGCATTGGGAGTCAGTTACTACTTCAGTCTCCGTGTTTCAAGCTACTTGGATCCACCCAACTTATAGACCCTACATTTCCTCTGCCAGGTACAACCAGAACTCCATTGGTATCTACTAAAACTCGTGGATGTTTCCAGCTGTACTGTTCGTCATGTTCATGCATTCTGTGCGCAAGCTAGAAGCCATGCAGTTCTGAGCACATCCTCATCATCATCCACTACTTTTTCTTGTCTGAACAGGCAGGAGTCTCGGGCGACAAAACGAATTTGTGTCGGGGTCAGTCTCGATGCTATAATTGTTATAGCATTGCTTGATCTGTTGTACATATCTTGGTGTTGCTTTAAGCACCAAGATACATCATGAAACACACAGTAAGCTAACTCAATCGGAGGAACACCTACACTGGTAATAGATAGAACCTAAATAAAGCTTGTACAGAAGGCAGATGGAAATTTTCTTTGTGGCAAGAAGGGGTTTGACACATCCTGTCAAAGCAATCGGGACAGCTTTGCTTTCTATAATTGATTTGACTCCTAACTGTTCCTTTCTTGGTAATCTTTTCTGTAACCTATTGCACTGGACCAGTTCGAGGCATTTTGCAAGCCAAATTGTTTTACAATGCGCCGATCTTTTGCTCCAAGCGAATATCGTCCCCAACTTTTGCGTCGGATGTATATATGAGCCAATCATCAGCTTCGCACCCCGCATAATCCAAGGAACTTTCGCGTGGAACGGACTACGCACCGAACGTAATACTCAACCCTTCTAACAACATTCATCTTGACGCATTCAAGCATTGAAATTGCTTACTTGAATATTATCATTGTGTACTCCAAAATTAACAAAGCACCATACGAGTTCATCAACAATGCAAGTCGTTCGAAAGCCTCAGGGGTCTGTGGTCATTATCGGAGCTGGTACACAGGGAAGAAGACTGGCCTACATGGTATGATAAACCTCAAAGTCATGTCAAGTTCTTTCTCTTCCAACACTAACCACTGAGTTCATGAAGTGGTCAAGCAAAGGTGGCACTGTCGCTCTAGTCGATCTTCAGGAGCAACAGCTCCGAGACGGATTGCAATACGTGCAACAATTGCGGGAGGAAGCAAAAGACCATGATGGAGATTGGGGAGCAGTTGAAGTATCACAACCTGCTGCATTGGAATCTACGCTGAAAGACGCGTGGCTTGTTGTCGAGGTAGGACCCTTACTTGACTAGAAGATACTCAATTAACATGGTCTAAACAGTGTGTGCCTGAGAATTTGAAGTTGAAGCAAAAGGTTATCACTCAGCTTGATGACCTGGCTCCTGAAAGAACCATCATTGCGTCAAACTCTAGTAGTTATGGAATATTTGAAATCCTCGAGGGATTAAACTTGAAGAACAACAAGAGGGTTATGAGCGCACACTGCTGTGGGTACCTATTGCCATGGAATATCGACTAATCGCTGACACGATGTCTCAGATTGGCCACCAGAAACTTCAGGTAGTTCCAATGAACCCATTCTGTTAAACATCTTTCAATCACTGACATGCACAGCCATCGAAATCATGGGTCACAAGGATAGCGATCCGAAACTCATTGACCTTGTCCTAGAACAATGCAAAGAACATGGATTCTCGCCTTTCCATGTCAGGCAACCCTCTATCGGCTACATATACAACAGGTATCCCATCTGTCTTCCTTAGTAAGCAATCCTTAGGCTCATTCGTTATGTATAGGATTTGGGCCGCTATCAAGCGCGAAACCCTTTTAACCCTATCCGAGGGCGTTGCGACACCCAAAGAAATTGATGCAATCTTCAAGGACGTTTTGAAAACACCCAAGGGCCCATGTGAGCAGATGGATGTGGTGGGTCTGGATGTTGTTCTGGACATTGAGAATCACTATGCGGAATCGCGAAATGGAATTCCCACAGAGCCGAGAGATTATCTTCAAAATATGATTCAAGGGGGACATCTTGGTGTGAAAAATGGCCAAGGGTTTTATGACTACGATCAAGAAAGGTAACTTCGAAGCGTTGGCTGGGGTATGACACATTTCCTGTTTAAGCCGCATGGCTGCGTGCTAGTTATAGAGTGCTCTAGATAGACGAACTTCCACCAATGACGCCCCCGATAGATTGAGTGGATAGCCAGCGTGTCTTGTATGTAACAATGGCGCGCTTGTTGCTAGTGCTTACTTATTCGGAATGAAGACATTTTCTCCATTGCAAAGGCTCGTTTCAATTTCCAGCTTTGTAATTTTGCGACACTGGGCATTCATGGATCAAGGGGAGGAAGGCTCACCAACCCACACTTGTAATTTTTGACATTGTGACATTCATGCGCCTGCAAGAGTACCACGCTGCTAGTGCATACGCATTAGGACTAAAGACTGTGCTAGCTCCGCGCCCAATATGCAAACCAGCTTTTTTCTGGAAATTTATATCCAATCATAATTTTAAAGTCAAGGAGCGTTAATCATAAATGGGTAAACGCCAACATGTTTTTGACACTTCCCCACTTGTAACGGTGAAGATTTAAATATTTACCTGCGCGTTTATCTGCTGCTTTCTTTATATTTCATTCAGTCTCACAATGTCGCCTTGTAAGGGCGTCACATCGCAAACATTCTATCAAGGTTCAAGTCCGAATGAGACATGCCTGCCAAAAGATAGCGTGCACATTTTGGAACATTCTGGACGTATGCAGTGTGCATCAAAAGCAGTTTGGGAGGCTGGGAGCTGATATATGTACAGGTTATGACGAACACTATGAGCGACTATCAACGCTAGACGAAGAACTTCACGTACGTGACCAGCGCCCTGTTTTGATGGGTTGTGATATTGATATTGCATTTTAGGATGATATCCGCTTCCCTGAAGCTATAATGTATCAATATATTTTATGCTTCAAAAAGAGCACTAATTTAATAACCAAATCTAGGTTTACCTCTACCGACGCAATCAACACCTGGGTATCCAAGGGACATGAAGATTTTTTCCCTGCGGAACTCAGGCTCATTATGTTGAGAAATTTGAATGGCTCATTCGGCTGTGAATATTATCGAGATAGGGATGGCAAGGTTGTCGCATGCGGTAGGTCAGGCCCCTTCCACACCTACTAGATAGGATGAATATGTGTTTCTGATGGTTAAAAGATTCATGGAGCGTTTTCAAATTAAAGCGCATTTGGAAGAACCCCAATTCCTTTAAAGTATACGATGAGTGGTTGCAACTTTCCATCTTTGTGCGACAGGACTGGATAACTTCGAAACAACTTGTTCTGTTCCTGGACTGTCCAAGATATCTGATTGACCAGCTCCATATATTATTACCCAAGATTCACAAAAGCGACCCATATGCATGGCATGCTCTGTTTGTCAGCGAGATGAGAAAGATATATGATCAGGCCATATGGGATCTTCGCGGCGTGGTGTGGGAGGTTGAAGCTGTATGTGATCAATTATGTATGCATGGAAGATTGATGACAGAGTTGTTAATGTCTTGCAGTATCAAAAGGACCTGGAAGCCTTTCAGCCACAATTCATCTTGCTACATGATCTTGCAAGACACATCAGTCACTCAAAAGAGATTCTCGATGTTGCTTTGGAGACAGTGGACAGTATAATGCACCAATACGTCCTGCTAGATGAACATCATCCTTCTCCGACTTCGAGAACGCAATGGCATTCACGGGATATCGAGCGCCAACTGTACTTTGCGACGAAAAGCCTCCGTGCAACTAAGCTCCGGTGTAATTCACTCAGCGAGCGACTACAGAATGAGATTAATCTGGTGGGTTTTGTCTGCCTCTTGTACTCAAAGATGTATGGCTCACGTTTATAGGCGTTCAACATTGTCGCTCAAAGAGACAACGAAGTGTCAATTCAAATGGCGAAACACTCGCTGATGGATAACACGATGATGAAAACGGTGGCCATTGTCAGTCTGGTCTATCTTCCAGGGACCTTTGTATCGGTGAGTTCGGATTCCAGACTCAAGGGTCCAATCGCTTATATTTAGGTAAAGGGCATATTTGGCATGAACTTCTTCGACTTCGATGGGTCAAATGGAAAAAGAAGAATGAGTATATCGAAGGACTTCTGGGTATATTGGCTGATCACAATCGGATTGACACTTACCACGATCTCGATTTGGCTCCTTTGGTTCAATGGAAATTTAATCAAGGCCATGTTTGTGAGGCGCAGTCGTCGAAGTGAGAAGTGCCAATAATAGAGATACACATACACCCCCAAGAATTATTTTGGAAATCGTGTGATAAATGTGCAAACTGAATGCTTGATTGAATATGTAGATCGTGATGGTTAACGATACGCCTGCTTCCTGAAATATTTATTCAACCAACGCCAAAAGGTTCCATCATATCATTGCACAAAACAAAACAAAACGCCGTTCCAATGAAAACGAAATCATAGCGCCCACAATATATCAGCTCAGTCCCACTGGCCCTTGCCCAGCGCACCTAGGCCACCACCAGTGTGCTTACCCAGCAACTTAGCAATGTTCGATCCGCCACTGCGCTCTTTAATGCGAAGTTCCTTCTCGCGCTCACGCTCACGCGCCGCTGTGTATGAATTGACAGCGCCACCCTTCTTCGGGCCAGAAGCTGTGGGTTTGGAAACACGATTGGATGTGCTAGATCCACTGGATGATGAGGAACCAGTTGTAACCCGGCGTAGAAGTTGGGGCGGGCGGAATCCAATTGGACCATCACCGTTACCACCATTGTGGAATGCAAACTTGGAATTGCCAGAGCCGGACTTCGTCGTTGCGGAGTTGGACGATGCCTGGCGGAGGAGGGCCAATCGATCAACCACGACGCCACGGGTGCGGCGTGGGTGACTGGGTTTGGCAGAGGTGTTGTCGTCTTGCTCTTCTTCAGCCTGGACTTCGTCGGATTCATCTTCATCTTCCTCGTGTTCTTCCTCATCGAGAGATGCGTCTTCGCGGAAGGAGTCATATTCAGGGGTTTCTGTGAGGAAAGACAACGTTTGGCGGATCTCGGCCAAGGTAGCCGGTTTCTTTGAAATTGCGCTGGCAGGAGTGCGACGAAGGTTAGGCGGCGGTCGGTTGGTCGCATCTTCAGCAGATGGCTCGAGAGGACGCTTGCGCTTGTCGGCTGCGTCCTTTGACTGTCCATCTGAGCCAACATCCTGGGATTGTTCTTGGGAGCCACCCTCTTCTTCCTCGAGGAAGTCAATATTGAAATCATCATCAACTTCACGGTCTTCGACAGCCTTGAAGAACGCCGCTTTCTTGGGGTTCTCGGCAATCTCGCCGATCTTTTCATCTGCAAGCAGAGCTCGACGCATCTTGGCAAATTCCCGCTGCTTTTCGCGACGACGAGCCAGATGCTCATCATCGGAGTCGTCGAGGTCAAGATCGTCATTTGCGTTTTTGCGACGACGCAGAGCTCCAGTAGTAATGTCTCGCATCAGCTTTGCTACATCTTTCTCGTCACGATTACGATCATGGACACTGTAAATGTTAGGTATTGCTAGTTTTCAGCTGAGCGGGAATACATACGCGTTGAGTGCGGCAAGTTGCTTTTCATCAACCACCTCGCCACTGTCGTCGTTGATCATCTGGCGATCAATGGCATTCTCTTCGCCATCACTCTCGTCGCTGTGACCGCCGAGGCCTGCATATTCATCCTCGGATTCCTCTGCAGCTTCATCAACAATGTCTTTGGCCTTGCTATTTTTCTTATCATATTCCACGGCCTGTTTCTTCGTAGCCTTGGCCTTCTTCATGACATTGAAAGCGTTGGCGTCGATTTCAAACTCGCCTTCATTCTCATCTACCCGGAGCAATTCGGTTGCGCGTCCCCGACGCAACATTTTGCCTTTGCGGTCAGCGATGGGCGACTGGGTTTGACCCACAAGTACGGTATCAACGGTAGATACGGGCGGAGTGCCTCTGAATCTTTTGGCAGGGTCGAAGGGGGAAAAGACAAAGCCTTCATCCTGGGTTGGATCGGGTAGCTGAGACTGGGAGAACTCCGAGAAGGCGTAGGGAGCTGGTGACTCCGATACACGAGAGACACTCTGTGTGTAGCCATGCGCGAAGTCTTTTTCTTGGGGTTGCGGCTGACTGTCGGGGACGAGGATTTCAGATTCCTCTTTGCGGAGCTGTGGCACAGGTTGACCAGGATCCGGAAGGGAGAACATCATTGTGGAAGATGGTGATTGATTAACGCCGTTTCCATCCAACGTAGAAGCAAACGCTTGAGTTAGACCTAGTGACATGTCACCGGGTGTTGCCATACCAGGGAATTTGGGACGCTCGGCTGATTGTGGAATATGACTAGGAGCTCTCATCGGCGTCGATGGCGGTTGTGGTTGGTCTTCATCCTCATCATCACTAATCACTCGAGTTCGGCGCTTCCGCCTGGCGGAAGGCACCTCCTCTGCATCCGAAGGCACACCCTCACTGTCGTCGTCGGCTTCATCATCATCATCATCATCATCCGCCTCCCGTTCGACGAGTTCCCCGCCGTTGATACTGTCACTCTCTTCTTCGTCTTCGTCATCGTCATCGCCTTCCCCGTAGCCTTCTTCGTCAGAGCCGGAGAGGTTGTAGTCATGGTCCTCGTCGTCATCGTCGTGGGCATTGCCATTCTTCTTTTTAGCAGCCCTTTCTAGACGGGCAATCTCATCCGCCTCTTTTCGTGCTTTTTCGACAAGATTTTCCATGTCGTCCTCCATAGCTGCACGCTCCTCGGCAGTTTCAATGACCACGCCCTTGGCTTTGAGCTCTTCAATGCGGTCTTTACGCTCCTTGGCAGCTTGCTGCCGGGCACGGCGTAGAAGACTGGCAGAAAGCTCTGCAGCGTTCATGGAAGCCCCTTTTCTTGAAGGAGATGTCAAGTGTGCCAAAGCCTTCAGCTTGGTCATTGCGGGGTCTTCTTGCATTTTTCTGGTTGGGAGGTTCTCAAATGCTGCAAGTCGACGGCATTTTCCAGGAGACGTAACAATCTCGAGCTCATCCTCTGAATCATCCTCTGAATCGTGTTTCTTCTGGCGCTCGGCAATTTTTTGTCTGGAAATCCTAACGCGGAAAGGACGTCCAGTGTCCGGGCGAGAGGCTGGCTTCGGTCTGACAGGGACTGTTTGAGACATGGGTGCATCTTTGGCTGGAGGTGGCTTTGGTGGTTCAGGGCGGTATTGTCCAGTCAATATGTCATTAGGGTCAACCAGCTCTTCGTCATCTGCATCCATATCTATGTCGGGTTGAGTGTTCTCGGCTTCAACGACCGATTTTCTCGGATCTGACGAACTGACTGGAGAAGTCTGCGGGGTATCTTTGTTTTGAGTAGGTACTTCTCCTTCGGAATTTTGTGAGTGGTTTGTGGAGGATAAATTTGCCGCGGGTTGGTCGGCTGGAGGATCAGGTTGCATGAAGTTGAACCGAGCAAAGAGGCTCTCCTTGGTGATCTTCTTCTTTGTCTTAGCCTGGTGAGCCAGTTGCATGTTACGGCTCATTCGTTGAGTCTCCTGTCTCATCTCATCCAAAGCCTTCTTGCTGGCTTTTCGGGGCTGACGGGCCTTCTGCGACAGTTTGTGTGCAGAACTGGGGTCATCGGCACCGCTCTCCTCGCCTGAGAGCACTTCGGAGCTAAACTGCTCCATCTGGGACCTCCTGGCAGCCTTCTTTTCAGCTTCGACCTGCTCTCGCTCTTCGCGTTCCTTGCGCTTTTGCGCGACAAGAGCGAGGAAGCGAGAATTTCCTTTGGGCTTCTCGGTGGTATCGTTATCGTCCTCACTTTGGGCAGCAGGCTCGCCGGGGGAGGAGACGAATAAAGGAGATTCGGCTCGGGGAGGGATTCGGTTTGTTTCGGATTCTGGTGAGTCGGAAGCGGCTTTAGTCTTTCTCCTCGGGCCCGCCGTAGGAAGATCATCGTCGCTAGATTCGTCTAATGTGGATTCCGGTTCGGTCTGTTTCGGCTTCCGGGCCTCTTCTTTCTCTGACCGCAGGGCCTTTGACACGCGAGCAATTGCGGAGTCATCCTTGGAATCGGGTGATTTGGATGTTTTACCCTGCATTCGAGCCGCCATCCGGCCCTTTGGCCGGATAACGTCGTCTTCGCTCTCCGAATTTGATTCGTGGGGTGAACCATTTTCACCTGTCTGAGAAGACCGCGAATCACGTAGATTAAGCTTCGACACTGCGGTTGTGGATTTCGCAATTCGAATATCATCTTCTGAATCACTGTCAAATTCAGCCATCAAGGCCTTGATCTTTTGGCCCGGTGTAACAATGTTCGGCGAGTCGCCCGCAGGCGACACGGAACGCGTCGAGCGTGGTGTAGATGGCGAAGACATGATGGGTACTGCGTGTATTAATGTGATAGTTGGTTGGTAATGATCATAATGGATTCAATTGGACATAAAACGGACAAAAGCGATTTCAAAGTCCAGATCAAGTGAAGTCGACGCCAGGTTTGAGGGCGCATGCTCTGAACGCGATGCGCGTTCCTCGCGTTGCTGGGCCCCACACGTGATTCTTATCTTATCGCGTTCCAATTCTATATTAATGCATAAAATAGCCCTAAAGGCCGAGGTGTAGCAAACGGTATTAATTTTTGTTATTTTCAGTCTGCTCTCCTAGGAACTTTCTCATGCTGCCCAAATATCATAATACAAAAGCTTAATGCTATTTTTTAAACAGATGCCCACCCGTTGACTCCTCAAAGTAACGCAAAATGTAAAAGGGAAAAGAAGTAAAATCACAGTGGGGTCATGACCTTATACCCCACTACCGCTCTAAGGTAGATCCGTGGGAATTCGTTGACGGGATCAAAGGACTTCCAATCGCAGACCAAGCGATTAGATTTCAATGTCAATGTCCATATCAAGCGCGGCAATGTTCTCGTCATCAGTGTTACGGTAGCTGATCATGAAACCGTTCTTAGGCTTCTTCGGGGTTGTCTTGACGGTAGTTGCCTGGCTGCCATTGGGCTTGGGGGTATCCTTAGGAGTCTCCGCAGGAGTACCAGCGGAGCCGTCGGTTTGAGGTGTTCCATTGACATCATGATGAGTCTTAGCTACTGTTCGCACACGCATGAATGGGTTTGGAATGGCCTCGCCGCGGGCAACTGCGGCAGCGGCCTTGCGGGCGGCCTTTCGTTCATCGATCTGAGCACGGCGGACATTCTCGTAGTTGAGCTTCTGGTTACGGATGTTGATTTGATGAACACGCTCGGCCTCAGAGAGACCCTTGTTGTCGGATTCTTTCTTGACCAGGCTTGTTCCCCAAGAGAGGTTAGGGTTAAGAATTTCATGTAGCTCCTTCCTGAGCCTTTCTGCTTCTTCATCGTTTCCGTTGGCTTTGGCGAAGGCAAGATCTCTTTCAACATCGAATCGCTTGAGAACGTTCTTCTTCTGGTCGAAAGCACCTTGGCGACGCAGCTTTTCGTTCAGCTCCTCGCGGGTGAATTGATGGTTAATAAGATTGTTGATATCAGTGACCTTAGAGGCAAGCTTTCCCTGCGTTGCCATCTTCAAATCTTCAACGGCCAGCGTCTTGCGGTAGCGACTGTATTCAGCCTGCTTTCGTTAGCATGATCACAATTTCCCAATGGGACAAACCAACCTCAGTAAAAGGGGAGTCCGAACAAGCAATAAATGGGAACTCTTTGATAGCTTTTCCATGGGCAAGCTTGACATATTGATCTGTGACAAATGGGCGACCATTGGCAGCATCCATAGCATACGGCTTGCCTGTGACAATGCCAGTGATAAGGCACATGCGGTACTCCAGTTGACCGGTTTCGTGGTGGGGTCCAACGTTGACACGAGCGTAGCAGTTGATCATAGCATCCTCAAAGCCGGGGTAGAAGCAAACTTGGGCAAAGTTGCTACGACCAACACGAGCACGCTGGATGTCCCGCAGCTCGGCTGGTGGGTCGTCCTTAGGAATGGATGGAGAACGGCCAACACGGTCATCCAGTTCCAGATCGCTCTCGGCTTCGGCATCTTCATCAGACACATTTGATCCCAAGGAGCGGGAACGGCGGCGCGACTGTGCGGGGTCTCGGCGGCGGAGCTCATCTCGCTTGCCCTTCTGCTCACGCTGACGCTTGTAAGCATCGATAGCCGCGGAGGTCTCTCCGACCTTGCGACCACCAAGTGTTGTCTTCTGGCGGGAACTCTTGCGCTGATTTTCATCCAAGCCGGCAGATCCAGCCTTTCTCTTCGCCTTCTTGGCTGCTCGGGCTTCTTCGCGAGAACGAGAGGCTAGCAGACGACGGAGAGCCAAATCCTGGTTATGGCGGTCGACTTGCTGGGCACGCTCAGACAAGGTTTCCTCACGCTGGATCTCAGGCATGGCCATGATCTCCTTCTTGTCCTGGGCTGAGTAGTACAGCTTATCGTATGGGAAAATGGGGCGGTCCTCATCGTTCTCGGAGTTCTCGGAGTCTGATTCAGACTCAGACATAGGAGCAGACTGGAGCGAGTGGTGGGAGCCATCGTCGGAGCTATATGGTCAGCCTGAGGCTTGGTCATTAGCGTGGCGGGGTTCTCACATTTCACCCTCAGACTCCTCCTTCGGCTTGCGGGCCCGGCGAGCGGGAATCGGTTTAGCGGTTCCTTTGCGACCCATAGCTTCTGGCGAGTGATCCCGATCTTGGGTATGGGAAGAAGGAGAGTGTGGCAGTGAGTTTGGTGCTGGTGAAGTTTCCTCCTCAGAGTCACCCGCCAAAGCGAGCAACTCAGCATCCAAATCGTCTGCCATTATGATAATGTTCACAATAGAATATACCCTGTAACAATAGCCTATAGATCAATAGGAGTCCCAAATGCCTCAGAACCCTATAATTATTCCGCTTTCTGTTGATCTATCCCCTTCTGACAAGGAGTTGTCTTGAAAATATAAGAAGTGGGCGAGGCGATCAAAAGTTACCAAAAATGTGTCGTTCAAGTGAGTGGTTAGTCTGGAAGCAACCGGAGCTGCACAAAAAGATCAGGTGAGAGCGTAGGTCCTGTATCGTAAAAAAGCGCGTAAGTGGTCGTCGCAACTTGGCCTTTGCCGTTAATTCATGACGTTCAAATGCCAAGCCTACAAGCGCGCGGCAGCCGCCAGACCGCCTAAGCGACCTCGGAAGCTTCCTCAAACCAGGCTTCATTAACCAACTCGTGCACGATGGCTTTACCTATTATGCGCCGAAGTGCGCTTGCATCCTGTCGCAAGACACCGTCTCCTGTTATCCTCGACTTTCTTGTCCCGTCAAAATTGAAACACAGCCAATGTCGGAACGCTTCAACCGCCACCTCCGGTGAGCCCAAACCTCGATATGTTCTCAGTAAAGAACAGCGAGAGTTCATGGACAGCGCTCTCCGCGTCAACCAAGCCGGTGAGCTTGCTGCGACGTTGATTTATACTGCTCAAACACCCCAAATCGTCCGATCTTACCCGCACCTCCGGCCCTTGATGAAGCACATGTACGACCAAGAAGCAGGACACCTTAAAACATTCAATCACTTGATCGCGAAACATCAAATTCGACCGACGGCAATGTACCCAGCGTGGGAAGTGGCAGCCACTTTCTTGGGCTGGTCCACTGCAGCATTGGGTCGCGAGGCGGCAATGGCTTGCACCGAAGCTGTCGAGACTGAAATCGGATCCCACTACAATGACCAAGTAAGAGAGATTCTGTCCTGGGAGGCAGATGCTGCAAGACGGGGGGAGGAGCTGGATGATGAACTTAAGGAGATGCTGGCCACATTCCGGAGGATTCGCGATGAGGAACTAGAACATCTCGACCACGCCGTGGCCAATGATTCTAAGGAAGCGAAGCCCTACGATCCACTCGTTGATGTAATTCGATTTGGTTGCCGGACTGCTATCAAGATCAGTGAGAAGATCTGATGCATTGGACCCCGTTGCTGTTCTATATTTGTTCGATTAAGCCTTTGTAAATTATTGACTACACTCCGTTTAAAAAAAGTTAGGAATATGAATATGATCATCTTCGTATACTCTTTCTATATGTCAGCGTTTCTATCAGTTAGCGTTCGGGCCTTTCGAATCCTTTGCTGGGGTCTATTCATAGCTCCCTTTCATTTATAAACAGGTAGGGACTAGATATCCCTGCGTACCACCGTAGTAGACTGATTACCTGTAATACACACTGGTTCCAAAATATGTTCTATGTTCTATGTCTGGACTCTGTATGTATATTTCCTGTTCCCGGGGTATCAAAGAGAAATTCCGCCGAATTTATCGCCATGCTGTTTGTCTGACTACTCAGAAGACGGGTTTTGGTTGAGGTAGTCCACAAAGTTCTTAGAGAATCTCACAGCTTGCTGGTATACCTCTTCAAACCCATTGGCACCGCCGTAGTAAGGGTCCTTCACCACCTCACCGCCACCAACACGAGCATTCAACTTGCCGTCCTTGCCGAAATCACCAAACAAGCGGACGTCGGCAACCTTGGTATCGGGAGTGTATGTACCAATTGAAGCATCCACATGCGATCGGGTAGCCTTCGAGCTTGGCTTGTTATCGGTCTTCCTCTGCAGATTCGCGATGACGGACTCGCGTAAGTAGAGGAGTTCACTGAGGTTGGACTTGTCCATGGCCAGAACGTAGTCAAAGATCAGGAAGTCCTCCAGCTTCACTTTGCGAGCGGCATGATCGTATTCGGTAATATTGTGGCGGCGCAGAGTGGACATGGTGCGGGAGTCGGGCGGTTCGAGGCTGTGGTAGGCGGCTGTGCCGGCGGAGTCGATCTCACCGATGGAGGGGTTGTTTGAGGTCAAGTCACGGAAAACACCTTCGGCCATCGGGGAACGACCTAGAGGGGTTAGCTACAACGTCATTGAAGGGAGGGTATATGACGAACAGATGTTTCCTAGGCAGACAAATAGGACGCTTGTCCCTCCATTTGAAGTAGAAGCCATTGTCACACAATCAGGAAATCCTTTAATTGGTGATATGTAGAAAATGGAAGTAGTGTAAGACAGTAGTTTGACTTCCAAGGTTGTAACATTTGAAGTTTGAAAGGGTGGGGTTATCGATAGGCCCTAAGACCCCACCGCAGATGCCCTTGCATTACGTCGTAAATGCTACGGATGTTATACATGTCAGGAACATCAGTAGACTGCATATGTGATATAGGAATACACAGGTCAAACGCCAAGATTATACCTACATATGTCGCTATGGAAGCTATTGAAGGTAAAGATCTACAATCTATTCGTGGAATAGGCAACGGCTTTTACTAGAGGCACGAAATATATATAATATACAACTAGCCACAGTGTGATCTCAGAGTCTAAAAAAAGAACATTTGTATGTAAGATTAAATAATGGTGCAGCCTATTGTTAGCCTGTGGACGTACTAGTAACTAACTGCGTAGATGTTTAACCTTGGAACGGTGTGTGGTATTTGTACCTATGTACGGATGAGCCACAATTGCCAAGAGAAGTGGCTGAGTTCCAGTCAGTTGGCCCAGTAACAGAGCAACCGGTGGAACCTCCCTCTTCTCATCAACCCGTGGCTCAAATGTTTCAGGCATTTTTGGTTCTAAACACTGCATTATCATTGGACTCTTTTATTCCGAAGAAGATTCTGCCCTTTTCAGAGCAATTTTTTGAATGGTTGTACCTTTCATTTCTATACAACTGGTCAAATCATTGCGTGAGGACATATCCACAAGGCACTGCGGGGCCTAGCACAGACACTTCTGATTCGCCCCATCTCCACCGTCATCGTTGCCGGGATCGACTGAAGGCCTCGTAAACACCAAACACACGGCGCAGCTGCATTTATTTCGCAGTTTTTGATTGCTGCACTTTCTCACTTTCGAAATCCTGTGACAACCCGATACCTTCTCCGCATATCAAATTACGCTTGCGACCCTTTTTCATACCTGAAACGACGCCGAGAGTTCGGGTCCCCATTGGACTAGTGATTCCTCCCCGCTGGACGCTTAACATTCCACCCGGCGCTCCTGGCGCAATCTCCAAAAACCTCTACTAGGAACTTTGGGTGGGATAATCTAACTCAATCCGAGGCTCGCTATGGCCTATAATCGTGTCGGTAACGGTTAGTGCTCTTGTCTTCTTAGTCTTTCTTTCCCTCCACATTGTCGGGCGCATTCCCCATTTGCTTGAAACATTGAAAGTTCACAAATCAGTGCCCTCCTAGACTTCAATGATTGCCGTGCAAGTTGCGCATTCAATTTTCTACAAACCCAGCTGTCAGTGAGGATATAACAAGACTAACAATGTCACGACGACCAGACCCGTTCGCGGACGAGCATGGCGCGCCCATGTTGAATCCCTCTCAGCTCTCTGGATATAGTGCTCGAACTCCTTCTCCAGGGGGCTACCAGCTTTCAGACAACCCTTACGGACCTCAATCGCACCTGCCCATGCCATCAAGTGATCGTCTGGCGGAACAACCTACTTACTCAGTGGAAAACGTCTCGAACTCCTACGGTTACCATGATACATACGATGCCCACCATCCCTACCCTGGTCACGAATACGCAGTTGATCCAGAGGCCCACCATGATGCCTACTACACCCAGCCCTACCAACCAACACACACACCACATGACGATTATGATCTGGGACAGTATCCAGAAGGTGGACACACTCCATTCGAACAAGTTGAAGAGCCCATGCTGCAGCCGGGGGATAACCCCTTTGGACCGGACCCATATAACAACGACATTGATGAGGATATGCGTCCAACGCCTAGTCCGCAACCTCTTCGCCGGTGGAAGACTGTGAAAGAAGTTCAGCTCTTCAACGGCAATTTGGTACTTGATTGCCCTATTGCCCCGAGACTTCTTAGCCAAATTCCGCATGCAGAAGCGCCAGGCCGTGATGAATTCACCCATATGCGTTACTCCGCCGCGACTTGCGATCCGGCTGATTTCTTCGAGGAGCGCTTTACCCTGCGCCAAAAGCTTTTCGCAAAGCCTCGCCATACCGAGTTGTTCATCGTTGTGACCATGTACAACGAGGATGATTTCCTTTTCGCCCGAACCATGTCCGGTGTGTTCAAGAACATCGATCACATGTGCTCTCGCACGAGCAGCAAAACCTGGGGCAAGGATGCGTGGAAGAAGATTGTTGTCTGTGTCATCAGTGACGGTCGTGCCAAGATCAACCCTCGCACACGCGCTGTGTTGGCTGCTCTAGGTGTGTACCAGGATGGAATCGCCAAGCAACAGGTCAACGGAAAGGACGTCACCGCCCACATTTACGAGTACACCACTCAGGTGGGATTGGAAGTAAAGGGAACGCAGGTACACCTTAAGCCTAGATCTGGACCTCCTGTGCAGATGATCTTTTGTCTGAAGGAAAAGAACCAAAAAAAGATCAACTCCCATAGATGGTTCTTCCAGGCTTTCGGTCGTGTATTAGACCCCAATATCTGTGTTCTTCTTGACGCTGGTACCAAGCCCGGCAAGGACTCAATCTACCACCTCTGGAAGGCCTTCGATGTCGAGCCCATGTGCGGTGGTGCGTGTGGTGAGATCAAGGTCATGTTGTCGAATGGCAGAAAATTGCTGAACCCGCTGGTCGCCGGCCAAAACTTTGAGTACAAGCTCAGTAACATTCTCGATAAGCCGCTTGAGTCATCTTTCGGTTTTATCACTGTGTTGCCTGGTGCGTTCTCCGCGTACCGGTTTGTGGCACTGCAAAACGACAAGAATGGCCAAGGCCCGTTGGAACGATACTTCATGGGTGAGAAGATGCACGGTGCCACTGCCGGTATCTTCACGGCTAACATGTACCTTGCCGAGGATCGCATTCTGTGCTTTGAGATTGTTTCAAAGAGAAATTGCAGATGGCTCCTTCAGTATGTTAAGTCGTCTACTGGTGAGACTGATGTGCCTGATCGCATGGCCGAGTTCATCCTCCAGCGTCGTCGTTGGTTGAACGGTAGTTTCTTCGCTGCTGTTTACGCCATTGCCCACTTCTATCAAATTTTCCGCAGTGACCACAGCTCCCTTCGCAAGTTCATGTTGATGATTGAGTTCATTTACCAGACAGTCGCCATGATCTTTGCCTGGTTTGGTATTGGTAACTTCTTCTTGGTCTTCCACATCTTGACAACATACCTGGGATCGGATGATCTCCTCGGTACAGCTGGTAAGGCTTTAGGTATTGTCTTCGAATGGCTCTATCTGGCGACCCTCGTTACGTGCTTCGTGTTGGCGCTGGGTAATCGACCTGGTGGATCTAACAAGTTCTATATGACCATGGTCTACTTCTGGATTGTTATCATGATATACCTTGCCTTCGCTGCCATCTTTGTCACGGTGAAGTCGATTCAAACGGAGGTGCAGACGAGCGGCTTCACGGCAAGCGATTTGTTCACGAACGATACATTTTTCTCGATCATCGTGTCTCTTGGCTCGACTTATGTGATGTGGTTCATAGCCTCATTCATTTTCCTTGACCCATGGCACATGTTCACCTGTGTATGTGAACTCTACCATTTCTTTTTACCTTTACTAACATATCTAGTTCATCCAATATATCCTACTCACGCCAACCTACATCAACGTCCTCAATATCTACGCCTTCTGTAACACCCACGATATCACCTGGGGTACCAAAGGAGATGACAAGCCCGAGAAACTACCCTCTGCCCACCTCAAGCCCGGTGGCAAGGTCGACGTTAACATCCCCCAAGACGATGGTGACCTTAATGCCCAGTACGAAGCCGAGCTCGCCAAGTTCTCCATGAAGCCCCCGAAGGAGGTCCAGATTATCTCCGAGGAAGAAAAGCAAGCAGACTACTACAAGGGATTCCGTAGTGCTGTCGTGCTCGCCTGGGTCTTCTGTAACTTCGCTCTGGGTGCCGTGGTCCTGAGCGCTGCCGGTCTCGAAACTTTCGACGACACAACCTCGACCAGCGATAGCGAAGACTCCACGCAGAGCAAGCGCTCCTTGATCTACATGAAGGTCGTTCTTTGGAGTGTTGCTGGTCTATCTGGCTTCAAGTTCATCGGTGCGATGTGGTACTTGGTTGTTCGGATGGTAAGTTCTTTCCTCTTCAATCTTGATTTTATTCATCCACTAAATATGTCTTAGTTTCGCGGCGTTTGATTTAGCGATCTTTCCAACTGATGATTGTGCTTCCAATGCAATGCGATATTTTCATATACGTCATGACTACCACGGCGGGCCCGGTCTGGTATATTGGAAAGAAAATGAAATGGGTCAATGTAATATGCGTGACGACTTCCGCCATATGATTTTCGTCCTTCGTGACATGCGAAATGATGATATCGTGATTTATTTGCTTTTGTCGCTTTTTGGTATCCCTCTATCCTGGACTTGCCGTTGCAGGTGCTTGCATTGCATTTGCATGTGTCTACTTGGGTTTTTGGGTTTTTCTTATCTTGGCGAGGAATCTTGTACTTTATCTGTAGATACGGTGTGTCTGATTATTCCGTCCTGAATGGCGTTGTTTTACTGGGATAGGTGTTGGTCTATAAATGAATGAATCATGTGTTGCAAAACTTCGGTTCATCTTAGTGATCCTTCCAGTCTACCTAGGTAGACATTTCATATAAAGTATACTGCATGGTGTCATAACATAATTTCAAGCATATAGACGTACTGCGATTCCGTGATCATGATTATGGATCGAAAACTGGTGGAAAACATATATATCTAGTTAACGCGGAAAATCATGATTGGAGGAATATATTTCAGACGTAGGAGGGCGCAACTTTGGTCAGGCATGATATGATGGATAATTTGATTGACAGCATTCATTACGTAGATAGCAAAAGACTGTTGGAAAATGTAGAGGTGGAACTTTGCGAAGATGGGAATATTGAGGTAGTAATGAGATAGCTACATGAACATCAAGTGCCTTCCTAGATAGGAACCCAGACCTCAAGATAGAACACCAGTCCTCTTATCTTCGTTTCTTTCCCTCCCTTCCACTCTTCACGCCGAGCTCGATTGGAGAACACTTTTATGGAGACGACACCAGACTCACCTGGACCGATGGAGGATGACGAACGGAATTTGGCAGCGGCCACAGGGTCGCCACGGTACAAGATAGGGGATACAAGAGGAGGAATGGTGCTGGTGAGAGAGCGAGGGGGTACGCCGCAACAGGCCTAAGAAGCTTGCTTTGGGCGCGCCAGAGGAAGAAGCACAGCCAGAACTCTTTTCTCGGACACAGTGGGCAACGTCTTCTCAAGCCTCGGCGTTTGCTTAAGCTACGGACAAAGGGGTCTGTTCTTCTGGTGATGTGGACTCTGGTGGTGGGCTCTGGGGAAGTTGGTGGGTGGCGGGCTCTCTTTTGCTCTGTGATGATTCAGTCTTGATGATGTTATGCATCCATTGGACTTGGCGACACCCTCTGGGAGGGCCGGGCAAGCTTGATCGGAGGCTCGCATTTGACTACTGAGGGCAATGTGTCTATCCGCGGGTGTTGGAAGGGATTTCAAATTGAATTTGGTGTCTTATTGAGTACATCATTCAAACAGAATACAGTATACAATGTTCTCCTTTCCGCGTATTATTGAGTTATCAACAAAATAAAGATGTTATAGTCCACGGGTCTCCGCTGTATAGATCCGCGGACGGAAACCTTATCTCTTATCGATCGCACGGGCCAACTGCCGGCAACGTCAGTGCAAAGCCGCAACGAAACAGCGGCATTATTCAATAGCTACAAAGGCCCATTGAACGTCAAAATGGACCCAGATGCGAGCATTCCTACCGAGCCAGAGCCATCAGTATTCAGCTATGTGCTCTCATTCCTCCTTGTCGGCGTAGCATGGGGGTTTACAACCCCTTTTATCCGACGCGCGGCGGCAGACTTCAACGCACGGCAAGAGAAGCAAGCCAACAAACCGACAGAACGCGGAAGATCACGATCACAAAGCTCGCCCCAAACCCGCTTCACGGATGCCGGCGAGGAGCAGGAATTGCTCTCCCAAGAGGGACAGGATAGTGAAGGTGGGTACGAGGATGGCGTGCGTGACCGGAGCACAAGTCGAAGTGATCTGAATCGCAAACCGAAGACCGGGGGTAGGGACTCGGAGCTGGACAATGGAGATGCTGCACAGAGTGGGAGCCACGATTCTTCGATCGAGAGGGATGATGGTGACGAGGACAATCTGCCAGCTCCGGCTTGGAGACGGGGATCTGCGGCAAAGCAGTCCTGGTTGCGTGCTAAGGTCATCTCGATCTTTTGGACGGTTGTCAATTTGCTTCGCACGCCAGCGTATGCGATTCCGTTGGTGATCAACCTGACCGGTAGCATCTGGTTCTTTTTGCTCGTTGGGAAACACGGTGAGTTCTTTCGGAGTTTGTGTACTTGTCTGGTGTTAATGTCTTTTTAGAACTTTCTCTGACTGTTCCGCTCATCAACTCGAGTGCCTTCCTCTTCACCGTTCTTGGCGAGTGGTATGTTGAGCGCAAAGTGATTGCGAAGCAGACGTGGTTGGGTATGGGGCTGGTCCTTGGGGGAATTGCAGTCTGTGTGCATTCCAAGAACCAGGCTTCCTGATACTGCTATGTTTTGGATGAATTCGAGAATCGGGGAGGAGCAATCTGCTGTACACATCTCTTCATAAATTCATAGTCGCTTGTACTTCAATGAAACATAAATTGATATGGTATGAAAAGATTCATCTGCCCAAGGCTGACAGGCCCTTTGTATTATGTAAATACAGACAATAGCCTCATTATTCTAGCTGCATTATCTATTTGTAGGAAGTATCCTTGAATGATCTTTCTATATAGCATTGCAATAGGGAGTATAGAGCATAAACAGTCAATAACAGAAAAGCATGATAAAGGCCTACGTATTGTCGATCCAGATCACAAAGACCTATGATTGATAGATTAAATACACCGTACCGGTAATTATACCCAGCTAGGCAAACCCCTTAATCGAACGCAGCTTGTAGCGCTATAGGGCTTATCTGTAACAGGGTCACATAATGTATGGAGAGACGCTGTGGTATATAGCAATGTTCATGATGCCTGAGAGCCTCTGCACACATGATGTTCCAAGGTTCATCGTGATGGTGACTCAGGCCTCCGTCAGCGGGAGGCATATCTCCTTTTGATCATGATAATAATCCTTATAGAACTGGCCCACATAACCCTATTCGCACATCTTGGCCTATTAATCATCTTCACATCATCATCGCGACAAGCTGGTAGTGCAGCTTCCCACTGCACTTTTGAGTGCGGTAACCACGGCTTCGGCAGAGGCCAGTCACTGAAATGGACAAGAAACGCCCGCGAAACCTCCGCCATAGCATTCCACTCCTCGTCATTATCCTCTGACATGTATCGATCGTGATTCTGGCCACGAAGTTCGCCTGTCAACAACGCAATCCGGCGATGAGGCAGGACCATCGCCGAGTCGCGAAACAGATTATTTAACACCTCCATGTCGAAGTCCCCTGACAATTTCGCCTCATTTATGATACGATGGTAGTTTCCCTCGTTCGGCTCGATGAGCATGACATGCGATCCGAGAATATGGTCTTTGATGTTCTCATCCTTGCCGTTAAGCCAATAGGCCCGTGGAACCGCCACAGGGGCGGGAGGTGAGAGAAAATAGTGGTCCATGTTATTAAGCACCATAGAATCAGAGTCAAATATCAGCACGCGCGTGTATTCGGTAAGGGCGAACGCTTGGAACTTGGTCAGACTTTTGTGCCATGTCGGGTCGCCCGTTGAAGTCGATATCACCTCCACCGCTCGCAGCTTAAGGTGCGGATATTGCTTCCGAACGTTGGTGAGGGCGAGCTTCTCGCGGCTTGTGCCGGCCTGTATTGTCTTTCATTAGCTCTTAAGCATAAATGGTATATGTGCCGTGCTAAAAGCCCTATTAGGACTAATCTCTGCCCAGTCTTTTGGGTAGATCAACCCTTGGTCGAAATGTGTTGCAAAACGGTCGAGGCGCGCAAAGTTCATCATCTAGCGATTCTTAGCTGGGAATCTAGATTCTGTGTCGAGATGCCTACCGCATTACACAAATAGTCGAAATCGGTCGCATATTGAACGTAGGCAAACCGAGGCTCACGCCCTTCGGTTGTCCAATAAGCCTTCAGCCCCGCCAAATGCTTCTTGCGATAGGTTTCCCACTGTAGTAATGATTGGATGTGCCAACCTGACTGCAGTGTACTGGCTCATTAGCTGGTTGAGACCGAGCAGCAGAACATATGAGGCTACCGTGCATGTCGCTATGGTTTTCCGCATTGCCGGAAAGATCATGCGGGTCTAGGATAGAACAATGCATGGATAGACCTCTGCAGGGATTTGAAGAGACGGGAAGAAATATGTCGAAGAGAGGCAGAATCCACCAACACGGCAAAAAGCGAGACAGCATGAATCAATACTTGATCATTATTTCCATATCTGTCTAAGTTTTCTTGGCTGTCTCACTAACTGCGATGTGAGCTAAGATTTGAAATTCTAAAGAGTGGACTGCCATCGAATCCAGATTTATGTTTTACTTGTGGGTCTACAGTATGATGAAAAGTCCAGGGCCTCCGGAGCGCCCTAACTACTCCTATAAATCTAATAGGTAATAGCTAACATCAACCACGGTCAGATAAGGATGTTTTATGGCCTTATTATTAGGGAAGAACATTATTACGAAAGAAAAGCTAAATGTTAGAATTTTAGCTATAGTTATGTTGTTCTCTTGTTACAAAAAGTCGGCAACATCACAAAATATATAAATTTACGATCATATATGAATAATTTAGAACCACCTCTCAGTCCGGCGCCGAATCCAGGGCCCGAATATGTACAGCGGCAGAGCTAGGAACAAAACAGCCCACTCAATACCTGCAAACTCGTAGAACATCTTGTCAATGCCTTCCATTGTCATCCAGGCATAAGCCCCCTTGGCAAGACCAAAGGCAACCACATTCTTGGATGCGTTGACCAGCACCAGTGCCTCACCACTCGTGCGCGGGTATGCATCCACAACGTAGGACAGCATGACAGAAGGCACGAGTGTGAGTCCCGCGGCGCAAATTGCTGCGCCAACGGCAGGACGAACGTAATGCTGTTGCCTGGCCACGGTGTATCCGAAAACAATCAGACCCACGGGGCAAATCAGGAATGGGAGGACGAGGGCGGGAAGACGGTGCTCGGGTTTGTGAACACCATCATTGCGTATACGCAGCCAGCGGGATAAGCGATCGGTCAATGGACCGGCAATTGGCCAAGCGACCACAATGCCGATGAAGCTGCTGAATGTGAAGAGGCCGAGGTCGGCAGATGAGAAGAGGTAGGGAGGCGGAGCAAACACGTCGGGTGCGATGGTGGAGATAATAACAACACTGTGCTATTAGCTTTGAATCTCAGGTTAGGAGAATATAGAGTACTCACGCTCCAAGAATAACGCCATACATAGCAGAGGCAATCAGGACCCCAGGAACCAAGAGAAGCGGGAATGGGAGAACAAATTGATAGGCAAAGTGCCTGAAGATCCCCTTTTCCTGCGCTTCCTTGGAAATTTTGAATGACCAAAGATCCTTCCAGTAGGTCGCATAATCCATCTTGGCACGCGCCTCGGTGCGAGTCTCGCTACGTGTGACGGTCTCAACGTGGCTGGCGACATCTTTCTCGATGTCGTTGACGATTTCGAGTTCAGGCTCGACTTCATATAGGGTTTCGGGAAGGAGGAAGATTGTGGTGACAAGGTTCACAGCGGCAATGATGGCGCAGAGGATGAAAAACCATCTCCATCCTTTGGCTTGGATCAAATAGCCTGCAATGACAGGGCCGATTTGAGAACCGCCAGAGAGGAAGGCGGCGTAGACTGCCATTGCGCTAGAGTAGTTGCGCTCGTAGAATAGGTCTAAATCAATTAGTTTGGGTGTATTGAATTAGGGCATGTATACATACCGGCAAGAATGCTTGGCCCAAGAGACTCGATTGCGCCGTATCCTGTGAACTTGTTAGCAAATTACCAGCCATTATGAGAAGGCAACACACCAAAACTAGCAAACACTCGTGATGCAAGTAGGCTGTTGTAATCCTTCGCAACTGCGCTCCAGATTATTCCGCCCAAAAACATCGCCATGGAAATCACCACAATGGGGCGCTTTCCAAAGGTCAGAGCTAGGGGCATCCAAATCAAGTTGGATAACCCCATTGCTAACACGGAGTAACTAACCAACTCTGCCAGGGTAGCAAAAGGCATGTGCAAGTCAGCAGCCAATGCCTCGAAGCCGACGGCAAGGCCAGACTAAACATATTAGCAACGTCACGGTATCAGGGGTAAGGCCTACTCACCGAGTACATGTTGCCCATGAAAACATATAGATTGACAGTAAGCAGAGCACTATAGGTCACCCGCTTAGGGAAGAGCTGCCGAATTGTTAGCCGGGTTGCCTCATGGTACCACAATTGTATGAATGGGCATGCACACGTACCCTAGGATCTATCGACATCCTTGCAGCTAGTATGGGAAGATAGTGTGGGGCCGACGGGTAAAGTATTGCTGGCGCTAAAACATCAGGAGATCAAGAGGGAAAAGGGAGGTACATATAGCACTCTTTCCCCCGGCCGGGAATTGAGAGCTTTGACAATGAGCGAGTCATCATGGGAATTCCAACACGGGGGTTCCCCGCAGGATTGAAGTACATACGCACGCAGATAGGCTAAGATTAACGCCCTTTCTGTCTTGGGTCGTCGGTACTTCGGTAGCGTGGTTTTGGCGTGTCTGGATCAACGCCCTAGGCTTCTCGGGTAGTCCGTGGAAGGTGGAGGTCGCTCGGATGCGGGTCGGGACCACATTGATAATGTTCTTCTTAAGCGATATAAGGGGCGCATGATTGGGTGAACCTTTGTTTTTTCCTCTGTGATTAATTATCTTCGGCACTTGAAAGTGGCAATGTCATTTGTCTTTCATGCTTTTGAAATCCGTGTCGTTTGTCATCGCCGTAAACCACAACCAAGCCAATGGTCCATAGGACTGATGCGTCCATGTTATGTGCAAATGAATTATTGAGTACATCGACAGGGCGGGAAACCCTCAATATATTGAGGCTAGGGTGCTCTCAGTTGATCTTAACCAAATGCATAGTGTCCCGCTTCCCCAGATACAAATCCGGGATATATCCCCGCGATGTGCACCCCAGAAAATCATAAAAAACGAGATCCACCATGTTCACGTGGGAATTCCCAGGCTCCACATTGCGCTTTGGTGATTGTTAGCTATTGGTGATTTTAGCCATCGGTTTCATGGAAAACCCGGTGGGACCGGGTTTCCCGAGTCGTGGGGATATTCTCTTCCTCGGTCTTCCCGGGGCGCGAGTAGCGCGTCTGCGGGGATTAAATTGGCCATTTCGCAGAGTCCGTTTATTAAGACTTCTTTAGAAAGTGCTGGTCGATAATAAAACGAAAGAAATTGCACTTGTGAATATGGTATGCAGCACCAGCACCAGCCCCCGCTGTACACCCAACTAACAACCGTAGGTTCCCGAACAAGCTCGTCTCCGCATTGTGATTGTCGGCGCTGGCCTCAGTGGCATAGCTACTGCCGTCTCCGCCGCGCTATCAGGACACTCCGTTGAAGTCATCGAGCAGGCGAAGGAGCTTGCCGAGGTCGGCGCTGGTCTTCAAATCACCCCAAACGCATCCCTGCTACTCAAGTACTGGAAACTTCCTCAGTCACTGTGGGACGCAGCTGCAGAGCCGACCAAGCTCACGGTGCACCGGTACTCGGGCGAAGTTCTGGCACACGAGGAAAACTTCGACAAGAATATTCGCGCCAAGTACAATGCGCCCTTTGTTGATTTGCACCGCGTAGATCTCCAGCAGGCGCTTTTTGCTCGGGCTCAAGACCTCGGCGTGACATTCCATATGAGCCAGAAGGTCGATCGCGTTGATTTTGATGCCACCACCGTGCACACTCTTGCTGGAAAAAAGTACACGGGTGATCTGATCATCGCCGCTGATGGGTTGTGGTCTCGGTGTCGAGAGGCTTTTGTGGGGAAGAAGGATGAGCCCATTCCTACTGGTGACTTGGCCTATCGTATTGTGCTGAGCACAGATCAAATCTCCGATCCTGATCTCAGGGCGCTGGTCGAGAATCCCGAGGTGCATTTCTGGGCAGGTCCTGGTGCTCATGCGGTTGCTTATTCGCTTCGCGGTGGAAAGATGTTCAATATCGTTCTCTTGGTGCCAGATAATCTGCCCGCAGGAGTTTCAAGGCAGGCTGGGTCTGTTGAGGAGATGCGTGAGCTCTTTGTTGGGTGGGATCCGATGTGAGTGTCTCGGCTTTGAGTGGTTTGGAAATTTGCTAACTGGTCAGCTTGAACCGGTTTCTAAACTATGTGACCACCGTAGACAAGTGGAAGTTGATGCATCATGGTGAAATGGAGCGCTGGGTCAACGATACTTCGAATCTTGTATTCATTGGAGACGCTTGCCACCCAATGCTTCCATACCTGGCTCAAGGTGCCAACTCGTCTCTCGAGGATGGCGCCGTGTTGGGGCTGCTCCTGGGGCATATGACCGACAAAACACAGCTACCTCGCATTCTCCGATTGTATGAGAGTATGCGCAAGTCCAGAGGAGAAGCAATTGTTCGGGAGACCTTCAAGCAGGTATGTTTTTATCTTATTGCTGAGAGACTTCGTTAACAATATAGCGGCACGACTTCCACATGCATAACGGCGAAGAGCAAGAGAAACGTGACCAGGTCTTCCTCTCTCAACTCGGAAAAGAGATCAAGGGCGCGTTCCCCAGTCGATGGTGAGTTGATCTATTTAAATCTGTATGAAGCAACTAACATCAATAGGACATGTCCCGAGGTACAGCCTTGGCTGTATGGATACGATGCAATCAAGGAAGTCGAGACTGCGGTTACGCAAAACCCAGAGCTGTTTTCGAAGTCCGAATCATGGGGCTGTCAGATTTTGTAATTCTTATATCCAATTAAATAGTGTGATATCAATACATATATACAAAACATCAATCTAGATGCATAGACTACTCATCCAACATTGGAAGCCCACCAACATCGTCGAAGAGTCGAGCAATTCCGTCGAAAGAGTAATCTGGGAAGCCAAAGCCGTAGGCCCATTCCTATTTATGTCAGTCAGGTTCGTAGAATGGTAGAGATTACATACCGGTACTTCGAATCCTTGTCCGGGTGCTGTCTCTACAGTTGGTGTTTCTTCTTCCCCACGCGTCTGCTGAGCGCCAGTGGCGCGGAAATCCCTGAGGTACTGCCGGATGATTTCAACTGATTTTCGGGCTACCACGGACTCATCCATGGCTTCCAGGATTTCCACGCCCATCTCTACTGACCGTAGTAGGGGCATTGTTTCAGGACACATGCCTAGCTTAGACATTGGAAGAAGGAGCGTGGATGTAGCGAACATTACGTATGTTGTGTTGTACCACCTACAAGATCAGCAATAATCACCAATTCTATGCCTGATTGGTAACATACCAGCAGCGGAAGAAAGTGTGAACCCGGTAGATATCATGCACGACTTGAAGAGTCTTCATAGCCGAGTCCAAACACTTGTCGATGGTCTCATCCAATTCAGTTGGAGGGTGTCGCAGCTTGCGTGTAAAGTGGCTCAAGAAAGGCCGGAAGAGCAGCATCTTGACATTATAGTATCCTGATAGGTCAGGATAATATCTTGAAACTTCAAAAGGGAACTCACGAATTCCTAATACAAGCCGTTGTCTCCTCGCCCATTTTGGATCACGCAAGGCACTGCGGGACAGCCTGTAGCCACCGATGTCAGGCTTGATTTTCTCTGGCAACCTGGCTAACCAACGGTCCATCTCCATCTCGATCTGCAAAGCAAGCTGCAACTTTTCCTGTAATGAGATGCGAGAATGATAAATCTGGACGGATACTCGTCGGATGATCTGAGCAAAGTCAATCATCCACGGGATGATGGCAAATTCGGAATCGTCGCGTGGTGGAATCCTCCTGTTATGGTATTCATCCATTCCGAGAGTATCTGGCCGTCCAACCGAGAAACTCATCTCACTGATTTGTCAGTACAGGCTCAAAAATTCGAATCAAAACGCTTACATTTCCAAGGAGAACAAACCCCTGTACCATAACCACATTAGAGATGCACAGCATTGCGAGGACTATGAGACTTACCACCAGGTCTTTGAAATCCAGCCCGCGCGCTGCCCATTCTCCCCCGGGGAGGGAACCTCTCGGTTAAAGCCAGCAGAAAGGCACGTGCGCACTGCTAAGCCAAGGTACATATAGGACACTATTCTGTTAGATTTGTGATCAAAGTTAACTCTGAAGGACCAACGCACAATTAGGGTTAAGTTCATTTTGACAAACTTTGGCCTAGTACAGTTAGCAGTGGTCACACCTCGGAAAATCTATACACACCATGACATAGAGACATTGCACTGTTTCAAGGTCATTGGAAAACTTCAAATGGTTTAGATAAACCTGCGCTTCAGCAAAAAGCTTTCGGCTCCATTCAAAGCGACCTAGCCCAGCCAATGTTCCTTCGTCCCACACGCGTACCAAAGATCCAACGGACAAGATACTCAGATACAGCGCGACGAAACTTGGCTCTGGTGTGCGTGACCGGTTAAACCAGAGGTCGTTGGCGCGCACCAGGAAATCCTCTTTGTCAATGAACGGATGGATGAAATGGATATTCTCGAAATATCCGTTCATGAAGATATGCGCTTGGTCGAAGTAATAGTTTTGCTGTTCGATTGAAAGCATCTGACCCGGTCCGGCGGTATATGACGGCGAAAAGCTCGGATTATGGAGTGTAGAGATAAGTGAGTAATCTGCTGGACGAGCCTGGAGCTCTTCCTGGCCTTTGGGTTCGCGGGCTTTTTTCAAATGGCCGATAAGTGCAGCAGATGAAGTACTTCCATGGAATTCAACACCATTTGTGTGATGATTGAACTCATTAATCTCGTTCTCGGCGCTTTCTGCTGATTCGGCACGTGTCTCAGACAGCTTGATAATCTCCTTTGGTGTGGAAGCATTGGGCATAGAGCATGGTGTTGTTTCAGCTGCTGCTGCTGGAACAACATGTGGAGATGTGCCTGTTACTGATTCCGAAGCGCGAAGCCTGGAGGTCAATTCTTCGACCTTTCTCTCGAGGTCGGTGACATAGCTATGGATGTTAGCGTGCACCGTGATCGGCCCGAGTGGTTGACTTACTTTGCAGACCGGCTGCTTTCACGTTCTCGATAATTTCCCTGATACACGCAAGCCAAATCATTTTCTATATAATAGTCAGAAAATAAGTATCTTTTCAGGTAATTCTGCATACTCACTTTTACAATGCAGGCATGGGTATTGCTCGTCGCACTTATACTTCTTCAGCCGACATCGGTCGCAAGCTTGTGCGGCGCGCGGGCGTTTCGGGCGTTTGGCCGATGGCTCGTCGGCTGCAGAATTAACAGGAGACCGGAGGTTCTGCATCATGCAGACATTCTCCAATGGTTTCCGGGTAATATATATCGATGTTGAGCGTTGCGCCTACAGTGGAGTACAGATGATGATTGAGTGAGGCCGGAAATTCCGAACACCCTTGACTCCACGTGACGGGCGGCCGCAGACTACGTAGGACTAAATCCGGGGACCAATCGATCATGCGGGGTCAATATTCGATTTTTGTTTGGAAATGAGATTGCGGAGAGTGAGGCATTTTCAACCACTTAAGCCATGTCTCCATACGATGTTGTGGTGGCAAGAATATCTCGTTATGTTCTAATTATATACAGGTGATCGGCTTAAATTGCAATATTCAAACGCGTGGCAGCCGACTCCACCTCCGACTGCTCATATTCTGGAGCCTTATCGGGAAGCACTGCCCCTTGGAATGGCTTGCCAGCAGCGTGGATCAATGACTCAATGCCATTTCCGTCGGTGAAAGAGTGGAACTTGACATATTTGCTCTCAAAGCCAAGGGAGAAAGCTTGCCCAGCAGGAATAACAATAGTCTCGCCCTCACGGAAGATAGCATCATCTGCACCTTGCAAGTTCACCCGCAGCGCACCCTCCATAACACAGAAGCAGTGGTCGACAGTGGGGAAAGTCATATATTTGGAGAACGCCGTCTCGCCATAATCCTTGGACGACTCGATGCTGGAAATCGCACACACACCACTGCTCTGGGTGGTAGTGACGAATGGGCGGGACATCACACCCCCAAGCATCCATTTGGGGCCGGTATTGGCACGCAAAAAGTATCCAGCCGGACCTTCAGGCAATTTTTCGTCTTCCTTAGTCCACTCGGTAACCTCCGGGGCCACGTAGTGCGGCTGGAATACAACATCGAACTTTTCCTTAGCGGCCATAACCTTGGGGATAAGAATGGACTTTAGGTCACGATCATCGCCTTCGGGGACTACCACGCCATCGAAAGGCTCTGACACATAACGGAAGAAGTCCACCCAATCACCGGGGGTGATCAAGCCTTGGAGTTCTGTATGCGGGCCGATCATTTCGGGATTGTGAATAGCTTTCTGCGGGAGTCAGTCCTGAATTTCCTTTCTTCTGGTGAATTACATACCGGAGGAACATAGGCAAAGTCGCCAGGTCCCAAAATCCGACATTGGTCTCCATTCCATAACTTCAGGAAACCCTTTGTGACGAGGAAAACATCATGGGCGTGGTTATGGTAGTGGAATCCGGGAGCATCGGAAAGGACAGCACCGCTTGTGAAAACAGCCATCAAACCCCCGGTTTGCTTCGCAGAGGTAAGGATGCGGAAGACACCTTTGCTACCGGGGATTGTGATGCGCTCACCCTCCAACTGAGGAATGGCATATGGAACCCGCGATGCAGGTGGTTGGTTGGTGAAGGTCAATGACATTGTGAGTAGTTATGGCAAAAGTTGGTGTTTTTTCCAGAAGATCCCCGCGATGCCAGCAGTTTTAAAGTCCCACGGGAGGGATATCGGCATGCGGGGGAGCAGCCTCCGAGCGGAGAACCCGTCGGAAGATCCGAGTCTCGAAATTAGGTGAAGCTTCGGATGCGAAGCTATCAATATTAAGGTGGCGTACAGTCACACGGTGATTTATGGAGTACGCAGTAGTTGAGGCGCAGTTCATCTCACCACAGACTAATGGTTGATGATCTTTATGAAATCTTAACGAGCCACAGCTTGCAATACATTAATTCTATCCCTATCAAGGAATAGCTGTAGATTGATCCAAACGGTACCTAGGACGCGCCCAAAAGCCGAGCTGATGGCACGACGACTACCCCAAACTTTGCGTTTTGTCCAATTCAATCCATCCCCAGCTTCTCCATGATTATCTGACGAGGTTCAGACTGATAAATGCCTTTCCGGCGCATCCGGATTGGCCAGAAATTCATCTTGCCACGCCAAAACCGACGGGTAAGATATTTCCCACAATCCCCACGAGCGTGGGGAAGCCTCGCCGCTCAGCGATGTGGGGTTGGAGCTTGCTATAATACCTTTTTGAGGGGCGCTTCTTCTCCTCTTCAATTGATTTTCTTTCATTCAATCTATAGAACTTATCATGGCGAACACATTAGAAGAGCCTACTGGCGAGTACCGCCAATACCTGCCCGACCTCAACCTGGAGCGCTTCCAGGTGATGTGCCAGCAGGATGCGCATGAGTACGCGCATGCATTCAAGACTGGACACCAGCCGCCATGGCTTCATGCGCTGTATATGCATTGGTTAGAGCTGTTACAAGAGCCATTCAAGGGCGTGACGACCGATGGTGCGTTCGACCCCCATCACACCTTATAACCACCTCTGACATTGATCTAGGAAATGTCCGCCCGGGTCTATTCACATTACAAGAAGAAGACGTCCCAATCCAGCAGATTGTCGACGCAACAGAAGCAGTAACAGCTCTGCTAGACGACAAGCAAAAAGAAGCAATAAACTACCATATCGACTCCCCGCAATGGCGCACATGGTCAAACCCAGAGTTCCTACTTGCGCACAAGGGCATCCGTCTCGACGAAGTGACCTCGCAAATCCGCGACGCAGTCATGAACGTTCTCAAGACCACCCTCTCCCCAGAAGGCTACGACAAAGCCGTCAGCGCAATGCGCATCAACCACTTCCTCGGCGAACTAGTCAAGTCACCCGCCGTGATGAACGAATTCTCCTACAACTTCGTTCTCTTCGGCCGCCCCTCTACCACCAGACCCTGGGGCTGGTCTTTCTACGGGCACCACCTCTGCCTAAACATCTTCCTGTACAAGGGCCAGATCGTCGCCTCGCCGTGGTTCACCGGTGCCGAGCCAAACGAGATCGACGCGGGTCCTCACGCTGGCACGCGCATCATGCAACTGGAAGAAAAGCTCGGGCTGGATCTCATGCAGTCGCTTTCTGCGGAGCTGCAGGCTTCCGCGCGTGTCTTTGCCCAGATGAAGGACCCCGCCATGCCGCCCGGTCGCTGGAATAAAGATGACCAGCGTCATCTGTGCGGCGCGTACCGGGATAACCGGGAAGTGCCGTATGAGGGGATCCTTGCGTCGACGTTTAATGCCGCGCAGAAGGAGCTGATGTATGGTATTCTCGAGCAGTACCTTCTTTACCTGCCTGCTAAGTCGCGGGCGATGAAGATCGATCAGGTGCGCGCTTATGAGAATGAGACATACTTCTGTTGGATCGGGGGGTATGGGGATGAAGATCCGTTCTATTATCGGATTCAGAGTCCGGTGATTCTTGTTGAGTTTGATCACCATTCCGGGGTGTTTTTGAATAATGAGGAGCCGAAGAAATTCCACATTCATACTCTTCTTCGGACACCGAATGGGGGTGATTATGGTCAGGCGCTGCGCCCGCAGATTCCGGCTGTTGAGGGATTGAATGGCAAGGAAATTATTTGGTAGGTCGAACCAACCTATCGGAGGATATGGTGTATTGTATGAAATGAATTTCATGAAGCACGTCTACTTTTATTTGCGTATCTTGGGTTTCGACAATAACTGATTTTGGTCTGTTTAAAGGTCACAAAGACGATCTACAAAAATATAGATAGCTTTGAAAGGGATGATGAGGTTGTAGATAAACACTCTCAAATAAATTTAATATGTCTCATAACTCGCAAAAGAAATATACAGCCCTAACACCAAAGCGCATAAAATAGATGTATAAAAACAACGCAATCTGCAACCCTAAAGACTGAATCATGAGTAAAGTAAGAGTAATAACCATTATCGTGACTAGACAGAGACACAAGAAATCCGTGACTCGCGTGTGATTCGTTTTTTGTGTATCAAATCGTATCAAGTGATCCTGAGCTCATCATGATCAGGAATCAACTCGTATCCCCCCTCAGAAGGCAAGATCTTGGCGGCCACCACAACCGCGCCCGCGCAGAAGAGACTAATACACCAACTAACAGTGCAGAAGACCCACGACTGATCAAGTTTCCAGCCGACGAAGAACCGGTCCTCGTTGTCGAATAGGTATGCCTGTAGATTATTAGCATATTCCTCCCAGTCACACAGCAAAAAACTTACTACGATCGACATGCCAGCAGCCTGAACAATCGCCGACAGACCAACCATCAGACTGAGGACGCCCCATCCATTCTCGCGCAGCCGCTTTCCGCCAGAGAGAATAACCAGGTATGTGACCACGCTTATGCCCTGCAGCACGATGGCAAAGGACATGAGGAATCCGACGGACCGCCACATGGAGCAGAAGTAGCGGTCTTCGCCGTGACAGTCTTCGCGTTGTGGGAAGCTCTCGCATGTGTCTGTGAGGGAGGAGCAGCGGCGATGGAGGCCGTAGGAATAGTGGTAGTTCGGCTGTAAATAAAATCAGTGAGTAGTCTGAAGCTATTATGTTGCTAAGAAGCCCGTACCTTTTCACTGTGGTAGCTGACCCATTTTGGGATGACGATGGAAGCTACTGTTAAACCGAGAGCTGGGATCGTTAATATAGATCTATTCTTTGGGTGGTTGATGTCTGCTCACAGGCTAGAAATATCACCAGCGTCCCTGTGTAGACTATTGTCTTTGTTAGGAAGCCTGTGTAGTTGCGGTCAGTGCCGCGAGGCACTAGGCGGAAGTCCATCGCGGCTTGGCGATGTAAGTCTGTATAGCTTGGCCTGGACAGCTCTGCGCATCGGATTGCACAGAACAGTGCTGTAGTACGGGGAAGGGTGGAATAAATCCGGAATGATGTGGACTGAAGGAAGGGATATGTAGAAACCCTGAGGTTGATCGGCGGGAACCCGATAGCAAAAGATCACGAGGACTTTCAAGGTAGGAAAGTATAACTTTGATTTGCTTAAAAACGATCGGTAGCAATAAATCGCTCTGTGCTACCACAATCAATAGAAAGACTACGTTTTCCCCGCAGAGCAAATCAAGGCAGATAGATGTCAATGCGGTAGACTATCCTTGCAATTCGGCCAATCAAATGTCGCATGTAATCTATGCATTGCTTCATCTTCAGTCCCATTACAATTTACATAGATGTACTAAAGGATTTTGAGTAACTATATAGTATTTAAGAACTCCGTTTACTCCTTCTAATATTGCAATCATCAGGGCAATGTCGAAAAGACAGCCCTTCGGAATAGACATCATCATTAGAACTAAGAGCAAGATACAGTCATAATATACACGACGGCATGTGCCATTAAGAGGTCATGACGCAAAAGACCCGAATGAATACATGCGGATCTAACAGTGCATCGAGATAACCACCAGAAAACAAAACAAAACTCCAGCCGAATACATGCCATTGAAATCAAATATTGGAAAATAAAGCGCCAGGAACAGTTACTGTCATTGCACTTGCACTTCATTCCGGTCCCTTTTGGAGCATAGCGCGGAAATCATCGTTGCTCTTTCTCGGTTTGCTGTCGCCGTCGGCTGCAGTGTCCATTTGGTCATTCACCGCAGGTTTTTGCGCATGAGTGGTGGTATATCGTTTCTGTCCGAGACCACCCTTTCGACCTCCAGGTTGTTGGGGTCGTTTGATCGGGGCTGCGGGCTGTAGGTTCGTCTTTTTCGTTTGATCTTCCCGTTTCACGGAAGTAACCCGGTCGTTTTTCCACTCCGCGCGCTGCGTCTTCATCTCATTGACCGTGCCAAGATGAAGAGGGCGTCCAGGAGTGATTTCTTTTCCTTCAAGAGCCAGCAAGGCCTTGCCCGCATCGTGGACATCGACATATTCCACAATGGCACCTTGATGATCAGGACGCAAAGAAATCTTGACCAAGCGTCCAAATGGCTCGACAAGGACACGAATGCGCGCTTCGTTGACAGTATCGGGAATATTCATCAAGGCAATCGTGCGCTCGCTTCGCTCGCCGACAGGCACTTCCAAGTCAGCAGCGCCGTTAGCTTCTGCGTGCGAACCGAACCCGGCAACCCGGGATATGGTAGTATGAGTCGCTCGCTTGTGGCCTTCGGTGCTGGCAATCTCGACGCGAACACGGCGCGATCTGATCGGTTCGTTATGCATTGCAAGAGCTTTTTCGGCCGCCTCCTTGGTGGTGAAAGTAACATGACCAAATCCTTTACTACCGAGGTCGACTTTTCGGCCAAGCATGACCTTTTCAACTTCTCCGAATCGAGAAAATATTTCTCGCAGTTCATTTTCATCCACTTCCCAGTCGATGTTCACTACGTAAAGTTCTCGTCCTTCATATCTGGGCCCACTACGAGCAGTCTTCTCAGCGGGATTAGAGATCTTGACGGAAAGCTTCTTGTTTTTGTCGTTTTCGTCGTAGCGCATTCCATTTAGCTCCGTCGCATGAAGAGCTGCACCAGGGGTGGAGAACTGCACGTAACAGAAACGTCTATCGGTGTCATATTTGAGGGAAGGCATTCGGACCTCGAGAACCTCACCATACTATTCAAGATCAGCACGAATTCTGAACAAGAAAAAAGGAAGGAAGGACTTACTTTGCTAAATAGGTTGCGGAAGTATTCCTCATCTGCCGTCAGCGGCAGATTGCTGAGCCACAAGGTCGTTTCTGCCCCAATGGACACATTGATAACGCTGTCCTCAAACTGTTTCTGATCGCGGGTCAAAGCAGCAAGCGCTTCATCCTTGGTTTCGAACTCAATGATCGCAACCTCGGTCTCTTTCCCACCTCTTCGCAGCATTTTGACACTGTTGATAGTACCACTCTGCGTTGTGGGTCAGCAACAATCAAGATATAACATAAAACTGGGTGGACTCACATGACGGAAAAATTGACGAACAGAATGTTCGGTGGTACCCTTTGGCAAATCCTTGACTATAACAGTTGCGTTTTCCCGATCCCGCGCGGGAACGGCGGGCGCGGTGGTTTCGGCGAGTGGCTCTTCGTCATTGCGTGCCTTTTTGGGTTCTGGCATCGCTTCCTTTTCATCCTCGCGCTTTCTCTTTTCGGGCGCAGCAGCGGCTTCCATGGTAGCTTCCCACTGCTGCTGTTGCTGCTGTTGCTGCTGAGCGGCTGCGGCCTCTTGCGCCTCCCTTTCCCTGCGTGCGGTGACAGCTCTCATCGCCTTGCGGGTCTCGATTACAGCCAGCTGGAGCTCGTCCGAGTCCTCGTAGTCTTCACAATGAGTGATGTAGGTCTGGACAATTTTATCAGGCCAGTCCAAGTCTGTCCGCTTGATCGCCTGCTTCAACACGGCAGTGGCATAGCTGGGGTTCGGCGTCCGGCGCGCCGCATCCACCGTTGCCTCCCCCTGTACAAACTTGCTCCAGCAGATCAACTCCCATCCGTAGTAGGTGAGCCAGAATTCATAGCTGCTACCACGGCGGGCCACCAGTCCTTTGAAGGTCTCTCGCGCACTGTCCCAACTGCCGCTTTCACTGAGGAAGCGAATATAGATCCGCTCCAGGCGGAAGAGAGGATCGCCTTGATAGGCCGGACCGTACTTCTTTTCGCCCAATTCCTGCACGCTCTCAATCGCTGATCGAATTCCAACTTCAGCAACATCGATATCCTCGTCAGTCGAGTCGGGCAGGAAGGCACGTCGGCGAAGGTAGCTGCACCAGGTCACATGCACTTTGAGGACTTCTTCCAGTCCACCAGCATCGAGCAGGCCAGTGCTAGTCGCCTTGTGCTTGATGTTGGAGATCTTGTTGAACGACTGGTGTTCTCGCTCCGAGCTCAGCAAATATTGGGACCACAGATTTCCAGCCCACGGACAATGGCGAGTGGCACGGTCCAGAGTAGAGATGGTCGTAGTAGAGGCGCGGCGATGGAGAGATTCGCCGATGAGGAACATGATATAATCCTCCCAGAGCGAAGCGTCAGTTGGGAATTGGAGAACAGCGCGTTGATAGATGGCATTGACAAGATCGAAGCTGAAATCACCTCGTTTGCGGCGATTGCGAGTCAATTCCCAGTCAATGTACTCAGAGTACACAGTATACTCCAAAGCACGATCGCCGGATTCTAGAGCCTTGGCTAGACGGTGTTCAAATTCTTCTCGGGCACTGTACAAGGCTTTTGGTTCGGCAGCGCGGGCAACAGTCGAAGCCATGATGTCCTCATACTCGTTGTTGCAATAAGTAGAGATAAACCCTGAGAACTTTTGGAAAGTCTCATCCCAGGTAGCATGAGGGGTTTGTAGGCGAACGTCATAGAGTCCGCGGAGGTGGTTTATCTTGTCTTGGGAAGGCGCGCGCGCAATGTCCTGGGTATATAGATCGAGGAGACGGTCCCAGACCAGGTGGCTATTGTTGATTCTCCACTGTGTGGCATCGGCGCCGCGCTGCCACACCTCCAACACCGATTCCCAGGTGAATACTTCACGTCCAACCATGCGATCCTCCTCGGTCCACTGAATACCAGTTTCGCCGTGGGCGGAGTTGTAGAGATAGAGCACCCATTCACCGTAGATGTTCCACAGCTTCGTGCTACCAAATTCTTCCTCCACAGATCGTTGACAGAGCTCCAGGACGGCAATGCGCCCATCGACATCTTGTGCAAGCATGCTCTCGTCCTGGATCCACTCGGCCCATAGATCTTCGCCCATGGCGAACAGCTTATCCATTTCCTCACGGGCGGTCTTCAAATCGTTGAGCAGATCATAGCATCGTGGATCGCCGTGAACATCTGGGTTATTCGGTGGGTAGACATGGTTGACAAATCCTGCATGGAGCAGTCCGATAAACTGCACGTGCGCGTCATGTGTGTGGGGGTTCAACGAGATTTGACGAAAAAGTTCGGTCGCCATCTGTTGCGCTTCCGGTTCAAGCGACGTCGCGGCATAGGTTCGTTGCGCTGGATCGCGCCCGTCCGACATGGCGATATCGAAGGAGATACGAGAGGTAGGGGTGTTGTGGTTAATGGAGTTGACATGAGGGTGGATGGTAGAGGGAGATAGTTGATGTTCATAGGATTCGGTTCCTCGAAGCATGCTGGTCTGGGTCGGACGTTGCGGCTGGTGGTGCTGCATCGAAGCTAGATCCGCCAAAGTGTCCATCCCGGGGGTGGACGCCTGTCTCGACGGTGCTTCCGTTGGAGAAGTTCCGTTGCCTCCACTTGGTCCTGGGGAAGGCTCACCGGTTGGAGCATATATTTGTTGTGCAAGAGGCGAAGAAGTCTTTCCTTTCCTTCTTGAGCCTGAGCGAGCTCTTTGAATAACTTTGTGGGGGGATGGCCCCGAGGTGGCCGGTGCGTTTGACGTAGGACCAGGCACAGGCGTCGAATTACCAGATTTCGGATTCGAGTCCGGCGAAAGAAGTGAATTGATGTCCATGTTGACGACACTTGTGAGAAAGCGCGATCGGGGTGATATGTCGTAACCACGGATAGTGCTCTTCAAGCAGAGATCCAGATCATACGACAAGTTCCTTTAGCTACCTCAACACGTCCATTCCCGCATCAACCGCAGATTCTTCTAGTATCCCCCCTTTGGTTTGTGCTCTTGCTCGTCGCAAATTGTATGGTTTCAGACAGGTTGCGCAAGCTGGTAGAACCTGCAGATAAAGGAACGGGAGCTCTTGGCGAGTCAAGAAATGGAAGCTGTCCAGAAAAGGAGTTCTCGGGTTGAAAAGGATGGAAACCTCAGGCAAAGGGCCTAGGAAAGGAAAAAGACGGATGAAGGAAGGTGACAAAAAAGAGAGAGAAGAACTGAAAGAGGGAAAGATGAGGGCTAGTGGATACTGTGGAGATGAATTTCGAGAAGAGAACATGCGCGAGAATGAGAATGCGCAAATATTTTTCTGAATCACAAAGCGAATAGAATAGAAAAAGAAGAAACACTAGGAGCTTTATGTAGATCTATTCTCCTCTTCTGTCGCATCTTTCATTGAGGCTATTCTGATCCATCAACTTCGGATGCCTCAGGCTTCGGTGTTCTGCACAGACCACAAGTGCAGGGAATCTTTCCACCTTTTTTCCGCGTCAACTTCCTTGACCACAACATCAACAGCACACAATGGTTTATCGCTCAGGGCAATTGGTCCGGTCTGGTATGTTTTGATCAAATCTGACTTTACTTACTATATCTCACCTTTTAATAGCCGCCCGGACCGCATCATTCGTCCCTCGTCGAACATTAGCCTCTACGACCGTCCGTTACGCTGCGAACAATGACGAAAAGAAATCCACCGGATTGTTCGCCTCTATGAAGAACCTGTTTCTGAGTGATTCAAGTAAGAAAGCCAAGGTCGCTCATCGACCCTCGGCCCCTAAAAAGGAGGAAGGTGGTCTTGGTGCGAGTTCTATCTTCGGAACAGACTTGACCGCACCATCATCGGGCCCTATGCCATCCCGGGGCAAGGAAGGCAAAGCAGAAGAAGGTCCCGCTTCCGCAAGATTGGAGGACCGTGATGCTCTCCGTCTTCAAGCAGCACTGCACCCGGACCCCAAGGCACAGCTGCGATGGGAGAGGAAGATGGCCGTCCGCGAGATCCGGAAACGAGGTCGCCTACCCGCGAAGGTCCAGATCAAGCGCACCGAGCGCGAACAACTCGCCAAGTCCCAGTGGATCAAGACCTCGCTGAAAAAGCTGGGTCCCCTGGCCCGACAGATCGCTGGTAAGAACATCGACGAGGCTATCCTCCAGATGCGCTTCAGCAACAAGAAGGCTGCCAAGGATGTGTTGGAGCACCTAGAACATGCAAAGAACGTCGCCGTGGTCCGTGCCGGCATGGGCCTGTCAGGCTCCGAGACTCAGAAACCCATCACCGTCACACTCAAGAACGGCGAGCGCAAGAAGATCGCCGACCCCTCTGCCATCTACATTCAGGAGGCCTGGGTTAACCGCGGCCCCTACGGATCCGAAATGGATCACCGTGCCCGTGGTCAAATCAACAACATGCGTCCCCCTGTCACAAGTTTGTCTGTCCTGTTGAAGGAAGAGAAGACTCGCATCCGTGAGTGGGAGCAGCGGGAGGCCAAGGCTCAGCGCGAACGCCGGACACAGCTCTGGACTCAATTGCCAGATCGCAAGATCCCCACGCAGAACCAGTACTACAGCTGGTGATTGATTTCTTGGCGTTTGTATTATTTATATTAGATGGCTCGCACTGGACAGTGGTTTTTCATTACCCAATTTTGAGGCGAGACTTGCATTTGTGGAAAAGTCGCCCTTGAGCGACCTATGTACAATACTGAATAAATTTTGGATCTCAGTTCTTTATCTTCAAGTCTGGTCTGTATGTATCGAAAGGCCTACATTAGTTCGCTCCCCACTCAAACGTCCCATTCCTAGCAGTACCTAGGTATCACTGTGGCTGTACATATATGCTTGTTTCCGCAATGGGATATTGAATCATAGCATCTCTCCCACATGGCTCTCCTCTCAGGACTCAATTGTCGATGAGCTTACATTTTCCGCTTCAAGAAGCCCGGTTGTCTCTCTACCATAACAACCACAGGAATCATCGCGCCAGTAGCTAGTGCAAACTTTCGATGACCCAGAACCTCCAAAACGCTGGTAATAGCGCCGGAATGCGCAGTCAGCGAAATGTAAGTACTTTCATCAGTAGCAAAGATGTCGTCAAGCAGGGAGCGAAGCCGCTTATTACGATCTTCGTTACTCTCGCGGACCTTCGGATCCCACAACAAGTCCTCATCAGTAAAGCCATCCTCGAAGTGGTACGATGGGTATTCTTCCGCAATTTCCGTGGCAGTGGAGCGACGGTCACAGGTGTGCTGGCCCATAGTCTCGCGGAGCAACTAGAATGAAGAATAGCTTAATTCGGTAATTTCTTTCCGGGTTGCTGAAAAACTCACCTCTTTGATCATCGGCTGGAAAGGGTCGACACGTGGAATTGGAAGTCCTTCAAAAGTCACTCGGGCGGTTGCCAGGCACCGGTTCAAAGGACTAACGTAGTAAGACTGGGGTGATGGGATTCCGTCCTGTATTTGCTTTTTCCAAGCCTCGTGCGCGACTCTTGCTTGATCGATGCCTTCCTGCGTGAGTCGGGCGTCCACCCATGTATTCTCGGCATCTCCGTTCTGGAGAGACCAATAAGCCTAAAAATTCAGTATCACAGCATCAGATTCGGAATAACACTAACTTACATCCCAGCACTCTGTGCCGTAGTGACTCTCTGCGACATTGTGGACGCCTTGTCCGTGTCGTCCAAGAAAAAGGACTTTGAATCTTTTTGTGTCGCTCTGGCTGTTCAATAGATCGATGTGCTGTTTAAAGCGCTTCCACTGGGTGACTTCTTGGCTAGCCGTGGATTCTGTGCTATACGGCTGATTAATGAGGCCGAAGCTTGAATGGACCTATTTTAGTTGTTAGATAGTAAGGGTTTAAGTTAGGGGTAGGTCACTCACGTAGTCAAAGGTCTCTGGGTCTGTAGCGGGGTCGTCTTGTAAGAAATACCCCTTCACTGAAGATATTTCACGTTCTATTGTCGTGGACATTATGATACGCAGATAGCTAGTGAAGCAGTTGGGTTTTATTGAGGTGTAAACAGCAAGAGAGGTTGGGGTTGTTTGGCGGGTGTAGGGCTGGTGGGGTCTAGGTCTACATCTCAACATACTATGTTGGCAAGCAATCTGGGGAATTCATGAACACAAGTCCAATTGGCTACATGAAATCAGAAGTCATAATATAACTGAACAACTCTCAATCTCTTTGGTATCCCTAATGTCTATCCATATATACACTTGTTTCCCGCAAAGGCGTGTCGCCTTTGACGATACTTCCTAGGCTAGAACATTGTGACTTGAGTTCCAAGTGAGATTCTACTTTATTTGGAAGTGACAAAATAGCCATCCGCAACCTTGGAATTTCTAGCGTGCGGTTGCCGACATATACAGGGCTTTGTCTTTGTCAAGAATGTGAAATTTATAATCCACGTCACTACCAAAAGCCAGAAATTGAATACCAATGAATTCTTGATTTTATTATCTGAACCACCGTGGATATACGGGGTCATATCCAAATCGCTATCTCAAAGCAACTATATCATTCATAATGAAAAGCCAGCCACTGACCGAACTAGTGATCGGCAAGAGAGTCGATTTTCTCGACTATGTCCGCAATCCGAGCAGATGCAGTCCCTTTTTAGCAGACATGAGGTACCGGCCAGACAAAGACAGGCATTTGAGTGTCACACTCTCAGCCTGAGAAGTGAACGACAGCGATGAGTGCCAAGCACAAGCAACCGCCATAACAGTTCTGGTAAGCATGCCACGAATAGGCCGGGCAAGCGATTGAAGAACGACGGGTCCAAAGTTGTCAGGTGAGCAGTTGCCAAAGGCATCTGGTGAGCCAAGCCCATAGGGCAAGGCCACTTGATCCTTCGGTCCAGATTGTACACCCGAGCGGACTGCGAGACTCGCAAGGCCACGCGAGTCTCTGTTGCGTTCTGGTCGCACGACCTCGCTTCCAAGGTTGCACGCTGGGGATGCGCAATCGCGAATCCCAAGGCCTGCAGCGATACTGCCAGGAGCAAATCTTTTCGAGCCCGCGCCTGAAGACCGGACAGTCCTTGATCGGCGAGCATCCGAGCTTGGGGTGCAATAAACACCAGTGGTGGGGAGATTCGTCGATGTCGACGTGGTGTCTGCTCTTGCTGAAGAAACAACTCCAACTGACGCGGACGTGGAGACGCGCCAGCGAAGCCTCGATGATTCGCTCGAAGTTGTCCGGACGTTTTGTGGCGTGGTGTAATTGCGTGCGTCGTGACCTTGGTCTATTCCGGCGGTGTTTGAGACCTTCTTGCCGACGATTAATGTGTCGTGTCCCGCATATGCGTTGCGGACAACGCTCTTGTGAGAGACAACAGTGTTGCGGCCAGATGGGGTTACTATGTCGTGTCCCGATGAAGAGTTGATGCCAGCGTTCTTGCCAGCGACGACAACGTTGCGGCCAGAACAAACAGTATCGTGAGTCGCGGATGAGTTGTTCGCGGTGTTCCTTCCGGGTGGAGCAGTCTTGATGTGTGCTGGGGTTGAGTTTTTCATGGTCAGCTTGCCTGGTGATGAGACCACGCCGTGACCAGACACGTTCTTGAAACCTGGAACACCAGGTGGAACAGTGTCGAGTCCAGGCGAAGTACTCGTTTGAGATTTCGTTCTGGCGATATCCTGTGGGACAACGGGCAGTCTGGTTAATACGTCGTGACCAGACGAATTGCTTGTCGGCTTCCGAATCATCTTCAGAGACGGGAGCGCTTGAGGGATTTGAGATGTTGGGTCGTGACCAGGCGAGCCCGCGTAGCGTGCCTCTGGAAGAATCGGCACTTGAAGCATCGACCGCGTCGGCCGTTCTTGGAAAGCGGCAGTTGTGGGTAGGTCGCTGACACCAGCGCGTGCCGCGGCCTTTTCCAGGCAGTTGCACTAGTAACGTTAGCCTGCTCAGGTGTCAAGAACGGAACGAAGACTTACTCGCTTGTGTTGCTTCTTGTGCTTCTCGCAAGCGCCGTACTTCCTAGCCTTGATGTAGTTCTCTTTTTGGGCTTGAGAACGGGGCTTTTGCTTCTTGGGCACGTTGGAAGTGGCGTTCATGTTCAAGTCGAGAACCATCTCTATGCCTCCCGGCGGGGGTGCCTCAGAGGTAGAGGTGTTCTCTGGGCTAGGGCGGGGCGAAGTGCTTGCGCGAACGTAGTCAGACCAGCTGGGGGAAGAGAAGCTAGTGTTAGAGTCTGAGGACATGGACATGTCAAGGTCAAGAGCAGTGGCATCGCAGAGGCGCTGCAAGTGCAGCGCAATTGCTGCCTCGCGGCGCTTCTCCTTGACGGTCGCAACACGCGGGTCGGCAGCGGCCTGTGTCTCAACCATGGTTCGGAATGCGTTGCAGCTATCGTATGGGTTGTATCCGACGAATGAAGCATCGTCGAACAAAGGAGCTGCCGGGTCTTGCATGAACCCTCCGAGGCCCATGAAGTCCTCTTGTGGGATATCATAGTTAGCCATGTCGAAGGAGGGCTGCATGAGCTCGGCTGGAGAGGTGAACATCTCATCGCTTTCGTAGGGCAGAGCCAAGTCCTGAGGCGAGATGGTGGTAGCGGTCGACTGGTCGTCGTAGCCTGTTGGGAGATCGAGGAATTGATCGAAGTCAACCCACTCATTGGGGGATTCCATCTGAGGGATGAACTGATCCGCAAGGAAAGCCATAGCTCGGAAAAAAAAATAACGTATAGAATGGAATGGGTATCACTGGTATCTTTTAAAAAGTAGGAGGAATAAAGAGTCAAAGAAAGACGTTAGGATTTTGTAGGAGCCGTGTTGGTCAGGCCAAGAGTCCTGAGGCAGTAGGACAATGAGGAAATTGAAGGAGGTCGTAAAGAAGAGTGGCCTAGTAACCAGGTTGAGAATAATATTGGCTTCCGGAGAAGGTGAAGAACGATCTGACCTGAGGCAGCAGTCGATTCATGTATGGTAGGGATGCAAAACCCACCATTCTCTATGGGGACCCCGACTTACGCTAGCGTTGATGCTAAACCTCTTTTGGACCCCGCCGCGGTGTGACTCAACGGCTGATACCTAGGAGGTACTTACCCCATCATACACTTTCAGTATGTATCTTCAGGTATCTTTTAAGTCTACTTTGTTCTCTGAAAAATATCATGCCTTGGCAATTATATAGATGATGTAGATATGATTTTCACCACTCGTTACAGAATAATCCCATGGTATGACGAACTATACAGTAAAGTAAAATTTTGTAAAAACAGCATGGCTCAGGGCTGAGGCTATGTTGCATAGCCCGACTGAATTGACACTAATGCTGACATTGCTCGGGAACGTGACATCGGGATATCTCCAAGTCTATGATATTGTATAAGCTAACCAACGTATGCGGTAAGGAGAAACAAAAAGTAGAGAACTTGTGTGTTTAAACAATTTATCGACTCTGTCTCGATCAATTAATAACTATGAGCCACAGGTCTTTAAGGGTCTTGACCCACTATGACAAAGGCTTTGACTCATAGCCTCGGCAAGAAAAGTTCTTTCATTAAAAAGGAAATCTAAATCTCCACAGTTTATTTTGCCAGTATTATATGAATTATCATTGTATTGAGATATTTTAATACTGCATTGTGCCCTTCCATATGTACATATCTTCCAATAACCATTGTCACGTATAGTAAGGTAGAAAGGCGGTATGTAATAAAAGAGGAAAGGCGGTGGATGGGACCGACAATTGTTTCTTGGTCAACCTGTGCCCTGGCCAATAAGAATGTGCGAAAGACTCCGGGTTTTATTATCCTTGAATCTGGCAATCTATAGGGATTTGACATGACTTAGAAACTACAAATAAATAGTGTATACTCTCTGCGAATTTACCTGACAATCAGTACACCTACCCAAACCTGTATTCTATGGCTGTGAAACATCACCAAAGTGCATATTATAGCCACATAGTTTACCTGTGATCTCGAGTTCGCAATTTCAAAATTAATTTAAAATTGCTATCATTGACCCCAAAACAAGCATTCAGGGCTCCCCATATAGATTCCCAGAGTTATAGATGGTGTCGCCGTAGCCGCCTGATATTAAGAAAATAATTCGATGTCTACTGGTTGATCGACTTTAAGGCTCGTCACTGCTCCAGATGCATATTTCTGGACCTATCAATTAATCTTATAAGTAATAGTATAGTATACAAGGTATCATCATAAGTGAGAATCGCTATAGTATAACGCAATAGAGAGCAGTCATGGCGAAATTATACTATATCTCTGATCCAAACTGGGGCCACAAAGAAGACGAGGAATTTTGTTAGATCAGACATAGCCTCTGCCTCGGCCTCGGACCATTGGTGCGTATCCTTCAGATGACAGTAAAGCATCATAGAAGAGTCAAATCGCAGGCCCCGCAGCGGGCATGTAGGGATATAACAGAGGTTTTGGTCCTGATCAGACTCGTAGGAGATAAGTTCTGCAATGCGTAGATTCGGGAGTTTATGGATTTCGAGGAGATGAGTCCGTACATCTTTGGCATTTGATCCGCATCCAGAGATTGGGCAGCTCGTATGTACTCCGGCGCAAGTGGTGCTGTGCTCATGTAGGTCTGATGGCCTTAAGGACACAAAGCGGCAGGATCCATTTGTGCACTTGAATCGTGGCCAGGCCTCTAGTGATGGAGCTGCAGGGGTGGAGCTGGAGCTGGAGGAACACATTCCCTCTTGATGTCGACGAAGTATTGAACGTATGCCAGATCCGAGAATTGCAGAGGCATTTCACGGGGGCCAAGTGTAATGGACATATTCGAAGGGTCCTCAGAGACATTGCTCTGGGAATGGTCCTCAAAGATGAGGTTCTCTAGCTGCGTAACTCCGTCCTCATCGTATTGCTATAAAAAGTATTCAAATTAGTTTCAATGTATGCTTTGAATGTGAGTTTTGGAACAACTTGCCTGTATAGAGCTGTGGCCCCCCGGGTTACTGCTGGCAGAGGCGGAAGAGTCAAGTCCTCGTCTTGAGGAGGACTTGTAAGCGATTTCTCCCAGGATTTTCGAGTATCGAGAATTAGTCTTTGGCGGATGGTCTCCCTACTGAGCGATCCGATCGCAGTTAAAGCGCCGTACTCTGTGATGTTGTTAGAAGAGTGTCATGGTTGGAAGGGTTGGCTGGCGATTAATGGATCGCTTCGGCTTGACGATGGTGATTCTCGCCGAAGGTTCCATAAAACGTTTTCAGCATCTCCGATGTAATCATTGGTAACTCCACTGATCAGACTAGCCTTGCTGTGGCCGAGGGCGCTAGCGACTGTACCCTCGTGTTGAGATAACCCCGGTAAGCGGCTGATCTCAAAGGCCGACCTCTCCGAAGGTCATGGAGGGTGACGCGTCCAAGAACGCCTGCTTCGACGGCCATCCTCCGCAGGTTGTCCCCTATAACCCGAGCGCTGATTGGATAGTCCATGTTGGTTCCCTCCGTGAGGCCTTGGGTGGTGAGTCTGCATAAGACAGGACGATCTGGGAAATTCCATTGGAATGTTCTTGTTGGGGTCTTGAGGGGAATTCAAGGTAGGCAGGCCTAAGAGGACCTCGAGAGGCTCAAGTGGACATTCTCCTTAAGAGGATGCTCAAGGGGAGCAAACAAGAACAGAAGGCCTAAAAGAACATTCTCCTTGAGGAATGTTCAAGAGGAGAAACAAAAGAGGAAGCTGCTCAGGAGGAGAAGGTGGGTGTGGATCAATATCAAACCTTAACACACAGAACTAATCATGCTACAGCAACAAAGCTCAACTATTGTCTTCTCTTATATTCTCTCGTTTTATCTTACCTATCTCCTACCTATCCCATGATGACTATCCATAGGGCAAACTCAAACTGACATCCGCCCTGAATAACACGACAACTCTTCTTCTACATCATTCCAGTCAGTTCTCCTCCTGTCTATGCTTTGCCAGCATCAGAAATGACATTCACTCTCAATAGGAATACAGTCTTACTCTACACTGTTCCGTCAGCTCACCTCTTGTCTACGTTTTCCAGCCTCAGAACTAACATTCCCTAGTCCATATCCCAGAACAGTCACTCACTCATTCACTCACTCAACTCTCACTCAACTCTCACTCAACTCTCACTCAACTCTCACTCAACTCTCACTCAACTCTCACTCAACGCTCACTCAACGCTCACTCAACTCTCACTCAACGCTCACTCAAAGTTCACCCAATTCTCACTACGGTCAGTTCTTATCCATTCACTTCTGCCGTGATTGCCTCAGAACTGAAATTCCCTAGAACACATTTGAACATCATTCCCTCTACATATTGTCCCTCTTCACGCTAGTCAGTTCTCAAGTGGTCCGAGGCCGGGGCAGATGCTATGTCTGATCTAACAAAATCCCTCGTCTTTTTTACGGCCCTATTTCGGATCAGAGACCTCCCACCAAACACCATAATCCTCTCTCATCCTCCCTCCTGTAAGCTTGCCGCATCTAGTGTCTTTCTCGCTTCCATCCTCGCGATCCTTATCTCAGCCATAACCAGTAGGGGCGGCTGCCAACATACACTCTCGCCATGTCAACCAGGAATGTGGATTCGACCGAGGGCAAGAAAAGACCGGCCCTTGAGGAGGCCGGCGGGGTTCAGAAAAAGCCCATGACTAATCCGAACCCCAACCCGCAAGGAATGGTAGAGTCCATTTCACATCTCCTTCCCTTCGCATGAAAGCTTCAACTAATTCACTTTTACTAGACTCACACCCAGATCGCCTACCATAGTTCAGTTGGGGATAAGGAAACCCCTTTTGACGCCTGTGTGGAAAAAATGGTCAAGGAGGCGCCGTTTCTGCATTACGATGCTGAGCAGAGAATAGCTGCTAACGAGGGCGGCTTCGGTTTTCTTGCGGAAATGCGTGGCATTCGAGCAGAGATGGCAAGAATGAACGATAAGTTCCAGAAGCTCGAATCTCATCGCCAGAGCCATCTAGATATCCGTCAAAGGGCCATTTCCACATGGGTGCGAGATGCGCTAAACAAAGACACAGAAGGCCGGAAGGAGGACATCCGCAGACTGAATAAGGATGTTATCCACGGCGGTGATGTGCGATCCGATGCCATGGTAGTCACTGAGCGCTACAAGAAAAGCAGCACCGAATGGCAATCTTTCCGTACGCTATATGGCCTCACCCCGGACAATGTGAATGATCTCGGTATTGTCTATAAATTCCCTTGATGCTCTTTCAATCGCTAATATGTTCTAGACCAACAGAAATGCTATGGATCTCTGCAGGCCTTAGATAGCGTAGCTTCTATCCTGTTCAAGAACGCTCGGACAAGCCTCCCTACCGAGGCGATAGGGAAGAAACGCGAGGATCTTGTCGCTATGCTGCTGGAGGAGAGATATGAAGAGGCCGAGAAGATGAGCAGCACTTTTTTTTGTGAGAACGAGTCGTCTGTGACTGAAGAGTAGTTTAAGTCCTACCAAAAAAGCTAGATGTTGCTATCCAATTAATCGCTTTCTAGGAAACGATCATCTTATGATCACTTGTAGACTAAGGATCTCTTTAAGTATTGAAAAAGCTGACTTGAGTATGGTCTAGCGACTAATAGAAGGACCTTTCCTGTTTTGGAATTGGCGGATATAATCGGATAAGACAAAAGACGAGACATGACGACATCCCTGGTTGTCTACCCTGAGTGCCCTGAGTGAAGGGTGAGCAGATCCATAAGCAACTATAAGTGCTCAGGGAGCATACGGAATAGTGGGCCGAAACAGATCCCGTGTGAGGTCGATGACTATGATTCTGGTAAAAATGACGCTTGAAATAGCTTAAAGAGTAGCTGTTGCCGGCGCCGAAATTACCGTTACCATGTTGTGGTGTAATTTTAAATTAATTGTAAATTGCAAGCTCGAGATCACAGGTAAACTATGTAGCTATAATATGCACTTTGGTGATATCTCACGGCCATAGAATACAACTTTGGGTAGGTGTACTCATTTCCAGCTGGACTATCCCGCCACCACCTATCATCATTCTGTGTGTGATAAGCGTTGATTTATGAACTGTAGGAATCGGTAGAGATATCTGATTCATCCAGGTATTGGATAGCCTCCCGTGCAACGCTAACCCATCCTTTGTAGCTTGAGGAATCCCACTCGACTGTTGGCGGAGTGCCTGGTCGTCCTAATGTGCCAAAGACTTGGAAAGTGCGAGGATATCAGGATCACGGTCGATTTGAGCGCCATAGTCGGCTGTTTCCATCCAGGAGAGGATTCGTCGATTTATCTCATGGATAACGCAACGTACAATCCAGCGTCGTAGGTCATGAAAGGGGGCCCAATAATCTTCGATAATGATTCCGTCAACAAACGCACTGACTTCTGCATGTCCTAGATCCTGCTCAGAAACGAATTCCTCTGTGTCAAAATGTATGGGACCCGGAATATGTATTCCAGGCGGGAGAGCAAATTCTCCCGGTAGAATGACGCGGGAGTCATTCACAATGACTGGGGGGAGGAATTAAGCAGCGAAGCCTCCACAGGATGCTACGTTGAGTGGTGTTAGTATACTTAGAAGACGACTTCTAGAAGCACTAATCACTTACTGCTTCTTGACGTAAAGAATCAATAGGCAATGCGTTGGCGAGAGAGCTCACGATCTCCGAATGGCGGGCTGGCATCTTCGCCGCCGTAGCCTCGCCAAAATATTGTGACAGTAGGGTGGTAGAGAGAATGGAGTGTCAAAGACGAGACTCGACCGTGGGATGGTTACGGAGGTGCACGTGTGCACGCGCAACGCTGCTTAATCTACAGATTATAGCTACTTATCTCCCCCATCATGCTTTTTTATTATGCATTCCAGGTACATGTGTACTTTCATCAGATATTCTTTGGCCTGAGGCAAGGTACCGACGCGGGAGAAGGCGGACGCCTTATAATTTAGGTGTTTATTTGAACACATTGCTCACCCTCTTTGGCTGATAGGCGGTGCTTCCCCCATCATACACTCTCAGTATGCATCTTCAGGTATCTTTCCAAGGTTTAAGTCTACTTTGGCTCTCTGAAAAAGTTCATGCCTTGGCAGTTATATAGATGATGTACATATGATTTTCACGATTCATCGCAGAATAACTCCATGGCACGACGAACTATAAATCAAATTTTGATTTTGTAAAACATAGCATGGCTCAGGGCTGAGGCTATGTTGCATAGCCCGACTGAATTGGCACTAGGGCTGACATGGCTCGGGAAGGTGATCTCAGGATATCTTCAAGTCTATAAGGATACCTACACATGTGGTAAAGAGGAACAAAAAGGAGATAAATTGGGCATTTAACCAATTTGTCGACGCTGTATTTTGATCAATTAGCTTTAAGCCACAGGTCTTTCAGGGTCTTGACCCACTCCAGGGCTGTGTATGACAAACGGCTTTGACTCAGAGCCTTGGCAAGGAAAATCCTTTCACTAAAAAAGAAATCTATAGCTCTTTTTTCCTATACAATATTGAGTTAGCTCTGGCTAGTGAGATACACAGACCAACTTTAGATTTCAAGGTGCATGTGCATTAGAACTATGTATTTTGTGTTGACCGACAAGCCTTGGCTATATATATATCTGTGGGCCGTCCAGAAAAGCAGCAAAAACGTAGCAAAAAAAGCAGCAAAATTGAAAAATTAGAATATTTGTAGATAGAATATTCAAATTGAAGATAATCAGATAATCAGTATCTATGTAGAGGATATTTCATAGACTGAAGGCCAAGATATAAAGGGGTGGTGGTAAAACACCTGTGTGACATGCAAAGTACACTATCGTGAGGTTCACGGGCTGCCCACGTTAGATAAAACTAGCTTAGTAAGGTCCAGACACCCCAGCCCTGGAGAACTTCCTAGACTCCCCAGACTCGCTCAACTTGTATCTCCTTTCAACATTCATTGAACCCTTTCCATCCCCATCCATCAAACATTTTCAATTACTCCCTGGATAAAAATTAAAAACACCACATCGTGTCAATTACCCCTCCCCCACCTCACAAAACTGTCAACTTGTCAACTTGCCAGCTTTCTAACTCCACCCTCGGTTCTGTTGTGGGGAGGGCTCGAGACTTGGTCAACTGATTGGATCCCTATGTTTTGAAGAAGAAAAAAATAGAACGAGAACCACGGTCTGCACAGTCAGCAGCTCCGGACCGATAAACCAGAGAATCAATCACGTCACGTTCACACTATGGCCGCCGCTTTTGACGAGGAAGACCTCGCCATTCCCCTCCCTTCCGATCGTGATCGTCGTGAGAAAAGGGCCTCTACCCCTCAGAACCCTTCCGCCATGGCAATGCCACCTCCGAAGCCGACCGGCAAACCCGAGGACCTGTTGCAGTCCCCCTCGACCACACGAGACATGCAACGCCTCGATCAATACCAGACCGTGAGAGTATTAGGCGAGGGATCTTTTGGCAAGGTCAAGCTTGCCATTCATCAGCCAAGTGGGCGCCAGGTAGCCATGAAGATCATCTCGCGACGCAAGCTGCTGTCCCGAGACATGGTTGGTCGGGTTGAGCGAGAAATCCAGTACTTGCAATTGTTACGGCACCCCCATATCATTAAACTGTACGGTCCCCGGGATTTTAAGTGTCGGTTTCCGTTGACTGATCAATTGGCTCTTCTAGGTATACGGTGATTGCGACCAAGTCCGATATTGTGATGGTTCTGGAGTACGCGGAGCGAGAGTTGTTCGATTATCTTGTTAGAAAGGGCAGATGTGGCGACGACGAGGCCCGCAAATTTTTCCAGCAAATTATTTGCGCGGTGGAATACTGCCATCGACACAAGATTGTACACCGTGATCTGAAACCCGAGAACCTACTCATCGACAACCAGAAGAACGTCAAGATTGCGGATTTCGGGTTGAGCAATATTATGACGGATGGCAATTTCCTCAAGACCAGTTGTGGTAGTCCGAACTATGCCGCACCCGAAGTTATCTCTGGAAAGCTCTACGCCGGCCCGGAGGTGGATGTGTGGAGCTGTGGTGTGATTTTGTACGTTTTGTTGGTAGGCAGATTGCCCTTTGACGATGATTACATTCCCGCCCTCTTCAAGAAGATCGCAGCGGGTACTTTCCACATCCCTGGATATATCTCATCCGGGGCAGCTCGTTTGATTCGATCAATGCTTCAAGTCCACCCCGTTCACCGAATCACCATCCCCGAGATTAGATTGGACCCATGGTTTACCAACGGTCTCCCGGCATACTTGCAACCGCCACCGGAAGAGTTCATTGCTCCAGGCGTGGATCCGAAGAAAGTCGATAATGGAAAGCTTGACCCGGCGAAGCCCGCACCGGCTCAGCATAAGATCCACACAATTGCAGTCTCGAAGCTTGAACGAAGCATGGGATATGGCAAAGAGGATATCGAAGAGGCACTGAGACACCCCGAACCCAGCGCGATCAAGGATGCTTTCTCCATTGTCGTTGAGAATGAGATGATGCAGACCAATTGTGAGTGTAACCGTCGGACTTTTATGGTCTTGATCATTGCTAACTCCAACAGCACCCACAGAAGATAATATGTTGGCCCCAAATGTCCAACAAAGAGGAGCCGCACCCTCATCCGCGGATAGAACTTCCGCTCCACTGGCTCCACCACAATCCGCAGCAGCTAGACAAAGAGCCACCAGCGTATCACGCCGCAGAGCCTCAGAAGAGCCCCCTCAACCGGACATAGGGGAAGAAGCTCGCATCAGCCATGTTCGAATTCTTCCCACCAGCTTGCCATATGTGCACGAGCAGCTCATGGAGCAACGTGAGCGGGAACAGAGAGCCCGCAATGAAATTCTCGAGCAGCGACTCCAAGAAGCTGGCCACCTTAATCGCGAGGGCCAGGCAGCTGCCTACCGAGACATGTCCCCCGAAGAGCAGGCTGCCACTGCTCGGGCATTGAAGCCTCACTCCCGCAGTGTTGTTGACCTGGACAAGCTGCGCTTTGAGCCACCAATTGGCCAACCTATCGAAAAACAGCCAAAGAGAAGCCGCAAATGGCAGTTTGGTATTCGCTCTCGAAACCAGCCATACGAGGCTATGCTATACTTGTACCGGGCAATTGCCGCCCAGGGTGGTCTATGGGACATCCAACCCGCAGAATCAGGTAAGCCATTCTGTCTATATCTACTCAATCCCCAAGTCCATATGCTCATATTCCATAGGAACCAACATCGGTCCCGATGCGACCCCCTCCCCCGATCAGCCAAAGCCCCTACAGAGCAAATACCCCGACCTCCCATCCGACTATTACATCCCCAAGGACCCATGGTTCATCCGCGCCCGTCTCTTGAAAGAAGGCATTAAAGCCCCCGGCGCCAACAACACCAGTGTCTACAACAGCCGCAGCGACTTGGAAGAGCTCCGACGCCGCTTCAACATCTCCGGCATCTCCGCCCCAAGCGACGACCGAAGCCGCGAGCACCAATTCTCAGCCCCAGAAAGCGGCCTAGCATCCGGAGCCTCCTCCGCCAACGGCCCAAGCGGGCTCCCTCACATCACCTACGGCGTCTGGGTCTTCCTCGACATCCAACTCTACCAACTCGAAGAAAACAACTACATGGTCGATTTCAAATGCGACGGCTACCAAAACGTCATCCGCGCCGACGGAGACACTGAATGGCATCCGATCAGCAAGCGTCTCAAGAACAAGGAGAAGGAGGTTACCAGCCCTTACCCCTTCCTCGATGTGGCGTCTGATCTCGTCGCCCAGCTGGCTGTGGCAAGCTAGATCGGTAATGATCTCTGCTCTGAGCTCTGTGATATGAAAGAGTGCTTTTGTTTATAATTGATATCTTACATTAATGTTATTAATACTGCTTGGGAGAGTGGTTGCATCGGAGCTTTTGGTTTCTGCTGCATTTTGTCTTTCAGCAAGCGTTGTTTGGTGAGGATTATACATTGTATGGAGTATCTGAGTCTGATTTCCCTTCTTGAATATATTTGTTGAAGCTTCAATTTTGGTGATACTGAAAATTTGTACATGAATTTCATTTGACCTTCCTCGTTTTTCGTTAGGATGAAGGACAGCAAGACTGACAATGACCAATATGTTGAGAAAATAAAGAAAGATCCTTACACATGTAGACAGACACCTTTACGTTAACTAATTAGGCTTTTGTCTACATATGTAGTCGAAAATTCAACACAATAACAACGTTATAAATCCCGTTCGACCAGTCAACTCAGCATACTTCATATAGATGTATTACTCCTCGGGCAGCTTCGTATCTGCACGTGCATCAGCGCACAATCTTTTGGGCGCGACGTCGCCTTTTCAGTGGTATAAGTCCGTTTGCCTCAACCATCCGGCGATCCACCTTCAAACCCTGCAGTTCTCGCACTCTGTCCTATTTGTCCCAAATCATCTGATTGGAAGCAGTTGGAGATGGATAACGGACTTATAATTCAGTCTGCACATGAAGATATAGGCCAGATCGACTTGTCCCACTCCGAGCTCGATGGGCTTTAGAAGCATGCCGTCTTATGCTAAGCGACCTCGAGCCCCGCAACATTCTCGTTAGAAAGGGATCACCCAGGAAACACGAGCTAGCCGGCATTATTGACTGGGGTATGGTGGGCTTCTCCCTATTCGCCTACGGATGTTGCCACAAGGATACAGTCCTAGGTAATTCGAACCTGTCCCTTTACTATGCTCAAAAACCAGTCGTCCCATCTGTTGCCCCGAGGGGAGTGTCAATCAAAACTTATCAAGGCGCTCCGGATTATCGACCACTTAACGAAGAAATCTAGGAAAGGAAATTTCAGCACACTGGTTCAGGGAAGGTGGTTGCAAAGGAAACAGGTAGAGGAATCTCCAGACCCCGGTCAAGGTTAGGTTCGCAAAGCTGGTGCGAACCCTCCCAAGCTTCGAAGAATGACCAAACCAAGCTCGAGCAAGAGGTCCTGAAGGAACTAGGCCTTATATGAAATATAGGTCACATTAGTAAGGTTTTCAAAAGTCAAGTGACCCCTGCCAATGACATGCCCGCAGGGTTAATTTTACTGGTTTTTCTAGTAGGTAAGACCGATTTACTGTCACCTTACTGGTAGGTTACCTTGGAATTATTGACCGACTTTTTAGTTCGCAGGCTCGTAGGTTTAAAAAAACATTCGAGGAGGGTTAGTAAAGTAAGTAATAGTTAGGATACACTAGTATTTGTTATAGGTTTAGAGTGATTTGTCCCCTATCAGCCCGTGGGTGAGATTGTCACCCTGCAAAATTCGATGGCATGCAGTTATGTAGTAGCACCCAATGAGACTAGACCCTTTCGAACGCTCATATCCAATTCCCCATGGGTCTGATCACAATTTGCCATGCAGATATTAGCAACCAATCAACTGTTTCTATCGAAGATTAAAAGGCCCTATTCTCCAACCGCGAGAGTATTTTCAACAAATCCGTTGAAACGGTCTCCCAACGACCTACACCTTGCGACTCAAAATGAGGGTAAAACTTTCTTCTTCGGTTGCTCCACCTGTGTCCTCTATTCCTCAAGTATTTCAGACTGTGGAAGGCTACAGAGTTCCTGTCTTCTTTTCGCGTTACCCTGTTGGAATCAGTAATGCACCCCGGGAAGTTGAAGAGGCTCTCAGAAGCATTGACGAGGAAGCTTCTGAGGAAGGCTCAAGGGAAAGGCGTCGAGCACTGATCAGACACACCAACCCATATGGAGATCCATTTACCATTTGCCACTGCTCAGCCTTTCCGGAAAGGCTGATTCTGCTGGCTTGTTTGATTGAGGTGATGTGGATACATGATGGTAGGACACCAACGTTCTTGAAAACAATGTACATGCTCATTCAACATATAATTATCTACAGACGTGACGGAGGAGATGGATCACAGCGCCGTAAGAGCCCCAGCTCTTTGTCTAGAAATGAGGGTCTGACCAGTCTATAGGCATGCAGAGAGCATGATGAATTGGCTAAAGTCCTCCGACTTGACATTGATCCATCAAGCGTCGGGTCAGAAAATTTGCGACAAAAAGCGCTGGCAGTTGTGCTTCGAAAAGCAATTGATATAGATCCCGAGCAGGCTCCTGCTATGATCGAAATGTTGAAAATCTATTTGGCTACGTTTGACAACATCGGTGGTGACTTCACCCGAATGGAGGAGTACATGCCACACCGTATCTCTAATTGCGGTTACTGGTAGGTCTTCTTCCCTTCAAAAGGATTCTCGGGACAAGAGTCTGACAGTCATCAATACTTAGGATGTCCTCGTACTTCATCCGTTGGGGGATGGGTATGGCCCTCAGTGACAAGGACTACGCGAGTATAGAACAATATGATATTGCAATGGGAAATGTTCTCGGTCTGACTAATGATTACTTTAGTTGGAATGTCGAAAAGGATCAGGAGACAGACCGGATGAGAAATGGAGTGATGGTTCTGATGAAGGAGCATAATATCACTGCAGATGCGGCAAAGACGATGCTTCTTGGGATCATCTTTGAATTCGAGTCTAGGGCCGCAAAGCTAAAAGAAGAAAGGTTGAAGAGACCGGCTTCGAAGAAGATCCTGCAATATTTCGAGGCTATTGAACTTTATGTTGGTGGAAGCTGCTACTGGCACTCAACCGCGCATCGGTATCAAGTCTTTGAGTGGACGTAGATAGAGAAGCTCGGCGGAACTGCGAATTGATGTATATATAACGGAATACATTGATTCAACTATTGTTGAGATGGTCCTCGTGGAAGCGAGCCTGCGAATCCTCCCGCCCAATACCCCACAGTATATGCACCAGGCTGTATGTTCTGCAGCCGTCCAAAATATTTCAGACTGAACAAGAAGCCCAGAACACGAGATCTTAGAGCATATGAGACATAATTCCTTCTATGTCCAGCCCGTATATTGGAATCCCACCTCTAAGGTCTACAACAGAAAGCAACTTGTAATCATGCAAAATATATTAGACATAAAACCTTATCTCGTGTTATCCTGTGGGACAAACGCTTTGATGTCAATCTTTGCACACTGCTGGCGTCAGAATGGCACAAGTCTTTGTGAGTGTCATCCTCGATTTTTTTTTTTGATTTTTGAAATTTATCATCCCCCTTTTTGGGTTTTCGAAGTATCTCATTCCTCCAGGAAAACGCAACAAAGGCGTGGTTGAAGTAGTCGTCCCCGATGTTTTTGGCTTTTCAGATTATCTCATTCTCGTTCGTGGAAATGCTGGTACAATATTGTGGTGTCGATTTACTTTTCATCAGGCTCTTTGGGCTTCTTCACGCTTCCTCGAGGGCTAACACGATCCAAGGCTTGCTGGTAGACTCGCTCGCTGCGGCGCTGCTGGCTAGCCGAGACTCCACGGTTGCTGCCAGCTCGTCCGATGGTACCCTCAAGTGTCCTGTTGGGGGCGGTGATATCACAAGCAGTGGGTGCAGGTGGTTGGCGATGATTGATCTCGGGACCTAGAGAAGGCCGGAAAGGAAGAGTGTTGTGTAGAGGTCGGATTTGGCGGCGAGGAGGCTCCCGGCAAGTCTCCCGGCGAGTCTCTTGACGCGTCACGGTAGCGCGCCCCGTGTCAACGTTTTGCTTTGGAACATAGCGCTTGGAACTATCTTCGGCCAGAGGATGGGCAGTTGCAGACCGCTGGCGCAGAGCTGCTTCTCGAACCCATGGCTTGAAGTTTGGCAGAATCTCAATGTCGGGGAAATGCACCCTGCTGTTGGGACGGATGCTGGAGAGCTTTTGCTTTGAAGCGCGCTTGGTCTTAGCTTGTGGCAAAAGATCATTTTTGTCGTCCTCGTCCTCGTCTTTGTCTTCTGGGAATTTCTCGTCTGGATGGGCAGCCTCATACTCCTCTCTCTCTCTCCGACGAAGCTCTGCCATCCAGCCCCGGATACGTTCAATGATGGTACGGATTTCATCGAACGACATCTTCTCGCCAACGCAAGCCTGAAGCCAACTTGGAGTAGGCGAAGTAATCGCCGTTGGATGCTTACGGGGATTTTTACCAGGAGTCCGGTCTTTGGTGTCTTTGTTCTTTTGAGACCCGTCTTTCTTAGAAGGCTTCTTCTCCGGTTCTCCCTTTTCTGCGCTCACACGATCCTTTTCGCGGCGGCGAAGCTCAAGGTCCCATGATCCAACTCCATTCCATTCCTCCATTCGCCGAAGAGACTCCACAAGTAGGTCGCACTGAGTGAAGGGCCACTGTCTGGCCCTGTATCGGGCACGTTGGTAGTGTTTGCGACAATAGTGAACCCAAACCTCTTGAGGGAAGATTTTGGTCACTGCTTTGTTGCGGCCAAAGACATGTGAGACGACCTTGCGGAAATGGAAGCCGTCTGGAGATCCGTTCAAGCGGCAAGGTGCTGCGAACTCGCACACCACACAATCTGAATCTCCGCCTGACGCGTTGCCATCAATTGCATCATCAGGGCTGCTCAACTGTTGGCAGAGTTCCCGGAGAACAGGATCCTGGCTATAGATAGCCGGGCTAGCGTCTTGGAGAAGTTCATCTGAACTTGAGGCAGCATCCTTCTTGCGGCGGGGGCCCCGGCCACGATTTTGAACAGAAGCGCTTGTTCCCATCCCAGGGCTGGCGGAAAGGATTACATGGCGATTATGTGGTGACAGGGGATGGAGTTGGGATGGAGAGGTAGTTCCAGGTATCTGCATACCTCCGTATGAGTTTTGATATCCCAATTTACTCTGATTCATTGGGCAAGGGCTCCGGCTCCGGGCCCTCGGCTCATCTCGCCTGAGCCGGTATGTGGGGTGGTATGCGGTGCTGTATAGATTGGCTTCGTCCAACTCATCGATGAGTTGCTGAGCCCGCCTCTGGCGGTCAACACTGGCCGGAGTCAGGCAAGGAGCCCCAGCTGGTAATCGAAATTCGCTATATGAATTGGCTTCGCTTGCCTGATCCATGAGCTGCTGAGCTCGCCTCTGGTAGTCAACTCCGAGTGAAGACAGGCAAAGAGCCCCAGGTGGTGATGGCAAATTGTGATATGGATCGGCTGAACTCGCCTCATCCATGAGCTGCTGAGCTCGCCTTTGGCGGTCAATCCCAGTGGCTGCTAGACTGGGAGGTCCATGTGGTTGTTGTAAATTGCGATACGGATTGGCTTCGTTCGCCTCATACATAAGCTGCCGGGCTCGCCTGTTGCGTTCCATGCCAACGGAGATAGGATCAGGAGACTGTGGCAAAGGGCAGTATGGATTTGCTTCATTGGCCTCATCGATAAGTTGCTGGGCTCGCATGTTGCGGTCCACCACAGAGGGGACTAAGCCGTGATGAGAAATATGAGGCTGTTGAAGGTTGTATCCATAGAAGCCGTAGGGAAAAGGGCGAAAATAGGTTGTGTTGGGAGACGGGAGGGTTGCATGGGGGGATAAGATCTGGTTGAATGGCACCGGTGAGGCATTGTGGAAGACGGCTTCGGCATCATCAGCAGCAGCACTAGAAGCATTATGTATAAATTAGTAGAATTCTTAAGATTGATGCCGATGTGATCCAAAATGGGGTTACAAATTGATAGACAAGCCACAGAGGGAGTGAAAGTAAACTGAATGTGAAGCAAAGAGAAAGTGAAGATAAAGTGAAATCCAGAATATCGGACGTCATATTGGCCGAAGTGTGGGAGATTGAAAAGAGTGGCATGGTATAAACTGCTTCGTGGACATACATTGAAGGCGTCCTGTCACCAGATACTCTGATTTGTCTTACAGTCAGTTGTGCCATCTCAACATAGTAAATCGGCAAGGGGAAAGGGTAGTCAGAATATATGCATATAAAGGAGAAGTTATTGAGTCCTCAATGTCATATTGGATGCTTGTGAATGAAGTGCGATGCTAGACAAATATGGCAATAGGGCACATTGTAACAGGAAGTTAAGATGTGTTTGGATATACCTTTGTGGGCTTTGTATCGGAGTTTGAGACTTTCTCTCCAGAGAATCCCGTTCTCTCAAGTCCTCTGGCTCCATCACTATGGCAGTGAAGGGATGGTGAGGCCGTCGAAGACGGAAACGAGTTGTTGAGATACCCAGACTTCGAGATGGGGTTTATCAGAGAAGATACACAGAGCTTTGATGGCCGAGTGTGTATCCAATGGGATAACTGATGGCAATGTGAGGATGATGGGTGACGGGAACAATGAATGCAAGGTGGGGGGAATAGGATAGAGGAAGAAGAGCAAATCGAAGAATCAATATGGCCTTTATAAGTTTGTAGGAGATTGCCTGATTTGTGCTTGACTGAGTTGAGATGACTTTTTGGAGGATATCGCCATCTCAATATTGACGCCAATGACGACCGATATCAAACATCTTGAGTAATCATACTACGGTGGGGATTGGGGATCAAATTGAGATGATCGAGTGTCAAATTCCAGTATGGGAATAATTTCTAGTTACTCGGTCTAGGAGATCGAGTAGGCAGTGGTGTTTCAGGAACCCGATACTCGAAGGAATCGAGGACTATCAAACGCTGCTTGAGCTATGAAAAAGAAGGACGAAGGTTTCTAAATGATAATTTGTTGTGTTGGTGTGAATCGATACATAGTCAGGGCTCAAGTACAACGACTAAAGAGACACATCATGTGGAAAATTTCTGCGTACGCACCTACATGTTGATGTGCTTCCATTGTGGCTTTCATCACGATAAAGTTATGACCATGATAGACGGAATCTGACGATTGATTTGATAGTAGAAACATCAAGGTAGCAATTTCAATGCAGTGGATTATCAGAAACCCTATATATATAGGAGACATGAAGAGACATTCAGATTACTGGGAAAATAGCAGGCAACAAATCAAGCCCTGTCTCAAACTAAAGATAATAATCCAAAAAGAATCAAAGTAACATTTCCAGGTATCATCATCCGTTATTCTTGTTATGTTTACATGATCAAAAATGTATAGACCCCGTGAATAAACCAAACCAAAACTCCATGTCCCGGATATCAGTTGAAATGCAATTTGAAGGAAAAAAGCGACGAAGAAAAGAAAAGAATTTTCAAAGCCCAGGCAAACATGCATGGTACATAAATCATTTATCAAATGCAGGTCATCTTAACTGGCGTAGCCCATTGACGCAGATGCCCTGGGAACGTACTTCCGCATAGCTCCACGACCAGGACTGCATCCAGGAGAGCCGATGTCGATGGTGCTCAGCTCGCGACTCAAAGCATCCATGCGGCCGCCACTGGGGTTACCAGACATGACGGGGTAGCTGGGGCTTCCTCCGGAGATGGGCACTTTGTTTGGGATTGGGGGGCCGGAGTTGTAGTCGTACAGTGGGGAGCGGGAGCTGGGAGAGGGCGAAACAGAGCCTCGCGAAGAGCGCGGCCGGTCGACGGAGGTTGGTGTGTTATATCCTCGACTTTGGGCGTAGCTGTCGGAGCGCTCACGGGTGTAGTCTTGTCGAGGTGGTGTGCGAACGACGGCGCCGGGGTTTGCGTGCCCGTGGGTGGGGGTATACTTGATCTGGCGGTCTGCGGGGTATGTTGTGGTTTCGGATCTAAATCCCACGCGGGGAGGCGTGGGACGGGCCGAGGGAGAGTCGTTGCCTCTTGATGTTGGTCGGGGGGAGTGCTTGAACCGAATGATTACTTCTGGCTTGCGGTTCTTTCTCTCAGGCTCGGGGGCCCAGGTATCGGTGGGAAGGTGATCTGAGGGATCGATCTCACGACCGTCGTCTCCGATAATCGGTTGATCTGCGTCTCGTCGGGCCTCAATCTTGGCGCGTACCATGGCATCTTTGGCCTGCGAGGGCGAGTCATACATTGGCGAGGGGTCCCGGCTGGAGGGGCGAGATGCATTCGGGTTCAGAGAAATATAGGAGTCGGGAGAGAAGGGAATTGAGGAACCGCCACGACCATCCGAGGAAGATGGCCGTGGGCTGACTGATTTGCGAGTTACGGCTCGTGTATCGGGACTCACACCTCTACTAGACACCGGTCTTTGCTCAATAGGGTGTGGGGATGTTCGCAAAGGGTAGACAGGAGCATCGTAGTGAACGGGTGCTGGCACAGGGGCAGGTGCAGGCGGCTCGGAGAGCATCATTTCATCATCCCAGTGGGGATGTGGGCTGCGTCTGCGGACCGATCTTTCAAATGCTGCTCTCTCTGACGAGTCTTCTGTTTCATACCCTGCGACAAGGCTAGCAGGCATGGCTGGCGAATTTCCCGTTGAGGCGCGCTCTTGGTAGCGACCACGGTGGGACGGCGTGGACATGCTTGATGGGATATGAGAAGCTGATTGCCTGGATGATTGAGGCATGTAGGGTTGGTAGGGATTGGGTGAGGTTTTGGGTGTCGGCAATTGTGAGTGTGTTCGTGATCGATGTACTGGTGGGGGAGGTGCTTGACCATCATCCTCATCCTCTACTCGTGGCTGCATCCCAGCATACTCTGGATGCCAATCGTGAGGACGAGCTGTGATCTGCAGGGGTCGAACAGCTTGTTGGTGGTATCTTGGGTCATCCATTGGACCCGAGTGAGAGTTCATCATGTAATCAGAAGTTGGCAGTTCATGTACTTGTGGTGCTCCATAAGAAATGGGATCTGGGTTATATCTGGGCTGCTCGATTTGAGCGTATGGATCTTGTTGTGCGGGATGGTATGGCGCCCCACGGGCATCTAATTCATATGAATGCTCCATGTCCAGTTGATAGTCCCGGGAAGGTGGTTGTTCATAATCAGATTGGCTCCTTTGTTGTTGTGGGCGCGGGTCATATGGGGGATCATATGGAGTTTCAACAACCTCCTGGGAAGCATATGGAAGTTCGTGAGTGGTTTGCCTGCGGAGGGGGGCAACAACAGCTGAGTTTTCCCATTCTTGGGGGTAACTATCGACACCATCATATCCACCCCGAGAAGGAGGGGGAACAGGGGAAGGTGCGCGATAAGCCGCTGCATCATATACAGGCTCTGAATGTCTCTTGGGCTGGGGCAAAGGCTCTGGTAAAGTCGATACGGAATTCAGATGCTCGGGGATAACCGGCCTGGACGGAGCCGGATGCTGAAGCGGCGGAGCCGAGTGAACTTTTTCAAGCACGGCTAGCCTCACTGGGGCACCCGGAGGGCCGCTTGGCAATGGTCGTCGCTTAACATCCTTCAATTGTCGGGGACCGGACAAACCCGTACTGCTGGGAGTGGGTGGGATTTTGCCCTGGACTCTATCTGCTGCTTCTTGTCGGCGCTCAATCAGAGCCTCATCTTGTTGTCGGGTGTCGTAGTACGTCATCTCCATTCGGATTTCTCCAGCATATTTTCCACGGCACTGCAATGGGTGCCAGTGATCGTTCTGACTTCCACCGGGAATGATCAGGTTCTGCAAATCGATCCAGGTCTCTCCGATAATGTCAGTCTTCTTGTCGTCATTAAACACGGAAACCTTCAGTTTGTAGTAATCAGGGGATTCGTGTACGGTGAAACGGAGTTCGGAGTCCCTGGGGCAAGTCAGTATCCACTATCCATACATCTTATCGTGTATCCAGGCTTACCATCTGGGAGTCTGTCCTCCTCTCAAATCTGTCTGTGTCTTCTTTGCTTCTTTGCCCAATCTTGCTGCAGCATACGGGTTCTGCTTGCCCATAGTCTTACGGTTGGGCAGGTTTTTGGCGCGGTCGATAATAACGACCAGAGTTCCAATGATAGGACCATCGACGGAGATATCAGCGAAGATACCCGCCGCATGGTTGACCTTGGATATTTTCGACATGGTGTATTCTTAGCGCATATAGGTTCAGGCAAAGAAAACCATTGGCAGTGTCTCAAGTTTTAAGAGGAAGAAGAGGGGGAGAAAAAGAGAAGAAAAGGTTGATAAGAGGCTCACTGCGTGGAATGCCCGAACCGGTATTGGCGGTGGCTGGGGTGTATCAGACCGTGAAATGTGATTGGCTATGACCCCTGGCGGCAGTGTCCAGACTCAGATGATTTACCGTATCAAAACCAAAACCTTGCGTTGATACAGAAGTAAACAATGAACCACTACACGTTTTTATAGCATCAGAAGGAACAAACGCGTTCATCTTTTACAATATGACTAGACTACCTTGGATATTAACGAATATATTGCATGATGTCTACTGTTTGATTGCTTGCCCAACCCCTGTTAGGCATTTTAAATAAAGTGGATCGACGGCGTCAGCTCGATCGGATCCCCAGCCACCGGAGATTCAGAGATTTGCGCATTCTAGACATGGAACGAAGCAAAGACTACCGACCAATGCAATGATTGGCGACCGGCCTAGACGAGATCGTCATCCCCTCTATTTCTTGTTTTTGAATCAGGTTTCAGCTGCATTGGGGCTTCAATAACAAGCTGTCAAGCTGTCGAGGCTCCCCCACCTTTAGGGTATGAGCTGCACCACGATGGATCCTCTCCCCACTGAATTGCCATGGCGACCAACTCCTGTACCAGAGACCACATACGTTTCTACAATAGTGTACGGAGTATGCACCTTCAATTATAAAGGATCTCATACATTGACAATATTAGTGAGACTGTCTTGTTTGAAAATAAATCATCCCCTGCCGAATTCAGTTATCTTTTTTTATCAATGTTGCCTGCCTCACTGCCCAGTGGGTTCAACGGGCAATCGCGGATTATGATTCAACCTGAAAGTTTCTATTATTAAAGTCGTCAAAATGTGGAAGCCTATGCCCAAATTCAATAACTGCCTTAGGCCAATTGATAGATCATGTCCATTCTTTGTGATCGAATCGGCGGTCTGGATCAACGACCGATTTCACTGATTAGGTTACATGATCGGAGAATGGAATCTGTCAGCTGCCAACCATGGAATACTTCAGGGTTGAATGTCATACAGCGACTGTAAAGCATGTACAACAAGGTTAAGTGATGGGGGTTGAGGCATGCGGAAAGCGAGGTAGAAAAGTAACATGAAAGTGTGGTAGACTGACTCCAAGAGGTGGAAGGTATTCTAGAGAAGAAGAAATTCGCATTATTTAGGCGTGAGCATTGCAAAATCCATTCCTAGGCGCTTTTCAGAGCTATGGGAGGATGCAATTACCATAGCATAAGGAAAATACTCGGCTTGTTCACAGGAATGAGCGATGGTATCGCCGGTCATTGTCAGATTTCTGCCGTGTGGCCTGAGGCATATAGATATGTGCCTCAGGCTAGAGAAGCTACCGCCACCATTCCCAATTGAACTTTTTTGATCGGCAGAAAAAAAGATGGTCTTGAACTTCAACGATAGCACTGTAGTCGGCCTCGACTTTACCACGCCATTGCTCACTCCCGGTCGCATACCTATTCAATACCTCCGACCCCGATAAACTACTCTCAAACCACTGCAACCATGGCGGCGCCCGTCCTGCCTCTGCAGCAGGTTAAGCTCGCCTCGTTGCCCTCAACGCAATTAACACCCGAGCAGCAATACTGGCGGACCTTCAAAAATCCTCTTCTGATTCCCTCCCCGGCCAATGGACCGGTAAACCTCATCACTCAGCCATCCATCCCCTCCTCCGCTGCAGCATTCCCTTCTCTCACACAACCGCCTGATGTCTTCACCGTCACAACAGGCGCACGAGTCCAGATCTACTCCATCCGTACGCGGAAACTTCTGCGAACCCTCACACGATTTGAAGATACCGTGCGCGGCACCGATGTCCGTCCCGACGGCCGTGTTCTGGTTGCAGGTGACGATACCGGCGCTGTGCAGGTCTTCGACGTCAAGTCGCGCGCCATCCTGAAGACATGGAAAGAACACAAGCAGCCCGTGTGGGTGAGCAAGTTTTCGCCCAGCGATCCCACATCAGTGCTCACGGCTAGTGACGACCGCACCGTGCGCATGTGGGACTTGGCTTCTCAGACTAGCTCGCGCACCTTTGTCGGTCACACCGATTACGTCCGTACTGGTGCTTACATGCCTGGTTCTATGGCTTCTTCCGGTCTGGTGGTTTCTGGTTCCTATGATCGTACTGTTCGTCTGTGGGATCCCCGTGTGGCGAACCGTGCTGCTATGACTTTCAAGATGGGCGCGCCGATCGAGAGTGTCCTGCCCATGCCTGCTGGCACTACGGTTCTGGCGGCCGCCGATAACAAGATTGCCGTGTTGGACATTGTTGCTGGTAAGCCTTTGCACATGATTCAGAGCCACCAGAAGACCGTCACTGCTCTTGCGCTGGCTTCAAATGGTGAGCGTTTGCTCTCTGGTGCGTTGGATGGACACATGAAGGTCTTCGAGACTACAGGATGGAACCCCGTTTCTGGATCTAAGTACCCATCGCCTATTCTGTCGCTGCGTGCGATCACTTCTGGAACCGAATATGAAGACAAGCACATTGCTGTCGGTATGCAGTCTGGTCTGCTGTCTATCAAGACCCGCCTGTCCGGCCAACAAAAGATCAAGGAGAAGGAACGCCGGAAGGAAATGGCCGCTCTGTTGGAGGGCAAGTTGGAAGAGCATGACAAGGAAATGGCCAAGAAGAAGAAGACCCGCGGTTCTGGATGGGACAAGCGTCTGCGCGGACGTGATTTCATCGGAGAAGGTGTTGAAATCGTCATCGAAGGCCAGGACAGCAAGAAGCGCAAGAGAGAACAGTCATGGGAGGCCGATCTCCGCAAGGCTCGCTACGCTGTTGCTCTGGACCAGGTCCTCGCCTCGGGCGACAAGACCTCCACCCTCACATGTCTCACAGCCCTCCGCCACCGCTCTGCCCTGCGCGAGTCCCTGAAGGACCGCGATGAGGTCACTCTCCAGCCCGTCCTCCAGTGGGTCCACAGCCACATCCGCGAACCCCGTCTGGTCGATCTCAGCGTCGAGGTCGCCATGAACCTCCTCGATATCTACTCTGGCAATCTCGGCCAGTCCACACAGATTGACAAGATCGTTGAGCGTCTGCATACGCGCGTACGCAATGAGGTGGAGATGGCCCAGCAGGCATGGCAGACGAAGGGAATGCTGGATATGTTGAAGGCAACCTGATGTTTCGGATCAACTGGAGTTCGTGGTGTCTGGGATTCGATTCGCACACTCGGTGTACATGGCGGGCCATTCAAACTTTTGTACAGGATTTGCATAGAATAAAAGTCGAACTATTACCAATTTACTGGCCGCAACATATTCATTTCTGTATGTACTACGTCTCTAATTTGGAGAACCCTTCAGCAGGAGGCTGCAACCAGTTGCGCGCATCGTACTCCCACCCTTCAGCGCCTTCAATTACATGGAAGGTATAGGCATACCGGCTATTAGGGCTGGTGTTCTTCTCGCTCTTGTGCAAGACATTCCCATGGATAAGCACCAGCGACCCAGCCTTAATATCAAGAATCTCCAAATCCTCATCCGAAGGTTCAGAGCTCTTCTCCTCCTCCATCCCCTTAGGCAAGGAGGGACCCTCATTCTCAATAAACTCCGTACCCCCACCCTCCTTCCTCACAAACCGCCTAGCAATATGTCCACCCTTCTTCCCCGTGTGCGATCCCTTGTACATACCCAGTGTACCATTCTTAGGCCCGGCATCCTGCAGCGCATACCACCACCCGACCGCCGAAGGCGGATCGGTATACAAGAACTCCGAGTCCCGGTGGGAGGGCACGGCGCCACCAATGGAAGGCTGCTTGCAAATAACCATACTCTGCAAAACGCGGGGGTCTGCAAAGCCGAGGGACCGTGCAACGGCAGCGTTGCGCGCGTTCAGCGACACAGCCCGGAAGGGCGGCGACAGGGTGTGCAGCGAGTGACCGATTTTGTTGACGGCGCGGTTCTTGGGCTTCGTGAGGGCTGCGCGGCCGGTTAAAGGATCGGGCTCTGTGCTGAACGCGTCGGGCTCGAAGAAGAACCGGATCTTGTCGCCTGAGTTTAGAAAGTAGTCGTCGCCTACATGGTCGGCTGCGTCTTCTTCTGTTGTGAATTGGGTGAGGGGGTGGGATTCCAGAGGGAACTCGTCGAGGAGTTTGTTTGTTTCGTTGAGGAGGGAGGTGAGTTCAGTTTGGGTGAGGTACTCCGGGAGCACAAGGTACCCGTTTTCCCTGAAGGAGGCGACCTGGTCTTCGGTAAGTCCGGACATGGTTGGAGTGGTGATTGATCATCCGGAGAAGGTGGTCGGTTGGGTGTTTTGCGAAAAGCGGGGAGGGGTGATAAGCGATTTTGATACGCCCGCCATTGGCTTATCTTCGAATACGGACCGTGCACTTGGCAACTATGGACTTGGCCCTGGATCGTTGATATACGTTGCTTTCCCCACATTCCGTTCTTTCAGGTGTTTCCAGACCCCTCGGTGACACCGATGGGTCATCGCCTCTTCCATAGAAGGCTGTTGCCGCAGAAAGGGGATGAGGCAAGCGGCAAACTAGGGCTTGCCACAGGTCGATATGATAACTGTATATAAAAATGGTGAATTGAACATCAAAACAAGAAGAAAAAACACCCACAAAGTCTATGATAATATTAGAAAAGTGATCGCAAGTAAACCAACGAAAAGAACGAAAGCATTGCTCAACAAGTAAATATCCCTACCCGAAGTGGACCAGATCAACATCTTCATCTCGCACATCCCACCAAGTGCCAGCGTCCACCACGATGTCCGACTCCTTCACAAGCGCCTCATACTACTACAGTTCCACAACCAACGGTAACGACGGCAAGAGTACAACCGGACACCGCTACTCAACAACATCGCACACACAAGGAGACGGCACGACCATCGTACGCACTGCTCAACAAGAACTAGGCCAACCGGCAATCGTTGAAGAGCGCCGCTACGACAGCACTGGCCAAGAGCAGCTTGCACTGCCGGAGCCGGGCGCGAGCTCTGCGGGGGGTGTGCGCAGGATCACCGAGCTAGAAGACGACAGCGACTCCGATGATAGCGCTGCCGCGGCGCGTGACCTGGCTGGTGTCGGCGGTCCGGCGGCTCAACTCTTGGATGGGGATGGGGAGGACGCTTCGTTTGATTTTGCTTCTGCGCCGCTGTGGTCTAGGGTTTATGACCCTATGACGGGAGCTTATGATGAGCATAGCGACTATGGCATTGATGGGACTGCAAGACATCATCGTGAGGTGAGGGATGCTAGTGGGAGAAGGTGGCGGAGGGATGTGGATTATGAAGGGGATGGCTTGTCTTCTTCTGCGAGGGAAAATCGGATTTTCGAGAATCCTAGTACCGGGACTAGACTGAGGAGAGAGTCGGATATCGATGTTAACAATGTGTTTTAGCGGGATGGTGAGTATAGAAGACGGTAAGTATATATTCGCTTCTTGCTGTATATAAAATGAAAGCATTTCTGATTATGTATCATCATATGAACAATCGTAAGACACTGCGGTATTCAGTCACGCAGACGTAGACGTCCTTCCGACCAGCGGCTTCGTCCCTTCTCCCACCACCCTGGAATCTCATAAGCCCAGTGGCAAAGCATGCCGGCAATGAAACCGACTGCGTCATTTTTAAACCCTACCAGCAGCCCTACGGTAACCATCATGACAGTCCAGCGGCGTTTGCGTTCTTCGTCAGTAAGAATAGGACCAAGATGCTGTTCCGCATTCGCCAAAAGGCCGACACCAGCATGATTGAGATCCCGCGCACCAGTAGTATTGAGGCTCTCGCCAACGCTCAGAAGCTCCACGCCAGCCGCAATGACCATAACGCCGAGGAACGCAGCCGGGAATCGGTACAGCAGATCAACCAAAGTTTCCCCAAACAGAAGCCCGATGATGAGTTTCAACACACCGAGAAATATGATGCTTGCCCCCGAGCGAGCACCGAAGCGGTACTGCGCTGCTAAACCTCCAGACCCGTGGCAGACAGGCATTGCGCCGAACCAGCAGCAAAGCAGGTTCATACCAGCGACACTAAATCCGATCTGGGTGATAGACGGACTGTGCACGTTCGGCAGCAGATCATTCGACAGATGAACAACGGCAACGATTGAGTTCAGCGTTGTCAGAGGAATCTGCCCAATGCCAGCATCAATAGCACCGACTCTCCATTCATGAGGTAAGGGAATAACAGCGAATGGACGCCACACCGCAAAGCCAGGCAGGTGTCCCGCAAGAGCGGTACGGATAACGGCAAACACCAGTCCCAGAGCCAAAACGGCGAGCGCATATGGTACCCGGCGGTAAATGTTGCTAATGAGAAGCGCTGCAAAAGCGGCGATTCCCCAGATCCGATTATCAGCCCATGAGGGGCTAACCCAACCCAGGGGTTGGAGCACACTACTGCAGGCCGCGATAATCAGAGACAGGCCCGCTCCAACTTGAATGCCCTTGACGACGGGGATGGGAATGACGCTGGAGAACCAGCGCAGGATACCCGTCAAGCTGAAGACGAGGATACAAGCGCCGACGAAGATGCCCGCGGCGGCGATCGTACCGTTGGAGAAACTACGCGCGATAGCGACTGCGGCGATGGCCTTCATGGGCTGGACCGGCAGCGGGATTCCAAAGAATACACCGGTTAGAATATTGAAAATGCCAGAGAAGATCAGGGTGCTAGCGAGGGAGACGGTGCCATTGAGGGCCAGAGCGATGGCGATGGGCAGGAATGTGCCTAGGTCGCCGAGGCTGCCTGAGATCTCGGAGACATAGTGGCGTTTGAAGGTGCGTAGATTGTAGGCGTTTATCTCGCGCAGGGACTGGATCGCCATGGTGATCTAGTTTTGCAGAGGTGAAGATGGTGTTGGGGGAGCGGAGCTAGTTTTATCCAGCGGAGCCCGCCGATCAGCCCCGCAGCCGCTGATGTCGTCCATCAGTGGAATTTGGGGGAATCCTGTTTTAATTTGGACTAGGGCTGTCGTGTCACCTTCTTCACTCAATCGTGAAGCTTATATCTGGTATTTGGGTCGGGTGCAACTTCCTGTGACGGTCGCCTGCATGATCTTGTGTTGTGGTTAAGTTCTGATTGGGTGAATGCATACTCCGTATATCTTGTCACATTGCGGAGTAGTGGACTTGACAATTAATCAGATGAGCAAATTGTCATTGAAATTGAAAGATATATTTTTAGAATTAAAATTGAAGAGGTAAAAGAAATTTATTTCAATACCTCGGTCCTCAAGAGGCTATAAAGAACCTTGAGACAGGTATCAAGTTGCGAGGAGTCATCCCTTGAGAACTTTCAGTTATCCGCGGGTATCGCGATCAAATGATCAAATAAATTCGCACATTAAATGATGCAAAATTTTAATAGCGCTGTTCACGAAAGGCACAATTAGCCACTTGGGCATAGATTATGATATCAATAGAGACGAATCAGATGTTACTCGATGTATAGATTTTGGATCGCTCAGCTCTTTCAAAACAACTGCCCCTGCTTGAAAGAACGGTAGCTCTCTTACCAGAGATGCCAGCTCATTTCAGTATTGTGTGATTGTTTCTATCCATGCCACCAGTCAGAAATGATCACTTACTAGTTTGGTCAATATAAACCATGAAAAGTAAAAGGGAAAAATCCTCCGAATAATGCATAATGACCCTATGAAAGGATGCTTTATGCCTTGTAGATGTGCAGAGAACCACCGTCAGCTTTACATTCCATTAGTGATGTCAACGCCTTGATATCTGGATATAAGGATCCCGCGCAAGGCTATTTCACAATACAACCATTGTAGCTTGTAGCATGAGCGGCAACGCTAGATTCTCGAACTATAAGTCTTTCTTTTTCTTTGGGGAGGTCAGCTGCGGCCCTGAGTAGTAAATATCCAAAGCGATCCACGTAAATCCCCAGGAATAGTTTTGGAAACCGAGGTATTAATTTTAATAAATTTTGGGAGGGGATTTATTTAAAATACTATCATCTGAAAATTGGTCACTGCCAAGGTGGCCTAGGTGGCACTTTCATCAAGATGGAGCCTAAGATACTTGGCTGTTAGGCCCCCTATTTATATACCGAGGTAGGCCTGAAAGATGAGATCGATAATCAGATCGACCATAAACACTAGCTCGTTATCAAGGGGTAAAAGAAAGGGGTCATGGCGCGATGCCGACCGGCACAATTTACGGGTTAGTTTTATGTTAAAACCGGCGCTCGGATCAAGAAGTGTCAGTGAATGAAAATCTGGTATGAAGATCCGGCACATCAACGTGCATGTGTGGTAGGCGCCTAGTTTTCGGACCAAATCGTCCGGCAGATTGAAGATAATATTAGAATTTTGTACGGCAACGGAGAAAGGAGATAAGAAGTGGACCCTATCTAATGTCGGAGGTTGTTAGGCCCCGTTGACTACTGTACACTAGAAGGTTTCATAGTTCTAGTGCTATGCCGAGCCGAAAACACGATATTTCGACCGAAGTTTCCTCCGAAACCGACATTTTTGATTCGATAACTGTAAGCAAAAATAAGAGCCAAAAATGAACCATGAGTAAATATGTATATTTGTTTCTAACTACGGAGTACTATGTACACACTAATATTTGGAAGTAAGGGCGATATAATTTCGAGCAAAGTTCGGGTTCAATTTTTCTCGGGGTTGGGAGGCCCGGGATGTAGATTGCAGTTATACTCCGTACATAACTTATGATAGACATAATTACGGGAGTTGATCACTTCATACAGCGCTCGGGAGCCGGGATCTCCAACGTCCCGAGATCCCCGGGCTGGAGATTCCGCTGACTCAGGTTTCCGCTGAGTCACGGCACCCGAAACCATGGATTTGGCAGGTTTAGATTAAGTTTTGCGGCTGAGCATAGGGCAGTTCGCACATTTTGCACAATTTTCAGGCAGCTTGCGAGCCCAAATGGACGGACTAGACCCTGCCTTGTGTCCTTGCCCAGACCATTTCCTTGCCTCCACCGAATCATCGGCCCACGATTATACGAAACTCTACCAATACTTACTCCACTTACACTATTTATTTTCAATTCTTCCGATTCCGAGTTGACCCACATTCTCAATAGGGAGAAAAATGACGTCCAAGAACGGTACGGAAAGATCTTAGGTCGTATCCGGGCTCAAATAAATCAGAGACTTTAAATATCTGACTATTCCCCTTCATGAAAATAGGGTTGATTCAGTATATCCTAATTTATTTTTGACCCATCATCTTTGCATATTTCTTGTGCTAGTTGCCTTTTCATATCGGCACGATGGCATCAGAAACCAGCTCTATCGACCTTCGGGAAAAGGATGAGCACGCCCCATCCCGTTCTGGAGATACATCAACTCTTGATGACTCCCCCATGGCCCTCATCGATCAAGAAGATCTAGACACTCTTACTAAAATTGCCACTCAACGGTCACGCCGTCAATCGACATTCGGAGCTACAGATAACCTAGCCGTTCTCGCTCAACAAGATCCATCACTCGACCCTCAATCTGGCAAATTCGACTTGCAAAAATGGCTCAAGGCGGCTTTCAACGATATGAGCCGTGATGGCCACACCGGACATACCTCTGACGTTCTTTTCAAGCAGCTTAATGTATACGGATCGGGCGCTGCACTACAATATCAGGACACAGTCTCATCTACGTTATCTGCTCCTTTTAGATGGCCTCAAGTCCTTCGAGAATCAAAGTCTCCTCAGAGGCGGATCCTCAAGGACTTCAATGGTCTTCTGAAGAGCGGCGAGCTTCTGCTTGTCCTTGGTCGCCCTGGTGCCGGTTGCAGTACACTCTTGAAATCCATGACTGGAGAATTACATGGATTGAACTTGGACAAGGAAAGCACAATCCATTATAATGGTAAGCTTTGATTTAGCCTTTTCCGAACAAGAGCTAACGGAATTGACAGGAATTCCTCAATCCCGCATGGTGAAGGAGTTCAGGGGTGAACTTGTATACAACCAAGAGGTACAGTCTCCCATTCGCCCCTTCTTTTAACAATAATGCTTATCGTTGACCGAATCCATATAGGTCGATAGACATTTCCCTCACTTGACTGTCGGCCAGACTCTTGAGTTTGCCGCCGCCACTCGAACACCAGCCCATCGTTTCCAAGACATGTCGCGATCAGAGCATGCCAAGTACATGACCCAGATCATCATGGCGGTATTTGGCCTGAGCCACACTTACAACACACGAGTTGGCGATGATTTCATTCGTGGTGTCTCCGGCGGAGAGCGAAAGCGTGTCAGTATTGCAGAGATGGCTTTGGCGCATGCCCCTATCGCTGCCTGGGATAACTCTACCCGAGGACTGGACTCTGCCACAGCACTGAAGTTTGTTGAAGCATTGCGTCTGTCTTCAGATATCACCGGATCATGCCACGCTGTCGCTGCCTACCAGGCAAGTCAGAGCATCTACGATATTTTCGACAAAGTAATTCTGCTTTACGAGGGTCGCCAAATTTACTTTGGAACTGCCGCTGGAGCCAAGTCGTACTTCGAGGCGCAGGGCTGGGAGTGCCCTGCTAGACAGACCACTGGTGATTTCCTCACCTCCATCTCCAACCCCCAGGAACGCCAGGCCAAGCCTGGAATGGAAAACCGTGTTCCTCGCACCCCTGAAGATTTCGAAGCCGCATGGCTCGAGTCCCCTGAGTACAAGCAGCTCCAGAATGATATTGCTGCATATGAGCAGCAAAACCCCGTCGGACATGATGTGCAGGCCGTCACTGATTTCCAGGCGCGCAAGCGTGGTGCTCAGGCCAAGCACACCCGTCCCAAGTCTCCATACATCATCAGCGTTCCCATGCAGATCAAGCTCAACACTGTTCGCGCATACCAACGTCTGTGGAATGATGCTGCTTCTACGATGGCCACTGTGATCACTAATATCATCATGGCTCTTATTATTGGATCGGTTTTCTACGGCACGACGGATACCACTGCAGGCTTCACGTCTAAAGGTGCAACTCTGTTCTTCGCAGTTCTTCTGAATGCCCTCACTGCAATGAACGAAATTAACAGTCTCTATTCACAACGCCCAATCGTCGAAAAACATGCATCCTTCGCCTTTTACCATCCAGCCACCGAAGCAATCGCTGGTGTGCTCAGTGATATTCCAGTGAAGTTTGCTTTAGCCGTTGTCTTCAACATTATCCTATACTTCCTGGCCGGCCTGAAGCGCTCAGCATCCCACTTCTTCCTCTACTTCCTGATCACATTTATAATCACATTTGTGATGAGTGCTGTCTTCCGCACTCTGGCTGCTGTCACCAAGACCGTCTCCCAAGCAATGGGTCTGGCAGGAGTCATGATCTTAGCTCTGGTCGTATACACCGGTTTCGTGCTTCCTGTCCCGTCCATGCACCCCTGGTTCGAATGGATCCACTACCTCAACCCAATCTATTACGCCTTCGAGATTCTCATCGCCAACGAATTCCACGGCCGCGAGTTCCCCTGCTCATCTTTCGTCCCATCCTACGCCGACCTCTCGGGTGATGCTTTCAGTTGCTCCACCGCCGGCTCCGTGGCCGGCTCATTGACTGTCAACGGCGACCGCTACATCCAGCTGAACTACTCCTACAGCTACAGCCATGTCTGGCGCAATTTCGGCATCCTCATTGCATTCCTCATCGCTTTCATGGTCATCTACTTCGTTGCCTGCGAACTCAACTCCTCCACCACAAGCACCGCCGAGGCCCTTGTCTTCCGCCGTGGTCATGAGCCTGCCTCCATGCGCCCGAATTATAAGTCTGGCTCTGATGTCGAATCCGCCGAGCCATCCAAGGTCCAGGCTTCGACTGAGACTGAGGATAAGGGAATGGGCGCCATCCAGGCCCAAACTGATACATTTACCTGGCGCGACGTCTCATACGATATCGAGATCAAGGGAGAGCCCCGTCGTCTCTTGGATAATGTTTCCGGGTGGGTTAAGCCTGGAACACTTACTGCTCTGATGGGTGTCAGTGGAGCCGGTAAGACGACTTTGCTGGATGTTCTGGCGCACCGTACATCGATGGGTGTTATCACTGGTGACATGTTTGTCAACGGTCGCGAGTTGGATGCCAGTTTCCAGCGCAAGACTGGTTATGTTCAGCAGCAGGATCTTCACCTCGATACTGCTACGGTGCGTGAGTCCCTGCGGTTCAGTGCTATGTTGCGCCAGCCTGCTTCTGTCTCTACCCAAGAGAAGTATGACTATGTTGAGGATGTCATTAAAATGTTGAAGATGGAGGAGTTCGCCGAGGCCATCGTTGGTGTCCCCGGTGAGGGTCTGAATGTCGAACAGCGTAAGCTTTTGACTATCGGTGTCGAACTTGCTGCTAAGCCCAAGCTGCTGCTTTTCTTGGATGAGCCTACTAGGTAAGTGCCATCATCATCGTTTTTTTTCCCGTTCCGGTTTTAATCATCTTCTAGTGGTCTTGACTCCCAGTCCTCTTGGGCTATCTGTTCGTTCCTTCGCAAGCTTGCCGAGCACGGCCAAGCGGTTCTTTGCACAATTCACCAGCCTAGTGCTATGCTTTTCCAACAATTCGATCAGCTGCTTTTCCTCGCGCGTGGTGGTAAGACTGTTTACTTCGGCCCGGTGGGAGACAACTCCAGCACAATGCTCGAGTACTTCGAATCGAACGGTGCCCGCAAATGTGATGATGCCGAGAACCCAGCGGAGTACATGCTGGGTATTGTCAACGCCGGCCAAAACAACAAGGGCCAGGATTGGTTCGATGTCTGGAAGCAGAGCGAAGAATGCAAGCAGGTTCAGACCGAGCTCAACCGCATCCATGCCGAAAAAGAGAAAGAAGCATCTGCTACAGACGTCGACGCCTCTCAGAGCCACTCCGAGTTCGCTATGCCCCTTTGGTTCCAGCTCACCCAGGTCACCAAACGTGTCTTCCAGCAATACTGGCGCATGCCCTCTTACGTTCTGGCGAAATGGGGACTGGGAATTGCTTCTGGCCTTTTCATCGGTTTCTCCTTCTACAGCGCGAAGACGTCTCTCCAGGGAATGCAGACGATCATCTACTCCCTGTTCATGATCTGTACCATCTTCTCCTCCTTGGCTCAGCAAATCATGCCCGTCTTCGTCACCCAGCGCTCCCTCTACGAAGGACGCGAACGCCCTAGCAAATCCTACTCCTGGAAAGCCTTCCTAGTCGCCAACATCATCGTTGAAATCCCCTACATGATCGTCATGGGAGTCCTGACATACGCCTGCTACTTCTACGCTGTCGTCGGGGTCCCCGATTCCACAACCCAAGGCACAGTCCTCCTTTTCTGTATCGTCTTCTTCATCTATGCCAGCACCTTCACGCACATGGTCATCGCCGGCCTGCCCGACGAACAAACCGCAAGCGCAATCGTCGTCCTCCTCTTCGCCATGTCCCTTACCTTCTGCGGTGTCATGCAGGCCCCGTCCGCCCTCCCTGGTTTCTGGATCTTCATGTACCGTGTCTCGCCATTCACATACTGGGTTGGCGGTATGGCTGGAACCCAGGTCCACAACCGCCAGGTCGTATGTTCGACTTCCGAGCTGTCCATCTTCAATCCACCCTCCGGCCAGACTTGCATGGAATATCTGCAGAAGTATGCCACCGCCGCCGGTGGTCAAATCCTCAATCCCGAGGCGACCAGCGATTGCAGCTACTGTCCTCTGACTGTGGCTGATCAGGCTATGGCTGGCTACGGAATTTCCTACTCGCAGAGATGGCGCAACTTTGGAATCATGTGGGCTTTCATTGCTTTCAACATCTTCATGGCTGTTGCTATGTATTACCTGTTTCGTGTGAAGCGCTGGAACTCCGCCAGCATGAAGGATAGCTTCAAGAAGCTGATCCCTGGTGGCAAGTCCAAGGGTGGTAAATAAGTTACCCGCCTTTGGCTTGATTTGTCATTCTTTGTTTATATTCTTTTCTTATCTTTTTAGACTTGCACACTTTCTTTTAGAGGCGTTTTGGGGCACTATTTGCCATTTCGCCGGTTGATTTGTTATATTTTGATTCCCTGATAAACTGGACATAGATCACATATTCTCTAATGAACTATATACTTGAAAGATATCCATCTAATCTACTCTAACCAAGCATCAACCGCCCCCTTGAAAGTATCCTTTAACCAATCCTCCTCATACCGCACACCAGCATCAAACCCATGCTCCCCATCCCTAATAGTAAGAACAATCCTATCGCCCCCAGGAACGCCCTTAAAAATCTCCTTCGCCCGCCCAACAAACCTCTCCGACTCCCCAACAGGAACAACACTATCTCCCCTCCCATGAATAATCGCAATCCCCCCAACCGGAATCCTCGCACCCACCCCCTCAATTCTAACAGCAGGATATCGCACCTCCCTCCCCCTCCCCACCAGTCCCACGCTCATAAAGCCCCCCAAGAGCCCCATGCTGTACAAGAGCAAGCATAAACACCAACCTCTCATGCTCCTCAATAGAAGACTCCACTACCCCAGCCTTGAGCACATCCTCAATAGTCTTCTCAATCAAGCCCTTGTCCTGACTAATCCCAAACGGCAAAACCTCGCGCGGCGCATTAAACGCCTCAGCGGCAAGATCCACACACGGATACGCCGCCGTACAAGCGCGGATCTCAGGGTGCGCCAGCGCAAGAGCAATACTCAGCAATCCGCCGGCTGACTCGCCGGCTGACAAGATCCGTGCCAAGTCCGCTTCCGCGCCGTGCGCAGCCAGCAGATCTGCCAATGCTGGCGAGTGCACCCAGGCCCAGAAGTCTTCGACGTCCTCGTAGATCTGGGTGCTTGTTGCGCTGGGGAGGAGACGGTAATTTGGGCTTAGGATTATGGCGTTTGTCTCGATAGCGAGGTCGGTGAGCCACTGTGGCCAGAAATCCATGTATAGGGAGTCGGCGGTTACCTGCGGTGTTGGTTAGTTAGGGTTTGGGTTTGGGGCGGGACGGGACGGGTATGCGTACCAGGCCGCCGCCGTGGAAGCGGATTATTATGGGTCTTTTGCCGGTGTGCTGGTTCTGTGGGATAAGGATGTCTGTGCGGATTGAGTGGGAGGCGACCGTTTTATAAGTTGTTTGGATGAGGTCGAGGCCTGCTAGCTTGGGGTGGGAGGGTGGTGCCATTGTGTGGGAAGCTTTTGGGTTCGTGTATGGTATTATTTGAATTGAGTGGGATGTCGTTGCGAGTGTGGGCATGAAGTGAATTTAAAGTCTTGTTGATCAGCGCTCGGTCTGAGTTCGGCTTTGTGAGATTAGCCTTTGAGCGAGCTCGGCTTTTCGGCTTTCGTCGCGATGCGAATCACGTAACCGGGAATAGTTTCAATATCTCCGGCCGAGTCTATACCAGATAAAGATCAGCGCTAAGCCGAAATTCTAAGCTAGAATTGTATACTTAATTCCGACTAGTTATAACTGTTTACCAGAACTATGCAAGAAAAGATAATTCATTTTGTATTTATTCATTTCTCTTTGTTAATTGCAAAAATAGAGGTGCAGCAGACAGTGTGAATGTGTCTACTTTTCCGTTGATAAAGCTTTCTTCGGTCTGATCAGGCGCTAACGAGACGTCATATCGTCGGAGTATTTCTGCAACCACATGTCTGATCTCCATCATAGCGAGTCGTTTGCCCACACAAGCATTTGGGCCTGGATTTTGATTAGCTTAAAGATCCCCAGGTACATCACATAGAGTGTCTCACCGATGAGAAAGGGGATGAAGACAGATCGATCTTTGACAAGCTCGGGACATTCAGTCCATCGCTCCGGAATGAATTCATCTGGGCGCTCGAATGAGCGCTCATCTATGGTTTCAAAAGACGTAAGTTTGGAGATCATGATGATAATGCGACCTTAAGTGGGAAAGGTGTCAACAAACCCCTAAAAAGTGTGTAGAGAGGTACTGTAACGACGACATTTTGAGGAATGTAAGTTTCGTTTATCGTTAACCCATTGTCCGAAGTTGTGCGCTGGAGGCCAGCTGGCGTAGCGGGGTGCAATCGAAGGGTCTCATTGATAACAGCGTCGAGAAGTTCAACGCTCATCAAGCTTTTGTCGTTAAACTCGGGAAGCTTCTCCAACTCGCTTCGGAGTTTGGTAGAAAGTGCCCGGTCACGCGCGAGGTGAAATAGTAGATGAGTGATAGTTGAAGATGTAGTGTCACTAATAGGATGTCAACGACATGCTTCTTAAAGCAAATATATGAATACTAGAACGGGAATATCATATCATACCTGCCAGCAATTACAATGAGATAACCGTCCCCATGCAACCTCAGTGTATCAGACTTTGATCTTGGGCCTTGCATATATGCTTTGAGCACAGACGAAAAGATGTCCGGATGCTGAGGTCCTTTCTGGATGAAGCAGCAAAGAAGGACCATTAGCAATACCCAGGGTATGGCTGGGCGAGGAACACTTACTTCGATTCTCTCTGAAATTTGGCCTTCAAGCCACCTCCAAAATTGCTGATTGTTCCAATTGATACCTGGTGTTCTCATCAAAAGGGCCGTAAGCCAAGGTAGATGTCGTAAGTAACCGACTAGCTTCATATCCTGACGCATGACTTTCAGAAAGTAGGACTCGGTCTGTTCAGTGAGCATGTTGAATGGCTTTCCGAAAGCGAGATTGGCCATAACCTCGAAAGCATAGTACGTGGCCCAGATGGACATGTCAATAGGCGTGTCAAGCTTTTGATCGATTATTTCGATTAGCTGCTGTGTGCATTTGGTGACTAAGGGCTCATATGCATTCAAAGCTGTTTCAATTGTGAGCAAAATAAAAACGGATAAGGGATCATAGGCAGCCTACCTTTGGTATTGAAAGATTGATCCCAGACCTTCCGGCGTCGTGCGTGCTCACTCTTGTCTCTTGTGAAAGACATGGGTGTTCGTGGGTCCAACAGCGTATACCAAGGACCCTTTGTCGCCTCGGACTGGCTCCCATATATTGCGGCAACAGCTGCCGGATCTGTAATAGATAGCTCCCTGGGACCTGATCGCAAATAAAACTTTAATTTGCTGCAATGAAGGTCCTAAAGAGAATCTGTGACCTACCTAATCGAACATAATCCCCATATTTAGCATGCAAACCTTGTAACTCTTCATGGAGCTGGAGGTTCTTTGCTGCCAATGCTGTCACATAAAAGTTGGACAAACGAGCAAGAAATGGACCTGGAAACTGGAATAGTCTATGGAAGAACGCTCGGTAAATGAGCATGCTGCCGTAAACCCCAGTCAGATGACATGCAAACAAGCTCAATAGATCCGAGGATGAACCTCTGCGTGAGTTGTCCCAAGATGGGAAAGAATGCGTTACAACTGTTCCAGACAGCAGAAGCAGAAGGTAAGCCAAGGCAATAGCTGGCGACTTCGTATCCCAATCGCCATGCCGATATATGAAGATGTGCAAGGATACCCCACTAGTTAGCGCCAAGATGCAGCTGGCATCTCGAAGGTATGCCATGTTGAGAGGATATTAGAAGCGGTCTCTGATTTCTAGTTGCCGCCAATGCTAAACTTAGTGTTTGGCCGAAAAAATTCGAGAATCCCCCTCTGTGACGGCTGGAGGTGCAGATTTATCGCTGCAGTTACTATGGGAGTCAAAGATGTGACTAGAAAATAGCAGTCAGCTGATCATGCATGCATGGCAGTGGGTCCAGGGCATTTTGATGAAAAAGGCAAGCCAGTGAGGGGTCGACAGGTTGAAATTTTTCAACACACATATGAGCTGCAAGCAATCGTGGTTCTTACTGTGCCTAGCCAGGAGCTACCGAGCACATTTTATTGACTAGCTCATGAATCCATTGAATATGGAGAACTCAATCCCGATCATTTGTAATGGCAATCATGTTTGGGCTCGGTTTTATATTAGGGGGCTTTTGATCTTGATCACTGATCATGATTGTACAATCCGTCTAGAACGTCTGGCAACACTGATGAATGCGGTTTTTATCGTGTTCTTTTCACTATTATGTGTCTCTTCTACTGCATGCCCTTTTCAGGACTTTCTCAATATACTTTGGTGTCTCTTTACAGCCCATTTGTGGCCGTGAGTATACAGTGGCCCATTATCCCATAAGGAGGTATACTTGATGACCATGTAATCTACTTGAAGATGACGTTACCCTAATTCAGATTGGCCTCACAATTTTATAGTCAAGATACATCGACGGAGATGGCACCACGAGTGGCTGAAACAGTTTGCATCTCTTCGCCAAGAATATCAAGCAGCAGCGCCACAGTAGACTCAGCGCGCCACATTGATCACTGGGACAATCACCATTATTTTTCACTTTGGACTGCATCGATAACTAAAGATAGTTGCATAATCTAGGATTTGAGGAGACGGTCAGTATGGTATGTCAACAACTAAGGTTCACACAGGAATGTCAACCCTTCTCCTTCTTCCCTTGCCTTCTCTGGCCCAGCCTTTTGTCCAAACTTATTACTTCCCACGAACCATCATATGGGTCTCCTTGAGCTACCAGCAGAGCTGCTTTTATTGCTCCCAGTATTCCTAAATGCAGAAAGGGATATCAGTTCGTTATCTCGAGCCTGTTCTCGACTGCACCTTCTCTTGAACCCCTGGCTGTACCGATATAATTCCCGATACTGTGCAAGCTCTTCACTTTTGTGGGCTGCCAAGAACGGTAGCAAGGCAACCGCTCAGTTATCTATCCGCGAAGGGGGTGACGTTCGCATAACAGACGACATTGGCTGGACACCGCTGACTTGGGCTGCCCAAAATGGACATGTGGATTTGGTGAAGCTTTTGCTTGAGACGGGCGAGGTGGACGTGGAATCAAAGGATGCCGAGGGTCGGACGATACTGTTTTGGGCTGCGGCAAATGGACACGCAGCTGTGGTGCAACTTTTGATTGAAAGAGGTTCAGTGGATATGAGCTCAATAGATACTGTTGGGTGGACGGTGCTATTTTGGCCCGCGGCAAATGGGCATGAGGCTGTTGTGAAAATGATAATTGAAACGGGGCGGGTGGACGTCGACTGCAAGGACACAGAGGGACGAACACCACTATATATGGCTGCAGCAAGGGGGCATGAAAAGGTAGTGAGGTTGTTAGTTCAGCAGGGGAGGGCGAGTGTGGATTCGAAAGACTATCAGGGTCGGTCGTTACTCTACTGGCCCGCAGTAAATGGTTACAAAGCTGTCGAAAGAGTTTTGCTCGAGGCTGAAATTCCACATGTAAACACTACTTTGGTCGTCTGAATTCTTGAACAACATACAAATGTCAGTTATCAGGGATACCAAGGGTACCTACTTCTAGTTTCAATGGACTATCTAGGTAATTAAGAATATACCTAGATAGTTTGATTAAGTATTTAGGTATATATGCCGCTCTTTGATAGCTAAAAGGAATCATCTGATTCTATTTTCACAATGTTCAATGGAGGTTCAGTCTTGCCATTATCTGCATACGTCGGCAAAATATATATAGTTCGGGGAAACATTGTTAGTGGTCTTAGTAGCTCAACCGATCGATTACTCCAACGTATTTCTGATATCTCTTAAGGTACACATAAGCTTAGGCTGGAATATCTTCCGAATAATCGATTTCAAGTGGAATCGAAGAAGAAATAAAGAAAACCGGACGATACGCGGGGTTAAGGCAGGTCACCTGAGAGGGTGTCTATCTGACCAATCACAGCGTCCACTGATAGCGGGAATTCTGACTCATCCCGACTATTGGAGAGGGGCAGAAGAAATTCAGGACTTTCTCGACCATAAAATAAAAGTGAGAAAAAGCCCTGGATTACCGCAATTGGGACATAGAATTGAAAAAATCAGCCCTTTAGAACCACACACCATGGCGAACGAAGCCCAACCCCCGGCGCTCAACGACTTGAGCATCAACGAGAAAACCGACACCAAGGCCGTTGGGCAGATCGTGACACCCTTTGATGTCTCCGGTGGAGTTGACGAGTCCGGCAAGCTATTGCCCGTCGATTATGAAAAGCTCACTAGGGAATTTGGCGCCACACCTATCAATGCCGCTCTATTGGAGCGTTTTGAAAAGGTGACCGGCCACCGGCCTCACCGTTTCATGCGCCGGAGTATCGTGTTCAGCCACCGGGATCTCTCCAAGATTTTGGACAAGCACGAGAAGGGCGAGCCTTTCTTCCTCTACACTGGCCGAGGACCGAGCAGTGACAGCATGCACGTCGGACACACCGTGCCTTTTGAGTTCACAAAGTGTGTTTAACTTGTCGATTCCATAGTGCCGTGCTAACTATGATAGATGGCTCCAGGATGTTTTCGATGTGCCGCTCGTGATCATGATGACCGACGACGAAAAATTCATGCACTCCCAGAAGATCGAGATTGAGGACTCTAAGAGATACACAAAGGCAAACGCAAAGGATATCATTGCTGTTGGATTCGACATGAAGAAGACCTTCATTTTCAGTGATTTCGAGTTCATTGGTGGTGCTTTCTACGAGAACATGTGCCGTATGGCCAAGCGAATTACCATCAACCAAGTCAAGGGCACATTCGGCTTCAATGACAGCAACAACATCGGCGAGTTCCACTTCTGTGCCACTCAGTCAGCATCCGCTTTCGCGACGAGTTTCCCTCACATCTTCGGCACTGAGACCAAGAAGGTCGCCTCAATTCCCTGCTTGATTCCCTGCGCCATCGACCAGGACCCCTACTTCCGCCAATGCCGTGAGCACGCCGAGAAGATGAAGTACAAGAAGCCCTCTCTCATCCACTCCATCTTCCTTCCTGCCCTCCAGGGCCCTGGATCTAAAATGTCTGCTAGTGTGGACAGCTCCGCCATTTTCATGAGCGACACTCCGAACAAGATCAAGAACAAAATCAACAAGCACGCTTTCTCTGGTGGCCAGGACACCGCCGAGTTGCAGCGTGAGCTTGGCGGCAACACCAAGAACGACATCCCCTTCCAATACTTGACATTCTTCCTCGAGGATGACGCGGAGTTGGAGCAAATTCGTGCCGACTACGAAAGTGGAAAGATGATGACCGGCGAGATCAAGCAGAAGTGTATCGCTGAGCTTCAGACTTATGTCCAAGGGTTCCAGGAGCGTAGGGCCCAGGTTACGGATGAGATCATGGCCGAGTACATGCGTCCCCGTCCTTTGGAGTGGAAGGGAAATCCCAACCCAGTCGTGGTTGAGAAGGCCAAGAAATAAACCTTTGACAAATAATTTGTCCGGAGCAAGTGCAAAAATTCATATGATTCCATAGCCTTTTCAGCAATTTACCAATACCATTCAATATTGATCATGGCACAGCTCTGTTGTATCGGCCCACTGCAACAACCAATTGCTATTACTAGCAGTAAAGACTTTGATCTACGACAAAATAACTTGGCCTCGCAAGAACCCCCCTTACGCCGTTGCTTAACCAACACGACTCGCCATCCACAAGGTCATCCCGAGTAATATTTTGTTCTATGCAGAAGCCCTGGGACAATGCATATCGCCGTGTTGTACCTGCATTGCCGCCACTGCTCAACGGAGGTGTAACCCACATGGGACTCCGGAAGAAGTATGGTGTAGTGATGCTACCTTCCATAATCTCGCCATCCGGGTTCACCACCAGCACTTCCGACGTCTCTGTCGGGGAATTGATATTCGCCCTGAGTCGGGCAGAGGTGTATTCATTTCGTGCAGTGGTTTTGTGTGTGGTGAATTTGGAAGGGGTGGTGGACTGGGTGTCAACGTAGACACTCCACACAGGCAAGCTCGGGGTTGTGTGTAGAGTTGGAATGAACAAGCTGATTATATCATTTTCTGCCGTCGGATTTGCCTCAATATTCACTTTTCCATATTTATCCACTACAATTCGAAGCCTCCATGCTTTGCTTCGGTCTGGGATGGACGCGTCGAAAAAGTGCTCGAAGCTTTGGAGATCTTGCTCCAGCCATTCCAATGCTTCTGTCCATTGAAAGTCACGGGCAGCTGCTATCAGCCGGTCTTGGTGATAGCGAAATAGATAGTAGGGAGATTTGTGAGGATTGGGGTAGCTCTGTGCATGACGAGAGGCTGCTTCTGGGAGATTCGGATCGAAGCGCAGGGAAGAGAAGATTTCGAAGGACTCCGTCATTTTTGCAATGCCACAATAGTTTGCTGCATTTACCAGTTAGTTAAACATAGAATATTTTGTGGTTGAAACAGTATGGTAAAAAAATGGATAGATAGAAACAAAAACAAGAAACGATGACATCGATTTCACGGTTCAATTCGGAAAATGTGTTGTGGAGAACTCGAGCGTTGCCGTCGCAGCGCGCATGATTGGCCGGCCCGGCTTGCGGAACTCTTGACTTTTCCTCCAGCTTCATCATTCCTCCCTTATCTCTCTAACTTCTTTTGTCGAGGTATTATCTTCCATCTCAAGATCACTGAGACCATCCATACTAATCTCACGCAAATTTTAGATTTAGCGTCATCCTTTGGGATCCCTTCACATCATGTCGAACGAGTTGCCGTTACCTTCGCCCGCCCAGAATGTGGTGCTCGATACATCTAAGCTGACTGAGCAATCATCGGCATCTGTTTGGGATCGCATCACTGGCTGGGTCTCTGAAAATAAGGCTGTCGTTTATACCATTGCTGGTGTCGCCGTCGTCGTGACCGGCGCGGGTGTCGTCTACTACCTCAATGACAACAGCAAGGCCACTCCTTCTGTGCCCAAGAAGAGCAAGAAGCAGCGCCGAACAGAGAAGAAGAAGGCCGAAGATGCTAAGAAGGCCGAGTCAGTAAAGGAGGGTAGGTGACTCTTCATCCGAACACAGTGGTCGTATGACTGACATCGGCCCAGAAACCCCCAAAAAGGCCGAGGAGGCCGCCGAGGAGCTTCCTGAGGTTGATGAGGCGACCGTTGGAGGATTGTCCGAAGAGGTATGTTGAGTTCGATTTCTCTAGGGCTTTCGCTAACTGAAAAGACCCGCAACGCCTATGCCGCCAAGCTCAAGGCTGCCGGTAACAAGGCCTACGGAGCCAAGGACTACCCTAACGCCATTGAGCTGTACGGCAAGGCTATCATTTGCAAGCCCGACCCCGTTTTCTACTCCAACCGCGCCGCCTGCTACAACGTCCAGTCCAACTGGGAGAAGGTCGTTGAGGACACCAGTGCCGCCCTCGCCATGGACAGTGAATACGTCAAGGCCCTCAACCGGAGAGCCATTGCATACGAGCACCTCGAGAAGTACAGTGAAGCTCTTCTCGACTTCACCGCCAGCTGTATCATCGATGCCTTCTCCAACGATGTCAGCCGCAACTCCCTGGAACGCCTGCTGAAGAAGGTTGCCGAGAAGAAGAGCCAGGCCATCCTGGAGGCACGCACCAAGAAGCTGCCCAGCGCCACTTTTGTGTCCAACTACCTCCAGAGCTTCCGTCCCCAGGTCCTGCCTGAAGGCTTGGAAGAATCCGTCGAGTTGGCCGACGAGTCCGGCAAGGGCCAGCTCCGCAAGGGTCTCATTGCCATGGGCAAGAAGACCGCCGATGGTTACGAGGAGGCTGCCGCCGCATTCGAGAAGGCCCTCGAGATCGGCGACCTCGGTGAATTCGAAGGCTTGGCCCTGAACATGCGCGCTACCTTTACTTACCTTGGCGGCAACGCTACCGGTGCTCTTACTGACCTTAACAAGAGTGTTGAGCTTTCACCTTCTCTGGTACAGAGCTACATCAAGCGCGCCAGCTTGCACCTGGAGCTCGGTAACAAGGATGCTGCCGCTGACGATTTCGAGCTTGCTATCACTCACAACAAGGATGATCCTGATATCTACTACCACCGCGCCCAGCTTCACTTCATCTTGACTGAGCTCGCCGAGGCCGCCAAGGACTACCAGAAGTCGATTGATCTCGACCGCAATTTCATCTACTCCCACATTCAGCTTGGTGTGACACAGTACAAGATGGGCTCCGTTGCCTCAGCAATGGCCACTTTCCGCCGGACGGTTAAGAACTTCGAGGATGTCCCTGACGTATACAATTACTACGGTGAGCTCCTGCTCGATCAGCAAAACTACTCCGAGGCAATCGAGAAGTTCGACAAGGCTGTTGAGATGGAGAAGCAGAGCAAGCCCATGGGCATCAACGTTCTGCCCCTGATCAACAAGGCTCTCGCCCTGTTCCAGTGGAAGCACGACTTCCAGGAGGCCGAGGACCTCTGCCAGAAGGCTCTAATTATTGACCCCGAGTGCGACATTGCTGTCGGCACCATGGCCCAGCTCCTTCTCCAGCAGGGCAAGGTCTCCGAGGCTCTGAAGTACTTCGAGCGTGCTGCCGAGCTGGCTCGCACGGAGGCTGAGATCGTCAACGCTATCTCGTACGCCGAGGCTACCCGTACTCAGTTGGAGGTCCAGGAAAAGTACCCTCAGTTGGCTGCTCGTCTTAACACCATGGGTGCCATGGGCGGTGGTGGTGCCCCTCCCATGTAAAAGCGAGATTTTGCAACCTTGAATCTTCCCTCCTCGTTTCTTCGCTTCTGTCTTCACCCTGAATTGGGGTTTGTCTAATTGGCCTTTCTCTTCCCCGGTTTGGGATCTTAGATCCCAGGCCTATATTCTTTCTCTCTGCGTGTATTTACTATCGGTTGACATATTCCCCGGCCGTCTTTTCTTATTCTTTTCTTTTTGGGGCTCTTAAGACTTGGGGATGGGGGCAGACTACAAGTTACATTAGGGGTTTTGGATGACCATGTTGTAATTTGTGTACTATAGAGAATGAGAGTATTCCAAAACTATTTTATACTCCGCTAGACTACATTACTAGAATACACTCTACTCTTCAACATACACATATACCTTATACTACTATACACTATATACTAACAAGGTTAACTGTGTACGGATGACCATGACGTGACTACACCCCACACCTGAGCATCAGCTGACCCACTCCTTATCGGGATCTCCGGACTCTGTTTGTAGTTCACTGTTGAACTTCAATACAATCTCATTTCTCACTATTAGAGACATCAGTAAGTGATATATATACTACCTTTCTTGATTTAGGGTCTATTCGGGATTGTCCAGCAGACCAGAGTTATATGCAACTTGTTGCAGAAAGCCCTTAAACGGCGTCACATTTCCTTATCTTGCCTTATCACTTCTCATACATCGCTCATTGTTCCTAAGTTTCCGGCATCTTTTTCCCTTTTTATCATTTCACTAAGAGTGCTAATAATTTTATTTCTAGAGTTGTCTGTTGGACTTGAAACAGAAGCTCAATTTGCCAGGATCTCCGGTCCCTTGTTGCCTTGTTGTCTGCCAGCGGTGAACCTAACTTCAACCTGATTCATCGACTACCCCTCTTCCTTACTTTCCTCTACCACACTTTCTATCATCTAACAACTACTCGTGTTTAATCTTCCTGTTGTTCTGCTTGCAAATACTTCTCTTTTAAAAGGTTTGCGAACACCTTTGGGCTGCCTTATTCACGAGACTGACCCATGTGATCGTGCTAGCAGGAAACACCCGGGTAAGCTATCTTTGTCTCCAACTCTTTAAGCACCCCTCTTCCCGTTGCCTATCCCCTCAGACCTCGTCTTTCAGTTCATGTTCTCGCTTTGAGCGATATGAAATATTTGTCCTTGGTCTGATCATCATTTAGAACCAATACCTTGACACATCTACTACGCAACTGCCATAAGATACAATTGTCGACGTTTCACCATGTCGGACCAGAACGGCAAGTCCTTGAACCTTGAATTTTGCTTCACTCGAAGCTGACACTCGAATATATAGTCACCGTGACGTTGGTCCCGCTCTCCGGCGCAGATCCTCTGCGCACTATCACTCTCTCCTCCGTCGACGCCCACCAGAACATTCCCATCGGTCGAAGCTCTAAACGTGAGCTTCGAAAGAGAGTGCCCGACCCAGAGAATGCATGGTTCGATTCTCGAGTCATGTCTCGGGATCATTGCATGCTGAACATCAACATGGACAAACGGGTCAGTCTGCCGCTCATTCTGTTTGTATCATTATACTAACACTATGACAGACTTGCTTGATCTCTGATGGTGGCTCTACCCACGGAACCTATGTGAACGATGTCCGGTTGGAACAAAGCGTCGATACTCCTCTATTCCATGGAGACACCATTCGTTTCGGTGTTAATGTCGATCGTGGTCAGGGTATGTTGATGTCAAGCTCATATGTCGGGCTGGCTGACTTTGTGGCAGAAATATTTGAGGCTATTCAGGTTCGGTTCGAGGTAGCGTGGGCCAAACCAGAGGTCATAGTCATTTCAGACGATACCCCCGCCTCCAAAGTAAACATCAGTCTTTCCACCAATACCTTCACTGTCCCCGATGATGACGATGACGACGACGAGAGCGCCTATGACTACAAGGAAGAAGAAGAAGACTACGAGGGCGAAATGGAGTTTGAGGACGAAATCGATGACCAGCATGCTGACCACCCCAGTGATGACTCTAAAGCATCTGTTGCCCGATCCTTGGAGTTTGACACTCTTCACCCTGGCGAGACCTCATCTGTTTCGAGTGTGGACCAGAATGAGAAACCAGAGCCAAAGCCCGAGCTTGCACCTAAGCTTGAGCTTGAGCCGCAGCTTGAGTTTAAACAATACCCCGCTCCCGTTGAGCATATTTCTTCTACTGAGGAGGTTGCCTTCGGGGTTCTGAGCCTTTCGGGAGCAAACGTCCCGGATCCCGTGAAGAAACTGGCGTCCGAGCCCACGAATACAATGTCACCTGATATCGAGCCACTGCCGATACCTACCACTGCCTCATTGGAAGCTAAGTTCCAGGAAGTTGATGCTGAGTCGTTGCCTTCCGATGCCAAGCTGTCATCATCTTGCCAAACAGATAGATTTCCCAAAACCTGCTATCAAAAGGTCCCCGAGGATTGTTATAGCAATTGGACAATGATGAAACCTATGTTCATGCGTCTTGCTGACATGGCTTGGGGTGAATCTGACCAGATTCCCGATGTCGACCACGAGAAACGCATCATCCATGCTGCACGACGTTGCTCCCTATCTAGAGAATCCTACTGGGTTGATGACTCCCCCGGCTTTCAACCATGGGCTGGCACCGAGGTTATGTGGACACCAGACTCCAAGGCATCGGACACCACATTCCACCGCATGCCCGGAAACTCTCTCAAGTACTGGGCTATCGACAAGCGCAGATACTGGATCATTTATGAAGACGAAAACGGCTTGGATATGGGCAACTTGTGGTGGATCGTCGAGAAGCCATGGGACATTCTTAGTGAAGAGATCAAGGAGCAACTTGCGACTGAAACTGAAATTGATGACTGCCACAAATGTTGGTTTATCAGAGCCTGGGAACCCCAAATGATTGGTAGCACGTGGTGCGAGTCGCCTCCTTACTGGGACTCAAGTTTCGACAAGGAATTACCCTCCGATGACGACTCCATCAACTCGTACGAAGCGGAGGACTCTGAGCTTGATGAGGACCATTCGGAGGAGTCAGCCGCTTCAGACTTCGAGGATTATCATCCGTTTTTCAAGTTCAATGAAGAAACCTATGGATGCGACGCAGAGGGCTACTCCAACTCAGAGGAAGGTTCGGAAGTCGATGACTACTCGGTGAATTCGGAATGTGTTTCAGACCTCACGAATGAAGAAGATTCCGACCAGTCTGTATATGATGAATCCGATGACAACTCTGAGTGCTCGGATGACCTTGTGATGGAATTCACCAAACCACCAAAGGATAGATCTATGGCTTTGCCTGAACAGAGCCCAATTTCGGTCAAGCAACGCGTGTTCGCCGCCGATGACATTGGCCTTCCCGGCAACGACATGGCGGAGGCTGGTCCTTCTTCGTTCCCCAACGATTTCAAGAGCGAAAATACCAAGCTGCGCGATGAACTATTTACGACGTTGAACGAGGAATGGCTACAACCAAGTGAGATCTTCGAGTCACACACATCCCGAGTGCTGCCGCTCGGGGGTGTAATGTCTCCCCTTATGACCAACCCAAGTGCTCAATTCCCGACACACACTGTTTCGGATAAATTGCCAAGTTCCTGTCAGAAACCGGTTTCTCATCCTCAGCCCTCCATTGTTGTTACAAACCGCGCTTATCAGGATGGGCCGTTCGCAATTAACACCATCTGTTCCAGCCAAGATGTTTGTACTCCATTAGAACCTGCGACAGCGGTCAAAACATCGCTCAAGCGGTGCGCATCAGATATGGAATCCTCTGTGCTTCCAGAGTCTGGATTTTCTCAAAATGCTCAGCGGGTCCCACACGAGACAGCCAGCCAGCCAGATCTTGAGCCAATCTCAACCGGAGTCCAAGATATCATTGCCTCTGCTCTTGCTGAGAATGATTCTGCTGCTGCTGAGAATGATCGTCCTGCAAAGCGGGTCAAGCCCAATCGTTCGTCCTCGAAGAGTTTGGCAAGTCACGCGACCACTGCCGTTGTCGGTGCGCTTCTAGGTGGCCTAGGAACTATTGCTATGCTTGCAGCATTGCCCAATGAATATTTCCAGTGATTGAAGCTGTAATCGGGTGTTTGGTTGTCTTTTCTTTCTCTTCGTCTTCATTTTTCATGATTTATCCCCTTCGACTTTCGGCGTGTTTCCTACGATTTTATGATTTACAAATTACTCAGGCGTTCGGGTTTGACTAGGTGGGAGAATGGATGGGGGGGACTCTTTATTTTTGCTTTACTCTTTCCTTGCTGTGTTTTCCCCTTAGCCTCAGCACACCGTGTTCACTTATTGCTGGGCGCAACTAGGCGTTTGGATTGATTGGCTGGTTAACGTCTGCTTTTTCACTCTGCTCTACTGTTTTCCTTTTTTGTCAAAGCCGCAGACATACATCATGAGTTGGGTCAGATTGCAGAAACTCTGACGTGGATCAACGCCATGCATCGTTAACCGCTCGATAATTTCCCCCTCAATGTGATAGCTATGCAGGCTGTAATGAGCAAGAATGCCAATGCTTTTGTTTTTCTAACAAAAGAAGAAACTGATTCTATCGTTACCCTGTGTATTGTTAAACTCTTTTCGTACTCGTGGTCTACTTGCTTGGCGCATGTCTTGACGGTGTCACCCTGCCAGGTACTGACTTTTGGTAGTCTCATTTAAAAATGCACCGTGATATCATTCAATCTCGCTGCCAAGCTTGGCTTGAGCAAATTACATGTGAACTCGAATTTCATTTCTTTCACGCTTTGAAGTATTCTAGCTGCCGGTTGTCGGAGAATAACGTGGTTGGTTTGAACATCCTGTCCCTTTTTTTGTCTTCTTTTCTTTGCCTTTTTTTTTTTCTTCGAATGGCATATTCTTTACTTCATTCAAGATATACCAATGAAATCTAGCGATAGGATGTTTCTTTTCGTGGCAGATATACCAGAACTAACTCCAACCCATCAACAAAGAAACAAGTAATCAAAACTCAGACTCACCTCTTGCACAATGAGAATTGGGCTGCAGGTATCCCACAAGTTCATGTCAGCTGACCTGCAACCTCGCTCATTTTTCCCCCATGTGCAACGTGAGGATCTTTTTTCTTCTTTTCTGCCCCCTCGGGGTTCAACAGTAACACCAATGGCAAGAAAGACAAACGTTCTGGTTCCGGGACAACCCTCAGAAGTCTCAGATGGCCTTTTTGAGACATCAATGGAACATTATCTGCCATGATTGACCCAGTTTACCGCCAATACGAAGCCTTGATCCCAGCCCGACTCGAAATCCCGGCCTAGCGCGTGATGGAAGTGGCTGGCTGCAGACCTCAGCGAACGCGTTAACGAGCCCACCTATTTTGGAGCTGAGCTGCGCTTCGCCTAGAGGCTGATATACTTAGTATCGAATCCACAGCCCCGCGCAATGACGCACATACCCGTTTCGTCTATTAACCGGTCCGATGTCAGCAGGCAAACTTCACTAATTTTACAGTCTGTCTAAGAGAAGTGAAAGAAAAACACGTCAGCTTCAAAATTGATGGCGGAATTAAAAGTGTGTTTTCAATGTGCATCAATGAAGGATTCAGTCTGCATGTGACTCGTCTGCAGAACGAAAGCAAAACATTTTGGCACGGAACGCTTCACGTCAGATCATACAATGAATTCAAAGCAACACTAAACGGCTGCCGGGAATCCCTGTCTTTGGGCATTGAAATGCCAAATGGTAAATTTCCCTGGTCCTTGCCGCTTCCCCCTCGACCACGCAGCCTTCGACGGTTACCTGCTTGAGGCTATGTCACATCCACGGCGCTTCGGGGCCTCGGCTGAGTATTAAGTCCCGTGTGCGATTGGATGCGAGTTTGAATTTTAGATCATTGTTGATTGGGCACTCATCCCTCTCACACAGCTTTCTTTTCACCTCATATCAAGACTGCATTTTTTTCACTTTCTTTTTCGCTTTTTGTGGCTCCTCACTCTCGGGTCCACAAGCGGCTTGTCAGGTCCGCGTATCCGCTTGACTCCGGCTCTGCTCATCGGAGATTGCGCTTACCATGCAGTATTAAGTATTATCAATGTGGTATTTGACGGGTTATGGGGATCAACGCAATATATCGTCAATGCTGGGCGCTGAATGCACTATTGAATGCCGGCACACCCGTGCACTTGTGAAGACTCGAAAAAGCAAAATCAAGCCGCTAAGCAAGCTACCGTGCCTGATCTGGTGTTTCTTATGCAAAGCGCAGGTGACCATTTGATCCCAGGTCATCAAATTTGATGCATGGTGCTTTTCTCTTTTTGGTTGGGATGGAAAGACTATCTTACCTCAGAAGGCAGAAAGAATACGACGACAGCTTACGAGCTCCACTACGAGTCAGAGATCCATCGAAAATCCATCCAGCAAGCATGGCTTGTGTTATCTACTACATCTAGGATATCAGATCATGGTCGCATGGCCCAATGCAGATATCCGTGGTGTCCGTGGTTGACATTCCACGTTTCGTACTCGCAGGGGCACGATATTGGTGATAGTACTGATTGTCTACAACGACTGTGACGGTGTAGATTTGAGTGGTTCGTGTCACTGGGTCGCAGTAGCCATATACGTCTGGGATATATTTCCAGCGAAACAAATGAATGTATGCTCCACGCCAGGCAATCTCTGATTCGACGTGATCAAAAAAGTTCTTGTTCCACAAATGCCATTTTTCCCATGTACTTCATTGGGCCATAAGTGAACATGGGATCAGCGAAGATGGCCCTTTTCCGAACGTAAGGTTTAACAACATGTACCCATTCGAGTGGATCGGTGGAAATACACTAGAATACTCTCCCCACCAGCTCCTGTTTCATAAACCCTGCATTTCCGCTAGGTACCTTAGACAGGTACTTAGACAGGCACGCATCTATAGTGGGATTCAACTCCAGCTAAGCCCAAAAAAGGTTTCTGTGCCGTTCCCCTCTATGCCAGATCTACATTTCATTTCTTCTATTGGTTCTTTTCAATCTTGGAGATATGTAGTCTGTCCGGAAAATGACCGAAGGATTCAAAGTGAAATTCGCCCCCATTTATGCAAATATGTAAATTGAAAAGAAAAATCAAATATACACACGTAAGTCAATCACTTGTCCTATCACCGTGTTCTCCAGGGCTGACTTTCAGAGGCCGTCCTGCTGATCATCCGGATAGTGGACTCGACCTCGATTCCCGTCATCAAATTCCACGGTCCGTTGCGGTGCATATAATGCAGATGTAACACTTAAAAACCTCGGGAATTTCGTGAACTCGTGCCACGATTACTTTTTTTCCCCTCTGTCGTATAAGAATTCCAGTTGCTCTGCAATTTTTGTTCCCGGCTCCGTTATACTCTGGCCTAGACGGGATTCTACTTACATCTGATCGCCGAGCCCGACTACACTATTGTCTTCCTTTGTTCCCGATTACTCTTTCGGGGACCACCTGGGCACAATAGAAAGTCGATTACTCTTTATCGACTTTGTCCCGCTAAGACAAACAAAGAACCAACGGAATCAATACTACAAAGCTACCGTACCTTTATCAAACGCATCGTCGTCTTATCAGACCTTCCGTTCCTGCGCTGAATATTCTATTCCTCCATCCCTCTCCCTCCAATACAATGTCTAGCTCCACCAACGCCTTATTCACCCTCGACCCAGAGCATGTATCATGCATCGGGGGCCGAACCGTAGTCACATGCAAAAGTTGCGCAGGGAATGCCCCAAGGTACATACATACATCGGACTTCGATCCCTCTACAAATGCTAAGGCTAACGCATTGACTAGAGGCTCGATCTGCGCTACCTGCAACGGTCGCGGCTTTAACATCTTTGTTTGCGCACACTGCAACCCCGCAGCTGCAGCTGCCGCAGCGAGAGCCCTGGCAAACCCCACTTCTGCAACCGCAACAACACCAGGCTCCTCGACGCCCTCATCCCCGGGCTCCCTGGGCCGCAGCTCCTCCACTTCTTATCCCTCACATCCCGATCCCCAAGCTGCTCGGTCTTATGGGAGATATAGTGATGGTAGCGATGGAAGCTGTGGCCAGATTGATACTAATGTAAATCGTTCACGTAACCCGTGATCTGATGTACGGAATATCGATATCGTATGGATACGGTTGAGACAGGCATTACAAGTCCCTGGCAAGACCAATCTGGACTCAGTACTTTGACTTGCTTGGGTTATCAAGGAATAAATCTGACTATGTGAAGGAGTTTCGGGAATGGATAGGAGTTTAGGACGATACATGGACATGGTCTACCGTCTGGTTGTGGATTGGTATACAACCTGTCAAAAAGCCTTTACCTACTGGCTTTTTACCCCATCATTATCAAATATTTATATCTACAAAACTATATATTACTGCACCACCACATATTCTGTTCATTTTTTATAATTTATGTTTGCCCTAGGCCACCCTTGGTTGAAATCCAATTTTAATATCTTGGTGTAATAACCTGTAGCTTTCCGCGCCGCCTCACAGCGTTTGCTTATGCTTCGTCAATTCGCTCCTACGGAATAGCCATCTAAGCAACCTTTACGCACCTTTCAAACACCTTCTAATCCTCCCGAGGTCCTCAGGCTTATATATATATATATATATGAGCTCGGAAAACAACTCGAAAATTTTGAGTTTTAACCACCGCTAAGCGGGTTTACTCGGGTTTAAACTCGGCGAGTGCGCAGCTCACTCCTCGACGTATACACCGTATGTTTCGAACCACTCATGTAAATTTCGTTATATATATTCGCGCGTTATCTTATTAGAAGATACAACCCGGTCGGTAGGTAGTCTCGAATTAGACTTCTTCGAGGGTAGCAATATACGAAATTATAGTGTAACCGCGCTTAATCGACGCGGGTCGATCCCTTTCTCCCGATTTATTATAACTAACGGTGACTGACTAGGGACTAATTCAAACTACACATTAAGCTATTTACGTAATATCTTTAACATTCACTATTGTATCTATAAGGTCCCTTATCATGCGTGATATGACTATAGCCTGGCTGTGGATTGGTACCTAGGTACTTTCGGCCTTTTCCTAATACTTTCTTTGGGTGCACTGGATTTTACCATTTTGTATATGCTTCCAGGGTTTTTTATTCCTCTTTGGCTTTACATGCTACATACGAGATGCACCCTTTTCGATTCCATGGCTTCCGGCACTCACTAGACACTTCTGTGCTAGTTCAATGAACCGTTTCAATACTTCAACATTCATAAATGCTCTCATTAAGTTTGCTATGTAGATCTTGAGGCATCTGGATGTACATGGCTCAATAACCCTGCTTTACAAAATCATTCAATGTACTATAGCCCAAGGTTTTTTTTCTTACGAAAAATCAATAACTCAAATTTGCCATAGCCTATCTACATAGGGTATTAACTTGTGGCTTGTAGCTAGTACCAATAGTATATGTAGATCGTCAAACTAGTTGATATGGTGTGAACAAACATAGAGAAAATCCCCCCAAATCGGAGATGTTAGGTGACATCCTTTATTTTGGGCAGTCACGTGGCGCACGGGTCCGAGCGTCGAAACTTACCAACCACAACGCGAGTCACGATGGCATTGACCAATCAGCCGGCATGTTTGATAGTGTTCACTGCGCCATTGAGTCCGAACTTCAACCATCATTTGAGGGCCACGGATCGTTCCATAGATAACTCACCGATGGATGACCAAAGCGATAAAGAGATTCTTATATGGACCGAGCTCCAGGTCCCCAAAGATTTGGAACTAGATCCCTATTTCCAGCTACTCCTCGGGGCCCCCGGACACGAGGGGTCGGGGTGTGGAAGAGTTCAGGAGCGCCCGGACACAATTATTTTGTTAACAGGTAATTCATGCTTCGACTCGGCCCCAAAGTCCGCTCACTAATGTCCGATCGCAAAGCATAGGAGAGAACCTCGAGCATAAGGGATATCACAGCCTCGCCTTCCGCACAGCTCTATCGGGAGAATCTTAAGAGTGGAGGAATAATACACATTTATTCTCGCGAGACACGCTCTAAATTTTACTGGATCAACACCTTCCTAAAATCATATGTTCAATTGGTCTGGGTCTACTTTCCGACACCTATAACCAAAGCTCAGGAGGCCCAAATTTTGAAGCTCAAAGGCAGTCGTGAACCGGCCCACTCGATTAGCTGCCAAGACTTTCGCGACGAAAAACGTCAACTCCATTATCCTTTAAAGCTATGGGCCACCGGTATAGAATACGTGCATGGCCAAGAAGCTCAGTTGATGCTATGGCCACATTTCTGGCGGGATGCAGAGGCGGCTGAGTACAGGCACGTAGGGAAATATAGCACGCGTGGGTACCCTATAGTCGGGGGCAGAACACTACTAGAGAAGCTCGGTGATAATTTGGAGAAAGTGGGATCTATTGAATGGAAGGACGAGTTCATTGATTTCAAGCCAATTACTGGCGTTACGATGGAGTTCCCGTGACCAATTAGTTTTCGTGCAGGAAGGACAGGCCCATATATACTCGAGATTTCTGTTGTTGTTGGAGTGGGTGTTTCCCAAACAAACCCATATTTACTGTCAAATTGAGGTTAAGATTTAGTTTCTGTGTCGTCAAGGGTTCGGAATCGCGAGAGGCCATGGAGGAAGTCGGCCGTGACGTTATAGGTTGTTGCGCCAAAACGCTTAGCCGGACTAAGTATATTTTGATTCAGGAGGTATAGTATTTTAAACACGGTTCAATGTCCAATAGATTCCCAGAGGTAATCACGGCGAATATTTCCTCCTTTTCAAACGCGGGGATGTTTTGCGGGGAACACATCCGTACGGGGAATCATTCCCCGTTGCAGAACTACAGCCAAGACTCACTGGACTGACAATGAATTAACGAATATTTACATTAATCATGGTTTTGGTACTAATCACTTTGCGATAATCGCTATAGCTATGTGATACTGATATTTGTATTCATTCTATGGTACAGGCGACCAAACCCTTACGCGAAGAAGCCTAGTGCCCAACAGCGATGGGCTTTTCTTGGGTCTTCATTCTCTCCTCGATAATGTCCTTTCGCTCTTTCCGAAGTTCTCTGGCATACTTAACCCCAAAGCCATGCTCGAATACCTCCTTCACCTCTTCCAGAACAAGGCCAGAAACCTCGGGGTAGAAGAAGTAAAGCCAGATATAGCCGAGCCCGCAGATAGCAGCGAAGAATCCAAAGGCACCAGAGGGGGTCCATGCTTTCATCATTGAAAGGAATGTGCTAGAAATGATAACGTTGCTTCCCCAGTTGGAGCAAGTTAGCCACATTGTTCCGATGGCACGCACCTCGAGAGGGAAGAAGTCGGTGCTCATCCAGGCAGTGTTTCCAACGGAGACTCCGTAGAATACCACAAACCAGATAATAAAGACTAGAACTGCAATTGCTGCTGGAGGGATACCAGTAGTCGCCACTTCCATCGTCTCCATGTTAATAGGAATCCATCGGAAGGCGACCGCAACGGCAATCATTCCAACGGACATTCCCCATACTGTCGAAAGGAGTAGTTTTCTGCGGCCCACCCCATCAACCATCATCATGTTGACAAATGTCATAATAAAGTTGGTACCTGCTACCACGAGTCCGACAGCAGTGGGGTTGTCAAATCCGACCAGGGCGAACAGCGTAGAAGAGTAGTACATCAGAGCATTGAAACCAGACAGCTGAGAGATGACCATCAGACCGCAGGCACTGATCAGCGCACGAAGATTGCTCGGAACAGTGTGCAACTTCTTGATCTTCGAGAACCGAGACCCGCTCTCGTTGATTTCGCGCGCCTGGTCGCACGCAGTACAGATGGAGAGCAGCACGGCATCGATTTGGTCTTCGGTGGCCTTGGCATATATTTTGCGGAGAACCACTCTAGCCTCTGCACTGCGGCCATTATAGGCCAAGTGGCGAGGTGATTCGGGACAGAAAGGCATGAGCACACCAAGGACGATAGCAGGAACAGCTCCGAGCCCAACCATGTACCGCCATCCATTATCAACGCTTGCGAAGGCCGCACCGATGGCATAGGAAATAACCTGGCCTCCGGTGATGGACATGTTGTTCAATCCGATGAGTTTTCCGCGGGCCTTGGCCGGCGCAATCTCTGCGACATAGAGGGGCAAAACCATAGCGCCGCAGCCTACACCGAATCCGATAACCAGTCGACCGATCGCCATCTGGACGATAGTATAGGCGGCTGCCTGGATGACGGCACCAGCGACGAAGAGGAAGCAACCGAGGTAGATGGCCATTTTGCGACCGAACTAAAACTTAGCACTCATAGGTTTAGAAAAGGGGTTATCTTACTCTGTCTGCGGTGTTTCCGGCAAAAATGGCCCCCACGAAGGCACCTCCCGAACATAGAGCGGTAATCATCTCCTTCTCACTGCTCGTAGCCGGTTTTCCGTCAAGGGAATCTCCCAAGTATACCAATACTCCGGAGATAATACCAGTGTCATATCCGAATAGCAAACCAGCCATTGAGGCTGTTAGTGCTGCGAGCCAGACGAACCAACTGACGGGGAGATTGTCAATGCTGGTGGCGATGTTGTCGACACTGGCGTCGATCTTTTCAACGTGCGCACTTTCCAGATCCTCTTTCATGTCATCGGATCCAAAACTATCTATCGTGGTGTTCTTTCTATCCTCATCTGAGGATTTATTGAGTGGCCACATGATGCGGGGAAGTAGAGAAGTCGAGATGATTGAACAAAAGTCGTAATTTGCGTGATAAAGATTCAATTGAATCTATGAGTGATGGGTAAGAACCGATCTTGCTGCCCAGAATAACAAATAAGCCCAGCTAGCTTTATATAGTCAGTAAAAACGCATACGTCAATAATGTCAACCCCAGAATCCCCGCACTGCCAAGGCAAAGATCTGGGGAATTTCCCGCAAACTTTAAGTGCGGCCGATCTCACCTCTTCAAACAATCCTCGCCGCCACTTTCCCAAATTCAAATCTTAGTGTGTTCCGTCGGTGATAGTATTTTCTCTTTCTGGCTACAAGGGAAAATGGCTTCCTCGTTCCAAGGCCGTCTATTTATTTACCTGGAATCGCCACCAATCATATCTTTTACATTCCTGTCGCTCTAACTTACCTTGGCCGAATCTAGTCCCGAACATCTGTTTAAGGGGGATGAGGTTTGGCCCGACTCGCCGACGGTCTCTTGGTCTGCGACAGGCCGTCCTCTGTAACTTGGCGGATGATGCATGCGCCAACTCCAGATACATAAAAATTATTCTTTACTGGCTGGCAGAAGGGACGATCTGAAGTAAATAATGTAAAAATGAAACTCGGCAGACTCATCGCGCAATGAACGGCTATTGAGTTCGTGAACAAGTCGCTTCAATGTAGCATTCACTCTAATCGAGGTCTCTATCTTCCTTTTTCTCCCGAACTCGATGTGGGGGCCGTACGTATGGAGAGGAATTTATCGGCAGGTCAAAGCCCGGAATTTGAAGAGAATATGCAGCTTGACATGCGGGCTAGCCCCTAGGCGGCTCAACAACCGGAACGATTCCATTCAGCAATAGTCAATATTCCCAATTTTCAACAAGCTTTTGCTTACGTTAGGTGTGTGGCGGTGGTAGGTTAATCGTACCCTTATCTTAAAATGCTAGGTCTCGAATAATCCTGATTATTGTATAAAAAAATTGTCTCCAGCAAAACCCGACATACTCGACTCAGTGGGGACCGGGAAGCTTCCTGTGAAAGCCCCGCCGCAAGCACTCACCGAAATTTCGAAAAGCGTCTGATATGAGTGTGACATCATTGGCCGTCGGCATCCCCGCGAGTATCAATTTCGGGACAAGTTGATAGCCCTCCGACCATTTCTAACGCCGAGAAATGAGGTGGCTTAGAACGGCTATTCAAGTCTCAGAGTAGCGCCAAGATTTGCCGGTGCGGACTCTCGCCGACCTTTTCGGTCTGGGCAAATGCACAGGTGAGCAATTAGCATCATGCTCTTTGCTGCACATTGTAAACCAGTTCTTCTGAACGATGCGTCAGAGAAGGAGTGTTGATAGATGGAGATACGGAAAACGCTAGAGCATCAATGGTATCATGATTCGTGATTCTTTTTTCAGTCCTTGGCGTCAATGTCTCATTTTATCGTTACCTGCGAATTGATACTGCACGATGGCTAGTGCGAGTGCTAAAAAGCCTAGGGGTAATAGCCATTGCTTGGCGGGACGACAGGGTCCAACCTGTAGTCTGCTTGATATTCACTGTATGAGTACATTGGATAACACCTCCTTCAACGAGGATGGACAGGCTCATCACCGATTTCCTCCATTTTATCCTCCAGAATCTTCGTCATGCGCTTAACAACATCCCCATACTTTGTCTCGTGGTAACAATTGAAAAGTTCCAAAGGATCCTCCTCACAATCAAACAACTCCCACTCCTTCTCCTCGCCACCGGGCCTCGTCCCCTCAATCCCGAAATCCTCATTATACCAATAAATCAACTTATACTGGCGATCACGCACACCATAATGCGCATACGCCTCATGGATAATATCGCGATGCATCCAATAGCGATGATAAGCAACTTGCTGCCAATCATGGGGCGTCTCCCGCCGCAGCAGCGACCGAAAACTCACCCCCTGCATATACGTCGGCATGCGGAGACCCGCAAAGTCCAAGAATGTAGGCGCGAAATCCACATTGCAGATAATATCGTCGCAGACACTACCCGCCGGGATCTCCCGAGGGTATCGAATCAGAAACGGCATTTGGAAACTCTCCTCGTACATGAAGCGCTTGTCGAACCAGCCGTGTTCGCCAAGAAAAAAGCCCTGATCGGAGGTGTAGATCACGATTGTGTTCTCGGATAATCCTTCTTGCTCGAGGAAGTCGAGCATGCGGCCTACGTTGTCGTCGATACTTTGGATTGTGCGTAGGTAGCGCTGCATGTAGCGCTGGAACTTGAACTCTGATAGCTCTTGTTTTGTTTTGAAGGTGAAGACCGTGCCGTCTTCTTTGTCGATAAGGCATAGTTTCGTCACGTCTTCTGGGGCGGCGATCTTTCGGTCTTGAAACCACCATTTGTCAATCATCTTTTCGCCAATGTCACTGCCGCCATCAGGTTGTACGAGTCCCAGATCGAAGTATGTGAGATCCTCCGCCACACGGAACTTGGCGACCTTCGCTGCTTTTGCACGGTTCTTGTAGTCGTCTGTGAAGGTATCGGGAAGCCGAATGGGATCTTTGTACAGGTCTTTGTGCTTGGGGTGGCATTCCCAGCTGCGGTGAGGCGCTTTGTGGTGGCACATGATGAAAAAAGGCTTTTCTGGATCTCGCTCCTTGATCCAGTCCAGACTCTTGTCTGTGATGATATCGGTAGCGTACCCGCGCTCTCTTTTGGTCCCTTCCGGTCCAATGAACTCAGGATCATGGTACTCGCCCTGACCGGGTACAACGCTCCAATAGTCGAATCCCGTAGGCTCATGTTCTTTTCCCTCGCCCAAATGCCATTTTCCAATCATGGCTGTCTGATAGCCGCCGGTTCGCAGGGCCTTGGCGACATTTGGGTTATGCTTGTTGATTTTCGAGTCGAGGGTCATAACACCGTTGACGTGATTGTGTGTTCCGGTCAGAATGGCGGCTCGTGAGGGAGTACAGATGCTGTTGGTGACATAGCAGTGGTTGAATTTCATGCCCTCGGTGGCTAGCCTATCGAGATTTGGCGTGTTGTTGATTCCTGCTCCATAGCACGAGATAGATTTCGAGGCATGGTCATCAGCCATGATGAAGAGGATGTTGGGGCGAGTTGGAGAGGCCATCTTGAATGGTGAAGTGATATCCAGTTTAATTTGAGGTTCGCTGGGTAACTTGAGAATCGGCACAAGATCAAAAAAAAAAACCACGCTGCAGGGAGTTGCGTGCTTAAATAATCTTTGGTCTTTCTACTACCCCTCTCATGAGAGGCTTTTGTTCATGGCTGTCGAATGGGAATAAAGTGGTTGGAGTATACAGATCGCAGGTCCACTTGGTAACGGCAGTCGGCGGCAGTCGGGTTTTGACGCACCACATTGGACATACCCCATATTGGCAATGATATGGCGAATTCTTACTGGGGCATTTTTTGAGCTGTTACAATTAAGATTATATGGAAATTTATAATCAATTGAATTGTTCATAGCTATCATCGACAAAATTGGCCTGTCGGACCAAACTATGAATAGCTAGATGGTTATGTCTGTGAACGCCTTCATCCAACGGGGGCGATGGACATAACTCTTTGTATATCGAAGGAGGATCATTATCTGCTACTTGCACTAATCGTTGAAGATCTAGCACAAGCTCTTTGGTACTCGGCGAGGAGAAGTAGGTCTGGGTGACAACTAACGTGATTCCCGGCCGAGCGGCCATCCCTGCCGAGCGGCCACCCCATCAGTATTCTGAATTTTCATACATTGATTAATCAACCAAAACGCCATTAAATTCACTAAATCAAGCTCTAGGGCATCTATTAATCTGATGCCCTTTCTGGCGACACCCAGAACAAGTAATTTGACGACGTGTAGGGGGTAAAATAGGCAATTCGGGCTCTGCCGGGAGGGTTGGGATAGATGGTGTATTAGATATATATATCTCACCACCACTATTATCACCCATCTCAGCGGCCGTACAATTTGTCAGACTACCCTGGTAGGATATCTGCTTTGTAGATTTAGCCCTCTTTTTCATCTGTTTTGCATTTGCAGCCCGTAATCGCTTGATTTCATCATCTTGAAAAACGAGCTTATGTATGATCTTGAGGGTCATATTATGATACTGCTCTAGATCACGTTTAGTAGGGCTGGACAGCTTATTTAACCCATCACTCAGTACAGCATTGATCCTAGCTTTGCGTTTTGCTAGTTGCTTAGTGTTCTGAGGTATACCAGTCGAGATATTGCTATCTAATGTCGAGCCTTGCGAACCAGGTCGATCTGGTAGAGGTGGGGATTGAAGGCGAATATTGAGCTTAGATAGCACCCGATCAGGTTCAAATGGAACTAAACCGGTAGCCGTAAAAGCACTATAAATAATAGTATCTTTAAAAGCATCCGTACGGGCCATAGGGAATATATCGATAAAGTCATCTTTCTCGATAGAATTGATGCCTAATCGGGTATATCCCGCAACCCGGCTTCTATAAGATCTCTTTAAAACCGCGAAACAGCCTACATCAAGGGGCTGTAAAAGATGGGATGCATAGGCAGGCATACAGATTGGTATAATATAGTTTTCCTCGCAAATCTTATCGAATTAAGCCGTCAGGTGACTGTTATGACCGTCTAGAACCAAAAGACGATATTTTCCCTTCGTACGGCTTATAGTATGCGGTATAAAGTGTTTTTGTAGCTAATCAACACCAATCTGATCACTCGTCCATCCATTAGGGCTATGGTTTATAGCCTATTGATAAGGGAGGTCGTCGAACCATCTTTCCATGAAGTTTTTCCCCTTAAAAATGATATACGGCGGCAGTGCAAATCCAGATACACCAATAGCCTCGATCACTGTCACCCATTCACGATTCCCAGCTTGTAAAACCCCTCTCCGACCGGTATAAAATGATTGAGTAATCACTTTAGTCGTCGCACTAATCCCTATCGCGAAGCCTGATTCATCAAAGTTGTAGATATCATCTGATAATACCCCATACTTAATGACTGTTTTTTGAAAGAGATTAAACCACTCCATAATGACCTTTGGATCTTCCATTAAGGCCCTCTGATAGTCATATTTGCGAGAGAATCGGGACGTAAGCCCAGGATGTCGTTTAAGATATTGGGTTGGCCAATTTTTACTAACGGTCTAGGGGGTATCATCACCCCGGTGCTGAAGTAATAAATTGGCCATATCTCGTAACATTTCGACCGTAAGAGCTGCACCTCTCGAATCCATAGAGATTAACCAATCCTGAATCGATTCCTCCTCAGTTTGAGTAAATTTATGGCCGTTTGGTCGAGTATCAGACCGATTCGTACGTCCGGTCAGACGGGCCCGTAGGGTAGAACGAGGGACGTCGAAAGAGCGTGCAGCAGCTGCGACCGTAGGAATTTGGCCATTTTGAATAGCTTTAATAGCTAATAGGATCCTGCCCTCTTGTTCGATGAATTTCTGGGCTTTTTCAGTGCGTTTTGGGGGCATCGTGGATGATTATAAACATAGGTTGCTCGGGGGATGCGAAATTTGGAGTGGGGTGGCCGCTCGGCAGGGATGGCCGCTCGGCCGGGAATCACGTTACCGCAGTGTGAGCTTTCTGGATAGCATCAGCCATACCCAACTCTATTCTGACATCCGGTGAGCAGGATAAGAAGAGAGTCAGCCGTGTTGCTTGGTAGGCGCAAATGGCGACATAGTGCGGTAAGACCGAATGTGGACTGGCCAATAGGTCAGAAAGCAGTTGGTTGATTCGCGTGACGTGTTTGTCGCATTGGCGAACTGCATGCTCTTTCACGTCGATTTCTATAGCATTCAGAATGACCAGAGGTGCTGCCTCTGGATATCCGGGGAGAAACAGGCGATATAGGTCACAGTGTGCTTGATGCCATGAGATGGAGATCTGGAGAAAACGTGGAAACCACCGGGATTGGTTCATATCCATCGGACGGTTGATATGATATCCACATGGTCGCTCGACATCAGCTTTTAGACGCCATAGATCCTTTTGGATTTCTTGAACTAGGCCATTTAGTTGTGCAAGAGGTTGCTCCGACAATGCCAACTGTCGAGTTAAGCGCATGATGTCTTTTTGGACTTTGGAAAGACGAACGCAAGCACCCAACAAGCTGTGCTGGCCTTCTGCTTGTTGGGAAGTCCCAGTGAATAGATATTCTGAGCTAGGTAGTTGCTGATAGATGATTGTGTGTGGTAGAGTCTCATATTCTGGAAGTCCGACAGAGAAATGGCCATCGATGAAGGTTAAAGCCCACAGAACGCGTCGGCGAGTCTCTTGAGCAACAATGCTCAGCTCTGGTCGTTCATAGTTAAGACGCAAGGCTGTTGCTGCTCTTGCTGCTAACCCTGCAAGCATATACGCTCGTGAAAAGCGGCCTGTCTGAATATAATGATGAATGACGAGCACTAAAGACTGCAGCTGAATGATGGAAGGGTTTTCCATATGTTCCCAGATAATCGATTCTGCCTTTGTTGTTAACGCACTCTCTTCTTTGCTGGATACCAGTAGCTTTGACACTGCAGCGATGGACAATGCAAGCGACGGCTCCAGAGTACCATTCAAGCTTTGTTGGCAAATTGTCGGCTCATGCAGAAATGCGTATGAAGGGATCGGGTAAAGATGCTCAAAATAATCATCTATTCTTTGCAAGAGATCCTCCCGAGAAATGAGAGAAAGTCTATTGATCAGAAGCGCGAACAACAAGCCGGAAGGGACTACTTACATGCTCTCATTTTCAACCCGTGTGACCTTCCGCTTTTCACTGGAAACTCGAACTTCTTTGGGGTATCGACATTGTCGCTGATGCAAAATACAAGTTGCGCACTTAGGCACTTCCCCGGAGCAGCGTGACTTTTGATGGCGACATTCTATGCAGGCCTGGGTGCCACGTCGTCGCTCCGGTCGGCGCTGAACAGACGAAAAATCTGTTCTGGGCGCTACATCTGAAAAAGAGCACTTGAATTCTAGTCGAGCGCAGTTCTCACAAGTTCCTGGTTGGCGATCACAGCGGACCTGATTTGGTCAGCCCAATTGGTGTGCAAACTCTTGTCATCTTATCTTACCTTGCGACATCGACATTGGAAACATGGTGGGCACCGTGAACGTCCCATGTATAATATCAAAGTCAAAAGAGGGTTGGATTGTACAAAATACATCATAGAAGAGTGGTGGAAAGGGGGATTGCGGGAAAACTCCGGCTCCACTAACGCGATTCAGCGCTCAATCGCATCATCTATTCTATTCTTTTCTAAGATCTAAATGACCACTTCTGTTCATCAACTCCGCATTCATAGCCACTTCCAGGTACCTACCTTGACTAGCTTACAGTCCAAATGCAACCGGCTGGCCTTTGACAACCGAGTAAATGAATTCAAGCGCGCCGAAGGTCTCATTCCACGACTGCCAGGTCCACATAGTGACTGCTTGCATCTCCTCTTTACTTCCAGGGCTGTACATCGAAGGCGCAGAATTTAAGGACTCGTCGGGGTCAATGAACTCTGGCCAAACGAACGGGTTCATTGAATTAACAGCATCATATAATGTACGAATCTGAGCCTTGAGGTTGTCAAGTTGAGTCGCAATTTCTAGGGAGGTCAGGTTGGCAACATTCGGATGTCTGGCGATGCTCGAATTCCTGAGTTGCATCATCTCGTCAACTATAGCTCGCTGCTTGTCCGACATTCCTAGTTTTGCTTGCGCTCCGTAAGAGGCGTACAGGATGAAGTACAGCTTGATTTTAACGAGAGTCAACGTAACAAGGTGTGCAATATCGATGGATCCCTTGACGAAACAGTCCACTTGCTCAAGTGGATTGGCGTGTTTGATGTCCAGGTATGGCACAGACATATTGCTCCAATCGTAATGATTGTCATTGGCGGACGTCGCCCACCACTTCATGAAATCGTAGCATTCCTGGTCCTGGTTCAACCGGACCATCAGGCTGGGAATGAGATCGCGGGATCCAAGATTGTCACTGCGACACAGTCTCAGGTTTTCCTGGAGGTGATCGAGCTGCGCCCGAACCGATTCGACGTTCCTGACGAAAGTCAGGGCGGCCCGGTAGTCCAAACGAGTGTGCATGTATGGGCGTGTGGAACGAATCTTCCAGAAATGACCGACACTGTTTGTGAGTTCATCTGCAGGGTCTTCGCGCAAGGCCTTTTCCTCTCGTTGCATATTGACGAGGCACTTTTTGATTCTGTTGCAATCGGATTTGTGAGCGGAGCGATGGGTAGTTTGATGCTCAACAGAGCAGTATGGCACTACTTTGCAGGCAGAGCAGAGGCGGACCCCGTCATTCTTGCCGCAGATGCCACATCCAGAGGGAAGATCGACTTTTTGCTGAGAAGACATTTGAAATCAGTAGAGGCGACCGTGAGGTATTTGGATGAGGGTTTTGACAAGGAGAAAATGATGAGTGAGAGGTATGGTGTGATGAGTTTGATGAAACACGATTTTCAACTTCGATGTGTGTGACCGGATCGCTTGTTCTGTACAACGAGAAAACACGTTGATAGTGCGCGTTTTAGCCATTTTGAAAGTATAATTGCCTATATAGGAAATGATGACGCTCTGGCGGCCTCATAAATGAGGCTAACACTTAACATGACCTATAAAGCTCCCAGAAAGAAAGTTTTGATATGAACGATATTACTACTTTTCCTTTTCAAAAATACCAAATTCTGATAACTGTAATTGGCGTGAAAGGCAGTTTTACAAATATTGTATATTTAAAGTGACTTTCCTATTTTTCGAAGAGGGGTCAATATCTACATCAGAAGATTGCTGAGATCTCATAATTTGTGCTACACTCTTCAAAAGCCCATCTCATCCCGGCCTTGGGTAGACTGTCATCGGTGGAAACATTTCGCTTCACAATTAGCTATTGCGGGCCGATGATAGGCCAAATTTCCATACCACGTGACTAACATATGATTTAGATCATCCGGAATAACCATTCATCCATCCCCACTTTTAGCTTCACTCGCCTTCGCAAAAACCGCTGGATCAGACGACTACTTGCCTGTTCTGATCCCTCATGAATCCATTCATGAATCACTTGCCATCATGAAGTTCTTCGAAAACATATTCACCTACGACTATTCATTCCCCGCTGTCTCCCTCGCCTACTTCCTCCGCTATCCAAACCCCTATTCTCGTCATGTCCTCACAACAGATGTCATTGATCGGTACGTCGATCCGAAGACCGAACGTCTGCACACCATCCGTCTCCACCTGAAGAAATCAAAGGTGCCATCTGGAATCCTCAAGCTCCTACCAAAGGGCATAGGAGGCTCCGACAGTTCCGGCCAGAGCTACATCCTCGAGAAGACCATTGTTGATGCCAAAGAGGGCTGGATGGAAACCGAGTCTCGCAACATGGAGTGGACCGGTATCTTGAGTGTGGTTGAGAAGCAAAGATACCAGCGCCTCCCATCTGAAGAAGATCGTTTGGCCCTCGACGGTCTTGCTGTCGATAAGATCTCCGAGCAGACTACAGTCAAAACAACCGTTACTTTCCGCTCTCGTCTCGGGCAGGGCAAGCTTCTTGGAAGAAAGAAGCAGGATACGAATGACAATGAAGAAGAAGAACCCCGCAAAGGATTCTTTTCCTCTCTGTCTACGGCTGGCATTCAGCGGACCATTGAGTTGATCGGCGTGAGCCGCACCAAGGAAGCCGTGTTGAAGAGCAAGCAGGGCATGAACATTGTGCTTGAGCGCTTGCGCAGTGGTGGTGTTGTTGGTGTTCTGGAGGGTATGCGCGAAGACCGCGAGGCAGCTTTTGGGCCTGAGGGACCATGGAAGCGTGTTTGGCTGCAGGGCAAGGACCGGTCCATCGAAAACGACAAGTGATTTGACGTATGCCTTCTTATCGCCCTTTTTCTTTTCTTTTCTTCCTTTCATGGACTTTCGTCCCATCGTTGCATTCTGCTTCAAGCGTGGCGTTTTGGCGCGGAGATATGGACACTCTCCCACACTCTCTTATTTTTCAGTTTGTATATGGTCCATTTCTGCATGGGAAATTGCCGCTGGTGTGTATGTTTGAATGTATATTAGGGATTATGGTTAACACTCACTCGAAGGTTGTACAATATGCATCAATTCATTATCTTTGTCTTCATGAGGCTAGATTAAAACTATTGAATTGTTTTCTTCATCTATTCTATCCGTCTGCATGCTTAATTGATCCATAAACATAGTTCTATTTGTCTGAAATTAGCTATATCTATATAGTCAAGTCAGGTCGTCGGGGTCCTGCTGGGAAGTTTTGACGGGGTTGACGGGTTTGATTCTTGACATGGTGCCCCAGAAGTTTCCGCAGCTTTCCGCTGAATTTGTTCGTCCATTGACGACATAATCGTGGGTGACACGTCTCTGGTTTCGCACGCCGTTATCTTTGTGTCCATCTAGTTGAATCATCACAACTCGGTGCACCATCAAACTTCCATAGCCTACCCATCTCCATGTCCAGGTACATACTTACCCCCCTTTGTCCAGCGAACTCCAACTGTGATGCGCCAGAACCTAGTGCATTTCTGGAACCAATCGCATGAATAAGTCCATCTAACATCTTGATTGAATCAGATAGTTCCCCGCCGGAGCCACAGACCAAATAAAACATGGCCAACCCCATGCCGCCCGAAAACATGGCCCGCGTGATCTTCAAGGATCTACCCTTCCTGATCCCTCTCCCGACCGCCAATGATGATCTCCAAGCAACAGCCAAGAAGATGGAAGCCATCGCTGACATCATCTCCAGCGGGGGCCGTCTGGAAGTCGAAATGTGGCTGGGTGCGATCGCCCAGGCTAAAAGAGCCATGAGCATCCCCGAACTGAATGCATTCGAGGCATGGCAACGGCAGAGCGTTCCCATCCCAACCTTCAACTGGTCCTGCACCGAGCCCGTTCCCGACGAGGGTCGCCAGTCATTCAGGGCCCGCGCCGCTGCCATGGACGTCATCTGGAAGCACAACGGAGCTACCGCCGGCAATGCGGTTTGGTTATCGGCTCATATGCAAAGCGTGATTCCGCTCGTCAAAGCTGTCATCAAGATGATTCGCGCCCGGGACTGTCTCGCCCTCAATGACCGATACAAGGGCCTGGATCAGCAGCAAATTGCCGAAGCCGAAATTCTGCGGTCGATCAACGTCGCTGCCGGTAACTGCATCAAGCGTGACAAATCCAGGGTCAACACGGTGACCTATTCGATTCATAAGTCGCAAACGGTGCTGAAAAACCGAATTGCGGACCTCATCAAGGATGACGATGGTGATATCTAAAGGGGGTTTCATCTTTGTTTTTTCTTGCATCCGACTTTGAATAGTCGGGGATGCAGCGGTTTTGGTATGCGTTTATTATTGGTTTCGTTCAAGCGGGCAGTAATTCACATGCGTTGAAACTAGCGTAGTTTCGTGTTTGGGAAATGATGCACATACCGAGAATTCAAATAGTTTCATTTTTGTGACTTGCATGTACCAACATTAAAACCCCGATTAGGGAGTTTCTTGAATGTATACAATACGTTCGAAAGTAGGAGCCGAAGCCGCCAAGAAGATCAGGGTCTACTAATTGATTCGGGGTTCCAATAGATACCAGTAGATAGGTGGGTTCACAAGGCGCGATACACATAATTGCACGCTAGTCGGTAGCCGAATCAGCCCAAGACCCTTGGCATCCGAAAAGCGAACACATTAATTGTCTCAGGTATGACGAGGGTCGGAATGTACCGATTTGGCCTCTGTTACTCCGTCCTCCATACGTCAGTTGCAGTTTGTGCTAAGAGACTTGAGAGTTGTCAGACAAGGTCTGAGTGATGTATGTATCATTACACACAAATATCTCCGACGTGCCGAGTTATTTTACTTATTTTACCATATTATAGGTCACTAGAATGTACTACACTAATATTGATATAAGAAAAATGTTCTACTTGAGATATCCTTGTATGTCTAACGATACACTAAATACAAAGTTGTAGTGAGGTCATGTCAATCTCAATATCTGAGGAAGATCAGAGATCGTAGGATCTTAACGGGTTCTGAAAAAAGAAAGGATCTGAACAGCTCTATCATCTATAAAATACAATATACAATGTACAAAACTGATACTTACCATTGAATTACAATATTTATTCTGTAATAATGGTACTTTTTCCAAGAGGATATAAGTGGTCCAAGAACCCTCAAAATCCGAAATATGCACCAATCGACACATCTAAGTGGCTGGACCCTGCTTGATCCTAGCAACCCTGACTGTGATCTCCGTCAATAATTACTCATTCAGGTTTGGTATTGCGGGGACTTGTCTAGTGCTCTTTCATCAGCCAAGGAAATGGGAGATTCCGATAAATAAATAAGTAGTTACTTCAGGGGAACTTGTCTTCTGGCTGCGCCCCGCTGCTCTGCATCAGGTACCCAGCAGGTACCCTTGAATTCAATACGCGCCCGGTTTCACTAGGAATGCTCGGAGAAACAAATCGTTCTCCAATTGATCTTCTTTCTCACTCACGCTCTCTCTTTTGGGTCTTACTCTCAATTCCGGCATACTTCCAATACTTCTTCTAACACTGTTTTTTAATTCTTCCCATCGTTTGGTATTTCCTTTCTGTGTTTCTCTTTTTTTTCACTTGGCTCCAAAAGCCATTTCCCTGGTTTCGCTTCAACTCTCCACAGGACCCTGGTGGCTTTCACCGAGACTAGCCTCATTTCTCGTCCCCTAAAAGACCCTAGTATGTATTGCGGGGACCCATTTCCCTTCCGATATTAACCCAGCCCAAGAATCCAGGTTTTTAATAAATCCGTCCGAAAGACCATGAACCTGCAACACGTCTGTCGTTGATCATACAGCCTTTGAGGGCCTCCGCGGTCGCTCTCTCGGAAAATCCACGATGGCTTCTTTCAACTCACTACTGCTATTCATCCTATTGCTACAACTCGTCTCGGCTCAATACTGCTCCTTTTGGAATACTGGCTGCATTGACTCGCTCGCTCAAACGGCCGTCCGTTTCGACCTCAACCCTCTCTTCCCCGATCCCGTTACACTCTACTACAGCTTCGATGCTAGTCCCTCGGGGAAGGGCGAAGGGCCCATGACCAAGACGGCGTTCTGGTTAGGATATCCAAACCATAATATCAACAAAAATGCCGTCGACTCGAATCGCACGTCGGAAATCGGCCTCAGGATCGGCAATATGACCGGTACCCCTTCCGGATCTAATAATGGATGCGATGGGATTTGGGGAAGTGATTGTTCTCGGGATTTCAAGAGTTCCCTGCAACACAGCATGTTCCGTCTTGCTACCTCGGGTGAATACTATTCCAAGCCCCTTGAGGTGGCTCTCAACCAGATGTTGATAAAGCCACCACCCCTCCCTTCATGTCCACCACCCATTCTCGACGTGGCCTCTATTCCAGTGCAAGGTAAGTCAGGCTTGTTTGCTCGCTCCGCCTTCTTATCTAACGCCTTCAAGATTTTGCCAGAGAGCGTGTTCCCGATCAGAACGTTACTATCATGCCACCCGGGTCGGGCGCTTGGCCGTGGCAGGTCTGGTATTTGGACGGTATGAACGCTCGCAAGCAGGCCTCTCAGGTTGCTGTTGGTATCATCAGCCGTGCACCTTCGTACAACAGTGCCCCGCCGCGCAGCCCGGATGATATCATGGTCGATCTTGTCTGTCTCCAGGCACCTTCCAGTGGATCATCCCAGGGCGCTCAAAATTAATCCAGATAGCATGGATGGTCTTTAAGGTCATCCTGGACTTTTTCTTACTCTGGTGATATTTTATGGGGACACCTCCGACCCTACGGGCGCTCGCCTCAAGCATTTCACCGAAAATGTTTGCAGATCGTTGCGACTCCACCGATCGCCTCAGATATGACCTAGGGCACGACAGCGAGTTATAAACTCTTTTTGGCACAAGTGCATCCACAATGAGTTGAAAAGACCACCCACAACTGGTCATCTTCCACCGTATCCCTCGCGTCATCAGCATTGCTTGGGTACTGGGACTCCGCATCAAGTAAATCCAATCGAAATCACGCCGTGTTGAGTTCAGCAATACATTTAATTCCTGAGCCTACATCATCGCACCGATTAAAGCGTCGGCAAACTCATATCAACGGGCACCAAACTCCCCTTTCCGCGGAAATCCTCCAAGATATCCGCCTGTTCACTCAGAAGAAACCTATCAGTTTGAACCCCGATCTTCGCCAGCCCCCTCCACCTCTCCAAATCCTCTGCATTTCGCTTATCACCGTGCGCACTGTCGGCATTCTCCCAATGCCCCTTGCTAAACGCCAGCAGGGTGGTGATCTTCTTCCGCGGGATATCATAAACAAGGGAAACGATCGTCCCCGTCTCCTCGAGCCAGTTGCACTGCCAGATCTCGCCAGGACGGATGCACTGGTAGTCTGCTGTTTGGAAATTGACCCGGCCGGCCATTGGGCCGCCGTGAATGGCGTAGTTGATTCGCGCGCTGTTCTCAAACCACATCTCATATCGCCATTTCTGCGGTGCGCCGGAAGCATCGCTTGCGTCGTAGTCGTAGATTAGGTGGCGGTCGTGGAGGTCGGTTTGGAAGGTTGATTCGGCGGAGGGGGGTGGACGGGCATTTTGGATTGCGGATTGCGGTGTTGGACCTTGGGATTTGGGTTCGGATTCAGGTGTATGTTGCACTCGATGGAATCGCCCTGTTTGCTTTATATAGCTGGATTCAAACTCAATTCGCCATCTTGCTCTCTATATGTTCTCTCTACTACCCAACCTCATTGGTTACCATATTTACTTGCATTTAGCCTCTTCATACAACAATGCAGCATTTTACTCTGAACACTTGTCTTCAGTGCTCAAATTATTGGCTCATCTTTGTTCATCATAATTCTAGGTATATCGGCGTGACATCACGACTTCCCAACGCTCCGAAAGCAACATCACTAGTTTAAAATGACCCACTTCGGACACCTGCTCAGAGGCCCCAGTGTTCCCACCGCTTTCTCATGCGGAGTATTCCAATATCAAGTTTGACTTCGCGTTAGTCTTCATGTACATGCGTATATGGCTGATGATGAACCCTGGTACCACCTGCTAAAACTTGGAAATACAGGCTTTATGTAAACATACTTGAACTCGCTACCAGCTACATATGTACGTATGTATTCATTTAGGACACGGGCTCTAGCTCAACGTATGCAGCATGAGCGTGTCTCTGTACTATGTATACTAGATTTGGGACAATGCTAGATTGCCAAAGTATCTTTCTTGTCTTCTTATACACAACTCACAGGAACATCGTTATAAATGTCAACTCAGAGAAGTGTTGAGAGCCCATTTCACTTCGTTATCTATTTACTTCTTCGCAATGGGAAATTGAAGCTTTTTAGATAACTTTGTGATCTAGGTAGACTTCACAGGCGAGAAATGTACAAAGATTATCAGATCCGAAAGCTTATTTTGGTAGAACCTTGGAGAAATCAGACATACATATTGTACCTACGTACTTGACTTCCTCTGCCACTTCTTGGCGCTCCCTTTCCATATTAGTGCTCAGGCCTTGCCGCTTTTTGCTTACTGAGTAAATCCCAGCACGCCCTGATCCGCTCACTGAGCATTACATAATCACACCGATCCACTCACTGATCATCATCTGAGTGCCCTAATTCGCGCACTAGGCATGAGCTGAGCGTACAGTGCATGAGCGGCCTAAGTAAGCCACATCAATAAAATGCAACACACTAGTTCCACCACGTGCAATCATTTTCTAGATTGCCCCCATCGTCCCATCAAATAAAAAGGGCATCGTCAATGCGACCGTTCGCTCTAGACCTATCGGTCTCCCACTTTAGCTTTGCTCCCAGGATTATTTCGTTAATTTGCCCCACAATGCCCACTCGAGCTTTGAACCTCTGGTAGGGCGATCGCGAGTGGGCGAATTTACTTGGAGGTCTACAATCTTGCCCTACAACGAGTCAAACTGAAACGGAGCAACGAAGATGTATTAGATCGTTAATTTTCTTTCCAATGAGCGCACATATTCGTAGGCTTTTCTGAACATATAACATCAAGACTTTTTCGCCATTGTTGAATGGGGTTGGTGGCCCGCCTCGCGCTCCCAGGAACCTACTAGACTACTAGAGCTGAGACTTACAGGCTACTTTTTCCAGCCAATTATTTACGGTAAGACATAAGGCGAGCGAGCTCCAAGGAACACCAGCCCTACCTTTCTCTCATTTTTGCTTGAAGTGATGTCACCGCAAAAGGGTTATATATATATTCAATTACTCCTCCCGCAGTAAGGGCTTCTTCACCCTTCTACCGTCCGTACTCGAGCAGAGAAAAACTGTCTTGAACATCCCACCATGAGCTCAACCTTCGATTGCTCTTTAACATCTTTAGTCCGCACCAATTGTTCGTACTCCAGATTGTCCCTGCCCTTTGCCCAAGGCCGAACCGGTCAGTATCACAGCCCCCACTACCCAAGCCACGCAGCCGAGTGTCTCTTCCCTCGGGTAGCCCCTAAGTCGGAGAAAATTAATTGGCGCTTCCAATTTGACAGGGCTATGCCGTCGATTGTTACCCGCTGATACTGCTCTAGAGGAGTTGTCACCACCATGGGAACAATCAGAGCCTAGCAAGCCTAGTAATAGATCTCGACATCATCATGATCAGAGAGGATGCTTGTGTTAGGTCCTAAGACAACATAAATGTTATCCCAATAAGATTAATGGCCATCAAACTCGTCTCGTATCACGTCTATAGTCGCGCCGACGCGGTGAAACGAGATAGGGTTCATTTGAGGGGGTGGCATACGTATATGCTAAATTCTGCCTATACCTAGTAAAAATGCTTACTGCCGCAGCAATCTAGTAACCTGTAACAGAACCCCTAGGATGGGCTAATTAGAAATAAAATTAGGTTGCTAAAGAATGATAGTACATAATCAGGAAGTTCGCTTAGGCGCAAAAAGCCCTGGCTTCGACACTAGCTCTTTGGAACAGAGCATTGAAAAGTACCAAGAAGTGAAAATTCACCTCATACCTGAATCACGAAAAATGAAAACACAGTGAAGCTAGCACAAGCGGACTTGAGGTTCGTTTCGATTTAGTCAGAAGTGACTTGAATGTTGACGGAGTGGCTGGGTGTTCCATCCTTCATAACAAAGAGCATGTAGTACCCAGGAATAGCCCGGCCTGCCTCAGAGGGGATGTCGAAGGTGTACTTGTTGTCCCCAGTCGACTTCAGCTCAACACCGATCCGACGCTGGTCTGTGTTGACGGTGTGGGTAGTGGAACCATAGCGAATGATGGCGGCCTGAGTATCGACCGGGCCAGCCGTAGTGACTTCGACAGTGGTGCCAGGCTTGGCGGTGCTGGGAGTCACGCTTTGGATCTCAGGACGATCACGAAGGGATCCATCAGCCTTCAGCAGATAAGGCGGGGTGTAAATTTGACCATCAAAATGGTTCGATTCGCATGATCCGCAGAGACCACCACCACCAGTGAAGACAGTGCCATCTTGGAGCAACAACGAAAGACTGTGGTACACACGGATGATAGTGTTGGTTTGAAGGGTCTTCCAGGTCCCTCCGTTTTCGCTTGATGAATCAGGAATGAAAAGTTCCGGTGTCATCTGAACATCGTTCTGGCCGAAAGGAACTCCGTAGGACTGGCCACCATTGACAAAAACGGTCCCATCAGGGAGCACAACGGATGAGTGGAAGGTTCGCGCATAGTTCATGCCACCGCCTGCGTTCGCAATGACAGAAGGATCTTGGGAGGGTTTGTCGAGGGAGATGATGTTGGCATTTGTGGTGGCGTTTTTGTCCTCGTACCATGGGGAGCCACCAAATGTGAGAATCTTGCCATTGTCATACATGACCGCGTTGCCACACATGGCGTCCTGATCACCTGTACGATTGCCTGCTCCATTGGTGCTACCACTGTCGGCAGAGCCGTACCAGTTCATCTGTTCAGATGGGCCGGCCTGGAAAGTGTAGCCGTCAGTCCAACCAAACAGCCAGCCGTGATTGTCGCGTCTGTATGTGCGTCGGTCCTTTGTGTACATCGCCGATACCTTCGCGTTGGGGAGCTCGTCCCATGTGTTGGTCTTAACATCATATACTTCGCCATTCTTGCCGCCGACACCTCCACTCCAGGATCCTCCAATGACGAACATACGTCCGTCGGACAAGAGGGTCGTTGCTTGGTAACCGCGGTCCTTATTCATACCTTCCCCGACAAACCAATCGCGATCGGTAGTGTTGTAGATGCTCGTCTCTCCTCCATCAGCTCCGCCGGTCACGATAATCTTTGAGTTCTCATCCAACGAAATGCCCGAGCAGAACATGTCATGGTGAGTGTCGGTGATGGTGCGGCGAGTGACGGATTGTTTAGTGGGACTCCAGGTCGCAGTTTGGGTCTTCGCTGCTTTGCCGCTAGTGAACTGGTCGTAACCCCAGGCGGACCAGGCAACGAGCTCACCAGAGTGTGCATCGACGGCAGCGGACACCGGGACAAGCGGGAAGTCAATCGTTGGGCCCCAGGCTCCGAGACTGGGGTCGGGGGTAATGTAACGATCCTGGTAGATGCTGATATCCGAGATGGCAATTCCGGTGGGAGCAGGGGCTGATAATCGTACGTGTTTTGCTTTGCGCGGTTGAAAGGCTGCCACCTTGAGACTCTCATCAGGCCACCAGGTTCCATATGCAACACGCTCCCAGTTGTCACCGTCGTTACTCAGGAAGACTTCATGCTGCTCAATCAAATGGGTATCATTTTGACCTTGGAGTGGTACCACAACGATCCCACTGATAGCCATTTCCGCATCTCCGAGGTGAATGGTGATAGACTGGATGGTTGTGCCGCTAGCGCTCTGCCAGTAGGTGCTGTTGTCGGCATCAAACGCTTGGTTGCAGTCGTGGCCGCTCGCGACAGAAGTACAGTTCGCAGTCCAGCCATCGGTCGAGATCTGTTGACCTTCTGGTGGAGTCTGCGAGAGTGTGGCAACATTGGTTCCATGAATGTTCGTAGTATCGGGAGTTTTTCCTTCTATGTACGATCTCTCAAGCCGATCCATGTCTAGGCCCTTCACGGCACCCAGCAAAAATATCCAGACATGCCACTCGAGCTTCATCTTGAGATTCTCTTGTCTGCAACCACAAGAAAAGTAGAATGAAGCTCAAAGAATGAGAGCTAGGACGAATGGGAGCTATAATGAATGGCAGTCGAATGGTGCTCGAGGAAATGAAGGAACGAATGACTGATTGATTGATCTGGTCATATCTGATCAATGGGCAGGTTCTTCCTTAAGAACCATCCGTGGACGGTGTTCGTCCGACGACAACGGTTGCTGGGATACAGCTCTCTCTTGCATCGCATTCCTATCGAGCCCCTTCATAGGCGTATGATTTCGATGTTGATCAATGACCACTTTAGCTGGAGAAAGTGACACATGCAGAGAATGATTCAGGAACTATTGTCCTTTTTTTTCATTAATTATGTGGTGTATGGCTTTGTCAACCTGAGAAAGAATGCTTATTTCATGTATGCTCAGAAAGATACGAATTGGATGTAGATCATGTAATATAAGATGAACAGCTGCTTTTTCCAGGTCAACCCCTTGAAGTGGCTTCAATTGCTATATTAAGGCTGTGTGATGACACTTCTGAATAACAATTCTTATCGTAAAAAATGAAGACTGGACGCTGCATGCGGAGCATCGAGCAGGCACATCAGGTATGTCGTTGAACACTTTACTAGTTAATGTCTATAAAATCAAGCTAAATGTTATTCTTATTTTCTAGAAAAGCATGCATCAAATGGAATGAACGTGAAAGGAAGATTGATGGTGATCCCAAGCTAAGGTTTGATGAGGGTGCTGTTGAAATGCCCCCGAGTTTCCGTACTCGACGGTTACAACGCCACCTGGGGAAGATCTTAGCTGAGCCAAGAATTACATCCAATTTTTATGGGAACATGGATTCCAATGCGACCAATGATTGCTGGTGCCCAGGAAGCTACCCCTGCATATGTATCTCGACAATGATCAATACCCAATATCTACAATGCAGATTGCCCCAGCAAGGGGTAAGCACCTCGACGACGTGGCGATGGTGGCCAGTACTGTGGCAAGTGTTTCGATGTCCTTCCGAGGCGAAATTATTGCCTCATTGTTGAGTTTCACTCTGTCAGCGTACACTTATTCTTTTTTTTTTTTTCAATGGCCCGCATTTGGTCAGTAAAATCGAGGAACAGCTAAGCACTGCGTCTACTTCATCGCAAATTAATGCTTTTTCCTTGGTTGATGAACAGTAAAGGCCCCTCCAAGCCAGGGGTAACATGGATTTCCAAAATGATTCTTAGTTCTTACAGAATGGTAGCATTTGACTTTGTATTCAGTGCTGGGAGACCCAAGGTCACGAAACCCAAATTAATAACCAAACAAGATTATCGGTCTTCCACACCGCTGCTTTATTTTACCAAACCGGTAGATAGTTCTGTTGATCTAATTGCGTGCATCCTACCTTGCCTCAGTTGTCCCCACCAAGAGAATTGACGAATCAGATTAAAGTAGTATCCAAAACATCGGAGGCTAGGGCAAAAAGGTACGGCCCGCACGGCAGACGAGGCTTGGGGGCCCGAGCGAGAATTCAAAATGTACCGGCGTAAATGTCACTTGGCCTAGTAATCCGACTCCTTACCCCACTATGAATTTTACCTGCAATATACTAGAATGTAAAGAGTTGGTGAGATCCGTTGTTAGGTCTTCAAAACTTTTGCTCCTATCTCCTTCCCGTATGCCATAGGCTGGGGAATGATCTAGGCCCTCGTTTTAGTGGACGAGGCGAGGCGAAGGCTGGCCCCGTTGTAACATGAAGGCTGGGAGTGTAAATTCCACAACTCATGCACATGTGGAATGTAGAGTGGATCAATCCACATAATGGTTACACTACCTTCGAAGTCATCACTGCCAATACTCTCTCAATCTGACGTACTGCCGTCAAGTTATGTTTCTTTATTCATTTTCTTTTGATTTGTGTGTTAGTTCTTCTTTCCTTGAGTTGTCCCCGGGACTGGGAAGATTGGAAAGGGGGATGGGCTTGGATACAACACTTGAACGGTGTAAATTCCATGTTAATATCCAATGGATGGGCCAATGCTTTATACCATTATGTAGAAATACACAACATCATTTGAAACATACGACATACTATTGGCCTCTCTGTTAATGTAGTCTTCCAAGGTTTTACCTATTTCTTTTTGTTCTGTAGTGGGGAAACAGCCGCGCACAACTCAAACTCGGGTATCAAGGCTGCCCATGAGATTAGGCGTACATGTTTCCGGCGTAAGGACTCATTCTCACCTCACTGTAAACCGTCAATAATGACGACTACACATCAGGAAAGTTTTGGTTGGGTGCTACATAATTCGTTGCAGCAAAGTACGGTAGATACAGTACGTCTCGGGAGTTCATGACAACTCGCCAGGGCTTCCGAAACGTTCAAGTTTCGACTACTCAAGTGCTGGTTCATGTTTACATATTGATACCCCAAGCATTGAGCGTGGAAATTTGAGCAATTTGGACACAGCGAAAGATCAATGTCATGATATTTTATTTAATTTTCTGACTCAACCCCCGAAATCGAAACAAATCACATGGGCATTCATGGAGATAATATCTTCTATACATTTTCTTTTTAGTCGGCGTAATAACCTTCGTAAATGGCATTCGTTGGTAAAATAGGAGCAAATTCAAACTGTCAGATGGATGCAGCGCTCCCCGGACACACCTAAGCTGCTTCTGCTCCTTCCCCAGGACTCTCAGCAAACCACATCACACTATCTTACCATCAGGTGGCAACATGGTGACAGTAGGTGTCAAGGTGATTGGTATTTGAACTAATTAGCCCCGGACATCATGCGAAGAAGCGACAGAGATGGTGTGAAAAAGTAATCTCCGCCCTGTGCCTCGACGAAAGACGGGAACACAATCTGGTTGTGCTCTCCCTTACCATCGGTGATGCTGAAGGTCAACTTCGTGTCATCTTCTTGCTTAGTAGATGGAAGTGTCTGGCCAATAACAGGATCCTGTCCCGGAAGAATGCCTCCGGTGTACTTTTCTTTCTTATTCGGAAAGTTATCCGGGTTGCACCACTCTTGAATATGGAGTCAGCGGCCTGATAGAAACTTTCGAAGACAAGGCATGGCTTACTGTTTTTGATGAATGAGAAGCCATTGTTAAGGCTGGTTTGGTAGCAAACGAACATAAGGCCACGATCTTGTGTCGTCTTATGAGGCTCAGTTTTAGGATCATGATCCGGTCCATAGGGAAGACCGCGACGCATGATGTCGAACTTGTCCACGTTGCCCACATCGATTCGAGGCTTGGTCTTGCGAATGTGTGATGCAAATGGGCACTTGAGCTGGCTCTTTGGATCAAAGTCAAAGTCGTTGAACTTTGCCGCGCCCTCCTTAGGAAAGAGCTCGTCGCTATCGGGATACAGCTCAACAGGTGCTCCTGGCATTGGAAATATATCTTAGCACATTGTACAGAAGTTCAATATTGTCTCGGCTTGCATCTTACCGCTTTTCCAGCGTCCCATCAACCGAGCGCCGAACTGCTCCGGAGTGAAGTGGAGTTTTTCGGCCTGTTCCACGATGTAACTAGAAATTATAGCGTTAAAGGGGCTTCAAACACGAGACAGAAAAGGACCACTTACTCGTTCCACTCTGGCACGAGCTGTTTGATTCTTCGAACAACCTGGATACTTCCGTTTCTGGCCCACTCGGGGTGCTGCATCCCTGGTTCATTATCCATCTCCCCGTCGTGTCCAAAAATGATGACACTAGAAAATATAAATATTTTGATCTGCCCAGGTGAATGACCTTGGATGACTATGAATTTCAACTTACCCGGGACGAGTGGGGATTTTGCGAGCCCCTTTTGCCTTGAGGTCTTCATCATCGAAGCCTGTTAGGAGTGGCTGCGAAATTCCATCCAAATAGCCAAAGCTAAGTTGCGATTAGCTTAAAGTTCTCTCAGTTTCAGAATCTTGAATTTACTGCTCATGGCCCCTTTGATCACCTGACCTTTCTTGGCCATCCAGGGTCGCGACGTGACGGCATCCTTGCTTGTCGCCTAGGTAGTTGTGGCTCAGATAGGCCACTTTGTCCTGCACTTCTTCTTTGGTACCACAAACGATGACCAACCCATCGACCTTGCTAGGAGTTGAGTTCTCGACATCCTTCAAGAATTCTTTCCGCCAATTTTTCTCTGTATCTCTACCTTCGCTCATCATGTCCTGTTGCATGCCTTTAATGTACAGGTCGTCCATGAAATCTTCATTCCACAGCTAACGAGATTGAAATGATTAGACTTTGACGCTAGATGCAGGAAGGTCAATGATCCCATTTACCTTGTTCACACCCACGTGGGTGAAAGAGATGTTAACCTGGGCTAGGCCCATATGGCTCTTGGATCCTTTAGATCTCGGGATATCCTTTGCATCTTTCGGGACAAGATGTCCGAAGACCTCAAATGGGAACTTCGCCACGCCAATGGTGACATCCAGCGCAGTATTCGCCAAACTGCCCACGATATCAATCCCGGAGTTTGCCATTGAGGCCCCGCTTTCCACTACATCGCCCAAGATGCCGAAGAAACCACCCCCTCCGGTGCTCCGAGTTTTCTTCTTCGTTTGTTCTTCGGCTTTATTCTCGGCTTCTGCCGCCTTGAGCTTCTGGATGGTATAGCGATGAGCCATGGCATGGGTGGAACTAGTGATCTGTTCATCCGCAAGCTTTTTCAGGACGGGTTTGAAGAGCGCAGGATTCTCGATGCTGAAGAAGTAAAACACTTGGTACTTTTTCGACAAACCTGGCCTAGGTTCAAGTCAGCACTCATGTCCTTGTTAGTTTCCAGACTCGAAAACTGACCATATATCTCCTTGGATATTGTCGTAATCCTCTTTGGCAACCATCTTGATGATTCTTTATCGGGACCTTTGAGCTTGATAGATGATAGAAGAGAAGTGCAACGAGGATGAAGAAGACATGATTTGAACGTGCCAGGATGGACAATTTATAACTTACCCAGCGGTGCTAATAAATCACTCTCTATGCGTGAGAACTCCAGCGAGCCATAGGCCTTACAAGGTAAGTAATGAATCGTGTATTGTTGAATTCATTGTATCGTTAGGAAGATGCAACATTGGAGGCCCAATCACAGCCTCTATCTCCAGTACTAGTAGCTACGCTTACTTCCGCATGCAGAATAAGTCAATCAACCTCAGTGAATTGTCGTACAAAATGTGCCCAGACTCGACCTGCCTATGCTAATGACCAAAAGAAAAGTACATAATAAGCAGTGTGGTTGCGGTGTAGCTGGATCTACAATGTCATGACGTGGATAGTCTATTACTTCGACTACTGCAGATGAAGCTACCGACACACCGCTATCGTTTGATGACGACTTAGACTCCATGCATTGCATCCGACCTACCTAGGCATGATTGCGAGCTAAGTCTGACGGGTCCCAGGAGCGCGTTGTAATATGATGCTACTGTGTCGGGTTTATTGGATCAACAAGGTTAGGCGCCTTCAGCCACTTAACAGGCGACAATCCACTTAGAAAACTACCTGTATATTTGACCTGGTGTACATAACCGATGCTCTTGGAAGAGCAATATTCAAGCGTGGGAGTTCTTGAGGTTAGTATCCTTAGGTCCACTTCTTCAGTAGTTGGGTACTTCCATTAAAGAGTGCCTTATACGGCCAGATCAAGTACCACGGACTTACAGCTAAACCGATTATCGCCGACCAGCTGCATACACGAATATCACGTTCATTAGCATGTCTTTTGGAACTTGAAAGCTGTTTAGAAGATTCGACCAGCTGATAGAATTTCTCTGCAGCTACACCGCAAAGATGGAACTTGAGCCGAACATCTCCGCGGCCTGCCTCTAAAGATGGATCCTTCATCAAATGAACATCGTTTCCCCTCAGAATGCTGCATTGAGAGATATATTGGTGGACGTAGTAGCCCCCATGGGGTGACACAGCATTTCTACATAGGTCCTATTCGCGTCCCTGCATAAAACCTTGCGACCCAACAGCCGGACCGTGCGAGATATGCCGAGCAGCAAGGAGAGGGTCAAAGTACCTACAATAGTCACATATGCAACCATACATCACATGCAGTGATAATATCTGAACAGTAAACTATTTTCACCACTTACTTGACGCTTTGTTAATTGTAAACTGTGTCAATAAACAATTTTTGACTTCTGAAGATGACACTTCAGAGATCGGAGATTTAACATTCTTACTAGTTAAAACTATGTATATACCACCTGGGCAGGAGGCTGAGCGTTTCAAAGCTTGAAGGTCCCATTGTCTCAAGACCACATGTGTACCATTGAAGACCCTAAACCACTCCATGTAGAAGTTGACGCATGCATGTGAAATTCAGATTTGGCTAACTCTGTGTTAAATCTCATGATATAACGTAACCGGACACCGAGCGTCTGCTCACGTGTTGGATGTTCTGGCCTTTGCCATAATGCAGGAGTCGACCAAGACTCTCTATCAACTTCTAGCCGAAGAAAGGGAAGGTATCGCCTTCTAATTCTAAACGGACATAGCAGCTATCTTACGCCGCATTTCGATCAAATTTACGTTGAAAATGCCATCATTCCGATCTGTATGCCAGAGCATTTATCTCATTTTTTACAGCCTCTCGATATAGGCTGTTTTAGGGTAATCAAGCGGGCATATAGTAAGGTGATCGAGGCGCAGGCGAAACTCCATCGGGTCCGTGTCGATAAAATCGATTTTTTGAAGGCATATCAGGCGGCGAGGAATAAAGCATTCAAGCCAGGAACTATTGTGAATAGCTTCGCTAGTACTGGCCTCGTTCCATTTGATCCTGAACGCGTTCTATCGAAGCTTAATATACGTCTTACTACACCTCTACGTCCGACTAGCTAGGGAAGCTATAAAAGCAATTCGAGCAAAGACTTCACTCCGAGAACATCTCATACTATAAGGGATATAAGCAGACAGGCAGCACCTATTCGAGAACTCGCAAAAGAACAGTCTCAGCATCTAGATGATGCTATTGATCAATTGGAAAGAGGATTCAATTTGGCTCTTCATAACTATACAATTGAGCACCAGCAAAGTCAGGAGTTGCTTGCCGCTAATGCAAAGGTCACGCGCAAAAAAGCGCAGACGACAGCTCAAATAGCATATGAAGGAGTCCATTAGTTGAGTAAGCTATATCGCGTTTTGTTGCTGAGAGAGAGGTCGAAGAAGCGAGATCTGATCAAGCCGGCGGGGCATCGCCGATGCCGAATCCGACCAATAAGAGGCGCGCACCGCGATGCAGTCGTTGTAAAACGCCTGGATACAAGAGAGATAGATGCCCAGAGAGGTCTGAATAACTTCATTTTAATTGAATTGGCGTTGTGGTTGAACAAAATGAAAATTAGTAGTAGGTAAATTGGGTGGGTGCACCACTCGGTGTCCGATTACGTTATACAGGTGCCAAGGAACTGCAGTTTCGGGCCAATCAAGGCTAACACATCATGGCATGCCTGGAAAAAAGCTGAAAAGGCCCGTGTGGTGGCCGCACGCTCAAGGGTGACACTCACCTGTTCTGGCACCGACACAAACACCAACTTCTGGCTGTAGCTAAGCCACATAAGCAAATTGGGAGTTAGTTGAGTTGGTTTTATCTGTCGATTCACGGTTTTTATTGACAAGGAAGAGACGGGAAAATAACTTCCGCCAGTTTGGGCATTGTTCCGCCACCCGTGAGAATTCAGCCTGCCTCCAAAAGGCCAATGCGGGACGGCCGAGTCACCACACGGCAATCTTCATTTCGCTACTCGGATCTTCCCCACAGCACAACGTAGAACCCACACAGAGGCCACACATTGTATGTAGATACATGCAGAATAAATGCAGACTGGATCTCTTCATTCTACTAGACAACACCATACGTGTGCATATACGAAGCTCAGGCCTGAAGCGCTTATGATCCACACCGCTCATCATATTTACCGGCTCAAGTTCCTGGTCTACTGCCCAGGCATTCCTGGACAATACGGATCGCTAAACCTATCGCTGGTTTTTTTTCCTTTTTAAGTTCACTTCACTGGCATGAGCGTTGTCAAGTTGCTTCAGGCCTTGCTTGTCTTTCGGACCTCGGGAGTACGCTACCTTAGACTTAGTTGCCCAAGTGCGGGAAGTTCAACTTGCACCACGGGATACCATTGTACTCGCCTTCAAAAAAAAAACCCGCGCAAACATAAAGAAATTGGTAACAAGGAAGTAGATCGCAAGGTTACGTAATGAAAGACGCTCCGAAAGGGGGCAAATATCATCCCGGAGGACGAAGCAACTTCTACGTGTCACATTGATATCATGATCACGGACTCTTGTTATGCAGCTATACTATGTCCCTCCGTAGCCTTCCAACTAAATTCGGTTTTCACTAGGTTTCAAAGATGAGCTATTTGCTATCTGTTGCTGCAGGACGAGAAAATTCCAGATTCAATAGCCTCCCCAGATTGGAAATGGCGTATCTTGGCTTAGAGTTGTGGAAGTCTCTCGGAGATATCATGCAAGGAAATCTTGTATTTAGCTTTACGGAATTCATTTCCATATCGGGTTGGTGAATTTATGCTATCTCAAGTGATAGATTGAAGATTGTCACCTTGTGCCACCATCTACAATTCGAATCTATGCTGTGCAATGACTGCAGGCGCCACTCAGTCAGGCTACGGTTACGCTCCAGCAGAACACGAAAGGTTTGTTTGACCTGAAAGAAACCGAATATATTCTCTATAAATAATGCAACCAGGACCACAAGGCAAGGCCGCTTCCTAATTATTTCTCCTCGATTTCTGCATATTGACCTTGACACAATCGCCAATCTCTGATTTTGCCATAGCATACCCACGCGAATAATCCAGGAGCAAATTCCCACAATGTGGATATGTGTTGCCGGCACTCTTGCAAATAGTGGTACTGTCGACAGAAAAGAGCCTGCAAATGGACGCAACTTTCCGGCGAAACCAGTCCAGCGCCAGGGGCTTCTGCGATGACCCCCTGGAGCTCAACCAGAGCCGCGGAGATACCAAGTAGAATACCCAAAATTTGGAGTGGTTTTGAAGACAGCTGAAGCATCTTGTCTGCGAATCTAGAGGGCCAACGAGCGAGGAGCATCGCCAGATCAGGGGGAACAGGCAAAGAGGCTCGTTTAATCATCTCCAGGCCGATTCCAACAATACCATTGTCTTCTTCGGTGTGTGACTCATATATCCCTGTGACCATCGTATGCTCCATCTCAAACTCAAGTTGAGCTCGTAACAAGCGCACCACTGCGCAACCCATTGGGTCTGCGGTCCTCCCCGGAGAGTATACAAAGGACTCCAGGAGACTGCACTGAGAGAACCAAATAGGCAGCAACAGTAGTAAACTAAGATCACCCGCACTGAATTCCCACTGGGCTGATAATTGCGGGTGGTGGAGCAAAGGTGCAATCTCATCTGTCAGGTCTGTGGAATCCGATGATCCAGATAATGCCTGAGGCGTACTCGAGTTTCTGCAGCCCCGGCAATTGGCGGCCTCTGAAAGACCAACAAACTCAAAATAAAACGGAATGCGGTGTGGTCTTAGAGAATCGATCCATTGTTGCAGAGTAGTGAGCTCTTCCCTTGTAAAGGTGCCAAACATTATACCTCCCCAACGGAGTTCTTTCACCAACCTGCTCTTGTTGCTGTCACCCGGATGAATCCATGGCTTTGAAGTGGTTAGAGCTTGGAGAAAATTCACTTGCCATTTCTCGTCTAGCAAGCTACTTGGGCTCATCCAGTCATCTAGAGAGCGATTGTCAATCTTTGCTTTGCATCCGGCGTGTATTCCTTGCGCAGCCTGAGCTTTGGCGTAAAATATCTTGCCCACCCTGGATTCAAGCTGGCCACAGGGCATAGAATCAAGTTTTGGAGGGATGTCTGCCGTCTAAGTCTCTTCAGAACCCAGCCATTCACTCAAGACGTATCCTGCCTGAATCCGCCGCCACGCAGTATGAGCGGCTTCTTTACCATCCATTTCCGATATTTTTCGTATGTAATCAACCACGCATTCCAGCGACATAACAGCATGACCAGAATGGCTGTTGTCAATGGACACATGAAGCATGAAGTAGTATGGATCGAGTCCAACTTCTGATAGCTCCTTTGTTGCCTGCATTGTATCCAGCTGAAGCATTTCGAAGTGCATGGTAAACCCCAGTATTTCCGGGAAAAAGTCTTCCGAAAACCGGGCGATCATCAATTGAGCTGCAGCCGCTCTCCAATACTTGATGCTGCTGAAATTCCATCTAGGATGAAGAATTTCCTTTGTCGTTGGGGAGGCTAATTCCGGCTCGAAGGTCCTTAAAAGGTCCTCATAGATGTAAACATGGTGCTGATGAAGATTCCCATCACCTAGCTCCTCAGTGAACACCTGCCAAATTTTCTTCATGATTGGACGCAAGGCAAATGGTCAAGTGATTTTGTTCAAGTGACCCAGCCAAGCCCCATCGACCAGCTTCAACGGTGCAATCTTCCTCAACCATAACTCTGCATCCTGTCGGTTGCGAACCAATTGCCGAGGGCCACCCAAGTCTCTTTGCGCGATATATTGTGCGTATCGATCCGTGACATCCTTCTGATGATCTTGGAGAAACTGGGAAAGTTCTTCTTTGTTGAAAGTCTCCAATGATAGGATACTGGGATGAGACTCTCTTTTTGTATAGTTGCTCAATGCTTCGGACAGTAGGAACAAGATTGCTTGTCGTCCAAGTGCTGAAACCTCCGGATTGTACTCCTCATTCTGCAGTTTGAAAAGGAGATTCTTATAAAATTCCAGCTCTTGGAATCCTGATTCCTTGGCAATCGGTTTGACGGCTGAGGGGATAAAGGTCAACTTCCTTAAGAAGTGAAGGGGTGTTCGCCGAGGTGGTTGACGTTCCTGAGATTTCCAAATTCGGTAAAGACAAGATGCGGCGGTAGCGAGTAAGAGGATGGCGGTTATCTTCAAGATTGGTGAAGGTAGGAAGGAAGCAAGCAGTATTTCATAGTTGAAATCCATCGTCATTTTAGGGTGAATCCGAAGGCTGTATACAGTGGAGAAGGGGAGAGCTAGAAGGCATTCACTTATTTCAATACGAATCCCTCTTTTCAGATCGCATTGGGTCCGACAGTGACCCTTGCGATGATTTACCTAAGCAAGGTACCGGTTGCATGTACGTCTCCATTTTCATGGGCCTTGAGGTTACACCAAGTCCCGCACGCTCAGCTTGTGTAGCTACCTACGCACGCCGCCACTTTTCTTTTTTTCTTTTTTTTTGGAACCGAATTCCGTGCTTGGCCTGTAGGAATGGGAACTATCGATCTACAGGTAGCAAATACAGTGATTCTTGACATCGGCTTGACCAGTACACGCTGCGCAAACCTTTGCTGGATCCACCGCCAAGACATGAACGCTGATCATTAATTGAGACATCATCTTCGTTGAATGCAGTGGAATATATATCGATGGTAATTGCACACCATGCAGGAAATGCTACGTCAGCTCTCTTGTTCGAGGCCCACTGTATTTAGAATCGCTGCTAAGGCCTTAGCAGTGGTAACCAGAGAGAGTTTCCTGGCGGGTACTGGCTAAGCTCATTTCAAGAACGACTGCACATGCATATGTAAAAGACATTCTCTGTAGTATTATTAGTCGAACTGAGTGAAAAAAGAGTAGCCCTTGAATGACTAGGGAATCTCAATATTACGGACGACGAACAAAGTTTGTCGGTACTGAGTGGAATGCTAAGACGGTAACGGAACGGCCCGTACTGAATGGAATGCTAAGGCCGTAACAAAGGGCCCGTAATCGGCCTGTTGTATAAATTACCATTTATTATGGACCCGGGCATAGTTGGTTGTGGTGGCGGTTCTTGATAATTGGTATTTCATGTATGGGATCGGCTATGTCATTGCACTGCGGCTGAATTTGCTTTTTAGTGCTTTGGCAATCTAGTCTTTACACGAAACTGCTGCGATTCAATTCCTGCCTCGTTGAATCTGCATATCTCCGACGTTCATTGACAAAGTCTTCCTCCAATCCATCCTCCTCCACGCCATCTTGAAATGATCGATGAAAATACGCCACTGGCTGGGCCTCAGTTATTCTCGGAATACAGTGCCACGGCTGAACAGGATACAGAATCAAGAGAAGAAGCACCCCCTATCGATCGCGTCTTTATTTCAATTGCTTTGCTAGGTACCCAGGTCCACCCTTGCCTTGAAATGCTCCCTAGAATACTCTCGCTAACTACAAGCCACCGATAGGAATATTTCTCGCGTCTGCAGATGATTCTTTTGTCTTAGCTACCCACGGCGAAATTGCCACCGACTTCAAGCAGGTTCCATTAGGGCCCTGGCTTATTTCAGCCTATAACCTTGGATTCATTACTACGCTTCCGTTGGTGTGTAAGCGCCGTGCGAAGATTATACCCGATTACATATCTGACAATATCAGTACGGAAAGCTCAGTGATGCATATGGGTACAAGTTGGTACTAATGATAGCCTATTTGATGTTCTCGCTTGGGTGTGCCATCACGTACGTTCCATACAAACCTTGTCATTCATATGACGTGACTAATTTTCCCCAAGGGGCGTTGCACCCTCAATTTGGCTTGTCATTGGAGGTAGATTTATAGCTGGCGTTGGGGCTTCTGGCATGACAGATCTCGTGAGCTTGATCATCAACGGTAAATCTTTGTACTCTTTGGTGTATTTTCTTGCCTAAAAAACACCGTTAACCAAACAAATGCAGATTTGGCCCCGCCGAGGCAAGTTGTAATGTTGCGCAGTTATTTTGGCATGACATTCCCTTTCGGGGTCAGCTGTGGAGCCTCTCTTGGTGGAATTCTTGTGGACGTCGTTGGCTGGAGATGGTAGGTTGATGCTCCTGTTTATTATATTTTGGCTGTTTTTAATGTGCATTATTCAGGTCCTTCCTCGTTCAAATCCCATTCGGCCTACTCTGCTTTTTCATTGCCATGTGGAGGCTACCAGAACCAAATCATAAATCAAACGCATCGCAAGATGGACCCGACTATACTGTGAACCGTGAACTAAATCTGTTCGGTGTATTCTCGTTGGGTATCTCTGTCGCCGCATTGACGTTACTGTGCCATTCCCTCGAAGGAGGAGATGGTACTACAATGGCTGTTATTTCCGCGACAGGTATATTATCTGCCGTCGCGTATGGATGGAATGAAAGATTCTGGACCGAAGCTCCGTTGGTGTCTTTGAATGTTATCAAGCATAACCGGATCTGGGCAATCTATCTGACGCAGTTCCTTGCTTCCTTTGCCACCTTTGGTGTAAGTCAACCCCAACATGTTCAAACCTCCCAACTAAGTATCAAAAAGCTTCTTTCCAATATCAGCGAGTTTTTCACGCGCACCACAAATGCTACGGCTTCTTTCAGTGGATCCACCTTCATTTCTGTAACGGTTGGCTGTGTTGTTGGATCTCCTATTTTCGGATTTCTGATACGACGGTAGGTAGAGCGGATGCTATAAACTAATACTACACATAAAGCCCAGACAATTGGCTAACGCCTCGACAGCACCGGCAAATACAAGGCATTGGCATTTACGTCTTGCGTTACTAGCCTTGTGGGTATTGGTCTGCTTATGCTTCGATGGTCGCAGGAACCCAAGCTCTGGGAACTTGGATACCTCTCTATTCATGCTGTCGGCCATACGGGGATCATTACCACCCTATTTGTTGCCATATCAGTGTCAGTTCCCAAGAATGCCGGATCCGGGGCAATCACTTCCTATTATTTGGCACAGCAGGTAGGAATGGTGGTGGGAGTAACGGCCACGGCAGTAATTACACGCAAAGTGTTCAGAAATGATCTCCTCGAAAAGTGCGCCATGGAGCCTAATGCAATTGAGGTAGGCGTCTCTGGTTTTGATTGGAATGGGTATCGCTGTCTCGGGAGACTAATGATAAACAGATGATTGAAAACATATTACGAGACAGTCGGTTTGCATTTACCCACTTGTCTGATAGACTTCAAGTGGTCGTCGCCGATAGTTACAGGCAAGCATTTCTTACTACGCCAGGTAGTTAAGCCTTATATTTCTCCATGTCCTATTATCTGCTTCTGACTTAGCAGTAGGGCTCTGCGCCGCATGCACGTTGCTTATTATTCCAGCTCTTTGGTGCATCCCACAGCTCTCTCTGGACTGATTGGACACCTGTTAGAACGGTCAAATTTGTACATTTCCATAAACTCATATAAATGACAACGGAGAGGAAGCATGGATATAGCTACCTATCTACGGACATGTTCTCCGCTAATAATGTTAGAAAATGAGAGCCTTCATGGTAGCCGAACATCAGAACAACCCAGATTTCCCAAAATTTGAAGCAGATATAAAGCAACAATTCCAATGGTGGTAATGTGTAGATTGTCATGGTTTTTGTAATTTCTTGTCTGTTAGCCAACTGTCGACTTTGTCGAGCCTACCAAATCAGGGCGAATCCTCTCATGACTAACATCACCCAAAAAACCCTCCCTCTCAGGAGCATTAATCTATTCTTATATTTTCTCTAATCCCTCTGTAGTGTAGGTAATTTATACTCGAAGTTGATGTATTTTGGTGTTAGTGAGAGGATGGGAGGGGGCAGAATCTGACTATCCTTTAATATCGGTTCCGACAGAGGCAGTATGCACTGGTCCTAGAATGAACCAATGAGGCCATTACTCAGTATATTAGACGTGTCTTATAAAATTGTGGTAGCAAAATGTCGTACACTAGGATTCTGCCAGACACATGCAACTAATCGGATAAACGATGAAGTCCAGTCGGGTTCTTTTTTAGGGCTCCGAAAGGAAAACGATTATTCGTGAATATTCATGAATATCTGCAAATATGAATAGTGTTGAGATAGGTAGTTGTAATAATCTTGCTAAGGTTACTATCGAAAGTGGAAAGGAACCCTGTCAAGTTATATGTCCATTGCTAGTCTCGCCATATAAGCTTTGATTACCGCGATACTCAACAAACAGTATAAATTGAATAATATGAAAATGAATAAGCCTGTTGAATATCACGGCGTCTAAGCTTATGGAGTGGATTAGGGTCGGGTTTATAAAGACGGGCTACCCCTCTTCTGTAAATAAATCAACTAGAATCACTCAGACAATCACTTATCTCAGCAGGTTATGAGCCGAGGTGGCGCAACCCTTAGGCCTGCAACTCGGCGACAGAAATTCAAACAGTCACCTTTCTGCTATCACCTACAGCTTAGCTTCCCCATCAAGTAATAACGTCATCAAATCAAAGATCTAACCACATTGACACAGTGACTTGGTGAAAGAGTATCGAAATCAAGAGTTCAAACCCTCTGGATGAGATGAAGTGGATGGACTTTTCTCCGCTAGAGAATCACAGATATCACACCATCACTGTCACTATCACACTATCACACTATCACTATCGCAGATATCACATCGTCGCGAGATATCACAGTGACGCCCACTGTGATTCGTCAAAGTGAAACGTCACCAAGACGGAAGGGAATTGAACCGTTTTGGTCAGCACGCCGACATTCAATTCCACACCGACATTCATTTTTTTGACCAATTCTACCACAATTTAATACAACAACATTCAATATGCCATGTGATCTCGAGAAGGGGTTAACCGAGGCCCTTGCTACCATATCAGGCCAAAAAAACTTTATTACGCGCTATTGCGCGTGATTTAGATATCAGCTATGATACAATTTGGGGTCGATTTCACGGTCGTAAACCCTGTAAATCGAACAAACCGGTCAATAAAGCTCTCAATCCGGTCCAAGAAGCTGCTTTAGTCCGATAGATACAGCAGCTTGATATGCTATATGCACCTTGTACGCTCCAGGAAATCGAACGTTGCGCTGCCGGGGAGATGTTGAGTTCTACAGCCAAGACCCAAAAGTCCAGCAACCCCTTTTGGTGGCTCTAGAATCCCGACAACATGAGATTTTTGAAATACTTTTGTGGGATTCTCGGGCCAATATTAAAATGAAGGACAACTTCGGCCGAACAATCCTGCATCTGGCTGTGATCTACGATGACCTTATCGCGGTTGCAAGGCTTGCGAGAGAGGAGCTTGTTGATGTCGATTGTCCCGAACATCTGGGGGAGACGCCCCTCATGTTGGCTGCGAAGCTACATGCCGGCGATCAGCCCAACAATGTCAAAATTTTCAAGTGTCTGCTCTCGCGGTCCAAGGCCATGGTAGATCAGCGAGAACAAAGAGGTCAATCCGTCCTCTCACATGCCGTGAATACGTCCAATACCGACCTAATCCAGTGTCTCAGCTCCCTCGCTTCGGACCAAGAACACCGGACAGCGATGGAATCACTCCACTGGCTCGAGCAAGGGCCAGAAGGCAGTTTGAAATCGTCAAAAGTTCAATCCCTGAAGCCAGCTAGCCACGCTGCAAGCAATATCTCTGCTCCAAGCATCTGCGAAGGGCAGCTATGAGATATAGAGGCCGTTAGGCAACGCTAACCATGACGCACTGGGAACCGGACAATTATTATTTGTTATGTATGCATATTATTCAGTCAGTATACATCACCGAGTTGGCCATTAGGTTCAATGTATATACCCAGAGCAACTCGTAAGTCCGGCCCTTCATCCGCCTCATGCCTAGAATTTCTGGTCGATCATTTACCAAGAGAAATTACCATGGCTCGTGGTCCCGGGCTGTTACATCTACAGCGGGTCTTGCGCCACGTGGGGTTTCTGGAAAGTGATTGACGCCTTCCAGAGCCACAGGCTGACATCTGTTTGGCCAGGCACGGTGGGACCGACTCGTATCCTCGGCCCGTTCCGCCCGCGGCGCCATGGCTCTTTTCGAATACAGAAAAGTTCTTACCGTCCGATGGGCTATAACCTATCACGTTGTTTCAAAAATTTTGCAAAAGAGAATATGCGATTAGGGTCTAATAAAAATGAATGAAAGCATGTTCCCAAGGGAAGTGAATGTGACCGAACGCAAAATGACGCATAGGGGCCAGGCCGACCGTTGATATGCACATGATGTGTTCATCGGGAGAGTTCCCTTCAATGTCAAGCCTCATGATAGCTTGTGTACTAAGCATTGCTAGTAGAGGCGGAATTTATTTTTCGATACTGCGTAAGGGGCTTACTGGTGAGGTCTAGTCGCGGAAATCCGCGGGCGGGGAAGCCGAGATTCGGTTGATCCCGATTACGAGGCGAATATGATAAGCGTTACGAAAAGCGGTGTTTTACTGTCTCCATTTATTTTTCTGACTGATCCGTTAGGCCAATTCGGGGTGGTGACTCGCAGAATTCTCAGGTATATCACTGATGACGCTCACAGAATGGGCGCAGGGTTTCATGAATCTAGGTTTAAGATACCTTTTCTTATATACTAAATTATTATATTTGCTATATATGCGTAACCTGTTCGACAATTACATTATTCAGAGATCGGTGCTATCCATAAGTGCGATAGTTTATAAAGTAAAGAAAGTCGGTCGCCAAGCATGTGCTTGAGCCAGGTACGCACGATCAGGACCCTATACTTTTACCACCTTGGTATTGTGGTATAAATACCGAACCTGTAATCTCACAATCTAGCAACAGGTTGCAAATGTACTGTCACACTCACATGCCCAGGTGTGCAGCACTTATGATATCTCTCAATACCGTATATAAATTCGGGACTAGTATATGTAGTACAACTAGTACTGCGGTGTAACCACGTATAGACCGCCAGCCGCCCCCTGGGCCTGCATTATTTATTGTATGAATGCATAAGAGTGGATCACCATCGTGCATTCCACGTCGAATAGCTAACCTTCACATTTCCGTTAGTCAATTCAATCCCATACTCCCTTTATAAAATCTATTTTACATTAAAAACTGTTGGAGAGTAGTCTCAGCACTATATACTAGCCTTACTGATAGTGTCAATTCGCATCTGAATGAGAACCACCCTGCATACTTCATCTATTCAAGTTGTGTATTGAACTTTGGATAATGCGAGCAGTCGTGTAATGCATGGCAAGTAAGTAATATGAAGTCATGAAGCACATATTTTGATGCACTATGCGTAATTAGCTAGGAGAAGAAACATCGTGTTGACCACGATTCTGAAGTAGTGGTGACTAGTGCAGCATGTTTACTGAGCCTATTATGTAACATGCATGCCCCGATTTCGGGTTCACACTTCTCGTAATTTTCGATTAAAACTGCGACCTGAGAACCATTTGTCAAAATTTGAGCGTTACAGATTTCAAGAAACAGAATGGCAGTTAATTTCACCTCCATCCCTTTGGTCGACTACCACGATTCACTTTCCCCTGACACAAAGCCACGCTTCCTCTGCGCGCTTAGGAGTGCACTCATCGATGTAGGTTTCTTCTACCTTCAGAATCCCCCGATCGAGGTCGAACTACAGGAGGCACTTGTGAGGACAACGGGTGCATTTTTCGACCTCCCAACAAAAAAGAAGCTAGAGCTGGACGTGACCCAGAGTAAGCACTTCCGGGGATACGCTTGCGCGGGTGCCGAAAAAACAGCCACAATAAGCGATCAGCGGGAAACTTTTACTGTATGTTTGATGACACGATTTAAAAGGTTTTGGGCGGACTTTATCCATAATAACATCATTGAAAGGTTGGTATCGACGCACCTGTCCATGGTTCGGACTCGCCCATCTACTACGGTCTCGAGGGGCCTAATCAGGTATGACAAAAGAGTCAGAGCAGCCCAAAATATCCATTTCTGACTATAACTCCAAAGTGGCTTCCTGAAGAAACTACCCCAGGCCTCCGTAAAGCAGTCGAAGCATACATTGAGCAGACCCAAAAATTAGCAGACACATTTATTATTTTGATTGCTGAAGCATTGGAACTACACCCTGATGCCTTTACGAAGGTACTCCAGAGAGAATATCCCTACAGTCTTCTCAGAGTCGGTGCCTATCCTCAAATGGATCCTTCAAAGCCTGATGCGGCAGATATCCAGGGCGTTGGGCCTCACAAAGATGGAAGCTTCTTGACCTACCTGCTTCAAGGAACGGGTCATTCAAGTCTAGAGGTGCAGAACAAGTCAGGAACATGGATCTCGGCTCCCCCTATCCCGAACACGCTTGTTGTGAACATCGGCCGGTCACTAGAAGCTCTTACACAAGGAGTTTGCGTTGCCACTACTCACCGAGTCAACTTGAAACCAGCTCAATACCTTGGGGCGGATAATATTCCTCTTGGAAAGCGGTTGAGTTTCGCATTCTTCCAACACGTGGCTCTCGATGTGACTCAAGAGGATATGAGAGTGGAGTTACCCCCCCATATTTTGGCTTTTCGTGAGAATGATGTGAAGTCCGACGCTGAAACATTTTTCAATGATCTTTTCGAAGGCCCTGCTGGTGAGGCTCTTCTAACTAACTGCATCACGAGCTATCCTGAATTGGGGAGGCGATGGTACCCTGAAATGTTGGCTAAAATGCTTGAGCAGCAGCATAAAGCAAAAATTTTAGATGATGCCAAACTTCCTGGAAAGTCTCAGACGGTTTGAATGTATGGTTGGAATGCAATGGTATATTTTCGGTTGCTGTTTCAACATTTGTCTTCTATTGAGGAACTTTGGACTTTGTGATTATTTGACACCTTTGGGAATGGGTATTCTTATTTGGTTTTGCGCACCTCCAACGGGGGTGGGGAGGGTTAATAGGATCCTCTCTCCTATAAAGATCGACTCTTTCTCACCCACCCTTTAAGTTTTTTTTTCTCTGGTTCCTTTGATTAGGGTTGTTATGCTGTGAACCTATACAGACAAAACCGACTAGATGACGCTTAGTGCAGATGCTTTGATGCCTCACATTATAGAGAGTAAATATTCTGTAGGAAATTTTTCAATCTGCACCTTCTTGTGAATGGTTCGGAGAGTGGAGACAATACAAGTATGTTTGATCTTCAAATACGCCGTCGTGTCTTCTGCGCTGCATACGCAATCAATCGCGTCGTAAGCTGGATCTATCATATATCATACAGTCTCTCGGATGATACCATCAATACCAAGGTAATAGTTCTTTGCTGGGCTTTTTCAAGGTACAGACTAGCTGATTGAAACCAAGCCGTTTGAGATACAAATGAGGACGAATTTGAAATATAGGACACCCAGCACTTTACATGCATGGCGATGTGATCAATACCATGAAAGTACAGTATTTGATTTTGCCAAATTTCCGGCATGGCTTACTTCAATGCATCGAGCAGTCTGCATACACTTTGCAATATATTGATTAATCCCTGATCTGTTGTGTAACATCTATACGTCACAGTTGAGCTTTTTGGCTCAACCCCACCCCCCCCCCCGGTGTCCTTTGTGCTGGCAGAAATCAAGATTGGAAAATTGGCAAAATAAGCACAAGATCCAAACTGTTAGGGTCTGCAGTCAACATGATATTTGAATCATTATGAGTGGCTTCCTCGCAAATGAACTCGAATAATCGAACTAAAATAAATTTACGACATGAAGTTTACCTGTGAAAAGAACTCTATCAACCAGCTAGGCCGGATATGCACCAATATGGGAGCAAGATTCAGCTGAGCCCGCCAGACCAATCTCCCTACATATGTACTCACAGCAACCGCATCCCAACGCAGACGCAGGTGACCCCTTTCCAGGATGCCGGGATACACGTTCCGTCTTGATGGTAAGAAACCAATCAGGGAAGCGAAAAGAAAAGAAGAAAAAATTGGGGGCAAAGAAGAACGAAAGCAGAAGTCGAGATTTCTGCTCCGGAAGGGAAGAGGCCTTGCTAGTCGACCAGGAATGGATCTTGGAGCTGCTACTTGTAAATACGGAGAAGGTTCTTCGCGGCTTAGTTTTCGTAATCTTCAACCTACCCTCGGCGCTACCCATACGGCTCCCTGACATTGTACAAATTATGGGACTTTGCATTGCCAGAAGGTCGCAATCATGTATTTTGAATGAAAAGCGGTAAACGCCGCGATTGAATATGCATGCCGATTCGCACGAGTTAGTGGTGGAGCTCGATCAATCTCTGCCGGTTGTGTAACCGTCGCATAAAGTCGTCACCGCTGTTGGGGATAAATCACGGTAATATGCATTTTTTTACAGACTCACATATCCGTTCGCAAATTGTGCGCCATCAAGAGTCAACCATGTTCCGGCAGAACCATATATAAGGCCACTTCCAAATCACATGCAGAATCGGAAAAGAAAAATTAAATTTCTCAGCAGTATGAAATGATAACTATGCAATAATTGAAAGGGGACACAGAGGAACACCACGGGTCGCCCAAGATCTATGTACTGTGGTGGGAGACCCGGTCCCTATTACAGATTACCATACCATTACAGGTAACGTCCCGTCCGGTAAGAAAGGAGGCCATATTAGTACAAGATAGTGGTAATTATAGAATGCACACTCTTAGTCCTCTCTCATTTGGCCCTTACAGGTACCTCACTCTATTCTTCACGCAATTACACCAATGTGGGTGGTGGTTTGCTTTTTGGATCGATCCACACGTTGTCAGAGCGGGCAGCCATCAAGTGTTTCCCTCTTCAGTACATACTTGATGATGTCGATGTGTTTGCTACCTTCCAGCCGCAATTTGTCATACAGGTCAGAAAGCTTGCAGATTTTTTTGAAGATTGGTCCTCCCTATTTGCCTGATGCCGATAGCTGATACTCGTAAGGGGGACCTGAAGTATAACGACCCTCCATCAACAACCCAGGACAGCAGCACCTGAATCGAAAATCATTCTGACGGTTTTTCGCAGATCAAGATGTCTTTCAATCAACCAGTTATCTCCTTGAAAATCACAGTCATCGGCGCTGGAATGGCCGGTCTCTCATCAGCAATAGCGCTCTCAGACATAAATCCTGACCACCAGATTACAATCCTGGAATCAAACGCCTCTCTCAGCGAAATTGGCGCCGGACTGCAACTCTTCGCAAACAGCACTCGCGTCCTTCACAAATGGGGCCTAACACCGGCCCTGGAAAAAGTTGCCTTCCAGTCCTCTCACTTGTCAATTCGCCGTTGGGAAGATAACACAGAGCTGTCCGTCAACATGAACAATCCTTCCAGCACATTGCTCTACGGCTGGCCCCAATGGCAGATCTACCGACCAGACCTGCAGAAAGTGCTCTTCGAACGAGTGAAACAGCTGCCCAACGTGTCGATTTTATTTGCGAAATCCGTTAACACCGTGGACTATGAGACCGGCACTGTCTATACGGTAGACGGGGAGATTTTCGAGGCAGATCTTACCGTCGCAGCAGATGGGATCTGGTCTCGATCCAGGCGATGCTTGCCGGCGTCAAAGGATGTGTCCCCAACGGCTTATCGGGAACATAACTACCGTGCTGTGATTCCACGGTCGCGAATGCTCTCCAATACCATTACTGCGCCTTTTATAGCTTCCCCAGAGGCGAAATTATGGGTGGGGTCCGGCGTGTTTGTATTGGGGTATACAGTTGCCTCAGAGGAGTTGTATAATCTTGTTATTGGTGTCCCACGGCCGAGCGAAGGAGTGCCCGTTGGGTCTTGGAATCACCCTGCCAACATTGAGACGATGCGCGGGCTTGTATCTGGGTGGTGTGAGGAAGTGCGAGCGCTGGCTTCTCTTGTTCAAGAGGACTGCGTTTCGTGGACCTTGGGCGAGGTGCCTCCTATTCCCAGCTATGTTAGTACATCTGGAAGAGTAGCGCTGATTGGGGACGCAGCGCATGCTCTTCTTCCTCACGCTGCACAGGGGGCCGGAATGGCGATAGAGGATTCGGCGAGTCTGGCGGAGTTTGTGGGACATCTGAGGTCGACAGAGGATCTGGCGAAGGTGATGAGTGCTTGGAGCCAGTTTAGACAGGCTCGCGTGGATCATCTACGCAATATCAGCCGTGGCAATGCCAGTGATATGACACTTCCGGATGGAGAATGTCAGATTGTACGAGATGAAAAATGGAATGCTATTCGCGACAAGCAACAGGCACAGCTGGCTGAGCTTGGACTTGAGAAGGTGAGAGAGAAGATGATCCGGGAGAGACCCGCGCCTGATCCAGCTTGTAAGAGCACGTTTGAGCCTGGTGGTAGAATGTGGACCTATGGATTTGATGTAAGTGAGGAAAGTAAAAAGTACTGTCGCGAACATCTGGGACTGTAATGAAGGCTTGCTGCATGTCATGACATTTGGGCCATATGATAGTTAAGCAAAATACAAATACGAGGTCATATCTTATTTGACCTCATTATGAAATTCATCGACAGCGAGCGGCTTTATGGTGAATCAGCTACATCTATAGTTCGCCATAACCAAGACCCAATTTATTATCCATGTTACGGTCGGTGTTCGATATAAATCGTTTCGCTATGTGCTCAATTCTAAAGCGGTTGCCACACATGATCCAAAATATAGTATGCATTTCGAAATCCCATGACAGCGGCGCTTCCATCAGAGGGGTTTAAGTGGGGAACAAAATTAAAATGAACTAAAACCCAAGAAGCTAAAAGTCCTCGCAACTCTCACAGACCCGAGAAACTCAAAACACCATCTGTGACAGCACTCCAATCCGCCATAACTTCAACTGGATGTTCGTTCACCTTACCAAACACATTATACATATGTGTTCTGATATGTGGCTGGTGCAGATCAGGAACCAAGCAGAACCATCGATATTAATCCCGAAGTATGTGTATGAAAAATCAAGTTGATTGGACATCAACTTGATCTTCTCGTGGTATATATAGCCTCGCGTTTTCCATTAAATAAATAACAACAATTCATACCTCTGAACTACAACAGAAAGCATCACTCAATCAAAAATCGTTTCGAAGTTTCTGTCAAGGTATATGAGTTTCCACAAGGTAAATTCAATGATCTCTACAGTAGTACTGTAGTGAAGAACAGATCTGATTTTGCCGGCATATCTCTTCCTGCTAGTGTTTGTAAGGTCTCCGGCTCATCTACATGCACTAGACATATCTCTACAGCATTGTCACGTAGAGTCTCGGTTCTGGCCACACAACCCCGTCGTGTTCGATAGATGACGCTTTCTGGATATTGAGCAAATCAAGGACGCAGTGCTTAATTTATACAAGATCTACAGCCAATATGGCATGGCTGCATTCAATGAAAACGTTTTCTGTGGGCTGTGGCTAAGACCCTGCACGACCGTACTCAAAACACAACTCGCTCATCAGCCTCAGTTTCAAACCTACAGCCAGTGCTGAAAATGAAAGTGCTAAAAATGAAACGATAGTGATAGCAAAGCACCTCGTCGCACTAAATCGGTGATCCGCTGCACATCGTTTTCAAGTGTTGAAATCATGATCGTTGACACAAGGTTGAAGCTTGATCAACGCTGCTTCAAAACATTTCAGCACAAAAAACTGATGCCACGCTATGGCTCTTCAGAATTCCTTTCAGCGGACAGGCCTGCAGTTGATTCTTGCCCAAACCATCACCTCAATAAAGGAAGGGTCAACAGGCCCCACTTTACACAGGCATCTTCAATGCCCTCAAAAAGCGACAGACAGAAGAGACTACACCACGGCAATATGAAGCAGGCGGTAAAAAGACAAGCCAAAAACCTATAAATACGGCCTCTTCCCCCGGTCCTCTGTCGAAATACACGTCTGCCTTGTCGCATTGGATTGATTTCCCTCGCACCAGAAGCCGGTAGATGCTGTCGTGCAGCAGACCCATGATAAGTTATTCACCTTTGATTCTCCAAGCTCTTTCTGTACTGATACACACACACACACACACACACAATTTATTAACGCCCGGCGGCTAAGCCGAAAGGGCAACTATCGCTAATCTACTCTTCCACGGTCTCTCTCGCTAGTCCACACGCACATTGGTCTGCTTGAAAAAATTAACAGATTATTCGCTTGCAGTGTGGGGGAATACATCAATTTACCACAATTGGTCGTTGTCGGAGATCAATCCAGCAGAAAAACTCTGTCTTAGAGGGCCTGACAAAACTGAAATTCCCGGGAAAAGTGGTCTGTGTACTCGATTTACCACCCAAATAATATTTCGCAGAGACGCCAGTCCGAAATCACGGAGAATCGCTGGCTCCATCATTTCAGCAGCACATATCGATGAAAACACCAATGCTAGTTAGAGCATATTCGACATTAAGTCATTAAATAAGAAGTATACTAAAGAAGTAATCCGCGAAATAGCCGTCTCTAGCTAAGGGCTATATTTATAATATTATACCTATAGTTTACATTTTTAAGAGTAAGGCACTAAATATATCCTATTGTGATTAGAGACTAAGTCGAAATATCCTTTCATTCCTAATAGACGATCTAATCGAGAAGTATCAGTAAGCACTTTCGATAACGGATTTTCTCCTCCAAATTAAAAGGGAAGGGACGCTAATAACGCTAAATCATTACTTAAATAGCAATTTACAAAAATAGTCAGAGTCAAATGCCAGTTATTAGTTATATATGGCTAAATCTTATTACAGCCGCTAGGAATGAATCGCCACTGTAGCTAAGAAGTCAACATTTTCGGTCAATTTTAAGGGCTCAAAGGAAGAATGTGTTCTAGTTTCTGATCTTACGCAAATTCACCATATAAGTAATTTGCAGCAGATTATGCAAGACATCCACGATATCCTGAAATCGTATTACAAAGTCGCTCGAAAGAGGTTCGCAGACAATGTGTATATGCAGGCGGCAGATTTCTATTTGGTCACCGGGCCTGCAGCACCGATGAAACTGTCTTCCCCGTCCTAGGTCTACAATCTTTCACATGAACGATTAGAGCACATTGCCGGGGAGGAAGTATCTGTCCGGAGGAAGCGTCGTCAGTTGCAAAAGCAGATAAAGGAGCTAGAAACAGGTAGAATGATTTTGCTGTAGCTCGAGTTGAGCTGAGCAATTTGATTTCCTTAACCCAATACCTCACATTCCTCATGATTTGCGTGCAATGCGCCTGGTTGTCATGGTGTTTTGCATCGACACCTGCGATACAACGAAATTACTCCTTAATACCGCAAATAGCAACATGACAAGAAAATTCAACTTCCCAACGGAAGCTGAGAATCGTTTGATAGTGGCAGATCTGGTTGACATGGTAGTTGTCGCTCCCGTCATTTCGATTAACAAGAGCTGCGAAGAGACTCTCAAACGTCGATTCGACGATCACTATGTATAAAACACCCAAAGGAGGCTTTATTCATTGAATGTTTAATCTTTGGAGATCGACCTTCGTGGTTCACCATTCAATGCAATTGAATTGCATGAGAATATTGACGGCGGATTCATAAGCAAGTGGCACCAAGGGTGACGTTGATTCCTGAACGACAATTGACCTCCCTTCGGCTCACCAGAACTTCATTCATCAGAAAGGACGTGTCCAATGGTTTATTGACTTAATAAAAAAGGGGCTCCCGAGAAGCAAATTGCAACGTGTGTATATCAACTCATTCAAGAAACTAGGCAGACCTTTTGTTGGTGATACTTGGAGGTTTGAATTGAATACAAGCATATCATGGCCTCTGAGGGAGTCATTGATACAGATCGGACACCGTACCTCCGTCAGGCTCTGCGTATCTTCTATTCTGGGAATGTAGAGGTATGAATGAAGAATTTGCGTATTCATCAGAGGAGCATCTGCATGGTCTTTTTGTGTCCTTCGGGAAATATCAGCATGCAGGTTGTTAGCCCACTTTTTCACCAGGGTGTGTGTTTGGGTGTCTCATACCTGCTCAATATAGACTGATATTATTATTCAAGTCCTTCTAACGGGTAAAATAATACGTTATATATGATCAGGACAGATTAAGGCTCTAGCTATCGTCCGTAATATTAGAGCAGTAAAGTTGTAAAGCTTTCAATTACGGTAGTATCCTCAGAACCACGAAAGACACGCGACAGAACGATCCTATCCTTCATATACGCGGGCAATATCTAGCATCTCTGATTACGACAGAACTATACTACTTATAAAGGGGAGGTGTCACGTAGGACCCAGCCTGTCCGTCTAAACTTAACACATTTATCACATCTAGATTTATGAACATAGACTAAGTAGTACGATTTAAAATCTAAAAGATTATATACATAATAGTCTCGCAAATCGGCATTTTGTTCTCTAGCACGTCTCCGTGCAGTCTTTCTAGACCAAGCTTTTACGACAGGGCTCTTCTGATGCTAGAGGTTATAACTAAAAACTGAAAATCATCCTATAGGAATATCACCATCTCTTTGAGGTAGAGGCCGGGTTTCATATAGGTAATGACGGAGAACTTCGCCCCAACAAAAGGAACGATCATCAACGGCGTCACAGTTCGTTTTCGTCCTACTCAGCTTTATAGTGCGTATAAGCTTCTAAATTGTCGCAAGTTATTACGGATACTAATGATGATCTGCTTACTGCATTTAGCCTATTCGGCCATTCTAGACGTGGTGAAAGATTCGCTCTCTATCATATCACGGATAAAAACAAGCTTTGCAGGCGAGAGTCCTGGAGCCATATTGCCTGGACCAATAACGGTAAGCAGGGAGCCGTGGTGCAGAAAGTTGCAGCTTATCACGAAAGAAAGAGGGAGAAGAGGGTACCGTCCGTCTAGTGAGCCTGACTCTGAGCGCCCTCACAAAAGCGGCGGCAGTTAAGATAGGAAAGCCCTACCCGGCAGAAGAAATATGTTACGTACAGCTACCTAGGTAGTAAACAAAGATGAGCTGATTTGAATGCATGTACGCTAAAATTTGCATAGCTCCCCTTGCTGTTGTGCCCATCCTTGCTTCTTGTTGCTCTAGATATAGTTCGTCCCAGCCACTAGCTAGCCTATAATAGCTAGCCTATAAAGTAAAACGTAAATGTGAAACCAAGGCAATGGAACTAATACTTATCCACGCGATTTGACTATTCCGATTCATGAGACTAACATCAAGCACTGGATTACAAAGTGTGAGCCTCTCCTTCCACTCAGACATGCAGTCTGGGACACGTGCGCCTCGTACTTGCTAGAAATCAACATCTGCACCTTGCTCTTTACGCATCAAAACCTCCGAACGCGAATTAGTTCTGGAAAGTTTCACCTGCTGCTCCTGTCTTTTCTCTTCATTCTGATGTCCCACTCGTTTAAAACAGGATATCTGCATCCATTCAAAATGCAGCCCATCATGACCCTCTTACGGAATACAATCATATTCTTGCATCTCACATCTGCGTCTTCTCTCCCGGGGAACTCATCCTACGTGGCTGCAGCAGGATTTCCGACATCTGTGTTCTCGTACGATCACTTTTGACTGTCTCAAAGTCATGAACTAATAAACGACAGATATTACTACGTTTCTCCAGCCCATCCAACCAAGGAGCCCCAGCCCATCCTCTATGACCCTGTCCTAGATCTGATATTCCCTTACGAGCTGACCGACCCCGACAATATCCCGGATAACCAAGATGAGGTTTATTTTCCCGTTCCGCCAGTTCACATGCCCGTCAGAGAGAGATATAAACTGGTCCAACAAGCCGTGAAAAATGTGACCCGCATCCTCAATTCCAACTCAACGAACAAGTGCACCAAGTGCAAGCATGCACTGGCTGCAGCCAAGCCCGCAGCACTTCATGCGCCAGTTCTTGTCCCAAATACCATGGTCAACCTCTGCAAGGCATTTGGGTTCCACGCCAACGAGACCTGCGAGCAAGACTTCGCTTCCAACGCCTTCGGTCCGGTCTGGACACAAGTACTGGCATATGCCGATGTTGAGGGTTTGGATGGTCAGTATATCTGCCATTCTCTCCACGAGAAGTGGTGCGATGCGCCGACAACTAGCTCCCTCGACACAAGCAATCTTTTCCCCAAGCCCAAGCCTGCGAATGCTCAGGCGCCCAAAGCGAGTGGCGAGCGAGTCAAGGTGCTACATCTCTCGGACTTCCATCTCGATGCTCGCTACGCGGTCAATTCCGAAGCGAATTGCTCTTCCAATTTGTGTTGTCGGAGTGATAACTATAATGACCTCTCCGAGGACGAGACATTGATTTCTGCTTCCGCCTATGGCTCTTTCCTGTGTGATACCCCATACGACCTCGGTCTAGCTGCGTTGCAGGCTATCGGTCCTCTGACTGGAACTGGTAAAGGGAAGAATGATGACCATTTTGCGTGGACGCTCTACACTGGCGATCTGGTGTCCCATGATCCAGCTCCGCAGAGTTCAAAGGCCTTGACTCAGTATACGGAGACTAGCATCTATGGCATGTTTGAACATTATCTATCGGGTCCTGTATTTGCGGCTCTTGGAAATCACGACACCAGCCCAGCGAATATCGACTCTCCTCATAATCTCCTTGGGCGTCTGGGAGAACAGCAAAGTTGGAACTATGATCATTTGGCTCGACTCTGGCAACACGAGGGATGGATCAGTCGTGAAACGGCTGATGAAGCGCGAACTCACTATGGTGGCTATTCCATCAAGACACACTATGGACTGCGCATCATCGCATTCAACACTGGTACGCTCTCACCTACCAACATAATCCGATTCACTAACCAACCCACTTAGATTTATGGTACAGGCACAACTTCCTAGCTTTCGTCAACACCACCGACCCCGACAACTCCGGCATATTCTCCTGGATGATCTCGGAGCTCCAAAAAGCCGAAGATGCCAACGAACGAGTCTGGATAATCGGGCACGTCCTCAGTGGCTGGGATGGCACAAACCCACTCCCCAACCCAACAAACCTTTTCTACCAAATCGTCGACCGCTATTCGCCCCACGTTATAGCAAACATCTTCTTCGGGCACACCCACGAAGACCAATTCATGGTGTACTACGCAAACAACGGGACCATGCAGAGTGTCGAAACCGCCCTAGCAACCGGCTGGATCGTGCCGAGCATTACACCCCTCACAAATCTGAATAGCGCTTTCCGCCTCTACGAGGTAGACACGGGCGACTTCAATATCTACAACGCTCATACATTTTACAGCAACGTGTCTGAGTACCCGGCCCTGGTGGAAACAGGCCCGACGTTCAAGTTCGAATACTCGACTCGGGAGACGTATGGGCCTGCCGCTGGCTGGGATGTTGATGATCCGCTCAATGCGACTTTCTGGCATCGCGTTACTGAGGCCATGGAGACGGACCTCGGGCTTGTTACTCTGCATAATGAGTTCCAGGGGAAAAGGAGCGTGAAAACTCCTGCCTGTGTCACTGCCGAGTGTCAGAAAGCGAAAATCTGCTATATGCGGAGTGGCAGTGTTGCGTTGGGTAGCCAGTGTCTTCAAGGGTGAGTTTGTTGCTATGTTGACGAAACAGATGAAAAAGAGAGATATATATGTACATCTACTAACTTTGGTTTAGGTTTGGTTCGGTACAGAGTGCTTTCCACCGAAAGAAGCATAAGCATCAGTAGGGAGTTGAATTTGTCGAGACTGACTCCCTAGTCGAACTTGACTACCTCAGTATCTTTAGCAAGTGCGGAAAATGGTATTCGTATCCGAACTGAAACTAGGCCACTTGACAATGCATCTGGACTATCGATTTCATTCTCGGATTAGTGCTTCTGGCTTATCTGATGCCTAAGCCGAATTGCTTCAACAAGACGAGTGGCCCCGCGGTACTAAATTGATTACGTAATCTTGTAACAGCTTTGGGGCAAAGTCTCGAAGTCTTTTTTCTAATGTTTCTGACTACATTCCTCATTTGCTTGGGAATTTACGGTTTCTTCTTTTCGAAGATCAAAACAGGCATATAGAATGAGTGATGGGAGTTATAACGGATGTTCGAAAATATCGATTGAGCCTGTGCAACCAAGTACTACATAACGACGGTGTATGACACTGTTCCTGGTCAAAACTAGTGGAACTGTCAGTCAATGAGGGGAAACATACAAAAAGGAAATGATAGACACAGCAATGGAATGTACATTCTTTGAACAAAATAAGGCCAACTAATTAATTAGGTACACACTGGATATTACTATATTACTTGGGCGCCTGCCCAGGTGGGCAGATAGATCCACGGGCATTCAACAGGAATCTCCCTACACAGGAACAGAAAGATTTTTTAAGGTAGATACAACCTTAACATCCAAAGACAAACTCATTTTGTCATTGACCACTTGAATGATTTCATCTCCAACATTCTATACTCCGCCTGCTCCCGAATGCATGACGTAGCATCGAGATCTAGCTTTTCAAAGCTCTGCCTTTGCCGTCATCACCAGATCTCCGGAGCTTCCGATTTATAACCTCCATCTTTCCCATTTTTCAACTCAGAGGTATACGTACACTAATTATCGCATTACCGCCATTTTCGCAAACCAATCAACCGCACATCGAAATGGGTTTGAAAGTCGTGCAGTTGGGTCTGAGGGCCTGGGAGGTACGTGCAGCTGGCTATAGATACATAGATAGCTTAGCTACTTTACTGTGATCGCGATCGCAATCGCGTTCGAGCTTGTGCTTGTGCTAACTTAAACACAGTTCATCTGGTCGCTCCTCCTCATGGCCCTCCTCGGTAACATGATCGCCGAAGCGTTCGCCGGAAACCCTGCGACGGTCAACTACTCGATCTTCTGCTCTGTATTCTCGATGCTCACGCTCTTCTACACGATCCCGGCATCCTTCAACATCGACTGGGCCGGTCACCCCATTATCATGATCGTCCTGGACTCGCTAAACTGCGTGTTCTTCTTCTGCGCGGCTATCGCGCTCGCTGCTAAGCTCGAGTGTCACTCCTGCAACAACACAGTATGTTAATGCCTGTGTCCTGCTCGCACTTTATATATATTCATATATATATATATATATATAAATATCTGGACATACCAATGCTAATGTCATTCTAGGAGTACCTCAAGAACAACGAGATCACCAACGGCTCAAACAACATGACCAAGCGCTGTCGCGAGGCCCAGGCTTCCGTTGCGTTCCTCTGGTTCGCATGGGCCGGGTACATGGCTTCCGTCGTTGTCTCGGTCTTCATGTCTCGCGCTTCGACAGTGAACCTGCGCGGCCGGACTGGTAGTGCTCGTCGTGGTGGCGGTGCGCCAAGCATGGCCCAGGTCTAGAGTGAAAAAGAAGAGCTTAATCCGGGCGTATGTTGAGCGGTTTGATAGGCTCGCGTCTGCACGGTGTACTCCTTACTTCGTTTATGGATGCTTGGTAATATGGATACTGGAATACTCTGAAATTATAGGTATTGGTTCTGGTTGTGGTTATGGGAACAGGAAGGGCGTTGAGAGTATAGGTGCTTGTAGGATGGGTTTTGGTTCTCTCTGGTTTTGGTCACGATATCCATGACACGACTTGATGTGAATCGCCTCTATTCTATTAGTCTCCCTTGGGAGGCGTTTTGATAATTCATGTGCTACTACTTATTCATTAATAATATTTGTTTCGGTTGATTATTATTTTGCTTGGGATGACTGACTGCTAGTTTGGGGCTCTACTCGAGATTGAATATGTATTTGTAGATGCCCACCCAGGCGGAACATTGTGAAATATAGGGTGGTTGTTATTGGCGCCTGGTTTTTCGATACATCTTATGGAGGTATACCTAGGTGAACGTTGCATATTACATTGATGGACAAGAAACTTGAAATCAAAAAGAACAATGTGGTATGATCATGTCGATAACATAAAAGTTGAGGCTCTGAGAGTATTGAATTTAAAAGTTCTAGACGCCCAGGTGCATTACTGTGCTCATGTATCCTAACAATCTAAAGCTGTGTACCTTCGTCATGGGGGCAAAGGTTGACTCATGGAGGCCCCGTGCGCAAGGAACACAACTTGGAATTCGAAAGCTTCAAAGACCATCTTCTGCTCTAGCTATCAAGTACTTTGTATCTTCAATCTCCACGTTTATTAATCTCAAGCTAGGGCTCAGCGGGGCAAAACTCCCCTCCGCTCCACCCAAAGAATTTCTCCAGAGCTTCCGCTCTGACACCTTTCCCCATCCCTTCACTTCACATCACCATCAATATGCCCGTCCAGTGAGATTCCCTAGCTTTCCCCCATGCAATTTGAAACCAGTGACTGACTTCCACCAAGCTACCTAATTCTACTGTCCCGACAGGGCAAAGTGGTATGCCTCGTCGCCCACCCAACTACCAGCCGACTCAAGCCCGAACTAATCACAACTCCTTTCTAGCGCCTCGCAAAGTGGTTCACAACCCTCTCCCCCAAGGAGAAGGCCAAGATCATCAAAGATGTCACCCAGCTAGTGCTGTCCCGCCGGACGCGGATGTGCAATTTCCTGGAATACAAAGGTGGCTTTTTACCCCCGCACGACCCCTTTTCTCGCAGGACACTGCAGGACACTGACTGACATTATGATTACAGACTCGAAAGTCGTCTACCGTCGCTACGCTTCCCTTTTCTTCATCGCTGGCTGTGCCTCGACCGATAACGAATTGATCACACTGGAGGTGGTGCACCGATATGTGGAGCAGATGGACAAGTACTATGGCAATGTCTGCGAGTTGGACATCATCTTCAACTTCCAGAAGGCATACTTTATTCTCGATGAGTTATTGATAGCGGGAGAAATGCAGGAGACGAGCAAGAAGAATGTTCTTCGTTGTATCAGCCAGCAGGACAGTTTGGAAGATATGGAGGTGAGTTTGGCCAGTTCTCTTTCATCGTGTCAATTTCATCTTGCACTCGGGGTTGTTCTTTGCCATTTGTCTCACAGAGCTTTATGGCTATACTTGGATACTGTTCATTATCTGCCTACACCCTTACCCCCTCACCCCCTTTACCCCATTACATCCCCATTATTCTATGCGTCAGCCATGGCCAAGTTCAGCCGGGCTAATTATTTCAGGTTGAGGAAGATGTGGTCACCAAGATCATGTAACACCAAGCAAGCAGGCTTGCCCGGAGTACATAGGTTTACAATACTAATGAATACAAAATTGTTTCAGGAATCGGAAGATATCAGTCGCAATCTGGAAGAAGTCGGACTGTGATATGCATATGATAAGTGATTACATGATAAACCGTGGAATCAGAAGTCGCCCGTGAGGTCAGTGCGGGCTCTCACTGGCCACTCCTTCCACACGTGACCCTTTCCGGTCATCCCCCCATCCCAAGGATCCCATCTTCTTGCATTATATTCATCTGATTCCCTGTCTTTTCTTGATCTTGTTCCTGTTGATATCAATTTGCTACAAATTACGTTGAACGGTTTAAGTTGTGTGTCTCCCCTTACCCCCAGAGTCCCTGTTTGCGGTTATCGCCGATCGACATCATCACGTCTCCACCTTCGGCGCAACCACCCGTGTTATCACATTGCGCCCTCGTCTCTCTTCGTCTTCAAATCGCTCTTAAAGTCCGTTGACCAGGATCGAAAACCGTGAAACGTCATCTCAGTGCTTATCGGCTTATCTCGGGGTTGCTCCACTGCCCCATTTTACTCACGATGAAGGTGAGTCTAGCGGTCGCAGGCAGTGCTGCAGACTGAACTTCCAACGTGTCATTCCGTACTAAACCATAATTTGAATCTAGTTTCTTCCATTGCCAGAATTCGAGGACGTGACCAGTTCTCTCAATTTCGATACAACCGACTGTCACATCGTCGGTGGATGCGACATTTACACTACGAAGGCCGCCCGCTCGGATCGGAAGCTCTACAATCACATCGAGCAATCCCTTGAAGCTCAATATGAATCAGTTCTTCGATTTTCCGCGTCACTTTCACCTCCAAATGCTCACGAAGCCGCCGAGACCCTCAATCTATCGCGGTCTAGTCCGTTCGGCCCCCTGAGCGACCACTCGAGTCGACGGACTTTCGCTTATCTGATTGCTACTCTCAACGCCAGCCACCCGGACTACGACTTCTCACAAGTTCTGCGCCCGACGGATTTCCGACGCGAGCGGAATCTTAAGCGGGTCATGAATTCAGTTGACTCAACGCTCTTGAATCTGCGACCGCGCGAGAATATCAACTTGTCTCCCGCATCACCCACCACACTTTCCGGATCTTACACCGGAGGATCATCTTCCTCACGGGGTCCACGTATTTGGAAAACAATCGATGAACACATGTCGCTGAAGGAGTGTTCAATCTACTCCTATCTGCCGGAAGAAGACCCTTCCGATGCCGACGATGGGGCCATCTGGAGTCTCCACTATTTCTTCTTCAACCCACTCCGCAAGCGCGTCTGCTACATCTATCTGCGCGCGATCCCCATCCTCAGCCACACTCCCGACGACATGGTCGCTACGCCTAATGCCAAGCGGACCTACGATGATGGATATCTCACACCGGACCTGAGTTCCAGCAAGCGGGCCAAGTTCTGGTTTGGCGAACGCGCTAGATCCACTCTTATCGCTAGCGATAGCGATGACGAAATGGATCGTCCTTCTAGGAACCGACCTTCCGTGGGTGGATACGATACGTACATCGTCAGTGATGAAGAGGATCACGTCCCTCGACGTGGAGTGCGTGCTATGAGCGAGGAAATCGCTGACTCGATGGAGGTCTAAGAATGGCTTTCTCTTTTGCCTTTCGTTTCTTGATCATTATTTTGCCCCGTTGATCGGGTTTGAAGGATTTTTTTATTTTCTAGCCGAGGTGTTGGTTTGGTATTTCTGGCGCAATCAACATGCATGTTCTCGTTCTGCAGGGGGCGCTATTGAATAGTCAGGATTGATATAATGCCCCTTGTCGCTTCTTTACTTCGATTGTGTCTATTACTGCCTAATATCATCAATGTCTATTTGGATTGCTATGCCAACATAATTTTGGAAGAACCTTGCGTCTTACATACTATGGAGTAGAGCGCAGTAAGATGCTCTTCATATGTTACAGTTTGCTCATACGATAACAAAGTGGCCTGCAAGAATTTTATTGATCAAGCATTCGAGAACAGTACTTCTCGGCTTCAGCCCTACAGGGGCTCTTTCAGTCTGTACTCCGGACCTACGCCATGTATGCACCTACTAGACCCCTTTAGGCAAAACGTCTTCTTCGAAATAATAGATTAGATTGACTACCTCTGCCAAGTATATCCCCCGGGTCTATGGTATCTTATGGTTTTCATATTGCCCATCGCGAGCGTACCTGGCTTCTCATCTCCCAAGGCCATTCCAGGCGGCTCGTTAGGCAAAGCTATTCAATGTCGCAGTTTGTTATACAGATTTGAGGCTGTGTTGGGGAGCGGTGTTGTATGACACAGTACGTGTTTTGAATCAAGTGGTCCTCGCGTTAAGAGAAATTTACGACGATGTTCATAGAGAGTTTCATATAATCACTTTCATCGATTAGAATAGTTTTGGGCAACTATTTAAGAAGCTATTTTTGCCGTGCGAATTTGTCTTTTCTATATTATCGAGCATTCCCTATCTATCTACAAATTTCCAGTTTGTCCATATCATATATCCCCCATGAACCTCACTGAGCTTTTAACTGAAGAGAATGATTACGCAGTTTGGTCAAGAAGAGTGATATAGTTTACTCATTCATTGGATTTCATAACAAAGATTTATCATAGAAAAGACATAGATGCTAAGCGAGTGAGTGTCGCAAAGACTGCGCAAAAAACCCCGAAAAAAAGCAGCAACGTGAGAAGTATTAACCTCTTCATTCTCAAGTCGAATCAAAGACTGTGCATACCTTTGCCTATCCAGAAATCGATGAACTTTCTGATGAGCTCAGGTGAGAGCGGGACATGAGAAATATCGCCACGACCAGAAATCGCCTTCAAAGTATTCGTGCAGTCATAAACTGGTGTATATTTGCTTGTCTGAAGACGCGTAGCGCCTCGTAGAACAGGTTCCGCAAGCAAGGGCATCAGAGAAAGCAAAGGGCTTGATTCGAGCGAGTTCCAAGCTTGCAATTTATCCAACCAATCTTGGTACGCGATTTGCTCAACTGGGAATCCAGCTTGGTTGATCATCACGCACAAATCTTCCATAGTGGTAATCAGATCTTTATCCGGTACACTCAGCGTAAAGGCACGTCCAATATTGTAGTTACTCGAAGCGATGTGCACAATGGCATCGCACACGTACTCCACAGTGACATATCCCTGATTCTGGAACTCCAGCTGCGGATAATACCCGAATTGGATGCATCCTATGATCATCCGGCTGAAGAAGTCGTCCGGATTTCCAGCGCCTGTTTTGCTGTCCCCGACGACAAATCCAGGACGGTAGATCACAACCGGGAGACCTTTGTCCCGTACCCTCTGCACCATTTCATCGGCCACCCACTGGCTTTGCGCATAGCCGGTATCGAATGGCAGGGAGGCAAGATGGGTCTTGAGAGGACCGTCTTCGGTCACAACATCTGTTCCGAGGATCAGACCAGTGACTGCCCAGACATCGATGGTGGAGATGTAGTGGAGCGTCTTTCTGCGCCCTTCTGCTGCAACCCGTAGAATGTTCCTGGTGCCTATAATGTTCTGCGCGTAGTGTCCGCTATATGTATCGCACCAGTTTATCTTCGCAGCTGAATGGAAGACGGCGGGTGCCCAGCCAATGAGCCATTGGTAGTCGCTTTCTGAAAGACCGAGGCGATCCTTCGTCATATCCCCGTCCAGAATTATTATCTTGTCCAAGTTCTTGGAAACGTCTTCGTTCCACATGTCGTATTTTTTGAACGTGTTCTTAATCCGGTCTAAGGGCGAAACTTCTTCAGTACCTCGAGTGAGGCATGCTATTTCTTTCATGGATGGCATGGCGAGGAATCGATAAAGAAGATTGACTCCGACGAAACCGGTAGCCCCTGTGAGGAATAGACGGCCCTCAGACGGCCATTCGGGAATCAATTGAATGTCATCGGCCAGATGGCTGTCGGCTTCAAGTTGTAAGATCTCAGACGGTCCATAACTTATCTCATTGGTTTGATGAAGGCGTTCAGCAACAGCCTCCACTGTTGGCTTGCTATATAGATCTTTCATCGACAGTGAAGTTCCGAATTTTTGCTTAATCGAACCTAGAAATCGTGCAAGCTGCAAAGACGACAGACCGAGAGCAAGGATGTTGTCATCGGGCCGGATTTCAGAGTTTGATAGGATTTCTTCCAACAAGCTCGTAACCATACTGAGTGGGTTATCGTTGTCCTCAGTCACATGAGACCCAGAAGAGTCCGAGGATTTGACCATCTCTTTCAACGCGCCACGATCGAATTTGCCCCGGGAATTCAACGGAATCTCAGAGACAATTTTGATTTGATCAGGGACCATGTAATGAGGATGGTGGCTTTGCGTCCATTTGGTGATTGAATCGGGGTCCGCCGAAGCGTCATTTGCGAGAACAACAAAAGCCGTAAGACGGTCTGACGCAAGAGTATCATCGGCTTTCTCATATACGCAGGCCGCTGCTTCAACGGCCTCATTTGATGTAATCGTCCGCTCAACTTCTTCTAGCTCAACACGGAAACCCTGCCGTTTGATCTGGAGATCTTCACGTCCAATGTAGTGCAAGCTTTTTGGTTCGCCTTTCCACATCGCGATATCACCAGTCCGATAAAGTCGTACAGTTTTCGTTTGACTGTTATCCTCGGGATTTGCAAGTTTGACCTCGATAAATTTCTCTTCATTTGCCTCTGGGCGATTCAGGTATCCGGCGGATAACCCTGGTCCTCCAATACATATCTCACCAGGAGCTTCATTTTCGACAACAAGCTTCTGATCTTTATCCAAGAGGTGCACCACGGTATCTCCAATTGGGAGTCCGGCACTGATAGATTCGGATTCCGCCTCTTGAAGAGTTACTCTCTGCAATGTTGAAAGACACGTGGTTTCTGTCGGACCATAGCCATTCCACAGATTTTCAGGAGGGCCATCACTGCTGAGGATACTTTGCATTGTCTGAAAACTAGGTGACTCGCCAGCACTTATAACATGCCGAAGATGTTGGAAAGCGGAAGGGGTGTTTGTGGAAACCACATTAAGGAGGGCATAGGGCAGTATGACTGCAGTGATGCTCTTGTCTTTCAAAAACTCTGCAAAGGAAACTGGATCTTTGATGGTCGAATTTGGAATGTGGACCACCGTAGAGCCCGAGAGCAAGGCGACCCAAATTTCAAAGAAAGAAAGATCAAAACCTGGGTTGTTGAGCTCTCCAATTCTATCTCCTGGACCAAATTTCATCGGGAGGGAGTCGGTGAGGTGGAGCACCGCCTTCGAAGAGATTTGAACAGCCTTGGGCTTTCCAGTTGATCCTGAGGTATGGAGAATATGACTTCTGTGGCCTTCTGGCTGTCCAGAAAGTGGCTGTATCTCGCCGTCTTCATCGTCTAGATCTTTGGTATCCAGGACTGCATCGATAGAAACAACCTCAAATTGGGACACTTTTGCCGATGTGTTGTTTGTAGTCATGACATATCGAACGCCCAGCTCTGAGAGCATAGAATGTAGTTGAGCATCAGGGACAGATGGATCAATAGGTGTAGAAGTTCCACCTGCTCTCAGCACCGCGATTTGGGCAACGACTTGGTGCCAGCCTGGGCCAGCGATAATACCGACGGGCTCTTCGATGTTCAAATCTTTGTCGAGGAGGTTCAAAGCCAAAATGCTCGCTTTGACCAGAAGTTCATGATAAGTGAAACTATGCTCTCCATCGATAATAGCCAGATGGTCGCCGAATTCATTGGCTCGATTGCAAAGTAGCTGTTCCATCTTCGTTGGGTGATCAATGTCTCATGTATCGTTCGGAAATATGAAAGGGTGTCAGTCAGCTCTCAAGATAAAGAGCTAGTCTGTTGGATTCTGTTTGTTGGTGGAATTTAGCGCGGTCAAGGAGGTCCTTATATAGTATAGAGATCTAAGATCTTCCTTCGATTTCTAAATGTGACGTAGTTAAACCTCGATAATATGGGAAATTATCGAGGTCTGTTCTTGAGATATGACTGAATTGCACCATGTATCGGAAATGATCTTCATGGCTTTGTTGATTGTCTCAAAGTCTATCCAAGTTTGAAGAACTCATGATTCCATATAACCCTTCTTAAAGCAACTTGCAGCTCCAGACTGTATTCAATCGTATGTATATAGCCTTTCCGGGAAATTCCAAGGTTCCAGGCTTCTATGTCAGCGGTTGCCTTAGAGATATTCAAACTTTATCTTTGCCACGAGTTTGACGATCAGCATACGCCGCTGTTGTTCACGGTCGTTAATTCCACCAACTGCAAAAATTGTAAGCATATATTCTACGTCTCATAGGTTTTTTTTCTCGCGAAACCGTGGTGCGGCTAAATGCGAAGATCAGAGCTTATTCCAGCGACTTGTTCCTATTGCAGCATCTAGAGCAAGATATCAGTACCTAAATTGAGTACTATAATGTACTTCCTTACATTGAACAATTTAATTACCCCATTGCTCGGGCTATGTTTGCTCTAACGACTTGTCAAGAACGTGGATCGAGATGGAAAACATTTTAGACTTTGAGGTTGGATAGCAGAATGAATTCTCCCACGTTACACAGAACTATAAAACCTGCAAAGATAGAGGTGTGACAGAATGTCAAACCGTCATCTTACAAACAGGCCAATAGGTTATCAATATAAAGTCTAGAATATGCTCCTATCACCTGGAACGGTATGAAGAAGGTAGATCTTATGCAAAGAACAACCTTCTTCGCGGTGAGTAGGACTTGTTTGTGACGAGTAGTCAATAAACCCTGTAATCATGAAATGTGATGATTCATGCCCAGCTTATAGATCCAGGATATAATTTTAGATGTCGGAATATGTTTTAAAAAAAATATGAGACAAAAGAACTTGATTTCTGACTATGAACTTATTCATTAGGGTCTTTGAAAATTCTTGCTGATCTGTCTATTTTGATATTTATCATGAGTCTGTGAGATATCAAAATTGGTGGCGGATTTGATTCAAGTTTCGCTCAGATCTAGAAGCAGCGCTTTATTCAAATGTAGAAGACAATCCATTTTGTATTGAATAACGCTCGACAACTAGGTTGAGAATTCGAAGTTCAACACCTCTAGACTGACACTTAGATGCGCTCTCGATGAATCCTTCCCACATGCTTCTCATTTTAACTATTTGATTGAAGGGCTTATCACACCTAGGGCAGTTGAAGGGGCGTAGAGTAACATGCTGCGTTTTGACATGGCGCATCAACGAATTCGTAGCGGAGAACATTCCGCGGTACTTGCAGTCGTCTAATGGCATTGAAAAGAGCTGTGGCAGTCCCTAGAATGAAAAATAAGCCGTCAATGCTAGTCTTTAATTCGATGATAGATGGCTTATTCTTAGTCTTTTACTCCAAGGTGGCAGGCTGGTTTTTCTTGAGTGAGTTGCATGTCACTGCTCTTTTAGGATGTTGGAAATTGGGAAGTATATTCAGAGGGCGGGGCCCTGATGGTGTATGGCCTTGGACTGAAGTAATGTTTCGGTGGTAGTATCCCACCTGGCAGAGGAACCCTGGGTAGTGGCAGAGTTCAATATCTGTGGTGAGATTCATTTTCAAGCGGAGGGAATAGGTGGTCTTTATATTCCAAGATGATTGACGGGAATCGAATTGAGTCAGGGCTCTGTACACATCACGATATAGAAGGTTTGAGCATCTCAGATCCAACTACAATGTATGTAAGTCGGTGGGGCTGTACATCCCTTGAACCCTACAGGGCAAAACACCTTGTTGGTGAGGGGCTCAGAATACACAAATGCTTCAGCAGTACAGGGGGCACAAATGTCGTATGGGAAGTGAGTCCCAAATTAGGTATGAACGACCAAAGCTATAAGGGCATTACAACTGTAGCTAGGCATTCAACTCATCAGCCCACCATAAACCGGCTTGGTTGGTTTCCTGAGATTTCTGAGCCCCACGTCGTGAATATCCTTCGGCATTGGTTCCATTCGGAGAGTTGTGCCAAGCACACGGGATTATTATGACACAGTGAAGTGCATCATTGCAAGATCATGGTTCAGGGACTGTAAGGATAAGCCAAAAAGGTACAAATGAAGTGAGCCTCACGCAAGGAGCCCTGGAGAGTTGTTTTGAGGACTCGAACAATATGGTCCTCTCCACAAACCAGCTCCCAGTGCCTGTGAATCTATTCTGGCAATGCGTACATGAAGAAATCTTGATGCTTGTTCCACTATTCTGTGCTTATGTCTCTAGTGCATCTGCTACTCGGGGTGGTTCTACATAAATCACTACCAATCTTGCCCTAGCTGTGGTGAATGGATCTGCTCAGACTGCCCACGTCGCAGGTCACCTTGAGATAGATTGCTAGCTAGACATATCTGGAAAGACTATGTTCTAATGTGAAGCATGAGATTATCATTGTAACTAACCTGGCTTTGGTAGGGAAATCTATGTCTAGTGGCCAATGATCTGTCTTCGCCACAGAATTATCGAGATATCAGTACTCAATTAGCCGGGATAGTTGGCTACTAGGCTAAAAATAAATAAGGCACTGGAGTTGAGTCTTGTATTGCAGTACATCCCCTGAAATTATCGTAGAGTCAGAAGGCCCAGTGAAAGGAGCTGATGATTCTGCTGGGACCGCCAACGAGCCGGACAAAATCTTTGGACGGACGCTCAAGCAAAAAGACCTAATTCGAGCTCAAAGAGATGGGCTCTCAGCGCGGGATAGTATAACATCTATCAGCAGCTTCAACGATTCCCTTGCGAAGGCAACCATATTCTCAGCCCGATTATTACTTTCCGTGTCAAACTCGCGCTTGACCTGTCCCTGCGCAGTCGATACAGCCATAGCTACGTAACCACTGCAGGAGTTTAGATATATGGAAATTTCACTGAGAGGTTTTACTTACGGTATCCGATTTCTCGTCGTCCCGCCTGTCGGCCCAGCGGTGCCGCTCTCACTGACCGCATAGGTCGAGCCTAGGGTGAGCCGGGTATGCTCAGCCATATTGGCGACGATCTCTGTTGTGGGACCTTTGTAGTCTTTAATGTTTTCCTGTGTCCAGCCCGCAAATGCGAGGCGGGATTCTAGGGTGTAGACAGTGAGTCCGCCTTTGTATATGGATGATGCACCCGGGGTAGATAGGAGAGAGGCGGAGATGAGGCCACCTGCAGCCTAATAGCAAGATGTTAAAATATTTTTGTCTTGGTTTGACTAGGTAGATGATCATAGATGATCATAGATGGAATATAGATGGAATTTTGTACATACCGTCTCGGCAACAGAAACGGTTTCATTCCGAGCTTTGAGAAGGTCAGAGATCTCCTGAAGGAGGGGCTGGAGACTGGGTGGGGGAAATTCTGCCATTGTCTCGTATGTCACTAAGTGTTGATGGCGATATAAATCTGTGGTTCGAGGTGGTTGATGTTGAGGCAAGATTGTGTCGGAATATATTTCAAGTGAGATAACTCGGTGAGCGCATAATTACACCCACATATGATGCATTGCATGAATGTACATACTGGTAACTACCTAGGTACATGTACGTGCTATATTACTCGTCCTTCACTTCTTTGAATATGATATTGAATTATTTTTCCTGATACCTAAATAGACTTGATATACTATTTTAGTATCAATGTTTACTATGACATAGAATGAATCCAGCTTCATGGAGAGAATGAATTTATAACCAATCGGGAGTATACCAATGTTTTCTCAAAATATCAGCACCAACTTAGCCTATACTCACCTATATTCAAGCAATAATATAGCATATTGACTGCATATGTATATCTAATTTGTCGCTGTATACATGTCCTCACTGACGTATAGATCGGACACGTGGTCCGTGCATTGGGGAAAGCTGTCCATTCTCTCCCTTCCGCTTCATCTTGTTCATTTCATATTTAAGACAACTCATTATGACCGAAGAAGAGGAGCGCGTTAAAGCTGAGAAGCTGGCAGCAGCCAAGAAAAGGGTATATATCTAAGTGATTGCGTTGTTTGGTCATCCTTTGGTTCTAACGCCCATTGTTTTTGCAGGTGGCTCAGCTCCAGAAAAAGAAGAAGGCCAAGAAGGCCTCCACCACTGAAACAGACGCACCCAAGGAGCCCGAACCAACAGAGTCATCAGTAGAGCCATCCACAGAGGCTGAACCCACCGAAGATGCTCCCGCCCCAGAAACACCACCGGCAGACGCCCCCGCGGAGGCAGACAAGCAGGATGAACTAGTCGTTGAATCCGAGCCCGCAGGAACCGAGCAGCCCAAGGGAGCAGAGGAGCCGCAAATGGAGCAGACTAACGATACACTGGTCGAGTCTCCGCTCGAACCGATGCCCCCAGCGCCCACATCTCCTGGCCCGGACGCTGAGCCATTACCGAAGCTCGATACACCCCGCGCCAACCATGGCCGACAGCCATCTCTATCGATCCAATCTAAGATGCGCTCATCCTCCTTTCGCAAAACATCAGTTTCGCAAGGCAGTGTCTCCCCCTCTCCATCCTCTACGCTCAAGTCCCCCGCACAATCATTACCGCCCCTGACTGGGGATGGAGACTCAGTTCACGAAGTGTTCCGCAAACAGTCCGCGAAGATTGAAGAACTAGAAAAAGAAAACAAGCGCTTGGAGAAGGATTTGTCGGATGCGACGACGCGCTGGCGCAAGACGGAGGAGCAGGTGGAAGATTTGCGCGAGGCGAGTGTTGACGGTGCGGAGCTGAAGGAGCAGTTGAAGAAGGCCGAAGAGCAGGTCGCAAGTATTGAGTCATTGGTATGTATCTTTGGTTTCTGAGGGCATGTAAGTTTGCTAACTGATATAAAAGAAGGACGAAATTGCTTCTCTCCAGCGACAAAACTCACAACTGCAAACGCGCTCACATCGGAACACAAGTGCTACAGAGTCACCACCAGTCGACCTGGTCCGCCAGCTCGAGTCTAAATCGGCCACTATTGAATCAATGGAACTAGAGATCTCGAACCTGCGCGCTCAGGTCACTTCTCAGACGTCCTCTAACGTTGCGCACGAAGCACAGGTCGCAGCACTGGAAGAGAAAGCCTCGAAGAGCCAGTCGGAACTAGAACGGTCACAACGCGAACTGGCAGACACAAAGCAGGCATTGACACGGGCATCCGAGAAAGCAGTCAAGGAAGGTGTCGACAAGACATCCACAGAAACCTTGATAAGGTCTCTTCAGCGCGAGATCGAGGACCACAAGAACGAAAAGGTCGAGTCAGAGAAGAAGATCGAGGTACTGGAAAACAAGCTACAAGCCATAGGCAAGCTCCACAAAGAAACCGAAGCCCGACACCAGACACGACTCCGCGAGAGCGAGAAATCCGAGAAAGACATCGCCGTCATGCGCAAAAAGATCGCCAGCATAGAAAACGAGAACCTCCGCCTACGCGAAGAAAGCGATCGCATCCGCACCCGCCAAGCAGGTGGCGGCGCCGACGATGACGCCTTAGATGAACTTGAAGACGAGGAACGCCAGCGTCTCGAGCGCCGCATCCGCGAGCTGGAAGGCGAGGTCTTCGATTTGCGCCGTGGCGTCTGGCAAGAAAAGCGCCAGGAAATGGAATACTATCCAGATGATGGGCCAAGCCCTGCCTCCGGCGATGCAGCCAACGCATTCGATGACGTCGATCTTGTTGGCGGACGGCCTGAACATGCCCGCCGTCGCAGCATGGGCCAACAGCAGCAGCACTCGTCTTTCTCGACGGTTCTGTCTAGTGGCTTCGCTGCCTTTACGGGGGCTGGTGGGAACCGTGCTCGTGCTTCGTCGTCTAACCCGCCCCATCCGCCTGGTACTAGGGGAAGTCTTGAGCTCGTTTCTGAGGAGAATCTTGATGACGAATTTGATGAGAGCGCGTTCGCACTAGCGCAGGCCGAAGAGGAGGGTCGAAAGCGTGTTGCCTGGATGCGTGATATCAAGAGCAAGCTTCGCGACTGGAACGGCTGGCGCCTGGACCTGGTGGATAGTCGTGCTGGCGCGGAGGGTGCTGGCGTTGGCATGGGCGAGATTTTCGAAGTCTAGTTTGTCTCTTTATGAGGTACATTCCCATACGAGCGACATACACGTTTATTATATACCAGGTCTGAAACGGACCAAATCAACTTATGCAAACTCCCAATGCAATTGTAGGATATCCAACATAAACCAGACTAAATGTGAATGCAAAGTAAAACCAAAACAATCGAATGCTAATTTAATCCGAAGAAGCCTTTCCGGTCAAATATCCTTCAGACGAACGGTTCTTCCTCCGGCCCCAGACGTCCCCAGCCCAAGACGTAATCTGATAAAGCCAACCACCAGTGACAAGCACACCGGAAACGGTATTGATCACACGAATCAACAGCGACAAAAAGCCCGCTCTCTCCTCGCTGACCAGCAACAGGATCGGCTCAATGTTATACTTGAAGAAGATCCCCGGCACAAGCATCGGCGACTCGGGAATCGGCCCGGACTGGCTTGTCGCCGCATACTGGTTCGTGAACACAGTGTTGCGCCCGTACCGTGCGGCCTTCTCAGGCGAGCGCGTGTACGCTTCCAGCGCACCCTTGCCGCGACTGTACAGGGTCGGCACGACGGAGAGGAAGTACTGGAACTTGTAGTAGTGGGCGTCACTCTCGGCGATGGTCTTATCGAGCGGGTTCAAGAGATTGGGGTAGTGAGGGCCGAATGAAAGTTCTGTGATCATGTGCGAGAAGTTGAAGGCTGGATTCGGTGATTAGCACTGGAATATCAAAACGCCAAGAGGAAGATCAAAAGAGAAAGAGGGGGGGAAGCATACAGCCGTGATCGAGATGCGGCGAGTTCTCACGGTACCCATGGCCACGCGCGGTGATGTGGAAATCACCCTGGACCTTGTTACCCTCGAGACTGCCGTAAATGCGACATGCGTCTGGGACATCGCCGCGGCGCATGCGCGGGCCCTTGGGGAACTTGCGGCGCGGATTATGGCGCACTTCCCCCAGGACATGGCTGACGTGCGAGTCGGCCTCCTGCTCCGAGAGTCGGTCTGCTTCTTCGTGGGACAGGGTCTGGTATTCGTGGCCGGCGTAGGTGTCGTAGTTGCGCTTCTGCATCCAGAGCATCCAGCTTGTGTCTTCGCGGGTTAGCAGCTCGCCGGCGAGGATGCGGTCGCCGGCTGCATCTTGGATGTTGATGCGGAGGGCTTCGCAGGGCATGTCGACTACTATGTCGAGGTTTAGCTGTAGCTCGTGCGAGACACCCTTTTCAACGCTGAAGTGGTAGTTCTCTGTGCCGCGCCACCATGTTTTTAGTTCGGACCAGCTGAAGACGGTGCAGATTAGGAGGATGAGGACGGTCCATTGACCTCCGCTGCGGGTTGGAGTTGTGTAGGAGGCTTTTGTTTTCGCTGTGGAGGATCTTTTGTTAGCTTGTGAGCGAGCGATGGTGGCTTTGGAGGTGATCAATTTTATGTGTACTCACGGAAAGCATCGAAGGTCTTCAGGCCCGCTAGAGCTTTATTGTCGCCGAAGGCATCTTCGTCCAGGCTCTTCTTTTCAAAGCCATTCATTGCGATCAATTACCCATAAATGTAGGGCCAATTGCAGAACAAGTGGTTGTTGGAGAAGAGTGGAGTAGTAAGTAAATAAAGATAAGACGATGAGGCCAAGTAGCCCGAATGCGCATGCCTCGCGTCGAGTCCATGTGTTGTAATCCTTTTACTCGACTACAAAATTGTATAACTGCATATAATTACCTGTATCTACTTCTCTGTTACTATTTTTTGTTTTGTAGATAAATATTCTTGTTTTCACATCTTATTTGCAAATTCATTGGATAGTCATTAATTCAGTATGGAAGCCACAAGACACGTCAAATCACTCTACACATAAGCGCTGGCGATACATCGTGAACTCTTGGTAGAAATGCATAGAGATAACAATGTACAATCACAGGGGAATAGCCCTGTATGGGGAGTCATCAAGTATAAGAAAAAAGCGAAGGGAAATGCATCAGCAAAGATAAGGTATAAGCGATGGGACTTTCACGAAGTCGTACAATGCAAATGTAATCACAAAGAAGGGGGGTATAACATGAATCATGCATCTCAAGGTACAAAATGCTGACATGAAAACCGACCCGATGCAAGTTTAGGAAGCGAGCAAAAGTTGAAAAAAAAAGGAAAACCAGGAAATACAACAGAGTTAATATTACAGGGCATTGGGAAGACATGGAAAAAAATCATTTCCTCTGTCAGCTGGTCAGCATCTGGTTCTGTGACCCTGATTTGGCCGGCCTAACTCACCAGGCTTGTCGCAGCCGCCGCAGTTGCGAGGTCTGGCTTTCCGCTGATGCTCCGAGCGGAAACGCGAGGAAGTGCGGACCCGTGGGCGGTGATATTGCTTGACCCTCGCTTGCCGGGGCTGGACGGGGGACCATTGACGGTCGAGTGGCGCTTCCCACCTTTGACGGGGGAAGTGCCAGAGACATCGCGAGTGCGGGAGAACCCGCTCTTGAGCGTTGTGCCCGGAGGATCCGGAAGAGGACGAGATGTAGACGTGGCACCGCGCTTGGATGGCGAATTAGATGAGTATATCCTGGGCCGAGGGGCCTTGATGCCAGTAAGGAACTCGTGTTTCAACGCATCGTGAGGCGAAATTCGACGAGCTGGATCCCAGCGAAGGCAGCGAGAGATGAAATCCAAGAAAGCTTCATCGTCACACTTCAAAGCTTGTCGGAGTTCTTTGGAGCTTGGGCGGCGACGGCGACCCTTGGACGAAACAGTCAAGCGTGGTTTGCCAAGGGAATCGAAGAATAACTTCTTGCGTGAGCTTTTCTCGATCAGGTGCTTTTCCGGAGGACCGAATACTTCCATGATGCAGGCAAGCTGTTCTTGCTCATTTTCACCAGGGAAGATGGGGTATCCAGTAAACAGCTCAGCCAGAATGCATCCTAAACTCCACATGTCGATCGGCATCCCATATGACATTCCGAGAATGACCTCCGGCGAGCGGTAGAAGCGACTCTGGATGTAGGTGTATACCTTTTCATTCTCAAAGCAACTTGAACCGAAGTCGATGACACGGATTTCAGAGTTCAATGGATGAACAAGAAGAATATTTTCAGGCTTCAAGTCGCAGTGAATGACTTTCTTTGCATGAAGCAACACCAAACTGCTCAGCATCTGCTTTGTGAAAACACGAATCAGCTTTAATGAGAAGCCTCGGAACTCATGAGCCTTAATGAACTCATAAAGGTTCATGCCAAGCAGCTCGGTCGAAATACAAAGATGGCCTCGGAAGTAGAAACTCTGGGTGAAATTGACCACGCTGTGCTTTCCGTGGGGATCCCATTCCTTCAGCTTTTGGAGAAGATTGACTTCAATCAAAGCTTGTTGGTGGAATCTTTTTTTGTTGCGAATGATTTTGATAGCAACCAAAGCGCCCGTTTTGTGATCGACGCATCTAACGACCTGTCCGAAACTGCCCTTGCCCAAAACATCAACAACTTCATATCGGTAGGCCAGATGATCACCCATGACAATGTTGTAATCACCACGGTCATCATCGTATCCGAAGTTCGCCGCACCAGAGTGGAGATCGCCAACATGTTTCTTAGCAGTTTGCGTACCGCAGAAGAAAATGTCACGATAATCGATAATCTCGCCACGTTCAAAGATATTCAGAGTTGCCATCTTCAGGGCCTGGGCGGGACTGACACGGTCCTTGGGTCCAGCCTTGCGGCGCAAGTCATCTAGTACGCTGGCTGCCTTCTGGAAGTCTTTCCGTTTAGACCCAAGTCGTTTCATCTCTTCGTCTGCAATAACGACATCTTGATCAACAGTGTTATCGGCGGACCGCGGAGTAGCCCCAGCCGCGGTGCTAGATCTAGCATTATTGATCATCTTCTGAACAGGAGAGATGTACGAGCTGTGTGCACGCTTAGAACGGTCACTCTCACCCGAATCATTAGATCGAGTTTGCTCCAACGTCAGACTTCTCTCGCTACTGACACTTGGCTTGCGAGCTGTCGGATTCGTTGCGCTTGAGACAGACGATTGCCGGCGAGGGTTGAGATAAGACGGCTTGAGACTGGGGCTGGTGGAGTTGACCGAAGATAGATTATTCCATGTGGCTGACGCTGGGAGTTTAGGCGGTGGCATGTTGTTGTATTTGGCTGGGTCAGTATCAGTTTCAGCCTTTTGTGTCTTCGAGTTACTGCGCAGCCGTGCCACCTTGAGCCGGTCACGAAGTGAAGACCCTGATGTGGTAACACTCTCAGGCTCTGACGGTGTCGAGATTTGACTAAGACGTTCTGGGGCCGGTGTAAAAATGGCACTTTGTGTTTGTGGCCGAGGTCCATTCAACTTGTGCGCCTGTGTTCGGTTGGAATAGTCAGCGCTGACCTGGTGGCGGAGATGATTCAACTCGGCACCATTCTTGGGCAGCGTGTATGAGGCATAAGGAGAAATGTTGCGAGTCGAGTTTGGCGTCTCGAAAGACTCAAATGCACTCGTACTGCTCGAAGTCCGCAATGCGGCCGTTGATGTACTGACGGCAAAATGAGAAGTGCTGCTTCGAGCTTGGGTAAGGGGAACTTTCTCGTCATCATCATCGCGGTACCAGAAGTTTGCTTTGGATGCTGTCATAGGAGTACTGGGAGTCTTTGAAAGGACTTGGTTGGAGGGGGTGTGAGTGTTGCGATCCTGGTCTCTGTCCTTGAGGGCATCGATCTTGGCCGCCATGGGAGTGCCTAAAGGCAGCAAGTTCAATGGGGGCAGTTTCAAAGGCTGCAGACCCTTTCGCCCACCGAGTACAGTGGAAGTTCGCGTTCGTGCCTCGGGTGTATTAATGGACTCTGTAGGGTCATGACTGTTGACAGTACCGGAGGTGGGTGTATGCGCGTCGGAGCTGGACTCTTTTATATTTAATAGGCCGATGTCCACAGGAATGCTCGATTTTCTGGGCGCAGGGAAAACAGGCGCATCTAATTCACCCTTGGGCGACTCGTAAGCTTTGGGAATCGCTGGGACCGGCGGCACCTCTTCTCCGTTAGAGTTCGTTTGCTCTGTGCGCGGTTTGGGCGTTGGAAGACGTGACGAAGAAAAGTTATGAGAAAGACGGTTTTGCAGAGAGCTTCCAGAATTACGTGCCGAATTGTAGCTGGTACTCGATGAAACAGATAAGCCTGAACTGTACGACTTGCGATTCGGGTCAGGCGTGGTTCGATTTGAGGAGGGTGTGACACTTTTCCTCGGAATTTGAGAGGGAGATTGCGTTGAGGACAGAGGACGGATGGGGAGTGGTTCTGTCTGGGTTGGGGGGTGTGTGGCATCGGAGGCGCGGGGGGCGCAATTGACATTCGCTTCATTCGTCGTGCATCAGTGGGACTTATAGTTCGAGCACCTAATCCAGTCGCATGATGTGGCATAACAGAAGCCCGCTTCGAGGAAGAGGAGGGAGTTGCAACCGCACCCGCAGGGTTCTTCACTGGGGTTCGCACAGCATTAGTGGAGGATGATCGCGTATGGTCAACAGCACCCGCTGCAGTCAAGAATGGACCTGGAGGATCTCGTGGGCTGGGCTGGAACGATTTCGCCTTGAGATTTCGAATAGCGGACGGAACCTTCACATCCGAATCCTGAGTCCTGGGACGGAGGGAATTGTTGGCTGGCTGTGTGGTGTCGGTGCTGAATTTACGAACACTCAGACTGGCGCGTCGAGCCGAAGCATTCGTAGGCGCAAATGCTCCAGAGCTAACAGACTTGCGTGAACCTCTTGAAGCAGTATTTCCAGCAGATGGCTGGGCGAGACTCTGGCGACGCGCACGGGTGTTGGCAGTTGACGCCGTAAGCCCTGCGTTAGGAGGTTGGCCATTAGGTCGTTGCACCTCACTTTTTCGGCGAGCAGAAGGAGGACCCCGCGTACGTTCCGACGCATTTTTATCATTAGTGTGTTTTTCCCAAGGGTTGTTCAAGCCGGTCTCGCGATTCTCGCCGCCATTCCCAGGCATAGGGAAGTGGTTCAAGCTGGGTTCCGCCATGATGCTATTATGAAAGTCGTCAAAATTGATCGGCGCGAGAAAGTCCACGTTCTCTGATGACTGATTAGAATCGGCTTTAGCCAAGTTTCCCATGCTCGTAGACCGGAGGTTGAAGCTTTTCGATGAGTCGATTATAGAATCAATGGATGAATTCCCAGAATGGAGGTACGGGCCGGGTTTGCTGGACAAAAAGTTAGCCCCGATAGATACATAAAGCAGATTCAGTCTCAGACTTACTTCCATCGCGACGTCTCTTGCGGTCGCGGGCCTTGGGGCACCCTTTGATCCCGAATTGAAAGTCTTCTCCTATTCATCCCACCTGCGCGCGGTCCGGCCACCCCATTCGAGAGTGATTCATAATTGGTATTAGTATTCGGGGGGAAGTTGGTCGAGGCAGACTTTTGTAGACGCCGGCGGACTGGACCTTCTGCTGTTGGAGACAGTTAGCATATGCTGCTGCACCTTTCCGGGCATGTCAACTTACCTCCCGATCCCGAATCGTCGTTAGAAAGATTGGACGCTCTGGAGTGTTCAATCCGCACTTGACCCTTCCCTGGGGTTTGCGGTGGTATTGTCGGCATTGTTTATGATTTCCAAAGTCCCCTAGCGAGAGAGAAACAAAAACGTCGTAAACTCGTCGAGGAAAAAGGAGAGGACTGGACCGTGCCAGATAACCGATCTCAATTACATTCAGGAGATGTGCGAGGTCTCAATGAACAAAATATGAGAGACACTGGAGCACCGTCGCGCGACTCTTGAAAGCACTATCGGGCCATTGTGAGTGAGTTGAGAAAGAGCAGGCCAGGGTCTCTTTGATAATAATTTTGGAGCTGCGAGGGTTGCTGGGGCAAGTGTAAGGCGGTAACTAATAAAAAAAGAGGGCAATTGGAGGAGGGGGGCTTATAAACACAAGAGAAACAAAGATCTCAAATGAGATTGAAGCTTGAACATCAACAAGAAAGATAATCAAAATAAATAATAAAACAAGAGAAAGAGATGCTCAGTTGGAACTATCAAATCTTTTCTCTCGTTTCCCCTGATATGCAAACAGTTGTATGTATGGGATTATGTATGGTATGGTAATATTACCACTATATAAATTACAGATTAGGTCAGCTTCTTGCTTCTCTGATCGGCATCGCATGTGCTTGTGGTCTCGTGGGATATAGCCGACGTTGGTTCTTCCTCTTCTTCATCTTCTTCCTCTTCTCTCCTGTAGATTGTGGCATGCCTCAATATTCATCATGGATGGATTCACAGAGGCCTTAGGCGAAGAGCCAAGGATTCCCAAAAAGAACAGACCTGGTTCGCCTGATAGTTCGCATTCGAGATCATCCTCTATGTCCAAGAACTCCCTACAAGACCGCCTATTCACAAAGTATGCTTTGCATGATTCCGTTTATCAAGAGGCTATCTGCTGACCAAATAGACTACTCCAACAAGTTATCCCAACAGACAATGAGGATGAAACTGATTCATCTGGAGACAAGGCTATTGCCTCTCCAATAAAACCGGCTTTCAGTTTACCTGTAATGGCAAACAACTTTCGTCGCTTCAATGCAAGGTGTGTCTGAAACATCTCTAACTCATATCAACCGAAACTAAAATTGCTATAGAATCGGTGTGGTGTTCCTATTCCAAGACCGCGTGGAGCGACTACTTACCTGGGACACCCCAACTCACACCATCTCCCTTCTTTTTGTCTATTCTTTTATCTGTTTGCAACCTCATCTTCTTTTGGTTCTCCCTTTGGTGGTACTTTTGCTCTTTATCATGGTGCCGGCCTTTGTAACCCGCCACCCTCCACCACCCAACAGTTCCACTTCTAGCACTACTCCTTACTATTCTTATGATGGACCAGCGCTGGCGCCGGCCACGACTATCAAGCCTGCACCAGAGACCTCCAAGGACTTTCTTCGGAACATGCGAGATCTGCAAAACGTTATGGCTGATTTTTCGGACGCTCACGACGCCGCCATTTCCGTCATTGCGCCAATGACCAATTTCTCCAACGAAAAGCTCTCGTCAACACTGTTTCTAGTCTGTACTATAGCTATCGTGGTGCTGTTCGTCAGCGCACATCTCCTACCCTTAAGGCTTGTCCTCCTTCTGGGAGGAAATGCAGCGATTTTAGCAATTCACCCCACTGTGAGGCAATTCGTTACGGCTATGATGCAAGACATGGCCGGGGATTCCCTGGACTTGGACTCAGATGACGAAAAAGTGCACGGATTTGCTGCATCTGTCCCTTCAGACCCATCTGCAGCAATGTCCGCGATGGAAAAGCTCGCAGATATCTCATTGGATACATATCCAGAAGAGCGAGAAGTCGAAATCTTTGAAGTGCAGCATCGCGCTGCAGGAACTTCTGAGTCCGGTTGGGAGAGTTTCCTCTTCAGCCACGCACCGTACGACCCACTTTCACCATCTCGTATCGCGGGGGACCGGCCTCGTGGATGCCGATTCTTCGAGGACGTGCGAGCGCCGCCTGGCTGGACCTGGAAGAGCAAGAAATGGGAACTTGACCTGGATTGCCGGGAATGGGTGGTGGAGCGCATGATCACCAGCGTTGGATTTGAGGTCCCCGGTGTGACCGCCGAAGGCAACGCTATTGTCGGGGAGGTTGGCGGCTGGGTTTGGGATTTACCCTCGAATCGCTCGCAGGATTCAGATGATGAAATGCCATTGGCTTACGGAGACCTGCCGCCGGAGTCACCCACTCCCAAGGGGAAGAAGAAGAAAGAGAAAGAAGCGCCTAAGCTCCGAGATTGGGAGGAAGGCAACGCATCTCACGGAGTAGGAGAATGGAGACGGCGACGATGGGTGCGAGTAGTGCAACGAGTCAGCCTTCCGCCGGCGGGAGTCGTTTCCTACTCAACACTCAGCAGCCGAACATAATAGGGCTAAAGGAACAAAAAAAGATGAGATAACGACTTCCGGACAGCTGTTTGCCATCCATATAATATTTACTACTTGGGTCATATGCATAAGCACACACGTAGATAAGTACTTTTGAAAAACCTCGAAAGCAAAAAAAAAAAAACGCCAGACTCGCCCAACCAAATGCTCAGAAGAAAATGAACAAGGCCCTACTCCTGGCTTTTCTTCCACTTGTTAATTCTCCTCCGCAGATCACCCACACTCTGCTGCATAGGGTTCAGCTTACGATCACGAGCCATGGCAGTGAAATCATCGCCATGCTTTTCAATCAAGCGCTGCGCCCACTCGGCCTCACGCGTGCTCTGGAACCGGGGCTTCTTCGCCCGAACGGTCTTTTCCCTCCTGGTCAGCCTGGCGCTCAAGCTGCTGCACAATCACTGAGTCCGCGAGGAGATTGCTGTCGCCGTTGCCACCTTCAATGTCATTCAGAGGGTCGTTGAGGGGGTTTTTGCGGGAGCGTTGACGGCCGGCAACTTCGATGTTGTCTTCGTTTTCGTGGATGACGCGCAAAATGGCGCCCGTCTCCGGGTCACGCTCGACGCGGGTCGTGCCGAGGTCGAGCTTGGCTGCGTCGGCTTTGGCGCTGCCGCGGATGTGCAGGGAGTTCTTGTTCTCGGGGTATTGTTCATCATGAACGGGGAGACGTTCGCGGCCGCCGGATGGTGCATTCAGCTTGTGCATTAAACCCAGACGCTGGTAGTTTTGAGTCAAGGTCAGGTTGCGATCCCTAGGATTATTAGTTCGTTGGTCTATTACATGAGAGGAAAAGCGCATACCAGTTGTCGGCGATGATTTGATTGCCCAGCACATTGATCTTCTTGTGGCCGCTCTTGAGGCGGTTGTCCTTAGCGCGAGCCTTGGAGCGACCGGAACGGGCCTTCTTCTTCTGCAGGACTTTACCCATTGTGTATATGTGGAGTGAGTGTAGAGGTCAAAAAGTGCTTGTCTCTGTTGTCGGCGATAATAAAATCAAAGCGTTATCGAAACTTTTTTTCTGAGTTTGCATGTCTTGGCATGTTTGTTCAGGGTCCCGCGATAAACAAGTGGTCTGACCGCGATAAAGCGGCTTGTACATCTGGGGCTATATATCCCCTGTCATTTGACACATCTCCCTCGGCCAATTCATAAGCAATGGCTTCTCGCTTCTTTCCTTCGCGTAGAACAGGTCTAGCACTCGCTGCAGGATGCTTGTTCTTCTCTGCTTTGGCTGCGGCTAATGTTGGCCCCGGGCAGCTCTCCGTGAGCCAGATCGAGGAACAGTTGCAGGTATAATGCGATACGACAAACCTATTGTATACGGAAACTGACATGTCACAGAGCTGTCCCCTGGTCGAGTCTCTCAATGAGCACAAGCGCGCCACTCAGCCAGAAACCACCAGCTTTACTGCGAAGATCTTCGCCGTCCTCTTCCCCAGCAGTCCCGCCATCAATGCTCTTCTGGCAACATTGTACATTTCCGGTCCTCCAAGTAAGCCACAATTTCAATGTCTACATTTAAAACCACCCCACTTACAGATTATAGACTTCCTACTCGCATTATGCCCACCCAACATCGACCCATCCTCGCTCTCAGTAATGGTCGCCTTCGCCGTCGGCGGCTTGCTAGGTGACACCCTCTTCCACCTCCTCCCGGAGATCTTCGTCGGCGAAGACTCCCCAGACAGCGTGAGCTTCGTAATGGTCGAGCCGAACAAGAACCTCCTCCTCGGCCTCGGCATCATGGTCGGATTCTTCACATTTGTCGCAATGGACAAGATCCTGCGCATCGCCACAGGCGGCGAGGGCGGCCATGACCACTCCCACGGCCATGCGCACACAGAGTCAATTTCCGCCGTCACTTCCGGCGCCGAGACCAAGAAATCTGGCGAGCTCAAGCAGCGCAAGTCCGATGCCAAGGAGTCTGTGTCTGTTGTTGTCCCGGAGAAAGAAATTAACCCCAGCGTCAAGCTCGGCGGCTACCTTAATCTCATTGCGGACTTTACGCATAACATTACCGATGGACTTGCGCTTTCTTCTTCGTTCTATGCCTCGCCTACCATCGGTGCGACAACTACTGTGGCGGTCTTCTTCCATGAAATCCCCCATGAGGTCGGTGACTTCGCTCTGCTTATTCAGTCTGGCTTCTCGAAGCGCAAGGCCATGGGTGCGCAGTTTGTTACTGCCATTGGAGCGTTCCTGGGTACTCTTATTGGTATTGCGGTTCAGGAGCTCGGTGGTAATGGAACTATGTTGGATGACACCGAGCCCGCCGGAATCATGGGAACGAGCCTCACTTGGGGCGATATGCTTCTGCCATTCACAGCAGGCACTTTCTTGTATGTTGGTACTGTGGCAGTTATTCCTGAGTTGCTGGAGACTGGCAAGGATAAGGGTGTTGAGATCCGTAAGACCATTACGCAGTTTTTGGCTGTTGCTCTTGGCGCAGGAATTATGCTTGCGTGAGTATTGCCTCTTTTCTGATAATTGAAACAAACTAACAATCTACAGCATTTCTTGGCACTAATTTCGAAACTATATAAGCTGATACAGTCCAGTGACTTGTACTGGCTGTTTATATATAGATCTCGACGCAAGCACAGACCTCGTTTGTCTCAGTTCATTAAAACAGACCAGCCATGCGGACGACAGACAATTGCGCCTGGAACAACCCCGCATCTACCAAGATTCAGTTCTGATCTCCAGGGCTGGAACGGATAAATAGTAGTTTATTCGAGATGGCCGTCGGCCATATTAGAAACCAAAATAAATGCACAAGAATCACCAATCCAGCAACGCCCCCAAGTTAGCCTCCTGCAATGAATACCTAGTCATGTTCTTGGTAATAACAAAATAATGCAATGGCAAATTCTGACACTTGGAAAAATAGTGCAAACGTATGACATAAACCCCACAAGAACACAAGACGCCAAGATATATGTTGGTAATAAAGCTTCCGGAATGGCAAAGGTCGATGCAGAATGCAAAGGAGAACGCAGATCAAAGGGCAAGACTACTACTCGTTATAGTGGTATACCTGATGCACGTTAGCAAGATCCAATCTCCAGCCTTTCCAGTATGGACAATACAATACATACGAAGTAATCTGGGATTCCAAAAACCTCATACCCCAGCCTGCGCACCATCTTCGCAAAGCCCTCGGTCTCAACCAAATGGAAAAATGGAAAAGCAGGAAACATAGCCCCATCGCGATGCACATCCGCCTTAACCATCAGCGCCGTCCCACCAACACCATCAAGCGCAACCATCTTCGTCGGATCAAGGTTCTTCAAATCCGGCAAATAAGCCATAAGCGTCCGATACGTCGGCATCTCCGCATACCCCTCGAGCAGAATCTCCTCAGGCCCCATAGCATCGGCCATATCGCGCGCCGTCTTGCTATCGATCCACGAGTTAAAGTCGTACGGCCTCACGTCCCACTTCCGCTTCTTGGAGTCCCAGAACCGCTGGAAACAGTTCGGCACCACGACTGGCTTATCGAACGCCGTCAGGTCCTGGATTAGCGACGAAGGCGTCTCAATTATGTCCCCGTCCAGCCAGAGAACCCATGACGTTCCTGGCCCTAGAGTTGTGAAGACGAGGCTGTTGCGCGCGCGGCTCATGGACTCCCGGCGCTCTTTCTGGGCGGATAGCTTGTGCCGCACTTTTTCGTCTTGGGAGGCGAGCGGCGGCAGGAAGTCTTGCCTGAGGATGCTGATGCTTGCGAAGCGGTTGTCGATTGGGCCGGACTGCGTTTTCGAGATGGCTTTTTCGAGTGCGGCGACGGCGGCGTTGCCCTCGCTTGTTTTTGGCGCTATGAAGCCCAAAGAGATCAGTTCGTGGGGATAGGATAGTTTCTCCAGGTTCTCCCAGTAGCCTGTGTAGAAGCGAGCTAGCGGGGTAAGAATGAGGACGCGCTCGCGGTTTGCGATTGAGTCGGCGGTGCTAGATAGGCTGTTGAGGTTGTAGTGGACGACCGGGGGCGCAGCTTTGTGGCCATCAGCGCGGACGGCTTGGGATTTGAAGAAGGGTTTTGTGGGCGGGGAGAGAGGGTGTTCGGCGGCATTGTCCTGGCGCTGTTGGGAGGATATGGCGGTGGGTGTGGACGGTGTGGACGGTGATAGCAGGAAGCATATGAAGCCGAATGCTAGTAGGGCCGCTAGCAAGAGGCTGATTGGGCTTGTGCGGCGCATTGAGCGTGCAACGGCCATGGCCGGTTGGTGTTTGGTTGATGAGACGTGTTGCTATATTGTAAGACAGGGTTGATGCCCAGTTGGATTGCGGGAATGCCTCAGGCAGCTAGGTACATCCAAGAATTCGGAACAGGAACAGGAATTGGTCCTTGCCGCGATATTCCTCCCCTATAACACACTAGAGGTCGAGGTAGGGATGGTGAGTGTGGTTGATGGGAGTTAAGAAGTTGAGTGGTTTTAATCTTTGCATTGTCCGGAAAGAGAAATTCATGTCACTTCACTATCGTGGATCCTCTCAAGTCGAGATTCGACATCCCAATCGCACCATCCAATTACAATCAGTGTTCAATCGGAGGTGACAAGCTCCTCCGTGTTATCGGGATACCTAAAGTGGGCCGAGTGTGCATCGCCGAATGCAGCCACCCGCGAACATTCCTGGACTCTGGACTGGTGTGAACCCGACTTTTCACAATACAATTGGTATATTCGTTCACTGAATTTTAGAGCCACAGAATAGCTGCAGCAGAACTTGGAAGTATCCAGTGTATGTAGTCATTTATATACATTAAGCTAAGGCAGAGTGCGCATTACACCCTCGAACACAACCAAAGCCATAGCATTCGCCGGGAACGCTCTCAAGAAGCAGGGCACAAAGCCCCGCCAGTACCCTCTCCACCCACGCTCGCGCCAAACAGCGACCGCAGCGTCTTTCCACCCGCGGAACTGTCTCTGGCCATCATTCAAAGCCCCGCCCATGGGGTCCGTCATAAGACGCTGCTTAACAACGTCTGATGGGTAGGAAGTAAGCCAGAAGCATTGAGCGGAGATACCTCCAGCCCAGAAATTAATAGCTGGGGCTGACATCGTTGTCTTCTCTTTAAAAACGCGAGTCAGAACGTCGTAGGAGCTCCACCAGAAGAAGAAAAAGGACCGGAAGAAAACCGTAGCCCAGAGGCCGCGGTATACGCCGCTGATGCCGTGGGTGCGGAGCTGTCCCAGTTAGCAACCGTTACGCCAGTCTACAGGATGTCGCCCTTGCTTACCATCTTGCGCAAGCAGTCAATCGGCCCGCTGTACATGCGCTTCGTTTTATCAGCCGCATACTGGACCTGCAGGCGAGCCTTGATATGTTCAACCGGAGCAGCAATAAAGCTAACCGTCGTGCCGGCCATAATACCCGCAATACCGTGTCCAACGCTCGGGAGAGTCGTGATATCAGGCTGGTATCGCGAGAAGGGGATGTAAGGACGGATATTAGGTTTCGAGAAAACATTCTCGAGCAGAAGTCGGCGGTACAGCGTCAAAGATCCCAACATGCTGCGTAGCGCCAGTCAGCTCAGTCCAAGCATGCACAATATCTAGGAACCAGACCGGCCCACTCACACAGAATCCATCACCATCCATCCGACCAGCGGTGGCGTCGCACCCTTATAGAACCCGCGTAATCCCTCATTCCGTAATGTCTGCAGCGTACAATCGATAGGCCCGCGGAACTGCACATCCTTACTCGTCTGTAGGCGGACTTTGATAGTATCGAATCTGCGCCGTTAGCCTGGCTGCGAAAGGAACATAACAGAGCATGCCACATACGGATGTCCAACTGGATGGGTATTAGCACGGCCCAAGCACAAAACGGTAATAACAAGCGACAATCAAGATGTCAAGAGCAAAAGTAAAAGCAAAAAGCAACCCGCAAACTAAACTCACCACTCAGCTTCGCAATACCCGAAAACACACCCGCCACAAAACCCTTATAGTTCGACTTGGACGACCCAGACTGCGCAAGCGCGCTCTCCGCAATCTCCGGCTGCGCCTGCTTCGTCATATTAACCGACACGGGCGCCTGCGCCGATGACATACTCGTCTTAACGCGACCGCGTTCGTAATCCCTTATCCTTGCGGTGGCTGTCACGCGCGGAAGGGTCGTGCGCAGATGTGGCGACGGGAGCCGATACGATAAGGATGGCGGAGGGTTTGGAGGTGCTTTGTGGTGTGTTTGCGTGGGGGATTTGATATTGGGGGTTTGGAGAGGAGTTAGGAGGTTAAAATTGAAGAATTGAGGTTGAAGAGGTATTGTTTGGAGAGGGAAGTTCGTTTTTAATGATCGGCCTGGCCCCGCTGATTTCTCGGGGAGGGCTGGTGTTCCTCCGGAGTTGGTGCCTTAGGCGGGAAGACGGCTTTCCACTAGGTCTTTTTTGGGACTGGGGTAATGGATCCAGGGAGGCTTCTTTTCTGCATGTCATTTGTTTTCGATCCGATCCTTGTAAGGATCGACGCGGGGTTTGCCAGATGAGGTGGATTCAGATATGCTTTCGTGGTTGGTGTCCGTGCAGGATCTTGCTGAGATTGCATGTTTAGTTAACAAAAAGATCAAAGCCTGAGAAAACTGGTGTCACAAATTGCTGCACACAGTCTACAATGGTATAGACGAATATGCATCGATCAAGCTGTACATTGAGTTTGATTTCATCGAATATGCCAAGTGGCAGGAACACCTGGATTGAGTGGGGTATATAATATAATGTAGGTACATGATGTCGTGATGCAAGATCAAACGCAATAGTCGACGAAGCCGAGGAACGTTTGATCAAGGGGGGAGGTGGATGCAAGATGAAAACAAGAATAAACGGCCCATGCATCAGCAGTCTTCCGTAGGGCGAGCTTGTTGTATGCCCAAAACACCAAAAAGCAAACAATGACAATGACAAAGAAGTGCAAAATAATTCGACTTCTCTATAGAGCAACAGCAAAGAAACAATGCAATACAGAAGCATCACCGGCCCTTGGTAGACTTGCGCGCTATTTGCCTGGCCTTTTCCTCATACGCAATAAGTTTCTCAACCAATTCCGGCGACGGGCCGGCGTGCTGCTTGGAGACATCCCGCGGCGTGCGCTCGGACGCATTGCTGACCGAGCCATGCGCGAGGTAATCACCTGCCTCGAGTGCGAGGGGCGTGACCGGGCCGCCAGGGCTGACGAGAGGGTCTAGCCGGGGCGCCGAGGGGCTGGCGTGGGTTCCCTCGACCAGCTCGCGGTATTGCCACATCATGTCGCGTGAGCCGGCCGCGGCGCGGTAGGTGGGCTGTCGTGATTGACGGGGGGAGGGGGGCTGAGCGGCTGAGTGGGAGGTGTTGTTTGAGCCGTAGACGGCGGGGTGGAATCTGGGCAGGCTGCCTAGGTGGAAGCTTTGGGTGGGCTTGGACTTTGCTTGGGGTTGGGTGCTGCGGCGGGAGGGCTGTGGGGAGTTGGAGCGGCGGGGAGACATGATGGGTGATGAGACTGGGGAGCAGTAGGGTGATGTATCGGAGCGCATTGTTGAGTACCGGGATTGATATCGGGGTTGGTACCGGCGGTGGGATGGCCTTGGATGGAGGCGGGATTGGGCGGATTGAGACGCGCGTTCCCAATCGTCGAAGTAGGTGTGGTGATCAAACCGACCGGTCAGCGGTGTGACTGGCAGGTCTTCTTCGTAAATGGGCCTTTTGGGAATTGGAATGGGTCGAGTGGATGATGATAATGTAAGCGAGTCAAAGGCGTCGATCGGTATATCCGAGTGACGCCGACGAGGCGATGGAGGAGTATAAGTAGACGAGGTGGCTGTCAGATCTCGCAGGGACGATAGCGAGACAGGTGTGGGGTAGCCGTGCTTGGTGATCAGACTCTCCAAATGGTCTCTTGGTTGGAATGTTGCACGAGCCGGTGATGGGCCTACAATTTGATCAGCATAGGAATCAGAATGTCACACGTGTTTCGAGAATGAAAGGACAATCGCGATAGCCGACATTAATTATGTCACTGTATGTCACTAGCCAAATTGTATAGTTCAAGGGCCAATGAGGGAACTAGGCCAATGATGAAAGAGGGGGAAAGGCATCCGACACATAAAATCTTCATAATTTTGGAAAATTGTACACAAACCACAGATAACGAGGAATTTAGCTACTTACTTGGAGAAAAAGAACTGCTGCGTGATGAGGGATAGAGTGAAGAGGAAGATGAAGAAGACGAAGAAGAAAATGAAAATGAAAAAGGGGAATCGGTCTGTTTTCTCATCTGTGGTTTTTTTTCACCCGTTAGTGTGCATTAAGCAACTTGCGGGGGGACTCCACCAGGTATTGCGGAATCACTTTGAAAAGGGTAGAAGGGAAAAAAGGAAGGACAGAAAAAAGAACTAGTCGCATATTCAGAGTTGAGAAATATTATATCAAGGGTTTCCAATATCTCACAGAATGTCTCCTCACACATAGAAAAAAACAACCCAAAAAAGGGATTGCATCAACGTCCACGTACCTTGTGCAAATTACAGCAATGACGGATGTGCCGCTGTAGTGGGTCTGCGCTTTCTAGATGAAGGCTTTTCTCATCCGAAAATCTGAGGATTTCCCCTTCAATATCCGAAGAAGAAAAAATCAACGGTTTAGGATTGAAATCGAGGGAGATCAACTTCATTTAAAAGCTCCGATATTTCCAGGTACAAGGCACCTGTGAAACCATCTTCCACTCCATAAGGTTATCTCCACGCGCAACCGCCTGGTGACCACACATTTCCAAGGCACAGCCCTTAAACAAAACCAAAAATAAAAAACCAAAAGAAACAGACATACTGACTAGTTACTCATATCACACTAAATTGAGCAAGACCATTTGAGAACAACATCTAGTGTTGCCAGTGTTGCCTAGTACCATCACCTTACCAGAAACGGCGAAGATCCCAGTTGCAATCGCGGTTGATCGACCGGGGATGTGTCATGGGTTGAGCGAGAGGTCATTTCTGATTCGCACGCGTCTTTAATCACAGCAGTGACGCTCTGTCATTTGTGTTCGAGAGTCAAACCCAATCTGGCCACCTTCACCCTTCACCCATCCACTTCCATCACCCGACACCTATCACCACGCGTGGAGGGAACCAGCCATTCTCTCTGATTGGTTGGACTGTCCTGAATCTGGGTTCTGTTCTATACACCCTCCTGGTGGGCTGCATACATACATGTCTCGGATTACCGTCCAAGCTCCCATCCCTTCCCACGAGCTAGCACGCTGCTTGTGGTGGCAAAGCTGCAGAATTGGATATCTTTAGAATTCTTAAGATTCGATGGTCTGCAAAGAGACATTCTGTCTGTCTGGAGGTTTAAAACGCCATCCCCCGTGCAGAGTGACATCTGAACCATATAATGACCTAGGTGGACGCCGTAGTCACGGACAGCTAACCGTTTTGCACACACCAAAAAAGCAATTTAGAGCCACCCATCCAGTGCTTATCATTCATTGGACTAGCTGCAGAATGGGCTAGCTCTAGTTTCATTATTTCGGACTCTTCCGCATGCCTAGAGCCGATCTTCTTCATTAGCCATCCATCCACTAAACCCATTTGATTAAGCGAGGGGTTGCAAGTGCCAAGACGTTCACATTACTACCAATGCCATATCACTGCCTATGGTACTGGACCCAACAGGCTGCAGTAAGTTTCGGGTTCACCCTGTGCCCCTGCATCCAGCGCTGCACCTCGGAGCTTTCCGCCGTGCTACACATAGCGCAAATTCTAGGGAGTGTACAGGCCAGATATAAATTCGTGTAACGAAATCGAAAATCGACTTTCCCCCAGAAATTATCATCTCGTACGAGCCTTCGGAGTATATGCCCTGAAAATCTAGCCCAAACCTCTAGCACCAGCGAATCTCGAATCCTGCATACGCAGATACATGTCAATTACCCAATCTCCTCCGCAACTGTGCTGAATAAACCTACCTCTTCATCTTCGCATCCAGACCAGATTCACCGCCAACATGCGATATCACGCATCGCCCCGCCCTGCACCTCACCCGAAGAAGTTAAGAGCTTGACATCTCGAGCCCCACCTCCCTCCCGCCTACCCGCTATCAGCCCCGTATACGTATTGCATATTGTACACACGCACGTCCACGTCCACCTCCTACACGGAACTCCGCCGCGAACACAAACAACAGCCATCACATCGGATCCGCAGTGCCCAAGCTCCTGCGGGACGGTGCATGTTTCGAATGGAGGGGCGAGGTGATACCCGGGCGGGAATCGGGTCTCCGGCCGTCAAGTAAGATTGACATTGACTAAACTAACCAACTACCACGTTGCAGCTACATGTAATATGATATGTATGCGGGCACATTTGACAGTACGAAATCTGCAAGCGCAAAATGTCAACATGAAGCCGTCTTCGTCTTCGCGCGGCTCTCCCTCATCCGCGCGCCGTTGCGCATAACCCACAGCACCATCGGCACGCCAGCGTACACGCAGAATACACCGACGAGGTTGTGAAACCAGCCTTTGCCGATGGTGTGCATGAGCGGGAGGGTGGCAGCTGTTACTGCAGCGCCGAGCAGGCAACGGACGAGGTTGACTGTTGCGCCTGCTGCGGCGGGGGAGGCGGGGTGGATGTCCATTATGAGTGTTGTGCCCATTTGGCAGATTGATGAAGCCCAGAAGCCGAAGATGAGTTCAAAGGCGTAGACGAAGGCGACTGGGTATGCGTATTCGAGGAGCCAGCCGTAGATTATCTTGGTACGTTAGATTTAGATCTAGGTTAAGGGCGGGATTGGGATTTTGAAAGCGGCGTACTATTGTTGTTCCTGTTACGAGTAGGATGGGGATGCAGAGGTTTAGGCGGACTTTTTCGATAGGGAAATGTGGGATTTCTTGGAGGTCTGTGTTTGGGTCGACGTTTAGTCTTCGCGCTTCGCGGCGGTACTGCCAGTCCAGGTAGGCGCCTGTTGAGAAGGCTGAGAGGATGGTTCCGGCGCTCCAGGCGAGAAAAAGGTAGCCTGTTTGCTCGCTGTTGTAGCCGTATGTGCTGTGCATTAGGCTTGGGATACTTGTCATGAGGGCGTAGATTCCGCAGTAGCTTTGGCCTATGATTAGGAGGATTATGAGGGACTGTGTGTCGGTGAGGATCACCCACAAAGTGGGCAGGGGGTTGGTGAGTCGGGGTCCTTTGGGAGAGGTGGGGGTTGTTGGATGTTGTTCTGGTGTTTTCCAGTGCCGGTTTCGGCACACCATCTGCTTTACACTCCTGTTCCACCACGGTGGAGGTGTTGAGCCGTCATTTACAACATTGCGTGATGTCTCGGGAAAAAAGAAAAACATTGGGATAAGGAGTATAACGGCCGCCGCGCAGAGGAACCAGAAAATACTGTGCCAGCCCAGGTGATTGCTCAATAGACCCCCCGCAACGGGAGCACTGAACATTCGTGAGTAACAAGATACTTGATAGAACATTCAAAACTTACATGGTAGGACCAATAATTTGCAATGCCAAAACAACCCCCAGAAAGGACCCTCTTTGCTTTGAAGCGGCGATATCAGCAGCCACCGCACTTGCAAGGGCAATGGTCGGTGAAGATCCTGCACTCTGAAGACATCGCAAACCAAGTAGACTAGCATACTCAGTTTGCAGAGCTAACCCAATATTGGCCGCGATGTAGAGAGTAAAGCAGAGCAAAAAAGCCGGTCTCCGACCCACAACATCAGAGCAGGTGGCAATGAGAACAGGCGAAATCGCCTGAAAAATCTAGTCTATATTAGCAAGAGCCATGTAAATGTAGGTGAAGTAAAGGGATGCGAAAGCCAACAAACCATATAAGTCGTAATCGTATAATTTACCATCGAATCGCTAACATGTAGATCCTCAGCGATGGGTGTTAGGGCTGTGAGATATATATTAGACGACATGGGCGAGATCAGGCTGGCCATTGAGGCCATGATCGTAATTAGATATTTAGAGACGGATTTAAAGCTCGAGAAAGGAGTGCTAGTCCCTTGCTGGGACTCTGAGGCTGTGTCCACATCTTGGTACCCTTTTGCTGTTTCGGTCGAACATGGAGTTGTTCTTGCACTCATGCTGGCAATTTGACGTAGCTGTGTCCCAGGGTCCTGCGTGTCTGTTGAGCTAATGGGTATGTCGTGGTATTTCAACAAGGGGTGACCTTAGAAAAATTGCCTGGTGCTTGGTTGGAGGGAGGGAATGCTGTTGAGGGGACCGGCGGGTCTGGTATGTGACTACGCTGGTTATTCTCCGTTGAGTACTCCGTACTTTGGGGAAATAGATTATTTGATTCGTTTTACTATGATTTATGGCTTTGACTCCATGCTGTAGCAGTCAATCCCATCATCCCCGACCCTGCTGCGTTACTCAGGTTAAATCTAACACTTTTATTATTTGAACAGTGTCGTAGAAAAATAACCCTAGTAGTGCAAGAAGAAATCCTCCAGTCTGTAGTGAAGTAATTGCCTCTTGCCAATGCCAAACAGACGCGGTAATGGTCATCATTGCCTTCGGACCACAACACAGAGCAAGGCTCAAGGAGGAGCTCTTACTAATAAAAAAAGATTAAAGCGATGTTCAATGAAGACGCAACTATCCCGTTACTGAGTAGCATTCAGCCATTGGCTTCTCGAATATGTACATTTGTCAAGACATTTGGTTCTGTTATAAGTGCAATAGCCCAGCAGAAGGCGGCGCATATTGGCGATAGATAGTTCAGAAAAAGCAAAGGTGTAAACCGAAGTTTCTGGTTGGACAACTGTTGCTCCATCATAAGCAGGCGAATGGCTTCGAATAAAAGTGCCCCACACTGTATCAAAACACCTAACCCACGCAGGCAGACTTCCCCATAGCAGGAAATCAAGATGCCGAGGCAAATTGTACACACGGTGAAAAGCAACGAGGGGGTGGGTCTGTAAATACCAGCAGTGCACCTGGAGAGCAGGACGATGACTGGTCCAAGTGACTAAAAGGTGAGATTGGAACCAATATTCGTGAATCTCATAGCCAAAGAGAGCGATGAATCAACTTTGAACATTTGGATAAACGCAAGCTTAGGTACATATACGCAACATTGTTCAAAATGATATTTATGCTAAATGCAATACTGAATGAAATGAAATAAGTCACGTAAAATCTTCCCATGGTCATTTCTTGGACTAGATTGATCAGTCCTGTGGTTTGCGCCAACAGGCGCTGCATCGCTTTCAAAAGCTTCATTCTTGATAACGGGCTGCTCATATCTCTCTCTCCCAGATGTATAACGGAAGGTTCCACCTCGGTTCTCTAGGCGTCGACCGATAAGTCGGTGTGGCCGTGATCTAAGCCATGGTATCTGGATGGCATAGGAGCCATTTCGGTGTTGTAGGCAAAGAACAATGTACTGTGTCGCTCTCTCGCAGACACCTAGGAAACATTAGAAACATATAGCGGCCAACTCAAGCTAAACTCTGATGGTAAGGACTTGGAAGAGCCCCTTTCTTATTGGAAATATCCTTCAGCACAATTGGACCGGATTCAGGGTGTATAAAGGACGTTGCTATCTCAACATTCCTTGCCTATAGAGCTCGCCAACCACGGGGGCTTGGCAGTTCCTCTTCTGGGCAGGCTAGCCCGGTGTGCCATGTTCCTTGGCCCTCGACGTCAGGCGGTATAGAAAAGGACCTTGACAGGACAAGGGCGACCAAATTAGGATATCTTACTCGAACATCAAAAGCCTACTTACCAGATAGCCAGTGTTAAGGAGGCAAAGAAAGAGATCATAGAAAGGCCCTAAGCTTCTACTTAAGTAAATTAGATCCAAGCGCCCAGTTAGTACCCAAAATCCTCGAGAACCAATCGAGCGGGAAAATGAGCCACTGTGCTTGGCGCCGCAGGGAATGTCAGGAATTTAGTATACCCTAACTATTCCGTTGCGGCTCTGCGTTGTGATATTACATCATTATCAACCTACCCCTCACCAACCTAGAATCAACATCCTCCCAAGCACCCAAACAAAATGGGAATGAAAGCACGCTGCCAATGTGGCAAAATTCAATTCACAACACCGACAGAAAAACCACTGAAAGTTTGGATCTGCCACTGCACAGAATGCCAACACCAAAGCTCGTCCGCCTTCGGCATCTCTGCAACGTTTCCGTACTTCGAACTCCCCGAGGAACTCTCCAATCTAGCAAGCAGCTACACCCGTGTCACCATCAAAGGCCGTGAATTGGAGTGCATTTTTTGCAAGAATTGTGGCGCTAGACTTTTTCATCGGTTCAGAGATGCTGTACCGACACCTGGTGAGCAGCCGCATTTTTCGGCAATCACTAATGTGAAAGGCGGTTGCTTGGAAGGTCTGACTAAAGAACTGCTGCGGTCGGCGGTTCATATTTGGTGTCAAGAGGCGATCATTGATATTCCCGAAGGCGTGGAGAAATGGGATCAAGCGCCGCCTCAGCCGAATCCATTGGTTACTTGAGTGTTTGGATAGAAGGATTGAATCGGGTTTTTTTGGAGAAATAGAGTTATCTCTTGAACAAATGACTCGCTGAATGAAAAAAAGAAGTGATGCCACAGTAGAGTTGGGTTTAATCATAACCAGGCTTATCCGACGACCGAAGTCCAACCGTTATCAATAGCGATGGTTGCGCCGTTGATCTGGCTAGCGCCCCTTCCATAAGTCAAGTTCACACAGAAACCAGCAACCTCATTCACATCAACGTGCGGTGCCTGGATAGCCTCCAGAACAGTCATCACCTTCTTCATACCGTGGACATTCACGCCAGATCGTAAAGCATCAGTGATATTGGTCTCCATACCACCCATCATCAATGCATTGCACTTGATTCCCATATTACCATAGTAGGCAGCAGTGTTCTTAGTCAAGCCGACCAGACCATGTTTGCTAGATGTGTATGCAGCACCTGAAAGGGCGAGAGTCAATTAACATGAACTTCATGGCCCTCAGAAAAAGGCAAGAAACATACCACTAGCCCACCCAGCCTTGCCAGCAACAGAAACGATGTTAATAATTCGGCCATCGGGCTTCGCTTGCGCCAGCATATTGCGCACAGCTAATTTACTCAACAGCGCAGGCGCAGTGAGGTTGATAGCGATCACACGATCCCAAAGCTCCATGTCCACATCGCCGATCGGGTCGAAGTGATCCATGATGCCGGCGTTGTTGACGAGGACATCGATCTTGCCGAATTCGCCAATTAAAGTCTCAAACAGGCTCTCGACCTCGTTGGTCTTGGTGACATCGGTCTTGATAGCTTTCAGGGGACCCTTAGACGACAATTCGGCCGAGGTCGCCTGCAGGCGCTCGTCGTTAACATCACAGATGACAACGTTCGCACCGGCTTCCAGGAACTGGGTCGCGATTGCTTTGCCTAGACCGCCGCCGCCGCCGGTGACGAGGCATGTCTTTCCTGTGAGGATTTGCTCGGACATTTTTGTGGATCGTTGTGATGGCTATTGTGAAAGGAGTGTTGTGAAAATGGCAAAATTCAATTCGATTAGTATTTAAATATTTTCTTCTTTTTTTTGGCGACGGATGTCTCTACCCGCTTTCCGTCCTTGTTGGCCACGTTGGCATCTACTTTGGGCTTGGTCAAGTCGGTTCGGGTGCCGCGTTTTTCTGGGGAACGGCCAGCCTCGAAGAAATCGGACCACCAAAGGGACTTGGCCTTGCCGGTAGGTAAATTAGATACCTGCAATTACGCGGCTCCCTGTGTATGCCTACTATGTTAGGTGAATATAGCGTAGTAATTATCGCATTTCCTGGCAAATCAAAGGGTTAAAATCAAAGTATGAACTTGAAGACCAAACAAGCAAGCAGAGATGTAGTCAAGCTCGCACTGCATGGATCTATTGACCTATAAACTGACAGCCAATACACATCCGTGTTCCGGGGTATTCTATGCTCGTCACGTGCCTTCCCGGAAGCTGGCCCATCCGAGAGCCCTAAGCCCTGATGCCTATTCGGATTATAATGGTCTTGTATCAGATCTTTTGTAACTTCAACCACATATTCCACCTTTAATGATGTTGTTAGTAAGAAGATAGAGCATAATCCAGGTATCAAATTGAGATTTTGTATATAGACTGCTACTCAATCTCCCACGCTAATCTGCCTCTATCACTCTAGGTGTTTGGATGACGGTACCCTTCACTTGCTTCTTGTAAATATTTCAGTTCTCCCACGCAGCCACCACAGGCAATGCGAGGATGACGAGCACAGCAGTTGTAAGGCACTCGCACTTTTGACTATACGCCCACGCATAATTGGTCCTGTTTCTTGCGTTACTACCAGGAGGGTATAAGACCTGAGCTGCTGAGCCGTCAGCATAGATAGTCGCGAAGTCAGCTTTCGTGAAATATGATAGAGCACTGAGAGGGCTTCGCGTGATTTGCCAAAGATACTTTGAATCCGGAATTATATGTACCGACGCACTTAGCGCTGATAAATATTTCAAAATAGGGCTCTGCACCTATAAATCCAATTGGACGTAGCGTGCGCCTGATCTCTATAATTTTCGGTGGATTTTTACCACAAAGAAGGATCTCGCGCTAGGTACTGACATATTCCAAAGAATGGGTCTAAACGGGGCTGCTGAGAATGGAGACAACATACTACGCCTAGATGAGAAAGCGAAAGATAAGGGTGTAAGAGTTAGTAATAGATCAATAGATCACTATCAGACACATTCAGCGTGCAACATGGAATGGACTTTCGTTAAAATCCATAATCCATATGAAAACAACCTTGAAAACGTTGCATTTGAGATACACCCAAGGCAAACTTTTTTGAGAACATAGCGGCAAGGGCCCAAGCACCGGCCCTGCAAGGTTGACCGGGCCGACGACAGACGTGAAGAACAGGATGGTTATAAATTTACAGATGAGGTTTAGAATAAATAGAATAACAAAAGCCACATGGAAAATTATTTCTCTTCCAATTGCCCAATTGCCTCCAAGGCTTATCGAACCCTAGACGCTTCTCCCCGCAAAGAAGCCGAGTTAAGTGTGGTTCTCCGACCCGGTTGGCAGCCGGGCTCCACAGTCATCGCGCAGACCTTCTCAATTAGGAAATCAAGATAGAACATCTATCTTATCATGCTGTCAATATGGTGACTCTGGGGTGATGACAAAAAGTATGGGGTGTGATCGGAGTGCTCTTTATATCTATCGGTTGTCGCTTATAAGCCGTGTCACCCCCGTGCCAGGCAACATCTCGGCTAGTTAATTGCTTTTGCTACTCGCAACCATGTCAGCTGAAGAAGAGAATCTGAAAGTTTTTCAGGGCACACCGAGTGAAGATGTCCGTTTAGAAAATCTGGGATATGAGCAGGGTAGGTTCATTCCATCAAAACTGAATATATCCTTGCATTAATGCTGACCGACGCAGAGCTGAAACGATCTTTCGGGTTGATGGGAATGATAGGTTTCAGTTTCAGTGTTGTGACATCGTGAGTTCTTTTTTCAACATCCAGAACTTCTCACTAACCGCTTTCTAGATGGACTGCACTAAGTGGAGTCTTCATTGTCGGAGTATCTTCCGGCGGTCCTCCAGTTATGGTGTTTAGTTTCATCGGTGTTAGTCTGTTGACTCTAGCTGTCGCAATTCCCATGGCAGAAATGTGCTCTATGTATCCGGTGGCAGGTGGTCAATATTCCTGGGTCGCGGCACTCGCTCCACCAAAAATCGCTCGAGGTCTTTCATACGTGACAGGATGGTTCATGCTAATTGGTAAGCCTTTTCCAAGTGCGCCACAAACCTATACTAACCCGAACTAGGTCTCTTGGCTATGGGTGCCACGAACAACTCAATCGCTTCCAACTTTGTCTTGGGAATGGCAAACCTCGTTTTCCCCGAATTCGGAATTCAAAGATGGCAAACAGTGCTGGTCGCCTACCTTGTCGCATTCCTCTCTGCTGCTGTCAACCTCTGGGGCTCCCACTTTTTGCATAAAATCTCGAAAGCAATTCTCATCTGGAATGTCGCCTCGTTCGTTATCGTTACTGCCACAATTCTCGCTATGAATGATCACAAGCAGCCCGCTTCTTTCGTGTTCCAGGATTTCCAGAATGGCACCGGCTTTGGCACTGGAATGGCTGCTATTATCGGTGTTCTCCAAGCTTGCTTTGGCATGTGCTGTTACGATGCCCCGTCACACATGACCGAAGAAATGAAGTCTGCTTCTAAAGAAGCACCCAAGGCTATCATTCTCGCTGTTGTTCTTGGTGCTGTGACCGGATTTGCTTTCCTTGTCACCCTTTGCTTCTGCATTGGTGACATCGAAACGACTGCTAACACAAGCACCGGCGTCCCTGTGATTCAGATCATTTATGATTCTACTGGAAGTGTGGTAGCGACTTGCATCTTATCGACTTTGATCTCGGTAATTGTGATTGTCGCGGGGAACAACATTCTTGCCGAGGGCTCGCGATCCGTCTACGCCTTTGCTAGAGACAACGGCTTGCCCTTTTCAAAGTTCTTCAGCAAGGTTGAAAGCAAGACCCACGTTCCTGTCAACGCCGTGCTTCTCACCTTAGTGGTCCAACTTGCGCTCGATGCCATCGAATTCGGTACCACCACTGGCTTCCAGACCGTCATTGCCATCTCAACTGAAGGCTTTTGTAAGTTTAATACACTGCAATCAAGGATGCCCCTACTAATAACTACTCAGACCTTTCGTACGCAATGGCACTGTTCAGCCGCCTGGCTGGCTACTATACCGGCCACGTAACTAAGCTCGACGGACCATACTCATTCTCAGTACCAGTATCGATCGCTCTCAATGTCATCGGTCTGGTCTTCCTTCTCTTCGCTGCTATCACCTTCAACTTCCCTAGTGAATATCCGGTTACTCACCAATCAATGAACTATACCAGCGCTGCTATTGGTGTAGTTGCTCTGATCAGTTTGGTCACTTGGATCACAACGGGTCGTAAGCAGTTCTCGGGCCCTGGCGCAGTGAGCTTTTTGAGTGGTCAGAATACTGTAACGCAGCATGTGGGCGGAATGGATGCTCAACGTGTGGATGAGAAGAAGGCATAATTCATAATTTTATGAAATATAGTAATCAACATTTTAGTGTATTTAGATTTCGCATGTCTTTGCAAAAAAGCCCTATGGAGAAAAATAACTACGAGCTCTAGCAACTATGCAAGGTTTTTCAGGGTTTTCAGGTTTTTCAGGTACGAGGGCAGCACCGTTCTCTAGTTCTATATACGATGATCTTATCTACTATAAAAATCTATAATAAAGACAAGTCACTCTTAACCATTTAGTAAATTGTTAACCTTGGAAGGACCGTTTGAAAAGGGAAGGCGCGGAACTCCGATGTGCCCGGTGGCTATGTACATCCATATATGTAGTTTTAATTGGAAAATCGCTCCGGGCTTTTCGAATGCGAAGCTGACAGGCACACACCATCCATGGATCCATAGATGGTGACCCCATATTGTGGAAGATAGGTTTGATTGACTCATTCCTCCTGTTCCCTAGCTTTTTAGACAATAATCTACCTTTGTTCCGCTGAGTTCCTCGTCAAATATATCTTCTACGTCCTTCACGAAAAGTAAGCTGTACCTAGGTAGCTATACGTACTTGATTTCCTCTACCGGGTGGGGCTTTCCTATCTTAGCTGCCGCCGCTTTTATGAGGGCGCTCAGAGTCAAGCTCACTGAGTAGATTCCAGTCCGGGCTCAGACTCACTGGTTACTCAAAGACCGCTCAGAGTCGTCTATTGAGCAACTAGTCTACACTCAGACCATACCCAAAGAAGCACATTGCCCCACAATACTATTTACTCTGCGACTACTTTTTTATGGCCCTCAATTTTCACCATGCTCCTCCTATTTCTAGGGGTGCATGATCTTCCAGTCCCATTCCGCTCTCAAAAATAGCACACTCAGCCATCATGACGCAAAACTGGAAGGCACAGAGTCTATCTATCACGGCGAGGTGCCGGAGAAGAGTCTTAGGTCATATCAAATTACTGAATCATAAATTGGAGCTATTTTCTTACTTCATTCCTCTAAAATAGCTTTCTCTATTTTCTACCTCATCCTTTCAGATTCTCAGTCTTTTTCTTGCATTGCCTAGGAAATTAAACTGGCCATAGGTAGAAAATATTTCTTTGCTCAACAAGATAAGATCGCTAAAGAAAAGCGCCACATTCAACTGCAAAAGAACGGCTATGTTTTTAGCGCCCATGTAGATGAAGATGCTATCCGAGAGAAAGATAAAAGGGTGCCTAAGACGAAGAGGATGTACTATGAAGCTGTTAATCTTTGGATTAAGTAAGTTGATATACGGTTGTACTTGAATTACGTTACTGTTCAAGTCGTATTCAGATGAAGTAGGCCGATGAGTAGAACAGAATAGACGAAAGAAGTCCTTATTTCTGGCATCTTTATGCTAATATTGACTCCCCGAGCGTATATCTCGATTCTGTTGCTCGATTTACTGCATGAGTTGCACACTCGGTCGGGCGTTCGCTCGAGTTCTCTCCATCAGCTCATCTTGCTTACTTATCCATCGCAATCATGTTTTATTATGTGCGCCTTGGGCCTGGTGAACAAGGATATGCGTCACCTTATTGCCTCAAAACCACTGGTTACTGTAAGCCAATTCCAAGTTCCAAATATGAGCTATAAAAACCGGTTGAATCCCCATGGATGGAGAAGTACCAAATTCCTATTGAATTTCGGAATTATACCAAACTGGCAATTTCCTTTACTCTTTTTGCTTTGAGTACTCAAATAAATCCTGCGTCCAATTCCTATCTTGAAATATGGGAATTCACCTACGGACATTCTATTCAGCAAGCAAGAGACAAGTTCTGCGTGCTGTCAGTGACAAACCGATTCATCAGAGGTACGTTGAGCTTTGGATTGGGTGAGTAGCCACAATAAGCTTCTCAGTTTCCTTGTTTACTGGCTCCTCAGGTTCCTTCTTGACAGCGGGATTGTTCCAGTTGGCTATAAGCTGGAGAAGGGATCTTCTGTTCCAATATTACCATGATCAATGAGTTCATCCTGTGGTACATGTACCACACGCGTCCTACAAAATGACGTCTTCAACCAGATGGAAAACCTACGGTGAAGGCTATTCTGGTATGCGCGGAGAGGGTTTTCAGTGGCTTGAGACAGCTACTGAGAACAGGGTTGCCGCAGAGGACCGTCTAGAGGTTTACAGGTCTAGTTTAACAAGTGGCGAAAGTTGATGGTGCCGGCCTGGCTTACCTTTTCACAGTGGATCAGATTGGATCGAATGGCAACCGAGGTCATATGAGGGATCACTGAAGAAGCGCAAGTACTTAATGCTTGATTCCTTGTCTCAGTATACAGCCGATCAGGAGTTTGGGTTATGCACCGACGAGCCCTACTTGTGTTGATCTTCAAAGCTCGGATGCAGAAGAGAGAAACAAAATATAGGTCTATAATGGTGTTTCCCGGTATTTGCGTGCGGTGGTTTCCTCACGCGCGAAGCCATCTGAAGGTACCTAGTATCGGAGCTTTTGCAGGCAGGTATCTGGATAAATAAAGTAACTATTCAAACACAACACTCTCGTCCGCCCTGTGACACATGATCCTGGGCATTAATAGTGATTCTCAAATCATTTTGAAAGCAGTACGCACGCCGACAATGCTGATGTCACGTTCACAAGGGATACCTTCATACTAGGTGCTTTCATTAATCAAATGAGTATCACATAAGTGCTGCAATGTTAATGTCGCCGGTTCAATGACCACGTGGTACAGATTCCACTATCGTAAACCGAAAAATAAATCACCTCGTTGTCTGTTTCCATCAATAATGACAAACCTGGCATTTCATGACCCTTGTGTTGCCATTCATATGGTATTTTAGTGCGGGCTCTGGATGATATCCCCCTAGATTACACCATCTTAGGCGTTGCCAACATTTCTTCAACGGCTGGTTTCAATGTCTTTACCCGGTAGTCCACGGGAGCTACAGCCAAGTCTTTTACTGTCAAACTGACTACCTGCGAAAATCGACAAGAACTTGCCAGCCAAGTACACGAGAAGACTTTACAGTTCTCTGCCGAGGAATCGTGCGCATCTGTTGACACAATTACGCACGGGCTACAACTGGCTGTTTACATATGCCAAGACCTGAGGATTCCGCGACGACGACCGCTGCGCATGCGGGGCCCAGGAAACGGTCAATCACGTTTTGGCTGATTGTCCGAGACTCAAAGATTTGCGGGAAGACCCAAGGAGAAATGTTGAGAATGCATTTAGTAGCATTTCGAGTCTGCTGGGAGGCTCAAGAGAAGGTGAGAAGGGTAAACCAGACAGCGTGTCGCGTGCTAGGACGGTTGAGGATGTGCTAGACTTCGCTAAGCGTCACGGCGGTTTTCAAATCGCGTGCGATAGGGGTAGCCTAACAGTACAAACGATAAGTAGGTCACGGTATGCCTTGGCGAGGCTCTAAGTTCGTTTTCGGGAAGTGGAGCGCTTTCCACGTACGTACACGGGTAGATATAGTTGCTGTATCCTGATCGCTCCATTGTGAAGGGTTGGGGTAAATGACATCCACTCACATACCGTATACCCTAGAATGGTGTGTGGCGAGCAACGTGGTTTCTTACATAAATACTTATTCGAAACCTCTTGGCTTCACATTCATAGTCTACTAGGCTAAGCCAGCCCATCACTGCAGCACTTCCGTCTCTAAAAAGCCCCCGAGGAAGATTTAGCGGCACGCACCGGGCTAGCTCGCGGGAAACATGAGACTGTTAGCATTCTTCCTTGATAATGCTGACCCTCCTGCATATAATGTGTAGAAACCTTCAAGATATGATAAGGCCAAAGCAGATAGATTCAAATAACTTACGGAGCTCTTCCAGATGTACTACCAGAGGCGTTGAATATGAACAGAAGTTGATGGTCTTAAAGGATTTCAAATACGCAGCTCTTCTCTCACATTCTGCGGTCTACGCATACGTGGTACATATTCACAATGAAGTTGATAACCTCTCGGCTTCCCTTATATCGAACAGGACCTCAGAACAGCCTTCTTTCCATTTAATTGAGCTTCAGTAGTCGTCTTTTTTCCATTTTTATTGAAAATGAGGTAAGCCTGTGCTTTTCTTTTTTCTTCGTTTTTCTTCAATTTTTTTTTAATAAGAATTGGCTGGGTTACTGACCTCTAAGCTTTCTACTGTACATCTTCCGTGAACAACGCAACCTAATCTGATGCTTACTAAACTTAGAGTAGTGAATGGTCCCTTGGCTATCCCGCACCCCCGCCTCGGTCCACCATCCACCATGTTTAATTAAAGACATGTGCGGGTAACGTCATTAAGTCCGGGGCAACAAAAACTCAATGACTTTGCGTCCTATAGATCCACACTAAACCATCTTTGTGTAAGCTTTGCGACCCTGTTCGATGATTGAATTTCATTCGTTCGTATTGTTGCCGGACTAGGAACAGGGCTTGCAATAGTCGAAATAGTAGTAAGGGGACCGAGCCGACTGTACTTTTGGGTGAGAAATCAAAATGATTCTTATCTGACCAGTAATGTGACATGAATGATGTTCTAATAACCGGTATATCCCGCTAGTCTGAGACAGAGCCTGGATTGGAACTGAGTCATATAAAACTAGTCTCGTGCATACCTTCAGACTTCGTTGTTCTGGTCGCGTTAAGTGTCCTCCACGACAGACCGGCTCCAGGCTATTCATCTATTCGGTTCTACACCATAGTCAAAATGCGCCTTACTGCTGCTATTGTTGTGCTCGCCGCCGGTGCCATCACTAGAGCTCAACTATCTAATATCCCCCAATGCTCTGTATGCTCTATCCGCTCAAAATCTCTGCTCAGTGTCTCGTTCCTAACTAACCCGTGCTTGTTTCTTCTTTCTCTTCCAGCTTACCTGCTTTACTTCGACCCTTGGCGGGGACGGCTGCTCTGAGCTTACGGATTTCGCGTGCCATTGCCAAAAGCCTGGCCTCGCAGCGGAGATTGTGCCATGCATCAATAAAGCCTGTGATATCACGGACCGAAAAGGTATGAGAAGCCACATTCCCTTTCGTATGACCCGGTCTAACTAGGCCCTATAGTCGTATCCAGCGTCGTTGAATCTTTGTGTTCCGGTGTTGGCCATCCGGTCTCTATCCCCGCGGTGGACACATCGATTCCCACAACGACTGCCATAGGAGCTATCCCAACCACAGCGAGGAGCTCCAATTCTACCACAGTCAGTGGTCTCGGATGGAGCTCCAAGACTTCGTCCACGATCAAAACTTCGTCCACGATCAACACAGCTTCGCCTCAGAGCACCTCCCAGTTCAACAGTGCCTCCAGTATTGCACCCGGGGCTGTTCAGATGGTCGGTAGTGCTATCCTGTTAGCCAGCATGATCTTTTTTGTTTGAAGAGTTGTGTGGAGAAACAACAGAATGGTACTTTGTCTGCTGTCTGCTAAACTTAATTTCGCGCTGGTACCTCCTTCCATGTTCATTGCCTCTACCAAGCCATCTCAAGCTACACTCATTTTAATACCTTTACTATTCTAGAATAGAGTTTTCGAACATCGAATGGCGGGAGTTTGAATTCCAAGGCGCATTTCTTCACTAGAAATATTCATAGTCTCAGGTGAGACTCTCGTCTCCAGGTTTTGGGTGACTATGTAGAAAATACCAAACAGGTAGGACTGTCCCAGATATCAATACACCATCATACAAGCATCCCACTATGCCGGCCTCCTACAACCGAGTGTGGGGAAATTGGATGCAACGTCGGCAACAGCGAACTAGAAAAAATGGAGAGAAAAAAGGAAGGAAAGGGGAAATAAATCCTTCGTCCGAAGCCACTAGATTAGTGTGGTGCGTGGAGAAACCACTCATGGCATTTAACTTCATTGCGATTCTGTTCCTGATGACAGCTCATTTCTCCGAAAGGTCTAAGCTGGCTAAATGCGACGAAATCAGCTCCTTCCGACAGATTTCTAGTCGGAATAAGATTGAACGGCCAGAGGGGCGTTCTGGCAATAGGATTTAAAAACCTCAATTGGCCCATCCCATACCCCGTAAGCCCTAATCAATTAGACTTTGAGACATAGGCTAAGAACTTATGGGATACGCGCAGGTACGGGGGGTTTGAGACCTTGGAAAACCTCGGTCGACGAATTTCTTGGAGAATTTGGTAGCAAAACACGTGAAAAAATGAACAACAATTTTTTAGCATGCCAACTCTTTCCACGGCGAGAAATTAATTATGCGACAAAATGCGCTAGACAGCGCCACCATAGCCACCTAGCCCATCGACCAATGATTTACGCAAGAGAAAGCTAGGAAGACAGGACGAGAAAGAGGGGTTGGAGAAGATTTTTGGAACAGTACGGACCTTGAAAGGGTTCCTTGTCTTTGTTTTCTTCGTTCTGTAATTTTTAGTATGTACAGTACCATAAATTAAATTATTCCCTGCCCGAACGCGCCTGCGTACTAAGCATCTTAGAAGTGGTGTCGCAGTTACCTTTAATCCCATTGAGAACAAAACGTGCAAGCCCGCATAAATGTTACAGTATTAGGGAATTAAATCAAATCCTGCGCATGTACCCAGCTCTGCTAGAAGGTCTCTCGCCGTGACGTCGATACCGCCAGCGTCTGAATCCTCCCTGCCAAAAGCTAAGAACAGTGTATCATCAATGAACCCATGGTCCTTTTGGCCATGGCTTTTCCAACTGATGCTAGTCATGTAGAGCATCTCGGAGGTATCTTCCAGTAATCCTGTGGAAGAATCTTCATCTGACTTCTCTGCTCTAATGCTGCGACCAAAGATCCAGATTGGTTTTGACGAGACCGCATAGATCTCAAATGGCATCGAACGCCGCATCAGCACCACATAAGGCTCATATACGGGGTGAAGACCGTGTAAAGTCTTTTGTTGAATGATGAAGAGCACAAAGGTGTTGGTCGCATCAGGTTGGCAAAATCGGTCAGACCGTGCACATAGAGTGATAGCTAGCGAGTTTGTCGCTTGATGAATCTTTCCCGTCTCAGGCAAAAATCTCTTGAGACATTCTTGGTCAGAAGCAGAAGTCGTCACCGCCAAGTTTGGTCCAACAGAGCCATCTAGCTCGAGTTTGGAAAACACACGTGCCGGTGCAATTTCATGGTGTAGGAACATTTGTCCCGAATCATCCCAGAAGAGAAACCAATTCTTCTCAACAGCATTCCATGGCATTGGACGTTGAAGCTCACGATACTGCCGGAACTCGTGCTCATTTATGGTGTCTATCCCCCAATCCACCAGGATTCGAAAGTCAGATATCCATTGTCCGAAGCATGTAAAGAACGAATTGGAGCCATAAATGGTGTACGGGATCTCGGGCCCGTAGAACACCCTCGCATCATGAGGCCCAACGTTGAGACTAAAGTACGCAATGTCACCGTGACACTTGCTGGAGTCACCAAAGGTCGCTGGGATGGGCAATTGCAGTGGTGGCTCCAGACAGCTCAAGACTCTCTTGTCGTCTGAAAATGCGGCATTGCAGACGAGTTCAGCGAACCAGACTGAGGCAGTTCGAGCAGACGGAGGCTTGTAAAGTTGTGCAGTGATGATCCAGGTGTCAAGCAGCTCGGGGTGGGGGATTATACTGGGGTTCAAGACGAATCTTCTTCCAAAGTCGATCCTAAAATACTTTCGGTCGGGATTCGATACCGAGTATATTACATGGTGTGTCCGAAACATATCTTTGTCGGATTGTCCGGCATCATCGTGTAATTGTCCATATGGACCACCCGAGGAATAGTCCGTAAATAGAAATCCCGATTGCAAGCCGACATGGCTGGATTGAAATTTGGCGACGAGAATCACCGCGGACAATAGCCCTGCAATAAGTATCAGGTGCGTGGCTAGTTTTTTGGCCATGTTCAATTTGACGAGTGTAGACGGGATGTAACAGTAAGAGTTTCTAAGTCTTATTTCAGAGAAAGCCTTGCCGAGATTGGTCGTTGACACTGACTAAAAAAGGGGGCTTTAACTGACACAGGCAGTGGCTGAATTGAGGGGTTATACTTTGTTTGCACTATGGCGATTAGGGCGATCATCCACTACTCTTGACAATTTTGACCACTATGGTCTCGAAACATGGCTTAGTGACCCGGGTATCTTTGCAAACTATAGGAACACTGCTTCCAGCAGAGAATTTTTAATATTGCAAATAGTACTGCCAAATCTAAGATGAATCTCGCGATGCCATTACAAGAATTTTATAATCCACTGGTATCCTGAGCTCCGGGCTCCGGGCTAGCAGTGACTTTCGTTTCCGGCGGCAAGACTCTTATTATACAGCAATTTATCATTCAGAGAAACGCTTTGCATTAGATACTCAAAAACAAACCAGGCAGATCATGGACACATGCGGAGGGTTGTCAGGTTTTGTCAATCAGCGCCCTTTGGTACATCCACTGAGAGAACTTCACCGCCGGCTCATCAACTAGTCTAGTCGTGACCTCTGCCAGCCAGATAGTCAAGGGCAACAAAACCAGATTCGCGACGAGAAAGTTGAATTCAAGCCCAAGAGGACCAACGTTAGGCAAGGGGAGGCGATTAATCCACCAGGGACAATTCTCAGAGTGTGAATCGCGTACGAAACCCACTGCAGCATAGATCCTGTCACCCAAAATCCACAGAACAGGTCCGTGAACCAGATAGAATGCAAACGAAATACGGCCCAAGTACTGGTTGAATGGAGCATTAAAAAATGTCTTGAGCCACTGAAGGTGAGATGTGCATGCGACGAGAAAGACAGCCGCCCAGAACAGGTAAAACCACTTGTAATCGAACACTGCCTGTGGTTTTAGGAAGGATAAGAGGTACCACCCTGGTGATTCACGTAATTGTTGCAAATTGTCCGTATGTGAGGGGACCCCTCCAAGATAAAGGCTCGCATAGAAGAGAAAAGTCATGATGGCTGTCTTAAAGGGACCCAGTCTGAGAAAGAAGCGGGGCAAATCATTTCGCATGGCCAAGAGGTCGAGATCTCTTAGAAGCATGCCGGCAATAAACATAGCATAGTGTGATCCATCCGCAATGTAGAGAAAGTACACAACCAACGCGACTTCGCCTAGGAGCCGGGCATCGCGGCGAAATCTTGAAAAAGCGAGAACGGCGGTGTAGACAGCCAAAGAGCCTCGATGTTCGACGGGTATAGACCAAGCATGGAAATTGTATGTGAACCAGGGCTCGCCGCCCGTTCGGAGAGGGAAACTGAAATTCTTGAACTCAGCGTACCAATTCCATAGCTCCGCGCGGTAGCTTCCTTGAAGCTCTAGGACAGCGGTGATCTTAAACAAGTGCAAAATTGTAATGTAGCATAATGTTGTGCAAATGACAGGAATATATAGACGAAACCATCGGCGAAATATGGCTGAGGAAAGGCATTTACCTAGTCCAACGTAATCGCCATCCTGGATGCTAACCAGTGGCCTCATTGAAAGAACGTACCCAGAGAGCACGAAAAATACGCTGACGGCAAACCCCCCCCCGAAAACAATGTTCGAATACCAGGAAGGCATGCGAAATAATACTTGCTGTCGTAACCGTAGGCCAGCTCGAAGGCATTTCCCACCCCTCCGCCATCGTGGGCCCAAATTTGATGATGTTGCCAGTAGACTAGTAGAGCCGCAAAGCCTCGCAATCCATCTAGGTATGCGGTAGGCCTGCTAAGTGACCTTTGCTTTTCATTCGCGTTGTTGTCGCTATTTGTCCGCCCAGTAAGGAGTATGGGTAGGAAGGGAACCATGCAAGAGGAGAGTGACATCCCATGCCGAGAGCGTGTCATATGGGCAAACTGTGGTTTCCACTGCCCATCCTCGAGGGCTCGCTCTGGGCTTGACTTTAACGACTGAGGTGAAGAGTTCTCGATTGAGGGGTGTAGCATAGGCATCGGGCGAGTGGATTAATGTTAAGAGAGTTCTTTGGAAATTTGAAGAAAAGATCAATAGAAACCAAAATTTCACCACTGAAGAATTACGCAGCTCTCAGTACAACTCTGTAACACGTGAATCCAGTGCGTACAGTAAGGCCCGGTTAGTCCTTTTTAGCGGGTGAGCCCCAGTGCCCAGTCGTGCCGAGGCCCATAAAGACCTACTGCTAGATTGGGTTCCATATTAATTAACGCCGGATCCCCGCGGCCCTCTTCCCTTCCCCCACCGGTCAGGGCCTGTATGCAGATTCGGGGGTATGACCCGATAGTGACTAACGCCATGCAGCCACGATCTCACCCCTGCAATGTAACAAGGCTTGAGGTCGCATGTGAGTGCGCACCATTCAATCCGGATAAAACCTACGGAAGCCTCAATGGCGTTTTGAACTAAATCCATAAATGACGGCCCCCACAAGGTCTCTACTGTTGGCTCCGCCGCCCGAATGCCTGGAGGTGTTTTACTGCTCTAGGAATGATCCAATCAGTTAAGCTTCAACCCTTGACCAAGACTTAATGAATACCACATGTTAATTACGATGCCATGTACTGTATGTAATATACTTATCAGTGAAATAAGGCCCTGTCTTCCTGTACCAACAATCTTTCTCCTTTCTCGACTTCGATGCTTGTCCCAGACAGGAGGCCACTGAATTAAATTCCATCACAGGCCCCAGTCATGCTGGAGAAGAATTTCGTGTCGCCCAGTCTCTTTCCGAAGAAGGCACGCAGATTCACACATGGGGGCCTAGTGGCTTTGTGTCTGTTCATCTACTTTTGTGTCACCAGAACGTCGCACGAATCTGGCGAGAATAAATCGTACTCTACTCAGCTGACGAGCAATATTGGCGAACAATTTCCCAGGAAAATCTGGCAGATCTGGAAAGTGAATCCATTGGAATTCGACGAGCGTGATATCGGGGTAGCGCGCAGCTGGATATCTAAAAATCCGGACTATAGGTACGAGGTTTTGACCGACCAGAATGACCTCGGCTATGTCGAAACAAACTTCGGACCCCTTGGGCTGAATCGACCAGATATCGTTGAAACATACCGGTCTTTAACGGCTCCAATAATCAAGGCCGACCTACTTCGGTATCTTGTTTTGTACATGGAGGGAGGTGTCTATGCTGATATAGACGTGGAGGCATTGAGGCCAGTTGAGCGATTCATCCCAAGCGGCCACGATGAGAGCGAGATCGACATGGTCATTGGCGTCGAAATCGATGAGCCACACTTCAGCGATCATCCTATACTAGGTCAAAAATCTCAATCCTTCTGTCAATGGACATTCATGTGCAAGCCCCGACAGCCCGTGATGATGCGACTAGTAGAGAATATCCTCCACTGGCTCAACCAGCTCTCCATCAAGCAAGGGAGGCCAATCTCAGAGCTTCAGCTGGACTTCGATGATGTGATCACAGGAACCGGGCCTTCTGCCTTTACAGGCGCAATACTATCTGAAATGAGCCGTGCAACGGGCAAGGATGTCACATGGAGTATGTTCCATGATATATCAGAGTCCAAAGTTGTCGGGGGGTTTCTGGTTCTCACAGTTGAAGCGTTCGCCGCTGGGCAAGGCCATTCGGACTCGGGCACCCATAATTCGCGCGCGGCGTTGGTCAAGCACCATTACCATGCATCTGCGTGGCCAAACCGTCACCCACGATTCTATCATCCGATCTTTGGAGAGGTCGAGAGGTGCAATTGGAATATGGACTGTGTGAGGAAGTGGGACGAAGAAGCAAGTGCTTTTGCTGCTCTGCCTCAGGAAGAGCAGGAACGGCAGATTGCCACATTCCAGGCAATAGGGGAAGCACTAAAAAATATGGAACCACCCCCTGAGCAGGGAATATTTTGATTATTCTTTTCTGACAATGTGATTATATGTTCTAGATATAAGCGGTACGCTCTCGCAGAACCCTCACTAGAGTCTGTTGTAATATGAGGCTGGTCCAGATCAGGAATCAAGCCGCCCCAGCTGAATTAATTCCTGCATTGTCTACACAAAGAACCAAGTTGAATTTCAACCAACTTGATCTTCTCATTGTACATATAGCCTCGGTTATTTCCTCTGTTATAAGAACAATCAATCTTCCTTTGACATACAACAGGCTATGAGCCCGGCAGCAATCTCTCGCTTGCCGTCTCTAATCTTCTGAGGAACATCTTTACTATCTTGGTTATATATATCTATAATGCTTTCTCGGCCATCGCGCCCGGATCGATTAACGATCGATCGCATATCGCGATCTTAGTGACGCAGAGGCCACTAATTTGCCAGAAGTTGATCCAGCGACCGCCAAGACAGGGCCTGAATGGCCTCCTAGGATTTGCAATAATGCACTCCACTCTGTTGGCAGGTGTGATAATCTCTGTAACTAGTCCGGAGTCTCTTTGATGAAGGGATTGCGGATAATACTCTTCTGAGGTGCAAACACAAGAGCAGAAGCATATATCTGCAATGGTGCCTCCTCAATGATTGATCGACTATTCAGGAGGAATCTTTCCGCATCATGGATAAAGGCGTGGACTTCTGCTTCCGTCTCAGGCTTGGTTAGATTAGCCAAAGGATACAGGAACAGTAGCCAGTGACTTGCCTCTACTAAATCTTTCAATAAATGAATAGCCTGAATAGCCTCTGAACACTTTCCTAGCAAATTCAGAGCTTCAAGCCAGTGAAGGAAGTTTTCCTGTAGAGATTGATACGCCTTGCAGCCACCGTAAAGTTGACCATGGACGAACTGATTGGTGGTGAATCCGATTCTAAAACCCCAGTCAAATTGTTGGTTGCATTAAGCCGTGATTCGATAGGGGACCCGGGGGGTCGCTTTCATCGGTCATGAGCCATACTAAAGCAACCTTTCTGGCGATGTCTTTCTATCTATCGTGGGGGATAACCAGTATACTAAGGGGAAAGCAAAGGGTATTGTTCTTCAGTGGATCGTGATACTTCGATGAAGCACGGCATCAACAAAGCCTTATTGGGTGCAAGGTGTGGTGGCTATTAATAAAAAGCTGAGACTATAGCGTGATCAACGCGGGGTTCCTGCTTCAAAGCGTTTTGTTCCGTAAGTTGATGGATATAGTCTTGGATCAAATCTCGCTTGTTGAGCAATGTCCCCGAAATCATCACGATTTAGTCTCTCAGCTTTCTGAGAATCAGCATCACACCATCCCTAAGGCGATTGACCTGCCTTTTGATGGTACTCATTCCTCTGTTATAAATCAAGGTGTTTCTGACCCGAATGCCTCGATAGAATATGAAAGTTCGGGTTGCCGAAATTCACCATCTGCCCTTACGACTATCTGCTACGCTAAGATGATGGATTGGCTCAGCCAGTCAATATAGAGCTGAATGAACCAGCTCTACTAGTTGTTACTATTGTGAGGAACAATTCTCAACGAGATGGTTTCAACCTAGGAACCGACGTAAGACTAGGATGCAGATTACAATCATCCGACTTTACCTAAAGCCTGAGCGAGTAAGTGAAGCAATAACTAGGATATTACCTTATCGATTAATATGTAAAGTGTACTTGATAATCTAAAGAATGGCGAAGTATTACGCTAGTCGGAAGATAGGCAATCTGTTTCTATTGCCCAAGAAAGCACGTTCCCTGCCTATTTGCTCCTAAGGTTTAATACTAAAAACTACTAATCTCTCGTTCGGCGGCTATACTACTATGGATCCCATAAAGTTGGGGGTGCCTAATATCATGATTCCTTTCTTCGACTCGGGAGATAAGCGGCAGCTCTTCACTTCCTTCCCTTCTGCGTAATAGCACTTCTTAACGTGGGTCGCGGTACAAAGTGGTCAAACGAAAGCGGGTAAGAGAAAGTGTTTGATAGGAACTTATGAATGATGAATACCAAAATAATGTATATCTGAATTGAGTTCTTCGTAGAGATTGCTAAAGAAATATTTCCAATGATGTGGCTTGGTTCTTGGACTATACTAGCTTCGCATAATAACAATTAGCTTTTTTAAACAAGGTAAGCTAGTGCCTCGGATGTGCTTAGCTATCTAGGCGTAGGTGCATCTATTACTAACGTTTGTATTTGAGAAGCTAGTAGACTATATCATGAATTCGCTGAAGGCAGTATCGCCCTTGTGCTGACTGATAAGGGAGGCGAGATCGCTCGGTGCGAGGTAGTATTGCGAGCCGCTCTAGGTGCCTGTGGCTCTAAGTGGAGATGCTGGTACGCTAATAAAGATCTTGGTATTGAGTGAGGGATTGTTCACGATATTGGACACCTATTGATTGTAATTGATTGTATTGTTTACGAGCAGCTAGGAGTATTATAAAATTGAACCTATAAGTAGTCAAATTGGGCCTTAGTGACGACCTCTTATATTTTAGGTTCTAGGATAGGACACTGCGGTGTAGTAGTGATGTAGTTAGCACTAGAGGAGTTAGATGCGAAATCAGAGCGTAATTCGCTAACTAGATACTAGCAGTATTGGTTGCCACTATTACGTTTAAGATCGAATCTAGCCGTTGACGAAGGTGCTACCGAAGGGTCGGGGGATATCGCTCCCGTCCGTATTGCTATACGCTTCCTATAGATTCTGTCCGATGATCTCGGCTTCCTATTAGGATAAGAGCGATGAGGCACCTATTACACTACCTAAGGACAATATCACCTCAATCCTATTTGACTGATATTGCTGGATAGCCGCGGCTAGGGTATCGCATTACCGAGGCTCACTAGACGTTGATATAGAGTATGACTGGCAAATTGAGCTGGATGGAATGGTCTGACCATTTCGATACTAGTTTAAGAAGGCGAGTACAATGATATCTATGCCTAAAGTTACTTGTAGTAGGTGGTTAAGTCATTATTCTTAATAGCACTAGCAGCGTTCTGACCCTAGTGAACAACGTTCTGAGTATTAGACCTAACTAACGGGAGTAAGCGAAGAACATGATTTTAAGGGGCTCACATTTAGACCTGTTGTAGTAACTAGGGATGCACTTTACTGTAAACGTATGAGCCATGGAAAACGATAACTGTGACGAAGACTCTAGAGTAGGATAAATGTAGCCGGGTAAGGATTCCGGGTAAGAGTGGGATTTTCGGTCTAAAGGCACACTCCTAGGCCCTTTCGTAGGACGTTTTGCGTTTCTAATCGATAGTGAAAATTCGCTACAAAGAAAGCCTAAGCCGTTTATACCTCCGTAGCTGTTAGCCATTTGTTCTTTACTCAAGTACCTTTTGTATGTGAGCTTCATACAAAAAGGATCTCCAACCTTGGAATAAGATCATAGTAATCATGATAAACAGAGAGATGGGTGGAAGAAAATAGACCGAGTATAGTGGTCCGCACGCTGTATCTTTGGCTAGATTAAACTAGGTTGAATATATGATCGATCTGATGCTGGTTATGGAGAGGTGGTCCACGGGTGTTGGTAGAAAATATCGCATTAACCATACGAGGGCGGAGTTAGACGGTATATGATATTCATCCACGATCAAAAAGTGATTAACACTATAATTGGGAAGGGATCCGAGAAAGACGAGAGAAACCGCTATGCTCCAGGGGTCCATGGACACTGTATGCGTTTAGACTTGCCTTTCGTCAGCCGAGTAATGCTCGGCTGTCTATGGATATCACCCATCAGACCACGGCGAACTGATTTCCCATATATATATCAAGCTCTGCTGATGCAAAAGGCTTCAATTTTCGTTTCCTTACATTGTCCTTATCTTTATCCTTATCCATGCTCTAATCTGTTATGCTTAAATATCTGGCTGGATGGGACTGGGATTTATCACTTCTAGGTTCAGAGAGCCTTGTAAAAAGCCTACTAGAGCGTCGGCTTAATTGGTGGATTTTGTTGACCTTCACGGGTTTGATTGAGTAGTCTATGTAGTTCGTTTTGACCCTCGTGGGATCACCCGACTGATAACGAGTTTAAACAAATTTGAGATGTGGAGCCACGGAAGGATCCGAAGAACAAAGCTGAAACGCTGTCTCACGGATGAAGACCCCATTTCGTCAGGATCTACTATAAACCAGACAGGGGTAGGCGCTAAGTCATCCACTTCAAACTGCCCATAGCATAAATTCAACGCGAATATTAACACAGTATGAATTTCGCCGAAATTTCACAGAAGTATGACCATAGTTTTATCGTGGTATTTAAGGGCGTTGATCCCATTGTTTGAGGCGTCGCGAATCGGACAGCAACCGACCATCCCAACATGCGTGGGACATTCGTTCTTTCTTTGCTTTCTACAGCGCTGGGCGTTAGCGCCGCCGTTTCTGAGTCGAACCTCAAGACTTATGTCGATGTGCTGGCACTCGACTATTCTTTCAACCCCGTAAAGGCCGCCTACTGGACTGGGTATCCTCACCATCGCCGTACTCCTTTTGCAGTGTCGCCGGATGGAAAGTCGGCATACATTGCCTACCTGGACTCTAGTGCGACCGATGTTCATGTGCAGCAGTTGGATCCTACGACCTTTGCTGCTACCGGTACCACTGTGACTGTCTCTGGTGGAAAGGAAGGTGCGTTGACCTTTCTCTCATAAGTTAGTCAAAGATTATTAAATAATACACAATGTAGCTGGAGGTCTGGTTGCTCACAATGATGGATTCGCCCTTCTGACCAACGAGGCCATGCCTTCCGGTACCACCAATGCTCCACCAGGCGACACCCCCGTTCCTGTGCTGTACCGCTATACGTCAGGCAAGCAGACATGGAAGACCTGGCTGGGTGGACCTGGTGTCCACGAATCTGACGGTCTGTCTGCCGCCCCCGACATGAATGGTGATCTGGTCTACTCTGAGAGTGCAGAGCTATACGGCGCATACTTCGTTGTGACTGACTACTCCGGCGATGCATCGGGTCACTTCGGCGACAGCGTCGAGTACGTATCAACCAACGGAACCCTCGAAACAATCAGCGGTGCTTCTAGTTCGTGGGGATGCAGCCACAACACCGGTATTGCATTTGAGGCAGCCGACGACGCTCCCTTCGCTGGTATTTGTGCGGAAGATCAGGGGGCTATCTGGTTGAACACCAAAACCCAGGGAATGAACAATGATGGCGTCAAGATCTCGAACGAAAACACCACCAACGGCGCATCTGGTGAACCTATGGGTGGTATGTCTGGTAGCTACAGTTCACTGGCTCGGTTTGCTGAGACAACCAAGTACATCTTCGCATGGGTTTCCCGGGGTGCGATGGACGTGACTGAGAACGAGTGGATGGGAACCGGCTATACAAACGTGCAGAACCGTACCAACGGCCGCAACGTTGCTATCTCACTGTTCTCAGACAAGTACACGAAGGTTGGAGCCGAGGCTACGTCCGTGGTTGGTGCCGAAGATGGAGATAGCCAGATCACCTGGGTAACTTCCGGATCAAACGACTGCTCAAATGCCCATGCTGCCACTTTCGGAAGCAGCAACGCCTTGATTACTTGGGAAGAGATTTCAAACCCGACCTGCGATTTCATCGCCATGGGATGCGGTGGTACCTTCGCAGGAACTTACTTCCAGGAAGTCGACTCGACCGGCTCGAAAATTGGCGCGTCTTTTAGCAGCGACGACGTCTACATCGCTGGTGATATGGTCACGATGTCGGATGGCCGCATTTGCTGGCCGTATGTCAGCATGACCTGGGACCTGTCCCAGCCTATCGATGACTCCACTTCCTCGGTCACTGGAAAGAAGATAAGCATTGCTTGTATGAGCCTCGATGGAACCACTGAGTCCTCCGAAACCACTGTTGCCAGCGCTGCCACCAGCACCACCGCCGCGGTTGCTGTCAGCGAGACTGCTAACGCCGTCACCAAAGCAGCGTCTGTTCAGACAACCGCTGAAGTTGTAAGCGTGACCATCGAAGCCACAGCCCAAGCTACAGCTGGCAGTGTTAGCGCTGTCGATAGCAGTGCCATGATTGAGGTTGCGAGCGAGACCGTGAGCACCGTCCCCGTTGCCACTGCCATTTCCACTCCGAGTGCGGTCGCGATTGCTGTCACGAATGGATCTGAGAGCGAGATCCCCTTTGCTACTCCCACTGAAATCCCCAGTGCTCCAAGTGTTGTCGTCGGCACAAGTGTATTCCCAAGTGACGCGTGGAGCGTCATTCCCAGCGGTGCTTTCGATATTCCGAGTGAAAAATTCGGTGCAGTCGCGAGCGGAACTCCTAGCGGAATTGGTAGAGGACATGGACACAAACACAGTGGACACAGTGGACACCATGGACACCGCGGGGCTCATGATCGGTTCCATGAGAAAGAGGCTGAGGTGATGAGATCTTGTAAATCCCAGTAGAGGCGATCGTATGATGCATAAGAAGTGTGTATTAGAGTGTGTATTGGAAGTGTGTATTGGAAGTGTGTATTGGAAGTGTGTATTGGAAGTGTGTATTGGAAGTGTGTATTGGAAGTGTGTATTGGAAGTGTGTGTTAGGAGTGTGTATTAGAAAAATGTTCTGACTGTACGGACCTCCAGACAATGTTTGAAAAACATGTCGCATTCTATTGATGTAGCTTACTTAGTTCTTTCAATCCGCCACTCTGATTGTACCTTGTGAGCAAATCAAATCTCTCAGATAGTGATCAGTGAGTGGACCAGAGTGTTCAGGGGCGTGGCCAATTATACCTTGAGATAAAAGACTACAAGAGAGGAGTGTTCTGACCATCTTTGAGTCTACAAACAGGCAGAATCCGGGGAACAGAGCCATGAACTCGTCTCAAGTGAGCCCCTTATGCAATGATTGAAATTTGAGTAAATAGCCTAGTCTGGCCTGTTTAATGATTCTGCTTCCCATGTTTGTCATTCTAACCATCATGTGGCTTATATTAGTTGCATAATCCAAATGTAAATCGCAAGTGACTGCAACAACAACTTCTCCTAGCGATTTATCGATTTCCACCTCAGCGTGGTGCTCAATATTATTACGAGAAAGTACCTCGACTTTGGATCCATTACCACCACGCCCTCCAATAGAATAAGCCCGGATGATTTCGGATCTCTACCTTTTTAACGCAACCACACACATTAGCTCTACATGCATAAGAACAAACGTCGCTTTCACTAGCTCGACCCAATATTGAAATAGATGTCTCCCCGATGGGATCTGTCAGGCGATCGTGTTTATCCCAAGTACGTATGCAGGGGTATATATGGTTGATTACGAGTTAGCGAAGTCGCATAGGTTCAATAACGGTCCCCAAGTGCCTGAGATTAAGCCTGGTGAGATTGTCAAAACTATAAAAGCTCTAGCATGGCGAGGTGGGCTACTAACGATCTTATAACTTTCCTAATTTTTCTCAGAATTGAGATGAAAGCTATGCTATCTTGTCAATCGCAGTGCTGGTTTCGGCTTGTTACGCTTCCAGCGTGCCCAAGATTGATCTGCCTGTGGTTGATTTGGGCTATGAACTGCACCAAGCAATCTCATTACATGCTTACTCGCCGTTCCCTTCCGGATCTAACCGTATCTATAGAGCACCTACGGCTTATATAACTTCAGCAATATTCGGTATGCAGCTCCTCCGGTTGGCGATCTACGATGGCAGAAACCTGTGGCCCCTGAAAGCAATCGAGATCAGGTTCAGAATGGTTCTGTAGGCAAGGTGTGCCCCGGCGGATTGCCTTTGTGGGCCGAGCTCACAGTGTCGTGGCTCGACAGCTACACTCACAACACGACTGTCACAGTCTCTTCCAACGTCTCCTCGTATCCGTATACTCCACCCCCGCAGGATGGACGCACTACTGAAGACTGCCTATTTCTTGATGTTCTCGTCCCAAAGAAGATCTTTGATCGCACAAAGAACAAGACCCCGAAATTCAAAAAACTGGCGCCAGTGATGGTGTCGATCCATGGCGGAGGTCAGATATCGGGTGAAAAGGCCCAACTAGATGCCTCTGGTCTGATCAAACGAAGCATGGATGAGGGAGATGGAATTATTTTCGTGGAGTTGAACTACCGGGTGAGTATCAAGATACCCATGGAATATGAGGCCCCTCAAACGAATCTAACTTTACTTAAGTTAGGAGCATTTGGCTGGCTTGCTGGTGATGTCAAATCTGATGGTATCGCCAATGCAGGGCTTTACGATCAACGTTTTGCTTTGAAATGGGTGTCTGATAACATCCATTTGTTCGGCGGCGACAGAGCCCAAGTAACGGTGATAGGCGAGTCGGCTGGAGGCAGTTCAATAATACACCAGATCACAGCCTACGGCGGTGCCAAAGGTCCTGCGCCGTTCCAGCGAGCCATCCTACAGAGTGCAGGCTGGGTTCCTGTCATCACCGAAAAGCAGCAAGATGACACATTGAACCAATTTCTGTCTCTTCTTGGAGTTACCACCATCCAAGATGCCCGGAAACTATCAGCTGATAAGTTGATCGCGGCCAATGCATACCAGGTGTATTACTCTTTTTGGGGACAGTTCACCTACGGCCCTGTTGTGGATCATAGCTTCGTTCCTACCTTTCCGTGGAGACTTCTGTTGGAAAACAAGTTCGATCATGACGTCAAAATTATGATTGGTTATAATTCGCATGAAGGGCTACTCTTTACCTCGCCGGACAGCCGTAATAGCAGTGCCTTCGAAGATTTCGTGCTCGCTGCATCTCCAAGTATCCCGGTGGAAATTGCCGAATATATCGCAAATTTTGTCTATCCGCCGATCTATGATGGCTCGTACGGGTATACAGAGCCAGTTCAGCGGGTTGCTCTTTTCGTTCAGGAGTGGGCACTGGTCTGCAACGATGACTATCTACGCCGAGCATATCACGACAAGACCTACGCGTATATGTTCAGCATCCCACCTGGCCTCCATGGTCAGGATGTTCCATACACTTTCTACGAGCAAGGATCGACCCTCACAAGCATTCTCTTTGGAATTCCTGTATCTAATGTCACCGTGGCGTTGGCGATGCAGGATTGGTTCACCAGCTTTGCTCAGCAGGGTGAGCCTGAGTCTGATTTGGCACCTGAATTCCCCCAACATGGTCCGCATGCACGGCTCATGGACATTCAACAGAACAATTTCAAGATTATCCACGATCCGACTGACAACTCACGCTGTCGATTCTGGCAGACTGTGCCGTATACTGAGTGAATCGTCTGCCCAATAACTCAATCGCATGGATCATTCAGATGCATTCTGGAAACCCTTTGCTGGGTCAATATACAGGAAGGGTATAGCCGAATGGCAAATGCGCAGGAAGTTCGACCTCCAGAATGTCAATACAGATCTTGAGATATGAAGCAACTGAAATGAAGATGATGATGTTAGTAAGTACTTTGTGAGTATCTTGGCTTTACAACGAACGGTAAGAAAATATCAATTTCAATACCCATGTCCCAATGGGATCACCTATTATCGCTGGTACCTAGGGAGATAAAACAAAGAGATGTAAATGAGAAGTGAGTGATGCTCAATATTAACTATAATCCTAGTTCATGTTTACACCTGACCCTTGTAATGCACCAAAGTAGATAGATCCACGAACCAAAAGGTCTTACCAACTATCATATCTAACCTTAAAGATTCAAAACTATTGTATCACGATCATCATAGCCAGCCTCCAAATACCCCAATAAGCCCTCATCAATCGCATGACTTGTCTGATGAAACAGCACACTGTTGTTGGTGTTCAACACATCGCCGGATTTATGGACTATGTAGTTGGTCATCTGGCGAGCCGGCGCCCTCACAGACAATAGATTATATGCTGCAATTCAATCATCCAAGTAAAAGTAACACTGAAAGTCTGTGTTACGGTCAAACCTACCATTCATCGAGGATGATCTTGTCAGCCCGAAAGGGATCTGTCCACATCTGCAGCTGTAGAACACTTACTCAAATAACTATATCGACATCAGGATGGCGTCTTTGGCACCAAATCTACATAAAGAGATGGCATTGCAGACAATGATCTACTTTTATTGGAATACGTTCCACTTCATCCTGCATATGGTGTAACCCATAAACTACTGGGGCCAATACACATTGTACAAGACACAACCTTATCCTAGTTAGTTACAATCGTCACTTGTTCAACCACTCTCCAATAGATGTACCAAGCCATACATCCCTTCGTCAAATAGAACGCGACCCTGATAACATCAAAATGCGGCCGGTTAAAAGAAACGGCCACAGCGGAGCACAGAACACAGGACCAATGCGCCATGATGTCATCCGACAATTCAGAACCCAATATGAAGCAGAAAGTGACAGATCATCCAGCGGTAGGACAGTGGCAGGGCCACGCAAGGCTAACTAGCGGTCTGGATCTACCATCGGTGCCCCCACCACATCAAATCAGCCATGGGCACGAACCCCTACCACACTAAATCGATACAAGATCTCACTTATCGGTGTACAGTTTATCTGGATTGGTGGACGATGTGTGAGCTACCCAATGAGACTGGAGTTGTCTTGTCCATAATTCATGCGTTTTTTCGCTGGCACACTACGAAACACAATTTCAATACCGGGTCGCTCTGTTCCGTAACTTGAGGACAGTGTAATGAATGCAATCTGTGACTTTGGGAGAACTAATGGAGTTCGTGCGAAATAGTTTATGCAGTGCAATATGCGGTATGGGCTTGGCCAATTGGGTTGTTGGTTTGGGGCTGGGACAAGGTGTGGGGAGACAGTCTTAGCTTGAGTATCCTTAGTGTCTGTCTAGTTATATTCAGAGAAAAGTCCCGGGCTAGATTGGACTACCAGAAAGTAGACTGGTTTCTACTCCTTTTTTGCAACTTTTTGTTCATCGATTCCAGCAATCATGTTCGGCTGTTTCTTATTAGGAAGTGCCCTGGCCTATAATGTGGTTATGGTTATCTATCGACTCTATTTCCACCCATTGAATAAATTCCCTGGGCCTCGTCTGGCCGCTGCAACTGGTTTGTATGAGATATATTTCTCCGCCTGGGGACCAGGGAGTTTTGAGCATGAGATTGATTTAATGCATCGACAATATGGTAAGTACGATTTCCCCCGATACATTATGGCCTCTCACAACGACAGGCTCGGTGGTTCGCATCACGCCCGACGAGGTTCACGTATTAGACCCCGTCACCCAATTGCATGTCGACAGTTGGGTTAAAGGAACCGGGGCAATAGAGTCTCAACCAGGGCGCGGAGTGCAGAATTTCCAGATCCAGCGAAGATCGATATCGCGCGTAAGCTCAATGCTCCGAGTGGAGATCAACCGGATCATCAGTGGTCTAGTCGAGAAGCACCATGTGCCCCGAGTAGTGGTTAGCACAAAATTGCGGCCGAAATTTCCCCGTGAGCCTAAAGTTCAGATTGGAGACAGTGATCTGGAACACGAAGGGTTTAAGCTTTCTTGAACTCCGACGTCAAATGGGACCTCTCATATCTCCTGAATTTTGGGTTTCTGAGTTGGAGTCAACGACCAAGCACCGAATCCGGTTGAAAGTTTGGGGTTTGGACGTCACTGGATTCCCCGCGTTGACGAGAATGAATCGGATATGAGAGTTTGGACTCCCACATGGTTCCATGCTAAGGAGTGTGGTACCGTGTTTAGAGGGAGAGGAAACATATCTCCGGATATTGAAGATGTTTAAATGACATAGTGGCTTCTTGAGTCGGCAAGATCAGCGAAACAGGACTCGGCAACTGGATTGAATCCCGAAATTTGGAAAAACCATCTTCGAGGAAGAAGAGGAGAATTTGGCCAGAACAAGTCGCTATTAGGCGGTCGGAATGTTTTCTTGACGGCCCGCTTCTCCGATTCTGCTCTTTCATCGTGTCCCTTCACCTTTTAACACATTGCGCATCTGTCAATTGACAACTTGATTCTTTGTGCGAATTTGTGATCATCTGTCATCATGGTATGTTTCTTGATTGCAATTCCCACAATCCCTAGCTGACCCAACCCAGCCTCACGCCGACTCTTCCTACTTTGCGCCAGGCTCGTCAAAAGCCGACGTATATGAAATGCTTCTATTGCAAACACAAGGTCTCCTCGACGGCCAGCGCAATTGGGTTAGGTGAGTCACGACAAATTGTCTTCCAGCCCTGGAAACCATCTCGCTAACAAGGATTAGCAACCTCTCCAATGTCGCATCTCTCCTCTGGCACGCCTACGCCTCCCTCCCCGCCCCCTCTTCATCCGTAAACTGGGCCGGTTTCTACATCCGTGACGATAAATTTCCCACTCTCGCTTCGCCTATCTCCTCGCCCCCATTGTCTGGTGCAGCCGGCACCCGCAACGTCACTATTTCCACCACATACACCACTTCGGAAAACCAACTTCTCCTCCTAGGACCATTCCACGGCAAGCCCGCTTGCCAGGAGATTCGCTTCGGCAAGGGCGTTTGCGGTACCGCTGCTGCTAAGCAGGAGACTGTTGTTGTGCCCGACGTCGAGGAATTCCCAGGACACATTGCATGCGACGCGGAGAGCCGCAGTGAGATCGTTGTGCCGATTCTAGTGAACGGAGAGGTCAGTACATTCCATCCACAATCCCAAGCACAACTAACGTCTTGATAGACCGTCGCTATTATTGACATTGACTGCACCGAGCCCAACGGTTTCGATGACGAAGACAAGACATACCTCGAGAAATTGGCAAACTTCCTGGCTGATAACTGCGACTGGTAGAAGAAAATTACAAATTAATAATGGTTATGAAAGACACGGTCTGATGAACGGAATTTGGATAGAGGCTTGCCTGTTTTGGTGGTTGATGTTGGTGTTTTCGACGGAAGGTTTAGGCTTTTCTTTCTGCGCATAATAAAAGTCTGCTACTGCCACAGGCTCTTGTGTGTTTAACTTATACATATACGGTTTTTTTGTCCCTTCAAGGAGTAAATCAAGCATCATTCTGCAAGATATGAAGATCGTATTGGTCGCAGTTGGCCTCGCTTCGCACTCAATTTGCTCAATCGTCTCACCGAGTGCACATCTACCCTACCTTTCATCCAGACCCAGATCCAAACCCCTGCCTTATGTTCATAGTCCAAGCGAGCATTTTCTGACTATACGTCTCAAACGCGATTTTTTTAATCTATATGACACCAGAGTCGCCTACACAAACTATGAAACGCAGGATCGGCGATTGATTGCGGAGACCACGGATGGGTCTCCTGCCAAATGACGGCGCGCTAGAGTGCTCGCTTGCTGCGAATTGAAACAGTGAGATTTTGGAATTTATTGTTTTCCGTCTGCTTAGATGCGCTTTCTGACGGGAAAGTATCATAGCCCGCCTTTCGACGATCGCTCGTATATAGCAGCAACCCCGCGGACTGACACGTTGATCTACCGACCAGGGTAATTTCAAGTCTTTGCGTTGCAGAATCACGATAGAAATTTGATTTTTCAGGCCCTAGGATATCCATATATGGAGTTGGACTCTTCTAGTTGTCTTAGACAGAGCCTTGTGAATCCTTTACTTAAGGCTTTAGCCGCCTTGCTAGGATGATCTGACACCAGTTCCAGTGTAGGACAAGAATGCCATCCATCACCTTTCATCTGGACAAGTGCGCTAGATATCAAGCCACTTCTCTCTGTACCCCACACTATAGCGGATTGACTTAAACTAAGAAACTCCTTATGGATAGTAGTATTTCCCAACTTTCGGACTGGATCTGCTCTAGTTCTGACTTCTCGATCTTTTGCTCCAGCAATAGTTCATTGTGAGTGCTGCCAATTCTCTGGATAATTCGACTGATAGAAACGAGAGAGATCTTGCCTAGATTCATGCATATATCCTCAAGTAGGAGAAGAAGGCTGAGAACGTTTCCAGGTCTCAAGAGCCACATATGCGGTAGCATTCCTTAAGCTGCCTATGACAACATCACGGTATGCGCATCTAGAGGATGATTGATGTCGGATGACATTCAAAATCCGATACTCCACACTAATCTGAAGGGTCATGTATCGAATGCAGGGAAATATGCATGAAACCAGGGTCCTATCGGTTTGAGAATTAAGTTCGCAGATCACTATCTATACTGAAACGCCTCGGTGTTTCGCCTTGACAAACCATCACAGGTCTCAAAGTAGACGCAAGCGCAAGAAGCTGTATAAAGCAACGCAACAAACCTTACTTCTTAATCATCTCTTCAGCAAAACACCCAAAATGAAGCTCTCCCATACCCTCCTTTTTGCTCTCCCCCTCCTCCAACCAGCCACCGCTCTGGTAGGAATTTCGTGGAGTCTTTCCAACGTCACGAAATCCGGCGTGAGCGAAATCACCTTCCCAATGAACATCCGCAACGCAACCCATGAGGCCGGCTTCTACTTCGCACAGCAATTCAACTTCGCCGGCCAGTCCGACGTAGGCTACACAGGGCTGCAGCCACGCGCCGATAAAAACTCCAAGCCCGTCATTCACGCCGCGTTTTCCAGCTTCATTGCTGGCACAAAATCCACGGACGAGAACTGCAGTGATGGCGCCGATGGCGGCGCCGGTGTGAGCTGTGCTGTTGATATCGAGGGCTCATACGCACACACTTACTTGCTGCATATCAATAACACCATTGGAACAACTTGGGTGGGCACTTTGATTGACTCTGTCAGTGGGAGCGAGACTCGCATTGGCTCGTATACCCTTCCTGGTGGATCGGGTGGTATTCAAGGCTCACAGATGGGCTTTGTTGAATATTATCCGTGGAATGGGATGGATAGTCATCAGTGTGGTGATTTACCAAAGACGAGTGTTACCTTTGGGAAGCCTGTTTCTAGGGGTCATGCTGGTGGCTTGCAGAAGGCTTATGAATATGGCGATTGCGTTGGAAAGGCTAGGTTTGAGACTCATTATACTCTCGGAGGAGTCGAGGCTTCTGTTGGGTTTTGAGTGAATGAGGACCGGAATTTTTGCACCACTTCTCCTTCACTATCTGTTCAGATTGAACAGTGTTTTGGGCGCAGTCTTTTTGTACCAATAAATCGTGAAATTTGACTGGAAAAATGAAGCGCTATACTCGAAGAGCCATTTGTTGTATTCATTCGATCAAAACAATAATATGAACCCTCCCGCAGACCCCATGAGTTTCGTATAATTTACCACAGATCATTCCAAACCTTGCGAGTACTCGCCAACAAATGCCGTGAAGCATTCTCCTCTGAAAATTTCACCTCGATGTGATCTCGATGTGTTGGGGGTCCAAAATGGACTATTGCGCAAGTTGGATATCTAAGCATCAGCCACTTATAACATGAAAAATAAATTCATGGGCTGTGTGAAATGATTTATTTCTTAAATTCCCTCTTCGAGCCTTGACGCAAAGCCTACGTGAGGGCCTCCATGCAGATCGGAACCTCTGGCCAATCGAGCTAGCATAATGTCCACGCTAACCAACGCCATGCAGTGTTTAGCAAACGGACCCTTTGGACCGGAGCGCTTACTGAGGCTAATTTTGGTATCGCGTTGTCCTTTATAATAAGATTAAAATCGGGCCAGTTATTAACGGGGCTCCCCAGCCCGTGCCATTTAAACCCTGAAAATTCCCACTCCCTGATTACTTCGCTGTTTGCGAAGACGAATCAGCCACGATGGTGGGTTGGTGTTTTATGCTACTTTGGGTATTGGGCCCCTGTGTCGCAAATTCCCGGGTCATAGATCATGCTAAGAGAACTATCTTGTCTGATTTATCGGGGGGATTTTGTCGCAGCTACAGATTTGGAGGTATGTAGGAAATTTTGATTTCAAAAACAAATGCTTATCGATCGATCGCATAGCGGACATCGCCAACAATGTTTTGTACATGGTTGGTCTGGATGGGGGGCTTGTCCCTGATGATGGTGACGCCACGAGTGAGTGAAGTAAGCAAGCTCTCCAACTCAAGCTATGATACTTACGAATCGCCGCGAATAGACAATTATCTCGTAACGCTCGATCTCACGTCTTCCTTCGAAACATCCGAGGGTAAGAATTATAAGATGACCAAGATCAACACCGGAGTTCCCAAGATCAAAGACATGGCGCTCTGGTCTAACGCGGCGAACACGACTTTGTACCAGTACGGAGGAAGGTTTTTAGAGAACATCACCTCAGAAAACACAATCTGGACCTATGCGACGAAAAAGAAATCATGGAACAAACAAGATGGCACCATTCAGCCTTCGCGACTAGAATACGGTGGTGAGTTGGAAGTCAACAGCCTTGCGAGATTTCGTTCTAATACCCGGTCTCTCACAAGTCTATACAAATGCGCCTGCTATCCACGCCGGCTATTGGATCGGTGGCTATCGGGCTAGTGGCACAACTGCATCAATCACAGATGCAACGAAGGAATACGCCAAGGGGCTGATTCAATTGAATACAACGACTGGGGATTACACATCTCTCGACGGACCTTACAACGCGGTTGAGGAGGGTTCGCTTTCATACGTGCCAGTTGGCGATAAGGGCATTTTGGTGTACATCGGTGGTGACGTTCCGTCGATTGCGGATGGGATCAACGCTACTATGAGCTCGGTTAGTATGGGAAATCAATCAATGAAAGAACATGGAGATACTGATATATGGGCCAGAACTCATGGAACTACGTCCAAGTCTATGACATTGCTGGGGCGAAGTGGTATAACCAGTCCACGACCGGGACTATAACGTCCCGAACACAATTTTGCGCCTCTGTGCAACACGATGAATCATCCTCTTCGTACCAGATTTATATCCTCGGAGGCGCAGATCTGAAATCCAAAGATACGATCTTGGATGTGTATGTTGTATCTTTTCTTTCGTCATCACTATGCAGCTGTCTAACACTGTTAGAAACTACTTATCAATCCCCTCATTCAAATGGTATACTGCTGCCCCTCTCGACAAGGCTCGCATGACGCTCACATGCGTGACATACGGACGTCAGATTTTTGGTATTGGGGGAAGACTTGCGTGGGCAGAGGACGGTCAAGCAGGCTGTTATGACGCACCGGCCTTTATATACGACGCTCAATCGGAGGCATCGCGATCCTCGTTTGATGTCAGTATTCTGATCGATCCAAATCTGAGTCCCTCATACTAACAGTTCAACAGCCCGCTCTTTCATCATTCTCCTTATCCTCTTCCACGTCCAAAGATATCCAGGCCTCCCCATCCCCCTCGACATGGGCGGATTCGGCCCTAAAAGCCCTTTTTGAAGAGAGCAAGTCTACAAACAGTACTGCAACCGGCAGCGAGACCTCTTCTACCCCCGCATCACAAGGGGTCAACACATCCGACCCAGCAATCAAAGGTGCCATCGCTGGTGGGGTTGTCGGTGGCGTGGCAGGCCTGGCCCTTATCATAGGCCTGGCATGGTTTTTCATTGCGAGACACAAGAAGCAAATGGCCAAAACGTCTGAAGCTGAGGTTGTAGCGCAGAAGCCTCAGCCGATGCCAGAGCTCCCAGCAGGGTCCCGAGATGGTCGCTCCGAGTTGGGATCAGAGACGTATATGTATGCAGAACTGCCTGCGGTTCATAGGCAGGAAATATCCGAACTCGACAGTGAGAGGAGTCGGTAGTAATTGGAGCATGTACCCTTATCATAACGTTAATATACTATAATCTAGACGCGGTTGGCATCACACGTCAACTCGCCGCTTGAATTGCTTTGACACACTAGTCTAAAGCTATAAAAAAAGAAAAAGAGGGTGCAAAGCATGTTGAATACCCTATTCAGCTATTCAAAAATGACTTGTTGAATGAGTCAGACTGTAAAAGAAAAAGCCATAGAGCATGTTGAATACTCTGGTCAACAATTGATGAATGCCTAGTTGAATGAGCCAAACATTGAATGGCGTTTATTTCAGCTCCACGCTCGCATTCTCGCTGAGGGAGAGTGGAGTTAGAGTAGCCAGACCCGCCCGGATCTTAGCATCTTCAAGGGTGATGGTCGCATTCTTCCCACTTCCAATGCCAAATGCCCGCTTGGCTGCCTTCCAGCTCTCAACAAGGACCAGATAAACAATCGTACATCCAAAGACAACACCCCACTCCCAGCCAATAGCTTGGTGTTTGAAGACCAGCTTGTTGATGACCGGGAGATATATCACCGGGAAGGCAATGACAAAACCAGCCATGACAGCCCAGAACAGGAATCGGTTATTCCATACGGTGGGAAATACCGATAGCGTTTTGGGATACCGAATTGGGTCCATATTGAAAAGTGAGCGAGAGAAATGCTTCACTTCCCAAGCAGTAACCAGTAGGAGAAAAGTAAGAGTGGCATATGTAGTGGCGCGAGCACGGAAGACTGCGTCACAGGTTGGATTATATCCCTCGTTGCATCCATCGCCGAGAGACGACATTCCAGATCCTGCTGCATAAATTACACAGACGAATGAGACAAGACACAAGGTGCCCATAAATGTGCCGTATATCATTTTATCGACAATGAGCTCACGGGTAAAAACGCCAATACGAAGATCATGCGGAGGTCTGAACATAATGTCTGCTTGGGCTTCTTCGAGACCTAGACCCACGGCCAAGAATGAAGATGTCACCAGATTTGCCCACAAAATCTCCAATGGAGATAAGGGGAACACAGAATCACCTCCCTCATCCTTGAATGCAAGAGCAATCAAAAGCAAAATGACTTGTGCGATGTTGGAAATGAGAAGGTGCATAAGAAACTAAATGCGAGATCAGCATACGTATTTCAGATTGAATTTGTGCAAGCCTTACCTTCTGAATATTGTCGAAAAGGCGTCTTCCCTCCTCAACAGCCTTCACAATAGATGAGAAATTATCATCTGTCAAGACCATATCCGCAGCCTCCTTAGCAACATCACTGCCATTTTTACCCATGGCAATGCCGACATCAGCGCGCTTAAGAGCAGGAGAATCATTGACGCCATCTCCCGTCATAACGCAAAATGCCTGGCGACGATGCATAGCATCCACCATCCGAACCTTGGTAGCAGGACTGCATCGCGCGATGACAAGAGGGAGCTCTTCAATAGCATCAATCTCCTCATCGTTCAATTTATCGAATTCATCCGCCGCCATAACAAGGCGTCCAGATTTGACCATTCTTGTAACACGATCGAGGATGCCGACTTCTGACGCAATCGCTGTTGCCGTCTTGATGTGGTCGCCAGTGAGCATGTGCACCGTTATTCCTGCCATCTGGCATCTGCGCACTGCAGCTGCTGTTTCAACTCGAGGCGGATCGTAAAGGCCAACAAGACCGCCGAATCTGAGTCTTGACTCAGCAGCGCTCCGCGGAGAGACTTGCGACTCATCATTTGCTGGGGTCGTCTTGTGCGCAATGCAAAGGACTCGAAGTCCTTCGCCAGCCATTCGATCGGCTGTATCTCGGATCGTCTGCCTTTCCGACTCGAGGACGTCGAGCTGGGGGATGATTGTCTCTGGGGCTCCCTTCGTGTATGACTCTTTGGTACCGCCTTTCTTATTGTTGTAGACGACGGTCATCTTCTTGATGGCAGAGTCGAACGGGTACTCAGTATGCAGCTGAAGTTGCCGTGTCTGCATCACAGAAGACTTCCCAAATCCGAATCGCAGGGCTAGGACATGAAGAGCTATTTCCGTTGGCTCGCCAACTGCACTCCATGTTTGGTTCTCATGATAGATAGTGGAAAGGTTGCAGAGAGAGATCGCTCGCAAAAATATATTCAATGCAGAGCTTTCTTCAATGGATTTGTTCGAGCTCCAATCTATCTCGTCTAGCTGGACCAGTCCACTGGTAGGGTCAAATGGATCTGTCGTATGGCTAACGGTCAACGTCCCAGCACTAGGGATCCAGGCTGAGCGAGCAATCATTTTTCCCTGGGTTAATGTCCCAGTCTTGTCAGAGCAGATATTCGTGACACCACCCACAGCCTCGAGACACTGAAGCTTGCGCACAATGACATTTCCTCTGGCCATGGCCTTGGTCCCCACTGCTATTGTGATGGTGAGGACCGCAATGAGTGATTCCGGGATAATGGCTACTGCAACACAGATGCCGTAGATGAGAACCTCGCCTTGAACATCCCATTTATTGACTGAGAACACAATGACCGCCAACAGAATCGCTAGTGCAAACAGCAGGAGGGCAAACTTGCTCAACTTGACTTGCAAGGGCGTACCGACGAGACCTAAAATATTCATGAAGAATTTCTTCACTCGCTTCGTCACTCGAACAAAACGACTAGAGTCTCCAATAGTAGGCTGGGCCTGAAGGAGCTGTGCGATTTTGCCGACTTCCGTTTTCATGCCGCTCGCGATGACAATTCCCATTGCGCGACCCTGGGTGGTGCTGCAGCCTGAGTATGCCATATTGGTTCGATCGCCAATAGGGATATCGGGTAATGTGAACGTGACATGCGGCGTCTTGAGGATCGGCAGGGATTCGCCCGTGAGAAGAGCCTCATCCATCGAGGCATTCATGCCATCGAACAAGCGCAGATCAGCAGGAACAATATCTCCAACTGCTAGTTGGACTATGTCGCCGACGACCAGCGATTCCGCCTTGACGGAGGTGATTCGGCCATCTCGAATGACTTTGCATATTGGAGCAGAAAGATGATGCAGTGACAGAATTGTCTTCTCAGCGCGGTAGTCTTGCACGAAGCTAGAGGGAAGGTTAGGTCTAGCAGGAAATATCGTTTGGCAGCGGGATGTTAGACTCACCCTACCACGATGTTCAAAACAATCACTGCAGTGATGACGCCGCCCTCGATGTAATCATCGATTCCAAAAGAGAGGGCCATTGTTATCAGAAGGACCTACATATCAGTGAGTAGGTATACATATGCTTAAGGGTTAGCGAACATACTAGTGTCAAGCTGTTGGACACCTGCCTTAGCAGTATCCCCCAGACGGAGAAACCCTCCATTTCACGCACGGTATTCGGACCATCGCGCTGGAGGCGGGTCGCCGCTTCTGTGCCTGACAATCCATCGCTACATATTCTGTCAAAAACGTGGCAAGGGTGGTTATATATTTTGGATTTGCACGAACCTAAGATCTGTCTGTAGGAGAGATACAATCTCAGGGGGCTTAATGAGATGAGCGTTTTCATCAATCGTTTCTTTGTTTGGTTGGTGCAAGGGCGCGGGGTGTTCGTTCGTATACGAGATAGACTTTTCCTCAGTTGCGCAGGGCTGAGAATCTATGTGGTTTGTCACATTGGGCTGGGAGCTTGGATCCTTATAACCACATATAGGAGGTTCTGTCGACTCGTCGACATCAAGAATTGTCTCTACGCCCATTCAATAGAAAGTAATAGTAAGGCGTGGTGGTAGGCTTGAAATAAGCTACGCTACTGATTCTGTGAATGATAACTGTGAACCCGGTGGGAAAGGAGACCGTCTGGACTGGGAGAGTAGTAACAAAATGAAGAATGGAATCCAGTAGAAAGGGAATATGTATGGAAAACATAGCCTAATTCAAACATTGGCACATGCTCGCTTGCTTCCTCCGGGAGAGGGGATTGACCAAGCAAGCAGTGAGGGGGCAGCTTTAATCACATCGTGAAGCCACGATGTCATTGGGGCGACCAAGAGAGGAATTCTTGGCTGCTTTGATTACCGGCGATAAGTTACAGCATTTTTAGGACTTATTCCAGTCATGATTTAAGGCCAAAACATCCCTGTATTGAGATTGGATGGCATCGCAGTCCGGGCTTGAAGCCACAATCCACGTACTTCTCGGCAGTCGTCGCGTGGTATTCCTGGAGTTCTGAACAAGCCAACATGAAAGCTGACGGCTCATCATATCGCAGTCCCGGGTACTTTCGACCGTGGACTTTGGTTTGGCTGTTGTTTTAGGTTCACGAACAGACAAAGACAAGCTGACTGAATGGTCGTATGCTTCAGGTTCCGTGACAACCCATGACTGCATCTGCATTTATTGTTTTGGCACAGCCGCGTTGCCAATCCTTCTGCTTACTGGACACCATTTTTACAAGAGCTGGGCATCTTGGTACTGCTGACACGTCCACTCTGCGGGGGGCAGCCTATAGGAATCACTGGCATTTCGGGAGTCGAAGTCAGGTATGGTCGGCTTCTGTTTGAACTGTACTGTGTGGCTGATGGAGCAATTTCGGACAAATTAGATAATTGCGCAATGTTGAATAAAAATAAGACCTCGATTAGAAGATTCTTTCCATAAAACGTCAAACAAATCAATTTAGGTAGATGATACCATAGAGGGATGGGATCGAACGTAGACAAACAAGGTACCCAGTACAAGCCAGCTAAGCGACCAATCAAGAGGCGGCCCGCACATCGATAAAAAATCGCAGCGGGAGACACTTTTTGCTCTTCAAACAACAGCTTCGCTTTCAATCCTCGCTCTGTTTCTATTGCCGTGATTCAATATGGTTGGCCCGACAGTCTCTCTTTCAACACTAAACCGTGCCGATGGTTCAGCAACATACAAATGCCCAGCCACGGGCTACAACATCCTGGGCGCAGTCAACGGCCCTATCGAGCTCCCAGCGCGTCGCGCCGAATTGAAACCCGAAGAAGCAACCGTGGAGGTCTTTGTTAAGCCTGGTACAACCACCGCTGGCGTGGGAGAAAAATATGTCGAATCTATATTGCGGTCTGTGCTCGGACAGATCGTACTAGGACGGGAGAAGGGCTTTGCTCGCCGCGGTGTGGTCCTCACTTTGAACATTGTTGGGGGAGAGAAGGTTCAACGTGGTGATTCGGTGAGTACAACTACCTTCGTGTTAATTTGCACTACGCGGAGCTGTCAGAACTAACCTATGTAGTACCTTACCATCCTCCCAGCTCTCCTGCATGCATCCCTGCTCGCCATGATTTCCGCCTCCATTCCTCTGGCCATGACCTTCTCTGCTGTCCTTCTCGGTGTGACCAAGTCTGGTGAAATTTTGCGGGATCCCTCCCCGAGCGTCGCCAAGACTGCTGTGTCCCTTCACGCTCTGGCAATCTCGTCGAAGAATCACCTGCTGTTCAACGAGAGCGAGGGCCGATTTGACTTCGATACTTGGGAGCTCGTCCGGGAACGTGCCCTCTCCATTTGCCAGGGTGAAGCAAGCGCCGATGGCGATGTTGCCATGAGCGAAGGTGCGAACACAGCCAGCGTGAACGCATTCATCCGCGAGAATGTGGAGGACCAGATCTACAGCGACTACGCACACAAGCTTGACTCTATCTGAGGTGGGATCGATACACTTTGCGGAAAGATAGTGAGACGTGATCAGCTGTGCCGGGTCTATCCGGCTGACTTCGGTCGATATACCTGGTCGTACCCTTCACCCCGGTCCCCTCTTTATAACACGACTTCCCCGGGGAACCGCGACACGTCCCCCTCGACTGGAGAGGGACATGTGCCACAGGACATCTTGAGTAGTACACCCGGCTAAGGTACCATCACCTGACTCTTGCTGCATGTACAACACACCAGGTTGAGCTGCCACAACCGACAGCCCTACTGCAAAAGAGGCTTATTTCGAGCTACCCCAAATGTTGGTTTATGGGTCCTGGCAGCAAGTTCATAAGTGCGTCACACCGTCTGATTGATCAGGCGGTGAAATTTCAGATATAGATCCGCACCATACATAATAGCCTTGGAAAGATGGTCCACTTTGAGTTTAGAAGGGATGTGTTTACCGACATTCTGTTAACGATATACCCTCGCTTCGATGAAGAATTACCCTATCAAATGCCAAAATAGAATACCAACAGAACTGCCCAGGTGTAAGAGGTTTTGATTGATTGTAGACGTCATAAGAACCGAGCGTACTCTGTCCATGTCCGTCGACGGATTGGGCGAACCAATGCATTTTTCTGGTATTGGGGGAATTGGATCGATCCAATTCACTCATAGCCATGAATCCCCCGCAGTCATTTATACACCGTAATATATTGTCTGGTAGCACAGCATAGCTTATCCGTGGTATTTATCCCTTGAGTTTTGGACGGATCGTCGCGGTCTGTGAGATTGAACCTCCGCACTTTGAAAGAGAAAATCGATAGTCACTTTTTATTTTTAGTTTATTACTCCGTACTTCTTTCCTTCCCCAACTTCTTCTTAATTTATGCAGTCGTATCCCTGTCATTTCTTACTGTGGAAGACACTAGAATCGTTAGTATCGGGCGACCCACGGGGACACAGCGCTGCGATCTCAACACTCGGATCCGCCAATCCCCGTTACATCCGACACCTCTGATTACCCTCCGTCATATTTTACCTGCCGCCCAAGCCGATGGCGTCCAGCCGTGATCAGCTACGGTCTGACATTCCTTCGAAAATATCTACGGCTTCTCCCTCCTCAAAAGCCCCAACCACCGCGGCGCTCCTCCGCGATTATGCCCTGAACATAGCACCCACCGAGAACCGCCGAGATCAAGCAAATACCAGCGTGTTGGCTACCGTGAGCTCTGAAATAGCACAAGAAGAGATCGCAGGTTGGACCTTATCTTCGTCGACTCTACGGTCCATTCATCAAAAATCGCCCAATCGGCCGAGATCAAAGAAAGCATTGTCAACCGACTGCATCCCGCGACAGACGATTTTGAAAGCGCTAGCTTCCAGACCATCCATTCTCAACAATACCAATAATACGATGTCGGCGAGTTCTTTGTCGAATATGCTGGCGAACAAATCCACCCAGTCTTCCCCGCCTTCCGATGACCGGCGGCGGGGGAGCAATGCCTCCCAAAATCTCTCTACGGCACTTTCCAATCTCCAGCTGAGTGGGTTTCTCGACCGATCCCCCGCTACAGCACGACTGGTTCTGCAATCCCCATGTTATTTCCACCAGCGCTTTGACGACGCCGTGAATATAAAAAAGGTGTTAGAGGAAATCGCCGACGATGAGTGGCTTTCGCACTCACGTCTTGTTCAGACTGCAACTGGTGTGCGCGAAGTTTCAAAGCAATTACAGCGCCGCCCCATTAAACGCGCGGTGCGAAATGTTATGATCGTTACTAAGGCTCGGGATAACAGTCTGGTGCACCTGACTCGGCAAGTTGCCGAGTGGCTTCTTTCCACCCCGCGATACGGCAATAAGCTCGGTGTCAATGTCTATGTTGACGCCAAGTTACGGAACTCGAAAAGATTCGATGCTCCAGGGCTATTGCAACAAGACCCGATGTTTTCCCAAATGCTACATTTCTGGACACCAGATCTGTGTTGGACATCACCGGATAAATTCGACTTGGTGCTCACACTAGGCGGTGATGGCACTGTCCTCTACACATCATGGCTCTTCCAGCGCGTAGTGCCACCAGTACTCTGCTTCTCGCTCGGTAGCCTAGGCTTCCTGACAAACTTCGAATTCGCCGACTATAAATCCCAACTCAACGCCGTCATGGGCGAAGTCGGGATGCGCGTGAACCTCCGCATGCGTTTCACATGCACAGTCTTCCGGCGCGACCGCAGCAAAGGCGCAGAAGACGGCGCCGTCGAGGAGGGCGAGCAATTCGAAGTCCTGAACGAGCTAGTCATCGACCGCGGCCCATCCCCATACGTTTCAAACCTCGAGCTCTACGCCGACAACGAGCTCCTAACCGTCGTCCAAGCAGACGGCTGCATTTTCTCCACCCCAACCGGCTCAACCGCATACTCCCTCTCTGCCGGCGGCTCCCTCATGCACCCCTCTATTCCAGGCATTCTCCTCACCCCCATCTGCCCTCACACCCTCTCTTTCCGACCCATGGTCCTCTCGGACTCCCATCTCCTCCGAATCGCCGTCCCCAACACCTCCCGCTCAACGGCATACTGCTCCTTCGACGGCAAGGGCCGCGTCGAGCTCCGACAGGGAGACTACGTCACCGTCGAGGCAAGCCAGTACCCCTTCCCAACAGTGGTCTCCAACAACAGCGAGTGGTTCACAAGCGTGCAGCGCGCTCTGCGCTGGAATACCCGGGGCGCGATCCAGAAGGGCTGGGATGGCGGCGACGCGGACGGCGAGTACGCTGAAAACGAAGATGAACAGTGGGATATCGATACAGATGCCGGGCTGGCGGGGACAGATAGTGGGATTGGCCCGAGCGAGGATGGAGATGCTATCTCTCCCAATCCCATGCGGAGACAGATGAGCTTGCTCAATATGTGATGTGTTTTCATTAGCGATTTGTGATTCTCTTTGGTGCTCTATACCTTTATTGGCGTCTTGCTCTGTATGTCAGCGTGGCACGTTTCGGCGTTGGCGTTTTGTTCCCTTGGAGCTTTTTCCTCATATTTCGGGCAGATTACCTGCGCTTTTCGTTGGACAGAACTGGTCTGTCAATAGATGTTGACATATGCCTCGACGGCTTGAATAGAATGACCTTGATGGTCGATTACGATCTTGGATTTGGACATTGATTCAGTTATTTGTATCTGCTCTTCGGCCTCATAACCGCTCTTAGGAGGCAACGCAATTGCTCCTTGGACTCCCGGATTTTCCGGATACTCATATTTTATAGTATCTATTTGTTTTCCTTTCTTATTCGGTGGCTGTTAGGCCTATCCATTCGTTCTTACTCTTGCAGGGCAGTAATCCGACAAAATTTCGAAACATTCTATCTCCAGTTCAGATACCGCCGACCTTCCGCTTTTTTACTCCTGAACAAGCCAGTCGATACGATTGAAGATCGAAGTTTTTTAGTTGAGCCTGCATGGTCCGTATACCTGCTCGATTCACATTCAATGTAACATCGACCAATTGGGTCTTTATGGGCAAATCACCACGAACAGAACTCGTCGGTGGGACTTTGCATGCAGCCTGTGAACTTCCTTAGCTTGAAATCAAGATTGGACTAAATTACAGAGGCCCCAACGTAAGTTATTTTTTATTGTCCGGTGAAGCAGCTCTGCTAACTGCTTGAGCACGCAGTGGATATATTGCGTCGTCGATCTCTCGTCTCACCATCTCTGTAGATACAACAGGTTTGCATTCAAAACTGTTCCGCGATGCCAATTCTAAAGAAAGGCAAGAAGTAAGGCTATTCTCGTGCAATTTTTGATCGTCGAACACTGTCAAATACTGGCAATCGCTGGCAATCTGCGATGCAGATCTATAGAGCAAGACAAAAGCGTATTTAGTGGGTCAAGTTGAAACAACCTTGCGCATCAACTGGTCGAACATACGTAAGTGATTGAACTTTTGCAGAATTAGCTGTTCCAGCCGTGTCTGACACATGCATATACATTGTACCACTGAGCTGAACGTCGGGCAAATCGCCATCCGCCGGGCAAACTCATGCCATCCCGAGTTTGACTCGTGCCGAGGTCGGGATAAATGTGATCATCGGAATGCCGTGTGTTGATGGGTCAAATTACTACTAAAGGATCTAGGCCCCACCGGCAAACATTCACATGCTACCTGAGTGTTCATCTCTGGGACTCTATAACAATTGCGCCTATTACTGTTGTCCAAACTCTGACAACAACCTGCCGCCATGAAAACCGAGATCCCAAAATCCATGCGGGCCCTGGTGGGCGACCGCTCGATCTATGCTCGAATCTCGAATTATATTTGCAACAATCCCTCTGGAGATGGCGTGAAAGTTGCAACCGTCCCCGTGCCCGACATACAAGATGATGAAATCCTCGTCCGAGTACGATGCGTCGCCCTCAACCCAACGGACTTCAAACATATCGACATACTCTCCCCCAGAGGAGCCATCATTGGCTGTGACTATTCGGGTACCGTCGCAAAGGTTGGCTCGAAGGTACTGGGGACCTGGGCGATCGGTGACAGAATAGCCGGGTCGACTCATGGCGGACTATATACCGATCGAGGTTCTTTTGCTGAGTATCTCAAAATTCCAGCCGACCTGGCTTGGAAGGTCCCGTCCTCTGTGAGTGACCAGCAAGCAACAACATTTGGAGTCTCTGCTATCACCGCTATGTTGGCTTTGAACGCTCGTCTCGGCGTCCCTTGGGTTGATATTGGCTCAGCGCCAAAACAACCTGGTACCCCCATTCTCATATACTCCGGATCAACGTCTGCGGGGCTATACGCCATCCAGCTTGCAAAGCTTGCAGGCTTGACAGTTATCACGACTGCATCGCCACGCTCTCATGACTTGGTAAAAGAATATGGTGCGGACGATGTATTCGACTACCGATCACCTACCGCCGTTGAAGAGATTATCCGAGCCTACCCCAACATCGATAGAGCCATGGACTGTTTCTCGGAGGGCGGTTCGACCGACTTCTGTGCCAGGGTTGTTCACAACAGCCGAGGATGGGTGGTCACACTTTTGGACTCAGGGAAGACGGACATAGACGGCGTGAAAATCGACTTCTTGCTCGCCTATACCGCCTTTAACAAGGAGTTCCAGTGGCTGCCCCCTTTCGGGCCTAGATTTGCCGGGATACCTGCGGACAAAGAAGCGCTGCGCCAATTCTATGCTGCGTTGCCTGAGGTTTCTCAATACCTTGTACCACCTCCCCTAAAAGAAGTTGATGGCGGATTGGCAAATTTAGGCACAGGTCTTGACTTGCTGCGACAAGGGAAGGTATCTGGTACTAAATTGGTTGCTTCTCTTGATTGAGATGATTTTCTTTTGGGTGCTAGACGGCTAAGTGGTTAATTTGTGTCATGTGTAATGTTGCTTGAGCTAGGAGCGAAGGGTTGATGGAACAGCCCATCTGGGCTTCATGAATGTTGCGTCCTAGATATATATTCCTTAATGATTTAGTTTAAAATTGTAGAAATATAATGTTCGTTGATATTTTTGACGCTGCGAAGTCTCCTCGCTTGGCGAATGGCTCTGCTTGACTTGAAGAACATTACAGAGATCGGGGCGAATTTCCACGCGCCATAAGCTGATATCAAATTGATTACAAAAAGAAGAGAGAAGACGAAGACAGAGGAAGCAAACAAACAAGTCCTGGAGAACATACCTAGTCAGACCATCCGGCTTCACAGCAATATTTCAAGCGAAAATGGCTGAACCGTTGTTGTGATTCATGAGACTAGTTAACGTAAATTGTCAGAGCTACTCTGGCCTGACCAATAAATATGTGCGAAAATTTATTATCTCTGGCTCTGGTAATTTATAGGAATAGAAACACGACTAATAAGTAGTGGATTGGAATGCATCAAATTTCTTCTGCCGGGATGGGTGTTGTCCAGTGCACGCATCATGGAATTTTTCATTCTTATGCAAATTCTCCTTGATGTTTTCTTCCCTGACCTCCCGCTAGTAGTAAGCTCATAGGCTAGTATCAGAGGGAGTAATTATCAAATTTTTCAGAAAGGCGATACATAATGGTTGTCAATCTGGTCGAAAAGATGTTGGTATGTCCAAATGGAGGTATTCTTTACCTTGAGCATGGCCTCAAGACAACATGTGCCCCCCAACCAGTTAATCTCCCTGCCGCTTCAAACGCATCATCAATTGATTCTAGACCGAATTCCTGTTTGCAGTGGACTCCGCCCTTCGCCCCTAAGAGAACTAGACCAGATTCCACCATTTGTATGAGTTGCAGTATGTGGTGTCTTGAATACATGAACCGGCCCTGTAGCCGGATGCTCTTGAACATGATATCTAGATATGGCACCTCAATTTTCCCCGAATTACCTCCCATGATGATGCACCTGCCGAAAGAACGCAAGGCTCCAATGCCAGCACACAGCAGCGAGCCACTTTGCATAGCGGGTGGTGAAAAGTCAAGGTATACATCTGCACCTGTTGGCCTTCCTACTGCAGCTTTAAACATCTCTGTATTTCGTGCGGGGTCCTCTGTGAGAACCACAGTCCGAAGTCTACCTGTAGCAGCGTGTATGGCTTCGAGATTTTCAAGGGCGACGGAGTTACGGCCAGCGGCAATAACTGTAGCTCCCATTGAAAGTGCCACGGCAACAGCAGCACCGCCATATCGACCAGTTGCCGGTGCTACAATCACGACTTCGCCGGATTTCACGTCAACCTCGGATAAACCACCGAATGGGACTAGCAGAGCGGGGAAGAGACACAAATCAGAGATAGTGTATCCCATTTGCCCAAAAAGAAGGTTCTCATTCAGTGGATACAGGTTTTCAAGGGGAAAACGCGTATATTCCGCATATGTTGCGTTCCGCCACTCGCCCTCCATGAGTTTCTGCGCGGCCGGATATCCTCCTCCATGAATCCCATATAGTATGGTGACTGATGGGTCATCGCGGCCGCGAATTTTGATGTCACAGAACACAAGTTGACCTACAGTGAGACGAACAGCGTCCGGGCCAACCTCAAAAACTCTCCCAATGGCGGTATTTCCGGGCGTCATAGGTAGGCATAGTGGATAAGGACGAGAGCCGTTCAATACTTCTGCCATATAAGGAACGATGTCAGCAGCTAAGATTTGCACCACTGCTTCGCCTGCCTTAGCTACCGGACGGGGCACAGTTTCGAGGGCAAGTTGCTTGTCGCGTGAATGGAGCACGAGAGCCTGATGGGTAGCCATGTTCGCCGATGAAGTTTGAAGGTGTCTGCCTCAAAAGAGACCCGAGAACAATAATTGAGATGTTTGTATACTGAACTCGGAAATAACTTCCCTTCGACTACGTCGGAAACGCAAATGGTTAACTCCGCAAACACCGAGTTCCATCTGGCAGCCGCGTCCCTCAACATTAACCAACCCCATTGAATTCAAACTATTCATGAAATCAAGTTCCTCGGGTTTTTTCAAACTTTCTTTACCAGTGATTGAGTCGTTATCTCCAGCCTGGCGTTCATAATCCCCGATTCCAACCTTGGAACCTTGGCATGTGGCGGGATAAGGTACACCGGCTGATTTCATTCTATACATCGTATGTTCGTCTTCATTTGTGTCATATTGAGATGGTTATGGACTAGACCTTTTTAAAGATAAGCTATAATCTACCTCAGAATCAAAATAAAGTAGCTTCCATTGTTCCTATTCATCTCTTTTAGTATGAGTGGCTGCTGATAATTGGGGGGCTTACTGGCAACTATTTGCGAGGCAAGCGGCTCACCTGTTTTATCATTGGCTGGGAGCACCGTTAGGGGCCCGTACAACGGAGTACATACGAGTGCATCACGGGAGAATAAATCGCATTTACATCTCAAATAGTTCATCTAAGCCTCCTTGCTCTCGAATCGGTATTTATTTCCAATTCGGCCCAATTCATGCGAATACTGGATGGCCTGATTGAATACGCAGACTATATTTTTTAGCATCCCAATAAATCACATTATTCCACCAATGAGCCCGTAACCCAAGATGCGAATTCGACTACTTGGATCGTATAATCAGTGGCCCCCGTAAGACAGCAGCTGGGCAGGTAAGAAACGTTCCATCTGAAATTCCTAGAGAGGGAGAGCCATGCCATCACCCCTCGGATCACTACCAGCCGAATAGATTCTTTGGCCCTCATTAACAACGGAAAGGATAATCTGCCCTCTGCCAAACATATCACGCTGCCAGCCTGTCCGCAATTGGACTCGGTGTCCTTTCTTCTCCAACTGCTCCACCACATCCGCAGATATTCCTTCTTCCAGGTGTACAGTCAGATCCACGGTGCCATCGTCCTCGGGAATACCACCTCCAATACAAACGCGCGGCGCATCCAAAGCCTCTTGTGGACTCATCCCAAAAACGAGCATGTTAAGCAAAACTTGCACATGACCCTGTGGCTGCATAAATCCACCCATCACGCCAAACACGGAATGAAGTGATCCGTCTGCTGCATTCGTTGCCATCGCCGGAATGATGGTATGATAGGGTCGCTTGCGTGGAGCGAGTGCATTTGGATGACCAGACACGAGCGAAAAGTTCGCTCCCCGGCTTTGTAGAGTGAATCCACAATTCCGTGGGATGACCCCGGTGCCAAAACCGTGGTAATTGCTGTTGACCACCGAAATAGCGTTCCCACTTGAGTCAGTCACGGCGAAGTAAACTGTGTCGCTGGATCTGAGTGCCGGGCTGCCATGATTCAGGATATCCGATGCGCTATCTGGGTTGAAAAGCGTGGCACGATCCGCTAGGTACGACCGTGAGAGTAAGTCTGGCATCGCGTTGTGTTCTGGGTCCGAGATCCACCATGCGCCGTCCGCGAACGCAATACGGAGGGTCTCGATTATCAAGTGTAGGTACTCTGCCGAGTTATGCTGGGGAATTCGGGATATCTTTCCCGAGCCCTCCAGTTCCTGAATGATGCCAAGGGCCATGAGCGCAATGATCCCTTGACCATTGGGTGGATGTTCCCAAACATCAACGCTTTGATCAGTGTCATTCTTAGGGGTGAAACGTAAGGACATGGGATCGACGGCCTTACTACCCTTGCTCGCATGATATTCCAGATCATCTTTGGTCAAATACCCACCGAGATCTTTCATGACCTGATCAATTGCCTCAGCCACGCGACCAGAGTAGAATCCGGCCTTGCCATGCGTGCCCAGCTGAATAAATGTCTCTGCGAGACGAGGTATCTTCATGATCTCTCCTACCCGCGGTGCCCGCACACCATCTTTGGCAGCAGGGTCCTCTTTCAACATTTCTTTGAAGTTTGCAGAAGCCTTGCGAAGGGAGGGCTCATTGGCTTTCCACTAGCGATGGCATCAGAGATAAATGTCCAATTCTGTAGTACAATGAGCTGGAGTATTACTCACGTAGTGTGCTGATATCTCAGAGACGGGGAAACCACTTTGGGCTAAATTTACAGCTGGCTGAAGGATTTGCATCAAAGAAAGCTTCCCACTGCCAAAGATTTCGACGGTGTCTACCCAACCTGCAGCAGCACCTGGGGTGGTTACTGCATACACACTGGTAAGGGGAATGTTCCCAGCTTGATAATCTGGTACTCGTAGTTTGTTTCGTACTTCCTCAAGTGAAATGTTGCCTGGAGCTCGTCCAGACCCATTTAAGCCATGAACAGCTTTCGTTTTCGCGTCATAGTAAAGACAGAACATGTCACCTCCAATTCCAGTAGACCAGGGCTCAGTGACATTCAGACAAGAGGCTAGCGGCATGCATTTAGCAATTGTGCCATATTCAAGCTTTTCGTCGGATGAGATAACATACCTACAGCAATAGCAGCATCCTGGTGGATGATTTGTTTTTAGCGAGCGTTGTAATAGTTAGATGGTGGATGGAAGAAGGTGCAACTTACCGCAGCGTTACCTCCTTGTCGTAGAATATTTTGACCGGCAACAGCAGCCAGAGGCTGAGAACATGCTACCATTCCATGGAGGCTATGAACGGCGCTGCGTCGACTGACAAAGGGAGCAAATGCAGGCAACATTTTGGGACAAGAAAGCAAGATGCAAAATTGAAATGTCCAATTTCTGTGGGCTTCAAAAGATAGGGGACAAACCCTTTCTTTTATATCACTCTCATTGTCCCTTCTTCAAGTCCATTTGTTCTCGGGGAGAAATGGTCGAATTCCGGGAATCAGCCGCGGGAGTCGATCGGGCCCTTACCCTGACAATCTTTCCAATCAATGAACCGTTAATGAATTGAAAGCTGTGTGGGGTGTTACTACTATCGTATTCCATGTGGTCGCCACATGAGTTCATTATTGCCATTGCTACCTTGCAAGGTGTGTTCCGCTTTGAGTCATCAAAGGAGTGAGGGGTATAGATCTGACCCGGAGGCCATTCATCCACTTGCTTACTTTGCTCCTCTATTGCCCCCGGGCCGTGTCCCCTCTTCTTTCGTCGTCAAGTTGCACTTAGATCGTGGAATACTGGCGCTTGATTAATCTCACACATTTCATTCGCTCTTTCATCATTTTCAAGGTTGCAAAGTTTCCACAGGATTCGAAAGAGGGAGCGTCGAGTCAATACATTCTTTCTGGCCCCTAGCCTTGATCAAAATCGTATAAAGATTCCACAATGAAGTCAACACTCGAAATCGCGGCTAGCAGCGTCGAAGCCCGGTGTCGAATCAGTGACCACATTTATCAAACTCCCCTTATACCAGCAAAACAAGTAGGTCGCGATCAAGGCGCAACGGTACTCTTCAAGGCAGAGAATTTCCAACTCACTGGATCTTTCAAACTGAGAGGCGCTTTGGCCAAATTGTCAGCCCAGTCAAACCCTGGTCGACTGATCACAGCGTCATCTGGCAACCATGGTATTGGTACTGCCTTTGCGGCACAAGTGCTATCCAGAGATGTCACAGTTGTTCTACCAGAAACTGTGGTACCGGCAAAGTTGGAAAAGATCAGGTCTTACGGGGTTGAAGTCATCCTGCATGGCACGGAAACAGGTCTGAGTGAGCAGCATGCACAACAGCTTGCCGCATCAGGAGCTTACACCTATATTTCACCATATAACGACCCGGATATAATTGCTGGACAAGGGACAATTGGGCTTGAAATCGTCGAGCAGTGCAAATCGGTTGATAACATCTTCATTTCAATGGGTGGTGGTGGACTGATCAGCGGCATCGGATCTGTCTTCAGAAGAGTCAGTCCTCACACGAAGATTTTTGGTGTTGCGGCCACCAATTCAAAGTCGCTAGCCATGTCAATGGCTGCCGGTTCTGTCGTTGAGACGGAACATTTTCCCACTCTCGCCGAGGCTGTGGCTGGTGGAATCGATCAGGACACAATAACACTTGCTCTAGCCACCTCGGTGGTAGATCATACGCTCGAATGTACTGAAGCAGAGATTTTGGAAGCTTTGAAGACGCTTGCCTTCGAGGAAAATGTTATTGTTGAGGGGTCTGCTGCTCTTGCGCTTGCCGGTTTCAACAAGGTTGCCCAGCAGTTGATCGGCCAAACCAGTGTCATTGTCTTGTGTGGTGCCAACGTTGACCAAAATGTTATCAGGAGTGTCATTTATGATATTTAGAGGAGTAGAATATCAAGCAATGCAGCTGCGTAAAGGTATTCCCTCTCCGCCATAATGTATCCCACTCACTACCACTCGTCTTCATCAAGTCCTTCGTTGGCATATTCGCCAAGCAGGGCTTGGAAACGGCGGTACATAACGATAATTTTGGCCCGGAGGGCGGCGTTACCTTCGTGAGTTGCGAAGTCGTAGATACCGCGAAGCAAGAGGTCCAGCTCACGAAGCTGCTGGATGTTTTGCTCGTATTGGGGGTATGGCGGTTCGATACGGTACTTCGGGTGCCCTGTCGTGTGACAGTAGCGGGGAGTGCAGCGCGAAGGAGCATCGATTGCCTGATAAGCGATCCATGGCGCTCCAGGGCTAGTTGTACATAGGGAGCTTTTGCTCGTTTCAAGACTTAATTGACTCTAGAAATCGCATTTACCATCATCAATGAGTTAACGAGGTCGAGCGGCACTGTTTTAGCGTCTTGATACTTTCTTTAGAGTTGATATAGTGAAGGCTTTTGTGATAAAAGTCCTTTGACACTGGTTTGGTCCCTTCATACGGGCGAGGTCTGAGTGTGAATCACCCTTTGTTGACAAATTACCAATTGTCAATCGGAAAGCTAAGTTTCAAGACGTCATTGGTTCTGTAACTGCGCTACATGGGTGTAACTGCTTGGAAGTGTACCGAAACAAAATCTTCATCAAGTTGGGAATTGCTTTCCCAATGCAGGAATGAGTTCGTTGAGCTCTGCAAAGACGCCGAAGGCTACTGCTGACTAGTGGTTATAATAGTGTCACTTTCTGCTTAACATCTTCAATAAGTCAAAGTTATTTTTTGAACTTGATGGGTAGGATAAGTTGAAGGAGCCATAATCGAATCACTCTTTGATCAACGTCAATACCGGTAAACAATCCCGAGTTGATCATCTCGATTGAATAATTTACCCGGAGGTGTTCAATATCCCCTGCTTCCGCAGCACCAATCTCCCATTATTCTCAGAGCGCTGTAATCTAACAGCGTCCCCCTCTGACTTTATCTCCATAGCGCTAGCAGCAAGAAGCTCGTCATCATCCTCATCATCCTCTTGAAACCCATGATAAAATGGTGCCAGAGCAGAGGATTTCCAAAGCGGCGCATGGCTTTTCTTACTGGTGAGTATATTTACCACTAGGAAGAAAGCCCCAGTAACAAGAAGAACTCCAGGGAGAATAATCCAGAGCCATCTCACGCTCACAAAGGCCGTGGGGACTTGTGCTGTGCCAATAACACTGTGATTTGTCGTCTCCAGGCCCAACTTAGTTAAGGAGTCCGCCATTCTGGTAATGAATTTTTCAAAGCCGACACGGACATATTGCTGCAGAATTGGATTTGATTTCGGGACTTCATCTGAATAAGTGTCCAATAAGGACCATGTATCAAGATTGTGATCGAAGGTTCATTCTAAATTTTGAGCATCGGGTATAAACCCCAGAGAATCAGTTTCAAAGCTCGACATCGTCTCGTCGCAAAAGGCAAATTTGCTCTTGTCCCCTCCAGCAGCGTCTCCGGGCTTCCAGCACGCTGACGCCGCATAGGCATTGGGGGAGATATCATCGTATGTAGTGCCAAGATCGAAGTTCTCAGATCGGACCGAGGGAATACCGTCATTCACAGAGACGTGGTAGTCTCTGAGGCAAGTCGAAAAGACGCATGCCGTCGCGTTTTTGATTTGAATCGCATCAGTGATAGATTTGTGCTCTGAGACCCGGTCTGCATCAAGCTCAAATTGTGTATAAGCAATTGTCCAAAGAGGATTCGTCACGCCGTTGAGCGTATATTTAGGGAGATGTGATCCCAGATATAAGCTATAATCGAAAGGTTGCCAGATAATCTTTGACGGGAAGTATAAAGAGGGAGTCGACTGGGAGTATTCGTCCGAATACGTGTATGTCGACGTGTTACCGAGCACGTTGAAAAAGCGCCCTGTACCTCTGGGCAGGCCAATGAAGCATGATATATTGAAGGCCTTTAGGTCTCTCACGGAGGGCAAGTCACAGTCGAATTCAACTAGTAACCAACCGTGTATGCCGCATTCAGCGCCTCGATCCCCTCCGGAAATGTCTAAGCAATCTAGTTGAATGTACACATAGTTTGATCCTTTTTTTCAAAACACCAGAAGATTTTGCCATTGATGAATTGCGCTGTCACAATATTTTGTGTCCAAAGGCAAGGACCCTGAATGCATAGCTAAGCTTTGTAGCGGCGACATCCCGCGGCAAAGGCGTAAGTTTGACACGGGTTGAAACAAGGGAATCACGCCTTGTCATATATAGCAGTTGGGGCGTATATCCATAGATAATCCAGTTAAAAAGCCGACCCTGACCACCGCCGCGACGTGCGGGCCGAAATGATCCCGCGTCTTTGTGCTTGTACAGAGTACGTGATGGAAGCGACGTGCCGATATTACTAAGCTCGGCGGATGTAATCTGGTGGCCCAATCAGAGCTCGAATCGCCTCTTCCACCCTCTGAATTGATTACAGATGAGCGAACTTGTCTACGGGCATCCTGAACCTCCGTCTGCCTGCAGTGGACAAAACGAAAATGCCCGCTGACCGTTCAAAACGGCTCACGTTGCGCAGATCATGCCAAGCCTGCGTCAAAAGCAAGCGACGTTGTGATCAGGGGTGGCCCAGATGCGGCAGATGCTTGGGCAAGGACATCAACTGTGAATATGTCAATGCACCTTTTACAGTAACATCTACTGGAATATCACCCGCCTGGCAATATATGGGCGTTGACTACTCAATCGCAAATGCGACTTTCACGCCACAAATTCTCGCACCACTACAACTAGAAATGATGAAAGAACCTGATCCGAATATCATTCAACTTCTCGTGGCCGGGCTGCGCGATTTGCCGGTCAAATTTGCACAAAACAACAAGAATATTTTCATCCACCCCGATCTGTATACGAACGTTCTGCCGATCCCTGTCCGGGAGATCCACAGTATTTGCAAACTTAACATACAAACTGGAGAATCCAGTCGAGTGACCTTCATCCTTTCATCAATGCTCCGACAGCACTCGGCGAAGATATATCGGCGACTGAATCAAGCTGCATCATTCGAAGAGCTACTAGGATATAGCCAAGCATTCGTATTAATCCAATGCATCTTGCTTTTCAACGAAGACGGCACCAAACGTCCATATTCGGAAGTGATCAGTGCCATGCTCGCAGGAGTCGCCGGCAAACTATTTCAACAAGCACCCATTCAACTTCCGCACGCCCTCAGTCCTAGACGTGCTTGGCTTTTTGCTGAGAGCGTTCGGCGAACGATCATCGTATGTTTCATGTTACGCAGTGCGTACTCTTTGAACACCAGGAAATATTCAGTTCGGACGCCGTTTGTGGATTCATTGCCCTTTGATCTACGGACCAACTTGTGGGACAATGATTCGGACATAGCGTGGCAAGATGCGCTCTCTGACTCCCGTGATTCTATGGTTTCATTACATGAGTGGTCTGATGGACTGGCAGCGGGCCGTGTTTATGATGTTTCTTCTTTTAGTGCCTTGATCCTTGCGGCTTGTAAAGGTCGAGCCGTTTTTATGATCCCGACTCCCCCTGTGGACTATCATATGGACCGTTGATAACGCATACCTAACGAAGCGACGTATCATGGAAATACACCAATGATAACGTGAGCTCAATGTCTATATATTTGAACTTCGTTATGCATCTAATATTTGACAGTCCCCTACCTCATAAATTGCTTCAACAATCCAGAAAGCAGCTCCGTCATATCGTGGTACAGCTCCTGCCTCTTATTCTCAAAAGCATTGAAAATGTCCTTCGCAGACCCAATAGGGATCTGATCCTCGCCCTCCACAATCCGGCGCCAGACCTCATCAACAAATTCCTGCAGCGGCATGCCAATCAAATGTCCATCCTTCAGATCGGGCTGGTGCTTGGCATCATGAAGCTCAGTCTGCACAGCAGGAGGGTAGATCTCCAAAATCTTGACATTGCCAGGGCCATCCTGCAGCTGAGTCCGCAGAGCAAGAATGAAATGGTGCAGAGCAGCCTTTGAAGCGCCGTAATTCGGGCATCGCATCATAGGCACGAGGGCCATTTGGGACGTCGTGAATGCGATTGTTGTTTGACTCTTCTGGCTCTGCAGGTGCGGGAGGAATGCCTTGGTTATGCGGACCGCGGATGTATAGTTCGTGATGAGTTCCTGATCGAAGATGTCGAGATCGACGGTTTCCGGCTTCGAGAAATCGAAGGGTCGTTGGATGCCGGAGTTTACAAAGATGCAGTCCAGGTCGGGGTGATCGGAGATGATCTCTGAGGCAAATTGAGGGATCTATGTGTCCGCTTCATGTTAGTTCGGGATTCAACTTGTTTGCATGGGTAATCTTACCTGCTCGAGCTGCGTGACATCAAATGTCTTTGCAGAGACCTGCTCGCTGCCGTGTTTCTGGACGATCTCATTGAGATTGTCCTTTCTCCGACCAGCTACAATGAGCTTCGATCCATTTTGGACGACTTTGTCGGCGAGCGTTTTGCCAATCCCGGAGGTGGCCCCGATGATGAGGACTTTTTTGTAGCCAAACGCCATTCGGTTGAGGTTTTTGTGCGTGAATACTGCAGAGAGAAAGGAATGCTTGTGCAATACTTCCCAGGTCTAAATACACTCATTTATAGCCCCCAAACATCTCTCGCCATCGAATTCAATATTCTGATAATTAGGTCATTGAAGCTTTGCGGAGACTAAACCCAATATGGCTAGGGCGGACTCGACCTGATTGGTCGACAAGGTAAGCTTGTTCAACGCCGAGGCTTCCGCGCCACGGTGGAGGTTAAACCAAATGCGGTAATGACCGCTTTGGAGATTTCACGTTTATTCATCTTTCAGATTTTTCAAACTCGATCTATTTCTACCATATCGTCTGGAATAGAGGTCGGGTTATTAATTGTCCCGATTGATTTGAAATCAGGCCAGATTTGCGAGCCCAACTGAGAAGGTTCCTCTTTTTGCACCTCTTTTTACAATTTTCCACAGCTCTTTTTCCATAATCTCTGTTACAGTAATGTAAATTTTTCATTTTCTGCCAGACTTAAGCTAGGCATCTTCAGGCAGCAATTCAAGAAATAATTCAATCCGACCCCTGGGCGCTGTGCACCTTCGTACACGCGTTCCACGCCGTTTCAGTGTCATTGATTCGAGCAAGCGAGCCTGACTTCGACAACATGGCTCGATTTTCAATCGAAGCGTTGATAAAGAATACGTAACTGATCTGCAAAATTATGTTTTCGGGGGAGCTTCAGATCCATATTACTTTAAATAAAGATATATATTCACTTAGATGGGTCTGTGTTATCGTAGAGTGTACATGAAATCATTGAAAGGGTAGTCAAAGGACTATTTTGGATCTATTTATCTGGCTGACAGAAAGTAGTGCATCGTTCATGGGGTCTCAGACACATTGTAGACAAGCTTCTCGCCGCTGACCTTGTCCTCCTTCAGTAGCTTGAGGCCGTCAATAACACCCGCCAGACCATTCTGGCCAACCTTGGGCGGGTGAACCTTAATCTTTCCTTCAGCAAGCAAGCCCTCTGCAATGGGGACCCACTTCTCAGTGAAAGCCTTGTCTTCAGGCTTGGCGGGGAAGGGAATGTCACCGAAAGAGAACGCCTCTCCAATAGTGGTGTAAGCAAGGGTGAAACGATCGTTGACATTGGCACGCTGGATCTTAACGCTCAGGAGGGCGCTGTACTCGCCGCCCTCGGTGGAAAGAGCGTTGTCGCAGAAGGCAGCACTAGACTCAAGCGAAATACAATCAAAGACGTACTTCAATTTGTTGTCGGTAGTCTTGCGAATCTTGGCCGGAGCCTCGGGGTCATTGTAGTCGAATACCTCGTCAGCGCCAAGGCTGCGGACCAACTCGAAGTTCCGAGGCGAACAAGTCGTCACAACCTTGTAGCCAGACAACTTGGCAAACTGAATAGCCAATGTACCAGTCGCGGTGGAGCCACCGTAAATCAAAATTGGAGTTGCATCCTTAATTGGCTCGGTGGGAAGCGCAAGCTTCAGACTCTGGTACAGACCCTGTCCGACGGTGCTGATGCCAACTCCGAGAGTGGCGGCTTCCTGGAAGCTCATGCTCTCAGGGATCTTCCATTGCACGTCACCCTTGACAACGATGTATTCGGCGAAAGTGCCATCTTCTGGCTGCACTGCGTTTGCGCCGTGCGCGAATCCACACACACGATCACCCTTCGCAAATTGCTTCTTAACGTCCTTGCCGACAGCCTCGACAATACCGGAGTAGTCGCATCCGACGAGGACACCCGGGGGCGAGAGGTAAGCAACGTGCTTCCAGTCCGTGGGGTTCAGGCCGACACTGACGGTCTTGACGAGCATGTAGTCATCGCGGAGCTTGGGGAGGGGTCTGTCGGCGACAAGGCCTTCGGTCTTTGGCTGGGTGATGATAACTGCTTTCATGGTGGTCATTATAGTGTGTGGTTTTGGAAATCGAGGAAGTTCCACGGCAGGATTAAATAGTTGACCGTTGAAAATTGAGTATGACGAAATTGTGAGAGCCGAGGCCGAGTTGAGTTCCACTCTGGGCGGATCGTCCCAAATATTGCACCGACTCCGTCTCTAACTCTCCGGCTCTTTCTCCACTTGATTCTTGGAATATTCGGTTGTCGTCAGAGGGGGTCATGATGTTGAACACAACCACATACAGTGGATCGGAATCTGCATCCCGGACGTTTCCTTTCGTTCTTACCTAGCGAGGATTAAAGTGATCACAGCGTCTGAGGTTGGGAATGAAGATTTGTGATACAATTGGTCAAGTATAACCTTTGAAGATCCGCTATCATGGCCCATGGGTTGCCGGCGTCTCATTGGTGTGTACAATATTTGTGTACATTTCGAGCCACACCGCTGATATACCTCCAAAAATGATCTGATCAGAAAGAGGTTCTTTGTCCGCAACTACAGCACCTTGCTACTCACATGATTATCAGGATAAATCATTCCCTTTCTCTATATCATCAAACTCAACCAGAAAGGGCTACGGCGATAAATCATCATGGAACTAGTGGAGTAAGCAATTTCGCCGCTTGACGCAAGGGATGCCGAGCAAACTTGCATAATCTGATGTCTCCTTGGGGAAAAAAAGGAGCAAGCTCTTTGTTCAACATGACACGGAGAGATCCGAAAACTGCTTGAACAGACAAAACGCAGTAATCGAAATAAGCGCCGCGGCGTCAACAACCTTGCTGCGGGGTTAGTGCTTATCGTGACCCCTCCATGATCTGCGGCGCAACGCCAATCCTCACGAAACAATTACTTCCCTTCAAAAAAATGAAGGTCCTCTGTCTGCACGGAAAAGGAACCAGCGGTGCAATATTCCGCTCCCAAATCGGTGAGCACCCCGACCCCAAAATCACCAATCCCAATCTCACACACCGCAGCCTCATTCCGCAGCAAACTCCCCGCCGAAGTCCAATTCGATTTCGTCGACGGCCCATTCAAAAGCGACCCAGCAGCAGGAATAGACCTTTTCTACGAGCCTCCATACTACTCCTGGTGGAAAAATGAGAGCATAGAGGACATCCGCAGTGCCCACGACTGGCTGAACGAGCATGTCGCCAAGAATGGGCCCTACGACCTCGCCATGATGTTCTCGCAAGGATGCGTTCTCGGCTCGAGCGCTCTCCTCTTCCACCAAGAAGAAAACCCCCACCTCCCGCCGCCGTTCAAAGCAGCCATTTTCATCTGCGGCGGTCCGTCGATGCTCGTCCTCGAGGAAATGGGCTTCCACGTTTCGGCTGAAGCGCGCGAACGCGATGCCGCGTCGCGGACGGCACTGGCGTTGCAGGCTGGCTCGGCTGCCCTGTTGGCTCAGGGTGCTGATCGCTGGACTGGTCTTAGGTCGCTTGATAGTGGGCTTTCGGAGGATCAGCTGCGCGCCGAGATCACCAGTCCCTACCGGATTAAGGTGCCTACGGTACATATTTACGGATCCAAGGATCCGAGGTATGCGGCTGGTGTGCATTTGTCGGGCATCTGTGATCCCGACAAGCGGCGGACTTTTGATCATGGCGGTGGTCATGAGATTCCTCGGAATGCTGCTGTCAGCAACACCATCGCGGGACTTTTCGAGTGGGCCGCTGCGCAGTCTGCGTTGCAATGAGGATGAGAAGGGGTGTCGATTTTTGGATTTCTAGTTTCATTTGCGTACTCATAAACTTGAAGCGGGATAGATAGATACATCGTTTAGATTGCGCAAGTGCGAAAATCACCTCATTTCTGACAGCACCCGCACTCCCTCCACTGGTCCCGAGGCTATCAGGACTTCCTTGAACACACTCTCTTTTTGCAATTGAACTTGTAGGTCCCTCGCATGGGCTTCATCTCTCGCTAGAAACGCGCATGTTGACCCCGAGCCACTCATGAGGCTAGCAACGGCACCAGCAGTCTTTCCAGCCCCCAGCGCAATTTCAATCTCTGGCAACATCTGCGTAGACGGACCTTCAAGATCGTTCGCAAGCGCGGATACCAGGTCTTCCGGAGGACATGTACCCCAAGGAACTTCAAGGCAATCCTGCCGATTTTTTAAATAGACGTCCTCGGCAGACGGGCACCGAGCCAGTATGGTATCGTATCTGTCGAACACCGCTTTCGTCGAAAGACCCGCAGCAGGCACACCTAGCACCCAGTTCCACGTAATTGAACTCGTCTCCACGCTAACCAGCGGCTTCTTGTGTCCCAGTCCAAGGGCCATCATGCCTTTGATGAAAAACGGTACATCTTCCCCCAGCTTCGCGCCTAGTTCCATGAGATCATCGTCGGATACCTCTGATTGCCAAAGCTTATTGCATCCGACAAGCGCAGCTGCTGCATCGGCACTCCCACCACCCAACCCGGCTTGTGTGGGTATCGCCTTAATCAGATCAAAATGAACGCGCGGTTCAATGCCTAAATGGTCTCCCAGAGCTTTGGCCGCTCTGAGGACTAGATTCCGGTCGTCTGTTGGGATCTGATCACTTTCGACGCCTGTGATGGTGATTGTAGGGCCTTTGCAATCAGAAGAGATGGTTAAACTATCATAGAGCGATATGGCCTGATAGACGAGTGTGATATCGTGATATCTATCTTCCCGAAGAGGCCCGACCCGGAGCTGTGGGTTCAGCTTTGCGGGGACTTGAAGAGAAATCGAGCTTAGGGGGATCGCCATTGCGTGGTTTTGTTTTTTTTTTTTTTCGATATTGATGTGTGTAAATGACCAGTAAATGTAATTGGAGAAAGTCATAAAGAGAAGTTGGCCACGCGATATCTCAACTGCAATGATCAATCAGATCTCGAGCGATGTGGAGAGTGACGCAGGTGCAAGTGCAGATCATGGAGGGGCATGGAGAGAGCTCTTCCTGCACCTACCTGTGAACGCGCCATTCCAGATTTCCTAACATGGCTATTACGACGGAAACCCCCACGATCGGTGTTGTTATTCCAGCTGCTGGGCGCGGCACAAGAGCAGGTCACGGCTGCCAGAAGGCATATCGTCGAATCGGGGGAGATACAGTTCTCAATCGCGTTATCAAGCTTTTCCGGTCATGGGACGCGAATTGTCCGATTATCATCGTGCATCATGAGGCTGATACATCTTTGCTGGAAGCTTCCATAGATCGTGATTTCAATATATATTCTACGACGGGAGGCGTCGAGCGACAGTTATCTGTGCTACAGGGCTTGCGCTTCCTCTCCTCCCTCCCGCACAGCCCGACCCACGTTTTCATTCATGATGCGGCGCGTCCATTTGCATCTCATCGTCTCCTCAATGATGTTTTGGAATCATTGATCAACGATCCCTCAACTGGTGTGATACCTGCCATTGCGGTTTCCGATACACTGAAAAGAACCGACTCGAACGGGTTGATAACGGCTACAGTTCCACGCGATGAGCTTTTCCGCGCCCAGACACCCCAGGCATTTGCACTGGAAACAATCTTACAACTCCACGAAACGGCAACTACTTCTAATTCTTCCTACACGGATGACGCCTCGCTCTTCGAGGAAGCAGGACTACCAGTCCGCATTGTACCCGGCGATTCCCAAAACCTGAAATTGACATATTCTTCTGATTTCGAAGAAGGTGAACGACTGCTCCGAGCCAATAGCCAGATACCCGTATCGGTACCTGACGTCCGCGTCGGACACGGGTATGACACGCACTCTCTCGTCCCAGGTAAGGAGATTACACTGTGCGGCGTCAAAATCCCACACACCGCAACACTCCTTGGGCATTCGGATGCAGATGTGGGTCTTCATGCTCTGACGAATGCGTTTCTCGGCGCGATTTCCGCTGCGGACATAGGAAGCCATTTCTCGCCGAAGGATGAACGATGGAGGGGTGCTTCATCTGATCAGTTCCTAAAACATGCGGTCCTACTTGTTAGGGAGGCTGGTGGTGTTATTACACATTGCGATGTGAGCTTTGTGTGTGAGAAGCCGCGGATTAGCGAGCACCGTGAGGCTATGCGGGACTCGGTTGCTGGTATTGTGGGATTGGATAGTAGTCGTATCTCGGTTAAGGCGGGGACAAATGAACGCAATGGGTTTGTGGGGCGCGAAGAGGGGATCGTGGCTTTTGCTACGGCTACGGTGGTGTTTCCAGGTGTTGTGCTGTAGTGATGCATTCTTTGAGCATTTTGGCATTTCGAACTATTTAGATTTTGGATCTAGACATACAAATTGGCCTAAAAAAGGAATTTGAATTTTGATGGGCCAGAGAGCGGCAAAATACCCGAGCAGCTGAAGAATCCCGGCGTAGCTGAGACCTGCATACCGATGGCACGGTACACTATCTTCCGAGCACTTCTATCTTGGATTAACTAGCGATCCATGAACCGCCACCAGTGGAGAAGAAGACAGAAACAATGGGTCCTTTCAAGATCTCGCCCGATTACGTATCGCCGATCGTGCAGCCACGAACGAGGGGTCGATATAGGCGGGGCATCGGCACGCGATCACTCAGTTAAAGCCTCACACGAAAATATTCCAAAAGCCAGATATCTGGCATCTCCCTCAATATGAAGATTTGCGTGTTTCAATCAAGCTTCGAAGAACTGCAAGCCTCAGTCGGCGAATCACAAAAGCTATGGATGAACCCTGGCCAACACATCACCCAGCACGTAATATCCCACAAAACAATCCACAAGACAACAGCCAAAGCTCAAATTGATGAGGCTGTCGCCGAAGGCCATGATTTTTATTTGAATTTCATGTGGGGAACACACGACGATTCACTGGCTGGTATCGACGCGATTCGATACTTCGAGTCGCTGAACCTGCCCAGCGCAGGTATTCAAAGCTCTGAGCGCGAGCAGTCTAAATGGGATTTTTTTGCAGAGGCGAAGCGCGTAGGAAGTCCCCTCATTCCAGGAACCTCAAACTTCCCGTTATTCGTTAAGCCGTCTTCAAGCTATGGCAGTATGTTCATTGATGAACATTCTTTGTGTCGGGACGAAGATGAGTTGGAGAAATGTATCCAAAGATTGAACAATTTGATGCGGCCTGTTCGAATTTTGCGTGCGAACGCCATTGGATACACAGATCCAGAGCAATATGCGAATGCGCGGGAGGCGGAAGGCAGGGAGAGCTCGGATCTGGTCGTGCAGGAATTCATTGATGGAGAGGAATTCTCCTGTGTGGTGATTGCCATGGGCGAGAGTCCGTACCCTCTCATTCCGCAGCGTGCGAAATACAAGAAAACCTCCGGAGATGAGCGGTTCCTGACACTGGATTTGAAGTTCGATGAAGAGTCGGGCTATGAGCTGCTCAATGAGGCTGATGATCCAGAGCTATGGACACACTTGCAGGCTACCGCTGTCGAGACTTTCACGACGAATAAGATGTATACGAACTACATGGGCTGCGATGTTGACATGCGCATTGGCCGTGATGGGAGGGCTTATGTTATCGAGGTTGACCCGCTTCCTGTGTTCTTTTATCCCATTGGATCCCAGCTTGAGGATACAGATGTGCAGCGAGGATTCCCTGGGAGTTATAGAGCTGTTGTCAACACTTATATTACCAACTATTTCCTCAAGAACCCTGGGTTGCGCGAGGAGCATTTTGCTGAGGTAGCCAACTTTTACGACTCTTCGGCTCAACACTCCGATACATTGGTCGATACTGCCAGCCACATTACGACAAGATCTTATCAAGGCACCGCATTAGACCTTGGATGTGGAGCTGGAACTGTCGGTCAGCATCTGAAGATAGATTCACAAAACCAAATTACGCACATGGTGGGAGTGGATATTTCCAAGAAGATTTTGAATATCTGCCACCCACACGATATCTATAGCGAATTGATTCACGAACGAATGGAAGTATACCTTGCACAAAGGGCGGAAATGGTCGACCACATATTTTGTGTCTCGGCGTTACAGTACCTCTCCATTGAGGAGCTTGACTTTGTGCTCGCTCGGTGTTTCCAACTTGCCAAGCAGTCAATTACTTTGGTGGTTGATGCAATTGAAAGGGTTGCCTCTAGCCCTTCTGGACTGACCAACGAGGTCAATGCTTTGGCCAAGGATCATTCTGAGGTTGTTAGAACTTTTAAGCTTCCACATGATTGGTCTGTCTTGCCAAATTCCTGTCACGATAGCCAGCATTTGTATTTTGGTTTCCAGCGAACTGCGCATTAGGTTATGGATAGTATTCAGACTCTCTATGCCTATATATATACTAGAGTGTAACCAAAATCATGCCAGAAATTCAAAGAGAAACGTTCATTGGCATTCATAATCCAAACTTGGTCGCAGAGGTAGTTGCGCAAGGACATGTCGCAGTGGGTCTCCAAAGTCGCGTGGGTTTGCCGCTTTGAAAAAGCAAGACAGGAGAGGCGCAAGGGCAGCAAAAAGAAATCACAAAACTGTCCAAAACTGGAGCTCCTCCAAAGACAGATCCGGGATACCAGGGTGTTAGTTGCTGTCCCCATCATCCTGGAACTCTACCCACGTCTTCATTTTCATCCGTACATGCTCACCGTACACAACAAATCCCTCATCACCATCAACAGACCGCACCAAGCAATTCTCACCAGGCTCAAAGAAGAAAGGTACACTGATCCGACCAGTCTGCGGCGATCTATGCTGCCCACTAACAGCAGCGGCAGACGCACCCACCGCGGGCGCACGAACACGATGCATCGTCGCGACAAATCTTCCACCAGATACCCTCGCCATCAAATCGCCAATGTTGACTACCAGCGACTCAGGAACATATGGCGCAGCCACCCATTCTCCGGAAGAGTTCTGCACTTCCAGACCGCCAGTCGAATCTTGATGGAGCAGCGTCAAAATCCCACTATCGGTGTGCGGCGTGCAGCTTAACTTCACATCTGAGCCCGCAGATCTGGACCCTGACGCTGAAGATGCGACAGGTGGATAGTGCAAGAGCCGGAGGGTGCTGAGTGAGTCGTCCAGATACGACGCGAAGAAATCGGCCGGCTTACCGAGTGAGACGGCCAGCAGAGAAAGCAGCTCTGAAGAAAGGGATTGCAGCTCAGAATACAGCCTTTCTAAGCTTGGGCGAGCCGCAAAATTGTTTTGATCGGGCCACACATTTGGCTCAGCGAGGTTGAACTTGGAGCCGGAAGTGACGGATGACTTTGTTCGAATAGACTTCGCGGGACCCATTTCGAAACCTTCTTTCAAATTGTCCGATGCTAACTCCGGCTGCGTCGGGAAATACCTTACAAGTCATCATTGTCAGTACTAGGGAGCGAGAGACAGCCAAAGAATGTGTATTGACCCGCGATATGTGTTTGTATTGGTCCGGCGAAAGGAGCGTTTCGCAAGTTTCATTTTTTCACTCTCTGGGAGGGCGAAGAATTGAAGGGAAAGGTCGAAGACATCTTCGTGTTTGAAACTCAGAGGCACGTTCGTGAGGTATGCGAATCCTGTTGTTGCGAAGACTTCGTAGAGACGTTTGCTTAGGGCTGCCCGTTCCGCGGGTGAAGCACCCGTCGGCAAGCCCAGCGCCCCAACGTCTACAACGGGTAGGGAGGAGAATGTGGTTGTCATTTTCAAATGAGAATGTTTGAAAGGACTCGGGTTCTAGGGCCATTGTAGGGGTCATTGCGGCTTTATACTCACTGCCGAGACCCACCTCATCCCAACGGGGTATGTGGTCGTGTGGTCCAAACATATTCCATGGGACAACGATCAACGAAAAGTTTGGCCCGTTGAAGCTTTACACTATGAGGAACTGACCACCTGGTATCGGCTTCCCCACGGTAGTACCGAACTGCATATTATGGCAGCCTATGTTTTTGTTCGTTGTGAACTTCCATGACCCCAACCGCCAGCAAGGGGTGATTCGCGGGGTTGACTTGCCGGCAAGGGCGCCAGAGCGGCAATATCCGATGCTTGATCCACTGTATGGGTCACCAGATATCCGTGGGCTGTTATTTGTGTATAAAACCGTTCGATCTCCACTGGCATGTACCAAAAAGGAAACAATTCAGAGAAATAATGGAGTTGACTGCGAATCCAGTTAATCCCGAAATTTTATTCGCAGCGATCTTCGCGAGACTCTTCAAATTATGTTGATTGAATAAAGTTGACGAGCCATTTCTGCCAACGCCATAATTGCCTTCGCTTGACACTACGGCATTGCTGCTTTGGGAATATGCTTGTAAACTGTAGGGTATCTTCCATCCCCGTGCCAAAGCTAACTTGAAGTAGCTCGCCATCCAGAAACGAGTTATCCAAAACAGCGTTCACAGCAGAGAGGGCGATTCGTCACATGTGCCTGTCACAGAGGTAACACCGACCTACGCGGGAAGAATTCTCTTCATTCTTGCCTTCACAATACCGTGAGCAAAGCCCGCAGTGGCCGATGCCTCCGGGTACAACCCTTCAGAAGCGGGACAGTGAAGCAACGTCCTCGGCAACCCGGAGGGTTCTTGCAAGCGAGATAAGGCCCTGCATTGTGCTGTCAAAGTGTTGGTCAAATCAGCGCGCAGTGCACCGAGTGCTGGACTGTTGTCATCTTTTCAAGAACCTCCAGCATTCCGCGGGTCACGATGGTCGGCCAGCTATTGCCTTTGGTCCAGCGCGTATTCGCGAGGTTTTGACTCGCACAAAGATCCGCAAAAGTGTCAAATATCCAGCCGTGGAAGAAGAAGCCCTTCCAGTTGTCGAAGAGGTATTAAACGAGGGTGAGCATTTGGCGCAGAGCTTCCCCAACATAGTGAGGTCGATTGAGAAGCTTTCCCATCTTAGCAAGAGGCAACGCAATCATCATCAGGGTGTATTTAGCGATAAGGACGTTAGGTAGTAATATAATTTAATTTCTCGTAGAGGTGGTAATAATAAAGTAAGCACTAAATAAGTCTGTAATCCCCCCTTCACCGGCCCAAAATCCAGTCCATTAGGAATCAAGTCATCAACCATTTCGTCCAGGAGATTGTCAACGTTAGTAATCCCCTCCTCAACTGGCAGAAATCTATAAAAAAAAAAGAGGCATCTTGTGCAACGGTGATTTGACGTTGAACGTCTTCGATGAGGACAGGGCTTGCGCTAAGAGTAGTCGCATTAGCTAAATTTGTGGGTCATTAGCTAGATTTGTGGGTTGCTCGTGGAGACATCGCTGGCTTCCGCGCGTATGCCCGTCAGTTGGCCCTTCTGTTCCCTCAGATCTCGAACGGTGGTATGGTGTTGACGGAACTCCCTGGGGATATAAGTTGTTGCAGCGTTATTTGGTGTTCGATCGAAACAGCAACGAGCGCGATGACTGTTCCAGTGGCAGTTACTACAAGGACCCAGGCTTCCGGGGATGCGAATGCAGCGGACAAAAGGCCCACACCCGGACTGACAATGCTGACAAGGGACCTCCGCCGGAGTCACAACCACTTGAATCATGATTGCCCCCACGTTGGCGACAGTACTGTATATATCAATCTATAGCAGCTGTCTCAAATGTAAAGATTCAAATCTCTCAATTTAGACACTGCTGTCACAGAAAATGTGAATAAGTTTGTGCTTAGAGTCGATTTATCCAAATAAACCGCCCCCCGTATTCACACCTAGCTGCTACTTCCATGTTGTGCATTTGGTTAGAGCCGAAACACTAATTATTTATAGTTTATGTGGCAGGGTAGCATCTTTGGATCTTTATCATAGTTCGCTTTTTTTAAAAAAACGGACCGTCGCCGAGACTTTTACGGAGTCAATAACCTCGTCTTTGGGGCGCAATTCACGGTTAGTCCTTTGAAACGTCAAAGTGGCTTTTTCTCGCCCCCATTTCGACCCCGCTCCTAATTCACGATGCAGAAGTACTGAGGCCTTACACTAAGTAAGAAATCATGCCATGCCTAGATATATCGTCAATACCAATGCCCCAGTACTGCGCGAGATATTATATACCGTTAGAAATCGAGCAAATCACCAGACTCGTTGTATACAATGGCAGGGTGATGGTATTAACACGGCGGGGCTTATCCAGAGCCCGCTTCTTTGAATTGAACGAGAATGCGGGCTACCCGCCATTCTCTCTATCGAGATTTGATATATAACATAAAACACTCATAATGCAATCTATCGGCGTGAAGTTCATGAAAAGACCGTCAGGGATCTCGACTACACCCTGGGTAGTCTCAACCTTTCAACTGTAAAGTCAACGTAACCTGATCTTCTTCTGTCGCCATTTCACCACTCTCAGCCATAGCCGCGTCGACCATGTGCTTCACAACCGACTTTAGCTTGCCTCGCTGGCATGTGACAGAGAACTTGACCTTGGAACTAGAAGTCATACTACTGCCGTCGCTGTCAGAGGACCTGTCCTCTTGACTCCTCCGGGCAGAGCTGCTCTCACTTGAGTCGCTGTAATATGAGGGCCGTGCTGACCCTGTCGAGACCACCGCCATATGGGAAGGACTATTTCCGTCCCAGGGATTGCTCATAACAGGCTCGACTCCATCCAGGTCCATCATGCTGTCCAGGATGACCTGCTGCCAGTCAACACCTTCGCCGTCCCAGGCAATGGCAGCACTTTTGCATGTTGCCTGTGTAGGCCCGAGGGTATCTATTGGAGGAAATTCCGCGGTGACCTTTTCTACAGAAGAACTGATCCCGTTCGGGAAAGAGATCGTCGACGAAGAAGCCGAAGTTTTAGGCGAAGTGCCCAAGACTGATTCAATAGAGGTTTCGTTCTCTATCAACGCATTCGCAGTATCAACGATGTCGTGGATTGTTGGCGAGACACAAGTGGCGGGGATTGGCAAGATCAGGGCTGCATGGGCGGGGACCTCGGCGATACCGGCGTCAGTGGATCCCGAGCCCTGTCGTTTAAGTCGGCGCATCAGCAACGCGTACCGATTTTTGAGCGCCAACGGAGCGCGCGCTTCAAGAAAGAAGTCGGCCATGAATTTCCAATTGCGACCGTACCGATCAACCAATTCCAGCAAATGAGTTTCCTGTGCAGGGATCAGCGTGTCCTAGATTTGTGGTGACTGGTAGGCTCGGTACCTCTGCTGATGTCCACGGACTATGATCCAGCTCCGGGTTCAGTTTTTCCTTCCATCGCTTCGCACATTGATCTCCATTACGAGTGACGACTTCGCCTGCAACCAGGACCCAGCGAGTACCATGTTTGGCGACCCCATTGCGGAGCCGCTGATCTTCTGCTGGTATCCAGTTGCCTTTTTTCAAGGGTTTCTGAGGAGAAAGCTGGGTGGATGATCCAGGTGTGAGGGAGAGATCCGAGGTATCCATGGCGAATTGTGGTTCGCCCAACCCCTCGCCGTTAGGTGAGAACCCCTGTGATCTATATATAAAGGATCGGAAATCTTTCAAATTGCCTAATCACCCTTGCATGTGGTCCGTGTTACTAGTGATAGTTCTTGACTCCGGTCGAGTTGTTTCGCCACTCGTATCTATCGCAGGCGCCGAAGAATTAGTTTCCCTGAAATGAATATTCTGACACTGAGGTGGTTCCCGGCCCGCTTTGATCCCTCCCGCGTGGATCTCCCGGTGGACCTCCGGGTGGGTCTGTGCCATTTGTACGTTTGTGATCGAAATCGGCTCGGCACTGGTTCATTGATTCAATCCCGCGGAATACAATAAGGAGGTTCTGTAATCTGCTCCAGGGCTTGTTTCTTTGTCTACTACACAAGCATTTGAATCCCAGACAAGTGGCGACTCAAAGACTCGAGATTTCGACCAATCACATCAAATTTGGCACTGTCCTACTTGAAGAACCCCTGCATCCCTATTAAGACAAAGGTATACCAGAGAGAATGCAGCCTCGCGTACGGGAGTGGAAAAGTGGGCCTATACAAAGAAAAAGGTAAATGTAACGTTCAATCATATTTTACCGAGATATCGGACATCTCAAAGCTCCGACAGTCTTCATACATTAAACTGTTATGTAAATACATGTATAATTATGCCGGTCGCGCATTTTGATCAGGTGTGTTCATGTATTGAGGCTTAAGATTTCAAATTTACGACAAATATATCGTGCTTCTTGTTACTCCGTGCTTTGAGCACGAAGAATGACCTTGAATCGACCTATCTTCTAATTCGAAGTGGTGAATCAAATCAAATGAATAGAGTCTTGAAGCACACCATGGGTATAAGCCATGCCCTTTTTGTACACTTTTGTTGAAGTTATCTGAGGAAATGTGTATCTATCGATCGGGAGAACCAGATGGGAGCACGAGGCCCAGAATATACCTAGGTACAGCCTTGTACTTTTATTTTTTTTATGGTACATTCCTGTAACACGCTTGTCAGTGCATAGCCCACCAAAATTCATGTAGTTCAGGGGTATCTAACACGTGAGTACAATCCATTGGTGGAAGTGGGACAGCGATTTTCACCGATTATTGGACAATCAACACACTCATCCACGGATAAGTCTTGGGATCCACGATTCTCAACAAAATCACAGCATCTACTCCGTACTCCAACACAACCCCTACTCCGTATTCCGCAGTCCAGACTTCATTTATCTTTAAAAAAGGACATAGAGTGGAGGTGTCAGCTCGTATGAAGTGGGCCGAGTGGCTTCAGGAGTATCCGAATCATGCACATCAGCATGTGGGAAGGTCACCGGCGTAATTCCGAGCTATCTAGCACCGAGTAAGATAAGCGAGATGGGAGGCAATACAGCTGTGATGTCTGGTAGAGCCGCAAGCGATTCCCTGAATAGGGAATTGCAGCTTGACAATATGTATGCTGCAAATTTAATCTGTCAGTTAGAGTAGTATGATCGGACGTGTACCCTGTTTGGCAAACAGTGTAGTCGAAGATCTTAATTGATTAGGTGCAAGCCATGCATTAGCGCGTTGTATTTATCTTACAGAGTAAGCACTTGCCTCCTTAGGACCTTAACAACTCTAGACATTCGGGTACAAGTCTAGCAAGCAAAAAAGGGAGAATGCATCGGAAATTCCCGCAACTATTTCCCCTCAATTTTAATTGCATCTCTTATTCCAGTCATGTAGATTGCGAATATGTACGGAGTAGTATCGTGAAATAATGCGCTGTAATGTAGACCCACTAAGGGTACTTTTGTTTCACGATGCCTAGGTTTGGGTACGCCACGTAAGCTTCATAATTGAATAGAAGTTACCACTAGAATGTCGTGATTGGGCACAAAAAATTTGGATTGATCGCGGTAGAACTATGGAATCGTCGCCGTTGAATGCTATTCTAAAACCCTAGTCCGCCTCCCGCTTGCACGGCGCTATCGAAACCAGGTACCGATTGAACTGCGCATCCCTATCAAGATACTCAAACTCATCATCAAACAGGTTCACACTCACTTCAATGCCACCGTGCTTCTTATTCCTCGGAAGCACATGTGCCAGTCTCACACGCGCAGCATATTGTCCATGCAGAACACGAAGCGCCTGCGGCATACCGCCATTACTGAAATACTGATCCCCGAAACTGATCTCCTCCAACGGCAAGAAAATGATATTTGAAACCAAAACATCAGAAGAGTCCGGCCTCTCCACAAAGCGACCCTGCACGCGCGAGAGATCGCCAGTCTCTCGTAACAAACCATACGCATCCTGAACAGCCTCTTCATCCAACCGGGCCGCACCCTGTCGAATAGCCTGCGCAATGCGACCGAGTGAAGTCGACGGAGCCAGAAGCTCAGCTAGCGGCATGCGGGCCGTGTTCATCAGGAAGCAATTGCCGAGGTATGCGGGTGGGAAACCTTGTCCAAACGTGCTGCGCACATCCACCGGGGTCTCAAACACGGAGATATCGTCACGGAGTGGGGCCGATCGTGCTTCGGCTGCTGATACCCGGGCTTTCATCAGGACCCGCCAGAGGAGCGCTTGGATGGCGTCGCTGATGGAGAGTGGAGGCGTGCCGGGGAGCGAGGACTCTGCGGCGCATTCTTTCTGCAGGGCGGCGAGATCCGGACCGGAGAGAAAGACGACCCGGTTTAACATCTTGCGCTCGTCCGTGTGTACTTTTTCAACTACTTTCTGGGTTTTGCCGGGGATGCCGTCTTGGCCTAGGTCCAAACAGACCAATGCCCGTAGCCACGGGTCGTCGGGACTATTTTTCATGATCCGCTGGGCAGTTTCCTTTTCCCAGATCCGGTCAGGCTGGGTGTGATCACGGTCGATGGACGTGTACGGCGAGGCCGCGACTTGTCCTCCTTCGTCGCGACCGCGCAGCTCGCGGAAATTCTCAGCCCACAGCTTCATCAACCCGATCATAGCGCCAGCATCCATTGTCGAGTGCGATACCGTCAAAGCGAGCAGAACGCCCCCGGTGAGGAAGTTCGCCTGTGCTAAGAAGATATCGGCACCTGCGACGTCGACGTCGCCTAGATATGGCGCATCCAGTAGGAGAAGTTCTTCGGGGAAGACATCACTCGGAAACCCGGCGGCTTTGAAGTCATCGTATGACCAGTCTGTTTCAAGTTTTAGATACCGCAGCTGGTACGGGAGTGGGCCGCTTAGTGAGTACTGTCGATGGCGCATTTCGATTTGCCCTGGTCGCCATCCTGGTGTGCTGGGTGATTGGCGGTAGGCTTTTCCGCTTGCCCATGGTTCTTGGACAAAGGTCTTGTGGAGTGCCTGGTGGAGATCGGTGAAGACGAGCTTATCGTCGGCGTCGGGATTGAGGGGAAGGGGGAATACAAGGCGGACGTAGTTGAGAGGTGGAACGAAGTCTAACGGACTCACCGTTTGTCGGATCTCATTCTCGATGGCCATTTAGAGGAGTTGTTTCTGATTTAATGGTTTTATTTGAGAACAGACTACGCTTCGCTTTATACTCTGGCATCGAACGGTCTCTCCTGACTACGAGGAGGTTGGTTTCTACGATGGTCTCGATGTTCGAGCTTCCAGAGTTACCTAGGTACGAGGTGGGTGCTTACATGACTCCGTATTCACATCAAAATGTCGAATCGTCGTGCACGGGATCGGAGTCAACCAGAGTCATTTATGGCTTGTATCCCAATTGTGCTTTGCACTCATTATGCTCAAAGCCTAGATCTGGATATTTACAAGCAAAAATGCCATCAAGTTGTATCAGACTAAATTTGAATTAAATTCAATCCGAAGGTCATCATCAAGAATTGCAAGAAGGATATTATCGAGACATTCTTCGAATTTTGGGAATACTCTTTTGACTGTTGAGCCAGCAATGCGATAGAAGCTCAAAAATGATGCATGAGGTCAAATGAGGAAATTATGCCTTTTTTGTACTTCCTATTTTGGACACAACCACGAGATATAGTACGTAAAATCGTGTTCATTACTAATTGTTCTATCCCAAAGAAAATGCAATATATAAATCAGGCCATCTAGCCCTATGCAACCCAAAACCACCTCTCATCCACATACGTCCCATCCGCATCTTCACAAGTAAATACAAGCCTCAAAGAAAAACCTGGGTATCTACGCCTTGTTGACGGCATTCTTGCTCATGGCACGAACCTTGTGGCCATACTTGTAAAGCACATAGGGAACAGGCGCCATGAGAGTAGCCAGAACAGCAACAATAGTCACCGACCAATGGGGACCAATGTTCTCGTACATCTTGACAGAAGCAGGGCTGAGAGCACCAGCGACGACGTACCGCGCAAAGGTCATGAATCCAAGTGCCGAAGCAGCATACTGCAGGTACACGAAGATGATGTACATGTATGTCGTTGTGAAAATGCAAACAAGGGCCCAGCCGAAGACGCCGGAGGCCACGATCGGGGACCAGATACTGATGTCGGCCTGGAAGGTAATGTTAGTAAATATTATGGGAGATGGTGCATTAAAAGAACTTACGTAGCAGGTCCAGGCCATCCAGAAGAGAGAAACCGGCATCATAATAGATGCGCCTGCCATGGCCCAGTAGAGCGATACCTCGGGCTGCAAAGGCTGACCCGCAGCCTCAGCCTGTCTTGCGGCCTTCTTGGTCATGCTGTACAGAAGAGGAACCATAGCCAGAGCAACAACGACACCGGGAATCATGGCGACGAAGATCACGAAGGTCAAGCTGGTGCTGATACCGTACACATTGGCAAAGATGAAGGGGTAGCCGTTGAGGAATGTAAACAGCACGAAGTAGAGAAGGACCAGGTAGAAACTGAAGATAAGAATGATAGGCTCAGTCCAGATCATGACGAAGGGCCGGGAGACGTTGGTGAGCAGACGCGGCCCTAATGAGTTTGCAGAGGTAGACGCATGGGCAGCGCGGTACCGGTTATCACCAGTCAGTTCGCGGAGGTGCTTCGCGCGCCATTCCAAAAGAACAGGGCTGAAGGTCTCAGGCTGGGCGAGCATAACGACGACCAGAGCGACGCCGGCAATGATCATCGAGATCCAATCGGCCCACACGTAGCCGATCTCCGGCGTGTAGGCGCCGATCACGGGGCCCAAGATCGGGCCCGAGTAGGCAGCGATGGTGACGAGGGGCAGGCCGAAGGGGATCTGCAATGGTTGCCAGATGTCGCCGACGGTTCCGCCAGCTACTGTCATTGGGGCAGCGGCGAATAGAGCACACAAGAAGCGGAAGGCGAGGGCTGCGCCATAGTTTGGTGCCAGGGCTTTTGCCATGACGAACAGGATTACGAGCATTAGTGCGGTGAAGTAGACCACATTGCGGCCGAAGGTCTCGGAGAATGGACCAGCGAATAGAGAGCCAACGCCGATTCCAATAAGGAAGATACCTTTTGATGAATGTTAGAATGCAGGATTCCCAAAAGAGGGACAGAATAAACGTACCGGTCGTCATGGATCCAGCCATGGCGTTAACACCGAAGCGCGCATCGAAGGCGTCTTGAGTCGCACCCTCCACCGAGGAGGGGACTGTCATGGCGATGGCAACCAGACAGCAGGTCAACATGACCATCCATTTACGAAGCAGAGACCAATTGAGCGGGTTACTTGGGTCGTTTTCCCTCCACCCAACCACGAAGACAACCTCGCCGTTGTCTCCTGACCGAGATACCTCCACACCGGGTACAAGGGGGACATCTTCGAAGACCGCCGGCTTCTCTGCTACTCCTGCCTCTGGGTCTGATCCCAGAGACGGCGACGAGGTACTAGTGCGCACCGACTTGGCTTGACTGTTGGCCAAGTCTTCCTCTGCTTCCCGGCGAAGACGGCGGTATTGGAACCAGGACTCCATATCGATATTTTTCCTTCAAAAAACCTTAAACTGAACCGTTGTGGGCAATGAATTGAAAGCGAAAAAACAAATAGTCGCAGATGCCGGATTATCCAGGCACAACCTCAGGCTAGTATCGTTCAATGTGGGATCTGTGAACTCAATTCCCACGGCAGGAGGGGATACATATACTGAGTCCCCATGACAAAGTCACGATAACCCTGGCCGTTGAATCTGGAAGTTGGTCAGCGTGATCGGACACATTTTTCTCACGGGCCAACTCGCCTTTCGGACACATTAAACCGCTAAGGCCCAGGGTGCGGCGTGTTATCGCGCCGACGACAGGGGTTGGTGATGGCGCATTCATTGGCTGAGAGCCCGCGGGACCCGCACTTTTAGTGCGCATCAGTGGGGGACTAGCCGGAGTCGTGCATCGACTTGGATGACTAGAGCTGGCAATTGACTCCGGAATGGATCTGGTAAACGCGATGTATTTGGCCCCTACGCGAACTTGAATTTTCAACTTTTCCACTTTTCTTTGTTGAAATGTTGTTAATGTGACGCTGCATTTCTGGTCGCATGTTTTTGATGTTCACCACTTTTGTTGCGACGGAAATGATTAAGGCTAACTTACAATCTCTTGTTTGCTATTGGTCTCAGCGGGGCTCCGGAGTCAGGTCCCCACTTAAACGGAGTCAGGTTCCTTTACATGCAGGGGCGCATTCGGGCTGATTTCTTATTTCTTGCTAATCTCAACTAGTTTGCGTGATTGGAAAGCGCAAATTTATGATCCGGAGACATATGAATGTAAGGGTCGGACGCATGCTAGATGTAACAACGGATAATCCGACAATCGGATTGCTAATTCATTTAGAACGAGTGAACACTCTGATTCGATCATTTCGAATCTAGTCTAGCTAGCGTGGTGTAAAGGTGACCAACCAGTAAAAAATTTATACATGCATAGTAATTTGAATAAGCAGTTCGCGATCGATGTTCCCATTAAGGTGCTTATCCAGTTGGTGGATTCATACCTCCCTATGTATCTCTCCGAGAAATCGGATAGACTGACTACAATAATATAGTTGCCCTAATATTCTTAGTTTGTCTCAAGGTAATAAGAGATAGGTGAAACAAAACCCCCAATTCCTTGCACTTGCTGCGTTGGTAGGACCTATGTGGAGGCATGCTACAAGGGGTTCAACCAAAGACAGAGACTTATTGCAGTTGCAGCGTGTGATCCAAAAAATAGAACAAAATAGCATCCATTTAAACCAAACTCGATAGATAAGAAACGCATAAACACAATTTCAAACAATAAAACTCAAAACATTCTTTATATAACCCAAACCGGAGTTGTCCTTGCCCTTGTTGCACCAAAATAGCTCTAAATCATGTACGGAGTGAAAGCTGCATGATTGAGCTCACACCGACACCATCACAGGCGTGCTCAAGCCCGATGATTCCTCCACCACCTCATCATCATAGACATCCTCGACCGCATTCACACTGAATTGGGGAGGAATGTAGCTCTCTGTGGTTGCGGTCGAAGCGACATTGATGGTCTTGGAGACCTCGGGCCACCAAGTCTCTAAGTTCTTGCGATACCAGTTGACCGAGGCCTTGAGTCCCTCGGAGAAGGGCACACGCTGGCGCCATCCCAATGCGGCCAGCTTGCTGCCGTCGACCCAGTAGTCAGTGTCGTTGAAGGGACGGTCGGGGATCCAAGTGAGTGAGCGTGTGAAGTCTCGCGGACTGAAGCCGAACAATTCGAGTGTGCGAACGGCGACTTCAAGGTTGGTGATACCGTGGGATGATTGGATGTTGTATGCCTCGCCGATCACACCCTTGTGAAGCAGGGTGTCAAAGCCGTCGGCAGCATCAGCTCCGTAGAGGTAACGGCGAATGTTCAAGCCGGTGCCTTGGATTGTTAGCGGCTGCTGCTGCATCAGCAGGGTGCAGAAGCGGGGGACGATTTCTAATCTCATGTGTCAGCATGTTTCCGTCCCCTGAAAGTGTCCGAGGTGTGTAATACTTACTCTCGGGGTATTGACCAGGCCCGAACACGTTGTTGCTTCTCACAACGAGAGCTGGGATATCGAAGGACTTTGCGTATGCCCACACATACATCTCGGCGGCAGCTTTGGAGGCTGAGTATGGGTTGGTGGGCATAAATTGCTTGGTCTCATCACATGCCGACTCCACAACATCTCCATACACCTCATCGGTGCTGACATGGAGAAAGCGGTTCACCCTTTTGGGGGCCCTTGTGGTGACGAATAGCTTCAAGGAGCTGTTGAGTACCGACAACATTGTTGACAGTGAAGCTGAGGGGATCGTTGAATGAGTTCTGGACGTGCGAGCACGCAGCGAAGTGCATCACACAGTCAATGTTGTGGTCCAGAAGAACCTTGGCGAGGGCCGCCTGATCCGTAAGGTCGCCTTGCACAAAAGTGAAATTGGACAGAGAGTCCAAGCAGTTGACATTGGACAGAGAAGCGACAACATCAAGCTTGTCAAAGCAGACGATGTTGTATTCAGGATACTGCACCGCCATGTGGCGGGTTACCCAACCTCCACTGAAAGCCATGTCAGTGATGTACAATTGGGGTAATGAAGAATCTGCTCACATAAATCCTGCACCACCAGTGATCAAAATGCTCTTGATGTCGCTCCGAGGCTCGAATCGGGTGGTTCCGATGAGACGTCGGCCCTCAATGTCATTCGCACTAGCTCTGGCAGGAGCGAGCGAAAGACCCTTCTTGAGAGGAGGGGACGCAGGGGGAGTAAGGGCACGAAGAGCAGGCATTTTGTCTAGAAATCTAACGATTGTATGAATTGAGTGATTCTTGAAATCTTGCGATGAAGGCGAAGAAGCTGCTGCTGGTGTCTGGCTGTTGGATTTTTCTGCGGCGCGCAGGCCCTTGAAATAGTTCAACGTCCGAATACATTACGATAACAATGAGGCTGTGGTGACTCCAAGAGACATCCTCTGTCAGGCATCTGGATAGATTGGATGTGGTTGTCTCTCGTCGGTCGCTCCAAGTTGATGGTTGGGGGTGACTTCGTTTTCCGATGGTCGCGGCCCGCGACCCGGAATGACTCCGTTCGGCGCGACTGGTAAGATTGTCGCGTAGGCACTAATCTCACCATCTCTGTGTCCAATCACCCTTTGCATCCAGAGTCATGGAAGAAAAAAGCAGATTCAGAGTCAGAGTCACATTTGAATGTTCTGACTTAGAAGAAAATGAGAATCATCCATTCTGGATACTATAAGATGATCGAGGGGGAGCAGCCTTTTCTTTCAGCAGCAATCAATTAAAAGACACTGATACAGTGGAAACCTTACAATTCTCAAGATGGGATCAATCGCTCCATCTGAACGTTTCCTGATTTTTGGTGAGTGGACTTGGCGATTCGGATGTTCAAGACTGACCCCATATCTAGGAAATGGCTGGATTGCCAGTCAATTCAAAGAAATCCTCCAGGCACAAGGGAAAGCAGTCTTCGTATCAAATGCTCGAATTGAAAACCGTGAGCAGGTGATGAGGTATGTTTAGACTCTTATCTCCAGAAAATCCCACTGACCCACGCAGCGAGCTCACCACACACAAGCCCACGCGCGTCATCAATACCGCTGGCGTACGAGGAACGCCTAACGCCGATTGGTGTGAAGACCACAAGATTGAAACCTTCCGCTCAAATGTGCTGGGTGCGCTCAACGTGGTCGACAGTTGCTACCAGCTAGGCATCCACGTCACGCAATTTGGATCGGCATGCATCTATAACCTACCGGAGGACCAGGTCCGAAGCCGCGCACCTTTTTCAGAGACCGAGGAGCCCTTCTTCAAAGGCGCTTGGTACCATCGGAGTCGCTTGCTCAGTGAGCAGACCATTGGCCACTATCCTAACCTTTTGCTCCTCCGAATGCGGATCCCGCTAGCTGCAGACCTCCACCAAAATAACCATGTCGCGAGGCTGTTGAAGTATGATAAGATCTTGGATCTGACTGGCGTGAGTATTCTTTTTCGTTTTTTGCGATAGAATTTATTGACTAACTTCATTTCAATAAGTCTGGCACCTGTCTCCCCAACTTGCTTCCGGGTGCTGTAATTCTCTCAGAGAACTCCGAAACCGGAATCTACAACTTTGTAAGTTATTCTTCTCTTGGCTCATCTTGTCTCTTCGGTTGTATTGATACCCTCTTTCAGGTCACACCCGGCGAACTCAGTAACGTTGAGGTCATGGAAATGGCCAAGCAATACATCCGGCCCGACCTTAAATGGGAAACATTCGAACTGAAGGACATGCTGGCAACTTTGAAAGCACCCCGTGCGATTTGCATTTTGGATGCAAGCAAGCTGCAGAATAAGCTGCGAGAATATGGCTACGAGGTCAAGGAGCGCCGCGAGGCACTCCAAGAGATCTTCGAGATCATGGCGAAGAGGGGACTGTAGGCTTGGGTAATCTTGATACGGAGTTTTTGATTATCTGCAAGTGTCGCAAAATCTAGTCCGATATAAATGAACACATCCGCTTTTTGGTCTCACACTTTAAAAGTTCCAAAATCTGCGACCTGTCTCGCCTTGGATAGTCTATCTTGTAAATCATTCACCATTATCTGATTTCAAAAAAAGGATCAATCACCGGAGATAGATGCACCTGGACGCTATCACAAGCCTTGACCACGAAATGATTCAATTACTGCCACGAATACAGTAGAACTTGGATATCCGGCAAGATCGGAAGCTGCAATATACTATGCTACAGTCACATCACCGGCTGTAATTCCGCCGGTCGTGAATTCCACGCGAAGGTCCTTCTTCGTGACCTCTTTCCACACCTTCTCTTATGTCTTTTTTCGGGAAAGCATGATGATGTTAGCGACCACACTGGCTATTTGTTCTTGATCCTAGTCATGCTATCTTAAAACTTCAACTCTTGCAATTAATTTGTAGGATAACAGCTGCCACGCACGTTGAGAGATCTATTCTAACCAGTGCTTTGCTTGATACAATCAGGAAAACAACTCTTTAGGAATTTATCCAAAGATATTCTAGTACCGTGCATCTACTGGCCATCTTCGAAGTAAATCCATGTAGATACTAGTGATCATACATATGCAGATGTGAAGCATGTTCTTTTTCCTTTCTTTCGAGGAAAATTTTGGATTATTTGCTCACTTAGATATTCTTGAGGATCTACTTGTATTGTCAATGTTTTGAGAGATTCAACACGTGTGGCTGCTAATTAACGATTCTTTGAAACCGAAACGTCAAGATCAATTTCAGTTATATAGTTTTGGCCTCATGACTCTCTAGTCACTAAAATATATTTCGGAATGTTGATAATATGAAAACCCAATACGTAATATCTGTTTACACTGGTTGTACAATTTATCCATATTCAGAATGACAATGATAATATGATATTGATATGTGGGGGATCAAACTCGGCATTCTAGTCTGCATGGAAGGGCCTTCTAGGTAGTATGCAGGACAATGCCATCAAAACGAATTTTCTTTTTCTGGTAGTCTCGTCTCAAATATCACATCCAAGCCATTATCATCCCGAGATGCCCATAATTGATTGCCCTCAGAATGTAGTATATCCCAGCTATTCACAACCTTGGAATTCTTGGCGCTAAGTCACCAGTTGACGGATTGTCAGCCCACCTCTAGCGCTAAGTAATTTTCGGTACCCGTGGATCAATACCATTGTATTAATACCACATATGTTTGTTTCAACGCGTCTTTATGCCCTTGACTTGCCTTGTCCTGAACAATTATTACTGGCTAGACTAATTTCTTACTTTCCATTCATCCAATCAATGTCTCCATGTACTCTCAAGGAGCTTCACCAGTCCCGGGTTGTCTTCGTCTACTCCGTCCATCCACGGAGTCACAAGCGGGTTCAAGTACCCCACCGTATAGAGTTGATGGATACGAGACCACAGTCAAATCTCCGTGACAATGTTTCTAGGCCACTCTGCTCGGCCCCCAAATCTGTGTTCGAGAGCGATTGGGCTTGTCAGTAAGAATGACTCTTGCACGGGCAAGCTTGTCGCCGAATTACGGAGTCATTGACTCTGCGGGAGCAATGCACCAGGTGCCAATGCCTTTAACCACGGCTTCAGCAGGCAATCGATGCATCAACATACAGGGTAATTTCTTTCTCATTGCAAACAAGTCTATGTGGGGCTTTTAAAAGGGCCTATCGAGGTGACCCAATCAGTATATCAGTTTTTGAAAGCCATTGAATCACAGTCATGGTTGCACCCACTTCGATTGAGCCCATTGCGGTAGTGGGCCTGTCATTTCGTCTACCTGGCGGGATTCACGACGTGCAGGACCTCTGGGAGCTTCTCGAAAGTGGAGAACGCGCATGGATCGACATTCCTAAAGAGCGATGTGACGAAGATGTAAGTGATCATACCCAGCAAAAAAGAAAAAAGGAAGGCATGGAATCTGACGATCGATCGTAGATCTCTGAGCATCCTGGCAATCACCGGGGTGGGCACTTCCTCTCTGGTGACGTTTACAACTTCGACCATGACTTTTTTGGTCTTTCAAAGTCTGAAGTCGCTGCAGTCGATCCACAGCTACGCCTTCTGCTACAATTAGCATATGAAGCCCTCGAGAGTGGCGGTGTTTCAGGCGAGAACATCCTGGGAACCGCAACGTCAGTGTACACAGCAGTCTCCACCACAGAATATGATCGGCACTTGAACAAGGACATTGTGGAGTTCCCAGTCGCCCATACAAGTGGTGTCAAGCCCTCAAATTGCATATCGCAATTCTTGCGCCTACATGGCCCCTCTTTGACATTAGATTCGAAAGACTCTGAAGGTCTCGTTGCGCTCCACTTAGCATGCCAAAGCCTGCGCAATGGCGATTCGGAAATGGCTCTGGTCGCTGCATCCAACTTGCATCTTCTTACAAGCACTGGGCAGAGCTATCCGTTCGACGAGCGTGGTGATGGATACGGTCGCGGCGAGGCCGCAGTTGCCCTGGTTCTGAAACGATTAGATGCCGCCGTCCGAGATGGAAACCCAGTGCGCACCATCATCCGTAACAGCGGCATCGGCCAGGATCAAACCAGGCTGGCTCAAATGACATACAGCCGTGCTGGGTTGATGCCAGAGGAAGTTGCCTATGTTGAGGCACATGGGTCGGGCACCAAGGCAGGCGACCATGAGGAGCTAACTGCCATCGCAGAGGCCTTTGGAGGATCCCAGGATCGCTCAGTTCCTCTTTACGTTGGCTCCTCTAAGGGATCCATAGGTCACGGCGGGAGTGCAGCTGGTTTGTCGAGCTTGATCAAGGCAGCCGTCATTCTAGACAGGGAAGTGATTCCCGCAGTCGCCGGGTTCTCAAATCCTCAACAAGGTCTCCCGCTGGATAGGATTACTATTCCAACGAAGGCAGTACCTTGGCCTACCCACCCTGGAATTACCCCTCGTGTCTCGGTTAACAGCATTGGTTCTGATGGTGCGAACGCTCACGTTATTCTTGAGCGAGGATCACTGAACACCCACACAATATCCACGTCTGGCGCACCTTGCCCTCGTCTTTTCAAATTTTCGGCCAACAGCTTGGTTTCATTGAAAGCCAAAGTTGCCGCATACGAGAGCTGGATCAGCCGTCACACTGAGGATACTCCGCTGGCGGATCTCTCCTACAACCTATTGCACCGACGCTGTGACATGTCTTATCGTTTCAGCGCAGTAGCAGACGATCAAGAATCTCTGTTGCAAATTCTCAACCAATCACACTCAGTCCCCATCACAAAATCACTAGCTTCAGAGCCTGATATTGTCGCTGTGTTCAGTGGCCAAGGATCACAATGGGCTGGCATGGGCCGAGAGCTACTGTTGCATGAGACCACAGCCTCTACTGTCTTTCGGGATTCCTTGCGCCTCTCCCGAGACATCCTTTGCAAATTGGGTGCCAGGTGGGATCTCGAGGAGGAACTTCTTTGCGACAAAGCAGTGTCCAGAATCAACGAAGCTGAGCTATCCCAGCCTGCCACTACGGCCATTCAAATTGCTCTTGTTGCTCTCCTCCGGGCCTACGGGTTGAAATTCCGCGCCGTCATAGGCCATTCAAGTGGTGAAATAGCCGCCGCATTTTTGGCAGGTCACATTTCGCAGGAGAGAGCGATGACAGTCGCCTTCCACTGTGGCTTTTTAGCTGCCGCTACAAAACTGAAGGGGTTAGAACAAGGTGCCATGTTGTCCGTTGGTCTCAGTGAGGATGAAGTTGCACAATATCTCGAGAATTTGCCAACAGGAGAAGCCGTGGTCGGCTGTGTCAACAGTTCCAACAGCGTGACTATTTCGGGTGATATGAGCGCCATTGATGAGATTGATAAGCGCATCGCCCAAGCTGACGATGGAACCTTCCATCGCAAAGTGGTTGTTGAGACAGCGTACCATTCGCACCACATGAGTGCCGTGGCCGACTACTATCGGTTCCGCCTTGATACAATGAGCACAGAGAGCTTAACTGCTCCTGATGGAAAGGTGGTATTTGTGTCATCTGTCACCGGACAAGTGAAGTCATCTGGATTCGACGCAGAGTATTGGATCTCGAACATCGTCTCACCGGTCCGTTTCAGCGATGCTATTCAAACGCTTGCCAAAGAGACACTTCACCCAGAATCACACGTATTCTTCGTGGAAATTGGTCCCCACCCGGGCTTGGCTAGTCCAGTTCGACAAAGTCTCAGCCACCCAGATCTGCCTAAGGTTTCATTTGACTACCATCCGGTGTTGCAGCGCAAGCTAGACTCTATAACCAGCGCATTGACTCTGACGGGTAAGTTATTTGAACGCGGCGTCAATGTGGAATGGAATGCCGTGTCCGCAATGGCTCATGGCGCAGACTCAGCAGCCGTGCTGTATGATCTTCCGGCATACTCGTGGGACCATTCCACCCAGCACAGCCAGGAATTTCGCCTGACTCAAGCTTATCGTTTGCGTAATGAGCCGTATCATGAGCTACTCGGTGTGCCAGTTCTTGATGCAACTGATTCTCAACCTCGCTGGAGGCATTCCATTAGCCGGACATCGCTGCCGTGGCTTGCCGACCATGCCATTGATGGCGTTACCATGTTCCCCAGCGCAGGGTACATCTCCATGGCCATCGAGGCCGTGACGCAGGTTTCACGCCGGCGCTTCCCAGTTTCCTCGCTTGGAACATTGGTGCTTCGTGACGTCGAATTCAAACGAAAACTGTTTATGCCAGATGATGCACAGCGCGTTGAACTTCAATTGAGTCTTCAGCAACACCCTGGCGCGGATGTTTCTTTTGACTTCTCGATTGCTGCTCTTTCCGACAGTACTGGTCACTGGCATACTCATGCCACCGGTATCATCGAGGCAGAGTTCGCCGAGCAGGACAACGCCACAGCAGCATCCACAAAGGGTACAGGATTCCCCCCAATGCCAAACACTAGCCACATCATCCCCCACCAAAACCTATATAGGGACCTGGACTCTGTGGGCAATACATATGGTCCTGCCTTTGCGGGCATCAGCTCCATTAAGGTTGCGCCCGATGGATCGCAATCCTCTTCATCCTTGATAGTGCCAGATGCTGTGGCCATGGTGTCTGATGGGCACCAGAATCCGCTCATAATCCACCCGTCGACACTTGAAAGCATGTTCCAAACAGTCTTTCCGCTACAATCCCTTCGCGTCGGCCCTGGTCCTATCATGCCAAGCCACATCAGTGAGCTGCTGGTCGCGACATCGTCCCTTTTGCAAGCTCCGGGCTCAACTTTCGAAATCTCCACACTTCTGGACACCATCGAATCTGACCCAGCAAGTTGGAGTATCTCATCTGCATGCGGCGACAACCAGGTGATTTCAATCTCTGGTCTAAAGCTCCAAAGCCTAACGAAACCCTCAACCAACATGAAACGGGATGAAGATGGCGATATTTCTGCAAAGATCTGCTACGAGTTACGCTTGCAACCCGACCTCGATCATTTGCGAACTGAAGACATGCCCCAAAACCCTTCATTTGCGGATATTGTCGGGCTGCTTGCCTCAAAACAAGACCAATTATCCTTGATCGGGCTTGGCGCTGGGGTCGATCTATCGGAAGACTTCACTGCTGCTTTCGAGTCTCCGAACAATAAAATCACGTCTTTCGATTTTATCGACACCACACCAGGTCTTTTCGACGAAGCCGCTACGCGTCTTGAGAACCCCTTGATACAATTCCGGACCATGTTCCCCACCAGCGACCCCAAGATGCGTGGACTTCAACTCGGATGTTATGATCTGGTTCTGGCTACTTCGACCAAATGGTTGAGTCAGGCTGAAATGCTGGTCAAACCCAACGGCATTGTACTTCTTCGGCTCAATCAACGCGAGTCCAAGGAATATACATCACAGAACACCACCTCGACTTCACTGACGGAGCAAGTTGTCTACAAAGATGACGCCCGCGGTAGACTTGTTTTTCTGACACGACCTCCCAGAGTTCAGAATATGCCGGTCATGCATATTCTCACACATTGCGTGCCCCAGTATGCTCCGGTTTGGTCCGTTGCACTGGTTCGAGCATTGCAGGCCGTCAACGAGAATGTTACAATCAATCAATTGACTCGAAGTGCCGTGGAGGATCTTCAACGCACTGGTGCACTAGGCGACACATGCAACGACGCCGCCCTAATCATTGATGACCAGCCAGAGCAACCCATTTTGGCAGACCCAGTCGCTACAGCTGCAATTACCACGCTCTTGGCAAATTCTTCGCGTCTCGTTTGGCTCAGCCCTGATGTACCTCCGTCTTTCCATCAGAACGAGAGCCTTGCTCGTACTGCGCATGTGGAAAAAGATGATCTCCGTCTTACTACCGTCCATGTATCCTCACTGTTCCTCGCAAGCGACCTCAACCAAGCACGCCTGCTTGACATTGTGGTTGGAACAATTAATCAGGTGTCAAACCTCAGCATGCCCCATACGGAACGTGAATATCGAGTTCGCAACAATGGTGCCGTCATGGTTCCACGTCTACACCGCAGCGAAAGGCTCAACTGGGTCATCTACAATTCTGGAAATTCAAGCGCTGAGCCTCAGTTTCAAGAAATTGCTAGCTGTGAACGACCTCTGGTGCTTTCTTCGGATGGTGCCGACCTGTTCCTAGAGGACCGAGAAACCTTTGCGACGCCCATAGGTCCAGACTCAATTGAGATTGAGTCCCAGAATCTTGCCATGGGGGATCCCATTTCTCGCCCGAAGATGGGTGCGTACGCAGGTTTCGTCACCAACGTTGGTTCCGACGTTATTTCACTGGCTCCAGGTGATCATGTAATTGCCCTGGCCCCAGTCGTGGGTGCGACTCGACTGCGCATACCAGGAACCCTCGCTGGCCGCCTGCCCATGAAGTTGCCATCTTCCGACGCTGCGGCAATGCTTTTGGAAGCCATGGCAGCTTCATATGCTATCCGCGAGGTAGGTGGTATGCTTTCGGGCCGGGGCACTGTACTAATCCACGGAGCCGGCACTGCGGTTGGTCGGGCGGCCATCGGAATTGCCAGATCAATTGGCATTCGCCTCGTTGCAACTGCTGCGAACTCTGCCGAAGCTCGATTACTCAAAGAGCACTTGGGCATTGATCCCTCGGATGTATTGGTAACCCGTGCTTCATTCCATCGACGCTTACCCCGAGATATCTTCCCCGATGGACTCGACGCCGTGATTCATGCAGCGGGCAATTCGGCGCCAGCAGAAGAAGCACTTGCCCACATCAAGCCATTCGGCAGCGTGGTAGTCATTGGACAGTCCTCGTCATCGATATCGAGCAAGCTTCCGCCCAACGTGGCTCTTCATTTTGTCGACATTGACAGCCTTGTTCAAGCCCGTCCCAATCTAACTACCACCCTGATCTCCCAAGCGACAGCTGCGTTCCAGCATATACCAATGGGGGGCTTCAATCTAGCTGTCCGGGATGTGTCGGAAGTTGCAGATGCACTGAAGACGCTGAAAAATGGCACTGCCTCCAAGGTTGTTCTTCAAGTCAGCTCCGAGTCAAGTGTTCCAGTTCTTCCCTCTTCAGAAAATGATCCCTGGTCCAATCAGAACGCCACATATCTCATTGCAGGCAAATTAGGAAACCTGGAGCAGAACCTCATGATGCAGATGGTGCGTCGCGGCGCGAGACATGTTGTTCTGGTGTCAAGGGAACTTGTAGATCCCAATGACACAAAGACCCTCCAAGCGAAATTGCAGGCCATTCAGACTGGAGCTTGTCTATATATCGCCCAAGGAGATATATCTTCCGAGTCTGCCCTCCGAGAGATTTCTTCTACACTCGCCAGTCGTGGCGCGCCCACTGTTCATGGAATTATTCAGACCGCCGCTGCCGAAATTGTAAGTTGACCCAATCGTTTCCCATATTTTCAGACATTTTTTTCTTGCTCTGCGATTTCGATACATTTTCGGTGAACTTTGGAATCTATGCTCACAATTTACCACAGGAATATCACGGAGACGAGATGAATGGAGTTCCTGCCCTTTACCGTGTCTTTGCCTCTCCCAGTTTGACATTCTTCCTTTCGCTATTATCGGCCAAGCATCTCCTTGGAAATAACATCGATGCCAGTAATACTGGTGTCGACGCCTGGCAAGACTCCCTGGCGCATCAGGAGCAGTTGAAATCATCATCTCAGACCAATTTCATGACAGTGAACCTCGATTGGAGAGAGGACACTTTGTCAGTGAACGATGATGGTGCTCTTGAGAATGAAAACCGGCGGGTGGGTCTCAAGCCTATTCAAGCAGAACATCTTACCCGGTTCCTCGATTACATCCTCGGTGCTGCTGTTGAGCCAAATGGGGCCGGAATTTCCCAGGCTGTCATTGGTTTCGACGCCGAGTCTTTAGCTGGTGCAACCGCACCCAATGGACCCATTCACTCCGCCTTGTTCCGTGAGGCACGGCGCGGCATCAATGAAGCCCCTGTTGGGGGTGGTGATGACGAAGAAGAGCAATCATTCGAGCAAGTCATCGCCGATGGTAGCGAGGGGGCTGTGGCCGACTTCATCCTGCGGGCGATCACGAGGAAAATTTCTCAGTTACTTTCGGTCGATGTGGGCACGGTCGATGAAATCCTTGCTCTGGGCTTGGACTCCCTGGTTGCTGTTGAGTTGCGGAACTGGATCTTGAAACGGTTCGAGGCGACGTTACAGTCGGCTGATGTGCTGGTGAACCAAACTCCGCGTGCACTTGCGGAGAAAGTTGCCGCTCGATCAAGCCTGGTCAATGCTCTTGCTTAATTATAACAACAGAATCAATGATTTTAACCGAGGACATCAAGATGCCGTTTGAGTAGGTCGTCGTAATGGAGATATAGGGGTCCGGGTATAGGTCAACCTTGGGACGGTATTTATGGTTAGAATCTTGATCTGGCCGGGTTTTCAAAGTCGACCAGTAGAATCTGGACGCTAGGTGGAGCCCACGACTTCATTTGGGAATACAGAGTAAGATACATTCATGGAAAACCAAGTATGGAGTAGGGAGAGGTAGGGGGAGACTAGTTAACTAAGTATACGCCTTCGCAAAGCATTGTGGCGCATGAGTTGGTGCATAATCCCTGGAATTGTTAGAATGCTAAAAAATCAACTGGATCTTAACACTGGCGCTTTCTCCACTGAGGTTTCCTTTTAGCTGCAACATCTAAGGTAGATATGTCTGGCAGGTCCAAGATCCGAGTTCCAAATTCTTGAGATCACTAGCAAAACGACGTGCCTGAGAACCGCCCCCACATTGGCTTCAGCCACCTTCATAATCTAGGCTTCCATCACACGAAGCGATCGTCTCTGGCAATACCTTTGTGTATGTCGAATTTTCATTGATCTTTGATGTCGAGGGATAGAATCGTCCAAATTGGTCCACAATGGCGACCAGAGGAAGAAGATCAACAGCCTGCAGGCTGTGCCGCGAACGCCGCATAAAAGTAAGCTGAAGAACTGGAATTAAGGAGAAGTTGAGTAACCGAAATTGTCCAGTGCGACCGTCAACATCCAGGTTGCACACAATGCCGGAATGTCCAAGCTATATGCGATGGCTATCGTACTGAGCTTGATCTCATGTTTCAACATGAAACCGACACAGTGATCCGAAAGGCAGGATCGCATACCTCTAAGCGGAAGTTAAAGGTCGAAGGATCAAGCCCGGTGCGAAATCAAATCGCTGTCAGACCGCCGACTTCAGCACCACTACAACAACTGGCGCATCCTCCATCTTTCCAAGCTATCGGCTTATTCGCCTCTGCTTATGCACATGGAGTATATCTCGAATATCTACCAGTCATGTACATGCGACAAACTCGCCCTGCTTCATTAGAAAAGAGCTTTGAGGCAGTGGCCTTGGGCCATATGGCGAACGAACAACAACGAGAAGACCTGCGGGAACTTGCCCACCGAAATTACGGCGATGCTTTGTCGCAAATAAAGGTAGCCCTCCAAGAACCAAAAGCGCCACCAACAACAGAAACCATCGCATCTATTTTATTGCTGGCACTCTTTGAAGCCATCTCGCCAACATCATATCATCAGGTACAGGATATTTGGTCAACCCATGTTCGAGGAGCTTTAGCAGTAATTGCACAGTGGTCTACATCCGAATCGTTCCAAACACCGGTTGGTCAAGGTGTTCTCCATCATATAATTTCTGCCGTACAGCTTGATTGCATATATCGTTGCGTACGGTTGCCCGACCAGCTTCAAGCTCTTTACTCTGTTTCATGGTACAAAAACGGCCCCCAAGTGGATATGTGGTTAATACTGGATCGCCTTGCTACTCTCAACGCGGAGTCTAAGGAAGGTTCAATCACTTTTTCGTACCTGGCACAGCTCCAAACTCTGCAAACCGATATTCAATCCCTACTTGTCTCAATGCCCCAAACCTATCCTGATTCATTTACATTCCGCGATATCAGACCAAACTACACATCGGTCTCAGGGCCGGTGGAATATCTTCAAATCCCAAGTCACACTTTTCAAAGCTTTCGGATTGCTCAAGCCTGGAATACGCTAAGATTGATGTGTTTGCTTACCGCAACATTGCTGACATCGGCCATCAATTCATACTTGTCATTCCATGCGGATGTTACAGAAGAACTCGCAGAAGACCTGGGGGAATCGAGGCGAGTTGCGTCGGGGATCGCAAACATGGTCGCGATAGATATATGCGCTAGTGTGCCAAATGATCTGCGCCCTGGCAACTGGTCATACGATCCAAATACCCGAATACAATATTCCGCTTGGGCGCGTTCCCTTTTGTGGCCGTTAAGCATGTGCAAGCAATCGCCCCATGGCTCGAAAGAATTGCAGAGTTACATTAAGGAGCAGCTACGTATTTTGTCTATCATGGCTGGAATGCAAAACATGCAACAGAAAAAACCAGATATGGGCATTACCGCAAATAATTGGTAAGAGAACATGTGGTCTAAAACCAACCGAACAATGTCCCAACTTGCCAGAGCTAACGTTCCCCTCTCCACCCAGGATGCATGTAACATTCCTATGCTAATAGTCACACCTACGAGGGATACTGCGTCCAGGGTCGGAACCCATTTTTAAAGGTATCAATCTCCTAATTAGGTCTCTTTCCAGTGCCCTTTTTGCACCGCTCTATATGGTGTACTGTATCCCTTTCTTGCAATTGAAGCTATTTCCATTTTTTACTTAACACAAACTCTGTGAAAGTGATTTAGGTAATTCGGTCAGAATTAAACATTTCCAACAAGGCCTCTATATCCCTTCGCACCCGCCACCAAGTATAAATACAATCTATCACAATCAAAAAGCAGTCCATCTTATATTCAGGAACCTCACTCCCGTCGCAAGTTCGCCCCGAAAGCAGAAAGTGTGAGCTCTGACACCTTTGACGTAGGACTGCTAGAATTTCTCCAAAAGACAACCTCATTCAAAGGAACTGTTCCATATGACAGCGGGTCCACGTTGGACACACAATAGTCATTCCAAATGGTGGTAGCATTCGTGGGGGAATCGTAATCATCGATTACATTGATGAAGCGCCAGATCTCGCCTGTCTCACTGCCTCTCCGTCTTGTCTCGAATGTTGGCTGAAGTTGAAAATAAATTTCCCCGCTCGTGCCAGCTTTAGCAGCAACGAGAGGGATCAGGGCCGCGAGAACATCGGTCGAGTTGGAGATCCATGATGTAACATAAAGCGCTCGGGGGTCGGTCTGGGTCAATGTAATTGACGAGTTCAAAGTCTTCTCGGTTGAAGTGTAGACTCCCGCATAAGAAGCCTTCAGTTGGGATAGTGCTTCCGCCTCTGCTGCAATCACAAGGGGATTGAGAATTTCAGTGAAAATTGTATTCAATGCAGTGAGATCTCCAGCAACTGCCATGAACAGCACAATATCGTATTGCGGAATGATGATGCTGTAACTGTAGTAGCTGTTTAAGCCGCCACTCTTGGTGTAGAAAGTAACCAGTCGTTTCGTGTTTGGCAGGATGTCCGTGGTCCGGAAAATTTCCCACGGATAACCGAGTGAAGAGTGTGAACCGGAACTCCATGCGGCGGGTTGAAGCCAATTGAGCGTTGGAGATATTTTCTGGGAATTGTTGATGACCCAGCGCAAGAATTTGATCATGTCCGATGAGGAACTGTAGAGGCCGCCTGAACTGATTTTTTAATTTGTTAGAATGACTGTTATGTGGAATGGAGGGTAGAAATTCAGCTTACGGGTTGTCTGAGCCCGAGTCATGACCCCAATCGGAACCCGGTCCAGCACTCGCTGCGACTAAGGCATCTGGTACCGCGAAAGAGCTTTGTTCAAGCTGGAGGGGATTCAAAATGGTCTTGGTAATGTGGTCCTCGTAGCTGGTACCGGTGACATTCGAGATAACTTGGCCAAGAAGATCAAACCCCACGTTGCTGTAGGATGTTTCTTTCTGGGGTGCGAACACTGGCATCGATTGGCGAAGACTTTCATTCAAATCTGACATTTCATAGTCAGTCTCATGGTATCCTCCCAGATTAATTGCATTAGATAGGTACGTACCCTCAACGGTGCAAGGTACCTTGTAGTTCGTATATGCTCCACATTTGGGAAGACTTTTGGTTTGCGATTCACCAATTGGTGGCAGTCCAACAATGGAAGGGTCGGCAAGTGCAAGAAGTAAGTCTTCCCCACCAACTAGAAAGAAGTTAGCATCATATAGCTTTCAACTTCTCCATTCAACTCACAGTTGTCTGGCAGACCACTAGCATGCGACAAGAGCGAGCGGATAGTTATCCCGTCCCAGGAAATTTTGCTCTTGTTGTGCAGCAACCCGGGGATATAATCAGTGATTTCGTCTTCGAGGCTGAGCTGCCCCACCGCCTCGAGGCGGATAATTGCCAACGCAGTAAAGACCTTTGTATTACTAGCAATTCGGTATACCGAAGATCCATTGATTGGTGATCCACCTAGAGACTTGTTGAAGTGGTAGTTGGTGTGGAGGGTCTTCTCCGAGGAGGAGATCTCCAACGAGAAAGATGATCCGTCAAACTTACCAGCGGCGATGGCTTGCTCAAGATTTCGATCGATAGTCTCGAAAGTATTGCGCAGCGTGCTACTGCCATACTTCGGGACAGGGAAGGATATTTCCGGTTCACAGGCTGCATAAACCTGTTCAAGTCCAGCGAATGCTAGAACAAAAGCGAAAGCCTTCAACATGGAGAGCATCATGAGTTTGAATCTTTAGGTCGTAATTGCTGGTTGAGTGGAATTCTTCTAGCACTAAGCTGGTGGCCTCCATGTACTTATATGTTGAAATTTGGGCACCTTCGTAATCTATACTTCCTAGCTAGGTGACTTGGTCAGTACATTGAGTGGGCTGGTCATATTGCAGCCTGGGCTCTAAAAATACTATTTTAATGACGAAGAGGCTATGTTGCGCAGGTTAGATCAACATAAGTGGTAGAAAACTCGCATGAATGTTCCGGTGTTCGATCCCTGCAAAGGCTAATGATGAGTATACTCTTTTGGGCATGGCGTGGTTTGTTTGAATCTGGTTGAACTACAGACGCTGACAATAAGTCTTTACCCACCAGCAAAAGTGCCGGTTTCAGGCCCTTTTTCCTCCACCAATTTATGTAGAAACATATTGGTTAATTACTTTTTTATTAATTGTTACGTTGATTCTAGGCTAAGATATATACAAACTATGTCAGGAGTCGTGCATTTTCAAGGATTGACCATAGAGAGAGCCGCAATATATAAAGGAGCTCACCTTGACGCTAAAATTTCAATCAATTACCACTCAACAGCCACACATATTAGATTATTCGGAAAGCAACCTTGGAATACCTTGTTAATCTGATGCTAAACTTATATTATAAACTCCCCTTAGATATTATTCCCAATTAAATTCGTGGACAGAAATAGGCCTGAATTCGTCACCTTTTGTTAGTGATTGTAGCTGTCGCTAACAAGGCTGCCTAGACACACTAGTCACCAATCAGTTGCGGGGCCGGCACTAACTGATCGGCCATCAAAAGCCAAGCAACCTAATTGTCCAAGTGACGACTTACTTAACAGAAACACGGTAATCACAGTAGCTTGCTTACTTGCAAACTACTAATACTCGTAACCCCGCCTATACAGGTCTTGAAATCGAAATTCCAAACTCGACAACCATGGGCAAAACATATTTCCTCGCGCCCGACTTTTGGTTGTACCCCGCAGCCCACGGCGACAATCCAGCGGCCATCCATCTCGACCAACTAGTGTATTCCTCAGTCAATGAACCAGGATTTACCACTAGCACTATCCCACCGCTCTCCATGGACGCCTATGATATTATTCCTGAAGTCAATATGTACTCATCACTGGGACAACACGACAACGCGATGGCGTCCCTGTTTGGTAAGTTATTCTCCAAGGCGGTATCACTCGTCGGCGGAGAGTGGAAGGTTGAGGTATAGGAGTCCCAAAGTCTCCTCGCTGCAATAGAAGAGATCGAGACATTGACCGTCCAGCTGAAGGATTATTATGTCAAGGCCGGCCTGAAGCAGACAGAAGTGCAGGCGTTGTTGAAGGCTGAGTGGCCCCAGTGCAGGGTGCACATGGTTTCAGGGGTGGTGGTGATCGCGAAGCCGAGCGTAGGGAATTCGAGTATGAGCGGGCTTCATTTTGTTCCGAGTACATCTTTCATTGATCGGTTTCAGCTGAGAGAATGGTTTGTTGAGAAGGGAGAAGGCTTCTCTAAGATGAGTGGAAAGAGATAGGGGTGACGGTCAATGCAGAGAAGCTGGAGAATTTGTTATTGAGTGCTCTGGGGTTGCGAAGAGCGACGTGAGTCTCGAATTGATCGATGAAGCGGGAAATTTGTTTCAGGAGGGAACCTTGATAGACCCTGAAGGGCATGCGGTCTCATTTGTTTTCACAAAGCCTCGACGACGATCAACTTGCCGCAGATCGGTGAGATTTGGAAGACAAGTTTCTAGATGGAATACACAATGATTATTCTAGTACCCAGTCCATGGGACCTAATGCCCGGAAGTTGTCAGATTGGGGTAGAAAGAGTAGCGTAATGAAAATTAAGAATTGGACACTAAAATCGGCCGAGGGTTCTGGCGGCGATTCTTCCCCAATGGCCGCCCCGAAAGGCGGGGTGAGACCCACATATCTGGTGGAAGCCCTTGCTGATCTCCACGGCTATTACATTTTTGATGGTTCAAATTTGTCATAGAACTGCAGGTTTTTGCTGCGAATAGTCACAGAAACCCCGGAAAATTCATTTGGGTCGGGTCTGTCCGGGTCCCTCGACCTTGAAAGAATGTCTATATAATGAGTTTCGACCAAAAGCTTTCAAAAAATTTTACGATTTGTGGTAGATTTGCTGAGACCTACCTCATTGCCAATTTATCGATGTTATCCGACGAAATGTCCATTGTGAAGGAAAACGAGACAATGGTCTCGAGACAGGCTCCACAGGCAATCAAGCCTGGGGCTCATCTTGCAAACCCAGTAAGAGCCTCAAGCGATATTGAATTTTGCCTGAAAGGTAGAACCAACTGACATACTATCCATAGGCGCCCTTGGCAATGGGTGGTTTTGCTACCACTTTTCTGTCTTTGTCATTGGCCATGATGAATTTCCGTGGCGTCTTCACTCAAACAATCTTCATGGGTGATCTTTGTTTCGTTGCTGGAATTGGCCTACTTATTTCCGCTCAATGGGAAATGGTCCGCGGAAATACATTCTCGTACACAGTTCTTTCTGCATACGGTTCGTCATAAGAAACATTCATTTGCATTACTTTGGCTAATACTGGTATTGCCTTGTTCAGCTTTGTTTTATGGCGGTTACGGAGTAATCTTGATTCCCGCGTTGGGTATCGCTGATGCGTATGGCGGTTATACCCCGGAATACCACAACGCGCTGGGATTCTTTGTCTTATGTGAGCTGCATATCTAGGTTGTGCTATGGGCTATTCTTCTGACATTTTTCCTCCTAGTATGGGCGGTCTTTAATCTATTCTTCCTTCTAGCCAGCTGCGCTGTGTGAGTTCCTCCTCTTCTAGGCTCTAAATACGCAAGCTAATCTCACCCAAACAGGAACATTGTCTATATTCTTTTGTTTCTCATGCTTGAGCTCTGCCTCATTTTTGATGCTGCGTCCAGCTTTGCGTTGGCCGACGGCCTGGTTGAACAAAGTGCAAACCTGATCACCGCTGCCGGTGCCTTCGGTTTTGTTTCCAGCTTATGCGGATACTATTGCGTCCTGCACTATCTTTGCGAAGAGTCTCTACCTTTCCGAGTTCCCATGGGTGACACTTCCAGGGCTTGGAAGCGATGGTGTAAGAAGACACCTCGCCCAGATATGAAGAGCGAAGAAGACATGGCATAAAAGCCCTTTGCATCTGTCAAAAGTCCACGTGAATTATCTCTAGTACAAGCCTAAAAGTTCCTGTTTTTATTCATCAAGCTACTTTATATCTTGCATGTAGCGTGTTGTTATGGAATTGAACAGCATTAAATATGCTCGATCCTCAAATAATTTCAGATCGCTCGATACATTGTTCCTGATGTGCTAGCACTCCCCAGTTGCACTCCCACCCACACATGGGGCCCCAGTACATTCAAATCCTACCGGATTCACGACATTTCCACAGAGATACCCATTTGCGAGAGTCCCATTATCAAGTTGCAAACTGGTATCAATTATGGTGATATTGGTGCAAGGTTCAACTGCACTGCACTGCAAGCTCGCTACTCGTGTTGACTCGCTGGTCCCGGAAAGACCGTCAATCACCACGTTCTTGATCTGGAATTCAGAGTTCGTGCAATTGCCTTGGCCAGGGGCTCCTGAAAACCGAGTGCACTGTGAGATTGCAAAGGCCGCACCCCGAAGTCCTTTAGCTGTGAGGTTTGTAAGTTGCATGTCGGACGCAACTTGTGGATTCTGTTAGTAAACTCTTAAATATTGCACATATTTCGACAAGAGAACTTATTTCAAACGCATTCAGGAAGCAAAGAATTATGGAAACATCTGAAAACTTACATCCTAGTCCGCCGCCTCCTCCATTAGGTGGGTATCCGTTTTGGTCGGCAGTCCAGGTTTTCACATAGAACTAGAAATAACTGAAGTTAGCTTACCGCGTGCATCGCATATAACTATCAGATTGCTTGACCCAAACGGGTGACTACTCACAGCGTGTAGCGTATTCTCATACTCAACGTTTTTGACAGTAATTCTCTCTATCGTTTCGAACTGGTCCTTGTACTGGCCGATACTTCCCATCGCAATGCCCAAGCCATTGTAAAACTTGCTGTTGGTAATTGCAATATCAGTACTGTTTGCCTTCATAGACAGGCTGTCATCGCCATTGTAAACAGTCCAATTGTTGAACGTAATGTGGGATGATCGGATGGTGTCGGCTCCGTCGGTGTTGGCTATATGAAATCAGCACTGATTCCTTGATGGAAGTCAATTCAAGCAGCTACTCACAGCTTTGAGCCCAATTTCCAGTGTTATTGACGAAGATACTATCAAGTAACACATTGTGGGAATTGATGATCGACATGGTCCTTCGTAGTCACGGTTGTCAGAAACAGTAGCGATATATTCAGGATTGAAGTCAGCGTTCTACGTACCACATCTGGCTGCGCAAGAAGCTGAGACCACGAACTACCGAGTTAGTTAATTTATCGAAGGTCACAGCGTGCGGTCGGCCCGGGTAGTTGGACGTATTTGGTTGCTTTCTAATCCATTGATACCAGTAGTCACCATTTCCGTCGAATGTGCCCTTTCCGAACCCATTAATTCGAACTTCATCACCTCCAATTATCAAGGCTGTTGATTGGTTTTGATATCCAACGTCCATTGAATTGTTCAGCCAGTAGGTAATATCAGTGCTCCACTGCAATGATGAGGCGTCAGCGACTCGGCCAGAAAACATCTAAATGATACATCTGCGTGATGCTTTCAAGGACTGAATATACCAAAAGGGTTCCGTGGATATCTATATCCACATTCTTTAGCCAAGACACATTCATCACGGAGTTGACATAGTATGTCGTGGGTTCAAAGATAACTCTTCCGTCTTGGCCACACTTTTGGAATGCCTTCAAGATTGCTGGAGCATCATCAGTGGTATTGCTTCCGCCACTTCGAACTGTACAAGACTTTTGATGATCCTTGGCGGCTACTGGATTAAATGAAGCCCCTAGTACGGTCAAAAATATCAGGATCGAAAGGTACATTGCGAGGTTCAATCGAGGGAAGAAAATCGCGTCAAGCTTGGCCTGTCTTGGCCTCTCACTTGAAGCTTATAATCGAGTTTCTATGTCTCTTCGGTTTATCATACGCCGACCTCGACCAGGGTATCACTTTAACTACCCGTGCGAAGTGGCTTGGCGTGGATATATTTCCGTTTTTGAAAGATTGATGTTGCACTCATGAACCGCCATTGGTGGAGGGACTAATCCCCTCCAAGCGAGATGAAGTTGCAAAGCCAATTTACCAGATCTCATGCCAAGACAAACAAACGATTGTGTTCTTTTCTACCCCGCATTATCGGTATAATATAGGCCGATATTCAGTGATGACGACTATAAATCAACCTCGGATGGCAAAGCCGCTTGTTGATACACCAAAACCGGATTAGACTATTAACTCGGGACAAATTACTCAATCAAGATGCGTATCTTTCTGGCTCTTGTGGCCAGCCTTCTTGCAATGCCAGCAAGGAGCAAATACATTGTTCCTGGAGGAAGATGGCAGGACACGAATGGATCATTTATTAATGCCCACGGAGCTGGAATTACGTTCGACTCCAGATCAGGCAAATTTTGGTGGTTTGGTGAATACAAAACCGAGGAGCATCCAGAAGGTGGCGGTGTATCGGTGTATAGCTCAGAAGATTTGAGCGTATGGACTGCTGGTGGGCTGGCATTGGGTATTTCTACTCCCTTCTATCTTCAATCTAGTTCTACCATACTGGAGGGACGCCGATTAGCTGACCAGATCTACAGCTCCGGTTGAGGGGCACCCATATATCTCGTCCAGTAACATTATTCAGCGACCTAAAGTGGCCTACAGTGCTGAAACTGATGACTATCATGTATGGGTTGCTTTACCCGTTCCTCAGGTTCATCTAGGCAAATACTAATGGGACAGATGTGGTGGCATGCCGACAATTCCACATATGGGCTTCTCCTGCAAGGTCACGCTGTATCATCGAAAATAAACGGGCCATACAATTTTGTTGATGCGACTGCACCCCTTGGAAATTGGTCTCAAGATTTTGGCCTATTCACTGACTACAAAGATCGCCGGTCCTATGCCCTCTACTCAAATGGAGACAGCGTAGATGGCAGGGATGTGTACATTTCGAGCATGAACGAGAATCTCACATCTCTCGAAGAGGTCGTGTATCGATTCCCAAAATTCGATCTCGAGGCGCCTACCATCATGCAGACGGAAAAAAGCTATTGGGCACTGATGAGTCACAAGACCGGATACAGACCGAATAGTAAGCACTTCATTTCAATGCATACGATAATTATTCTAATCAAGCAGATGTGGTGGCATTCCGTGCTGACTCACTGAGTGGGCCTTGGTCCCAGCCATTCATCATCTCGCCTTTGAACACACGGACTTTCAACTCGCAGTCTGGGTTCACTCTACGGATTGAGGGAAGTAAGAAAACAACTTACCTCTATATCGGGGACCAATGGGATTCAAACTCTGTGTGGGACAGTCGTTATATATGGTTGCCGATTCAGACAGATGAAAAGGCCAAGACGTTGGAATTAGAGTGGCATGATGTTTATGACCTGGACGTGTGCGTATGCTGATCTCGATATCATCATTGACTCTCAATGCTGAGCTCACAATAGGAAAACCGGAGAATGGAAAGCTGTAAAGGGGACAACTTACACCGTGAAGAATGCCAAGACCAATGGTGATGCATATAAGCAAGAGGCCGTGAGCATTCTCAAAATTTGACAAATATGTGCTACATGACTATTTGACTAATGTACTCGACAGAATTTCGCCACGGACGGTGTAATTCTTACAGGAATATATGGCAACGACAGCACCGTCACATTTGAGCATATCGAAGGATCGGGAAAACCACAATGGGTATCCTTTTACTATCAAAGTGAGTTGACAATGCACAGACTTTAAACACAAGGAGCTTAGAATTCTGATAGATACCGATGATATGGGATTCGGAGATCAACGTAAGTAAACACTTATCTATCCCGATTCAAATTTGGTACTGAGATCGAATAGCTGGAGGTTCTCCGGACAGAATTGGTGGCTCGTGGCAGCTTCGCCGGATTAGCAGTGTGGTAGTCAACGGAGACGCGTCGACCATACAAACTTTGTACCAAAGAGATACACACAAGGGAATTATCCTGTCCACTCCACTGCAGCTGACTTTGAAGAAGGGAAAGAAAAACACTATAACGATTGGAGGCCTATATAATGGAGTTGACCATAAGGGTGCGGACTTGGATCGGATAGTTGTTTACCCTTCCGAAGTGTAAGTGTCTAGATGGTTTAAAGGCGCCATGATGCAGTCATAAATTTCTGCATCAACATATACAATCACATGTGGCTCAGACCAGTCAATTTGGGCAAATGCCCGCATGGATATCTAACAACGTCCGTCTATGTTATGAATAGTATTACTTCAACTGTCTCGTCGGATTGGCCGCAGTGTGCTGGTTTCAAGATGCAATAGCCCAGCTCGTGCTAAATTTACTCTTTCATCCAGGCATCCCCGGTGATTTCCAATGTGCATCAAAACGATGCATGTCAAACAAGTGAATTGCCCCAAATAGGAACTTATTCTAGATCTTTGTTTCAAGTATCAATGCGTGGTTTGAGCAGTGGGTTTGGGATTTGTTCATAGAGTCGGACAATACAAAATTCTCAGTGTCACTCGTTCCCTCTAGTCGTTGATTTGTGCCTAGGTGTCAAATATTAATTTAATTTCCGCTCTTCGGCAGTGCATGGTTTTAATATTTGTCTTTCTATCCGTCGGCTGTCTTTGCCTCTATAACATATTCAGTCGATACTTGAAGAGCAAAATTCACGTAGCAGTGGATTTCTATGGACGTTCAGTACTCTGACAGCTAAGACTGTTTACAGGAAATATTTTTGCTTCGAGACTTGAAAGAAACTTTCACAAACTCCTAAGGAGAAGGAGACGCTGAACAAAGGGTTTTCGAGGTCACGCTGGCGGCTGTCCATGCGCTACAATAACGTCCTTTGATGTTGGTGGCGCGCAAGTTTTGTATGGAGTGTTTTTATCTATCTTCTGCAAAATAATCAGTTTTAGAATGAATGGTTTCCTGGGGTCTCTTGAACTTGGACTCTTCGCGATACCAGAAACGTAATACATGTTTCATATCAACCCTTGTGGTGCATCAATGACTTCCCTTCCAGGGTGTGTCTCCGACGGTTTTATTATTATTCATCGACCTTTATACACTTGTATAAAGAGTACGCGTCACTCTCGAAAGAATGCTGTACTCTCATCCAGTCTGTGCAACATGTGCTCTCCAACTGGCATCTCCCGCGCTCTGTGTGGCCTTCTTCTGATTCATTCAACAGCCGCTTTAGCTACGGGTCAACAACATCAGGTTTGTGCCCGAAGGCTTGAACACATTTCCTAAGGACCGTTGCTAACTAAAGGCAGTATCGGCCGATTCAGAGACGTGAGGCACAAGGCGAGAGATGCTCGTCCATCCTCATCAACGACGGTGATACATGCGACACCCTGTCTGCCAAATGCGGCGTTTCAGCAGAAGATCTGGCTCTCTTTAACCCAGCGATTACTTGCTCTACTCTACTTAAAGGAAAGCCGGTTTGCTGTTCCGATGGTAACTTGTCGCTTCCGCCGCCGAGTGTTGGCTCCAGATGTTACAGCTACACCCTCCGAGGTGGTGATACTTGCGACCAGATCGCTAAGGGTTATTATATGACCACTGCCGATATCGAGACCTACAACAAAGAGACATGGGCTTGGAGCAGCTGTGGCAGTTTGAACGAAGGGGACTATATATGCCTTAGCTCTGGTGACCCTCCAATGCCAGTGACCATTGGAAATGCCGTCTGTGGTCCTCAGGTGCCTGGTACTACACGTCCGAAAACATGGAGCCAAGTTCCGTCTCTCAACCCATGCCCATCTGGTCAATGTGTAAGTTTTCCTTATGTACTATCTCATGGCCATCCCTGATTAAAATTGTAGTGCTCTGGGAAAGGTCAATGCGGCACCGGAGCAGACTTCTGCGGTTCATCGTCAACAGCAAGTGATCAAGCTACGATTACCATTGTTCAGATGGCTGCTATTGAGGAGAAGTCTGAATCACCAAAGACAATGAGTTCAGACACAGCCACACAACTCACAGTATCTGTTCTTCCGACTTCAACGACTTCCACAACGAGCGAAATTGCACTCATTGACATTCCACTGACATTCTACCACCCCAAAGAAGAGATTACAAAAATATCCGACTCTACCAGCTCAGCCACACAAACTACAGGCCTTGCTCCAAAAACCAGTACTATCGAAACAGTCCACTCGGGGTGGTCTTTGTCGATGTACACCGGCCGATATTGCAAGGGCAATTATATGACAATACAAGGCCACAACAAAAGGCTTGATGACAGCGCATGTATGGTCATTGGTAGTGACCTTGGCACCATTATCAATGACACTTCTGTATCTTGTCGATGGTGGGCTGATGATGGCGATGGATTCGCGTGGGGACCCTGTTCCAATAGCCGCATGCAGGTCCCAAGCTCGTGGATCATGTCCAATGGTTTATGTACCGTTGTTGAGAATGAAGTATGTGATAATTACAACTATATTGCCCAGACGTATGGCTCTCGGGGGCCAGGTGACTGCCAAAATCGCAAGGACGCGGACCCTTGGCCATTCAAGTCAATGCAGTGTTATGTTGGATAGATGTAAGTTTGAAAGAACAGGCGTTTGGGATACTTCTTTGGATACTCGATGTAATCAATGAAATCATTTCCTTTTGATGGGAGTTTTCGATGTAATTAAGATTGACCAGTTGTCGAGTGCAGCCTAAAAGTGATGATACGAGGTCTAAGCCTCAAAAAACCCTGCGGCCCCCAATCAACAATCCGGGAGGGGTTGTCAAGTTCATCTAACTCCTAAATTCAATCCTTTACAACTTTGGCTGCACATTTCCTCTTTGATTTGTAGCAAAATCACTATGGGTCGTCCCCAGCCAGATCGCGCGTCATCATCGCACTCCCTCCATTCCATCGACGACGCGCCGCCCCCGTACAGCGATGATCCCGAGCCCTTTCTCGACCCCGAAATCTCCCAACCTCCCACCGGAATTCAACCCCTCCGTTTAATCGATTCTGCCTACGTTCTCACGGGTGGGACAGACATCAGACCACACGACAAGGTCGCTTTGACACTCGCGCCGGAGCTATCCAGTGACTGCAACCAGCTCTACGATGCCATCAGCAAACAAATAAAGCTGCCCCCGCGGCCCCTGCTCTACATTAAGGGCACGCATACAGAATCGAACAATAACAAGAAGGAAAAGAACAGCAACACGGTCACGGACTTCGATTTCAGCCTCGATCTTGCCGAGACCTTGCTTACTGGATGGGAGGATGGACGCGCAGAGTTCAACTGGATGAGAGTTGAGATCATCCACGATGATGACCAGAAGTCTGTATATCGTGGTGGAATCATTCGCTCGCGGGCGTACAAATCCCCCACGCAGGGCGCAGTCCGTCTGAACGAGGACAACGAGGCTCTTCTGGCAGGAGAGAGCGGAGGCGACCAAGAAGATCGATCCATCGCAGGAAAAAGCCTCCGGTTATGGTGCGAGCGGTTCTGCAACGATCCAGCACCTGTTAAATCGTACGACCTTCCTCCCTACTTCTCATCAGACATCCAACTAACGCAATATACAGATTCACCCTCCATCGCGAACTGGCAGGCTTCGACCCAAACACCATGCGCAACGTCCTCTCCTCACACATCCGCGAACTCAACTACCGCGGCACAATAAATTACGATCTAACAATCGCCCACCGCTCAGTAACAGTCTACTCTCCGCACTGGATCAACCGGCTACGCGCAAACCGCTTCGTATGGTGGGCGGTGGTCATCTTGCAACTGTGGATAATCAGCTGGCCGATAATCTTCTTCATGGAAAAGCGCTATGAAATTGCAAACGTGCGCTGGTTTTCATCACTCATCCCAGAGACTGACTCTGCGCTGGCTCGATGCTATGCTCGGGGCCGCAACGAGTCTGCTTTGGCGGAATACTGGGCTCCTGCTGTGAAGCAAGCTGCTTGGAGTCGCAGGCAGGGCGGTTGTGAGGTTTTGACGCGTATGGATGCCGATCGCTTGCAGGGGTATAGTACTCAGCAGTTACTTGGCGTTCGGAGCGGTGATTCGGATGCCGAGAGGGAGAGGCGAGAGCGGGTTCATAGTGGGGAGGGTGGGTTTTTTGATAATGTTGTTGGGCTGGTTAGGGGGATTGGAGAGGTGAGGCAGGATTGGAGGATGTCTGTGGGATGGGGTGCTAACTCTTGATCGTTTTTGGATCATGTTTCCTATTGAGGTTCACAGGTCATTATTTCTCAATGGGCGTCTAGGCCATCTGCATACGTAGCTCCAAATTAGTTTGGCTTTAACTGCTTGGTTCTAGTGATTGATTCTAGTCGAAATTTCCAAAAGACACTAATCTCATGTGGCTCAGTATCACTATCCTCATACGGATTTATGGTCATTGCTAATCCATACCGGCGAGGATGTTGTAATTGCCCCCTTGATATGGAGGTACCGTAGACCCCATAGGTCTGAAGTTGCTATAGTTCACTATACTTCTATGTACAATATGGACACGCTGAGATATGCTTGGATATCTGACATTGTACATCATGCCCAAGCACGGCTCAGTCTGTTTGTTGACAATCAGTCGGGTATTTCAATGAACATCAATCCACTCTTGATAGCTCTACTCGGTGTTAAAATTATGGTACTGAGATCTATCAAGCCCTGCTTGGTACGAAGATTGGTAAGGCAGTGGCTGCTCTTGTTTTGGGTGCTCGTCCTAGAGGTACACGTTGTATCTCACGCATCATATCTTATTATTACCATGGGAGTTTATGAAGGCAAATGGCAAGGCACTCGGGCTTTCTCGCTTGGTGAGTTGCTCCCGTACTTTAACACAATGCCCAAAGCGCAGAGAAAATGTTCGTAAACATTGGGATTCCGTTTACAATTCTCACTCTCAGTTAGGTTACGTGGTTTGAAAATGTATGATCAGATTATGAGCAGTTTTATGTTCCATTGAACACTAGGCGTAGACATCAAGGCCTGCTGTACACCATCAAAGCATCCCGCCCAACCCAAAGTGCCAAGCGACGAAAATTCCAGAATAAAGATACATGTCCACCAAAAGAATTGAAAACAGAAACAACCCTATATCAGGTTAAAGCATTACAGAAGAACAAAGCTGGCGCCGAACACAGCCGACATGATCGACACAAGGCCGACAGTGGCAGGGGCGAAGCTGAACTGGAAGGGCTTGAGGCCAGCGGCAGCACCCTGGGAGCTAGTGCTAGAAGCAGCAGAGCCACCGCTGGTAGCAGCGGCGACATCACCGGAGCCCTGGGTGGCAGTGGTGGTGGACTTGGTGCCAGCGTTCTGGGAGCCCTTTCCGCTGAAGCCATCGCCCTTGCCGGCGCCGTTGGTCAGGTATTTCTTGGCGGGGACGGGGATGGCAGGGAGAGCATCGGTGGAGACATCCCAGTTGGGCTTGGACTGGACGGGGCAGCCGGAGGCACCGCCGGTGGAGTTGTATTTGCCGTCACCGCTGGGGTTCTTGGTCTTGCTGAAGGCGGCCTTGAGAGCATCGTAGTCCTTGAGGGTGGAGACATCGTCGCCGTCGATTTTGACGAGACCGTACTTGTTGCCGCCTTCGGAGTACTCGTAGGCCAGACCGCCGGAGTAGACGCCGGTCATCTGGGTGGAGTACAGAGAGGTGACTTCCTCCCACTTACGGGTGTTGGTGTTGCAGCCGTACTCGGAGAGGAAGAGGGGGATGCCGTAGCCGGTGAAGTTCTTGACCTTCTGGTCCCAGCCAGAGGTGGTGAAGGAAGAGGGGTCGCACCAGGAGTAGTCGTTGAAGGCGAAGAAGTCAGAGCGCTCGTCGTCGCTGCCGCAGTTCATGTACTCGGCCATCTCGAGACGGTTGGTGTCGACATCGGCGGCGGAGTAGCCGACAGGAACCTGGCGAAGCTTGTTGCCGCTCAGGAAAGTGCGCATGTCACGGGTGACGGCCTTGACGTAGGGAGCGGCCTTGGAGGAGGGGCCGTCGTTGATAACCTCGTTTCCGGAGAAGAAGGCAAGGGTGTTGTCGTACTTGGCGAACTTCTCCATGGTGGCGAAGATGTACTGGAGGTAGACATCGTTGTAGGAGGTCTCGGGGTCCGCACGGTTAAGAGAGTACTTGGGGGTGTTGACGTCGAGGACGAGGTAGATGCCAGCGTCAGCGAGAGCGTTCATGCACTCGTCGTGGTCGGCGGAGTTGTCGACGGAGTAGACACGGATAGTGTTCAGGCCGAGATCCTGGAAGTTCTTGATGTCACGCTTGCAGCCCTCAGCATCGGCGATGGGATCGGCGAGCTTGGAGGAACCACCGGGCTGGTAGTCCACACCACGGATGTAGAAGCGGTCATCGCCCTTGAAGAAGGCGTTACCCTTGACAGTGATAGGAGTGATGCTGCTATCACGGGCCTTGAGGTTGGCAGCGGCACCGAGAACACTGGACGCGCCGAGAGTCATGGCCGTAGCCATGGAGGCGACGGAGGTCTTCATAATGTGGGAGAGATGTGGGAAAGTCGGGGGAAAAAACGAAAGGCGGAAATCTGTTGAGTTAAACGAAAGTCGATAGATGCGCTGATATATTAAAAGAGTGACAGTCAAAGAGACGAAAGTTAGGTCAGAAAGAATGAAGAAGGAGAAAAGAAAGGCTGGAAAGGCTGGAAGGGATGAAATACATGTCCAATTTGGGACGGCAAGGCCTAAGTTGCGATTGGGGAGCCAAGCGGGCTGTGCTATGCCAAGTACATTGGCTCTCTGTCTGTGCCGAGTGGTCGATCAGACAGCAAGGGTCAATACAGGCAACATGAGTGGGTGTGAATAAGTTGTGAGTGGGTATTAGGAGGATTTTAGTGGGGATCAATATGGGGATGACCCTGAATTGCCGCCGAAGTCCCTTCAAGGGCCCCTATTTGTATTACTCCGTACTTTGGTATTTATTATGGGCTGATGATTTATTTTCATTCGGATCAGGAACAATGGATTTCAGAATCCATGGTACTGCAATTGAATCTATAATTGTATCTCACACAGTACTATTTTCTTACCACATAATGTTTGAATAAAACATCTATTCTGCTGCCTCGCAAAATTCAAGTGGACCCCTTTGGTGATGACGCGCCATCAGGGCCGATCGTAGCTGGACTAAGGGCTTTTGAGGGTCTTTTGGAGGATTAGGGGTCTTGAGTTACATACTTAGTGCTGTGTGGTCCCGGAGGAGAAAAAGGCCACCCAAATTCTAGAATTCACATTTGATGATAATGATTGGTCAATTTGCATTGTCTCGGCGCCACTGCAGTCCACTTGCTCTTGACATTGGTGGTTGCGAATTTGTCAACCATTCAATTTGATTCTATACTTAGCCCTGAGACATCAATATTATTTGACCATTAGCATGTTTCTGACTTTGAATGTTTCAAATATGGTTGACATATGCACTTTGAATACTCCGTATACAAACTACAACGCAGAGAAAAGTAAAATTAACCCTCGGGTACATACCATAGGACGTTATACAAACTTCAAGATCGTCATGGCGATAGATCCCCTATACATCGCCTCATAGGTAGATCAGACTGTCTCACTTCTTCTTCTTTCCTTCGCATATCCAAACAATGATCGCAAATCCATCCATAGCCCTGCAGATATCCCCCGCAACGCTCCCAGGCTCTCAACCACTGGCCACACCACACAAATCAAGACACTGACCCAGATCCAAATGAAAGACACCACAACCCACCCGGTGAAAAATGACCGACTATAAATATACCCACTCCCAAACAAGGTAAACGGTACTAAGACTACAGCGCCAAAGAAAAATACCCCGTTAGCAACCCAAGCGATTCGCTCACCCTTCTTGACAAGGACCGGGTCCATCGGCTCGACATCATGCGACTCAAGAAAATCAACCAATTCATTCCTGAAGCCTGAACTCTCAGCCAGCGGCGAATCCGTCTTTTCAGACACTTTTGTCTCATCGCCCTTATCGCGCGGAATCTGGTCCCGTTCATCCTGCACAACCGCCACTCCGGCAATGGCACTTGCATTTGGGTCAGCGCATTTCTTCGGAAACACATAACTCAACACAACAGCCATGATGAATCCAACTCCAAATGAAGCCAAGTTCCCGGCCAATGCATTTGTCGTGTCGCCGGTGCTAGCGACGTTGATAGTTCCCGATCGCTTGTAAGCCGTAACGAACCACACTGTGATTCCGCAACAGAATCCGATCCATGGTGCGCCAATTGCTGCGACGGTTGACATGGGCTCCCATAGAAGTATCATGCCGACGGGAAGGGCCGCTCCACCAACTATCACACCCAGCACAGTCAGAACCCATGTTAGGCTTATGCCTGCTGCATTGAGAATGCAGCAGAACACTGCGAGTACGATTGCGTAGAGCGCGATACCCCAGTGGCTGACCCTTACGAGGGTTTGTGAATCCGTGTTAGGGCGGTAGTAGGTTTTGTAGACGTCGAAAGTGAGTAATGAGGAGACGGCAATGAGCTCTGCGGATGTGGAACTTGTTACAGCCATAAAGAGCAAGATCAGGATTAGGACTGCGCCACCTTTACCCATGAGGGCAATCGCGGTAGCTGGTGCTGAAAGGCCGGATTCAACTTGTGCCGTTGTGAGTGCGTTTGGATATGTCGGGAAACTCGGGTCCCCGGTTAACGCTGCACATCCTAGACCCATGATAGTTGCGAAACCGAAGGGAATTCCTGACTCGTTAGCCTGTATACCCAAGTTCAATAGCAAGGGTATCAACATACCATACCAAGCAATTCCTCCAAAAATATAAGCTATCACCGAAGTTTCAGGCTTAGAAGCAATAGCCCGCTGCCAGTAAGCCTGATCCAACCACACAGTCGTAAACCCAGCAACAAACAAATCACAGGCAAAAATCAGCCCACCAACGGACCGAAAGGTAAGATAGCTCCCTCCCGCATTCCTATCAATCGGCATCTTCTCCGAAGCAACAAGCAACAGCTCATACAGCTTCGCAGGACTACCAATCACCTCACTCCTCGCCACAACCAAGAACCCAAAGACAAGAATCGCAATAAACAAAATAACAGTATGCACATAGTCCGCAATAAATGTCGCCCGCAGTCCACCCGCAATAACATAAACCGCCACAACAAGCGGGATCAAAAACGACGCAGCATAAACATTCATCCCGGTAATCGCCCCGACAACCTGCGCACCACCAAGAACCAAACAAGCGCCAACAAGCATATTCGTCGCAAGTCCATAATACAGATACGTGAGATGAGCCAGCTTGCCATGTCGTGAGCGCACAATCTCCGGCATCGTATGGGCGCCAGCGGCACTCGCTTTAATTTTTATTGCGATGAGCCCAAAGAGCAGGATCTGGAGCGTTCCCGTCGCGGCGTACCACATTGGTCCGCTAACGCCGTAGCTGTAGGCGAAGGTCGAGCTGGTGAGGAGCGTGGCGGACCATGTCCAAGAGGAGACGATGCCAGCGCTGATTAGGCCGGGCTTTACGGTTCGGGAGGCGGTGTTGAATTCTTCGGCGAAGTGCGTCGAAAAGCTTGTATAGCGGTTTTGGAGCGCGGTTAGGCTGAGCATGAATAGGGCGAAGATTGTGCCGATTCCGATTACTATGCCGTAGCCCGCGGACGCGGGGAGGACTTGGAGGCTGTTGCTCATTTTGGAGGATTTGATAGTTTCATGGTGAGATGCTCGTACGCCGTGTTCATATAGTTTCTACCGAGCGGGGTGGTTGTATGCACTGTACCCTGCACAATGTTATAGATTGGGTGTTGGATTGGTCTGTTCTGGACATGATCGTCATGATAGCATCCTACCCCAATTGATAGACTTATCAGGTTGGGGTAAATTGAGGGTGATGATAAGAGCAACAACAGTTGAATGGATGCATTTATGCCATTGGAGATAAGAGAAAGACAAAGTTGATAGAAAACAAGAGTGCTCCAAATGTTAGCGGTGACATCCCCGCAGATCAGCGGTCTCGCTCCAGGCACAGTCGTGCTTTCCGGGTAAACGGTGCAGCTGGACACATTGCAGACATCACAAATACCCAAGTATACAACGATATCGCTGATTAGACAGCTCTTACTCCTTCCGTTTCTTCTCCAACTTATCAGTTCCATGCACCCAATCCAACAGCCCCACGGACCCATAGTTCAAATTGAACTTCTCGTGATGCAAATCATGCATCTTGGCCTTATTACGGAAGAAGTCATACCCACTGTGCACAGTGACCGTGTTGAACAACTCCCAGGCGAGGAAAATCCAAAAAGTCAACACATGACTGTGCAGCAACTGGGGCGGAAGCGAGATAGGCAACGCATTTGCGAAGATCTGCTCAATGGGATGTGCGAACTGTGCAGCTAGCGCAATCGGCGCTGTGAAACGATGATGCTTTTTATGGATGCGCACATACAGATATGGTATATGCAACAGTCTGTGGCTGTAGTAGAAGAGAGCTTCTCGCATTAACAGGCTGAGGAGGAAATCGCGGACGATCTCAGGGAAATTGGGCAGTGAGACTTCGATTCGGTATGATGAGCGGCTGGCTAAGCACAGTAATGCTATGTGCAGAATTGATGAGAGAAGCTGATTTTGCGCGACGACTATGAAACAGCGGAATATTTCTGCGCGGGTTGGCTGTTTGGGTGCTGGTTGGATTTTGTGGCGTTGGGAGAATGAGGGTGCGATTACATCGAGGGATAGGTAGATGATTGATGGGATCCAGAAGAAAAGGATTTGAATCACGAGTGTTCCGACAAATTCGATTTTCTGGGGCGAGTTGTTCGTCACAATATTTGTCCAGAAGGCTGTGGCTTGAGCCAGAGAGCTTTGCAATGTCTCCATGGTAGATTGGATGGACGATACTCAGAATTGAAATCTGACACCTGGACAGATCTTGGGCACTGCCAAGCTGGGAGGGTATTACCTATGAGGGTCTTCTGTGCCTCGGTCTGTTCCCCGGAATCTTCAGTCCCCGCAGTGGGTGCCACCAATGATCGCGGCTCGGGTAGATATTCGATCCATGTGAAAAGGCTTCGAAGATTATGGGGAGAGATTTCAAGGTTAGCAATTCACGATCGCCCATTGAACCTTGCTATGCCTAGGTAGCGCGTTGGAGGAATTTGAAAGGTTCACAGATATATAGATTTCTATATCTGACATGGATACTTCAGTTTACCTAGTAACCTAGAAGCCAGCGGCTCATTCTATGTTTGTTCCAAGAGTTCTGTGTACCCTTCGGAAATTTAGAAAATTGTCGCCAATGGTGTCACTGAGCTATTGAACCTAGCTCCTTCGAATCATCACCCCATAAAACACTTTCTAAGCTTCGAGGCATACAGATGGTCCACCACAATTCGAAGCCATGGTGAATCCGCTAACGGGCCGGAAGCGGCCCGGGTAAGGAATGCGCGAATATACATGGCGACAAAAGAATCATTTTCCAGGAACCATTGAGACCTACCAAAAATTCTCAGTGCAATATACCCAAACAATTTGGAACTAAACTATATGGTCTAAGTTCAAAGATGAATCACATCGAATACACCCTCAGTCGACTCTTCTTCAACTTCAAAGGCCGCGATGCCAAACTCTTCACAAAAGCATCCTCATTTTCACAATTTCCCTCCCCAACTATCAATCTGGAATGTCAGCTCGGACCGTCGGGTACGCGCCTAGACGTAGACCATTCTGCGGATGGTGTGGGTCGATTCCCAACACTCACTTGGCCAATATCACCCACGATCAAGGAGTACCTGCTCATCAGTGAAGACCCAGACGCACCTCTGCCCAACCCAGTCATCCACGGGATATACTATGGTATCCCGGCTACCATGACGGGTGTCACTGCTGAGGATTTCGAGAGCGACGGAGATGGATTGAAGGGTGGATTTTCATACGGCCAGAACCGCAGGGGAAATGTGTATATTCCTCCCAGGCCATTGCTTGGCCACGGGCCTCATCGGTATTTTTTTACTCTTGTTGCGTTGTCTAAGCCGATTGAAGGGGCTGCGTTTCAGGGTCGGCCTACGATCAAGGAGGTGTTAGCTGAGATTGAGGGGAAGGTTGTTGGGTGGGGTGAATGGGTTGGTGTTTATAAGAGGAAATGGGAGTGACTTGTGTTTGATTGTTGTAGGCTCTTCTATGCCTACTGGGATAGCCTTTGGAGATTGAAATGCACCTTTAAAGAGGGCTATGATCTGAGAGTTGGATCCCGCGATTTGTCACTGGAGGGTTTTAGATTTCGGTTTAGAGAAACGAGTGTGATATTCTTGGAGATAGACAAATATATATGGTTCGACGAAGCCACTGAGCAGCCTTTAAGTGTGAACATAGGTAGTTTTCGGATGTCTTATAGCAAATGAATACACGAAACCTAGAATACCGAAATTGATCGCCAACAACTTTACTTCCGACGCACTACTCTGTTATGGATCAAATATCTCGCTCATGTAACCATCGATCTGAGATCTCAAAGTAGCTCATCATTAAAACATGGTATCGTGCAGCAAGAAATTGTACCATGCTGGAGAAAGTTCAGTGCTTGCAAATGGTTTCCGAGGGATCTTTAATGAGGGCCGTGAAAGCGGCCTTAAGGACCAATCAGACAGCTATAGCCCAGGTGTTTGGGGATTCGTGGATCGAAAGAGAAATGCAAAAACTTGGGAAAGGTATGTCAGCCCGATTCATCTGCTGAGTCGCTTGTATGTACATGACAGATCGTTTCTATATCTTGTCTAGAAAGTCTGATAACACTGTGAAAGACCAATTTATTGTACTCGTTGTTTGTGTCTTTTATCCGTCTCACTATCCGTGTTTCTTCAGGGTTTATGGATACTCTCCAAAGTTCTTTCCAATGCCGGTTGGATCGTAAATATATAGCGGGTTAACACCCCCATATATTATCGTAGCTGAAATCGTTCAATGTGGCCTTTTTCTCCAGACTTTTTAGACACAAGGTAGGAACTGCTAAGTGGGGTCATGAGACAAAATAGTAAATTTGTCGAATTTGAGAACTGGTACTTCTGTATATGCAGGGATTGTGCTCGGAATTTTCTGTCTTTTTCTTTATCTATCACACGCAGGGAAATCCAGAGACCCACCACAGGTGTAGATACTTTTGCTTTTTCTTAGCATCCTTGTAGGCCATGCATTCCGTAAATCGATTGAAGCTTTCCAATAGCCCAAGCGTTATCGCAAACCCTCAAATAGCGCTTGGTATGTGCGCAAGCATATTTCGGCCCCATAGCTGCAGCTGTGTGACAGCTTTCAGAGATGTCTTCCCGCCACGCCACTCCTACAGTAGAGCCATGCATGTTTCAGGTGTCAGGGATGATCTTCGTATTCATCATCCCACTCCACAATCACCTAAATCGCCCACGTTGTGTTGTAGTACGAAACGGCTGCCCCCGCAAATAATAGCTAGTCGCCTAAAATTTTGTGCTCAAGTCGGTTGGTTTGCCCGAAATCAATCTTAGAATGGTCAACAGCAGTACCAGACCTGCCGATTGGCTGTGAATTTGCAGATCGACGTTGCTGACTGTGCGCGGGAATACGAGATTTCACGCCTCCCAGTGCAGCATTATGGCAGCTCTAATCGTAGGCTGCGACATTGACTTTCGCAGTCTCGATCGAATATTAAGGCTACGGAAACCAAGGCAAATACCCTGTTCTACTATGGGGTCAATATGTACATATGTAGTTAGATATGGGTCCTAATGCAGGGGAAGAGAAAATTGTGGAACGAGACGTTCGGACTAGACCGCGACACTAGGAACAGTGGCTCGAAAAAAAGCGATCGGCGCATGCAATTGTTGGCTGGAGCACTTGATTTCCATACTTTATGCCACGCCACAACATACCCCTGTCGCTTGAGACCGCCGGACAGTTATAGTTCATGCCTTTAAGTCCCTGCCGCGTGATAGCTCACACTTTGACAGGTCAGAGCATGTCAAGGGCAGTGGATGTTCCTGATTCTCTGCCAGTCTAGAGTTTAGTGAAACAATAAATGACTCCATCTACTTGCATATCATACAAGGGATGTTATCAGGTTTTGTGAGTTCCAGCGTTGGGGTTTATAAACCGGGTCTGGGACCGGAGGACATTATGATGATCTTCGTCTGCGCGGTTCATTGTTTTTAGTACTAGTGGTTGGTCAGAGCCGAAGAATAAAATGGTTCAATTTTATAAGTCTGTGCTTGTTGCGCTGGGGTTATTCTCGGTGGCCCACTCCTCTCTGATTGATATCGATTTGGACTTGGACTTGTCGACTGACAATGGATGTTGCCCACAACGCAATGAAGCTAGCCGGAAAGAATGGTTCGTGTTGGACTAGTACTCCATACTCAAGCCTGTGTGTTCTGACATATCGCAGGGGAGAATTGACGCCGTCGCAGCGGATCGACTATACTGACGCTGTTCTTTGTATGCAGAAGCAGCCTCAACACCTGCCAAGAGAAGAGTTCCCGGGAGTACGGAATCGATTTGATGATTTTGTGGCGTATGTTCTTGCCGTTCATGATAATTATACAAACATGAGATGTGAACTAATTGACATTGCTTAGAACCCACATCAACTACACTCTTCACGTACATTACAGCGGTCTCTTCCTCCCATGGCACCGCCACTTCCTCTGGCTCTGGGAGACAGCCCTACGAGACGAGTGTGGATACACAGGACATCTCCCGTGAGCAAACCAAGCCCACCATCACCTCAACGACTAATAAGCGCAGATACTGGGATTGGCCCAAATGGGACAATGATCTAGCCGCCAGCCCACTCTTCGACTGTAGCGAGAGTTCTCTCTCCGGCGACGGCGAATACAACCCGGGAGAACAAAGCATTCAAGGCGGATCCCAGACTCTCCCACCAGGCACAGGCGGCGGCTGCGTGCGATGCGGACCATTCAAAGATATGGAGCTGCACCTAGGACCCTTCTCTCGAAACCTTGCATCGACAACGGAAATCCCAGCCCCAGGCTTCGACTATAACCCTCGATGCTTCAACCGCAGTCTTAACAACTTCGTCAGCAGCAACTATAACAACGAGACGATCGTCGACCGCCTGCTGTCCTCGACCGACATCATTGATTTCCAAACGGTCATGGACCACTGGCCACCACGCCCAGACGGGGTACTAGGTCCCCATGGCGGCGGCCACTTCAGTCTCGGCGCAACACTCCAAGACCTGTTTGCCTCGCCGCAGGACCCGGCCTTCATGCTGCACCATGCGATGATTGATCGGCTGTGGAGTATCTGGCAAAACAAGGACGCAAAGAATCGAAACGCAATCAATGGAACCAACGCGATTCTCAACCCGCCGACCGGGAAGCTCGTCACGCTCGATATGGAGATGGAGTTTGGTGTTCTTGATCGGCCCCGAACAATCGGCGAGGCTATGGATCCTACCAAGGATGGATATTGTTATTCTTACACCTGAGTCGGGACGATATTATTCTCCGTTGTGGGGTGATGACTGCTCGACTTTTCTCGGTATTTCTTTTGGCAAGATTTGTATACATTATCTAATTCTAGTGCACATACGTAGTCAGCCCGTGGTACATAGTTCAGGTACATAATCGCAGCCCCTTTTTTTATTGTTGAGAAAGACGAATGGAGTAAAAAAGAAATAGTGCATGACAACACGACTCTATTATTGTACCGTGCTATTGTTAGCGCTGAGACCGGGCCAATAGGGCCGGTGGAGTCGTGTCCAGTTGCGGATTTCCGGTTGCTGATTTGTCTTTGGAGCTGTTTGTGTTACAGGTCTAGGTGACACTGGGAAAATGTGAAGAGAAGAATAAGTATAAATTGTTAAATAGTATCTAGTTAGTAATTGAAGATTAAAATAGATGAAATCGAGATCGGAATGTGTCAAACAAGAAGCCGATCCGAGACATTTAACTCAGAAATTACGCCGTAAAAAAGCCGTGAAAAATCAGCCGAAAAACCCGCTGAAGTCGACTATCGGTTATCTCCATTTACTAGCGTTAAAAATCAAGGATTGGAACGAAAAGAAAAGCAAGTACGGAGTAGTTCCTGAGATTTTTATTGCCACTCGGTATTGATTTCTCTTTCTTGTTTCTGATTTCTTGCAGCTTCCTCTTGATAAGCTTCTTCTCCAAGTTTGAAATTTAACTTCCTCAACTTCCTCATCTTCTTGCTTCTTCGTTTCCTCTCCTCTGCCAACTCCAATACCTCATCACCCGTGGGCCTTATCAGCGGATCTCCAATCTCCACAATGCTTCGTATCAACTTTCTCCAATTACTCTTCGTGACCTTGCTCGCCATATCTGCCGTCTATGCAGATGCAGTCAAACCTGATGTATCTCAGAGTGAGTCTCTCCAGGAAGCGCTTGACGACATTAAGGCAGCCTCGTTTCACGATGCCCTGCATGCCCTCTCCGCCAAATTCCGCCATGGAATCTTCCCGACTGACCTGCATGCCGCTGAGGCTCTTCAAGATGAAGAACCAACCATTGCCAGCTTGATCAGGCTTGCCAAGCGTGAGGGCAATGCCACTGCCAGCCCGGAACCTACATCTGTTCCTGCTGTGACTTCTGCTGATCCCACCACTACTCTGCCGGTCTCTACGTCGTCCACTGAGACTACCTCGGTGCCCACCACTAAGACCACTTCTGCTGAGTCAACTACTGCACCTGCTAGCACCACTTCTCAGCAAACCACCACCGAAAAAACTACTGAGAAGACTACCGCCGTCCCAACTACCGCCGCCAGCACTACCAGCTCGCGCAGCACCACTTCCGAGACCACTGCCTCGGTTACATCTACCACTCAGACAACCATTCTCCCGGCCACTACCACCAGTGTGCCCTCGACATTGACAACTGCCAAGAGCACTTCATCCACCTCATCGACTTCCAGCGAGTCGACCTCTTCTCAGACCTCGGAGCACACCTCGCAGACGAGCCTGACTACCTCCACCTTCAAGAGCACCAGCACCCTGCCCGATGGAAGCTTGATAACCCTCACTTCCGTGACTGTGATCACCCCAGCCGCCGCCACCAACGGTGGCTCCAGCACCAACACCGCTCGTCCTGGTCTGCAGACCGGCAATGCCGCTGCCCCCACCGCGGGCGTGGCTCGCGAGGTCGTCGCCATGATCGGAGGTGCCGTCATGGTCGCCATGGCCCTGTGATTTTTGATAGAACTTTGCGTCTTTTTGTCCCGCCTGCTAGCCTCTTTTATCATTTTCAACGGCGTTTTCCAGCATATCGCTTCGGCTCTGCATTCTCATGACGTTCGTCATTGTACTATCCTTCCGCACGACCCGTTACGACCTACTCATGTCTCTCCTTTTGGCGTTACTGGCCAGCATTTGTTATTGCCTCATTGGGCTTTGTTTTCATCAGCGGTGTGGACATTTACAGCTCTAGCACACGCCAATATTTCATGTGATTAATTCTAGTCCATGCTCTTCTTCACTTTGGAGAAAATGCAAAATTTGTGTTCAATTGTCTGTCTTATGTTATGTATAGATGTGTAGTAGAACGTGTAGATCGGAATGTGCAAAGGGGTATGGTATGGCATGTCAAATCAACCAACAAAAGAAAAAAAAATCTCCATCATCGCAGCCCACTCAAATAATCCCCTAATTCTATATCTCATCCCCCTCAATCCAATTCCCAGTCCATCACCGCCCACTCCCACTCCCAGCCCCCTTCCACCTTTCCTCCCCAGTCCAATACCGCACAACACTTTCCCAGCCAGCCAAATCCCCATCGCGCAACAAAGCAGCAACATCAACATTGAGCGGCGAATCCGGCTGCGGATCCGTCAACAGCTGCTGAATCGCAGTCAGCGTCGTCGACAGCGTATACACAGGACTCCAGTGCTCGGTCGTCAGCAGAGTAAGACATATGGCGCCATCGCTGAAAGAGATATTGGGGTGCGAGATCTTCGTCGTGAAGTGGATTGTCGGCGGTGATAGGGGGTAGTTTGGTGGGATTGCGATTCGGAGGTGCCAGAGGCCGCCTGCGCGTGTTAATTAGCGTTTGGGGTTTAATCGGGGTGTATGCATTGGCGTAGTGTCTGATCGGGGTTGTCGGTTGTTTCTGGTTCTGGCTTACCCTCGTACGGCGTTCCATCTACGCCTTTCAATACGGCTTCCCAGTCTAGTAGGTTCTCTTCGTCGACGGGGCCGAGGTGCAGCAGGGACTCGTTTGGCGTCTTGTGGTATTCTTTCAGCTCGCGGATTAGCCGCTGCGTCGTGTTTCCAGATGGTGCTTGCGACATCGTGGAAGGTATACTGGGCGTGGGCTCGTTAATTAGTTGTGGTAGAGTTGAGCGCGGACGTTGAAAGTCGGAGCTGTGATCGCCGAGGCTGGGGAACTTTACCCCCGTGTGGACCGTGTCATCTCCATGTGAAATCGGACCCTTTTCCTACAACAATAATCTACAACCATGCGCACTTCCCGTACTTCTAAAGAAACAGCGAAAGTGCTACAGGCGCTATCTGCCCCTCGTGAGACTCGCACGCGTGTTAGCGCGTTGAGAGCTTTCGCCTACAATGCCAATCCCGATGGCAATGCAAATGCGACCGTCAAGACGGAGCCTGAATTGACTTCTACACCCAGCTTGTCCGTACCAACCGACGATGATTCATCCCTGTCTGAGGCAGATACAGCCGATATCGAAGACTTGCTCGAGCCCCCTTCCAAACGCCAGAAGCGAACGACTGCGTTACCAGTCAAACACCCACGGAAGACAATCAAGGAGAAATCCATCATCAAGAAGGACCCAGATGAGAAACCCAAGCCAGAACGAAAACGCCGCCTGCCAGCGCGCAAAATCCGCGATGCGTCCGGCGTAGTGAAAGTCGAGCCCCCGTCCAACTGGGAGATCATGTACGACACGGTCAAAAAGATGCGCGAAGATAACCCGACCGCACCGGTTGACACAATGGGCTGCGCGGAGCTCTACTGGCGCGTCTCAGAGCCAAAGGACCGTCGTTTCCAAACGCTCATCGCGTTGATGCTCTCCTCGCAAACGAAAGATACGGTGACAGCCGTTGCAATGCAAAGATTGCACACTGAGCTGGGCCAAGGATCGCCCATCAAGTCTGAAGACCAGGACCCCGGAATCAAACTCGAGGATGAAGACTCCAAAATCAAACTCGAAAACCAATCCTCCGCCAAAGACAGCACCCTCAACCTCCACAACATCCTCGCCGTCGACCCAACAACCCTAAACTCCCTAATCCGCACAGTGGGCTTTCACAACAACAAAACAAAATACATCAAGGCAACAGCCCTAATCCTACGCGACGAATACGACGGCGACATTCCCTCCACGCCAGAAGGCTTAATGGCACTGCCTGGCGTAGGTCCCAAAATGGCGTACCTGTGTCTGAGCGCGGCGTGGGGCAAACACCTTGGTATTGGCGTCGATGTGCACGTTCATCGCATTACGAATCTCTGGGGCTGGAATAAGACCAAGACGCCCGAGGAGACGAGGATTGCCCTGCAGGCTTGGCTACCGCATGAGAAGTGGCATGAGATTAATAAGTTGCTTGTTGGACTGGGGCAGACGGTTTGTTTGCCTGTTAAACGGCGCTGTGGGGACTGTTATCTTGCTGGGACGGGGCTTTGTATGAGTGAGATTCGGGGGATGGAGAGGTCGGTGGTTAAGGGGGAGAATGGGCCGAAGGTCAAGATTGAGGTCGTTTGATGGGGTCGGGGCTGCAATGCAGGGTGTGTCCTGCTTTGTTGAGCTTGTTGCGATGATTTGGAGGACCTTGAACTGTAGCTTTTCGTCGGGAATTAATAGGCTGGGGCTTTCTGCTGGCACGGCGTGGAAGCTGGACAGATGAAGTCTGGGCGTATAGTATCAAGCGCCCAGTCAACATGGCTTAGGACGGAACCCTCCCTGGCAAGTATAAGTGCATACTCCGCTACTGTATATCCCGAAGTCGTGGGGCATTGATTCGATTTGTTTGAGCCACATCTCTAATACACCACAATAACCAAAGTCAAATCAAATCAAATGAGATGAAACTACTCAATCCAAAAAAAAATAAACATTAAAACACCCAACCCCAAAATAAAGTGGACCGATGATCTCATCGGATATAAGCGAGTTGGAGCCTCATTATCCCCGACCCCTCCAAGCTCTCTCTCATGATTGACCCCCTCACCACCACCCACCCACCCAAAATGCCCCCCTCACCAACCCCAATCCCCCTGTTCGCAACAACCCAACTCCACCTCCTCGACCTCGAACACGCTGCCGAAGTCTCAACCTCAAAACTAGCCAGCACAGCAGCATCTGTCTCCCCCACAACCCGCCGCACTCTCCAAGCAACCGGCCAAGCCCTCACAGGCCTCCTCCTCTCCCAATGCCGCACGGGACTAGGCGGCCGTCTAGTCGGCGAGTTTGCGCCCGACCCAGCAATCGCCTCAGATGAGACCCGCGCCGCAGACGGGTCCCCGCGTCTTTCGGCGCATGGCATTCGCGTCGGCGACGTCGTGCGCGTGAACGACGTCGCGGGGAAGAAGGCAGCCAGCGGGAAAGATAAGGATAAGGATGGTGAGAGCGGGGCGGGGCCAGAGGGCGTCGTTACGCGCACAAGCGAGAAAGCGATCTGGATTGCGTTTGGGAAGTCGGGCGCTGTGCGGAAGGAGGACGATGAGGCTGTTGATGCGCTGTGGGGGAAGAAGCTTTGGGCTATTAAGCTTGCTAACGATGTTACGCACAGACGGTATGGGGTGTCTTTGCTTGGTAATGCGGTGCGGTGCTGATCTCACACAGTATGAAACAGACGATGGAGAAAATGGCCAAAATGCCGGAATCCGAGTACTCGCATTTCATGCGCGTCGCCTTCGGCTACACCACACCTCTGCAGCCTGGTGCTGGAGATGCGGCACCAGATGCGGATGCGGAGGTGGAATTCATCGATCCGACCCTGAACGACTCGCAGAAAGACGCTATCCGGTTTGCGCTGGGGTCGCGCGACATCGCGCTCATCCACGGGCCGCCAGGGACCGGCAAGACACATACACTGATCGAGCTAATTGTGCAGCTTGTGCGGCGCAACAAGCGGGTTCTCGTCTGCGGGCCGTCGAACGTGTCGGTGGATAACATCGTTGAGCGACTTGCGCCGACGAAAGTGCCCGTCGTGCGGATCGGACATCCGGCGCGCTTGCTGCCTTCTGTGCTGGAGCATTCGCTGGAAGTTCTTACACAGACTTCTGATGCGGGCGGCATTGTGAAGGATATTCGGCGGGAGATGGATGAGAAGCAGGCTAGTATTCGGAAGACGCGGAGCGGGCGCGAGAGGAGGGGGATATATGATGAGTTGAAGATTCTACGGAAGGAGTTTCGCGAGCGCGAGTCGAGGTGTGTTGATAATCTTGTGCGAGAGAGTAGCGTTGTGCTTGCGACGTTGCATGGTGCCGGTGGGCATCAATTGAAACATCAGCAGAAGTTTGATGTCGTCATTATTGATGAGGCGAGTCAGGCACTTGAGGCTCAGTGTTGGATTTCGCTGCTTCATGCTGAGAAGGTCGTTCTTGCGGGTGATCATTTGCAATTGCCGCCGACTGTTAAGTCGAGCGGGCAGAAGAGTGAGAAGAAGAGCTCTGACGCCGAGAGCGAGGAGTTGCTGAAAGGCGTTTCTCTCGAGCGAACTTTGTTTGATCGGCTACTTGCGCTGCATGGGTCTGGAATTAAACGCATGCTCACGACGCAGTACCGCATGCATGAAACTATTATGCGTTTCCCTTCCGACGAACTCTACGAAGGAAGACTCATAGCCGGTGAAGCAGTCAAAGCCCGTCTACTCGTTGATCTGCCCTACGAAGTGCAAAGCACAGACGATACGCAAGAACCACTAGTTTTCTGGGACACGCAAGGCGGGGATTTTCCCGAAAAAGCAGAGGAGGAGATCAAGGGCGGTGCCTTACTTGGCGACAGCAAAAGCAACGAGATGGAAGCGTTGGTCGTTGCGAGACACGTGAATAATCTTGTCGACGCAGGACTCCGGCCTGAGCACATTGCCGTGATTACGCCTTATAATGGACAATTGGCTTTGTTGTCTCGCATGCTGAGAGAGAAATATCCCGGTATCGAATTGGGTAGTGTTGATGGGTTCCAGGGGCGAGAGAAAGAGGCAGTGGTGGTTAGTCTTGTGCGCAGCAATGCGGAACACGAAGTTGGGTTTTTGGCCGAGAAACGTCGGCTGAATGGTATGTTTTATGTTTACGCCGATACGCCCGATTCAAACGAAGTGCATAGGGAGTGTAGCGAATGACCACTAACTACCCTCGGCAGTGGCCATGACACGCCCGAAACGACACCTTTGTATTTGCGGGGACTCGGAGACGATTAGTCGGTAAGTGAGGGTACGTTTGAGTTCTGGAGTTTGATACTGATCGACAATCGGATTTCTTAGCGGAAGTAATTTCCTCAAGCACTGGATGGATTTTCTTGAAGAAAACGCCGACTTGCGATACCCCGATGCTGGAGATTTATTATAGAACATTCCAAGATTCCAAGCGTCGAAGATTCGACTTAGATCCGATTCCGATTCGATTTGTTCCATAACCCGTCCAGAACGATGTCGGTCTCCACTTGATCTCGGATTGTGTAGATAGATTAATTTTGGTGCGCACGGCCGACACTCTATGTAAGGCGTGGAAGCCCTAGACATTCTCTTGACCGACAATATTGGGGGAGTTAATTCGGCTCTGAAACGGCACGGAAAGCATCAAAGATTCCGAAACGTTTATTGTTTTTAATTCTTCGGAGGTCGATTTCCTGAAGCAGCACAAACTACTGTTGATCAAGCCAAATAACGGGGCCCAGATGCGGTTCTGACATCTCGGGCGACTCCCGGGCACAACACAACACGGGCCCTTCTTTGGGCTTTCGCGGTCTGTGCTGGGGAATTGCGGTGTTTCGGACTGGACTCCAATGTGCCCAATTCTGTTACATATGGTCTGGAGGATGCAATTGGAAGCAGAAGCTTGAATTGAAGATCCTCCATTTCTCAATTCCACTCCACTATTGGGGCCAACGCAACAAAAAAAAAAAAAATAAACAGAGAGATTGGACTTCAGCCCTTTGTAGTGTTGTAGCTTGGCACTTTGATTGGAAGAGAAAAAGAAATTACCCTATCTACTATAGCGCCTCACGTTCTACGGAGTATAGTCCACTTATCTTTGCTCTGCATCAAAGACAAGTGCGAAACCTTTAACGTCGGTCTTTCCCCCCCCCCCCCCCTAACTGTGATGTTTCTCCACTTCATCCACTACATCCACTTCTCAAGTTCAAATTCATTTTCCAGAACCTGTTCGGCTGTGGCTTGAACTCCCGTGGGGATTAGCTACCCCCTTTCTCTCTCTCTCTTTCTCTCTCTCTATCCTTGTCCCTCTACTACATTGAAATTTCTTATATTTCATTCTTGAACTGCACTCCGAGACTGACAAACGACTCGGAACTATACCATTTGTCATTATGTCCATATTCTTTGTACGCCTGTTTGTACCCCCATTCAGTTCTTCAACTAACCCGCGTTTGATTAATAGTAAACTAAGCTCCCCTGGCCTTTATTTCAATCTACCGACTTCCGCTGAGCGGCCTTTTGCATCTAATACCCTGATACCCCTCGACTGTGTTTCTCGACTTTATTTTTCGACCACTCGCTCAACGCGCTTTTTCCATATTTCCTTTTTTTCACCCCGTATATACCCCGTGTCCCGCGACGGAGATCCTTTGTAATGAGCATCGAAACCAACATCGCATCAATTCATATATCCGTCCATTCTGAGCGCAATGTCGAGAAGCCCGCCATCAATCGCCAGCGCCGGCAGCGAGTCTGCAGGAAGCCTTCGCCAGCGATCAGCCCCCCGGGCAGAGCGTCCGTCCTCGAACCCGGTCCCCTACATCGGAGACGGTTATGATACAGCGCTCCCCTCAATGGACTTTCGCTCCCAGCCGGCGCTCGCACATCGCAGGACCGGAAGCACTTTAAAAACAGTCATGCGCAAGATCTTCAATCGGAAAAGACAAAGTCAGGCCGATGAACTGGAGGAAACCCAGTTTGAATCTACGTTGATGACCCCGCCGCGGAGTTCAGGCCCAGTCCGAGGAAGACCGTTCCTGGCCGTTCCGCCACCGTTGAAGCTTACTTCCAATCGAAGTAGTCCGCTTTCTGCGGAAAATCTCCAACTCGCAGAAACACACCTGTCCCCGCTTTCTCCCTTATCGCCAGCATCGATGCCCGGCTCACCGGGTTTGCCGCGCCGAAGACGTGCAACGCTGCCTAGCGTCATATTTTCTGATGATGAATCTCGATATGCCGTGGCTTCGACGGCAATATCCGAACCCCAAGAAGAGAGAGCCCATATCCAAGACCGAAGACACAGTTTGCTCTCTCATAGATTGTCAAGGAGCACAGTTGCATTGGAAGCAATGACAGAGCAACATCTAGACATCTGGCCTGCGCGCACAATGCCCGCTACAGGCCCAGCCTCCGCCTCAGATTCCCGATCTCCACCATTCGAAGAAAGCTCCAACAGCGGCCAATCCGCGCGCCCCTCAACCGGTACAACAGTAACAAGTGTAACGCGCGCATCAGCCGCCCCTTCCCTGCATGAATCCGAGCAACAAGAAACAATCCCAACCCTTCCATCAAACCTAGCAACCCTAGTCCACAACATGCAACACGACGACAGCGTTACCCTCGAGCAGCGCCTAACAACCCTCGAGGTAAAAATGATCGATCTCGAATTTGCAATCGCAAGAATGCAAGCCAGCATCCCCACCACCGAAAAACCCAGACCGCGCAAAGATTCCCTCCGCCAAAAACACCCCTCTTACACAGACGACGACCCAACCCCCCTCCCAACAATCCACCAAAGACCATCAAGCACCTCCACAATCCGCCCAGAGCGCTCCCTCCGCCCAACCCCCTCCGCTTCCTCCCTCTCAGACTACCAAGGCGTCTCAATAGAGCAATACAGCGCCCTAGTAACCCTCCTCCGGCGCGAGCAGACCGCCCGCCGAAACCTCGAAGGCCAATTCGGTTCCCTGAGAGACGATGTCCGGCTCCTGCAGCGCGCAGCAATGGAGTCCATCCAGAGTGGCGCAATGAACCCCGCCCACGGCGTGGAATCCGCCGAGTTCCTGCATTTCCGGCGCGCGCTCGCTGATGATTCGACAGAACACGATGACCGCGACGTCTACTCCCGGGATGACCCCTTTGCGCCGAAGTGGGAGCGCCAGCGCATCGTCACTGCGCCCATGATCTAGAGTGTGGCTGTGTAATGTTTAGACTCGCATTTGCTTGGGCCTCAATAGAGCCCGGCGCGGCAGGATCGCGCCGCTTGTCTGCTTTCATTTCTTGTGTGCCTTCCAGTTAGCGTTCCTATATCCCTTCTTCTATATAATCAATTCATATTTCATTCAATTGAATATACCCTTTTCTCCGAGTGGTACTCTGTAGTGTCCGATCATGTCGCACCACCGCACGCTAAAATGTAGATCGGCGCTCTGTCCTCTTTTCCATCCAATCCCCACACGTCCATTCCCCGAACCAATCGTTTCGCTGACTACCTGGTGCTCCGTACAGTCATCTCCGTACAGTCATGCCTCTGTCCAAGCTAGAACACTTAGACCCATCCAAAGACTAAGATAGAAATACACTAAGACTGTAAGAGATAAATAAAACCCACAAACCGCTGCAGGGAGCCTCCACCTTCAACATAAACTTAAACCCCCATCCCAATTCCAGCAACACACAATACGCAATGCCCCCTAAAATAACAATAATAGGCGGCGGGATAGGCGGCCTAGCACTGGCAATTGGGCTACTCAGGCGCCGCATCCCAGTGCAAATCTACGAGGCCGCGCCCGCATTCACGGAAATAGGTCTGGGCCTGTCTCTCGGCCCAGCAGCGTACCGCGCCATGCCCCGCCTGGATCCGCGCATCGCAAGCATATACGACTCGCTAGTTACCACGCACGCAGACAGTCCTGGTTTCGAGGAGTATGCGCAGACGTGGTTCGAGCTTGTGTGGGCTTGTGGGGAGTGCGAGGGCGAGGTGCTTATGGATTTGAAGGCTTTGCCGTCTGGGCAAACGGCGGTGCGGAGGGCGGACTTTTTGAATGCGCTTGTTGCGCTTGTGCCGCCCGATATTGTACACTTTGGGAAGAGGTGTGTTGGGATTAGGGAGGTTGGGGATGGTGATGGTGGGGTGGAGTGTAGTTTTGCGGATGGGGAGGTTGTGCTTGCGGATGTTGTTGTTGGGTGTGATGGGATTAAGTCGCGGGTTAAGGAGTTTGTGGTGCCTGGGTTGGTAGTTGGGCCGAGGTATAGTGGTATGTATGGGTATCGGGCTGTGTTGGGGATGGAGGAGATGGTTGATGCTGTTGGGGAGAAGAGGGCGAGGGTGTCGACGTTGTATATGGGGAAGGGGTGCTATGCGATTTCTTATCCGATTATGAGGGCGCAAATGGTGAATGTGGGGATTTATGTGCTGAGTGAGAAGTGGGAGGATAAGCGTTGGGTGAGGCCGGCGAAGAGGGAGGACATGCTGAGGGATACGGAGGGGATGGGGCGATATGTTCAAGCGCTTGTTGAGGTTTGTGCAATTCTTAAGGCTTTGAATGTCACAGTACTTAGCTTACCGTCGCAGCATATGCCTGATCCGTCGCAATGGGCGATTTTCGAACATCCGCATATTCCAACGTATGCACGGTCTCGCGTGGCGATCATGGGGGATGCTGCGCATGCTTCTACGCCGCATCAGGGTGCTGGTGCTGGGCAGGCAATTGAAGATGCGCATGTTCTTGCTGAGCTCTTGAGTAATGATCGAGTGAAGTCTGCCCATGATGTGGTCTCTGCCTTGAAAGCGTTCGACGATATTAGGCGCCCACGGTGCCAACGAGTTGTTACCACCAGCAAAGAAAATGCGGATTTGCTTTGTTTATCTTTCGAAGGCGTTGGCGATGATGCGGATAGACTGAAAAAAACTTTCAATGAACGCCTGCGCTGGCTTTGGGATTTGGATGTTGAGGAACAGGTTGAGCGGGCTAAGGAGAGGATGTTTGAATACTTGGACGCTGAAAATTTGTTGTATGAGTCTGAGATGCATTCTAAGCCCGTGCCAGAACATTGAAGTCACGATAGTCAACGTTGGCCAAATCTCAAACGAATCAGGCTCAGACCAAATTAGACATAAGCCCGTGACATAAATGTACATACCTGGCAGCCTTTTGTGAGCACTCAATGATTGCCGGCGAACGAGCACGGCAGGTCTGTGCTAGGTTTTTGCAGATATAGCTTTACGTGTAACATGCCGCATTATCTTCTGTTGTGCGTCCATTCCCAGATTCAGATGTGCATGGGTAACGAAGAAATCCGCTGGTCCTCTTGGCTGGTGTGGATGTTGTGTTATCACACTGTCACCAGGCACATCTAGCCAGTGCATATAGTGTCACTTTTGCCCGAGTCCATCATCCAGGTCTGCTTTGACACTGGCGTAGCACAAGTGCGCTAAGACCTCAGCTTGCGGCGTTGTAGGTATATGGTATGACCTCTTGCCGTCGCAATAGCCGAGGGTGAACACAAGGACATACTTGATTTGCTGATCAGTGTCTTCTGGGTTTTCTAAATGGTATAAAGCTATACCGTTGGGTCTCTGGCGATGTGCCATATCGACTGATAAGCTTGCCGCTTGTTAGGGTTGTATGCTGTGATGGACAAATATAATTCTGTCTGGTGGTCGTGTGAGTTTGGTCTGCCGTGATATTAGCCAAAGAGGGCGGGTCTTGAGTATGAAAAGAAGTCTATACTTTGATCTTGAATCCACGGACAGACATCATCTCTCCTGGCATGAAGGATTGGCACGCAGCGTTGTAGATCCTTTTCTAACGTCAATTCACGATGTAATTGCATTGATATGACGACTTATTTAGTCCAAATCCAGCGAAATTGTCCCTTGTATGTCTATGCGGACATAGGTCTCGATGCTCTCGTAGTGGGGTCATGAGATTGTGAAGAAGTATTGTTTCGGAATCTGAGAGTGTCACCCAGCATGCATCCCTCATCAATCCTGGCCTGGTCGTTGGGCCAAGAAGTTCATGTATCGTAATGTATTAAGGATGCTTGACGAACGGATTGCCCTGGACGCCGTATCAGTTGCTCTTCCAAGGAATGTATGTATCAAAGGTGCAAAATGCAAGACAATCAGGTACAGTCAGTCGTAGGAGCGTTGTGGAACCTCTATTGAAGGGACTTGGTCAAAGCCTCGATGTGGGAATCTACCTAGCGCTGCGTTTTAGATTGCCTGGTCTGCTGCGCGCAATTAGCTTCAGCTTTGACGTACAGACATATCTAAGAAGCCATTTATTCCCATGGCTTGTTGCTGGGTTTCAGAATCGCCATGCTTTGACAGAGATATCGAACTGATTTGACGTGTGGCTCGAGGTAGATTGGTAATATGCCTGGGAGCTCAATCTACTCTTACTTCGACTTCAGATGAATTTTAGACATCAATCACCTTTTCGGCTTGCTCTTACCCTTTCTTCTCTTCTCTTTCTTCTATGCTCCTTTCGTCCTCAACCCAATTCTCGAGTTGCAACCGCGCACTCTCTAAAACAATAATCACTTGCAAGTAATAAAGTAAGCAGCCGAGTCTCTCTCGTTTGGCAGATGGAAACACTGATCCTTCTTAGCATGGATAGTAGCAACCGGGATCAAACTACCAATGATGGTGATGGAGTTGCAAGAGCACGATTGAGGCTCCGTCTCCGGGTAGAGCTCCAGCGCCTGCGCACTTCTCTCGCTGAGCATGAGGACGAAAGTATCAGCTGCAGCATCGACATTCATTTCGCCCAGGTCGTGACGAGGATTCTTTGGACCTATCTAGCAGATAATAGCGACGCAATGGCGGCCGACCGGGCAATTCTGAGGGCTCATCTCGCCGAGACTAACAACGCAATTGCCGCGGAACGGGCAACCATCCGGCATTTTGAGGACATACTCAATCGTCTCGAGCAAGACGATGCCGAAGAGGCTCATTAGCAGCCGTGAGTACGACGAAAAGTGACAAGTACAATGCACAATTGACGTAATGTAATATGGCAAGTAGCAATTACAAATTCGCGGCGATGACGAGATTGTTGAATTGATAGACGTCTGAGGTCTAATATGAAATTATGGGGTTATTAATTCTTCAAGCCCATAGTCAACCAGAAAGAGTTAAGAGGAGTTTGAAAGTCTTCCCATATCCCACCTTCATCGTTTATCTTTGGTATTGTCTTCTCTTCTCCTTCTCCTTTCTTCGTCCCTTCTTCATATCTCAACCTAGCCCAGCGCAACTCCGAATCTACCAATAGTAACTTTTAACACCAATGTAATCTACACTGGATCTCCCTCTTCCAGCTGATTGAAATATTAATATCTCGAGACTGAGTACTCAATTGTAATTAAGGATCCAGTAATGGCTGATTAAAGCCAGAAAATGATATGTTAAGGTATGTGAAAGAGTAAGGTCACCACTATAACCCAGATGCGATGAAGTGAACTACCATGCAAATGAAAAGAGGTTTAATGCTATGGTTGGATTCTAAGGATAGATTGAGATATCTGGACTCGGTGAACCGCAGAATTTATGCTTCATTGTTCTTCTCGCATCCCGCTATTCCAACAGCTGTCCACAACAAGGCTGACGTCGGCGACAGAGCTCATCCTCATTACTGGACGGAAAGGAGTTGTATCTTGAAATTCAGACCTTCACTATTAAAGGAGCCAAAATTCATTTGGACTCCATGACAATGGCGACGTTTCGTGATCGCTTTCGCTTCTGCCTATATTCCCCCGTCTCCAGAGTCAAATATTTGACCCAAGCCCCAATCAGGCAGGATTATACCTTTTTTATCACGACGAAATTGCTTGCTGGACGAATCAACGCGGATATGAAGATAATCGAATGAGCAAGCTGAACGATCGGGGCCCATAGCAACGTCAAAACTACATGCATGACCATCTTGGTTGGAGAGATGGTGCGCAGGTGCAAATCCTGAAGCACACTACCCACAGCGAGACCATGCATGTCAACGGCGATGTTCCACAAATTCCACAGATAGAACCAGTGCGACACCGTAATATTCCAACCGGTTGCAACGCCATACAGATTTCTGCACAATCTCAGCATGAGTGGTGATGTTCTACTAATCATAACTTACAAGCAGGCATAAACGAGAGGCCCCATCATGGGAATGACAAGTGCCGATTTGACCAGCCAGCTGTCTATTGACATGATACCTGTGTACCATCTCCTACGCTGCTGAATCAGGTCATGTACACTGATTGGAGGTTGTTCTCGCGCGATGGCGTGAATCCAACCGAATTTGAATCCGCGGCGGGCGGCCTTGGAGTTATCATATCAGCAGCCGACCCGGAAAATATTTGTTTGTGACTTACCTGGAATGCAAACCAAAAGTCCTCAGCTAGGCAATCTGTATCCCAAGTGACCGTGTTCTCCACAGCGCCGTTGATCAATATAAAGGAGCCGTGCATCCATCCAAGCAAAGGGCGTTTGAACAGGCGAAGGGGAAGCTGGAAACGGCCGAAGTCTTCTGCTACTCGAAAGACCTCAGCGGTCGTGAGGAATCCGCTCTTCCAATAATTGTGCGATGTGTAATATATAGTTCCCTGGTGGCAAGATCAGCTTCGAGCGTGCTTAATTTCTCAATTGGGCACATACCATGCCAACTTGTTCCGTTCCTCGCTCGATGAAATTCAGGCAGGCATTGACAAGATATTCATCAATCTCGGTCTCTTCGTCCAGATGAAGGACCCAGTCTTGATCTGATAATTTCCAGAGTTGTCGACACCATTCCAATGCCCGTCCTTTATACTTTGCGTGATCGGGTTGGAACGAGGCTGGGACCTTAACTATATTGACGAATCTGGGAAGTTTTGCTTTGAATCTGTCTTCGCAGGAGTCCAATATAACGTGGAAGCTAACACTGGATGACTGTTTGCAGAATCGCCACGGCTTGACGGAGTTCAGAACTGTCTATGGTACTTGGATAAGCTGAATGCGCATTTATACATCCTTCTTTTGTCATTACTTACCTGCACATTCGTTCCTTTGGTAACCAAACACACTTTGAGCTCGCGGAATACTCGCTTTTTGGTTGAGTCTGCTTGGGCAAAAGGCCGCATGGGCAGACAGAGACCCCATAAAATGGAGTAAGGGGGTAGTTGCGACAACAGAAACGGCGCATGAACAATCGCTATAACAGTACAATCTGTGGTCCACAAAACCCCTTGTTGGACGACCATGTCATATAGACCGGTCCATGTACTTACGCGGTATAAAGCTATATATTTTGAGAAATGTTCGTCTTCAATGCGGCTGTATGAGATGACGTACCTACGAATGAGATTGCCACGGTCAAAGGAAAGATGGCCCAATTGTAGCTAAGACGCTCGTAAAAGCGCTTTGTGTACTTCTCGGAAGAAATACGCTCTTCATAACTAATGTAGTTAGCATTTTTCTCGATATGGCTATCCATTGCTAAACTTGATATTTATCAGATGGGAGAAAATGGGGTGTTTTGCACAAAAGTAAGGACTTTGTACTCATTTGTATACCTAGATAGGTTAAGATAATCCCTGCTCTCCAGGGCTTCAATCACATCCGGTTCCTTTCGATCGCGACCATGGATATTGGTTGATATTGATATATGATACATTGGTTGAAATGACAGAGTTCCACGTGCCTCTTGGATAAACCATGGGACTAATAGTTAACTTTGGTCAAATCGCAAAAAGGTCGGGACAAGTAGCTATATTTAGTATTTGCTTATTGTGCTATTCGGGGTCAAATCAAAAAGTTGATACGGAAGTGCGTACAGCTGAATATATATACAGCGAATTTCTCGTGACAACGGCTACGCATGACCACATGAGGCCCCTTCAAACAATTTTATGATGATGAACCGCCAGATAAACTTCATGGGAATGCTAGGTGGCCTAGTACTCGCTCTCGCTCTGTGGTGGGTATCGAGAAGCCGCCTGCCCATTCAAACAACAGCTCGACTTGAGTCAATCAAAAACAAACGTGTGATATATGCCACCTACCTAAGTGCGCCAACAAAACCCAAGGCTCAGATCATCTCGGCATTCGCCAACTCGAGTGATCCGTATTTCGACGGTGCTCGAATTCTCACATACCAGATTCTCCACGCACCCGAGACTCGCACCAAGCTGAACATCCCATTTGTGGTTTTCGTTCATGAAAATGTCGATCAGGCGAAGAGAGAAGGGCTGAAGTCAGATGGTGCACAGGTGATAGAGTGGCCCGATTTCCGAGTCGACTGGATACGACCCAAGGATCACCGATGGGCGGATGTGGTGACTAAATTACGCCTGTGGGAGATGGTTCAGTACGATTTGATCGTCTTTTTGGATGGCGACTCTGTGATGACAAGATGTATTGATGATCTACTTACCGACCCAGACACTTGGCCTCAAAAATCTACATCTTCAACCTTCACCCATAACGGGGTGGAGATACCACTACCGGAGACATACATTGCAGCGGGATTGCCCCAACTCAGACAAAATCATTCGTCCCAGCCATCTCGTGTCCCGGAAGACTTTTGGGATTGGAATACTCTCAATTCTGGTTTCATGATCTTGCAACCATCGCTCACCATGTTTCGTTACTTCGAAGCTTTGGTGGCAGACGAGAACAGTTTTGACGCCAGCATAGGCGACCAGAGTGTTTTGAATGTCGCCCTTTCACGGTGGGGTCCTACTCCGTGGACTGCTGTGGACTTTTCCTGGAATATTCAATGGCCATGGCCGGATGATATCAAGGCTGGCTATGCTGTTCTCCATGAAAAATGGTGGGCTCCAACACATGGAACTTCGAGGGACTATTTAATGTCCTGGTATTGGCGGATGGTCGGCTATCATGATTCGGTCGATGAAGCACACGACGGATAAGAAAATAAGCTAGCCTGGATTGCCTTGTTGTCTTTTCAATCCTTGCTTGGTCTCTGGTGCTTATGGATTAGAAATGAATTGAGACGCCTGAGATGGACGAGAAGACCGCTCAAAAGTCGACAAAACCGAAGACTCTTTAAGATGACTCATGATAGCTGCCGGCACTTTAGCTTCTCGAGGTAGCAATCGTAATTATAATCAATAATTACAGTTAATGGGAAAATAAGACAGCGCAGCTGATGTATCTTATATCTATAGTATTCCTGAGCAAACACATTGATCGCAACCTTTCCGGTTATCTTCGTCGTCTTCGTTATCGATTTCATCTGTCGAGAGGGTGAACATTCATGTGATAGGTTGTCACTCGCTTATCGTTCATCATCGAGCGATGTTTATCAAATTGATCGGTAAGAAACGGTGTTAGAAGGCTGACCAAATAGTGTTTGGACTAACTAAGATCATTTTCATTCAAGTATGGGTTCTGATAACGGACTTCTATCGCCGTCTATAATCTAAAATGACGTTACCGCTTTAACAAAGGCGGAATGGTTCTTTCTATATGGAGTTGAAACGCCGATGTGTATCAACATAATTAAAGAAATCGAACGGACGGATAATATTACGGTCAAGACATTCATTGGTCCGGACGGAAATGTTCTGCTCCACAGGAGAAAGTTCAAGCCCACAAGCTTGGAAAGGGTGGTCTTTGGCGATGCTGTGAGTATCCACTCAACCTCATGCTACAAGCTCTTCTTTTGACGTTGGAAAGCTTGAACAGTGAATTAAAATTCCTATCCGCAGTCCGTGGACTGCACCACCAACACCGTTCGGACTCCTATTGGACGAGTCAGTGGATTGTAGTGCTTTGAGCACTTGCAGCCCCTTCTAAAGTACCCCACATACTTTCAGGGCGAGCAGATTCACGTCGCCTCATGGCCGATACTGTTCCCATCGGTTTGAAAAGGGCCCTTGTTTGACACCGTTGATGCATGCAAGATGGCTGCCCACGTATACGCAATCGAGGGTGGTTCCTTTGTTCTCTTCGTCTCTCATACGAAGGGAGAGAAGAGGCTGAAGTCTAATGGTCTGAGTATGGAGTCGGAGCCGACGGATAGCACTTCCCATGTATCCGCTATCGGATGTAGCTTCAGCCAGATTATCGCCCCCGAAGGTCGATCCCTAACGGGGCCCGTTGACCCTACCTTCGAGGGTCTCATCTATGCTGACCTGGAATTCAACGAGATGGATTATGCGAAAAACATCGTTGACCCTCTTGGGCAATGTTCAAGGACCGATATGTTTATTCTTCATGTTGATAACGAAGTCAAGCACCATTGTGTCTACAAGAGTGATGAGGAGCAGGACTACAATCATGCCTCTAGATTCCGTGATGTTGACTTGAAGGAAGCCGGCAGAAAGGGTAAGGCGCCCAATTATTAAAATAGAACTTACGTACAATGGATTGAATAAAATACTCGTCTTATACTCGTTTACTGTACAAAATCGGAAATTTTTCTATCAGACTGACCTCAAGAGGAGTAAATTAGTCCCAGTAACCGGAACATGGGATCCAAGTCACTTGATGTACACCTATACTCTATTTTGTTCATCTTTCTTCAAAACTGATCTACAGGTTTTGCCTGAAAAAGATTTTCTCTTCACCCCCTTTTCGTTCACTTCGTATTTTGATTAGTGGGCGTTTGTTCCAAGCACTTATTTTGAGATCTTTCGCAGACTTGCATCTTCTGGATATGCACATGTGCAGCATTGATATTTGACTATCCTCGTTTCCAATCCAGTAATTTACAGCCTCGCAAAACAATAAGCTCCTCTCAAGAATTATATGAGTTTTCCTCTTACTCCCTCTAACTCAATTCACAAGCGAGTGGATCAGCGACGAGAAAACGCGTCATTTAATTAGACTGTTCTCGGACCTTTACTTCGGACGCTAAACTACAGCTAATCGCTCTGTCAAATCATAGACCGAATTCTATGCCCACACCTGTACTGTCAACTCGAACACAATTGAAGATGAGTTCATGCCCCCGATTGGCTTTCGCCTTCTCCCAATTATGGTATAATGTCTTCTTATGTTGAAACCTTGGAATAGAGTGCGAAGGAGGCATCTCATCCATGGATCTGACTCATTCCCGCTATGTCCCTTCGCAAGTCTAGCCTATTCAAGGTTGTTAATAGTTGGGGGCCATTTCGATTTGGGAAATGCAGCCCAAAGGCTATTTCAGCATCAGCCTCCGCCTCTAGCGCCCATAAAAGAGCCTCCTTCCGCTGACAAAACCGTAATATCTGTTCGATTATACTCGTTACTTTTCCTCTACCGAGTCAATCAGTCAAGATGTCACGAAAAGTTGACAAAATGCCGATGCCGGCAGAGGTTAGGCGAATGAAAGTTATTGTTGCGAGTCCTAGCCGGTACGGGGAACATCGAGCAAACAGGTGGACTTCAACACTAACGGCGAATGTATCAGTTCGGGAACATTAGGACTCTACCAGGCAATGCGAATTTTGGGTTACAAAACATATCATCTTTATGAATGCATGCTCGTCCATGGCGTACCTCACATGAACGTTTTCGCGGAAGCGATTACTGCCCAGCACAACGATCTTTCTGGGTTGAAGAAGTTCAACAGGGCCGATTATGATAGATGGTTAGGAGACTACAACGTAAGTTGAACTTCATGATGAAATGGGATCGCAGCTCAGTTGCGTTATCGCAATCACGCAGTGTCTCGTCGAAGTCCCAGGCCTAATGAAGGCGGGCCTGCTTGAATCCTATGTGGGCGATCCTGATGTCAAATTCATCCTCACCGAGCGAGACCCAGACAAATGGGTCACTTCAGTCAATAAAACGGCAGGAGCTATGGTAGATATGCCGTATAAATTCCCTCTTTCTGTCTTGAAGTACTTCGATGCCACATTGTACCGATTTCTGACCTTGAACACCCTTGTTTACGGTGCTGTCTCTGGATTTACTAAACCCGGGGACCCGGACAATGCGGAAATTGTTCGCAAATATTACACCGACTAGTATGTATCAATTTTCGCTGTGTTGATTCCAGAATGCTCATACTGAAAATTATATCAGCATCAGAACGGCGAAACAAATTATCCCGGCTGATCGGCTATGCCTTATTCAACTTGAAGATGGGCTCGGCTGGGAGGAAATTTGCCCATTCCTAAATCTTCCAGTTCCAGAAGAAGCTTATCCCGGTCGCAACGAGCCTGAAAAGTTCCAGAAGATCGTCGAAGAATTCCTCGAGCCAAGGATAAAGGCGGCTGCGTTGAGACTAAGCGCTGTCGCTGTCCCAACAGTCGGCGTTCTTGCATGGGTTGCCGTCAAATATGGGCCCTCAGCTCTGGGAGTGTTGAGAAGGTTTTGGTGATGGTTGCAACGAGCGGGGGGTTCTGGAACAATAATACCGGTACTTAGTGCGTCTTTTAAACTGTGGGACAAGTTCTAGAAGAGGCGATATGAATGTTGAACACTTTGAAACGGATGTTGCGTGGCATTATGCAGGCACCTAAGTTAAGACATTTCGTCCGACACTTTGTCTGCTTAGGAACTGCAAGTGGCTTCACCAGTCGTTATCATAGGCCCCACCAACCAGCCAAGGTGCGGAGTCAAGTCGCTAGGAATCCCCATTCGGACATAAGCCGGAGGATCAACGACGAATAATTGGCCCCTCCATAGAAGTCCCCAACAATCTGCCTCGGCTTTTTCCGTACAAGAATCATGGAGGGAGCTACATAAAGCCTATTTTACAGTCCAGTTTCGTACTCTGAAAACAACATCCAAACATTAACATTACCTACAGCCATGGCGGAGATCAACATTACTGAAGATATCATCGGGGATATCAACGACCAAGTTGTTTTCATCACTGGTATGGTCTTTATACTTGCATCTGATAGCCAATTAATATATGTACTAAAAGCACAGGCGGCGCATCTGGCATCGGAAGAGCGACTGCTGAGCTCTGTCTCCAAAGGGGAGCGAACGTAGTCATTGGCGACCTGAACTCCTTGCCAGCTGATCTCCAGTCGTCGGAGAGGCTCAAATTCGTCCAGGTTGATGTTTGTAGCTGGGATAGCCTCCGCGATGCCTTCATTCAGATCGAAGCATGGTTTGGTCATATCGACCATGTATTTGCCAACGCAGGCGTTGGCCCGACGACAGATTTCTTGGATGACACCCTTGATGAGAATGGCCTACTAGCACCTCCCAATCTACGAACCATTAATGTCAATCTTTTGGGTGTCATTTCAACGGTTCGTTTGGCGTCGCACTACATCCAAAAGCACGCGAGTCACAGATCGGCTGGTGAATTGGGGAGTATCGTGGTTACGGCGTCTACGGCGTCATTCCAGAACTTCACTGCTGGCGATTATACAATCACCAAACATGGCGTGCTGGGGCTTGTTCGTGGCCTTCAATCTCAACTGGAAGGCAAGGTTCGATTGAATGCTGTTTCACCATCGTGGACTGATACTGGAATGGTTCCCAAAGACTTCATCGAGTCACTTGGTGCTGCCGTTCAGCCGCCGAAGGCTGTGGCTCTGAGTGTTGCTCTTTTGTTTGGCGATCAAAAGCGCCACAATGAAGTCATTTACAGTTGGGAGGGGAAATATCTGGAGGTTAACAAAGCTGATGGGGGGCTGCTCCAGGGCGCTGATAAAATTCTTGTAAATGCTGCCAATGAAGATCGTGTGATGGTGAAGCTCTTGGAGGCGGCAGCACTCGGACAGATTCGTATCTAGTTGTAAAATTAGCTGACCTCATGCACTATGATCATTGATATGGACTCAGTTTTGCACCCGACGCCACAACCCTCTCCACATGTCCTCGATACCTAAGCTTTCCCCGCCTTCTCCACATCTTGGCTGTAGTACATGATTCATGTTAGCCGATTTAGCAGAAGACCTCGGTAATCACCTCCAGTGGCAATTCAATCCTGCTCCTTAACCAGATCTATCTCAGTACACGGCGTCAGGAAATTTACCACCCCCATTCATTATGACAGGCTTTCCCTTGCAGTACCCTTCCAATCGTGAATTGACTGGCGGGGATCTGCTGGCACAATGCTTAAAGTATGCAGGTGTTGAAGTCGCATTTGGCCTTCATGGCGGACATCTGGACGCATTCCTGATGGGCTGTGACACGGTCGGCATTCGTCTCATCGACACTAGACATGAGACAGTCGCCGTGCAAGCCGCGGAGGGATATTCGCGAATTAGCATGAAACTGGGTGTTTGCTTCGTCACCGCAAACAGTGGGTTAGTGAATAGGTACTAGATACAGTAAGCCATTCAACGCAGCTGAACGAGGACTAGGTTTTCCAACGGGTTTCCTGGTTTGGCAACGGCATACGCCGATCGAAGTCCAATTTTGTGCATCACATCATCGCCGCCACTCCGAGACACAGAAAATAATTCGCTCCAAGGCTCAATCGATCAAGTTGTGGCAGCTCGCCCTGTCACGAAATTCGCTCACAGGGTCGTGGCACCTGAGGAATGTCCGAGAATTATATCACATGCGATCCGAGTCGCAGTGTCGGGAGCTCCAGGTAAAATGAAACATGCACATTGACAAACTAAACGCTGATCTGGGTTAATCAAGGACCCGTTCTGTTGGACTTTCCCATCGATGTACTGTTCTCGCCAATCCAGCCCAAGCTGATCGCGTGGGGATCCATCGCTTCGCCGTTTTTGTTCCGCCCAGGTCCCCATGAAGGCGCCGTCAAAGCAGCTGCGGAACTTTTGGCATCTTCAAAGCGACCTGTGATCATAACCGGCACAGGCGCAAAGCATCCCAATGTAAGAATAGTTTCAAGATTTGAGTAAGCTGCTGATCATCTTTTAGACACGCAACGCCATCAACCAATTTGCCGAAACTTGCGGTATCCCCATTTTCAACACATCCAAGTATGCATCCTTCACGCCAAAGTCGCCAATGCTGTCGCAGGGAACAGCCGGAGCCTTAGCAAAGCTTCCGTTGCTGCAATTACAAAGGCCAGACCTGATCATTCTTCTGGGAGCGCGTACTGGAATGTTCCTTGGCGGCCGGAGTGGAGCCATTATTCCAAGTGAAGGATGCAAATTGCTGCAGGTGGACTGTGATGGAAGTGAAATTGGCCGCACTTTGCCTGTTGACCTGGGCATAATATCCGATATAGATTCCTTCGTTACTGCGATGAACTCGAAAGTCACAACTGTCTTTCAAAAGAGGGTCGACAAGTCCTGGGTGCAATCTGTTCTTGGTCTCGCATTTTTAGAATCCGCATTCGAGAAGGAACCTGAGCAAACATCCTCTGGGGCTCTTCATCCATACCATGCGTTGAAGCAGGTCATGTCCGCCATCGAGCCTGGAAGCATCATAGTCCTTGACGGTGGCGAAGCATCTGCCTGGGCAGCCGACCTTGCTGCCCACTCGCATCCGAGTGTTGTGCTCACATCTACGGGATATCTTGGCTTCTTGGGTAATGGATTCGGATATTCGTTGGGGTGTGCTATTGCGGATCCTGAGCGCAAAGTTGTCAATATACAAGGAGATGGCTCATCCGGCTTCCATTTGATGGAGCTAGATACTTACAAGAGGTTTAAACTGAACATCATGACGGTTATTGTCAACAACTCCAGCTGGGGCATGAGTTCCAACGGTCAGGACATTGTGTATGGATCGAAGAATCCGGCTCGACTTGCCAGTTCGCTCAACCCTGCAACCGAGTACGACGTGGTGGCTCGGGGATTGCAGAACGCAGCCGCCAAGATCACGCGCATTTCCGAGATCAAAACTATAGTCAATAAGCTTCAGGCTGAGCCTGGACCGAGTTGTATCAACCTGGTTGTTGATCGAAAGCCGGTGCATCCTATCACCACGATTATGGTTGGTTTGACCGACGATCCTCATTCAGTGGTGGTGCCGTACTATGACAATGTTCCCCGAGCATATCATAAACTGTAGTCTCAGAGACTCCAGTCTTGTTCGTGTGCTTTTGCAGTCCGGCTATTATGGGGTTCATTATATATCTCGAAGAGCGTGCGTATCATGTTGTGTTATCTTGTCACTCATTGGGATTTTATATCAATCGACAGTATCAATCCTTGACGCTTTGTCCGACGCATAGATGATGGTCAAGTTGATATGCATGATTGAGGTTGCCTGAAAGTGTCATTGAAAGATGTCAAGAGAACTATATCAGTGTGACAGTGAATAACTGAAGACGTAAGACTTCGTATTTCTCATTCAGAGGGGATAATGCATTGTTTGTTAAATGTTCCTTTGTTTGGGGTATCATAAATGCAACGCCTTCTTTCACCTGGCCAGCTAGAGGATGCCACATACCTCTATCCTTCGGCATATATTCTTTTTGGGTCGTCGATTAGTGATTGTTGTTTGATATACATATATATTAAAACTTTTGATGACAAACTCCGGAGGCCTCTTACAATTCAACACTTGCTCACACCGAACTCACCGACAGTATATCACCTATATCGGTTTACTGTCTCAATAAACCACTACCCCTGACGAGTGGCATCAACTTTAGAGGTTGTGCCTCACAGTTTCAGAACACGAATGACCATAATCTCGCTCAGCTGTGCTTGCCATGAAGTCTTCCAATTAGACACCACGTTTCAGGCTCTATTCTCTCGGTCATGTTGGTCCCGGCGCACAAGTCCCAGATCTTAGTCACCTGTTGCGAGAAATCAGGTTCCGCTGATATCTCCCCCGCCCATTGAGAGTAGTGAAGTGCTGGAGGTATCTTTCTGGAAGCGTTGATTCGAAAAGTAAGATACTTCTTACAGCCAGATCGTATGAATTTAACCAGATACACTCCGCCAGGTCGCGAAGCAAGATATCATGTGAAAGGGATCACCGCTCGGGACTCAAAACATTTTGCAGCAAACTTGCTTTTACAATGGCCACTATACACGACTTTTTTTGCGCAGGACAAAAAGGAAGTGCTATAATGGCTTCGAGGAACACATCATGGACATATATTCCCTTAAACTGAAGCAATTGTGGTCTCGCCGAGCTCGCGCATGAACTCCTAGAGATAGGAGAATGTCGCACTGCATAAGTTGATGGGAACAGTCAGATCGAGGAAGGAAGAAGGGGGTAAGCAGGGAGCCTTAGTCCTAATGTTCGTCTTTGTGACCTAGGTAATTTAGGCTTTAGATCAAACCATCTCCCTCGTTAGAACTATTTGAATAGCTATCTAGCGTCTTTCAATATTCCAAGGATGATGCTTAGCAAGGAGGGTCGGTAGGGTAGCCACAATTTACACTTATAGGCCATAATGCCGTGGTAGAGGGGTCTATAAGGTAGGCCCCTTTCAGCTATTGTACAATACTGTCACCATGTAGCTCAAAACCCTGTTGGCAAATTATCGGCGCAACTGGCTTGGGATTTTCAGTATGCATCGTGCATCGTGCATACGTTACGTGGGCTCATTATGACCATGCCGAGCTAACGGGCGTGATTTTAACCGAGTTGGCCTTTCGAGAAGTGCATCATGTTCCAGTCACTGAAAAGACAGTGGCATACACTCGATCTCCTAGATCTGCTCTGCAAAGCTCTTGAATCCACCAAGCCAAGCAGAGAATTGGAGCGACGAAGATCCATTCCCTCTTGCAGTGCTAAAACCATCCTTGGTGATTGGAGTGCTTGGAGACTCTAAATCTAAAATCGGCCGCTTATGATACGTTTTGCAAGTTGTTGCCCAGAATACAAAGACTGCATACTTTTGTTATCTGGGGACAGAGATTGATAGGTAAACAAACTGTCAGGTTTTTCATAGTTATATAATTGGTATTCGGCATAGAATTTGCGTTTTAGATTGGGTCGCTTGACTTTATTAATGATTTGGAATTCCCCAAAGTACAATCTACAAACACTAAACGATTCTCATTGGCTAGCAAACGTCTTCATTTACTTAGACACCACAGTCAAATTCTGTACAACACCAGAATCTAAGATAAGAAAAGAACCTGTTTAAGACTTAAAAGGAAAAAGGAGTCTTCAAATTCCTCTTGTGCATGACAAAGGGTATTAAATATACAAAATATTGAAAATTCCCAACAGAGCTCACATAGAAACTCACCATAGAACCACTTTCCCCAGAGAATTCGGCATAAAATCATAATCTAAGAAGTAAGAGCAGACTTAATAATGTTTAGGCCAATCTCCTTTAACGCAGCAGCAACATCCAACTTGACTGTCAACTTGTTCGCCGACAAAGCCTTAGTGAAATACGGCAGGTCTTGGCCATTGTAGGTGCTCGAGTTTCCGGTGATGTCAAATGGTATGATTCCATCTTTATATGGACTGTTGCTTGATGAGAGGAGACCGATGATGGCGGATTGGTCAACCTTTGCGAGCATGGGGATGGTATTTTTGCCTGGCTTTAAGACTAGGTTGTTGAGGTAGGTTGTACCCATGGCTTTTCCATCGACCGAGAGGGCCATAGACAGGTTTCCCTGTTTTTATTAGTATGGTAGTTCTAGCATGGATGGGCGGTTGGAAATACCATGGTGATTGTCATGACAGAAGGGTTGGGGATCATGACTGTGCCGTTCATGTCGTATCCGTTCACTGGGGGGATCATAATGTGGAATTCGGGTACAGCGAAACCCTCCAATTTATTCAGTCCTGTTCTTGGTCAGCGTCTCATACATCCACAATGATCACATCCAACACATACCCTTCATAACAACTGTCTTGTTATAGGTTACCGTAGTCTGCGGCAACGCCCCCTCCTTCAACCCAGGCCTTCCATAAATATTCAACGAAACTTCCTCGTTCATCATAACAGCCGTGGTATAGTCAGCAAACGCATCAGAATCGCTAAGAGCGACCTTCTGCATGACGTGAATCTCCGCACCATCATTAGATATCACGCCCGGGACAGTAACGGTGGTGAAAGGAGCGGCCGCGCCGGCCAGCGAGACCGCAGCCTCAAATGCGTAGATCTGCGGGTGATACGAGCTCTTCGAGCCGAGCACTTGTGTTTGGTTGAGCTGGAAGGAGTCGGCCGTTGGATCGCTGATGACCATCTGCTTGATGTCGAGGGTTGAGTCGTTAACGGCATCTTGCGCGATGTTGGGATAGGCGACGTAAACGCTGGAAGGGTCAGTTGTTGGTTTTGTGCGCAGTTGGCGGGTTGGAGGTACTCACACTGGTAGCGAAATGATCAAGACGGAAAGCACGAAGATGATCAAGTGCACCCACCACCATTTCTTGAAGTGGGCAGCTACTCTTGCGCCGAAGCTCTGCTTCTCCGGCGTGGGGATGATGGTCTCTTCTTCCACGACTGAGGTCTTCGTAGTGGACATCTTATCAGACTGGGATAATTGTTAGTGGGGAGAAGGATTGGGATTGGTATTCTACACATACCAAGTATCGGACCACAGTGAAGAAGATCGAAGAAAATAAACACAATAAAAGAGTGAGACTGGTACAACGCACCGCCTCAGAAAATGAGGTGTGGGTAGTACCTTTATAATAAATCGGGCTGCATGTCCGAAGTATCAAGTCAAAATTGGTTCAAAAGCAAGCCGGGAATAAGCTAATGTTTTAACACATGTCAAAATGTTAAGAAAAAAGCAAAAAGGGGCAATGAATATGCAGGAAATGTAGGCCAATACGCCTTTGTGGCTTATGGCGGAAGACAGTCCCATGATTTCCAAGGTTTGAACTAGTATAGTTGGTCCCTGATTCAATATGTAAGCAATATAGTACACTACTCTACTAGGCACTAGGTATACAACAGACAAGACAAGACAGAGCATGGACACTGTTTAGCGTCTGGGGAACTCCGGATTTACATTGCGGAGAAGACAAGATCTGGGGTTCAAAGGATCGCGATTTGTCAATGTTTCATGATGGCAATTATTCCATACTCAACGAGGTTAAGTACGACCATATGAAAGAGAATGGACCGAGGTGTTTACAAGGTAATAATCAGCGCCAATTTCCAATTGAAATGAGATTGAGCATAGGGCGTCTCTTCTAGTATTATCTGTGCAACGCCAGAGATTTGGGGCGAAATCTCATTTACTTTAGGGCAAGTCGACCATGATTGTATGGTTACATTGAGCCCTCGCTGCATGAACCGATACATGATTGGACAACTGTGAAACTAGCACTGTATGGCGTTTTGCCAAGAACCCTAAATGCAAGGGTGAGTCCCGTATTAAGAGGGTTAGAAATGGGGAATGGCTATCAGGTGAATCCAGAGTGTGGCGTTAATCTAAACCAAAGAACACCATTATCTTTTAGGTAAAATGTCAAGCCCGGATTGGCGATCTAGACAAGTTTAGGTCAATCCTCCGCGTTGGCAATTGGCAATGAGGGGCCAAAAGCCGGGGTATGCGGGAGTATGCGGGTCAGGTGTTCTTTTGATCTAGTATTAGGTTTTCTAAAAAGGTTTTTGATATACGATTAGTGTACGCAATTTAAGCGAAGATCCGCATGTCCGCAAGGGCTAGTCAAAGGGCAAACTACAGATCAACGCTGTCTTGATTCTGTCATGATATTCATCGCAATATGCGTGCGGAAATAAGCTAAGTAGAATTCCAGGATTGTCCGGGAAAGAGGAATGAAGTCCAAGTATGACCAAGAAGAGAAATGAAAGAAGACTGCCAGAAAGAAAAAAAAAAAGGCAAAAATGTGGCAAAATTGATGGGAGAAATAAAGGGTATCCACGAAGAATTGAAGTATTAAGCCTGCGAAACACTGTGACCAGTGCTCGAAAACAGCTGCCCGGCGGCTTTGGAAAATTGGAAACAAAAAATAAGGACGAGAAAAGAAGTGAAAAGAAATAAATCAGACATGGGAAATGGAAAGGAGTGAGTGTAAGAATGCAAATGACAAGGGCCATAGCAAAACAAAAATCGAACAATGTTGGCTCAGAACGCTCCAAACACATTGCACAATGCACAAAATGGTTTGAAGCAGAAGAAAGAAAACACGAAAACAAAAATGAAAGGCAATCTATGCCTCGTGGACGATGGATTTCTTGCGTTGGAAGATGCTCCGAGTGCGAGATTTACTCCTGGGCTTCTTATCCTTCTCTTTCTCTCCGCTGGCATTTCGGCCACGAGGGCGAGACTCCTTAGCCTCAGCCTCAGCCATATATTTATCCTTGTAGATCCTAGCCTAACCGTCAGTAAAAAGCCCCAACAAAGCAGCAAAAAGAAACATACCAGCTATTCCCAACCATACTCATACCCTTGGACTCGGCCTGTCGATAGAAGCGAGCAGCCTTCTTCATATCCTTCTTACAGCCAACACCCTCAGCATAACAGAAGCCCGCCTCAGCCATGGCATCAACATCGCCCCACTGCCCAGCAATCTCGAAACAGCGCAACGCAAGCGATTTATCCTGCTCGATACCCCAGCCATTGAGATAACTCACGCCGAGCTCGTAGATACTGAGTGCGAACTGCGCCCTGTAAGCCTTCTGCAACTCCTTCGCCTTGGAAGCACCAGGTGCATCAGGATTTGCCAACATTTCCAACCCGACTGAGTCCACAGCCTTGCGTAACCACCTGACACCTTCTTTCTCATTGGATCGCATGCCCCAGCCGTGTCGGCAGGCCAGCGCATACAGTAACATGCCGGTTGGGTGGTCTTGTTTTGCGGCTACGCGCAGGTGGTAGGTTGATTCGCTGAGGGATCCTCGTTCGTGGCATTCAATGCCCTTCGCAACGTGGTCGTCGGCTGTGAGGCCGGAGGCTGTTACTGGTGCGGTGGCGGTTTGAGGTCGCACGGTGCTGGCGGAGTCGGCTGATGAGACCGTTTCGTCTTTCTCTTGTCGGGCACTTTCCGCTGAGCGTCGTAGGGCCGGATCTGACGGTGTTGGCGTGGATGGGATGGGTGGGGGTTTGAGTGCTTTTTCCGATTTGGGGGTTTGGGGTTGAGGAAGTTGGGTTGGTGGAGGAGACTGGGGTGTGGGTGCAGGGTGTGAGGCTGGCACTTCGTGCATCGAGTGAGGCTTAGGTGAATGTTGCACCCCACGACGCGGAGTAGGAGACGGTGTTCGCGCCGTTCTTTGCGGTTCCTCTGAATGCCGGGGAGGCGTCTTTTCAAACAGTGGCTCTGCCCACTCAAAATGGGGCGTTTGCAAGCCGGCAAAGACAATAGAGTCTCTTGACAAGAAGCGCCCACGGGGAAGCGCATAACTGGCGTAGGTGTAAGACGACACGGCGGAGGACGGATCGCCTTCATTGGGCTGACAGGCGGCAGCTTCTTCGGTTGAAAGTGGAAGTATGAGTGGAGTCGGCTTGCTTCGGCGCTGCATCTGGTTCGAGAGAGGAGTCATGGATGATTCTGTGGGTGTCGAAGCTCCAGGTGCGGATAAACTCGTGCTCGAGCGACTCAATGGCCGAGAGAAGTTAAATGAAGGACGGGGTAGATGATGCGCTCCCGTGGCCGAGGTCTCCGAGCTCATAGATGGTGATCGGGGGTGTGGTCGTGCGGGGAAGTTCGACATGGGAGAATATGGCAGCGACACTGCGCTTCCGGAAGACAGTTTCCGGGGTTTGGAGAACGTGGAACCGCCATTTGAGCTACTGTAGTCGTCGTCGGAACTCTCGGCGTTTGTGGTCTTTGCACTGCTGGATGGGCGCGAACGGGGCGACACAGGGGGTGCCAAAGTCCGTGGGATGTGAAGTCGTGAAGTCGACGAGTCGGTCGATGAACCTCGTGGCTCAGTCAGCGCGACTCCCACAGGAGGTTGTGCTCCACTAGAGAGCGACACCGCATCCTCGGGAGACTGGGAGCGGGGGATCCCATACGACTCCCGGCTATCTCCAACCATGGTCGTCCGGGGTGTGGTATTATCATCATCATCATCATCGTAGAAACTAGCCTCGGTGCTAGCCGTGGAGACGGAACTAAATCGAGGGTGTTCGGACACAGGGCGGTATTTGGGTTCTTCGAGCTCGGGGAGCCCTTTCTGTGTAGGCTGGCGGGTGAGCTCTGTAGGTTGGTGGGAGAATTGAGGGCGGGATTCGGAATCGGCAGAGGACTTGGATCGGTAGAAGTTTGGGCGGCCTTGTGACAGCGATCGAGCGACACTCGAGGGCGGCAGCCGACTCATGCGGCGGTCTCCGCGTCGAGACTCATCGAGTTGGCGGGCGAGGAATCGGCCTTGGGCGGCGAATGCGTCGAGGGGTGAAAGTGCGGGAGGAACTTCACCGTCGAAATGCGCGACCCGCGGTGATGGCATGCCGCTCCGGAAGGTGTCATGAGACACAGAGCGACAGTCTTCCAGTTTCCCTCTCATGTGCATGGTGATAATATGCAATCACAGACTATGTCTGTTCCCCGTTTGAAGTTTGGTATTGCTCATCCAGAGTCGGTGGAATCTTTGGAGAATTGCGCAGGAAGCATCGGAGTAAACTGTGTAGTTGTTCTGAGACAAGACAAAAGATTCGGGCGGGGAGCAAAATATTGTTGCCAAAGGAATGACAGCCCTACCGATGTGAGGCAAGGGACGAGAGATTCAAGACGTCAACATAAAAAGAGGGAGAAAGGAGAGAGAGAGAGAAAAACGGGAGGCCCTGACGATCACAATGCAACAGACATGACAACGTAGCCCCGTGCACTAAAAAAGAACTCGGACTCCACTGAGAGACGTTTAGATCGTCTCAGGGGGGAGAAGAAGAGGAGGTACTCCAGCTTCAGGGGGTCGCCAAGAATAACACAGCATCCATTGACGCCATAAAAGATACTTGGACGTTATAATTGGTTTATAGTCCAACCATGACTTAAATATTTGTCGACTATTGTCTTTGGACTCTCACTTTCTCACGTATCGGAGTGTTTTGTTTTGACCCGCAATCTTCTAGAATTGTATTCTGACACTGCTCTCCCCACACGGTTTCATATATGATTCCTTGCTGCAATACTTGCAATAGTGCATTACTACTACATTGCTTTACTAAAAATTGGAATTATACTATGAAATGGCTTAACACTATGGGGAACTGATCGTATCTCATAAAAAAAAGTGAAGTGAAGTATATAACCGTGTTAGAATGGCCACTAATAGTAAATATCGCTTCTTCTGACCATATTCTATTCTAGGGCTTACAACTGAACGAATGTCTTACAATTGATAGTTACCATTTACTAGTTGACTATACTAAGCGACCTTTGATTTAAATATCGTAACAATTATTATGACTCCCTCGTCTTTACTCCTGTTGCCACGGTTTTCAATTCCGCTAACACACTCAAAATACATTTCGAAGTGGAGCCTTCAAAGGAGAACACTTCTATGGGCAATAACGTTCTAGCCCTCTGGCAAAACTTCATCGACACTAACCGTCGTTAGTCGAAAATCCGAAATCGAAGACAAACAAAAACATAGCACACCGCTTTCGGGAAGTGTACCACGGTTAAAAAGGTTGTTCCATGTGCGTCGCAGACTTGGATCACCAATTGTATGCAGTCGAGTGGATCACCGAATATCAATTTCTGAATTTGGAATTGCAGAATCCATCTCCATGAATGGGCATTATGATGTTTCAGACTACTTTATCATTGTATAATATAAATACTGTATGACTCTACTGTATCCCTAATCCTGAATAAACACAAGCTTTGACAAAATCGAATTCCTTGGTTTCCACGTCCCTATCCGGACTACCCTCGATCTTCAAAGACGTAAGCCGTCTCCCGTCAAATGTCTTGGTCCAAACGTCGATCACCGCAGTCCAATCTCAGATTACCTTGTAAACTAGGCTATAGATTTCGATCTCGGAGTCAAAGTTCGTCAATTGAGTCCGAAAAACAACAGGCCTCTGATTCACAGCTTAAATCCAAACCCAACAACCGTTTCCGGTGCCTAAAGCCGGCGCTTGTGGAGACCTCGTGTCTAAAAACGGAACTAAAAGCGAAAGATTATGCACTACGACGCTCTACAACGTAACCGAGCCTTACAACGAGGCAAAGCTTGCGTGCCCAAATGGTATACCGTCGGTAAGAAAAGTCAGACAAGACCCAGCGACTAAAAATGCAAGTTCCATCCAGAACCAAAAGCTGTGCTACATATAGGGCTGAATTTCCTTTCTTTTTGCTCCTCCTGCAGCGCTGCAGCCCAGACACGCGATGCGTTGCATCCCACTAACCACGCTGTTCGGAGTCGACACTAACACGCTCCCATTCGTGACTTCCTGGCTCTTACCTCCCGCCATTCTTGCTGCTCTGCGCGGCCTGATCGCAACTTACATTTTCACTACGATATTTTTCTTCTGGGGCTGGTATGGCACACATGACGACACAGCTGCTATCGGGCAGTCGTTCAGCTTCTTCACTTGGCTGACATACTGGGGGCTGGGCTTTTACATGTTATTCGCTGCTATCCATACCGCTTACTATGCGCGAACGGGTCGCTCACTACTTGACCGGTGGCCACGGGCATTGCGTGGGCTGCACAGCTTGCTGTACTCCAGCATTACGACCTACCCATTTCTCGTGACAATTGTATTCTGGGGCATTCTTTTCCGTCCCCCTTGGTACTCGGTTACATTTACTGGTTGGCAAAATGTACGTGTTGGTTTCTTTATACTCCCGCGCCGATCAATCTGAAACGCACATCTGTGATCCATCAACTCCACCACTTTGTTTGCATAGAACCGTTCCAAACACAACTCTAATCTAAAAACAGATCTCCCAACACGGTCTCAATTCCCTGTACGCCCTGCTCGAAATTATCTTTCCAGCCACAAAACCCCACCCCTGGATCGCCCTTCCATTCCTAATTCTCGGACTACTGTTCTACCTCTGCGTCGCATACATAACCTACCACACGGAAGGATTTTACCCCTACTCATTCCTGGATGTCGGCGACCACGGGCAGAATAGCGCCAAAGTCACTGGCTACTGTTTCGGCGTTCTGGCCGCCATCCTGGTCATTTTCCTCATTTCATGGGCGGTGATTCGACTGCGCTATTGGCTGACGGGTGATAAAGTTAAGAGAGCGAGACGGGATCCGCTGCGCGTGAATGAGACTGGTGTTTTGGGCGGAGAATCGGGTGAAATAAAGGGTGTCTCGGTTTGATAATTCATTGATTTGTTCAATCGAGATATGGGTTATGCGCCATATGGATCATTTGTGATCTCACTAACCTGATGCTAATTGTTTACGAGAACACGTCGATATGTGACAGTAATACGAATAATTGATTACCCTGATCCTGCAGAACTCTTTTTCTGAATAGTGTAGTGAGGTTGAATGTGATATGTAGCATCCTTTGTGAGCGGCTGTTCGTGTCAAGCATCTGACAGGCCGATAATGTACGTAAGTCGTATTCATTAGAGTTGTAAGCAAAGTTCAGTACGAAGGTGCATAGCAGCCGAGGGTCGGATCTGATTATTTTTACGATTGCTGTTTACCTCTTGTTTACCTCTTGTTCTTTTCATTTACCTCTTACTTTCTTACCTTTTGTTTACCTTTTACGTCGTCTTTACTATAGTCTCTTTTGTGCAATTTGAAGTATCTTAAGTAATTCAACCCGACCCCTGGCCGCTGCGTACCTTCGCAGGTCTTACTCTCCCGTAAATAAATCGACTAGCTATGCATCCTACGTCTAACTCACTCTGCCCAAAAACAGCTGATATATGCGATTGAGATTGGAGAGGAAGCGAAACTTATCATCTGTACAAAAGGTTGTGCAAGAAAAAAAAAGGCAGAATCTTACCAACATCCAAAGATAGCGTCGCAATTCGGTCTTGTCTCTACAATGGCTCTTAAGACAACTTGAAGTTCCTAGTCCTGTTCGAGGTTGAGCTCCGCTTTACAAGATGTAAAAAGGTCAAGAACTGTGACCCCGTCTCGGCAATCTGATATTCGCTTCTATCCTGGCGCTGGTGGATTGAGAGGAGCTTCCCCCGCACAACTCAATCAATCGCTCTTCCTCTCACAATATAGGGAACTCACATCCCATTTTGCTCACAATAAAGAAGCATTCCGGATTTCTGCCGGTGAATTCGCATACGACCAGCTCATCTTCGAGTTGCTCTTATTTGATCTCAGTTCGTGGCATTTGTTTCCTCTTTCAAGATTCTACAGTCCCGCAATACATCGGTGGTCTTCAATACCGGCCAAGGGTTCGATAGACCCATTTTATGCTTCAAATAAGGAGCCAGATCTCTTTCTCTGCAGCGGTTACGACCGGCCTCCGTCTTTCATTATAGGGTCTAGATGGAGCGAATTTTGGAATGTTTTGATGGTCGAGATGAACCATTTGAATTGGAGACGTTCGCGCTGTCACCATTCTGAAGTGGAACCTCAACCTTCGAACAAGACCTTGTGGTCATTGAACCCAAAAGAACAAGGAGGCACGGGCACAGTGACTATCCAAGCCTTAGGGTACATGGGTAAGTCTATCAAATCTGCGCTAACCTTGAGAATTCATAGCTAACCATAAGCATAGTCAGATTATCGATGAGTGTATTTCACATGGACAAGTCGGACTCCAAAAAACAAGCCAGAAACCTGACAATTGGGAGATACGTATCGATTATTTGGGATGCGAGCTCCCTTCTAACGACTACTATTGATTAATCTGTGGCTTTTGGATCTGTCATGTATTTACCAACAGCACAAGGCCTCCTGCTATGGTAGAAGTACCATAGTCTATAGGGTGTCGACAAATGGTCGAGATTTCGTTTTTCTCCGCATCGATGGAGACAGAGGTATAGTAACGAAACCTGGTGGGCGGTCTTATCGAAGTCTATGTCCGAGATAAAAACGGCATACCAGTAAAGTGTTAACGAGAAGTACGGAGTATGTTCAAAATCTCGAGTTTTATTGGCTGATTTACTAACGGCGTTTAGGGGGGCCTTCGACAATTCTTATAAGCTATGACACGTCGCCAGACTTTATAGAGGGGATATAGTTCGATATAGCATAGTATGAAGAATCGATTAGCTTGATCCTGCAGTCTTGTCAAAACACACCTTCGCCGTTTGACTCGTCATCGGATTTTGGTTCGGTTTTTCATTGTCTTGCTGCTTCAGCTAGCTGATCGTGGATCTAAGGGTGAGTTGTGTCCTTCTGGTTGGACGTTTAGCCTATCGTCCGATTGGTTCTGGGTGTCGCTTTCGTTTTCATGTTGTGTATTGTTGTTGTATTGAATATTTATGTAGCCTTCTTTATTTCTGCCGAGTACGGTGTTGTAGTCGAGCAAAATAGCTTCGGTTGTTGTTCGTGGTAGAATGAGTCAGCTGAAGTGGCTTTTTTAGTAAATTTTGGATAACTAGTTGTAACTAGTACAAAGATCATTTTGTTTTGAAGCAAAGTAATAATCATCAAACCAAAAAGGCTAAATGACATTAAGAGCGAAGAGTATTTCTAAAAAATAATTATATACAGGAAAGTAGGCAAAGCGAGAACTTTTTCTAGAGAAAGGTGTAAAAAGGGGGCGCCAAATATAGCACACCCTAAACTCTCTCTCTCAGTTAGTTTCACTGCCACTACCACTGCCACTCAGAGTGTCAGAAGCATTCCCGTTCCCACTGCGGTAACCCATCATCAGTGCCACGAGTCCACTAGGTACCCAAGCACCAATCAAGCTGTACGAGCGAGCACCTCGGCCCACGTACATGACAGACTTCTTCGAGGTCTTCCGGCCGAACATGTCCCGCGAATTAGGCTCCAGCGCATCCAAAATAGCATAGTGGAGCTTGCGCGCCGGCGAGCCGCGCACTGTGCCGGGACCCGCAGAGGCAACGGGACGCTGCTCAACGCTGTTGAGATACTGGGAGGCGTATAGGGCTCGCTGCTGAGTGCTCCAGGCGAGAACCTCTGTACCTGCAATTTGACTCTGGCCGGTGCGGTATGTAGCGCCCAAGTCGATGTTGCCGAGGCGCAGCTCGACCACGTTCACGTTGCCGTGCTCGAGGAGACGGAGCTCTTGTCGGAGAGAATCTGCGAAGCCTGAAATTGCCCGCGTGGTGGCTACTTCTGGTCCGGCGAAGGGCGCGGAGAGGGATGATGAGATTGAGGGGTAGGCGAAGACGAGGGTGCTGCTGTTGTTGCGGAGAGTTAGGAGGGGAAGAAAGACTTGTGCTGTGAGGATAGGTGAGAGTATGCGGGTGTTGACTGTGTCAGCCCATGAGGATGGTGGGATTGTTGCGACTGGGCCTGCGCTGTAGTTTGGTGATGGGACCACGATCACGCCGCTCAGTTGACAGGTGTGCGGGGCCACGCCGGCGACAGGAGACTGTGGTTGGGTGATGAGGGAGCGAATTTCTTGCAATGAGGGGTGAATGTCGGAGGGTGAAGAGGCAGTCTAGTCCAGCAAGTCAGTTTGGTGGCTTATCGGACGCGGATGGAGACTTACAGTTGTGAGGTCCAACCAAAGAGCCTTGATGTCGACCCGGTTTTCGGACTTGACGATATGCTCTTCATCGGCGCAAGACACAGTCACATATACAATGTATCCTCGGCGTTCCAAATCCGTCGCAATAGCTCTGGTCATCGGCTCGTGGGGTGATCCGGCAACAACTATGCGCAGTATTAGTCCTCAGATCAAGGCGCAACCTAACTGGGTGCAATGACACATACCCACAATCTCTTTTCTTCCACCGTTGCTCGCCCTTCTAGCTTTTCTGCGCTTTCCATGCAGCTTCTTGCTTCCATAGTACAAGACAACGCCTGTTCCGACAAATGCAAGCATTGCCGCCGTCCATGCTCGATTCCTAGCAATCCAGTTTTGCAATCGATTCGTCAGGCCTTGCGGCCGACCTCTCGTGCTGAGACGAGCCGGACGAATAGTAGAAGGTAGCCATGACTGCTGCGCCAGTGTGTCCTTGATCGCGCTCGCGGCGTGGTCGACTGAGCGGTCGATCGAGTCAGCGACCTCCAGGGAATACCGCCTTACGTCATGGGGTATCGACGCAAGCTGAACAGAAGTATCAGCGCTGAATGGGGGATATCATCATTTTGTCGGAATACTCACGTAGTCGAAAAAGAACTGATCATCACTCGTCATCTTGTTTATTTTGCGAGAGAAAATAAAGCGCAAAGTTCAAAGTTCGATAAGATTCGACACTGCACTGATAAAGCCACTATCGGGGTCACATGAGCCCTCTGTATAAGAGATGGCCGAGGAAATTTTGTATAGAATGGAGGCTACTTTGGACATATTTTACTGCTCTCTGCGGTCTGTTGCTTTTCTGCGGATTAGAGCAGCGAAAAAAAAATGTTGCTTTTGTCAATATTGAATTCCAAGGTTGTTCCTGGTTATTAAATATATACGGACATTTTCCATCTGAGCCTGCAGTCCAAAACTTAAAGACCAGTCAAGAACCATAGAATCGAGAGCTTTTTGATTGATGCATTGATCAAACATATCAACAGAAAATGAGAATTCCTCTTATATACCTAGGTACCCACCCATTTAAAAGAAAAGAAGTTGAGTATAGTTAGTGAACCTGTATAGATATCTGACACGTGACACATAGAAGCCTGAAGTATTAGGCGTCGAGTTTGTGCCTTGCTCGATTATCAATTTCTCAACATTTACTGGAGTGGGAATACTCTGGTAACTTCCACCTCTGCTTACCTCCTTTTGATCAATTTCTTTTCCCCAAGACATGGTGCTCTTCTGCCATTACGTTCTGATGTGAAACCTTTTCTTCCAGACCCTCGACTGGAGAATGCCATCCCAACGAGGGTAGAACTTCTCTGTGTTGCATGTTAGTGACATACTAGGTCTTTCAACACGTTTAATCGTCAGTCAATACCAGAAAAGATGCGGGAACTAGACCCTCTGATTTCTGAGTACCGCCATGAAAAGAAGCGTCCCCGAGAGGATGAAGCACTCTTGATTCTGCGCAAAGTCGCGTCCCTTGTCAAACCCATCATGCGACAGCGGGCTTGGAGAGTCGGTGCACTATGCGAGTTCTATCCACAGCAACGGAATCTTTTGGGCCTGAATGTGAACTCCGGTCAGAAGGTGTGCCTGAGATTACGGTATCCCTCCGACGAGCGGCAATTTCTCCCTATAGAGCAGGTCGTAGATACTATGTTACACGAGTGAGTATTACTGCTCTATGTCAAATTGCACAAGCTGATCAAACGCAGACTATGCCACAATGTGATTGGTCCTCACAACCAGCAATTCCATGCACTGTGGAATCAACTCCGTGACGAGCATGAGGAACTAGCCCTAAAAGGTTACACTGGCGAGGGCTTCTTATCACAAGGCAAGCGTCTCGGTGGTCAAAGGATTCCACTTGACGAAGCTCGGCGTCAGGCTCGTGCAGCTGCCGAACAGCGAAGGATCCTCACCAAGAATTCAGGGAAGAAGCTCGGTGGTACCCGCCACCTTCGTGGAACTGACATACGCAAGCTTCGGGCTGATGCTGCTCAGCGGCGCATTGAAGTCACCCAGGGTTGCGCTTCTGGCACAGATCGCAGCACTGAGCTTGCGGACGAGGTCTCTCGGAATGGGTTTAGAACGAAGGCCGAAGAAGACGACGCGAATGAACGGGCTATCATGGAGGCATTCATTGAGCTGATCCAAGAAGAAGAACGGGAGAAGTATGATTCATCATATGTTCCGCCAAGTCAAGAAAATCCCGCGGGACCGAGAACAAGATCATCACCACCACCTGCTCCTTCAGACACCGCGCCTGCTACGTTCAAACCTCCATCTGTGCTTCCACAAGCCGTCAACGATTTAGAAAAAGAACACGCTGTGGATTTCACTGCTGATAACAGCTCATACGACACACCTTGGACCTGTCCAACGTGCACTCTCCAGAATAAATCTACCTTCCTTTGCTGTGATGTCTGTGCAGCAGAACGACCACCTCCAACCAATACAAAAACCACCCCAAAGTCCACATCTAGGAGCACTTCCACACAACCACTACAATCAAAATCTCTCAATCCAAAGAAACGGCCCTTAGTTGTCGATGAAAAGGAAGAAAGGGAAGCCAATCCTAAGGACACATTTGCTTTCAAAAACCGAACCCGCGCACTGGAAACCATCAGAGCTCTAGATCGTGGAACCGAAAAAAAGCCACTTGGATGGCTTTGCAAATCGTGCGGCAGCTTTATGGAGACTCATTGGTGGACATGCTCCTGCTGTGGGACGATGAAGCCGTCCTCCTAATGACCCCCTATCGCGTTCCTCGGATGAAGTACTACGACATTACGAACTAGATACCAAGAATAAATGCGCATTGATTAAAAATTTCGAGTCGGAAAAGCTCCATGCATTTCGACTATACAAACACTCGCTACGTAACCGCCCCATATAAAGCTCCCACGTGACAACATGACTAAGCTAGCACCGGGCCAACATTTTTTTCTCACAAAACTCCGAACCAAACTCTCTTCCTTTCTCAAGCTTCAATCGCACCAATTTCCAGCATGGATTGAGAACAATAATGCTTTTGGTTCTCGCTCATGCTGGATCAATCACTGATAGGTATGTTCAATGGTCCTCACTACAGCACCTGCAAGAGAAAAGCACCGCGTCGAACGGACTCAACATGATGAGAACCGCATAGAACCAAATTAATTAGGAAGAGCCGTATGAGGATGGCAGAGGATTGTTCCTTAGATGAAAAATCCCTGTTGTCGATGCTTATAATGGTTCCTCTGATATGTGTCCTAAGAAGCTTGCTTTTCTCTTCGTTGGGGTGAGGAAATATCGTGCATGAGCAATTGCTAATTATTTCTCGCAATAGGTACTTTGTTTGGATGTCGAATAACTTGATCATGACAAGGGAAATAATATCACACAATGAAGCAATTGAACATAATCTCATACCATCAATTTCACACCATCTAGTCGATTTTCTATAATTCACCTTCCATAATCCTCGAGTAGAACTAATTTTCAGAGAGACAAATCTATTTTACTAGAAATAAATCTATGTTACATCCCTTGATATTATCTTGAACTCCCAAGGATATAGAACTTTTGTATAGAAACCAGAAGAGAAGACCCGACAAGGTCCAAAAAGATCACAAACGCCAATCGACATGCTTGTACACAACCATTATCCTACTCAGGCGACGCTGACGAACTGGCGCTTCTTGCCCGTACCCTTGGACGTCTGCTGTTCCTCCCAGGTCTCCTCATCAACGTAATCCGTAGTGCCGTGCTCCCGGATCTGGTCACCAATGAACTGCAAAGCAGACAAGTTGAAGCCCATCTCATCCTTTTGGCGAGCGAGGACGCGACGCAGCGATACCCGGATACTGTCGAGCATGGGGCGCATCATCTTACTGGCCACGATCTGGCGGTGGTGAGTCTTCAGAATGAAGAACAAAATGCGGCAGGTCAGCGGCACGTTCCATTCGCGATCGGCCCAGATGTTGAGGAATGTGAAGAGGGCCGAGAGCTTAGAGAATGGCAAGACAAGGAGTGCATCCTGGAGGGCAGCTGCGGGGATTTTCTGGACGGTGTTCAGAACGTGTTGTTCGGCGGAGACGTTGTTGAGAGCCAGATAGACAGGGTTGCGATCGGGGGCGGCGGCGTTGGGATTGGCGGCCTTGACCTTGCGCCAGTCGCGCACGACTTCGAGGTCCTCGAGACCGAGCTCAAGCGCTTCAATGATCTTTTCTCCCGCCATGAGAGTGCCAGTCGTCTGCTTTCCAGCGTCGACGGCCTCGGCCTTCTCGCCGTCTTCACCGTCTTCCTCCTGCTCCAGGGATGCAGTGAGTGTGCTGTCGTATGCCTCTTCCTGTTCCTTCTCACGTTCTTCCTCGAGGAAGAGCGGCTCGTCTGTTTGCTGCCAGATGCGAATGCTTTTGTCGTGGCTGGCACTGACAATGAAATCGCCGGAGCGACTCATGGCAAGCGCCCAGATCTCGCCGTGATGGCCGACCAGACGCTGGATTTGCTCGAACTTATCACCATCCCAGTACTTGATAATGCGGTCCTTGCTGGCACTGAAGAAGTTGTGACCGTTTCCATCCTTGTTGTGGGGAACGAATGCTACTGCCATGATGCTGTCCTCATGCGCCAAGAATGCCTTGTGGCAATCACCAAAGTCCAGACCCCAGAGACGAACCGTCTTGTCGGCAGAGCAAGTAACAATGAGTTTGCTGTCGTGGGAGATATCCATGCTCAGGACTGGAAGCTTGTGTCCGTAGAGGTTGAGGAACAGCTTCAGCGAGTCAACGAAGAAGACCTTGACAGTGTTATCAAGGAGGGAAACTGCCAAAAGTCGTGCATCTGGAGAGAAACGAAGGTTGAGAATATCGTCGTTGACCTTGAGGGTCCTTGTGTGGGCCAGCTTGAGACGAGGGGTGGTGCGCTTAGTTCCAGGAATCTCTTCCTGAACGACCTGGAAGTTCCAGAACTTGGCAGTCTTGTCTGCGCTTCCACTGACCATGGATTTTCCGTCGGGGTGGACGTGCAATGACCACACAGGGCCGTCGTGGGCTTTGATGGTATCCAACAATGTGGAGGACGCAATATCAAACACCTCGAGTTCTCCGTTCTTATTACCGACCACCACAATCTTGTCACCAGGAAGGAACGCGGAACACAGAGAATAGCCACACTCGAGTGTTCGAAGACAGCTTTCTGTGAGTACGTTCCAAATCTTAAGAGTACCGTTTGAGGCAGAGGCAAGCATTCGGTCGTCAGAGCTCAACGCAATCGACCGAATATCTGTTCGGTGACCAGGGATATCTACTGCCAGGCTGCGGGTATAATCGGAGTCCTCACTGTCAGTGTTCTTTTTGTTCGCCGGCACAACTGTGTAGGCCTCAAGCTGGTTGTTTGTGGTTGCGGCCAGGAGGTTCAAGCCACTTGATTTGTTGGTCATCCAATCAAAAGAACGGACCTTTCCGCCAGTTCGAACGATGACATGCTGAACAAAGACTTCCGATACGGGGGCGGCGGCAGCATCTTCGGGCTTCTCGTCCTCCTTTGGCGCGTCATCCTCAGCCTTCTGCGCAGCCTTCTCCTTTCTTCTCTTGTTCTTCCGTGCCATGCTCTTTTGTACCTCGGACTGCGAGCGAATACGCCAGACCTCAACCGACTTGTCGGAGCCGTGGAATCCAACATAGTCTGAACGGGGGTGGAATCGGATGCCAATTGTGCGGTCCTTGCCATGACGATAGAAGGTTCCTCGGTCGGTTAAGATTCTGCGACCGTCCGCGCTGACCTTCTCTCTGGAGATAACCATCATAGCGGCCTCGTCAATCGACCACACTCTGAGTTCGCCATCATTGCCGGCTGTGATACATCCACCCTGGTCGGGCGAAAGGCCCAAGCCCCAGCACTCGCCGTTTGATTGTGCCACATGTGTTTCAATGCAGTGCTGCGACGCGAGGTCCCAAACCTTGATCAACGCATCCTTTCCGGTGGTCAAAAGGAATCCTGCGTGCTCACTCAATCCAGACGCAGTGAGCAGTTCTTGAGAAGGGAAAAGGAAGTGCAGCGATGTGATCTGATCGGTATGCCCACGAAGTTTGAAAAGACCGACTTCAGTAATCAGATCCCAAACGATGATGTCGGTGTCCCTTGAGCCACTTGCGAGGCGCACGCCGGCGCTGTCGAAGGCCAACTTGGTGACGGCGGATTTGTGGCCGTTGAAAGAGATAATAACGGTGCCGGTCCGTGAATCCCAGAGACGAATACTTCCATCCTCGTATCTAAAGGGGCATCCAGGGTCAGAGAGAGTCGGCAGATCATATACTAAATTGTGGACCACTTACCCAACTGCGAAGATATCTTCGTCCGTTTGGCTCTGCGAGACGACACTGACTTGGGCTCTGCAGCCAGAATCGCGCCATCTTCCTAGAAGTTCTCCCTTCTTGATATCCCAGCACAAAACTTCCTCACTGGCACCCACAATGGCTCGTCCGGCGCCCGTCTGGCGTGCGACACCGGTCTGTTCATCTTTGGCCCAGATCGCATTGGAGGACGCCGAGGCGACGAGCCCGAACGTATTCGAGTGCTCGAATTTACTGTATAGATATCAGCGCCTTGATCCGAGGATTAGAAATGACCAAAAATCGAACGTACAAGTATGATTTCACCATCGTTGGGAGTGGATGGGAAAATTTTAGAATCTCCGATTATTGCTATCGATAGGATAAAATTAATACGGGCGGCGACAGCGACCTCTCCGGCTCCCCCACCGCCCATGACGATCACGGGCAACCTCACAAGAGCCACCTTTACACTACACATAAGCCATTGTATTGCCCGTCATGCTTCTCTTGGATTATCAAAACGTCTTAATTGAGTCTCTCCTAACGGATCGCTTTTCTGGGTATGCCTTACCCCCCACTCCCCCGCTCTGTGAACCCGCGCATTGTATACACACCACCCGGAATCAGGCATCCGGCTAACAAGCTCCAGAGCACCCCCCGTCTCCATTGATCAGGTCGTTTCCGACTTTGATGGAGTGACATTCCACCTCTCTACCCCCGAATCCAAGACCAAGATCCTTATCTCGATCCACGTGAAATGCTTTAAGGAGCTGGTTCAGTACGGCGCCCAGGAGGTGTTGGAGAGAGAATATGGTCCCTATATCGTGTCCCCCGAGCCTGGCTATGATTTCTCAGTACAAATCGACCTCGAGAACCTGCCTGCTGAGCAGGAGGCCCGTAATGATTTGATTATGAAGCTTGCCCTCCTGAAGCGGAACGCAATGGCCGCTCCATTCGAGCGAGCGTTCGATGAATTCAACAAACTCGCCGAGGAGGCCTCTCAATACACATCAGAGTCTGCTCCTCAAGGCATCAAGGAGGGTGGTCAAGTCATGGCGATCCATTACCGTGAGGAGGAGGCAATTTACATCAAGGCCAACTGGGATCGCGTTACTGTCATCTTCAGCACCGTGTTCCGGGAGGAGACTGACCGGATCTTCGGAAAGGTGTTCTTGCAGGTTCGTTATCGCCTACATGTTTCTCGTCTTTTTTTTTCCGGCGCTGCGCTAAATAACCTCCTCTAGGAATTTGTCGACGCCCGCCGCCGTGTCCAGACACTACAGAATGCTCCCCAGGTCCTTTTCCGCAATGATGCTCCTCTTGAGCTGGCAGGTGTGCCTGGTTTGAGCACTAAGGAAGGAGATGTCAGCTATGTCACTTTCGGTATGAATGCAATCTGCTCTGTTTGTCCTGTTCTAAGTATTGACTCGACATGCAGTTCTGTTCCCACGGCATTTGACCCCCCAGCGTCGCTATGACAACATTTCCCACATCCAGACCTTCCGTGACTACTTCCACTACCATATTAAAGCCTCTAAGGTAAGTTCTTTTCCTAGGCACTTCGTGCTTTGGGGGTGTGCTAATTCAAAATCCGCTGCAGGCCTATATTCACACTCGAATGAGAAAGAGGACAGCAGATTTCCTTCAAGGTGTGTATACCGTTCTCAAACAGATAAACCTCTTAAATGCTGACCTGCGAAAGTGCTTAACCGAGCCCGGCCCGAGAATGAGGAGCGTGAGCGCAAGACCGCTAGTGGTCGTACGTTCCGAGTGCAGGGTTAGACATTTGTTTTTCTTTGTCCATATTGTTCCCAAGAATTGCTTTTCCATGAGCCAATTTGATATTTTTTGCAGTGCTTTCCGATGCCCAGATGCATGCTTCCTACCTAGGTGGTAGACTGTTCGTGTGTAACATTAATGCGAGTTTTGGCCTTTGTCATTCCCTACATGTACATGTAGCCTTCAGTACTTGGGCCTCACATCATTGTTCCTGAGAGAGCCATACCCAGATACCCATTACAATTAGCGGTGCTTATAGGTATATGAGTATAGGAGGATTTCAGACAGCATCTCAGTTATTTTACAGTATTGAAGAACAAGAACTGTGAAAATGTATATCAGAGTATGCGACGTTAAAGTTCATTTTTATGTACATATTGTAGAATCTACAATGAGGCCGCAACTCATACTTTGGCCTAGCCAATCAGAAGCTCTTCCAGCCGCGTCCCGCGCCGCTGGGAATGCTTTTCTTTGCTCTGTGTTCTTTGTTACGCTGCAGATTTCCGATTCAGCCAATCAGTATCTTCTAGAGACGCACATATGCGTTTCAGCCGGCCAATCATAAGGCAAAACCCGTGCGACTCATACTCACAACTCATACTTATACTCACGATTAATATTCAATACGGAGTCTGATACGGCGCTTATTACGGGTTGTAGGTGATGTATGTATCTACCCTAGATTCCTTGGTATTTAGGGGATGTGTTACTGATATGCACGTTAAATATAATGACCCAATCCAAGCTACATATCTAGGCTGATATATCAACTAAATACTTCAGCTATATATAGGATCAACATCATAGTTACACAATCTAAGTCATTATCTGATTGGCCAGCTTGGTTGAGCCGCATACCTATAGTTCGGTACACAGCCCAAAGAGGATTATTATATAGAACATTCAGAGCAAAGAAGTAAAAGCCCTGTGCTGAATTTCTCTTTTCATCTGAATGTCACCGCAAAGATGAGCCCAAAGGTGACGGGCCTTCGGGTATTGCTCAAGAAACCGAGCAGGAGCGAGCCAGCTGCCGCTCCGAAAGAGGAAACTGAGGTATTATACCCGCTGTTTCGTTTCCCAGAGTCTAATACCTCGAGCGTTTACTCGGAGGAGAGTTTTTCTGCAACACTCTTCTCGAAACTTGTGATGGACTCAAACTTTGATCTTGTGGCGATGGCCTCAACCATCTCGCGAGCTCGTCTTGATGCTCTTGTATTGTTGTCAGAGAGTGAAGGTGACAAGTTCCTCGAGTTCGGGAAGCTATGTATCGATGCCCATGCCCAGGCCACCAGGGCGATGATGGATGATGTTGTGGAGCGTATCAAAGCTGGAGAAGACTTTGACTGGAAGACCGAGATTGATGCCTTGAAGGAAGGCCTTCAAAACTATTGTCAGGCGATTGTAAAGGAAGCAGAGTCTAGCGCTCTCCAGGAAGGAAACCATTCTTTCAAGCTCTCCACCATCTTAACTCACCCCTCTGCCACCTCGAGCAAAGTCTCAATCAAGACCTTGATTGGTTCGTCGAATGGTAGCGCTTCTCCTACTTTTAAATCTGACCCAAAGACGCCAATTACACCCTTTTCGGACCCCAACACGCAGTCATCGTTCACCATGCCTGAAGGTTCCCCCGATGATCACCTGGTAAGTGCTAGTGCAACTGTTTGTCTGCTTTGTTTGATTTTCGCGACTTTGAGCTCTATTGACGTGTTTCTGATAGTTGGCATCTAGTAGACGCCGCCTCCGTCTCTACACTGTCAGTAGTGAGGACTGGATCGTGGGCCCGAAGTTACCTCCATCTTCCACCTCCCCTCCGATCAAACTTCCGGAAAATTTGACCCCTGTCGATGAATCCATCCATCTTGGTGTGATTATGGGTATATTCAGCAAGCTGTATACCATGGCCAAGATCATGCAGACTATCCTGATGAGTTACGGCGTGGAGGTATGTTCTACTTTTGTCTTGCTAACTATTTGGTTGCAGTTACTGACATAGTTTCAAACTTAGCTCGATAGATCCAGGACCGGGTTGTCATACTGGATCGAGTGCAGCGAAGAGTACGTGAGGAGCCAGAATATGCGCACACTGGTTGAGATAGTGGAAAACCTCTTCTATGCTATCTACGCGCGGGTTGTGATCGAGTTGGCCAACATAGAACTTTGCGGTACCTTTCGAATCGACCTTCGCTCCCTTCGAACTCATCGTCCATTCCTCCTCCCCGAGCCCGATCACCTCTATCGTATTGTTCTCACATTCAAAGACGTGCTGGACTCACCGTGCATCTGTGCAATTCTTCGGAAGGATATTCTACAGAAATTCCAGAACTCGTACATCACCGAAGCCCTGGATAAAACGAAAGACGCGGACTATCCGATTCATGACCCTCTCGGTTATCGCCTTCATGCTGCAAGCATTGCCACCAAGCGAAATGGATCCTACTACACCAAATGGCAGGAACTCATTCCATTTTTCAACATCCTCCCAGAGAAGCTTCTGGTAATGTGGTCTGAGAAGTATCTCACCGTGGCTCCCGTGAGGGTGATTCCCGACGACATCCCCTTCGACCAGCTCCCTTTCATCGATCCTTCACAGATAGGGTACGATATTCATGCAGCTGAAACCATCAAAGATCACCGAATGGCGAGCCTTGCCAAGCTGGAGGGTACGAGCATTGGAGAAGAGCGCCAGAAGGACCCCAAATCTCGAATCTTCTATCTTGCCAAGCAACGCAAGTGCGTGTGCCAAAGTGTCTGCCGTTGCTCCAAGGATTGCACCGGCGACGTGCTGCATAGCTGTCCTTGTGCGGAACGACATGTGCGCATTATGATAGTCAAGGATGGTATTCATTACAGAATGCCGGATACCGACTTTGTTACTACTGCTGGCACCTTGACTCGTATGTATTTCCATGGTTTGGCTTCTCTGAAGCGCGGTGTCACTCAGCGTTTCATTGCGCAAGAGCTTCAGCGGGCTTTCGAGTCGATGGCCCATTTGATCAGTATTGAGCGCGACAAGATCGTCCCCAAGAGGAGCGATTCCGAGAAGAGTGCCCCGAAGAAGAGCCTTTATGAGAACAGTCCTCCAAAGAGATATTTCTCTGAGAATAGTATCCCTAATATGGGTCGCTCTGAATATAGTACTCCGAACAGATCTACTTCCCAGAAGAGTTCACTGAAAATGAGTATTTCTGAATACAATGCCCCGCAGAAAACTCCGCAGCGAACTCCACAGAAAACTCTTGAGAGAAGTACCCCAAAGAAGAGCATTTCGCAGAACGGTACTCCGAAGAATAGTCCTTGCAAGACTGGTACCCCCAGAAGCGTTGCCCAGAGAAGACAATGAGCTGCACTCTCAGAGGATGGGTTTCAAAGCATGGCCCCAGCACAAACAGAACTCAAAACCAGTCAAATCCGGACAAGAAATCAGCACAAAAAGGTAAAGAAAGGCTTCACGGGAGTCATGTGATATTTTAAATGGAGTTCATATGAAGACCGGGAACCACGGATAGGTTCTTTTAACGAAAAATGGAGATTATCGGATTCTACGCCCTCAATTCAAACTGCATTGACTGCAAGCTTAGTTGCCAAATGCCATTGGGCAAATGCAGATAGATTCGGAGACTGATCCCACGCCAATCATTCCTGTGATTTAGCAGCGACGGCTTTCTTAATGACAATGATTTTTTGCCCTATATCTTCTCGGATGCCTCGTACAAACCCTTGAATCTCATATCTGCTGACCCAACGTCTTGATTAAAGAACAAGTACGTTGTAAATAAGAGAAAGAAAAAAGGAAACCAAGCAATTCTGACGAAATAAAGCCCAGAAACATGCCTATTACGGAAGGATATAGGGATAGCCATGATCAAGGTTGAAACGATATGGATGTGTCTGCACCAAGGACAGAAGGGACAGACCCGAGATTTTGAGCACTATGCCACATCGTAACCTTTTATTTGTGCGCTTAAATGCTTAGCTTTATGAAACGGCAAAACTGATCATGTCTTTGCACGTTGACATAGGAACATAAGGAGCTGCTTCTCCTCTATATTAGAAACCAAACACTTATACTATAACGTAAAGGCTGCCGCATTTGAGCATGTATTTGATTCGGAAAAGCGCTGACTTTTACTGGGGGCATCGCTTTTGCAGTTGTGGATCCTGCCCCATCAGCTAACAAAGTGCAACTGAATGAGGCCGGTTTGCCGAACTCGGGAACAACCTTCCCCATGGGCGGAAGCTTGTTGCCTAGAGGATATTGGAAGACCCCTCATAGCAGTCGCGATCCCCAGCTGTTCTAGGTCTCTCTTCCCCGGATAAAGTATAGAATTTGGAATCATCCACCAATTAAGCAGATGTGAAGAAAACGAAAGCTTGGATCAATAGTGGCAGGTGCCAAAGTATGCAAAGGCGCTTCTTGCCAGCAGGTGGTGCTTTTATAGTGAATGCGAAAAAGGAATTTCTGCTACTGTATCCGTTCAAAATCCATCAATACTCAGGTAGCAAGTCAACAATCACTCAACTGATACTTGGAAATAAACATCAACTAATTATAAGATTTGATCAATCGATCTAAGCATGTAGGCAATTGCTATGAAGAATATGAAGTGATGGAGATCGGATGATTATATTGTGCAGACCACCGCAAAGTGACATCATGATAATTCGCAGAAGGTCCAAGCGAAATTAGGATCAAACGCAAAATTTTGAATGCGCGGGCACCACATTCGGAAAGGTATGATCTCCACTGGTTGTCTTCATTTCTAATCTATACCTACTTTATAAGAGTAGCACTTGCTCTTTGTACAAGGTTCGTTACGAATTTTGTCCTTGCACGAATTGAAATTGAATTCAATAATAGTTTGCAGAAGCTGAACTACATTTGTGCAGCTAAAATGAAATCTATTTTGATTGGTCGCGGTGGGAAAAAGCTGCCTCTTGTTGGATTTGGCCTATGGAGAATCGACAATGACTCCTGCGCCGACGCTGTCTATAATGCCATCAAAGCTGGATATAGGCTTTTCGATGGTGCTTGCGGTATTGTAATCTATTCCATAATGGCCCTCGTACGCTTTGCTGACAGGTGAAAACAGACTACGGGAATGAAGCCGGAGCCGGTGACGGCATCACCCGTGCAATCAAAGATGGATTAGTGAAACGAGAGGATCTGTTCATTGTTTCAAAACTTTGGAATACCTATCATGAAGCACACCGAGTGGAAGAAATAGTCTCAAAGCAACTGGCGGACTGGCAGGTGGACTATTTCGATCTATATTTGATGCATTTCCCCATTGCCTTGAAATATGTCGAGCCAGCTACCCGTTATCCTCCTGGATGGTTCTATGAGGACAATCGCGTGGAGCCCGGCACGGCTAGCATCCAGGAGACCTGGCAGGCAATGGAAAAGTTGGTGGATCAGGGTTCCGTCAAAAGCATTGGAGTATCCAATTTCTCGGGCTCCTTGTTAATGGATCTTCTACGCTATGCACGGATTCAGCCCGCAGCTTTGCAAATTGAGCACCATCCTTACCTAGCCCAGAAGCACCTGGTAAAATTTGCGCAGGAGAACGGCATGGTAGTCATGGCCTTTTCTTCCTTTGGAGGCCTGTCATACCCTCAGGCTGAAAACACCGAATCTGGAAAGTTTTTGTCGCTTCTGGAACATCCGGTTGTTGTTTCGATTGCCGAACGAGTGCACCAATCACCATCTCAGGTGCTTCTCCGGTGGGCGACCCAACGCGGCATCGTGGTCATTCCGAGAAGCACCAACATCGAACGGATGGGCTTAAATTTGACATCCACTGCCTTCGATCTGGAGGAGGGCGAGATAGAGAGGATCAGCTCTTTGGATGTCGGACTCCGGTTCAATGATCCCATGCAGGTATGTATAGCTAGTAGAGAGCAGGTGACACGCGCTAACATATTCGAAAGTTCCTCGGCCAATTCCCTATCTATTATTGATCGTTTCCTGATTTATCATGGACATCGATGAGAAAATGCAAGCCAATGTTATTATAGGACTCGTATGCATTGGTATGACAGCGATGAATATATACTGATGAGAGACAACCAAAGCATAAAAAGCACAATAAGCACAATGTTACGGTCAATTTCAAGCAGAAAATCTTTTTCATTATTCGGTTGCCCCCGAGTAACTAATTGTCTAATTGATACAAACATGTAGAATTCAAAATAGTGGCGCCATTGGAAACTTAGACTATACGCATTTTACCATATTGTTTATACAACGTCCTTTAATAATTTCAACTATAATAAGTGTAGTTATTTTAGATCTAAACTAACGGAGGTGGTTCTTGGCGCTGGTTCTCTTTCGCTATTGTACATTAGCGTTGTAATAGTAGCACCGTTAGAAGTGGATTACCGTATGCGGTTTATATACTGCACCTTATACACTATAGCAAATGTGTTTATAATGTGAACCAGTATAAGTTTAGTACTGTAGAGATATGTACCTGCATGTACATGTTCTCTCCATTTAAAAAGACGATAAACTTGGTACCTTGGTAAATTGGCTAAAAAAAGTAATTGTAATACGCGCATTAACTAGGATAAAAAAGCAAATAGAAAAATTACTAGTTTGTTCTATAGACAATAATGAGCAATAGAATAAAAAGGGAATAGTTAAAGAATGTCAGATGGAAAGTCGTGCATTTTCGTATTCTCAGACGTACTCTGTAGTGCAAGGAACAGTCGGCGAGACAGGCCAGTGATATTTTGAGATACTCCTTCGGCCCTCACCGGGTTAAGTGTCAGGGTTTTCTCCCTGCGCTCAAGCCCGATCTATTTAGATTTTCATTACTTTTCCCTCCTTTTCATCATCTCATGTCTTAGCCAACTCCTATAGCCCATCTTGGTGCACCGAAAGCCAAGTTAGGGATGGTGACCAAGGCAGCGGCCGTGTCACATTTATCATCATCATGGACATCCATTAGCAAGTGGATCGCGAACATAAGCATAAACCAGACCCTGGTCCAGAGTGCCCACCTCCGACATCCGAGCACGGCACGGCCATATCACGCGGCAGTGTGGCCCTCCTACGGCATCACCACCCCGGTCCCCGACCAGTCTCTGAACCTCCCCAAATCACCCTTCCGACTCGAGACTGGCTACGCTCTATGTGCCAAAAGGCCCTCGCGACCATTTCCCCCACCTTTCCTCTCTCCACCGTCGACGTCTTTCTCCGATCCCTTGACGACACACGGCCTAAGCCAGGATAAGAGATTATCCGTCAAAGGCGAGCTAGTCCGTGGCTTGAACAACGGCGACGACGCCATTATTGTCGCGGAGAACTTTATCGGCGTCGACGATGGCGTAGGCGCCTGGGCTACCAAACCCCGTGGCCATGCTGCGTGAGTTCCAATCCATTACCTAAATTCGAACGATCACTGACTCTTGCCGATCAGACTCTGGTCCAGACTCCTGCTACACTTTTGGGCCCTCGAGGTCGAACGCCATGCTGACAACGGCCCCACTACCCTCGACCCGGTCGGATATTTGCAGTCTGCATACGAGGAGACGCTGCGCGCAACTACGTCCCCGACCGAGTGGCTAGGAACGACGACCTCGGCCACTGCTATACTACACTATACCAAGGAACAGGGCGGTGCGCAGAAACCATTGCTATACGTCACGAATCTGGGCGATTGCAAGATTCTGGTGATTCGGCCAGCAGAGGAGAAAGTCATCTTCCGCACTGCTGAGCAGTGGCACTGGTTCGATTGCCCTATGCAGCTGGGAACAAACAGCATCGACACACCGCGCAAGGACGCAGTGCTGTCCAAGATCGCACTGCAGGAAGATGATATTATCCTGGCGCTGTCGGACGGCGTCATGGATAACCTCTGGGAACATGAGGTTCTGAGAACTGTGTTGGATAGCATCAATAAATGGGAGGAAGGACGTGTTTCACATGAGGATTTACCGGATTCGAGGATGGCCGAGGAGCGCAACGTCTTTGTTGCCCGGGAGCTGTTGAATGCTGCTTTGGCAATCGCCCAGGATCCTTTCGCGGAAAGCCCCTTCATGGAGAAAGCTATTGATGAAGGTCTGGCTATTGAAGGAGGCAAAATGGATGACATCTCTGTCGTGGTTGCATCTTGCAAGAAACGCGCTGGGTGAAGTGTGGATATTGGAATTGATCGGGCTTTCTTTTACCGACTCTGGAATCAGCCGTTACACATGTGCAAGATTCCACAGACATCGAACCTCGAAGTCCTCGAGCATTACATCCTACATGGCTTCGATTGCAGACAGTAGGGCCTCGATACATCGATCAGCACCTTGCTACCGCGGAGAATGGATTGCACCAGGCCATAATGTTCAATCGCACCGCATCGCGAAACTTGTCTGGCGTTTACATTGGCCAAGTTGTTAAACCAAGTAGCCAGCATAATTGTGCCATGCCTATTCGTTTCACTGCCATATGCTTGCGCATCACCGCTTGCACAAGTGCCATGATACGCCAGCTCCCGCGTGGTCTGTCATCAGAATGACGAAAGCAAGTGCACTACGGTGACCTGTTGCCAGAACCATTTCCACGCAGAATCACTCGCTTTCGTCTCTGAAAACATGATATCTTTCCATCAGGCACTTTTAGCTGGACAAGAGATAATTGTTTTGTCTCACACTCATATACCCTAATATTATCTCATGCTATGGAATACCAAACAAGCTTTTTAGTGATACTAGTTCCCATTATCCAGTGTAGCCATATACATTCAAATCTTACTAGGTCGATTGCGTAGATGGATTGTAGTACCTAAACTATAGGCATTTGCCCCACTTGATCACAGTACTGGGTACATCCTCAGCACAGACCATGTCACCGCCCGTGTTGCCGCCCGGCAGAATGAAAAAAGTTTCGGTTGAGATCGAAGCTCATACTTTTAGTTGCATCAAATCCTCGATTTCTTGACCCCAACCATTCACAATGAGGGCCAAACGTTCAAAGAAGTACCGCAAGCTTATGCACCAGTATGAGCTTACTTTCGGTTTCCGAGAGTCCTACCAGGTCTTGGGTATGTCTCCAACGATTTGCTTAAATGCACCATGCTAATGCGCTTGAACAGTCGACTCGAACTTCCTTCGCGCCACTGACCAATTCAAAATGGAGTTGATTCCTGCTCTTGAACGAACCGTCCAAGGCAAAGTCAAGCCTCGTGAGTCCAACAAAATTCCGATCCGGCACGACATATACTAATCATCCCGCAGTATTGACAAAATGCTCTCTCGCTGCCATCATGGCCGCGCAACCCATCAACCCGAAAACTGAAAAGCCATACCGTCCCCTCTTCCTTCCTCCACCTACAGAACTTCCTCTGCGCCATTGCTCGCACAACGCAGACTCCACCCCAATTGACGAGATCGAGTGCCTACTTTCGCTTCTTTCACCCGGCACAGAGACAAAGAAGAATAAGGAGCACTACATCCTTGCCACTGCGGAGCCCCTTCTGCGAAAGACAAACCCCAATGAACCAAAGCGGAGGTGGAAGACTGAGGAAGACAAGAAGGAAGAAGAAGCCATGAACCGGTCGAAGCTCTTGCGTTCGTCCGCCCGCTCCATTCCCGGTGTACCCATCATCTACGTCAAGCGCTCAGTAATGGTCCTCGAGCCGCTGAGCAGCGCCTCCGAGATGGTCCGAGACGGCCACGAGCGCGGCAAGTTCCGCGCCGGCCTGGACCTCGACCCTGCGCTCGGCAAGCGCAAGAGAGACGGCGAGGAGGGCGATGATGCCTCTGAGACCGAGGAACCGAAGAAGAAGCGCGGACCGAAGGTCAAGGGCCCTAATCCGCTCAGCGTGAAGAAGGCCAAGAAGCGCCCTGATGCGCCGGCTCCCAAGAAGGCCAAAAAGGTTGAGGTTGCAGATGCCGGTGAAGATGCCCCGGCTAAGCCTAAGCGTAAGCGCCGCCACAATAAGGGCATTCCTGATGATTTCAATGGCGTCGAGGAGTCAGAGCCTATGCAGGTTGACGCTTGATTATAATACGGCCTGGCGACTGATGCTGGTTATCATTGCATGCATTCAACTTTTCATTGAGGGCGGCGTTTATATTGGATGGGTTATATCTAAAAGTTTAGCTGGTGTGCAGAATTACAATGTACATTCAAGATTCAATCACGATCCGAAATCTCAGTAGACTGTAGGTTACACCGAAATTGTAAGACAAATAGAGAGAAATGGTGGTTCTTTAGTTAAATATACAGATACAAATATATTTTATGTTACAGGGTTCCTCCCCGAATGCTTTGAGAGGAGAGAAAAAGACGCTAAACGACGGACCTGCTGCTACCTTCACAATAGCCACATGAGACTGAATGTCCCAGGGGACCAGAAATGCAAACGACTGCTGCAATTTCCAAGCAGCAACGACCCATATCAAGTTTCGAGGCCCGTCATGACACAGCGAGTGGGAAAAAAAACAATCCGGAACTCCAGACCCAGGCATGATAGCATATAAGTACCACAGGTAACTATTGCTTCGCAGCACCTGTGCTTGCAGCGGCAGGATTTGCAGCAGCCTTTGAAGGCCCTTGATCAAGCTCGCGCTCCTTAGCCCAGAGTTCCTCAACACGCCTCCGGTTGCTGCGCGCTTCGTCCCGGTTTCGCTTTGCGCGGTCGTACCGCTCCGCCGAGAGACATTTGTTCACATCGCGCTTGATATCGTTGCAGCTTCCGATGACCTTGTGCATGAACCCTTTGGCGTGGCATTCGTCGAGAGCAGTCATGATCTCTTCACAGTCTGGTTCATCAATTAGTATTTATTGGCTGGCGAGATCTTCCGGCTTGCAAGGCTGACGTACTGACGTTGTAGGGGGTGTGAAGGTGGGAATGCATGATGGCGGTGGTAATGTAAAAGCTGGATCAAACACAGTACAACTCGAAACACAACTCTCGAAGCTCAATCGTATGATTGAAGTGATGCGTTCTGACATTGTCCGCAAAATGCCCGGGCGGTGGATCGGCCTCGTTCTGCCGGGAAAAAAGCCCCGCCCACCGATAAAAAATAATCGCCGATAAAAAAAAGTTGAGCAAGTGTTTGGTTTTATCTCAACACGTTCAACATGTCTTCTATGATTACGACTACATCATGGGTTAAGCGCGGTGTCGCTGCCCAGTTCCCTACCAAATATGTCATCGACGAGGCTGAGATGGGCCGCATATCTAAGCTTGCGCGCATGCAACTTGAGGATGCCAAGGAGGATATGAGTGCTGCTCAGGATGGAAAGGCGGATGAGGAAGAGGAGAATGATGATGTTATGGAGGATGACAGCGAAGAGAAGCCTGTCAAGAATGGCACAGATGCAGCAAGGTGAGCAGTCATGAGCGTAGAATGATTCGACTAGTGCTAATTGCAGTGCAGCGACGATGATGTCCTGAAGGAATTCGACATGGATAACTACGATAACGAGGAGGTCGATGAAGAGGGCGAGAAGGTCACTATGTTCGGCAATGTCCAATCGCTGGCCTACCACCAGCCCAACGAGGCGGATCCCTACCTCACCATGAACGACGAGGATGATGATGACGAGCGTGAGGAACTTCAAATTATGCCCGAAGATAATCTCCTCCTCGCTGGAAAGGTTGAGGATGAAGTTGCGCATCTCGAGGTCTACGTCTACGAAGACAAGGCGGACAACCTTTACGTGCACCACGACATTATGTTGCCCGGCATCCCGCTGTGCACAGAGTGGCTCGATATCCCCGTTGGCAAGAACACAGAAGGTCGGACCCCAGGTAACTTCGTCGCCGTCGGAACTATGGAGCCCGATATCGAGATCTGGGACCTCGACGTCGTGGACTCCATGTACCCCGATGCCATCCTCGGCCAGGGAGGCCAAGACGAGAAGACAAAGAAGAAGCAAAAGAAGAAGGTCAAGGCCAACGACGAGTACCACATCGACGCAGTCCTGGCGCTGGCCGCCAACCGCCAGCACCGCAATCTGCTCGCCTCCGGCTCCGCGGACAAGACCGTCAAGCTCTGGGACCTCAACACCGCCACCTGCGCCAAGTCCTACTCCAACCACAAGGACAAGGTCTGCTCACTAGACTGGCACCCCACAGAGTCCACTATTCTCCTGAGCGGCAGCTACGACCGCACAGTGGTAGCGGCGGACATGCGCGCCCCAGATGCCCAAGCCCGCTGGGGCGTTGATGCCGATGTCGAGGCCGTCCGCTGGGACCCCCACGACCCCAACTTCTTCTACGTCACCACTGACGCCGGTATGGTCTACCGCTTCGACATGCGCAACGTGCCCACCACCCCTGCGGCGTCCAAGCCCGTCTGGTCTCTCCAAGCGCACGACTCTTCCGTTTCCTCCTTCGACATCAACCGCACCATCCCCGGCTTCCTGGTGACCGGATCAACAGACAAGACGGTGAAGCTGTGGAACGTCGAAGACGACAAGCCCAGCCTGGTTGTTACCCGCAAGTTGGAGGTCGGCAAGGTCTTCTCTACTCAGTTCGCGCCGGACCAGGAGGTCGGATTCCGTCTCGCCGTTGCTGGTAGCAAGGGCAATGTCCAGATCTGGGATGCTTCCACGAATGCTGGTGTGCGTCGGGCTTTCGTCTCGCGCATTCCGGACTTTGCTAGTGAGGTCCAGGAGCGCACTGTTGGTATCACTGTTGATGATGACGACTCTTCGGATGATGAGGGTGAGGGTGAGGGCGAGGAGGAGGGCGCTCCTCGTGGCGGTGATGGTTGGGAGTCGATGGATGAAAACTAGGTGGACACTGATACCCGTGGATCATTTGTTGTGTCAAAAAATAGATTTGTTTGCATGGTAATGACCTGTTTTTCGCTTATGGAGTTTAAAAATGTGAAAGCTTTATCGTACATCGTGTCTAAAAGGTCTACAACTTAGTACCTATTCTGCTACAACGATATTAGGGCATAATAGACTGGTCTGCTGTAAAGTATGTGCCGCCTGGCCCAAGCAAATCTAACAAAGAAGAATTCCTCCAATCAATTGGAACTTGGTTGAATTCCAAACTTTGGAATTTAGCAATGACTGAGAACCGGCTCTACATTCCTGTTGAGCAATTTGAGCTAATACTCTGTGGCCTGGAAATGCTTGCGTTGATATGTACATTTACCTTCGTCTTCTCTCCTTCACTCATATTATTTGTAGTTTCATTCTTAGTTTTACCTATCATCTTGTCTGATTACTCCTCAATTAGTCTGCTTCTTACCTAGGTATCGTCTCGTCTTTTTTAGACTATGCCAATTCATTGCTTTGATCCGGTTACCGTAAATTGTTTGTTTGAAAATTATCTAAGATCTATAGATCGCAGCAAAAACACCAAGCCCCATGCACAGAAAAAAAACCTCAAATAGCCTCCTGGGCATGCACATGAGTCGTCAAGTCCAGCAATCTGTTAGAGTATCCCCATTCGTTATCGTACCAAGCCATGATTTTGAAGAACTGCAAAGTATCAGCAACCGCACTGTCCAGATAACAGAACAAAGCATCCTACCTGAGGGTTCAGCTCCATACACGACGGAGCATCGATAATGGCGCTGTAGGGACTACCATTATAGTCACTGCTCACAAGCTCCTCATCGGCAACTTTGAGGACACCGGCCATGTCGAGCTTGGAAGATCGTCGGAAGGCAGCGATGACTTCGGCCAGCGAGGTCGGCTTCTCGGTGCAGATTGTGAGGTCGATCATTGAGACGTTGGGGCTGTGGCAATGTTAGAGTGAGGTGATATTGACGGTCTTGTTGTAACTTACGTAGGCACTCGAATCGAGACACCAGTGACCTTGCCCTTTAGTTCGGGCAGAACGGCGGCGACGGCCTTTGCGGCGCCGGTGGTGGTAGGGATGATGTTGTTGAAGACACCGCGTCCTGTTGTGTTGTTGTTAGATGTGTGTTTGAATACAACGAGGAAAACACTTACCCAGCCGCTTATTCTTCTTACTATATCCATCCAAAACCTGCTGCGATCTGGTAGCCGCATGAATGGTTGTCAGGAATCCCTGTGTAACACCAAATGAACCTTGAAGCACCTTCAGAACAGGCGTCACGCAGTTAGTAGTGCAGCTTGCGTTCGAGACGACGCGGCAGTCTTCTGTGGGTGTATAATCGTCTGAGTTGACGCCGTACACAAAGGTAGGCGAGTCCGAGCTAGGAGCGGAGATGAGAACACGCTTTGCCTGGCCGTAGGTGACGTGGTCGAGGGCGAGCTCTCGCTTAGTGAATTTTCCCGTGCATTCGAGGACATAGTCTACTCCCAAAGCGGACCAGTTGAGCTTCTTCAGGTCGCGCTCGGAGGTTAGGGCTATTTGTTTGCCGTTGATGGTGATCAGTGTGTCAGAAAGGACGTGAATGGGGGTTCGGTCGTCGAGGTCACCCATTGATGAATCATAGCGGATGAGGTAGATGAGGTCTTCGACTGAGATGCAGGTGTGGTTGATGGCGACGACTTGAATGTCAGATCGGACTAGGGCTGCGCGGAGGACGTTGCGGCCTATGCTTGGATTAGCGATGGCTGTTGCTTGGGAGTATTGGAAGCAGATTCAATTACCGATACGACCGAAGCCATTGATTCCAACTTTGCATGACGAGGTGGCCTCCACCTGGCCATGAGCAATCTCGTCAATGGAAGGGGCCATTGTAGGTTTGTGGTTATAGATAGAGAATATTAGAACCAAGATGGTATGTATTTGTTCAAATAATGAGGTTTAAGCAATCCCTAAACAGAACATATCTAACGAGAACCAATATCTATAAGTATAGATCCAACGAATCCACAAAAGGCTCACGTTGCCGTGTCTCCAATCTCAACGCCGACAAACCCGAAGTCACCCGCTGCCTCACGGATAATGTGTCGGCTTCTAACAAGTCCGGAAGCATCATAGAGAGTGATTTCTTGAAACTCAGAACAAAGAAGGCATCTAGAACAAATCAAACTACCCGGCGACTCTGCCGTCAATCGGATAACCGGACCCATGGAGCCAGGGGACAGCCAATTGACGCAATGTTTCGCGCCGAAAATCCCGCACTCATGACCCGACAGTAGCGGAGGAGGCCAAGTCCGCGACGCATAGGCCTTCACGGCGTGTGCCGTGTGGTGGTCGACTCTGGGGTAAAGTACCGATAGACGGAGGAATCAATTAGTGCGTACTATGTTTGGCGCTGACTGCCGCGGCGAAAATAAATGGAGCCAATTTATTAACGTCTGTTCCCGCTTTCCAATAAGAATAGTATTGCGGTAGCTGTGGATATACTTGCTGAGAGATTGTTGATTTGTGATTCGTGGGTAACGCCGGCGTTCTCTTCTTCCGCATCGGCATTCCGATATGGGGCTGGTTTTTTTCCGATTTCGCCGAACTATGACCAACAAATACCTTGATTTGGCTCTCAAAATCTTCAACATCCCGGTATTTCGCGGTCAAATGAACAGGCTTTTATCTCTATGCGATAATTATACGGCTGAACTGAAAGCAAAGCAGAGAGATTTTTGCTACTATAAACCCACTGGCACAAATATAACGTTGTTGGTATCGTGAGGTGAATGAAGAGCACGATTAGAGCAGATGGAACACATGAAAGTGATCAGAATTGACTTACCAATGCCCACATCACAGAAAGAAGAATCCATCGAGAGTCATGTAAACATGGCCAGATCTAGTAACAAAACAGGAAGCAGCACCCCCCCCCCAACATTATAAACACAACACGAGTATAGACCTCCCTCGAGGCTCTATGATCACACCGGAACGCTCATAAGTCCGAAGATTGGTGATTATATAGCATCTGTCGCATCCATCCGCCGGTGGTCTAGAGGCCATCACTAGGTTAGACGTCAATTTTTACCAGGCTATTTATCTTTCCTTCTTTTCAACGCGGGAGAGTGAGATCAAGCAAAGTTGATTCAAAATGTCAAACCTTGGAGCAACCTTGGAAGTATAGCTTCGGAATTAGAATATTTCGTCATTTGGGAGCAACTTTCTCCGGCTCCATAGCTCAAGATCCAAGAATAGGAATTTTATGGTTCAGGCAGTAGGTAAAAATATACTTTTTTTTTCATTCAGTCCCGAGCTCTTAGTTGTGGGGTCTCGAAAGTTCAATCGGACACCAAATATATATATTTACTGTCTAATTCAGCAACAGTCTATATAAAGACCAAATGCTTAAACATTCTCCTTCATCTCAACTGAGCACGTATCACCCTTCTCCTTGTTCCTAGCAATAAGTTCGGCGGGTGTGACCTCACCTTGAGGCAGATGACGCGCCATAGAGACAATCTGCCAGGGCGACGATGCATCCCGGAAGACATGGTTCAACATCTCAAGATTGCGGTTCATCGTCTCAGGATAGAAAAAGTACACTAAAATAGGAATGCAAGCCGACAGAATTGCGTACATGATATAGTACCGGTATCCAATTGTGTCGAGTGCAACTGGAGTCACCATGACCACGACGAAATTCCACAGCCAGTGGTTAGCTGTTGAAATAGCTGCCATTGCAACTCGCAGGCGGACCGGTGCTACTTCGGTACAGTACAAGAAATTGCCACCAAGAAAGCCAATAGGGTAGAAGAGATTGAAGAGAAAAATAAAAAATGCTGATGCAATAGACGCATGTTTGTTGTCTGTGCCGAAGCTCGTCGTCACGGCCATTGCGGCCATGCAAACTGCCATTCCGGCTCCGCTGATCATGAACACGGCACGACGACCTAGACGGTCGATTGTGAAGAAAGCGATAAAGCAGCATAAGAACTTCCAGGTCAAGGCGCAAGCTGCCAGAATTTTCGATAACTTCGAGCCTAAATTCAAATTCTCCTCGAAGATTGTCGACGCATAGACTGAGATCAAATTTCCGCCGCACATCTGCTGGAAAAATTGCAGTACGATGCAGAGACAGAAGCGATAAAGAAGACGTTCATCGTCATTCTTTGAGAAGATCTCCCGAAGAACACCCTTTGACTGAGATGTAACTTCGAATGATATCTCAATGCCAGAAATCTCAGTTTGAATTACTGTGTCATCTGGCTGGGTACCTTTAAGCGTAGCTAGATTGATGGTAGCCTCTTCAGTGCGATTGACGCGAACCAACCAACGGGGCGATTCAGGCAAAAAGAAAATAGATGCCAGAATCACCAATGATGGGAAGAAAGAGACAGCAAGCGGTCCCCTCCACTGACCGGTGTTTGTACCGGGAAGCTCGCTGAATCCAAAGTCAATCCAGTTACAAAGGGAGTAGCCGAGACACATAAAGATGCCGTCAGCTACGACATGCTGGCCTCTGTTCTTCGCAGAAGAACACTCTGATTGCCAAACAGGGACTGCCACACTCAATTGGCCGACTCCCATGCCTAGGATTATACGACCGACGGTGAATTGGATCAAGGTATACGCGGAGGTCTGTAAAACCTGACCGATGACGGTCAGGATCGCACCCAGGAAGATGGTCTTTCGGCGGCCCAGACGGTCAGACAAAACTGTACAAGACAGGGCTCCAATCAGAGCACCGATTTGGAACGAGGCGATCACGGCACCTTTGCCGGTGGAATTGTGGGCTTTCATGGCACCTTCAGTGTTGATGGTATCGATTTGAGGGAATGTCGCAACCCAACTGGGAAGGGTTGCCAAGGGGCCAGTACCGGCTTGGTTGTATCCGAAAACAAAAAAGGCCGGGGCTACGATGAGCATCATTTGGGCAAGACGCAATGCTCGCCCAGTGAGGCCCATGTATAGTGAAGAAGACATGATGGAAGGAGAGTGCAGTTTTATAGTGATGCACAATTCGAAAAAAAAAGAAAAGTACACTGGAGTCGGAAAATAAGGTACGATGCACGCTATATATGCATTTTCGCAAATCATACCATTCCAAAAAAGACAAGCTGCTCTCCTGTCAGCATTAATGCTTGGTCTGGGGTCCCCATGAAACCGGGGAAGCGGACTTTCACATCCCCGCAAACTGGGACAGTTATGCAGTGGATATGCATTAAACCGGGGAACGAATGACGCCTGATGAGAGTTGGCCTCTAGTTTCTGGGGTGACTTGCCCCCGTGGGGACTGGCCCACGCATATCGGAGGTTGCATTCTCCGAAGGCTGAGTGGTGCTTTTGTATATAGCCCGGACATTACATCACGAGGTGCAATGCTTGTTTGGACGTGCAGTGCACTTAAAAATCGTCCAGTTTTAGCCGGTACAAATTACTAGGATCGAGTCACCAATGAATCTATGTTGGATATGAATCCCACGCAGCCTATCTAGATCGCCATGAGGCTATGCGCCTGGGCACGCTGCTCCACATTGAACAAGAATATGGCTCAAAGTTGGGCCAAAGCTTTACGGCTGTTTATTTAGGCTGAAGTCAATCCATTGTGATTTACGTTGGAGGAAATGTCAGGTTCAAAGTATTGTCAATGATTCTTGTTTAGTTTGTATACAGTGACTGCTTATTCTTGTTCACATCTCCCCTCAAACAGCCTAGTTGCTGGCTGCAAGCTTCTTGATCTCAGCCACAACGGCTTCAGTGACCTCCTTTGTGGTGGCATTACCACCCAAGTCGCGGGTAAGGACACCCTGCTCACAAACATTCTCGACACAAACGAGCAGCTGCTTGGAGGCCTCCTCCTCGCCAAGCCATGCGAGCATCTCGGCGGCAGTCCAGAAGGTAGCCACGGGGTTGGAAATACCCATTCCGGTGATGTCGAACGCGGAGCCGTGAATGGGCTCGAACATACTGGGGTACTCCCGGGTGGGGTCGAGGTTGGAAGTAGGAGCAATGCCAATGGATCCAGCGAGAGAAGCAGCAAGATCAGACAGAATATCAGCGTGCTAATTCGATCGTCAGTTCATAGCCAAGAGTCGAATTCCCGCACATTTCCTAAACTCACCAAGTTAGTGGCAACAATGGTATCCAGACTCTCGGGCTTGAGGACCATACGAGTAGTCATGGCATCAACAAGCATCTTGTCAACAGTGACATCGGGGAAGTCCACAGCAACAGCCTTGGCAACCTCGTCCCAGAGAACCATGCCGTTACGCTGGGCATTGCTCTTAGTGACAACTGTCAAAAGCTTGCGAGGACGCTTCTGGGCAGTCTCGAAAGCAAATCGCATGATTCTCTCAACGCCGTGGCGAGAGAAGATTGAAACCTCAGTGGCAACCTCCCACGGCTTGCCAGCGTGGGAGCGACCGCCCTGGCCGGCGTACTCGCCCTCGCTGTTTTCGCGAATAATCACCCAGTCAAGGTCATTGGGACCGCACTTGCGCAGTGGTGACTCAGTGCCACGGAACACCCGTGTTGGGCGCACGTTAGCGTATTGTTGGAAAGGCTGGCAGATGGCCAGGCGGAGACCCCACAGGGAAATGTGATCGGGGACATCTTGTCTCGTAAGTTCCATGTTCAATTTCGAAGTTTGATTTCCACTTACCAGGAGCGCCGACAGCGCCGAAGAAAATGGCATCGTGCTTCTTGAGCTCCTCAAGGCCACCGTCGGGGATGTACTTTCCGGTCTTCTTGTAAGTCTCCGAGCTCCAATCATAGTGCTTGAACTCCAACTTGAAAGTCTTGAGGGTATCAGTCAAGGCATTGAGAGCAACAATACCAGCATCAATGACCTCTGGGCCAATGCCATCAGCAGGGATTGAGGCAATGCTATATGTCTTAGACATGATGTGTGGTGAAGTGGTCCAAAGTAAGTTAGGTGCAGCAGAAACGGTCGAACTCAGAGCGAGCGAGGATCTTTAAAGAAGTTTGTTTCCAACACCTGAGAATCGAGTCTCCACATGGAATTTGCCTACAGACCTATCGCATGACCCCTCATCGCGAGCTCATCCAACAATAATCTTTGTCGCGGGGTCCAGGTCGGAGATTGAAAGATCCGGGGTGTGTTCTGCGGCCAATTCATGCCCGTGGTATCCACCCGGACAAAGACATGTCCGGTGGCGAACAGCCCTAACTTGCAGAACATACTCGATCGAGATAGACTGTGTTCTGTTCAAGCCAAACTGTAGATCAAATCTGATTTCAGTAGTTATTTTGAACAGTTGCGAGAAATCACAATCTGAACCTCAAGAATTGTCTCTCTCTGATTCACCGTCTAAAATATCCAAGTAAAGAGCCGATTCAAGATGCCGATACCACACGAAGCAATCAAAACTGTCCTCGATCAAGTTCTACCTCATATTGAACAACACATTAAATCACAAACATCATCTCCAACCAAGCAACCCTTCATTCTAGCCCTGACAGGACTCCAAGGCAGCGGAAAATCAACCTGGACCGACGCGCTCGTGAAGACTCTACGAGAAAGCCACAAGTACAAAACAATCAACCTCTCCCTCGACGACCTTTATCTCGACCATGATGAACTTGTCAAACTCCGCACAGCCAATCAATCCAACAAGCTTGTCCAAATGAGAGGCCAACCAGGCACCCACGACATGGTACTCGCACGATCATTCTTCGAAAGCTTGAACAATGGCCATGAGGTCTACATCCCGTCATTCGACAAGAGTAAATTCAATGGAGAAGGTGGAAGAGCACCGAGAGAGATATGGGAGCGAATTCCATCCGACGCGGTCATTGATATCGTTGTGTTTGAGGGATGGTGTGTTGGATTCCAGCCATTGAAGGAAATAGATCTTCGACAGCGGTGGGAGAATGCATTGCACAAGGAGTCTAAATCGGTATATCCGACGGAAACTTTGAAGGAACATGCAGTTGAGCATTTGCTGGAAGCCAATGCGAAACTACGTGGCTATTGTGATCTTTTCATGGGGCCGCGGCACTTGGATTTCCTGGTTCATCTGGATTCCGATGATCTGGCCAATGTGTATCAATGGCGCGTTCAGCAAGAACATGCTCTTCGTCAGCGAGCCTGTGAGAGCATGACCGATGAGGACGTTGTTCAGTTTGTGAAAAGTTATATGCCTGCTTATGAATTGTATTTGGATCAATTGCGATGTGGATTTTTCAATCTGAAATCGTCTGATGTTGCGAAGAAGGGGCAGTTGAGGGTTGTTCTAGACCAAGATAGAAAGGTTGTGAATACTGTCTTGTATGAGTGAATAGGCAAATATATGTGTGGTACAAAATACAATACAAAATGCTCGCTCTTGAGATAATTATAAACCTCACAGGAAGTTATTGTGAATCATCCATGGTCCATCAGCTACACTCCATAGATCGTTCATTAGCATAGATGACGAGAAAGGCAAAGAGTCTTGACCAGCAAAATTCGGGTTGAAGGCAGCATTGCCGTCTGCCATGTTGCCAAAGATGAGCCCCGCTGAAGACTGTCCAGCGATGGGGTTGCAAGCAGGGTCCAGCATGTCATCATAGTTGCCTATATTATCGGGCGAAAAACCAGCCGACTCATAGGCCTCCGCAGGGTGAGATGCTTGGGCAGTGGATCGTACGGACGATTGGAATGGATGGATCCCCGCGGAGGCCTGGCGTTCTTGGGATCTGCTCGTCACCGAGGATTGGGGTCTGACTAGTGTAAGGCCTGGATCACCGACTTCATTGGTTCCATCTTGAACTGACGGGAATTGAGATCTCCTTCGATCCATAGATGGCGTCATGTGAGCGTGCTGTTGTGTGGGTTTATCGGTATTGTTCATTGTTGCTGGAATTTTGAATTGCTGCCCATTGGATGTTTCTGTCAAGAACGCGGATTCCATTCCTTTGATTGCCTCAATACAAGTCTCTGGCCAGCTGCTACCGCGTAATGACAGATTTTCCAAGATTGCGATGCCCATCCTTGCATATTTGAGAGCGGTCGGCGCAGCGAATTCTTCTTCCCAAGCAGCATACATGATAATGAGACAGGCCATCCAAGTTGACCATGTGAAGCATGGCCAAGACAATGGAGATTCCGATGTAGAGGACATGTGCTTTCTCAATGCGGCGAGTATAGACCGCGAGGACCCGATACAAGTTTGCAAGGCATTTTTATAATCTGCGCTTGGCTTTTCGGCAGCTAGAAGAGGCCGGTTGAGTGAAATGATAGCTTCGTGCCGGAGAATCATCAAGAGTAGCCGGTGGTATGGTTGTAGAATTGGATCTTGGTCAAGGCCAACTTCCGCAGGCTCATCAATGGGGTTGACGTCGTCATAGACCTCATTCCACCATTGCGATAGTTCCCCCGTGACATGAGCTGCCTCAACCTGACTGGCGTGGCTGTGGAGTATGGATTTGTTTCGAAGTTCAACAATGAGACCTCGAATCCGCGCGAATTTTGCTAGATGACACACCAAGCGTAATCTTCGATCATCGGAGGCTTTGGGGGTAGCTGAAGAATGCCGCTCGAAGCCAGGGTAGCACACGTCAATATCATCATCTCGGATAGAAAGAGGAATGCCGAGAGCTTGAGAAAGATATCTCTCCAGTGAGTAGATTGACCAAAATAATCGACATCTTATATCCACTTCTTCACTGCTAAAGCACGAGAAGCGCCGTGGGCAGCGATGCAGTCCGAGGTGAAACGCAGTTCGGGTTATGACTCCACCTACACGCGAGGCAGCATTCAAGCGCAGGAGGGAAGTCAGTGCAACTTGTGCAGTAAAAGCCGCTTGTAACAGTGCCAAGGTGGTAGGTTCCTCAAGCAGACTTTGCACATCCTGCATGACATGCTGAATGCTTCGAAAAACCAAGACCGATGGAACGGGACTGGGTTTTGATTCGGATGCTGTTTGTCGGTTATCGCCAAGAGATATTGATACAATGGAGCGGAGAATCATCAACTCTAGCCGGCTGACTGACTCCACCCCTTTCTGGCTGACAATCTCCATAGTCTTCAAGACTGTGGGGGCGTGAAGACACGGGAAGATTGGATGCCAATTTTCAAAGTAGCTGCGCGTCCACTTCACAAGATCGTCGAAGGCAAAAGAGGCACTCAGATCAAAGTTTAATTCATCTCTCCCCCAGAGTTCATCAGAAGTGTGAACACTTCCTGCACTTCGCCTCAGTCGGTCGTCTTCGCCTGGCACTGATGTTCTGTCGCGGGCTCGTGTTTGATCCAAGTCTGCCGAGCGGCGTGCGAAAGCATTGTAAACATGGCGGATAAAATGAATTCCACTTGAGCTTCCGAGGAAAGTAGCAGATCCTTCATTTTGCGACTCTCTCATGAACCCAAGTTCGCGAGGCGAGGGTCCGGATGTCGCTGCAACTGAAGCGCGTTTGTGTCTCTTGGTTGGACGGGAAGGGTAGGGCCATTCTGATTCATTCTCTTCAAACCGTGTGCTGGCAGAAGAAGGTGAAGCCATCATTTCTGCTCCAAATTTATTACATTTTTCGGTTCTGAAATGTTCGAAGGAAAGTTTTCAAATCCTCGATTTAACCTGTAGGTCCGGGGAAGTTTAGTCATGTATTATGTCAGCTTTTCTACTGCCACGATCGGGGAACTATATACATCGACGCAAAAGATTGGGGACTAATAAAATACGTATCCTTTATTCATGTCTATAGGATTATCCTATTGAAGGTAGAACTAAAGATTGGAAGACTTGTTTAAAATGCACCTTTTCCAGGGGTACTATCTCCCATCAAAGCAGCACAACCCTGCTCGACATCCGAAGGCCGGAGAAGCTTGCTATTAGTACCAAATTTGTAAGCCAGCCCAACAAGTGTTTTCTCTGTTCAAATGTTAGAAAGCTCCTGCTGTTAAGAGTAGGTACTTTACTTACCATCAGGATTGTAACGAGGCCACCCGAACTTGGTCAAGCCATGGTGTGGGTCACTCGCAAAAGCCACCCAAGCGGAAGCCATGTAACGGGCAAATTCGTTCTCTTGGTCGCTATTCGGGATTCCACTGACTTGTTCAGCGGTTCCGAACAGCATTGGGAGATCAGCTCCGTGGTAGCTTCCACTGCCATCGTAGAGACGCAAGTTGTCCCAGTCGCCGAAATAGTGGGACTGCCAGGCTGGAACATTGTTATCAACTCGATATCTTGCGGATGCACCGCTAGGGCAGGTGAAGGCTGCGTCGTTGAATCTATCCCATACGCTGTTGCTGCGAGAGATGTTTGCTGCGTATGCACTCACGCGATAGTAGCCGGGCTCATAATTGTTGCTGGTGATCAGATATGGCTGTGTTATATTAGTCTGCTGGTAAATAATCAGTTTGAGTCTGCTGTGTACTTACTATCGGCGCAAATTTTCCCGCAGCAGATCTTTTTGCATAGTCATCGAACACAGTAACACCATCCACAGTCGGGTGGAATACCGATTGTGGAATCGTAGGTGAAGGTGCTGTAGGAACCTTGGCACTCGCCTTCACCACGTCGCGATATGGCTTCGAGCGAACGCATTTCACAACTTCCTCGTGATCAGAATTCTCATCTCCACAACCAAGAACTTTTGATGCCGTGAAGAAGTTGTTGCTGGATTGTTCGGCGGTGTTAGGGACAAAACTGAGCGATGTGCCAGAGTGCGAAATCAATCCTGCAACAAGGGGATTGTCGATCCAGGCTTGTGAGTAGTAGTCGACTGAAGAGCCACCGGCAGATTGTCCGAAAATAGAGATACGATCTGGGTCTCCCCCAAATGCGGCGATATTGCGATAGGTCCATTCAACCGCCATGCGTTGGTCCAGCAGGCCAGCGTTCTGGGGAAGATTCGGTGCGCCTGAAAATCCGAATATATTCAAGCGGTAGCTGGCTTTAATCAGCAAGAACACGGAAATTGCTTCACTTTAGGAATATTAACTTGATCGTCACTACCACCACATCATGCTCATCCGCAAAGGCTTGTCCATCGTAGTATGGATTGTTCGCGCCACCACCATTGAACCCTTTGGAAGTTTTAGCTTTGTTAAGAAGTTGAATTAATCAAGATGAAACGTACGCCCACCATGAATCCAGAGCAAAACCGGCTTCAATTTGGAGACAGTGGGCCGGTTCCACACATTCAAGTACAGACAGTCCTCACTCTGTGAAGTTCCCAGCTGCTGCGTGAACGACTTGATAATTCGAGGAGCTTGAGGGGTAAATCCGGGATAGTCTGGGACTGACCCGGTATTAGCGGGACAATCACTATTCCTTGTCAGATAGGTAGATCATTATTATGAACATATACATACGGGCCCTGTGAATGGCGGTCAGTATCACGTATCAATGGTCAAAGAGGGGTTATGCATACATATGCAGCTGCATGCACGATCTCATCGGAATGGTAAGTCACTGGAGGCGCAAAGCGTAAATCCCCAATCGGTGGCGATGCATATGGGATGCCGAGGTACTCAGATACTGCAGGCCTGCGAGGCGCAGAATGACCTTCAATCATACCACTGCTAGTTCGTACAGAAGCACCAACATGTTTCTCTGGGTGATCTAGGCATTTTTGGCTCCAAGCTGCAGGAAGGGATGCCAGCAATAGGGCAGATCCAAGTGGCTTCCAACACTCCTTCATCCTCGAATTATATTTTCTTGCGATATTTGTATTAGAAACAGGATAAGCAGGTGGAGAATGAAGAGATAGGCGTTTTGGATTGTTACGTGATGGTGGCTTCCGGTGAACACAATATTGTTGATCATGCCCCGATAGAAGGAATCCTCGGTCCGGGGATTGGGGGCGAGATACATATCTCCCCGAAGGATGCGGAAATGCAACGTGCCGATCTTCTGGTAGACTTGGCAGAGCAAGTTTTGATTTAAGGATTTTATTGCCTATACCGTAAATGCATTAGTACCAGATCGCCAAGAGTGTGTGTGACTAGCGAGTCATATCGCCAATTGGATAAGGCGTAAGCAGAGCAACCTTACCTACGTGTAGGTACCTGCAAAGGTGTATAGCGGCCAGGGATCAAATACAAGATTTGCTGACCGCGCACTACGCAAATTACAACAACTAAAACAAGCATTAACTAACTAACGTATTTAACTACCGAGCCGCCATAACCCCCGAGTCGCCACCCCAGCCTAACCCATTGAATTTAAATGCATTTATCTCAACCAAAACGCCATCAATTTTATTCAACTAAGAAATGGTCTATCTGGGCATGTCTCTCTCCTATGCCCTGGCAACCTGCATATTCCACACCCCCTGGGGGCCGCGTCCGCGGTCGAATAGCCGGTTCCCCCGCTATGTGAGGGCCAGGGGGAGGTGGTTCAATTACTCCCTCTGCCTGCATATTTAATGTTGAGGTATCTAAAACTGAGAGGCCCTCGGCCGAGGGTATATACCTTCGAGAACTAGTCCGCTTCTGCTTCTTTTTCTCGTTTTCGGCTCGTAACCCGCGTACTTCTTTCTCCAGAAAAGCACTCGATTGCATCTGAATTTGGCAGGCCTTTAGAACATGGTTTATCGCATTATTAAGTGGGCTCGGAGGACTCCGGGATCTCGTATGAAGCAATGCTTTGATTGATGTAGCCTGCTTTAGTAATTGTGTACAGTTCGAAGGCGTTTTTGGTTCCCACTCGCTCTCTTGACTTGAGAGGGGGGTCGGGGTTCGAAGGCGAATACTGAGCTTTGTAATTACTCGATCAGGTGAAAAAGGTACTAGACCAGCTGCTCCGAAGCTATTGATAATAGTATCGGATTTGAATGTCTCGGAGCGGGCGGAAGGGTAGGCTTCGAGGAAATCAAGTTTGTCGATATGGTTACTCCCATTCCGCATTTTGGTTTCAACAAGCCGACCGTACGAACGTTTTAGCACCGCAAAACAACCAATATCGAGCGGCTGTAAAAGGTGGGATGAGTGCGGAGGCATGCAGATTGGGATAATGTCGTTTTCTTCGCAGATCTTATCGAAGTTCGGGGTTAAATGACTTCCGTGGCCATCGAGTATTAAAAGTCGATATCGACCCTTTACCCTTAAAGAAGTCGATGGAATGAAAAGCTTTTTAAGCCATCGAAGTCCAATTTCATCAGACGTCCATCCATTCGGACTAATCTCAAATCGCCAGTCATCGGGAAGGTTATCGAACCATCCCTCAATATAGATTCTACCTTTAAAAATCACAGTCGGAGGAAGTACCCATCCCGAAGCATTTATACACTCAATCGTAGTTACCCACTCGCGATTTCCAGGCTGTAGAAGCGATCGCCGACCATAGTATTCACTCCTTGTAATAACCCTCGCGGTTGACGTTAATCCCATCGCGAAACCAGTCTCGTCGAAGTTATAAACGTCGTCGGGGTTGATCCCATATTGGATAATAGTTTGTTGGACGAGAGTAAACCACTCCCCGATGATTTTTGGATCTTCGCATTTTGCACGCTCATAATTATAGCGCCTCGAGAATCTACTCGATAATTCGGGATGCCTTTTCACATACTTTGTAACCCAATTCTCACCGACCGAAGGAGCCGGGGTTATTCCGCGTGATTCGAGTAAAAGATTCGCCATTTCTCGAACTGCAGAAGGCCGAGGGGCTGATCCGCGAGCATCCATAGAGAGTATCCAATTTTGAAGGGAATCTTCTTCAATCTCTGTGAGTTTATGTGAATTTGCGCGTACAATTCTTCGCTCGGTGCGGCCGGAGATACGATCGCGTAAAGTGGAACGTGGTACATTGAAAGTGCGAGCAGCGAGAGAAACAGTAGCGATATCTTGTTTCTTAAAAGCTTGTATTGCTAATAAGATCCTACCCTCCTGCTCTACTGAATTTCGAGAGGTTTGGGGGCGAATTGGTGGCATAGTGGATGGTTGAATTAATTAAGTGCTAATTCATGGACATGTTTTAGATTATGTGGCGACTCGGGGGTTATGGCGGCTCGGTGGTTAAATACGTTATAGAAAATATCAATTAAACAAAGTCTCTACATAGTTTTCTCTTTCACTATTTCCACGAAGAATGGCACCTTTATACCCTAAAAAGAGAGATGAAAAGAGATCTAAAAAGAGAACAGTAACAATTAGTTATAGATGGGAATGTTTCCAATACATGCTATGATAGAAAGTCTAGAAAGAATCTTCGGGTATTGATCCTATATGACTATATATAGAGAAACGCATTTGACTCCTGGCCACTATACACCTTCGCACTTACCGCTCAATACAGTCCCTGCAAGCTTTATAATTGTGTAACCCTCATGCTTTATACCAGCAAGATCAGAATGCTAGATGAAAGGCGATCTCATTAATTTCACTTGTCTTGCTTACTTCGATGTTTGTGTATATTCCTATTTTGTTTCAATAATGTGTTTGTCCACCATATGCACCGTAGGAACAAATATAGATAAGACTTTCCAATAACCTTAATCCTTCGAATCCTTCGAAACCCAATGAACTCGAGATCTGCCTGTAGAACCGGGGCCCAAGCTACCAAGCGCCCCAAAACCAAGTATTGCCATGATGTTATCAAGGGCAGCAAAGAATACCAAATCTATAAAATAGCCCATGCGTGAACCCTTTAAGACAAACTGAGCCGTGTTCATGGACTTACAATGACTTAAGAAATCGGATTGAGCCCCCAGGATGTGCCTAGTCGAAGGTTTACACTATGGATGTGCAGTGTTATAATGGTGATTGTAGTCGGGCTGTTCGTTCTCTCCAGATTGGCCATTCGATTCCGCCACCGTCAACTGGGATCAGACGATTGGATGATCTTCGCATCGCTGATGGGTATTTGAAAGATTGAGATATGAAGAGAGCATGAGCCAAATACTAACAGATAGTTGGCAAATATGTTCAATCATTCTTACCTTGACGGAATGCTCCGGTTAGTTGACCAGTTATGGATACTTTTCGGTTGTAGGGTCATTGGTTTGGTTATAGCGGTACATTATGGCTATGGCAAACGCTCGAAAGATATCAGCCGTGAACATCAAATCACCGTCCTGAAGTGGTTCTTCTGCGCTCAGATCGTCTACGAAATCCTCATCGCCGTCAACAACATCTCCTTCCTATGCCTATATCCTCGAATGTTTCTGCAGCCGTTCTTCGGGGATTGCTGCTACTTGGGCTTTGGAATCGTGAGTCTCTGAGGTATAGCTTATGTCTTTCTCACTATCTTTCAGTGCAACCCTATTGCCTCCTTCTGGAACAAGTCCATCAAAAATCCGAGCTGCCTAGGCAAAGAGGGTCTCTCGATAACATATTCTATCATGAACCTCATATTCGATCTAGCAATCATAGCTTTGCCAATCAAGCCTGTAAACCAGCTGCAGCTTCAGCGAGTGAATAAGATCGGCCACCTAGCCATTTTCGGGAGGGGCGCATTGTAGGCATTATTCCCACGGGCCTCTCAACGATGGCTAACAAAACTAGTGTGTGCGTCACAACCGTTGCGCGCTTGACCACCCTTGCCGAGTCCGCTCATGATTCGGAACTAAGTAGTAAGTATCTACGCCTATGCGCGGTGCGCTCTCAGACCATGGCTAATCTAACAACGGTAGGCGGTCCCATCCCAGCTACCATTTGGAGCGTAATTGAGGCAAACAACGGCATCATATGCACCTGTCTGCCGGTCTTTAGGCACCCTCTACAATTCTACTTTCCGCGTCTTTCCGCTTCGCACAAGAGTCAAACTGCAATTCCATACAGTCGATCTATGTCGCTTCATAAGCGACGCACCAGCAAATTTGAACATAATCTCACCGAATCAAATAATGCCACATGGCAGGATGATGATGTGGAGATGATGGGGCCAAGAGCCATTATCCTGATACTCACAGGATCGTTAAGGTGACGAGTATACAGGTCTCATATCAAACGTGTCTGAATCAACAACCGGGGTCTTTGGCGCGACCCATGTCATCGCTGGATTTTTGATTGAAATAGAATCAAAATTGCGGTGAATGTAAAGTATATCAAGATACATATAACTATGTATGTCACAGAATCAATATTGTCATTCCAAATCCGCCAAGTATAAAAAGCATCACGTGCATGCCCCGGAGGTTTCTTACTCCGAAACTTTCATCCGTCAAGCCGCAACATGCAATGTGCATATCAACCAGGTTGAATTAAAAGCCCTTGGCAAGCTGAAACCTCGCATTGAACTCGAAGAGTTTCACTGCATAATACATGAAATCTCCCAAGCAGCCGATGGGGCAATTGCGATCGAAGCGGACTAAAGCATCTGCTACCATGCCAGGTGAGACCGAAATACCCCACATGGAGCATAGATCGACTGATATGATATACTCTATAGAAGAAGAAACCTTGAATACTATTTCCTGCGAAATATGCAGACAGCGGAAATGCAAAGTATGTATGTCCACCTTTTCCGCCACATCAACACAGATAGCTTATCAATTATAGTGTGACCGCAGACTGTAAGACCAACTATTCGGGCCATTTGAACAGCCAGTCGTACTAACATCAGAAGACCGTTCTGTTCGCAATGCGCCAGCGAGCCATCAAAATGCATCTACCCAGAGAGTGGCAAGCGGTGAGCCCAACAACTCAGCAAGGATTTACCAGCTCCAGCTCCAGCTCTAACAACCTAACAGCGGCCTACCACTGGGCTACCTTAATCAACTCGAGCAAAGACTGCAAGAAACCGAGTCCGCGCTCTACGGAGCCCTAACAACTCTCCGCGCACTAGGCCAAACAACATCTCCACTCCCCAAACCAGACCAACCACCCAAACATAAATCCGCCCGAATGGCAGAATGGTCCGGTCTCCCTCTCCGCAACTGGAAAGACATGGAGCACTGGGCGAGCGCCATGTCCGACCAGTTCGCTACCGAGGAGAGTGGGAGCTTGGGTTACGCAATTCCGATGCCGGTCACGCCGTGTGAAACGCGCCCGCCTGAGGAGCCGCACCGTGCATGGCGCGGGGATGGTAGCGGGAGTCCGTATGAGAGTCAGCCGGTACAGGTGCAAGCTATGGCGTCGCCTTATTTTGCGGTTGATGAGGTCATTGCTTCGCCTGTGATGCGGGTTGGTGAGGCCGCTGATGTTGGGGTTTCGGTTGATGCCGTGAAGAGATCCACTCGTGCTGAGGAGCTGTCACATAGGAATCCGAGTCTTTATTTTTGAGAAGTCTGTATTCAAAACGTGGATGGGTTTGGGGTTTTATCTGTAACGGGCTAAATTATTCCAAATGGGTGTCTTAGATTTTAGGTTTCAGGGTTTGGATGGTTGGCAGAATGGAAGGTCGACTTCGTCACTGATGATTTACATACCTAGGTAGATGATGAAAAGAGAGGTAAGCAGTTTCTTTTGTGTCGGAGAAAAAAACAGGGCCAAATCTCAACGCTCTGCAGAATGCACCTCCGTACAACCTCGGAATAACGTTGTACAGACTTCAAAATAGGGCGGGGTCTGATCACACTCCACAACAATTTTCACGGTGGAGCGAAGGGCTTCGAACACGATCCACACAGAACCCACTGAGATAACACACCTAATTTTTTCCAACGCAAAGACGTGCAAAGACGTAGGGGACATCAGACCTGATCACTCGCAAACCTAAGCGCCGGGCGCAAAAAGGAAGTTAGGCTATTAGCTGAATTTTCTCACCTGGAATATCTGATTGGTCGTACTATATTATCACGGGTGTCCCTGAACAGCCATTGACTGGCGATCATCCTACAGGACACGGAGCACCGTGCTACTTTGGACGGGAACAAATGAAACGTCCGTGCTGTTGATCTAAGAGCCCGGACCTGCATTCAAGTGTTTCATTGAAATTGCTTCGGATTGCATCACTCGATAGGTTCACGTGGACTTGGAAGACGTGTCTGCAGACTTTTGGAGACAGCGCAGGACACGTTTGGTCAGGCCCGATCGTATATTCGACCCCCCTCCATACCTAGGTACGCGTTCGGGACCTTACAGGACTATAGAAAACCCTTTTCGGGGCAAACAATAATAGGAACTCATACCGCATGACCCCTTAGACCAAATGCGCGCGTAGTCCGAGGACTGTATGGAGTAAAAAATGAGGCGAAACTGCAAAGTGTGGATGAACCACTCACTCCCATCCAACATGAACAACTGGGCCCTGTTGGTCTTCTAGACTGACAATGGTGTAAAAAGACTGGCTCGGACTTCCTGTTGGGTCTCCATAACATCTAGATCCTTTGGAACGGAAGGAAAGGTTTGTACTCGGAGTGGTCGAAAACTGCCTAAACGCCCCCAACCCGTGGAGCCCTGTGTAAGGGACCTTCTCGCCCCCCTACTCTATTCTATTCTTCTTTCCAACCTCCTCTGTGCATATTTTTGGGTTCCTTCATTCTCTCCTTTATTTTCTTCTCGTCCTCGATACAGTGATCTGAGATCCTGGACTCCTTTTTCACTTACTGATTGTGCGCTCCATTCCTTCAAGAGCCCAATTCCCCTCCCATTTTGCTGTGCAAAATTTCGAGGACTCATTCATTTTGAAGTGCAAGACGCTTCTTGGAATTAAATCTCAAGCACACATCTATCCAATATCTGATTTCCGATCTTTGATCCTGATCTATCTGGTCTGATTTCACGGATAGTCTGATATCTGACATTCCGTCCCGCAATCGTCTACCACGCGAGATCAAGTCCGCGATCGCAAACGGATAAAAATTCAAAATACAAACAGCCTATTAAAGCAGAGCAAAACACATACCAACGCTGTCTCCGTTGAAATCATCCCATTCATCCGAATTCACCATGTCCAACCTCTCGCGAGCATTCACCCGGCGCAACAAGCGCCCGGAAGTGTCCGCTCCCATGCCATACCGCGGGGAAGGCCACACTCGACTGAATTCAGGCTCCATCAAGCGCAGCAATATATCAGGCCCGCTCCAGCTACTCTCAACAACCAACATGCTAGCCTACAACGCGCCCGATATAAGATCCGCCTCTTCGTCAGCCTCCTCGCTCCGCTCAGACGACGCTTTCTCCCCGCAAAGCTACGCCTCTTCAATGTCTTCCCCGGACGTCTCTCCTTATGAGAGCTCACCCGTCGAGGCGAACCCTCTGACCTCGTACTTCCCCAAGCGCTCGGCGACAGTCACCAGCCACCCGCGCTCATCGACCTCGTCCACTGACGCACCGGTCATCCCCCAGCGCGCGCTGTCGCACACCAAGCGCTCACACCAGGAACTCGCCCGCAACCGATCTGTCTCGCGGATGTCGCCGCCGCCTCTGCACGCCCCGCGCAGCACGCCGACGATCCGCGCCTCGGAGCAATTCTTTCAGCCTGAGCAACCTTTTGTCCAGCCTGAGCATCCTTTCAGCAAGGAGCTGGCGCAGGTAAATGAGGTTGCGGAGGAATTCGGTGGACTGAACATGCTCGATGAGGAAGAGCGCATTCTCCACGAGAAGGGATTGTTGAAGTTCTCCGCTAAGGATTATCTTGTGGAAGTGGAGGAGCTCTACAGTAGCATTTTTGATGATGATACTCGCGGGTCTTTGTACACTTCTTGGTTTTGAGGTTTTTGGTTTTGAACTTATTGGCCGGTTGATCCGGACTCACGACATGCGGACTGCTAGACTGGATTTACGCTGCCCGCCGCGATGACCAACTCTTATTCTCTCTCTTTTACGACTCGCGTTTTTACGATACCATGGGAGGACTTTCTATTCCTGCGCTCATTCCTTGAACTTTATTCCGGTTGTTTTCGATTCGTTATCTCTTTTCCCGTAGACAGTGTTTGTTTGTTTAGTTACTATTGTTTCCTAGACCCTTTTCATGCGACGTACAATGCTATTGAAATTGTGATATGAACATTTCAAGTATTGAATGACTCATGTATTCAATCAGACAATAAAAAACAAAAACAATCAAAGAGATGATAAGAATATTGTAGGTACAATAATGTAACGGTGTGTGTGTAGAATTTTGTATGACAGCACGATGACATAAGCTCTCTCACCCAATAAGGCGGTAGGGCTCACCGACACGGTCACGGGTGGTCCGCAGGCTCCACAGCGAAAGAAGAAAAAAACTTCAATCTTTGCTTTACTTCAGACTCAACATCTCGACCAATCTGTCTGCATCCGATTTTACTATTATCCAATTGACTGAAGAACCCCAAACGGATGCAGACAGATGTTTCCCTCTTTCTCCCATTCCACTCTGTAGCATAAGCGTCAAGATCTCGACCTCAGGTGTCGTGTGCTTGGACCAGGCTTCGATAAGCACTGGTCATTGATTCAACACTTCAATACACTGCTCTTCAGCAAATGTCGACACTGTTTTTCATCTACAAGTTCTTTACTTTCTATCCCCGCACACTCGGCCATGGTATCCCTTGCCACGACTTCACGAACCCCGGCGCTTAAGGCCACTCCTGCATTGCCTCTGTCCAAAATGCGTACCGCTTCCTCCCCAGTCCCGATTCTTAAAACCTCAAAGCCTGCTCCCGCTGTTGGCTCCAAGCGGAAAATGAGTGATGCCGACCTCACACTCTCTCCATCCTCATCCCAGGAGGATGACGTCGAAGATACCCAACCCACCAAGAAGAAGGCACGCGTGCAGTTCGACCGGGAAGTGAAAATGCACGAGGATACCTCGTCGGAAACAAGCTTGGCTGTTGTCCGGGAAGAGGTCCGCGGCGCTATCCATCGCCATGTCGCGATGTCTGAGAGCGAGGGCTATGACCGCATCAAGGGGATTTTCACCGCCGATCCCAAGGAGCAGGGCGATGACGCATTACTAGCATACGATATGCCAACACACACATGTTTGAAGAACCACCTTCTCGGTCTCCTCTCGCATGTCGCCTCCTTGGACCGCTCGTGCAGCGGCCTCGTCAACGCCATCATTAGCAGCGAATGGGTCGGTCGGGACGAATCATATGTCAAGCTCTACATCCGATTCTTGGGCAACCTCGCTGCTGCTCAAAACTCATATCTCGGCTCTGTCCTAAAAATGTTGGTCAGTAATATGACCATTGTCCCTCGAGGAGTCGGTCGACTGCCTGGTTACGCTGTCGTGTCGGCGTCGGAAATTCACACCCGAGTCCACATGGCTTTACGCCACGTTCTACGACTTATTCCAGCTGGTAGTGGAGCACTGTCTCCGATTCTGTCTGCTCAATTTCCTTCCGACGCGGACCCTGCCAGTGCCAACATCACCTACACCCGCAACCTCATCCAAATGATCGCCTACGCCCCAGAGCTTCAGTCCGATATCTTCGGTCTGATCACGGAGAAGCTTGTCAAGATCGATGTTCAAATCCAGGTCGATATGGAAGATTTCGAAGACGAGGTCGGCGATGATCTCCTGCACGAAGCCAATGAGGAGGACGATGAGGACGATGATGTCTCAGTTGCCAGCGGAGATTCGGAGGAAGACGACACCAAAGCAGCGAAGAAGATCAAGGAAAACATTAGCAAGGTCGACGGCATGATCGATCTCCTCTTCGAATACTTCTCCGTTCCCTTCGCCAATGGTAGCCTGACTGACAAGGAGAATGCGTTGGACCTTCTCCTCAGCAACTTCAAGAGCATCATTCTCCCAACCTACCGATCCCGTCACTCCCAATTTCTTCTCTTCCACTTCTCCCAAATGTCACCCGCACTTGTCGATCGCTTCGCTGCGACATTCATCCAACACATCTTCAACAAGCTGCAGTCTGCCATCATTCGGCAATCCTCGGCGGCATACCTAGCCAGTTTTGTCGCCCGCGGCGCCCACATCGCGCCAGAGGTCGTCCGCGATGTCTTCGATCTCCTACTCACACATCTCGACAGCTTGCGGGTCGATTACGAAAAGACCTGCCGAGGCCCCGACCTCCGCCGCTACGGCCCCTTCTACTCGACGGCCCAGGCCATTTTGTACATCTTCTGCTTCCGCTGGCGCGAGCTGACCACCGCAGCCGCCGAGGGCGACACACCCGACCAAGTAGACGAGCTGGAACCCAACCAGATCGCCTTCCCGCCCAACGTGAAAGAATTCCTCCACAAGTGCATCTACTCCCGACTCAACCCTCTCAAGGTGTGTTCTCCGGCCATCGTCGCCGAGTTCGCCCGCATCACCCACCACTTCCAATTCCTCTACGTCTACCCGCTTCTCGAGACAAACAAGCGCATTCGCATCACTGCCTTCAGAAGCATCTCCACACTCGCAGACCCGCGCTTCAGCCACGTCGGTCGTGAAATTCACGCTGGCGACAACGGCGGCTACCAGCTCGACGCTTACTTCCCCTTCGATCCTTACCAGCTTCCTCGCAGCCGACGCTGGCTGGAAGGCGACTATGTCGAGTGGCGTGGCATTCCGGGACTCGACGACGCTGATGACTCGGACAGTGGAGCTGAGGGGTCTGATGACGAATCTGATGGCGAAGATGTCACTGAGACTGATGAAGAGTGAACCTTGTGTGGTTTTGTGGAGGCCTTTTTTTTAAACAATCCAATGGTTGATCTGGGATTGATCTTTTGTTACTTCAGCGTGGCGTTCGGATTTCCACTCATATTTGTGATTGTGATTGTGATCTTTGATTTTGATTTTTGCCAAAAGTTCCTCATACATGCTAATGACTGATGACATCGTGAGCTGAACTGGATTCCCTGGCATATTTACTCATGTACTCTATAGAGCAACATAGCTTCGAAATGGGAAACAATTAAACTTCAAGTCTATTCTATAGGCTCGCGAAGCAGCTAAAGTTACACAGAATAATATACGAAACACCAACAGCACCTTTCACATCTCGCCCCCATGGTGATTCTTCCAACTCCCGGCATAATGATGCGTCACCAGCGCCGGCCCAGTAACGTTCCACTCTCCAGGCTCATAATTATTCGAGCTCGCTGCAAACGCAAACCCAGGCAAGATCAACACATCCTCAACAAGCACCGGCTTCCCTAACCTCGACACGCTCTCCACATCAAACTTCTCACCCCTCACATTCCCCAAACTCTTCAACACACCCCTCGTCAACCTCCTCGGCCCCGTAAGATCAATAACATCCCCCGCCATCTCAACACTCAACTCCCCAATCCCAACTCCAAACATCTCCGCCTTCTCCCGAACAGCATCAACAATATCATCAATAACCACCCCCAAATGCACACACCCCGCCTCCGCCATAATCGTCCAACTAGCAAACTGCCGCATAATATTCTCCCCCCACCCAACATCAAATTCCCACCCAACAACCAGCCCAGCCCGCCCTGCATATTCCACACTCACATACTCCTCAATCGGCACTTCGCACGACACGTCAAGATCAGACCATACCCCGCCCTCGCTGTACAGAAGCAGGTAGCGCAGCAAGTCGGCTTTCAGGATTGGGATTTGTAGCGCTAGGTAGGTGTGCACGATATCTGGGCGTAATCCGAACCGCGCCCTCACATATTCATCGCCCGTTTCGTCGGTCAGCATCTGCACGCTGTAGGATGGGTTCTTGTGCATGCATTCTTCGACCCAGGTTGCCGAGTCGGCGGATAGACCTTTCGGGCCTACTTTGTACCAGATTTTCTTGGGGATTCGGATTCCGTCTTTGGAGGGGGTTGCGTAGTGGTGTGGTGTTTCGGTGCGTGAAGGGTGGTTGTAGAGGATTAGGAAAAGGATTGTTAGGAGGATTATGGTCGTACTGGACAATTTGGTGAATGTTGCCATTGTGGGCTCATTTGCCCGTGTTTGAGCGAATGTAATGGGTATAGAGGTTTTTTAATGGCTACGCCTACGTACGGCCCATGTTGAGATTTTGTATTTGTATTATCTTCCAGATAACCTATTTTTAAGTCCATGTAAGACCCTTGGACCCCTGAATGGGACTTAAGCGATAGAAACAACTTGGGAATTGGAATTGTGAGCTGTTATTGGTGAGCTAAGCTGAATCGAGACAATTTCAAGCCATATCTCACTTGGTGTGGGCTCCACTGCTGGACTATTGGATTTTGAAACTAATGTTTGAGATTCAGTACATTCATTGATTGGTAAAAATATTGAGTATTCCCATCCACCGATGTTATGTGCAAAGTGTGAACATATTATTGTTCTCCCTCCGATCTCTGAGATAAGATAAATGACACCCCGGGAAGCATTGAGTTTCTTGGATCGCCCTCATTCCCCGTCAGTGGACAAAAGAAGACAGCCATTGTTATTGTTTTTGTTTCAAAATTCGGTTCCAAGAAGTTGGAGTACAATGCATGGTTCACGAGACTCTTCGTGCCATTAATGTTGCCTGTCAAAGCCTACCGAAGTAGGACGGGTTAATTCCTATGCTATAGGTAGGAAGGACTGGAATAGGGCTGTGAGTGACATGTGGTCTAATTACCTTGAGACATACCATGGTAGGACTTGCCTTTCAGTGTTCATATTTTGGATGGACGAAGGGTCGACAGATGATGCATAGCAAAATGGAATTATTCATGGAAAGAAAGGCTCCTTCTGGCCTGAGGCGTCTCTTCCTTCATCTATAGAAATTCCGCGCATATTCGACAAAGTAGCTTCTCAACCTCCAGAAACATATCAGCTGAATTTATTGAGCTTTGTGATGTATTCATGCTATTCCAGTAACTATGCAATAATTTCTACGCCATAATTCTCAATTGTTCTCAACTGCCGAGGGCATTTGGCATTTATCCAATCCGGGTTTCGTGCATATGTATTGATTTACACGATGGCGCTCGTGGCGTCAAACTGCCTAGTCGCAGTTCTATACCCCTCACTCGATGCCCAATTCCTGTCGGCTATCCCTAGATAATTCTCTTCACACTGAAGAGATTTTCTGATGCCTTTCTTAGATCCATGGATGGGGTTTTGATGTGGTCTATGCGAAGGAAGAAAGTGTTGAAGGCCATTTCCGGCACGCAGGCTTGAAAATAGAAGAAGTCTCAGAGAATCGCTAGGTACATAAGAATCAAATGAGGACAGCTTCCGCCACGCGCATTCACGGCAAATTGGCTGTTCGTCAAGGGGTCACTCATTAAACCAAGGGTCATTGAGAACTTGCCTCGCTGACGCTCTTGCCGATGGCTCAAAGTGCAATAACCTTCCAATGATATGTCCCAGCCTCACTATATCCTCTCGTGTGAGATCGGGATTTAGCCGGCTATCAAAGTATACTTCTTCGAGCCAATTCTGCAAGTTGGGCCCAGTACTTTCTATAGCGATGCCGTTCCCTGCGTTCATCGTATCCCATTTCTCTTTCCATCTTTCAGGTAAATCATCAGTTACCATCTCTCGCATTTGGCCCACAAGAATTGCGGGCGTTATCAAGAAGGTGTCGAAAGGGGGCTGGCCAAGGAACAGTTCAAAGAGCTGCCAACCTGTTAGTCACCAGTCATTCTATGATTAGTTCACCCACCATGCAACCCATGCTCCACAAGTCAACACGATAATCAATGCGATCTTGAAATATAACTTCCGGTGCCCGAAGAGATAAAGGTGTATGCAGTGTTTCAGGAACAGTAGTGCGCAGAAATGACTCTCCGAAGTCGATGATTTTGACAGTCTGAGCCATATTCCAGGAATACGTTGAATATGAGGTAGGCCTCACGATATATTCGGGTACGCCAGGTTCCAGGAATTTCCCATCGCGATTTTGGACATAACCAATCTCTGGCTTTCCTAACATCTCAGTAAACCTTTCTTCTGACAAATCATCTATTAGAGGGATGGTAAATGCCAAATTGCGGGTATGTAGATCTATATCAAGTGAGCGCCATTCAAACCTTGGAAGTATTTCCAAGAAAGTGATTTACCTCCATGTCCAATCTTTCGCTGGTGCAAACTATCGAGCCCGATTAAACATTGCTTTGCAATGCCTTTGGCGAGCTTGCCAGGAAGCCTCCCATCTGGAAAGTGTGCATGAATTGTGCCTAGAACGTTAGGCCCCAGAAGCTCATAAACTAGGCATTTATGAGATCCATTTGGGCCATTTAGATCGAAGTCATCAAGCATTTGTACCGTATGTTTCGGACAAGGATGATGAGATGCTAACTCTTTCATAGTTTGGAACTCTCGCGTGTTCCAATTATGTCCAGTTTCTGCAATAGAGATTTTGAGAGCAACATATGCCCCTTCCCTATACGCACGCCGTTGTAAGTTAGCTAGAACTAAAGCGGGTCATATTAGCTTGTATAACCTTTGATCCCTTGCCGCCCAAACTGTTGAGTAGCCTCCCCATCCTAATTTATGCAGGACCTTATACCTTCCAGCTTTGAAGGATTCCTCTAAGCTGACTGGGTGGTAACCACCTTTTCGATAGCGATGAAGTGGCTCAGCGTCAACAGTAGAAATTTAGGGGAGATGGTCCATCTGACTCATGTTTGAACTGGTGGACATGGTCCTAGGGGCACTGCAAAGCGGTGAAATGCCCCTCAAAGGAATGAGACGGCTCGATATTATCCATGAGATGACCATTAGATATAGAAGATTGTTAACAAACCATCCCCCATCACTAAATAAATATCCCTTTGGCTAATCAAACGTCCCCTTTACCCGATCCAGTAATGTTGATGCCTGGCAAACATTGCAAACCCAGGCATCAACTATATCTGGTTTGTATGTTAAAAAATGCACCATTATGATCACAATTGAATGCTTGTTTCTGTAATTTCAAATATCTTTTAGCTTTTGAACTTCTAATACTAGGTAATTTGCTTATTGTGGCATCCGTTATAGTGATTTATGTATTTCAATTTCTTGCTAGTCTAAAAGAGACACCTTCAGACATAAACCCTATGAAAAAAAGCCATTTGATACCTTCCCTATAACCAATATTGTAGCACATGGATAGTGGCTGATTCCATAAATGGTAGTATATGTATTACTGCATACTTCCTAGAATCATATGAATGAGAAACCAGTCTCAGCAGTGTCAATTACTTGAAACACTTCGAAAGAGTTCCTTCAGGTACCTATCTACTCTACGCACACCGTCAAGAGAGGAAACCACCTCAACAAACCCATCGGATCTAACAATAGCGAAGGGGCTGGATCTACTCCGTAGGTGACATAGGCATCACCCAAGGCCGAGCCATCGTAGAAGCACATTTCCGCCTGCTGCTTCACACACGCCGAGAATCACCCCACTCAAATGGCTGGTGCAACTTGGGGTGTAGGATGATCTACTCAATGAAAGACTCGGGGAGCTTCGCAGTCGACTCTGAGACTGCCTTGAATGGCTTTGCACAGATGTCGTATCCGTCGAGCAGATCAGTTGACGTGGGACACAAGATGCGAATCGGCCTATTGACAGTAGGTCTATGAGTTTGATATTCAGTCAACTTGCTTTCGATATACCACCGTTTGATCCACATACCATCATGAATGTCCCACTGCCATCCATCGTCATGCCGCACCAAGCGAATATTGAGCAATCTTCGACCTGGCTAATGCCGACATAGAACATCACTGGCATTGTTAGTAACTATGCTGGTTCGCCAAATAAGCTTGGGGTCCATAATTTCGCGGGTACAGTTTCCCGCATATAGAACATTCAAATGGTCTTTCCTGTTTGTGGGCACGGATATGTCTGGTGAGATATTCTTTTTTGGAGAATGTGCGGTCACATGTGTGACACATTCGGTCCTCTCGAAGTCCTGCTCTATTCATCGCAAAGTCAGGCTTAACAAGGTGGATTGACAAAAGGTCTCCTTGATTATGATCTTTGAGATCTAGATTCGCTTCCCCGCCAGATTTCGTGTAGTTGTCGCGGAGAAGAGTGGGATTTCCCCAACATCCGGACATTTATTTGAGCGCCATTATTCGCTGTCTGTTTTAGTCCTATGCTCCCAATATGGAAGTATGTATTGGGAAATATTTCAATGGACACTCTTTCAAGGTACTCTTCGGTAATTTCACTAGATTGGATTTTGAAACTAAGCTTTGAGATTCAGTACATTCGTCGCTTGGTACAAAAAGTAAATATTTCATCCATGGATTTTACATGTACGATGCAGGTCGTCTCCAAGTCGGGATGACCGCATTTCTTTCTCCTAAAGCAATGCGGCCCTGACTCATCAGAGCTAGATTCCCAGGTGGCACCTGCCCATCTACATATGAGAACCCACCCCTGCTCAACGTTTCTATATCCACCACAACTACTCCTTACATCTACAACAACCACAACCATGTCAGGAGATGATCTAGATACGAAGTCTCAGGAGATGAACGGAGAAGACGAAAAGTGGTTCAAGCATGAGCCTGCCCGGAGCTGTGTTACCGTCAAGACGTTGCCTAAAAGCACTGGTGTTGAGATTGAGGCTATAGCTTTGCCGTGAACCTTGTAAGGCTCTGTATCAGTGATATGTACTACTGGTTAGGGTAGTTATAGAGATAGATAGGAAAGTGAGACTTTTCCACAAGATAAGATGTGATTTTTCGGCTCTTTTTGAACTTTCTTAGGATTATCTTCCTGGCTCTATGTCAATCGTGAATATACAGCGGCTAAATATGCCTCAATGTGGTTGCCGCATAACAATATTAGTAAAATCTATTATCGGACACAGACACCATAAAATATAATAAGGTTGGGTATTATGTAAGTAAATCCCCGTATTTGTAGGTCGAAAAAGGAATATCTTAAAAAAACAGCGCTCAAACCCGGAAAACACGGCCGTATGCGAGTGCCACAGTGGGCCATGCACATACCACGAACTGGTGTCTAGGCCTAAATCAAAGCCATGGCATCAACAAGCTAACGCCTGATGAAGTCAAAAATGCCACTAACCCGCCGCCAAGAAATCAAAACAAGGCACAGAAGTCAAGTTTACACTCATTTTTGTGAACCCCTGTTGTGAAATTTGTGACTGGCTTACAAAATGACACAATAGCTTTGATATCCTCATAGAGATATTGATGATCAGACATTAACACTGGTGACTTGATTTCTTCCCCATATCAAGGATTCCAATGACATCATAGCTGGGGACCGGGATATTTGCTGATCGTGAAGATCTTGAGGCGAGTGTGTTATTCTCGGCACGCTGAACCGCCAATGAGCGTCCTCATGCAGGTATTTTGATATAGGCTTGCATACATATAGATGCTGTCTGCTTTTTGTCCAATGTATATACATAGTAACTGTGCAGCCTAGAATTCAGATGCACATGATACGTGATATACCATTTACAGATTTCCGCTTGCATCAGACTTGAACGCAATGATCCAATAAGCCTAAAGAAATGCTTTCTATTTACAGCAGACGCCGTGAATGCCGAAGGGTCCCAGCGCAAATTTCAAATCCCCGCAGTGCTAAAGAAGACAAAAAATGCAATAATACAAATCGAAGCGGATGGATCACCGATCAAAGATTCCCTTCATGGATGCACACGCGTCGCGATACAATACATCCACACTGTCCTGGTCTCGCCATGGATTCGGTGACTTATCCCAGCCATGACGGGCTTTCTCGATGAGCATGGCACGAGGACGCTTGCCAAGACTTTCTAGTCGGCGCACGAAGGACTGGCCTTCTTTCATCAACATATCCCACTCACAGATGAACAGGAAAACATCACGTGGAAGACCTTCAGAGAGAAGTTGATCCGACGCATGGATAGGAGAAGCATACGGGTCGGTACGTTCCTCCAGAACAGGTAGATAAGCCTCATCAAACAGCGTGGTGAAGAATGCCGGGAGAGTTTTATCCGGCATGATACTCATAGCACGACGGTGGTCACGGGATTCCTGGAAATCCAAAATCGGGTACCAACAGAACAAAGCAACGATATTCAAATCAGCCACCTGATTCAGCAGGTTCTGTGTCGATTCCGCTCGACCCAGATTTTCTTTTACTTCCGTCGACAAGCGTCCCCGTAATCGCAACGGCACAGTAACCGCTAAATTGCCTCCAGCCGAGAACCCGCTCAGCGCCACCCTGCTCACATCCAGTCCCAGTTCGCCGGCATGCATCGCTAGATACAAGAGTGCCTCGACCCCGTCGTCTACGGCGGCCGGGTATGGGTGCTCCGGGGCCCGCCGGTAGCTGACACTCACCACTACGGCTTCGACATTGTCTAAGACGGATTTCGCCCAGCGAGAATCATCCGTCGCTGCTCCGAGGGTGAACCCGCCACCGTGGAAGTTGACACATACGGGATAACGACGGCCTAGTCTTCGCTGCTCGTGGTATTTGGGTGGGACGTAGAAATGGAGGACGAGGGAGTGGCGGTGTTTGTCGCTGTTCACGGTGCGGGTAAAGAGTGGTCTTGGCGGTCGGGGTGGACCGATATCATGCAGGAACATCCCGATGCGCATTAGGAACCGCCAGAAGACGGCCTGCACGTAGAGCCACCAACGTGAGGTAGCCATGTCGGAACTGCTGGTGGTGGTTCAATGGTCAAGGTTGTTCGGTGTTGGCATATGCGTTTCGGAAGTCCGGATGACCCGGTAGCCGAGGATAACAGATGGATACGGGAAGTTATGGCGAAATAGGATTTCCAAGCAGTACAAAAAGTACAAAATATTGTAAAAGAGTACAATAAAAGGTAGAATACTCGTGAATAATTTTGAAGGTAAGAGGTTAAATTAAGGTCAAAGAATTGACCGAAGCAAAGACAAAGCGTCAGAACAGCAACTCCATACCAAGAAATCAGGGATCCGAGGTCGAATTTCTTGGTTTTGAGTGATGTCATCAAGTTGTTTTCAGGTCTTGGGCTCTTTTCATATTTATTGTTATTCTGTTTTCTCTTTCTAAATATTTTTTCCTCTATTTCTCAATTCACCCTCCTCTATCATTAATCGATCCTCTTAATTCTTCTCCGACAATCTCAACTCGTGTAGTACTTGGGGACTCTGTTCCTTGCTTACAAAGTTGACGATCCCGTTGAACCAAAAGATCGCCGCTCCCGGTTCCCCCCCCCCCCCACTTTCAAATATACAAATCTCACTCCTTTCTTTCTTCCCCTCTCTTTCATATGCTCACAGACCTATTTCAATATGTCTTCGATTAAGCGAGCACTCTCTAAAGCAATCAGAGGGAAAGAAAATGACGATGATTCCTCCGGCCTCGCCATTCGTTCAGCCTTATCTCCCAAAGTTCGTACCTCGACATCCCGGTCCGGTTCCCCCACTGCGTCCCCTCGTCGCAGCATTCTAGGCAATTTCCTTCGTGACAAAGGAAATGATTATGTCTCTTCTTCTGATGATGTATCTGACGACTCTTCGTCCGGTGTTTTGAGTAAAAACCAACAAAAGCGGTTGGTCCGCCAGCACCGCCGAAGTGAGCGGAGCCGTCTCAGTGAGGAGATGTTCTCGGAAACCGACCACCGCCGCAAAGAAGAAGAAATTGCCAAAGCTGCGGCAGAGGAAACTGCCGATATGAAAGCTCGATATGGAGAGTTGCCCTTGATGCAGTCGTCCGTGCGGCCGCGGGAATTGCGGACTCGCATCGATGACATTACCCTCGCTATGGAAGGGCAGCAGATCTCATTTACGGCGAGATTGCATGTTATTCGTCGGATGAGTGCCAAGTTAGTCTTTCTGGTGTTCCGTCAGCAGCTGGGCACCTTCCAGGGTGTGCTGCATGAGATGCCCGGGGTCTCTTCCATTGCTATGATCTCGTGGGTCGAGCATCTTCGGGTGGGGTCATTTGTTAAGGTCCGTGGTACTGTGCGGAAGCCCGAAGTTCCCGTGCTGGGCTGCTCCATCCACGATGTCGAATTGGCTATTGAGTCTGTTCATCTCCAAGTTCGTCGTGAGGAGCCTGTTCCTTTCAGCGTTTATGAGGCGGAGATTCGGACCAACGAGGAAGAGAAGGCTGAGGGTCGTCGCAACCATATCCCTGATCGGACTCGTTTGGCCAATCGAATCCTCGACCTGCGTACTGCAACCTCACAGTCTATTTTCCGTATTCAGTCTGCCACTTGCAATCTTTTCCGTGGCGCCCTCGATGATCGTGATTTTATTGAGATTCATACTCCCAAGCTGCAGGGCGCTGCCACTGAGTCCGGAGCAAGTGTTTTCCAGGTAAACTACTTCGGCCGCCCTGCATTCCTTGCTCAGTCTCCTCAATTGGCCAAGCAAATGGCTATTGCTGCTGATTTCGGCCGCGTCTATGAAATCGGTGCTGTCTTCCGTGCTGAAAACTCCAATACCCATCGCCATCTGACCGAGTACACTGGATTGGATATTGAGATGGCTATCGAGGAGCACTACCACGAGATGCTTGAGACTCTTGATGCTGTGATCAAGAACATCCTCAAGGGCATTTATACGAAGCATCGCCGTGAGGTCGAGCTTGTCAAGCACCAGTTCCCCTCTGAGGATATCGTGTGGTTGGAGGAGACCCCGATCATTCGTTTCACCGATGGCATCAAGATGTTGAATGACTCTGGATGGCTCACTGAGGAGGGCAACCAGCTACCCTTGGATGAGGACTTGGCTACTCGTGACGAGATCCGCCTTGGTGAACTCGTCAAGGAGAAGTACGGTACAGATTACTATGTCCTTGACAAATTCCCCCGGGATGCTCGTCCCTTCTATACGATGCCTGATGCGGAGGATGACAGATACACCAACTCATTCGACATGTTCATCCGCGGACAAGAAATCGTCTCAGGTGGCCAGCGTATCCACGATCCTCACATGCTGGAGGAAAATATGCGCCGTGTGGGCATCAACCCCGAGGATATGGAGGAGTACCTCGAGGGCTTCCGCTGGGGTGCCCCGCCCCACGCTGGTGCAGGTGTTGGTTTAGAACGTATTGTCATGCTTATTCTCAAGCTTGGCAACATCCGACTGACATCGCTCTTCCACCGCGACCCCAAGAGTCTACCGGCGAAGCCAGTCACGGAGCAGCTTCGCCACCCTGAATCCTCTACTCTCGAACCAACTTGGTTCCGCGAGCACAAGGCCAAGGTAGCTTCCGACCCCAGCGAGCTCCAGCCACTGGAGCACATCGTTGCCAACTATGGTGATGCCACATCCACCTCTTGGTTCGATGAGCGTTTCAAGATCTGGCGTGACATGGCCACCGGCGCCGCAGTCGCCTACGTACCCAGCTCCAACAACTACGCCATCATTCCCGGCAACCCAGCCTGTGACCCCAAGCAATACACTCGTACCATCACACAGTTCCTGCAATGGCTCCGCCGGGAGACAAAGTTCAAGCCCGTCTGGATCCTATGCTCCCCCGAAGTCGAGACCATTCTCGGCGAACGCCTCGGCTGGCGCAGTCTCTCCTGCATCGCAGAAGAGCGCGTCGACCCAAGCCGCAACCAAGCCGCCTCCGACGGCGAAATCGCGCGCAAGCTGCGCCGCGCCGAAAACGAAGGCATCAAGCTCGTCTCCATGAACCAAGGCGAATTGCCCCCAGACGACATCTGCAAGAAGATCGACGAGCGCGTCGCAGAATGGCTCTCCAACAGAAAAGGAACACAGGTCCACCTCTCCGAGATCCGCCCCTGGTGCGATTCCGAGCACCGCTGGTACTTCTATGCCCTCGATAAGGAGGGTACTGTCTGCGCGTTTGTCGCTCTCGCTCAAATCTCTCCCGCCCACGGTATGCAAGTCAAATATAGTCTTGACTTCCCCGGTGCGCCAAATGGCGTCATTGAATACATCGTCACGCACGCTATCCAAACCGCTGCCAGGAGCGGTGTCAAAGGTCTTACTTTCGGCGCTGGCGCCACTGCGCAACTCATCCCCGGCCACAACATGCATGGCACTAAGGTCAAGATGCTGGAGCACACTTACGAGGCTTTGGCGAAGCAGTTCCACCTCGTGCGCAAGAGTGAATTCCGCGCTAAGCTCGGTGCTGTCGAGGACCCCTTGTATATCTCCTATCCGTCGCACGGATTGGGCTCCAAGGGTATCCGGGCGGTCTTGAATTTCTTCGAAGATTGATACCTATCTGGGCTATATCTCGACATGCTTATGCGTTATGATTTGACGGGTTTTGGTTTTGATACTGCGCACGACCGCATGGAATGTGTGGTTTGACCTGGACTGGCTTTCTTGCCGGGTTTTGGAAAACACATAGAGTAGAAAGATGAAAGATGAAGAAGAACAAACAAGAAAGCCTCGTTGGGTTTGGCGTTTGTTAATTACGTGTTGTGTTCTCTTTTGCTCGGCTGACCCTTTCTTATTTTTATTCCCCCTTCTCGCTATCATGTATTCACTCCCCTCCTGTATCTGATTTGTTGATATGGCGCCTTGGGCATTTAATTATTTTCTTATGCTAGATCTTGCTTATTACATTACATCAATGCATTTCATCTGAATATTTACCTTCCTGCATTTATAACATTGGCTCGGCAAACGTAGCTCCATTACTTTGACAAAGTCCGATATAGTACAGCCAATGATCCGAGATACCACCGAGGGGAATGCAATTGATTACAATATAATAATACTCGATCTTTCGAATCTTGCTGGAAATCTGATATGCGGGAGTCATTGCCGTTGGCGACTTTGTACTTGAGCTTGTGTTCTACCTGAATTTGAACTCCTTCGCTGGGAATGTCCCTTTAGGTGTGAGGTCTATGTTTATAGCATGGCCTATGGCTGGTGTCTATAAATTAGTGCATCCTTGTTTTGTTGACAACCTCAAACAGAATGATTAGACTACAATATTATCTATCCCATTGGGTTTCGGCTCAACCCTAAATCGAACCCTCGAACCGAACTCCAAACTACTTCTTCTTCATCAACTCTTCCAAACTCCGCTGCCGCCTAGCATCATCAATGACCCTACCTACCTCACCAACAATCCACCTCCCAAGGAAAACCGCAAGAATAGCAACCACCACGATATACCCAGCAGTCGGCAACAACGACCGCGGGAAAACATTAAACAAGAAAGGGTCTAAAATCAAATCCACCGCAACGGGCGGGACATTTCGCATCAATGCCTGATCAGTGCTGAAATAATCCGCCGCGGCATGGACGCGCAGGAACAAGACCGAGTCGCTGGCCGGTGCGGGATCAAGCCGGTCTTTGGATTTGCCTAAACTGGCGTGCCGGGATACTGAATTTGCTTGAAGCTCAGTGTCTAGTGTTGCTAGACGAGCGGCTGTGTAGACACTCAGCGAAGAAAAAAGGGATGTATCTTCGATTGCTTTTGAGAGAGGATATGTGGTTAGGGTGAAGGAGGTTGGTTGCTGTTTGTGTTAGTCAGACGTTGACTTAAGAATAGGATAGATGAAAGATGTTTCAGTAACAGAATGCAGATAGATGAACTTACCGTTGCTAGCCAGCAGACGCGTACTTCATACCGTTGGCCTGGATTCAGGTTCTCCAGGAAAAACCATGATTCTGTGCCCTCCGGTGCGGCGGTCGTTGGGAATGAGGCATTTAGCCAAGTGCGTACGACGGGGCTCTCTGGTGATAGTCTTTCGAGGCCGAGGTCGTCGAGAGCTGGCTGCTCAGAGGGAATGGTTGCTGGTGCTGGTGCTAGGAAGATGGTTTTTTCCACATTTGCTTGTACCACACCTGAGAGAAATGGGAGGAGAAGTCCAAGGGTTGAAAGTAGCTTCGTTTGCATGTTGACTGGACACTCGAATTTTCTGTTGTATGTGCAGACTCGAGTGAGGTAATGTTTCAATGATGTTGTATTATTCACAGCTCATGGCCGGGTTTAAGAGGCCTTTTTCAAGTATTTTGAGTAATCTAGGACCCAATCAGCTTCACGTAGTCATCATAGTAATTCTTTTTCAGAAGGTTCATACTTTATTAAGGTACTTGTTGCTTTTTTGATACTTGAGCTATGATGCTGGCCAAATGGTTGCGTAGATTTGCGAATGGATCCGAGCTGACCGCGTTGTACGGCATCTGGGAGCTCCAACGCCGCAACTTTGTTTTTCACCACAACTATTCGAGTTATCAGAAATGATCAATGGATATTGCATTCGCACTTTAATAATAATTCAATCATACCTTATAACTATAATCATTCTTTTAAAAGTACCATAATTAGGAGACATCACGTGGCATCACGGGACTCTCTACGAGGCGGTCAATAGCCGTAGCTCCTCGCCGGGAATCGACCAATCAGAGGCGCCAACGCGACCCAACGAACGGATCAACAATGAAGTTCCCCCCCTGTAACAGCACAGACGCTCCTCCTCCACAACATTTCTGGTCGACTTTGTTTTCCTTTCGACATCTTCTCGTCCATTCCTCCCATTCTTCAGGTACTGACTTTCCCCCGCCCCCTTCCGTTGTGCTTGAACTCTGGAAATTGAAAACTGACCCCCCTGACTCTCAGACCGCCGCGTTTGTTGTTTGGGTTTTGATTCCCCTCTCCTGATTTTTTAGCCTGAAAACACCCACCACAATGAGAGAGATTATCAGTTTGAACGGTAAGTTAGCACTATCTATCAAATTCCTTCATCAGAATTGAATTGAATTTTCCCAATTTATGGACGCGCTGACTTTGATTTTCTACAGTCGGCCAGGCCGGTTGCCAGATCGCCAACTCCTGCTGGGAGGTAAATACCCACATCCATTGAAAAAAATATCAACAAGTTTCCAGTAAACTGACAACAGTGCTTTTTAATAGCTGTACTGTCTGGAGCACGGTATCCAGGTATGTTCGGAATTCCAATGGAACTCGTGGCACCCTGTCTTGACTCGGGCACCCGACCCCTATTTTCTTGTCGAGAGGTAAACATCCGCGACTAACACCATTCATAGCCCGATGGATTCCTCACTGAGGAGCGCAAGAAGGCCGACCCCGACCACGGTTTCAGCACTTTCTTCTCTGAGACTGGTATGGAAATCTTCTTGTTCTCTTTTTTCTTCATTTGATGTTCACCCCCGCTTTGATGTGCAAAATTCCACGGCCTGTCACTGACATTCTTTCTCCCCCACTTCACAGGCCAGGGCAAATACGTTCCCCGTACCATCTACGCCGATCTCGAGCCCAATGTCGTCGATGAGGTCCGCACTGGTACCTACCGTTCCCTCTTCCACCCCGAGCAGATGATCACTGGTAAGGAGGATGCTTCCAACAACTACGCCCGTGGTCACTACACCGTGGGTAAGGAGATGATCGATGAGGTCCTTGACCGTGTTCGTCGTGTTGCCGACTCTTGCTCCGGTCTCCAGGGTTTCCTGGTCTTCCACTCCTTCGGTGGTGGTACCGGTTCCGGTTTCGGTGCTCTCCTGATGGAGCGTCTGTCCGTCGACTACGGCAAGAAGTCCAAGCTTGAGTTCTGTGTCTACCCTGCTCCCCAGAACGCCACTGCTGTTGTTGAGCCCTACAACTCCATCCTGACCACCCACACCACCCTGGAGCACTCCGACTGCTCCTTCATGGTTGATAACGAGGCTATCTACGACATCTGCCGTCGCAACCTCGGCATTGAGCGCCCCAGCTACGAGAACCTGAACCGCCTGATCGCTCAGGTTGTTTCTTCCATCACTGCTTCCCTGCGCTTCGACGGCTCCCTCAACGTCGACCTCAACGAGTTCCAGACTAACTTGGTGCCTTACCCCCGTATCCACTTCCCTCTGGTTGCCTACTCTCCCATCATCTCCGCCGCGAAGGCCGCTCACGAGGCCCACTCGGTCACTGAGATCACTACCAACTGCTTCGAGCCCAACAACCAGATGGTCAAGTGTGATCCCCGCAACGGCAAGTACATGGCCACCTGTCTGCTCTACCGTGGTGATGTCGTCCCCAAGGACGCTCACGCTGCTGTCGCCAACCTCAAGACCAAGCGCACTATCCAGTTCGTCGACTGGTGCCCTACTGGATTCAAGCTCGGTATCTGCTACCAGCCTCCTCAGCAGGTCCCCAACGGCGACCTCGCTGACCTCAACCGTGCTGTGTAAGTTTCACCATGGACTTTCTTATTTCTTTCCCTTGATGAAAAAAACCCGCGTTACTAACAAAGATATAGCTGCATGCTGTCCAACACTACTGCCATCGCCGAGGCCTGGTCTGCTCTCGACCACAAGTTCGACCTCATGTACTCCAAGCGTGCCTTCGTTCACTGGTACGTTGGTGAAGGTATGGAGGAGGGTGAGTTCTCCGAGGCCCGCGAGGATCTCGCTGCTCTCGAGCGTGATTACGAGGAAGTCGCCTCCGACTCCATTGAGGGTGACGAGGAGTTGGAGCCCGAGTACTAGATTAGCCATGTTTTGTGACCGGCTTCGAGGCTCTTGGTTGTTTCACTTCTACAGGTTGGGTTGGTGACCATCGCTGAGTCTGGGGGGTTTGGTCCTCATGCGTTTATCGGGCTTCTTGCAAATAGAAGGGATCATAAGTTTTGCTGCCGATGATTTTCTGGCTTTGTTGTTCGATATATCTTTAATATCCCTGAAGCAGCGATGAAATTTTCCCTCGTTCCATCTACCTTTCGGGATTCTACATACGTATGTTATTGTAATTACTGTCAATCTCTCTTTCCAGATCGTATTGTGTAGCCGTGTATTTGTCTGTACTTATATAATTATTCCCCAAGGTTGGTGCCACATGCTTTGTGCTAGCTGCTGCTTATATGCTTGACGCCTACATTGAATCAATTTAGCCAACGACCTCGTTGCATTCTAGAAGACCGGTTTGGAACAACCTCTGTTTGTACGAAGTATAAATTCTTGCATGTTTCGAAAAGTGTTCGATGCAGTGTACATGTTCCAAGTACGGAAAGGCATAAAGGGGGATTTGAAAAGTTCAAAGAGACTCCAGAGACATATGCAAGTATTTAGGCGATGTGATCCGTGTTAGACAGATGTAGGTAGTAACTTCGCCATCACCTTTGATACCTAAGCTCAACAGTGGGCTCACTATCAACGCTGAAAACTGGTCTTCCAAAATTATTGCCCTAAGTATCCACTAGAATTGAGAAATAACCTAGGTACGGCCAGACTACAGCCCCGAGTCGGAACCTATGGCTCACGTCCTCGGATGTTGATCACCACGAAGTTATATCATGGAGGAATGCCTATCCTCGTTATGGAACCCGATAGGCCTTGAACAATTGTAGGTCGGCGCTCTTATTCACTTGAGATGGAAATATTTGCGCAATCTATAAAGTGGCACTTTTTGATGCGATTCATTGAAACACAAGGCATACATATGTAGCTATGGAGAACATATGTATGGAATCGTGTAAGTTAAAGACTACTGTGTCGAACTGCAACATTCAGGAAACAATTGAAAAAAATTAGACACAGTATCCTTTAGGATTTACCAAGCTTTAAACGTAAACAATAGTAAAAATAATACATTCTCAAACTGAACTGCTCTCAAGTGAACAACGAACACCCTGGCGGATGGAATGGACGCTAATCGACTGACCGCCCTGCCCCCCAGTAACCTCCGTTCCTTACGCCATTGACTCCAGCCACTCTATATTCCCATTCTTCTTAGACACTATTTTACTCCTTGGAGCTTGAGATTTATCTATTTCTCTTGCCTTACAATACCCCGAAAATCCGCGCTTCGCCCATGCCCGTCGGACCTTCAGATTAAGCTGACGGCATCCGTGTCTCCCACTTAAACCCCAAGAACCCAACGATTGTGAAGTTATTGGAAGGAGGGGAGTCAAGCTCCTCCTAGGACACAGCAATGGCTGACACCGGTAAGTGATATCAAGAAAATCCAATCAGACCCCAATCGAACGGCACAGGAGGTTCGGCGCAGTTCAGGAGATGACCCGCAGGCCTCCGTCATTACCCCCTCCCCTTCCTATACAGCCGTCCACCATGCGCAAAAAACGGAGTTGACGGATGATCCTCTATTAGCACAGCGACACCCAAACCTCAATCTCACGCCGGAGGAAAAGCGCGTCTTTTACCAGCTTTTCCAGGCTGCGGATACTACCAACCTCGGCGTCATCACTGGTGAAATCGCCGTTCCATTCTTTGAGAAGACCCATCTCCCCCCTGATACCCTCGGTCTGGTATGTGATGCCGGAAGAGTACTGAACCGCAATCAAAGGGACTTGGCTAATGGAATTTGGTGCAGATATGGCAAATTGCGGACAAAGAGAACAGGGGTTTGCTGACCCCATCTGGCTTCGGAATCGTCCTACGGTTGATTGGACATGCCCAAGCTGGTCGCGCACCCTCTGATGAGCTGGCTCTCCAAAGTGAGTGGTACTATTCTCTTTCAAAGAGCTAATACTAATCCCGCATCTGCTTCATAGGTGGCCCTATTCCTCGTTTCGACGGAATTGTAGTAGATACGACGGCAAACATCCCAGAATCAGGAACTGCGAGCCCTCCTCCTGGCCCCGGTGGACCCATCAGAGTCCCTCCCCTCCAGGCCGATGATGCCAACAAATTTGTTTCGTTGTTTGAGAAGTCAGACGTTCACAATGGGATGATTTCGGGTATGTGCTCCCCAAAAATATTTCCAAAGTCGCTGGGTCTCTGACATTGCTGTTTGATGTATAGGCGAAATTGCGAAGCAGATATTCGAACGCGCCCGACTTCCGAATGAGGTTCTGGGTCGTATTTGGTTTTTGTCCGACACCAAGCAACGCGGCGCTTTGGATGCCACTGAGTTTACGATTGCTATGCATCTGTTGACTTCTTATAAATCTGGTGCTTTGCGCGGAATTCCAGCGACACTTCCCCCCGGCCTGTATGATGCAGCAGCTCGGCGGGGGTCCGCACCCGCACCCGCACGTGCGTCTTTCGGGTCGCGCCCCGAGGTGCCTCCCGTCCCTACCATCCCGAAGCAGTTCACAGGACCCCACAGAACCACGAGTCCCCTGAACCCAGCCAGTCGCCAGCAGTTTGGAGGATCCCTCTCTGCGCAGGTTACTGGGGGTGACTGGCTGATCACCCCTCCAGAGAAGGTTCAGTTTGACAGCATCTTCGAGACAGTTGACACGGCTAAGCTGGGTTTCATCACCGGAGATCAAGCTGTTAGCTTCTTTATGAAGGCCCAGCTACCCGAAGAAACGCTCGCTCAAATTTGGGATCTTGCCGATATTGACGCGGACGGTCAACTCAGCCGGGACGAGTTCGCTGTGGCTATGTACCTTGTGAGATTGCAACGCGGCGGAAAAGAGCCGCTCCCACAGGTCGTGCCTCCTGCACTCATTCCTCCCAGCATGCGCCGCCAGGCACCTGCGCCAATGGCTGCCCCTGCCCCTCCCCCAGCGCCAGCTCCATCAGTGAGGACTGCTGCCGATGATCTGTTCGGCCTGGACTCTCCTGCGCCGCCATTTGCGCAGCCTCAGATGCCGCAATCTACTGGAGGTTCCAATAGTGCATGGCAAATTCCAGCCTCGCCCTCCAGAGGATCTCCTCAAACCGCCTCCAATATCTTCAAGCCTTTCGTTCCATCATCCACCTTTGGCCAGAGCTTGCAGCCTCAGATGACTGGTGCCTCCGCGGGAACCCCGGTAGCAGCACGCTCACCTCCACCTCCCTCGGATGATCTTCTTGGTGACAATGATCCCGAAGAATCAAACAAGCTGACACAGGAAACCACTGAGCTAGCGAACCTGTCAAATCAAATCGGTTCTTTGGCCAAGGAGATGCACACTGTACAAGAGAAGCGAACTTCTGCGGAACAGAACATTACACAAACTTCGCAGCAAAAACGTGACTTTGAGACCCGTCTTGCACAGGCGCGGTCCATGTATGAACAAGAGGTCGCCAAGTTCAAGGCACTTGAGGAGCGTCTCAAGTCATCCAAAGCCGAAACCGAGAAGTTGTCTCAGCAGTATGCCTTGCTTGAGGGCAGTCGCCAGGATTTGCAAAACCAATATACACAGGTTGCGACTGCGCTGGCCGCTGATGAGCAAGAAAATGCTAGCTTGAAGGAGAAGATTCGGCAAGCCAATGCAGAGGTTGCTCAACTTAAGCCAGCATTGGAGAAGGCTCGCTCTGGTGCGCGCCAGCAAAAGGGCCTGGTTGCCATCAACAAGAAGCAACTGGCTACAGTTGAAGGCGAACGTGATAAGATCCAAGGAGAAATCGATGGCTTTGCAACTGAGACCCCACAGTACTCCGAGGATGGTTCGCAGACCCCGAGTGGTAGTGTGCCAGAAGTTACAAGCCCTGCAGCTTCCACTGCGAGCCAAAACACGAACCCATTCTTCCGCCGAGCTGGTAGTTCAAGTGAACAGGCACGGTCGCCCGGTGTCGCAAATGACCAACAGAAGGCGTTTGACAGCCTTTTCGGACAATCCTTCGCAGGCTCCGCCGCAGGACCACCACCCACCTCATTCCGTTCTGAGTCGCCCCAAGTTGCAGTCAGTTCTCCTCATACCGCTGCGCCGACTCCATCGGTCTCTCCGCCCCCTGGCCCTTTGCCTGGTGCATTCCCTTCCGGGACCTTGTCTGAGCCCCCAGCGCCAAGCCAGTCGCAACAACTGACTCCCAATTTTCTTCAATTCAATGACACCCAGTCAGTGACCTCGTCAACGATGGTTTCGCCTCCAGCTAGTCGATTCGGTGGTCCTGACACTTCCGGATTCGGTACTCCAACCCAGGACGTCAGTGACTATGGTGGCGCCGCCTCCATCGCAGAGTCCAGTGATTACAGCCGTGCGCCAACCTCAACAGTTGAAGGTACCCCCGCCCGATCCCCATTTGAGGAGGAGGGACTGGACGCTTCGACCAAGTTCCCCGAGGTCCCTGCAGTAGCCACAAATGAGGCCCAGTCTGCCACTTCTCCCACCCACCTCGAAGGCCAGGGTGAAAACAAAGACTTGAGCTTTGACGAGTTGTTTGGTAGTAAGGCGCACAAGCGTTCCGAATCTCAGCAAGGAAACGACTTTGAGGAAGCATTTGCTTCTATGAAGCAAACATCCGGAGCCGAGAGGACAAATGGCGCGGCTTCAGCTGGTGCATCTGAGTTCCCTCCAATCCAGGAGCTCCACCACGACACCGAAGATGACGACAGCTCGGACGATGAGCATGTTTTGGGTTTTGATGATGACTTCACGCCTGCCGCGCCTAACGCTCTTAAGGACGTTAAACCTGATTCCATTGATGCTGCCCAGCTAGCTGCTTTCCCTGTCCCGGGAAACAACGCCAAACCCCCCTCTCCCGACGCTCAGCAGAGTCCTCCTGCATATGACACTGCCAAGGAGGATAACACCCATCTTCCTCCCCAATTTGATGGCTTGCTGCCTGAGCGTGCTGACCCCACTGTGGCTCCTGACGCGCCTCATTCAGTGGAGCATGCTACCGGAGCCCCGGTCGTGAGCAATGAGACTCAACGGGACTCTATCTCAGAAACAGGTCTCCCAGCTGGGGGAGCGAAGGTCGGCGGACCTGACTTCGAAGCGGCTTTCGCCGGAATGAATCTTGCACCCGCTGCTGAGGCAGATGATGAGGATGACGACGAGCCTGGAAGTCAAGACATCAAGAACACGAACGACTTTGATTTCTCTTTCGACTCCCCGTCCCAAACTCAGCAGCCCCTTTCGGCCACCAATACTGGCCAAGGAAACTCATCTGAGTTCTTCTCCTTCGACAAAAACGTGCAGGCCCCCACTCAGCCAGTCGCCTCGCCTGCCGAGGGTGGGTCAAAGCCAGCTGCCCACGAGTGGGATGCACTTTTCGCGCCTCTCGATAACGCCCAGTCTGCCACCGGCAAGGAGTCAACAGACGAACGTTCTAAGCAGCCTGGATGGGCTCTGAACAACGATTCTGGTGAAGATGATCTGATCCTGCAGCGGTTGACCGGTATGGGCTTCACCCGGGATGAGTCTTTGGATGCCCTGGAGAAGTACGACTACAACCTCGACAAGGTGAGTTCTACTTTCCATTCTACAATGACATTTACTGATCAATAACTAGGCTGCGGACCACTTGACTTCGAAGACTTGATCATGACCCTCTTTCTTTCTCATTGCACATATCTCCCACATACTTTGATTTGACCTCTGCCTTTCACTCCATGGAACTCGTGGACCTCTGCCCGACCTGGTGATTGGCCACATAAGCAAGTTCCTTTGCATCGATCGTTCCCTCCGTTTATCCAGCGCTGTGTATATCGTCTCCATTGGTTTTTTTTCACTTGCGACGCCATAGTTCTTCGGATCTCGCCTATTGCTGATGGGCCGGACCCAAGGATTTTGGACTTGTTTGTCTGTAGTTTATGATAATCCATAATCGAGTTCACCATCTTCAACATGTAACATTCTAGAAATCTTTACCACGTCACATGCCTGTGACAACCACGGACAACGAGCCAATCTAGTAAAGATCAAAATCGGGTCGAACCGATATGGTTATGATCGACGGCGGTTCGAGGCGTCCATGGGTGTGCACTAGTAACTGAAATCAAATAACAGTCACACTATGAGTTTCCCTATGAACTAGTATTCAAATACTACTAAGATAGTACAATACTAATTGTAAACACAATCACCATAGAAATGTACAATCCTTCGAGTATTCGCCTATCACCCTGACTAATCCTTACCCCGGATTAAGCTATGACCCCGCAAGCCACCCTTGACCTTGTGTCTTGTTTGTCTTTCAACATCACATGGAAATGGCAGCATGAGCACAAAAGGAGCACCACGCCGGTATGGCTTCGCCTGCCTAATGTGCCGACGTCGCAAAATCCGCTGCGACGGCAAGAAATCTCACTGCGCGAATTGCCTCAAAGCAAAAGAATTTTGCAACTACAAGGAAAGCCCCACATACAATGCCCACTTAGTCCAGCAGGTGCAGCATTTCAAGCTGCGTGCGGAGAGACTGGAGTCTCAAGTGCGGGATTTGGCGAGTGTGGATCACGAAGATCGGGATCGGAAACTTGCAGGCATTGTACGCGAGCTCGGCAATCTCCGGCTTGATGCTTCGCTAGATATTATAACGAGGATTTCGCTAGACACATTTAGCCCATTCACAAACTCCGCAAATGTAAGCTTTTCGTCCCGCGCGTAGCTATACCAGTCCAGTAATACGCCGAGTGAGACTATGGGTCTTCTCGCGATATCTGGATTCGTTAAATTGGTTGTTTACATGGATTGGGTGACAATCTTTGGATGCCTGTTTTTGTGCTGGCTTGAGGGCCGGAGATCTCGTCTTGCCTTGTGCCGTTGTAGAAGAGTTTGGCTTCCGTGTATGGGAAGTGGCGGAGGCCGTCCCAGTGGCTTGAGCTTTGGGTGTTGAAGTCGATCTGATAGTTGTTTAGCTGTGTTCTAAGATGATAACAAATATACTTACCTCGTCGTCGTTTGCATGGCCTTTTGCAACGATAGTGTGAGAACACTTCTTTCTCTGTGGGTTCATCGGGTTGAGAAGAACATCCAGCGGCAAGCTGATTAATTACTATTAGTAGGGCCATGATATACCATGCAAACCACTTGCTTCAAACTAATGACTTTCCCAAGCGAAACCTCCGATCCAACAGCAAATACTACATCTTCCGTCAGAAGAGTCAAAGTCTCGCGCTCATCATCAGCACCCCAAAGACCCCACGCTGACCCTTTCGAGTGACCAGACTTTGAAGGTAGATCCTCGAAACGGGGACGTTTAGAAAAGCCACTTCCCTCGGCAACACATTTATGTGGATGACACCCATTGTTGGGATCACGATGCACAGCAGTCATTCTAATCGTCATTGTTAGAGATGAGTTGGAAGTGAGACAGGATGCATTTCTTTATAAAGGGCTTTTAACACAGAGCGCACCGCTGATGGGGCCTCGATGCTCGTACCTAATTATAGATATTTCCTTGAATAGTATGGCATGTTCCCGAAGCGGACAAGTTCCGGGTTGGGTTGGTGGTTTGAGGGGACAGTGTGTCGTCGGCATCATACCGAACCCCACTGTGTGGCATATTTGATTTGCCGTTTTCTTTGCACCTTCTACTTCGAGTATGAATCTATATATGCATAAAAGATCGACGGTTTATTGTTTTCGCTAATAGTGTGAATTATTTCTTTTACAAGGTGCAAAGCTACAAGTACAAAGTCGTTTGGAATGTCAGACTTCAAAATTTTCAGGCTGAACGTTATGCTGGGTTATAGCCACCCATTGGATGACTTCTAGTACAGAGTCAAGCCATTTCAGTCCAGAGCCGTATTTTTTGATAGCGGCTGGACTAACGATGGGGCCTACAGACGATTTAAAATAGCATGTGTCTATCATGGCATCGAAGTGTAGATCAGCTTTGTCGGTGGGAATAGTAGTGATAAGCATGTACAGGAGATCGTGGAGATGATTCACAAGTTGATTTAAAAGAAGGGATTATTCCTAAAGGTTGCTATCATCTCTGCTGGTCTCGACCGTGGTCTATTGGAAGACCGCAAAAAAAACAACAAAGTTGGGCTGTGAGGACTAATTGATAAAACCACGTCCGATTTTGTCGACCGGGCTATCGACGCCAGATGCGCGCTGAGCCGTGAGTGATTTTCAGCCTTGGCGGGAATGAGTTGAGGTATTTGAAGGCCTTGGAATCGAACCCAGATATAATTCTAGATGGTCGCTCCTACGATCGAGCTCTATTGCAACATTTTCAATGCACCTCATTATCAGTGCGAACAATGTCAGGGCTTCGATCCGGCGGATGCCGTGTTAGAATCAACTTGCGACGGCGGGGAACCATGGACAAAGTCAGAATCAGAAAGTCGGCTTCCAATGACTTTTAAGACCTTCCCGTCTGAGAATTGCAACTTCTGGGACGTTGTCAAAGCCATTCGCTCGAAGAACTCGGAGTCCATTCGAATTGACGTTGGTTGTCATGTTTGACACGAGGGAAGCGTATGAGCGCGTAAAAACGCTAGCATCCTCACCAATGAACAGATCAGGGAGCTATTTCACCTCCAGTCCGACGACATAATCAAAGAAATGTTCTTCCAGTCTGCCTTGGCGTGGAAGTGTGCTTTCAAGCGTCTGTGGGAGATCAGAATACTTTGGGTGTCCAACAACTCGCGCCTTTGCTGTATGTTAGGGTGCCTTCGGTTGATGAGATCACAGCATGGTTTATTTCACAATTGAAACGAAGCCTATCCTCAGTAACGCAAGTCCGAACAAAGGTAAGAAGGCGAGTCGGGTTGACGAAGACCAAAGTATATCCGAGCATGCTCGGAGTTACCACTTTGAGCATATTGCCCTTTTGGGAACAACCCGGAAGACGCCAAGAACATCTATACAAATTGACCGAATATTTAATCACTATATAGCTCCCTTTTACCTGATCTTTCATTCATGTCGAATTCTAAGTATCCAAAGATACATGACACTGTCCATCAACTATTCAAACATGTCCAAACATTCCAGCAACGGTTCTCGGCCAGTCTCAATAATCGATATGGAAAAAGCACCAGATGACAAGGTTCAGCCACCCAAGCCATCTTTCCCTGAAGGGGGAACACAAGCATGGCTTGCAGTACTGGCTTGCTGGTGCATCATGTTCAACACATTCGGATACATCAATGCTTTCGGGTAAGTCGAGCAAAGTCAATTGATATAAAGCGTCATGACTAACCCCAATAGAATTTACGAGTCATACTACAAAGCCACACTCCTCAACGACCAGAGTGAATCAAATATCGCTTGGATTGGATCAATCCAGGTATTCTTCATGTTCTCCGCCGGACTGATCTCAGGTCCAATGATGGATCGCTACGGACCAAGGGTATGTAGATCAAACCAGCACTCGAAAAAGCACCATTAACATGTATAACAGGTTATTCTCATCCCATGCTCCCTGCTATTCATTGCATCTGTCATGCTCACAAGCCTCTGCACAACATATTACCAGTTCATTCTCGCACAAGGCGTCCTCGGCGGCGTCACAAACGGCTTAACATACACCCCTGCCTTAACATCAGTCAACCAATACTTTTTCCAAAAGCGACCCCTCGCAATGGGAATTGCCTCCAGTGGTTCGTCTCTCGCCGGCGTGATCTTTCCAATTGCTCTGAACCGCATGCTCAACAAATCGACTCTGGGGTTCGGGTGGTCTGTTCGTGTCCTTGGGTTCCTGATGCTGGCACTTAGTATCATTTCCTGCGCAGTTATTTCTTCAAATGCACCGAAGCGCAAGGGCAGTGCTCCGTTCCTCCTGGCTGCGTGGAAACACCCGGCATACTATCTGCAGATCGCGGGACTGTTCCTTGTCTTTTGGGCAATGTTTGTTCCTTTCTTTTATATTCCTGGTTATGCGGAGTCTGTGAGAATTAGTGTTGACATGTCCTTTTACTTGATTGCAATTCTCAACGCCGGGTCTTTGTTTGGGAGATTGCTCGGTGGCGCGTTGGCGAACCGTGTCGGGCGATTCAATACCTTGACTGGGGCATCGGTAGTTTGTGGGATCCTTATCTTTTGCTGGTTGAGGATTACATCTCTTGGAGGAATGATTGCTTTCTCTCTATTGTTTGGATTCTTTTCTGGGACTGTTATTGGCCTTTTCCCTGCCACGATTGCCATGACGGCGGGCAAGCCCAATGAGATCGGTTCTTACATGGGAATGGCGTTGGGAGTGTTGAGCTTCTCCGGTCTGACCGGAACGCCAATCACTGGCGCTATGATCAGCACTTATGGTTCGTATCACCCTGCCATACTTTTCGCAGGAGTGGTGTGTCTACTTGGTGCGGCCATTGTTCTTGGGGCCCGCGTTTGCCTTGCGGGTGGGAAGATCGTCGCATAAACCAAGGTGCATAAAGAGCTACGAGCGCTTTAATTGTGGGAAAGAAAGACTACATGGGACAATAGAACATAGAGGATAAAATCTAATAGCATTTTGTTATTTTGATGTATGGAAAGGCCTCTCATGACTGAATGCATGTTGCATCTCGATTTCATGATAATATCAATATATATCAATATCACAATCCTTTTAATTTGACTAGTTACATAGCGCGATTTAATTTAATAGTATGAAGCTCCTGCAGATCCCCTGTAGACATGAAGTAAAAAGTGCTTACTTCATAGGTACAACAACATCGACCCATTTGAACCTTGTCCATTTGTAAGCTGCAGCTGCAGAGCTCGTATAATAACCAACCATTGATTGCACAACGGGAAGAATTCCACACGTGTCACTCGGGCTTTTGAATGCATCAAAGATAGACCGCATCCCGCTAGTCCACTCTATATTTGCTTTCAACTGTCATTATCCGTTGCGGCTGAATTTCCAAGACGTCGCTGCCTCCGAGGATTCATATTTGATATTTTCAATTACGTAGCTCGAAGATAAGCTGATTTGAAAAGTTAGATACATGATATCATAGACAACAATCCGGGCGCCTGCTCTCGGCTCCGTGCCGTAGGAGTTGTTGTCCCCTTGATCACAGTTCAGTTGGCAATGTTACATGTTGATGACGAAAGGTTATGACAAGAGCTGCTGAGTTTCGGCGCCGAGCGAAGAATATTTTCAAATCGGGTGGGATGACCGCATCCGCCATGCACTTGATTCAATTCTTCATACTGGATCAAGAATTTAGCCTTGTGTTGTTAGCTTCGACACGCGGGGCAATGCAATGCATCCTGCAGTGGGCAATCATCAATACGAAGGCTGTTCTTAACCTTCACTGTCAGAGAAGCCCGGCTTGGCGCCAGTCAAACGCTAAGTTCCGGCTAAGGCCAACCATATAATACTTTAACTATCAAGATATTTCATCAGATATCGTATAGGAGTCACTACGTGGCAGTGATCTCACTGCATCATATGCATAAGAAACATGATTATACTACTACGTCGTGAAGTGACGGCCACCTCTAGATTCTTGGCATTGACGGTCAGATCGGAGAACACCACCACTCCTACATTGTCTGGGAGAGGTCATGGATATATAAAGCCTGTGAGCTTCGCCTCTGTTAGTAAGCGATCTTTTACGAAATCATTTCTCTATCCAGGTCATTCCTTGTATGTTGAAATCATAGAAGCTACCATCACTGATCGCTTTCCATCTGGAGACTGAAGCGCTTCTGCTGCAGGATCTGAGCGCAGAAACTGGTGTACTCTGTACTCGTATGTGCCCCTGAGTCAATCGCTGTTTCTGAAATGCCAGGTCTCTTGCTAATCGTGTTGATGAAAATAGGCAGAAACTTGCCACGGACAGGAGCTTCAAGTTCACTTCCCTAGTTATGAGAATTCAGTTCCTCTTGATTGGAATGACAAGATTCGTAGTTTCAACTGCGCCGCAAAGTGAACTTGGGTAATATGCGACGGAGCATGATATCGAGCCATCAACGTTGGTGAAGATTTTGTCTAAGAGAAATGCCTTTTAAAGTATACCAAGCTTTAGCTTTATCACCTTAAAACTATAAGCATCCACATGATCTGGTAGGAGTAGAAAAGAAATTATTTTTCACTAAGGGGGTTAATCGTAATACTATACGAGGCTAATACCGAGATCCGTTCCGTATTTTTATTGATGCCTCGGTTTAAACATAGCCAGTCAATTTAAGCCTCATGGCATTTGCTGTGATAATGTGTCTTGTCTATGAGTGCACGAGCCAAACTAAAGGTATATACCGTGGTCTGTCAAAGCTATGTCGAGATTGGCTGAGAAAAAACTAGCGACACTGGAGTGTGATATTGTGTCATCGTCTCGCTCGGAAGATATGTATTAATGGTGGAATTCAGGAGATGGACCGTATACCTACGTGTTTGTTTATGTCGTCTCGTCACACAAAACTAATATATTTCCACAGCTATTCAAGGGTCATCCGTGCGGAACGAGCACATCCAATATACCCAAGACCCCAAAAACCACTATTGTATCACTCAAGGAACGCCTAATGAACGACAGTATAATAAGCCGCATGGGCTATGGAAACTTTCGCATGTGTCATTTTAGCCGACGATAAATATAGTAATTGACTTTGTCCAAGGTTCAGGGTCCAGTTCTAGGCAACCTAGTTTCAATAGTTCTATTTGGCTTAATAATTTGCACCTATGGATGGAACCAATCTACCATGTGTAACGCACAGTATACTTGATTCGGTATACATACAACGTAGGGCTCAGGCAGCGCAATATTTCAATTCTGTTGCCTGAGACAGGGTCCCTGAGACAAGGCAACCAATCAATTGGCGGGATCCCCACTAGTTAAGCTTCGGTTCCCGTGCGCAGCAAAGCTTGGCCGAGTTAATCTCCTCTCCTTTTTTTTCTTCCATTTTTCTTCTATTTTTCTTCTCTGATCGCTTTTACCTATCTTGTTCTAACGCACTGGTTTTCTTCTTTCAGGATGCTTGGTTAGTGACCTGTTTAGTGCTTTTTTGCCTACGTGGTGAGACTAGTAATGTAAGACAAAAGAACAGCCCTGGAGCCTAGTCATGCCAGTGTAACTTTGTGTGGGCTTTATGATACGAGGCAATTTGTTTCTAGCGTACTTTCCTAACGTGGGGCTTAGTACCCCAGAACTGTTTCTTGAAAAAACTCGTGTTCCGTGATATAGTGGCAAATGGGATAATATGCCTGTTCGACCCGTTTGACCCCTATATACGGCACAGTAATGTAACCCGGGGTACTGTAACTCGTGGCGATGCTGCACTCGGAGCTCAAATAGTTACACCACCCCCAACTTTGCTGCGGCTCACATCTCCTAATCTCTCATCTTCTCACTTTCGTTAATACAGATTCAAAAGGCTTTCATGCCACATACCGGGGTCTCACAGTCCTTCCATTTCCTTTCTGTCCTTTCTGTCCCACCTGCATCTGGTTATTGATTTCGATTCCATTTTCATCCTCCATCATGAATATTCTTCCTCGACACACGCACTCAATAGCCCTCAGCTCAAAGGAACTAGGCCCTATCTCAATCTTGGCACCCTTTTCGGCCCTCATCATCTCCGTCACCCTCGTTGTCTTCTTTCTCATTCGTTTCTATGTCCTCGAGGGCTTCCTCATTCGTCGCATCTATGGATCAACATATACAGACATGAACGAGCTGAATCGTCGAGGGTTCATCAATCACCATATCGCCGGTGTCACCAAAATTGTCATCTTGATCGTCGCCGCATACCCGTTCATCAGCGTCACTTTCGGGAGAGGAAGATTCCAGACGCCTTTCGTACAGGGCTCATCAGTCACACTGGGCGATATGCTTGTCGTTGTTGCGCAGATGTTGATTGGAATGTACATCTTTGAACTCATCTATCGCTCGAAACTTTCGCCTGTTGCCGTTTTGCACCATATCGGGACGATCCTCATTGGCCAGTCGGCTATTGCGATCAGTTTGAGAGAAGTCCGTGAGCCGGACGCTTACATTGAGTTTATTCTCTGTACTGTGTGGGGTAAGTTTGCCCTGGAAATCGCTGTTGGTTCTTGATTGAAGACCAGAAAAACTGACCAGTTTGCTAGGCGCCTTCGACATCATCTCTGAATTCTTTCCTCATGTCGCTATCATCCTCTACCGCGTCTTTCCCGACCGCCATCGCTTCCTCAGTCGGGTCTTTCTTCTATCTTGCTTCACGACTGCAACGGGCACCCTGTGCGAGACCATCGTGACAATGTGGCTGTTTGGCAGTCTGTGGGACCGATGGCGCCTGGCGTTCAAGGTGGTAACTCCACTTTTACACATTGCGTTCTCTGCAGCGCAAATACACGGAAGCCTTGTATTTTGGCGGATGTACCGCCGTCAACAGCAGTTTATGAAAGAGGAAGAGGGCGATGTGGAGGACAAAGAAGGTGTCGAGATGAGCAAGTATTTGGCGGACGAGGCTGAGAGGAGAAAACAGCATAATGGGGATGATATTAACCCCAGTCTTTTCACTGTTGACTCAGGGGCTCCTATCATTTCGGTCATTTCACGGTGATGGTATATTTGATGCATTTGATTTAGCCTTGCATAATGTACAACATATTGTTAGTTTGTTGTACATCGAGAATTATTCTTCACTTATTTTGTTTATTTATTTTTAGAATCCATTTCAGCTGAGCTCATCTTTACGAGTCTCCAATCCTTTCTCAAATTTAGCGAAAAGAGAGGTCGCATTTCTGGGCTTATGTTCCCGACGCCACACGGGGTTCCCCGAGCTATGCATTTACTGTGTGTTCGGTTCACGATCCTTCTTGCAAGCTTCAATGTGCATATTATTTAAAATATTTCCGATTGTTCTGATTTGCCTCACAGTTAGTCCATGGCCTCTTTCGCTAATACAACTGCTAGAATCGAATCCCCAAAAAATGAATCGCCAAGTCGACCAAAAGGGCTACGATTCCCGAGCGCTCCAAAAACCAAAACCAGCCATTTCAAGCGATGCCAGTGGCAAGCAAGATAGCACTCAGCTGAGCCATGCAATCCTGTTCAAAAACCCCAACATAAATAAAATCACAATCCCCCTGCAACAATGAACCGCTTGCACCCCAATCCATCAAAATGAGCACCGACCCCCCACCATCCCGCAAACGCCTAATAATCTGCTGTGATGGAAGCGGGCAATCCGCCGTGTCAGGCGAAGCAAGCATCCCCTCAAATGTAACCCGTCTTTGCCGCGCAATCAACAGCGTCGGCACCACCGCCTCAACAACCTGGCAGCAGATCGTCTGGTACGATTCCGGCGTCGGAACAAACTCTAACGGCGAAGTCCCCGTCAGCAAAGACCTAGAAGGCAACGTCATCGAAGCCTACAATTTTTGTGTCTTGAACTGGAACCCCGGTGACCAGATTATGTGCTTTGGCTTCTCTCGCGGCGCTTATACTGCCCGTGCGATCGCCGGTCTGATCTCTGATCTGGGGATTTGTTCGAAGGCTGATATCCAAGATTTTCCCGAGATTTGGAAACTGTATAAGGAAAGTCATCCGGCGCTTACTGGGGAGAGATTTTATGGGAGTGAGGCTTGGTTCGACTGGTGTGATGGGAAGCCTGCTGACCCGCAGCCTGTGGAGAGGCGCGGGGAGAACGTTGTTTGGGAGAGAGTTGGGAGAGGGCCGTGGGCTAGGACACCTGAGTCGAGGCAGGTTGAGGTTGTTGGTGTCTTTGAGACTGTTGGGGCGCTGGGATTTCCCGAAATCTTTGGGTATGAGGTTCCAAAATGGCTTACTAGGACTGACAAACCTGAGTGGCATAACGTTGGACTTTCTCCAAGTATGGATTTACAATTCTTCAATCTCTTGGCACTTTACTAACCCGATCATAGATATCAAGAATGCTTTCCAGGCACTAGCTCTCGATGAGCATCGTGCAGCATTTACTCCGACTCTCTTCTACGTCCCTACCGTAACAAAAGTCTCACAAGAGACTCTCTCAAAGCAGCAAGATCTGCAAAGAAGCACATTTCAAGCTTGGCTTGATCTTCTAGCTACCAAGCGCCCATCCCTAGAGGATCTCCAGCGCGTGAGCAAAGCCAAAAATCAGGCCGCGCGAACCCTCCTCAACATGGAAGACAGCCAGAAAGACCGCTCAAAGCTCCTCCAAGTCTGGTTTCCAGGCGTGCACATCAACATCGGCGGTGGTTCAACACTGACAATGGAAAACAAGGGAAACATGGAAGAAATGTCCAACATTGTCTTCGCCTGGATGTTGGATCAAATCAAGGGTTTCGTCTCTCTCAACGACGACATCCTACAGAAAGATCAGCTCGCGCGCCGGACGAGATTCGCTAAGATAAACAATGCCCTGCATTGGTATAACCAGCGCGTCGAACAACAGAAGAAGGAATCGTGGGGCGCATGGCTCCAGCGAAACGGTCAATGGATCACCTCTTCGATCCTGCATCCTCTCACTCCGGGCGATAAGCCCGCGTACATGGACGAGCGCATCTATACATGGGGTCTGGGCGATCTACCGGATAACTTTGGGATTGTTTATGTGGCTAATGGATCTCGGCCGCGCACGCCGGGCCGATACGCTTTCGAGAATGGTCAGAGGTTGGGCGAGACGTGTGAGCGGGTTCACCCTGTTGTTGGGTATAGGGTTGAGAAGACAAAGGATCATGAAAAGAGCAAGAGGTATCGCCCGATCTGGTTGGTTGGGGATAACTACGAGCGACGAAAGAAGGGACAGGGATATGAGTATCGCTTTAGATACCCCGGGGCGGCTGACTATGAGGTCCTGCCTGAATGGGAGATGTCAGCTGATGTCAACTCTTATGAGAGGCTCGCTATTGAGGGAAATGGAGCTTATGATTATGTAGATGCTTTGGATGCGGATTTGGGGAGGGATATCAAGACGCCTCGGTCTAGACTGGGTTGGTGGGAACGAGCTGTGCCCAGTACGATCTAGGGTTTGCAGCAAGGGTAGGATATGTATTTACATAAATATTATAATGAAGTCACATTTTATCTATCTTTTTGTCTCGCCTGGGCAGCCTTTCGGACTCGCGGTGTAAGACTTATAAGCATAACAGTCAAATATAAAATATTGCGGCTTGGTAGCCCTAACACCAGCATGCAAACCACATACATAGTTTCATTCAACAGACCTTGTTCTTATATGCACCCGGCAGTTATTTAAGCAATCTCTGATATGACTTCAATTTCCATCAAAACTTACCTGAACAGGTCTTGCCAGGTGTGAGCCAGCTGGCAAGCTCTGCCCCTGAGTTGCCATAGATCCCCTCCTTGCCCTGCACGCACATCTGTCAAAGTGACACCTAGGCAAGCCTGTTTATAAATGGTGAACTGTATTATATGAATTTCCCAATGATTTTAGGATCCGCGAGGGTGCTTCTCACTGCTCATGAAACAAAAAATCAAATCTATGTAACAACCTGAAGTTAGGGCTTTCTGGTTTGGTTAGTGTTTACCCGCCATTCAAAAGGGTTCTTTCCTGAATAGTTGTTTTGCCCGTGAGGCTTGCTGTCTTTGTAATTGAAAACCTTTCGAGATTTTTAAAGCTTATGTCGCCCTTTGATGAGTCGCACCTGAGCAATGACTCGTGATGAGTGAGTGAGTCGCCGAGGCCGAGGCCACCGTCATTGGTCGATCTATAAAGCGGGTCCGCGCAACGTTTGTCTCATCACTTTAAATCGCAAGTCGAATCGTCACGGCAACCTCTCAATGACAAACACATTCAGCCTCGAATTCTCAATTTTGAGAGACATCAATAGTCTTCAAGAAATCAGCACATCGAGTAACATCGAGTAATTAGAACTGGAAGGTATCAAAAGCAACGAATGAAATATAATACTGAGAAGAAGTGTTTGAAGATAACCTTCTGGTTTGACACAAATTAATGGTCTCAGAGTAAGAATAAAGAACGTGACCTTAAGCTAATTATCAGCACCTGAAAGGATTAAGAGCAAACATCAGTCTCCTCACCATCCGAAATCCTCCCTGCAATCATCTCATTAACATACATCAATAAGAAGCATATCACCATATTCCCATTTCAAAGCTTATCTTTCTTCACTCAAGACAGCTTCTTCAGAGACACTGCAGAAATTTAGCTGTTCACTTCGTGATCATTGGCAGTGCGCTGCAAGTCGAGGCCTACAGCCAATTAGTCATCCCTTTCATCAAGTGAGAAACCTGAGGTTCTTTCTACTTACCAAAGTCTTCCTTTGAACGCTCTTTAGTCTTTCGTCGAGGCATTCTGCAATGAGTGAGGCTATCAAAGGCAGCTGAGTTGTGCATCAGAATGAATGCCATGGCAGTGACACAGATGGCACCCAGAGCCATAACCCAGACGCGTACAATAGTCAGCCCGGATGTCGCATCGCCGAAAACACCGAAGTGACCCATTAGTGTTGCAGTCAAATCCACAGATCCAATCGCGCCCAGCAGAGCCAGAGATGGCGGGCTCTTCCACAGAGACTGTGAGCCAGTACCAGCCGCCCGAGTGACCAGGATCAACCAGCTCTGAGTCAGTGCGATCTCCAAGAACATCACTTCATCACGCGAGCCGCGACCTTCAATGATACCTCCTTCACGATCAAGAAGCATCGTACCATACGTCACCCAGCTTCCCACGGCCAGAATAAATCCCAGTACGATTGATTCTCCCCAAAGACGCGGAGTATTCCATTTAACGGGCAGCTGCGAATAAGAAGCATTGTCATAGGCAATCGCCAAAGTTGCAATGTCGGCAAAGATGGCAAACAGAACAACTAAGCGAAGATCCATGATCTCATTCTCAATGAAGATCTTAATCGCGAAAAACAACTCCAAGTGGATTGAGAGGGCAATTCGATAGACCACGTACGAGTACATCCGGTGGAAGATCTCACGGGACGTCTTGATCGCATCAATGATGGCAGACAAACCGGGCTCTAGGAATACAATATCAGCGGCAGAACGAGCCGCATCCGATGCACCCTCGACTGCAATTCCAGTATCAGCCTTCTTCAATGAAGCAGCATCATTGACGCCGTCACCAGTCATGGCAACCAGATAACCGCGGTTCTGTAAGATCTCGACAACAGAGTACTTGTGCTCGGGGAAAACCTCCGCAAACCCGTCCGCAGCCTCGACAAAGTCAGCAACTTCCGACCCAGACATTGAACCGGCACCAGTGAGACCAAGACGTTCAGCATTATAGATGTTGGTTCCAAGGCACAGCTTGGCAGCCGTCTCTCGGGCAATACCAACTGCATCCCCAGTGAGCATCTTGATACACAGTCCCAGCTCTTTAGCTTCAGCGATTGTCTGAGCAGTGTCATGACGCGGTGGGTCCGAGCATGGAATGATTCCCAAGATTTCCCAATTTTGACCAGCACGCTTGCGGGCAACTCCCAGGGATCTGAATCCTCGGTTGGCAAATTCGGTAACCTTTGCCTTGTACTCAGTCACAAAGAATTCACTGATGTCGCCTTCTTCCTGAACCGTCTTGAGAACGGTCTTGGGAGCACCTTTGATGCAAATCATCTGATCACCATTGGCGGCCTCCACAAGTGCGGTGACTTTCTTTGACACCGGATCGAATGGCTTGAAATCAACAGTCTTGTATGATGCAATCAGGTCTTTGATGTCCGGGTAATAACGCAGAGCCTTCAAGAATACTTTGTCAATGGCATCGATTCCGCCCTTCTTCCGGTTGGCCGCGAGGCATGCAGTTAATACGAGATCATCCGCGGTCATGCCAGGAACAAGATATGGATCTCCCAGAGTCAGAACGTTACGCGTCAGTGTTCCTGTTTTGTCCGAGCAAAGGATCTCTACCCCTGCCAAGGACTCGATCGCCGAAAGCTTTTGCACAATGGCCTTTCGCTTCGCCAAATAGGCCGCACCAACAGCCATGGTTGTGGTGACAACGACAGGAAGTCCAACGGGTACTCCAATCATAGTAATTGCCAGGGTGAATTCCAGGATCTCGACAATGGGATCAGAGCGATAGTAGCTAGCAATCCAAACAGCTAGAAGTGTGAAAATCACCAAATACAGAAGTGCACGAGCCATTCCGTTCAGCACTCGAGTGAAATGTCCAATGCATTGCTCAGCCTTGTTGACAAGGGCTGCAGCAGTACCAACGAAAGTTTTATCACCAATAGCAGTGGCGACCATGAGTCCGGAGCCACGCTTGACAGCCGAGGAGGCAAAGCAAGGATCCCCTTTGTGTTTATCAACAGCAAGCGATTCTCCAGTTATGCCAGACTGATCAACCTGGATGACCAAATCGTCGCATACCATCTTGCCATCCGCCGGAATGATGGAGCCCTGAGAAGTAAAGCCAACATTAGGTTTCATGATTCAAATAGCAAATAAGCAACCACTCACGTCTTCCAGATGAATTATATCACCAATTACAACTTCTTCAGCACTGATCTCCACAATTGAACCGTTACGAACGACAATAGCACGGAGAGCAAGTGTCTTCTTGAGGCTCGCAACAATGTTACCGGCATGGTACTCCTGTCCAAACCCAACCAAGGCATTCAGCAGGAGTAAAGCGCAAATGATGCCGAAGTCAATCCAGTCTTGGAGGCCCCCAGCAAGCACGATTGTACACTGGAATATTGAAGGATCATGTTAGCATGTGTTCTTTTTTGCCCACACTAGAGTGATGCAATCTTCTTTTGTTCTTCTTACCTCCATGACCCATTGGATAGGGCCCATAAAGAACATCAAAAACTTGATCCAGTGGTTAACCTTATCCTGGGTAAAGCGGTTCCAGCCATGAGTCTTGCGGCGATCAGCCACCTGTTCATCAGTCAGACCCCGGTTGATTGCGGTTTGGAGAAGGGTATGGTCGTATTTATCGCCTTTGTCGGAGGTCAATGTCAGCAGCGGCACATCGGGATTATTGCCATCCTCGGCGACCAACTCATTAATGAGGTTGTCCAATGACTCCTTGGTCTCTTCTTGGGGGGAGATTATTGGATGCAAAGGCTCAGTAGTAGCGGAGGTGTCCTTGAAACAATGGTCAGTGGCAAGTTTCTCGCTGTCCGGGCATACTGAACTATGGAACATCGGGCTGAAGCTGACTTTTACCTCAATCCCATCGATACCAAGGCCCATGTCCTCTGGGGTCTTTGAAATTTTTGCCTCCTTGATTCGTCTAGCAAATCGCTTGCCCCAATACTTCTCCCGATTGGGTGACTCGAAGTGAGAGGCATCGACCGAGGATGAGTTCTCCGTTAAAGGGCGCAAATGGCCTCGTCTCTCTTGGTCAGGAGAGGGGGCCGAAAGATTGCTCTCAAAATTTGCAAGCTCTTCGGTATTCACACGATCACCAGCTGACTCCGCTTTTTTGTTCTGCTCGTCTTCCTGGCCCTCCTTGGAGCGAGGACTGGGAGGCATACTGGAACGAAACGGGTGGCTGCGAAGCAAGTCAGACGACCAGTTAATGTCTCTCCACTTGACGCCATCGGATACTCGTGGCCTAGCAGACTCCTCAATTCTATGCAGAAGAGGAGGCCCATCGGGAGAGTTGCTTCCGAGGGGCCTGTTGCGAGGGTCATTCGCATCGACCTCGGGTCTCGGCATGATGGAAATCTTGCAGTCAACGCTGGGGGAGAATTAGCAATTTGTCTAGAAATGACACTCAAGGCGAGTTCAAAGATGAACTATGAGTTGTTCCAGCAGTTGATATGATCATGCAATCAAATTGGAAGAAAGGTGCACAGAAGCCCTCATTTGGATGAATGATACTGTGCATTCCGACAAACAAAACTTGCATACAGACTACAAGCAGTGGCTCACCTAATAAAAATTATTTGTCTTGTTGCACCAAAAGATGAGATGAGATGAAAGCAATGACAAAGTGCCACGCAGATGGTTGTTGTTGTTGTGGGGAGAATTGGGAAAGGCGAGGCAATTCAAGTCGAAGGAACGACCCTCAACCAGACCTCGCTAAGCACGTGCTCAACAAGCTCCTGCCAGTTCAGTCCTTTCTTCTGTTCCTGGTCACGAGATACACCTCTGCAATTGATCATTGTACCGTGAATAGGCTGATTGGTCACTACGACTCGCTTTCAATGGGCATTTGGATCGGCCAGTCAAGCGGCTCCAATCTATAAGTCGCAGGAGAAGCGACCAATCACGCATAAAAATAGCTACGACTCACGTTTCGTGCGGCTCATACTTCGGGCGGCTCATTCGCCCAATCCTTCATTGACTGGGAGCTTGCAGGTCTATGAGATAATTGTTCAGGCTACATAAATGGGCTTCACGCTTTTGGATTGAATCAAAAGATGCAATCCATAAAACTGAGCATGAAAATATTGCAACTGGGCTAATTGAATACGCAAATCAAGATTAGATCAGATCCAAGGATATAGATCTGGTCGAATTAGGGCCGGATATCAAATGTTCCGCCTGATTCCTGAGGCAGAAATGTCTTACATAATATCCTCACGTCACTGGAAGGCCATCCGTTGATATTTGCATTCAATTCATGCAGTGATTCGGGGAGATCGAGGTATTCTGCATTTACATTGCATGATACTTTGATCAATTCTCGGGAGTTGTGTTGTTTTATTGTTTTATGCGGCGTTGCGTTTACGCGGAGCTTGCAAGTACAAATTTCTCAATTATCGCAAATAGCTTGAACGCTCCATTCCCAAGTCTCTATTTCTCCATCTTTTTAGTCTTGTTGATCTTCTTCATCTTCTTCATCCTCTTTTTTCAGATTTCCCGTGCGATTGTGCTCTCCATCTTCATCATTCTTTTGGCCTTATCAATCTTCTTCCTTACCATCGTTTTTATCGTGAGATTGCCGTCATCATCACCATACTTCTCGTCCGATTTTCCTCTTCGTTCACCCTTCATCCGCAATCATGTCTGCTCCCCAGCTTCCAGGATATTACTACGGTGAGTCTAACCTTCCAATTCCATCCCACATTACCCCATTAGATGATTCTTGTATGCCTGCGCTGTCTAGTATCATGTCTGAACAGACTCCTGTATACTTCTCTATACATGCAGCGATCGCCATCGACTCACGCATTTACCCACTCCTTGTCTACGAGGACTGACACTGACCATACCAGACCCGGTCAAGAAGAAGTACTTCAAGATCGAGGCCGGCCATGACGCACTGCCAGGTGCAAGCATCACTCAGCAACACGTTAACGCAAAGAACGCCAAAGTGAAGGTCAGTTATATGCGTTTCGATATCCAATTCCCATCCGCTAACAAACACAGAAATTGACCAAGGCGGAAAAGTGGAAGAAACGCTGCGAGACTGAATTGATCAAGAGGTCCTCCGTAATGCAAATGCCCACAATCACAATCAACCGTGAGATAGATTCTCGCAACTCTACTGCAGCTTATCAGTCCAATGTTCAGGCCCTCACCCAGGCCCGAATGCTGAAATACAGTTGGCACATGGACTACTCCACGCATATCGGTCAGGGCGCACCAGAAAATGATTCTTTCACTGTGAAATCAGTCATGCGGGACCCACGTACTGGAATATTGGTTGCTGGTATGTTATTTCGGATATCGCTTCTGCAACACGGCTAATATCGATGACAGGCCTATCATACAATCAACAATCCAGCATATTGTAAGTAGGCTCTTCATCATTGACCTCAACATTGCTAAAAACAAGTAGAGTCACTTACCCTCGTTTCTCCGAGACGGACGGGAAATGGGTTTATCGCCATCATGACCAGAAAGAATTGATCGATGCACCATACGATGTGAGCTTTCATCCCATCTCCCATCTTGTCTATCAGGGAAGAAAACAACTAACATCTCCATTAGCTCTCATCATTGACTCTCAGTCCCACCCGCCACCTTCTGTGAGTTCCATGCATAATCGTTTAAATTAAACATGCTAACATACTCAGCTCGACCTTCAATAGTGGTAGTCCACTAGGCGATACCTTCATATCTATCACGAAGCTCATGGACCCAGATGAAAATGGCAGCTTCCAAGGATGTATGGTTCCTCTTTTCACCCATTCATCCAAGATCCAACTAACAAATACGGAAAGTCCCATACCCCTCCTACCGCAAAAATGAGCGAAGGACCTCATTCTGGGCCTCAGCGGCTGAGCCCACCCTAACAAACCACGCTCGATTCGCCATCGGTACAAGTCGTGGCGTCCAGATCATCGACGCATCCCAAAACACTTGGCATATGGAGAAGGTAGCTTTCTCCGATAGAAACGCACCAGCAGGTAGCACTACAGAGACCAGGTCCTCGGCAAACGCCGTGGACTGGTTGAATCCAATCACCATCGTCGCCGGCATGCGAAGCAGGGCGGTCGTTGTCTGCGACCTTCGCACCCAAACCAGCAGCTTCAAGCTGCGACACGACCGCCCTGTCTTCGAGGTGAAGAAGGTCGATGACTATCGCGTAGTTGCAGCTGGCCCAAACTCGGTAAGTACATTCTTTCCCATTATTTAGTTTGGTTTCAGTTTGGATATTATCTCACGATCATAGTTGAAAATGTACGACCTGCGCTGGGCGCCCGACGAGGGGCAGGCCACACGGCCATACCTGCCCTTCCCACAATACATCGGAATGGACATCCCTCGCTTCGACCTGAATAGCGAGCTCGGTCTGCTGGTAGCTCGTAAGTTCGACCCGCCTATGAACAATTTTCACTTTTACTTGAATATCAATTCACATTCACTTTGATTAGTCAACCAGAGCGAGCAGGTGCAGGATGATGTGCTGGACACATACTCGCTCCGCACCGGACGGCGGGCTGGGGGAGTACTCCCACGGCGGAACTTCCACTCCAGCTCGCCCCTATCGGTCACCTTCGACAGGGGGTGCGACCTTCCGGAGTGGCGTGGTCCCCGTGCCCCCAGCCTGCTGTTTGGTGCGGATCTGCGGGTTGAGGAGTGGACCTGGTAGGTCCCTCTGAGCTTATGCTCACGCGAAGGAACGGGGGTGGGTGTGTTCCCTGACTCCGGGGGAGGGGGATTTTTTAAGAGCCGTCATTTGTGGAAGTGAGCGTCTCAGGTATTTTTCATATATTTCACTGGCATAACATGAGGGCGCCATTTCTTGGGCCCTCCAATGAATAAGACCAAGTCAATCATCCCCCACTACATAGAGTAATTGTGAAATAGTAAACCTGGGTATAATTGATCTCCTAATCAGAAACCCAAGATGCAATGCGAAAGACCAAATGACGCCCGAGTACAAATGCAAAGCTAGATTTTACATGAAACCCTTAATCCAAACCACCAGCCAACCACTCGCCAACCTCGACTCCAATCCCCTTCGCCAGCTCACCGACCCAGTCTCCAGAAACGTTAACGCACCACTTATCTCCCGCGTCAGCACTGGTATTCCCACTGCTACTCGCCATACCATTATGGCTAGCAGCAGGAACGACTAGGCGCAACCGGCGCAATGTCGCTAACTCAGCATAGATTCGATCTGCGACAGCTGCAACCCTCACCGCAGTTGCAGGTGGATTTGGATCGATAGCATGGTAGATAGCCAAAAGACGTTCCAAGGGGAACGAGCGGGCTGTGAGAATAGTAGAAGGACCAGTGATTCCAGCGCCACCTCCGACAGCGGAAGTGGTAGCCGAGGAAGTTGCAAAGGCGGAAGAAAGAGTAGACTTCGTGATGCGAGTTTTAGTTCGCTTTCCCTTGCCTCGCCTGGAGGTTGAAGGGCCATCATTCGCAGCTTGTCGTTCTTCGGCCTGAGCTTGTGAAAGCACCTTCAGACGGCGACGGTGGTGGGCTCGCTTGTTACGCGCTGAGAGAGAAGACGAAGAGAACTTCGAGAAGAAAATCGTATCCAGCCGTTGCGGCGTGTGCGAGGCCAGGTATGCAGATGTGAGAATCAAGGTTGAGAAATAAGGTAAAGAAGGGAGAGCAGAGGGCATGCTTGATTTCGCCAATGGGGCGCTTGGCGTGCTGGCAGTTGCCTCGTCAGAGACAATACGGTGCACCAGTGCAGACTCGCCTTGGTGTCGGAAGATCGACCTGTTCTTAACCAGCAACCGTGAGAAATCCCATTCGCTGGTTTCGCTCGGTGCTGCCTCGCCGTTCACAACGGGCGCAACAAACCGCGGCCATAGTCTCTCGACTATTGAGCGGAAGCTCGGAATAGACCCTGCTGTTGGTCCAACCAGCGAGTCGTAAACTGTAGAAACGAAGTACGGGTATATTTTCGCGATAGTTTCATCGGACAAACCCTCCACAGCCGGCGCATTCGAATTGAGAATAATTTCAATCGCTTCTCTGCGCGTATATGGAGGGAAGTTAATATGCGGAACACCCGCACTTTGGAGGAACAATGGGCGAGGTGTCGAGCTGAGAACCATAACGACACAAATAGACGGGATCTATAAATAATGTTAGTCGCAATATTTCTGATCAGCCATTCAAAGCCAGGGAAATCCAAAACCAACTCACAATCTCGCCTAGTCGTGCCAGTGCCGATAACAGCGTAGGTGGTGCCTCCCTCTGTCTATCAATCTCGTCCAATACCAAGACAAATTTGCGGGCATTTGAAGACCATGTACCGAGACACTCCTCAAGGAGAACAGCCAATCCACTGACATGTTCACATCGTCCTTTCCCAGCTTTCTCCCATTCTTCCTTCTGACCCACTGCCTCAAGAGTATTCCACAAAATTTTCGTCAGGAGATGTCGCCCTGTGATACATTCCGAGCTGCGGACAAATGCATGTTGTACTTCGAGGGTGGACAGGACAGCGCGGAGAATGGTCGATTTGCAAGTCGCTGAGATACCGCTGATAACTAGTGCAGATGGACTAGGGGTGTGAGGCTGTTATGAAATAAATTGGATCAGTTAATCTCTATGGTGATTCCGCCATCACTATTGAACTAACACTGAGAAGGCTGGCTAACTGCCGCGTTTGGACCTCACGACAGGGCCATTGGGCGCTCAGCGAGCTCGCTACCTGCGTTGGTAGCATGGGAGTTCGACTTTTTCTTTCTGACTTTGTAGGCCAAATCTGTATCAAAGAGAAGTTGCGGCATCTTGAAGCTCCGAAGGGCGGACGGACTCCTTATGCACGTGACCACGCGTCGCGTTGCAGATTTGGCGACGAAATTGCATAAATTCTAACAAAACATTGAAAATGGTGGAATTACTGGATCTACTGGATTCATTTGGATAGCTAGGTTTGCTGAAGAAGTAAAAGAAATTGTGGAAACCGAATTCGCCTTCCATTGCTAAAATACATGCCGAAAGTGTGTGCATGGAACATGCATCGAACGAAAACCAGATTCATAGACCATGGCCACCATTCCAATGTCGAGGAGCAGTAAGCAGAGACTGAAATAATTGACCAAGTGAAAGGCTCAAACACCTTTAACATCAATGTTCAGCTCCGCAAACAGCAACAATGAACCAATGGGAGCGCATCAAGCACAACACGAAAGCAATTCGAAAAAGCAAAAAAAGTACAGCGGCTGATAATAATAATATTGAGAAATCACAAAGTTGAAATAGAAAAGGAAAAAAATTGAAAAATGATCCCAAGTTGGGCGCACCAATCCTCAAAGACAAAATAACCAGATTGAGGAAACAACCCAGAACTATCGCCAAGCGATTCCAGCTTCGGGTCCGATCAAAATCAAATCCGAGGGGAAACCAGAGGAAACAAGGGGGGAGGTGAAGTACAGGGGGAAACAAGGGCAGGGGAACAGAGTTCCAACGAAATCTCGAAAAAAAATCTGCATCATGCATGGCTCGCTTCATGAAAGATATGCAGTATGCAACATGGGCAGAGTTGCCAAATGCAAAAGCTATGATCATGGCACATTGCTTCATAAGGTTATGCAGGAAAACGCAAGTGGTAAATCACGGGGATATGATCATGGCATGTGCAATCGGGCCCAGTTTGATGACAGTGTGTAAAGTAACCGTTAAATCGTGAAAAAAAAAAAAGAAAAATGTTATCGTCGCATCGTCTCACTATGGGTACACTGGCTGCGGAAGCAACCACTGATGTGGGTGACTGGGACCCAATCAGAAGTAGGTGTAGAGTTGACTCGGCGCTCCAAGGTTTGCGGTTTGCTGAGGAGGAGGGACATTGTAAACAGACGAGCTGTCACTCTGTCCAGAAGGGGTGTTCGAGACCGAGCTTTGGGAGGAATGCGGCACATAGGTGTTGCTGCTGTATCCGCTGGAGGTTGGAGACTGAACGCCAGAAGGCTGAGGACCGGATTGGTACATGAATGGCTTAGCCAACATGGCCTTTGGGACCTGGGCGGTGTTGCTAACCTCGTTGGGGGTTGCCTGGCCGCTGGTAACAGCGCTGCTGCCATTGCTGCGGCTGTTGCCATCAGCGGCCATGATCTTGCCGGCGATACGGCGGCCATGAGGAGTCTGGCGAATGGAAGGCAGGATGGGGCGAACAGCGTCGACAATTCGGTTGCGGGTGTCGGGGTCGCAGAAATCCATGGCAGTTTGAACAACATAGTTTGCAAAGGAATCACGCAGCATCTTCTCAAGCTCATTGCCTGCAAGGAATTCGTCAATCATCTCACGCTTCATGTAGTTATCAGCGGTGCGAAGACATTTCTCAATGACATTGGAGCTGAACTTCTGCTTTGATAGCTGAGGGATGTTGCCTCCAAAAGTAGCGCACAGTGGGTTAGTGAAGCTGGGCTCATTCAGATCCAGAATGTACTGCACAACATAATTGCCGAAAGGATCCTGAACTAGCGCAAACGAGTGCGAGGTGATCTGAGCAATCAGGCGAGCCTTCTGGTCACCAGAAGCATGGTCAATGCAACGCTGAAGAACGCAGCATCCATGACGGTGAGTGCCAACAACCACACAGTTACCACCAACAGCGTCATAAATGAACTCAGCATCCTCAGGAGTGAGGCGGTTGAGACATTTCTGAATGACATGGTTGCCATTCAAGTCTTGCACAAGATCAACAACATGGTGCTGCAAAGCATTTATCACAGTCTGAGTCTGCTGAGGAGTCGAAATAAACTCAATCATCTTCTGCAGGGCACGCGTTCCATGCTGGTTCAAGGCAATCTTGACCAACTGCGAAGCGGCATTGTCAATTAAAGCAGTGCGCTGTTCGTCGTTGGAATATTCAAGCAACTTCTGGCAAAGATAATTTCCGAAAGGATCTATTCAAGGACAAAGAATGTTAGTGTCCAAAATGTGGTCAATGACAAAAAAGGAACAGTGTCATACCCGTCATCAGTTCAATCACATGCATGTAAACTTCACTGAAAATTAGCTGCACATGGTCCTCATTGCGCTCCTCCAACTTGCGCTGCAAGTATCGGCAGCCATGCTGGTCCTTGCATAGGCTGTACAATTCGCCCTTGTAGTGCTCGAGAGGGTAGTTGCCGAAACGAGTGAGCTGGCTTGCATCGGTTTCCTGACGGCGCTGGGCCATGCCGCCTCGGCCAGCACCTTCATTGAAGCGGAAACCAGGGGCATATTGAGGATAGCTGCTGTTGTAAGCTGCAGCACCTGGGAAGTTCTGCACGTGGCCGTTGATAGGAGTTACTTGGTTGACGTATGGCTGGACTCCGTAACCGAACGAAGGAACAGCAGGAACTTGGAATGGTAAACCCATCTGAGAAGATGCGCCAGGGACAAAGTTGTTGGATGTAGGGGATGTCAGCTGCGGTCCGAAAGGCGCAGCACTCGCCTGCAGAGTGGTCTGAGTTTGGTGATTGCTATTCAGCTCAGGTTCTTCCATCTCAGTCTTGATCTGGCGGTTGTTCGCAACACCCTGAGAAATGCGTCCCATGCTAGCACTGTGCTGGTGCACATGCTCATGGGAGACCTTGCTTGGGGTAACAGCATGTCCGTTTCCATTACCGTTGCCCTTCACAGTAGGCAGATCGTTGGTCGAGTATGACGACTGCAGAGCAGTGGGGCGGCTCGAGGGAACAGGAGTAGCCAGCTCATCGTGACGATCATCATGGAAGGAAATGTTGCTGCTGAAGGAATGACGAGCACCATGGCGTGCATGAACAGAATTGCCATTGCCGTAATCATCGTTGTGGTTGGGTAACTGTCCATAGTTGATGATGTTGTGGGGCAAGCTCTGGTGTGAAGATCGGTTGCGACTGTGGTGAGAGAAGGCATCATTTCCATGTCCACGAGGATTGGCAAGATCATGGGCATCAGGGTTTGCCGACAGCTGATAAGATAATTAGCCTTTGGGCTTGTGAAGAAACCGGTGAGAGACTTACTATAGAGTTACCACTGCGCAACAGAGTTGGGAACTTGTCATCGGGTTCAGTCAACTTGATATAACTCTTGATATCAGGGGTAGAAAGTCGCTCCAATTCTCTCAGGTGTCCAAGAGACTTCTCCTCGGCAGTTTGAAATAGATACTTAGTGCCCCAGTTGTCCATACCGGAAGTGGGAGCGGCATTGTTCAATCCACTGATGCTGTTCCGGCTATTGCCATTGGGGTTGCCAGACGGCATCGAGTATCGGTGGCCACTGTGGAGAGAAAGGCAAATTGTTAGTTGAAACTGCAATATGGACACAGGTCCTGGGTAGTTCAACTCACTTCTGGGCTGGTCGGAAGGGCGAGGAAGGATCAGAAAGAAAAGCATCCTTCTCAGAGTTGCGACGAGAACCAGGAACAGAGTGCCCTGCAAAGCGGTCGACCGAATGCTGGTTAGAGTGCGTGACAGCCTGGGGCGAGGTCATGACCGAAGGAGCAAAGGCATTGAAAAACCCTGGCGAAGAAGTGACGCTGGAAGTAGAGAAACGGCTGGGACGGCTGAAAGCACTGGTCACAGCGGTTTCACGGTACTCGGGAGGAGTGGTGGGCTCGCTGTCTGTGCCAGAAAGACCATTCTGAGCCATTTCACGAGCCAGTTGATCCATTTCCAGCTTCTCGCGTGCGTGTTGTAGATCAAGAATCTTCATATCTTCCTCGAAACGGCGTTTCTGTTCCCGCATGTATTCGAGGTGTTGTTTTTTCTTTTCAAATTGCTGAACAAGTTAGCTGTAGTTCATATAACCATGCAACGAAACGAAATGTCAGATCAAAGTAGAGAACAAAATTTGGGGAACAGTCGTGAGTTAGAATGAGTTGAGGTAGAGTCCGATGATAGTGAGAGCTGACAACTCTACCGCAAGGCACTCAAAAGATAACAGAAAAAACGTCACAAAAACAGCTTCAAAAGACAGCAAAAAAGAGAGTCCAGAGGAGAGCCAGACAAACTGTACGTGCAGGGGAAATGATAAACCAAACGCACAGTATGAATATCAAGCATAGAAGAAAGCAGATGGTGACCCGAACGCGGAAGGCAGATAGTGTTGCAGGATCACAGACAGAAGTGCTTGGCTTGGCCTGTAAATAAGGAACAAAGTCGAATGATAAGGGTGAAAAGAGGAAGAAAAAGGTCAGGTGGTAAACTGTGGATGGTACTTTTTATAGTGACCAGACCAGCCGAGGGTAGACAATACTTGATTTGAAGCCTGAATAGACCTCAAATGGAGTGAATGCCTCAATAGCCTCAAAATGGAGCCGAGGCCTGAATGGGCAACAATTCCTGCGAGCTTCTGGTTTGGTATTGATAAAAAGATATTGATGTTTGATGAATAGGGACAATGGGTTGGATGAATGAAGAAAGGAAAAACGATGATGAGATGAAAATGATGAGGGGTAATCTTTTGAAGAGCTCTTTTTTTTGAATGGTGTGACGGGCATTCCATCATAGCTCACGGGATATCAACTGCTCCAAATTGACCAAGCAACTTTTTGGTACAGCAGACTTCCGTTCATCGCAACTCAAATATAATGGGAAAACAGCAGCGGGTACGTTTCTTCGATGCACGGGTATAAAGATGCTAATAGAAATTCCAATCTTACCGAAGATAACAGATCTAACGGATCCTGGGTCGAGCCCGTGCTCGAACTCGCACCAGAGCCTTGATTCAAATATCCCCATGAAGAGAATTTGCTTGAATCGGTGGTAAAGCGGCGCTGCAGATTCGCTCGAACATCACCCGTCGGCCGGGTTGAGAACCGCGATCCAAAGTTCGAATGACCCGGGGAAAGAGATGTGTACCCAGGGAAAGCAGACTCCGAAGGTGGGGATCGTGGGGAAGGGAACCGCAGCTCGTCGAGGCGTTCACTCAGCCCGTGCTTGAAGGCCATGGTGGGCAGAGCCAAATTGTCCAACTACACCAAAAAGAGTCGACCGGTCAGCGAAACGAGATTTGTTGATGCCGACACGGGGGTTTTAGAGAGCTCCGGGGAAACGCAATTACGACCAGCCCCCGAAATGTTGATGCCACGTCCTTTAGGGGAAATGTCCGAATGATGGGCTGGCGGTGTGTTCGGTCTCAAGTAAGGGGAGATCGGAGAGAGGGGCTGAGGGGCCGCGAGAGACGATCTAGCGCGGGAATAAAAGGGACCCCAACTCACACAATGAACGCCTCGAGAGGTGTCAAATCAAGTCGGATAGTGAGGTGCTGTGTGGATTTCAGACGGTGCAAGTCATCTATGGGATTTTCTTTGTCGGGGAAATATCGTGTGTACCTGAACGATGCGGAGATCAGCAGGGAGGTTGCAGAGTGGGATGGAGCTCTCTTACCGCTCTTAGCGAACGAGGAATCGAGGCGCGACGAAACGAGCGTGTCGCGCAGAATGGAAACACAACCTAACAATAACCCAAAGGAACGATACAGAACTGTTGTACAAAGGGGAGTTGCAGAGGGAGAAAGAGGAAGAGGGGGGAAGAAAATGGCTGGGGAGTCCAGAGCCAGAGCGGGGAGATCCTTTTTTGGGAAATCGACTCTGTGGCCTTCGTCTTTTTTTTTTTGGTTGTTTTTTTTGGTTCTTTTTTCCCTATTGATTATTATTATTAATTTCTTTGGATCATTTACTTAGATACAATATATAGTATTTATATTAACAGATTTTCTCCAAAGATCCCAGTGGTAATGACCATCTGATCGTGAATTATAGTAATTAAATGTTTTTGTTTCATGAAGCAAAACAATCCTGGGAATATGCAATCCCTCTTATAGATACATATATGTATTGAACATATAACAGTAACCAATACAGGTTCTAAATACTCGTGAACAATTCAACACATAGTCAACTTAAATATATATGAAGTCATTCGGAAATTGATCGGGTTCTATTGATTGGAGAGACTCCGATGTCTGTACGACTTGGGGGCATTTGTCCCAGGAAGAGCCTAGGGTAAATGAGTGGGCGCAAAACGTGAGACCTCGAGGAATGGTCAATTCCATGATGGACTAAAGACATCTGTGCACTATGCGCAAGGGGGCTCCAATGCGTTGTTTAAAAGCGTGGCAGGTGCAGAATCACTTAACCTGTGGGGATTGAAGATGCCCGAAGATGTGACAGCGGATCCTTAGATTAGGCGCCTATACGGAATACCTAGATCCAGACAGTGTACTCCCCGTTCGGAGTAGGTAGTAGATCATAGTTTAGTTAACTATTATAGTACAAGATAGTACATAGCATAATAGGGGCTAGCTCTAACTACATGTGTACACGTATGTAATTGTTATATCCAAATTAATGGTTCGTGTATAACTCTTCCCATGGATGATTCGCTTTTCTTTGTTCTAGTTCCACGGTTGTCAATTAGCTACTCTCCTTTTCTTTTGCTTTCATTTTTATGCTTCTATACTTCTGTGCTTCTGCCGTCTATACTTTAAATATTTCCACACTTTTCTCTTCCCTCTCCCCATATTCCAAATTCCAACTGCATTATTATATCATTAGGGCTTCATTACGGAGTAAAATCCACAATATGCACGATAAGGGCTCTCTCTCAGGACAAGCGGTGTACCGTGCCAGCCAACGCTGATCAAATCGCTTGGAGCCCCTGATCCACCGAATGACGAGCATACCAGTGGGGATCACTTAACCCCGTCCTTATTATTTTATCTAGGGTCGCCAATGGACCACTTTTTCCCCTCCTCGACTACAACACAACGTAAATTGTACGCTTTAGTTCTCTTTGCAATCTGAGCAGTGTACTCTTTATGATCCGTGCTGATTATAGACATCAAAGTGGCTTGTACTCCGTATGGTCAATTTTACCTGAGACTATAATAGTTGTATGCAATATGCGAACCCCATGATCTCCAAAGTGATACGTCCAACCCCAACTGCCAGACGAACTAGTGTGCCAGCTAGTCATCGCCGCGGCACTCAATAATCACATTAATAATACCAGGGTGGACTCTAACCCACTTATGGACGCCCAAATATTACTTTCTTAAATTGCCCGATCTCTTTCATGCCCAACGGCTTGCGCCTTGATTGACTGGCTGCCTCAATTCTAGAACGAATCACGAATTGCAGTGAAGTCGACTTACGAGAGACTATCATCCTCCTCCTAGAAGTACTAGCAAATAATATCTGAAACAACTGGCCGCGAAGTCGAGCCCTGCAATAGCCCTGTAATAGGCCTTCTAGACTCGATGCTAGATAGTTATACCCCTGTCAATATCTCACATCATTAATCTTCTTCTTTGAAAGATTTCCTCGGAGCATAGTCTGCATAATGGGATGGTAGATAAACACCACGTGTAGGCGTGATATACTTTTGGAATTCCTTCATATTCATAATATTCTTCTCAGTGATCGACCTCCTGTTGTACCCCTCATAGTGGCGATAGGAATATACTTCCGGTCAAAAATAGAACTATCGCTCTCAAACCAAGTAGCCAAATAACCAAAATGCCTTTTAGCAGAACAATCTGTGTTCATAAAGTTGAGGGTGGCAATTTACAAAGTTGCGGTCAAACTTATCCTTTCGCCACAAACATCATAATCATCCCAGTTATCCCCTCTTTAACGCGGATACATGACCGGATCTTCCCGGTTCTTCATCAATCATAGTGCTACAGGTAGTTAGTGCGACCATGTGTTATTCATATGTATCGAGGCCCTTGCGCCCTGGTATGGGACAAATTTATTTAAATTATCCGTGACCGCTTCGTCAATGCTCTACAGGAATGTATACATCATTTTCATCAAGCCGAATCATCTCAATTCTGATCAATAATTCGTCCGTGCAGAGATAAACGTCCGGGGCTGGCATGCGCAAAGACCCACTACTCAAGTAGCATGTCATCCTTGGCCACGGTCTAGTACAGAATATATTCAGCTTCCTTTACTACAACCTACTTAGATATATATTGTCTTGTGAGGTCTGTAAATATAAAATGCGTGTCCGGTCATGGCTTGTAGACAGCCCGCTTCTTCGGATAATCTTGTTGACATTTCTCCATCGGAGTTAAGACCCATTTGCTCCGATCCTTCGATCTTGCATATATTGAAATTGAGCATGCTAGACTGACCTCGCGATAAATCTAAGTATCAATTGGCAAATAGCTACGGCCTACATAATTGTCGATGATTTCGTTACTCTTGATGGCTCCTTTTTCTGCACACTGGTGGTATTCATTGGTCAAAAAAAGGGCCGTGTTCATCTCTAAATATATACAACAAATTTCCCATATTTATGAATGTTGATGGTCAAAAACCATGTCAAGTACTCCAAAAAAACACACCGAAAGAATGGAATTGAGGAATGAGCTACCACCTAGTCCCATATGTCAAAATCAACGCGAGGAGCAATGACGGTTAGTAAACCATCGCGCGGTAGAAAAGATATTTATGCCTCAGGCCACAATCAGCTACGCGCTTAATAATCAATCTCCAAATTAACTCAAATCTTTCCCCTCCATGCGCATTCACCTCGCGAGCTCACCATTGGATATTTGAGTAGTCTGAGAGGTATTTTTGAAGTATTTTCTCTGCAACTCAACTGTCTAGCCAAAATGCCTCCGCGCAGAAGGCCACAGCCCCCGGCGGCCAGCCAGCGACGTCCGTCAGAGGTAACAAAACTTTTTTCCAAGTCGCAAGCTTCATGTTGTCGACGATTGTACTGACTCATTGCGACGCTACCAGGCCGGAAACCAATCGACGACTGATCCTACAAAGAAGAAGCGCGGTTCGCAGTCCAACCCTGTGCCTGAGCCTCACCACCATCCCGCGCCCCAGGATGATCCCAATGCTCCAAAATTCAAGCCGAGGGATCCGTTTGATGCCCTTTTGGAGCCATTCTACTACAATAAGGGACTCACAGACCCAATCAACACAGCGAAAGATAAATGGAACTTGTTGCCGGCGTTCCTGAAAGTCAAGGGTCTGGTGAAGCAGCACATCGACTCGTACAATTATTTCGTGGAAGTACAAATGAAGAAGATTGTCGAGTCGAGCGCCATGATTCGCAGTGATGTCGACCACAACTTTTACATCAAATTTACCGACGTGTACGTTGCTTCGCCTCGACGAGCTGACGAGCAAGGCGATGGTGGATTTGATTTCGAGTCTACGATCACGCCGCAGGAGTGCAGACTGCGAGACACTACATATGCCGCGCCTATTCTGGTCGACTTCGAGTATGTTCGTGGGCGGCAAAGGGTTATTAGACGTGGCGTTCCTATCGGACGGATCCCTCTCATGCTTCGGAGTTCCAAGTGTGTGCTGTCGAATAAAACACCTGCTCAGATGAGCGTTCTCAATGAATGCCCTCTTGACCCTGGTGGTTACTTTGTTGTCAACGGAACAGAGAAGGTTATTCTCGTGCAAGAACAATTGAGCAAGAACAGAATTATCGTTGAAACCGACCCGAAGAAGGAAATTGTTCAGGCCTCGGTCACCAGGTATGTACTCGACGGTCCCTTTGTAGAGAAAGCGGGCTGTGACTAACATGTACAGTTCCTCCAACGAGCGTAAATCTAAGAGTTACATTGTTTTGAAGAAGGAGAGATTATATGTCAAGCACAACGTGCTTAACGAAGACATCCCTATCGTCATTTTGCTCAAGGCTATGGGCATCCACACCGACAAAGAAATGATGCAAATGGTTACAGGTGACGATAAGGTGTATCAGGATGACTTTGCCATCAACTTCGAAGAGGCTGTCAACGTTGGCGTATTCACTCAACAGCAAGCCCTCGACTGGATCGGCTGTCGCATCAAGATCAACCGCAAGCAAGCCACTTACCGTAAGACTCACGTGCAAGAAGCAGTTGAGGCTATTGCATCTGTCATTATTTCCCACATCGAGGTCAAAGACATGAACTTCCGACCCAAGGCCATCTACGTTGCCCACATGGCCCGACGTGTTCTTATGGCTAAGAACGACCCATCTCTGGTTGATGACCGTGATTATCTCGGAAACAAGCGTTTGGAGTTGGCAGGTCAGATGTTGGCCCTCCTTTTCGAAGACTTGTTCAAGAAATTCTGCTTCGACATCAAGATGAACATCGACAAGGTTTTGAACAAACGCAACCGGGCCGAGCAATTCGATGCTTGGACCATTGTCACCATGCACGGAAACCACATCACACAGGGTATGAACCGAGCTATTTCCACCGGAAACTGGAGCTTGAAGCGTTTCCGTATGGAACGTGCGGGTGTTACTCACGTTCTGAGCCGCTTGAGTTACATTGCGGCTCTTGGTATGATGACCCGTATCAGCTCGCAGTTCGAGAAGACCCGAAAGGTCTCTGGTCCCCGTGCTTTGCAGCCATCTAACTTTGGCATGCTTTGCCCTGCCGATACTCCTGAAGGTGAGGCCTGTGGTCTGGTCAAGAACTTGGCCCTCATGACACACATCACCACAAATGACGAAGAAGGACCCGTGCGAAATTTGATGTTCATGCTGGGCATTGAAGAAATTTCGAGTGTGGGCGGTCAGCAACTATATGCTAAGGGAGCCTACACGATCTCCATCAACGGTACACCGACTGGGTTGACCAGACGCCCCAAGTCCTTCCTCAATGCCTTCCGAAGACTTCGCCGCATGGGTCGTGTTTCCGAGTTCGTTAGTATCTACATCAATCACCATCAGCGAGCTGTGCACGTCGCGACCGACGACGGGCGAATTTGCAGACCGTTGATTATTGTTGAGAAGGGCAAGTCACTTGTCACAGCCCAACATCTTGAAAAGCTACGCGATGGAAAAATGGAATTCGATGATTTCCTCGCCCAAGGTCTTGTGGAATACCTCGACGTGAACGAAGAGAACGACTCCTACATCGCCATTTACGAGAAGGACATTTTGAATACACACACCCATCTTGAGATTGAGCCCTTCACAGTTCTTGGTGCCGTCGCGGGTCTCATTCCTTATCCTCACCACAACCAATCTCCCCGTAACACCTACCAATGTGCTATGGGTAAGCAAGCTATTGGTGCAATTGCTTCCAATCAATTCCAGCGAATTGATTCAGTCCTCTACCTCATGGTCTACCCACAAAAGCCAATGGTCAAGTCACGAACCATCGAGCTGACAAAGTACGACCAACTGCCGGCCGGTCAAAACGCAACCGTCGCAGTCATGAGTTACTCCGGTTACGATATCGAGGATGCCCTCGTTCTGAACAAGGGCTCTGTAGACCGTGGTTTCGGACGTTGCCAGGTATTCCGCAAATATGTCACAACTCTCAAGAGTTACCCCAGTGGCGCGAAGGACGAGCTGAAAGGACCCGACTACGAGGATGGCGCTCCCATTCGCAAGCACGCCCTCCTCGAGTCCGACGGTCTTGCCGCAGTCGGCGAACAGATGAACTCCGGCGAAACCTACATCCGAAAGGTCTCACCTAAGGTGCAGAACTCGTCCGGCATCACAGGATCCGACTTCAATGGAGGCGGCGTCATCGATGCATCCATGAACTACAAGCTCCCCGATCCAGCCTACGTAGACAAAGTCCTCGTTTCAGCAACAGAAGGCGAAACACAGCTCATCAAGGTCCTGACCCGACAAACACGTCGCCCAGAAGTCGGTGATAAGTTCTCCTCCCGTCACGGACAGAAGGGTGTCGTAGGTATTATTGCCGACCAGGCCGACATGCCCTTCTCAGACCAAGGAATCAACCCCGACATCATCATGAACCCCCACGGTTTCCCATCTCGAATGACAGTCGGTAAGATGTTGGAGCTTGTCGCCGGAAAGGCGGGCGTTCTCTCCGGTCAACACGGCTACGGTACCTGTTTCGGCGGTAGTCCCGTCGAGGAAATGTCCCAGATTCTCATCGATAAGGGCTTCAGCTATGGCGGAAAAGATTACCTTACTTCTGGCATCACCGGCGAGGCGCTTCCTTTCTACGTCTTCACTGGTCCCATCTACTACCAGAAACTGAAGCACATGGTTCAAGATAAGATGCATTCTCGTGCTAAGGGACCGACTGCTACGTTGACGCGCCAGCCTACGGAGGGTCGTTCCCGAAACGGTGGTCTACGTCTCGGAGAGATGGAGCGTGATTGTCTGATTGCATACGGTACCAGTCAGTTGCTCCTGGAGCGATTGATGATTTCGTCCGATCGCCACGAGGTCGATGTTTGCGAGCAGTGCGGTTTCATGGGCTATCTGAATTGGTGTCCTGGGTGCAAGTCTTCTCGCTCTGTTGTTAAGATGGTCATTCCTTACGCTGCCAAGCTTCTCATTCAAGAGTTGATGAGTATGAATGTCACAGCTCGTCTGAAGCTTGACGATGAATTCCCTGAGATGAAGGGTCGTTAGGCTTGTCAATTGGTGTTTTCGGGATATTCAAAATGGGTAATGTGTGCATACTCGGTCTTACGAATGAATGGCATAGCGCGGCGATTTTCAATGTTTTCTTTACTTTTGTCCCTTTTTTGTAATTGTAGATGAAGCTTTTGTTGATCGAAGTTGTTCCTAATCATCAATCTACACTTTTAAGAACGGACCAAGATCGGAGCACACCATTGAAAATATCATTTTCAAAAGAAGAAAAAAACATTCTGAACCAAAACTAAAACAAAGCCCCAAGCCCCAAGCACACACTAAAGCATCAAAACATTCGACTCAAACGCAACATGCTGATAGCGCGTAAACTCAATAATCTCATTCAAAACCTTGACCCGTGTATCCAAAGCCTCATCCAGAGTCATTGGCATATTCCCCTTCTTATCTCGATTGTCAAGCGCCAACTTCGCCATAGCCTCTCTAAGGTTATCCCCAGTCTCAGGGATACCAATCGTCCAATCAAGCCGCTGAGGCGGAATATTAGCCGTAGAGATGATCCGTATATTCGGATCGACGAGGAAAAATACCAACGCCCGCGCGAATCCAGGCTTCGATTTATCTTGCAGCTCGAAGCGCGTGAACCTGTGCTGCACCGTGCTCGGATACATGATGCAGCGGCCTGGCATAGCGCGGATCGTGCCCGGGCATTGGATGGCTGGCTCGCCGTTCTCGAGACCGAACACTTGCCGCAGCCAGATGAAGTCGTTCTGCTCGTGTTCGACTTCGGTGAGAGTGTCCGTTTCTGCCATGTTGCGGAACTCCATATACGAATCGCCCACGTTATCGTGGTCGTACGTCAGGAATGCCGAGGCGCAGATGTGCTCGTTCTGCTCCTTGTTAGAATTTGTGCTTGAATTGGGTATGAAGTGCTCGGGTCTTACCATTGTGCCTTCGACGTGCCAGTCGGCTTCAAAGTATGGGTCCTCGGGGGTGAGATCAACTCCTACCATGCGGGTGATGACTTGCAGGCCTCGCTCTTTGTAGTCCCGGTTGAGGTCAACGCCTCGTTCAATCCGTACGGGAGCAGGCAGGTCCCCCGGTAGCTTGTCCATCATCCAGGTGGGAACTGCCCATGGTAAAAATGTGCCTGCATCAGGTTGGACGGCGCGATAGTTTTCCATTCTCCATTGTTCCATGCGCTCGTCGTATTCGCTCTGCGTTTCTTTGGGGTTCCTTCGAGGCGCCTGGGCGGCAACTTCCTCGGGAAGAGGATGATACTCTGCTTTGTGGTACTCGATCCGGGCTCGAGAATGAAGCATATCTTTGAGAGGGGTGAGAGTTATATTCCACTGTGGGATGATGCAGTTGAAAGCCTCCTCGATGAGCTTGTAGATGTTCCGATGCTTGACTGGGTGCAGATTGTTGATGTATGTGGCGATATGCCATTTGCCGTCCTCACGTAGTTCCCAGTCGGTAGGCAAGATCTGGTACTCTCGGCTATAAGGTCGGACCTTGATATCTGCACGGGCCAGAACTCGCCAGGCGATGTCTTCTCTAGTTATGCCGGTCTCTCTTGGAATTGGGATGACCTCGCCCTGGCCAGCATAATCAAGGGCTTCATCGAGCTTGATGACCCTGTCGGAGAGAATGCGAGTTTTGCCATAAACAAGTGGGTACAGAGCCATGGAGATGAAGTCTCGCTGTTTAGCTAGAGGTCCTGGGTGGAAGAACTTCAGATCCTCCTGGTTGAATTCCAGTCGCTTAATCTCAGTTCTCAGAGTGTTGATTAACGATGATGACAAGTTTGTGTCTGACTTGGTGACATCCCCATTGTACAGGGCCACGACGTGGGAGTCTTTGTAGATCATGGCTTTGAATTGGAGCTCATCAATAATCCATTGGGCCATGTTGGCCGTAATGTCATCGCCACTGTTCATGGCATCCTTTTTCCACTGCTCCTGGACCGCGGGCTCAAAGATCTAAATCTACTTTCAGTAAGATAATCCACATCAATAGCATGAGAGATAATAACCTTGTCCCACCAGTTGGGAATATCTGTAAGGACCTCCATGAAGCATACCATTGCCATCTCACGCAAGGTGAGAACAGGTAAACTAGAGGACATCTCAGCATTGAGCATTTTTCGAGGTCTATGCACTCACTTCACATATCCTGCCTCAATGTCCCTATCATCCAACGCAGAGGGAAACATGCTCCGACACTCAACGCCATAGATGTTTTTCTCTGTGGGAGCAAAGTCCAGCGGCCTACCGTATCCCGGGAGAGTCAAGCGGCAGTCTCTCCATGCCTTGTTGTTCAGGAAATGGGCCTCGTTGGCCTTGTGTTGGAACATCGTCACGTTCACAGAAGGAGAATATATCTATTTCTTCACATTTCGTTAGGAAAACTCCGGTACAACTGGTGAACCCAATATAGGTACTTGGGAACGAAGAGGATGGACATACTTGGGAATTAATCTTTTTCGAAATCCCATGCACCAGATCATACGAGAATACTAGTAGAATTCAAGACGTTCTTGAGGTTGAGACAAGAAATTGTCCCACGAGGATATAATTTTGGCGACATGGGCATGAACAACGTAATGATGCAGATGTGTCGTCTTCAGCCCACCTAGGAATATTGCAACTTTTCTCTTAAACGAGAGCTGCGGAAATTTGCTCCGATCCTTCACAGTTCCATGATTGATAACTGAAGCTATAGGGTTTAAAAGTCAGTCATAATGATTCAATTCTCGGTACCGTGGGATCGTTGTAAAACTGGTTGTTATATAGAACACCCAAAGAAACAATGGCTATAAACATTCGAGATATTTAGAGTCGATATTTACTTTATCCAGTGAGGAATCATGTGTTTCCTATATTTAGCCATAAAAAAGGGGATCCATGCACGGGCATTTATATGCACAAATGCAGTTATATCTACACATTTAGTATAGCTTGGTTGCACAGCATGACGTCTACCAATGCCACTCATTTCAGAAGCCGAGACAAAACCACGAGCACAAAACGGAAATGCGAAAATCATGTCGATGCTAGAGCCCCGAGGTATTCTTTGACAATGCCCCAATAACGATCTGGCTCAGCCCTCATATGTCCAACATGAGGGGACGCTTTAAATATTTCACGACGCACCGCCCAACCCTTCACCTCTGCTTCCAATGCATGCGATTCAGTATCGCGCCAATCCACCAGATCATCGGCATCAGAATAAATATAGCAGCGAGCAAGCTTCCCTTCCGGGTTAGCCGCCCGCACTAAAGAAGAATCATTAACAACCTCCCTAGCAAGGGAGATAGGATCCGGAAAGATTTTTAAAGCATGGATCAACTTAAAAAGAACCAAGAAAACAAAAATAAAGCTTTTGCCAAGTAGCCGCAAGATCCACATTTGCGGCAGCGCAAACGAGAAAGCCTTGAGTCCAGATCGCAAACTCGGGTTTCCTGGCGCACTGTCTAGAATCATTGCCAAAACTGGTAATGGGCTTCCTGTCGCGCTCTTCCAGGCTTGCAATAAATGCGTTGTGCTTGACAAGCCTCCGTTTGAGAAGAGGTGCACAAACACTGGGTTCTCGGGGGTGACTAGCCCGCGCATGGCTTCCACGGCTGGAGTAACACGGGCTCTCTGGCTTTGGGCGCTTAGGCGCAAAAGGAAATCGTTTGATGAGTTTCGGACGAAAATGATTCGTGCTGATGGGACTATGCGCCTGTACTCGACCACATACTTGGCCAGAGCACGTGGAGGGGCATTCATCCAAAATGCAATGAATATCACTGGTTGGTTTGTCTTGTTGCTTGAGCCGCTGGGGTCTTGGAGGTAGACTGAATCGGTCAGCTTGGAGAATGATGCCAGGGGGGTTTCGGTTTTTGTGGTCATGATGTGAATGATCAAAGAGAAGATAGTAATTTTGTTTTTGAAATCAAAAATGGACGGCGATCCCCGCGATTGCCAAGAGCCGTTTCACACTAAAAGATCTATACGAGTCAGATTTAAATAGGGGGTCATTAGGGCCAGTGCCATATCTCCAGATTCTTTCCTTTGTGTGATCGTGTCATGATCTTCTGCGCCAGCGCTGCGATGGTCAATTAATAGTACCCACAGCATGATATGCATCAGACTGTGCCAAGTTAACGAGTTGTTCAATAGTATGTATCATGTTCAACGGAATAAACATGTGAGTTACCCGGGCCATGAGATAATTCTTGGGAGAATTTTGGTCGTATGTACATATGCCTTGTCTATCAGGCGCGGTGGTCTAGAGATATGCAGCCTACTCCCAGTCTTCTTTCATCAACCACACTGAATACTTATCTATTCTAAGTCTATCAACCCCGGACTGACTGCTCCTTCAAGCAAGAGGTATAAATACGATCCTTGGTGTTTTACCCCATTAATGCTGATATTTTGCTAGTTCTCACCAAAGCAGTCATGTCTGACAGTCAGCGTATTCATTTCGTGCCCGCTAAGCGCCAGACCCAGATACTAGAGATGGAAGTGAAACATATCATCGCAGTCCCGCATCAACAAGAAGCAGGCACAAATCACTGGTGTCTCTATTTTTCGACCTCGCCAACAACCTCAATCCGCTTGGATTGCCAACCAAGCTACAGCGTCCCTAGTTCCATACTCCAGGGAGGCTCCAAAGCCGACTTAATCATCTCGGAACTGCCCTACGAGGCCGAAAGTGACGCTCAAGCTAAACTTATTCTTAACACTGCGTTTGGGCTATCATTTGGGCGGATCTGGGACCAAATCACTCGACATGGTCGTCATAAATATGAATTCGATGAGAATGGAGTCGGCTGCAGATGCTGGATCACTGATCAGATTGATCTTTTATATGAACTTCAAATCATTATCGACGAAAATCAAGTCAGGGATGCAATAGCTGCCATCCTTAAATTGTGGCCTGAGAAAACACCGCTTGCCCTTGATCAAGGGGCTTACTATGAGTGAATTCCTGTACAATTGGAAATATGTCACCCGATACATGTAAGACTTGCCCAGATGGCAATAAAAAAGAAGCTCTATTCGGTATATACATAACTGCCTGACCAACTCTCTTGTATCTGGAGGACATTTGAACCTTTTGCTACTGGCCCGGTTGAGGTTACAAACGTGGATACAGTATAAATGTGAAGCGGTTCTATTGTAGTATAGATAGTTTGTATAATGCTTGTTATCAATATCATACCATAGAACTCCTAGACGCTACGTGGCAATGGCCGTAAAAGAGATCAATGCTACTAAACTCATGAATGTTTTTACTGTTTCCTCAGAGACTAGAAGTCAAAAGAATTTAGATTGGAGAACTCCCACTGACAATACGATGAAGATTTTGGAATTTGCAAGACCATTTTATATTCAGGCAAGATCAAACGCCCCGAAACGCCAGGCCGAGCCTTGCTATGTCCCCGAAGAAAATCTCCGCCACTGAATCTAGAGATTCCCCTATCTAAAAGTCCAGAGGTGTCGTGAAAGTGAGGTTAAATTGAACAAAATAGACATTAGCGCTTCCCCAATGTCCTGCCACCACCATCAGACTTTTTTGTGGTGTCCTTGCCCTTTTGACTTTCAGTCTCACTGCCCGAGGCGGTGGCAGAGTCAGCCAGGTCCTTTCTCTTTCCGCGTAATGTTTGTCCAATTCCTTGGAATTTTGGCTGATCATCATCTGGAATGACCTGTCCGTTCTCATCACGAGGCTTAACAGGCTTGATTGTGTACCCGAAGAAGAGCTGATTGGGAGGAAGTCGGAGTGGCTGCGGACCATTTGTTCTCCGGGCTGGAGGAGGATGTTGGGGACCAGAGGCGCCGGGGGTAGGAGTAGAGGGGTTGGGAGTTGGTGCTTTGCTGCCCTTCTTAGCGTTCAAACGTTGTCCTCCGGTCAAGAAGTTAGAAGATGCGGCACGGGCACCTGCTACAGCGTCGGTGGCCTCGGGGGCTATGGCGGGGTAATTGATCGACTGTGCCATACTACCGTGTGGGTGCAATAGACCTCCGGCGGGTAGTTTACCACCTTTGATGACGCTGCCGGGCGTACTCGTTCCACTGGTTCGCTGTGGTTCTTCATATCCAACCGGAGCGGCGAAGTCGACCTCCAGATCAGTCTCTAGAACTGACACAGCACTCTTGGAACCGGATGGTTTCGTCTCCAGCACGGCCATCTCGTATACTTGGTCATTGTATCCAAAGGTGAAGACGTCGCCTTTGGTAAGACATGAAAAGTTCCGAAAGGCGTTTTCAAGGACGGCTTTTGGGTCGCTGATGTCGAGGAAGGAAGTTGACTGTGCTTGGAGCTTGATGGATTGTCCAGGGGGCAGGTCGGTCGATTTAATCTGAAGGAGGTCACCGGGTTCGAGCAGTAATGTTTGCATCAGCTGTGGAGAGTCGCATTAGAGTTTCCACACACCGAGGGTTCTGACTTTGTTCTGACTTGCTTACCCAGAATGGCAAATAGATCTTTCCTTCCTCGGCAATGAATTCCAAAACACCAGCATGTGTCATTTTGTCCTTTGCGCCGTTGTGAAGCTCGAACATCATCGGATAGGTAATGTGGAGACGGGTAAGCTTGTCCAATGCACTGGGAGGCATGATGACTTTGCCGCCATGATTGACATTCTCTCTCTCGGGACCGGGAAGCATCGCCACAGGATAGCAGCGGTAGTATTCATCGAAGCGACGAGCAGCGGCACCGGGGCGAGCCATACCAGCGCCTAGGACTCCGTCCATGGGGTCGTCGGACCAATAACCGGGTCGAAACTGAAGTTCTGAGTGAGTTATGATATTGAGATGAGCGAAATAGAATGCCTACTTACCATATCGAAATTGAAATTCTCTAAAGAAGCGGATGGGAAAGTAAAATTAAATGCATGAATCTGGTTCGTTTGAGGTACAATGCCGCCTTTTGGATCGCCGTCGGTGACGCAGTTCGTTCCGCCATGATTTTCCGCTCCGACCCCAGACAATGGAGTCAGCTCTCGCCAATTTATGCAAGCTTCACAGTTAAGCTTTATTTTTCTCTTTTGAATTGAGACCTAAAATCATATCACAGCGTGATGTCCAACTCGCTCCCGCACTCCAAGCGCGGCGGCGAAGACTTCGCCCGCACCCACTACGATGAGAACCCGGACGATTCTTCAGAACACAAGAAGCCGCGCTTCGATCTTCGCAACCCCTCAGCTCTAGCTGCAGATGCCCCCGAGGAGGATGCAGTTTTGGATGCCGATGAGATTGGTCGCCGAGGCCGGCAAGTAAGGCGCAAGGCCGTCAACCTCGATGGTTACGAGTCGGACAGCGATAATGAGGGATTCGATGCGCGCACGGACAAATCCAAGGGCAAAGAAAAGAAACAAGAAGCGGAGGACGACGACATGTTCGCCGAGCTACAGGAGGATTTCGGCGAAGAAGAAGTGGACGGCGACGAAGTTTTGCGCAAAAACAAAAAATCCGTTCGCTTCTTACGAGACGACGAAATCGAGGGCCAGGTCGCTTCTTCGAAAGGCGGCACCTCTTTACATGTTGATCTGAGCAAGGGCGCAAACCAGATTAACGAAGAGGAAGACGAGAGTGACAGTGAGATTGGAGAGGAAGAGCGCGCCCGCGTCGACGACGATGTGGATGAAGAGCTTGGCGCAGGCGCGAAAAAGAAACATGCACCTCTTCTCGATGCCTTCAACATGTCAGCAGAGCAGGAGGAGGGCAAATTCGACGAGACAGGCAACTATGTTCGCAAAGCAATTGATCCAGATGCGGCTTACGACTCATGGTTGGACGGTGTTTCCAAGAAGGATATCAAGAAAGCCAAAGAAGCTGCTGAGCAGCGCGACGCAGAGAGAAAAGAGAAAGATCGCAAGGACGACAGCGTTCTGACATCTGAAGTGCTGAAGACGATAATCACTCACCTCGAACGCGGCGAAACAATACTCGAAGCGCTCGCTCGGTTGGGCAAAGGCTTGCGCCGTAAGCCAAAGTGGCAGAACAAGAAGAACAAGAAGAACGTCTCAGAGGACACCGAGATGGCAGATGAGGACCCCAACGAAGTGGCCCGGAAGGAGGCAATTAATTCTGTTACTGGAGCCGCCGACATCTTGATGAGCCGGGGCCAAGTGGACATCTACGACACAGAACGCGAAGTTCTCACGCGGCAGTACCGCTCTGAAACAGGCGAGGAATGGGTTGATCCTCCTTCCGGAAATGGAGAGAGAGAGCAAGCACCTGCGATGTGGGAATATCGGTGGTCTGACGCTCGAGATGGAGGGGATGCCCATGGTCCATATGACAGTGCCATGATGGATTCATGGAAGAACGCTGGCTACTTCGGCGAAGGTGTCGAGTTCCGCCAAGTTGGCGATACTGGCTCGTGGAGCGGTACTGTTGACTTTTTGTGATATCCCAAAACATCGGCTACACTGTGCTACATAGAGAAATCATGAAATATTAATATCAAGTCCTCGATAAGTGAGGACAACAATTGAATTCCAAAGGCCAAAAGAAACCTCAGTAAGCGCCAATCCTATCGTACATCATTTGATGTCACACAAAAGCAAAGTAAATCAGAATATCCAGTGTAATTTTGTCCCAGCAAGCACTCCTCAACATGATCTATTAAGAAAGCTCCATCGCATCTCCATTGGCACCAGCAATGAAGCTGACATTGCCCTGATCACCAATAAAGCGCTGTTCATATTGGTTGATGAACTTCACACTCCGAGCGGGGTCGTAGAACAGTCTGAAGCTGCGCTGAACATCATCAACACTGACTTCTTTCGCTTTGCGTTTTTGAGTCAAGAGATGAGAAGTGGTGATAATGTTGCTTGCATAGCGCAGGTTTGACTCCTGACCAATCTTGGTGAGAAGGGCCAACGCATCAGGCGAAAGATCGATTTCTTCTTCCTGTGCTCGGATAGCGAGGATTTGACGGATCTCATCGCCCGAGTACGAGTGTGTGCTGACGATAACGACACGGTCGAGGAAATCAAGAGGAAGACCGTGGGGAGAGGTGTAGGTAGTTCCACGGATGCGTGCCTGGCCGCGGTTGCTGGCCATGATGACAATGGGGGCGAGCTCGGCCTCGAGGGCACGATTGATGTAGGAGAAGCACTCAATATCGAGCATGTGGACCTCGTCGATGAAAAGAACACCGGGGATGATCTCTGCTTTGCCTTCTTCCTTCCATTCAGCCACCTTGGTATTGATTTGGTCGCGAACCTCACTCCGGATCTCGCCCGTGTCGCCAGAGAAGAGGGCCAGGAAACCTTGTGAGCGCGAGTTGATAACATCGATCTCATGGAGGCTGACGGTGTGGACTATCTCCTTGCGAACCTGGAGTTCACCTTCAGGACATTGGACGAACTTGGTATCGGCGCCCATGGCATCGTAGTCTCGAGAGCGTGCGTATGATCGGCCGAGCTTGGTGATCTTTCCAGAGGACTTGTCAATCGAAATCACATCGCCTGCCATTACTCGTTCCTTGGTCATAGAGTCGATCATCTTGGTTCCCATGTCGTAAATCGTTTCCATGTCGGTAGTCTTGATTGTGAGCTTTCCTTGTTTATTGCCCTGCAGGTAGTCAGCATTCGACGCGTTTGATCCATTCACGCCCACTGGGACTCACGCCAGTGACACTCCGGTCAATCTGAATCTCCACCACTTCACCCTCGATGATCTCACTCTCTTCCTTAATGCGCACACCGATGGACTTGCGGAACGCCTGGGTCAAAGCCTCTGTCTTCGACATCTCCATTGAGAAGATCTCTGACGCCGCGAGCATTGTGAAAGGCACGTCTGGTCCGAGAGATTGTGCCATTCCCATTGCGATTGCTGTCTTTCCTGTGCTAGGAGGTCCCGCGATCAGAACTGCGCGACCGGCAATCTTGCCTTCCTTCACCATCTGCAAAATCACCGCCGCGGCCTTCCGAGCCTTTTCCTGGCCAACAAGCCCCTGAGATGATGTCCGCGGCTGCAGAGAGTCTACATCAACACCGAGTCCTCTGATATGCGAATGGGCGGCGATGAGGTTCAGTCCCCGGAGCTCCTTGCTCTCTGCGACGGTGGAGATTGGCTGTTTAGTGTTAGCAACAAAGGAAATGTTGAGGTAATAGTAGAACTTACTACAGCCATTCTTGAAATTGTTCAGAACAATAACTGTGATTTGAATATTAAGTTGGTTAAATTTGGCTGGAGCTCGAAGCAAAAGAGTGAAGAGACAGAGCAGATCGCAGGAGGGTGGCTTTCCGCCCGGCAGAATAACTGAAAGACGATTCGTTTACTTCGGTTCCTTTGTCGATTTGCACTTCAAATATCAACCTCTTAAGTGATCTTGAGCTTCGCGTGGATTTTATAACCTCCTCACTTCTTTATACCCAAATCTTCGATTCTCAATCTTCCTCCTTCAACCACGGGAGTTAAATTCATTTCGTCACTCCTTCACGTGCATCACGCGTTGGCTACTTCAATTATTGACACTACAAACCTAGGCACCTGCACTGGGAGTGAGTTTGTTAGCTTCGCTTTTCTATTATTTACCCCATACTAGGGGAGCGTATGACAAGCTAAACATTCCACTTCAGTTAGATTGCGAATACTATGAGTATCTCACACTCAATACGGATTAAGAAAGATGGCCAACCAGATGGATGTTGATTCACCTCAGCATCCGCCCAAGCCTCTCTCAGGCCATTTCCCGGGGCTCCCTCCTACAAAGACAGGTGCAACACTAGCTCCGACTCCTCCCGCACCTCCAGCTACGAACATCAACACGGGGCGAGATCCTCGACGTGCCGGTACTACCGGGCCTTCTGTTGACACCCAGTCGAGCGCCCTACTACCAAAGCCAGAACCAAAAGCCACTGGCCCAGTGGCACCATTGACATCGTCACCGCAACTCCCTTCGCCTGTTATAATATCTACTGTGTCAGGCCCCAGCCCCATCGAAGTTCAAAACTCGCCCGTCTGCTCAGACTCGTTCTCTATATCAGATTTGGTCAACTCTTTGATTAAAGGCCACAAAGAGCAAGATGAGAAAGTGAGGCTTCAGAAGGAAGTGGCTTCTCTCACCAAATCATTGCAAAGAGCGAAACAATTTCCTCATTTTGCAGGTGCTACCCGTTCATACCAGTCCCAGCTGGAGAGGGTCAAAAATGACTTGGCCAATCATACGAAAGCAATGGGCAAAAATAAGGCACATTCGGATCAGGCGCAGAATGATTTCAATACGGTACTTTCGCGGCTAAAACCCAATCCTGAACTCGATCAACTGCCTGTGGTCGTCAAAAGGTTGGAGTCCGAGCTGAGTGATCTCAGGAAGGCGCATGACAGTCCTGCAGCAAACAACCCAAGCGAAACCTTCAGAAGTGCACTCAAGGACATCGAAACTTTCAGACTGACCGCAAAATCCTCGGACGAAGAACTACAGGGGCTCCGTCGGAAGCTTCAGGGAATAGAGGTTTCACTTCAAGGCTGTCTCAAAGGAACCGGTGTCCTGGAGCAGTTCATGGCACAGATCACACGAATCGCAAGTTCGGTAGACTATTCACTCAAGCGGGAGGGCTTATTGACAAGTCGAATCTCCAAGCTTCGAACCGATATGAATGCAAACGACAAGACAACGCAAGAAACGTTGTCTTTATTTGATCAGATGGTACAGGAAATTGAGGATAACCTCAAAGCTGCACATGAAGGGATTGATGGGCAGATTCTCGACATGCAGAAAAACCTGAAGAGTTCTGACGGAGAACTTGGCAAAAGACTGTCCGAGCTTGAAAACAATTTCGGAAATCTCAAATCCAACCGACAGGAGCTGACCAATCAGAGGTCGACTACTCTTGCACAAATCAGCACAGACTTCGATGCCCGCAGGCGACAGAATGCGGAAGAAATCGCTGCTATGGAACATCGTTTGAGCCTGCTAAGCGCTCGAAAGCAAAGCCTCGACAATGGCGACTTAATTTCATTCCGGGCCCAAAACCCCACTACCCAGGGCGGGTTAGATCCATGGATGGCCCGTCTGGAGGAGAATCTAAAAAAGCACGACCTGCTATTGGAAGGCATCCAGCGCATTCACGCTCAAGCCCACGATGCCCATTTCAAGGAAATGGATAAACTTACCAAAACGCAAGAGTCTCACAGAAAGTCATGTACGGACAGATATGGAGAGACCTTGAAAAAGGTGGATGGTCTGGCCCTCAAAATCCAGGACCTGCCCTCCAAGCAAGAAATCAGCGAGATGTCGAGTACCATTGACACAACTTTGAAAGGCCATCTGAAAGATGTTCAAGGGAAAATGGATGAACTGATCAACAACCTCCAACCCGTCACTCAGACGCAACTTAAAGAGTACCGGGATGAGGTAAATGAACGTCTCCAAACTGTCGCAACCATCCACAGATGGCTCGACAGTCACGGAACCGCTATTCGTTCATTAGAGGATCGGTGGAATAATACGACCTCGGAGCCTATGGTCGCCGAAATGACACGAGCTATGCATGAAATGTATCCCCATATTGGAAAGCTGGCTCAACAGTTCTTAGATCATCGAACTGCGATGGATACCAATTTCTCCAACCTCGAGAATGCAAACGCATTGTGCAGAGAAGAGTTGCAAAACTTCCTGGCAGACCACAGAAAGGACCAGGAAGAAATAAACAAGGCCAAGGCAGACCTCGTGGAAGCCAAGACACTCGTCCAGAAGGTGCAGGCCGACCTCAAAACATACGAAACCGCTCAAAAGTCTCAGCCGGAAACAAATGATTCACAACAAACGCAGTTGTCACCTGAGCAGCTCAAGGCTTTGTATGATCTTCCAACCTTGCTGCAGAATGTCAAGACGCTCGAAGATCAGTTTGAGTCATTGAACTCAACCACCAAAACCCATGGCACTGAACTGCAAGCGAGACTCGAGAAAATGATTGAGATGCAAAATCAACTTGCGTCTCAAACTAACAGCTTGGTTGAGCTTTCCGAAAAGGTTGATGGGCAGCAAGAAGGTTATGACGAAGTTGCTGAATCAGTAAAAAAGCTTGATCCCTTGAACAAAAAGATCGATGACTATACTTCGCAAGTCGATAATTTTCACGGACAGATCGCGTTTCTAAATCAAGCCGCGATCCAGCGAGATACCGTTGATCTCAACGCGCTCCAATCACGTTTGGACGCTTTGGAAGGCTGGAAGAACGCTGCAGTAGAGCAGGACACCACTGAAACTGACGGCTTTAGCGGCCTCCGTTCCCGGTTGGATGCTTTGGAAGAGTGGAAGAAAACTGCCGCAGAGCAGGACTCAACCCAAACCAACGACTCCAGAAGCTTCCGCTCACAGTTGGAAAGTCTCAAAGGGTTGAACCAAGCCGCAGCGCAGCAGGACATCCTCAATGACAGCGTGATCAAGGAGCTCCGGTCGCGATTGAAGGAATTGGAAGAATTGAACGAAGCCGGCGGCCAGCTGAATGCCAGCCTCAATAAGGATCTTGATCCAAAGACAGACACAGCGCAAGAACCGACCGAGCGTGAAAAAGAAAGGGACGACAAAGTGAAAGGCTTTCTCTATCGACTGAGGAAATTAGAGGATTTCTTGAAGACATGGGGCTACGATCCTAAGAATTTCCCCATCTCCGACAAACCGACTGACAAACGCACGAATTCTAATAAAGGGTTGGTGTCCGACAAAGCGATTAATCAGCGTGTCGACAACCTGGACACCCCGCGACCTTCGCAAAATGGTAGCTCTCTGACTCTGAGAACTGCTCCAGCTTCCAACTCGGACCCCTCCTCGAATGGTCCTACGGTAGTTCACCACCTGCCGACGATAATCACAGAGCCAACTCCTCCCATCAAGAAGGAACCTGGACGGAAATCGAAAACGCCTAGTGCAACACCATTGAGCAGCCAGCCATCGTTCGGGGACGTCGCTAAACCCCGTCAAGTTCAAAATCTGAAAGGAAAGCGCCGTCGAGAGTCCGATGTGACCGAGTCCGCAAGAACTACACCGGAATCCTTCTCGCTGCCCAGCTCGCCAGCTCCAAGCTCTTCTGCGGCATCTAACAACGGAGATCTCAGCGCAGCGCTTTCTAAAAAGGAGAGAAAATTGGCCAGGAAGAAGGTAGAGAAAGAAGCAATGAATAAGGCAGCCAGAAAGGCAGCCAAGAAGCGGAAGACGAATTAATTTCGACCCTTTCGATATCATTAAACCGGCTATCATAGGGTTGGGCTTTTGCCCTGCCCCGACGAATTTACGACTCGAATTTCATCGACCAGTTGCCAGGACAGACATGATCTCTCAACGAGAAATGCGCAAATTATCTACAGAATTCAACCGTGGAATGCCTCCAGGCTCGTGGTGATGCTCTTCCACAATATCTACTATTGCCGAGGAAACTGGGAAATTTTGTACATTCAATCTTTCTACATGTCTATAAATTTCGAGGTCACGTGACCGGTTGTTACAACCAATTAGTTTCCACCAATTATTCCAAGAATTTTACGACCGCTATATCCATTGTAAGCATAAACTCGTACCAAGCGTATCCGGGATAGAAGTGTCTTACCTTGTCGGAATGCTTCGGGGTTCTCGGAAATAAGCCAATGGCCCGCCTCGACATCCGCGATCTTGGCATTAGGGAAGAACTTCTTGATAGCAGGCACCGTATCATCGGATACATATCCGGACTTGGTACCGCGGATAAAGAGAGTCGGCCCGTTATAAGTCAGATTATCCGATTCCTTGAAAGGGAAATCAGCCATATTATCCAACGAGCGACCAATGACCGAAAGCGGGACCCGGAATTTGAGAGTTTTGTCTTCCTCCGACCTGACCAGGTTCGTAAGAAGAAATTGGCGGATCGGAAGGGACTGTGTGCCTGTTAGCTTTGACGACATGTAAATACGAAGGTTGTCGTACCTCTTCGTAATCTTCGAGGATCTTGTTCGCGTCGGATTGTTTGGTCACTTTCTCGGCTTCGACTTTTTGCATGCCCCGGACGTATTTCGGAAAGTCGCTCTTTAGAGCGGCGTTTACTGGCGCGTTATCCACGGGGATCAATGCTGATACGCGCTCTGGGGAGCGCAGAGCTACTGCCATTGCGGCTTTTGCGCCCCTTTTGGGTGGTTAGTCCGTATTATTATTTAAGCAATTTGAGGCCTGTTTGTATGCATGTGCTGTTCTTCGCTGTTCTTGATGCTGGGTAGGTGATGAGATCACGTACATGGAGTGGCCGATTAAGACGCATTTGTCCAGCTTTTGCTGGGTGATAAACTCTTGGATGTCCTCAGCCATGACGCTGTAGTTGTGCTCTGGAGCATGGAAAGAATGGCCATGATTGCGCAGGTCCTGTCAGACAAGATCAGCATTTGACATGTATTCCGCGCAGTCCGGGAAACTGACCAGAGCGAAAATCTGACATTTCAAGTCCCGTGCCAACGCCCTATGAATGTTAGAATAGTAACAGACAGATACTTCAGTGGCATACTTACTTTCCAATACTTCTGTTATTCTGTTTCGATCCAAACAGCCCGTGCAAAATCAGAATGGGGTTTCGGACAACTTCGCCGTTCTCCGGGCCAAATACTTGATATGCCAGCTCAGTTTGCAGTACGCGGGCTGTAGAGAAGGCGCGTACGCCTGAAATCCCACGGGTAGCTATCCGAAGGGAAAACATCATCAATGAGTCTCTATTGGCAAAGGTCAACGTCGGATATTCAAACGTCGGGAAAACAACCAACTACTGACTAAGCACCGACCCGGGCCCACAACCCCAGGCAAGTCAAGGCTCCAGGCTCGGCCGTCAGTTAAAAATGGGGGATGATCGGCCATTGTTCATTTTGATACACCCGTAACCATTTCATTCTATCCCATTTGAGCCTGACTCAATAAGCTATTAGCTTGTAAGTCAGCGACTGAATAGGATCAATTATTCTAGCTTGAGTACTTGGGGAACTAAAGTGTAGTACTACTCGTGGACTTGAAATTCTTGATGCATATTGTTTTCCCGAGATCGCGCCTTTCGAAATCGTGAACCTCAACATTGACGTAATTATGCTTTGTTTCTGACGGGAAAGAATACGATGCATAACGGTGGTCAATTTGTTGTTTATGTCAGACTTAACAACAAAGTCAAGTGATGCATTTCGATAGCTTCAATGTATTAAACAGGAAAGATATCATGTTCTTTGTTATACTTTCAAAATAAAACCACGGCGCACACGTACCGAAAACAAATTAATAGCATGTATGACTATCCTCTGCCTAAGCCTACAATTTGGTCTATGATGAATATCAACGTCAGGATCGGGTTGAATCATTACATACATACATACATACATATGTAGTCAAGACCGACGAATTCGTTTCTACTCTTTACATACTTCAACAATTTCGACTAGAAGCCATTCCACCGATGCGCACATGGCCCAAGATCCATTAACTAATAGTACACCTTATGTGTTCGACCCTTGACACCATGGACGCGATTTGCTTTGCGCTGAGTTGTAAGTTCATGTTTGCCTGGTACCTCGAATTCTTAGGATACTTGGAAAGACTATCTGTGACACTTCAGCGGGTGTTCTGATTCTCTACTAGAAATTAGCTACTGAAGTTTCTCAAGCATTCCTCGAACACATCTCATCATCTCATCTTGATAGATCTGCTCTTTGATAATCAATGGATTCCCCGTATTCGTGGACTCTTCCAGAAAAGCCTTCTCGCTCAGTATCGGGCGTCCACTTTGCAAAAAGTGAGTCGCAAGATGATACAGCGAGAGACTATTAGTGATCAAAAAGAATTCCGGGCCAACATCAGAACTCCAGAGAAACTGCCCCCTCGACTCCTCCCACAAAGCGTGCCACGCCCGAAGCGCTCGATCGAGAGCCGAAAGATCCACAGGAAGGATCGAAGTCTGAGCTTCAAGAAGCAATGTATGGACAGCTAGAATGAGTAAATTCATACCGAAGCTTGTCATGTTTGCCAAAGACGGAGGATCCCCAAGCAACAGACTCTTGATCGAACTCAGAAAACAGCTAGACGGGTCCTGCGCAGGTAACGCAGCCCAAGAAGAAGCAGAATAAGCATTCCAGCTCAAGTCATCGCAAGGAAAGGAAGCTCGTGTCTCAGTTGGCGAGAGAAGCGGTCGACTTCCACAAAGGATGGACTGATAACAATCTACCGCGTAAACACCCCAAAGAACACGCTTTTGGGACTCCTTCTGGATCCAGGCTTGCCATGAAGTTGCGCTCCGTGCTGCTTTAGTACACTCCCCGTGGACTTTCATCAGCCCCGCCTGTCGGACTGCTGCAATAAGAAGTGGATGTAAGATTCGCGCCGCGGCTCTTTCGGCACTTCCCCCGTTTGCCATACTGGCGAATTGGAACAGTACAAGTGCTTGAGTTTCTTCAAAACTCGGCACCGCTCTATCTGAACGAAGAAAACCTTTTGCGAACAGTGATGGGAGAGATCCGTAGAATGCCGCGGCATCGGGAAACGATAGAGAACTAGCGTCGAGCCTAGCTCCGATCAAACATATGGCTCGGACAAGTACTGCTGGAGCTGACGTGAGAGAGAATGTAGGAACATGTATTATAGGCAATAGAGCTTGGAAGTGAGTGAAAAATAGTCGTGAGTACTTTTCCAGTCGGTCCAAAGGAATCGAGTTAGCGTTTTCCAGTTTGAGTACGTATTCGCTCGGTAGCCGGAAAGTGTCAGGATACAGGTAATCGGGAGCGGTATACGATGAGATGGGTGAATATGTCGCCGTTGTTGTGGTACTTTCATCAGAGACTGAGGGAATATCTTCTGGTCTCCACATCCAGGATGTCACATCGACCGAACTTTCAATGTCGGCTAACTGCGTCAAAAAGTCGAGTTCGTCATTCGGAAAAATATCCATGAGTGATAGCTCGATAGGGTATAAATGCTGGATGGGCGCTTCTGGCTTCTCGTTTGCCGTCGAAGACACGGTGTGAGTGGTGGATCTGGCTCTTTTGGGGCGTTTTTTCCGTTCAGCCCGAGTGCATATTTGTCCTTTGTGGACGCATCTTGTACAAGGCTGGCCGTTGCTTGGCACTTCGCAGCGAAGCTTGGCTTCTGCGCAAGCAGTGCAGCATTTGTTCATCGTTGTCGAGTGGTTGAGTCGCGCAGATGGTTTCGGGACTTCGGCAATTTCCTTGAAGCGGGAGAAGGGGAAGATAAGGGAATACGAGCCAGCCACTGATTCAGTTTTTTTCCGATAGTCAGCAAACAATGCTTGACTGTGGCACTTTTTCAGGACGCAAATTGGCTCTTGGTCCTTTTATACAATGCCGTCATCTTACTTCTTATCGGGTCACCGGGATCTTCTGGAAGCTTTGGAAGTCTTGTAGGGCTGATCAGAATAGTCTTCCTAAATCCCCGAAGTTCCGAAACCCCGATTTCTCTACATCGTACTGCCTCTAAAATTCATATATAAACGAAGGGGATGCATTTAAAAATTAGAAACAAATCCATTCAATTCCTTGATTATAAAAGCTCAACACCCAACAAGAACTTCACCAAAAATTCTAACGAGTCTAACGTCTCATGATGGCGGAATCTAAGTCTGACTTTCCTCCAACCCCATCGTGGTTCGATCGCTTCTGTCTTGCTCAAAGACAAAATGATCCTAAATCCCATTCGGCATGGCAAAAGAACAGCATTGTCGTGATAATCACCCTTTCAGCATTCACGGCACCCTTCGCCTCCTGCATCCTGTTCCCATCTTTCACCACCCTAGTCGATCATTTCCACACCACAGAGCCAAAAGTAGCTCTGACCACAACCGTCTTTCTGATAGGTCTAGCCATTGCACCATTATGGTGGAGTTCATTGAGCCAGGAATACGGGCGTCGACCAGTGCTGGTTTTCAGCTTCTTCATTTCGGCCATTGCTGTCGTTATCTGCGCTGTGTCAAATTCGTTGCCGCTCATCACAGTCTTCCGACTAATTGAGGCCCTCGGCTGCTCATCGGCTCAAAGCGTCGGTGCTGGCGTCATCGGCGATATCTATCTCCCCGTCGAGCGCGGATCTGCTCTAGGATGGTTCTATCTTGGAACTCTGATCGGGCCTCTCGTTGCTCCGATTCTAGGAGGCGCTCTTCAGATATGGCTTGGCTGGCGGGCAAACTTGTACTTTATGGCTATCTTTACCTTTGCCATGGCGATACTCATCTTGCTGGCGTTGCCTGAAACTCTGGTGAAAGTAAACGCTGAAGGAAGTACCAAGTCGTCGCTATTTTGGCTTCAAAAACTCCAACGCGATGCTGCTGCCCCTTTGCCCAAGCTCAAACTCCTGCTCGTTCCCTCCATCGCCCTCTCCGTGGCATATGTCAGCATCTGCTTTGCAAGTCTGTATTGCTTCAATACCACACTCCCATATGCATACTCCGCGCCTCCTTACAGCTTCTCTTCTATCGAAGTTGGATTATGCTACATCAGCAACTGCCTCGGATATGCAATCGGTAGCGTTGCAGGTGGTCGACTCAGCGATGCCAAGTTGCGCAAATACCAGCTTACCCATGATGGAGAGATCAATCCCGTTGAAAGACTCAAGACTGTATGGTATGGTGTTGGTTTTGTTCCGGTTGGCTTGGTACTCTACGGCTGGTTGGTCGAAAAACAAGTTTTCTGGTTTGCGCCCTTGGTGGGAGCTTTCCTCTTTGGACTGGGACTCATGCTTATCACATCGACAATTATGCCTTTCCTTGTGGATGTTAAGCCTGGAGTCGGTGCTTCTGTTGTGGCCGATTTGAATTTGGTACGTAATATCCTAGCTGCTATTGGTACTGTTATCTCGCCTGTTGCAGTAGCGAGCATTGGGTTTGGATGGTGGATGACTATTCTAGCAATTTTGTGTTCTTTGGGGGTTTTGTGTATGGTGATTGTTGTTTGGAGAGAGGCGGTGCAACAGAAAGAGCCCTCTGGAGAGGCATCGGTGTAGCACTGTCGTCATCTTTTACTTTCATCCTTTTTGCCTTCACCGACATTCTTATAGATATCTTTTAATAATAACAATTTATGAACCAAGAATGTCCGTGCCTTGAATCGAGAACATCACGATTACAAATACAATGGGTGCTTGAAGGGATAGTGCGGGGAAAACGTCCAACGTTATACAGATTAATGACTTCATCACACCTGCAGATGTCACAAAGAACTTTCTAAGTCGTATTTAAATGGAGATCAATGATCTGTCTGAGTGGGAAAACTTCCCTTTCTTATAACTTTTCCAAGTGATTGAAACAAATTCTTCATTATGACCGAGCTTCAACCATACAAGATTTCTGTTCCAGAGGATGCCCTCAAAGATCTCCAGCAACGGTTAGCATTGACCAAGCTTCCAGCTCAGCTTGAGTCGGATAAGCAGGACCTGTGGGATTTTGGAACTCCAGTCAAGGATGTTCATCGTCTTGTAGAGTATTGGAAGAACGGGTTTGACTGGCGAAAGGCCGAAGCGAAATTGAACGAACTGCCTCAGTTTCAGACACAAATTGAAGTAGATGGGTTTGGCAGCTTGAATATTCACTGTGAGTGACTCTCATCAGATGCAAGTCAAATACTCACATTGTTGAATGCAGATGTGCACCAAATCAACACGAACAAGAACGCAATTCCACTTCTATTCAGCCACGGATGTAAGCAAATCCTTGCTATCCCTGACTCTGCCAGTTTCTTACCACCTCAAAGGGCCCGGATCGTTCATCGAAGTTACAAAACTTCTCCCATTGCTCAAAGGCGACGAAAATAGCCCTGCATTCCACATTGTTGCACCGTCCCTCCCCAACTTCGGCTTCTCCTCAGGAGTCACCCGTCGGGGATTCGGTCTTGCCCAATACGCCGAAGTCCTGAATAAACTCATGCTCAAGCTAGGCTATGATCAATACGGTAAGTAAATCCCAACCCGCCCCGAGCGCCAAATCTAACAATATCCAGTCACGCAAGGTGGAGACTGGGGATTCTGGATAACCAGAGTCATTGGATGGTTATACCCACAGCATTGCCACGCATCCCATATCAACATGGTTTTATCCCGGCCCCCAAAATTTGCCAGTAATCCCTGGCTAGCACTACGGCATACATTGCTACCATACAGCTCTCGTGAAAAGCAAGGCATTGAACGATCGGAATGGTTCGCCCGTGAAGGGTTCGGATATAATAAATTGCAAAGCACCAAGCCGCAAACTATCGGCACAGCACTAGAAGATAGTCCCGCCGCCTTGTTATCGTGGATTTACGAAAAACTGCATGATTGGACAGACTCGTACCCGTGGACAGATGATGAGATCCTAACCTGGATCTCCATCTACTGGTTCTCCGCCGCGGGACCGTCGGCCAGTGCTCGGATTTACTATGAGTCCATGCATGCGTGCCCGATCAATGGTAAGTCACTCGAAGAGATGCTCGGCTATCTTCCGCATGTCAAGCTAGGAATTGCGCACCTTCCTCGGGAGATTACTATTGTCCCTAGTTCCTGGGCTGCTGTGCTGGGGGATGTGGTGAGAGAAAGTGAGCACGCAAGTGGTGGACATTTTGCTGCCTGGGAGGTTCCGCACGTTATTGCTGAGGATTTGCAGGCTATGTTTAGAAGGGATGGGCCATGTTACCGGGCTGTTACTGGAAGAGATGGTTATTAAACCCAAGTAGGTATATGAAGATCAACCGTGGCTATACGCGAAGTGTTCGACTCAGCATCTCGGATGATCGCGGTGCGATATTCGGGGCTGGCAACGTACATTCAGGGTTTTTATTGGGTCTGGGAATTCTGGGGATTTCGTTTTGGGGACTCGTGGCAATCTGCAACTTAAATTGAAAGTGCATTGGTACAATCTTACACGGTTCGTTCTCGTATAGTAGTTGACTTTTGGTTGAGAGTTGTCATAGTGAAGTCCAAGCCATCTGTACACATACCGAATTTGGTATATGTATGGCGAAACACTATATTACCGAAAAATGACACACTCCTACCTTCTCAAATCGAACAAGTGCCAAATGCAACCGTGGAACCAAACTCTGGGACGAGATCATCAGATAAGGGACCGAGTTTGTTAAGTGGGGCAGGTGCTGCGCGGCTAACTCGTTGTGGGAAAATGAAGAGTGGATCAGGGCTGTGCAGATGTTTTATCTGATGGGTGATCTTTCCTTGGAATGGCAAAAGAGCCGATCTCAAATCCCACAATTCTACATTTTAGATACTTGCGTACGTACATTGTACGTGTTCACTAGGAAACTAAAAGGAGATACATCAGCAGGAGCCTCTTGTTCTCTGTGACACGCAAAGAAGCATTGGGCTAGAATGCTTGGCCGCGAGCTTACATTGTAATCAAATGCTTAGGAGATCGCAATACCCACAACTCGTATTCAAGAAGTTGCTGACCTATTCGATACGGTCATGTATCCGCAGGGACGGAACATTCGAGATCACGCGAGTCAATTTGAGATTCCAGAACTTTGATTGAGTGTCCTTGGAAGAGATTTTCATCATCCCCACTAACATCCGTTACCACCAAATCCATTCATCGTGATGTATTTGTCAAAATTCCCGATGTCACTGTAAAATGGTACGAAATGAGGTCTGTGGAAGTTAATCCGAGACACCCAGACGCATCACAACACAACCTAAGCCAAAACGAAGTGCAGTCCAAAGGTCTTTTCGAGAATAGGCAACTTATTCCCGTCGGTTAGCACGGTCTTCAACATGGAGGAAATATATTGGCGTTAGAGTTCACACTAATCAACTCTAGCTCTTATCTGCTCAGGGTCTGCCGTCAGTTTTTCTCTTGGTCCTGTCTATGTCATTACCACGTGTGTGGAGATTAGTCCATTAGTCTCGGAGGAAAGAAATAAAATGAGATCAGATGAAATTGAATTTGACTTTGAGATCCAGACCGTCGATGGGTCGACCAAGGAAATCTCTGATAATAAGCGTTCTGGGGTATCAGCCAAGAGACTGATAATCTGTGCGGTCTCCTCTCTAATCATATGCCACTGAAAGAATCTCCCATGCTCCTTTGAACAACTGAGAGTTTGCAATTGTGCGTTCAGCGATGTTTACTAAAACTGTTCGTCAGGCTCATAATGCTTGGAGTGTAGAATACTTCGCCATTGCCACTGGATCAATTATGGCGCTGTTCATCATATACCACTGGGCAAATGTTATTTATTTGAAATATGGACCTAGGAAGCAGAGCAACATCACAAGATGCCTTATTCAGAGCCATAGGTATATTTTGAGAAACAGCCTTATGGAAGTGTGTCGCTAACAGTACGAAGGGCGACAAGACGATACTTCGCCGGCTCAGTTGCTGGAGTCTGTATTGGGCGATGGTCTCTTTACCTCATATACTGGGTCATGAACTTGATCCTGACTTTAGCCGATGTGGAGTTCACAGTCAAATACGTGCGTTCATTCATACCCATTACCCTTTTCATAGTAACCATACTAACCTAAGAATAAAGGTTGCCAAACGTCTCGGATGGTATCTTCACAACGAAACCCCATGCCGAGCCTATCTAACATTGTCTCTAGGCTATCCATTGCAAACTTCGTTCTTCTAGTGTTTCTCGCTCTTCGAAACACCCCTCTCGCCCCATTATCTGGGCAGTCTTACGAGAAGCTCCGTCCACTACACAAAACCGCTGGCTACACCTGCATTGCCACCAGTGTACTTCACGGTATCATATATTTGGCGGACGTATCAGAATCGGGCACCTTGTATAAATTCCGCGAGCTGGATTATCTCGCTGGAGGAATTGCCGGACTATCGATGGTTATCATTGGCGTTTCCACCTTTGGCTGGTTTGTTCGCCGCTCGTATGAAGGTATACAGAAACGATAAAATCAACCAATTCAATAGCTGACCTAGTCCATACAGCATTTTATATCATCCACTTGGCTTTTTTCCTGCTCATCATTATCATGATCGGTTTGCACCGTCCCATAATCGCTAAACAATCAGTGATCATCATCATGTTCACAGGATGCCTGTGGGGCCTCGATCGATTGCTTCGCTTTGCGAAGATATGTTGGAACCTATACGGTAACCATGCGAGCATCAATCCAGTGCCGGATGGTGCGGTCAGAGTCAAGCTCAACCGTAGTCTGAAGTGCAAACCTGGGTCTCATGCTTTTTTGTGGATCCCCTCTCTTCGACTATTTGAAACGCACCCGTTTACTTTGGTATCCAACGAGCCGGCAGAATTCTTGATTCGTCCCTGTGATGGATTCACATCGGACTTATATGAGGCTGCTCAGAAACAGCCTGGAAGATTGCTGCGGTGCTCTTTGGATGGTGCATATGGCCAGGTTCCTAGCTTTACCGACTTCGATAGGGTGGTTCTCGTTGCTGGTGGAAGTGGGGCTAGCTTTACATTTGCCATTGCTCTCGATCTTATCAAGAAGAAAGCTGCCGCTCACACTAGGAGGTCAATTGATTTTGTCTGGACAGTGAGGCGACTAGGTAGGTTCGCCAAATCCCGGTAGATGAAAAATAACTAACATTCACGAAGAATCACTGGAGTGGTTTGGCAAAGAACTCCAAGAGCTGCGGGACAGTCACAGAGTCAATCTGCACATTTACGTGACACAAGGCGATATTGAAAAGTCTATGGAAGTCGAAAGCCTCCATGCAGGAGAAGGATCGTCATCTGAGTCAAGTGTTCATGATCCCGAGAAAGGATTCACTAGCAAGGAAAACTCAGCACCACGTTCAACCTCGGATCTTCGCAGAGGACGACCGAATATTTCGAGTCACATCGCGGATTGTGTCAATTCTTGTGGCCCCGAAGAGCGTATTGGAGTTGGCGCATGCGGACCTGTCAACATGCTTGATATGACGAGAAAAGCTCTATATCGTAGTACATATGACAATGGTCCATCAATTGATTTCCACACTGAAGTAAGCAAATCTGAGTTGAAAATTTACAAAGTCGAAGCTAACACTTTGCCGCGCTTAGGAATTCGAATGGTGAAGTTTCAAGAGCATTGGAGCTGGGAACAGAACTGGAAAATCATAAAAATGGAGATTTATGAACAACCCGAAAGGGTTTAAGAGAAAATTTCAAAGCAGAAATAAAAATAGAAACGACCAGTTATCAATGATCTCAGGGCATGAATATTTACATCTTTTTTCTCACATATACAATCTAGCTGTCCAGCAGCCCAGGAACCTTCTCACACAAATATTCCACAATGGCATCGGGGCCACGCTCAACCTGTAAACCCTCAGGAATAGCATGCAGCTTAATATCAGGGCGAACGGAGCGAGCAATATCGTGAATCTGCTTGGCCTCTTCGGCGGACCACATTGACGCACTGAACTATCCAACTTGTTAGTTCGGCAACGGTCGGAATTTCCGAACCCGAACTTACCAAAACCTCGGGGTTGTGCTCCTTGACCTTGCCTTCGACCTCGTCGATCTCTGTTTTTGTTAGTTGATTGAATTGCGCCTTTATTCAATATACTTACTTTCGCAATTATCGACGTGGATGATGGTGTACTGGTCCTTCAACGCCTCGACCAGGCGACCGATAAGGCGCTTGGCGCGCTCCGGCGCGGTATTGACAGTAACGAGGTGGAAGGGACCCTTAGGAGCAGACATTTTGACCAAAATTGAATATGGAATCGCGCAATTCGCGGGGGTTTGACTTATTTATTCGCATCCGGCCACTCGCCACGTCCCCACATTGTGGGAGGTGCCCCTCCGGCTTATCCAGCCTCGGGGTAGAAATACTCCGCTATCGGTCCCTCTTAATATCTGGGGTTCTGCACTCTCTCCTCTCAATCAACACAATAATCATGTCTAAGATTGCATCAACCTTTTCGCGTGAGTCTCTTGAGTGCATTGCCTTCATATACAACGCTAATGGCAACAAATAGGCCTGGTGCGTTTCGTTCCTAAGTCTAACCCCTCCAAGATTTTGATCGGGGAGCCGGTCGATCCCAAGTTAGATGTTGGATTGGCCCTTTACCAAGGCAAGGAGGTTAATGTGCGCCCTTTCTCTGGAACTTCGGTTCTGAGCCCTGGTCATGTCACCGACGCGACGGAAACTATTTCGCGCATTCTGTCACCTCTCGCGCAATCTGAAGTTGGAACTATTCGCTGTGTCGGATTAAACGTGAGTTATGGAAGCGAATCGATCCCTCTACAAGGTTACTAACATGCTGTAGTATGTCTCACACGCAAAGGAGATGTCTCTCCCAATTCCAGAAGTACCAACACTATTCATGAAGCCATCCAGCTCTCTGGCAGATCCCTGGCCTGCGCCAACTGTCCTGCCTAAGATTACCCAGCAGGATAACACCGGTGATTACGAGTCCGAGATGGTCATCGTTATCGGTCGTGATGCTAAGGACGTGCCTGAGTCCGAGGCTCTCGATTACGTCCTCGGTTACACTGCCGCCAACGACGTGTCAAGTCGCACCTCCCAGATGAACCAGAGCCAATGGTCTTTCTCAAAGGGCTTCGACGGCGCATGCCCTATTGGTATGTCATTCAGATTGTGCATCATATCGGAATATCACCATGCTGATTGAACACCCAGGTCCCGTTCTCGTCTCCGCTGCCCTCATCCCTGATGCGAGCAAGCTCCAGATCCGTGGCCTCAAGAGCGGCCGCGTGATGCAAGACTGCCCCCTCACGTAAGATCTACCTACATCTCACCTTCGGATTTACGGACAGAAAAGCTAATATTGGTTCCATCCGCAGTGACTTGATCTTCAGCGTCCCCCAGCTGATCAGCTTCCTCTCCCAGGGCACCACACTGCCCGCTGGCACAATCATCTTGACCGGTACCCCGCCCGGTGTCGGTGCGGCCAAGAGCCCTAAGGAGTTCATCAAGGCTGGTGATGAGTTTGCCGTTGAGTTACTTCCTCACGTTGGCACACTCATCAACAAGATCGAGCACCAGTAAATAATTTCATAAAATCATAAATACGATTCATCTTTGCTGGGTTTGCCATTTGTACATGCACATTGAGTATAGACAAGTAAATAGAAGCAAACATGCCCATATGTTGGTCCCTGGACATTTCTAGACGTTATTATGCACACTGTAGCTGTCATGTAAGTAAGCTATGCATATCACCTCTGCGGCAGCGCATGCATACAAAATTCCACCCCCTCAACAGATACCCACCACAACGACCACAACATCAAGTCAAGGCCATGTCCGCCATCGGAATAGATAATTACAATCCTCACCAAAACCGTAGGCCAGGGGTGACTTCGAAAATACCGGTTGGGCGATATTGAAAGATTTAAGAGCTTTGACCAATCATAGAGCTTAACGGGATATAACTTCTTCCCTGGGCGGAGTAAGTCTATTCCGCCATGTGCTGGAGATATTTCTTGGCATTTGGAACTATGAAATGGCATGGGTGTAGAGCAAAAAAAATCTTTCAAAGGAACTGAGATGTTGGTTTCGTAGGTAGACTTCCCAAACTCGCTGATCACTAGTTTGTGAATTTTTAACTAGATATGTTCACATTGTTGGTGATATAAAGTGCATAGCTTAAGGGTGCTTGCTCTACGTATGAAGTACGGCGTAGAAGAACAATAATAGCAAATAAGCCACACATCCATGGATTGACTAGCTAATTTGATGCCTGGAAACATTTAGCCAGAGCGCAAGCCGATCTACAGACCCGTGGTCGTCTGACAAGGCTCCTCGTGGACCTTGTCGACCCGCGATGGCTCGATTTTAGCGCTCCGGGATTTTATCGGGTCGGTCTCCTGCTCGGAGTAGGTTTCCTTAAAAGACGGTCTGCGGCTCTTTTCTTTGATTTTTTTGATCTGGAGATTTTTCACTTGGTATATATTATTGCTGGGTTGAGACTGCTCAATTTTTCGTCTTTGCCTTTTCTCTTTTCTTTGCCGCAAGCCCTATTTGTGGACGTTTGATGCTTTTATACACTTTCACCCAGATGCCGATATCAATTTTCCACGGTTTGGTATATTCGCCTTGTTTGTTTAATTTTACTACAGATGATACTTTCGTTGGATGTCATGTGTGAAAAAGCGTGCAATGCTTATGCGTCAATCTATGTACAATCCCGACACGTTGCCGTGCCCGATGCCGAGTCTACCTATCCACGCCGAACCCGAACCCGATCTATCGTACCCACCAATGCTCTGACCCCGAAACAAAAAATTCGTCAAATGTCTTTCACAAAATCTTTCACGAATTGCCTAACTCGAATTCAATTCCTCTACCACTCTCGATGCCATTTACTCCTCCTTACGCCAGACCCGACCCTTCCAGTGCAGCAAGATAGTGGGAATGACACTGACGGCGACGACCAGCGCCGATCCAATACCCGCACTAGGAGCAATACCGACATTCTCAAACATCGCAGAGAACCTAAGGCGAGGTTAACGAGAATTCCAAGCGCAACGAATGATGGAACCACATACCAGAATGGACCGAGGAAACCCCAGATCTGCCGCACAAACGTGACGAAGACTCCAATGCTACCAGCCTCCTGCGGGAAACAATCAACAGCATAAGTGACCATCACAGTAGTGACTAGCTGGTTTCCAACAGCACCGATCGCAGTGCCGATGATCGGCGTCACATTCCAGTGTCCGCTCGGCGAAGTCTGCGTGCAGACCAAGAATACAATCATACCGATGATGGTCAACGCGAAGCCGAAATAGCTGAGCCAGAGACGGAACTCCGGCTCGGCTTTTCGGTCAATACGTCTGCTTCGACGACTCATCCAGAAATCGGAAAGCACGCCGCCCATCTGCTCGCCGATCACGGAGCCGATAATTACACCTAGAAACTGGAGGCCGAGTTGTTCGGCATTCAGCTCGAACTTCTCTTGGAGGAGTTGTGGCACTTCGACGGTGGCGAGAATACTACCGAAGAGGAACACCATTGCGTATGCGCAGGTTGGGATCAGGATCGACGGGTGGCGGGCCATGGTTAGTGGGTGCACGAACTCGTACAATGAGAGTGGGGTTGGGTCAATACGTCGCAGGGACATGTATTCGATCTTGGTGGCGGATTGACTGTCTACGCCGCTGCCCAGGTACCGGGTTTCAGGGCCGAAGAAGAGATACAGGATGAACTGGCCGCCGTTGATCTTGGGGTTTGTTAGCTGATGAAACGATCTGGTTGCGGCTGGAAACTTGCCATTGCCAGGATCCAGTAGATCCAGTGATAGCCCGCGCGGTAGGTGACAAAACCGAAAATGAAAGGTCCGATCGGAACACCAAGGGTGATCATCAGGGTCCAGACACCCATGTACCGGGCGCGGTCCTTTTTAAAGGTCGTTTCCATCACGACTGCGCTACCAATTGCTGAAGCAGGGGAGATGAAGAAAGCCACCAGGGCACGACAGGCAGCGAGAGAAGCATAATCAGTGCTCTTGGCACAGCCGATATTACACACAAGACTGCAGATGAGGGAAAGGAGGAAAATTGGTCGGCGGCCATATCGATTTGACAGAGGCTTCCAAAACAGAGGAGCACCTCCAAGAATGGCAATTTGCAAAGAAGTCAAATAACTAGCGTCTTGCAGGCTGACGCCGAGTTCTTTGGAGATGTCTGAATAGGCAGGGATGATGGCGGCGGCGGTGAATGTGCCCATGCAAGCGTGGAACGCCACAAGGATAAGGTTCATCATTTTCTACACGTCGATATGTCAGTCTTTCGATGCTCGAATTTGGGTTCTGATTAACCATTTAGCTGGGAAATTAGGAACTCACCTTCCACTCAGGCCAGTTGTAGGGGTCGGCTGGGCCCATTCCGGGAATGGGATCCAGTGCCAATGTCCCATGTCGCTCCAACAGATAGTCTCTATGAGCTTTGGGTAGACGAGCAGCCACAGATTCTTCGTAGGTGGCTGCTCGTCCATGCCCTGCGCTCTCGATGAGATCAATGTCGGCTTTGGTGCCTGGCACCTCCTCGACTTCATCTCGTCGAGATGGGCTCGTTTGCAACTCGAGAGACGTCATTCTAATCACGTCCCCCGGAACAGAAAAAAATTGAGACAAGCAATTGAAGACTTCAAGTATCCTCTTTATGGAGCAGGGCTGGGGCGAGGATGATCGTCAGAATGGGTGAGTCCTGACCAGGGGAATTACAGGTATAAAAAATCCAAAGGGATAGATGAGGTGAGAAACAAGAGTGAGATAAGGAGTGGCAGGGATATCCAGGAATTGAATTGGTGACTGTACAATTCAACTTCTGTTGGGCAATGCAAAAGCCACGAGGGAGCGGAAAATCCCAAATGTGAGTGCGCATAACGTCCCGCTAAGCCCACGTCGGACAGAACTTGGGACATGGGGTAGAAGGGGTATTCTCCGGGATACTCGGCTCCGTTGCGGACCCTCCGTGGAGAGAAATGCGGAGGCTCTCCACGTTTGATTGGAAATCAGAGCCGAGTTGCCATCTCCGCAAGTCATGGGATTTGGTCAACAGAAGGTATCCGCCAAGGCAATTGAGTACGGCTAGCCGACGAGTTCTTCTACTATGAATCACGGCTCGCTACCCGAGCCAAGTACCGAACTCACTCCATTATGACATCTTGGCGCAATCTCCCCAGGTTCGATTCTCCATATATTTCGGTCATTTTCTCTCACCGTGAGTTCTGGGGAAGTTGGAAATCCTTATCACGGTATTTGCTACGCATCTGCAAGCCGCGCAATGACATTGTGGGACTTGGTCTGAGCACAAAGGGAGAAAGGAGGCGAATTGTAGACACACTGCCTCGGCTGTATTGCCACGCCCATTTCCGTGTCTCGGCTTTTCCACGACACGCTAATCTGCGTACATAGATGAATTACATGTACATGTGCAGTCATATCTAGGTAGATCCCATAATTTCATGACTTTCAACAGAATGCTTAATTCCTTATCCTGATAATTATACAAACAATAGTCCAATTCGAAGTATCACATACAATATTGTATGCAAGTTTCCATCAATCCGATGGATGCTGTAAAATATAATTCCGTGCTAGCATAAGCAGTGCCACACCCCACAATTTGATCTCCACAATCTCATCTTCTACTCTTTCTCCTCCTACAATAATGTCGTCAATGGAGATCGTGACGGCACCTTCTCCAGCAAAGAAATTGAGCTGTCGAGTATGTCACAAAGCCTTCTCGAAAGCTGAACATCTAAGGGTGAGTGGATATGCGTATTCCCCACGAAAGAGGGGCGCCAAGTGATGTAAGAGCCTAATAGCCTATAGAGACACGAACGATGCCGTATGTTCTAGATAGATCAATGCCGATATTGTTCGATCCTTGCTTATCCAAAAGGTCCCATTCGGCTAACCGGAAGATCTAGATACGGGATCTAAACCCTATGTCTGCAGAGAGTGTCGACGACCATTCGCCCGTCAAGATGCTCTTACCCGCCATGAGAAGCTCCATGCTCGTGCCATGAATGCAAAACCTGGCTCAGAAACTCACATGCCACGGCCTTCTGTTGACTCGCTTGCTTCATGGGACACGAGCAGTGCTTCTACGGCTGATCCGGCTACATCGGCGACGAGTCAGTCGTGGGATGGGACCCATTCCGGTGCTGGCATGCATGTCGCTTCGGAATTGGACTTTGCGTTGGTCTGGCCTGATTCGGAGAGTCTCTTTCAGAGCTTGATGTCCTCCGATACGACGGACCAGTGGCAAATGCCTCTTGGGACCTTGCCCTTTCCACCGGTGGTGCAGGATGTCAATGCTATGAGCTTCGGTTCGCCAATTTCTTTCGATGATCGGAGCTCTTCTGTTGGTGCTATCCCAGTTGGCGGGGGACATCAAGCGGTGCGAGATGTTACGGAGATGGTGACGAGCTCGGTGAGTTGCACTTGAGGCATCTTGTTGTTTCGGGAAGCCGATCCGGTGAAGAAGTCATCGGCAAGCTCCCGGTCAAACCATGAATACTTCGAGACTAACTTATCACTCGTGTAGTCCTCGAGCGTCACCGCTGCAGTCAAAGCTACATCCATAACATCAGTATTCCTCGACGAATGCCTCCATATGTTCTTTGTTCGCTTCATTCCCACATTTCCAATTTTGCATCGTGCCACATTTGTGTTTAAAGAATGCACACATGCTCTCCTACTCAATGCAATTGCCATCGGCTCTTTGTATTTGGGCCCCAAGGATTCGGTCGCCAAAGGTGAAGCGCTCTGGCGGCTCGCACACACAGCAGTGGCCACGTCATGGCAGTCTCTGATCACCCATAACGGCCCATACGATGCCTGCAAAGGTGTTCAATTAATGATGACCGCTCTGCTTGGCCAAATATACGGAGCTTTGTCAAAGAATCGGGCAATCAGAACCACCAGCCAGGTCTTCCGCCCACTGGGCTTCTTCTGGGCCAGACATTGTGGCATGTACGACAGCGCACCATACTCAATGGACAATCTCCCATCAATGGACGCTCCGGCTGCCGAAAAAGAACACCAATGGCGGATCTGGTCGGCACGGGAGATTCAACAACGTGCCCTGCTAGCATACTACATCTTGGACGGTCTAGTCGCCCAGATGTCCGGCGATGCCGCTTCCGCCAGACACGTAGCAAACCCCCTAAACCTCCCAAGCAGCGAAGAAGCCTTCTATGCCAACACAGCCGATGAATGGCTATCCCACATCCACCCCCAAAAGCAAGATCAGTCCTCCTTCCGCGCCATCTTCCGCTCCCTCTTCCCACCAGTTGGCAGTTTCCGTCCTTTAGATTACCAATTCTCACCCTTCGCACTCCGCGTCGTTCTAGAGGGCCTCCAATCCCTAATCTCAGACTGTGACGAAAATGAACTCGCCGTTGGCGTCCCGGGCCAATCAGACGTTCGTCGGGCCCTAGCCCAAGTCCACGAAACAATCACGATGAGCATCCACTTCACAGCGGCTGAAAGACTCGAAATTCTTCTCCGCTGGCACACGATCTGCCTAGACACGATGATCAACTCGACCGTTCTCTCACGATACGTCTGTCTACGCTATAATATCCCTCAACACGTCTCGGGAGGCTGTCGAACCGTCCGTCCAGGCTTTGATCTAGCAAAATGGGCAACCTCAGAAGATGCTCGCCGCGCCGTCCTCCACGCCGTCGCAATCCAAGATATCGTCGAGCAATTACCGCGCGGCCGAGCACATGTCGTGCACATGCCCAGTTCGCTCTTTGCAGCCGCGACGATTTACGTGGTTCTCTCGCTTGCAGGTGTTGCGACAGTTAGTCTGCCGAGAAATATCGTGTGGCAAGACGCGCTGCTCTCGTATTCGGATATGAATCTTGGGCATGATGATATGAGACCTTCGTCTGGATCGGAGACGAGACGGTTTGTTCAATGTAGTGGGGATTCTGCGCTTCCCCTGCGGGGCGGTGCAGTCAGGAATCTGCTTTATGAGTTGAACTCTATGCAGAAGCTTTTTAAGTGCTTGTCTTCCCAGTGGGGGATTGCGCATGATATGGAGGATATTATTGCGCAGTGGATTCAGTTGTGTCATTAGATGGGTTCGATTGGTTTGGTACGCGGCTACTTGGCGTTCGTTGGGGGGTTCATTAAGCGATTACTTTTTGTATGATGGGATCTGAGTTGGGAATTTGATGATATTTAACGGCAATATAGGATATTCTGAAAATGATGTCCACTTTCCACGTTGCGCTGGAAAACAGCTCAAGCCAAATGAATCAACATTCGTTTTAATGGCCTGCCTCGTTGTTGCTGAGTGGGAGGAGATTACAACTACCCTCGCGGCGGAGCGCTCGGCGGCTCCTGGGTGGCGCAAGTTCTTCGTAAATTGAATGTGGCGCTGGACGATGGCTGGCTTTACTGTGCAAGCCTGGCAGCAGATGTCTGGTGCCAATTTCATGACTTACTAAGTTGTCTATGTGTTATGATGGCTTATTGAATATGCCCCGCGTTGTGATGATCATCCATGGATGCATTGCATATAGCTATTAAACTAAATAAAGATAATACAAAATACTCTGTCAATTCACTTTTCATTAGGAAATTGGTCTGAATGTTGTGGTGGGCTTTTGATGGTTCCTTTTTCGATAACGAAATGATTGGGTGGTCCACCACGCTCCAGCTCATTGAGAACACATTTCAGGTCCGTAATAAGCATATACTTTGATTCTAAGTACAATTCTGCATTACATTTGGCGATCTGCATGGGTGTCAGCTAAAGTACCTCATGCAGGAAACATGCAGGGAAAGGGTATTCTTACCATCTTCGGTTCAGTCTAAGGGCATGTGTTCGACTCTTAACTGCCGAGGGAAGTGGCGCGGCATGTAGAGGTGAGGATATTTTGAGAATTCTAAGACAGATCCAACATTAGCCACCTGTGAAGGGAGCAGATCTGACTGGTTGTGAAATCCAAATGCAAGAGACGGCTGACAGCACACCGCAACATAATGAAGCCTGAGGATACAAGGATGATGTTGTCTCTCCAAGCCGACATTATATAAATGTAGTTGATTTATGGCTGCCGCCACGTGGTCCACATGCTTTTCTTTCTTCTATCTTTGCATATAGACAAGATAATGCGTCACAAGTCTTGGCTTTCCCGTTCCGTTTTAGTGCTCACCTCTTGTGGCTTTTTGCTCACTGAGCAGCCTGATAATACTCACTGAGCACGACCTGAGCAAAGCGCGGGAGCAGCTAGCTCAGCAGCTTACCTCAGTACTACTCCCTCGGACCCAGCGCAAAACTGAACTCCTTCAAAACCGGCGAAAGCTTCCACCTTGCAAATAGCTGCCCATTTTCCACCAAGATCCGCCGTAGCACCTCCCCCCTCCCCGCCTCTGTAGCAGGCCACACACCCTCCCATATCCTCACATATGGCTTCACGGCCCCCAAGACCTCCCTCAGCCACCTCCCTGCCCTCCCCTCTTCAATCCTCCCTGTCCCCACCATCCCCCTCTCTAGGTCCTCCAGAAAAACATCCCTCTCCCGCCCCCCCTCAACCGCAGCCCGCATCACCCCCAGCAACATATGCGACCGCACTGCAAAGTCCAACTCACCTACCTCCGCCTTCACCCCCACCGTCTCCTTCACTGCAACAGCAGCCAAAAACTCCACCTCCTCCTCACTCCCAACTTCTCCCTCCCACCCCCTCCACCATGCCATCGGCCCCACCCCACCATCCGGCAACCCACACCACACCACCTCACTCTTCCACGCGCCATCCGCATCTGGCTCAGCAGCCTCCCTCCTCGCCGCACTCGTCTCCCACAGCTGCGCCGAATACTTTGATTCCCACGCGTACATATCATAGGCTCCTTGCGCGACCAGTCTCCCGAACAAGCTCGGCTCCCACGCTTCCCGGGAAACTGCCTTGGCTGAGCCAGATCGGCCAGGCGAACCCAGCCCCATGTACTCAAGCCAGAAGCACGCTTGCGTCTCCGAGTAGGGCGCCACACTGGTGTGGGCCGTGCGCAGGTGCGTGATGGTCGTCTCGAGCGTGCTGAGGGCTAATCCAGTGAAAGTCGCGAGCGGGAGAGAGGCCTGCCTGCGGCGCGTGCGCGCGACGCTGTAGGCCCAGCGGGGGAGTTTTGTGGCGTGTGCGGGGGTCGCTGGCGCGGCAGCCCCAGCGGAGAGTCAGAGTCAGGTAGGTCTTGGAGGTCAGGCAGGCGGTAGAAGCACGCTGTGGTGCGCTGGGTAAGGAATGCAGTAGAGTAATAAGAGCGCCATGCGGAGGAGTGGAGGAGTGCATGGTGTGTGGTGTAGAAGGACTGGAAATCATCAGGGGAAGGGAAGTCACCCTCAAGTTGGTCAGTGGAGCGGTAGATGGCCGCTGCGAGCTGGGCGAGGTAGAATATATCCAGGGTGCTGTGATTTATCAGTTTTTGTACCTGTAGTCTAGTGCTATTGCCCAGGGCATAATAACCTTGGAACTTACCGATTAAACCTCAACTCGCTCTCGCCGAACGACCATCCGCGCGCGTGCAGCTTCTCGACAACATCAAAAACGCCGCTGTCGAGCCACAGCCCCTCGTCCATATAGATGAATGCTATCCGTAGCACTTTCTCATGGCAGTCCACCGGCACCACGCCGCCTTCGACGCCAGCGAGGAATTCTTTAGCGCTCATGGCGAACCCTCTGATAAGTAAATGAGGAATATGAATATGAGTATTAGATCCTCACTCGGTATGCCAGGGGTCAGGATGTAAGTAATCCGCCAAATTCCACTAACATGATTCACTACCGAGCCGCCATTGCCCCTATAAAAGCGGCGGCAGCATAGATAGAAAAGGCCCCACCTGCCAGACTTTATCCTGTCTATATGCACGACTTGTTCGTTTCTGAATGTCAATATATACAGATATATATATGGGCAAAAAGAAACAAACTCCAACCTTTTTGACAGGCTAAAAAATCTGGGAAAACGGACACAGAAGCCTTACCACTGTTATCCTTATCATCAGTGAAATTTACCGTCATCATCTAGGCCTTTACTCCGTACAATAATCGAAATAGGGAGACCGTCACGTGTTGACCCCGCAATCTTGGAACGCGTGTTGGACGCGCCGCGTTCGCGATCCTTTCGCGATCCACTTCCAGTCCGATCTGGATTTTGTTAAAGCTGACCACTGACATCCCTCTACTGACGTTCCCCAAACTTAGTCTGTGGGTCCGGATACGCCCTATTTATCGGCGGGCATATCTTATTAGTTGGAGCCTCAAAAGTAGCATCCCACGTCGGAAATCAATCAAATTGACCGAGTTAAATGAACGCCAATCAAGCAAAATCGCGACACCCTGATGTCGGTTCCCCCGGTCCCCCCGATGGGTCTTGCATCTGTTCACGGGGCCATGATTTCTGATATAGTTGTCACAAATCGTCCCAACACAGGACGCGGCAAGAAGCTCACTCTATTACAACTAAATGTTCTGAAACGGCTTTATGAGCAACAACTGCCCTCTGTACCACCTGGAGAGGTACCCGTGAAAAGCTTCTGGGTCAATCTTGTGACCCTCTTTCGTCGGTATACTGGTCGGGAATATTCCTGGCAATCCGCGAAGCGAAATATCCTGGGGTCCACGAATAAAGATGAACCACAAAGGTCTAGCCAACCAACCTCGCCCGTCGAAGTAGCCAGCAATGAGTCTCCAATTATTGAACCCTGCCCTCCGATTGTTGTTGATACGCCTGCACAACGGCGAAACTTGAGTGGAAAGTCGCAATCACTAGAGAAACGAGACGAGACGCCAACGGGGCCACCATTCCTCAACAGCCCCGCGTGTTCTGAGCTTGAAGAAAGCCCTGCCGTTGTCGGCGAATGGACGCGAAGGACTTTGTTTCCCAATGCAGCCAGGTCCAGCCAAAAGCCTGACAGCATCCCTAAATTACCCCGACTTTCTCAATCTCGTCGTCGATCACGATCGCCTCAGCTTGAGTCGCACCCTGTGTACCGGTGTCGATCACCCACGTCCAACAATCGGGCCCATGCTGTATCAAGGAAACTGCATCACCACTTAGGGTCCATCTCAACCGCCGGACGTAAGTCTGGTTCCAACCCTGCACCGTCGTCCACCCTTGTGTTCCAACCCCGCAGTGAAATGAAAGCTGCCTCAAGGAAGGGCAATCTTCCGACAAACAATCGTGACTCGAATCTATCGGGAAAAGAAATCAGGAGGCAATCAAAAACCCCCGAACAGCAGCAGGAGCCAGTCAGAAAGAGTCTCGATGATTCTCCATATCTATCCGAGCCCGATGAGTTGCCCCAAGCACCAGCTCTGATATCGAGGAGGTGTCATGTCACCACGAAGAATGAACCATAATCTTGGCCGAATGTGGCATTATGAATCAACTGGCATCGTGAATGAAAATTGAATGCGCGATGCAACTGGAACTGGAGGCGAATTGGGTCTGCATACAAAGATAATGCTCAGTAATTTAGTACCTTTGATTGTTTTGTTTGATGTTCTAGATACCCCTCCGGCGTTAATTACACTGATTTTTCGCACGCTTACTTTCCCAGTGTGCAACTATATTCCAATTGAGGATATGTGAATACTAAGACCTTATAGTACCTGGGTAGCCATATATGACGATTGGAAAACAACCCACTCCACTGATTACAAAGGAAAAACTCCAGAAGAAAGGAAGTATCGTTTGGGCTTTTAGACCTAACTATGTAGGCAATCAAGCATGCCAAAGGCGACAGTAGCCGAGAAAAGTACATTACGATTATGATAGTAAACGGATAAAAGTGAAATGCGCTGTGAACATGCAAGTTGCTGTCATTCATCCCCCCCCCCTCGCTATTTTACGGGCCCGCGCCAATCTTTCAATCTCTTCTTCTCCGATCTTCACTTTCACTTTAGCTTCCTTTTCGATCATTTTGATTCCCGCTTTCACCTCCATCAAGAACTCCAAAAATTTCACATCTCTCCAACGGCTTCCTCGGCAACCCGAGCATCACGAAGGGTCTCAGCAAGGTCCCGAGACACCTGCAGCGTGGGATCCAGTAGTGCAGTATGCATGGAGTAATCATCCTGGGCACCGCAATGCAAGATTCCTGTGCCCTGCACTCCTTGGACTTGAATTTTGGCCGAAGCCATACCCTGGGCAGGACTGGATAAGTCAGGTGCGATATCCGGCTGAGAGATTTGGATGCTGGTTCGACTCTCGTTGATGGAATCAGAGCTGAGATCGATGAAATTCGCGGGATTAGCGGGCTGGTTTGCCGCGGGAGTCTGGTTGCTCGCTATGGGAGGAGGGGGGTTAGTTGGATCATACCACTCATTCAGGCCGTTGTTCCATCTCCAGAACCGTGGAAGATCAGGTGGAGGCCAGTTTCCGCACGAAGGTAGATGGATATCGGTATAAACTGGGTCACGGACAGCACCGAATGAACGACGGTCAAAGCCGACTGGGCCTCGGGCAATACCGAGCTCAGATTGGTCGGATTCATCATTGGACAATTGCTGTTCTTCAAGGACAAGGTTTGTGCCAACGTCATCCTGCGGAATGAACGAAATGGGACGACCCACATGACGAACTATTTCTTGCGCACGAGAATAGATCACCTCATCAAGCATGATAACCTCACGCAGAGTAACAAGAGCGTAGGGATCGACAGCAGGAGAAGATCCAGTTACAGAATGCCCAGCAACATTACGAATATTCTGCTGAAGCGTACGACTTGGGGGAGAAACGGCGATATCCTGAGCAGTGGTAGATCTCTGTATGATTGGAGGAGAGTCAATGACAACAATTTCAGCGTCGCTACTACCAGTCTGTCGTACTAGAGAGGCATTCCGCTGAACCGGCGCACGAGTGCTAGCAGCCCCAGGAGCGGCATTAGGTCTCATAGCGGTGGGAAGAGTGTCAAAGAGAGCGAATTCATGGTTTCTACCACCAGTCTGTCGTGGCGATGAAGCATTTTGCTCAACAGCGCTTCCTGTAGCACGATCTGCAGCAGCACGACGAGCCTCCCGACGAGTTGAGGCAGCCTGTTTGGCAGCAGCATCCCGAAGGGTCTCTTCCCTGACAATCTCTGCCCTTCTTTGAATGTCGGCCCGAGCCTCTTGAACTACCTCAGGGTGGGCATCCTGCATGTCTGCAGCCATCTGGCGGATGCGGCGGAATCGGCGCTCCATGTAGTTGATACTGCGGTCACCATCATAAAACACGACCATACGATCATATCGAAGCTATTTTGTAACTATTAGCAACCATTTCAATGCAAAAAGGACGCAAAAGCAACGTGATTATAGGATGGTGGGGAGATTTTGTCCTGCTGCCATCGAAGCACCTGGTCTAAGAGAAGACACACTGTCTCGCTAACAAGAGAGGCAATGGATAGCCATCATGTCGACCAGAAGCCCATGGGATTGCAAAGTCTAGAGAGGATCTGAACCTGAAAAAACCACTCGGACCACAGATGCTTATCATTGAGAACCACCAGGTATTGCCCTCCGACAGAAGCAATGATCTAAGGCATAAAGCCTGGAAGTTTGAGCCAATACCATAAATCTCATAAGAAGAAAGAAGGGACAAGATGATGATACGTACCATGATCTCGGGATGAGCCGCGATGAATGCTGCAAGCAGTCGTTCGCTGTTATTCGACATCTTGACGTTACAAGGCTGTTTGATGTGGTATGATGAAGTTTGAATATTGGAAACGATGAGAACAAAAGGTACAACGCAGGCACGCTGTGATGCAAAAGAAACGAGTTAATGGAAAATTTCGGAAAGAAAGAAACTTGCCGGTGAAAGTTGGAGAGGTATACAAATTGCCTTCAGATGTTAAGCGAGCACGTTCTTACCCTGAGCAAACTGTTCTGCTGTTCTCTCGCTTGACTTGGACGTTACTCGGACGATTTCTACAAGAAAGATTCGTCCAACATCTAAGCAGAATCGTTCCCATCTGCCTAACTGAAGACCGTGCTGGATCGTCACATTCCCGTTATATTGCCGTCGTATATAGGGTGGAATCTCATGATTATATTCATATTGAAATACTTGATCTAGCTACTTTCAACTCGCGGGTTGGCATTATCACACCTATGTTGTGCTCTATTTTCACGATCACTCACAGGAGTAGATTCTTTATGTCACTTCCTCTGATAAGAGCAACATGACTAGGTAAGCATGGATCATCCCTGAAATCTTCACGATACCACCCCCACAAACCGCTGCAAGGCAGACGTTCTGTCGATGGCGAGATGAAACCTTTGGGGTCGATGCAAAATGCCTATACTGGGCCCACGTCGGAAAACCGACCATTATCAGGTTGCACGAGAAGAACTCGGGAAGCAATTTGGACTTCAGCTTCTGTCTTCTTATTTTCCCCCAGCGCTTTCATCAGGGAACCGAAAGGTTGTTGGTATCGATACCGACATTTGACGACAGGATGATATGGTTCTTCTGTCTATATGATGGAAGCTATTCTTTGATACTTAGGGATTTTCGACATGCCAGTAGTCGCGGTATTCGAAAGAGTCGGCTCGATCCGTGCTGGCCCCATCTTTTTCATTTTTGCATCTGTCAGCCTTAATTGGTGAACAATGCGGTTTGTGCTTTGTGGTGATTGTTTGCTAACATAATCTAGTGCCACCTACCTAGTAGGTGGCCATACGCTCGTTATTTGTACCACAGATATTAAGGACAATAAACTTCCTAATCGGGTATAGCGTTAGGGCTACGACTAAATCTGTTAACACCAGCATCACAGGCCTCTTTGGGCAAAACAAAAGCTCCTAGCAGACCATAGATATGTTTTTTGGTGCTAACAAAAGCAAGTCGACGGATCAAAAGACTTGACAAACTCCAACCTAGATACATTGTGGTTGAAAACTCTGCCAACTGCCAATGTCGAAGGCATTCATTCCACTACAACAATACTGGAGCGTAGTAGATCAGTTTATATAAACGGTTGGGTTGGAATTGCAATAAGCCACCAACGAATGTATAAAATATATCAAGAAAGACCTCTCGAAAGATGTGCTTCGTTGGTGCAAGACTATGGAATAATTTTAGCTCTCTTTCGACTTACTAGAAGAGTGATCCAATAAGATTCCAGACCATAGGTAATCTGCGTCACAAAATTTACTTCAAATCCATCTGAACGCTATTTTACCGTCCAAAAACGAGCTGCAGTCGAACCACGATCGAACCATGATAAAATATGAATCGCATCGCAAAGATGGGTAAACTCAAGTTGTATAGCACTGCTGATCAGACTGTATGTTGTTCCCTCAATTCTCTGTCATGCTCTTGTTATTGCATGAGTCAACGTATGTTGGGTCCATTTCGCTTCGATTACGCATTGAGTGGATATGTATATGACATGAAACAACATAAACCACTAGGCAAATAAATGAGCAGAGTCGATAGATGGCCCAATCACAATTCCTTCAGTTAAACGTTTCTTGCGTAATTTCAAATTAGGCAGCGTGCTGAGGTTGAACAAGATATGATGTTAGTCTAGACTACGTATGACGCTATACACGGGAGACTCATCAATCACGTGTTATATACTATCAAGTTGTTCAGACTAAAACTATAGATCGTTTGCCTCAAGCTTCTTTCTTTCCTTCTTCTTCTTCTTCTTCTTCTTCTTCTTCTTCTTCTTCTTCTTCTTCTTCTTCTTCTTCTTCTTCTTCTTCTTCTTCTTCTTCTTCTTCTTCCTCCTCCTCCTCCTCACCAACTTTTCCACTATCTTTCCGTGGAGCTTAAGCAACACACAATTTACTTCAAGTCCACCTGAAAGCCGTTTTACTGTCTAAATCCGAGCCGCAGTCAATTGCATCTCATTTCAAAGATGGGCAAAGTCAAGTGGGATAGCACTGCTGATCAGACTGTATGTTTTCACTCAACTCTTTGTTATGTTTCCGTTATTGCATGAGCCAACGTGTGTTGGGTCCATTCCTGGCCGTTCCTTTCTACCTCACGTCATGCTGGGCGATGTTTGGTCAAGCGCCAAGGAAATGTCAGAAGCTCATGAGAGAGCTATGCGTCTCCCCCTTTGACATTTTCCTTCTATGATTTGATTTACTGAACCGCCACGCCTTGCTCAAATATCTCTTTCGTATCACAACACCCGAATGGAATTCGGCATTTCGACCAATGCAACTAACATTGAAAACAAAAATAGCTTCTGGCGAAGATCCTCGAGACCCATGAGTTGAGTGTGGATAGTCACGCTGTCGCTGCAGCCTGGCGTGAGCAACCCCAATCTCAAACACAGCTGAATCAAAGAAATGGAATCTATACTAACATTTTGATAGCCGGTGCAGATGATTCAAAGCCAACTCCTCGTGCTATTAAGGAGCGCATCACTAAAATCAAGGACATCATCAAGAAGGGCGCGCCTGACGCCGCTGGAACGAACAGCCCCGTTACTCCAAAGAAGGTCACTCCCCGAAAGAAAGCCGCTGATGGTGCAGCCAACGACACTCCGACAAAGAAGCGCAAGACTCTAACCAAGGCGAAGACTGTTTCTACTACCGCTGGGCCTGTCAAGGAGGATCCGGTGCCCAAAATCAAACGAGAGATCACCGAGGAGGAAGATGAAGAGCTTTTCAACTATCCTATTTCCGCGACGAGAGAAGAGAGCACCGATACTGAAGATGAAGGCCTCTTTGATTCCCCCATTGCCAAGGAAGAGCCCTTTGATGACACCGCCGGCGAGAAGGATCCTGGTCTCTGCAATCACCCAGACGATCTAACCCTGAGCCAGGACCCTGCAGACTACGGGCTGTGAAATTGCGTCGAGCACGGTTCTGAGTCTCATTATGTGCAACAATTGTGGCAGTCCGGTTTCCTTGTACATCATTTACACATACTGACAACCGCATGCACGCTCGAGGTCCTCATGATACTATGCAAGCACTTTCCATTTGTTTCTGCTTGTGGCGCACATGAATTCAAAAACTGTCTTTTCTTGTTTTATGGACAGATCATTGAGTTTGGATATGCAGCGTGGCCTGGATGTTTCTAGACGGAAGAAAATCTCGAAATTTCAAAAAAAGAAGGTTGACTGGGGATTGTTTGCTAGCCTCATAACTTAGCCGAATCTACTCTATCACCGTCTGGCTCTACTCTGCTTCTATATATTATACTGTGAAGGAGTTACAAAGCTTGTAAAATAGGCTTAGTGACCACTTGAATAACTCAACGAAGCGAAACAGAGAGTGCAGCGGGTATCAGGTTCAAGGGATTGCTTTTGTACTAGCCCCGGAAAGGCCTATTCGGCATGATTAGCTTTCTGGATATTTGTCGCCATTTGATATCGTGGCGAAATCTGACTTCTTCTATTCATCTCGCACTCTTGTGCTTCTTAGACTCGATGGGCTGGTCGCTGTCACTGTCCAGAATCGAAGCAATGAACTCTGCCTCGGACTCGGCCCGCAGCCCCTTGTCGCCACTTTCAAGATTTTTGATAATCTCGGCGACTCCTCTCTTATGATTAAAGCTATAAGTCGCTAGTGAGGCGCTTTCAGTAGCAGGGTTGCCGTCGGGGTAGGCGGGGTCCCGACTTCGAGAAATCCTGCTTCGAATTGCGCTCTCGCTGCAATCTGTATTGTACAGTCAGTATATATGAATCAAAAGAGAAAATGTGAGTAGCAAAAGCAAAAGCAACAAGAATATACAAAAACGCAGACAGAACGATGTGTAGACAAACTTTCTGAAACGTAGGGAAAGTCAAATTGACAAACAAAGACTTTGGCATTGATCAAAGACCCTAAATGCATGTAAGCCTGGAGGGGGCCGGAACGGGGTAGTAAAGAGGAGGTTGAACCACATAACCGTAGCTGGGCTTGAGCAGGACCCCGCAACAGTTGTGATATGTAAGCACGAGATCACATATTGAGCCCGAAACAGATTCATACGGCCAGATGCTCGACGGGCTACTTTCCGTAAATTGTCTATCTTAACAGGCACTTTAGTGTTTGGAGGCTGGGTGCGTAATGCTATATAGCTATAGAAATATGGTTTTGCCTGCCCTGCCCTGGATGCTAAGATTTCAGTTTTCTCTTAATTTCCAATCAAGGCCATAAAGCTACCTTGTTATCAGTTGAAGCAACTATCATTTGAATTGGAAGAAGATCCGATAAATCTGGACTCGTTTTCCGTCACAATATGGCTAGCAGAGCTGACACCTGGTTCCAGCCATTGGATCCAGATATCCGAAGCGATTGGACAGGTCTCCGTGAAGTTTGTCTGCGCCGTTTCGCACTACCAGTAGATGACAGAGCGACCCAAACTACTCGAATGGAAGAACTGTTCAACAACATGGACCAAGGCCTAGGGGAGAAGATTTCCGAATACCTAGAGAGAGCAGACGACTTCGATGCTCAATACGGGATAGAAAAGAATGGTTCGATATGAAAGTGGTTTATGAATCACGAGATCGTCAGAAGCGCCAAATACAATCTTATACCTATCAACAAATGCATGGCCATCATTGTATACCTAGTTTACAGCTTAGATGAGGTTGTAGACATTGCTCTGAAAGCCAAATTCACCTCACATTTCACCGCAGATGCTTTGTTTTTTTTGGGGGGTAATTCTCAAGCTGATGAGTACAGAACTGCTGCCATAGTTCATGGGCAGTAGTCGTACCGATCAAAATGCAATGATAGTGAATGACTGGTGTTAAAGGCCCGAACAAAAGGTTGAAAAAAATAAAGACAAGCGTCCTCGGTATGGGACTTTTCAACGCCCATCGGCAGCTATGAAGTGAAGAAGAAGTCATCTGATATATGCGACGGTGTATCTGGTAATGATCTATCCAAAAGTTCCTCACTTTATTTCAAAATAGTTTTCTTCTACACTTCTCCTATTCGACCTTCCAACTCAACCAACTCCACCATTGATATTCATCACTGGTACCAACATCTAATCCATTCATCAAAATGCCCGCATCAAAGGGGATCTGGGACCATAAGAAGGACAAGCAGGTATGTCACCTGGATCGCATTCCCACTTTTTCATCATCGGCGCCCTCACTAGTCAAGATGCTTATTCCAAAGTCACGCCCACTGCCATATCTTCATCCGCTCCATACGACCTTATCAACTAACATGGACTTCTTCACTCCAGCTTCTAATCGCAATCGACGATACCAAGCCAGGCGTGGATTGGTCGGCCGTTAGCAAGAAGATGGGTGAGTATCTCTATCCCATTTCACTTTTTCATACAATTAAATTCTAATACAACACAGACTGCTCATACAGCGCGTTGAGAAATCACTTGGGACGGGTCCGCAAAGAGCTGGAAAATGAAGAGAACGAAGCCAGTCCGCAGAAAACCAATTCCAAGAAGGCTGCTCCGAATAAGGCTGCTCCAAAGCAGACCATGACCAAGGCTAGCAAGGTCGAAAAGTCCGACAACGAGGCTTCTGCCGAAGAGAGCGAGAATGAGTAGGTTCCCTCTTTCGATGTGGAAGAAGGGACGAGTCCCTGTATTTGCGCACGAACGGGGCCTCTAGCGCTCTCTGGGCCTATTTCGGATTTCGTTTTCGGTTCTTTTTCTTTTTTGCTTCATGAACGTTCTGTGGCTCGGGGGATTCAAGAGTCGGTGAACTCAAGGTTTCCATTTCTAGGGTGTGAACATCCTGGTTCTTCTTTACTCAACTCTCTCGTGGAGATTTGATACACAAAACAGACAATTTTGATAATATTTGCGAGGCATCCCAATCGCGGACGTATTCAAACGCAAAAACATATGCTATCAAGCAACGCACAAATAAGTTCAATTAGGATAACATTCTCGGCTGGGAATCTATACTTAATCACAACGTAGACCAAACAAAATATCCACAAAGACGCTGAAAAATGAAATGATGCACTATGCATGTCCTTCGCATTGGAGCAAAAACAATTCGATATCTACAACGGACCCGAAGAAGGAGGCGTGGGATTCCATGGCTCACTGACAGACTGCGACCCCGCCGCTCTCCCCATCTCCTGCGGGGATTGATCTGAGTAATTACCAGATTGAACATAGGGCATTTGGTGAACATGTGCTGTTTCAGGGAAGCCAGCTGGTCCCCCATGGCCGAGTTGATGCTGGGGGAGGTATTGATTGGAGCCGATTTGGACCAGGGGGTTGTGGTGTTGAGGACTTCCCTGGCCTTGGCCGCCGGACCAGTGCGGGAGCTCCGGTCCTGATTGCGGCCTCATCATGTGTTGCTGCTGGTAGTGATTCTGCGCGTGCTGCAGGGGTGAGAATCCCTGTAGAGCAGGGTCCGTGGCGGCTTGCTGTGATAGAGAACGTGACGCGGTGTAGCCCTGGAATCTGGTCGGATCAACCATCGACTGCGACGAGTGGCCAGAGAAGTTGTCTAATTGTTGGTAGGGTTGACCTTCCTGGTGGAGGGATGCGTTCGAGGCTCGACGATTGAATTCCCTCGAAGACTGTTCAGCATGATGCGGAGACGAGTACGAACCAAAGAGTGGTTGTGACAATCCTGGCTGGTGACCTGTTTGCAGTTCTGCTTGCCACTGGGGCTGTGCAGCTCCAACCATCCCCCTGTTCATTTCACCATGTTGGCTGCTGGTTACTGTCCACGATGCCGGCGGCTGAACTCCATGCATGGCGGCCCCAGCAGAAAATCCCTGGAAGGATTCTGGATGATGGCCCATGTTGTAAGCGCCGGGTTGTCCCTGGTATCCACCTGCATTGTTACTCCATGCCGAGGGGGAGAGACTTTGACCCAAATTATGGGAATAACTTGGATGGCCATGGTTCGCATAAAACGCCGGCTGGACGCCTTTCATCTGTCCTGCAGCACCTTGAAATACATTCTGATACTTGATTAACAATTTGATAAGTTACCAGGAGACTCAAAGTTCTCGAACTTACCGACCCGTATCCGGCATTTGCGGGTTGTTGCGCATACTCACTGGGCAGGTTCTGAGTAGTCTGGTTGGGGTACCAATTCGATGCCCCGGATGCATGCAGTGGAATTTCCGACTGCCCATAGATCTGTGGGTCAAGAGAGTTCTATCCCACCATCAGTGCCATTCTTGGAACGCTTCGCAGACATAATGAGCGCGATTCCCTACGGAAATTCTCGCACTGTCCGCCGCGGGATAGTTGCCCGCCATAATATTCCCGGACTCCATCCTTCGAGTGCTATTATTTGTTTGGTGTGCCGGTGCTTGCGAGGGCCCTCCTTCGATCGACGGTGTTGTCGACGGCGTCAAATGGATCGGTTCGGTTGGGATCTCCCATTGTGATTTGCCGGTCGTTCGCTGCACGTAATACCATTGCCTTCGTACGCCTTCCCACTGAGGAAGCCTGGTTATTGTTAGCTCACAGTATTGAAAACGTCATTTTGGGACTTACCAGCCTTCTGGAAGTCGTGGTGGTGGGGAGGACGGGCCTGCGGTATCTGCAGGGGCCTCGGGGGCCATGGCCTATTGTTTTTCGAGGTCAAGATAAAAAGATATGATGAGGCATTCAAATTACTTGAAGGGAAAGGAACAAGGGATAAATGTGATAAACATGAAGTTCAGAGAAACTCACGGATAAGACGATCTTGTGGGGCTTTTGGTTTGAATCGTGCACAGACCATTGAACGTGAAAATGATCGAAGTCCTGAACACACTCCTCCAGGGCTTAGTATTAGTTAATTTACTATTGTGTAATTCACATTCATCGCTATTCCGAAAGAAACAACTGAAAACAAACTAGGTATATCCCATCATATCTTGGTCCTTTTGAAAAGAAAAACAATGAATACCGCCCTATCCCAACACCTTGCAAGAACAAAGAGCAAAACAAACAAATTCCACGCCTTTAAGGTGCACAGCCAAGCCCCTCAAGACAAAAAGCAGCCATGGCAAAAAAAGAAATAAGTTTGGAGGCCGTGAGCATATCCATATTACCACGCATGTCCTGGAGCAGGCTCGAAGTCGGCACCATCCCAGTCTTCATCACCACTAAGCTCATCATCAAGAAAGTCATTCTCGTTATATTGCATCTCTGTCGGTCGCTGATTGTCGATTCGAATGTTGACGATATCACACATCCCCTGGATCTTGCCAAACTCGGAAGGAGAGGTTCTCCGTGAAGAACTAGCGGTGGCATCGTCGGCTTCGACCGAACTTTGCTGCGCCAGGCGCGTGCTCTGACGTTTGGTAGAAGTTGACGGTCCGCTATCATCGGTTCCTGGGCGCGATTCATCGATGTTGGTTTCACTACCATCCAGAGCTGCCGGGTTATCAGGGTTCAGTTGGCGCTTGCGAAGCGAACGAAGATTTGGGTTTGGTGGCAGACTTCGACGAAGGAAGACTTTTTCAAGTTTGCTGATCCATTTTTCGCGAAATGTCGCACGGTCACGCCATCCAATCTTCAGGATGGCGCTGATGCCCAGTTTTCGTAGATCACGGAGATCAGGCGCCGCATTTACCAGCGAAGTAAAAAAGACCTCTGCAGTGGCATCATCCCATTTGCGTAACTGGATGAGTTCAATTTCTTGAAGCTTCACAGGCCATGTGGGGGTCTCGCTTTGAAGAAGTAGCTGGTCGAAGTGGGGCTCAACATCGTGGTAACTGGACCCGTCATGCATGGAAAGATCCATTTTGAAGAGTTCCAGATTTGGGCAAGTCTGCCCCAGAGTTTGGATAAAAGACATGCTGAGATGGCGATTGTGACTAAGACTGAGTTTTTGAAGATTTGTGCCATGTGAGGTCAGGAAGGCCGTGAGATCCGTTGACCACATGCGGTCACAGTTTCTCAGAGTGAGAGAGCGAATCGTATGCGGTAGATTGGTCAACACTTGACCGCTGACCATTGAACATTCAAGGAATTCCAATCGCTCGATCTCTTGAAGACGTTTGATTCCATCTACTAAACAACCTCCTCCCTCGCCAGAGTACTCGTCTGGCTGAGCATCGTTGAGGTGAAGTAGTTTAAGCTCTCGCAGACCACGGAAGGCCGGTCCCAGGTGATAGTGCGCCATCAATTCAAGAAGTATATCAGTTTCATAGAAACGACCATTCCAATCCCAACTTCGAAGGATAACACCACTATCGTTGATAGCATCAAGAAGAGGATTTGGATAAATCCACCTCGACAGGGTAATGTGCCACGGAGGGATTCCCACAGTGTAATCATCTTTGTGATAAAGACGCACTGTGTGTACTTGGGGTGTCTTCTCAATCAGTTTCGCGAGGTCAAAATAGCCAAGAGTAGGTCCACTCTTAAGCAGGAGCACAGGTTCAACTTCAACATGGAGCTTCTTGATCTTGCTAGCGTAGTTCATAGAGAGAGAATCTAATGGTTGTGATAAGAGACTAAGAAGGGCATGGGTTTTGTGAGCAGGTAATAGCGGCGGACAATGAAGAAGTGCAGCGAGCGCAGGTTCCTGGAAACTTCGACAAAGCAAAGCAACATTCACCAGCCACTTGACAGAATCATTGCGGTCTGATCGACCTTCATCGAGCAATGGGTAGGACGCGCGCAGGAAGATGTCCATGAGGACATGATATGGCAGCGTTTGCCATGGAGGAATGACGCCCGATCCCAAGATTATCCCGTGATCGTGGTCGGTCTTGGCGCGCTTGTGCAAAGTTCTTCCTACCTGGCCCCTAGTTCGGGATGGTCGTTTAGTCTGCTTTGGCTTTGGGTTTGGGGTGCGTCGAGGCTGCGACCGTCTGGGGGGCCGAGGGGTAGGCACAAATTCAGAGGCCAGATATTGCTCTTCCGTTGGTGCAGCTACCAATGATTGGGAATTTTGGTCTTCCACAGGCTCATTGAAGCTAGCATCGGTTGATTCTTCGCGATAGGATCTTGGCATTCGAGTTGTACTGCGCGACCGGAGGGATACCGATGCACGCTCAGATCGTGAGATTCGGGTTGTCTCATCTGAAGAAGTCTCCTCATTGTATGTCTTCACCTTGGTCCGGCTAGACCGCATAGGACGGGTGGATCTGGGTCGCGAATTCGAGGGCGCCATGACGGATAAGGTCGCGCTAGGATAAGAGAGTGGGTAATAGAAACGCGAGCCACATTGCCCGCCCGACAGAAAGAGCGCAACAATATGGGCAACAGTAAAATGCTCCTGGCTCGGAGGCGACCAATCTAGAGATGTTGCCGTTCAAATTAAAGCTGAGAGCCCGGGTGAAGCCGGTTCTTCGACGGATGAAGTCGAGGACGCCAAGACTCGGGCTTATCGATAATGTGATAAGGAATGTCACTCACGTGATTTGTTCAGGCATCAACCCCCGCCCTCAGGCAACAACGCCATTCCCAATTTGGGAAGACTAGAAGACCCCAAAATAGATTCTCAGCTTGAGCTTTAAAGATGGGCGCTTCCAGCCATCTCGAGGGGAAACCTCCTGGAACCGTACACAGTCGGAGTATTGCTATCCAGAATTTGATTTTTCTTTTTTTTTGTCTTTATTTCAACGTATTGTGTGGAGCATAGCCCGACATCTATGCTTCTTTGGTTGAACAGTAATGACGACCTATGCGACCCGGGGTTCTCATATTTGTTTGCCCGCGTAAATTGTCCAGTTCTACATTGCAATTGAACCTCAGGGCGAGTCAATTCAGGTCACGTTTTTGCCCATGGAAACCTCATTTCCTGTGATGATGGATTCCGATCGATCGAACCGTGGAGACCTCGGCGGGCCGCAGATGGTCATCCAACAATATGCTCGGTATCCTCCGACCTTGGAATCAACACTGCAGAGTGCTTCCTCTTTGGGAAGTGCTCGTAGTCAAATAGATATCAACAAGTCACCTACTCTGCAGCGAAGAGAAACGCCAAGAAGCTTGCAATCTTCGCCAAGAGGAATGCGCTCCGTTCTACCTCCATCATCGGTCAGTCGCTTAGGGACATCTATGTCTCCACCATTATTTGACCCTCATCGTCATCACCCAGTGAAGGATTCTTCCGATCAAGCAGAGTCTCGTGTTCTCCCATCGCGGGAGATCACTGATGAGAATATTGACGATGCCTACGTGGCATTCATTCTATACTGCAATCCTAATGTTCCATCATCTGTCGATACATCAGAGCTTCGGAAAACCTTTCGTTGTCTACCACGCAGCGATGGTAAAAGCTTCGATATTTTTGCCCTATTTGGACTCATTCGAAGACGCCTCCAGAATGAAGAGTTGAAGACTTGGATTCAACTAGCAATTGAACTGGGCGTGGAACCACCCGACATGGAAAAAAAGCAAAGCACCCAAAAGGTCCAGCAGTATACTGTCAGGCTCAAAGTATGCCTCCTCCCGGTTCTATGATATTCCATTTTGCTAATTTCTCTCAGCGGTGGATGCGTGCTATGCATATTGATGCTTTCTTTGAGTATTGCTTGGGTCTTCCTCACTCCTACTACACGCAACTCCCACCATCCGATCACTTTGTAGGTGAGCCGCGGGATGGTGTAGCATTGGAAGAGGATCTCGCTCTCGGAGCACTTGTACCCCAATGGAAGCCAAAGCGCGGGCGGAAAAGGGTCGAGGACAGAGATGGCGAGGAAGAGAAGGCAACTAAACGACCACAGTTAGATACATCAGTGGGCGCCCTACGACAAGGCAGCTTTCATTCACAATCCGTGGCATTCCCGCAGAGTGCGATTCCGTTCAGTGCATTCCCAGACGATATGGAATCCAACGACGGTTGGATGACGACTAACTCCTCATTTCCAAACGGGGCCGGACAAGATCTGCGATGGAGGCTACCTGACCGAGACGCTTCTCCTGCAAATTATCCCCAATCTGCCATTATTCCGCGCAGCCATCTACCATCGGATGCCTTATTGTCTGCCGAACCGCGGTCAGCCATCACTCCTTCAACTGGCGAAAAGAGCCGCGCTAGGAGACGACATGGTCCAGCGGTTTCATCAGCTTGGCCAAATAGTAACGGTGTATCTTCGGGGAAAGGCCGAGGTAGGCCACCAAACAAAGGATCATCATCGGGCTCCTTCTCTACCTTTCAAGTGAATACCAACCAGGAATCGTCACAAACACCCAACTCTGAATCACAGCCTACTCCACTCCTACTTGACACAAATCCTCCGCATCATTTTCAAACCCCATCCTACAATCAAACTCCAACACTTGTTGTGCAGGGCAGACCCAATAAACTTCAATTGCAGGTCCCTCAGCATTCTGGGGCCCCGGTACGACTTGCCACGCCGCCAAGGGTGGTAGTCAACGGTGTCAACGGTGCTGTCATCACCGGCACTGAAGGCCCGAACGGCGGTCACCAACACAATACAACAGATATTCAAAATACTAGTATGGTGCCTCCAACATCTGCCGGTGGGCAAAACAACCCCAGAAATCCTCCCAATCCTTCCATCGACGATATCGTCCGCGCACTCTCTACAGAAATTTTCCGCGCCAGACTAGTAGGGCACCCGCACTCTATTCATCCCGACGAAGCCGCCGCCCTGGCTTCCGCAATGGTGATCAACCTATCCTCGATATATTCCCAATTCCAACTCGGCACTCCTTCCCTGCTGCTAGCCTTCCACCTCGGGGTAGGCCATCATTTTGGTTTCTCGGGCACCCATCCAGGGTCGTTGGTTATAAATGTGAAACGGATCGCAAATAATGATGAGAGCCGCGGTGCCATCTCGAACGGGCATTCCACCGGCTCTCATTATACCATCTCTCACGAGTATAAGACCTCAAACCAATTCTCGATGCAAATCACTCTTGCAAATATCAACCCTGGTATAGTTGGATTGGAACACTCTGGTCATGCAAGGGCGGTCGAGGCTCCGACTCATGATGCTATCCACAATAGCAAAACCGTGGATCTCGACATCGACAATGACGAGTTCGGTGAGCCTGCCACTGAAGCAACGTGGAAACATCGCTATGCTAGACTTCGGGCTCAAATGCAGAAAAAGGAGCAGGCTCTGTCGCAATATAAACGAAATATTGTGGAATCTGTCATGGCCGATATCTGACCCAAAAATCTTCCTTGATTAGTACTAGAATTTCCTCCGTGGCTTCTTGTTTCCTACGTACTGTGTGATACCTACCTTGCGAGCTCTCTCGCGTTTGTTTGACAGGATACCCCTTTGATATATTCAATCCTATAGTTTACTTGCAATGATACTGGAAACAGCTTGTGATTTTTGGGCTGTACATGTAGCCCTTGCTGAATTTTTACAGATGCTTTCTGCACGATACAGGTAGAAATTCATTTCTTTTTTGCTCGTTAGCGGTGGATTCGTCTCCTAGGCATATTCCCTTCCCAAAAACGTAAACAATGAGCCCTTGTTTTGATCTGGGTTGGAACGGATCGGGAGGACCCTTCTCGTCCAGGCCGATCCAAAGCGAACAAGCTTGATACACGGGACAAAGAAAAGTAAATAATTGAGATGCCATCATTCAACACCTTCTTCACGTTCCTGGCATCACGCTTCCTCCGTTCTATCAAACAAAAAATTTGAGCCTCACTACCCGCCATCGCCATCGCTATCTACATGGCTTCTATCAACTCATCCGAGGAGCAGGCTATCGCTTTCCTTCTGGTGTGCGTGAGAAGCTCCCGAAAGGGCACGGTATGCCGTACACTACCTACCAGCTATTATCGACGCTTCTAACAGAACTTACTAGAGCATCCGCGACTCAAACCCTCTTTATGGTCCCCATTGACTGACATAGGTAGAAATTCAAGATCAATTGGTCGAAAGTTAACTCTACAATCGGCGGCAACATGACCAACTCAGTCGCATAAATTTTCGCGTGTTGATTATTTCAGTCTTGAGCAGATACTGACCCAAACAGCAAACGATACTACCACCACATCTCCAAGAGCGCGAGGAAGTTCGTGACCGAGGACGAATACCCTGAACTCGCTGCAGGCTCATCCTGGGTGTTGGTCGCGGCTGAATCTGAGGAAGACGGCGTCGTCGTTGATAGTCCCAGCGATTCAAGGGTTTAGACGGATCCCACATTCAGGATGTTGGGTATGGCTTTGGGAGCAGCCACGATATGAGCTGTTTGTGATGCAGGGCACTTGCTCCCTTCATCTGGCGCTTTGCCTTTGTTTGCATGGAATCATTTGTTTGGGGGGTTGCAAACTGTGTTCAAGGTGACATAAGCACATAGGTATTCAATTATATATGTACACATATATATTGTTGCATTTGATATAGTACTATGGCATAGGCTTTGCTTCAACATATCCGCACAGTATATATTTTGGTGTTCTCTTTAAATTTTATCTTTGTCTCCAGGGCTCTCACCATACCTCTTACATAAAATACATCTGGCCAGAACAAAAATAAGATCTAAACATCTCCTCCTTTTCGACCCAACGTAGTTACTGTATAGCTATAAAGTGTAAATATCCTTTGCCTCTGCATCAAATTGTGTAGTATAGCTTTAATGGCGCCAAACGCTTAATAATATCCCATGTGGTGTAGGGGTTATCATCGCTCGTTTTCAAATAGGTTCATTCCTATGTTGTACCGTGCAGACCGGGGTTCGAATCCCCGCATGGGAGTTTCTTTTTGTTTTCGTCTTATATTTTGTTTGCAAAAAATATTTTTGACTTCTCATTACTAACTGATGTTTTTAACTTAAAATTATCTGCGCTACAAAATATCAAAACCTAGCTTTTAGTGATTAAACAACCATCAATCCAGATTCATACAATTTTATTTATCCGAGGCTTGTCAAGTGACCCAGTTGGATTTGATGTGTGTAAAGAGATCAATACACTGACTGTTCTCACAAAAGTGCTGCCGTTGTACATGTCAGAAATGTCTGACGCCGTGAAGCCTCTAGATGGACTCCCTCCCGCCGCCAGAGACTTCATTTCGGACGCCCTGGATGTCAAAGAAGATTGGACACTCCCCGAAAGAAAGCTCAACAACCATGCGCCAGTCAGCAGTGATGGTGGCCCCAAAAGGAGAGGTAGTTACAGCTCAGAGAGGCTTTTGGCAGCTTAATCTTTGTTTCTCAGTACCTCTGAGGTGTGGCAGATGTCCATTTCTTGGCCTACGCTTGAACTTTCGAAACATATAGAGAATGGTTCACAAATATGAGCAAGGATTAGGTCTTTCATACTCTGGCCAAGAATGGCGAGCTGAATGACACTGACAGTGAAGAGTTCGTCAACACAGACGATCCTTTTAAGCAATCCCCTACGCTAAATGATTCCTCGCAGGGCGCGCAAGTCTCCTCGAAGCAAAGTGCATACAACGCGAACTACCGGGTTGCGTGGACTCTTTACAAACTGGTACAACAATTTGAGGTTTTCAACGACTTTTGCGCCGAGGAAATATGTCTGTGAGTATATCCGAGCGCAGAAACCCCACGGAAGAGATACCATTGCTACTCCCCAGCAGCTCTGACCTGCGTGTTAATTCACGGAATTCCAACCACTACACAAAAAGAGGAGAGTATCATCAACAAAAGTTGTATTGTGCCTGGGAGCCTCTCCTATACTTCAAATTATCGAAACGCGTCCAAGTATCGATCTCGTGGAAACAAATGTGGGATTCCCAGCTGGTAGGCAAGGTACAGGAAACACCTAAGGCCACGGAGGACGAGCAAAAGTGCAGGATTGAAAGGAGCATAGCAGAGCTTGACTCCAAAGTAAACGTCCGCGACTACCTTCAGCGAGTGCTTGGTTTCTTGGATCTCGGAGCACCCTCCGACTTTTTCGGATGACCTCTCAACAAGAAAGCCAGCCGTATCGTGGTTGGGTCGACCTGCGTCGCACGCCCTCGCATGAGCTTATAGACATCTTTGCAGACGAAGCCAACAGGGGCTGCCGCATCAATATCAGAATCAAACCTTTTGGTCCAGAATGGAGCACCTCGATGGAATTCACAGACCTGTTTGGCCTGTTGTCCTGAAGCATAGCCTTTGTAGCGGACTCTCCAATTCTTTTTCCCGATAAGGTCTGATATCATCCACATCCAATGCGGCAAGGTAGTCGGGGCAGTCAGGAAACTGAAAAGCATGCCGTCTTTTAGTCAGTGAACAAAGTTCTCATTGCCTCTTACTCTATCTACATCTATCTACAATAGCACTTGTATCTGTATTGTGATTATCCTTCTGCACTTTTCTCTCATTTTTTATGAGTAGCCTCCACCTTCACAACATGTTTTCTCTAAGCCTTGTGCTATTCCGAAGGCGGGAGACATACAAGTGCTGTTAAGCATGGTGAAAGAGAAAGACTTCCAGTAGGTGTTCTTCTAAATTAGACATGCCACTGCTATTCAACCAAAGACCAGAATTCGGTCTAACTAACACTGCTTTGCCTCGCATCAAACTCACTTCGAAAAATGCATTCAAATTTGAAAATCAAGAGAGAGAACTATAAATTCTTTCTCAAAATAAATCTAATTACCCCATCATGACCACATCCCCTTGACCCAAAATCGTGTTGACCGTAACAGAAGCTTCGTGGGTCGGCTGCTCATCTGTAGCCAAAAACTCATCTTTGCCGTGGCCTCCTTCATCACGATTCACAATCGGGATATTCTGGCGAGTAGAAGAATCTGGGTGCCAATGTGTGATCATGTTGATGTCTTGGTGTTCCTCAGATTGGGCAGTCAATGTAGATTGGTGAAAAGGGGGTATCGGCTGCCAGAGGACCATGGCGTTGCTCGGCTGTTGCTCAGCCTCCGCAGGCGGGGAATCCTCTGCAGGGGGAGGCAATGTATCCCACGTGATATCCTGATTATCGGGTTGCTGCTCTTCACCTTCTGTGGCTAGCATATCTTGCGGAAGAGAAGGTGCAAGCTCCAACAACGTAATCATTTGACTGTCTTCTTGCTGTTCCTCGGGTTTGATAAGTGGGGAGACCTGGCGAGGAAAAGGCTGTGTCTCGCAGCTGACAAAAGAGTTATTATGACGCTGCTCAGCAGATGTTGTAAGTGTGATGTTCTGCGGTGAGGAGGACAATGGCTCCCGTGTAATGGCAAAATTTCCTTGATGCTGCTCATATCTTCTGAATTGTAGGTTCTGCTGAGAAGAGTCTTGTGGTTCCCTTATCATGGCTAGGTTGGGCTGAGACGGCTCAATAGTCGTGGCCGTATCACTCCGCTGAGGAGAGGACGGTCTCTCCCATGCCATGGCTTGGATGGGCTGGTGCTGGTCAACTGTCATTGTTGTCATGGAAGTCTCCTGAGGAGAGCCTAGTGGCTCCCATGGGATCAACGAATTGCTCTGTTCCGACTCCTCAGACTTGATGGCTGTAGGCCGTAGACAAAGAGACGCCTGTGGTTCCCAGTCGATGTTTGAAGAGATATGGGGAAAGATATTCTGCATTTCAGTATCTCGAAAGCCGTAGCCCCCTTGAATGCCCGAGGATGAGGAAGCATGGCCAGGTGACATGCCATCAGATAGGTAATGATTCACAAAGGATGAGGACGTTGCAAGGCTGGAAGACGGGGCAAGTCCAGATTGCATACCGGATGCAATCTTGAACTGCATTGATGCGAAGTCCTGGGGAAAGTAATATTGCCCTTGTAGGTTGCTCTCCGACATTGACTGGGGATTATAGTGCATAGAGTTCTGTATCCATGGGCTGCCTTGCGTACCGAGCTCGGATTTGATGAAGATATTTGTCGGGAGGGATGTATCCATTGATCCCACGGTGGACAATGTGGAAGATTGAGCCATTGGGAGCATGCGCTGACTCCCAGAAGGGGGGTCCACTACCTTGGGTTTCTTTTGCTTCCGCTTTGCCCTGGGTGTCCCTGTGGTACCATCCATTTGTTGCCGGAAGCGGGAATACCGCATGCGAGCGGCATGGCCGTTGGATATCTCAAGATCGGAGGCAACTCGGTTCCAATCGATCTGAATTGGCTTGATTGTTAGACAATTGGCAGTATATTACCACAGTATACTGACTGATTTTATCTCTAATTGCTTGATTATCGTGTAGAGAAATTTTGCAGTAGCACTGTCAGTCTCTAGGACCTTGTGCCGTTGGACCATAGCTCAGATGAAGAATCAATTTCAGTGATTGGAGAGCAAGAAGGAGTTTGAAAAAGTGTGTTCTCGTGAAAAGTTCCAATCGGATATATATTCACTAAATGATTGTCACATTCATCAGACGTACGGATAGCTGATGGGGACATTGATGGTTTCTTTGTAATTTGACAGAGAAAGCAACGATAGGCCTATCAAGTTTTCATTGCTGCTGGGAAGAGTTGACAAAGTTAGTTTGTCTTGGTGAGAAGCAATTGCATAATGTGTGGCGCCGCCTATTTCTTTATACATTTCTATCATGTTTGGCAATGAAATTTGATACTCATTGTTCCATTCATGGTTGGATAAAGAGGCAGCTTTCCTTACAATATTGTCTAGATGTCGTTTTAGATTTGACCATTCTAAGGATTCCTGCGCTCTATATAGGTCACATGCTACCTGTTGCCCTGGTTTGACTGATACTAGCACCATATAAAGAAATGTGGTTCTCTATTCTGAATAAAATAGCAAGCGACAAAACAAGACATAGACCAAAGCTAAATGTTTCTTTGCATCGTCAGTTTAAAGCTCTTATATATGAAACAGTTCATTGTGGACTATGTGCTAACTTACAGCAATTAAGATACCGAGGAAAGTGCCCATGGGAAAGTGAACAGGGCAGACGCTCATGGATAGATTCTTTGACAAGTGATACTTGATACTTGTTTGATCTAAGACCACATACTCCTCCTCAAGTGTCCACAGGTGCATCTCAATGCTGACTAACATCCCACCGGGCCGAGGTCAGGAGGTTCGGACAGGTGGAGCCATGTTTAGCTGCCCAGGAGAAAGGTGAGGTCGAGGCAAACTCTTGACTCGATCATTGCCGCTATTATTGGCTCAAATTGTTCTACGCAAACTATAGCCCAATTATTCTGCAAACATCTACATGTGAAAACGGTATCATGACGTTAATAGCAATAGGGGCATGCTACATGGACACGATTCTATCGTGGGTTCTTCCAATTATCAAAATGCAGTTGACCAGATAGAGATGTGGCACTCATACTATTTGGCAGAGTTCCCAATTACCCGGGTGAAGATGAGAAACTGCGTGCGTCCAAGATCAGTCACCGCAGAGGCGGAAACTGTCCAAACACTCTTGAAGTTCTTGGACAATTGTTGCAACATGGCCCTTCGAGCGACGGATCATCCTTAAATTTGGTTTCCGTTCTCCCTTCATTATCATCAGTGGCATCTGACCAGATACAAAAAGGACTAGGCGAACTAGTTTGCCTTGAGAATTGCATTTATCGAGAACAATTCAGCGAACCAGCATCCAGCTACATCATTATGAGCCAGGCCACTGGTAGTAGAACAAGTGTCAACTACAACGAGCTACCTGATATGAGTCTTGCTGAATTCATCACTGCGGTTAAGCCGTTGCGTACTGTGGCTGATACACCGTGGTTTCATTTCGAAGTATGTATATTGGGGACCATCTTCGTAGTCCTTCACGACTAGAGCGAATGCTGACTCTGATATAGGGCCGTTCTCCGAACGTAACAATTGAGTGCATAAGTCATATTCGTGGACATTTCCCGGGAGCCACCATCAGCGTTGAAATTGAAAAGCCAGGTCGACCAGGTCTACAGGAACTTGCGAAGGCGGCAGACGTTGTAATTTACTCCAAAGGCTGGGCCCAGGTGAGAAAGAAAGATACTGATCATCTGGTTTTCAGAATCGATTCTAACAGCTGGGCAGAAAAATGGATATACATCTGCTGAAGATTGTATAAGAAAGCAAAAGCTAGAAACTGATCAAGCGTACAGTTGAATTATGCCGGCTTTCCCAGAAATATGAATCTAACCTGGTCGGCTTATAGATCGCTTCTCTGCTGTACTTGGGGCGATGATGGTGCTGCGGCTCTTGAACCAAGAACCGGCAATTTCGCCCATGTCCCGGCACATGACAAAGGGCAGGTTATTGAGTGAGCTGAGATTTCCCTGTAGAGATGCCTGTGAAAGTCTAACAATTTATAGTACTATTGGAGCTGGCGATACCTTCATAGCTGGACTGCTATATGGTTTGATATACCGAAGCAAGGGTTGGGACTTTCAAAAGAGATTGGAGTTTGCAAATCTGATTGCTGGGCTGAAGGTAACACAGGAGGGCTTCGGAAACCTACATAGAGCGATGGACTTTTGATCTTATTGACTCATTGCGCTTTCGATTTTGTGATGATAACACTGAAATGTCAGTTACAGCTGCAAGTAGAAGAAATACTGCGTCGAAGAATGCACAAGATGTTGAATGTTAGGACATGGAGATGTGATTGGCGGTAACCATTGGCAGATGAACGATCCACATGGCACGTGACTGAGACACAGGCGGTGGGAAACAAAAAATATTCTGCCATCAACTTTTCGATCTCGGGCTAGTTTTGCAAGATCTATTTCACCCATTTTGATCAAAATACCAATCACAATGGCTTCGGTTTACAAGAGTGTTTCAAAGAAGGCTGCTCAGCAAGCGGTCGAGGATTCTTCCGACGAGGACATCCAGATGGAGGAGCTTCTCGATGGAGAGAACGACACCACTGATAGCGAAGAGGAAGAATCCGACGATGAAAGTATTGAGGTTGTAAAGAAGCAGCTTGCTTCTGGATTTATGCCCAAGACTCGGGTACTCATCTTGACCTCCAGAGGTGCCTCATACCGGTATGCACAATGCGCATGGAGAGATGCCAAACATGTTCGATGATCTCTAACAATTTGCTTTTTTTCTAGCCACCGACACCTGATGTCTGATATCTGTGGCCTCCTCCCCCACACCTACAAAGAGACTAAGCTCGATACGAAAAAGAAGGCCGCTGGCTACAACCTCCTCCTCAACTCTCTCGCCGACCTGCACTCATGCAACGTTATCTTCTTCCTCGAGGCCAAGAAGAACGGCCAGGATCTTTACCTTTGGCTGTCACGCCCTCCTAACGGACCCACAATTAAGTTCCATCTCAACAACTTGCACACAATGGGCGAGCTCGGCGCAGGATTCGCTGGAAATTGCCTGAAGGGTGGTCGCGGTCTGGTCGTGTTCGATCGGTCCTTCGATGAACAAGGTCCGGATATGGGCAAGCCTGGCAGTGAATACCGGGCGCTTGTCCGAGAGATGTTGCGCGGAGTGTTCTGCGTCCCTAAGCGCGGCGTCCGTGGCATGAAGCCATTCGTCGACCGCATCATCGGTATCTTCGGAGTGGATGGCAAGATCTGGATCCGTGTTTACGAGATCCGCGAATCTGAAGCTGGGAACAAGAAGAAGGAGGGAGATGAGACTGTCAAGCCAGTACCAAAGGGCAAGGATGGCCTACCTGAGGTTTCTCTGGTCGAGATCGGCCCACGCTTCGTTCTGACCCCCATTGTCATCCTTGAGGGTAGCTTTGGCGGCCCCGTCATTTACGAGAATAAGGAATACGTCAGCCCCAACCAGGTCCGTAGCGAGATTCGCCAGGGCAAGGCTGGTCGGTACTCCCAGCGCCGGGATGACCAAACCGATCGGGTGGCCAAGCGCTCCAACCTGGGACTATCAGACAACTCTGTTCGTAAGGTGGATGCATTGGACACAAGGAAGCTGTTTGCATAGGGGGTTTTCGTTTTTGTTTCCTGTTATTTCTCTCTAGACTTGATATCCCTCGGGATGATGTTTCGACTACATGTGTATATTTGATGCGACGCTTTTATCATGGTCCGTTAAGGCGTCGGGGCAATGTCTCATCCTGGTTAATTTCAAAAGTTGATTATTTTCATTGCTGTTCCTCCGTACAAAAAACGGTCATTACTAGTAATCTAAGACACTCGTGAACTGCAACTTTAGAAGCCCTGGGGACGATCTTGCCCAGGTGGGATGCAAGGGGCGATTAGCTAATCGTCATATAAAGCGCCGCTATTGCGACACATGGCGTTGTTGCTTCTCAACACCATCATGGCATCACTTTTGTTAGAATGCCCGTTGTGGCTGCAATGCAGGTCTATCGATATGTTCTCTCTTCAATCTACTTTGTCATTTGCTTACAGCTCCAACGGCGGGGTCCATCTCCAATAAGCCCACTGTACCTTTGACAAGTGTTGAATGCTTCATTTCGCGACAACACTGTCCAATTTGATTTATAGATCCTCGAAGACAATTCATCTTTTATATTTTCCAGTTACTACCTACCAAATCAACCCATTCTAACGGGTAAATCATCTTCAGTCTACGCCTTACTGTCATATCATTCTAATAGAGCTGCCCAGGTGTTTGTTTGTCATCAACAACAAAATATCTCCACTATGCCAATCGATCATCTGGCAACGGAGCTTCTGCTCCATGTATTTCGCTCCTGCGACTCAATCTCCGATGTTCTGAACTTATCTGCCAGCTGCCGTCGGCTTCACCGCATCTTCAACTCGACAAGTAAAGTCCAGATCTTAGCTACTGCCGCGGAGAATGAGTTCGGCCCACTTGACGACATAATCCAAGTCGTGACACAAAACGAGAGCCAGCCCGCTCATCACATCCGCCATGCTCCTATGTCTGACCCCCTGCTGAAACAAGTTATCAACTTAGGCAGGGTGGCGCGCAAGTGGGAAACCATTTTCCCTTTCAAGAAATGGAAGGTAGATTATGAAAATCGCCGCTCCCTCACCAATGAAGAGCGATTAAGGGTCCGCCGTGCAGTATACCGATTGTGGCTATACCACAATGCATTCCATTCTCGTGCGTACGATCGGCATTCTCGCAGCCTTCGCCATGTGGTTTTGGAGCGCGCTCAGCTTCTTCATAACTGGTCAACCGAAGCACTGGCGGAGATTGAAGACCTGCGTCTCGTTATGAGTGACATCGTTCAAAATCATATTTGTCCCAGCAACGGGACTATTCAACGCAAGTTCCGCAAGCGCTACCCAGATAGCAACCAACAGCTTGCGTTCAATATTCACCTCAATTATCCTTTTACATCAGCTGCCTCTTTGTCCTCACATGATCAGTCCTTGTTTGATCAGGCTTCGGGTGCTTCTATCCAGCAATATTTCCACACTGCACACCCTACAAACTTCGCAGAGTCCCCAGCTAAATACAGATCACGGTTTCGCAATGATCTCTCCCACGACCCGGGGTATGAAGGCTGGGGTGATGAGATCCCGCATTACTATATCATGCAGGACATGATGAAGCTTGATCCTGGCCAAATATTATGGTTGCGGGACCATGCTCTGTTAAAGGAGCAGGTGGAAGAGTATGTTTGGTCTTTGGGGGAATGGTTCCGTGACAATGGGGAAACCTTTGGGGATACGCTGGAATATGTCATGAATGAACGTGGCCTTGATGTCAAAGAACTACGATCCGCCGTGGTTGATCGTGATATGGGCATTGTGATAGACTAGATATATGTTTGTTGATCTTTCTTGGTTTGCTATATCTGTTTTAGGGGTTCACGTCAAAAATTGCATAGTTCTGTTTGCTTTAATACAGCAGATTTATTGATTAGTACCATGATGCTGACTGCTCGGATTAGGATTTAATTTTGTGCCCCTAAAGCCCTCGGCAAAGACCAAATCCGTCGGTCTTGTTCGTAAATAACGATCTACCTTTGGAGGAGCGTTGTCCCACATCTACAGACGCTAATTAATAATCCTGCGCTACAAAAGGCTAGCCCGGAGAAATAAATTACCTGTGGAGTGTATGTGGACCCTTATCTCTACTGATACCCGTGGAGGACGGCACTGACAATTACTCTCCTTTATGCAGAAGCCATCGGATAAATGTACTAATTTTCAGCAAAGTTTCATACAAAACGCAACCGCAATGTTAGACGCCCAACCAAGTTCATTGCACCAGCAATTGTGTCCATCAGGCAGAAACATATCGAACATACCAGTTGGGAAAACAGTAAAAAAGGGATCAATTTCGTTGAGGGCCACAGGAGAAAGGGATAGAAGAAAAAGACGGGAGAATGGGACATTGACAGCCGGCGACATCATTTCTCGCAGATCGCCATATTCCCGTCTGGTTTCAAATACAGACCCTGCCTGTCTATCATCTTTGTAGACATCGAATTCCAGACTCCAACACAGATCAAGACCATCTCAATATCACATCGCAAAAAAAGAGTCGTGGCGGTCGGTGAATCGTCCTCGCGAGAGGTAATTTAACAGCAGCCCTTCTTCTGATTCGGGTCGCTCTCGCTTGGATCGATAACACGCCCGCCGGGGACGGGGAGGACCTGTTGGCCACCTTCCCCAGAGTCGAGAGCCTTGCTGGAGACAATGCGGTAGATTTCTGTTTATTGTCAGCATTGAAAGGTAAATTCCAAGAGAAGGTCCACAACCTGTGAGGATGTTCTGGAAAGCTAGCTCAACGTTACTAGCGTCAAGGGCGGATGTCTCGATAAATGAAAGGTTGTTATCGCCTGCTAAATGTCAGCGACACAGACCACACATTGATAAATCGAGGCAACGGACTGGCAAACTCCTTGGCCACTTCTGTGGCCACCGCACGCAGGTGGCGTAAATCGCTCTTGTTACCGACAAGCATGATAACAATGTTCGAATCGGCGTGGTCCCGCAGCTCCTTCAACCACCGGTTGACATTCTCGTAGGTCTGGTGCTTGCTGATATCATAAACAAGGAGGGCACCGACGGCGCCACGGTAGTAGGCAGAGGTAATCGCACGGTAGCGCTCCTGACCAGCAGTATCCCAGATCTGTGCCTTGATAGTTTTCGTGTCGACTTGAATGGATCGGGTCGCGAACTCCACACCGATAGTTGACTTAGAGTCCAGGTTGAATTCATTGCGGGTGAAACGACTCAAAAGGTTGGATTTACCAACACCAGAGTCTCCGATGAGCACCACTATTTATTCCACAGTAGCTCCATAGTCAGTTTCGGGATTCTGGAGGGTACAAGGGGGCAAAACGATTTATAGCGAGGGCGGGCATCAGCGTAAGGTGGCGACGTTACCTTTGAAGAGAAACTGCGGGGATACAACCATTAGCACATCGATCTGAAACATGACTACTTTCAATATCCATTTTCAACTCACATCATATTCGTCGTTGGCCATCTTGGATATGATCGAGCTGGTCGAGCTCAAACGGTGGTATCAAAGTACGGGTAAACGTGGTGGATAAGCGAAGACTTGAAAGAGCCAGTTGTTAGCTTGGTCAGTCCTGTATTTGCAGTACGTATAAATAAACCAGGGGGTACAAACGGGATGTAACAGGAAATCAGCAGGGGATAATTAGTGATGCCTCGCGAGTCGAATAATGTCTCCTTAATCGTGCCGAGCCTATTGTGATTTAGGCAATCACGTGCGGGTTGACGCGCAGGCGGTATCTATTTTAATCGGCAGTAATTGTTATCTCTTTGGGTGGATTGTAGCTCTACGTTCTAAATACATACTTTCATTACTTTCATTACTTTCTTTACTTCATTGCCGTAGTTTTGCTTCTTTCCCAATGACTATGTAATGCGGTGAGTTCGCGTTCTTTTCTTCATCTCTACCCAATGATATGTTGCAAGCCTTAGCTTTTCTGGCTATACGAACATGTTAATGCTGGAAATCACTGAAGCTATACACAAGAAGTAGTTACTAACTTTGGCTTCCAGACTACGGTGATGGCGTCCAATATGTCGATGGAGGATGCCCAAGACGGAATTAGTGATGTTGCCTCTCTAGCATCCACTGCAGAGAGTGAACCGGCGTCCGAGTACGCCGTTGAACATATACTCGCGGAACGAGAGGTATTGGTGGAGCCGGATTCAGATGATTCAGACGAGGAAGCAGGCTATGTCACTCACTATCTCGTTAAATGGCTTGGATATGCCATGAACAGGTGTAGTTGGGAGCCCAAGGAGCAATTTGATACTGAGGAGACACTGCGCAACTGGGAAGCAAGGAAACGGCAGATTGCCGAGGGGAAAAAGGATGCATTCAACGTCAAGGAATGGGAGAATCATTGTGAAATGATAGCGAGAAAGACTGAACGGAGAAAGAAAGAAAGAAGGCGGGAACGGGCCCGGAGAGCCCAGCGGAAAAGCAAGCCCCAGACATCACGGGATGCCCGTTCCAGTATTGTACCTGCAGACCAACCTGAGGTGAGCTCCTCAGTTCCACCAAGAGCTCTTAGGCGTCTCTCTATCGATTCAGTTGCTTCATCCAATTTGTTTGTCTCCGCAGAAACCTCTCCTGCGCGGTCGAAGAAGGCGACGCCTCCTCCATCACTGCCACAGCAAAGACCTGAAACATCGACTTCGTCTGCTGCCCAGGCATTTATACCGGAGCCCCTGAGCTCTACACCTTGTCAGGTTATAGATATCATCTCTGCCAAATCAAAACCCCCTGCGGCTAAGCCACCGGCTCATCCCAAAAGTCCTGAATCGGCAAGACCAAGCCTATCCGTATTTGGTGTGGGCACTGGAACACAGCGTGCCTCTCGGATCAAAGATAAATGGCATGAAAGAGCACCGGGCATATCGGACATCACGAAACCGATGAAGCCTGAGGAATTCGGGCCGCGGACAATGATGAGAGATATCACTCCAGCTGTGGCAATGGCTTCACAAGGTTCCAAATCCGGTGCTCCTCAAGACCAAATCGCCGACGAGAACCAATTCAGCATGGCCGGTCCGCGAAAGCCCTCTTTCGGCTTCACTGGCTCCCCAGCAACCAGACAACCAGCCGAAACGCCTATCTCATCCATGGTTGGCCCCGCGCCGCGCTCCTTGAATACTGATTCTACCAACTCAGCCTCTTCACCGATCATTCCTACGGGGCCTTGTGCGGACACTGCTTTCCTCCCTTCGCCGAAGATCTCCACAGGGCCCCGTGCAGGTTCTACTTTCACCCAGCCTTCAAAATTCAATGAAACCGCTCCTCCAAATGCCCCCACTCAACCTCGCGGTTTCACCGATGCCGAGAATGTCGCCAGGGTTCGAGACTTGAAGGATAGCCGTGGCAGACGAGAGCCTACTAGACATGATGTTTATCGACCATCTGAGCTCTCGCGGCCGTCATCGCCCCCCCGACGGTCGCCTCTTCCACGGCGGTCATCTCCTTCTCGGTGGTCATCGCCTCCCAGACGATCCCCTCCCCGCCGAGCATCCCCGCTCCGGCGCCCATCACCCTCAAGATGGTCACCTTCCAGCCAAGCATCACCTTCACGGTGGTCACCACCCTCCAGACGGCCACCTCCTTCTCGAAGACCATCCCTGTCGCGGCGATTGTCTCCTCGAAGACCATCAAATTTGTCTTTCCCTAGAGGCGGTGATTCGTGGAGGCCTCGTAGCCCATCTCTAACTCGTTATCGGCCTATTGAGTCTGGGTCTTCGAACTTTGTTAACTTGAGAATCAAAGGTTCGGCCGAAGATCAAAAAATTGCTCGCATGAAGCCCGCGACTGGGAGCTCAGTCCAACACGACCCATCAAAGGAGGCTCGAATGGAACGTGTATCCGGTCGTGGCACTCGTAGCCCATCTCCAAATTATTCCCTCTCCGATGTTTCTGGGCAATGGACCTCTATCAACATGAAAATCAAAGGATCGGCCAACAATCTAACTACTGCTGCCACGGAGCCCATAAATCGGACTCCACTTCAACACGAGTCGTCTGTTGAGACTCGGATGGCACGTGGATACGCTCATGGCCCTTTTAGCCCATCTCCGGAGTATTTCCGGTCCAATGTAACAGAGTTGTCCGCGGAGGATCGATTGGCACGGATGCCCGATCGCGAAAAGCCCAAAATTCCACTTGGAATCAAAGGCTTGATGATTAGTCAAGATTATTGGTGGGACAACACACAAGACGAGGCCCTTATACACGTTTATTTTGGGCCTGAGAAAAAATTTATCGGCCCCCTCAGGCTATGTGGCATATATCGTCATATCAAGAAGGATTTGGTTCTTGCTGGAAAAACAACGCATACTAAACGGGTTGAGGTGTGGTTCAGACATCTGTGCACTGCTGCTGAATTTGAACGGCTGTGTGACCCCCACGTTAGTCTCAATTCTGATCGTTATCACTTACATACGACTAACGGAACCACAGCCTGATAACATACAGAGTACCGGATGGGTTGAAGGCTCCAGAGAGACTAATGTGAAGCTGTTTCACATGGCAGAAGATCTCCGACAAGATGACCTCATTGCTATTTTCTACCCGGCTAATTCGCATTCCGCGGTAAAGTGTGCATGGGTTGCATGGTCCCATGGGTCTCCGAGCTTCAACTTCCCTCCGAGGTCGACGAAGGAGTTGCCACTTGATGTCGAAATTCCCTTGCTTGTTGCTGCACACGCTATGCTTCGACCGATCGAGGTTTTAGGGCCCAGAATTCCGTACCCTTTCCACGAAAAATCACAGGAGCCTTCCTTGGATAGATCGCTTTCACTCCGCACCGGGATCTCTGAAGTCAGCAAGAATGCGGAAACTGATAAACCATCGAGACGGTCGAGCTTCCACAATGATACAATTATGCGTAAATCTTTCCAGACACAAGATACATGGATGCCGATTCTGGCACAGGACTCGTCGATGCAGACTCAGGGTGACTTCTATTCTCCAACTGAGCCTGTGACCAACGACTCGCTGGTGCGGACTCAGAGTGTCTCTTATTCTCACTCATCCGAGTCTGCACCCCAGTATGATCCACCAACATCAAATTATCCAACCGTGAATGTCGAAGCAAAGGCCTTGTTTGAAAGTTACATGACCGAACATGGCATACAAGTGGAAGAACTAGCTACAATCTATGGTGACGGCAAGATCTACAAAGCCCAGTTATTTTATCTACACTTTCCCTCGGATGACGAACTTGTGCAAAATGAACTGACTGCACTGAGCGTACACTTGCGTTTTCATGGAATGACGGTTTCCACAAATCTTGACCCAGAGGGACTGGCCAAATTTGTGCAAAATAGCAGAATGGGTGTGGTCATAGTATGTTCTGGGCTGCCCGTTCATAGGAAACCTCAGCTAATCGCCCATAGTTCCACGAATCATTCAGCAGATACGACAATATGCAGCCTCCTCTCACCAAGTTGCTTTCCGAATCTAAGTTCAATTTCTGGGTGATGCGTCTCAATACCCCTCTCCAATTGATGGACGATCGATATTGTTCACCCAACGATCACTGCACACGTATATTTCCCAAGCGCGGCCTTCTACTTCTCACCGAAGACATGTTGAAAGACCTGAAGGGAACAGCCATCACTCTTCAATGGATACGACACCGATTCAACTCTGGCTCGAACGCGTCGACCCCTTGGCACTTGATGCTCCCTCCCAGGATAATCGAATGGTTAGAAAGGAGACTTAACGATGAGCGTTGCTCCAAAGATCATGGGCTGTAAGTCACATACCGGGTCTTAACCACATCAAATACTAATCTGAACAAACTCCAGCCTTGGCCTCGTTAAAGCTTTGATCATGCAATGTAATGTCTCCGACATTCGCACGGAATTGTTCAAGGAATCTAGCCTCGACCCCGACTCCTCGAGTCTCGTGGTCTCACACCATGTCTACGGCTATCGTACTCGCACCGAGCACGATGAACCGAAAATAACGGACAAGGTTGAACGCGACGCAGATCACCTCATCGAATTCTTTGGTGGCTGGTCGCTTATGAACAGGCAACGCTTCCGACACTTCTTTGTTGCCACCTCCATCGTCGAGCCCGCCGGGGCACGCTGGAATTCATGGACCCACATGAATGTCATCCGTGGTGGCTACAGTGACCTGTGGAAACGCTTCAGATTGGAAAAATCGGACATCGACAATTTCTGGCGCCAACTATACACTGATTCCAAATCGAGCACCAGCCAGCCATCTACGCCTGTTGCTGCGACTACGCCTCGCACGCCTAACCACTAGACTCACATTGCCAATACGTCAGTTCAATTCAATTTCAACGGAAACCCGAATGCTCAATGGATTAGCAGGTATCCTGCTCCCTACGAGTGATTGTTTCGTTCTTTTTTAACACACTTTATGACTGCGTGCTTGCATCTCATCTTGAGCTCTCTGGAATTTCAAACTCGAGACTCGAGACCAGGAGATAAATCACACACCACATTTACAAAACGGGGATATTCTGGGATTTATGCTCGATTTTCAACTTGCCTTCTTGCTTCGAATATACGATACCCTTTTTTATTGATTCTACGAAATTTATGAGCAGAAATGAATCATGATTCATTGATATGAAACCATTCATTCCGTCCAATTTCCATAAGAACAAAGGCAAAGTAATTGGTGAAGTATGAAAGTAACGTACGAACGTAAAAAAAAGGGCAAGCCCAGAAGTGTTACTAAACAAGAAGACAATCTTCCCCAACGCATGCGATATGAAATATCATTTACAGTTAGCCAACCGCTTTACTCCTATACTCCTGAAAACTTGAAGCATCAGAGCCATCCGCCTCATCCCGCGGTTTCTTCTTATCATGTTCCTTCTTGGTCTTCTCCTCCCAAATACTCTCCTCGGCAGAAATCATAGCATGGAAACGACCGCCCTGCCCACGAGCGAGATAGATAGGTTTCTCTTTCCGCTCTGCCACAGCCTCGGTAACAAGAACAAATTTCACGCTCGACCCCGGTGATTCGAACATCGCGTCACTGAGAATCGTTTCCATTTCTGTGCGCAGTGCTCTTGCGCCGGTCCCCATGGTGAATGCATTACCAGCGACTTTGTGCAAAGCCGGCGTTGTGAATCGCAGCTCAATGCCTGAGAGCGAGAAAAGGGTTGTGTATTGCGCGAGGAGAGAGTTGCGGGGCTCGGTTAGGATGCGCATGAGGAGAGGCTGGGAGAGAGTAGAGAGAGCCGCTGTTACGGGGATTCGGCCGATCAGCTCGGGTATAAAGCCGTAGCTTTGGAGGTCGGAGGGTGTTAGGAGGTCTAGAGCGTTGAAATAGGTTGGTTCGCCAGAACCAGCTGGCGATGCGGAACTGAAGAAGGGAAGATGTTTCTTGTATAGAGCTTCTTCTTCGGATCCGGGGAGGATTGGAACGGGTTGGTTGGGGGTGGCATTTGGTGATCCCGGAAAATCGTTTGTTGTCGAGGGTGTGCGGACGGGTTGGCCGAAGCCTATAGATCCACGAGATATGCGGTCCATGATTTGTTTGTGCAGGCCGACGAAGGCGCCGGAGAAGACGAATAGGATGTTGTCTGTGCGCACGTTGTACACTTCGCCTTTTGCGGCTGGGTTGGGGTTGTGTGATTGGAAGGACCCGTTGCCTAGTGGGCTGTTTGACGGAAAGCTGTTCGGAGGGCTGGTTGCGCGGGGGTTTTTCTCTGGCTTGGCTTGGACTTGCACGGTTGTGCCTTCGATGATCTTGAGAAGTGCCTGCTGCACTCCTTCGCCGCCGACATCCTTGCCATGGCTGACTTTCGCAGCCGCGAGCTTGTCCACCTCGTCAAGAACAATAATTCCACGCTCCGCTTGTTCCACGTTGTAGTCTGCAGCTGCCAAAAGTCGGTGGACACACTGCTCAGCGTCTTCTCCAATATAACCAGCCTGTGTAAACACAGTGCAGTCGGAGATACTGAAAGGAACTGAAAGGACTCGAGCAAGTGTCTTTGCCATGAGCGTTTTTCCTACACCAGACGGACCAAGCAACAGAATATTGGACTTTTCCAGTTGTAACGGTGACGTATCGGCGAGCTCTGGTTGCCCCGAGGCATTTGTGCGGAATTTGGGAGTTTGCGGTATAGCGGCAGTCTTCTGGGGACTTGGGAAGTCATCTGTCGCATTTAGCATATTAACAAATGACCGACGTCATCGCAGGATGCACAAATACCATACCGTCTAAGGAATGAGTTTCGAGTGCTTCCCTTCGCTGGCGCTTAATATTAGCTTCGGTCACCTCATCTTCGCGGCGCACGACCTCCTGCACGCGCTGATAATGGTTGTAAACAGCTACGCTGAGCACTTTCTTCGCGCGATCTTGGCCGACGACATATTGATCCAGGTACTGCTTTAGCACCTTGGGTGTAATGCGCGGGGCTCCAAAGGCTGGTGTAGATGCCAGTGGCCCGGCAGTGGGGAGTCCAGCCTCATAGCTGCCGCTAAAAGGCTGACTGGTAAAGTCGGACCGGTTGAATTGTGACCATGTCGGAAATGTAGTTGAGCTGGACAGTTGGCGTGTCAACCTGGGCGACTGGGGAAGCCGACATCGGATAGCCCCATGATGGGCCACTGCGGCCGGCAGTCGACGTAAGGGTCGCCACAGCATTGCCCCAGAGATCGCAAAAATATCAGATAGACGTAGCTAAGAACAAAATATGAAGTACGAAGTAGAAGTAGCAATCCAAAGAGGAGTAATGATCAGATACCGGATAGCTTTCCCCGCAGGTGATCTTATCTGATGAGTAATTGGGCCGAATGCCGACATGCTGGTCAACTGGCGAACTGATGAACTGATGTCGGTGAATAAGTCAGGTCAATTGCCCTTCACCGCATCGTGTCCATGAATCGAAGCTTATCGAATGGGGATTATCTCTGTCTACGTACGTTGCAATGCATTTCTGCAGATCACAGACCCTTTTCAAAGCCCGTAGTATAAGCCAATTGGTCCAATCCCCGAACTATTGTGATTGTTCTCCATAATATGCACCTCTACGGAGTCGCATTAAGAAGAAATCCTACCCAAATATGGGAAACTATTGAATCACCCACCTGAGCCATGTTCCACGCAAAGCGAAAATAAAATTAACAAATTTCATAACATAAAGCAAGGGGTAATCCCTTTCTGCGTGGCCAATATTACATCGTAGCTCTCAATCCTTTATCAGCAATCCTACGCGGCATGGTAGGTCTATCTTTGATATCGCTATTCGCAAGCATTGCCCTCGCAGCACCCGAGAAAAGCCACTGCCGATGCCGACCACACGAAGCCTGCTGGCCAACCAATGAACAATGGTCTAGCCTCAACAGCACCATCCAAGGGAATCTAGTAGCAACACGACCCGTCGCCTCAGTCTGCCACGAAGCCGAGTTCGACGAAGCAGCCTGCAAAACCGTCAAAGAGCGATGGACCGATTCATACTGGCGAGCTGCACAGCCCGGCGCTGTGCAATGGGAGAACTGGGAGGCTTGGCCTGAGCATCATCAAAGCTGTTATATCGAATCGGACGAGAGCACGACATGTGGACAGGGTCGGATCTCGTTGTATTCTGCGAAGGTACAGACTGCTTCGCATATTCAGAAAGCTGTGGATTTTGCTCGGACATATGACCTTCGTCTTGCGATTCGGAACTCTGGCCATGATTACATGGGCCGCTCGACGGCGCCGGAGTCTTTGCAGATTTTTACAAATGGGATGAAAGATATTACATTCGTTGATAATTTCGTGCCGGCTGGTGCGCCTGGCGGAAAGGGCGAGGGCCATGCAGTTACCATGGCCGCTGGTGTTCACTTATCTGAACTTTATAAGGCTGCTGGGGAGAAGAAAAGGACTGTACAGGCAGGTGCGTCGCATACTGTTGGTGCTGCGGGAGGGTATATTCAAGCCGGGGGGCATTCGCCTTTCGGTGCTCGGGGAGGGCTGGCGTCTGATAATGCGCTTGAGTTTCAGGTTGTGACAGCAGATGTAAGTGAGTTGCACAAACGAAGGCTGACACACGGCTAACTTAATGACAATCCAGGGCAAACTTGTTGTTGCTAATGGATACCAGAACAGTGACCTGTTCTGGGCCTTAAGAGGCGGCGGCGGCGGAACCTTCGGTGTTGTGGTCAATGTGACTGTTCGAACACTCCCAGAGGTCCCAGTGGTAGTCGTCAATATGAATATCACGACGGCTGTCGGCGATTTCCAGTTCTGGAATGCAGTGAGTGAATACCATGGAGAGCTGCCGGGACTGAACGACGCTGGTGGCTCCGGCTATTATTTTGGATACCCAATTCTGCCAGTCAATGCTACAGCAGAAGTCTCCGCCATGACCTCCCTTCTTTTCTTCCCAGAGCACTCGAACACAACCGCCATCGACAAGCTCTTTGCACCTTTGCACAGAAAATTGCAGAAGCTCCCTGGTGTAAAGCTCGAGTACACTTCGGTGCCTATGCCATCCGTAAGCTCAATTCTTCAAAACAAATGGGGAGGATCAGGAGGCGACTCGACAGGTAGCGTCGGCATACCCATGTCCCGTCTCTATTCCAAGGAGCTGTTGACATCTAAAGACGGACCGAGTCGACTAGTCAAAGCATGGAGTGCCCTCAACTATAAATCCGGTGACTCATTCCGCGGCCATGTAGTGGCAGGAGGAGCTGTCGCAGCCAACGGAGAAAAAGTCGACAGCGCCGTCAACCCGGCATGGAGAAAGACCGTTACGCACTTGGTGATTGCGAGAGGCTGGCCCGCCAATGCCACCATTGAGCACCAGCATGCCGTTATCAGGAACGCGACGGATATCGAAATTCCACTAATTCGCTCGGTGGAGGGCGAGCATAAGATGGGTGCCTATGGCAATGAGGCGCATCCATATGAGCCAGGTTTTCAACGGTCGTTCTGGGGAGACAATTATCCTCGTTTGTATAAAATCAAGCAGAAGTGGGACCCCAAGGGACTGTTCATTGCTCGGAGAGCGGTGGGTAGTGAGGACTGGGATGATGCGGGGTTGTGTTTGAAATGAGTGGTGGGAAAATTATGGATAAATAGCCACCGGTATATGACCCTACAATGGGACCGGTTTGTAATATAAGGCAGTTGCAGGTCTTTTAACTATTTCGGTTTGAATGGGTGTTTGATTATTGATGTGTCAAAAGATGCTTTTGTTTTCCGAGGCTTGATCCAGTCAAAGCCTTGCCGGGTATATATTTTGTGATCTTCCACTCGAGATGCTTGTGAGTTGTGTTTTCATAGATTGCAATCGCTTGAATGGCATGCGCTTATATCCGGCTTTTGAAGCCAGGGATTCTCATGCAAGTTTTTCGAAATCGTTGGCCGTAATCGGTTTGCGAGCTACGTCCGTGTGGAAGTCATCGCTGTGGCCATATCGCAGGCTCGGTCATTGTTAGGTTGTGTCGTTTGATTATGAAGATGGTTACATTCATTTGTTTTCCTTGAACACAGGCTGTTGTTCCATCGTTTGGGAGATGAAGTTACGAAGCGCAGACCACCGACTAGCCGTCGCATTCGACTCGGTATTTGTCTCGCCACTAGTGGCAGCAGGAGCCGTGATGTTGGACATTTCAGTCAAATTTTTGTTGAATCGGTCCCGTTCCATTTTCTCCAACTTTTCCCGGCGCTTCAACGCACCAGGCTTGTGTCGCAGTGTCTTTTGCTTGATCACGTTCGCTTGACTGGCGGCATCATTTTCTTCGGCGGCCTCGGGGAGAGCATCGGCTAGGGATTCGAGGTTGGCGACGAGTTTCTTTGACGCACGTCGACGCTTGGGTGTCTTTTGGGTGTTTTTCTCAATTTTTGACACGAGGGCAGCATGCTTGATCTGACGCTTGTCCCTCTTGGTCGTACGGAAATCGTCACCGAAAACATTTGGTTTGGCTATCGCGCCTCTCCCGGAGGCAGTTTTCGCCATTGTGTTTTTTCGGATGGGCGCCTGGTATCAAAGAACGATAATTAACCGGCTGAAAGTGGAACAAGATAAGTAAAAAGAATGCATACCATAATAACATGTGAGATCTACAGCGGAGAACGAAATTGCTTCGGGAAAAGCGAAAGTCCCGAATTCTCAAAACATTCACCGCCTTCACCGCTTTCACCGCCCGGTTCCACTTCTCCCCACCATTTTGTCCAGGAACTCAACGCTGTTTGGTTGAAATATGTTGAACTAGAATCAACTAGTCTCAAGGCCAGACGAACGAAAACACTGTGACGTTATCCCGGAGCTGCGTGATTTAATCGATTTTCAAAAAGAAAGAAAGGGCCGTGACATCAGAAACAAATAATCCGGCTGAAAATTAGTTGGGTTCCCAGCACGAGACCTTTTATGGATAAACCTCTCAACTTACATCGGGTTTGCTTTCCTCACCTCTATAAGGCTCCCCAACCTCGGTCACTGTTCCGGTTCCATACATCCCATTTGATTAGCTCACCCCGATTGCCTCCGTCGGCTTCTCGTTTTACTCTTAAACCCGTCTCCCCCAGATCTCTTTCCCGCAGATCATTTGCCTCTTCACACATCATGGGTTCTCTCGGTCCTTATCAACAAAAGCACAAGATCACTGTGGTCGGCTCCGGTAACTGGTAAGGGCTATTTATTCCAACTGACTTGAGTGCGCGCTAACGGGCCGCGTTTCAACAGGGGCTGCGCCATTGCTAAGATCGTTGCCGAAAATGCGGCAGCCAATTCCGACCTCTTTGAGAAGCAGGTAGAGATGTGGGTGTTCGAGGAGAATGTCGAGATTCCTAAGACATCAAAGAACTACGACGCTTCAAATGCTGGCCCTCGAAAATTGACTGAGGTGATTAACACTGTCCACGAGAACACCAAGTACCTCCCAGGAATTCAGTTGCCGGTCAACCTACACGCCAACCCGTCCCTGGAGGATGCGGTCAAGGACAGCACACTTCTCATTTTCAACCTTCCCCACCAGTTCATTATTAAGACCTGCGAGCAAATCAAGGGCAAGATTCTTCCTTACGCTCGCGGTATCTCCTGCATCAAGGGTGTTGATGTCAATGCCGACGGTATTCACCTCTTCTCCGAGACCATCGGTCGAATCCTCGGTATCTATTGTGGTGCTCTTTCCGGTGCCAACATCGCCAACGAGGTCGCTCTCGAGAAGTGGTCTGAGACCAGCGTCGCCTACGACCCTCCACACATGGACTCCAAGGCGCCCACTCCTCAGCGCTCACCCTCTGCTTCCCAGACCAACCTGGTCGAGTTCCAGCACAAGGACACTTCCGGTCAAATCTCAGAGGTCAAGCTCCAGGCCCTGCCCTCTTCCTACCCTCCCGTTGACCACGCTGTGCTGAAGTCCGTCTTCCACCGCCCCTACTTCCACGTGCGTGTCGTTAGCGATGTTGCCGGTGTCTCCATTAGTGGCGCGCTCAAGAACGTCGTTGCTCTGGCTGCCGGTTGGGTCGTCGGCATGGGCTGGGGTGACAATGCCAAGGCTGCCATTATGCGTGTTGGCCTTATGGAGATGGTCAAGTTCGGAGATACCTTCTTCAGTGCTACCATCGATACCCGCACTTTCACCGACGAGAGTGCCGGTGTTGCCGACTTGATCACCTCTTCCAGCGGTGGTCGTAACTTCCGCTGTGCCATGCACAGCGTTGAGCGCAACCTTCCCATCGAGGAGATTGAGAAGCAAGAGCTCAACGGCCAGAAGCTGCAGGGTACCCTGACTGCCTACGAGGTCAACAGCTTCTTGAAGAACCAGGGCATGGAGGACGAGTTCCCTCTGTTCACTGCTGTTTACCGTAAGTTTCTATTTTACATCTTTTCTCTTTTCAAATCTAAACTAAAGTTGCACAGGTATCTTGGAGGGAACTATGAAGGTCGAGGAGATTCCTCAATACATTGAGCGGTAAAAAGTCCCTGCAACCTTTCATTCATTGTTTGTGTTGCTTATTAGACAAATTGTTTTTCTCCTTACAGCCCCCCTCAGGCCCGCACTTCACCTACTGCATCTCAAAGTTCTGGAAATGACGGCGCTCGGTTCACTGCTGCACGATTATGATTTGGGCTGGGATGGTATCAGACATGGCTTGTATAGACTTTCATGACCTACCTGTATTTATGGATTGCATGTACTGCATTTTTAGACATTTGATATTGTGATTATTTATTTATTTATTTTCTATATCATCATGTGTAAACCTTCGTCCTAGCAATTCAGAACAACAAAATATGCTCCGTAGAAAAACAAAGATGATTAGCAGGGGACCAAACATGACTTTTTGCGGGAACACAACCTTGGAAGTGACCATATCGACCTCTCAAACCGTGGTTCGGTTTCATCCCTTTTTCTCTATATTGTATTTTATTCTGTCTTCTTCTCTATGTTTGCCACTGATGAGTATCTTGTTATAAATAGAATATCCTCCGTGAAAATCGGAGTGGAAAAACCTAGGTCATTGCTACAATTCCGATTTAGGCTTGGATGTGGGTAAATATAGATCTCTCATGACAGCTCTGCTGTTTATCAACCGATTTTTTTAGCAAAGTCTACCCACATATTTAAACGATACCTTCTATCCTTGAGCTTCTAAATCTGTATATTTGTACAAGTTTACTATATTTACCCTACATATCAACCTAATCTAGGTACAAAGTACAAGGAACAAAAATACCAAGGCATATGCATGATGTCATTTGTCCCGCGGTCTGGGCTTTCTCCAGGAACGAGATGAGGGGAACGCTGGGTCCTCTCTGGCCCAACTTTTCTTCCCTGATTTTTTTTCCATTTCTCTTCTTCAAATAATTTCTAAAACTTTCAATTCCATTCACTATTGCTGTGAAAGTAAGGTGAATCGTTCCAGATTCTCCTGTACTCTCACGTACCATTGATCTAGATCCTTCCGGGAATCATTGTCGATCAGTCGCAATGAGCTCCTCTCGCCAGGTTTACCTGCTTCCATTGAAGGATGACGGAGCTCCTGATGTTCCCGGGGGCTTCATTTACCTCGCTCCTCCGCCCAAGGGTGGATATGTTCTCCGGTTCATCATCGAGGGAACGAGCTCCATCTGCCGCCAGGGTAGCCTCTGGGTGAATATCCCTGAAGAGGGCAAGCCTTTTGAGCGCCATGCATTCCGGGAATTCAAGTAGGTCCTCCAGCTCTTTGTGTCTGTAACGAGATGCGCGAATACTAAGCAAATGTAGGTTGCGGCCCAATTTCAACGAGAACATTCAGATTGACATCCCTGTGTTATTTGCGGGATCGTTCGCTTTCTATACAACGTTCTCTCCCCTGCCGGAGTTCTCGGTGGAGGATGTGCCTACCCCGGAGCCTACCCAGACACCTGTACACTACATCGATGTGTCGCCGAGACTCACGCTGCAAGGAAAGGACTTACCGCTCAATGCGCTATCTGTCTTCTCGGTCATCTCTAAGTTTATGGGTCAATACCCCACAGACTGGAATAAACACCTTCGTGGCATCAGTCAGCGGAACTACAACATGGTTCACTTTACCCCTCTGATGCAGCGTGGCGCGTCGAACTCCCCATACAGTATTTATGATCAATTGGCATTCGACAGCGCCTTCTTCCCCAATGGAGAGGATGATGTCACTTCTTTGGTCGCGAGGATGGAGAAGGAATATGGCCTTCTCACTTTGACTGATGTGGTCTGGAACCACACAGCTAACAACAGCAAGTGGCTGGAAGAGCACCCCGAGTCTGGTTACAGTGTGGAGACTGCTCCCTGGCTGGAAGCAGCTCTCGAGCTGGACACTGCGCTTTTGGAATTCGGTGAAGGCCTTGAAGATCAAGGTCTCCCAACAGAGTTCAAAACCGAGGCCGACTTGGTGACTGTTATGAACGCAGCACGCAAGCAAGTTATCGATGGAATTCGTCTTTGGGAATTTTACGTCCTCGATGTAAAGAGCGACGTCAAGAAGATCCTAGACGCATGGATCAATGAAGACGTTGATCCCGAGCTCATTAGGCGGGATGATATGCAACAGTTCAAGGGATGGTCACTTGCCCAGCAGGCCAACATTGTTCATGAGCTTGGTATTCCATCCGCCAAGCAAGTCCTTGGACGCTTTGGCCGAGCTGTAGATCCCAAATTTGGTGCTGTTGCCTTGAATATCATCTTCGGTGCTTACAACCAAGACAAAACCAACCTAACCGAGGCCGAGGAGTTCTTGACCAAGCTACTTGATGAAGCCAATCTGTCCTTCTACAGTGAACACAATGCTGACGTTAATGCAATCATGGATCAATTATTCAACCGCATCAAGTATCTCAGAATTGAAGAGCACGGTCCTAAAATGGGCGCTGTTACAAAGGAGAACCCTTTGATCGAAACTTACTTCACCCGCCTTCCTCTGAACGAAATTACAAAGAAGCACGACCCCAAGGCCTTGGCTTTGGTTAATAATGGCTGGATCTGGAACGCCGATGCTATGCGTGACAATGCCGGCCCCGATTCAAAGGCCTACCTGCGCCGCGAAGTGATCGTTTGGGGTGACTGTGTCAAACTGCGATACGGATCTTCGCCCGAGGACAGTCCTTTCCTCTGGGACTTCATGACCCGTTATACTCGCCTCATGGCCAAGTACTTCAATGGATTCAGAATCGACAATTGCCATTCAACACCCCTGGTTGTAGCAGAATACTTGCTGGATGAAGCCCGAAAAGTCAGACCTGATCTGACTGTGTTTGCCGAGCTGTTTACTGGCTCTGAGGAGGCCGACTATATCTTCGTCAAGCGCTTGGGTATCAATGCCCTCATTCGCGAAGCCATGCAGGCGTGGAGCACGGAGGAGCTCAGTCGTCTTGTTCACCGTCATGGTGGCCAGCCAATCGGTAGCTTTGAGATGGACCTGCCTTCCGCTGGTAGCAGCCATGCTATTGCATCTGCTAGATCTGGCAAGAGCGATGAGAAAATCACTCATATTCGCCCATGCCCGGTTCCTGCGCTCTTCATGGACTGTACCCACGATAATGAAGTGCCTGCGCAGAAGCGCGATGCCCGAGACACCCTTCCTAACGCTGCCCTTGTGGCCATGTGCGCATCAGCTACGGGTAGTGTGATGGGTTACGATGAGGTATATCCCAAGCTCATCGATCTCGTACACGAAACCCGCCAATATGCTTCTCAGTTCTCAGACTCTGAAACACTGGCTGTTGGGTCTTGCGAAGGCGGCATCGGTGGTGTTAAGAAGCTTCTCAACCAGCTCCACACCATGATGGGAGTTGAAGGATACGATGAAACTCATATTCATCACGATGGTGAATACATCACTGTGCACAGGGTCCATCCCAAGACCAGGAAGGGTATCTTTTTGGTCGCACACACTGCTTTCCCAGGAAACGAGAGCGGTGCTATTTTGGATGCCACCCACATCGCGGGTACCAATGCCAAGCACATTGGATCCTGGCAGCTCGAGGTTGAGGCTGACGATGACACAAAGGCCAAGATCCTGGGCGATGATAAGTACTTGAAAGGTCTTCCCAGCCGCACCCGCGATATTGATAGCACCAAGGTTGAGCAAACCGATAAGGAAGTCATCATTTCTGTTCTTGACACTCTTGTCCCTGGATCCATTGCTCTCTTTGAGACCTGGATCCCCGGCGCCGACCACGCAAATGGCTTCGAGAACAACCTCGCCAATGGCGCGGACGAGGCTTTTGCCGAGCTCAGCTTGGTTGATCTCAACTTTGTGCTTTACCGCTGTGAAGCCGAGGAGAGAGACGCCAGCGATGGTCAGGATGGCATCTACACCATTCCCAAGCTGGGACCCATGGTCTACGCTGGCCTTCAGGGCTGGTGGAGTGTCCTTGAGGATGTCATCAAGTACAATCAGCTCGGCCATCCCCTCTGCGATCACCTGCGTGAGGGACAATGGGCTTTGGACTACATCATTGGGCGCATGGAGAAGGCGGCAGCTAACGAAAGCTACGTGAAGTTGAAAAAGCCTGCCGCATGGCTGCGAGAGAAGTTCGACGCCGTTCGCAATCTGCCCAACTTCCTTTTCCCGAGATACTTCGCAATCATCGTGCAGGTCGCATACAATGCTGCTTGGAAGAGAGGAATTCATCTGCTCGGAGATAATGTGCGCCACGGCCAGGAGTTCATTCACCAGCTGGCTATGGTCAGTGTTCAATTGTGTGGCTACGTGAAGTCTGCTTCTTTGTGGCCTACCAAGATGGTTCCTAGTCTTGGGGCTGGACTGCCTCATTTCTCGGTTGATTGGTCCAGATGCTGGGGTCGGGATGTTTTTATCTCTATCCGTGGTCTTTTCCTTTGCACACAGCGTTTCGACGATGCCAAGGAACATATTATTGCCTTTGCTAGTGTGCTGAAGCATGGTATGATCCCGAACTTGCTGAGCAGCGGTAAGCTGCCAAGATACAATTCTCGCGACTCCGTCTGGTTCTTCATGCAAACTATCCAGGACTTTGTTGAAATGGCGCCCAACGGCATCGAAATTTTGCAAGAGAAGGTCCCCAGAAGATTCTTGCCCTATGACGATACTTGGTTCCCCTTCGACGATCCTCGCGCCTACTCCGAGTCTCCTACTCTCCTCGAATGTGTCCAGGAAGTGTTCCAAAGACATGCTTCTGGCCTGTCATTCAGAGAATACAACGCTGGTCCTGACCTTGATTGCCAAATGAAGGACGGAGGTTTCCAGATCGATGTCAAGGTCGACTGGGAAACCGGTCTCATTTTCGGCGGTAACCAGGATAACTGCGGTACCTGGCAAGACAAGATGGGAGAGAGCGCCAAGGCTGGAAATAAGGGTGTTCCCGGAACTCCGCGCGACGGTGCCGCTATCGAGATTACCGGTCTCGCTTACAGCGCTTTAAAATGGGTAGCTCGTCTCCACGAATCCAAGGCATACCCCCATGAAGGCGTGGAAATTGGCGAAGGCAAGAAGATTACCTTCGCTGAGTGGGCCGGCAAGATCAAAGACAACTTCGAGCGTTGCTACTTCATCCCACTCGACCCCAGTGAAGATGGCCAGTACGACGTGGACGCGAAGATCATCAACCGCCGCGGCATCTACAAGGACTTGTACAAGTCCGGCAAGCCTTATGAAGACTACCAGTTGCGCTCCAATTTCCCCATCGCGATGACCGTCGCCCCAGAGCTCTTCACCCCCGCCAAGGCTCTGGTTGCTCTGTCAATTGCCGACTCTGCACTCGTGGGACCCGTCGGCATGGCAACACTCGACCCATCCGACCTTAACTACCGTCCCTACTATATCAACTCGGACGACTCGGATGACTTCGCAACCGCCAAGGGCCGCAACTACCACCAGGGTCCGGAGTGGGTCTGGCAACGCGGCTACTTCCTCCGTGCACTGCTGCATTTCGATCTCCTGCGTCGTAAGACGCCCGAAGAGCGCACTGAATGTTTCCAGCAGGTTACGAGACGTCTTGATGGTTGTAAGAAGGCTCTTAGGGAGAGTCCTTGGAAGGGCTTGACCGAGCTGTCTAACAAGAACGGAGAGCATTGCAATGACTCGGTATGTTTTTCTTGTTTTTCTTTTCCTTTCTGCTTGATATTAATGATATATAGTCGCCTACTCAGTGCTGGTCTGCGGGTTGTCTGCTTGACGTTTACTATGATGCTTCCAAGCATTCGTAGATTCTTTTGGGACATTTTGATATGATTAATTATTTTCACACATTGCATGAGAGACGAGATAACTACATAGATATAATGCATTAAGATTTTTGTTCAGCGTTGAAGCGTTTACACATGAGACATGGTTCCATAGCATCTTTGTGCTGCAGGGACGTACCTACTTTATGAGCCAAGTTTGTTAGGGTCCTGCGGCGGCTTAATCCATTGATCTATGAGATTTGCCCCCTTATTCTGCCCAATCATATGATCCAGGAAGTAAAGACTCTCCATCTTCTCCAAGGTGTATCTGAATCTCGATCGAAAACGTTTCAATATGGATCAACCTCAGGAGTTTCCTCTCGGCGTGGTCCTAGACAATGTTTCCCCGCGAGCGACTCCTCCACATTAGCCATTAAGTAATCTTGATTCATTTCCCAAAGTGCCTGGCCGAGAGACTATCCACCTAGACTCAATAGCATTATATGCCTAAGATATGCGACCACGTTGTGGCTGTGCGGATGATTTAAGTCGATGCTTCCACGATAGAGATCGACGTATATTCCTTATGATTAAGAGGGATGGAAGGAGAAGAGGAGAAAATATGCACAGTCTAAGGTCTAAGCTATTTTCTAATCAACTTATACCTTCGTACACTCTGTGAAAAGATTGATATTATGATGCGACCTAGTTGCTGAAATGCTGTTTTGCCCCTCTCTGTTGAGAAATAGGTTTTACAAATTCAACCGCCAAATGATAATGGGATCGAGCATGACCTTTCCTGTTATCCGAAGGTTTGAGGCTTTGATCTATTATATGGTGCACAGGAGCGGGCCAAAAACACCAGCGAAACTCAAACCAGATGATGCTTTACACGGATCATGCGTCAGTGTTCGCACGTCGGCTCGTAACACCCAGTGAGATATGCTCTTCTCATACCTTGTATAAGAAAACCCCTAACAGAAGGAAGAGAAGGCACCATATAATGCTTCTCCACAGGATACGTGTGATCATGATGCTTCTCCAAGGAATATGTGCGACCAGGGCCTTATCCATGTTACAAGGTCGGACAAATTCCGCCATTAATAACAAGGCATCTTGATATTTACCAGATGACATCCATATAAGGGTAAGATTACCCATGGCAATTAAAGTGTCGAGATTCTTTGGTCCGAGCACCTGCTTGCGGGTCTTAGCCACCTGCACCTGTAGTTCTTCCGCTTCCTTCAATCGTCCCTGTTTCCAGTGGACCATTGCTAGCCTCTCCATGGAAGATAGAGTGTCGGGATGCTCTGGCCCTAGCCGCTGCTTGCGGATCTGCATCACCTGCGCCTCGAGCTCTTCGGCTTCCTTCCATCGCCCCTGATATTTGTAGGTAATTGCTAGGTTGCTCATGCTGGTCAGAGTGTCGGGATGCTCTGACCCTAGCACCCGCTTGCGGATCTGCATCACCTGCACCTCGAGCTCTTCCGCTTCTTTCCATCGTCCCTGTCCCTGACGCAGGTAGGTTGCTAGGTGGCTTATGCTGGTCAGAGTGTCAGGATGCTCTGGCCCTAGTACCCGCTTGCGGATCTGCATCACCGGCGCCTCGAGCTCTTCGGCTTCCTTCCATCGTCCCCGATTCCAGTAGGTCGATGCTAGGTTGCTTATACTGGTCAAAGTGTCAGGATGCTCTGGCCCTAGCACCTGCTTGCTGATATGCACCACCTGTATCTCGAGATCTTCGGCTTCCTTCCATCGTCCCTGATTCCAGTAGGTCGATGCTAGGTTGCCTATGCTAGCCAGAGTGTCAGGATGCTCTGACCCTAGCACCTGCTCACGGATCTGCATCACCTGCATCTCGAGCTCTCCCGCCTCTTTCCATCGTCCCTGTCCCTGACGCCGGTAGGTCGCTAGGTTGCTTATGCTGGTCAGAGTGTCAGGATGCTCTGACCCTAGCACCCGCTTGCGGATCTGCATCACCTGCATCTCGAGCTCTTCGGCTTCCTTCCATCGTCCCTGGTTCCAGTAGGTCGATGCTAGGTTGCCTATGCTGGCCAGAGTGTTAGGATGCTCTGGCCCTAAGACCTTCTTGCTGATCTGCACCACCTGCACCTCGAGCTCTTCGGCTTCCTTCCATCGTCCCTGACGCTGGTAGCTCGATGCTAGGTTGCCTATACTGGTCAGAGTGTCAGGATGCTCTGGACCTAGCACCTTCTTACTGATCTGTACCACCTGCACCTCAAGATCTTCGGCTTCCTTCCATCGTCCCTGTTTCCAGTAGGTCGATGCTAGGTGGCTTATACTAGTCAGAGTGATAGGATTCTCTGGCCCCAGCACCTGCTTACGGATCTGTATCACCTGCACCTCGAGCTCTTCGGCTTCTTTCAGTCGTCCCTGACTCCAGTAGGTCGATGCTAGGTTGCTTATACTAGTCAGAGTGTCAGGATGCTCTGACCCTAGCACCCGCTTGCGGACCTGCATCACCTGCATCTCGAGCTCTTCGGCTTCCTTCAATCGTCCCTGGCGCCGGTAGGCTGATGCCAGGTTGCTTATGCTAGTCAGAGTGTCAGGATGCTCTGGCCCTAGCATCTGCTCACGGATCTGCATCACCTGCGACCAGAGATTGTCGGCTTCCTTCCATCGCCCTTGATATTGGTAGGTGGATGCCAGGTTGCTTATGCTGGTCAGAGTGTCGAGATGTTCTGGCCCTAGCACTTGCTCGCGGATCTGCATCACCTGCACCTCGAGCTCTTCGGCTTCCTTCCATCGTCCCTGATTCCGATAGGTTGATGCTACAATGGCCTTGCAAACCAGAGTGTTAGGATTTTCTGGTCCTAGCCGCGTGATGATCTCCATTAACTGTGACCTGAGATTTTCGGTTTTATCCCATTGTCCCCAGTTTGAGTATGTTGTAGCTAGGTTGATAATGCTGTCCATAGTAGAGGGATTCAGTCGTCCTAGAACTCGCTTCCGGGTCTCCATGACTTGTGCGTGGAGCCTTTCCGCCTCAATCCATTGGCCTCTAAGCCCATGTGACAACGCTACTGTTTCAATACTATCCAGCGTCTCATGGTCCTCTGAACCAAACATTTTCGTTCTTGTCTTCATAGCCATTGTGGCCATCTTTTCGCTTTCGACGAGGTTGTTCCTTTTGAGCGCATACCGCGATGCTTTATGCAATAGCTCAGCCCACTTCTGCAATGGTCTATCTTCATTTTTCGGCCGGTGTATGACAGCAGATTGTACATGGGAGAAGTACAATTCGCACACTGACCAATTCTCGTATTTTTCCGTTGGGAACTTGCTGGAAAGTATTTCAATAAAATGCGTTTTCCATTTCTCAAGTTGCTCGTGGGCTTCAAGCCAATTTCGCGTCGCTAATTGTACCAGGCGATGCATTCCAAAGGTCGTGTTATCCACGCCGACCGATATGAACGAGTAGTTTCTAAGTGTCAATATATCGTTTTCAAAATCATCGTCCACGCTAAGTTCAATCGCGCTGTCCCGTTTTTTATTGAATTTGCCATTCACGGTTTCTGTCGTGGGATTTCCATGGTCATCTCCACGATCTGTGCTAGATCGTAGCAAAGATTCAGGAATGCCTTGTCGGTCAAAAAAGCTCATATGCGATATGAGGTCAGCAGCTGACGGCCTCGTTCGCTGGATATGATCGAATGAAATTTGCCAAGTTACAAGAATGGCGTTTTTCGCTTGCCAATCCCGGTTCAGGTATTCCTTGTCATATTCCAGAAGATTTGTTTTCTTGTAGTCGCTCTCCTGGAATTCTTTGAGATACTGCAGCACGGACATGCGTGGCCCCCTTTCCCTAATATAGGCCGCTGCTTGTGCAATCGCAAGTGGCATTGATTCGAGTACGTTGACAAGTTGCAATATTTCCTCCTCTGCCTGCGCTCCTAGCTTCTTTTCGAGGAGCATCGTTGCGTCTGACAGGTCCATCGGTTCTATCGCAATTGTATTATCATGTTTCACGATTCTGCAAACTGCGTCTCTGGTTCGGGATGTAATAACGACTGATCCGTTGCAGGTTATCGGGAAGTATGTCAAGAGTGGCCGCCCTGGCGTCATGCCATTCTGACCACTCTCTCCTGAGCCCTGGCCAACCGCCGGAACATCCCGTAGGAAACGACTATCATCCACATTATCTAGAATGATTACCCATTTCCCCGTTTTCTCATCTTTAAGCCAGTTGTGAATGAGTTGGAGAATATTTGCTTTGGGATGATTCCGCCCAGGGATTTTGACTATGTCGGCAATCTCCCCGCAACTCTGCAAGAAACGTGCGGCACTGCCTGCGTGGATCCATAAGACCCATGTCTTCGGCGATTGGTCTCGGATTCGGTAACAGTATTCAATCGCAAGTTGGGATTTCCTTTTTGGTCATTAATAAAGAACAATATACTGGCCATCTCCACTTACCCGACACCACCGATACCAACCAACGCTATCCGAGCGCATGGTGCAGAGGCTTTTTCATGTATCCGATCGAGCAGCGTTCCACGCTCAACGAAGTCTGCATCGCGAGGGAAGGGGATGTGCAATAGAGGGGCTGGTGGAGTTTCCGGTAGCTCTAAGGTTTCCACGGTTAATGCGACGGTTAATTTTCAATTTTCTTTCCAACAACCTACCAGGATATTGGTTGTAGTAAGTATCACCGTGATGTACGTGGTGGATACTGTTATCCGCATAGCCTGCGAACGATTTACCACCTGATTCTGCGCTTACATCAGAAATATTTTGGATAATGGTAACTCCTGGCGTGGATATCGTATTCTGATAGCCAGACATAGTAAATCCAAAAAGGCTGAGATGAACAAGTTGTACTCTTCCAGAAAAAGCGAAGGTACGAATGTGTAGCTGAGGTGGCTATTTACCAAGGGATTGTGAATATGCAGGAGCCTCAGCGACATTCTCAAGCGCTGCCTTGCGTCTTCCCTCGCCTCGGCTCAAGCCGATATATCTATATTAGCTGTCCTATTATTAGCTCTTGTGCCAAGAAATATTTCGCGGCGTAACGCGCGCTCTACAAATTAGTGCATGTCGTGTTTCGTTATCACATTAGCTGCATTAGCTGCATTAGCTTGAACGGGTTGCCTTCCAATTGGACGTCAATAAATTGGGGGCTAGTTTGATGCTATTAGGAGTGCTTTGCCCGGGTGAGGTAGGATTAATATCAGGTCGATCGAGTAAGCCCACTGCACATATTTGTAAATCAAGTTGCTGACAGGACAGGGCTTTTCGGCTACTAGCAGCCACAAGCGGAACTCAAATCTAGTTAGCATTAGATGCTAGTGCCCTGCATCCAGTATAATATCTGGCCAGTTTTCTTCTCTTTCACGAAACAACCCAGTTTCTGTTCAGAAACGTCTGACGAGAACCGAACTCCATATACGAAAAACCAAGCGCCCGAACCTTGCGTTCTTATTTATACCAAAAGTTTTGCGGCTTTGCAGTGCTATACATACTGTACAAATGGCATCACTTGATGCAGTTGCTGGTGCTGTGGGCATTGCTGATACGGTCGCTCGCAGTATCCACCACCTGATCCAGATTATCAATGCTATCAAAAATGCACCGATCGAGATAGCTGATCTCAATGATGAGCTAATGGCCACGGAGCAAGTTCTGTTGGTTTTGGAGAAAGCAAATGAACACCTCCCTCCCACTTCAAGGGATATGTTGCAGAGAACCAATACGCTGTGCCAAAATGCCTGCGATAAGTTTCGGGTCAAGCTGGTGAGCTGGACCAAGAATTCGGATGATGGTGCTGCATTGCACTGGCGAGATCGTGTAGGATACGGCGTGATCGGTCGAAGTTCCGTTAAGAGTTTGCGTGAACAGCTCGAACGCTCTAAACAAAACGTTAATTTAGCAGTCGGCATCGCAACTTTGTAGGTGTTTTCATATACGCCTAAACATGATTGATGAGCAAGATAGGCTAACAACTTCGAAAAGGATGTCAAATGTAGCCCCGGGCTCCACTACTGACGCGATGCGAAGAGACTTCCAAGTCAGAGAAACTGAAATTGCCCAACAAATAGTCAGCATCAAGGAGCAAAGCGCGGCGGTGCAGAGGGATCAATATGACTCTGCACAAGCATCCTTTTCAGACAGCCAGGAGCGCACTCTACTGCTCGAGCAACTCAAGTATCAACGTGCGACTCTGGATGCCTCTCAGGGACTCATGGAAGATCTGCTGAGGCAGGCTCAGCAGGCTCGCTCAGCACAAAACATCACTGACGTTGAAATGAGCGAAAACGGGAAGGTGCTCGTTGGACGTATAGGTTTCGAGGATAGCGAAGGAGAAGTTTATCAGCGGATTCACAATGTTAAAGCCACAACTGGTGGCAAGGGAATCGTGGGTGTGGCCAAAGGATTCGATATCAATGCGTTTTTCAAAGACTAGATACGGTACATTTGGCTTCAAAGCATACTATCTTCATCCCAGTATTCTTGGAAGGAAACAAAGAGGCGGGATTCGCTGAATTGAAGGGAGAAACGCCACAAGTCTCAGCTTGTGTATTCATGTATCTCTGAGATCTCTCTTTCCCCCCCTCTTTCTGTAATACGATGGCTACATCAAGCTGGTTTATGCAAACAAATAGTGCTCGAAGAAACAATCCGTATGTACCGCATGAGTGCCTATCAAATTTCCTTTAATATAAATGAGTAAATTGTGGATCTGTATTGCGCCCGATGTTCCGTAACATACGCGAAAACTGTTCAAAGCAAGGAGCAGCTTCAGCCTAGCTGGATTTAGCCGATTTAAACCATTTTTTGGCGGTGAGACTGGAAATAGTCTCTCTACGTAAATTATGGAAGCCAAATTCAAACATTGCTGTAGCATAGAAATCAGAAAAGGTAATTCTGGAGACATTCTGTGCGTGGGTGTTCGTGGTGGTGTTAAAGTCGATGTGGTTGGCTGCAATTACACGAGATCGGTTGGGAGATTGGGAGATTGACCACAGCAAGCGGGACGCCCTCGGGCGTAGCCGTCTTACCATGCATGACCAATGGGCTACCCAAGTGGACTACCCAAATGGGCTACCCGGTCATTGTAAGACGGCTATCTGTCTTGTCAAAAGGTTTACAATCCCATTCTACGAGCAGGCTGATCTATAATCTAGCCTAATCTGATCTAGGCCGTTTGACCATTATCTTGGCGGTGGGGCATGAGGTAATTGTCTGTGTAAACTACAGGACGACGGAGGAGACTAATTAGGCAGAAGATGGACATCGATTGGGGGCCAAGGAGATTCAGCCGTTGGGTCTTTAGAATTTCTCCGCCGTCGTTCAAGTCGTTACTGCTCCTATGCATACAACTACATCTGGATCCCCTCAGGAATATCATCTTGATTCTTAAGGTCAAGTTGTATTTTCTTCACTAAAACAAACAAAATTTGGTCGATTAAAGTCTGAGGAATTAGCTTTGAACTTAAAAAAACGCACTTGGCCGATGTTTAAACGAGCAGAGTTAGTCGGCTCTCAAAGCAACCTACCGCATCATTCATATTGATAAGACGTTTCTATATAAATCCGCCTCGGAATAAATAAAGGTTCGTAAACTGTACCAAAGCTACAAGCCATGATAAATTTAGGGCGTTATAATGGGATGTAGCGCTCTTTGTCGCATTCCAAATATAGCGCGACGACCCAGAATCAACAATGTCTAAGAAAATTTAGTGAGCTAGTTTCCTAATTACAGATAATTATACGAACACATTGAAACATCTCAATAAGAGGTCTGCAGTTAAAAATCATCTTAATAAGCAGCTTTCCATCCAAAGGATAAACACCAGCAACTCCTAAACCACCACTGAGCGACGTAACCTCAATCATGTTACGCAGAACGATATCACTCTTTGGTGATAGGGATGCATTCAATGTTTTGTATCCGACGCATTCCACACTGCGTCTCACTCGGCCAGAATCCGAGGACATAATTTGTTGCACTGGGTCTATTTCATTCAAGGTGATCGGTATAGCACTAATGGAGGCCGCGAAGGTAAGCTGCGCGGGAACATTGTCAACCGAGCACACGCGGGAAGTCCCACGAAGCATGATAGAGTAGGCAGAGAGTAGTTCAACAGGACCAGCCCCAAAAATAGCAAAAGTGTCACTAGGCTCGTAGTCTGCGTAGTTGAAGGCCTGCCATGCAGTTGGAAAGATATCAGACAAGAAAAATATTCTAGTATGGGATCAGAGGTATAGCTACTAAGAGCTAGAATCATATCGTTATCGGCGAATGACACGCGCCCATACTTAGCTATCCAGAATATATATATTAGCCACTAGGTTTCTGAGGTATGAAGCTGAATGTACCTTGACAGCAACCAAGTTGGGCAGTGTAGGTTTCCGATTCAAGCAGTAGGTGGCTGTCGTCTATGCGGTCTGGTATGACGCCGATATCACGAGCTGAAAAGTTGACACCAGAGCTGGTTTCGGAAATCACACCTATTGCTTAGTGGCCCACAAAGATAGGCTCCGAGGGACTAGGGGGACTCTGGTTCCGCGTTAAATATGGAGATCACTACCGCTGAGGGCAGAAGCTGTGACGCGAACAATGGCGTCGGTGGAGGTTTCGATGGTTAGAACTGGTACGTCTTCAACGGACATCTCAAATGGGATTCCGCTACTCAAGTAAATAGTACAGCACGCATGATCTGAACTAAGGACATTTTTGAGAAGTTTTTATGAGTTGGAGGAAATTTCTAAAGATCCGATGGAGAAATATGTCGGTGATCTTCGCGCTATCTACACTATAAGTTCTCATTCACTTGCGAGATGTAATACATTGTTTCCTGACAGCTCTCATGATAGTCGGTAGATATACCGTACAATGATTGGATTTCACATACGTACTCCAATGGCAACACGTCGATCGACTCGACACAGCTGTGGAGCCAAGAAACGCCGGTGGGGAATTTAACGACCCTAGGACTTTGGGTCAACTCTTGAGCCGTTTGGTTCCTAACCTGCTCACAGTGCGGTCGTGAAAAACCATGTAACAGATGTACTGGAAGAGGGGTTCCAGAAGAATGTAAATTTCGATATCTAGAAAGGTGAGTGCTAGAGATCGACATCGTATTTCGCCCCATATAGCCGATGTATGCTGTTAGTTAACATTTCTCATATCTAGTCCTAATGAAAGATCGGCACCCCAGACAGAGCCATTGGCATCGCAGAGCCCATTAACACCACATGAAAATCAATTTCCGACACTGCCAACGAACCAGCAGTTGCAAAATCAGGTTGGATATTCTCAATCAAGCCATTCAAAAACCACTGTATCAGAATTGTGTGGAGTTAGTCTGGAAATCGCTTTTTCCTCAACTAAGTATAGCTAACAGGTGAAACAGCTCGGGGGAGGCGATTCCGAAAGTCGCGCCCTGGTACTTGCACGTACCACGCCTCTTTCACTACCGAATTGCCTGCATCTTTCCGATCTTTATGCGCAAATACCTCCACGGTCTATTACTCGACACCTCATCGAAATCTATTTCATGGAAGCCAATTGGTATTTTGCCCTTCTGGAAAAATATTTATTTGAGAAGCTTTACAGTACCTGGTGTAATTTCTATGACACCGGAATTCCACTGGGCAACTCGAAGGACTGTCAAACGACCTTCTTCACTTTCCCGCATTGTTGCTTCAGGTCCTTGCCGTTGCTTTACAGTTCATTCACCCAATTATGCCATGTCTGCAGGCTTTACAGTTGATTGGGTTCACTGGACGTGATCGCCTTTCCAGTGATTTCTCTACGAGGAGCATGGAAATCATACATATTGTGGGAAAGGAGGAACCAGCAATAACTACCGTGCAAAATGACCTGATGAGGGCATTGTGGCTGAAGAACGCCAGTCGTGGGAGAGAGGCGTGGCACGTATTGGACAGTGCTATCAGGTGAGCGTCCTCAACCATCGCGTCATGAACGTTACTCATTTTGAACAGAACTTGGGCTCCATCAACAGTCTGAGGTGGTTCAGAAAGCACACTACTCACTACAAGAAACTTTAAGTGAGCTGTGGTATGACGAATATAAACGAAGGCTATGGATCAAATTGTTTTCCTGGGACAGGTTAGACGCTTCTGAAACACGCGACATATTTGCCACTTTTACTGATAAAACTAGTCACATGGCATTCAGTTTAGGCCGGCCTCGAGCAATTAATAGCAGTGGCTGTACAGTCGTGCCGCCGTTGGACTGTGATATACTGGGAGATTCGTCGAGAACAGTACAAATGGCCCTATCCGCCCATGAAAGTCCCTCATCTTTCACTCCCCATCTCTTTCAGTATGTCATCTGTCGACAGATCCATGAAGCTATGTCGCTCGGGGCTCAAAAGCGCCATCTCGAGGATTATGAGCTAATAACTATCCTCCATGACCGCGTTTTGTCCTTGATTAGCGGCCTGCCTCCGGTACACAGGCCAGTGAGCCCGGATATATCCTGGGATTCAGGTCATCCTCAATTTCCGAAACAGCGTCAGCAAATAGCAACTGCGGCGTATTCATTTCTGATGGCTCTTCGCAAGCCCCACGCCAAAACACGAGCGACTAGTCGTGATGCTGCAATTGAAGCAGCACTATCTATATTGGATGCACAGGAACGGCTGCTCGATCTAATGGCCACGCAATACTATAGTATATACGCCCTTTGTGTATACACCGTCGATGCCGCTATTTTCCTCTCTGTCACAACTGTCGAACACCCACCGTCAGACCCCGCCAAAATACTGCGGACTTTCTATGCGATTGAGAAGGCTATGTATCGTCTTGAACTAGCTCGAGAAAGATTTTCCTTGGCAGCATCAGCTCTGCAGATCTTGAAGCCTTGTTACATCAAAATGCAACCATTATCACACCAGCTTCACACGTCCGAGCACACTGTCCAGCTGCCCAGCCAAATATCTCCAAACTTCCCCTACAGAGATACGCAACTCGGAGGTCTTTCTGATCATTATTCACAGGGATCTTCGACTTTGCCTGAACAGAACTCCATGCCAATATTTGACCCTGAGCATTTTCACAGCGCAGCTATGTTTGACGAAATCACAATGTCGAATTTTGACATTGTATCGTGGGTGCAAGACATGAACAAGTCAAACAATTTCAGCTGGCAGTGAGGACTCCCGCGGCGTTTGAGGCAGTGATAACTATGTCAAAGATAAACTTCTCTAGCCAAATTCGCACTCCAACTTGATCACAAGTCCGAGAGATGCCCGGTTCTATTTCCTGATCTGAATTGTTCTTAAAGGCATTGACATGGCTTCCCTTCAACTTGGAAACACACTTGTCCATAGCTTGCGTACTCTGCGGGACGTCTGACGCAGGTTTGAATTCGAAGAGCTTAGTCGGCTTCAGAAAACCCGAGACAGACTTGACGAGGAAATGCTCCAGAGTCACGGTATGGGTCATATCAATTGTATGCCAAATGACGATATCCTTGTCCTTCACAATCACCTCTCGTGCCGCATAGTCGAACGCACCTTCAATTTCCTTGAAACTCTGCTCCGTCCACCGCCCATTAGCCCGTGGATCCCATCCCAGTACTTGGTTATCAATTAAATATTTGAGCCAGCGTGACCGCAAACATATCCATCTAGTATTATTTCAATGAATTCAGTTCTTAGGTGGCATTTCGTGACTGACAGGTCTTGAGGACACCGTAGAAAAGCCAAGGATAATTCTGTTCGGCCCAGTATCGGTCGGTTCCGTGCTCAATCATTGAGGCAAAAGAAGAGGCGGTTGAGGAATGGCTACGGGGCGATTTGCTCTTGGGAAGCTACGTTGAGTTCGACGGGAGTTTGAAGCTGTTCTAATTGTCTTGATGGTCTATCATTGTTTTCTCGGGGGTGGTATTGCTTTAGTATTATTAAATGATCGTTTTTTACGAGTTTCCCACTTTGGCAAGTCAATGTTCAAGAAGAGTGTTCTATCTGCTTCATTTCTATTCATGCGCAATAGATGAGCCTTGAGTTAAGTGAGAATTAGTAATTATGGGGCATTTCAGGTAATTTTGCAATCAACATACGTAGATAGTATTATTTCAATAATTTCAATTCCAAGGTGGCATTTCGTGACTTGAGATTTTTAATCAATGCATCAAACAGCAAAATAGACAGGAACATTTGAATAGATTGAGTGCCACCCTTTGCCTTATTCTGGGCTTATGCACATAAAGTGATGACTCATCTTCCAGGGGAGTCGTCATCGAAAGTTGACGTAAAGAAGAAAAAACAAAGGGAGTACGCTCACCGAGTGTTCCTTTTATCCCAATTATCTAACAACATCGGTTTGAAAACGCGCTACTGTGGTTGTACCACCCGGATATTCTCCTTCTATCATCCCACATACCTGACGTCAGTCGCAACGACAATCTGCTGCATGCCCTTCATAAACCACCAGCACCGACAGCCCCCGCTTGTCGAAGTCAACTAGCTAAACCAGAGTCATGTCTTTGACAGCATCAGCGGCGGCGACGGTATTTACGGCCTTTGCTGTTAAGCCCAATGACAGAGAGAGACGGTGGGAAGATCAGTTGAAAGAGCAGCGCGATCTGTACACGCAATTCGTCATTAGCTCTGCGCTGGGCTTGAGTGCCTTCTTGACGTTCTGTGTATGTTTTCTGGATTCTGATGACTTTGAAAGCCACACTTGCTAACTTCGCTTGTTGTAGATCTTGCGACCAAAATGGACCGAATTGTATGCTGCGCGACGACGACAACGAAATGCTGCTTCGCGTCTACCGGAGCTTCCGGATACCCTTTTCGGTTGGATTCCTGTTCTTCATCGAATTACTGATGAAGAAGTCTTGCAATCCGCAGGCTTGGATGCTTATGTAGTATGTTCAAGGCCTCGGGAAAATACCGTACAATTGACCGTCACTGACTTGCGCGTTGGGCTAGTTCTTGTCTTTTTTCAAGTTTGCGATTCGATTCTTACTCGCCGTCTTTATTTTCGCTGTCGCAATCATCCTCCCCATACATTATAAATATACCGGCCAATACGGACTTCCTGGATGGGACAACGTGCCTGGCAACGACACGATGATTGCAGAAAAAGAAAAAGAAAAGCCAATTACTGACCCTGGATACATCTGGATTTATGTTTTGTTTGCATACGTCTTCAGTGGATTGGCTATTTATATGCTTCTTCAGGAGACGAATATCATCATCCGCGTTCGCCAAACATATCTTGGCAATCAGACCAGTACGACAGATCGCACGATTCGCTTATCAGGGATCCCGCACGACCTGAGCACGGAGGAACAGATCAAAGAGTTCGTGGAAGGGTTACGCGTTGGCAAGGTGGAGAGTATCACCGTGTGCCGGAAGTGGCGCGAACTGGATGAATTGCTCGACGAGAGAATGAAAGTCATCCGAGAACTTGAGAGGGCATGGACAAAACATATTGGATATAAGCGACCAAAGAGCGATGGGAATACATTGCCGCTCACCAATCAACCCCCTCACGATTCAGATGACGAACGGTCTGGACTCTTATCTGGAAGCGAGCGCGGTCATATCTCCGGCTATTCCAACGAGAGACCCAAAGTCCGCATCTGGTACGGTCCATTCAAGCTTCGGTTCCGCATGATCGACGCAATCGATTACTTCGAGGAGAAGCTCCGGAAAACCGACGAACGCATTCAAAGCGCTCGAGAGAAAGAATACCCTAGCACTGAGATCGCATTTGTGACTATGGAATCGATTGCCGCGTCTCAAATGCTTGTCCAGGCGATCCTTGACCCCCATCCTATGCAGATGTTTGCTCGACTTGCTCCCGCGCCGGCGGATGTTATTTGGAAGAATACCTACTTGCCTCGCGCGCGCCGAATGGCCCAGTCGTGGTCCATCACTATTGTCATTGGGTTCCTCACCGTTTTCTGGTCCGTGCTTTTGCTGCCTATTGCATCATTGCTCGAATTAGAGACACTGCGCAAGATTGTGCCCCAGCTCGCGGAGTTCCTCTCGGAGCATCCTATTCTGAAGTCTTTGGTTCAAACTGGTTTGCCCACACTTGCGTTCTCGCTTTTGACGGTTGCTGTTCCTTATGTCTACGAGTGTAAGTTTTGCATCAATCCCGCCACAAATTGTACACGTTGCTGATCATATTTTCAGGGCTCTCCAACAACCAGGGAATGGTTTCGCGCGGCGATGTTGAACTATCCGTCATCTCCAAGAACTTTTTCTTCTCGTTCTTCAACTTGTTCCTATTGTTCACTGTGTTCGGAACAGCAAGTGGCTTCTATAATTTTTGGGAAAACCTCAGAGATGCATTCAAAGATTCCACCACGATTGCCTTCGCTTTGGCGAAATCTTTGGAAGGTCTCGCCCCCTTTTACATCAATCTCTTGATCCTTCAGGGACTAGGTCTCTTCCCATTCCGACTACTCGAATTCGGAAGTGTAGCACTATATCCCTTCCAATTCCTATCCGCTCGCACGCCACGGGAATACGCTGAACTAGCAACGCCCCCCAAGTTTAGCTACGGATTCTCTATCCCGCAAACCATCCTGGTCCTAGTCATCTGCGTGGTATACAGTGTATTCCCAAGCTCATGGCTGATCTGCCTCTTTGGCCTCATCTACTTCACAGTCGGCAAATTCATCTACAAGTACCAACTCCTGTACGCCATGGACCACCAACAACATTCCACTGGTCGCGCATGGCCGATGATCTGCAATCGCGTATTCGTTGGTCTAGTAGTGCATCAACTCGCAATGATCGGTGTCCTAGCCCTCCGCCAGGCAATCACCCGGTCACTCCTGCTCGTCCCCCTCCTAGGCTTTACCGTCTGGTTCTCCTACTGGTTTGGTCGCACATATGAGCCACTGATGAAATTCATCGCTCTAAAAAGCATCAATCGAGACCAGCCGGGCGGCGGCGAGATCTCACCGTCCCCCTCTTCAACCCTCTCACCGCCGTCGGGCCTCGATCGCGATAGTCTTCCGATCCGCATCGGCGGGCATGATCTCGAGCTCCGGCTAAAGAAGTACGTTAATCCGAGCTTGATTGTCCCGCTACATGCTGCCTGGCTACCTGGTCGGGCCACTCAAGGCAATGGTGCCTCGGCGTTCGAGGCTCGTCAGACCCCGAACGTTTGATTTCTTTCTCTTTTTTGCTTCCGCCGTTTGTCAATACTTTCGTTCGCATGTGTCTTTGACCCATCATGATATACGACTTTGATACCTCGTTCGCATTCTACTCTCTGATGTTTTCGGTTATGATATCCCTGCGTGGCATCTTTGCTTACTTTTGTCGGGTTTTGTCGGGCTCGTTCCGCCTGTCCTTCTTTATTTCCCTCAAGTATTTGATTTGAATTTTATTTTAAAGCACATTGTTTGTTGTATTTTCAGTGTCTTGTCCATTGGGTATAGGGTTGTACGGTACTGATCTGTATGTAATACCTCGTTGAGATCCGTGTGATGTATGTAGTCATATTGCATAGACTGTTGCCTTGAATCATACAGTATCTAACTAGATACATTGTAACACAGCCCCCAATCGAAGCATATCTTGCCAGATTTTTCGGTAAAGATGTCGGCTTCGCTTGGTTTTACTCTTTTGCCGCATTCCTCCGTTTCAAAAAGCGGCAAACGTGGCAATGTCTGAGCGTGAATTCAACCCAGTTCACACAAGAACCTAGAAATGTATCACGAGAAATTGGACGCCTGAGCCTGATCATGTGAAATAGAAATGTAAGATATTACCAGTCAGAAGTATCCTTCTAACGATTGGTCTGGAACGAATAGCCTCAGACACCATTCTGCTAGGGGTTCACGGCGGATTGTGATCTATACGATCAATGGATTACAGTGGCCGTAGATGCGAAATCACACCATCCAATAACCCCTCCTGAATCCGAACGTCCCAGCAGTGCGGACATACCTCGAACATGGACGGACAGACTTCTGGAATCCCTAGGTTGTACGTTGGGGTCCACATGGTCGGGGCGCATTCCTGAGCAGTGGGGGGCTCGGTTGTCTCTCTTGCGGTGAGGAGCTGAAACAATCGAACAAGACACAACAACCTTGTAAAGGATCCTTGAGAGGTCAGGAATGTGGGATGTGCTGGATTAAATACTCAATTTCAAGACTGTGTTTATTCAATCTTATATTTTTGATTGTTATGACTTTCATCTGCATCATGTACGCAGTGAGGTTCGAAATGCCAAGACATATGCTGCATCCGGCATTCTTCACTCTTTACCGAGATCCTCTGGAATGTCAGTGTTGCATATGGGGTTCAGATTCACGATCTGATCTATACATGGTTTCTAGTCCAGTACTACGGTATCGCAGTAAGTGGGTTGTTGAGACCTGGAACCATGGACCACTCGATTGCACAAAGTTAAGCTCGGTAGTTGACCCATGGGTCCTTCAATGTCTACCTGACAGTTGCCTGCACTGCAATGGAATGATGGTAGCTGCATACTGCATTGAAACTAACCTGCTTATGTACAATAAGCCGACATTTTTGATGTCTCTTGACGTGCTCCACTCCTCGGACTTCCGCGTGGTACGCACATCTGTATCAACTTCGTCCAGGTGAAGTGCTTACTTTTTGGTGTCAAGTCTCGACGTTAGGACCGTAATTGAATTTACTGTGTAAACTTAGTATCGCCTCTGGAAATAGTGAGATGCAGTATTTAATTAAACAAGTCAGCCCTTGCCTGGCCCTTGAATCTCCCGTTCCATTTTGTCCTATCAAATTCCCGCTCCGCTTTCAGTAGGTTGCCGATACAACCATACAACCTTGCACTCGGCAAATACTTGTTTGAATCCACGGGATTTGGGAGCGCTTTATGTGAGTGGTCTTCCCTTCGGATTTAAATCTTTCGTAGAAATCTTTGATGGGAGATCGCTGATCGGTGGATTTACTGTTAGACGATCATTACGCTGTTGATCGTTCTATAAACACAGTCTTGGGGATTATTCTTGTCGCAGGTTAATTTATCTGGGACTTGACTATATATCCTTTGTGTATTGTCAACTAAAGGAATCCACACTGCATCTATTTCGATTGAAGTAGCGTTAACTGCACGATTATCATTTTCTCTACCATCTATCAGGCAATGTTTTGACTTGATCAAAAGAGAAAGTGAGATATCGTAGTCTGCAACGAATGGCTACCACCGCCGGCTATATCAACATGCCTGCCTTGAGATCGTTGAGGTCCTCAAATCAAGACTATGCTGGTCATATGTCTAGAAGGGACTCTGTCACACACAGAAAGCGGAATTCAGGGCTAATGCCGCCTAATTCGAAGAGGATTGAGGCCAAACAAATGCCGCAAAGGCGAGGTACAAAGCCAATTATTTCAACAAGGAAATCGACGCCGTCTGCGGCAAACCTTGCACCAACAGAGATCTTACTGGAAATTTTCTCTATGCTGGCGCCACGGGATTTTGACAACGCCCGGCATACTTGCTCCCAGTGGATGCGTGTCAGTTTGAATCACAGGCTCCTTGAAACCATGTTGAAAAAGGCAGGGTGGTGGGATGCATGGCTGCAAGACCAACAAACGCCACGTACATCAACCCGATTAGATGAAAGCGATATCTGGAGAATGAGCCGACGCTTTGCAACAGAGTGTCTTCTTTCGGGACGAAAGTCAAATGTTGAGAGGCCTGGGTTCTTGAAAACTGCTGTGGTTGACTTTTCGGGTCTTTCTGATACTGCAAAGAAGGCTCGGGGCAATCGACTCCAACCGGTTATGCAAATCAGCGAAAGCAAAGGACCAGGAACGTCAGCTTTCAGTGTGAGCAATTGCAGCAAGTACCTTCTTGTGACAACTGGGCGTATGATCTACGTCTATCACCTTCTTAGTCGAAAGACACGGCCAATATCTCCAGACTCGAGCGATGCAGACATGACACCGATTTCACGCATCTTATGCCCATTCGACGTGGTCTCAGCCACCATCGACACCAGCAAATCCCGCTTCACCATCGCCGCCTTACTACACAATCGCGTTGGCATGATTTGCGATCTAGACATGAGCCAGTCCACACAACCCCCCACGCCAATCGACCCATCATCCCACCACTTCTTCTACAACATCTGCACAGAAGACAACCCACCCCGCACAATAGCCCTATGCCCGGGCAGACCCCTCGTCGCCTTCGGCTGCGCGTCCGGGATAGAAATCCATAGCACAACCTCCAAACGAACCGACAGCCGCAAACACTTCACTCTCCCCCAGCCCTCTGAAATCCTCCACTTCCTCCCCAGCAACCCCGAAACACCCACCGAGCTCCGCCTCATCTCCTCCCTCTCAGGCCCAGGCCTGCACGAATGCAAATGCCCTCCTTCCCCCAAACCCCGCTTCCACTTCCTCGCAGATGTCCAGTCTTTCTCCCGTCGTCGCATCCCACACGCACCCTCCCGCAGCTTCGTTCGCGCAACGCACTGCCACCATTACCGTGCCGTGCCGATCAATGACGGTCTCCATATGATGTTCATCGACCCACGCTCAAACTTACTCTGCATTGGCTCTGATGCACCAATCGGCGGCCCAACCAGTCTGACCCGTGCTTTCGTCTGCATACCTCCCTTCGGCACGGACGCAATGCCTCCCATTCCGGTGGCCTTTGCTGCGGCCTCGGATCTCCGCTGGGGTCTGCGCATTGTCGCCGTTTATGGCAACCGCCTCGTCCTCTACTCCGTTCCGCTCGATGTCTTTAATGTTATCCGTCGTGAGCGTCAGCGCCAGCTCAGCGGTGCTATGGGGGATGGCGACCTTGCGCGCGACTGGAATGTTGATCCTGATAATGGGAGGGAGTTCTTGAGTGTTGCTTACCGGGCTACGGCGATGATGTGGCCGTTTAAGGTGTATGGGAAGGTGATTGGGACTGTTGAGGATGCTGTTGAGGTTTCGGTGCTGGGTGGTGAGGGTGGTGTGCGGGTTTGGGCCTTTGGGGGCGATGGCAAGGGGGAGATTTTTGATGTTGATACTGGAGATTTGGAGGGTAGGAGGTTTGAAGCTAGGGAAGGGGGTTTGGTGAAGGTCGATGGATCGAAGAATAGTTCTTTGAAGTGTTCATTGAAGAGGAAAAGAGCAGCCGAGGATGATGGTTTCGGGGGGAGGTATGGGAGAGGTCATTTGGATGTTAAGCCTTGTTCGGCTGGTTTGCATGGGCATCTAGATCCCGGTGTCAGGAGATCATCCTTTGCGGCCTGTATTATTGATTTTAAGATTCCTGATTTGGGCAGTTGAGGTGTTTCGTGTGTACTGTTGGATATTGTATATAACTTCACACTTTTGTATATTATTTGCTTACCTTGATCTATTGGCATATATCTCATTACCAACAATGATTATACTGAAGTGAAATACTCCCACGAAATCTATATACTTGTTTCTTAAAGATTTTTTGTATAATTTTGACAACCCATTGTCTGTATATAACAGGCTAGTCCTAGGTCTTGAAAGTATGGAAGATACCTTTTTCAACTCGGTAAATAGAATAACTTTGTCATCTTCGATACATGTATGCTTTCGCTTTCTTGTAGTCTTTCTTATAGTCTTTCAATAGATTTTGTTCCCAGTCTTTCTATACATTCTCTGAAGTCTCTTTTTAATCCCCTTTCGAGCATACATCTGTAATAGCTCACTATACTCATATGTTCATTTAATATTAGCAGTGTCTAGACGAATGCCGATTCGTAGATCTAGATATCAAAGCTTGAAACAATCCATAATAGCTGCACTAGGTACACATGTGTCATGTATAGTAAGTCAATAGGTCACGCACCTTCCTATAAAATGGAAGTTCATAGCTCGTTCCTTTCCAGGCCTCTCTTTTCCTTTCTCGCTACTGTTTATTCTTCCACGTACTTCATCTATCTTCCTTCTTCTTCATCCTTCTTCATCTCTCACATCCCCGTCCGTCAATCATCTCCATCATATTCAATCTCAATCGTCCATCCTAACAGGCTTCTGATCTACAGGGGATCATGGTCCTTAGGGACTGTGGATTCGTTGATCATCGCAGAAAGCTTGCCCCGTCTTCGCCACGCTTTTGGTCTCTTATTCTAGATCTTGGCGTGCCTTTGCACCTGTATGTTGACACAATGTTTTGTAGAGCTAATCATATCTGACCACACACTAGTACTTGCAGCATTGCTGCTGACAACTCAGCATGGCGTCATCACCTCATGCGAAGCTTCCTGCGGACTGTTGGCTCTTGATCTTAGACATATTGCCTTTTCAAGCCCTGCTCAGCCTGTCAAAGACATCTCATGCCCTCCGTGCCTCGGCTGAGCCCTTCCTCTATCGCTCGATCCACTGGGACTGGAAGCATCCACTCTTGGAACGCATGCTGATGCTTCTCCGTACCCTTTCAGACCGCCCGTATGTTGCAAACTACATCTGGCACGTGAGCATGAACAATTGGAGGGCTCCGTTTCAGACCGAGGAAACCATTCAAATCGGCAGCTCAGACGGCGACTGGGTTGCAAAACAGCATCGATTCAGACCTACTTTGAGGTGGGCCCGGATGCTTGTTCGAGCCGCCAAATATCCAGCCAAGATGGAACAGGAATGGGTTACGTTCCTTTCTAATGGGGACGAACACGCTTATGCAACGATTTTGCTATCACTATTGCATAACCTCCGCAGCCTTCGATTGGACTTTCTGTTTGTCGTCAAAAATGGCGGTATGCCTGGAACGATGCTGCACCATTCCCTCTTTGGCAATTCACCCCCTGACCTATTGTCTCGGTTCACAAAGTTGGAGATGGTTGATTATGGAAGCAATGTGCCTCTAAGATCTTTTGAAAAAAAGCCTGGCTACTTTGGACATGAACAATCAGTTCGTACCCTGGTTCCAACTTCCCTCTCTAAAGATTCTCGAGATCTGGCTCCCAAGCATGGCTGGGATTACTTGGCTGACCGATCCTGTCGCCATGTTGAACTGTCCCCATTTTTTCTCGTTGCACAATCTTATTATTAGCAGGTCATCTACTTCCACCGAGGAAATCGGGACTCTGCTATCTAAAATTCCTTCTCTAAAATGCGTCCATCTGGGATTGACATATCGATGTATGAGAACCACCGACTTTCTCCGGGAGTCGCCACACCTCCTCGATGCCCTAGAAGCCAAACGCAAGACTCTGCAGCATCTATCTATAAGCGTGGAAATCATGCCAGCATGCGCAGAGAATTACATGTTGCCTTTTTATGAGGATGTGGGCTGCAACCTTTTCCGTGATGTTCGCCACAGGTTGCCAAATCTCAAAACGATCGAGATTCCACTCTACCTTCTCGTCGGTTGGGGAACGGGCAAGTCTAAGCTTCAGGATGTCCTGCCAGAGGGTATCAGAACCATCCACATCCGACCTGATTTCTATCTCCACGAAAACATGCCCTTCTTCAGCACTGAGGTGCTCGCTGCTTTAATCGAGTTGGTGACCCAAGATGACCGACACCTAGGGTCTCTGCAAAGGGTTTCCTACGAAGGACCGCCTAATCTGGTTTATGGTTGGGAAGATTATGAACGTACGTCCTTTGGAATGCTCTTTGCTGGACAAGACGCGTCTGAACTTTGCCATCAGCGAGGAATTGCACTTTCTGCCCTGCCTCCCTGTTTCCTGCCTGGAAATGCGATTATGAGAGAACAGTGGCTGCAGGGGGCCACTCTGGACCCGGATGTGGGACCCATTCGGCACGTTTGGCCTTTCTTCTACTCCGAGGTATTTCCGCCTTTCATGAGAGGCGTGCATTGAAGCTTTGAGGATTTGGACGCTGATATCGACTTGATAGTCCATTTCGACCGATGTCAGTAATCTTTTACATCTTTACCATAGTGAATTGAAGCTTTTTAATCTATCTGCCTTTCAATTTCGTCTTTCTATACCTCTTTCTAACGGTTCTTCCTCATCCCTTTCCATTGGTCTATTTCGCTCTTTCGTATCATTCTTTGGAGTATAGTGGCTGAGTATCATCTGATGGTGTGTTGTAGTTGAATATCTTCATACGAGGTGTCTCCAGACCTCAGAGGCCAATGGCTCATTGACTTCTAGAAATCAAAACAAGAACGATGAGGGACCGAAATAAGAGTATTTAACTTTTGATTCTTTATCACACGCTTAATCAATGGCTTTTTGTGGTATAACTGAAAAATCCCAACACAGCTTATTTTGCGGCCAATTTCTCGCGGCGAGCACGAACACCCTGAGCAAGGGTCTCCAACACATCTACGGTATCCTCCCAGTGGATACAGGCATCGGTGATACTGACACCGTACTTGAGACCAGCCTTGCCCTCTGCGGGAACCTTCTGGTTGCCTAGAACGAGTCAGCATAAATTCCAATCCCAAATCCGAACATAACGAAACTCACCCTCGTTGATGTTACTCTCAATCATAACACCCATGATAGCCTCCTCACCGGCAGAAAGCTGCTCAGCAATAACAGCAGCAACCTTAGGCTGATTCTTGTGGTTCTTCTCCGAGTTTCCATGGCTGCAGTCAACCATCAAGCGAGGCCGCATGCCCTTAGCATTAAGCTTATCCTTGGCATCCGCAATACTAGCAGCATCGTAGTTCGGGCCCTTCTTTCCACCCCGCAGAATCACGAAACAATCCGGGTTTCCAACGGTTCCAACAATAGAAACAACACCGGGCTTCGTAACAGAAAGGAAGTGATGGGGATGCTTAACAGATCCAATGGCATCAACAGCAACATCCAGCGACCCATCCGTTCCATTCTTGAATCCAACGGGGAAAGAAAGACCAGACGACAACTCCCGGTGAACCTGCGACTCGGTGGTGCGAGCCCCGACAGCACCCACAGACAGACAATCTGCCAGGAACTGCGGCGAGATGGTATCCAGCATTTCGGAGGCAATGGGCATGCCCTTATTCGTGAGGTCGACGAAAAGTTGGCGCGACATGCGCAGACCCTTGTTGATCTTGAACGAGTTGTCAATGTCCGGGTCGTTGATGAGGCCCTTCCAGCCGACTGTTGTGCGCGGCTTCTCGAGGTACGAGCGCATCACGATCAGCAGGTCGTCTGCGTACTTCTCCTTCATCTTCATTAGGCGGTCGCAGTATTCCAGTGCCATTTCAGGGTCGTGGATTGAGCATGGTCCAATTACTACCATCAAGCGGTGTTTTTTGTCTGTGCCATGTACGACCTCGACGGCCTCGGAGCGCCCTTGGAGGACCGTTTGGCGAGATTTCTCGGTTAAGGCGATTTCATGTTGGAGGAGATTGGGTGGGGTGAGGGGGTTGTAGCCGAGAACTGGAGAGGTTAGAGGGGTTTGGAGAGGGGTTTGGAGAGGTTTTGGGAGAAATTGAGACTTACTGCGTGAATCTTCGAGGTGGTTGGTGTTGCCCACATTAGGGTTGTCAATGAAGAACTGGCGACGTCAGAGGGTTGAAGTGGGATGTTTAGTGAGGGGTGGGACCTTACCGACATGGTTTAAAGGGACGTCGCAAGTCAATTGAAGGAATTGAAAGGAATTGAGAAGTATAATTAAAGGACGAAATCAAGTCAAATTGCCAAGGTCAAAGAAACTTTAAGAAAGCGATGCTATGAGTCAATAGAAGTATAGGGATCCGATCGCATTCCCACGTGATCCGGTGAACGGCGCAACAGTTCCAATCACGGCGATGGCATTATAACTGTGGATTTAAAACATGTGAATTTCCCTTAGGGTTCTTTAAAAATGGCCCACTCCAGTGCTTTCTATCGGTTAGCTATGCAATTGCTTCCCCGCGTTCACATTGGCCCCTTTTGCACCCGACGATCCAGCTCCTGCAATCCACGAACCAGATCTTGACAAATATCTGCGTGCTGCTCTTTGACGTATTGCATTTGCTGCCGATATAGCTGCATACGGGATTCTTGCGCCCGGAATAAATCATCTAGCATCCGACCGCAACCTTGACGGTAAATCTCGAGTACGCGTGTGACGGTGGCTTTCTCTGCAGCCAGCTGGATGGAGAGATTCTAGAACATAATCAACGCATAATCTATTCAATAAATAAGCTGAACTTACCGCATTAGTCTGATGAAGCAGATTGTATGCGTCTTTCTGTGCCGCTTGCAAGGTCGATGTCCAATCCATTGGGTCTTCGTCCGAGGAGCGGTGTGATTGCATATCTGGCTGTGCTGATCCCGATATCTCGCTGCAGAATGATCGGTCAAATTTTCCTGAAGTTTGGACGCCCAGTCCCCTTTCTTCGATGGTTTGTTGGGAAGAAGTTGGGCCAGTCGCTGATCCCTTGTGTGGGTTAGCACCATCAACTGTCTCTTCCTGCGAGAAGGATGGTTGTTGGTGCTTGGTTTGCGGCGGCCAGGGGTGAGATTTGGGTAGTCTATCTGTTTCGATTCCGTATGCCTTGAACATATCTCTCTGGAACTTGGTCCAGATGACGCTATCGTATTTACCCTCTGTGGAAGGTTCGCTTTGGCTTCGATCATACTCACTTGGGCTGATGTCAGCGATTCTGGCCTCTTCTTCATAGATCGGTTCGCCATCCAAATCAAGTTGAAGTGCAACCGTGCTCCTAGTTGACTGGGGCACGAGTCGGGGACTGCCATTTCTGTCGACGATGCTTGCTTTTGAAATTGACTTGGAGTGCTGGGGAGATGCATAGTTGAATTCCGTCAGGGTGTCGTTGGGCAAAAGAGGCTTCTGAGACTCGGGTGTATGACTGGATTTATGTTTCTCGATGCATACTGCTGTGGGATCGATTGTCTTTCCTGCGATTGAAGTATCCGACGAGGTGGGTGCCGGACTTTCACAGGGTTTAGTCAGTTGTGAAGACGTGGTCGGTCCAGATCGTATGGGTTGCAAGGCCTCAAACCCGGACAAATGTTCTGTGCCCATGTGGTAGTCAAGAATCGAAGGGCCATCATCCATCAGACCTCTGCCTAGTTCAATATCAGAGCAGTCTTCGGTGCTAGATCTTGAGCTATGTCCCAGGGACTCCAAGAAGGAGCCCCAGGTGGCCATTCCGCCTGTCGCATCTATCTCTTCAGCTTCTTTGGTTTTATTGGTGATGACTGGGGACGGTGGTTTAATTGTTTCAGACTTGACTTGATGCTGACGACTCCCAACAGAAACTCTTCCTTCCGGTACTCGCTCGATTTCTGCAGGCTTCAGTGCAGCCTGGACCGGCGGCGACTCGGGCTGTCTCTTCTGGGGAGACTTTTCGGGCTCGACTAGATCAGATGAGATGATGATAGGGGCATCATCCTTAACGATAGGCTCATGCTGAGACTCTTCATTCCCGTGAAGCGCGAGCATGAGTTTATTGCCCACATTCTGAGCTCTGCCGTTTTTCTTGGAAACGCTCGTCTCACGGACAACCTTGGTCTTCGTACTTTTCCTCTGTGCTTTTGACTCATGAATGGTGATCTTGGAAGCATTCTCTTGAATTTGCTTTTTCGCACTGCCGTCGGAACTGGAAGATGTATCGGCTCGCGCAGTAACGACCTGGCTATTGCTATTTTGTTTGTTGAGCTGTGCCTTATGCTCCAGGATGCTGATCTTCTGGCTTTGAGACGGAAACTTGATGCCATAATCGAAACCCGAAGAAGAGTCACTTGTCACTGATCTGCTGCTTCGAATCTCGACACTCACGCGAGGGCTAGTCTCTGCTTTTTTCTTGTTGTTATCCTTTGGTGGAGATGTCTGATGAGAGGCCCCGGGTAGATCCTTGATGTTCTTCACGACAGGATGATTCAACTGATTTGGCAGCGGTGGCTCATCTTTGTCAATGGTAGCGGCGAGGGCACTTGCTGCAAGAGTTATCAATGGCAGCTGTGATGGTTTGGCCTTCTCTTGCTTGGCTGTGTTGCTCTTTGTCGGGTTTGACTTTCTGCGCTTGGCTGGGGCAGTTGATGGTTTCGATGGCTTTGTCCGCTTGTTGATTGTTCTTATATCAATTGTCTTCGATTTCTTGGGACCTGTATGCGCAACAGAGGTTCTTCCACGGCTTGCATTGGCCTCGACTATCTCATTTGGCGTAGGCCGGAGATCTTCATCCCAATCTACCTCCTGAGGGTTGCTTCTTGGTCGTCTTGGTTTGGTAAGCTTCAGTCGAACAATCTTCGAGTCAGAGGTTTTCGCTGGAGGATCCTGAGGATTTCGATGACCTGAGTGTCCGGGGCTTTTAGCAGTTTCACTGGCCTGGCCCACATCGACGGGTGCAAATGACCCCGAATTCACCGTTGCAGTCATCATGCAGTCATCTCACATTATAATTGAAGCTTGTGGATGGAGTGTAACGAGAGAGGTTGGTTTCGGCGATGGAGTGCTCTGAAGAAAAGGGCTCATCACATGATACCGTCAACTAATACCCGATCACCACCTGGGCATGTAGATGTCAACAACAGTGCTGGGATAGAATATACTTGCTGGAAAATTATTTCGGGGCTGTCATTTAATTTGCAGGTAATTTGCTAGACGCATGTAGGTATTCAATTTTGGCTATCTCGTCAAAGGTGAGCAAAAGATCTCTACATAGAAGGAACTATAGCCTCAAGTGTTCGAGTGTGAAAACAATGTCCCATTCCTCCCATGTACAACGTTGAACATTGAACTGTTGTACAAGATTTAAGTGGAGATATTTTCTATTTTTATTGCTTGACATTTGACAGGTTACCCCAGATTTCCCCGATCACATGTGAGGTACATATCCAGATCGTTTTGTATGTTCTCTCTATCTTCATCAACTTTCACCTCTATCTCCCTCCTGCATCTTCATCTTCACAAACCTGAGAAACCATGTCTCACCCGCTCGGCCCGCGCAAGCCCCGAGACCCGTCAATTACACCGGTTCCGCGATTACTAAGCCACCAGCAATTCATCTGGTTCGCTGCAACGGAGGACGATGTATCAATTCGTCCGAATCGTGGCTGAAGAGCCGCTTTATAAGCCATGCGTATGTATTCGCGGCTAACCCCTTGATGGATGCGCCAGTCCAGTTTTCATACGTTCAATATCGCGTTATATTTCTTCAATATGGCAAACCCCTCAATACCCGACGAGGCGGCTCCAGTCTCTCGGTGCCGATTCAGCGCATTTGAATCTCTAAGCAAACTACGAAATCTTCTCCCTGGTCCTCTCGCGAAACAAAAAGTCGAATTCGATTCCACCCCCGTTCCAATAACACCCGTTAGCCGTCGCAGAGCCTCCAGCTTGGCTGTTTCCCTCGATAGCGATGAACACCTTGCGGAGAAGATCTCTACGCAGCAGGAACACGGCCATGCAGTTAAGGAAACAGACAAAACAGTCCTGTACCTCGCCTATGGATCAAATCTGACATCCAAGACATTCCGCGGAATGCGCGGGATCAAACCGCTCTCGCAAGTCGGCGTCTTCGTCCCAGAACTCAGACTCACCTTCGATCTTCCCGGGATCCCGTACGCAGAGCCCTGCTTCGCAGGTACACAATACAGAGATGTTTCCCCGACGCACGACGAAGCACACCACTCCGACAGCGAGGAGCTATCCGAGAAGGCAAATCTGATGGGATCCGCTATCCCGCGGTATCACAAGCGCCGATGGAGCAAGCCTCTCGTCGGCGTCGTGTACGAAGTCACGCTCGCAGACTACGCCAAAATCATCGCTACAGAAGGCGGCGGCCGCGGATACCGCGATGGCGTCATTGACTGCCACGCCTTCCCGGACTCGTACAATTCCTCCGACCCTGTCCCCGAATACCCCTCCACGCCGGCCTTCAAAGCGCGCACGCTGCTCTCGCCAGCTGCAGATGATGCCCGGCTTCGCTCTCAGTCGCAAAAGACTGGCGCGCAGATCACCAAGCCGAAACTGTCGTGGTGGCATACTGTTTGCTTGCATTTCCGACCTGATCCTGACTATGCGCAGCCTTCGGCGCGCTATCTTGGGTTAATTAAGGATGGTGCTGAGGAGCATGATCTTCCGGTTTCTTATCGGGAGTATTTGGCGCAGATTAGAACTTACCATATTACGAGTACGCGGCAGAAGGTTGGGAAGGTGCTTTTCTTGGTTTTGTGGGTTCCTTGGGTGCTGTTGACTTTGGCCCTGTCGAAGATCTTTGCTGGGCCTGATGGTCGGAGCCCTGCGTGGCTGGTGGCGCTGGCTAATGCTTTGTTCTCGGGGATGTGGACTAGCTATGATTGTTTCTTTGTTGGGGTCTTTGGGGATGGTGAGCGAACTCTGGATGATATCCCGGCCTGATGTCCATAGATTTGATGCCCTGATGCGTACATGTACATAAATATCGGCAGTCACATACAAAGCCTTACACATGTAGAAGTCTCCGTCATAATCACAAAGGAAATTAAATTCAGATGACTCCTCGAAGCACACAGTTTTCGAAAGGAAATGAAAAAAAGAATATATCTAGGATACAGATACAGGTGTTCGGGGAGCGTTCTAACAAAACACAGAGACAGCGACCAATAGATAGACACAGATGGAAACAAAGAGGCCTTTTCGGGGCCTAGCCGGGGTTGTGGTATGAATATTCCCCAGCCATGCGGCCCCGTGGACCTCTCATATTTTCCCACTCAAAAACAAAGGGTCATGCTGCAACTTTAACGACGGGGACCGATGGGGGGGCTGTACACGATCTTCCGGGTCTTGAGAGGGGCCCACTTGTAGCGCTTGACCCAGACGGAGATGGCGAAGAGACCGGTCAGAAGGGCAACAGCCTTGACACCCATCTTCTTGCGGTCGTCCATCTCGGGCTCGGCGGACCAGTTGAGGAACTCGACGACATCCTTGGCCATCTGTGAGGTGGTGGCGGGGGTGCCGTCCTCGTACTCGACGACACCGTCGAACAGGACACGGCCCATAGCAATACCTGTTGCTCGGTTAGAGATTCTGGATGTCAATATGGAAATTTGTCGTCACATACCGGTACCGGGGAAGTAGGGGTTGAAGTTCATGCCCTCGGCGACGTTGGCACCAGCGGGGGCCTCATCGGGGTAACCAGTGAGCAAGTTGAAGACGTAGTTGCAGCCACCGTGACGGCCCTTGATGATCAGGCTCAGATCGGGGGGCAGGGCACCGGCGTTGGCAGCACGGGCAGCCTCGTCGTTGGGGTAGGGAGCGGGAATGTAGTCGGAGAGCTTTCCGGGGCGCTTCTCGATGATACCCTCGCTGTTGGGCTCGGTGTCGTACTCGTTATCCTCGGCCATGGCCTTCATCTCATCGACGGTGTGCATGGTTCCGACCATTGAGCGCCATGGGACACGGGTAAGGGAGTGGCAAGAAGCGCAAACTTCACGGTAGACCTGGAAACCACGGCGAAGGCTTGAATGGGGTTAATACGGCGTGAGCAAAAATGTGACTTTTAGGGGTGGTCACTCACGCAGCGTGGTCAAAGGTCTTGTTGAATCGCTCGTGAACCCAGGGGTACTGAGTGGCGTGCAATCTGAAGAAAATCCCGTCTGTTAGCTTCAATCCTTTCCAATTTGGTCGCACAATGCTCGGCCCGGTGCGCGGGAACCGCGAGTTTGTGACGATCTTCCATGGGCAGTTTGACTCACCCCTCCTCAGCGGGTGTCATGGCGAAGGCCTCTTGGCCGTAGAGGTGGTAGTACCATGCGGTGGAACCGGCGGCGGCAGCGGTTGCGAGGCCGGCAGTGAGTGTGAGGTAGAAGGGGGAGCTGGCGGCCTCGGCACCGGCGGCAGTGGAAGAAGCACGCTGTTGATAATTAGTAACAAATCCCTTTGATATAAAGCAAGTGATGCTAGTTGAATCGATTGGCCTATTCCTTAAAGGTCAATTGGAGTTGTCGTACCGTGGACTTCCCGAGGGATTGGCGTGCAAAGGTCCGGTTGGACGCGCGCAGAATCGAACGTCCCAGCATGACGAAATATAACCCTCCAAGCAATTGAGAATGGATGGGAATTGGGTGCTGAATCGCCAAAGCGAGAGAGGGGTGAGTGGGGAAGGGGAGGATGGAACAGGAGAGAGGTGCTCTTGGAGGTTGGACGTCGAAGTTGCAAGTTTCTTCGTTGATGATTACCCCTTCGTTCTGATTGGCTGGGCGGCTCCTGGGCGGCCACCGCACTGCGCTAGAAAACTGATTTTCGGAACAAGTTCACTCTTGTATTCATGTCTGCTTAACTACTGCTGTTCTATATTCTATATTCTTTATATCTGATTTTAATCGGTCAATCTGATATGATATCTACCTCCATGTTTTAGTATCGTGGGTTCTCCTTGGTTTTTTCTTGACCGGCTGTTCGCTTCCGGGATTCACCGAAAAAAGACCACGCATCACCGGAACAACAGAACTGTTCTAGTGCAAAGAGGCTCTCCAAATCACAATATTCTTTAAACTATTGTACATGTAGTCTCTTCCTCAGTTTGTACTTGAATTCTGTCTCGGGATACCCCCTGGGTCCACGTAGGTGGCAGCTACTACTTGGCAGCTCGTAGCTCATAGCTCAGGACAAAAGTTATTGCTATAGTTAGTAGCCGTTACCAGCGTTTTACTTCCCAATTGCATACTTATAGTCTGTCACATTTAGACACACCTACATATATAAGGTCCTATGAATACGTTACACGACAATTCAAGCTTGATAGGAATGGAGAAATTGAATTGTTCATTCAAAATAGATCCTAGCTCCTGATGTATATATATATTGGCAACCTCCATGCTTACATGTCCAATATCAAGAGTTGTTCTACTATTCCGAAACAATACGTATGATAACCCCTCGAGGTATTCGTGAACTATATAGCCTGCTTTGTCCCTCCTCTCAGATCGGAATGATTGGGAAGCCCATTGACCATTGACACTAAGTATACAAGTGCGTCAAGCGGTGTAATTCTGCCACCTGGGGGGCGGCGGCGTTGGACCCTGTCTGTGCGTGGGGATGCAGGAATGGGTTGTTGTTTTTGTTTGCAGTTGAGCAAAAGAGTCGAGAAGTATTTAGATGCTGGCAATGTTTATGTGATAATTTGACATCAATTTGACCTAAGTGACACCGTGTCTGTTCACTACTAAGACAAAACGGAGCTCCGCGGGGCCAGCCTGGAGTGAGTCCGAGGCTGTCTCAAACTACGGGCTACCTAGTGCCTTATCTATCCCGATGAAGAGTCCAAGAACACACGATGCCAGGTGCAAAGAAAGGACCTATGGCCACGGCCGGACCACGCAGAGATGTGTTGGCCTCGCTGCGCATGGCATCAATGGAAGACATCTCCAGAGCTGCTCTTCCAGCAGGTGAGTGAGATAATATGGTCATGCTGGGGAGACAATTATTGATAAGAAAACAGAAATCGTATCCTCGATTCTCGACTACCTCGGTCCCGTTGATTTGATCCGAGCAGCACGGTCCTGCAAGCTTATGCACGAGATGGCGTATGATGACACTCGATGGGTACACAAGTTGAAGCGGATCGGATGCTGGGACGAAGTGGATGCCAGAAAGCATGCCGAGCTTCTCTTTGGAACGGTTGCCAATATGGAAGCCGTCCATCAGCAAGAGGAGACCGAGACGGGCGATGGATCCGTTCCTGCAATCACAATTGGCAACAACCCTTCCCATGAACTGAATGATATCTCCGATGGATTCGATAAGATAGAGTTGGTGAATACGACAACGCAATCAAGTATGTTGGAGGAGCTCAGCACCGACCCTGCCTTGGTGGTGTTGAAGCAAGCAAGGTCAATACGAGGCGAGGCTCGCCAGGAATATGGGAAGATCCATGCTGCACTGGCACCTTTCTACGAGGACATTGCTCGAACCGGACCGTCGGATGCGAATCTCGTCTTCACAAAATACAAAGACCCCCAGGACCAAGCGCAAATACTGGCACAACTGCTCTCGTTCTCTAAATCTGATTTGACACCTGGATGGGACGAGCGACTCGAACGCTTACAGGGTGCAGTGTCTATGTTTGAGACTGCTGCATTGAAAGAGTTCCGCCAAGGATATGAATCTGACGATGTCGACGGAAATATGCGCAGATACGCCCATATCCTGTGGACACTCAATGGTGGACAATCTGCCGTGGACCTTTTCATTCACCACAACCACTTAATGACCCAGAAGTCTGACCTCGGAAACGTTGCTGATTGCATAGACTTAGTAACTAGCACGGTTAAAATGGAGCAGACCCAAGCGTTCTTCACACGTCTCAGTGTGGCTTTCAACGATGAGATCTCCATCATGAACCGCGTCTTCCCCCCGGCCTTGGAGGTATCATCCGCTTTCATGGAGAAAGTCGGTCAGGATGTTCTGTCTCCCTTTCTCACCGCAATATTCGATGAGTTACATCGCATCAGCGTCGAGTCATATCTCACCGCAATCTCTGCGACTTTTGTGCAATGCATGAACCTTTCGGAATCTTTACTTCCCATAAAAAGCTCGGATGCCAAATTTGACGAGTATCTGGATAATGTTGTGATCAAGATTTACGAACCACACATCGATCTCTATTTGGCAGAAGAGTTGGCTCATTTCAAAAAAACTTGCGAAGCCACAGTAAGTGAGTGGGACCGGCAATTATCCGAGCAAGCGGCATCAACGGAATCCTTCTTGATGTCAAATATCAATCGACAAGCCGATAAACGAGACTTCCTCACGTCGTTCAAAAAGGTAATCATGATGCCCGTGAACATATTGCCGAGTTTTTCAAGTGCAAAAACAGAGGAAAGCAAAGAGGAAACAGAGACAAACAGCGACAACCCGTTGCAACCTCCCATAAATCCCAATCGGTTCTCAACGCTATCATCACCTGCCCCAGTGACTGTCGAGGAAGTCCCAACCACCGAGCTAGCAGCAAAAGCAGCCATAATGAAGACTAAGATGGAGGGTATCCGCTCCCTATTCAGTATTGAAATTGCCCTTGGTCTCGTCCACGCCGCCAAATCCAGCCTGGAGAGAGCAGCTCAATTCGTACGGCTTGGCGGCGAGCACGGGCGTGCAGCCAAGCAACAGTGCGAGGCGATCTTCGTAACAATGCTTCGCATTTTGGGACACCAGCACGTCATCGTTGGCTTTGACAAAGCCGTTAGCCATCTCTCCAATTACCGACCGCGCGAACAAGGTGAACGCGACCAATCTGGTGTCGAGCCGTTGGTCACTTTCCTGGAACTGGTCAATGTCGGCGATCTCATTTTGCAAATGATGGATGTCTTTTACGAACAAGAATTGATCGGCACACGTTTGACCGATAGAAATGACTTTTTGGACCCTGCAAATAAAGAGAAGAAACGGTTCGAGCAGATGCTCGATGAACGTGTCGCTGCAGGTCTGAATAAGGGAATCGACGTCCTCATGGAAGAAGTGGATTACATCCTGGCAACCCGCCAGCTAGCCACAGACTTCAACCCGGGTGTTTCCTCAGACCCCCACCGACACACCATGGACGTAGGCGTCAGCGAAGTCGCCGCCGCTGTTGTCGACGTGGTCTCCTCGCACACACAGATGCTAGTAGGGAGTACAGACAAGAGTACCCTCGACGTCTTCAACCAAGAGGTTGGTCTCCGCCTCTTCACAGCTCTATGCAAACATCTCAAGCGACAGCGCGTGAGCGTAGAGGGCTCACTCAAGCTGATCAGGTATGTATCACGATCCATCAGTTTGAACTATACTAATTGACGACCCAGCGACATGAACCATTACTTCAAATATATCCAAACTCTGCGCAACAACGAGCTTCTTTTATACTTTACAGCGTTCCGCGAGCTCGTGCAGATATACCTAGTTGACCCGTCCGACGCCAAGGAACTGGCAAACCTCATCGCCGATGCAGATCGCTTCCATGGCATCTGGCGTGTCGAGGAAGTTGTTGAATTTGCCGAGCGCCGCGCTGACTGGTACCAGGTTAAGCGGGACGTGGAACGTGCTATGTATGGCATTGGCTGCAATGTCATGTAAATGGATACCGATACCCCGGGATTGCATAGCTAGTTTTGTATAGATCTGGATATTATGATGTCCTAAAAGAGCTGGAAATACACATATTTACTGGCTTTCATACCCTAGACCCCTATTTTTTTCAATTCTGATGCGCACCGCTTGCCGTTTGATCTCAGAGTCATATTGAGCGTTAGCTAATCTTGTGCTCAGATTTGCCAACAAACAGGCTCAGAGATCTCCATTGGTTTAAAGCATTGGTACCTAATGCCACATCCTTGCACTCATTTAGTGCCTGCTTTTTGACTTAACAGCCTGAGCTATTCCTTCGAAAAGAGATCTCAAATTCTTAGCACAAAAAATGATAATAGATATACTGGAACCTTCCAATTGAGAAGGCCCGTACAAGGGGTAGCCTGCATACAATGGCAAGCTCCACAGCTACAATAGTTGGATGTGGCTGGGCCATCCACCAAAGGCTGTCATAGTTATAGTGCAATTTTTCCAGGGCATTTGGCAGACGAATGTTTACTTGGCCTTCAACGCACTGATGGTAGATAGGTTTCCAAATAGCGCTGGTACGGCGGCTGCAGCTACAAGCATTACTCAGGGCGCGCTAGCAGCCTCCGGTGTCGTTGTGCTGCAGCCATTGCTTATGGCTGTTGGATACCGCTGGTGTTTCAAAGTTCTGTGGTTGTGCAATTGTATCTTTCGGGCTGGAGCCGTGGTACTATTGCGATTGAGAGGGATGGAATGGCGTCGCGCTCTTCCCAACTGAGTTATGGAACCTCACCATGAAATGAGTGCTGACAACCTACAATTGCTAAGTAATCCCTCTTTAAGGCCTCAAACTAATACATTTTCAAGCACCTGCAAATATGACTGAGATAAGTCCGAAGTTCTTATCTCTAATTCTTCTCCAAGACACAATGAAGCGAAACCAGACGAAACTTGATAGTGATAGCGTTGAAGGTGCCTTTGGCTTTAAGTAATAAGTAATAAGTAAATCTTTATAAAATTCATTATCTCACCGAAAACACCTTGGAAGTACAATGTAAATTGTGTCTAAAAAGTCTTGTGTTATACATGCACGTTCAGCCCTAAAAGGATGTGACGTCAAGCATCGGCGGCTGCTGTAACACTCCATTTGCGTCTGAAACGACCATTTTCAGTCACCAGCTTTGGTTGCATTCTAAAACGTCCATGTTACTAAATAAAATGATCGGGTTTATTTCGATGGATCTTGCAACTTTCTTCACCTTTGCCGATCCTACGGTGTTGATTGTGTGCCTCGCCAACTAGTACTTTGCAAAAGATCATGCATCTAATCTCTTGTTTATAGTACATTGTTCCTACAAGCTGAATGGGGCCCAATAGATGAATATCGTCATAATTGAATGCACAAATACCAAAAAATTATTGCATTACCGTCAATATCCCGGCAACGCATTCATCGCCGCCGCTGCCTGAATCGGAGCGGAGCCCTAGTGCTTCTGGTACTGGGTTATTCAAAGACAAAGAACTCTCTCTGTTCACGACCACCAGTTCTCTTTCGACAAATCTACTGGGAATAGTTCGATCATATCTTCAGGTTTTCTAGCGACTTCTTGCCGCGACTGCATGTAGCGACTTCCGCCAGAAATCCGTCTCCGCGACTCGAACAGGTAATTCACTGTTTATAAAAGCGCGAACAGGCACAAAAAGGAACTTCATCCTTTTCAAATTTATCAAGTCCATCAACAACTTCTACCAAGATTGCATCGCCTGGATCTATCAAGACTTCCAAGAACACCAACCACTACTTCATATCGCATCCTTGAAGACAACATCAGCAACCAGGCTTACAACTCCATCTTCTACATACATCTATAACTCAAACAAGAACGCCATATTCACTACTCCGAGATGGGACCCAATTCCAACACCAAAATATGGTTGGCCATCTTGACCCTCCTCACTCTCATGATCAGCGTAAGCGATGCCGAACTCACCACCATAGCCCTCAAAGCAGACGCAGCAGTGGAAACTGTCTGGGTTACAGTGGAGGCTACTGCACGCGCAACACCTACTGCACCAATGCACCCATCCTATACAGACCCCGCCATTCTTCAGAAAGAAGTGCTGGAAGTCTCAAACGAGTACCGCAAGAAACATGATGCCAAACCCCTGATATGGAACGACACCCTCACCCAGTACGCAAAAGCATGGGCGGAGGCTTGTATCTGGAAACATTCGGTACGTCCCCATGCTCACTGGAAAAAGTTAGAACATCATACTAAAGATATCTATAGCACGGCGCCTTCGGCGAGAACCTAGCATATGGATTCGGAAACCTTTCCGCCGCCGTCATCGCCTGGGGCGAAGAAGGCAAGCTATATGAATACGATCCACCGATGGGCAGCACCGAGGAAACGGGCCATTTCACCCAGCTTGTCTGGAAGGCCTCGAAGCAGGTTGGATGCGCCGCTTACAACTGCGGGTATACCGAGCCGGGGAAGAAGACCGGCGACAAAGGCGAGCTACGCGCTCAGGGGTGGTATGTTGTTTGTGAATATTCGCCTCATGGGAATATCGTTGGGGATGACAATAAGTATTTTAAAGAGAATGTCTTGCCGATGGATACTAAGGTTGCTTCGGCGTTGGAGGCTTCGAAAACTGCGGCTGCGACTGCGACTGCCAATACGGCTGGGGCTCAGGGTTCGCACACTGGTGGTGCTATGCGGTTTGGAATGGGCTCGACAGTGGGGGTGATGCTTGTTGCCTTGGGGACTGTTTGTGTTGAAATGGTGATTTACTTCTGAGACATGGGTTGGGATGATAGATATACTTGGGATTTTGAGTTTCTTTATTGGTCTCTTGAACCACACTATTGTTATTGAACATTATTGTTATTGGGAACAGGTGTTAGCATGTAGTTTACAGATCTTTGTTCTCTACAGATCTTTTTACACGAGAATGAAACAAGGTTTAACATCACTAGGAACTGGTTTCGTAGCCATCTTTCATGCTTATCCACATTGCACATTTCGTCGATAGGCGCACCGCTCGATCTATTGAATTTTGGAATGTCCCGATCCTCACAGGGCTTGCCCAGGGAACCTAAAAGAAACACAAGGGGACAGAAGGCTGGGTTCTGGCGCGAAACGCCAGCGTCGAAACAGGGGAAAAAGAGGAGGAACAAAAGGAAACACATTATTTGCGAGAATAAAAACAGATTCATCCAATGACCTCCTCGGTCTCTTCGACGATCTCTTCGACAATCTCTTCGACCACGGAGTCGCCCTGGTCCTCGACAACAGGGGGGGCGTCGCGGGCCGCCTTGGGTGTATCTGCATCTTCGGGCAATCCGAAGACCTCCTTCTCCTCGGCCAGGAGCTCCTTCTCGCGACGGAGCCAGGCGAGCCACTCGCTGAGCACGCGCTTGCGGGTCTCCACAACAGCAGTGTTGGCGATGTCCACGGCGTACTTGTCCTCCTCGTCGAACTCCTTTGAGTACTCGCGGAGGTTCTTGCGCACTTGCTTCTGCTCCTCCTTGCTGAGGAGAGTGGCGGGGCGCGGGCGCCAGAGGAACTGCTTGAACTTTTCGGTGGGGTTCTCGGAAAGGGTGGTACCGGAGAAGGTGTGCATGTTCCAGCCGTTCTCCATCTATAAGGTAGTTAGTATCATGGAAAGAGATTAGAAATGAATCTAAGTTAAATCTTACAGAGTGTGTCCAGACACTGGCGCTGCTGACAACGTAGCGACCAGTGGAATCCCAGTCAATATCGGTGACACCATAGTGCTCAGCGGTCTTCATGAGCTGGAGGTTGGCGGCGAGATCCTTCTCGGCCTCAACCTTCTCACCCTCGAAGTCCATATCCCAGAAGTCCATATCGAAGCTGGTCTGGGAGTGGACGGTTGCGACAATAACGAAACGACCCTTGGGGGACCAGTAGATACCGTTGCTGGTCTTCTTATCGACAGTGCGCACCAGCTTGAAGTTACCGGCTGTGTAACCCTTCTTCTCAGGTGCGAAGAAAGAGACGGAAGTCTTAGGGCCAACGGCGGCGCCTTGTGGTGCCTCGCCGTTTGTGATAGCAACGAATCGGGATCCATTGGGCTCCCAGGCAAAGTTAATGACGGTATCCTTCAGGCTGTCAACAACCTCAACGGGAACACCCTTCTCGCGAACGCGGAAAATCTCCAGGTTGGTGGCCATGGACTTCTTGGACTTGGAGTGACGGTCGACCTTGACGCAGACGTAGGCACCCTGGGATTGCCAGTGCAACTTGACATCGGAAACGTTGAACAGGTTACGGGTACGGACAACCTCCTTTGAGGGCACGCTCATCATACCAACACGGGCGGGGTTGCTGCCGATTTCCGGGGTCCAGAAGCAGAGCAATTGCTCGTACTGCTTGACACCCTCGCGGGTGACGGTAGCGGGAGACCATTCGAAGTCCATAACACCCTCAATCTTGACGGAGGTCTTGTTAAGGAGGTTCATGTTGGGGAGCTCGTAGATGGAGATGGACTGGCCCTGGAGCATACGAGCGACGTACTTCTCATCTGAGGACCACTTGAACGCGGGCCATTGCACCTTCTTCTTGGGTGCAACGTCGCCCTCGATGGCAGCGGGGGCAGCGAGGTCGTGTGAGACAAAGGAACGGAGGGGCTTGCCGGTCTCGATATCCCAGACAATAATGTTCTTGCCATCCTCCTCGTAGGTCAGTACGGGTTGGCCTTCCTCGACCTGGATAGGGCGTGCGGACCACGTCGTCAAGTAGCCCTCGAGCGGGGAGAACTCGATCAACTGCACGAAGGGGTGGGGGAACTGCTTTTGCTTGGAGAAGGACTCGCCTCCCCAGAGTTGGACACCCTGGGGGTGGACGGAGGCGAGGAAGGTTCCCTTGGGGGACCATTGAACGAAAAGTTGTGTCCAGTGGGCGCGGTCCACAACATTCTCTGGGGGGTTGGTCTTGTTGTTCCAGAAGACGCCAACCTTGTCGGCGCGGTAGAGGGCGAACTGATCGCGGGCTTTTTCGTCTCCCATCCACGAGCGCAGGTGCTCCTTCTCCTTGTACGGTTCCAGGGCGGGGGCCTTGTATTCTTCGTCGATCCGACCTTCGCGACCATAACGCTCAATATCCATCAACTTGTTCACGGCCAGGGTGTGCTTCTTATCGAGAGGAACGCCGTGCAGCTGCTTGACGGCGGCCACAGCCTGCTCGGGGGTTTCGTACTCCACAAAGGCAAATCTGTATATCCCCAACAAATATTAGAATATATCCACTGCCCTCCGTATCTCGTTTCAAATCCCATACGCACCCTTCGGTCTGCTTCTTGTCGTTGACGGGCATGAACACCGCATCTTCGGATGTGCTGCCGACGGAGTTGAGTTTTCTCAATAAGAACTTCACGAGCTTCTGTCGGCTGTCTTCGGGCACAACGGGGAGGCCGTCGATGACGATAAATGTGTCCAATCCTTCCTCAACCTGAACTTCATATTGCGCCTTGAGATCTACACAATAACATGTTAGAGAGGGGCACACAGACCATGAGAAATCTTGCACTCACCGGAGAAGTCAATCTCCTCCTCCTCTTCCTCGTGGAGGTCCTGCTCAGACAGGGTATCGAAACTGGGCGCCATGATGGGTATGTGGTAATACCGAGGGCGTCTATAGGTTTCGGAGCAAAGATAGATCGGTGTCGTCCGCTGATGGATTTTCGGGCAGAAACAAATCGCGGACGCCAAGCAATTCTTTGTGCGGACTGACATAATCTCTGAGTCAGCATCGTCCTGCGCGGGCGGGCCCCCGGCGCCTGCAGCCTCACTTTGCTTTGTTTGTTTAGTTTGCACCAGTTTGTCATGTTAGGATTAGTCTATGTATTTCCAGCCAATGATAGATTGCAGGGTCTATAAAACCCATTTGACCTTACCTTCGGTACTCTGATCTACACATGTTACACTGGATGAGTAAAATTAAAACTGTACCTAGGTAAATCGTAAGTGAGATAATTACAGCAAAGATATAGAGGTCATATGGACTGTTGGCAGACAGACTCCATTGATCTATGGCACAACTAGTTATGCAAGTCGTGTTCTATAGTTTATGTCTTCCTACCACTTGAGATTTGACCACTAGAGGATTGATGGAACCATAAAGCAGAATTTAATCAGCCCCAAAAGTTCTTCGACATGACCTAGGAAGAGCTTTCTATAGCAGCAAGTACATATGTACTATATCAACGGACCACCCAACCTTTAGAACTAGCCATATATCTGCAATTTTCTATGTATCAGTGGCTAGTCTTTCTAATTTTATCTATACGCCAAATTCTCTTATGTATCTACCTATTTGATTTAGTTGTAGTCTGCAATATGCCGTGCAGTTAGAGCACTCCAAGCTGCACGTGACCCATTACATAATTTCCCCAGCTTGAGGTCCGTCAATCATCATAGATGTTTCTGGAGAGACGCTCAATTGTATTTACAGTGCTTTTTACTGCATGTCCTACCATCAGCTCTTTATTTGATCCAGGCTTTGTCTATCATTATTCATAAAAAACCTCGGACTGCCCTCATTCTGCCCAGCCTTCTGCTTCCAATGCCCCGCCGGTCTTAAGCGCCAGTGCGACTCGAGTATAGCCCACCTGACAACTCCGAGCTCTCCCTCAGCCAGAATACCCTTTTACACTCCCCGCGATATTCTCAATTGCACCCTGCAAACTTCAAGAATTTCAAAAATTGCGATACAAAGAGCCGACCTTGGTGATTTCTTGCAGCAAGATGTCGTGTAAGCTACCTCGGCGTTGCCCCGGCGCTGACTGCCGGTGCTTCCCAAAGCCTGCTAACCAATCTTTGATTGTGCGCATTAGTATCATTGGAGATTCGCGAAAAGTACACCGCGATTATCGATGATATCTTGGCTAAAAGTGACCTCACCACCATCTCGGAGAAGCGGATTCGCAAAGGTCTCCAGGATGCCGTCGGGCACGATCTCACGCCGCAAAAGGTCAGTCAACCACAGCAACCTGTCGCGCGAGAATTTATTTAAGCTCGCTAGGACAACAAGCGACGAAATATGACTGACATATATCAAGGCTTCAATCAAACAGTTGATCATGGAACGTTTCGACCACTATGCCGAGCAGAATGGCGTTGGTGATTCACCCGAGGAGAATGCTACAAGCAATGGCCAGCGCGATTCTGCTTCAGCCTCGGCTGCAGTGCCATCTCCACCTCCTTCTTCGTCCCCTGTCAAACGCCATACCACCGGCGACGGCGCCTTCGATCCCCCGAGCGCATCGCCGCCTGCTAAGAAACGGAAGCCAGATGATGATGTCGATGCGGATGCGGTCTTCGCCGCGAAGTTACAGGCCGAGGAAAATTCACGCGCTCGACCCACTCGGGGAGGTAACACCCGTCGTGCGGCTCCTTCTAAGAAAAAGAGCAAGGCCAAGACCACAAAGAGGGTGAAGGCTTCTGATGACTCGGATATCGGTTCTGGCGACGAGCCCAAGAAAGAAGTGAACCGAAATACCGGCTTCCACGTATGCGACTCCAAAATCCCCTCTCAGTTTTCTATCAATTCTCATCGTTCTACAGAAACCGCTGAACCTTTCCGAGCCTTTATCCGCACTTCTGGGAGAAGTCACAGTAAGCCACATCACTGTCCTTGGTTATTGGGCCTTCCTTGCTAATGACCGCATTAGCTCTCGCGACCGCAAACTGTCAAGAAGGTATGGCAGTACATACGTGAGAACGAGCTTCAGGACCCGAGCGATCGTCGCCAAATCCGATGCGACGATGCCATGCGTGCTGTCTTCAAGCAAGACCGCGTTCACATGTTCACCATGACGAAAATCCTCAACCAGAATCTCTACAATCCCGATGAATAGTATTGGTTTGGGAGGGTTGCTTTCGATCATACTGGAAGAACAGGCTCCAACCCAAGCCCTGTTTCCTAACGATTCTCCTTGGTCTTTCTTGATAGGTCTTTTTGCGATGCATGGGGATGCTGGCGCGAATTTTGAGCAATTTCCATTCGCCATTTTTTTCTTGTTTATTCCTGATGTCGACATCTGGACCTAACCTTCCACAGATGGTTTGATCCATAGTTCTCAAGGTCCTCGACCCTACTATCCACAGACTCCCCAGATCCTTTGTAGATTGAACAGTTGTAATCGGTAAGAGGAAGTCACGCCCGCGGGCGATGTAACTAATGTCTACTACCCGTGGCCATTGTAGGGGTTATTCCTGTGGCGACTGAACTTTGGGCGAATATGACCAAAATGAACAGAATCAATTGATATAGAGCAGGTCATTTGCTTCATATTTTCCACAGAAACAGAAAGTGACCAGGCTCACTATTGTACATATTGTATATGCTTTGTCTCATCCAATGCGGCATGCGGGATCAGTCAGCGACATCTCACTTTTTCCCGCAACCTCTCCCCCGCCACTCTCCCCAAATTCAGAGCTCTGCAGCTCAAACACGCAGATTATCGGTGCCAGCAGTCTCGACCGTGCCATCCAGAGCCTTTATCCGTTCATTCCCGCAATGGCCGACAACCAGGTCGCTCCAGAATCATCCAGCCAGGGTCGTGGCGGGCGTCGCCGCGGCCGCGGAGGAGTAGCTCCCTCCAACCGTGGAGATTCGCGACAAAATACAGATGGAGAGAAACGTCCTAAGCCTCGCACACGAGGCGGTGGTCGTGGGGGAGGTGATTCCGGCCGCCAAAATCGCACTACCAATCAGACCAACAACAACAACGACACTCAACCAAGAACTACGGTGACGTCTGCAACACAAAAACCAGTCGAAGCTGCCACCGACGATGCAGATGATGGAGAGGTGTGCTTCATTTGCGCCTCACCCGTCGAACATACCTCGGTCTCTCCTTGCAACCACCGAACGTGTCATATTTGTGCGCTGCGGCTGCGGGCACTGTACAAGAATAAGGCTTGCGCTCATTGCCGGGTATGGTCATCCTAAGATTATTTAGTTGCAAACATAACGACTGTTGGCTGGAACTTGAATACTGATTATATATTAGACGGAGTCCAACTATGTTATCTTTACAGATGATCCAGAGCGGCGATACGAGGACTTTCAAAAGAAGGACTTTGCTCGGACGGACGAAAACCTCGGCATTGAATATGAAAATGATGAGATTTTCGAGGACACAGTGCTCTTGTTGCGATACAACTGCCCGGACGAGGACTGCGATGTGGCCTGCTTGGGGTGGCCGGATCTGCACCGCCATGTAAAAACCAAGCATAACAAAGCAATGTGGTATGTCAAATTGACAGCATGTGCAAGTTCTGAATCAGCAGCTGACCACGTCCCCTCCAAAGTGATTTATGTACTCGTAACAAGAAGGTATTTACACATGAGCATGAGCTCTTTACTGCAGCCGAGCTGCGCAAACACGAAAGGGCTGGTGACGACAAGCCTGGAGCGGTAGACCAAAGTGGTTTCAAGGGACACCCCGAGTGTGGCTTCTGCCGTCAGCGATTCTATGGCGACGACGAGTTGTACGCTCACTGCCGTGATAGACACGAACGCTGCCACATTTGTGACCGACGCTCCTCCCACCGCCAGCAACAATACTACATTGACTACAATGCTCTCGAGAAGCACTTCCAAAAAGATCATTTCACTTGTCTTGACCGAGAATGCTTGGAGAAAAAGTTTGTCGTTTTCGAATCTCAGATGGACTTGAAGGCCCACCAAATTGAAGCACATCCGGAGGGTCTCTCTAAGGACGTTCGCCGAGACGCAAGAATGGTTGACCTGGCCGAGTTTGACAATATGCGCACGCCATATCAACAGCAGCGCCAGCGCCGCGGTGCAGGCCGAGGCCGTGACCCTAACGCCGAGCCACTACCACAATCCAGCGCACAGCCATTAACCCGCGCCGAACTTGCATACCAACGACAAATGGCTATCCAGAGCTCTCAGTCTGTCTCAACAAGAAACTTCGGTGGCCAGCTTACCCGAGAAGACGTTCAGCCAGTGCGTGCTCCGGAGCGCTCTGCCGCTGCTACTCCAGTACAGTCTTCCCCCGCGTCACGTCAACCTCTTCCTACTGCAGCATTTGAGAACCTCAACCTGGCAGCCAACTCTGGACCAGCTACTCCTCAAGACCAAGCCCGCCGGATGCGTCATGAGGCCGTGGTTCAACGTGCCTCTAGCCTTCTCAAAAATGATGCCACCAAGCTCTCTGAGTTCCGCAGCAGAGTGTCAAGCTACCGCGCTTCATCAATCTCAGCAACCGAGCTCATCGATTCCTTCTTCTCATTGTTTGACACTTCCAGCACCGAGCTAGGTAAGCTCATCAAGGAACTCGCCGAGATCTACGAGGACGAGCCCAAGCGCGCCGATCTCCTACGAGCCTGGAATGACTGGCGTGCCATCAACGAAGACTATCCGGCCCTCCCAGGCCCCGGTGGGCTTATCCCCGGCATGTCCCCTAGCACCGTCAGCACGGGCGGCAAGCGTGTCTTGCGCTTGAAGTCATCAACTGCCCGATCCTCCCGTTCCGCTGTCGGCAGAAGTGGCGCTCTCCCAACAGCCCCCTCCAACCCCTTCCCCCCTCTCTCAGCTGCGGCCGGCTCTTCATCTCGTCGTGGCCAATCTTCCGCTACCCCTTGGGCAGCAGCACCTCCCCCTCCCCCTATATCCCGCCCATCGCCAGCCCTATCTAGCGGCCCCTCATACTCAGCTCCATCCTCCAGCCGCGCTCCTGCTGCACCCACCCCTCGTGGCGCTGACGCATTCCCGGCTCTTCCGGCAGCGGCCAAGCCTAACGTTCTTATGGCTGGCAAGACTCGCGGTACTGTGCGTTGGAACGATAATCGTGGCCCTGCGCCGACGGCATGGGGGTCAAACCCAAGTTCTGGTACTGCGTCTCCGGCCGAACCTAATTATGACAATGAATCAAGCGGTAAGAAGGGAAAGAAGAACAAGGGAAAGCAAACCCTGTTCCACTTCGGTTAAATAGATTTTATTTCTAGATAGTATCTTATCTTTGCTCCTGTCGCCGATCGACTATTATAGTTGGGAGCACGTATGATCGATCTCATATGTCGGCTTAAATCTGTTGTGGTTTTTTGTTGTACTGCGACTGCAGATACAATGTATTGTACAGAGGTAAATTATGTCATTTTATTTTCTGTGTCTTGTATCATATATCAATCAGGAAATGATGTAGCTCTCATACCGTCATCCCATCCAGTTCACGCCATAAAAGTACAAACGTCAAATATAGAATCTAAAGACTGGAATCATAATGAGACCGATTAACTTACCATCCGCACTACTTTTAGTCTGCTCAGACCAAAACCACACTATCATTTTCGCCATAATCAGACTCCGAATATGGCTCTGATTGCGAGTCAATGACAATCGCCTCAGGAGCACGAGCCTCGTCCATCGCAAGACGATCATCTCCCGAATTCGAAGTTTGAGCTTCGGGCTCATGATCCGACAAATCAGAAGCATGTTCAATACGATCCTCACTTTCATCACCGGGGTTTAGCTCCATCTCCCGGTTGATAGCAGCCATCCTCAAGACGAAGTCATCCTGCAAATTGATCAACAAAGCCCTCAAAGCAGCACCATCCATCGTCCCCTGGCGAGCAAGAATCAGCTGTTCCCGCAAAGATAAAATCAACTTTCGCTTCCGCGCAATAGCCACAGCCCGCGAAGAGCTATTCCGCCGACTCGCCAGCTTATCCATAGTCTCTGAGACCTCACCCGCCCGACGCAACACATCAGGAGGGAGATCAGCAATCCGCGCAAGAACAAGACCATACCGACGGTCCGGGACAGGTCCCTCGGCGATACGATACTGCATCGTCATTTTAGATGCGTCAGACGCAATATCAGCAGCTAGATGGAGATTAATGACGCCACTTCGCTCGGCGAGAATCTGCGCTAGATCGTGGAAGTGCGTGACGAACCAAACCAGTGCATTGCTGGAGATGAGTGCTTCGGCTAGCGCAACGGCAATGGCGAGTCCGTCTGTTGTGCTGGTTCCGCGGCCTAATTCGTCAATAATGACCATGCTCCGCGGCTGGATGTTGCGCAGGATGAATGCCATTTCGCGCATTTCTGCGGCGAAGGTTGACACGTTTGCGTCTAAATCGTCCGATGTTGCTACGCGGGCGAAGAGCTGGCTGGAGATTGGGAAGGAGGCGTACTGGGCCGGTACGAAGCAGCCTATTTGAGCCATGACGGTTGTCAGGGCTAGGGAGCGAATGTAGGTTGATTTGCCGCTCATGTTGCAGCCTGTTATTATTTGGAATCGTGTTTGGGGTGTCGCATATGCATCGTTTGGGATGAATTTGGCAGAGTGGATCTGTTCTCGGATTGGATGCCGTCCTGCTTTGATGGCTAGGGTGTCGGTTAGCTCTGGTCGGGTGTACTCATGTCTCGATGCTAGCTGTGCGAATGCGCTTAGCATGTCTAGCATTGCAATTGCTTCGCTGACTCGAAAAAGTCCGGATACTTCGTTGCACACATCGCGCAGCAGGTTTTGGATGGCGCGGTCGCTCATATTTATTACTTCACTGTGTGAGTCCGTGATCTTCTGGTTGAGTTTGACTAGATCCAATGTCTGACATTCGATGCGGTTTCGCTTGCGATACACGTTGATAAAGATATCTGGCAGTGGACCCGGCTCTGTAGCAGAGATACAGATGTAGTACTGCCGTGCTGTGTCAAACTTCAGGTCTAAAGTCATGTCGCAATTTTCTGGAATGCGTTAAGAATGATTCAAAAGAAAAATTTTCCAAGGCTTACCTGATAGCTTCTCGATCAGTTCTGTGGCATCTGCATTCGCCTCTTTGTAGGTCTGTCTGGCAACATCGAGCAGACTATTGACACCGGCCTGTCTTTTCTTAGCAAAGTTCAAGCATGCCTAATGTTCAGAGGTTTCAACCTTGACACAGTAAATGCGTTGGTTTCGCAGATCAAGTGGCCGAGACTGGTAGGTAACATGCTCATTCAATGTTGTATCAATTAGCTCCTCGATCGCGCGATGACCTTCTGGTGCGCACAGCTAAAGCGAGTCAGTATTGACTGCGATCAACAGCAAATCGATGCCTACTTCGCGTATTGTGAGAAGTAAATCACTTTGCGCCGTTGCAAGGGCCTGGAAGATTTTCTTAATTGCAGACACATATGTTTTGAGCATAATGACATTGTTCACAGACTGCTCGATGTATTGGATGGTCTGTTTAGTAGGAACCAAGATAATCTCGATAACAGTCAGCACAGCTCTGCAACTTTGTTTTCAAATACTCTACCGCAGTCAAGACTTTATCGGCATCAATAAACCCCTTCAGCGTTTGTCTCACAGAGACAAACATGTCTTCTTTGGTTGTGAGATCTTCCACAGCATTGTACCTTGCTGTCAGCTTGCCTCGTTCTGTTGAAGGTTGGAGAATACTAGCCCGGAGCAATCTTGCTCCCATAGGTGTTAGTGTCTCATTGAGCAGTCCATATAGGCTCTCCTTAGACTTCGCATTCTGTAAGTTCTGGATGAGCTCGAGGGATACAATAGTCGCGAGGTCAATTGTCATAGAACCTTGGGATGGCTCGAATCGAATGCGCAAAGAGTGGGACGCAAACGATCGCTGGAGTTCAACTTCAACATATTTGAGAACCTAGTCCCAATGTCAGTAATTCTTTTCATTTTAAACGAGTCTTCATACTGCCGCAAAGCAACAAGCTGCGAAATAGTTCCCACCCAGCGTCACCTTGAGCGAGTCGAGTTCTTCTGAAAAGGAGAGTCGCTCCACATATTCATGTCCTGTTTTTTCGGACCACCGCCTGCGGTCTAGGAAGGTGAAAATAGGTTCAGGCAAGTTCTCCTGGATGATATAGCGAAACTTGGACTCTTTGGCAGTGTTCATAAACAGAATCTCGCTGGGCTCGAAGACCCCGATTTTGATAATTGTCTTCACATAAGTTTGGCTGTCACATATCTGACAAAGAACTGCTTCAGCCGTTACAAGATTGACGAATGCGAGACCAACAGTAGATGGAACACCGCGCGATTCGCTGACAGCACAGATAATGTCCTGGGATGCGACACTGGTGGCTGTTGTGGTTGGTCTTGCAGTTGGGCGTCTACTAGTGCCCCTAGAAACCAATCGAGAAATAGAATGTAGAGACTCCACTGAGTTCAATGAATAAACCGACATTGTGAACTTCACATTGACATTTGAGACGGTTGTATGGAGTAAATGGCCGTAGATGGCTGTAGATGGATAAATCGATAGCGATAAGATAAGCATCGAGATAATTTTGCCCGTCAAAAATTCTCTCTTCCCCCACGACATCAAACAAAATCAAAATCAACCATGGCGACCCTCTATCCTCCTCCCAGCAAGCGTCAGAAGCTCGCTCAGGCTGAGAAGGCCCGTGAGCAGCAAGAAATTGAAAGCATTCCGTCCGACCTGGGCAGTGTCCGAGTCCAATTCTACGATCAAGCAACCGGCCAGCCCACTGGGCCTGCGGTCTCTGTTCCAGTCGCTGATGCCAATGTGAAGAACCTCGAAACTTTGCTGAACACATTACAAGGAAATGTAAGAACTGGAATATGTTACTGATTTGCAATTGGTATTGGTCCTGACAGTGATTGTTTCTAGGAAGATGATGAGCGAGTACCGTACCGCTTCGCCTACCACTCCGAAAAAGAAGGACAAACTATTGACATTCTCCGCGATGTGTACCACTCCTTGCTCCAGCCCGGAGTCAAGACCACCGAAGATACAGTATCTCTTTTCTACACACCACAGGCAGTGTTCCGAGTGAAAGCCGTTTCACGATGCGCTGCCTCAATCGCAGGCCACGGTGAAGCAATTCTCGCAACCTCTTTCTCCCCTATCAACTCATCCACCATGGTCTCCGGAAGCGGAGACAACACTGCACGTGTATGGGACTGCGATACTGGAACCCCGCAACATACCCTCAAGGGTCACACCAGCTGGGTGTTGGCTGTAGCATACTCGCCGAACGGCGCTATGATCGCGACCGGTAGCATGGATAACACCGTGCGGTTCTGGGATGCGAAGAAGGGTACTGCCCTGGGCGGCCCGCTCAAGGGTCACGCGAAGTGGATTACCAACTTGGCTTGGGAGCCTTACCACGTGCAGGAGTCTGGGCGCCCGCGTCTGGCCTCCGCCTCTAAGGATTCTACTGTGCGAGTTTGGGATGTTGTCTCGAGAGTAATTGATCATGTGCTCACTGGTCACAAATCGTCTGTCACTTGTGTCCGGTGGGGTGGTACCGGGAAGATCTATACTGCTTCCCACGACAAGACCATTAAGATCTGGAACCCTAAGGACGGTACTTTGCTGCAGACTCTAGCAGCGCATGCCCACCGTGTTAACCATCTTGCTTTGTCGACCGACTTCGCTCTTCGTACCTCGTATCACGACCACAGTGGCAAGGTGCCCGAGACTGAGGCCGAGAAGCGGGCTGCTGCTAAGAAGAAGTTCGAGGATGCGGCCACCGTCAACAACACCATCGTTGAGCGGTTGGTGTCGGCCAGTGACGATTTCACAATGTACCTGTGGGAGCCATCTACTTCGAGCAAACCTGTTGCACGCATGTTGGGCCACCAGAAGGAGGTGAACCATGTCACCTTCTCGCCTGACATGGCTTACATTGCCTCAGCTGGATTTGACAACCACGTCAAACTGTGGAATGGTCGGGATGGAAAGTGAGTGTCTTCAGTATATCCCTACTTGATGCGTAACTAACCAATTTAGATTCATCACCACCTTCCGTGGCCACGTAGGTGCCGTCTACCAGTGCTGTTTCTCTGCCGACTCACGCATGTTGGTGTCTTCGTCCAAAGACACCACGCTCAAGATCTGGGACGTGCGCACCGGCAAGCTGCGCATGGATCTTCCCGGTCACAGGGATGAGGTCTTTGCCGTCGACTGGAGTCCCGATGGACAAAAGATCGGCAGTGGAGGTAAAGACAAGCAGATCAAGATCTGGCGCAACTAGGTCTACCCGCTTGCTCAAAACTTGCTTTCACTAGCTAGTCTCGATGGCTAGCTATATTTACATTGGAGACGACTGATTAATATCCAATGCGTGGTTGCGACAGACACTTTATATACCCCCTGGGAGTAAAATCCCCGAAGATCAACCCACGTGGGTTCGCTTCCTGTCAAGATTTGGTACGGTGATACTTGGCTGTATACTATCGTGATCATAGACAGAAGCGAGCCGTGGGCCCTTCGAAGTATCTCTGTGTTAGACGGACCTTGCAACAAAAGCATGGAAGTTAGATGACATTTAAACGTCAATTATTGATGACTGTCCAACCTGCCGGGCAGGATATAGAGAAGGACACTTTATGTATTTAGCTGCGTCTCATGAATATCATTTCTTGCACATTCCTCAAATTGATCAAAAGTCGACTTTCAAGGCCTACAGTAGCTTATTGAATGGTGTCTACAGCCCTGGAGATCTGCCATACATAACACGAGGCTGGCATGTATGTACATGTAGGCACTAATCCTTCTAAATCTACCGTTATGTCGAGAAGCTACCATCACTAGGGCATATGGTTTGAGCAGACCACATGTAGCGTATAAGTGTCTATGTAGGAATCTTCCTTTATTTTAAATCAGCCCATGGAGGATATCACTTAGAATTAATTTTTCAGAGTTTCTTCCAATCCCCTCGGATACCTTTTCCGATTATACTACGAAGTACATTAACGCTACTAATTTTAGAGCTGCGTTCGATCTCCCCATTAGCCGATGGTGAGACAAGCGTAACCCTTCTTCACTGCCCCTGCAGCCACCGACGACAATTGTCTTTAACCTATTTTCCAGACTCGAGCAAAACCCAGTTTCTCGAAGCTTGCCATCCCACAATCCTCCTATGATGTACATACACAGATAACTGACTATGACTACCTCACCCACGATGTACTACATACATATTAGATATGTACATATTTACACCAATGTTCAATTCATCGAACCCGAATTAAATCCTTCATTAATTACCAAGCTGATCAACTATGATACACACCGCAAATCCCCACCAAACCATACATAATCAAAATCAAACATATTGCCAAGCAGGCACATCCCCCTCATACGTCAACGCAATAGCCGAGAATCCCAAACAAGCACTAACATCACCCCCAGGCACAGTAGCATTCTGCAATGCCGCGAAAACCTGCCATCTCGCATCGTCCGTAGGACAAGCCATGAACCCACTCGCACCCCACCCGGCAAACGAGTAATGCGCCCACGGCTGGTCAGCAGCGTACTCGAAGGGTCCCTGTGAGGAGCCCGGCGGGATATTCATCGAGTGCGCCTGTGTGAAGCTCAGTGCGCCGTTAGGGTCCACGTAGACCTGCTGGCCGCCGGGAACTTCGGTGTCCTGCAGTGTGGTTATTAGCGTTGCGCTCTTTCCTTCTCTTTGAATGGGGGAGGGGAGCGTACCAGGGCGCTGCCGCCGGGCGCGAAAACGGTCTGGTTGCCTGGTGGGCAAGAGGAGACCATGCTTGGGCAGTAGGAGGAGGTTTCACCGCCGAGGTAGAACTTCTGGCCTGCGGCGTTCATTTGCAGGTAGTGGATTGGGGAGGCGGAGCGGACGGCCATTACGCTGAAGGGGGGTTGGGGGTTGGGTCACTGGCTGGGACGCTGGCTGGGGCTGCGGCCGCCAGGAGGGGGAGAGAGAGGGCTAGGGGGAGGTATTTCATATTGGGTGGAGGTTGGATTGATATTGATAGATTGGATGCGAGTAGATGGGATGGTAGAGATATAGGTGTTGTGGAAGATGAGTGATTGAATTGGATTGGAATGTTGTGATATGGGAGCGGTGCAGGCCCCATTTATATATTCATCCCAGGACAATACTATATAAATATAGATCCGCAAGTAGGAATGCAATTCATGGGCCATCGGATCAGGAAACACGTTCATGAATTTCCGTCATGACTGTCGGGTTTGGCCGCGCCGAGTGGCGAGCTCATTGGACGAACATGTGGATGGGCCTGGTATAGTTTGAGACAAGCAGGTCCCCGGACAGGTTCTACTGAAGCATTTGTGATATAATTATCTCTAGCGAAGTGCGCGCATGCAACGGTGGAGAGTTTGGTCCCTGCCGAGGGAGCTGGGGTTCGCTCTCAAGCGAGATATGTGAGACATGATGGAGGCCAAGGAGGCGGCCAAGACGCGGAGGGGGAGCCCTATGGTGGTTTTTGGTGGTTTGCGGTCGCGGATTGTGGGTTGTTGTGGATTGAGGCCGGGGGTTGCTAGTGGTTGGTTGTTGCTCGGGTGGTTTGGGATCTGCGGTTGTCTCACCATACGAGTACTCCGCTTCTTTGAAGACTGTAATTACATAGTTAGTAACTATAGGTAGTATATTTTTGTCAATGTCTCGGCTGAACTCGCATTCCGGCTAATCTGCAGGTCTTGTAGAGAAAAGAAGAATGTATTACTACTTGCGTCCTAGCGCACGCATACGCAGTCATACCACTGAACAAGCACACTTGATCTAAGAGACAGACATTCCCAAATCCGCAACGAATCCCAAATCCAGCAACACCACCTCCAATAAATGCTACATATTTCTTCTAACAGCCGCCACCGCCACCCCACCATCGACGTACACCAGCACCGGTACATATCTCACGCAACCCCGCGGCACCGGCAGCAGCAGGAGCTCCATACAATCAGCGCGAGTTCCTACAACCGAAGCCTGGCACGTGATGTTTACGAGTTCTGTCGAACGGCATGCACGATGCCGTCTGTGTGCATGGGTGGTTGGATATGGTGAGAGAATGAGGTCAACTGTCACACAGACGTGGCACTGTGCATGTCCGACGCGGATTGCGTGTTGGGGTGGCCAGGGACGGTGTGACAGATTCAAGGTCTAGTGTCGTGTGCCTGGCGTGGAGCCGGAGATCTACAACGTACTGTAGAGATGGTGAGATGAAGTGGGCCACCCGATGGGACTAATACTGATATTCAGGAACGATAGGAATCTGCAGCGATCTACAGGATACGTATCGGATACAGTGGAGATAAGGCACGTCCCCGACCCCACTACCGGGATAGAATTGGATATCAAAACTTTTATTCTAACCGAGAACATTCGATTGGTATGTACGCGCGGGTCGGCCGCGAAGGTATGAATAACATGGCACAAATCCGAGAGCCAAGAGCAATATCGCGCCAGAACACCGTAGCCACGCGCCGATTTTCCCCGTCTTAAGTCATGGCCCGAGCAAGGGAATTAAAAGAAAAAGAAGAAAAAGAATAAAAGGAGAAGAAAGAAAGAGAAAAAGAAAAGAAAGGTAAAAATAGCGATACGCAGAGCGCGTTCAGTAGTCGCCTTCATCCTCATCGTCGTTGTCTCCGCCTCGGCCGCGGGGCTTCATCCCGTCTTTTCGGATGGGAATCTTGATGCCCTGCAACGCGAAGCATTTGCTGAGTTGGGTGCTTTCGATGACACCGGGAAATTTCTTGGCAGAGAAGACCTGGAATGGCTCTGAGAAGACTGAGGCAAGGACGGGGGCTGTTCCGTGGTTGATGACTGGGGCGCCGTTGGTTGATTCAGCGGACTGGGTGCCTACGTCGACGAAGCTCATTTTCAAACTGGGATTTGTTAGCAATTGTTTTTCGTGTGCTTCGCTTCGGGTAAAACTTACCGGAAAGTGCCTTCGGTGCGAACACTCAGATCTTGCAGGATGAACCAGACGCCGATTTTGTTGTCCGGGTCTGTCAGGCGGAATGCGCTGGCGCTGAGACTGCCGATCAGGTTGCGAGTGAACATCCCACCAGGTCCGCCTGAGACGGCGGGTTGCGTGGCGGCGGGCGACATGGCGGGTGGGACTTGGCCTCCGGCGTAATATTGTTGTGGCGGGTAGGTGACTGGCTGCCCGTATTGGTTTGGGTAGGTCATATGTTGACTGCCGTAGTAGTTGTTCATCTGGGGATACCCCGCGACGGGGTATTGACCTTGGCCGTAGCCTGTGTAGGTTGGAGACATGCTCTGGGGCGGAGGAGGATATGAGGAAGACATGGCGGTAGAGATGGAAGGGGATGTTGCGGAGTGCTTGACGAGGTTGACTTCATTGGTGCCGTCAGCATTCCATAGGTCGACGGTGAGCACGTAGAAAGAGGTATCGATCTCACTAGAGGTAGGTATTAGTAAATGTGTGGGGAACGCGCGTGGAGGAAAAAGCAAACATACTTGATATCTATTTCTTTATTTGTGAGCTGATCACGCACAATGAGACGAATGCATGGCGGGGGAGTGATCGGTCTCCGGTCCTGTAAGTTGATTAGAAGCTGGGGGGCACACAAAAATGGGCAGAAAAATCACCCACCTTGTCACCAAATCCGCACATGCGAGCTCGGATTGGTTGCTGGACCACCTCTAATGCCCAGAGGCGACCGCCGTATTCATTCTGGATAGGGGACAGGTGATCGGAAGGCCGCATGGAATTGGGACCCGGCGGGTAGGACGGAGCAGAGATGCGATCCATTGAGAGGGGAGGCGGGACGGGATGATGTCTATCTTCGACGGCATACATGGTATCGGTTGGGAAGGAACCGAGGGTAACTGTTTCTGGATGAACGGTGGAATACAGCTTATACAGATCTGCCAGATCCTATAGCTGTCTTAGTGTTCGAAGGGAGGGGCATATGCGATATGCGACCCCGCGGATGTTCAGACGTCACTGCTGGAGCATCGACGAGCTTGAGCTGGGAAAAAGAGTCCGCGCGGGCGAAACGAGCTGCAGTGTTTTTTGTGTTTTTTTGCGGCGGAAGTTGTCCAATCCGACGTTTGAATATAATATCACGAATGGGATCCGGTGCGATCGTGAACTGGTAGCGGAAAAGCCGAAGCGAGGATCGATTGAGGTCAGAGAGAGTTTTATCGCGGAACCGTAGAATGCGCTCAGGGCGGGGAGTGGCGATATCGAAGGGTTTCAGGGAACGGTCAGAACAAGGACACGCGATCTATCGAAATCCCTGTGACTTGGGTTAGGATCAAGTTCCCAAGTTTCGCGAGTCTTGCAAGTTTCGCAAGCTCCAAGCTCCTCAATGAACGGCACGATGACGCTGTCCAAATGCGGGAGATTCGCTGGGCTTCCACGGATCACCCTTTTCGCGGGAAATTTGTACCAGGTAGAACTCACAAAGAAAGGAGATTGAAGATTATTTAAGAGAGAGAAATAGAAGAAGTAAAGAAAATAATAAGGCGGAAATGGAAGATTGGCAGAGAAGAGTTCAAGGTGTGTTTCAACTCATTTTCTCCCCAAATGAAGAGACGATCCCAGACACCAGACACTCGGGACTACACCATTTGACACACTGTGAGCCTCGTCCGCTTTCGGTCTCCCGCAAACGGTCATCTGCATTCGACTTTTCATTTCTTTTTCATTCTTTTCATTCGTCGAACAAGTAACAAATTTTCACTTGACTCCATTTTGAACCAGACATTGAGAGTATTCTGCCCTGCTGTAATTTCCCTTGCGGTGGGTGATTCTTGGTGTGCACGGACTTGGTTATTCTCTGAACATCGACTCCATAGCTAACGAGCAATTTACTCAATTGTATAAATCTGGATAGAAATGGTATGAGGAAAATTGCTAACTACTCGGTAGAATACTTTATAGATAGTCACATTTACTATTTGTTTATTGTTGTGTTCAGAAACCCTGGAATCACCCTTGAGGGATGACCCAGAGGAGACCGGTCCATGTTTAACAAAGAAGGCACGGATCTTTATTTTATTTATACCAATGTACATACTTGTATAGAAGTGACAGTTCCCCGGTCGTAAATCCCAGTCGTCAGTGAAGTTTTAAACTGCAATCCTCATATGTACGGGGGATCCCGACTCCCACTGCCTGGGTAATTCCGAGGGTCTGGTCAGCTCGTCTAGATCTCATCCTTGATCCCTGACTTGGCCATATGGAGTACTCCGTATGTATAATGTATGTATAGTTAATCTGGTATTGCGCACGTCCCTCGATTTTACATATTCTGATACATTGGAAACATTTGATATATTTGATATATTTTTTGATGGAGGTGAGAATGTCTTAGGCACCTTGGACTTACTTGTCTTGATGAAAAATAGTTACCCCGCACTCACCTATATCACAAGTTATTGTACAACTGTACATAGTATAGCATTTATACGACTGGACTATTGATGAAACTTTTGATCTCATTATGAACACTCTCCTCTAAACTAGGCTCACTCTCAAATCATCGCTCAACCTTGCATTCAATTTGTTCTTCAATCATTCCACAGTCATTCTATGCTTTCCTAAATATACCTACACTACCCACACTCTGACGAATGACTACCCCGCCTTAAATATAAGTCAAATGTACCTAAGTAAGCACCATGGCAAGCTTATATCATGACGCCATTACCGAAAGACTTTGCGAGTCGCTCGGCTCTCGCTTATCGACTAACCACCTCCTTCAACTGAGATCTGATTGCACTTTGACTGATTATCGGTTGAGAATCGGTTGCATATGTTGTCAAACACATATGCACTATGTTACTGCTGAGCGCGGCGGTCTCGATCTCGAACCAGTCTCCGCCGAACAACAATACAGGTAAGCTGGATTCGATTTGATGGATTTTCAATGGAATTACCTCTCTACTAAAATCTCAGACCTTCGTCTGTCGTCACACTCTGACCACGAATTGAGAACCATATGCACGAACTTATATAACCCAAGTGATGAAGTCCTCGTTCAAGGGTAACCCCAAATCCTCAAAATTTAAAGGACAAGAGCCGAAAAGGGTAAGTTATCTGAATTACATTATCATCAGCTTGGAGCTGTTCCTTGCTTCTGAGACCTCGACCTCTATATGGTTCCTTCCATTTTTACTTGCCGGGTCATCGTCGATGCTTCTTTCTCGCTTTTCGCTTCGTTATTTCCAATTTCATTTCATTTCCTCTACTCAATCTAATCACTTTCTACAAGAACCCCAAAATCAGAACACAAATTATAACTCCAATGGGTTTCTTTGGTGTTCAAATCCCGGACCCAGGCAGAGACCAATCTGCGTGATTTGCAACCGCGCTTTTCTATTGCTGAATTGCGACTGCTGCGGCCTATTCATTCCCCGCCCCAGAGAGGACGGCCGTTCGGTTCTAATCACGGTCTTGACTCTGCTTTCTATTCACCTTCCGCCTGGGTCTAAAGGAGTAAAGCAGCACTGCCCAATACCAAGGTGTCGACATCAATTTCAATGGGCAGAGGAAACAGGCAGATATGGGCTGGAAGCCCCGGGAAGACCCCCTCGTGGCTGTCACAAACAAAACAGAGAAATGTGCCAAAACGCGATCAAAAAAGAAGTCAGACTTAACATGGCAATGTCAAAGAACTGAGAGTCCAAGAAGGATGATGGTAAGCCAGCTAAGGGACGGAACGGTCGAACCGACCTCAATTTGATGATAAACTGGAAACTGTGCAACGCGATCAAAGACCCTGGAAATATTACGAAAAGCTGGAACGACATCATACAATGATTGGGCTTGGAATCATTGGTCCGACGATATATATCATGATCAACAGCGTAAGCTTAGTCCGCGGTTAACGGCTCTTGGGCTTTATTCAGATGCACGGTAGTGCCGCTGAGCAAGTGGAGCAAATAAAGGACGAGGAGGCAGAGGCTTCAGTCCATTTTCAAGTCAAATTGATCTGATATGATGGAAAAATGGTTGGATTATTGCAACAAACGCGGCGAGCGGGGGGCCACAATTACTCGAAATGGCTCGACCCTGAATTTCTCACAACGGGAATACAGCACACGGAACAGTAGATCCCAAGTCAATCCATCATCCTTGCATAAGGTTGCCGAAAGACATCTGATCATCGCAGATACGACTCGCCACCAAGTAACCGTCTCCCATTGCACGATGAGATGGCAGACCATCAATTCAGCGCGCATTAAGGAGGATGTTGCCTGACCGGCTCCCAGCATTGATCCGAAACTCTGCCTTGAAGGATGAATGCGGACGGGGTATGATATAGTAGACTTTTCGCTGGCCATCAGCAAGTTCTGTTACATCCTCCTTGACCATTGCCACGCCGATGAAGGACTCAAATTACAGAAGGAAGATACCTGAGGCAGAGAGCCCTGCAATGAAAACCTGGCTGGGTGCACTACCAACGAGGTTTAAAATAAAAAGGGGTTCGATATGTGAACGTCTAAACCTGGGACATCGCAGAAGAACCCGGGAGCAAAGATGCGGTAAATCATGCCAGTTCTATAGAGGTTGAGATGCGAATGGATCCCAAGGGAGAATCCCAACAGACTGGGCCGCATGTTTCCCTCGTGCATCAGAGGCGAAGTACATCGTGCTCGACACATACTTACTATCCTCGTCGCCGACTCCTACTCGAACTGCCCGGAGTGACCCCCGTGATTTTCTTTTCAAACGAACGACAAAAAGAAAGAGAGAGAATCGTGGAACATAGTGATGGCCGGTAATACTAGTTCACTGTACAGCTCACAGGTCAGGGCTTCTGATTGTTGCCGAAGTTTCCATATGATCCATACCGCTGGTGCCATCGATGGCGCCAGAAAATGAGCCAACGAACAAAAGCATTCTCCCAGGCTATTAAAATAAGACGCTCTCATTTTGAGCAAAGCATGCACGATCATTCCAACTCCAACAAATTCGGACTAGCCGTCGGGCTTAGATGAGGGCCCTCTCACTACAGCCGATTTGTCTGAAATCATGGATCAGCCGGCAGATGGTCTGTCTAGAATCATGGATCAACTAGACCGGTATCGACCGAATAACCTAGCCTAGCTCTCCTTTTTTCATCATAATAATATGCATCATCGCCATCTCAAGGAACGAAAGTTTCACAAATCCCCTCCAATATAAGTATTCAATTGTAGGGTTGCGAGATGATCTTCAAAACAGCATCATGGGCTCACTATATTGCGTGCTTCAAGGTGGAGATGGAAGTGTACAACTACACACTGATTTTTAGTACGAGATGTATACATACATCTGTACTTAATCTATAACCAGCCGATTGCCGACTATCGACTTACATCGCACATCAAAGCCCCCTTGCGCAAGGCACACTTGTCATGTTGTGATCGAGGCCACGCCCATTTCTCCATTTCTCGCGTGGTATTTGAAGCCCTGGACTCCCCGGAAACAAGGAATTTTAGACAAAGCAGATTATATATTCAGGAAAACCCAACATATTTCCGACCTTAATTTGTATATATAATAGTCGCGTTGTCGACCGCAAATTGTCGATGTGGTTCAACCAATCTGCCCTGGCAGCACTGTTTGTTGTGATATCTTCACTCTCTCCATGCCAGGCCATCACATACTCCCCAATTAAACCACCATCATACCCACTGGCAGTGCGCAGTCCCTACCTCTCAGGTACGTAGGCCGATCACCCCGAAATTCAGCAATTGACAAAGATCGGCAGCGTGGATCCCCGGAAACTCCGTCGCGTCACTCGGGTCCAGCAGAGCGCAATTCTGGGCCGGGAATGACTTGATCTGGTCTGTCAGCGCGCGTGTTGATGGCGTCGCGTACAATCTCTTCGGCGTGAAAGCGCCCCTGGCTGGATCCAAGGCTGGGACTGTCACAAAGGCCGCATACACGTCCACCCATTCCACCTTCACGGTGGAGGCAGGCGCGAGGACTTTCACCCTCGATTTCTTCTCCCCAGTCTCGCCCAAGAACTACCTTCGTCAATCGCTGCCTTTCTCCTATCTCACTGTCACCCTTGCTGCGGGTGACTCGAGCTCTGTGCAGGTTTACTCCGATATCGATGATAGCTGGGTCGGGCAGGCGAACGACGTAAGCTGGAGTTACTCCACCAAGAACTCGACCCGCATCTTCCAGATTAAAGGCGTTGACACGGCAACGTATTCGGAGAACGCTAACGGTCAAGCTCTGTGGGGAAGCGCCGTCTACGCCACCCGTCCCCCGACCGGTGGCTCGCTCTCCGCTGCCTCTGGACCGTCGGCGTCAGTGCGCCAGAGCTTCATCACGAATGGTACACTGTCTGGCAAGCACGCTGAATGGTCTGCCGATGGCGTCGTTGGGTTCGCGCATGATCTTGGGACGACCGCTGGGGAGATCGCTGTGACTTTTGCGGTTGGCCATGTGCGCGAAGAATCGATCAATTACCTGGGCGCTGCGCAGACGGGCTACTACCGTGCGAAATACGCAAGTACCGTCGATGCAGTCTCGTACTTCTTGGATGACTACTCCGATGCGAACGAGGAGTCTACAACATTTGACAACCTCATTCAATCGACTGGCGTCTCAAGCTATGGATCTAACTACTCAGACATCCTGGCCCTATCCGTCCGCCAAGTCTACGGAGGCATTGAAATCACCATCCCGAATGACTCCCTGGACATAAACAAGACATATGCCTTTATCAAAGAGATCTCCAGCGACGGCAACATAAACACAGTAGACGTCATCTTTGCCACGTTCCCAATCTTCTACCTCCTAAGCCCAGACTACATCAAGCTCCTACTAGACCCAATCCTCGAATACACCGGCAGCACTGCATACGACAAGACCTACGCCGTCCACGAAATCGGTGCCAGCTACCCCAACGCAACAGGCCACCCAGCCACCGGCGAAGAAATGCCCATCGAAGAGAGCGGCAACATAATCCTCCTCACACACGCCTACCAACTCGCAACAGGAAAAACAGACCTCTCAACAACCTACGCGTCCCAACTCTCCCAATACGCAACATATCTCTACCAAAATGGCCTCTACCCGGCCTCCCAGCTCTCCCTAAACGACGCCCTCGGCGAACTCTCCAACCAAACAAACCTAGCCGTCAAAGCCGCCGTCGCGCTTGCCTCCTACGGCGGCTTAACCAACAACGCAACATACACGGCCTACGGCCAGTCCTTCGCCTCACAGATCTGGTCCGACCTCGGCACCGCCAACGGCTCACACTTCCTCCTCCAGTACGGCGTCCAGCCCTGGTTCCTCGTCTTCAACCACTACCCCGCCGTCCTGTTCGACCTAGACCTCTTCGCCGAAGCATCCAACGCAACAGCCGCCTTCTACCCGACCGTCCGGCAGAAAGCTGGCGTGCCGCTCGACGGCGCGCTGGGCTGGGGCCAGACAAATTGGCAATCATTTGTAGCGGCCACGGTCGGTGGCGCGACGAGGGAGACGTTTGTGTCGGATTTGCATGCGTATCTTTCTAACGGGCTCAATGGGGCGCCATTCTCGGATCGGTATTGGGTCGTCGATAGTGGCGAGTATGTTGCTGGACAGGCGTATTCTTTCCGTGCGCGGCCGACGCTCGGGAGTCATTTTGCGTTGGCAGCGTTGGGTGGGGGGGATATTTGGGGGTAGTGGGATTTGATGAAATTCGACTTGAGCTTAAATTTGATGATTGGTGTGTGCAGGAAGACAACGCTGGCTACAATATGTATTTATACATGCGTACATATATAGCCATTTGACACATTTCCAAGACCCATGAATAACTCAAACCCCCCTCCATCGAGATCTAACTAAGCGTCAGAGTCAACCAATATTAGCATGATGTTGTACTATCATCAGCTGGGCAGATCTATACTTGACCCGACAAACTTTAAACTCTCAGGCTGCTACCAGTGGGTCTGACTCTCAGGCGTAACCTAACCTTATTCAGGTAGCGGCCGTTGGAAGATTAACGACAGCGAACTCGAGTATCTTGTTTCTTACGTAGTTGAGAGTTAAAAAACTGAAATGAGTAGCTTACACGTTTGAAGCAATTACGCGTGGTTTTCCAAGAAGAGAAATTACGAGATGAGTAGGGTAGAGCGTCAGGAGATTTGATGTGAGATAAATAGTTTGATGTGGTTTTGGCCCGTAATTTTGATAGTGTTTCTGCTTTGAACGGTAAAATACAAACGAACAAGAGCTGTAATATGATACGTCCATTTACCCCCTGTAAAAGAGTACTTGTTTTCGTTTCTGGCGAATCGTGAATTTGGCAAGATACCCCTCCCTCGTGACCTAAATGTTTAGGATGGTTCCAAGTCGATGCCGACTCATTAATCTTGCCTCCAGCTCATACTCAAGCTCTCTGACGAGCATTTAATCAACAATCTATATTATTTGCTCTATATATCCACCCGTTTCTGATAAACAGCAGACCCGTATCTCGACCTCGCTCCCACATTATATGAACGACCACTCCAACCACGCCTTATGATGGAGGATAACGAAACCTCATCGCACTCTTCATTCGATTCTGTAATGACACCGATGCATACCAGTCTACACGAATCCTACACTGAGCTCGGTTCACCACCGTATCCCGCACAGAAGATAGGGCCACCTTATAAAGGAGCAACTTTCATCATTCGCGATCTTCAGAGGGGCTTCGTTATCGCACTTACGGATGGCAATCTGTGCTTGCTACCTGACGGAAATGGAAATCCATTGTTCAATCGTGGTGACGGGCATGGCAATCACTGGCGCTGTGTGGAAAACAAGGACCGCTGGTTGGGCTTCAAGAATACGGTTTCAGGGGAGTTTATTGGACATGACAATAACCAAAAGCACTGGCGTTTCATAGCAAAGGTAGAAGCCCACAATGAATGGGAATATTTCTGTGTCCGCCATCATCCGAATGGCGGCTATGAGATGCTTGTGAAGCATTGGCATGGCTTTCGTGCTATGAAAGTAGGCGGCACTGACGATAGGGAGCTGATGGTTGCTGGAGAAGGAGAAGATGGAACAGCATGGGAGTTTGTGAAAGTTTAAATGGGTGTTGCGTGAAGTATGAAGAAAACTCAGGATATCATCTACATAGTGTTTATAACTGTAGTCAACCTGATATATGAACCGCTGTGCTCAGAAGAGAGTGGATCTTTTGCTGCTTAAGATGTTGCTTTGCTTGTACCATTTCTCGCCTTTGTTTGCACCTTTCGAGCTTTGGAGGTCTAGGCTTGGGAGCATATGCTCTTGAATCGCTCTTAGACTGTATCAGAAGGGACGAATATTGTTACGGGTGAATACAGAACGTTTTTGGTTACGGTATCATGTGATTAGGATTTGAAAGAATCTTTCTGTGTCAATATCAAGAACGGCGACCCTGAGCGGGACTATAACAATTCCCAGCTATCAGTCGAGGACTTGCATAATAGCGTAGACGTGCACGTCTAGATATGTACATATAGTATTTCCCCGAAATACTCCACATCTCGGGCCCACAGATTATATAAACGTGTAAAAAATGTTTGGCAGACACATCGGAAGATAAATCAATAAGCTTCAATTGTGTATCAATCTTGAAGTTCGAGATGTGGGTGAAGCCTATCACTCGTACAACGTAGACAATGAGATATAGCCGGCGAGCAAAGGAGATGATTAAAGATGATTAACAGTTATATTATCTGTAGAACTCCTTGAAATCTTTACATATATAAGTGATGAGAGATAGAATCTCAAGACATTAAATATACTAGTATCTAGGGATACATGGACCCGCAGACCCGCTTCCCCGGATTCATTTTTCTTTTCCCCACTGGATGTATTATCTCCGATCGCTAGTTTTTCTCCACATCTTCCCGAGAAATTCTTCAGCTTGGAGGAAGCCTCAATGTACGAGAGCAGGGAAGCATTGTTCAAATGGCAGCTCTAAGCCATTAAACTTCCGGGTAGAAGGGTCAAGTCTGAACAATATAGTGGCTGGTTACATTGCACTTTTCCTGGAGGCATTGGACTTCTCAAACGCTCTATCAGCTCCGGGTCAGGATGACCGTTTTAATATCCTTATAACTCTTTTTCATATGTCTTTTTCATCATTTTACGTCAAGGTGATAAACAAATGACTCAAACACGGCACAAACTTCATGGCTTGTGAACACCTTCAATTCTTAGCTTAGTTGCTATCAGCCGTGAGCTCAGTTTTTATCAATCGTGAGGGGTAATAGACCTCCATCCTATTACGAGTCAATATCGGTTACGAAGTTCAAAAGGTTCTGGGTCGAGGCATATGACATCGAGGAGAGGGAGGTACACTGCCGAGATGAGTACGGAGACTTGACAAGCTGGTGAGCAGCCGTCTGTCAATGTCTAAAATTTGTTTGGACGGAGGGTCCAACAATCGACAGGCGGATTTCACAGTTGCAAATCTCAATGAATTCAGAGCTTACAAAGAGGTGGCTTACATGCAACAGCCTACCAAACCCCTTGACCGACCTCTTCCGACACGCTCATCCTTGGACCCTGACTACCTCAATTACAAATAGCATATCCTATCTGACGTCGTTGTGACTGACCAAAGTTTTAAACCCGCAATTCACTTGCTGAGGTTTGACCCTCAGCAACTGCCTTGGTGCCTCAATTTGAGATCGAGTCCGCTAATATTCCCTCCTGCAATCTTCAGGAGCTAATCAACCTCATTAGCCGTCGCAATTTCGCAGTAGATTGCTTGCCATCTGACCTCGTTTTCCTTGATTGCGCCCCGCCCCCTTGCGTCTCACTTCTGCCTCCTATTCCTCTCACTTCTCTTTTACTTCTGTTACCTCTCATATCACTTTACATCTCTTTTACATCTCGTCCGTCTCTCCCCTGAATCCTCTTCACCGGTTTCGCCATGTCTGACAAACGCTTGAAGCTCTCAAAATGTGTCCCTACCCTGGAAGGCCAGTTCAGCTGGCACGAGTGGACCCAGTCCCTGCAGACCTTTGCACAGGCCGAGAACAGCAAACTTTGGGACATCATCACCGGCAAAGAGCCTCGCCCTGTCAATACCACCATCCATGAAGCCAAGTCGGCCATCACAAAGGTACAAAATGTAACCCACTGGAAGGCAAACTCTTCGCCTGCCATCACACCACGGTACCTAGGTGGCCTCTTACTCCCCACCCTCCCCACTCGACTACCAACCCAACCATGAGCACTGCCGCTGATACCCTTGATAACCAGTCTACCTCTGACGCCCTAGCACCTCCGGTTGAGCAAGTCACTGCCGCCACCTTCATCACTCAAATCGAACATCGGCAGCAGGAATGGGACGATCTCAACGCCATGGGGCAGGCAATTATCTGCGCCACCGTCCAAAGATATATGATGATCTACCTATTCGAATGCAAAACTGCATTCGAAGCCTTTGACATCCTTCGCTCTGTTTTCGGCCAGGACCTTCATCAATCCACCTCCGCCAAGCTATCTCGCTGGATTCAGTGCACCTACGATCCTAAAATGAAGGCCCAAGACTTCGTCGATAAGTGGCGTCAAAATATGTTGGAGGTGCAGATGGCTTTTGCTCCGAAGGATCGTCCATCCGCCTCGTTTTGCTACCACATATTTTTGAGCGCAGTTTCCGCTAATCCGACCGGTGCTGCCTGGGTGAGTGCTCTTAATACCAACGAATCGCCCCTGTCACTTTGCGAGCTCGAAAACGCTTTTCGCGACTTATTGGCTTTCGTTCCGCTACAAGAAGGTCATAAGTGATTCTCATTAATGTCGCCTGTGGTCATCGCATTGGGGAGTCTTGTACGAATGAAAACGATGGAGTATTTGTCTTGCAAATGTCACAGGCATAGCGAAGAAGCCTATGATGTCGTAGACAGGTGAAGGCCTGCTCTACCGTAAAGAATCTGGGCCAAGCACACCGCTGATCCGACCGGGAAATGTCTTGTACGCCCCCTTCTCCCCTGATTTCGAAAACTACTTAAACTATGGATACCATATTATTATAGTCGTACCAATGAAACGATGTCGTTTTCTATGAGCCCACGTTCTCTGACCCAAGTAAGTGATTGAGCTGAGTAAAACGCAATATTAGAATTGGTTCCATTGGGCCATCTGACCTCCACACCTTCTAACTAGATAGAGTTACCGCACCCTGCTTAGAGATCGATACCCGCTTTTTATCCCGACCTCGGCGGCTGGAACTTGCTTCGAGAGAGAAGGGTGGACTTTGCGAATCGCAATTTTCAGAAGTTCCACCTACTCCCCTGGGCAGCTTTGTGGCCGATCAATACTCTAGACCCATTGAGTTGGTGCACTAAATATTATCGAATGGATACCAGGTTATTCGTGCGGCTGAGACAGGCGTCCAGTGTGAGATATGATACGCATGCAGCTTGACAGATACTAGGGAGAGCGAAGGAATTCTGCTATCGCTGCAATAAGTACAACGTATATGATGTAAAGGAAGTAAGCATAATTCTCGATACCGGAATGGTATAGCTATGTGCCGCGAGTGGAGTCATAGGTTTGGCAATAAAGTTTTCGTCCGATCGGATCCATTTGCTGTCAGGGGTGACCACATGTAAGTACTCCTACCATACGGAATATTGTTGTAGCATATGAGAATAGTAAAATATTCAGGCAGCCACAAATAGCTACGGAGTTCGTCAAAAACATGGTGACCCACAGTTACCCCGAGGCAAGGAGGTGTGTATAGTTCCGAGATAAACAGGATGACTGGACATGCTTAAAGCTGACCTCAGAGCCGGGTTAGCAGGCAATACTATGATTGTACAGTATTAGAATAGACCTGGGCAATATTGCCGCTATTGCAGCTATTGCAGCTATTGGATTATTGTCCGATCTGAAATTGATTGAATTGATCTCTGGATTACATATTTCACCGATCCGAATGTAGATCAGATCGCCAGATCGCGTGGATCTATATGACACATAACCCTAGGGCGACTTACATCTCATAGTTCATTCATGATATGATTCAGGGGAAATTGTTGTCCAATCACATTGTATGTAAGATGATGTTTGCTCCATACTCAGGGATACGGTGAGTTCAAGTCTTTACGGGCTGTTTATCTTTGCCCGAAGTACACAAAGACCGGCGAAGACCGAGGGATATAGCTACAGTATTGTATTTTTAAGATTGTATATTATAGTAAGAAAAGGAGGTCTCCTTATAATGTAATTTCTTCTACATATGGCTCATACTCCACTTAACACTATCGCCGCTTTACTTTCTACTCCGTGCTATAATTTACATTGTACAGTAGTATACAGCGTAGATACACTGTTGGCGATAGACCGTATCAGTTTCAGATATGACACGAAGTGCAGGTAAGAAAGAGTGGTTTAGTGTCATATACTATAAAAAGGTGATACAAACAAGTACACCATCGTACGTTGTGTGTGGTCATCCCCGGCACGGTGATTGGACTATGGACTTTTAGTATTTAAGGTCGAAGGTACGAGAAATGAGGGGGAAAAGGGAAAAAGGAAACAAAATGCGGAAAAAGAAAGAAAAAGAAAAAGAAATGTATTATACAAGTCATTTAATAAACGAATCAGCCATCAATAGTTTTATGTCCTTGCAGAAGAAGAAAAGCTCGTTGAAGGACTACAAAAGATCAGCCCGCGGTCCCACTTTTGCCTCTTATTTTTTTGCTTCGCTACATTTTCTTCCTTTTCTCCTCGGTTCATAGCTTTTCTTTGTGAGTCATCTTCTTTGGGATATAAATTCTTCTCAATTGGTTCTTGGTGATCTTCATAATTCTTAATACTAATAATTTACAAGACATTCTTTGTTTGTCAAGAGTCCTCAGTCATGCCTCTCGTCAACACTACTGAAGTCAACGAGGACACTCGTGGTATGTCCTGAATGATATGCTTCCTGTGATTTTACAATTGTTAATATTATCATCTCCAGTCCTCGGATACGACCCTTTGTTGTCGCCTTACTTCCTGCAGAACGAGATCCCCGCGGTGAGTCAATGAAATTTTTCCCGTCACCCCACTCTCCGCGCGCAAATCAACCTATAAGGCCACAAAAGACCAAAAAAACTGATAATTTCACAGCCTGCACGCGCCATCGAAGCCGTCCGCGCCGGCCGCAACCAGGCCGTCGAGATTATCGAGCAGCGCGATGACCGTCTCCTCGTCGTCGTGGGCCCCTGCTCCATCCACGACCCAGACACCGCTCTCGAGTACGCCCGCCGCCTCAAGGAGATCTCTGTTAAACTCGAGAAGGACATCTGCGTGATCATGCGCGCCTACCTCGAGAAGCCCCGCACAACCGTTGGCTGGAAGGGCCTCATCAACGACCCGGACATCGACGAGACCTACAACATCAACAAGGGCCTCCGTGTCTCCCGTAAGCTGTACACCGACCTGACCTCCACCGGTCTCCCCATTGCCTCAGAGATGCTCGACACCATCTCTCCCCAGTACCTTGCGGATTTGATTTCGCTCGGAGCCATCGGCGCCCGCACAACAGAGTCCCAGCTGCACCGCGAGCTCGCCTCCGGCCTGTCCTTCCCCATTGGCTACAAGAATGGCACAGACGGCAACCTCACCGTCGCCGTCGACGCCATCGGCGCCGCCTCCCACCCTCACCGCTTCCTGGGCGTCACCAAGCAGGGCCTGGCTGCCATCACCAAGACCGCCGGTAACGAGCACGGCTTTGTGATCCTGCGCGGCGGAAACCGGGGAACCAACTATGACCGCGCCAGCATCAAGCAGGCGCGCGAGGCTCTCCGCTCCAAGAAGCAACGCGAGGTCGTCATGGTTGACTGCTCCCACGGTAACTCCAACAAGAACCACCTTAACCAGCCGCTCGTGGCCAAGGAGGTCTCCGATCAGCTGCGCGAGGGCGAGACCAGTATCATCGGTGTCATGATCGAGTCCAACATCTACGAGGGTAACCAGAAGGTTCCCCCGGAGGGACCTGAGGCTCTGCTCCGCGGTGTCAGCATCACTGATGCTTGCATCAACTGGGAGATGACGGTCGAGGTGCTGGAGGATCTGGCGGATGGTGTTCGTGCCCGTCGTGCGGCTCTCAAGGCGCAGACCAATGGCTCGCACTAAGTTCCTTTCTCTTGGTTTGTCCGAGAGGGTGTGGCATAGATACCTATTGGTACTTGTTGTTTTTCTCGGGTTTTCAGCGGCTTCCTTTGTTATTTTTTTTTCTTTCCTGGATGGATCATGAACATGAGAGGTGTTAAAAATAGGAAGGGTTCGAATGTTTCTGGGAAGAATTCCATTAGTGTGTGTGGATGAAAACCACTCAAGAAAAAAGTTTTAAGATAAGAATGGCATATGATCAGCTTCTTGAATCTCTTTCTTAAATCTTTTCCAAAAGATTTTTTTCCAGGGTGTGTCTTTCTACTTATAAGATTCTCGTTTTTTTGGCTGCTCCACCTGATTCCGCGGCAAAGCGCTCTGCCGGAGCAACGATGGGTCACCTCCCTTTTTGGGGATTAGTGTGACTCAGATAAAAGCGAATAGACAATCTTACTTGATTTATTTCAGCGAAGATCAGTTGTACATTACAATATTGTACAGTATTAATTCACTGGTGGAGTGAGTGGTATGTGTCGTTGTATGTCGTTGGTTGGTGGGCTCTTGTACAAAATTATACTGTATTCGTTGTGATACCTTGGATAGGGTGGAAAGACATCTGGATATAGGAGTTGAAATAGAGCAGATAGAAACAGATCTATGTACTGTACACGATATACATTGGAGGCCAACCCGATCATTCCTTTGGAATGCCAGAGGACCATATTGACTAGAAACACATTCCAGAAAAAGAAAATGAGAAGATATAACGCCGTGAACCCCCTGGGACGATGGAAGCGGACCACGACAAAACTGTGGCTAGCTATGCAAGAGAATAAGTATTGTAGATGGCAAGAAGAGAAGATCGGCGGAGCAGAGGATGGGCCCAGACATCTCTGGTCTGTCCAGTAGATGGTCCGGTCAGATCAAGTCAGCATCAGCGGACAGGCCATGCCCACTCCCATCCAGTCCAGCCATCTCGTTTTGTTGTCGAGTCGGTCATTTTCCATCTACCGCCCCGTCAACCAGGAAGTCCAACCCTTCGTCTTTGTCTTCGCGGCCTGCTCCGCACTCTCGGCAAGAACATCCAATTGACCAGGCGAAGGAGCGCCGGTCTTCGCCGAAGCGGCATCCAACGCCTGCTTAGCCTGCACGGCCGCGGTAACACTACCCTGCTGCTCCGCACCCTCAACAGCCAAAGCCGGTGCAGCAGCACCGCTGTCTTCCATATTCAGCTTCTCGAAGAGGAACCGCTTCGCCTTGGCCCACGGCCTCTGTGCCTTATCTTCCTCGCGCTTCTGCTTGATAATGTCGCCGATCTTCTCCTTCTTGACAAGCTCCTGCTGCTCCGTAGTCGCAGTGCCGTTGGCAATCGCCAGCTCAGCCTGCCTGAGTGTCTCGAGCTCCTTCTCAATCCAGAGCGTGCGCTGGCGCCGGTTGTACATTGTAAGCGAAACCATCGAATAAATCGTAAGGACTCCACAGACACCTAGAAAATACACGAATTAGAATTAGCATAACTCCGAACCGGATCAACGGGGATGCATCGACATGAACGCGGATGGGCCGGTCATATATCGTGCCATGTCCGAGCCAGAACATAGAATCAAACATACCAGACGCAGCAATCAGCGAGTAAACCATTCCCTTGTGCGCTTTGTTGGCAAATCTCCGACCAGACTCAATCCATCGATCCGCGCCGCTTCCCGCAGCCTGTGCCTTCTTTGCAGCGCGAGCCTGCGCTCGCAGTCTCTCCACCTTCTCCTTAGGCGTCTCTGGTTGTCCATCCGGGCCGAGCTGTGGTGGTGCATTCTTCTTGCCCTTTGGTTTTCCGGCTCCCGGCACTGAGAACGCGCCGGTCTTCGAGCTGGCGTACGGCCCTGTGGCCGTGAACCGCGTGGCGTCGGCGGCTGATCGGGACATGCTGTGTGTGTCCGCGAGATGGGGGAGGGGTTTTTAGTGGATTGACGACAATTCGCCTGAGGCAATTGGAGGTTTGTTGTGGGGATGCGAGCTGGCACGTTGAAAACTGGGGTTCTTGAGGTTGGTAAATTTTCACGGGAATTGCGCCAAGACATTCAAACACCTTATGATATTGAACTTCATGATTACGAGCTTTTCTGCAAGAGGGTTTGTTCGGGGATCATTTTATACTAATTAATTAAAATTTCGTCTTCTGCTTATTGTTGTTTTCCACAATCACTCTTCTTACACGTCTATGTCATCGTGGACGTTCTCATCTACATCATCAATCTTCACTCTCCGCTCTCCACCGCTTATCATCTATCCCTGGGGTTGACTTGACAACTCGATACCAATTCTGGAAGCTTGATACCTCATCATATCAGGACATTCTACTGGCTGTCAAATATGAACAACAACACATACAATGCCGAGGACCTGAACTCAGTCCTACAGACTCTCTCAAGTCTAGCACCTCAGCCTCAAACTCAAATCCCCCAGCATACACCCACGCCTAATTCACTAAATTGTACATCTTCAAGTACACATGTACCAACAAGTCGCACTGAGGATCCCCGCCAGTCACAACCTAGGCCATCCTCCGTGCGCCCTTCAGTCTCTAAATCTGGCACCGATCCATCAACCATCACTACATGGCCCGCGGCGCTACGCCATGTCATGCGCACCGTTAGCCAGAATGAGGAGACTCAACTGCGCATTCGTGGAATGATCCGCAGCCAGCACAGCCATGAACGAAATTGGTTCCAGGCCCGCGAGGCTTTGATTAAACAGCAACAGGGCCGCCCGCAGAAGCAGAGGGAGTTGGATGCTGTTTTGTAAGTTTGGATGTTACAGGCTTATGGAAGAGATTTTTGCGCTAACTCTCGATAGGCGCTCGATTGGTGCCCCTGTCAAAGAAGATGATGGCTCGGTATGCTTTCCTTTTATTGTTTTTGCCCGTTCTCTTCTGCCTTCCTCCCATCTGGCCATCATTTCATTGGATTTCTTTCTGGCTCATGGCTTACTGACCATTCACTATCTATATACAGACAGAGCAACAGCTTGCCGCAGAGATATCAGCCTACGATCTCAAAGTCCATGCAGCTGCTATCAAGATGTCAGACGCCCTTTTTGCTGAATTACGAGGGATGGGCATTCCGTTCTTCACGCTCCGCAAGGATCTAGTGCAGGATTCGCCAAGTTCCGAAGGGTCTGGAGGTACTCTACGACAGAACCGGGCTGATTCCACTGCAGCTTCGATGCCAATTACCAAGCCTGAGTTGATGAAACTGCAGCAGCGTATGCTAGAGCTACTGGAGGATTTATGCAAAGAGTAATACATTGTTATGGCTGCTGGACTTTATGATCTGCCCATCCTCTGCACCACTCGACCTGAATAATACTTGCCCAAAGACAAGATGGAAATCAAGGGTTCTTGTCGATGATCTCCAAATTCTTGATTTCGAACAGCGTTGCTATGATTCAGATTAGCATCAGAGTCAACATGGCACAAACGCGAACATGAAAGAATCCATCTACTTCATCGCACACAATATCCAGTTCGCGTGGAACTCCTGCCCAGGTGTTTTCTAATGCAAGCCTCTTGGCGAGGTTGCCACCCGGCCTTCCAGCTTTCCCCGCATGTGATGGAAAAGAAAGACAAAAACTTACTTCCTGTTGGACCGGGACTACCACTGCTCCCCTCCATCTGCAAATCAATAATCAAGTTCAACGGCTCGCCAACCAAACTCCCAGCGTATTGAGTGGTGACCAAAGTGCCATCGAGGTAGAAATTAACGCTAACATCGGCACCATTCTCATCCCGCAACTCAGCTTTCACAGTATGGAACTCGGTCGGAGACGGGTACTCGACGTCCTTGGCCTGCACCTCGCTCGAGGAATTAAAAGTATTGAAACTAATATCTCCAGAGCCCTTCCATTCCGCAATGTCAATCTCCGGAGGCCACGAGTTCACGCCATTCAGCCAGAAAGCAGGCCACGTGCCCTGGTCCACCGTCGCGATGAAATCGGCTGTTAAATCCAGCCCGCCGCCCGCTTCAACGGTAAATTGCTGCTTGGCGTACACCGTGCCGGAGTCATAGGCGTAGTCCGATGCCCCGGTGTATGTTGCGTTCAGGGTTAGGGTCCCCGCGGTCGAGATTACTGCGTTAGTCTCTTTCATTATGGCCGCACCGTTGTGTGTGTCGCCCCATGGATAGCCGTAGTTGAAGTACTGGGTCAGCGAGGCGGTCGTATCGAAACATGATGTTGGAATAAGCGTGGTGTCGCGTTTGGTGTGGCTTTGGTGGCTTGGTAGTGCCAGAGCCAGGTATGGGAGACTTGCAAGAATGTATGAAGAATACATTTTTCGCGGTATCTTTTTTACTGGATAATCGGTGTTACGTAGGATTGCAGGAGAATTGCTTCAACTTATACTTCGACGTAAGACACTCTACTGCGTTTATAGAAAGATCTGCAACGGCATAATATTATCCGTAATCAAGCTAGATGTGCAGGACGAATAATTCTCCGAGTCTTTGCCTGTCGGATCGTCGTGATTCAAGACAATTCAGCTGTAGCGACATGCGCCGGATACTAGGATGTTCATTAATTCGACACCCCGCTCGGAGATGTATACCCATTAGGAGAGGGATTTGCACCCCACCGGAGCTACCGTGCAGATCTTAGATAGCCAGGTACCCGAACGTTGGATAAAGCAAGTTGTTGATTTCTTGCTTAAGGTGAATTTCCCGAGTTGAAGAATTCCCGGGTGCACGTCAGTGGCTGTAAGAGCGAATCTTCCATATGTCAGGGCCTCGCTTCGGAGGATTGCAGATCTACAGGTTTCGACAAGATCATCACGGCCGATCACCCGTTGTTTCAAAGATGTTGTGAAACGACTACGAAGTAGGTCCCTTCTTGGGGACCAGGCGGTTGATCATTTCTTATAGTACAATCATCAATCATCACATGTCGCGGGGTTCTCTCGCCAACAGAGGTTTGCTCCTGTTGCAGCTTTTATTGTCTTGGTGTACTTGAAGGATATTTCAAGCTTATTATGCGTGACACCTTGATGCTTGCTAGGTGCGGAGGTCGGGACTTCGCTCCGGATGTTTCAACAAATGCTAACACCGGCAATTTCCGTCTAAGCTTCACATTGTTCCAACGTTGATATTTTGTATTAAAATATCATATAGTAAATCGGAATGAGAAAGCGTTGTCCAGTACAAAATGAAATTACCAAAACGGAGAGTATTGGATGACGTGCGGGCGGACATACCGCCCGCGTCAATCGCCGACCGAGCCTTTCTTCATTCACCATGACTCCAAAAACGAAAAGTGGCCTGGCATCGCTTGCCTGTACTGAGTGCAGAAAGCAGCACTTGAAATGTGATGGTGATAAACCATCATGTACGCGATGTGCACAAAACGGGCTCCTCTGTCAATATCTACCCTCCCGGCGAGGCGGCCGTAGGAAATCCCGACATGAGAGCCCATATGCACGCAATCCGAATATCAATGTCAGTCATTCATTGTCCTGGAGAATAACTAGGTCCCTGGAGAATAACTCGAACTAAACAAATCACAGACCAGATTTCAGTCCGCAGTCCCTGTCTTGCCAATCACCCCTGCGCAGGCTGCGGAAAATCCCCCGGCGCAATCAGGCAGTGAGACGGGGCTCACTATTCCCTCTGAACCAGTTTCTTGGCCAGTGATTCTCTCGGGAAATGCTCCAGTTCAGCAACCTATAGAGTTGGTTAGCAAAAATTCGCTTTTTGACGAGCGGCTGCCTCGGGTCTACTATGAGAACTTCCATGTCGCCCACCCGGTCTTGGTGCCGAGCTCCATGTATCATGACCGGAATTATCCCCGCTTCCTACAACTGGCAGTGCACTTCGTGGGCTCTCATTATATTTCTTCCGTTGACAGTCAGCCTTATAAAGACCAAGTCACTGCTGAGCTGAAGACCAATCCGGACCGATCGGCTTGCATGGTGCAGGCTTGGCTTATCTATTCCATCGCTCTATATGCTCGCGATGAATGGCAAGAGGCTCAAGAAGCCCTTTCTAATAGTATTGATATTGCTTTGGAGCTCGGCATGAATCGCTGGTCATTCGCTTCATCTGCAAGCTCGGAACGATCTATTGAAGCCGAGAGCATGAGACGGACATGGTGGGAGCTGTATGTCACTGATATCTTCATGGCCGTGCCATTGAAAACCACGGTTTTTCGATGCAGCACCGTGACGCCGGAAGTGGCTTTGCCATGTGAAGAGTCAACATATAATAGTGGCAGCGAAGTCCCGAAGCCTCGCATGATCATCGAATTCAAACGGAGGATCCTCGCCGCAGAGGACACCGTCTTCTCGTCGTTCAGCTATCGTATTGAGGCTACCACGATTTTATGTCGAGTTCTTATCCTCAATCGCATGCGCGACTGTCATCGAGATCATCTCCAAGCCGTCGAGAATGCTTTGGTGAGCTGGATCAACCACCTACCACCAAAAAAGCTCGATATTGTCGATTCATACGGGAACGTCGACGAAATGATGTTCCAAGCCCATGCAACTATAGCCTACGCCGCCATGCTCCTACATCTTCCCCGAAGCGATCTCCCAGCCGTCTTGTCCCAATCCCAGCCAGACTACAGATTCTGGCCCGGTCTGACAGGCCAACTCTCATCAACATTCAGCCGTCTTGTCCATAGCATCAAAGCAACAGAAGCCTCAAGACGAATTTCCGATTCCATCTCCATCTGCCCAAACGTCTCAAAACACACCCCCTTCATCATCCCCGCCCTGGCCCTCTGCGGCCTCATCCAACTTGCAACCTCAACCAGCCACTCAGAAGAATGCTTTGACCACCACTGCAACCGCGTCACTCTCATCTTAGGCTGTCTCAAAAGCACCCAGCGAACATGGAAATTAACCGAATCTGTCTACCACGGCCTCCGATCTTCCGCAGCAGACGTCCTATCAGACTCCATGGCAAAATGGAACGCAGAACCACTCCACCGGTTCACCCCAGCAGCCACAACCCCCAGCGACGACCGTCCCAGCAGTGCAAATCCAGCAGCCGCAATGCCGGACGGCCACGATTTCATGCCGCTGGAGTTCGCTCCGGCCTTCATCGATCCCTCTTGTTATAACGCTTCCTTTTTCAGCGCTATCCCTGACTTCGATATCAACTAGTTCGCTTATACCCGGTGGGTTCCAAAAAAATATGGATACACTTTTCACCTAGCCATTTCCGTGAGTGTCGATCGACTTCATCGTGCAGTAACTGTGCATTTTGGCCGCGTCCAAATGCTAGATACGTAATTATAGGGGTCTGGGCATGACCTCTCAGATTCTCGCGCATTGCTTCAAACGCCGATCGACCGTTCGGTCGCCGACTGTACCTTGTTTCAATGGCTGTGATTGGTTCACAGCGGTGATAGACTCCACCCGGTGCTTCATTCGGAGCATGCGCATGCCTGTGCAACAATTGGCGGTGCCGGTAGGAACTTTCGTAGATAGTACGTTGGTGGTTGATGATACGTTGGCGAGTACGTAGTTCTTGATGAATGGGCATTCTGTAATCAAATTAGGTATTGCAAACTGTTCCCATTGGGTCAACTCTCCCCTGTATTCTGCAGTCTCGCGCTTTGCCCCGTCATACTTCAGCTAGGATGAAGAATCTATGTACGTGTTGTTTCACCGACTATTCCTCCATCGGGATGTATGTGTATCTGTTATCAAGTATCCGGGGATAACCGTGTGTCTATATAACGGACACTGATATGATGCTTTCCTGATCGCCGATGGATAGCAAGTGAAGATTATGCTTGGGCCTGGGATCGACTAAGTTATGTATTTGGACTGCTGATATCCTTACATCATGGGCCACCTGGGCACACGAGACGTGTTGAACAAGATGCATGTCTATTGCGTTAGAATTTGACGCGATGGCGTTATGGAAACAAATTTTATAAATTTTATAAATTGACCCGAGGTTCTTTCGAAATGATTGGAAAATGAGAAGAGAAATCAGAAAATGAGCAGGATTGTTCTTAAAATTGTATTGGAAAATTTTCTAGAACTGTTTTGGGCTTCCAGCCAATTATGGTCTCCAGGGGAGCACAGCATATACTACACGATAGAAATAGTCCAACGGCTTTGATGTGTATTAATATTGGTTATTTTAGATTAAAATAACATGCTTAACGTCATTAGTCCTGGCCGCACACTCTCAGGCGAGACTGTAATGTATCTGGAGTGCTGGAATGCAAGGCATTGGATCAATCGGCGATTGAATTCCCAATTTTGCGATTGAGATCGCACGGGGAATTCAGGGGAATGAAACTCATGCACGGGCTGAAGGATATTTATCTTCGCATCTTCCATCTTCGCGTTTGGTTTCAAGTTTATTTTCATTCTCAACCTTGCTCACAATGCCTGCCGTCGTCCCTCTACTCCCGCTTAGCACCGGCCTCCCGGCCTACAAACACTACGAACCCCAATACAACCTCGACGACCTGGTTCGGGATATCAAGACATATCTAGGAGAAAGTGGCGGTATCTCCTCGGCAGATGTGGATAACGAGTACTTGATCTCGCTGGCACAAAAGTATATCTCTGATCCGAACGACTGGGCCCGTTATTTCTACAACGATACCAGCAAAAACTACACCCGCAATGCTATTGAGAATATCAACCAGAAAGCAAATATCGTATGTCGCATCTAGTGTTCATGCTTGACTTGAATTTAACCCGTCCTAGCTCCTCCTCGTCTGGAATCCCGGGAAAGGCTCTCCCGTCCACGATCACGCCAATGCCCACTGCATCATGAAGATCCTTGCTGGCACGCTTCAGGAAACCGTTTACCGTATTCCTGACCAGGAGTCAGGTCCTCCTGGTCCGCTGGAGATCAAGTCTGACACGAGGCATACCATGAACGACGTGGCCTATATCTCTGACGATATCGGGTTACATCGTGTATACAACCCCAGCAGTGATCAGGTTGCTGTCTCTCTTCACTGTAAGTAGTTATAACTTTTCCAGTATGTGAAATGGATGACTGACAGCTCTTTAGTATATACCCCACCTAATGCCGCCGATTATGGGTATAATGTCTACAACGAAGCCACGGGCAAGGCATGCTTTGTACCGCAGGCTAAATCTGTTCCTCAGAAAGAATGAGGTGGTCAAATGCATTGATCTCGTCTAATTTGTTCTTTTCTTGCATGAGCCACCAGCCTGTCAACTAGATTGATATTTGGATTCGCCTGCCGGCGCTGGCGCTGGAGGCTGTTTATTTAATGAAATAATGACTTCTTTTACTTGTTCAGAATTGGAGTACAATGTAACCATAAACCACATTCAACCAATAAGTTTCTTATTCGCTTTTTCCGGCCCCCATCGGAAGTCTAAACACCCGATGCCGCTGACCGAAGTTCAATTGAGGCTTGAATGTCGGTAGTCGGGCCTCGTTGTCCGTCTGGCTTTTGTCGGATTTTGGAGATCGGGAGGCGGGCTTTGGCGTTGTGGATCTAGAAATGTCGGTTTTGAGCTTATAAGAGATGAACATGCCACTTCTGAGTGATTCTGTTTCGATTCATTCTTCGTTGAATAGATCTACTTCCAAAATCAACTACGTACTGATTCAAGCCCTCTAAATCGCGACCTATTTTTACATCGCAACCATGTTCAGAACACGACTCCCTCGATCCATCGCAACGAAAACAGCCACTTCAGCCATCGCCATACTAGGTGCCGGCGCCTACTTCACCCAATCCAGACTCCTATCATCTGCCCATGCAGAGTCAACCGAAGCGCCCAAGGTCTTCTCGGGCTTCGGCTTCACCACTCTACGCCTTCACAGTACAAAAGAAGTAAATCACAACACAAAAAGACTAGTCTTCGAATTCGCAGACCCATCCGCGAAAAGCGGACTCCCACTTACATGTATGGACCACGGTATCTTAACCAAAGACAGTATGACTAACATCCCCAGCCGCCCTCCTCACAATCACTCGACCGGAGGGAAGATGGCTCCCCGTGCCACGGCCATACACACCCATCAGCGACCTAAGTAAGACACTAAACACCCAAACTCGCTCAACAAAGAAACTAACAACCAGCAGATCAAGAAGGCTACATCGAGTTCATGGTCAAAAAATACCCCAACGGCAAAGCAAGCACACACATCCACTCCCTAGTCCCAGGCGACACCCTCACATTCGCAGCCGCGCTGAAAGGACACGCCTGGACGCCCAACCAAGCGCGTCAGGTCTACCTCATTGCCGGCGGAGCGGGCATAACGCCCATCTACCAGCTTGCGCAAGGAATTCTCAACAATCCCGCCGACAAGACGAAGATCAGGCTTGTTTTCGGGGTTAATACCGAGCGGGATCTTTTGCTTAGAGAGGAGTTGGAGGCGTTCAAGACTAGATTTCCGGATCGGTTTGATTACGTTTATACTGTTAGTCATCCGGAGGATGTGCAGGTGGGTGGAGATTTTAGGAAGGGGTATGTGACTGAGGAGCTGTTGAGGGGGGTTGTTAGGGCTGATGGTGATGCTATGGTCTTTGTTTGTGGCCCACCTGCTATGGAGAATGAGCTGGTTGGCCCTAGTGGGAGGGCTGGGATCCTGGCGAGGCTTGGGTTTGAGAAGGGCCAGATTGTCAAGTTCTAGACTCGGGTTGTCTGGGTAATTGTATAACAGTTGTATCATTATGGATGTGGTGGTCCTAGCGAAAGGCAAGGTATATAGAGACTATTGGTTGAAACCAGCCTTCACAATGTGAAAAATGCTTAATCAATTCAAGTCAACTCGAATACCTTGATTGGCCTTGTCAGACATGAACTAAAAACGCCACAAAGATCGACTCTGCATCCACGTCAATGCAGACGCGGCCTGTTTGGGGCGTCCTCATACCGCACCACCTGTATCATTCCCGAGGCGCAGTTATATTCTTTGCGCTGAAAATTGTGTAGATGCACATGCAATCTGATCAGCGACCTTCAACAAATGGCTCGATCCCAATTTCCTGCTCCCATTCCCCACTGTTCTACCACATTTACCCGTTCGCCCCGCCCCGATGCCTCAATTTTGCGACGATCAGATACCAGCGGTGTGTAACAGAGGCTCGCTAGCAACGGATCTGGCAGGTCAATGGAATGGCCCTGTTTGAAAAATGCAGACCCGCGATATCGTTCGTGGATTGCTGTCTGGACCGAGAAATCCATCCGGCTAGGTATCAGGTTAGAGGGCTGGGGTAAGCAATGAGCGTCTCACTAAGAGTAGTTTCAACTATTGGGTGTGGATCTAAGTCAGCGATCGATTCCTAGAACGTTAGTGTAGACGGATGTGGTTCTCGAATGGCACTACTGCGAATCCGAAACATCAGACCATGAACCGGGGTATCAGGATAATTTGAATTTGAGGATTGTGCACACTATATACAGAGACATGGGATTCGTGAACGAAAGGGAACCCGGGTAGTGATCCCGAGTCAATAAATTACAATGCAGAGGTCAGCTCGAGTCCCCAAACCGAGAGAAAAAAAATAATATAGACATATCTCAAGCACAGCCTGAAAGTAAACAAAAACGCCAAATGGGGTATGATATGCATAGAACGATCATGACCACGGTAGTATATACCGATAGCCTCAGCCATCCCTCTCTTGTTTTGTTGTGTATCGACTTGTCAGTCCTCGGGCGTACCCGGTTCGATATAATGCAAATGCGAAACGGTAATGCTAATGGAGTGAAAGAAAGGCAAAACACTACTCGCGCACTGTGGACGTGAGCCGGATTTCCTCCGTCGGAAGTCCCTCCTCGCTGGGGACGTGCTGGTAGCTGCGCTTGCGGCGACCGCGGATGAATCGCCAGATGGCGAAGCCGGCCCCGCCCAGCGTGCAAACTACCAGCATGAAGATGATGAGGCTGCCGATTCCGCGGATGATGTCGTACGCCTTGTACACGGCTTTGGCAACTTCCTTTGCGTCGGCGTATTGCGCTGCCGAGTGGTCGCTGACTCCGCTGGACCCAGTGGATCCGCTGGAGGTGCTGTCATTGATCACCTCGGCCGTTTCGTCATCGCTGGCGGTGTCGGAAGAAGCCAAGTCTGTGACTTCGTTGGCGGCGGCGATGATGGACGGGTCATCGGGGCTAGGACCAGAGTTGGCGCCTCCCCAGCCGGCCGCTTTCCAGTTGCTTGGGATGCCTGTGCGCATCACGTTGGAAGTGTGCATGACGTTGCCGTCGGCGTCAATGGCCTGTGCAGAAACCCAGTCCATGTAGCCGTCGGCAATAAACATGGTCTCGAAATCTGTCTTGTTGGTCGACCCGATCAGCACGGGCTCGCCGCGATCGTAGGACTGTGCGTAGAACTTCCATTGAACGACGTCCGTTGCACCGTTCCAGCTGACATGGATGAGGGTCGTGGTGTCCTTGTCGTCAGTGCCGTAGACATTTGAGACTAAGTCTGGAGGCGCGCTGGGGCGGCCGGTGAACTCGCCTTTGTATGAGCGGTAGGTCGAGTACCGGTCCGATGCGAACCGGGCAGTCACAAGAAGATCGCCGTTGGGCGCGTGTTCGCTAGAATAGCCGCGCTCGCTCCATCCGACGAAGTAGTTGCCGTTAGGGAGGGGGCGGAAACTTCCACGGAGCCTGGTGAGTCCGCTGTCGGGGCGGTTGATGCGGCGGATTACTCGAGCGGTCATGGGGGTGACGGCGGTATCCAGCTCGATGATTAGGCCGGCGGAGGTGTTCTCGTCGTTGCCGCGTTCGTCGGAGGCATTGTTCAACACCGAGATAACGTGACGAGTGCCGTTTGACGAGACGAACTTGGCATCATGCTGCTTGGAGAAGGTAAAGTCCTGGTCGAAGTCGCTTTCCAATCCGCCCAGGCGCCACAGGATGCTTCCATCCTGACCTGAAATCAAATACAGAGTGTTGGTGAATCGCAAGGAGATCAGGTAGTCACCTGCCTCGTTCTTGTCGACTGCGTTGATGTGCACATAATCCCAACCTGGCTCTCCTCCGGCCGGATCATCCCACGCGTGGAACATGTTCGACTCATGAAGGGCGATCTTGTCGAAGGAGTCCCACTGAACCAAAACCTCGCTTGTGGCGATATCGAGCTCGACAAACCCACCAACCGTAACCCAACTTTCTTCCGTGGGGCGTCCGAAATCAGCCATGTTAATAAGCGCATTGCGATAAGTGCAAGCTAAAGCCGTCTTTCCACCCTCCAAAATATTGAATTCGTGCATATTGAAATCATGAAGGTCATTAATCACCTGAACTTCTTTCTCCACTTCATAATGTTGATTCACAATCGCACCATGGCCCTTCTTCGTTCCGTCGGAGGCCCATCCAACAATAAACGACAGGTGGGGGTTCGAATCGATGTTGTACACCGGCTTGAAATCGAAGGTGTTCTCGTTATCGTACAAGGGCGATCCCGCCCAGATAAGAATCTAGTCAGAATTCAGTCAGCATGGTAATCCTCCGAGTCTTGGAGCCTCGACATACGCCACTGTCATCGTAGATATAGGGTCCGACTTGGTATTGTTGGTATTTCTGGGTGGGCCTTTCGGGGGAGATTTGTCCGTACGGCGCAACGAACCAGTACCCAGGGGCCATGCGCTCACGATCATGGTATTCGATTTCCCATTTCAAGGCCCGGACCTCGGGGAGCTGGATAGGCTATTGGTTAGTGTTGTACAGGTCTGAGGATCTCTGGGTTCAACATACCGTCACAAAGGACATCAAGTCCGAGTCATGACGCTCTGCGACAACATTACTCGATAAAAGGAGTAATAACGCACCCCAAAACATATTGAAGGAATGACTAGGAAGGTAGATCTTCCAGCAATGGCAGAATGCAAGTGAAGGTGAGAATGAAGGGAGACTAAAGCGCCGACGCCAGAAACGACATGAAAGCAAAAGAGGGGCCCGCTAAACAATTAAAAAGGGTTAGTATAAAAAGACAAGAATAAAAGAAAGTCCAATCAAAAAAAGAGCAGTCTTAAAAAGACCGGCGAGAGAAGAGAAGAGAGGCCACGCCGAGTCAACGAGTCAACGTAATGATTTGGTCTTGGCATTGTTTCGAGTGGAGAAATGCACACGAAGTACACGAATCCGCCCTCTAGAACGGTAGTAAGACGACAGTCTTAGCCCCATCCACAGCGGAGTTCCTCTCCTCTCGTATATTTTCCTATTTTCACTTCCGTATACTGCTCCGTAATTATCATTCAGGTTCCACAAACTCCGACTTGGTTAGACCTCTGTTTCGCTGAATCCCCTGCATTCGGGTTCGGTCTTATTTTCCTCAATCAGCCCACACATCGCCCATAGTATAACGCCCACACAAACAACCCAATAAGCGCTATAACCAGCGGAGATTGCTGAAGTTCTTTCCCGGATGCCGTTTTGCCGCGTGTGATTAGCAGGAAAAGATCGTCCAGGGGAAGTTCTTGGCACTTCATCTCGGGTGCATCGTGGAGTCGTTATGGGTGATGTTTCCCCTGACAGTGTCCGCTGCTCCAGTTTTGAACTCCAGTCTGGAATAAGGATTGACATGGACGGCTGAAATATTTTTCCGTGGCTTCAACGACAAGAAAGTAGGAAGATTTTCAAAGAATCTGATATCTTTTTGAATTGTCGGGTTCGGCAATTAGGCGATCTGTCTCAGATCCACCTACGGAGACAACTACTAGAACACTTTTACCGTTTACAATAATAATTTCCGTTGTAAGCTACTATATACAATGTATGCACTGCTTACATGGAGTCAACGGTGGATAAATATGTATTCTACCTACAATTCCACAATTTAGTCTACGTGAGCTGAGGCTTCGCCCTGACTCTGATTCTCAAGCCGTGTGGCTAAACCCCCGCGAACCACTTTTATTATTTATTTATTCAACTTTACTTTAGCCCCGAAGACGCGTACCCCTTGATAGGTGGCTCACCCGTAGCATGAGGCGTATATACCAACAAAGCATTAACAGCAATAAGCATCAAGCCCTCTGTTCCAAACAGATCCTTCCATTAAAAGCCGGCGCAAGCACCTGCTGGCAAACCCGACCAAGATCAACACGGGAGACATTCACAGGCCCGTCATGCGTGATTGAATCGATGGCCAGCGCCTAAGCAAGCTGGTTGTACAACACGCCCTCGTGGGTATAGACGGCACCGGCGGGCTTCGCCGCGCACTCCTTCTGGAGGTGGACGTTTGTCCCGCCGACACTACGCACATCGCTCAGGATGGCTGACGCACTGGGTCCGGACATTGGTTGGACGATCTCGTCGAAGGTCGAGTACGCGGTTGTTGTGGACACGTAGGCGGAGTCGCCTCCGTCTGCGCGTAGCGTGTGGATAAACGAGCTATCCCATCCTTGCTGGAATCGTGATGGTGTGCATACTACTGCTTCTAGGGCTGGGTAGACAAGGGAGCCAACTAACGTGCCGGGGAAGTCAGGACTTCTTGTGATGAAGTCTATCACGACGGTTCGTGTCGATGGCCAGTATCTCTGCGCCCATTGGATGTCTAGTCCGCCTTGTGATCATGATATCTCGGCTGGACTTTGGCCGATGAGTGTGGCGATGTAGTTGATTGCATTTGCGGCATACTCGGCGTTCACTTGGGCGTCGGATACTGATGCTTGTGAAAGGTTCACCCATGCTGGGTCGACGGAGATGGCAGAGCCTAGCTTGCCGAAGTTGAAGTGGAAGGTCTTTCCGGCGGGAAACGCTGACCCTTCTACTATATCACTGGTGTTCGACTACTGTAGCCAAGCGAAAATGAATCTGGGATGTAGATTGCTGCTCGGGGTATATCCTGAGCGATCAAGTAGGGTGCATCCCCTGAATCCTTTGAGAGATAAACCTCTCGACTTGGGGCTGGCATTTGGTCATCGAGTAAGCTCAGCTTGCTGTCCAGATACACATCCAAAAGCGAGTTAAATTTGGAAGGTAAAAGGCCGATCTCCGTGATGCCTTTGGCTACATCGACGATATTAGGTACTTTTCGACACAATATCTTCGAATGCCGACAATGCAGACTGAGCAGAATCCTGTATGGCGATCGAACCAGTTTGTTCAAGCTGAAGTACAAGATCTTGTATGGCATCTGATCTATCTTTGCCTATATACAAGTCGTGCGCGGCATTGGATAAAATGTCGACAAGATTGGTATTCGCCAAGGCGGAATTTTGACGGACGGGTAGCGGAGAGCTAAGAGATCCATATATAAGGCTGATGCCGACAAAAATGGTTTTCATAGCTGATTGATTATCTGGCGTGAGAGCCCCCTCAATTCGCATGACCAAAGTCCCGTCTAGCCAGGAGACGACACTGAATCGTATACAAGACTCGCATTATTGATGTGAACCCCCTCCTCGGCTACAGCTGCCAAGCATTGAGTCGAATCATTGTCCATTCACAGGTTTTATTTGTGCTGTCGTTCTGCATTGGTTGGGGGATCATCGAAACTATTGGTTTGCTTTCTCTTGTACCAAGGTCTGGCACTAAGGCGTCCGCAAAGCTCTGGCCCGTGGCTTCCCGGCTTTTATGGGGGCTCATGCACGAGTTCGAATTTGAGAAAGAATGACCTTCTTCCCGCGTCGTTCGCGCCAATCATTATTTTGTGGGGGTTGATTCAAGGGAATCTAGCGCACTGACAAGACTCTATAGAAAGCCGAGGGAGGAAAAAATGTAGGTACGATAGGACTACTACTACACATTCAATGTACTCGTTTTTACTGGATATTAATGTCATCAATGTCAAATTGCATCTCGAGCCTGCCATAAACAAATATGCTACCGATCTTCCAATAAGAGTCCCGAACAAACCCTGGAGCTCTGCCCCTGGGCAGTATTTTCCTCCTAAACGCACTGTGCCTTACAGGTCAACCGAATTCAATGTAAAGATCCAGCTGTTTTTTGACAAAAGACAGCGTTCCACTATGGATGACGTTACAAGGGTGGATGTACTTGAGTCTTTCCATCAGATAGGTGTTCTAATACACAGCCTGTGAGGTGTCCGACTAGCATTCTTAATGTGCTCTGCGATCACTCCGGGCAAATATGACCGCTTCTTCCTAAATGTCTAGTCTGACAGATATATACTTTTACAAAGCTCGATAGATGTTTTTGATTGGGAGTCCTACCTACATCGACAACTTTCTTGAACACTTCTTCGGGTGGAGAAGTGAGACCTTGTGGATTATTCCCCTTCTTTGGACCTCTAAGTCAATCATAGTGAGTCAAAAGGGGCGAGTTGGGAATTCTTCCACGGGGACATTGATCCACCTCTCTCGAAGGGCTCCTGTAACGCCATATTTCGATAAGGTTGGGGGTCATGGTTTTGATCGTGGGCCTTATGGAGCGGAGACGTAGTCTATCCATGGGTCATGGTATCTCTAGGACCGTGTGTCTTTTTCGTCTAGCAGTAACTAATTGCAAACCGTAAAGGGCCAAAGGTAGTTGTTTGGAAACAATAGAAGGAGGAAATATACATCAGAACTCAGTAATTTCTATCTGTTACTACTTTGTCTGGAATCAGGCATTTGTCCCTCGGAATAGAAGCAGAACAGAAGCAACGATAAGAATTTCGATATTGATATATATAGCTGTAGGCAGCAAAATACGGTGAGTCTCAAAGGGACCATGACAATAGGATCACCTCCACACTCACTGGAACTTATATAGTAGAGCACACTCCCACAGAGCTCACACTGTAACTTCACTTAATAGTCGATTTGTTATATAAGAGGAATAATCCGATAAAAAAAAGGATCGAAAGAGAATTCATAGATCGATCTGGTGGGAAAGAATAAAAAAAGAAATGCGACACCTGCAGGATTCGAACCTGCGCTTCCGAGGAAACGGGCTTAGCAGGCCCGCGCGTTAACCACTCCGCCAAAGTGTCACGTGACAAGAGGCATTATACCACTCAGCCAATTGGGCTGATTTGTAATACTCATGACAGACAAACATGTCATGACTGAGGTCAAATTTGAAAGTAGCAATCTAACATGTTACTTCCAAGGTTCCCTTCGTTGTTTGTTTAGTTTCTTCACCTCTTGCCCTTTAAACCATTATTCTACAACATAGGCAGGCTGAATCTTGCTATGCTGTTGACTCAACATTTTGAATCACATTAAAAATCTATAACCTGGATACAGTGATCTCTCATACACACATGTCAAAAACAAGCGATAGCATCATTGTTGATACATCAATAATGATTGAAGGTAAATTGAAGACCATTCAGCTAATGGCCCGAAAATTCATGGGTGATCACACTGAGCCTCATTTGGATATTGAAATATCGAATTGAATCGAGCTCATGAATGGTCGATCTGAAGCTCTTCTATAGTCAGACGTATAAATAAATGGCAATCGCTAAGCTTTCGCTGAACAACAAGGACAACACCTGTTTCTTGGAAGTCCGTTCAACATCGGTCTCATTCAAAAATGAGCTTTCGTGCCGTCAGACCCCCTGTTGTCGATGCTCCCGAGTCTGTCTCGTTTGCAGTAATGTGTTTCAAGTCTGAGACTTCTTCTGCGGACCAACCCGAGCAACTTGATCTTCCTTAGAATTTCATTCTATTTGATCCTAGACCATGGCTCATCAAGCTGTAGGTTCCGTCCATGATACCCTTAAGACTCTGCAACAATCCGTTCAGCATTCATACGTTGACCCCGTAGAGGTTCCATTCATCTCTGGTTTCTTTGCGTCGGCCCATTTGCGATTTTTCTTAGCTCTCGAGTTTAGTTCAAGCAACTATTGTTTCCACTCTAATGTATATGCTACCAATTAAATTGTAATCAGATGCAGTTAGGCAGTATAGTTCTGGATATGCCCAATGACGTCGGTGCTTCTATTCTTGACCACACGAGCCACAAGCCGTAACGCGCGTGGCTGACATGAGATTTAATGAAAGAAAAAAAGAATTTGTGATAGAAATTGAGCAATAAGAATTGAGAATCACGTTCTTTTATTATTAGTCAACCACTTGGCGAATTTACCAAGCGGATAAATGATACCCAATTCGCCCCCTGAGGCAGCAACGGACCCTGTGTGGCGCAGCTGTTTGCTTTGGTTTGACTTGTTGTACGTAAGTCCCCCCCAGTCACTTTCATTCCTACCTACAGCATTGGTTCTAGACTATTCACTTTTCTTGACTTTGTCTTCCTACTTATCAGAGTCTCCCAACTACGACTCGGTTGACAGGTCACAATTACGAAGCTCGGGCGCGAGAACCCGACAGATTGATACAACATGGTAGGTAGCCTACTCCGCGCGGAATAACCAGATAAGGTCCAAACTGACCCTGCGATTGTGATATAGGGTCAGTCACGACGCCCCGTTGGCGGGGAAAAAAGAGCCGTTTCGGGCGCTCCAAAGCAGTCGCCGATGTTGGCGATGGCCGGCAAGCGGGGGGAAAACCGCAAGTCAAGAAGGCCACCTTTGAGAGCAGCAAGAAGAAGGAGATCGGTGTATCAGATCTTACACTACTCAGCAAGATCTCCAATGAAGCCATCAACGATAATTTGAAACTCCGATTTGAGCATGACGAGATTTATGTAAGGGATCGCTCTCGCACGCGGACTGCGGGGTTGTGCGCGAACACGAGCACGGGCTAACGGGAGAATTATAGACCTATATTGGCCATGTGTTGGTCTCCGTGAATCCTTTCCGAGACCGTGAGTTACTCCGCGATGAGGATACGGTGGTCTATTTGCTAACAGGCTTGCGATCAATACAGTGGGTATTTACACCGATAATGTCCTCGACTCCTATCGCGGCAAGAACCGCCTTGAAGTCCCTCCCCATGTGTTCGGAGTCGCCGAATCCGCATACTACAACATGAAGTCATACAAGGACAACCAGTGTGTTATCATTTCTGGAGAGTCCGGTGCTGGTAAGACGGAGGCCGCCAAGCGGATTATGCAATACATTGCCAGTGTGTCTGGTGGCAATGATTCGTCCATTCAACAGACCAAAGAGATGGTGCTAGCGACCAATCCATTGCTGGAGTCATTTGGTAATGCCAAAACACTGCGCAACAACAATTCATCGCGATTCGGAAAGTACTTGGAGTTGGAGTTCAATGCCAATGGTGAACCGGTGGGAGCTAACATTACAAACTATCTGCTGGAGAAATCGCGAGTTGTGGGCCAGATTACCAACGAGCGAAACTTCCACATTTTCTACCAGCTCACCAAGGGCGCCCCACAAAAGTACCGCGATAGCTTCGGCCTACAACAGCCACAGTCCTACCTCTACACGAGCCGATCCAAATGTTTCGATGTACCCGGGATCGACGATGTTGCCGAATTCAAGGATACATTGGATGCCATGAGAGTTATTGGAATGAGTGACGCCGAGCAGGATAATGTCTTCCGCATGCTGGCAGCTATCTTGTGGATCGGCAACGTGCAATTTAGCGAGGACGATTCTGGAAATGCTGCCATCAGCGACCAGTCAGTCGTTGATTTCGTCGCATACTTGCTGGAAGTTGACGCCGAGCAAGTGAACAAGGCCCTCACGATTCGTCTGATGGAGACTGCTCGTGGAGGCCGCAGGGGTTCTGTCTATGAGGTACCGCTTAACAGGGCTCAAGCTGCAGCCGTACGAGATGCTTTGGCCAAGGGAATTTACTTCAACCTCTTCGATTGGATTGTAGAGCGTGTCAATCAGTCTCTGACTGCCCGAGGATCCATTACCAACTCCATTGGTATTCTGGATATCTACGGATTCGAAATCTTTGAAAAGAACTCATTTGAGCAACTTTGCATCAACTATGTCAACGAGAAGCTGCAACAGATTTTCATCCAATTGACTCTCAAGGCAGAGCAGGACGAATACGCTCGCGAACAGATCAAGTGGACTCCGATCGAGTACTTTGATAACAAGGTCGTGTGCTCGTTGATCGAAGACAAGCGTCCTCCCGGTGTCTTCGCAGCCTTGAACGATGCCTGCGCAACCGCCCACGCCGATCCCAGCGCGGCTGACCAGACTTTCGTCGGCAGACTGAACTTTTTGTCTCAAAACCCTAACTTCGAGGGTCGCCAAGGTCAATTCATTATTAAACACTACGCCGGTGATGTGAGCTACGCCGTCGAAGGAATGACGGATAAGAACAAGGATCAGCTGTTGAAGGACTTGTTGAACCTTGCCCAATCCAGCAGCAACCAGTTCGTCCATACACTTTTCCCCGACCAGGTCAACCAGGATGACAAGCGCCGCCCCCCAACTGCTGGCGACAAGATCAAGGCTTCTGCCAATGATTTGGTGGCTACGCTCATGAAGGCACAGCCATCTTACATCCGTACGATCAAACCAAACGACAACAAGGCGCCCAGGGAGTACAACCATAGCAATGTTCTGCACCAGATCAAGTACCTCGGTCTGCAAGAGAACGTTCGCATTCGACGTGCTGGTTTCGCCTACCGTCAGACTTTCGACAAATTCACTGAGCGATTCTACCTTCTTTCTCCCAAGACATCTTACGCCGGTGACTACACATGGACTGGTGATGTGGAATCCGGTGCTAAGCAGATCTTGAAGGACACCCGCATCCCCCCCGAGGAGTACCAGATGGGTATTACCAAGGTCTTCGTTAAAACACCCGAGACGCTGTTCGCACTGGAAGCCATGCGAGACAAGTACTGGCATAACATGGCCATTCGCATTCAGCGTGCCTGGAGAAACTATCTCCGTTATCGTATTGAATGCGCGATCCGTATCCAGCGATTCTGGCGCCGCATGAATGGTGGACTGGAGCTCATTAAGGTTCGTGACCAAGGACACCAATTACTCCAGGGCCGCAAGGAGCGCCGGAGAATGAGTTTGCTAGGCTCTCGTCGCTTCTTGGGCGATTATCTTGGTGTTGGAAATTCTGGTGGTCCTGGTGCAATGATTCGCAGCGGCGCCGGGATCAGCGGCACGGAAGACATTGTTTTCTCTTGCCGTGCGGAGGTCTTGGCTCATAAATTCGGTCGTTCCAGCAAGCCTGTTCCTCGGATTCTTGTGTTGACCAGTCGACATGTCTTCATCGTCGCGCAGAGTATCGTTAACAACCAGCTTGACATTTCATCAGAACGTACCGTACCCGTCGGAGCTATTAAGAGTGTCGGCACATCGAACCTCAAGGATGACTGGTTCTCGTTGGTCATTGGCGCCCAGGAGCCTGATCCCCTGATTCACTGCGTCTTCAAGACTGAATTTTTCACCCACCTGTCCACTGTTCTCCGTGGCTCTCTCAACTTGAAGATTGGAGAGACCATCGAATACAACAAAAAGCCTGGCAAGTTGGCAACAGTCAAGGCAGTCAAAGATCCAGCCGCTGGAAATGTCGATAGCTACAAGAGTAGCACAATCCACACCAGTGGCGGCGAGCCTCCCAACTCTGTCTCGAAGCCTACTCCTCGGTCGAAGCCTGTTGCTGCTCGGCCAGTCACAAAGGGCAAGCTGCTTCGACCTGGTGGCCCTGGCGGTGGTCCTTCAAAACTCTCCCAGGCTGCTCGCAGACCTGTCCCCGCCGCCCAACCTCTTCCCCGGTCGACCCCCCAGCCCGCTGCAGCACCTCAACCCGCCGCACAGCCCCGCGTCGTACCTGTACCTGTTGCTGCAGTCGCAGCGTCGCACTCTCGCAACGAGTCTACCGGCTCCGTGAGGGCTCCCCCACCACCCCCTCCTGCGGCCCCCCAAGCCTCAAAGAAGCCCACCGCGAAGGTCAAATACGACTTCAACAGCGACCGGGCCAACGAGTTATCCATTCGTACGGGCGAAATTGTACAGATCGTGTCCAAGGAAGGAAACGGTATGTTCAATGATATTTCTCTGATTTATTTTTACTAACTTTTCTAGGTTGGTGGTTGTGCATGAACACAACAACCTCTACTCAAGGATGGACCCCGGAAGCCTACCTTGAAGAGGTCGCTGTGGCCGCCACAGCTAGGCCCGCTCCTCCCCCTCCCCCTGCGGCGCCCCGTGTAACCTCCAGCCCTGTGCCGAATGGTGCTGGAGCCGCTGCCGCTGCAAAGACCAAACCCGCCCCTCCCGCTCCTCCTGCCAAGCGACCCAACATGGCAGGGCGCAAACCCGCGCCCCCTCCTGCTCCTCGCGATAGCACCGTGAGCATGAATTCGGGCGATTCATCCGGCGCTAGCGGTCGCGGCACACCCAATAGTGCATCGAACGCTAGTCTGGCGGGTGGCTTGGCCGAAGCACTAAGGGCTCGGCAGAGTGCGATGCAGGGCAAACATGATGACGATGACGAGTGGTAGATTAGATAGTACATGCAGATCTGTTTATGGTCGGTCGCGGTGTTGGACATTTTCTGCGCTTAGCGTTGGCCTTTTTGAGTTTTTCATGCGAGGCTATGGCATGTGCATTGCATGTGCAGGTCAGCGAGTCATTTTTCCCCCGAGTTTCGGGCTTTCACTGTAGAGCCACAGTTCATTATATACCGTTATTCGCGAGTCTAAAATCAGAAAGTCATCATATCATTCTGGATGGTCATATCTCAAAAGTAGATACATTGCGATCACATAGCATTTACATGAACTTGCTGGCAAGGCTCAAGAGGCTACTGGCACCGCCACCGCTGGAACCACCACCCTGGCTCTTCATGTACATCTTCAGGGCCATCTCAGCAGCAGAGTTAACAGCAGACTGCTTGTCGCCAGACTAGAAACAATCATTAGCATAGGCTTAAACCAAACCTTAGAATGCCATTAAAAACATACCATGTTACCACCACTACCCTGCTTCTCATCCCACAACTTTCCAGCCTGAGCCATAGCAAGCCCAATAAGCTTGTTCTTATCCATACCACCAGAGCCAGAGCTCTCGCCAGAACCACCACCAGCGAACATCTTCAGAGCCTGCATAGCAGCACCAGCACCAACAGTCCCGGAATCATGAGTCTGGCCCTGCGAGCTACCAGACCCATACATAGCCTGGTGCGCATTGGCAGCCTGTTGCTCATCAACATCGCCAGAGTACTGCCCCTTACGCTCTTGGAGGAAGTTCAGCGCAGAGCTGAACAGTGACTTATCCTCGCTGCCGTGGTGCTCCTGCGCGTGGTCCGCAGCGCTGCTGAAGTCATCGTTCGAGTTGCTGTGGCGGCCGCCCTGGCCTCCGTACGATTGTTCCTGGCGACCCTCGTTTTGACGCCCGTAGGATTCGTCCTGGCGTCCGTACGATTGTTCCTGGCGGCCCTCATTTTGACGCCCGTAGGATTCTTCCTGGCGTCCGTAGGACTGGGACTCTTGTCGGTGTCCGTAGGATTCTTCCCGGCCGTAGCCACCCTGGCTTCCGCCGTGGGTTTGTTCACGACCGTATGACTCCTCCTGCCGGCCATAACCGGCGTTGCCTTGGATTTCTTGGCCGTAGCCGCCTTGGTTGCCTCGGTGGTGGCCCTCTTGACGGCCCGAGAACTCTTGGTTGTTGTTTTGGTTGTAGTAGTCGTCGCTGGCGCCGCCGCCGCCGTTGCCGTAGTTATTGTAGGACATTTTAATGTGTGGATTTATGAAAGATGAAGAATGATAAAACTGGAAGATGGCGATGATAGATTTTGAGAGCTGAAAAAGAACAGAATGGAATGGAAGAGCTCAGCTGAGGGGCGTGGAGGGGTTGCGGGGCATTGTTTACGCTAATGTGGATACGTTGTACAGCATTAGCTGCCTTTAGTAGCCTATAGCTTCGATCTGAGATCGACAATTGTCTCTTGATTTTTGGTTTAGAGAAATTTTGCCCAGTTCTGTCGACTTTTCGCAGGCTATGATGTCCACATAAATGCTATATAATCAGCGTCTAATCTTGAGATTTTCTATAACTACTCACTGTAGAACTTATTCCGGCCAATTCAGATTTGTTCACCAAAAATATGAAGTCCGATTTGAAGTGGATCCAAAGACCCTCCCTCTAGGGTTTATTTCGGAATATCCCCGTGAATACATACACAATATGTTTGTCTCGTTATATTCTTCAAGAGGAGCACCTGCTTCTGTTGATGCCTGCAACTCGGCATTCGGCATATGTCAAGCAATGTGTGCCCTTGTGTTACTAGCGCTATAAATATGAGGACTGAGGCTCTCTAGCCTGTCAATAGTTATAGGAAACTTCAATGAATCGCTTTGCTCGCTTAGACCTATCAAACCTGTGTTTCCCGCCAATGCTCTGCGGAAGCGGAATCAGACCTAGAAGCTTATAGTTGATCTTGTATAAGAGACTTGATGAATGTATGAGTAGCAAATACAATCGGGTGTATTGTGGAAAAAGGATATACCTTTGCATAAAGCTACATATGGGAAAAGCTGATGGAAGATGACATTGAAGAGGGCTGCCAGGACAAGCTTTTGAAAGCGACGTTATGCTATATCATGACTCTCTAGATTAGAGTCAGTTATATGAAGAGGGCTACGCTTCAATCTCAGCCAAGTACTTATTGTAGATTGAATTATTATACATAGATTGGACTTCTTATTGAGCAGCAGGTATAAAGAGATATCTATGACGCTAATTTGGTAACATGTTACCCAGGTGGGTATGATGAAAAGTAAACGTCAACACATAATTCTGGTGCTCATGACAAAGATCTAATATTATGGCCGAAGAATCCATTGTTCCACCAGTGTGGTAGCGTCAATTCAATTCCTCATGGCGCCTAGAAAAGGCCATTCATTTGCTTTCATTCAATTCTTCACTCTTCACTCATTGTAAGAGCGCACGAACGCGTTATTCCCTTCGCTCTTCATGAAATTTTATCCAGTGAGGCATTAGTAGACGATAGAGGCAAGGTCAAGAGTTCGTCTGGGTACGACGCACCGGACTTGCAGCGCGAATAAGAGCCTTCGGCACATTGGTGTGCATGGATCTCTATCCAATGGCGTGTCAGTATATAACAGGATCAAAGCAAGACAATGATCCGGAGCTCACCGGATTCGCACGCGAAACACTCTTCATGTACCCTTCAATGCAGTCGATCAGGTATGAAGCATCAGAAACCACAAGAACTGGTGGTTGTTCAGAAACGCCCAAAGACAGGCAATGGTGAAGTGCACCTAAAGATTGTACGGCGTCCACCTGTTCCTCCCCAAGTGACTGTGCGTTCATCAAGTAGACGATGACTGCCAAATATGACAAGTTGCATGCCGCGAAAGTTTGGATTGCTTGGCCCGTCTGGCGTTGATTTCTGCCAGAAATCGAGAGGGGGAAAGGAGTAAAATATTTAAAGTTAACCAATTCATTTAAAGGGTGGTATCAAGTGTCCGGATTGGCTGGGTTTAATAAATCAAATCAAATCTGCTATCGGTCGGAAGTGCGTTGGAAACTTCTTCTACATAGCCCAAAGCCGAGAGAGTCGGTCCCATAGGGGTCCATTCTTCGCGGTTGCGAAGTGAAGAGCTGTATCGTCCCCGCAACCCGAGTACAGGAGCAGGTTCCGCTTCAGAGGCGGCGGAGGAAGATGCTGCAACAGGAATTTGGGGCAGAGATGCAACAGGAAGAAATGAAACAGATGTTGGCATCAAACTGGGCTGACCAAAAGTACTGGCTGCACGCGCGGCAGGATTCGAGAAACGAAAACTCGAAGCAGAAGGACCGAAAGGATTTCTAGGCTGACCGAAAGCGCTCGTTGAAGTTCCGAATGAAGCAGCTGTGAATGATGAGAGAGAATCAGATTGATAGGACTGTTAAACTCACCAAAGCTCAAGCCACCGGTGAAAGCACTGGGCAACACTTTCCCGAAAGCAGGAGGCCGAGCAGATGGGCTCGGGGGACTTGTATTTGGAGGCCCAGACGGTTCCATAGCTGCGAAGTAGATAGATATAGAGAATTGGTTGGTTAAGATATGAGAGGGAAGAAAGAAGTTGAAAGAGGAGAGAAAAGAGTTGATTATGAAACAAGATAGGTTTGCAGAAGAGGAAAGAGCGGAGAGAAATATTGACAGATTCCGCCTTGTCTTTTCTGGTGTCTTTCTCCAGTTAATACGACATGGAGCTTCCAGTCTTTTTGATATGTAAGGGTATCTAGACCGAAGCAATCAAAAGCAAATGCACGCTAAACCCTCTATAACCGGATATCGCTAGTAATGTAAGAACGAGCCAGACAGAAATCACTGGCTCTTCGTCGCAGCCGCCGGAATTTGACTACCCGAGGCAGTAGGCGGTTTAGATTCTAGAGTTGTTTGAACAGACTTGTTATCAGGCTCTGACTTCGTTGTAGTCTCAGTGCTCTGACCAAATGAAAGATAAGACGAAACCCGCGACAACCAACCCTTTGCAACTTCAGGTTCATCGTCTTCTGGAGCTTGCTCGTATATTTCACGGGGCAAGATCCTCTGCGATGCCAACTTGGGCATGTCACCGTGCTTCGCTCTTAGCTGGAGCAGCTCTTTCTCCAACGCGACCAAAGCTCCCCGCGCAGCCTGTTCGGATTGTTCAAGCTCCGCTAACCTTCCCTCAATACCCTCTCGCCGTGTGCTCTCCTTATTGCGTGACCGCCACGACTCGAAGAGGATCAGTCCTCCAGCGACAACGAAGAGGAATGATTCGGAGATGAAATTGGCACCGGACTCAATAGCTTTGGATTCGGACAACGGTCGGATGCGGTAATGTTGTGGTTTGGCTGCCTCTTCCGCTGCAGCCTTTGCTTTTGCTTCTGCCTCCTCTGCGGCTTTGGTCTCGGAGGCGTTCTTAACTGTCGGCATTGACGGTTTGTGTTTGCGGGCTGCGGCTTCAGCGGCGGCTTGCTTTTGTGAGGCAGCGGTGTCGCGGAGAGAACCTAGCCGCAGGCGCATATCGAATCGATGGAGAGCTTGCGCCATCGAGACGCAAACTTTGCGGAATCGTTCATGTTCTCGAGCTTGGGCTTTTATTTGCGACTGTGGGGGTCAACTCGGAAGTTTAGATGAATGAAGCTTGGGAGCAAGCTTACTGCAATGGGTTTTGATAGGGTTCGGATCACTAAAGACGACAGCTTTAATGTCAGCGACATGGCTGGAAAACGAGATGACGAAAATCGAAGGCTGTGAATCACTTCATTGTCTCCGTGAGACATCCAGGCACCGCCCGAACATGATGACTAAGTATACAACCAACCCCACCTTGGAATCACGAGCCAATCACGAGAGAGGAACCCAGATTTCAACATCTCCAGGATAAAAAGAAGCTCTCGGGTTTGTATCGATGTTCTATATTTCTGCCATTTCAAAATTGCCGTTGGTCTCTGACTACCTAGATAACCCATCTACTTATCAGATCACAGCTCAATTCGCATTCATACACATCTCGAGGTGGCTCTCCCTTGGCAGTCGATCTGCTTGGCACACGCCAAATAATAAAATTTGAGCCCACAACAGTCCACAATAGCTCGGAGAGCTCCGAGTGTACAACTAGAGATTCATTCAAGATTCGTTTTGCTTTCCTATCCAATACTTGATATGGCGCAATAAGCTGCAGCTAGGGACCAATCACATCATGCATGCATTTTACCACAATTTCTCCCAACCTCGGAAATTCCATTGAAATGTCCAAAAGTGTCTCAGGCAGTTTACGCTACGCGCAATCAAATCACACCTTACCCAGATAAGCAAAAATAGCCTTCCCTCATTAGCCAGTCAGATGATGTGATTTAGACTACCACGGTTCAGTTTTTACCAAATTATTTTTTGATCTTTGCTTTCTTCATATCAGCCATGGCAGGGGTATTTGAGGAAAGCTCTCCCAAAACGGGGACTGGATACATCGTACAAGATGTACACGATGTCGAAAATCAACCACATGCGGGTCCTTTGGATCCAAGGGACATCACCGAGGACGGGCAGATCGTGACCCAGCATGAACGGCAGAGTTTGATCCGGGGCCTGGGGCAGCGCCATATTCAGATGATTGCCATTGCCGGTGCGATTGTATGTACAACAAATCCGGACAGCGAGTCACCAACTAATCTTCCGTAGGGAACGGGTCTTTTTCTCGGTCTCGGTGGCTCTATCGCCACGGGTGGTCCGCTAGGTGCTCTTCTGGGCTATATGTTTGTCGGCCTAGTCGTCTGCAGTATTCAATTTGCACTGGGTGAGGTTTCAGCCCTGCTACCCGTCACCGGATCCTTTGTGCGACACGCAGAAGTCCTAGTTGATCCCGCGCTGGCATTTGCCGTCGGCTGGAACGTCGTCTATGGCTGCTTTATCAGCGTACCTAGTGAGATCTCTGCCAGTGTGGTTTTGATCCAGTACTGGACGGATATCAACGCCGCTGTCTGGGTGACCATCCTTATTGTGGTGTCTGTGGTTGTCGCCATTTCATTTATCCGCGTCTATGGCGAGATAGAGTTCATATTCGCCATTCTCAAGATCTTGTTGGTTGTCTTTGTTGTTATTCTAGGTCTCGTCATTGACCTGGGTGGTGTGCCTGGTGTACCCAGGCGCGGATTCCACTACTGGAAAGACCCCGGTCCGTTCGTCGAGTATATCTCTACTGGGTCTTGGGGCCGTTTCCTCGGATTCTGGGCTGTCATGACCAATGCAGTGTACTCGTTCGCCGGAGTGGAATCCCTGGCCATGGCCGCTGCTGAAACCAAGAACCCGCGACAGAATATCCCCAAGGCCTGCAAGCGTGTCTTCGCACGTGTGTCGATCTTTTACCTGGCCGCTGTGCTGGTTGTGGGTATGCTTGTTTCCAGCGCTGATGAGCGTCTCGGCTCAGACTCTGGCACAGCTGCTACCAGTCCATTTGTGATTGCTGCTGGTGACGCAGGCATCAAGGCTATTCCATCTGTTGTGAATGCAGTTTGCTTGACCTCTGCATGGTCCGCGTCTAACCAGAGTATTCTGGCGGGAACGAGAACATTGTACGGTCTTGCGATCAAGGGCCATGCTCCCAAGATTTTCTTGCGGACGACAAAGTGGGGTGTGCCCTACATGTGCGTGCTGCTACAAATCTTGTTCTCGTTGCTGGCTTACATGTGTGTTTCTAATGACGCGATGAATGTCTTCTGGTGGTTCGTTGATTTGACCGCTGCTGGTACTTTGGTCTCGTGGATCACAATCGCATTGAACCATATTCGTTTATTGAAGGCAATGGACAAACAGGGCATTCCGGCCTCTGAGTTGCCGTGGCATAATCGTATTACCAGTAAGTTCTGGTCCGAATTTCTTGATTATAATCTCACAACTAACACCTTTTAGGATATACTTCCTGGTTTGCGTTGATCTCCTGTGTCCTCATTCTTCTGACTGGAGGCTTTGAGGTATTCACGACCGGAAATTGGGATCCTGCCTCATTTGTTTCGTCGTATCTGTGAGTCCAATCTACACGTTATATGCAACCTCAGTGAGCTAACCGCAATAGTGACATCCCGCTTGTTCTTGGCGCGTACGGAGGATACAAGTTCTTCCGCCGGACAGAAATCATTCCCTTGAAAATGGTACCGGTCCACCAGGCACTTAACGAGGCCAACAATGACCCGGAGAACATTCCAATCAAGAAGGATAGCATCCTCGCGAAGATGAATATTCTCTGGGGGTAACCTGGCTTGTGTTATATGCGCAGTGATTGTTTTTCTACTAGAGCTTTGATATCGAGACACGAATCAAATAATTTGCATCGATGACTTCTTGCTAAACCATCGCGGGACGTATGATAATTGCCTTCCAGGGACAAGCAGAGCTTCTATTTCGTACAACGTTCTTTGTACAACAACAAGGTTTCCGAGCACATATGTATCATTTCATGGACAGTCAACCCTCTAACCATCACAGTTACAGCCCATCTTGTTATAGTAATCAATAGCATCCTCTCCGCTCTTTGTTTGACCGTGCATGTCTCCGGTACAGAAATTACCGTTTAAACACAGTGGGCCCGACCCAGCGACACCGCCATTGCAATTGTCTCCCTTCCAGGGGTTCCCCAAGCAGAGCTCATCAATAGCTTCCGGATGAGCAGGGCAAGCCAGGACATCCGAATGCTCTTCTCCGTCGCTGCCGGCGCAATCTCCATTCCCGTCGTTGCCGGCAGGCACAGCATAGCCCTGAGGCATGGGTTTGGCCAGGCCTAGGCTGATCATGGCGCTCACGCCGAGAAAACCGAGGAATTTGGTGGAAAAGTGCATGGTGATTTGCTTCTGTGGTTTGGCATTAGCTATGTTTCTTCTCGTGGGCCAACAAGAGCAGTTGGTCATTCAAGATTGTTTCTCACATGTTTATTCTCGTGGGTTCTTGTTCTGGGGTAGGAAATGCGAGGTATATGGGGCCCCTTTTATACATGAATACCAGCGCTGCCGGCTACTTCGCCCCTCATCAGAAGAGATCATGAGGCGAAAAGTCGCGGGTAAAAGATCGTCGTCGCTACATTCACATGGAGATATCGCTTGTCGGGCAAGTTTCAATCCAAAAATGGCTCATAGGATTGCAGCCCGAGCATGATGTTCAATGACTAGTGTCCTTTGTGCCCTTTCATCTTACATCATTGAAGTCGAGTCGATGAGGGTCGATAGATATTTCCGAGGCAATTCGATGGTTTATGTGGACTCCATGGGGGCCATCATTAGCATATAGGGGGCGAGGTGCCACTTTACGGCCCCAACAACACTTTAGTTTGAGGCGACGCCGATCATGACGCGTTGGTTGTAGATTACAAGTTGAGATATCTGTAGTAAACATAGATGGAAGGTGAGGCGAAAGAGAATGTCTCTGTTCTGTTTTCTTTCACTTCCCCAAGGTATATTCGTTTCTTGAATTATACCATTATCTCTCTATGGCTTCGCCAATGCATTCTTCGCCAAAATACTCCTCGGTTCCGAGTGACGATATCGAGAATGGAAATAACATTGAGCCGTCATTAGAGAAGCCAAAGCCCAATGTCAAATCATTGTTGGCAGGCGTCGTGGCAACAATATTAATTGTGGCCGGTATGTTTCTGGGGTTCGAATGGAGAGTAAAGAAGAACGAACCAGCCTTCAATCCACAACCTTCCCCATGTACTGAGCCTGTTCTACGTCGTGAGTGGCGGCAATTGGCTCGCTCCGAGCAAGCTAGCTATATCGAGGCTGTAAAATGTTTGAATAAGCTGCCATCCAAGATGTATTCACATGGTCGGCTTAGTGATGATTTCCCTTGGTCACACCGTCTCATTGAGCATTATGGTTAGTTTGAGCCATTTGTTGACGATCAGTGACTTTTGCTGTTGCTAACAAGTAAGCAGCCCATGATGCCGCCCCCTTCTTACCCTGGCATCGCTACTTTATCCATGTCTATGAGCTGGCTTTGAGGCAGGAATGCGGATACAATGGTCAACTAACATACTGGGACTGGACTCTGGACTGGAAACACCCTGATAGGTCCTCTATCTGGGACGCTGAAACAGGGTTTGGCGGCAATGGGGATCTCAATGGTAATGAGACCGTATTCTCCGGTCGTTGCGTGAGTGACGGCCCATTCGCCGATTACACTGTCTACTATTCCAACAACACGATCAAACCACACTGTTTATCCCGAGGGTTTGGGTGTATGGAGGACTCAGGGAACTTTGATGGAACATTTCTCTCGCCTCGGGCTGTAGAGAGATCCCATAATAAGACAGTCTACCTTGACTTCCTTCTTTCTCTTGAGATGGGTCCTCATAATGCTATGCCCAATGGGGTGTGTGGTGACTTCTTCTCATTTGATGCTCCGGCAGGTAAGCTGAAAAGAAAAAATTAGTTTGCTTTTATTCGTCAGCTAACAAATGCAGACCCCGTCTTCTATCTCCACCATGTACAACTTGATCGTCTCTGGTGGTTATGGCAACAAGAACAACCGTCACGGAAAATGGAATATAATGGAAGAAAGAGTGGCCATTCTGAAGTCCAGGCCTCTCTCAATGATACACTTCCCATGCATGGATTGGCTCGAGAACCTCGAGTAGAGGAAGTGATGGACACACAGGGGGGCTTATTATGTTACAGATACTAGCATGCATACCAGTGAACATAGATTAATCACATTTTCTCATATGTGAATTCATGCCACAAGAAATAGACAAAGCTGTTTAGCTAATGTATCTCAATGGTTAGATCTACTTGACATCAAAGCCTTCAGCATCAATTCAGCCACAGTCGATATTCCCGGACTTGGATGACAAATAATGACTTTGGCGCAAAGAAGCAAACAGAGTGGCGTCTTCCAAGCATTTTTAGGCAATGCTTGTTCTGATCGAGGAAAGTATTCCGACGTAAAGGATCTTTGGCGGCTGAACGAACTTAGTGCAATTTTGATTCCGGTCTCTCGGAATCCTATGATGCTTGTAACACTCAAATCTAGTATCTGATCAAGACTATCCCTCTAGATCTAGTCTGGGGGCAAAATCCCCTCCTTTTGGCCCCATTTAGCCCCCGGGTCTCAACCCCCCTCCGAATCCTGCGTGGGGGTTGCACTCGGTTAAATCGAGTGTATGGGGGCCAAAAGGCCTCTACAGGCTTGGCGTAGAGCTTGGGATGAGATAATTTTAGAACTATGACTGTCGCCTGAGTCATTATGTTTATGGGGTAAATCAATCAACTGGCACAGAATGACCGCAGAAGCTCCGGAGACTACGATCTTTCGCTGTATTACCCAGGCATCCTTGGAAATCTCTAATTTAGTAGAAAAAGGACTAGCGTTGTTAGAATTTATCTCTAAATTTCAAGATATTTCCTATATAAGGTCTTTTCTATCCGCCAGTCATTCACTTGTTCAGCATCCAGTCCTTCATTTCCAATCAATATCTAATTCCACCTCTCCATTGCTTCAACGTACCATATCACTCTCATACCACCATCAAAATGCATTCCACGTGGTACACATTTGGCGCCCTCCTCGCCTTGGCCCAGCTCTCCTCAGCTGTCCGTGTTCACATCGAGAACACCCAACCCCCAGCCAACAAGTACGTCACGCACTGCACGCTTATTGTCGATGGCGACCTTTATGGCTGTGTGGATGGGAGCTCCGAGCCTTTCGACAAGGGCTGTGGTGGTAATTCGGGCGTGGCTACACACACTATCTGTGACTCCGCTGCTGTGGTTATCGACTGGGATACTCTGAAAGTGACGTTCGACAACAATGCAGGAGATCACTCTGAGTGCACTTTGGACACAGATCAACCGGGCGGTGAATGTGACATGCCCTAATTTGGGCCGTTTTGAATCATCTTCCTTGCATATACGCGTTTTCTAGAATTTACTGTGAATTGTTTCAGGAGATATCTGCATTGCTTGAACATTCCTATCGGTGTAATTAGGTACCTAGTGCAGACCAAGTACATGTTCACTGATATTTATATGCACAGATCTTGATATATCCAACATCATAGTATAGCACACAACTTATAAGAAAGAGACTTATACCTATGTAACTTGTGGATGTTCGAACTGCCTTTTTTCGATTTCGTATCTAATTTCTGCTCTTGGCCTACAGTTATTCAGCTATACGGTGAGCTAATTTTGGTGTAGTTTAGATTCTTAGGTTGCTGTTGGAACCCAGACGGGTAAATATCGACGTCGAGTGCGGATATATATCGTCAGAAAAAGAGCGTAGTTACGTATGTGCTAAATAATTTACTTGATTAACGATAATGTCAGACAGTTAAACAGCAGCTTGACGTCCAAAATTATACCCAGGCTATACCTTACATTCTAGGTGTAATTTTCCAAGGAGAAAAGAGAGAAAAGAGACAGATTCCAGAGTTATTGCTTCTGCTCCTATGTAAATCCCTGAGTACTTTTTCCTAAGTCCAGGTGGGCCCAGTGGGTTCAATTTTTTTATTTTCCTTTTTCAAGAGTAAACAAAGATATATTTCCCAACATCACATGGAGATCTTCATGGAAAACATTCAATAACATATCCATGATTCAAATAGACCTAGAGTATATGAATGAAATTTTTTTGTTTATCAATTTATATAGGAATGATTCAGACTAACAAGAAAAAGAAAAAAGGAAGTGAATATCTATGAGCACACGTGACCTCACGGGCCAACGACCGTGTTTATCGATTACCGTTTTGAGCAAACTGTTATGGTCCGGCTCTTGCTATTCTCCATCTTCACCCCAACCCTCAATTGAGGCGCTGCTGTTTGCTTTCGGAGAGCTCTGTACAGTTTTGATTTCTCTTTTTTAGCGCCTTGCATTCGGGTAAGTTGAATCTTTGAATTTCTCTTATTCCATTCTAAACGGGAACCGGCGTCGGGTTGCCGACTGTTGAGCGAATTCTGACTTGATTGTTGCAGGGATACAAAGCCTGCAGAAAATTGATACCCTTTGGAACAACAACACTTAATCACTGTTTTAATGATCTTTACGCTCGATACCCCCTTCGCTGCCCATGCTCAAATTACTGCTACTATCTTAATTCAACGATAAAGTCAACTCGCCAAGAATGGAGGCCCTCTCCCCGCGCTCAACAAACCAACTGATAAAACCAAAGCTGGCCATGGATCGCAAGGCTTTGGAGAAGAATGTTGCACCACCGAGTAACCAGCAGAAGTCTGCGCCGTCTAAGAATCATGCCGACCCACCGCCGCCCATAGTCACAGAGCCCGAGGATGGCGGGGAGCAATACTCGATGGGTGGATTCCTGGGCAAAGGTGGATTTGCTGTGTGCTATGAGGGCACATTGGCACGAAATGGGCGGGTATATGCTATGAAAGTCGTGAAGTCGGAGATGCCTCAAAAGAAGATGGAAGAGAAGGTACGCCGGATCTCTGATTGTCGACCGACTGACGGTAATTGACTTATTATCCCAGTTTCGAACCGAGCTTCAGATTCACTCGAAGATGCGCCACCCTTTCATCGTCCAGTTTTATCGCGCGTTCGCTTTTGAATCAAGCACATATGTTGTCCTGGAGCTATGCCCGAACGGGTCAGTAATGGATATGGTGCGAAAACGCCGTTGTTTGAGCTTACCAGAAGTGCGTCGGTTCATGATTCAGCTCTGTGCTGGTGTTAAATATCTTCACAAACGATTTGTCGCCCACAGAGACTTGAAGATGGGTAACTTGTTCCTCGACCAAAACATGAATATCAAGATCGGAGATTTCGGACTGGCTGCGATGATTCTGTCCGAGAAGGACGCTAAGCGACGGAATACTTTGTGTGGTACACCTAACTATATCGCTCCAGAAGTTTTGGACAAGAGCAAAGGTGGTCACACACAAAAAGTCGACATTTGGTCCTTGGGTGTGATATGGTAAGAGAAATATGAAATCGGAATGTAATTTGTGAAACTGACACTATTGTTCTAGCTTTGCCATGCTTACTGGATACCCGCCATTTCAGTCAAAAACACAAGAGGAGATATACAAAAAAGTCAGGAACTTGAATTACGTGTGGCCCAAAGAATCGGAGACAAACAATTTCATACCCGAGGAAGCAAAGGACTTGGTTGCCGGTTGTTTGAATTTAGTGGACGAAGAACGGCCGGATCCAGATGATATCGTCGAGCACGCATTCTTCAACATGTACGACGGTTGTATTCCCCGTCAACTGGACCCCGCAACTCGATTTAATAAGCCGCTGTGGCTCAAAGACGCTTCACCAAGGGGTGATGCTGTGGTAAGCGGTTACGGACTGGACTCCGATGAGAAACTGCGAGCCTATGTGTACCAGGTGGATGACCCCACCCAGCGATACTATTCCTGCAAGGCAGCATTTTACTCCCTCTGCGGGGTGGGAAGGAAACCCGATGGAATGCCACGGAAATCGGTCGGTAGGAATTGCTCCAAGTCAGCCTTTTCTGAGTGTGATGTAGAGGATTCCAGAGGCTTGCGGCCAGTAATCCCCTTGTCACCGGACTTTGTCTATCGATGGCCACATGATCTTGACGGAGATTGGTGCTTGTTGGAGACATCTCGGAAGGTAGTACGGGCCGACGAGTCGATGTTCAACAGTAGCACGATGTCTACGATGTCTGCACGGAACGTCTCGTCTCGGCCCAACCCCATTGCAGCCTCGCGCACCAATGCCGCCCTCGCTGCTGCCCAACAGCGCCGGATGGAAGGACAGAGCCACGCTGCAACACTGCGACAACAGGCCCGTGTACCCCCCCCTCTCTCCCCCGAAGAGCCCCTGGAATCAGCGATCCCCCAACCTCGTCCAGGCCTTACCGTGATCTCCCACCCCCAGAGCCAAAGGCTTCAGCCGCAGAAGTGCCAGCGGGAGGACTAGCGGATCGTCCCATTCGCACCCGAAGAATGGTATCTGCGTCTCAAGCAACCACACTACGCAGCAAGGATAAGGAAATTGCCCCACAATTGAGCAAGTCGACGAGCATGCCAAATGGCTTGACTGTAGGCAAAACACGCTCTCAGTCTCGGAGATTGGCGGCTGCTGACCAGGAGTTGCTGCAGCCTTCTATCTCTAGCAGGGATCGGCAACCCTCCACGAGGCCAGAGGAACGTAAAGCGATCGCTCGTCAAACATCCTTGCGGTCCACTTCCCGAGCAGACCTCAAAGCTGTGCCAACTCGTGTTGAAAGACCAAGGGACAGCCCGGCTGAGGAAAACGCCCCACCTTCATTAGCACAATCGAGGTCTTCTGGCGGATCCGATGGACTGGGTCGGTCGAACTCGAATGGTATCAGTCGATCTAACAGCAAGACAGCTGGCCGCGCACGTTCGAGCTTGGGGTTGAGTCCACTGTTCCACTCCGAAGATCCTTGTGAGCTTCTACCCAGGACTTCGTTGACTGAAGTCAACACCGACTTGCGTCTTATGCTGTCCAATCTGGTCAACCACGCACCAAGTCGGAGAAGAGGAGGTGCACGCAAACAGCCCCACGCGTATGTCATCAAATGGGTTGACTACACCAATCGTTATGGTATTGGGTATGTTCTGGATGATGGAAGTGTGGGCTGTGTTTTCAAGGGTGAGAACGGGCAACCGGCGACGAGTGTTGTGGTGCGCGATGGCGAGAGACACATTCGTCGGAAGGCTCGCAGCGTTGAAGATGAGAAAAGCGAACAAAAACCAATCTATTATTCAGAGGCCGACCAACTAGTTCCTAGAACAGGACCCTCGGTCGAGTTTTATGAAAATCGGGATGATGATCTACTCGGTTGCCGCGGTATTCGACGAGCATTAATCTCGCCTTCCCTTTTCGATATCAAAACTTCCAGAGCGATGCGACTTCGCAGCAATACTGGAAATGAGTCTGAACGAGCTGATGCCGAGAAAATCAAGCGCATGAAACTAGTCGACCAATTCGGTAAATACATGATCGGAGCCCTTGGTCGCCATGGCGATGAAGGTATCATGGACGCAGACCTACCAAATCATAACAGCGCCCAGTTCATCAAGTTCTATCAGCGTCTTGGCAACGTCGGCATCTGGGGTTTCGGAGATGGAGCCTTCCAATTCAACTTCCCAGACCACACAAAGCTAGTCATCTCGCCCGGCCGCACTCGCAGCTCTTCTCCATGGATCGACTTCTACCACCTCTCACCCTCGGCAGCTCGCTACTTCGCCACAAAAGGCAAAATGCACCCAGCGGGCTTCGACACCCGCGCCGTCGCCTCAGACGAGGCCGCCACGTTCCTCAGCATCGCGAACGGTGATTCCCTCAACTCGACCGAGGACCGCATTCGCGATATCCTCGACGCAAACGCGTTCATTCAGAAAATCGCCTTCATCAAAGATACCCTCAGAGTCTGGATCAAGTTCGGCCGTCTAGGCGGTCGCCCACCCTCCGTCGACTCCTCTCCCGATTCCATGCCCACCGAAGCATTTTGGCAAGGCACACAAGAGCGCCCGCAGCCGAAATCCCCCGGTGCAAAATTCGTCTGGGTCACTGTCGGTGCGCCGGATGGAGATGGCCATTATAAGTCTGTGATGTTCCAGGATGCTCCTCGGGAGGCGGAGAAGCGTGTTGGGATGGAGTATGATAAGGAAATGGATCGATTGAAAGATCGGCTTCGTGCGCTGGGCCGTTGATCTCTTTTTCTTTTGCTATTTATGTTTCCCCTTACGATGTCATGACTTGCTTTTGGTTGTAATGCTTTATGCTTATTAGTAGGATGAGTCCTCGAATGTTTCAAAGTGCATTGGTGCTTTTAAGTGTCAATAATTTTCTTTTCGGTTACTTGCAGTGTATATGCACCGTCCCGTACGCCTAACAGTGGAGTAGTGCTCTATTTTTTTTTTTTTAATACGAGTAGCAAGTAGCTATACTATAACTATAGCAGGCACATACCCAAAGTTGTGCGTGGTAAAGTTACGTTGGTCGGGTTTGTGACAAACGATGCAGATGTGTCAATCTGAAGCTAGTCACGATCCATCAGTAAGTTTCTGGCTGATAGGTGGAGACATGCAGACCCTCAACAACCAATCCTCTGATAGCTCAGCTGGAAGAGCGCCAGACTGTAATTGAGTTTGTCATCTGGATGTCCCTGGTTCGATCCCGGGTCAGAGGAATTTTTTACTTTTGGTTGGAACGTTTTTGCTCTTGCCATCTTTTTGTTACTAACACAAAATCGGACACTAAATTAAGGCCGTTGACCCTAGCATATATACACCTTTGTATGTATCTTACAATATTGTATATCATAAGGTGTATGCTTTGCAATTCTGTTTTAGGAATGAACCGGCCAGGCAGTCGTGAGTCTGAGTGCACTGATCACTTTCCCCATCAACATCTAGACAGCTCTTTCACTTACATTTCATTTTATTCCTTAAGCAAATTTTCCGTAGACTATTGTATACTGAAAATGTTCACACAGACATTTCTCTGACTGTTCATCCACTCTCGCCTTCTTTACTCCCATCCAAACGCCAGGTTCACTAGGATTTCCTTCATGATACGCCCTCTTCCAACGCGAAATTCATCAAGCCAGCATGAATAATCCTGAAATTGCTGACTTCCTGTGCGACCTAGAAGGCACAGACATCACTCTCGATCCACTTCTCCTACAGATACCATAGTGCTGATAATTGAACGTCCGGGAAGAAATCAAGGGTGCACGCCAGCCCAGTCATCCCAGCTGCATTTTTATCCATCTCGCCAAGTCTGAATGATCAATAGGAAGCTCTCTAAACGATATTAGCTAATGAGGCGGCAGGATGTTACCGATGGCCTTGGGCTTCCGTTCGAGGCTGCTAAGTTTCTCTGCCATCGCAAGGAAAATCCTAGCAAGATGGCTTTGATGCGGACCTATTCTCAAATTCCAGTCACTGGCACTCAACTCCAGAGTCCTGAGATACGGATAAGTACTACGGTTTTTTTGTTTGGTCAAGCCATCTCCGAAGACGACAGACTGGGCCAAGGATACCACAGAATGGACTTGGTCAACAGCGAAGTGACACTCCCAAACTCAGCAAGCCTTCCGCCTTGAAAATGGAGAAATCGGGCATCGAACTCTCATCACCATGAGTACAGAATCTACTTGACTATGTTCACTACATTTGGACCGTACCGAATCCTAACCAAATCAGACGTCACTTTCCCTCGACCTCTTCAGTTTGCGCGGAAAATAGAGGAGCTAGGTCTTCGACACAATACCTCTTGAATACCGCAACCGAGGCGATTTCATACTTATCACACGAATTCTTTCTTTGCAAGGATGTTACCAAGGCCTAGAAAACTGCCAAGAGGGAATAGAGGATCAAAGCATTGCTTCGCGGTGTTGGTTTTGTGAGTACAGTCGTCGAAACGAGCTGAGCCGAATGGCTGAGTGTAATGAAATGAGATTTCAATTATCATTATGAGTAACTGTCATTACTTTGTACAGTGTAAACCATCTCCGTGTTGACGACCGCTGCCTACCAGGCCCAAGGCCGAGTCTCCGGAACCATTGCTCGCTCTGCGCGCATTTCTAAATCCTTCTCACTTTCAACAAAAGATTCATCATCCCCACGTAGCCCCTGGTTCGTCTCCAGCTCACGGTCAAGATCATAATGCTCAGTCAACAAGCTCATAACCATCGCGACACCTGAAACCGCACAACAGACTACCCACACCGTACGCAGACTGTCTGTGTATGCTTCCTTTAGATTTGCCTTATCTGCACCATCCTCCATAGCTTTGATAACTTGCACCAATCCCGCAGCATCCTTGCTATAGGCCCCGGCCATAGGAGCCAAACCGGGATATCGCATAAGGTTGCTAAACATGCGATTCTGGAAGACAACGCCACCGACAGCAACACCGATGGCTTGGCCTAGAGCACGGAAGAAACTGAACATGGCGACTGCAATGGCAAGATTTTCGGGCTCCGACGAGGCCTGCACGGCATAGCCAAGAGCAGGGAATAGAATGCCTAGTCCGAGACCAGGAACGATGTTCAAGAAGATCCACCCAACAGTGCTAGTGTGGACTTTGATGAGACACATAAGACCTATTCCGAGTGTCGATAGGGTCCATCCAAGCCAGACAGACCATCTGTATCGACCTGTCATCGTGATCAAGATTCCAACCACCATTCCGCTTGGTGCAACAGTAAACGTCTCAGGGAAGAGAGAGATACCGGAAATGATAGGACTGAACTCCTTCACTGCCTCGTAATAAAGAGGAAGATAATAAAGCGCACACCACAAGATCAACCCCTGCAGAACACTGCCAATAAAAGAAACAGTTGCGGTTCGGTTCTGGAATATCACCGGTGGAATGATCGGATCGGTTGCGAAGCGGTACTCGTAGTATGCGAAAACAAGTAGACCAACTCCACCGACGATCAGAGGTACCAATGTCCGCCACGAGTCCCAATCATAAGATATGCCACCCCAGCTAAGTGGAATCAGGAAAGACGACATACTTCCGACAAATATGACAGTTCCGACATAATCGATTCGACGAAGTTTTTCAACCAGCGAGCTCGGTGCGAGTTTAAGATTTAGGAATAGGATAACGAGTATGCCACCCACTCCGATGAAAGGGAAGTTGATATAAAAGATCCATCTCTGATTTTTTTAGCAGAGAAATCCAGAAATCGGATACGTTGACTTACCCATGAAACCTTCTCAGCGAAGCCGCCTCCAAGGATAGGCCCCGTCACCGACCCAGCACTCCACATTGCACTGAGGATACCGAAGTACTGACCTCGCCATCGTAGAGGAACAAGATCTGTTATAATGACTTCACTCAGCGATATAATTCCGCCTCCACCTACACCTTGAATGGATCGACCGATCAGCATATAGGTGAAATCATTTGCAATAGCGCAGATAACGGCACCAGCGGTAAAGAACAGGAGAGAAATCAAGATCATGGGTCGACGGCCAAAAATGTTGGAGAAGGAGGCGAAGCTAGGCTGGAACACTAGATGAATGTAATATCAGCATCCTAAACGTTTGAAATTTGAGAATCAGACTAACCAGTTGAGCACAACAAAAACGAGGTTCCACTCCAGAATGCTTCGATAGCTGTTCCATTAAGTTCTTGCGCGATATCCTGGCCTGATTAGATGGAGGTTGTCTGAGTCTCTCGTGAGAACTCACAGGTAGAGCCACAGAAAGTGAAGTGCCATCTAGAGCGGCCATCAAAGTGAGGACCGAAAGAGTAAAGAAAACCAAAATTCCTCTTCGGCCCAGAGCAAACTTGTCATCGTCGCTCTTCTTCTTCTTCCCCTTTACAGAAAATGATGATCTGCTCACGCTGTCTTCGTACTCTGACCTGCCAGGTCTATAGAATGGGAAGCTTGAGTCCGCCATGGCGAAAACCAACGACTTTGATGATGGAAAATGAGGTGAATCTGGATGACCGACCTAAGGTGATGACTGAGATCCTACCTCGAAACAAAATCAAATCAAACCGAGAGTCTGCATTATGGATAGATATATAGAATGTTATAACACATGTCCAGACTCCAGTCCACGCGGGATTAACAAACCTCCATACAGAGTTTTGAACAGGACGAAGTGTTGCTCCGTTTCGACCCAGAAACATGGTTTCCCTCAGTTGTGGTTGGTATCTTCATATTGTACTCGGACAATCTGAAGCTCCAGGGTCTCCATGACAGCCCTAGTTGGAGTTACAACCAGGCTGCAGAGCCTTAGTTAGGAAATCGACTTGCCAAGAGTCGGCCTAATTCCACGCCGAGCTTCTCGTCAGCCGGTGTTCGGGATAACTGCATGTGTTTCCAGTATTTTAGATCGGTTTCAAGAGCACCATTCGTTCGCAATTGATGTTTCTTGGTTCATTGGGACTCGACTTTGAGTCGGTCTGTCAATGGCCCAGGCCGATCTCGCGACCGAGTTTACGCCTGGGTTACAAGGAATGTAATACGCTGCTATTTCGCATTGTTTGATCCTATATCCTCGTGTCTATGAGTAGCTTTTGGGAAGAGATAAGTATTTAGAGAAAATCGACTAAATTTAAAATCGTCGGAACGCTGCATGCTGTTGCAGTTCTTTTTCCTTTTCGACCTTCAACATCCAACTGTTGACCATATTGGAACCCTATGTTCTCGTTTGCTATGGATTGTTTCTCCCAATTGAAGAAGACCGGCAGGTCTACAGTAAACGGTGTCTGGTGATTAATCATCAGAAAGGTTGCGGTGCCTATATATCCAGATCACCTGCATCACCTGAAAACTTGGAGCAATTTCCATTCCTAGACTCGCTGTACTCCCCGATTTCATGCGCAGACTAGATAAAACTTTCTGTGAAGTTCGGTAGACTAGAATAAGCTGTAGTGACTTCAATTCTCATGGGAAACCTCCTGTAGTGTCTGAGCTAAGCGGGAGCAACCAATTGCTTTTAGTTTATCCATAAGACGATCACGATTCAGCCCGCAATGTATTATCCAGCTCGATTTCCAAGGCTTACTGAGATTTGCGGCCAAATACATAAAACTAAGTAGGAATTTGTGTAATGTCGATGCTGCCGAGGTCAAATATAACATACAACCAGTAGTTGTAATAAAAAGTGATATGTGGGGGATGTTAAGCTTACCCAGCTACTAAGTTCAATCTATTTCATTTTATCACTTGGTAGCACGGGAATTTATATGCAATTCATACAACATGTGTAAAGCCGGATAAATAGGGCTGCAGGTATATCAGGCACTTGTTTTCCCCGGTTAAACCCAAACTGCCTTGGACCCTGAATCGCGGAGTCAACCTTTCTCTACAGTTGAATAACAAGGATCCAAAATGGAGAAGATTATGATCTTTGAACAAATTACACGAATGTATATCAAACAATTACGCGAAGACTGTGACGGACAAAAACAAAGTATCGTGAAAAATGGAGTGTGTTGTAGTGGCGCAATTCCACACCAGATGACAACATTCTTTTCCAAGGCTTAGCATTGAAAAACGCTCGCTTTGATTTACCCCGCGATATCTAGTCAACTGGACACTGTTCTTCCGGCTTCAACTTTCCGTGTTATAATCACTGTGTACAGACAACTTTCTTTATGGCACCTCCAAGCCAACAACCACTTTCGCCCCTGCATGATTCACACCATGCTAAGCATCTTAATGTTCACGGGACAACAAGATAGAAGTGCTTAGCTTTTGCCATGAGATGCCAAGCATGGAACTCCCGCTATAATTTCTCCGCGGCACGGCTTTGCGCTACACCACAATCAAGCTGGCTTAATGTTGGCCGGCCGCATTGCGCAATTCTAGGCGCAAGGCACGTCGTGAAAAATAACACGATATAAGAACATTCGAAATCCAAAATATGAGCTCTACAATCCAAAGTCAGCATCGAAGATGTCGGGGACAAGCACACCGTCGCTTGAAGCAAAGGAGGCATTTGTCTCAATTGTCCAGGAGCCGACCCAGAAAATCAACGGATCAAGTGGAGTGTTAGCCGCTGGCGGCTCAGTAGAGCTATATGCTCCAATCCCGGAGTATGAAGGCAGACATCGATATGATCCAACGGCGGAATGGACAGAGAAGGAAGAAAAAGTACTAGTTCGAAGGGTAGTACCTCTCCATCTCGTTATCAGCATACACCTTTCTGACGACAATATAGCTGGACTACAGAATTTGTTCCTGGGTTTGCCTGATGTTTTTTGCCCTTCAGCTGGATCGTGGCAATATCTCACAAGCACTATCTGACGGTATGCTGGATGACCTCGGACTGTCGACGAACCAGTACAATTACGGCATGACGATATTCTATCTTTGTTTCCTGTGTGCAGAAGTACCCTCACAAATGATCTCAAAGAAACTCGGCCCGGACAGATGGATCCCCATCCAAATGGTTCTTTGGAGTGTCATCGGTATTTGCCAAGGTGCAGTTACCGGCGAGAAGAGTTTCTACGCTACCCGAGCGCTTTTGGGCCTGGTAGAAGGTGGCTTCATTCCTGATGCCCTCCTCTACTTGTCGTACTGGTACACTAATGCCGAGCTGCCGATGCGGGTCGCCTTCTTCTACTGCGCATCGAACGGTACTGCTATTGTTGCTGCGTTTTTGGCCTTTGGAATCCTCCACATGCGCACAGTGGGCGGCTGGGCTGGCTGGAGGTGGTTGTTTGTCCTCGAGGGCGCTTTGACGTGCATCATTGGCATCATTTCTTGGTTTTATCTTCCCCCGAGTCCCACTGAAACCAAGAGCTGGTTTAGAGGTAAGGATGGCTGGTTCACAGAAAGGGAAGAGATCATTATGGTTAATCGAGTACTGCGTGATGATCCGGCAAAGGTATGCGAAGATCGGATTGAAACCACCGGTACACATACTGACTATTCTAAGGGCGGCATGCACAATCGCCAAGGTCTTACATTGAAACTTCTCTGGGACGCTCTCATGGACTATGATCTTTGGCCGATGTATCTGATCAGTTTCACAATGCTTATTCCGCCCAATCCCCCAACGGCCTATTTGACCCTCTTCTTGAAGTCGCTTGGCTTTGATACATTCGAGGTGAATCTCCTGACCATTCCTGGATATGTGCTGTTTTTGATCCAGCTGGTCTTTTGGTCTTGGATGTCCGAAAAGATCAACAACCGCATGGCTATTGTTCTTTTCTACTCCTTGTGGTGTTTCCCTATTTTGCTGGCACTGGAGCTACTGCCTTCCAGTGCAAGTGCATGGAGTTGGTACGCACTTACTGTGCTGATAATTGGTTTCCCTTACATCCATTCTATCAACGGTCAGTATTTATGCAATCCTCGCATCATTTTACAAAATCTAATTCGTTTCATCTTGCAGTTAGTTTGATATCTCGCAATGCAGGTTCAGTGCGCACGCGAACTGTGGGAAGTGCAGTATACAATATGATTTGTCAAGCAGGATCGATAATTGCCTCCAACGTGAGTCTCTCTCTCTGAGCTTGAAGTGTCTCACATATCGACAATTTGAATTGTGACTGATGAGTGATTTTGAAAAAGATCTATCGAACTGATGATAAGCCTTACTACCGGAGGGGAAATAAGATCCTACTCGCACTTGTGGCATGGAATGTTGTTATGACCATCTTCATTAAATGCTACTATATCCGGCGAAACAGAATCCGTGCGGCAGCATGGGACATCATGAGTCCTGAGCAGAAAGATCATTACTTGGCAACTACCAAAGACGAGGGAAACAAGAGATTAGACTTCCGTTTTGCTCATTAGGTGGAGAATGTGAAAAAAATACTGCACGGTGGTATATTTGGGGAGTATTGTGACGACAATGCTTTTGGTGGAAAGTTGACTAGATGAGTCATTCAACATCAATGTACTCCAATTCTGCATTCTTTTGGCAGCAAAAGCAATTATCTTTTTAATTTTGTGCTCGAATACTGCCATAGATGCAGATATTGGTAAACCAGTGATAAGACAGGCAAGCATGAACGATTTCATTAGGTTAAAAGTCAGACAAGAAAGGCAGCAAGAAGAGCGATTTTGATTTCATCCATATCGGTCTCACCTAGATACTTGTATCACACCAGCAGGTCGCAAGGCTTGGTTGTCGCGAGGTTGAAACATGTCTCAATTTCGTGCATCTGGAATATAGACCAATTTCAATTCCACCGGTCCATACGAGAACACCTAGACCTCGCATCAAACTCCTCATTCTCTGCTGACCGGAAGTATAAGACCAAGTGAAAGACCACTGAATCGTTTTACACCACAGTTCACCGCAGCCCAGCCACCACGTGTCAAATTAGAAGGCTGAAATTTCCCGTCACACAAGAATCTACTCGGCCCTATATCCTAAGAAGCATTTTGCAAACGCTGCCACTCCCCGCGAAGAATTTCAGGCAGCTCTTCCACAATACTAGGTCGAAAGGGTTTCCACCCCAAAATCTCACGAGCACGCCGCGCCCGACCACGAGAATTCATTCCCCAACTGAGAGATTCAAAACCCGCATACTTTTTGGCGCTTTCCAAGTCGATAGGCTCTGCCTTGGCCTCGGGGATGTATCCCAGTTTCGCCGCGGCCTCCGCGGTAGCTTGAGACAGTTTACCCCAGTGGTGTTCTCCGTTCTCGGTGAGGTAGTAGGCTTTCGCGCCCCAGAGTCCGTCATCATTTCGACCCGCGATTGCCGCGTCGATGAGTAATGCGTATACGTCACTCAGATCGTGGACGTGTACGTTGTTCCAGATTGACTGTCCAGCGCCGATGATGGGGCCTTTCTTCAGGCGGAGCGTAACGTTCGCTAGCTCGTAGACTTGACGCCCACGCTGGGAGACTGGCCCTCTTCCTTTACCTGTTGGATAATGAGATCGTTTTCGCATTTGACCTAGGGGTTTAGACTCGTACCGTAGATTGTTGGCGGGCAGACCAGTGCCGTTTTGAGAACATCGGCATACTTGGCCCCAGCATTCAATACGAGCTGGTCGACGTTTCGATGAAATGCGTGGTCGGGAAGGCTGAGTAATTCGTCCACGCCTTCCCAGTCGTTATAAATATGCTCGCTTTCATTGCCGTATTCGTTTTTATCGCTGTCTTCCCACGTAAGGATGCCGGTTCCGCCAGTGTGAAGCAAGTAGCCTGGGTTTTCCTTGCTGTGCCCGGTCACTAGGCCAGCAATGATAGCCTTTGCAGCTCCAACATGGTCGGAAGCGTCTGCGGTGTCTGTTCCGCGAGAGTTAATAATGATTAGCTATGAGTATGAACCTAGGGGTATTTTGTAATCGAATACTTACGCAGCACGATGTCTGCGACGGCACTTTCCCGTTCCAGCAGGGCTGAATCATTAAGATCTCCGATGACCATACGGATAGATGGATACTGAGCTTTCACTCGTTCGGCTTTCTCAATGCTGCGAATAAGAGCTGCGTAGGAGAAGTCTGGGTGCTGAGCAACCAATGTGGCCAGAGAGTCGCCACCGATGTATCCCGTAGCACCAGTGCTTCAGAAATATCAGACTTTGTTTCTTGAGTGATGCACTCCAGACTCACATAAAAACTTTGGTCATGTTGATTTTATCTGGAAGGTGAGACGTGACGTCATAGGATTGCGTCTTTGATGATTGAGGGTCTAATACAACAATCTTGAAAAAGATATGGATTTTGCGTAGCGAATTAGAATGGCTTCTTTACCGTGATGAAGTGACTGAATCTAATGCAGTATGTTACAATTGATCTTGATTTGTCTTCTTTTCAACCCCGCATGTATAGCCGAGTGGACCTATTTATAAGCATCTCTTCATCTTCAAATGAACTCATGCGCTACTTGGCTTTTGATTGATATCATCCCAAAGAAAACATCCTTACATAGAGCAAAGAGATGTCTTGGTCCAAGTATTGACCGAGAGCAAATCTTCCAGGTGATATCTACATAGGTAATGGTCATCTAACGTTGTCGTTCTGTTTTCGAAAATGACAATCCTTCTACCACTTTTATATTTCATTATACATCTCTTTTTACCTCCGTTTATATCTCTTCTAGAGCATAAAGGTGCCGTCTTACGCACATATATAGAAATGGGTGGGTGGGTCACCTTATTGATGCATGAGAATATATCCTAGGAGTAGTGTATGCTATTAGTTTGTGAAAATACCAAACTTCTAGGTTGTGTCTTCGTTTCATTCAGCTTAGTTCTTGATTCTTTGATTTCCGAATTCCAAGTTAGTGCGGGAACCCTAAAACAGAAATCTGCGCCGAGTCTCGGCCTTAGCAAATTCACTCTTTATTCATGATATTCCTTGCTGTCAAATTCCCACAAGACTACAACTGTAGTCAGTTTACAAAAAAGTAAAGCTATGACTGAGCAGGCTGACTCGATATACTACCTCATCTATGGATTCTATATAGCTACACTATGAAACGAGAACATGGATCCAATCTCAAGCCAAGGCTCTATGAAGGTGATGTTCCCCATGCGGAGTCCAATCTAACCAATGGCCACGTAAACGGTTCTATATTTTCCCAAGCTACCACGCTAATCAATCAGCCGATTGATCTCAATCCACGCTGACCTATCGCTCGCGTTCCGAGGTGCCTGGCCCCTTGGAGAAAGCCCTCAAGCCTTATCGAAGGCATGAGTCAAAGGTTTCCATTGATAATTGCCTCTCTTGGCAGCAAGCCCGCGGATCGTAGCGCTTGCAACTTCCACGGAGAATGATACTTATTGCTGCTCGGGCTGCCTAATTCGGTGACTTCCTCGTGCAATTTTGAGTCTAGATGAGTCGGATATGCAATTCAATGGTCCCATGGACACGGAATTCTCCGCTTCCCGCGAGAATGTCCCCATATATCTTTATACCAAAGCGGGGGTTGAGGAATTGGAGGTTAGTTGCTTGAACTAGTTCATAGTCGTTAATACATAACCCAGCTGGGTCCCAGGTGGGGTGCCTTCAAGACTGAGGGCCTCCATTACTGATAGCATCAGTTGCACACTAATCGAGCTAATTAAAATTTGACATCAGCTCATAATGTCGAGCGACAGTGACTGCATCAGACCTGCCAGGAATTTTGAGGCACAGAGCGCATTTGCGTCTACTCTGGTGAACGATGTGGAGAAGGGAAGGCCATCCAAGCCCAGCGAAATACCACAAGAAGAACACAGGAGCCTGCTTGGTCTTGCAATCAAGACCCCTAAGACCCATACCGGAAGCGATGCCGTCTTCGCAGCTAAAGCACAGCTTCTTAATCAGGCGCTGTTGGATATGGGAATGGGGCGTTATCAGTGGCTGCTTTTCTTGATGACTGGCGTGGGCTGGTTTCTCGACAGCGTAAGTTCTCCTGCAAATGAAGGGTGAGAATTCATCTGATCAGAACATTGTCCTGCAGTTCTGGATTATGTCTTTCCTAGTCATCGCCCCATCAGCTGGCAATGAAGCCCAGTTCTTTTTTACGGGCGATAACACGGATTATCTCTTCATCAGCCTTGCTGTTGGACTCACAGTTGGCGGTACAGCCTGGCCCATGATGTCAGATACACTCGGCCGAAAGTGGATGTTCACTAGCACTGTTGTGTTAATGGGAATGGGCGGTCTAGTCGGTGCGGGTATGCCCTCGTTCACTGGACTAAGCGTTGTCGGTTTCGTCGTTGGATTTGCAGTTGCTGGCAACCAAGCAGTGGATGCAATGATTCTACTGGAATCACTACCGGCATCCCATCAATACCTTGTTGCCCTGCAAGGTGTGTTTTGGGGACTGGGTCAGCTGGTTTCGGCAGCAGTTGGCTGGCAAGCAATTTAATCCGAACCCTTGAACAATGGAGATATACTGACAACTTCTCAGGGCCTTCATCGGACTTTATACATGCGGCACTGGCCCGGATGAGGTTAGCACCTCCCAATCAATGAGCAGTAGACGGGCTCTCGGCCATTCCAGCAGTGCCAGTTCCAGTTCATCCAGCAGCGCCTCATCTTGTCACTACGTCAGCAACAAAGGCTGGCGGTATGTATGGTGGATATTTGGCTGCATTACTCTCTTCTTGTACTTGTGCCGATTCGCCTTGAATCTCCATGAGACACCCAAATTTCTTCTCTCGCGTCGCCGTGACGCAGAAGCTACTCAGCTGGTTAAAGACATCGCTCTCTACAACAGGCGCCAGTCATGGCTTACGGAGGCATCGTTCGCGCGGATCGATTCCACGATTGACGTTTCCGAAGGAGAGCTGCGTACCAAGTCTCGATCTAGGGCGCTGTTTTCTTCCCTCGGTCTCTCTGGAATTGCCTGTCTTGTTCTTCTGTGGAGCGTCACGGGATTGACGTTTGTTCTTCACCAAACCTATATCGGTAGCTATCTCGCAGCGCACGGTGTGTCCCAGGTCAACGCTACGACCGTTACTAGATCTTACCTTTATAGCCGATACCTGTATATTGCCCTATGCGCCATCCCAGGTCCGCTGTTGGCGGCACTATTGGTGGAAGTCGGGGGTATAGGGCGCAAACGCACTGGAGCCGGTATTGCAATTTTGACTGGGTTGTTCATGTTTCTCGCTACTGTGGCTCGGTCTCACGATTCCGCGCTGGCATTCGAGTGCATGCTTAATTTCCTTCGTTTCGCCGGGTTGGCTACCCTGATTCTTTATACAGTCGAGGTCGTGCCGACCACCGTGCGAGGGTACAGTCTGGGCATCATGGGGTTCTTTTGGGGAGTTTTTAGCCTGATTGCGTACATCATCACTACTTTTGACAACTCGGCGGGTTCGAGCGGAGGACCAGTTTGGTTCTGCGGCACCGTTTGGATTCTGATGGCTGGTGCGTGGTTGGCACTGCCCGTCGAAACACAGGCCATGGCGGCAGCATAGGCGATGAACCATGTAATGCTGTCGGGGACGTTGACATCACCCCTTGCCATCGAAGAAGGTTCAGTGAGAAGAACAGTACAGCTCAGGGCTGACAAGAAAACATGTTTTCGATGAATCATTCCGAGTCTCATTGGCTAGTAACCGGGCGTATCATGACTTCTTGTAAATAACCGGGGAACGGTGAAAACGTGTAAACACTTTTGAACCCATACTTTTCATACACGGGCTTTCCCTCTGGAGATGATGACAGGTATGCCTCTACGCCCTCCGCATCGGCACGGTCAAGACCCCATTTTAGAAGCTTCGATGCGAGCCCACGGCCTTGATAGGAAGGGTGAACTCCCAGCATACTCAAAGCTACTACAAGTCAGTTATGCGCCATTGATTGATCACCGGCTTCCAGATGTATAATCCGAAAATGGTCAAACATACAATAATGAGGCCTTTCCCCCATCCGCTCCTTATGCTCTGCGTCCATTCTTGAGAAAAATTTCTCGCAGAGCTCCTTATTGCAACTGGGTGCCCAGTCCTCGGGTTCGTGTTTCTGCAGGTCGCGATCGGCAGCGGATGCGGGGCACTTCCAATTCGCGAACGCGACAACTGCACCATCTTCCCCAGTTACTTTGAGGAGAACCTCGCGCCCCTCGCCTGCCTGCGTGGCTCTAGCTTCCTCGCTGAATTTGCGTTCCCACCATGCGGTCACGTCGGGCGTTATCGGGAACATGGTTCTGTTGAAGTCGCCCACAAATGTGGCATAAAAGACTTGCGTCAGTGCGGGCGCGTCAGCAGGGGCCGCCAGCTGAATTTCAAGGGACATCTCGGATATATGTGCTGTATAAAATATTTAAGAGTTGCAATTGGAAAGAAATCGGACACCAGGGAGGTTCAAAGGTTCAAAGACAGGCATCTGGTTTGTTGGCGAACGAGTCATCGCGGGATAATTGTGGAGTTCTGAGGTAACATTTGTTGTGGAGACGTATAAAGATGTTGGGTATAGCCAACTGGAAAATTTTTTCTGAGGCCGATTTCACAATATTATTGCATGACAACCCTACATATCGACGATTGTGTCAAGATCATTTGATGCATTGTGATATTGTTCTTCTGCTCTCAAAATAATGGCTGTCCAGTGAAAACATCAAGTATTGGCAATTTAAACATTAGTGATAAGTACATTAGAGATAAAAATTATGATGGCCACATAAAATGTCTTTGGTGCGCGCGTCATCTGAAAACACAAGGGCAAAGGCATTGTGTCGCGCTGACCGACTTGTCTACAATCGCAGTCACGCACGACGGGTATCATCATCCCATTGCTTCTCCTTATGCAACGCAGTGTGAGGAGTGGTAATCGGACTGACCGGGTCGGACTCACGCCTCGAGCTCACAGCATCTGAATGGGGCATCGTATCCCCGCGCCCAGGAGCCACAGGCCCTTTATATGCTGACTCGTGCGAAGGCGGCAAGACGGAACGGCGAATACGCGGATCATCAGGTTGCTGCGTTTTGTTGTCTGTGCTTTTCGCCGTTTCCATCTCAGATTTGACACTCTGGTACATGCTCTCCACAATGAAGACTTCTTCCTGCACATCGAGATCGCACCCGATTAGACAGAACTCGCGTTCGCGCTGCTCAATGTATTCGCGAATATTCTTCCATTGATTTTGGTAGTTCTTCAGGCGATCGGGAAGTCCAGAACCACGAAGGTAGGTTAGAACGCCAGCCATAATTGTGTTGATAGCGCCGAATGCCGTGACTGCAGAGTGTGGGCCGCTCGCGGCGCCGAGGGCCGTGACAGCCGCAGCGACCACGACCTGGATTCCGAGACAGGTGTTGATGAGAAAGTTGAAAATTTTGTATGCGCGCTGCGCTTTGGTTTCATTGTCGACGACGCGCGTGTAGATGCCTACGTTTGGCGCGCTGCGGATAAGATGACCGGCTTGTGTGAGCGCGGGGACGCTGTCAATTCCGGTTAAGGCGCGGAAAACGAGAAGTTTGTCGTTGGTTGGAATGAGAGATTCCATTTGCGTGGTCGTTACCCGCTTTGGCGGCGGCATCTCCCCTCCATATCCTCCATTTTGTATCCCCTGGGCTTGTGCTGCCGCGTGTGCGGACATTGGTGGGTAGCCTTGTTCTTCGCGATCCAGCGCGGCTTCAATAATCCGGTGAAGGAGTCTTCGGTTAGGTTTCCTTTGGGACATGGCGGGTATCTATTGAGAGGGAGAGGGAGACCGGGGAGAGAAAAATAGTGCGCGCCGCAAACACAGGGGGGAAGTCCTTCATTTTTGTAGCAAAGGTGAAAGCGGGACCGGTAATGTCTTTCGATTGTTTTGGTGCAGATATCCGACTCGCTGGCGATGCCAAGATTAAGCAACTCCCATCCGACAAGGGCTAGAGCGTGGTTAGTTGGACCACAACCGACCTCGACGTGGGATAAGCAAGCTAATCTTCCCTTTAAGGAAAAGGTTGTACACAAAACCTGCAGGGTTCGGCGAGTGGCGGGCTTCCTGGGGCTGCTCCCTATTGTGACAGGTTGGAAGACAGTGGCGGATATTGGCCCGCGCGCACGGCGCAAAGCTAGGTCCAAGAAGAGCCGATATTGTCTCCTTGGACTTGCGTTTGACTGAACCTTGGGCTTGCTGTGGCTTGCTTTGGGTGTGGATCAGCACGGAGCACTCACAGGAAGCAGTCAAGAACGGTGGGGTACCCTTCAAGACTCGAGGAATCACAGATCATGATCGCGATCCAATCCCGTGGCAAGCGATGATCTCTCACACTACTTCTGCAACTTGCTGTATCAAGCAAGCGAAATCTTCCGAACAACACTAGGGACGGGCTATGGATGGAGTAGATTCATACTCGACAACTAGGATCTGGGCGGATAAACACGACCATTTGTCACTTGTGCATGACAGGCGCAGAACCTTGGGTCCGGTGGTTTGAATCGAGATTGGAACACTGCAGATCTGGCATTGTTTCAGCAAGTTCGGTGGACCTTGTTGCAAGGGGTGATGACTCCACATACACGTTCATCTGCCAAAAATTACGCGAATTGCCGATTGTTCACTCGATATCATGGTCGCTAATGGAAATCACCTGAGCCAATAGTTTTGGATTGTCAGGGACTCCTTGGATGTATCAAATTTGGCTCATCGACCAAGCAGCGAATTATCATGAGCGTGGCGCTGGCAGTGAACATCTTTCTACACCTGGATTGGTGGGTCAGCCCCTGAAGAGAGTGTTGTGATGAGTTGGGGCCCAAGCTTTAGTTTGAGATGCACTGTGGATGAGAGGCCGGGTCATGATTGGCCTGTTCGACGCACTTTTGCTTTCAATCTGGTGTTCGCGTGGCCAGCTGAAAGTTCGAAAAAGAGGTCGAAGGCAATTAGTGGAAAATAGAGCTTGACTCAGTGGTATATTGCAAGGGTATCGATATGCGGCGTTTTTTTTTGGTTAGGTTGATCAATTCTTCTATTGATTTTGGGTAATTCTACTCGAATACAACCCCGAGGCTCATATTTGTTTTATCAAAGAAATCAATGGCCATAACCAGGCTATCTTGCGATAACGTGCAATTGATATCAAATCCTGACTGACTGGGCGATCGACATTCCAAGGTTGTTGTATCCATGGGTCAGTTGACTTGACGTCTCAGGCACCAAGGCACCAAGGCAACCATCTGACGAACTGTCGAAGTCTCCAGATGCACGAAAAAAATACGTCCTAATACCCCCATGGCCCTGTGGTCCTTCCTGAGCTTAGTCAAAGGTGTATATATTTACCCATAGATGTATGCGCCTGTTTGGCTGAGCGGTGAAAACAGGCGTTTTTTACCCGACATTTATGAACCCAACAGGACTCTGAGCCACAAATTACAGAACTCTCCTACCTCCAATCCAACTGAGCTCAGCTCAAAGCACGATCTCAAGAACCACATATCCAGAGACACTAGCCCTTCAACACACGAAATGAGTGCTAGAAAGAGAGTACTTTCCCCTAGGAAGTACCTCTGTTGAAGCCAATGACCATAGGAAATCGACAAGAAGCATCACACAGCCAGAACGAATGATAAGCACAGACAACCCACCAAAGCTTCATCCTCTTGCTTGTTAGCCGACCTAGCTACCTGCTCCAATGGCAACAGCCAGCTGATGAGGTGTGTCAACGCAAAAAATCGTCCTAATGGAGCGGCCCCCTTCATAGCCTAGTCAAGAAAGGGTGCACCCGTGAACTTTTCTTTAGTTGAGTGATGAGAACAGGTCTTGAATATCCAACACTCATAGCTTTTTGATGTTGTCAAGTATTCAAATTTATTTATCGTGGTTGTTCTGAGACCATATCGGGGCAAAGTGTCGTCATACCACGCCATTCCCTCTAAAAAGACAAGTTGAGCCCAAAATCGGGGTTCTATTCCAATAAAAAACGTCCATTCGACCCATGCGTTATAATTGACGACCTCGGGAGACCTGGAACTGCTTGTTAAGCCAAAGTGGGGAAATTGATAAGGAAAACCGTTGCCCGCGCCCTACGCCCGCTCCTCACGACATTTTAGACTTGCTTCAACCCAACTCTCTCCAACATCTATCTGCAACCAACGATGGGCGGCGAGAAGGAACTAGAGCGGGTGCTCGTCATTTTCTATCAGCAGCACATGCCTGAGAAGCTACAGAAGGACATCGAGAGCAAATTTCCTGATGCCGAGGTAACAATTCACAAGTCGCAGCAGGGTGTTCCTGTGCCCCCTGGTACGTTGAGATGCATATAGAGATCAATGAATAGATGATCTCATTTTCAAAATTCGATGACTAATTTTTGAATCAGAGGTATATCAAAACGCGACTGTGCTTGCCACCTTCTTGGATCTTCCAGAACTCAAAGATGCGAAAAAGTACGCTGCGCAACCCCCAAATATCAGAACTGTTTGCTGATAATTGAGTTCTAGCATCAAATTGATTCACACTTTCTCTGCTGGCTTGGATCACTTGTTGCACCATCCAATCTTGCGTGAAAGCGACATTGCAATCACTACCAGCTCAGGCATCCACGGCCCTCCCATCGCGGAATGGACTGTGATGAATTGGCTTGTGGCTTCGCGTAAATATGTTTCCACATACGAGGCGCAGAAGTCACACGAGTGGCTGAAAACGCCTGCGTCTACGCGTGATATGCATGACCAAGTGGGCAAAAAAGTGGGTATCCTGGGATATGGAAGTATTGGACGCCAAAGTACGTTTTCAAACACGATAACGCGAACATCACAAACAACGCGAATATTTCAAGAACAGTAGAAACCCATTCTGACAATCCACAGTTGGCCGTATTTCGCAGGCATTGGGAATGACCGTCCACGCTTACACAGCCTCCCCGCGACCAACACCAGAGTCGCGCCACGACAACGGCTACATTGTCCCTGGAACGGGAGACCCAGATGGCTCAATTCCAGCCTCATGGCACCACGGAACAGACCGGAACTCGATCCGCGAGTTCCTGGCCATCGGACTCGATCATCTGGTGATCTCCCTCCCGCTGACCCCTCAAACCACCCATCTTCTCGCAGCCGAAGAAATCACCATTTTGTCTGAAAACTGTCATCACTATGCCAGCAAGCCATACGTGACGAATATCTCACGAGGCAAGGTTATTGACCAGAAGGCCCTCGTTGAAGCGTTACACTCTGGTGTGCTGGGTGGTGCGGCACTTGATGTCACGGACCCCGAACCTCTTCCTAAAGATGATCCTCTTTGGGATGCGCCGAATGTCCAAATCAGTCCGCACGTTAGTTCTCATGGAAATGAGTATTTCCCGCGTTCACTCGATATCCTCAAGGTGAACTTGGGGCGTATGGCTAAGGGGGAACCATTGATCAATGTTTATAAACGGGGCAAGGGCTATTAGCTTTGTCCATGATGTCAAGAATAAAGAATCTGAAGGTTTCTCCTCATTTTCATCAGAGGATCAGAGAGTGAAATTCAAAACGTTTTTTTTTTTGCTTCAAGGTAAGTAACTTCGCACATTGACTGCCTTTTTTCAATAATTTGTTGGAGACATGAACAAGAGAAAAAAGGGAAGAATATGAGAAGAGTTGAGATATGGTTCGTTTCTGCTATCAATCGGGCCTTGAATATTCTCAGTCGTACATTAGCGCGTCCCCAATCTTTTCCGTCCTTTAAGCTATAATCAAACTCGGAGTTCATCAGTTGAAGATTGAGAAGCATGAAAGTCGAGAAATAAGGAAAGCCCAAAACCGTCCGCTCGCGAAACATCTGCTGACAGGATATGTACCCGACAGCTTGTTTCTCGGATGCAGATGCTCACGCATACATTTGCGTCGCACATAAGTTAGATATCTTCGGGAGGCAGGCTGTCATCGTCTTGATCCTTACATGGCCAATTACGTCAAGCGATCTCCCACTCTCCGACATCTGCTTACTGAACCAGTTCCTTACGAAATTGTAGATTGCCCTTCATTGCCCTCTCAAAGTTATCTGACTCGGTCCCGACTTCCAGATCAATACTAAGTTTGTCTATAGCCCGGGACAGTAGCTCTACAGACTCGGTCTAGCCCTGCGATTCTGCGATGGCAGTCTCTCGTTCTTTATCACTCAACACAACCGGGAAAACTGCTGAGGAGATACGGCTCTATACCGATGGGGCCGTGATGCCTACTAAGGCAGCACGTAGGCTGATTAAGTGTGCGTCCTAGGGAAACCCTATCTAGTTGAGGAGATACCACCGGAGTCCGAGATAAGGAAGTTTCGGTCGTACGAAATAACCACCGCGAGGCAAGACTCTCCCCCTCTACCCGCTCCATCAAAATATACTCTGCTCCAATAGGATTATCCGATGTTGTGAAGTATGCTAAGACCTCCGGCATGGGTAGATTAAGGACATCTCGCGAAGAGTCCATCGTAGCTACCTCACCAGCGGTCATATAATGAGGAGGCCCGGCAACAGGAGTGGGATTTCGTTCACGGCCAATTTTTGCACCTGATTTGACTCCAATCGAGGCGTTTTTCTCTGAGTTGAAGGCGTTCATTAGATTTGAATGGTGGAAAACTTAAAGATAGAGAGTGGTTGGAGGAAGGAAGGAAAGAAACATGAGATTACTGGGGCCGGGCGAGCTTTTATGTCAGGGCAACATAGGGAAGACGTCAAGAAACGAGGTATGGCAGCGTTAGACTAAAACCAGTAAGACTAACCGCATGTAGTAATTCACAGGTCCGTACTTTACATATGAAAAGTGCCTCGCAGTGCTTCTTCAACCACCACTCCAATAAAACTGCAACCCGCCAGAACCAATACCCATGGATTCGCCAAGTCTCGGAAGCCAGGCCAAAAGCTGTTATTATCCCTCTGCCATTGCTTAAACTGCTCGTACTTTGGAGGGTCTTGGTACTTGTAACGTTCCTCCTGGCTAGCCTCAGTCTGCTTATCGCCGCCCAAAACACGAAGGAATAGGTAGTTTGTGATGGGACCAAGTAGCACAATCGGGTTCCAGAACCCGGCCATGTTAAGCAATGTAAAAGAGAAATGAATCAATGTGTCGCCCAGATAACTGCACAATCATTAGCAAATCCATATAGCAATTGCAACCTCCACGCCACAAAACATACTTTGGATGCCGCACCAAACCCCAAACGCCATGTCGACACAGATCTGTTCTCTCACGACGATGCAATTCAAGCTGCGTATCCGCCAATACCTCCATCGCGAGCCCAGCGCCAAATACACCAACGCCCAGCGCCCGAACAATGTTCCGCGCATCCTCTCCAAGCGCGAGAGTATTATTGTCCGTATTGAATGGAAGCGTAAATGGAAAGGAAATAACGCTCAAAATGAGAGCTTCAGGCAGGAAGATCTTCACAAACGCACTCTTCCAAAATCCAGGCTCTTTCTTCACAGCCTCGTACCGCGCATCGTCCGTGTCCCGGCTCAAGGATCGTGATGCGATCCGGGAGAAGAGCCTAGTGCCCCATATAGTAACACAGCTCAGAAGGACCTGTTCTGTCCATGGTAATGCATCCCAGGCTGCTCTAAATGGATGGCCATGTTTGTACATATTTTGGCCGATGGCACTCCACCATGCATTGAGGACTTGGGCGGAAGGCCAGAGCCAGTCTTTCAGCTCAACTCGATTGGTTGCTTCCGCTGCAAAGTATGTTGCTAGAGATAATGAGGAGTATAGTCCGAATGAAGGCAGGAGGGTTGATTTTAGGATTCCCACATCGCCTGGTGTTAGGTTCTTTTGAAGGGGCCGGGAGTGGAGGGGGCTAGATACATGGGATTGCAGTGTTGATGAGGGGATTAGGTGTGCCATTTTTAAACACACCGGAATTCATTGAATGGTTAATCGGAAGCCTTTGCTGTTATATAGGTCCTGGACAGGTGTTGATGTCAAGACTATGTAATAGTGGAAATCGCGGTGCCAGGTTTTAGGTTTCAATAATGGATCATTCATTTTCTGGGAAATTAGCAAGATAATCAAATCGAAGGCATAAGAGATGCCGGCTAAAATATATAGCGTGGGTATAGTATGCAAAATTGTTGAGATCGAGAACAAGGCCCAAAACATGGAAGATTCTCATTGCAACATGTCTGGGCTGTTGGTCTCATTTTTCATCAAAGTCCCTTAAGTGTTGAGATATAATGGATGAAAGATCGATTTTAGAGCTTGGTGACAGCGAGGTATCCTTAGATTGGTATTGCTGTTTCAAGATAATTGCCAACCGTTCATTCCAGAGGGGCATACACTCCTCCATGTCGGATGACGAAAACGCAGTAGCCTCATCACCAGTTTGGATGTATAAATCCTCCCATGTGTGCGTTCTGAAAATTTCAGACTCGGGAGACAAGTCAACTTGGCACGTTGTGCCTACATCATGCAGGTTTGAGCCATCGGGTATCCGTTCAAACGGTAGTCGGTTGGTGAGTGGCCTTCGGCCCTTGGCATCATTCGCCGAGGTTTCGTCAACCGAGGAAACCTCCTGCTGGCGCATGAGATACGCCCGTGAATCATGAGAAGATATCTTGATTGCAGAAACAGGCTCTCCTACCAAGGATTGCGATGATGTCAACGCGGCTTTCGCGGCGAGATATCGACTGCTGTGAGTAGGATTCGATATTTGTGTAGGATGCGAGCTTAACGGTCTTTCTCTGTTTTTCAGTTGCAAGCGCTTGTTTTGAATGGCTTCTTTCTTTCTCTTTTCGAAATCTAGTGCTCTTTCTAAATCAGTTGGTTCCTCGTGGTTGTTGTCCCCGTGAAGCTGGGCGGCCCATCTCTCAAGGACCGGGAATCCTCGGCCACTATCCATCGACACGGGAGCCTCTGCATCTTGGTTATTTGAAAGGAAGGTATCAAGCTGAGCAGGTTCGAGTGGAGAACCTCCCATGGAATGAGCCTCAGAGCAAGCACTGCTCCGTTCATCATCATGTCCGCCCTCATGTGACGCGATAGCGGGCGAGCCAAACCGTTCTTGGGCGAGCGAAGAAAGTGACAATTCAGACAAGTCTTCACTCGGGTCTTGGCTTGGAATATGCTCAACGGGAGTTTGCTGCAGTGAGGTTTGCGTGGTTTTCTGGAACCCGGTGTCAAGAGCTCCATTCCCATATCGCTCTCGAGCACGCTCCCTCTCAGCGCGCCGGCCACTTGACATGCGCCTGCTTTCCGGGGAGGAATCAAGCGATCCTTTTACTTGTTGCCGACGGTGTCTCACCGGTGATCCGAACGTTAATCTAGAAGTGGGAGGGCTTGGCAGGTTTGTGGTGTTGGGCGAATGCTGGAGACTTCTTGGTTCGGTCTCTTTTCCCATAGACCCTTGCAGGCTGCCACTTGATAGACCAACGGGACTTGAATTATTGAGCAAAATTTTCTCGCTTCTCGGCGTTTGAAACGAGGCATTAATTCTGGAGATAGACCATGGGTTGACGAAGCTAGAGCGCTTTGTTTTTGTGGTATCTGCTTGACCGGAATTTTCAAGCGCTTCACTGCTGGAGATCTCCACAGGCAAGATGTCATTCTCGGAATGAAGCGATCTCTGTGAAATTGATTTATTTCGTATATCATCCCTGAAAGGGGTTGCAGGATCACGAGGGAGTTGTGTAGCTGGTTTCCTCGCCATCAGCAGCTCGAATCCGGCAGAGACTTGGTCGCAGCTGGAAGCAGTTTCTTTGATTTGTTTAGGAAGGCTCTTCGCTGCACCATCCAATTCTCCGTAGTATTCGCGAAACAACCCATTTATCAAATTTAGAACCAAATCTCGGTCCTCAAACAAGACATCATCCTTTGCCGGCTCAACATTCACATCGTAAGTTCCCCGAGGGCAAAGAATGTGCAAACACATGAATGGATCGCTGATTGATTTGCTTGTCTCGGATTTGGAAGCGGCCACACGAACATATTGCTTGAAAATTTTAGCAATCTCATGTGCAATCCCTCTGCTGGTAGACAAGGGACGGCCATCCACGCTAATATACTGGCCTGCATTGTTGATCTTGGAAGTCTCTAGTTTTATTAGTCGTTATGGAAAAGAAATTCTGAAAAACAATCTCACCGAATTGTGTATTGGGAAGAAAGGCGACTGCTTCATATTGTTCCCGGTCCAATGATTCATTTTCTTTCCCGCTCGCACCTTCGGAAGAAAGCCGTCTCAAGACGCAAGAAGAAGATATTTCCCTGCCGACTACTTTGAGAGCCGCATCCGAGAACGATGGATCTGCGCTTGGTGCATAGGACCAATTGTTGTTCTCATTAGTTGCTTTAAGGACTTTGAGCGATAGCCTCTTTGATGGCTGTGATATGGCATATGATTGGAGAAGCCTTTTTATCCTCGCCAGGGTTTTTGCAGCGCTCTTCAATGTAGACTGCTTGCGAACAGGGATGTGTTTGAGAAAATCTGTGACCCGGACAGTTGTTCCCACTGGGTGGGAGATCCGCTGTGCTCTGTTTGTAAAAGTCAGAAAAAGCCACGAGATCAAAGTTATTTTGTTTGCTTGCCCTGTGACTTCTCCACCCCTTCCATATTTCATACATTGCCCAACAACCTCGGATTTAACTCGCGTGGTGACGCTGATGACTCCGCACATTTCTGCAACACTAGCCAGGGCTTCCCCCCGAAAGCCTAATGATGACCCACCAACTTTTTTGAGGTCATCTAGAGTCTGTATCTTGCTCGTAAAGGCTCGCTTGCAAACAAGCTTTTGGTCCTCTAAAGAGATTCCATAGCCGTTGTCCTTCAGCTGTATGACATCCACCGTATTTTGGGATATTTCTATTTGCAATGATGAGGCTGACGCGTCCAGTGCATTGTCAATAAGCTCCTTGACCACAGAATAGGCGTCTGAGATAACAGATGTAGAGCCGATCGCCCGAATTGTGGTCTGAGGAAGGGCCTCAATCGGCATCATGCACATGAATATCAGAGGTTCATCACACAAACACCCAAGGCACACTCTCAATCTAAAGATCGGCCAATCAGATAATACAGAAGATTCAATCTCTTCTAATGAAGACGGGATGTAAATGTTGATGTAGAATGAACCTGGATTCGACTAATTCCACGCACGAAACCTGGAAAGCTTCCCGAGGTCCATGGGTCCGCGTTTCCATTAGTCAGCACAGCCACGACAAACAACACGTCCAACTTGACTCCTCTCAATGCAACAGCATCGCCCATCAACGCGGCTGAAGACATTGAAATGTTCAGCAAGGGCTTCTCAATATCTCAGCTGGCAATCCCCGCTGTGAGTGTGTTGATCGCTTTTCTCGCTTACTCGTCGCAGTACTTCTTTCTGCATTTCGAATCTGTGCCTCTCACAACAGAGGAGACATGGAAAATTAACATATTCGCTGCATGCATCTGGATATGTTATTATCGAACATGTTTCGTAGATCCAGGTCGACTTCCGAAGACCGAGCATCGACCAAAGCCCAAAGAGCAGGACAGTGACGAAGTCACTGGCCGCCAGCGATGGTGCCGTAGATGTGAAGCCTACAAACCTCCACGGGCTCATCACTGCAAAACTTGCAAGAGGTGAGACAAGATAAATCTCGTTGGGGACTCACGTGCTGACCTTGACGCAGATGCATTCCAAAGATGGATCATCATTGCCCCTGGACCTCCAACTGCGTCTCTCATTTTACCATCCCGCATTTCATGCGCTTTCTATTCTATGCAACTGTTGGAATGTCGTATCTCGAGACCCTAATCTGGGAGCGAGCATCATTTGTATGGAAAAATAGCCATTTGCCCAGCGTAAGTGAATCGGCACGCCGCCTAGCATTTCGAGTTGCTAAAAATAGATAGTACATGGGGCCCACACTGGGACAGCTCATCCACCTGTTTATACTCATGGTGGTGAACACTCTTACTACTTTTGCACTAGGTGTTCTCCTGCTCAGAAGCCTTTGGGCACTAGGATCAAACACGACCACTATTGAAACTTGGGAAATCGAAAGACATGCTACTCTCGTTAGACGCGCTCGTGTGCTCGGCGGGTATCTTGAGGGCCCCGGCGGTATCCGAGTGTATATAAAGAAGCAAGAGTACCCTTACGATATTGGAATTTGGGCCAATATCAGGCAAGGCATGGGCGGGAGTTGGAATGTGAGTGGGGATATACATATCTTTTACATCCAAACTAATGCATCTCTAGGTAATAAGCTGGTTCTGGCCATTTGCTGCAAGTCCTGATCGTCGCAGTGGCTGGGAATTCGAGACAAACGATTTTGAGGGTGAGCTGATATGTCACAAGGACCGGCTTCATTGCTGATCATTTATCTAGACCCTGGTGTTTCATGGCCGCCTCCGGATCCAGATAGGATTCCGATGCCAGCGAGTGCAAAGCCACCCAGTGACTTCCGCATGCCTCAATATGCAACTATACAAGATGAGATTGATGCCTTCAATCGCCGCAAACAAGAAGACATGAAGCGGTTTCAACAGAGCCCGGGGTTACAACGTCGCAAGCCATTCCATGATCGACACAAAGTAGACCATTATCCCGATAGTGAAAGCGATGAGTCTGGTGCCGGCTCTCATAGCGACTCAGATGAGGGCGAGGAGTCCTGGCGAAATGCTGAGGGTGAACGCCTCCGTGATTTCGGGGTGGATGAAGAAGCAGAATTCTACGACGAGGAAGACATTCCTCTTGCAGTCTTGATTCAACGGCGCAAGCAGGAACAATCCTTGAACTGATTATACGCACAATATGAACATAGCATCGAAGCCTCTAGATCTTTTTCGCAATGCCCCTCAGCCGCACATATCCCAGCCACTGGCTTCCATCCTCGCCACGAGTCACCACAGTCTGAAGCACATCACAAATCTCCTTGACAACCGCATCCCGATTGTCCTCGGGGAGAGCCTCCAGGAACTGGGCGCCCATAAGTCTAATCCAACCCTTCAGCCCGCCCTCAGCATCGGTGGTCAGTTTGGTTGGTCGGTACTCAAGTTCAACATTTTCAACATTGAACCCGACTTCTTCCAACGCGCTCCTCATCCAAGTGTCAGATGGGAAAAACCAAGGACTAGTATCTCTAGCCTTTTCGATAGAGATGCCTTGCTGAACCAGTGCATACAGAAGGGCGGTCTTGACCTCTGCGACGTTACCATGTCCACCCATCTCAAACACATATGTGCCCCCCAGCTTCAGGCATCCGTGAATTGCACGCAGTGTCGACATACGTGTGGTTTCATCGCGCAGGATCCAGTGGAGTGCTGCGTTGGAGATGCTGTAAGGTCGTCAGCAGGCGGTTCATAGGAACAATGTATCATAAAGAATTACATACACTTTATCCCATGAGCCATCCACAATCGAGGTCTCTTTCTCCAGATACCGACAGTCGACAACGCGGAAGTTGGCTTTGGGACTTGCGTAGTCTTTGTTGGCCGATTCAATCATTGATGCCGATGAGTCGATTCCTAGCACGGAGCCAATGGCAGGAAGAAAGTTTGCCGTGAATTTCCCATCGCCGCAGCCCACATCGAGAACTTTGTCTGTTGGCTTGGGGTCGAGAGAGTTCAGGAGCTTTCCGACGATTTTCGCGGAGTATACGAAGGATGCAGAAGCAGCGTATGCCTGATTTAGTCAGTCACTGTAGAGGCGTTTTGCCACAGCCGCCTACATACCTCTTCGGACCAGTTGTCATTTTGTGCCTGGGCGTTGGCCGTCATATTGGATTTGACAGATGGATGTATGGGAAGCGGAGAAGAGGTTGCTTGGCGAAGATGATCTCTCAAATTGCGGGACAAAAGCGGTCGATTTCTAGAGCTGCTTTTTAACTAAATTATTGCTCGAGGTATGAAACTCTTGGTGAATTTGAATCACAAACTGGTTCTTTGAGCTCTCTTATATATTTTGTCTATAACTGTAGAGCGGCAAGGCTGCAGGAGAAATGAGGGGGCCGATATCGGACCGGACCTATCGGACGCCTGTTGTATACATAGTTGAGAGCTTTCTTTCTGCGACTTCGCATGACGAAGAGTCATTTCTCTCCATAAAAAAAGATCTAGAAGCCAAAATGAATTTCATTTAGCCAATAATTCCATGGGTATTGGTGGTCAAGGTGGTAATGCGGGGCCATACAGTCGGCGAAAGGCTCAACATATGTTCTTACTAGATATAGTACGATTGCGCAGATTGATTCAAAATTTGGGATGTAATTTGCTGTTCACCGACGTCAACCAAAGCTTTGCATGTCCATTTTTTCTTATCATGTCATCTCAACACAACGACCATGATTGCAGAGTGAATAAACTTTGATGTTGCGTTGTTGTTACAATCATTCTGTGCTTGTGACTGGCTCGAATTTTCGTTTTCAAAGTATTGCATGTCCAGGCACTATAAGCAGCATGGTATTCCCAGGTATATTCTATCGCAAAAGTGGACATTCGATCTATGCTGTAGTTCGAAATAATATGATATCGACCATCAGGAGTTGACGTCACGTAGCTGTGGGGCGAACGGCAAGGGCGGAATTAATCATTTTGATTTCCGTCATTATCACTGGATAAAACCTTTCCTTTGCTAGAAGATATAACGTCGATTCTCACAAGGTTGCTGCATCTTTTGCATATACCAGATCAAATTTTAACATGTCATATCAGGGTCATTGCAATTGCGAAAGTGTTCGCATCACCCTTCCGCAGCAGCCCCCGAACACAATTGTTTGCCATTGGTATGGGATTCACAGTTATTGACAAGGCCGGTATAGTTGCTAATCATTAATGCAGCGATTGTTGCAAGCGGGCGGGTGGCGGTGGTTCGTTTTTTGCCTTGGAACCTATTGAATACCACGACTCTTGCTAACGCTTTCTTAAGCTTTCTCACTTAACTACTTCATCGACGAGAATGAAATGACTGTTGATGATCCTAATTCGACACTGAAGATATCTGCCGATAGGAAGTCACTAACTGTAAATCTTGTCAAGGTATATATTTGGCTATGATCCTCAACTCACTTGACTTATGTTCCAAACAAATGCTGATCAGTGGATCTGAGAACAGCGCCATTTTTGCTCGAATTGTGGGAGGTATGAAACGACGAGGACCATTTGATAACAAAAGCTGATATTTGACCGCAGTCCTGTGTATACCAAGACCCCTAAAGCTCCAGGAAAGGTTTTTTTGAAGGCAAGCTTGTTCCAAATTGTCTCTCCTCCTACCACTGAAGTTTTTGTCAGTAAGCGACATCAGTGGGTAAGTCTTGGAGACGTCACTGAAAAGCATGCTTAAGGGCTAGCGTGTGCGTGATATCAAAAACAAGAAGTGTGACCAATAGATCTTTCCCCTTTGTAGTAAAGACGTGGATGGAAAATATGGCGTCTAGCATAACATATTGGGAGAACATTTGATCGCTATGTAGTTGCGAGCTTGGGATTACAGGCGAATACCGGTCGTCAGAAAAAAAGATGGCAAAAGCAGGGTGACGTCCTCATGGCGGTGCATCGCGTTGTTGGAGTATCTTCGAAGGGCATATCTGGCAACTGGTTTCAAGTAAAACAGTAAGGATGGTTACACGAAAAGTGATTATGATAGGTCAGAGGTATTTGAGTTTGAAGTTGGTCTTTCACTTACCACACTTCAAGCCCTTAACAGACCCAAGAGCCAATTCCATGTTGTAATGAAGCCACTAATATCATATAGCCTGCTCCCGCATGACTTAACGAGCTTCTAGGCAATGACTATTCCATTCCTTTACTGAATAATCTAAGAAAGTATAGATCCGTCTGTATCTTCGGTCACTAGTGTCTTTGAAAAGAATAAAGATAGAGCACGTAGATCGCTGCCAGAATTAGATGTGCATCCTTGCTGACGATGGAGTGCTTCTAGACTGACCCTGAAGCAACGACTGCAGATGCCCATGTCTCACGTGCAAACATAAATTTCCGAGCAGTTTAATTTAAAAAAATTAATTCCATCTTGATGGACTGAAATAAAAAGCCCACACCAACTTCTTAGAGTTCTGTACACGCAATTTATCGACCGAAGTACTGAAGCTCCAAGTATCTTGCCGGTAAATAAGCCAAAGCCGTCACAACGAACGTAAACTCGTTGGCAACGTCACCCCCGTAATCTCCAATCACCGCAGCAAGGGGACCAATGAACCAAGTCTCATCCATACCCAGGCACCACGCCACAACTCCGAGCGAAAAGGCCACACTCGCGCCAATTCCCAACGGAAGCCTCGCCGGGTCGTTCCATCCTTCGAGATCATAGTTTTCAAAGTTGCCCTTGCGGAAGATATAGTGTTCCTGGAACAGAATAACGGCATAACTTGTGCACCAGTATCCCAGCAGACTCAAAAAATCTTGAAGGTATTCGTTCAGCTTTTGCCGACCACCAATTGACAGGGCGAGGATGCAGGCGAAACAGAACAATGTCCAAAGAGACCGAGGAATGCGAGCTAAGGGTCGGGCAAGTTGCTGGAAGGAGATGGCGGAACTATAAATGCTGATGACGTTGACGTTGATACCGGACAAGACGAGGAGAGTAAGTAGGAACTTTGCGAACCCGCGAGGATGAAGCATCTCTTGAATGAGATAACCAATTCCTTTCTCGTATGCGGCGGACCAGTCGGGCTTAGTGTTTAAAGCAGACGCAACCATGCAGCCAGCCACCATGCCGATCGAGGTGGGAATCGAAATACCAAAGGTTGTCATGAGGAAAACCTTCAGACGACTCGTGTTGGCAGGATAGTGGACATAGTAGTCACTAGCCATTGTGCACCACGAGGCACTGGAACCGTAAACAACGGCGATTAGACTGAGAACGGCACCGGAGAAAGAGGAGCCAGTCACGGTAGCCGGAGCCGCATTGTCTGCATATTCACCAGTCTCGCCGTAGATGATCAGGAAAATAACTAGAAAGACCATCCAGGCCCATCTCTCGTAAATCAAAATTGCATTTAACCCGACGCAAGAGATTAACAGGGCCACGACAGCCAAAATAACAATTCCAAGAATCAAAGAGACGTGACCATCGGAGACCGCCGTCAACGCAAGACCTCCAGTGATGCATGCTACAGCAGCCCAACCCATTTGTTGAATACCGTTCAGCAAGGCGACCAGCTTGTTAGGCCACCAACCAAAGCTGTACCGACTAACACTGATTTGACGCAAACCAGTAACAGCGCCAAAGGTCGCGCAAAACCCACTCAGCGATGCAGCCAAGATTGAAACAAAGATGGTAATGAGGATCGATTGTTTCATAGTCAGGCCGAATTCCCAGCCGAGGAAGCCAGTCGCAAAGCAGGAGGTGTTCATCGTGCCACTCGCCCACAGAGCCGCCATTGATATCTCCTCCACCCAATGGACCTCTCTTTTATCCTCAGCACGCTTGCGCTCGATGGCATCAGACTCTATACCGAGTTTTTTATCCAGCCTAGCTTCCAGGGCGCGAATCCTAGCGAGTATACCGGTCTCGTGAGGAGCAGCATCATCAACTGAAATCACCTCAGGTGAACTGTGTTTTTCAGTTGGGTGGCCTGTTGCAAGGCCTTTCTCCGGATCAAAGGCCATGATTCCTGGTGGGAAGCAGCGATTGGAAAAGAAGGGGCAGGCATACTTTTTAAGAATGTGAGTGTGGGGAAAAGATAAGGCTTGTATGGGGGGACGCTTCCCAGCTCCACCTCGGCGCTGTTTCCCAATTTAATAGTTATCGGACTTGTTGAATTGGTCCTATGTAATTGGTTAGTATAACTATTGGCTTCCTGTCGGCTGATATTTCCTACCCACATACGCCACACGGGCCCCTTAATTATTGGGTGGCCACCGGGCTATCTACGGACTCCGCTTATCGACGAATATAATAGAAAAATGGGCGTGAGATTCCACGAGGTAATGTACACATACTATTTGTCTTATTAGTTCTATCTAGCAACTAGAGCACGGGTATTATCTTTTAGAGCTTTCCTACGATTCTCGACCATTACTGTTAGTTGAAAGTCCCTTCAGTTCCCATCGACTAGATATCTGTGGCCATTGATGAGTTGCGGAATTGATTTTCGTCTCCAACGTGGAACGTGAAATCTCAGAACAGATAACAAAACAAGCCTTGCCCAGAGCCTTGGAGCCTTGGCTCGGCTAAGCTAATCTCACCCGCTCTATCTGACGGGTGAAGCCACGTGATAGGGCGCGTGTGATACCGAACGGCACCTTGGCATGAGGAACCAGTTCAGGGCTAGGTGATCAAGCTGATGTTTAACTTGATATAGTTGTGACAGGTGGAGTGTGGCAAATATTGATAGTAGTTCATTAGGCACTTCCTAATAGTCATATGGCTCAACCCGTTCATTATATGATCTAGAATACCTCAGCTATGGTAGACCTAGTTCATAATTGGATCTGACTGATATCTGATTCCTCCTATGAGAGTGCTCAAATCATGTAGTATTCATCGTATCTACATGATTCTATAAAAACATAAAAGTGGCTGTAAACATCGCTGCAATCAATGCCATAAGGCCCTGTGCACAAGTCAATTTACCGACAATTAATGTTGCGGTAGTATATCCTTGTCAGTAGATCTTCGGTAGAATGAAGACATCAAAGTAAAAAGCACGTTATACTGTCATCAGAGGGGCATATAACACCATTTGGACTAAAAGCTTTACGCACTCTGATTGGGCAACATTGTTTCTAGAACACACACAACTCTATTTTAGCTGTATAATTTATGTCATATCGTTTATATGCACCATCCGTCCTGTTCAACTTTTGTTGTGGTGATATAGTCGAAATCCAGACCATGACCAAGTCAACTTGCGGTTGGGGGGAGAAAAGTGTCGATCCGCGGAGAAACTGCCAGCCAACAAATCTGCTTTGACCACCTCAGATAAGCCGATTCCAGCGAAACCGACGAGAACAATGCTGTTCTGCTCAAGTTAAAGATATCGCGAGAAAATGGCAGCCACCGCCCATTCTTCAGATCCAGAGAGACCCTCCGGCACCGTGTTACAGGAAGTCCGATCGCGGCACTACCCGACCGACGTGGATCCCCGCGAAGCGCTCGAGCTCCAGGAGATTCAAACGCATGAAGATAACGAGCTCAACAATTCTACGCCGTCAAACTCGTCTGGCGATGAATATCGCGTCGTAACGCGTCGTACCACATCGCGCGCTCTCGCGGCGCATGCAGATGCCCGACATCGCCGCCAGGCGCGGAAGGGCGCTTGGGGCAAACTCACACGATTTTGGACGCACCATGTTACTTTGACGGTTCCGCATAAGAGTAATCGTGATTATTTTGGTGGGTGTTCACCGCCAATTCCTATTATTCTAGCCCATGTTAATTGTTTTATAGCTTTAGAGAGAACCTTTCTGGCTTATATACGTACCTCCCTTGTTATCACACAGCAAGGAGTCCTTATAGCGCAGTTGTTCCGTCTACAGGCGGCGGAGGCTTTGGCGGATAAGCTTGGATTCCAGCAGGTCGGTATCCCGCTCTCGGTAACTTGTCATAGTGTGGCTATTCTCGTGGCTTTGGTTGGTGCCTATCGATTTTGGAGACAACAGAATGCAATTGCCCGGGGTAAGATCCATGCTGGGGGATGGGAACTAAACTCTGTCGGGATCCTTCTGGGCTGTGTGAGTTCTTTGTGGGATGTAACTGGTAGATTTGAGAGCGTTGCTAATTTGGTTCAGATTATTCTCACAACTTTGATTATATCTATTGCGATTACCGTCGAGATCGGTACAGATCCGTCGAATTTGATCAAACTGATATTGCGCGGATGAATGTCCATGTGAAATATTATGAGACGTTTGTATAATACATGCCTTGGCAACCTCTGCCTTATGGCTAAACGCTAAATAATGATAGTAATGGGAAAATGAATGCAATGCTCGATATCAAAAGCCTGTTTAAATGCTAGCCTTTGACGAGTAAGTATACTGCCCACACCGTGCAAAGTGGGCTGCATCCACATAAAATTGTCAAAAAAAGAACGATGGGTCCGTAGAGCTGAGTTGGCCTTCGTCGCCGCCTTGCCAATGCTGCGATCTGTTGCCATTGAACCATTCGAAGCTATTTGCCAAGATTCCTGGACCCACGAAAGTAGAGACTCTTGTTTCTCAATACACTTCAAGATTCGTACACCGAAATCATAGCGAGCTGTAGATTTTATTCGGTGATTTCCGAGTTGCTTAAAAGCATGAGCCATCCTGCTAAGTTGCTCGATTTCATGGCCTGACTATGGCGACAACTCCATTTAAGTTTATATAGGCGGGTGGCAGAAGCGAACGGTGCTCTGATTGTTGTTTTTAACAGATTTTTCGGGTTTGATGCGTCAGCTTTATTCCATCACTCAATTGATGTGATTTTATTGAACATAAAGAGGATATCAATTCGGGACTACCTCCGGCTAAATGAAGGTAAAGTCATTTAGGCTATAAGAATCCAATCATACGCCAGTATTTCACCGACGAGCCCCCAGAACCCAATGTCAAAAGTCAAGAAACGCTAATCTCACCTAATTGCGCTTTGTTGAACACCAATGCTGGTATTGGACAATTGTTCAAATACGAGATGGGTCGAATTCTCTTATGCTTAATGATTGGGCCCCGCCAATTGGAGAAACCTTACGCGGCTGTTGAGCGGAGATGGAGCCCTTGGCACGGAAGTCCCAGATGGTCTAGCAAAACCAGTTCAAAGTAAAATACGGCAATCCTTTGACCTATACGTATCCCAGTGCATATCCGACGCAGATCCGTGAGGCGGGGTACAGATCCCGTGAGCAGAATATAGCTACAATTAGATCAACGGAAAATCATTTTTGAACCAATTACACACTATCGCGAGTTGGGTGCAGTTTTTCAGAACTTTTGGGGGTGCCCAGGTGTTTTGACCGGCTTAGTCCAGGAATTGGATGGGTGAACTTTTGTGCCCAATAGTATTTATAGATCTGTATAGCACGAGCCACTTCACTTGTTCTTCAATACGTTGCTCACAGGTCAACAACCTGCGTCAGTTTTCATTCGCTCCATTCTTCTGACGTGAAATTCATTTTGACTCTCCAAAACTATCTCAAAATCTGAAGATATCGATCATCTTTGCCAATATGGGTGATCTGGTAGTTCCCACAAAGAAGCGTTACGCCCTAGTTGGCACCGGCGGAAGAGCCGGTCTCTTCTACACCAGCATTGCCAAAGACTTCGGCGAAACTAGCACCTTAGTCGCCATCTGTGATACAAACCAAACTCGGCTGAATTATGCGAAGTCCAAGATCGAAACTCTTACCAGTGGTCAGATCCCTACTTATCTCGCCAAGGACTTTGACGCTATGATCAAAGAAACCAAGCCAGATGAAGTTATAGTCACCACGATTGACCGCACGCACCATACCTACATCGTGCGCGCCTTGGAACTTGGCTGCGATGTCATTACCGAAAAGCCAATGACCATCGATGTTCCACAGTGTAAGGAAATATTCTCGGCTGTGGAACGTACCAACCAAAGAGTCAGAGTTACCTTCAACTACCGATACGCGCCACACAACACGAAGATCTTTGAGCTTATCCGATCTGGTGCAATCGGCACCGTTACAAGTATCCATTTTGAATGGATGCTCAACACTTCCCATGGAGCAGACTACTTCCGACGCTGGCATCGTGATGCGCGCAATAGCGGCGGTCTCCTGGTTCATAAATCAACCCACCACTTTGATTTGATCAACTTCTGGCTTCAATCTAGACCAAAGACTGTGTATGCGCAGGGAGATCTCAAGTTCTACGGCAAAAAGAACGCCGAGGAGCGCGGTGTCACCAACTTCTACTCCAGGGCCCATGGTAGTGAAGCTGCCAAAGATGATCTCTTTGCTCTTCACTTAGACCAGAATACACAACTAAGGTCTCTTTACCTTGACGCCGAGCATGAAGACGGATACTACCGTGACCAGAGCGTTTTTGGTGATGGAATCAGCATTGAGGATACGATGAATGTGCTCGTCCGATACGACGATGATACTGTTTTGACCTATTCACTCACTGCGTACGCCCCGTGGGAAGGCTTTCGCGTCAGCTTCAATGGAACCGGTGGAAGATTGGAAGCCGAAATTGTGGAAAGCAGCTATGTCAATTCTGGCGGGGAGCAATCCCTGGAAGGCGCAGCTGAGAATATCACACTCATGCTCCGACCTCTGTTCCAGGAGCCGCAAAAGATCGAGGTCGTGCAAGCAGCAGGAGGACATGGAGGTGGTGACAATGTGATGCTTCGCGATCTGTTTGGAGAGGTGGAACCGGATGAGCACATGCGAGCTGCTAGTCATATCGATGGAGCTGCTTCCATCCTGACTGGTGTCGCTGCAAATCGCTCTATTCGTACTGGTCAAGTGGTTACTGTCAGCGATATCTTGAGCCTTCCATAGTCAAGTTTAGATTGCCTGGTTTTGTTATAAGTGGAAAGAGTATTTTATATAATAATTTATTCAACGACTATATATAAAGCCTTATTGTCACAGTGCATTATCTTTGTATACTATATAGGCTTCATTATAAAATAGATAATCCCCCTTGCTATTATTCTCAATTTGTAATTACATAACTGTCAAAGTATATATATTTGATAGCAAGGGTAATAAGCCTGGCAACCTTGTGCATGGGTACTGGACTTGTTTCATCTTGCTCCCTGGTTAGGAAACCATGACTTTGTCTTCACTTCATTTCCTTTCAATTGACTTTTTGCTTCTCACTCTGCCTCGTCTTCATTCTCAGAATCTCACAGGATACAGCCAAGTAGGTAATTCTCTATAAGATGCAAGCCATGAAATACTAATGATTATGCCTAACACTTCATAGAAGAAACATTACTTCTTCTCAAATTGATTCCAAGTTATTTACCAACTGTGAGTGAATTCAAGTCCGAGTGGTACGGGCCGCTTTTGAAACAATACTCACGAAATTAATACTGGTAGGAACCATGGACGACAATAATCGCGCTGTACATATCCCGAGCAACGACGATCTAGACAGTTTAATTGTACTTCGAGAACGAGCCGAACGAGCCGAAGAATGCGAGGAGCGACGCCTCGCTGTTTTCCGCGAAGCCCGGCGACTCTGACGTCGTTACCTGCGCCTGATCAACGGCGTGGGTACCAAGTTGGCTCACAACGGATGGCGGCGGCAATCTACGAAGTTCAAACCTCAGACTAATAAACGCGGGTGGGCTCTGATAAGCTGGTAAGGCCATTGGCGGCCTAAGGCCACCACAACAAATTAACTAAACAGTTAAGCAACTTTGACTTGCAAACAAGAAAAGCAGATTGGCTTTCAATTGTGATTTCAACCACCCAACATGAATCTTGGGTCTTTTTGGGCCTCGGGGTTATATATACCGATGGCAGCGGATAGACACGCGAAGGGGTACTAAAGGCCGCCACGTGCGGGGTTAGCCATCGGCACTGATTGATAAAACACCGCGAAGAGGAAAGATAGCGACGGATAACTGTCACAAATGGTATCGGAGGGATAACCGGAAAAGCCGGGGTATGAGCGCCAAGCATTTAGCGTGGGGGCCAATAGCAGATCTGGGGAAGGCGGGTCAATTGGTTGCTACATATCAGAAAAGTCATGAGCAATTTGTGTTGACGCTAGGACAGCTAGGAGCGCCAAGATGCGGTCATTTTAGCACGTTCTATTATCCCTTCTGTGACCAGACCAATCATTACTTGTACAACACTGCGCCGCCACATTTCTCCCCGCATTCCAAGCTAGCACCTTGAAAGGATTTGCTCATCTGACCAGCAACCTTGTTTCATTCTAACTTTGGCTAGGATTCATTGGTGTAAAAATTGATCTGGGGCTGGTATTCTTGTCTCGAGCTTCGGCTCGGCGCCGGTAACCATATTCGTATGTTGATCGACGCTAATTATGTTCAGCCTAATATCCTCTACGAATGGGTGGGCTAGTTTGAGAATAATAAAAAGATAAGATGAGTAGTAGGGATAGATTTGAAAGGTATCCTATTCCCCAAACAACAAAGAAGTAACAGAAAGCTCAACACTGCAAGCAAGCTGTATAGCCACGAAATTATTCATGCTCTGCTTGCATTATAAGCTTCGCCTATCATGACAACCCGCAAAAGCGATGATATTCAAATCGCCCATGACGAAAACCAGGACCTAGGTTATGGTGCTGGGCAGGAAACATATTCTAAGGCTGTGGAATTTTTGGCCGGCCATTCAAGTGAGCAGCCCGATTTCACCTACGAGGAGGAGAAAGCCGTTCTCCGCCGCATCGATTTGCGGGTTCTTATTCTCGTCTTGTGGGCATACTTTTTCCAACAACTAGACAAAAGTACACTAAGGTATTTACTTATTCAAAACTTTTGTCAAGTACAAACACTGATATACCTATTATCAGTTATGTCTCGATTTTTGGAATCGCCGATGATGCCCACCTGGTTGGCCTTCAATATTCCTGGCTTGGGTCCATTCTGTATCTCGCCCAACTGGTGATGCAACCATTAGCAGCCTTGGTTCTCGTCAAGCTTCCAACAGGAAAGGTCTTGGCTTCAGCCATCTTCCTCTGGGGCTCATCACTTGTAATTATGTCGTCTTGTACCAACTTCCCGTCACTGCTTGGACTTCGTTTTGTTCTCGGATCTTTCGAATCTTTGATTGCACCTTGCTGTGTGGCTATTACGCAGATGTGGTGGCGTCGCAGTGAACAGACGCTACGTGTTAGTTACTGGAGTGCAATGAACGGCGTCACATCCATCATAGGCAGTCTCCTAACCTATGGCTTAGGTCATATTCATAGCACCGTTTTATATCGCTATCAGACTATATTCATGTTCTGTGGGCTGTTGACGGTGGCTTACTCCTTTTTAGTTTTCTGGCTCATGCCGGATTCCCCGGTGGACGCTAAGTATTTGAATGAGAGGGAGAAGTTCATCGCCACTGAGCGACTTCGGGCGAACCAGATGGGCATCGTCACTCAAAAGTGGCGCTGGGACCATGTCCTGGAAGTGGCGCTTGATCTCAAGACATATTGCTGGTTTTGTGCCATCCTTTCGATTTCGTGAGTTTCTTCTATTGCCCCAGTAGTGCGATATAAAGAGAAAACACAAGCTGATGGGCCTTCTGGATAGTATTGCGAGTGGTGGAATTACCACTTTCGGTTCTTTAATTGTCAAGTCCTTTGGATACAGCAGCTTTGAGACCATTTTATTCAATATTCCCTTCGGTGTTGTCCAGGTCATCGCCATTATAGGTGCTGGGTGGATAGCCACTCGAACTCAGCGCAAGGGTCTCGTCATCTCCGGATTGAGCATACTTCCCGCAATTGGGGCCATATTGATGCTTACAGTCCCACGAAAACAAAAGGGAGTTCTGCTTTTCGGCTACTATCTGGTATGGCTGAGTTTCTTTGATTGATTTTTTTAAATGGCAGCTTACAGGCGCTGCAGGTTTCCACTCTAGCCGGCATAACCCCGATGCTATATGCATGGCAAGCTCAAAACACGGCAGGCGATACCAAGAAGAAGTGCACCTCGGGCGTTGTTTTTGTTGGCATGTGCGCTGGTAACGTTATTGGACCTCTGCTCTTCTCTACCGAAGATGCACCATTGTACCGAAAAGGTCTCATAGCTGATCTTGCTATGTTTGTTACTGTTGGAGTCCTCTCTGGGTAAGTAAATGTTTATGATTCACATCATTCACCAGATGAACTAACAAAAGGCGCAGTCTCATTCCAATTTACCTCGCTTATCTGAACAAGAAGCATGAGAAAATGCGAGTTGAGCTTGGGAAGTCGGGTCATGTTGCCGACATGTCTATGCTCCGGAAGAACCAACTCAAAGTGAACAAAGCAGCCGAACTCGAGAATGTCCCAGAACAAAAGGCCTCTGTGGCGCAAGACAAGGGTTTGCTGGATGTGACAGATTTGAAGAACGAGGACTTCATTTACGTTTACTAGGCTGATGAACCTATGGCTTTAATGACTAGTACATATATCAGAGGGAGCTGAACGATATTTCTTATATGTCCGATATATCCTTTTGAAATTTCGTGCTTTCTCGGTAGCCACTACATTCTGACTGCAGTTCGCACACCATCAATATTAATTAGGGAATATTAATGGATCATATCCAACAATTCTGACAACTTTCAGCCGAGCGATTGAACAACAATTTGACTTGATCAAATATACACTTGCATTTGTTATATTCTTGAATATGTATGCATACACATACATATGCATGCTATTAGATTTTAGAAGTTAGGTAAATAATGTACAAAGTCACTCATCATAATACATGACAGTCGTCCCCAAGATACTCAATAAGAAACACGGAGATCTTCCTCCAGAAGAAGCCATTTCCTGGCAATTTCTGCTCGTTCATCAGCAGATGATTCCCGCATCTCATCGAGTCCCTGCATTATTCGAGACGCCACAACAGCACTCTCCTGCTTCTTGCCTAAGGAGATTTGCAGTCTCCTGCGAAGTCCGGCTAATGGGTAACCGGCCAGACCCCAGAGTCCTGTTGCAATGAATTAGAATCAATCTTAGATATTGATCAGTGTAGTATTCCCGGACATACCTGCGGGTGGCTTGAGGACAACACCACCAATACCTTTCCCGATACCCTTGGCCATCCCCTTCGCGCCATGGTGCTTGAGACCCTGTTTTGGCTGAGTGACCAAGCCCGTAACTCCGTAATAGAAGCCATCTCGAAGTTCCTAACTCCTCTATCAGCGATCTTCATCACCTGCAACTTTCTTTGGTTTGTCATTCACATACCGTGCCAGCAGCCCTGACTCCACTACGGAATCCGATGACCTTCGGCGTTGCCTTTACTGTCGGGTCGTTGTACAACTTCGGCGCATTGTGGAATCCCTTGGATAAACTAAGAGTTAGGTCCGTCGGGAGCCAGATAACAGTTTTCAAAAGCTTCAATGACATCCGTCTGCCATGAGAGCGCATCTCAGTGAGAGCAGTATTCCGTTGCGGGGAGTCTATACAGCTCATCGTCTGGGCCTTTTCGAGTTGTAGGCTGCGTGTTCTTTCAAGACTGGTTGCGGCTAGCGTTTCGCTCAGCTCGTCATCCTCATCGAGGCTCGTTCCATCGTCGTCATTTGATTCGTCGGATTGGCGATATTCATTGGTTTCATGGAACTGCTCCTCTCCGCTTTCTTCGCTGGACTCCTGGCTTCTTCGGTGGCGATTTCTCCATGCGCAAGCGGCCGCAGACACGGGGTCCCTTTCGCTGTGTGGATGCCCAATTGCACGGCCAGCAGAAATGAGATCCGTTGCCATTTCATAAGGTAGCTCGCCAATTCCGGTCACGAAGTTTGCAATGGCGCCGACGAGTACCTGTGCTCCTGCACTGATTGGGCCGGCGGGGTCGCGCCAGGTGTCGTATTCCGATGAACGATTTCTGGAAAATAGTTTAGTAGACTGGAACAGCTCGCGGTTGGTGAGCTTACAAGACAAGATCGTGAGGTTTTATTTTCTCCATTTCGACCAGCACCGAAGCAGCTAAAGCACTTAGACCAATTTGGGTGTGTTTCACGTGCCATACAGCAGGACGGGATGGGCATATAGCGCATCGAAGAGATTTCAGATCGAGATGTCGGTGGAAGCTGCGTACCCCGTCTTTTACACCGGACTCTTTCTGCATTTTGGCTGCGATCTCCTGTGCCTTCTGTTGGGTCGCAGGTTGAAGCGCGATCTCAATTGCATTTTTCAGTTTTTCAACTGTTAGTTGTTTGTGAGGAATTGGAGCTGGTCCAGCTCGCGCCGTGGCCACTATCCCGCCCCAGAATTGTTGATCGCCAAAGAATGGAACGATGATTGTCGGCCGCCCAAGGGAAAGGCCTGCAGCAGTTGTACCAGCACCGCCATGATGGATGACACATGAGACACGTTGGAAAAGCCAATCATGCGGAACACTTCCAACGATGAGAATGTTATCAGGGACATCCACCTCTTCGACTCCGAGATTTCCCCAACCCTTTGAGACAATGGCTCGCTGGCCCGCTTTTCCGATCGCTTCAAACACAATCTTTGTTAATTTTATCTGGTCATCCACAACAATAGAGCCGAATCCAACATAAATTGGAGTTGGGCCAGCTTTGAGAAAATCGTCGATTTCTTTCGGGGGGTTGTAGTCTGATTTGGCGGGAAGGACACTGAACCCGCAAATGTCAATGTCAGTGCTCCAGTCGCGTGGCTTGGGGAGTAATGCGGGCGACCTGAAATTTCATATTATTAGCACAAGTTATCCTTTTGTGGTCGCTTGATCTTACCAGAGGTATGAATATGGAACTCGGAGGCGATGTATCAAACTGGGCGCTGTGATCGAATCCAATGGGTCCAAAGCGAGGTACTTCTTCCGCCATGAATTCACAAGGTCTCCCAATCCCTCCCAGATCATCATGTCAACAACAGCATAAGAAACAAAATTTGCGACTGTTGGTTTGCAGTCTTGCTGATGGAGGACAGCCAAAGGATGTGGAAATGATTGAGTGGGCGTCCACGGCATTCTAGCACAATTACATCAGCATATAAAACAATGAGGGTCCCATGAGTGATACTCACGTAAACATCATATGTAGCGGAATACCAAGCCGTTGTGCGCAATGAATATGGGCCAAACTCGGCGGGTTGGCAATGATAGCATCGGCAATAAACGGCCGCCGACGATAATCCACAGTATCGCTCCAAGGATCCTCCTTAATTTGATGAAGGTTTGTTCCATCACCAGTCTCAATGCACGATCTCCAGCATCCGTATATAATCTCTTTCATTTCGCGCCGGCGTTTTTGGATCGCCCCGCTTCGAATCGTACTCAAAGCCGGTAGGAGAGACGGATTCTTGACCATGAACGCCATGAGTTCTGCAGGATCTCCGCCGATACTGAAAAATTCCAGTCCGCTCTCAAGAACAAAGTCCCTGAACGCTAGATGCGTTGCTAAACGCACCCGGTGTCCATGCGCTTTTAGCTCCTTGCCCAGCGCGACGAATGGTTGTATGTCACCTCGAGATCCAATGACTTGAATGACAAGGTTCATTTTCAGTGGAAAATTTTTCCCTTCATCTTTTGGTATTGCTTCCTGGCTTTCTTTGTGATGGAGATCCTCTATCTCGGGTTCCCGTTGTGTTCTGTGAATGCGATTCAATAACCCTGCGATACTCGGCTTATGTTCATTGATGTTTATATCAAGCCGACCGTCACCTGCATTGTTTCAATTATCAGTCTTAATTCGCTAGAGACTCCAGTTGATCACGAACTCAGGACTCGGACTCCAGTATTGAGCCCATCTCCGCTGAATTGGATCCCTTCCGGACCCTGGGAAAGCGACCCGTTGACCTCTTCAGGCCAGTCCTCCGAATTTATTGCCTCATGTCGATGCGACCTGGTCCTAGCAGTCGGTGCTGCTGTGGCCATTCTTGGGAGATCGGCTGGCTGACTAGAGCAACGAGCCCGTTCAAGATCGGTACTATGGGTGATAGATCTGTGCGAACGAAATTAAAGTATAAGCAATAGCCGTCGTAAATATTAATATCAATATGCGCTTTTTATTTGATTAAGAATCGAATGCGACAAGAATATTTTTGTGTGTAGTCGATGATGTCAGGGCCTCTCCCGAGCTTCCGGCTTCCCGGTGCTTCCACTGCGGGTCTCGGGACCAGGATCAGCCCTGCGGGGACATGACCCTGTTCAGCTAACGGTGGCCCAAAATACGTACCTCGGGATGGCCACAAAAATCGCTTACTAATTCTTGTTGGCCACCCTTAACTGGGGCCCACTGGGACGCTGTCCATGATAATGATAAATTCAGATTGGATGATCAGATCCAATCTTACCGAGGTAGGGAACTAAGTATAGTACAATTTGGGCCCAAGGCTGAGCTGGGACAGAAAGGCTATATCTTACCTCGGCACTTGATCCATGCATTGTCACATTCTGTTCTTCGACCAACATAACGGTAAAAGTACCAAGGATTTGCAAAAATACACTCTGCCAGTTCCAACCTATGGTGGTAGTGGTACAGATCTGCTACTCGGCGGCCGGGTCTTTGTCAATTTGGATATTCAGTAGGATACATTGAGGGCATAGACCTTAATGTAGTCACCGAAGAGAAATTCGCACCGTTAACAAATCCGATATATGATGTTGGGAAATTTGTTCACATTACTCTGTACGGACTTTTGCCTCGGAGACTGAGTTCCGATAGACTGATTATAATTGCTAGCTGAGTCGTGGTGGAGACCTCGGGAAATAATGGAGCTTCACCCTATACCTTACACCTCTAGTCCCATTGCAGGGAGGTGTGTGTAGATCGATCATGCGATAAAAAATAGTCACCCCGGATGCTACGTATCTCGGAATCACTCCATGCAAGGTGCTTCGATATTGCACATGTTTGTCTTCCTTGAATGATAGTCAGTGACAAAATTTGGGCGATTCGGGATTCGGAGAGCGCTCCTAGAGAGCTTTTATCTTCACGTAGAATGCAAGCCCTGGAGGAGGATCAATGGAATTGAATATATTCCTGATAATAAATTGTGGGAAAAGAAGAGAGAAGAGGGGAGAGCTACAAACAGATCCTGGACTTAAGCGTGGGAGATCACCTGATCCACCCAACATAATTATTGCTTAGAGAATTTCGATAGATATCTATCTTCACTACATACCTAGGTAGCTGTACGTACCATTTTTCCTCTGCCGGGTGGGGCTTTCCTATCTTAGCTGCCGCCGCTTTTACGAGGGCGCTCAGAGTCAGGCTCACTGAGTAAATTTCAGTCCGGGCTCAGACTCAGTGAGCTGCTCATGAGCATCACGTGACAAAGGCGTGAGGTCCAATGGGCGCTCAGTGAGCGCTCACTGATTGTGATTGGATGCTCACTGATTGCTCACTGATTGCTCACTGATTACTCAGACTGATCAGAGCCATCTATTGAGCACTCAGTCCACGCCCAGTCCATACCCAAAGGAGCACTTTGCCCCACAATATTGTTTATTTTGCGATCACTTCTTGATGGCCCTCACTTCTCACCATGCCCCGATTTCTTGAGGTGCGCGATCCTCTAGTCCCGTTTCCCCCTTGAAAAACAACGCACTAAAACACGATGACGCAAAATTGGAAGGCACCGAGCTCATCTATAACGGGGCGATGCAGGAGCAAAGTTTTGGGTCAATTCAAATTACTGAGTTATAAATTGGAACTATTTCCTTGCTCTAAACCTACAAGATAGCTTTATCTATTTTCTACTTCATCCTTTCAGCTCGTCGCCTTTTTTTACATTTTGTGGGAATCTATCAAGCCATGGGTAGAAAAAACTTCTTTGCTCAACAAGATGAGATCGTCAAAGAGAAGCGCTACAAACAACTGCAAGAGAGCAGCTATGTTTTTGGCGCTCATACAGATGAAGACTCCATCCGAGAGAAAGATAAAAGAATACCTAAGACCAAGAGGATGTACTACCATGCTGTTAATCTTTGGATGAAGTGAGTTGACATTCACTTGTACATGAAGTGTATCCGACGAATGAGTTACTTACTTGCTGTTAGGTTCGTTACGCTGCATCGAATCGAGGGCTACAAATTGGGGCCTGGCTGTGCGGTTCCAGACCACACACTCATCAAAGAATTTCTCCGGTGGTACAGTCATTCAGCGCGAGGAAAAAAAGTAAGAATGGACGGCCGGTGATGACATCGGTTCTCAATTGTGCGGAGAGGCTGTTTGGTGGATTTGAAGAAAAAATGCAAATTAAAATTGTGTTGGAAGACCGGAAAGAAATAACCAGTGTAAGCCACTTCATGGATCTTACTTTCTATGTTCCGGAATGGAAGCCAAACTAACTCAGGCACAGTGGGTAAAGAGAACATTAACAGAAAACGAAGGAACGATTGAGAATGTCGAGGATCCAGCTCACAGCTTTACCAAAAAGGATTTTCTCCGAGTTTTATCTTCTATGTGGCGAGCGGATCATCGCCGGTTCATGCCCGGATTGCTCAAGGCTATCATAACGCTAGCTCTTCAACTATATCTTTTCACCGGAGCAAGGATTGGAGGTTTCATCCCACCTCATGAGGATAGAAATGAAAAAGGCCTAAGATACGAGGTGAGAGCACTGCGACGTGGAGATTGTGCGTGGCTAATTGCTAAACAGGACATCGATCTATTTTTGTTTCCATCCTCTACGGCACCTTGGACGGTAGAGTGCAAATTCAACCAAAAGTGGCTCAAAGGGAATCGAAACCCAGACTACACAGTGTAAGTTAAATACAAAAAAGCCTCGAACAGGCTGACTTGAATTGAGAGCTCACTCGCTGACCAAAAGTTAAGGTTCGGAATAGGCATTCGTGACACCAAGAAACCACAATTCGCATCTGGTTATATTCTCCTATCTATTGCCCTCCAGCACGGTGCTCTGTTTGGCATCGAAACGGTGGAAGACTTTGCCAAGTTTGACCTTTCAAGTGGAAAGCCCATGAAACTACGTTGGAAGGATGAATATATGAAAAAGCCTGTTCTCAGAAATGTCACGGCTGAGGGTCCACAAGACGTTCCACTCCATAAGGAGCGGTTTTGTGAGTTGCTGCGTGGAATAGTCACGACCGCTGGATACAGCAAGAGTGTGACTGTTCATATGATTCGGAAGTATCTTGGAAGTGTTGTTGAAGGTAGGGTAGCCACGCTCACAGCTTGTTCAAGGGGCATATTTGCTAATTCCTGACATAGGGAGCCATGGCTCTGCCTTGGTATCTCAGATTTATGGACACAAAGATGCGGGGACATACCCCAAAGAGTACTTGTTACACTGCTCATCGATTGATACCGTCTCGGCCGTTTTGGGAGAAAAAGAACAGTCACATCATATTGAGTACTTCCAAGGTGTCGAGAAGTTCTATGAGCGTGGACTTCCAGGAGAATTGCCAGCTGAAATCGAGGCGAGTATCCTGCAGATGCCAGAACTCGTCGATATCAGACGTCAGATCGAGAAACTTAAGGAATCAAGCGACGACAAGGAGTTTTTAGCTGCCGAGAAGCTGAACTACAGAAAGGCCTTGATTCGACTTCGTCTTGCAGAACTAAAGCAATACCAGAACCGCTGGGTACGAGAAAGACGAGACCAAAGGATCCTCAACAGGGGTAAAGAAGAGCCAGTGATTAGTGACAATGACGTTTCCATGCGGGCTCAATCCTTACTTATGCCCGAAACTGCCCGGATTTCAACCTTGATGTCTTCTGACAGGGAGCTTTCGTTCAATGAGATGCTTCTTTTCGTGGATGATCTAAAAGCTCATTGTGAACGCGATTTCGGGGTGGCTTACCTTCCACGGGAGAGCCCCATTCAAGGTCGCTGCCCCGCTGGAGATTGCCACGAAGATGTCAAACGGTGAGTTGCCCCATTAAATAATGCTGAAATGAATGCTGACATCCTCAGGCTGAAAAAAACCGACAGAAGTGCTCATATTCACAACTGCGTTCGACGTGAGATTGCTTTGGGTCTTCAGATCTCAGAATCAAAGTTGAAATTTTGTTACGAGTGCATGGAATGGTTGCAATCAAGTCAATGGCGAGATCACTGTTTTTCTCATCTCCAGTCATGGAAAACACAGCACTGTGAAGTGATTGTATACCGCCACACAGTCATCCGGCCGGGCTATTGCCCCTTCTGCTTGTGGGACATGAATCTGGATCTCGAACCGGAAGACCGACTGAATCAATGGTCGAAAAGCGGAAATCTGAAGCAACACATTGAAGAGAAGCATATGCTTAGAGACCAGGGGTCCGCAGCGAAGCCAATCTGTGGGTGTGGCCAAGCTTTCGCGGATGACCGTGGCCTTCGACATCATTTGCATGACACCCACAAGCTAAACAAAGCCATATGGTTAAATCCAAAGCTTCCGAGAAAGAGAAAGCGTGCCTGCAAGGCAGAAGCGCAAGTATCTTCCATGGATCCGGAGGAGCGGCCTAAGAGACTCCGCTTTTACCACTATCCGCTTCCGCGCCACGAACGGTGGTCAGACCACATATTTATGCCTGTTCCTGCATTGCTTTCGTACGCTGAGGAACATCCCGAGCAATACTACGGTTCGGGACTCAGTGATACTTCAAGTGAATGCAGCAGAAGTAGCTCAGCTGCATCCTACTTTTCAGCAGCAGATTCTCCATTCAGCTCCCCGCCAACCACCCCCGGTCTCGATGTCATTGATCCTCGGATCCTCAAGCCTATTGGTCTCGACATGGAGGACGGAAGCCAGCCTTACGAACAAGCACCTATTCAACTGAACTCATCCGATCTCTCTATGGATGAGCTGGAGACAAAGAACGAACTCTTCACTTGTTCCAATTCTGCTAAACGATCTAACGAAGATTGTGCCGGCGACGAGGCAGATGAGAGGCCAAGCAAGGCTTTGCGAACAGATTCTCTCATCCCCCCAGCAATCAAAGGCCAAAGAGGAGGCGCGAAGAGCACCATCATACGCAGGCAGCACCCGAAAATAAACTCCCTTATGATGATGAAGCCGGTGTCCCGCTCACCAGAGCCAAGACAAGATCAAAGCTACTTCTGAATCATCTGGGTGATTTGAGTACTCGCAAGCCCCGTCAGAAGCTTAATACAAAAGAGAGACGAAAGCTGCTTGAGCTTAAGGGCCAGAAACTTACCTTGAGGCAGATTGGGCCTCAGTTTGCAGACATAGATACAGCCTTTCTGCGACAGACCTGGCAGGATTTGGAGCTTCCCCAGCGATCCACCAGATCAGGGGCCAATTATAGACCAAGAAACCATGCTCTTTGACAAATCCTTGCCTGCAATGTCATAATGTCACTACTCAAAACTCCAGCGACAGGCTCGTCGCTGTAGCTAATTCATGAAATGGGAGCATTACCTTTGCAAAATTCTCTAGAGGCATCTATCCTAGAAAAAGTTTTTAGTCAGAAAGAAAGTCGTCTGTGCTAGATTTGAAGTTGAGCAGATTCAGGACGGTGGCGAGTGGTAAATGCAACGTGTTCTGAGGAAAATCGATTACAGCCAGCTTGTCACAGTGTAAAAAACTGTTACATTACCATTACATGATTGCACCGCCACACTTGGACCTAGATATCCAGCAGGTATTTACTGAATGTAATGTACCGTAAATGCTATGTCTACGTTTGTATGATACGACATAAATACTGACGTGATCTACTACGGTATACTCTATTTACCTCAAGCTTTTATTTTTTTTTTCGATTGATCGGTATCGCGGGACCATAAGAACATCGAACAGTCGCCACTAAAATTTTGTTCGCCATATCAATAGCTGCCTAGCTGCATTATCCCAGTGGGAATGGTTCCGTTGGTCCCTCAAAGCTAAATAATTCTCTGGTTGGAGCCTTGGAAACAGTGATATGGTCTGTTGGAGCATACCGAAAGTTCGTTGTTTGCTTTCAGATATTATGACCCGACTCTTCTCTCCAGGAAAGTCGCGTGAGACAGTTCTGTTCGGAGGTCCAGACCCCAACCGAAATTCGTTTAGAGATCTTTTGAAAGCAGATATGCCGACCAAATGGCAAAACCGGAACTCAAACCCCGTTCAAATTCTCCTCTCCTGCACCTTATCCCCTATCCCCTATTCCTCATCCCCGGTTCCGTGTTCTCTGCCAGCTTCCCTGTTATATGAGTGCCCAAAATCAGTATTTATTGAATTGTTCATCACGGGCTAGCCACGCAGTTGAATAAGACCCATGTCCCAGCTTATGAACAACTCGATATCGACCGTGAAGGTGATCTCCGATTTGAATGGGGTGATAGCCCCCTAGTCGATAGTTCTCAAGTCTTTCGACTCCCTCAAGAGGCTCGTAGAGGAGACGCCTGTCAAATTCTTTGTTGTTCTCCATTAATTTGAATGCGGTGAGAGTCAACGCGCAGCGAGGTTGCTTATGATGAAGCAGTGGCATATGCCCCTTACGAAGGACAGGAGAAATGGCTGAGGAACATAATAATGCGGGCGCAACAACCGAATGGCCAATGACAACAATTGACTCGTCGCCGTATCACGCGAAAAATTTTGAACCAAAAGTAGTTCTATAGAGGAGATAAAAATATATCACAATTTTTTGAGTTATGTCGCCGACGTGAGACGAATGCTCATGATGAAACGTCACGTGACAGGCGCTAACCAGCTTCGAGAAGGTTCTGGTCAATGATTGGGTGGAGCGGGGTATGAGGGAGTTCGAGCCCGAGACAAAGCGTTTAGCTGTTGGCTGACAGGCCAGCATTCAACAGAAAAAAGCCGCCACTACTGCAACATAGGCACACGTCTCGCGTCAATACCCGCCAAAATTTGATACCATGATCACGTTATATGCATGCTGCGTGGCCTCTACGAGATGGACTGGTGCCTAGACTCACCTATCTGGTCATTCCTGAAATATCGAAGTCATCATTCGACGGAATTTACGCGCCCTTGGCGATTGCCAGTAATGATATTGGCGCACGAGGCAGGCTGTGGCTTTACTATCAGTGAGGCTATAAAAGCGGGCACAGCCTAGGATGAAATACAACGCAGCTCCATCTTGCGATTATTCTCCCTTACTTCAAAGCTTTGAAGTATTGCCTCAGCAGCGACAAACCCATTCGAGAGACCATCTTAGCAAACATGTCTACGGTCAACATGGTGAAATATTATTTTTATAAGGGTATGGTCCCGAAAGACCAAGACCGACTGCGCTAGCTTGTGGCTCTGGCATATCAGACAGCAAGAGACAGAAAACTCTACCCCAAGGCGGTTCTTATTAGGTGCGTACACAATGCATTCGAGCAAGGCGATACTTATATGGCGTTTTTTTTTTCTTGAATCCCTACTAGATGCTAGCTGATGTCTGAATAAATTTGCAGGTCCGAGGTTCATGATACAACCAGTATCAATGGCATACACCAGAAAGATCCTTTGGGTCCACACGTGACTCTTTGCTACAAAGACGAGAATCAACTCCTACATGGGACTCATGTCGCTAGCCATGGCTATGTTCGTGGGAAAGACGATATTGGGTTTGTGGGCGCAACACATGCTGGAGAGAAGACGGACTCGGCCAAAAGGCAACGAGGCAAAAAGACAGTATGGCCATCTTCCAAGCAACTAGAGTCCGAGTCATTCCGCTGAAGTGTATTGGTTGATTAAAGCGGTGATTTGCTCCTGGGGAGTACTGCAAAGTTTAGTGCTGTTTATTGAATCTGATACTCAAGAAATTTTGTCCATTTCTCATAGTCGCCGGGATCTCAGACGTTGATCCACTACTCTGGCCAACAAAGTGGCTGGGAAGTCAAGAAATTAATTTTTGGCAGGAAAATGCGGATAGCTAGTCAAGTTAATTAAAAAGTTGATTACATGGAGCAACTAGAGAACTGTAATAATATATCACAATCTGCACCTGCATCTGCAGAATTGCATAAATCTACTGGAAAAGTGGTTCTCTGATAGTGCTGTTGCCATTTTCATCCCTATCCCTGCATATCAAATAACCTGTAGCTTGACCATTTCCACCAGTACAGATGGCAGAATGCGCAAAGCACCAATCGAAACAGCCCTCAATAAAGCACCATTTACCGACTGCGCTCTTGCACGATGGGCTAAACTCCTCTTGTCAGCATTCGTCTTGTTACAGTCGTTCTCGAAATCGGCTTGACAGATACACTCTTCGTCACTCTTTCTGGCCCCACCGCCAAGGCCTTAGCGCAGATCAATCATTGAGCGGGCCGCAAGAAATTGAGGAATACCGTAAGATGCCCTGAGTATGGTATTGTATTTTGCTCGTAAGATTACACAATGCGTACGAGAATTCAGTGGAATTCCATGGAAGCCGATGTGGGCCTCTGGAAATCATCCAGAGGTGGCCGCCTCCCACCTGGTTCCTGGACGATCTGCTAGATGACTGGTGCTACGTGGACTTCAATTACAAATGGATGAGCAGACAGGGCTTGCTCTTGCAGCAACAGCATCATGCGGACTGCAGATAACGAGGGTATAGTTATTGCCATATTAGTCCGTCCAGCGCGTTTCGTCTTATGTCCTTGAAAATACTACCCACGGATAACTAATATGAACACCTAGCCTTACAACGTTTAACATCCAGCTGCACTAAGTCTAGGGTGCTATTGTGTCGAAGTTGGGCAAAATTTCTATGGCTGTAATTGGATAGATTAATACGAGCTATATCACCGAAAATATAAAACCTTAGGCCCAAATTCAGACTTGACATTGACCTAGATGATATCAGAATGCTGCGTAGGGAAGTCTTCTGTGGTTACCGCACGTAGCGATTTCTTGACTAAGCAGCCTCTGTGGCAAAAGCTAGTTAATCACATGGATTGGCGACTATGTCTACTGGAACTTTATGGAACTTTATGGAATATTCCGCAAGCAGGATAGGGCCGTATAAATCATCTTCTTCTCCCAGGCCCTTCTTTTATAAAGGGATTAGAAAATAGAGGAAGAGGGGAAACAAAAAATCATTAAGTACTACATACAAAACCCAACAAAGGAAATCCGTCCTGATAAGTGTCCCAGGGCAAGTACATTACCGTTTATCTTGAAACAGCTGGGCCGAGACTCGATCGGAAGCCACAGGACCCTTCTACCATTCAATGCTATCCATTGGCTCTGCTCAATAGAGATGTCTGGAGTTGCATGACGTGGATCAGACTTAGGAATGTCACACCTAGATTGGATGTAAAGGGCGCCTAAGTTGGTGTGGAGATATAAACCGCTATGGGAAAATTCGAGCGTAGTGACTTCCCCTTCAACTTCGAAGGTCTGGGTGAGCGCGCCCGTCGCTGGGTCCCAGAGCCGCACTGTCTGATCACTAGAGCCGGACGCCAGCAGGCGGCCGTCGGGCGAGAAGGCCACTGAAGAAACCCAACCGGAATGGCCTTCGAGGGTCTGGGTGAGCGCGCCCGTCGCCGGGTCCCAGAGCCGCACTGTCTGATCACTAGAGCCGGACGCCAGCAGGCGGCCGTCGGGCGAGAAGGCCACTGAATCAACCAAATCTGAATGGCCTTCGAGGGTCTGGGTGAGCGCGCCCGTCGCCGGGTCCCAGAGCCGCACTGTCTTATCCCAAGAGCCGGACGCCAGCAGGCGGCCGTCGGGTGAGAAGGCCACCGATTGAACCAGACTGGAATGGCCTTCGAGGGTCTGGGTGAGCGCGCCCGTCGCTGGGTCCCAGAGCCGCACTGTCTGATCACCAGAGCCGGACGCCAGCAGGCGGCCGTCGGGCGAGAAGGCCACCGATTGAACCAGACTGGAATGGCCTTCGAGGGTCTGGGTGAGCGCGCCCGTCGCCGGGTCCCAGAGCCGCACTGTCTTATCCCAAGAGCCGGACGCCAGCAGGCGGCCGTCGGGTGAGAAGGCCACCGATTGAACCAGACTGGAATGGCCTTCGAGGGTCTGGGTGAGCGCGCCCGTCGCCGGGTCCCAGAGCCGCACTGTCTGATCACCAGAGCCGGACGCCAGCAGGCGGCCGTCGGGCGAGAAGGCCACCGATCGAACCAAATCTGAATGGCCTTCGAGGGTCTGGGTGAGCGCGCCCGTCGCCGGGTCCCAGAGCCGCACTGTCTGATCACTAGAGCCGGACGCCAGCAGGCGGCCGTCGGGTGAGAAGGCCACCGATTGAACCAGACTGGAATGGCCTTCGAGGGTCTGGGTGAGCGCGCCCGTCGCCGGGTCCCAGAGCCGCACTGTCTGATCACCAGAGCCGGACGCCAGCAGGCGGCCGTCAGGCGAGAAGGCCACCGATTGAACCAGACTGGAATGGCCTTCGAGGGTCTGGGTGAGCGCGCCCGTCGCCGGGTCCCAGAGCCGCACTGTCTTATCCCCAGAGCCGGACGCCAGCAGGCGGCCGTCGGGCGAGAAGGCCACCGATCCAACCCAACTGGAATGGCCTTCGAGGCTCTGGGTGAGCGCGCCCGTCGCCGGGTCCCAGAGCCGCACTGTCTGATCGTCAGAGCCGGACGCCAGCAGGCGGCCGTCGGGCGAGAAGGCCACTGAAGAAACCCAACCGGAATGGCCTTCGAGGGTCTGGGTGAGCGCGCTCCATCCTTCCTCAACTTGTGGTAACTGACATATCCAAGTAGGAAGCGACCGCTTGAACTCTCTACGGATTATCCCCGTTCGGGGTGCAAATATAAGTCCTGCACAATAAACTTGAAGGGGGGCCTGATCAACTATCTGGTGATTTTTCAGAACAAAGCGCTTTGCATCGTGAAGGAAATCCGAAATCAGGGAAGAGTCGTTACCCTAAAGCTGTCAGTGCATACCATGTATGATTATCTTCGGAACTTACCGATGTGGACGTTTGAAGGCGATCAAGAATACCTGATACTTCTGACGTAAGGCCCAGTAGGCTCATTGCTTCCACCCAGTGCAAAAAGTGCACCTGGAGAAATAAATAAGCATTGTGCATCATGCCAGACAAGTCCGTGCATTGTAACAGATGATGCGCCCAGTATCGACAGGCGTATTTCAGTGGGGGAGGTATATAATGCTGAATCGAACCATCGCTAATTTCATTCCTTTGCGTGCCTTCGCTTGGCAGTTTGCAGATGTTTTTCTCCAGGCTGTCCTGCATGATCTGACGGCATCGTTCTGCAAGACACTGGTTTGTATATTTTTCATCGATCCAGAATTTGCTTTTGTCTTTGTGGCGATCCAAAAGAAAATCTCGGAATGACAGATGGAGGAGCCTGACTGGTGTGTCGAGATTGTTTGGTACACTGAGCACCGAGTGGAGCTGGTCTAATCGACATTTGACATCATCTGACTCTCTGTCTATTAGGTGGCTTAGGGAGTTGATCGAGAGCGGAGTGGCAAGAATAATGATCACCCCAACTACCTCCTTGAACTCTTTAAGTAATTCCCATGACTCTGTTTTATTCTGTCCAGTGAGAAGTTGCTTTAGCACGGGAATATATGTGCTGTCCATCTTGGACACATAGGTTGATTGGTCTGTCAATATCGCTTCCAGTCGCTTTTGAGGGTTCCATTTTGCATCACCGATAAAACGACATACGGTAGCAGCTGCAATGAACAAAGGGACGGCCCTATCAACCAATATCTTGGTGGCTGCAGCTCCGGGCCAATCTGGTGGCAATGAGCGCCTCTGCTTTAGGCGCAGGAACTGATCCTCAAAATACAAGGATATGTCATGCGCTATCACTGGCTCTTCGATCTCGTGTAGGACCAAATCCTGATGGGCATCGGTGATCCCTTCGAAGCCCAGCCTGATCGGCAACTCAGGTCTGCTTGTCAATAAAAACCGTAGTTGTACGGAAGTTGACTTTTGAACTCGTGGCAAGAGCCGGAGAATAATCCTTATATCGTCTTCTGAATCGCATTCATCTAGAGCATCAATCACGATCACTCTTCTTGTGATCTCTTCTCGCTGCTCAATTCCAGATAGTGGATCCAGTAGAAGTCGTTCAAATTGTTCCCTCAACACCTTTTCCGAAATATTCGGGTCATCCTCAATTGCCCTCTGAACTCGAGGCAGCATTTGAGGTATGCCGATGACCAGTTGCTCGGTCAATGTTGGAAAAAGCTTTTTTGCTGTTTCTCTGTCCTCTTCGCCTCTCCGAAAGAAGAAGCTCGCCCCGAGAAGCTGCTGCGCTTGAAGACGGCTTGCAACTGTTTGGGATATTGTTGATTTCCCTGTCCCTGCCATGCCGCTCAACCAAAATATACATTTTCCGTGTGGCGATTTTGCCCACTCTTCGATTTCTCGAAGCAGGTCAATTCGGGTCCCTGGAAGACATTCACTGTGTTGATTGTCGTAAGAGTCGAATGCTGCTTGTTTTGCAGTCTGTAGTCTGCTGAGGTCTATCTTTTTGTGGATCGAATTGGTAGATCTCCTGAGTCAGCGTCAGAGTTGGCCCTTGATATGAGTAATTTGGAGACCGGATTATGGTCCGCAGCCTACGTTTGATCAACCTGCAAGGACAAAGCAAATGTTGTTTTATACCACTCAAGCTCCATGATAGCAGAATCTACCTCCGACCGTGCGAGCGGCCATTTCAAGGCTCGAAGGCCCCATTTCCTCATCCGTCTTTGCGTCGTTTCCGGATTGATTTTCTCTTTCAAATATGTAAGTGCTGAGGAGCATTTGACAATATTGTCGACCAGGTCTTGCGTAGCAGTAAGTTCATTGCCATCAGATCCACGGATCAGCCCATCGAGAGATTGAAGCACTTGGGCAAGGGCGGTGATCTTCTCTTGGAAGCGCTGAATATCCTGCGTCGCGTTCTTGACGTTGTTAAGATATTTCCCACATATTTGCACGATAGCTCCGGTTAACTGGATAACTGCGATAACACTTGCTGCACCCGAAAGAGGTTCCATGGTAAAAAAGCCTTCCACAGTATGAATAATATCAAAAGTAAAAAGATGCCGCAAGGGATGACAGACAAAATGGAGCTTATGCCCCTCTTTGAGGGGAAGGCGTCAAAGTGAGGCTGAGAGCAAACTTGGACCCTGGTTGGCGCTTGCCCGATCCGATGAGCCACGTGCCTACCACAAGGGGCCGTTCACTTCTGCCCAAGAGGAAAACCATCCAACGATTAACCACGCCCGGAACAACTCAGCTCAAAGTGGCATTTAATAATATATTACGAACAAGGGACAGTTGAGAGAATTGGAAGATCGGTCGAGGGACCTGTGAGTGTGTATTGGGGACTTGTTCTGGACCGAGACGCCCCTTATTGGGTTGACGGCTCTGCCGCCCACGACCAACGCACTTCACCCCAGACATATCACATCGCTTAGGGAACGTGGTGTCTAGACTCGCGGTTCGGAGACCCACGTTTGTTCCATGATATTCTACGGAAACATAACAACGCCAAGGTGGACCTCCGGGTTCGACGGCCGGATTAGTGGGTCTTCGCAAACACCCAGAGGGTTGCCCTAGCAACTGGTTCCCGGAAGATCTCCTAGATGGCCTCCACTTTTCCCCTCAACATAGACACCATAGATTCCCTGTGCCGGTCATCACTCCTGAGGAACCTTATCCCGGATAAGGGACTGACATAGCAAGGTTTGTCGGCAGGATACATCCCAGACCAGGGTTCCGTTGTTTGCTGGCGCCAGTGGAAGACTGTCCCAAAATATTCCAGCAAGCAAGATGGCACCAAACCTGAAACCCTCCCAACTGGTGTTTATTCATCATATGATTTAGAGTAACTCACTAACGACGTCTCAAATGGCCCATGCCGCTGGTTGCAGCAGGCAGTCAATTGTACACATCCGCTCCAACATGCAAGCGTTCGGAAACGTTAGAGCCCCCCGAAATGGTGTCGGACACCCACGAAGTATTACGCCCACCATGCTGGAAGCTCTCTGTGAACATTTGAAAGAAAAGCCGACTTTATATCAAGACGAGATGGTTCTCTTTCTCTGGGACGAGTTTGGGAAGCATGTGACGACTCAAAGTATTAGCAGAGCGCTTGCATCAGCGGGTTGGTCCAAAAAAGCAGCTCGACAGATTGCGAAAGAACAAAATGCGGATTTGCGGGACTACTATATTCACACAATTTCTGCTTTTCAATCATACCAGTTGATCTTTGTGGATGAGTCAGTTTGTGATAAAAGGGCTGGGTTCAGACGAACGGGATGGTCTCCTCTCGGTGTGACTCCGGTTCAAATATCCAAGTTCCACCGGGATAAACGCTATCAGATACTACCTGCGTATGCTCAAGATGGAATTGTATTGAGACGCATTTTTTAAGGCTCTACCGACGCCGATGTCTTCGAGGATTTCATCGAACAGCTTCTTTAACACTGCACCAGATGGCCTGGTCCAAAGTCTGTTCTGATCATGGACAACGCATCTTTCCATCGTACCGACAAGATCCAGCAAATGTGCTTAGATCGCGGTGTTAGGTTGATCTATCTTCCACCTTATTCACCGGATTTGAACCCGATCGAGGAGTTCTTTTCCGAGCTCAAGCAGTACATCAAGCGAAAGTGGAATGAGTATGGTGTAAATCCAAGCCAAGGTTTCGACAATTTTCTTGAGTGGTGTGTTGACGTGATTGGTTCAAGGGTTTCTAGCGCGGAAGGTCATTTCCGAAATGCAGGTCTGATGATTGAAGAACTCTAATCTTTATGCCACAAATATATCAAATTATATATACGCCTTAAAAAACAGACCGTCATAACCAGTTCTCGTATGAGACATTACCTGTCGTATCCACACAACCATTATAGTTGTCAACCCAAAACCTAATGTCCTTCACAAAACGGCGAGCAATACCCCACTTGACACCGCGCTTCGTGAAGTAGTCAGGGTCTTTGTCCTCATCAATCTGGGCCAAATCTAACCCATCATCCAGGGCGACATCACACGCCTTTTTAACCTCGGTCTTCAATTCCTCATCACCTAAGCGTGACTGCTGCCAGGCACTGTATTCTCTTACAGCAACGTCAAGAAAGCCTGAGACATGAAGTTCAGGCATATGGACAGGAGAAGCAGTACCATTCTCTGGAGATGGAAGTGCGGGTAACTCGGCTGTCTGCGGAGCTTGTGCTGGAAGGACATTCGTGATAGTAATAGGTGGGCAGCTTGACTCGGCATTAGGACGGTTATTAGACCTTGGCCTATCAAGCCGTTGCCTCTCCGCTCTATATATTTGTTCGCGGATCATACCGGGGACATCTTCGTGTGATTGCAAAAGCCCTCCACACTGCACGTATTTCACCAGGCTCTCCAGCTGGTCGCGGTACAGCTTGTAGTGCTTCTTTCCATAAGGATCTTGCCAACAATGAGGGCCTGAGTCACAAGACCCAGGACAGCGCATCAGAGCATATACCATCTTCCAGGCGGGAGGTTCCCCCAATATTTCTTCCTCGGCCCCGATCTGTTGGTCTCGCTCTTGGAGCATGCGCTGAGTGGCAGAAGAAGCACCTCGTTTATCAGTCGTCGTGCGGTTGGCGGTGGAGCCCACTGTGTTCTCTGTATAATTGAACGAGATACCAAGTCTCAGCGTCTTGCCAGCAAGAAAGAGATCTCCCCAATCAAAGAGCTGTTTCTCTATAGAGGACCAGTCAACATCGGTCCTGTCAAATCTCCGGGTAAGGCCTTTCTGCCGTGTGGCTGAAACCACAACAGAGGTGTCATCCGATTCGAGTTTCCGATGTGGATACTTTCGAATAAGCAGCTCTTTCAGCTTTGGCTGCAGAAAGAGCCTCCAGTAGAAGCGAGGGGCTAGGACAAGATCTTGCTCAGTATCCTTTGCCACTGTCCTGTTATTGAGTGTAATTTTCCACTCAATTAAGTAGTGAATACAGGCTGGTGGATCCTCATCATAAGTCCGACCTTCCTCCCAGTCGCCGAACTGGAGTAATGGAAGGCTATTATCTTGCGCAGCCTCTTCTTGTGGAGATGCAAGATTGGAAGGAAATGTGCGTTCGGGCGAGGAGTTGGGTGAACGTTGGAGATTGCCAGGTGTTGGTGCATATTGCGATGTATTGTCCCAGGGATCTAACGTTACACCATGTTGGACGTCACAATCATCATTGCTAAAGAGAGAACTTCGCCTCATATCTCTGAGCAAACTGTAGCGAAAGACTTATGGTGAGTGACTATTAGTTGCGGCCTACGCCATTGGCTGCCAAAAAGGTTGTTGTTCGTCCGCGACAGGGTCCTGGTCGAGAGAATGTATTGCCCACGATAATAGCTGATGTTCACTACGGCAAAGAAACACCTGTCAAGATTAATCACCGGCAAAGGGATACAACCGATGCTGCACATGGAGGAAATCTGAAGTCACCTAGCAGAAGACCAGGAACCGGTTGCTAGGCGACCATCCCGTATGGTTTGCAAAGTCCCACAATAGATTTCTACGGAATTCTTTCCATATCTCGTAAGCCTTTCGTAATTTACATACCAAAATACAGTACCATACTGCGCACCTTTTTCGATGTCCATCAATTTGATGAGGCCCGCTCAATGATTGATCTGCGCTAAGGCCTTGGCGGTGGGGCCAGAAAAGAGTGACGAAGAGTCCATCTGTCAAGCCGATTTCGAGAACGACTGTAGAACAGACAGAATGATGAAAATCATCAACCGACCAGGTCTGCCCCGCGACATAAGCTTCAACGTCGTCGACAGCTTCATGCGTCCTCTCTCGCTGTTCTTGCTGATCGGCTATCATCTGATCCTTAAGATCCAATGTCCTCGGTATAGGTGTTCGCGTAGATACAACCTGCTCGGACAAGCTATGAAGCCAGCGCGGATGTTTCGTTCGGCTCATGACGTTGTCCAAATTCTTGACTTGCTCCACATACCTGTCTCCGACGGTGCTCTCATTGGGTAACGTGACGCTAATCTTCTTCCAGGGCCTGATGAAGACCGCATCCATACTTGCCACTTTGGCTTCAATTGTGCTCAGTCTCCTCCTAAGCTCTATGCTGTCGGACATGAGGGTATTCACCATGCCCTGCAGGCTCCGGGCCGTCTTTGTGATGCTAGGGTCGACTGTCCCATTGTCGTTAGACTCCTTGACTGCCACTGGCAAACTGGCACCCCCAATAGCCTTCTCAATTATGCTGAAGTCATCCATTATGTCAGACAGTGGTGCTTCCTTAGAGGAAAGTTGTAGTTCAGTTATTTGTTAATCGACTGGGAAGAAAACTATTAAGAGACAATGGGTGCTGCAAGGGGCAGAGGAGTTTTTTTCAAAATGGTATGTTACAGTTTAATTACTGTATTGATTGGAAGTACTCTTTTCTCCTTGGAGTTGCAAAGCGCATCCTTTGCTTGCAGCGAGATTTTGTCACAGAATAGCTAATGCATGTGATATAGCACCCGTGACGTGGCTTCCTCGCACGCGCTGCAACTGTAGGTTGCTCATCCACCTCCTCTTTTACGTCCTGATTAGAATGGCATGGTTCCAAATTTTCACTTGCAAACAGCGGCGTACCATCCACGTCCACATAATCGAGGCCATGACCGTGGGTCTTGTTGCAGAAATATCGCTCGGTACAAAATTGTGCGTCCTTTCATTGAGTCTGGTTACCGGTCTCCCGACGAGCCGCTAGTTGGGCAGAAGGAGAGAAAGTGACTTGGCTGAAGCACCGTTTGCGCCCTGCCCCATGGTGCAGGATTTTCATCGATTATCCTGAACTCTAACCTAGATATCAGGAAACGACCGACAATACATTCCAGTTGAAAGACCATGATCCACATTTTATCGAAGCCATTTTCCACTTCATGTATGGCTTTGATTATGATAGCAGCGGTGACGATCTTAATCACTTTTCTTCTATGCTCTTTAATATAAGGCTACAACTGGTTCATCACCTGGCAAGGCCGTGAGAGCCTGGTCATCTTCCACGCGTGCGTGTCTCCTGGTCTGGCCCGCTGATCGTTGCCGTGTTCTGTATGTCTTCGGCAAGGGCTGAGGAAGCCCCGTGTGTAAGTCCGCCATCCGTCTGGCATTAGCTCCCATCCGGCACACAACACAATAAAGTTATATCGCAATAGTATCAACCACAACGTCCCAGCCTTTGATATATTCGCGTCTACAGTCAGCTCTTTTTGATACAGTCCCCATCATACAGTAGATCTCGAAATCGGATTCTCCCATGGACACTAACGCGTTATCTCTCGGCGTACCCGAAACCACTCTTACCTGAATATAGCCTCAAATCGCCATCTCCACCTGATTATATTTACTATACAACACACCTAAAACTTCCGGCCCTCCACCAGCCGTCAAACCCCCAGGCAAAATCATCCGCCTCCTCAGTGCCGCATGATCGTTCTAACAAGTAACAAAGAGGATCTACATAACGTGGTACCAACATTACACCTATCAAAGCTATACTTTATAATAAGCTACTCACCAATCCCGTCTTCAATAGCTGAGATAGCTGAATGCAGCGACGGTTGACTAAGCACATCCGCAGGAATTTGCCATTGTTTTGAACCGTGCATGTCCCCTTCATTCTCCCTCAAATTTGTGGAGGCCGCAGGAGAAGCGAATGTACTCAGCTGGCCCCCTGTAAAGTGTGACTGATTCTGGCCAAACCTCGGCAACCCTCTATCCTCATTGGCCAACTCCTTATCGAGACCAAGCTTGATAAATCAAAATCATCGATCTCAATTTCTCATCTCACCCCCACCCACCCAACATTCATTTCAGGATATGGTATTCCAACTAGACTCATAAGTACGGTGTGGTAGTTTGCATCTCGTGTGACCCCTCACCAACGCCTCGGCGATACATAAGCTGCAGGGTCTAGGCGGGCCTAATTCTGCCCCTAATCTATGCCAAAGAGGACCCCATCTTATCGTGCGTGAAAGTGTGTAACAAGCGCGAGCTTCATCTATTTGTAAAACTCCAGGTGCCTCCCGTCAGCTTATAAATTCAGAGTTTCCCTCTCCCCCTATAAAGTGCTCCGCCCTGACCCAGGCAATGTTCTTCGATCGTCGAATTTCATGGCTAAGACAAGCCAAGACCCCGCCACAGTGTGTGCTGAGCATATAGCTCTCAGCTCCTTCTTTTATCAGGTTCCTGCCCCAGTCGTCCGAAATGAAATTAATCAGTCGTCAGTCGAGCAAGGAAATTATGTTTTGCCTTTTTCAAAAGAGCGTGGGCTAACCGAAGTTCTTGCATTCCTGGCAAAAACTAAGGATGGATGGGATCATATACCTGCAGTTTGTGTAGAGCAAAACTCACCTGGAACAAATTTGAATGTCATCCTAGCAATCAACAAAAGAACCTATGCTGATGGAGATGACCTTCTACAAAAGATGAAAAGCAGGTTTGAAGAAATTTTCCACGTACTTCATGATTCAAAATATGGTCAGTACTTACCAATTTGCATCTAAGGATGAACTTTGACAATTTTCAGAAGTTGTAGAGAAATCTGAGGTCCAAAGGGAGATTTTTGCGTCAGTCATCTCAATGTGCTCACCGCGGGTACTATGCCGGTTACGACTCGAGCGGAAGGCAAATAAGAGGCCCGTTCAAGATCTACTGCAGGAGGCCATATTTAGTATTCGACGGATTGATTCTCAGAAACTTCACGGCAAAGGCTTATCACTTACATCCTCATCATTCATCTCAGAGGCGAACAAGGTCATACAACTAGTTGATCGATGGATGAGGCACCAAAATTCGGATGAGCTGGGTGATCTTGTGGAAGGAATACATCACTTGCAACAAACAGCACCACGCTTTTACGATTTACTAGATCTTATCTCGAATCATGACATGGATCCGTGCTCAAGATCCAGTTTATTGAACATCATCAGAAAGGTCTCAAGATACTGGGGAGCCGCCGGACAACTGTATCGAACAGCAAAGGAATTTCCACTGGTCCGTAATATGAAAATTCAACTAGCAAGCCTACCCCAAAAGGCATTCGAAAGTCAAACAAATTCCAGCGAGCTTTCTGAACTATCTTCATGTTTATCCAGGCATGGATTCGCTAAAGGGCAAAAACATAGTTTGTCTCAATTGTGCCGCAATTTGAGAATTGATGAAAAGGCTGCTCAAGCCAGGTATGAAGGAGCCCAAAAGGCTCTTTCAGCACCCAAAATCCACGCAGAAATTCAAATCATCGCTTTTTGCGAACTACAAGCCCTTAATTTGTTTCCACGAGTGGTTAGTTCAAGCAAAGACGCTTGCTTTCTCTGCAACACTTTCATTCAACTATACGAACGAATGCATACCCCGAGAGCCCATAATCGGCTTTATCCCGGCTGGAGGCTCCCGAGTCTGCCACAATTTAGAGTCATTCAGCAGAGACTCAATAAAAGTCTTATTGAAAGTCTTCAGCACAATGTTTCATTAGGTTTGGCTCAGGGGAAGCTGTCTGTTCATCCGTGTCCTAATGAAAGCAATATTCTTACCTCATCGGCTTCGGGAACAACGATGAGTATGCCAGAGCCGGTGTCAGAGAGCCCAGAAGGACATATTTCTTCAATTGCCCCGTCGTCTTTTACTTTGTCCGATGATCCACCTAAATGTGGCCCTTCATTGTCAATCAGCCGACTTTCAAGCAATGAGACTGCATCCGGTAATTCCATTGATACCGTTTACCTGCTTGAGGGAGAACCAGTCTACAATTTTGTGAAATACAACAGACCTTTTCATCTTATTATCACTGAATCTGTTGAAATTCATCTTGGCCTCCAGGATGAACCAGCCTCCACAGCTAGGAAAAGCCCGCTGAGGTATTATATCGAAAGGTTCACACCCGACAGTATCGGATATTTGAGTGAGACATGTTCTGTTGTTGATGTGCGGCAGCTAGAGGGCGAAGTTCAATTTCCACTGTCCGAAGATAATGCATTTTGTCTTGTCGCTGGGGATGTGGTGTTGAAAATCAATACTCATGGATGAGCTGAGGATGAACAGAAAGCAACTTGTCAGGCGCCACTGCGCCCGTAATGGCTTTCTGCTGAGCTTTTTTCTGGTATAGCCAGCCCGAGAAAGACCACGTTGGATGCTGGATGACGACGGTGATATGTTGAACTCGTCCCATAGGAAGTTAGCCATCTCTTCGATATTTAGGCCGGGTGTTTCGGCGAGGTGGTCACAAAGGGCGTCCAGCTTCACAGGAGTAATGCTTGGTGGTGGACTGGGAGGGATTGTGGGAGGATTGGGACTGCCGAACAACCGCATATTCTTGCAATGGAACAGATCATTGAAGGCATCGCTTCTGGTGGTTCTGGTAAGACGAGATTACCAAAATGTGCGATTTTTTACCCGTTGTCTACTTCCCTTCATGATTAAATGTTGTAATGTTCAGCTAGAAAAAAATACCTTGGCCAATAAGTGGGTCAGCTGATCACCATAAATCAACCACTCTCAAAACGACACTGGACTATGTTGCACCAGTCACTTTTGTCTCTGGGATCTTACTATCTCAGGAGACATTTTCATTATTGAATGAAAAAGGGAGGGGTGTACCGTACGAGCAGTATGCCGAGGTTGCCTAGATAACACGGTTCGAATGAACAAAATACACAGAGAGACAAATTTAAAGGAATAAAACACAAAAGCAGGGAGTCAACAAAGTGGCTGGAAAGTCAGAAAGTTGATTTTTGGCAGGAAAATGCGGATGGCTGGTAAAGTCAATTGAAAAGTTGATTGCATACATAATAATAAACAGGTAATTAAGTGATGGCAGGGAGAGTGGAGTGTAGATCCGATGAAATGAACGATCTGCTCAGCCGAGGTTTGAAGTAGACAGTTGTTTGTAGTTACTCGTTTCGCACACCATCACAATTCTCTAAGATCTCAATGTTACCAAATAAACCAAATTGTGAGGCCAGGCCGGTTGAATAACTGTACAAAAAATTGTTTGCATAGAAATTAGTTGACTAGGTTAACTACCCCGTCGAATCACACCCCCCCCTCAGCATCTGGCTAATAAACCTTTTGAATTACCAGCCCGCAGCATTTTCTGTCAGCAAATCCTACTTTTCCTCCAGCCATAACGAAATGTTACTCTTGGCCAGGATAGCCATTTCCCAGTATGTATTTGTTTAATCCATGGTATGTCCGCGTTCCCACACGTCAAAGATACGTAGGCGTGACCCTCCAATGCACGCAAACTCTAGTACATAGACCGACGGCGACTCCCTGGTCACCACTGTTCCCGGCTACCCAGCCAGTCCTAAAGTCCTAGTCGAGTATGTATACAAAGGTCGGCGGGAGATTGCGCATGACAGTTAGGTTAAAAAAAATAGAAGCTGAAACATATTTGCACTACCTAATCGCCTGTTGACCATCCGATTTTTGGTATTCGTAAAGCCATTGGCCGGGCCGGCACTGCAGCGACATCGAAGCGGGTCTGTCAGAGGTTAATTTGGTAAATATAACGCACGAATCCGAGAGCTAATGGGAGGCTATGATTTTTTTGTGTGTTTTCATGTTGTGGCTCATAAGTTGAAGAGTACACCGGTATAAGTAGGGTCCGGTCGCTATCAAGTAAATTGGGAAACATCGCCGGCCATATTGCACACCTCTCAGTAGTGGTTTGAGGTGCCTGCTATGATTCTGGGTTCATCATCTGAGCGTCAAGCGCGAACAAAAGCCATATCTGTATCATCCATAGACGAAGAATTATGCGCTGTGGTCCAACTGCTGTCTAGCCTAGACTCTGGCTCGAGATTTCGGTAATTGAGTTGATAACGGCGACGCGTCTGGCTGGCGGCGAATGCCATTAGTAGACTTTTCTTCTCCGTTTCCGATATGACCTCTTGTCTTTAGCCCAAATCGAAGCTCCATACGTATGAGTCCCGAAAACCTTGTTGTAGCTGTACAAGTCCACTTCCACCTGTCTGCAGCACTTCTCAGTAGCGATCTCCCGTTGCGCCGAAGATAACATTTCACCCATGGTTGAGCATACACCCAAGGCAAGACTAGTAAAATTGAGACAATGAGATTTGATGTAGGTACAGTAGCAGCGATAGATGCAAAGGTATTTTTTGCATAAGTTTAGGAAATGTTGTAACCTTCTATCACAGACAGCGACTGAGTTCCAGTATTCGCAAGAAATGAAGGAAATAAGCAAGAAGGTCAGCATCGCGAGGAGGATCCTGATTTTGTTAGAATTGTTGAAATGGTCCCAAAGACGCGACTGACGACAACGCACTCGAAAAAGTGATGTGCGATTGGATAAAATAAATACTGAACGATAATGTCTCGAAGATAAAGCATCGACTATCGTGACGAGGGAGCTCCGGGGTAGTACGTTCGAAGATTCGCGTGGAGAAGTTGCGGACACATGGCTGTTCTCGCTGGTATTCGTGCTATCGGCTCAACTGCCTACGCTATCCTCCACCTTGTTCACAAGATTGTTGAAGCAACGACGAAGTTCGATGCCGGTAATATGAGCAATTTCGCCCCTAGCTCCTACGGTGGATCGAGTGTCGGTGCGACTTCCGAGTCTAATAAAAGTGCGGCTCGTCCTGTGCGCTACGGTGGTGGTACATCGATTAAGGATAAGCTTTCTGAGGCTCAATGGTCTGCTGGTCGCGCGGTCAATAAAGCTATGTTCTGGCGCAAGTAGATTGCGATTTTGTTCACTTTGAGTTGGAATTCCCCTCATCTTCTGTTGTTATCTTTGGCGTTTTCATCCACGAACTTGGGAGGAATGATAAGAACATCGGCATGGGGTTGTTCGACTCGATAAAACCTATTTTTCAACTGCAGAGAAATTGATTCCAGTAAGCTTTTACTTCTCTGGCTCCCAAAGATGAAGCTCTTCCCTACTCTCTCATAGTTGACCATTATGGTTTTTTCAAGAGCTTCACTAAATATCCAAGAGATGACTTAATAGTAAAAGAAGCCACCGCTTGCGCCGCAGCACGAGAACCACCTCATGTGAACGCAAATTGCAACCCGGAGAAAACGGAGAACGGAGTAGTACATGTAGTGAGGGCATGACTCAGGCCATCAAAAGAATTTATGGTAGGACTTTTGCCCGTCCATGAAGTAGAGGGCCGAGAGTGTAGCCAAGTTGCCGTTAATGATCGCTTTTTTCGACTCATAGCATCGATATCCCCTATTTTAGGGTGCGGAGCCTAGTCTTTTTGCGATATCCGCCATGTAATCTCTCACTTTGCCGAACATGCCAACTGCCTCGCTTGATTCTACCGTTCAAAGGCCTGCAGGGGCCGGAGTGTCTATCAGCCACGCCGCGCTGCCTTTGTCAGCGGGTGCTGATTTTGTTGAACCCATCCTATGTAGAGCCCATTTCCGGCAAGTTTGAGTAAGTTAAACACAATCTCTGTGTCTGTGCATGGTATAGAACAATATACCGAACCACCAGTCAATTTTGGGAGAACACCGTGGCTCGCTTCATGCAAGAGTGATCTAGGGGCCTGAAGCAGCCGCACGTAGTCTCCCGGAGTGCCTGAAATGAGCTTCGCGAGGACCGCAAAATCATACTGAAGGTCGGATTAAACCGTGATAGATTCGCGGGCTCCCGCCGAGGGAGCCGGTCGAGTGGGCGGAGCACCAAAAGGCGACGCCTACTCGACAGAAGAAATCTGCCGCTTGAATCCTTTGAATCCCGAGTGAATTGCCGCCCGGGTGCGCTGAATGAGATAGGAGAGGCGGGGAAGTGAAAAGCTCACGAGTCATGACTCAAGACAGGGGTATATCACGTGATAATCACGTGAGCCACGCGTAAGGTAAACAAGAACTAGACAAGGACAAAACAAGGACCCCCGCACGTCGGAAATGTCTTTGGCAACACTTTAAATTCAAAATGTCCACCGAGGTTGACAAGCTACGACGCCTTCTTGAAAAGGAGCAACGCCTCCGGAGAGAGGATAGGGAAAATTTAGCAGAAGAACAACGTCTTCGAAGGGAAGATAGGGAGAGGACGTCTAAGAGCAGCCTTCCCACATTTCTCGACGGTCTTCATAAGCACCTCTTCCTCGGTCTTGGAGTTCAGCAGGATAAGACACAATCCACGCGTGGGGATCCCTCTAATGCGACCAACAAAATTCGCCCCAGGAAACTCAAAGCCTGGGACTCTTTCGAGAAAGAACAAGAAGAGATTTGGCGATTGCTGATGGACTCTTCGCTCGTCGAAGACAGACTGTTCACTTCTCTCCACACCCTCGAAGAAACAGGAGAAAGCATTCGGCGACAGCTTGTTGGCTCAGAACTTGACCTTAACCATTTTCTTCGCCAAACCGTTGAGGACCACGTTTCGAAAATCATCGAAGAACTCTACCGTGATCCAACACTGCGACAAACATTTGGGTTGAGAGGGTCGATACGATTTGAGAACCACTCCAATACTTTGAGCCCCGAATGGGAACTTGAGGAGGGAATGCAGAATATTGATATTCGTGGTCGGCCACGACGGCGTTCACCACGTTTAGCTGCCCGGGAACAAAGTGCATCAAGCATCGCAGCGACGCGTGGCCCGCGAACTCCGCCTCCAGCGCGAAACAACAGGCCTCGTGCCGATCAGTTCTGCGTTTACAACATTCCCAGTCAATCGTCTGAATCGATCCATCGCGTTGCAGCTTATATCAAGGAATACAAATCTCCGCACAAGGTGACACTAGGCCACATTTACGAAGGGTTGGAGGATATGGACATCGATGAAGTGGTTGAGCAAAAAGAAGACGAAACTTCCAAAGCTCGGTTCCGTCGTGCGATTGCTGGGCTTCTCGTGCAGCCACACGACTACATGGTTCGTGCTGGGACGGAAATGGGAGTGCTGAGTACTGGCGAAGCTGATATCTATCTGCGAATTGGGGAAGAACCTGGGACGCTTTTGTACCACCTCTCGGTTCCCAAGGGAGATGTTGGGGAATTCACGGGCTGGGATCCCCATTCGGACGGCCCTAATCGTCTGCATTTGACCGCCGTGGGGCAATCTCTCGCTTTCACTCTCCAGGCGCTTAAATTGCGGCCTCGGAACCAAGCCTGGAGGCAGCACGCAATCAACTCATTACCCAAGTGGGAAGTTGTAATTGCGGATATTTTAGACAGTATCCCGGATGAGGAGGTGCCGACTTCCGAGTATCGTCCTCCGCGGACGAATGGGTTTCTTCGAATGTCTCCGGTACAACTACGTTGCAGGCGAAACAAATCCAGCCTTGGTGCTTGCCGACCAAGCGGCACACAGGGTGATACTTACGACGATCATTCTGACCCCGATACGCCGAGCCGAAATCCACGGATCTATCAGGACATCGGACGAAGACAGCCACCGTCGACCCATTCAGCACCCGCATCAGCTACTCATGGGCCCTCCTCGGGAGAGAACCATCGGTATTACTGCACATTAAAGTGTCTAGGTGGAATGATGAAAGGGGGCGAGTTAGATCAGACTTGCCCCAATGTTATCGATCATGGAAAAACGCGCCATGTCATAAATGCAACAGCTTTCATCAAACGGTTGCAGCGTCAATTATCTGAGACCGTTAATGCAGATTGCGAAGTGCTGGGTATACACGGTTCTCGAGGTGCTCTTTTGAAAGTTACGCTATCATCACACGGATATACTGTGCCTGCAAAATGCACTGTACCAGAATTTGCGGAACACTTTCGGCATGAAGCTACTGTATACGCCAGACTGCGTCCAATTCAGGGCATATACATTCCTCTCCACCTCGGAAGCATTGACTTGGCTCATCCGTACAGCTACGACGGTATCGCGTATCTCAAGCACATGATGTTATTGAGTCCGGGTGGACAGCCTCTCGACCTGGCACTCAAAGAAATGAGTCAAGATTGCTTAATAGCCAAGATGAAAGAGTCACTCTCGCAGATGCACCGCCTCAACGTTGTCCACAGGGATCCAGCTCCTCGGAATTGGTTCTACAATGCAGAAAGCAAAAAGGTTGTCTTTTTTGACTTTGAAAGGGCGGAAATCCTTAGTTTGCGGCCCGTTCTGCGAATGATCTCACCAAATCGCAAACGAAAAAGGGTATCCCGTGATGGGCTTGATAAATTGCTCCTTGAGACAAGGTTTGCGAGAGAAACAAACAGGGCAGTGCAGGAGTTGCGAGGTTGGACAAAATGAGTGAGAGTCCAATGAACGTTGTCGCAATGTGTCCTGCCATCGCGCATTTGTCTAGCTGAGACACCACATAAAATATCGGATACAATGCAGACAGGTACTTAGTTGGCCATTACGCTCAGACTGGTTCCTCTTTCTTTTATCTTGGAGCTGTTGAGCGTCTGCTTATTCATCAAGCGCTTGTTGTTCCTCAAAATTACTGCTTCAGAGGGCAAAATCTTCCTCCTCTGCCTCGAACCTTGACGCATACATAAACAACATGAGGTCTTGGATGATGGTAGGATTTTGTACACATCGGGTGCCATTTTTGCGAGTGCTCGAAACTTGTATTCATTCTCTTCCAAATTTTCCGCGGAGCAATTGGAGCCGTTGCTATCAGGATGATTAACAAAAGAACAAGCGTTGTTTGAAATATTATTCATCACTCATCACTCTCGAGGTACAGCGTAAGCTCATCGTCTTTTGCTGATGGAAAGCTAAGAGAGTCAACAGTTGGTGAGCGCGTTGGAATTCATGCCGCTAGCTACATTCGAAATCAGGCGCTTCGCTGTTCGGTGTCGCAATACCTAACAGATTCCCAAAGGAGTGACCGTGAAGCGACAAAGCTTCTGAAATCGGTGGCCGATCACCTTTACCGAGACTGGGAAGCAACTGATTCAATTTTAGTGACGTGGCAAATGTCATTAGATTATATACGCCCAATAAAGCCATCTGCTGCGAAGTTGCTTTGTCTTATGATCTTTTTCGATCGGCAAGGGATACCAGAGAACATTATCCGGCATCATCCTAAGGCCAACTGCATCTTAAGCTCAGAATTTCTAAGTGACTTCAGTGACGGGGAAACATCTGAATCTAATTTTGGTCCGGATACTGAAGATGACGTCGCAACACTGAGGGATTATTCATTTATATCTTCAGACGAGAACGGCACTTCACGATGCACCGGCTGGTGCAACTGGCTACGCGCGCATGGTTGAAATCTCATGGACAAATAAACCAAGGAAGAATAAATTCATTAGCACCCTGTGCGACGAGTTTCCCACCGGGGAATACAGAATTGGGAGAAGTTCAGGCCAGTCTTTCCTCATGTCAAATCCGCAATGTCTCAAGGGCTAGCATCACCTGAGTGTCTATAAGAAAGGGCTACGTTGCCTGATAGAGGTGCATGGTATACATGGACAAGCGGTAACATCGCTGATATAAGAGAAATGGCATCAAAGTCAAGAGATCAAAGAACGGCCTTGCTATGTGAGAACCATGAAGAAGCCCTTGATAGCACAGGCATGCTAGCAACAGCATACTGGATTGAGGGCTGGTGGGAGGAGGCCGAGCAGCTCGAGGTGCAGGTAATGGAGACTCGCAAGACGAAGCTCGGCGAGGATCATCCCAACCCGCTGACCAGTATGGCTAATCTGGCTTTCACCTGGAAACCTTCAGCTCACAATGCCGAAGCCATCAATTTGCTGAGATAGTTTAACCATACAGAAGAAAACATTCGGCCTGAACCATCCCACTACTTTTTCTAATTTTGAAACATTGTTAGAATGGGAAACGGAGCGCTCAAAAATGATATCATAGGAAAGCTGGATACTTCAATATTACATATTTACCCAGCTAGTTCTGCTAAAAATGTTAAATTCTGAAAACAATCTTTCTCATACATAATAGATTGACTTATTGCTCGCTGCTCAACATGGAATTGACTTTACGACTTCAGTGAACATCGATGCGAAGAGATTGAGGGAAAGCAGAAGGAAAGTCGTCGACGAGCGAGCTAAGGGCCTGCGAGACGCCCGTAATTTTAGCGGAAGCATTACAAGTAATTTATACACCTATATCACGTGATTATGTATTTCAATGCGATTCAATACGGAAACTGCGCCAAGCCAGAAATACATTAGCGTGTTTCATATTAGGGTTCGAGAAGGATTCTATGAGAGCAAAGTGGTGAAACTGATTTCGATCCACTCTTCGTCGTTTATCGGTCGAGATTTGAAGATGTCTGCCCCACGCAAGACAATTCTAGTCACCGACGCTACCGGCAAGCAAGGCGGCGACTGACCGCGGTGAGTCACACGCAGTCACGCAATCGGACGCGTGAACGTGCATGTGCTAAGATATGACCAACTGCAAATAATGTTCATTTCTTCTGTTGGAACATTTCCACATCGTGCAGGTATCTTTGTCTCCAACGAAAAGCGATACTTTTGCGCGTTAATTAGCCCATGTTGTGTGGCATGGACGAAGAGCAAGTTTACAGCAGACATGCGGACGGCAGCGCTGGTGATGCAGACTACGGCGTGATTGGGGCAAGCTACGCACACTACCGCCAGCCGGATCCTTATATCGCCGAGTTCATTTTGAAGGCACTTGGAGAAGCCAAGACGGTGCTAAACGTCGGGGCAGGCGCGGGCTCCTACGAGCCAGTCGATCGCGACGTGACGGCTGTGGAGCCCTCAGCATCGATGCGGTCTCAACGAGCCGCTGGTCTTCCAGCGGCGATCGACGCAACAGCTGAACGACTACCATTTGCTGATAATAGCTTCGATGCGAGCATGGCGACCTTTACGGTGCATCAGTGGTCGGACCTGAAGGCTGGACTTCGAGAGATGCGGCGCGTATCACGCGGACCAGTGCTCATTCTCAGCTGTGATCCAGCTGAACTCGAGCGTTCTTGGCTGTATGAATATGCTCCTGAAATGATTGCCGTCGAAGCCCGCCGATATCCCGCCACAGATGTCGTCAAAGCCGCCTTAGGAGGTACTACCGAGGTTTTAACGGTACCAATCCCGCTGCACTGCATCGACGGTTTCAGTGAAGCTTATTATGGGCGACCCGAATGTCTGCTGGACCCGGGAGCAAGGCTTGCCAACTCGGCTTGGAGCTTTACCAACCAGGGCATCATTGAACGCTTCGTGAATAAACTTACGCGCGATCTTAACGACGGCACTTGGGATTCACGTTACGGCAAATACAGGAGTCAGGCTTTTTTTGAAGGATCATTGCGGCTGATTATAGCTCGAGCGTAAGAGCGATGACTTTGAGTATATGGTGCTGGCTGGGTCGGACGTGAATAGACCGTAAGTGATGCCCTTTGACCGAAGAGCAATGACTTGGATCACACAGTGCTGACTGGGATGGACATCAATAGGGTGAAAGTGATGCCCCTTGACCGAAGAGCGATGACGTTCAGTCCACACTGCTGAATTGAAGGGGCCTTTAGTGAGGTAGCCGTTCGAAATTCCTACCAAGGTGTACTCCCTTCGAAATGGCTTGATTCTTCAAGTATTGGACACCATCTCATAACATTCGCGCTATCAATCTCCGATTTAACAACTCATTATGTCGGTAGTGTGGACTCAACCTTCAGCTCATTTGCTCTTCTTTTCTTTCTGCCTCGGTATAGGTTTTCCCCGATTTAGGTTTTCCTGCACTGTTATGCAAATGCAAAGGCTTTATTATTCAAATCTTCATCTAGATTTCCCTTCTTATTCACGTAGTACAATATACTCAATGAAGTCATAACTTAGATACGAAGATGTGTCAGCACATTTCGAGTGTTCATGGGGGTAAGCTTCTCGTCGACCGACATGGCACGAGTTGTTTGGGGGCCTGTTTCTATTGGCGAGGGTCGATGACTGGACGCTTACTGTATCCAGCGCTTGAGTAGCTTGTAATATATTGGGTAGCTTGCGAGTGTCAGTTTACGAATGAGATTAAAATCCGAGAGGGGGGGAAAGAGGACGTGAGTATCCATTGTATTTAGATTTCATGTACTTTACCAAGTGGAGCAGCATGTGATATGTCTTACAATACCTTTCGATAATTCGAAACATCCTAGACCGGGAATAGATTAGCCTGTTTCAAACAAGGATTTGGGAAAGAATCTCAGAGAATAAAGTGGTGAAACTGATTTCGATCCATGCTGTACTGTATGGATCCATCCTGTGACTATCGCGTCTGTACATACTGAGTTTCGGAAAGTGCTGTACGGAACTGACGGAACTGATTGGAATCGAAGACGGAACTCATTGGGATTGACGAAAGTCCGATCGATCGCGACTAAAAACTGTTGAGGGTGTACCAAGCGGGAACTAACGACGGACCGATGGCGGACCCACCGGTGGAGGGCCGCCCTCCCACGGGCACGCAAGGATCGACAGGGCCTCCCCCAGCGAAGAACGTTGATTCGCTGACCCTCCCGCGCACGAGAAGACAACCTCATCAGAGAGATGAGACAACAACCATAACACGACCGAGCGCCGAGTCGGCGGGAACGGGATCAAACAACGGGCGCGTCACGACTAGGGAGATCTGACAGCTTATCGACGATCTGAAAGACATTATCACCAACCAGACCACCCTCATCGAAGCCACAAAATCCGAGCTATTTGAAGTTAAACACGACCAAAACGTTCTCCGTGCTCAGAACGAGAAGCTCCACGAGGAGGTACGAGCGCTTCGTTCCCAGATCGACGCGCTTGCGGCAACGCCTCCGACCAGATCATGGGCGGCGGTCGCGGCAAACGATGGTAACCCATCTCCCCAACCAAATTCCCAACGACCGGACAAAGATCAGAACTGTGTCCGAATCAGCACCCAGCGATCGTTTGTGGATCCTAGAGACAATGACAACAGCGATGGAAATACTTTTGGCAGATATCTCCCCACAGAGTCTGCCAACGGCTACATCCGAACGGCCCTATCGAGCGCACCATCTACACAAGACGCCCAGGTTGCTGGGGTAGGCACCACCAAGACTGGATACGTGATTCGGTTCAAAAACCAAGAGTCGGCTAACGCAGCCCGCAGCAACCCTGAATGGCTGCATGAATTGGGTAACAATACAAGACTGGTTAAACCGCGTTTCGGAATCGTCGTCCACCGCACTCCAACGGAGTTTTACGACTTAGAAAATTCAAATGCGCACGCTATCGAGAGAATTATGGCGGATAACGACATGGCCGACCGAGGCTTCGGTATCGAAGACGTAGCATGGTTGAAAAAGAAAGACAAGGCACTATCCAACTTCGCGTCACTGGGCATCTGGTTCGACTCGGCAGAAGGGGCTGATTGGGTGTTGAGCAACGGCTTCCTCGCCGGCCAGAGATACATCGGGAGCGTAGAGCGGTGCGAGATCAAGAGAAAGAGATGCTTCCGATGCAATAGGTTCGGACACTTGGCGTGGTCGTGTAAAGAAACACCGCGATGCGGACATTGCGCTGGCCAGCACGAACGACAGCGGTGCCCCCCGGGCGTGCGAGCTCGATGCCTCGACTGCAGTGGTGAACATCCAACTGGCGATCTCCAGTGTCTGACCCCCGCGACTTCCAACCCTGCTCAATGTTAGAGACGAATCTCCGTGTGCTACAATTAAACATCATGAAATCGGGGCCGAGGATGGAAGCGCTCATCGATGACCGTCAGAGCCAGAACCTGGACGTTCTGCTAATCCAGGAACCTTCCGTCACCGCGTATCGAACACACGTTAACCATAGCGCCTGGCGGCTCTACCGGCCATCCGTTGAAAGCGACACGGCCCGGTATCGCAGCCTGCTATATGTCCATCGAAGGGTCTCGACGTCTTCCCACCGACAGATCCCGTGCAACCACCCAGACCTCACGGCAGTCAAGATTTGGACAGCCGACTCCCAATTCCTTCTCTTTTCAGTCTACATCCCTTCTGTACCGATGCACACGCCCGAAGAGGCATCGGCAGAGCCAGCACTTACAGCTATTCAAAACACAATAACAGATGCTCTCCAGGACGACCGAAGGTTGACAACCGTCGTGCTATCGGGAGACTTCAACCGCCACCACCCAACATGGGGTGGCAACCACATACAACCTAGGTTTATAGAAGACGCAGGCGAACTGATCGACTTCTTCCAAACTAATGGCCTACACGGCTGCCTTCCCCGGGGGACGCCGACATTTTGGTCTTTGAGCCACCCGGGGAGGAACTCCACCATCGATCAAACTGTAACAAACCGGCCAGACCTGCTCGTGAAGTGTCACCTCTACCACGAAAATTATGGGTCGGACCACCGGGCGACTTACTCAGAATGGAGCCTAAGAAACCAGCGCAACCCTACCACTAACAAAAAGAAGGCGTATGATCGCGCAGACTGGGACAAGATTGGCGACGAAGTACTTCAACAGATAGGACCGTGGAACGATGTTAAAACCAGACCGGCGCTAGACGACCTAGTCGAAAGGCTCACGGAGGTAACTGCCACAGCAGTGGATAGATATACACCTAATCTACGACCAACACCGTACTCTAAACGCTGGTTCACACCGGACCTTAAGATACAACAGACCGAAGTCAATCACCCGCGCCGGCAGTGGCAGGACAGCTGCGCGGAGCTCGGACGAGATCACGTCCGCTCCACGACCCTCTTTCAAGACATGCGCCAGAAACGAAGGACTTGGACTCGGGCTATTGAAAAAGCCAAATCGTCACATTGGAAGCAATTTCTAGACGAAGCTGGGGAAGGGAAACTGTGGAAAGCTGCCAACTACATGAAACCACGCGAGGCTTGGGGGTGCACCCCGGCTCTGCGAGTCGGCACCGACGAGCTCACTGAAAATAAGGATAAGGCACAAGCGTTCTTAGACAGTTTCTTTCCCGAGATGGACGAGCCCTACGAGGGCCAGCCAGCCCAGGTGCCGCTACAACTCCCATGGCATCCCATCACCGAAGTGGAGATACAGCGGTCTCTCAACACCGCAAAAGGCTCTACTGCACCGGGCGAGGACGGCCTTCCAACGCTCGTGTGGAAACACTTGTGGAAACACCTCGGAAAGTTGGTCACGCGAATCTTCGCCGCGTCCATCTACCTAGGATACCATCCGAAACGATGGCGGAGCGCAAAGATAGTGGTGTTACGAAAACCAGGCAAGCCAGATTACTCGGTCCCTAGAGCTTATCGTCCGATCTCACTCCTCAACACCCTAGGAAAAATTCTCGAGGCAGTAATGGCTCGACGACTATCATATCTCGCGGAAAAACATGGGCTACTACCAGACACCCAGTTTGGTGGGCGGCCGGGAAGAACCACTGAGCAGGCCCTGTTGGTCTTATCCAACGCGATTGACCGAGCGTGGTATAAACATAAGGTGGTGATCCTCGTGGCCTTCGACCTTAAAGGGGCCTTTAACGGAGTCAATAAAGTGAGCCTAGACGCTCGTCTCCGGGCGAAGAAAATACCAGCAGTGGCAAGAAAGTGGATCGCGAGCTTTATGAGCGACCGCTATACTAGTATAGGATTCGACGACTTCCGCACAGAAGTGGCGCCACTAGGGAACGCGGGATTAGCACAAGGGTCGCCCCTTTCACCCATTCTGTTCGCATTCTTCAACTCAGACCTAGTCGACCAACCTGTCACCATTCACGGCGGCGCATCTGCCTTTATCGACGATTATTTCCGCTGGCGAGTAGGTCGTTCAGCCGAGGAGAACTTAGCCAAGATCCAGGCCGAGGACATTCCCCGCATTGAAGCATGGGCTCGTCAAACTGGGTCCTGCTTCGCAGCCCAAACAACTGAGCTCATCCATCTCACTAGGAAAAAGGGCGAATATCTTCTAGGACAAATAGTTATGAATGGGAAGCCGATTAGTCCATCACCGACCGCGAAGCTGCTTGGCGTGGTTTTCGACCAAGAGCTACGATGGAAGGAACATCTCCAGCAGGCTATCAAACGCGCAACCAAGGTGACTATTGCACTATGCGGGATGCGACACCTACGCCCAGAACAGATGCGGCAGCTCTACCAGGCGTGTGTTACGCCGGTGGTTGACTACGCTTTAACGGTCTGGCATGACCCGCTTAGAGAAAAAACCCACCTACGACACCTAAACACAGTACAGAGGACACCACTGATTCGCATCCTGTCAGCATTCAGAACAGTAGCCACCACAACACTTGAAGTGGAAGCACACATACTTCCAACACACCTCCGTCTCCGCCTCCGAGCCCAGAATACTATCGCACGACTCCACACCCTGCCCCGTGACCACCCTATTTGGGATATACTATCGCGAGCCCAGAAGCGTAGGAACAATGTCGGTTCGTACGCTCGTTTCCCACTTGCAGAAGCAATGAAGACCATGAACTTGGAGAGATTAAATGAACTTGAGACGATTGACCCCCGGCCACTGTCACCGTGGAGAGCCGAGCCGTTTACGGAGATTGAGATCCAGCCAGATCGAGAAACGGCAAGGGAACGGGCCGAGGCCATACGGTCCACGGCCGGAATTCTCGTATATTCGGATGCCTCCGGAAGCCAGGACCATCTAGGTGCCGCAGTCGTAGCTCTCGATGACGATCTAAAGGTCATTGAATCCCAGCAGATTCAAGTGGGACCGATGGACCGATGGTCGGTCCACGTAGCCGAGTTAATAGGCATTTTCCACGCCATCAGCTCGGTGCTTAAGTTAGCACATCAAACCCCATGGACAGCAAACTCGAGGGCGGCGACGAAGACAGCGACGATTCTCTGCGACAGCAAATCAGCGCTACAGGCTATTCAGAATCCCGGTAATAAATCTAGACAACTGATCATCCACGCCATACGGCAGGCAGCAGCAGAAGTTCAAACACAGGGAATTAAGCTCCGCCTCCAGTGGATACCAGGACACTGTGACAATCCAGGGAACGACGCAGCGGATCGACTGGCCAAAGACGCAGCAAGACCGGGCAAGACACACCCCTTCCGTCCTTTGATCACAAGGGAGAAAGCGTTCATTCGCGGTAACATCCTAGCCCAGTGGGAGCAGGAGTGGCAGTCCTCTGCCAAAGGCAGTCACCTTCGAAGAATCGACACCACACTACCGGCGACCTACACCAGAAGGCTATATGGAAGTCTGACCAGAAACCGGGCGTACTTGCTGACGCAACTACGCACGGGCCACAATTGGTTATCCACCTACGCCAAGACCTTTGGCTTCCGCGACAACGATCAATGCGCGTGCGGCGCGCAAGAAACAGTCACCCACGTGCTGGTGGACTGTCCGGACCTGAGGGAACTTCGAACAAAATTGAGGAAAGAAGTTGGCGATGCGTTTAACAGCGTGTCAAGTCTGCTGGGAGGCTCAAAACAAGGTGAGAGAGGTAAACTAGACAGCGTGTCGCGGGCTAGGGCGGTCGAGGCCGTGCTGGACTTCGCTGAGGCGTCACAACGGTTTCAAAGTCGCGCGCCACGGGGGCAGCCTAACATTGCGAACGGCAATTAGGCCAGGACAGGCCTTGACGAGGCTCTAAGTTCGTTTTCAGGAAGTGGAACATTCTACATGTACGTTCTACTTTCTACTATTCTACTATATATATATAGATACTTGACAGAGGTCGGCCTGTTCTGGGTTTAGCGCGACCCGCTCTGCGTCAGTTCCTGGCCCTCCCATTCGTTGGTCTGCTCTGTTTGTCGCTTTACCATTGGTTATGCGAAAAACTGCATACCCATCTTCGGTTTAGCCTATTCCAATCTTGCCCATCTTGCCCAATAGTCCTTCTTGGTTTGCCTCTATAGAGTATATCGCATGCTGTGCCTTTTTTGAGATGTTGGTTTGGTATACTGCCAGCTTTCTTCAAGCGCTGTTGTCTTCCAGCATCTTCAGCCTCCCACGGCGCTTTATATATGTCAAATCTCGCCCATCCGATGCCACCCCGTGAACATTCTGCCGCTGATTTAAACTCCCGTCTGTCTACCAAGTGCTGTAGCCGCTGCCATAACATTCGACCGTTGGCTACGTTCATCAACGACAGAAATATCGAGCTTAGAACCTGCCACAGATGCCGTCGTCCCCAGCCGCGACAGGTCGAGTGCGAGACTACTGCGTCTGCCACTGCCGGCGACACAGACGATTCTTTGGTCCGCTGCAGTCGGTGCATGCGCCATCATCCGCGTTCTATGTTTCTATCTGCCGCCGGTAGGCGCTTTAAGACATGCTTCAATTGCCGAGTGTGTTCTCTATGAGGCCCGCTATTTGAATATACTAACCGCAATAGGAGAGACAACGTGCTGTGCCGATGATATCAATCTATCCGGATACCCCGGCCCTGGCCCAACGCCTAACAAACTCAATAAACACCCCTGCTTTTGCCACTATACCTACGGGTGCCGTTAGTACTGCACAACATGACGTGACACCGGAGGTGGCCCAGACTCACCAGTGCACTTGCTGCGGCGGCATATACCCATTATCAGTTTTTATGGATCAGTCGCGCCGCCCTGAGCCCTTCACCAATTGCGCTACATGCAGACTGCAGATTGGCCGAGTCCCCTCACCAGGCCGCACCGGTATGCAATCATGTTCACGATGTGGTGATCTGCTCCCTCTAGCCCAGTTTATCGACCTAGCACGCCGCCGCCAGCCGTTTAAATTATGCCCGTGTTGCCGACCCGCCGTACTGACACCGGTTGGTTTTCGCTCCCAGTACCGCCCCGGCACTATACCGCGACATGATCTTGGCCGTATGGTACACGCCTGCCGTTGTTGCATGGCTCTTCATTGGCTTGCTGAGCGAGATGTCAACTCATCCCACGAAAATCCTCTATTTCTCGCTGCTGCAAGCAAGGGGCTGTTCAACTAAAACCCATCCAGCCCCCACCACCCTACCTACGCTGGCTATTAACAAGTGAAGATCCTCGCGCAGAAGAGTTCCGGGATCGGATCCGCCAATACAACTCGGTTTTCGCGTTTACCTCTATCTCCTACACTCCGGACCAGCGAATTGAAGGAGGTTATAAACCCTTTATGGTGGCTGGAGAGCTATTTCATATATATGGCCCATTAGAGCCTCAGGGGGGCGTATCTCCCGCTTTTGCTCAACTATGGATGTTAGAGGACCAGCAGGCCACCATCCCAATCCGTAGCGCAATGAAGCCAGCGCGAGGCCAACAGCGGCCAGGTGCGGGTAATAAGAATGGAAATCGGAGTGCGCTTTCCACGTCAGTCCTAGCGCAGCTTACAGATGAGCTAAACCGCTATAACCCCTTCATCAGGATCTACAAAACCGCCCGGGAGCAGCTCATAGAGGCCGCTCAGCACCAGACCCCTATGGATGTGATACTATCCCCAGATCTGCGTATCATTCTGCAGGGAAAAGTCGATCCACGCACGCATAACTTGCCTGCCCGGACTGAGGTAGCGGCGTTTATTCCAAATGCTCCGCCAGACTTCGGTCACCGCACGTACCGGGATATGGTTTTGACCTTACGGGCCCCAGGTACGAATCGTAGCGCACTTCGCAGGGTGGATCCTAGCCATGCGGCGTATCTGCCTCTGCATTATGTGTTGCTTTTCCCTCATGGGGATACCGGATGGTGCTGGGGCCTCCGTTTGACGTTCCGTGACCAGGAAAATGCCGCCCAGGATGAAGTAGACGACTTGGGACCTGACGATGACGAAGTTGTTCCACCAGCTATCCTACATAACATGCTGGATATGAATGCCGACCCGGAGGATAACACTATGGCTTCTAGCTCGGACTGCATCACAGCCCGTCAGTATCATGCTTTTCGTGTATTTACTCGGTCTGCTGACTTCAATCCAATCCACCACGCCTGTCGCCTTGGCCATCAGTACTGGGTCGATGCGTATGCTACTATCGAGCAATCCCGGCTCCGTTGGTTCAGTGGCCATCAAGAGGATATCCGGGCAGATACCTATCAAGGTCTTACAGATCACCTAGCAGGAGCCGTTATTGATGCTGCTACTGAGGGCACAGACACTATGGCAACTCTTCCGGTCGGTCAGCGCGTGATATTACCCTCATCGCATATAGGCAGTCCACGCTTTATGCAAAAGATCTATCAAGATGCAATTGCATTGATCCGTAACTTTGGGCCCCCAACACTATTTATTACTATGACGGCCAATCCAACTTGGGATGAGGTTATACGGGAGCTATTCCCTGGCCAAACTGCTATGGATCGTCCGGATTTGGTCAGCCGTGTCTTTGATCTGAAGAAAAAAGACCTTCTTCTGCAGCTCTGTAGAAAGGGTATTTTTGGTCCTTCCACTGGCCGGTTTTGGACGATTGAATATCAAAAGCGTTCCCTTCCCCACTGCCATATATTGCTCTTCTTGGAAAACAGCGGCCAGTTCTACAACTCGGCGATGATAGATGAGGTGGTCTGTGCCGAGCTACCTGATCCGGCGATAGATCCAGAGCTCTATAAGATTGTCCGTGGCTGTATGGTCCATATATGTGGCGAGGGCTTGCAGGGCCCCTGTACTTCAAGTGACACTACAACAGGCAAAAGTACCTGTAAGAAGCGATTCCCGAAGCCATTCACCTCCGAGACAATCCCGAACGAGCATGGATACCCCCAGTATCGCCGCCGTGACCTCCCTGATATGGCATTTACGAACCATGTCAAGGGCCGTGAGCTTATTATAGATAATAGCCGAGTGGTGCCATATAACCCGTATCTCACGGTCCGCTATAACTGCCATATCAACGTTGAGCTCTGTCGCGGTGTCGAGGTCGTTAAGTACATTACTAAATACGCGTACAAAGGTCCAGACCAGGCTACAGTCCAACTCACCCTCACCGATGAGATCACGGAATATCTCGAGGGCCGCTATATCGGACCGTCAGAGGCTATCTGGCGGCTGCTTGGATACCGAGTCCATGAGGAATTCCCGCCTGTGCTAGCGCTTCCAGTTCATCTCCCGGGTCAACAGCCTGTCCGCTTTCCGACTGGCGCTGATGCTAATGAAATTCGTTACCGGATGGATAACACGCGCAGTCCACTGATGGCTTACTTTGATTACAATACTGTTGCCCGCCGGGAAGGGCGGCAGACTTATCTATATCAGGATATGCTGCGGCACTGTGTCTGGAACCGGTCCCGGGGAGCTTGGCAACCACGAAAAAATGGTACTGTTATTGGTCGCATATACCATGTGAGTCCCCGCGACGGTGAGCGCTTCCATCTGCGACTGCTATTAACGATCCGGCATGATGCTGTAAGTTTTGACGACCTAAAAACCGTAGGCCCTGGCCCCCCGGTTCGAACATTCCGGGACGCCTGTAAGAAACTTGGACTGCTAGAGGATGACAACCACTGGCGGGCCGCATTCACGGAGGCAGTGACTTTCGCATCTGGCAAGTCCCTACGGAATGAGTTCTGTGTGGCTGTCGTGCATGGCGGTGTCACGGACCCGCTGGCGCTCTGGGATGAGTTCCAAGTGCATCTGTGCGACGACCTCCCGCGTCAGTTACAGTTACACGCAGACGCTAACAGAGAACTACCTGCCACTTCTAGCAGAGAACAGTATCTAGACTTTGGTCTGTTTCTGATTGGCCAACTGCTAGCAGCGCAGGGTAAGACGCTAGCGGATTATTATATGCCATCACCGGACGCTGATTGGTCTGCCTTCCAGCCATCATCCCGTGAGGGTCTGCATAATATGCCTTTAAATCGGCTAATCACCGCGGCCGCTGAGTTACGGGATCAACTCAATGATGGCCAACAGATTATCTTCTCCGCTGTGGTATCCGCTGTGATTGATAGTCGGCCTGCTGCATGGTATCTACAGGGCCCTGCCGGTACTGGCAAAACATTTCTCTACCGGGCGATCTATGCTGAGCTGCGGTGTTTAGGCTTCGACGTGGCCCGTATCGCGTCATCTGGCATCGCAGCGACGCTACTACCAGATGGGAGCACAGCGCACAGTTATTTTGGCATCCCGCTCGAGCTACATGAGGACTCGATCTCGAGTTTACGGCCAAGGACTGCAAAATTCCGCCGCCTGCGGACAGCGGCCCTGATCATCTGGGATGAGGTCCCGATGCAGGACCGGTATGCAGTGGAATTGGTGAATCGTCTCCTACAGGATGCCCGTGATAACCACTGTCTATTTGGTGGTCTACCAGTCTTGATGGGTGGTGATTTTGCACAGACCTTGCCAATAGTGGTTCCGTATAGCCGAACTAGGACGGTAGCTGCGTGCTTACAACGTTCGTCAATCTGGCCACGATTAACGGTTCTACAGCTACATCACAATATGCGTCTCTCGCCAACCGGCGTCAATGCAGACTACGGACAATATCTATCCACAATGTCCTATCGGGAGGAATTACAGGGCTCTATCACCCTGCCCCAGTATATCCCCCGATCTGATACAGTAGAGGAGCTCTGTGATACTATCTATCCCGCTACAGCGTTGTCGGCAACCACCGGAGACCTGGAGTTCTTTGCTAAGCGGTCCATTATCACCATCCGTAACAACGCGGTTACAGTGTTCAACGACCAGCTAATTAACCGCATGCCCGGCGATTCGAGTGTTTAGTGGTCCGCAGACCGCGCCCAGAACCGCCCTGGCAGAGATCAACCGACCCTTACAGAACACCCTCAGGAGTATCTACATTCTATCAATATGCCAAGCCTACCGCCATCGAAGCTGACTTTGAAGGTCGGTACACCGATTATGCTGATCCGCAACCTACGCCAAGAAGACGGCCTCTGCAATGGCACCCGTCTCATCATTACAGGTCTATACCAATGGAATATCACCGCCCAGATCATCGCTGGCGACCACAAAGGGGCGGAGCACACAATCCCCCGTATCCCGTTGGAAACGTCCGAAGGCCAGCTATCCTTCACTCTCCGCCGGGTGCAATTCGCTATCCGCCTCTGCTTTGCTATGACGATTAATAAGAGCCAGGGACAGTCATTGAAACAGGTGGGCGTAGACCTTCGTGTTCCAGCCTTCTCCCATGGGCAGCTATACGTCGCGCTCTCGAGGGTGACAAATGTAGCCAAACTATCGATCCTACACGCAAAGAGCTTAGATGCAACGGAAAATGTTGTGTTTCCAGAGGTCTTACAACGCTTCTGTACTACAGCATTGGCGGTAGAAGTTAGTTAACTATCAAATTGTCATCCAGTCACCATCATTGATCGATTTCCAGAAATTATTACGATCGAAATGCACAGAACTCTAGGATAGAGTATCAAAGGAATATATCTCCTGTAAGGTCTTTATATTAACGATCTTCGCCTCTCACCTGATCAAGAATTCATCTTGGAGATGAATCGTTTGAAAGCTCACGAACAGAACACAACAAGCTTGGCAGACTGACATAATGTCCAGTAGCAAAACATATCTATTCCATTAGCTTCAGTACAACTAATCATTATAAATCCATAAACCCACATATTACACAGATGTAACCCTGTCATTCCCTTCATAATAAGAACCGGCCCTGAAGAACCACTAATATGCGTCTATTTAGTCCTCTGCCCTAGCAATCTGCGGCACTAAAGACATTTTACATTCGTACAAGCGTGTCTAACAACCTCTCTTATTAGCTATGAACGGACCCATTACTTTCTCTCCGTATTATAACGCCTTGAATATTCGTCGCTTTTTCTTCTTATACCCGTACTAAGAAATAAATCCTTTATTCGCCTTTCTGCTCTATTTCTACTTGAATCTTCCATATGCCGTCAAATAAAAGCTTTCCTACAGTTTTACATATTCGAGATTTCATTGAACAAGTCGAGCAAGACCCCACACGACCCGGAAAGGGACTTGCTTTACAACTTCGTATTTCACTCAATATTCCCGAGAAAGACACTCAATCAGACGATGTAGAGCAACAAGATATACCGACTATGATCCGTTTCTTCTCCGACCATGGACGATCCGATATATACAACGAAAATTGCTTCGTTTATGCCTGGGGTTCTTTCTTAACAGCCACGACGCAAGACCAAGGATTCCATATCCTTCTCCACGCTCACACTGTCGATCGGTACGTAACGCTCAGTAGTCTCCAAAACACATGCTGAATTTCGCTAGACATCCTGGGAATCATGAAGACTCTGATTCATACTTTATGCACTGTCCTGAGGCTGCACAACCAACCGTAACCTTCCTAGGCGTTATTGATAAGCACGCAGGGGAACTCAACAACGGTTCAACGCTACTCCACTACTGCCTACAAGTAACGGTCTATAATAGTTCTTCTCGAACCCAACACACATTTCCAATCACTATATACTTCAAAAATGGTCCACGGTGGGCAAACTTCCCTTTATTAGCGCCACAAACCTAGATATTCGTTACAGGACGCATATTCGGCACTACTAAAGAAAACCAACAACTGGCCATACTAACGGACGATATACATTTCCTACCCAGTATATCACCGCCTATACCACCAAGTCCAACTTCAGCAAAGGGTAAACGAAAGCGACCCAACCGTTGGGCCCAACGAGCTGGACCCAGCACGCCGTCCAGCTCATCCCAGTTCCATGGTACAATCTCCACCCTTACATGCCAAGATGACCCGTCTACCACTTCTACCGACCCGGTCACTCCTGACCATACGGAACTTGCAATCTTAGAAGATGATGAGGCTCCAATGACATGGCCAGATACGGATGATCATGAACACACTCCCACTGTGACACGACGTTCACGAAGAACGCGAGAAAAAGGCTTACCATAATATGTATACCTGCTCGAAATATACTTTTCGTTTTCACCCTTTTCAGAGCTTATTAGCTTCCTGAGAAACCACCCGAGCGAAGCGAGGGTTGACGGCTAGTACACGGATATATTTAGTTGCTGTAGCCTGCATATCGCTTTGCGAGGGGTCGGGGTAAATGAAATCATCCATCCATCCATCCACCCATCCTGTACCCCTCGCAGAACACTCGCATTCTCTCTCGCATTATGGCGCTCCCTCCGACAAGCATGGCACGGACAAGGTCGGAGAGAGTTGGTACTACAGCAACGAAAAACATGATTGGAATCCCAAGCACAAATGGGATCCCGAATTCAACATGTACCAGGTATTTTACAGTATTATACCCTCAAGAATATATGATATTTTGTCTGGTCACTGCACAAGTTTGCGAGCATTGGAGGGTCACGCCTACATATCTTTGATGAGTGGGAACGCGAACATGCCGTGGATTAAACAAATACATACTGGGAAATGGCTATCCTTGGCCAAGAGTAACATTTCATTATGGCTGGAGGAAAAATAAGATTTGCTGACGAAAAATGTTGGGGGCTGGTAATTCAATAGGTTAATTAGCCAGATTGGATGGGCGATTGAGGGGAGGGGTGATTCGATGGGGTAGTTAACCTGGTCAACCAAGTCCTTATGCAAACAATTATTTTTTACAGGAATTCAACCGGTTTGACCTCACAATTTGGTTTATTTGATCATATTAAGATATCAGAGAATTGTGATGGTCTGCAAAACGAGTAAATAGAAACAATGTTTACTTCAAAACACGGCTGAGCAGCCTGTTCATTTCATCGGAATTACACCCCACTCTCCCTGTCATCACTTAATTACCTGTTAATTATTATAGTTCTCTAGTTGCTCCATGCAATCAACTTTCCAATTAACTTAACCAGCTGTCCGCATATCCCTGCCAAAGATTAATTATCTGACTTCCCAGCCATTTTATTGATCAGAGTAGTAGCCAGCCCTGCGTTGGTGTTTTATTCCTTTGACTTTATCTCTCTGTAACGTATTTTGTATCTAGGCAATATCGGCATTCTGCTCGTACGGTACACCCCTCCCTTTGGCATTTCAATAGTGAAAATGTCTCCTGAGATAGAAAGATCCCAGAGACAAAAGTGACTGGTGCAACATAGTCCAGTGTCGTTTTGAGAGTGGTCGATTGATGGTGATCAATTGACTTAGACTTTTGTCATGACGTTGAGAGATGAAGTTGTTTACTATTTTATCAATACATGTACAGTCGCTGACAAGTTCGGCTTCTACATGATTTACACTCTTTCGCTCTTTCTCAGCGCCACTTTCGGGGACCAGTCTACTAGGAGCTTAGCTCGTTATTTTAGTATTTTACATTCTGTCTGTGACAGGACTATACTATAAATACCGTATTGAATCTCTTCTAATTATGACTAAGCATTCACCTACACACGGAACGGGTTTAGGTGAATGCTTAGTCACAATTATAAATATCCCTTCTTCCAGAAAGTTCGCTGCAAACAAGGCAAACTGTATCATACCTGTGCCTGAACAGCCTGGCAAACCATCTTCTTCTCTCCTCAAAACCCCTTCCTACTTTTCCATGTGCTGTTACCGTTAGGATCATACAAAATGTACAAAGACGCAAGTTCCAAAAAAACCCAGGACCTGCGACCGCTGGGCGAAGGCTTCAATACTAACTTGATAGACTGGCCTGTTACCGATCACAATAATGAGAGTATATCTGTGCCTTCCAGTGCCCCCCCCACCGCCTTCGGGATGGGGGTGCACCACACCGTAAGCCCAATTCTGAAGCCATTCACATTAATTTCTGCTTTTCACCCTGAGTATCTATCCAAAAAGACTCCCCTCCCTGCTGCATAGCCACCACACTATCTGACAAAATAAAACTCTCCCCAGTAGGCGACTTGGGTGGCGGTCGGCCGTACAATTTTGTCCACTGTTTATCCAACATCTTCATCTCTTGTATAGCTTCTTTCTCTCTCCTGGTCTTCATTGATCGATTGGCATCTTTTGTACTGAGTATACCAGAGTCTCCGATCTTAGGAATCTCTCTTTTGGTGATTTGTCGCTTCCGAGGGGCCTGTATCTCCCTCATTCGACTAATTGTATCGCTCATTATCGCAAGCTCTTCCGCCGTACGTTTATGATGGTAGAACGCACGTTGTAGGCCTCGTTGGAGCTTCGGTGTGGGACCCTCTGTATTGATTCTTCTCGAGGTCTTGGGCACTCTTTGGAGGGGTGTTTTCCACGCTGGAAGAAGATATATTCGGGGGAGGTGTTGATTCACCGTATGCACGAAGATCGGGCGCGAAGAGATCTGGTATCGGTGGAAGTGCATCTTGAAGTTTTTGAATAATGGCATCGCCATTTGGAGGGTATATACCACGCTCTTTAAAAGAATTGCGGATAATTCGTTGGTTGAAGGTCTTGTTTCGGACACTCACGATATCCTTGAGGAAATTCGCCTTCCCCGTGGGGATCCTACCCTACTGAAAAATGAGGTTATTTGGCTTGTAATTTTTACCCAGTAAAGATTTTCTTGTCGAATAAGTGAGTCAATTGATTAATTGACCACCCTCGAAATGACAGTAGACCGTGTTGCACCAGTCACTTTTATTCCTGGGATCTTACTATTTTAGGAGCCATTTTCATCATTGTAAATGCCAAGGAGGGGTGTACCGTACGAGCAGAGTGCCGAAGCTGCCTGGTTAACACGGTTCAAATTGACAGAATATACAGAAAGATAAATAAAAACAAAGTCTGAGTTGTGCGGTTTCATCTACCTAGCCAATTGGGTTCTTTATTTTAGGTCCACATCCATTTTTGTGTTGGTTGGTAGGAAAGCAGTCACCTAGTCAAAATAAGTGATATATCTCTTGTGGGCACTTACCGTTAGCGTAGCTCAATAGACCACCACCTTGGACGCTCTTGCTGAACTAGTGGACCATGAAAGGGTCATGAATATGATACGTCCCTTCGTTATTCACTTTAACCCCTGTAAGGTCAAGAAGCGTCAAGTCAGCCTCAATCACCAGTCGATAAAAGCGTTCAACATGGAAAAATGGACATTGTTTCCTCATCCGCAGGAGTCGACATTAACAAAGCCTGATCAGAAGGTCTTTGATTCACGCTTTGAGGGCGTGGAGGCATTTATGTTGGATATTTGCATGAGATACTTTCTCTTAACTGATATTGGAAATATAAATTTGTTCTCGGATGAAAAAGTGGCATTTTCAGAGCTTCCCCAGAATACCAATTTATTCGATGATAACCATGATTCTGACGAGTATACCCTCGATTGCTCGTGGGAAAAGTGGGAAGAAGGCATGACTCACTTTGATCCATCTGATCGTGGGTTTGACGAATTCCTTGTTTATGCATCGTGCTATTGGTTAGAGCATTTGGCTGCTGTCACAGCCCAGACTCTTCCTAGCCTATCCAATGTGGAGAATTTATGTCAAACAGGCTCTACTCGTCTCAATAATTGGATTGAATAAAATAGTCGCCCCGGCTGCGCAATCTTAGCCAGATTCGACTTTCACATTCAATTATATGATCCTCTCGGCATAGTTTCGCTCTAGGGTCAGAAGATATGCTGCGTCATCTTCTTGATAAGTCGAATTTTAAAAATGACGAATGTTTGGAAGAGCCAGTCATGAGCGCAGTTGATCAGATTCTTCAGTGGGGAGATCTCGCTGTCACTTCGCCACCAGCCTGGGCAAGAGTTGCCTGTGCCTGTTGTAAGGGGGTAGAAAGCACATGCAGTTCTCGAAGATTGCCGAGGATAGTGCTGTAGGCGGTGCGTTGGGGGTGAGATCGCGTACCTGATAGGCTGCTTGTGCCACCCGATGAGCATTGTCGAGCTTTTGATTCCCTGGGGGGGATAATCCGCGTCACTCGCCCGAAAGCGGTCTCTTGAGGTGACATGCCTGCTGGAACATTTGAAATACGAGGGTTTTCTTTTCCGCATCGGAGGATTATCCCATCCTACACACTTTAGTCTGAAGTATCAACTTATCAAAGGTGAACAACCCAAGGAGATCTCTGGTTGTTTATCAGGACCAGCGGCACTTGTTAACCACAAAGGTACATCATACACTGCTTCATTCATACCTGTGGTAAGATGCGGTGAAGACCTTAGGTCTGAGGGACTGCTGAAGTATATGAGGTAGACCAGGAGATAGGTGGAGAATACCAGACTTCCCAAACCCCCGGGGATGACTCAAACTGCCTCAAAAGGATCGTATATTCATACGTGCTGCAAACTTATATCTCTGCTATGTCTCGCGGTAGCAAAGGCTCTTTAACTAAAAGCTTTCATTGATCGAAGCAATTCTAAAGCAGAAGTAAGAGATAACTAAATAAAATCTGAAATGGGAGTGAAAGATAACAAAAGTGAAGATGCCTGTGGAATTGAAATCCAGCTAGGGTAATCTCAACATATATGATCAATCCATGACAGGTACGTTGTAGAAACCCTTTCGATTCCAAAACTTGACAAACTGCCGTACCATATTCCCATCTAGTGAACGATATGCAATATCCGGTCGACCTCGCAGAGCCTCGACAGCTTGATCCGCTCGATACCACGGGGTATATTGGCTGGCTGTCCAGCGTGTGAGTGGCCCCCGAACTGGCTCCCGGAACATTGGCATCAGCGGTGCCAATGGTCCATCTGGCTCTTGCTCTTCAGCAACCTGCGCCACCCAGTCATCATAGTCTACTAGGCGCACCGGATACCCAGCATCGTTGAGCACTCGACAGGTATCTTCAACCGTGACTGAATGAGCTTGATCTGGCGAAACAAGGCAATACGAACGACCGAGATTAGCTTTATCCGCAGCGATATGAAGCATCGCGTTGACCACATAGTCAAGCGTCACATATTCCAGTCGTTGAACCAGGCTAGGCCACGTCCCCATCTGAATGCATCCTACCAGAAGTCGTGACATAAAGTCTGATGGATTACTACAACCTGTATCTGGGTCTCCGATCACAAATCCAGGTCTGTAAATTATAATTGGTAATCCGCGGTCTCGCATGCGTCGCACCATAGACTCTGCGGTCCACTGGCTTTGCGAGTAGCCTAAATCAAAGCGGACACCCTGAACATGGGGAAGCAGCGGCCCGTCTTCTTCCACGGCTTCCGTTCCAAGCGTATACCCCGTTGTACCCCATACATCGATTGTGGACATATAGTGGAACCCCTTCCGGCGACCAGCGGCAGCCAGCCGGAGCATATTGCAGGTACCGAGGACGTTGGATGAACGGTGTTCGCGATATGATTCGCAGAAGTTGATCTTTGCTCCGAGATGAAAGATAACGGACGTCCAGTTCGCAAACCAATCGAACTTCTCCTTCCCAACACCAAGGGTCCGGTCAGAGAAATCACCTTCAACAAACATCAACTTCTCCCGCGCCTCTACTGAGTCAGGCCACAAGTCATATTTCTCAAGAGAACGTTGCACACGCATCGCTGCAGACACTCCTTCTTGACCACGAACCAAGCATGCGATCTGCTTGACCGTGGGACGGATCATTAGATCGTGCAAGACACGTCCGCCCACAAAGCCTGTGGCCCCCGTAAGTAACACCCTTCCTTCATCTGGAGCATCCCACTGCGGCACCATTTCAATGTCATCAACGAGGTCGATATCGCCAATCCAGACTTTGCTGTCGTCGGGGGCGTTCTGACGCCTGTGACTTTCTGCGGCTTCGGTTTTGGAAGTAATCACATCACACAGGTCTGAGAGTCGGGAGTTCCGGTTGAGCTTTTCCATCGTAATAATACAGTCTAAAATTCTTTGGATGTGGCCGATCAGCGCCGCGGCCTGGAGTGAGGTTCCGCCGAGGGCAAAGAAGTCATCTTCGTCTTGGATGTGTGGCTTGTTTAACATTTCAGTCCAGATCTTCCGAATCTCTGCCTTGATACGTTCATTCTCATCTGACCCCCATTCTTTCGGATTCAACTTGCTTGTAGCAGTGTGGGATTGGTTGCCGGTCTCTTCTTTGAGTGACTGAAGCTGTTGCTGAAGCAGCTGTTTGTAGTTCACTTTACCTGTCGCGGTGAGTGGGAGCTTGCTGACGAATTCCAGAGTGTTTGGGACCATGTAGGCTGACAGCCGTTCTCTCATCAAGCCAAAAAGGTCCTCTTCGCTTGGGGAAGGCGATGTACCATCTACCACAACAAAAGCTACCAGTGCCTCTGCGCCCTTTGTAGAGAGAGGCGGCTGCTGAATGACAGCGGCACCTTTGATCCCATCAACCAACTGGATAATGCGCTCGATTTCGCCCAACTCAATCCTAAACCCATTGTGTTTGACCTGATTATCCTTGCGGCCGATGAAGTCAAGAATACCGGAGTCAGATCGCCATTCGGCTAGGTCACCTGTTCGATAAAGTCGTACAGTGCCGCTCTGATCCTTATCCAGCCCCTTTGAGGACCGCGGGTTGATCAGATGTTCTCGAGGAAAATCGACGAAGGATGTCATGTTTTCTTTCTCTCGCTTCCAATATCCGAGCGACTGCTGCGGTCCTGCAATGCAGATTTCGCCCTGCTTTCCTGGCTCGTAGATGGCACGATCCTCCTCAAGTAGGTAGACCTCCATGTCGCCCACAGCTCGGCCAATGCTGATTCGATCTCCTCTTGTCTCTGGCGCGGTTACTTCATACATAGTGGCCAGAGTAGTACACTCCGTTGGGCCGTAAGTATTCCACAGATGTTGTGGGGGGCCGTCACTCTCTAGAACTCTCCTCATTGCTTGCACATTTGCTACATCACCAGCAGTAAGCACATGACGGAGAGACCGGTAAGTATCCGGGGATGCGAACGCCGTGACTTCAAATAATGCGGCCATCAGAATAGTAACAGTTATGTGGTTATCTCTCAGAAAACGGTGGAAGGCTTTCGGGTCTGTCGCGATATGTCGGGGAACAGTCACGATCGTAGCACCGGCGATGAGAGTTGCCCATATTTCAAACAAACTGAGATCAAAGCCAGGATTGTTGAACTCGGTAACCCGGTCAGTCTGTTCCAGTGGAGTCATAGGTGTCCGGGTTGCCAGGTGCATAATCCCCGATGCTCGGATCTGCACTGCTTTTGGCTTGCCCGTCGAGCCTGAAGTAAAAAGGATGTGACTCCGGTCTGGAGGGGGGTCCTGCTGCAGGAGCTCTTCCACAGCCACCGATGGTCCGTCCGAACCAAGAGAGATGGGGATCAGCTTGAATCCCGAATCAATCAGCGATTGACGCCATATCTCGGTGGTATTGTTGACGTCAACGATCAAGCGTTCAACTTCGACATCCTGAAGCATATCAAACATACGCTCCTCTGGTAAAGAGGGCGAAGGCTCCATTGGAACGCATGTTCCACTGGCAAAGCGTACTGCGAGCTGAGCCACGACTTGTTCGATACCAGGGCCGAGTAAAATTCCGATAGGCTCTTCTACGGGGGACTTGGTATTGTTTTCAAGAAGTGAGTGCGCTAGGTAGCTTGATTCACTGACAAGCTCAGCGTAAGTCAATGACTTGGATTCGTCGAGAACGGCCAGGGCGTTGGGGGTACGCTGAGCGTGGGTAAGAATGATATCTTCCATGGTAACTCGAGCAACGGTAAGTTTGGATCAGGATTGGTTGTTCTGGTGTTCTGGTATTCTGGTGTTAGCACATGGTGAAAGTGCAAATAGGAATTTGAATAATGAAACCAGAACTGACAGAATGCCGCCTTTTTTAAAGGTTTCTTCAGCACGCGGCATATATGATGATATGAAGTTCTGTACAGCAGCATAACGTTGATGATATCATATAAAAAGCGATATTGCCCGCAGTATTTCTTGTTTTTGCAAAGCACCAAGGGCATATTCCGTGGAAAAGATTGATCATTTGTTGGAAGAACTTATTGTGAACAGGTATAACACAAAGATGACACAGTCAATAATCGTGGCAACTCGTAAGAAAACCTTAAGGTACAATTTGATGATTATGATGACGTGCAACAGGCGCCTAGGCTTCGAGCGTAGTGTTCGTGCGCAGTGCATTTCTTTTTATTCACCTCCAAGTACAAGGATCGGCAGTCAGAACTCGCAGGAAATCCACATATGACCTGAAATAACAGACATTTAACATTTGTGAATCAAACAAAGTAAAAGACGCTACGCTTTGTCCGCTGGGAATATAATTCCAACATACATATAATTGGCGGGTAGACTAAGGGAGCTAGATGAACAATCTGAAAAACCTAGCAAGTGGGGTGAGTTCACAGAATTGGACATGTGCATATGCAAGAGCATCTGAAGTTGGTATAATCATCGTTCGTAAACCGATTTCCACTCCCTTCTCTGCTTTCATTTCCTATCTTGATGCTCCGACTAAACTGAAGAGGTTAAGCTGTTTAATGTGGGAGAGAACTCCAACTTTGTAATTCCACGACCGTGCTTCTCTGAGCGTCAGTCTGCGGCTGTTCAACACATCTAGTACGAGTCTGCTCTTGTTTACATCCTATCCATTAGAAAAAGGATTGAAAAGGTGTCATTCATACCTGATATAGGTCGATCGGGGTTCTGTAAATCCTGAGTGGCAGCCTGCTATTCCTCCGTAGATGTCATTGCTCCGTTGGACACGTTGCATTACAACATCCACGATATCGCTTGCTTATCTTATCCATTTCAAGCTCGTCTGACATCATAAAATATTGTATCTCTTGATAGTCCTGGTTTCTTTGGCAAAGTCGTGCGCATAGCCCGTTCCACTGTGTCGGTAGTCTGCTTTGGGCCTATATTGGGTAGTTCACCATGCATACACATCTTTCCGCTGCAGAAGGGGACAATATTCCGCGAATGAAAACCTGCATTCTTCAGCATCCATGCGACATGATTATCATGGATCGTTTCACATGATATCTTCTGTCCGTGGCTTACTGTGATATGATGAAGGTGTGCCTCATGGGCCTTCTCTCCAAACTAAGATTAATTCACATGATGGCATTAACAGGGTACTTTCCAAGGATTTAAGATAACCGATGACATATCAAATATTCCCGAATGGAGCAGCATACTCCATGCTGGCTCCAGTATGACAACCGATTTCTGTATGCCTTTAGGACTAAACTTCGTGGAGAAAGCGGATAATAGGGGCTTTCTGAATCACATATAAATGAATAATACAGTATCTGCTGCTGGTTATGTGAATTATATCCTGAATAAATTCAAGGCCGAACTGCTCTGACACCATCTCATATTGCCGACATGTCCGTCAATCGCCCTTTATCCGCTCTCCTCAAGACCGTGCTATCACTCCATCGGGCCACCCTATGTTCGGTGTCACAAAAAAGCCTGGGAACCTCAAATACAGTACATTGCTCTTTTCATCGGACATCGGGGCACTCTGGACATGCCCTGACGAAGAAGTGCCAGGCGGCTCTAGAGAATCGTCACCAGAAGGGAAGATTAATCGAGCCGGCAAATCCACAGAGGACTGGTCAGATGGTAGATTTTGGCTCCAACGACACTCTTTCCCTTGCCTCCTCAGGGGCACTGCGCCAAGCCTTTCTTGATGAACTTGCCCAACATCCTGATTTTGAAATTGGTAGTCGATCCACGCGGATCTTTGAGGGGACTACCCCGTACCTTCTGGACCTGGAGGAACACATGGCTCAATTTCACCGAGCAGAATCTGCGCTCTTTTTCCCGTCTGGATATGAGGCCAATGTAGCCATCTGGTCGACGATTCCCCAGCCTGGTGATGTTGTAGTTTACGACGAGTATATCCACGCTAGTATTCATGATGGGATGCGTCAGGGAAGAGCAATGAGTCGGATGTTTTCTCATAATAGCTGTGCATCCCTCCGAGAGTGCCTATTGAATATATGCCAGACAGACCCAGCAGTGGCAAACGGAGAACAAATGGTGTTCATAGCTCTCGAATCGATTTACAGCATGGATGCCGACATGGCACCTGTGCATGAAATGCTGAAGCTGACGAAAGAGATCCTGCCCCATGGTAATGCGGTTTTCTCGATTGATGAGGCCCATTCTAATGGCGTGATTGGCGAAAATGGATCAGGCTACATTTGCCACTACGGTCTCGAGAAGGAATTTCCCATCCGACTGCACACGTGTGGAAAAGGACTCGGCTCAACAGGAGGTAAGCCCGTCGGTGTCGAAAAAACTCTGTGAATGCATTCAATATTTAAAACTTAATTTTCTGACCCATTGGCAGCTGCTGTACTTGCCAATCCCGCCATCCGTTCTTATTTAATCAATTACGCGAGGGGCCTGATCTTCTCTACCGCACCTGCATTTCCATCGCTGGCGGCCGTGAAAGGAGGGTACAGAATTCTGGCCAGCAAAGAAGGCGAGGAGGTGAGTTTCCATGGCAATGGGTGGAGATAGGCTTGGGAGATTTCCACTAATGAATGACTAGCGCCGCACTCGTCTGCAGAATAATATTCGCCGTTTTTATGAGAAGCTCACTTGTCATTCAAAATGGGCAAAATGTGTGTTCGGCGGGATCCTGAGCCTCCCTACGGAGAAAACCTGGGATACTGGTCCATACCTTGTCCCAATTATCCCACTAATTACGGATCTTGGACAAGCAGCGAGCCTTGCTCAGAAATTACAGGACGCTGGTTATCAGGTGAATCCGGTGTTCTTCCCTATCGTGCCTCGAGAAAAGGAGCGAGTCCGGTTGGTGATGCATGCAGACAACACAGCAGCTCAGATTGACGAAATTGTGGATTTGATAATGGGCTGGTCGATGGAACGTCTTGCGGACCAGCGCAGGAAACCAGCTAGTCTTGTGTCCGGTGGGGACATATATCAGAACACACCTTTTTCTGACTGAACATTATCCGATTTTCTTCTAAATGTTGGTAAACTCATCATTAAGAATCACTTCGCTCTTTGCCTTTCCTTTACAACTAGCATCCTCGTCCGAGGCCAGGGCAATCCTTCATAAGGAAAGTGCCTCTAGCTATTTTAAATACTTTCTCAGTCAGATAGAACGGTTTGCAGATCATGAAGATCATACATTGACTTAGGAAAACAATACTTGTTCTTATTATTTCACATGACAAGTGAAGAAAATAAGGCGTGAGTACTGTCATAATCAACAACCCGTTGTAAAATAATAGTTGGTCAGCTTCATAACTATCACCCGATTGTTCAGAATAGGATAAATTAGCGAGTTTTATGCTGGTGCGGATTTGTACCATATCCATCGATGTTTTTAGTCGTGAAGAAAGTCGTCGTTTGTGCTAGATTTGAAGTTGAGCAGATCTAGGACGGTGGCGAGTGGTGAATGCAACGTGTTCTGAGGAAAATCGATTACAGCCAGTTTGTCACAGTGTAAAAAACTGTTAGATTACCATTACATGGTTGCACCGCCACACTTGGACGTATGTAGATATCCAGCAGGTATTTATTGAATGTAATGTACCGTTACGGCTTTTACTCGACGGTCATTAGCACCGTGGTCGTGTTGCCGTCGACACGATGAATGCAGAACTGGTCTGGTCGCGGGTGAGGCGTGTTTGATAGCTGGCTTGTATTCGCTTCAAAGGTTTCATTCTTGCTCAAAGAATTTGTGTGATTGCTAAACTAAATTCCATCACCGAGGCCGAACTCGTCACATGCCGCTGGGAGTTTGCATCATTCGGCTATTATATCATGGACGTGTTCTTCCACCCCAAACCGCTCATAGGCCTCGAGATCTTGCTCACTACTGAGAGGCTTGCGGGCAAATCGACGGCCAAGTCCTTCTAACTCTGATAGAGACGAAAATAAGCGTGGCGCCTGCCCTAGCTCCGACTGTAGATGTTGGCAGACAGACTTGTAGACCCTTAGCAGCTGCTCTGGGCAGTCGGCCCAATGTTCCAATCGAGTTGGGCAGTATTTTCCAGTGGGAAGGGGTATTTTCCAGTGGTTGAGCGAGATGGTGTCTCGACTCGCAACTGGCGGGAGAGAAGGTCATGGCAGTTCTGTAAGAGCTCTGTGAAAGAGGTCTGTTGGTTGCTTTCCTCTGCTTGTCGCCTCCTTTCTGCTTCCTGCCGTCTCCCTTCTGCTTCCTGCTTCCGTCCTTCTTCTGCCCTAAGGTAAAGATCTTTGTAATTTGGAGAGCTGTGGTCGGCCATCGATTTGTTGGAAAGGGCAAGTCATGCTTTAACGTAAGTGCGTCAGAGCCCGGCTGACGATCTGGTCCGATCAGCTTTCTGCCAGTGAATCCCGGGTTTCGGAAAATACTTTCTTCCAGAAAATCAGGTAGGTATACATACTAGCCCTAAGCGGTTAGCGCTTGTCTCTACTCTAATCAGAGTCGCCCGCGATCATTTCCGAGTCAGTTCTCGAAGTACTGATTCATGTGTCACGTATGTAGAATCATGCTCTTAAGAGGGTAAAGAGACATACCTGCATAGTTGAATCCCTCGCCAAGAATAGGCTCTGTGGGCGATACAAAAACTGCCTTCATTGATAGGAACGGCAACGGTAATTTGTTTAGGCATTGCCAGAAGACCCGACGTCGGGTTGAGGTATTTATAGGCAAAGGGCTTGCGTGATCGTGGTAGTCTTTGATTAAGTTCCCGGGTTTCGGCGGGCGTTGATGGCAAAGATGATGGGCACGATCAAGCTTCCCAGCAGAAAAAGAAAAGTAAGTCTGGTTCTTCAGATCAAAACATGCCTTTTTTTACCATCAATCGAAACTTGCTGGAACACCCTAAGGTTAAAACAGCCGCACTGTACGCCTTATTTTCAATGCCCCTGCATAAATGCCTCAAATTTCTGCCTTCACGATAAGCTGGTCTATGTAAAAGATACAAGACATCATTTGGATCAAAAGCTACTGTATTGCCCTAAAAAAAATAGACCTTAAGACCTCCTGATAGAGTTTAAGACCTCTTGCTAGTGTTATTTTTAGAATTGGGTAAGGTATAGAAACAATCTTGAGTTAGTATAAAGAAACCAAGATTTCAAACCTGGCCGCTACTGGGTTACCTAAAGCTTAACAAATTGTCCTTTACATTATTAACCCCAAATAACATCATCTAGCTCAAGCAGCCTGATTTAATTTTGTCAGGCCCTCTAAGACGGAGCTCTTTCCGGTGGATTGATCTCCGACAACGACCAATTGCGGTAAATTGATGTGTTCTCCCACATTGCAAGCGAACAATTTGTCAATTTTTTCAAGCAGAGCAGGGTCCGCTAGCACCACTTGGGCTTCCTGCTTGATCGTCATGGTTTATTTGTTTTACAAGATTCACGAGCGTGATCATACACAGTCGTGATCATACACAGTTATATATAGCTAAGAATATCACATTCCTCGGCACACATCTTATCTTTCTCGTTGGAATGTTGGATTATGTAAGGCAACATTGTACGTCCCTTACAGGGGCGTAATGGGAGCATACTGAGACAGAGCTTTATACCAACTCTTCTTGCAGAAAAATTGCCTTCAAAATGCTACCTGTCATCGTCCTGACCTTGAAAAGGTGGACGACGATTGGTCAGCCTACCTCTTTCTGTCGCCCGGGCGATCAGTGGGTCACTTTCCGGGAAAATTCTAATCGATAAAAAAAAGTCTATCCCTCGCCTCCTCAGCAAGCACGAATACCGGGAGCATGAGGGTTCCTTGGTACTAACAAATGATTCCCAAGGGGCGGGCATGAGGGATCGAGGAACGCCAGTGGATATCCCATGGACCTGAGATAACTTTCTGTCTTCTCAGGAACTGGCAAAGAGATCCATAGTATCCTTAATACTTTCGATGGTCTTCTGGCGCATTGTGGGTGCTCGGCTTGTACCGTTACAGACGCGCTCGAAATCAGTTTCACTACGGACTCGGTACTACTGGAAAGCAAGAAGGAGAGATAGATACATGGGTCACCGCGGCTGTCACTTTTTGGGGGGATACTAATTTGCAACAGTTCGAAAAATGTGCTGTAACTTGGCTCCATCGCCGAGCAAAAACATAGTTTAGGGCTGAGTACATTTCTGTGTGTATGTATGTGAAATCATTTATGTAACTTCCCGTTGGTTCTGGTTTTGATTACATTCTGTTAAGGTCAAGATTCAGTGTTTCATCATGTTTTGTATTGTCTGATCAGTACTAAGTAATAATTTAAAGTCAGGTGCAATTCGTACCGGCCAATGAAATGATAGTGAAAACTACGCAATCTTCTTTCACTAATTCTGGCATTTTGTATGTGCTTCAAGCCCATTAATTCTTGCCAACCTCTCATCGCATTTTTTGACTGCTTCGTCGCCCAGATACATTTTTCCGATGCCCTCCAATTCTCTTCTAACTGGACTGAAGAACAGCAGGTCTCTGCCAAAATGCGGTTCATCATAGAGGTCCTCGATCCAGCCCCAGTCCCAGAGTGGAGACCGGATGATAGACTCGAACAGGTTTTCGACTAAAACTAACCTCAATTCAGTTGAGTTGACCCTTTGGGTATAAGCCTTGCGGACCAATGAGACAAATACATCCTGTTCGAGGTTCTCCACGAGAGTGCGGCAGGTCAAATCGATGGCCATTAACATCAATTCTTCAATATCGAGATAATCGGCCACTGCAAACATGCGTGCATGAAAAAAAGGTATGCTCTTTGTTGGGTGTAAGAGGCCGACGGATATTTCTGTGTATCTGCCTTTGTACAAAAACTCCAATGCGTTTTTCACGAAAAGGGGGTCGTGATCGTCCAGCTGAATCTTTCCGGAACTCTCCGAAGCCTCCTAAACGAACAAAGGGCGTGTCAGATTAGTGAATGCGCAAGAACCTCACAAGCTGTCATCACTCCACCCCTTACCTTGAGATTACCATTGCAAACATCAAGGAAATATTTTGAAGAAGAGCATAAAATAGCCCTGTGTGCAGGGAACTCGTGCTCACCACAAACAAGGGTTACGTCGCTGTAACTCGAATTCAGGAATTGTCTAGTTTGCGTAAGCGAGCACATCAAAGAGCATTGCAGTCGGGTCTTACTCTTCAATTGAACTCAGAATGAAATTTTGGTTGATAAAGACACTACAAGCATCTTTTGGGTGAACCTTATGTGGAGTCGCCCTCGCAAAGAAGCAATCACATGCTCCACCCGCACTCAACTGACTGATAGTGGACTTCTTGCGGCAATTGATTTCCATGAGTGTCGCCAACAAATGATCTCGAAAGTCAGGGACGTTGGCAAGAAGCTCATCATCAACGAGAGTATAGTCATTCGCTTTGAATGTCTGAAGATTGGCTGTGATAACATCAATCGCAGGGGCTCTTAGTGAGCGATAGGTATCTTGCGCATAGAGCTCCTGAATGAATGCTGCAAACTGATCGTGGTCGAAAAGCGCTCCCATAGAAGCAATCACTGCTCTCATTGCGTGATCTTTGAGTCGGTGGAAAGATATCTCCACAGCTGCTGCATACACTCTCAAGTGTAATATGGATGGATGGAAATTGGTCCAATGTATTTCGGTAGATGAGCCTAAAGGTAGTGGAAGGCGCTTCCGCTTCCTCGGGTTGCGGCCAGAACCGTTCAAATCATGGGCATCGGTATAATCGTCCATTGACACAGACTCGGACGAATATTGGCCTTTGTAAATGAACTCCAAAGCTTTGCGCACCACAAATGGATCAAAGCTGGAGAGGGGGCTTTCTTCGGGTGTTTTCTAGGGATCATACTTTGCTTAGCTGGAAAGAGGCTAGGCAATCCAGGATGGAATGTTTCATGCGTTACCTGTATATTGCGCAGCTGGCTCAGGACAGGCTGAACGAGAATTTTATGCACAGGAAAAACCTCCTTGCCGCAGAAAATCGTCAAGTCGCTGTGATCTGGATTGAGAAAAAGTCTATTTTATTTCAAATTAGCTTTCAGTATCTCGTTAAGCCTCACAGCCAAGCTAGAACACAAACTTTGCAACCCGCTCAAGGATAATACGCTTCCGCTTCTCATGCTCATGTAGCTCGCACTTCATCATGTTTAGACGTAAGGTGGAAGTGGATTGAGTAACGGAGGACGAGCGAGGGAATACCAGCAATAAGTATTCCAACTTTTAACTCTGATTGCTTAGCAAGCCTACGGAAAGCTCAAAAATGTTAGCGAAACTGTTATAGTCTCGGCTCCTAGGAGCCATATGGTCCTGGGGTGGGTATCATTGTTTCTGAGTCTCTCATAGATGTATATAAAGTTGGAAACGGTTGTGAATCTGCTCATGATGTGTATCACTCCTAGGACGTACTCGTGCGCGGGAATTTCAAATAAAACGCGCGATGGGTCTTGTCTCGATTTTTACATGCTTATAGGCTCCTGGGAACCGGGAAGTAGATCAGATAAACCGATGGAATCGTCATTACAATTGACAATTTAGGAAAAGGTCCTACCTGTGTGCTTCGTGTATACCTGTCAGGGATATACATGAAGTATACAGGATGTTTGGAGAAATGATCTGCGGGACCCACATGGTGTATATGGGTGCCCCTGAATGCGAGGAAGCTACCTTTCTTTTGCTTCCTCGCGCTACGTCTTGTATCTAGAGTCAACTATAGCCTTCTTTAATATTGATTACTCATTTACGGATACGTGAGACCCTCACACCATGTCCTGGGAACCCCATCGCTCCTAGGAGTACGTCCTCACGATCCTAGGAGCCTGTGATGCTATACTAAGTGGACGATCTCATTTCGGTGATGACCCCAGCATCACATAAACAGTTTCTGGGATTATGTTTTAAAGAGGCATTGGACTCGAAAACTTGTGGCAGTCAATCCTTTCAAACAAACTTCCGAGATGCCTCCACAGAGAAGACAACTGGCGTCGCATCGCCCGAGCCCTTTACCCTTTTCCAGCATCCATCGAGGTCAGTCTGGAACAGAAAAAAATGCGAGTTGCAAACTAACATCGACACAGGCACACAACACCCGGCACAAAGACTTGAGCGAATTTTTACAAGTATATACGCTGAAATGTCAAAAATGCAACATCAACAGGACGAGGCAATCGTTATGCTACGAAATTGCGACGCCATTTTACGCAAACAAGCGACGGACAAAGCTGGATTGGAGAAGCAAAATCGATGGCTCGTTGAGCGCATCAAGATAGCTCATCAAGAAGCTTGCGATCTAGAGTTCAAGAATAGAGAACTAGAGTACCAGCTGGCGAAGGAAAGGCAAGATCGCCCGGAGCAATCCGCTACCAAGCAGAGTTGAAGCAGAGTCGAACGCCTTCTCGACATACCGGAGTTGCTATTTTCCTCCGTTTATGTTTCGATCGTACTCTGAGTTATCCAGAGAACCAGCTTTTAGGACCAATATTAGTAGATTCGGGTCTGGTTGTTGGCTAGGTGAAAGGTACTGCACGCAATGGCGCAAGAAATATATCGAAGGATTACTTAAATGAGGGAACTGATATCACCGACTGGTTGTGCGGGCGTTCGTCGGTACATTGCTGTGCTTGAGCCAGCAAGAAAATGGCCGGTTGGAGATAGAGCCGACTTGTGACCTCTAGAACTGCAGATAATAACTTTTATTGCTGGCCTCAGAAAAGAAATATAAACAATGATATGCTCAGCCTGCTCTATAAGTAGCCTCGTTCTCCTTTCTCTTCACAATCTGCCAGTAATCAAGCAGAATGCCCCCTATCGGGTCGGACTTATATCGAGGGGTTGCTGAGACTTCTCTCCCTAACTTATATGCCACTTGTGTTGCCTCAATCCTAGCATCCTGGTTGATCTATTGGATTGGACGTGATGTGTGGCGCTGGGCATGGCAAAAATCAAAATGTCTTGTTTTTCAAAAGCACTTGACCAGAGCAAGATTAGGACTAATGAACCCATAAATTGAGAGAATCGCTCCGCTAATTAGCACCGAGTGGATTCGTAGGAAGAAGTCACCCTTAGGTAAGCGGACATAAAATACCGGCGCCTTTAACTGCCTTTCTTTAGCAAGTAATCGAGCACTTGAAATGCGCCGCTCAAGGCTATTAATACTTTGCTCATAATTGAATGGTGCCATGGTAATCCCGATGGTGGCGTATCAGGCTTGATAGATTTCAAAAGGTAACTGGAGAGGCTTGGGACACCTCAGCTACAAACCTGATGTTGGACAAGAGGCGAACTACCTGGATGCAAGTGGCAAAAGCCGTATTAATTGTCTAAGCCAATAAGAGCTCATCTAACGCAATAGCGCTCACGGCCCCCAGTTTCCTACAATATTTTGCACAAAAAGCTGTGGATCAAGCGATGATACTTGCATGGAAGGGTGGATGTAAGATAGAGGGATCGTACCCCGCATAGCAGATTTCTCTGGACTCTCAGTCCGTGGCCACATAGACAGTTGAAACCGGATTTCTCCAACGCTTTCCACGTGGTTACCCCGCGAAACGATATCATGTATCTGACCACGCGTTCTGGGTAGATTCCCCAGCATCGATTCAACCCGTGGAAGAAAGAACGGGTACTCTTCCACGACCTCTTTGTTTCCTATGCTGAGTTTGCTGAGCCGAATTTCTATCCAGTCCACGAGCTCAAAAAGGAAGAATGCCGACACGTAGAGGAATATATCATCGGCGCAGGTGTCAGGGGATAGAGGATCCGGTCCGGTCCAGCTGAAGGAGCACCTGCTCTCATAGCTAGGATAGAATAGGCATTCGATGAAGGCAGGCCTCCCGGCCCCGTATCTTGCATGCTTTGGCATGCTATTAGGTTGGACTAAACGGAGACTGTGGTGGTTGGCTGCGAGACAAGGTGGTGGGGTCGGCATATTGGGAAATTCTCTCCAGATTGAATCAAGGTCCAGATCCAAATCGTGGTCTGAAGAGATTGGCTGTCAGCGCCAACACTAGTCATTGAAGATCATACAACTTACCCATTATATCAAGGTGTCCCATTCTTCGGGCGCCGCACGTGCCAAACTTAACAAAGTCGGTTTGTGAAGAAAAGATAAATCGGAGAGTGAAGACAGCATTGGTGATTTAAAGTCTGTATATATACCAGAATGCCTGACAGGCATTTCGCCGGCGTCACCACACGAGGGGAGAAAAGCAAAAAAGAATTAGGAATTGAAAGTCGGTATATTCGACCAAAATCCCTTGTATGTGCATGACTGGTCTCTAGATTGATGCAGACATGATCGAATTATGACGTTCGTTCAAAGTGAACTACCCATTTATTGACCGTGTGCCTGGGAAATGCCCCACCCAAGACCCACCCCGTTCAACCATCCCTTCCTATCCGTTCATTGTCCGCCCATCTAGTTCAACGTAAAACATACAAGTTCAGCGTCCATCACCATTCTGCAATGTTCCAAGAACTCCCTGGTGTACCGAAACAAAGGCTTGACGACGATCCCAAAGCAGCAGCTCCTGGTTATTGCACCATTGCTGGAGCTTTTCGTTCTCTTTCACTAGCCATTTATTGGAGTTTTGTAGGAACCGGCGTTCCTCCTCCAAGCGTATTTTGCCGGCAGACTTGATCATGTAGCATTCCACAGACACAGATAGAGGTCCAAGAGGGCTATTTTAACACAATCTCTGTCAAGTCAGAAGTCAGCGAACATGCACCACCGGTTCATAAGTGCTGATGGCATATGGATTGTGAATGAGGGACATAATGTGATTTGGCTACCTCCGCAGTATCGTCCGGTGGTGTCCGCAGTAGCAGATTCAACAGTGGCCTTAGCCTGTCGATCAGGTTGTATCTCTGTGATGCGTTTTTCACCGGATGTTAAAGACCCCGAGAGCGCATAAATCATGCAATACGAGGCGTTGAGACACGTAAATGGTTCCGTTATGTATCTTGATATTTTCATGATTTCTTCTAAATCTGTCACAGAACTAAGGGCTTTATCCCTGGGGCTCTGCTTCAGCCCTATACTTCAACATTAAGCCGTATCATCGGGTCTAAACGATAACCCAACTTTGACCATGGGCCCTACTTAAAATCGGGATTTTGCGTTCAAGATAAAACTTGTTTGCTAGACTTTATGGAGTTTGTGTGCGTTCAACAAACTCTGGAAATTAGGAGATCTTGAGTCGCCAAATAATGTGGTAGATGCCATGGTGAAAATTGCCTTTCCGTAGGGTCAACATAATTGAATATTGAGTTGAGCAATATGCCCCACCATCGAGTAACAATTGTATTCTTAATTCTGGTTAATTACAGACCCACTAGTCGTGTGTTTATTGTTACAAAGAATTTCAAGATCTAGCAACGGGCTAAGTCAAGGATTGACTAGCGTAGTTCAGAATAGACTTCAAGAAAATATTGAAGAGGAGAAATAGGTGAAACTGATTTTGAGCGGGTCTGTATCTAGTTAGGTCTAGACAGCGCTCATTTATCTGGCAGATTTGAGGAATGACTACTTGTGCATAATCTCCTGTTGTTTGTCTTTGCTTTTGGTCCATATTTTACTCGCTTCGTGCTATTCCATATTCAAATTTAGCACATCAAATACAGCAACAAAACATCTCGATCAGCCATGTTAAAAAGGCCGCGAAGGAAAATGCTACTGCTAGCCAGGTTGCGGTAAACGAATGAACCCCCAAGCTTACATCCGCTCCGATAGTTTTTACAGCACCTGTAATCAGCCCGTAGATTATAGTAACGCTGATGGATGCGCCGGTGATAAAGATAGTTGCAGACTAAGTAATGGTCAGCTCATCACGTCTAGAAACAATCTACCAGGGACCTACCAAGGAAGAAATGATAAGCAATAATTTTCCCCAAGAGTAAAAGACTGCAGTGACGCCGAAGACAACAGCCAGAAACGTGGAAGCGATACCCAAGATGTAAGCTGAGATGGACCATCGAGAAACGTCATGGTACCCGGCAAGGACCTTGTTATTGTCGTCTGGTAGCACCGCCTCAATAGCTGGGGAAACTGAACCAAAAATGGCCAACAAGTCGAACGAGAAGGAGGTACTTGGCTGTGAGCAGTTGGACACTGTTTCCTTCTGGCCTTGGCAATATCCCCAAAGTCCCACAGAGTAGAAACCTGGAAGATGTGACTTGATTTCGTCGGATAATGATTGAACCTTAGCAGTGGCCTGACTCACTGCAGTCTCTGCGGCACTAGAGGCATAAATTACGGCAGTTGAAGCGCTGCTTACAACGCTGTTCGCCTCACTACTGGCTGTGTTTGCGACATCGGATGCATCCACTCCGGCAATACTGAGGGAGCGACGTAGACGAAAGCTCCCAAGCTCTGGGAGATCGGTCAAGTTCACCTGTTATTCTGTCCTAAGCTAATAAGCCGTTGAGTCTATGGGATGTTGGCTTACCCTTAAGAAATACAATTCATTTGGAGATGAGGTGGAAGTGCATCCTACAAAGACGATGACGAGGCATATCAATGCTGATAACGAAAACACCAAAGGAAGTAGCTTTCCTATGTGTGACAGCATCCTTTTCTACCAGAGCGATGTGCCCAGGAGGGGTTTGAATGTGATGATAAATATCCGTGATGTAAGACTCCCGCAAGCACGTGGAATACGCTTTTTATAAGAGCACTAGCGTATGAGAATTGAAACAAATTACAGGAATTCCCATCGAAAGCATTCATTGAAGGGCAGCAATTTTTTGAGCGCCGATCGCAGTTGAGAACAGGGCCCTCAACAATTTGTCTCCAGCTACTTTCGGTTTCATCTGACAGATCGAGCCAAGGCGAGTGACCTCGCGTTGTAGTAGGTACCCTAGAGATATCAATGCCTTGATCAGCCTGGAAATTAAAAAGTGAGTAGCATTCTGGTTTACGAGCCGGCTAACCAGGGCGAAGAAATTATCTCCCTCCACTTTCTCTGGGAAAATAGACCACCACTCACTTTTTATGTCACTAGAGGAATCCCATCAGCACATCATATTTATGTTGGTGTCTGCTTCCAAAATCTAAGTCGAGATGTTATATTGTACACAGAGAAAGCGCTTTATGCCACCAAAGCGTTCAAGTGGTCCAGCGCGCTGTGGAAGTCGGCCCCAAATAAACCCTGCTCGCTAAATCCAACATGCCGCGCTTCACTCAAGCTCAACTGGAAGACGACGAGGGCAAGTTGTTTGCCTATAGTGAGGAACATTTCAAGATGGCCGCACTTATTGATATTTCTCGCCTCGTGTTAGACAAAACCTTCAAACGGCAAATGAGCAACCGTCATAATTGCTTGACAATGATTACTGACTTGCAGAGTAGTGTATACGAAATTTGGAATAGCATGGACTTCGAGCTTACTCGGATTTATCGCTGTCCTACTGCTCCCCATTCCTTGAGTTATCTTTATTGGAGGTGAATGCTGGAGAGCGGAAAGCCATCAACTATCAGTCTGAAGTTGAAGATTTCTGGGGAATATTCTAGTCTGAGATCAAGCCGTCATTTATGATCAATTGAGTAGACTAACTCTACGTCGAACTACCACGCTCTTGCTCTTCCATGAAATTCAGTTAATAAACAAATTTATATTACCAGCCCCAGCTTTTTCTTCCACAAACCTCACCTTTTTAACCGCTTTCCGACCATATTGAGATATTCCTCTTGACCAGGATACAGTAGAAAACTTTTTATCCTTGATGAACATACACTTGATTTTTAGTCCGTACCCAAAACAAGCAGAATATATCTTATGATAATTGGATACTTGTTGGCCACTAATGAACATATGGCATTTACGACTTAGCTGAATAAGAAAGCCATGTATTGATTATGGCGGGAGATCAGATCCTTAGGGGTCAAACTGTTTTCGAATTCTACGTCACCATTTTTCAGTGTGCCTTAGTCTTCAGAGGTTGTATATCACATTACTGGAAAAGGTCCACTCTTAGGTAAAGCCGTGATAACTTCTAGACGGGGACTTGTTTGTAATAAATATGCATGAACTCTCGTTCCACAATTGTACTGTAAGCGAGTGTTCACGATGACAATGACGTCTTCATGATTCTAGAGGCCGAACTACAACGAGGCTGTTTTGAAATCAATCAACCAGATTATCGTCTGTATCCATGCTCTGTCTCGCATCCTTGCCTTTTCTGAGGCCTACTATCGTGAACGAGACTACTCGGAAACCCACTGTGCTTATGTAGCCAATGAACTCACGGCGTTGAACACATCATTGCTCATCTATCAGCAGGCGAAGAACAGAATCGAGACTTGGAATTTAGCTTCAGTGAGGCCCTTCGTGGCTCTGCACTTATATTAAAGTACCAACAATGTCTCAAGCTTCTGGGGCTTTCTATACTTCCCACGTTACAGCCACGCTTTCAATATATATTGACAAGGCGAAAATCAAGGTAAGTGAGACTATCATGCCTTTCCCCCAAAGATGAGCTGCATATACTCTTAGAGCGTGATTGTATACCAATGATCTCATTCGCATTCGTCCCAAATAACGTGCCGAGAAATTGAGTGGCGTCAATGTCTGTGGGATGCAAATTTCGGACCCCACTGTAGTAGACATAAGTTGCTTGATTGAATTAGTGTTTGCTCTATTCCGCGTGAAAATACTTCGATCTACGGCAGAGCACTTTACACAATCACGAGAGAGAAAACAGAAAAGGCAACCAAGGGTGTTCATCTCATTTGCTAAAATCGTAACATCAATGTATGCTGATAGCTTGATAATTTGTAAATGTCGCGGCCGTTACGTACCACATTACCCCTAATGAGCTTCTCCTCAACTACCCAACCGCAAACCAACAAGCTGATTCAGCACTCCGAGTGGAAAGCAAACAAGCCAGAGGACGAGCTTCCAGCAAGCTTCACTTGGTATACTCTCGAGTGGCAACGAAAAAACAGTACATATAAACCATGAAATAGACAATCTTGTAAGATATCCTGACGAATGATAGTATGCACCATTATATGAGGAGTTTGATTCAGATAGCCCATGAGAATCTTGGTATAGATACCCAGAAATTCACACTTAGACACATCGTAACCCAAACATGATCAGTCCTTGAACCAAGCATTTATGTCGAACCCTTTAGCAATGCCGACTATACCGTTCCCATCCACTTCAACATTCTCGATCCTTTGGTATGTTTGACCGGAACCGCGAAAAGGTTTAGTGGTGCCCCTAAAAAGCCGGCCGTTGTTCTGGGTTCTGATTCGCTGTCCGGTCCGTAGCCAATGGATCTCCGTGCGAAGCACATCAAGGAAATTCTGCGAGTCTTCGATTTCATCAGTCTGCTCGAGAACCTCACGAACGATGCCATTAAGCATTTCCCACTTCTCCCGAAGCACGTAATTGTCCCAGTCCATTTCCTTAATCAAGTTTGACATATCGCTCTCCATGGTCCGAAGTACGGTATTTTGCTCCTGGTTGATGTTCTCTGACATAGAGAGGGAACGCAGTCTTGAGAAAAGTCCAGATTGTCAGTTCGCTATAATAGGAATGCAAAGGTTGAAAATAACATACAGGGAAAATTCCACCGCGTTAAAGACAAGCTTTTTCCACCGGTCGAGCCGTTTACTCAGCAACTGCACTTGAAACTCTCCAATAATACCGAAGCTAACACGGTCAAATTCACGCGCTGTTCCATCCACTGGCTGGTCAACAAATCCCCGAAAAACCTTTTCGAATTCATCGCATGCCCTTGCGCAGTCTGACATGTTCGAACAAAGATAGCTTTGAACTTCCTGCGTGGCCCTGGCTGGGGTCGCGTCAGAGGCGGGTAAAAGGCGTTGTAGAACTTCTTCAAGAGAATCCAGTCGAACCAGAAGAATGGCAAACACCTGAGGCGTGTTTTTGGCTAATTTGATATGCTGTTTCAGAGCACCGATATTTATTTGGGCGTCTCTTGCAGCTAGTGCAGTAGCGTCGGACACAGTGATTGAGTTGGCCATTTCCAATGATAGTGAAGCCAATCGAAAACTCGATGAAAAGGGATCAGCTTGAGGTAAAAATAGATTACGTGACAAGATAAAGACGCTGTTTTTCTTGAACGTGGAAGAGGAGGGATGTCCGCTAGGCGAGACCAATCTTAAGTAAAAGTGACTGGCTCAATAGGAGTTTCGCTTTGAGGTGACAGGCGAGGACGAAGGAGGCAATGATAATTCAGCAGACGGGGTGTAGAAGCGGCTTTATAGACTTCTTCCTCTCATATGTTATCAAACATATAGGTCACTAACTTACAGGTTATCCATCTAAGCAAGTTTTGGCTCCGCTCCTGGAGCCTACTACTGCTCAGAGATACCCAATGGCATCCCGAGAAACAAGACCCGAAACAAGCATGCTGCACTTGATGGGCCCGCCCATCATTTGCTCCTAGGACCCATCTACGAGTTCCTAGGGCTCAGCAGCCCTTGAGAATCTATGGGGCGCTCCTAGGGTACTCAATTGGTCGAGATGACTCATGACGAACATAGAGCAAATCACAGGCACCTTGAACCGCCTATCACTTTGTTTTAAATATAGTGCGAGTTAGATGGCTGCGTGATGTCGAAAAGAACAATCTATGCAGCAGGGACTATCTAGCAGGCACCGTAACAGGCGTTCTGAACATAAAGGTAAGCTAAATTCTCTATTATTTGTTCCTGGGAGTCTGTAATCTTTCTAGGATTCTCTACGCAACGTGTCAGAGATCGAGCATATATAGTAGCTTGGGTATTTGGTTGCTGATCAACCATTGCGCCTTTTTGGCCAGCTGGCGTAGTGGTACAACCCAAGCACCCGCGATCCGTCATTCAACATTAACTAGTTGTTCCTAGGAGCAACAATAGCATCAATACAGTATACATTTAGTAGAGGTTTGCACATTCATTCCACATGTCATGTTGCTCCTAGGACCCATTGCATGTGTTCTGGGGTATGTGTACGCGCGTCGAGCCTGGTGATGCTAGGAGCGCTGTATGTCGCCTTCTGCTACAAGACTGGCTGTTGTTAGGACTATTCCATCGACCACCACTTCCAAGATGAGCTATAAATACTGGTTGGATACCCGTAGAAGTTAGATTATCACGAGTTCCACGGAAAATGAGCTATTATAATAAGTCGGCTTTTATTTTTGCTCTGGCTGAGTCCTCAAGCTCATTCAGCGCCCAGTTCTAATCTTGAGATATGGGTATGTTTCTCCAGGGTTCCAAGACGGCCAGTGGGAAACACGAGTCTCGCCAGGAACTCTTCTGAGAGCGTGCCATCCATAACAAGCATGAGGGTTCTGCTAAGGCCAAAGCCCTTTATCATAGGCGCGTGAAACTCTGGATCGGGTACATAAGTCGCCACGACATGTTATTCAATTTTCCGTATTTGCTGGCCCCACAGGTTTCTTGTTGACACCGGAAGGGTTCTAGATAGCTATGAGAACAAAAAGGGGTCTACTGCTCCCGATGCTGACTTGATCAAGGCTTTCATCCGCTGGTAGAGCACGGGTCGAAAACAGTTTCATTATTTTGTTCTCTTTGATGAATTTTCAATCTGTATTATTAGCGATACCAGGGTTAATATAGTTAATCGATGTTGGTAGGTTCATAAAGGTCCAAGCCAGATATAGACTAAAGCGGGTCTGGCCAAGATTTTAGAAGAACAAAAGTGGATAAAGTGGTGAAATTGATTTCGAGCGGACCTGTACGTGTTTTGTACAAGAAGAGGTGCTCGCATAGGCGTGTTGCCCATCATAAGAAGCTTTTTGGTATGTATCGAGGGGTCATATGCTAGGCTTCAGGCAATCGTATGGAATTCGCTATTGAAAGAGAAATTGTTAGAGAAATTTGGGTCAGTATAGCGAGTTGTGAAGGCTAGACGATGCTATTCTCTCACAGTGGATTGATCAATTGACCACCCTCAAAATGACACTAGACCGTGTTGCACCAGTCACTTTTATTCCTGGGGGCTTACTATTTTAGGAGCCATTTCAATCATTGTAAATTCCAAGGAAGGATGTACCGTACGAGCAGAGTGCCGAAGCTGCCTGGTTAACATGGTTCAAATTGACAGAATATACAGAAAGATAAACAAAAAGAAGCCGGGCTAGCTACTGCTCTGGTCAAGAAAGCGGTAGGAAAATCAGAAAATATACTTTTTAGCAAGAACACGCGGAGAGCTGGTTTAGTCTATTACACTTTATTTTTACTTGAGAGGATTTAAGTAATAAACAGGCAATTAAGTGGTGGCAGGGAGATTGGAGTGTAGATTCGACGAAATGAACAATCTGCTCAGCCGAGGTTTGGAGTAAACATTGTTTGTAGTTACTCGTTTTGCACACCATCACAATTCTGTGAGATTTTAATATGACCAAATGAAACAAATTGTGAGGCTAGATCGGTTGAATAAATTAAAAATATGATTGTTTGCATAGAAAACAATTGACCAGGTTGATTACCCCGTCGAGTCACCCCTTCCTATCTCGCCTATGAAATCTGGTTAATGAATCCATTTAATTATCAGCCTCTACCACTTTCTGTCCATAAATCTCCCTTTCCGCTTTCCAGCCACCTTGAAATGTTCCTCTTGACCAGGGTAGCAATTGCCCAGTGTGTTTCTGTTTAATCCTCTTAAACCTTTGAGGCTGATTATTCGGTTCAGGCGTTAGCACACATCGAGAATAACCTTTCTTTTGCGGTTTCAATAGACACACCGTCTGCTAGATCTTATGATTTCATCTTTGAGAGCTCGCAGCGTCAAATTAAGGCTGGTGAATTGAGTGATCATTTAGCTATGCCACTCATCTACTAATGTAGGTCTGCCGATATTTTCCAGTTTCAGAACTCTTATCATTCCTACATATCTCTTCCGGAAAATGAAGGAAAGGGTAAGTCTGATAACGCTTGGCGTGTCAGGACGGTGGACGCCGACTTAGATCTCGCGGAGGCATGCCAACGGTTTTGAAGTCTCGCGTCACAAGGGCAGCAAATATAGCCGGCAACTAGGCCACTGCAGGCCTCGATGGAGTTCCAAGTAGTACCCGTTTTGTCGACCACCAGCTTTGTTTCGAAGATCCAGTATTGACAGGACGGTACTGTACTTGATACTTCTCGAAGAGAATTCTCCTGTGCATTCAGGTCACTGGGCTTTCTCACCTCATACTTTACCACATCAGCAGAAGTGGAGGTGCACCGGTAGATTTTGCGTTGCTTTCCCCCCGATCTGCGCTTGTACCTAGCCATAGCAACGCCTTCTATTTCCGTCTTATTTGGTGCTTCATGGAATAATACACTGGGGTCTCCCTATATTGCGTAGTGCCTGGCGAGAAGGTATTGGAGGATTTTAACTTGGTAATTGAGTTGAACCATGAAAATCTTTCTACCGAGGGAGTATATCTTCATTAAACAACGAGGATGAACTAGAAATTACTAGTTGAACTCAATAAGCCAATGTGGCCTTTATGGTGGCCCCCCAGACTAGCTCACAGACCGACTCACAGACTAGCTCACTATTGGGTTGCTGTCTAACGTCCCCAGAGCGCTGGATACTGACATCCAATAAAAGCCACCGTAGAGACCCGCTGCTACAGCAAGTAGATGATCCAATGAATACAATCATCACTGACCAGCGTCCGGCTAAACCGCCGGCCGCAACCCATGGTCACCTCTAGACCGTCTCAGGACTGGTCTGGGCTTAGAATGATTGGGCTAGAAGAGAAGTGGTTCGAAGAGCCAGTTCATATGACGTGTGGCCCTCTGTGTCCCCTGTGCTCTTCAGCAGGCCATACTGTGACTAATTTCCTCTCAAGAGGATTCTCCTATGAGCCAAATCCTCTTGAGAGAAATCTCTTATTTTCTGCCTTCCAAGCAACTCCTAATCTTGAAATAAGGTAGCTATGAATTATCTGTTGTCAACCCCCTTTCATGTTACCACTTCCAGTATACTCTACATAGCTTTATCATAGACACAAAAGCAGTCTCTCATCTAAGTACCGCTCCTATTAGATTTCTCTCGGGCTGCCATACGTCTTATCTGTAGTAAGCTCTTGTTTCAAGCCACATAGGTATTCACGTGGCCTAAGATGTATCTCATGAGCGCCTAGGATCCCTTCCATCTTCTACCCGGTCTAGTACGCGAGATGCCATCCATAGAAGGTTCTTCTCCTTTACAAGTCGACCTTCGGTCGCCAGCTTCTTTTCCTCGTGCTCGGCCACCACAAACAAGGCGTTGCTACCATCAGCAGTCGCTGCGCGGTAGCATTGGGCCGGCCTTAAGTTGTGTAAATCCTTATCGTACAGTGAGTAATTTTTCCATAAATACTTCTGCGCCACTCGTTCCATCAACGATGGATTAGAGGGATCTATGTGGAGACGGTCAGACCGCCTCCACTCTCCTCGTTCAAGGGACCAGACCTGGATCTCAATGTAATTTTGAGGGACCTGCTCTTCGGCCATCCTTAGTGGCATATGATTGGCCGCGCGGGGTGTATGGGCACGCAGATTTTCAACAACTTGCGGAAGGGGTGGAAGATCTACAACGGGGTCCAGCGATCCTGACCGAACATGTTCTGCTGGTGTCTCATCGGTGATGGTCTCTGAAGCAGCTGCAAGATCGAAGGCTTCCCCAGTCACAGACTCCTGCGGTCGATTTTCAGAGCTCGACGATGATGGATCCTGTCTGTTTTCTAGTCGAGAAGTCTCCTCGTCAGGTGGCTGCCCTGGTAAGCCAAACTCTTCGTTCAGCCGCTCATTTTCCAACCTCTGTTCCAATTGTTCCTGTTCTTCCTGAGCTCTCCTCAAGCCGGCAAGGAATTCATCTAAATTGACTTGTGGGAAATGGTTTGCCTCTGACTCTGGATAAACTCGCCGTACCTTACCATCGACCCATGTCTGTTCATCAGGAGCGTCGTTTTTATCAGCTTCTTCGACTATTGTTTGCTCTTCCTTGTCCTCGACGAGCGGAATTGCGTCCAAAGAGACTCTTGTGCAGTCACTCCTGCTATCTTCAGCATCCAGCACAGCAGAGACATGGGAAGATTGCGTGATAACCATCACTGGTTCGACTGGCTCCGGCTGGCTTTGAGGCCTGACTGACATAGAATTCTCTTCAAGCAAACTGATTCGGTCTAGTATAACCTCGTCTTGATTTTCCATATTTGGAAGTTCCGATTCCGTTGGTTCTTGGTCCATATCCTCCGCCGGGCCCAAGACAGGTTGGCGTATTTGAAGATTTCGCCTTCGTCGACGCCTGGCATCTTCTTTCCGGTCTGTCCGCAATGGCCGCTGGCTCTCACTACCTCGTTGTTCTAAAGCAACTTCAGCCGTCTGCTCCTGTGGTTTCTCCTGTGCCTCCTGAGGATGAGAGTCTGGTGCAGGGGTATGAGTAACAAGGGGGTCATCCTCTTCAACGAACATTGGCGAAGGAGGCATATCCCCCATTCCTTGGCCTGGGTAAGTGTCATCCTCTTCGACGAACATTGGCGAAGGAGGCATATCCCCTAATCCTTGGCCTGGGTAAGTGTCCTCAGCTTGGTTGAAAGTGCTAGTCGCAATCCGTGCAGACTTTCCAAAAAATGCAAAATATACACAACGACGGACGAAAAAGCTGGTGATATTGTCGCCAACCTCAACATCAGCGTGCAAAGGGTCCAAGAACAGCAAGGGTCCATCTTGCTTGTGGGTCCGTGTTTGTGGCTCCCCAGAACGAGACTTTAGCTTCATTGCGCTATCCGCCAGAAGGCCCTGAGGCTGCTCTGGTCGGTCGGGAACTGCCTTGGCGAAGCAGCTCACGATCTGATTGACCAAAAGATCAAAATCCTGATCATCGTATCGATACCGGTTGGGCTTTCGGGCTTGTAGGAGAGCTGATCGTGCGATCTGATGATCGGGTGAACTCTTGATCAGTGCATCGATTTCAGTGGATTGAAAGCCAAGCTGGTGGGCCAGTTCAGCCATCTCGTAAATCGCTCTCTCATCGGGCTTGGCACGAGTTGATTTTGCCAACAACTCGTCATCACTCTTTGGGTCCGGGGGCATCAGCGTATAGTGCCTCATTGCATAAAGCCATATTTGTAAATATCCTGTCTCGAGGCGTTCCATATCAGTTGCCGGCTGGCGTCGGAAAGTAGATTCGGAAGTCTGGATGAGGGAATCCGCGGCCCCTGGAGTCGCGGTTCCCTCTTCTGAGGGTGGAATGAATATTGAACTCATCGTTCTCCAGATCGACATATTGATCGGACCACAGAGCCGCTTGATACAGTGGGCACAGGCCTCCAGGTACTTGAAGTCTTCGAAAAAGGTATACAAAGACGGGATAAGGCCATCATAATTCTGTACTCGGGACCATATGATCCGTCGCTCTTCGTCGCTGAACTCAGCAAATGCTTGGCCGCTCAGGATCATTCCACAGGCTGTGTTCCCATCCGTCCGTGATTTACCGGGTGCCAACAGCTGCAGGAGCTCCACAGTATTCTGGTCGATCTTCTTGAGTGAAGCGTGGTCCGAAGCAACCAAGGAGGACCAGAAATCCCAGATATGATGCAAATAATTTATAGACTCCTACGATGGACAAAGCTTTCGATTAGTACGGTGGAAGAAGCCAGTTTTTGGAAACTCACTTCAACACAGCCGGAGGCTATCAGTCTGTGAACTACACTGATCCTCATCCCACCCGGCCAAAGCCCAGGTATCGTGAGTAGCCTGTCAAAGGCACCTCGAACACGGCGATTTTTCTTGTTATCCAGTTGATTCAAACGCTCCTGGTTGTTGCGCGATAGACGTACAAACCATCGCTCTCTAAAGGTCTCATCGTAATCACCCTCGTATTGTCGAATCTTGCGATAGATTTCACCGTCCGTCGGCTTTCTTTCATTTGCGTATTCCTCCACCAAGGAAGTTCTGAGCTGTGCGCCAATGTCTACCATGACTGTCAGCACATGATTAGCCATCTTTTCTCGACACAGTCACCATCTGAGTAAAGATCCACCGTCCACCAACGATCAGCGGGAGGTAGCACCTCAGCTGCGGCCTGGACGCGGTGACGACCATGAAGTCCAAGAAGCTGCCCTTCCAGAAAACTAATTCTGGGTAGCTGACGAGCATCCGTCGTCAATAGTGATTGCTGTGATAAGTTTGCCTTCCTCAACGCATCGGCGAGATCATGCGGCGATACGATAGCAGGAACATGATTGTCAACATCCAGGCGGCGACAACGATTCTGGCGGAAAACCCTACGAAGTCGATCCAAAGTTTTTGAATCTAGATCCCGAGGCAAAGGAGGATCAAATTTGATGTGGGTAATGCTGACTTTCGCAGTTCCAATATATTTCAGTCGCCGCTCACGTGCCAGTTGCACCTCTTCTTCAGTAAACAGAGCGCGGCTCATTGCACGATAAGCAATGGGAGATAATAGGATCTCACAGCGTAACTCGGGATTGAGCTTCATCTATACTTGTTCGACCAAGTCCAGCTAATCTGCCTGTCGTGGTACTTTTTTGTTGCCACACCCCTGCAGGGCCCTCAGTGACCCTCAGTGACCCTCAGTGACCCTCAGTGACCCGCAGTGACCCTCAGTGACCCGCAGTACATCACTCCGGGAGCCATTGAAAGAGCACGATAAGTAGTGCTTTGCAAAACTATCTTTCTTCACTTTTCTACCTAGATTGCACTATGAGAAGCTTCATCATGAAGTCGAACGCTGACAAGCGAGCCACAAGAGTCCAGCCTTCTAAGGTTGCACTGCTACCGCAGCTTCCACCTGAAAATGAAGGAGTATTGCAAATCTCCAACCCGGAATCGAAGTATAGCAATCACGTTCCCAGTTCCCACCCACACGCAACTAAACCCCCTTCATCCTCACCCCAAGAGCTTTGCGGCAAGGTTATCAGAGATACATCACGAGCCTTGGCTCTTCAAGCAAACAGCCGTTCTGACTCGGATTTTAATGTACGGAATGAGTCTCCTTGGGACACTTACAAGAAATACTACGAATGTGATCTAGCTGGAACAGTCATCGTATGTGTCCAAGCTTCCGATGGGTGTGCTGCACGAGCAATCCGTCCATTCTCAAAAATGGACCGTGACAAAATCCTCAAAATTCTCCGTTCGACAAACCATAAGAATGTTGCTTCCGTCTGGGAATGTTTTTGCACCTCAGATTCCTTGTACACTCTAAGCGAATTTGACCCGCTGTCACTGGATCATATTGTTGCCTGCAAGGCTTTCCCAGACCAGCAACAGCTGGCTGCTATTATGTCCCAGGTTGGTGCCTCAGATGTCTTTGAACAAATCGACCGAATCGTTGACAGAGTGCAGTTTCTGGAAGGACTGGCTCATTTGGTAACCCAGGGCTTCCGTCATACTGCTTTGGATTGTTCCAGTATTCTCATGAGCCTTAGTGGGGAGGTCAAGATTGGTAAGCTGAATGCGTGAACATTTTTGGGACTGTTACCTGACGGAATGAATAGCGCGGATTGACTGCTGCATTCCCCGGCAGACAGACCACACTCTGGCGAAGGATCTTGTACCTGCATCGAGAATCATGATGGAATTGATGCAAAAATACGTCAAGGACGACGGGGCAGTCGGGATTGATGATCTTGAGCGCTGGCAAGCTTGCCCGGCTGCTATAGAATTTCTTTTCGCGATTACCTCGGCCAGCTCATTCGAAGAACTAAGAAATGTTTGTGGCCTGCCCAGTAGCCTCGCTCTGCAATTACTTACTGCTTTTCAGGAACCGTTTTTGACAGAAACTCAATGGTGTCTCGGCGACCTTATCGGCCTTGCTTGGTTTGCTCTGATATCCGCCCGTACGTTCTACTCGTACACGCCGAATTGAAATGAAAATCCAGCGCAAAGAATGGGGGCAGGGTGCACAGTCTTAGGTCTTTGGAAACAGTTGAAACGGAAGAGGACATTCGGACAAAGCGTTTATCTCACACTATAATCAAGCTTTAAAAACAAATTGATTTTCAAGTGTATGACAGCAGGACAAAATATCAAGTACTGACAAATTACCCGGCTACAATAGAACATGCGGGGCTATCAACGAATAAGCCTTCATTTGGTAAAGTTTCACGACACCAGGAGTCCCTAGTCCCATTAGTACTACACTGTCGGAGTTCTAGCTGAGAAAATCTGTCATTTTGCGCATTGCGTCATTTTCTGCGTCTACCGCTTCCCAAGAGTCCTGGGAGAGTTGAACCTTTAATGCTTGTTCGTCCTCATTCTGAATGCGCGCCAATTCCTCGGGCCGGAGAAGACCGACATCATTATTGAAGAGAAATTTATGAAGATCGTCTGTCACTTGTCCAAACATAAGAGATTTTACCATAGATTCCGACGCTTTGAATGTACGCACAGTCCCCGAACGTGTCTTTTGAGAGAAAGCGACGAAAGCCTTTATCTGAGAATTAGTGAACGACTTGCTGCGCCTATTGACAAAGGTCAGCCGAGTCATGCGATGAAACAAAAGGATACATACATGCTGTTAACCAAAGAAGTATTGCCCAGCAAGAGTATGCCGACTCCTAGAGTACTTGCAAGCCTCCACCACCATCTGCCGTGGCGTACATGATAGCCTGCCACCCTATCGCGCCGGCACTGCATCGATTTTGAGTAACGAGGATCGTCCTGATAAGCAGCAAGGATGCTATTCAACACTTGAGTTGTATTGGCCTTTGATGAGGAACAGGAAGGGTGTTTGTTCGGGTGTCTGCAAAGCTCCTCGTAATTGAAGTATAGTAATACCTGCCCAATACGTTTTGCGATGGGGTTCAAATAAGGTGAGTTCTCGTCATCATCAAGTATTCGAAGGTAGTCCGCAGCTGCATATATGCCTCTCCATTGCAACGGAAGTCCTAGCGCCGGCAACTCAAGTGACTTATGAGAATTCCAATGGTCAAATAGGGGATGTAGTATTTGACCGAGATCTTCCGCGAGGAGAGAATGAGCACTGGCGTCGAGAACTCCCTGGGCTCGATTTTCATCGAGCGTGGCATCGCAAGAACGCAGTAGATATTTCAAAGTTTGCTCTGCAGAACCAAGCGTCATTGGAGCGACTGGATGGTCTCCTCGGGTGCTGACAAGCTCGTTCATGCTTTCTGCTTGGATAGCCGAGAGCCGTCCGGCTAAAGAAATAGGTTCCTGCCTCACACCGAGTTCTTCAAATCCACAAAAAGGCGGCGTTAGATAGCATGAAAGTCCTCTATCGACACCAGACGTGAAGAAAGGTGTGGGCGACGCTATCGCGGTGTCTCGCTCCGAACTGGGGACCTTGCTTTCATCTTTATTCAGACAGGAAATAAGAGGCGTCGAATAAGATGGTGCCTCATCACCAGGTGTAAATGTGTTTGCGGGACAGGCAAGAATTAGTTCGCTCATGGGAGACGCACTTTCGGAGGGAGTATCGGTGGTGGAGAATGAGCAGTCCGCAAGGCCAATGTCGGTGTTCTCCGGTGAATTCAAATAATCTCTCCACGATGAAGAATCAGCGCACAATGATGATGCGTCAGGTATCGGACAAGGGCTGGTAGGAGGCTGAGGTGGAAGAAATGGAGCGGGTTGAAAGGCATCAGTGGAACAGTTCTCTTCGTAGACGGTGAACAATTAGATAAGGTGAGAAAGATAGGGATCGAAGTTAGTCTTACCTGATGATACAAAACTATCTTGGATGGCTTCTGATACCAGAAAACCATCCACAAATCCAGCTGACTCGAGTCCGATAGCCACTGTGAGCATCTGAGGCCTCGTCAACTTCCGAAGCTGTTCCAAATCAGCCCCGAAGCGCCGAACAAACTACCGAAAGTTAGAACAAAGTATAGTCACTGTAGAGGGTAACTCACAGCGGAAAGTTGTTTCCTATCCAAAATGTGAGGGTGCACTGCCCCATCGCGTTCCTGATACGTCAGCTACCAGCTCCTGCGAGTGCCTAGGGAGAGAGTGCTCACCTCGAACTGGACCATGACATTAAATGAGGTGTGGCAATCATTTCGAAATGTTGACGAATAAGACGACCCATCGAGGGCAGTCAGCATGTGCCATCGGGTAAAGCCTGCCCATTTAGCGCGCTCCAACACTTCCGCCATCTGCCTCTTATGTAATTGTCCGACCTTTTCCAGGTTTTTGCCTAAACGGTTCACTAGCTATTTCTTGGATAAGTACCATTCACAAGCGATCTGAGATTCACTTACATCGGAGGAGTCATCTTCAGACCACTCTTGACCGCATTTCGGGTAAGAATCCTTGAGAGAGATGTGAGAGAAGTTATTGAGTAAAGGACGAGCATTTACCTTGAGACCGACGTGGAGAAACTTCATTGACGGTTTGAGAGCCCAAAATAGCAACCAATTATTACAGATGAGGAAATGAGGGCGAGTTGTTGCTAATGAACGTAGAAACAGGAGGAGAGGATGCTGTTTGGCAGCTGAGAAGAGAATGCCAGCCTGACCTATTAAAACAAGAGGGAAGCAAGAGGTGGTGAACAGGACTTATAAGAGCTTCGGGGGCGACCAACCCTCCAAAAAAGCAGGGTGCCTAAAATAACCATGATGAAATCGTTGAAATCGACGCAATCGTGGTCCGCAAAGAAGAACAAGGGTGCAAGCGCCGGGTCGCTGCAAGAAAGACTCACGATGCATGCGCCCAGAAAACCAGCTCACGATATTTCTCAGAGCGAGCAGAAATTTTTCACCCAAGAGGAAGTTGAGGGTGAAGAGTGGGAGACTCCGAGAAATGACGGAAGCATGGGCAATGAACCCACCGGTGTTTGCCCCGCTCGCACTTAAGATAATCTCGCCCTCGCGGCACCTCTTCGCTGTACGATCTTGAAGCATATTAGGAGATTTATTTATATTCCAACTGAAGGTAAGTCAATCTCCTTCCGTATCCCGTCCGTCTACAAACTCAGGCTCTGGTGTGGTCGCGTCGGAATCAAAACATGTGGCTAATCAGCTGGCACTACCTCAGTGGCTGAAACAGAACACGGTCAAAAAGGAACACGACCAAAAAACGGAACACAATCAAAAGAGGAACACAATCAAAGAAGAAGCCTTGTGAGAGGATTGAGGGGAGGTTGTGTCCTGCTAGCCAATACTCGTTTCTAGCATCAAGAAAAGGAATGACACTGCAAAATTTACAAGTAAAAGTGATATTCATGAACCAATCAAATAGCATCCACGCATCCGCTATCGAACGTTTAGCTTTCTACGCAAATTCGTAATCGCACATCCGCTTCATCCCTCTACTGAGGCTGATATTCTAGTTCTAATAGCGTAACTCCCTGATGCAGAAAGCCTCTTGCAAGGTCGCGTAAACGATCCCGAAGACCATCGGCTGCGGAAACTACATATAATATTAGAATTAGCAACGGCCAAATGACATGGAAATCTTCTCACCCATTACGAGAGTTCTGCCTGGCTCATCCGGGGTGTTAGGCAGTCTCTCTATTTGGCTCCCAGAGGCTTCGGTTGAAATTATTTTGCGATAATCAGGAACACCCTGGTAATAGCATATTCTTTCGTGCTTTCCAACCGGTGTTCTGCTATTTGCAAGGCCGTGCTCCACGTAAATGGATATACTGAGTATCTAGTAGAGTCTTTTGTCAGTAATTAGTATGAGCTTTGAGGGAGATGCAACCGACATAGCCCTTATCTATTATATCGTCTTCGAGGATATCATCAAGCTGCTCTTCGGCCACGCTCACCATTTCTTCATCATTAGCTTGGGTCTAAGAAGGGATCATAGTAAATGCACACACCGATTGAATCTACCTGCCAGACTAGATGAAGGCGACGAGTATGGGACGTACATGTATTGTAGCCATAAATGATTTTCTTGAGATATGGAATCGATGTCACGATGCCGAACTCGGTCGCAATGATCAGAGTGGTTTCGTACGAATCCACGTCCTCGGTTATTCCATGAGGCCCGGTGAATAAGGCCAAGAATGATATCAAGCTATCTGTGGGCAGGGCACCACGACGTACGAGATTTGCAGAGAAGCCTTTTCGAGGTTGCACGAGTAACTTCAGGGTGTCCTGTTTCCCCTTGGACCAAGATGTGACGGTGAAGGGATGTGTTTGGGTCCATGACCACAAACTGACCGCTGGCATCCAGAGGTTGATGTATTGGCCAGGCTCAACCTGCACTGGGCGTGGTAAAATAATTTGAATATTTGCAGCTGTTGTGTTACAAAAGCTCTCCCTTCGTATGTTTCTGCTTGAGAAGGATATAAAGGCTCGAGGAGCACCCCGGCCAGAAAAGATCCCGTTGCGGTATAAAATAATCACCAATTCCAGAAGTGTCGTTAGCCCTAAGATGCTTAGTGTAACATAGACGTACAGTCTTGCCGAGCCGCTATGGCTCGGAAGATGCTGCAAGGTACCATAAACAAAAACTCCGGCAAATATCTGATGGCTTCGAAGAAAAATTTCGTAGGACCAACGACGAAAGTATGGAATAGAGAAGAAAGCTAGGATTCCGAGTACAGATGCACCCTACGCCTGTCAGCTAGAGTAAATTAATTCTGTATTAAGAAGGGTGCTTACGATCACAGTGAGCAGATTTCGTGTCTCACGGAGAGGAAAATTTAACGTTTGGCCTAGAAGTTCGGCGATGATGTGAAATGACAGCAGAGCAACAGCCATCCAGCCCGTTGCTCGATGAATCTTGCAGCAAGAGCGCCAGGAGATTCCAAGTAACCCTGCCAGAAAACTAAGATGGGCAGCTGATAGAGGAAATACGATGTTGATGAGGGCCAGCTCACTTGCCCTGCGGCCCGAGTCTACGAGCGACTCGGTACGGAAAAATACCAGAGCGATGTTGACGGCGATATAAGAGACATGAAGGAGGACACCAGCTCGGGACCATGGTCCAAGGATACGGTGCCTGCGAACGAGGTCAGGAAGGGTCAGATATCCGGAAAGCAAAACAGAAATTGATTCTGTCCAGTGAAATAGGACATGACGAGTCTGGATCAGAAATAGAGCCAGAAATATACCGCCCGCAGCAATTGCGTAAATGGCAGGTACTTCCATACTCAATATGGATTCATCTGACTGCGAAATCAAATGAAGAAAGGAACAAGCGAGCCCGAGGGAGACGAGAGAAAGAGAGCCATTTTATATTATGAACAGTCGCTGAGGATGGCTTCGCTGCGGTGGGTCTCCCTATGGGAAAAGGGTCGCAGGGGAGATGCACCTCAGTCCTTCAGTTGACTGCGCTGGCCCTCAGGCACCTGGCTGGGAAAACATGATAGCCTGTTCTAGCTTCAGCAAATATAGAGAGACGAGCGAAGTTTGTTCAAAAAGCGAGGGAAATTGTCCTGGAATGTGAATCCGATGTCTTTGTGGCTGTCCCAACCCGTAAAAGTGGGCAAATATATATTTAACTCTTACATGCAAAACCGGTGGCTTAAAGGCCTTTCAAACCTGATACATACACTTATTTACCTTTTTCAATGACCAAGTGACTAAAAAATGGTACAGGAGTTTCAATATCCTCGTCTCATCCGCGAGATCGGGTGAAAACCTAGAAGAAGCTTGGCCTGGTAGCAATTCCCATACGGACGAATCGACGTCCCAATGAGCTCTAGATTATGAAAGGCAAGTTTCGTGTTATTGGAGGCATGCGCGAAATTAATGCGGCAATGTTTAAACTAGAGATTGCCAGAAACATGCCTGTGGTGTCTTTAGGATCATATCAAATGGCCCAAAACGAGGCTCCAACGATTCAACTGTTGCCCCCAAATGGTGATGGCCGCGCGGGACATCGAAAAGTGTGGGTAGCATATGGCTCGGATTGATTATTTCGAAGATTGGATCGCCGTCCCAAAACAGTGGAGGCAGTAGAACAAAAAAGAGTGTCGCGGAGTCTACGTACGTTCAGTACAGTTACGAAATTGGCCATTTTTGTGTCTTGCACAATACTTAGGGCCAACACAGCGCGATGTTGCGGATTTTCCAGTCCCTGGGTAAATTCTGTCACTCAACAGTGCTCTCTAGAAATGTTTATGCTCACCATCGATAGACCATGTGTGGCCAGTTGGCTGTGGGCATATCACAACAAGTTTTGTTGATGTGCCACTACAAACAGTGCGATCCTTTGTTTGAGGGTTAAAAAAAATAATTAATAAAACTCCAGATGTACACTGTCAGACAGATATCAATGTGGTTGATTACTGCGGGACGATTATGATGAACCCTTCAAGAATTTTGCCCAGCCGGTCAATCTCCATTGCGACGAATATTGATCTGATTGCAAAGTTCTAGCCTAAAAGACAAGAAAGGCCGTCAGACATGGGTTCAACAGGAGGGTCGACGCATGGAGAACGCGAGCGGTGTAATTGCAATCAAATATTCCACAACCTTGATGTTTAAACAGAAGCCGTGTAAATCACATTTACTTGAGGTAGAATAAAAAGTATTTTTGGTCAGGAAGTAGCAAACTCTCGACCCAGACCTAAGATTCACAAGCACTCCTTGATACCTTGATACGTCTTAGCAGACCTCGCCATATTGCTTTTTTTGGACCAGGAGTTCACCCACGACCCGCCAAGGGCCGATGAGCCTGTATATTACAGAATATCATTGTAATACAGCCTATGCCACATAGAATCTGGGGTAAATTTGATATTACTGTCATTTATTTTCTTGGGGTCGACACCTGACCCGCGGACTTTATTGAGGTCTACGTCTAAAACTCCCCAGATCATGGGATTTTATGCACTGCTCCTTCATCGTGAGGTGGGTTGGCATTTCTATGGGCTCAAACATCGCAGATTAAAGCTTTCATAGTTTCGGAGACAGGCACAACGAAATCTCGTAGAGTAAGGGACGCTGAGCTCGTGGAGTTCAATCTTCGCAGAATTGGAAGCAATTAACAAAGTACAACGTTAGGATATAAGTAGAAAAGTCGCCACACCACAGGGAATTTAGGGATTCAATGCAAATCTGGGAAACAGGACGACTGTTCGGTTGGCAATCTGAGACTTTTCTTCACTGCTTCCTGCAGTTACTTGATTGCAAAGAGCCCGGTTGTTTAGCTATTGTTAGGTTGCCATGCTTTGCTCTTTATGACCTCCTCACACAGCCACCGTAAGCGTCGCGTGACTTTCTCATAGCTATCCGAGCTAATAGGAGCAGATGGATAAAGAACATCAATATGGGACCAGTCATGCTTTCTCGTGGAGAACAGGGCCCCATCATACTTCCTAGGAGCTTATACCCTTCATAAATTTTACACAAGACCTTCTTCCACTGCCGGAACAAAGAACGCCTGTTTTTGCCCGTTCGGCCAAACGGGTGCACACCTGCTTAGATAAGCCAAGAACCTACGGTGTATCTGTGCGTATGTATTCTTAAACTTGACATGGGGTCGAGGCCTGGGGAATATAACAGAATGGTGGACTTGCCACGGGTCTATCAAGAGGATATTCTGGGTAGGCAGAGTGAATCATTCTTCTAGCAGACTTGGGAGTTTCTGTGTATTATGAAATGGGTGTGATCTGGGGTGGAGGGTGTTTTTTGGCTCATTTCTTTCGGCGTTCAAAAATTATTCTTTTCAACCAATTTGTAATCGGATTTCTGAGACAATCCAATTGTTTAATCACCGGCTGCAAATATTCTCTTGCTCGTTGACCTTCGTACGTTAACCATTGATGCATTGATTCGCCAGTGAATATTGCCTACATTTTGTAAGCCACAAGGCTCATATATTTATCAATATAATTGTAACTAGGTATGAAAGTTCAAAATATCGTAGGACGGCATTTAGTGCCTGGCATGATGCACATTTTGAGGTTTATGACTTGAATTGCAGTTCAGCTCAACTTCCTGCCTGGGATCTATACAGCAACGAATTGGACCTCTGAAAAATGAGCTGTCTTATTTAAATTTAAAAATACTGGTATCTTCGAAGAGCATGATTCGGCTCTTTTGTTCTATAAATTGATTCATGTCTCCCTCATCTAGGTTTCATACCCTGAGAATCTCTCGAGTTAAACCCACGGTACTTTCTATTCATTAATCTTTACAAATCTTCTTCGCTGGAATTACGGACGCATTTATAAAGGCACCTCATACAGTAGTCAATCCACCACTCCGACTTCCACGGAAAACTATGGCGCCGAACGCGCCAAAAGCAGACAAGAAGAGGAAAGAAAAGCCAAATAAAGGCGTTTCCAAGTCAACTAGTAGGCGAGCAGCCATGGATAAGAAGAACGAATTGAAGAAGAGAAAGATCGATCAATCTCAAAATCAGGAGTTGCAAACAAAAAAGCTCAAGGAGCTCCAGAAAAAGATCGATGCGGCCAAAGCACTCATGGAAAAGGAAGAGGATGAGGAAAAACAGCGTGAAAGTGAAATATCAATGAAAGAACTACTCTTGAGCAAAGAGCGGATCGAAAGCGATTTGGCGGCCATCGCTTCAGATATCATGGAAATTGACACAGACATCAAAAACATTGAGCAAGGCGGGCCAATGGATGTCGATGACACTGAAGATAAAAACAGCGGGGATGGTACAGATAGCGGAAATGAAAGCAAGGAGAGCCCAGACCGAGATCAGCAAAATGACACTGCAGACCAACCAGAAACAGAAGGAAATTCATATGGTTCGAGTACGTCTAGTACCGCGGATCCCAAGCACAAGAACCTCAATGACACCAATATTAGCCAAGATGGCTTGGCAAGCCAGCAGCGATCAAATGAGAGCCACCCACTTCCTGAGGCCAGGGTGAATTCTAACGAATTGTTTGTTGGCCAGAACGAGCGACCTAGTGCGACCCAGAATGCAAGCCAGCAGGATCACGAAAGGCCAAAAGATTATAAAGATTATCCCTTTATTGACCTGACTTTGGACGACGACGAGGATGGACCAAATGAGCCACTCTTTGAGGAAGGCACAGTCACGTTGAAGAAGAACCGTGGCAATGGATTTGACTACCTTAACTCATATGGACCCTTGAACTGTGCGATGACCATTTGGAGCTCGAATGGGGCTCCAAATGAAGTGGAAGAATGCACGTTCCTTAAAGGTGATCCTCATAACAAAGCTATGCTCGAAGATAGGACCGGAAAGCTTTTGTACAAGGGCATGATTCGCAACATCAAGAAAGTAGCCTGGCAACCCAGGCGGGGAGGAATTACGATGCTGGATCTACTGGAGTCAGTGGAGGAGCTAAATCCTGAGGTCAAGAAGACAAAGCCAGAATATGTCTTCCCATTTAGTACCGTACTTGTCGACTGGAAGCAAGAGGCCAAACTGCCGCCTCTTTGGATCAGCCGCTCAAACTACAAAAGACTCAGTAGTTCAGCTAAGAAAGAAAGCCTAAGAACAGATCGGAGAATCTACGCGGTAGCTTTAGTTCAGGTGAAGAACTACAGGAACTGGGCAGGAAAGCTACTTGACAACAAGTGGACAGGAGAGCAAAGAGTAGGCTTAGCACAAAGCCCTACTCCATTCCCAGAAACATCAAAGACAGAAGACATCTTGCGTCACGGACGAGGCGACCAAGTCCAGAACAAAAAAAGAGGTGACTACGAAGACCAGAGAACTCAAGGCCCAAGCACGGAACTCAAGACCAACCAGAGCCAGAGCACCCGGAGCCAAAGCAACGAACGCGAGCACAGCCAAGCCCAGAGCAGTGAGATTGAAATCACCCAAGACCAGAGCAATGCAGCAAGTCCTACAGATCCTCCTCAGGTTTCGAATGAAAACCCAGTGGCCCACGAAAAGAAACCCGAAAGCTCTCAGCAAACCTTCAACCGAAAGAAGTTTTTGAACGACATCTTGGGTATGATTGATGATTTCGATACTCTTGAGGCGGAAAAACAAATGCAAATGCGCACTCTTGCGCTGGCCCAATACGATCTCTATAAGCGAAAAATGGAAGAAGGCGGTGCTAAGGAAGAGACGGTCTAACTGAGATCGTTCTTTGAGAAGAAATTGACTCGCGGGCGGGTTAACTGCTGAATCTTCAAGAGTAAACAATGCTTCAATCTGATCATTATATGCACATTGTTTTTGTTCTCTATTTTCTATTTTCTGTTCCGTGTTGTTGATTGAGGACTACCTTAGTTGGCCAAGTTGTTGAGCCTGAATTTGCCATAGAGGCCAAAGATTTTTGTTGAAGTATATGTCTTTATGTACGTTGCACTTTTTCTGACCGTTAATCAAGAATGAAATTTCTGACGCTGTAGTAGCATGGATGGGACTCCATCATTTGTAACAGGGAACATGTAGAGAATTCAATGGTCGCCACTTCGCCGACAGCTTAGAAACAAATGAAAACAAGATCGGGAATATATTGAAGATCTGAAGCCAGCTGTGAATCTTTCCAATTGCTATAAGCTCAGTGGTATATGCACAAGTGGAAGGGCACAGCAGCATCTATCTGGCGTCAATATGCCGATTTGTGGTAATATTCACTTGACCCCGAGAAAGATGCAAAGCTCCTGCGAAGTTTCTTTCGCCAACCTACCACAAGGCCATCGATGGGCGCTTTTCACTCTTCTAAATCTACTGAGTTTTCTGAATAGCTATCTCAGAATAGAAATTTTCCATAAAATACGTTGTTGACGCCGGTAATACTCTATCTTCATGAGCACTGTACATAGTAACAAGAACTTTGATTCGTTTCAGACCATGGAGCAATATCTTTTTCGTCGCCATTGCGCTTAGGGGGATGTGTGGGATATGGATCTTGGCGTGGTGCAGCTGTTATATACTCCGGCGTCTGTGGCCGATCCAGGGCACGTCTGTAATGGGGTGATCGGAAATGAGCGGGTAAGAGGAGGTCCTTGTCTGGTCGATCGATATTCGCGCGGACACTAGACGTTAAGTGATTCCTGTAGCGGTGGCCAAATCTTTCTGCGAGTCGTTCACGAGCCAAAATGCCTCCTCGTTTGAATTTGGCGTGCTGTATCATTGGGCCAACATCTTAAATTTGCTACGTAGGTGCATTTGCAACGGGGTTATACATAAAGTCTACATTGAGGTTCTTGTTAAGACGCTTTGCTCTGGGCATGACTAATGTAAGGATTGATGTTGTTTATACACAATAATGCGCATTCTACCGACACGCTCGAAATCAGTTTCCCATCTTTACTCTCTTCTCTCTTTCCTGAACTCTAATCCAAAACAGGCTGGTCCTTTTAAAATTTAGTAAGTCACAGGAGTTACATGATCTTGAACTGTATTGTAACCATAAATGACAGCATTGTTGGGGCTGTACATAGAGTCAGTTTTCCGCCTCAACTCCTGGTCAGGCCAGTACGTCTAAAGTTACTAGTTCCTAGGAATTATGGGGAACCGTGTCAGAGATCGAGCATATATAGTAGCTTGGGTGATTGGTCGCTGACTGAACATTGCGCCTTTTTGGCCAGCTGGCGTAGTGGTACAACCCAAGCACCCACGATCCGCCACAAACCGAACGCATGGTCCCAGGAATTAATACCCACTCCCAGGAGTCTTTGCATCTTCCCAGGGCTTTCAGAGTTAGCAAGCAAGTGGGGGTATGGACGCGTGACTCGCCGTGAGTGTGATTCAGACCTAATGCATACGCTCACGGGGTGTTGTACATGAACTTGTCTAGTCCAGAGTAACAGCTGCACTGCCCCCTTAGAACTATTTAACGCGGTCCGGGGCAATTTTCATCTTCACAGCTTAGATTAACAAATTGGCGCCTTGTTGTTCAATTGGTGCGCACTATTTTAACATAAAAAGCCCCATCCCCACTGTTCAACCTTTATTTGCAGTGGAACTTTCTCACGTCTTTCAAAAAGGCCTAGCCTCTCACCAGCCGTTTTGTTCGACTCGAACTTTAAATTCAGAATGGCTTCTCACTCAGCTCCGGTTTCAATGCCCTTGAATGGCCCTGCTCTGCTGCAGTGCTTTTTTGGCGACTTTGATTATGTCAAAGCTGTGATGGAGGAAACGTCTGCCATTTTGGCTGTTGAGCCCATAATACAGAAACGATCTACTGTATACATACTATCACCCGTCTCCGCCTTTCTTTGGCACCGTTTTTTGACGACCAGGGCCTTTTATGAAGCTACAGACGTATGAGAAACAATCCTAGCAAGTTCCATTATTTTAGGTTGACAAAACTTTGCAGGAGAATTTTGGATCCTCTTATCGGAGACTCACAGACGGAAAGAGCGTCACTGTCAAGCTATTAAACAAAGCTAAACTTTCTTTCTTTGCCACCCATGAGATATGTATAATTGACAAGAGAGGTGTATACTTGCCTTTCATTTCTACCTCAAATGCAAAGAACACAGTTGTCTGTGGTCCATTGAAAGGGCGCTGGCAGGTCGATGAGCTTGACACCCTCAGACGCCGTGGATGGACTGTCCATCACTACGCCGCTGGTGAGTTGCTTGATGTTACTTCAGATTTGAAGCTGGAGGCGGAACTATCCCTAGAAAATGGCCGTTCATTCCTCGATGAATACAGCGCTGTAATTGAGTACAACGCTGAGGAAGATGACGCGCTGATATCTACGAGCACAAAGCTGAGCGTGAAAGACGACACCGGAATTGAAGTCGATTTACTCGGGCTTGAATTTTAATGCAAGATTACGGGATACACAGTTATTTGAAATGAGATTTAATCTTCAGGATCGAAAGAGTTTCATTGGTCTACAAGTATGCCTTCTAGAGAGCCTCTACGGAGAAAGGTAAGCTAATAAGCCATATGCTAAAGTCCCGGTTGTTCTTTATCTCGTCGTCCAGATACCCATTCTAAGATCTGTGACTCAAAGCCATTTCAGGCAAAGCTGTGTCCTATAAATTAGCTTTCAAGGTCTATGTTGAGCATACGATATTAGACTATGGAAATTGGAGAGAGAGAGAGGGAAAGAGTTACACTACATTTATAGGACCTTTGTTTCACCTGATTCTTTGTACAGAGTTGCTAGTGGTGTCTTGAAGTTGGCTCTTTCAGTTGTTGGCACGCAACCGTGCGCACATTGTGATGAGAAGGGGTGCAATTGGGTGCGTATTTCTTCCCCTTTTTCCGTCATGTAGAGAGATAACCAGTGGAATAATAAACAGAATCCTGGTTAGCTATCCCCTGGTCTAAAAAAAGTGGCCGGGAATGTTGAGGGATGATAATTGATAGGGTCGTCGAACGCGGCCACCAGTATTGGTTTAAAGTATGTACGCCGCAAAGTCTCATCTGTGAACTATATTGAGGGGTTAAATAATGACTTATTGTATGCTACAATGACCAATAAATTGTTTGTCGACCTCGAGTACAACTAATCTAGCTTCTCACTGCCTCAGAGTTATATAAAATAAGACCTTCCCTTTCCGGCGCTTGCTGAACCGACCCATCTCATCGGATATAGCCTTACAAATCCCCCGTCATGTACTTTGCCCTTCCCTTTTTGTTGGGCCTAGCGCGGCTGGCCAATACTGCCTACAATCCCTCCTTGACAAAGATCAATTCAACCGACATTGCTACTCGTGATGTTAACGGATATCGCTCCGTGGCCTACTTTGTGAACTGGGTATGTGTCATTTATATACGCCATTACTGGACCATAACAACTAAGTGAACATGGCTAGGGCATCTATGCTCGTAATTTCCACCCTCAAGATATCCCCGTCGAGCGACTGACCCATGTTCTCTACGCGTTTGCCAATGCCCAGGCCTCTGGTGAGGTAATCCTGTCGGATGACTGGTCCGACACTGACAAGCATTACTCCACTGATTCCTGGGCTGATACTGGAAACAACGTTTATGGCTGTGTTAAGCAGCTTTTTCTACTGAAGAAGAAAAATCGCAATATTAAGGTTCTTCTGTCGATTGGAGGCTGGACCTATTCTTCCAACCTCAGAACAGCCTTTGAGACAGAGGCAGGACGCCAGAAGATTGCTAATAGTTCTATCGAACTGCTGAAAAACTTAGGCTTTGACGGTATTGACGTAGATTTTGAGGTGAGTATGTTATCTTGTTTCTCGGAATTTGACGCTTATATCAGATAGTACCCTGCCAATGATAAAGAAGCGGGCCAATTTGTAGATACCCTACGCCGTCTTCGTGAGGTATGTTTACGCTTATCTTTTGCTGACTCGGCTAAGTATTTCAGGCGCTTGATTCGTATAGCTCAGTCAATACTAACGGCTATCATTTCTTGCTCACTGCTGCGTCCCCTGCTGGTACGTGTATTTCTCTGAAACAAGCTAACTAAACTAGCTAACCCAGATTCTAGGCCCTGCCAATTACCATAAAGAGCATCTCGCTCGGATGGATCAGTATCTTGACTTCTGGAACCTGATGGCCTATGATTACGCGGGAAGCTGGGACACCGTTACTGGACACGACGCCAACCTCCACCCATCCAACGGTAACCCAGGAAGCACTCCCTTCAACACGGACCAAGCAATCGATTACTACACCTCGCGCGGAGTGGCCTCACATAAGATTGTTATGGGTATGCCTCTGTACGGCCGGGCCTTCAGCGACACCAATGGTCCTGGCCAAGCTTACGATGGTGTTGGTGTTGGTAGCTGGGAAAATGGCGTTTGGGATTATAAGGCTCTGCCTCGGCCCTGCTGTGCGGTCACAAATCTGGATCAGGAAGCTGCTAGCTACTGTTATAACTCAAGATCGCGGTTGTTCATCAGCTATGATACCCCCGAGATTGCGCGTAAGAAGGGTGAGTATATCAAGTCCAAGGGCCTTGGCGGTGGTATGTGGTGGGAGCTCAGCGGTGACAAACAAGGTGACGAAAGTTTGATTGCCACGGTATGTCTCACTCATATATGACTTATGACCTTCGAACTAACTTGGGAGTTTGGCAGGTTGTGGATACTGTTGGAGGCACTGGCGCTTTAGACAAGAGCGAGAACCAGCTGAGTTACCCTGCCTCCAAATATGACAATTTGAAGGCTGGCTTTTAATCTTTCTATTGTCTTTGTTGGTATGTAATGACTGAGTTACATTATGGACCGAAATAAGTTTCATCGCTTTGCTTTCATAGAGTCTTTCTCGAATCCTGTTCCGAAAATCCGTTGCGAGAATTGACAGTTAATGGTCATTGCACTGATAGATCTGATTATTCGTTCACATGTCCACTACCCAAGCGATTTGTCCCACACACAAGCTCATGCACGAGATTTCGGTTATGCCACATTCCTTGTTCATATACGTCGATTTCATAAATCATGCGTTTGAGTGCCTCTCGTCTGTACATCAACACGTGTTGCTTCTGACTAATATCGAGATCTGCCAGATCTAGCTCTTTCCCTCTGCAAAGATAGAGTCCATGTCGGGGAGAGTTCTCGAGGTAGAGATGCTATCAGTCCTTTTGGAGATAATTAATTTGACGGTTCATCCACTATTAGAGGATGGAGTTTCCATATACAATATTGAGTCTTCGACTGCCATAAGCATGGTATGTTTGAACATATGCAGCCGTTCGCTGATCAAGCTCAATTCCATTTCTCGGAGATATCAAAATCGCCCGAGTCCGATTCGTGCAAATAGTGTGACAACGAGTGGTTTGTCCACTCTTTGAAAGAATTCAAAACCTGCAGCATGTATCTTAGGTGCTCAGAATTGCCATCGTTATATAAATGTGGGCCAGGGAACTGAGATTGAGGTTGCAAAATATGCACCCTCTTTCTTTCCCGTAATACTTTCCAAAACCCCTTCGACGGAAAGCAATCGACGGTAAAGCTTTTTCGCGTGTTTACCTGTGCGCCCACTAGCTTGTATAACCTCGAAAAGAGCAAGCATGCCGCGCTGTACAGATTCTGCAGCTTGGGCAGTATGTACACCAACACTTGTGAGGTCAGACATTGTGCGTGAAAGAGCTGTACGCGGCGAGATCAAAATCAACTTCCTAGTTACATTGGCATAGGCAAGCTCACTGTATCAAAGAGTATATGTTGCTGTTTATGTCTTAAGACATAGTATCAACGTCGAGAAATAGAAGTCGATACTAAGTTGTAGAAAAAGGGGTTATTTAAATAAAATATACACAATCTAATCCGCCAAAAGCATATAGGCCACTTCATGAAAGGTAACTGGCCTTTTTGCTCCCAGGAGCCAGTCCTACAAATGTAATTTGCCTATTCATGAGCTCGCAAAAGTCCTTTAGAAGCCAAAAGTTCCCAGGAGCTACAGATTCCCCCTGGGAGGTTATATATTATCAATTTCTGGATCCACTATTCGTCATTGATATTTTTACTCACCCAACAAGACTTGATTTCAGATCAACCTCAACCAGGTTCCCGCGTATAAATATCTCGATGATAGAACCTATTTTCTGACCGGCCTATCCCACATAGATTACACGATCTCAGCGTAGAAATTCAGGTATAGACTTCATCTCCGTGAGAAGACTAATTGCTAATGAGCCGAAAGACCACAGTGCCTTGAGCGCATAAGCCTAGCCAATCAGGCTATCTACATCGTGCCTCAAAGCAAGGCACCATGATCAATCGCGCGCTTTTGGATGATGCGTCCAAGAAAACAGGCTCGGCCTCCAGCCCTGTCCTAATCGGCATCGGCAACCACGACAACTCTGGCAGGCAGGACACATCAGAAGAGGATGATTCTGATGGAGACACTGTGCGCTTGAGTACGCCAGAATTCTATGAAATTCTGAGGGATGGAGGCACTACCAGTCCACAAAAGAAATTCGAACTCACGAATTCGCCTCTCATTGTGACACTATCCAAAGTGTATGGCCAAACGTTCGATTTTACTTGTTCCCCCGAGCCTGAATCAACAGTTTCCGCCCATCGGGAAGAAAAAAGACCTGAACTCACGGGAGCTTCCGAAGGTAAGAAAATGGTGTTAATTCGAAGTGGTAGAAAGTTCTTTGAACTAACCGAACTTACCACAGAAGCTTCAAAAAGAAAAGATGAATGTGCTACTTTGACAGTAGAGTCTCGCATAGCATCCCATGGCCAGCCCGGCGTCTCTAGACCCGGCCAAGATGGCGTGTTGGAACCATCGATCAATATTAGGCATATAGCGAATGACAGTCCACCTCCATCCTGTCAACGAGGCTCCGTCAATCCCAAAAGAAAGCTTGAGAGAAAGGCTAATCCTGGAGTCAGGCGATCAAAGCGTCTCATGAGGGAGAAAATTTGAGTGGGCGAGCGGTGTACTGAACAGAACATTTCAAATCCAATTATAACCTCGAACTATTATGATTTAGTTTTCGAAGATAGATTCGACGCTTGGATATGATATTCGTGATCCGTTCCTCAAACCGCTTGCTAGTATACTATCTGCATTTTCCAACCTGATTAAGAGACATGGGCCCCCATGACCAGAGACTGGCGAGTCTCATCAACGCTACTCATCAATGCTTTCATGAACTATTGAGGCTGGGAAGCGGGAAAGCAAGATTTCTGGGATGAAAGCAATGGGGCTGGTAATTGAGTTAGGTCATGGAACAATTGTGATATTGGTCAATCGCAGGCAAATGAGATAGAGTATGTTGGGTTGAGTGTAAAAGTAACTGAATAATCCTTTACTTCAGTTGTTGCTTAACCATATATAATGCCGTGGGGTGCCCCCTTTTTGTTCAACGTCAAAGATGCGGTACTTATTGTCGCTTCTGCGGGAACGTCTGTAACAAGTGGAGAAGGTTGTCAGTCCACCTTGGCAAGCACCTGGAACAGCTAGCCATGCCTGTCCTCCAATTATCAAAACCTAGTACCCCGATCCCTGTCGTCCCTGTCAACAATCTAGTGGGGCGATCGGCAACACCCCTCGCTCCATACTCAACATACGAAACGTCTCTGCAGCCGCAGTATGCACCTCCAAACGCTAGCAGTATGTCTAGGTTGACACAAGAGGCACTTGGGACTAAGGCCTATTTATATGAGCGAGATAACCTCACCGGCGTATGCTGAGTGTCTTTATCGACGGATCATTGATACAGGGTCTCAGTAATTTGCAGCTGAGAGTAGAAAGAGATTGGTATTTGTGGGGGGCTCGAACATAATATGATTGGTGCCATGCTGCACCAATTGAGTATAACGAGGTACTGTGAGATAGTGTTGTCTTTGCTCTACCTTCCTCTTCCCGCTGCAACCACCAAATGCTGCCACTTTTCGTTATGAACAGAACCATTTTGACCTTGTTTTGCTTGGAAATCTTAATAAATTTTTGCCATTTACAAACAAACCTAGTCTCCACCTCCGTTTCTGCTCGGCACTTGAGATATTGATGGATTTTAAACGGTGGATTTGGAATTTCTTATAGGATGAATACTCTAATACATTCCCCTCTCAGGACCTGAAAACCCCCCATCTGTTTCTGTTTTGAGATCATGATAGGGGATCATTTGAACTTCTAGGATTACATTCCAATATACAAAAGCGATCTAGGTGGCCTACGCAGCCCCTTCATTGCAGTATTCAGGCTAGAATATTTGCCTCGCTTGGTTTCCTCTTGATGCCTGATTCAGCCTTCTCTAGGTCTTCATCTGTAACAAAAAACGGGCCCGGATAATAGAAGAAACTCCATGGCATGCTACTAGATTGACCATTGCGTTTATCTGATTGCCGTAATTTGATGGTGTGTTCACGTAGACAGATCGACGAAATTCAATAATACCAGTGACCCCAGTGGCATAGAGCTTGAACATTCTTAGCGTTTGTTAAAGCTTGAAAAGAACCAGCTGGCGCAATCAAGTACATAGCTGCTGAATGGCAGGTTTTTCAAAGTCTGGGAAATGGGATTCCGAAAGTGTGAACAAGACCACTATACATTTTTAACGTCACTAGTACCCATCTTCAAAGTCGGTGCTGGCGAGCTGATTGAATCAATCTATTCCCTATCACTTCCAGCTCGTTCTTCTGGACCTTTCCACTTTCAGTCATTGGAAATCCATCTGGAAGTCCTTTGCATCCCATCCAGAAAATCTGACTAGGACATTTGTGGGCACCAAGTCGAAGTCGTACCCACAAAGCTACCTCAGAGTCCGATGGCCGCGGTGTTTCGAGCCGCTGTTGCAGGAACGCTGCAACGACCTGACCCATAACTGGATCACTCAGCCCAACTACTGAAACACCTGATACGGCCGGGTGCTCAAGTAGGTGGTCTTCAATTTCGCCAGGGTATATATTTTCTCCTCCTGTAGTGTTATTTTAGCGATGAAACCTCTGATTGAAAGTAATTCAGTATGATTTGCTCACCTCGTATAATCATATCTTTGATTCGGCCAGTAATTTCAAACTCCCCCTGACTATCAATCATAGCCTCGTCGCCCGTTCGCATCCACACTGTGCCTTTTTCATCTGTAACCATTGACTGATTGGTCTTTTTGATGTCTTTGTAGTACCCTTTCTGCAATAGATACCCGGAAACATAAAAGTTCTCCACGTTGACCTCGAGGCGCGATATCTCCGGAATCATTGATGACTTTTGTTGACGTATAGGGAAGTATTCGTAATTTGGGAATATCTATCACCTGGCCTGTACTCACATTAGGATTCGACATCAAGCTCGTCGGAGAAGTTTCTGTCATTCCTAAAGTGATACTGGTTAGTCAAAGGCGTCATCCAGCCGATGATGTGACAAACTCCACTTACCATATGCATGGACGAGGTTCTCCGCTCCAAACTCTTCTCGAATATTATGCCAAAGAGATTTGGAGTAGGATGATCCGCCAATCAAGCCTGTCCTCAATCGAGCTGGACATAAATTCTGTGCTCCCAGGTTTCTTGCTTTTAGAACCAGGGAAAACATGGTCGGTGAACCCACTATCCCGGTACATCCTTCCGCGGCTAGACATTGAGAAACAGCAGTTGCATTGAAGATAGTTGAAGGAAAAACAACGCAGGATCCATGCGAAAGACATGCTATCAATCCCAAGACCAACCCTCCGCAATGGAAAAGGGGAAAGGACAACAAATAATATCTCTTTCTGTCAACAGAATCCCTTGGCCCACTAGGTATCCATTGTTGACGATATTACTATATTGAAGTTAGGATAATGTAAGACTTGCAACCTTTGTTAGCAGGGAACCTACTTATGGGATAACATTGCGACCTTGGGAGATCCTGTGGTGCCGCTGGTAAGAAGAAAGCAACATAGTGAGTCTTTTGTAGTGTTCTTTTCCGCTCGCATTAACTGCGAATAGTCAACGGTATCTGCACGAAGCAAAAAGCAATTGTACGACTCAGAGAGCCATTTGGAAGAGGAATCGTTCTCCACTACCACGATATGCCTTAGACTTGATAGCTGATTCTAAATGCTACTCTAGTCAGAGGTATCTAGATAGTCAAGAAATTCCATTGACCCCCGAGTCCCCCTAGTCCTAGAGGTGAATAATGCAGAACATTCTAAATGCCTCTAGTCAGAACTTCGCTACTGTGTGATCATGAGAAACGGTCGTACCAGTCACCCGAAGGGCCTTTATTGCCTCGTGGGCAGTGTATGTACCATTCAGTAGCACAGCAACTGCTCCAATGCGCACTATACCCAGAAACATCTCTGCATATGTCTCACAATTTCCCATGAAGATCCCCACTTTGTCGTTTTTGGCAATTTGGAGGGAAAGTAAGGACCGGGCAACAATATGACTCCTCTTATCTAGCTCGCGGTAAGTCAACCTAGTTGCACCTCGAAACAGAACCAGTGCTTCTCTGTCGGAGAATAGGCTGACTTGTTGGCCCAGGAGCTGCGGTATCGAACATGATGGGGGTATAGGATATGGTAGTCCATGCACAATAGAATTAGTGGAACACATTTAATTCAGAGGCGAGAGGTTATCATTTGCGTAGAGGAGGGCCTTTATGAAAACTTCAAGTCAGGCGTGTAAACCAATTTGCACAAGTAATTATACCGAGAGGCTCACTGATATCGCTTTATAAGTCGAGATACATCTAGAAGTCACTTCGGACGATCATGACAACTCAACTTCTCCAGCGGGCTTCTTGCATGTAATCTGGAACTGCCGAACAGGATCAGGCCCACGACACCCTTGCGCTAGTGAAGATCTCGTGCTTCCCCCGTTTTAGGCCAGATACGGACTCACGCAATAACTGGATGGTATGTAGCGGCGCTTGGCTCGGGATAACATGTGCATATTGTATGCTGATTATAAGTCCCAAAGGGTGTGCATGCATGAAGGGACCAAGCCTCAATTGCGTCTTATGTGCAACCATAAGATAGTAAACATCGTCACTCAAGGGCAATCAATGTATCACAAGCACTGAGACATAGCTTGGCCGTCCTAGAACATCACTTTGCTCATGTTTGTGTAAAACAAGCATGACGGGACATAGCGGCCGATGGGTAGATAGGTGCCTTGATGAGGTATCTTAGTTAATGATACCTAATAACTAATGTATGATGAAGGTTTAACTAGTATAATAAGGCACGTGTCATTGTAATTCAGGTATTTGATCTATGTAATTTTTGCCAGTTAAAAATCAGGCATCATCGGGCATCATCAGGCATCAGCATCTTATGAAATACAACTTGGTGCTGGCCAATCAGGTGATGTCAATAACTCTGGTTTCCATTACCCCTAATTCTGGCAATTTATATATAATTGTGACTAAGCACTCACCTACACCCTGGAGGGGTGGAGGTGAGTGCTTAGTCACAATTATGAGGTCAGAAAGGAGGCTGAGAACCATGTTTGTTTTGTTTGACATATTTTCTCCATAAATTGCTACAACTCAAAGGTATTGTATAGCAATACAGAAAGCTTCATATCTATCTGAGGATCCTGTAAGATCACCTGATTCGATCTCCCTCATATGAGTCCACAACGTAAGTGGGACAAGACAATAGACAGCCGGCCCAATTAATGAGAGGAAAGGTCTTTAGTCTACTGAGTGATACAAAGTGAAAAGACCAAGCAGGTCTATTTAGTTTTAGTGCTTCTTATTCCATTATTGTTTAAGGCTGGATCAAGGATTATGGATCATGGGCAAAGAATTTCAGTATTGAGAGTAAGGACTATAGCACAACTACCTAGGGAGAGAAAACCAATCAAGATATCGGGTAGTGAAAAAAACATTAGTTGAGTATGGTAATGTGGGATCATGGTGAAACTTTAAGCCTCTTGGAAGGGGGGGGGTTGGGAGGTCGAGTGATCAGGGCAATGATGTCCCGGGAGAATTTACGCTATACGGTGGTATCCTCCCCAACGAGCAGCCTGGAGGGCATTTCCGTAGAGTCCACCCAGGGCGTTGACATCGGCTCCTCGCTCTAGCAGCATCTGTGCGATATTGTCGTGTCCCCCGGCACAAGCAGCCTGAAGGGCATTAACGTCGCGTCCACCATAGGCGTTGACATCGGCTCCTCGCTCTAGCAGCATCTGTGCAATCTTGTCGTGTCCATCGGCACAAGCAGCCTGGAGGGCATTTCCGAAATGTCCACCCTGGGTGTTGATATCGGCTCCTCGCTCTAGTAGCATCTGTGTGATCTTGTCGTGTCCTCCATAACAAGCAGCCTGGAAGGCATTTCCGAAATACCCACTCTGGGCGTTGACATCGGCTCCTCGCTCTAGCAGCATCTGTGCTATCTTGTCGTGGCCTTTGTAACAAGCAGCCTGGAGGGCATTTCCCCAGGTTCCACCCTGGGCGTGGACATCGGCTCCTCGCTCTAGCAGCATCTCTGTGATCTTGTCGTGGCCTTTGTAACAAGCAGCCTGGAAGGCAGTTCCGAAATGACCACCCTGGGCGTTGACATCGGCTCCTCGCTCTAACAGCATCTGTGCGATCTTGTCGTGGCCTTTGTAACAAGCAGCCTGGAGGGCATTTCCGTACTCTCCACCCTGGGTGTTGACATCGGCTCCTCGCTCTAGCAGCATCTGTGCGATCTTGTCGTGTCCTTTGTAACAAGCAGCCTGGAAGGCAGTTCCGAAATGACCACCCTGGGCGTTGACATCGGCTCCTTGCTCTAGCAGAAGTTCCACGATCCTATCATGTCCATTCACTGAAGCCCACATAACCGGGTATGTTATTGAATCATCAGGTGTATTGACATCACTTTTATCTACACCAAGTATAGAATGTACCTCCTGTTCATGGCCATTAAATGCTGCTAGATGAAGTGCACTCATTACAGGAGTTTTGTCGTATGGCCTGGCTGCCTGCCAAAAAATAGGAAACCACATTGAGAAAGGTTTCCCACTCATGTCGTATAATCGATGCACTCGGTAGCTTTCTTTTTTGGTTGAAGTCAAACCCATCTTTCGTACGTGATCAGGCCAATGTGCTGCTGAATATTCCAAGAAACTTCGAGTATGTGAGCGCGAGTCGTCTTCATCGTATTCTGAATCCTCCATCAACAAGTATTTCAAACAAATCTCAGCCATCTGATCTTCCGCATCAGTCAGGCTGTTCCAGTATGCGGAATTGGGATTGCTGGAATTTTCCTTCTCAATGAGAAATTCTCTAGCTGTTTGATGGATGAGATAGATTTTCGAGTTGTTCGTAAAGACAAACAGGCCACACCATCGCCGAAGCTTGCCATCTAACCCAATTGGGTCTAACCCAGCCTGTATAGTTACTAGTGATCTTGAGCTAGTGGCAATGCCCAACGCCATAGCCATCTCTTGGATTGTCAGAGGACGCCGTGCCGCCACGATGATCTCTAGGATCTTCTTGACTCTATCCATTAGACCAGCTGGGACTCGACATAGTATCTTCTCATACGCTGCATTCACAGAAGGCGGAATCAGCGTGATCGAATCCTCTGAAGGCTGGAGACTGTCTTTAAAGGTAGTGCGGATATCATCAATGGCTAGATGTAGCCAAAGATATGTACGGTGTTCCATTTGAAGCAGCTGCTGTTCGATTCGATAATGAAGCTCTGGCGACAGTGGCACTGTCTCGGCTAGTTCTCTCACCCGAGTCCTCACCACCTGATCAATCTCTTCATGGATTTGTTCATTCTGCTCTTCCCCCTTTATATGTATATGTGGGAAGGAATCGGTGATGACTCGAAAGTGATCTTGTAAATGATCGTAGGGACGACTAGTGACCAGGAATTTCAAACAGGTTTCCTCTGTTGATGGAGATGGCTGGCGATGAAACGCGTGAAGCTTTTCGACTAACCGGCGCTGATCGGTTTCACGACATTCATCAAGTGCATCGAATATGCAAATCGTCTTGCACGATGTGTCAGCTGATGTTGCCGCCATCAAGATCCGCCAAAGCTCGTCAACTTCTTGTCGGAGCGACCCCCCATTCTTTTCCCAGGTCGGGATGGCATGTGTCAATAGATCAGACTGCTGGCTGAAGAGCTGATGAAGTACCGAACATAGTGCCGTAGCAACATTGTTTTGGTCATCATTGTCTTTGAAGAAAAAGTAGCATATTCTCACAGTTGGGTGAGAGCTCTCTAGGTAATCATCGATTATTGATCTGGCTAAGACAGACTTGCCACAGCCTGGGTCAGCCGACACCCAGAGAAGGTCGTTGCACTTGCTCTCCCACCAACGGATGTACTCAGAGCTCTGGAAAGCCCATCGACAGGTTCCCTCAGCCCGTTTAGGGTTTATGTTTTTTTGCTCCGCGTAGTTGACGACCTTGAACACTTGGTGACAAAGGCGCTGTTGATCCGTCAAGACTCTTGCTTTCTGTTCACTAAAGTGCCGTTCGTTTTGACCGTATGCTTGATCTAAGCGATGTTGGATGTCTTTCAGCTCCTCTAAGTAGTGCCCAGGTCAATCTTTGCTAACGTAATAATAATAAGACTGCGCTAGACTAACCAGACACAACAGCACTTATCCTCTTCTCGGCTTCAATTCTGTTGAGAGGGATCCTCTGTAGAAGGTCTTTGGCGTATGCAGCTGCCACCATAGCTGCATACCCTTGCCACTCTTTGTTCTTATGTGAGTCCGAGTAATCGCAGATACCCCTGATGACTAGACATGGGAAAGTGTTCACCAGCCCCGCTGCTTCCATTTCAAAACAGAGAACGTCTTTTTCTGCAGCTAGTCGATCGCGAATCAAAGCATCCTTCATTAACTGGTTGGCAGATGCAATGAGACCATAGTGAATTGCAGGATTATCTTCATGATCGGACCGCTCACGCCGCGGAAGCCAATTTGAGGCATCGTTTGCACAGGATGCAGCACCGCAATCTAATTCATGGTTGACAGAGGGCTGGAAGAGCCTATCTGTGGTTGATTCCGGACGTTTATATTCGCTGCGCAGCCGAACATTTGTGTCGAGAATAATGTCAATGGCCTCCGTAAGCTTATGGCCCTTTCTCTTATATTGTGCCTGTATTCCCGTCATCGCAGTGCGAAGTGTCGTTGGTGGCTGGTTTAGAAACCGCGTATGTTGAAAACTTTGCCCTTGGATCGACTTGCCAAAGTCGTACTGGAAGACACCACCCTGATTGCCACGAGGCGCACTGACCACGACATCGCCCAGACGTACATCATGCTTTTCGCTTGGTACGCCGCCACCGATGCCGACCATGAGGCCTACCCTGACGTTGTGAAAGGTATTCAGCATGTTCGTCGCTACATTGGCCGCGGAAGCTGTGCCATATTCACCATCCGGCAAGACGGCGATCACAACGTTGTGCTCGTGCATCTTGCCTAATGTATAGTCGTTGGTGTCATTTGGCGACACAAAGCTGGGTTTTTCGTGCTCTTCATCGAGGAATTCTTGTGCGGCAACGTATTCCACGGGCAAGGCGCATATCCAGCCCACAGTGTAGTTCCCAGGGTCCGACATGCTTGCTACTCGAGCAAAAGGCGTCGAGGCTTGCTATACTGCTTGGTTGAGTTTGAGTCAGGGATACGATACGATACACCGATCGCGTATGGTTCTTGAACAATAAAGGTAAAAAGGAGTTTGAAGGGAAGAGAGGAAAAGCTCACAAGGTTTACATGACGGAGACAAACAGAAACTCATCACCACCCCAAAAAGCTCAGCCTCACAGTGGACACTTAGCGCAGCAGCGGGCGGCAAGATGGAATATGCTATTGGTGGGAGGCGCCTTCTCTATCTCCACTCAATCAAGAACTAACACCGGGATGTCAGTCCTTACACTCATCGCGGGAAATATTGATTGCTCTACAATACATGGTTTGTGGAACAAATGGCCAATGAGTAGGATGTTTCTTGAAGTCCCATTTCTGGTAGTGTATTTGATCGGCTATATAATACGAAGCGCAGCAGCGAGCGGCAAGAAGAAAAAACACTATTGGCGGGAACCGCCGCCTCCTTGTCTCCACTCAAGGAGAAAGACAATCACCAGGATCTCGATCTCAAGAAAGCACTCATCCCTCATCTAAATTATCGCTCGATAGATTTCACGGTTCAGAAGATGAATTACTTATCATTACTAGCTTTTCTCATCTTTCATTCCTTGTCCTCGCAGTTATACTATGACAATTGTGGGTCGTGCCGTACCGAAATCTCCTCCCAAGGCATCGTAGACCCACCTTCACAGACGATCCACCAATAGTCAAGCATTTCTCGCCCAGACCTACCAGCCTCGCCAGATCACGTGCATTATCTAAGAGACCCAAAGTAGAATCCAGCCTATAACCAGGCCTATTGAGCATCAGAGTGATCCGACCCACTATACAGAACAGAATGTTTTTAGTTCCACGCTACCAGCAGGATATAAGTCTTTGCAATGTTAAGCAAAGCAAGATTTCCGTATATATAATACCTGGGAAGGCATTATCGTACAGACTAATTTCAATTTATATCAATGTTGATGTTCAGAGAAGAAGTGGCTGAAGGAAGTTCAGACACGTGACAAAACTATGGGTCTGTGCTGATGCACCTCATGCGGTGTTCCACAACAGACCACGTCCTCCTGTGACGCTGTAGTGGGACAGATATGGCGCCAAGACTTGAATCATGGCAGCTCGACCTTATTCGTGACATGATCCAGGATAGCGAGCCGTTCACTAACTCCCAAATTGCCGAAGCCGCCCACTGCACCCCACGGTCCATCAGAACCATCCGCTCGAACTTAAAGTGCTTTGGAAATGTCCGGGCACCACCCAACGGCATCGGCCGGCGACGAACCATTACTCCTCCTATGCTAGAAACTTTGCGCGAACATCTTTTCGAAAAGCCGGATTTATATCAAGATGAGATGGTGGTGTTTTTGTGGGATGAATTTCGTGTGCTTGTGACCGTCCACAGCGTAGGCAGGGCACTGGCATCGATTGGCTGGTCCAAGAAAGCCACACGGCGGATAGCGAGGGAACGGAATGCCGACTTACGGGATTACTAACTTCACACAATATCATCTCTTCAATCATATCATTTAGTGTATGTCGATGAGTCTGGATGTGATAAACGAGCTGGGTTCAGACGGACTGGCTGGTCTCCTTCAGGGGTGACACCTGTCCAAATTTCTCAATTCCATCGCGGAGAGCGATACCAGATATTACCCGCATATGCCCAGGATGGGGTTATCCTTTCGCGGGTTTTCCATGGATCAACGGATGCGGATGTGTTTGAGGGTTTCATACGGCAGCTCCTGCATCACTGCGGTCGGTGGCCGGAGCCGAAATCTGTCATCGTCATGGACAATGCATCTTTTCATCGTACAGAAAGTATCAAGCAGATGTGTTCCGCTGCTGGTGTCAAACTAGTGTACTTACCACCTTACTCTCCCGATCTCAATCCAATCGAGGAGTTCTTCGCTGAACTCAAAGGGTTTATAAAACGACACTGGCAGTCATATGAACAAACGCCGGACCAAGGTTTCAATCATTTTCTCGAATGGTGCGTTGATGTCGTAGGGGCGAGGGAAGAAAGTGCAAAGGGTCATTTCCGACATGCAGGCTTAGCTATTGAGGAGATTTAGTGACTGAATAACTATATTGTTGTTGCTTGCTGCAGATTATACAAGCCAGAACATCTTTCAAATACCTAATAGCGATCATGTGCTTTCAACGAACAAGTCCCCCGCTTCCATGCTACATTTATTGTTTTTGACCCAATATATAATGTCACCAACAAAGCGCCGAGCGATTCCTCTCTTTACCCCATTCTTGATGAAGAATTCAGGATCCTGATCCTCATGAACTTGCAGCAAGTCTAGTCCATCCCCCAGTGCAAGGTCACGGGCTGTACGGAATTCTGCCTTCAATTTCTCATCACTCACTTGTGATTGCTGCCACTCACTATATTCAGCAACAGCAAGGTCACGTAGACCGGGAATATCAAAAACTTCAGCGATATTCTTTCCAGCAAACATGGCCGGCGTGGAATTCGGTGTAGCTGGCACAGGAGAATGAGAAGACGGCGCAGGGAGTACGTTTGTGATATTGATAGGCGGGTAGGTCGTTCCAGTCGTGCAGTGCTTAGATCCTTTTTGCCTCTCAAGTCGCTGTTGCTCCTGTGTATATAAACCTTCCCGTATTGTTTCAGGGACATCATAATGGGAGTTCAACACTCCGCCCTGCTCCACAAAATTGACAAGGCCCCTCAGATTTTGCGCGGTAAGTTTATAGTGCTTTTTGCTGACAGGGTCTCTCCAACAGTGCGGTCCCAGCTCGCATGGTCGCCCAGAGCAACGCATCAAGCTATAAACATGAGCCCAGGCAGCCGGCTGCCCATTAGCCTCCTCTTCAGCATTGATATCTAGGTGTCGATCAAGAAGCATGCGCTGGGTAACTGATGTAACGCCTCTTTTATCGGTTGCTCTGGAGCCAGACTTCACGCCTTGGATACCATCGGTATAGTTAAACGAGATATTGAGAGTTAGCTTCTTCCCAGCTGAGAATAGATCACCCCAGGAGAGAAGTTGCTTTTCCACAGTAGGCCAATCTACATCAGTTTGGTCAAAACAAAGAATGAGATCTTGCTGGGTGCGGCGATTCACAGATACCACGATAGCTGTGTCATCTAGTTCAACCCTCCTTTGCGGAAATTTCTTGCCCACAAGTTCGTTCAACTTTGGCTGCAGGAACAGACGCCAATAGAACCGAGGAGCCAAAACCAGGTCTTGCTCTGTATTCTTTCTGACAACCTTGTTGTTGAGAGTCACTTTCCACACAATCCAGTAGTGCAGATAAGTAGGTGGAGATTCGTCATACGACTTCCCCTCCTCCCACTCGGATAGTTGAAGTAGTGGTATCTGACTCGGCTCCGACTGCCTATCTGGCAAGGCAGGTGATTCATCACCCAGAACGTTGTTATAATCGATAGAGCCAATAACGGGTGGTGTTCTGGGTATATGGTATCCTGGGGTTGGTGCGAATAGCGAGGATTGGTCCGATTGATCAAAGGTGTCAAATCGTAGGTCGTTTTGAGTATCATAAGGGCTGCAGGCCATGCTTCCGGAACTAATGTATAGCTTCGTCAGAAATACTCATTGAGAGATACCGCGGAGCCTGGAGTCTTGAAAGTATCATTCCTGCGAAGCGTACCTGGAGAGAGCGGTGGTGTTGAACACGACAGAGAAACAAGGGACTTGCGTTGTGAGTTGACAGGTAGTGGGAGACCATTGTGCCAACATCAGACATTGTTGCCGCGGGCCCACTTACTCACCCCAATGCTCAGTGAGCATGATCGTGTCGAAGTGTTTTGATAGTTGTAGACTCGGGGGCATTGGGGTATACGGAATTGCACGTGACAGGGCCAGGCTTGGTTGGGTCTCGGCTACCAATCAGTAAGTTGCGGTGTCAGGGGTCGTCTCCTTCACCAGGTACATGCATTACGTTTGTTTTGTTTGCACTATGATCTACAAGGTTCCATGGTATTCCATTCAGGATCGACAATGATTCCCAATTAGGATAGGGCAGAGTACCTTAATCTTGAGGGCATCCCTAATTTATCGGTTCAACTGGTTTAAACATCAAGTCAGGTGTCAATTTACCATTTTGGAAAATATAATGCGGGAGAAAAATGCTCAGCACTTTGTAGGCTGAACTGTGCACAGTACTAGTCTATCATGACCAATAGAATATGATGATTTCTCAATAGTGTCACTTGGATGGTTTCACGTATGCATTTTATTTAGTAATCATTGTGAACTGTACAGTATCTTGAGTAAAATCACAACTGTAACGATACCGTAAGTACTATACAGTACTTGAAGCTGTTGGCGGGGCCTGTCAAATAATTTCCTACACTAACACCTTGGCAGTGGGGCCCGAAAATAGAAAAGCTATGCTTGGGGCGGAAGCTGATTTCGCTGATGACTGTATTCATACCGGGAAGCAGATTTCGCTAGTGACTGTATCTTCCACAATATATGGGAGATCACTTGGAGGTTTTCGAGTTCTACTGTAGAAGAGGTTAAGCCCGAGTCAACGACAAGCCGCACACGTCGAGGAAAACGACTTTAGAGCTTTGCGGAGTGCCACGTGGCGACAATACCGATTTCCTGTACTGATTGAGAGTGATGGCGGGACGGGCCGCGATGCGAACCCCTGAACCGCCCGACCGCGACGAACGCGAAGCTTCGCCACCGCGACTGGCAAGACCGAAACGCATCACCAGACCACCCCGAATCTATGCTCAAGAACAAGAAATCGACAATGAACAGAGACAGACGCGACCTCAGCAAAAGAAGAGGACTGGACCCGAATCTCAGCCTGATAGGGCAACTTCGGATGACTCCGCGACCGAGAGCGACAACCTCGATGTGAACGATTTGGTGAAAGAGATCGCCAAACTCAGGACAGAAATCAGACTACGAGACGAGTTGCACAAGGAAGAACTACAAACAGCCAAAGCAGAGTTCGGTGCTGCCCTCGCCGGGGTCCGGCACGAGCTACAGAACCTGACAGACAGGACCCCGACATCGCAGTGCAACTCCGAAGCGTGCGCCCAGACTGGTCACGATGAAATCCTCCGAGAAATCCAATCCCTACGTGAAGAAATTAGCGCTCCCGCTTTCACAGGTTCCCCGTCCTATGCCGATGTCGCCCGCACTCCCCCGCTCAGCCACCCGAGTAATATACGGAGCCTCTCGACATCGAACACAACACCAACCACGTTCACCGACACACTCTATTGCACAATCGACACCTCCAGGATGGCAGAGAACGAAAACGAGAGGATGTCTGCAGGCTCTATCCGGGCGGCAGTGGAGACAGAGATCCGAGCGACGGCAGACCACACGCATTGGCGTTGTCGCGCCGTCACTGTGGACCCGAAGAACACGAACCGGATTAGAATAGCGTGCCGCGACGAAGCCGAGCACCAGCTGATCAAAAAAGTGGCGGAATCCCAAATCGGTGCGGGGGCACGGGTGCTTCGGGATGAGCTTTACCCTATCAAAGTGGACAGCGTTAACAAAGCCGCAGTTCTGGATGAAAAAGATGAGATCCGTGCCGGAGCAGCAGCCGCCTTCAGCGAGGAGAACGAAGCCACCGTTGCGAAAGTCGCATGGCTTAGCAAGAGGGAGAGCGCAAAAGCATATGGGTCAATGGTCGTCTACCTCACTAAAGGTAGTGACGCACGGAGACTGCTAGCCGACGGGTTCTTCCATGCTGGGGGAGAATCCGGCGTGACCAGCACCTTCGAGCATCGACCACGACCGATGCAATGCTATAAGTGCCAGGAGATTGGGCACAAGGCTTTTCAGTGCAAGAATGCCCAGAGATGCGCAAAGTGCGCCGTAGAAGGCCATCGCCACAGTAGCTGCGACCAGACAGTTCCGAAGTGCGTTCCATGCGGGGGCCCTCATGAATCGTTCAGCAGAAACTGTCGGAAGCTCTATCCGCCACGCAATGAATAAAACGCTCCGAGTGATGCAACTGAACGTGAGGAAACAGGGTGAAGTGCATGAAAGCCTCATGAACGACCAAGATACCGCAAACGCAGTGGCACTAGCGATCCAGGAACCCCAGGCGAGGAGGATTCAAGGCCGGCTCTTGACCACCCCGATGGGACATCATAAATGGACTAAGATGGTCCCCTCCACGTGGAGCGAAGGGAGATGGGCGGTTCGAAGCATGCTGTGGGTAAATAAGGATGTGGAAGCGGAGCAAGTACAGATCGAGTCGCCGGACCTAACAGCGGCTGTCATTCGGCTTCCTGAGCGACGGATTTTGATAGCATCGGCCTATGTGGAAGGAGGCAATGCCGCTGCGTTGAACGACGCTTGCGATCACCTCAGAAAAGCTATCACCAAAGTACAGCGAGACTCGGGAACGGTGGTGGAGATCATGATCATGGGGGACTTTAACCGCCATGATCAACTGTGGGGAGGAGACGAGGTGTCCTCGGTCAGACAAGGCGAAGCGGATTCGATCATCGATCTCATGAATGAATTTGGACTCAGCAGCCTGCTTAAACGAGGCACGAAGACATGGCACGGCGGAGGATATTCGGGAGACTGCGAGTCGACGATCGACCTCGTTCTCGCCTCGGAAAACTTGACGGACTCGATGATCAAATGTGCGGTCCACGGAACGGGGCACGGCTCAGATCATGTTACCATTGAGACCATTTTTGATGTGCCTTGGACAGCTCCAACGCAGACAGACAGACTGCTGCTCAAGAATGCACCGTGGAAAGAGATCAATGCCAGAATCGCGAGCACGCTAACTGCCACTCCGGTGGAAGGTTCCGTGCAGCAGAAGACCGATCGGCTGATGTGCGCGGTGTCGGAAGCGGTTCGTGCGTTGACGCCGAAGGCCAAACCGTCACCGCACGCAAAGCGGTGGTGGACGGCGGACCTGACACAACTTCGTCAGATATACACACATTGGAGAAACCACGCCCGCTCGGAACGACGAGCAGGACGAAAGGTGCCACAGCTGGAGGACATGGCTGCAAGCGCGGCGAAACAATATCATGACGCGATTCGGAAACAAAAGAAGAAACACTGGAATGAGTTTCTGGCCGACAACGACAACATTTGGAAAGCTGCCAAGTATCTCAAATCTGGGGAAGATGCAGCCTTCGGGAAGGTACCACAGCTCGTCAAAGCAGATGGAACGGTTACCACCGATCATGGGGAGCAGGCGGAAGAACTACTGACTCAATTCTTCCCGCCGCTGCCGGACAGCATTGATGATGAGGGGATTAGACCACAAAGAGCGCCAGTGGATATGCCGGCCATCACCATGGAAGAGGTAGAACGGCAGTTGCTTGCAACGAAGTCCTGGAAGGCACCAGGCGAGGATGGCCTGCCGGCAATAGTGTGGAAGATGACCTGGCCCACGGTCAAACACCGGGTTCTCGATCTCTTCTAGGCGTCACTGGAAGAAGGCACGCTGCCGAAACAGTGGCGACACGCCAAGATCATCCCGCTGAGAAAACCGAACAAGGAAGACTACACCATTGCCAAGGCATGGCGGCCGATCTCACTGCTCGCCACATTAGGCAAGATCCTGGAATCGGTGGTGGCAGAGAGAATCTCCCACGCGGTAGAGACCCACGGCCTGCTCCCGACCAGCCACTTCGGAGCCCGAAAGCAGCGGTCCGCGGAGCAAGCACTCCTACTCCTGCAGGAGCAAATCTACGCAGCGTGGCGAGGAAGACGGGTGCTGAGCCTGATCAGCTTCGATGTCAAGGGGGCCTACAATGGGGTCTGTAAGGAACGACTGGTCCAGAGGATGAAAGCGCGAGGTATACCGGAGGTTCTGCTTCGGTGGGTTGAGGCGTTCTGCTCGGGACGAACGGCGGCCATCCAGATCAATGGACAACTGTCGGAGGCTCAGGACCTGCCACAGCCTGGACTGCCTCAGGGCTCGCCCCTGTCTCCAATCCTATTTCTCTTCTTCAACGCCGACCTCGTGCAGAGGCAGATCGACAGCCAGGGAGGAGCAATTGCCTTCGTGGATGACTTTACCGCGTGGGTGACCGGGCCAACCGTGCACAGTAATCGGGAGGGCATCACAAGCATCATTAACGAAGCGCTCGACTGGGAGAAGAGGAGCGGAGCAACTTTTGAAGCCGACAAAACAGCGATTATACACTTCGCACCCAAGGCTCGCAAAGTGGATCAAGAGCCGTTCACTATCAAAGGACAGACGGTGGAGCCCAAAAGCAAGGTCAAAATCCTGGGGGTGCTGATGGACACGAGACTGAAGTACAAGGAGCATATTGCAAGAGCAGCGTCCAAAGGTCTGGAGGCAGCGATGGAGCTTCGACGTCTCCGAGGTCTCTCTCCAGCGACAGCGCGGCAGCTGTTCTCATCGACGGTAGCTCCAGTGGTGGACTATGCCTCGAACGTCTGGATGCACGCCCTCAAGAATCAAAACATAGGACCGATCAACCGGGTGCAAAGGGTAGGAGCGCAAGCAATTGTGGGCACATTCCTCACCGTGGCGACCAGCGTAGCGGAGGCCGAGGCCCATATCGCCGCGGCACGACACCGATTCTGGAGACGAGCCGTGAAGATGTGGACGGACCTCCACACACTACCTGAGACCAATCCTCTCCGCAGAAACACAGATCGGATCAGGAAATTCAGGAGATACCACCGCTCACCACTGTACCAAGTAGCGGACGCGCTGAAAAACATCGACATGGAATCGCTGGAAACCATCAATCCGTTCACACTGGCACCATGGGAAGCACGCGTACAGACTGATGATGAGCCTGTCTCAGATTGGTCAACTGTACCAGGCGGATCAATGCGGATCGCGTTCAGCAGCTCGGCACGGAACGAGCTGGTCGGATTTGGAGTGGCGATCGAGAAACAACCACCCCGCTATCGGAAAGTGAGACTGAAGACCTTGTCCGTCACGTTGAGCGCGAGGACAGAGCACAATCCGTTTTCCGCGGAGCTGGCGGCAATGGCGCATACACTCAAGACACTCGTGGGATTGAAAGACTTTAGGATCACGTTGATCACGAGCAACAAAGGGGCAGCTCTCATGCTGAAGAATCCGCGACCACGGTCGGGCCAGGAATTTGTCTGTCAAATCTACAAGCTGATGAGAAGACTGCAGAAGCATGGAAATCAGATCAGCGTCCGGTGGATCCCCACTAGCGAAGACAACAAACTACTAGGGCTGGCGAAAGAGCAGGCGAGAGCCGCGACGAAAGAAGATGCCATCCTGCAAGGACAGGTCCCCAAAATGAAATCGACGACTCTAAAGATCGCGCGTACCCAAGCAATCCCCAGCAGTAAGCTACCTGAGAGCATCGGGAAACATTCGAGACGAGTGGATAAAGCCCTTCCGGGAAAACACACGCGACAGCTGTATGACCGATTATCGTGGAAAGAAGCGAGCGTGCTGTCCCAGCTCCGCACGGGGATGGCAAGACTCAATGGATATCTCTTTCGAATCAATGCCGCCAAGACAGATCAATGTGCATGTGGACAAGCAAGAGAGACGGTAGACCACTTTCTCTTTCGATGTCGGAAGTGGACCGCGCACCGGACGGAAATGCTGCAATGTACCCACACTCACCGAAGTAACATGTCCTTCTTCTTGGGAGGGAAGTCACCCTCCGATGATCAAAAGTGGAAGCCGAATTTGGAAGCAGTGCGAGCGTCAATACGATTCGCCATCGCCACGGGCCGACTTGAGGCCACCTAGACTTGCCGACGAACTGATAGAATACCTCTTTTTACTAACCCCCAAGCCCTTGTGGCAGACGATAGACGCGCTTCAACTGCCGAGGATAGGATGTTGAACACTTGGAGAAGCGCCTTCAAGCCAGTCTACTGACCAATACTAACCCACAGGGACCGACTATGAGAGTGGAAGCTAAGATATCAAATACGGAAGGAAGTACTGTATGGGCTCCAAGGAGACACGGCGTATACCCAAACATGCATGTATTGGTAGATTAGTGATAGTTGCCCTCTCGGCTCAGCCGCCGGGCGTTAATGAATTGTGTGTGTGTGTACAGAGGATAGGACAAAAACTGATTTCGAGCGCGCCTGTATAGCTTCCAAATTGGTGAAACTGATTTCGAGCGCGTCTGTACCAGTTGAGATATAATCGCTGTACAGGTCTTTGTACGTTAATAAGGACTACTGTCTGTATGACCACGGGCTGGACGAGCCACGTGGCAGTAATACCGACGTCTTGTACTGTGACCAATGGCGGAACGGGCCGCGATGCGAACCCCTGAACCGCCCGACCGTGACGAACGCGGAGATTCGCCACCGCGACTGGCGAGACCGAAACGCACCACTCGACCACCGAACAACTACGCTCGTGAGCAGGAAATTGATACTGATCGGCGGAAGACGCGTTCCCAGCAAAAGGAGAGAATTGAGCTAGGAGACCGGCGTGATGAGGCAACTTCGGACGACGCTGCGACCGAGCGCGAAGAGCTCGACGTCGGCGGTTTGGTCAGAGAGATCGCCAAACTCAGGCGAGAGATCAGACTCCGTGACGAAATACACAAGGAAGAAATTCAGAGAACCAGAGAACAGTTCGGTGCCGCCCTCGCGGAGGTCCGACACGAGCTACAGGCCCTGACGAATAGAAACACGACGCCGCAATGCCACTCTGAGACGTGCTCTCAGAACAACCACGATGCGATCCTGCGCGAAATCCAGTGCTTACGCGAGGAAATCAGTGTACCCGTTGTTGCAAGCTCTCCTTCCTACGCAGATGTCGCGCGCACTCCGCCGTCCAGTTACCCAAGCAACATACGGACCCTTTCAACGCTGAACACGACGCCCACCACCTTTACGGACACGCTGTATTGCACGATAGACACCTCGAAGATGGCAGACAAAGGGACAGGACTGACCTCCGCAGGATCGGTCAGAGCAGTGGTTGAGGCAGAGATGCGGTCAACAGAGGACCACGCGCACTGGCGCTGCCGCGCTGTTACCGTTGACCCGAAAAACGCCAACCGGATCAGGATCGCCTGCCGCGATGAGGATGAACAGCAGCTGGTCAAGAAGGTTGCAGAACAGAAAATCGGGGAGGGAGCTCGGGTCCTCCGTGACGAGCTCTACCCGATCAAAGTCGACAGCGTCAACAAGACTTCCGTGCTAGACGAGAACGGTGAGGTCCGAACCGACGCTGCAGCAGCGTTTAGTGAGGAGAATGAGGCCACCGTAGCCAAGATTTCATGGCTGAGTAGAAAAGAGAGCGAGAAGGCCTACGGTTCAATGGTGGTTTACCTGACCAAACGCATCGACGCGCGAAGGCTCTTGGCCGACGGATTTTTCCACGCGGGGGGATAATCTGGTGTGACCAGTGTCTTCGAACACCGACCGCGACCGACACAATGTTACAACTGCCAAGGGATAGGCCATAAGGCATTCCAGTGCAAGAAGGCCCAGAAGTGCGCGAAATGCGCTACAGAGGGCCATCGCCACAGCGACTGCAATCAAACGGTTCCAAAGTGTGTTCCGTGCGGAGGACCCCATGAATCGTACAGCAAGAACTGCCGGAAACTCTATCCATCACGTCATGAATAATTCTCTTCGAATAATTCAGCTCAATGTGAGGAAGCAGGGTGCGGTGCATGAGAGTTTGATGAACGACGAAGACACTCAAAACGCGGTGGCGCTAGCGATTCAGGAACCCCAAGCGAGGAGGATTCAGGGCCGGCTCTTGACCACCCCAATGGGGCATCACAAGTGGACAAAGATGATGCCCTCCACCTGGAGGGATGGGAGATGGGCGATTCGGAGCATGCTCTGGATTAACAAAGAAGTCGAAGCGGAACAAGTCCCTGTGGAGTCTCCGGACATCACAGCAGCGGTGATCAGGCTCCCCGAGCGGCGGGTCTTTCTGGCATCAGTTTACGTTGAAGGAGGCAGTATCTCAGCTTTGGACGATGCGTGCAACCATTTACGCGACGCGATCACAAAGGTACGACGAGAGACGGGCACCGTGGTAGATACTCTGATTGTGGGGGACTTCAACCGACACGATCAACTCTGGGGTGGAGACGAGGTATCGGTGGGAAGACAAGGGGAAGCGGATCCAATCATCGACTTCATGAATGAGTTTGCACTCAGTAGCTTGCTCAAACGCGGCACCAAGACATGGCATGGCGGTGGACAAAGTGGAGACTGCGAGTCTACCATTGACCTCGTCCTGGCTTCAGAAAACCTGACGGACTCCATGACAAAATGTGATTTACTCGAGACAGACCACGGCTCTGATCACTGCGCCATTGAGTCCGTGTTCGACGCCCAGTGGTCGGGCCCAAAGCACCAAGAGCGACTTTTACTCAAGAATGCACCATGGAAGGAGATTAACGCCAGGATTCAGAACGCTCTAGCCATCCTTCCGTCGGAGGGCACGGTACAGCAGAAAACGGATCGACTCATGTTGGCAGTGTCTGAAGCGGTGCACGCTTTAACCCCGAGGGCGAAACCATCACCACATGCGAAGCGATGGTGGACAGCTGACCTCACTCAACTCCGTCATATATACACGTACTGGAGAAACCGCGCTCGCTCCGAGCGACGGGCGGGGCGAAAAGTCCCCCGGCTCGAAAAGATGGCCCAGGATGCGGCCCAACAATACCACGATGCCATTCGCAAACAAAAGAAGAAGCACTGGAACGAGTTTCTCGCAGACAATGATAACATCTGGAAAGCCGCCAAGTACCTCAAGTCGGGAGACGATGCCGCGTTCGGGAAGATTCCGCAGCTCCTCAGAGCCGATGGAACTACTACGAACGATCACAAGGAGCAAGCGGAGGAACTGACATCCAAGTTCTTCCCGCCTTTGCCAGAGAACATCGACGAGGAAGGAGTGAGACCACAGAGAGCGCCTATAGGCATGCCAGCTGTCACTATGGAGGAGATAGAACGGCAATTGTCAGCGGCCAAGTCGTGGAAGGCGCCCGGTGAAGACGGCCTACCGGCGATCGTGTGGAAGATGACCTGGCCCACAGTCAAGCGCCGGGTCCTCGACCTCTTTCGAGCCTCACTACAAGAGGGCACACTGCCAAGACAGTGGAGACACGCGAAGATCATACCGCTCAAGAAGCCGAACAAAGGTGACTACACCATTGCAAAGGCATGGAGGCCCATCTCACTCCTTGCGACACTCGGAAAGGTACTGGAATCAGTGGTTGCAGAAAGAATCTCACACGCGGTGGAGACGCATGGGCTGCTCCCGACGAGCCATTTTGGGGCCCGGAAGCAGCGTTCCGCAGAGCAAGCCCTGCTGTTCCTGCAGGAACAAATCTATGCGGCGTGGCGCGGCCGGCGAGTGCTGAGCTTGATCAGCTTCGATGTCAAGGGAGCCTACAACGGAGTATGCAAAGAACGACTGATCCAGAGGATGAAAGCCCGAGGCATACCAGAGGTGCTGCTTCGTTGGGTCGAGGCCTTCTGCTCTGAACGAACGGCGAATATGCTGATCAATGGGCAATTATCTGAGACTCAAAGCCTGCCGCAAGCTGGACTGCCGCAGGGCTCGCCCCTGTCTCCGATTCTATTTCTGTTCTTCAACGCAGACCTCGTGCAAAGACAGATCGACAGTCAAGGAGGAGCAGTCGCTTTTGTGGATGATTTTACCGCATGGGTGACTGGGCCCACCGCGCAGAGTAACCGGGAAGGGATTGAAACCATTGTCAACGAGGCGCTCAATTGGGAAAAGAGAAGCGGAGCGACATTCGAGGCCGACAAGACGGCCATCATACACTTTGCTCCCAAGATGCGTAAATCGGACCATTCGCCATTCACGATCAAGGGGCAGACGGTGGTACCCAAAGACCTCGTTAAGATCCTGGGTGTCTTGATGGACACGAGGCTCAAGTACAAGGAGCATATCGCGAGGGCAGCGTCCAAGGGTCTCGAAGCAGCGATGGAGCTTCGGCGACTCCGAGGCCTGTCCCCAGCAACCGCGCGACAACTATTCGCATCGACGGTAGCACCAGTCGTGGACTACGCCTCCAATGTCTGGATGCACGCGTGCAAGGATAAAGCCATGGGGCCGATCAACCGAGTCCAAAGAGTAGGCGCGCAAGCCATCGTGGGGACATTTCTCACGGTCGCGACTAGTGTCGCAGAGGCGGAGGCTCACATGGCTACGGCACAACATCGATTTTGGAATCGAGCCGTGAAAATGTGGACAGACATCCACACCTTGCCGGAAACCAATCCCCTTCGCCGGTGTACAGATCAGATCAGAAAGTTCAGACGATACCACCGCTCACCACTATATCACGTGGCCGATACGCTCAAGCACATCGACATGGAGACATTAGAAACGATCAACCATTTCACGCTATCCCCTTGGGCAGAACGCGTGCAGACCGATATTAATGGGCAGCATGGATCCCCGGCCGAAGCGGGCGGGTGCATGCAGGTCGCGGTCAGCAGCTCTGCACGGAACGAGCTGGTGGGGTTTGGAGTGGCCATCGAGAAACGACCACCTCGAAATCGAAAGCTCAAACACAAAGCGCTATCCATCACCTTGGCTGCAAGAGCAGAGCAGAATCCATTCTCTGCGGAACTGGCAGCCATGGCACATGTGTTGAGCACGGCGACAGGACTGAAAGACTACAGGATCACGCTGCTCACAAGCAACAAAGCGGCGGTTCTCACACTCAGGAACCCCCGACAACAATCTGGCCAGGGGTTCGTGTGTCGGATATACATGTTGATTAAAAGGCTGCAGAGAAACGGAAACCATGTTCAATTGCGCTGGGTTCCTGCCAGTGAAGACAACAAGCTGCTAGGTTTGGCTAGAGTACAGGCAAGAACCTCGACACAAGAAGATGCCTTCCTACAAGAACACGCCCCGAGAATGAAATCGACCACACTCCATCTCGCACGGTCTCAAGCAGTCCCTCGGAATACCTTACCGGCGGACGTCGGAAAGCATGCCAAACGAGTAGATGCCGCACTTCCAGGTAAACACACGCGACTGCTGTATGACCGCTTATCGTGGAAAGAAGCGACTATGCTAGCCCAACTTCGGACTGGCATGGCGAGACTGAATGGATACCTCTTTCGAATCAACGCGGCCGACACGGACCAGTGTGCGTGCGGACAAGCCAAGGAAACTGTGGAGCACTTCCTCTTTCGATGTCGGAAGTGGACCGCACACCGGACGGAGATGCTACAATGTACCGACACTCACCGAGGAAATCTGTCCTTTTACCTGGGAGGGAAGTCCCCTTCCGAGGATCAAAAGTGGACGCCAGACTTAGAGGCAGTACGGGCCACAATACGATTCGCCATCGCGACAGGCCGACTCGAGGCCACCTAACCATGCCGACGAGCATAAATCACCCCTTTCACTCTCCTCTCACTCTAGCCTCACCCACCAACCACCTCGTGCTACCCGTGGTGGACGCGCTTCAACTGCCGAAGATAGGATGTTGAACACTTGGAGAAGCGCCTTCAAGCCAGTCTACTAACCGCATTACTAACCCACGAGCATCCGCTGCGACACTGCATGCTGAGAATGACAAATGCGCCAAGGTCTTGTGTATGGGCTCCAATGAGTCACAGAATTGTATATAATGTGATATGTATAGTAGTTTAGCGATAGTTGCCCTTTCGGCTCAGCCGCCGGGCGTTAATGAATTGTGTGTGTGTGTGTGTGTGTACAGAGGATAGGATATCCAACACTCACGAAATGCTTCATGTTCCACCGCCTTGAAGTTAGTCGATTAAAGATATGACAGCCAAATAGAAAGCCTGTTCATCAACATGGCGGATAGCATTGAATTGTTTCAATCATAAGGTTTCCATTATTTTCATTATAAGATAGTTTTATTCATCTTTTCTACGTAGCCTGTTCCGCCCATTATTAGAAAGGACCTAGCGGAAGGTTATCTAATGCGGACAGTTCATTTTGAGCAAGACCCACTGAAAATTTCGGGCAGTGGGTTTCTAGTTAGAGCGGGCTAAGAAGTGCATGGTCTTGGAAGATTTAGTGTGCAAATGAAGAGTAAGCAACAAGCGGATGCCCAACATTTTCACATCTTGGCAAAGTTGATGGCGTGACTAACCATCCTAACAGGACTTCATCGCCCACTCGATTCTGAGCCATTCAATACCACCAGAAAGGGGAGCCATCTGTAGCTCGAGCCGATAATGCAATATATAGAAATGCAAAACCCTCGAGTGACAATGACACCTTTGAGATTCTACCTTCAGAAGGCCTACGATATATCCCCTAAGCGATGGAACTCTCCACCGCTGCTACTAGTGCAGCAGAACCTTTCATCTCTTATCAAAGTCTTCCAACTCCCAGTTTGAACCGTGCCTGTAAACCTCAAGGCACCCAGACCACTAGCCAGTTTCTGCATTCGGGCTCTCTGGGTTACTCCAAAACTACACCTATAGGCCAGATATCATCTCCATTGATGTATAAAGCCCCAAGTAAATCGCCAGCTTCGAAAACTAGATCTGTGAGGCTGAAACACACCGCATTTCCGAATGCGTTGAGCCATACACCAACAACACCTAAGAAGGCCATATCGTCCCTTCCTTCTCAACAGGTGAAAAAGAGCCCCACTAAATCATACCAGAATGTCCCAGGGCAATCCAGTTCATTGGGGTCTGTGACCAGCCCATCCTCAGGGAGCAATTCTGAATTTAACGGCGCAGGATCAGAACGCGGAAACATCTCTACTGTGACAGCTATCATCGTCCTCGTCTCCTTTATTTGGCTTCTATGGCAGTAATTCCAGCTCTGGTTATTGGCAGTACGCCTGTATACAGTTTGCTAGTACAGGGAGAAGTTAAATGGCTCCAAAGCACTCGTAAGTCCACTACAACAAATGTATCGATCAATTTGCTAATATACAATATAGTTCGGAAAGACAGCTGCAACATGAGAGAAGATCAATGATCTTAGATTCAAATTTCTCAACCAGTGCGGATGCATATTCATGTTTTTCAAGTTCTGTATCTTTTCCAGATCTCGGTTTGAACCTGTCTCTATTCCGCTTTTATCTCGCTAGGAGAAAGGTCAATGATACAAAGGATTGCGATATCTACACTGGCACAGACCATGCGCATAGGAAGGCCTCCTGTAGTCTGGAAGAGAATTTTCTTAACTCTTATCTATATTGGGGTCTAGTCTTTACGATATTCATAGGGGGTTCAAGCAATAAATCAAGCTCAGAAAGTAACGATGAATCACCACTAGGCAATGCTTAAATTAGTCAGAGTATCGTGGTATACAACAGAAATTTGACCAATATTGTAATATCATGCTCTCTAACTATAAGAATGAAGTTGCCACTTTTTAGGACATGCTGACGAAGAATAATGGTACTCTTAAGTGAAGTTTCTGATTCCGGTGTCCTAGGAGAGTCTCAGGTAAATACCCAGAACTATCCATGCAGATCCACCATATATCTGACATTATAGCCCACCGTCAGGGCGATCTCCAAGACTCAAACAGCCACAGTGTTGAGATACATGAGCCTTTGAGATGTCATTGTCTGGATTATCAGGCCTGGCACCTCATGAAGCTCGCTTTCCATGGAAGTCTTCATAAAAGGGGACCACAATTCATCTCGCTTATGAGTGAGTACACAACACCATGTCTATGAATACTAGATGAAAGAGATAGTATAGATAGATAGAATTAAACAATTTCTTTCAGAGTATATGCTTAACATAGATATATGTCATATTGTTTGACACACAGCAGCGCACATACATACAATCGGCGTGGGACGAACGCTAATGAAAATGTTGAGATAGGCTTCTATTATAGCATCATAACGTTTACTACCGCGCTGGTAGATTCATCATACTTCTCATAGCCTGCAGAATAGGTCGTAATTCAACATTATTGTCGATTCGCGGCTGTGAAGCTTGCCGTACTGGCGACTGAGAAACAGTATGACCGAAAAGGTGAATACGGCGCACATCACCGGATTTAATGCGGCGGTTGCGGACAAGATTTGGCTTGTAAGCTTTGGAGGATTGGGCTAATGTCCATGGAACGGAGTAGAAAACAATGGGTCAACTTCCCATAAGCAGATATGAACAAGTGCGACTGCTGAGGCTCAATGCAACATATAGAGGATATATTATTCTGAAGTCTTTCGGCTTAAAACGGAAAGAAAAGGGGTTGTGATCTTCATTTTGGATACCAATCTTGTAGCACGGACGTTGAGTGTGGCTTCGGTGGGAGGTTGACTTGAAATGCACTTGAGGGCTTTTCTGGCTTGCTGCTTGTTGCCTACGAAGTTCTGTTGATTATCTCTGCTTAGAGATTACAAAGTTTCCAACGAGCGTAGGTGCCAGTGCGAAATATTTTCATGAAATAGCCGACTGCATGTTAACCCAAAATATTATTGCTGCTTACTTTTTTTGCTTCGTACGAATCGCCGATTATGGATTTATGGATACTTTTGAACAGCTACAATGTATTTTTAGCTTGACTCACGGCGTGTTAAAAAAAAGAAAAGAAAGGAAAGGAAGAGAAAATAAACGTTCATGCCACCGCATATATACACTTGAGGTGATAGTGAATATAGGCTCCAGGAATTGAAGAGTTTCTAGTTGGAGGCTCTTCCCACCTGTCATACTGTAGCAATAACAGAATTTGACTGAAGTATCAATAGGTTTAACGATTTGAACCTAATGAGAACGATCAAAATCGGCAGTGGAGACTTCACTTTTCAGAATTTGATGGCTGAATGTTGTACTCTAGGGTTCATGAGAACATAATTGCCATTTGAAAAATGAACATTCCGGTTATGAAGATGGGATGCTGCCACCTAGTCAACATAGTTGTCCAAGTATTAGAGTATCCTTCATTATGCGACAGACATTTCGTTTCCAGAGAGACTCCTCTAGTAGTATAAAATGCAGTGGGTTCCACTTCAAGGAGCATATGATGGGTTCACAAGGAAATGAACAGGGCATCTGACACTCGATGCGACTGGAATGTATCTTTTACCGCAAGATGGTCGTAGGTGGTAAATTAAACAATTATGTTATTATTGCACAGTTATTCGTCTCCACGTGTAGACCAGTGTTTTGGTAATATTGACCTGGTTTATATGGCCATAACAAGCTCTTATTTTCTTACAGTTATTGTATCTATAAATGCCTGAAGCGTAGGCTTTACGGCAAAAATATCATTGCCATTAATAATTTGCCATTTGAATCTTTAATCTCATGTACCACTGAAACATTTGGTTCCATCCGACCTGTCAACTATGGCGGAAAGTGACCGTGAAGAGTTCATTTATGGAAAATATGGCCAGGGCTACTCTGCCTCTACGGAAGTCATCCGAGAGCAAGAGTACCCTAATTTGAATAGTATGTCCCCCTCCTTGATACCATTCCATCCACCTGTACTGACCATTATCCTATACGGGATACAGAGACAATTTATCTTGATCATGCCGGTACAACCATTTATGCCAAGTCATTGATCACGGCGTTCTCGCGTGATATGAATTCGAGTCTCTTTGGAAATCCCCATTCAATGTCTGTATCTTCGCAATTGTCCACACGGCGGACAGAAGAGGTGCGAACTCGGGTCCTCCAGTTCTTCAATGCTAGCCCCGAGGAGTTTGATGTGGTATTTGTGGCAAACGCGACAGCTGCTATTAAATTGGTTGCCGACTCGTTTCGGGATTGTGATTCTCGGGGTTTCTGGTATGGGTATCATGTTGACTCTCATACCAGTGTCGTTGGTGTGAGGGAAGTTGCCGAGATGGGCTATTCGTGGAGATCATACAAGGGCGATGGAATATGAAGATGTGAATATTGTATTGCGGACGGAGGAGAGAAGGAGAGAGAGAGAGAGAGAGAGAGCGAGAGATATCTATCTATCTACTCCATGGGAGACTATCCCAATGTGGGATGTCACCTGACATCCCCAACAGCTATCAATGCTTCCAAGATGTCGATGTGGATGCTTGGATCGCCGAGATAGGCACAGCTCAGTCAACAGCGCCCAGGCTGTTCGCATTTCCAGCCCAATCTAACATGAACGGTCGACGTCTCCCAATCCGCTGGTGTGAGCAGATCCGTTCCGCTGCTAATGAAGCAGGGAATGTATTCACTCTTCTTGATGCTTCCTCGTTTGTGTCAACCGCTCCTCTCGACCTAGGTAAAGCAACTGGTGCACCTGACTTTACGGCATTGAGCTTTTACAAGATCTTTGGATTCCCTGATCTCGGAGCGTTGATTGTCCGAAAAAGCGCTGCCCGCATTCTCGAACGACGAAAGTTCTTTGGCGGGGGCACAGTAGATATGGTGATAGCATCCGGAGCGCAGTGGCATGCGAAAAAGGAAACCTCGATTCATGCGCACCTTGAGGACGGAACTCTTCCTTTTCACAGCATTATCGCGCTGGATGCCGCCATTGACACTCATAAACGTCTGTACGGGTCAATGGCGAATATTTCTGCCCACACTGGGTTCCTCGCTAAGCGAGTCTATGATCGACTTTCTGCAATGGTACACTTCAACGACGCCAAGGTCTGTCAGATCTACCAAAAAGGTTATGAAAATCCAGCTTTGCAGGGCCCGATCATCGCTTTCAATCTAAGAGATAGTCGAGGGGAATGGATTCCTAAGACCGAGGTAGAAAGACTAGCCACAATGCAGAATATACAACTGCGTTCTGGGTCAGTGTGCAACCCTGGAGGAACAGCATTCTCTCTTGGATGGACAAGTCAAGAGCTGCGCCGTAATTATGCCGCGGGTTTACGATGCGGCGATGACCATGACATGTTGGGCGGCCGGCCGACTGGCATCCTCCGTGTCAGTCTGGGGGCAATGACCAACCTGGACGATATTGACTCGCTCACTGATTTCATCGAGAAGTTCTATGTTGAGAAAGTACCTCCATTGGTCTCACTACACCCTCCCCTGGATGAAGACAACCTGGCCGCTCCTCACTTTTATGTTGACAGTGTGACTATATTCCCCATCAAAGGGTGTGGCGCATTCAGGATCCCTGAAGGCAAGAGTTGGGAAGTCAAAAGAGAAGGAATCGCATGGGATCAGGAATGGTATCTCGTTCATGCTGGGACTGGTGTTCCTATAAAGCAGAGGGAGCACCCTCGGATGACTCTTATACGTCCCTCTATTGATATCGACCGCAACATCCTTCGCATCACCTGCGACGCCAAGGCTGCAAATGACAAACTAAGCCTCGAAATACCTCTTACATGGAGCCGCACGTGCATGGGTACGATGACTACTCCAGTACGTTCGAGATGCCAAAAACAGCCGGTCAGTGCCTGCGAGGATCAGTTGTGTCTTCGCGCCTACGCCTCACCAGTGGTTTCGTCGTTTTTTACCGATTTCTTAGGCGTATCTTGTACACTCGCACGGTTTTCCTCACAAGACACAAGTCTAGATGTGCAGCTCCCACACCTTGCCAGTACCTGGAAAGATCGGCTTCGGAGATTCACCAGGTTCGGACTCTTCTCGCCCAGTGATCAATTCCCCCGAGAGCGTGGCCAGAAATGTCTGGTCGTGTCCAGCGAAACGTCCCTTTTGATTGTTTCCAGATCTTCTGTCAATTGTTTGAATGAAACCATCAAGGCCAACACCAAGTTGACATCTGGCGTTAGCAGAAATTTTGCTGCAGATGTATTCCAGGGCAACATCGTGATCGCGGAGCGGAACTCTCAGCCAGGGCACGCAGAACAGCCCTACGTTGAGGACAACTGGACGTCCGTTTCTATCGGGCAGGACGACCTTCGATTCGATACTTTTGACCCGTGCCAGCGCTGCCAGATGATATGTGTCGATCAAGCTACGGGCGTGCAACGCATTGAAATACTTGCTGCTCTTCCCAAAAAGCGAAAGGTCGATGGGAAAGTTCTGTTTGGTAGATATGCGGCCATTTCCACAAAGGGAGCCAAGGGTGTTGAGTCAGGGGTGCCCGGCAGCAGGTCGATTATGGTGGGAGATGTTGTGCTGCCATCATATCAGAATGATTGAGCTATTAGAAAGTGGTTTTTACATCTATTGGCTTTCCTGTTGATCCTCCGGCGCTTTGATTTTGGACATTTGTAGTCAAGTGATCTACGACCGGCCTCTGAAGAAGTTTTGAGAGCCGGAGAGTCTATCTGCCTTGATTAATGTGTTGTTTGGGTATTTGTACCGACTTCAGGCCATACAGTATGGAATGTATCTTTAGTGGGCAAATAATGGAGTTTTGTAATCTAGACTAGAACTCACTTTGAAGTGCTATTTACAGATTGCTGTCATTGTAAGTGGTTGGTACTCCTAGTCAACTGGCTTACTAGTCACTGTTCCTTCTGGAGATTTTGGGCTCGAGTCCCAGCGCCGGTACAGCAATAGCCACCCTCGCACCTCTATGGAGAGGCACAACAAGTTGGGATAGTTGAATTATCAGATTAAAGTGGGAACGAGGCCCTTACCGGTGAGGCTCAAAGCTCACTGCAGGAAGTTTGGACTAACTTCAGTCGATCAAAAATCATGTATTTGCACAGTGATGGTAGCCCCGTCGAAACTAAGTCGTCAGGGTAAATGAAACCTCTTTGTATCCCTCCATATTGTAGGAAGTATTTCGTTTAACTATTCTTATCATACTTGACGAACATAAACTTGCGTCTTTTGAGAAGAACAAAACAGTTGAAAGTAGGATGATGAAAAACAATATTTTTGTCGAGCAAAATCTCGATACTCTGCGTGTACAAGTACGAAGGAGAGAAGACCTGAGAACTAAAAGCGAGGCAAGGATTTAGAAAATTCCTGACGATATATATGACCGATTATCAGTCTAATTGAAGTAGCAGGACACCGTGATCTAATATAGGCTGCTGTTTCAACGACATAAAGATAGAAGCCATTCGGTACATATATTACATTATACGAAGGCACCACGCATCGGGCTATCAAGAGAGGATCAGGAGTGCAATTGGAATTGGATCTAACAATCTGTGATATATCCACTATTACCACAATCCTTCGCATTCAAGCTACACTGGAAATATTCGGAGGCAGAATTCATAATTTCCAAGCTCCAGAAGACATGCGGTACAGTGGATTCTGTGTTTTCGCTCAGGGGGTAAGCCCTAATGCCGTTTCCAATACAACTCTAGAGTAACGAACAGCAGTGTATGCCAAAGCCAAGTGCATCATGTAGAGGCTGGACCTCCAGCTACCAAATATGCCTATAGTCTCCAATGGTTGGATCATGTAAACTACAGCACCGAGAGTATTGCATATCGCGAAGCGACCGATGTGAACGGCGAGCAGCGAAAGAGTGGGTACCGTCCCAGTCAGGGCGTGGATGGTTGGAACCAGTGAAAGCAGTCCCAGTGAGACACAGTGGTAAGGGAATCTCGTTCGTGCCGTAGAGATGCTGGGATCCCAAATCAAAAAGTCCACTAAGTTCCCAACGGCAACCAAGGTGAATGCAAACAAATAGCCAAGCTGGATGGAAGGCTGTGCGGGGAATAGCAAGACCACGGCTGGAATCGTTGACGCCCAGATAAGGATCAAAATCCCCCCGAACTCAAGCTTTTGCCAGTTGGCTGCGTCGTCTCCCTGGAACGCAGATATTAATCGGTAAACCAAGCTTGACAAGTACCACAATATTCCGCCGCCGCAAAAAGAGATGACGGAGAGTGAATTAATGATCGCATCTGTAGTTGAGGGGAAATGGAAGAGCAGATATTGGAGAACAAAGAGAGAAAAGTAGGTCAAACCGAAAAGGTCGATGACAATGATGACTGCAGAGTCGCGCAGACTTTGGACTTCGGGGTTGGACATAATAATCCGCTTGCCAGGAGCTTATGATAGCAGGTGATCTAGTGGGTTGCAGCAATTTATAACTCCGGTCGGCGGTAGGTTTAATACAATAGTAGGACCAGTCCCGATATTTTTCACACAGTGACCCGCACAAAAGGCTCTAATACCCTCAAAAATGGAAAAAAGAAATACTGAACGCAGGTTTATAATGGCTTGTTTTTTATGGTCCATCTTCCACAATGAACGATAATCATACCTCCAGAAAGCGTAGCGGGTGTTAGTCCAGCAATTGGTCGGATTCATTCCAATTCAAGGCTTTTGTACAGTACTCCGGTTCAGCGGGGGAAATCTACATATACTGGTTATGGGATACCGCTATATCACTCCCTCGTTTCATATGTACAGTACGAAAAGTAGTGTTCGTGTGGACGTGAATAGATAAACAAAAGCTATTTGCATAGCCCAAGCACCCAGGACCTCCCTTCACCCAAGACGCCCCAAGTGGCCAGGATATGAGTTATGTTTGTGAGTATGATGGTTAATGGCTCTGTTAGTGCGTCTTGGGCACAATAGCCAAGTGGCTGCACGGCACCAGAGGGCTCTGACTGTACTGTTGCCATGTCGCAAGTTGACCAGTTTTAACATAGATGATGACACTTAGTTGCGTACAGCATGATATTTGATGGATTGTGAGAGTCCTAAACTTTCTGCTCCAAATAACCACAAGGGAGGGGCTGATGACCTTCTGGTCTGCCCATAGCTTGTCTGGCCAGCATGTAACTACCGTATTCGAAAAGGCCAATTTCCATTTTCAGTAGCTAGAGGTGTTCCACCTTTTAATCGATAACTGTGTAATATATAAAGCTGGAGCTTATAGCGGTCTCTAGGATTCGAGGCCAATTGATCTTTCGATTCCAACGCTTGAAGATACGATGAAGTCTTTATCCATCAAGAAAAGCGTTTACTAGAACCTATATCATGCCCACGAAGCCCCGCCGCCGACGTCCAAGGCTAAAGCCAGCAACTTCGATCCCACAGTCTGAGCATGGTATGTGTTTTTCACCTCCCCCGAGTCTCAAATTTAATTTATGAACCAAGAATCCCGAACTCTCGCTTCCGCGTTCGCAAGTCTACGATTGCCTGATATACCATTCCAAGCACAACACTATATTTTGAAAGCCTTGCAGTGTCGTTTAGAGCAATGTGGGTTCGAATTCCTCCAGCGATGTTCATTGAGCCAGATCCAACCACTTGAGTGGGGGTATCCGGAGGAGATGGAGTTACCCAAATTCTTCGAAGTACTTCGAAATTGCTTTGTGCTCTTGAACTCAAAAGCAATCATGAGCTGGAAGCATAAAATCACAGAAATTCGCCATGCCGCAGTTCACCGAGTTGCGCAAAACCGGCATTCGATTTGCAAAAAGCTTGACGCCGCCGTCGCGTTCGCGAAAAGCCTTGAGGATTCTAAATGTGCCGAAGATATCCGACTTTTCAAGTTGAGCTTAGATGGCCTATTAGCTGATTTGGATGCGCGTTCCAAACAGCTAGTATGTCGAACCAAGGCACAGCTTTACCTTTGCAGATGCCATCCTCTGAGGCTGAGAAGAAGATTCTTGTTGTTACCAGAAGCCGTCAAAAGAATGGCTGAGCATAACGAGCGTCACTTTAATTCCCTCGTTCAAGGCGCGCTTAGAGACTGCCTTTCCTCTAGAGGTTGGATTCTTTAAATCATTGATTCCCAAGGCTTTACATAATGAATTGTGTACTCATCATCTGCATACATTATCCACACACGACGCCCAATTGGAGGGAGACCCCACTCCCTTTGCCGATCTTTATAGGTATTCTACATATATACTCGGGTCGTCGAACCCGGACACCACTAGAGGAATAGCAAAGTTTGGTTATTATGGGCTTTGTGGAGTAAGGGCCAGTTGCTGATTGTTTCCACATTTGCCGCCAACATCAGCTGAAGAAACAAGGAGCCAAGATATGCGGAAAAATGTTGTCCACAAAGCCCCATTTATACTGCGCACAATTTCTAGATTAATTCTACTGTGAGGGGAAGTTGGCACCGTGTGATCATAGATGGATGCCTAATGTGCCGGCATTGCATTTTTCCTCGCCGAAGTTGATCATAAAGCACTACCATCTAGACCGGGTACGAAATTTTGTTTTGGTCTAATTGCATATCCAATTCCGAAGCGACCTATAACAACTATATATTCTCTTTACGCTTATGTACAATGTACCTCACATAAAGGTGCATATTTACTATTTGTCAGCATGTCTTACAGTACAAAATTGTCAATTTCATGTTTTTATTAAGTTAGAGAGTTTGATCTTACAGTGTAATGATATAATTATGTAGAATGAGATCTTCTTCCGATTTAGACTGGAAGTTGTGTGACTCTTTGGTCAGGTTAGATCTTATCTGGTACAGTGTGGATGGATGGATGGGTGACGTCATTCACCTTGACCCCTCGCAAAAAGAAATGCACTTCGTGTTGCGATGCAAGTATTGTACCAATTGCGTGGAGACCACCTTGGGCTTAGTGACTGCGTCTCGATTCTCAGCGTCCGGATTGATTCTCAAACTTTTTACCACGTATTAATCACACATTGTGCAGATAGAGCGAAGATGCATCAACTTATGTACCACTTCATGAAGTAGACTTCGGCAAAGGGGTTAGCTCAAGAACAGTGTCAGACACGGCCTATCTCTCGTCCTGCTTTTCACGTTCGGTAGTGAATCGTTCACGTTCAGCTCCAATCAGAAGCTATTTAAATTTCGCAGCTACAACATACTAGCACTCTTCTACAAACTCCTACTTGCTTAAGACGAAGCTCTAGACCGTCGCCCTATGTACAAGCCATATCCCATTGAATCTAAGTTGCCGAAACTTGCTCATTGAATTAAATGTTTCCACACTTTTTGACGTTCTGGAGTGTTGAATACAGGAGGTTTGGGGAAGACCAACTCAGCCGAAGAATCTAATATATAGTCTGCGGGGGTTTTGTGGACTGCGGGCTGAGGACGCTCTTTCTAAAATATCATTAGTTTCCAGACGTTGTTCTGTTCCTCAATCCGGAACCTACCATTTGCTCCCTAGTCGGAACAGGCATCTCGGGATGGGAGCTGTATGTATAGATTCGCTTATTGGGCATTTCCATTACCAACCAACTTCGAATCGCGTATAAGCGCCAGAAGTCATTGTGGCGCCGAAGAAGATTGTTGCACCGTTTGCGGAGTTGCTCTTGCTTGACACGACTCAAGGTGGATGTCATTTACGCGGTCTGTGGACCTCGGAGTCCTGAAACGAACTTTTTTAATAGCTTCCTGTGATAAGAAAGAAGAGAGGGCTTTCTCAATTTAATATATCTCCATCATGTACCGGATATGAAAGCTGTTCACTTGGAAGACCCTGTTAAGTCCTCAAAATAGCGACTGCTTTGGCTAATGTTGGGCCGTTTATTCTCAATCGTTGCTTCCTTAACCATGTATATTAGTGAGGGCAAGGTAAAAAGATGAACAGGATGACACTTGATACGTGGAATTATTTTCTGCTGGTGGAGATTTAACTGTCATGATATTGATCTGTACCGGCACCAAATGAAGACCAAAAGCCCTGGTCAAAAGCAAGTTTTGACTTGTGCATATTGATGGCAGAAAAGAAAAAGTGAGTAGCGCAATATTTCGAGCAAATATTTATCTGCCTATGCAAGCGGCAGGGGGAAATAGTGGGCGTTGATGTCTTAACAGGTAGTCCACGCGTTTTACACATGCGTTAAGATATCCCGTTCGTACCTCTTACCAAGCATTGCACCACTCAATTATACTACGACATTGTGCCACCTACGCCACATTCATCTATTTGGCTACATTCAGTGTGTTCTATTGGGCGTGGTATACATAGAAGCCCCGAATGTCTAGAAAATATGTATAGATTCGGACCATATGAGAATGAAACCCACCCCTGGCTGTTCAGACATTGTCCCCGAGTTTGACCGTCTGAAAACCATCAGGGCAATTTATCTCAATGCAGAACTTGTGGCTTTTATCGAAAAGGCTCACTCATCGCTTCGGTCACGAGGACGTTTCAAGCAACGGGATTGTCACAAGAGATCTCTTCTTCATTACGCTGCCATGGGGAACTGTACAAATCTCCTTTTAAATCTCCTGCAAAGCAAGTCAAATGTTGATTCTCGTGACCAGTGGGGGCGGAAATCACTCTCCTGGGCTGCTGAGTACGGCTCATTGGCTGTTGCGAAAATTCTACTGGAGCAAGGAGCAAACGTCAATGCATTGGATTATGAGGGCGGCTCACCGTTGACATGGCTGATTCACGCCGGCAACCCTAAAACGACAAGCCTAGCGGCTACTGAGACTTAACTCAAAGAGAGGGGCGCGAAAGAAGTCAAAGTGAGCGGCATCAAATGGGCCTGTATTTGGGTTCTGACTTATTCTCGCTTACTCCGATACATTCGCCCGCGTATCTAAAGCTCCCGATAACATGCAAAAAGCTGGTTGTACACTACGCCAATACGTATATCAGACGAAGGTCATGAATGGGGCATCTGATTTTCTTGTTTTCTTTCTTTCGTGTATATTTAATCTTGTTGAAGTAGAAATGCAAAGCAAGTTGAATTCAGCACAATGAATTTCCGAATTTATTTTTCATTATTAAAAACTCTAGTCTTGCCTGGCGATCCAAAACTGTAGGCTAGGGAATGTATGTTCTCGTTTCCACTTTAGCCCGTAAAGAGGCTGGTACATTTGACCCCGGATTGTCTAATAGAAGGCTTCGAGTTCATGATTCTTTGTATTGACGATATAATTGAGCGTATCAAGTAGCACTAGGTCTTGCAAAATTTGTTTGGTATGGCCAAAGCCCTGGGCGATGCTTGGAAGCAGGATAAGACGACATATTCATTTCTTATTCTCTTTAGGGGGCAGAGGCAATCTAGCTTGTATATGCTAGATAGGATGCCATAATGCCCTGGAGCCGGCTCCGTTTACTAGAGACTACGTCACAACTCTCTGAGGTAGGGTACAGTAGCGACTAAATACAAAGAAACATGATATCGCTCAAGTTGGAGATTCTTAGTAAACTCGCAATAGAAGCCCGAAAGTGATCATACGTTACAAAAAAGTACAGGTCCGCTCGAAATCAGTTTCACCACTTCATTCTCTTTGGTTATTCTCAAATCTTGGACAGACCCGCTTTGGTCTACATATGGCCTAGATCATCTTGAAAAGTCGAATAGGAAATTGGTGATCAGCGTTGACTAACTATATCAAGCCTAGTGCCTTTATAATTAGAGCCAGAGAAATAATCAAAGAGAACAAAATGGTGAAACTGATTTCGATCCGCCGTGTAACCCTTTCGTAACATCAAGGTTTTAGAGTATTGGTTTTTTCATAGTCAATTACCTGCAAAACGAGGTCGCGAATCATGAAAATGCCGACGTTTGCCATGTAACCTTCTAGATACCGGAATCCTAGAGGGATAGGCTATGTGTAGGACATTGTCAGCTGACTATCGTAGTAAAAACATGTTGTTCATAGTTGACTGACCTGGCTTCGTATCCGCGCCGGCCTTCCTCGGACGAAGATTAGCAGGAGAGCTAGGATTGGTTATCTTCGATGCTGTTAGCCGAGAATTCTTGATATGCAATCGAGAAAATCTGATAAGGGGAGGTTAAACTAAACCATAGGATTCTTTTGAGTCTCAAAAGGCCTTGGATGGATTGCAAGACCAAATATCTAATATTAAGATTAGCACGGCCTTCGATAAGGTATAGATAACAGAACTTACCAAGCTGACAGCTAATGCTAACGTTACCCAAATAGCTGTTTTAGAGATCATGTCTTTCAAGGTCGTCCGATACTCGTGACAACTCAATAGCTTTCTGTCAACGGAAAAGTATTCAGAAGTTAGTACGTCAAGGTGTTAATCTTTGATATTTATATTTTGGGAGACTTTGGCCGTTTACGTTTAAAACATAATTTTTTTCTGGAGCGTATTGTGTGACCGGGCTTACAAAATGAATGTAATCAGTCAAATGGCGGTCTATGCTATTGGAGTTTGAATAACGAAAAATGAGCCAAATGTTAATCTATTCAAATTGAAGCCTTTCCTTCTGAGTATTCAGGAATCGAATGCGGTGCGTAGCTTTTGCCAGGACACAAAAAATTTAAAGAAGCAAATTCCACTCATGTGTGTATGATGACACCAGTTTTCGGATTACATACCGTAAAAGAGAATTTCCGAAGCCAAAAATATCAATTGCTAAACTGCATAAAGTGGTTCATGAGGATCATTGAACCTGCTTTCATCCTTTTGTGCCGGGGCAACGTTGGTACTTTTGCGAGCAGTTTGAAAGCTGCTTACGATACCGAAGCCATAAAATAAATGTGATGGCCGATAGGGAAAGCACGAGTACACTTTTTGAGGGCGTAATAAGTTTCCCCACCCCACCATTTACTTCACACACTTGCATTCGTCGCGCGCTTCCCATCCACACGCGATAAATATGACTGACACCTCTCTTTCCTCCAAATTTCATCGGGGTAATGGCTTTGCTACCTTGCTTTGATTTTTTCCACTTTATTGTTTTTTTAATCAAAACTACGCCATTGGCGGTCATACTTGCTTATTCGAAGGCCAAATTGCGTCGCCAACAATGGGTCTTTGGTCCGCTTGCTGAATTGTAGTACTATAATTAGGGACATCTGCTATGCGAGGAAAATAGGAAAGCCTCACAGAATGAAACTAACACCGTCTGAGTTTCCAATACCTTTTGTCTTATGATCGTTATGCTAATCCATTTGTAGAAGCCAGTTGTCCCATATATCTCTGGGGTTGGTCACGAATCTAGTAGATACTCCATTACTTTTGCCGTCGGCATCAAGAGCTGGAACAACTGCGATTACGGAGACATTCCATGTCCACAGTATTTTACAAAAAGTGACACTGGAACCTGTCGTCCAATCCACTGGTACACGATCATCCTCTGATGAGGAGATCTCCGTTACATTTCTGGAGAAAGGTTTAGAAATTGAAAGCTCAAAACAGACTTTCTCGTTCTTAGAGCTACTACCAACAAATCAAAACAAAGCACCAGCAGTCACCGTTTTCAATGACCACTTTGCCAAGCAGACGATAGCAACAGATGCGCATAAAGCTTCTGGATTGTCTATGAAGTGGGAAGGCAGCCATGATGTGAACGAAGAGGCCGAACCATTCATCCCATCATCATCCTTCGTTACCGCCACAAAGGATATATCGTCAGTTTATAATGCGGCTGATGCTGTGAATGACACCACAATTATATTGTGGACGAGTAAAACTGTCGCCCCCCCGGCAAGCTACATCATGAGTCTCACAGAAGATTCTAGCACGCCTTCCTATTTTCCTCGCCTTCACATGTCTGTATCAAAAATAGAACCATTCAACCTTTTTCATACACCTCCTCACTCAATGGAAGAATTGATCAGGCCGATGAAGCAAGTGCCTTCGCCAGACAGCTTTTTACATAAAGTAGGAGAATCATCTTCGCATGGGTATTACCATGCACAGACGGTGGCGAAGAAACCTCCACCGATCTCAGAAAAAGTGACACACGCTGGAACAACTTCTGGTTATCATTCTGCTACCTCTTCCGAGGGAAGCATCCGGCTAGCATTAGCATCCGCTAAGCCTTTTCCGACCTACATCGAGACAAATTCTGTACTCGCGAGCCTGTCGGGATACGGGACTTTACAAACCGCTTCCCCAAGCCATCAGATAGTCATATCAGCTTTGTCATCCACATATTCTTCCAGAGCGATTCCTTTTACGAGTTCTTCATTACCTGCCTCTCCAACTCTCCTAGCTGCAAACGATGTTGAGATGGACGGAAGCAAAGCATCGCAAATTCTTCCGAAGCAAAGTCTGAAATATATTCTGGGAGTCGTGTCCGGTGCTTGTGTGGTTGCTGCGTGCATTGCTTTCTTACATAAGCCCTGTTATCGGTGGGCCCGTCAAAGCAGAAGAGGCACAATTTTGATTGCACATGTTCCAGAGAGATATGATGCAAAAAGACAGCTTCCCTTCCAGGGTTCTGACCAGCTGGAAATTTCACGTTTCTCTCTAGATTCATGATACTTTTGATAGATAGAATTTTTTCTTAGCGGGATCATGAACACTTTTTTAACCTCAAACCTCAGGCACTGGTACTGTCATATCCAAACTAAACCGTGTTCAAGACAGATGAAAAGGGTGAGGAGGATAACGAAGATAATCTGAGTCAATGGCTGTCTTCATAACCTTGTACCTGAATATAGCATGGTAAGGTGGGGTTACGGATTCCAGTATCTATCTGATTTGGATTCATGAAATTCTTGTCGACCAAGTTCTGCAGCGAACAATCATTGCCTTGGTCTTCTCTAATCAAATAAAAAGATTTATAATAGCTATTTTGTCCCAGACTAAAAGGTGCAAACAAAATAACATTCAGGATGAAGAATTCCAGCGAATTGGATTGATTCTCAGTGGGGGGCAGTTTCCGCGGTTTCCCAAGAATACCAAAGGACCAGGTATTGAATTACTTGGCGACCGTTGAGATTTACGGTCCTTTTGGTGACTGTTTTGAGAGCTTTGATGCCTTGAATACTCTGTTCTTAAACAATTATGTCAAAGTCAGTATTACGTCGAAATGGATGCTGGCTTACCGTTGCGACATCCTCGATCTCGTCATTAAGAATAGTGTAGCCTGAACCTTCAGGGTCTGAGGACTTGGTTGAAACGCCCGAGAGGCTTTCAGAGTCTGATACAACGAATTCTCGATCTTCGCTCGTCTCTGACGGGACATATTCAGAGTCAGGGTCCGAATGCGTGGTGTCCTCGACATCGGATCCACCGGAATCCAGAGCGGTGCCGCTGTAAGAAGACTCATTGTCTTTTGGTGTATACTCCGGCAGTTTCATTGCGGTCAAGTCACGTAATGGGGAAGAAGCTACTAGAGGAAGTTACTGGGGGAAGCGTTGTGATATATAAACCCAGGGTCTCTGTCCTTTTTTCCTTTACTTTGTACTGCATGGAATTCATCATTTCGATGGCAAGTTTAACGGGGGAGTCATGTCTCGTCAATCTGCCATCTGTTGAAACCCATCACAAAGGCCATGCAAGAAGTAGAAACGGAGGGCTTTCTTCCACTTCCAGTACCATCTCTTTCTCGGGCCTTTGAAGCAATCGTCTAAGGGCTATTTGTAAAGTGAGTCGAAGCCAAAAGCCTATGGAGGCTGCGGTAAGACAAAAATACAATTTGAATATATGAGTCAAATCTAAAGTAGCCAGGCAATTCAAATGGCCAACGATCCAAATACTTTCTCTTTCAAGACTGATAAAATAATCCACAAGAAATTTCATCATTACCCAAACCAGGAGGCATAATCCAATTATGCGATAAGTAATCACGGAGGGCGTTGCCTTGACGTTGTAAGGGCTGACCGTTAATTTCATATTCAACGATGATTATGACAATGTCCGCATGTACTATGCAATGGATTCAGTCTGATCTCCGGTCAAACTCTCCAATGAGCTGTCTTCGGGTATTTGATTTTGAAGTAAGTAACATTGATACTGGGGAGCAAAGGAATTCACCGGATATCAATCGTCTGTAGTTACTCGTTTTGCACACCATCACAATTCTCTAAAATCACAATATGACCAAATGAACCAGATTATGAGGCCAGACCGGTTGAATCACTGTAAAAAAAATGGTTTGCATAGAAATTAGTTGACCAGGTACCCCGTCGAATCACCCCTCCCCTCTCGCCCATGCAATCTGGTTAATAAACCTATTTAATTACCAGCCCCCAGCATTTTCTGTCCGCAAATCTTAATTCTCCGCCCTCCAGCCATACTGTAATGAAACGTTGCACACACACACACAATTTATTAACGCCCGGCGGCTAAGCCGAAAGGGCAACTATCTCTATTGTATATTCGTTTAATCCATAGCATGTTCGCGTGCCCGCTCGTCCAAGATATGTAGGCGTGACCCTCCGATGCTCGCAAACTCTACTACGCAGACCGGCGTGGAAAGCGACGGCCAGTCCCTGGTCAGCGCTGTTCCCAGCTGCTCGGCCAGACCTACAGTTCTAGTCGAGTATCCAAAGGTCGGCGAGAGATTGCGCATGATAGTTAAGTTCAAAAATAGAAGCTGAAACATGTGCTAAATTTTGTGTTCTATATAATATATCTTGCGTTTAATCTCCAACTGTCGCCACTTCTTTCTCTGAATCCCAATTTGATGTCTCTTTTGAACGTTTGCCCTAGATCGGTCGACTGCACATATTACAAGAATATATCTCCGGACTTGAATTCTATTCTTAGGGCACTAGTAAATTAACGCGAGAAAAAGGAAAGAAAGAAGAAAGCCATGCAGGGTCTCCAGGTTCTGTTCAACATCACATATGGGTCACTTACGCTGGGGATGGCACGACATGGAAAAGTTTCCAATTTGACCTTTAGCAAGATTAAATCCGATTCCTCTGATTTTGCAACCATCCTCCCACTTGCAAACCCTGATCCGATCTCCCGACTTCCACGGCAGAAAACTTGCAGAAATCTGTGGGCCACAAAACTCCTGAGGTAGAAGAAAAGTTTCCTGGTGTTTTGGCTCTGAGCCAATTTTTTTCAGAAACGTAGAAGGGATGCGGCCAAAAGAATCATTTACTTCATTGTAACCCATGGCTTCGTTCCCTTGGATCCATGCATGGACGATGATTGAGTCCCCGGGCCTCGCTGTAAGAAATTCGTGGGTTTTACCAGTGTATGGTTTGTTCACGAGGAAAATCTGAGGAACGGGTGGAACCTCCAATTGGTTGACATCAGCTGTCTCTGGAGGTTGAGCCGACTCATTGTCAACAGCGTTTCCAGGGAATTTTTCGGTTATTAGAGATGCAAGTCGTTGGAACTCAGGGTTCTCAAATTGAACATTTTGTTCTGCCAGGTACTCAAGTTCCTATGAAAGAAATGTTAGCAAGGAGTTGTATCGAGAAATGGACTAGACTTACAGCATGAAGGATGCGTAAATGCATCCTGGCTTTGCTCATAACGACATCGGTATCACGGCCTTCACGAAGGCTTTCGACATCAGCGCCTGGGATAACGGACGGCATTGTCGATTTGTTTGGGCTCCGGTCTCTTTCAGTCGAAGGACTCTTGAAGTTCAGGCGAAATAATCATTGAGTGAACGGGACTGGGGGATATTTATCCCCTTCCATTAGCACAAAATCAGAAAGGCCTAGGCTATGTACTCCAGCCAAGGAATGGTGCATATGCAGTAGATCAGCTTCTGAATATCAACATTCCAAACCGTGAATGAGTTGGAATGTAGAGTCCGTGAAAGATATTAGGCCCGAGGAGATCCCCTTGCGTCTGGAAACCACCCTAAGTTTTCACTTCTTCCACCAATCCTAATTTCGCATGCTCAGTATTTTGTTCCAATATTTTAGTTTTCTCCCATAGATTGTAGATTTTAATCTCTGAAAACGAAAAGTTTCACCCACCTGGCTATGCCCTATTCTAAATCATTTACCCCCGGGAGGTCACCCGAGCCACTAAAATTCTCTAAGCGGGCTGGAGGGCGGAAAGCTCGCCGTTGCTTATGAAAAGCCCGCCCTCGAAAAGTCCGTTACTGTGACCATTCAGGTTAATATATAGTTCCATACACACAGAGAGTTTCTCTATGCGAAAATACAATAGGTAACAATATGGAGCACTTAGAATCCTGTCATAGCCGCATGTGTCATCGTAGGCGCGAGCAGTGCTGTGGTTTTCGCTGCTCCCAGCCTCGCAACGCCCTAGTTTTATCGAGTATGGGATTCACAACAGGCGGAATCCACGCAGGCATGTAAAAATTCGCAGGAATCAACATATTAAATCTTGTTTTCCGCACCCCGAAGCTCGAATGACCATTCATGCCTAGGTTCAGCAGCAGCAGTCGCTCATGGCTTGATCGGAAATATTGCAGCGGGGAGTGCGATGGCCATAGGACAGAGCGCGGGTGCAGGAGGAAGTGGCCTTGTGATTGTCAATGGAGCTGCACAATTGGGGGTGCTGCGATGACTGTGGTCAGTGCTAGTTTAGCGTGGATCAAAGCCAAACTATGAACATACCTTATACAATGCAAGACCAGGATTCAGGCTATACGCATGGGGCCATTCGTTCGTTGGATTCGGGTAGTCTCTTTTTGTTAAAACTGGGTTTGGGCGCGCACGATATCCAATTAAAATGTGCGTGGTTATCTCCAGGTGAGCTGACTAATAATAAGCGACGAATCAAAGATCAACAGCCCAGGAAATGTGAGGCGCGGGAGGGCCCACTGTCAGTAAAAGACAGTTCAAGATGCTACTTCCATTCCAACGACGCTGTTGGTGTTTTTCTCGTGAAAAATCCCAAGTCGACTAGCAGGCCCCGAACGGCCTGTACAAGAACTCCCCAGCTGGGTAAAGGAAGAAGTGCCCCATAAATACTTACCGCTTAGAATTACTGGCTGATAGATAGTCAATGCTACTGAGCCTAGTAGGACAGTCCAGACCGGAACTCCCACCACGGCCTGTGAGAAAACGTAAGGCAATTCGAGACGGATTTGTACAACGGAAATTAAAAGAAATTGGCCTGTTAGTATTGAAAGAACTTTTCCTCGACCAAGCTCTTAAGTTGTCTGAACGTACGCGGGGCCACTTAGGCGTGAGCTCTACGAACGAGTATCACATGACTGGTCAATGAATAAGGAACTTGGCGATTTCGCTTCAAAGTGGTGACCTGGTTTGTCACCTGTTTCCGGAAAATCTATATGGAGGCTAATTGTGTAGTCCTATCCATGCACGACTTCCTATTCTTTGCGCCGTTCATACTTAGACCCTTTTCAAGTAATATTATAGTCTACGAAGAGTTTTTTTGGTAACCATTTTCCGGACACAGACCACTGTTTCAATGTTGAGTAAACTGGCAAGCTTCAATAGATACCTAGTAGCCGATTTCGAATAAGCGCAGTATGTATGAAGTATATTATGAGGAAGCCGCCCAAATGCTCCACCTTTTAATCAGCAAAATACCAAGTTTCATGGTGTCTGAGCTGGTCTTCGCCATGAGTCCCTTTTTCAAATTATCTGGAAAACACTTTGCCACCAAAGGAAGGGCACGAATAATTCCAGTATACCTCGGATGCTTTTCTGAGAGCCCTTGCAAAATCGCCTCTTGGGTTCCATAATTTGGCAGATCCATCTGCTCTTTGAGATGATGTTGTAGCAGTTGAAGCTGCCTTTTTATGCGGTTTGTTGGATTGCCCCGAGAGCTATGATTGAGTAAGGGCTTTCGAAGTGTCTTCGTTATCGCGTTGCGACCCACTGGCCTCATGAGGTGGTTAGGAGTCACCGAAGAGTTTCCTGTCATAGCTGGATTGGCATTTTGCAGGACGCGATGCTGCTGCTGTAACGTTCCATTGTCTGAATGCGCCGCTTTGCTTTGGCTTAACTGGAGAAAATAAAGGACTTCCTCGCTGAATTGCAAAACTGACAAGTGCTGCAGCTGTGTCTTACCCACATGACTCATGGCACGGTATATGGTGCCCTCTTGATTCAGTGATGGGTGTAGCAGTAAAGCATGGCCATTACAGCCAGCCAAAGGTGGCATTAGGTCACTCAACTCGAGAGACGCAAGGGGGCTGCCACAGTCATCAAGGCTTTGGGTTAACTTATAGTTTGCCGAAGAAGCACTCGGAGGTGCCGGAATTTTGGTAATGCGTTCCATCGGAGATCGTAATAAAATTATTTCACCAAGTCTCGAGATAGCCCTATAGACAGAGCCAGAGTTGGTGCTTACCAACGGTTCTGTGGTTCCACTTGCAGGGATTTATACGGTAGGCTAGTGTGCTCATTATATCTGTTAACCAAGGGAGTTTGATCTCTCATAAGAAAAAGCCCATCAAGAATTCAGCATTTCTTTGAGTTGGTTTGGCGGGCGATTAGTTTAAAAGGGACAATGAAGATTTTGGTGGGGTCTGCAGGCATTGAAGACAACCACCACAAAGATACGTCGGCTTGGTCTGCAGACTTATGATATTTGCCAGTCGCAATTCTGACGACAGTAATCGTTATCTCCCGGTTAGGCGTAGTTATGGCTGAGCTATCCTTGCAGCCTTTCCTCGTTTTCGTCTGCTAAGACCATATCCCAGGGTTTGTTCCAGGAAGTTCTTCGTTTTATCATTTTCCCTTTATCTATTGTTCGCAATGCGCCTAACTTGCTTTTTCATACAGTACTTGGTTTCGCCTGTATTGTACTTCCCTATTACGCACTGGAGTTTGATATGACAACGTTTATATATCACATTTATGTTGCGGGCTTTCTCCCCGCAGCGTATTATATAGGCTCGGTTTACAAGCGAAAGGTTTCAAACACATGGCGGGAGTTATAGAGGGATTGTCAGGATACCTACGCGTACAACATGGATACTCAAGACCATCCAGCGTAGCAATTGACACATGTTTCCTATGCTTTTGCGAGCCAGGATTTGAATACAGGAAGAGGGTGCCCTCCTACACCGATCTTGAAACACTACAGATTCTTAGGATGAGGTTGAAACTAATGTTTACGGCTCCATCAGACAGCTCTTCCTGCATATGCAAAAAAAAAACAGAACCTCAATATGCTTTTATCCATTGGTGGATGCGCCTTTTCCCCTAACTTCGCCCAACCGCTTCACATCGGTGCTGGGTGATAGATGTTCGTTTATTCTGCTATTTTTCTTATTCAAGACCTGGGCTGCATATCAATTGGCAGTTATAAAACTGTTGCCGTGCATGACGCAAACCTATAGTTTGACATACCTTTGACATGCGCCTAGAGACGAACCAGTCAAAATTAGAAAAGAGACTCATTATGCGGTGACATTAAATTGAATTCAAACTGAATCGAAAATGGACTTATCATCAAATTTTCAACACGAGTGCCAACAAGTCAAAACTTTCTCTACATTTTACAATCTGGGGAAATCCATATTCCTCCTTATTCCTACAAATTACTTATTGGTAGTTATTTCGAGCGCAATCTAGGTGAAATCAAACCTGTATATTCGCGATGGAGGAACCTACTTATCTATCCCCCATTTCCATACACTCCACTTTCTTATTTCCGTGGTCGTTGGAACAAGCCGATTTTCGAGGTGAGCTGTCAGAGTATAGCGAGGATCTACACTACGCATCAGATCCGACTCTCATTCCTGAGACCCAAGTTGGAGATTAACGCGAAGACGACGAAGGAATGGCCCGGATAGTATTCTCCAAGAAAGAGAATGCAAGTAATGTGTCAATGAAACTTCTTCGAGACAATTGGGCTTTATTCAAAGATCTCCGCCTTGAACATTGGGTCGAACACGTGATGGAAATGCCCTCGGCAGCCATTAGTCTGTTCGAATCTTATCACCACAGGCTTGGCTTTTCCTTATTCTCTTTCCTGCGTCAAACCCAAGGAGAGACAGAGAATTTTTATTTCGTGGCAGAGGTTTGTTATCCAGTTGAAGCTCTTCTGTGGCTTTCAGTGCGGCAGGTTGACGAGACCAATAGAAAGTTCGACTGAACGATCGCTTCCTTTATGACACGATCACGCATGCCCTTGTGTGCTTCAAGAATGGCAAGCTCTACAGCAAAATGGGCCTGGATGCCTTTGTCATTACCTCTCCCCTCAAAGCTATGCTTTCACACCGGATAAACATGTACTGCGGCGATTGGCTGTACTCAGAAAACGGTATAAGCGCTATCAAACAGGTACCGATATAGCGTAGGGCCGGGAGTTTCAGACCGATACAGACTTTTTCATGGCCTTGAGTGAGAATAGCGCTGCCAGGATGGCTTGGCTCTTAAGTCGAGATACATTTGCAGAGTTTCGCAAAATAAGCCTTTACAGTATACACGAGATGATTGCCACCTCCAATGCCTGGCTTTACGATGGGACCAGCTACACTATGATGTAGAAGATGTTGCATCCACCAAGGAATTTGATGATAAGCTAATGGGACTCGCGGAGGTAGATACCTTGTTCATTTTCATTTGCGCTGGCTAACTCGGGGCAGAATCTAGCAGTAAGGTGGCTGTCATGGCCATCAAGGACTAGAAGTCTGAACTTCCCCTTTGTCTGGCTTGTTGTATGCGGAATAAAGTGTTTTTGAAGCCAATCCAATCCAATTTCATTGCTAGTCCAGCCTTTAGGACTAACATTAAGAGCCCACTGCTTTGGAAGGTTATCGAACCATCTAGCCATAAAGTTTTTGCCCTTAAAGATCATGTATGGTGGAAGGACCCTCCCAGACGCGCAGATAGATTCGATAACAGTGACCCATTCACGATTCCCAGCCTGCAAAACACCTCTCCGACCATGGAAAAATGCCTGCGTAATAACCCTTGTAGTCGCATTGATCCCCATAGCAAAGCCAGATTCATCAAAGTTATAGATATCATCCGAAATAATGCCATTTTCTCGGATTGTTTTCTCAACCAATTTAAACCACTCAAGTATTATGGCTGGGTTCTCATTTTCGGCCCTCTTATAGTCATATTTGCGTGAGAAACGAGTAGTAAGGCCTGGATGCCTCTTAATGAACTCCGTTGGCCAATTTTTACCCACAGTTGGAGGGGTGAAATAGGAGCTAGAATCGCGGGGTTGTAGTAGTAAAGTAGCCATATCTCTTAACATAGAGATTGTAAGAGCTGCACCTCTCTGATCCATAGATATTAACCAATCCTGAATAGATTCCTCTTCAAGCTGAGTAAATTTATACAGAGCTGAGCGAGTATCGGACTGATTTGTTCGCCCTTTGATTCTAGCGCTCAGAGTCGTACGTGGAACATCAAAAGACCGAGCAGCAGCAGCGACCGATGTAAACCTGCCATTTTGAATAGCTTTTATAGCTAATAGGATACGGCCCTCCTGTTCAATGATTTTTTGTGCTTTTTGCGAGCGTTTTGTAGGCATGGTGATCGTTTGAAAACAGAGGGTTACTACGGAGACGAAATTTATGAGGGGGTGACCGCGTAGCCGGGATGACCGCGTAGCCGGGAATCACGTTAGTTATAAATTGCCAGAACCAGGGGTAATAAAAGAAAGAGCATTCTTACATTCTTATTGGCCAGGGCAAGTAGGCATTCCGACACTTTACTATAATATATAACTTGCTGTCAGGGTGGGACATCAAGTTTCACATAAGCGGTATGCCTCAACTAAAAATTTACACATTGTGCAACAAAGCTGAGCCCGCTATATTTAGGTTTTGTGATCTCGAAAATGTCCATTTATACCTTGAAGAGTTTAGTTTCACTTAGGATGATGATACCTGGATGCCGTACGCATAATAAGGTATCTCATCACTCTTGGGCTGCATAAATAGTCAAAGCTTGAAGACAGCCTGGACATAGAGAAATCTGTGAGTGTTAATCCCCGACTTCTGTTATGAAGAAGCGTTCAAACTTACAGGTCTCGCCTAGATCGCAACGTTTGGAGCTTCAGTGGGATGCGTTTGTCCCCTCTCTTCGAAAATGGAGTGCCTCAATTCCAATGCACCAGAACGTCTTATCCAAGCGAATCACCTAATTGAAATTCATCGTCACTTATGGGAGTCGTACGTCTCAAAATCGACGGAATGTCGACTCCTTGGCGAGACACACCAACAACTCCAAATCATCAACATGCAGCTATGCCAAGAACAAAAATATTTAAGATGTCGGCAGGCAGATCAAGAATTACTTGTGGCGTTCTCTATAGATGCACTTCAGACGGCTAAGGGAATACTGAAGAATCTTTTCGAAATCTGCGATAATCATTCTCTTGGTGCCAAAAGTTTGGTTGGATAGATGGTATGGAGGAATGAGGTAAGTCGGGTCAATATTCCATAGAAGTTTGCTTCTGACCCCCTGCCACAGAAGAAGAATGAAACTGATATTGACTAGCACCAGTTCAAATATTAGTGTACCAAGTATCAAATTCCAACAAGTAAATATAAGAATTTCTTCAAATGCAATACTAGGAATATAGTTACTAGCTATACAGTATGTAGGTAATCTTCGATTTCCCTGGCAATTTGGGGAAGCGGTCTAGTTGCAATATTCATTTTGGCTGCTAGTTATACTTTGCTGTACGTGTACCAAAGCTCCTGGGTGAATATAACCCTCAAGAGCTTGTCCGCAGGCGAGGCTATGATAATTTTGTCATTCACGGACACTTGACTCTGGGGCCATTCGGCCTCTTTTCCTATGAGGTGATCAAAAGGCATTGAGTAACTTCTAAAAGCCTGCTTTATAAATCACTATCCAGTTGTAAATCCCAGTATCCGTGACCTATACACTGCTCCATTAGCATACATCATAGGAAGGTAAGCTAGGACGACACCGCTTCGACTGACTAAGATCGGTCCTAGTCTCCAGTGCAAGCAAAATTCAATTCCGGTTATTGGTACTCCGATAGGCGCATCCATCCTCTCGGACCAGTCAGAGAGTCCCTTCACACACCCCGATTGTGCCGCAGTGGCTGTCTTTGTATTACAAACCCGGCTTTTGACTACGAGTGCGAGACGGCTAGTAAATTATCAATAAACGAGAGGACATTTATATCCTGCTTTCTCGGAACTGGAGCGTTGGCAAATGTTGAGCTCTGCTGTTACTCAACCCTCATGTTGCACTTTGAGGTAATTGGAGAGGATAGCCGCAATGAATGTCCCATTGGAACTATCTGACGAACGATCTATTTGCCAATTATCTCGAATGTAACCAATTGATGTTCACACCGACCCGATATATAGCTCCATTGTTGTCACCGCAAAGTAGCCCTTAATTCGGCCGGTATTATTTAAAATACAATAATATGTGAGAAAAGTCGAACTGAAGAAGCTGAGATATGTATCACCCGATGCTTTCAGAGCTCTTCTTTAGTATCAAAAAGAGATGAAGGCAGCATATTCCACAAGAGAATTTTTTCCTCCTCGGAGAACGGCTGTCTGGAATCTATCTTCATCCGGAAGGGCGGAGTCATTACTTGGGCTCCCCATTAGTTTCCCTGCTAGAATGGATAAATCCTGTATTGCTGATCCCAGCTAGCTGGCTCCGCATAAGTGGTTCTATCCTCCATTGGGATATGGGGTACGCTAGAGACCCCCGCATATGACGCCCATGCAAATTCGCCATCTGCGATTATGCCATGGTCTCTTGTCTCTGTTCCCCACGCGGCTTCGGTATCTGTAAGGAGGATGTCGATTTCATCTGGGGACGGCTCGGCTGCGACATTACGTGGAGATAGAACCGGACTGTCTGGTATTCCAGCATCAAAGTATGCAAAAAAGGCATGAAAGACAGAACGACGCACAAAAGCTGCGCTGACTCGCTGGTAATCGCTAACACTTCTCAATGACTCCCTTGAGAGGGCGAACCGGTCAGCGTCTACTGAATCTGTAAATGGCTTTCCGCTTCGTCTCTCCAGACCGACGTCTCCATTGTCAGGTGGAAAATCACTTGGCATGGCTCGAGGAAGTTCAACGGGTTGTAATTGGCTTTCATTGTTGGCGGGAACTTCGAACCCGCGATTACTAGCCAGCCAGAGGAAATGATGCCGAAGGTCCGCCAAGTCATAACTATTATGGCGCTCGTGGAGGCCCAGGCTAATTGCACGCTCAACATCAACGTGTTTTCGCGGGACACGGCGGCGGTGCTCCTTAACTGTCGTCATCTCAAACGCATACTGGAAACTGAAACGCCACAAGTCGCAAAGGTCCCTTTTCAGCAATACTTCGATATATGCGCTTGAGATAAGCCCACCTTCAGAAATACTGTTATATTGGCTTCTCAAACTTTCGTCAATCGTAGGAGCTGGTCCCTCTGCTTCTTCTTCTTCTTCTTGGTTGTCTTCCTCCTCGCTGTTTCTCCTTCGCTTGATCTTCCTCTTCGGCTGGTTGATACATAATTGTCGCATGACATTTTGACATACGTCGAGGTATAGTATGTCTTGAAAGAATGTCTCTAGTGTGGGGATGGGAAAGTCAATGTTTCGCAGATAATGCAAAATGCGATCACGATCCTGAGGAGCGACAATGGCAGGAAACAGATCCTTTTTTTCCATGCCCGTCTCTAAAAATTCAAGATCTCCCTTGGAAACCTTTGGCGCCAGTGATTTGATTTTCTTGATTGTCCCTCCATCAACGGCTGCCAAAATATCATTGTCATTTCCCGCCAGTTTGTAGAAAGTATCTTTAATTTTCCTCAAGTAACATATGATTGGCTACAATTGAGCATTATTAGCTTACCCATGAGCATAAAGGAAGAATTTTGGACAATTTTACCTCGTCACACTTCATCGCCAACAGCTTGTGTAATACGCCGATACTCATGTCGTCCCAAAGACCATCAACTGGAAGAAGATCATCAAACCTTTCGCGTAACAACTTATGTTTCAGTAATGATTTGAGATAACCTCCTTTCCTACTTCGACCCCCTTTCCTACTCCCTGGGGAGCTTTCCAAGACAGCCCACCAGTAATTCTCCGCTGCCTTATTAGATGATTGTCTGTGAGGATATCCTTGGTAAGAGCGGATTTTCCGATAAATTCGACCGTCCGGGGGGAATCGATCGTTTGAATAACTCTCCTGGAGGGTGCGAATGAGCTCGTCACGTTGGCCACCTGAGTACCAGTCAGAATATACAAAATCCTGAATGTCCCGATCTTCATCATAATCCAAGCGGTCATGACCTATATGTAACACTCACAGGCTTCTTCAGCTTCAGTCACGTAGACGTCGACCACGCACCATGGGTCTTCGACATTCAATTCTTCGAACCTCTTTTCAGCTGCAGCGATGACATCTTCGTGATCAAGTACAAATAAATGACAACCGTGAGCTACTTGCAATTCTGGCAGCGGCACTTCTGGTGCTAAGCTTTTCGGGTCTTGCCATTTCACTCCTTTTTCCCATTCGGAACTGTCAATCATGACGGGTATGTGGTATTTCTCATCTAGACGTAGGAATCCATGATAGTCAAAGAGTTGCTCCAGGCGAGCGATATTGGGATGATTCTTAGTGTCTCGGTTGAAGTTTGTGTCAGACTTAAGGTCGCTAAGTCTAACGATAGCGGCTCCCTGGAAGCAACTTTTGCGGTATATGGAGAGTTTGTATTCTTCTACTTCAATTTCACGCTGCTTTGCCAGCTTTTTTCGTATCTTGCGCGAGATCGATACTCTATTTGAAGTGGAAGTAGACGGCATAGTCTCCTTCTTTCTTGCCTTGGATGATGATGTTCTTGTGAATGAAATAATTGCTTGCCAGCCGGGGAGACGGAAAGAAATACTAGGGAGTTGTATATTTATAACATGTCCACTCTTCCTTAATACCTTCACAGAAGCCGCAAAATCTTCGCCAAGGCGAAAGCTCACATTTGAGGTGGACAGCATCCGTCTGAACATGTATTGTTAAAAATGCTTTGCCATCATATCTCCGAATCTGGTGTATTCCAGAGTATGGGCTGCCTCAATTTATCACAAAAATGGGAGGGGTGACTATGAAATATATGACTAAGAGCCAAATGAACACACGAGAGCTCTAAGACATATCTGCACCTGTATTTTGGGGAACTCATAGCTGATGAGAAAACCCAATTGAGAGGCTAGTACCATCATGTTATTATGTGAAAACTGATGGGAACTAACTGATGGCTTCGGGGGTTTGATCCCTTTTATAGAGGACCACAATGCATTCCATTTCCAAGTGACAGTTCCCATAAAGACTGTTAACCCCCTTTCGTCTGGCAAGACGGTAGCCTTTCCGTTACACACTTTATAGCCAACTTGGTTTCTTTCTTTCAATAATATAAAATATGCTCTGGCACACACTGAAACTTCTGGGCAGGTTCTGCCCTTTAGCGCTTTCAGTAGCGGGCTTGATTTGTCTCTCCATAGTGTTTGCCGGATGCACATCATCGTCCTCTCCTTCGGGTTTTAATTTCATGAAGGTACAGTAATATTCGAATTCAGTTATACCTTCACACTCTTGCGACTTGGTTCCCAAAGATTAAACCCGACGGTCGTGAGACCTGATTGGATAGGCGATGAAGGCCCCACCTTTTAGACCGCTTTCTAAACTAGTAGGTGTATCTTACAATACAGTAGTATAGCACCACTGGATGTATATCACACGAAAGTGCTATACGCATGCGAGATTCAGTGTCCAAGATCAGGCGAAACGACATGACTCCTAGGCTTCCTACTTGGAAGCTTCATCTGATTCGTAATATGATAGAAAGCCAGTCCTTTACCACGAGGATGTGTAAACTCAGCAAACACTAGAAAGTTACAGTACACCACGGAAATCCAGCAAAAAGCTCGATTGTTCGATTGGCATTTCATATAATCATCTTCTGTCTAGCATTTCGCAGTTGTTTTACCACGGACACCAGGCGCTCTCCCGATCGTTGATCTGACAAGGCTAAGCCCAGGTTGCAGGTGCTAAGGCCATATGTCTTCCTTTGCCGTTGTATGTCTCGGATTTGGAAAGCCGCACACGTGTCTTCACTTCCAACTCTACTCTCGCTGCCCATTGTCGAGTCATTCGATGATCATATTTCTGCCATAACATGGGTAAAAATTGTACGTCCTGCGCACAGTAATGTCGAATTTCATCTGGAAGGGGTCGAGTGTTGAAAACTTCGTAAGAGCCTCCACGTTCAGGTGCAAACAATCTTTTCCCTTTGTCTTTGGCAGCTTTCCAACTCGCTCTTTCATCTGCAGTCATTGAAGCATCGTTTTCTATGCATTTACCTAGTCCATTCACGTATCTTTTCGAAATTTTGCGCGTTGCAAGCTCCATTAACTGAAGATCTTGCACGCCTTTTAGTTCGATCTGATAGTGGCTGAAAAGAGCATCTGAATCGTTGCGGACGTCGAAAAACACCTTTGGAATAGAAGGTGACTCAAGGATGGCCCGAAGAGTAGTTCCGTTCAGTCCAGGATGAGAGAACGCTTTATCCTTCAGGACGTATATATCAATCAAGAATATTGATTTTTTTGGGAGGACAAAAATTTGCAGAATCGAGATTGTTCCATGTCGAGAGAGGTTGACACCTTCGAGGTCGATATACAAAGATGGGGGCTTTGCCGGCAGACCAATCAAATCTCCTATCAACTCAGCCACCCCTGCACAAGTATCGATAAAAGTAATAGAAGCCTTGTCTTCCAGCGCTGAGCTTTGGAAAGCCACCGTCAGTGATGCCAAGGCATCTTGATCAAGATTCACCGATACTGCATGTGGTGCCTGAGACTGCTCGGTGGTCGGTGTCGGCGTCAATTTTTTTGCACTTGCGAGTGAAGCCGCGGTGATAGCTTTCAATGTCAGCGCAGCTTATCTTCCGTAGCAAGACCAACTCACTCGACATCTTGAGGCTAAAGGCGTCCGAGTCAAGAAATTGAGAGTAGTCAAGATGGAACAGGCAGTAATATCACCAGTGCAGCAACTACTGGTAAAAAAGGGGGAACGCGAAGGCTTTATGTCCAAGGCTACAAATACGAGGCAACCTTGCAGATGAATGAGCGATATCTTGACTTAGATTACTTCCACTCGCGGGCCCTTTATTGGTCATTCATGTGCGCATGCATTCTCTACTCCTCGTTGGAGTATATTTTTCGGCGTTATACAAGTCAAAGAGTCTAGACTAAGCGACTTCATAGCTCACTTGCGACAAAATGATTAAATTTAATACGATGGCAATCTAAATAGCCAATCATAAATATACACGTACTGCTTCGATGGTCTAAGTCCAGAGGAAATACTGTACTTTGTAGCCTGCAAAAGCCGCTGCGGAGCGTGTTCCTGTTTCAATTATGGCCTGCACAATGTGTCGCTCTCTCATTTGTGCTATTTGGTTTTCTGTACGCCGCTCGAAGCGCAATAATTTGTCTACTGAACTGTATTCTGTGGTCACAAAAGCACGTAGGGTTATGGATCAACACACCTTGCATATCTGCAAAGCAAGAGAATAGTTGGCAAGTGAGGCGGGGGCAGACATGATATGGACGACCCCCATTGCGTTTCTCGGTCCAAGGCTTGGCAGGCTTTTTTGTTGTGAATCCGCCACCACGGAGGCAGCAAGGCGACTTTTGGATTGCGATGTGACGATCGTCGGGGCCCAAGGCTTGGTTCCTTGTACAACTTTATAACGCTCGTCCAATGCTGGGGAAGTTCGTGAATTGTGCGCTGGCAGCGGGAACGAAGCTACAGTAGATGATGGCGAGAAAAAGTCCTGGCTTCAGAAAAGATATGAGAAGGCTGTCTAGCATGCCGCAGATTGAATAGCAAAGCGGGGGTGGGTCATCTAAGTCGTGGACTCGTGGCTGTCAAAGAGTGGAATCACACGCACGATAAGGCGATCTCAGGAAGCAGTTCAACTACTGTAGCTGGACCCGCAATTTTTGATTGCCCCTAGCATGTTTCCTTACCACTCATCAAATATTTGCCTTGCAAAGCCCACTTTATCTCATCACTGCGTTCTCAGTATTTATCTAACGCTCAATTTAATTCAAAAGTGTAAATTACCGTCTGTAAATTTAGTGTCTTCGGGTATTTACATTATGTAAACGGGAAATGTGACAGTGTGGGTTCTTAATGATAAGGATGAGGTGCTTTTGTTTTATTCTTTTTGCATTGGGATTATAAAATACACCGCCAGATGGTGCACCAGCGCCCAAATGAAGACCAGTATAGATTAAATGATTTTTAGAACAGGTATCGCGTTCTTCACGTTCTGAACCCTGATACTCCTTAAAAGCTGTCTGGGCGTTTGAAATGTTGACAAGCAAAGCAGCAGGCCAACCCACCGAAATTTCCGTATGGTTGGTAGTGAAAGTAGTTTTGGGTTAATTGGAGTGGGGTGACGCCATTGAGCAATTGTCCTCGGAATGCCAGGGCTCTGGTGGTGATGGTGGAATGGGCGGTTAAGGTGAAGAATTCTTCCATGACGGTACGTTGCGGGGAAGGTCGATCGGGTGGAGCGGCAGGGTTTGGGGGTTCAGTGGTAGAAGGGTGGCAGCGATTGCGCAGAGGGTTTTTGCCCGCCCTGGGGTTTGGAAGTTGAGGACTCATACCTCAGTCATGACCCCTTCAGTATTGGTTCCTACTGTACGGTTTCATTATTTAGATCATATCATCAGTTATGGCTCAACGTGCAGCTAGCAGATTTGTGAGGGTTTTTCGTATCGCGATAAATCGCCTGCGCATCATCATAATATATAATACTTTGATCTATTTCGACCCAATTTTGAGTACTTTTCGATATGAGAAGCATAAGCGGAGTTCTCATCGATTTAAATAAAAGATGCCTCCGAAGTCGCTTTTAAACATGTCCTTGTTCATTGCGCCCCACTGTGTAAATCGGGTAGGGGATACTCCCTTCATAGTCAGCCATAAAGATCCTGGTCATTAGTTGTGCAATAGTGAAATTAAAGAAGATTACAAGCTTATATCTATTGTACTTGATAGAGCATTCTCCTATCATTCCCATTTGCTCTATGGAATCAACCGCCAAGGCGTCTAGACTCCCATTAAAGTCTGGATCCTCTGTCTCCCATTATTCCTTCCTCTTCTAATCGCTGCGCTTTCGTTTCCTCTTTTTCTTTTGAACAATTTTCCCGAATATTTGCGCTCTACGGCATGTCGGAAAGGATTTATATCCCCTGGTCTTCGGCTGAAGAGGTCAATCTCTTGGTTTGGCTGTCGCAGCACCAGCATTTGTCATGGGATGATAAGTCCAATGAGTACTCAGATACCTTTGGTCACTACCGAAGTCCCGAATCACTTCGCGGAAAACAGAATCAGCTGATGAAGGGTATCCGGCGGCAACGGCTCGTCTCAAAACGAACATTATCAGAGCTTCGCCATGTGGCCATCAGCCGGACACGACGCCGACGGCGAAGAAAGTTCTCGGATAATCTTGATTCGCCTCGTACCCGTCTTGGGGATCCTGATTCCCGGGAGCGCCTGCAGCAGCAGCAAGACCGTTCTCACGGATCATCCAGATCGAAGTACCCTCAATTAAGTGAGATACTTGCGCGCGAAGTACAATGCCAAACTGGACGACTGACAAATTTATGGTAGATCCCGCGGAGCGGACACATCTCCTTCAGAACCCTGACGGAACACGCTCTATTTCACGAAGACTTTGGGATATCTTTGACCGAGTGAAAAAAGCATGGTGACACTTGAAATAGAAGACAGAATACGGAATCAATTAAAGTACTGTACACAGTAAATTTTCGAAATCAGCTTTACCTCCAGTCCATTTCTCTTTGTTTCCACTTAGTTAACATCCCTAGCCTACATAGAAAAAGAAGAAGGGCCGCACCTGAGGTGTAGTAGTCCGTATTAGATATCGTTCCGCCAGCCTTGCATTGTCGATGTACCTCCGATGAGCTCGTTTAAATCACAGTAATTTTACCTCTCTGCAGCTAGTTCTTGTCTCTCTTGTTCGGCATATAATGTTACAGTGCTGTTCAATCAAAAGTATGCAGCAAAAAGCAGTCATTAATGTACATTTGCTCCCGCATTCGCGTAATGAGCGTGGGAAGACCCAGTAGGTAAAGCACCACGTCGGAGCAGTCCAAATTCACTTTATCATGCTAGGTCACGGAGGCTTTGCTCTAGAGCGACTTGAAGCCGACGGGCCTCGGAACGAAGGTGGCCAATCTGTGTAGACTCGATTGCTCAGTTAATAAGCTCCTCCTATAGAAGCTGACTGTTATGGGACTCGACGCATCGGCCAACTTGGCAAAAATATGTCGCTCAATGACTTGACGACAGGCATTACAACGAACGTCTTCCGAGCAACCTAGTTTCATGATCAGAGGATATTCTATTAAGTTTCATATGAAACAGACCTTGTAATAAGCAGTCAAGTAGGTTTTTGCTTCAGAGCATGCTTGCTCCTTCATGGAAATTTGGCACAGTCTCTTTCTGTGTTTTCCCAGGGGAGAGTGCCGTTGCAATCGTCTCAGATCGCATCACGCACAGAGTTTTCAATGAGGCCCTTGTAGGCTTCATTTCATGCATTTTGGATATTTTCAGTGTAATAATGATTGTACGTAATTGACTGTCATGTTTCACCTCCAAGAATTTTTTCGAGTTCGTGTTCTTCTGCTTCGATATTTGCTTCCAGCGTGGTGTGGTGCTGACTAGGCGACTAATGTTTTTGCGAACCTTCCCATCTTTGATAAGATACGCTAATACGGCATTCACGAACTAAGAAATAATCTTCGCGACCATCAAGATATGTTCTCGAGCAATTTAGGCCTATCGCAATGATTGCAGATAGAACAGCTCTGTAAGGAGACCTTATTTATAGTTGCCTGGTAGCTCTTGGCCCCTCATTTGATCATGAATCTGTATTGATTAAGTATCGCAGTAATTTCTCTCGCTAGCGGAAGTCATACCTGTCGAATCCAGTCAAGCATTCCCTATTTCGTTACAAATTTTTGTCCACTTTTGTCTTTACCGCCATCTTAGGGGTTCGTCGGGACGATGTTTCTTTTTTTACTATACTGTCTAATGTAGTCAGAGAACTTTTCATTCTCTATATAGATAGGAGCACAGAGACTAACCGAAAATTGTCCGTCTTGTAATTCGAAGAAGCTCGCGCCACGACCTCCGTATGATCTATTAACGCCGGCTTAGATGACATTGTAGTAATTGGTGCCGATATTTGTTAGAAAATGCGTATCTGGTTTGGAGATTTTCGTTCCGTTCCAAGTTCATCAAGCTCTTCATTTACGACGTATATCTTCACGAACTTTAGGAAGCGCACGCTCGATATGTCTATCCCAGTTTTCTTCTAGAAAACATCGCAATGTATCAACTCCAACACGTGAAGGATCCAGTCCCTGCTTCTTCTAAGGTTCAGTGGAAAGATAGGCTAGTTCCATTTTGCGTCGCTCTTCCGTGGTCATACCCGCCTTGAGCTCCGTCGCGTTGGGGTTTTTCAGGACCAAAATCCAAGTTTGAGTTTGGTGCAGTCGTATTGGCAAGCCGAGTGATACGTGCCTCCGTACCAGTGTTGATGGGATTTAGCTTGGTAATTATTCCGACGGTTCGGAGACCATCCTCGTCAAAATGTCGTGCACGCTGGATGATACCCTTGGGTGTCAACGTCGCTGATGGCCGGTATGACTGCAAGGATGATGATCCGAGAATGTTGCAGATAGGAGTCTACTAAATTCTCAACTACCTTCACGTCTTCTTCATACTCCGCGAATAATTTTAGCCCAGGGAGGTCAACAATGGTTGGGTGGGGACCTGAATTTCCAACTAGCTCAAGCCTGAGAGCGTCCACTGCAAACGGCGCGCAAGAGACAGTCACCCACGAGCTGGTGAACTGCCCAAATCTAAGAGACATTCGAAGGGAGTTAAGAAGTGAAGCTGGGGACGCGTTCAGCAGCGTGTCGAGTCTACTGGGAGGCTCAATTGAAGGTAGGAGAGGTAAACCAGACATCGTCTCGCGGGCTAGGACTGTCAAGGCCGTGCTAGACTTTGCTGAAGCCCCATAGCGATTCGAAGCCATGCGCCATGAGGGCAGCCTAATAATGTGAGCGACAACTAGGCAACAATAGGCCTTGACGAGGCTCTAAGTGTTTTCAGGAAGTGGGACATCATACATTACATACACGGATATATATAGTTGCTGTAGCCTGTATATCGCTTTGTGAGTTGATCTGCCGTCCAGACTAAAATACGGATCCGTACCCAGCCAGCCTAGTGGGATGTGGTTTAGATCCCACCTTTGTGAGGGATCAATTCTACTATTACTACTGCTGCTACTGCTTTATTTACATATTGGGATACAGTTCTGTAGCACGGTAATGTATTGAAAAGTTTGAAGTTGCCACAATACTCAGATAACAGAATGTGGCTCTAGCTAATCATGAAAAAATGGCAATGCAACTTAATCTTTTCCAGAACGGCAAATATGATTTGAAACACGATTTTCTCCAGCTAGGACTCGTGCTGTAGGAAGGACCCATACGTTGCACTTCAATTACAGGGTTTTGGCCTGATGAAGAGTGCGTCTGTCTTAATAGCATCGACCCAGTCATGAGGCGCTTTTCCAGGGATCTGTACAGATCCTTTTAGAAAAATTTTGCGACCTTCAACTTTTTGTGGCCAAGCACGGAGAAGCATTGGCGCTGAAGGTGGAACGGAATGAATGAATGATGTGTTGAGGTAAGCAGTGAACGCTGGTTTGTGCTTGTGTTTGCAACAGTCGGCGAGAATATGGTCCATCAAGAGAGCAATATATCCGCCGAACAATTTACCATCGTAGTAGCACATTTGCTGTGAAGGAGTCAGAAGCAGAAGTGATTCTGCCTCCCATCCTAGCCTATGGGGCTTGAAAGTAGGACGGTAGCCTTGAAGTAGAGAACGCATCATTTGGTCAGAAGGGTCGGTGACGGAATGCTGAAGACACAATAATCAGTATACTACAATAAATATCTGCGTCATTGGCACTCACAAGAGGTTGATCTGGTAATTCATTGCATAAATCAACGGGGGATGTTTGATGAGGTTGCGCAAAAGGTCGGCATCCACGAAAGGATTGGGAGAAAAACGCAATCAACGAACGCTTGTACATGTCTGTCGCAAAATTATTGGAACAATGCGAAATGATGATGGGAATGTTTTCGTCAAAGAATAGCGCGCTATATATATTTGGTGGTATCCGCGGGCTATCCCAAAGTATGTTTTCTGTCTTCTCAACTAAAAATTGACCTGGTAATGACGAATTGAACGATGGTGACACTTGGGTAGGTGGAACTGGGTGTTAAAAGATCGGCATATTTAACATTAGGTTTAAAGAGGACCAACTTCTCCATGATCTTGCTTACAAGTATATTATGGTTATCAGATCAACCAGGTCATGTTTATTTTCTTCATGAAACCTAGTTGGAACAGAGGCTACTCAATAGAATAGTTATTTACGGTGTATAAAACGCTGGTCTCACCATTGAGAAGATAGAAATATACAATGATATTTATTCCAAAGGCCGTTTAGCAGGGTATGATACGAGTTCCTAATGAGGTAGGGGTAAAATGACAACATGTTTCAATCAGCTCAGTGCTGAGTAATGCTGCTTCTGATGTTTTACTTCACCGTTTCTATGACAAAGGGAGGATCAATATATATAATAAACCAAACTGTTGTTCAACTGCCCAGAAGTCGTTCGGTGAGAGTTGATTTCGGGGATTAGTAAACTGGTAATAACACCAATCCAATAGCTGGTTTACAAACCGCTATGGCTGAGGCAAAAGCGATTCATGCATTGACTTATAAAGCTATACCCATCAGTGTCTATTTCTCATCGTTTCTGCACTTCTACTTGTCAACGGTCACAGGCAATCAATACAGCCGCCGAAGTGTTCTTATTCTGCACTATAGTATGTTTCTTGTGAAATTCAATAGCAATACTAAAAGATGATCCCTAATAATTCAACAAAGTCCACACTCGATACCCAAAAACAATACCATAGATTGAAAGCCGCTTTGTGTGTGTCTTTGAGAGCGCTAGCGCTAATAGCCATGTTACTTGGCTCTGTGTTAGCTGCACTCATGGGTGGGGGCCATCTTCCGCTTTTTGGCAGCTGGCGAGAGAGAAACGTCGAATGATGCGCAAGAGGAATGCTTTTACAAGTATAATATCCATCTACTTGCGAAAGCTCACCAGTAGAGCTCTTTGAAAGACTAGTTGGTTTTTTTTTTGTGTTGACTACGAGGCTTGCTTATTTGATCGATTGTAAAATTTTTTTCAGAAGTCATGCAATCTATCATCAGCCATGGAGTTGGGTACTTGAACAAGAAGCACGTTCCTGCGTGAAATTAGCGGCTCTCTTACCCTGAAAGAGATGACAAGGGCACCAAAAAGCGAAACTCTGCCTTGAAATCTTGAGTTTTTACGCCCAGAAAAATTATGGTTATTGACAGCACATTCTGGTTATTGACAGTACATTGCATTATATGCCATCGTTCGTTGATGTTAGTACCATCTCGTATGCTATATAGCCAAAATCTTAGGGACAACATTTTAAAGACCTTCCTCGTTCACTTGGGTAGGTGTCTCACACATCGGTGCCGAGGTGCAGCCCTTTGAGCTCCTTAGGAGCCTACCAATACCCGTGCCAAGATTGTCAAAGGCTTGTCTAAAATAGGCCAGTTCTTGTTCTTGTTTAGCGTGTCTACTTTTCAGGTAGTCACGTTCTTGGCACAATTGAATGTTTGCTGTGCGGAGTTCCCCATTCGCGCTCTCAAAACGTCGGCTTTCGGACTCTTTTGCGACATAGGATTCATACAGCCGTCGGTAAAATCTCACGATCTGGGCAGCCTGGTGGGCGAGTTGCGGGTCATCTGGATTCAGTCGCTTCAGCTCCTCGACGAGCGGCTGGAATGGCTCAGCGTCTGAGGCCTGTACCTCGTTTTGGGGCAGTTGTAGATGTGGTGGCTTTAGCCTAGGGTTAGTCCACAGCTGCACGGTGGGCAAAATTGCTGCTTACCAGCTGCTGGCCATGGTCCTCTCTCGCTGGAAATACCGAAGGCTCATTCACGTGTCTTGGCTACCAACCAGTACTTATCAGAGGGGTTCAAGATCTGACAAAGGTGCATGTGCAGACCTTGGACGTTGGTTTGCTCAAGAATATCAATGCCCTCGTTCAGCGGAATGATCTTGATGAGTAATTCATTCGGTTGTCCAGTGTTCTTTTTGGAGGGGTCGGGATGCTGTAACCTGTTTAAAGGTAAATGCACAAATAGGCGCTCTCGCTCGAGTTAAACCAGCTCAATTTAAACAAACTTTTTGGACAACCTGAATAAAACGGGTGTTCTATTTGTCGGAATGATGGATGGGAGTTACGTGTTGGTTCACCAAACCATGCATTATTTGATTGCTAGGTTGAAACGATTTCAAGGTGAAAGAAACGTGACCTCATGTTTATTTTAATTCCCTTTATCTGCTTGTCCGATCTAGCGGAATGCGTCAATTCGGTTGGTGTTATCTTGCGATACTGACGCTCTCAACCGCATGGGAAATCTATATCGCATTCAACCCTGCCAGGCACGAAGTATGGCTACGATAGTTGTGGATCGGCTAAATCCAAGATGTGGCATCTAAATTACATACTTGATCTAGGATAAGAGAAAAAGAGAAGAGTCAATAGTCATAGTATGTATCTATATTGTTCAACCTTTGCAGTCGTTGTCGGAAGCACAAAGATCGTGGTCGCGTGAATTATATCTCGGAGTTTGTTGATGACATCTATTGTAATTCAGAGGCATTTTGATTAATTATCCTATTCCAGAGGGAATACGTGGGGCTATAAATACAGTCCGAGCTCCAAGTTGATTTCGGATCAATTTGCTTCTTCGTATAAACAGGCTTTGTTCCTGATCTGCACCAGCACCAAATCACCACAACAGACCGAATTTTAGGATAAACAATTTCCCGAGCCTTTTCTGACACAGTTGAATATGATCTTCACTTTTTGATACTATTACATTTCTGTAATAGTATTAGAAAATGATGGATTTGAATGGTACTATACGAATTGTGATTCTGATGTTGCCATGTACACAGTTACCCATGTGTCAGCACCAAAGTGTGTTTGATTAGATCGGAAAGGCGGGAGTTTGAGCCCTACGTATTACTTTCTTCCTCGGCCTTTTGTTCGAATCATCTTCCAAAACATTGTGTTATGATCTCTCCTAGATTGCCCACTCAGGGTCCACACATGCAATTCGCGTTCCCGAACGGCCCAAATAGACCGATGATCTAACTTGGCGGCGTCGTGTCGTGTCGTGACGTCCAAGATCTTGCGTCTCGCTCTCGAGGTCTTTTCTGAATGCTTTTTGCCTTGTTTTCAATTGAGGAATGCGCAAGAAATATTTTGGGCTCAAAACTAGCTTGGAATAAACAAGAGTCACCCATCAGGAAACCGGACCATGTTGCCCAAGTCGACTCCACGAGGCATCCAGGCCTTGCCGACGCGTCTCCACGTGAGTTGCTCGGCAGGGACAATATAACAACTATACGCGTGAAAAATTAAGTTCTAATTCTTGTTTGATGGAAAGCTTCCTACTTATCCTCTGCAACCTGACAATCTTCCGACCCCGGAGTCGGATATAGTCCTTCGCTCTGCCTGCCGCTGGCTAGATCCCAAGGAAGGGTGTTTTTATGATTGTACTCCAGTTCGAGTGCTCTACTCTGGTGAGCCGGTCCAAGTCAGCCTCCACCACAGAACTAGAAATTCACAGGGAGAGATGTAGTGACTTACATCAGGGACCGTCCGGCAGCTGACCATAATATTCCTGTCGGGAATCGCCGCAATCAAGACCACGAAGGACAGGAGGGCGAGTCTGGATAGATGTGGTGCAAACATTATAGGAAGAAAAAGTTGATGGGCAAGAAGGCCCAGGACTCGAGGGCGAGGCACTTCTCTATCGAATCATCAGTGCTCAGAAGATGGAGGAGGCCTTGACGTAGATCACTGTTCTTCTGGTCGGTAGCTTGCAACGGCCTACATACACGGGCAGAGGTTCAGCCTCTGTGGAACTACTCATGTGTAATTCGAATCTGAGAAAGGGAAAATGACCGTATTGATTGGGATAGCTACATAACCGCTCTCGTGGAACCTTGGTTACCACAATAGCCCACCCTCGGCGTATTGACTGCACTTCTAAGTCCCACTAGACCTTTCCGCCGCGTATGCGCTTCCGCACCTCACTGGAACTGACCGGTGGAGATTGATGAGTTGCTCTGGGGCGCAGCCGCCCGTGCCAGGCTTGCCGAATCACCTCTTTGGTAATGACTTTATCCTGCTTTTGCTCGTCGTCATCCTGGTCGAGAATTTTGGGAGAAGTCCACCATGCGGACTCAGGGCCCTGAGACGGCTCCTGGCGCATTCGAAGGGTGATACGGGTTTGTTGACGTGACGGGCTGATGTGGATTTCTCCCGTGGTGGCTCTTTCTGCAATCCGGTGCGAACGACCGAGAACTCTCCCCTTCCCCGTGGTCGACGTAGATCGTGCATTAGGCGGGTGGCCCAGGAGGCTAAGTCTCTCCGGGGGAATCTCTTTGTTCTGGCGCGTTCGCTTGTGAGAGATTCGCGCCATCTGTACTAGGCAAGTTGAATGAATATGGATTTGGCACCTGTAGGTTGGATCATGAGAGGTATTTATCATGTCGGAAAGTGCTACGGTTAAACCAACTTCCCCTCATGTTTGAGACGATGGAAGCCACCCTCAGGTTTGCCCAAGTACCATTCCGAAAGTTCTTGTGCGTGTATTCCAAAAATGATCATTTACCATATTGCCTGGCATCGTGGTTGAGAGACTGGCAAGTATTGTTCCACATCGTGGTCGGCCACTAGCCTCATTTTTTAGATATGGTTCCTGTAATCGTTACCCGATTCCAGCAGGTGACGGTGAAGGTGCGGGGCTCTTTTCGGGCTGTACATTACTATGCACCACTTTAGGTTTAAGGCATTCTTTAATTGCGTAGCGTATATTCAAGTACTTGATCCAGATGTGGGGGAAATCATGCGACCCATTGAATGAGAAATTCAACTGGGCTTACCCAAATGATCTTCCATCAATTAAGTTTAGGTCTTACCGGGTAGCAATCTATTATTTAAATAAACAATAGCCAATGTTGTTTTTTTTGACTGATAAACAGGGATGGTTGTGAGCCTCATGCTAAATCATGCGAAGAAAACACTAGTAAACATTTGTGAGTATCTACAATAAACGTCAACACCTAGTCACGGATATTTGAAAGACCATATCAGATATGTATATAGGACACACTACGGTTGTAGGCCAGCCGCCAAAAACGCTCCAATGATACTCTCAAGCAACGAGAAACGTGCGCTGCTAAGGCAGCAATGCCGGGAAGCACTGGCAGCTCATATTCGTAAAGTACCCCAAAATCAAAGGCACACAACCCCAATGGCAACTAATGGTGACATTCAGAAGAGCGATTAGGCCTTACTGTCGCACCGGGTCGGGTCCGATTACAGCCCTCCGCAGCAGACGGCTATGCATGGTCGGTGTCAAAGTCTCAAGAATACTTGTTGAAATCAAATTTGAGTAATGGGACGGTCGGCTTGTACCAGGCGATCCGTGATGCACTCGGGTGCTCGATCGAAGCTGTTAGTCCCCAGATGTTGCGGGAGTCTGATGCAGGCTCCGATAAAAATATGAGCGACGAGGTGAGCCACCAATGTTTGCTGGGTTTCCCAAATGCTGAAGACCCCAAGCGGCCAAGTTCATTGAAGCTTTCTAAGCCATTCGGAACGGCTTCCGAGAGTGATTCTTTCACGGCCACTATTCGACGACTGGAAGACGCAAACCAGGTACTTACTGCCGAACTTGAACGCGGCCAAATATATTCAAAGGAATTACTTGAGGAAAGGCGACAGTGGGAGGCAAAGTATCGCGGAATTTATGAGGAATTCGACAATAGCAAGTCCTTGGTGAAACAGCTGCAGAAAGACCTGAATTTTGCGCACATGGGGATTGCAAAAGCTATGGAGACATTAAAGAACTACCAGCTTCCAGAAAATAAGGAATCGTGCGCACAAGAGGATGCTTCAATTTTACCATAGCGCTCCGTCAAGTCGCTTAGAGAGCTGTTGCCTCTCTCCGGGCAGTCGGTACTCCGGTTTCATGCTCCTGAGCCCTAGTTTGCAATTATATTGGTGAGCTACAGTCCTTAATCAATCTCAAAGTATTCTTAAACTCGCCCTTACCGTTCTGTTTGACTGCTCAATCCGAGTGGTTGCTAAACCCTATGGATCGCCCCCAGAGCCCATAAATCGAACTTTGCGGAGAAATGCTTAGGGGTTGGGTGTAGCGAGGGTGTAGAGAGTGCCATATAACACTCAAATTTTTGGATCCTCTTGATCAATGTCGACAATGTACCGCTGACGCAAGTGCTAGTCGCAAGTTCCCAATGGCTTGTTGAGCGGCAGCCCTGCCTACAACTCTATGCAGACTTTTACCGCCCTTAGTGGGCTGGCCCAATATCTTGACTCTGGAAATTGGGCTGGAGAGTCTACTATGCCCCGCAAAGCACCCTGGTATATCGGAATTTGTCTGCAAAAGATAATATTGAAAAGTGGAATTCTGATGAGGGGTGTCAACTACTTAGCTGAGCGCAACGCACGGCAATAAGTGAGCCAAGGGTCCGGTCTTCCATGCTACCATTCTCTCTTCGATCTTGAATTAACGTAGCCTATCACCCATGAAATGGGTAGGCAAAGCCCAACCGCCCCCCCCTCCCCAACCGCGCTGAATATGGTTAGGCAGAATGCCAACCGCACCGCACCGCAAAACCGCATGGTTAGACCGCGATCAACCGCAGAGAAACCGCAAATACATAACTAACCTAATTAGGCTATGGTAAGGCGCATAAAAGTGCTGACTGATATCAATCCAACCATTTGTTTACAACTGTTTTGGTTTGCAAGATCTAATTTGGCAATTCCTGGTGAGATTAATATATCAGGTTAAGGAAATCTTGTTTAACTTGATTGCATTGTGTAGAATCTAGATCCGGGATTATTTTTTTATCCGCTTCTATACTATCCAAGTGTCTTGGTTTGCTAGAGCCAGTCTAATTGGAACGATAATGAATAGATCGTTTTTCTCACGAATTATTGCGCATAATAGATCAAAGTTCCCAACAGGTTGAACCAAGCAAATACACTGGGGGATCGAAAAATAAAGCATAATTCAATGTATGTAGACAGGTCAACTTTTTTGCTTTTACGGGTTTTAACGGGTACCCGTTTGGGTCTTGGGTCGGGCTCCCAAATCGATACCCGCCCACGGGTCGGGGCAGATCTTAATCAGCAGACCTGTGGGCGGGTTTTGGCGAGGCCTACTTACAATACATTCCGAAATCTTTTGATTGGCTAAATCAAGAATAGACTAGCGTGTTTTAGGATTGAGTTTGGGAAAGAATCAAAGAGAGTACATAAAGTAGTGAAACTGAGTTCGAAGTTCGAGCGCGTGTGTACAGTGACATTTGAAATCAGTTATACATGCAGATATCCACTTTCTGAGTCAGTATCCAATACGACCGACTTCAACCAAAACGGTTTTTCATGGGCTGACAGGAACAGACTGGATCAGATTGTCGTTCGAGCAGGCGCTCAAGTATGTCAGTTACAGACAAAAGAAACCAGTACTGAAGCGTGAGATATTGAGGCAGTCAGAGAGCATAGGTGCATCAGAGAATGCCCCGACACAGTATATGTCCCGGATGGACGTTGACTCAGGACTAGAACAGACCCGCGGGAGTAAAACCACCCTCCGATGCCATTAGTCAATGCCATAAAGATAAAAGCCGCCGTCAGTCGAGAAATACTGGAGAAAACAGCGTTATAGAGCGAGACGCTGCATAAAGCTAATGCTCCAAACACCCCAATGACAAGCACTCGTTCTCCCTTTTCTCTTGGCCAGATTATCAAATAGGTGGCACACACCACCCCGGCCAGTGTGACTCCCAGGATCATGGAAGTGCTTGTTCCACTACTGGTATTTTCTAAAAGCAAGACCGATACGGATGCCCCCCATATATGCAGAATAATTCCAATGTGGTCCAACAGGAGAAAGAAAGGAGGGAGCTGCTTTCTCGAGTCAAGCACGTAGTGACAAAAGGTAGAAGTGCCAAAACAAAACAGATTAGCTGAGAGAGCAATCAAAGCTGCGATCGCATTGCTTGAGGATGAAGAGTACCGAGATAATCGGGTCGTCGAACGCGGCCACCTGGCGGTGTCCGGGTTCCCGGGCGTAATCTCAACCCGGGCGTAATCTCACTTTTCTCCATTCCACCAAATAATTCATTGAATTTAACTAGCATCACCTTCTAAATCAATACAATAAAGATCATCAATCCATTCCCGAGGCCTCTCTTCATCATGATCTGACTCAATTTGCCCTATATCCTCGATTTCTCCGTCGGCAATTGCTTTTAAAATAGCTGCATCCCGCCAGGCTTTCTTCGAACGATTGAATGATTGTAGCCTTTCTTTATCAACCCGGTCATTTATGTGCTTTTTACAATCCTTAACCAAACGAGGGCCTATTTCCGGAAGCCTTCGCTTAGTCTTAGCCGTATCAGACCGCTTCTTGCGCCGTAGAATTCGCACGTTGTCTTCCGCAAACTGAGCCCCGACCTCAGCGAGAACGAGGCCACCCGCTAGTATCTGAGAGAGGCTTTGTCGCACCTTCGGGGAGATTGTCGAGTCATTTTGAATATGCTTTATAACCTTAGTGCTTGCCTTTCTCAATTTTTGTACTGTCTCGGGCGGGGTATTAGGCAATGAGCTTGATAGTGGTGGTGGTGTAGTTCCGGAAGTAATATTATGAATAATAAAACCGGGCATCATAGGTAGATCATTATCCTCGGTCGAAATACCAAGTTTTGTGAGGCCTTTATTAGAATCCACAGGCCAAATACCAGTTTCGCGGAATCCATGTCGAATAGTGCGCGTTGTAAGTGCCGACGTCCGGACATCGTGGATTCCCGCGAAGAAATTTGCCTTTGACCGCGCATCACCACCCCAAAAGGCTTCCTCATTATTATACTTCTTATAATAATGCTTTAGCACTTGAAATGGTGTATCATCGAGCGGTTGGCAGCCATGTGTTGTGTGTGGGATAAAACAATAGGGGATAATTCGTTTTCTCCAACAAAATTCAATGAAATCATAGGTCAAGTGTGAACTATGATTATCCATTAAAAGAAGACGATATTCCCCTTTTTTAACACGGAACGATGTAAATTCGTCGAAGACCTGAATCCAGGCAAAACTAATAATCTCATCGGTCCAGCCGTTCGGGGTTGGCCATATAGTATAGTCGTCGGGTAAGTTAGTGTTGATAAACCAACTCTCCATATGGAATTGACCCTTAACTAAAAACCACGGTGGCATAACCCAACCATCGGCCGAGACGCATTCGATACCAGTAAGGGATTCAGCTTGTCCGCCGGTATTATTTTTGGAATTTCCCCGGGCTGAAACAACGTTCTGGGCCTTGCCTTCGCCAATTCGAAACCCAGTTTCGTCGAAATTATATAGATTCTTCTGTGCAATTCCGTAGGTTTTGAGCGTAATTTGTAGGCGATCGTACCAAGAAACAATATAACCAGGTTCACAAACTTCGTATCGTGCTTTTTCCATCGGCTTTTGCTTAATAGTCTCAAAGCGTGAAGGTAGACGGGCGATAAAGTCGTACGCCCAGTTTTTTCCGAGCGTGCGGGCGGGTTCATGACGTCGAACAATTTGTAGAGCAGCAGCCTGAATTTGCCCTGCGGTCGGGGGAGAATAGGCCTGGTCTAAGGTATCAATCCATAGAATTAATGCCTTCTCTTGCTCGGGGTCTAATGCTTTGTTGGTTGGGATGCGATCGTTTCTAGACTTATGACCTTTGAGGCGGCCCCTCAGTATGCTAGACGTAATGCCAAATTCCCGGGCGATCGCTGAAACGTTAGGTCTCTGGGTAGCAGAGCATGCTGATAAGGCATTGGAGATACGTTCTTCTAATTCTTGAGACATGATATAGAGAATTGGGGGTGTAGTGAATCAATGAAGAAGGTGGAATGGAGAAAAGTGAGATTACGCCCGGGTTGAGATTACGCCCGGGAACCCGGACACCGCCAGGTGGCCGCGTTCGACGACCCGATTATATAGAGAATACAACAGAGAAGGATTGTACTGCCGCAGAAATGGAACTTCGGGTTGACAAAGCCGTTGGTGTGGACGAGCTTGTGTTGCAATGCGCGTCGGGGCTTCGAAGAACAATAGCCGGCTTCCATATCGACAAATAAATAATCACTGAGTATTTTATTGCAACCCAGGTAGGCGAGAAAGCTTTTCGAAGTAGACGGGAAGGAAGGTCTTGAGACCGGTCATAAGGCTCGGGCAAACAGAGTCTTCCTTGGGGTACGCGCCTTCATTCCTTTATTATTCAAAAAGATGGAAGCCCCTCAACTCCGGCACTATTATATCGGAAAATACCAATCTACTTTTGCTCAGGGTGGTGCCATCAAATAAACAGCCCCACAAAACTTGATTATGTTTCACCTGTTCATGCCTGTCAGACTAAATTATGACTAAACTTTACAAGCAGAAAGTATGGATGGAGAAAAGCACACAGATTCTACCACAGGGAAATTAGACGATCTTCACCGAACATACAAGGGGACTAGGAAGTCTCGTCAATGATCAATCTAAATACTACATGCCCTTATCGTCAGGTAGATTGTAGACCAATTCCACGCTTTCACGATATCTCAAGTTATTTATTGACAGCCTTTCTTTATTGAAGACACTATTTAGCACACCGCTTCTGTATGTTCATGAAAGTCAAATGTGGTGTCGAATTTTGTAAAGTGAGCTTTGATCCACATCGCCGTGTGTACATCCCCTAATAAGTAAAGACTGTACATATGATCTAACTAGAGACAATGGGATCATTGTGGGGATAGAAAAGATCAATCATTATACTGGTGGCTAGGTGGGCCAAATGACCTCGCTCGCTCAACTTACCACCGACAATTTGATATCCGGCCATGGTTCACTAGTCCCTTTTTTTCATGATTTACTAGGTAAAAAACACAACAGTATGGCTACTTACACTCTTTTTAAGAACATGAATGGGAAGCCGAGAAATATTATTTGTTTGAATGGAAAAATCGAGGGCTTGTAACTGTTGGTGGTCCTTCAGAATTGCATAGGTAGACCGTAGTCGGACTAAATAGCCCCATTTTGTTGGAGTATCAAATTGAATTTGATGGTAAATCAAACGTATTAGCTTAGGGAATGTCAACGACTGGCCGAGGGCACTGGTTTTGGAGATTGAATAGAAATAAAAAGGCAATTGAGTAATGGCAGGAGTGGGGTGGTAGATTCGACGAAATGAACAATCTACTTCCCCTGACGTTGTTAAATTGGTCTATAATGAAAAGCCTTCTTTCGGCCACCTACACGGGCGTAATATACAAGAGTCTCCAGTGCAATCTTTTTTTGGGAGAGAGACCAGAAACTACGGAAATCTTTCGAATGCACCGGAGAATCATGTATCTGCAGGTAGATAGATGTCTTCGGCGATTTCGGCGATTCCGGTGATTTCGTATTTGGTGGTCCATCCCAAGGAGTAGGTAGCCCTCTGTGTACGTGCGCTATGCAATCTCTATTAAAACTTGTTTGATCAAGTCGGCAGAATATGTACGTGAATGACTTTTCTAGATCTGGTGTAATCGATGCACAGTAGGCTTAGCCATGTGTTAGACAAAAAGGAAATATGCACACAGGGGTGGATCCTGTCTCTAGGTGTACTGACAGGACGGTAGCGCAGATGCCTTCCCAATTAGAGGGGAACGTAAGGCACTCATATACTTCCATAGACACCGGAGGTACCGCCACTGAGAATGCATGTAAAGGTGACGCAATTTGTGATACCCCTCCTATAATACACCCCTCACATCGCAATGTGCAATTATGAGCATATTAAAAGACATGCCGCAAGTCCCAGTTCAAATGCGTGTCGGAAAGTTGATATCGTAATGCGAGGTCTTGCATACAATGTTCACCATGAGCTTTAGTTCTGCCTCACCTTTCAAAGTGGCAAAAAAGCCGTCCTATTTGTTCAGCTTGAATCTTCCTCTGTAGGTTAGGCCAACTCACTAGCATCAACTCGTCTAGTCCAAACGTGTTTAAATTTTGTGGCAGATCTCGAGCTTTTGGGCTCCATGGAAAATCAGGATGAATTTTCTCGTTCTTTTTCATCAACATTTTGACCATCTCCGACAATGCCGTCAGCTTCAGTGTAGCTGCATTCATGTCTTCGGGATCGATACGACAACTACGTTCCACACCAGCTGGCAAGACACTAGTATTAGAGGCTGCAATGACCACACTGCCCAATCAATGGGCTGACCTACCGATCCTGACCCCACCGGATCCCGTAAATAGGACCTCATCATTGGTAAGTGTGGCAAGCGCTCTATCGCAATTGCGGAGGTATCTGATTCCAATAAGGATCTATAAAGCTTCAGTATTGGCCTCGAAATGGGCCTGTGTCTCCCAAAAATGCGAGAGATGGGTTAGATAGATCACTAGACATACTGGCCATACAATGGAGGCGATTTCGTTTTCTGTAAGGGCGTACCTAGATTCTAGGACTTGGGACAAAGAGCATTCGACCGATTCCCACACCAAAAACGTGTGATCTTCATGTTGGTAATGGCGCAGAAGTTGTGGGAAACTGCGGTAAGAAAGGTCGTTGACGGTCTTCACCAGAGACCGTATCGACCCTGGTTCCGCTTTGAGCTGTTGAATATGGACCAACTCCATTATGTCCTCCCTATTCTGGGCCAGGAGCATCCCCTTTCGCGGAAAATTCTCGATGCCTTTGACATATGCCGCCCAAGGGTCTTCGTTCAATGGCTGAAGAGTGGAAGTTTGTACTTCTGAAGTTCGCCTTCGCTTCCGAAATGGTTTCAAAGGTGGCCAAGGGTTTGTCATTGGCTTGGGCTGGGGGAGTAGGATCGGGGTAGCCACTTCTTTCCCTGCAGTGTTGGCTATCGTGGGAAAGAATATCGTTTCCGGCCAAGCGGCCTTCTGATTGGCATCCATCGTAGAAATATCGGTGAAGGGGTTTGAGTTTATTGGGCGGTTTTATAGCGGAAGCTGATATAGCAGGTATTTATCTTACTCCTGCACCCGGTGCAAAGTTTGCTTTTGAAATACCATGCACTAGGCTGATTTGTCCAAACAATGATCTCGCGGTGTATGGTTATCTGAAAAATAGGCCTGATAAATAATGAAGCGTCATTCGGCCGTTCATTCTGGCATTTCACGTGAAAGGAAAACATGCTTCACTCTGCTCTTTTCTGCACATTCTGAGAGTTGAGGAGCCATCACTGGAAAGGCGATGGGCAAGCTCAAATATGGCTTAGCTGATTTTGATGGTCTTGGAAAATATCATTTGATAGTTTCTACAAGTCCGCTTTTCTAGGCTTGTTTGTATTTTTTGCGGCCTAGGCAGCTTAGCAGAGGCAACGCACGGCGTTCATTCCCTGCTACTCGATGGTTGAACTAAGCAGTGGAAGAGTTGCAAAACAGGTTTAGCCTTCTTTCAGCGTCCGCTTCTTTCTTCGAAAATGAATCCTTGTAAGCGTTGAAAAATGGTGGCTATTATTTAAAATTCCCATGGAGCTTGGTCATTCTTGTGGTTAATCGCAGTTGCGGTGGGCGGGCGATCCGGGTGGGTCACTGGAGGACAATGTGCAAAAAGTGGCCAATTTGGCGCTGCCAAAGCACGGCCATGTCTGGGTGGCTGACACGGTCAAATCTGGTCAATAGGCGTATAGAGTTGGCAGATATTAATTTTCCACGCTGGCCTTCTGTTCAATTAATTGAGGGATAGATTGTTAGGTGGTGTGGATTTTTACGCTTTGCTTACTGCGGTGTTTATTCTCGACTGCCGTGATGAGATTCAAACAATTGGACGATCGCTTTTTTGTGTACGGAATCTGCGACTGGAAGATACGCAAAGAGAGAAATTGGAAACCCCCACATTCACTGTTTTCTAGGGATCAGGTTTCCCATTATGGGGATATCCAGCGAAGTATGGAACAGGTGTACCATGGCTGTCATGTTCAAATGTAAATTATGTGTAAATAAACGTGTTAGAACAAGGTTGACAAAGTAATACATTTTACGACCGTGTAATATGAAGTTGAACTAATCACTGCGTTCAAAGAGAAACACCGCCAAATTTTCATCATGGTTGCTTGCTGGTTCCCAGCCCTGCTAATTCATACGCAAATCCGAGTTCCTCACTTAAATGCATGTCCTCACCTGCGGCTGTTCATCCGCTTCTTTTATCTCAGATTGTGAATGTGCAAAGACGAAATGGCGCCCTGGTATATTCTTTCCCCTCTTCTGCTCTCTCTTGTGGTTCGTCTGGTGCTGGAGAGGAGGGTCGCATTGGCTTTGGCTGAAAACATTCTGCTCATTGCTTCCATACAGTATGCAAAGCTCTCTTGGGTGAGGGTTCTGGTAATTGCGGCTATCTTTGTCGCATCTGCTTTCTTGCAGACTCAATTAGAGTATCTTGATTCGGCGCAAGACACATATTCGCATGCAGCTCCGCTACAATGTGCAGCCAAGTCCAGGATTAGCGGGTGTCCTGCGCATACCAGTCGTGATCAAAAGACAGACTTGAATTACCGCACATCTCGAGAAGCACAAGTTCCAAACGTTACTGGCAATTGCCAGGCCGAGAAGACTTTTCACGGCCGGGCTGCGATGTTTCCATGCGATCTTCGACACCTGCGCCGGTCCGGCTTCAAGGACAATTATCACCATTCGTATCTCTATGTTGGTTATCCAGTCGGCCTCCGTGCCTGCTATAGTCCCTTGATCACTGTTGAGCCACCTTTTCGACCTGGCTTCTTGCTGCCCATCAAAAAAGCATGGTTCAGTATCAGACCAGAGGATCACGCCTTCAACGGCGGTGCAAACCTGTCCATGACTCAAAAGTTAGAGGAGTTCCTATTGTCTGAGGTGGGACTTCGGCGGAAATGGATAAAGATCACAGACTAAAGCTTTATAGGGAGAAGATCCTGCCGAGTGGCCTTATGCGTACCTCTTGACGCCCCCGAGTGTCACATGGCAGTTGAATAATCCACTTTCGTTCTGGTACCTTTACAACTCCAGAAGAGAGCTGACTGCAATGATTGTCCAACTTCAGACGTCGTATGGCGAGCGCAGGCTGTGGTTAACGCGAAATTGCAGAACTGAAGCGCCCAGAAATGGCCCTTATTGCTTCAAAGGGAAGTTCGATAAGGATCTACAAGTCTCACCCTTCACGCCCATCGCGGCAAGCTATGTCATTGACTCGTCTGATCCATGTGCGGCTCCTTTGGATAAGCTCAAGATCATGGTAACATTGAAAAGAGGAAGAGAAACAGTCATGAACGCCGTAGTCAACTCCACCGGTCCGCCTCTTGATGCTGCCTCGGCGAGCCTCGGTTCTTCTCTGCTCTTCCTTGTGAAGTGGTGGTGGGTTCCCATGTGCAGCGTGGTAGTTTTCCGGATTCTCTTTAAAGCTGCGAAGATTTACCTGACGCACAACGAAAAGGAACTTAACATCCAGACGAGAGCAGAGCCTAACACAAAGGCTATCGCAAAGTCTGCACGAATGTCTGAAAGGTAAGCTTTAATCCTCGTTCACCCTGCCCCCGGAGACAAGGACAATGATTGACTGCTTTGTAGGGCCTTAGAAAAATACTTTTCTATGATTTTATCCTCTATCGTCCAAAGCCAGTCTCGCATAAAAAGTGTGAAGTACATCACTCCAGGAGAGCACTGTGCGCGAACTCGGGTCATGCACTCACATCAGCAACATTCTGGTGAGAAAGTTCCACACCGTCCTGATGAAGAGGCAAGCAAAGAAGCACTCGAGGTTATTCTCTTTAAAGTCAACACTCCAACCTTCTACTCAAGATTTTTTCACTACAAGTCGCCATTTGCGGCCATGCAGAGTGAACTACTTGATGATGAGCGGACCCGCACGGTGTGGTCGTCACACCCACAGGAGCTTGCCGCTTTGTTTCCGCATGATTTGGCAGACACCTGGCATGGGCCTGTGGATTGGCGTTGGAGGATAATATCCATCCTGCGGACTGCTCCTACAAAGACCAACTTTCCGCGTCGAATCACGTACGAGCCATGCAGAGGAACTGCTTTGACCGACTATTTGATAATGCAACAATGCCCGAGCGACCAAATTCGTGATTATAGACGTACCTTGATTCGGTTGTTCTTGGGGCACTGGATAGGGGGCTTCCTGGTGGGTTCTATTAGAGAGGGAGATTTTGAACTGATTGGGTTAAGCCGGGATGCTATTCTAATGATCTATGAAGCGTTTCTTAAAGCTGGACTTGTTTCATTGGGTATCTTCCTTGCTGGGAGTAGTGCCACCAAAGCGACCAATATTGCCAATCTACTTTTTGCAATTCTTAGCTTGGCAGGGTTAAACATTTGGGCATGTTTGAGATCTGTATTTTGATCCTCGTCAGCGGCATCCAACTGGTTCTTCAAAGACGTGGGATCTCTTGCTGGCGCCCCTCATTTCCGACCGAGTGGGCCGTGGACGATTGGCATTCTTTTTACGAATCTTTGTGGTGTGATTTGGTCGGCGCAAGTCGGCAATGCGAGGATTTACCCCTTCCTAAATACAGTACGGGTGCAGTACCGCAGTACTCAATTCCTTGGTGAAACATTGACAAGTTATGATTCGGGCGCCATGGCCACGTGCCACTGGGTTATCTGCATAGTGCAACAAAGGCCTTGTTACTCTTTATTTTGGAGTGCCAACAAATGCAGCCAGCTCAGAACGGAGCACGAGATGGGCGTGGGGACGAATATGTAATATCACAAACTACACATAATCAGCTAAGTAAGGCAACCAATGGCAGCCAGCAGATCTGGTTAATGTATATTATGCTTCCTTCTACTCCCCGGAGCCCTAGGATTAAATAGTTTAGCCCGTCCCCAGGGCAGTATACATAGAACTGTTATGAGGGGAAGTCCCAGCATTATATCTTGTAAAAATCACAGACAGCATCATGAGAGATGGTCACAGAAAGCTAGCCATGAATAGGTGCCTGAAGAGCCACATCTCAGCAACCAATTACCTTCACCTTTTCCCATCTTCCTCGCGCTCATCTTGACCCACTCAGAGGACCACTAAAGAATTGTCCGATTTCTATTATGTGAGGTTTGCAGGGTTTATGGAACCCGATGTCCGGAAATTGCTCGACGGCTCGGGGAAAAGTCGCAATTGTCTCACTCATTTGTATTATGCGGCACTCGGCTGTCCCCCGGTCTGGCAAGGTATCGAGCTCCCAGTCAATTATGACGTACCCCATCCAAAAGAGTATCACTTCTCTGCTCCTCCAGCCAGGCCTACATCGGGATCTCGTACTCCCGAACGACCAGATGACTATAGCTGGAAGCGTAGAATGACCCCAGACTGGGAGATCATGTCAAAAGCTTTACAGAGTGCAATAGATCAAAAAAATTTATGATTTTATTCATGCCAGAGGGCCGTGAAGTGCCATACATAGTGAACGGCTAGTTTCGATTGACCAGCTTCTCTACAGTCAGCCCGACCTAACACAATGCTTCTGTCAATGCACAGCCCCGTACGTATATCTGAATTGCAGCATAATTCTCCTGGTATTTTCGAGGTACCCTTCTAGAATTCATGCAATCTCCTTATCTTTTCATGTCCCCTGAATTGAGCACATCACCACGTCGTCTGAAATTAAAGAGCCAGACGTTTTGCAAAAGCGGAAGCAAGTCTAGCCTCTTCTTCACAGCCAAATAGAGAGGTTAGAGGTGCGATCTACTCATATGATTATATCAGCCCCATTCACAGTCTTTTGCATGGTCCGAAACTTACATCGGATGATGTAACACATCTTCTCGTGCTTGCTTTTTCAACAAGATCATCATCATCAAAAGCGGATTCTAGCAACGTTTTCTTCGGGGAGCCAGGCCCGGGGATATTCTTTTTTATTGAGTGGGAGGGCGGATTTTCCAAAGCCATCTGTAACCTCAGAGTGAGTCTTTGTGCGTGGCACAGGCAGGCCGAATCTGCCATTTTGAAGTTGACGAGGTGATTTTCTTGTCAGCAAATATGCTGAAGTGAAAGAACGAACAGGACTGCAATGGCAGGAAAGCTCGGCTTTATATCCTGCGGGTACCACGGCAGCGTCATGAGAGACGATGAAGCAAAGGTAGTTACGGACAGACAGCTAAAGAAGTGACGTAGCAAATCCCATCAACCAATGATCTTCAACTTGTCCAATATTCCCACGCTCATTGGTGGCAGCCATGTGAAGGTGAACAAGAGCCCTCGTATCATTTGCCACCATGGTTGTTCTTCCCAGGAACAAATCTGTGATTAGCAGCCATTTACGGTTATGCCTGTTTATGCAAGGGCTCTCAGCGTTGGTGTTGGGAAGACTGCTGTCGCTGTATAATGAAACCTGCTGGCATAGAAACTCGGTCGGCACTGAGGTACCATTTCTCCCGAGCACAACAGGGGAGGCCAATGGCTTCCGAGATGTTGCTTCTCAGGATGCTGGCATAAAGCCAACGTTCGATTCTTGGTTGCAAAAGACGAAACACATAAACAGCCAGGGGACACTTGCAAATTTTACCTATTGAGGGGAATGTTCTCTGCAAGGGCAAATGCCATGTTGTTCTGCAGCCGGATGGAATGCTAAGGTCAAGAACATGGAGGCAGACTCAGGATCTTCAAGAGTGCCACCTTCTGCAGAGGGACACGTCTGGGATGACTCTGGCTGGACTTGGGTTTTGAACGAAAGCACAAACCACGAGGTATGTTTGAATGAAAATTGTGATCCCACTGAGAGGCTGACTAAATTCTTGTTCATCAATTGAAAGAACTGGGCTAATGAAAGAGACCCGCGGTAACTTCCCAAGAAAAGAAGTAAACAGTTCAATTGACCGCGATTTGCTCGGCCCCGTACTGCACCCGTTGCCCCCGCAGTGTCAATCTGTGGCTGTTGATCTTGGGACAATTTTGTTTATGTTTAATAGCTCTGATTGATTATCTTTTTCTTATCATGTCCTGGCATATCTCATCGATAGAGACAGACCCCTCGGGCAATTTTTATGATAAGCTCATGGTGGGCCCGCTCTTATAAATTGCATACCATGATATTTACTACGCTATTTGGTTCACACACAGCAGGTCAGCCATGGAAAAACAAAACAGATTCTACAGCGACGTCGTTATCATTGGAGCAGGCCTGTCGGGAATCGACATGGCATGCCAGCTCCAACGGCAATTATGTGTCAGCGACTACGTGATTTACGACCGCGCTCGAGAATTGGGTGGCGCGTGGGCCGCCAACAAATGTGATTTTTCCGCATCCCCTTCACAGTGGTACTAGCTTACAAAGAGCAGATCCAGGATGCAGTGTTGATATACCCGGAGCTTTATATTCGCTGTCATGGTTCCCGAACCCAAACTTTACCAGCCTTTTCCCGTCCCAGAAGGAGATTTTATCCTACATCCAACGCGTCGCTCGCACTAACCATGTCACTGAACATGTGAGGTTTCAGACCGAATGGAAAGGTGCCCAGTGGGTGGAAGCATCTGGTACATGGCATGTCTCTCTCTACAATTTGAGGACAGGAGAGGAATTTTTTCACGAAGCCAAGGTACTGGTTTCCGCTGTCGGAGGCTATACTAATCCCAAGCTTCCCATTCTGCCTGGCTTGGAGACATTTGATGGCCCCGTGGTGCATACTGCTAAGTGGAATAAGGAGTACGACCTCCGAGGCCTCAACGTGGCCGTGGTGGGTAACGGATGTTTGTTCACACCTATGACTCGCCTATCAGGGGCATTGAAATAACAGTCCTACAGGCTCCGGCTCACAGGTAGTTCCTGCTGTGATCGATGAAGTCAGCAGCCTGACGCAGTTTATTCGGGTAAGTGTTTCATTGCAGCGAGCTTGCTCGATTGATCCTGACTCTGTACGTGGAAGTAGAGCCCGCAATATTATGTCCCGATGCCCATGGGCAATTATCGATTTGGAAAAGTACTGCGCGCTTGCTTCTCCTACATTCCACTCACTTTGCTGCTTATCCGTTGGCTGGTCTTTTGGATCCTTGATACCACACTTGGGCAGTTTTACAACGATTCCAAAGGAGACAAATTGAGAGAGGAGAGAGCTTCGCGCAGTCGGAAGTATATTACGGAGAACGCCCCTGGTTAGTATGTGACAAAATCCGTCGCCACCCTAATGCTGACTGAAGACTTTTAGAGCGATACTGGCCTTTGCTTACACCTGGCTATGACCTTGGATGCCGAGTAAGCGATTGCTTGGACTGTGTCAGGCCGCTACTAACATTGTGTGCAGCGAAGGATACTGGACAATGACTATATCCGATCGCTTCGCAGCTCTAAAATGAAGCTGGTCAAGGACTCGATTTTACAAGTCGACTCGAAGAGTGTGGTGACAGGTTCAGGCGACAAATACCCGGTTGATTTCATCGTGAGTTGCATGTGAAAAGATCATTTTATAGCCCATGCTGACCATAGATCGTAGATTCTCGCGACGGGATTCGAGTTCACTCAATGGAAGGCCGATTCAGTCATAGGCCGGCGAGGAAAGTCGCTGAAACAGCTCTGGGATGATCGAGGCGGCATCGGCGCTTACAAGACTGTGGCGATGAACGAGTTTCCCAACATGTTTTATTTATTAGGCCCGAATTCCGGCAGCGGACACACGTCTGTCCTTTTTGCGATCGAGTGGTGAGTATTATCCTCCAGCAATACCGCCGGAGCTGTGCTAATATTTGTCACAGTTCGGTCAACCTCGTTATTAGGATTGCACGTCCTATACTTCAGCGACAAGCATCGATAGTCGAGGTATGCAAAGGGGCTGAGATTGAGTGGTGTGACACCATACAGACTGCTCTCAGCAAAACGGTGTTGACGCGCAGCTGTTCCAATGTAAGTTGTGTGCTGACCATCGCAATGAACCATGAGCCTACTGACGATCTCCAATGTAGCAATATACCGACCCAAAAAACGGATGGAATTTCTTTTCATATCCTTTCAGCTCATTGAGTTTCTGGGTTGGCACGCGGTTTCCTACAATGAAGCACTGGGAGTATCGGTAGTCTTTATACTCAGTCATCTTTGACTAAATGCTTCGGTGTATATTTTCAGCAGCCTTTGGTGGACGGCATTTCTTTTTTGTTTTGTTGCTCCAATTAGGTTGCGTCATTTTTGGCTCCTTCCCAAAACCACCAATAGTGACATTTCCTCGTGTTTCTGCCAACTTGAATAAGAAATTGCGATACATGATGCACTAAGTAGCTGCTAGGTGTTCCATTTAATGTTCATCTTGTCCACAAAAAGGATACCGATGTATTTCTCAAAACGGTCTCAAGCTCAAAGTTGCTTGAGCGAGCGCGGGCCTCTTTCCGACACATATCATTGAGACACATTGTTGTTTGGTCATGGCTAGATCGAGGTAGCTATGTTAGTTCGAGGTAGCTATGTTAGTGGCAAACAAGAGGCGCAATTCCCGGTATATGAAAAATACCCTATCAATCGTGTGTTAGCTAGATCGAGAAGCAGCTGTAATGACCTGGGTGTCTGTGACAGGGATTTGAACACGAACGGCAGATACAGTGGCTGCCACACTCCAGGCTCACCTTGGCCACCTAAAACAGGGTTTTCCCACTTCCTGGTAATTCAGATCCTAATTACCCTTACGCAGATTATGCTGATTTGGTTCAGGCGGAGTGCGATGTGATTTATTCATGCTATTTGATTGGCTTTGTACGGCGTAATATGGAGACCCACACGAAACTGCATCAGTTCAAACCACTCCCACTACTCAGCTCTGCAGGTGCAGAGACACGGCTGTCGATGAGGTCGCCGGCTTTATCGTCGCGCTTGGGAGGCTCCCCTGACTCCTCCGCCTCCAGCCGCTTCACCACCAAATCAAACATCAAATCAAAAGACTCGGCATCCTCATAACCATGCTTGATACCATGCTCTTTGAATAGGTAGTCCATCATGGATCCCATTCGCCGATTGACCTCATAAAGAAGCTCGGTTAGCCGGACTATTTCCTCCAACTCGCTCCTGGATTGACTGAGCGTTTCCCGTATTGCCACTAGCTCCTGTTCGGCTCTCGCTTGGCGGCGTTCTGCCTGGACGGTGCGTGTATTGAGTGCACTGATAATCCGAAGAGCTTCCTTAATACTGGTCAGCGATATCGCGGCTAAGGGCGAAGAAACTTACCGAGGCATCCATGCCTGCGAGTGAATATTTGGTTTGGTCAAAGAAGGAATATGGGCCAAAGAAGGAATATGGAGCAAGTGACAACTTGGACACTTAGAGAGAAACGGTGCCTTGAATCGGTAAAAGAAGTATGACTCCAATGGCTATACTTATAGGCTGCTTGTTCTTCTTCATCAATTGAGAAGCTAGTATACCTCTTCTCTAATTCATGCATTGATCTTGAGGGTTGAACTTAATAGACCATGTGTACTACCACACGCTCATGATGGCATTGGGCGAGAAGCGTATTTCTGAACGGACCTCACAGAAAACACTGGACGCTATGTTTAATGAACGAACAGAGATGGTGTGGTTAATGTGGTAGAACATTAACCATCAGTAACAAGGCTTGATTACAACTTTTTGAGAATGAAGGAAACTTTAATTGGAAGAGCAGCACGTTGAAATTGGCACCGGTCTCTTTTTCATCACCACAAATCCACCCCAACTTTGCCACATTTGGGACACCACGAAAAATAGCACTTTCGGTTTATAAATACTTGTTCAGTAACTGAAGGCCCTCGTTATAAATTTAGGACAAGAAGCCGCCCTGCTATTTTTGAATCATAAGTGCTTGATCTCATTCTCTCAGCAATTGCTGTCAACCGTATTCAGCATTCCAGATTTCTCTTTACCTATCAACCTTCCCATTCTGCGTCCAGACATACTACTAGCGACCATTTCTCGAATTATGCCTGGTACAATTTTGAAGGTGGCAAAATGGTTTGGGCTGGAGGTGGTACATGTCATCGTCGTTCGTCGGTCTCGTCATGGAGATCTACGTCTTTTCCAGTCTACATTTCCTTCGGACCATCCAACAGTAGGTCTCCTACTAGCTTTTGAGATATCTACTAAGTTGTGTTAGAATATCACTTTGACTCTTGAGGAAGAAGAGGCGAGCTCGTCGAAAGAAGGTATTGAATGGTAGATGGCTAGCTAAAAAAACGCTGGCAAAATCGGCCGCCGCTGTACGTCTCTGCGGAGGAGCGGAGTGGAATAAATATGGGATTGCAGTCTTTGAATAGAACTATCGTACCTTGCAAGCCCAAACTCAGGTTGCGAAGGAACTGAACATTGATTCCCTGAATTTAATGGACGTTGGTGAAACCGAAAACAACAGATTCAAATGGACTACGGTTACACAACTGTCCAGCTGTCTGTGTTCATTTTGGTAGAGACCATACTGCATGTTTGCCCAAACTGCCGCCTGAAGGGTAAACCGTGGGCCGGTCAAATGACAGCCTTCGATTTACGTGCGTAGGTATTAAACAGACTATGATGTTCATTCAAAATACCTGTAGCAGAAAGATCACTATTGTCCGGAGAATTACCCACTCAACAATACAATTGTTTAGTTAGTTGTCCGCTAATGAACATAGAGCTCTTGATCCACCTTCTCCACCTTGCTCATGGTCGAAATGAACGCTCCACGGATGTGAGAGTCACTTCAGTCACGTCTCGATTGATGCCTTGGATATTAATGAGGGTATTCTATCATATAAAACTTCGGAATACCGCACGTTACCGCACCTTCTTTCTTGAGTTCATTCTACCCTCATTCACTTTCCCCATCAGCATGTACATCGGATTCACGATTGATCGCTCGCAATCTATATGAAGTCATCTGGATACTCTTTATTCAAAATTCGGCCGGCTCGATAATCTTTCATTGCTCGATATTCTGCCAAGGTATTCCCACCACTGTCAATCCAAAGCGAGTAATCTAGGCATCAACTCTTCCGTCAACTTTAGCTAACTTTCTCATTCAATAGATGTATTCCGGAAAAGGAGTGCTACGACACCAAGACCATCGAATAAAGGCAACCTTTGGTATCCACGGAATTCTCTGTTCTTTCAGTGGTGCCATTTCACAGCCAGCACCTTCCTTCCGTTGCTCAGCCGTCTCTCTTACCTACAGCGCCATCGCTGAGATGACTGGCAGAACATTTTTTGAAGGGATAGTTGGTCCAAAAAATATTCGAATTTCAATTGGCAATGAAGTCATCGTCTCGGGACAACTCGATAGTCCCATAGATAGTGCGACTCGAATTTCTGGTAAAGTCTCATGGGTTCAGATCTAATGAAACTTCTCATGATATATATCACCGGCAAGTGAACATGCCAGGTCGAGAAATCTGTATATAATGCGAATGTCACCTTTCCTTGCGGTAGGCTTCATAGTAGAGGCTGCTTATGTAGCTTACATTGTGAAATTAGAAGAATTTTGATATTTCCTCGCCCATGGGCAAGCTTAGGGAGCCCGGCGTGGGCTATCGACCTCCTTTACAGTAGCTCTTGCTTGCATGTTTCCCAAGATGAAATACATACATACCTGGCAAGAAAGAAACTCATTTCTACTCTACCTACATCCAGCGGAGTGGTTAATATAGGCTTCAATGCCCAACATTCATGGGTTACCCCTCATCTATCTAATTAAAGCCCCGGGGAAGTAACAGAGACGAACTTGCACATTGGTGTAAGGTGGGAATAGGACTGTGTCCTTACGGCCAGATATTTCAGCAGCTCCAAATTCAGGTCCGGCCGTTCATGCAAGAGATATGCAAGGCTTGGCCGGCACATAAAAAATTGCAGACGAAACGGTAAGTAATGAAGCCCCATTATGAATACGTCGCTCTCTATACCTGACTTACTAGCGAGCCGACATAGCTGTACGATGTCATCTATTCGATCTTTATCCATCGGAAGTTCGGTGAGCGCATATGGGAGCTTGTCTAAGCCTACGAGGCTAAGCGCAGTCATCCCATGCTACTCTCCAAAGAGTTGTCATCGCAGATGCAAAACCAAGTTGTCGGTGTGTTTGCATAAAAAGTCGCATTTCCCGCATGAGGGACTGGCCGGCACTGGTGAGAGACTCATTGTCAACCCACCGATCTTGCTGCTGGTTCAGGATCAGCATTAGTCTGAGTGCTCACCGCGTAGGTCGAGTTGACAGAATTTTAAGATCATCGTGGAAAATATGCAGCTCAACGTCTAGCATGGAAACTGCCATCGGTGCCATCAAAATTGCTTGGAGAACACAAAGGCAAAAAAAATTCTTTGTATTTGCAGGTTTCAAATGATTGAGGAATAAGACGCAGAAGGAAGTAAGCACTGGTCAGTAGGATAGAACCCCTTCGCGGTGATAGATTTCGCCAGATTGACCAGGCGGCCCGGGCAACTTTTTGCATAGACAGGCAATTTCGATGAGTAGGCCGAATAAATGGGGTGGGGATACATCTGTGACCCTTGAGCTCGAGAGCTACGCCCCCAATAAACAGTATCGGAGGGGTAAATAACCGGTATTGGGCTCCTCGTTTGGGAGTCGCAGCTTGACGCTGCTCATGAAAGTTCAAGAGGGAAACATCTACTGCCCATTCTGTTTATTTGATAAAAAAACGGACTTGGCCTGGAGCTTTCATCTCCCGTGCTATTATTCAGCTGGGAGACTTAAACAGCACTTATCCATTTAGTCGTTTTCAGTTCAACAGACGCATACAGTGTTCTTGACATGCTGGTGTTTATTTATTGTGAGGTGGACAGGTCATTGATCGATTAGCTTTTTAACATTTGGATTGCACCAAGCCAATCGACTTCCTAGTGTTCTCATCTAAACGCAAATATGGTTGACTTTTTGGGGTCCATTTATTTGTTGTGTGGCAATGGTTGGTCTTTGGGCTTTTGACGAATTCTTTTTACAGTATCCAGATCCCCGTCATTTTCTCTTGGTTCGAGTGTCCACTGGACACAATCAATGGCGTTCATCGGGATCGATGGCGGACTCTAGTAATACGGTCGTAATACTAATGAACGATATTGGAATATGCATGTCTGATAGTTATACAGTAAACGTAACGCCCGCTCTGTTTTTCGGTTTTCAATTCTGGTCATTTACTCTCTGGCCTTTCTTCGGCCATAAGGTATGGCCAGCAAGAGTCTTGTTTATCTCTACTGACCAATCAATTTTAACGTTTGTGCGGTGTAATTCAATCGGCCTGGTCACTGCCACAACTCAACACTATGTGAACGGCTGTTACTCACTCTTGAAGGTCAACACTTGCGCGGGATGGACGGTATGCAATATGATGGGTGAAGACATTCAAGTGATAAACAGTAATGAGAGGCTACTATTAAAGTACATATAATATTCAGTGTTTATGCTCAAAGTAGAAATTGTATATATGAAAACCATCTGAGAATAAGTGTCTTCCGTCGGGCTGTACGTTTCTAGACAATACAAGGAAATGTTCATGTTCCAGCACGAACACACTGAACAGCTAGACTATGGCCAAAAAAATCTAAGTACAAGGCACAGACTTGGACAGATCTTGGTTTCATCGAACGGCTGCGCGTTTTATTATTGATCTCCAGCACCACGAAAGGTGTCTGTCCGATTGCTGGAGGCAACTACAGCATGAAGTGAGCCCAACGCTATAAGCTGTGGCCTCTATGTGCTTCACGGCGAGCCACGCGAGCAGATAACCTAACGCTGAACAGCTGTGGCACTCTATAAGCTTCACGGTAGACAACGCCATTGTTGATGATCTAGGTGTTCAACACCCCGATGGAACCAAATCAATCGACTTACTCCCCGAATGTACTCATTTCAACGCAGGAGCGGTATTTTTATACGTATGGATCATCTACCGTCTTCATTTTCAGTGAGGTCGTGGCCGCTCTTTGGGCCTTTGGTGAAATATTCCGTCTACCCAGATCAGGGTCCAGTAGACCCCAATCAAGCAACCACCACGTCGTTCATAGGATCGGCCGTGGACTCCAGTGATAATACAGTACATAATAAGAATGAAAGACTATGGTGGTATGTATGTCTCGCAAAAATAGACACAGTGGCCGCCATTTTTTATTTCTATCTTTTTTCTGATTGGTCAACTCTGTGGCAATGACGCATAATCAGCAAATTGGATGACGTTTATTAGCTCGAACCGACCAGTTTCAACGCGCTGTGCTACAGCGCCAGTCTGCAATTAAGCAGCAGAAATGCCTTCAGTCGAACACTCTTTCAAAACCTTCGTTATCTATTCAACCCAAATTAGGAGAAGGGCTAAAACACTGAGCTCGCACATCGTGATCTCGTCCTCGAGCAATCCGAGCGGAATAGAGGTTGATGGAGCACTGGCATACGAAGGCGTGATTCACTTGACGGAGAAACCACAGTGAAGAATAGGCGAAATGAAAGCAATGTGGGCAAGGGTGTGTGTGGACAGTAGAGTTTCGGGCAAATCGAGGAAGTTTTATTGTTAACATCCAGGTCCAAATGGAACTAAGATGGGTCTACAGAAAGACCTGGTATAGGATAGCAGGCATGAAATAAAATAGCTCGGACAGATCTTAGCTTCCTCGGACGATTGCACGATTGAGTAATGATCTCCAGCACCACGAAGAGGTGTCTGTCCTATCGCTGGAGGCATCACGGTAAGTCACGGCGAGCAGAAAACCCAACGCTGAACAGCTGTAGTCTCCTATAGGCATCACGGTGAGTTACGGCGAGCAGAAAACCCAACGCTGAACAGCTGTAGTCTCCTATAGGCATCACGGTGAGTTACGGCGAGCAGAAAACCCAACGCTGAACAGCTGTAGTCTCCTATAGGCATCACGGTGAGTTACGGCGAGCAGAAAACCCAACGCTGAACAGCTGTAGTCTCCTATAGGCATCACGGTGAGTCACGCGAGCAGAAAACCCAACGCTGAACAGCTGTAGTCTCCTATAGGCATCACGGTAAGTCACGGCGAGCAGAAAACCCAACGCTGAACAGCTGTAGTCTCCTATAGGCATCACGGTGAGTCACGCGAGCAGAAAACCCAACGCTGAACAGCTGTGGCCCTCTTTTGGCATCGCGGTGAGTCACGGTAAGCGAAACAAATTTGAGACCCGGGGCAGACGTAGGCTTTATATTTCTTTGTACGGTACTCGAGAAAAGCCACGTACGCAGTTCCGAGTCCAGCCTCCCCAACTCCGATCGGGTACGGTGACTCACTGACATTAGTAACACTTTTGACTCGCAATTAACCACAACACTTTTATCATCTCAAATCCCCTTTGGCACCACCATGTCCGCCACGAGGCATTCTTGGGAGGTTTTTTCGTCCTCGGGCAAAATTCACCAAAGTCAAGTGACTCCAACCAGGTATGGGAAATGAAGCAGATTACTGCAGTTAAATTTTTTATTTTTTTTGCACGTGATTAAACAAAAACTTAATGCGGGGGTGGGAAAAGTCAGTCAGCAATACTCCAAAGGTAAATTGCAATCATCATCGGTCATGAGTGCGTTCGGTTTTCAGTAGTTGTCGTCTATCCTAATCAACGCACGCAATTTGGTAAAGTGTAAACCCATGCCCGTAAGGTGTTTGGTGATATCAATCTCTAGTGTTGATCGCCTAAATTTGCTCTGGTTATTTCTTTTAGCACCTCACAGTCGTTGTTCAAGTGGAAGGGCGATGGGCTCGACCCACCACACCCTGAATATCAGAATGGTTGTGGTTATATTTCCAGCATGAGATACTACGTGTCTTGGGTATTTGAATTGAAAAGCATATTCAGGTACAGGGTACAGGATCAGACCTCTCTGGGGAGCAATCATTGAACAAGGCAAAAAAATGGTTGTATCATTAGCAATATATATTGTGATTGTATATGCTTGCTTCACCGCATGTTCAAATTCATTTACACCATAATTATTTGCCAATTATCATTATTATAGTATGAGAAGTATACCTTGACTATATGGATATCATTTTGTATTGATTCTCCGCTTGTTCCATGAGTAGTTGTTGGAATACGGTGACTATGATAGACGGAAAATGGTGGGATAGATTTGAAGTGGTTGAACCCCCCAATTGGAAAGCTTACATAAGCCAACTAGTTGCTGCGGGCGCCTCGGCCTATTGTTGATCGCCATGGTCGCTTCCCACCCTTTAATGGTGAAATCCAAGCACGACTTCGCCAGTCTAATCATGCCTCCGTGACTTGAAGTGCACAATTCACATTGGTGCTTTGTCACGCGCCAATTGATGCTCGTAACTCACAGGTTCTGGTACACCTCTGGGACGCGTTGCGCAATCTGATAGGAGAATATTGACTGATTTGACAAGAGAAGAAGCTTCGACATGACAGTCGTGGAAAAACCTTCGCATCTTTGCCTCATAACGTCGGTGAGATTGCTCCTGCTGCCACAGTTGCTCACGTAGGCCCTGGATTTCAATTTGGGCCTGGGTGTGTTGATATACAATCTTCTTGTTTTGAATTGCAAGCTGTTGCGCTTTTTCCCTTCGTCTCTGTCCCCTTTTTTTATTGTCTTTCTTGCAATGGCCTGGGCGGCGCTGGATGGCGGACGCTGCTGTAGACTGGTCGGACGGGGTCTCTGGCCATTCTGAGCTTTGCGTTTCTGAGACACTGTGTGCCGTGACTGTCGCCTGTTGGATTTTAGTCGAGAAAAAGTTAACAGCGTGACCAAACCAAGGCGAGCGATATTAGAATGACTTACAGGCATTGATTTTCCGTGCACGGTGGCAGGCAAGCGCGAGGGCTGAACATGAGTGGAGCCCATAGAGTTCCTGAAGCCAATGTTGAAAGCCTGTGGCCGGAAATATGGTACGGGACGGGCCATTGCTGGTAGGCTTGCGCTTCAATCGACTGAAGCACACGGAGGATGGGAGGAGAAGTCTGAATCCCGACGAGGAGTGCGAAAGCCAGTCGATGGGGTCAGGCACGTGTTAAGCAGTCAATCGGACCGTACGCGAGATTCGGAGCTATCGATATGAGAAATGGTCGAGATTGAATGAACAAGTACAAAAGTCAATATCTAACACCGTGCCCACGAGGCTTGCAATAATGAAGCCATATTACTAATTATCCAGAGCTCATTGGATGGATTTGGTTTAGGTAAATTAGGCAAGTGAGGCCTTTCTGTCAAATGAAGCAAAACAAACGGAGTGGAGGCAGTACATGTGAGTTTAATAGTACATGAAACAGTACCTGAACGGTAAATAAACAGTTCTATTGATGACCTTGTTTTAAGATACCTGACCTGGAGCCGACCATTAGGAGCGCGAGGTCAACTGCCGGGGTTTTTATTTTGGGTAGAAAGCCTCAGTTGTGAACTTTGAACCGGGCGTCAGACCTCAGCCTGTTGGATCTCAGGCGTCGTGATTCGCACATTCAATGCCTCTCTCCGGCGGACGTAGGCCCCCTAAACCCAGGTAGAAAAGATTAGAGTCCGCCAGTCAACTTTCAACAGCTTTTCTTCTTCTGTTCCTTGCGTAAGGGGCTTTCATATAATACAAAATTAAGAGAGCTCCTAAAACCGGCTATGATTATATTCATGCCATAATTTTTGTTTAGTGGGCTGTCAGTAAAATACAAATATGAAGACGTAATAAGTTCCATCGGGGTACAAGCGGGGCAGAAATTCAATAGCCGCAATATTCAGATCCACCTCCAATTGTTTGCGGACCGGAGATGGGGCTCCGGAGTATTGATCGACGGAGAGATTTAATTGCTATATTGCTCACACCTGGTAACTTACTCGCATGGCTTCTATCAGTCGATGAAGCCCCAGAGTTATGAGGACAGCTACGGACAAATAGGAAGCCGGCGGGTCGCCCTTATGTCTATTGAATCCCGGAAAGTAGTGCTAGAGCTCAGTGAAGGTGGTGGGGTTGTGTAGAATCAAGGCTCTTTGGCAAATGACACTGGCTATTTCAAAGCTCCGTCTTAATTATCTTGTCGCCATCCCTGTACTTTTCTATTCTGGACATCTTTTGCGACAAAGCTCCCACAAAGGGGCTAGCACGGGAATTCAGAGATGCCAGTCGCAATTAAACCTACTAGTAAAGGTAGCTTTGCCGGTAGAATCCGTCAGTGTCTCATTTCCTGCCACATCTTTGCACTACCTGCCCCCTTAGCTCGCGAACGAGGACGAAAATGGCAATGGCATGAGAAGCTATTGTTAGCGTACCACCGTGTCGTCTTTTTCTTAGTCCTCGGTGCTCGGGTATTGGCCGATATTAATTTGATTCTCTGTCTTGCGTCTGTGGAGATTTCTCAACACGGACACGAATTTCGGTTTCTCGTAGCTTGGAATTTTGTGCAAACGAACATGCTTACACAAGCTCACTCGGATGCCACGGGATATCCTCAACAGATAGTGTTTAACTTCCTCGTTCCGAATCGATTATTCGCAAATACTCGAGCTTGCTCCAATGCGGTCCTCATCAAGATGAGTGACTTGACCAGTTCATTTCCCACAGGTCAAAACACAGCCGTGGGTGCAGCACTCCCTATATTTTGCAGAGAGTGGTTGAGCTTTACTGTCTCCACCACTTATTGTGGATCTGTGAAATGTCACTTTCTATATCCGGTCAGCTCTAAAACTGAGGTGTTGGGGTGTCATTAAACGCGGTGATAACATAATTTGCGTACGTTGACCTGTTTATTATCACGATTGCATTTGTATTTAGATCTGGTTTTGCCCACCTTAAGCGAGCCGAAATACACCCGATTCCTTTTCTTTCTCTTTTGATCTGTTCAGTGCGAATCTTTGTCTTGCGATTTCCGTCGACTTATCGCTCACTATGCCGGAAATGCCAACCGCATCGCGTAAGCCTGCCGTGCCAGCTCCCACCAGGGTTAGAAAGACCAGAGCGTCTGCCACTCGCCCTGTGCGACCTTTGCCGGCGAGCGCCGACAATACTGAATCTAACCCCATCCCACGCGAAGCCCAATTCCGGCAAAGATTGGTGAGTCAACCCCATTACCTTCCAAGGATAGTGATTTGCTGACATGCTCGTCCGATATAGCGGGCACATGCCTCCCGGCCAGAAGATCATGTTCAATGCATCAAGTGGCTTGAAGCAGCCGAACAGGCCCACCAGCAGAATACCGCCCACCTGAGCGAGTGAGGCCAGCAACTTGTTGCGGAAAAAACCCGGTTGTCTGCAAAAGTCCAGCAGCTTACCGCCGAAAGACATAAGGCTGCGGAGGAGGTTCGCCAGTTGAAGAGCGAGAATGTTGCCTTGAAAGAGAGCCTGGAAGCGGCCACCTCTCAAGACCATATGCCACGGGAAGAATACAAGCAGGCCTTGAGGGAACTTCAGAACACCGCTTCGTCCTTAACCGGCCAGATCACGGACAAGATGAATGAAAGCGACCAGGCATACTTTTCCACTCTCTTGCCTTCGTCTGATGTGGCACAAGACTGGCAAGACCAAGATGCAAGCTATCTGCTTGATCCCTCGAATATGCCGCCACAACCTCTTCCGGGCTACTCCTCGTCCAACCTGCCCACGATTCCCCAGCTCGATTCATATACGCACCTGCCATGAGGCATTGCGGTCTCTCTGAGCGAGCGGACCGTGGTGTATGGCTGTTTCTAGAGATAATGTTATGTGATCGGTTAATATTAAATCCTAAATTCAAATGTGTCCTTACACGTAGATTGGCTCTTTAGTTCAGGTATACCGCGTTATCACTGCGACGTAGTCTCTTAGCAGCGGTCGGAGTCTACGGGGGCCGATCCAAAATCTCTGCTCTTAAAAACCCAAGAATTCGCTAACGGGGAACCAATCACTACTTCCGTGATAATCGTATATTCCATCGTACGTCTGCGATCGGATGTCGATCTCCGTCGAGCCGAATCTGACCAAGCATTAAGTCAGTGGAGTATTGCGTTCCGATTGGCGCGAAAGCCCCCCAGATGACATGGAGTTAATTTGCCGTGTTCGGGCCTCCACCAGATACGGCTTAGAGGGTATTTTATCTTTACCCTTATTGGCTCGAAGGATCACTCAGACCCCATCAATATTGGCTGGCAAGCAGGTTTTCAGGGGTTGAGGGAAAACATAGAATTCATTTTCCTTGCGGTACATCCGCGAAATGGCGACAATTATACTGGCAATTCAGAGTGAAAGGGTAAGAGCTCCCGAGGGGCGACCGTTGAGGTATATGCACGAACAAATAGAGTTTAGGTCAAGATTAACATGCATAAGCCCGTGCTTGATCGATCTCACCGTTGCGCCGGCATCTCCCGTGTCTCATCCTGCATGCTTACACGCGATGCCGCATATAGTTTGGTTTCTTTCGCGCGGGCGCTCGCTTAGATTTTGTAATTGCAGTACAGATAATTTGTTGTGTACCATGATCGTTACCTTTTCCCTCTTACTGCATCTCCATCGACGATTGGGGACTTTTCCACGATACCCAATGTGCGCGAAAGAGCTTGAGTTACCTAATGAAGGAGATCGGCGGAGATCGTAGCCTGTATTGGACTTGGCCTGTTTACCTTCGCCTATATCTTACCCAATCGGGCACTCCGACCGGTGACGGTAGATCCGACTATGGAAAATTGGGTAGGAGGGGCACATCAAGTAGCAGATAATCCACCACGAGAACCATGGATCCAAGATTATATGACCCGCAAATAGAACCACACAATTTATAGGGGTTTTCATGTCCCTGTCTTGGTGTCAGCTATTGTGTGAGGCAGGATACAGGAAAAAAGGAAATCAAAAACCCAGACTTTCGATTATTGCATAGTTGGTAGAAGCTGGATTGTATGTCTTCTACTGCAAGTTCTTTATATGGCTACGAAATTGACACCACAAGACATAAGATCGACGGTGCTCTAGCCGCAGGCCGATCAGGCAGGATCTCCACCATATGAGGAAGTGGGCCCAATCAACGTTACATGCTGTCATATCAGCCAATGGAATTAAATAGGCCAAAATGACGACGAATTGACCTTTGGGGGTGCGGTCCTCATTCGGTGGGGACTCGTAAACTCGTTTGGATAGTTTGGATTTATTTTTTATAAACCATCTTAGCCTCCATGTTGGACGGATATGCTAGCATAAGGACCGACAAGGTACTTGGAATTGCCTTTCAGAAGGTTGTATTGGCTACACTGCTGAATGTTTTTCCTGTCATCGTGCTTGGCATGTGTCAGCGTCGATAGCTAAGATATTTGCCTTTCGGGGTCCTCGGAAGGAATGCGGGCGGGAGGGCTGATCAGGGCTGTCGAAGATAGAGTTTGAATTGGCCGCCCTAGCCACAAATGTCTCGGCCGCGGAAATTAGCCGCGCTGTGCTCTACCTATAGCTGATTCTCCGGAAAAAGTATACCTCACGAGACCAAGAGAAATTATTTCTTGACTTGAAAGCCGAGGTTCCTGGGTTCTGGGAGTAGAGATCACTCACTGTCTAGCGACGTTCCTCGAAATGGGTCAAGTCTAGACGTACACAGCAAAAACGGAGTCTGCCTCTCTCAGGGGCTGTTTCCTATCATAAAAAAATGGGTATAGTATGGGGCATGGGGCGGGGCTCGCAAACCTGTAAGGTCCATGCTCGAAGACTGGTGACTAGCTGGAAATTCATTAAAATCGTCCAATGAAAATTCAAAGTCGGCAAAAGTCAAACAGAAAAGAGACATAAAAAAAGACGGGTGGCTTTGTGGAATTCGCCGTTGTATTGCATACTTTAGACTCCCCACGTCTCGTGCGTACGGCATTGGCTTTCCTTTAGGCATTTTTGGCAGCCACCAGGCGCAGCGCAGATCGCTAGTCGGTGAGACATATCGTCTCCCGCTTCTCTCTTCGATTCCATGCGACAGGTAAAGAAAGCACTAATAGCAGATCGGGTAGACGAGGCAAATCATAAGGGGGAACCAGCCTAGCCGAGACTTCCCAAGTGTACCATGGTTCATGCATTGGTATTACCATCGTAAGAGATGTGCAAGCCGACAGAGACTCTACCCCGTTTTCTCAGGATCAGTCACCTCTGGCAGGTGGGCCACAGCGGTACGGGACGGACCACAGGCAGAGTTCCAAGGCAAGCGGATCTGAGAGTCTCTATATACAGTCGACAATACTGCGGTGTGTTGGAGGTTTCAAGATCTTGAAGAAACTAGTTTTTGCTCGGAATTGAAGACAGCAGTTCGCAATAGTAAGCGCAAAGATGCATGTGGAGTGGGAGCAGGAGGAGGCTCACCATGGATTGAATCTGGTGGTAGTCCAGCCTAAGCGATCACTGCATGACTCCCGTCCGAGACGTATTCGCAGGACTGCCGATATACCCGTCACGATGCCCGCTAGTGAACTATATTAGAGGAAAGATTTTCCAAACACGCAAGCGCAAGGATCGAAGTGGGTTGGAAAACAATAGCTTCGCTACACCCTTATGGTTTTCTGATTTTGTGCTTAGCACGCACCTCGTTTAGTTTCGTAGTTGGCCAGTATTTCCCATGGATACAGACACAAACGGCAATGATCTGCGGGCCCTGCACGCGTAACAATCCTCCCCGATCAATGTGGGCCGGTTGTTTTGTTTCCACCTCTCCCCAGTCCAGGTATCATCGTCTCCACAGACGTGCGTGAACCCTTCCCAAATTGGGTTGCGGAGCTCAGTGGCGCTCTGACAGTGATTTGTCACCGAATTCTCAAATTGCATTAGGTTCCTAACGGCGTAGATCTCGGGCCTGACCCGCACGGACCTGGTAGATCGTGAAGCTCTAATGCCGATAGGGGTGTGTACGTATCAAAGTGCGTTGAAATGATCGCTATCGCTTGATTGCTAGGCTCGAACTATCTATCTTCCTAGAAGCGTGGATGAATGATTATGTATGTGTCGCGAATATTGCGATCTCATTCCCTGCTCGTCCTGCCTTTATTCTGCGTCACGCCTAGGGCGTCCGGGTCTTCGCACAGTGACTGGGCTACCCTTGGATAGAGAGTTAAGTTGGCCTCTTAGCATCGCCACCTCTTTTTTTAGCATAGCCGAGTCTTCTCGGAGCACCGAGATTTCCTGGTACCCGCCCTGCATGGTCTTCATGCCTCGTGCCATATCGTCGTTCCAGAGATTTTGTTTTTCGAACTGATGTTCCACGGACCTGGAAAATTTCCATTAGCATCTAGATATCTGGAGCACGTATCAATGGTGCACCCACAGAACTCGGCCGTCTAGACTAGAAAGACATTAGCCTCACGCGTAACTCCCGCATGTAGGGGCATATAGACTCACTCTCTCAAACAGCTCACACACTTGCCAAGAGACACGGGAGCATCAACCGCTCCATCAGGCTCCGCTCCGGGACTATGATCGTCCGAACTTTGGATCTCCATAGCCCAATCGGCCTCTGCTCCATCTCCTGCGTCTCCATCTCCTGCGTCTTCATCCATCGGCACATAGCTTTCTCCCGCGTAGGATTGTGTTTCCATGTCATAAAAGCAGTCTTCGTCTTGGGGAGCTACATCCGACTCGGGAATGCTCCAGACGTCGAAAGGCTTGGAGGCAAGGGCCTTGCGTAGTTGGCTGGAGAACCGGCCAGGATCCTGCAAGATACCCATAACTCAGGTCTTGTGGAAAAAGCGAATGAGAACAAATAAGATAGAAGGAAGAATGGGAAGTTACGGCCAGACCTTCTCACCGATGATGGCGGTCGCACTTGATTTATAGCCCAGATGGGGACGACGGTGGAGAGCTTGGACCAATCCGAGGACTAAAGCTGTATGCCCTGCGAAATTCGGGCGCCATTTGATTTACATGTATACAAAGATATAGTTAGCTAGAAAGAACTTCTACGTCCAGTTCTAGACCCAAGACGGGGGCCTAGAGGAAAAGCTCGATACTACCTTGTGGGCCTTCGGTAAGAACCATTAGGCCTGCAGGCAAAGCCCTTCTCTTCTTGTCCCCAGATATATTTGCGGTGGATGATATTAGAAAATAGCTATCGACCGGGAGAGCGTAAGCACACGAGTAAGGCCTTTTGCCCTTCGTTCCATGGGACGTAGCATTGAGTTGATACAGCTCGGCTTGACTGGAGATCAGAGGTCTAAACTAGCCGTTCCCCTCCGAGAAATTGAAGGACCGGTAAATAGCAAGGCATGGCCAACATTAATTTGGTGACTGTCGTGTAAAATGTATAAAAAAACAATTAATCCATCAAGTGTAGCCTTTTACAACTTAGTCGACCTCGGTATAACCGGCCCCACTTGAGCAATTCGAGCGGACATGAAGCCGATTACCCCCCACAACTATACTATCCTTTTGACCATTGTGGCCAAGAGAAAGAAATCGCGAAAAAAATAAAAAAAAACACCTTTCAAACGGTCTGCATTAAATTCGCCTCGCCAAAGTTGAGGTCGTATTAATTTAATAACCATCAAATATATCTGGGCAGATTGAATCGGCAGATTCCGCTTCAATTTAACTCCTGGCAAGGAGCATCCACCCCAAGAATGGATCAATGACACACTTGTTCAAAGTAGGAGTGGTGACTTTGAGTACACATCAGTTAAATTGGTGCCGTCCGTCGTTGTTCACCCTATGTCTTCTAGTGCCCTCACTGCTTGATTTCATCGCCTACCTTGACGTTTGACGTTTTACTTTTACACTGAACCTAATTACCACAATGTCGAAAGGTGCCTACATTCCTTGGACCGCATCCGAGGAAAACAATCTCGAACGATGGTTATCTGAACATCGCTGGATGTCGTGGGAAAGAAGAGCCGAGGAATATTCCAAGCAACACAATAAAGACCGATCATTCGAGTCGCTGCGAGGCAAATACAACCAGCTTCGGAAAGGGATTAGAAGGCGGCGTCCCATCTCTGACAAAATATCTACACGCACCCGTACGGCGGCGCGTAGGGCACGGTACCGGCGTCAGAGGCTTCCGGAGGGCTTCCCTCCTTGCCCTCCTGTCCTCAGGCTTAAGAGGCCGGATCCTTGGGCTCGCCGAATCTTGCAGCAAGGGCAAATATCTGAAAGTTCACGCCCGCAAGCTTCTGTAGTGGCCTCGCAGTATCAGAATGACCATGAGTCCCTATACCCAGCATATCATGCCCCCCGGGTAGGTAGTTGTGAAGCCAGCATGAACATTGCATTGATGATTGCTGATTGCGCCTTTAGTTTACATTAGCCCTAAGCCAGTCTTTCGACGACGTAAACAGCCACTGTCTGTTACACAGCTTTGGCAGATGATTCGCCGCATCCGCATCTCAACGGGAGAAACGTGAAGTGACTGATACAAAGAGGATGGACAGGCAATATCAAATGGACATGGTGGTTTTATTGAGGGAATGAAGATGTAATAATGCGGATGGATATATACAACATCCTACGATATGAATACAAGTATTGGATAAAGCTTCATTACAGTACTTTCTTGCCCAGTCTTCTCCCATTCTCAAATTCGGCGCAGGGCTTTAGGCCAGAGTTAGTGATGGTGATCTATCCACGAAGGCAGAAATACAGGTAGTGACTTCATGGCAATGGAAGAGGACTGGCCCTAGACCTGCTTCCTGTCCTCCTCCTCTGACCTGTGCTTCTGGATCAGGGCTAATAATTTTGCGTTATGTCGAAGCTTGGTCTTGGTAACCTATATAGCTTCACCATGAGTATCATGCCTCTGTAACTCACGTGATCAATCCCAAACACGCGAGAAGGGATTGTATCTTGTCCGGTATTCTCCCGAAGCTTGGAGCCGAACACCTACTCGAGCTTGGGCAACTCAGATTCTTTATTTTTTCTTTCCAGATCCTCAACCAAGGTAGTGAATTGGATAGTCCGGTCGCTAATCATGCATGCAACCAAGTTGGGCTGTTTGGCCGCCAAGGGTAAGAAAAACGGCCCTCGTACGTAATTACAGGTACGCCTGGAGTGGGCCACGCCAAACCCCGAGGGGCCCGCAATTCAGCATTTCCACGGTTCGTCCCTATGGTTGCTCCATAATATCCCCACCATGATGGGGTATATGACTGGAAATAATGGTCTGGTCGGTTGGAAATCCAAAGCCGAGCAAACATGAATCTAGACCAAACCAAAATGGCAGGTTAATGGAGCCAGAATTGAGAACAGTGGCAATCATCCATGTGACAACTGGAGAAAGTTATATTGGCCTTCTACGCCGTTTGTCATAAAACCTACGAACTCTAGTATACGAATTTAATGACGAATCCTGCGTCTGAAAACTGACGTCAAATAAAAACTATAATCCGCTCAAATAACATCCTCGATATTGCCACCAAGATTCAGATTTAACAAAGCTCGATCAGGGGAATCCTACAGAGATTTGTTTTCCATGGCCTACTTTTCCCACTAGCTGTTGAAAGAAGTACCCATAATGTTGTCTTTCAAGAATTCCTCACTCTCTTCCTCTTCCGTTTCGGTTGAGCGTTCTGGACTGAAACGTGATTGCTAACTCATATAGAATTAGGTTCTGACTTGACCCTAGCACGCCTCTGGCGCGCCAACTTGGGTAGGCGAGCCAAATTTCCTTGAACAGTCCAGACTCCCAACGATTTGCATATGCTATCGACACGTGTTCTCACGCCGAATTCTCTCTCTTTCAAGCCATGAACCTCATCGCGCAGCTGTTCCATTACTATCTGTACCCCAGCGTTGTACGCTGCATACTCTATGAAGCCATTTTCGATTTTTCTGTTGAGGTTTTAGATTAGCAGCATATTATCTATAGTGCTAAGCAGCAACCCCGACCAGAGCCAAAGGAAGATTCCACGGGATGTGATAGCGAGAGGAAGGCACTCACTTGGTTCGCTCATCCAACCTAAGGATTGATTAGTTAGCCAACTAGAACGTGATTTATAGGGCGCATAGATGATGAACTCACTCCTTGACATATGCGACCAAAAGTTCAATTGTCTCACGTTGAGAAGTATTTTGCTGCGAAGACTCTGAATCGCAATCAGCCCTGACCCTGGTATTAACGGCCGTACCCCTGGGTACTCACGGCAAATATTCTCCTCGCTCAATGCAGTGATACCCAGTTCTCTAGGGCTATTTTCACTGGGAGGGGTGCTCTTGAAAGAGGGGTTTTCTGTGTTACCCATTTTGAGAAAAGAAGACGAGTAAAGGTTGCCCGAGTAATACTAAAGAAACAAGGTGCCTTTATAGCGGGCCCTTTGGCACGTGACGAGGGCCGTCAGCTGGTGATCCAACGTATTTCCATCTGTCATACATGCTGGATAATAATGAAAGAAAATGCAAAAGACTTTCTGTTCAAGTCATAGTTGTATATATAAAAAATCTCCTGACAAAACCCCGCAAAAGGTAGGAACAAATTTCTCCATCTCTGCATTATGTTCTTCTTTTCTCCCTCCTCACGGTCAACACATGCGGTCTTCTCAACCAAGCCATCACAGATATATTTTAAAGCTGTAGGCAAGCCCAAGGCACCTGTAGCATTCATATTAGGATCTAAAATTGGCTTGGTAGTGGGCTAGAGAGCCCACTATATTCATTTGGAAAATCTCGCGACCTGGTCTCTAATATCCCCTTAAGCTAAGATTTCTTCTTCAAAAATACTTTCAGCAAATAGCATACATGTATCGATTCTCGCCGGGTAAATGCAATGCTTGGTGAGTGTGCTAGCTATTTGTTTATTGTCAGATTGATTTGTTCCCACTCAATAACCAGACAGACGCAAATCCCACTGAAACTAGCCCATTTGTTTATTAAGGTACCAATGACCCATTGCTGTATTAGCTTCGTTCTGTTCAAACCCCGGCTATTAAAGATCATTATTTGAAAAATAATTTATAATGAAAATTGGACAAAGTAAACAACAATATTCACGGATGCTGCACGAGCCCAGATGTCCAATGTAAAGTTATAAAGTTGAGGAACTCCGTTCCTCCAGCCACGCCAGCACTATACTGTCCAGTTAAAAATCTCGATTTATCAATGTTTGAGGTCATTTAAATGTATTACAGTCCATGCAACTTGTATCGAGGGAACCATCAATTGCTGCCAGGTTCGACTGGTAACCTCTTTCCTGCCTCAGGCTCACCACCATACCCGATGGGCACCCTCAATGTGCGAAATGGTTCTGGTATACGTTGCCAATTCTCGAGAGTACAGAAGCCGACATGTCAGACTCTCATGGCCTCAAAACGGATCTGGTTACCAGAGGAAGACAAAACAATTGTTTACCTCCGAAACCAGGGGAGAGGGTGGCTCGCCATCAGCAAGCATCTTAATGAGAGAAGTTCTACTGCCTGTCGCCTCCGATATCAAAACTACTTGGAACGTTGGGACACTTGGGATGATGATAGCAAGACTCAATTAGCGAAACAGTATCTTAGGTATGCCGTGAGTCTGTCCCCGATAATGTCATTATACTAACAGCTCCATTGCATTAGACACAAATCGGAGCTGTGGTTGAAGGTAGCCAAGGAAATGGCTGTTCCTCCGCGCGCAGCAGAGGGCATGTTTTGGGAGCTCGCGGAGAAAGAGATCGCTAATCGCACTGGCATCGTACATTCACATCGTCTTCGGAATCCTTCATCGAGCTTTGAATTCCATTCTAGGAGCGTTCTAGTCAAGGATGTATCAAAAAGAAGTGAATCGGTCAATTCCACCAAGAAAGCAACGATTCAACTTCCATCGTTAAGGGAAGTTCTTTCTAGCCTTTCTGCATGTCCAATGGTGGTGGAACTTCCCGCAATGCAGTCTTCGTTCATCTGAGAAAACGTCTCAGAAGAGCTGCCATCTGTTCATTCACGCGAGAAAGAATCCATGATGCCAGGCTTCCACCTCAAGGCTTCTGGGGATTTGGGTAAAGATGATAATGGGTATTGGGAGAAGAACAGCCGTTCGATGATATAGCGTTTTGCTCAACGCATCGTGCAATAGTTGAATCCCAATCATTGTCGGCGTTTTGATTTCACCGAAGACAACCGCATTTTGTAACGAAACAACAGCTTGAACATGTTCGATGTTCACGTCGCTAGTCTAATTTCGCGCTGTTGGCTCCGGTGTATTCCATAATCGACGTTACAGGCTCCATTTATTTCCGATTCTTGCACCGGTTTGGATTAGCTCCCATAGAAGAACTTATAAAGGAGCGCGGGCCAGGACAATGGAGGTTTTAGTTTCAGAAGCCTTCTACCTTGTGCTACTTCAAGCTACCTGTCTATCTTAGTTTCGAATACCTTTCATTGAGTCTGTATCACGGCAGCTGATCATGATCAGGACTCTATCTCCGAGCAGCTAAGGATTAGAGACTACATTCTGACATCTTTCCTGGACTGCGATAAAGATTTGAGAATACTACATTTTCTTCCTTCGCAAGATATGCTTCGTTCAGTTCTTGGACTCTCCGAGTCTTACTGGAAGTTACTAGACGAGAATATGAATCTTGTCCGATACCTCGAACTTCCTCTCATGAGCAATACTGTACACAGAGTGCTATCAAATGTCATAACATCTACAGAATACTGCAAACCTGGTCTACGGATTATAGATTGATGTTTAATCCTTATATTCGGTCACCTTTATATGTGTTGTCTGCCGTGCAGCTCAAGATCCTCCTTTATCCAATGTACCAATTTACACCAAACAGGCGACCCTCTTCCAATGAAGATAACTTCTGGAACAGAGCCCTGGAAACATCAATAGACTGATTATCACATCCGGTGCACTTATCAACAACAACACCTGTATGCCTTTTCCCTTTGTAGTTAATATGAACGGCTCTTCTACACTCGGCTCTTGTCATAATACCCTGTGGCAATGCAAGAACTAAGTCACTCTCCCCATTGTTGGTTACTCCGCATGCACTGGGCGAAAATGCATCAGTGGCAGTATCGTAAAATGTCACATCGCCATTGCAAGGGTTTGATTCAGAGCATGGGCCATTGTAACCGTGGCCGCTGCCATCATGATTAAAGGGACTGGTTGTGTGTAAGGAATAAAGATTTGGACTCTGGCTTTGAGCTAGAGAAGTCGTCGGATTCGAGTCTAAATAAGTAGGAGGCAAGAATCCTGACTCTTGGGTCTCGAAGCTTCCAGTTTCGGATAAGGGATGGTTAGGCTGGTTTGTCTGCTGAGTTGCAACTTCGATAGCCGGGGAGCTTGTTGGAATGACAGTGATAGTGTATGTTATGTCAGTCGTGCTCCAAACAAAATTAGTGAACGCTTCAGACACTTCGGCACAGAGGTCTAGCGGAGCCGCTGCAGCAAAATTCCAGCCATAGAGGGCCATGAGAAGGTTGGTTAATACCATTCTTTCCTTTGGGAATGAAATTATAGGTGGCGCTCCTTATAAGCTGAGCGCGGCCCATATGCCGGATAATTAATCCAGAGATCTGCTCGACTTTTGTAATGAACTATGACCTTTCAAGAACCTCATTTTCTGGTCGCCTGCTGTCCCATTTAAAAAGATATTGCATGAGATCTCAAAGCGGGAAGCGACGATAAAAAGCCTCATATAAGTAGACAGAATTTCATTTCAATTCCTTCATCTTTCTAACCTCAATTTGTGGCAGTACCAGATACCATTATTGCGGTCTATCCACCAGACAGTGATGAGGTTTGATGTCTTGCATATCCTAAGATTTGGCGTGAGTGGCTAGAAAGCTATGATTTGACCCATGTCGAATTGATCACTAACCTTTCGAGGCGGAACAAAAGTGGACTGTATCAATCGATCATGGAGGCAAATCAATATAGTAGCGAAACCCCTAGTCCCAAACTTATGAATTATGTGGTAATTCGAAGCAATTGGCAATATAAACTACTTGAGAGGCAGAACAGAAAATATATGTTTGTATGGTTCATGTAGCACACAGGTCCGTTCGAAATCAATTTCACCACTTTATTCTCTTCGGTTCTTCTTGACCCTTGGCCAGACCCGCTTTGGTCTAGATATTGAGGTTGTCGAATAGGAAAAAGGCTAACAGCAAGCACTAAGTAGATAAGGCCTGGCGTCACTAAAAATAGAGATTAACAAATAATCAAAAAGAATGAATTGGTGAAGCTGATTTTGATCCGCCCTGTAGGAAGCCAGCTTTAACATACTCTGTCCAAAAGGCCGTGACTAGAGTAAGAGTTGAAACTGATTACCGCGAACCGCGTACAGTGAATCTATAAAATCAATTGAATGGTATCCTTGGAAGCGTTTAATGCCATACCACCCGTGATCTCCATCGGGACCGGTCCTTAGTGCGCGGGAACTTCTGGGCAGTCCCTGCTATACAGGGTGTGTGTGTGTGTGTGTGTGTGTGTGTGTGTGATATCATTTAACCTGACCCCTCGCGAGTTGCTTTCCCAGCTAGACTATAATACGAATCCGTACCCAGCCTAGTGGGATATGGTTTAGAATCCAACTTCGCGAACGATATGCAGATTACAACAACTATATGTCTCCATGTACGTACATCTGGAGTGTTCCACTTCCTGAAAACGAACTTGGGGCCTCGTCAAGGCCTCCCGTGGCCTAATTGCCGTTCCCATTGTTAGGCTGCCCTCGTGGCGCGCGACCGCAAAACCTTTGTGACGCCTCAGCGAAGTCTAGCACGGCCTTGACCATCCTGGCTTGCGGGAAGGTGTCTGGTTTACCTCTCTCACCTTGTTTTGAGCCCCCTAGCAGACTCGACATGCTATTGAATGCGTCTCCAACCTCTCTCCGCAACTCCCGTCGAAGTTCCCTCAAGTTTGGGCAGTCCACCAACACATAGGTTACTGTTTCTTGCGGGCCGCATATGCACTGGTCATCGTCACTGTAACCAACCTTTTTGCGGTAGCTAGGCAGCTAGTTGTGGCCCGAGCGCAGCTGCTTCAAGAGGTATGCACGGTTCCTCGGTAGGTTCCCGTACAGCCTCCTCGTGCAGCTGGCTGGTAGTGTGTTATCGACCTTCCGTAAGTGACCACCCTTTGTGGATGATTTCCATTCTTACTCCCACTGAGCGTAGATGTTCCGATGAATGAGCACCCTCTCTCTGGTGAGGAGCGGGCGGAAGGGATGGGTTTTTCCCGGACTGGCGGCGTTAATGGCCAATCCATCTACAGTATCGTTGCCAGTATTATCGCAATGCCCTAGCATCCACTGAAGGCGCAGTGCGGTTCCCCCTGCTAGAACGTCGGTGGCAGTCTGGAGGATGCTATACAGGGCGGATCAAAACCAGTTCCACCATTTTGTTCTCTTTGATTATTTCTGTCTCTAATTTTATAGGCACTAGGCCTGATACTGTTACTCAATGCTGATCGCAAATTTCCTATTCGATTATTCAAGATGATCTAGGCCATATGTAGACTAAAGCGGGTCTGGCCAAGATTTAAGAAGAACCAAAGAGAATGAAGTGGTGAAACTGATTTCGAGCGGACCTGTATCGTAGTCTAAGGAGGCACAGCATTAGCTAAGGCATGTACATTTAGATCATGATAGTTGCCCTTTCGGTTCAGCCGCCGGGCGTTAATGAATTGTGTGTGTGTGTGTGTATCGTAGTCTAATAATCGTATCATACACTTGCAAAGTACCCAGGCATCTGGCAATTTGAGTACCATATGAATATAAATGATATTTATGATATTGAAAAACCGAAATTGAGAAACTTAAAACTTGCATAGTTGTAAGAGACCACATCATAAAGCCTAGATAGATGGCGGCCACATTCCGCGGTATACATGCTGAACAGTTTGGCCTTGGACACCCAGCCTGGCGCTCTGCTAATATTTGTGCTTTCTGCCTTGATATCACCACATACCGTCTTCACTCTCATTGCTTTGGGGCCTCTGTGAAACATGTTTTTTTCTGTCTGCATCTCGCGCGTGTGCTTTGACCTTCATTGTATCTGTCTTGTTGGAAAATAAAGGCATCCAATGGTTTGCTCAGATTGCCGATTTATCGTTTGTGTGGCAGTTCAAATCCTATCCGCGAGCAGATTAATGTGCAAGTCTCTTTTGTAGACGGACTCGTAAAGCCACAGTTATGTAGGTCATAATGGCTGTTGCCAACAGTATCATCAGGACCAGTCGAAGAAGCTCTGTTTGTTGTTGGAATATAAGCTTTTTGCTCATCCTCAACAATGCCAAAGCTGCCGTTGATTGTATGGGGTATGCTAACGTTTTTGGATTCTGTAGTGGCAAGGGAGAACGGATAATGAGGTATCGGCGTGGATCCATGATCTTGTGGCTCTGAATAGCCTGATTGCCAGGGTATCTCCCAACCCTCCGGCGGATCAGCGTATCCTTGAACCGAAGCAGAATTTTGATATGAAAGCTGGGACAAAGGCCAATTTGAAGACACCAGCTCTGGTATCGTAGCGGCGTCATAATAGAGAAATGATGGATTTGCGCAATCAGAATCAAGCGCATCACATTTGTCCCAAGTGATCTTTCCCATCGTGGTCATGTCGATACTAGGATCCAGGTTCACTTCAGGTAGGGTGTCGACAATGGTTGGATAATCGCGATTTCGGCAAACATGCGAGCGTTCGGGGGGAATATCGCCAGCAGAAAAACAACAGTGACTGATCCTAGTCGCCTCATCCGACTGTGCTGACCGGTGTTCGATTTGGGAAGATAAGGACAATTCATTTGGATTGCAGAAGACTGTTTCCGAAATTTGGGTGCTTGATGATGACATAGCTTTGGAGATGCCAGCTGGCCCTACTAGAGTGCGTTAATATCTTATTAATTGGCTTTTTCCTCGGGAAGACAATTCTCACCATTGAGAAAATAGTCTTCAAGCCCAAGCAAATTAAAGGCCATCTGAGGTGATAATGCCTGCTGGTCCGGAGACTGTTGCAGATAGTTCTGGGAGTTGTCTGGTGTATCCAGATCAACATCGTTCCTATCATAATACGATTGATTTGCGGTCAAGCATTGATATTCGAAATAGTCCCACACAGAGGAAGATACACGAGCCGGTGAAGAGCCCGGAGGCGAAGCTTCGTGTGTATTGAGCTCTGACGGCGGATGTGTATCGAGTTCCGAAGACGGAGTAAACTCCGAAGTCAACATCGGCATGTGATAGTAACGCCCTGGATCTCCAGTGACAATAGTCTCCGGCATGAGAATGTGTGAGAACACGCACGGTAGTGTATTCAGAAAGACAAAAGAGATGTGTTCTGTCAAATAAAAAGCCGTTGCAAATGATGGAAATCAAGAAAAGCTGATAAAGGGAATGTTGAGAATTGACAAGATAAAATAATTCAAAAATGCAGGGGCATATTATAAGTGGACATCACCTGTTTATCTAAATCGCCTCATGGAAGTAGATGTTTTTGCTCCCAGGAACCAGATTCAAGTGAAAGCTCCACTTCCTCTCATAATTTCCATTTTCCCGTAGAAGTGTGATTCTATAAACATTAAACTATCAATACCCGTTTCATATGCCGTTCCCAGGAGCATAGGCTTCGCTTGATCTCCCTTCACACAGTCTGTCGAGTAGCTCACGGTTGGGTGAGATTTCATTATTTATTTGGTGACTAATCAAGTTCTGTTCTATCCGTGTCTCACCTTCATTGTTTACATAGTTATAGTATTACCATAATCAATCACATCAGAGTGGAGAATCGGGCAAACACTAGCATCCAAGAGGCTTGAAATGATTATGATCTCCCATCATATTACTCTAGGCCTTGTTTTGTGATATTGCTGCGGGATTTCTCGTAATAGCACCCTGTGTCTATGTTTATTTCCATTGTGAGGTTCGTGACTGAGCGATACGCGGCTTGTCAAACCCCAATTATTCTCATATATTTGGTAACACGTATACCTTTCTTGAGGTGCAATGTACTGGTTCGTGTAGACTTGACTTCTGGCGTTCTTGTTTTGTCCTCTTGCCCTCGTCTTTGTTTCTGAAGATACTAGGCTCCCTGGGAGCCAAAGGGAAACTCCGAATAGGATAATTTATGGTGATCAGACCAGGCCGGACTACAAACTCGGCACACAATTGCTTGCGACAAGATACAGGTAGCGTATGCAAGTGTTCTTACGTATCACATCGGTCAGAACTAGCCCCAACAATCACTGCAGTAATTATCCACTGTTTATTTGCCACCGGTGAATCCCGGCCCATTGATCAGGGTAAATTTTGGTTATTATCAGTGTTAGGCCCTGAAGCTCGACAGCCATGCCCGTTTTTTCTAATTCTCAATCTTTACCAGTTCCAACTTGAACACACTGTCTAAGCCGTGCTGGCCGCCTGGAGATTGGGCCATCAGGACATTGGAAATGAGCTAGTTTTTCCGCTTGAATGGACACCATAGCACTATTCGGGATAATACCACTAGAAGGCTGCTGGAATATCCATTTTAAAATACGCTCAAGATCTTTCCTTCGCCCATCCAGCGATAATAGCTACACAGCTTGCCATGCCACTCAGAGCGATAAAAAATGGGGCCCGTTCTATGGTAGTGGGAGGCTTGAGATTATCAAAGACGTTGAAGAACCCGAAAGAGCGTACGTCAACAGAAAGGATGGCGGTAATGTGGCCTTCTCAAAATGGCTATCTGAGACCAAAGGGCACAAAAGAGGCTTCAAGGGGAAAATCATCATCGAAATCAACATCAATAAGGTGATGTGGGAGCAGGTGGAAAATTGTCAATCTGGGAGTGACATGAACAGATAGCAGACAGAAATTATTAATCTAATTATTAACTGCGAATGGCCAGCCAAGATAGTAAAGGTCTTCTCAATAGAATTTACAACAATCAAATAGTAACTATACTATAGAAAAACCAAGAAAGTACCAAGTAACCGCTTTAATAGCTCAGGAGCGGCAATTACATCCTCTGCGCTGTGTGTGTAGAGCCTGCATTCAGAGCACATACTGATTCAATATGGCAAGTAGCTAGCCTCAGGATCAAGCATTCGTAATAACCCTATTTGTATAATGGTGCCTGACTTCAAAACTCCAGCCGATCGTTGGAAACAAGAGCTTTTTCAGACTTGTTTCTCTACTCCACTCTTGACTCTCCTTGAAACTTTGAGCAAACTCTATTTTTTATATGAGCTTTGAACGCTGTCGTGCGACTAAACCTTGTACCACAAGCAGTGCACACCGCATTGGCGTCTAGGCCTCTTCTTTCACGTTCATGACGGAAAAGGTTGCTCAAAGTTGAGAACCGCTTGCCGTTACACCCATGATCCCAGCATTCGACCTGTGCACTGGTAATGCGAGGCTCATCATTCGACTGCGAGACAGAAAATAGCTCTGCAGTGGTCTGCTCACGGCAAGGTTGGCGGTTGAAATCAATATCGTGGTGGTAGTGATGCGCAACTGTCTTTGAAGAAAATTGGGTGGCAAGATTCCCCTTGGGATCGTGAGAGCACAGGAAAGACATTCGAGGCCGCCAGCGTGGAAGTCATGGATGAATAACCGGTTGTGGTCTGTGTGGAGGTTTGTGCTTCCAACGGCCTGGTTGAAGCTTGGTGCTTGGACTCGGGGGTACACGCCGATTGTAAATAGTATGCCCGGCTATTCATCAACAGAGCCGGCTTGCGAAAATCTGCGGACGAAGAGTAACCCCTGCCGTTTCGTTAGGTTACATCATTGGCATGTGATATGACTGAACTCACGCATCGACTAACATTCTAGATGATGATTGAAAGAGAGAGGGAATCTGGGGCCGTAGACCCCGCCTTGGATAGTAAGCCGCTAACTGAGTTTGCTCTCGGTGACAGATGTATCGCTGTTCAGCTAGATTCTTGTCGTAGCTGACCCATGAGGGACATTGAACTCGAGCGGCCTCGAGTGGAGAATTCATGGATCCTGGCGGATGCGACCAGTGCAGGCCTACGAATGTCAGCTGCAACTCGAAGTACTGCGGGTGGGCTCTAACGGGGCATTGAACTGTGCATTAGATGGGCGGGCAACACATTCCGTGCTGCTGCTGCGGCTCCATTATTTCCTACAGCAATGTAGTTACTAGAAGGAATTTCAATCAAAATGAGGCCAAGATTGACGTAACTTGAGGTCACTCCTACTTCGGATCATCTGAGCTGTTATGTCTAACGCTCGTCGGGGAATGGCTCTGGCTGGGTATCTGGCTCCAGCCTCCAAGGTTCTCTTGGTCGATCAAGGTGGTGTCAAGTCGGCTTTCGGAATTGGAAATCCTGGTCTCACTAGCGACCGGGCAAAGACACGCCGAAAGAACTCTTTTGCACGCTGAACAGCAGCGCGGATCCATGTTGAAAGTATAGCTCGTAGGTCTCAGACAATTTTTTTCTCTGCCAGTAGAATGATTTCCGGGGCCCTGAGAATGTCAGTATCATTCGTAGGATTACTCGAGAAAGTCAAAAAGAAAAGCCGCAGAGCAGACGAAATTTCTGGCAGAATAGTGATGATTGACTAGCCGATATCTGACTCTCAGACATGACAAACGGATTGAAAGGGAATATGAAATTAAATCCCCCAAGTAGCGAGGCACTAGGAGGATGAACTACTATTAATCGAGCATTGACATCAAATGAGTGGGTTCTGCCATGACTGGGTCTGATCCACATCAATTTTAACACGAGTACGTAAGTAATTTTGGTACTTTTACGGAAAACATACTGGAGCATCCTGTAATTAGTATGAGACTATCATTTACCCCTGCTTAGCGGAATGGAACTTAATGAGAGAACTGACCCTTCAATCTTTTATTTAAGTGATTCGGAGTTGTATCATGTAGTGATGCCTCTGTCAGATCACAATTTCGCAAAAGCTTATTGGACCAGAAACCTTTTCAAAGTCCAGGAATCTCCTATTCGACTCAAGCTCAGTCCTTGTCTGATATGACGAGTTTGAGACCGATACTGTGAGTCTCCACAGCGCCGGCCAAGGAGGAATGATACTAACGAGCGCAGGCTCAAACACAAGCCTCTTTATAACAATGGACTCAAAAAGAGAGAGGGGGTGCCTAGCCTGGACGATCATTCACGATCTCTTTCCGAAAAAGCCGCTGAATATGCCGGAGTGAAGGCAGGCTTAAAAGTATTGTTTGCATGAGTAAGGAGAACTTCACGCGTGATTTGAATGTGGAGGCAACCGATGAGTGCGAGCACATCAGAATGTGGCGGTTTGCCTATCCATATGGTGGTGACATCTATATCTTCATGAGCTGTTGTCAATGCTCAAAGAAATATCTGCAGCGAATCACGAATCTGAACAAGGTTCTGGAAATGACAACAGTAGTGACTGAAAGACTGCTCAAGGTCTCCAGAGCCAGCAATGTATCCTCATCTTTACAGGAAAGTAATTGCAATCTGGGGAATTGACGCGAAAGGAGTCATCGTTTTGCGAGACGAGTGTGACCTGCAATGTTGAGAAAACGTAAGGACGTTAGATTTCCGCAATCTTGTGAGCTTGTTGATACAGAAAGAAAGTATGCCTTCGGGCATATAGTCCTTTCTCCCGACTGGTGAGAGTTTTGGGCACGTCCACTTGATATACAGCTCATTTCAAACCGGCTTCGATCGTCGCAAAATAAAACTGGCCTGTGGCAAATATCGGAAGTTGAAGTCATTGGTGGTAACGCACGGCAAGGGCTCGGCTTCTCTTTTGATTACTATAGATGTCAAAAGGCTTGTATTGCTGTCTTTGTTGTCTTTTGTCATGATTTAAAAGCGACAGAAGGCTTGTATTGAGATAGTCGAGAGGGGAGCCGGGGGGAATTGGAAGGCCACATGTATTGCGCGTTCGGTGCTTCGGGTAATCGTGGTCTGGACAGATATCATCTTTGTAGAAGAATCGTCAATTCAGGAGACTATTAATTACCAACCAATTAATAGAATGGATGAGGGGGAAAGAAAGACCCTAACCACGAAAAGATCACTGGGACAGAAAAGGACGCAGAGAGTTGAAGCCCTGTAATTGAGCGAGAATCATTCTGGAAGGCCACTTTTCTTCAAGCCGACTCCCTTGGTTCAGTCTGTTGCCTCCTCGAAGCTCCGGTGAGCACTGAGATTAAAGGAGGGATTGAGGGTAGCAGTCCTCGAATTCCGAGATGATCTGATTCTGCAAGCAAGCAGTGATTTTTTGATTCAGCTCAGTAATGTGGTAGTAATTCCCATTGCTCTGTGTATGATGCCTTGGTCGAGTCGAAGCTTGACGCGAGGCATCAAGGAGCATCGATAGAGTGAGCCCTTCCTGGTCGGCCGCTTTGGAGGTTCATTGTGTAATGTGCAAGGGTCATGCTGTGGGCAGATTGATGCTTTTGTCGGATCCAGGCTTTATGGCAGAGAAACATTAGCTGAAATGACAAAGGGTGAGAGTTCGTTTAGTCGGGACGGCGAATAACAGAAACTAAAACTTGCCTGGATGAAGAAGATAAAGAGAGCAGTGTCCTTCTGAAGTGCCTTTACTTTGCGTAATCTTCTCAATGACTTAAAGCTCCATGCGGTTTTGGCTGAGCAGGATTGATTGAGTAATCCGAGATCTAGTACTGGAGGGGGCAGCCTGTGGCAGCCGGAACATCTTTGTCCGTCCCGATCCAGACTTCTACCCGAGCAATCAGTTGCAGGGATAGAGCACCGACTTTCCTTACTGTTGGCCTGATATTATGGTCAGTGGCTGCAATGAGCTAACAGAGGGACCGTTTTACAAAGTGCGAGAAGTCGTAAGCAATCAATGCTGTGGACGACCTAACCGAGCAGATATGAAGTGTACAGCCCCGTCTCATCTTACTAACATCGAGTCACAAAGCAGACGTCTCAGAAGTTGCCTCTTTCATTCTCACAGTTTCCCCATCCTCCACGATCTATAGGTTTAGACGGCGAGCGGGGGATGGGAAACCAATCCCACCGAAATCAAGCACAACTACCTGCAACGGATCTGAGTGAGAAATTTCCCTCTTGTCACCAAAACGGAGTTCAAAAGCTCTGCCTGTATAGTTGCTGACAACCTATTACTTTTGCATAGCCCACAATCCTCAACACCTAACGAAAATGTTTCCCCCGGTCGAACTCCCTTCCCATAACGATAAAGACTGAGAGTGCGGCATCCTCCAAATCAATGTTAGTCGATTTAAGCACCTTTGATAATACCCAAGAAGCCTTTCTTGCCAAGTAAAAGCACAAAGCAGTGGTTCTGATTGATACCCTTGTGGTAAAGTGTCGGGGATTAGCCTACGGTGGCTCGGGAAAGCGCGATGATAGACCCTTATTCGGGAAACTCTCCGCTTCCTCCTTCTAGAGACGCTAGCGTGCAGCATTCTCTGCATGTGGACCAGAAGACAACAAACGAGCGTACGTTCAGCCGCCAAACTTCCTACATCGAATCCCCAACATTGTACGGGTTTACAATACCAACCTATATGTTCACCCGGGTACCAGTAGGTAGCATGCTGGGCACAAGTATACCTTTTGATTCATATAAACTCAGAAGCAAGCGTTGTCTGTGCGAGGATAAAAATCGTAAACGTGTAACTGTTGTAGTGCTGTTTCCCATGATATTGCAAATTTGACCCCCTTTTGTAGCATTACACAGATGCTGCAACTGCTTCGGGCTAAGGTCTAAACCTTGTAATGGTCTTCATAAGAGAACAAGGGACAGTGGGAAGGTCAGTGGCTCCCCTGGGCCTCAAACGGCCGAACAAAGTGAATCGACTCGAGACTTCGTTCCAAAAATTTGCACGCCGAAAGAAAATAAGTATGTGAGGCTTGCTCCCCTGATCAGCTAGTGGAAGGATATACCAAGACAGACTCATTCTGCCTGTTTTTCGGTCACAGGACACCGGATACCGCTCAGTTTCCATATGTGGAGGGATCTGTCTACCTACCCTACCACGCGCTATTGCTGCTCTCATTTCATTCGCGCGAGGCTTCTAATTTGAATCCTGTGCGAGACACTTGTGGCTTTAGGCGCGCCATGACCCAAGCTTCAAAATTACAATAACACAGGCCAACCCCTGCCTGCATCCTATTACGGGGTCAAAAATAGTCCCACTTAGCGTCAATACAAGGTTTTTCAAAACGTTACCGTGTTTTCGAAAGATAGTGCAATATACCAGGCCTTTTAGGGTAACATGGTCGAGGAAGTGGCTTGGTAACCGTTGATGATGCTTCCTAAACCACCTTACTTGAAGCCCGGCACCTATTCATCGCAAAATACCCCTGAGAATCAGATAAAGCATGCCAACTACCATATTGCCCTCTTCTGCTGCAGCCTATACGCCACGAGCGCCGCCCATAGTGGTGATGAAAGACAATGTACCCTGGCTGAAACAGACTCTCAAGCGAGTGAAGCAGGCTAGGCGACCTTTGAACAATCTCAAACAGCAAACCAGCTACCTCATTGAGATACTGACACCAAAGAGCGCAATCTGGGCATTGTGCTCGGTCATGTTGGAGAACACACTTGGGATGACTCACACCAAGCCACCGTGCTCTGTAATGTCAGAAAGCCGGCTCTCAATGATCCACATCGAGGCATATGTCCTGTATGTTGACATGGTCTCACAGAGCGAGGTGGCTTTCAAGTTAACTGGAGAGACAATCAATGGCCTCATAGGATTCTATGAAGAATTTCAATCACTTGATGCAGCTACATACAGGTTGAAGTTGAAGTGGCCACAGAAGCAAGCTCAGCTGGACAAATTACATGACGAGTTTTCTGAAGCCATCAACAAATTCGTTTACCGGACCGATGTCAAAGCTCTGGAAGGATTAGAGAAAGACGGCTCCGGAGAGCTACTAGGTGGTTGCAGCGTCGATGTTAAAGCAGCAATTCTCAACCTTTTTGTGCCATTGACGCCTCCTCCACATGTGGTACATTTTTTGTACCCAGTAGTTCCATGTCCCGATGGGACTGAGCTTGGTATACAAAGACCTATCCACCCGTTTGAGCAAAACCAGTCGTGGAATACTCAGTCAGACGTTGGCACGTCGAACACCAAAAACCACCCAAACTTGGGCGATGGTTTGGACATCATGTATGCCGCAATTTTCCCGGTAGCTTCGGTTGGTAGCCCGCTTTACACTACCGCACCCGTCTTAGGGGGCGAGCCAATTCCTCATACGTCAATGTATAGCTCACTCGCGGCAGCAGACGCGGAGTTTTTTGGTGGAAGCTCTTCTTTCTTTTTTTAAGTCTTGGGCTGAAAGTGGTCCCTGCTGCCTGCGTGTCTTGGATGGTCGCGTTCGAGGCCGTTTGTCAGATTTTTCCGAATTGAACAGGTCTCCATCAAGGAATGGACAGGGAGCAGACTATCCGCTGATGTTGTTGGGATCAATGGACTAGTCGTGCTTTATACGGAGACACCGGAGGTGAAAGAGGAGGGGTTTAATGGGTTTGTGCTTCGTGGTCGGTATGTCAGTGTATATATGCAAAGCTAGCAACTTCATGGCAAACAAGGTATGCGTTGCACATATTACAACGCTCGTGAGGTGACGGTCGTGTTTCAATCAAGGCAACCAAAAAGACTGCTCTTGTGGCATGTCTTGTGTTTACTTGGTTTGCGCAAACGGGCAGATGCGAAGCACGATTCTGTTTGCTCAGGGTATATCAGGTATACTGCCCAACTTGGCCTAAAATTATGTCGTAGACTTTTTTGGAAGGAAATTTGAAGCAGTATCCATAGCATCGCCGGGGTAGAAGGGTAGAGTGACAGTAGGCGGTAATTAAAGGATGTTCGATGAGCTGACGGGCTAGCTTAGATGCAAGGCATATTAGCAGTCGAACCTGGTGGATGCAACGTTTCCAAGGAATGACTCACTGTCGTTTATCTGGTAGACTTTATGTACGGTATGGATGCACAACAGACGGCTTTGAGCATAGCCTTCTTTTCCCATGAGTATTTTGTGATTTTAGATAACAGCATTGGAGGCCTTCGGTGGAATGTGGAAGCGCTTCTCTGTTTTATTGATTCAACGGCCCAGTGTTACTGTAATATGTCCGTTACCTGCGGCTTCCATCGATCATTTGGCAGAAATATCGAGCCGTCCTACCATTCATGTATGCTGGATCCATATCCAAAGAGAGTCTCAATCACGGCAAGAACAGGTACCTGGTCACTAGGGTAGGAGGCGTTGACGCATAGATGAAACGGACCCGCGGAAGAAGGGGAGTTCTGTTCGGAGGGAACGGACGCAGAAGAGGAGGAGGCTAATGGATTCTTGGGGTGCGGTGGGGTGGTGCCTAGTTTTGTTTCAAGATTAGCAAGTTACGGTCTTTTATTATTTTGAATTTCCTTTGCGTGCATTGCAAACGCAATTTTGGTGTTGGTGTCATGATAGTTCTCTTTTAACCATCGCAATCATCGAAGCCGGTCTTTCAAAAATTCTTATAGTGTCCCTCGTTGCAAGTAGTGACAGAAGAGGAGAATAATATCACAGATCCAGTGCATAGCAAGTCAAGCGGGGTTAAGGCTGCGTTGTGAATTATGTAGGTGGGAGGTAGGTGGATGCGAGGTGTGCATGATTGGGATGCTAGTAGCAAATCTCAGCGGCTCAAAGGTGGGTTGATGGCGAGTTGCAATGGAGGATCAAACAAGGGTTAGGCGTGGGCTAGGCTCGCTGAAGATGCTTTGTTTATATCTCTTATTTGTCAATATCTTTGGCTCAGTGTTTTGTTTCATGAATCAACTCACTGTACTACTCTTTATCACAACACAGCTGACGCTTTTCTTTTGTTGCATCTTGGCTTGCCACTTACTTCGAATAGACGGCTTAGAACCTGCCTTTGAAATCCAGATTTGGCTTCTATCAACCTGTTAATTAAAATTCTGAGGTCGAGAACCCAACTTTTGCAGAAGTGATGGCGAGGCATGTGGCGCAAAGACCGACTGATGGTGACGCGAAGAGGCAACATGGGTCTAAGTCTAACTGAAAGTGTCAAATCTCAGTGCAAAAAACACGATATCAGAACCTTCCATCAACATGATTTGTAGAGCTTTCAAAATTCCAGACGCCCAATTTTGGTGGTGCCAACTGACGTGCCGGGTGATGCTCGGTGATAGGAGGAAACGGGACTTGGCCTCGGACCCTATTGGACTGTTGCTTTGTTGATCTCGGCTGGCCGTTGGAAAAAAGAAACACCTTGTTCTGTCATATTTCGAGCTTCTGGGCTATGCAGTACGGTCAGTGTGTTCAACTGATTTAATCAAGGAGATATGGCATATTGGCCTCTCAACCAACGCCCTTCATTATCTGCGCCCCGAAAGCACACATAATGGATGTCAAAATACACATCTTCCCCAATGGTCTCGGTTAAAGAGTCTCACTTAAAGGCTCTCGCATCATAGAGACCTTCGCTTGTCAAAGAAAAAAGTTTCATTACTAAATAGCCACGTATAGAGGGGGCGAACAATCTCGCGGAAACGTTGGAATAGTGGGAATGAATGTCTCTCTGGGTTTCTGCCGCCATCGAAGTAGACGGTCGCGAAATTACTTAGCATGTCCGTTCTGAAGATTAAGGGCCGGGGTTCTTCCTTGTGACAGACAGGTGCCATTTTGATTTTGCCCGTTGAATTGAGCTCTGATCATATGTGGAATGCACTGTAGAAAGTTGGCTGAAATCTTGACCGGAGCTTCGGAGTCACGCCATGCTGATACGCGTTTTGTTGCCCATTCTATAGAGAATGCTCTTTACTATATTAGACTCGTTCAGAAATCGTGTAGAATGTTTACCTACAAGCAGCAATCACCGACAGGACTGTTGGTTGCATAATTAGCAAATAAATCTTGGGCGATATAGGTACAACGTACCGGTCTTGGACGATTAGCCTCGGTTGCCCAATGTACGGGTATTTTGTTAAGCTGTCAGTCACACATGGGCTCAGTAGCAAAGGATGAATGTTTTCATCAGCTTGGACTAGTTTTCCATTTTTCCAAGTCACCCGGTGACAAAATCGATCGCCCCTGGTCTTCATTAGCGTAGTTGCACCTGCCAAATCAGATTTACTTACATTGGGTGCCCCTGCAACGACCATACTTGCCATTCTATGTAGACGGAGTCTGCGAGGTCAGCCTCGAGCTTGTCGTCTGCTGATTGCGTCTCAATAGAAATGACGCGAAAGGATGGCGTCTCATCAACATGAGATTGGTTGTTTTGGGACATATCTGGATCAATCCTGCCACTTTGGGCCCGGGGCTCTGCCTTTCGCAGAGTAGCAGGCAGGGGAGCTTTTGATTCTGAAGTTGGGTCGATGCTTGAGCTCCGGGTAATATCATCAGCCCGGTATTGGTGAGTTCTGGCACTATCCAAATCGTTTTTTCCATTCTGGACTTGGGGCTGGAGATCAGTCTTGAACATCGGCTCGGGCACTGCCCCTGGTGGCGTGAGTCCATCTTGGTGTGCGATGCGAGCGTGGATCTTCGGTGCATCTTCCTTGCAGAATGATGCACCACATAAGCAAATAAATGACTTTTCTTTGGTGTCTGGTAATGAGCGGGTTAGAATAGCTAGGCCTCGGGATTATCGGCAGATGCTTACGGGTGCGCTCCAAGTCTCTAGTCTGCGAGAAATTCCTGCCGCACTGCACACAGAAATATGCCTGTACTCCACGGGCACCCCTTGACTGGAATGCTGGAGACATCTCTGTATTATGCGGAGTGACAGTTTGCGGAGGTATCGGGTTCAAAATTGAGTTGCGGGTTGAGATTGGTGAAACCCTATGATAATCTCTGAGTTTAGTGATGCAATTATGAGAGCTTGACCTTGCTTGCCTGCGTTTTTGGCACAATTCCAAGTCTGGAAGCTCAGTATCTATGAAGCTTCTTTTGAATGAATCATTGCTTTCAGTGGCGTTTCGCAACTTCGGATAGAAAGATGAGCACTCCTTTCCTTTCCTTTCCCTTCCAGCGTTCACAACGTTCATGCCCGATTCATCGGACTGGCTTTGGGGAGCAGTTGCTATTTCCAAAAAATCAGTACAAAATCTTGGGCTCTGCTACTTATAAGGTTGATTACCTTGCTCAGTAACCAGGGTGCTGTGAAGGGGAAGGTCAGATGGATAGTATTGGTGCGACTTGGATGACGTGTTAAATGCTGTATCCGGTGCTATTGGAAGGGGGTAGCTTGGATGGGGTACTGTCGGATATGCGGTTTGTAGATGGTTATAATGGGGTAGTGGTTCCTCTGGCAATTGAGCTTCATTTGTTGCGTATTCCGAAGCCGATGCGACAGGAGTATTCTGAGATCTGTTGACGAAAGCACGTTAGCAAGACGCTATAATGAGAACCGGTGGACAAGATTCCACACAGTTTTGGAATTCGACTTGCCCGTCTCTGGATTTCAAAAGTTGGGAGCAGTGTTCGCCGTATGCCTGCGAATTTCCATAGACTTGCCTCCAACTTGTCACAGGGAAATTTGTTCGGACAGGCCCAGGCCCAGTGATATTCGTTGAAAGATTCTCTGGAATGGTCAGCGTAGCACTAGAGCATCTTGGTTGGAGGTTTCAAACCAGTTTTGGCATTTTCTCTATTATCCACCAGTTGATTTGTGAGGTAGGAGTTGGCTGGTTCCCCAAGGGGAAGCTCATTATGATAGTGCGGACCGTTAGGAGAGGAGAAACTGGGATTTTCGTGGCTACCGAAGTGACGCTGGACCAAAGGAGCATGTGAGGGCTCTAGAGCTAGAGAGGTTGATACTGTCTTGCTACCTAAACGAATTGGAGAGCGTCAGCTTTTAATCTGCATTATTAATGGCCGGCTCCTCTTACGGTGCTGGCCTGTCAGGGATGGCCCTAAATGGGGACTTTGATAGCTTCTTAAAGGAATGCCGGTGAAATTGAACGACGGAGGGTTTTTCGGATGGTCAGGACAACTCAGGCTAAGCATGTATTCAGAGCCAACACCCTCTGAGGTGGTCCAGTGAGGGTAGTGAGGCGCAGGTATGGTAGATGTTAATGGGAGGCTATTAGTCTCCATATCTGAGCGGTAGGCCAGCTTGAAAGTTTTGTACAGGGAACGACGGGGCATTGGCCACTCTTTAATACCAACCACTGGCAGCTTAAGAATTAATAAGCCCTGAACCAGGCAAATGTTGCATGTTTAATATACGACTACAGATTGTTTGACGCACAGGCGCTGCTCCCGCGACTACTCAATGCCACAGAATCAGTTATAGGCTTGACCTTTTGGGCACGTATTATCCACTTGCCAGGCCAGAGTTGGCCTTGGCCCTATGGTCCAAATCCCGGTGGGAATTAATAGATTTGGGTTTTATCCCTCTTAATTCTAGTATATTGTTTTTTTCCACATCAACGAGTGGCGTATCAAGTCTTACGTCTCTGACTTTTAGGCTCTCGATGTGACGAGAGTCAATTCAATTTGCGGCATGGAATTCGGCCCTGCATTTGCAGTTTATTTTGAACCATAACCATGAAGACGGGGCCAAACAGCTCACTTTAGCTGTCAATGAAAATAGTTAAGCAGCAGCCTGCCGCTTTTTCTTTCATAAAAACCTGAAACAGCAGGAAGAAAAAATGTAAGATCAACAATTCGTAAGAAATATACATATGAAGCAATTCCGGCAACCGCTTGGTGTTATTTAATTAAACTGAACACATGGATTCCCAGTGCAGATTTCAAATACAGCTTTGCAAGGAAAACGGCTTCTGTGCTATTCTCAAACAGTCTCCATCCATCTTCAATTATAGTTTAAATGACCGGCTCACCTTACGCTGTTGGTCCTGGCCTGCCAAGGGCACTAGACATGAATTCTCAGAGTTTGGTATAGAAGTACCGGTAAAACTGAAAGACGATTGAGGCTATGTTGTATGGTTGGATAAATTCGGATCAAACATGAGATGAGAGCCAGCACTCACTGAAGGAAGCCAGGAAAGATGGTGAGCGGCGGAAGTTGATGGAAGGCGGTTAGTCTCTATATCTGAGCGGTAGGCCAGCATGAATGTTATTCATACAGGGAACGCCGGGGCATTGGTCCGCTTTTAATGCCAACTAATGGCAGGGTAAGAATTAAAAATAATGACTGCATGGCTGAGATACAGCTACAGATGGTTTGACGCACAGACGCTGCTCCCGCAACTATTAAATGCCACAGAAGCAGTTACCATTTGAGGAGAGGCCTGTAGGTTTTCTCTTTTTGGTCATCTCCACTCCACTTTCCAAGCCAGGGGTGGCCTTTGCACTATGGTATAAAATCAAGGTGGGAACTGGTTTCCATTCCCCGTTGTTCTTGGTCTATCTTTTCCGCATTAATGCCTGCTCTTGCGTTTTTGTCGCGTACAATGACATTGAGGTTGAAGTCATGGTGTAAAAAATCTTTAATTAAAAGGATTGGACTTGAAAGCACGGATAGATAGTTCATTTGCCCGAAGACCTTAAAACAGCATAGTAAAAAGAGATTTGACTTGCAAGTAAAGAACAGAAAAAGCAATATCCGTCAATGTCCGAAGCAAGCAGTAAATAGATAAAAGAACCAATGGTGTTGCCAGTTTTCAACTTTGTAAATTGCATGCCGATCAATCACCTTAGCTGCCAGCTCGAAATTTCCACGGGCTGTGGTACTGAGTGCAGGAAAGAGGAAGTCCATTCCGGGTCTGGTCCTCGCTCGCCACCGATACATCTCATAATTATTCTTAGAATCGACGAGGTAGCCAAAGTCTCCCAAGGCTTTTGTCTTAAAGCCACTTGCTTTGATGCCCTGGATGATGGCTGTTAGAGAATAATAGTTGCGAACACGATAGAGCTCCTGTAGTTCTCTGTCAGATCATATATCAATGGGGCAAAGCGTCAGAACTACCTGGGCCAAATGATCAATTTTCGGAGAAACATCAACCTTAGCAACCATACACTCTTCAACTGCAATGCTGAGGTCGTTCCATCGTGTGTTGAGTATTCGCCGAGCATGATCATCTTTTGCATCGAGGGCATTCACAACGTACTGCGAAAAGAAATCTTGATCTTTCCTCGACAAAGCGTTGGCAAATTCGAACACATCAATCCATTGAATCTGTTCAAAGAATGATGTATCGGTATTGAATGGCCCCCAGGTGGCTTCGGGGGACCTGTAGAGCTTGTAGAACCGATTCTCTAATATCTTTAGTTGTTGTAATATATTTCGAGCGGTGTCGGGGGTCTGGAGCAGTCGCTGCAGTGGCTCGATGATCCACTGGAGTCGTTCATCTAGCTCCGGCTTCACATTTTCCAACTTTCTATCAATTGATGGCACGTGTGGCTTTCTTTGGAGCATAACGCGTTGCAAAGCCTTCTCAATCGCAGCATACAAAAGTGGATCTGCTTCTATTTTCTTCAAACTCTGCACGTTGTCAGATGAATTGTATGAAAAGAAGCTAAGAGACTCGTCGACTTACCTGTTTCAATTCAACCAAAAGCCCGAGATGCTGGAGGTTTCGGATAAACTTGCTGTAAATTTTCAGCTCGAGAACATCGTATTCACAAAGGAAGCCCTCAATCGCTTGCGAGGGTAGTCCATGAGCCCGTCGAGCAAACTCTGTGAAAGGAATATGCGAGAATTTGTGAGAACTTTGTTCTGCAAGCTTGGCAGCTATAGTGTCAGAGTGTTCAGCAAGTGACTGAGACAAGCTCCAATCCCAGTACAGCGAGAATCCAGCACTTTCCTCATGAGGGGAAAACGGTTCAAGTCCCTTCGTCTTGGCGTAATCTTCGTTGTAAAGGCCGAAGTGACAGAGCCGACTGATTGATTTTTGGTCCATCTTTCTGAACTCAAGCTGTCGCCAACATTTTTTTGACTCGGCTGCCAGGTGGTTTTGGTCTTGACGCACATCTTCGACCAAAGGATCTGCAACTTGCGTGGTTGCCGTACTTGAAAACGAAGAAGTTGAATAGGCTTTTTTTAATACTAAAAGCAAATGATGGTTAACATGCAGTCAATAACAACAAGGTGAAGGAGACAAGCTGCCAGGGTAAAAGCGTACTCTTCTCACAATTGGCAGGCTCAGCGTTGGCGTGCATCCTGTGCATATGGTAGATCTACTTTAAGCAAGAATTGGGATTCGATTTTTATATACTAATGCGCAGCCAATTTGTTTCGCGGCAAGAAAGCGACCATCGCTTGCATTAATCCCTGCACGTGCATTATCGACAAAGTACTAGGTTCGTCATCCGTGAATCCACTAAAAGGCCAATCCTTCGGCGCATGAATCTTGGTCTGACAATGCGGAGCATCGCTGGAGAGGTCTTTTCTGATTAGCGCTGGGAGTCCGTGTCCTGTAAATATCGGTCTAGAATCATAGGTACATGTATTTGCTTTTCCATACCGGTCATGATCGGCACCCCTTGTTTCGTGAAATAACTTTTCAATAGAGGATGTCACAATGCCTTGTGGGGCGGTCCAGGTCATCCAATAGACTCGCTCTGCACCGCTGCGGGACCAATAGTATACTAGATTCACCTCCCCCAAACCCAAACACTGTTTGTTTTGCAAATACACATGAAAGTATCACAGCCCTCAAATCCGACACTGGTCATCAATATCAAACCCACAACCCGATTTTCGCGCTTGTGAGCCAATCCGTCACTTCTTCCTTCTAATTGGCTTTGTTCCTAGGACTTATTGTTGCTTTGTCAGAATGATGTCTTAGCAATAACAACAGCGGCAACAGCGGTCTTACATTTGCACTTGAGGATCTCGTCAAGTTGAAAGCATTCGCGGAAATCGGGTCTTCCATATTCGTCGTAGTTGATCTTCAAGTCGTCGCATTCAAGTATTTGTCCCATAGAATTCCCGTAGAATGCTAGGAAATCGTTCTGCTCCTCTGACAGAAGGCTTTTGTGGTGCTCGTCCTTTTCATGCTCGCAGTGCTGCAAGACGCGATCAGAGGTTGCAAACCCACTCATACACAAGGGGCAAGCATAATGTATCCCAGCAAGCTTGGCGATGTGTCTCAGGATAGCATATCTTTCTGCGGTATTATGTGGATCCAAACGAGTCTTCATATCAACAACGAAGCATACTTTGAAGCAAGCGCCATATTCCCGCGGGCCGGGTTTGTCCAGATTCAAAGGTAACTTGTCGACGGAAATTCTCTCCCATCCAATAGCAATGCCCAGGCACTTTAGAAAATTGCCGAAGTCTCCTTTTGTATTCACAGCTCCAAGGCCTTCATGTATGTGATCTGCTTGTTGTCCTTTCTTTCCCTTTCCCTTTCCCTTTACCTTTTCCCTTCCCTTTCCCAATTTTCGACAATGCTTAAAAAAAGGACTGGCTTCAGAGTACGAAGTGAAACACAGGGGGCAAACATATACTTTGTTTGAATTTTTCAATATGTCCTCCAGCAAGACACACTCTGGCCCTTGATGGCCCATTCTCTTGGACGGGTGAGGGTAATCAGCTTGGATAATTGGAGAAATGAACAAGCGACAGTACAGCTTGCCCTGAAGAGGGTGCCAGTAGTTCTTTAAGTAGCTTACAGGGGTCATCCCTACTCATGCCTAACTAAAAAAGTCATATACCTGCGAGGTCTCGCCGCTGATCGTCCCTGTGTTCAATTCCGCAGCCACATTCGAGGCCTCGTGTCCTTGGTGTTCTAATTGGAAGACGAAACGATGCCGATGAAGAATCCCTGCAAAATATCGACCTGTACTTCTGGCATAGTCGGCTCCGGAACTAACGCAACCTCAACCACTATCATAAATTGCATTGTCCTCGTTTCTAGTCGGCACTAGTGTGTAGCTGCTTTGACGCGACAACCACTGAGCCTGATGTCTGGCCGCTGATCATGACCAGATGCAAGTTTCGCACCTCCGGATAGGGTCTTGGATTTCTTTGGAATACGACGCCTAGAAGCAGCGGTGGAGATACAACGCAGGAAATATAGCATCCCCACAGATCTTCGGATTACTTTCTGATAAAAATGGCTTTCAAATTGTTACAATTTCGACGGTCACCAATAGCTTGACTCTCGCCTTCAAAGAGGTACTAGTTTACATCGTGATTTGCTTCCTCATATATCGATCTTCCAAGGAACTCCACTCTGCAGACGACAATACGTACTCCGCCTGGCGGGTTCGATCCCGTTTCCGTAAGTCCGACGATTTGGCCCCTTCCAAGATTTCAAGCGGCTCAATATATACGGTCTCAATGGTCCCATTATCCATCTTGGCAAGAAAAATCAGGCACTTTCGAAGGTCTGGGTAACATTTCAATTCTCCTCCGTACTCTTTTAATATTCCAATACGGGGCGCATTTGCAGGCCTTGTGTTTGAATTCATGAATCTGTCCATTTAGTATTTTGCATCGGCGGTGATCAACGTAGAATAGCTTACTTCTGCAGGGATTGGGTAGCCATTCCGACCAGGTATTTTCGATTGCTGGTTCTTCTAGAAAAGGAGATGCTGGGTTGAATGGTACAAACTTTATTGAGCTATGAATTGAAGGATAAGATGGGCCGATTGGTAAGGGTGGGATCTCGATAATTGGACGCGTGCTGTACTCCAGTGACAGAGGATATGCGGGTAAATTGGATTCTGCCCGTGTGTATCGTCCTCGCTTGGAGATGAATGGCTTCCCCAGAGAGATTCGGTCGAAGTATTTCGTTGGCAGGTTGGGAAATTGCGTCGTGTAATCAGAAAGTGTGGTGAGAAAGCCCATGGGGTCTCAAACTACAAGATAATTTGCCTGGTTGATAGAGACAGAACTTCTGGATTACGCAGAATCTCCGTAGAAGCAGCAGAGCAGCGTAATAGAATGTCTGCGGCGTCGAGGCTGCTATCAATATGCAAGATTATATATCCCCTGAATCGTACCAATGTCCCGTATGTTACTTTGACCATCATCGTTGGCTGTGGTTCGCCAACTTCAGCGCTTGGTGCTGCATGTTGTTGTTTCCTGCATTGGGCCGATTAGATAGATTTGCTTTTGGAGGTCAATGGAAAGTTTTGGTTAAAGATTACTCGACGTACTACAAAGGCCTAGAATGCATTTCCTTTACATCTCTCTCCTTGTTGACCGAATCCTCTAACCGCCACTAAAGCAGGTTGTTTTCCACTGTGATCACGAATGCTATCTTCTAACTGGCTCTTTGCCCTGGGACACGTATTTGTTGAAGTACTCATGCCAAGGTAATTACAGAAAAGCAATATCATACATCACCAATGTCCCTTATGCTACCCCGACCGTCATCATTGACTATGGTTCTCCAATTTCATTGGATCAGATAGACTTGTTTTTTGAAGGAGATTAAAGGAAAGTTTCGATACAATATAATATTATACGATGTACTGAAAAGGTCTAAAGCTCATGATAGTGTGACCTGCCGCGTGGTTGTTGTTTCTTCCATGGGCGATTAGATTGATTTGCGCGCTGATGATCAAAAGTCTTACATAGTCAGATCAAATTTCAGTACCTAGGACATGAAGCCAAACAGATCAGGAAGAGGACAATGCGCGATAATCGAGCAAGAATTTACCACCTACCCTAAGCTCTCGGCTTCGCAAGTCACATTGGCACCATGGCTTTAGCAAAGTTAGGATATTGGGAAGATTGGGAAGATTGGGAAGATTGGGAAGATTGGGGAGATCGGTCCGGAAAGCACGAACCACTATCGAAACCGTCCCCTCCCTCTCCATACTTCTCTCTATTTTGATAAATTCTTTCTAGCAGCACATTAACACCAATCATTTGTGCCTTCCAATATCCTTTTTTCAAAGACATGGCCTATTGTCATCTACCTGTCATAGACTCACATGATAAAAGTCATTCACGCCTCTATTTAAGATTGTGGAATCTTGAAATTTGTTCAAGAAAAAAGGGTCTTGTTTACTTGTGCAAGTGCGTGCGTGCCACAGTGTAAGGGTGGCGTTGCCACGGTGTGGCGCAGCTGACGTAAAGACGGTGGTGGGGTGTTGGGCGATTTTTCTTCCGCAGCCTGAATGTGGTCGGACCAATTTATCAACCCCTCTCTCCTGGATACATTGTTCATCAAGTCGAAAAGTCGCATCCTTTGTTTTGTTGACATTTATTTCCATTCAACTGCTCTTTACCCTGTTGCCCACTTGCCGGCTCTCCATCGGTCCATCGCACATCATTAGAGACACCAAACGCCGACTGAAGGGAAGGCCCATAACGCCTTTCCCCTCCTCCCCTCACAACTGCGAATATCGCAACAAACATGACGGAGTTTGTTATGGCGGAATCCCTGATATCCCTGGTACGTTTGATGAAATACGGTTCTAGAATACCTGACCTAACGTTTCTTAGTGCAGCAGTTGGAAAGAACTGAACCCAACTATTCTTCAAGACTCGAAATTTTTAACGCACCCGTTTCACAACTTCAATGGAGATAACTTGGAGAAAAAGCTTTACTACTCCAACTGTCAAAGCATGACATTTCGAGACGCTGAGGGAACAAGCTTGGTTCTTGACATGAAAGGAGACAAAATGGTATCTGATGACAATAAAAATATAACTTTGTCTACTAGTGGAGAACTTACCCTGCCTCCCCTAGTTTCGGCATACATAAGAGGCGGTAGGGTAAGAGTCATTTCTTAAATTTCCAGACATGCCAGGTTAGGGATCTATTCATATAGTACATTTGCTATATCTGAACCTGCATTGTTTCCAATCCGCAGTCGGATAACTCCGAATTGAGGGCGTCCCCTCCATACCTGCATTGTGACACAGTCTGTCGTATCAACAAGCAACTGCTCTCTCTCCCAATTTCTCAGCTGGCTGTCATCTATACCCCTGCAGATTTCAGTACTGAAGATTGAAGGAAAAGCTGCGACAGACGCTCCTCGTAAAGTGAAATACCCATAATCTGTTTCGAGCTACCATTAGTCATTGCAGTAGGTTATACATTTGTCCTTCTCACCTATTTCTGACGATTCTGAATCTAGACCCTCTGAGCCCATGGTAGACTGTGAAGAACTTGTCAAAGGCATAATCGGGGAATATGTCGAAAGAGCAGAGGCAATCTTTTGACTCCCATTTGGAAATAACATATTGGCGAGCTCATTCGCCTGGCCAACATGAAGGGAAATGACTGCATCTTGAGGTTGTTGACGAGGCATTCGCGTCCTGACATTTGTAGTAGTTTCCAAGAATCGAGTTCCCGCTCCCGTTTCAACTTCCGTTGGAGAAATTCGAACTGCATTAAAAATGACATCACCGAACACACTCCGAATTTTGGCAAAACCAGACAGCCGTAAGGACCAATGTTCGGATTCTTTGCCTTCAGCTCCCGTCACTGGCGGCGGCATTTGCGTGTGCAACAACTGCATGAGCTTTCTGAAATGTACAGTCTTATCGCACCCATACTGCCTCGCTGCTCTCCAAAGGAGCGCCAAAGTTTCGACGTTGAATTGTATTTTTGTTTTCTTCTCGTGATGCTGATAAAATGTTGAGATACGGAAGCCCTCGCAAGCCCTCGGAGAGATAGTAAGAATGAAAGGTATGAAGATATGCACGTCTGTCTCAAAGACTTCCAAGTAGATATTCCGAGCCTTCTTCCGTTGGTGTGCCGACTTGTAATTGGGTTTCTGGCCTTGACTGCTTCTGCGTTTTTTTTTTCCGGTACTGTGAAGGCTATGTTCAAGCGCTCGCCAATAATTTCGAAACAGGATCCCGAAATTGTTTGACTCCTATTAATCTCCTCCCATGTTTCATATACGGGACTTAGTTCACGTGGTGTCGACAGCATGACGTCAGATAAAAGGCATATAGTCAAAAAAAGCCGCGGGGTTCGAAAACGGCCGGGCTGGAAGCAATGGAAGGAAGATTGAGAAGATTGAGAAGATTGAGAAGATTGAGAAGATTGAGAAGATTGAGAAGATTGAGAAGATTGAGAAGATTGAGAAGATTGAGAAGATTGAGAAGATTGAGAAGATTGAGAAGATTGAGAAGATTGAGAAGATTGAGAAGATTGAGAAGATTGAGAAGATTGAGAAGATTGAGAAGATTGAGAAGATTGAGAAGATTGAGAAGATTGAGAAGATTGAGAAGATTGAGAAGATTGAGAAGATTGAGAAGATTGAGAAGATTGAGAAGATTGAGAAGATTGAGAAGATTGAGAAGATTGAGAAGATTGAGAAGATTGAGAAGATTGAGAAGATTGAGAAGATTGAGAAGATTGAGAAGATTGAGAAGATTGAGAAGATTGAGAAGATTGAGAAGATTGAGAAGATTGAGAAGATTGAGAAGATTGAGAAGATTGAGAAGATTGAGAAGATTGAGAAGATTGAGAAGATTGAGAAGATTGAGAAGATTGAGAAGATTGAGAAGATTGAGAAGATTGAGAAGATTGAGAAGATTGGGAAGATTGGGAAGAATGAGAAGACAGGAGAGTGCTAGCGGCTACATACCCACTTACATAAGCACGGCCCATGATGTAGTTCGATGAGTGATTGGTCAATCAAATGCAGTGTTGGGATGATACCAATGCTCCTGGGATACATCTCCGCCTACGTAACAGGGCATTTTTTATTCTCTGACGCGTACTTGTTTGATTGGCTACCATTGGCAAGAGCTTGCTGCAGCCGAAGGCACAGGCTCGTGTGATTTTCGATCATCCTATTGCTTCTCAGTCTCTCATGTTAATATGGCGCCTTCCCTCTTTTGCGCAGGCCAATATTCTTATTAGGCGGGTCTGTATTGGTCCATACTAGCCGACTATGCAGTCTCGGTATAACTCTGCCCAGATTCGTACCTTTTCATCCGAAACACCACAATCATGTCCACTGAAGGCGTTTGCCAATAGGTGAGATTGTTAGACTGTTCAAGAGAACCGTGCGTGTGTGACCATGAGTCATTGGCCAATATATGCAGCCTTAGAATGATACCAATTCCTATGATATATCACCGCTTAAGTAAAGTAAAATTAGTACACGCCTACCAGTTTGATTGGCTACAAATGACAAGGAATCGATGTAGCCAATGTCTCAAACTCATGGAACCTCTCAATGTCCAGCTATCTGTCAGTACCTATGATTTCGTCGATGTCTCTCTTTCTTCTACGATCCGGGGCGGTACGTGCTCCGCTAGCACCAGACTGCGTATGCGATGTACGTAGAGCAGAAGCTTTTGATACTGTGAAACTAGGTGCACAGAAAACAAGGGCCGTGCGAGTAAGCTGCTACATAAGGTAGGCATGTTGAAGAGTTGAGATTGTAAAAAAACATCAGTTTAGGTCATTCCAGTGATCGCTCCCGGGCTTTTGACGTCTCACTTTCTCATCTTTCTACTCCAATACTTCCGTGCATCAATTCGCTTCAAAATGTGTAGCTATACGACTGCCACAGTAACCTACCGCCTTTGCCCCCGAGCAAACAAACATACGATCGAGAAACGTTATTATAAAAAATGCGACAAGGCAAAGAAAACAGGGAAATACTGCGAGGATGCTCTTCATGATCCAACTCTTGGGATCTTCGGAAGTAGTACTCGTGCTGGCCCTTGCCCATACTGTCGGGATTCAGGCATGTCCACTGGCACTGTGACTTATGAATCTGTAAGTACTACTTCATGATTGTCATGGGGAGCATTATTGATGGAAACAGCATTCAATCGATTAGATAGCCGAATACGCTAGGCAGCCTTGGGAATGAGCTTTGAGTGAGAATGTGGAGTTGGAAATTGGAATCCACCTTCAAAGCACTAGCTACAGCTGAAGATAATCTAGTAACTAGTCAACTCATTTTTAGGGGTGTACAGTTCAAGAAACGATTTGTCTCATTTTCGTCCAGCTTTGCAGAGCGAGTACCCTATCTATCAAATCACTCCGTTTTGCTTTTTGGCCAATGTAATTTCGCGAGTATATTACTTATTTCAGCAGTTACATACGTGATGCCTCGATTTATCTAACCGTCAATCATGCAATTATTAATACTGTCATTTTATCTCTTGGGAAGTGTTGGGTCTGGGATCTGGACTTCCCAAAATCGCGGGTCGGGTCGACCAAATAACAGTAGTATGCACGATCTTACACGGTTTTCTATGTAGCATAGGCTGTATTACATCAGAAATTTCTGTTATTACAGGCTCATGGGTCTTTGGCGGGTCATGGGTCAACCCATGGATATCCAAAAAAGCAATATGACGAAGTCTAGCAACTAGTGGATTTGAGAACTTATAACGGCACGTGACCATAGCTATCCCTGTGTCTCAATCTGGTGGCCGTTTGTACCGTTAGCAACTCACCCTTCTCTCCCCCTAGAACATTTCCTCTCGAAAATTCAGCCATTTTTCCTCCAAATGAATTCCTCTTCAAGCTTGCGCCGAGCTGATTCCTTCATTGCGGCTGGTACAGTCTCGGTAATCCATGCTGTCGACGAAAATATCGTTATCAAAGTCCGTCCCTCATCAGGGGATTTCGAACGTCAAGCTTACAATATTGAAATTCGCTGTTATGAGCGACTTGGGTGCCACGAGCACATTGCATCTTGCGAAGTGACCGAGGAAGGTCTCTTGTTGGAACGTGGAACTTGTCTTCGGGCCATGCTACAGAGTGTCAGCGAGTCTGCCATTCCTTGGGCCATGAAGGTTCAGTGGGCGCTGGAAGCCGCGGATGGTCTTGCATATATTCATAGTAAGGTGATCATTCATGCAGACGTTGGCTGTCACAACATCATCGTGGATAATGCCAATCATGTCAAGTTTATTGACTTCGCTGGCTCTGGTATCGATGGCGAAGCGCCTTTAGTCTGCTATGAATGGTGTAGCTTCCAGCCTGGTAATGAAATCGGAATCTGCACAGATATATTTGCTTTTGGGTCAATGCTTTTCGAGCTTGAAACAGGGCGCGTCCCCTACAGCGAGCTGGAAAGATCGCTGGATATGGGAAAGCTAGTGGCGGTTGTTGAGGGGTTGTTTTCAGAGCAGAAATTCCCACCTGTGGATACTCTGGCCTTCGCGTCCGTCATTTCTGGTTGCTGGAATGGCAAATACAACTTAATGGAGGAAGTCCGTCGAGATATTGCACGTTGTTTTGGGGATTACTCGGGGGTAAGGATGAATTGGGCGACATTGGGCGCTGAGTGAAATTTTTACGGCGTATTAGAGGTTGTCAAATAAGTTGGATGAGCCGTAGAAGCTACTTTTTAGTAATTACACATTTTCGTCCAACTCAGACCTCCGAGCTGTTGAATTTGTCAATGTTATCGCGATATGTGCCAATATAAAAATTACATTCAGTTGCCCCATACAGGCATGCAAATCGGCGCGATGAAGGCTGGGAATCCGTGTGTCTGTAGATATCGGTCTAGATTGATGGGTACATTTTTTGTCTTTCCATGCCGGTCATAGTTCCCTGATCGGCATTCTTGTTTTCTTGCATGTTCTTTCCAAACACCATGTCACTAAAGCTGGTGGGGCAGTCAATTTTGGCCAATGAACACATCTGGTATCTCATGCAGGAGAAAGCTTGCGCTGATTTGCCCCCCGTCTTATCCCAATCGCCTGTCTGATTCCAATCCTCCATTTTATGTAACATCCGGGATCAATAGCTTGCTATGCCCATACTTATGGCAATCATGAAATGCTTCAACATCTTGTGGGCGGTGGCTCTGACTGCTACTGTAGCTGTAGGTTGATTCACACTCGAAGCCTTGGGCTGGACAAAAAGGGAAACCAAGCTGGATGTGGATCCGTTTGCATGCCCTCCAGTCGGCATATCCGCTGCTATTGTACGTTGCATCTGGTTACAAATATCTGATCAGGGGATACTGCTGCTATGTTGTATAGGCATCACGATGAATTATCCAATATCTGTAGGCTAGTCTTCGCTGGTGAACAGGTTCAGCGAGGAGAAGTTGTTGCCTATTATTGGCTAACAACTAAGCAAAAGTGGAGATAGCAACGCACGTGAGCTCCGCAGGAAGCGGACTCAGTCACTTTCCTGGCCGGGTGCATAATTAGATTGTTCACACAGCAAAATTTAATCAGAGAGTAGATTACGAGGTGCACTCAATAGTATCTATTCCGTGGATTGCAATGCCTATGCAATTAATAAAATTAAGATGCAATTTTGAGGCAAAATTAGCCTATAAAGCTGGAATATCATTTCTGCAGTATTCTTATAGAAGTACTGGTAAAATTGAATGACGAGGGAGGGTATATCGCATGGTTGGGAGCATTTGGATTAAGCATGAATTGAGAGCCAGCACCCGCTGAGGGGGGACAGGAAATATGGTGAGGCGGAGGTATGGCTGAATTAGATGGGAAACTTTTAGTCTCCATATCTGAGCGGTAGGTCAGCGTGTTTGTTTTTCATACAGTGAAAAACGAGGCATTGGCCCGCTTTTAATGCCAATCAGTGGCAGGATAAGAATTAGAAACAATAAGTGCATGGCTGAGATACGACTACAAATGGTCCGACGCACAGGCGCTGCTCCCGCGACTACCCAACGCCACAGAAGCAGTTGCAATTTGAGGAAACCTGTAGATGTTGCATTTCATTGCTGTAGCTAGTGAGACTTTCCTGTTGGGCTCTTCTACAATACCGCATCGACCATTAACTCACGCTGGGCAATCGGCGCCATCATGTTGGAATCACGCCAAAACCTCTGGCTAGGTTCACAGCGATTAATAGCCGTAATGTCCATCCCGCTGAATAAAATGAGTTTGAAACTTGTATTTATTCAGTCTCAATCAAACTTCATGCCTCAGTTTCTTGACTTTTCTTGCTCTTGCAGCCATCGCAGAGTGACTGAACAGTTTGTGTCCTTTTTTTCTTTCCTTTACAGGGCTTATTCAAACATCGCTGCCAGCCAACTTTTTCTTTCCGCCCCTTGCAGCATAACCAAATGTAGTATAAGGCTGTACACATGATGCGGAATCTTAGAGTTCTTTCAAATTAGGAAGAAGTTCTAGAGAGTGAAAGAACAATATTTGGGCCAGACTCACCGTGCGGAACTTGATATCACAGGTAGAATATTGAACACCACACAGAACTTCTATGTTTTCAAGAGTATTCTTTCAGATTAGCATAAGACTGTGGAATGGGATTGGTTGAGTAAGCCTTACAGTGTAGTGTGCAGGGCGGAAAGTTATAGGAAGGTAGTATAGACTTAAAGATGCCACGCAAGCTTCGTGGGCTTTAAATATGTGTCTCCACGGTAAATAGTATGAGCTGCTCTCTTGCCAATGTTTGATGATGAGCTTGATCTACAGCCCCAAATACCGCAAGACATAGCAAAATACCAGGCAAGATGAGAGCTATCGAAGCCTAGACTACCACCATGTCCAAATTTGTGCTTGAGATTCAAAAGTCTTATGTAGATCAGGCGCTAGTATACAAAGCTTGAAGATCAAAAACAGTTTTAGGCATGATTTTTTTCAGCGAGATTTTGCAAACAACTCCACCTTCCGGCTGCATTGTCACCATATTTATCGATCAATCTGGGCGTCCCTATACTCCTGGTCCCGCCACTTTCCAAAATACCCCAATTTGTCCCCGAACCCCTAGCAGCTTCCAGCTGTATGGATGGATTAAGAAAATCACATTGCATAAAATAAGATGACTCACAGCCCATAATTAGAACTAATGCTTCTTGCTCCCGCTCCAGATATCATCCATGAGCTATCATATTGCCTGGCCAGAACCACTCTCCACTGTTCTACAAACAATTTAAGATACAGATCACCGTGGATCCGGTGGGAGACAGTGAATTGATTGTAAATTCCTCCTGCCCTAAACAGGACAGCCGAAGGTACTAGGGCAGGACTCAAACCTTCCTTCGGCCAAATAGCTGATCAGATGATGTGACCTACCAGAAAGCTGGCCAGTATTAGCCAAGTCAGAACACTGGGGCGTTATTTGGCTCGTGACCCAACCTGTCCGATGCCAAGAGAAAGTCTGTTATCTGAAGCCTGATTTTCACAGGAAGAATGGGAATGCTACCCGTACGGCCGGAAGGCTGAGTTTGAGAATCAGGGAGAGCCCCGTTCTCGGAAATCGCCCTGGCCTCTGCGTGATAGCGCGATATAGTGATTGACCCACCAAAGTACTCTAATTGGGAAAATCTTGCGGACCTTCCAGGGCCTGTTCCCCAACCAGGTGGCTCCGGGTGGCCGATTTTCCGAGTCACACTCAATGATATCTATTCCGCGGATTGCAATGCCTATGCAACGATTAACGAAAATCAAGATGCAATTTGGCAACTTTTTGAGGCAAAGTTAGCCTTCGAAGCTGGAATATCATTTCTGCAGTATTCTTTGCTGGGTGTCAATTTGGACATCCCTGTTTTTTAAGCCTGAAATGTGCCTGCTGTCCTGCAGGCTGTATCACACAGCTCACGGATGGCAAGACAGGGGTTCAAGACGTTCCGCTGGGGCTCCTAGGAGCTAGATCGTGTAGGCTGCTAAAAACCTCTTGTGTCTAAAAATATCATTGGATACATTAACTCAAAACTTATGTATAGGCCAGCTTCGCGGTCTTTGGAAATTCAAGGGCGAGGGACCATTACATAAAGAGTTTCACCCGCTTCTTTCTCCGATTGACATCCGTCAGCGTTGATCCCTTCTAAAGCAGTCCACAGCCTCACATTTGAAGTGCTTTTTTTGCCTTTTCTGCCAATATGACCAGAGTGCAACTTCGCGAAAACCCACCCTCTGTATATTTTATCTTAAAAGACTATGCGATCCCACCGAAACAGATGAGTGGACGTATCCCTTTGTCACTGACACCAAATGGCCTACGCGTTCATTGGATCACGAAGGCTCTGGGCTACCCTCCAGAAGATTCACACAAGCTTGTCGACCGTTGTCATATCTCGAATATTGAACAACTGGGCTCACTTGACAATATAATTGTGGGCGGCAAGATTGACCAGCCTCTGAAATCTATCGATGAGAAAATCACAGATTATACAACCCTTATGGTGTCTTGGCATTGGATTAAAAATTGCGATGGTGAGTTTCTCATCAAACAGCTGGACGATCCTTGAATATCTCTTTAATATATAAGAATAGGAAGCTGTCCGTTCCAAAATGAACTTACACCGCTCTTGTGGAAGGCAAAGCGCTCCTTGAACAAGATGAAAAGTACACAAATTTGCCAGGGAGGGGGAGAAGCCATCACCGGCGAGAAATGGCTCGAAAAAAGCATATCATGAAGGAAAAGAGAAGGCGTTGGCGGCTCAGGCGCAACCGATTGATATACTACCGTGTGGAATCTTTGTGCTAAGAAAGGTAGGATGTTACCGAAGGGTACTGCTTCTGTGTCGATGTTTTTTTATAGACAGACATGTAAAGACTTGCTCAGTTGGATCACTCAGTGGTCTGAGCCCACTCAAATAGCCCAGCACGATTAGTTACAAGACAATCAAGAAAAGCATCATGGTCTTGCACCCCTTCCGTCAACTGCATTCACTCCATTTTGCTGCGTCCCTTGTCACTCCACTTTCCTCCACCCCCTCCATTTTGCTGCTCTTCTCCCCAATCTCCCCAATCTTCCCAATCTCCCCAATCTTCCCAATCTCCCCAATCTTCCCAATCTTCCCAATCTTCCCAATCTCCCCAATCTCCCCAATCTTCCCAATCTTCCCAATCGCTGACCAAGCGAGACCAAAATGAATTAATGACATCAATGGGGCTTTTTGCCGGAGATTGTTGGGCATCAAAAAACACTGCATATCTCGTACAAACTACACGAAGAGGGAGGAAGCATCATTGACTACAGCGCCACGACAAATAAGGGAGTAAACGGAGTAAATGTCCAGGAAAAAGGAAAAACGAGTAGATGGAGAAATCAAGCGGGGCTGAGCAGTGGGTGGAGGAAATAGGAGTGAGAGCAGCAAAATGAAGGGGTGGAGAGAAGTGGATAAAATGAAATAGTTGGAGGAGAAATCAAGCGAAGCCGAGCGCGAGTTGGTGGAGGGAGGAGTAGTGAGTGCAGCGGAGTGGAGAAATGCAGCAAAACAGAGTAGGTGCAGTGAAATGGAGGAGATGGAAGGAATAAATCTGTGGGGATGCGGCTGTTGTTTAGGTACGTATCATCAGCTCCTAGGCGCGTCTGTCATTGGTCCATACAGCCTCAGGGTAAAAACAAAACCAAAGCTCCTAGAACTTATTTCCGCCTACGTAAGTAGCATTGTTTGTGTTCCAGGACTTGGTTGCTAGTGCCGGGGCACTTTGTTGCTGACATCCGAAGATCGAGAACAAAATATTGTTATAAATATACCTTTAATCTACAAATAGTGGAACAGGGATCCTGGATCGGGTCCCAAAGTCTACTGCATGTACCTTTGAAAATGCGCTAATTTTGCTGCATGTATACAATCAAAGAGGGATTCGGATTTTGGATCATTCATGCTGAATTGATGGTCGTATTTTTAAAATTTGTCCTTTGGTCATTCTCACTTTTAAGCCTATAACTGAAAAAGGCTGGCATATCCCCTTCTTATTCTTTTTGGTTTTTATACATCCTCAGCTTGACTCAAGATATTTCATTCTCAACTTTCCCAGCCCCAAGTATCACCTTTCGTTTACTTGGGAACACAAAAAGTGGAGGCTTCCTTTCGTTCCTGCATCCCGGTCACGAACTGTTACTGCGCTGCGGTTATCCGCTTTCTATCTCCATTGAGACACCTGCACATTGTCAACTCCAACTGTGTGAGTACATCCTGCCAATCTTCTTCCGGTTCTGTTAGATCTCGGTTGTCGGAATACCAGCGTTTGTCCTACTGGTTCTCATACCGGAGGAGGAATGGCCTTTCCGCCGTTGGGTGTTCATGAATACCCTCTCCCGGGGACGGACTGGTGCTGCCGAAGGTGCTTAGAAGCAGTTGGCTGACTGTAAATCCACAGCATTGGTACCAGCTTCTTCGCAAGAGTTGGAACTCCCTCTCTCGAGTAACACTATCTGTAAAGAGAACAGTACGCCTCCTGGGCGTGCAGTAGCATTCTTCTTGAGACGATTGCGTCCCCACCGCCTTATCCGCCACGAGGGTTTACAGTAAACCAACAAGCGGAGCCATGAAGAGGTCTGCCTCGGCTCTCGAAGGCCTCCCAGAACGGGGTGATGTTCCTGTATGTTGTTCTGTAAGAGAAATTTGGGTTCCCTCTTACTGACACCCGATTTAGCCAATGATGGCCAACTCCCGCTCATCATTCAGCCCTCCCTGTGCTCACTTTGCCATGATTTATCTTGACTGTAATGGCAAGCTTAGGGTTGATGAATCATCTTCTATTCAAGAGCAAAGTTACACTATATTCACCCCAGAAGTCCGTCGGAACTTCCTCGAGATTCTGGGTAAATATATCGGCTATTATGCCTCTGATTACCGTACGTCATGGTTCCAGCCCCTAAGTCTAATCATATATGCTAATACCAATATGCAGAGACAATGGATACAACTCCCCATCGGGTGAGACGTCGCAAGGGCAACACTACTGCTCTTTCTGTCTGCTACGACCGCCTGACTGGGCAGGACGCTAATAGCGAGAACGCCCCTAGCGAGTCTACCGAAATGGCTCCTCTCTGTATTGGAAATGCCCAAAAGGTCACGGGCTACTATGAAGGTGCCTTAAAGCACTTCCTACAGCTGAACTGCCGCGTGGTTGCCAAGGCATTCATCAAATTCATCGAGCCTCGGAAGCAGGTCCGACACCCTTACAACGGTGGATCTGCCCCCGGTACTACTGGTGACCCAGAAAAAACCAGGCCCGAGTGGTGGCCTTCTGGTGTTATGCACAAGGAGCCCGACCACTTGAGAAAAGAGCGTATGATTTACCTACGGCCTTGGTTATTGATCTACTTTCTTACTTTATTTTCAACAGACCGCATTAAGCTCTTGATTCACATTATCCGCAAGCTCGGCTCTTACGGCATTACTGCCGATAAGCTTATGGATGTTGCTGGTGACACCAAGCGGAGCTTGAAGCACCCATCCCATATCGAGATCATTCACGAGATCCTCCAGGTCCGTAGGATGGAGGAGCGTTTCGAAAGAGGTGAAATCAGCGCCGACACGGTCGTCTACACCATGATCCGCAGCCATAATCTTAAGGGTGATGAAGAAGACGACTCCGCCACCTCAGTGGCTATCATGAAGCCCGAGCACATCAGCCATGTATTAATGAACCCCACCTCATCATTCGAGCAAGCATCTACCTCCTTAACCACACCTATCAACAATATCCCATCAGACTGCTCCCTCCCAGGCAGGTTCCTCATGGCGGAGCCTCTCAACTTCGAAAATCCCGCCCGCCAAGGTCGCCCCTACTACGCCACACCTCCCCAATGTTCCGATTCATTGTCGCAGTCCATGCTCAGCACTCCCATGGCAGCAGAGAACATCAGCCCCCACGACGTCTCGGTCTCAGCTTTCGACGACTCCGCTCACAACACCTACCCAAACTTCACTCTAGGCGTAAGTGGTCACTACGATACCTGGACACCGTCTTTCCGCCAGAACATCTTCAGCCCTGTCGACTACGCTACACAGGCATCTAGTCAGGGTATGCCCCAGCCGTTAATGAACTGCCAGATTCCCATGGTATCGCACGTGCATGACATGTCTCATCGCCATGCCCAGCTGCCCAGCATGGCCTCCATCCGCCAGAAATCCATGTCTTTCTGCACGGGATCGCTGGGCCACCCACATCCTAACGAGATGCTATCTCCCGCACCGTCTAATTGACTGATAGGGTGTGAGTTTCTTGTCCCGAATGTTTTGACTCGAGGACGGCGTTAAAATGGGGCATGGGTATGGGTATAGTGTTACGGACATGCTAGTCACCAATTATATGCGGGACAGCAACTTACTGATGGGCCACCGAGAGCCAACCGATCTATCTGTCATCCAGATCACGTGCAACATCCAATACCCAGGCATCCCCAGGATATCAGGAAAAGAGAAACCACGATCATGCTCAGTGAGCAAGAGCATGATCCACCCTGATCAAGACCCACTTGCAGAGGAAATCAGGTACATAGGTTGTTCTCCGTAACAACAAACCCCTGCACCGCAAGTTGCCATTCTGGGTAAAAGGCAACACGTGACCGTGACTCCCGTATCGACTCCAGGAGTATACGGAGGAGTATACGGCGACTCCCAGATATACCCCCGGGGTAGATCTAGGAGTAGGAACGAAGGATATATAAGGACACTCATTTCATGTACTTAGTTTAGTTCTTCGTCTTCAATTACACATTGTTACTTGTGAATACCTTTGGAACTTCAGAGACTCTTTACTTGATTATAACTTGACACACACTACGACTAGACCAATACCTCGGTATAGATCTATTCGGCGCACTACCTGGCATCGTTCCTCGATACCCTCTACAGGACTCATCCCGCAGTAAGGCCTGTTAGGCAACGGAAAGGTTGAGAGACAGATCGTTGAGGTTGGAAGTCTGCAGGAAACCAGAGAAGTATTTCCCGATTCTATCTAACATAACTGTGACCAGTTAGCTGTGTGTAACATATAGGTATTAACGAACATATGAGTGATCTCACTGGTCAACAAACTTAGGGCTTATCATAAGACTTTGCCAGGGGAGTTGTTGTTGCTCTCTTCTTTTTTTATTTATATTTGTTTACTGTGGTATAAGAACCTGGGTATCATCTTGACAGGTGACGGTACAAACAGGGTCTGTTTGCTGCTTCGTTTTTTTTGAAATATTTGGGTTTTGTTTGATTTGAAGTGATTTATATTCCGGTCTTTAGCTTTGTTCTGTGATTTTTTTCTTCGATTTTCATTCTTTTTGTCTATTTATTTATTTTGCTGTTGGCCTCGTGCTTATTCTGGTTCTGGTTCTTTTCTTCTATTGACCTGTTTACGTACATTTGCGGTGAGACCTGAGCAGAGCAACCATAAATTGGCTCTTTGTTCTCATACCTTTCTAGAGGTATAGTCAATAGGATGATCGAATACTACACGAGCCTGTGCCTTGGCTGCAGCGAGCCCTTGTCAATTGTAGCCAATCAGACCCCGTACCTACTGTTGTTTTTTGTCTTTGGGTAAACAGGAACGCAAGGAAGTATATTGAAACAGAGGAAGCGGTGACGTTTGTAGTTGGCCAAGACCGGGGAGTATGTCAGCAGAGCTTAAGAAGTTGCTTTTTGGACAGTCATAAGCTTTCAAGGCGAGCCGAAAGTTGAGAGGAACACATATCGGAATGAAGTCATACCGACTCAAAGATTTGAAATCGTAATCAGGAGTTGCCTAGAGAGATCACATAAGAGAGCCCAGTAAGAACCACCTTCTTTCATTTCCAGGCTCTTTCCTCGAGGTTCCGCTATGTCCATCTTTTCCATGATGGCTCCATGGAGACCGTATCTATCTTCATCTAGCTTGTGTAAAGTCTTCCCATGTTTTGGCCGCATAAATGTGCGCTATCCTGTGGCGCGCACGGTCTAACCATTAGAATTGATGCTTGAACTACAGTAAAATACAGCGACGATGTGCGGGAATGTGACCATATACCATTTAGTATGGCCAATTAGTCTGACTAAGATTCAATGAGGTAATGGCCCACCCAGGATCTTCATCAATTCCCCACCGATCAAGACCCGGTCATACCCCATCATTCCAAACATCTTCTCAGGGCTTTTGCCCGCTTGGACAAGGCATCTCCCTTTGGAAAATTGCAACTGCTGACTCAAAATGACTTTTAGAGCCTTGGGTGATCAGTAGAGTCCCTAGTGCAGCAGGCTTGCCAATGGCCCAAATGAAACTTTGATGTTCTTTAGGATCCAACTTGATGCAGAACCCATTGCCGCAGCTCGGTTTGGCTGAGACCAGGAAGTGAATTTGAGCAATCCATCGCTTGCTTTTCGGGGTACAAAAAACATCGACCTCGGGCACCTCGCCATGTATAACCGAAATTTCCAGCTTGGTCTCTTCCCAGAACTCGCGGATCAAAGAATCCAGTACTGTTTCCTTTGGGTCACATTTTCCACCAAATGCTTCGTAGAAATTTGGTGACGAGTCATCTGCGGCGCGTTTCCCCAAAAGCACCCCTACTTTCCCTTCCTTCCAGTCGCAAAGCCAGGCCCTCACACTGATTCCGGTTACTTGATCGAGATTTTCCGGGGCATTAAGCTCCGTTTGAAAGCTTTGAAGAAACAGCTCCAATGGCACATTAAACTTTCGAAGACTTTCTGGAACCCGACAAGTTCCGTATGGGGTGACGAGAAGAAAAAAACCGTTGACCATGTTTATGAACGGCGCGGACAATGACCTAAGCCACTATGTGACCAGTGTTAGAATTATCTGCCAACCCATTTGGTATGAGGCAAAGAGACAAACCTTGATAACACGATTTGAGCCAAAGTAATGTGTGGAGGGATTTTGAGAGCTGGATTGACAAAGGTTGGGAATTCGGGCCTTTAACCCATAGTAGGTTCCAGCTGTATTGATGTATTAAGAAAATCACATTGCGATAAATAAGATGACTCACAGCCCATAATTAGAACTAATGTTTCTTGCTCCCGCTCCCGATATCACCCATGAGCTATCACATCGCCTGGCCAGAACCACTCTCCACTGTTCTACAAAACCGTACACCGAATCATGAAAATCAAGCTTGGAATGTGACAACTAAACCCTTGAATGCATTAGCGGTAATTCAGAATGGTAATAAGATTAGCTGTGCTACTCCAGTTTTCTTACAGGGAAGGGAATGTAATGCCGATCCCCTTCCCCATAATACCATACAGCGCAGTGAAAGGAGATCCAGATGTGCGGCAAGGCACTGTGGGCCACCGAATGTTCCAATGTAGTGCTTGCTAGGATATGAATCCTGAAGTGTACCAAAGACTTTAGTTTCCACCTTCCGGAATTGCGGGCTAGAATTCTGAGCCTTTGATCTAAGCTCAGGCTTGCATGCACATTCACCGACTACCAGATGGGCATTGCATATGAGGCTGACTTTCGGTGCTTTGGCGCTCATCAGCAGTGGAGAAAACCTTGCAAAATGAAGCCGCTACCCTGAAGTGGAGATGGCCATGGAGGTGGGTGGACATCAGGAGGAATACGTCAGATTCACTTCCCGGGCCCCCCGGCACAAACAATGATACTTCGTATCGAATGGAAACACCTTAGGCATATTATGGAGACGGTTTTCGATGTTGAGAGGTGGGGCTTGGGTGCGGTCAAGAAGCCTAGCATGTTGTTCCTAGGGGCTGAGTGATCCACTGATGCATAAGCTCATTGGATGGGGAAACATGCAGCATGGCCTTCCAATTCTCATTGGGAATATCTTTCGTGTGTGTCAAGGACCCCGAGATAGCAAAGCTATTGGCTCCAAAATGCAGGGCTGGAGCGAAATCAGAAGTCTGGACGCGAGGTGCATACTTTAGTGCGGTTTGGCGAGCACTCCCTCTACGCCTCCTGATAATAATAAATATGTATTCAATCCCCTTTCTCTGCGATTCGTACTAGTACAAACAAGGTGAGATCAGCTCAGCTCATTTTGGGGTTACTGATATTCACAACCACGACAGGATATCACTATTCTGGGCCGCGTGCGAGGGCTACGAGTCTGTGGTGAAAATCTTACTTGAAACCGAACATGTTGATGCCAACTGCAGTGACTCCAACGGCAAAATACCCCTGCACGCAGCTATTCAGCACGGCCATGAAGCGGTTGTGAAGCTTTTACTTGAGACCGGGCGTGGTGATGCTGATTCAAAATTTGCATGTTTCTTCATGGAAGATCACATGATAGAGGGCCTTGGGTGTAGGATAATTTCGAAATAACGCTGCCTCGTTACCTGCCCAAGTGATCTCTGGGATTATGTTACAAATCTAATGTTTTACACAATGATGCAATGCGTACGGAGCCTCCAGGTACGTGGTAGTCGATCAAAGAGGCTTCGAACTCGTGAAAATCTGGAACATGACCTATCAACCCAGCCGTTGTCTCCACAAAATGCAGGACTGGAGCTGGAACAGAGGTCTAGAGGCGCTGTACATACTCTAGCGCGGTATAGCAAATACCTGCTCTCGGTCTCTGGATGATAGACCTGTTCCGCCCCCTGTTTGAGCCTTGTATATAAGTAACATTTATATGGGAGTAGGTTAGCCTATTAAGATTAATTGCATCTCCATACTTCGATACTCATCCACAACGCTTATATTTGAGAATCCCCTCCCTGTCGTACACAGAGACAACATCACAACAGGCAGGTATTATCTCACATCTCTCGTGTCACCTTTCGCTTTGAAATATTGAAATTATCAGATTGCTAACCATTCACCGAAATCTGCATTAGTTCCTTTGTTGTACGTCAGAGATTCCGTGGCCATCGTTGAAAATAAAAAATCTGCTACAAATGGCTCAAGGCAATCGCGTGAGAAGACTTTATTCTGATCTTGAACGAGCCACTATTGTGAATCCCCAAACCCTGTTAGATTATCTCCTTGCATGCTATCCAGTTTTCCTCATGCTGTCATTCGCCGTGGTCTATATAATCCAAGTGTTCGTCAAGAGCAAGACCGAACAAAAAGACCCGCAGAACAAAGATAGCCAGGTTTCCAGGCAGATCCGGAACCCGATGGCTTTCAGACAGATTCAGCCTTTCTCCCGCAGCGTCAAACAATGCTTCAACTGGCTCTCAGCTGGTGTGCTTGTGACGTTCCTTGCAAATGCGACGATATATACTACCCATGTGTTAATGGCGCGCTCCGAGTGTTGGTGGCGCGGGCAGTCTGCAGTGGTGCGTCTCTATGTGCTTCGTTCAACATTGTTATGTGTTAAATCCTAACAACCGCAGATTTATATCGTCGGCTCTATTTTTGCCTACACAGTTATCCTTGTCAGCATACTCGATACCACCCCGTCCCCGACGGCCGCTCAACGTACATGTTGGTCCTTCGCCATTCCTACCGAGCTCATCATTCTTACAACCTCCCTCTCAATTTACAACTCAGAACATTATGAGCCAGTAGTCGGAGACCCCAACGGAGGCGCGATGCACCAAAGGATCACCTTCTGGGAGTGCATGGAAGCGATCCCCAACGGTGTCCGTATATTGATTCTGGTCTCTCTTTTTCTACTCTACTCTGCCAAGTCCGGTGCTCTCATAGGCCATGACGGAGATTCGGAGGAAGACCAAGGTTGTGTGACTGAGACAACCAGGCTGCTGAACCCTCCGCGCACAGAGATTTCTGTTGTTAATGGTCACGTCTCTGGTTCAACAAGTGGAATTGCAAGACCCGCGGAGCCCAAACCACGGAGTTCCTGGGCACGACCAGAAGCATTACCATCTAGGAGCTATGTGGAGTATCTTAGTGGCTTCTCGCGTTTTTTTTCCCTACATGTGGCCCTCCGAGTTCCCCCGCCTACAGGCTGTGGCAGTGATTTGTTTCCTGCTTGTGATTCTCCAGCGAGTTCTCAATGTGTGGATACCCATTCAGATTGGGACAATTACTAGAAAAAAGCGCAAAAGGTCATTTTCGACATGCAGGTTGGACTATCGAAGAAACTTGATCATTGAATATAAATCTAGTAATGTATACATATTATATGATTCGGCATGTGTTTGGAATGAATATATGAATATGTAGAGCTCATCACACGGATCCCGGAGTCAGCCCATCTATATTGCACTTGCAATGTCTGACCCAGTAATTAATGTCACTAACGAAACGCCGAGCAATACCTCTTTTTACGCCATTCTTTATAAAGAAGTGTGGATCCTGATCCTCATGAACTTGCATGAGGTCTAGTCCATCTTCAAGCGCAGCATCGCGGGCCTTACGAAACTCTGCCTTGAGATTTTCATCGTTGACCTGTGATTGCTGCCAGTCACTATATTCAACAATAGCAAGGTCCCGCAGATTAGGGATTTCGAGGAAACTCGCAAGGTCTTTTCCTGGACACATGGTCGGCACTGGAGTCGGGTGTAGTTGGCACAGATAGAGGAGAAGACTGCGCAGGAAGGACGTTTGTTTGCACGTAGATCTTCACTATTCCATGGTATTCCATTGATGATCGACCACTAGTCCCGATTAGGGTAAATGTCAGCATCTAATCTTGAAGGCCCTCATAAACAAATCTGCGTCTTATTCCTAGCCCAGGGGATCAGAGCAAAATAAATTGAGCCGATGCCAGGAATCTAATTATACGAAACATAATAATGTATATCGATATTTGCGTGTTGATGCTATTTAAGAGTGAAATATTCATGGACGGTTTTTCAACGATCAGTAAATTGAGGGCGATAACTTTCGATGGATCTTCATTAGCCAATCGCCTACGACTTCAATCACGTGCATCATCCAACACCTCCGCACACTCCAACCGAAAAGCCAGTTTCAGAATATAGTTTTGCCGATATTTACCGTCTAGAGTATATGGTGGATGTTATAGCGTAGGTATTTGGTAAACTAAGAACGTAATTCTAGTATCAAATACCTGCCAATACCTTGAGCAGGCAGACAAGAGGCTGAACGAAAATAACAATACGGTGTTGATTGAGATGAATAGTTGATTTAATGCCTCAATTTTGATCCTGAATATCATTCATGGCATTTATTCAGCACCACCTTCGCCGGGTTTCTGCAGAGCTGAACTACCTCACCCAAGCCCCAGGAACACAGAACCCTTTCCCAACATTATGAGCGTACACATTTCTCGCTGCCTTCAGCTCGATTTTCAGCACACGTCCCAAGATACTGCGCGAAGAACTTGGAATCTTCACTCTATCGTAAAATCAGTGAAGTGTTCCAGGTGTATCGAGGCAAAAGGAGCATACTATGAGCACTGCAGAACTTCGATCCACTCTCAGCCCAATCACTACAGCCTTGCTTAACACACCTGATGGCAGGGCTTGGCATCTTGAGTAGGTGAAAGTAGGGGCTTCAAATTGTTGATGGTGAAGCGGTTGGTGTAAAAGGTAGAGTAGAAAGTAGTAGAAATGCAGCAAGAAAGCAATAGAGTTGAAGACTTCTTGTCGATATTCACGAGCAACTCCGGGAAAGAACCTCCTATTTAAGGTCCAGTCTGCCAACACGGATGCAATGCTGTCCGCTGATGCATGCGATACATCAAGCTGGCCTGGTGCTGCATCTGCATCAGTCACATTGCCAAGCGGGACACCGGCCTATGAAGTCCGGTAGCCAAGCGCCGCGGCTGAAAGTGTTTCGCTATCATATTTGATAAGCACGAGGCCAAAGAGTAAATCGGATGCTCCTCGCGAGTCATGGACCACTGATTGTGACAGATATTGCACCTAATTCTAGTCTTCTACGACTACAAGGTCTGTGCGGTAGTTAACGATGGTCATTGCGCCAGTAAAAGACACGTGTCAATCGGACAGGTCTATGTACTTTTGCATATTATTTGGCACGGCTCATTCCTCTGTTTTGCTTTCTCAAGCTACCCACGTTCAATTGCCAACAATGGCAATTTGGGATTGTGATTACGAAGATTGCGACAACCCTTCTGTTCGCACGTATGGGGCCTGTGTCCTTTGTGATCACCATTTTTGCGTGAAACATCTGGGGCCAGAGTATCATACATGCCCAAATTGGGAGGTTTGTCATTCAAATTCTGAGAATTGAAGCAGCTACTGATTTCTTCGGTCTGAACAGGATGAGTGTCATTACGGCCCTGCTGCTCAAGAGGCCGAAAAGAAAGAAATCAATACTCTTATTGGAAAAATCGACATATTAGCGCTCACTCAGCGCGCTAGCAGTCTCCGTAATGGCCTTGCGTGCTCCGTGGCCCAGGGTCTCCAATACGATAGAGCTTTGCGCAGCTCAGTCATGGGAGGTATGAATTATCATATCGAGATTGTATTTGAAGATGGAATCAGCTGGCTCGCGCGCATTCGAAGATTCAACGCTACTTCCCCACACCCCGGAGCTGCGGGATTACATCCTGGGCAGCGAAGTCTCAACCTTGCAATTCTTGAGCAAGACAAAAGTTCCTGTTCCTGCGGTTTTTGACTTCAATCCGGACGAATCAAACCCTGTCGGTGTTGGTTATATTCTTATGGAGAAGTTGCCTGGGAAGTCCTTGCGGTGGTCTCTTGCTTCCCCAAAGCAGAGGCAAAAAGTTACTAGTCAACTTGCGGATATCTACATTGAATTGAAAGGTTTCCCCTTCTCGATGATGGGTTCTTTCGATCAGCAGAACTCTTCTCATATTGGACCCATTGCACGAGAGTCTTTGGCCGACTTTGAGAACCGCCATATGAGAATACTTGGGCCTTATACGTCTTCAGAAGAATATTTCAACGCACACATTCGATTGATATTGGATTTGATAATACGACAAGAATCCTACGTTAACCGCCCCGTCGATGCTTTCCTGATACACCGTTTCCTCCTAGAAATCATCTCCAAAACCATCTCAAAAAATCACCTCGACGATGGGATGTTCTACTTGAAACATGCGGACGAAAAGGGAGACCAGATACTCGTTGACAATGAATTCAACATAACAGGCATTATTGACTGGGAATGGGCGCAGACAGATTCAAAGTCAGCAGCTTTCAATTCTCCCATTGTGCTTCTTCCGGTTGCTGATTTTTACGAGGGGGCTGATTATATCGGAAAAGATGAAATCTATTTTGCCGAGTGCTTGGAAGAGAAAGGACATCCAGATCTTGGGGAGATAGTCAGAAATGGGCGGCTTCTTCATCGAATCCAATTTTGTTGTGGATATGACCTTGACGATTGGGACGGATTCATTGGGCTTTTTTGCGGGCTGCTGAAGATATTGGGCATCGAAGGGGACTCAAACTGGGAAACTTGGAAAGCGGACGCTTTAGAGCGCTATCGAGAGGATCATCAACTACAGCAACTTCTCGGACTGTCCGAAGGTAAATGAAAGCGGATACAGTTTCAAACGCTTAACTTACGCTTTGCTGCGACGACTTTGGCGAGCAGTGACAGAATAGGCAGAGTGTCTTAGTGTGTCATAAGGTTGGTAGAATGTGGACATAATGTTTCCTCGATGAGGATAAATAGATGTCAGGTAAATGAACATTGGCACTGTACTATTTCACCGTGTAATCCTGTCTCGGCGTTTGAAGTCGAGTTTGGCGCTTGGGGCGACATTTTCTCCTCTTTTGGTGTGGACTGCCGCTGGATAGGAAGCAGGCCACGTTGGATGGAGCAGCTACCAAAGTGCAGCTGTAATGCAGAGACGCAATGATGAAAGGTCGCTGCCAACCACTTCATATATAATCTACCTTAGATGTTTTATGTGATAACGCAGCTATACAAATGCATAATGGCTAGACACATTGCGACTACGTTCATTAAATTTTCGCTCATTTTTTCCAACCTCGTAACTCCTGCACTGCCCTGTTAATTTCTCTCGCAAACCCGGTCTCGGACAGCGCTTTATCAAGCCCACCACAGGGTATCCATTTTCGTTGACGATTTGGTGAGATCACTCCCAGAATGGGCCGCAAATAAAGGATTTCAGCCCTTTCAAAGTCAAAAAAGACAACCTTTTTGCTTTCTAGATTGTAAAACCAATTCCGCGGCGCCGGGTCCTTGTGGACAACATGAAGGCGGTGCATATGTGAGAGCGACTCTTTCATTTTGGCTATTAAGGAATCTTGACTCATTTCCCTGAGTGCTAGATCGAGAGGCTGTCCACCCGGACTCAATAGCATCATGTGCTTGAGATACGCGATGCCGTCGTAGCTGTACGGATGAGTTATGTCGATGCTTCCGAGATAGAGAGGAATGTATATGCCCTGGATTGAACGAAGTCTGGTGTATACAGCAGCTTCATGTCGAAAGTGTTCCGCAAATTCCGGTACGGTGCATTTTGCAGGCACAGTATATCCGTGCGATGACAGCGTGACTTTCAAAAGAGCACCTCGAGAACCGTGTATACCCAGTACCTCGCAATCTGCATTAACGGTCTCAGTTAATTGACGCTGTAACCGTTTGACGAAAGCTTTTTCATTAATGACATGGCGCGTTTCTCCATGATCGAGGACATTGGGGCAAGTCTGATCTAGCTCGCCCCCATTCATCAGTCCAAGTAGACACTTCAACGTGCAGTAATACCGATAGTTCTCTGCCGAGGACGACCCATGTGTAGCCGGCTTGGGTGCTGAATGGGTCGACGGTGGCTGTCTTCGTCCGATATCCCGATAGATCCGTGGATCTCGGCTCGGCGTATCGGGGTCAGGATGATCGTCGTCCGCATCGCCCTGTGTGTCGCTTGGCTGGCAGGCACAATTGCAGTAATCTCAAATGCTCCTCGAACGTGTCACGGTCTGCCCGTTCACTATATTCCGCTTGTTTATTACCCAAAAATACAGGGACGGCGGAATCTTGAGCCTTCCGCAGAATTCTGTATACCTGCGCCTCGCGAGAGACTTCTTTCCATAGGCCTGAAGTGGTGCCTTTGCCGATGACCGTGTAACCATGTTTCGTGCAAGTAAGTTTGAACGGGGCACCGTAGGAGCCACAATTCAGTATATACACCACCGACTCCTTTGGATATTGAGGGTGCTGCAAATCGTATTTTGAAACACTGCGGGTCCGACCGGGAAGTTAGCAAAATGTACGGCTACCAATTTGTTGCACGCCTACCACCGCATATCACCCTCCGTACGTAAAAACCTATAGAAACGTGAGAATCGACGCCGAAATACACGTAAATCCTGGATACTTCAAGCCCTACCTTATCTAACAGCGATGTTCGATGGCAATTTGACCGTATAGGTTTCTAGGATGACAGAAATTGGTTAATAATAAACAGGCAATTAATTAATGGCAGGGAGTGTATGCAGATTCGACGAAATGAACAATCTGCTCAACCGAGGTTTGAAGTAAACAGTTGTTTGTGTTTACTCAATTTACACCCTAAATAGTATAGGATCTCAAATATGACCAGATACTTCGAATTGTCAAGCCTGACCGATGGAGAAAATATCTGTTTGTCTAGAAATTAATTGACCGGATTGACTACCCCTTGGATTAATAAACATTTTTGATTACCAGCCCTCAGCATTCACACTCCGCAAATCTTACCTTCCACCTTCCAGCCACGTTGGGTTGGTGTGTTCAGGGATTTGCTATAGTGGCGACCTTTATTGCCTTCCATACCAGAAACACTGAGATGATCTATCGAACCCTAATCACATGACCATCTAATCCTGATGCGATATAGCGTGAATAACAAGTTCTTTACCACCTCAGTAATTATGCAAGGTCTTTTCATAACACCAGTATGAAAGATACAGCCTATGAAAGTCCAGATGGGGAAGGGCTCGATGCAAACCCAGCAAACATGCCGAACGTTGGTCGAAACGGCAATCAGTCCTTCGTCGCCTGTGAATCTCTCAGTTGCTTTTCGGCTGGCACGCTCTATAACCTACTATACTGCCGCATCCAAAACCGCATCAGAGAGCTTCTATTTTGTGCTGTCTGACTCTTTTTGGCCGAAAGAATGAACTCTTATGGAAGACATATTCTGTCTCTACCCCCTGAATTATTGCTGCTCATTTTCGGAAACCTCTCAAACCTTGACGAACCTTTATGCCTCGCAATAACTTGCAAAAATCTTGACAGCTTCTTCACAAACTGGAAAAATCATATTGCGTGGTCTGTCATCGTATGATCAACTCTCTGTCTCTATGCCGATTTCAGCTATGCAAGTACGATACTAAACATACATCAGCGTGCCTCAGAATATCATAAATACGATGCCCCGCTATGTTACTTGGCCGACGTAATGCATGGCAAATACGAAGATATCACGCTCAAAGATCCAAGTCTGCCTAATCACTGCATTTACTATGATCACATCTTCTCGGCCACAACTGAGTCCATAGAGACGATCGACCTTTATCTCCGACGAATCCGCCTATGGTGGAAGCAAGCAAATCAGTGAAGAGGCAACTACATCTTCCACATCAATGAGTACAGGCACGCATTATCATATCACAGCACTGAACATCTCCCTCGGGAAGAGAGAGAGAAGTATCAGGTGGCCTGCTACGCAGACTGTAAATACCAGATTGGCACTGGCCTTTTTCCATTGCTAGAGAGCTCCGAAGGGACGACAGTTTCTCCAGAGAGGTTTTATCGCGCTGTAATGGCTCGCACCCTAGGCACGAAAGCGCTGCAATTGCACGCAATCCTTCCAGAATCCGACGAATCCGATGTTACAGGCAGTTTACATAACAAAATCATGGACATATGGCGTCGAGATTCCGGCTGCACCTTACAAGAGAGCTTTGAAAGTCTTGAACTGTTCGATTATGCGTCCAACTTTCTTCTCCTCAAAGTTTTCGATACGCCTATGGAACACCTAGACTGGGTAGATAACAGTCAAAAGTCCGATATCATGGATGGCCACGATATATTTCTCGACAACTGGATGTCTTTTCACCAACGTCTTCAGTCGTTTTTGACACCATTTGACATTCTGTCCTTGTTTACGGATGGCATAGGAAAGGATAATGAGAGAAAGAAAGTTTCCCTATATTTGCTCAAATATCTGTTGTCGAGTGATGGGTATGGATTCCAACCTGGAATGAGAGAGCTTGAAAAGGACGTGTTACTTAAACTAAGTCAGCCAGCGTCGGAAGCATGGAAAGCTTATCGAAGTCATCAATGGAGGTCGGCTGCCAGAGGACGAGTATTCAACGATGCATTTGACATCACTGACGAAATCATACAACACAAGCAAAGTAACTGGTTCTGGTGGAAAGACCTAAAGCGTGTTGAAAGTCAGCCTGTGGAGTGTTCACTTTCTATACGTGTGCCCCAATTTTGGTTCGTCCCTTTCGATGATCTAGTACGGCCTAGTGAAGAATCGGACCAGTTCTGTTTGGATTATTACTTTGTCCTAAAACATGATCTCAGGGAACGGTTAACGTGAGATTGCGGCAGTTGACACTGTGGCAAGACTAACTTGGAGGATGACTATATGTATATTATTTGCCGACCATTTCCCAAGGTATATATGTGAGAATAAGAGGATATGGGAGGCTGCAGAAGGATAGGCTCTCTGGAAAAGTCTTGTATTGCGTGAGGAAAGAAAAGAAAGAGAGACTAAACTGCGGAGAGGATTCGATATGCTGCGAGCAAACAGAAGAGGCCATAAATAAAGTAGTTAATAAAATTATCTTTTGTTTAGCTTCATCACTCTAGAGTTCGTTCACAGAGCCGATTGTTTGCACATGTCATTGAGTCGCGTGGGGGCGGGTCAAACAAAATAAAAGAATGAGTCCATGAGATACAAATGATGGGGATGTTTGCTGGATTTACATGAAGCCCTTCCTTCCCCATCTGGGCTTTCATAGGCTGTATCTTTTATACTGGTGATATGAAAGGACCTTGTATAATTACTGATGTCGTAAAGAACTTGTTATTCACGCTATATCGCGTCAGGATTAGATGGTCATGTGATTAGGGTTCGATAGATCATCTCAGTGTTTCTGGTATGGAAGGCAATAAAGGTCGCCACTATAAGTATCATAACACGTATCATCTAGAGCGTTGACGAAGTCGTTGCTATATTGTGGAGGGTTGGGGAAATCTTCAGCAGAACGGAGTCACATAAGCAGCAGAAAAGAGAGGGACAATAACAAAAGAAGAGTAAAAGGGTAGCAGGTAGAAGCGAACTGCTAACAGCACTTTACAAAGACAGACCTCCTAGGGCCTAGAGCCTTCAAAAATATCAGCATGACATGGAAATGACAGTCAGTTTGAACCAAATGGCCAGCCAGTGGTCTAGCTACTGCTTCGAGCTGTATATTTCTTGAGACCTCCTGAAAGAGCCTTTTCTGATACAGTAGCTCTGATACTTGCAAGACATGTTCAACATCTCTCAACGCTGCATCAAAGCGGTAGCTTTTCAAAAAGGAAAGGTCACAGTTGAGCTGCGCTATCACGAGCAATTCTGGTGAGGCATGGATCCCCAAAGTCTTCGAATAGCTGGAGTTACTCTTATGTACAGTACAATAGCATCCCCTCTTAGACACAGCAATTTTTTTTCAGCTTACTATTGTATTGTCGAACAATGATCACCCTGATCAAAAGGCTCACTCTCCTTCGCCTTTTGGGAAGAGGCGTCCTCATCAGCCTGCGTGACACGTTTCCTCCAGGATAAGGAAACCAGGTCATCAAACTCGGGGATAATGGAGACGTCCGAGAGATGGTCCACTCGAATCCCGTAGTCCCCATCTGCCCCTTTGCCGATGACGCCAATGTCCAATCTACCATAAATCGAGTCATTGCCCTTCACCAGGAAAAGAGGGTCTTTTATCCTTCTGCAGAGACGGTTGTTATCTGTGTAAAATTTCGAGGCTCGGTAGCCTTACCAGATCAGCTGGCTATCATGACAGGAACCTCACATCAAGTACAACTCCAACCGCGCGTAATATCTTACAGTGTACCAATGAACCCGTCGACTCGCAATGATTGGGTAGTCATGCTCATTCAAAAGCCCGAATACCCTCACCAATGATTCGCACAAGTCTTGATCGGATACAAATGTTTGGATTAATGATATATTTCGCCGCTCTTTCATGTCAAGTTACATCTGGAGTCCAGATGCGTACAGACTGCATTGTCTCTAATCATTATACTTAATGTCGGTTTTGTAGCATTCTTTCCTCGCATGCAACTGAAGTGTCGCTTAGATATCAATGTGTTGTGAGCATCAGACTCCTGGGAGTACGTGTGACGGATCGCGGGTGCTTGGGTTGTACCACTACGCCAGCTGGCCAAAAAAGCACAATGCTTGGTCAGCGATCAAACACCCAAGCTAATATATATGCTCGATCTCTGGCAGTACGTGTGAAGTTTGAACGGTCCTGCGAGCAAGAAGAAAAAACGCCCTTGTTCCTAGGTTACTCCGGACGAGCACTCGGGTATGACATTGACATCTAAACAGCCTGAAAAGCCCTCGGAAGCAAGGTTCGTCAAGACAGTTTCATGAGTCAATATTTGTTAGATGGCCTCTCCATGAGTAAGTAATATAAAGTCGGTGTTACCACGTAGGCCGAAAGGAATATATATAAGTAACGATTGCCCCACACGATAATGGTATCATACAGGATCATACCTGTTTTATGTAACTCTGTTATTACAGTGCTCGCAGCATTGTGGCTGATTTGTCTCAAATCGGTGGCTGTGCAGGCTGGACCAAACGCCCTGTAATTACCTTACACCGATAAATACTGTGAAATTATATTGAATACGAGCCCAGAACATCACTGACTAAGCTGATTACCAAAATGGCCAGGCTATTATCAACCGCGTCACAAGGCGTAATTGCACTTTTGCGAATTCGATTTTCTAAGTTCTAGCTGGTTCTCAATGAGCCCGTTTCTTCCTATATATTAATGCAGAATTATCTTCGGAATGCAGCTGGGTCCTGATCTGCACGAGCCGCAAATCACAACAGTCTAAACTTGTCACGTGTAATCCAACAGCATCGATCTGGCAAAAATATGCAATATAATAGGATAAATAGCGGTACCCTGACAGTCGTAGAGACTTTTAAACAGGTCTGCAATATGAAGCTGGAACTCCGAGGGGCAGTGGGTAGAATACGGCCTTTTGATTGTCTGTCAAGTCTGAAGTTAACAAACCAGGATGCCACGTCTTCGCTCCAATAGATGACATCTTCTTGTTTTCTCGAATATCATGACTCGATTGAAGGCTTTTGAGTCCTACGACAGGAAGAAGTATGGTCGGACAAGCTAGGGCCAGGGGGAAATATGATGCCCATAAGTCAGAGTGAAATGATACAGACTGAACCCTGGCAAACGAGGCTCTCGATTATTGTGGCATGACCAATAACATGTAGTCTGACTAGAATCGTGCTCATCAGTGATAGAAGGGTAGAGGACTCATCTTCATGCGTATTCGTGGCATCTTCAAAGTGTCCCTTTCAGGTGCCGTACTGCACCTGGGACCTTCTGAGTTTCTGAAGGAGTACTATCGTACCATATAAATCTCATCTAAATAAGTAACATTTAGACCAAGTTCGTGAAGGACTCAGATATCTCACAGCCATTGGTCTATGTCGATGTCTAGCAATTGATGAAGCACGGACGTCGCGGATCAAGCTCACATGCATGGAAGGGGCTATCGTTGATCCAGCTCAATCGGGGGAAGCACACCATTTGCGTTTGGGTAAATGAAAGAAAGAGCATGTGTAAGTAAATTGGGTTTTAGTACGTGTAATCAGACCGAGAAACCAAGCTAGGATCTGTTCTCTCTCGGATCTCAGTGGATTTTATGCTACTAAATTCAGTCAGCCACAGGCCCCCTGCAAATTCTCGCAACCCCCCTGGTAAAATAGTGAGAGTCACTTACTTCTTGCCATTAGGTCTTGGCCCTATATGACAAACTCAGAGCTCGGTAATATGCAGGAAACGGTCTTGCAACTCTCATCGGATGGAATAATTGGATATCGACCAGGTTGTCGGTTTGCTTTGCAGCATCAGAAAATCTGCATAATGGTTAGGCTTTTGCTCTGGCTGAGGGGCTGGAAAGAGACAGACCCGGAATGCCGACGGTCGCTTGAACTTATGAGCAGTCTTCATGAGACCTTGAGGAGGAATTCTTGAAACTTGGATATGTTCGCTCTAGGAGGGATTAGTGTTTCTTTTATATACTTTGACTCTCAGCGTCAGCAGTCACAACTCTCACGAATGGGTACCAGCAGTTAAGCTCCTGGGATCTATATCATCTCACCAATTTAGCGCGAAAGGTCTGAGAGCTCCTAGGAAGTCCTATCAGACTTTAGCTAGAATGAGGTATTTTCTTTAGAATGCGTTAGGCCAATGAGGGGCCGCAAATTTCGCCATGGGCGGGTAGATCATCCAGTAGGCATGATCGATGGGTCTAGAATATTTTTGCGGATGTCCATCGCTAGAGCTGAGTCGTATTCCTAGGAGCAAGCGGCAAGCAGCAAGAGCAATAATCTGTTGTTATTCAAGCGAGATATACTCCAAACAAAACAAAACAATGAATTTACAAACTATCCAATTGGGGTTTTCTGAGATATTCCTAGATATTGTAGAACCAAAATTTGAGGGTTGGATATTTTCCGCAACTATGTAGAGACAGTATCGTGGATGCAAGGCTCGGCGAGTTGAATAGTGGCATAGCCACAGAATAGTAAACCCAATGAACGTAGCCCCACTACCAATTTGCCTCCCAGCTGGAGGCGAAACAACCAGGATCGACCGACAAATTGATGACGCCAGCCTTTCGTTGAGGGGACAACGGTCAAGAGTTCTCGTGAACAACTGCATTTGGATGGGGCTAGCGTGGTGCGTTTTATTGAGGTGAGCTGCTGACTTAGCTGCTCCCGCGTTTTGCTCTCGTGCTCAGTAAGTGGATCAGGCTGCTCAGGTCACGCTCGGTGAGTAAGTTCAGACTGCTCAGTGAGCCAATCGGAGCGCTCAGGTCTCGCTCAGTGAGCGAGTCATCCAGCTTATGTAACGATCAGATCATGCTCAGTGAGCGAATCTGATGCTTATGTAATATTCATGGGCGTGCTCAGTTGTACTCAGTGAGCAAAAAGCGGCAAGGCCTGAGCACTAAAGCGGAAAGGGAACGCCAAGAAGTGGCAGAGGAAATCAAGTACGTAGGTAGTATTTCATTTTCACTACATGTAAATATTCTTGATGATCATTGTTACTCGTTGAACCCTATCGACAGGATACATATTATGATACCTAACACAGAAGGTTGAGATGAGATTCCAAGGTTACAATAGCCACCTGATGATAAAAATCGGTTCCAGTCTTTATGACACTACTGGATGTATCTAGTTAGTCAAGCTTAATTGTTAGAGACTATCTAGAGCTTGGGAAATCAACCGAACTAAATCAACAATAATTTGGTCCAAACCCGCGGCAGCTTGAATCTAATGGGATACAGTCAGTAAAGGGATGTTATTGTGTCATTTCGGACATGAGACGGAAGATAAAAAATGAATGAGGACGGTACTAACCTTAGCGCATTCGGGGTCATCGTTCAGAATACCATAGCTGGCTGTCACTAAACCTCTTCCTTTTGCGACCCCAATCAGCATTGGTGCGAACACAAATGGTTCCGAAGCCATGCCAATTCCATCAAGCCCCCAACTTGTTGCGAAATTTATTGCTTGCTGCAAACTTGATGCCCTCACGTCGCCTGTGTGATAATTCCCAGAATCATTGAGAAACAATATCGGAAATAAATCTTGTTTGAGGGATAAAAGTATGCAAACCTCCGGATTGAAGGAGGAGAGCATGATGGGACGACCGCGGCATGTCGGATGTGAGAGAATGCTCGACAGGATGGTGTCCACGAATAAATTCACTTCAATAGCGATTATGTCTGATTTCCAATCAACGGCAGCTTCAAATAGCATAGGGTACTCTAGTAAAGGAATTCGGTTAAGAAGGATACAAAAAGACAGAAATAGCAGGATATCAGAGGTTCTCTTACTAATTTCTATGTTAAGGGCCATGGAGTCGGAAGTTTGAGAAAGGAGTTCATGTAATGTCAGAAATGACTGTTGAATGACTTTCCCTCTAATGTTGCCCTTGAACCCCTTTTGTTTGAACTCGAAAGTTTGCTTCAATTGCTCTGTGAGATGCATGGGTCTGTAATCATTGCTTGCATCCAGAGAATACGATCGCGGCTTTCGTGGGGAAACATCTATTACAGACGGTCTTTGCGGTTTTGATTGAGAGTTGCTGATATGCATATACTAACGATTCAAATTAATACCAATCATTTTGAGCGAATGGGTATACATACCTGTTCAAGACTTAAATTATGCATCCATGCATCTGTTCCTGTTTCGCTAACAAGAAAGTCATGATATACAACAGGTATGTGATCCTTTGTCAATTGAACATCTGCAATCAGTTAATGGAGTTCGAATAGTGTTTTTCCTTTCTTACCGAGCTGTGCCATTATTAGTCAGAGATTCTTAGAGGAGTTTGTTTTTTAACTTACCTCTACCCAATCTGCACCTAAATCCATGGCCGTGAGAAATGACTATAGTCTCGTTAGGCCAGCAGAAAGGGTTCCAAATAAAGATTTATTACCTGTATTGTGTTCTCTCCAATTGACAGGTTCCTTGAACTTGATTTATTTTGGCCGAAGCCTTTCCTGGATCAGCACATGTTTCCAACAATAGGCAATGGAAGTATACCTCGGTGTCCCACAATTTTGGTTCGTCCGCCATTTTTCAGGAGCGTATCTCTTGCTGGTAGAGAGAAATTTGGCTGTGTGAAGGGCTTCACCACAAGAAAACTGAAAGCAAGAGCCCCGATGTTCTCATGAGACCCCATTGACAGAATAGGTATTGTGTAGTCTCGAATGAGACTCTCTCTGGTTGATCCCAAGGCCTGCTTGAGATTGTCCACAAGTGCAACAGCGCTGCCAATGTGTTCATATCGCTCGAGTTTGTCTGCGGTTACGCTTTTGCGGTTGATTTTGAACATTAATATGGCATTGCCAAGATCATTTGTATAGAACGCCCACGGCTTGTTCGTCATATCCTCTAATATAGGCAACTCAACAGTATAGGCCGGTCCCTGACTGCCTATGAGCGAGATTTGAATTGACAACTCGGCCTCAGATTCCGCAATCGACTCATCGTTAAAATGATAAGGACTGCGGCTAGTAGGATCAACACTTTTCTTTGAATCAAAAGACCCCAGATTGACGAGAATCAGACATTGACTCGTCACAATCGGAATTTTCCGAGAGGCAGTAGGTGAAGCCTCTAGATTAGACGGCGTGTAATAAGCAGTGCCGGGGGATACCGACTGTCTCAATGTCCGTGACAGTCTAATGTGACCCCGGAAAGCGGCGTGGTCTAGTGCAGTCCAGCCCCGATGATCTTTATGTCCCACGCTAGCACCGGCCTGAAGAAGAATTTCAACAACATCCATGTGCCCCTCCACCGAAGCAGCAATTAAAGGTGTCCAACCATTGGCTTTCTCGGCTACCGCAGTGCTAGCGCCCAGATCCAAGAGGCATTCCACTAATTCCGTATCTCCATAGCTTGCCGCCATGTAAAGGCCGGTCTCCCCGGCGAACCCTTGATGGTTTACGTCCGACTTTACGGCGGAAAGGTATCTCAAGAATTCCGAATTTGGGTTAGTACCGCTGACAGTAACAGCAAGGAGGGATCTTGACACTGATCTCCAAATATGACTGTCATGACCGCCATTGTGGTGTAGAAACTCAATGAAGCCCCTTGATACTTCTTCAAAGCCGTATGATAGAGCAACACTTAGAGGATTGTTACCAAAATGGTCTTCCAGCAGAATCGATTCAGCAAATGAGAGGCGTCGATGAGCTTCTCCATCTTGCATGTGGCCCAAAAGAAGCTGGCACACATCTTGGAGCCCATATTGAGCGACATAGTGAAAGGTTGTACTTTTGCACATAGTATCTTGTGTAAAGAGTGATGTTTGAATATTGGCCTGGAAAGTGGACACAATGTCTATCAGAAGAGGCAACATATTATCACCTAGTACGGGAACAATCCTTTCAGGGAAGCAGCTTGATATTCGGTCAAGGGATTTGGTAAAGGTCCTCTGGTGGCCGATCCTGATGATAATCTTGTTTATCGCCGAAGAAAGGTAGACCTGAGTAAATTCCTCGTCACTCTGGAACGACCGTAACATTTGGAGAAGCATTTTGAGACACGCTCCAGAGCCATATATTATCGAAAGTTGTATCAATGCAGACAAAAGCTCCTGGTATCGCCACCCCTCCACTCCAGATGTGACTTCAAGATCTCGAAAAGCCTTCTTCAAAGCAGCAGGATTGTCATCGCGGATTTTCAGATGAAAATCATCAATACTACCCACCATAAAGCAAGATTTTGGAGCAAACCCATGCAGGATCAAACAACGTTGGGATGTGAAAGATTTGCAAGATAAGATTTGTGCGATCTTTGTGATCGACCTTCTTAGACGCCCTAGATTGTAGAGGAGTTCGGTTTGACATGAGAATTGCACCGTAGATAATTTCAACTTGGGCTCATCGAGCATCGCTGCACTATGGTGAGAGTTTAGATGTTCAAGCTTTTCCCAGAGCCTTTCGAATCCCCGAGAATTCACGACCCCAAATGATCGCAGCCTTGTAAAAGCAACGAAACATTGAACCAGTGCTTCAAGATGAAAGTTCAATTCAGCCTCATCTGCCAGTTCCCAGCCGGTTTCATCAAGAAACCGTGAGCTCATGGAGATAACCGAGACTTCGTTCCAAATTGTCGAGTAAACTTTGTCAAAGAATACTTGCACATTGTTGATTTCACGAATGAAATGATCGAGTAAAGCTGATTTGCACATCAGCTCATGAAGCTAAAATTCCAATATGTGTTTCAAAGTTGCGCCCACTAACCAGTTACATTCGATGTTGAGTCGCAGCCCACATTGAAGAGCCTGATCCGCTCTCTGAGCCCATGATAATCAAGATAGTTGTTTACCCATACTGGCACTCGATCTCTCCGCAAATTTCTTCCAAATTTCATGTCGTCTTGATTTCTTGAGAAATACTAGGGTCACGGTTCTGGAAAATAATCCTCTGTGAAAGCCCTCTTAGGGGCTGAGATTCATCCCTCGCTAACCCCTCGTATCCTCGTTGGCAGTAGCCACGGACCTTACATATGTATATTTTGTCATATTATATTGACACGTGATGAATCCCTGGCGGTGTGATGGTTGATGATAAGACCTCCAATTTGTTATACATGTTGGTCGCAATTCTGTTCGTTTATCAAACGCCTATCTTATGGCTTATCGCTTATCATCGCCACAAGATAGATAGATGATAAGCCAAAAGCAAAAGGGGTTCACGCAAAATCACTCTATCAAGTCACGCATCTATGTACGCTTTCTCGCGTTATGTTGCCCCGTCATCGGGGTCTGCCGTCGTGCGTCGTGGGGCTAAAACGCCGCTAGTAATACCCAGCTTCGCGAAACTCTTGAATCCAAAATCACCCTCGGAACTGCCCACATAATTTGCTTTACCGCCGATTAGGTTCAGCGGTCGATCATGGGTCCTTCGCTTACCCTCGGAAGTTTCATTACCGTAGCCAAATGGCTGTGCATACATGCAAGGCGTTCGATATATACGTTGAATGAACAATGGTTTACCTGATGCGCTTAATAACGAAGTGGCAGACCTTTTACTGGTAGTGAAAAAAAACGGCGACAGTATTGAATCACAAACACTCCTGAGTCCTGGGTGGATCAGAAGGATCCAACGTTCCACGCCTGTGAAGCTTTTTTACGCCCTGCTTACGCCGAAATGTTTTGTTGGTCCAGTGTAGATATAGGTCCCGGGAGAGACAACATTTTTCGTTGTCGGCGGTTTCTGAGGTTCGTTGCTTCGGCGACGGTAGCATGATAGCTGGAAGCCTGCAAATTGGTTCCCGAGCCGGAGAATGGTGTCCTAGTCGGTGTCATCCTGGGGCCCCGCGGTCTGTTGGTGTATCTTCCCCGCGCCATCCCACATTGGTGGGTCCGATGTCGTCAAGCTTGGGGATTAGTGTCAACCACTTGGTCTTCTGTAGGAACAAACCGGTTGCCAATTACTTTCAATTTAGTTGGTGTAGGGATTCGATAAAGCTAACTTGAGATGTTAACATGTTGTTACCTAGGTATATAACTGAAAGAAATCCACGCTGTATGCTTCCCTGTTGTCAGTTCTCTGATGGTTTCGATAGCCATTTACTTGTTATATCCTTATTCCTCAAGACTTGCATATTTATTGGACTTTATTTTACAGAGCTATACGGAGTGCGAATAAGAATTATGGACAAAAAAACATCACCACAAATAGAACATGTCGAGTCAAGTTGGAAGGCAGACCCTTCTACACTAATACCGGATCCAGAGCAAGAACGTCAACCGTACGGTGCATCCGGAATTCCTACTATTCTCTATGTTCAGCAATTGAAACTTTATTCTAACGACTCAATGAATCAGGTCTCAAGGCTCTCCTAACCAATAAGTATGTAGCAACATGTGCGGCCTTTGCAACAATTGGCGGAGCAATGTTCGGCTACGACCAAGGCGTCGTATCTGTACTGCTCACCATGGAACGTTTACTCTAACAATTGTCCGAAGTCGCAGCCGACGCATCAGGAGCCGGCTTTCATAAGGGTATTTTCACAGCCATGAGTTAGGAGCATCTATCGGTGCGATGAATCAAGGATGGCTCGAGGACACTTTCACGAAAATGGTCTATCTTCGTTGCTGTAGGGGTTTATGTCTTCGGCTCCACTCTCCAAACTGGAGCTATGAGTTTCGAAATGCTTCTCGGCACTCGCTTTGTGGGTGATATCGGTGTTGGCATGCTGGCCATGGTTGCACCCTTGTATATTTCCGAGATCGCTCCCTCTAAGATTCGTGGTACCCTGCTGGTCTTGCGAGAACTTTCTGTTGTCACGGTTATTGTGAATTTCTTTCTATGTTACCTACGCCACACAATTCATTCCTTGTGAATGGGCGCGGCGACTCCCTTTCTTTATCCAGGTACGGCTCCCTCTTTCCTCTTGGCAAAGTCCTCGCTCACCATCCCAGATCATCCCAGCTCTCTTCCTCCGCGCCGGTATCCCATTCCTACCAGATTCACCTCGTTGGCTCGCGGGTCGAGGCAGAGATGAAGAAGCCCTCCATGTTCTCTGCAAGCTTCATGGCGTAGACGCCACCGATCCCCGTGTACTACAAGAGTGGGTGGATATCCGGTCTGAGGCAGCCTACTGCAATGAAGTGATTCTCTACCCTATCCTTTGTGTAGACCTGGATAAATGTCCCCGAGACGAATGCACGTACCTTGGAAGAGATGGATGCTGTCTTCAAGGATAACACGACGCGCCACGAAAAGGAGCAGCGCGCCCGCATCGAGGCTACTATTTGGGCTCATGCGGGTGCAAGGCCGCATGGTGGCCTCGAAGGCGCGCTTCAAATAATATAGATAATTTTAATGCTAGGTCTCCTACAAATCATTATTTTGTTACATGGCGAGCGTTCAATTTATATATACATTGTTAAAGACTGGCCACTTGAAAAATCCAAATTTCATATACTTCACTTATCTTCTCTATAGAATCTAGTCCCCAACTGATTTATAAAAGGATTGGAAAAGGTGTTATAATAAATTCATAATATATTCTAGTATTATAGCAGAAAAGAGTAGATATGACAAAGAAACGTAACTATCCAGCACACGGACATATCAAGTAAAAGCAACGCTCAAAACACATGCAGAGTATGAAACAGAGGTAAAATCATTAAACATCCATGGTATAAAATCAATCAGACATCAGCCTTAGCACCAACGCTCTCAAGGTGGGTAGCACCCTCAGCGCGCTTCTCGCCAGCATCAATCTCAAGCTGAGCAAGATCGCCAGACTTCTCACCAGCAACGTCACGAACATCAGTGTAGTGGACGGAAGGAACCCATCCAACAGAGTTCCAGGCACGGGGAACCTTGGCGTAAAGCTCATCGACCTGCTCAAGGGACAAACCCTTGGTCTCGTAGATACAGGTGTAAACGAAGATAGCGCAGATGAAGCAGAAACCGCCCCAGATGAAGAAGACCTTGGACTGGAGGTTGGCGTTGCCAGGACCGCTGTTCACCATGTAAGGGGTGGCGTAGGCAATAGCCCAGTTGAGGAGCCAGTTGGTGGCAGTGGTGATGGAGAGACACTTGGCGCGGGCCTTGAGAGGGAACAGTTCACCAGTGACGACCCAGGCGACGGGACCCCAGGAACTGGCGAAGAAGAAGATGTAAATGCAGACGAAGGCGATGAGCACCTTGTTCGAGACGTCGGAGTCGACGGCTGTGCCGACGATGGCGACGATGAGTTGAGAGACACACATGCCGACTGCACCGAACAGAAGGAGAGGACGACGGCCCCACTTCTCAACCATGTACAGACCGGGGAAGGTGGAGAGGACGTTGATGATGTTTGTGATGAGGGTGATCACGAAGGAGTTCTGGATGCCGGAGTTCTGGAAAAAGGTGGTGCCGTAGTAGAAGATGAAGTTGACACCGGCGAGCTGCTGTAGACCTTGGACTGCGCAACCGGTTGCGAGACGCTTGCCGAGAGTTCCCTTGAAGATCTCAAGGTAGGTGGCTGCTCCAAGGCGCATTTCGAATTCGTGGTTGGCCTGGATCTCAGCGAGCTCGGCAACAACGGAGGGGTCGTTGACGTCCATGCGGCGGAGACGGGCGAGAGACTTAGTGGCCTCTTCGTAGCGGTCTTGTTTGATGAGGAAACGGGGAGTTTCGGGGAGCAGGATCATGCCGACGACGAGGATGATGGCCCAGGCAAACTGGAGCGCGACGGGAATGCGGTAGCAGCCAGTGTCCATGCGGTCCTTGGTGGAGTTGTTGACGATGGCAGCGAGGAGAAGACCGAAGGTGATAGCCAGCTGGTAAGCACCGACGATTGTTCCACGGATCCACTTGGGGGAGGTCTCGGACTGGTACAGGGGGATGGTGGCAGAGAGGAGACCAACGCCCAGACCGGCGAAGAAACGACCAGCAACGAAAAGAGGGATGGAAGTGGCAACTGTTTGAAGAATGACACCGAAGACAAAGACGAAGCTCTCCATAATCATACCCAGGCGACGACCGAACTTGTCGGCAATGGGGGCGGCGAAGAGGGCACCGAAGAAGGTACCAGCGGAGAGGAGAGAGACGATCATGGAGGATTGAGAGGAGGTAACATCGAGAATGCCATCTTTGGGGTTGACGTAGCCGGTTGAGAAGGTCTCACGCCAGTACTTCATAGCGAGAATACCGCTGATGGTACCTGTGTCATATCTAGACAATTGTTAGACTTGAAAAGTGGAACAAGATCGAGTCGACACATACCCGAAAAGAACACCACCGAATGCAACGAACAATCCGATGAGAATAGCCGGGGCAGCAGAGCCCACGGCATCATCAGGCCTCTTCAAAGCGAAGCCCATTGTAACTTTGAGAAATACTAATTCAATCGAAGTAGATGTAGTAGGTAGTGGAAGTAAATGTGAAGTAGATAAAAGAAGATCCGCTTAGCAAAGTGTAGAAAGTAGGAGTCGGTAAGATGTGGAAGATAGAATGAGTTGATATAGAATGGAAAGATACCCTGAAAACATCGAGGACGATCCCTCTATTTGTACTTCCCCAGGCGAAAATTCAACCACATGGCGACAGCCCGTACCCCGGGCCGGGGGAATAGTCAACAAAACCCGAAAACAGCGAGCGCGGGGGGGCCGAGTTCTGCATGACCAATCTCAACCGTGCATTGGCAGTCTAGTTCCCCATTCCCACGATGTGTTTTTTTTTTCCTAGATGTTTCGAGCCTGGGGATAGGGTTTGGTCCGGCGCTAGTGCAGTCTGGACGAGCCAATGCGGTCTAGAAATGAAGTGGGTACACTCAGCCCCCGGAGGAATCCAGATCGGTCATTGGTCACGAGCGCAAATTGGCTCGACGCCGAACCGAATTTGTTCGAGAAGTTTTGCCCTGAGCCTTGCTTTAGGTCTCTAGGCTGCATATTATTTTTTTGTATATGCCGCTCTTGGATCGGCATCGCCACATGTTGTTGGAATGCTATTGTAGAATGTTGTTGATGACTATTTCGGTGTTTGCCGATATTTCTAACGAGATCTTAGCTATGTTCTTAGTGCGATCGGGACGAAAATAGACAGAAAACACATGACAGGAAAAGTTGGGGATGAGTCCCGGGGCCGAAAACGGGGATGGCCGACCTCACCGATCGGCATCGGCGTGCCGCATCGGGCTAATGGCTAACGGCCCCTTGCTAAGAATTTCTATCAACCACATGATTCTACGATTTTCTCTTGTGCTTTTAGACGCCTTTGAAATTGTACGATAACATTAGCATATACCATGTTCGTCTGCACAAATCATCCTAATTCCAAAAACATACAAAAAAAATGTTGAGAACGCCACATAGTAATACAATATATAGAGTAACGAAAGAATAATAGAGAAATTAAAATAAAACTCAAAACACTCATTTCCCATCTCCAGATTTTCCCCTCTCCCCAGACGGACCACCAGGGGGAAAAAAGTCTGGAGAGACCAATGACTGACCCTAGCAGACTTCGATCCGCAGTAGATGTCGTCAACAACTGCGGTGTCAATCCTGGTCGAGGTTCTGGGGAAGTCTATGTTGTTCACCGGAGCCAGATTGAGAAATAACATTACCAATTAATATAAGAATCTGCTCGTCCCACGGCCTCGCGTGTTTAAGACAATCTAGGCATTCAAGGTTTAGGCTATTAATATTGCTTCTTCATTTTTTTTTTCTCCTGCGGATCCACCTGGGCACTTGCATATAGACTTGGAGAATTTTTATACAATCATTTTGACCGTTTGGAATCTCTTGTATAATTACGAGGTGCCTTCACTGAGAACAATTGACAGTAGAGCCCTGGGAGTACAATATATGCGTTTACAATGTTCTTCAACACCCTGATCAACAAATTTCATATAAACACGACTCGCGCTAAAACCCTAGACCAAAGGCTAAACCCTGTTTTGCGCTATTTTTCCCGTCCCGTGGATTGGACAGACAACCCGAGGCTATCCCGACAATTTTCCCACCGGCGAATCGTCGGAGACACATCTGCATGTACATACGGGGTCACGACCGGGGTCGGGATCTCGGGGAATAAAACCATCCCGACTGAAAAAAAAGTGGCGCAGCTCGGGAACTAGCTTAGCTTTGCTTGTTTTATTTTAAGGCTGAGAAGAGGCATCAGATGATCGAGTAATTTCTTCACTACTCACTACGGAGGACGTCGCGGCTCGGTCGGATTGAAATGCATGTCTATTATTTCTATGCTCGCTGAATAATGAAAAATTGAAGACCCACTCGGTCTAGCTACCAGCGCCAGATTAGGATGAGATAAACTGTCAGCACCACTTGCGCCACATACAGGGTTGATGAACTTATTTCCCCGCAGATGAGGAAGATTCGAGAGCGGGGTTTCGCTGGTGCAGCACGCCACGTTGTCTTTTGCTTTGGGTATAGGTCCATGTCATCATCATCTGCCCGATAGGCGTCTGGTGGGGATGTTGTGCCGGGGTAGCGGGCGGATGCTGTTATCCCACCACGGCTGGCTAGGCCTCCTGGTGCCATGGTGGAGCTGGATGCACCGGATGTGTGGTATTGGTGTGGGAGAGATCGGTACTCTGCAAGGGGGAGGATGAAGTCGTCTGAAGGTGTCTCTGGAAGGTACAGAGCGCGGTAGATGGAGCGCACGATGAGGATGGAGATACTCAAGCCAAGAATAGTGAGGTAATAAATGAAAATTCCCAGCTGGTCTGGGAGAAGGCAGAGGTGGTTTTGAATGGTAGGTGATCCATCTTGAAGTGCTTTGCCCGTCTTGGGATCGATTGGGTGCCAGAGACTAGTCAGAAGAAAGCCTGGGCGGCGGACTCCCATCGCCCAGGAGATGCTTTTAACTGTGATCTCATTCGGCGAGCCATTGAACTCCCGGTGGGAAACTTCACAGTAGTCATGGTCGTCGCCTGAGTAGACTTGCACAACGTTGGGCCCAGCTTTAGAGACCACTTCAGTCGAGATTGTTGGCGTCAAGACATTCTGGTATTGATAACCACCTGAAATGCTGAGAGCGTTGGGCTCATCCTCTTGTAGCTCCTCGTCCGAGGAGGAGGGTGGGTAGCGCTCCCGCAAAGGACCGCAAGGAGTCCCTGGTTTGCGATACAGAGGAACGTGGGTGAGAATGATAGTGGGAAAACCGGCGCTCTCTAGTTCCTGTTTGCGATGTATCGTCGGCTCGGTGGCATCGACGACACGGTAATCAAACATATGTCCGTCAGTTTGGTTTCGAAGCATTCGCAACTCGTCGGTCTCAGCCTTGGCTTTGTGAATAGCCATTTTATCCAAGAAGTCATCTGCTTCTTTCCAAATCGGACGGACCGTACGGTTCTCATCGTTTGCTGTCGGCGAACTACCTGTCAGTGGATCGGGCTGGTCCATCGCGCTCAGCGAGACAGAGTCCACTGAGACAAAGGTATGGTTCCCGATCACATCAACTCGGTTGGTGTTCCCAAAGTAGCTCTCAAAACGGTCACGAACAGGTTCCTGAACTCCATTTCCGAAGCCTAGGTCGTGGTTACCAGGTAGACTTGCAATCAGCCTCCTGCCTCGTCCATCCATGGGCGATGTCCTGATTTTAGCCCATGGGTCCAAGAATATCTTGACAAATCGACGATATTCCTTCTTCCAGAATGAATCTTTATATCCCTTCCACCGATCCTCGGGGCTATTACTCGTAGCAGTAGCCCACTCTCTGCCGCCATCGAAAAGGTCACCAAGAAACAGCACTGAGTCCGGCTCAAGGTGGTCCTGGATCAAGGAGAATGATCGACGCATATATTGGTCGGTATATTTGACCGTTAAAGTCGACACAGGCCAAGGTCGACCCGGGTAGGTATGGGGATCAACGAGCTGAGGGTCTGCGATGAATGCGATGTGATGCGGAGTTGCGTCTTGGGGCTGATGATGATAGTTGTCAGTACAATTTACAGCACGTTTCCAATTGTGACAAGCGCCACTGGATACTCACCCATTCTTCCCAGCTGTCCCAAAGACACTGGTTGATGTGCTCCTCGAATACAGTGCGTTCACCCCACCGAATTGAAAACATCCACAACAAGATGATAGCATTTGAAATAGTGAAAATGCTTTTAATCAATCTCAGAGTCGTGGCTTTGATGCCCGCATCTCTAGTCCTCTTGTATCCCCGACGAATACGGATACCTCCCACGGAAAGCCATTGTTTAATCGCCACTGGGATGGAGTCCCCAACACGACTGAGAATATTTGAGGATTGGGAGCGCTGTTGATTATATGAAGGGAGTGAGGATGCGCCGTTGCTGCGCGGGTAGGCGAAGGTCATGTTTGGTTTAGCTCGGCTGCGGGTTGAAGTGACAGGGTGGCTCAACCCCGAACAAGACAGGGCAGTTTAGCGAAAGGAGCGGCAGGTCATGCTCTGAAAGCACAATGAACAAGAAAACAAAGGAATGAAAGAATTATAATTCGAAAGAACAGATCATGATATGGTGTTTAGAACCAAAGGGGGTTGTTTAAGCTTCGAGTCGAGATGTTTCTAGTGGGTCGGTCACGTGTTATTTATAAAGATAGAAATCGACGTGTATTTATCTTCTCAACAACTTGCATTCTTTTTTCCTTTATAATCTACGAAAGCTATAACTAAATTTTACATACTCTTTGAATCTCCTAAGAAAAAGACCATTTGTCAGTTTAGCTTAAGATATATCTTTGTCTTCTAACCAGTTCGCAGTTTATCCTGAACATTCCAAGGTTTCTTTTTATTAGTAAATAATGAAACAACCCTCTTAAAAGTCTGCAGAAAAGTAGTCTCATGCAATTAATATTTAAGTAAATACTCCTACTTAGGTAGTCATCACTTCTGACAGAATTGCTGTTTTCTTTTCGTGGAGATGAGGTCTCCCCGCACTTTCTGTTCTCGGCTTCCCCGCAACTTTAGATGGTCTACGCACGCGCCATCTAGAGGGGTTTAATGTATCATTGCTATATTCGCCGCCATACCTTATTACTAGCATAATCTGGTATAGACTATCACAGCAACCCAGATCTTTCTCGGCAGAGTTTCTAGAAAGAGAGACTGAGCACTACATCCGATCTGATCTGCCTAGGAGCACAAAGTCAGCAATAGGCGTTTGACCCTGTAAAGATAAGATGCGACTTGGACACAACGGACGATAGCAATCTCGGTATCTGCGTTCGATGCAAGAAATTAGGGCTGGAATGCAAAGTGGACTTCGCATTCCAGAGGACTCCAAAAGCGACGGTACGTAAACCCAGTGTTATGTTTTCCTAGATTAGCTCCAAGAAACTGACTACGTCTCCTCTTTCTACTATTCAGAGCCATTTGAATTAGAGATTGAAGTCAGAGAGCTCCGCTGCCAGTTGGTAGCCGATCAGTTCAGAACTTCCATCCTGGACTCAGTGTTGCCGGTAGACTCGGTAATTGTGCCAAATCAAATCTCGCCTAACCCTAATTGGAACCATCAAGACGGGCTTGACATTTCATGGGTTCGGGATAGAAACTTCACGGTACCGGAGTCGAGCTTTGAAGCTCATGATGCCTTACCCGCCGTCACAGACCATTTTTGGGCGCCGGCTTAACCACAATCCTGTGATAGACATGCCTCAACATGTGCAAACTGCAACAGTGATGCCTCAAGCAAGATCATTGGGCTATGTGACACTATCGCCAATATCGGATTTGAGCTTGCGCCGGGCAGCAGCAGCCGCGTTGAAACGAGACACAAAAACTTCAAGCTGAACGACCGCTTTACACCCCAGATGGCCGCATTGCTTGGTTTGGATCTGATTCTCAATAGTCGTAGCGTGGCAACGCCACTGTGATGATACTTCTCGACAATTCGGGCTACCATGTCTGGACCTCCGTAGCCCGTGTCAGCGTCGGCGATCAGTGGGAATCTGGGATCCAAATTTGCTATCATCTCGGCATGGTTGCGCATGTCGTTCAACGTGGCGAAGCCGAGACCGGGTTGGCCAAGTTCGGATGCACAAGTGCCTGCACCAGTCTGCGGGTGACAGCGTATCAATCAAACTGTACTTGACTGGTTTGAGGGAACGGACGAGAAGATAGGTTGGCTTACTATGTAGAGACAATCAAAGCCCACCTCCAGGGCGATTCTCGCGTTGAACCCATCATAGACGCGTGGTGCGAGGATAATTTGGTTTTCCGCAAGCAGACGTCGAAGTCTCGTCGCAGCGTGACCGCCAATGACCATGTCTTCTGTCATCTTCAAGGTAAAGTAAGAAAACTGGGTCGAGGTGTTTAACGTTGTGAATTCTGGTTTCAAGAGCTGTTGGCGAAGCGGCGAAAAGTACAAGTTTGGATTTTTGAATGCCAACTTCTCTATGTGGCTCTTCTGACCCCTTTATATGCATCATCTCCAAGCTTTAGGGCTCCGATAATGGGCACTTATTCTCTAGCATTGTCTAGCCTTGTCCACGCCAGTCAGATTGAGATACACATCTACCGAATCCGATATTGCTCAATTGCAGTCCATAACCGTAGCTCTTCGGTGATCTCGCCGATCGGCGTCAATACAGTACATAGTAGATGTCCGATCGGTAAGAATCCGCTTGCCGATCGGCAATGGATTTTGTACTAAACCAAAGCTTTTCCCCTTCGGGGCTAGCGAAATGCTTGACCCCGCATGAACAAGGTCCGGGGTACTTCCGTGGGGGAACCATTGTGTTTATATAATTCGTCTTCATGATCTCAATCCTAGGGTCCTTTGAGATTGTGTGATTTGCGCGTTTTCTGCCCTTTCCTCATAAGTATTAACTTGACTTGAGCTGTCTGCCGTTTCTCTGTCAAGGCTCACAGCCATGAGATTCCTTAAAAAAGAATGTCCCGAGGATGCTATCCAGAGTGCGCCCTCGGCACAAGATATCGAAAAGCAAGTGCGTTCCCACGAAGAAAGCCATGTACCTGCTATTGAGGCCCATTCATCAACTATGGAGGCCATCGATTCGGAAATGGAACGTCGTGTTCTGCGAAAATTAGATCTGCGAGTTCCGACGCTGATGGGATTTTTTTGTAAGACCTTAGCATTGCAGAGGAACATCAACTTACTTCTCACTAAACATCTTTCAATACGATAGATTTGCTCGCCTTTTTGGACAGAAGTAATATTGGGTTCGTTTCTCCTTGAAGATGACCCGAATGAAACTAATCGGGCGGCAGCAATGCAAAGATTGCAGGAATGGTGGAAGACCTCTCCCTCACGGGAAATGACTACCCGTGGCTACTCACCATCTTTTATATATCCTACACGGTATTTGAATTCCAGGCTTTGATGTGGAAGATTATCAAGCCACATCAATGGGCCGCGTTTGTCGTGTTCTCTTGGTACGTTGCTATGTGCCATCGACAATCTAGATTGCCGGAAAGAATATTGATACTGCCAACAGGGGCTTAATTTCAGCGTGCCAAGCGGCGACGAAGAATTGGCAAGGCATGATGGCCCTCCGATTTCTCATGGGTGCCTTCGAAGCCGGATTTGGCCCCGGAGTTCCATACCTACTATCGTTCTTTTACCGCCGACACGAGCTGGGTCTCCGGTGTGGGATGTTTTTGTCCGCCGCCCCACTAGCGAACACTTTCGCTGGGGCATTAGCATACGGTATTACCTCAGGCCACGGTGCAATCGCCAACTGGCGAATTCTCTTTATTGTGGAGGCTATTCCGGTTTGCGCGGCCGCACTTTTGGCCTGGTTCTTTGTGCCAGACTCTCCTGCATCTGCTAGATTCCTAAACGAGGAGGAAAAACAAATTGCACGCGCCCGTGGACTTCAGCAAACCGGAAAGACAGATCGAGAGGGCAAGGTACAGTGGAAAGAATTAGCTCTAACATTGCTAGACGCAAAAGCATGGTTCACAGCGGTAAGTCTCTTGAATTATTGGAGTTCCCACAGTCTGTGCTAATCATTATATGCAACGAAGTTGATGTACTTCAGCTGCAATGTCAGCTTTTCGTCCCTTCCCGTCTTCCTCCCGACTATTCTTAAAGAAATGGGGTTCACGGCCGTCAACGCGCAGGGTCTCACAGCACCCCCATTTTTCGCTTCATTTCTAGCGACAATTGCAACTACCTGGCTAGCGGATCGACTCCAGCAGCGAGGACTTGTCATTGCGGTACTATCGGCGATTGGTGGTATAGGGTATGTCCTACTTGCTACCTGTAGCTCAGTAGGAGTCCGTTATTTTGGTATCTTTTTGGCCGCCTGCGGAATATTCCCTTCCATCGCAAATATCTTACCATGGGTTCTGAGTCAGTCGTTCCTTCCTCTTCGACTACATACGGGCAATCGTTCTAACTGTGTCAACTTATTCTAGACAATCAAGGATCCGAGACCCGCCGTGGAGGAGGCATAATTCTTCTCAATATGATCGGCCAATGCGGCCCGTTCCTTGGCACCAACATATTCCCCGACAAAGAAGGCCCTCGCTTCATCAAGGGCATGTCAATTTGTGCGGCTTTTATGTTCTTCACGACGGCTCTGGCTCTGGTTCTTCGTTGCCTCCTTGTTTGGGAGAACCGGCAACTGGACAAGAAATACGGACCGAAAGTCGAGGCAGATCCAAGTAAGCCAAGTGATGTCCCTATTGCCCAGGACAATTACGGTGCCAGTTATCGATTTGTGCTCTAGCTTTCCGCACAGTTTAGGCAGTTCATTCCCGCTTCCATTTTATATACATTCTTGATGGAGCATTAACCAATGGACTTACAACACCAGAATCCATTTTCACCATATTGCGTTAAATTTTTGATGATGACCTGGAAGATCTACTGCCTGTAGGCTAGCCTTGATCTAGCGTTACCCAGGTAGTCTACCCATGGATATGAATCAGCAATTTGCTCGCGTCATCCTCTAATTTTTTACATCGTACAAGCTATGATGGTTCAAATTCAGCCTCAGAGTTCGAGAAAGCAACTGTAACTAATTCATCTCGGCTTCAACCTAAGCACAGCCCAAACTAGTGTTCTTATACAGTAATATCTCCCATCAAAATAACAAAGCTCTCCTAATTACTAGCCCCTCCTCGCTCTCAGGCAGGTGGCATACTCTCGAGTTGTTCGGCGTTTTCCAAAGCGCATAGCCATTTCGGACGCCTTTGGGGATAAAGCTCCGCTGTGGGTCGACATTTTTCAAGATCGACATCGTCGAAGATGCCTACCCTGACTACCACCAATCCTTTTTGAGCTCTCATTGTGTCACTCCCACCGAAAAGATGCATACCTGATATCAATAAGTCATGGGCGTGAAGAATCTGCAAGGGATAACGTACCGCAATCACCGCAGAAGTAGTTTTTTTTACCAAATCCGCTATCAGCAGTTTGGAGTACTTCCTTCGGGGATCCAGTAATCTCAAGATCTGCCTCCTTGACGAGGAAATTGTATGAGAAAAGTGAACCGCTTATTTTGCGACAATCATCGCAGTGACACAACGCCTGTTTCGTTGTCAGTAGATTGCCCTTGCCTTGTACATTTAAATTGAAAGGTGTTAACCGACAACAAGGATCGGCTGGCTGCTCAGCGTCATGGAAATTTTTCCACAAAGGCATTTTCCGCTAGGCATCTTCAAAATAGTGAATTTTCAAAGTGTTGGGACAATGCTGATGTCCAAAGGATGTTGATTCGAAACAGACAAAGTGTGGGGAGTCAGGTGACCCTATTTTTCAACCTTTTAGAAGCATTGAGAATTAGATAGCTGAATCATCTCTCTATTGTGAGTGAGTCACAAAATAATATTCTTCTGCTTGTTTACTCTTCTTTTTCTTGTTTCTCGCCATCCGATATCATTGATTTGCATTGCACTTCCGTTCCTCATGGAATCCAGCAAGTCCACAAGAGAGGACAACGTTTCACCAAAATATTACTTTAATGTTCAAACCACTTTTTAGGCTCTTTGTGGCTTTCATTCGTCTTAATTCGTAATAAGCTTCTAATGCTGCCCAGGTGCCTACGTAGATACATAAGTGGGTATTTTATTGCATGGCTTGAGCCTCGTGCTGGCTGAAGATGTCTACAGCCTAAAGGGTAGCAGGAGGTACAGAAGTCACACAAACATGATTTTCACCTGCGGCGTCACTCGCCTCCATTCTCGCCTAGGGTCGGGTTGATTAGAGAAGTACAAGCTCTACAGGATGGCCTCTTGGAAACACGGTTCGGGACAAGCCGAGATGGCTCGACCAAAGCCCCGGCCCCGGGGCCCCGGTATCTTGGCTGGGGCCTCCAGTAGTTAGCAAGTACCAGTCTGGTGTTCCGTATTGCTCTACTTGCTTTACTTGCTTTACTTGCTTTACTTGCTTTACTTGCTTTACTTGCTTTAGGTAGTGATTTGCGATTATTCTTGATTAGGAATAAGTAAAAGTACATGCAAAATGCAGGCCGAAAGAATACAATAGAATCTTTGTCTCATGATAGGATCATCATGCCATCTTTCCAAGCACAACTTTATCAAAGAAAGTCACTTCTAAGACGACGAAAGATTAAGATCGAGATCGGGGAGAGTAAGCTCCTCTGGATTGACCAATAGGAGAAAGGGATGGAGATAGGGTATCTGAATAGGGAAACCGACAGGGGGAATGTTTTAGGGATCGTGAATAATGATTGAAATAAAAATGAAGGTATGTGGTGATGACACCACATGGGGAATCAAATTCACTTTTTGGGACAGCACTGGCCTCCTCGGGCACAGTTCTCGTCACACTCCAAAAGGCACGCCTGAGAATCACCGTCGCGGACACTGGCAGCACGGCTGGGGAGTACATCCTCAGTACCGCGAGAAGAGGACGCCTGGCCGTTGTCTTCGACGTCACTGTCGGGTGCGAACTCGGGCTGGATGGTGGAGGAGTGGATACCGTATGCATGGAGACAACGTCGCACCTGTCTGGCAAGACGCATGTACCTCTCCGAGCCTTCGCCCTTGATCTCCGTGTCTACCTGGAGATGAATTGATGCCACAATCTTGGTGTCGCTCAATTGCCAGACGTGCAGGTGGTGGGAGCCAATGACACCGGGGAGTCGCTCGATATCCTCCTTAATGTGGTCAATGCTCATGCCAGGGGGCACGGCCTGGAGCAGGATGCGGGAAGCGGCCTTGCATAGCGGAATAGCGGAAGCAAGAATTATCAGTGTGATAACGAGCGAAATACCGGGGTCAACGTAGAAACGCCATTTGTAGTCCGTCAGCCAGATGATCAACGCGGATACGATCACACCAATGTTTCCAAGTGCGTCGCCCATGACGTGGAGGAAGACACCGCGCATGTTGAGATCATGGCCGTGGCCCTTCTTCTGATCCTTCGACTTCGGTTGGGCGTGATTGTGCGATTTGTGGACATCCTCATCTCGGTGGTCGGGGACTTTGACCGGAGCTCCATCCTCGTCGGTGTAATTGGTGGCATGGTCTCGGTGACGCAGAAGACCTGAACGTTCAGAAGGGATCTCATCCTCGTCATGGCCAGTCTCTGAATCAGATGATTGCTCACTGCGATATTGACTGGCCGCGATAATTCCTTGTCTGAGTCTCTCTGGTAGCACGGGAATGTCGTCAACACTAATAAAGGCACGTCCGTTCGAGGTACTGTATCGTCTCGAACCACGGGTGTCGCGACGCTTGCGGGAAATCGGGGAGGCTGGCTCTGTAGTAGATTGAGTGAGAGTATTGCCAGGCTCTGAGAGAGCGACCGGGCTGTGGTCGTGGTCGTGGTTATGGTCATGGTCGTGGTCAGTGTAACCTTCGATGGAATGTTCTTCATCGTGGTCGTGGTCGTGGCCGTGATCATGGCCGCCACCACCGTGACCGTGAGAGTGGTCGTGGAAGAGAACCAATCCAATTATGTTGGAAGCAAGACCGAAACAACCAACAATACAGACAAATCGAGGGTTTTGCACTTCCTGGGGTTCCACCAATCGTTGAGTAGCCTCCAAGAAAATCGACATGCACAGGGCGACTAGGAATACGCCATTGACCAAGGCACCAAGAGTTTCAGCTCTTTGCCACTATAAGGGGTAATCCAGCGGTCAGACATTGCTTTCACCCTTTGTTTGAAGGCCGACTTACGCCATAGGTGTAGGTGTTAGAGGTGGTCTCGCGGTTGGCGACTTTCACAGCCCATAAGCCAACACACAGGGACAAAACATCATTTAGCTGTTTATCAAATTAGATTCGTTTGTGGATAGGTAACTGACTGGGCGTACCATGTGGAAGGAATCGGCGACGAGGGCAAGGGAGTGGACGGCATAACCTAAACAAGTAACTGTTAGAAATTTCCGGTCGCATTGAACGAAGCTGAAAGATACGAACCAGTGATTAGTTCAAGTAGGAAAAATGCTGTGTCAATGACCAGCAGAATCAAGATCCTGTTTGTCTTTGAAAGCCCCATAATAGCTTGAGGTTCGCGCTCGGTGGCGCTGAGCTCAGAGATGAGAAAAACAAATTATTAGCTTTGAGTAACAGTAGGTATTGAAAACCTATAACGTATGAAGGAAAACGAGGAGGGAGTGACAGAGAGTTGGAGCCTAGGAGGGGTTTAAAGGACAAAAAATGAGCAAAGTCGATAGTGCCGGAGAGAGTTAAGCCCGCTGACGCAGTGGACCTCGAAATGACTCCAGGGCGGAAACCCCTCCGATATGGTCCGTGGTGGCGTTACTTTCTTTTATGTGCTCTGGATTACTATGGATTACTTTTATTGTACTTTCATTTTAATTTTTTATTTGTTTTGAGGATTTCACTGGATGTGTATTTTTCTTTACAAAGGGGCAGAGTTTGCAAAGGTCCGATATCGTCTCCAATACCTCACAGCGGGTGATCTTCACTACAGCGGGTTCACGTTCGATCGGTCCAGCCCTGGGAGAAATCTCCCATTGGACATTAACCATTTGCTTGCATTTGGCGACGTCGAAAGTAAACATTGTTATATTGTATACAAGAATAATACAAGGTAGTGCCCATTTGACTGTAAATGAGTTCATATTTACCAACATGATTGAACCCCAACTACCCAATCTATATATCTGCCGCCCTTCGAGGTTCCTCCCATTATATATAACTCGCCCTTTGACCCTTGAACCACATTGTGAATGAACCACACCTTCCAATAGCTGCATGAAACAAGCGCCCAAACTGGGAAATTTCCAAATCGACTGACTTCTGTGGGACAAGCTACTGCATATGCACCGTGTTTTCCGACGCCAAATCCACTTATACTCCTAACCACTAAGGTCCTCACTTCGCTAAAATCTGCAGAGGTCTTGTTTCTAGAATACCACACAATCCTCAAACCCTAACTAGCAAAGGTATATTACTGGCTCGGCACTTCTGACACCATGCAAATTATGCTTATTCTCTCGCAGCCGATCATGCTAGGCGTTAGATTATAGAAACCCTTCAGGGCGAAGCAAGGGCTTCATTCAAGGAAACTGAGATTGGCCTGGGATTGAACAGACTCAACTTGGCCCCCAAATCCATCCTAGATGCCCCACGGTTAGTTAAACGAGAAAACGGACATTTGCCGATGTGTGACCGAAGTCTCTCGTTCATGCCTCCATTACTGAATTGCTGAGAATCACGCTCATGTTCATTGGATCCTAAGAGAAGAATGCCCCGTTCAGTTTGAACAATAGCCTGACTCCACGCCCGATAGTGGATTTTGTGGATCGATACAACTCATGAGGCGCACGCTATATACAACCGAATGTTACCTGCCCGTATCATGAACGTGCTATTCACCGGTGCTATACACGAAATAGACTAGAAAATGCCCAGACGTATGTGGGTGCTACAGTTCTTCTTTGAATGCCGTAGCCTATATGGAGTACCGTAAACTTGTGTACATATTCTGCGAGTACTAGTAATTTGTGGTTGAGGAGCTGTGTGACCAGGGGCACTTTCATATGCAGACTCGGGGATTTTCAACACAAAATTCCATACAAGATACCTATAGATTGTTAAGTGCCTATCAGAAATATCTGGCTGTAAAATTGTCAGAGAGTCAAGTAAACTTCAGAGTATTTGAATGTCAAGTGAGATTTGGGGGGAACGACCTCTGAATGTCCAATGTCCCAAATTGTGATATGGGAATTGCCTTCTGAGTACTAAATAGAGGCCCTGATTCTCAACAAGGCCGGCTGGCCCAATGGCAAGGCGCTTGACTACGAATCAAGAGATTGCAGGTTCGATCCCTGCGTCGGTCACTTTTTTTTACTTCTTTTTGTATCATTTTGACACATATTATTTTCCAGTGTGCGACTCCTGCGCAAAATCTCAAACGAAGCTTATTGTTCATACTATGGTGATTGTTTTCTTATTCTGAAGATGATCAATACCACCCTTCAATTATGATAAGCGATCAACGTGTTCGGTAAAGCGAAAAGTTTATTTTAAACAACAGCTCCAAAGCAAATGTTTATCTGAATGAGTTCGCTGTAGTCGTCACTACAGATCCCATTACGTCTGCCAGCCGAAAAGCCGGACGAAAGAGAGAGAGAACACGTTGGTGTATAAAAGCTTATCTTGATGGCTCAGGTATTCATCCATTCTGGGAGAAAGGAACTCTGTTTCCGACCTTCACTTTGCTTTCTCGACATGGATGGCAAGCAGTGGTGACATTCTTTCACTTAGACTGACTCGTTATATCTACTATAGCTAGTGGAAGTGTTTATATCTTTCATTTGAGGACCAGAAAAGTCATTTTTAAAAAGATAAATATTAGTTCGGAGTGTAGGACCCCGGGCAATCTTTCGGAAAGGCGGGCTACCGATTCGGGTGGCGATTTCCGAAGTTGCTTCCCCCGATAGTTTCCCCCAAGATAGGATAAAACGGTGCTGAACCTAGACATAGAAAACTTATTTTACGAAAGAAGGGCTTGGATATCTTGAAATGCTAATTTAGCATATTCGTGGATTGTGCTTTACATTTTCTCATCTCGCAAATTTCCTCCTCGCGCCTTTCCGTACAGTTCGATCAACCATCAGATCATACTCAGTCATTTGGTAGACATTTACGGTCAAGATTCACAGCCGTTGAGAGGGAGCAACAGAGAGCTGAAAGTAGACTCAAACAAAGCTTGGGTAAATATGACCTGGGGTAACAGACCCACTCGCTGTGTTTTCTGTTTTTATATTCTTACAACTGTGGGGTGATCGTGCATTAATCCTACTGATGTTGAGGGACATATTTCGATAACCACGTAGAGTTCTAAATCGATCGTGATTGAAGAGGACACCGCAGGAGTCATGAGGAAAACACACCGAGACATGGACCTTGTGACCATCATCAACAGGAAAAGCCATTGTTTTTACCCAGCTGGAGAATGTATAAATAGTGTCCTTGATCCGGTCAATTTGGTTCTTTGTAATAGGTTGTCTTCTGTGTAATTTATTCTCCATTATGGCACCACCTTCTTCTGCATCGACTGAAGCCTTACCTGAGCGCCCAGCGCCAGCCAAACTCATCAATCCCCTGAGCGACGTGTCGAAATTGACACCTCTCGAGAAATCTGAGATCGAACTCACCGAAAAGTTCAGCTCACCAGATACCTATATCAATGGGGAGAAGGATACACTTTGGCATCCGTGGATGAATAACCTTGAGCTCAAACCATTGCGATTTGAAACACGAACGGGTACATTTGTTGTTATCCTGAGAAGTCTCGAGGACACTTGGCTAGGCAAGCATCGTCACCGTGGCACAGTGAATGCTGTTACACTGAAGGGAGAATGGAATTACAAAGAGTGTGTTGTGTTCAATGTAACTTAAGAACCCAGCTAACATTTTTCATAGATACGATTGGGTTGCCAAGCCGGGTGACTACGTGTTCGAAGCCCCGGGAGTGATTCATGAGCTGCATATGAGTAAAGGGGCAGAAGTTGTGTTCACTGTCTCTGGTAGCTTGGAATACTTCCATGATGATTACAGTCTGAAAAACACTATGGATGTCTTTAGTTACGCTCATTTGTACTACGAACATTGCAAGAAGAACAAACTGAAGCCGAATGAAGGACTGTGGTATTAGGTTTTCATATATAGCGAGTTTGCTGAATCGATCTGATTGTCTAATGCACGCTTCAATACTCTAGAAGTGTCATTTTGATAGTTCAGCTTGGTATAGTATCCCAGAGCGTCTATCAATTACAATGGCTATGGCTTGGTAGCTCTACTATTAGAATGTCTGATTGTACATGGGTAGAGTTGCATTTGTTAAAGCCATCGAAAGAGAGCACATATGTAGCTATGGTAGTTGATGCTCACAGTTCACCGACCTAGCATTTGCTGTAGTTATGAAGATCTGGACAGGATAAAATCAAGAACAATGACTCTAGCATCTTTCATGTCAATGGTTTTATTACAAACGAAGCTACAGAACAATTCGGCCTGACCTATTGACAATATGCGATTCGCAGGTCACTTTTGAACGAGTCTTCGCCTGCATTGCCGAACCTCAGTCGTTTACCAATTTCCGATTTTATCTTCACCCCACGTTCTCAGGGGTCATCATTGAGTCCAATGTGATCTGTTGATCAATAATGTGGTCAACAAAATTGGGTCTGGAGTTTCGCTATGATGCCCGATGTGGGATCAGAATAACGCTCTTGTACTTTTCTTTCATTTTATATCTTGATCACATATCAAGCAAGGCAATAATGCGATATTGGATAGGTAAGGTCCTTTTTCCTTGTCATTGCTGTTTCTAACAATTTTAGGCTGGTAAGTGGTCACAAATATGACATGTGCGCCGACGCCGACTTACATCCCTTAGCTTAACATGTCGGTTGCGAAAGCTAAAGTGTGACGGAAGACGCCCAGGGTGTAGGAACTGTCAAAAATCGCAAATCGATTGCATTTCAAGTGATCTTGTGTCATCAAAACATTGGCAAAATCCAGCTTTGGCGACTGGCGGCTCACCCGACGTGTTCGAACGTGATCATGTCTGAGTTGATATATTCCCGGAAGGTGACCAGATAAACAGTCTGCAAATCCTATCTTGGTTAGAAAATTGACATGAAATTGGCGATCTAGTCACATCTTTAGACGAAACCACCGCGACCGCGGAAGGATACAAGGCCATTTTTCACGATGAAGAATTGGGGATTAGCCATATTGTTGCAAAGGTGACACCACCATCACTTTTCAACACCAATAACGCCTATCGTGACGATGAGACTCATCTATCTTGGAAGGAGTACCCTCCGATTTTGAATCGAGAATCAAGCATAGCTCACTTGGATATTTCACAGTCAAGCGAACGTCCACAGATACCCTCGCCAAAACACCATACAGATCCTTGTGATATCCCTTTGTAATTGACGATGCAGTACACCATATGTATAGCCCATATAAATTGATAAGCCAATCACCTTTGACTGCTAAGACTCCGGTCTCATTCGATTCTATGACAGAGACAAGGATAAATGCAAGGGATGGTGCTCAAGCACTTCTTTCAATGCGGCACAACGGCTTTGAAATTAGTATTAGTCCCGACGACGAATCATTGATTCCTCCGAATTCTTCATTCGGCAATATTTCTACACCACCATACAAAGATGGTCATAGTAGAGTATCGCCTACCTCACAGGAGATAGCAATTCCTGGACTATTGACCTCTACAGATGATGGAATTTTGCTTCGACAATTCAGCATTGAAGCGGGGACTCGAATGGATTTGTCCGATCTCAAACACACTTTTTCCAAGCAGTTTTGTCATTTAGCAATGCAGGATCCATTGTTGAAAGCGGCAAGCATTTCTTGTGTTGCTAAACAACAATTTTTGATTGGAAAGCTTCAAGACGGAATGCAAATTGCTCGAAAGAATTATGATAAAGCAATCACCCTTCTTATTGGACGACTGGGTAGAACAGATCAACCTTTCGCCAGCAATAAGCTTGCGGCTACTATCATATTTTCCTGTTACGAGCTATTGGACGCTCCGACCGCTGACTGGCAGAGACATCTCGATGGCGTGTTCTCTGTTGGAACACTGTGTAGAGTCAATGGGACATCTTGTGGAGTTGAGAAAGCTGGATTCTGGTCCATTACAAGATAGGGAGGTCGTTTGCGCTATTATCAACGGCTCAAAGCTGAGATTGGATCCAGACCTGTGGGCAGTCGATCTGAATAATATCGGCCAAGGGGGCAGTGAAGACCTGATTAACAACCAGTATGGATACCATGCACAGCCCAGAGACCTTGACATATAATACTAATATCTTTAGGGCGCTTACGGTTCCTGTAAAAGTGGTAAACTTTACGCAGTAATTAAGGAGTGACCCAGATGGAGACAAGGCTATCGAATGGTACACACTAAGGGAGCAGCTCAATCATTGGAGCTCATCGGTGAAAGACCAAGGGTTTATGGATCCAATATCCCAATTTGTGGAAGATGGAAAGGCTTTCATAGACATTTGGTTTGCCATGGGCGTATGTGGTAAGCTCGCACCCCTCCTTTGGCATTGTACATGCAGTCACTGATACGTGGTAACTTCTTCGTGGCAAATGTTTCATCTGGCTCAGATCCTTCTGTTAACAAATAGTCCCTCCGCAGATGGGGGCTGCTTGCTCGCGTTTCGTAGCGTAGAGGTATGTATGTGCCCAATGCGGGGCATGCTCATAACTAATCTGCATAGAAACAATTGCTCTACCATGCGAGGCAAATATGCGGTATAGCCCAAAGCAAGCCACCCACATGGCAGCTGCCGGGTAAATTCAGTGCAGCCCATTTATTGCGGTGAGTTGCATGTCTGTGACATGAAATTTTAGATCCAAAAGAGATGCTGATGATCTCTGGAACTAGCCGGGCTATGTTTCAATGAAATGAAGGAGAGAGAAAGGGCAATTGAGTTGTTGGAAAAAATAGAGAACGAACTCGACTGGGCAGCTAAATAACGAGCTAAGGACCTTCCAAGCTTCGTAGAATATATGACATGAAACAATAAATTAAGTATGAAGATCTCGTTTGGAAAATCCCGAAACCTTGTAACCATCGCGCGGCCAGCCCCACTCCCCGCAACTTCCGAAAAAGGAAGTTCAAAGTAGAAACTCTTGGCATGAATATTCAGCAGTCCACTCGCTCGTTTTCGCCCACAAATCATTTTGCTTTCCTCGTGCAAGATGTGTCCTAACCTTCTAGAAATGGGTACTATTCCTCAGATAATACTACTTCAATGGGTCTTCGATGGGTCTCCCCGTCTCTAGGTACGGGGGCGTCATTGCTTAGAAATATAACCACTTCATTATATAAATCTCCTTCAACCTCTTTTAGTCTAGAGGGATCGGCTTTCATGTCTCAAATTATCCCTACAACCAAACACATTTGATCCGGCCCAATGGGCACACAAGAAGCGTCCTATCCAAAGGATGAGGCCTCACCACAGGATTCAGAGCAGGCCGGAATAGAACCTGAAAGTGCCGACTTGGAAAGACTGGGACGAGAGCGACCAAAATGCTTTCCAGGGCCGTGGTCAGAGATATCATTTTGTATTTCGATTTTTATGTCCCAGATTCTTGCAGTAAGTTGTCAGATTGCATTGACATCTGTGGCAAAACAAATGCTTACGTTTTACCCAGGAATATTACATCTCAGGCTCAAATGTCCTCCTACCCACACTGGTCAAAGAGCTTGACCTTCCCGAAGCCGCCGCAATATGGCCATCAACTGCACTTTCCTTGGTCGTCACTTCGACGCTCCTTATTTTTGGCAGGTTGACAGATATGTTCGGCGGGTATATGATCTACAATGCTGGCGCTATATGGCTCACAATATCCTCTATCCTATGCGGTGTCTCCCAGACATGGTTGATGTTAGTTATTTGCCGAGCGTTACAAGGCTTCGCCCTGGCCGCCTTTCTTCCCTCCGGAATAATGGTCCTTGGTAGCACCTACAGACCCGGGCCGAGGAAGAACATGGTTTTCAGCATCTACGGCGCATGTGCAGCTTTGGGATTCTTTGTGGGTATTTTCTTTTCTGGTCTCTGTGGTGAATATCTCACCTGGAGATGGTACTTCTTTTTCGGGGCTATACTATCCGCCATCACTGCGGCCCTCTCCCTTTTCTCCATCCCAAGGGATTATTCCGAGAAAAGAAATTCGGGTGCCACAATGGACTGGCCTGGAGCTTGTCTTTCTGTTCCGGCTGCAGTCCTCATAGTTTTCGCAATTGCCGACAGTTCACATGCCCCTCAAGGATGGAAAACTCCATACATTCCTCTCTTCCTCGTCCTTGGATTAATAATTCTGGGGGTGATGGTCTATATGGAAGGATGGGTTGTGAAGAACCCATTGCTCCCAGGCGATATTTTCAGGGTCAAGTATATGCTGTCGCTTGTCATAGCATTGCTGTTCTTGTATGGTACTTTGGGTATATTCATGCTCTATGCTGTACTATAGTAAGTGATGTCTCGGTTTCCCATTGTTGATGACCACTACTGACCGAGTTATATAGCATGTCGGACATCATGGGTGCTTCCCCGATGCAGATCGTAGCCTGGGCTGCACCTATGGGAGTAGGTGGTCTCATTCTCTCTGTTGGAGGAGGTATGATCTTCCACAAAGTACCAGGAACAATCCTGATGATCATATCCTGCCTGGGGTATGTGGGATCTGGATTGCTTTTTGCAGTGATCCCTCTCGGTGGAAACTACTGGGCATACGTCTTCCCAGCAATGATCTGCGGAACAGTGGGTATCGACATCAGCTTCAACCTCGCCAATGTCTTTATCACGACCAATCTTCCCAAGGCAAGACAAGGGCTTGCCGGCGCGTTAATTAATTGCACCCTGCACATGGGAATTGCTGTTATGCTCGGATTCGCAGATATAGTTCAAACTCAAACAGCTGACCTAGGGACCCGCCGGAGTTACAAAGCAGTGTTTTGGTATGAAACTGGATTGGCGATAATTGGGTTAATTATCGTGGTTCTCTTCGTGCGGATCCGAGAGGCAAAGAGCGAGCTGACTCTGGACGAAAGAGCGGCAATGGTGGCCGAGGCAAATGGAAGGACCGGTGAAGTTTGATCTGTTTGATACACTTGAAGTCATGTCGTGGCTCGAAATGTTAGCGTTTTTAAGATAAAATATAATAATTATCTCTTTCTTTACATTTATCCGGAACTGGCTATGCCCACCTAGGCGTTAAGCCCCAATTAGATATGTCGACGATACGCTAGACTCTTTCGATCATAATTAAGTCGAGAACGCCCGATTAGATTGTCACAACAGTATATTCACACGGAAACAATGATACATATGATATACTGTAAAAATACGAAACACTGTAACCAGGCATACTATGCCGTATCAACCATCTCGAGGTTTACACCGTGAGGGGCGCGACATGTTTGACGTGCATCCTCAGGCATGGTTGTCCAAATGACTTGTCGAACTTCCTGACCGACCTGCTCAATCGCGTCCATCGCCCAAAGCACGTCGAGGTGTTCATATTCCTCGATGATCTTCGAATGGACAAGGCGCGCATGAGGCTCACGGCCGCTGTGGAAGCGACTCACAAGTCGATGCCCATCAACAAGAGCATCTGACCCGCCGATCCAAAATGCAAATGGGGGTGTTCCCGGGCCGTACCAGTGTTTAGGGGCCCCTGGGCCCAAACATGGGTCCCTGGGATCATCACCGTGCTCAGCAACGGTGTCATCACATAATGTGTTGTTGGTGGTTGTCTCGCGAAGAAGCTCGTCCTCCGTAGACAATATACATTTATGTTTGGCGAAGCTCTCGCTTCCGAGCCACCAGCGCATGGACTCGGCACTAACATACACCGGGGCGAATTGGAACATACGATGGCGCAAGTCACGCTCCCAGCGCGTGTCGGACCAGTCGAATAAAAACGAGAATACCCAGTATGCTAGAGTTCCATATATCTTTGACGGAAGTAGACGGCGGGCGGTCATCATGCAAGGGATAAAGGAATGAATACCGAACACCAGTCGAAACAACGCTGGAGATAGAATGCTCATGAATCGGAAGTATGGTCTACGCACAAGGGGCCCGGCATATACAGCAGGTGCGAGGGCACAGAAAACCGAAATATGTTCGCCCAACTCAGGACGCTGTTCCTTGGCAAGAGCCAAAAACGTCTGTGCGGTGCCTTGGGAATGGCATACTAGACCTAGCGTCTTGAATCCCGTTTCATAAAGCACACGGGAAGTGAGGGCTGCAAGGTCCAGCTTTCCAAGATGCCGGAGGTCCCAAGACCACATGCGCGGGTCGTCAGGTAACAGAGTGGTATGTTCTGGGTCCGAGCCACAGCGATTATTTCCGAGCCAGACATCATACCCAGACTTGCAGAGGTAAAATGCCAGGCTATCTTCGTCGTTAGTGCAAAAGGCACCAGCGCTTTGCAGCAATCCATGCACCAGGAGGACAGGGTATCGCCTATTGACCTGCTGGCAATTCGGGTTTTGCACTTTCGGCGCGGTGAAAACGTGAGGGCCACGTTCACGCCTTTCTTCTGGTGACAGGGTCGCATACTCTTGGGGATCGTAGACATGCCACAAGGTGATAATGAAACCATCTTCTGTCTGCACTCGGAATGTTTCCACATCGAGACCTACTCGACGGGCATAGTATGCGACATCAGCAACAAGTAGATCCTTGCCACCTTCCAATGATGAGCATTCTTTAGCTCCTTGTTCCTCGTCCAAGTCCCTCTTCTGTTGATGGAGGTGCCATCTTCGATCAGCCTCGGCCCGCACTCTCCTTCGTGTACGTTCTTCTTGGTAGAAGACCCTCTGTGTTTCCGGGTCGCGGCCATTCATTCGCAATCCAGTTTCGGTTATTGCGACTCCGGCGATGTGGATGAGGGCCCCGATAAATATACAAGTCAGAAAGCAGAGCGAGAGGAAGAACGAGACGACCATGAGGAAATAGTCCTGGATCCTGATAAACGTAGAACGGGAACCGTATGACGGCATTGGTGGAAAGAGTGGGTGTTCTGTCGTCAAGAAACTAAGATCAGGCGTAGAATGTTTCTCAACAATTGGCGCCCGATCCTTCCCAGCGCGGTTCATAGCTGACCAAGTGCTGTTATCGCTTGTGTCCATCTCCAGGTCGCCTTTCTTTTCGGAGTGCACTTCGGCGGGATTGCAGTCTCGGGGGGCTGCACCGACATGGGGAAAACAGTCATTTGTGTCCGCACGTGCCATCGGCACGAGGGGTTCGAGAGGTATCGATGTGACCGACATGGTCAGGAATCTCAACCGTTACCGGGGGTTCCAATGGGGCATTTTGATGCCTGGTCTGAGGCGCCAGCAATAGCGGAGGGATAGACAAGTCTCAAATAAGAGCAATCGACAATCGGGGTTGTGTTATTGGAGTCGTGCATGCCAAGCCCTTGGTCAAACGGCCAACACGTGACAGCCCAGGAACAAACATGTGATTACGGATCTAATCAGCCATTTAGATATCAGATTCTGGCTACTATAAATAGCACACGGTCCAGCACAAGTATAAACACACAATCGACGATGCTTTAGAAGTCTAAAGATGGTTCTTTAGGTCTGCAATTGAACAACATTATTGTGATAAATTAAGGAGTCTACTACAAGTTCAAATTCTAGCTACCAAAACGGCACTGTTGCTTACAACTGATACACAACTACACCTCTACGCGCCGGGAAGCTAAACACGTATTGCAGTAAGCCTTACCAACACTTTTTCTTCTACAAAAGTTTGCTACCAACAAGAAGTCCACGTTTCAGGGGAATTCGAGCGTAACAGATAGATCTATAACATTATAGCGAGGTTTATATTCATGAATTGATCTGCCAATTTCGTGGTAACACGTGGGTTCATCGCTTGATATGGCTGCTAGAATGCTAATGTACATAGTCAGGAGTTCTCTTAGATCCCGCCCCGACCTACACGAAAGTTGCAATACCGATCCAATTAGATCTACTTTGAATATGCTATCATCTTCTGCAAAGTTGAAAACTACAATAGCTAACCGACTATGAAAGGTAGCCAAGTTCAAGCAAGCTTTAGCAGCTTTCACAGCTTTAGCACAAGCGCCATCCTCGGGTCGCGCAATACAATCACCCAGTGCACTGTCAATAACTCCCCGATCGAACGATGCATGTTTACTGATTGTGATCTCCGGAATGTGCAAAAACAGAAGCCGAATTATAGCCGTGGACTCCCATTTGTTCGAAGTGATTGTTGCTGACCGCAGCAACATCAAAGAAAGCACCGTAAAAGCAAGAGTTTCTGACCGAAGTATTTTAGTTAGGAGTACTGTCGAGCAGAGTCAAGTCGAGAGAAGCACACTACAAGACTACTTTGTTACTGATTGTCGGGTTTCACGGTCGAATTCCAGGGGCATGATTCTCAAGTATGGTATTTGGGACACGGGACAATTCACGGGAAGCATTGAGGATACGGAACACATCCAGCAGCTCAAGGGGAATGATGCCCCAATTACGTTCGTATGCTATTCATCCCCCTTTCCGGATACAGAGCAAGGAGGGTATCAAATGAAGGCCTCTTTTAGCCGGCCAACCATCTGCCAATTCAAAGTGATGTTCCCGATCTATATTCTTCGTCAGTTGCATCTATAAATGTTCGAAATGTTGTTGAGCCGAATTCAAAGGTCGATTACGAAGACAATGATTCAAAAGATATTCATGATGCCGGTACGGATGACAATCAGCTACGTCCATCTTACGAAGGCACAACTGGAAGCTGGTGAGAGACTAGTGACAAGAAATGGCCCTAGGATTAGATAGTCACAATTTGCTTGTTGTTTTCAAGAACACAATATATTATGTACATCGAGTTCTAATGTCATACTATCATCATTCAGATTCATGCCATGCATTTCTGATAATGATCCGATTTTCTTGAAACAAGTTCAACTGCTTGTACCCGCGACAACATATTGCTTCTCTGTCTTGAGCTTACTTAGAGTATCGTTGCTGAGGTTTAACGTATCTGCAATTATCTGCTTCGGTGTGGATGCAATCCATTGGCCAAGGGCCATGTCTGTAAAGTATCATTTAGCTGAAGGCCCACGAGGTCAGGAAAAGCACATACCAGTGAACTGAGGCGCCTGGAGGACTTCCACAAACACCAAATCCACATCACCTGTATTCTCAATATAGTGGCTGTTAGACTTAGGGAAATAACCAACATCACCACCTGCAAAATCGAAAGTGGTCGCAGCATTTGGTGCAGTGAAGAGTGTTGCTCGGCCCTGACCAGAAATGAAGAATGTCCATTCGTCACTAGTAGGATGCCAGTGTACTTCACGCATGCCACCTGGATGAACGGTAACGACTGCCGCCGAAAAGTTGGCAGCGATGGGGAAAGTCAGTGGGTCGACGATCTTCACCGAGCCGCCTGCGACTTCGTGAGCGGGTTGCTCGGAAAAGTGGTAGGAGTAACTTTGAGTGCGAGGAATAATTCCAGATGCCGTTGTTACATTTTGCTTTTCTATGTCTTTGGGTGCTGGAGTACCGCTGAAAATATATAACTCATCTTGGGGAATTTTGTCAAAGGCTGATATGTCGAGACCGAAATTCTTTGAAAGAACTTCCTTCTGTATAGCTTGTTAGCAAATTTGGTACCATTCGGCTTTGACGTTGCGAGCTTACAGGAGTATGGAGGAAGACTTCTGACGCCAAAAATGTGTTGTCTTCACTGAAATCTCCATCGTCGAACACTAGCAGGAACTCAACTCCATCGTCGAGGGCTTGGATGGAATGAGGAACACCCCTAGTAGTCAAAACTTTAGACTTCATGCAAATTTAAATTTATCAGATTACACTTACGGTGGGAAAAACCAGACATCTCCCGCAGCAACGTCATCGATAAATGTCTCTCCATTCTCGTTCACAGCCTGGCGTTGTTAGTTCGTTTTCAACCCATCTTTCCATTCAAGAAAGGGAATTGTAGATACCTGAATTCTGCAAGATCCATTTAACACAAGAGACCATTCAGCAGCCACATGCCAGTGGAGCTCACGATAGCCGGCGGGCTCTAGGCGCATATCCACACCCGCCATCAGTGTTGCATCCGGCATCACATTCACGTTCTCTTGGCGAGCCCAACCAGCTCCATCCTGTCCAAGTCTTTGAATTAAAATGTCAGTTTAGTTGACTTTGTCGATCATAAACACAATAATTACCTGTTATGACTCAATCCTGGAACATTATTAGCCGCGTTCAATCTCCATGTGACTAGTAAACTTACCCATCGGCCATTGCGCATTGATGGTCTGACCATGGTCAGTTCCCGGAGGTGCAAGCTTATCACTATTAATTCTATCGTAGTTGTAATTCCCTGGAGAGTTAGTATTCTTGTATTTCAAAGTCCGAGATGTTGATGAGAACTTACTCGGGCCGGGGTCATCGGAACCCGTGGAACCACGGATCGGTTGGGGATTGTCGGCTTTCTGAAAATCGAGATATGACCCAATATTGGGATCCTCCTTTTGCCCGGGAAGGAGCGTATACTTGATGTCTGGTGGCGAGTCACTGCCCCCCTTATTCGACGAAGAATATCCGATGAGCGATTCGCTGCCTCGCAGTCCTGGGTTCGTAGTATCCCTTCGAGCAGGTGCACCATGCACCCAGGGCAACGCAGCAAGGAGTAAAGTTGCACTGATTTGAAGCTTCATATTGAAGTGCTCGAGACGGTGGGAGGAATTGAAAGGATATTAGGTTGAACCAAAATTAGCTTGGTCATACTGCTATTTACAGGCGGCCTTTTATAAGTCTACCTCGAGTTGTGAACCACTAAGGACAGTTTGACTCCAATTCTATTACGTCTTGCATAAAACCCCCCTCATCTCATGCAATTTCTCCAAAATCCGATAAGTCACAAATGGTGATTCCCCTCATGGCGACGCCAAAGAAGGCAAGGAGCGGGACATAGGTCTGCATACTCCACCATGACTCGCTCTAAATTTATAGTCTGCCAAGGAACTTGGACACATGAGGGGAGAATGGATACCCACGGGAGCGATGATGGATTTGGGATAGGGAGGTTATGCTGCAGGGCCACCCCTCACATGTGGCGATCAAATTGCACAATAGTAACATTCATATTGAAGCTGAAACAGCCTATGTGGATCGATCGCTGCAAAGTTCGGAGTCAAGGAACAAACGGACCTACTTCTACGTACCTCTCAAATTCTGGGGCCAACTAGATTGATGCACGGTACCTGAAGCTATGAGCTCATGATCGATAATGATTGTATTTGATTTGAGGCAGATATGCATGTCCTTATTTCTAAAGCCAACTGAAGCAATAGCTTCGGTGTACCATGCAAGTGGCAGCCATAAAGCAGATGCAGGGATGTATTGAAGCGAAAGTGCATCCGGCAATGCCGGCCAGTAGAACATTCCGCACGGTAACCTCGCCTACAGCCAATTCATGCAGGTCTTAATATATGGCGCGGGGCAGCTATAACAAACTGAAATAAGGCCCACACTGTAAGCAAGGTGTGATCCCGGAAAGGCCAGGCTCTCTGAGTATTTGCGTAAAGCCCCGGCTTGCTGCTTTTGTCAACAGCTTTGTCAAAATTTCATGGACTTGTGACCTATCACACCTTCAAGCGAACAAGCAGCACAAAACGTATGATCCCAGCTGTCACGACGGTAGAAAAACGGGATAGAGAAAATTGCTACTAAGAATAGAACAGTACTATCAGAGAACAAGCTAAGCTTCTTAAGCCAAGAAATCCAAGATAGGCTAGTCAAAAATCAAGCAAGAACTCGCCCATTTGCTTGGCTATGTCAGTCTGGACCGTACTCAGTGAGTGGACTCCAGAGTCGCCACTTGATGTGAACCCATGGATCAGCATGTTATGGTCAGCATGACCTCCGCATGAGGAGAAATGCTCGAGTCTGTCAAAGTTCGAGTTAATTGGGGTCGATCGGCGCCCTGGAATCCAGCCAGTGGAGGCCATTGCGACAATGATTTATCGCAACTTCAACCCTTTCGAGAATTTTGACCTAACCAGTCGGGGAATTATCTCCGGTACTTGATTTCCCGGGCGCCGCATGTAAGGTGAAACTAGCAAGGCTGGAGATGAGTAAGTAGGAATGTAAGCACGGGTTGAGGAAAGGAGGAACATGTGATTTTGGTTAATTTAGAAACAGGGCGCTGATTGCGTAAGCCCGCGCGTTGAAAAGACTACGGGGTATGAAATCGGTATAATTAATGCATCAAGATGATTGGAATGATCGTAGATTATATTCGCTGGATAAAATGTAGTAGGAAAATTAAGTTGTGGGATGTGAGTATGCCATGCCATGACTCTTGGCCCTGCACTCTGGATCAGGATCTATGAGTGACGATCGGGGATTTCCCCACTGCCGACCACAATATCATTGCATATAGTCGTAAGTAATTTGCTGAAAGGTCCGTAAAGGCTGAGCTCTGTGGTGTTCGGGCTCAGTCGGCTAGATGTTATCCACGGCACTGAACTAAATTCGCAATCGACATACGCGTTATTGGTGTTTGCTTCAAGAGATAGAATAATTGATCAATCTATTCCAGAAACGACAAAGGAATTGCACTTGGTCCCACAGGTCCCACAGGTCCCCTCTCCCGGGCCGGCGCGTCCCTGTGGTAAGACGAATGTGCCAGAATCAGCCTTATGAGTCAAAACCAGCCCTATGATGCAGGGAGGTCTCACTAACATCCCTAAATTATTATTGGAGTTTACAAACGGAACCTTGGAATTTAATGAGGTGAATGCGTTGCCGGGTATCCTAGAGACTAATACGTAAGGGATTCATATCCATAGATAGGCATACCTAGGTATGGACCTGTTGGCTTGAAGCCAAGAAAACATTCTGGTGATAACCCTTGCAGTAGATTGTTCATGTTAGCAAAGAATAACCCGAAGAATGTGTGTCTTGAACTCATGCATAAGAAATGCATGTTTACCTAGGTAAGCCAGAAAGAAGTGAACATGTCCTCACCACGAGGCCTGAGTCAAGATTTCAATCTCACCCAAAATGCCTCAAAAATCTGATTTTCCCAAGAGGTTTCAATTTCACTAAATAAGCAGCTGATCTTACTCAAATCTCGCAATAACAAAGAATAATATAATATAGAGCCCGATGCCGAACTAGGTTTCAAGCGAACTCTTCCACATGCTCCGCGAACTGCTCAGTCTTGGCTTCGAAACTGCGTTGATGAGCGAATTCTAACTTCAGATTAGCCATCATATTTGTCCCACTGGTGTGAAAGATTATAAGAATAAGAAGCGACCTACGTTCAACTTTGGTAGACTTGAACTTCCTGGCGGGAACTTGATTCTCGAAAAGCAGATCGATCTCGCCGAACGTGCGATCTTTCGTCTCCGGCAGACGGAACCAACACCAAAGATTGCAAAGCAAGTTAGTGCCCGCGTAGAAAATACCGGCTTTGGCTCCCCAATTCCAAGCTAATCGCGCATGAAATCATATTAGTCAGGCCCCCCATTTTATTCGGAAATGCAACAAATCTTACCTGTTGCAGAAATCATGCGCGGCGTGATCACATTGTGGACGATGCCGGTTAGATTGTACACAAACCGACCAATAACAATTGTCTTATACCTCAATCTTCCTGATGGTGTTTCAGCCACAATCGGGTAACAGGCTGGTCCTACCGTGATCATATTGCATAATGTCGAGATGACCAGGAGGATGCCAATTGCCAGCTGTGCGCTGTCTCCGCTAACCCATCCGAGGCCGCCGATTATCATAAGACACACGAACATGAAAGCCATACCGCTCATATAGATTGTTGCGCGACCGACGTGAGGGAACAGGAACCAGCAGATTATGCCGCCGATGATGTAACATGCAGAAAGAGAGATGTTGACATCGAACGCTTGAATCTCCGAGAAGCCTGCCGCTTCGAGAAACACGACGGAATAACCAAGGAGGGCATTTCCACACAGGATCTGGGCAGCCCAGACAACACAGTTCTGCTCAAGTCAGTACACAGTGGTAAGAGTAACAATAATCAACTAACAATCTCGGTTCTCCGCAGATTATGTCCCTTGAAGCACTCCAAAAAGCTCGCATTTTCTGTTTCCGCTTTCTCCAGCTCCGTCGTGTGTCGAATATACGCCAAAGTAGCATCCACTTCACGCTCCTTCTCCGGGGTATCTCGGTGCAGGCGAAGGAGACTCTTCCTGGCGACATCAAATTGATTCCTCCGGACTGCATTCCATGGTGATTCAGGGGCGAAGTAGGCCCCGACCATAAGAGGAATTGGCCAGATCCACTGTAGTGCAAATGGTAGTCTCCATCCGAGGTCGCCATCGATACTTGCCACTGCTCGGACAACGCCCGATGAGAGCAAGATACCTGCTCCCCAGCACATGCAAACATAGGCTGTTACATAGGGACGAAGGACAGTGGGAACGACTTCACAAGCATATGTTGTGGATAGGGTCTGTATGGTTAAAGTTCTGTCAGCTTGGGTACTATTTTAAGATTGAATCGCCCAAACTCACCTGGAAGACACCCCAAGAGACTCCACACATAGCCTCACCCCATGCCAAAATGGAAAGAGATGGCGCAAAAACTGGAATGAAAATCATCACCATCATCCAACACATGAAGAAAATCATTGTCGGGCGACAGCCAAATCGATCCTGGGTATAGGCATTTACCAATAGTCCAGCAAGTTGACCAACGACCGATGAGTTGGAAAGGCCAGATTGCCAAGAGGCTGGGATAGATTTGATTCCCGTAGCTGGATCCGCAACTCCAAATCGGTGAATAAACTGTGACTGACCATAGAACGACGTGATCTGGTATAGATGTTAGAAGAAACCTCGCTGATAATGAGGAGGATACTAACGATAACCAAATCATATCCCTCCATGATCAAACTAGTAGACAGAAACATAGCCCAAAATACCGCTTTCTTATATTTCATCAGGGCCTGGCGCACGGTTAACAGTCGGTCGGCTGCGTCACTGGCTTCGGCTTGACGAGTAAGTTCGAGGACGTCGGGGTTATTCATTTCCATATTCTGAAGCTCCCGGTCAGTCGGGACGATCTTTTCTGTGGCCATGGTCGATTCCGAAATTCCAGTAAAAAGTAGAACAAGTTAGCAAGAAAAAGAAGTAATAGGCCTATTTGGAGGCTCAAGTTTCAAGTGACCCATTTTTCTTGCATTGCGGGGAACCGACTCTCCATATATAGTGAACATGTAGTTGACATGGAATGTCCGCATAGGGCTGTCGGAACCCCTCCGCCGGAGACCTTGTCTTCATCATACGGCACCGGCACCTATTGGATCTTAACACCGGACAAGATAGAATCCGAAATACATTTTTGCCAAACAGCATCCCGGACGGTGAGTTCAACACTATATTCACAGGATTCGTATTGGTTTCCGGCGGGGGCAGCCAGGTGCAAATTCTCGCCAGTTAGTGGAACAGAAGCACGTTACAATGAAAACAAAGGGGAAAAAATGCAGTTATCGCTGTTTCTCTTGTCAATTTTGCAGTCCGATCAGCCTTGCAGAGATACTACTCTGCTTTAAAGAGAGAGGATAAATTGCATACACTTAAGGTTGGCCCCGCCGGAGTTTAACAGAAAGCTTGGCATTCCTAATGTCAAACTCCGGTGGCACCTAGTACGAAGGTACATAGCGGTAAGGGATCGGACTGAATCATTGCTGGGACTACCGCCTGAAAATGCCTAAGTCTGACAGAAATTCAAGCACTTGAAATACTATGTCAGAGTTTATGTAAAAAGAGATATAAGGGATTATGATTTTGACAATGTATATGATCCTGAATGACTTATTCTCATTCTGCAGACGAGCCGAATGGGAGTGCCTATATATCCGTTATGTCTAAGGGAAGTCATTGCAGATGACAAAACAGAAAGGTACTGACGATGTGTAGTGCAAGTCTCCTATGCCATAGAAACTTGATCATGATGTTTTTATTCATCCGTGATCTATCCTTAACCTCTTCCAACTCCGTCAAGAAATGCAACTGGTAGTGCCTTCCGTCCTCTCACTACCCTCTCCAACACGGTGTTTTAGCCTCTTAGAGTCCTTCCTTGACCCTCTGATATTATCTTGAAAGTCTTCTCCTTCTCTGTCGTGCCTTCTCTTATGACAGAATACCAACATCAAAGATGTTGACTGAATCAAATAAAATTAAGAGCGCATCTGCAAACGTAAAAGATATAAAAGGTAGATAAAGTTCAACTGTGCTGATGGTGAATATAGCACAAGACTCGGCTCATCATATGATTGGTCGGGTAACTGTAGTGTATATAATTGATATCTTAGAGGGCTATGTCCTGCTGTTCTTCTGGGCGTGGGATTGGGAGGGAGTTCTGCAAAAGATAATTGCACGTATAAGAATGATATAATTACTGTTTTATGAAGCCTTGGGCAAATACCTGAGGCCGTGGAATTAATTATAGACTGCTTAAAAATCAATGTTATTCTATTTGAAAAAACTTGGTCTATCATTTCCAACGGCGCTAACAATCTATTTTATTAGAAATCTTGCCCATCACACTTACCTCCTTCAAGCAGCGAATGAATCTCCGAGAGACCATCTTGTCCAATCATTTCCTCTCGCGTTATTTACTTTAATCAATCCTCACCACTAAAGTGAAACTTGGGCCTAGGGGTGAAAGGCGACACGCCAGATAATCTTCTCAATATCTGCGGTAGAAAAACTTCGAAACATCAGCCAACACTTGCAGTGAGCACTCGACCAAATGCAAAGATTAGCTGACTTTCAAATCAACGCGTGTATAAGGCCCAGACGTTCATGATACCCGGGACGAAAATCCCAAACACAAACACAAACGCGGGGTTGCCAAGCCTCTAAGCAGCTAGTGCATGCACCCTTGTTCAATGGAATCATGTCATAGGTCAAAAGAAGTACAGTGACGACTGCTGAGCAAGAAGGTAGATATGATAGGCCAGTAGCAGCGGTTTGTTTACAATGTATCTTCCTTAGGTATTATTGGGGGGGGGGGGGGGGGGGGGGGCTGAGCACGCTCCTGATTTTTTTGGGTTGTGATGGTGTGGAGACCGAGTCTGGGGGTTCTTCAGCTGAGTGGGTCTGTCATTTTTGATGTTCGACTTTGAGGGACCTCGCTGTTTGTACTGGTACTTTGTTTGAAAAGCTGAAGTAAGGCTGCATTGGGTAGTCGTACATTGGAATTTGAATTTCATTGTACTGCGGCATCTATTATTTCAATTTGCCTTTTGTATTTATAACCCCCTGCCTTCGCGCAGCGTATCGCATGATGATCGTTTCTGATTATGAATTGCGTCCACGAAGGCTAGTTTGCGGTCTATTCTGACCCTCTTCGTGCCCAATTTAGTGAAATTTGGTCATTTTTACCGCTTGCCCTTAAAGTCACATTTAGCACCGCGCGGCACACTCGGCTTGACGATGGCATTCTGTCCAAGGCATATCTTCCTATTAAGGGGTTGAATCTGAGCCTAGAGTATTTTCATACGAAAGATTACAGTGATGATTGTTATAAAATGTTTATTGTAATTTCATTGGTAGTATGGGTACAGTAGCCCTAAAAGCAGAAACACCGAGTCCGCGCTACCATTCCATGGCGAGGATAAGAAAGACCGACCGAAGAAAAGAAAGAAAGGCACAGCCCGAGAGGAAGATGGGCCAAGTCATTCGAAACTACCGATCAGACACAGCTGTCTCGGTATAAAGGCGACGATGTACCAAAAGGAGTATTTATGTGAAGAGTAATGTCTTGTGAGAGTGATAGTCGAGGTAGACAGAGCAGCTTCTCTACCTAGCAACACGCTTCAGGTATCGCATAGTGAGAAGCACAGCCGCCGCACTGGTGTACATTCCGCCTGCAGCGGTAATCCAGACTGGACGGTGGACAGCGAAGGAGGTTCGCAGGAAGTTGGCTTCCTTGGGTTGTCTCTCTCCTGTACGTTATGTTAGTTATACTGGATGACAGCGCCGTGATGGATGAGACGGTCGCATTGATAAATGAATTAACGCACCCTGCTGGAAGACACGCTGGCGCAGGTTGTTCAGACCCTGTCTTGAACGTGCAGGGAGGGTCTGGAGTTGTTGAAGGAAAGGGCCCATGACTGCAGACATCTTGGATGTAGTATGTGTGATGAAAGATGGATGAAAATAGTTGACTTGGTGATGAAATAGTGATCAGGCTCACAGGGGAGAGTTTCTTAAGTTGTACACACGGCATAGTACTGAAGAATGACTTATATAGGTAGACATCATCTGACTGAATGCGGGGTTAGATGTCAATGAGGACTGAAAGGTGACATCGGGGGCATCCCTGCACTGTGGCGAGCCAATAGATAGGATGCGTCAGGTAATCATCGGAGTTTCACATTCGATGTGCCCTGTAATAGCCCTAATATGGACGGGATGTCCTGGTGATGATTCAGGTAGGTCTACTCCGTTCCATGGATCGGGATCTATAGAACTCAAGGCACACAATAAAACTGTTGACATCTGGTAAAGTCGAGGATGGACGGCACTTGATGGCAATAATATCCAGTTCCAATTGATAGTGGAGGCAGCGTCAGTCGATCATGACGAGTACGCACTAGCCTTCCCCCACATTGTCATCAGTGAATTGGTCTTGGTTGGCCTTGTGTGGCTGTCATTGGTTGGGTTTGGCGTCACCGATAAACCAAAAGTACACAAATGTACATTTATAACAGAACTATGGCAGTATTGTGTACTATTAAGTACTCGCGACCGTGTACATTCTGACACATGGGCAAATAGGGGGCTACCCTGAGGGGATTATTGCTCTGCCATAGGCGAATTCCCCTGGAATTTTTCAGGAACGAATGGTCTTATTACTTTATACATATGGGGCTCTACTCATGGTATGAGTTCATTTCCAGATTCTAACCACATGATGTAGAATACATACACACTATAGTGAAGTAAACAGTGGCAATGTGGAGTCCGGAGGATTTAGTCAGATCCACAAATCCGGGGATTGCGGGGTGAGTGGGACTGAGCTTAGATCAACTAGAACTTCTTCTCTACAACTGTACCATGTCTATACTAGGCGTTGATGAACAATTGAAATGCTTGGAGACTGACAAGTGCATTCAGAATTATTGTTCACTCCAGTACTCAAGATCATGCGTTATTCAAGGCATAAAAACTTGTCACCTGACATGTACAAGGGCCCCATTCCCAGAACGGATATTAGGGCAAGGGGCTGCCAAGCACGTTCCTTTGAGGAATTATCATTCTTCCGCTCAAATTCTTCCGCTCAAATTTGCTCTAAGACTTTTTCTCATCCAATGAAGAAAAAGCAAGGACTGCCTTTTTCAATAGCAAAATATGAGGAGGCACGCTACCCCTTTTGTTGCTAATAAGGTGCATACAATAAGCTCCTTCAGATTTCAGATCCGATCCCGAAAGATGGCAAAGTAGTCAATCTGAGCTATTGGTGTTTGTCTTCGGCACTCTGATTGAACAGCTTCTTGATCTTATCCTATGTTTGATCGGAGGCTATAGACCGACGCTTGGCTAGTAAATTAAACACTCACATGCAAATTATACCAAAATGTAGCCTTTCTCGGTATTTTTGTTTACCACGCACTAGCTGCATGTTGATAGATCCAACATTTGCAGGGCCAATTTTCATTTTCAGGCATAGCGGACGGATCTTGATATCGAGCGATAGAAAGTTCAACTCCCAACTTGTGGAATGCTTTGACTTCATTTTTCCAGTCATTTTCGCCATCTTCGTTATCCTCCTCATCATAGAACGTCCCGTACGTGATGGTGCGTAGGCTCGGAAGCAGCCCATCCCGCACCTTTGTCAGCAATAGCTCCACTGGCAATCCTTCCTTGTTGAAGTCTTTCAACATGAGGGTCTCCAGGCTGACAGGAAGAGATCGACCAGTAAATCTAAGATCCCGTTCCATAGCATATCCCTGTATTGCTTGCGGGGAGATGGTGAGGTGTTTCAATTTATCCAAACAGTCAAAGTCAGAGGAAGTTTCTGCATTCCAGATGTCCAAGTCGAGGTACTCAAGACCTGTTGAGGTGCTGCGCTCCAGTTCTAGGATGCAGTTTCTGATACTCAATCTGCATTCTGCGGCTATAGTCGGTGTAAGCGATGCACCTTTTATTGTGAAGTTGGTCAAGGCTTCAGGGAACGCTAGAATTTGCCTGACAGTATGGGATGAGATATCACAATTCAGAAAGGTGAGTTCTTTGAGAGCTGTTTTTTTAGACGGCATTCTTGCAGAGAAGGTCTTTGGGTGCAAGCGCCCGATCTTGGCGCCTTGGATATGGAGCTTTTGGAGCTTTTCCATGTAAAAGACGATTTCATTTGGCCCAAGCACCCACCAATCTTGATGGCAATGTTTGCGCTCCGCTCCAAGATATACTAAATATTGTTAGTCTTCTTTCAAAAAGAGTCTCGAGTTTCTGACTCACAAGAGCGCAACCTGTGTCCTATATATTGGGTATGGCACTCGACATCAATGCTTTTCTTCGGCACAAACATGCTGAGCAACTTGTGACTAGATTCTTCCAGTACTTGATAAAGTGGCACACTTCTAAGGCTTAAAATTTCCAAGTTTTCGACCTCCAGAAGAACATCGAGGACAGCATCATGGTTTTCATCATTTCGGGCATCATGGTAGTGGACTTGTAGTTCTCGAACAAGAGACGCCAAGCGAGGATTCCGAATAACTGTTGCAGCAAGCTGCTTACAGCTATCTGGTGTGCGCAAATAAATTGAAGAATAAAGCATAGGGATTATAAGGTCGGAAACTCTGCGACAAGTCTGTGCAAGGCTTCGTAGGCAATGTGGCAATCGCCGCAGGCTTTGAAAGACCATGTCCAGTACTTCAACTGGAAGATTGTGAAAATAAGAGTGTTGGACCGCCATAGTGATTGGGATTTTTTCCTTCCTAACACGGTGCTGAAATGTTGAAATTATTTCCGGCAAGATCAAGCCCTGGAGGCTTACGGACCTAACAAAGCGTGGGGCAAAATAGGGGCATTGACATTTTAGGGGGCCAAATAGAAGTACATCGGTCACATGCATTGTATACTATCCAACAAAGTTAGATCCAGTGTATTCAATCGGGTAGACATGAGACATTTACCTGTTAGATATTCAAAGTTGAAAACGGGTTAGAAAGAGACTCAAGAGAATTTTCAGACTTGTATAAAGGAAATGTGTACATGTATACAAAACACTTGAAAGATAGCAATATAAAAGCATTTCAGCATAGTCAGCCATTCAAATAACGTACATTGTTCTTCCAGCTAAAAAAGCAATAAAAAATCTTTTAGTCATTCATCGTGTTCTACTCGGTTCCCCTCAATAGTTGAAACCATGCTTGAACAAGCACAAGTCCAATACCACCGAACAGCGTGATCACTTGCTCTGTATCAGAAATTTTTGCGGCTGAAAGTGCCCATGGAGCTAGGCCGCAGGCAGGCTTGGAGGGAGACCATTGATAAATCATAATCATGGGTGTAATAGAGTAGGCGAAGCCCGATGCGTTTACCTGCGTAAAATGAAGCCACTAGGTATCATCCGTGTCGGGTTCCATCATCCTGTTTTCCATAAATCTCAATAAGCCCAGGAATTGCCAACCCCAGTTGAAAGCCCGGAAAATGATCACATAAACAATGTTTCCACGAGCGAGCATTAAGGCCTGTCGGAAGATCATTGCGGTGTATGCACTCATCGACTCCAGTAACCAAACCATTTCCATCGGAGTAGAGGGATCTTCGTTTCTCTTTTTGCGCTCCAGCATAGCACAGAATGCGCAGGTCTACATAATGAGGCACGTAACTGAGTATGCTACTGCATATTGTCCGTATATCTCTCCTTTGTGTTCTCGAATGATCATACAATAGAACTAAAACCTCAGGAAATATCACAATGAGCCGAGAGATGTCAAGCGTATTGGTTCGACGGTCAGGTTTCGATAATTGGAAGTGCACTAAGACCTGGTGGAATAAACCGAATGAGACGAGCGCGATGAGTGCAGCAAGGCTAAAACAGGGCCTTAAAGATACTGAACCGATCGACCTCTAGTGAGACGCATGGTCGGACGGACCGATTAAGATACTCTCAGACACATGAGAGAATCGCTCAAATCATAGCGAAGATCTCAGATTCCCTGTGTGTTTGGTCAGTCTGACGACTGATGGCCGGTACACGGGCCTGAAGTAGCTAGCAACTTGACCTTTTCCACCTGATTGTACACATATTGAGAAGCTTTGTTATGTGTATCATCTATTTTTTCAAGTCTATCCACATGGCGACGGAGGATTTCCCAACCACGTTTGATTTTGCGAACTTCGCACTGAAAAAGCTCTTCCGGTTTGTCGTCAGCCGACTCCGTGGTGAAGAATGACATGGAAGAGTATATTCATAAAATGTGAGAGTTAAAGCAACATTGTGACAGTGTTGAAGGTGCTGAAATGTGGAAGGGAGATGTGAAAGGTGTCGGACTGGAGGTCATGATGAGGTAACTACGCGAGACAGAAGCAACACAACAGTGAAGCCACTTTAATACACTACAGATATGTACATAAGATTTCAGATTTTATAAATACTGTGGCAGGAACTTAAACAAATTCAAAAGAAAATGAAATTGTAAGTTCCTCTGGCTGATAATTTGAAAGAGATGTACGTGCTATTCCTCATTTAAAAGCTTCGGGAACATCACATAGAAATCCCCTTACGAGATAAAAATTTCTGTCGACAATGTGCTCGGTTATAGATTGCCCGGTGTTCAATGTATATAATTCGAGGAACCTGCCTTACAAAAATTCTTAGCAAAGTGAGCCGCCATGGAACGAGGGTCCATTTCATCCCATTCATTTTGGGGTACTTTGAACTTGCCAGCACGTTGCTTGAAGATAAGTTCTGTGCGGGCATTTTCCAAAGTTGCTTGCGCCTGGGCTAGAAGGTATCGACATTCCCATAAGCCATATACGCTTTGCATCTCTCTGCGTAGTTGCTTCGACTGAGACCTGGAGAACTGATTAGTGCTTTGCCTTTTGGAACTCTCGATCATGGACTTACCAGTACACATCGTTTTCTCGCAAGTGGACCCCAGTGAGGCGACAATTCCCGAGCCAGAAGGAATCTGCAGCTTTATCACATTTGCCTAGGGGCCGTACTACGGTCACCCCAATCTTTTTCCTATCTTTGGATGGCGCATCTTGTTTGATGGCTACAGTATGGCACTGGAAACATCGTTGTCTGGGGTCATTCATCTTGATCATAGAAGCCAGGGTATGGTGAGGGCAGTAAAAGGCTGGCTCCGCCGTGAGATAGGTTTTTGGGGAGGAAAATTCTATTGTATAGCGAGCATGTAGACCCAACATATTGTGATTGTCGACGGTCAAAACGAAAGCAGCTTGGACAGTCCAGTCGTCTCCACTGCTGAACGAGCAATGGTGAGTGTATCGTGGCTGCCCATCACGTTCAAATTCAAATTGGCGAATTCGAGATTTGGAAGGAGGCTTAGGTGATTTGAGAATTTTCACACAACGTTCTCGTTCTCGAACTGTCCACGCAGTACATGGACATATATCCACGATACCAGCTCCTTTTATGCAACGCCTCTGTATAGGTGGATTATGAAGTGCGTATTCCTTAAACTCATGCCGTGGATGGAGCTTCAAGCACTTCCCGCAATATGCCCAGTAGTAATCCTCAAGGCGAAGAAGGAGCTGGTTTCGTGGCACATCCTCACTGTTCACGCATAGTATAGGAATCCGAATTTGCAAAAGACGTGGGAAGGCAAACTCGACTTGCTTCAAAACCGCGCCGAATAGTCTGAAGAATGCTTTGCAGCTAAGAGTAAGACAAGCTCTGTCTACCAGAGAAAGATATTCGAACACCCTGGATAGAATGGTGCTTTCTAAACATGGTAGCACGGGGGGCTTCAGGCCCTTGATACGGGAGACAAAGGATGCGAGTAAAGGGGTGGAGATCCGGTCCATGTGTAGCGAACTCCTCGTTAGTGGCTTGTTCCTTTTGCTGTTCCGACAGGGAGCGGGCAATATCCAACCAACCCTCCAATATTTCTTCTCCTTTCCATCGCGTAATGAACGACCCACATCTTCCACTTCGCGGGCACGGTACTCGCCTGGGCTGGGAAGCCCAAGCAATATTTTGCGTAAAGGCATGTTGAAATTCGATACTTGTATGGTCGTTAATTGTAAGCCCGGAGCCTAAGTTAGCCAAGTAAATTTGGAGAGATTGTGTCAGATGGAACTGGTGGTATGATTAAGAAACTTTGAGAATGAGTCAAACACTACGTCAAGATGTACATCCTAGGAAGGCATCGGCTTGAACTATATGTCTACCAGTTAGGTACCATGGTACTACATAGGCTAGTACGTAGAAATATTTTATTAACTTGATTGGGTACATTGCGCGTTCTTTCTTTGATGGTTACCATACACATCGATTTATGTCTATGTAGACATTCAAATCGCTTTCGAACATGAGTTATTGATCTTTCTGGTTTTCAGGGTGCTCTATATTCGAGTTGCGCAAATTAGTACCTAGGTAGATGAAAGGCTTCGTTACCTGTAGACATGAAGATTACTGTGTTTCTGACAGGGATTTTGAGCTGAAAATTATATTACTATTACGTACAAGGCAAAAGGCTCGACCGCCCAGAAATGAAGTTACAGTCTCACTGACCAAGTAGAGTTATATAGCCTACTTGCCAGTCAAATATACATATCAAGTCTTTCGACGAGCTTGACTTACTCCTTCAGGGCCGCGCAGCCCAGAGCGACAGTGCCACCCTAGTCCTCAGTCAGTTACCGTTGACCCATGAGATAGCATGGTGAAGTTTCACTTACCAGAAGGTTGGCCTCAGTGCAGCACTGAGGCTCAGTCTCACAGCTCTCATCGTATCCGTGGCCTGTTAAATGCGTTAGTGGATTTTTGAGAGGAAAGCTTCGGATAATGTAAACGTACAAAGAAGACCAATAGATCCAACGATGTTGGCGGCATCAACGCCGAGAGCCAACAAGAGAGGATCGACAATGGGGTCGAGAGGGGTGGCGAGAGAACCACAGCAGAGAAGAGGTCCGACGCAGTCCGAGCACTCGGCCTCATTCTCGAGCTTCTTGCCGTGGAGCGCTGCGGCGGCAGCGTTGACCTTGTCCTCAGTAGACTCGCCGCGCTTGACGGAAAAGTTGTCACCGGGACGGGCGGACACCATACCAGCACCGATGAGGGAAAGGACAGAGAGAGTGAAGAACCTCATGTTAATAGATGGTATTTGCGGTGATTAGGACAAGAAGATTGGTGTCTGGTTTGATAATGAAGATGTGATTGTGATTGTGAATGAGCAATAATCCAAGAGTATCCTCATCCTTATATAGTCTTAAAGAAAGATAACTTGGGAATCAATTGCTTCCCAGTAACCCCTTTACCCAACCTCTGTATACCCTTATCTTCGAGTCCGGGGTCTAGCGACACTCAATTGTGAGCTGTAGACAACAAATCCCGGACAGTGCTCTATGGCAGTAAGATCGGCAAAACTCTAGATAGTAGTTGGCCTTGGCCCCCCTGGAGGGACAATTAGAGGGTCCCACTATATGCCGAGGCACAAACATGCAGGAACAGTGGTTCCTGGTACTAAAAACATAATATCAAGGTCGCGGGCATCCTCGATTGGGTATGATCCAGATGAACTCCAACCGAGCTGTCTTGGCTGTTGATCACTCTTGGCCTATACTCAATGCCATTGAAAGGGGTGTGCAGTCACTGGCTATTAATCTATTTCCAGGTCAAATAGCCAGTGGCAGTTGTCGGTTCGTCTTCTCCATCTACTCTCCGGGTGGGGGAGACCTTATCTGTGGGCCCGATTTCCAGAGGATCTCCCCAGCGCCATCGAATCAGAGCCATCGATATGCCGATCCGCCGCAAGGTACTGGGGAGCCCAGAGCGCCATCCGACCTGTCGATCCGCAGCAGAACTTAATTGGCTATGAATCAAAAAGCAAATCTACATAGTCATCCGAAATTGCCGGTGTTATGCAGTTCAGAATTTGTCATTGATCATATTGTCGCGTATAGCGGTAGCGAATCCGGACACCATTCTTTTCTGATTAGAAGCACTAGAGATAAGTCTCGCAGCTTCGACTGAACAATGCCGAATCAACACTACAGCGTACGAGGGGACTTGCTGAAGTCCCACGGTCTTGGTAGACATCGATCTGGGCGCTAGTTTATCGGGACATACCTCTAACCGAGCAATGTCGGATTTCTTGAAAACGAGGAATCCTGAATCTTGGCTTCTCCTGGTTGTCGTCATGGTGCGCGTTGATCTTGATAAGCGATGGCCGAAAAAAATTACGTGAATATTGTAGATTGGAGCCAAGCAGATATCGGTCCTCGACGCATCTTGATTTGGCTGGTGGCTGAAATTTGAGGGCACCAACGTTTTTCACTTCTTGCATTCCCAGAGTTCAATAATTGACAATAGTCATCAGCCAAATGCTGTGCCGAAATATGAGGTCTTCACGGCATTGGTTTGGCAAGTTAGAACATAAATGCGCATCTTGGCAAAATTCGAAATCATTCATCATTTATGTCATTCGAGCAAGATATTGAAAATCAGAAACATGAAAAGCCATCGAAAGCCATCTCAGTTCAGCTGCTGTTCAGCAGAACAGAGGAGAAAAGGACAATAGAGTGACGGCAGTTAGTATGGATGGCTGTGGCGGTGTATGTGGCGGTACTCTTTATTCGCACCGCCACAGCTCGCGACACAAAAAACTTCCCGCCTCAATATCCACACCACATTCCACGGGGTTATCATTCAACCAACCCCTCTACCTTTTTGATTTTTGAGCAGTTGCCCAGCGCAAATTGCCCATAGATCATCAGAATGCCTTCAACTTCTCTCGCAGACCTGGTGGCCGCCCTCCCAGAGGAGGACTCCTGGGGCCCCTCCACCACTGCCGACAACATGTTGTCTGGCGTACCTTACGCTCCTTTCTCCAAGGGCGATAAGCTCGGCCGTATGGCCGACTGGACAGCCGAGTCCAAGGAGCGTCAGAACCAGCGCCCTCAGTACAATCGTGGTTTCAGAGGTATGTTCTTTTTTCCATCACTTTTTCTTAGTGCCCCTCCACCGCCTTTCGAGTCGAACAGCATCGCTAACACATTAAACAGACCAGCAGGTGTACGGCGCCGGTACCTCCAACCTGTTCACCGTCGCTACCGCCGAAGACGAGTCTTCATTCTCCGTCGTTGACAACACCCGCGTCCAGAAGCGCACTTTCGGCCGTGGAGGTGGCACTGTCTTCCGTGGCCGTGGTGGCCAGCGTGGTGCTGCCAACCAGCGCGGTGGACGCGGTGGCTTCCAGCGTGCCGGCCCTGGTGGTCGTCCCCAGAACCAGTCTGGCTACAACTACGACACCCGCGGTGGACGTGGTGGCCAGCGTGGTGGCCGTCGTTTCGGCTGGAGAGACTACGACAAGCCTCAGCGCATCCGTGAGCCCTCTGTCAACATCCGTCCTGAATGGACTATGCTTGAGGAGGTTGATTTCACTCGTCTGTCTAAGCTGAACCTCGATGCCCCCGAAGGCGAGGACCTCGAGACCTACGGTTTCCTCCACTACTACGACAAGTCCTACGACAAGGCTCCTGTCAAGAACGCAGAGCGCAGAATCCAGTCTCTCGACCGTGCTGCCTACAACGTTACCACTTCCCAGGATCCCGTCATCAACGAGCTCTCCGAGAAGAACGCCGCTACCGTCTTCGCTACCTCCGATATCCTCTCCATGCTGATGTGCGCCACCCGCTCCGTCTACTCCTGGGACATCGTCATCGTCCACCAGGGCGACAAGATCTTCTTCGACAAGCGCGACGGCGCCTCCTTCGATATGGTCTCTGTTAACGAGAACGCCATCGACGCCCCTCTCGAGGCCACCGAGACCACCGGCAAGCAGGACCAGCTCAACACCCCCAACGCCCTCGCCATGGAAGCCACCATCATCAACCACAACTTCGCCCTGCAGACCCTAGTCGAGTCCGACAATGCCAAGGTCTCCTTCGCCAAGCCTAACCCCTTCTATGATGAGACCGAGGAGACCGAGCCCCTCGCCTCCAAGGGCTACAAGTACCGCCGCTTCGACATCTCCCTCGAGCGCGACGATGAGCCCGTCTCCATGATCGTCCGTACCGAAGTCGACGCCGTCATGAAGGGTGGCATCACTGGCGCCGAAGACCAGCACCTGGTCATCAAGGCCCTGAACGAGTTCGACCCCAAGGCCCAAGGCTCCGGCGGTGCCCTCGACTGGCGCTCCAAGCTCAACTCCCAGCGCGGTGCCGTCCTCGCCACGGAGATGAAGAACAACTCCGCCAAGCTCGCTCGCTGGACCACCCAGGCTATCCTCGCCAAGGCAGACGCCCTCAAGCTCGGATTTGTCTCCCGTGTCAACCCCCGCTCCGCGGCTGGTCACGTCGTTCTCGGCGTTGCGGGCTACAAGCCCCGTGAGTTCGCTAGCCAGATGAACCTGAACCTCGGTAACGGCTGGGGTATTGTCCGGACTATTGTTGATCGTATTCGCACTCTCGACTCCGATGAGCCTGCTGATAAGATTAAGAAGTACGTCCTCATCAAGGACCCCAACAAGGCTGTGCTGCGTCTGTACAGCGTTCCTGCTACTACTTTCGAAGAGGATGATGAGGCTGAGATGGAGGAGCCTTCCGAGGACAAGTCCGAGGATGAGGAGTAAATTAACTAAATTGATGACTTATGTGCATACGCACTTTACCTAAAATTTGATGCTTTACACTCTTGATAGATTTGACCAATAATCTGTTTTCAATCAATCATTTCGATATATGTCCCGTTTCCATTCCACAATCCTGGTTGTGCAGCTTCTATGTACAGAGCTATACGAATAGCAAAAAGCTAACTGCACAAGCCGAATGACATGTGCCCTTTTCTCTTTGATTGTACAAATAAACATCATGGTTGGTTTCACTTGAATCCATCCAATGGCCTGACCGGTGGTCTGACGGTATAACCCTTCTCTGAACCATGTAGGGGCGTACAAGAAAAGTCTGTTTCCCTCCGGCAAACTAGGTAGTTTTCTACTATATCCTACCTTGGTACCATACAAAAAGCCATCCATCCCCAAACTGGCTGGTCATGATGGCCATACCTAGGTAGACTACTACAACCTTGAAAATGCTTTGTTCAGACATAGTTTCAAAAAAAAGAGTAATATATTCAGTGCGTGGCAAGGAGGCGATACAATCGCCTTGAAACCAACACACGAAGTTCAAGCTAAAACCACCACCAATGATTTTCACGTATATACAAGCCAACTAAAAAAACACAAACCGAAACACAGCAAAGCCAAGACATCAGATCGTAATAATTTTCCATTTCGCTCAGCCATACATCGAGTCATCGGCTGTACCAGACATACCGAGATCGACCTTCGTGCCGAGCACGCTGCTCAGACAATCTATCAGCTCGAAATCCTCGACCACAGCGCCGAAGCCGTAACAGCGGACTTTGGTGTTGAGGGTGTCGATGATGATTTTGACGTCGTCGCGGCGGAGAGTCGGGTACAGCTCGTGGTTTTTGAGGCATTGCAGGGCCATGATCGGTGTAATTTGGCCTTCTGTTACGAGCTGCCGGCTGAGGTTTAGGAGGGTGCTGAGATTGGCATGGGGGAGGTCTGGGGCCTTGTGCGGGTATGGCTGTTCCGGTGTTGTTTTGGCGATGTAGCTGGGTGGTGGGCACGTGGCCATCAGGGCGTGGCCTGAGAAGGGCATGTCCTCGTCGTCGGCTTCGGTGATGGATCGGCGACAGAGGTAATCTGTGTGTTCGCGACAGGGCCCTTCTAGTCTGGGCGGGATTAGTTTAGTGTTTTTGCTGTATGTTTTTTTGGCTGCAACTTACGTTAGGATGAAGTCGACTTGGAGTTGTGGGTCTGACTCGAAGACGCCGCGCAGACCGGGCACGGGCATCGGCGGCATGGGTTGCATGGCATCTACCGGTGCGCATGATGAATGGTCCATACTCATGGAGTGCTCGCCAGGACTTGTTTGATAGACTTGCTGAGGCGCATAACCGATCGAGGGCGAGATATCTGAATGGTCCATTGTTCCATTGGCGCGTGGGCTCATGTCAGATGTGATGGTGGTCGCCGGGGTCGTATTGTGGTTACTGGTCGAGTTCGTGAGAGGTGCCGATTGCGATGCGGTGCTGCTGCCGGCAACAGGGCTGGAATCGAAGGGCATGGGTGGGCGCTCCGCGCGGCGACGCTCGAAGTCGGCTTCATACTGGATCCCATGTGCTATGAGGATCTCCTTGAGGATCTCGTTCTCGCTCCGTACCGCATAGATCGCCTCCTTCTGCTGATGGATCGTTGCGTTGGCATCTGCAATCTCCGTAGTGTATGCTTCCCGCAACCGTGACACTTCAGTCTCCAATGCTCGCATGTATTGTTCCTTGCGCTCGCGATGTGTCCTGTGAGGGTCAGCCCCGTCCTCACAATAAGATCCTCCCGAGATCCTACCTTTGAGCCTGACGGTTCAACTCTTGTCGCCTGGTCAGTGCAGGCTTGCTATCTGGCTTGGGTCCGCGGCGTTTGGGCTGTTGACCATCTGGGAGGTTCAGTCGTCGTCTTATGGATGGGTGTAGGAAGCCACTCACCTCGCGTGATTTTCTTCTGAGAATTTCCACTGGGGGCACTGCCGCTACCTCCACCACCAAATATTTTGAAAATTTCCGCACCGAAACCCTTGGATAACGGAGTTTGTGGTTCCTCTGTGATGGCTTGCACCGTGCACTCCGGGGCCATGGGCCGGGCCGGAGAGACATCGGCGCGATCGAGTCAGCAATCGAGATCCTAACAAGAAAATTGCGATGGCCATTTTTTCTAGGGTTGTTTCTGGTCGAAGGTTTTGGCTGATCAGATAGAGATATCCCTCAGAGCTTCCGGGTGGCGAAACCCGGGGAGGTCTTGTCTAGATCTCTCCGCGACCCCGGGGTTCACCACCTTCCGGAGCTCCCGATAGTGCGATCGAGGCCAATGGTAACGGTTCAATTAATGTAGTTCATGAAGTGAATCCTCCCTCGCTGGGCTGCATTGCCCTGATCGCACAAGCACCACAGAGTAGCTTTTGTCCAGACCAGAAACCGACCGAAGAGGGTTTGAAACGCAAGGAATGAGACTTGGACTCACCAGAATACTGCATGGCGTGGTCCATCGGGTACACCCCACCACTGACAGCCATGATTCAAGATCGAGGCAAGGGATAAGTTAAGCTCAGAAAGAATGGAAGAAACGGAAGAATGGAAAGTAGAAGAGAATGGAGTATATCAAATTATAAAGGGAGAGTAAGAAGGAAAGATGGAGATTGGAGGGAGAAAAGAGGAAAGTGGAGGAAGAAAGAGATGTGATGGAGAACAACTTGACTGTTTTCCGTTTCTTTTTTTTGGTTCCCCCTGCAGATGATTGCTACTCATATATTACTGTATATTTTGTATAACTATAGTAGATTATAGGATATATATTATATATTATATTTAATATTGAATCGGGTTTTAATTCAAATCACTCTTCTCTAGACAAACGGCAAGGCGAATGCTCCACCTTCAACGGCGAACACTAAAACGCCTAGACTCGACTGTGCGATACCTACTACTACTCCGTACACTCCGTAGTATACTACATATATATAATACTATATGACATTGTATCTTAATTGGACACTTATTCAAACACTCCGACTTTATACATTACATAGTATACCAATCTCACGTTAAATATGTAAAGGTTATCTGTCTATAATTCGGAAACATCCAAGGTCAAAGTACCAAGGCGGTACCCGTTATCTGCAGCCACTCCATAACTGCCAGGGAAGTACCCCGTAAGTAACTAATCATCGGGTACGTGCTCCAGACGAAAAAACCAATCAAACCTCGATTCATCTTCTCAGCTCACATCCAATAGTTTTGTCCATCATTCAAACCAGGAATATATTGGTCAATAAGATTACGCCGATCATTTTAAATTCCAAATTCCAAAAGTGATCCACAATAATTGTCCATTATTGTACAAGATCAATACTACATTACGGCAATGGACGAGATTTTGGTCCATATCGCCGCCCCAAGCACGGCCCACGACGACGCCCGCTATCGGGCCCAAATCGCCGCCATATTGGATTTCCAATGTGCCTCACGCTCTCAAGTCCAATTCCACATCAATAATTCCACTCCCTGTCTACCCGCTGATCTCCAACACGAGCCCTCGCCAATCCGGGAGGCGTCCCGGCCCGCCTTCTCCGATCATGAATGTCCGGCTCCACGCGAGGTTCTAGGCGCAACCCACGACCATGAACATGGTCATAGTACCCCCTTCGAATCCTTCGTCAGCGTCATCCCAGACTCGCAGGAGATCGCCCAACTAGTCTCCTCACACTCTGCAGAACCGCAAGCCCCACTCACATCCTCCCCATCCCCCTATCATGCAAATAATGAACCCACTACGGTCCAACCCGCTGCACCAACATGCAGCAGTAGGTCTGCAACTGCAATTCCAGTCCCAGACTCCGCCGTATCTCTCTATCTACATCTCCATCTTCCCCTAGAAATCCATCCCCCAAGCCCTCCCATCGCCACCGCCCCCTTCAAAACACACATCACGCCCACGCTGTCCATGCTCGCGGAGCGTCTGAAGCCCGCGCGGACATACAATCCATCGCGGCAGGCGCGGAAGCTGGATCCGCTAGAACGGGGGTATTGGTTCGTGCGTTTCACTATCGTGGACACGGACGCAGACACAGACATAGACCTGCAAGACCGAGACCGAGACCCCGTCGCAAATCCCGATTCGGATTCAGGTCCTTCCCTCTTCTGGCCAGCTCCACTCTTCCGTGCTTTTTGGTCTTTCCTTTCTGAGTTCGTAGGGAGGGACGGTCGTGCGGGTTGGGGCGTGTGGTGTATACTTGAGAGGGATGTGTTGCTTTCTGACCGGGTTACGCTGAAGGTGTATGCTTGGGGTGAGGTTGCTATGCATGTTTACCTTCTTCTTTTCCTGGCTAGTGAGCGGCGGATCAGGGGGATGGGGGCTCAGTGGAGAGATTACAGGGAGGAGGTCGTTGTGCAGATGCCGTAGGCATCCTTGGTACTATTCATTTCTGGAAAGGAGTTATTGGGATTTCAGATACCCGTTTGTTTTACTCTATACCCCTACGGCAAGATTTCTTTATTCTTCATTCTGTTATTTTGATAGAAATGGGATATTGTACATGCTATAAATGAGAAGAAAAAGGAAATAGTCCGTCTGGAATGTAAAAGGATGAAAGCCTTAGAAAAAAAGATAATTGTTTTCAGAGATTCTGGGCAAAATGAAACGAATAATAAAAGAAAAGGAAGGAGCCATTGGTTCTCCAGGATGACCTATGCGCCGTGTCGCCAGAATTGAAAGCAATGAAAGTAGAAAAGAACAAGGAAGAAAAACGAAGCAGTGCAAAGAGTGACCTTAATAGTTCAGTTCACCGCTGCCCGCGCCGTCGACTGCATCGAGATCTTCGTAGCTCTTCAAGCTACGGCCCTGAACGGCTTCGCGGGGAGGCATGGGTCCTCCGTTGGATCCTGCCGAGTCGGGGAAAGGATTGGCAGGAACCATTCCAGCAGCAGGGTGACCTGCAGGGACGGTGACAGAGGGCGGCATTCGGCCGTACATGCCCTGCATGCCACGAGGGGGGGCTCAGGCGGCCGTTGCCGTTGAACCGGCGGCGGTCATACGGACCAGGCCGGTGGTTGCGATTTTGACCACGACGCATCGGTCCAGGCTGGTGCAGACCACCCTCGTGGCCCATACCGGGGCCATTCCAGCCGCCGGTGTGAGCACCCATCATGGGCATTCCACCCGGTGGGAAGTTTGGCATGCCGCCATTGGGGCCGTAGGGCATGCTGGCTAGGCTGAAGCCGCGAGGAGTGCCGCTGTGGCCTTGGCCAGATCCGAGTGGGAAGTGGCCATTGCTATTGGCGTCAGATCGGGATGGGGCGATGCGTGCCGGATCGAGGACATAGGCATTCACGAGGTGGAGCTGTGAAAATGTTAGTTATGAGAATAGACCTGGGTAATCACACACTTACATCGTTCTTGATAGTCTCAAACCATTCCGCGTGGCGCTTCTCGATGTGCTTGCGCCAAAAAGCCTCAGCCTTGAAGAGCTTTGTGCACTCGGGCGCCTTGCAGCGGTACTTGGAATCATCTTCCTGCTTCATGTATTTCAGGAGTTCATCTTCCAGTGCCTGGTCGACAGGCTTGCCACCGAGTTTGCTGAGGTCAACATTCTCAGGCTCCAGGATTTGCAGCAGCTTGTCTTCAAAGGTCTTCACCCAGTTGAAAGCACGCTGCATTTGCTGCTCTGACTTGGAACCATGACGCTGGCCACCACGCTTCTCCTGGACAGGCGATGAAGGATCTTCCCCTTCCTCGCTGGGTTCCTTCTTCTTGGATGGGAACGGGTAGCCAAGAGCGCTGGCTCGGGCAACTTCCTTGGCCTGGCTGGAAAGGCCAGTACGTGGGCGACGAAGATGTCCGCCGGGGCACTTGCGACCAAGCTCATGGACAGAATCACTTTCAAAGACACAGAAGAAGCAGAAGTTGTAAACCCGACGGAGGTATTCAACAATGAGATCCAACTTCTTTTTCTTCACCGCAAGATCCTCATCATCCACGTCCTCTTCCTCAACTGGTTCCTTCTCCTCACCCTCTTCAATCTCTCCTTCATCGTCATCGTCTGAGTAACCGTTCTTCTGCTTCTTGGTGCTGACCGGTCCCATGGCAGATGGTTGGAGTTCGCCTTTGCCGCGCAAATCGTCGACATATTCCTCAATCTTGGCAACCCCGTCCACGTGGTCACCCATCTCAGAGTCCAACTTAGAGGCTAAGCGCTTGGCCAGCTCGAGGTCACGATCAATTCGCTCGGGTGAGGAGAACAAATCCCATAAAGCCTTCTTGCGTGGCTGAGCAGGAGGAGCGTGAACTCCCACGTGGCAAACGAAGTCACCGTGGACTGCGTCATGGATTGTCTTGTCGTTGACCGCTTCCAAGGCCCTTTCAGCCGCGTTGACTGTGACTGCTCCATTGGCACCTCCTTCGTGTTCTTGATCGTATTCTTCGTCGCGTCCATCTCCCCTTTCAATTACTGTGTCTGCAGAGGGGTGCAGCATAATCCATCCCATGCGGTGAAACTTTTTGGATGGGTTCGGATCACTGAGGCTGAGCCCCTTGAAACCTCCACTGTCCTCGCCGAGATGCTCGCGGCAAAATTCCTCAATCTTGCTGCGGCTGACGTTTGGTGCAAGTGTCTTGATTAGAAGGGCAGGCTGAGAGAGGGCTTCATCACGAAGGTCCCCGCCACGGACCGGGAGAAGGTCAAGCACGCCCATGGTTTCAGCAGCGGCTGTAGTCTCGCCTTCTTCCTTTTCGACCATGCCACCGGCACCGTCGCTGTCGCCCTTGTAGATGCCTTCAAGGGTAAACTCCCTGAAGACATGGTTATCAATGTCATGCTGCCATTGTTCATACGCGCCCTGGCGGACAGCGATGAGGCGGCTGCGAATAGGATCCCTGATCTCAGGGACATAGCGTTCTTTGAACCATTCTTCGTTGCGGTGCTGCTGCACAAACAGTCTGGCCAGTCGAATCTGCAGATCCACCTTGTAGGTGTCATAAGCAGCCTGGATTTGGGCTCGCTCCTTGTCGCGATCTTCACGCGCTTCGCGTTCACCCTTGACTCGGCGACCGCCATTCTTGGCGCGCTCCTTTTCTTCATTCACGTTTTGCTCGAATCTCCACCACTCGGCGAACCAATTGAAACCGACTTGGAAATCTAGCGAGAGCGGATTGGGGAGCGGGTTGGTAGGAAGGGGACGCTTGCCACCGCTCAAATCTTGTCCGGGCACATAGCGATCGATGTTGGCTACTGTAGGAGAGGGAGCACGTCGGCGATCCTCACGCTCGCGGGCAGCGTGTTCCCGAGAGTTGTTGTAGTGATCCTCTCGGTGAGGGCGGCGGTCAGAAGGCTCGTAGCGGTCAATCACGGGTGAGCGAGAGCGCGGGCGCGCACGTCGACGGTCCTGAGAGACTGTTTTCTGGTCAATTTTGCTGAGATTCAAATATGATTCTAAATACCTACCAGGCGATCGGCGTCTGTATGGTTCGGCGGGAGTTCGCCCCGAGAAGGAATCCGGCTCGCGGGCCCTTCCGGGAGATCCGTAACCTTCGTAAGAATCCATTGTTCCTGTCCAAGTTTGGTGTTTTCTACAGCCTGCGCTGCAAAGGAGTCTCTATGGGTCCAAGGACTCGGCCCAGGGGGATGGAGCGGAGACGAAACAGTCTCAAGCGATCCGGAAGTCGGGGAACGCGCGATCAGCTAAGATTCGGTATCGTCAATATCAGATCAAGGAACTTCATGGAGCGAAATAGCGATGGCGATTGGAAAGTTCATGGAGGATAACAGAGGAATGGGTTCGGGGCAAAGAGAAAGACAAGATCACGCTGCTGCTGGCAACATATTGACCCCAAGCGCGCAAGGGACGAACCATGATCGCAGCAGGTGGGGTTGAGATGGCAAAGAGAGAATATGAAGAAGGCTGCAGGACAGCAACTGTCAAGCGATCAAAGATTCATAGAGCCCCAGCAATGCGCAAAGGACAGAGCAAGGGGTTGGAAAAGCAGGGTCAAGAGAGGCTAATCAAAAGAGGGGAAGAACGGAAGAATAGAAAGAATAGAGCCACCTACAAGAAGCCTCAAGGCGCGAAGGTTGATAGATGGGCAGGGAAGAGAAGAAAGCCGAGGAGGTTGAGGAGCTGGAGAGAGCTGGGCACTTGGCCGAAAAGGGTATGGCGTCACGGGGATAACTGGCGCCTGGTGATTGGTCAGTTCTCAGCAGGAACAAGTCCAAATGACAATCCCCTGCCCTCACTCAATAGGTCAATTCGGGGGTTGAGGATTCTGAATTGTAGTGGTATAAAAAGAGGCGGACAGGAAAAAAAAAGGAAAAGTGAGTAAAGAACTGCAATTCGAAAATAGTGACTTCAACATCTGGAGATGAAGTATACCAGATAACCGATAAAGCCCGAACACTTCTTGTTAAACACATCCTTCATGGATGTCTGCTTCGGTGTTGTACTACCCCTGGCTAGCCCATTTATTTTCTTTCAAATTCTCTTGGCGATGATTCATGCTGTTCGCAAGGCCACTTCCCGGTGGTTAACGCTGGCAAACACGGTGATACGTGCATGGGTCTCTTGGATGAGAACTTAAAGGAACCTTGGAAAAATGAACGAACGGAAATTAGTTCACCTTTCAGGTGCTTTCTATCAGTAGGTCTGTTTGTGTGCTAATTATCAACGTTCTGACCTCGGGGTCATGATCGACATACAGAGCGTAAAGAGGAAGATCAACCATGCACGTAAAGATAGGTCCCAAGGTTTAATGTAAGCAATCTGTGTATCACGCATATATAAGAGGTCCTTACTGCCTTCGCTACCCGTGCACACGGTTATGCATGTCATTTTAACATCTCGGCAATCAAGCCTAGTTTACTAGACCACATCACTGGCGCTTATATGTACAGAGAAGCTATTTAGATTTATTTATGAACTATATGGATGCTGTTAACTAAAGCCCAGTTAAATAGCCTTCAAAGGCCTTTCAAAAGACCATACTAAACAGCTGACCACATGCGGGAAAGAACATCAAGGGAGGACAATTATTTATCACCTACGAATAGAGACGTTATATATAGAGACGAAACATTATGTTATTTCGCGCCAAAGATTGAATACAGATATGACGGTAAAGACACTAGGATAATCATCACAAAAGAAAACAGGAACTATGCTATATATTAGCCAAAGAGGTTGCCAACTTTTCTATGCCGGGAGATGGAGGTGTGATATCTGCCTCCCAGATAGAGTAGGCTAACGTTCCTTATCGAGGGCTCAAACAACATCATCAACCAATTAATGTTAAAAGATGAGATTTAATTCCTTTTGTTTGTTAAATCCCCTAGAGAATGAAGAAATCGCCTAAGGATTGTGATGCGGATAGAAGCATGTCGTGTCTACCTACATATATCGTCCTAGGTCCAACAGGGGCAACCGAAACTCACGGGTAACTTAATAACCAATAACAGAGAGAAAGCAAGTCTCCTCAAAGATCCAGACGGCCAATTCACCGGCGGAACAATTAAACGACAAATCAAAGCCAGCTCGAAAGGCATCCCTGGATCGATCAGCCCCGACAGCAAGAGTAATCCAAACTCTGAATTAGAGCCTAACAAGACTCTTACAATGACTACTTTAATACCAGATCAGTTATCAGCAATATCTCAGTCCAGATCAAAAGTGACAAGATCAATACGTAGTTAAAGGTCAAACAAAAGAACGAACTCCCGGAACAAAAACACAAGCTGATTGGTTAATCAGGAGCCGTCCCCATCACCACACCAGAACCGCGCCGCACTTCAACTAACCGACCATGTCAGGTCTTCTGAATTCTCGCTGGGCACCCAGCGCACCCCAAAGACCAAACTACGCCCCTCGGCCACATGACCATGGCAGCATTCGGCCCGCCGCCCCGTCGCCAGGCCAGGGCTGTCTGCTGCCACCGGCCGAGGAATTGGCGCGGTTTATGAAGATTGTCGCGAGACTGCGATGGAAGCTTCCTTTCCTGGCTGAAGGGTACCGGCTTGCGACGCTGGAAATCGGAGATCGGGTATCGGATGACGTCGCGCACGCTGAGATTATGTTTAAAATTGATTTTCACGAATATTATGCGCTCCTCGAGCGTGCTATTGTGCATTTACTCGCTGTGTTCAATATTGCAGTGGCTTCGTCGCGGGGTCTGGTAAATGGCGCCGCGAACGGAAATGGAAATGGTCGGTCGGTTGGTATTCATCGGTACCATGCCAATGTCCTTGAGGCCTTGCGGGAGCAAACCACGCCTCTTTCGCCTGTTCTTGGTAGTGGGCCGGTCTATTTGCAGTTGCAGAAGGCCAAGGAGCTGCGTAATAGATGGAAGACTGCGGATTTGACCACGGAAGAGAGGGAAAGGCAAGGTGAACGGAATGATACTGTCAAACTGGCAGATTTTGACTTCGAGGGTATTCTCTCTGGCATCTTTGGGGGCCTAGAGGAGGCGTATATCCGGGCGAAGGATCATGTCGATAAATGCGTTCGTCCAGACGACTTGCCTGACCAGAAGAACAAGAACTCCGAGGCAGACTGGGGGTTCATGGTCGATGCCATGGATTGGGAGGCTGTATGAACACTGCCGACCGCATGGCTTGACTTTCATGGGCCTTGCATCACCTGCTGCTGGCGGCGGGTATCGCTGTCCAACATATGAGGTTCGACGACCAAGATCATCAGCGCCGATGTGCAGACATGTGTCTGTCACCGAGACTGGATGGCTGGCTCAAAACTTTAGCTTCGCCTCGCGGCTCCGTTGTCAAATTGCGTTGCAACCTGTGTTTGCTATCGCCGCTGCATTCGCCTTGGTTGTCACCGGGTGCTCGGTATTGAACGACCGTCTAGGTGAAGAAAGAGGCAGGGTGTGCCATAGACTGGCTCGTTGATTCAAGCCAAACCAGCTCACGAGAGAGATGCCATCTCTCACCCTCTCCGATATTTTGCCGCCCTCTCGTTCTATTTCCTGTCCGGTTCCAAAAGAATCTTTTCCAGCTATATTCCCACATCACCAATCAATGATAGATTCTCACAGATACTTGAATTCCCAATTTGTGATTTCGTTCTACCTAACGATTCTCGGGGGCATCAAAGTATCAGGAATGTAGGAGCACTACTGTAGTTACATATTTGCTGGTCCGGCCCGAACATTCGAGGCACTCTTTCACTTCCTGACCCACATGGTCCAGGCTGAACGCTGTCCACGTGTGGCGTGTATCTATATTTGATGTAGCATCGTACTCATAGTCGGAGCTTTCTAGCTAGGCGATTTGAGTGAGGTAATCTATCTCTTTACACGAACGTACCTATAGGCACCCAGAACAGGTATGACCACCCACATCAAACGAGGATCAACTATCAACCTACAGCATAACTACCTGGGCAGGATCTTCAACACTTTGAATAACAGTACAGTCAAGAGATAGCCTGTTGTAAAATCTGCAGTATATCCATAGTTCAAAAATCTACAATCCAATTTCATCCCTTTCATGCCAATCCCGACCAACACAAACAAAAGATAAAAACCAGTAAGGAAATTAATATCAATACTCAAATCAAATTCGGATGCTCATAACACAAACCAGTCTTTCGATGTTTTTCCAGTGATGGAGATCCCCTCTAAAATTCCCAGCCGAAGACCCATAAACCCGCAACACGAGACACCGAAGAAAAGAAGAAAAATGGAAACTTCAAAAGAATATTCATAATAAGAACATCAATGCAAGACCAGACTCACGGAGAATGAGAGACAACTCATGCATCAGAAACAGTGTTCCCAATTATGACTGTTGACCAAGTAAGATTGGTGAAGGCTCAGCAATTGAAAGCGCTGTCTCACGCGCTTTATTCCTTGAATAGTGCGGAGGCTTGGTATTACTCTGGACATCTGCGAGGATCCGCCATTGAGAGGGGAATACGAGAGAAAAAAAAAAAGAAAAGGACAATAGGGGGAATGAAGAAAAGAAGAAATCGTCCCAGCATAGCGGTTATAAACAGACATCAAGGGCAAAGGAGGTTGGTTGTGTGAGATAGGGAAGCAAAAACATCAAAGGGCATAGAAAGAGGGATCCATACACATCGCTCGCTAGAGAAAAGGTCCAAGACATCCATCCATAAAGCCGTGACGACAAAAGAAAAACAAAAGAAATTCACAAAATCACCATTCCAAGACGACCCTGTCTTGCGGTAGAGCAATGCGATTTATCAACCATCCTCGTCTGAGGGCTCGGCGGAGTCTTGATCACTTCCGTCGGCACTGGCAGTCAGCTTCGATTTCTTCGAAGAGTTCACGCCATCGTCGTGCACTTCACTCGACTTGCGCTTCTGTCCGCCGCCGTTCTCAGTTGGCAATGGCTTGCTGAGATCCTCAAATGTGACTGGCTTGCCAGTGACCTTTTCTCGTGTCTCCATGGCGGCGACCTCGTCAGCTGTCAAGAATCGTCCACCTGGACCACGGGGTCTCCGCATAGCATGGTTGTGTCGTGACTCGTGCAGATAAGGCTTGCGACCCTTTGATGTCAAGCGCAACTGCTCTTCGAGCTTTTGCCTTGCTACGCGACGCTTCAGGATTCGGTGGAACTGCTTGGCGTTGACGTACAGGGGCGACTCTTCTTGGTTGCTCCCGGGGACCATGTCCGACGAGGCCTGGTTCTGTTGTACGGAGGGCTGGGGTAGCGGGGCTGCGATGGAGGGGCGACCGACATGGCTCATCACGGGCTGTGCATGTTGGACATTCGGGCTACCGCCGACATGGCTCATGCGGCGTTGGGCAAGTTGTTGATTTGGGGGCATCTGGACCTGGGAACCCATTGGCGGCATCTGACTTTGCATCTGCGGCGATGAACGAGGATTGCGATCCGGCTTCATCTGCATATTGGCCATGCGCGGTGAACCTCGGGCCCCAGGGGCCATCTGTCCACCCATGGAGTCCTGGTGAAGAGGATAAAATTGCCCAGAAGCAGCAGCTGTTGCCATCGCGGCTGCTTGCGTTGGTGAGATACCATAGCCCTGGGCCATTGGTGCAGGCACCCCATACCCTTGGGGGAAGTTCATTTGTTGGTGAACGGCACCGGGTCCATTCTGTGCTTGCTGATAATGGGGTTGCGAAGGGACGATGGGTGAGGTTTGATGAGCGGAATGAGGTTGAATGGGTGCCTGTGCATTGGAGGGGGATCCCATCGACCCAACGGGTGCACCAGCGTTTGCTGGACCGGTTTGGTAGGGACCCGGGATATGAGAGGACGCATGAGGGTGTTGCCCATGGGCCTGTTGGTATTGGGGAGGATATTCCATGATGTGCAACGGGGGATCTCGTCACACAGAGGCGTGCGGCACCGTTTCAGGGGATCGATCTAGTGTGACGACCGGATATTGGGCGGTCACCAATCAGGGCAAAGGGATTGGGTTGAGTTGATATGAGAGGTCCCAAATGGATAAAGGTCCACGGCGGGGTCTGTTTGGTAGATGTATTGGCACAATATCACAGGGCGCGCGTAATGGAAGAGTCAACACAAGCCGGATGAGGGGCAGTAGATGATTCGATGAAACAGGCTGCAGGCTCGGGGCTTCGCGTCAGCAGAGCGCATCGCCGAGCGGTCACTGGTTTCTAGGAGTGGGGATATGGGGAAAAACACAGGGACCAGGCACGTACCTTAAATTGCAGACGCGCACTATGAGCGGCCAATATGATTTCTGTGTTTCGTCAAAAGAAACTCTGAGGTTTGTTTGGCGAGAATAATCTCGAACGCCCCGCGGAGGGTTTGGCTCTTTTGTGCAAAACTGTTAACGCCCCCAGTCGGGTGTAACGTGGTTGGGCTGTGATGCAGCGGTGCCGGGGAACCCCTCGACAAAAGATGCCGGGTTGATGCGTTGTCAACCCCTAGAGCTGATGCTAGATGTGGAGGCTACGCAGACTAATTCAAGCACGGTCGGCAGGTTACCTGTTTTCACGCACTTCCGGTACTCTGCCACGTCCGTAGAAATTGAGGCGGTGCCTTGATGTCAGAATGCGCCTTCAAGGCCAGACTATTCAGTATTAGCATAATTCAGCCTAATCAAACACCATGATGACTCCATGAACAGTGCGCTGTCAATTCGACAGATCATTCAGAGGGAATTGGGGGAGATCCGGGGCGGGTAAGACCGGCCATGGTTAGGAGGGGGGACATGTATGCGTTGGCAAGTTGAGATGCATGAAACATACCTGATCGACTTCTGCAGAAAGTTAAGAAGATTTGAGGCGAGACTAGTCGAATCCAGGGAGCGAATCACTTTTGTCATATGTTAGATGCGACTGAAAGCCCACGAGGGAGATGATGTAAACGTCAGGGACGCGTGTGGATTGGAGCAAAGAAAAAACACAGAAGCACAAGAAACACAAGAAACACAAGAACACAAAAAACGCGCGCACATATAAATCAAAAGAACCAATCAAATGCAAAAAACAATGTATGAATAAAAAAAAAAGAGGTGGTAACTCGTATGCGATAGCATGCGACAATGACACAATGAGAATGTTTTCACGCGTTGTTATTCTAGATAAGACGCGCGTGGGATTGGAGCTTGGGTATACCTTAAAATGCAACTGGATAGATTATCTATTGATAATCTCCGGTTAGGTCTTCCCAAACAATCAAGGGATCCCAGGGTAAACGATGATTTGACCAGGCTTTTAGGGAGGGGGGGAGATCGAGGAATCGTGCCAACGAGAGAGAAGGCGGTGGTTCTGTGCGCAACCGGAGCCACTGATGTCAAGCGGCCGGACAGTTCCGACAGGGGGACAAAGTAATTCCAACAAAATGTAACAACGTATACAATGTATAGCATAAAAAAGGCAAGGAACAAAATGAAATTGATACAAAAATAAGGTGTTTATACAGTGTAAAATGAGAAGAGAGAGGGAAAGAAACGCATAGTAACGAATAGCAAATTGCCAATAGCTCCAATATAACAAAGATAACTCAAAGAATATAATAAGAAAAAAGATGCAAGCAAATCGAACTTACCAATGATAGGTGTGGTAGTATAGATAGTATAGTACCATGTACTTTGATATACTAGATCCAAGCAGGGTTTCACCAATGATGATAAAAAGGGGGAGTACTGTGCGATGGTTGGAGGAGGAACTGGAGAGGGCGGGCAACCAACGAGAAGAGGCAGAAGGAAGAAAGGCGAGGAAAAAGGGCGGATGGGGCAGTTTTGTAGGAGATTGACTGGCCCGCGGTGCTGAGACCGCCTTGCTCCCCGCTGCTAAGGCCGCCTTTTCTGCGGCTTTACCATTCATTACAGTTCATTACCATTTATTACCACTGATTACTTAACATTACTGGTGAATCAGTATCCCCATCTACGTAATTGGCCTCCCCATTGTATCAGCATGATCATACTGTAATATTACAATCCGGCACCTCCGGACTCTCGTCGTGTGTGTGACCCGAGACTCAATGACGCATGCCTTTTACCCTTTCTATATCCTCAAAATGTTGTTCTCCAATATTTACTCTACTTTCTGTACTTTGCTGGGTTTTACTTGACATAAGAATCACTATATATTACAATATCAATCTACTTTGGTCTACTCCGTATACATCTACTAGGTACTATTTACCTTTCTCGGGCTGAATCATACCACAGTTTCGCCTGCATGCCACGCTATCACTCTGCCTCATTTTAATAATCTCTTTTCTTTTTTTCCAAAAAAAATAACCCCCTTTCCGTTCTCGAGATTTAATCACTTATAACATAGAGCCCTTTTTCTCTTCTTTTTTGTACCTCCCTTTCATTTTCCTCTGTGGACACCGAGTATCTCGGGCGTGTGCCCTATTCGGGGAAGTATCATCCACCTCATGTCCCATTCCATCCATGATCCTTGCTTCGAGCTCGTGTATTCCGGAGAAATGAGAATCCCGAACAGGGTTCACTGGGGTCTATTTCTTCACGTTACTTATTTTACTCACGGCGATGTGATGAGATCTCCTTGTGGCGGCAATAAAATCATCTCTCCCGGGCGCCAACATTGCAATCTGGACGGTGGTGACGGCGTAATTTGACACAAGGTGTCGATCTGGCGCCAACTCGGGAGAAACCTCTGAGTATCTGTAGTACTGTCGAGGTTCAAGGCATCACTGGAGTAATACCGTTTATTCTGTGAAATGTGAAAAGGTCAAGACGCAAACCTAATTCACTTAAAGCGATAAGCTAAAGAAGTTGGTTTATGTTAGATTTTATAGATTTACAAATTGTTATCATAATTATGACCTTAAAACATGGCAGTCGAAATTCAGCTCACCGTGTGTTAACCTCGGGCTGAAATCTCCACCTTACGGTGTTGCTTCGGGTTTCTTCGTTTCCATCGTATTTCGTGTCAGCTCAGCTCATTGAAAGAAAAAATCACTTCAAACGACCAAATTTGGTATGTTTACGTTGCGCACTCCTACTATATACTTCCATACTTCCATACTTCCAGGTTTTTCTCCACGTGCATTCTAGTCAACTTTAGTAGCTCCCATGGACCATTCAGCGCAGGCGATATCCCTGATTCGCAGGAACGAATGGGTCCGATCTCCGGAGGGGACCCCACGTGTGGGAAGCTTGACCGCTTGACCTCGGAACCATAGAGATCCTACTATACTGTATTGTAGTTTTTGGCAGTTTTCGTCTGGTAAATATATTACAGTAGATAGATACTATTAGCTATTCAAATCACTGTAAACTATCTTATTCCTTTCTAATTGTCTTAGGTATTTTGGCGTCTTTTCGTAATATTGTCGGTATGGGAGCGTAGCATTCATGATTATATATACCGAAGTATCCGTAAGCTTACATTTTTAAATCATCATTCTTTATGAATAACCGGGCCTTACATTCTTTACTAAAAAAGAACCATCCTTCGGAGGGTCTGGAATATTCTAGTAAAAATTGTAAAGCCCGGTTACCTAGCTATGTAGCGAATCTTCCTTGAATTGTTGAGCTGCCCATAGCGAATGTTCAATGATATGTTAGCCATTCAAAATTCATACACAGGTACCAGCAAAAGTTCCTATCATCAGCAAGAGGAGCGTCTCATCTTGAGCCACAGTTGATAGTCAAGGGGAATTTCCCATATGATCCAAAGCCGTCTCAACCGATCGCGATCCCAAAATAATATCATACAGATAGAAGCTCAGCCAAAGCATCCAAACATACTTTACCCTAGTTCGTTAGGTGCTCGTTTGGGAGAGATTGATACCATTTCCACCTCATGGAGCTCGTCTGCTTTTCGCTTTTTGAAGAGGCTATGGAGCATCCCGAAGATAGTATTTACAAGTTTCAGTAAAAGTTGACAAACAAACACTGGATTTCGATGAGGTGACTCTCACGAGGCTGCGTTGCTCGATAAAACTGAAGCCAGTTTTGTGTTTGCTCCCTGCTTGTAACATTGGGTGTAGGTAAAGCCGGAGGTCTTAATACAGTGAATCAATTAGTTGGAAGAAGAATAGTCCAAGTAGTGCTTTAGAGACTTACCTGCGATGAAAGTTATGGAGAAATACTATCAGTAGCGCATTTAGACAAGGAAGGCCAAACAAAACACAATTTTAAACAGATACTGGAGTCTCAGGATCCATGACAGGGTGATTTGGTGGAGGTCTGATTATTCTGCGAAGACGTAGCTGTTGAAGAAGGGTTCAAGATATGTTAATCAGCTAAAGATTGGTAGGGCACTGTAGGAAATGCTTTATGATATCATGTTTACGGTTATACAAAGACAGTTTGACTATTGCCAGCGTACTTCCGAAATCTAGTATAGCAATTTGACCTTTTACGTTGACTTGGTCAAGAAATCTCAAAATACAAAAAACCGACGACCAACGTATTCAGAGTAATCTAGGGAGTTCATCAATCACAGTGCATAGTAGCATTTGAATTCTGCAACTATGTAGTGAAGCTTTGACCAAAGAGTGAACTCAGTTAAGCTCATTTCGTAGCCGCGAGCAAGATTCGATGCGAATTTGCTGGGTTGAAGTCCTTATACCTCAGTGGTAGCCTCAGTATATCCTGGTGGCTTATCCTTAGCCGGAAAATTGCAATTGCAATTAGATCTTCTAGAAAGAGTATGTTAGAGCATTAGATAGAGACTGCAGCATGTATCGACGATACCTGCGACCCTTGTATAGCAGGACGGAGATGATGGATAATGCCAATATAAGAGGGATGCCAAGTCCAATAGAGGGTCCAATAGCTAGTCCTTTGTTGATAGCCGAAGAGGTGCCCTGGAGACCGCTATCGACCTTCGTAGACAGCGCCTGGACCTTGTTGTCTAGTGCTGTAGAGTGGGCTATTATATCTGCAGTCAAGAGACCTGTTTCTGCGTTAAGCTTATCGTCGATCTGGGCAGCAAGGGCTGCGACAGCTGAATTCAAGCGATGATCCTCTGCGTCGGTGTTGTCATTGACTTTTGAAGAAAGAGCCTGGACTTCCATGCTCAAATTCCCATCTTCTATCTTCGCACCTCTGTCGATCTTTTTAGAAAGATCTTCGAGATTTTGGGTGATACTCTCAACTTCTTTGCTGAGATACTCGATCCACCAATAAATGGTATAGTAGGATGACTGCGAATTACCCATGATGTACTTCGTATATGTGAATCAATCGGATTGGGGAAAAATATTGGAATGAGATTGATACAGACAAAATTTGCGCAGATTTTTCAGAAGATCCTTGAAGAACAAGCTGAAAGAGATGAAAAAAGCCAAGTCGACTCATTATAGTGTGATCATCATGCCGAAAGCCAGAGGGGCCATGGAAAGGTAGATGTCGAAACCTTGGAACCTTAAGCCTTCGAGAGATATTCATGCTGTTGCCCGGGGCTAAGAAACATTCTCAGGAACATCATGTAACACAGGAGTTGGTCTCTAAAGAATATAAATATATGTACATATGTATGTATCTATCATTATTGAAACATTTATAGTTAATCTCAAGTCCTCAGCCCCTTACAGTGGTCTCGGGGTGGTGGACTGATTACTCATCACCACCCCATCTCCGGGGGACTCAGGTGGCTTTTCCGCATGTTGACTCGAGATTCGCATTTTGTTTTCCTTTGTGTCTCGAGAAAACTGACTCTGTGGCTGGTTTCCTCGGTGGTTAACTTTCAACCCTGCAAGTTTGACGTCTCCCCGCGCACCAGAAAAATTTCCCCACAAAAAAACATCACAGACGCGCAACATCAACACTGATCCGATACATGACGTCTTTGTTTACACCTTCGGTTTCGACACTCCCTATAAATTCCTCCAAAACGATCGGCGATCCAAATTCACCAAAATCCGCACTTACCTCCCTGCGACAACCTTTCAAGCCGCGCTCCTTGCGGAGTTTGCGCATCGGTGTACCCCTGTCACCACTTGCATCCCATTCCCTTTCCCCGGTCTACGGATACGTCCATTGTTGACGAACGATTGCCCGTGCATGGGTTAGAGAGCAAATATGGCCCCAGGAGGTGCTGGAAATATTAAGGTGGTGGTGCGGGTACGGCCTTTCAACAGTCGAGGTGAGTCTGAATCGTGGGAAGGGGCTCTCTCTTGGATTTTATGCTGACCACTGCTCTTCCGCATAGAACTCGAACGAAATGCACAATGTATCATTTCGATGAAAGGAAACCAGACTGTGCTCACTCCCCCACCTGGCGCAGAAAATAAATCAAGTAAAGGCGGGAAGGGTGGTGAAGGGAGCAAGGTCTTCGCCTTTGACCGATCATATTGGTCTTTTGATAAGAAGGCATCAAACTTCGCCGACCAAAATGACCTTTTTGACGATCTGGGTTCACCACTTTTGGACAATGCCTTTGGAGGTTACAACAATTGTATCTTTGCCTATGGGCAGACCGGCTCAGGAAAGTCATACTCCATGATGGGTTATGGCAAGGAATACGGTGTCATTCCCCGAATTTGTCAGTCGATGTTCGAGCGCATCACAGCAATCCAGGAGGACAAGCATCTGAAGTGCACGGTCGAGGTGTCGTACCTTGAAATCTACAATGAGCGCGTTCGAGATCTGCTCAACCCGTCAAATAAGGGCAATCTGAAAGTCCGTGAACATCCATCGACTGGACCGTACGTCGAAGATTTGGCCAAACTTGTCGTAGGGTCATTTTCAGAAATTGAAAACCTGATGGACGAGGGTAACAAAGCCCGAACTGTGGCCGCGACCAACATGAACGAAACGTCAAGTCGATCACATGCTGTTTTCACGTTGACACTGACACAAAAGCGACACGATAGCGAGACCTCAATGGACACCGAGAAGGTATCAAAAATCAGTTTGGTTGATTTGGCAGGTTCAGAAAGAGCAAACTCAACTGGAGCCACAGGTGCACGATTGAAGGAGGGAGCAGAGATCAACCGCTCACTTTCAACACTTGGTCGTGTCATTGCCGCACTTGCTGATGTCTCAGCTGGCAAGACCGCGGCAGGCAAGAAGAAAAACGCGTCCATGGTACCATATCGTGATTCAATCTTGACATGGTTGCTGAAAGATTCCCTGGGTGGTAATTCCATGACTTCTATGATTGCAGCAATCTCTCCTGCAGACATTAATTGGGAAGAAACCCTCGGTACTCTTCGATACGCTGATTCAGCCAAACGAATCAAGAACCACGCCGTTGTGAACGAAGATCCGAACGCACGTATGATCCGTGAGTTAAAGGAAGAACTTGCACAACTCCGGTCTAAACTCGGAAGCGGAGTAGTTCCTGGGGCTAGCGGTGCTCCAGGTGCTCCCGCCGAGGAGTATTACCCCCCTGATACACCGCTAGAGAAACAGATGGTCTCTATTCAACAGCCAGACGGCAGTATCACCAAAGTCAGCAAGGCGGAGATCGTCGAACAGCTGAACCAGAGTGAGAAACTTTACAAAGATCTCAACCAGACTTGGGAAGAGAAGATGCTGAATACTGAACAAATTCACAAAGAGCGTGAAGCTGCCTTGGAAGAATTGGGAATCAACATTGAGAAAGGCTTTATTGGATTGAGCACTCCCAAAAAAATGCCCCATTTGGTCAATCTGAGCGACGATCCTCTTTTGGCGGAATGCTTGGTCTACAACATCAAACCCGGCACAACGACTGTGGGACACATGGACCAAAGCCAAACTGTCGAAATTCGCTTGAATGGGTCCAAAATTCTTGAGAAACACTGTACCTTTGAGAATATAGACAACATCGTCACAATTGTTCCCAGCGAAGGAGCTGCTATCATGGTGAACGGCCTGCGGGTTAACAAACCCACGCGACTGAGAAGTGGTCACCGAATCATTCTTGGTGACTTCCATATCTTCCGCTTCAACCACCCCCAAGAAGCCCGAGCCGAACGGGTGGAACAGAGCTTGCTCCGTCATTCTGTAACTACCAGCCAGCTTGGATCACCTGCACCCAACAAAACCCATGATCGAAATCTCAGCAAAACCGGCTCTGAAGTGGATGGCGATTCCAGCCGGGCTGAGTCGCCCATGCCCTCACAACGCAGCCGTGAATCGGATTGGTTCTTGGCTCGCAGAGAAGCTGTCAGTGCAATGGTTGGTCCAGACCAAATCTCACACTTGCCCGACGATGAACTGGACACTCTCTTAGAAGACGTGCAGAGGGTCCGAGCAGGTCGGCGTGGGCTGCCGGACAACGAGGATGATTCCGACTCCATCAGCTCCTTCCCGATTCGGGATAAGTACATGTCCAACGGGACCATCGACAACTTTTCCCTCGATACAGCAATAACCATGCCAAGCACGCCTCAGCAAAACGACGATGAAGACAGTAATGGTATCACACCTCTGAATCAAGTTCGCCAAGATATGCAGCGGCAGTTGGATCGCCGCAAGGAAGAGTTCCAAGAAAAGCTCAAGACAGTGGGGGCTTCGGCTGATCCAGACTCACCAGAGCTCCGCACAGAGCAGGACCGAATGGAGGATGCTTTGCGAGTGGCCAAAGAGGAGTTCGAGGAGCAACTGCGCCAGCAGAAGGAGACTTTCGAGACTCACATTCGCGACATGGGCAAGCCGGTGCCGCAAATATTCGAGAATGGTTTCGCTAAATTGAATGAGCGTGAAATTGAGATTGCGCGCTCAGTGTATGGCCATTGGTCTCAACGGAACTATGTGCGCATGGCCGAGAAAATCCTGCAGCATGCTTCGCTCCTAAAAGAAGCGCAAGTCATGAGCCATATAATGGACAAGAACGTCGTTTTCCAGTTTGCGATTGTCGACCACGGGCACAATATGGAGTCATCTTACGACCTCGTGCTCAACGGGATCTCCGGCGATGAAGATATTCCGCTCGACGAGGCAAAGAAGCCCTGCGTTGGTGTTCGTGTCATCGACTATAAGCAGAGCGTCATCCACCTTTGGTCCATCGAAAAGCTCCAGCGCCGCGTCCAGGCGATGCGTCAACTGCACCAATACATCGATCGCCCCGACTATATCCAGCACTTCAGACTAGACAACCCATTTTCCGAACCTTGTTCACCTCAATATTCCCTGGTGGGTGATGCCGACATTCCCTTGACGGCCGTCTTCGAGACCCGCGTCCAAGACTTTTCTGTTGAGATCACCTCACCATACACCCAAAATGTCGTTGGTATCATTCGGCTGTCCCTCGAGCCGTCATCCGCGCAGGCGCCATCGTCAACCCTCAAGTTCAATGTCGTCATGCGGGACATGATCGGATTTGCAGAATGGGAAGGCTCTGATGTCCACGCTCAGTTGTTTGTCCCAGGCATCTCTGAGGAGGGTGGTGCGACTACCACCCAGATGATCAAGGGATTTGAGGACAGTCCAGTCCGGTTCGAAAGTGTGCACAGCATGAGTTTGCCGCTATCCAGTCCACGAACAGCCGCATTGAAGGTTTGTGTCTATGCGGGGGTAACCTCTGTTCACCTTGACAAGCTTCTTAGCTGGGATGACATGCGAGACTCGGTAGAGCCTCTGCCGCAGAAGCGAACTGCTCCTCGCATTGCTGAGTCCGAATTTTATTCAGAGGAACGACACGATGTTTTTGCTAGGATCCAGATCCTTGAAATGGCGGAGTCTGGTGAATACCTCCCCGTGGAGGTTGTCCAGAGCAACAGTCTTGATGCGGGAACATCCCAGCTTCATCAAGGTCTACAGCGCCGTATCTCGATCAATTTGACCTACAGCTCCACAGAGAGTCTTCCATGGGATGATATCAACAACATCCGTGTAGGCTCTGTTCGCCTACTGGACCCTTGGGGCAAAATCCCAGATCAAGATTTCCAGACTCCCGATGTTCCCTTGAAATTTGTTCAAGATCCCATGGTCAAGGACAATGCCGATGGAACCTCCATGGTCACCATCGTGGGTCAGTGGGACTCAAGTTTACACGGATCCCTCCTCATTGACCGAGTGACGGCAGAAAAATACCGGGTACAGGTGACTGTACGCTGGGACCTAGTCTCTAGCCGCCTTCAGACCCCGGTCGTGTTTGAGGCCGACCAGACCATCCAGATTCAAGGTCGCACATATGTCCGTCAACAGTCGATGTTCAAGCAATTCTGGAACTCGATTCGGGTTGTACATTCGACGACCTGCATGTACTCCCTGGTTATTCGCCCTATTTCGGCCAAACGTGCTGCCGATCTCTGGCGCATGAATACACAAAATGACTATGTGAAGGGCGAAGAGCTCTTGGATTCCTGGTCTCCTCGCAAAGTCTCACTGGTACGAGATTACATTTCGAATCGCAAACGACGGCAACGAATTGCCGAGCTTCATGCTGCTCGGGGCGCTCTTAGTGCAGGAAGCCTGATCGCATCACCCGCTCGTAGTGGAATGTCAACGCCATCGCGCGGAACCGCTCTCAACGAGCGCAAATCCAAACTTCTGCGCAAGTATTTGGATCTGTGGTCACTCAAGCAGGATCCTACCGAGGCGATCCTCATTCGAAGCAACACCGAACCCCCTACGGACGGAGCAGCGCACAGAAAAGCCGCAGACACCAATGGCCTCTCCGACAAGGTTTCACTCAAGCCTCGCTTCATAGCCACCATTCAAACCCTCCCCAAAGCTCCCGACGCCTTGAAGACGGGATACGTGCTTACCCCCGATGACACCAACAACGTCTGGGTCCGTCGTTTCGTGGAGCTCCGCCGGCCGTATCTCCACATCTACTCGGTCCCGGATGGCGACGAGATCAACGCCATCAACCTGCGCAACTCGCGTGTTGACCATGCGCCGGATTTTGCAAGACTGCTAGACGGTTCAGGAGCTGGATCTGATCGTTCGCTATCCACTAAGGGACGACCTAATGTGTTTGCTGTCTATGGTACACAAAACACGTTCCTCTTCGCCACTCGTACCGAAGCACAAAAGGTGGAGTGGATCTTGAAAATAGACGAGAGCTACTTCAACAGCAACAGCCCCAGTGCGACCATGAGTAGCGGTTGATCGGCACCCACGCATACCCCAGAAGATTGATGTTTTGTGCTTCGCCTGCTTCATGCTTTATGATTACACAGATCTCAACCTGCCTTCTACCCTGTTCTTTCATTTCCCAGTTTTTCTTTCATGACCTGTTGAGATACCCCTTGAATATATCGACTCGCGTGGCACTCCATCTTATGTACATAATAATCCGATATAGGTGGGACTATAGATCGATTGTGCACAGTTATTCCTTTTGGACATGATATGATAGATATTGTTGAAATCATCCTGCAATATACCATTGACGACCTGTGAAACCAATACTCTATATCGTAGGCTGTCTAGGCCTAATACAAAAGAAAACCTGGGCGCAACCCATGCGTTGCTATGGAAACAATCGGAGTTGACGCCGGTGACATCAAAGGCCTTGATTTTCAGCTCACACTATCAAAGCAGAAACAAAGTCACTTCAAAACATATGGGAACCTTCAAATAAGAACTTTAAAGGGTGATTTTGGAATTATTCTAGAAAGAATGTTTACCCAACGCCCCTCATTCCGCTTCGTGGCTACCGGCGCCGTGGTGTCTCTCTTTGTCCTTGCATTTCTCGTCCTCGGCAACTCATCCCACGGACTCTCATCCAAATTTAGCCTGAAGACACAAGCTCGACCATATCCTCGGACGTGTGTTTCACCTTCAAACTCCTCAGGGTGGGAGTTCATAGTCGAGCGTGATGGTAATAACCACGGTCTGTCCGAGGACCAGTGCCGCATTGCGTTCCCGAAGTTATTTGTCGAGATCGACAAATCGTCAGAGCTTAAATCAGATAACCGTGTCTCGTACAAGGAGTTGGATTCCCGTACTGTAGATGACGGCATGGTGCGCGGAATCATTGATCGGGGAGAGGTTAGTGAAGCGTTGACCTTAGACATGGGTACATGGCTCTAACTATTCCAATCTAGCTGTACATCGTCGACTATGCACCGATGCCTGTCACAGCATCCCGCGCACGCGCAACTCTAAACTCTCTCCATCGCGCGCTCGCAGCATTCCCAGACCGAGACCTACTACCTAGCATCGAGTTCATTTTCACAACGGAAGACTTCGCAGAAGACACCAAGAACTCAAGCCCTATCTGGGCTTACTCCAAGCGCGACTCGGACACGTCAGTTTGGCTGATGCCTGACTTCGGATACTGGGCCTGGCCAGAAGTGCAGATCGGTCCATACCACGAAGTTCGGCGCCATATCGCGGCTATTGATGATGGACACACTGCCGCGGATGGTACATTTGTCCCTGGCTTGCAGTTTCAGGAAAAAAAGAAACAGCTCATCTGGCGCGGTAGTCTGGCCACGAACCCACCAGTTCGAAGTAAACTGCTCAAATCTGCGCTGGGCCACAGCTGGGCTAGCGTACGGGTGATCGACTGGGATGATGAGAACGACATCCGCTACAATCTCCTTCCCATCGAAGATCACTGCCGGTACATGTTCCTCGCACATACCGAGGGGCGCAGCTTCTCCGGCCGTGGAAAGTACCTCCTCAACTGCCGTTCAGTGGTTATCTCGCACGCCCTCGAATGGCGCGAGGCTCATCATGCGGCTATGGTCTCTTCCGGCCCTGATGCTAACTATGTGGAGGTCGATCGTGAATGGACAGACTTGTCGCGCAAGATCGATTACTTGATTGATAACCCTGAGATCGCGGAGCGCATTGCGAACAATGCTGTGCGCACTTTCCGCGATCGATATCTCACTCCCGCTGCAGAGTCTTGCTACTGGCGTCAGTTGATCAGGCAGTACTCTGCAGCTTGTGATTTCGAGCCAGTGCTGTTCTCTACCGGCCGTGACGGGAAAACTCGGGCTCGAGCTGTCCCCTATGACACCTGGTCGCTGACGCATTGATCAGCACCGGACTGAACTCCATGGTTTGATTTTTATGTTTTGATTTGTACAGGAGCTTATTGGCGTTTTTTTCTTGCAATATTCCCGGCTGGCGTTTTTTATGATGACCCGCATGATATCTGTTTACGATTTGCATATGTATGAAACAAAGATGGGCTATCGACGACTGGATACAAGGTACATATTGTTCATCATCTATATACGTATAGCACAAAGCAAGACGGCTACGACCATAGGGTGTGGAGAACGGGGCTTCCCGTTCGCTTAACGGTACTCAAGCCTACTGATCTACTCAATCAATCTTTCGACATGCCTTTCAGGGCGCATGAATCTCCACTCTCCCATTATTAATCGGCGTTAGAAAGTAGTGCTCTCTATAATGATAAAGGTTAAGTTTCCGTAGTTGCTAGGAAGGTCTCTTAGGAGCTATATATACTTATGTGAAATGATGCTTTTCGGCGAAGGCAGAACAAATGCATACGATACTATCTAAGGTATGGTCTCTTTGTAAATCTGTTTTCTCTCTCTCTCTCTCTCTCTCTCTCTCTCTCTCTCTCTCTCTCTCTCTTTTTCGCATCATCTCTCTCTAAGCCCCTAGCACCAGTCCAGTCCGTATACGTAAGATTAACAGGGCACTATCATTGGTGCTGACAGGATCTAGTGCCTCCCTACGCTGAGAGGTTTCCCCTAATACCTAGCGAGCCCAACCGTCTTCCTACCCTCTTGATTACGGAGCACTTTACGGAGCGCCCTCTTCCCTACGGAGCCCTCTTCCCTACGGAGCCCTCTTCCCTACGGAGCCTTCTTCCCTACGGAACACTCTTCCTCACAGAGCCCTTTTTTTCATAACCAAACAGTGGGGTTCAATGGCTCATCATGCGTTTGATATGAAAGGCCGGAGACGTAAAGATGATGTCAGAAATCGGAGACGCCTCGCTTCCCGGTGAGAAATATATATCCCCTCTTTCATGCGGTTTTGAACCGAAGGCCAATTGATCAAGACGAAAGTAAATCATTACACTCAGAAGATCAACGGGAGCAGAAACTCTCGGTGGACATATACAATGTCTGCCTCGATCACCACAGACGTCAGCAACTATGGGGCTAAGGGATATGGCGACTCAAGCCTTAAAATGAAAGCCTTGACCTGGCAAGGGAAGAATTCGGTCAAAGTTGGTCAGTCATTCTGCCCATCACAATGTTCATTTCAATATTTCGAAACAATACGATTCTCTTGCTTATACAGTTTGTTGTAGTGGAAACGGCTCGCCCGAGGATCATCGATGAAGGCGATATCATACTTAAGGTGACGGGCAGCACCATTTGTGGGAGTGACTTACACCTGTTCCATGGTATGTCGTCAATGTTGGCAGTCAATGGAGTGTCGCTGGATGTGCTAATGCGGTATCTGTTATCAATTTATAGAGGCCATCCCAGATCTCCAGAAAGGTGATATCCTCGGCCACGAGTTCTGCGGTGTTGTCGCAAGCGTGGGGCCGGCAGTCAAGAAGTTTACCGTAGGCGACCGCGCTGTGGCGTCCTTTCAGATTGCCTGTGGAAAGTGTTATTATTGCAAGAAGAAGTTGTCCTCAATGTGTGAGCGGACTTGTTCGAGCGAGGAAGCCAGTAAGCTATATGGGCGTCGAACAGCTGGTATGTTTCCTCTTTGAATGGCTATCTGATGATAGTGAGGCTGTTATACTAACGCCTGTCCTAGGCATGTTTGGATACTCGCACTTCACAGGAGGCTTTGCTGGTGGACAAGCGGAATACGTTCGCGTCCCTTACGGTGACGTGAATCTCCTTCAGCTGCCTGACGACGTCCCCGATGAAAAAGGCCTCTACCTTTCTGATGTGCTGGGAACATCCTGGAACGCCGTTGTTGACACAGGTGTTGAGCAAAGTGACACTGTGGCAATCTGGGGAGCTGGCCCGGTTGGGCAAATGGCCGCTGAATTCAGCTTCTTCAATGGTGCTAATAGGGTTATACTTATTGACGGCGGCCCTGGAAAATGGCGACTAGACTTTGTCAAGAAGGTTCTACCCAAGCTCGAGACAATCGATTATACGAACCTCCTAAAGGGGGAGTCTGTTACCTCCACTCTGAAGAAAATGTGCGATGGCCGTGGACCAGATGTGGCGATTGAGTGCGCCGCTGGTGAGTATACGAAAGGATGGGCTGCTTACTTTGAAAGATTACTAGGCATGGAAACTGATACGTCTGAACTCCTCAATGAGATGATTACGTCTGTCCGTGGGTTCGGGCGTTGTGGTGTCACAGGCGTATATACTGGCTATGTGTGTGGTACCTTTCCTATGTAGAACAATTTTACTAATGTGCAAATGCAGTGTAATCACTTCAACATCGGTTCCTTGATGGAGACTGGGGTCCTTCTCGCTGGCAATGGACAAGCTCCTGTGCAAAAATACTGGAATGACCTTTTGAAGTATATCCAGCAGGGGAAGATCCATCCCCTGCATATGGTCACCCACCGGTTCAAGCTCGAGGACATGGAGACGGTCTATGATTTATTCAATAAGCGCGACCCGGGTATGCAGAAGGTTTTTATCCAGACAAAGTTTTCTGCCCCTCCAGCACCAGAAGCACCCGCTTTATCAGAACTCTGAGCTTCACTGTGCCGGATAAAAGTTTTTGTTGTGGTGCCGCCGCCATTCTGATCAGGTTATCAGAGCGCAGCCACTTTTAGTAGTCCGAGATAGCTTCTTTTCTCTCTTTCTTCTCTTTCTTATGAATCCAATCACTTTATTCAAATACATTCTCTATAGCTTTTCAACAATTTTCCTAACAAGTTCGAATGCTTCACGTGGGCTTCATATCTTTTCCAAGCTAAGTTCGGCGCTCAAACAACAAAATTGTGAAAATGTATCTATTGAATCATCTTGCAGTTCAAAAAAAAAATGGAGATATTGCAAAATGTTCACCTGGAATCGAGGGAGCGTGCCATGTAAGTTCGCTATTCAGTTTTCTTCAAAACAAAACCCCAGACATAAATTTCTAGAAAAGCTTGTTCGCAGTACTGAGGATTTCCCCGTAATGTTTCCCATGGCTTGCGTGCTGAGTAGAGAAGCTCAAGATGTAATTACCCTCTCTATACTATACCTAGTTTATGAAGAGAAAAGCGATGTGTTTGCTTGTCATATTTGAAGTGATACGATGATATGAAGGTACTCGTATAGACATGACTCCAGGACTTTTTTTTTTAGAATCTGAAATTGAACAATTGACAAGATCTAATAGACCCAATGGCTTACTTCAGCCTTCGCGGTCCGAGCGATAAACACTTGCGTGTAATCTAAGCCTCATGCAGAGATAGATTCAAGTCCTGACCGACGACCTTTCCGCCCTCCAGTTGCACCTGTTCGATAGGTTGAAAAGCGAAGAAGACACGTAAAACACCAGAATTGTCTTTCTTTTCAGTCATGTTCCGCCAAGAATGAGCCGTACCTCGTTGAACGAATACATCCCCTTTTTTCAGTATTTTTTTCTCGCCGGAATCAAGGACTAATTCGGTAGTTCCATCAATTACGACACCATAATCGAGGGTCGCTGTTCGGTGCATCGGAACCACTGAGCCCGGAGGTATCTCAATAATTGTGCAGGAGGTGCCGTTTGGTGGATTCAAAGGCGATGGATCCGAGAGCTGGGAGTGATAGTGCTTAATGTCGAGATTGGCCTTGGGCTCCGGGGTTGCAGAAGTTGGAGGGGAAAGTCCTTGCACCGGAAACGTATTTGTACTGTAGGCCAGAGCATAGTCTGACGCTGTGGGCTTGCCGGGGGGAACTGGGAACCCAGTAAATGATACCTGCTCCCTGACCACGTTGCTAAAGATAGCTCGGCCGCTTGTAGAATCATGGGTTGTTATGATCCGACGAAGCGGCCCAGGCTGTCTTTTTCCGGCTGACATATTGGGGTCAAGATCAAGAAAGAACAGGGCGAATACTTAAGAGTATCTTCGGCACGTGTTACGTTAAAACCGAAAAAATTGCCAATTTTGAGCCTAGCAACGTTCGAAACTTATGTATTGAACTTTATGAGGCATATGACTCAAATGTTAGATCATCGTATATTCAATACGTTAATAAAGGATCAATGCTCTCGTCATAGGATGAGGATACCATTGTGACTTTCAATTAACCATCAATTGCTTTACCAATGTCTGGAGTCCCAAGGAATGCTTTTTTCACATGATAGACATGTCCTTATTGAAAAGATTGACAGCCATTTTGTCATCTTAAGGTCATAGTGACCCCATTCGAGATATTAACTCATGAGCACGTCATGGGTGAACGTGAGCATTGTACAGCATTGGGATTACATGGGAGTAAACGTGTTCAGCAAAGTCGCGGAGATAGTCTTGAAAGAAAAACTATTTAGCGATCATCATGGAGCAGTTTCATGAGTAGTCTGCAAGCGAGGTACTGTAGATCACAGCTCGTGCTGCCTGGCCCCGAAATTGCGCCCGGTAATTGCACAAAATGTCAGTCTTAGTTTTCATATCAAACATAGTTAGGTCATATAAACTAATGTATGATTAGGTTCTCTAAAACTACTTTCTCCACTTTGAAGTAGGCTCCACATCGATCGATTAGCAACTTAGTAACCAATCAGAAATTACTTTCAAGCCAAAACCACTATGTTTGTAGCTTTTAGCTCGTCCTAGAAGGCTTATAAGCTACTCGCCGAAACTTTGTTGCTTCTAGGTGACTGCAAGCCAATCATTTTTTAAGCTATTGGTCAGCTGCTACTCCGTTCTCCGCCATAGAATAACGTTGACTATTGAGGAAGGCTAGAGAATTGTTAGATCTCATCCGAAACGCAGATATATCAAATTATGTCGAAGGATTCATGATCCATTATGTTTTTCAATCCGTTAGGATATTCTATGTAGTAAAATGTAGATAGTATAAACCGATATGCAATGCTAGGCTAGTAAGCTCCCTTCACTTAGACATCTTGAAGCCTTAGCTACTAGAAGCCATCAAAAATTAATAAAACGGAAAAAGAGGTGGAGACAGTAAGAGAACTACTAAAGGCCCATCTCTCCGACTGACATTTGGCATCATCTTAAAAGCAGCCTTTCAATGTAGGGGATGATAAGTCGAAATAATCGGTGCTCTTCACTCCCACGACAATAAATCTGCCTTTGACAAGTTGCATATTTAGAGCAATGTGACGGAGCACAATGATTTTGCAATCTGTGTTGCCGTCTGATTGTGTAGAGCCGTCTCGAGACCGGTTCGCTAACGGTTGAAGGGCGAAAAAGCAACAACAAAATGTGTAATGCGTAATACCATATGTACCTGTAGCACTAACATATCCCGTGACCGTTGTGCCCCTCTATACCCATTGTTTCCCCCCAGCCATTCATGCTTTACATCTTTCTCGTTCCATCATCATTTTATCAACATGGCGCGAAAAGCTAAAAAGTGGACCGAGATCGTCCTTAGGCAGGCGATCGGTGAAGCAATCTACAGTCGCCACCTACAAAACAAGCCAATCGATCGGGAAGCGATCAAGAGAAGGTACTTGGGAAAGTGCCCAAAGCCCAAAGCACGTTGACTTCATCAAAGGATTCGTAGACAGGTAAGTCTCCCACCATAACCTTCTGTCCGATTGCTAAAGAGGAGTCAAGCTACGTGGATCAACTCGAATCAAGGCCAAGGAGCGACCATCAAATTGAAACCCCAACAGGGACCCAAGTCTCAAACATCTCATCGCCGGCTTTAACCCCTTCGCACCGGACCATTTCCCAAACTCAGGGCCAACATCCCCCACCGTCGACTATTCACCAGGCGAGACCACCTCCAACGATAGCACCAGGCTCTGTAAAAGATGTCCATCCAATCGCAGGTCACCATGCACTGGGTGACATAGCAGATTTAGTCACTAAGAGTGACACCGATGGCTTGATTAATATCCGTTTAGAAGGTAGTGTTCTCTTGGCTGTGTCATCTTGAAAACTTTCAATAATCCTGGCAGAATTCAAGGAACATCTCGCCGGAAACAATGTCATAAAATCTTCTGGCGTCACCCCTTCCATTCCCTCTCAAGAACTGCAGCGACAGTTTATGACCTCTAGTGATGACCAAGCGGAGAGAAGCAAAGATGCTATACTCAATGAGCATGCTGTTTTGATCTCCCCCTTGCTTGAGCAGCACGGATACAGCCTACCTTCTCAATGTGCACTACTCGGAAGAATTGCTGGACCTGCGAGCGGAATTCCAGATCCCAGAATCATGTTGAATACAAATATTCCCTTTTCCGCCTTTGTTTGTGGCGTACAAGGCAGTGGAAAATCGCACACCACTGCTTGTATGATCGGTATGCTTCCTACTCCGATGCATGAGTCGCTGTCTTTAATACTAATATAGAAAACTGCTCAATGGCAATACCAGCATTGGGAACACTCAAAATGTCTGTTTCAACCCTTGTGCTGCAATTCGATGAGTATACCTCAACAGTGAGCTCGCAACCCAGTGAAACAGCCTTCCTAGCCAGATTCTTGCCACAGTATGCACATGAAAGGCCAGTCCCAGTACGTGTTCTAGTATCTCCAACAAACTTTTACAACCTTCAGAAGATGTACTCTCAAATTCCCAATATTGAGGTTCGACCATTCAGGCTTCAACCTAAACACCTCAATATTACTATGATGCTTTCGCTCATGTCTGTATCTCAAAGCGGTGGGATCCCCCTATATATGGCACAAGTTACTCGGGTCCTTCGGGATATGGCGATGGAGAGTGGCGGCTGTTTTGAGTATTCCGAGTTCCGGTTCCGTCTGAATGCTCTCAAATTGCAACGATCTCAGACACCTTTTCTATACCAAAGACTGGATCTACTGGACTCATACCTTGACCTTGACGGAAAAGGTGTAAGTGACTATTTTGTTGACGGCGGTGTCACCATTCTAGACCTGTCGTGTCCTTTTGTTGATCAAAGTACTGCGTGCATTCTCTTCCGTATCGCTATTGACCTGTTCCTCTACGCGCATCCTTCCCGAGGGAAGATGATTATCGCTGATGAGGCACACAAGGTGAATCCGGTTTATTGCTTTAAAGTCAATAGTATCCGCTAACGTCAAGTTGTTGGCAAACAGTACATGACTGATAGCCCCGCCGCGAAGGCACTTACTGAGACCTTCCTAAACATTATCCGACAGCAACGACACTTGGGAGTGCGTCTAATAATTTCCACACAGGAGCCGACAGTCTCCCCCCGGTTGATCGACCTCTGCTCATTGACTATTATCCACCGATTTACGAGCCCCGAATGGTACAAGACAATTGAAAAGCATATCCCGATAGATAGTGGAAGCACTAGACAGCACGGCGAGCGTGTTCTAGATGGCTTTCGCCGAATTGCTAGCCTCCGGACCGGCGAAGCGATTGTTTTCGCTTCTTCTGCACACCTCGTAGGAGAAGACGGTGCAATTATCAATACGCCACACGAAACCTTCAAGATGATGATCAGGAATAGGGTTACTTGGGATGGTGGAAGAACAATCATGTGTATTCGCTGACTTGACCATAGTACATTGAGTGAGTAGTCGCTCGTTTTTTCAAAAACTAATATGACAACACTAGCATGCTTTGACCCCTGTTGTGGTTGTCGTAGCCTCGATGTCACATCCAATTTCTACCATACTGCTCGTCGTCGTGCAAGAGCTCGTAACTTGAAGAGACATGTTATCCATTAATCTAGAATCAAATATACCTCATGAATGAGGGCCTTGTCAAGCCCCATTTCTCCCAGCAGCGTCGCAATGTTCTTCAGCATAGCTGTTTCCTGCCGCACAGTGTATTTCTTTCCCTTGAATTGGTAGCTGGATTGGGCCCCGTGTTCAAACAAACATCGTACCAATGCTGTATGTCCTTGCTGAACGGCCATATGCAAAGGTGGAGTTCTTCTTGCAACGGTATTTGGGTCGGCACCCCATTTCAACAGCAGCATCGCGATGTCAACGTCTCCGCTTTGGATGGCTCGCTGAAGAGGAGTCTGGGCGATTTCTAGGCCACCCCTTCCACTGGGATCAACACCATTTTCTAACAATAATTGAACCATTTCCAGCCTCATCTGAGAGAGACATTTACGAACAGCGGTATCTTATGCCAAGAAGAGGTCCATTTTGCGAGAGAAGACCCTTCGCGAGATAGAAGCCATCGCACCACATGCAACATCCCGCTCTTGATGGCCTCGTTATAACAATAGAACCAAAGCCATTGCATCTCCTTTTTCGGACGTGTCATGTATTTCTCCAGCACTCCCACCATCTCCACTTTGCCGATTCGCAACACTCCTTCCACGGCCTTGTACAATTCCACCGAGATGTCCTGCCCGGCTTCCAGTAACGGCTTAATCCACACCTCCAGTCGATCCGGGTCTCCTCGCCTTGCGGCTACAACTAACCCACATGAGTTGTTGTAATTCCACCAAGAGCAACTCTGATAATATAGAGAATACCGTGGCACCAGCATCTGGATGATCTCTGGCGTGCCCTCCTTGTATGCCAGATCTACCGGCACCATCCCAAGACTGCTACTCCACATCGTTAGACTGACACCCTGGTCAATTAATGACTGCAGCCCCACATGATCCCCTCGTAGGATTGCGCTAGAGGCAAGCCCACTGGTAAGCGTGAGTTCCAGTGACTCGATCCGCGCACCGGACGTGTAAGTGATATTTTCAACGTATGCTCGATAACGGTGGGGGCTAAATAGAGTCTTGGGATTCTCGGTACTCCGCAACACAGCATCGATCATTTTATCAACGAGGATATGCTTTTCTGCGTCGCTCATCAGTGTGATGCGTGGCATATCCAGGATATCTTGAATCAATTCTGAGAAGAAGCATGGTCGCTCCTTATGGTCTTCAATCAATTGCCAGATAAATTTCCGCCGGTAGGGAAACTTGGGCCACAACTTGAAAAGAGCTGCCCTGTTCACTAGATTGGCGCTCGTTGACCACAGGACTTCGTTGAAGACGCCCAAACAATTTTAGTATGTCTTGCGAATTATGACTCAACCAGAAACCTACTATTGACGAGTCTGGACCGCAGAAGGTCTCGGTAGGGCAGGACATCGGCCGCTTCTCGTAGGATGAGCTGGAGAATCTCGAGAGGAAGCCGTATTGTTAGAGAGACAAATAAGTGCAAGTGCAGAACTAAGAATGAGACCGTAAAAGAGAGTTTAAGGAAGCTAGCAGACTAGTAGAAGCGGAGACTGAGCGAAATCAAAGCTTTTGTCCGATTGGCCAATACCTCATAGGTATGAACTAGAAGTTTACGAAATTAGTACCGCTTGCATTGTTCTAGTTTTACAGGAAATTGAGGCGGTAAATACCTAGCTCGCTAAGTCTCGCAAAATTAGCTTTGGTTGCAATGAAAGCATTAGACTCTTGTGCCTTTTGTGCAAATGATTCTGCTTTCATTCGATCTCGAAGGATCCCTTCGAGTCGCCAGTCGGCTTGCCTGCGGAGGTGCATAGCGGCCACGGGTCAGATTGCGTTAAAATCGAGAATTCGGGAAGTTTTTAGATTTACATGATAATATAGTGGTTTTTATGGTCTGAAAGCTTCATTTTGGCGAACTTCCAAGATTGGTATCTTGATAAATATTCATCCTCAGGCATTAAAATGGATTTTGATTCAATTCGACTCGTGGCCGCCATGCACTTTCACATTGCAAAGTATAACAAAGAGAACGAGAAAAGCCGTTTGATGCGACAGACTCGAAAAATCACGATCGCACTCCTTGGGCCAAACTTGGATGTCTTCAAGAGTAATCTGGAGAGGCTGAAATCGACAACGTTATCAATGCTGCATGTTATCATGTATGCAGGACAGCTTCGCAAGTAAGTCTTTGAGCACTTAATCGTTCAAATGACGATAGTTGCCTGCCTCTGCTTGAATGAGATGCTGCTTGTCCGCTGTGGTAGCCTTGATTATCACAGTGTATCCGGGCAATATGTCAATAACGTTGAAAATACGGTTGCTTTCACGTTGCCGCACCTGTTTGATGACCGCAAATGACACCTGTGATTGCCCCTCCAAATTTGCAGTAGCCATCGTTATGAGCTCAACACGTACAGGAACGATTTTCGTGCAACATTGTTGAAAATATCGTGGTCTTTCTGCTTTTTTTTTCTTGCAATAGCATTTCATTGAGCCCTTTCCTTTCAGCGGACCTGGGCTTTAGAAGAAGACCGAGGCCGTTCATTCGCCCACCGAATAGCTCCGAGTCCAGACCTCTTCACATGGGGCTCCACCAGAGATCAAACCTCACCTCCTATCATTTCTCTTTATTTTCCAGCAATCACTTTTCAGCAATAAGAGGTATAACTTACAGAATTGTTGTTTTATGAAGGTCTGATATCTCTGTCTTGAGCTCCATAACAACAACTAAACAACCCCAGATCAACCCGACAACCACTTGGGCATCTGTCTCTATAGCTTGAATACCGTACAGAATCTACAAGGCACAACCTTGGAACCAATAGGCCAACCTTGGAGATCAAATGGCCTCTCAAATAACACCAAACACATTCTGCACGACAACAGGCCCCTCGCCAAGCACAACAATATTCTTCATATCCGGAAACCCGGGGTTGATCGCTTACTACCACCCCTTCCTATCACTACTCGCAAATTATCTCAAGGAAGATGAAAAATCTTCATTCCAGATCTACGGAGGTTCCCTTGGCGGCTTTGAGATTGGCGAAGACTCACCGAAAGATCTCGATCTCGAAGATCAGATTCTTTTCGTGCAGAAGAAACTCGCTAATCTAATGGATGGCTGCGATGATAACGCCAGTGCCAATGCCGATGTCAATGCCAATGGGGATAGCAACGTAAAGTCCAGACCAAAAGTCATCCTCATCGGCCATTCCGTCGGCAGCTACATAGCCATGGAAATCCTGCGACGGCACCGCGAAAACTCAGGCCCAACTTCATTTGATATAACCGGTGGCGCAATGCTCTTTCCAACCGTCAAGGATATCGCAGCATCACCCTCTGGGCAGAAATTAACGGTGTGTTGCTGTTCCTTTAAAGAATGCAAAATACCTCCTAATCAATCCCAGACTCTGTTATCAGTGATACCCCGTCTAGCATTGGTAGTTAGTTTCTTCGCCCGAATACTAACAGTCTTACTCCCGGTTTCGCTTTTACGGTCCGTAATACGGGTCGTGATGGATGACCCCCGTCCCATGCGCTAGAGACTACGTGTTCGTTCTTGAAGAGTCGGGGCGGTGTGCGGCAGGCTTTGTATGTGATTTCTTTTGTTGTAATGAATTGGGCTAACTTGCAGGGCAGACATATGGCAGCTGATGAGATGCGGACTATTACTTCCGATAGATGGAGCGATGATGTTTGGGGCGTTGCTAAGGCGCACGAACCTATTACTAGGTTGTTCTTTTATTTTGGTCGGAATGATCATTGGGTGGCGGAGCGGACGAGGGACGAGATTGTTGCTTTGAGGGGGAGGGATGGGGGTCCTACGATGGTTGTTTGTGAGGAGGGTTTGCCGCATGCTTTTTGTTTGAGTGAGTCTTTCTTTTTTCTCGTCTTCTTGCGATTTGCTGACTTTGGTAGAACATAGTGATACGATGGCGAGGAAGGTTGCCGGGATGGTTGGGGAGATTGTTGGTTGAGTCTAAGCTTATAGAGTGACATGGTTCGTAAAGATCAGCCAGCTCATAGAGATTTAGATCTAAAATGACCAGAGACATTGAAATTCGTTGCGATTGTAACGGGTATCTCAAGAGACGCGCGCCCATTCCCACCCAGACAAGGAAGATACACATCCCATATCCAAAATGCAGTATGAATAAATCATGAAGCCAGCGCCATGTGAAACAATGATGATTTGAAAGGAACCGAGTAGCCTGAAAACCCTCTACTGCCCTTGTCCAGGGCCTTGATAAGCCAACCCTGCTCGCCGAAATAGGTCTCCTAGCACATCTGACTGTGGCTGTGGTGGTGGATGAGGAGGTGCGGGGATATTTCGAGGCATCGCAGTACCCCCATATGTATGCTGTGGCTGCGGGGGACCCCCCTGATACTCGAGGCCAAGATGATGCGCATGCACACTCCAAGCGTCGTCGTGGGCACGCTGCTGGCCAAACAAATCCTTCAGTGAGATTTGGCGCCCCATGGGTACACTGGACTGAACTTCTTGCAGAGGTGCCGCTTGTGTGGAAGCGGCGGCCGCCGCCGCATGCATATTGCTCTGGCGCATGGCCTCAAGTTGCTCGCGAGCCAATCTCAGGCTGTGTCCGGCATGGGTCGCACATTCCTCAATCATCTTGGCATTGATCGTACGGCTTTCGGCGGTAGAGTTTGGCGGTGGTTCGGAGTAGATCCAGAGACCGTAGATGCGGACATTGTTCGAGCTGCCTTGGTTGCTGGGGACATTTGGGTGGAGGGGGTCGGCGATGCCATGCTGGCCAGTTTCGCCTTCGATAGTTTCGTCGGCTTTGAGAATCACGTATTCTTCTGTAATTTCGACGTTCTCGCCGTCGGTGAGGGGGAGGTCGAAGTTATTCAGTCCGCGGCGGTTGAGGACAAAGGCAGTGTAGCGATCTTCGCCGAGTTCGCCCTGCGCTTCTTGGCAGACGAAGAGAGTACCTTCAACGCCATTCTTTTCCCATTGTTTTGTGGTTGGACTGAAGATATAGACAACGGCGTATGGGGCAAGTGAGAGAATAGAGGTCACTGAGGGTTTGTGGCGGCGGATGACTGAAAGGTTGAGCTCCTCATTCGAGCGTAGAGGTGGCGCAGGCTGCTGCGGCATGTCGGAATAATAAGCTGTATCTGATTCATAGTCGGTGAGGTTGACTGGATTGTGATTGTTCGGTCTGCGAGGTTTGCGTGAAGTCATAATTTCGGTGGGAAAGTGGTGAAGTGCGGAAAGAGCGTTGAAAGCTGAAGGGCGACATATCGTCATCGGTCTCCGCCTTTGCTTATCCGTCAACTCGAAAGCTCCGGTCTTCCCTAGAACTTCTCTTCAGTTGACTATAAGAGTCTTGACTTAATACAGCTCTGTTCTTTGCCTTTTTGGGTCTGTCAACATTTCTCCCTGTCACTTCACTGCTTTCTGCGTGATGACGACACCCCTCTGAGTCTTGGTGGGATGACCTCTGCAATGGAATAAGCCATTGTCGCACTCGCAACATACTGCCAATTCTTTGATTTCTTCTATTTATCTTTCAATAATCAATTTGGCCTTGCTATATCCCGGCGACGATCACCCTGGTCAAGTCTCAACCGCCAGAACCGAGAACCGCGCATGCGCAGTGTCTATACATACGCTGCGCCGCATATATACTATCCTACCGAAATCGGACCGACCATAAGTAATGCAAAGAAGCCTTCCCATTCTTTGATTCAACCGCATCTTTCCATACACCATGAGCGCCAATTCGCAGAAATCATCACCGTCCGCGTCGGAACCCAAGCCCCATGAATCGGAACATCTGGAGGAAATCGAGAATCCCGGGCTCGATGTCCTGTCGCTGTCGCGTGCAGTCAAAAAACGAAAAGCCGAATATACGCGCCGACGAAATATTCGAATCAAGGTCGGCACTTGGAATGTTGCCGCCATATCCGGCACCGAGAAAGACATTGGGAAGTGGTTTGTCGAGGGAGCTGCAGTGGGCGAGAAGTTCTCCGGATCTAAATGCACACAAGGCCAGGAACAAGATGCTCAATCCAGCAAACATGACCAGCCGAAACCAGATGAAGATAAGACAGCACCTTTTCACAGCAGCCCCGAAGAGATAGACCTCTACGTTCTGGGGCTGCAGGAGGTGGTGGATATTACTTCTCCGACAGAGGCACTCAGACCATACGTCGACCCGGCACCATCAAAGCGATGGAAGGAGGCTGTCCAAACCTCGCTACCTTCAGGGTATCATCTTGTCTCGGAAGTTCAGCTGATCGGTCTACTACTTCTGATCTATGCATCGCCCGCCCTTGGGGATAGTGTCTCTTCTATCAGCACCACTTCTGTCGGTACTGGATTGATGGGATACATGGGTAACAAGGGTGCTGTTGCAGCCCGCCTTGTACTGGGCGAAACAACCCGCCTAGTCTTTATCAACTCTCACCTGGCAGCAGGGTCGGACAAAAGTAGTCTTGAGCGGCGCAATTGGGACTCTTCCCAAATCGTTCAGCGTGTCAAGTTTGATGCGGTCTCCTCTGAGGGAGAGGAAACGGAGGAGTCGGGCGAATCCATTGGGGATGAGGACTTCACTTTCTGGTTTGGTGATCTCAATTACCGCCTCGATGATATTCCTGGAGATGATGTGCGTCAAGTACTCGCTCGGCATACCGCCAATGCGTATGACAAAGAGCGCCAGTCAAAACAGTCCTCAGACAAACCTCAAGAACCCATACCTGATTCCGAAGAATCGCCGCCTCCGTCTCCTCTCGCGGAGGATGAGACAAACCCAGTGACCGATGATGAAATCGACCCCCATAATGACCCAGCGTCTCTTCAAACTACAATAGCCTCTCTTCTACCGCATGATCAACTACGAATGCAGCAACATAAAGGGGCAGCTTTCCATAAAGGATGGCGGGAAGGACAGATATCTTTCTTGCCGACGTACAAATATGACGTTGGCAGTGTTGCCATATTTGACTCGAGTGATAAGCAGCGGGGTCCAAGCTGGTGCGATCGGATTCTATTCCGCACCAAACGGGATAGGTTGAAGCATGCGCAGCTCGACCGGGAAGCCGAGGAGGCTCGAAAGAGGGATGAGGAAATGGAGGCACGTGGGCTAGACAAGGCAGTTGCCGATGACAACGTCTTGTTCGAATATGACCCTGATACGGACGGCACGCATAGTGAGGAATATTTGTCAGACGAAGACCAAGCAGATGATGATGTGGCGACAGTTTCGTCGCATGATTCCCATGATCCAATTCATTTAGATCAATATTTGTCTCACCAAGGCATCCTCTCGTCAGACCATAAGCCTCTGGATGCTATCTTCACCTTAAGCTTCGATGCAGTCAATCCCGAACTCAAGACAAAGATCCACCAAGAGGTAGCCCGTGAACTAGACAAGGCCGAGAACGAAGCCCGACCAGATCTCACCGTGGTGGTTGACAAATACGGCGACCAAAAGAACGCAGAAAAAGACCCCAATACTGTCGATTTTGGTGATATCGCCTTTGGTGTGCCGGCTCATCGATCCGTGACAATCGCCAACACCAGCGGTAGTGCAGCCACTTTCTCATTTGCTGAACGACAAAGTGAGAATGACGAAGGCATTCCTTCGTGGCTTAAGATTCATGTTTCTCACTCGGCAGACACCCATGACAATGGCCAAACAACCACTTCTTCGTCTGGAAACCACACTCTGCACCCTGGAGAAGTAGCAAATGTTGATGTTACAGCTCATATTCGCAACACTAAACATGCTCGGCTACTTAATATCAGAAAAGTGAAGCTGGAAGATATTCTAGTTCTCCACGTGGACGGTGGCCGTGATCATTTTATTTCTGTTCATGGAAATTGGTTGCCTACGTGTTTCGGCTGCACTGTTGAAGAACTGACACGCATGCCTGAGGCGGGAGCTCGCAGTTTGGCCAAATCCAGCACCCCGCACCCGTCCAGCACGAATGGCTCCACCGAGAACCGCTTGTCTGCGCCACGCGAGCTTTTCCGCCTCACCGAGGCGATCTCTGAACTGACAGAGCGCGCCGTGGCAGAGTGGAGCATGACAAATGGCGAATCGGAGGAGCATAAAGCACCTTGGGCAACAGATATCTCCGGGGGAGCATGGCCCTTCCAACCTGATACATGGACTCTTAAGGATCCACAGGAGCGTGCTTCTCTGCAGAACCGTGCCCATGAAGCCATCGACACCAACGAGTCCCTCGCCTCGATTTTCCCTCCTGAGGTGCCATCAATCCAGCGCTTAGAGATCCTCTCCGAGACCCTGCTCACCTTCCTCAATTCCCTTGAAGACGGCATCGTGACGGCGCCAGTATGGCAAGGTATGGAGCAGCAGCTGATAGCGCGCGAGAAGGCCAAATCACCACCTCGAACCTGGGAAGAGACTCAAGCATGGGTGCTTGAGAACCTCGCCTACTCACCCGCCCACAGCGTGTCATTCACTTTTGTCACTTTCATGCTCGCCCGCATCGCCAACGAAGTAGCTCCCGTATCGTCCGCTACATCACAGGCCCCGGCCAATCATGGGAGATCAGATTCGGCAAACAAACAATCCGAACCTGTAAACCCAGATCATACGCAGCCTCCTGCCCCAGCCATCGCCGCCACTTTCATCTCAAGTGGCGCATTCCGTCGCAAGAGTCGCTCCACGAGTACATCTACGAGCAGCGCCGATGCCCCCCCTCAAAATCCCTTGCTAGTCCGTCGGCAAGCAGTGGAGACTTCTCTAGCGTCTATCTTTGCGCGTGTGCTGATTTCTGCATCAGTTCCCATGCCATCCAAGGAAAAAGAACGTCGAGCATCTGAGGAGCGGAGACGATCAATTATCGAACCATTTCTCAAGATGGTTGGGGTGGATGATCGGGGTCCTTCAGGTGGTCGATCTTGAACTTGATTCTGATACGAATTGCGATTTTTTTTGCCCTTTCTGAAACGTTCTAGAGCTCTCGTTTTTGACTGTCATAGACTTCCGTCTCACGTTGTATGTCTCAGTGTATAATGTTGTACAAATGCCATTTTCCTCAAAGGAGTTATCTCGCAGAGCATCATTGATTTGCCCTAATTCGCACGATACTCCCTAGACTATGTGCCAGCGAAGTTCATACAAAAGCGCCAATTCGCCCCGATCCCAAACACCCAATCCAAAGCAACCCTAATACATATCTCTCGATCCCGCCACCCACTCCTCCTTCGGCCTCCGCCGCACAGCAGGCCGCGACGCCACACCCTTCCCCTTCCCCCTAGTCCTAGACTTAGCAACCTTCCACCCCACCAAGCCCTTCAAAGCTTCCAAGCCACCGGAAACCGCCCGCCCAGGCAACCCCAGCACCGCAACCCCCACCTGCACTGGAACAACAACACAAGCACAAAACCACTCCAGCAGAACAAGCGCGTATCCCGAGCGCGCAGCCTCCCGCCTCTGCACAGCAGCAGCAGCAGCCAGCGCAAGCGCATCGCCCGCCTGCGCCTCGATCCGCCCGAACCGCTGATCCGTCTGCAGCGCGAAGAGCGCAGAGCGCTTCTCGTACCGCCGCACGGCGCGGTTCAGAGCCTCGATCTCCGGCTGCATGGATTTGCGCACCTCGTCCGCGGACGGATCGGGCGGCGGGCTTTGCTGCGCTGCCGACGAGGCGATGTACGCTTCTAGTTCTTCGAGGCGCTTTGCCAGGTCTGGGATTGTGGCTTTGTCTTCTGTTGGGGTTTGGTCTGCTGGGGCTGGTGATGTTGCTACGATGCGTTGCAGGTGCAGGGTGCGTTGTTGGATTAAGCGCAGGATGTGCGATACTGGGCGCACTTCTGAGGCCAGGAGGAAGATTGTTAGGTTGTAGTTTGAGACTAAGCCTTCGGAGGGCCGGGACAGGCTGCTTCTTATGCCGTGGAGGAGGCAGGTGCCGATTATGGGGAAGACGAAACAGGCTGTTAAAGCAGCTAGTTCGTGGGTCTGGAGTTCTTTGGCTGCTTGAGCGGATTCATGTTCTTGTTTGTCTTGGTCGTGCTTGGACTCTGAGTCTGAGTCGAACGGTTGATCGGCGGGACCTGGAATTCCACTTTCTCGTCGAATTGCTTGCGCCGATCGGTACCAGTCCCTGATATAGTTAGCGACTTTGTATAATATAGTATAGGTAGACAGATAGTAGTTAAGTAGTTAAGTAGTTATTGGTAGATAGGAGGAGGGAATATATACCAAGGCAATCGAACCGACCAGTTCAAGAATATAGCGGCCAACACCAACAAAGTAACATCTGTAACAAAGGCACTTCCATTTTGAAAGAAGATGCCTGCGATCGCAGGCAACAATGCCAGTCCGAGCGGCGTTGAGTGCCAATGCGATTCTTCTAGTGTATGAGCTTTAGATACTCGCGGCAGAAACAGATCATCTGTAGATGATCGGATTGAATTACGGGCTTCCGATAGTGAATCTGAGAGTGTCGAGTTTCGTCGTTGATCCAATCCTTCGCTAAACGTCGCGGCACGCGAGAAGCGTCCGGTCGAGGGGTTCGTGCGGGGAGATGGCGGGTCCATTATTGTAACAGATGTACGAGGTGTACAGTAGATGCAAAGGAGAGCATTGGGGTAAAGTGGGTTTGTTTTTTTCTTTGTCAGAGCATATAATTGCTTTTTCCTGACGTGACTCCAAGTCTGCAGCCGAGGTTGCAATGATGTAGTTGTGCGAAGTTGGGAAACCGGTTCGCAGATCGATCGCTGTACGACGTACTCCGTATAGATTCGCACTCCGAGTCCATTCTTATATGTTACATGTGTGTTACACCAATGTGTAGTCAAATAGAGTATAGAACATACGATATTTGATTTTGGATGTTTTATTTTTTCCCAGTCAGACTCGAAATCCTCTCTCCCTCCCTATCACTCTAAACCCCGAGAGGATACAATTCAGACCAACTCATCATTCATGACTTTCTTTCTTGGAATCGAGTTGCAAACTTAGAAACTGACCTTTGATGCAGAGAAAATCACTAATAGCAACACTGTGTTGGAAATGAATAAGTCGCCAAGACTACGGGTGCTATTGAGCCCCAAATGCGGACTACTTCTCGCCTCATACTATTCACATCTCTTTCTTGTTATTCGCTCTTCACAATCTATCTATATTCTCGTTTCTTTATTCACCTTCTTTACACTTTCTTTGATGCTATTCAACTTGTCTGGGCTAGCCCTAGTACGTCCCTATGTCGCAAAATATTCAAAAGAATGCTCAAGGTCGCTACGTTGAATAAGGCTTGTTTTGCCTTTGCGGCCCATACATTCTTCAAATTGATTCAAGTCATGTCTTGATCTGTGCAGCTCCTGATCCAGATTTATGTTATTCGACTCCGTCAATAACTCGTCAATAAATTGCCTCTAATTGCTTGGATTGCTGGGCTATATACATATTCGAGATGGTATGGTCTCATCTTATATCTACATTTCTGGATTGATGACAGTCAAATTGATGCTTTATCTACCACAGCATGACAGTTCAAGCTCTGTTTCCATACTTCACATCGACTACCGTTATGGATGTCCACAAGCGCTACCCATTGGCCGTCGGCTTGCCAATTCTATCCTCCCTGTCCATTGCAGTCGGGATTCCGCCGTTGATTTTACTTGCCAAGAATCGTAACTACCCTGCAGCTAGTCTGATCTCATGGTCGATTCTTTTGAATCTGTTCAACATCATCAATGCCCTCTGCTGGCCCACAGACGACGTGGGCTCGTGGTGGGACGGCTCCGGCCTGTGTGATATCGAAGTCAAATTCATGGTTGCCGGCTACCTAGGCGTCCCAGGAAGCTTGCTATGCATTTTCCGCAGTCTTGCCATTGTCCTAGACACAGACCGTGCAACATTAGTCCCAAGCAAAAGTCAACGCTGGCGCAAGCGTTTCGTTGAAATTCTGTTCTGCGTCATCGTTCCTCTTGTGGCAATGGTCACCCACATCGCCTACCAAAAGAGCCGCTACTACCTGTACGCCATCTCCGGTTGCGTGAACAACTACGACGAGAGCTGGGTCAGCCTGGCCCTGGCCTACATCTGGCCGCCAATTATCTGCATAATAGCAGCCTACTACTGCCGTAAGCAACCCTCCCCAATTCCCTCTTCTCCAAAACGAAACCCAGCCCTAACACCCACAGTCCTGGTCCTCATCCGCGTCCGCAGATACAGGAACGACTTCGCCAACATCCTCCGCGCCTCAAGCAGCAACCTCAGCAAATCCCGCTTCCTGCGCCTCTTCTTCCTAGCCCTTTCAATGCTAGTCTGCATCCTCCCTCTCCAAGGCTTCGTCCTCTACTACGACATCACCCTCGCCCTCCCCTGGCACCCCTACGCCTGGAGCCGCGTCCATGCAGACGATTGGTCATCCATCATCAAAGTGCCAGCAGCCGGCCACGTCTTTTTCGACCGCTGGACCCCCGTCGCATCCGGCTTCATGATTTTCATCTTCTTCGGCTTCGGCCGCGACGCTACCCGCATGTACCGCACCATCTTCTGGTACCTCGGGCTTGGATACTGCTTCGCAGGTATCGAGCCGCCGTCCAGCACGCACGATAGCGTGCCAAGTCCGCGTGCCGAGTCCGGGACCACCCTTGTCGGGTCTATTAGTTCGCGCGCAAAATCGCTCTTCTCCCGCTCGAACGGTACTCTCGTTGCGAGGGCTTCGACATACCATGATATCGAGAAGGGCATTTGGTCTACTCGTGTTCGTCCTGATTCGAGGCCTGTTAGTCGCTGGAATTGGCTGTCTTCGCTCTCTGGGCGTCGACCCAGTGCTGCTGATTTGGGGACGCCGTTGCATGATCTTTCTGTTGATAAGACTATTCATACTAATGCTTGGGCTAGTCAACGGAGGAGCGGGGACTATTCTCCTGGGCCTGTTTCGCCGGTGCGAACTAAGGATTTCATTCATGTGCGCCAGGTTATTACCCAGCAGAGTGAGGTTCAAGTTGAGGTTTAGGGGGGCTATCTTCATAAGGACTTGCGGGTGCAGCTTGTGACTTAACATTGCCTTTTCCCTTGTCTCTGCATGGTTCTGGACATGTGGTGGGCTTCGGTAGCTTAATATGACTACTCTAATAGTCAATTTGAGTCGGTGTGGCTCACGAACGAAAATGAAATAAGAAGATTTTACTTTCCTATTTTGAATAAGTGCATAGCGCGTTTTTCCGTAATTCAAGAGTCTCTGCATCAGTAGAAATCTATTCATACAGTTCTTGTTTCATCCCATTTCCATTTCACCCAATCTCGACCCTGATTTATACTGAGAGCCACCACAAGGAAGCCAAAAGCCTTCATATGCCCGGCGGAGAGTATAATAAATAGCTCTAGCAGACGCATAGTGGAGCTCTTTAGGTCCATTGGTTTGTTGACTTTACTACTTTCAAGTACGTAATGTAATGGGTATCCCTCGTGCATCTCCAGACCTAGCTGCATTACAAAAGGTCTCATTGAGTTTGGATCAATTGCCTGAATCTTCACTTCAACTCTGGTATGAAAAGCCTCATCGGGATCGACCAGTTCGCCGTTTAAAATGGACGCGTATCTTGCGAGACCGATTGTGAAATCCAGTTCACATTGCATATTGTTCAAGGCGCTTTGATCTCATCGAGCACGCGCAAGTGTGATGTTATCGATGTTGCTGGTCACTATTTGAGCCCATAACTTTGTCAGGAGCTTTACTGTGCGATATTCCAGTACTTTTAACGTCCCCAAAGCTCATGTTGAACGATTCGGCTTCAAAGCTAGAGCCTAGAGGTTGCCCTACATCTTGCTCCAGCCGACCATGGACACCGGCCTCATCGCCAACGAGAATTTTTCGGCTGTCAGATCGTGTTCTGGGAGGTCAAGTCTTATGACCTTTCTCGCTTATGGGTGTTGATTAGAGGATTCATCGACATCGCTTACAAAGTGTGGTTATGGGCGTAGCGTCCTGCGGGAAAAAATACCCTGTGTCTTGCGCTTGAGTACATCCTGCCGGTTCCAAGTAGAAGAGGGGAGGGGAGATTCAATGATGTCGCCCGGAGCGAGTGAGTTTGGAATATTCGCTCCAAGGTCGTCTCTGTCCAACGATTTAGTATACACAACCAATGTTAGACTGTACATCCGTTTAATCAAAAGGTAAATAAACGGTGTAGAGTAAGTTGATAAAATTGAACGGCATTTACCAAATTCGTCCATGAGAATGGCCAGTTGCTAAAGATACGTTCATAAGAAACTGTAGATATTGAAGTATAGGAGAGAAACCGGGAAAGTGAAATGGCACTTATCCGACCCCAGTTGATCAACCTCAGCCATTTCTTGATGGGTCAATGCGCAAAGAGCAAAGAGGTACAAATTTATATTACGATGGAAACGACTCGCAATTTTGTCATCTCAGATATCTGCTAGATGGTGAGATTGTCATCTTTACAGACAAGAGAGCAGGATATGTTCAACAAATCTCCAGGAAGATCCCACGAGACGAGGTGTATTCAGGGTACGGGTACTAGTACAGTATAATCACAAAGCGAAGATTCAAAAATTTAATCATTCCAACCGTAAACGGCTAACACCAGCGACCAAAGGCCTATGCAATGGGCCACCCGGGGAAGTCCACCCGTCAACACCATTATTGAGATAGCATTAAGCTCGATTTAATACATAGCTCCAAAGCTATTTAGTCATGGTTCTCGCCGTTCTCGTTCTCGGCGCGCTTGAGGCACTCAATGGAGCCTGGGAAAGGAGTTCAGTGCTTGCTGATGGGGTGGGAAAGGGAGGTACACGTACGCTGCACAATGTTCATGGTGGTGCGGTTCTGGCCATCTGCGTCTTGCCAGGTGCTCATTCTGGCGTCGCCTTCGAAGTACACGAGGGATCTGTGAGGGAGTTGGGTTAGCTTGTCTATTTTGAATTTTTGATTGATGGGTATTGCAGTGAGCCAAGTGCTAAATAGGCCAATTGGAGATCCTGAGCTCAACATTGAACCTGGAACTATAACAGTACGTGATAGAACCGTGTTCCTGTAGTTGGGGTAGCTTTCCATGTGTGTTTGGCGAGCAGGTTCGCCCATACAGTTCCGCAAACTTTAGATTCGAGCTCGAGCTCTTTTTTCCATCCGAATCAAACCTTCACACGCCGAGCTGCCGTATCACAAATTGGGCACACCCCAACAAGACGAACAAGACAAGATTCCATTATAAACTGGTGCGACCTCCCAACATATATCCCAAAGAAAACATGTTTGACTTACCCCTTTTGCAAGCTAAGGACGTAATCACGTTGAGGACCCTCAGCCGCGAAGTTCGAGATACGGAACCAGCTGGTCTGGCGGTTATCGCGGGGACCGTGGTTAGTACCGATGACGTACTTGACGACTTCTTGTCCGGAGGCAGTGGAATGGATCTCGGGGTTGGCGCCGAGACGGCCGGTGAGGATGACGCGGGCGATGGAGTGAGCGGGGGAGCTGCTGAAGGCGCGGACAGTCTGGGGAGCACTAGCCAAACGCAGGCCGGGGCGCAGAGAAGAGAGGAAAGACATGGTTGAGGTATTTTAGTTGATGATCTTTCGATGGACAACCAGTTGGAGTTGACGTTTGACGCGGAGACGCGGTCATGTGGCAAGCCCCCTATTCACCGCCTGTGGACGCGATCTCTCTCTCCCCCTTGAATACATAACTCTGGAAAGCACTAAGTAACTCTTGATTATTGGTTTGCAATTTTGGTTGCAAATCAAATCATCTTCTTGTTTTCAAGGCATATTTTCTGGTTAGTCTTAGAATCTGGATTTTGGAATGAGTTTTGGCCAAGCTCATACGGAGTGGAAAGCAAATATTACCCCAGAACCCCCTTTTCCAGAGACTGCAGCTCTCGGAAACCTACAGCTATAATTTCCAGGTTCTGAATTCAACGGTGCAAGTCCCGAGTCATCGGCATATAAGAATGGAACTCGCAAAAAAGCAAAGAAAATCAAAAATAAACATGAAGTCTCCAGTTACTAGGACCCGATCCTCCATCGGACAGCAAGTACGCCAGTTTCTACGCCAATTTTACGGCCAGGAACTAAACAGCAACAGAGCCTGATCACGTCACAATCACATATCTGACTATCCCGGTCAACTTTAGGCTTATGCCTACTATGCATAGCCAACTGTACACATTCACTAACCTGGAAATGGTAACCGATAGGTTGATCTTGTATAAAGGGGGTAAACTATCCCAGAACCAGTTTAGAGGAAGCATATGCTGCAATGGCCACCGCTGATTGAGTGAACCAGACCTCACGATAAATTAAGATAGCTGTCTGTTTCAGATGCATTGGCGGCTCCTTACGTCGGCTTACAGATAAAAAGTCAATTAGCGGCCCGACCACGTCGACTCTGCAGAAGGGGCGTTTGCTCGTCAACAATGGCTTAATAACTCAATGGCATAGCTAGGGTCTGGGCCTGCAGGACAATGCGAGATTGGTCAATTGGTGAGTTGCTCATTTTGATCATTTTGGTCAGTCTGGTCAATTTGGTCGATTTGTTCAATTTGATAGATCGCCTGCGATAGCCCCCTAGGTGCGGCGCCACCCGTGAGAAGTAGTCCGAGAGCGAGAATGGCTCGCGTAGATTGTTTTTCTCTTTTTCTCTCTCCGATTTTCTACTTCCTCGCGTTCACCGAGTGGGTTTTATTGATTCGTTAAATGACGGTGAACAGCACCTGCTTAGAGTTAAGGCATGGTGATTTATGACAGCTCAGAGATTATCACATTCTCGCATCAGGCCCCGTGTTATGAGATCTGCAGAAAACAATTTCATTGTTAGCCCGAGAGTTGGCAGTGGAATGTACAATAATAATACAATGTTGGCAAATGAAAACCCGCTCGAGTGTAGATTTGATGGAATGGGTATAACCGCCGAACCCAAGATGGTTAAGCACCGAGTCCACATTAAGGAAATCTTCTGCACTAGCTTGCAATTTTGTGAGGAGACCTGCAAGTGCAAAATAGCAATAAGTCGATCCTTGCTAGATCGGCAATTCGTTCGATCGGTGGGTCACAAAGTAGATAGCTCGCACTCCCACTCGTACAAATATCGTCACTCGCGTGGTTTAGTCAATTTAGGCCCTGTTAGGTCCCTGTCGCCAATAAAACTCAAATATTATATTGCAATGGTCTTATTTTTTTTTTTTTTTTTGCGTGAGCCCCGCTGTATTGTGCTTTTATATGTAGGGAGGCCTAGGTCTTGTCCGCTTGCTTTTTCTCATTATTCCCTGGGCTATGTGTTCCTGACGCTATACACGACTTTTCTAATAATCTATTTTACTTTTATGTCTAATTATTAATATTACTTGCCACCAGCAGACGCGCACTCTGTTGATTTCGCGTGAAATCCCGTTGCCATCGCGTGCTGAGTATGTGAAAAAGTGCTAATCTTACCATAACAACGACCCCGGAGTCACTTTTCCGTTCATCAATTGCAGTTGCCAAAGAAAGCCAGTCGACATGCGGTGGTCTACGATATTTACGTTACTAGTGTCCCTATTTCTACTGGGGGGACTGGCAGCGCCAGCATCGGGCCCCAGTCAACGCGATGTTATTGCCAATCTAGAGGCCAGACAAAATACAGAGTCAGCAACGACGACAGAGAGTGCTGCTAGTGAAGTCCCAACTACCACAACCCGGAAAGATGCATCGACTACAGCGACGGATGCTTCAACGACGGCACAAGCTACTACTACAGGCACTCGCGCCTCAACCACTACCTCCTCTATGAATGCTACCACGACTGGCACAGCGGCTACTGCCACATCGACGGTGCCCTCGCTCGATGGAGCAACTGCTTCGTCCCAGCAGCAAGCAGCGGACTCTACAAGGCCGACTTATTCTGGTGGTCTTCCTATTCAGCCCAATATTACACCCGCTTTTGGCGTTGGAGGAGTTATACTTGTGGCGCTTGGCGCGCTTCTGGCTTTCATTGGAGTTCGTAAACAATGGTACGGAATGGAAATCTGCTGCTCGCGAGCCAAATTTCATACGCTAACATCAAACAGGGTCGCGATCTTCCTCTCAACTGGGTTCCTAACTGCATTGGGAGTTACTGTAAGTAGTGACTATACTGAAAACCAGCAGAGCTGGCGACTGACAACAATTGTCTCGATAGGTCCTAATCATCTACGTCATGAGCCCGCCCGTCAGCAATGCGGTACAAGGCGGCTATCTAGTTGCTGTCTTCTTTACTGGAGCCGTCTTCGGTGGTCTATCTCTCGTGTTCCGAGAAATCTGCGAAGGTCTCGGGTGTCTTCTGGGAGGATTCTGCCTGAGCATGTGGTTCCTCGCATTGAAATCCGGCGGACTGCTTACAGAAAGCGGCCCCAAAGCTGGAATGATCATTGCATTCACTGTTGGATTCTACTCCTTGTCGTTCAGCCACTACACACGACCTTACGGGCTGATCGGTTGCACGTCCTTCTCTGGTGCGACAGCATTGGTTCTTGGAATTGATTGCTACAGCCGTGCTGGACTGAAAGAATTCTGGCTTTATATCTGGGGTATGAATCGAGATTAACATTTGTACAGTCTTGTTCCTTGTGCTGACCTATCTAGGCTTGAACCTCAACGTGTTCCCTCTCAGAACAGATACTTACCCTGTGACGCGTGGTATCCGTGTTGAGCTTGCTGCAACTGTCATTATCGGTGTGCTAGGTGTGATTTCCCAGGTCCGACTTTGGAATGTCATCAAGGAGCGGAGGGCAAAGGAGGAGAATATCCGCAAGGAACAGAACCGAAAGATCGAAGAAGAAGATGCCGAGGCTGGCCGACGCCTCGAGGAAAAGAATATTCAAGAGCGCGCTGAATGGGAACTTATTTATGGTAACGGCAAAGCAGCCGATGCTAAAACCGCCTCGATTTCCGAAACCGCCGTCGACGACTCACGACGTGGCTCAGATGGATTCACGTCCTCTGACAATGACAAGGAAGGCGAGATTGAGCTCAAGGAAATGCAAAGCCCAGAAGGAGAAGCTTCTGATGGCGAGAAGAATAGCATAGGCGAAACTGGAACCCGGGAATTGGAGGCTGTGCCCGAGGAGGAATCTGATCAGCCACAGGAGGGAGATGAGACCCCGGAACAGGGTCCTAAGCCGGAACAGGGTCCTAAGCCGGAAAGTTCTGATAGCAAAGGACCCAGACCTGCAACACCCGTTACTCATGTTCTTGGCGAGGTCAATGATGATGCCTCTGAGAACGGTGCTATCATCGGTTCAGAAGTTGGTACACCGCGTTCGAAACGCTTCTCTGGAAGAGAGGTGTTGAACCGGCTTTCTTGGCGCAACAGCAATGGCGTGATGGTCTCTTCAGAGTCTCAAGAGGCTTTGGTCGCTCACGATGATGCCAATTCATCTGTTCTGGGTGTGGCGGACGAGTTGCATGAAGGAAGCGTCGGCTGCCCTAGTGTTGAATCCGATCTTCAAGCCCGCGTCGAGATCACTGAGCGAGAAATCGATGCTTCGGCGGAGGCGCCAGAGAAGGAGACTGTAGCTGCCGACATAGAGGCCATGTCAAATGTTGGCTCGCAGGTTGTTCAAGGCGCTGGCTTGGGTGTCCTTACAGGCGCAGTAAACCAGCAAGATATCGAACAGGCTATCTCTAAACAACCGAATGTCGATGAGCCTGCTCCTCAAGTGAGTCCCATCAACAGCACTGTTCTTATCGCCGGTCCTGCGGACAAGTCTGGCATCTCTGAAACATCAGAGCATCCGCTTTCGTCTGAAACCCCTGCAACGGATGTTCAACCTGTGGTAGCTGCGTCAAACAAGGCCCAAGAAGGTAAATTTCAGCCCACGTTGCAGCCATCGCCATTGGGCGATCAAAAGGCCGAAAGTGTGAAGAGTGTAAAGGCAGCTAGCGAAAGCCGGCCTCCGACTGCTACCACAGTCAAACCTGAGCCCATCCCCGAGCCCGTTCCAGAGCGGGTCCCCGAACCCAAGATCGAGCCACCAAAGGTTGAGCCAAAAGTCCAGGTTATCAAAAGATTGGATGCATCCACTGTCAAGGCCCTTCCAGAACAAACTTCGAGAGTGGTCCATTCTTACCGCACCAACGAATGGGCTAAGCACCTCGCCGATGCTGAAACCCCCGAGATGGAGCCAATCGAGTTCGAGCCTGAGCCAGAGGTGCAAGAGTCCGACGAAGCTCATGAGACCGCAGCCTTTGTTGATGTCGGTGGCCTTCTTCAAACACCACTCACGGCTCAACCGCCCCCAATTGTGAACAGACCTGAAATCCAGGAAGTGGATAACCAGCAGGCTGCCTACATCTCGTCAACTCCTTCTCCAGAAATCCCCCGCTCAAAGACCCGAACCGGCGCACATGGTCTCACCACGAAAGGGATGCCGCCAGTACCTATTGACCGCAACTACTCATCAGTATCAGTCCCCATGTTGCGGTCAACTTCAGGTCCCACCTCACCCACCCAAGAGCAAGGGTTTACATCAACACGCAATGCATCAACACCCCTGTTAACCATCACAACCCCCAACGAGCCCAAAGAAACAGAGCCATCCCCACGCTGGAGTGGACCACCTCCCCTACTCGCCGTCCGCGAGAACATGGTCCGAAATCGCATGTCCTCAACCTCCAACCGCTTCGACCCCTGGTCAAACCGCAACCAATCTCGCAAGTCCCTACCAGAACTTAATACCGTCATCTCCCCCATCTCCCCACCCCACCCGGTCCCAGAAGAAAGGGACGAAGAACTCGAGCACGCCCAGCCCCACGACGCGGACGACATCCCCCTATCAAAACGCCGCACCATGCTCCAGCGCCAAACAATGCGTTCCCCATCCACAACAAGCCTGCACAGCGTCGAGGCCCAACCCCCCGTCTACCCCCCGCCGGCTCCCGCCGGCGAGCTGAACAGGTCTGCTTCCAGAATGGCGGCGTGGCGACAGTCAGTCCGCGAGGAAATCACCCAAAAACGTGATCCATTGACTATGCAATCCCCGCCCATCAGCCCGGTCAGTCCGGATAGACCGCGTAACACTTGGGGCTCTGTGCAGCAGATGCGCGAGGATTCCTCTGCCCAGCTTGGCAATGCTATTGCGGAGGGGATGCAGCGTGGGAATATGACGGACCTTCATCGTCAGGCGATGAGACGTATGCAGGCTTCGGCGAATCGTCAGCTGTGATTGCTCTGTTGACTTGATACCCTCTTTTTCCCTATTTGCTTTGCGCTTTTTTGTGTGTGTGATTGCGCTCTCCTACGACGTTATGAAGTATTTACTGCGATGTTTATCATCTTTATTAGATAATGTATATTGTCCAGATTATGTTCGGTTATTACATACAGATATATTCTTAATTTCAATTATAGAGATGTGTCGGAGAGTTCATTTTTACTTTATTGGAATGTAGATATATACTACTCTGCACTACCCTTTATTGCATCCAGTGAGATGAGAATGCGGCTTAGGTTTTCTATGAGTTAGTTCCCTATAACGTATATACAAAGCACCCTTAGCAATTGAAAGGTTGACCTGCCGGTGTTTTAAGTCTACTTGCGTCAGTAGTTTCAACAGCTTCGATATTGCCGAACCTGGACTGAAATCGAATGAAATCAATTACAATCAGACTCGAAGCCAATGTCCTTGTTAGTGTATTACCTGTTAGCGTTTGCAGTAGTTTTCTGCATACTACCCAATAAAGGCAGATGAAACAAGGGATTGCGGTGGATTCATCACAGTGAAACCGGGGCAAACGACTTGTCGAATTTAGCCCTCCCTTGAAAGCCTTGGAGATCCTTGTACATCTTTAAAGAAGATGATGCCCTTTCTGATATTGATTTGATATCAACCATTGAGTGGATATTTGTATACGCCAAGCGAGCTTCTATGCCGAACCTCCAAGAGTTTCACTCAAATTTGAGCACCGAAATTAAGTCACACTTGATCTTGATCTAATTTCTGTTCTTATCGCTTCTAATTGATCCCTTTGTTATCTTAAGAGTTGTTGTGCAACTTTGCATGTCCATCTCAAGTTTTTCGCCAATCTCCATCTCCGACATTCCTTCTCCCCTCTCCTTTCTCTCAAAACGGCGTCACTCAAACCCAACAGCTCTCTGTCAAGAGAACCAGCCCCACGTGGCAAACATTCCTTAACAATCCGTCCCGCCAATCGCGCCCCCGTGGAGTCAGCTCCATCGTTCGTTCGCGCCCAGCGGCGACAGTGCGTTCCGATCTCTGGCCCGCCGTCGCTCCCAGCCATTCTCCGCCCTCCAGCAGTCCGCCTCGCAAACCCTGTGAACCACGTCCCTCGCATTACCCCAATCACCCTCCCCCACCACTCAGACGAGAGCCTCCCACTATCAGGCCAATCCCGCGACGCCCACCCCCTCCTCAGCGTCCCGGAGCGACGGCGCAGCCGCCTCACCCCATCCCCAACTAGCCTGATCGTCGAGCGCAGCCACGGCGAGACAGAAAGCGGCCGCACAAGCATCGCCCTTCCCGCCAGCCACAGGCGCAGCGAACAATTCGAAGACATGGCTGCCGCGTTTGCGGGCAGTGCCGCGCGGGACACAGAAAACCTGCGCCCTCCCGAGGCCGTCCACCTCACCCAGGCCGGGACTCGACAAAATGACCGCCCCCGTCACGCCCAGTCTCAGACTTCTCTCCGCTCTCAATCACAGATCGCTTCCGTCCCCTCCCACACCGGCCAGCCGCCCGCTGATGTCGCCGAGGAATTGGCTTGGGGCCCTGCACACCCTTGTTTCCCGCATCTCAACCCGCATGTGCCTATTGGGTCGCATGAGTATATGACTACGCGCGTGATTCGAATCCGGCGAGACTGGATGATCAAGGGCGATTTGGCACCGACGTTTTCAAATCTATACCCCGAGATCCTGGATCCGTTATTGTCGGAGCAGGAGTTCCGCAGGGTCATCTCTACGGTCAATGATGGGATTATCAAGGCGTTTGATCCGTTCAGTTTCAGGAATTGGTTTGACGGCGCTATGGGGTTGTTGACTGGTTGGGTTTGGGACGATCTTAATGGACCTGGCACAAAGAGCCAGCTAAAGCATGTTGAGACCTGGTTGGAGAACTGGAACCGGGAAGTTGGTGCCAAGGATGGCGTTCAGATCTGGAGTTTGCGTCGGACGGCGTATATGTCGCTTGATATCCAAATTCCTGACCCTAAGGTGGGCATCGTACCCAGCGAGGCTCCCTCTGCCACCAATACCAGGCCGAGTACAGGCATTGGGGCTGGGACTTGATTGCCGTCTTTCGTTGTTTACTTTTCTTTTTGTTGTACATTCTTTTACATTGTTGCATCCTCCGGAACTCTGCATGATATCCATACCGCGGCAGCTTGTTCCACACCCATTATACCTCCTCGTCTCCTTGTCAGGTTCGAGGTTTTCTTTTAATCTTGTCACTTGATACCTTTCTTTGATATTCCTTCTGTCATCTTTTGTTTACATACTCCTCTTGTTTCGGACTACACCCTGTTTCTTATACTCCTGTCACCTGGCTTTCTTGTTCATAGCTGGTAGTTACACCGGACGACAACTAGAAAAGCTAATTAGCATTCTGAAACATACTACACTGCATATCTTGAATATGCTGTTACAATCATATTATGTCATATCTATTCAAATTGAGCTTTTCTGTCCGGATAATTTGACCCATTAGAAGTGTTGTGATCCCCATACGGGTGAGAAACTTGAGACTGTAAACAAATATGGCCATAACTAGGTCTCTGCTATAAAAATGTCACTGTTAATTGATTTCTTAGATCTCAATGGCTTGGAATTCTTAGCAAATGCCTCTCCAGCTGTTGACCTCCTTTTTATACTCTGTGCTCCATCCAGGCGGTGTCGATCCACCCCACCCCACCCCTGTTTCCGTAGCTCTTCTCCAACTCCAGGACAACCAAATCACAATGTTATCGGGGATCCTCGTATTTAATCAGAAGGGCGAGAACCTCATCTTTCGCGCCTTCCGCAGCGATTGCCGTCCGCGTCTTGCCGACATCTTCCGCATCCAAGTCATCTCCAACCCGCAGGTCCGCTCGCCGATCCTGACCCTGGGCTCGACGACCTTCAGCCATGTCAAGCACGAAAACATCTACCTGGTAGCAGTGACCAAAAGCAATGCCAATGCAGCACTGGTCTTCGAGTTCCTCTACCGGCTGATCATGCTGGGTAAGAGCTATTTCGGGAAATTCGACGAAGAAGCCGTCAAGAACAATTTCGTCCTGATCTACGAGCTCCTGGATGGTAAGACAACGCCCCTTCAAGTCCCAATTCCAAGTCCCAACCAAGCTAACGACCCAGAAATCCTCGACTTCGGCTACCCCCAAAACACAGACCCAGACACCCTCAAAATGTACATCACAACCGAAGGCGTCAAATCCGCCATCGCCAACTCCCCCACCGACTCCTCCCGCATCACCCAACAAGCAACAGGCGCGCAGTCCTGGCGCCGCGCAGACATCAAATACCGCAAAAACGAAGCCTTCGTCGACGTCATCGAAGACGTCAACCTCCTAATGTCTGCAACAGGCACCGTCCTCCGCGCAGACGTAAACGGCCAGATCGTCATGCGCGCTTACCTCACCGGCACCCCAGAGTGCAAGTTCGGCCTCAACGACCGCCTCCTCCTCGACCCTGGCGAGTCGTCTTCCAACGGCCGCGGCACGGGCTCTGGCCAAGGCACCTCAAAGGCCACTCGCGCCGCGGCAGGCTCGGTCACCCTCGAAGACTGCCAGTTCCATCAGTGCGTTAAGCTGGGCCGGTTCGATGCGGACCGAATTATTTCCTTCGTGCCGCCGGACGGAGAGTTCGAGCTTATGCGCTACCGCGCGACCGAGAATGTCAATCTGCCGTTTAAGGTCCATCCTATTGTGAGGGAAATTGGAACGACCAAGGTCGAGTACAGTGTGGCTATTAAGGCGAACTATAGCTCGAAGCTGTTTGCGACCAATGTGGTTATTCGCATTCCGACGCCGCTTAATACCGCCAAGACTACTGAGCGGACGAGTCAGGGGAAGGCCAAGTATGAGCCTGAGCAGAACAATATTGTTTGGAAGATTGCGAGGTTCTCCGGACAATCTGAGTTTGTGCTTAATGCTGAGGCAACGCTTACTTCTATGACGCATCAGAAGGCTTGGAGTCGGCCGCCGCTGAGTCTTTCGTTTAGTTTGCTTATGTTTACCTCTTCCGGGTTACTGGTGCGCTATCTCAAGGTCTTTGAGAAAAATAACTATAGCTCGGTTAAGTGGGTGCGCTATATGACTCGTGCGGGGAGTTATGAGATTCGGTATGTTTTTTTTCTTGGGTAATCTATATCCGTGTATGGTTCTTTGGCTGACTGGACTGTTTTAGATTCTGATCGTGCCAGCAAGGTTGGGGGCTTGGGCTCTTGGAGAGATCTGACGAGCGTGTTGATATCAATGGACTTGGGTCCGGTTTTTGTTCTATATTTTGTACTTTGCGCAGCACAATGGGTGTCTGGCGTTTGGTGGAGCCACATACATACTGGATTTTGCATAATTATCCAATTCTTCCATTCTTTACCTTCTTGGGCCTATGATAGACAATCCTAGGTCTCATCCGGACGATATTTCTATGAACGTGTCTACAATTTGAATAAAGCATGTGAAGGTTGGTAGATAAAAGTACAAGTCAAGTTGGTAGTAGATAGTAGTACAGATCCCAAACGAGAACCGAAAGGACACATACAGCAGATGTGCAGATTAAGTCACACAGGAAATATAAGCAGGCCCAAGGGAACAGAAAAGCAGAACATATTCACATAGCCCGAAAAGAAACCGGGACTCAAGACATAGATAGAACAATTTGTGCTGGTCAAACGTAGAACCGGAAAAAAGCAGATGATAATACAGGGGTGTTTTTTGAGCAAAGAAAAGACAAGTCAGTCAGTCACAGGGTAGTACAGGTATCATATAATACATCAATCAAACACGGAGATTGCAAATAATTTCAATGCCGACGGAGGCCAACACGACCCTCTCCAACGAGGGAGTGCCACCTATTGCCGACTTGGCTGCGGCCCATTTGGCGCGCGCACTCATCCCACTGTTGTTGGGAGAGGGAGATTCTTTGTAGGACCAGCTCAAGAAGATGCTGGTCTTCTTCAGCAGTCCAGGGCTGGGCCGGGGAAGCAAGCTCCTCTGTTACCTCGATGGAAGGCAGAGGCGCGTCTGGGTCGGTGGACGGACCGAATTGGAACTCCATTCGACGGGCTGGAGAAGGAGGAGACTGTGTGACGGGTGGAGAGTGTAGAGAGTAGAAATCGGTCGAGGCGAGACCAAGAGGTAGTTCGTAGGGGACGTGACGGCGACGCTTGGGAGTCGCGAAGCGCTCGTGCCTCATCTCCATGCCGCTTTCCTCGTCGTCCGTGTCGCGGCGGCGCTTGTTTGCGCCGCGCGCTGGTGCTGGTGGTGGTGTGAGGGCGGCGGATCGGGGTGGTGGTGTTTCTCTGGGGGAGACGGGGCGCACGGCCTTGTGCGATCGCGGTGAGCGACGGGGTGTGTTGAGTGGGAGAGGGCTTTGGAGGCGTTGGGCCTTGACTGAGCGGCGCGATGGGGGCGCTGGCGATCCGTTGAGTAGCGATTGTAAAGCGCGGCAGGTGCCGAGGAGACCGTTGCCCGATGCGTAGCCGCTGCTGGATGGAGGCGGAGTTGAGAAAAGGCGGCTGGGGGTGAAGCGAGACGACCGGCGCACATCGCATGGGAGGGCAGATGGAAGAAGCATTGTGAGAGTATTGTGCGATTGTATCGACGTGGAGTTGGGAAGTGTAAGTCGAAGTTGTCAGGTGAAGGTCACAGTTGCGCGGTCGCGCGAATGTGTGTGTGATTGCGCCGGAGGCAGTTGTGATGCGCAACGACGGAGTTGGGATGGTAAAAAAGAATGGATAAGAGTGTCGTCGGAATGCGATTCGATTTCCAACCGTTCCGGGGGTGCGACGACAAATTGTAGTGTTGATGTTTTGAAGCGAGTGTTGTCAGGGAGAAGAAGTTTGGCGGGGGGAATTCCGAGATAAAGGGATTTGGGCGGCGAACGGTCAAGCGAAACGTGTTGGCTATTTCCGTCACAAAGAATGTACTATTTATATTTTCCTGGAAGTTCAAAAAAAGCTTGTTGAAAGAATGTTGGAAGAGATCTTTTGAGAGATATTCTTTTTGAAACGAAAGTCTGAGGAGTATTCTCACTCTGAAGGGTCTAGTATAGCGAATGTGACTAGATGGTAGGAGACTATGAAGAAGATAACTAGGAGATGGAATGAAGCCCTTTTCTATTATAGCTATTCTCTCTCTCCCTCTCTCTCTCTATGATCTAAAGTCTCCCAGTGAAACAGGAGTATAGTAGGAGAATACTAAGGAGTGCAGGACAAGAGGGATTACAAGCAAGGGCAACAAAAGGCAACAGGCACGAGTGTACCCCCTGAGACATCAGACTCAACACTTTTCCTATTACATTTCCTATTCCGGTTGCAGATCGGCATCTTGCTTTGATTTCCTTTGAATTGGTTGCATTTTGCATATCAGTGTATTGTATTGGCGTTGAAACTAAGGACTGTAATGCCAAATGGCTTGCATCGTGCATTGGGCTTGCATTGACCCTGGCACGAGGCGCATTGACACGATGTCATCGCATTTGATCTACTTCATCCTCTTTAGTGGGCATTGTCGCGGTTTAATAATTCGCTGAAAGAGGAGGTTTTCCAGGAGGTTTACCTCTCCTCTAGGATGAAGAACGCTGACCACTTGAATTATCCTAGACTTGAGCCTTATTCCTGTATACCTATAATCCTATCGTCCTACACTCCTCTGGATATTTTCTGTCGCGAGAATAGAATTTTCACGCGTCAGACGCGTCGCGTAGACGCGTCGCGACGCGCCAAGGATCGCACATGTTTCATCTGCCTTGGCTGACTACGGAGTAGTTATGTACGGAATAACTAGATAGCAGTTGTACTCCATAGACTCGCTATAACTAACAGTCTATGCAGCGATTCTTCAATTCTGCTTGCTTCATGTAAATTGCATGTAACCAACACTATGGTACATTCCAAGGTCAATGCTCAAAGTGCCATGTGCCCTTGTTCACACTTAACGCCCCTCGCCCAGCCCTTGACATCGGAGCTTTTTGTATACTGTAATACATTTTGTAAAACTCTTTGTATAATATCTCCTTGCAGTGTTAGAAACACTCGTGCAAAGATACAGCTTGCATTATCTTGCAGACTTCAACTGCATCTTTGTGGGGTGCAGAGTCGATGCAACGGGCCGAGCTATCTATAGCATTTACTATTTGCAACGCTCTTGTATACCAAGTCTGGTAATATTGACACCCATCATACTGGCTATACTCAATTTTCAGTATCAATTTTTTACAAATATACACACCTACTACCTAGGAACATAGTCACACACAAAAACTAGAAAGGGGTATATTCTTGAACACTACCTGATCACACCAGCGCCCCAGGCCCAGGACTGTTTCCAAAGACCTATTCCTGTCTTCAACCCCAAGTAGAGTGCTCCTTCAGGTGCCCCTCAAGCCCCACAGCCCCCAGCCACCGATCGAAATTCAATCTCACGCAAGGGATAGTCAGAGTCCCGATGGAACTATCCTCATCCAGGAACACTTTCATAGGCCAACAACAAATTTGACCTTCAGGAAACAAAAGTATCAACCGCTAGTATCAAACTCAACAGCACGAATGACCAAAAATCCAAGGCAAAAAAGGTCACGGCTACGTACCAAACTTCCACCCTCCACGTCCAAGCTTCTGCACCCTGCGCCGCCAATGCAAGACATAGCCCCTGGCCACGGGCACTAATGCAGATCATCTCCACAACTCGTTCTTGTTCGTGGAGCTGGAATACTGCCACTCCACTCGTGCCCCGTTATGGTCTCGGTATCCTTCAAGGACACTCGCTACAAGGTTTCAGAATTTAGTTCACATATTGGCCTTGATAGCTTCGCCGACTCAGACATCGTGCAATATAGGGCTTGGGATGTCTCAGCCCTGTTGATATCCTTGTTATGATTTGTCAAATGCGGCTGTGTGGCTTGTCAACGTTGATGCCCTGCCTTCTATTGTCCTTGGTCTTGTGGATCACAGCTGGTGAGGATAGAAGCTGGGTGGCCTTGGTTTTTGACCTACCGGTATAAGCCCTGACGCTGTACATGAACAGTCATGATTTCGATATTACAATACTTCCCTCCACCTTGCTAGCAGACTATCCTCCCGAGTCCATCGTAATACGTTCCCAATCACAAGTCAAGACTCAACCCAGTGACCCAAAGTGAAACAATGTCTCCAATGCAATAGATCACCACTCCACGCTCCTTTTCGAGTTACTCTTAACTTCCCCTGCTCCATCAATAGCCCACATACCAGATCCCCTAGCCACGATCGATAAGCGCGCACTGTCCTCCCAAAGGCTCCAGTCCCAACCAGAACACAGGGATAAGAAAAAGGCCACTCTTTCTCCAGTCAGAGCATCTAATTAGCAGAAGAGCTGCCCTCCCTCCATCTTCAGCGCGTGATTGCATACGGGCGATTATTGCCTTAACCCATGCTCCTTCTGTCCCTGCAGATCACGAAGACAACTATTGACTGTTGGCTGCCTCCTGGGAGTATAGGTGGCGATTCGTAGGTTTTGTCATTTTGCGCGGTGTTGGCACTGGACTGTGAGTGTCCAAATAATGAATCTGCATACTCAATTACTAGCAGAATCACCTTACTCAGGCTCTCTGAGGATCCATTTGTTATACCAACATTCATGCCTTGCTATAATACAGTCTCTCATGGCCAATGCTATCGATTGCCACGTGGGCTTCCCAACCCTAGCGATTCTTACAAGAGCGAGGACCATCCGACAGATGACAAAGACGCTACAAACAGATTTGTGATTCCCGCAATGCAAATGTCCGCAACCATCTACAAACGCTCTTGGCAATAGTTACAAATGGGCATACCAAACACCGCCCAAACCAACAGCGTCACAGGGTATAAACAAGCCTCACTTCCCTTGCATCTTCTTAAACCGCTCTTCGGCAGCTCTAGCCCTCCTCTCCCTCTCTAACCTCATTTTCATCTCAGGCGTCATCCCCCTACTCTCTTCCTCGCGCTTTTCCGCGCCAGATTTCTCAACAGCGCCCACCGTCCGCCCACCAGACTTCGTAGTCTTGGCCTGCGCGGCCTTCTCCGCATCTTCGCGCTTCAGCCGCTCCAGATCCGCCTTCCGCCGGCTCGACTCCTCTTCTTCGGCAGCTTGGCGCTCGCTCGCAGCACGCCTCTCGGCCTCGGCCTTCGACAATGCGGATGGAACCTTCGCGCTCTCCCAGTCCCATTGAGACTCGCCGAGCTCGTGCCGCGCAATGCGGAATGCGTCGCGCGTCGCCCGGTCGCCGGTTAGTTCGAAGGGCGTGCGCCCTTCGTTGTTGAGGGTTGTTGGGTCTGATAGGGTTTTTGTAAGGAGGGCGGTGACGACGGCTGGGGCGTTCAGGTTGGCTGCTAGGTGGAGGGGTGTGGGGCAGCGGAAGTTTTGGGGGGAGTCGGCTGGTGTGAATGTGAATGAGGGTGGGATGGAGTTGTTTGAAATATAAGACATTAAGGCGGGGACCTTGGAGCGGCGGATCAGGGCCTGGAGTTGGCCTGTGTGTAGTAAAGCGGCTTCTTCTTCCTTTGATAGTTTTGGTTTCTGGGGCTGGGGTTTCGGTGCTGGGGTCGATGCTTTCAACTCTTCTTCTTTGCGCTTGGCTTCGGCGGCTGCGATGGCGGCCTCGTCTACCTCGCTGATCTTGACACGGGTCAACTCTTTGAAGCACCGTAACAGTTCTCCTTGTGTGGCGCGCCGGGTATTAATGGGGAATCCTCGGATCCTGGGATCTTTGTTCTTGAGGACTTGTCCGTCGTAGTTATCAAAAAGGATTTGCCGATTTGTCTTTCCCGTAGCGCGAACGAACAACAGCTCGGCGCTATCGATCATCCCGCGCCATTCTGTCAAGGTCTCTCTGATCTCCTTTTCAAGCATAGCTTCGTTGTATCGACGTAGACTTGAACCTGCGGAGTGCGCAGCTCCCCGAGAAGCGTCACTGGCAGACTGCGAGCCACCCTGCTTTCGTCGGGTGGTATATCGGTGGATCGACTTGTGCGCAATAACCCTAGCTTGTCTTTCTTCGACACCACCTTGTTTTCGGTGGATCTCCGGTGCCAACGAGACCAGCATGGCTGCGAAGTGGCCACCGCCAATCATGCACATGAAAATGTGAGGGCCCGAGGCGGCAGGATCTTGCACTTTGCTCGCATTGTTGGTGCGTCCTTTGACTGGAGCTAGCTGCTTTCGGCGCAGCGTATCAACCAGGTGAGCTGGATCATCCTGCTCGGCGGTTGAGAACATCGCCCTGTAGACACCCAAGGACTTGTTGGACGGCAAACCCGAGCTCGAAAACCAGAGAAGAGGATTCTTCGGGGCACCCGCCATATTTGCCTTGCTATACTCTTCGGGGTGGGCTATCTTGGCCTGCTTTTTCAGCAAGGCTGACAACGTTGTCCCAGCGGCTCCATCTCCTTCCTCCTCTTCTGTCTCCGATGACTCAGAGCCGGAAATGGACTCGTCCAGCTCTCCGACTGCCTTCGCAAACTCGGCTTCCTCAAGTAACGCAGTCCCCCGCAGCTGGGATTTGACGTTGTACCGGTGATGGTCTGAGCGGACGTGACTGCGCTGATCCTGTACATTGTTGTAAGAGACCTTGCATAGGGGGCAAAGGCTGGATTTTGCGATGGCAGAGTCTTGTGCTGCCTGTTCAAGCTCTAGTGGAGAAGGACCGGTATCTTCTTCGGCGATAGGTTGGTTTGTGGTCTTGGCCGTTAAACTTGCGAGAAGTTCTTGCGGCAGGTCGTAGACTGTAAAAGATCAGTTTGCAGGCATTTTTGCGCATCATTTTGCAGACATACTATAAAGAGGTCTCTTCAAGAGATCCTCCATTCGAGTCTTATCAGCCATGGCGAACTGTGTGAAGAATGCAGTGTATTGAAATCGCAGTGCCCCTCCAATGACGCTGATGAACGAGGCTTACCGCCTTGAGATAATGCAGGCAATATTCTAACTAGATGTGCTTATAGTCGCTTTTATATGTTGTAAATTGTTTTGACTTGCATTTGACTCATGCGTTAAGATTTTGGCTCAGCCACAGCTCTTCAATTTTATGTTAGTAATTGTTGCTGCGGGTGTGGGCTGTGCTTGTAGATATTTGGGACTAACCAGTCGGCCTCCCTATTAGGAAATTGTAGGCGCTAATGGGCTGTGTTGGCCAATTTTTCACTCGGCGTTCCAGCAATAGTTTACAGATCCTTCTATAGAGGGAATGGATATTTTGCAATAGCTCTATGAGCTACGTATATCCTGCAACCTTTTGATACCTGTTTCATTCACGTGACTTGATTTCATATATGACGTCGATGTTTGCACTGTTTGATTGTGCATAATTGTGACTAAGCATTCACCTCCACCCCTCTAGGGTGTAGGTGAGCCCACACCTGTTAACAAACCCACACCTATTAACAAAAAAACCATTATTTCAATTTCAACCCTATTTTTCAGCCACCATCCCATCTGGATCTATATATTTAAATAGCTCACTATTAGCTTCAAGATAATCTCTACCCCCTGATGCTTCTTTCTTTTCTTTAAGAGCCTGATTGGCGCGGTGCCAATAGTCTCGAACTCTTACATTTCCAGCCTCACGCCGAATATCCAGCTTAGATTCCTTCGAACAACGCTGATGAACCTTCGAATTACCTGCAATTGACGATAAAGGACTCTTAGAAGCACCCTTTACAATGCGCTTTGTCTTTTTGATAGGAATCTTGTGGCTTTGCATCCTTTTTATCGTCTGTTTTGCAAGGGCTAGGTCTTAAACAGCCTGCTTGCCGCCATGAATTGCACGGTTTATATGTTTTTAAAGCTTCGGAAGGTCTAATTCATCGTCTTCGAATATAGTTTGAATCTTATCTTTAACTTTAGAGAATCTTTGATCTAAGTTAGGCGGCGAATTCGTTACTAAACTAGGAAATTCACGGTTTGGTGATGGCGTATAACCATATATTTCAAGGACTGGTTTATCTTCCTAGCCTAGATCAATTTGATCGCATATAATATGCAAATCATAAGGCCAAAGACCGGTGTCTTTAAATGATGATTTAATCGTTTGCGATTTAAATGTGCCTTTACGGACTGTTTTAATGATTTAAAGAAAATGCCGTTTATTATTAACATCTCCACCCTATCGTATAATCTTATTATTCTTTCTTCGGAATTTTTGTTTAAGAACTGAGAATAGCTTACTATCGAGAGGCTGGTATCGATATGTCATTTTTGGTATAAACCACTAAGGTATGATATTAAAGCTTTAACAGATATGCTCAAATTCCGGGGTTCTATAGGATCTATAGTTATCTATAACCAAAACCCTAGGTCTGCCTTTAGCAACTCGCTTTTTAGTAGTATAATAGAAATCTAATAGCCATTAAATTGCAGTTATATCGTCGGTCTAGCCTTTAGCAGTTGGTTTAATAACCCTATAGTTAGTAGGATCATTATCGCCGTTAAACCAGTCTTCCATTTGTTTAGAACCACGCATTAAAAACCATAGATACATAACCCAGCCATCGGCCGAAATACACTTAATTCCAGTAATATTCTAGCCTATTCCACCAGTCGCAATAGTCTCATATTTGCGGGTAGAAGCGACGTTTTCCTTCGTTCCAATACTTAGCTGAAAGCCAGTCTCATCCCAGTTATATAGTTCGTTAGCCTGAATTTTGTTTTTTTTAAGGAATTAGCCATAGACCTCATACCAGTGAACTAATTCACCGTGTAATTCAGCTTCAATCCTCGCTTTTTCCATCGGCTTTTGTGTACGAAGGTCGATATGGGGTGGTAGGCGTCGAATGAATTGATACCCATACATTTTGCCAACCTGCCGGTCGGAACCACAATGTCGTAAAATACGATATGCAGCACCCTTAATATCACTAGCATTTGGTGGTGTATATACTGAATTAAGGTGCTTAATCCAGCGAATAAGAGAGGCTTCTTGTGAGGAATTTAGGGCTTTTTTAGTGGCTATACGGCCTTTTCTATTTGTCCTGCCTTCCTTTCGGTACCGAAGCTTCCACTTCGAGACGCCAAAATGAGAGGCTGCGGCCTGAATACTGGTAAATTGACCTGATTTATAGGCTTCGAGGGCATTTGAGAGAAGGATCTCTTCTTTTTCGGAGGAAATCGGCATAGTTTTGGTGGTGAAAAATAGGTTTGAAATTGAAATAATGATATTTTGTTAATAGGTGTGGGTTTGTTAACAGGTGTGGGCTCACCTACACCCTGGAGGGGTGGAGGTGAGTGCTTAGTCACAATTATCAAACCCGAATATAGTCCATGGGTTGTGCTGGATTTATAAATTGTCATGATTTGTCTGATCATTACAAGAAACAGTGATAATATGACAGCTGATCGTAATATCTGCGAAAAAAAGGCTCTTAAAATCATACATGTACCACTGAAAGAATCGACCTACAAACTAACTCGGAACATAACACGCAAGGCTAGGTTAGGCCCAGTCACCCTTGGCTACCTACATAAGCACGATCAATCTGAACTTCTGCTCTCGTCCAAACCTTAACCGCAAGCCATGACTGGTTGTTTCATACAACTGCCTTAGTTGAGGTGTCACATGACTGTCAGCCGGCACATTAAACGCTTTGGGCAACAATGTGCTCGTCGAATTCTCAACTTGTGCAAGATCCAATCAAACTCGTAAATTGGGCATTTCTACGGGTAATATGTCATCAGGCCAACAGCAGATCACACTAAGTGAGCTCCAACAAGCGCGAGCGCAGATGGCAACTTCCAGGCAACAAAGTACTGGCAGCAACCCACAGATGCAGCCTCAGTCAGGAGCAATGGGGTCCAAGTATGAGGATCTCCCTATCATGGCGCCTGGTGATATTAGCTTTTTCAGCGCAAATCCCGGCTCAATTGGTGAAGTTCCACCCTACTTCAAATTTTTTGAATTCGCCTGCCAACAGGGCCTCCTCGCAGTCGCTCAATCCGTTATCGCCAATGAGAATCCAACACCAGCTTTCCTTCATCATGGCCTTACATGCGCTCTGGCAGCTGGCCATGTTGAGATTTCTCGATATTTACTCGCGAGTGGGGCACCAATTGTCCGCGAAACCCCAAGCAATATATTCTTTGCGCCTTACGAGTTGCATGTCGCCCTATTCGACCTTCTCAGTCAATTTGGCTGGAGCCCTAACATCCCAACCTTCTATGGCGCTGTTTTTCTCCCTAGGACTGTGACCAATCTCCCTCTTCTCCGGTGGTTCCTCGATCTCGGAGCTGATCCCACTGCAGGGCAGCCGCAAACAAGCAATGAACGTCGCGGTGGATCAGGAAACAGGTCATGTGCTGCCCTTGAAGCAGCTGCCGTTCATGGGACTGTGGAAGCTGTGGGTATGCTCCTTGATGCCGGTGCTCAGATAAATTTTGGTATACCACTACATTTGGCTGCTGGAGCTTGTCCCCCTGGCAATAACCCCCATGCTTCCCGTGTGATACCGACCCGCAAATTTGATATCGGTAGAATCCCGATCCTGGCTTTGCTGGTGAGTCGTGGTGCAGATGTTAATCGCAAAGAGGTCTCCCAACATATGGTGGCGCAGTATCCGATTGTCCATGCGGTGATGGCGGGAGCAACTGAGCGGGTTAGGTGGTTACTGGAACATGGTGCAGATCCTCATGCTAGGGGAGATTTCGGTACTGCAATTGATTATGCGCGGGCTATGCGTTATGATAGTATCGTAATGGTGATTGAGGGTTTTCTATCGAGGACGAACGCTACTGGTTGATATTCTATATATTGGATCAGAGATACACCCCCACCCCCGGTCAATAAGTCCTCACCCATTTCTATATTTACTAGCAAACAGCCCTCGGGTGGAGTGCCGATTTCAGTCCTATCTTGGTCCTTGAACTTATATAGTCACATATACCAATTTTAGATAAATTTGGTAAAATTTTAGTATCAAATTTTCAAAATACCTCTTTCCGAACAATCCATTATACATGGCTGTTGAGTGGCAAAGATCAAGATACAATTTCCAAATTGAATTTGAAATATATATAACCAGCGGTCCCATAGATAACTCTTGACCAAACTCGGCTGCAAAACTTTGAAAACTAGCCGTTCTGTACAGAGGAATTACTTGCGAATATAGTTATAAATATTTTGCCATATATCTAGCAAATAATGAATATTAACATAGGTAAAAAATAAGTTGCTATATGAATGTATGAAGGAAAAAGGGCCTGAAATTGGCATTCTTTGCTAGTAAATATAGGAGTGGGTAAAGACTTACAACAACCTATGGGTATACATATGTAGGCATTATGGTATGCTTTACATTTCGGGAAATATTTCAACTACGAACATATTCGAAGTCTAGGAGTCAATTTAACTCTATATGATTTTGAGACCGTTTCATAACATATTCATAGCTATACAATATCATAGTCTGGAATACATAACTGTTGTAGACGCCCCGAGACCGCATTCGGTCTTAATTAGCGCTTATCGCCGACGAATTACGTCGCGCAATAATCCCGGATTTCACGTGACCGGAGAGGCTAGAAAATTTCAGTTGAACCTGAAGTTATTTAGCTTTTTATTCTTTATTAAATAGCTCGATATTTATATGACACAAATATCATGCGAAGTCCTGTAAATGGTAATATAACGAGTCCGACATACTTACAAATGGAATACTTCCGACACAAAACGGTATGCAGCTCCGACTTCCCCGTCCGAGAAAAAAAGTGGGTCCTTGCTTCCTAAGCAACTTGAGCTAAGAGGCTCCTTGACTCCTCCCGTCTTCTCTTGATTCTATTTCCTTTCCCGCAAAGGCATACTGGCCAAGAAACGATTCGAAAAATGCTGGATGGCCAATCCCAGGTGGTCCTAGAGGCATCCCGCCCGGGGAACCTTCTGCATTCCCTAGGATCGGCAATAGAATCCCACCGTCAGCCTTTCTGTACAGATAGCGAGGGCTGGGGCCCTTTCAGCTCATCGCGATTTGATCTGACGCCATGCTTCCTTGACGTGATTGTGGCTGTAGTGGCTGTTTGGGGTACGCTGAGTGGACTGGCTGCCTTGTGGCTTTTGCTGAAGAAGCGAAATCCGCAGCCCGTATCGAAGAACTGGCACTTCTACACCAAGTTGGTAAGTACATACATACCAGAAAGCCCCCCGCGCACGTCATGAGTGAGTCGCTGATGTATTTTGGTTGCGATAGGTCGTTCTCGCTGCTATCACCTTCGTCACCGCTCTGCAAGCTGCGGTTCAAGTCGAGTCAGAGCCCAAAAACTTCCATGCCGATTTTCGCTTTTGGTCCTCGATTTTGACAATTATCTCGCTGGGTGTTATTACCTCGGTCCAATACTTTGAGCACTGGCGGAGTCGACAGCCCAATGGGGTTGTACTGTTTTACTGGCTGTTCTTCATTATCGCCTATGGGATTAAACTGCGGTCATTGGTCGCGCGCAAAGAATACATCGACGGACTTCCTTATTTCGTCTGCATCAATGTGAGCTTGGGACTGGCACTGTTTGAATTTGTTCTGGAGTATTTCGTCCCCAAGAAGCAAAGTGCTTATGATGCCCTCGGAAGTGATGATGAATGCCCTTACAACTATGCAGATATCTTCTCGGTTCTTACGTTTGGCTGGATGACTCCGATGATGAAGTTCGGATACGACAACTACTTGACCCAGGATGATCTCTGGAATCTCCGCAGTCGCGACACCACCAAAGCCACGGGAGACGCCTTGAAGGAGGCGTGGGAAGAACAGCTCGAGAAGACAAAGAACCACAGCGATAAGAAGCCATCGCTGTGGCTTGCGCTTTTTAAAGCTTTTGGTGGTCCTTATATCCGTGGTGCGATCATCAAATCCGGAAGTGATATCCTTGCCTTCGTGCAACCACAACTCCTTCGACTTTTAATTTCTTTCATTGATTCGTATCAAAGCCCGGACCCACAACCTATCATTCGAGGTGTTGCTATCGCCTTGTCCATGTTTGTTGTATCTGTCTGTCAGACTAGTTTCCTGCATCAATACTTCCAGCGTGCTTTCGACACAGGCATGAGAGTTAAGTCGTCTCTGACCGCTTTGATCTACGCCAAGTCCTTGAAGCTGTCGAATGAAGGCCGTGCAACCAAGACGACCGGTGATATCGTCAACCACATGGCTGTTGACCAGCAACGTCTGGCCGATCTGACTCAATTCGGTACCCAGCTCATTTCTGCGCCCTTCCAAATCGCCCTATGCATGGTTTCTCTTTACCAGCTCGTTGGACTGAGCATGTTTGCCGGTGTCGGAGTAATGCTATTCATGATTCCCCTCAATGGTGTCATTGCGCGGGCCATGAAGAAGTTGCAGATCGTTCAAATGAAGAATAAAGACTCGAGAACTCGACTCATGACTGAGATCTTGAACAACATCAAGAGCATCAAGCTTTATGCCTGGAACACGGCTTTCATGAACAAACTCAGCCATATCCGAAATGATCTTGAGCTGAACACGCTTCGTAAAATTGGAGCCACTCAATCGGTTGCCAACTTCACCTGGCAATCAACCCCCTTCCTTGTGTCCTGTTCTACCTTCACCGTCTTTGTGTTGACAAATGACAAGCCCTTGACCACTCAGATTGTGTTCCCTGCTTTGACGCTCTTCAACTTACTGACCTTCCCGCTCTCCATTTTGCCCATGGTTATCACGTCAATCATTGAATCTTCCGTGGCCGTGAAGCGGTTGGTTGATTACTTCACCGCAGAGGAGTTGCAAACCAATGCTGTTTCCTTCGAAGACCCTGTGGCACACATTGGTGACGAGTCTGTCCGTGTTCGCGACGCCTCGTTTGCTTGGAACCGCCATGACGGAGCCACCGTACTGGAGAACATTGATCTCAGCGCACGCAAGGGTGAGCTTAGCTGTATCGTTGGGCGCGTCGGCTCTGGAAAGTCCTCACTTCTGCAATCACTGCTGGGTGACCTGTGGAAGAGCGAAGGAGAGGTTGTTGTCCGCGGCCGCATCGCGTATGTGGCGCAAGCACCGTGGGTTATGAATGCAAGTGTCCGGGAAAACATCGTTTTCGGCCACCGCTGGGACCCCGATTTCTATGACCTCGCTGTGGAAGCCTGTGCTCTGCTCGACGACTTCAAGACCTTGCCCGATGGTGACCAGACTGAGGTTGGAGAACGCGGAATTTCCCTCTCAGGCGGACAAAAGGCACGATTGACACTCGCACGAGCTGTCTATGCTCGTGCTGATATCTATCTGTTGGATGATATTCTTTCGGCGGTTGACCAACATGTTGGACGCCACATCATCAACAAGGTACTTGGAAAGACCGGTCTCCTCAGTGGCAAGACCAGAATTTTGGCAACCAACGCCATCACTGTTCTGAAGGAGGCTGATTTCATTGGTCTCCTGAGGGACAAGACCATCATTGAGAAAGGAACTTTCGAACAACTCATGGCTATGAAGGGCGAGATCTCGAACCTCGTTCGTACCACAATGGTTGATTCAGACGATGAGGGTACTGTTAGTGGCTCTGAGGATCTCGCGAGCCCTAACAGCTCGTCGGTCACAACCACTATCATCCAAACCGGCGGTGACTCGGACAGCGAGGAGGCAGAGCAACCCGGTGACCTTGTTCCTATTCGCAGTGCTGGAAACGGGGAGGCTCGTAGGCGGACTTCTACTGTTACCTTGCGACGCGCAAGCACTGTTAGCTGGCAAGGTCCACGGCGCAAGCTGGGAGATGAAGAGAACATCCTCAAGAGCAAACAAACACAAGAGAGTTCCCAACAAGGAAAGGTCAAGTGGGGCGTCTACGGTCAATATGCAAAGGACAGCAACGTCTGGGCCGTTGGAATCTATCTATTTGCTATGTTGGCTGCCCAAACCGCTCAGGTGGTGGCCAATTTCTGGCTGAAGAGCTGGACTGAGTACAATGAACGCCACAAAACCAATGAGAAAGTAGGCAAGTTCATTGGTGTCTACTTGGCACTTGGCCTGGGATCCTCTCTTTTGGTCATTTGCCAGAACTTGATTCTGTGGATCTTCTGCTCCATTGAAGCATCGCGCAAGCTCCACGAGAGGATGGCATTCGCCATCTTCCGTTCCCCCATGAGTTTCTTTGAGACCACCCCATCCGGTCGCATTCTCAATCGTTTCTCTAGTGATATCTACAGAGTCGATGAGGTACTTGCTCGCACCTTCAACATGTTGTTCGCAAACTCTGCCCGCGCGATCTTCACCATGATCGTCATTTCGTCTTCTACCCCTGCCTTCTTGATATTCGTTATTCCTTTATTTTACATCTACCTCAGTTACCAGAAATACTACTTGAGAACCTCTCGCGAGTTGAAGCGTCTGGATAGTGTCACTCGAAGCCCTATCTTCGCCCACTTCCAGGAGTCTTTGGGCGGCATCTCGACCATCCGTGCCTACCAACAGCAAGCTCGCTTTTTGCTTGAAAATGAATGGCGCATGGATGCCAACCTCCGAGCTTACTTCCCATCCATCAGCGCTAACCGCTGGCTCGCCGTGCGCCTCGAGTTCATTGGCTCAATAATCATTCTTGCATCTGCAGGACTTGCTATCTTGTCTGTTGCATCTGGCGCTCGTATCTCGCCTGGTATGGTCGGTTTGGCCATGTCGTACGCTCTCCAGATCACCCAGTCTTTGAACTGGATTGTCCGCCAGACTGTCGAAGTCGAGACTAACATTGTGTCTGTTGAACGAGTCCTCGAATATGCCAATCTCCCAAGTGAGGCTCCTGATGTGATCTTCAAGCGCCGCCCTGCCATCGGTTGGCCGGCCCAAGGTGTTGTTTCTTTCAACGACTACAGCACCCGCTACCGCCCTGGACTGGACCTTGTGCTCAAAGATGTCAACCTAGACATTAAGCCCAAGGAGAAGATTGGTGTTGTTGGCCGAACTGGCGCTGGAAAGAGTTCACTCACATTGGCTCTTTTCCGTATTATTGAGGGCGTGAATGGAAATATCAGGTAAGAAAAAACATTTGGCCTTCTTTGGGCTATTTATGCTGACTATGTATTTAGTATTGATGGACTCGATGTTTCTACCATCGGATTGACTGACCTTCGTGGCCGTCTCGCTATCATTCCTCAAGATCCAGCCATGTTCGAAGGTACCCTTCGTGACAATTTGGATCCTCGTCATGTTCATGATGATACTGAACTTTGGAGCGTACTAGGTCAGTCTAACTTGCATCCCGTTCTATTTGTCACAATCAACAATGGCTGATTGCGTTTTCTCTAGATCACGCAAGATTAAAGGACCATGTCACCCAGATGGAAGGCCAGCTTGATGCTCAGATTCAGGAAGGAGGTAAGTTACCATGTACGCCTCAAAACTGCCTGAGGCAGATTCTAACAGCACCACAGGCTCCAACCTGAGTCAAGGCCAGCGTCAGCTTGTGAATCTCGCCCGCGCTCTGTTGACTCCTAGCAATATCCTTGTTCTGGACGAGGCAACCGTAAGAGTCTCCTGACTCCTCTGATATTGATTGACAATCCTGGCTAACAACAGCGATAGGCTGCCGTTGATGTAGAGACGGACGCACTCCTGCAGCGCACCCTGCGCAGCAGCATCTTTTCTGATCGGACTATCATCACAATTGCGCACCGCATCAACACGATCATCGACTCCGACCGGATCGTCGTTCTGGACAAGGGGCGAGTGGCTGAGTTTGACACACCTGCAGAGCTTATCAAACGCGGCGGCAAATTCTACGAGCTCGCTAAGGAAGCTGGCCTGCTCGACAGCGACGGCTCTATCTCTTCTCAAAAATCGTAAAAGCCAACCGGCCGCAGTGGTCTCAGGCCCCCGCATTTTCTAGCCATGAAAAGATATCGCTCGACCGGCCAGCCCGCCCAAGAGCTTTGAAACAGCCTCATGCAGCTCTGAGTGGCCCGGGGAGGCCGGGGTCTTTTTGGGTCCTCGGGCCGATCCTACCAGGCCCTGGACTCTCATTGTTCGCTTTCAGTGCTGCCTGCATGGATCATGCCTACGGTTGATCTGTGCTGACGGTTCAAACGCCCCTCGGTGGTTCTGGTGTGGCGCGGGTGTCTGTGCATATCTGCATGTACATGTACTGAGGGAAAAGTTTTTCATTGCACAGCTACAGCCAGGGACCCCCTGACAGAGGAGAGGAGGTCAAAACAAACAGTGGAGAGTGGCTAAAAATTGGTTTCTGTTATAAATAAATCTTCTAACGCAAACTTATCTATCGTCCTCTCTTGTGTTTCATGTTGGGATGGCTTTTGCCTCATACATGTAGATAAAATTGAGTGAATCCGATTGGATTGACACTGCGAACCAGGAGAAAAAAAATAGCGTTTCTGTTTATATTACCTTTTTGACTTGTTCCTATGATCAAATTGTGGCCGTGCACCGCGTCTTGCTTGTTTATATGTGAATAAATCCAGACCCGGAACATACGTAGTAGCTAGAGCCAAAACAGGATTGTGTCTAGACCTCGGAGAACAGCGTAAATCAAACGTAAGTATGCAGAACCGATATTAACAGACACCCTAGACGTCTAACATGATGATTATCTGCAGTAGCGCCTGTTACTAAACGTGGCGGTGACATCCTGATATCCCATCAGATCCATTGAATTGTAGCGGTGAAAGCCCAATGCCAGTTGGCTGCCCACCACTGGCGTCTGTTCGCAGAAATCTGTAAGCCATGAAAAAATATGCCTCAGTCCAGAGCTTTTGGTGTGCTTTACAAGATTATAACGTAGTGAGGGTATATTTATTAAGATTGTCACGACATAATGCGAAACAAGCATGCATCCAAGGGCCTCACCCGCCATAACAGTCATTCCCATTTCTGGTTCGACGATCACATTGACAACTCGGGGAAATCTATATTATCTCAATAGTACATATACGACTCACCTCCTTGCTCCCTGCAAAACAGATTCCCCACGCGGTCGTTTGGGGTTATACTTGCATTGATCCATTGGTTCAGTAGTCCATGTAGCCAGGATGTACACATAAGGGGGAGGAGGCAAACTTGTCATCGCATTCCAAAAACTATATACAATACATAATCACTCAGTACGGGATATCTTCGATTAGCTTTGTGATCTCACAGAGGGGGCAAAACGACCTCGGGAGGGGCAACGTCAGACTCTGAGTAACAACTGCGTGTTAGACTTGAGAGTGTATAGTCTATCTACAACTTACAAGAGACACGAAACAAGATCATCGATCAACACCAAATTATTCCCGTGGAAGGAGGTCTGACCATGATCATGATCGCACAGCACAATTACCACCATTGCCAAATGACTTCACTGAATCTACTATCTAATTGGCTGCGGACCTGCGTCCGGCATTTGTTTCAGCTATCAAGTTTCCAGGCAAGGGATAATTATGATCTGAAAGAGTCATCATGCATTAAGCGGAAGCGGCAAGCGTTTCCTTAATCTTGTTCAATGGGCCATGGAGCCTCGATAGACCAATCAGGAATTCCACAATCAAGATCCTCAGATCCCGGATAAATCCAGGTTGTGTAACTCGCCGGAAAAGGTAATCGCCTTTGCCAGGTGAGGAGATCGATCTTGCATAGCGATCAGAATCAGGATATTTTCCACGCCAGTAACTACACCCCGGAAGCAATTTGCGTCGCGTATCCATAGGTTCGGGCTTGGATTATGGCTCGAACTTGCATGCAGTCTCATACTAGCTCGCCCATTACCATTACCCACATCCTCTGCGGAACAAGCCCTCCGGATAGTTAGTAGTTATGGTTATGGTAAGTGTAATTGTCAGCCAGCCGAACAAGCCCGATTATTATCATATATCCCCGCTTCCCAGCAGGTGATCGTACATATGTACATGTAGGCATTGTGCATCAGTGGGCAATTTATAAGTGATTTGTTGCGAGCGTACGGGTTTCACTTCCGTCATGTCTATTCCTCCACTTCCAGCGCTACCGCGGCCTGGTGGCTCCGTTGCTGTACCAAAATGGAGCTTGTGCGATTTGTATTTTCTAAGAAGGACTGCAAAGGTGGAAAAAGACAAAAATATGACCTGAGATCGGGTTGCATGGTACCTGCTCCAGATTGAGAAAGTCTGCTCCATTTTACCCCTCATGGATCGTCTGGGCCGGGCTGTTCCTCCCTGTGTGTTGTGTAATGATGCACAGGATTCAGATCTGAAGTGCGTTTTCGAGAGATTTCTACAACATTGCTGTGGTTTATAATTTTGTTTAAAGGTGTTGTTGGGGTTCCCAGAGGCGTGGATGATCTACGTCTCTCCTATCATCATGATTATGGGAATTATTAGAAATATAGAACTAGGACTGGACCATTCTCTGAGTCGTGATCGACTCAGCCCTTTGAAGAGGGGCCAGCCACGGTGGATATTTCCACAAATTTGTAGTGCGAAGTGAAAATCCCCTGCACGAACGCACTGTGCACCCGGATTTGCTATAGAGTACCAATGTGGCGGGTTGAAAAACCACTCCTCCCGCACCGAACGCTTAGGCCCACATCGGACAAGAGGAAGTTGGATTAAGTCTATGATAATCATCCGGAAGGGGAAGATAAAAAGTCTCTTGTTGGTTGGAAACGGGGCTGCTCGGGGCTTTTTTCCGACTCTCGGTGTCTGTTTAGCTCAACTTAGTTTGAGAGTGGGTATTATGTGGGCTATGCCTTGCGTCGAGTAGTTCGGAAATGAGTGAATCTAATGGGATTGTGGAATTGTGGAATAGAAGTGGCACCCATATGCTCGTAATTATCTTTTCTTTGATAGATTCATATAGATAGAAACTCACCGTCAGTAGTAAGTAATAGTTAATGAATGCCATGCACCTTGTTATGGGGCATGTGGGCAATATAGGGGTATTTGTCATGCTCCAAGCAGTCATATTCCCCAGCCACTGATCGACTCGCGTGTAAACCGAGGCTTCCCGGAAATCGATTAAAGAAAACCCAATACCTGGGGAATGGGACGTAGGAATGATAGCGGCCTGTCTGGTCGGTGAGGATCTAATTGGTTCACAGGGCCTTGCTAACCGTCGCACTGGAGCCCGAATGTAGGAAGAATAAAGCAGAAGATTCCCGAGGCACAATGACATGGTCCCAGCCACACCACTCGATCGGGGCCAAGCACGGATCTCCAGGGACGATCTTGGGGGCGCCGCTTCGGGCAATTTGTCCGTCTATGCAGATATTTTGAGAGTGAAATGGATATCGGGGAAGAATTTATGATGGTGACATTGGTCCGCGGGTTAGGGATGTGCGGACACTAGAGACTAGACTGGTGGGTTGGGCTTGGTTGCTGGGAGCGGGAGATAGCCTGGGAAAAGTGGAATTTTAATAAACACGAGAATACTACACGCGATCGCCTGCATCAGGATCCGCTATGGAGAAGCTTTGGAGCAGGGAGGGGCCGGGGAAGATTTTAGCTCGTTCAGGAGAGTTTGAACTATCTTCGTTAAGGATTTAGCTGATTCTGAAGACAGGAAAGAAAGGAAAGCTGATTGAATGATTGGCCGTGGGTGAAAGTTGAACACAAAGTACGATGCAAGGACCTCTAGACTTTTTTTATTGGATGAGCCAAATCATATACCAATTCCAATGACTCGGCATTTCCAGGTATTTGGGATTTACCTAGCAAAATATGATGTCAAATTTGATCTCTGAAAGTCCCCACATGGTCAAGTCGAGATATTCGGTAACTCTTGTTGAACCCAAGGAACAGGAAAGCCAGAGCCTTGGAATCTGTGGTTCCACGAAGCATGTTTTTAAGCCTCCTTTTTGATAAGAGTCAGTTACAATGTATTCATAGAATTTATATTCTCCCCTTACTTATGCAGATGATCTCCACGTTGACCACATGAAACAGAGAGACGGCTAACTTTTCCGTGTCCGTATAATGCAAGGGTTGTCTCCTGACTAATATTCGAGGGTCAAGCGAGTCCAGGCGAATAATGGGCCGCCAAGTGGATCGCGAACAATGCACTGGCTAAAAAAGTAAATATTCAACCAATCCGACCCGACCGACTTTACTCAGAGTGCGAACTGTGCAAGGGCCAGGTGTCATGACCACGCTGCTGGGCTCAGAGCGCACAAATTTGGATATCGCGCAGCCACCCGTCAGGGTGAATCGTATTGCCGGGTTCACTGCGCATAGTGATTGACCTAAATAGTGCTATTCAAGCTAACATAATCTAAATTCTTCAGTCTTGGAGCTCAAATTGAGTATCCTAGGCACAGCCAAAGTTGAAATCCCTACGAAGTACACGGAGACCTTTCCCCCCTGCAACAGAATGGAGACGAACAATAGCTCTCTGCAGTTGATCTGCCCCAATCTGTAGGTACATTATGACGGCCCTTCGGGCCGGGCCACAATGGAGAAATAATTAACTGCAGTTTCACATTGCTTTTTTCCGTTTTTGGGACGTTATTATATAACCATTTGGAATGTATTAGGATTATTGAAAGCCACCATCAATTCCATATTTAGAAGGCAATTGTGTACGTCGTATACCTAGGTATACAAGCGATGGCATAGGAGCCAATGCTTGTCGGGATTGGCTGCCTTTAATCAAAAGTAGGTAATGCTGCGATCAGCAATACTATTACTAAGCTCACATCTCGATCTGTTGCTTACCCAGGTACGACGCTTTGCGGTCAGGTGTACACTAATAACTACATATGTACCTAATTTGTCTTTCTGGGTAGTATTTTCGCGTGGGGGAGTAAGCCACGGGTTATAAGGCGTCGCTTCTTGAAACCTCTAGTTTCGAGATGATTTTAAGTAAAAGAAATGAACAGAGGTTCTGCGATCCCAACCAGTTGGGTGAAGAAAAACAATCACACTACTCCGTAGGATCCTTAACTTTGTCCCTTCCCTTGGGATAGTGGGGACAGTCACTAAGCCAAATTTGTAATTTGACAGCTTTAGCTTAGCTTTAGTCTGCCGGGCCGCCAGTTCCGACCCGTTTTCAATGCAGTGGCTTGCTGGGGTTTGAGTCTGGACCCTAAAGCTTCTAGCGAGATTGGACTCTCAAATGGAAACAAGATGGATCGAGAGCTTGATCGGTGACTTGTTACTGGCTCCTAAAGTACACGGGTGTCACCTGTCTTATGAACGCCCCTGCCAACCTTGAATAAAGGTACCATTACATACTTTCAATTGCGGGTCATCGGCTTCGGTGAAAACGCCCCGACAAGAGAGTATTCTGGCATGACGCAATGCCTATTTTTCTCGGACCGATCTTGTTCGATCGATGCGCATCATTGATCGATCGTGCGTGCGGCCCCTCGGGTCTGCACAGCAATACACACTAGTCGGGTGCCTCCCTTCTTGTATGTCCCGAAGATTCGAATAGAGTAGACTATTGATAGGCCTTTGACGTTTCTCAAATACGAAGACACTTTTACGGAACTTCCTCCTGCCTTTGGAATATGCATTGACGGAATGCTCTCGATGATCTATCATTGAAGTTGCCTTTTTCAATGGTACCTGTGCAATAACTATGCAGTCTGGAAACGACGCGATCTTACTCCGCGAACAGACTCATACTTTGTACAATCCCACCCCCTTTCCATACGTTTCTCAAGGTCACTCAAAATTATCTCGATCGATACGAGCCCCAGTGCGACTGTTGGACAATCGACTCCCAAGTCAAACTATAGACATGAAGTAAATCAATAAAGTACGATAGACGGTTTCTTGATGGAGCCTTAACACACTTTCTTTTTGCCTCGTAGTAGTAGTAGGTCTTTTTCCTCCGTAGCGGTGAGCCAACCCAAATGAAAGAAAGGATACCTTTTTTTAAAAAAAACACAGACAATTGACCCGGGACCTTTTCTCGAGCGTTCCAGAAGTATGATCAGACTTCTGAGTGCGGGCACCTACATCAAAACTCGTTTGAAAAAAAGTGTGCTCCGTTACCGTCGATCACCAAACAATGTCGATTATGTCCAATCCCGATCGAGTCAGTTTTGCATTGATGCTATTCTTTTCTCCAGCCCCCACCCCCAGTTTATTTTATTTTTATTTCCCAGTCAGTGCACCCGCTGTCACATAACTGCCGAATTCCATGCCTCATTCTTTTTTTGTACGTTTCAGGGTGATTACCCTACCGAACATCTCCGGAATGGCTCTTTTACTCGATCTGTTTTGATCTTAGCGGCAATGGCGGTTGTTAGATTAATATGGAGTATTTGGCGTTGATATAATGACCAGGGTAAGATGTTTGCTCTTCCTTAATAAAACGCCAAGCTGTCAAACTGTCTCAGAAAGTAGTATTTTAGATGCAAGAACAGGGAAAACCCTACTTAATCACTGTACATATGTATGTTCAATGTGCATTTGGGCCACACTTTCAGCCGACATGTGGCGGTGCTCCAAATAGCTGAGCCACGTGGATAAAGGTACGTAAGGATCGTCTCTGTTTGAACCAATCAGAAGCTTCAGAGCATAGCTGTCAAATGTTTACGGAGTAGCCCTAAAGCAGACAGACCCTGACAATGTTTCTTTAGTCAGAAAATAAAAAAAAGGGGCGACTTTCATGTCTAGGCCCTAAATTCTATAAGAAATAAAAATTTGAAATTGAAATCGAGAATTGAATATTCCGGAGTAATCCGAAATTTTAAACGTAACTAGGACTTATGATTCTGGGTAATACTATCCGATTCTAACAAAGTAGAGTCCACGCTAAAGATGAGTGGTTAAAAAGACAAAGCAAACAAGTTGTTATCGGGTGGGAACGTTGGATAATTGGAGCACAAACAAAGAAAAACGCACAAAACTGACAGAAAACGTCAAGCCAACTTGTCGCGTCAATTTCGACATTGTGGGGATGTCATCGATAGCGGGAACCGTTGATTTCTTAGCGTTCAAGATTCTAACCAAATAGATCGTCATATAGAATAGTCCGAATTTTGCGAGGCCCTAAATTAATGACAAATAGTTTAGCATGCCCTGAAACCTTTTAGTTGCAGTCATCGCTTTGTTCTGTGGTGCTTTACTTCAACCTAAAAGATCTAAATCGACGGGGTCAAGATAGTGGCCTTCGTGTAGATTCTTACGGTCAATGATTGACAGGACTTGCCGTCCAGTTTCATTAGTGTTGTTGGAAGGGACACCAAATGTTGAAATGTTACATGGTTACAATAGACAGTAGTATGCTTCATCGATGCGAGTGATTTCATTGAGTTGACTGATCAGAATGGATATTCGATGCAAAGTACACAATCTGATCGAGATTGTTTGTACAGAAGAAAAAAACACCAAAAAACTCTGCGACTTGCATCCCCGATATAGCGTATATGAACAGTGGGACCGAAGTATGGGAGTACAGATGTATGCCTTTGCTACTCCGTATACAACGCAAGATAGTGAATGACGAGAGAGCATTGGTCGAACTAAAATTCGCAAATTTTTGATCCGCTCCTCTTTTTTTACGCAGGCGTTCAGAGATTCCAGTTTCCTTTTGATTGTACTCCACAATAATGAGTTCTTTGTCCTGGGATCTGATCTGAGACTCTCACCTCATTTCCATCCCCAAGAAAAGCCAGAAAAGCCATCGTAAATCCACAGGAACGGGAGATTTACGCGTTGACAGCAGCTTGGGTCCCTTTCCCCTGGACTCTTAGCACAGATCCAGGGGGTAGGGAAGAATTTTAGCTTTCTGGCCATTCATTGGGCTGTCACAAACGATCTCGGGCGTCAAAAGTACCGGTACTAACCCACCGTGGGATAATTACTCGAACCATTTTGCGACCGGTTTTCTTCCGGGACAGTAGGTAGATCACGCTGTAGTATCAGACGTCAAACTGACTAACTATTAGTTAGCTATCTCGATCTGTCTTAGAGCAATAATCTATCTATTTTATTTTGGTGCCTTTCTTTGATTCGCATCTAGATTTACGTAGACTAGAGTTACAGCCGGACTAGTACCCTTCATGCGTACTTTGTTCTCACACTTCATTTCGTTTATCTATTTGATTTTGATTTGAGGTCTGATCTCAGGGGTTTTGACTATCTTCAGTTGAAGTCTACAAGGAAGCGTTTCTAAATATTAATATGCCACCCCGGAGTTCCTGTCAGTTGGAGATCGACCGGATAAAAAAGAAACAGTGACACTATCGGCGAGTCATCACCCAGGATCCATAATGTTGGGCCATGCACAAGCCGCACCTTGATAGGTTCACCAAGAAATGGAGAAACGCTGGTTCATACGCTGGTTGGTTGAGGGTTTGACGCTAGTTCTCCGGAATACTTTGTTGAGATCCGGCGATCGAATACAAATGTTACAGATGATATTTTAATATTTTTTTACTCCGTAGTCTTTTGTTTTACTTTCGGTACTTGAATATTTTGAGGATCTTTTTGTTTTCCTCGAAATTTTAATGAACATAGTTACATTTACTCCGTACCAAGCAGAGGGTTTTTTGGGGGGAGTGGGTTTTTCTCAGGTCTAATGCACTCCGATGACGAATTTTATAAACCGGAATCTCCGATACACTGAGAGATCTGCACATTAAGAACTAGCACCCACACGGCGTAAGATGGACTTGTGCGTGTTTTCCAGGTATCTGGGTGCCTGACAGCTATGCTAAAAGGATTAATCGGTTTACGCTTATATTTGAATTTTCTTAAAATATTGTAGTTAGATATTAAGAATACTCCCAATTACATAGATAAGATTTTAAGCATGACAAGAGAATTAGAGGTTGCCTTGTCAATAATATTAAGTCATCGAGGGATCTGATCCTCCAAGACATTTTGACAGTACTAGCTGGAAGACTTGCGCCCTTTGTGGGGGAAGATGATCGATAAATCAACGCCACTGAGGGTTTGTCCCGACTTGATGAAATAATAAAATAGTGAATTAAATATTATAAAAAGGATTAGAAATAATCTAATAAATATATATATAATACAAATATATTATAATTAAAAACAAAATAATAATGATTTAATTATGCGATCTACAAATAGTAGAACAGGGATGCTGGATCGGGACCCCCAAAAACTAAACTACTGCATGTCCTTGAAAGCGCCAATCTCGCTGTATGCATACGATCAGACAGAGGATCCAGCTTCTGGGATCATCCATGTCGGTATTGCTGGCCATATTCTCTTCGTTCTTTTGTCACCTTCTCACATTAGAGTCTGGAACTGAAAAGGCTTGCATATCCCCTTCTTAAATCCATAATTTTATTATTGTCCATTTCTGATCTGGATTATATCAACTGCCCTTTTTATTTAAAGATCCCACTTGATCCACCAACTTCAAGATATTTTATTCTCAACTGCTACAACCTGGTTTACTTCACGGGATCATAAAGTGGAGGCCTTCCTTTCGTTCCTGCATCCCGCTTGCCCACAGCAACTGCACTGCAACTTTCCTACTTTCATCCCACATTGAGACACTTGTACATTGTGAACTTGAGTGTGTAAGTACGTCCTGGCGCCAATCATGGTTCTGTTTGCAAGAGCTTGATTGGACCCCATTATGTACCGTTTGTCCTACCGGTTCCCGCACCAGAGCGGGGGATGGCAGTTCCCGCCATTGGGTCTCAATGCCCACTCTAGGACAGACGGAAATTCCCTGTTAACGGGAAGAATATTTTAGAGCAGTTGTGACTGACTGCAAGTGAACAGATTGAGTAGTCCAACACGGCTAAATCCCAACCCCCGCCACTCAACCAACACTATCTATAAAGAGAACAGCCTCTCCACAACTGCGCACAACTGCGCACAACTGCAACAATCGGATATTTGATATCGAGATCTTTTTCCACTTTCGAATATATCAGTGCGTGATTGTGATTGAGAGTCAAACATCTTTCCGAGACGACTACGTCCACTGCTTCTGCCGTAATACACCACAGTCAAGCGTCTTTGATTGTATACGGCCACCATGGTTTACAGTAAACCAAATCCTACATCTGGGGCCATGAAGAGGTCTGCCTCGTCCCTCGAAGGACCTATTGGATGGGATGTTGCTCCTGTATGTTTGCCTACTTATCAATTTGTTGGTATATTCTTACTGATCATCCTGACTAGCCTATGATGACCCACTCTCGCCCGTCATTCCGTCCTCCTTATGCCCACTACGCCATGATCTTTGTTGACCATGACGGAAAGATTAAAGTCGACGAGTCTGTTTCCATCCAGGAGCAGAACTCGACCATCTTCACCCCAGACGTCCGCCAAAACTTCCTTGAGGTTCTTGGTGAACGTATCGGCTACCAGGCCCCTCCTCGTCGTATGTCAAGTCTGATCTAATTTTGGTTTCATTGCCCTAGACTAATAATAAGCTAAAGAAACCTTTGATACATCTCCCCGTCGGGTGAGACGCCGCAAGGGCAACGCGCCTGCCTTCATTGGCTCTGACGACCGCCTGACTGAGCATGGTTCCGACAATGAAGACTTCTCCAATGGATCCAATGAGATGGTTCCTCTCCGCATCGGAGACTCACAAAAAGTGCAGCAGTACTACGAAAGTGCCCTTAAGCACTTCCAACAGCTTAACTGCCGCATGGTCGCCAAGGCATTCATTAAGTTTATTGAGCCTCGCAAGCAGGTTCGACACCCTTACAACGGTGGCAAGCCCCCACCAGGATCAGCCCCCGGTACTACCGGAGACCCAGAAAAGACGAGACCTGAGTGGTGGCCTCCGGGTGTCATGCACAAGGAGCCTGACCACCTGCGCAAAGAGTGTACGCTTACCATTGATTGTGCTGCTTGTTCTCTTTGCTAACATAATTGAACAGTCCGCATTGTGCTCTTGATTCACATTATACGCAAGCTTGGTGCTTACGGTATCACTGCCGACAAGCTGAAGGAGGTAGCTGGCGACACCAAGCGCAGCTTAAAGCACTCATCCCATGTCGAGATCATCTACGAGATCCTTCGGGTCCGCAAGATGGAAGAGCGCTTCGAGCGCGGTGAAGTTGACTCCAACATGGTCGTCTACACCATGAACCGTGGCCCTGGCCCTAAGGACAATGATGACGATGATTCCGCCGACGCCCCGTCAATCACTATCGAAGAGCCTGAACACACTGACCAAGGCTTGATGACTCCTATGTCCTCCGTCGAGCAACACGTCGCCGCCGCTCTAACCACTCCCGTTGAGACCATGCAATCATCTCGATCTCTTCCAGGTAGCTTCTCCATGCCGGAGCCTCTCACATTCGAAACCACATCCCGCCACGACCGCCCCTACTACGCCACCCCACCCCAATACACCGACTCCTTCTCACAGCCGATGCTCAGCACTCCGGTAACCGCAGAGATGATCAGCCCCCATGACGTCTCGGTCTTCGACTACCCCACCCACAACTCCTTCACATCCTCAACCTCCGACCACCAACGCGGAACTCAATACGACCCTTGGACCCCATCTTTCCGCCAGAACATCTTCGGCCCAGTTGACTACAACCCCGCAACAAGCCAGGCCATGTCCCAGCCTTCCCTCTACCAAATGCCCATGACACACATGCATGACATGTCCAATACCTCCATAGACCAGCGGTCCTTGCCTTTCCGCACCGGATCCCTAAGTCATCCCCAGCCGCACGGCATGCCTCTCTCTCACCATGCTTAGAGTGCCAATAGCCGGGCTGGATCCCGATTGACATATGGTTGCGATGAAGAACATGTAATGGGCTTATTAACGAAAATACATGACTCATGGCTTTGAAACAAACTTAGCGCTTGTCATAGGCTTTGTCAGGGAGTTTGTCTTTTTTTTTTTCCCCTTTGAATTTCTTGATTACAAAATTGGCGGGTGCGGGCTCAAGGGGTGCAGGTCCACAAAGGGTTCATCAGTTTTCATTCTGCTTTGGAAATATTTTGGGGATTTGGTTTCTTTTTCATATTCCGGTATTTGGGTTCGTTTTGCTTATTGCTTCATTTTGGTCTTCACACCCTTCTATTCTCCTTTCTTGGTGTTGGCCTCCACTTTTATTCTTGTTCTTTCGTTGATCTTTACTTTGGGGGGTCGTTCGTTGTGTATATGGGGTTTGTCCGTTTTGGATTCCTCGGGGTTGTCAATAAACGAGGATTGGTAGATATTTCAAAAAAATTACTTGCTGTTTATAATATCATCTTTCGATCTCATCTCGGTGTTGCTTTTTCGTTTTGGTAGATTACTAGCTATAATGTAATGTCTTTTGATTTGACTTTATCTGGCTTTGTGCTCTGCTTCTGTATCTGTATTGTTGGCGTCTCAAAAATTAGCCAGTTCATGTGGACCCTTCCTAGGTAGAAGAAAGTCTCAAATATGACCAAGACTGCTCTTTGAATCCATGGACCTCTCAGTCTCTCGCTAGCATTATCGACTCGGAATTGCTGCTTTGGGATTGTTCCCCTTGAATCATTATAGAGTGCCCGCACCTGTGACATTGTCAATCCCCAACGTAAGGTAATATGAAATTGGATTCGGGCCAAATGGCCACGTCAGTCATATCGATGTATTGTTCACCTCCCGAGTCAACATTGGAAGTCTCATGTAGAAATCATAGTTCCTGCGGCCAATCAGACGCCAAGGAAGGGACCGCGCGCTTGGTCAGCGGGAGCGGAGCCACTCCCGCTGAAGCCGAGAAGCTCCGTGATCGCGGAACGTCAGGACATCATTCTCTTCAATCACTTTGCGGCTGGTGTGTGCCTGTATTCCGTCAAAGGGGCCCACTGAGATTTTTGCGTGGCTAAGATAACACCGCCAACCGTCCATCTCCTCACCGGCATCGGCTTGACAAACTCCGAAACGCGCACACCTCCCCAGCTTGAAGAACCCCAATCCATCGCAAGCGACAGCGGCGACACATCAGGCGGCAAGTTTCACTTCTCACGGAGAGAAGGGACTCATATTTCCTTTCTTTACAGGTAGGCAATCCCAATTCCGAGTCCGCTCGAGTCATCCGCTCTGCTCTCCGGTTTTTCTTTGTATCATTTATTTCGCGCGCGCGCTATGGGTTCATCGCGGCGTTATCAAATGAGACTCTATACCTTTGTAACGACAGAACATGGACTGACTTCTTGGTTATCGCCTCGACGACAGATATTACCATTCCAGATATTTTCACAAATCCATTCTACCGTCTATCGGATTTCGAGATCATCCATATTCGATCAACCTCAACGCCCATAGAAACAACACCAAAGATAGGGTGAGCCGTGGGGTCTCAGTCCGACGTGGTGGCCTGTCTAGTTTGTTCCGCTCTTTGCGGGCAGGATGGCTAGCCCATTTAATCCTTTTGCGGGCCGTGGCCAGAGGGGTGGCGCGCAAGGTACACAAGGTGCGCAAGGCTTCACAGGTCGGGGACGAGGAGCAAATACCGGGTTTACATCAACACATGCGCCTAGGGGAACAGGTGCACCACGCGCAGGGCGGGCCCGCGGTCGTGGACGAGGGTCGGCGACGTGGACCGCTCGTGGGCGTGGTCGCGGCGTTCCGAATGGTACTATTAATGGGACGCACCAAGCCGGAGAAGAAAATAGGCCGAATGGGGTGCAGTCGCCTTTTGCACAAGGGAATAAAACCAACTCAATGGCATCGCCTTTCGGGGCGCAACCGACGCAACAGTCCCCGTTTTCCAAACCACCAAACGGGACTCCTCCTTCGACCCTCTCCAACTCCTCATCCTCTCAACCTCAACCCGCCAACCCTTTCTCCCAGCCCATTGCAAATTCCCTATTTTCTCAAAATTCAAATAATATGAACGCCCAAGCCTCGGCAGGCTTAGCCGGTGTGGCACCAGGAGGTGCCGTGCCTGTGGAGAATGCCTCGACCATGAACAGTTACCAAGAAAGATATGAACAAGTCAGTCAACTCATCCACAAAATCGGATCTCGCCAGTACGGACATTATGGAGATCAGAGTCTAATCGGATTTACAGCTTAAAATTGATCGTGCGGCTCAACGCCAAAAAGCGATCAGGGATGGTCAGATGGCAGATCCAAACCAGCCCACCTCTTTGAATCATGCAATCACGCCCGTGGGTACCTGCACTAGCATGTGTCCCGATTTCGAGAGCGTGGAACGCATTGTGCAAAAAATGGTCGACAAGTGTGAAAAGGTAAAAGTCGCATTATGTGTGCCATCTAAAACCCACTGACATAAGCCATTAGTATTTGCATCCATCAACGAACCAACTGCAAAATATGGAGACCAAGATGCTCAAGCGCTTCCGGCGTTCTGCAGCTGGGTATGACGAGCAATTGCCCTCTGACATTCGGACTCCAAACACTCTTTTGCAGACCATGAACTATCTCATGCGCCATGTCCTTAGTGGCAAAGAGCCATTGGCTATTGTCCACAAATTTGTTTGGGACCGGACACGTTCCATTCGAAATGACTTCTCAGTCCAGCAACTTACACAGGAGGCGGATGTCAAGGTCGCAGTTACCTGCCTGGAACGAATTGCGAGATTCCACATCGTCTCTTTGCACCTTCTTTCTAGCCCTGCGAACACGGAGCCATTCGATCATCACCAAGAGCGAGAGCAGCTCAACAATACTATGCTCTCTCTCATGTACTATTATGATGACAACCGGGGTCGCATCAACTTCGCTAACGAGGCCGAGTTCCGCGCCTATTACATCCTGTTCTCGATCCATGACCAGCGACCCGACCTGGAAGCCCGTGTTCAAAAATGGCCAGCGGACCTACTCGCTTCGCCGCGGGTGCAGGTGGCTTTGGAGCTCTTTGCTGCTGCTGGTAACACCTGGGAACCTCAAGGTGCTTTGGATGCTCGCCGGCCGAATGCTATTGCTCAAGGGTTCTACACTCGCTTCTTCAACATCATTAATTCTCCAAGTGTGTCTTATCTGATGGCTTGTGTCGCGGAGGTTTACTTCAACCACATCCGTCAGACAGCCATTCGATCGATTTGGAAAGCCTACTGCAGAACCCCTCAGTCACAGCAATACAAAAACGACCAGTGGACTGTCGAGGAATTGACCAAGGTTTTGCATTTTGATAATGACCAGCAGACAATCGACTTCTGCACCGCTCAGGATCTGCGATTTGCAGAAAATAGCGAAGGCGGCCTTTACCTCGATTGGGGTGACCGTCAAGTCGACTCTGTTGGTACGTTCTTGGATTTTTCTAGCAAAACATGATCCCAAGTTCATCATGTTTGCCATTTTTCTCCCACCCAGCTCTTGTCTCGACCTCTTAACCCCCCTCTACTCCAACCCAATCAAACATGCCGAAAATACTCACATCACCCTAACTTGACACTCAGCTAACAACCTCGCAGATTTTGCACCTTCATCTGACCACTCGTTCTCTGAAACCTATGTGGAATCGAAGCGTGCTGGCCGAACTCTCGTGGCTATAATCCTTGGGATGAGCATCAGAGAAGCCGCCAGGATGGGCATGATCGACCGTAATCAAGTGCCTATTCGAAGTGTGGATTCTGATCAGGCTGACTCGCATGATGGGAACTTGTTCGTGAGCCCTGCTGGCAACCAAACCCCAGCACCTGTGGTAGAAGCAAACATGGACATGTCCTATCCCCCAACTGCCCCGGCTACTGGCCTTCCGAACGTCTTCGACAAACCAGGTCAGACAAGCTCGACAGGATCCCCGGCTTTATTCCCACAGTCAGGAAGCGTCGAACCGCCCGGAAGCGCTTTCCAGTCTCCCCCAACCGCCGGATCTGTCTTCGACAGCAAAACAAACAACCCTTTCCTCCAATCCAAGCCGGCCGAATCATCCACTTCTTCACCCTTTGTCGCCTCTCCAGTGTTGAATCCATTCGCCAAGGCACCAGAAGTGGCCAAAGAACCCGAAGCTCCTCCTACAGCCACTAAGTTGGAAGCGTCGCCTTTTCAATTAAGCTTCCCCAAGCCTGCTGCAGAAGAGAAACAGACTTCCATTTTCACAAACCCTGCCGGTCCTTCACCATCCCCACCTATCTCGAACCCCTTCGCCCTTACCCCACCTGCATTACCCAAGGTGCCAACACCCGCACCGGCACCAGCACCAGCTGCGCCATCAACGCTGTTCCAACCTGACAGCTCCTTGCCTTCATCGTCGACTAGCGAGAAGGCCCCCACTGTGGCTCTGGCCAGCTCTACTTCTATGTTCCCTTCTGTCGCCAATCCTTTCACTGCTTTATCGCCATTCTCGTTCTCGAAGCCAGCGGAGACACCTCAGAAGGATGCTACTCCTGCAGCCCCTACTCCTGCAGCCCCCACGCCTACGTTGTCTTCGCTTTTCAAGCCGAGCGGTTCTCCTCCAGTCTCTTCCAGTGCGTCTCAGAATCCCTTTCAGTCTTTGTCGACTTCCGGTCCTGGTAACTTCGCTATTCCTTCCATTTTCCCAAAGGTACCTACGGAAAGCCAGGAGACCAGATCAACTGCATTGATCACCACTGCGCCGTCTACTCTGTTCAAGACCGACAATATCCCCAAGGATTCGTCAACTGCATCCAAGAATCCGTTTGGGTTTGCTCAATCATCTTTCCCAGCTGCGGCCCTTGGGACTTCTTTGCCTTCAGTTGCTGCTTCGGCGGCTTCATCTCCGCTTTCATTCTCAAAATCCCCCGAGTTCAAGGAACAGTCAAAGGCAACCGAGGCTGCAGAGTCTGAGACTCAACCGTTCTCATTCTCCGCCGCCCAACCCGCATTTCCGGCAAAAGATTCTATCTTTACGCCCCCAAAGGCACCGGAGCCTAAGCAGAAAGCTGAACCCCCAGCTACTGTTTCACCGACAGCCAAGAAACAGCCTTTCATATCTTCTCAGCCATCATCCTTGCCTAAACCAACTGAATCCTCAATTTTCAGAAGCTCTGCGCCTGCCCAAGTCCAAGCTCCGGTCACTGAGTCATCTAGTATCTCGGCTTCTGCATCAGCATTCAAACCAGCTACAGTTTCATGTTCTCCCGCGGTCGCTTCTGCTAGTCAATCTGTCTCGAGCGCTCGTAATCCTGCTCACTCGCCTCCTCAAACCCTCTTTGAGGCCCTGCGGCAACCGAAGATTTTCGATGCCAAATCGTCTACTTACTCCCCTTACCAAAGCCCTACCAACCAGCCGCCGTTGTTTCCAGATGCAACCTCTACAGTGGCATCGGATCAGCAGGGCTCGTTGAAACGTCAGCATGGTGCCACGGATTCCGACGCATCTCACCAGCACAAGAGACGGTCGTCATTGAAGGGAAATTCCACAGCTGCATCGTCTGATGGCTCATTAAAACGTTCCGTTCGCTTTGAAGAAGCGAGCGAACAAGAGCATGCTTCTTCAAAGGAACCGATTGTCTCCTCAGAGCACAGGAGTTCGAAGACGGCCAAGAAGAAGCGACCGATGCATGAACAGACTGAAGGCCCAGCAGAAGAGCAGGGTCCGAATTTTAAGCTAACTAAGGTCTCCGCACCGGAAGAGGACACGCCATTCAAGTTCTCTGTCTACAAGGCCGAAAACCGACCCGTTCCAAAACTTCCGATCCTAGAGAGGCTCGAAAAGAAACTGGAAGCAGCAAAGGCCCTGTGCGAGCCCAGACGCATGACAGAAGATGAACTCAAGTTCATTGAGGAAGCAAGACTAAGACGAGCTCGCCAAGTCGACGAAGACGAAATTGCGCTGTCCCGCGCCCGCATTCTAGCCGAACAATTGAAGAACGGCCCCGGTATTTTCAACGGCTGGACAGGCCCCATCCGGCAGCCCTGGGACGATCCAAACTGGAACCCCGTTGCCCGTATTTTGGAAAAGTACCAACCCCCTACATCCCCAACCCTCTGCCACCGAAACTAATTCTGAGACGCACCCTAGAGGCGGGTATGAGGTTGCTTATGCTCCCGATACCCCGGATCGTCCTATGTCCCGTACTGAGCGCCGGATTCGACACACCGGCGCCCGTGGTCTGGCACATGTACCGTTGGATTTCCAGCGTCGGAGGAGAGATGAGGCGAAGGCCCTTGCCGAGAAGCAGAAGGTGCAGAAGGAATCGAATGGACGGAGGGATGGAGATGCGAATGGCGACTCTTCTCGGAATGTTTAGAGTGGCTCATTCACTCTCGTTGCATGTCATGATTACTTACACTGTGTTTCTTTTCTCTTATGGTGTTTGCCTAGACCTCTAGGTTCATTCATGTATGCATACTATGGAGTTTCATGTATCTTTTTGCTGAAAATAGCGCAAATTTATTCTGTCTAATATTTCGAACTCTTGAATTTTGTGTACTATCTTTTCCCCGGGGGAGAGGCTGAATACGAACTCTATTCAAATAACGAATAGGAAACCAAATCCTCGTCTCAAAGCCCCAAAAACCGTTTGCTTTGAAATCTTGGAGAATATCTGCGTAGACGACTAACAACGGTGGAAAAGGAAACTCGGAATAACTTCTTTCTGCTTAAAATATAGAAGTTCTTTCAACGAAGGTGCATAGCGGCCTGGGGTCGGATTGAATTATTTCTGGGATTGCTTTTTACCTCTGGCTTACCTCCCAGTCGCTTTTTGTTTACCTTTTATTTACTGCTCTTTTGACTATAATCTCTGGTATAGCAATTTCAATATTTCAATTCTCTGCCATACTTGAGTCAGTCATCTTCAGGCAGCAAGTTAATTAAATCTGGCCGCCATGCACCTTCGCATTCTTCTTTCTCCTGTCATTCGTTAAAGCGACAAAACACCTTCGAACCAGGACTTAGTGTCTTGGTCCAAATTATGTAACTAGCCCGACCTACGAAGACTAATTCCCGGACCGCGAATTATGTATAACAAAAAGCAAATCATGTTTCTTCATGCGGCCGGCCAACTCAGACACAATATCCCCAACCTGAGGTCATTGAGTTGCTCTCTTGATCACCACCACTAATGAATCTACATCTCCATCTAAACAGTTGACATTTTCTGGATCTTTTTTTTACCTCCCGCTGGAGCGAAGATGAGCCGGTACCTAGGTATTCCTGCTGCTATTGGCCCTAGTCTGGATTCGACCCCTGCTTGCTTGAATTGATTCCGTTCGTATCCTTTATCAATGAAACAGCTGGTCACACCAACAGCGTCAAATTGAAACGTTCAATTGGCTCTTATAGAAAGGCAACTTAGGGACTACGGAAGAGAGCCTCGATTGGCGATCTGCTGCCACGTATGGTTCAAGGGTTGACAGTGCATATTTACAAATGTAGATTCGTCATACAGCCTTTCGGATTGGAAGGAGTAGCTATGTCTTTTCTTCAATCGTATATCCAACCACATACGACCATAGGGTGTGGAAAACAGGGCTTCCCGTCCGCTCAGCCGTACTTAAGCCACATATAGTACACGGCCAATTCTCAACACGCCTTGAAAATTGAAATGGCAAAAAAGTTTGTCTTAGGGTGAGGTGAGTGTGGGTGATATGGGGGAGAATTCTGGAGACCGAGGTGACAGAGGTGAGAACGGGGTGAGAACGGGATGGAGAGCCATCCAACCAGAAAATATACTTCAAAGTCGATATAAATAGTATATTTAAATCATCCCAGTCTTATACCCTTGTATGCAAGTCATTAATCATACAAACTAATAGTTGCACTTTTACATCCTTCTAAGGCTTCCATTCGGTGTAAGGCCGGTCAATTATCATCTCCTTGATCGTCGGCAACTGGGCTTGACCTTTTCCGAATTCCACTGCCATTGCCATAACTTCTCTCCAACGTAATCCCGGAGCAATCTTACCCGAGATGGTATTCGGAGTCAGCGTGTCACTGTTTATAGGAACAAGAGCAGCACGGCCGAGGATAGCCTCGAGAGCCTGCTGAGCGAACGAAACTGCCTCCTTGGCATCGGAAGGAACACCCGTCTCATCAAGACTGAGAATTTTCGAATTTGGCAGCTGCGCCTTGAGGTACTTGATGATGTTGGGGTTGTGGGCACCACCACCGCACATATAGACACCGGCGATCTTGTCAATATCAATGTTGAACCGGGGGAAAAAGGTGCGGTACTGCTTGACAATGTTCTGGGCGGTGATGCGGGTGATAGTGGCGATGATGTCGTACTTGCTCATGCCCAGATCCAAGCACTCGTCGATGATCTCCTGGGCACCATTGTCACCGAAGGTCTCACGACCCGTCGTCTTGGGGGGCAGATGGTTGCAGTACTTGTTGTTGTCGAGGAACTTGTCGACTACTGCCTGGTTGATGGTACCCTGAGCACCCCACTCGCCGTCGCGGTCATACTCCATCTCGCCGTTGGTGAAGTAGCGCATTGCGGCATCGATGAACATGTTACCCGGGCCACAGTCCCAGTCGACCATGGCATCGACGCCGCCCTCGCTGTCCGGTGGAATAACGCAGAGGTTAGCGATACCACCGATATTCTGGCAGATGCGCCACTCAGTGGGGTGATGAAGGAGGAGGCCGTCGATCAAAGCGACGAGAGGAGCACCCTGGCGGCCGACCGCCTGTTCAGCCATGCGGAAGTCGGTAACTGTAGTGATGTGGGTCAAGCCACTCATGATAGTTCCCTCGCCGAGGCAGAAGGCGGACCGGGTCTCACTAATCTCGGGCATGGAGAGAAGCCAAATGGTCTGGCCGTGCGAGCCGATGAGGTCGATGCTATCGATGGGTACGTTGTGCTTCTCACAGAAGAGCTTGACTGTCTCGCCGAACATGTTGCCGAGCTGGACATTCAGCTGGGACATGAGGGAGGGAGTAGTTTTTGTTTCGCGAAGCATGGTGAGGACGGGCTTCTTGATATCCAGCGGAACGGGGAATTCGTCGTACTATTTTAGGGTGATTTGTCAGTTCCGCTAGAGTTGATTGGAAAAAAAGTCTTTCAGAGAGTCGTCGTACCTTGAGGATCTCCATGTGCAAAGGAGCTTCAGGTGAAGCCTGGCGATAACGAACCAGGGCGCAGTCAATGCCATCCATGGCCGTACCGCTGTTCATTCCCATAACTGTGATGTCGAGGGTGCCATCGGCAACACAACGGCGAGTGCCGCTGACGTGGGCAGAGCCATTGGGCTCAGGAAATCCAACTGAAGTGACCATTTCGTAATGCAATTCGATGACTTTGATTCCAACTGTGTCCAGAGGAGCGAAGAACCACTTCATATACCTTTGAAAACCCGACCCCAATTCGTACTGGGCAAACAACATACCCCCATCATTCCTGATTGCCGAAGTCATGCGCAAGATAGAATGCCGAGAAGGGCAGCTTCGGGGATGGGCATCGCGAGATCCATGACCGAGCCCGAAAAGGAAGCCAGAATTGCCTAATTTGGTATCTTCGAGACGAGGTGCACGGACCGGCACATCCCCGGAGTTGCGAAAAAGTGGAGAACCGTTTAGGCCGTCAGTCGCAGGCCGTTTATGCGACCATTTCCGGTCCCTGCATCCCATTTCATTGGTCGAGAAGATCGTATATGCGTGAATGGGTTTCATGGATAGGATGGGGATGGCGAGTGAATCCCGAGCGCTGGTCAGGGCATCCCTCTCTTTTCCATTAACCAGATGAGGATGATCCGTGCTATTTTCAACTAACTAAACTTACTTAAAGAGTCTCAGCAATCTGCAGTTCCGGCTTCCCTGACCTTGCCCAGTCGAGTCTATCACAATCACATTATCATGCCTTCCGCCACAATGAAAGCTATTCGCTCGGTTTGGACCTCGGATGAGGGGTCAATGGCTAAACAGACGGCCGAGACCCGATGGGCCAAAATCTTTCAGGGCACCGTGGACGATATGGGCGAGACAGCCGCCATGGAGGATATTGACGACCAGACAAGAGTGGAGAGCATCGCCATTCAGATTGCCCTCAAAAACATCAAGAACGAAATTATAAAGAACTATGCCCTTACGTACGTACGTCTTCTCCAAGCGCTGAAATGCAGAAACTCACGATGCGTCAGACTATTGCAAGATGACGGCAAGCCCGATGTTCAAGAGTGGAACAATCAGTTGGCTTCAATTGGCGAGTGCAGTTGGATCAACTGCCCTTGGCTCTTTGGAGAGTGCTACATGTATAGGTACGACTGTTGCTGTCGCAAAAAACTGATCCAAGAATTGCGCTGAAAATCCCACCAGACGTATCCAAGGGATCTTCAACTCCTCAAAATACTGGCAGGACTATGATGTTTTCAGGCGCCAAAAAGACTCTACCTTTGTCAAGTCAAGAGCTGCCGTGGAGGAGCTCGCCAGCCGTTACATGCAGACCATTGCCGAAAGTGGACTTGTCCAAGATGAGAGCAAAGAAGAGGCTAAGAAATTGCGTTTTATCGAGATGACGGAGGTCGCCTTGTGGGGAAACGCCACAGACTTATCACTCCTCGCTAATCTGACTCTGGAGGACTTACAAAAATTGCAAGGCCGAGATGCCATCCAGAAGAGCCAGCGCAACATCGTCGACAATGACACGGACGACGTATGGGCGTATCTTCGACGCACTGCTGGTCAGTCTAGTCGCCAGATTGACATTGTCCTCGACAATGCTGGCTTCGAGCTCTTTACCGATGTGCTCTATGCCGCTTACCTGCTCGACGCCGGCATTGCTACCTCTGTCAGACTGCATACCAAAGAATCCCCGTGGTTCGTTAGCGATGTCATTCCCTCAGATATCGAGTCACTATTCAAGCATCTTGATTCGTCCGATTGCTTCCCAAGTCGCGAGTTTCTCGACCGACTCACCCCGAGACTGCTCAAGTTCTTCCAGTCGGGCGCGATCGCGACCACGAGCGACCCTTTCTGGACGACATCGTTCTCGTTCCACGAGATGCCGTCCAAGGCACCCGCTCTCCTCAAAGAACTCCAGAACAGCTCTCTGGTCATCTTCAAGGGCGACCTCAACTACCGCAAACTGACGAGGGATGGATTGTGGCCTCATACCACGACGTACGAGGAGGCCCTAGGTCCCCTTGGAAAGCAGAGCGGCATCAAGATTTTGGCCCTTCGCACGAACAAGTCTGACGTTTGTGTTGGCGTCCCGACCCAGAGGGAGGTTGATGCGTTGAATGAGGAGGCGCCCAATGGTGCCTGGATCCAAAACGGAAAGTATGCCGTGATATCGTTTAATGAAGGCAAATGAGTTTCCTTTGTCGCATAAATCAATTTCCTGTTATTATTACCTGATGTACCTAGGTAGGCAGTGTGGACGAGTTTACGTCATGGACCATTCTTCTTTTAGAGAATTCACTATCCAACTCGTCGGCCACGCATGCTTCGTTTCCATATCTCGCAGCAATCTCATTAGTTCCTCCCTTTCTGCTGAATCTGTCATCAAGGGACCCCCTGTCAAATGTCAGTAACTGGATTCCACATGAAGAAGGCGGGAAAGGTCTCACAAATAAAGGTGGAATGACATAGCGTGATCAACGACGGCACCGTCGAAGGGGAACTGTTGCATGCACCACAGATGGCGCGAGCGTGCTTCATGACCCGGATCTGATGGTGTCAAAGAGGACTCATTCATACAGCGAAAATCAGAGCTTACATCAGACTCACGAGCTGTGCCATGGACCCCTCTGACTGCAAATTTAGGCGATGGCTTGTAAATGATCAAGAGCATACAGGCAAGATGATAGTATCCGAATGCCATAACTGCAAAGTACATTAGACAGCGCAAAGTATAAGACTTCTGGAACACATACTATGCCAGTCCGCCGTAAACCATATCTCTGGGAAAGGGTTTCCACTGCCCGGAACAGCCTCGCTATACCAGATTGGATCAAAGGTACTGGGTCGGGTGCTCATCCAGCTATCAACGGCCTCGGATAGCTCTTGCCATCGCAACATTCTGGTAGAAGGTTCAGGGTAACTTGGCCCAAAGCAGAAGTGTACCACAGTGGCACAGATCCAAGTCATAGTGTTGGCCCATGCTGTTTCCGAATTCAGATTGCTCAGAGAGTCACATTCGCTCGGAGGGGGGATGAGAACCAAGTCTAAATCCACATTTGGAGACTGCTGATGAACACAAGCATTGTACAGGCACTGACGCAGATACACCCAAAAAGCCGCGTGCCGCAACCTCGGGGCCGAGGGATCCACCTCTCGTCCTTGTGATGCCCGGAGCAGAGCCGAGCAGCCGGCTAGATGACGCTCCTGATCGCTACCAGTTACCATGACTGTTTCAGCCCCCGAAGAGATTAGCCTGGGTGTCTCCTGATGACTCATAGCTCTCTCAGACTTACCGTTCAACTGTTCAAAAACCCGCAGGATGACAATGGTACACAGCAAGATGTCATCGTCGGCAACCGTTTCCGAGCTCAGAAAGAGGATCAGTAGTTCTACGCACCGCTCATATGCCTGCTCGGCCATTTCGGCATCGCCGACGTGCCGGGACGCGTAAGAAAGCACAGCATACAGCAAGATCGGTGATTGCTTGACCAGGATAGGAATTTTCCGAGTGAACTGACGGGAAGCGTCGGTGCAGTCAAGCCATTGCCCGAGGTGCGTGGCAAAGTGGTGTACAAGGTAAGCTTCTCTGTAAGTCAGTGGAGACCCTGCATGTATCGCACCTGCGTGCGAAGCCGGAGACCATGGACTTAAAGAGTCCGGTTGAAGTAGCTGGGAGATCTGGGGTCCAGCCACGTTGAAGTAAGAAGATGTGGTAGTATCGTTGACTGAGGATGCCACCAGAGGCGTGGAAACAGAGCCACTGGTGTGTTCTCGCAGAATAGTAGACCCTTGAGAGTTGTATGGGGATGTTACTGAGGTAATTCCGTGTTGGTGGTTATGAAATTCGGCATAACTTGGATTGGTGGTGCGTTCAGGGCTTGTCGCATTAGCAACCACTCCGTCTGCAATTCCGTGTTCCGGAAGGTGTGGCATTTCATCATGATCATGGCTAGGAGCATCCTTGGGGTCTTTCCTAGCCTGTCTTGGTTGATACGGCCTGATTCTGAAGCGATTGGGTGGGTCTTCTCGTAGACATTGCCGGTTCTTTTTTTGGCATTGCCCACAGATCGGCTGGACTTGGTCGCCTGTTCTCAGGTAAGTATTGCATTTAGACTACATCGAAATTTTTAATGGCTTACATTTGACATGTCTCTTTCGGCAAGTTAGGCTGTGATGAACTTAGCAATGAATAGCGATGAATGACGGAGCTTGGACACTTTGTCGGCAACGGTCACGCAGTCCATAGTTCTGCCTCGCAAACTTTCCGAAAAAAGTCCGAAGGCAAGTAATGTAGATCTGAACTAGCACAGTTCCACTCAATCCTCGATAGGCGAGGTGTATAGCTCGTGTAGTGTAAGGAAAATTTGCGGGGGAAGACTAACCATCCATTTTTGGAGCGAAGCTTTCCCATGTTGAGACCTTTGGGGTCTACCGGAGTCCAAATTAGTGTAAGATTATTGCAAGATTGAGTGAAGTCCGTCTGAAAGAAGAAATCTCGAGACGAGATCAGAGAGTAAACAGGATCAAGCGGAGAAAAGGGTTGATTATGACTTGTGGGGAAGATGGAGAACTCGGGATTTGGGGTTGCGGAGGTGGAGACGAATCTGGAAGTGGCAAACTCGCCCCGAGGCTTTTGGATTTAGAGTTAATTCTATCTCGACCCATGGAGAAATAAGAAACCATGAGAGTTTGCTGGTGTCAATCCTATCTCTATCATCATTCATTCTACGGGAGGAACATACTCATGGTTTATAAACATCCCCCATGTCCTTGATACGAACATGATCCCTTCTCTATCAATAGGGTTGAGTCTCTCTTGGTTTCTATACATTTTCTATCCATTCCAAGTTCACATTGCTCATTGTTTCCCCCCTTAACTCACTGCTATCCAACATGACCCTGAAAGGATTCTGGCGGACGGTCCCTGGACCTCGGCTGCTCAAGTTGATTACTGCAGTGTCTGCCATTGCCATTTCCTATGAGGGTATGAGTCAGGGTGTAATGGGCGCTGTCAATGTCGCCCCAGAATATGGAGTATGTACTGCAGTCCTCTGAACCATGATCTGACTAGAAACGGAAGAGTGAACTAATCGAATATCACAAGTGCAGTATCGCATGGGCTTCGCCGATGAGCATGGTAAAGTCATCAAGCCCTCTCTGCAGGGTGGCATCGCTGCAATGTATTATTTCGGCGCTCTCCTCGGGGCTTTCTGGGCCGGTAGTTTCTCCGATGCCTACGGACGTATCAAAGGGATCTGGATGGCCTGTCTCTGGTGTCTTGTCGGGGTTATTCTTCAGGCAAGTGCCATGAATCTCACGCACATGCTCTGCGCCCGGGTCGTTGCAGGTGTTGGTGTCTCTTTCATTATCGTTATTGCTCCCTCGTGGACCGCAGAGCTGGCTCCGGCGAGTCATCGCGGTCAAATGATCGCTTTGACTTTCCTCGCTAACTTCGGAGGCATTTCCTTGTCTTCCTGGATTGGCTTTGCTACTTCTTTCACCGACTACGCCGGCGGCACATTTCGATGGCGCTTCTGCTTTGCATGCCAAGTGATCCCAGTTTGCTTCCTCGTCCTTGGAACCATGCTCATTCCTGAATCGCCTCGATGGCTCATCAAGGAGGGACGGAACGAAGAGGCATTCGAGATCATCACCAAGCTTCGTGGAGATGGTGACCGCGAGCACTCGGATGTGCAGAAAGAAATTCGCGAAATCGTCGCTGTCGTGCAGATAGAACATGAGACGCAAAGCTCCAGCTATTTCAAAATGTTCTTGGGCATTGGTTCGGGGGATATTCACATTTGCCGTCGTATCCAGTTGGCCTTTTGGCTCCAGGTTATGATGCAGTATGGCACGGGTATCGCGGCGGTCGTCATCTACTCGGGAAATATCTATCGCACTGCTGGCTTTGATGATTTTAAATCAAACTGGTTGTCTGCCCTGTGTATGACCTGCGGTATCCTGGGAACTGGTGTCGCTGCCTTAGTGTTAGACCGAGTGGGTCGTCGCAGGACCCTCTACTGGGGAGCGGTCGCTCTAGGTATAATTCTTTTTACTCTGTGAGTACCAACACATTTTGCCCTTGGCGTTGCTCTTACTGACTTTCCTCCAGTGGCGGTCTGAACCGCGGAGCCGTCAATAACCCAGATAAGGCTGAACAGTACGGAACCGGAGCCGCTGCCATGGTTTTCCTCTACGTGGCTGTCTTCAGCTCTTCCTGGTTGATGATTCCTTTCATTTATCCGACCGAGATTTTCCCGACATGGCTGCGCGCTAAGGGCAACGCTTTTGGTGTTGCGGGTTGGGCAGTCGGCTACGGCGCTGGATCGCTGCTGGTCCCCCTTATGTTCGCCGGAATCCAAGAAAAAGTTAGTTCTTTCCTCCCTTTCCCATATTTTAATTTCTGACTTCTATCTTCTCAGACATTTTACGTCTTCGGTGCCGCCATGTTCTTGTACATCCCTCTCATTTATTGTTTCTTCCCCGAGACTGCTGGCCGCACACTTGAGCAGATCGACTTCCTGTTCGCCAGCAAGAGCGTTTTCGTGTGGGATGAGGAGAAGGAGTTTGCCAAGCGAATGACTCACTTCAATGCTGAAATCCAAAAGATGGAGCTTGAGAATGGTGAAAATGCGGGCGACGAGAAGAGATGCGAGGAATTTATAGAGAAGGTCTAATCAGGGAGATTACCAGTTGCAAGCTAACCCGTCCGTGATTGTATTACTATTTAACACCGCTGTTCTATAACTTACCAATCGCTCAAATCTTACCCCTAATCTAACATAAGCCAGACCCGCTCAGAAATCAGCAATATGTGCCTCGATTTGTCTATACCACTAAATTTGTTAATTGCATTGCACTGCCTAAATACGTCATCACAAAATATGATCCTCAGTCGCAGTGCGGTAAGAAAAATTGCGGGGGATACAAGGACCAGCATATGGTCCAGTCTAACAAAAAGGGAGGCATGTCTCCTAAGTGTTGAGGCTTAGAGACAGCGACTACGATATTTCCTCACTTCATGGCTTTTATCGCTTCGATTTTCTATCTTTAGATCGTTCTGTGCATCTATACCGTTGTTACTGTCTACACAATTTGGCAATGATAAAATATAGCTAGGTGATAGGTAAAGAAGTAAATTTGGTAGCTCCTGTCGTTCTTTTTTTTGTTTGCTAGATGGCACGTTGATGTGCTAAATACATTGAAGGTTGATTTATGGCCGGGGGAATCAACGACTGTAACAGCAGTGAACAGTCTTTCCCGCTATGAGCTTGATAAAATTGTTGAAGTTGCAATTCTAACTTGCTTAATCTGCACGCGTTACTTTCGATTTATTTCCCTCATCAACCTTTACCTTGACCGTGCTAGTATGCTTCGTCAAAAGAGATCAACCGTAGGCCTTACATTGGTATCAATTAGTCCTCATGGGCCGAGAGAAGGATAAATTCTCCTAAAGTAGCAATAGAGGAGTAATGCAAAGCAACACGATATAAAGATGTAAAATGTGTATCGATTCCCGAATATGTTTTAGCGCCTACCTAGGTAATTTGAATGAGAGAAAGATCTAAAACAACTTCAACAACCCGCTGGTATTGCTGCTTCTAACAGTTTTCTGTAATTTAAGAGCAAGGGTGATTATCGTTCGGGAAGAGTCCATTTTGGAAGCGTGACAAGATCTCTTCATCATCCTATAAGCTGTCAAGTTCAAGAAAGACCTCATACCCAGTCATAATAAAGTGAATAGCGGAACCAAGCGCAAAAATATCGGTTACCACACACGCATGATCCCTATGGACTCGAGGCTTATATGACTTTAAGCACTCCCTAGAGAGTCGATCCAGCAATGTGTCTCCATCAACGGACTTCAGCATCCCCTGAAAGTCTGCTAGTATGATATTAATATTGCTATCAAGCAGGAGATTCCGAAGGTTTATGTCACAGTAATAACCCGGTTTCCATGGATATAACTGATTGCTTCGGCAGCTTGTATACACTAGAGGAGCCTCCTATCTAGAGGTATGAATGACTATGATACGATATAACGTTCCAAGAACCGTTAGATACGCGCTAGAGAATAGGACCATTTTCTATGAGGCCTTTGAAAGCGATAATATAACGAGAGCCTTTGAGAACATCAAGAAGCTAGGCCTCTATTTAAGATATTTTAAGACCGTAAACTCATCAATGGCACCGACGAAACACTCGCTACCGCGACCGATAATCTCTATAACCCCTAGGGGGTAATATCGGGGCACTTCGATGAAATCAACAAAGGGCTCAGCATTTACGTGTTTGGTCTAGCCATTCTATAACCATAAGCAATTGACGAAGCCAACAATTACCCCTTGGTACTGTCTTGGTGTCACAATTAGAAAATAAATACAATAGGGATAAATTAATTAAATATTTAATGTCGCGCGTGGCCACCGCTTGACCTGAGAAGCCAAGAACGGTGCTAATCGTCATTCACCTCTTACTTGATAGCTGTGTGTATATGCTAAGGTGCCGAGCGTTTCAATGGTAGGGGTATAATCCAATAACATTCTGTTGTTAGGCAGCTGAGGGGGTTAGTGCAGTGGTCGGGCGACTTGGGTGATTCACCCTGATTCTCACCCATCTATAGCGCACTCTCCCTTCTCAACTTTGCTATCTTAAGATATTTAGCTCTATATTATTTTCATTAAAAAGATAACAACCACATACGACCATAGGGTGTGGAAAACAGGGCTTCCCGTCCGCTCAGCCGTACTTAAGCCAAGTATTCAACGCAGTCAATAGTCAATGCGCCCTTAGTGCTTAAGCGGCACTCTAGGGTGAGTGTGGGTGATATGGGTGAGAAGTCTCGAGACTGGGGTGAGAGAGGTGAGAACGGGGTGACAATTCTCACCCTTGGGGTGACAGGGGCTGATTCACTCTGAACCTATGCCCGTCAAAGACATAAATATAAGCCGCGAGGCCCTTCTCTTGCTCTGCCATGATTTTATTTACATTTCCTTGCCATTCAAACTATGTTCTCCGAAAAGAATCTCCAGAAAGCACTCCAGGAGCGTATCGCACGTGCCGCATCACGTGGTTTCACACGTGAATATCAAAACGAGAAGGAAGAAGAGGATAACACTATCTGCTACCGTGAGCTAGCGCCTGCTACGCTAGGCAAATACGGCTATGCAGTTGGCAATTGGGCTCTGTAAGGTTGACTCGTATTTCACCGATCTTGATCTCTGATTAGTAGCAGATAGAGGCTTTCCCGTAACGAGTCCACAGATTCGAATTTTCCTAACTCGCCTGTCCTAACTCCCCAACTTTTGAAACTTTTCGCAGAGTTTTATATTGTATCGCGCGATAAAATTCCGAAGCAAAAGACGGTTTGTAATGTATTCACTAGCTTTATATCACAGTAGGAGCGAGACACTTCTCGGCCCCTTTCCGATAAGGTCAAGCGGGATGTTCTTAACGTAAGAGGTAACACTTATCCTTCTCTAGAGCTTACTGCTAACATATAAAACCAAAGTATATTAGAACTACCCTAACCGTGAAATACGAGCTCCCTATAAAGTCTAAAGAGCGGTTCCTGGTTAACGGAAAGGACATAGATTACCTGCTGCGACACCTGTTTGTAAATGACTGTCACGATTATGTACACGAGAGAGTACGCGTGCAGACCGGAAGTTCTCTTTCTTTATTTGCTGGCTCGGGTGCAAGAGCTGGGGCTATCGTCGAATCAAGTTCTTATCGCAACACAAATGAATACTTATATTATAAGGTTTATATCTTGATGATTTTGATTCCTGATAACATCAAAACTAACCAATCATGATTAGCACCTTGAATTTCATCTTAAATAGAGTAAGGAAAGGGGGTCTTTGATACGTTAGGTGACAATTGATCCCGAATTCTTAAAAGGATGGCGTTATCGCGATAATACCACCTTATGAGTTTACGAATTATAATCATTCTATTTTGAAAACGCTAATATGAACAAAATTAGGCTAAAGAATTGGTTTAGGGAGCATCCGGTTCTTAGGAAGAGTTTTGTCTTTTAGGTAATCGTTTATGGGGTCGCGGATGGTGCCTTTAAAGGGCATGCCTCTATGATAGAGGTTCTTGCCGCAAAACCACCTAAGGGAAGAGAGTCATTGACCTTAGAGTGGAACGAAACCGTAAAGAATCTCCTATTCTTTAGAATGGTCACTTCTAAAGGACCTAAGTCAATAAAAGCATTAACCTTCTCCTTATTGCGGTATAACTTCACTAGCTTAGCCTAGCGCGATAGGTTCAAAGACTAGTTGCGAGTATATGGAATTCGAGGCGGCGTTGCAAATAAGGTTGACCGTAAGTATATATATGCCGTCGCGCCTTAATTCTACTAAGAAAATCAGTAAAGGCTTCTTAGGCTACTCGTAGTCAGGCTCTTAATCACTAGAGTCATAACACTTATATCAAATATTAGTCTTCTTTAAAGGCATTAGATATATAGGCCTTATTCTATGATTTAGAGCCTAATTACGAATACCGCGATATAGAACAAAGCATGTCTCATTACCGAGACTCGAACGTGCTACTCCAGCTTAATGCAGCTACGATTGCACAATTCCAAAATAACGAGGAAATTGTTAAGATGAATCAGAGAATTGCCCATATAACCAAGGAGATTGCTAGAAGATTAGAAGGAAATGAGGACCTCGTATCCGAACGGAATCGTCTTTATAGTAAGAAAGCAAAAAGATTGCTAGCCTAGAAGAAGGATTTCATCAAAGACTGGTGGGATACTTCATACGCTAAGTATGTGTCTGGGAACGACTTCTCCGAACGCGACTCAACAACTCTTTTTGACATCTACAAGAAATATCTACCAGAGCGCTCCCGTCTTAGCGAGAATCTATTAAAGGAGGCAACTCTAGACAGTGAACTTAGACGACAGTGCCTAGAAGACATGGTTACGATTTGCACGTCGACAGAACGTGCCGTTTACTATCCGGGCATGACCCCCGAGAAAGGCCGCTATCTAATATGTAATAAGTTGATGCTAGAGTGAGTGTACCTAAAGAGTATTAATAGATTAAAAGGTTAATAAGAAGACAGCGTTCCACTATAAGGGAGAGCTAAGCATATCCTACAGTGTCGAAGAAAATCCTTGAATAGCGCACAATACTAGCAGCGCTATAAGAACGAAAAACGCGCCTATCGACGCGTACAGCGCAACTTTGTTCAATTTTGTTATCTTTGCGCTGAAATTTTCCTCGACGAAGATTCCTAGAAGAACCATTGCAAGTGCCATCTCGGTAGCCTCAAACCCCGATGTGGTCTCTTAACCTTCCGCTCCACACTCATTGCCCTAGGTTTCTGTCCATTCTGCTTAGGCGACAAAAGCAAGAAACCAGACGAGAGATTTCAACAATGGGTCGCAAAAGCAACTCTTTTAAATCACATTGACGAACACTTAGGGCCAGCGGACTCTTCAGCCGCAGTCTTCTGCCCTCATCCATACTGCGAAGAAAGGAACTATGTTGACACCTTACATCTCAGGCGACACTTCTATGATGCGCATTCAATCGAAGAGCCTCGGTCAAATTGCGTCAATCGAAAAAGGAAGTGGCAGCTTTAGTCAGAGCCCGTAGGAACTACTTTCGAGAACTTGAGTGATGAAATATTGCCGAGCCCAGAGGATAATTTTCTCACCGCCACTCTGCTAACTACTTCTGATGATTGTGATGATTGTGATGATTGTGATGATTCTGATGATTCTGACGATTCTGATGATTCTGATGATTCGCATATAAGCTCTATAAATGATCTCTTTTTAGAGTTCATGCGCTTTGATGAGAGCACTGAATAGTGTGACGGCTTCGGTACTGACTATCGAAAATCGGACGGTGGAGTTTATTCGTCCCTGGCTATCTATTTAATGGAACATGTTCGAACGATGGAAGATTAACGGCGCATTCCTTGGCCATAGAGTAGATAGATAAATTATTCTGTTTATTTCCCTAGTCTTATCATTACCTTAGCAATGCCTACGGCCGTGGTGAAGAAGTAATGTAATGGTCGGTAACTAGAAACTGGGTCTTGACTTCCTTGCTTTCTTTGTTAAGTCACCTCCCTTTCACGGGCTCGATTACTTCATGTTAGAAGATGTTTAATTTGATAATAAAGCGAAGAAAAACTCACTGACAGTTGCTTAATGATCTTGCGACCGGAGCTCTTTTACAAATCATAGCACCCGAAATCAAGGCCGTTAATAAATGGCCCTGGGTACATGTAGAGTGATATAGATATTGAATTTAAGCGGTCTAGTCCAAAATCTCGGTCTGACCCCATCTAGTATATTGATTTTCTCGGGAAATCATTCAATCTAGAAACTAATATATTGATGGTATACATCAATGACGTACATACAAATTTAGAACAACGAAACATCAGAGATCTCCTTCGCATTCACGCTAGTGATCTAGAAAACCCGTTAGGGAAAAACCGCATCCAAAGAGACCAATATGCTTGTTCAATCTAAGAGCGGGAAAATAAGCCTATGTGATCTATGAATTTCGAAGGGACAAGCTCACTCGTGTAGTTTCTAGAGATTCTTTTATTAGGACCCAGAGCAGCTAAAGATTGAATCCGATGTTGCCGATGCGGTAGATAGAGAAGCTTCGGATGAAGGCGATGCCGATGAAGACGATGCAAATGAAGACGATGCCGATGAAGACGATGCTGATGAAGACGGTGCTGATGAAGACGATGCCGATGAAGATGATGACGATGAAGACGATGACGATGAAGACGATGCCGATGAAGAAGGTTCCAATAGAGAGGATGTCAATGAAGACGATGCTGCTGAAGGTAAGTTGGAAGCAATACACGAGCTGCCAACCTTCAATCCATCCTCTAATGTACATCCTGCTTCGGCTCCATTTTGGTTGAAAAACTTAACAACCCTATCCTTGTTGACCTCTATCCATGCCGCAGGTCGGTCATTTATCGTGCCACAAATAACCACACTCAACCTTAAGTAGCCTTTTCGTGTACCATGTGTAACCTCGCTTATATCTAGAGATTTGTTAATACTAATAGTATGTCAGTGGAGTTATTATTCACCTAAACAACTATTTCCATTAAGGAGGCCAAAAGGTGCTGAGTGTCCCGTGCAGCCATGGTTATCATCCGACCATATCACGCATTAACGGTCGTAATCAATAACTTGGAGAGTGCCACCTAAGGCGGCGCTTATATAAACGCTAGCGAGAAGCAGGAAAATAGAAAGAGCCATTTATATGACCTTTAATAGGATCCAAAAACGATACGAAGGGTAAAGTATCTCTGGACACAAGGTATGATAAAAAGCCACGACTTTGTCTACCATATCTACGGATTTAAATGTTCACAAGATTCTTGATAGATTGAGACAGAACCGTGGCAATAACCGTTCAACCCTTGCGGACACGATTTACGACACGATTTGCGACACCCTTTACGGCACCCTTTATGCGACACTCTTTATGACACCTTGTGCGATACTGTTTCTGGTTTAAGGCACCACCGACTTATGGGCCTAATTTTATTTCTACGAAAACTTACCTCGCTAGCCCCTTAATAGGTAGGTTTATTTATTACGAGTCTATAGGGTCGTAGCACAGACCACGCTACACCGGTGCTTGTATAGTGCCGGGGTTGCTGTGTAGCGGGTCATTCGTGGAATAAGTAACGAGGTGACCCCACAAATGACCGATAACGATTACAAGTTTTATTCAGCCTAAGATCAATCGGATCTAGACTTTAAAGCGCAAGTTATTGTTAGGAATCAATTCCTGCCATTCTTGGTCCTAGATCACGCATCGAAGGTTCCTACAGGCTTAGAAGTAAGGATTATATCATCCAGCAAATACTATATTGACTAAGACTTTCTAGGATGAAAGGAACAGTGTCCTGGTTCTGTGTGTCTTGCCATGATAGCGATTCCCATCGCATAAAAATCAAATTTATAGCACATGAGCCTAGGTCCCATCTTATTTGCTTTTGGTCACATATACTCCCTGCTAAGCGGCGCATCAATATCAATACTCTATGCGCAATTTACTTAGAAAAAACCAACCTTCTATCATCTAAGGAACAGCGGGCATTCATCTCTAAGAAGAAAGAACAAATCATGTTTGAAAGAAACGTTTCTTAGGCGAAACAGGAGTGGGAATTTTAGGTTACTTGTCGTGAATGCTAACGCATCAACGACTCTTTGCGATAGAATAAGGGGTTGTATGTTCAACTTGTTAGTGGAGCTAGTATCTTTTAAACTCTTAGTGCTTTAAATCCTTAGTTCTTAAGACTAGGCGGATCCCTTATATAACCATTACTTAGTGAAATTCAATTAGTCAATTTGAAAGCCTCGATTTGTTGTTATATCGGTCTTTTGGCAGAGTTCTGTCTCTAATCTACAATGCCCATATACACAGATCGGCTTTAATACATAGCTCATTAAACCCAAATTGTCTTATAATAAAATTTATGGAAGCTTAAGAGGAACAAATAACTTAAGTGACGAGAGGATTTGGTATAAGAACCCTCCTATGGGTCTAAATTAGTAATCATAACTCCTTAGAAGATGCCCTATCCTTCTGGCGCTTCCCGGGTCTATTACCTACAGAATCTGCCTTTCTCTTCCCCGTATAAACATCATAGTGTATAACGTAATATCGAAGTTTGTCCGCTAAGATTGTTCCTTCTTGCCCCTTTTCATAGCTTAGATTGTCTGTTTTCCCAACTAGTATCAATCGTTCTTTCAATGCTTCTTCGTACACCTTGTTCACATCCGGAACTCTAAGCCCATACTGATTAACCACCATAAAAATATGATCCCTTACAAGATCTTACAGAGTTGCTCGGAGATTGAGTCCACCATCTAAGGAGAATTTATAGTAAGTTCGCGATTCGAATAGGTAGACAACAATCACTTCTTAATGTGATTTATACCATATCGAAAGGATCTCAGGAACCTTCCGATAAACGGTTATAAAGCTTTTTATTTCTATTGGTTAGGGCATTTCCTTAAATCCGGCCGCCAATAGTGCAATATCACGATCAGGAGTTCCACTTAGGTGGTCATGCATTTCTACTAGCTCGGGGTTAAAGTCTTCTTCTGTCGTATCTAGTACGGAGTTTGTGGGCGGTTAGTGGACTTCTTCCGAAAGCGAGGAATTCGTACGTTCGACTGTAGGAAGCTCCTCTTTAAAATCTATATCTACCTCGATAGATTCGGGGGCGGCTTCGGCAAGCCTAAGGGGACTTTGGGGTGGGGCAGCTTGCCGTTTATCCTAGAGTTGGTTGAATAAAGTTTTTCTAAAAAAGCAGCCGATAATATCTTTTATCACACCAAGCGACGTTACATATTCCGATTGTGGCTGATCAGGACCAAACATTTGGTTAGCAAAAATATTTCTGCGCTACCGATCATACTCATCTCGCGTGGGGCTGTTAAATCGGTGGCTCGCTTCGAGTTCTAGGTCATTTGTCGTGAATTAGGCTGTAGTACCTTCCTCCTCTACATACTTAGGAAGATTCCGCAAACAGCTACCAAGTCTTTTAGACATTAATTACACTCTATGCTCTTCGTATTTATAGAATCCCTCCCTACAAAGAGATTTGAAAAGGCCTTATACCATATGTTGCCCTAAATTTTGATTTCGAAGTAGGCTAATTTAATCGGATTTAAAGCCCAATCGCGAAGCCAATATAGCAAGCTTATTCAAGCTTACATCCTTAGTAGACCATTCAAACCCTTTTCCAATCTTTCTTACGCGGCTTCCTTAGTGGACAAAATGTCTGTAAGCAAAAAGCCAAAGCTATATCATAGATACAGAGAACGAGGTTTCACTCTGCTGAATAGTTATAAATTCGTTCTCTATGGTCTGAACTTCAAGTAATCCTCTAGTTCCGATTATATTCCATTAACTAAGCATGACTTTTTTAAAGCTTCCTTTAAATTTTGGAGGGCAGAGACTATAGAGCGCTCTTGCTAGACGTTCAATGAACAGTGTATCTTAGATAAGTGTATTAAGAGATATTATTCTCCTAGACGTTTAGAGAAGTCGACTCTTGAGTGCCTCCCTGTCTTTAGTAACTCTAACAAGAGGAAAAATTATTTTTGAATCCATGAGGTCGGTGACGCGTTTTCGGTCTGCCAGAGAGATATAAGGTATTAACCCTTTAATATAGTACACGGAATCCGAGTTAACCAGCGACCCGTACTAAGAACCAAAAAGGTTTGCCTATATTTCCTATATTTCGCATAAATAATGATACAAGATCTAGGAAGTTAGCTATGAACAAAACATACGTTTATCAAACATACGTCTAGACATTTGAGTCCTAGCATCCTGGTGATTTGGGAAGATCTCAAAGGTTTCTATAGCCTAACGTAGGGTAATAACTTATCAAGAATGTCGAGCCGATTAGCATCACGTTACAAGCGTCGTATCTATTTCCGCCAATCTTCGGAACCAAGTCTAGCCCACCATTTCTACTCTAGGGCAACATTTTGTGAGATTTGGTATGACCTAAGGGTTCGATATATTTCGCCGATAGTGAAGCTTATACTTTCTATCGATTCCTCGCGTAATTAGGCGAGTGTATCAGTCGAGATATCTAAAAGCATTATAAGTCTTTAAAGACAGCAGACATTTGTTGATATGCCCTACCATCTAAATAGAGATCAACTAGCCATGTAATCTCTCCGAATTTCTCGCTAGCTTTTAAACGATGTTTCCCGTATACACAAGTTATGAGATCCTCTCTTTCTAACAGAAGATGTGGCTGATTTATCGGGTCGAGGAGTGCTTCTCGAGTAAGGTTTGACTTTGTAAGTGCTCTTCCTAAAACTCCCCGTTAGATGGTCGCGCAAACTCTGTGCTCAGGTTCTAGATTACCGCAACCTTTAATTTCAAACATTTTAAGGAGTTTTTCCACATTTTTCTCGGCGATCTCTCGTGTTCCTATAAGATGGTTAGCTTCAAATTAAAGATGCTATAACTTGATAATTACGCATCCCTGATAACTCTATAATCTTTGAATGGCGAGGCTGTTCGTTCGGTGACCAAGAAGGTTTTCGCTTATATCTATTTTTCAAATCTTGTTTTGCTTAGAGAAAAGATGGATTAGAAAAAGGAAGAAGGGCATAAAAAAAAAGGAAGGAAAGTAAGGCCGTGATAACTTAAAATATTCTACGACACTAAAACCGTGTCGCACCAAATGCCTCGCGTATAGGTCCTACCCCCTTATTTACAAATCAGAAAACAGGAGGGAAAAATATAATATAAGAACCCAGTCTCCCACGTATAGGAATACTCATCATTCCTAGCCAAATCGTCCCTATACGTTTAAACCATCTTTCTTTCTCGCTCTTTATTCTATTATCGGCATAGGCAGGTCCCGACAATTGTTAGTACGATTTTAATTCTGATTCTAGAGCTTTAACACATTCGTGCCAGGTCTATAATGATAGGGGCGTTGTTTATACATCTTCTCTAAAGCAGAGTGATTATCTTCGAAATGATGATAGCAAGCTTCTATTCTAGAATAGGTAGGTTCTAGATCATCATTCTTCCCAGTCATTTTGTGTTAAATGGACAACCCATTTACTTTTATAAAGTGGAGGAGCTGCCTGTACAGATTGCTTTAAGCAGTCAGGTGCAAGTGAGGACATAGTTGGCATGATCTATAGAGGGAAGTCGAGACCCTCGAATTACCTTAGATGCTCGTGTCCCGATAAATCCGGCGAGACCAAGGCAGCGTCAATTCAACTCAGTAGGTGGTCATATAAAAGCTGATAATGAATTTGGATTTATTAACCATTAAAAGACTCCGTTTTATCAACCGTGTCTTCTTATAGTTTGGCTTATGGCGTCACTAC